GACAGCAGGAACGGACCTAACAGCAGAACAGACCTGTCCTAATAAGAGGACAGGATGACTAGGAGGACTAGATATATAAGGACACTCTTTACCCATCATGTATTTAGTTCTTCGCGATTATTACTCTATTGTTATTAAGACCTATAGTATAAATCAGATTAATAGTTTACTTAATTATAATCGAACCCTTGAAGACAAACCTCAACTAGCTTAGGAGCTCACTTATGATAGCCTCACTTATAACTGACTTACTAGTGGATTCCCTGATTCAAGTATTACTATACAAGGATCCCTAAAGACTCAAACCTGTGTAAGGCCTAGCGATAGTAACAGCATAGTTACAGGATAACAGCTTACGGTAAGTAACTCGATAGACAAGAGCATACTTATATTACTTAACAGTTACTTTATAATATAATAATTGCCCTATCTACTATAATTATAATCTTAGTATTATATCTTTATAAGATAGTAACTTAAAGGGTAAGACAGTACTTATACCACCCATAACTCAGTCTAAGATAGATATTAACTCCGACAATAAATATAATTAGAAGATTCAATAGCTCCAATAACAAATCCTTAAGCTAAAGAAAAATATAGATACCCTAGAAGTAAACACTAGCTAGTTCGGTAACTTAGCTTAGGAATAATTCCAAAGTATCGCAGAATAACTTAATCAGAATAGTATCCAAGAATCGGCACAACCTACTATACCTAAGTTACCTAAGACAGATAACTTCAATAGTAACAAAGCAAAGCTTTAGGGCTTCCTTATCTAAATAGATATATACCTCAACACCAACCAAACCTAACTTCTAAGTAAAGAAAGCAAAGTCATCTTTATCTTAATCTACCTATATAGATAAACATAGGAATAGCTCAAACCTTATATATATAAATACTATAAGAAAGATTAAAGTAACTAGTCCAAGACTACTACTACAATCTTTACCAGTTACACAAACCTATATAAGTACCTAGAATATACCTTCGGTGATATTAACACCAAACAGACCGCAGAATAGAAACTACAGTAAATCAGACAGACTAGATCGGTATCTAAGTATATCTCCAAGTATATATAGATCATAGCCACACTTAGATAGGATAACTATATCTTAATTCTACCTTTTATTTATAGTCTTAAGCCTAATCTTAAGGATAAATTGGTATTAATAGATCGACCAGATACTATAAGTAATTTCAGCGTGGGGAAGACAGGACCAAAGGTGATGACGTCACGCAGAGGATGTCAGCTGAACAGGGGCACCAAGCTACAGGGAACCCTTCGGAGGAAAGGGTAAAGATAAGACCAAAAGATCAGACAACACGGATCAGATGGAATGACATACGACCAAGCTGGATCCGAACTTAGGATGGAATGGAAGGAAAGAATCAAACAAAGATACAACTGATCCAAAAACGATTGAATTCGATGCTAAACTAGCTAAGGGGTAAGATCAGGTTTTATAGAACTTTAGACTAAACAAACATGAGACCAAAGGTCTCAGGATATGGGACGAAAGGGCTACGGAATCCGAAATAATCGAGTCCTTTCATCTCATCTTGCAACCATTGATCCTAACAACGGGGCTCGGGTTGCGGATCTTCTCGGACGAGAGAAGATCATCTTTGATCTGATAGATCAGATCAAAACCATATCATTCATTTCGCAACGGAAATGTTTGATCGCGGGATGAATTAGTCAGCATAACCTTTGGATCAAAAAGGGCCACTTTTCATCCCAGGAATCCAGGCACACAATCTGCCTGAATTGCTGACAAGTAAATTAATTAATATCATTATATATTAACAACTAGTTCTAGGATCAATAAATAGAAAAGAAATAAGTAGAGCACTAGCGATAGAACTATCAACCAGGAAGTAACTAAGGGTAATAGTTTAGGCTAAGATAGAGTGCTAACCAAAGCCGATAATAGAATAACCAACAGAACGACCTATATAGACCAAGACTAATAGAGCTAGACGCTACTAGACTCCCTAATAAGGAATAAAAATAATAAAAAAAGAATAGACTATATTTTAAGTATAGAAAGCTAGGATATATCTTATAAGACTACTATAGCAGCAGGCAGCAGAGATAACCATAATAAATCTAAACTATATAATTAGATAAAAAGAAATAATAGCTCTAAGCCACTAGATAATCTTAGAATAATAAGGGATAGAATAAATTATTAAATAGCGATAAAAAGAATATAGGGACTAGTAACTACTAAGGATAGAACAACCAGATAGACAAATAGGGCTAGAACAGTCATAGTAATATAGCCACTAGTAGAGAATTCCCTAAGGTTAAATAGAACAACCAGGAAGAGGATATTAATATCCTAGGAAACAAAATTAAGAGTTAAGGATAGACCTAGCACAGTCCCTAGAATCAACCTATCAACTCCTAGGAACTAATAGAGATACTCCGAGGAGTAAGCAGCAGAAGCCTAGGAGCAGAAATAGTCCCAGAAATCCTACTAGAACTCCTAGAATTACCTTAAGAAACTCCTAAAGATACTACAACAGATAGTAAAGGGAATAGAGGGACATACCCTTGTTTTAGGATAAACTATAGATATATAGATTATAAGTAATACCTATATTATAAGTTATAAATAGTAAGATACTATATTAATAATATCTATAAGTAGTATATTAAACAGAAAGTATAAAAAGGATACCAACCAAACAGCTAGAAACATAAAGAACCTTAGTAGAAAGAAAGGTTTTAAAGGGATTTTATTAGAAGGTTTAAAGCAATATACCTATATAGCGAATTAAACTATTTATATAATAGATATATCTAATACCTAAGATACTCTAGTATAGTAATAGTAGGATACTATAACTATAACTATATAATCTACTACTAAGGAAAATTAGACTATAGGAAACAACCAGAAAAACCAAACTAGCTAAAGACACTACTATAGACAAAAAAATACTATAGGACTTAGTATAGGAATATCTAAATTAGAGAATAATATATTATTTTCAGCGTATCGGGGACAGACCAAAGGTGATGACGTCACGCGGAGGATGTCAGCTGAACAGGGGATACCAAGTTACAGGGGACTTGGGAGGAAAGGGTAAAGATAAGACCAAAAGATCAGACAACACGGATCAGATGGAATGACATACGACCAAGCTGGATCCAAACTTAGGATGGAATGGAAGGAAAGAATCAAACAAAGATACTACTGATCCCAAAAAGATTGAATTCGATGCCCAACTAACTAAGGGGTAAGATCAGGTTTTATAGAACATTAGACTAAACAGATAAACATAAGACCAAAGGTCTCAGAACATGGGATGAAAGATCCACGGAATCCGAAATGATCAAGTCTTTCATCTCATCTTGTAACCATTGGTCTCAACAACGGGGTTCGGGTTGCGAATCTTCTCGGACGAGAGACGATGATCTTTGATCTGATGGATCAGATCAAAACAATAGCCATTCATTCCGCAACAAAATGTTTGATCGCGGGATGAATTAGTCAGCACAATCTTTAGACCAAAAGAGCCACTTTTGGTCCCAGGAATTCAGGCAGAGAATCAGCCTGAATTGCTGACAATAAGTAAGATACCCTAGCTGTGATGGGCTCTATAAAGACTGAAGCAGAACGATATAGGCCGACATGCAGTTTACATTCATGCTTAAGGAAGAGGAAGCTATAGTACATGATGGGGTATATATGTCTTTCCGCAGATCACGTGTGGGGCTGTAAGCGGAGACGTCCGTGGTCAACTGTCGTCGAACGTGACCGTACGTGATCGTGGCTTTGGGCTTCGTCGAGGATTGACAAGCCCTCGTCGGGTTCAACCCGTTACACTATCCTATTAATAGGGCTCTATTTTTATTATATAATTAGTCTCTCTCTATTTATTAAAATTAATTCTTAAAAACTAAAATAGTAGCTAAGTGTGAAGGGCTCTGTAAAGACTGAAACAGAACGATATAGGCCGACATGCAGTTTACATTCATGCTTAAGGAAGAGGAAGCTATCATACACATGATTGTGGGGTTATATGTCGTTCCATGGCCACGTGTGGGGCCGTATGATTATGTAAGCGGGTTGGGCTTTGACAGAACACGGGTGCAGAACTAGCCCAATTGGGTTAGTTCAAACCACTATTGAATGGAGAGCTCTGATTGGTCGAACCAGAATGGATCACATGACCGATCAGGTGATCTCCAGGCAGAATTTATGTGCGTAATTATCAGAATGAGAAAACCAGACCTGTTGATACATCCCATTGGCGACCGCCTACTGCATTAGACATTGTAGTCTGTCAGGCTTGTCAAGGATTGATAAGCCCTCATCGGGTTCAACCCGTCACACTAAGTTAGAGTTAAATAATAATAGGGTAATATTATTTCTCGCTATCTCTTTGGAAAAAGTCTAGATCTGGTTTTATCACTTGACTTTATTAAGCAAATAGATCAGATATAATCCTTCTATATATTATAGATAAATAGACAGGATCTTAAAAGCTAAAAGGGCTTTTATACTTTAGCTAGGTACTCCAAATCACCTCCAAGCCCGCCAGACATAGTGAAGCTCATCTTTAGAGACCTCTAGTCAATGTTCTAAAGTCTAGTAGCCCACGCAAAAAGTGACTCATTATAGCCCGTTTCCATGATGATTCGCCTACCCTGCCATCTACGCTCAAAACCCTACTTAAGCCATCGGGTTGGTCTATCCGGACTATACCCATCACAAAACTCGCAGCCGAGGCAGATAATAACAATACTTCCTAGTCGGTTGTGATGGTACTCGATGAACTCTTCAAGCCAGTGCTGACGAAGATCAACGAATCCCAATGGGATGCGCTCAAAATTGTTATCAATACCGGCCAGCCCCTGCTCTGGGTCACCTAGGGAGGACAGAAATCAAAGGTGTCTGATCCCGATAACGCACTGGTGCAAGGTCTATTCCGTGTAATTCGTCGTGAGGATCCACAGGCAAACCTCACCACACTTGATGTGCAGTCTGCAGTCTGCGACCAGTCCTGCTACAAGTGATGCGATTGATCGGCTGCTCCAGCGGATTCTTGACGGGACGCATGGCGAGACCGAGTACATTGAGCGTCACGGTATTCTTTCGATGCAAAGCCTAGTGCCAGATCGTGCTGTGAACGACTTCAAGGCAGCTGAGGACGGCAAGGAGTCTGAACCGGTAGTCAAATCTTTCCATGAGACCCCAGCCCAGGTGCGTCTCCAGGCGGAGAAGTTCGGCACTTTGCAGAGTCTGACCTGGTTTGAAACGGCAGTCGGCGAGGTGCCGATGGAACCGGGTATGGTGGAGATTGAGGTCATGGCTGTGGGTGTTAACTTCAAGGTAAAATAACCTACAATTCTCTATCTAGCTATACGAGGGTATTAATCTCAATAAATAAGATGTGGTCACAACAATGGGAATTGTACCCGAGAATGAACATACCATTGGATGCGAATGCGCCGGGTATATAAACCGAATTGTGCCAGGCCTGCAAACAGAACGCCAGATAGGTGATCGAGTAGCTGCTATGAGAAGTGGCACGTACACGAATCGTGTACAGTGTCCCTTTGAGAGAGTCCATCGTATCCCCGACTCAATGAGCTATGATGAAGCGGCAACAATCCCCTTGGTCTATTTGACAGTGATATACTCACTGTACCATTTGGCCAACGTCCAGGAAGGCCAGTCTGTCTTGATTCATTCCGCAGCCGGCGGAGTGGGCTTCGCTGCTATACAGCTGGCGCAGCACAAGAAGTGCGATGTATTTGTCACCGTCGGCACTGAAGAAAAGCCTCAGTTTTTGGCGCGCACGTTCAATCTGCCCGGGAATCGTATGTTCAGCTCGCGCAGTACCCGGTTTGCTGAAGAGATTCGCCGGGAGAAGAATGGCCGCGGCGTGGACGTCATCCTTAACTCCTTGACCGGGGAGCTCCTCGACGAATCCTGGCGGTTGACTGCCGATGGAGGTATCATGGTGGAGATTGGCAAGCGAGATATCGTCGACCGCAGCCTTGCCATGGAGCCCTTTGACCGCAATTGCTCTTTCCGTGCTGTTGATTTGTCCTACACTCGCGAGATCACAAACAAGTTGATCGGAGATCTTCTGAGTGAGATATTTGACTTGTTAAACGGCGGTCATGTTGGTCCAATCCACCCTATCATTCGCTTCCCCTTTGAGGAGGTTATTCTCGCACTGTCTTATATTCGCAGCGGCAAGCACATGGGCAAGATCGTCATCTCCGGCCCTTCAGAGGGGACCGATTTCCAGCTGCTTATACGACCGGCCATCCTCAAGCTGCAACTCGATCCCACAGCTGCATACCTTATTGTGGGAGGACTTCATGGTCTGTGCGGCAGCTTGGCTGTGCATCTGGCTCGACATGGAGCCCGTTGTATCATCTCAATCAGCCGGAGTGGTATTCAGGATCCAGCATCTGCTCGCGCACATGCCAACTGCGCTGCGTATGGATGCGAGATCGTTGAGGCCAAAGGGGATGTTGGGGATCTAGACTTTGTGCGGCAGATTTTCCGGTCTATCCAACCTCGGCGCGTTGCAGGTTTAGTACAAGGTGCTATGGTTCTCCGGGTATGTTAGGTTTATATTCTTGTGCTCTTTTCGCTATGAATTATTTGACTGACTTCGTTCTCTAATCTGCTCAGGACAAACCTTACGAGACCATGACCCATGACGACTACATCAACTCCATCCATGCGAAGGTAGCTGGTACCTGGAACCTGCAGCTCGCGGCCCAGTCCGAGCAAGCTCAACCCCTGGACTTCTTCACAATGCTCTCCAGTATCTCCAGCGTCATCGGCAACAAAGGGCAGGCGAACTATGCAGCGGGCAATGCTTTCCTCGATGCTTTCGCCAGCTACCGTAACGCTTCTGGCTTACGCGCTAACACCATCAACCTCGGCCTGATCGAGGATGTGGGATATGTAGCAGAGCAAGGTGGCGCACTCGAGGCGCGCTTCGATCGCAGCCAGTGGGTTCCTATCAATGAAGGCACTCTTCGTCGCATTCTCTCCCACTCCATCCTTGAGCAGCAACAAAGAATTCGCGGCAGCCTCAACAGCACCCAGCTGATCACAGGCATAGCCTACCCGCTTACCGCAAACAACAGTGCCTAATTGAAGGAAGAAGCACGTTTTGGCTTTTACTTCAGTAATCATAGCATTGGCAGTGCAGGTGTGAACGACCACAATGGAGGGCAGGATGATCCCACGACCGGGGCAATCAAAGCCTTGCACCTATTACACGCATCTCAGGCAGATGTAGCGGCTAACAATAAGGCGGCATTGGGGTTGCTACAGATGCAACTGATCAAGATTCTACGACTGGAAACGGAGATGGAGCCTGGGAAGCCTCTCATGGCATACGGGTTGGACTCACTTTCAGCCGTGGAGCTGCGAGGTTGGGTTCGCCAGAAGACTGGGGCCGAGTTGAGTACCCTTGATCCCTTGATATCACAAATGCGAGCTCTTCGACTGCGCTCAGTGAGAAACTAGTGTCAAAGTTGCCTGCAAATTAGATCTGGCGATATCTATAGATTGCTCGGATATACCAGGTTGTTAAAACTCGGAGTTCCCTTCGATTTTTCCAGGCAAATTGTGTCAGCCAGTCACCTAGTTATTTTTCCCCAACAAAACCAGAGTCATATTAGAGTCTTGAAGCCCTTTAAAATTCAGTAAGGTGAAGCAGAGCTGAACTCAGTACCGTCATAAGGAGGCTGTGTTATCAAGAAAACTTGAAGGAAAGATAGAGACACACCAAAAACATAGAAGTACTGCCTACTACAAGTACTAGTAATGGGTTAGGCTGAGTTCTGATACATGCCAGTGAACATTGAAGGTACCACATGTACACAATCAAAGCAGTAATAGGGGCAGTCTAAGCATGAACATCTGTCAACTGTAGCATATATAGAAATCTGGGGTAAAACTTGAATAAAGCATAGCGCAGAAAGACGGCATGGAAGTGGAGTACAGCATATGACGATCACTGCATAGCTTCTTCCAAGTCTAGGTACTATTCGATATTTACTAATACCGTAAGATCCTACATATTTACAAGCATTTCTACCTTAGTTCCAAGGTTGCTACATCGGAAAACTAGCATCATGCAAATATATGCAGATTAGGAACCTTTAAGACCTGAGCGAAACTCCACCAGAGATACTCCTTTGCCATACATATCATGAACTTTTTTTGTTTTCCTATCGATCAGGAGACAATGGTTGTCATAATTGCCATGGCTGACCAGTATCTGACACGACTTGAAAATGAAAAACCCTTAAACAGTCTCAAGGACGGTCTCCTTGAACTCACGCTCGACCTTCTGGCCCTTGTCATCAGTTGCGGACTCGCCGTGGAGGGCGAGGAGAGCACCCAGGTCGAACTTGGGGGACTTGAGCAGCTTAACCTTGCGAATGTGGACCTAAAGTAGAGAAATATCATGTTAGACCATGGCCAAATTCAAACAAATCCTTCCTTTTCTTCTTCCCCCTCCAAGAACCTGGGGGTGGGAATGGTGGACGTACATTCTGCAGGGGGTAGATGCCCTGGGTGGACTTCTCAATCTCGCGGCCAATAACCTCGGGGATGAGCTTGTGGGTGAGCTGAGAGAGAGTGCAGCTGGTAGCCTCACGCTGGATAATCTCGGTCATCTTCTTGCGAATAGCACGGATCTGAGACGAGCGGGCGTAGGTGGTCTTCTTGATCTGGTTGGGGCGTCTCTTGGTGAAAGCGATGGCGAACAGGCGGATGAGGTAGTCATCAGTGGTCTTCACGGTGACGTTGGCCTCAATCAGGGACTGCCACTTGCGAACCAGGGAGCGCAGCTTGTCGGTGGTGAAGTCCAGACCGTGGAAGTTGGTAAGACAGTTCTTGCCCTGGATCTCGTCGACGCGGAGCTTGACCTTGCGGAAGGAGTGGTCCTCATCGTTCTGGAGGTCAGCGAGGGAGACCTCGAAGATACGGCCCTTAAGCGAGTCGTTGGCGTTCTTCAGACCGCTGGTGCGGTTGACCAGAGTCTTGCCGACACTAGATTTCCATCGTGTTAGCGTACACGAACCAGGCCAGGTTTCTTGCAGAAAAAAAAAATCGTTCGACTGGAGAGTGGTGTGAGGGAGGGGTTCCTACTCGCGAATCTGGAAGGTGGAGGGAGCCTAGTGATGAAAAGTTAGCAGGTATTTCTTTTCGGACGATCATTGCAGTAGAAAATCCAATTGAGACTAACCTTCACAGAGTACTCATCCTTGCGGGTGAAGGGGTCGACAGTGCGCTTCTTGATACCCTTCTTACCCTTTGAGAGACGCTTGTTCCTGAAGATGGAGTGTTAGCGAATGATGCGAATTAAATAATAGCATGATGAATGCCATGCTTGTATAGAGGCGATGAGTAGACACATACTTTCCAACAGCCATGATTGCGAGTCGGGTCTATCTGAGTGTTGTAAGACAGACAAAGGTATCGCACCACACGCGCTCGGGAGGGTTTCAAGATTCTCGCTGTACGGCTCGACGGGAGGGTTTGAAATCGAAAAACCCACAGAAAACTCGGCTAAGCGAGCTCAGCGGGCCCTACTTAATGGCTGACTCAGCCATTGCCCCCCGTCATCGAGTCATGTGACACACAAGAGAAATTCTCACTTAAGCAATGAATTGTGATTGGTCAACCAGACTTCTTTACATATTGTCGTGTTAAACAGTAAATTGGTCCTCTTTAATAGTATTTTGCTATTGCTGATCATCAAGGTACGGTGTAATAATTGCATTTCTCTTACTCATTTACATTCCCCATATCAGAAGAAATATCCTTGACACTTATTTTGTACCTGTACTATTATCACTTACTCTAAGAAATCTATGACTCACTATAAGATATCTCATACAATGTTGATCTATCCTCGGTTTATAATATACTCTTTTAATCAATTCCAAGGTTATTAAATTTGTTTAGAACAGGTATCCAGCATCACTGATGTTTACTACTAGTAGCTCTTTATGAAAAAATATTTCTAAGAAACCTACAATAAGGACATGTATGGAGACTCCGTATATACTTCTCTGATCCTCCACATGATCACGTAACCTTCTACAGCCGCCCGAGCAAGCGCGCCACTTCTCCCCCATCATTACTTCTCTTCTCCGCACGAACCCACCCCTCACTCTTACTCTAACCCCTTTTCCATTCTATAATCCGAGATCATCTCTGATCGTGGAGAATGGTAAACTCCCCTTCCATTGAATCAGACTCTTCAAATCACTCATCCATATCCTCGATAGGGTAAACGCAAGAAGTCATCCCGTACACCTCAAGGGCCCCGAAAGGTAGCATTCAAATTCAATCTGTTCAGCTTCAACAGATGTTAACTCTCCTTTGATTCCTAGCGGGAACCCCTCGCGACTACTTTCCCCTGTTTATTCTGCAACCATGAAAACTCCGTCGTCGTCAAGATCGAGAAGAAACTCGCCATAGGTAACCTATCTTGTAAAGTTTGCGGACAGAAGTTCCAGACCGGCATCAACTGTACGTCGCAAGTCAATCGCAGACCCGAATATCGACATCGCATACCGTACTCACTATCTTCTAGATCTTTCCGCCGCCGTCGATGTTTATTCGGAATGGGTGGACGCGTGCGACGCAGTTGCCAAAGATACAGCGAACCAGGATGATGGGGCGGTTGGCTCACACGCACCCAGCAGCAAACAAGGGCCGGCAGCGATACAAGATGATTTTGAGGAGGAGGATGATTATTGATTCTGGGATTACGAGGGCGAATCGGCGTATGGGAAACGGCATTCATTCGACCAGATTCATTTGATATCGGTATACAGATGTATACTTCGGCGTATGCGCGAATTGAATACCAGTCTTACTTCTGTCTTGAATATCTTTTAAGGTTGCATTCCAGACCTTCCATGGTTTTGAGGGGTAAGGCATGGCCTTTCATACTATCTAGTCGCAGGCGACATTCAGAAGTTGGGTCTATTTCAGAAGTTTTCTCGGCAGATCAGGATGCATCTTCAAGTTTTCGCATTTGAATGCTCTACTCTCGGGTTATATTGTTATACCCTAGTGAACTATTGTGTGCTCTTAATAGTCAGATCAGTATGAAACGATAACATCACAGTGTATAGTATCGATCTCCGAAATCACCCAATCCAGGAATGATGTACCTGGCAACGAGTCAATACAATCCTAATATAAAAAAAGTTAAACAGTCCAAAGATGGTGATCACTTACTTTTTCTCGTCAAGTCCCGCGTCAATAAATGCTGTGACCACACGCAGCTTGGGGAATCGTTCAGCAAATTCAGCAACACCAGAGGGACTAGCGATCAGGTTAAGGAACAGGATTCGGTGCTCGGGAACGCCTCTCTCCTTCAGAATTTCCACTGCCAAGGTTGCGGATCCTCCTATAGAAGTATACATCAGTATAGTCTTGGGCTAAGGCAACATGTAATACGCACCGGTTGCAAACATGGGGTCCAAAAGCAAAACCCAGCGATCAGCAATGTCGGTGGGCAGCTTGTCATAGAAGAGCTTGGGCATGCAAGTCTCCTCATCTCTCTGGATGAGAATCTTGCCGATGCGAACCGAGCGGCAGCAGTCTCGCAAGCCTTGTTCCATAGCCTCACCAGCTCTCATGATGGACACACCACAGATCTTTCCCTCGAACTTCACTCCCAAGTAGTCCCGTCCAACTGGGGTAGTGACTGATTGCTCAACCACAGGCAAGTGGTTCAGACCCTCTTCCACCAAAAGTCGAATGATTCGGTTCGAGTAAAAAATGAAATCTGCACGCTCGGTTCGTTTGTCGCGAATCATCCTATTGGAATCTGAGACTTGCCCATCTTCATCGTAAAATAGGGTAGGGTATTTTCTCACGTCAGAAGGGCAATCAATTGAGGGGTTTGAGGCAGCACGTGGACATTCTCATAAGAGACTTCCTTAGAGACAGTAGCCGTGGGCTTCTCGCCATCAGGGCGATAGCCAACCTCTTGAACCGGTGATGGAACAGATTCCTTGGAGGCCATTTTAGGTTCAAATTGGGGGTGTAACAACAGAATATAAAGGAAACAATGAGATCGGGACCAAAAAAAAAAGAACCTTGGAAGTTTCAAGATCAAAAAAAAAAGCGGGGAGATTTTTCTCTTATCGCTATCTGTAGCTCGTGCGGCGTGCCTTCCTTGTCTGTGCTTTTTTCTCACTCCGCACCTGCTGTTTTTGGTAGGTTCCAACTTTGGAAGGTTCCAAGGTTCTTTGTCCTTTCCGCTGAATAAGCAGAGCTGCTTTCCTAAAAGTCGGAAATGAAATCTTGTTAAAAACTTCCCTAGCTATAAAAAGGACACTATCAATTCAGTGAATATGGTACTCTCTTAGAAGAGACTTTGTTTGCCTATATTTGTTGCCTTTGTTTCCAGTCCGTGGTGCCACTTCATTCACTTGACTCCACTTTTAAGTCCTCGGCGCGGTTGCTGCGGGATGCCTCCTTCGTTCACAAACCCCCCTTCCAGCTCCAATCTATGATCAACAGGAGCTCCACAGATATCAGTTCTATTCTCATTTTGGAGCTTTTAGCTAACTGGAACGAGCCCACGAAGCGAAAATGCAGTCAGGACCGAAAGGTCGACACCTAATTACCTATGGCTCCACTGCTAAGAACCAGCCACACTCAAAAGCCGCAAATGCGCGTGTTGCGGCAGTCAGCTCTATCCAGAGCCGATCGCCGCGTCAGTCAGTAGAGGCTGAGCGACCAGGAAAGAAGCACCTACAAGCCAATGACGCCTCAGGCGCAGATATCTATGACTTGCCATCGTCAGACGAAGAAGCTCAGCGATTTGTTCCACGCGCAAAGCGGCGACGATATGCCGAGAAGGAGCAAAGAAAAACACCTCATCAAGAACAGGTGCAAGTCACACAAAATACCATAGATAATCCTAACCCCAAGCCAAGCACCATTTCTGCTCCAAAACGCACCGCAGCAGGTCCTGAATTGAAGACCATCAAACCTCCAACCAGGAGGAGCAAGCGAAATCTTGAGTCAAGTGGTACAAAGCAACAAGGGGATTTGATCCCTGAAAGTCCAAGGGTACGCCGAAAGACTGATGTCGTCTTGCCAGAAGAGAATGGGGTTTCCAGCCAAATTGACTCGGAGCACCATGCTTCTCAGAGCATATCATCAAGCGCCAAGTCCACTGCCTCTCCAAAGCAAAGAATCTCAACCCCAGGCAATATTACTCCAGGTCGCAGGCGACTAATTGACTCCCTGGGCACCAGAGAACGTCAAGCTGATGGGTCGTCTCCGGATAAGCCACCTAGCAGCGAATGGTCTTCTTCAATTGCTTCTTTTATCACTACTCGACAGGTTGAACCTGCGCTATCCCCAATGCCAGCTGAATCTCAGAATGAAACTACAGGAAATGATCCTGATTCAACTGTTACCATTTCACCTCACTTACGCGGCTCCAAAGTCACTTATGCTCGCCAGCGTTCATTCTTGGACGATCTTCTCTTGGAAAACGGATCTGAGGTTCTGGGGGTTGATGATATTATGGTGAAACCTTTTCCACGACATGTCGATGATGCTACCCGGGCTCGCCTTTTTGCTATCGATGAACCCGAAAATGACGATGGGACAGTTCGAAGCATTCATGAACTTCGCCAAGTTGGCGGCAATGCCCGTTATCGAGGTGCCGTCGAATCTATCTTTGAAGATATTGAGGACCCTCATGTTTCTGTGTCAGGTCGATGCAGTTCCTTCGTGCAGCTTTGCACCAAACTTCTCGACTCAAAACTTGCACGTCAATTTTTAGAGTGTAATTTTGACAAGAGGCTCGTGGATATTCTCTCCAGCAATCTCGACGTGGTTTCCTCTTCATTGGGCCTTTGTGCCTATGCCCTCTGCTCCCTCGGAAAACCTCTTCCGTACATTCTCGCCACAGCTGCCTGGCCAAAGTTGTTGGATCTATCAAACAAATTGCTAGATTTTCAAGACGATCTCTCTACAATAACAAAAAGCCCACGATACAAAATTTCTAGGGCCACGCAACTATCCATTCAAAACATCATTCTACAGTTCCGGTCAACACTACTCTTGGATGCAGATATGGCCAAACTGTCTCCTTGTTTCTTACTTCTGCAGTGTCTGAAACTGACCATATCGGCATTTCAAGAAAAAGGCGAGAACCTCACAACTCTTTCCTTACCACTTTTGAGACGAGTGGTCAGCCTCATCCTGTCTAGCAGCTCCTCCAGCGCAGACACCTCATCTTCTATTGAACCGAATAACCCCCAGGTTCTGATCCTGGGATTATCTATTCTGGAAAGTCTCATTGCCTCTGGGAACCCTATGCAGAGTGAGCACCAAGAGATCCTGAGCTCCCTCTCCAGTCTTCATGGCCTCCTTTCTGTCCAGGGCGCTCCTCCAGCAAACACCATGAGCTGCCGGATTCAAGTACTCTATATTCGAGTGATTCTGAATCTCACAAACAGCTACCCTGTTCTTTGTGATGCTTTTGCAACACCGAAGATGATAGATGAGTTGGCCGAAATCGCCATGGTCAACTTTACCGATCTTTCCCAGAACTCCTTTGCCGAAGATAATGATAGCAGTGCTTTAGACACAGTGATCCTGACGCTGGGTGCGCTGATCAATGTGACCGAACAAAGTGAGACGTCGCGTGTCATTTTTCTCGGTTCTGAGAATACGACCGAATCCCTACTCAGTCGACTGTTACAGTTATTTGGAACTCATGTCGATTCCACTTCCAAGGTATGTTCAATAACAGTTTCTTCCTATCGATCGCTGTACTAACTTCCTACAAGGCAGATTCTGTCCCAGAAGTCCATCATAACGTTGCGATCGGGTATTTGGCAGTACTTCTCTTGGCTCTCTGCCTCAACGCTAGTGCTTGTTTTCAAGTGAAACAATCATTGCACTCTAATGGATTGTCAGTGATCATGTCTATTGTCGATGAATTTTTACAATATCATCGAAAAATTGAGCAGGAGTTGCAACCTCTTCCTGTGCAAGTGCAAGGTGAAGCCAGTGGCTTTCATGTTCGGTTGCAGGGACTGATGAATCAAATTCAACAATCTGAGTGATCTTTGACTCTTTGAATTCTTGATCTATTTTGTCACTATTTGTATATTAGTTTTGGCGATAAGCTTTTTTTTCTTTTTTTCTTTTAGCCCTGGCGTCTGGACCTAGTGAAGTTGGGTGGCGGATGGAATGCTTAGTTACATGGATGATTGATACCCTTTCTTTCCTTTTATTCACAATACAGGTTGTTAATAATTTAAATTAGTGTGAACCAACTACAAAATACCAGTACTTATACGGCATATCTGTAGTAATATACTAGATATACATGTTCTGCATGGAGTAGTATCAATAAGATCACTCGAAGGCCCAGACTCGAGTATCGGAGCTGTTTGCAGCGTTTGCAACCGACCGAGCTTCTCCGAATGCTTCAGATCGCGGATTTGCCACTCCGACCGCGAGCTCCATCATTAATCGTACTTGCCCTTCTGATTCTCCCTCTCTCTTCCTATCCATATTTACCCCTTTTCAGAATCCAACACTATGCCTGCTGCGCCAAAGCAACGCAAGATTGCCATTGTTGGTAGTCGCTCTGTGGGTATGAAGGCCTGGAATCAGCATCATGTGGAACTGTGCCGATTGAATTAACATATGAGTTGTTTAGGAAAATCCTCCCTCACAGTTCGATTCGTCGAGCATCACTTTGTCGAGAGTTACTATCCCACAATCGAGAACACCTTTAGTCGAATCATCAAATACAATGGCCAAGACTATGCGACTGAAATCGTGGATACTGCTGGACAGGTATACCCACTTTCTCCCTAGGACCAGAGTGGCCTTCACAAAACTGACTTCTATTCCCCCTTTTGTCCATATCTAGGATGAGTACAGTATCTTGAACTCAAAGCACTTCATTGGTATTCATGGATATATCATTGCTTACTCGGTGACATCGCGGCAATCATTTGAGATGGTCAGAACCATTCGTGACAAGATCTTGAATCACCTCGTAAGTGTACACTATCTCTATGACTATGCAGGTCCAATATCTAATTAGTTATTTCAATATCTTTAATAGGGTGCGGACGAGGTGCCTCTCGTGATAGTAGGCAACAAGAGCGATTTGAAGCCCGAACAACGACAAGTCTCCACTGAAGAGGGACGTCAATTGGCAGAGGAGCTCAACTGTGCCTTTACTGAGGCTAGTGCCTTCCTCGACTTTAATGTCTCCAAGGCATTTGATTTGATGATCAGTCAGATCGAGAAATCTCAGAACCCATCGCAGCCAACCGGAGGGAATAAGTGTGCCTTGATGTAACCTGAGAACGATTCATTCGCTTATATGACATACATCCTTCAGGAAGATGTCGTCATGGTTTTTGCTTTTTTTCGGAGGGGACAGAGAAATGAGAATACAAGTGCGGGATCGAGTTTGGAAACCTCTCCAGTCTAGCCCAGTGTGTCCAATCCCTTCTGTGTGTTTCTTCTTCTCCCTTCCCGCTTGTTCTGCTAAGTATGTTCCATTTTGATGTTATATTTTCACTCATTTATATGGCTGGCCTTGCAACTAACCTGGATGGTGAAATCTAGGAGCCTTGTCCTACTATTTTCTTTTGCTTCTCCTCTGCGGACGTCTCTAATGACCTTTTGGACTTTGATTCACCCCCGATTTTCTTCTTGCATGTTTTTTTTGTCGTTCTTGGTAGTTTTGTTTGGTGGAACTTTGGATGGGTTTTTTGGAATTGCTTTATTTGGATCGCATTGAATCGTGGGGGTCTTTTTATCTTGCGACCAGGACCGGAAACTTCAACTGGTATATTTGACCATCATGCATAGAGTAATGGAATGTGGCCTCGTCGACCTTTATTTGCATAGATCTTGGATGCGTAGATACTACTATTGAGCACACATTCGTATGGCATAGCTCCATTTTGGGTGATATGAAGTATGTAGAAGTACGACTACTAGTAATAGATAATCATTTAGCAGTATAGATATAAACATATTATACTTCCAAAGTTGAGTACAATTAGAGCCCCGCATCTAGACACTTGTATACTATTTACTATCTAGTACATGTATCACTATCTAAAGTAGTGAGATCAACCCCCACTGAACTACATATAGTGTTGCGGCAAAATAATTCCCTTTTCTTGACCGCCCTAGAGCGGTCACTTTTTCCCACTCTACCCCTCCACCACGCCTATAGTGACTCACGTTAGGCTATCTAGAACCCATTTTTGACCATGTTGGACCTGAATGACTTTGTCACTGAGCGGGGTGGTGACCCCAAGAAGATTAAGGAGAGTCAGCGCAAGCGTTTCGCTCCAGAGGAGGTTGTTGACGAGGTGATTGCACTGTACGAAGATGCCCGCAAAGGTAAGACCTATCAAACTTGATATACTCAATAGACACTTGAGACGATGAGAGCTAACTCCAATATCAGCCCGATATGCCGTGACTCAAGTCGGTTCCGAGCTCAATGCCCTTATGAAGCAGATTGGTATGAAGAAGAAGGTATATTGGTCTTCCGCGCTTTCTACCCCGCAAAAAAAACCCCCCCAAGTACTCATATGCGCCACTCTGATAGAACAAAGAGGATGCAAGCGACCTGATTAGCCAGAAGGCGGATCTCGACAAGAAGAAGAAGGAGGCCGAGGATGCCGCAGCTGCTAAGGAACTTGAGCGTGACCGCAAGATTCGCTCTATTGGTAACTACGTTCACGAGTCTGTCCCCGTCAGCAACAACGAGGTAAGATATTAATCCAGCGACTCATTTCAATTGGAAAGAAAGAGCGATCGAGGATCAAGAGAAATGCTCTAACTTTTTTTTTATTGGATTACAGGATGACAACCAGATCATCAAGACCTGGACACCCACCGATGCTGCCATGCAGCGCGAGAACTGTCTCTCCCACCACGAAGTTCTGACCCGTCTGGACGGTTACGACCCCGAGCGTGGTGTGAAGATTGTTGGTCACCGTGGATACTGCTTGACTGGCTACGGTCTTTTCCTCAACCTGGCTCTTGTCAACTACGGCTTGGAGTTCCTCTTCAACAAGGGTTACAAGCCTAACCAGCCTCCTCAGTTCATGCTGAAGGAGCTTATGGCCAAGACCGCCCAACTGGAGCAGTTTGACGAGGAGCTGTACAAGGTTACTGAGAGCGAGGACAAGTCCACAGACAAGTACCTTATTGCTACCTCAGAGCAGCCTCTGTCTGCGCTCCATGATAGCGAGTGGCTGCAGGACAGCGAGCTTCCCATCAAGTGAGCCGCAACCCCAAATCTTATTTTCTACATCACATGCTAATATCGATTATAGGTATGCTGGTTACAGTACCTGCTACCGTAAGGAAGCTGGTGCTCACGGTAAGGATGCCTGGGGTATCTTCCGTGTTCACCAATTTGAGAAGGTAAACTGATTCCCCCGTTATATATCGACTTTACCCAATCTCACACCTTTACAGATCGAGCAATTTGTTTTGACAAAGCCCGAGGACTCATGGCAAGCATTCGAGGACATGATGGCCACCTCAGAGGAGTTCTACAAGTCCCTCGGTCTCCCCTACCAAGTTGTCGCCATCGTTTCCGGTGCCCTGAACAACGCGGCTGCCAAGAAGTACGACCTGGAGGCTTGGTTCCCCTTCCAGCAAGAGTACAAGGAGCTGGTCTCATGCTCCAACTGCCTTGACTACCAGTCCCGTGCTCTTGAGATCCGCTACGGTGTGAAGAAGGCCACCGACCTGAAGAAGACCTATGTTCACGCTCTTAACGCTACTCTGTGTGCTACTGAGCGCACTCTTTGCTGCGTTCTCGAGAACTACCAGCGCGAAGATGTTCGTTTCCATTTTCTTCCTTTTCCAGCCTTATCTCCATTCATATTCGCTGACTGTTTTTATTGCAGGGTATCGAGGTTCCCGAGGTTCTCCGGAAATACATTCCTGGTAACCCCGAGTTCCTCCCATACACCAAGGAACTCCCCAAGGACTCCACCTCGCAGAAGAAGGCCAAGCAGGGTAAGGGAGCTGATGATGCTGCCAAGAAGATGCAGGGTCTCAAGGTTTAAATTGGATCTTAAGATCTTATATGTCATTACACCAGACGAAAAGAAGAATCATTAGCCATTTATTATATCCACGCCTGTACTCGATATAATCTAAGGTGATAGTATATAATAGAAGTTATAGCTCCTGTTGTAGAATTGTAGTTTGTACTGTTTGTATGTTTGTCTTGTTTGCAGTCGGAAGAAAGATCTTCCAATTACATGTGATAAGCCTTATAAGCCCCACTGGTGGACATTTGATGAGCACATCATTTATAACTAACGGAAAAAGGAAAGGAAAAAATTAGAAAAATAGAAAATTTATTATTACTAAACATGATTTTTATGACAAAAAAATCTCTGCCCCGCCAAAACCCCTCGATCACGCCAGCCCATGACTCATCCATCTAAAATGTAATTTTTATCTATATCAACTTCTATGTTGAATAGTTTATACTCTAAATTTATATTATCGTTTTGAATACATTCTATCACTTCTCTTTGACATTATGATTGATAAATTCAAGTTAAATTTCCAAACATTCATATGCAGATACACATCTAGTATCTACCTAGGTAGATGTCACTATATATACAAAGTTATACCTAGATCTCTACAATGGAGCTCGACTACTAATGCTCTACAGACTCCAGGGCTCCAGTGGTACCCATGAGTCATCCCATATATCAATTAACGAGATTTTGAATAGACCTATAAAATAGAATAAATATTTCCTTTCCAATTCCCTTTCAAGTCTCCCATCAAGCGCTCCAAGTATCTTCCTCTCATCATAGTAGCCGATTCCGGAGACCTTCGGTGAGCTTATATAAGTTGCCCCATTGCCCGTCATTCTCATTCTCCAGTTTCTTTTTTTCTCTCTTGAGACGCATCTCAATCTTTTAGAGGGTTTTATTATTATAATCCCCCTTTTTTCCACATAAGCTTTACTTCCCCTTTCGTGATTCCTCCCGTTATCTCCCCTCCATCCGCCATGGCCTCCGCTAGAGATATTCGTCCCCGCCAGGACGACCTTGCTGCTCAGGCTCAATACCTCTCCACCTCTCCTTCAGCTTCCTTCCACTCTCCCTCCAGCCACGGCTCAGCACTTACCCGAACAATCCCCGTGCTCAATGCCAAGCACTTGAAGCCCTTTGCGACAGAGGATATCAAGGTCCTGCTTTTGGAGAACGTGAATCAGACTGGTCGTGAATTGCTCCAGCAACAAGGCTACCAGGTCGAATACCTAAAGTCTTCGCTTCCTGAGGACCAACTGATTGAGAAGATTCGGTAGGACTCTATCCATATGAGTCTCAATGATACTTTTTTTGTGGAAAAAAAGCTAATTCGGATATCCGGAATTGGATAGTGACGTTCATGTCATCGGTATCCGATCAAAGACCAAGCTCACTGAGCGAGTCTTGAAGGAGGCTAAGAACCTCATTGTTATCGGATGTTTCTGTATTGGTACTAACCAGGTTGACCTTCAATATGCCGCTGAGCAAGGTATTGCCGTTTTCAACTCCCCATTCAGCAACTCGCGCAGTGTTGCCGAGCTGGTGATCGGTGAGATCATTGTTCTTGCCCGCCAATTGGGTGACCGCTCCAACGAGATGCACAATGGTACCTGGAACAAGGTTAGCAACAAGTGCTGGGAGATTCGTGGCAAGACACTGGGTAAGTTACCAAGTACCTTGGGGTAAAATGTATTTGATTTGGTTCTAATGACTTACACACATTCCAGGTATCATTGGTTACGGTCACATTGGTGCCCAATTGTCCGTATTGGGAGAGGCTATGGGTATGTCTGTCATCTTCTATGATGTTGTGAACCTGATGTCTCTGGGTACAGCTCGCCAGGTCGAGACCCTGGATGAGCTTCTGAGCCAGGCTGATTACGTTACCTGCCACGTTCCCGAGCTTCCTGAGACCAAGGGTATGATTGGCAAGGCTCAATTCGAGAAGATGAAGACTGGAAGCTACTTGATCAATGCCAGCCGTGGTACCATCGTTGATATCCCCGCTCTCATTGATGCTATGCGCAGCGGTCGTGTTGCTGGTGCCGCCTTGGATGTTTACCCCAACGAGCCTGCTGGCAACGGCGACTACTTCAACAGCGAGCTGAACGAATGGGGCACTGACCTTCGCTCCTTGAAGAACCTGATCCTCACTCCCCACATTGGTGGTAGCACCGAGGAGGCTCAGAGTGCCATTGGTGTGGAGGTTGCCCAGGCCCTGACCCGATACGTCAACGAGGGTACCACATTGGGTGCTGTTAACTTGCCCGAGGTGGCTCTGCGTTCCTTGACCATGGACGAGCCCAACCACGCTCGTGTAAGTCTTGCTCTGAAAATAATATGTAACAAAACTAATCGCACCTATAGGTTGTCTACATCCACAAGAACATTCCCGGTGTCCTTCGCAAGGGTATGTATAATTAATACGCTCATTGAGTTCGAGTTCATTCACCTTGGAACATTTTCTAACACACTCTTCAGTCAACGAAATTATTGGTGATCACAACGTCGACAAGCAAATGACCGACAGCAGAGGCGATGTAAGTTCTCATCTTCAAACCCGTGGAACTCAAAACTGACTATAGAAAGGTTGCCTACCTGATGGCCGATATTAGCAACGTGAACGCCGCTGTGATCAAGGACTTGTACGAAAGACTTGAGAGCCTTTCCTGTAAGACAATTTCAATCCCGACAGTTACACGACAAGAACTAACCAAGATTCCCAGCCCGAATTATGACTCGCATCCTGTACTAGAACACAAAAAAGCTTGCAATACTTAGCCGTTTGTAATCAACTTGACGTGTTATGAGCTGATGGGGCTCACTCCATCTGATGAACCCCGGGGACTTTTTCAACGAGGTCCTTGATGCAATTGAATCGTGTTTGGCGAAGTTATACACCAAAATGAATATTAAGATGATATAAGACCATTAAAAGATTAAATTGAGAATTTTTTTTTCGTTTTTCATACACACTTTTCTCAGATATAATCTCATCTTCACATTGCACCATCAAAAATTGATAAAAGTACCGGTCCGGATGTAGTCAGAGTTATCAAAATACCACACTATGATAAAAGATTTGGAATACAAGTCAAGCCTATGAAAAACTATAGCAAGCTAGAAATATAACCATAATGGTTAAGACATGAATTTCGTTGGTATTGCGAATAAGAAGGACAGATAGCCCAAAACTCCATCGCTCAAAGCTGTTTATGTAAAATACATATTTCTATGTCTCCTGGCGCCGAAATTAATGGAAGATAAAAAGTAAAAGTGAAGATAATCAGCCTTTACGCCGATCCACGAAAACCAGGGCTTCGACTTCTTCTGCGCTGAGGTTCACGATGGTAATCGCGGCGACCTTGTCCACGCCTTTCCGCATTAGCATGGGAGTTGTCAGGTGCGTTGCCATAGTTCGGTACGTAAGAGTCAACGTTACTAGAGAATCGATTTCCACCTCCACCTCCACCACCGCCACCGCCACCTCCCTGGCGGGGTTGGTTAAATCGATCTCGTCGTGAATCATCTCGACCATCGCGGCCAGCTTGGTTACCATCCCACTGCTGTTGATGGGTAGATACAGGAGGTCGGGGTGGGAGACCATTGTCTCGTTGTTGAGATTGGGGGAAGATTCCGCGTCGTTGTTGATTATTTCCTGGTGGCCCAGAGGTATTGGGGCGACCACCCCGTGCAGCACCGGGAATTCTGCTTCGAGAATCGGGCCGAGGGCCTGAGCTGGCCCAGCCTCCGTTGGAGGCGCTGTCTGCAGCTCCACCTCCAGGGGCTGGAGGCTGAGGTACTCGCTGGCTGCGGAATTTCTTTCGATCCAGTTCATGAGAATCTTGGAAGGAGGGGATTTCGCCAGGGCGAGCTGGGAGTGGTGGTGTGGTGAAGTAGGGGTGTTTCAGAGCATCAATGGCATTGACACGCTTTCGCCAATCGAGCTTAAGGAGCTCGGTGAGCAGAGAGATAGCGATAGGGCCTTGTCTGTTCTACGATTAGTATCCAACTATCGCAACTCTCCTTATGTGTAACATGAGTCAGGCTTACTCTCTGAAGACCTCTGAGAGGTTTCCGCGCTTGTTTCCAAAGCTCTTCACACCTTCACAGCCTGGCAAAGCGCTCCATCCAGGCATGTTCTCCTCGGTGGGAGTACCCACAAGTTGGAAAATGAGCTGCGCTTGGTTGAGATCGCTATTTCCTGAAAGGATAGGTTTTCCTTTGAACATTTCACCAAAAACACACCTATCATAGTTGTTAGAATTGGACGGATACTTATAGAAGTTCAAACCTACCCAACACCCCACAGATCAACAGCTGTTGTATATTTCCGCAGGGAGAGTAACAACTCTGGGGGACGGTACCACCGTGTGACCACGAGTGCTGTGTATTCCCTTTTTGCTTCTCCACCACCCTTTCCAGCCTGTGGAGGGGGTTCATCGAAAGGTCGAGCAAGACCAAAGTCGGCAATCTGAAGAATACCTCCATTGCTGATTAAAAGATTCGCAGCTATCTTGTAGTCAGTTGGGGTCCATAGGACTTTGAATTCTGATATACATACCCTTCATATCACGGTGTAAAATGCTGTTCTATTAGATGCGTCAGATAATTGCCTGTCATCACTCAAGAAAGCTTCAAGCATACCGCATGAAGGTATCGAAGACCTTCCAGAAGTTGCATCAAGTAGCACTTGATTTGTGGTTCAGTGAATTGGACCGATGGGTTTTCTAGAAGACCAGAAAGATCATGCTCCATATATGGGGTTACCATATACACACTAGGCTTCTTCCGTCCCTCTCCTAAAAAAGACGTTAGTGATCTAAGCACATGTTCAAAGTTCCCTGGTAGCTTTCCTACCCTTTCGTTCCAAAGCCACCTCTTTGAGTTGAAGGACATTGGGATGAGAAAGTATTTTTAGGATCTTGATTTCGCGGATCGCAGTAATTGGAAACTTCACATCGCGTCAGTAGGGAGTTCACATGCAGAGAATCAGAGAATCAGAGAACTTACCCCCTCCTTCTCATGGTGCATGAGAATCTTCTTCAGAGCCACCACTGCATTGTCTTTCTTTGATCTTGCTTTGTAGACCTCACTTGTCCGAGCGTCAGTGATTGCCAAAGGGAGCCCAGCATCTTATATGAACATACCCAAATGTTCCCTCTCCAAGCTTTCCGATAAATTCAAAATCACGGATATTTGAGCAGCCAGAGAACCGACGTTGGCCACTACTATCTCTTTCTGATGATGGTGTAGACATTGTTCCTCTGTGAGTTGTTTGGGTTCCCCACTACACCACAGTGATTCTGGCTTTCTTATGATCGTATTGGGGAGCTCTGGACTCTTGTAGTCAGGTTCACTACAGGTTCACTGCAGGTTGGCGTTGTTTTTGGTTGCGCGCGAGCAATCAATCAGGTATCGTAGGATTCAGTTGGTTGGTTTCGTAGAGTTTGGAGTTATAGGAAAGGAGCGGCGGATTGTGTATGCAACTGGAATCATAATATGATTCACTGATCAGATAAGAGAGTGAATGGAACATGGAGTGGACTTTAGCATCGCCGGAGCTAATATTCAAGGGTCCCTCGAGAGAGTCGAGACAGAGGTGACGCTAGAGAAGGCAACAGAGCACGTCGCCTAATCCTCAAGTCACAGGATTTCACTTAAGGATAGGAGAGATTAAACTCAAGTCTGATTTCCTCAAGTTGTCACAGACAAAGAGGGAACGTCTTTTAGGTGTTGAAGCAGAGACGAAAGAGAGCTTGTGCCGTCACTAGTCACGTGGTTCTGGCTGCCACTTCCTCGAGTTCCCGCTTTCGACTTCATCTTGATCGTCTTTCGCAAAGCCCAGCGTTTAACCTGCATACACAGTAAGTTCCGGTCATCAATTGGAGTACACGAATATCCGATACCAATGACATGTTCCTATAGTCATGGCTGGCCCCTCTCACCACCCGGTCCACGTCCACGCGGCCCGACCGCTGTATCGCTTTACTGCCACTGCTCTGGGCGCCAGCATGTGGTTCTTCGTATGACTCTCATCTATAATCTGAGTCTCGGTTCAATTGTGCTAACTTATTTTTCCCCTTTGAAATAGCTCATGTACCGTGCCAAGAAGGATGGTGCTGTCTTGTTGGGCTGGAAGCACCCTTGGGATCACTAGACGGTGACCACCGTTGACATGTACCATACCATTTCTCTTTTAGGCGACAATCTTCAATGCGCCCCCGTTTCAATTCATGCATCGCTCTCTATCTGTGTTTCTCTGTTTCTATAAATACAGCCACCGCTCCTAGCCTCGAAGTTCCCTATATCACAACCCCATCTCCTCCAAAAGAACTTTGTACTGGCGACGCTTCTTGCGGTAGTTTGGTTGCAGCCGTGTCCTAGCATGTCCCAGGATGCGCGCTAGCTTTGGAGATACAGCTGTCTCCGATATCCAGGAGAGTGCGAACATCCCAATGGCAAATCCCAAAGCACAACCTCTGTAGGTATCCGACATCCAAGTCAATTGCATAATGCTCTTGACCCACTCTGATGGTCGGAAGAGCATCCAAGCCGCAAGTGATAAATCGATGATGATTGTACATACATATGGCACTATAATTAAAGCGTCAGTTAGAATCTTTTGGACTTTTTTTTGGAAAGATAGGGCTCATTGCTCACCGTTCAGTGTCATCGGTTGCCGGAAGGGCGGTCCAACGCTCAGAACAATGCTGATCAGTATGTACTGCAAGCATGAAAACAGAAACAATGCAGTATTTTCAGAGTTTACGATGTTACTCTTCTCCAAATCAAGCTGGGGAGGGAGGAACCTGTTTTTTTTTTTGGTTGGCACTTTGCTCAATTTGCAAATAAGACGTGGACTCACCAAGGCTGGGTCTGAACGGTCTTGAAAATCACAAGTTGGCCGATGACCACTATCGCAATTTGACCCAGAAGAGGAGTCAAGACTTTTCGCGACACGAGATCTGCCGTGGGCCGTTTCCGGGAAAGAGTAGGGTATGGAGCCGTCCAACCCACTGGGAATTGATCAGTCAGTCAGTCATCCACGATCAAATTAGAGGGAAAATCACTCACTGAAAATAGCAATTGGCATTATGAGAGCCAGATCAATGTAAAGGAACTATAGTTGTGTCAGTTGAGCGGCCTCAATATGCTTTTCTTTGCCACAACGATAGCCCGACTTACCTGGAAGTCACCAAGGTTGGATCCAGAAGTGTAAAGAAAGCTGACGGTCGAGAACTGGATAGCAGAGTAAAGACTCATGAACTTAAAGCAGCAAAAACTTGTGACCAGTGCAGCCCGGCCCTCACTATTTAAATTTTGTGAGCTGGCTATTGATACCCAAAGAGATGTAGAGCATTAACTTACCGAATCAACTTAGGGACGCAAGAAATCTCAAACATCCGGCTTGTGAAGGGAGCTGCAACAGATGCCTCGGCGTCAGATAGAGAAATACCAACATCGGCAGCCTTCAAAGCACCACAGTCATTGGCACCGTCTCCACAGAATCCACAGCAGTAGTCGATTGATTGGAGCTTTTCAACCAACTCATGCTTCTCGTCTGGGGACATTCGAGCGAAGACTTTGCCAACCACAAGAACCTGGTTTAAGACCTATTGTTAAAAGCAATTTCTTTTGTGCGCTTCAATTGAGAGAGTGCAATCATACCCTTTTCAACGCATCCTCATTACCATAGTCGATCATCCACCGGAAAACATCACCCGTGACAGCAAGACAGTATTTCCGTTCCTGCAGGGCGTTTCCCGGAATAGATACATCGTTATCCATTGGATCATGGAGGGGCTAGTGGTTTGTTAGCAACTAAGTGACCAGGATGTGAAGAAGACACCTACCTTCAGAGTTCTTGGGTCCAATCTAAGGTCAGGGTTATCCGAACTTTCCCATATAAGAGAAGTCTTGGAAATAAGGCCAAGGTCTTGATATATGGTTTAGCTTCCTTCCGTGCACACGTGGAAGGGGTATAGTCAATTACCTTCAACAAGATGGGGGATAAAACATTCCTCATCTACACCGATCATGTGGCACTCCCTAGCAACACTGACTGCTGTCAAGATGTTGTCACCTGTGCACATGACGTTGCGGATTCCAGCTTTGTTCAATTCCAAGATCGCATCAGTCGTGCTGGGTTTAAGCTTGTTTTCAAAAATAATAAATCCTAGGAAGTCAAGATTTGTTTCCGCCTCAGTCCGAGTTAGTTTCTGGGCTTTCATCCAACTCAACTTCCGCTCATGCTTCGTAGCACAGGCAATCACTCGGTATCCCTTGTGTGTGTAGTGGTTCAAAAGTTCATCATAGTCCAAAGGCACTAAACCCATAGTTAGCGAAATGAAATAGAGGACCCTTTGAGGAAGTGAACTTACAGGATCCAGGGATACAAATATCCTTAATACTCTCAGGGGCACCCTTTACAAAGAAGCTTGCCCCGTTATCCTGAAACTGCCGAACAATAACACTTGCGCGGCGAAGCTGAGACACAAACTCGAAACTCCGTATGATACCAAGTTCAATAGGCATCTATACAAGACAACGGTAAGTAATTGTTCAATCTGAGCCCTTGTCAATCTTACATTTTCCTGGTCATCTCCCACCTTTATCACAGGTGGCCTTGCAACAGATGGGAGGATGTTATCAAACTTTGGGCTAGTCTGCTCAGTGGCATGACCACCGCCTTCTTCATACGACCAACCCGTGAACTGAAACATCTTCACATCAAGAGGATCTCCAAGCAGTTCCCCGTCTACAACCCTTAGGGAGTGACAAGTTGCCATCGTATATATTATCTTCCGCTGTTTCTCCAGGTCGTATGATGAGTTTGCCTCTGGAGCTGGCAGCAGAAATCCCGCAGAAGTTTGAGAAAGCAATTCAGAAAACCTATCATCCTATTAGTTGATGTTTGGGGATTCCTATTACATTCAAGGACCAACTCACCTCTGGTTATTGCTTACAGCCCTTGCACCCAGTACATCTAATCCATCTTCTGTGAGAGTTCCTGTTTTGTCAAAACACACGACATCGAGCTTTCCTCCCACGTTGACTTTCTGTGGGCTAATGCAGAAAATAGTTTGCTTTTTAAGCCGAGAAAGGGCAAAATTGGTGCCAATCGTGAGAGTTGCTGGGAGAGCGGGAGGGACGACAATTGTAATCAAATCGAGAGCACGGACGATGATAAGATGCCAAGCAAGGCCTAGGCGAACAAAATTAATGAACGAAGCCACAAAACCACAGAGTGCGACCATGCCCATGACGGCAATATAGCGGAAGGAGTCGCGGTAAAACTTGAAGCCTGAGGGCTTGGGAAATAGCATTGAACGGACCAATGCGCCCTTGGTAGTAGAAAACCCAGTCCTCACGACGACAGCCAATGCAACCGCTTCGTCTTCATCCACATGTTGAGGCCGCCGAGCACGAATAATTTTGGTTCCACTGAATAGGAAATGTCTTGCGACATTGGCATGAATAGATGGGGCACTAAGGTCGAGGTAAGGTAAAGCTTCATCCACAAATGGAATTTTAGAAACGGGCACGGATTCGCCTGCTAAGAGTTAGAATTTCCATAGCAAAACATGGGGATGAAGGATAACAACCAGTCAGCATGCTCTCGTTCACAATGCAATCACCTGATAACAAGATAGAATCGCAGGGAACGAGATTCAATGATGGGTCGGAGAATTCAAACACATCTCCGGGCACTAATTCATGCGAAGAAACCGATCGCCCTGAACGCATATGATGTTAGAACTGTTGCAAATAGATGCCAGCTTAGCGTGACTATCTTACAGAATCCATTCTTGAGCACGCGCACGTCACAGTCAAATAGAGATATCTCTCGTAGTCTACTCATTGTCTATTGCACCATTAGTTTTTTTTGCAAATGGATGTCACTGGATATTAATATCATACCGATTTGGTCTCAAACACAGTGGTGGCAATACTGAAAACCGAAATGAGGAAAATGCACACGGCATAGTAGTAATATTCATCCATGGACCATAGAACAAGGCTGGCAACTTGAAACATATAGAAGGGGTGAAATGCCTAATTCTTGTCAGACGTATACAACAAAAATGGGCCTGTACAGGGGGAACGTACCTCGTCGAGGAGCAGTTGGATGATAGTCTTTTGCTGAATATCGATAACATTTTGTCCAAAAATTTGTTCTCTACTGTCCCGTTCATCGGCATCAAGTCCTGCGCGCATGGCCTTTGCATTTATCCAGGTGGGGTCTTTCCAACCATTGATCAAACCAAATTTATCATCAATGGGATGGTAGAAAAATCGGAGATATCTGTAGTCAAGGTAGCGCAAATTCTGTACAGTCGGATCACGATCTTCGTCGTAGACCTGCCCGGAGCTGTCCACAAAGACGGTAGATAGTGGACGTCCATACGACTGACTGTTGACTTGATGGATCGAAAATTGATTCCATTGATCCTATTATGGAGCGTTAGCAGACTAGATCAGAGCACCCTTGCAATGGCCGAGTTGTTTGATTCACCTCAACAGCAATCCATTGACATCTTCCTATAGGAGCGGCTTTCCCAATCAACTTCACTCGCCAGCGTGGTAGCCAGCGGAATAGAAGATAAGCAAAGCCGCCGGTCAATATGCACAGAGCTATGTAAAGAGAAAATCCCCATGCACTGGTTGAAAAACCTGCAAAGACCACTGTAAGGTCCTCTGATGTAATGTATACTTTCTGATTTAGTCGGCTGCCAGACCTCCGGTCACGATCATATGAGCTCGCAGAGAGGTATCGTGAGAGGAGAGGATGCTCTGCCGAGTCCCGCGAATGGGAGAGTCTCTTGGAAACAAAAGAAGCCCTTCTGGACTCGACTTCGGCCTCGGTAAGCCCGTCAATTGACTCGTCGTCAATTGCTGAGTCCATATGCTCCGCCCCATCCTCCACCGCATCCTCTTGTGACCATTCTGCAAAGTCTTCTCCGTCCTGGAAATAGGTGAAGCTGACAGTCGAGCCTGCTCGGTCGCGACGGTGTGCGAACGACACCACGCTGGATGGAATGCTTTCTGAGATAGGGCCATCGAAAACCTATATTTCACTATTAGTACTGCTCTGAATCCCACAATGACGCTGTTCGGCTTTATCATACCTCGTGTCGAGCCATTTCCACATCAGATACCACGCTCACACTAAAGCTTGAAGTCAGCAACATATTGAAGAGGCAAGAGGAGGGCATTTCAACCTGCTCCGGAGGGAGTCCCGGCGAAGGCTTGACCGAGGCATAGCGACGCCGACAGGGTCTCCCGGTGGGGATGAAGGTCGGCTACTACTAGCCATAGTGATAGTGCCCGCAGCAGTGTCCCAGGAATTCGCGTTCTGCGTAGATTCGTGATTTCCTGGCTCCTTTCAGTGGATTTTGACGTTTTCCAAGTGCGTATGAATGTGCTGATTAGGTCGAGGACATTATTCCGCCGTCCCAAGTACTTCGACGAGTGCGACTGATAGCGGAGCTCTTGTGGTTTTCCGGGGACTATGGTATCTCCACGTGACACGATAAGGTCACGACCGCGGATTGGACTCGGAGTTAGTAAGCATGACCATTCCTTTTTAGGTAGGAGGGGCATGAGTCAGATTAAGATCTATACAATTTCACCTACAATCATAGTATAATCTGGTCATGATCTGGATATAGTCAAATTTTAAGACACCTCAAGTGCTAGTTCGGGTGCTATGCTAGTACCTGATACTAAGTATGTATGTAGTGCTCGACTTGGTACCGGATGATCGATGCAGGGTATGTATTACCTTGCAATTATTGAAGCCTGACATATATATACCATCATCCTCTGGCACCTGGGCAGAACACGATACTATCACCTAGGTATGTATCAGCCACACTGCCCATGTGGTACTCGTCCACAACATTTTGAATGTACAGATGAGACCTGATCATATCACTGCCAGTGAATAAATAAAGTTCATATATCAAACTTCTACTTTTCATCCATCATGATGGATCATTAAATAGTAAACGTTATATAATATTGTAGTATTACTTCTGTACATGCCCCTAACCCATGTTTCTAAATTTAACCATGGATGGCAAAACGGGGTCGCAACCCACGAACTTTGGGTCCAGAAGCGAAGAATCTGGCTGAACCAATGATTTTAACGGATGGGAAGATCTTCAAGAAAATTGGAAAAAGGAAACCCCATTCCAGTCTTGTACTGAGTCACCTAGATCTATCAATTTGATTTGATAGATATACTACGTTATATCTAGGTAGCATTTGAGTTATAGATATGCATGTCATGAATCATATAAATACATAATAAGTAGAAAAGGTATATAACTAAGCTAATTCAATATTTTCTTCCGTTGACACCCGTTTTCTTCTATAACCTTCTAGTCTTCTATTCTTTCAAGTCCGATTACAAAGGTCCTTTTTTTTGCCCCTTCAAGATCGACTTAACCATCATTGATTGCATTCTGAAATTAGTGGAAAATAAATAGAAACTTTCTAGAAAAACAATCGAAAAGTAATTGGAACTTGAACAAATTATTTAATACATTATAGATATATAAATGGTGATTGTATAAGTTGAGTTAAAGAGGGGGCAAGTTGTTGGGAGTGCAAGTTTTCAACCAGAACCGCGTCCCGCCAAGCCCCTCCGGGCCACCAGCGCTAAGGATCCCACCATCCAGACTCTCTCACTCCTCTCTCCCAAAACTCCACGACTCATATCAATTTTCTTCTCCCCTTTTCTCCCCCTAATCTCCAACTCATCTTCCCTTTCCCTTATCCTCTTTCCCCCGCCATCATGTCTGAGCCCATCAGGAATAAGAAGGCCGATTTCCCGGTCGCTCCGTAAGGATTTCCCCCTTCCCTTGACCGCTTATCGCCTCCCGAGAGTAAAAACACTGAGTGAAAAAAAAATATACAGGACCCCGCAAAACACACCGGCCAACAATGCACCCATCTCTTCTCACGCCCAGCAGCCTGGTGTCTCCAGCATCAAGGAGGGTAAGCGTTAAATGCCTTTTCCTTCATTTCCATTTGTAATATCAGACTTCTAACTACGTTGCGTGTTCTCAGAAACTCTGGACAGCGCTACTGCCGCCTCACTCTTCGCCCGTAACCCCGCTCTGGTCTCGATGATCCAGGGTAAGCTGGGCCAGCTCGTTGGCCGCTCATCCGGCTACATTGAGTCTCTTCCTCCCGTTGTCCGCCGCCGTGTGGCCGGTCTGAAGGGTGTTCAGAAGGAGCACTCTCAGTTGGAGGCTCAGTTCCAGGAGGAGGTCCTGGAGCTCGAGAAGAAGTTTTTCGCCAAGTTCACCCCTCTGTACGAGCGTCGTGCCGCTATCGTCAACGGAAGCCAAGAGCCCACTGAGACCGAGGTTGAGGCCGGCAAGGAGGACGAAGAGGAGGATGAAGAGGAAGAGGGCGAGACCAAGGAGACCGAGGAGAAGCAGGAGGAGGGTGAGCCCACAAACGGTATCCCCGAGTTCTGGCTTTCCGCCATGAAGAACCAGATCTCGCTCGCTGAAATGATCACCGAGCGGGATGAGGAGGCTCTCAAGTACCTCACCGACATTCGCATGGAGTACCTCGACCGCCCCGGATTCCGCTTGATCTTCGAATTTGCCGAGAACGACTTCTTCACCAACAAGACCATCACCAAGGCCTACTACTACAAGGATGAGAACGGATACGGCGGTGACTTCATCTACGACCACGCCGAGGGCTCTGAGATTGAGTGGAAGGAGGAGAAGGACCTTACCCTTCGCCTCGAGAGCAAGAAGCAGCGTAACAAGAGTATGTGAAGATTTCCATCACCTGCCTCCCATATCATATTCGATCATATGAGCTAATGAATTTCACAGACACCAAGCAGACCCGCGTTGTCAAGATCAGCGTGCCTACCGAATCTTTCTTCAACTTCTTCGCTCCCCCGCAACCCCCCACCGAGGATGACGAGTCCGTTGCCAGCGACATTGAGGAGCGCCTCGAGTTGGACTACCAACTGGGTGAGGACATTAAGGAGAAGCTGATTCCCCGTGCTATTGACTGGTTCACCGGTGAGGCTCTTCAATTTGAGGAGTTGGCTGATGACATGGACCCCGAAGACTTTGAGGATGATGAAGATGAGGATGAGGATGAGGACGATGAGGATGATGAGCAAGGATCAGACCACGATGTGGAGGATGACTCCGATGATGAGGTAAATTCATATAAATCTTGCTTTACCATTTCTGGACTCATACTAATACTTTTATCTAGGATGGCGCTTCTAAGCCCAAGAAGGAGGCTGCTGAGTGCAAGCAAAACTAGAATGATTTGAAAGAACCAAAACCCCAAAATGTTGTCCTCTGGTCAGCACACGGCTTACTCGATATGCTTCATGGAAATCGTCGTTGATGTTATTGCTATGTTTCCTTTTTTTCTTTTTCTTTTTTACTACCTTTTTCCCACTTTTCCACTGATGCCTCTGTCTCCCTTTGCACTGCGTGAACTTGTCTCTACTTAATATCTCTCTCAATCAATCAACATAATCAGTGTGTAATGCATATTGCCCTCTTGTTAAAGAGGAAGCTTGAACAGGAGAGAGCATACATTGATCTAGGCGTTTAGGAGACATGGTCTTGATAGATAGTACCCTGATCTTTTAGAATGACTTGAACGAATATTGGCTTATGATTATTCCTTTGTTCTCATCTTTATTCAAACAAGTTATATAAAATCATGCATAACCCCTGTAAATCACTATAAATCACTCTAAATGACAGCAAATCGGAATATAAGACCCCGTATGGAAGAGGATGGCGGTGACAGCTGTGGGGGCCTGTGGCGCGGCAACCCCAACTTAGTCCGAAGCTCTCGCTCCTTCAGGGGCTCTCTCGCTAAAACAAGTGTCACTAACAACTTTCTTCTCATTTCTCTCCTTTAAACCTTCTCGCGACCCCCTCCCCCCCCCAACCTTTATTTCTTTTAGATCATGAGTCGGTGAGGGGTCACCGTGAGACCCCTTGTCTTTGGACTGTTTGTGATTGATTCACCCTTCTTTGCCCCCCTTTGGATACCCGAGCCCGCTTCAAAGCCCGACCGCTTTCTTTAGGCGCTTTGATTCTGTTTTAATCTATCCTTTCTACACAAATACTCGGAACGCCGAACGCCGGTCATTATGGCGCATATCTATGAAGTTGGAACGAGGGCCTGGCAGCCCGATCCGACAGAAGGATGGGTTGCATCCGAGGTCAAGGAGAGACTAGTTGATGGAGAAAAAGTCCAACTGGTATTTGAGTTGGAGAATGGCGAGGTGTGTTTCCTCACAACAATTTTGAAGAGACTGTCTATTAAAGTTCAAAAAAGTATGCTGACCATAGTGCGGTGATAGACCAAAACCGTGGAAACCACGCAGGCCGAATTGCAGGTCGATAACAATGCGAATCTGCCACCTTTGATGAATCCCGCGATGTTGGAAGCGAGTGAAGACTTGACAAATCTATCTCACCTGAATGAGCCCGCTGGTTTGTGCCGCCGCAAACTGAAGACACTGTTCCATCGACTGACGGCCTCGAAGTCCTACAGGCTATTAAACTCCGCTATGCACAGAAGGAAATATATACTTACAGTGGAATCGTCTTGATTGCGACAAACCCGTTCGCTCGAGTCGACTCTCTCTATGTTCCTCAAATGGTTCAGGTGTATGCCGGGAAGCAGCGTGCATCTCAGGCACCTCACTTGTTCGCTATCGCGGAGGAAGCTTTTGCGTAAGACTGAATATTGGATATGCCTTGTATTTGAACAGAGCATCATTCTAACAGAACTCTTGTGTATAGTGACATGCTTCGGGATGGAAAAAACCAGACAATTGTGGTTTCCGGTGAATCAGGTGCTGGTAAGACCGTGAGTGCCAAGTATATCATGCGATACTTTGCTACTCGTGAGTCTTCGGATCAGCCTGGAAAATACACCACGAGCCGAGCGGATGCAATCAGTGAGACGGAAGAGCAGATTCTGGCGACAAACCCTGTCATGGAGGCCTTCGGAAACGCCAAAACTACCCGTAACGACAACTCCTCTCGATTCGGAAAGTACATTGAGATCATGTTTGATGAGCGGACGAATATCATTGGCGCTAAGATCCGGACATACCTGTTGGAGCGATCGAGACTGGTCTTCCAGCCCCTCAAGGAACGTAACTACCACATCTTTTACCAGCTTGTGGCCGGCGCAACCGACGAGGAGAGACAGGAATTGGGACTCTTGCCAGTGGAAGAGTTCGAGTACTTGAACCAAGGCGGTACACCAATTATCGACGGTGTTGATGACAAGGCTGAGTTCGATGCGACAAGAAAGTCCCTGGCTACAATCGGTGTTGCAGAACAATTCCAGACTGAAATCTTCCGTATCCTTGCAGCCCTGCTGCATCTCGGTAATGTGAAAATCACCGCGACTCGCACAGATTCTCAACTGTCATCATCCGAGCCGTCCCTTGTGCGTGCCTGTGAGATGCTGGGAATCGATGTCAATGAATTCGCCAAATGGATCGTAAAGAAACAGTTGATCACACGAGGAGAGAAGATCACCTCCAACCTCACCCAGCAGCAGGCTACTGTGGTCCGAGACTCTGTGGCCAAGTTCATTTACTCCAGTCTCTTTGATTGGCTGGTAGACAAGATCAACAGGGGCCTGGCAACAGATGAGGTCATTGAGAGAGTCAAGACTTTCATTGGTGTTCTGGATATCTACGGTTTTGAGCATTTCGCCAAGAACTCCTTCGAACAGTTCTGTATTAACTACGCCAACGAGAAGCTGCAACAGGAATTCAACCAGCATGTGTTCAAGCTTGAGCAGGAGGAATATGTCAGGGAAGAAATTGATTGGACTTTCATTGATTTCTCTGATAACCAGCCCTGTATTGACTTGATTGAGGCAAAGCTTGGAATTTTAGCTCTTCTGGACGAAGAATCCCGACTCCCCATGGGCTCAGACGAACAGTTCGTTACTAAGCTTCACCATCACTTCGCCGCCGATAAACAGAAGTTCTACAAGAAGCCTCGCTTTGGAAAGTCTGCTTTCACTGTTTGCCATTACGCCGTTGATGTTACCTATGAGTCAGATGGTTTCATTGAGAAGAACCGTGATACCGTGCCCGATGAGCATTTGGGAGTGCTGCGCAACTCCTCAAATTCATTCATCAAGGAGATCTTGGATACAGCGGCTGCTGTCCGAGAGAAGGACTCGGCATCTATGTCTTCTAAGCCAGTTGCAGCCCCCGGGCGTCGAATCGGCGTGGCTGTTAACCGGAAGCCAACTCTTGGTGGTATTTTCAAATCTTCTCTGATTGAGCTCATGCATACTATCAACTCCACCGATGTGCACTACATTCGTTGCATCAAGCCCAACGAAGCCAAGGACGCGTGGAAATTCGAGGGTCCTATGGTTCTTAGTCAACTGAGAGCTTGTGGTGTGTTGGAAACCGTCAGAATTAGTACTGCTGGTTACCCTACTCGTTGGACCTATGAGGAGTTTGCTATTCGCTACTACATGCTTTGCCACTCTTCTCAATGGACATCTGAGATTCGTGATATGTGTCATGCCATCCTGCGTAAGGCCCTGGGTGACGCGAACCACCAGCAGGATAAGTATCAGTTGGGATTGACCAAGATTTTCTTCCGAGCGGGTATGCTTGCTTTCCTGGAGAACCTGCGAACATCCCGATTGAACGAATGTGCTATTATGATTCAAAAGAACCTGCGATGCAAGTACTACCGCCGCCGTTACCTGGAGGCCCGAGAATCTATTCTCACCACCCAGGCTTTCATCCGTGGATTTTTGGCGCGCCAGCAGGCACAGGAGATCCGTCGCACCAAGGCTGCGACAACGATCCAAAGAGTGTGGCGTGGTCAGAAGGAGAGGAAACATTACACCCAGATTCGAAAGAACTTCATCTTGTTCCAATCTGTCACCAAGGGATTCCTCTGCCGTCGTAACATCATGGACTCTATCAACGGCAATGCTGCTAAGGTTATCCAGCGGGCCTTCCGTTCATGGCGCCAATTGCGAGGTTGGAGGCAGTACCGCCACAAGGTTACCATTGTACAAAATCTGTGGCGAGGTAAGCAGGCTAGACGGGCCTACAAGACTCTGCGTGAAGAGTCTAGGGATCTGAAGCAGATCTCTTACAAGCTGGAGAACAAGGTCGTTGAATTGACCCAATATTTGGAGTCATTGAAACGTGAAAATAAATCCCTTGTTTCTCAATTGGAGAATTATGAGACTCAGCTGAAGTCCTGGCGAAGCAGACACACTACGTTGGAAGCTCGCGCTAAGGAACTTCAAGCAGAGGCTAACCAGGCGGGTATCACTGGAGCCCGCCTAGAAGCCGTGGAGGAAGAAATGAACAAACTCCAATCCAGCCACTCCGAAGCCCAAGCTACCATTAAGCGTCTCCAGGAGGAGGAGAGAGTCTCTCGCGAGGCTATGCGCGTGACGAACGAGGAGCTGGAGAGTCTTAAGTTGCTCAACGGTGATCACGAGAAAGAGAAGTCGGTTCTTCGTCAACGTGTCTCTGAGCTGGAGGAGGAATTGGAAGTCGCCAAGCGATCTGTGCCTGTCAACGGTATCAACGGGGAAGTACCAAACGGTGTTGCTGCCCCAACCCCTGCCACCGGCTTGATCAACCTTGTATCTTCCAAGAAGCCTAAGCCTCAAAGACGCAGCGTTGGCGCAGAGAAGATCGGAACTGATCGCTTCAGCGGCGCCTTCAACCCACGACCTGTCTCTATGGCCATCTCTGGCCTTGGAGCTGCTCGCTCATTGGCTGCGACTTCACCTGGACTGGATTCAGTGGAGGCGGAGCTCGAGCAGCTGCTCTCTGAAGAGGAGGATCTGAATGACGAAGTCACCATGGGCTTGATCCGAAACCTCAAGATCCCTCTGCCCAGCTCAACCCCGCCACCAACCGAGAAGGAAGTCTTGTTCCCTGCGTACTTGATCAACCTTGTGACTTCGGAAATGTGGAACAATGGATTCGTTAAGGAGTCTGAGCGCTTTTTGGCAAATGTTATGCAGTCCATTCAGCAGGAAGTCATGCAGCACGACGGAGATGATGCAATCAATCCCGGTGCATTTTGGCTTTCGAACGTGCATGAGATGCTGTCATTCGTATTCCTCGCTGAAGACTGGTACGAAGCCCAGAAGAGCGACAACTATGAGTATGATCGGTTGCTGGAGATTGTGAAGCACGATCTGGAGAGTCTGGAGTTCAACATCTATCACACATGGATGAAGGTGTTGAAGAAGAGACTGTATAAGATGATCGTTCCAGCCATCATTGAATCTCAGTCTCTCCCCGGTTTCGTCACCAGCGAAACGAACCGATTTCTCGGAAAGTTGCTGCCTTCAAACAACAACCCTGCTTACAGCATGGACAACCTTTTGAGTCTTCTGAACGGTGCCTACCGAGCCATGAAGGCGTTCTATCTGGAAGACACCATCATTTTGCAGACTGTCACCGAGCTATTACGCCTTGTCGGCGTGACTGCATTCAACGATCTTCTTATGCGACGAAACTTCCTGTCGTGGAAGCGTGGACTGCAGATCAACTACAACATCACACGAATTGAAGAATGGTGCAAGAGTCATGATATGCCAGAGGGAACTCTGCAACTGGAGCATTTGATGGTGAGTATTTCCGACTCAATAATTTTACATTGAAATTCTAACAACGAAACAGCAAGCAACCAAACTGCTTCAGCTCAAGAAAGCGACCCTGAATGATATTGAGATCATCCAAGATATTTGTTGGATGTAAGTGACACTTTATCATTGCTTGGACAAAAACAAGACTGATCTGTTTAGGCTCTCACCGAATCAAATTCAGAAGCTCTTGAACCAGTACCTTGTAGCGGACTACGAGCAGCCCATCAATGGCGAGATCATGAAGGCAGTTGCTTCCCGAGTCACGGAGAAGAGCGATGTGCTCTTGTTGACTCCTGTTGATATGGAGGACAGTGGACCCTACGAGATCGCCGAGCCACGAGTCATCACAGCGTTGGAGACTTATACACCATCTTGTAAGTGACCTAGATCAACCTCAACTTATATTACTTCTTCTAACCATGATAGGGCTTCAAACCCCGCGACTGAAGCGGTTGGCCGAGATAGTCTCGGCACAAGCGATGGCACAGCAAGAGAAGTTAGAGGTAGAAAATGGGGTGTTGGAGGAGTAATTCTGTATTATAGACAATGTTTCATCATCTCGTTGGGAATTTCTGTGAGCTACGGATTACGACATTTCAACACGACCTTTTATGCCTGGGGGACTTGATACAGTGCATATGATTTGGGTACAATCATGAATTTCTTTGATTTATGTCATTAGTGTAGATTTGAACTAAAGTACTTAGAATTCTATGGAGTTCAGTGTCTTACTACATATTACATACTACATAATATCACCTGGGCAGTGAGCGGTGTCGGTATTAAGGTAGATTATAATCATAATCAGTTACGGGATCCACATTTTCATCTTAACATCCCACTTCAACCAAGTCATTAAAAAACCAAGCTCATCATGACTCTAACCAAGATCAATTTCATCACCGGAAACAAGAACAAGCTCTCTGAAGTAAGAGCTATCTTGGGCAATGTGATCGAGGTGGATAACCAGGAAGTGGACGTTCCAGAGATCCAGGGTACGATAGAAGAAATCGCCATTGAGAAGGCTCGTCGTGCCGCCGAAGCTGTAATTGATATTATCACTGATATTTGAAATGAATGATTCTAATTTGTCTAGATCAATGGTCCTGCCTTGACTGAAGATACTGCGTTGGAGTTTCACGCTCTGAAGGGTCTTCCTGGACCGTACATGTGAGTCATATACCTAGCCCTGGAGTACATCAGTGATGAGATAATGTACTAACTGGTTTATAGTAAATCATTCATGGAATCTCTCGGTCATGAGGGTTTGAATAAGATGCTCGATGGGTTCGAGGATCGCACTGCTGAGGCTGTTTGCACTTTTGCTTTCTGTCGGGGACCTGGTGCGGAACCTATTCTTTTCCAGGGACGTACTGAGGTGAGTACAACCACAATTGAGATGTTTTTATTCGGCAGCTTTTCTGATCTTTAATAGGGAACTATTGTTCGTCCTCGGGGTCCTACTAACTTTGGTATGGATTTGTTATTCGTTACTCTATTGAAATCAATATTAACTGCGTTCAGGATGGGATCCTATTTTCGAGTACGAGGGACAGACATATGCCGAGATGGACAAGCAGGCAAAGGTATACCGCTATCCTTAAAAAGCATTGGTTATACGCATCGCTCATTCTAACATCTACAGAACCTGATCTCCCACCGATACAAAGCTTTGGTGAAGTTCCAGAAGTGGCTTGCAGAGGGTCAAGAGTAGATTGACAGGGGTATATAAATGGTCTAGCTAGACAGATCACAGAGAAGATAAAACCAAGTTATTCAGGTTTCACCAGACTTCAGGAGTCACTTCCACTTCCACTTCTAGCCGTGGTTCATTCAAGCCTCTTCATGTTGCTTCTTCCAATTCTCAACCCATTGTGACACCCTCGCGCAATTGCTATCCACATCACTATCCTTCTCACTATTCAATTCCACCACGATTTCCTCATCGTAAGCCTCACGGGCTTCTTCTAGAAGGACGCCGAAGATCTCCGCATCGAGGTTTTCTTGTAACTTTTCTTCGTGGTATCCTCTATGAAACAAAGTATTAGCGATCAATCATATTAGATGCGAATTGCGCATTCACGCACAAAGAGAAGAAGAAAGAAAAAAAAACTTTGCGCTGGAAGGAAACATACCTAGAAGCAAGACGATCATAATGAATATCGGTAGAAGGGCACCGAATCACAACAACGAGATCAATCCAAGATTTCGGAAAAAGATCACAAGCATGCCAATCAATCAAGTATCCACCCTGCAGAACCTCATCTTCGATCGCATCGAGTAACTAAAAAGCAGAATGTAAGTATTCGCATTCGCATCCGTAGACCCCACCAAACCCCGCGGAGAAAAAAAAAGTCCACACTCGACCGACAAACTCAGACAAGAGAAGAGAAGGCACAAAGAAGAAACAAGTATAGGCGAAGTAAAACCTACCTTATCTTCATCGACAACCCAACTCTTTCGCTCCTCGTCAAATGATTCATAGCAATCACGATCCTTAGCGACCTGGTTCACGGATAGGTGCTTCAATCCGGTTTCCTGCGCTAGTTGCTCACAGTGAACGGTTTTTCCCACGCCGGGGGTACCGGTGATGATCACATTCGGAGAGGTTCGCATTATGGGTAGTCAGTGAGGGTATGGGAGGAGGGAAAGAAGATATTTTAATGTTAAGCTTGGAGTTGGAATTGATGCGTCGATAATTTGAATTGGGGGTTCCGCTTATCTTATCGGTACCTAGGTAGTGGAGAATGAGAGTATAGATTCTACAATATTCATTCAAGTTACTCGAATATTCATTTTTTTTCTTTCTTTAGAAATGAGTGAATTGAGTATTTGATGTGGTATATATTTCTATGATCCTTAATAATGTAATGAGAATTAAGCACTCGTGCCTGGAGTAGTACTGGGTATAATAGCACTAGGTATAGGTGAAAGCCTAATAGAATTGGTCAGAAATCAGAGCATAACCCAGTAAGGAAGTCTTGAAAGAAACTCACTTGAGAAGTTCGAAGATTTTGTATTTCTGCAAATAGGATGCACCTCGTCGGTACGCTTTTAGCAGACGTCCAGGATTATTGGATCGAGCAGACGTGCCAATAAGGCGTTGCATGGCCGGTGAGGTCTTGAACATGGGATCAAAAACTAGGAGATTGGCACGGCCATCATCCCGGATTTCGAATCCAATGATAGTCATTGAGTGTCCTGAACAGTCAGATACAAGGACATTTTAAGAGCAGGAAGTGAGACATACCCTGGTGCTGGAAGTAGATTGGTGGTAAATCTGTCACGAAGACTCGCTTCTCATCTTCCAATGCGATATTCGATCGGAAATAAGTTGCTACCTCCATGTAAAGCGCATCATATGCGCGGAGTGCACTGCTTTCGCTTGAGCTACTAGCATCGCACCTGATATCCAATCTTAGTTTCATCAACGTGCATTCCTAAATAGATCAAGATCAAACTCACGGAATGTCAAGGCTCATGAATAGCGCTTGTGCCTAGATTATACTCAGCATTCATGCTCCTCTCTTCCAACTCTGCAAAAATTCTCACCTCTGGCGTTCCAATGAACTTGCGTGTACCACGAATACCTCCGGTCTCCGTTCTTCCAGTACTATTGTATCCCATATCCCAAGCAGTCTCAATCTTATCCTGCAAGTCCAGAATTGTTGGCAATCCACTTGGAAAATGTTCATGCCCTGGCGCTTGTGCTTTGCGGATATAAGAAACAAGCATTTGGATATTTCGATAACCACAGAATCCACCCTCACGCTGCATTTTGCAGACATGACGAACCTTGGGTGAGCAGAGAAAGGCTCGCTGAACAGAGCTATCCTGTTCACAAAGTTTCGCAATAACGGGGATAAGGTTGTCAGTTTCATTCTCCACTTTCGTTTGTCGGGCTAGTCTGCCATCTGCTGTGATCTGGGTCTGCTTGGACGTGCGACCACCTTTCTCTAGCATTTTCTTCAACCACGATGGCATCTTTTTCTCGTGCGCATGTGGACCCAGTTCAGATCTCTAGTGATAATATTAGTATATGTACCATATATCTGATCCGAGTCAGGGAATGCATACTCCTAGTCGTTTTGCTCCATCGGGACCCAGTGTCCTTGGGGGGACTTCGCGCACGACCTGGTTTCGAGGTATTTGGACGCACAAAGCCTCTTTCAGAGTCTTGCTTGCCTCCTTTCTGCGCGACTGGTAGATCAAAAGCGTCTTCCTGGTCCGAGGAAGGGTCATAGTCATTTGAGAGGGGACCTGCTTCCATAAGGGAATGAGTTGATTCATTTTCATCTAATGCGATGCCCTCGGCAACATGAAGATCAAGATGTGTAGATAGTTCAGCTGTTGTGACTATTTCCCCACAGCCATGTGGACAATCCACATATTGGTCAGTTGAGTCGGATGTGGGTAGTGGTGATGGGGACGAGTTGGTGAGATGGGGCAGTGAGTCTGACTCTAGGCCAGTGCCATTTTCTGGGTGACAGAATTCAATATGTTGTTCCACAAAGCTGGCGTCCGAGTCGGTAAATGGACAGAAGGGACAGGATGGGTGATTTTGATCCATGTTTGCCAGTGGCAGAGAGATGCGGTCTCCGCTTTGTGATCAGGTCCTGAAAGACTGGAATTATTGATTGAACCACAGAGAATAGGTAGATGTGTGGTATTGAATTTGAATTCGGTTGATAGGATTGATGATCTCTCTAGGTTGAGGAGGTTCAAGTGTAGATTTTCTCGATATCACGGATTCACGGTGCCTGATGAGACTAATGCAAAACGTGGCTGTGACCCACTCCGTAGTAAGGACAAACGCCACTTTAAAGACTCCATATTTCTATATATAATATTTGTGAGAAATAATTCTACCTAGACAGATAGGATACTAAAAATAAATTGAGATTGATCAAAATAAAATTGAGACTAAAATAAGAAGAAGAAGAAGGATAAGATAAGAAGATATGGATAGTAAGGAAAGAACGTTATGTGGCAGAATTTACCTAGGTAGTATATACTATGTAGTAGTTTAGTAGTGCACATGGGCTATTGCTAGTTCAGGTTACCTTCTCCACAAAAAGAGCAATGACTTTCTAGTAATCAATCTACTCCGTACATTAGACAAGATATTCTAATTTAATGATTCACATACGTAGATGTTTCTATAAAGTTTAAAAGACCACAATACCCCCAAGAACATTCAAATGTTGTTCACATATGAGTCACCTATAGGTATAGGCCTAGATACCTACACATGTACAGAGTAGTATGGAATAATATATGCTGCTAATATGATCTATAGAGTGGTCAATATCACCATAATCGGGCCGTGAGACGTCAAATGATATAATTGACCTTCAATTGCTGCTTATTTCCTCACCTAAGGCCTCAATGCGTATTGTGGGGCCGAGTCGGGGGAAATCGTACCCAACGGCATAAACCTGGTTTTGAAGATTACCCGATCGATTTGGATAATCAAATTATGTACGGAGTACTCGGTGATATAGTGAGTTAAAGTGAAATTTGGATTGTCCCGGTTGAAGTTCCCTGGTTCTAGTCTTACTCTATAGGAACATTTGAATAACCCCAATTGCCCTATTCCATATACATAGCACCGTGACCTATAATTAAATAACTTCAATGTTATACGGAGTATATAACCTAAACTAAACAACGTCATTGGGGTCCGATGGCGTGATCTGAGAAATAAAGTAATTTGATTGGTTTAAATTCCTCCGACATAGGGGCAAAAAAAGGAAAGCGGAAAAACCCAAAGCGGAAAGTCAGATTTTTGCTCATATTGAGTGGTATTTACCTATGGTAGTGAAATACATAGTAAAATTATAGTGAGGACCCATGTTGACTCATCCCGGCAGAAAAAAAAAAGTAAATTGCCGCATCTGGCCCACTTCCCTCCGCTTTCGCTATAACCCCCCCCCCCCTCCATGGTCCTATGTTGACCTCTCCTTGTCTTTACTGGTGACATTGGCCATGGCTTCTCTTTCAGATTCATTGCCTGCTCCGGCATTACATAGTAATTGGGTGGTGCAGAAGTTCGGCGGTACAAGTGTTGGCAAGTTTGCTCTTAACATTATTGAGCAAGTCGTTCAGTACGTCCTTCCCTGTCTGCGTAATGCAATGCGTGCCCGAGCAGAGTATGCATATTTACATGATCAAAACTAACTTGCTTCTCAGACCGAGTCTCGCTGATAGCCGAGTCGCTGTTGTCTGCTCAGCCAGAAGTAGTTCCACCAAAGCAGAGGGTACAACAAATAGGTGAGTCATGTTCATTGAATCGCAGATTATACCATTGGGCCTTCAAGGATTACCAAACCTCGACTCCAATGTGCACTCCATATGGCCTTCAAGGTTCAGTCTTCTAACACACTCCAATAGGTTACTTCGGGCCGCACGCGATGCCGAAAACTCACAATCTCGGGAATACCTCACCTTAGTCGAGGCCGTCCGACTGGAACACGTCCAGGTCGCTCAGGAACAATTGAAATCGGTGGACCTCAAAGAGCAAGTGGTGGCCGATATCAATGCCGAATGCGAGCGAGTCCTCAAGGTCCTCGAGGCTGCCCAGACCCTCGGCGAGATCACTTCTCGTTGCGTCGACAAGATCATGAGTGCCGGTGAGAAATTGAGCTGTCGACTGATGGCTGCGTTCCTGCAGGACCGTGGAGTGGATTCACAATATGTGGACTTGGCGGATATAATTGATTTCCCTATTGGTGCCCATGGTCTCGACCAGGACTTCTATAATAGCCTGGCCGCCAACCTGGGCAAAAAGATCGAGGCCTGTGGTCACCGAGTCCCAGTAGTGACTGGATACTTTGGTACTATTCCCGGCGGCCTGCTAGATCAGGTGGGCCGTGGTTACACAGATCTGTGTGCAGCCCTCGTGGCAGTGGGAACTCACGCCAAGGAACTCCAGGTCTGGAAGGAAGTGGATGGTATCTTCACTGCGGATCCTCGCAAGGTGCCAACTGCCCGTCTCCTTCCTACTATCACCCCGGCCGAGGCCGCCGAATTGACCTTCTATGGATCGGAGGTCATTCACCCCTTCACCATGGAGCAGGTCATCCGGGCGAAGATTCCCATTCGGATTAAGAATGTGATGAATCCCAAGAACCGGGGCACCGTCATCTTCCCCGACTCAGCTGCAGAACTCACTCGTACTCCGGGTCATGATCCGAGATTGTTCCGCACTCGCAGTCCCAGCATAGCGCAGAAGCCAAAGCGACCAACTGCGGTGACCATTAAGCACAAGATCCTGGTGATCAACGTTCACTCTAATAAGCGGTCCCTCTCGCATGGTTTCTTTGCGGGAATCTTCTCCGTCTTGGATAAGTGGCGCCTTTCCATTGACTTGATCTCGACCAGCGAGGTCCATGTGTCCATGGCACTGCATTCCGAGATGCCGTTGCTAAATGGTAATGGACGGGATGATTATCAAGTCATTGATGATGACCTGAAGGGTGCATTGAATGATTTGAGCAAGTATGGCATGGTGGATATTATTCCCGAGATGGCTATTCTCAGCTTGGTAGGCAGGCAGATGAAGAATATGGTAGGGGTGGCCGGGCGCATGTTCACCACTCTTGGCGAGAATAATGTGAATATCGAGATGATCTCGCAAGGTTAGTTTGAAGACCCGCTTCCCCGTTATACCCCTCACATGGACCCTTGAAACTAATCCCCTGCAGGTGCAAGTGAAATCAACATCTCGTGCGTCATCGAAGAGCGGGATGCCGATCGCGCCCTGAACATCATTCATACTAGCATGTTCACTTTCCTGGAGTAGACCTTTTGAGTCGAAAAGTGCATTGTCATTTGTGATATCCCTTTGGGCCGGTTATTGTTCTTTTTTTCTCGGTTCTATTTTTCTTTCTTCTTCATCTTCTCTTTTCCCTCATGTCCTATTTCTTGTTCCCGGGATGATAGACAAAATTTGGCGTGCATTGCCCCTTTGATTCGCGACGAGGCTCATAGCTCCCCTAGTTCTTCTATAATTGAAGAGCTGAGAACCCTCGCATCCATCTGGTTGGATTTATTCTTGTCTTTTTGTTCGCAGCATGGACTTGGCGTTCTGCTTTATGATTATAGAAATCGTTTCATGATTGAATTCATACATGACATACTACATGAAATCCGATTGATCTCTGCAAGGGCATAGTGCCTGTTCCTGAAACCATGATTTGAACTCGATAAAGTTTTAACGTTCCTCGATAATCCAGGGCTCCTCGAGGCAAGATTGAATAATGTCGGATTCTAGGGAGAGGAAGGACGAGCAAGGGATGAGTGGTCTCAGTTACATCCGCATTCCAGTGAAGAGTGAAAGGTGTCAAGAATATTGATCAGAAATTGTACTCTGGACTTTATAGATAGAAGAGTAAAAAATTTAAAAAAACAAATTAGAAAAAAAATTTAAAAAATTAGGAAAACGATTGGTGTTGAAGTAGTGAAAAGATGACCATATCCACGTATTGATCGTAAATCAATTGGATATGGCTTAGTAGGAGAATCAGTGGATCCTTCATTAGCGTTGCATAAATTGTCGATCTTTAACGATTAGAATGTAAGAAGAAAAAGAGTAAGGGCCAATCTAATCCCTTCCTGTACATGAGATCGGTCTGGATCAGATTGTATTGTCAGGGTTTTACATCATAAATTACTTAGTTTAACATACTAAAACGCGTGACGCGTTCGCGTGATTACCACTACAATACCAGTATTCGGAAGAGGCGGTACCAGCTTACTACATCTTACTCCAGTACAAGACCATCTATCATCCTTCCTCTCCCCCCACCTCGAGGGTCTTTTAATCCACCTGAAAGAAAGACTTATTCATAGGTGAACCATCGAGGGGAGACAAAAGGGTCCTCATATCCAGTTCTGGGAATCCATCCTTGGTATCTCTCCTTCCCCCCCCCCCTCTCGCCTTCCTCTACACGGAGTAAAACCGGTTTCCAACCACCATTCCTGCACAGAATCAGCTTTTATCCCTTCAATCAATTTATCTTTACAGCTTCAACTTCCAGTTCAAGTTCAACTTCGTCCCGTGGATATTTCTCCCCACTGAAAAAAAAAATTGATTCCTGTAAAAAAAAATCTACGAATCTCGGGAAACTCGTGGTGATTCCACTCGCAAATACAAGCCTGATTCGCTCGGCTCCTCTTGGACGTGTTTTGAGCCGTCTTAGCGCCTGGGGGCCCAACGCTTGCCAACTCGACTGGTCGGGCTGCATGACGGCCTGAGGCTGGCTGATCACACTCCTCTTTGAGTCTCTGATTGGCTCAACAGGAAGTTTCTGCACGCCGTCACATCACTTTCGGGCGCTGACTCCGTCGGGTCCGCTATCCCCCGGCTTTGTTGCGATCAAAGAACGGAGAGGAATCGCGTTGAACGTTGTTTACGACGCGTCATATGGTCGCAACTGGTTGTCGACCACTTCCTGTCACCATTGTGTCTATCTAGATTATGGGATCGACGCGTCCTGCGCCCTCTGCGCACAATTCTTCGGTACTGGGCCCATCTGCAGCAGCGATCAAATCGCAGCCGCTTCTCCAACCCTCACCGCTACCACTGCAGCCCATTGAAAACTCATTCAATCCGCTGTCCCGGGGCCCGCACAGGCCATCGCCGACAAAACCTTTGCCCACCCAGGGCTCATATCCTGGGCGAAAACTCGGTTTCGTTCCCATCTCTGCTCCGGTGGCTCCCATGTTTACTACCGACTCTCCAACAAAGAAACCTCCCTTCTCTATCTACTCTCAACCTCACCCCTCGATGCCGCAGTCGGCCCTCTTCACTACCTTCTCCAGTATCAATCCTCAATCTTCAAAAGAAAACATTCATCCCGAGGACCCCTCCAATGGCAGCTTTGCTGACTTTCCCGAACCTTCCTATGATGCGAAGATTCTTCCAATGAAACGAACCCTCATGGATGCCGCGCCATTAAAAGAGCGGCCTGTGAAGAAGCAGCGACGCGAAGAAAGCCCGTTTCATCAATTGCCGGAGCCTCATGAGATGCCGCCCATTGAGGATGATGGCACCAAGCCGCCTTATAGTTATGCGACATTGATTGGCATGTCGATCCTTCGCGCGCCAAATCGACGCTTGACCTTGGCACAGATTTACAAATGGATCTCAGATACATTCTCGTATTACAAGAATAGCGATCCCGGCTGGCAGAACAGCATTCGGCACAATCTCAGCTTGAACAAAGCCTTCATTAAACAAGAGCGCCCTAAGGATGACCCGGGCAAGGGCAACTACTGGGCGATTGACTCTGGGATGGAGTTTCAGTTTCTTAAGGATAAGCAAGTTCGACGCGCCACAATGTCAAGCCTACCTCTCCCTGCGGTTCCTCCGCGAGATCTGATCCCACAGCCGCAAAGCGCAACAACGACGACCTGGATGGTTCCTCCCCCACCTCTTCACCCCCACCAACATCATCAACCTAGTCATAATAATCACAACCACCATCCCCGCCACCGTCCAGCGCCACCTCCTCCCCAAGTCTCTCCGCAGAATGATGACTTGTCGTCCGATGCCACTTTACCTGCATCTGATCCTGCTTTACAGGATGATGCGGACGAGGGCGTCCATGCGCCTGTTCACCCCCGCCACCATAATCAAGCACCCTTGCGCTCTTCTCCACCTCAGGCTATTCGATCTTCTCCCCCAGTTGCTCCCCCTCGCTTCTCTCGCCCAGGAACCCCTCCCACTCCTACTCAGGGCCCCACACCGGCTCCACGTCCACGAAAGCGCAAGTCTATTACCTTGAACGACAGTGGTTACTTCTCCTCCTTGGAATCATCTGCCTTGCGGCCGAATAAGGCTAGTCATATCTTGACATCAGATCTCGATATCGAGCCCCCACGTATCAAGCGTGGTCGTGCCGAGGAGGAAATTGCGCGAATCCGCAGTTCGTCGCATGATATGAGTCCTCGTCAGCCTCCCACTCGCAAGGATCCTAGCACACTGGTTGGCTCTTCGCCGCTTCGAGGAGCATATGTCAGTATGCTTCCTCCACCATTGACTCCGGTTATCAAATTCAAGAAGCCAGCCAAGCCTCCACCTTCAGTCTCCCCTAATACCAATCTTCGAAACCATCGTCGCAAGATCCAGCAGATGGTCAACTCACCCATCAAGCATCTGGGATTGACAGATGACCTGCCTTGGAGTCCTGCTTTCAATCTTCATGATGAGAGTTATACACCACACGATCACTTCCATACGAGTTTTGATGTATTCGCCGATTCAGCCACTGACCCCGTCTCATCTGCTGCGTATGGCTCGCCTGAGAAGCGTTCCACGAAACGCCAACGCACCGATGATGGAAGCACTGCTCTCACCGACATCACCTTGGCCAGTGTGAACAGTCGAGTCGGCGCGCCTTCTATGCCTCGTTCCAAGTCCGCCATCTTTCCGGAATCCCCTTCCAAGCTACCTGAGATTGGCCGCATTGGCGAGACAACTCAGGACGATTTTTTCTCGTTCCACCTTTTTGATGAGAGCAATGACAGCTCTGGCGAAGTAGACGGAGTTGATCTCCTGCAGGGGTTCCAAAAGATTGGACAACCTCAACATGACTTGTTGAAACCTAAGACGTTCCACTCACGTCCCCAGTTGAGTAGTCGCAACACTACTCTTTTCTAAGTCTGACCCAATTCTATTTTGGATGTGACTTAATGTTATTCATTCTCGGATTATCGAACCAAATGTCTCTATCCGAATCCCATGCGTTGATGTGTTACTTAGGCGATTTCTGTTTTATTCTTTTTGTTGTCTCCCCCTTTGCTATACATTGGGTGTATCTTTTGGCTCGATCTGAGCTCTGCGTTATTCTGTTTCACTTTATTCCTGCGTTCTGGACCACGGAGTTGGTATTTTCTGGATGTCACCAGGATTCGGTTGGGTGGTGTTTTTGTTTGGGAGTTTCTTGGGGCTGCGCCATAGCGCTGGTTCTGATTGTCCTTTTACCACCGAGCCCAGGATGGCCTGGTTACGACCTTAATGACGATGCTAAGATGTACATGAGCAAGCGATGGTTTTTCATGACTCGGGATTATCGGGGTTGGGATCTTATTCTTTTATTGCCCTGTGGAAGGGCAGGCGCATGGCATTAGTGTAGTAAATTTGAAATATTGATTCTTGTCTACAATGAAGTTCTCCTGTAATTGAGGGTATCTGATTTAGATGGTAATAACAATCATCTAGTAAGAGGGAAACGAAAAAAAAAGACATGTACCAATGCAACCCAAAACGCCATTTTCCAGACTGGTTTAGAGAAAAGAAATCCTCGTCTCACGAAGTAATAACCTCATAATATCCATAGCCTAATCGCTGCTGGAGCATCCGTGACAACCACAGCTAACACACTGAATGCTCTGATCTTCTTTCAGTTGGGCTTTGGGCACACGGCAGATACAGGTAGAGTTGAAATTTGTCTCTTTCGTCTGAACGCATCGAAGACAGCATAACTAGGAATGGTTAGTAACAATCCATACCAATGTTCAGGTATCATAGGAGTGTACAAGAACCAGTTCACCAAACCCAAGGAATGGCCATCTGGTGTACCCAACCCAAGTACATCTACACACCTTCTCATAGCCCTGCTTCTTCCACTTCGCAATCAGATTCGCATCGGCATATTTATTCTTCAATAACCAGTCATATAAATGTTTCGAGATAGCTTCTTTCTCATAATAGAGATCGTAGATGTATCGGGAGCCTAGCCGTCCATGTCAGTATCTACAGTCTCAAGGATCCGAGTGTAATATGGCGGGGAGATGAGGGGCACAAGCTTGCACATACGTTGATGGCTAATTTGAAAAATCGGCCAAAGAACCTCATACTTCTTCTTTCCCTCATGAGGCTCATTCTCAGCATCTTTCATCTTATTACTGAATTCCAGTAAGGTATCTTCTAAGTCTTCGAAGCCAGCTGGTGGTGGTTTGCGGTTTCGGGCTGTACGGATAGGAGGCATGATGACGACTTATCAAGGAGATTCCCAGGGGAAAAAACAATCGAAGAAGAAACACAGCTTTGAATAAAATGAAATCAGGGTGGAGAAACCTTGGAAGAAAGAAAAAGAGAGATATTCAGCTTTCAACGCCGCGCGAATCGTCATTTTTGTGCCGGTTGTCACCGCCTTGGAATTTGCGCGCATCTCAATTCCCCATGGATACTCTATCATATAGTCATATAATCACAGCCATCACCTCTCCTCCCTTTCATCACATTCTCACCAAAATGGATCCTCAGACTGCCTCAGAGCTCTCTAAGCTCAATGATGCCGATAAGAAGGAATTGAACCAGATCCTTGCCAATGAGGCTCAGAAGTCCAACATTCAGCAGAGTATGTAACCACCTAAGAAGCAAGAGCTCTACACTCTGCATTGAATCAATTCAGCTTCCCAATGCCTCACTTGAAAATTTTACTAAAGCTTAATATAGTGGTCCACCAGCTCAACGACGTTTGCTGGAAGAAGTGCGTCACCGGCAAGATTACCTCCAAGACCCTCGACCGTACCGAAGAAGCCTGTGCACAGAACTGTGTTGATCGGTGGATGGATACCCAGATGGGTATTCTGAAGCACTTGGAGAATATGCGTGGTCACTAAATCACCACCCTATCTCGCATCTCATCTCTCCTCTACTTTTCCGCCTTCCTACATCTCCGACATTCATCCGTGGCGTCCGGTAATCGAATCGAATCGAACGATTGGTTATCTTCCACGCAGGTTACAGCTTTCTTTGAGATTTGAACTCGAAATGCTGTTGTACTCCTCTAATTCGATTCTTGGGTTATTATCTACTTTGTAGATTTCAGAGTCGCTTGTATACTAGGTTCAAAATGCACGAATTTCTATTATACCATAACTTGTCATTATACAGGTACAGGTCGATAGCTCTGGCAATTGTCCAGATTGGTACCTACGTAGTATTGGGTCTGTTGTCGACATCTATGTAGAATGGTAGTATGTAGAGGCTACGACATCAAAGTCCATTGTACACAGACTCGGATTCATTATTGTATACTCATAGCATAGAAGTTCAAGTTCCGTTGACGGTGAACTGGTGGGTCAAGCTCACCTGGGCAGTACTTTAGTGCTTTACTCAGGTCATACTAAGTGCATGTGAGACTTGGACATAGACGGATCCAGGCCTGGCTATTACATTATACCAATACTCTCAGGTTGAGCTATTCATAAAACCATAAGCCATAGTCATTACAGGCTTCAGCCATTCTACCCACTACCATATTCTACAAGAACCGTTGTATGATCGTTCGAAAATGTTCTTTTTTAATCATTCAGCCCTCGTTGCTGCACACACAGCCAAGGAACTGGCTGGTATAGAGAATCACCGCGGTGGAAAACAAAGTTCGCCCAAACCCAAAGAAATCCCATTACCCTTAGACGATAGCCAGCTTGGTGGCGGCGATGTCGAGAGCATCAACGTCAGCGGTCAACCGGGCGAAAGCCTTCTTGGAACCGTCGGGGCTGTTGGAAAACGTTAGCCCAGATCCTTCACTCATTCCAACTTTTTTTTCCATAGCTAACTTACCGGACCAGGGTGTTGATCTTGACACAGTCAACGTCGTACAGCTTCTTAAGAGCACCCTTGATCTGGCGCTTGTTGGCCTTGACATCAACGATGAAGACGAGGGTGTTGTTCTCCTCGATCTTCTTCATGGCGCTCTCAGTGTTCAGAGGGTAGAGAACGATCTTGTGGGCGTCGAGAACGGGCTGGTGGGGGATCGACACACGGGGGTACTTGGGGGACCGCGAGAGCTGGAGGGTCTTGGGGCGGTGGAAGGTGGTCGAGGTGCGAACCTTGCGGGACTTGTGAAGCTGTGTGGGGAATTAGTATTTGCAGGTGGTGTGATAATTCATTGATTTCGGTTTCAACGTACGGAAGCACCCTTCACGACTGCCTTGGCGGCAGCATTGGCTTTGCCGGCTGTAGTAATCTCGGTCAGTTTCACGGTCATATTTGCGTGGCGTGCGCGAGATCGAGAATTTGCGATTCGGTGTGGTCGGAGACAGAGAGATTGTGTGGCTCGAAAAGATCAAGAGATGCACAAAGGAAGTTTTTTTTCTTTTCCTTTTTTTTTTTTCGTTCGGATGAAAGTCGCAAGTGTCGATAGTGGTGAATGTTCTCCGGTGGTCTCTTGATCTTCCCAGCTCTTGTTGTACAGTCTCTTTTTTTTCTCGGGGAAACTTTTTTGATGCAATATTGAAATATTGTCACTCCTCCCACAATCTCCGTCCGACACACAATTTCGTCGCAAATTCGCAATTGGGTATTTCAAATAACAATCCGATGGCATCAGAACATACCTTGCTTGGTGGTAGGGGCCATGGCTGTCGTCTCCGCTGTCGTGATGATTGTCGCAGTGTCAAGAGTCGAACAATTCAAAGTGGCTTCGCTAAGCGAAAACCCTACCACTCTGTGGGTCAGGTGATTGCTGACTTATCCCGGCTTAGTCACCCTCCGCATTCGATTTCTTTTATTTTTATTTTATATCAATAAAATATAGCGATAATGTTCATGTCAATCTAATTGGGGTTTATTTTTGTTCTTTTGTTCTAGAAAAAGAAATACATAATGCCCTCGAAGCGTCGGCAACGTCCCGGTCTACTTTCCAGTACTCGACCGCGGACAGTCGCAAAATCCAACCATGCTGCTCTATCAGCCAAGGCTACCCGGACTCTGATCCGCTCTCACCACCAACTCCTTAAGGCTAAGGCACAGGCTGAGAAAGCAGGAGACGAGGCTCTTGCAAGCAGTATCAATGCTCAGATTGAAGCTCGAGGCGGCTTGGAAAGTTACCAGGTTGCTAGCAAGTTGGGCCAATCTGGCGAGCGAGGCGGCGATTCCAGTAAGACTCTGATAGACTGGATCAAGCCGCAGCTCAAGGAGTGGAAATCAACATTGCCCAAGTTGCGAGTCCTTGAAGTTGGCGCATTAAGTACGAAGAATGCCTGCTCCAGAACTCCTTCCCTGGATGTTTCGCGGATCGACCTGAACTCTCAAGAGCCAGGTATCTTGAAGCAAGATTTCATGGAACGGCCATTGCCATCTACAGAAGATGAGAGGTTCCACGTCATCAGTCTTTCATTGGTGCTCAACTATGTTCCCGACCCTGTGGGTCGCGGTGATATGCTCAGCCGCTGTGTCCAATTCTTGACAGCTGAATGTCCCATTTCACTTCCACCAACTCTCTTCCTTGTACTGCCAGTGGCCTGTGTGGACAACTCACGTTATCTCACAGAAGATCGGCTTCTTGCCATCTTATCAAGTCTGGGCTTCGAGCTTGCACAGAGCAGGCGTACAAACAAGCTGATCTATCAATTATGGAACCATACGGGGCCAGGTTCGCCACAGGCTTTCAAAAAGGAGATGCTTAATCCTGGTCATACACGGAACAATTTTGCTGTCATTATGCGTGAAAGCTGATGGCTCTGTTATACTATGCGCCAGAAATCTCAAATACATACATCCCCTCCTCAACACTATACATGAAATCACTCTCCCGAGATCAGTTCCGCGGGCAGGAATGCCCAGACGGTTCCCACCGCCGCCAGAATCGTGGAAGTGATGAGCAGGAACCAATCCAAGATACGCTCGCGGGGACTGATTTCCTTCCCGAATATCTTCAGATAAAACGCCAAAGGGAAGATGATGCAAATGGTGAAACACAGGAAAGAGCCGAGGAAGGCCATGATCCTGTCGAATTCTGGGAATACTACAGCCAGTACAACGGTGAGAGCCACAGTGAAGACTCGAACCAGTGCTCGGATGAATGCTTGAACAGCTGGTCTATATGAAGACTGTGACCCAATTCCAACGCCACAGAGAACTTCAAATGTGGCTACTAGAGGACGGGCGCTGTATCTTGTCAGAAACTGTGTGGTGGATGTTCAGATAAAACAAAACTTACTTCAAAGGCACCTTGCTGAGTGGGATAATGGAGATGAAGATGATAATACAGACAGATATGACTCGCGGATAAGCATCTACGCTCAGAACATTCGCTGTGATTTCGTCGCGTACGATGTCACCAAACATGAGCCAGCCAATGATTGCCATGGAGCAGTCGAGGGAGAACTGTGAATCTGCTTAGCAATTATTTCAATGTGTTATCTTCACTTTTATGTGGTGTTCTTACTGTAAATAAGTATGTGACCTTGAGACTCTTTCCATATTTCTTTGGATGTCTCATATCGCGATAGATGTTCGGGAAAACACCATGTCCACCCCAAGGTGCTATTCAAGTTAGTCTTTGTCTATGCAGTAGGATATTATGGGATCGCCTTACACATGATCAGACCAAAACTGAGAGGGAGGGTAGCCCAATTCTCAGGGAATAGAAACGTATTCGCAGGTTTTTGAAGAGAGCCCGGAGAATCAGGCTTGATCAGACCATCAACGCATATAAGGATCACAACTGCGAATTCATCAGCAACACATTTTTACCCTCTTTGGGAGCGTACTTACTCGATGTGCAAGATATAATACCCAAGATACTGGTTACACTGAGGAATCGCAAGGGCAAGAAATTCAGTGGCACCAATACCAACCCACACACCATCTTCCATTGAAGAATGCTGAGTCCAGGAATCAGGGCATACAAGCTATCCGCGAAACAGAACCACCAACGCCACGCAGGCACCTAGCAATTCTAAACAGAAGAGGAAACTAGTAACCAGACGGGCATGGTGTCCAAAGCTAATATAAGCCAAATCGGCATACGTAACGAGGGTATGGTCCACGTCAAGACACTTGGCCAAGATCTTCGCAGTATAGGAAGTTGTCACAGCCGAGTAAATGAGGAAGCCAAGGCCAAGTACCCATCCAGAATGCTTCAAAGCAAGTGGCAGACTGAGTAGCCCGATTCCAATAAGCACATTCACCGAATTAAAGACGGTTTGAGGAACAGTTGATTGGCCTATCACGATATCCTCCTGTGTACCATCACCATGCTCCACATGCTTAAGGAGTAGAGGTTCCCGATCAGGATCTCCCAACCCATCTGTATGCGTCTGCTGCTCGATATGTAACTGGATAGCATTGCGCCGTGTTGATTCGCTCACTCGTGAGGAGATCGTCCCGTATGAAGTCGCAAAGCTTCTAGATAGAGAAGAGGCCAGGAGGCTAGATGTTGGGAGGGCTCGTTTGGGGCTCGCGTAGGTCTTCGTGGTATGAGCTTCGTCATCTTGTTCATCATCTTCGTCGTCCGAGAGCGCATGCCGTTCTACATCTTGTGGGCGGGAAATTCGGGGGGCATAGACCCCTCCCGTCGCAACGGCAAACTCATCATCGGAGTCTACCGAGACGAAGGATGAACGACGCGGAAGGACTTCGGGGAAACAGGCAGCTCTTTGCCATGAGCGAGCGAAATTGTCAATACTATTCACGCCGCCAGCTTGTCGAAGCCGAGAAAAAGATGATGATCTGCAAAGCGCTGTTAACGTACGATTCCGGGATTGATTTTCAGGTCCGCCTTGACAGGAACTTGGCTTGTCTTTTTTTTTCTTTTACCTTTGCCGACCCCAGTTCTCTGCCTCGACAATCGGGTTGTCCTCACTCAAGTGACCATAGTCGTAAGAACTAGGTGCTGGGGCTCTCCAGGAGCTCTGACCCACGCCCCATCTCTGTTGTTGATCTTCCTCCTGAGACATTTTGAGTGCTACAACAGCTCAAATGCCGAGAGAAATTGAGGACCCTGATCTCCTATATACAAGAGCTAACAGGGATACGGGAATGGGGCGGAAGGGGAATTCCTGTTTCTTTTCGTCGGGGTAGAGATAAGAAACAGGCAAGCTACCGAGCTCTGTGCATATGTGGGGTTCAAGTTGGAGGGGGGGCTATGATTCCCGATAAGGTCATAGTTTTACTGGTTTTACTGATTTTACTGGTTTAAAAGGGTTGAAGGTGGTTAATTTACTCCATACTTTTTCGTTAAATTTAATCTGGAGTAGGGAAATCTGGACTTTTGAGACTCCATAGATAAACATCTAAATGCGACTAAGTCACTAAGTCGAAGAACTAGACTTTATTCAGTGTAGTCTCCTGTAGGGGGAAGCGGGACCAAGGACCCGATTAGCATTCGGTTTGTTAATAGTGATAGTAATGAAAATGACAGTCAACTGGAAAATAAGAATTAATCAAATTTAAGCAAGTCAACTGGTTTTTATTATGAAAAGTTGTCTATATACTTTGTACCTATGTACCTTATGTAGTACTTGGTGTGTATGTATAACTTAGCGGGATGTCAGCACTCAGTAATCCCCCCTAATTTAATCCCAACCTCTACACCTGTGGCAAGTCTTTCGCTTATCTCCTTTTCTAACCTCATGACCACCTTGATACTTCCATAATGTCTCTAAATTCTCGGATCGGCTTTGACATTCGCCCATCACAATATATCTTTGGTCTTCAAGCCGTCCCGCTAGTGGCCAGCGGTATATACACACTGCTGTGGCCGGAAATCGCCGCCAACTATACAGGCTCTCCCTTACAAGGATTGGATCCTGGAACCATTCAAGCCATGAGGTAATCTGCCCAAGTGGAAGGAGATGTGTATATGATCTTCCACTCATAAACAATAGCTTGACGTCGGTGGCCCTGGGAACATGTCAGACCATTGCGGCCTATCAGAACAATATTCCCATGATGATCGCCGCCATACCCGGGCGACTCCTAGCGGCATTCGTGTTTCACCGAGCTGGTGGCTCCTGGCGCAAAGTTGCACCTTTTGAAGGTTTGATGGGGATATTTATTACGATCGGGGTGTACTGGACATGGTATAAAGACCGGAAAAGATAGGTGGGAATCTGAGAACAAACCTTGGAAGTCAGAGTACATATGTAGTAAGTGCACATATCCATATTATCATAATATAGTAGCGTCTTCTGAGTTGTTCACCTACTAGGTAGATATAACTGCCCAATATTTGAATATTTAAAAAATCATACATACGCACCTTACTAATCTCGTATAACTTTGTCCAGAATAAGCAAAGAACAAGATCATCATGCAGAATCTTCTTACGTACATACATATACTCCAGTCTTCACCTGGGCAGTTGACTCTCAAGTGCTGTAAACGGCAACTTCAAATGTTGAACTTGAATTTGACTCACTTCATTATTCTTCTCGTATCCATGGATCTCCTTGACTCACAAATTCAATATGTATTTGAATATAAAATAAATAAATAAAATTCTGATGTATCTAATACCAAAGATATTGCCCCTGGTCCACTATAAGGAATAAGTACCCAGTACAACGTCACTCGCTCCCCGTGGCTTACCTCAGCCCACTCACCCCTCCACGGTGCCTGAGGAAATTTGCTGTTGAACTCTACGTCAACCAGCAGAGGTTCGTGAACCCCCATTTTGATCCCCGATTTCGCCATTCCTGTTCCCATTGATCTCCGCCTAACATATTCCTCTTCTTTATAGGCCTGAAAACCAGAAAAAAAAGTCCAAGGAACTCAGTCTTTGTTCCTTCGGCCCCATTTTGAGCCCACGTTAGGCGACGACAAGGCCCAGGCCGATACTTTTTTTTCCCTTTGCTGGCAGTCCCCCTCGCATCGTCAAAATGAGCGCTCAACAACCGCAGGGTGCTGATGTGGAGAAGAACATTGAGATCTGGAAGGTGAAGAAACTGATCAAGCGATTGGAATCTGCCCGCGGAAATGGAACTTCCATGATCTCGCTCATCATTCGTATGACCCTGCCCAATATACACAAAGTTGGACCAATGCATTTGTCTAATTTTCACGACAGCTCCCAAGGATCAGATCTCCCGAGCGGCAAAGATGTTGGCTGAAGAATACGTACGTTGTCCGGATCTTTCAAAACTACCCCACCACACTCTCTAATACAGATCATAGGGTACTGCCTCTAACATCAAGTCCCGAGTCAACCGTCTCTCCGTCTTGTCTGCCATTACCTCCACCCAACAGCGTCTCAAGCTCTACAACAAGGTCCCCCCCGAATGGTCTGGTCGTCTACTGTGGTGAAATTATCACCCAGGAAGGAAAGGAGCGAAAGATTAACATTGACTTTGAGCCTTTCAAGCCCATCAACACCTCGCTCTACCTTTGCGACAACAAGTTCCACACAGAGGCTTTGAGTGAATTGCTGGAGTCGGACCAGAAGTTCGGTTTCATCATCATGGACGGTAACGGTGCGCTCTTTGGTACTCTGAGTGGTAACACTCGCGAGATTCTCCAGCGTCTTTCCGTTGATCTGCCCAAGAAGCACGTACGTTAAATCATCATCTTTTCAACTACCTTCATCTCACTGATTTATTACAGGGACGTGGTGGTCAATCCGCGCTGCGTTTCTCTCGTCTGCGTGACGAAAAGCGTCACAACTACGTGCGTAAGATTGCCGAGTTGGCCGTCCAGAACTACATTACCAACGACAAGGTCAACGTTGCCGGTCTCGTCTTGGCTGGTTCCGCCGATTTCAAGAACGACCTGAACCAATCCGATATGTTCGATCAGCGTCTGCAGACCAAGGTCATCAAGGTGGTTGACGTGTCTTACGGTGGTGAGAACGGTTTCAACCAGGCCATCGAGCTTGCGGCTGAGACTCTGGGTAGCGTGAAGTTCATCCAGGAGAAGAAGCTGATTGGAAAGTACTTCGAGGAGATCAGTCAAGATACCGGCAAGGTCTGCTATGGTGTTGAGGATACCCTGAAGGCTTTGGAGCTTGGTGCCGCCGAGACCTTGATTGTTTTCGAGAACCTGGATGTTACTCGTTACCAGTTGAAGGCCTCTGATGGCTCTGAGGTGATTGTCAACGCCACCAAGGCCCAGGAGGCCAACAACCGCGAGATGTTCGCGGACAAGGAGACTGGCACTGAGATGGAGGTTATTGAAACTAACACCTTCATTGAGTGGCTGGCCGAGTCTTACAAGGACTTTGGTGCCACTCTGGAGTTTGTCTCCGATCGTTCTGGTGAGGGTAACCAGTTCGTGAAGGGTTTCGGTGGTATCGGTGCCATTCTCCGATACAAGGTCAATTTTGAGCAGCTTGCCGACTACAGCGATGACGACGAGTTCTACGATGGTATGTGATTTCATCGCCGTATTTAATCGGTCCTTTGTTTTATCAGCCACTAACATATAATAGATTGACGGTCGAGCGACCTCGCAGAGAGCGAGGATGATAAGCCAGAAGCTCCCTCGGCGAGTGTTCTGACGGCTCGCCCCGTGGATCATGAAGGCAGCTCCAAGACTGGAACCAAGGCATCCGTAAAGGATTCCTTCTAAAAGCCGTTCCAAGCTTCATGAAGCTGCTCAGAGGTATGCAATCAACCTCGTCACTCTACAATGACCAATCCATTCTAACTCTTCACAGGGTCATCCAAGCTCCGTAATACCCACTGAGGTAACTAAGATGTAAACTGCAATTTGAAAGATTGGATACGATTCTCGCTATCTTTAGTCCCCCATTGCTGTCTGCTTGAAATGTAGCGAAGCAGGGGGGGACTTTGTTTTCTGAGCCGTTGTTCCAGAATGTCTCGTCCTGGTTCCTTCGTTTATGTTTCTCGCGCTCGTTATAGTCTGAAAATACATTCGAGAGGCTCGTTCTGCTTCTTATATCCAGTTCATTTTGTATACCCGGTGTACATGGCACCATAATTCTATATACCCGAAATGCTCCCGCTAGTGGTGCTGATCTCACATCATAACTCATCAATATAACAACAGATGTCCCTTCCCAAATGAATGCGAGATCTATGCAGATTGATCCAACTGATCCTTCCAAGTTCCTAAATCCCTGCAATACTCTGTAACATCCCTCAGATCCTGCAAAGCCTTCACAACAGCATCTTTGTTCTCATCCGACGGTGTCCGACCACACTCGACAAAGAAAATATACTGCCACGCGCGCTTCAAACTGGGTCTCGTATTTATAGTCGTAAGATTCAGACCATGCTTCTTGAAGATAAGCAGCGCTTCCGCCAACGCACCAGGCGAGGAGTGATCAATCGAGAAGGTAATCAACGTCTTATGCGTACTATCATGCACCGGGATCTCCGCCGATGTAGGCGCATTCGGCTGTTCCAGATCCAACTGTGCCGTTTTCTCCGCAAGGACATTCCTCAGGATAAGGAAACGAGTCGTATTATCCGCTCGATCCTCAATGTTCTCTTTCAAGATATCCACACCATGGAAGTCCGCCGCAAAGCGACTCGCAATCGCCGCAGCTTTCTCCTCTGGATCCTTTGAGACTATTTCAGCGCCTTTAGATGTTGATGAGACGTCCTGTCTTTCAACACCCTTGAAATATTGTGACAGCACTGATTCGCACTGTCCCCATGCTTGTGGGTGTGTGTATAACTTTGTGATTGACCCATCATATCCCGACCATCCACATGGATACGAGCCCCTGTGTACCAATAAACAGTGGTGCACTGTCAAATAGTACTCGCCACAAACTTTGACATCTTTATATTGATTGTTTCGGTCTGCAAGGAGATCGAGTGTTTGGACGACAGAGCCATTTGTGGAGTTTTCGCAAGGAATCACGGCATAGTCTACTTTTTGGCTTTGAAGTGCGGCGAAGGCATCGGCGAAGGATAGATGGGGGATCAAATCGGCCAATGTCCTACCGAAAGACTCGGCGGCTGCCTAATACAGGGATTATCGGTTAATCGGGAAGATAATTGTGGTTGTAGGACAAAATTTCATTGTCAAGTGTGGGGTTAAGTTCAGTTTCATACCTGGTGTGAGAAAGAGGCTAGCGGGCCAAGAAAGGCCACTCTTAAACGGTCCATAGATGCGATTGAGTATGGAAAGAATATTTTGAACAAGAACGAGCTTTTAAGAAAAGAGCCCAATGAAATATTGAGTTCCCCCTGCGTTGTGAGCTATTAGCTGTTTCTAATCCAATACTGGACTTATCACAATTTCTCCAATTCCACCCGAGCGGTGTGGCGGAAATAAGCAAACAAAGCAAACAAAGAGATAGCTTCGACCTTCTTATGATCTATCAACCTCTTTTTTACCTCAATATGTCCATGAAGAATAGTTTCATGCACGGCTTGCTCAAACGAGCAATACAGACTCGAGCTTACACCTCGCTCTCAGAACGTCTACACCATGACCTGACGACGCGGAAGATCCCACTCTTCTTCGACTATCTACATCCTCAGCAATCCCACCTGTTGAATCTCTCTTTGCAGGGTATTCTACCGCGTTCATTAAATCAGGATGTACCGTCAAGTTTACCCTCAATAAGAAATCCGATTCCATTACCCATAGGACACCACCTAGTCTACTTCCCGCCGCAGGTATCCCTTTCACAACTACTTCCAGATGGCACGGACATATTACACACACCCGGCGAGCCTTTTAACAGGCGGTTATGGGCAGGTGGTAATGTGCACTTCCCAATTTCCGGACCAGCACTAGATGGTACTCGTGCTGTTTGCGTTGAATCCATTCGCAATGTCACAATCAAGGGACGAGAAGGCGAAGGGAAGGTGATAGTCACGATCGAGCGCCGATTTGGTACAGTTCCAGAAGGAGAATCAGAAGCACAAACCCGAAGTCGAATTTGGCAAGAAGATGAAGCCGATCTGGGTGACTCATCCATCATCGAGAATCGAGATCTCATCTTCATGAGATCTAAGACCGCGGAGGAAATTGAACTTGACCAGGCGCAATTTGATAAACCGAGCCGCACTGTGAGGGGTAATACTAACCTTCCTGATGGAATTCGCTCCTGATATTCGATGGAACAAAGATACTAATTGTGAGATAGCGCCTACTAATGCGACTTTCCGCCATTCGATCATTCCGACCAAGGCATTGTTATTCCGTTTCTCAGCGTTGACCTTTAACGCTCATTCGATTCATCTGGATACGAACTACACGCAAGGCCAAGAGGGATTACGAAGTCTTCTGGTTCACGGTCCCTTGACCTTGACTCTACTGCTAAGCGTGCTCCAGACTCATCTAGAGAGCTTGGGTCTTCGAGTTGCTCATATTGAATACAAGAACCTGACGCCTTTGTATGTCGACGAGGAACTTACTGTCTGTGGTAAGCCCAAGAGCGATGGGGCTTGGGATATCTGGATTGAGGGACCGAGCGGTGGTTTATCTGTTCGAGGGTCTGCAAAGACATGTCCAATTTGATCATGCCAGTGGGTGTCATAATATTCGGGGAAAGGCATTGTAAGATATAATTGAGCTAATAAACTCAAGGGACTAATACCAAATGTACATTATCAGATCTACTTCAAGTTCCAGCTCAGCGCACCCTCGCCCCTGTAGAATTGGGCTTCAGAACCTTGGAATAGCACTTGAGTAGTAATCAACACCTGGGCATTTGAAGTTCTTCCAGGTCCATTGTCCACCCAAGCGGACTCGGAGCCGTCACGGGTGAACGACTCATCTGAGTATTCTATCAGTACAACCCTGCCACCTGCAGCGGAGAGGAAATTATAGATCCTGGCTCTTGAGGCTTGCCGACATCTGCAACTTGAAGGTTTAAAAGCACTGGCAAGATTTAAGAGCACTTTCAATGTTTTTGGTTACATACTAAGTAAGTTCCACGGGATGCTGGATCTGATACCGCGTCCCCAACGTTTGAACATATACATATGTATGGGCTCAGGGCAACATTTGAACACTGGCAATTTTTTTTTTTCAAACGACAATGAACATGTCAAATTCTCATATATTTAGGCGATTTCTAGTTCATTGGAATGCTGAGAGTTGAAAATCACCAAAAATCATATTTTTACCAATTTTTATTTTTCAAACTTGAAAACCATCTGAATGGATCGGAGGATGGATGGATAGATGGCGTTTCTATTGGTGCCTGAGGCTGCAAATTAAAGCCTGGAAAATAGGGCATATAAGTGTATTCGCCTGCTATTTTCTATGCTCTCGGACATTCGAACTTCAATTTCGAGTGCGTAGCATGTGAGAAAAGTACCCTGCATATAATTCCTCAATTTATTTAAGCTCTTTTTTTTCTTCCATAACACCAGTTCAAATGTTGACTCAATAACGTGATTCCCAAGCGAGTGGGCCACCCAAGCGAGTGGGCCACCCAACCAAAAAATCGCGTCGCGACCGCGTTCTTTTATCTTCAACCACCCATCATGCCACCAAAACGTACTGTTTCGGCCGAAAAAAAATGGTAATCAAGAGGGTCGAATCCTACTTGCTATACAGGCTATTAAAGCTGAACAAATAAGCTCTATCCGTGAAGCTGCACGCTGTTTTGATATACCTCGTACTACACTACAGCGTCGGCTCACTGGCTATACCAATCGCTCTGAGACTCGCGCCAACAGCCATAAATTAACTGAGAATGAAGAGAAATCACTTCTTCAGTGGGTGATCTCTATGGATATACGTGGAGCTGCCCCCCGGCCTGCTACTGTTCAAGAAATGGCCAATATTCTCCTCTTAGCACGTGGCCAGACCCCTTCTCAAACTGTTGGCAAAAATTGGGTCACAAACTTTGTTAAACGACATTCAGAGCTTACTACACGTTTCTCTCGACGATATAATTATGAACGTGCGAAGATGGAGGATCCAAAAGTTGTTCAAGAATGGTTTAATCTTGTTTTTCAAACAATTCAAGAGAATGGTATTCTATCAGAGGATATCTATAACTTTGATGAGACTGGATTTGCAATGGGACTTACAGCAACTGCTAAGGTTGTTACTCGTTCTCGATATTATGGTCGACGATCACTTTTACAGCCTGGAAATCGTGAATGGGTAACTGCTATTGAAACAATTAATGTATCTGGATGGGCCCTTCCACCAGTGATTATTTTCAAAGGCAAAGTTTTAATTGAAGGATGGTTTACAAACCTTCCACTTGACTGGCGATTTGAAACTAGTCCAAATGGATGGACAACTGATGAAATTGGACTTCGATGGCTTCAAAAACACTTTATTCCAGCAACAACTGAACGTACGCTTGGAAAATATCGACTTTTGATTCTTGATGGTCATGGGAGTCATTTAACTCCCCAATTTGATCAGATTTGCAAAGAGAATAATATTATTCCAATTTGCATGCCAGCTCATTCTTCACATCTTCATCAGCCACTTGATGTTGGATGTTTTGGGCCTTTAAAACGGGCCTATGGTCGGCTTGTTGAGAATCAAATGCGGCTTGGTTTTAACCATGTTGATAAATTTGATTTTCTTGAAGCCTACCCAATCGCTCGTAAAGAGGCTTTTCAAACCCAAACTATTCAAAACAGCTTTACGGCAGCTGGTTTAGTACCATTTGACCCAGATCGAGTACTTTCTAAGTTAAATATTCTTCTTCGAACACCTACACCCCCAGCTAGCCGCCCTACTAGTCGATCAAGCCAATTTTCACCTAAAACACCTCAGAATCTTATTCAGCTTCAACGGCAAGCTAGTTCAATCAAAGCTCTTCTAAAACAACGTTCAAAGAGCCCTCCAAGTCCACTCAAACAGCAAATCGATCAAGTTCTCAAGGCCTGCGAAATTCAGATGCATTCAACAGCTTTATTAGAGGTTGAAACACGCAAATTACGCGCTGCACATGAAAAGCAAAAGCAAAAGCGCAAGCGGTCTACTAGGCAGATACCTAACGAGGGTGGTATGACTGTTCAGGAGGGCCAGGAGGCTATACAGCGTGCTATACAGGTGGTTGAGGCGCCAGTGATCCCTCCCGTACCACGGCCTAGGGCGCCTTATTTACCCCCCTCAGCCAGCTAGGAGAAAGCTACCGACATGTAAGAAGTGTGGAGAAGAAGGCCATCGATCAGATCACTGTGATATTTAGTTAATTATTTTAATAAATTGGCGTTCTGGTGGTAATATTTATGATTAAAACTGTAGGGTAGGCGGTGGGTGGCCCACTCGCTTGGGTGGCCCACTCGCTTGGGAATCACGTTAGTGAATCTCGAAAGTTGAGTTGCTTTCATACATTCCGCTTCCCGTTTTGGACTAGCGCCAATATTCGGAACAAAAAGCTCGGATAAACCTGTCGCCGAACTTTTGCACACGTTTTTTTATTATAAAAAGCTGTCCTCCCGCTTCCTTTCTTCTTCTTCTATTCCCAACCTCATTTACTCGTTCGTGTTCTCAATAATATGATTCCGAGTCATCTAACCGTCTAGCTTCTTTACCTCTCATTTTCTCATCAGCTGGCCATGGACCAAGTCCAGGCGGCTTTCTGGGCTGCACCTCCGGTATCTCGGTACGATGCATTGATGATTCCACCCAGGTGGACCATTGACTGACGAGTCTTCAGCACCATCACAGCTCTGACGTTGGTTCAGTCCATCCTTGTCTATGGCGGCGTGCTCAATGGATATTATGTTGTCTTTTTGCCGAGCCACGTCTTCAAGCTACTTCCGCAAATCTGGCGTCTAGCAACCCCTTTCCTACTAACCGGACCACAGCTCAGCTTTTTCTTTGATCTCTATTTCAGTATGAAGCCTCAGCGTTGCATTGGTCATCTAGGGCCCTGCTAACCTGCTGGCAGTGTACCACTATGGCAGCCAGCTGGAAAACTCAGCTCGGTTCAGTCAGCCTGGAGATTTCTTAATCTACGTGGTCTTTGTAGCATTTTCGATTATGGTGAGTGACTTGCTTGACCCGATGCTTTTGCTCGGTAGAGTCGTGTTTTTTCTTTCTTTGTTTTGCATTTCCATGCCACCTCGCCTTATCTGCCCGCCCAGCCACAAACTAGCTGAAGCGGTTCCTGAAAGCGAGGAAGATTACCCCTGCATCCCGTGCAGCACTACTTATAATTCGCAATCCTCAGTGCTGCATGAGGTGTGGGATTGGTGGGATTTCCCGAGAAACCCGTCGTGAATCTATTTACGCCGGAGGTTCAGGTGCCCTACATTTCTACATACTCTATTATCATTCATTCCCAATACTATTATTATGATTCAAATTTTCCATTCCCTTCCCGGTAGCCCAGCCCAATATTAGAGCCACATTGCTAACTTTGCCTAAGCTTACTGCAGGTTGCGTCCTGGGTGGAGTGGTTTTCACATCGGGTAAGCTACCAGTATCTTTGACTTGATCTGGAGAAGACAGTGGCTAAGTCTTTCGTTTCCTTTTTACCATGTAGCATTGATCCTGGCTTTCATCTACACCATGGCTCAGGACAACCGGGGCAAGAGAGCCACGTTGTGGTTTATTGAGATCCCTATGGAGTATCTACCTTGGGCGATGCTTGTGATTACCCTGGTTATGAGTGGGTGGCAGAGAACCCTGATGGAGGCTACTGGAATCGCGGCTGCTCATCTCTTTGACTTTCTCACCCGCATTTACCCAACTTTCGGTGGTGGCCGGAACTACCTCACTGCTCCTGCTGCTGTGCAGCGTTTCTTTGCCAAACACAACCCCAGGCTTGGGCACCGTGGATATGGTACTGCATTCCGTCCACAAGCATCTCAGTCCCCGCAGCCCTCCCAAAACTCCCAGTCGACTCGGGGCTGGACATCTTCGATTCAGAACCCTTGGGGTGGCCGAGGTGCGGGCCGACGACTTGGTGGCGATTAAGAATGGGAGTGATTTGAGATCATCATACTGAGCATTGAGGCATGGAGTTTTAGCCTTATTTTCAATTATCACTGATGCTATCTCGTTGAAAGAGAGTGATGAAGTCTCATATGAGCATTTGTAAACTAGCATTGCCACTATTTCAATATTTCACTAAAATCAAGTGAATCCTCATAACTAGTATTTTATGGACATGTTATAAAATATTCCATTAATTCATAAAATTAAATTGCGTAATAATTCTCTTCTCTAAATGCGTTAAAACCCTTCCAAGGTTCTACTACTGTATGTACTGTAATGAGTGACCAGTTGACTGAAATCGAATCCTGCATACCACGTGACTAACGACGGGCGCTAAACCGCAATAGGACTTGGAGCTGCCGCACTCGCAAAATTTCCTCGAACAAATTTTTGGTCTGCAACAGCAACCACCGACAAAATGACCGCCGTCAAGAACCAGGAGATGGAGTACTCCATCAAGCCCGAGGCGGTTAAGCCCAACATCACCGCCGAGGAATGGCCCCTTCTCCTCAAGAACTACGACAAGTGTACGTTTTCCAGAGAAAAATGAGGAGGAAAAAAACTTCTTCGGATCCATTGGTTAACATTTTTGCTGTATAGTGCTTGTTCGCACCGGTCACTTCACCCCTATCCCTGCTGGTGCTTCTCCTCTGAAGCGTGACCTTAAGTCATACATCAGCTCCGGTGTCATCAACCTAGACAAGCCCTCCAACCCTTCCAGTCACGAGGTCGTGGCTTGGATGAAGCGTATCCTCAGGTAAATCCACCACCACCCATTCATCCCTCCCTACCATGGTATTCACTATAATACCATTCGGCTGGAAGAGAAAAGTAAATTGCAGAACAAACGCTAATCAATTAAACTTTTAGAGCCGAGAAGACAGGTCACAGTGGTACCCTTGATCCCAAGGTTACTGGTTGTTTGATTGTCTGCATTGACCGTGCCACCCGCCTGGTCAAGTCCCAGCAGGGTGCCGGTAAGGAGTATGTCTGTGTCATTCGCCTTCACGAGAAGATCCCCGGTGGTGAGGCTCAGTTCCGCCGCGCTCTGGAGACCCTCACCGGTGCGCTGTTCCAGCGTCCTCCTTTGATTTCCGCCGTTAAGCGTCAGCTCCGTGTCCGTACCATCTACGAGAGCAAGCTGTACGAGTTCGACAACGAGCGTCACCTCGGTGTGTTCTGGGTCAGCTGTGAGGCTGGTACCTACATCCGTACCCTGTGTGTCCACCTGGGTCTGCTGCTTGGTGTTGGTGCCCACATGCAGGAGCTGCGTCGTGTGCGCTCCGGAGCTATGGATGAGACCAAGGGTATGGTTACCCTGCACGATGTGATGGACGCCCAGTGGGTTTACGACAACCAGCGTGATGAGTCCTACCTGCGCAAGGTCATCAGCCCTCTCGAGAGCCTGCTCACTGGCTACAAGCGTATTGTCGTCAAGGACAGCGCTGTCAACGCCGTCTGCTACGGTGCCAAGCTTATGATTCCTGGTCTTCTGCGCTTCGGTGAGTGATACATCCCTTATTATCTCTTTCTTCAAAGAATCAAATTAGCTAACGTTTTCTTCAGAGTCCGGCATTGAGGTCAACGAGGAGGTCGTTCTCATGACCACCAAGGGTGAGGCCATTGCCATTGGTATTGCTCAGATGTCTACCGTTGAGCTCTCCACCTGCGATCACGGTGTTGTCGCCAAGATCAAGCGCTGCATCATGGAGCGTGACCTGTACCCCCGCCGCTGGGGTCTGGGCCCTGTTGCCCTTGAGAAGAAGAAGCTCAAGTCTGCCGGTCAGCTCGACGTAAGTTCAAACTTTTTGGGATGATTTGATTGATCCTATATTAACATCTGAATTAGAAATTCGGCCGCACCAACGAGGCTACCCCCGCCAAGTGGAAGTCCGACTACAAGGACTACAACGCCCCTCTCGAGGATGGCGAGACTGCTGCTCAGCCCGAGGTTGCTGCTCCTACTCCCGCTGAGGAGCCCGTGAAGGCCGACACCGAGATGGTTGACGCTGATGACGAGAAGAAGAAGCGCAAGCACGACGGTGAGACCGCCGAAGAGAAGGCTGAGCGCAAGAAGAAGAAGAAGGAGAAGAAGGAGAAGAAGGAGCGCCGGAAGTCCAAGCAGGCAGAGGACAGCGATGACAGCGACTAGATGACCAGGAAGATACCCCTGCTAGTTTGCGGTCCACTTCCTGTACCATATTTGCCATACTTTTGTTATTTGCCTTCCGGAGTCTTTGGGTCAAAAGGGAATGTCGGTTTGAAGATTTTTGCGTTCATAGTCGCTCCACATAGTTCAATGCTATGATATTCTAAGAAGTTATAGAGTGTTTAATTGTTATCTATGTAAGTTGAGAAATAGATTATGGTGAAAGTAGAAATATCGTGGTGCCTATTTACTTCTATCTGATTGATAAAACCCGTGACTATTCTGGTGACCATATCCGTGTTCTCCGCATTCCCCCTCTTCCAACACTTGAGATCATCTCCTCACCGCACCACCGCACCCCTACCTAGCCCATCCTTCCAAGCAGTAGCTCAACCGTACAGCGGACTATTAAACCCAAAGAGCCTGCAAATCGATCAGCTGATCAAAATGGCAGCCGAACTCACCTCAGTACAGCTGAATCCGGAAAGTCACTACATTCTGGTAATCAATGCTATCGTCACGTCACCAGTGTCCAAAGTTAACACCGAAGTTGAATGATTTTAGGAACAACCGCTTCTCCGAGTACCCCATGAACTTGCCAGAAAAAATTTCAAAACCGTACAACGAGTAGTTGAACGAGAGAAAGAATATGTGATTCCCGCTCTTCTGGACGCAGCCAATGGCTCCATATCTCTCAATCAAACTCCCGACCAGACACTAGCCGCTCTTGATGCCATGATATCCCGCATGCAAGGATTAAAAAGGAAAATGGAAGGATTGCAAGAGGAGGAACGCAGAATCCAAGATCAATCTCGAAAACGCATTCAGCATCTTCAAGCACTAGATCAGATTCCGAGCTTGGCCGATGTTAAATATGATCAGTGGTCCCGGGTACGATTGGACCGGTTACTTGTTGATCATATGTTGCGATCAGGTCATGCGGAGAGTGCTAAACAGCTTGCACAAGAGCGAGAGATTGAAGATCTGGTTGATATTGGGGTGTTTACACAATGCCAACGCATAGTTCACAGTCTAAGTCAAGGTGACACCAAGGATGCATTGCAGTGGTGTGGAGAAAATAAGGCGGCATTGAAGAAGAGTCAGGTTAGTGATAGACTCCATGGAGTATATGTCCGGTCATACTAATTGATGCGGCATAGCACAACCTGGAGTTCGAGGTGCGGTTACAACAATACATCGAGATGGTGCGGTCACCGGATCAGTCAAAGAAGCTTGAGGCTATCTTGCATGCACGAAAATATCTTATCCCATACAGAGATGCTCAGGGGAGAGAAGTGATGAAAGCAGCAGGACTGCTGGTCTATAACCAGAAGACCCGGTCAGAGCCATACAAGGTGCGAAGGAATCGTTACACTCGCAAGAAGCTTCAAGAGACAACATGACTTACACTGTTTGTAGAACCTGTTCTCTCCAGAAAGATGGACCTATCTATCTAGTCTCTTTGTCAAGACCCATCATGAGCTTCTATCTCTGCCTTCTCAACCACTCCTACACATTGCCTTATCTGGCGGACTATCCGCGCTAAAGACACCACTGTGTCACTCTGCGTATACGTCACCCAGCTCGAACTCACAGTCAACAAAGACATCAGTATGTCCGATCTGCTCGACAGAGCTGAATGAACTGGCGCGCAAGATGCCATATGCGCACCACTCCAAGAGTTACGTAGAGCCGGATGCGATTGTCCTACCGAATGGGCGAGTGTATGGCAAGGCTCGACTCTTGGAGATCAGTAAGAATCTCGGAGCAGTTGATGAAGGCAAGGTCAAAGATCCGACAACAGGTCAAGTCTATGATGAAAGTGAGATGAAGAAAGTCTACATAATGTAATCTAAACCGAATCGAATTATTGAATCTCTTACGGTACTTCAAGTTCAATTTTACGTAAAAAGACAATACTATAAACAAATATTAACTTTGACCAACTCGGAGCTCTTCTAATCACTATCATCAGACTCCTCTCTTGTTCTCTTCTTCGTCCCCTTCTCCTTCTTCCCCTTCCCCTTCTCCTTCTTCGCAGGCTCCTCCCTAACCTCAAAAACATACATTCTCGCCTCCCGATCCTCTCCCCTCCATCCACCTCTCTCCCCATTCTTCCCTTCAACCTCGCCCAGCGTTCTTGCATGTGAGTATCCCTCATAAGAAGACCAAGGAAAGCGGAAACTAGTGACCACCTGTAATCCAGCATGACGAGCCAGATCCTTAATATTCCAAAGAGTATACGGCTCAGCCTCAAAAATAGAAACAAGGATCTGACCAGGCCCAGTTCTAGTAGTTTTCCCAGAAACCTGCTCATCCTCCTCATCTTCATCCTCACTCTCCTCTTCCTCATCCTCACTCCACTCATCATCCGAATCCACCGGTTCGGGGGCACCAGAAAGAAGAGGAACACAAGCCTTAAAGAACGCAACAAGTAGTTCCTGATTCGAACGAACCTGTCGGTTGACATCCGTTGAAAGACCACCAACATGTGGGAAATTAAAACAGATAACATCCCAAGGACCATAAACGGGTTTCTTCTCTTCCAGTTCACGAGCAAGTTCTTCATTCGCTTTAGCATTTGCATTTGCTCTCGGGTCTATCTTGGTCGGTTTCGGCTGTTGTTGCTGAATCTTCCAAGCTGGTCGTTTGGCCTCTTTTCGCGGATATCCGAATTTGATTTCTTTTCCTCCTCCTCCACCTGGAATGCCTAATTTCTTGGCATCGACCGAATAAAGGATTTTGGGACCCTGAGATGGATGAGTGGATTTGTCATTATCCTTCTCAGCTGGATTGTCTGAATCATTTGGTTTGGATCTTGGTTTGTTTGAGTTCAAAATGTCTTGAATATTTTGCTCTGCTTGTGGGTATTTGGCCAAGAGCGTTTCTTGTGAATCGTAACTTGTAGCGCATAACTTGCGACATTTGTACTGTGTTGCCAGAGAGCGGGCAAATGAGAAGTCACCTGAAATTATTAGCTATGTTACTCTCAATATAGACATAGATGTGGAAAAAATGGTGTCTGTAAACGTGAAAGAAAGTGTATGATAATATAGCAAAGAGGGTATCCAGATAGTGAAATGCATGTCTGATTTTGGGACTTGTCCATGGATATCAGATAAACAATTTGAGTATCATAGACAAAATAGAGAGCAAAGTATCAAATAGACATAGAGACCAGAATCCAGAGGAATTGAACATGGGGCGAAAGAATAATAATAAAAAAAAAGCAACTGAACTCACCTTCACCAACTAACAAGATCCGATCTCCTCTTAAGAAAGGCACAATAGGCCTCTGATTAGCCTGCAAGGGAGCTGTATTCTTCTTCTCATCCTCTCCAGCTCCAGACTTCGCAGGATTGCCTCCCTTAGCCTTGGATTTGGATTGTGATGCAACGGGTGCTTGTTGTCCTTTCTGAGGACCAGGTCGCTGGCCTCGAGCTGGGGGACCTTTTTGCTTTTTGCCTGGGCGAGGCATTTTGTATTTCAAGTTGTTGAATTGGATTTATGATGTTGTTGTGCAATTGGTAATGAATATGTGTCTGATATACATGAAATTGAAGTTTTGAAGGGTGGATTTTGGAGTTCGGCCAATCATAGATCCGGTTTCCATTATGGTTATCTGCTTATATTAATTCTTCAAATATTCTTATATTCAAGTATTATAGTTTTCAAGAAAATATACATAGCTCTAAGTCATGTATAGATATAATTCAAGTAGTGGTATGCTTCTATGATACTATATCAGAGTTGGGGATAGAAGCCCACCACTTAGGGACATGCATGACCTTGGAACCGAATGCAGTTGATAAGATACATTATAGTAGACAGCTTTGAGATCAATAAGGTACAATACCGAGGTCATTGTATAAGATGAATTATTAAAACAAGTATCTAATAGCACATTCTATTGCACCAACACGGCATAGCTATATACAACAAAGACCAAAGAGACCCGGCTATGCCCCTGCCAAAATAAACGGACAAAAACCAAGAAAATTACTAAAAGAATAAGAAGAAAAAATCATACTGCAGCCCAAGTGGCCAGCCCTTCCCTGAAGAGAAATAAGAAAAGCCACCAACACCAGTACAGGATGGACCATGTGCACACAAGGACTGGGAGTGCTGTAATGAACCGTGAATCATAATGTCACATGCAAGAAATGTCCACATTCCAGTACGACTTCAATCTGGAAGAAGTTGGAAAATGCAGGTTATCGGAGTCTCAAGGACGCCGGTAAAAAATCAAGAAAACGTCACTCTTCTCCTTTTTATTGTACTCGCTCTTAAGAGCGCAGCGAGTCACGCATGCTCTGGCTGCTAGCGCTAACCAGTGGGTTGGAAGTAGGCAGAACACCAGTTCTGGGCTTGGCGCTCTGCTTGATCTTGGCCACAGCGTAGACAATACCGGAGACGAAACCAACGCCAATGGCAGACACGCTAGGGAAGGTAACAGGAGCATCAAAGAAGATCAGGCCAGACACAGCGATAGGGAGCTTGTTCAGGGCACCGACCATGGAGTAAGTGGTGGACGAGGTAACACGCACACACCAAGCGGAGGTGTAGGAGATGAAGACGGATGACAGACCCGACAGGATCATAGCAAGGTAGATGCCGTTGCGGTTGGCCTCGGGGAAGTTACGGGCCAGGTTAGCGGCGGACCAGTCCTCGACCAGGAGGGTGGCGACGATCAGGACGGGGACGGACAGCAAGTTGTTGTAGAACATGGCTAGAAAATATTAGTTAGAAGTGGCCAAGCATAGATATTATGGACTGGGGAACATACTGTCGAAGTCCTTGAAGTTGGTCAGCTTAATGCGCTTGCGCATGCACAGAACGTAAGAAGAAGTGCAGAGGCAGTTGATCAACATCCAAACGTAACCAGCATTCAGGGTCGAGACCTTGCTGGAGGTGTCACCACTGCTCTCAACGGCGTGCTTGATATCAGCCCAGGCGGCAATGATAGAGCTGAGAACCATCAAGCCGAAAGAGAAGAGGGTCATGCTGGTGACAGAACCACCGAACCAAAGGACCTCACCGTAGGCGATGAGAATAATGGTCAAGTTCTTGAAGATGGTATAAACGGGAATGGAAAGGAACTGGAGGGCCTTGGAGCCAGTGTAGATCATGCCGATCAACAGGAGAGTAATGGGGAACCCTATTGACAATGCAAATCAGTATTCTGTAGTATATATTTTCTGTGAAACAATGCAGTCTTACATTTCCGTGCCTCGTCAGTGCTAAAGTCACGGTAAGTGATAAAGCCCATAGACTTGCAAGTCTGAATCGCCACGATACAAACAAGAGACTACAGCCAGATTAGCGGTCCATTCCAATACATCATAGACTGTACTTATTACATACCTGAACCATGAGCAACAGGAAGTTGAGGTTGAAGTCCAGACCCGATAGAACATACTTGTTCATAACGGTCATCAAGATGGACGAACCGCAGTATGCAAGAACAGGCAAGGCAGGGTTGTTAGAGGCATTGCTAGACGGAGCAGGACGAGGCTGTGGAGGAGGAGCGGCCTCGAATTCTTTGTTGCCTTGATCCAGCTTATCCAACTTATCCATGTCGACGGCATAGTCGTCGGTCTTCTTGGCTTCACCCATGGTGGCGTTTAGGGGAGGGTAATTTTGCGGCCGGAAGGAGTGAAATGAGGGGGGGAGAGGAGGAATGAAATGAAAGACAGGGAAATCAGAGGCGTAATGAAAATCAACGGTAGCGTACCCTGATACGCGCGAAACGAATAAGACGAAACAAAACTTTTGGGGATTTGACCGGAAGCGGCGCAGGGGATTAAGTCAGATTAAGTCAGCAGGGGCTCTCAGGGGAGTCACGTGTCTGTCTAATTTAAGAAGATAGATTGGGACTAGCGTAGATTAGTCAGACTGAGACGTCTGCCTGAGGGCCTGAGGGGAGATATATGTATACCTAGTTAGGTAGTCTATGTCGTATGTAGAATATAAGGAGCTGTATATTGACGTTGAAAATGCTCCTTGACTCTACAGTTGTCTTTCTTTCTGTAAATTTGAATGGTAGCCGGCATCACCATCCCTATTTTGCACCCACCTAGCGCCGTCATGTATCATCAACTGGCCTTGATCCACTTGGGCATCTTTCAAGTTAGCGCCCGTTCAACGGTCATTCGGTTACATTCCTCCTGTAAACAAAGTTATACAGAAAACAACTCCCCCTGTAGTGCCATCCACAATGTTTTATGGATATTGGTGAATTATCTGAGAATCATATATACTCAAATGCTTGATATTCAGTTAGACAAGGAGTATTAAGAACTATGTATTTGAGGACTAACGTGATTCCCGGCCGCTCGAGCGCTGGTCTAAGAACTCCAAATTTCCTACTTTTTCAATTTCAAATTTCAACACCAAAACATAATTAAATAATGAAATAACTTTATTAGGACATCCAGAATAGATATTTCCTTTAGTTCCACAACCAGAACAAGTGACCTGGCGCCGTATGGTAGGTGCAGGGGGTAATGGAGGCTCTACTGGTGGCTCCGTAGCACCCTCCGTTGTAGATATATATTGCCCTCCACCATCTTTTCTTTCCACCACATTACATTCAATCTCTTCCAAACTTCGCAGACTGCCTTCATGCGAGATCTGCTTTCTACTAGTAGCCCTCTTTTTCACCTGCTTCTTATTGGCAGTCTCTAACTTGGCGCAACGATCTTGGATAAAGATAAGCTCATGAGCTAGCCGAATAGCCATATCATGTGATCGATCAATACCTCGTTTCAATGGCGAAGTCATAGTCTCTGATGAAAGTTCAAGTCCTTTCTTGATCCGAGAATTCGATTTTTGTAGTTTTGTGAGACTCCAAAGTGTATCTTGATCACTAGTGCTGCTAGAAGATGTTGGGCGTGGCTCAAGTGGCTTAGGAGATGGAAGTGATTCAAGCTAAATATTAAGCTTATCTAGTATATAATTAGTATCTAAAGATACTAGACCAGTACTTTTAAAGCTATTCTGTATAGTCTGAGCTTGAAAAGCGGCTTCTCGGGCAATAGGGTAGAGTTCAAGGAAATCATCTTTGTCAATAGAATTAACACCAAGACATATCTCTTCCATAACAAGTGCTCCATATACCCTTTTTAGGACTGCAAAACATCCAACATTAAGAGGCTATAATAAATAAGATGCATAAGCAGGTATATAAAGAGAAATAATATCATTCTCTTTACAGATTTTATCAAACTCAGGTGTCAAATATGATGAGTGTCCATCCAGAATCAGCAACACATATTTCCCTTTCTGTATAGGAAGATAAGGTAAAAAGTGCTTTTATAGCCAATAAATACCAATCTCATCACTTATCGGTCCATTAGAACTCTTATTCATACCCCAAAGTGGTGGCTTTTGAAACCAGCGTTCCAAAAAAGACCTTTCCCTTAAAAATGATATATAGGGGAAGCGCAATACCATTAGACCTGATACATTCAATCACAGTAACCCATTCTTGATCACCAGGCTGTAGAACACCTCTTTTTCCATGGTATTCAGCAGAAGTAGTAATTCTTTAAGTAGAATTGATTCCCATTACAAAACCAGACTCAGCAAAATTATAGATATCATCAGAAGTGATACCATATTTTTTGATAGTGTTTTCAACAAGCTTAAACCAAGGAAACCAAGGTAGGATCACTGTAGGATCTTCGGAAAGGGCTCTTTCATAATTTTATTTACGAGAAAGACAAGTAGAAAGAGATTGGTGTCTTTTGACAAATTCTGTACTCCAATTTTTGCCAACTTTCGGAGGGGTGCCATGAGGTGATAATTCACGCGATCGGAGCAATAAATTGGCCATATCTCGTAACATAGTATAAGTAAGAGCTGTTCCTCGAGAATCCATTGAAAGTAGCCATTTCTAAGATAGTAAATCTATGGCCAGAGGGGCGAGAATCATCCCAAAATTGTTGTCCTTTGATTCGGTGCTTCAAAGTTGAGACCGGCACGCTAAAAGCACGCGCAGCAGCAGCAGCAGAGGGATATTGGCCGTCTTTTATAGCTTTGATAGCTAATAAGAGAGCACCCTCCTGCTGTACTAATTTTTGAGACCTTTGAGAGCGAATTGGTGGCATGGTGAATGATTAAAAACATAGATTGCTACAGAAGTGCTTTTTTTTAATGTGTCGCTCGGGCGATTAAGCTATGATAGCCTATCACAGCGCTTGGGCCAACGCACCTAAGCCAAGCTCATCACACATTCGTCTTTTCGCAGATTAATGTAAGATCAAATCTACGGTATCTCTCATTGATCTCATGGCTCATGAAATTCTAGCATCGCGAGTTTTTGAATGGTTGAACTTGGATCAGACTGATGGTGCGTCTGAAGCTGAGGCTGGCGAGACTGGAGAACAGCCCCGCAATGAAGATGACTTGGACTCTACGGCGGTTGTGGTGGACCTAGAGGTCACTGGCCCCATGATAGATACAGGGTACTCATTAGAGGACATTTTACAATTTGGAAGCCTCGCAGGTAGTGAGGTTCCCGAGAAAATTTCACTACCTGATTCGCAGTCCGGCTACTCGTCAACTTCAAAGGTGAGCAGCCAAGACAGCAAGGAGATTGAGCCATCACTGGATGCACTCCAGCAATTTGACACAATAGTCCCCGCTACTGTCCAGCTACTATTGTCTCAGGACTTGGAATCGTGCCAATCAGACCGCAGGGAGAGAGAACAGACACCCCCGTCTCTCACACACATATATGAATACATTATTGAAAACGTGAGCGATGCATTGAGTCACATCGAGAATGGAAAACCACCGCCTCTCTCACACACATATGAAGAAATTATTGAGAACGCGGGCAATGCATTGAGTCACATTCAGAATGGGAACTTGAAGGCAAAGTCTCGCCACGAAAAGGCCTCGATCGTTTTTTACGATAATCTCCATGACGGTTCGGTTTATTCAGAGTCCATCGAGAATATCCAGGAGCTTCCATCTTTGGGCAATAGGTCTGATCTACGACAGCGATTGATCGTAGTGGAAGACCTCTCTAAGTTAACGATAGCTACTCTGGGGAATCAATTCAAAATAAATCCTAGATTCTTTGAGGAGCATCTGCTTAATTCGGGGTATTCGGGATCTCATTTTAACCAGTCATCATCCAAAACATGGAGTACTGCATCATTACAGAAGTCATATGTCTGTATGAAGTGGTTTCGACCTGTTTGGCAAACGCCGACATACTTTTCCAATCGGGATCTCCATGATCTTCTCAAAGATAAGACGGAGCATTTTACACATCGCGGAGCATTGACTACAAGAGCGGAGACCAATATTTTCCGTTCTGAATGGGATCTGTGGACGGACCCAGAAAAGACGACAAGAGTAAGGAGAGAGTGTGGTTGGGAGGAGAAAGTATCAATTTGGAGTGGGAGTGCCCCCAGTCCATGTCTGAATTGCCAGGTTGGTAAGATGTGCAACCTTTCGGCTACTTATATAGCTGGATGCTAATATGCAGATTTTAGTGATCATTCTTTTGGATCCTTTACCTCAGATAAGTGAACAGGAACGATTCTTTAAGAAAGAATCGCTGTATGAGGCAGGCAATCCCGATGAGACCTCGGCTCTTTTTCCAGACATACCGGAAAACGAAAGACTTGATATCTTTGTGGATGGTATCACTGGTATATTTAGGAGAAACGAGGATGACCTTCCACGGCGCATAAATGAAAGCAGCAAGCTTTTTGATCTATGGAAATGTTATCTTATGCGCCAATCAATTGAAAAACACGTCGACCATGAGCCAGTTTATAGGTGTATCATCGAGCAGATGGCCCCTCGAAAGAATGTACAAGTTGACCTGGATCAAATATTCCAAGAAAAAGGTCCAACCGTCAATTTTGGCACATCTTTGACCGAGACTAAATCGACACGAGATGAGTTCTGCGAAGCATTGGACTACAATATGAGTAGTCATATTAGCCTGGTCTTTCCGTTGCTCAAAATTCTCTGTCGGGACACCTTCGCCCTTCTGCAACAATTGCGCCATACACTGGATGAGATTGATATTGAAATTTTGAACGATGAACGGATGGAAGACCGCCTAGCTTTGTGGCGCCAAATTATTGGTGTGCGCAACAGGAGCTCCCAGAACTCGCTACATCTATTATGCCATTTGTTGCTTTCATGGCCAAGATTGATCCTGATGGGGTTTATGAGGAGGGCCAGAAAAATGACCCGGATGGGAAATTAGACTTGAAAAGATTGCTGAAGGATATAAAAAGGACGAGAGATCGATTGCGCGGCACTTCAGCCTCTTTGACATCTAACATGAGCCTGCTTGATAGTCGAAGATCCATTGATAAGGTCCATGCCGTGACAAGACTTACCGAGCTGGCTTTTATCTTCATCCCTCTCTCATTTGCAGCATCTGTCTTTGGGATGCAAATAAAACCCCTTGCTAATCCAGTCCCTATCTGGTGGTTCTTTGTGGTGGCCGTGGTGGCAACAGGCCGCTCATACATGATGCGGATTGTCATGAGAAGTCAATGGTTTGCACATATGAAGATAGGGATGAAGGCCGATATCAAGAAATATGCTGATAAGCATGGCAAGCCTGTCCAGTCTCGATCACTCGCCGTCAGTCTCATTATTCAATGGGGTATCAGCTCATTGTTTTTCAGTGCGTTTCTGTCCGGCAAATGGGCTATCCGAACTGCATGGATAGGATCGAATTGGATCTACATGCAAATGCGACCCGTGGCTAGCTTCTTCCTGCCTATAGGAATAATTGTCGCGGTACCGATAGGAATTCTCAAGACTCATCATCTCAGTCCTGGCCTTCAAACTGCGGTGAGTCTAGGCATGGTTCTGGCAATAATTTTCACTTTGGGAACTGTTCTTTCACTGGATCCACCCGATAGAAGAACACTCTGGACAGAATTATTTCGTCGAGTGCACACAAATCATGAGGAACAATTTGACCCTTCACGTAACAGGCTAAGACGACGTGTACGTGCGCCTCCTCGATGGCTTGGGAACTGCCTACTTTGGTTAATTCCGCTGGTGACAGTACTTGTGATCCCAATGGCTTTGTTGTGGACTCGATCCATAGCCATGGACATCAAAGTGGGCGTAACTCTGGGTATCTGCGTGCTAGTCTTTTTTGCTATGATATATTTGGTCTTGCAGCGGTTGCATCAGCGGGTGGTTTGGAGCTTGCCTCGGCGGGGAAGTGTCTCTAGTAGTAGTACTACCAGCACTTGAGTATTTAATACCAGGATTCCAGCATTTCGAAGTCATCTCTCGAGGTCTTGGTTTTCTGCAGATAGACGATGAGCATTGAGCATCATGATAATTTAAGTTCAAATGTTCACATTATTATAGGTATTTGTCCCTGCACGAACTTGAACTCACTGGCAGGCTAATACCAACTAATCCTAACCAGGATTAGTCTCACCTCATCCAGGGTTCAGCAGCTTTCGCCTTATTTCTTCCAAAATATCCAGATGTTCAGATTTCACAATTTTATATTTGAGACCTTTATCATCATTCAAACTAGGTTATAGTAAAGACTATAACCATAATTAAATCTCAGTTTATAATGGGCTATTCTGCATGGGGTAAGTGTGGACATATGGAACATTTGAAGAAGCGGGGTTATCATATTTCCAGTGCTAATGATTCTCTAGTATCGAGCTTCTTACCCATGATCGGTCTTCATCATATTTTGATGATGATTTTGGCTGTTAGTGTGGTCTTTTTATGTAAGACTTGATTCCGAGTACCTTGTGTCTTGTCAGATTAAACTCATATATATTAATAGCACTGTTAATTGCTGGCTGCAGCTCCAGCAGTTCAATGAGAGATGTCTATTTACTGTCTCTGCAATATAAAGACATCAGTTCACTGGCACTATCAGATTCAAGTATAGTCAGCACGGATATTGCCCATGCAGTGCAAAATATTACGAAAAGTGGCGATGAACCAACCCTCCAAGTCAGAGCTGGTTATATGGGATTATGCATAATGCTCACTGATGGCGATTGGGTCTGCTCAACAAGTGCAAGCAGCTTAGCAAATATTGTGAAGCTTTCAAGCAATGCAGCAAATGATACTCGTGACCCACTTAATCTGGTTTCTATTGCCAACAATTTCAAGGAGGACATTGTGTTTGATGGGCTGCTGTGAGTATCCTCAGAAACATTTGAAGGTAAACACATGTGCAATTTAGAAGCACTGATATGACCATATTTCCAGATTTATAGTGGTTGCAGCAGCCGCCATTTGCTTTTTGATGCTTGCTACATTTCCCGGATGGCATGAAGAACTAGATGAGACTGGATCAGATGTGGAAATTAAGCCATTTCCCTCCCGCCCAGTATCGCACGCTGCCCTTGCGACTTCAGCTGTAGGGTTTTCATTTGGTCTCATAGCGGCTTTATGGCAGCATATCAATTCTGCAGCTGCTGCGTCAATGGCGGAAAAATTGAGTTACGGCCAGATCACTGGCCATGTTGGACCTGCAGCTATGGCATTTGGATGGATTGGTGTTGTATTGATTGGCGTGGTAGCACATGGGCTACTAGTGATGATCATGAGTATCAGTCTTATCAGGAAGCTGACTTATGACGAGTGATTTATTATAAAAGCCTACCTGATACTACATAAAGGGTAAGTGAGACTCTCAGAATTGTGACAAGAGGAGGAAAGATAGAAATCCAGAATCAAGGGAATACTTTGGAAATCAAGAGCAAAACCAAGTAGGGAAAGAGGTCTATATCTACTAGGTCTACTATGAGCAGGGATTAGTTTCAAATTGTAGCAGCCTGAAATCAAAAATTTTGCTCTCTCACCTGGGCAACTTTCTAGATTGATTAGCCTAATCTGTTCTTTGCGGTGCACCGTGCACTGGTGGAAGCTGCTATAGATTATAATATTTAGGCATTCCATCTTCCCTCATTCATAATCTGGGCATCATGCACACCAACAACAAGTGGACTAGTCTTTTGCCAGCGATCCAGGATATCTGTGACATCTCAGGTATTCCGGGAGTGTCATTTGGCATTGTGGAAAATAATGAGGTTTACACGGCTTCGCTTGGCTACGCTGACATTGCAGGGGAAGTCCCTTGTGATAGCAATACTACCTTTGTGTTAGGGTCTCTTACTAAAGGCATGACAGCTGCCTTGGTGGCCTCACTCCATTCTGATGGTACTATCCCCTCGTGGGACACTCCACTGAAGACTTTGCTCCCAGAATTTCATCGTGAAGACATTTACGGCGAAGTCACCCTCACCGACCTGCTTACGCACCGAACTGGCCTGGCATCGCTTAACTCCTTATGGCTTGCCTCCAACAATAAGCCCTACCTGCCTAAATCAGAAGCTATTCAAATCTTTAACCATGCTCCGGGTATCCAGCCATTCCGAACTGAATTTGTGTATAATAACTTCGGCTACGAGATTTTCGGCCAGGTGATTGAGAAGGCTGCGAGGATAACATTTGCAACAGCTCTGCAGGATCGACTTTTAGATCCTCTCCGTATGAGTCGAACATACTATACAGGAGAAACCCGTGACAACGAAGCGAGGCCATATGCTGCCCTTGAAGACGGATCCCTTGTACCTACCGCATTGCCCCTTTTTGGGGAAGATGTAGTGATGGGTCCAGCTGGTGGTGTGCGAAGTTCTGTCAATGACTTATTGACACTTTACCAAGCCTTCATGTCTGCTGCTCGAAGTGAAATGATGCTTATAGACGGGACGGGGTCACATGGGCAACTCAACCCGCCCCAAGTCATTCAAGGCATTGATAAGTTATGGAAAGGACATCAACATCTACCGTTTAAGTCTCTTCGCGAACACTCATACGGACTTGGCTGGGCTCGAGCCCAGCTTCCGGCTATCTTGGGACAAGGATATGACCCAGATTCAGTCAATCCCATGGTTGGAGTGGGAGCACCATCACAGCTGGCATTATACCATGGAGGGGATATACCAGGGTTTGAAGCTTATAATTTATTGCTCTCAGAGAGTAACAGTGCAGTCGTTGTCCTCGTGAACTCACAAACTCTCAATGGGGGTGTGCGATGGATTGGAGAGCTTTTAGTGGAAACCCTTCTCGACAACGGTCACAACGCTCCCGATTATCTTAAGTTGGCGAGAAAATCAGCCGAAGCTGAGGCAGAACGAGCCAAACGTATCAACAAAGCTCTTGCGGTGGGTCGAAAAGTTGATTTATCCTCCAGGCCTCTAGATGCCTATGTTGGGACATACTTCAACGCGGCAGAAAACTTTTTCATCCAAATAGTCCACAGCAAAGACAAATCCCATATTGAAGTGTCATACATAGGTCGCCAAGATGATACATTCTCTCTTCTACCCTATCAAGAGGACAGCTTCTATTGGACTTTGACGCGTGACGAGTATGCCAGGCTCGGCCGAGGGAGTCTCTTTCCCTCAGTCGGGTATTTCATCCTCAAATTTGGATCAGCGAAGGATGGTTCAGATGTTTCTTGTCTTTGGTGGCATCATCAAAGTGATCTGCCATACCCCGGGGAGATGTTTAAAAAGATGGAGAGTAGCAACATTCGAAGTGAATTGTGAAGTTATGGGTAGTTTGTATGGGATCAGGCCTATCGCAACCTCCCACTACACTAGGTATTAACACTACATTATACTCAATATCTTTGCAATGAATGTCAGAATCTACGAGAATAAACAATCCAATTCTCATATTTATATCCATTCATTTAATTTAGGTTAACCAATCTCCGTACCCGTATACTCCATACACTCCATACACTCCATACATACGGAGGTCGGTCCGGAAAGTTCTCGCCAGAAATTATAATTTCTTTTTCTTGATATATTACCGGCCCTGTATGTCAGGTGTATAGCCTGCTGTATATTGGATGTATTGCCGTGTTACGTACTAGGCTAAATATTGCTTATAACACCCGTGGACACGTAGATCTTTATCTTTTACCCCGCCTACAGTCCGTACACCCCTTCACACTTTTATCCCACCTACACAGCTACACTTTTGTCCCACCTATACAGCTACAATGAAGACCAATATTGCGCAACGTGCTGTCATTGTATACCTAAGGGCCCAAGGACATGCCCCTAAGGAGATCAGTGAATTTATGAATATTCCACGGCGTACTATAGGAGACATATGGAACCGTGCACTCGAACGAGGTTTTCAGCCGAATCAGCGACCATTCAATATATCAGATGAAATGTTAGCTGATAAAGCACGTTCTGGGCGTCCATCTAAGCAAACAGATGAGCTTAAAACCACACTTGGGGCGAAAATCCGTGTAGACCGCTATGGGCGTGAGAAAACATGTGAACAGCTAGCTGCAGAGCTACGCAGTGAATCAGGTTAGTTATTCTAAGATTTGATATTTTATTTAGTGTGTTATTTAATATGTTATTTAGTATAATATTTGATGTGTTACTTGGTGTGTTATTTGATATGTTATCTCATATGTTACTTGATATGTTATTTCCTCTAATATTTCTTCTATAATTAGGGATTCATATATCAAAAACAACAGTTTGGCATGTACTACGAAAAATTGGCCTACGAAAAACAAAGCCTACACGTAAGCCTGGGCTTGCCGCTGAGCAGAAAAAACAACGTCTTGAATGGTGTTTAAAACACGCCCATTGGACTATAGAAGACTGGAAGAATGTGATTTGGACTGATGAAACTGCGGTTGTTTTATTACACCGTCGGGGTGGATATCGTGTATGGCGTACTTCTAGTGAGCGGTTCGTCCGAAGCTGTATTCGAGAACGTTGGAAGGGGGCCTCTGAGTTCATGTTTTGGGGTGCTTTTTCTTATGATCAGAAGGGCCCCTGTCATTGTTGGGTACCTGAAACTACAGCCCAAAAGCGTGAAGCAGAACACCAAATCGCCGAATGGAATACTGAATTAGAGCCTATTATGCGTGCAGAATGGGAGCTTAATTCAGGTATACAGCGATTAGGGCTACGCAATAAGCCTGGAAGACAACCTCAGTGGAGATGGACTCAGAAGAATGGAAAGCTTGCACGCAATTCGAAAGGTGGAATCGATTGGTACCGATACAACACCGTGATTTTAGCCCCAAAACTACTTCCATTCGCCCAAGAATGTGCTCGAATTCGAACGAAAACAATAGTTCAAGAGGATAAAGCACCAGCCCATTCACATCACTACCAACAGCGAATATTTGATATAATGGGGGTCCAACGAATGATCTGGCCTGGAAATTCGCCTGATCTAAATATGATTGAACCTGCATGGCCTTGGATGAAGAGATACACTACGCGAAAAGGAGCACCTAAATCGCGTAAAGAAGGGATTAAAGTATGGGAGGCTGCGTGGCGTGATCTACCACAGGCGCAAATTCAAGCTTGGATTGAACGTATACCATGGCATATACAGCAAGTCATTAGACTAGAAGGGGGCAACGAATACGGTGAGGGGCGTGATAAATTAGGTGAAGTAGCCCCTAGCGGGTTAGGTGATAACGCCTATAACAGCGGCAGCGGCAACGACAGCGACAGCGACAGCGACAGCGACAGCGACAGCGATATATGGGAAGATATGTGAATATTTACTGTTTCAAGCTGTTATTATATTTCAGTACTATATATTTCCGTTTTATATACATCTTGATTACGCGATATATTTCAATATTTACTGTATATAGCCTAGTGTGAGAAAAAGAAATTATAATTTCTGGCGAGAACTTTCCGGACCGACCTCCGTACAGTGACTGGAAAAAAGTTTGCACCAGCGCTATTAATACACTAAGCTATATACGGCTGACCGCCCTTATAATACCCTTATAATAGCTGACCGCCTAGGCGGTCAGCTACAGTCAATACTACGTGTCTACGGAGCTTATTATTCTATATACAAATATGCCACACAGACCACGGAAACACGTCCAGTTAGACGCTTATACACGTACCCAAATATGCACTTTGAAGCATACAGGCCTGACCTACAAGCAGCTACAACGTTATTTTCCAAATATACCTATAATGGTTGGTACACTAGTTATTGAATTTATTGTATTTCTTCGGCAGAAAAATCGGCAGAATTTCGTATGCCAAGCCGCTAATTTAGCGCTGGTGCAAACTTTTTTTCCAGTCACTGTACGGAATGATATACCACCCCTCCTAGTGGAGCTCCCAGATCCAGACGCAACCTCGGAAGATCAACCTCCACTTTCCTCCTATTTCAAAAAGAAAATCCATTAATTCGACTACCCCTTTCAATTGAGAGGACTCAAAAGGACCATAAACCAACTATCTACTACCAATCTTCTTCAACCACATCCACACCTCCAACAAACCCCCTCAGACTCAAACAAAAAAAGAACAATCTCAAAATGCCTGAAGACCACTCCGACGACGATGCCCTCTTCGCCTCCCTCGAAAACGAAGACTCAGAAGAGACCTACCGCACACAACGAATCCAACAACTAAACGCCGAGCTCGCCGCTCAAAAAACCAACCGATCTGCAAAAAGCAGCACAATCGTACGAGACACCAGCTACCCAACACTCCGCGACGACCAAAGCGTCCTAAACTTCACAACGGAGACAACGCGCTGCGTGATCCATTTCGCACATGATGATTTCGCACGGTGTGCGGTAATGGATACACGAATTGCGGAGTTAGCGGCTCGACACTACGAGGTCAAATTTGCGCGTGTTGATGTTCGGAATACGCCATTCCTTGCAGAGAAGCTCAGTATTCGGGTTTTACCATGTGTTATTGGGTTCAAGGATGGTGTTGGAGTTGAGCGGATTGTTGGATTTGAAGGATTGGGTGCTGGTGGATTTGATGCCCCCGAGGAAGGGTTTAATGTCAAGGTCTTGGAGAAGAGGTTACTCTTTAAGGGTGTTTTGGCGCAGGCGAAGTTTTCTGCAGGAGATGAGGATGAGGGTGAGTTTGGGGAAAGTGATGATGATGGGTCTGATGTTAGGAAGGGGATGAGATTGAAGAAGAAGATTATTCAGAATGGGAAAACTGGGTTGAGAGGACGCTACGATGACGATGATGATGATTGGGAATGAGTATAACCCTCAAGGCTGGATTGATTTAAAATTGTATACATTTGATGGCATTGAGCCGATTACATACTAGACGATATTAAATCTCACTTATGATCCAAGTGATATCAACTGATCGAGACCGATTGAATTGAAAACTAGGACTGCATCATCATAGAATTACAGGCAAATATCAATGAGACCGTGGGCACAGAAGCCATAGGAAAACAAATAAAAGCAGAAACAAACAGCTCCCTAAAGTTACAAAGAAGAAATGCCTTGGAGCGAAACCAGAGAGAACAAAGCATGGGGAATTCTATACAGCAGGACGGTTGTCACGTAGATCCAGAAGCTCGTCATCGACGCCAGTGCCCTGAAATGAAATCTGAATTGAAAAGGACAAAAGGAGAAGGAAGAGAATGAGAATGAGAAAAAAAAAGTAGAGTGAAAGGAACAAAACAGAAGCAGACTCTAAATAGCCACATTCTTCATCTCCCCAAGAACCTCGGAATCTATGCCATTCGAGGATCCTGAGTGTTCCTCGCTCTTCTCAGACTTCTCCGCCTCAGACTTCAATTCTGGGAATCCTTCGTTCTCCTTGTTGGAGATCTGAGGAGTCGTAACTTCCAATAGATCCTCGTCTGACTCTTCCTTGCTCTCGTGTAGATCTTCAGAGATCGCAGGTCCTGAAGAAGCCGATGGTCCCTCCTCGGTCACCCGGGCAAGAGGACTGGACATATTGAACTGGGTCATGGGGCTCGGCGCAGGGCCACGGTTGGGGAAACGGTTCGGGGACCGGCCTCGTTCCTCTGCGCGAGTCGGGCTACCATAGGGAGATTCCCTGGTAGAGCCCTTCCCAGACGCATTCACACCCAATCCGTTAGGACCACGTCGGCGCTGTGGACGGCGACCGTACTTCTGATCGACTCGCCAGCGCAGAATCTCCAAGTATGAAGGTTCAACGTTCTGTGCCTTGAACTCCTTGAGTTTCATCTCATTTGTCTCCTCGTCGATCATGACCCGGCCGCTGCAGAGGTCATCGGCGAATGTAGCGAGGAAAGCGGCCCAGGACCGGGCAATTACGTATTTACAGTCGTAGTCGCGGCCGAAGATGATGATCTGGCCCCATTTACCAGCAGGACCGGGGGCAAGATCAATAGCGATGTGGTTACCGCCCCAGTCGCGCGCCAACGGAATCCAGGCAGGGTGAGCATATGCCTTCTGCACCGCACCGGGGGGGTTGGGAGTCCTGGCGATCGAGCAGATCATTTCGCCATGTGGCACCTTGTGGAGGGGCGGCGGCGGAGGAACTGGCGGCAGAGCTAGAGACGGGGGTGGACATCATGGCGGCGTTGAGGTATTCATCGTTGACGGTTTTCCAGTTTCGGCGCTCCTGAACAATCTCCTCGCAATCAAGCAACATAGTGCTGAAAAGCACACCAGTGGGCAGACCGGGCCGCTCTTGTCCATCGTGGAGCATCAAAGATTCTCGCAACTCGAGTGGCAGACTGCAGTCCAGCTCGTGTTCCAATTCATTAATGTCGTTCTGTGTGCATCCTTCACCAAGGTTATCCAAGAGTTCCTCGTAGTTGCTTTCTAGCCAACGTTCGATTTTCCGCCAGGAGTGAGCGACCGGGGGTGGTGGTGGCGCTCCGTCGTGAAAGCTTTGCATCTGAATTTCCCCTGACTCTTGATCATTGGATCTGCGTTTAGGTCCCATGGATCGCATTCCAGGCGAGTAAGGGCGGTTCGGTGAACCCATATCAACGGGGGATCCATTGAATTCGGAGGCGTGTGCAGTCGCTAGGCCCTTGGACGGCTCGTCGTCATAAGGATTGGAGAGATCATTGCGAGATTCAATGGCGCTAGTCGCAATGGATGTGAGAGGTTCATGGCGACTTTGATTAAGGGGAACATGTTGACCAGTTCGGTAGGGAGAATCGTGGGAGGCATGACGATCATAGGAGGTCATGGTATGCCAAAAGGAGCGCCATGCGGAACCGAAACTGTCAACGGTTAGGATCTCAGAACTAATACAATCGTGTCTTGCATCATATCCAGATGAATCTCTAAATCATTGAAGAAAGGGTAAGACTAACGGATTCGCCATGGTGGAGGTTGGCAGATGGAGAGGGGGAAGTAGGTTTTTTTTTTGGTAGGGAAAGGGAAATCAGGGTAGAGCGGTCATTGGGGAGACCGAGTCCCGCGGTTTAAAAAAAAACAAAAAAAAAAAAACAGGATAGATGGAGTTTCAGTTAAGTGTAAAAGGGAACAGAAAAAGAAAAAGAGTAAAGATCAAATGTGTTGAAAATCTATTAAAATTAGAAGAAGAAGAAGAAGAAACAGGAAAAGATGATCGGATTTCCCCGTGATTTTGCTCTACTTTAACCTCGTCACTCTTTTCCCCCCTGGCTGCATCCAGGTTCCTCAGGCATGCAGATCATGATGTCGACAAACTGAGTGCAGCATACTTGGAATTAATGAGAATTCAAAGAACTTAGTATGTACTGCTGTTCTTTGCTTTTTCTATCTGTTAACAGAAGTGCCTACGATGTATACCGCACATGAGCAAGTCTCATTCAGACTGTTTATTATGGTACAATATCAAGGACCCAAATAAAGGACCAATTACTCCTGAAGACCCTTTTCTATTCTGTAGCACTCTTGGCTCTCATCTTCTAATTGATGATACACCCTAGAAGTGTCAACTTCAGCCACCGCGGCGTCGAGACTCCGTCCCAATTAAGCTTCATGAGAACCGAGACAAGATCGACGAGATCCCCAGAGAATCCAAAGTCAACAAAGTGACTCTATACCGGCGATGTTGTATACTCAACATATGAAGATATTGGTTATCTTCTTCTGCGGATAAAGTACTCTGTAGGGAGTAGAACAGAATGATAGGATAGCACGCATCCACGCATAATCAAAACCCGTTGGGCGGATCGTAACTGGTTATAAAATTAGACCTGGACCACTTCAATGGATTCAATGGACACCAATTGAGCAGAAAAGTGGAGCCGACCAGGTGGCGTCGGCGCGACCCAGATTAAAAAGGGGAACATTGCGACGCAGAAACATCGAGACCGCGTCAGCTCAGGTTCTGTGGAGTGTATGATGCACTCTGGATATTTCTCCTGATATCTCAGGGACGATGACCTACCAGTATATTTGTGAGATATGTAGGATCCATCCAGAAGTTAAATTCAACTCATCTAGAGACTCGTGGTCTTGGACCCTTATCTCAACGGACTCTGGCCCAGATTCTTATTGGGATCAACATGGTGGACCAAACACCTTATGGTTCTCTGTGGCTAGGGGTTCCCTGGTCTTCGGATATTGGCCGGTGATTCGACGCTCCGAAATAGTGTGGCTCGGGGTGTCCACTTAATCTGCATGCAGTTTGGTCTCGCCACGGGATGTTGATGATTTGCCACTGGAATGAACTGGGAAGACCTATGGAGTATGGAGTAGAATATTCTTAATTGATGTTTTCAATACCAAATGTACTTGGCAGTCCAATGTGCGGAGTATGTGATTGTGGATGGTTAAGGTAAAGCACTGAGGAAACAGGGTCATGTGATCTCAGATATGCTGAAACATGACAAGCGCTGAGACTAACCACAATACATGTTGAGATACATGATCAGAAGATAAAGAAAAAGCAAAGATATCACTTTGGAAATAAAAGAGCGAGTGGGCATTCAAGGAATTGCCAAAAACAAGGAGTAAGCACCCTGACGATGCGTCAAGTACAGATAACATATTGGCCATCTCAGTACCAGGGATATGTCAGAATAGCCAAGAACCACAAGAGGACTGCAGGACTGCAATCATTCATGAGGTCCATGTACAAACTATGAATCAAACCGGAATACATGGAGATAAGAGTATACAACCATGAAAACGAAAAAGAAACTTGTTAAAAACAAATAAAGCCCATCTTCTAGGCACTCTCACGATAACGAACCAAAGAAAAAAAAAATAATGAATGAATGCTCATAGCCCTCTCCAGCTGGACCGTCAAAAACCACCTGTAACCAGGTATCGCAAAGTACTTGGAAGATCCCGACTCCGAACGATGCAAAAACAAAGGTCACTCCTATCCTCATTCATCAAGAAGAGGATAATAGAAGTATGACCCAATCACTGTACCGAGAAGACAAGACCTGTGTATCTCAAAAACACCCTTAACCAAGTACCTCATAAGCGAAGGAATGCCAAAACGAACCCACCGAAGGGGCTGGACCTGTCCAGGTTACCCTTAAACCCAATGTAGAAGCATAGAATATCAAGAAACCAAGTGAAAATGCACCAATTTGTAATGAATGGAAAAAAGAGGAATACAAACGGAATCACAAGAACGTAGCGTGATCAGACCCCTTAGAGGTCTGTGGATTTGGGGAAGAAAAGGCAAAAGAAAAAGACAGAAAAACAGAAGGCAACGATCATGGAATGACCAGAAATCAGGCAAAGGAGCTCTGAATACCCGGTGCTGCATCCAACTTCAAGATACGTCGAAGATCATCCTCCATCTTCTTAGTATCAACGGACTTAGAAGGTGAGGGAGAACTGGTCGGCATCTTGAAAGCTGCAGTTGCGTATTGCGGCTGAGGAGAAACATAGTGGGTCGGAGGAACAGCAGTTTGAACCGGACCACCCCTCATGTAAGGATTAGGATTGCCATAGGGTCCTGAAGAAGGCACATTGTAGTGAACCGGAACCTCTCGCCGCAGTGGAGACTCCGAGTTGCGCACATGAGAATGACCATTCGCGTAAGGGTACGAAGTACGACCGGCATTATTGGGCATCTGCTGGAGAGGTACCGGTGAATGTCCCTGTGAATGTCCCTGTGCCCAAGAAACCGGAGCAGGAGGACCGGAATTAGCCCGAGTGGGAGTCGCATAGTGCGGGAAATTTCCATTACTGTGATGGCCGTTCACGTGGTTGGCAGGGTTGAGAGGATTGACAGTGTATTGAGGTTCCTGGGCGGGGAACACTGACGGCTTCTGGGGGCGCGGATTAAGAAGCATATGTTTCAGTTCCTGAGTCTTCAAACGTCGCTGTGCGTCGGCATCCAGGGATTGAGTGCTCGAAGAGCGCAAGGCGTTCATGCGATCCTGATAAGAAGGAGCAAACGAAGGGCCAATGGGCGATGCGCGCGCCTGCTCCGAAGGGTCCATCTCGAATGCGAACATGCCTCCAGATGAGTTTGAGTGAAGGTACTTTGAGTCGGTCTGAGGCGAGCGCATGCGACTGGTGGTCTCCGGACTGGTCATGGGATTTGACTGGCGCGCCTGCACAGCAGCCTTGAACAGGAAATCAAGAGGGGTACCCTTTGGCTCATTCACCTCAGGCTGCGGGAAACGAGCCCGGGGCTTGGAGGGAGTTACTTCAAGATCACCGTCCATATCGGCCATATCGGCGGTATCACTATCAGTCTCCAGGGTAGGTGCAAGATCAGATTCGGGTAATGACTTGGAAAAGAAACTTGGAATCGGCAAAGCAGACGGCGCAGGAGAAGCATGGAAGGTAGGCCCTGCATAGGCGCTATCCTTTGGTTGCTGTTGTTGCGGGGTAAGATTTGAGTGCGAGGAGGTGTGCCGATGACCATTCTGATTTTGGCCATTAGGCGCGGGCGAGGCTCGATTCATGTTGTCCCTGGGTTTCTTTCCCGAACGTGGGGGCTTTTTCTTGGAATGAACGTTATTGACAATTGAGGAATCTGTGGCGACACCACCTGGGCTCATATGATGCGGCGGAGAAGATGGAGGGGTGTTCAAAAGAACCGCCTTCTGTGTAAGTGGAGTACCGTTCTTCTTGTTTGGGCGACGATTGTTATTGTTGTTGTGGTTGTAGTTGTAGTTGTTGTTACGAGGGCCCTTGGGTGTGGGTGGGTGGGGAGATTGGGTCGACATGGCGACGATTTGGCTTGAAAAATAGGCAGCCTGGTTGAAGAGATGAAGAAACAGAAAGTAAAATCACAGAGCAGACGCTAAGAAAAAGCAGGGGTAAGGATATCAAGGAGAAAGCCGGTCCTGTCACTGCTCAGCAGCTGTCGACGATATTAAGATGATGGTAACGCCAGAAGCGTTGAGAAGGGTGAAGAAGTAGTAGAGTGTGGTGAATGTTGCAAGAGAGAAAGAGAAAGTAGAAGAGAAAGGAAGGGTCTAGGGCGCAATTAACGACAGCAACAAAGCATTAGAAGACATGTCTCTAAAGTGGTGAGGTAGGGTAAGATGAGTCGAAGGAAAGTGACGGAGGAGTTCCAAGTTGGCGGGGACACATGACTAAGGATTTTGCCGCTGGAACAGTGGGGTTTTGTTCTGTTTGTTAAGGCAGAGAGAGACGGATTCACCATCTTAGAGCCTCATTCCACCTTTTCATGTTTTGAATTCTTTATTCATTTCTTTTAACATACCTGAAATACCTCGAGCTGCCTACATTGGTGATCTTTGTGGATCGCCCATTCCGTTACGTCAGTTGTCTATCTCATAGCCCTCCCGAGAGGTCCTCCCAGCTTCCCGATCTACCGACCATCCCACACCTCCACTCCTCACTCTAGATACATTTGAGTTGCAGCCATGGTGGACGTCGAGATGAAGGATTCCAGTGCATCCTCTTCCAAGGGAAAGGCTGTTGCAAAGAGCTCCGATGGTGCTGCTGATGGCAAGAAGAAGTTCGAAGTGAAGAAGGTACAGAGATACCTGATACCTTGGGGGCCGTTGACGATCATGACAATATACTAATTACTACGCCTAGTGGAACGCTGTTGCTCTCTGGGCTTGGGATATTGTTGTCGACAACTGTGCTATTTGCCGAAACCACATCATGGATCTGTGTATGTGACCGGCTAGACGACTAGACCGACTATTGGCATGGAGCTCTAGCTAATCACGAACAGGCATCGAATGTCAAGCAAACCAGGGATCATCTACAACAGAAGAGTGTACTGTCGCGTGGGGTATCTGTAACGTGAGTGAATCGAAACCTGAGTACTCTTTCGACTGGCACTAATCATGGGCGATATCTAGCACGCGTTCCACTTCCACTGTATCTCGAGATGGTTGAAGACCCGTCAAGTGTGCCCACTGGATAACCGTGACTGGGAGTTCCAGAAGTATGGACGTTAAAATACTACGAGGATTAAAACACGGGGCCACAACAGTGCAACGGGCCTGGTTGCTGCGCACGCATGTTCCCAATGGCTATGATGAATGGAGGGAGGACGACGAGCACCCTTTGAAATACAAAGGACTTGATGATCTTATTTTATTGGCGTTTAGGTAGTTATTGCCATGGTATTCTCTTGAAGACCTGATAGACTCCATCACTTGCTTTCATGTAGACAGTTCGTATGTCCGCTTCATGCCACCTTAACTCCATCGACTACCACGCGTGGATTCCCTGATTTCTTTGATTTATTGAACCATTTCTCGGGATTCTGGTTGTAGAAAGGCCACGGTGGGACTACCACAAGAGCAGTGAACACGGTGCCACCTAAGCCAACCCAGAGTGTAAGGTAGATGTCTTTGTAGATGTATCCGACGAGGAAGCTGACAATCTATACAGAAATTATAATTAGCAAGCTGGTAATTTATGATCTATCATTTTGAATATATAGGGAACTTGCTCCAGAGATCACTAGCAACACGGTGCTTAGCAGCTCAGCAAGGCGCTGGCCATGGAAGTCCTGTTATGAATGGTTAGTTACCACTACCACAGATTAGAGTTTTAAGCTTGATTCAAGAATACATACAATCTGACCCTCTAGGGCATCCCGAATCGGTGCAAGTAATTCATCCATGATCGTGTTTGAACTGGATTGATCAATCTGGGGAGCTGGGACGGCTTATCGCAAGGGTGTCATTTGCCCACCGCCTCCGCCTCCGCTTTCATCGTTGAGGTGCCCAGCTCCATATGTAGTATAAGTTATTTAGATATTGGAACACACATCATTCAATACATGAGGGAATTAAAGCAGATAAATCAAAAATCAAGTGGAATCAGGAAATCGTAATTCATCTATGTCTATAGCGCATTCATGATCTTTCACTTGACACTATCAGCTCGGACAAATCTAGGACCCACTATGTACAGAAACAGAAACGCCTGCAGAATTCCGTGTCTCAGGTCATCTGCATTCTGCAGCCGCAGCACTCACAGAAAGCCATTCACAGAAAGCAGCGGTGAGTCGAAACTTGCGACAGATCTTGCGACGCCACATGGCCCTGGTGGGACAGGTCAACCATCTGGCATGTGCATCGCAAACTTTAGCGATTGGTTTCTCATCGAAGGTGAGATTGGATCCCGATGACGTGGTATAATTCTTGTTTTTTATTTAGTTTCTTTTTCAATATATTGTATATCGTATTTAATTCGGGGATACAGTTGTACCCTCCTGTGCGGGTTCCAGCAACTTCCATTGGCAGGTAATTTTGTTCTCGGCGAACCGTGCGATAATGCGGTCTGCGATTTCGTCAAAGTGATCAGTCGCCAGAGCCAGGATGGTTGGTCCTGCACCAGACAGACAGATACCCAGAAGACCGGGCTGAGTGGCCGGGGTCATGAACTGGAGAATCTCAGTCAGACCGGGGATGAGGGTCTTGCGGTAGGGTTGGTGCACGCGGTCCTGCATGGCAAGGAAAATCATATCAGGGTCTGGGGGAGAGGTTCCCAGAGCGGCGGGCAAGAGTGCCGCGCGTTGCAAGTTGAAGACCTATATCTGATTAGTCTATGACTCATATCCTAGCTTGTTGATCCCAGAACTTACCACATCGGCGCGAGTGTAGGTTTGAGGAAGGACGTTACGGGCATTAGCGGTGGGCACGACAAAGTCCGGGATAATGGCAATAGCCTTGATCTCGGGGGCCCAGTCAAACTTTCGGTAGTGACCAATGCCCAGTGGGGGCTCTGGGGGGTTGGAATCCAGTGTCAATGCCACCTGCAGGTGCGGGGAGGACCTCACTAAGAGGGATTTCTTTGCGGGCAACATCTTCCGGCTTGAGTTCGTTCAGATAGGTACCCACAAAGCCTCCGAACAGGGATGCAGCCACGTTATCCGGGTGACGCTCTAAAAGATCATCAGTATGCACGCAATATGGTGGGGTAGGAAGTTTTATTGATATAGGCTCGAGACCCTTAGAACAGGGAAGTTGGACGGGCACTTACCAATCATCAAACAGTAGTCCAGCAATCGATCCTTGCTCAATCCTAAGTTACCAACCGCATTACCCAGCATGACACCGGCCACGACAGCTGTGCCAGATGATCCCAGACCTCGGCCTAGTGGGATAGGGTTGATGATGTGGACCTTGGTTTCAACAGGGAAGGCGCGCTGATTGTGGCATCGTAGAACATAGAGGGCGACACGAGTGATCAAATTGACCTCGGGGTCAAGGCTGATCTGCTCTGTGCTCTTACTGCGATCTTCATAGGTGATTGCGCAGTTCAAGGGGAGATCGGAGGAGGACTTGGAGGAATCGACGGTGACGTGGATTTCGAGGTGGAGGGACAGTGCCAGACCGATGACATCGAATCCGGGGCCAATGTTGGCGGAGGAGCAAGGAGTTCTAATCACGAAGGAGGACATGGTTATGAATGACCAAATATCTCCAGGTTTCTATGTTCAAGGTCTATACAAATCCGTTTCGAGGTATGACTCGATGCGGGGCTTGGCAGTAAAGAAAAAATTCCGGTCCGAGGTCGGGGCAAGTGGAGTCAATGATTACAGGCATGGTTCATCCAATGATTTTAATAGGGTAGACTTTATTTTTTTTTTGCTGTATAGTATACCTAGGTAAGTATTAAAATACCAATATGTGTACACAGAACTGGATAATCTATGATATGTATCTCGGTGAGTTTCCCCATGCTCCCCTCCCTTAAGCCCAGCCCAGTCACGGGATCGGGTGGCACAGAAGATTTTCAGCCCGCTCTTGATGCCTCCACTATTGGGTACTTTTTAGTCCTTTAGTCTGGATTTTACTCCGTAGTTCTCCGTCTTTGTCTAGCGTAGAAGAAGTGTAATGATTGACAAAAAAGGAAAAGAGACATGTGTCCTATCTCCCCTCTTGCCCTAGTCCACAGGTTACTCTTTAGTAATTTTAGTACTAGTAGTTTTAGTGTATGCGGGAAAAGATGGACCAGTTGAGATTATATGCCAAATCAGAAACAAGTATTGCTTATTCGGTAGTTCTTAATCGAATGATTCTAAGTGGTCAATACTTTGAACCTGCATATATAGAGAGAATAAATAGACCAATGGTACCTAGAAGGGGTATCCTTTGTGTATACTCGTATACAGATATAAGATAGGAGTAATATAGGAGTAATATAGAGGCCTTAGGTATTCGTATAAAGAAGTAAGAAGTATGACGAAGTATAACCTGGTAAATCACTCACAGCCAATCATTCCATGCGCATGTGCGCAGTAGGCGAAACTTAACGGGAAACGCCGTGACCCGCAGTGAAATTTTCATTATATAGGAGAGAGATATTTTCAAATGTTTGTATATAGAGAGTATTTATTTATTTATTTTAGTATATAGAAGAGAGATAGGAATGTATCTATTATATATTTATCTATTTAAAATTATGAACTTCCAGTTAAAAGGTTATTTATATCTATAATAATGCCAGTATTTGAGGATCTTGATGGATCAAATTCTTTGTCAAAGTGGGTTCCCGTCCACGGTCTAGTTCAACTCGCCACTACCTACTTTAGCGTCCTGGATTTTCTTCTTTCTCTCCTTCCCCCCCTAACTTCTTTCCCCCAAAAATTTATTTCCCACCGTGATTCACTGTGGGAGCTTTCTCTTTTTCTGAAATACTACCCGATCACTGAAGTTTCTTTTTTTCCCATCCAATTGAGGACTGCACCTTCATCCGAAGTTTCTGCAATCCCGCTTGCGACGAGCTCGCTCTTAACGCCGCAGTCCGCATCACCAACTCACAACCCTGGAGCACCCGGGCTCCTTTTTACTCGACTCCTTCAAGTTGGCGGGACTTCGCTACACCAAGGCCTCTCTCCTTCACCCTCTTGCGGGTCCCAAGTTCCGGGTCTTCTGCGGGGGCGACACCAGACCCCCCCTAACTCGACTTACACCCATCCAACTGTGGCAGCCAGACGTGTGTCGGTAACTCCAGACCCTTGTACAGGGTCTGGTTCATGGATGGAGGGCCGTCGACCATAAACGGACTTCTTTACCGACCTGCGTCTGCAGCTGTTTAAGCTGCCAAATCGCAATATCAAAATACAATACACACCAAAAAACCCAAGTTCCTCAAAGGACAACCAAAAACAGTTTCCTCACCTCACCACTATTCAAGCTGGCTTACTGATCGAGTTTTCAATTTTCTGTCGGTTTCCGAGCTCTCAAAATGTCTGACACCCCTCGTTCGGAGAAGGAGCTGTGTCTCACCCGATTCAGCACCCCAGTGCCGGAATTGGACGACCACCGCTTCTCGATGGATCCTCCACGTATTGAGACCACTATGGAGGATTCGATGAAGGAGTTCAACTTCGGTCACCAAGGACCAAAGGGAGAGACTCTGGACCGTCCCGATCTCTTGCATGCCAATGACGCTCTACGTGATGGTCCCTTGTTCCGAGACTTTGAACAAGCTGTCGTGGATGCCTCAGATGATGAAGGAAACGGGGTCGGCCATCGCTTCTCTGCTGATCCCACGGCTCAGTTCCAAACCCCACGCCGCATTAGCGTTGGCCATCAAGACCTGGGCACTGTTTCCCGCGCCTCGTCTGTGTCCGCTCGGTCATCCTCGCCACCAAACTCCGTGGATGCCTTCGCTGATCCTCGTCGCCGTGAACGCGCCAATACTCTCGACAGCCATGGCCCTCCAGATCTCGAGGCCATGCTCCAGCGCACCGTCTCTGGCGGTACGCAGGCCCGGCGTCCGACTTTCAGCAATGCGAGTGTCATTCGCCCTCAGCCTGGTGATCTTCCCGATGGCCCGGAAGAGGCTTGTGTTCATCCATTCGAGGAGCCTGGTCGAATCCCCGTCATCGACTATGAGGAACTGGAGGAGTTCGTGGCCCTGAACCAACAGGTCAGGACTACTATTGCCCGCCGTAAGCACAGCATGAGCTCGCAGAGCAAGAGCCCTCGCATCTTCTACGATCTGCGCCCCGGTGAGAAAGGCCAGACGGGTGGGATTCAGAAGTCCGAATCAACCGATACGACTGGTACGTACCGAGCCAATGAGGATTCCGAGGAAGAGTTCCCCAAGGTTGTCGACGAGAAGCAACTGGTGGAGAATCTCCCCAATATCAGTGACCCTATGCGATTTGGCTTCTTCTCTTCTGAGTCCCAGACAACAGTCCATGCTGCAGACCTTGGAGATTTGGTGCTCCCTGGTGATAGCTTCCGTGACCTTTTCCAGCTGGGTCCTGAGGGTGGTGTATGGTGGTTGGACGTGGTCAACCCTACTGAGGAGGAGCTGGGTGCAATCTCCCGCGCATTCTCCATCCATCCCCTGACAACCGAGGATATTCTCACGCAGGAAGCTCGTGAGAAGGTCGAGCTGTTCAAACAGTACTACTTTGTCTGTTTCCGCACGTTCTTCCAGATGGACAAGACCAGTGAGGAGTTCCTGGAACCGGTCAACTTCTACATGGTGGTCTTCCGTGATGGAGTCTTGACCTTTTCATTTGAGAACAACCCTCACGCTGCCAACGTTCGCAAGCGTATTGGAAAGTTGCGTGACTATGTCTCGCTGAGTAGTGATTGGATTTGTTACGCCATGATGTGAGTGTCCCCAGCTGATTGCCCCCAGCTGATTGCCCCCAAATTTATATTCACGTATACTAACAAGAACCAGTGATGACATTGTTGATAGCTTTGGTCCTGTTATCCGCGATGTCGAACTCGAATCCGAGGCAATTGAAGACCATGTATTCATTGCCCGAGTAGACGACTTCGAGTCCTTCTTGCCCCGTATTGGTGGTCTCCGCAAGAAAGTCATGAGTTTGATGCGCCTTCTTGGTGGAAAGGCAGATGTCATTCGAGGATTCTCGAAGCGTTGCAACGAGCAGTACTCGGTGACTCCACGTGGCGATATTGGTCTTTACTTGGGTGATATCCAGGATCACGTCGTGACCATGATGTCCAACTTGGCTCACTTTGAAAAGATGCTGAGTCGGTCGCACACCAACTATCTGGCCCAGCTGAATGTCACCAACTTGGTTCTCGGTAACCATGTGAACAAGGTTCTTAGCAAGGTGACCCTCATCGCTACCATGCTCGTCCCCATGAACTTGATCTGTGGTCTGTTTGGTATGAACGTGAATGTCCCTGGAAAGGACGCCGGTGGCCTGGGATGGTTCTTTGGTATCTTGGGAGTAATGGGAGCTATTGTTGTGGTGAGCATGTGTCTTGCACGTTGGCAGAAGTTAGTTTAATGGTTTCGTCGAATTTCTGGATTTTTTTGTTGGATTTAGATTTCCTTTATCATTCTCGTGATTTCCTGGCTTTATCTGTTGATACCTCTTATGGCATACAGCTCTGCGAGCGAGTTTGTCTGAATACATACGATAGCCATTACAATTGAAATTTTCATTTTCATAAACATATTAGTATTATCTATTAAATAATGCTCTATTACCTAAAATCAAACATAGTCGGCATAGCCATAGGACCCCCAACACCACACAACTCCTCAATCGTGACATCAAAATCCAAACCAAAAAGATTCAAATTCACATCCGTCTCAACCTGTAACCCCTCACTCGGATCAACAAGCTGCGACCCAGATGCAGATCCATAGCCCTCAAACCCAGTAACCCCATTCTCAACATGAGACAAGCCAGAAGTAGTAGCAATAATCTTCGAAGCCTCAAGGCTAGCAAGTTGAAAGGTCTTCTCAAACCAAATCTTCGCAGCAGAAAGCCACTCAGAATAATGCGAGAACTCCATATCCTTACAACTCTTCGCGACATGATCCAATCGATTAATGAAATACTGGAGAATATTCGACATGTCGAGTGCATCACGCAGGTTCTGAACCTGCGGATTATGTCGTAGAGAAGGATCCAGGGCAGCAATAACCATTTTACATGCTGCGGCGAGTAAGAACCCAATCTCAAGCCAGTTTATTATGTTGAAACTTGTTTCAAGAAGCGGCGGGAGGGTGTAATAGTATTCCAGGAATCGTTTCATGGATGCAAGACCGTGACAGAGAATATCACTTCTGGAGATGAGGAGGAAATTGTCTTGGGTTGTTGTGGATTTTTTGTCGAGGAGGGTTATTTGGCAGAGTTGGAGTTCGAGGGTATGGTATTGTGTTGCGATGAGGACTATCACTATTATTAGTATTGTCCTCCAGGTGGTATATGGATTGGATGTGTTTGAAACTCACCATCACAAGTAGGAGGAACAACCAATTGATTCTTATACTCCTCTACCTCATTACGGAATAACCGAATCCGTTGTTCCACATCGGAGTGTCCTTCAATACCAATCGCTGTGAGTGTATTCATGCGTTCGAGCATACGTTGTAACTGGACATAGTAGATCATGTACTTATCTCCTGGGTACTCGCATTTCTGCGATAGATCTGCCGCGCAGGATTCTATGAATGATGACCAGGGGAATGTGCATGTTTTTTGCATGAGGATTGAATTTCTGAGATCATTAGTATGTTGATCTCGTATATGGAGAAACTGAGGTTGTATGCTCACGTTGAATTCAGCAAGAATATGCCGATGAGTGCCCTACTCTCCTCTGGACCTGGGCCATTCTCTACCTCTGTTTGATCGGTCTCACCAGCTATATCTAGTCGTGTGGCGACTCTGTGTTGGGGTGGACGGTCCATTCTTGAATCATTGATAATGCCTATGGCAAGGTGAATGTAATGAGAGAAGCGACATAATTGATAGAGCTGGCGAGTTCTATAGACAATTAGTATAGAGCAAGAGACAGAATATTATGAGAACATACCCAGCTAGAATTACCAACAGTCCCTGAATTGTTTCCAAATGAGGTGGATGGGCATCATGAGCAGAATGAAGGATGACCTCCGCCACGAATCTCTTCAACAACTCCTCTAGGGATTTAAGTAACACATCATCTCTGAAAGAAGAGACGGTGAGAATGCAGAGAAGTAGGAAAGGCTTTTCAGCTCGGAGTTCTTGAACTGTGGTGGCTTCTGGTATAACCACAAAGGGGAATAAGAGTGACGATTTTCGATATTCCTGTAGTAAATCTGTTGCGAGATCATAGCTGACGAGGCCTTTTCCGATTGCATCGACGATGTCAAGTCTCTGAGTAGTACCACTGGAGTGCCCACGCCCCTTCTTAGCATGCGTATGTCCCTTGGCAATGACGTCTGTAGTGTCACTTTTGGGGGTAGAATGAGATGTATCTGATCCGTGGGATCGATTGATTTGACCCATAATTAGGTCAATCTTATCCTCTAGCGCCTCTATGCGTCTGCCACATCATTAGTACAAAGTACATACGTGGTCTAGATAGTTAGTTCTGCTTACGTTGAGCGCTTCTTCTGGGTGGCACGCGGCCGAGCAGGTCGGAAATAACATTCTTTCTTTAATCGAAGACATCTATATAGAGTTAGATCAGATCAGATCTGGGACCTCAAATCGGATAAATCAGATAAAGGAGTAATACCGATCACATATTAAAGATCCAGGTGTGTGGGAACATCGGATCTTAGCTCGAACACAGTTCTCACAGGTCTTGACCCGCACACCGGTATTTCCCTCGCTCATCAGGAATCTGTATCCGTTTAGCTCGTTTAGTTCGTACGGAGTACAAAAAATAATATCGGACACGGAACCCGGACTGAGAGTAAGGGCTCCGTATGTACCTTTTAATCAAATCAATCCGCGGACACGGCGTTCAAATTTTACCCGGAAGATCCGACGGACACGGACTTGATAATGGAGTCCGTATCAGATTAACCAATCAACGTGAATATTGATACCTAAAATTGGGGCTATATTACTAGTAAGACTACCATGACTAGCATGACTACATAGTAGAGGCCCAAGGCGTCCAATATATACGGAGCATTTTATGATCCTGTCATGTAAGTGGAATCCTATCATCCTTCGGGATCTCCATATTAGGACAAACCAAATGAGATTAACTGCACCGCCCAGGAAAATAAGCTTGATTCAAGTTTACACAGCCTTGTCAGTTTCGGAGTTTTATGTGATTCAAGGTTAAAAAAAGAAAAAGAAACATTTTTGAAAGGATCTGGACTTTAGGCATTCAGATTCAACAGATCTCAAGTGCCGGAGTTTGTGTATATAGCTCTGTTGGGATTCCTCCAATATCATGATATCTCATGCAAGACGCATTCAACTTCAGATCAATCTATCCAAGCCTTGCATTGGGATAATACAAATCAATTCCTTCGATATCTATCAATATCTATTGCCAATATTCCCCTGATTCACCGTTGAAGCTCAAACAGTTGAAATTCCTAATTCCGACTCACCATGTCCGACACATCCAACTGTACCATATCAACATGTCCTATGAGCGAGGCTGAAATCGACTACATGCCTAATGTCCCTGCCAATGCCTTTTTCGTCGCCCTCTTCGCTGTCGTCTTCTGCATTCAATTATTCGCAGGGGTGTGGTACCTAACATGGGCATATACAGCTGCCATGCTTCCAGGTTTAATCCTGGAAGTATTGGGATATGTTGGGCGGATTATGCTACATCAAAACCCCTTTAACTTTAACAGCTTTCTACTGTATGTGATTCAATTATCAAGAACACTGACATAATACTGAGAACTATTCTGACAAATGTATAAAAGATACCTTATCTGCTTAACCATTGCCCCCGCCTTCTTCAGTGCCGCCATCTATATCTGTCTGGGAAGGATCATCACCATCTATGGGACTCAACTCGCACGATTCCGACCTCGAACATATACTATTATCTTCGTATCCTGTGACTTGACCTCCCTGGTACTCCAAGCAGCTGGTGGAGCCATCGCCTCTATCGCCGACAGCGGCCAAGTCAGCTTACAGAACACGGGTATCAATATCATGATTGCAGGATTAGCCTTCCAAGTCGCTTCTCTTCTGCTATTCATGGTCCTGGCTACTGAGTTCATCTTCTCTGTTCACAAGAACTCCAAGGAGAGGAATGATAAGTTCACCGGTCTTCGTGAACAGCGGAAATGGAAGATGTTTCTTTACTGTATGTGATGTGACTCCATTATACCAGTTGGGATATACATACTGATACTGATACTTCATAGGTCTTGGACTTGCAACTGTGACCATCTTTATTCGATCCACTTTCCGTGTTGCAGAGTTGCAGGGTGGATTCTCAAGTTCCTTGGCTAATAACCAAGTTGATTTGATGGTCCTAGAGAGCTCAATGGTCTCTATCGCTTGTATTTGTTTGACTATTGGTCATCCGGCATTCATCATCGGTCGGACTTGGCGTTCTCTTTGAGCATCTCTACTCTTATATTACCTTTGCACGTTGTGCTATGATTTGTCACGGCGTCTTTATATACATATGCTGTGATGCAAGATGAACAAGAGGGTTCTTCCAAGGCGTTGAATATGAATTTGAGGGCCCTGAATTTACTGTTTCATTTTGGCTATTTCAAGTCAAGCTGTCTATACATGAGCATTACATGATGATTTTACGTCATTTTTTTATAGTTGTTTATTTTGTCTTATCCTCGACAAGTTGCGAGAAAATATTCAAATTATACTACTTTCATCCGCTGAAGATTATAAAAATTTAACAAGTGTATAAAATTTGACCAATTACATACACTGGCAATTACATACGCAGGATTCCACGCAAAAAAAGTTTGAATGGCATTATTTCTTTCCTGGCTCCCGACGTCTCAAGATAAAGTGTCCTTCTCTCGCTGAAGCTTTGAACTCATCGAGGGATAGTTCGCTGGCCGCGCCTGGAGGATGGTCTTCAAGTAGTCATCCTGATCGGAGATAGAGACTTTCCTGACATCTTCTCCCAGGGTCACGCAAGAAGTACCATCTTCAATGGTCCAAGTGATATGTTCCCTCAAGCTTGACCGAAGTAGAGCTTGATAGAGTGATCCGACATGGCGGCTGTTGAGGAGGTCCTGATATTGATCTTTGTAATTTCGGAGTGCAGCCTCCACGCTCTGTTTCACCTCCGGCTTTTCGGCATCCAGGAATGCGACTACGCGATTCAAGACGCCTTCAGGTAACACTCGGCTGTCTAAAGCTCTGACAGCAGCCTGTCGGACAAAACAATCATCGTCTTGTATGCATGTGACTGTGCCATAGATAAACTGGTCGGGCAGGAGCTCGATTCAAACGGTTACAGTCCTCCAGCGTTAGCAATAGATCGTTCAGTAGCTCCTGAGCCAAGAATTTTCCTGATTCATTGCCAATAGCTTCAATAGCAGCTTCTTGAACGCCTTTCTCTTCACCCTTGAGCCTCACGGTTATATCCTGAAGCATATTATCAGGTAATTTCTTCTAGTTCATTATAGTTTTAAGAGCGGTCAATCGAGTGCCATGATCCTGGCTCTTCAATCTTGCAGATATACTCTCAAGTACCTTATGAGAAAGCGCCGACTGATCTGTCAAGGCATCGCGAGTATTGTCTCCAACAGAAGCATTTTTGTGTTCAAGTCTTGTGGCCAAATCTGTCATTATGTCAGGTAAGGTTTTTTGTCCCACTAAGACATTTGGAACAAGAATCTCGCTAAAACTATCCCCATCTAGCTTCAAACATGACTTCAATATCTCCATGGATATATTTGAAAAACACGCTAAGGCCTTCAGAGTGAACTCTTGTATACCTTCATCTTGGCCTTTTAGTCCGATGAGAAGGAACTTGGGTATCTCATCGGGTAAAGCAGATTGACAGCCCAAGGCTTTGAAAGCGGCATAACGGACCTTTCTGCTTTCGTCTTCTAACCGGGAAGCTATAACCCTGATGATAACATCTGGTAAGATTTCTCTTTACCTAAGCCTTCCACGGCAGCTTCACGGATAGTCTCATTTGAATCCTTCAAGAAAATGATTATGTCTTGAAGTGCCTCTTTAGATGAAACTGGTTGGCTGGCCAAGATTATTGAAGCTCTCATTCGGATCACCTTGTCCTCTTTATTCCGCTATGAATGTATCAAATTGAGTATCTCGGCAGGAAGGGCTCTCTGGCCGATCAGGACTTTGAAGGCAGCTTCTTGAAGTGCACCATGTTTGTTCTCTGCATATAAAGCTATGTCTTTGAGAATCGTTTCGGGAAAGATTTTTTTTTTCGCGTCAAGACTTTGACAGCGGCATCTCGGGTGTAGGAATTCTCGCTCTCTGCACAAGAAATTATGCCTTTGAGTATCTTTTCGGGCAAGACTTTCCTTCCTCTCAAGACAATAGTCGCGGCGTGTCTGATTTTGAACTTCTCGCTTCTTAGCTGTGCAAGTAATCTTTCAAGAGCCTCCTCAGGCAGAACTGGCTGCTCCTGAAAGAAATCACGAGCAGAAGCTCCGAAAAAGGTGCCATCGCCTACCCATTTAAAGGTCTGTTCAACAAAACTCTCGGAGAGTCCTGCCCTACTGGCAGATCTCTGTAAAATCAAACGCTTCATTTCATTGGAGCCTTCACGAAAAGCATACTCTAATGCTTGTAAAGGAAATTCTATTTCCCTTGCTAGATTGACGTTTCCGTCGATCTCAAACTCAAACAGCAACCACTCGGTCAGACCGTGTTCAAGATCTCTTCGACATAATAGCTCTCTCTCTCTCTCTTGGCACTTCACTGAGGCAGTGCATGATTAAGCGTTGATGTTTAGGTCCCAGAAGGTCCAAAGGTGCCTATTTCTTCAAAGAATTGGTTGATCTTGTTGTACTTTTTCCTGGTGAGCAAACCTGCAACAAAACGCCAAAAGACATCATATCGAGCAGTGTATTTGTGTCGTTGAAGAAACTTGATTGGATCTGATGGTGTATTTTGTTTGCTGCTGAAATAATACTCAAGGTGCTTGTTTCCAACCCAGTGCTGTGCAAGATATCGTGCCGCAAAGTATTCTTGAGAAGGTCAAATGAATAAAGTGGTAGCTTCGGTCTTCATGTCTTGATGACTCTGACGATCGTAGGAAAGACAGTCTGTTCATCGTATCGTTCACGGTCAAGGTCAGAGAAAATCTTCCAACTAATTTGTCTCGATGCTCTGGTGTAAATTTGATCACATCGCTGCACAAACCATTGAAGGCAAGACATTCAAGAAACTTTGTCTCGGGCTGGATATTTTGCGTAATCTCAGTTGGAAGGGCTTGTTCGGCTTCCCCTTCGGTCATCTTTTCCAACCTAACGGCGTCCTTTCTCCACAGATTCTCTTCAATCGCGCTGTATATTCGAGTCATTGTGTCCGGCACATCGCTACCCTTGAAGTCCTTCCAAGTGTAGCAAAGTGCATCTAGTTGGATTGGAATCCGCATGAGCCCTTGCATAAGCCAGTGAGCGTCAAGAAAGGTCTGGATTTTGACAGCGCTTTCTTTTGTACGAGGATCCGTCTCAAGGTACGCTTTTACCTGATCTGGGTAGAACCCAATCGTCTCGAGCTCAAGGTCAATATTCTTAACGCTAGCTGGAAGAGCGGCATTGGGCCTAGATGTAATGATGACATTTGGTTGGCATAAAAGATCCATGATGAGGCGAGACATCAGGTCCGGACGAGCAAGTTCATGGGCTACTTCGTCCAGGCTATCAAGGATAAACAAGTTCTGACACTTGTCGTATTCTGCAATTCCTTCAAAAGTTCTTTGGCGAGGACACGGCCTTCATCACACCCATGTTGGGAAAAGTATTCATGGTAAAATAGGCTCTCAAGATTATACTCCGTGTTTGGAAGGTCCTTCAGACTCCGCAACTGCACCCAAAGCCCCCAGTCAAATAGCTTCTTCCATGAGACATTTAAAGCCGTTTCCATAGTGCGGGTAAAGTGATAGCTTATTTTTATTTTTGTTTATTTTATTTTATTTTTTTTTGCAGCGTGTGGTCTTTCCAACACCCGCTCGTCCTCGGATCAAGATTCTTCTTGGCTGAATTGTGCGCTTATCATATGTCTCGCGCTGGTTAAAAATTGTCGACAGCTCAACCTGAGATGTTTCAGGGAGTATCTGAACCTTCTGTCTAGCCAAAAGCGAAAAACTAGAGGCCTCTCCATTTATCTGGCCTGCAGGTTCATTGGCAATCTTCTCCACAATGGCCAGATTAATATAGCACTGGTCCATCAGCAGCTCCTCACCAGAAAGTCGCACGATCTTAAGTCTAGACCCTGTATAATAGGTGCCTCGTAATAGGCTGTCGGCTTGATCAAGCAGAGATGGAGCTTGCAGCTTGCTTATAGCATCGTTGAGTTTTTGATAGAGCTTATCCTCAAAGCCAACGCACTTGTTGAGCCCAGAATGATCAGTATCAATATCCACTTGCTCATCTCCATGTACTACAGCTGAGGGCCGCGAAACAACCTAGGTAAATGTCAGACAGTCAATTGCATATCTTAGATGAAACTGTCCTACTTTTCCTAAGGATAGCCAATTGAACAAGTATGTAGGCTTTGTCTCGTAAAAAGACCAAATTGCAAGAGCATTGCCCTGCCGCCGTTTCCTGATGCGTCGATCGAACTCGCTCTGAAGATTGCTGAGTTGACTTTCATGGCTCCCCAGAGAGAAAAAGCAATGTTGAGTTCGATCCCAAAAGAAAGGTCACTAAAGTTAGGACGGCGCCCGCAGTTAATACAGGAGAGCCCTGATGAGGAGTACCGAGAAAAATGATACCACATGTATCGTCAATGAATTGCTGGGAGTCACCTCTGCACAAAGCCTGGGTATCGAATGTCAGATAGGGACTGAAGTACCCGGAAGTACCCGGAAGTATCACAGCGAGCTAGAACACCTGTTTTTTTGATGATACCGCCTAGACTGTGTCCAATGAATATGATGAGAAGGCGCTGCTGAAGGAATTAGCAGACCGCAAGTAGCTTTTTGATCATAGCAGGGTCCCTACACGTGGGGATTTCCTGGCGTGCATCTCCTTGAGCAAGCTTTCGCCAATTTCCTCCGTTGTCTTGATCGGAGCATCCGTAATCCACCTCGAGTTATATGCGAAGCTCGAGATCCTCGCATTCGGAAAATCTTTGCAGAGGAGATCACGTAGCAGATGTATTCTCGAAATATGCATAGAATCGCGTTCTTTGGCTCTATTGGTCAAGTCTTTGGGAGCTGGATGTGACCATGTGTAATCTGGATCAGCACCAAGGCCATGGACTGCAATGATTCTATGGAGGGTCAGCAATGTTTGTAAAAAGAGATAACCCAACGAACTCAAACTTGGCATTATCAGGATCAGAGACGATTTCGAGTGTTCCCGATCGCGGTATATTGCCGTGTCGGCGGGTCTTAATAAGAATAGGGCGAAGTCCAACCGTGACGTACATAGTCAGTAAAACCACAACGGCCGCCACCGCGGTGCCGAGTTCACTCCCCTTCCAGGCAAGCATGGTGTGTTCCAATATACCCACATAAAATGAACAATACCAGTATCTCTCGGCGATGGGTTTGACAGATCTTGCTCAGAGTGATTCAAATTATGAACTGAGAACTCCAGCGCTCAGCTGAGTGATTTGGGCGGCAAATACATCTGCATGAATCCTGGCTCTAATGCCCGAAGGTGTAGGCAACACCATGTCATCACCTCGTGACCAGGGATTCTGGAAAATTATTTAAGAATCTTTCTGCGGTTTAGCTGAGTTTTCATGTGAAGCTGTGCTTCTATAGAGGTTTCTTTTGGGTACACGACATACATATATCCCTGGAGGCATAGTATGCTTTGAGCCTTGTTTTTAGGGTGTCTATACTGCCTTATTGGGTTAGGCAATAAAACAACCAAGTGGTGGATATCTATCCGCCAATCAATTGAGCTGAGAGGCCCCTCGACCCCACCTCTTTTTATTTTGGTCATGTAGCCAACTTTTGCAATATTTTCAACAAGGCCGGCTGGCCCAATGGCAAGGCGCTTGACTACGAATCAAGAGATTGCAGGTTCGACCCCTGCGTCGGTCAATTCTTTTTGCTTTTTGTTGCCTTTTGATCTGATTTCAAAAGGAAGAATGTAGTGTACGTTCAATTTTTTCGCCTATTGTTCTTTTTGTTTCAACCTTCTTCTCCTACTACTAATCTGTATCCAGGCTGTGAGAGGAAGGCAGTGCTTATGTACGAGGTAGCCCGGTCGATGTAGTATCAGCATTGCCCCTCTATATGCACCTAAGCGCCTGGGTAGGTAGGTAGCTACTTTCGCAATTGGTGGGCTATTGTCAGATGATAACCAGTCCCATTCCAAGGTTTAAAGTCAACAGTTGCCTCCCAATGTTAAATATTACTATTGAGTCGCATCATCATATTCAGGTATAGCATTTGAGTGATTTAAATTGGGGTCCACGGCGGGTACACTGGCAGCTGCTCAACCCGTCAAAAATATAGCATACTACTACTGGTAGTACTACTATCTACCTACGAGTACGAGTTCCTAGGTATTAAGCTGGGGACCCGAGATATTCAAATGTTCCGTGCCAGCACTGACACTGACACTGTAATGGATCCAAATATGGTAATAGCATCCTCAAGTTTGTATAGTATTCATCGGATATATTTCTCTGACACAAGGTTGGGATTATAGACTCAACAAGTGGTCCCATTTACTACGAACTTGCTGGGATCCTCCTCAACGGAAAATACTGGCCATATATTTGCATCCCTATTCCCATCGACATATCGAACAGCCACCGGCGAGTTAGCTCTTGTCAAATCAAACAAGCAAGAATTTCTTGCATCCGAGCTCTCTGTCGACAGACTTGACAATGTGTTTGAACATCTCTGGATGGTCGGACTGCCAATTCCACCTCGACCCTTGCACTACCAACTAGTCCTGGAAAGGAAGATAGTAATATGCGAGAAAATGGACATGCATCTAGTCTGGGGGAATGACCAGCTATTCCTGAAGCCGATTCCACGATATCTCCTCTCACCGACTACCTGGGAAACTCTCTTGAAATGTGCCCAAGGATGCAAATGCTCCCGTGGTGAAAGTAAGCTACTGAGGTGGGACCTGATACAAGAAACCAAATAATTAACAGAATACAGAATGCACAACCAAAGTACAGCGAAGCATTGCCCTTGGATTCCTCTTCACATACACAGCCCTTCTATCATTTGAAAGCGATTTTGCCATTGCGAAAGTAGAGGGTCTCCTACCGCATGATCCGAGCCTCTCCCAGTGGATCGAATGGCAAAAATTCACAGAAGAGCTCATCACACCATCAATATATGAGGATATCCACCGCCGATTTCAGTATGGGGAACTACGGCTCGGACGACTCAATGTCGTCCATCTCTTCACTAAATTCGGATACTACATGAACCAATGGTCTAATTATAACAACTTTCTCCGAGATCAACTAGGCTGGCTTGCTGCGACTACCATTTACATTGCTGTCGTATTGACTGCGATGCAGCTTGGTCTTTCAACTGACCAGCTCAAAGCGAATGCTCCCTACATGACAGCGGCATATGGGTTCAGCGTGTTTGCAATCTTAGGGCCATTGGTCGCTTGCGGGGGAATATTTATAGCATTAATGGTCCTGATTGTTACCAATTGGAACTTCCAAAAGGGAAAGTCGGCAAAGCGGTTCAAACAAATGACTGAGCACAAGACTGTTTAGTTAACGAACAAGAAATTCAGTGTAAACAAGATGATTGCGATAAGGCCTGAATATCCCGATAGTAGCCTGAAAATGTAGGCGACAACATACTCTTAACGTGACTCCCAAGCGAGTGGGCCACCCAACCAAAAAATCGCGTCGCGACCGCGTTCTTTTATCTTCAACCACCCATCATGCCACCAAAACGTACTGTTTCGGCCGAAAAAAATGGTAATCAAGAGGGTCGAATCCTACTTGCTATACAGGCTATTAAAGCTGAACAAATAAGCTCTATCCGTGAAGCTGCACGCTGTTTTGATATACCTCGTACTACACTACAGCGTCGGCTCACTGGCTATACCAATCGCTCTGAGACTCGCGCCAACAGCCATAAATTAACTGAGAATCAAGAGAAATCACTTCTTCAGTGGGTGATCTCTATGGATATACGTGGAGCTGCCCCCCGGCCTGCTACTGTTCAAGAAATGGCCAATATTCTCCTCTTAGCACGTGGCCAGACCCCTTCTCAAACTGTTGGCAAAAATTGGGTCACAAACTTTGTTAAACGACATTCAGAGCTTACTACACGTTTCTCTCGACGATATAATTATGAACGTGCGAAGATGGAGGATCCAAAAGTTGTTCAAGAATGGTTTAATCTTGTTTTTCAAACAATTCAAGAGAATGGTATTCTATCAGAGGATATCTATAACTTTGATGAGACTGGATTTGCAATGGGACTTACAGCAACTGCTAAGGTTGTTACTCGTTCTCGATATTATGGTCGACGATCACTTTTACAGCCTGGAAATCGTGAATGGGTAACTGCTATTGAAACAATTAATGTATCTGGATGGGCCCTTCCACCAGTGATTATTTTCAAAGGCAAAGTTTTAATTGAAGGATGGTTTACAAACCTTCCACTTGACTGGCGATTTGAAACTAGTCCAAATGGATGGACAACTGATGAAATTGGACTTCGATGGCTTCAAAAACACTTTATTCCAGCAACAACTGAACGTACGCTTGGAAAATATCGACTTTTGATTCTTGATGGTCATGGGAGTCATTTAACTCCCCAATTTGATCAGATTTGCAAAGAGAATAATATTATTCCAATTTGCATGCCAGCTCATTCTTCACATCTTCATCAGCCACTTGATGTTGGATGTTTTGGGCCTTTAAAACGGGCCTATGGTCGGCTTGTTGAGAATCAAATGCGGCTTGGTTTTAACCATGTTGATAAATTTGATTTTCTTGAAGCCTACCCAATCGCTCGTAAAGAGGCTTTTCAAACCCAAACTATTCAAAACAGCTTTACGGCAGCTGGTTTAGTACCATTTGACCCAGATCGAGTACTTTCTAAGTTAAATATTCTTCTTCGAACACCTACACCCCCAGCTAGCCGCCCTACTAGTCGATCAAGCCAATTTTCACCTAAAACACCTCAGAATCTTATTCAGCTTCAACGGCAAGCTAGTTCAATCAAAGCTCTTCTAAAACAACGTTCAAAGAGCCCTCCAAGTCCACTCAAACAGCAAATCGATCAAGTTCTCAAGGCCTGCGAAATTCAGATGCATTCAACAGCTTTATTAGAGGTTGAAACACGCAAATTACGCGCTGCACATGAAAAGCAAAAGCAAAAGCGCAAGCGGTCTACTAGGCAGATACCTAACGAGGGTGGTATGACTGTTCAGGAGGGCCAGGAGGCTATACAGCGTGCTATACAGGTGGTTGAGGCGCCAGTGATCCCTCCCGTACCACGGCCTAGGGCGCCTTATTTACCCCCTCAGCCAGCTAGGAGAAAGCTACCGACATGTAAGAAGTGTGGAGAAGAAGGCCATCGATCAGATCACTGTGATATTTAGTTAATTATTTTAATAAATTGGCGTTCTGGTGGTAATATTTATGATTAAAACTGTAGGGTAGGCGGTGGGTGGCCCACTCGCTTGGGAATCACGTTAACGTGATTCCCAAGCGAGCCGCCACCCCAAAACACCATACTAAATGTGGTAAATGACAACTTGATATCTCAGCAACCACATTCTTATTTTATTCGATTATTTGTCGATAGCTATTGATAAGGCTTGTGAGCACTCTCAATCACTTTCAAGAAAATCTTAAAGCTATTTTGTCACGATACCGAAAATTACATTGTAATGAGGCACAAAAATATCTCTTTTGAACTACCAACAAGTAGATTTCCCCTTAACTTTCCAAAGAGGCTAAATATGACCTGATTATTGTCGGGTTAAGAGGAAAAGTATATGAAGAGCGTAGTTGCTGAGATATCAAGTTGTAATTTATCGCCTTAACTATTGGAGGTGATCCACTTGCTTGGGTGATCCACTTGCTTGGGAATCACGTTATCCGTAATCTCATGACCTGCCATTTCTCCAACATCTTGTCGATTACATGCAGTCAATGTTTACGCGCGTCCTAGGAAGAGATTTCCAGCCGGCATCTCATATCCTCAGACCCTGAGCCCGAGCACAAGCCCTCTTGACCCCCTAAATCACCCCCATGCGCATTCCCCACGACTAGGCACCCATCCATGCGATTTCAATACGCAACCCTGCAGTGCCAACTGACTGCAATAGTCCTTGCTGCTGCATTTTTATCTCCCACCTTCGCTAGTACACCGACAAACAATGAAATAGAAGTCCCGGGCGATCACGTCGCCAATCCCAACATTCGCGCCACCAACATTGCCAATGAGGCTGGGTTCCCGTTTGCGCTGGACTCGTTCAATGGATTAGAACTTCGGGATACACTGGAAGATGAGGATGAGGTTATCGGGCTGGACCTGGTGCCCAGAGCTGTCGCTGCTACATCATTGGCAAATAATAATTTCCAGCGCAGTACTATTAAGATTGGCGGGTTGGATTACTGGTATATCCCCGCTGACGTGGTGAACGGCGCACATGGAGTAACGGGCGAAGGTCTTCCTGAATATATCGATACTGATGGGAATGTGCTATCGCATGTATCTGTGGATGAGCTTCGCAAAAGAGGAGAATTAGCCAAGCGCTCCTCGACCGTGTACCTATCAGTGGTGACATGCGACCGCCCCTCGACAAATACCACCGGCGCAGAAGGGGATTTCCCACAGCTGAAGGTGTACGTATCAACGTCAGATGATCTCACAGAACCTGGGCCTGGAAAAGACAGCTCGCTTCAGAATGTGACAACATCGGCTGAAGGATACCTGGGGATTGAATTCGATGCATCCAGCGATGTTTATCTCAGTGTTGTGGCAGAAAACGCAACCTCATACAATGGATCATACACCTACCAGATCGCAGCATCGATTGATGAGTATTTCTACAATGTTGTCTCCAATGACTCGTTTCTGTACTTCGTCGACTCAGACCACTCCGCCGCGCTACTAGTCACCAATAATCTGACGCAAGCAGCGCTTGGCTCAACGAATTTCGATAAATGGATGAACCTGACGCCTCCATACACCATGTTTGCCCACAATCGCAATGACACGTCTCTGAAGGGGATGACATCCTCTTTCTGCGCAGTAGAAGAACATTCGCAGGTGGTCAGCAACCCGAGCAACACTGGGATGACCTACCGTGGACTGGGAAACAAGCCGAAAGAGCAGTTCTACATAGAAGGACTTAATCGCAGTTCCGTATACATTGGAATCCTGGGAATGGTCGGCAACTCCACCGACAGTGGAAACAACATCCCAGGTGGAGGTGGGATAGTCTGGCAACCAATGAACTTCACTACGAAAGCTGGTACATCCATCCATACCCCCTTTCTTATAATTATCATCAGCTAACAAAAACAGAGGATAACTGTGCCGTTCTATTCAACCTCACATTCTGTTCGGAAGTAGCCTACGCGGTCCCCTCAAACCCGAATCGAACAGTTGAAGATCTCCGCCAAATCTACGACAACTACACCTCATACTACTACAAAAACTTCAACTACTCTCTCCAACAAATCCAATGCAACGCATCGGCAGAATCAATGTTCTCACTCGCTGTAGACTGCGATGACTGCGCCTCAGAGTATAAGCAATGGCTCTGCAGCGTAAGTATCCCACGATGTGCAGATTTCACAAGCAGCGAGACATACCTCCGTGTTCGAAACGCAGGACAGGATTTCATTAACGGAAGTTCATTACCTGAAGATGATCCCTACCGATGGTCCGTTATCACGAACCAGTCGAGGAATCATATTATCGATACGGAGATCAGACCAGGTCCGTATAAGGAGATCTTGCCGTGCAATTACATTTGTCATGATATGGTGAAGAGTTGTCCTGCAGCGTTGGGATTTAGTTGTCCGACTGGATCATGGATGAATGCATCTTATGGATTCTCGAGTTCGAATGGAGATATTACGTGCAGTTACCTCGGTGCGGCTTATTACTTGAGTCTTGGAGAGAGGTTGGGAATTTGGGGAAGTTTGTACATGTTAATTGGCATATGGGGTGTTTGGTTACTGGTTGGTAGATAAAAGCAACATAAGCATGACCTCGAACCTTGGAACAAATAGCATTCTTGATACCATTCATTTATCTCTAATCTCATCTACTTCCTCTCATATGCACTCTATGAATGCATCAAATAACAACGGGTATATAACAACCTGAATCAACAAACAACCAACTCAAAAACGACAAGTCACCCATCCAAGTACTAATGGTACTGGATACTAGGAAATCACCACACCAACTCAGCCCTCAACTTCCCTTCATCAGTCTCAACCCTCCGAATCCCCCCATCGTTCCCTCCAAACTTCCCTCTCTTCTCTCCAGAGATCATTAACACAAGGATCACAAGAGCTACCACAACACATTCCGAGTTCAGGTTGAGGAGGGGGATCATTATACGCTCGTCCCGCCGCACGAAGAAGTTGTTTCGTGCGGGTTCCCGAGAGACGCTTTTTCTGAAGGAGTTTGAATTTGGGGACTTCGTTTGGGGTGTAATATGGTTCTGGTTCTTTGATCTCAACCTTTTCTTCTTCTTGCTCTTTGATTTCTGCCTTTGGCTCTGGTTCTGGTTCTGATGCTGGAGTTGACACTGACTCTGGCCCTGGTTTCTTCTCGCTTTCCTTGGTAGAGGAGACTGATAGAAGAGAGCTGAATGGAGAAAGAATTGAAGAAAGAATAGTCGATTTCGTAGGTTGAGTTATGGACGAGTCATCTTGTGTTTTGGCATTTGACTCGCCACTTGATGCTGCCGATTCTGACTGTGTAGTATGGGGCCTTGCACTAGAGGGCACTGAAGCTGAATCTATACTCATGGCGAATAGATATAGTCTGACTCGCAGGAGAACGAAAATGAAATCAAATTCCCGAGGTCAGATGAATGAGTCTTGATTGATCTGATTGATATTTTTGATAGGCGGAAAAGCGTTCAGCCCTGTGGCGTAGGTTAGTACAAGGTGCTGCGGCACGACTCGATCTTGTATGGATGATCGCTTTACTAGACTTACCTGGATAGTCTGTAGCAGGAGAGAATATGAAGTGTAAATTGATGAAGTATCTAAAACATTCGAATCAGGTAGAAATGGATATAAGGCCGAGGTCGGGTCGGAGAGGATCGGGTTTCTTAGTTCCGATCCCGCTATACTTCGGTACTTGAGGTTATAGACATCACTGCCATTGAATAAATTATTATGAATATATACTTGGTTTTCTTTTTTTTTTTTGAATCGGTAGGTTGTTCTATATGTTCAAGTTGTTGATTCACATTGAGCAAGGGATGAAATAGAACTTCCCGATGCTTTGTTAAATACAGCTCTATTACTAAAGTAATCAGAATACCCACCTGGGCAGCTAATATAAAAGCCGGAAAGAAAATGAAAAAAACGCTGAACGTGGTATCATAATCATTACCAGAAGAACATTTAATCAAGCATCACTTCCGACGCGGTGTTGGAGTCCACATATTCCTCAATCCAGACTCCGACGCCCCCGAAGAGCGCGGGGTACTTCCAACCTGCGAGAGTAAACTCTGCGCCGCAGGCGTCAACATCTTCGTATTGGATCCCGACCTTCCAGGTGTAGCAGGTGTGCGGCGACCAAAATCCAGTCTTGGACTACTAGCAAAGTGAGGCGTGGTAGAGACCGGAGTTTTAGTAACACGGGCAGCCTTTTCAGCACGTTTATTATGTGCGACACGATCAACCATGCGGTGGTGCAGTGCCTCTCGTTTGCGAGTTTCGGCGAGTTGGAACGGGTTTGGTGTTGAGTCGGTTGTACCGAGGAGACGCCAGTCAGCCTCTAGGGATTCAGAGGATTCGGGGTAATATTCTGGTTCGTCTTCATCGACGAAGGCATAGCCATTTACTCGTGGTGTTTCACCTCCTGGGACCGCTGACCCTGCTTCTGACTCGGTTAAATGTGGACGACCCGCAATGGCGTCTTGGATAGCGGAGAGGGAGGGTGATTCGGGTACTCTATTCGCGGCATCTGCTGCCGCCGCTGCATCGGCGTCTCAGGAGTCTTGTGTTTTGGTATAGAGTGTGTTTGGGACCCGCCCGGGACTCTGCTTCGGCCTTTTGCGCGAGGGTTTCGTGGGTATCTTCGACCGAGGAGGGGAGGAACATTAAAGTGTTATCCGGACGAGATTTCCAATGATCAGGTCTTGCGGGGCGAGCGTCGAGGTTTGTTTTGATATCTGGTTGAGAATCGACCTTGACCAGGCTGGTTTCTGGGTTCCCACCCTGGGCTGTGATGCGCTTGACCTCGCGATTATGATGAGCGATTTGTTGCGCCGAGGGAATTTTATTGTCATTCCAAAGCCATGCATTCTTTTCTCGACGCTTGATATTCTGCTTGTCCAGCACTTTATTGAAAGACTCGTTATCCTCGCTGGTATATTTGGCTTGAAAGGCGAGAAGTCCCATGTTCGACACATCGGGTATATTCGAATCCCTTGTTTCGAGAGTGGTAGATGTAGATGCGACGGACATCGGTGTATCGCCTTGCCAACCTTTGGGTGTATCCTCTGATCGAGCCGGAAAATGTTGCGGAGTGCCCGCCACAGAGGAGGCGTCCGTCTTTCGTCGCGCATTTGAGCCGGGCGTTGGAGTGCGCATAACATCAGCCAGCTTCTGCTTAGAGCTTTTTATCCAGTCTTTGTCCTTTGAGTCCAGTGCATCGAGGTAGTCTTGCTTGGCTTGGGTTTCGAGTAAACCGGGAAGAAGTCGCGAGCGATAATATGGGAGAGCGCGCTGGTGTATACATCTTCGTCAAGGACGATGGTAGGCCGTTTAATTCGTTTTGGTGGCGGAGGAGGGGGCATAAGCTGGCCATCAGGCCGCTTTACCAAAGCCTGTGACGATGGGGATGCCATGGTGGCTGTGTTGAAGAGGTAGAGTAGAGCAAAGAATGAGGTTGACGATAAGATAAGTGAGGTCAGATGATCTCTCAGAGCGGCACTCCACTAACTTCAAGGTTCGATCTACAAGTATAGAGTGGATTTAGAAATAGATATTTAGCACATGTAATTGAGTACATTGAATACACTTAAATTGTACAGAAATGTTCAAACAATGCAATGCAGTTTTCCAGGCTCTTATTCACAAAATGAAAAGCAATAGCGAAAGTCCCAATCCTCCCAATCCTTCCAATATCCTCATTTTCCAAGGGACCAATCCCTCTAGACACCAAACCAAATCGCTGAGAAATGCATTCAGACCAAATGACCAAATTGAACACGGCTGACCATCCCACTCAAACACAAGGAAATTTAAAACAGGTCATGACTCGTGGGGGAATTCTATCAGGTAAAGCGAGCGCGAAAATAGAAACCGAAATATGCAAACAGATTTTCACTTCCGTATAGAAGTATTGAAACAAGGGAGAAAGAGATGATACTGCTTAATGAGCTGCAGTAGGAAAAAGAGAGTATGATGGGTTCCGGCTCTTCTTCCGGAGAGGATGCTTAGGAGGAACAGATGGGAGAGGAGGTTCGGCAGCACGAACAGGGTGCATAGCCGCCTCGGAGATGGACTTGGAGCGATCGTGGGTCAAGGTAACAGGGGAAGAAGATTCCTCGTTGCCAAGGCTAGAGACACTGTTGGCAGCTTGAAGGAGCAGATGTGCCTCGGCCAAGCTCTTAGTTTGACGGTGGTAGGTAGAAGAAGTAGGGCGACTGATGCCAGACCCAGCAGCCAGAATCTCGCTGGCGCTTGTACGATCGGTGGGCATCAGCTCGCGGCTGCTCGAAAGGCTGTGGATCAACTCAGGAACGCTGGTTGTTGAAACAGACGAGCGGTGCTTGCGGACAATAGAGGCAGCGCGAGAGAGCATCAAGCTCTCTTGGGAGTTGCACTTGCTGATAGGAGAAAAGCTGCTCCGGGGAGAGACGGCGCTGTTTTCTGAGACAGCGATCATCCCTTGAGAGAAGGGGAAGTGCCGATCTGATTCTGCATCAGCGGCGAGGTAGTCCTCATATAGAGTTTCCTGGGGAATTTGCTTGCTCAGCATAGAGGAACTGACAGGCTGGAAGTAATCGCCCGAATTGCGAACCATGAAATCCCGTTCATAGTCGGTTGATGGGGTCATCGCCGAGTGCAACGGGGTTGTCCGTGCTGTACTGCAGCCCAATTCGGGAGTTGGGAGGGTGCTAGTGCTCAGAGGACTGGGCTGGAGCTGACGAGGACTGGGCTGGAGCTGACGAGTCTTGGTAGCACCCAGCCAGGTGTTTTCAGTGGAGTGGATGCCAATTTGAGGGCGCTGAGTTTCTTCCAGAGATGTGCGCGACCAATCAAAGTTGCAGGTAGACTCCGCTGCGTGCTCATAGCAGTAGTCGATATCGGCGTCCCATGAGTCGTACAACACATCCTCGTACGAGAACTGTTGCACGCCGGAGACAGTGGAGGGCGGGGTGATCTCCACGTGTTCCTTGGGTGGTGTTTCGGGGATAGTCTCGGGGAGATTTTGCGGCAGAGTTGGCGAGCCCAGAGCTTCGGAGAACTGTCGTGAAAGCTCCTCCGCAACAAAGATAGAGAGGTGTCCCTTGGGAGCCCGAGTATTAGAAAGACGACCCTCAATGCGTGGTTGACTCATTTGAGAGCCGGAACGAGAATGAGCGTATCCAACGCTAGGATCAGGGCTATCCCACATGCGGGTCCCCTCTTCCTCCTCGGGCACATCTTCCAAATCATAGTGGCTACTCATCGATGATGTGCGAGCTGACGACAAGTCATCAGCCATATCCTGGACATATTGGAAAGAAGCGGAGGACTGTGCTGAGTGAATATCTTCCGGGTAGGTAGTGGTAGTTGACAGGCCCAAGATCTCATCAATGGCACGCGGAGCCGGCTCAGCGATCTCAGCGGGGACCTCGGGAACAACGGGAGGGGGAGGAGTAGTAGGACAGGATCGAGGGTATTTTGAAACGGGACGGGAGAAGTTCTCGTGGGCCCGAGACTCTCTTCGAACGTGGCCAGATGGACTGTAAGAGCCAGATGCTTGAGGCGAACCCGGTGGACTTTGAGGAGCCGGCTCATCCACAGTAGTTGCTTGTCCATATGCCGCCAGATTATCCACGGAGAAGTTGCGGAAGTGAATATCGTCGGCCCGGATGCCCTTCAAACCAGTCTCAGGGCGCTGAGATGCCCGAATCACGGAGAATTCCGTCACCAGGTCATTTTCCCGTGTTTGATCCAAGGATTGGAATTGTGACGGGCTCGTATGAGTAAGATGATGAAAGTCGAATGGGTCCGAGATGAGGCTCTTCAATTTACCATCTGCACGTGCACGCGACTTGAGTTAGTCACCTGATTTCCAATTCTTACCTGCATTGATGCGTCACATAATCACTGCAGGTCTCGAGACTTTTACTTACTTTGGTCATTGCGAGATCGATGACGACCAAACATATCGGACTTCTCTGTGCGGGGTTTCTCACGATCATATTCGTCTTCCTCGTCCAGCGTGGCGACGATATTGATCTTGCTTCCTTGTCGACGAAGAATGCGGCTGCCTCTAGCTAGGAAAGATCGAGAAGAACGGTCCGATTTCTCGCGCATTCCCAGTGATGAGGTTGTTCGTTCATCCTGGGACGAGACGGAGCCATCCATGGATGTCATTGAGGAACCCGGGGAGCGACGGGAAGAAGTAGAATTGGTGGTATTGCTCCGAGAGCGACCACTAAAGACAGACAAACGTTTAGGACTATGGGCATTGACCTGGGCAGTGGATCGAGAACGAATATGGGCAAAGGGTTCTGGAGGCTCGTTGGATGATCGAGTAGATGGGGGGGTCACTAAGCCCGTCGTCGTCCCAGCCAGGCCCACGCGCAATGGGTATATGGGGATACATTTTGGGGAGGGGGGGGGGAGATAAAGGAAAGCGGTCCCCTTAAGTGCAAATAGGCAAAGGCACTAGCAATTGGTTTTGTTTCATGGCATTTAAAAAGAAGGAGGGGGGCAGAAACATGGACTATGTCAAATGTTCTAGGTCGGTTTTTTTTTACCAGGAGATTGGGTCGGGGCGGAGTTTCTTATGGGTAAAATAATGAAATATAAAATGGAAATAATCGAAAATAATCGAAAATAATAATAATAAACTGAATAGTAATTAGTATCTTGTATCACCATTACAGGAGTGGAGTCTCCGGGTTTCAGGGGCGTCGCGCTATGATTTGATGACGCTGTAAACCGTTGCACCAGAGAGACGTATGCTCCCGTCGTGTGACTTATCTTTACTTCTACTATTTACTATTGACTTCTTTATTAAAATATTTGATTCTTTGTATTATAGTACCCCTGAGATCACACCCAGTGGACTCTCTCTCTTTACACCAAACTCCCGGGTTCTGTACTTCCTACACACAAAAAGACCCAGTTAACCGGAGCCGAAACCAAAGGATTGCCATGCATCCCAGGGGCAGAACGTGTGTGGGGTCCCGCTTAACCAGAAATAGTAAGTATCGACACCAGTTATGGACGCGACTTTGTATTGGGAGTAGTCTCCCCTGGCCCCTAAATAGATTAATGTACGTAGTACAAGTCTATAATGCATCCGAGGTTAGGGGATATGTTTATTCCGCAAGGTTAAGGAATGTGCATATGCACCTAGTTTTAGTTGTTCTAACATTTGAGCACTTGAGTATGTACTGCCAGTGGTTTAATTAGTAGATTACTGTAGAATATACTAGTAATAGAAGGGGTGGGCTTCTAGCCTTCGAACCTTGGAACAATTGCGAGATTTTCTAATTTTCCCCGCGTCACTAGCGCAAGCCTCGGTTCTAACGGTTTAATTCAATTTTATTCTCCTTTCTAGGAAAAGTTCCGGTAGAATATTTCCTGGTAGGGCTCAAGTAAGATCGATCGATTAGTCCAGTCTAGGATATAGGTACTCCATACTCCTTACTATGTAGAGTAGGACTTTCCATATGCACATGTCTACCTAGGTTATCAAATAGTCTATACGAATACAAAGAACTTCCTAGGTTCCAAAGTTGAACATCTCACATTTCAAATATTCGAATATTAGTAAATAGATCATGCTGCTATCCGTCTCTTATCAACCCGGGTATCGGATCTGTTCTGTGTGCCCTAGGTTGTCTCACGAGTTCCCACTTTGTATCGGAACTCACCGGTCGCAGATGAAGATCGTAGAAATATCTGAAATATCTTACTCCAAATGCATAACACTTCCAAGGTTATATCGGATCGAAATATACGTAGGAACCACTGGAGACCTAATCTATTAATCTATTAATCTATTAATCTATTAATCTATTAATCTATTAATCTATTAATCTATTGTGGAGTTGATTGAATCTCTACTACCATAGCCATCAGGCCATATATACCCACAAGCCCTATATCGATATTAAGGAAGCGGGGAGCATTCACTTTTCCATAACATCTAGTACATAGTATAGAAAAAAGAGGGAAAAAAGTAAAACCAAAACAAACTCACGCCAGCGTCTCAGAGACGCGGCTGGGGAGAAAGTCAATCCCATCATTCGTGGCCTGCGGGCACCCTCCGATAAAGTGGACTCTGACGATCCCGTCTAGAACCGGTCCAAGAGTACCAGTTTCTTTCAACAGTTCATGTGGAAGGTTTTCCTTTGAGGCCCTCGTATCTCCACTACAGTAGTCGTCATGAACCTAGGTCCCTGCTGAAGAGACTTGAGGCGTTTATGTTTATCTTTTCCCATCTAGATAAGCACAGACATCAACATTTGAATACGACGAGTACGAGTAAAATTAGTAAAAATTACGGTGTAGCCTAGACAAAACCTGCACGTGTGGGATTCCGTATATAGATCATCCAAATCATTAAAGATGAGCACTTGAGGTTTGCTATAAGTTGCGGTCTGCTGCATCCTTCGCAGGATGCTCTAAGTCCTTCGTCCTTCACAAACTGGGTTTCTACCCACTGAGATGGAAAAAAAGCAAATCTCACTGGGGCCAAAAAATGACTGCTCGCCGCACCCCGGGGCCAAATGTCAAGCTATGATGGGCCAGAAGAAAAAGAAGACTCCAGTACAAACCTTGGAACCTCTGGGATGACCCGTGAAGAATACGCCCGGAGGACTCCGTGGAGCATATGCAGCTGGAGTACATCGTACATACACGAAGTCTTTTCATACTCAGATCTACTTCGTATCTTATCATGATACGAATGCTGCACAACATGATCATTGCAACGCTACATTCAAAGTTGCTTTTTTGGAATTCTTCCATTCGTTTTACAATCTTCTACCACTTCGATTAGAATCTAGAATCTAGAATTAGAATTCCATACGAGGGATCCAAAAACTCGGTATGTTTTAAGTTGACCACATCCCGATAATGATCTTGAACCACGGGCGCAAGCTCGTTCCCCTGAATCCACAGATCCCCCGAAAGGTGGAGATCGACCAGATCAAATTCACCCCTTTCTAGACATACGAAGTACGCTACGGCAATTCATATTTCAGATTTTAGTTTATTCTACTCCTTCTAACACGGAGTCCGGCTTACTTTAGTCCAAGCCTCAGGGGGGTCCCAATTCGTGATCTTTCGTCATTAGGATCACTGACCATTGTAACCCTAGACCCATATTTGGCCCCAAGCGGGACACATAACGGTCAGATTTAGTCCGAAATTAACGCGCGAGCCTCTCGCTTATCAGACAAGTGCCCTTCCAGTACCCTTTTTCTCTACTGTTTTTCGGGGGCAGGACCTCGGCTATCCTGATTCCATTTTGGCCCTTTCCTGCAGGAACAAGGGGATCGGAGGATATTCTAAAGGATTCTTACCCACGGTAAGCTCCAATTTTAAACCTTCTTTATACTTATATAGGTTTAATTCAACTCCTGTGGCTTGCTACAGACCTTCAAGTGCTTAGGGGTACAACTTTTGTGGTACGGACACTTCTTAGTACTCGTAGCACGGAGTATGAAATTAGGATATGAGCCGATCCTGCGAATCAATTCGTATGATCCACGCAATTCATACCCATGTGGGCCCTTAAAGTGAATAATACAGAGAAACCGTTTCGAAATACCTGAATTTATGAACGCCATTAACACACTAAAATTATACTAAGTCCCTACTAAGTAGAATAGTGTCCCAGCCAGATGGGCCCCTGCTGCTTTTGTACAATAGTCGATCCCAGCGCCCCATAATAGGGTCCTACTATAGTAGCACTAGACTGCACTATGAAGTATGGAGACTATAAATAAAAGAATAGACGTCATATTATCATATCATCACATGTTGGACATCAAACTGAAGACTGTCGTTTTAGGTAGAAAAAGCCCCCCATTACTCCTGGATTATCGTACTAGTATTCATCCAAACTTGAAACCACGAACGCCGCCCATTTTTGGTTAACCATTTTATGTTCAAGATTGAATCATTAAGAATAGATACGTAGACTAGATGAGGATTAGTCAATGTAAGCGAACTTGAAAGTGCAATCACTATGACATACCAACTTGAATAAAAGTTCCTTATAAAATCCAGACTACACACCGACTTTAACTGGAAGGTCGGCGTCAATAGGACCAACTAGAGAAGCGTCGCTATCTTCGGAACGTCTAGCGTTCCTGACACCGGTGGAATCGCCGTTACTGAGGAGGTTGAGGCCTAAGCCCACGTCTCCAGCGGAGTCCTCGCTGCCGCGCTTTGCAAAGTCCTTGGCAATATCGGAAGCCAGGTTAGCATAATCGGTAATCAAGTCTTCATCATCACGTTTGGCGTTTTTAACACCAGTGGAATCGCCGTTGCTCAGGAGGTTAAGACCCAGGCCGACGTCTCCGTTAGAGTTCTCATCAGAGCGAGGCTGAACAGCGTTTCCGTCTGTGTTCAGACCAAGAGGGACAGCGACGGCTGCCACAGCAAAGAAAACTGCGATACGGTATTGCATGATGATGGAGAAGCCGACTGTGGCTTTGATTAGCTATTTCATTCATACACTCTGTCAGAGTGGCATAGTTGTTTATGTGTTTGGTTTGTGTGTTGATGCTGATACATTGATGCAGATATCACACTTACCAAAAGAGGAAAAAATATGATCAGTTTCAGCACGACTGAATATGGAAGAAGAAAAGAAGGGAAGAAAAGAACCAGAAAGGTGAAAGTTCAGGAAAAGCGACTTCTTAAGTACCTGGCAAGCCTAGTATACACCCTACGCCCTCGGGGTTGGCAATATGCTTGACGTGCTCATACTATTGGGTCGGTGTACTCGGGATACCATTTCCGCTTAAATCGAGTTCTATCTATGGTCTAGAGTGACGATGACATGGATGATAGTTTCCTTTCTTGTAAGTCCTAGAATAAGCTGGCCTATCAATAAGAAGACTTGTACTTCTATCTAATATGAAACATTGTTGAATGCAGACAGAACCATTATATGGACATGGTGGAACCGTGGTGCTGAAGCTTGTGTGGGGAGCTTTCTCCTGGCCCGAGCCAGTGTTAAGCCTGGGGCGAAGGCGTTATAGAGGGTCCTGACCAAATTAACCAGTTGAATTATTGAATAGTTCATTTAGGTGGGTGACGCTTCCTCTATTTCTCCGAGTCTTGACCCGCAGATACTAAAGCGGTGATATCATCATTTCAGGTGGCTGAACTGGGATTATTCTGCATTTCGACATTCCTCTGATCATAACATAGGATGATGGAGGGTAGGTGTGACTAGTAAGTAACAAGCTAGAATAATATTGCATTATATTGACAACAAATATTCAAATATCTGATATCATATGAGAAGCGCCACTAAACGCCTCACCCTTATTCTATGCCAAGCACAACCTTAATGCGGATAAAGTTCCTTTTATCCACCAAATATTTGAATATCTCCAGCGTTGCACTTTGAGATATTAATCATTAAAAAAGAATACAACATACTCCACTATGTTCTCTGGTCTCTCATCTCAACTCTCCACTAAAGCAGGGGCGGGTCCATTTTAATTGTCCCGATTCCTCAGTCTCGGAACTCGGATGTGCCCTAGGTCGTATCCGGTTCCTCGTTCCTTGGTGCAATGGAGAAATTCTCCTACACTTTTCAAGTTTGCCCCAGATTATGCATAAAGCGCGAGTCACTTCGTTCATTGTGCATTTACTGAGACCGGGTCTTAGTTTCGTAGGTGGCTTGATGATGTTATCCAATTGGGTGAAGATGGGATCAAATGAATTGGACTGTGAGTATGCTCTATCATTGTGATAAAGTTAGAGAATATACTATTCTCAAAGTCTTCTCTGTTTTCATATTCTATTTTGTTCTGTCTTCATGTCTTTTTGGCCTTCCAGGGTTGTTGTTTTGGTCTATTACCGATTCTTTCACCTGAAGTACTACATTGGATCAATACATCCATGTCTACAATCGCCATGTATACCCTGATCAAACGTATAAGTACATAGAAGTAATTAAAGTACCAGACGATGATCGATATTTTTTTAATTGTAAATCTATGTATCATGGAATGCATTAATACTGTCCAATAGTCATTAGTCCCAGCCCAACAACCAGACATACTACTCAGACATAACTCACATGCAAGAGCTAGACCATCCTAACCTCCTAACAGAATCTAGAAAAATCTAACCTGCAGTGTAATCTCAGCATAGGTATCAAGGGCGAACAAAAAGAGAATGTAACTAGCCCCCACAACCTTGGAAAATAAGGACAAATCAGAACAAAGGAAAAACCAACAATACCGAAACATGCATATGCACGATCGGAATGCACCACACCTGCATGGACATGCAGCTGCAGCCGTATGGCGGGATTCAGATCCTTGCTCGGAAGTATTACGGAGTTGTCCGTCGTACACTAGACATGTACGGACATGTACGGAGTATAGCATAAGCAATTTAGTACTACTATAGAACAATCTACTACCTATCAAGTAGGACAAAGTACAAATGGAGTATATCCTTTAAATGAGCTTGAATTTGTATGGAGTTCAAAACATTGAAATATTCGGAGTCCTCCGATTAATTAGGGGCTTTCTGATCCACCCTTGACTCTTTGAGTCTTTGAAGCACGTATCTACCCGACTCGGATCACAGACTAAGAACTGACCCGCAACGCATTGACGAATTGATCCATTTTATAATTTTGACGAATCCTGAATATCCCGCATTGGTGGCCTAAAAGATATGATGAAAAATTATTCAGAAATGGCTCATTAGTGCCCAGGTGGCTATTAAGACATCCATTTTGGACAACGTATTATAGCATTATATCAACCTTGGAATCCATAATAAATTCAACAAGCAATTGAGCAAGTACTAGTGATGACAATTATCTTCCCATCCTTGACAGGGCCACTTAGTTCCTACTAAATATCTAGATACAATTATTCTGAAATAATAAGGATTAGCCCCTGTATTATCCCAACCGTGACACTGGTACGAATTAGAGGATTCATCCCCAATAACGAAGTTGGATCTAGCTTCAGTCAAGAAATCCTTAAGCCAGGTTTCTGTTCCATATCTGTCTAACTTGTGACTGATATCTTGGAAACATCCTTGCTCAGCCTGCTCCTTCGAAAGTTGGAAAAGGAACCTATTTTCCACATGAAAAGTATGAGTTTTTCTGTTGAACCACGCTTCAGCCTTAATAAATACGCGTGCAAGAGGGTGTTCAACTGAGCACAGGTGATGGAAAGTATCAGATGATATTCCCAACGTCAACCTTTCCAAAACCTTCGTCTGATATCGGAAGTATTCCACTGGGTGTTGTTTCTGATGGAATGTGAGACTCAAGCATGGACAGATATCCACTTTGCCAACGTCTTGGAAATGGCACCAAGATCCACATCCTATATCGGATATGGAAGGTCGAGGTCTTTGATGACATTTTCTGCGAAACAGAAATTCAAGTTACCATTTACTGGAGGGATTCTGGTGAAGATGCTGACATTTCTCACAGAAGACCCAGCGCTTGTTTTGAAGGCGGCGGAGGAACTCTGTCGCAGGTAATACTGAGAGTACACCTATTCCATTTTTCTTGTTATATGAGACATAACAGGCATGCAACCTCTTAAAGGTTAGTGCAAAGCAGGCCTGGTCTAGATCGGAAAGATATTGAAAGATGATGTCCACTATCTCTGATGGGATCGTCCATGGTATTTTGCCCTTGGATTCGATCAAATCCCCAGAGAGTGGAACTTGGATTTGCAAAATTTTGCGAAAATGCGAGTTTATCAAAGCGCGCGTCGTAGTGATATTCATAGTAAATTAGTATTCAAAGATGTGTATTAGTACTAGTAGTAGTATAATGAAGCTGTTCCTGAAGGGAGATACTAGGGGTTGCTATACTATGACGCGCACACATACTACACCACGGTCCATCCTCAACTAACAGCTTAAAATTTTTGAACAATAAACATTTAAATAAAAATAACATTGTATCACAAGAGATAGGGATTTGAATAAATGAAGTACTCTTTCCACTAGTAATTTATACTGTATAAGCCATCTTACATCTAGAAAGATTCCAGGGCTGACCGGGATCGGAAATTAGACAATCAGATCGGGATGAAATCCGGGGGGCTAATTTCATTTAATTTCCGATGAATGCGCATAAATGTATTGGAACCAATCGATTTATCAAGTTACTCGGTTGAATTACCCTCTTTTTTACTAAATAGTACTTTGTTATCGGTGCCTCGTGCTTCATCTCCAGAGCTACTATACTCCGGAGTACTAATCTTGTCTATTCTCCGTCTCAAATCTATGCACATCGTATTCGATTTAACAAAGATACACATTGTGGATCATAGTTACTTGTCTTCTCTTATGGTTACTCTTCAACATGGATGTTGGATTGTAGATTCATTGGTGAGGAGCTCGTCAATGCGTGTTGGAATTGCGTGAGCACCAGATACTACATAGTCTCTTCCTTTATAGGCTACCTACTAGTACGAACTATAGCTTCTTAATTTCATCTCATTTTTTATCATAGTATGGCTCTAATCGGATACGAATACGACTAGATGAAATATTGAGCCCCAATGAGAAACTTTCAAGGAACAAGAGATATCATACTGTAGATAGTCATCAAGGTACAAACTTGTACAGATGGGTCGAAACACCATCAGGATCATCCTCATCACCTTCCTCCAGCAGTACAGATGAACGCATACCCAAGAGCTTTGTAAAGCCTCGCTCCCATACGCGCAGCATTAACACCTTGTGTAATGCCATCCATTCTCGCAAGGTCGAGAGTCCGTGTCACGAGTTGAGTACCATGACCTCTTCTCCAATATGCTGGATGTACGCAGAGTATATCCATCTGAGAAAGCCCAGTAAAGTACCTACACAAATAAGTAATTAGTTTGATCTCGTCTTTAGATAGCCTGAACTTACCTCTTCTCTATAGCTTCAGAACTCTCACCGAAGGAACCATACTGCTTTTTATTCAAATCTCGTCCCGGATTCGATGGGAGATCTGGATACTCTTCTATCAAGCCACTATTAGCATCTACTTCAATCGCAAGTAGTATCAGATCACATTCCATCTTCATTTGGTCTGAATGACCTATATGAGCCGACCCGGATTCAAGTTTGTAGCTCATAACCCCTACCACAACTTTTTCGCCTGCCAAAGGAGCTTCCCATTCATTATCTATTGGGATAATGGCTTCTATGGACTCATTTTAATTAATGCATACTCAATGACAAGGACGATCTTGTCTTCGCTTTTGAGGGCATTTATGAACTCCTTCCGATAAGCGAGGAGAGTATCCTCGGGAAAATTTTCGTGGTATGGTCGTTCCCATTTGAATACGGGAGAGTAGCGCAAACTCGCTGTTGCGACTATGCCTATTCTGAGGATATCGGATGGCCGAGCGAGACGAAAGGTCCCTAGAGGATGGATCGGAGGGAAAGACATGGCGTTTACTTCTGCGAGATTGCTATGCTTCGGAGGACCCAAAGACATGGACAATCTAGAGATGCCGATTAGGAGAAACGCGACTCATTGGAGACAGACGAGTAGGAGCAGGCGTAGAAGGACTACTCCTCTTAATATAACAATTAATGCCCAAGTGTGTAGGGGTGCTATACCAATAACCTTGGAATACTATACCCAGTCCGATACTCAGGTATGTGCATTTGAGACTCTGACCGACCCGAACCTTGCACCATCAGCTTGAAACCTCAAGTCTATCAGCCATAGAGCTAGACGGAATAGATATAAGGCATATGAATAGGTATTGGATAAAAATTATCAAAGAGGCTAATTTACACATGAAAGAAATATTCTCGCAAACATGTCAAGGGTTCACGAAACGTCTGTAACGAATTCCCAGACGCCGAAACAATTTCTGCAAAATGACAAAAAGAAGAAAAGAAAGCTCGAAACTTATGCTTATCGTGAAGATCAAACTCAATCCTCCATCTCCTCATCTTCAGCTTCAGCGGGCTTGGAGTCACCGAAGAGTTCTCCCTCATCATCATCTTCCACCGGATTTTCTGGAACAGCCACTGCTTCTTCCTCGTCCTCATCATCATCATCGACGATGCGGCGAGAGGACTTATTCCGACGAGGGGCAGCGACCTCCTCATCTTGCATTGGCTCATCGTTATCATCTCCAAAGAGCTCCTCATCCTCATCACCTGGAGTAGCGGCAGCCTCTTCTTCACCCTCATCATCCGAGTCAACCACCATTTCACTACTCTTGAACTTGCTGGAAGTCTTGCTGGCAACCTTGCTCGCCTGAGCCTTCGCACCAGAGCGACGCTCCAGTCGTCGACGCTTCTTAGGCGCAGCATTTTCGCCTTCACTCTCAGGCTCAACGCTACCTTCCTGATCACCCTCCTCATCCCCAGCAATAAAATCATCTCCACCATTCTTCTTTCGCTTAGAAGCGCTCTTCTTGCGGTCCACCTCCTCGTTCCACGCCGCTGCTTGTTCATACGCTTCTTGCTCTCGCTCCCTTCGCTGCGCAACCTGTCGCTCTGTGTCTTCCGCCATCTGTTGTCGCTCCTCAGCGATTCTCCGCTTACGCTCAATTTCAGCCTCTTGCGCTTTGCGGAGCTCCTCTTCGCGCTCTTTAGCAGCGGCTTCACGGGCTTCACGTGCTTGCTGGAGTTTCGAGGCGTTGTTCTCCTCGTATTCCTTCTGGGCTTGCATCGCACGATCAAGTTGCTTGCTAATGGTGCGACCCATGTTCGCACGCTGTTCCAGGGCTGCGCTGGGGTATGGTGGGCTCTTCTCCTTGGAAAGGCGCTCGAAGGTCTCGATAGCCTCTTTCAGACCGTCGGCTGCGTCTTGCACATCCTGAAGAGTCTTCTGGGTGTTTTGTAGGCTGTACGCCAATTGGGCAATCTGGTTCTGTACAAAGGCAACGTTGAACTGGAGGTGAAGTTGATCGGGAGAAACAGCCTGGGCGCGTTGAGCGTAGTCAAGTGCGGTCTTCATGGTAACCAGGTTCATCTCCTGCTTGCCCTTCAACCACCAGACTCGGCCGAGACATGCGAGAATTTGCACATCGCGAGAGCGATCCTTTGACAGAGCAATCTCGTAGTTCTCGATTGAGCGTGAGTACTGTCGGAGCTCAGCGTAGACGTGTCCCAAGTTGAGGTAAACACTGGGGTCCTTCAGGGTCTCACGAACCCTGGAGAGAATCTGCACAGCAGCACTGTAGTCTTTCTTGTCGTCGACGAGAGCGATGGCAATACCCTGAGCGGCATAAGCGTTCTTAGGATCAAGCTGCAAGGCCTTATCGAAGAACTCAACAGCACGCTGGTAAACCTTGCGGCGTTTTTCTTTCTCCGCTTCGGTATCACGACGCATATCACGGGCTGAGAGGAGGTGCACATTGCCCATGCCAGTCAGAGCATACCGGTCATGCTTGTCATGGTACTGCAGAGTGTGCTTGTAGTGACGCTGCTCGTGATCTTCGGCGAGGTTGGCCGTCCGCTTCTTGGATTTGCTGAGGTACCAGCCAAAGAGTGAGCGAACCTCCAAGTTAGTGGACTCTGCCTCATACAACTTGGCCATCTTCTTAGGTCCTTCATCGGTAGGACTCTGACGCAAGCTAATGTAGGTCAAGCGAGCACTGGCTTCTGTATAATCGCTGTGTCGCTCTAGAAGACCTTCGTAGACCGTCTTGGCTTCATCCCACATGTCTGCTGCCTCGTAAGTGCGACCCAAGTTGTAGCTGATGGTGGTGATGAGCGCATCGACGTTGGTCTTGTTGTCTTCTTTTTCTTGTAATTGAGCGCAGGCGTTGAGTGCTGACTGGAACATTCCACGAGCAAGCGCGATTTTCTCGTTCTGGTACAAGAACGCACCCATATTGTTGAGCAACTGGGGAGGGAGGTGCTCACGAAGAGCGTTCTTGATTTCTTCCTCATCTTCAATTCCTTCCGGTCGAGCACTAGCGGGAATAGCAGCAAGTTGTAGTCCCTCCAGTTGAACGAGACACTGCATGCTCTTCTCGGGGACCGTGCTTTCATAAAGTCGGGACAAATAGACCAGCACGGATTCATCGGGAGTCATATTCAGCTTCTCATCCTTCCACATTGATCGAACTGATTCCAACAGGCTGATCGCCCGCTTTGCTTCATTTGACTTGTCCTCCTTGCTACCGAGCTTTTGAACAGCGAAGACCTCTTCTGCATGGAGTGCTGCAAGGAGAATCATCGCCTCCGGGTTTTTAGACTGCTGGATAATCTTCTCCAGGCGGAATTTGGCGCCATCAAAGTCCTTGTTCGAGACTTGCATCTGCACCGCACCGAACTTGGCCGGCAGATAGCCCTTCTCACCTCCACCACGGGCCTGATCAGAACGGTTGTAGTATTCAGTGGCTCGTGCATTGTCGTTCTCATAGTGGGATTTGCGCCCAAGGAGGTACCAGCCGTCACTGGCAATGGGCATGACATCAGTCTGTTCAATAGCCTTGCGAGCTAGCGTCTCCACAGTTGGGTATTGCTTGCGCAGGAGGAAGTAACCACCGAACATGGCACAGGTCATAGGGTATTCCTTGTCAAGCTTGAAGGCCTTCTGGGTGTATTGGGTCATGGCGACCTTGTACAAAGATCCGAACATCGGATCGGTAGTCGACCGGCGAGAGCTGTCGTAGAGGTAGTAAATAGCTAGGAGGATATTCGCAACCTTAGATTCGGGGTTCTGCATTGAAAAAAGCGATTAGTTGAGATATTCATATCTTTCTGTTCTTTTGTAGACCTACCAAAGACAGCGATCTCTCCCAGGCGGCCTTGGCTTGATCTTTGAATCCTAGCTGCCACATACAACACCCGATACCGATGCGAGGGTCTGGATCAGTGAGATTTGGCACCTTCATCAGAACCTTCTGGTAACCTTCAAGAGCTTCAGCGTATCGACCCAGCATGTAATGCGCTCGGGCACGACCCAAAATAGCCATAATATTGCGGCCGCCAAAAGCCTTGGACGAGTCGTCGAAGCATTTCAGAGCTTGGCGCAGGGCTTCCACCCGCTCAGAAGTATCAATGGCGCCAGGACGAACAGCACGAGGCGGGTACAGAGATGCACGGAGAAGGCATAGAACACCCCGGGCGAGGAACAAAGGTGGGTATGCCGGGTTCAAGCGGGATGCCTCATTCAGGGTTGCTGTTGCTTGCTGGAGATAGTGGTCCTTGGTCTTAGCTTCTGAATAGAGCTCACCCTCAGGTGCCACACGAGGAGCCTGTCGGCTCTTAAGCATGAATAGCCAGCAGACCCAGCCCAAAAGGCCGAGCTTTTCTTTGGTGGCACCGTGAGCCACGGAGGCCAGACCCTTGTTCAAGATATCGATGGCATGGTCGATTTGCTTTCGCTTTGCATAGGCGAGCGCGATAATCACCCAGAAGTTTTTGGCTGCACGCTCATTCTCTAGCAGAGTGCAGAGCTCGGTAGGATCCTCGGGGAGGTCAAGGAGGCTGACTTCGACTTCACTGTCGAAGCTGGAGGCGGGGATATCAATGGCATCGGGAATGTCGGAGAATCGAAGCGCGGTGAAAGAGCTCGGGGCAGGAATGGCATCGCCATTTAAGCCATTGGTGTGGCTACCGGCATTCTCGAGGGATGTCATGGTTGCGACCACGCGCTGAGACAAGCCGACGGTCCAGGGTGTCCACCGAGTATGATGTGAGTAGGATGAAGGTAGAAAAAAGGAGAATGAGTAGTGAGTTTTTTTTTTTTAGCTCATTATCAAGCGTGGTTTCCCATTTGAATCTGTTAAGGATAATCAATTCACTGGAAGAACCGATCGCATGAAACGCGCCAGTCGGAGATGTGCTCGCTGCTCTGGATCCTGAGAATTGAATGGAGTGGCTGGAGCACATGCACCGCCACATGTATACACCGCCTTGTTACTGCCAAATGCATCACCTTCGAAGACCGTTTCCATGAACATCGTATGTCAATATCTCAAGTTTTATATAATTAAGCAAATCATATTTACTTGGAATCCTGAGAGTTCAAGAGCATCAAAAAGCAAAGTTTTCCAAAAACTTTTTTCAATTTCCCTTTGTTGTATTCTATACAGTACTTATGCACACTTGAAGTATGAAACAACAACTACTATACCACCTGAGCAGTGTGTCCAACTTGAAGGAACTAGAATTTCATTCAATTCATGCCACTAGATATTGTTGATACTTTAGGTTCAATGTTCAAAGTTCAATGTATGTATAGGAATATTCTTCTTTATAAATATTATCTAGGTCTTGATAGTCATGTCTTGTGAGAGGCAAGAGTGAAGAGAGTCATGTCCAACGCGCACCGTGCCAATCAATGAAACCAGCTGCAAACCACTTTACACACTACCGCTAAACCAACCAAGGCAGCAAAAATCTGACCAAGTTCAATCCAATGATGTAAACGAACATAGGATTCAACATATCCAGCATCGACAGCCACTTTCTGCTCGGTCGTGGCATTCTTAGCTTCAATCGAGCCGGCCAAGTCCGAGGGGAATCGACCCGTTTCCCAGTAATGATCCAAGAGTCGGTCCTTCTCGGCCCATCGAGCTCGCAGCCATTCTTCAAATTCCTTAGCATCATCTAGGGGGATATCTGCAACAGCAAAGCGGCGCCAGTGCATGTTCACGGAGGTTGGTGGTCGCCCTTGCAGATATGTAGATCGAAGAGTGAAGTACTTATCTGGGTACACTCCCTTTCTAGAGGATCATTAGTACTGTTTAGATTCGAGGATCAAAAAGAAAACATACGGAGGTCCCTCATAGGCAATAGTGCTATCATATACCCATTCCACAGTTCCCCGTAGCTGTTGTAGACAGAAAAACAGCCCCGTGGATCGGGGCAAGATCTGGTGATTGAAGGATGGGAGGCCCTGCTTCTCTCCAAATGCATCGCTCCGCCGCTTAGTGTTGATAGAGAGGTTAGTTCCCTCTGGGAAAATCAACAGCCACATAGGGTCATATTGGGAGTCTTTTGACTTGTTGCCCATATACTTGGTCTTCAGTTTTTGAAGCCGGTATTCAATGCGAGCTTTGTCCGAGAGCCATTTTCGTGCTAGGAAGATGAAACCATAAAACATCATTCCTTGGCCTACCACAGGGATCCTCTTCAATGAATCTTTGAGGATGATGAAGATCCGACCATGCATGACATTGGTATAGGCGAACCACCAAAGATAAACCCAGTCGGTGTAGATCTGGTGATTGGCGATCAAGACTAAGCGCTCTGGGAAATCAGCCTGCAGCATGCCATCTTCAGACAGATGCAGTTGCCCCCGAACGGTTTCATCTCCGCTGACTCGGAATAGTGTTGGGCTACCCCATTCTGTAAGGGCCGTGATCACCAGCCCGAAATTTTGTTTTGTGTATGCCATATACAAGTAGTACCATTGTTTGTTGATGAAGTATAGAGGACAGCCGATGAGCTGAGTTACAAAGATGATAATAATGCAGCAGTCAAACCATGTTGCCAGCAGGAGTGACCGGAGGATCTGCATAGCAATGCCATGCTTTAGACGTGGATCGGTGGGGGGTTTGGTGGTATGTTTTTGAAGCTCGGTCGCTTCCGCCGTGGGAGGCTTGCGTTGACGAGCCTCGGTTGAGCTCATGACAGACAATGGATGCCCAAATGGGCTGTAGGAGAAGATAAATCCAAGCTTTGGGGGTATGTGATATAATGGTAGGTACAAAGGTGTGAGTGCAAAACACACCACCAGTATTGAGGAGGGGAAGTATTTGTCTTGTGGTCAGCGGGAGCTGGCGGGATCGGGGGCGCAGATCAACAACTCCACAGCCTCAGGCTATAGCCCTATACTGCAGCGACAGAGGTTGATGAAAAGAAAGAAAATTATATTCAGGAGTCCAAAAAAACAAACAAATCAAGAAAAGCAAAAAGCTCGGGAAAAGGGAAAGAATATATAAAATGATTCTAAGAGAGGAGCAAGGTCTCGTGAACAACAAGCTTGAAAGCTTTCCACGGTTTCAATAACGTCAGTGCTTTCGAGAGCGGTGGGGCCCAATGATTTATCCTCTCCGCCTTGTCTTTAACCCGTGGACCATATGTGCTTTCATTGTTGACTCATTTATTCCTTTCTAGAGATTGGTTTCTCTTTGGGCCATGTCAGAGGTGATTCGCCATATCCAAATTAATACCTGACAGTGGCTATGACCATGCAGGCCTTCCGGCGCGTCCCTAGCCTGGCCTTGCGCCGGTGCTTTTCCTCGTCTGCACCTTGTCACGAGATTCGTGACATTAGCGCCTTGCCTCGCCGACTGATCCCAAAATTCCAAGGTGTGGCTGACTACTCTGAGAGAATGGAAATGTTTTGAGCTGTGAGGTTAATCATTTGATCAGAATCCCAGGGCGAACTTCTCTCTCTACAATGGCCAGCACCGCCACGAAATATCCTGTTAGTGCGCAAGGATTGCGCTCCAGCAGTGACAGAATCCCTTATTGAATTTGTCAAGTATGTCCCATAGCTGAGCGATGCTGGTCATATAACTCATTTAGCCTAACTCCTCTCTGCCAGTCATATTTCCTCCACCTACCCATCTACCGCCGTTGTCCTCGAATTTAAAACTGCCGCGGAAGTTCATTCGTCCCTTTCATTCCCTGTCTATACTGCGTCCTTAGACGAAACTCCCAATGCGTTTCATGACAAGATCGACCTCACCGTGACTCTTGGAGGAGATGGAACGATTCTCCATGCGTCCTCACTATTTGCGACCTGCTCCAATGTACCCCCGGTATTATCGTTCAGCATGGGGACCCTGGGATTTTTAAGTGAATGGAAATTCTCCGAGTTTAAACGAGCCTTTCGGGAAGTTTACATGTCGGGGGCTGGCGCTGGAGATCGCACGTCGGTGCTAGAAGAGGAAACAAAACCTATGGTGGCCTTACCGCAGTCGTCAGATACCCAAGACGACTCCATGGGACCAACTGGTTGGTCCTCGGTGCGTGGGAAGTCGATGGGATCAACTCGTGGCGCCCCCATCTTGATGCGCAATCGTCTGAAAGTGGGATTATTTACGGGAGATGGCCGTGAGACCACTCTGACTCGCGGAAAAAGTGACCAGGGTGCAGGAGTCTACGTCATGAACGAACTGCTTATCCATCGTGGCAAAGAGCCGCATCTGGCAGTGGTGGACATTTTTGTTGGGGGCCGTTACTTGACTGAGGCTGTGGTAGATGGCATCATCATTTCTACCCCAACAGGTAGTACTGCATACAGTCTCAGTAGCGGTGGCAGTATCGTGCACCCGTTAGTGCCCTCAATCCTGCTGACGCCTATCTGTGCTCGGAGTCTTAGCTTTCGGCCCCTCGTGTTGCCGCTCAGTACGCCGATCACTCTCCGCCTGAGCGAAAAGAACCGGGGCCGAGAACTGGAGGTCAGTCTGGATGGAGTGAATCTGGGCCAAGGGATGGCGATTGGCATGGAGGTCCGGGTGTGGAATGAGGAGATGCGGCATGGACAGAATGAGTGGCATGGTGGCGTGCCTAGCGTCATGCGAAGATCTATGGGCGGCGAAGCCCATGAGGGGTGGGTTGGTGGGTTAAATGGGTTATTGAAGTTTAACCATCCATTTGGGGAGTGAGTTGCCCTAACCGGCAATCTGTACATATTGTAACTTTTATCTTATGGCCATACTGACCTAGTGTCTACTGGGTATGGAGTCACGTTGGAGTGGCACCTCTGTACTATATGAATGATATTCTCCAACATCGAAGCTTCTATAAATCTCCACTTTATCTGCTTATAGATATGAATATTTATTAATTATCTTTATAGAGATTTATCTATACTAGCTTGACCATTTGAAGTATCTAGTATTAGTACCGTGTATGCCCCTAATATTCTGACTATGCTGATATCTACTACATACTTCATAGAGTATATGAGACTATACTATCAGCCCTGTTAGGCGTCCAAGGGTAAACACAGATAAAATAACCCTATTTATCCTATATCTATACTAGTATCATAACTTGAACTATTTCATCATATCTATTTCCAATGGTTTAAATCAGTTCATACCATTCATAATCTACCACGAATAGTCAACTGGTATCTGTTCCTGGCCCAGAATCATTGCGACCGTGGATGGAGTACTCAACTAGTCTCTGATTGGTAGAATTGAGTGTTTTCGGTTGATTAGATTCCCCTGGATCAGATTCAATTTCAATTATTCCATTTAATTCGTTATTCTTACCCTGGTCTAGTACACTAATACATTAATATACAAGTTCCTGAAAGAGTAACGTGGTTCAGGGGATCAAATTGGGGATCATCTTTCCCGGCCCAAGTCCCATTTCGCCCCTTTAACATTTGATCTTCCCTTTCTTCCCTTCAAGTTCCCCCCCCCCCCCCCACCACCTTTTTTTTTTTTTGAACTCCATCGTTCTTGTATTCTTTTGTTGTGTTTTTGCTCGAGCTATCCTCGCAGTGCGAGGACGGCTCTTTTTTTTTATTTTTTTTTATCTATTTGTCTCGTGAGTTTTTCCCACCATTCCTACCCCGTTAGCCCCTGGAACTGCGGGATCGCTCCTTGATCCCTTATCCGACCCTGGCGTCTCAGATTCTCTTTTTGGAATCTTAACTAACCCCTCCAATCTTCTTTGATTATTAGAATTGTGAGATTTGGAGCAGGCTTCAGGCGATCCCAGTGATCCCTCGGCGTGCTCTCGGCGCGCTTAGTCGTTCCTCTCTACCCCAGCTTTCACCATTGATCCTATCCATCTCATTGACCCGATAAAGGAATCCCCGCCAGCATGGGTTCATATGGAAAGTAAGTTTGATAACTCTACAGCAAACACTAGTCCTGCGATTCTCCCCCGACGCGTCTGGTGATGCACTTGAGACAAACAAATCGCGATGCGCCCTAACAATTGCTGACCCGCGTAACATTAGCGGCACCATGTATTCGGCAGATCAGTTCATGAATCCGGGGCCGGCTCCCCGCCCCCCCAACAGATCGGCCCAAATTGTCACTCCCCGCCAGTAATACAAGCCAGGTAGCTACCTCTTTCAATCAGATGGGCTTGAATTCTCCGACTACCCCCGCTTCCGGTCTATCTCTCTTCCCCAACACCAGTACCCCGTCCTTGGCCCGGTCCCAAACCGCCGGTGGAGTCACTATTGTGAAGGAGGGTCCTGTGCGCTGCAAGGAAGACAAGTTTCTTGCCTCGTGGAACCAGCGTCAGCTTATCTTGCGCGAATACAAAATCGAATTTCTAAAGACTGAATCTGGGAAGGTTGTCCTGTCCTTCCCTCTCTCCACCGTCACTTCTGTCCAGCGATCAGAGGACACCAAGTTGGCCTTTGATATCACCCGCTTGGCCAATCCAAAGGATGTTAATAATAAGGTTGCTTTGATCACCCGTGATGTGGCCACCAAGACCATCACCTGTGAGGTAAAGAATGACGAAGAGATCTATGAATGGATCGATAAGATCTATGAACGTTGCCCTGGCATGGGCGGAGTCAGCAACCCAACTAATTTCAGCCACCGTGTGCATGTTGGCTTTGACGCGCAATCTGGTGGATTCATAGGCTTGCCTCCAGAGTGGGAGAAGCTGCTGACCACATCCGCCATCACAGAAGAAGACTATGCGAAGAACCCGCAAGCTGTCATTGAGGTTCTGGAGTTTTACTCTGACATCAAGATGCGAGAGCAGAACCCGCAATACTATGGCGGTATGAATAAACCAGCGGCCGCGGGAAGCCCGCCTAAGCTGCCCACAAGTACATCAATGGGCAGTGGAATTGCTCCTCCTCGCCCTGCACCTCCTGGTCCAATGCAGCGCCTAGACACCACACAGTCAGGTAGTATGCGCTCCGTCTCATCACCCACTACTGGAGACCGCAATGCAGAGCAGCAGCAGCAACTCGCGCGTATGAAGGAAATGGCTGACCAGGAACGTCGTCGTGTCGAGGAGGAGAACCGTCGCCGAGAGGACCAAGAGTACAATGCCTCTCTGCCCAAGGCCCGTGTTCCCCTGGCCAAGCAGGAGTTGGGTGGATATGGAGGATCTCCCGACACCCGCTATCAGCCCAGCCGTCCTGCCCCCCAAGCACCAGGTTCTTCACGCAGTCCAGGTCCCGATCCTCGTCAGTTGACCGCCCAAAGACCAGCTCCAGCACCACCATCATCTCAGAACTCCTATGGAAAGTCTCATGTCCGCACTCCGGGTGGCGGTTCTCAGAGTGGCAACGGATCGATTTCATCGTCTTCACACTACAACACACCAAGCGATGCCCGTTCTCAGGCTTCTCAAGCTAGTCGCTCACAGCAGGCTCAGGGTCCTCCACCAAGCAGACTGCCCGCACCGGTGCAGCAGGTCAAGCCATTGAACATTGCTAACAAGCAACCGGCTGCCAAGGCTGTTCCGGACAGTGTCCGTCAAGCAGAGGCAGCATTGACCAAGAAGCCCGAGCCACACAAGAAGGAGGTGCGCATGTCGGCTATGTCAGAGAATGAGGTCATGGACCGTCTGCGATCAGTAGTCTCCAAGGACAATCCCAATGAGTCTTACAGTAAGCAACGCAAGATTGGTCAAGGTGCTTCTGGATCCGTGTATGTTGCGCGTGTTAAAGAAGGGGCCACATCGGCAGTGGCTCGTGAGCTGTACCGACAGTATGGTCCAAGATGCCAGGTCGCCATTAAGCAGATGGATCTGCGCAGTCAGCCTCGTAAGGAATTGATTGTCAACGAGATCATCGTCATGAAGGACAGTCAGCACGCCAACATCGTCAACTTCTTGGATTCTTTTTTGCAGGAATCGAGCAATGAACTCTGGGTCGTTATGGAGTTCATGGAGGGTGGTGCTTTGACCGATGTGATCGACAACAACCCAGTCATCCAGGAGAACCAGATTGCCACCATCTGTGCCGAGGTATGTTTCATTTTCGAGATTCCCTCTATTACACGTTATACTAACCGCTTCGTAATTTACAGACTTGCAAGGGGCTGGCCCACCTGCACGCCCAGAACATCATCCACCGTGATATCAAGAGTGACAACGTTCTTCTCGACCGTGTTGGTCACGTTAAGATCACCGATTTCGGTTTCTGCGCCAAGCTTACCGAGTCCAAGAACAAGCGAGCCACCATGGTTGGTACTCCCTACTGGATGGCCCCAGAGGTTGTTAAGCAGAAGGAGTACGGCCCCAAGGTCGATTGTTGGTCCTTGGGTATCATGGCTATTGAGCTGATTGAGTCCGAGCCTCCTTACCTGAACGAGGAGCCATTGAAAGCCCTGTATTTGATTGCCACGAATGGTACTCCGCGTTTGAAGAAGCCGGAGAAGCTGAGCAAGGAACTTAAGGCTTTCTTGAGTGTTTGTCTCTGCGTTGATGTCCGCAGCCGTGCCACTGCAGATGAGTTACTTGCCCATGAGTTCCTGTCGACCGGCTGCAGTCTGGCCAGCTTGGCCGAGTTGTTACGCTGGAAGAAGGCAACCGGCTAGATGAAATAATTTCTGCCTCAATATGGTCTCTTTTTGCTCTTCACAGCTCCGGGCTGCGATCAGGAAAACCAGCCAACTCCAATCCCAGCATAACACCCCCAATTCACTCTTCATCCCGTCATTCTACTTGAAGATCATCTGTCTTGCGCACATATGGGTATCATTTAACGCCCTCCGGTTAGGTCATTCCTTTTTCCCTTTCATCGCTCTGCCAAATTTTGTCTCTTAAGAATGAACCGAACACTGCATAGACACCCCTTCATGGAAATTTCCATGGATGTCTTCTTTTTCTCTACCCCTGCACATCATACAGAACACTTGGCGTGGGTAATAAGGCGTTCTGTCGATTCTTTTTCTCTTTCAATCTTCTGTCCTTGGTTGATGCTGTTCCTAATGCCTCTACCTGTTTATCATCCTGCACAGGAGACCTTGTTTCCCTCATACCACTTTGACATTATTCCGCTCCGCAGTTCCTGTTCACTTTCTACGATACTGATGTTGACGATTCTGACATGCGCTGCGTATCTCCTGTCTCTAAAAGCGACAACCTACCTAGTTTTGCGTCTGAATTGAAGGTTTTATTTTTAGTATCCACTGGGCTACAATACCCATCAATCTGATTTCTATTTCGTTCAATCTTTCGAAACACTCGTACTTTATGTCTTCTCCTAGTCAAATTTATCTTAGATGAGTCTTACCTATGGATGGGCTCTATCAACCAACCTGAAGTGAAGGACTCGGGAATTCTAGCCTATTCATACTAGTTGAAATCACCATATTGCCCCATGATACTAGCACTCTAGTGCTCCAATTTATTCAAGCTCAATAGACCTCTTTTTCTACTTGGGTTACAGTGGTTTTCGAGTTTTCTCACCGTCTGGCAGAATACTACTCAGAGACCACAGATTTACCAATAGACTATTTTTCTTTTATTTATTACATATATCTAAACATGCACATGTGAATATATCCCGCTTTATTTAGCTATCTCTTACTTCTATTTTAGATATCTGTAGGGTTGCCAGTTGCCTATATCTAACTATATGACAGGTAGCCTTCCCCTCTAGGTAACCATGTAGGTAACCCTGTAGGTAACCCTGTAGGTACTTATATAAAAAGAGGTGTCAGTCATTATGTAGAACATCCCAAGGTCCCTGTCTGAGAGGATATGGACACATCTAGCCAAGCACTCGCGTGCTGAGGACATACCTCTCCAAATTTCAAATGCTCGCTGCTTCACTGGCAGTGCCGCGAAAAGCGCGGCGTGAAGACTTGTACAGTATCAACTTCCATGCGGGAGAATTCTCAGTTTGGAAAATGGGAATTAATTATACTAGTAGTAAGTCAAAACGCTACATATGTATAATTTGACAAATTTAGCCGATTTAGTATGAGTGTTCGCATATGGATGTGGATTCGTTAAATTGATACATGAACGTGCTTTATGTGTCCATATTTCTCAGCGTAGAGTAGATTTAATACAATACCTTGAAGATTCTGGCCCAACATTTTATGAACTTGGTTCTATTTAATCTCAGTTTAAAACTTGAACTGTGGAGTTAGTGAAAAGAGATTAAAGATATTCAGATAACACTATGATTTGGCCGACTCTCAAGTTGTGACTGCCAGCCACTACTAGTACACATTCCTCTCCCCATCCTCGTATCCTCCAGATTTCATATCGTATTCAATTTTCCAACCTCGGGCTCAATGCAAGAGCCAGAGCAAAGCACCAAAAACTCAACATTCAATCAAAACAGTACTTGAACCCTCAAGAATTCGGATCCACCAATACCTATTCAACATCCTGTCCAAGACTACCTATACCATGCGAAGTGGAGTATTCACAGGCTACTTAGTAGTAGTCTAAATCTGAGCCTCAAGATCCTGTAGCTCAACATAATCGGGTGGGTAATCCTGATTGCGCGCATTCTGATTCCTATCCGAAAGACTGTCTTCAGGGGTTGTGGTGATAGTCCGTTCATACATAGTAGACTCGGTATCACCTATTTCAGCACTTTCCGTATCGTTCGCTTCCATAGCCTTGATGGCTTTGATTGCCCGACGCTCCTCATAACATTCATAGATCCCAATTATAACGTAAACTAAGGCGGCTAGTATGGCGCCAAACACGAGTAGACAAAGGCCGATACTGAGGATCCACTCAAGTACCGTCAGAGTGAGGCCTGCCAACTTATCAGGGAAGCTCTTCTCCATTATTGATCAGTTTGGATATGGTTGAACTAAGTGAAATTTTGTATTGAAGTCACGGTGTGTGTTATTGAGGGCGTTCAAGTTGTGTACATAGTTCAACATTCAAGTTTGATAGGTATCCACTGGCATAAATGACGCAACTGATTTCATCGCCGACTCCAATTTTAACATCTGTATATCCATACTAGTACTAGTAGAATATAGCACTAGTATTATTTTATTTTGGAAAGATCTATTATGATCTATTTCTATGAATAGAGCTTGAGTCCATCATGTCATGAAAGTATTACTGCCCAGGTGGTATTATCCATATGAGTTCGCTGGGTGCGTTGGGTATTATAGTATACAGATATGGGTTTGATCAGCGTTTATATTCACTACTGGCATGTAGATAGACTAGTAATACTACTAATAGTACTACCTAATAGGTAGTACCTGTTTAGAGATAGGGGTACTATAAGTAGATTTATAGGTAAGCACTTGAGGTATAGAGGAGTTATCTTAATATCCATTCTAATGCCTTAGGATGTTCTAAATTAAACCCATATACTAAGCAAAGACAAGATAAAAGTCAGTATTTTGGGCTGATATTAAGCTGAATGAAATAATTTAGCCCAGGTCCAGGTCCTCTCTCCGCTCAATGCTTCCATTTCCAGAACATTAGATGATATCATATTCCCACCTAGCAACAAATAACAAGTCATGATTACTATTTAGTAGAATAAAACTCCAAGCAACTCAAGGTATAATCATAACAGTGCTTAAAGTCTCAACATTTCAAGGCTCAAGCACTTCAATGTTGAGTCACAGATTTCAGATCCGCAGGACCATGATCTTATCCAAGACTAGGTAACATACGGAGTATTCACAGGCTACTTAGTGGTCTAAGTCTGAGCCTAGAGATCCTCTGACTCAATATAAGGAGGGGCCGGATCCTGATTGCGCGTATCCCGATCCATATCCGAAAGAGCTGTCCAGGAGTCGTGATAACAGGTTGTTCATACACAGTAGACTGAGTGTTGCTTTCTTTAACACTCTGTGTTTCCTTCACCCCTGTGGCCTTGCCTCTCTGACCCTGCCAATAATATTGAAAGGTCACTTTTATAACACCATATAATATAATCAAGGCAAGTATAATACCTCCCGTGATGAGAACCCACACAACTGTAGTCACAAAAATGTCTAGCGCCTTGTCAGTCACTTCATTCGCCATTTTTGACCGGGTTGGATATGGTTGAACTAAGTGGAACTGTAATTGAAGCTATATTTCAGTATGAGTGTTAGTGACAGTGTCTAGGTCGTGTATACATGTGCATGTATATGATTCAACATTTGAAGTTGTTATAGGTATCCACACACATGGATTATGATAGATGCCGCAACCGATTTCATCGCCGACTCCAACACATGTCTATATTAGTACTAGTATCACTGGTACCATTACTACTAGATATATTCTGTATAATCTTAGAGCTATTGGGGGATCGAAATCTACAAATAGAGTCCATATGGTATGAAAACTAGGCCAGTGAGTTTGGGTTGACTCATCTATATATGGATATAGGTTTGATGAGCGTTTATATTCACTGACCTCGGGAGTAAATACATATAATACTATGTACTACTAAACTAGTTCCAAGGTTAGTAGTATTTCATTTATTAGTACTTAGTAAGGTATTGATAGAGCCTACCTACTTAGGTGAGGAGTAATCAGTGTTTCAAACCCTAGAGGCCCGCTTAGGATTTTCTGACTTACAATCATATACCAAGCAACTTGAAAGAAGATATCAAAATCTGCACCCCAGTGCACTCAAGCTTGAATTATCTATGAATAATCCAGCCTAGCTTCAGCTCCTCTCCCCGTACAATGTTTCCGTTTCCAAGGTTCCAGATAATTGATCAGGTTCCTCACGCAGACTCAAGCTCCTAAAGAAACAAATAACAAGTCTCGACCATGTAGTAGAATGAAACTCTCCAGCAACACTTGAACTCAAGATATAATCAGAGCAGTCCTTGAGATCTCAACATACAAGTATCCAGATCTGTAACATCTCGTCCATGCGGACTATTCGCAGGCTACTTAATAATAGTCCAAGCCTGAGCCTCAAGATCCTGTGACTCAACAAAAGAGGACTGCGATTTGCGCGTATTCCGATCCATATCCGAAAGACCGTGTCCAGGAGTCGTGATCATGGGTTGTTCATATACAGTAGATGTAGGCTCGGTGCGAGTGAGGGGCCTTGAATCTGACTCGCTACTTATTCTACTCTGCCTCACCCTCCTGGCCTTGCTTCCTCGATTCTCCTGCGAAAAGTTCCAGGTTCTTTTTACAATATGAAATATGAGGTATAGCACCGCACCACCGGCAAGAGCAAACCAAATAGATACCATTATATAACATAAGATATCCATAGCATCGGGAGCTGTTTCGTGTATTTGTATCCGCCATTTTGATCGGGTTAGGTGGTTGGGTTAAGAGAGATTGTGGTTGAAACTTGAAGGATGGGAGCTTGAACATTTGAAATGAGATACCTACTGATACAGATACTGTAATCCGGTGTGGTATCGGGTGACAGTAGTACTAGTACTACGTGATTCTTACGTGCATGGATATATGCCGTGGCCTATTTCATCCCCGGCGACTCGAATGTACATAGAGCATGTGAATGTGGTGACGTTGACCCTAGAGTACTAAGAAAAGAATGCTATCATATCCAGATATTGTATTCCTTGTGTACATGCAGTTTCTCAAAGCAATAAATGAAAATAAATCCCGATTATGTAGAATAAAACCGTCGTCCTAAAGCAACTCAATATTGAATCAGAGCAGCCTGAGTCTTTAAACTTCCAGATCCATCCCTCGTTTAACATCATGGTTTGGTTCAAATTTTCAAGACTAATAGATATCGCATGGAGGTAAAAGAGAAAATAGGATGCCCAGGCTACTTGGTAACAGCCTGCCAGCCAGCCTCAAGATCCTGTAACTCAATATCGGGAGACTGATACCTCTTCAAGCTGCATCTATCCCGATCTATATTGAAATGAGCAAATGCAGGGAGTTTGATGACAGGTTGCTCATAGACTGTAGATCCGGTGTGAGTATCTCTAGCACTCTGAGTATCGTTCACCCTTGCGGCCTTCTTTCTCCGGAGGTAGTTTCGCCAACGAGGCCAACGAGCGATTAGAAAAAGCCCTGGAGGACTGGAAAGTAGATAGCCATAAAGGCAAAAAAGAAACCAAATATACCGGCTATACCCAGAGGTACTATTAGGTAGTTGAATGATGCCATGATTGTTTATATTGGCCGGGCTGAGTGAGATGATTCAAGTTGCCAGTGAAACTTGACATCTGCAAAGATGAATGCGGACTTATGTAAAGTTTTAAGGCAAAATACTCTATAGATTGAAGTGTAGTAGCAGTTGACAGGAGCATATGAGTAGTACGTGATTATTACATCCATGGATACTAATCCGAGTCTGCCGCCGCCGATCTCATCGCCGACTCTAACCTTGGAAACTCTATAAATCATGGCAGTAGCATTAATGTTGGAGTGAAGAAAATATGGCTGCTCTAGGTACTGAGCGAAGTTGCTCCGACTTAAAACATTTGAATGTACACATGCACATGTGCGTGTAGTAGGTGACCTTAACACAATAAAGGTATACCTAGTGTAGTGGGGTACCCTGTCCCCCTACTACACGTACCGTGCTAAGAATTACCGTTTGGTTACATCTCTGTTTTGTCATGTTTTCAGTCCCGTCTTTGTACGTACAAGAATACCCGTCGTTATAGTCTAGAATACACACTCCTACACATCTCTCATCCCACCCCTACGGGGTAGTCCGGCCACAACCTACATGTTGGTTGGTGTTATCCATTCATGCTAGCTGGATCGACCCGTGTATCTAGAATACACTGCCTAACGGTTCCCCTCTTCACTAGGTAGTAGTAGAATATTACACACAAGTAGGGTTTCTCCCAATACCACCTAGGCAATATAATAGAACCATTTGAATACAAGCAAGAAATCCGCATATCGTACTCCAAGTCACTATATAAAAGTCAGCCCAGCTTCAATTTTCTCGTTCAATGTTTTCACATACACTTGTCATATTCCCTGGGCAGTGCCAATGTAACAAACCACAAGTCCCACCTGAGCACTAGCAGAATGAAACTTGTTGATCGACTCAATATTTCATTGGGGCAGTCTTTGACTCCCAGACCTGCCATCATTCAAGCTTGAAATTCTGTCCAGAACTAGGTATCATACAGAGGTGAAGGGGACTCGGAATAAATCCCGGAGTCAGAATCAGGAGACTCGGGCTGGTACTCCTTCAAGCTGTATGTACCCCGATCCATATCTGAAAGAGCGCGTCCAGGGGGTACGATGTCAGCATGAGGTTGTTCATATACTGTAGTCCCGGTGCGAGCATCCTCAGAACTCTCAATATCGTTCACATTCTTTGCGGTCATCCTTCCCCAACACTTTTTCCAATGTTCCCAGAGAGTTATGGAAATAAGGCCTATAAGGCCTAGAGAGACGAAAGCGGCGATGATGACAAGAATCCAGCATAATGCCAGTTCTATGTATATGATTTGATCTTGCTTTTTAGACACCATGATTGATCTGATTGGGGCTAGGTGAAATTGAGATTGAAACTTGAAGAATGCATGGGAAATAGGATTCTGGTGTAAGGTGCTGGTGGTAGTGGCAGCCCTGGGAGTACTACCTAGTATGGGGTCAGTAGTACGTGATTATTACGTCTATGGGTTGGTAGATAAACAACCACGACGGATTTCACCACATTGAACCTAACTTGGTACATAGACTACTGAGGCAGTGCAATTTGAGCTTAACCAAGGTTGAGTCTGGATTGAAAGCTTGAAGCTTGAAGGAACAAGTGTAGCTTCGTCTTGAGATTTTGGACTCGAGGTTATACAGACTCCCATTATAATCAGTGACATTATGTTCATTCAATAAGTCAGGTATAGGTATTTGAAATGCCCAGAAATCGACGTTTTGATACTCCCAGAACCCCATGCAAGAAATAAGAAAAAAAGTAATCACAGTTGGAACTTCGTCCGCTCTTTCTCCATTCCACCCGCCCATTCCCACTCTTGTCCACTAGCCCGCTGGATACCTTTATCCACACGACGCAGCTTCAAAGTGAATCGAGGTCCTAGCTCCTGCAGACCAGTTCGAATACCCTCAACTCCTGCAATCTCCTTTCCATCTGCACCAACAACTGGCTTCTCTGTCTCTCGCTTCTCACGGAAGACGTATCGGTGACGGCGCACGAAGATGTAATCACGCTGATTGTGCAGTGTCACGACCTGTCGGCCCTCAAACTCTGGCTGAGGAGGGAACAGAGTCCGGAAGACATGCGCAGTCAAAAGACCCAGAGGTGTGCGGAAGTTGTTCAGGATCAGCTCGGGCCAGTGATCTGTGGCACGGCCGTGTCCGGGCAATCGCTTACCCTCAATCCAGTTGCTAATAGTGAAGTGGAAGGTAGGTCCCACAGGCAGGTGAACCATTGTCAAACCGCTGGGCTTCTTCTGGTCCTCGTTGAGAACAAGTACAGTTGTGTAGTTGCGGTTTGCGGCGAACTTGGAGATCTCACGGATAGAGAATTTGTGCGAGTATCGGTGAGCTGTGCGACGGATGTACACGCTGTTCGGGAAAAACTCTGTAAGGATTTCGGCTTCTTTGTGGAGCGTAGAGTTGATTGAGGTTGTGATAAGAACCTTGGGGGTTGGGGTTGGCTCCGAGGAAAAGAGGCTAGGGAATTTCGCTGCGAGGGCTTCGGGTGCCAGGTTCATGTTGGTGCTTTTTGTGGACTGTGTCGGGCTGGTAGCACGTTCCGTAGCAGTGGGAAGAGTGGACTTCTTTCGTCCGCGACCTTCATCTTTTTCTTCATCCTCGTCCTCATCTTCACTGTCACTCGAAGCGATCATACTGTCGACAGATTCGTTGTCCGAGTCGGGTGCCTCGCTATCATCCTCTCCTTCTTCCAAGGGTCGGTTTAGCTCATCCTCTTCTTCCTGCTTGGCCCGCTTGATGCGCTCAACATCAACACTCAATCCCAGTCCTGTCTCGTCGGCGTCGTTGTCGGCTTCATCCCAGACTCGCTTACGGTCAAGAGTCAATGGAATATTGCGCTTCAATCGTTCCTCTCTCAATTTGGGGTTCCTGGCCTCTTCCTTCTTGAATGCATATCGCTCGGCTCGGCGCTCAGAGTCCTTCGCTCTCTTGCGCTTGATGTGCATCATCTGACGACGTTGCTTGTTGGCGGGCTTGATATCACCCTCCGCACCTGGCGGAGGTCTTCCTTTTCCTTTAAGTCCCATTTTGAATATCGTTAAAATATGGGGAAAAACGTTGGTTGGATAAGCTCTTTACTTTTTTTTTTTTTTGGTCGCAAGAAAATAAATTATCACGGAGATCGGAAATGGAGATTCTCCGGGCAATTAGAACGCTCCGACCACGCGACTTGTTGATCTCTTTTTAACTGATTAAAAAAGGAGTTAAAGGTGGAAAAAGAAAAATAAAGCGGAGAGATTTGGTCTCAATCCACTCTTTATTAATTTTTTAATAATTTCGTTCTTTTTATTGTATTTCTTCCGTGTATTATAAGTCTAGGCTAGAAGCCTATGCGATTGGATGACTCAATTGCTTCCGCGACTTTTCCCCCGCTCCTCTACTTTTTCCCCTCCATCCCTCCTCAGCCTCAGGACTTTTACCTGCTCGACCAAGCCCCCGAAGCCATCCAAACGAAATCCCAAGATGGCTACCGTCGCCACCAGGACCGGCCAGGAGGTCGATCGTAACGTCCTGGACTCAATGCTTCGCCGTCGCATGTTCTACACCCCCTCCTTCGAGATCTACGGTGGTGTCTCCGGTCTGTATGACTATGGTCCACCAGGAACTGCCCTTGTCGCCAACATGACCGACTTGTGGCGCAAGCACTTCGTTCTTGAGGAGGATATGCTCGAGGTCGACACCACCATGCTCACCCCCCCACGAGGTTCTCAAGACTAGCGGCCATGTGGACAAATTCGCCGACTGGATGTGCAAGGACCCCAAGACTGGCGAGATCTTCCGTGCGGACCACCTGGTCGAGGAGGTTCTCGAGGCTCGTCTGAAGGGTGATAAGGAAGCGCGTGGCCAGAAGGTTGTGGTCGACGAGGAGAAGGAGGCCAAGAAGAAGAAGAAGAGCAAGGGCGAGAAGAAGGCTGTCAAGCTGGACGATGCCCTTGTGAAGGAGTACGAGGAGACTCTCGCACAGATTGATAACTTCGACGGCCCCGCGCTTGAGAAGCTCATCAACAAGCACGATATCCGCAACCCCGCCACCGATGGCCCCGTTCTGCCCCCCGTCGCTTTCAACCTTATGTTCCAGACCTCTATTGGCCCTAGCAGCAACATGCCCGGTTACCTGCGTCCTGAGACTGCCCAGGGTCAGTTCCTGAACTTCGCCAAGCTTTTGGAGTTCAACCAGCAGTCTATGCCTTTCGCCTCTGCCTCCATTGGCAAGTCCTTCCGTAACGAGATCTCCCCCCCGCGCTGGTCTGCTGCGTGTACGCGAGTTCCTCATGGCTGAGATCGAGCACTACGTCGACCCCGAGGGTGGCAAGAAGCACCCCCGCTTCGTCGAGGTTAAGGATGTTGAGATGTCCCTGCTTGACCGCAATGTTCAGCTGTCTGGCAGCACCAAGGTCACCAAGATGACTATTGGTCACGCTGTTGAGACTGGTCTGGTCGACAACGAGACCCTGGGTTACTTCCTGGCTCGTATTCAGCTCTTCCTGGTCAAGCTTGGCTGTGACTTCACCAAGCTGCGTTTCCGTCAGCACATGGCCAACGAGATGGCTCACTATGCCGCTGACTGTTGGGATGCTGAGCTCCAGACCAGCTACGGCTGGATTGAGTGTGTTGGCTGTGCCGACCGCAGTGCCTACGATTTGACTGTGCACAAGAACAAGACTGGTGCTCCTCTTGTTGTTCGTGAGACTCGCTCCGAGCCTCTGCGTATTGAGGAGTTCCAGATCGATCTTGACAAGAAGAAGTTCGGTCCTCGCTTCAAGAAGGATGCTAAGACCGTCGAGGCCGCTGTTGAGGCTCTGTCCCAGGAGCTCCGTGAGAAGCTGTCCCTGGATCTGGAGAAGGACGGTAAGATCGAGGTCGATGTTGAGGGTGTTGGATCTGGCAAGGTCGAGCTGGAGAAGGATATTATTACTATTGAGAAGCGTACCCGTGTTGATAACGTGCGCGAGTACACTCCCAACGTTATTGAGCCGTCCTTTGGTATCGGCCGTATTATGTACAGCATGATTGAGCATGTCTACTGGTCCCGTGCTGGCGATGAGGCCCGTGGTGTAAGTTGCCATACTCCATACTCCATATTTGTTTTGTTTTCTTTCATAATACTAACTACCATAATAGGTCCTGTCTTTCCCTCCGGCTATTGCCCCCACCAAGGTTCTGCTGGTTCCTCTGTCCACCAACCCCGCTTTCAAGCCCCTGACCCAACGTCTGACCTCCAAGCTGCGTCGTCTCGGTGTGTCCAACCGTGTCGATGACTCTTCCGCCAGTATCGGAAAGCGTTATGCTCGTAATGACGAGCTCGGTACCCCCTTCGGTATCACTGTTGACTTCCAGTCCGTCAAGGACAACTCCTTCACTCTGCGTGACCGTGACTCCACCCGCCAGGTCCGTGCCAGTGAGGATGATATTCTCCAGGCTGTTAAGTCTCTCGCCGATGGTGACGAGACCTGGGAGGATATTGCCAAGCGTCTTCCTGAGTTCACTGGCCAGGAAGTCGATTAGATGTAGAGATGACCTCTTTTTTCCAAAAATATACACCTTTTCTGTTCTTCAGTCTGTAAAGCTTCTTACCTCTCTTATACATCTTATTTGCTTTTGTTCTTCTTCTTCTTCTTCTATCAAACTACTCATTGTAAAGACAAAGTCAAAGTCGTATAGTCAAGCTTCTCGGCATGACCCAATCAGGCAATCCGCGCCAAGAATCCGGGGAATCGAAACCTCCGATCATTCCCAGATCTGTCCTCTTCCTTTCTCTCTCCAGGCGAACAGAAAACATAAGCGGAGGACAAGATGGCACCTATCGTCCACACCGCGAAAATCACCCTCTCATGTCCAGTCTTCTCGGCTGACTTTGACCCGCGCGATAATGGTCGTCTGCTTGTTGGTGGCGGAGGCGGCGAAGGCCGTAGCGGAGTTGGGAACAAGATCGTAAGTGGAGCTAATAGTGGTTGATTGAATAAGGCTCTAACAATTGCTTTTTAGTCTCTGCTAGATACATCACATCGGACTGAAATCAAGGAGGTCGTTGAATTAAGTTTATCGCGCGACGAAGACTCGGTGACGTCGTTGGCGGTCGCGCCGCAAGTTGGCGATGAGGAACACTCACTGGTCATTTTTGCTGGAATTAATAGCTCGGTAGCGGAACAGAAGAAGAACAACAATCAGCATATGCGCGCGTTTCGTTTCGATGCTCCCCGGAAAGTGACTATATCGACTGAGGTGGAATCGTCGGAAGGGAAGGAGAAGGCAGAGGCAGAGACAAAAGATGCGAAGCCAACGGAAGAGTTGATCCCTGGAAAGGCAGAGCTGGTGTCTCGCAACTCGCTGTTCCGGTTCAAGAGCGGTGCTGAAGCGGGCGAGGCTTATCAGCGTGTGATGAGACTGTCACCTTGGAAGAAGCCGAGGCTTGATGAGAAGGGCACCCCGGAACCCAGAGTTGGCGCAATCTCCACTGGACTGGCACGATCGGGCGAGATCGTGTTTTTTGAAGCTACTGCCTCGCCATCTGAATCTGATGTTATTGGTCGAATTCGCCTCAGCGGAAGCGAGGAAGCAGAAGATGTTGATCTTATGAGCCTTGAATTCGACCCTGATCAGACCACCAATTCTCGTGGACGGTTCCGTGTGGCATATACAAATGGTACAGATGTGATGGTTGGCGAGATTTCCTCGTCGACACGCTCCAACGCCGCCCCAGATGTTCACTGCGTTTATACTACCCCTCTGCCGAGCAGTGGTGCGCGAGCCGCTCGCCCCAAGTTCCGGGCTCTGCGTTTCCTCTCCCCTACTGCTATTCTTCTCCTGCAGAATGCGCCCAATCGCAGCGGAAGCGAGCTGGTTCTCCTCAGGCTGCCAAAGAGCAAAGATACTCAAGCTAAGATCATGCGCCTTCGCAAGCTTCCTCGGGCCGTGAAGATCGGATTAGGACTCGACGTTTGTGCGCTTGGGACAAACCCGGTTGGTCAACAACAAACCATCATTGCCGCTAGTGGTAGCGATCACTCCATCTCACTCTTCACGGTCGAGTATGGTCCCAACCGCGGCTACGAGAAGATCCAACCATATACTACCCTCCGCGATGTACACCCATTCTCCATGACAAGGCTCTGTTTCTCAGCCTTCATCGCCCCTGCCCACCCCATAACCCCAGATGTACCTCCGCAAAAGGTCAAGCTTGCTTCAACCAGCATGGGCAACACTGTTGTCGTTCATACTATCCCACTTTCTCCTTTCCCCGCTTCTTCACGTACACCCCGCTATACCCTCTCCCTACCCGGGCCTTCCGAGATGTGCGAACTACTGGCCTACCTCGCCTTGCTGCTCTGCTCATTCCTTGCAATCATTTTCGCCGTCCTCGTCTATCTCGAAATTCGCGGCGGAACACCACCTTACCTCGGTGCCCAGAACTGGCTCTCCGACGATATGCGCAGGTCTTGGGCGGTAGAATACATTACTCCAGAGAAAGGCCAAGGGTCTTATCTAGACTACTTTCTGTCTCCATCTCGAGGAAATGGTGAAGACCCTCTTGATCATACTCATTTCATTCCAAACCACAACACCAAGGAATCCGTTACTGTCAATGAAGACGCATTGGGAAGTCTAAAGGATATTCTCGACCGTGTCCATAAGGCTGGTGCTGCACCTGCCGATCTCGAGACCCAGGCTCCACACTCTCTATCTGTGATCGTCAGATGTAACGAGCACGGCGAAACAGCCGAGCAAAGCGTCCTTATCGAGACTTCCTCATCTGCACAACATGAACAGCTTTCTGCAGCTGATCAACTCCGTCACTGGACTGATCTTAGTGGCACTGATAAAGCCGCGTGGAAGCGTCATCTTACTGATGCTGGACGCTGGGCTGCTAGTGAAGGCGAGGCAGTTTTACAAGGTGTATTATTTAGTGAGGCATGTGGACAGTTGAGGCAGTTTGTGGGAAATGAATTGCCTTGATATGATTACATGTGGATATATGATTTGATTTCTTTGATTTTCTGTGCTTTGTCTGTTTTAGATCTATACCTTGGGTATTTTCTGTTGTGTTGAGCTTTAACTTAGATGTATAATGCATGTATGATTGTCACATATCTTGCGAGAATCACCACCCCTCTGCTTCTCCCACTCGTATCCGGTCGTTGCCATAAGTATCTTAGCCCTCAGGCTGAAGACGTGGCGTGATTGGCTTTGCAGGAATGTCGCCATATACATCATTATAAACTCCAAGGGAAGTCTAAGGGTAAGCGGCATTTGCCCAGGTGACTTGCAGCGTTCGAGCCAAAGTATTCCATGGTTTCGTCTGGCACAATTTGAAAGAACCGGATATGATGTAGTTCTATATGCCTCTTTTTATCAAATTGCCGTTCAAATAAGTGCTGAATTTCGGGTATCATTTTGCCGCACCCATGGGCAGAATGCTGCTCCGCTTCCTTTGGCGTCGTTACTGTTTCTCATGTGATCGTGGTGTCGTCTTTGTCTGCTTTGACCAGAGTCTCAAAAAGATGGAATTTGAGAAATAGATATCTCCACTGGGTGTTTCCCACCTCGAAAATCTCTGTTTGGTCCTTGTCTGTTGCATCAGGATGTTCTTGTCTTGCAGTCCATGTTGTTTTCAATGGATCACTGAGGTTTCGAACAAAGGAATGGGAGATCACACTCGATTTCAAGTTGAAAGAGTGAAATCAACTTGGACCCAAGTCACCCAACGAAAGAGCAAATATATTGCGGCGAAATGAGTGCCCGCTTCCTCCAACGTTCGCATTCCTCGGGAGAGACGCTGTGAAGTAAGGCGAAGAGATTGGCTTGGGCTACCATGTTGTTTTCTCTGGTCGCTTCGTATTGTTCAGCAATTTCCTGATTCTAGTGGATCGACAGGGTGCAATACTCGTCATAGGATTATGCTGGCGAGTGACGGCCAGTTCATAATGAGCATAATTGAGTGCAGGTATGTAAAATAGTAACAGCTTCCATATCATCAGTGACAGATAGGTGAAGCGGTCATCGGTATACTGAGCGAAGGACCTAGCAAACAATAAGTTATACTAGTGGTAGTGGTTTTGGCATCAAGCTCGTAAATAATCAAAACACCATTATTAGCAACTAATCCAAGATCCCATGAAGCTCGCTTGCATTTCGGGGTGGAAGCCCGCAAAGGCGTAGAAGCGGCCGTATACTGGAACCCATGTTGAACATGTGAACCAAGGCTGGGTAGCCAGCCATAGGCGTATCTACTCTTCCCAAGGTTGCTAACTCCTTTCGATGCAGTTGGAATTCCTGTGTGGATTGTATGATTCCTGCATGATATACCCCAAAATAGTAGTAAGTGGGGTAGTCATCTCGAGTTAACTCAACACACCAGGTAATCCTGCTATTCTCGTCAATTCTTGCAAATTTCCATTCAACAGAATCAGTAAGAACACCATACGCAGTGCTTCCTCCGGGGGTTTAACCTCACAAATGTATTGGGGCGTGTTTTCCAACACTTGTTGAGTAGGACTATAGTACTACCCAACCATCAATACCTATGGTTGACGTGACCGCCGTCTTGGAAATTCTGCAACTTGAGCCAAGGAATTGTGCATATGTCGCCATCCGCCGATGATTACTGTGGCTACATCTCTCCCACTCAACCTATAAAATGGTAGTTTTGTTAATCATGCTGACTTGATGACGATGAATACCAATAATGCGTTTGTAAATACATACTTGAAATTGCCCCCGTGTGGTCCAAACACCATACAGGACGCGGAACCTGCCAGACATTTTGACACGGCATCTTGATGCTCTCTAATACAAACGAGAGTCTGGGCAGCTGGTACTTGTTGGGCTGGCCTTCAAGAACAGACTTGCTCCCAATCGGTAATCCCTTTCGCGGCACCCACTAGATCTTAACTGGTCCAAGCGCAATTTGCCAGGCGAGCCAAGGAACTCAGGACCTCCAGATGTCTCGGGAAGAACTCAACATCGATAAAATCCGTCGCTTAAGGGTTGATCAACGCACTGATTCCGGCTCTAATTGCAAATCAATCTGCGATTGTCTTAGCTTCAACAATCACAGCGATTGCTAACGAATCTTTGCACACGCCTGATTCTGGATTGGTTGGGTTAATGTTGAAGTGTCGCTCAGTGAAGGTCCTGTATGATCTTCTTCTTAATCTGCTGATTCGCGACGACTTGCCTTCCTCGCTTCAGTGACCTTCTTCAACGCACTCCTGGACTCCTTTGAGCTCCTCTAGCATTAAGTCTTCAATCCTAGGGTCTCTTGCATTGACTGCCAGATGCAGACAGGCTTAGTTGACTCTGTTGTAAGAATCAACCACATTTTATTCCTGGACATGCTACCAAAATGTTACCATGTAGTAAGCTAATTTGGTAGAAGGTGTCCATTCTCTAAGTGGGACTTGGTGGTTGTTTGCTGATTAGCATCAGTCTACCAATGATTGTTCAAGTTAGAAGTATAGGTTTCAAATACTCACTTGATCAGATACTTAGAGGGAAATAGCAAAAAACGTAAGCACGGTGCAGAGTGCGGATACGTTTAAGATTGGCTTTCGTTTTAGGCAATCTTTATCTCAAGCAACGCCAAATCATTTGAGTGCCATCTATCGCTTGGTGAAATTTTTTCGATTTTGACTGTCGTTCCAGTTTCCGGTTAATTTTGATGAATTTACTGGGCTTGCTCGTGATGAGTCGTCTTCACCACTACCCTCTGAGAGAGAAAATGAAGGTCCGGTTTTTAACCTGGTGGTTTTCCGAAAGACACAATTCCGGCGACCTTGTCGTACCTATCCCATATTGCGGGTTTCTTGTCGGCTCAGTTTCGAGTCCAAGCAAAGTACCTCACTGTTCCTGATGAAACAATGTTTGGAGTTTCAATATTTTTGGGTCCCAGGGCCCGCCATGTTTGATGATTCAGTTGACTGCCGAGGCAATGCGGGAAGGGCAACAAGGACTCTCTACCTAGGCGTTGCAACTAAATGTTCGAGATCCAACTGTTAGAACTAAGATCTTGGAATCCATCATATAACAGCAAGGGAAACAGGAACAACAGGAGAAGTTCTGAGGATTGGTTACTCACCCCAATAATGGAGCAATTTTTCTTGCGCTCCACTGCGGACAGTATACATGAATTCAAGTATACTTATAGCACCGTATTTTCTCTCCAGACAAGAGCCCGTTTGGGTATTTCGTTCCCGTTTCAGGTTTGTCTTGAATAAAGCGCTGACCGCTGGCATTACTCAATTCTCGACGGCACCAGTTGCGTAAAGCATAAACAACCCTTTTACTAGTCATTATTAGCATGTTGATGGAAGTATAAAAGCGAGGGATGAGGAGCTTACTGGAAGATGAGAATGAGGAGCTTACCGAAAGGTGAGCTAGTCGTACCTTGTACGAGATTGATTAGCTTCCACCTGGGGTGGGTAGTGACCGCAGTTGATGGTGAACCCCCGCCTGTAAGGTGTAAGGTCTTCACCTACTTAATAGTAGGTGCAAATGTCGGGGGTAAAAATATCCAGAATGTTGAAGAAGAAGAAATCGAAGTATGTAAAAGGAAAGGTTTTATAGACTGAGAAGTGGCGTTTGCAATCAGTCGTAGGTCAGGTGATGAAATAGGTAGGTAAGAGATAATTTGAAGCCCTGGAGGACTTCAAGTGTACTGATGATTTTTGCCTCTGATTCCAAGGCTGCCCCTGCACTCTTTTCTCATGTCTTCCATATTCCTCTTATACTTCCATTCTCTCTTATCTACACTGTCATCGCTGCTCAACTTCTGCCTATGAGTACTTGTAGAACAGGACTCGGAGGGTAGTATCAGGTAAAGTAAAAGAGAACTGCGATACTGCGACAACCTAGGTAGGTACCTATGTAGCCTGTAGTGTGGAAGAATATGTTTTCTTATGGTATAGACCTATCCTAATAGCACTTGAGTATTGTGAATAAGAAAATAGTTTTGAAACCCTTGGAATACATATTTATCTTGATGGTCTAAGATATTTTATTGTTAAATGTTTTGGACTCAAAAAAATATTTTTTTGGAAATTTAAAGCTGTGTATGGTCTTGCTATGGTTTTCTAACTTTTATTTTGTATTGTTTCTATCTAGACTAGGCCTAAGGGAGAATTGTAAGGTGAATTGCAAGATGATCTGGAGATATGGAAGATAATATAAAGATGTAGAAGCTGATTCTAGAGATGTGTAAGATGATATAGAAGATATGGAAGGTAATTCTGGAGGTGTGGAAGATGATGTGAAGATGTGGAAGTTGATCTGGAGATTTAAAGATGTGTTAGGAGGTGTGCCTTTGGAACAGCTACAGGAAAGAACATGTATGGGGGGAAGCGCGCGGAGGGGAAGTCTGCCCCGACACGTCGAGAGCTATCTACCTAGCCACCTTGGTCTGAACTATACAGACCACGTGATCTAACAAGATGTGAAAATATATATTCTCTTTGAACTAAAATTTAGATTATAAAATATATTCTTCCGAGTCCTGAAAATAGTACGGTTCCGATGAAACCCATATGTACAGCCCCAACTCCATCGCCCATGGTATATAAAACATTAGTATGAAATACTATCTATGAATCTTGATCTTGATCCCTTTCAGCCTGTCTCTCATGCACCAACTGAATCCTAGCTCTAGCCCTCGCCAAAACATCCCCTCTGCGTTGAGCATAAGAAGAAGGTTTCCTCCCCATAACAATACGTACACGCCCCGTAATCCTTTGCGCAGAGAGAACCTCCTCCTGAACACGCTCATATAAATCCTTCGCATCAGAAAGAGTATACCCCGCAAATTTCGTCAACGGACGCAAAGAGTGCGCTTCAAGACCTTCCAGCAATGCAATAAGAGCCATCTTGCCGAGCGTTTTCTCATGTATATCATCTGGCCATAATCCGATTGGGAATGTACGTTCAATCACGTTGATTTCTGTAAACCCTGCATTTACGAAGGCCTCTTTCTTTAGATGATGCAGGTCTCGCGGATACCCCGCTGCTTGACCAGCTTCACGAAGTGCTGAGGCGAATATGGCGAGATTTGGAGTTTCAGATTCTGCTTCAATGCTTATTGTTTCACCGGCTGGATCGGTCTCTGAGATTTCGAGGTATCCACCTGGCTTTAGGTGTATTAGGGCTTGTCGGTAGATCGCAGGCCAGTCGTTGAATGCACCGGATAGACCGCGGATATGAATAAGGTCGAAGGGTTCATGATATGTCCATTGGGATTGGGCGTCTGCGAGTTGGAAGTCCACATTTGGTAAAGAGACGTGACCAAGACCCGAGTCGAAGATGCCTAGATCTGAGGCGATGATGGTAGCGTCTGGGTGTTCGGCGCTCATCTCGATGGCCCAGTCGCCGGGGCCGGTGCCAATGTCTAAGATGCGGGGGTTGGCGGTGGGTAATGGGGCTAGAGTGAGGCGACCTTCTTGGAGGATGAGATAGATTTGGTGGACAATGTTAAGACGAGTGAGCTCTGTTTCATCGTTTGGCATAAAGTAGTTCTCGTCGCAGTATCGACGGCCATTTTCTTCGACGTGCGGGATATTTTGGTATAAGGAGCGAGTTGATTTTCTACCGGGGATACCTTATTAACCATTGCACTGTGTAGTGATTTCTATAGTCTTCAAGCTCTCTGGTCACTCACATTGATTCTTCCCCGTCGGAGTATTGCTCTGTTTCTGATTCTGAACTCTCGACTTCGATGTCTGAAGAGTCGACGTCAATATCAGAAGGGCCGGGGTCCTCTGGCTGGCTGGCCATGTCATCCATGACATGGCGTGTTGAATGGTGATTTCGAGATTAGACAATGGTTATCATATGTTTTCGAAGCTCACGCTCTCCTAATTCAGTTCATGATGAGAGAAGAGTATACGACATGACCCAGGGATTAAATTTAGGCCACGTTGGGCGTAGGGTATAAAAGTCCCACCGAGACCACAGCACCGGGATCAATTTTGGACAAAAGAAGAAAAGAAGAAGAAAAAGAGAAAAAGTATTAGGAGGGGAAACGCGATGGCGCCCACTATAACTTGATTCCTAAAAAAACGTGAGAAACCTTTTTAGGACGGGAAGCAGTGGAGATTTCAAGCGGTACGTCACAGCAAGGTCTAAAGTCAAAGCAAAATGAGACCCGACAATCAGGACCAGATGATAGATGTTATATCGTAAACCCGACAGACTGGTGCAAGAAAAGCCATAAGTGGAGACTGGATTATCCTTACAGGTAACCTGTACTCCGTACGGAGTGAGTACATAAGAGGGGTGGAGTTGAGGAAATGAGAGCGAGGTCCATAATAAAGTCAAATTTATGGTGGAGTGAGTATTTGAGCGTATTCAAGGAATTCCAATTAGACGGTTCAAGTAATGAAACACCTAGATGAATATGGTAAGAATCATCTATATTGCTTATATTACTAGGTAAATGTAGAGGTGAACATGGGTACGACAACCCCGACCCGACAACTTGGGTCCATACATCCAACCTTGACAGCTTCCCCACATGTTTACTGCAGTGTTATTATTATTCAATATATTACAATCTGTTAGCCTTTTCCTTAAAAGTAGACATGAATTGCGTTTATCTTGATTGGTCTCGGTTAACTTGACTTTTAGGCTGCGTGGCTTCGGCCGAGTCTACGGTGCGAGGAGTACTGTAGACAGGAGTAGGAGTAGACAGTCACCAAGTGCACAAGTGGCATCTCCACCCGCGGACTAAAAAGCCAACAAAAATGGAAATTGAACTTCGGATTATAAATTCCTTTAGTAAGGGATTTGCACTGCCGTGATTTGTAAAATTTGTAAATTGTAGCACAGACATTTCCATCCGAGACTCCCGTATTCAGTAACCCTAACGGAGTACTCCGTAGAGTAGTTAGTGACATCTACTAGTATCTAATGAACTAAACATTTGAATTGCAATAATACTATGTGTAGTCATCTGTAGTATATCCATTATAATGCCTAGATATTACCTAGATAGTAGTTATATACCTATTTAAAACACTCTACTCAGATACTTAATACTTAATACTAAGTAGAACTCCCTATCCCCACCAAGTCCGAGCGTGGACCCGACAGTTTGGTTGCGAATCCCGCCAGTGTTACCCAAAAAGGGAAAGACCAACACCCTTCAAAGTCACGAGACGATTTTGTTAATCCCAGTAAAGTGGAATAGGGGATATACCGAAGCTACAGTATCAGTCTTGATATATACTCTGGGTGAGGTCGTTGTTAATACCTAGGTAGTTAACCTTGTCCTGGTGAAATAGTGTACGGTATCGGATCAATGTTTCACCCGCCACGTGTAAATAAACAAGATCAATTCGTCTAGGTATAACCTTAGAAATCTAGACTCATTGTAGACACTACTATCGGCATTAGTACTATCTGCACGGGGAGGACTCCGTATACCATTTAGGTATATCAGCATGTCTATCTTCAGTCTGAGAGAAATCACATCTATTACCCTTAAGGCAAATAAGTGAAGGTCGTACTAGCATAAACCGATGCCTCTGAATGTACACCGTCTCAGACAAAAAAAACACACATCAAGAAAACCTTCCAATGTTAGAAGTTAAACTAAATAAAACCACCATAGTAGTATCAATCTCCAGCTAAAGTGATCACATATCAATATCTCCATCCAAAACCCGAGCATATACATCTTCAAGCCACAGGCCCATCCACCCAGAATACCGGGATACCCACTATGCCGGAACCTCACCTCCCCGAGAATTGCTTTTTTCTCAACACTCAGCCAACAACCCGATCTTCTCACTCGATCAACCAATCCAAATTCCACCATATTCAATCAAACTCCCGATCGCCACTCTTACCTTACCTCCCTCACCGAGATCCGAAATCTGCGCAGTGGAACTGCCAGTGAGAGTCACGTCAGCACGTGAAAACAAATCCATGCATCCTCCAATCACAATAGCTACGACTGTCGCACCGCGTCGACTCCTATTCATCGCCTCAATAGGAAATCAGGGACCATATCGTCGAACAAGACATAGTGCTGGACATCTTTTATTAGATGAACTGGCCCCCCCGATTACGCGGATGGACAGGTCCTACTCCTGCCATCGGTAGCGGCGAGGATATTCCAATCGGAACGTACTTTACAACATGGTACAGTCCGTCATTTATGAATGAATCGGGACCGAAACTTGTGAAGCAGATGGTGAAATGGTTTAAACAAAGTGATGAGACACTTGCGCGGTTTTCCTCTGGTTCGTCTCAAACGGATTCTTGGTTAGAGGGCTTAGTTCCTTCGTCTACATCTTCTACTCCTGGTGCGGTTGGATACCCTGCTACACTAGTAATCCTGCATGATGAACTTGAAGCGCCGTTGGGTAAAATCCGCGTTAAGCGTGGTGGACCTGAGGCGTTTAGTTTACGAGGACATCGGGGGTTGATTAGTGTTTGTGAGAGCCTTAGAGGAAAGGGATTATATCCTCCTCAACAGAATCAGAAGAATGAGAAGAAGCGCAAGGATAAGGATTCAGCTTTACCGCGGGATCTTTCGATTTTGCGTGTTGGCATTGGGATTGGGAGACCGGATAGTCGTGCTAAGAATGCCGTGGCAGACTATGTGTTGACGGAGATGGATGCTGGGGAGTTGAGTGCTGTGCAACGAGCAGCGGATCCGGTCATTGCGATATTAGAGGAGGAGCTTTTTGGATCCAAATCGAAGTGATACCCTTGATATTACATTTGGATTTGTATGATAGATTTGCAATTTGCATTTGCATTTGCATTGGATCGAGCGTGTATTTGATTTGATACCCATCATCGAACTTAGCGATGCATCACGAATGAACTCCATGCCCCGTGACATAGTAAAAAAAAAAAGAAACTGGATTAAGATCCAAGTGAATCATGATACAGGCTGGAAAGAACAGAAAAAGAAAAAGAAGTATAAACCCCCATAATATGCGAAAGGAATCACGTATCGCCTAGACAGTTCCAGCAATACTTAATTCCCGGATTTCCTGTAATACCTCTTCAACCCGATTATCCAAATCACCACGAGCATACTGGTCCCTCGTCTCTGCATCAAGGTACTGCTGTACCTGTGCCATACGAGAATACGCCTCCGCACAGAAGCGTAGCTGAATCTTGACGAGAGCCTCGAAGCTAGGGTCTCAGGTATGGGACGCGCAGATCGATCAGCTGAGGCAGTTCAAGGAAAAGCTGCTCATTCAACTGTTCATAGGCCTGCTTAGCGATCTCGGTCTCACGCTCGGTACGCGGCAGCTTCGTAGCATCCTTGTCGGGCTTCTCGACGAGCTTCTTAACCTTGGCACGCATGGCATCGTAGTCGAGGAGCTTGTGGTTGCGCTTCTTGATACATTCGTTCACGTCGGGGAAATAGGCGCAGAAGCGGGAGATGGGGTCGAGGACGGTGGTTCTAACTTGTTAGTTTCGTCCACGCGTAGCAAGGATGGATATCTGCATACCGGTATGGTCCATCCAATGCCTTAATAGTCTCTGCATCTAAATCCTCAACAGCTTGTCTGTAGCTTCGGCTCACACCATCCTTTGTTCCGGCGTCACCATAGAAAGCATCAATGGTCTCGGCAATGCGCATCTGGGAGGCAGTCATAGCTATCACAAAGTTAGTCGACACACTCATCTAATTCACTAAATCCACGAGAACCCACCTCGCAACGAATCCAAGTATCCCTTAGCCTCCTTTTGGAGCTTGTTGGCCGCACCCTCCATAGTCCGGTATCGTCTGCGCCCATCAGTTCCATGTCCTACACCATATTCGGGATGTCGGTTCATACCGTTCCTCAATCTCATAGTCGCGATCATTTGTTCTCTCCACATGACCTATCATAGATAATCAGCCTCAAATCCTATCGCATTCCTGCCATATCGCGATCGCGGGGCAATCCGAGCATACCGGTCTTCATCATCACCTGCGTAGTCGCACGGTTGACATTCTTCTTAAAGCCTGCACAAACATGTCAATATAAATCCTCACGCGAAGTAACTGGGCATTGTGATTGTTGATTCAATCCGTGAGAGGTCTAGCGTACCTGCCCAAGACATGATGGCGGCTTTTCCGGGGTTCAGGAGTTGTGGTGAACGTAGAGAAGGGAAGAGGTGGGACCAAATCAAAAGTGATCGTACAATGAGAGCTGAACCAGATAGCCACAGTATCAGTCACAAGCAATGTAGAGAAGCTTTGGAACTGATTCCTTGGTCAGACAGCAATGAATCCGAAGTCTGCCTTACGAGTGTGGCGGTGTCTAGATTATGTAATATTTCCGCATGAGGCTACCTACGTCACTAAAGGCTGTGCACAGTATAAGTATAGAAACTGACATGGTTCAATTAATTGATGGTTTTACGGTCCATTTCTACCTAGAGATTATTGAAGACAGAATTATAAGGGGAAACCTGAAAAATGAACTTTTGGATTTTGGTGCTGAGCCACTGCATGAACCAGTCCACAAGGCTGAAGATTCAATATTACAAGCCGCTGTACTCCGTAAAACGATATCCACCGCCAAGTGGAAATGCAGATGCCTAAAGATTTGTGATACGCCAAGATATACTAGTAGTAGCTGAGATGCATGAATTCCACTTAGAATGAAATGCCAATATTCCAGCTTTGGAGTCGTCGGATGGGAGGTGAATATAAGATGCCGAAAATGAATTGAAACTCCTGAACGCCATGACCTGATTAGGCTATGTCGATCAGTCAAGAATAGATTGGGGTCGGGGCCAAAATAAAAGCTAGCACGAAAATTTTAAGGATACCTCACAGTCCTCCAGTGCTGGAGTGAACATTCTAGATATCCTGGTTTATAATACAACCCTTTACGCCGGTGGCTCAGAGGCCGGTTCATCGTAAGTTTGCTGTGGCGGACCTGACCATAGGTGCATTGACTGTAAACTGATGTCATAAGATATGTCCATTTTGGGATACATAAGATGTATTATGATTTCATGATATTCATGGTCATGAGATTTAGTAAGCGCTGATCAATAAACTTTCGAATGTTTCAAGATCCAAGATTGAAGTAAACAGCACTGACATTCATGAAGCACCTAGTAGGCGTTGTATGTACAGGTGCAAGTATGTACCAAGTTGTATAGCAGAGCCATCCAACTTGTCTGGTCTAGGAATAGAGTCCCTTACCATCAAGTCATAAAAGTACAAGCAGAATCCAAGTAACGCCATCGGTATCTCCCCAAGCTCATAAGCAAAGACCCAGTGTAGAGAAAAAAAGATAAAGAAAGTCATGAGTCTTCGTTGCATTTGACGTGAAAAGCATGACGTCCAGAGAAAAGACAAAGCTAAGCGACGGACACAGGCTTAAAAAAAAAAGAACAAAAGATAGAAAAATGCGCCGGATCGAATGACCGGAAGAACAAAGGGCCTCCTATCTATGAGGAGCATTCAAAGGACAAGTACCTCCTTTTCCTTGAACGGGTCTAAGACAAGAACAAAATAGCCACCCTCAAATGCTCAGGAAGGGTACATCATAAACCAAGCCTCCCTCTCACATCCAGAAAAAAAGAAAAGAAATAATAGATTCATCATGTCATTAGCTTCATAGACCTGAAACTAGCTGAATCTAGAACCCTTCCTCTCCTGCCTTGCACAGTTTGATTTGCCGCACCCACTCAGACTTAAGAACCTGAGAAGCATTGATACGGCGAGAGGGATTTGGATCCAGAATAGAGTAGATAACGTTGCGACAGCGAGCCTTTGAAAATGGAATTGTTAGATTTGATCCTGTAATAGGGGATACTCTGTTCATGCTTACCCGATGCAGCGTCTCAATGGGCGCATATCCATCCTCATGCTTGCGTCCTTCCAAGTATCGCTGATAAAATTCATCCTCATCCTTGCGAGCAACGCGCCAGAGGTGACGTCCAGTGCGCATAGCCATGTAGATCACTCCGGTAGCCCACAGATCGACAGCACGAGGATCGAATTCCTTTTCGGTGTATTCCTCGGGAGCGATGTAAGGGGCAGATCCACAGAGACCAGCTGTCATATGCGCTTCCTTCTCCCAGGCCATGCGGAAACATTCACCATTACCGAAATCTGTGATCTTGAGAGCACCATGGGTAGTCAGAAGTAGATTTTCAGGTTTCAGATCTCGGTGCGCAACGCCCATCTCGTGCATGTACTCAACTCCGCGCATGAGCTGCTTAAAGAAACAGTCTGCTTCAGCGACCTCCAATTTACCAGCTGCAAGCACCAGTGTGTACAAGTCACCACCAGCACAATATTCCATAACCTCGCAGTAATCACCCTTGGCATCTTGCAGGAGATCCAGGGTGTGAATCACATTTGGATGACGAAGAGATGAAGAAATACAGAATTCTGAGGTAAGTCGCTTCTGATATTTCTTGGCTGTCTCCTGAGGTCGTCGCCGAAACTCCTTGACGGCGTACAGCTGTTCACATTTTGAGTCTTGTGGATCAACCTTATGAGAGATCCGGACAATGCCGAATGCGCCACGGCCAACAATTTCCTGGCATTTTCCATATTTATCAACCAGGGAGGCCGTGGCGTTGGGACCACCTTTCTTATCAGCAGCCAGCTTATCCCGCTCAGTTTTAAACTGGTCGATCCAAGTTGACATAAGAGAAAGTTGCTGCTCATCGACCTGGTCATCTCCTTTCTTTCGGCCGCCGCCTAGCATGTCACGGAGCAGGTCGGTCAATTTTTCCTGTCTCCTAGCACTACGGAGATGATGAGAGTGGTTTCCGAGAGCTTCAGTCAGAATTTCGAAACGCTTGTGTGGCGGAAGACCCTCCTTTTGTTCTTTGCTATTCATGATCTTCTTTTTCGTCTCCTTTTCAATGGGTTCATTCTTAAGTGATGGTTGGCGGGAGGGAGTTTGAGATGGAGGTCGAGAGTTGGTTCGAGACGAAGGTTTTGAGGTTGGTTTTTCTTTAGAGTTGTGAAGTGGTTGGATACTGTCTAGACTGCTATCGGAGAAGTCCCGATGGACATCATGGTCCTTATTGAGGCTCGGGGATTGTTTCCCCTGTGTGGAGAACATTCGAGAGATACGGCTTGCCATATTCCCTTTCAGCGGTTTCGTAGCTGGGGATGCCGGTGGGGGTAGGGCGTGGGCATCCCCATTAACCACGGACAGATTCATGCCCGCTAAGGCGCGTGTTACCGAAGGGTCTCCATCCCGAGGGTCATGTGAATGTTGAGAGTTTGCTGTAGAGGAGACTGCGGACGGAACAGGTGAAGCAGGCGGGGGAGTCATGTGCATTGGATCTTTTTTTAAAGTGGAAGGGCGTAAAAGGGAAAAAAAAGAACCCCTCGTAGAATAAGTGGTGTATAAGGTGGATAATAAAGTGTGGGAAGTAACAATCACGTCGTCCCCGAAGAGGTAGAGGGAGACGAGCAAAGCTCGCACGCGGCTAAGCTGCGCAGAACTGCAAAGCTGCAAAGCTCTAGATAAGCTAGATTGATTGAATCCCTTCGGGGAAGAAGAAGAAGCAAGATCGGGGGTGGTATCGGCGGCGAAAAAAAGAGCAGTTTGATGCCTGGATGCCTTAATGCCTGAGGCAGAAAGTGACGCCAGTGACTCGCGTTAAATGCGATCGGAAAACGCTTGGATCACGACGTAAGTATGAAGAGATAGGTTCATATAGTGGGCAGCCAAAACCGGCCCTATTGAATGGGTATCACATATAAGAATAGAAGGAAATAAAGGAATTCCAAGTCCACCAGAAGTTTTAAGAAAAAAAAAAAGTGGCAGAGACGAGGGATAAAACTGGCGATACTACGGGAGCAGCAGGTTGAAATACCACGGGGAAACGGTTCAGTGTATGGGGCTCGTTTGGGGTGGATTAATACGGGGGAAGTGGTCACTATTACTAAGACTGAATTTGAAGGCCCATGAAGGACGGAGTAATATTAAGAGTTATATAATATTAAATGATAATCCAATAATCAATTTTGAACTAAAATCATCAAAAATTTCCCTAAAAGAAAAATAAAATAAAAATAAAAATAAAATGAGAAAAAAAAACCCCCAAAACATTGTGGTGGACACAAAAGGCCGTGTATTTTAAATCTTTGTAATAATACCAAACCTATTGCCCTTTACTCTGATCTTTTATTATTCTTTACTCCGGATTTCTAATATGATTTCTAATATGATTTCCAAGGTTTACACTGTATTCTTTATATTTCTTTTTTTAAGCTGATCTTCTATCTCCTAGGACTATATCTAGAAACATCCGAGCTTCCTAAATGGGTTACAGTGCAGCAACTTGAGCCCTAGAAGATTGTAACCTGGTACATTCCCGGTACCGAGTACCACAAGTGGCGCATGCTCTCCTGCCCTAGTCGTGTGGATTCAGGAGTTCTAAGTACTTTAGGCCTACTCCATGAGTGATTTATTTTTTTTTTCCAATATTTTTTGTCATCCCGGCTACCATGTTAACCGGAAGATCCCTGGTACCGGCGCTGGGTCTTCCCTCTTCCGTGTCCCAGCTAAGAAAGATCAAGCAATTTGTCCACCCGAAATTACCAGGCCGATCCGCCCCGATGACGTCCCCTCTTAGTGAGATAATACAGAGAGAGAGAGAAAAACAGAGGAGGGGAACATTCCACGTAACCAGCCCCGTGTACCTTTAAAAGATATGGAGTTAAAAGAGGTGATCGTATAGGTCGGCTATCTTAGTCCTCCTCCCCTCAGTGGCTTTTAAACATTTCTAAATCGTAAGGTTGAGGCGAGTGAGGCTGTGCATGTTGTCTGCATATCCAAGAACATCCTGATTTGATTCGATCGTGGCCCCGCATCAGCAACCAGAGCCGATGTGCTGGGTGCATTGTGTGGCGCTAGCATGGCCACTTGTTCATTTTGAGGGGTATAGGTTCCCGAGGAGTTTGAACCCCGAGTCATGGCCCGGGGACAAAGGGACAAATGTTAAGTACAATGTCAAAATGTCAAAATGTCGCATGTGTCTAAGCGCTTTGTTTCAAGTTCCCCCGCCTTTTGCTCAATTACTACGGAGTTATAGTAAGACTCTGTAAGAGTAAGGACATCTGGAGGATTCGATTCCAATTCTGGGGAAGTGCATACTACATGTCTTAGTCTAGTTACCAAAGACGGGATATAGAGTGTTTCCTATGAAGTAGATATAGTCCCTGTACATTTTTGTCTTATTAGATGATACTATATGATACCGGGTATACTAGTACCAAGTATAAGTGGTTCCTAAATGATTGACAGTGAAGATAGTAGCCAAGACTTGCCCCTCCCTGCTGATATACCTAGGTAAACCAATATAAATGGATTCCCCAGCGATGATCGCTGGGGCGATCAACGATAGGATCAAAACAGATATCGAATCAAAATAATCCGTAATTCTCACTGGCACTTCGCGTTCCAATGTTCCTACACGCCACAGACAAAATCATCCCATACGGATGATCGCTACGTAACAGGAGGGATGCAAGTGAAGTATGCACATCTCCCCATCGGGAACAACTAAGACGTGGGGTCCCTGTGCGATGGAGTCATCCGTCAAGTGTAAAGGCTTGTGCCCCTCTCCATATTAGAATCCGTAGCGTCATCCGAGCTAGATGACGGCATCTCGTGTCGGGAAGTCCACGCTGACCCTCGGAACCACAGATGTCCACTAAGTGCTGTTACCAACAAGCGAAAAAAGAAAAATTTAGCATTAAGGACAACAAAATTTTGAACAAAAAAGAAAAATAAAGAAAGAAGCAAGGAATATGGGACACGATGTGAGTGATATACTGGAGCCTATCAGGATAGCACGAGTAGTGTATGATTGAGCATTATTCGTTGTGCTTCACCGTATCTTATTCTTATTTGCTCGATTCTGTGCTCCGATATACAGAAAATCATCGAAACTTCCAAGGATGAAAATGAGATTGGAAATGAGATTGGAAATGAAAAGACCAACTTGAAATATACAGTATCTAAGTACACTATGGAATAGTACAGTATTGTTGAGTGGGGTGCGCGGGTAACCTCCAGGCTAGTGTGAACAGTAAACAGTTTAATCGTGAGCTTCAAAGCTATGTACATTTATGGTTGATTCAGATAGAAAGTATTTGGAGTTTAAACCTCGGTTCCCCAGAATTGATAACAGTTAGTCGGTTAACCTGAACCTTGAATAACAGTACCTAGCTAACCTTCTCATTTCCAAGGTTCTCACTTTGAGTATTGAACTATACGGAGTACACTACGAGGCATTTTCCCTCTCCAATCAGCGGAGACCCGGACAAGGAGGGGCCTCATCTCCTGTTTGTGGTAATTAGCCCCGTACATAGAGGGGAGTTAATGAAACGAAAATGATGAAGAACTTTGAATAAGTTTTTTTCTGTGTTTGATGTTTCTCTATAGTATTCGAGTTTTTAATATGTACCACCTTGGCACTGGTAGTAGGTGCTTCAAATGATAATCTTGGAATACAATGTACAATCACTTAGATCATGCCAGTGCTCGCACACGACCCGAACCCCACCATCCCACAAGCGCGGATGACAGTCGATCGAAATCTAAACTAGGACACGCACAAACCATACTGACCGCCAGTTTGAGTGAGGGGTTGAAAGATTCAAACTGGTCCTTACTGTATAAGATACATGAAGGATTCATCCTATGAGCTAGAGATAATCTAAGATGCATAGAGACTTGAAATTAAGATGATAAATAACACAAAAAAAAACAAATTAAAATAACCCCATCCATTAGACAGAGTACTACTGATATCCCGAGGTAAATCATGTCGGGATGCTCCGATGTAGAGGACTTGATAAGGAAAAGAAGGAGCTGAGCTGAGCTCGACATGCATGCATGAGCTCAAGACGTGCTTCTGCCTTACTTTGCATTTTTGCTTTTTCTCGTCTTACAGGACTTTTTCTACTTAGTAACTATGTCCGAAAAAAAAAAACTGATTGTACATTTACTCCTTGGCAAGGCTACATCTACAATTCAAGTATGTACTCCGTACACATGGCTTCAGGGCTTGGTGGGTAGGACTCGTATTGCCGTGCATATGAATTATGATCACCATACATGTACGATGCAGCTGGGCACATTACTGTGGCGGCACGGGAGTACTCCGTAAGTAGACTAATAACTTAAAGCCAACCTGATTCTGGCAGGTTCAGTCGCAATCTAGGTGATATGTATAATCATAATATTATATTCGAAGTAAATAAGTGGAATAAAACCATCATGATAGGATGAGAGACCAGGAATCCATGCATTACCGGGTCTATTATAGGACAACACACAGGCCAAGCCTAGAACATCTAACGGCCTTTGTCCTACACTCAGATGCTTCCAAACATTAATTTTTTTTCCCTTTCTTTTTCTTGCGAATCGAACTACTCATAGATTGGGTTAAATCAAACACCTCTGCATAGCGCTCCGTATAATCCTCCTGTATCTAGGTTGCACATAGAACGTGTGCTCTCACAAAGACTCTGATAGCTCCAGTCGGTGCGTGCAGGGGCCACAGCGGCCCGGATTCAAAGGATCCTGCTTTATCTCTCTTGGTGAGTTTACCAATAGCATTGATACATTGATTGGCCCCGAGTAGAAAAAGATTGACACTGCGGCTGTCTACGGGGTACACTTAACTATGGTAACTCCACGGGAGCAGAAAGAGAAGGTTCCGAGGAACTGCAGGAGCTCTAATGGGGCCTTTCAGGGGGAATACCCGTGCCGGATGGATTCGGCTATTTATAGTTGATCAACAATGAATCAATGAACACTCCGTAGATATCTGGATTTCGGGTAAAAGGATTCCATTTTAGGGATACGGTCGACGATGACATAGACCTGAAGGTCAATTGCGCTTGTTTTGCCACCCGATTTCTCCCGGCCAAACTGTAACCGATTGTCTTTCCTCTATTCTCCCTTTCCTAGATGTTGAGATATCTCATTGTGGCCCATTTCGGGATTTGTGGAAGCTGACCGGAGCTGGATGATCGTTGGTACGTGCGCGCCACGTGGGACTCTGGACACATCTAGTGGCAGCCACATTGTATCAGAAAAAGCGGTATGAGCCCTAAAAACTGTGGGCATGCCGTCCGTGCAGATACCCATGGGGTCGGGGACGGGGGAGGATTACGGTGTGTGCTGTCGATTGTCGGGGATAATGGGCAATTTCCGGCGAAGGGAAATCAACGACTGGTCATATAATACAGCTAGAGGCGACTTGGCACGCCTGCTTGTGCATCTCAACCAAATTCCTCATATCGGATTCGTGAGTTGGCAAGAGTTGCACTGTGACTGTCTTGACTGCGGTATTTAATCACGCCAGAACACGAGTCTGCTAGCAAATCAGAAAACATGTCAACAAAAAGAGGGCGGTGTTTCTAAAAGAGATGCCACATACCACGAACTGTTCCAATGACTCCTCGAAGAGCTCATTGTTCACGCCTACGCCGCCAGGATGCTCGACCGGCGACAACGGATTCTTGACCACTGTTTACCGGGGATTCCACGTCAAAAATGATCATAATGCGCAAGGACAAAGCTTCACGAACCGTATTCCACAAACAAGTTGATATAGATCTGCTGCAAGGCGATTCGCATACTGGGGCTCTTGAGGTCGGTCAACATGACGAACTTGATATTGGTGGGCGTTTCGTAGTAGTGCAGTTTGTATTGGCTGGTAGCATAGGAGACGAAGCTATTCCATGGGACACGGTCAGCGATGGGGATTCCAAGGAAGTACCAGATCGGGTATCAGGAGTGCTTACTTGTCCTCCTCGCCTCCCAACTTGCGCACCATGTTGCGGAGTGAAAAGACTGTTCCAAAGACCAGCTTCGCATCATCATCTCCTGCTTTTACTGTTTGACCGGATGATCCTGCTCCACCGGGAATCTGTGACTTTCCCGCAACGGAGGTTGGGCGCGGAAGCCAACGACGTTTGTAAATGCATTCCGCTGGAATGAATTTGGTCAGCAATTATTGAAGAAGTGTTTGATTAAGCTTCATTTACCGTGGCGGTCAAAAATATAGAATGAATAGACAGTCATGGTGGGCTTATAGAGTGGATAGAGAGATTGGATACTCCGTAAGCGGATTTGTTGATGTTCAGGGGACTAGGCGGTGAAGCTTTAAAGCTCCCCTATCGATAAAGAGAAACGACGTTGCCTAAACAGATCACTTCGGGGAGCTTTTTCTGGCCTTTTTAAGGTCTCGGTGTCACCCGGATTTAGAGCTGATGTACTAACTAGGTAGTTCCTTCCTGGTGCGGGCTGTACAGTTTAACCTCGTTTGAACGAAGCTTTTTTTTATCGTAAGGCTGACAGCGCCTGCATCACGCGTTATCTCGGCCCCCGCTCTCTCTCCCCTCTTCTACCCCACACACATATCATTCTTACTCAAACGTCTTTTTTTTCTTTTCCATCTTTTTCTCCCCCTTGAACCGTATATTTCTCAATGAACGCTCGACCAGAGCCTCCATATGAGGTCTCTGCGGAACCAGAGGTGGAATCACCCAGCCTGGATCCCATAGACCCACCAGCACCCCCAACTCGAGTCGAGTAAGCTTTAAATAACACTAGATGATATATCAGAGAAGCCAGTGCTTCTCCAATGCCGATGGGTGATTGACAAAAGATTCTATCTAATATAGTTCGGCTGCCTCTTACGAGAGCCTCGATCGACATCGCCGACGAAATCCCAGAACAAGGCGTCCAGTGAAGGTTGGTAGTTAGATGGTGGTTCTGAATACATGACAGACTCGATGAGACTGATCATGTCGTGGCTAGGAAACGCTGGACGCCCGCTCGTTATATACAACCAGCCAAGATGACGGCGCAGCGGAGCACCACATCAATCAATACTTGATCAAGCAAGAGATCGGACGCGGATCATTTGGCGCGGTCCACTTAGCGGCGGATCGATATGGGAATGAATATGTACGACCGCATCTTCCTGCGATCTCAGAACGACTGGGGTAGTTTCCAGATGAATAATAGAAAAAGAGCTGAAATCAGACTGAATGGATTAAGAGTGAGTGCTGACCATGTGCGCAATCCATGAACAAAGGCAGTGAAAGAGTTTTCCAAATCCCGACTGAGAAAACGCGCACAATCGCATATGCTGCGAAGACCTCGAGGACCCCGACGACATGGGACTGGCTCGAATTTACCGAATTCGCCAATGCATAGACATCCCTCCGAAGATGACAACGAGAATGCGAAGAATCCGCTTTACCTGATCAAGGAGGAGATTGCGATCATGAAGAAATTGAACCACAATAACCTGGTATCGCTGATCGAGGTCCTGGACGATCCCACCGAAGACTCGCTGTATATGGTTATGGAAATGTGCAAGAAGGGTGTCGTGATGAAAGTTGGACTGGAGGAACAGGCCGATCCGTATGATGACGAGCAATGTCGTTGTTGGTTTCGTGACTTGATTCTAGGAATTGAGTATTTGCATGCGCAAGGTATTGTGCACCGCGATATCAAGCCGGACAATTGTCTCGTAACAAGCGATGATGTGTTGAAAGTGGTTGATTTTGGTGTATCAGAAATGTTTGCCAAGGATTCAGACATGTTCACAGCTAAGTCGGCTGGCTCACCTGCATTCTTACCGCCAGAGTTGTGTGTGGTGAAGCATGGCGATGTTTCTGGGAAGGCAACCGATATCTGGTCTATGGGTGTGACTTTATACTGTCTCAGGTACGGGAGGCTGCCGTTTGAGAAGTCCAGTATTTTTGAGTTATATGAGAGCATCCGAAACGACCCAGTGGTATGCGAAAATGAGCTGGACGAGCGTTTCGAAGATTTAATGAGTCGTCTCCTGGAGAAAGACCCATCAAAACGGATTGGGATGCAAGAGCTGCGAGTAAGTTAAACTTGGAACCTTTGCGTCGCATGTAGGAGCATTGTTCTGATCAATTTACAGGAGCATCCGTGGGTGACAATGGATGGTGCTGATCCTCTTCTGTCTGAAGAGGAGAACACGGCCCACAATGTCGAGCCACCAACAGAGGAGGAAATGAATGCTGCCATTACGAAAAGCATCAGTCACGTCATGACACTGGTAAGTTTCATATTCATACCCTCATGAGTTCTTTCATCTGATCCCCATTTGTAGATGAAAGCTGTAAGAAACTTCAAACAACTAGTTGATCCGAACAGAGCACCCCCAGCTATGCAAAGTATTCTGGGTGGAGATATTGAGGCGCACTTTGTCGAGCCACCAATGGAGATGGATCCGGATGAAGATTTCCCAAAGGTTGGATTGGCCGAGGATGCATCTTCAAGCCATGCACAAGGGAGTGGTCTCCGAAAAATCTTGGGCCGACATCCCATGCTATCTGGCTCACAAGATCCTCGAGATAGCCCACGGAGAAGTGAATCTGCAAGCTCGCGAACAAATCAGAGTCCTGTCGGTAGCAAGCGACCCAGTGGGGTCTTTGAGCCCGAAAGAAAAGATTCAGGGTCCATTCGCAGTGGTCGATCTCCCTGGAAGGCTGAATTTGGACCAGAAGCCAGACAACACTCTCAGTCGGGGTCCCCACTCCCTCACTCCAGAGCTAGCTCAGCGATGACCAAACGTAGCGTCGAGGGAACTCGGGGCCATGCAAGGGATCCCTTGGCAGATGAATTCCCATACCTTCATATTGGACCATCTACATACACTGGCTCGTCCCAGGACTCGGAGCCCACAGATCTCAACATCGGCAGTGACCCGGCACCTCTTGTTGGCGAGCCAGAAAGCATGGATGAGGATGTGGACCAAGAGTCGGCGGTTAATCCGGTGCATATAGTCAGCGAATCGCCCGGTGCAGCTGAGTTCGATATCTATGAGACGGCCTATCGAAATGAGCTTGAACGTATCAACTCTGTCAGCACCGGTCGCACATACCCTGGTGTGGGTCCGAAGGTCTTCCTGAACAGGCGTATTGAGAACAAGAATGAGGTGATGGATTTCGTCAAAGACAAGGCTATTGATTTGCAGATTGGTACCAAGAAGATTTTATCCCCTGCATCGAAGAGTCCAGCCACGGCGTTTAGCGCGGCCGTGAGCATTCTTCGAAACCAGATCGAGCAGAAGAAGGAGTCTGAATTAAAGGAACAGGCGCAGCAGTCACAAAAAGCAGAGTCCTCAGTCAAAGCATCAACAGAGACTCAGCCGACTGAGCGACGGGCATTTAATCCAGCTTCCTCAACCATCCGATCTCAGTCTATTCCAGGGCCTGAACCATCTTCTCTCGAAGCAACAGCCGTGCCCACCACAGAACCTCATTCTGGTGAAGACCCCGCGGCTCAACTCCGACGACTACTCACTCGTGCTCAGGAGAAACTTGCCAAATGAGTTATCATTGGGTCATCATTCTCACTGTGATATGGTTGAGGAATACGGGGCTTGAGTGAAAGGAATCAGCCACCACTCTGTCACCTGATTTATTTATTTTTCTCTTATGTTCTTTTCTATTCTAACTTCTTTATTCCCTGTATTTTCGCATTGAGTTCATGTAAACTGCTGCATCTGCATATTTCCACTGATACATCGAGCGGCTAGTCAAAGTTTGTTAAATACTCGTCATACTAGTATAAATTCATTACATTTACTTAGCTATACCATATTGTTCAGTTCAGAATGCATTCCAAGGTCCATATCACCACTCAGGATGTATCCTGTGGAAAATTTCACCTGGTCAACATTGACCGAGGTACGAGATACGATAAATCAAGCATACACCCAACAAGTAATATCCCAACAGATACTCCGTGCATTCCAGCCTATTGGCTCGGTTCTAACCTCTCAAGTAAGTTCAAACCTGAAAATTAGCGAGATTCAGGATTTGCTCGGGGTATAGACTCGGACATGTATCAACGGAGATATGTACTCCGTACTCCGTACACATTTTCAGAGAAAATACTAGTATCATCCAAAGTTTTCAGAGTGCATGCCAGTGTGCATACACATATGTACGGGGTACTAGCACAGCATGAATACTAGTACTGATCGATAAGCCGACATGTGGGGTTCATGCCGGGGTCTATGTACCTTGGGTTATACAACCTTGAACGCTCAGCTAGCGAAAGATTTGGTTACAACCCACTTGACATGTAACATGTTGATCTCTGTAGGGCTACCAGTGTGTATGGGGTACATGACTCGGAGTACTCTGTACCTAGAGCCAAATAGTATTTACATCCATGGATGTGCATATTACTCGAATGCTTACTCGGATCCGGCCTTGTACTACCACATAGAACCCTTACAGCTCTTAGAATTTTCATAAGCATGCCCACTTGGGCAGGTAGTTATGTACACTTGATATGTATAATTTGAGTACAAAAAGTCAAGAAAATGTGGTCTGCTAATCCCGAGAATCTTACATGCCAGTTACCTCGGGCCTTACGGTCAACTGGTGTCACAACGTCCACCTGGGCACCTGGGCACGGGTGTAGCATAAATTAATAATCACCATGTATCCCATAATATTTTATAGAACAATTGAGACCATACTGAGGTATTTAGCTTGTATCATAATCTTGTTAGTATAGCCTTGAAAGCATTTTATCTACTCAAATTAGGAAAAATATTCGCCATTTTATTCTAACAAAGACGCTATGTTGACAAGTTGAAAATACCATCGGCAGATACCTTGGAAACCTTGGAAGATTTCAAGGCTCAGAGTGCGTACTCAACTGCCTGGATTAGATTTATTCAGAATCTGGATAACTCTTTCTGTTTTTTTTTCTTTTTCAATTATTCAATCAATATGACTTCCAAGGTTCAGTCTTAAAATAGAACTCTCGAGGCATCCATGGTACTAGTACAATAAAGCTAGGATGTTATGTGGAATATTTCATTGACGTGCGAGATACTCAGAGAAATATTGAAAGAATAAATAATTATTCAAATTGGATTGAGTAACTTGAAAGATTCGGGATTTCTGCTTGTCAAAGAACGAGTATTGCTGGTATAAGCCACTTCGGTTGGATCAAAGGAAATCGTCCAAATGCACCATGCTGTCTCTAGTTCTCGTACAAACAACCGAATTCTACTCATATTTTAAGGTTTTTATCTTGGCATTGTTGAGATGACTAATAGTATTCTATAACTATGTGAAAATAATGCATCTACATACAATCTCACAATACTTCCAAGGTGACAATTCATCCGTTCATCTAGCCTAGGCTGGCATTCTTCTTCTGTCTGGGATCACTCATTTTATCCATGGATGTCTATGTTATGTGGAGATACAGCTGCGCAACTGCTGTTTGAAAGAGCTCACCTTGAGGTAAGTTCTTTCTTTTACATCCATCATTCACAGAAATCCCTGCTCACAGAGCCTTGGAAAGAGCCTCGTCGAAAGAGAGCACGCATGCGGGTGTAGAATCTACCTAGCAGAGCCCTTTTACATCCTGTCATTCAAGTATGGTACCAGAATATAGGGCACTCGGATTCTTTGTGCAGTATGTTCCTTTCCTTTGTAGCATCTCGAGTATCCGTGGTCCAAGCATTCATCTCATTCTCAACTATTCAAGCATATGAGTCTGGTATAAAGTCCCCTTGAATGTCTATTCATTTCTTGACCTTTTCAGAGACCAAAAGAAATCTCTTAAACCAGTTTCCAATTATACAGTATGGGAGCTATTGCGCCACCCCGAAGCATAGGAGGCTCAAGGGCTGGCTTTGTTAGGGCTGAGAGTATGAAGTCCGATTCTAAGAGTTTGATCAATGGAGTCTCGAAAAGCAAGAAGAAAAAGAGTAAATCTAAATCAAAGTCCAAATCCAAGTCCAAGTCCAAGTCCAAGTCAAAATCGAAGGGCAAGACTGAGGGCGAGAAATCCGAGGATGAGGATGAGGACGACAAAATTTCAGACGATGAGGATGAATCCAAATCAAAGTCCAAGCACAAAAATAAGCGCAAAAATAAGGACAAGAAGAAGTCTAAGTCCAAGTCAAAGGACAAGACCGATGGTGAGAATCCCGAGAAATATGGCGAGGACGACGACAACAACGACAAAGACGAGGAAATGGCAGACAATAAGGAGGAGTCTCCGGTGATAGTCCTGCCGTTTTGTCATAAGTCACCGTTCGAAAAGCGAGAGGAAAGCCCACCTATCAAGGTAACGGAGATATCAGAAGACATGAGTGATGTGCCGATGCCAGATATGAGCTCGAGTGAATCAAGCGGTGATGAGGAGCGTGAACATACTAAACTTAATAGTATTCAAGAAGAAGAGATTGATGCTAGTATATACTATAAGTTGATTGATGATGATGAGAAGATTCATCCTGAGTAAGTCTCAAGAACTCTTGAACCAAATATTTGAACAAAGCCGCAATGCACTTCACAATTTGAGAAGGTCATGAACTAATCAAGTCCAAAGTGATTTTGAAGCGAGAATTGCGCGTTGCGAGGAAGCCTTAGAAGAAGCGAATGATAAGATTTCTCCTGTTATTCAAGACCGACTAAATCTTCTCGAAGCGCAGAGAGATGAGCGAGAGTATGTTTTCTGATATCATCAAAATTATTATAATGAGTCTAATCTAACGCAATCCAGTGAACTAATGGATAAATGGCCTGATCTCACTTACTCTGTCGTGCGGCGATTGGACTTTTTCGAACGACTCAAAGCGTTTCTTATGAAAGATGGAGATCCTAATCAGGTAATCTCCTGTATTAACGCTATAGTGAAGACTTATAAGTCCAAAAAGCTTCAGTGGGTTCCAGGATATGTGACATACTGGTCATATGGGAAACAGCTCACCCAACTACGAACTTTTGATTGGGACGAGTTTCTGAGGTGGAATTTCAAATATAAGGGTGCCAAAGGATTTTGGGTAGAAGGAGTAAGTATTGATCAGACTAGATCACTGGTTGAAAGAACGATAGCTGACTGATACCTTCTCTAGCTGCGTGATACCCCTGTTCGCCAGTTCTTGCAACAGCGAGTCTGCTGGCGCACGAGATATGATACTTTCCAGGACCTTGATGTTAAGGTATGTCTTTCCTGATACATTTATCAATGTTTACTAGTAGTCCGAGGTCTTTTCGGAATTCTCAAGTTCCATCACGTCTTCTTTTTTTTCAACTGGGGCTTTCTCCTTTCTCTCACAGGTTCCAGTTGGTCTTAAATTCATTCTACCACCCCTAGATAGTGGGCTACCAGACGCCAACACAAACATCATACCGGGCCGCTTCACACGTGCGGAGACAGAAAGATGGACTGGTACTGTGCCGCGTGGGACACCTGGTGAACCCCTAATTCCTGCCAATCCGCCCCATGGCGGAGAAAGGAAGCCTCTCTACACAGTTATTCCAGCCAATCCACGGAATCAACAAACTTCCGGCCCACCAGATACAGACCAAATTAAGGGTAACACATCTGTTCTTTTTTGGATGACTGATGATACTGGAGCCGACGTGTGCTCTATACAAGAGAGGGACTTGGCTCAGCTTTATCACGTCAAAGATACGCATGAAGATCCAGCCGTTGCGCAATCCCAACCGCCTCTCCTTGGTTACTATGAAATGAGAGGTGCAGGTAGCGGCGCTCCACATAGATTTGAGCCGTGCAGGGCCATGAGGATTCAGTGTTACTCCAGCAATGATTACAGAGGCCGTCTCTTTGGAATGCTCAAGCAAGCTGAGATTATAGAGGTTCTCATTACGAAAAACCCTACCAATCCCTTTGATACGCCAGTGAGAATCCTGGGACCTTGGCTGAGGCACAGATTCTATACTGCGACATCTCCGGATCGCTCAGGTCGTTTGTGGATTTTCAAGAGACATTCTCAGCTCGGGAATGTGCACAAGGCGGATCCACCTTACTCGGGGGCGTTTCCGGTGGTCAATAATTTAAGAATCGGACGAGATCACCCAGCGGCGGAAGAGGAGCTCACTATTCCTCCCTAAATTACTGCTTAGCTGGGACTAGGAGTATGCGTTCAAGTTCTCCCGGTGTCCTGTTGGCACTATGGGTTTATTTTCATATGCTGTTTACATGTACTGTGACATTCTGTCTACTGTCTGATTTGAATTTAAGATTATTTAAATAACATTTGTATTTAAAGATAAAGAGTATTTGAAGTTCAACATCTATTCAAGTTCATATACTATATAGTCCATAGTACATATCTCCAGGGCTCATATAGTACATGGATCTCTAGAATCACATGATGCCCCACCAATGCTTCAAGTTCCATGGATCAAGATGGAGTCAATATTAGTTTAACGCACTAGATATACTCTAATCTAGCCTATAGGCTAATTCAAGTTGATTGCAAATCAGTAGAACCCAATTAATAAAGAATTGAATGAATTGAAATCATGAGTCCCGAAGGACCAACCAGCAGATACAGTAGTGCTGATCAGAAAAGAATGAAGTCATTAGATAATACACACGGTAAACCGTCAACAAGAGAATAACCAAGATCAAAACATTCAGAGCAAGTCTGAATCACGCCATACAAATATTCGTTTGAGGCATGTCACATCATCACGCTAGACAGCACGAACAAAGTGAAAGGCAAAAAAGAAGCAAAAAGCCGGAAGAGAAAAGAATAATCGAAAGTTGAAAGATAAAAAAAGAAAAAAAAAAAAGCTAGGCTAAGCAGGAAATGCAGTAGCATCACTGACATAACTTCGTCTGGTCGTGAGGTTGCGAGAAGAAGCTCCGGCGGAATCTTCGTGGATCATGGACACATCATGGAGATTGGGCGAGAATCAATTGAAAAGAGTGTCTGAGAGACTCGGATGGTGTTTAGCCGAGAACCTCGAGGTCGAGTCGAGTCGAATCAAATCAAGTCGCTGAAGCAGAGGCAAAACGCTAACGCGAGACACATAGCAAACCAAAAGCGGTATACGCTTTTTCTATTTCATCATTTGGATTCATGGAAGCGTGGGACCGGGACGAGAGAATGAGGCAGATTGTCAGGTGAGAGAATAGGTGAATGTTCTAAGGAGGTAGTGTGAAGGTGTGATTGTATGTGATGGGTGGATTGAAGTTATCGAGGTTTTTCACCAGGCGTGGTACTGGCCCGTCCTTCTGAGTAAGGACCTTGCGGGTTTGGATCACCCCGACTAGCAACTGAGTCTCGGCGGCTACTATCTGGCGAGAATCGATCCTGTGGAATGGCGCTATACACACCGCGCTCACCAGGATTACTGTTAAACCGGAGGATAGAATCCGGCGGACCCAGCTGTAGCGCATGTGGTGACGGTAACGGATGATTGATTTCCGGTGGACGAGGCAATTCTCTCAGATTAGGACCCATGACACGGCTAGGCATATTTGGTAGTTCACGACGCTCTTCTGTTGTTGCTTGTAGACCTGGCGCAGGCGCAATGGGTCGCGCGGAATGATCAAAGGGCATAGAGCCAGGACCTGGTCCATGTGCCAAGTGCGGAATATTTGCGTGAGCGTGTGGATGCGCGTGCGCATGAGTGTATGAAGCAATTGCCACGGCCGGACTACCGGGGCCCGGAATTTTGAGTCGACCGGATCCTGATCTTCGTGGTGGTGGATAGGTCTCGCCGCGGGCTTCCGCCGCAAGTTTGCGCCGTTCCGTTTCCGCTTTACTGGGTCGTCCTCGTTTGCGCGGGGGTTCACCTGGATTGCCTTCTAGTTTGGGAGAGAGCTGAGCCGAGGTACCACTTTCACTGCTATATGAGGCGACACTAGCAGGGGGTCTTGGTTGAATGGCGCGTGGCTTATCGGCTGGATACAATGGTCGTTTGCGCAGGTTGGGATCCACGGGTGGTGCTGATGACCTAGTCACTTCGGGACGAGGCATCTGAATTGATGCTGGAGCTGGCGCAATGGTTTGCATTGTTGGCATTGTTGGTACTGCAGGTATTGTGGGTGTTGATGAATACGGTTGGTATTGCGCTTGCATATTGTTGAAAGCAGTTCTGCACGAATTCATAGATCGACCTGGACGGGAAGGAATTAAAACAATTAGATATTCAAACTTGGTGCCATTGATTCTAAAAATGATATCAACGAGTCCCGGCTTGGAAGGGACTTGTTTCTATCAATTTTTTTTTTTGGTGGTGTTTTTTTTTCTTCAAGATACCTGGCGGAAGAGGAATATCCCCCCAACTGGGCTGGATATTATTTTCACGGATCATGCGCACTAAGAAGTTGGATGAGACTCCAGCTCTCTTGAGAATCTCCGTGAGCAAGAAGTACTATTCAATCAATTAGCTTTAAATTCTCATCAATTGAATTGGGGAATGGTTAATATGTTAGTTACCTTCTCCTCCTCGGACCATGGCCTATCCGGTGGATTCGACATATCCCATGGAAGCGACAATGCAATGAGCGAGATGAATAAAAAAGGAAAAGGAAAGAAAAAAAAATTGAGTAAAAAGCTGGGGAATTGCAACACAATATCAGAACCAGACAACCTCCCAGATACAAAATCGGAGCGAATGGAGCGGGTCCAGGGGAGAAAAAAACCGCCAACTCAACCCCGGGGCAAGGCGTACACGAATGACCGAACCCGCAAAGGAAATAGAAGAGAAAAAAAAGAAAAAAGAAAGAAAAGAGAGACAAAAAAAATAATCTTTAGGCCATGCTCCCACGAGGTGAGGAGAAGAAAGAAATGGAGGCTTTACAGCCAGTGGAAATGAGGGAAACAAAACAAGACGCGGTCCATGAACGAGCCGAGTTGAACGGGATCGCGCAGGACGCAGAACGCGTTTGGGACAGCTGCAGGGACTAACGTTTAGGGGATGTGAACACCACAGATATGAAAATGAAATCACCAATAAGAAAAGGGGGAGAAAAGAAGATTTGTAGAAGTCGTTAGACAGACCCGTTTCAGGGCGTTTCAGAGTTGAATATTGAATATTGAATAGTGAATATTCTAGCCCCGAAGGTGATGCCAGGTACCGTACCTAGGTATAAGGATTTTTATTTTAGACGTTACATATCTGTATTAAGATACTATATAATTTATAATACTAGTTACTAGTAATATTCGATTGTTTATAGTCTAAAGTACGATCGAGGGGTCATGCAGGAGTGGGGTTGGGACTTATTTTTTGTCATTTTTGTCATTTTGTGTCATTTTTTGGGGGGAAGGGGGGGGGATTTAGGAGGGGATTTTCTCCGAATAATAAGAAATAAAATAGAAAATAATCAGAAAATAATCAGAAATAACTTGGAAATTCAACTAGAATCAACTAAAATTCACTAAATAAAATTAACTAAAAGCCACTAGAATAAAAAGGTCAAGAAACATTTGAATAATTCTAGAGAAATAGACACCAATCAATTTGATCAATTGTTTCATATGAACATACATGGACAATATGGACAGGAGTAACTTCAAATATTGAACTAGATATGAAACATTAACCATATCATGAATCTGCAGTCCAGCTGCAAATCATTCGGATCCTCCAATCCCAAATTCCGTAAAAATTATAAAAAATCCCCCAAAAAATCCTGCATGTACAACTCACAGTTCCAGAGCCAAGGAACAAGCTACGGGAAGTGTTTTTCCCGCTTATAGGTGGATTCAAACAGTGTTCTAAAAGGTTCCCACTAAGAGAAGAAGAGGAGAAGGAGAGACCCCGATGGTTTGGGTCTGAACTGGGTCTGAAGTTAGAGATCCACTCAATTATAATGTAATAAATATAATAAAAGAGGGGGGAGAAATATTATAGAACATATGAAAGAACATTTAGAGAATAATAAAATAATAAAAATAAGGTGTGTGGGATTAAATAGGTGAGAATATGAAAATATGTACTCCTGCACTACCAGTGATATCTATGTGTACACACATGTACATGTAACTACATCAATTGATCATACCAGTTTATGTACGGAGACTCTCTGCATGAGGATCTCCGATTAGAATCCCCCTGGAATTTTCCTTTTTTTTTCTCATTTTGGGTTTTTCTCATTCGATCTGGACCTCAACTTGGTCCGAGACCCAGGCTTAACATTCAAGCCCCGCTAAGCTGAATCACCGGCGTTTGGATCTAACGTCCCCAGTTGCAGTAGTCTGACCAACCTTTCCTTCTTGAGATAAACCTCAAGTGCCCCGTTCATAGAACCCCATCGAACAGTGCCAAAGTACCCTGTAATGAGTACTTTAGGCCCCTTTCAAATGTTTCGTCCACGGAGGTCTCCAGATGCTCCGTACACCTCCGTATACTCCGTAGTTCGGGCCATTGATCAACAGGAGACGTGGAGTATCATGTACCATGATGTAGCTAGCAGCTTGAGCATGGACTATTGAATTTATAATTAGTAAATTTCATAATAATACTCCGTACCTTTATTAGTAGGTACTACTAACTTCTAAGTATCATTCTATTGAATCGGGAATAACTACAATTAATGTGTATATTGAATATCAATTGATTCGATATTCATATGTCTATATCCTCATTCTCATTCTCATTCTCATTCCACCGAGGTCCGTTGTTATCACGCACAGACACCGTTTGCTTCTGCATAAATCTGACCAATTCAACTCTTCTTCCCATCCAATCGTTTCCCGCCCCAACTGCAATTGTTCTGCATCGCTCATGATTCTTCCATCCCTATCCACTCATTGTACTGCATCTTCCACGCAGCTGTCCGTGGACGTGGCTCTGCAGTGGCTCTGCAGGGTGTCTCACTCTTTGAGACTTGAATCTGCCTTGACTCTCTTGACATGATTTTGACTTTGTCTTTGAATTGGACTCTGACCTTGACCTTGACCTTGACCTTGACCCTACTCTTGATCCATTGGGTATGGATTTATTCATTGGTCCTATTTTACCCTTCTCTGTTTTTACTTAATTATACATTATATCATCATAGGTACCCAGTAAATATTATCAGCTCTGACAAACAATAATCGGCTTATTTGATTGTTTCTAAGACACCTTATTCTAATCAGTCTGATTTCAAGGCATGATAACATTCAAAATGTCCACTGAATCATATCGGGTATCCTCCTGGGCCACTTTAAGGTTAACCATGGAAATGGCAAATAATGATCTCCTAGTATTCCCTATCAGTGACATTTCTTCTCCCAACATTCATTCACTCAGATCACAGATTTCCAAATCGAGAAAAAAAAACTCTTACCAATTCCCACACTTTGAGATAAAGACAGGTCAAGAATCAAGAAAATCTTCGTCATTCACTCTCTCCTTGCGCGGTCAGTGAATGTCCAGGCGGTGAGCGCGCGACACGGGAATAGTGCCTGTTCTTAGTGAATAAACCAGTGAAATTGAAACTCATCTTGATCATTCCAACTCCTCCATTTCTTTTCTCTTTTCTCCAAGTAGTCCGTGTCAGTCATGTCTGCCCATGACACGGACTCCAATCTCGAGGCAGCAATCATGGATTCGCCCAACGGGTCCGACGCCCTCAAGAATGGCCACTCCACGCGCTCGTCCCGGTCGCCTTTGCCTCGTCAGACGTCAACTCCAATCTCAGAACTGAAAGGGAAGAATGAACCCGCTGAAGATAAACTCGCCGGTGATATCATTGTCAAGCAGGAACCCGGTCAACCGCCAAAATTATCCCGCAGTGCTTCTCAGAAAGTCGCGCGGAAGCCACCGCAGCTGTTCTCACATTTGCCCGATAGCACGGAAGATGCGTTGAAGGAATTCGATCAAATTGATTCTTGCTGGTATGCGAACAAATACATGGGATACACCGAACATGCTATGGAATGTGATTGTGCCGAGGAGTGGGGTGAGTCAGGTCATTCTTTTTTTTTCTGATTTCCACGTGTTTTTTTTGTCTATGGAGGAAGATGGTTATGGTGTTATTCCTGCATCTAGGAGGAGAGATGGATGGGATTCGGGAATACGGGAGGGGGAATCGTGGCATCTTCGGGGTACTACGATTCCTTTTTCTCTATTGTCCCTTTTCGAACTCTCCATTTCAAATCGTTCCCATATCTGTTGTTTCTTCGCTCTTAAAACATATGTCACTAACAAATCTGGTTGGATAGAAGCCGATGTCGGCAAGAACTTGGCGTGCGGTGAAGACTCCGACTGTATCAACCGAGCAACGAAGATCGAGTGCGTGGGGGACTGCGGTTGTGGAGCCGACTGCCAAAACCAACGATTCCAAAAGAAACAATATGCACAGGTGGCGGTTATTAAGACCGAAAAAAAGGGCTATGGCCTCCGGGCGGAAATCAACCTCGAACCGCACCAGTTGATCTACGAGTATGTTGGAGAGGTGGTGGGCGAGGCGCAATTCCAAAAACGCCGACGAGACTATGATGCCCAGAAAATCAAGCATTTCTATTTCATGTCGCTGAACAAGGGAGAATTCGTGGATGCGACCAAACGAGGCAATCTGGGCCGATTCTGCAATCACTCATGCAATCCCAACTGCTATGTGGATAAATGGGTGGTTGGTGAGAAGATGCGCATGGGCATCTTTGCGGAACGTGCGGTGCAGGCTGGTGAAGAGTTGGTTTTCAACTACAATGTTGACCGGTACGGTGCTGATCCCCAAGTTTGCTACTGCGGTGAGCCCAACTGTACGGGTTTCATTGGTGGTCGTACCCAGACCGAGCGCGCCACCAAGCTCTCGAATGTGACCATCGAAGCACTCGGAATTGATGATGCAGAGGCTTGGGATACGGTTGTCGCCCGTCGTCCGAAGAAGAAGAAGACTGAGGAAGATGACGAAGAATACGTGGACAGCGTGAAGCCTAAGTCTCTGGATGAGGACGGTGTGACCAAGGTCATGGCAGCCTTGATGCAGTGCCAGGAGAAGTGGATTGCCGTCAAGCTGCTGGGCCGTATTCAGCACTGCGAGGATGAACGAGTGTGCAACCGCGTGGTCAAGATGCACGGATACCAGATTCTGAACTCGCAGCTAGCCATGTGGAAGGAAGACCACAACGTGCTTCTGCAAATCCTGGATATCCTAGACAAGTTCCCTCGACTCACCCGCAACAAGATCATCGACTCAAAGATCGAGGACAACATCCGACCTCTGACCACAACCGAAGACGAGCGCGTAGCCAAGAAGGCGGCCACGCTGTTGGCAAGCTGGGCCAACTTGGAGGTTGGATACCGCATTCCACGCATGAAGCGCGGCGAGCAAGCCAAACAAGCCGTCAACCAATTCGAGCGCCGCGAATCAGGCCGCGAGCAGCAGCGCCAGCGCTCAATTTCTCCGCTAGCCAGCCCCCACGACAGTCACAAACAACAGAACCAACCCAAGAACCGACGCGGTGAACCCCATCACCAGCGAGATTTGCTTCACAATCGTCCTCGACAGAACCGCCGGAATAACCGCCAGCAACAGCAGCAACCGCAAAAGCCACCATCTCAGCCGCTTCCTGATGGATGGTACTCGGCCACAGATCCCACTGGGCAGGTTTACTATTACTCTGCGGCCAACGAAGTGCAATGGAACCGACCAACCACTGCGGTGACGTGTCCAGTGCCAGCGAACGTGAACAAGACAAACACCTTACTGCAGAACATCATCGATGGAATTATTAATTCCCAAGAGAAGACGCCCTCGGAGCGAAAGAGTGAAACCCCCAGCACACCTCAACAGCCATTGGATCAACCAGAGAAGAAAAAGCGAGAGGATGATTGGTGGAAGAAGCTGGATGAGAATAAGCAGAGAAAGGTTTACGAGAATACGGTGAGTTCAGCTACTATAAGTGTGAGTTGACTGAGTGATGCTAATCTGATGTTCAGCTTCACCCTCATATCAAATCCGTCGTTGATCAATACAAGAACAAGATCCCGAAGGAGGATCTGAAGCGGTTTGCCAAAGAGGTAAGAACCACAAATATCATTTTCACCCGGTGCCACCATACTAATAAAACAAATAGACAGCCAAAAAGCTCGTCGACGGCGACTACAAACGGGGCCGCGTAACAGATCCCACCCAGATCAACGAGAAGCACCAGCGTACCGTGAAGACATTCTGCAAATCCTTCTTCGACAAAGCCGCCAAGAAGCACAAGGAGCGCTTGAAATCAAAAGCCGAGAAGCAGCATCAAGAAGCCACAGACGAGCACGACGACACAAAGATGTCGGATGACGAGCCCGAGCCATCCGCAGGAACAGGAACAGGCACAGCCACCTCACCCATGGACGATGATGTGTCTGTTTCTCTGAAGCGCAAGCGCGACGGTGAAGGTGACTTGATAAATCCAGATCAAGATCAAGCTACACCGGGTGGTAGTTCACCCAAACGACAGAAATCCACACCTCCACCTCCACCGCCTCCACCACCTGCCATTGATTCTGATCATAGCATGGCAGAGTCGAATTCACCTCCCAAGGAATCCGAATCGCCCGTTGATTCGAAGAAAGAAAATGAGAACACCAACAAATCCGAACCCGAAGGACTTGGGTATCAACCAGATGCGGAGATGAAAGGACTTCCACATATGCAATTGCAAAGCCATGTCTAGGTCATTTACTGCGTTTTTCAAAAGCGAGGAGTTTACAGAGCCACGCATGCCACATACTTAATTCTTTCTGACTATCTGATTCCGTGGCTCTTTATTTTTTATTTTTGTCAAATACCCCAATCATAGTTCAATTCAGGAGTTGGTTCTTCAAATGCAGATAAACGTAGATACTCATCTCATAGTATGATATCAGATATACATGACTCTACTAGTAGAAACTTACATAGAATCCAAATAGTACAACTACAAAGCAAATATTGGTCATCAATCATCATTGTCTCCCTATCTGCACTAACTCGAATTGACAACGCAATCCAAATCAATTCAAACTGAAACAAAGAAAAGAGAAGAAAAAGTAAACTCCTCTACAATAGAACCAGGTAACTCAAAAAGCACGCATATCATCTCAAGAATCTAATCTAGTAGAAACTCTCGACAATACTCTCCTTATTAGGACCAGCACCACCAGCACCACCGGGAGCCATCTCACCCAATCTAAAGACGGACTCAATAACACTCAATTCCGTAGCAGTGGTATCCAGACCGGTAACAGCAAGCCAGTCATTAACGACCATACCAGCACCAACAACGGGAGAACCACGGTTCACGGAACCAGCAACAAGAGGAACCTGTAGAAGGGAAGAGAGCTCATCTTGATCACGGATGGAAGTCTTGGGGTGAACGATTCCTCCTTGGTTGGAAAGCGACATGTAGGATCCTGTGAGGACGTTGTCGGCAACTGTTTGACGGAAGACTTCTACGCCGAGGACGTCGGCGATACTATAAAAATTAGCTTTGCTCAAAAACGTAGTGGGAAATCTTAATTTCGAGTGTGTTGGTGGGGTGCTTACATCTCCTCTGTTTCACGCTCCAGATCGGGATGAACGATAGCAACGTGATCGTTACAGCAGATCACATTACCAAGTGCGGAGAGACGCTCTTCTATACGCTGGATCTTCACATCGTCCGGAAGGGTGTTACGCAGGTGCTGGAGTTCCTGGTCTGTGGTGGTAGTAGGAACGAGGAGACCCTTACGGTTACTGTGAAAGATTAGTACAGGGACCATAGTAGATTCCTCGTGATATTCATATTCATATCCATGGGAAAAAAAGATCGACATACCCAACTGTTAAACGACCAACAATTCGTGTACCAGCAATGGTAGCATGGCAAATAGGAATGACATCCTGAAGCTCAGACTCGAAGACACTGTACTCCGTTAGAATTGGTGCATTTCAATTTTCTTATCTGGAAGTTTTTTTTTTCTTATCGTACCTGTAGAAGTTCTCGGAGGCGCCGACAGCGACGATGGCGTAGGAGTTTGTCAGACGGGCGAAGACACCGACTCTGTTCTTGTTAGATTTTTTCTTTCAATGGATGGTATGAAGGATCTGCTGATTCTTCTGTCTGGCTCTTTTTTCTCTTTTTTTCACGATTTTTTTCTTCATGCTCTTTCCCTTCCTCCTCTTCGATTCCTTGCGTTGTTTTCTCAAGAGATCAAGATCCAGACAGAGATAATCGCAAGCACTCACTCATTAGAGTTCTCGAATTGCGCGCGCACAGCCATGGTGGTAATCTGTCCGAGGGGTCCGGGTATCACGGTGAGGGGAATTCTGGTAAAAGCCGAAGCGGAGAGTGGTAAAAGCGAAGGAGGTAGGGAACTTTGTCTGTTAAAGAGGAATGAAACTGAGGAATGACCTTCAACTTCACAAGCAGAACAAGAGCAGATCTTAAATGGTGAAGTGGGATGAAGTGAGAAAAGAGCAAAAGCTTTAACCAATTAGAAAGAGGAGTTTACTTGCCCCGCTAAGTGGAGTTGATCAAGTACTGCAGATGTCACGTGTACTTCTATTTACTTAGTAATCTCATAGTAAAATTATGTACCTGATACTTCATATAATAGAAGGCTGAGTACTCGTACTTCTTGACTCATTCTGGCTCATACTATGACTACATATGACTGACACTACTACTAAGTACTAGTGTTGCCCAGGTGGTGTTAGTGACTGCGCCTCAATTGACTTATTTCCCAACCTTAGCTTTACTTCTATTACACTTGATCTACTAGTAGTGACTATTATAGTGAAATGACCACAGCTTACTTGAGTAAAGTGAATGGAAACTTCGGAACATGTAAATTTGATAGCATTTACATGCCCAGCATGATACTTGATCACTATGCAAAGACAAAGACACAAAAGCACAATAAAACAGAAAACACCGAACGCCGACGCTAAAAACGAAACAAAAACAAACAAAAGTAAAAATAAAAATAAGAATAAGAATAAAAAAAAAATAAAAACAAAAAAACAAAAAAACAAACGCTGCAGCCCACTAAGGGGCGGTCGGTACTACCCCCAGGACTAGAAGCGACGGGGCCCATGTCCATGGGGGTAGTACATTGGACCCGGAGGTCCTTGGTGGCCCGGGGCCAGGTAGTTCGGCACCGGGAGTCGAGTGAAGTTCGACCCCGGTGGTGGGGGCAGCTGGGGTGGACCCGTCATTGCGAACGGGTCCGGTAGGCCCAGCTGCCCCCGCGCAGGGAGCTGCGCAGGGAGGATCCGCCTCGGCTGCGTGGTGGGCGTCGGGCGCGGGAGGATGAACGACCGCGGGTCCGTAGGCCCGTGGCCGATCATCCCCCCCGGCCCCAGGAGGCGGTACAGCCTGTGATGGCTGTGGTGGGAGGAGGGCGCGGCCGCGCAGGTGAGGGAGGGGCTGGGCCTGCATGGCCTCAGCCAAGGCGATCTCCGCCAGCGAGGAGAGGGCGTGAGGGACGGGCTCATCGTGAGCCCCGTCCAGGGTGGTGAGGAAAGCCGGCTTGTTGGGGTGCGGCTGAGCGCCGGGCTGCTCATTCTCGGCCACTTGCGCTGCCTCAAGCAGCATCTGCATTGAGCGGTCGACGACGTCTTGGACGTCCGGCTCGGCCCCCGAGGCCAGAGCCCGCAGCTGCGGCTTCACGTCGTTCTCCATCCGGACCTTCTTCACGAAGTCCTCCCAGGTCTTGAAGGCGCGGTCGTACGCCTCGGCGCCGTCTGGTTGACGGACAGCCTCGGCGTCGAACCCGCGGACGACCTCTCGGGCTCCGGGCTTGCCTGTGGCGAAGAGGTATTGGGGCTCTTCTGAGCCTGCGGTGGACCCGTCGGTCTCGGTGTGCTCGTCATCTTCGGCGGCACGCTGACCCATCATCAGCTCGATGACCTTGCCTCGGACGGCATGGAACATTTCGTCTTGAACGTTCTTGATCATGGCGTTCGTCGACATGTTCAAAGCCTCGACCTCGGCTTGGAAAAGACGGTTTTCGGTGTCGGTCTTCAGCTTGTGTTTGGCGCTCAGGGTAGCCAGGTGCTTGGCCAGTTCTTCATCAAGCTCTGACTTGACAACAGCCCATTCGGGACAGTCTTCATGAGCATGCTTGTCTTTTGCAAGGTTCGACATGTTCTGATCGGCCATGGCGCCCAGAGCCAGCTGTTGCGCACTGCCAACCTTCTTGAACATGAAAGCAAGCTTGTCCTGACGTTCCTTGATCTGCTTTGTTTGCGGATTTGGAGAAGGGGATCGTCTTTTGCTGTCGGCTTCCCAAATCTCGTCTTCGACCTTCTTGCCACCACGACGGGCAGCTGGTGCGGTACGAGTAGCTCGACCTCGTCTCTGACCTCGAGCACGGGCAGCTGCGGCACGAGCAGGGGCTGTGTTTCCACCTCGTCCACCACGTCCACGACCACGACCTCGGGTTCGTCCACGGAATCCTCCGCGACTGCCGCGACCTCTCTTAGCGGGGCCAGTGGCGGCTTCGATGCCTTCAGCATCGGCGTCGACATCTGTCATGACGGCGTCTTCATCAGCGGTCGTGATGTCGGGAGTTTGTGTTTGTGGCTGGGGCTGAGCTTGGACATCTTCAGTGGCCTTTTCGGTGGCGAGCTCCTGGGGAGTGGGCTTTGCGTCATGCTTCAGCTTTAGTCTTTTGTAGACTGGAGCGGGCTTAGGATCCTTGTTGATCTCGGGCTCTTCCTTCAATTCCACGGTCTTGCGCTTTCGGGACGCGCGTGGAGAGATTGATGCCTTGGGCTGCACGGCTGAAGTGGATTCACCACTGGCCTCTTCGGGCGATGTTGCCGGCGCGGAGTGCTCATCTTCGGTCTGGTGAGGGTCGATCAGGTGGCCATGATCATTGGATGGGTCGGGGGTGTGAGAGGATTTGGTGATGTGAGTCGAGGTAGGAAGAGGCTCAAAGGCCTCGGACTCATCCATCTCGTCATGATCGACGGCACTCTGGTTAGTGGGAGAGGAGGGGTGAGGTGCCTCCATCTCCTCGGGAGATTGGTGTCGAGCAGCTGAGCGGGTCGTTCGGGATGATTGCGGAACAGCCAGGGCTCTCTTCGAGCGGCGTCGACGGGGGGTGAGAGGGTGCTCGGCATCATTGGCCTGAGCAGGCTCGATGGCCTTGCGCGCAGCGGGGTCAGTATTATCCTGCGATGGGCGGGCAGGCTGACTCTCCTCACTGGCGGAACTGGCAGTGGACATTGGTGGTCTCACGCGCAATTTGAGAATGAGAGAGGGACGAACTCCAGACTGCTGTGACGGGGCAGACTGAGAGCTGGCGGCATTAGAAGCAGCATTGCGAGCATTGCGAGGGCCTCCGCGACCTCCGCGACCTCCGCGTCCACGAGAAACAGGAGGAACTGGCACAAATGATTGAATTGCGTCTAATGAGAAAGTTAGTATTTGTTTTTTTTTTAATTGAAATCATGTCTTGCATGATTTGAGACATGTTGCGGTGTGATGAGAATTGATCCAAACATGGTGTTTGTCGGGTGGGAAATTGGGGGAAATCAGAATGGGGGTGAATGGGGATGAGGGAGATGAAAAAAAAAAAAGTCGAATTTACTTACCTGAAGCGCGGCGCGTAGAGCGTGTTGATGTTGCTGGGGGGTGAGCAGCAGCACCTCGTTTTCCTCGTCGGCCCACCATGACGACTTTTTTGACGTCGGTGATCTTGAACCAAGGGGGCGAGAAGATTCAAATGCGATTCTTATGCGAATCCACAGTGATCACGTAGAACATGGGCGACAACAACAAGAAAGAAGAAAGACTGCAAGAAACAGACAGTGTTGTGTCCAGAGACAAGACTGTTCCAACAGTAAAAAAAAGTAAACAACCTAAGAATCGTTGGTAAGATTCTGAGATTGTAGAAGAGGCTGAAAAATGAAGCAGTGTAAGAAGATGGGAAGCTTTGGTAAAGCAGAAGAATCAAGGACAAGGATAACAAGATGGGAAAAGGATGTAGAAGGGGTTGAAGAAGGAAAGAAGAAGTAGAAGGAGAAGAAGAAGAAAAAAGTCATGAGATAGTCCCAACGCGTGAGTGAATGTCAACAAGCGACAGCGACAGTGACAGTGACAATGTTGGAAATCATTCACTTCAGGGGAGTGAAGGTACGCGTTTTTTTGGCCCGATTCAATAGTAAACAAGAACCAGGAAAACCAAACCAATTACAGTGAAATTACAAAAAAGTGAATAATTCAAAAATAAAAAGCGATCGAGTAAATCCCATGATGACATGAAACATGAATAGAGTAGAGATGAACTTGGTTGGAATTGAATTGAAGTACTTACCGGAAGGTTGCAGGATTTGACAAAAGACAAGGTGGCGCGCAATTGGGAAAGACGCAAGGGTGGATCGGATTATGATGAACCTCAATCTGTATCAAGTAGATTCAAGATAAAGATTAAAAGATTCAAGATTAAAGTAGATCTCCCCAAGTCCTAAAAGAGAACCAGGGAAAAGGGGAGAAAAGAGAAAAAAGAAGGAAGAGTTGAAAAAAGGGTAGAGAAGGGAAAAAAAAGAAAAAAAAAGGAAAAAGAAGGGAAATCCGGGTTTTGGTTTATTAGGTAGTGGCAGGTTTATAGAGTATTCAAGATATTCAGTTGAACTGAATAAACTGAATGTTCAGTTATTACTGAATAACTTGAATCTCCTTAGATTCTAAATCATATTTGAGTATAAAAAGCAGAAAACGAAATTGACAACGGTCTTCCCTTTTTTCCGACCCACATATTAAGACGAACGCGGCCGAAGAAGGCGGAACCACTATAATCATATACGGGGGAAGGATCCGAGCACTTATTACTACAGTATGGAGTAGACAGTATAGATAGAATAGATATAATAGTAGAATAGTAGAATAGTAGAATATTAGAATATTAGAATATTAGAATAAATAATAAATAGATAATAACATTCATAGAACTCTTTCATATAACAAACTTGAATATCCAACGCCTTCATCAAAGCATCTATACAGACACCAATCATTCAGATCATAGAACCTTGACAGAAAACATTTGAACGCAGAAAGCAGAAAAAAGGACATATGTAAAGACATATACAAAAAGATAACCAAATCGGATCACCTAAACTCACTCTTCAGGGCAGTCGTGCAAATCATATCGTTTTTCATATTGCGTGATACTACGCCGGACATGCCCGGCATGGATAAATCCCATCTGAGCATAATCCTTCGCTTCCACAATTTCTTCTTCACTTAAAAATGGTGACGCACTCCGTCGCGTCTCCCGTAATGATCGTGCGGATCGCATTCGCGTCACCGTCTTATGTGTGATCGTCTGTCCGGCAGACGGGGACGCCTTAACCCTCGTCCCGGGGCTCGGGGTCGGGGAGGGACAAGGACTTGTGGAACGAAAGAGAGGATGGATGTTCTGTTCTCGCGACGCCAGACATTCCGTGGATCCTGTTGGGGAATCGAGATTCAATGTAGACGCTGTGGGTGATACTTGGACCAGATTGTCCAGGGATTGGTGTAAATGCAGGGACGGTTCTCGGCGGAGACTCGGCATACTACGCACACTGCCACTACCTCGTAGTAATGGACGATTATCTCTTTCGGAAGGAGATGGTAGTTGGAGATGCTGCTCTGGGTCTGAACGTTCTTGACTGCTCCGTGATGTGGTGGATGTCGTGTCCACAGAGCCATGCTTATTCGTGGATGGTTCGAGGCTTAATGTCCCATCCGAGTAACGATTGGAACGTCGAGGATACTTGCGAAGAGATCCACGGCGGGTATCAAATTGGGGTAATTCAGGGTATGAATCACAGATCGCTGGGGCGGGAGGTGCCACTGTAGTGGGTGTTTCGGGGAGAGTCTTAAGCTCTTGGGAGAGATTGTAGGAATGGGGCCATCGAAGAACATCAGATTGAGGTTGGAAGGCAATTATCAGAAGAGAACCACAGAAGGAGCCTTCTGTGAAAACAGAGATCCCCCAGAAGACTGATCGTGCAATCCACAGAGATGACTTTGTGTTGGTGTGATCGGCGGCCATGGAGCCTGCCGTGGATGCCGCGGCGATGATCAGATACGCAATTGCCAGAAATAAAATGCCGATTTTCCAGCGAGGCAATGCGCGATTCTGAGTGATTTCTTGTTGTACCAGGAGAGTGAGCATAATCAATGCCAGAAAGCTCACAACGCTCAAGCTAACCGGGGCCAGATCAGTGGCCGGGTTGGAGGATGGCAAGGATCGGACTTCCCCATATGCAAGACCATTGAGGATTGTGACAATAAAGACAGAAAGCAAAGATCCTGCAGCCAATGAATGAAGCAGCATATTGGAATGCATTGTGCGAGATGGACGAGAAAGCAACTTGGGACACATAGACTAATAACTTCAAGTTGAAAGGATTAAAAGAATGTATAGCACGAAGTATAGAGAACGAGGGCCGTCACCGGGATAAAATCCACAGGCAAAGAAAGCTGGTCGATGCACTCGATGCAGGGGGAAACAGACGCATATTTATGACCTCGAGGATAGTTCGCGTGGAGGGAGAATAGGCGGGACGGGGCGAAGCACACGACTGGAAAAGTATATCGGATGCAAGTTGTTGATACATGTCAGATAGGGATTGACCTGAATGTACATTGATCTGACCCATCAACCTGGTTCTGATCATTAAAGTCTGTGGAGACAATGCAACCAGTACTATGGACCTGAATATCTGGATATCCTGGAGTCCACACTAGTCATTAGTGAGAAAGGTTAGTTTCAATTAACAGAGGTCTTTGAGTAATTTGAAGTGCTTTATGGGTACCAAGTGGATTGCTCGTCCTAATTACCGGGAGAGGTGGCTCCTGGAAAGTTGATATATCGGAATCTGTGGAGTTCTCCTGCAGATGGACTCCGGGGAGCGAGGACAGAATCTAGGCCTGCATCTACTACCATGTACTATGTATTCCCCCGGGCCGTCATGACAAAAATCCCATGTTATTAGTACCAGTTGACGCATCTGGGTATGCAGCCTCTCAGAAACTATTTATCTGATCCATCAAGTTGATCGAACTATCCTACTCTCAGGACTGCCGAAACTAACGCGGACCGCGATGTCCGATCCCCGCTGGTGTGCAGATGTGATATATCCAACACTTTTGAAGAAACTTCCCGCCTTTTTGGGACTGTTTTTTCTCAGGATCAATTAATTCAATGAGGTTCATTAAAATTCTCTGGGCAATATGAGGATCTCCAGTTGAGCTGACCAGGTTCCTGGGATATCTCTAGACGTGTGATATTAGTATATATTCATCCTTCATCCGTACCAATCGGAATCTCCACTTTGACGTGTTCAAGGTTTATCAGGCTGAGCTATTTCAAGCACCTCAAATCTTTAGCGAGATCGACATCTATAATTTGTCAATCCAATCAGACAAATGATTTTATCTACTGAGCTGAATCCTAGGTCCAGATGTCTTCCCGATTCAGATATTGCATCCACGTCAGACCACTATAGACTAATGCCGGATTGATCGGATCATTAAGACCAGTGGCAAATCAATTGAACTTCAATGGTTTATATAAATGGTTTATGTATCAAAAGATCTCTGTATATTATCTCTAAGCGAGAATAACATATGAAAATGTCAAATGCAATTCATTAGGAAAATTGAAGCCTAGCCAGTAAGGTGAGGACCTCCCCCTCATTCTTAGTGTGATACCTATAAGGTACATTTTCCATTTGGGCTGAAAGGTCTTGATCTGTATAAAAAAAAGAATAGTTCAAAACTATCAGGCAGGAATTTATCCGGAGTGAATTAAAAGAATGAAAGATACAAATGAATTTGAATCTTAAGTAAGAGCATATAATGAAATCCGCGGTTGTTGTCCCAGTGGGGCGGTGAGCCCTGGGCTTCTTTGCTTGTTCATCATCGTCACTCCTGCCTCGACTTCTTCCATAACATTCGTTGGGACCACATATCGTCTACTTCCCCTCATCTTGACTCCCGTGGATTCTCTTCCTTCCCTTTAACCTTCTCTACTCTCGATCCTCTCCACTGGCGCCAAAATGAAGCTCACTTTCAAGGTTTGTCAATCTCCAAGTTCACACCCCTCCGTCATCTTATAGCCCAAATTTCTGACAGATTTTTTCTTTCTTTCCTGAATATAGGATCTGAAGCAGGAGAAGTTCGTGATTGAGGTTGAACCCTCTGAGACCGTATGTGATAATCTTAAAGACGACCTCTTCTTCCCACGCCACCCGAGTGCGGGGCTGATTTTGTACCGCAGGTTCGCCAAGTCAAGGAAAAGATCGCTGAGGTCAAGAGCGGCTACGATGCAGACCGAACGAAGGTGATCTACTCTGGTACGCTTCATTCTTCTCGGCAGCTATTTCGTGCGGTGGATGAAGCCTGCAGCTACTGACCACTTCTTATCTGTTATAGGAAAGATTCTGCAGGATGACAAGTCAGTGGAGTCTTACAACATCCAAGAAAAGGACTTTTTAGTCTGCTTGCCTTCAAAGGTATGAGTGATGATAGCCATATTCTCTCGCGCTGTCTGCACCCAGCAGCTAACATTTTCAAAGCAACCTAAGGCCGCTTCTTCCTCCGCTCAAGTCCCCTCTACACCAGCTGCCCGTGCCCCCGTATCCACCCCAGCTGCCCCTCCAGCTCCCGCACCTGCTGCTGCCTCAGCTCCTGCTGCCCCCGTGACACCATCGCCTGCTGACCGGGCCACCCAGCCTGGTGGTCAAGCTGCTGCCTTCGGGGATCCGTCTGCGCTAGCTATGGGAACTGCCGCTGAGGGTGCGGTGACCCAGATGGAGGCTATGGGATTTGCCAGAAGCGATATCGACCGTGCCATGCGTGCTGCATTCTACAACCCAGACCGTGCTATTGAATACCTGTTGACTGTAAGTGAACTGATCATGGAAGGGGGGGTGGGAAGCTAGAGAAAAAATTCATTCGTGCAGGTCTAATTAATATGATAGGGAATTCCCGACAATATCCAACAGGAGCAGCAACAACAGCAGCAGGAACAAGATGAGGAAAGCACTGCACCTGCCGCCACTACTGGTGGCTCGGGTGGCGAGGAGCCCGTCAACTTGTTCGAGGCGGCTGCTCAGGCTGGTGACGGTGGTCGTGGTTCTACTCGCGCTTCCGGTGGTGGTGCTGCCGCCGCTGGTGCCGGTGCTGATTCTCTTGCCAACCTCGATTTCCTTCGCAGCAACCCTCACTTCCAGCAACTTCGCCAGCTCGTTCAGCAGCAGCCCCACATGCTCGAGCCCATCCTCCAGCAAGTCGCAGCCGGCAACCCCCAGATCGCTCAAATCATCGGACAGAACTCTGAGCAATTCTTGCAGTTGCTGAGTGAGGACTTTGATGATGAGGAGGCTGCTCTGCCTCCTGGAACACAGGCTATTTCTGTCACAGAGGAGGAGCGTGATGCGATTGAACGTGTATGTTGATCCTTGACTATGTTGACTCTTTTTTTTGAGTTCATACTGACTTTTCACAGTTGTGCCGTCTGGGTTTCCCTCGGGATTCCGTCATCCAGGCCTACTTCGCCTGCGACAAGAACGAAGAGCTTGCCGCCAATTTCCTCTTCGATCAGCCCGATGATGATGAGGAGTAAATTTATTTACTCTTCCCTTTTTTTCCTTGTTGCTTCTTTACGTTCTGATGAATACCAAGCATGCTGCTTTTGATTTCATTTGGCAGAGCTCTTCCCTCTGCTCTCCCTTCCCCTCAAACCCTTTCTTTTCCCGTGTAGCCATGGCATGAGGCTCGGCTTAGCTATGTATGGCCTAGGTCTACCTGCATACTTCCCTTTTTTATCCCTGATACGACATTTCATGTATTTAACCTAATGGGCAAAATGGGACGTTCGCTAGTCAATCGTGCACATGTGTAGACTGCATTAGCAATATGCAGATCACGCTCAGAATCCCTGTACATGTAGAATTGTGGAATGTCGACATAGGAGCTAGAGCTGCTGAGATGGTCTGTGCGTCACGGCGCCTGCTATCCCGATCATGTGTTGACCGATCTTAGCCTGAAGTATACATGTATGGATCAAACATACTGATTGTCTCACTCTAAGCATCCAGACTTTCAATCTGAACTTAGTAGTAACAGTATTTATATTACCTTGCTTTCAAGCTTAGTTATTTGCCACATGTGTCCCAATTTGAAATACCCGACATCTTGTTGACCTCCGAAGTGGCTATATATATATGATGTCACGGTACCCCACAGCACATGCATCTATATCTGAGTACTATAACACAAACTTGAATGTTGAACATAACACAGAATATCCTGAAATATTTAATCAAGATCTAAAAGCCAAAATCAAGTTTAACATCATCAAGACTTAGAGGTTCATAATCTAATTTGAATCTAGTTAAAACTGCCCAGGTGAAATATCGGTACCTGTGTAGTACAAGGATGTGGCTATCAGCAGATATACCCACAAGACTGCCCAGGTACACCTGACTGTAGCCTAAAGAATGTGAACACCAATCCATAATCATGGCTCGGATCTCACTAGATAACCATGCACGTGTGGCCAGATGATCAAATGAAAGCGAGAAATAAAAACAAAAACAAAGATTAGTACAGCCACTGAGTTTGGCTTACCAACCTCCAACATTAACGTATTCCACAAGCGAGCCGTACACACAAGCGAGCCGTACACCCCAAAACACCATAGTAAATGCGATATTTCAGGCCCTTGGATCTCAACAACGAGAATCTGGCTTTACTTTATTTTCGTAGTGGTAGTTTTTCTTTATATGGAGACTAGCATTATGTATACAAAATGCATACCAAATAGTTATTTACCTGCATTACCAATAATACACTGGCAGCGACCGATGTAGATATATATACCAACCTTCCATTGTCTTAATATGCTTCTACATGTGACAAATATTCATAACAGAATATATTAAGCATTAGGATATCCTAGGAGTGTATAGTGGTGTAAAGTGTTGATATATCAGGTCATGAAATATCGCATTTACTATGGTGGTTTGGGGTGTACGGCTCGCTTGTGTGTACGGCTCGCTTGTGGAATACGTTAGTTGAATCTACAACGGAGGTATAGGTGCCCTCTTAAGTAATAATATTAATAATAATAATATGAATATGGTAATTAATCCAACATTTAAATATAAAAAGTATATTGCACACCAGATGATCCAATCAATGAATGCATGTAATGATAAAGATATTCCAAAATACAAGAAATTAGCTAAGTTATGGCATGCAACGTAGATGTTTCAACATCTACTTCATATGTCGTGATCATTTACATGTCCTCCTCACAGACCAAACGCCTAGACCCCGACGCCCAATAACTCTTTTCAGAGTATCGAGAACCCCATCTTCGCCGAAGTCAAGGTCATCTAGATTGAGATGCTTACGGTAAGACCATAAGCGGTAGAGTTGGAGGTTAGGATCATGGGGTTCGGAAAGGGACGTATAGGTATCGAGGAATGTAGCTGAGGTAGGAGCGACAATGTAAACAGGTGATGAGGAAGGGCATGAGGGAACAGTGGAGTCTAGTTGATGAATCATATCTAGACCTGGAATTCCCATAAGATCGACAGTCTCGATTTGGCCGGTGTGGTTTCCTTGTTCAGGACCCAGAAGCCAGTGTGGAGGGGAATAGGTTTTCCACCAGAAGACAGTTGCGTCTGGATGAGAATTTATGCCTTGGGCGACGGTGTTGGATTCAACGATGGAGCGCATGGCGAGTTGGGCGGGAACAACACCTCCTTGGTGGTAGACACCCATTAAGAAACCCATTGCGGCATTGAAGATTACCCATGTGGCAAGGAAGATGCGCGATCGGTGCATGCGGACGCAGCTGAGGAGGAGGGGGACGCAAGGGATTAAGAAGCGTGGTTCCTGGTGGGGGAAGATGGAGAGTAGGACTGTGGCTGAGACTGCAGACAAGGCACGGGTATTACGCATCCAGGATGGCACAATCGGCCAGCTGAATAGTGAGAGAATCATTGCGATGTATGCAGGGCCCAGTAACTGGAAGAGGTTTGCGACGAAGTGCTGGTGGTGTGGGTGAAGACCATGGATTGCCAGATTCGTCGAGTCGGAGTTGTAGAGGATATTATTAAGAGGGGTGATGATTGGGTTGCGCACAATATCCAAGAATGATGCAGAGGGTCGGTAGAAAGAGGTATCGATAAAGATTGCGATCGAGGTAAAGAGAAGCCCAAAGCCGACGAAAACCGCCAGGGAGGATGGTCTAAACACTGAATTAGCCCACTATAGTACAATCAGACGGTATGATCTACTCACTTGCGCTGAAAGTACGGGAGCAATTGTAGACCCGGGAACAACAGAAACGCAGGGAAGGTGATTCGATTAAAAACACCGGCCACTGCGATGAAGGAGAGGACCGCATAGGAGAAGAAGGATGAGTGCTTTTGCTATTATTTAGTTTCCACACCATATTTGCTAGTACGCTGGGGTATTCGGCACGAACCTTGTTCTCAACAATGCGACGAATCAGAACCAGAGCCCAGGCTACCAAAATGGTCTCTAGGGAGTTGGAGAAGGTGTGCGTCTGATATGTCCAGGTGACATACGACGAGGCCACCAGGACAACCGTTGCGCGCCGGTGCCGCGGGGAGGGTACCAACTCATAGATGGCCCAGTCCTCAAGCACAAAGCTCAGCAGAAACATTCCAGCGCGCAGTGCATAATACACCAGTTGTGGTGGTGGATTTCCTTGTCCAACCTCCGTGTAAAACCATTTCAGTAAGCTCATGGGGACCTCGTAGGTTGGCCATAATGGGAAGACGCTGCGGATCGGAAGGTCGGCAGTAAATTCCCAGGGGAGATGCGAGGGATATCCGAAGATTTTACCTGTATTTGTCAAATTGAATATCAGTACTGATTTTATTGATCAAGGTGGCTTGCGCTCTCCAAAAGGAGCCCGGAGACTATCGCACAGAACTTTTGCGAATTGGGCTCTTGATCACCACCAGCCCTGTGGCTGTGCGATCGGCAGAGATGAAGATCGTGAACCATATAAGGAGATGAACAACATACCCGCGAAGACCTCGGGGCCTTGAAAATTCTCATCGGGATGCAGATAGCTGGGTGACCACGCGAAGTAAACACGGATCAACAACAAGAGTAGATAGGTACGTCTCCACATGATGAGGGCGCCAGGAACATGCTGGTAGCAAAGATGAAACTAGATATAGAAGAAAATTATAAAGAAAATTATAAAAGTTAAAAGAGATGAAAAGAAATCAAAGGACTGATGACACTGATGAGTGAAGTGTGAGAGGGATAAAGATAGACGCGTTAAGTTAGTGTCGATGATATCACTTCTCTGATAACACGCGGCAGAATCAATCCAGTTGACAGTATAAAGGTTTTACTACCTATTCAGGTTAAAGAGAAAAAAGGGGGATATTTAGATTTTATTTAGTTAATTTAATATTATAAGAGTTCTTTTTGATCTAAGAAAAATCCAAAGCATTGGCTGCTGCCCAGGTGTTTGAGCCCTGGTGAGTTTCTTTGTGTTATTCACTATTGAAACTACGGAGTAGTGAATGAGCCCTTCACTGCTGAATTAACTATAGGAAAAACATACCTAGTAATAAAATCAGAAACAAAAAGAATTCACATAAAAAACCATGGGCTTCAGTGAATGATCAATAGATTTCCTAAAATAGTCATACTAGTCCCTTCTTGAATATAAATGCTAGGCATCAGTCCCCTTGTGGGGGCGGAGAGCCATATAGAGCCCTGGAGCCTCGACGAAAGACTGACTAACCGCCGAACTGGAACTGGAACACAAACGCAACCGTCACTTTCCTTCACTTTACCCCTCCCACTGCCAACCAACCACTTTTTAAAAAGTCAGACTTGTCTACTGTTTCTTCTTCCTACATCCACCTTGGGTTCATTTTCGATTCCAAACTGTTCACTCCGCTGCCAAACCTTTCCTCGACAACCTTCTTCGCTACCCCAAACTGACATCTTCAATCATAGACGTCACTTTCGCCATCTTTCGTAACAATGTCCTCAGTCACCCTTACTAGCTCCGATGGAGTTGATCTTCCTGTTGGTGAGATATCCAATACCTAGCGCGTGGAATGACCACGCGGATTCAGTTTCGTTTCGTCTTGTCCAACAAGCTAATCCAACGGTTTAGAGCGCGCTGTTGCTGAGCGTTCCGTCTTAATCAAGAACATGCTGGAAGATCTTGGCGACTCTGGTGAAGCCATTCCAATTCCTAATGTTTGTATTCCCCAGCCTTAGTCTTTAAAATACACTTCCGCTAACTACCCCGCTAGGTCAACGAAGCCGTCTTGAAGAAGGTCATCGAGTGGTGTGACCACCACAAGAACGACCCTCCCTCCGCAAATGAAGACGATGATAACCGCCGCAAGACCACTGATATTGATGAGTGGGACCAGAAGTTCATGCAGGTCGACCAGGAGATGCTGTTCGAGGTTATTCTGGTAAGTTGTCACATAAACTGGGCTTGTGCGGCGCGCGGCGTGCGGCGGGTACTGATTAACCTATTACAGGCTGCCAACTACCTCGATATCAAGGCTCTGCTTGATGTCGGTTGCAAGACCGTTGCCAACATGATCAAGGGCAAGTCTCCGGAGGAGATCCGCAAGACTTTCAACATCCAGAATGACTTTACTCCCGAGGAGGAGGATCAGATCCGCCGTGAAAACGAGTGGGCTGAGGAGTAAGTCTATTCTCTTTCAAAGGTCCATTATCAACAGCCACTAATCATCTCTTCTACAGCCGCTAAGTCAAATCCCACAATTTCGGAAGGGTCTCGCTTTTCTTTTCTTTTCTTTTCTTCGCACTTCTTTGGAGCTAGCCAGCTTGGAATGGAAATGAAAAGCTCTTATGATGTGGTCAGATAAAAAGGACCCTTTTTGCTCGTGCTGATATGGATCTTGGAAGGCATGGACTGGCTTTCTTTTCGAGACGGCGTTTTGGTTTCATACATTTTCATTCACCCGCTCACCTAACCTCTCAAGTTGTACCTTGCTTCTATTTCTTTAACCCTTTCCATATATATTTTTATGAGCTTTAGCCAAGACTGGCTTGATGAACCAAACTTTCTACAAATTCAATGTTTTGTTTCGCCAAGCTGTTACTTGGAGAAGTAGATACCTTTCATCTCAAGTGCTGTAGCTGTAGGTATTTTGGGACCTGAGCCTCAACTTGAAGTGCTACCTAGTAACCGCCAACTTGAAACTTGGGTTTTAACATATTGCAAAATATGCCACCAATCAAAATGTCTGAACTTCCAGTGCTTCTAAGGGGTTCGTTTTTCAAATTGAATCATGAAGTCGGCACTGTCAGTGGCAGTCCTGGAGGTGATCAAATATAGAACCGGGAAGTTGAACTTGAAACTATGTAACACAAGGTTACTTCAAGTCTTCCACTTGATGGAGGAGTTCTTACAAAACTTGAAACATATTGATATTGAAGGGCCTGTTCAAGCACTTGAGTCCAAGAGCTACCCAGGTGAGAATCACTGGCAGTCCCCAGCCCTGGAGATAACATTAATTGGATGTTTTGTAGGGATCTCGGTTGTGGGGTTGACTTGTGCACCCACAGCCCTGGAAAACATGCTAGCAGACCGACTTCAAGTTTACATTTACCTCAGAACATTTGAAGCACCTCTACGCAATTGACCAATACATTTTCATATTAAGGTCGCAAGTATACCCGGACGAATCCTGAAGCAATGCATATCCACTTGAAAGTGTCTGCACTCCATTCCAATTCCGTACTGCACAGGTACTCAGGACACCCAAGACTGAAATTGCAAGCCAAACCGGCACTCCTCCAGTGCCCCAATGAGAACCAACGCCCTACAATGCTACAAAGTGGCGAAGCGAAACAGATGCAAGACAAAAGGGACGTCAATTCGATTCCATCAAAATTTTTGTTAAGGAAAACCGCCCCGCCTTCGAGTCCATCCTCCAAGACGAGCCCCTTCTCAATTCCATTCTCATCAAATCGTAAAAGACGAACCGCGTAGGTACAGGCCGGGCTCGATATTCGTAAATCGGAAACATCAGAATATCGCACGATGGTCGAGATTTCCATTAGAAGTCATCGGCATCATATTGCACCCGCACCAAATCGAAAATTTCGTATCGGACTTGAGTAGTTCCCCATCAAACTAGCGCGACCAAGTCGAAAAAAATGGAATTTTCATATCGAGGTAGGGAACTCGTCGGGATATCGACACACATCGCACAACATATTGAAGGTATTGGAAAAATATTTCTCGAGGCGTGGGTCGGAGGGAATTGTCTGGGTGAGCTTAGATACCCAGACGGGTCTTGCGCCAGTGTCGTCGCTTGGCGTTGTAGCTGTAGAGAAGTCCTGTTAGTCTTTATTGCTCTCTCTTTTGTGCGCCTTCGGTTCTGATTGTGTGTGGGTCGCATCGAAATCGATTCATCAAATTCTTTGATTCTCATTTCTCGAATCGAGTCGGGCGTGTGTATTCTTTGGGATATTCAAGGGCGGATTTACCGGATGGTGTTGCCAGTGCGCAGGCGAATCCACTGGGGGATAGGACGGTTCTGGCGCTGAGCCTTAGCAAGCTTTTGCTTGGTGCGGAAGGTCTTGTGGCTCTGTAGGGACAAGGATATTAGCGTTGTTGATGGCGAAAAAGGGATCTTGCATATTGTACAAGTCCCGTAACAGGGCGTAGCACATACCGGCATCTTGATGGCTTGGTCGCGACGGCGAGCTGATTTGGATGGGAGAAAGTTGACGTCCTTCGGGAGGGTGATTTGTGTGCGGGCAGGGCTTGGCTTTTCGCTTGAATGGTCAGGTGACTGCGTCAGGTAGTGGATACCTGAGGCAGATAGAAAAGCGGGGACTAAATATATTCCGAGATCCGGGCTGCCCTAGTCAGGTGATTTTCTATGATCCACAGTCCAGCCCTGGAGGTGGATTCTGTCCCCAATTAGGTACATCATCGCTTCGAAGTACAATGATGTGTATAGATAAGTTTGTACGAATACATCGTATTGTTATGTCGTGTGATTTCAATAGGTCATATTTGACTTTATTATTTGCTTATCCTCAATTAATTCAATATGATATCATTTCATAAGGGAGCCATATTGTCTCAATTTAGTATCCCTACGATTTCACGCAGCCATTGGATATAACATAACAGGGGCCCCAAGGGGCACAACGAAGAAGCACCTCTGGGAGAAGATCTATGGTCCGTCAAGTCTTACGTGTCTCTCTGACTTTGAACAGTCCTATCAAGGGGTTGTCTAGTCATGGACCGGAACGTTATTGGTGCCCCTGCATGCCCTTGCGGGAGGAATGCACCACCACCTCAGATCGTGAGACTCACAGTGCACCACAGCCATCCATAAACAATGGTGGAATATTCCAAGCCCAATCCCCACTTCTACGGCGTGGTGGCTTTTGAGTCTGTTGAACCTCGTGATTTGCTTGGCCACTGCGAAATCTCGTTTCATCTGGCATCGAGCCAATATCAAGACAAATTATTCCTTTCGTTATTTCAGTCTCTCATTGTGCTCGAGTGGATCGCCATAGATTCCACGCTGTCCATCCCTAGACCCTCTCGTTTCTTTCCTCTGCGCTCGAGCTTTTTCTCAATGCCGCCAGTCGCTTGGTCGCCTGGCTTCAAGTCGCTCATTCTACAAGACCATTCATTCAAAAATCTACTATAGGGTCCTAATTCTGCGCCAAGGCGTGGCAGCTTATAGGCTGGTCTCAATCGCTGAAGCAGTCCGAGAATACTTCATCACGACACGAGGACGTGGACGTCCTTCCATTCAGCATGCACCGTTCCAGCCAAGCAAGCCACAAAAATGACATCTCGACGCAGGCCGTTGAGATGGTTGAACACCCCACTCGAACAAGCTCCATGCAGCCTATAGAGAAACATAAACCTCCAAAGCCGGTCCTCGATCTCCCGAATGACGCCTACCACCTCCTCGACGATGCCAGCAGTGATCTTGGAAAAAGCCCTCTTTCCGAAGAAGATGCGCCCTATGCCCATTTACCGCATGACGAGAAGCAAATCCTCAAAAGCCAGCTGGACCAGCCAAGTCCCAGTATTTCACTCTTTGGGCTTTACAGATTCGCGTCTCGTCGAGATTTGATTATAGTGTTTATCAGCGCCATTTGCGCAATCGCCGCCGGGGTCTCTCAGCCCTTATTTATGGTCATATTCGGTTCAATGACATCCAGCTTTTCCAAAGTCTCAGTCGATCTCATGAGTAAAGATGCCTTCATGACCGAGCTCAACCGAAATGTCGTGTATTATATCTGTCTGGGAATCGGGGAATTCATCGTGGTGTATATCTGTATGGTCGGCTTCATGCATACAGGAGAACGCATTACGCAGAACATTCGTGAAAAGTATCTCGAAGCTATTCTACGCCAGAACATCGGCTATTTCGATAAGCAGGGCACGGGAGAAATCACTACCCGCATCACGGCTGATACCAACCTGATCCAGGAGGGTCTATCTGAGAAGGTCGGCTTGACCCTAACCGCCATTTCTACATTCACCACTGCTTTCATTGTCGCCTACTCCAAATATGCTAAGCTAGCCGGTGTCTGTACTTCAACTGTGATTGCAATTCTGTTGATCATGGGTACCGGATCTCACTTTATCGTCAAATATAGCAAACTTTCCTTAGATTGCTACAGCGTAGGTGGAACAATTGCCGAAGAGGTGATTAGCTCAATCCGCAATGCCACTGCATTTGGCACGCAGGATAAACTCGCCAGGCAATATGAAACTCATTTGGAGATGGCTGAACGATGGGGAATGCGCCTTCAGATGGCGGTGGGTGTCTTGATAGCAGCATTATTCTCTATGATGTTCATGAACTATGGTCTAGGATTCTGGATGGGCTCTCGATTTTTGGTCAAGGGTGAAGTCGAAGTCGGACAGGTTATCACGATTCTCATGTGCATCCTCATGGGGTCCCTTAGTTTGAGCAACATTGGACCTAATGCCCAAGCCTTCACGAACGCTGTGGCTGCTGCAACCAAGATATTCGGCACCATTGAGAGGACCTCTCCTATTAACCCTACTTCCGATGAAGGAATTATTCTTCCAGTTGTCAAGGGAGACATCCGATTCGATAACGTCAAGCATGTTTACCCCTCTCGTCCCGATGTCACAGTCATGCAGGGAATGACTCTTGAGTGCCGCTCTGGTACGGTTACAGCTCTTGTTGGACCTTCTGGTTCTGGTAAGTCTACAGCCGTGGGCTTGGTTGAGCGATTCTACCTGCCTGTCAGTGGTACGGTGACTCTTGATGGACATGATCTTCAAGGTCTCAATCTGAGATGGCTTCGCCAGCAGATCTCCCTCGTCAGCCAAGAGCCGGTTCTCTTTGGAGCTAGCATTGGTGAGAATATTCGGCACGGATTAGTCGGCACTGACTATGAGTTTGAGCCTGAATGGAAGATTCAAGATCGGATCGAAGATGCGGCCCGAATGGCCAATGCGCACGACTTCATTGTTAATCTCCCAGAGGGATATGACACCAACGTTGGACAGAGCGGGTTTCTACTCTCTGGTGGACAGAAGCAGCGTATTGCAATTGCTCGTGCTGTCGTTTCAGACCCTAAGATCCTACTGCTTGACGAGGCTACTTCTGCTCTCGACACCAAGTCTGAAGGTGTGGTGCAAGCCGCTCTTGACAAGGTCGCTGAAGGACGGACCACTATTGTCATTGCCCACAGGCTGTCAACAATTAAAAACGCGGACAACATCGTGGTCTTTGCCAAGGGTGCAATTCAAGAACAAGGCACTCACTCCGAGTTGCTTATCAAGAAGGGCCACTATCACCGCTTAGTTGAGGCACAGTACATTGTTGAAACCAAGAAAGATAGCGAAGACAGCTGTCCCGATGTGCCAGTACGCCAGTCTACCACCTCCAAGCGTATCAAATCCATGTGGCGTGGGTCTATGGCGAGGCCGGAATCTCTCTTCCGACGTGGCTCTGTCGCTCATTCGATGTTCCGCCGCACGTCTATGGCCCAGCATCATGGGGGATCTTCGATGCGTCCCCATTCGATGTTCAACCCTGCAATGCGTGGCTCATGGAACCGTGGAGCGATGATGCATCCGTCCGTATTTACCCCAACCAACAACTCGCGAGCTACCATGCTGCTCCGTCCTGAAGATCACGCAGCCCTTGGCATGTTCTCACAGGATATTTCAAACACCATGGATGCCATCCAACAAGTCAACCCTACCGAGTATTTGCGTCGTAGTTTCTTCGGAATCGAACCTGTGGACGAGGACCGCGGATCCATATCGAGCTTTATTCTTGCAGAAGAAGAGCCGGAGAAGCCCGAACACTACTCAATCTTTTCACTCATCAAATTCATTCTCGGATTCAACAGCAAACAAAAGAACATCCTAGCTGTTGGCTTCATCTTCTCAATACTCGCTGGCTGTGGTCAGCCCACCCAGGCTTACCTATACTCCCAAGCAATTGCTGCCATGTCTCTTCCCGTCAGTCAATACACGAAGCTTCGCTCCGAAGTTGACTACTGGTCAGCAATCTTTCTTGTCACTGGTATTTTGCAATTCTTCACCTCTGCAACCATGGGAATTGCATTTGCATACTGCTCCGAGCGACTTATTCGTAACGCTCGGAGTCGGGCTTTCCGCGCCATCCTCCGACAAGATATCAATTTCTTCGATCGTGAAGAGAATAGCGTCGGTGCCTTGACTTCCTTTCTATCAACTCAAACCAAGGCACTGGCTGGTATCAGTGGACAAACATTAGGAACTATCATGTCGTGCACTACTACGCTCGTCACATCCCTCACAATTGCCTTGGCCTTTGGGTGGAAGTTGGCTCTCGTTGTAATGTGTGGCGTTCCCATCCTTCTAGGATGCGGCTTTTACCGTTACGAAATGCTCGCTAAATTCCAGAGCCGCTCAAAAGAAGCATACGCTCGGTCTGCTGCTTATGCTTGTGAAGCTGCATCCGCTATTCGAACGGTAGCGGCTCTTACCCGTGAGGCTGATGTGGCCGAGACATTTCATCAACAGCTAGAGGCGCAGACTCGTAAGAGTCTGATTGCGGTTGCTAAGTCCTCGACTATGTATGCCGCCTCCATGGCTATGGTGTTTTTCTGCGTTGCGCTTGGGTTCTGGTGGGGTGGTACACTTGTTGCGAGAGGCGAGCTCAACACACTTCGGTTTTTTATCTGTTTTACCGAAGTCCTCTTTGGTGCCCAGTCTGCTGGCACTATGTTCTCATTCTCAGGCGATATGGGCAAGGCTAAGAACGCTGCTATACAGACCCGTACCCTGCTGGAGCGTGAACCCCCTATTGACACCTGGTCTGAGAGAGGTGAGCGTGTTTGGAAGATGGAAGGCGAGGTCGAGTTCCGTGATGTTCACTTCCGCTACCCTACTCGCCCTCAACAGCCTGTCCTACGTGGTCTGGATCTGACTGTCAAGCCTGGTCAGTATGTTGCTCTCGTGGGACCCAGTGGATGTGGGAAAAGTACAACGATTTCCCTCCTGGAACGCTTTTACGATTGCTTAGATGGTGGAGTGTACGTCGATGGCCGGAACATCGTCGACTTGAATGTTAACTCCTATCGTGAGCATATCGCGTTGGTCAGCCAGGAGCCCACTCTATACCAGGGTAGCATCATGGACAATCTTTTACTTGGGGTTGAAGGGCGTCAAATCACGGAGGAGGATGTTGACAAGGCTTGTCGGGATGCGAACATTTACGATTTCATTGTTTCTCTACCGTATGTTTACCTTGAAACTTTCCCTCTGCCGAAAGCACTAACTCATATCCTATAGTGACGGGTTCAACACACTTGTCGGCAACAAAGGTAGCATGTTATCTGGTGGTCAGAAACAGCGTATAGCTATCGCGCGTGCTCTACTTCGGCAACCCAAGATTCTGCTTCTGGATGAGGCTACCTCAGCCCTTGACTCTGAATCTGAGAAGGTTGTACAGACAGCTCTGGACTCAGCCGCGAAGGGTCGCACAACCATTGCGGTGGCTCACCGACTAAGCACTATCCAAAATGCGGATCTCATTTATGTCTTCGAAGCAGGAAAGATTGTGGAAGCTGGTAACCACACAGAGTTGATGAGGAGGCGAGGCCGCTACTTTGAGCTTGTTAGTCTTCAGAGCTTGGAAGCGACATCTTGATTCTTGCTCTTTGTGATGTGTTTTATCCAGGGTCAATGCGTTGATCGCATTGATGCTGTACTCACGACTGGATCTCTGAAGATTTCATATGTATCTACTTGTTATACCTGCTATAGACCTGATTTCTGCGATGGAATTGGTTGAATGACCCATTTCTGTATGAATTGTAAACGTCGAGTCTATTCCAGTAAACCCGAGTATTCGAAGAAGAGATAAGTTTAACAATAGTCCAAGGTAGAGAGAGTAGGACTGAGTCTAGTCCTTCTCGTTCACTCCATACTCTTTATGAATCTCCATCACACGGACTCCCTTGGCCTCAGCAATCAAGCCCATCAATCCCTGTGCTACATCTTTGATCTCATTGTACTCATGTAAAAGCCGAATATGGCGCTGGACAGTCTCATCCGGGTCATTGCTATGCGACAAACCAAGTTAGTAACAGTAGAATTGAAGTTTCTTGTTATTTCGAGGTGAATACCGCAACTTGGACTTGATCTCGGCAATTTCCTTCTCCAGCTCCGCTTGTTGAGCTTGTAACTCGGATATTGAAGCTTGGACAATCTCCTGTCTCCATCCACTCCATCAGTACTCCTCATAGCCCCATTCTAACCGGGTCTAGTTAGTTACTAACGCGTTGTCCCCGTTCCGCCATGTGGATATCACTTTCTCTGCCAATCACCGATGTCGCTGAATAATCTGTGGATGAGTACGGAGGGGAGAAGTGGGATTCAGGGACAAAGAGGGTTCGATACAATTGCAAGAAGAGATTGATGAAACGTTTCGGCTAAAATTGACCAAATTTCCGGCTTTTTTTCGTGGTCTTTTTGGGGCTGAATTTGAAGATGTTAATATGGTGTTGATGATGGTTGATGTTCATGTAATCGGATGAACCGGATTGGCGTTAAGATCGACATTGTCTGATCTGGCCGCATTTCCCTTCTCTCTTTTTTCCCTCAACTTCTTTTCCATCCTCAAAACATCACCATGGATATTATTAAAACAAGGTCCTTATGCGCCCTGTTTATTATTATTGGTCTAGTTATTGCTCATGGTGATCATGGAAATGTTCCAGAGGGTGAAGCCATCTCTGAGGATCCTATTGTTTGTTCCCCTCGCCTTATCTGTTTCCGGAAATGTATCTCCTACTAATTAGTGGTTGTAGGATTCTATTCTATGGATTCATATGATTTTAATGGGTTTCGCATTTGGTATCATCTTTCCTCTGGGAATGGTCCTTGGTGTATGTATATCTTTATTATACCTTTGCAGGCTACCATCGCGTCTCGAATTCAATCTAACTTGGCTCTAGATCGTACGCTCAAGATGGCACGTCCCCGTTCAAACAGTCGGAACTATCATCGCTGTCCTCGCCTACTTCCTCGGCCACGCGCACAAAGGTCGCCAATTCTCTGCGAACGTACACCACTCCTTCGCAAACTGGTTAATGCTCATGCTTGTTGTGCAAGTCGGACTGGGATTCTACTTGAAGCTACACCTGGAGAAAGGCATGCAGGGCCGAATCCGCTGGATGTTCGTTCTTGCGCATGGAATAATTGGCAAGATCATGCCCGTTGTGAGCTGGACGCAGATGGTTTTCGGTGGTATTGCGGCAATGGGCTTCTGTCACGATGATCATCTCGGACAGTGTCTTGCGCACTTCATCATGGGTTCTGCATTCATCGGATACGGTATCGCTTTGACTATTCTCCTTCTGGTGGGTCAGTTCTGGTTACGTCGCACCGGCCGCAGTCAGGAATTCTTCGATAGCTTGATTATTGCGGCTTGGGGATGTGTTAACACCTTTACTGAGCACCGTTGGGGTCAGCCTTGGGCTCACAACGACTTGCAGCATACGAGTATGGGTATTGTCTGGTGGTGTGCTGGTCTGTTGGGTATGTGGCTGAGTCGCAGTCGTAATGGTCGGCCTAAGCGGAATATTGTTCCCGCTATTGTCATTCTCATGACTGGGTACGCTATGTCTGCTCACGCTCAGAGCCTTATGATCAGTACTATGATCCACACTGTTTTCGGTTATACCTTGATGGCTGCGGGAGCTACTCGCATTATTGAGATCTCGTTCGTGCTGCGCGATAAGAGCACGATTAGCATGAGCGGAACTGACCCAAACAGCTTCCAATATCTTCCTCCATTTGTACGTTTACCTTACTTCTCATGGTACATGTAACTTTGCTAATTGTCACAGTTACTATACGCCTCTGGATTCCTGTTCATGGGTGCCACCGAGGAGCAGATGCAGATTCTCAACGACGCCGGTATTACCCACGTCTCATACGTACTTATCCTATACAGCATTGCCTTTATCTTGTTTCTCTGTAAGTTTGATCTACATTGATTCTCGACGACTCTCACTAACTGCTTCTAGTTGTCAATGTTCTTCTCCATATCTATGCTGTCCACGCTTGGCCAGAGGGCGCCGAGGAAGAGCAAGAAGTCCCCAAGTCCAACACAAATGGCGTGTACTTGAACGGCAACGGTAACGTTAACACTCGTGCCCGATCGCGCTCAGAAGAACAGCGCATCCACGACGCTGAGGCCTTTGAGCTACAGGGTCTGATCAGTGAAGACGAGGAGGAAGCGGGCAACGCAATGGGACCCAAAAAGTCACTTGATGAAGAGACTGGCGCGAAAGCCGCTCAGGCTTGAATTTGATGTTGGTTCAAATTGATTCTACATTTTTCTGATCTAGTTCATTTTCTTTTGGCTGCTTAACTTGCACTTGGGGGCGTCTGGGAATCTACCATATCAGACCTAATTTTGAACATATGAACTCCCATGGTTTGCTACACATTTATAGAATGAGTTTTGATATTGTATGATTAGTGAGATACTTGAAAGCAGGAACTTCATGATGCATTCTAGTGCGCTATCGTACAAACACATGATTCGTAAATAGTGAAAATCCAATCTCACTGTGACCTGATTAGAAATTCAACTCCAAGACCCAAACGCCAGCTTCCATAAGTCTTCACGCCCAGCTACACAATCGTAGTGGTTGGATCTTCCACTCGGAATGGAATAATATTCGGGTTCGCGTTCAACGGAATCGGATTGGAGACCGGCGGCACAGCAGCCAACCCATCTAGACTCGTATCGTCTGGGAAGAAAGGATGAAGGGAGTAAATCGGACCAACGCTCTTCTCCGCATCGAAAAGGAGTAAGTTCTGCAATGGCTGTTCCCGCGCCGAGAGCACATTGATCACATCCTGCGCCAATGCACCACCCAGGAACGCCGATACAGGAGCTAGCTCGCTACCCAGGTTCTGGAGGAACGTGCGTAGGACAGAAGAATCCAACATTGACAGATCTAGTCGGAGCTCTTTGTGGCTATCACGCGCAAGCTTGGTAAATAATTGCAGATCCACGTTACTGAATGTAGGTCGACGACCATCTGACGCCTTTTCAAATTCCCAGAGCGCACGCAGACAGCTTAGCAGCGGAGTGACTTGTTTGCGACGGCGAAGAAGACGGGTGTTTTCTTCCGGAAGGGGGAGGCATTGGCGAGGATAAGCGGAGAATAGGTTTCGCGCTTCGTGACCAGCTCGACTGTCTTATCACCTTTCTTGGCCTTTTCCTTGGTGGTAATGTTTATGATGCTGCGGGTAGGCGTTTCTTGGGTCTTTGGTGGGACATTGGACTTCTCGCGCTCGATGACAAAGTCGTGGGAGATTAGATCCGCGAAGATATAACCGTAGAAACCGTGTAGGCCGGCTGCGTAGAAGGGACGATTCGCGAGACGGCAGGCTGCGTTTATGGTGGTGTTGGTCATGAAGTCTAGCTCTGTTGCGATGGTGATATCGAATTGGGCGAAGAATTCGGGTTGCTTGGTTCGGACATCATCCGTATCAACGGTGAGCTTCACTCGGGGGTTCATCTGCTTGATCTGGGGACCGGCGACTTCGGCGCGCTGACGAACGTTAATACATTTTTCAATCTATGACAGAGACATAACGACTCACGTTCTTCCCTTGCTTGATAATCTCCTCGTCTCGGTGTGCCTCTTCCAGGAAAAACGAAGCATCCAAGTCGCTCTCTGTCACCGGTTCATGGTCAATGATGGTCAAGGAGCCAATACCCGCAAGAACCAGGTTCTTTGCTACCTCATTCGCAAGAGCCTTGACAGTGATTAGAAGAATATTAGCCGATCGGATCCTGTACACAGTAACGATGAGTATATATTTTCCTGAGGCCAATTGAGGATTGCGACCACTCACTTTTCTTGCGCTTGCATGCCCCATAGTCGGATTTGGCGGTCATACAAGGCTATCTCATCTAAATCAATGATTAGCTGCTATCAGCTTGTTGATAGCTCTGTATATAGTAACTGTTACTTACCAGCGCTGATCTGACCATTCTGGTTAGTCTCTGGATCTGCCATTGTGTAAGATAACAGATTGTTGAAGGTGGAAAAGAGAGAAAGGAATGAAAGAAGGTGAAGGTGAAGGATCTCCATACACTTAAGCTCCCCCCCACCGATGATCTAATCCCCCCCATCACGTGCAAAGCTACAAACACCTGAACTTGTATCATAAGTAACTCCCCTGTTCTTCCCTCTGGCTCTTTGATTGAGTCCATGCACTTGGAATTCTAAGGATTGTCGAGAAGTCTGCTGGACAGTATTCTTGTTTCAGGTAATCTATCTATCTGTGCCGGCATATTCTATCCCTCCCTCTCCGGGATCTAAACTGATCAAACATTATGGTATGTTTCATGACACTGGGCTCTCACTTTCCCCTCCCCCTTCCATCTACTTATCGGTCTTCCTTCCTTTACAACAGCCAGAGAACTACGATCACCCACCAGCTTCTAATCGTCGTCCCTCTCGTGCAAGGGATCCTTCTTTTGTTCCCCCACCGGGGAGATTGGAACAGTCACTCTACGAATACCTAAGCGCCCGACACCCTCAAGTTCAACTACAAACCGCTGCCACCACTGCCGACCGTGGAGCTGAAACTGAAGACGAGGATTCGGAACTAGATTCGATACTATCTGAGATTCGATTTGGAAACCACACTTCTCAACTGTTGAACAGATTGATTGAACAAGAATCAGGCGGCTCCCCGCGTGATAATCATCCTCCTCGGTCAAGAGACCAGCTACTCTATCTCCGCAACTTGATCAACTCGGGAGCAAATCGGACCGGCTCAGAGGCTAGTACTCGGGCCTTGGAGACTCTGAACCAAGAGGTCGAAGATCACTACATAGACGAAACTCGCAATGGGAATATGACATACATGCAAGCTCAAGCTGCATTGGATAACCATCGCCTTGTATTCGGTGTCGACGACCCACGAAGCTCAGTGCCTACTTTTCAAGATTTCTTCCAACAATTCCCATCCACTGCCAATCCCGCTACTCTAGAACCCCGCCCGCCGACTAATAGAACTCTCCGACGACGTGCATTCCGACCTGATCTAAGAGATTCACTTCCTACACCATCCCTAATGCCTCAACAACCTCCTCAACAACCTCAAACCGGTCGCGACCGGGATCGCCGGCTTAAGCGGCGCAAGCTTGACGCAGATGATCATCGAGAGGGCAGCCGTGGGTTCAACTATGGCCACCAGGGCCAGGTGGTCCCCGGACCTTTGAAAATGGAGATCGCAAGCTGCGATGGAGGCAACTACGATCCAGATGGAGAATGTTTACTGCCTGATAGTATTCTGCGCAATGACAACAATGTTTACAGCACCAAGTCCGATCGGTGTAATATTGTTCTTCGTCACAAGAACGAGGCACCTTTCTGTTTGAAGAAGCTCATCATTATGGCTCCAAGATCTGGTTTTGACGCACCGTATGTTCTATCCTCTGCACCCCTTCAAAGAAGGAATATTAAACACTGACTCTCTTGGTAGAATTCAGGAAGGAATGGTGTTTGTTACTATGGATTCGGATGAAGCACTTGCCCGCACCGTTCAGTACCAAATTCAATACTCCAGTCGCCGTCGTCGCCGCGAGCGACGACACGCTCTTCAACCATCCCAAGAATATCTCAATGGTTCTTCGCGCCCTCCTCTCCAATCTGTGGAACGTACCGTGCTTGTTGGCCCTGACCCAAATGTGGCTTCGTCAAGTGAAGGTCGAAGTACACGTGGTCCACAAACCGATGGATTCCGCGTCACCACAGAGTACAACTGCACTAGCACTATTGATGGATTTGGGCAGCAAGACGACGACGACATGCTTCCATCGGTGGCTGAACTAGAAACGGTCAACGACGATGATGACTTCATGTCTGATAGCGATGAGGATAGTGCCAGTGATGATGACGAGGAAGAGTCCAATACCATGACTAACTTTTCCAATCGCCGCCGATTAGAGGCCCAGTCGCAACGAAGATTGGCCTCCATGCGCCGTCAGGCATCTGATCCAACACAACGACATCGCCAACCAAGCTTGATTGACCCAAATCCACCTGCATCCCTGTTTGGCGCTGGATCGTCGACCGCAGCATCATCCAGTGCCCCCGACGCTCTCAAGCCGTACGCCCGTTTCTTCATTGAGAGAGAGAAGAGTATGGTCACTATCAAGTTTGATCCGCCTCCGTGAGTTGTTTATTCACAGTACATATGTGTTCATTGCTAATCAGTTTTTCAGTTCCGGTCGTTTCATTCTTATCAAATTGTGGAATCCTCGACCTGATCACAATCTTGACATCCAAACCATCATTGCCCATGGTTATGCAGGACCACGATTTTTCCCCTCCAGTGGTTTCCGATGATTCTTGTTCTTTTTTGAATTTCTTGTGTTCAACATTCCCCCGGTAGTTTGCTCGCTCTCTGGTTTTCTAAATTTTCTCTGGGAGCCTGTTCGCTTTCTCTCTTTCAAAATTCCCCCTGGTACTTTGCTCATTGGATTCCAATTCCCCTCCCATAGCTTTCGGATTTGCACGACGATACGATAACGGAATGATACTATGATTTGGATTTTAGAATTCTCTGTATTGTAGAGAGCAGGCTGTGCCAATCAAGCTAACGTGGATACAAAACTGGGAGGCGGTCCCAAGTAGTTTTCCTTGACACCACCAAGATCCAACACAATTTTCTCAAGTAAGGTATTCGAATGGTTCAACCGTACCCGAATAGTATGAGGACCAGGCTTCAATGCAGCAAGATGATGCGTCTTCTCCCAAACACAATTCATGATAGCATCTCAGCCATCCTTCGGCGGGTAATTTAGCCTTGCCACTTGATTCGCTGACGAGAGTGTGTAGCTCAACAGGCTGATCATCAACACTGAACTCATAAGACATTTTCTGATCTGGATCAATATCCAGAGTCATGTTGAACAATAGTTTCAGTGTGAATGATTCAGCGTGGGAAAATGTGTAAAATGGGTATTCCATAAATGGAACAATAGTCTCACGGCGACAGGTATCATAGTCAATAGTGATTGAGCCTTCACTTCCTCTGCCTAGCTCAGGGTGATGTTTATACGGGGCTTGAACACCGAGGCCGATAGCAGGGATCGAAACGTATCCATCCGCCTCAACGAATCCTTGGAAAGAATCCGGGATTCTATGACCCTGAACAGGGAGATGGACATGTTCGAAATCGCCCTCTGCCGATGAAATGCTGATCAAGACCTCCTGATCGAAACCAGGCTCGACAAGATCCCAGTCAACAGTAATCCAGACACGAGCATCATCTCCATCGGGATGCAAGATCCCTTCAGAGACCGAGACTTCAACCCAGCGAAATAGAACAGAGATACTCCAATGAATGATCTGCGTCCCTCGAGTAAAAATATCAAACCACCTCTTTTTCACACCGTATCTACTCATAGATCCCAAAGTTAGACCGGGAACCAGGTCTCGTCGACTAGGATGAGTCCGTTCACTTTCTTCATTGATTCGCCCAGCGCGAATACCTTCATGTCCTTCAACTGCAACACCCATCTGACCAACAATGATATTGCTATTCTGGTCACGCTGCACATACGCTAATCCGAAGATAGCATCCCGGGATGGTGCGTGCCAGGTATCGCCGTATCCCATATGAGCCTGACACATAATATGATTCCACTTTCCATCTAAAAGGGAGTGGAATTCCTGTGAGAGTTTGAAATCTGCGTCGAAGAGGTCGAGAGTTTCTCGGAGGAGTTTATTGGCTGTGTTGCGTCTTTGGCGTGCGTGCAGTTGGTTTCGTGCTTGTGTTACTCGTAGTTGTGTATAGATTGCGCTGGCCTTGACGGGGTGTACGACTAGTTCCCAGATTGATGCCTTCTGTTCTGGATTCGCACGATCGTGGATCTTCTCTGCAGTAGATACGAGTTTTTGCCATCTTGACGCTATATCATCTGCTTCGTTGTAATGGAGTAAGGAGAAGGATTCGGGTTCGATATGCTCATGTCTGCGAAGACGAACAAGACGGTCATATTCGTGCCAGAGAGAAACGATATCCGGACTCAGCTCGGCGCTGAAGTATTCTGTAGCCATGCTACTCAGGAATTGAGGAATACTGGACTCATGAACGGAGTTGATGTTCCAGGCCATCTCCATTGCAAAGGTCAAGGGGACCTCGATAGGCTTGATGTCACCAACATTGAACACCCATATTTTCCGAGCATTGCGATTATACGCTTCGGAGAGTTGATGATACGTTTTGCCCTATAGATTGGTTAGCTCATATCAGTCAAGTCAGACCATGTTACGAACCAAAGAATTCGAGTTAATCCATTTATAACTTCGAGGAGCCCCGACATATTCAAAGTGGTAGTAAATACCCGCTCCTCCCGGCCTATTCATCTCAGGATTGGATGGTAAACGTCGAAGAGCCCCAAAGTTGTCATCGGCAAATAACAATGTCACATCATCGGGGACAGTGAATTCGCCCGCTTGGTATAGATCCTGAATCTCCTTATAAAGCGCAAGGACCTGTGGAACAGCATCCTCGCGTCCATGAACCTCCTTAAAAAGAGCCCGTTGTTGCAAGAGCACATCTCGTATCACAGCACCAGGATCATTGGTTGCCATACCACGATCATATTCACCCCGAATCCCCATTGTGAAATAAGATTCCAGCCCCTTCGCACGCTGAACACCCTTGCGAAAGAACTCAATGATCTCTTCACGGCTCTTAGTCCAATCCCAAGTTCCATCTGCACGCGGCTCCTCCTCAAACCACTCCGTTGTAGCGCGCTGCATCGGCTCATGGTGGGAGGTTGATATACAGATTCCGTATTCATCGGCAATGCGCTGGTTCTCTGGGTCATCCATGAAGAAGACTGCACCGGGATTAGGGTAGCCTGGCCACATTGCTGGCCACATGAAATTGGCTTTTAGACGGAGGAGCAGTTCATAAACCTTCTTGTAGAACTCGCTGTTGTAGGAACCGAATTTCTCTCGTACCCAACCTGTCAATGCGGGTGCCTCGTCATTGATGAAGATTCCTCGATACTGAATGCTTGGTTCACCGTGCGTCGTCGTAACTGGGAGGGCATAGATATCTGGGTGGAACTTGGGTGCGACATCAGCCCACCAGTACCATCTGAATTAATTAGTTTCACAAAATCAGACAATTGCAACGAGGAACGTACGGAGACACGCCAATCTGGCGAGACAGAGTATATGCACCGAATATGGCAGCTCTTTTATCACTTCCAGCAATAATCAAGCCCTTCGAGCATCCTGGAAATGGATCGTCCACCACGAAGGTCATAAATGACTCCCACTTCCCTCTAATCGCGTCGACATCAATTTTCTTCTCAGCGATAAGCCTGTCAAGCATCCAGCATGACTCAACGCAACCAACAATAACCACCGCACTGAGATTCAACTCTTCCGCCTTCGCTTCATCCACAAAGACAAACGGACTCGCCTTACCCCTCGTTACTCGACCAAAATCCTCAGCCAAATCCCGAGCAGCATGGTGAATACCCGGAAAATCAGACGGATCAACCAAAATAGAAGCCCCAACAAGATTGAGACCAAGATCCTCAGATCCGAAAGAAACAATCTGCTCAGCCATGATTATGGCGTCGAGCGTGATAATGAAGCATTGCTCCATATTCATGTTGGTGACCATCGTCATCGGCAACTGGAGATGCGGAGGAGCTCCACTTCCGCGTTAGCGATCCAGTCCGTATTGATATTCCCCCACGAATCAACTTCGGGTTTTTATCATCCCGAAACATTGTTCAGTGGAGTCTAGTTTGAGCTGATGCGGCGAGTTCCGTTGCCGACGAGATGACTAGTGGATTAGCTCGGTGATTTTGTACCGAGCCCTACTCATTGTCGTGACTCGTGTGATTTCCATACGGAGATACTCCGTCAACCGCTTGGACCCCCTGCCACATTCCTTGTTGTTTTCTGGCGATGGAGTTAAGCTTCGTCATCAAGCCTCTGATCTTGGTATCCGAGTCTTGTGTAGCTTTATTCTATCTACCCGCATAGAGGGAGTAGAATGTGAATAATAATGCCCAAGTGTCCAGGTGATGGGAATTTAGTAAAAGAATATCCCGCGTGGGGGTACATCTCCATACTAATCTCCATACTAGTCTGGCATTTGTCTCCATAAGAGACTGGAGAATGGATTCCCCACGGGGCAAGAACATGCCATTTTGGGTCACCCCCGCATCCCCGGATAATTGGTATTCCTGCTATATTTTCTCTATTCCCATCATCCTAGCGAATTTCACTCAGGTTCAGTTTTACCAGGGATCATCTCGTTGCAACATACTCATTGGACCTCATAATGGCCCAAAAATCAGAAAACCGTGAAATCGAAAATGTAGCCAGACAAGACATCCACGATGCACCACAGAAGAACCAAACAGACTACTCTCGTGTTGATGGCGAGATTGCCAAGTATGCCACAGATGGTGCTATTGAGATCGATGAAGCTACCAATAAGCGGTTGAAACGAATGATCGATAAACGAGTCTTGGTAGTGATGATGTTTACGTATCTGCTTCAAACGCTGGATAAGGGAGCGCTGTCTTTTGCTTCGATTATGGGTATTAAGACTGATGCGGGTCTCGTGGGGAATGAGGTAACTTCAATATTCCAGTATCTATGCCTAGCTCTTACTGACTTTACTAGTATAACTGGTTGACTACTATCGTTTACATCGCTATCCTCACTGTTGAATATCCGGTACGTATATCAACTTGAAATGCATGGAGAGTACATACTGACCCTTTGCAGGAAAATTGGATCATTCAGCGCGTTCCCATCGGAAAATGGCTTTCCATTAATATCCTGCTATGGGGTATCTGTATCTGCTTGATCCCCGCTATGAAAAACTTCTCCGGCTTGATTGCTCTTCGTGCATTCATGGGTGTGTTCGAGGCAGCATGCCAGCCGACCTTCGTTGTACTATCAGCAACATGGTACAAGAGAGAGGAACAAGCTAGCACAATCAATTTCTGGTACTCACAACCCCTTCTATCTTACGAATCACCTTCTTACATTGATTCAGGTACATGATGAACGGTCTGCAAAATATTATCGGTGGTCTTCTAGCCTTCGGGTTTTCCTTCGTCCCCTCCAGCTCTCCTATCAAATCATGGCAAGCACTTTTCATGACATACGGAATCATCACGGTGTTCTGGGCGATATTCGTCTTCTTCTGGCTCCCCGACTCAATCATGCGCGCGAAGTGTTGGAGCGAAGAAAATAAACAGTTGATGGTTGAGCGAGTTCGTCAGAACCAGACTGGTCTGCAAAACAGAATCTTCAGATGGGAACAAGTTAAAGATGCGTTCACCGATCCACAACGTACGTACCATCCTACTAGCACGATTTCAGGTTTCAGCCCACTGACATAAATCAGTCTACGCATTCGTTTTGATCCAACTCTTCACTACAATCCCATCCGGTGGAATCGGTGCTTTCGCTAACATCATCGTCGCCTCCTTCGGATTCAGCACCTGGGCGAGTCAACTACTCCTCATGGTCGTCGGAGCCGTCACAGCTATCACGATGATATCCTCCGCATACCTAGACCGCTACTTCAAGCAAACGATCCTAATCATGATCTCCTCGCTAGTGCCCTGTATCATTGGGACATCGATCCTAGTCGGGATCCCATTTTCCTCGAATAAGCGAATCGGAATGTTAATCGCCTACTTCATCTTCTACTCCTTCTTCGCAGTTTCCGCCCTTTCATTGAGTCTGGTATCGCGGAACGTGGCTGGACAAACTAAGAAATCTATCGTGATTGCATGCAACTTCGTATTTTGGGCTGCTGGAAATGCTATCGGCCCACAGATCTTCCGGTCACAGGATAGTCCACGGTATTATTTGGCCTTTGCTATTATTCTGGGATGTTTTGGACTTTGCATGTTGGTGCTCATTGCTTTGAGGGTTTATTATATGGTTCAGAATCGGAAGCGAGATGCGAGGATCACATCTGGGGAGATTATGCCTGATGTTGATTTTACCCATGCGTTTGAGGATATGACTGATCGGGAGAATCCTCATTTTAGATATAGTTACTAAGAACTCACTGGCATTGGAACATGTGAATAGGATTGGTCCTCGATAAACTCGATACTCAGCTGTGTATATACCCAACTTGAACTACTTGCACTTGAACAAGACTCGCCAGATCTTTGAACTTTTCTAATTTTGTAAATCACGCATTCTATAATTGATCCATTTCTAATGGTAATAAAATAATATTATTCAAGACGCTGCAAATAACCAATCCAACAAAATCACGCTCACATAAAACATCAAAGTGAATGGATCATTCATATGAAACAGTAACATCGTGTTGCACGCGAATATAGTTGGTACCCAAATATTCCTCCAAATTATTCGTAGCCCTGCGCGTACGATCATTTGACGTAGGATCCGCTTCAACATGCGCCGCATGTGTGAATAACCGAATCACATCATCTTCCTTATCCATCGCCTTAATAGGGCTACCACGACCACTTCGCTCCGTGCCGATGCTATCGCCGCTCTTGTGTAGACCCAGGATGGAGGATCGGGTGCGCTTGATGGGCATGTGTTTGCGGAGGTACATGCTGTGTTCGACTTTCAGGGCCCATTGAACGATGGGTTGGATTGTTGGGAGGGAGGCACTGATCACGGATAGACAGGGTTCTAGTGTAGACCACAGACAGACGGGTGCCATAGACCAGGTAACGTCGATAAGGCCTTGGCCTTTAACCTTGGTTAGGTAGTGGATACGGACAATACTAGCCGCGAAGACACTGGGATAATATTAGTATGAGTATAGGTGGAATCGAGGGATGAATTGAACATACAGAGAACCCAGGAACAGAACCATGGAGACCATGACCTTCTGTGCAGTTCGCATCTTCAAGCTCCAAACAATAGGAATAGGGACGATCAAGACCAGGAAGTCGCCAACAACGTTGGTGGCCGCATTGCCGATGTACCAGTTGTAGAAGGTGAATCGGTAGTGACCGGTTGAAACATTGGTGAATTGATCGTTGAACTCAGTCCAGAAGTAGGAGATGGGCGCAGGAGCCAGTAAAAGGGCGATCAAACTTCCGACGAACCATCCTGTCGAAAAGAAAATCGCCAAGTAGTTTAAAAAGTTCATGCCGAAGACGCGACGGTAGAAACTGAGGACGGCCATTTTGATTTCCCAGAGTAGGAAAGTATAGACGATTAATGAGGCGTAAAGTAACTTTTCCATGGTCTCGAGATGACCGACTGTAGTATTCCAAACATGTTTTCCCAGACCCAAGTGAGTGACTATGGTATGTTAGATTGAATAAAATTAAGGATTTTCTTTTTTAGAAAAAAAAGTGCAGATACATACCGACGAAAGTAACAGCAAAGATGACAGTTAATGGGATCTATAATTTTTTTTATTAGTATTTGGAGATCATATCAGATTCCTATTTCAAGTTGAACCCACCATAGCTGCCAACATCAACCAGTCATCGAGTCGCAATCTTGACTTTCCAGAACTTGTGCGTAGTCGAACAGCAAATCGAATGATCATAACAATGACGGCGACCACAAATACAACCACAAGGGCGGCATCATCTCTACCAGAGGCATCATCTTTGAGATTAACACCCGCAGGAACCTCCAAAAGATCGGAGATCTTGGTCGAAGAGTTATAAGTCACCATACCGCCTGCGGAGGGATGCCCTAATACCAAATCGAAGGAGGTAGGAAACCCAGTTGGAAAGGAAGGGGTTTATTCTTAAGAGCGTGGAGAGAGAAGGTGTAGAACCTTGAAACCTCCAGAACCACCTTGCAGCATCAATCCAACGTGGAGAAGTTGACTTGGAATGGGTTCATAGCGTGCCGGGGGGCATTTGTTTAAAGCCAGTTATGCCAGAAATTGCCTAGAAAATGCTACATCACCATGTGGCCACCCCCCACACGCCATGCCAGGATAATAACCAATAAGAGATAAGAAGAAGAAGGAATTAGGAGGGGCCCCTTGCTATTTTGGGGGCTGTCTGATCCTTTCATTGGTTTATTGTTTGGACCCCAAGTGGGAGATGGAATCCTGCAGTTTACGCAGTCCTTTACAGTAGTGGGGGCCGAAGTTTAGATTTACATGGTATGATTGGTGTGAGAAGTTACGCTTGGACCACCCCCTGAAGGATGAAGGATTGTTAAAAAAGTGTAATCTTTGTTAACTGTGTGAACTTGAATTCAAATGTTCATTATTATCATAATGTCATTATACGGATAGTGCTAGGTACGGATATCATGACTCGACTCCTTGATAAAAAAAGAAAAAACAAAGACACCTATTTAATGCATAACATGATCAATATTATTATTTATCTAATAAAAATGAAATTTAACTTAAACATAATTCATTTAAATAAATGAAGGATCCAATTTCGGAAGTGATAGGATTCATGGTGCATTAGTGCTATTCGCTAATACTAAAAGGCGTTCGGGCATCGGAATGTTGAGGATAATATGGACTCTATGGAGTCTATGGAGTACCCATTACCCATAGTACATTTACCCATACTACTATGTACTATGTACTGGGCTATATTACCACAATTCTTCAGGCCTGGATCCTTCAATGTTTAATGGGGGCCGTGACGCAGTTAATCTTATACATAATAAAGAACGTGTGTCCTAATTTGAGTACTTTGTACTTTTCTACTTTCCACATTTTACAACTTGTGTTCCTTTTCCATCTGTGATTGTAATTACTAGTACTTAGTATGCTTACCCGAGCATACGAAGTGTTACTAGGCAGAATCAACAAATGGCCCCCCTAAACTACAAAATCACAAAGTCACAAATTACCTGCAAACCATAAATCTCGTAATAAAATCTCTTTCTATTCAGTCCGATCTATTTCAGTGAATAAGTTCCAAAGTTGAGTTCTTCAGAGTTCTTCACATGGTCAATGCCCTCTCCACTGTTTCTATGTTGAGACTGTCAAACTCTTATGATTTTCCGTATTTCCCCACCGTCAGCCCGTGCCAATGAAGGATTTCTGCCCCCAAACCAATTGTGGATCACTCGGATCCTGATCTGATGCTGCCTTCTTTAGGAACTCTTGATGCAGGGCCCTGCCAAAATTCACCTTTTAGGGAACTAAGCCTACGATCAAAGAAGAAACTCCAATCAGGATTTGACCTCGTATTTCGGATTTACGATATACGACGATCCTGTCGCTTCAACATGTCTAGCATTGACTCTTTGACCCTACAGCCTACAGAGTAGATCTCGCCAAAATATTCAATGACTTACAGAAATCTAACTCATCTAAACTCGGAGCTTTCATATACACTCTGCAGTTCAGATGTTTATTCCCTTTGGCCCCAACCACATGGCACATGGATGTATCCATGTATCCCAGTCAGATTGAAGTGGCCCCCACTGCGGAAAATCAGCCCCATCAGAGCCTTTCATTACATCACAGTGCCGAGAACATCTCTTGAGTATAATACTACTATTAATATATCCTGATACTACCATAAGTACCATTCCTCAGGCTTAAGCTTATATCTGAACTCCCGAACTACCGAACTACCGAATGGCCGAGGTCCAAGTGAGGGATATATGATCGCATGTCCTCCACCTGGGCACTGGAGCCTGAGGCCATGGTGTCTTGGACATCTAGCATATACCCGGATTTAATGAGATATTGAATGTTCAAGTTGAAATTTTCATCTATACCATTTACCCAATTCAACAGTAATCAGCCACGATAAATACGGAAAAGTCAAGAGTAAGATTCCACGTGGAAAATGCCCCCACCTGGGCACTGGGCAGTATGGATCCATAAGCTGATCTTTCTACTTGTCATGCATTAGCCCTTCAAGTTTCAGCTCAAGCCCACTCGTCACTAGCATTCTCCATTTTCATCCACCAACTCAGGCTGGACATTCCTGGATATTTTTATCCAGATCGTCATGCTCCAGAAACATGAACATGAACCATCCCCAACTTCTGAATCCACTCCGTACTTACTACCTTGCTCCACACATCTACATCCACTTGCACTGAGACATAGTCTTCAGATTCTTGAAGAAAGTGATCAGAACTTGACATTCATCCAATTATTTTATGTTTCAGTCTAAGGCTGATACCCAACTGACACTGGCAACTGAAACATTGGAGATATGATACTCGATTGGGACTCGTGGGATGATCCATTCCAAGGTTATCATATGGGTATCATCAGACTGGACTCCTACAGGTCATGTGGTCTGAGGCCTACTAGTGATAAAACTCTTCTACTTAGGATCAATATATTCCCTTTCCCTTTCCCATACTCTATGATACTGAATCATCATCCATATTCGTCCCTTCCGCACGTTATGCACAAACCAGACAATATTGAAGGTTTACCGTCTGCAATGACGCAGACAGCCCCAAACATTTCAAGTTGAACGTCTTGATGACTCATAGAAAACCATACCTCAATTACCTACATATGAATGCGCCTGGACATCCAGATGTCCATTTCTCCATAAGTAATACGGATCAGGATGACAGGACAATACCATAAATACATGGAGATGCCGTAGTTTGAGTTTATCCGAATCCGACTCCCAACACAATAGCGGTCAACCACTTGTTCTCCCTTCGAGAGGTTCTTCTTTGGCTGACATTGCTTGTATAATTTTCATGAAAACTTGAAATTGTTACCACCGATCATCATGGAATTCGATCATCTTGCTGAGAAGAAACAGGAACAGAAAGCCGCTGTCTGTTTCTAGAGATTACGAGGAATCGATGCACTAAATCCCAAGGGCCATTTCGGTTATATTGCGATGACTTCCGTCCTTCAAATGTGCTCGTGGATCTCACGTCTTCCCGTGTCTCAGGTGTTGCTGACTGGGAGTTCACATATGCCGCGCCTGCTGAGTTTACATGGGTAGCTCCCCGGTGGCTCTTGTTGCAAAGTCCGGAGGACTGGGAGGATGATCTCGATCAGTTCCTGGCTCGCTATCTGCCTAGACTTGATGCATTTCTGGAAGCTCTATGCGACCATAAAGACAAACTGATAGAACAACAACTTCTCTTTGAGTCACAGCGTCTTTCTCCCCGTATGAGAGACTCCATGGAGACTGGGCTATTTTGGATCTGCTTAGCAGCAAGGCACAGCTCCATGTTCGACGAAATCTATTGGAAACCATCGATCATCGGTACTACGGAACCTTTATTTCACTGGATGACCGTCTACAGCTTTTGAGTGAAGAACAGCGGCAAGAAATGAGAGAACTGGTGAAGCTCAAGACTGACAAGTGCGCTGAGGATCAAGAGAGTTTTAACGACTACTATCCAATTGAGGAGCTCCTTGAATTACGAATTTGGCTACCATTTGATTTGGTCGTCATCTCTTGAAACTGTTAGGTATGTATAATCTCCATTCTTAATTGCTCTTACTGGAAAAAAGGTCGCCGTTTAGATGTGCAATGGCTCTGAGTACCGGTGCAACCAAAATTTCCCGTGACTGTCGATGATCTGAAGAGTTCCACCACTACTGTAGTGGTTGTAATGATGGCCAGTAAAAGACTCATGTTGATTTTTCGATCACTAACATTTCTCCTGGTTCGGATGCTAAACAGTCTCAACTAGCATGGACCCGAGATCTTTCGACGATGATAGCTTGAACTATCGGATGTAAAATTAACTACGAATTCATTTGACTATCAGGTGGAAGTGATAGAATCATATTAGGAAGAAAGACGTTCTTCTTGTCTTAACAATGTTGAATCGGACGAATCTTAGATCTAATCTTCAGTCGAACTGAGAATCATCCTCACCAGGTATATGTACGGAGTCTGGAGCATTTGAACCTTGGAATACTACATCGAGATCCGTTACGATTACAATTACAAAAAAAAGAAGTTCAAGTTCATTACAGTAGTATGTTGATTTGAAACAAAGAAATATCATTAAATTCGCATTATTCATATCCAGGATAATCATTCCTTTCAATCATATAAATAAATCATCATGCATGTCAAAAAACGACACTAATGATCAACACTTCAGCTTGAAGTTTACAACGCATTCAAAATCTCATCAATCAAAGGCAAAAGACCCGAGACATCATTAATAATAGTCGCGGTCTCATTCACAAACTTCGATGTGAGAAGATCTCCCGCGTTATTCAGTAGTGTATGAATCTCCGAGATAGTACCCGCGGTCAGGAGAGACTCGAGTTCAGGCATCGAGTCCTCGAGAGTACCAAGGAGACCGGTAAGAGACTTGACGGTTGACGGGGTAAGTAGATCGCCCGCTTCTTCGATTAGACTCTTTGTGTCGGTGACGAAGGCCGTATCCAGGAGAACGGTTCCGTTTCCGAGGAGGTAGGTCAGGTTCTTCAGGGTTGTGGCGTTCAGGAAGTCTTGAGTAATGTTGGGTACCACGGGAACGAGACCGTTCAGTAGGTCGCTCAGACCACCGAGAACGTATGGTGTGAGTAGGTCGGAGGCACCGGCGATCAGGGACTCGGTCTCGTTGACGAACGTGGCGGAGAGAAGGTCGTTCGCGTTTGTCAACAGAGAAGAGATCATTGAGATGGTGTTCTTGGTTAGGAGCTTCTCGACCTCTGGGAGGAGTGGAGTGACCTCGCTGAGAAGACTCTTGAGACCAGATACCAGTGATGGGGTGAGAAGATCGTCGGCGTTGCTGACCAGGGTCTTGGTCTCGTTGACGAACGAGCTGGTGAGCAGAGAGTTGCCGTTGGATAACAGGCTCTCCAGCTCGTCCAGAGTCTCGGTCGTGAGGAAGCTCTTCAGATCTGGGAGAATGTCCACAACGTATGTGAGGATCTCCTTCAGAGTGCTGGTCACGGAATCGGTCAATAGCTCTGAAGCACTGCCAACCAGAGACTTGGTCTCGGTGACAAAGTTGGCAGTGAGTAGATTGTTGCCATTGGTAAGCAGAGTCTCGATCGAGGAGATGGTAGAGTTGGTGAGCAGGTTCTTGATTTCCGGAAGCAGAGGCACCACAGCGGTGAGGATCTCCTTGAGAGAGTTGGCAACGGCGGTAGTGAGAAGGTCTGAGGCGGCAGCAACAAGGCTCTTGGTCTCGGTGACAAAGTTGGAAGTCAACAGATCGTTGCCGTTGGTCAACAGAGTCTCGATCGCAGAGATAGTGTCGTTGGTGAGCAAGTTCTTGATCTCGGGGAGCAGAGGCACCACAGCAGTGAGGATCTCTTTGAGAGAGTTGGCAACAGAAGTGGTAAGCAGGTCCGAAGCAGCAGCAACAAGGCTCTTGGTCTCGGTGACAAAGGCGGAAGTCAGTAGAGAGTTGCCGTTGGTAAGCAGGTTGCTCAGCTCTGTGAAGGTCGACTCTGTCAGGAAGTCCTTCAGCTCAGGCAGAACAGCCACAACAGCGGTGAGGATCTCCTTGAGGGCATTGGTAACCGATGTTGTCAGGAGGTCAGTGGCGGCAGTAATCAGGTTCTTGGTATCGGTGACAAAAGCAGTCGTGAGCAGCGAGTTACCATTCTTGAGCAGAGTGGCAAGCTCGGTGAAAGTTTCTTCGGTAAGGAAGTCCTCCAGGCTGGGCAGCAGTTGGACAACATCATTGAGAATTGTCTTCAGAGCGCTGGTAACATTGCTTGTCAGCAAGTCATTGGCATTGGTGACCAAGTTTTCAATCGACTTGACGTTGGTGCTAGTAAGAAGGCCATTGGCGTTGGTAACCAAGGTCTCAATAGCCTTAACGTTGGTAGTAGTAAGGAGGTCGTCGGCATTGTCAATCAGAGTGTTAATCTTATCAACATTGTTGAGCAGCGTCTCAATGTTGTCAATGTTCTGTGTAGACAGCAGAGTGTCGGCCACATCCAGAAGGTTGCTGATAGTCTGGGTGTTCTTCGTGGACAACAAGGTGTTGGCATTTGTAATTAAGTCAACGATGGCGTTTGTGTTCGTGGTGGAGAGCAGAGTCTGAATGTTGGTATCAACAGGGGGAGCCAGACCAGTTGACAGGTACTTGAAGGTTGAGGTAACCTCGTTCAAGAAGTTAGCGTCAAGGAGGCCATCCAGACCAGACAAGAGATCCTCCACGTCAGTCAAGATATCACTGCCGGTGGAACTAGAGCCGCCTAATAGATCCCCAATCAAGCTCAGAAGACTAGTGCTGGAGCTGGAGCTAGTGCTAGAAGAGTCGGAGCTTGTGCTTGTGGAAGTGCTATCCGAGTCAGAGGAAGAGGAGGCGGACGTGGATGCGGATTTGGCGGCGGTACTAGAACCAGCAGCATCGGCAGCGGTCGAAGAAGCAGCATTGGCAGCGGCATTGCTAGTACCAGCAGCAGCGGTAGCAGCCGCAGCTGTCGATTCGGTACTTGAGTCAGCGACAGCATTAGAGATGGCAGCAGCAGCAGTGCTTTCAGCTCCATTTGTGTCGGCAACAGCAGCAGCACTGCTAGTGGCTGCATCCGCAGAATCGGCTGACTCCTCATCCGAATTGGACGTGTCAGCTGCAGCCGCAGCTGCAGCTGTCGTTGTTACAGCAGCCTCGACAGCATTGGCATGGGCATGGGCAGCAGCAGTAGTAGTCGCCGCAGCAACACTGTTTTGATCATCTTGAGCAGCAGCGGAGACTGCGGACGACGCGCCTGTGACCGAATTAATGGCCAGGAAGGCAGTCGCGAGAACTGGAATGAAACGCATGTTGTCGGTTTAGCTCCAGTATGTGTCGATGCGTTAGATCCGCAATCACAAATTGACGTCGGGCAGGGGCTGGAGGTTGAACCGCGAGGAGAGCCTAAAGGAAACAACAAGACCAGAACGGCGATTCTCCTGGGTCGCGCCAGCTCTTTATTTTGGCAGAGCATGGGATCGACCATCTGGGGTATCATTTTGGGGGTAAGCCTCTCTCCACCCGACTATTGCACTAGGGAGCTTTTGATGGAGAGAACCCGAAATGTGGATCGACGCCCGAGGCAGAGCAGGACTCAGAAGGCCGAGCCATGTGATAAGCTAATTTAAAAAGCAAATTCCCGTCACATCGTGATGGGCTTATCGCATCTTTGACATCACTCTAGAATTCAAATTTCTTGGGCTTGAGCGGTGCGCCGGGGTACGGAATATGCGGAGAGGGGGTAGTTCCGAGGTTCAATGTATGGAGGAGTCCTTTGATGGAGCCCCAATGGACAGGAACCAGCTTTTTTCGCAGTAGTTCAGGGGTTTGAGCCACTGGTTCACATGTTGGAGCCCAGTTTGGGTTCTTTTTTTGTGGCTTTGGTGCTTTGCTAGGTAGCAGGCCCGGATGGAGCGATAAAAAGTTATTGACACGCTAATTGACTAGCGGTAGTCGATCTAACCCGTTATAGTCAAGGTGACTCCACCATCTGAATGATGATTGCTTGAGAGTTGAACAGATCAGAGACCCAAATGAGGGGAGTTCGGAGCTAGGGCTGGAATAGGGAAGCAAAACCTACCCCGGACCACCGAGGGCGTGGGGCATTATTGGTTGCATATCAATTGAGGTGCAACTTGACCGCCGATCATTACTCCACATGAAAAGAATGCGCCGGAGAGAAGAATCCACAGGTTCGAGATTATTGGTGCATATCTTGGCCAAGCAGGCCAGGAACAAGAGAGCAGACCCTGCGTTGTTCAGACTATACCAGGATCTCAAAAAACTTGAACTTGTCATGGCAAGTTACTGATATCTGGGTACAGAGAAAGAACGGAGAACGGAGTGCAGAGTACTAATTCTACAAAAACACACGACCAGAACCAATGACTTCCATAGCGCTCAAGTGCTGGTCTTTCTGGCTCAAAATTGATCTCACTGAAGCTCATGAACTGATGAACTTGATAATTCGCGCAATTTCATCTAAGACAACTCATGGTCACGTTGCCACATTCTCATCCACCCGATTGGCTTCATCTTCACTCCACTTCCCCAGTTTTGTCCGTGTCGAGGCTTTTTTCGCGTATCCTCATTTCCTGCTCGCTTCCTTGAATGGCGTCATATGGAGGATCATGACTCAGATCATAGAGAATGGAATAGAAAAAAACTCCGAGAACCAGAGGGAAAAAAGTGGCGTCCAGGCACTGCGGGCAATGCCAAGTGGAAAACCCGAGTTCCAAGGTTAAGATGAGGCACTCCAAGCGAACCTAACTTGGATTCCAATCATTTTTTTCATAGACTCGGTCCAGCTCGTTCAAGATTGCCATTGCATATGGCGTGCAACCGGGCAAAGCTGATTGTCATGCGTCGCATTGACTTCAGGACCCGCTTAAACCTGCATGCTGGCAGAGCTAACCTGCTAGTGCTCTCAGGTCCACGAGCAAGAAGAAAAAGAAAGAAAACAATACATGTACTCCTGCCGAGTCATGCATGGGATCTTCTCCTTTTCATGCTTATCATTCCGATCGCTGGATCATTATTGAGATCATGCCATACAATATCAAATAATAGGTTATATCACAGGAATCAGGATCGATTATTCAATGTTGTCTGCACGGAGTCCTCCGTACTCCGTATCTGGTCCAATGCCCAGGTGTTCTTGAAAGTTCCTCGCAGTCCACTGTCCAGTCCACCGTATAAACCCCCTTTTCTGATCCACTTGAGCTTCCCGGGATCCACATGCCCGCGGGTCGGCCACTCCGTACACGGTACAACGGTATGACACTGAATATAGATTCCACTCTTAAATAGTTAAATAGTTCAAGTCAAGCCTGGATCAGAATTTGAAAATTGAAGATGATTTTTGTTTGGGTTAAGAATTGTCAATAGTAACTTGGAATGGTGATGGCGTGGAGCTCCACAATGTACAAAATATGGAGAATGACCAGTTGACCGCTTATCTTCAAGCCCTGGAGTTCAAGCTCCAGCAGGGTGAAGTATGGAAGCCTGAGTCTTATGGCTACCAATTTATCTGCCTTAATAACAAGGGAGAATATTGGCCTGGAAAGCCTGGAAATCCTGTTCTGTTCAAGTTGACTGCCCAGGTGCCTAACTGAGATGTTTCAAATGTTGTGCTCTCATGAACATTTGAATGAGTGTTCAAGAGACCTGTGTTGGTTAAACTGCGACACCTCCACTTCAGGTATCCCTGGGTGCTCTTTGAGTGCTTAGTAGCATAGAAATATGTGAACAGTGCTGGGGATATCCTTTTTTCATCTTTTTATTTTGATATCAATATGAAAACTAAACAAATCGATAGCTTGACTCTGGATCATTCATTGGATACTGAACATATACTTTTTTCCATTTTATTTGATTTGTTGTGATTTTTCCAAATTTTGAAGTTTGCTCACATCACGATGCCTCAAGCACATTTGAATCTACTGATCTGAGCTTCAGGCCCAGTCATCTACAGTTCTTTTTTTTCTTTTTCATTCCAGCATTGTAACTAAAATCTCGATTGGGTGGCTACTATGTATAACTAACAGTGCTACAACTTGAACCTGAACTCAGATCAATCGGCCTTCTCAACACCACACCACCGCTGAACATAGGCCCGCATTCTCGGTCCTAAGAAAAACATCGGAATCGCAAAGAGCGCGAAAGCCGCACAAATAACCTCCTCAACAATCATAGTCTTCGCATAACCCAGCGTATTAACAGCTGGGAGTGTAGCGTAACTCAAACCGAAAGAGATAAATCCTCTCCCCGCACAAATAACCACCAAGAAAGGTGCCGCATGGAAAGGAAAGCTATCAACTGCGTACGTGATACCAACGATATTAGCACCAAGGAATGCAAAGTAGCTTGCATTGTACCCAATCACAATGGATGCAACACTCCATTTCTCGGGATTTTGGGCCGCTTGTCCATATATGATCCCACATACTACACCAACAATAGCTGGGATGGCGATAACGGGGAGTCTGTATTCGGGTTTATACAGTCCGTTATTCCGACAACTCAGTTCTCGAATGACGAGGTCACTTCCATACCCTAGTAGTGGAAGGAAGACAAGACAATCGACGATTTGCCCTGCTTGGACGTAACCTAATGCGTCGAAACTGAAGTTATACGGTGGTGCCATTAGGACACTGGAGAAGGTAGAGGCTTCGATGACGTATGTTCCAAGATTTGCACCGTTCAAAAGAAGGAGCCACAGTGTTGTTGGAATGAACAGGCCTTGGAAGATGTGTTTGTAGAATGTGGGGATTTCGTGCCATCGCGGTTTGATGATCATAGGCTTGAGATCGTCTTTCCAGCGACGGGGTTCGTATTCAACTGCGGCGTCGGGAACTTCATTTTCAACTGTCTTCGTTGCCAAGGGCTCACCGCGCATTGCTTCTTCGGTTCTTTCGTATTGAGATTCCGTAACGAAGACAATCGATAAGAGGAATATCACTGCGTTCATAACGCTGAAGAACCCGTACCACCATCTCCATCCCCAGGCAGAGACCATATATGTCGAGATCACGAAGAAGACACCAGAAGCAATATTCTGGATGAAAATAAACCAAGCAATCTTCCGACCACGCTCATGCAAGAAATGAATCTCTTGTACAATCATCGGGGAAAGTGCCTCGCTTTGTCCGGCTGCAAGACTCATGATATTTCGTCCTGCAATGTGACTATCCAGACTAGTCGAGCACTGACACCATACCGCCGCTGCGATAAGAAGGAGCATCGAGGCAAGGAAAACCGGACGACGACCAATTGTGAACGCCAAAGGCATCGAAATCAGATTTCCAATACCCATGAACAAGGTCGGGTAGGTCATTAAATCATTGGCCTTTGTTTCTTGACCAGGGTAGGAAGCCTCAACAACCGAGAAAATGGATCCCATTCCAGAAGCCAGGACAACGGCTGTACAGCTGTATGCGGATACAAGAATCAGGAGTATCCATTTCCGCCATGCTGGGAGGTTCAAGGGATCTTCGCTCGGTCAGGTAAGGTGATTCTGGTACTCGGTTTAGAATATCGGGAAGGATGCCACATACCCCTGGGATCTGCAGATGGAGTTGGAATCAAAACGACTTCACCATCTTTGAAAAGCTCAACGTGGAGTCCATTTCGTCTAGGAGGTGGGTCCTGAGCGATTTCAACGTGGGAGATATCACTCTTGTCCATGGCGAGTGTTTTAAGCGAGGAAAAGCAGTATAGGCAGAAAAAAAGCCTTCAAATTGGACAATGAGTCCATTTTAATGTCCCATTCCCATCGCCTATCAGCACCTTGTTGAAGCAATCATCTCGTTCCCCGGTTTGTGGGGTGCATCATCCACTCCCCCACCCAGCCGGGTTGGAATCTGGGGTAGACTAACCACCCGCCAACCGAACCGAACCGAACCGGAGGAAGCTGCAAGAAAAAAAAATATCAGTATATTAGTTTAGCTTGATTTCTCTCAATTGACGATAACCAATTACATCCATTTCATCTATTGATCATGCCAGTCAAATTCAACGTCGACGTGCCATGGGAGGAGTTATCCGCACCAGTAGTGAACGAAAGCTATGAGGGTCTCCAACCGCGTTCAGAGGTCCTACCTAAGGGTAGTTCAACTGCACCAGGAAGACGCGTTTTATCTTGTGATATCCTAGTTGAGCATGATGTTGCCATCAAAGTTCGAGATGGTTGTACTCTGTACGCAGATATCTATCGACCTCCCACCGCGCCGGAAGGCTCAACACCAGCGATTCTGTGCTGGAGTCCATTTGGCAAGAAGTTCAACGGAATCCAATCTCTCAAGCTTATGACTCCATGGAATCTTGGTATTTCAGAAGGAACTCTTAGCGGATTAGAGAAATTTGAAGCGCCTGATCCTGCTGAATTCGTGGATCGGGGATACGCTATTCTGAATGTGGATTCTCGTGGTGCATTTGACTCTGAAGGTCGGATGGCGATTATGGGAACTCAAGAAGCGGAGGATGGGTACGATGTAATTGAATGGGCTGCTAAACAATCCTGGTGTAACGGGAACGTTGGTATGGCAGGTAATTCTCATCTTGCTATCGTGCAATGGTTCATCGCGGCTTTGCAGCCACCTTCACTGAAAGCGATTGCACCCTGGGAAGGATGTGGAGATCTCTACCGAGAGCAATTTGCTCGTGGCGGTATCTATGGAGGCGATCTCTTTGATAATCTGATTATCAAGTACATGTTACGTGGTCGTCATGGTATGGAGAGTTTCAAGAAGATGTTCCAGGAACATCCTCTTGCGAATGATTGGTGGAATGATAAGCGTCCTGATATGACGAAGATTAATGTCCCGACTTATATCACTGGTACCTATACCAACACCATGCATGGCATGGGTGCCATCCGTGGCTGGCTTGAGATTAACTCGCCGGACAAATGGCTTCGCTGGCATCCGTACCAGGAGTGGTATGATATCTGGGGTAACCGGGCCGGACGGAATGAGCTTTTAACTTTCTTCGATCGGTACCTGAAGAGCATTGAGAATGACTGGGAGTCGACACCTCGGGTGAGGATGTCGCTGTTGAAATTCGGAGAAGCGGCACCACTCGATAATATTATCGAGTCCGACTTCCCTCCTCCACGTACCGAGTATCGCAAGGCTTATTTGACACCCGAGGGACTGTCTTTCCAGAAGCCCCCCAGCCTCCGAGACTGCTGTATCGTATGATTCGCAAGATGAGAACGCTGGCGTCACGTTCAAGTACACATTACCCGAGCGAACGCAGCTAATGGGAATCCCCAAAGCGGTGCTGTATATGCGATGTGACGATCTCGACGACATGGACGTATTTGTTGTGTTGGAAAAGCTTTCAAAGACTGGGGAGCGGCTGTTCAACTTCAACATTCCGTGGAAGAATCTACCTGTGGCATCAATTACAGAGATCCCGAAAGAGGAACGCACGGAGTTAGTTCTGTATCAAGGACCCACTGGAATCCTACGCGCATCCAACAGAGCTATTGATGCAGCGCGGTCCATGCATCCAAACTGGCCCTTCTATACACATGAGAAAGAAGAGAAGGTTCCAGTGGGATCGATTGTGCGACTGGAGATTGGAATTTGGGTGATGGGAGTGGAGTATGAGGCTGGGGAGTCGATACAGTTGCGAGTTAGTGGTCGGTATCAGGGAATCTCCAAGTTTGGTGCAGATCATACTTTGAATAAGGGAACTCACTGGGTTCATATGGGAGGAGAGTACGATAGTCATGTTGAGCTTCCTTTTGTATGAAGTTAATTTTGGGGAGGGATTTGGCTAGGAAGTTCTGGATAGAGAGTAGAGATAATAATAAAAAAATCTTTCAAGTCAAAAAAAAGAAAATGTTGACCTGAGCTGGAGTGAACCGAGGACCTTCCAGATACTGCGAATACCTCACTTGATACCTCCATCACCACACAATAATCCTTGATATCTCACTTATTATTGATTATTTTTGATTTCTGACAAATGCAATAGAAAGAATGAATCTGAATGTATTTTATTTAAAAATAACAAAAATAAAGAATAAAAAATAAAAAAACTAAGATTTTCCCAACCCACCTCCAGGCTCTGGTTTGAAACACAACTCAGCCACCGTTAAGGAACCAAGATTATCCAATACCGCTGGCCTCATAAAGAGTCAGAGACTGCTAACCGCTAGGTCAGCCAGACTAAAGCTGTGACAGTCCTTTCAAATGTTCTTTTACAAAATTATATATCCTCTCTCACTACTTTACCACTGCATTTTTCAACCCTCTTCAACTGGTCAAAAGGGAAAAATGACTACCCACTACTCCAGTCTTTTATATTGAAATTATGTCTACAAATAGATTTTTCAATTATCATATTATTTGAGGACACACTTGGACCTACTAGTATTGGCTAGCTTTTGAGTCCGATCAACCCCAAATGTTCAAGTTCAAGTTTATCAAAACCTCCAGATTAACAATATATATCATGATATATATACTACTTTTGAGTGGCCCCACTGGCACTAGTAGCCGTCGCACCTCCGGCCAACTTGAACTTCCAAGGTTGAATCATTCAAATTCAAATATGGACCCCTTCTCAACATTGAAGTTCTAGTATGTACTAATGTACCAAGTAACGCCCTTTTATAAACTTCCAGGTTGAAAATCAACGCCCCACTTCAAGTTGGAAATTCGAGATAAAATCACCTATGTAACCTTGGAAGGATACTCAAAATTCACCTGGCATCGAATAATAGCCCCCACGATCCATATCTGCCAGTGGAACCCGAGGACTCCCCTCGAATTTCAAGTTACACTTAGGAGACAGCAAGCGAGCTGCAAGCCTAGGCAAATTAGTGCGAGCAATGCCACCAATGCCGTACAAGACCGATAGTGGAAGCTCCATATGGATGTCGTAATATGGAGCCTCCGTTCAAAGCGATGTGGGGATATGGGGGCGGAAAATCATGGATCTGTCCCGGCTTAGTGGCTGCCGAGCGCCCCAGGCTCCAATTGACGCGTTATTTCTCTTGATACAAGCCTGTGGTACATATCTACGGCCCTCTCTTGTTCTCCCAGCTTGTTAGGAGGAAGAATCCTACATAGATTACCCACTACCATGTCCAGTAACAAATTCACAGTCACTGAGCATGTCGTTCCTGGATGTTATATTCGAGAGTACCCCGGAAGCACTGTACATCAAGAGGATGTCTTGAAGCTGCACGTGAAGCAATACAGTCCCAAAAACCAACAATTGCCATTGCCCTCTGATGCAGTTACTCTGATTGCAGCCCATGGAGTGGGCCTACCGAAGGTGTGTCTGTTCATAACGATTATTCTCAATTATTACTCATCTACGGGATAGGAACTGTACGAGCCCCTTTGGGATGAGCTGCTGGAGCAAGCTGCAGGTTTTCAAATTCGCAGTATCTGGGTGGCCGACTGTGCTAGTATGGGAATGAGCGGAGTTTTGAATGATGACAAGCTTAGCCTGGACTGTATGGATTGTCCAGGCGACTCCACTTCCTTTCATTTTACTCATGCTCTCTATAGGCTCCTGGATGGATCATGCGCGAGATCTCTTCCTCATGATCAACCATTTCCATGAGCAGATGCCTCGTCCGCTCGTAGGAATCGGGCACAGCTTCGGTGGAAACATTATGTTCGTGATACTAATCCTTATGCTCTTGGGAATCATTGATGACAGAGACTAACTGAACTCCGTTTAATAGTACTAATCTAGCTTACATGCACCCGCGTCTATTCTCCACTGTGGCTCTGATCGACCCGGTCATTCAACTCACTCCACCACCCATGGGGTTCGGCACCGATCCGCCCAGTGCGATAAACTGGACATTAAGACGCGACGATATATGGCCAAACCGCGAGGCCGCGCTTCGTGCGAGCCGTTCCCTTCTTCATGGCTGGGATCCACGCTGCATAGCCCGGATGGCCGAGGTCGGGTTCCGCGAGCTGCCCACTCAACTATACCCGGATGTCGAGGCTCAAAAGGCCCGTCTTAACACCACCGAGACACCGGTTACTCTCACGACTACCAAGTATCAGGATCTTATAGGCTCAATTCGGGAGAACTTTGGTGGACGCGACCCGATTACCGGGCGCATCGTAGTCAATCGTGATACACACGCGGATATGGATCCCCTTGCAGCTTTCATTCCGATGTATCGCCCAGAACCACGCAGTACCTTCCTCCGGCTACCAAGCCTACGACCCTCTTGTCTCTGGGTGCTTGCGGGGGATACTTATATGAATTCGGATGAGATCCGCGAAGGTATCAAAGTTTGTGGAACCGGAGTCGGGGGCAGTGGGGGCGGAGAGAAAGTTCGAGAGGTCACCTTGCCTGGGTTAGGACACTTGATGCCATTCCAGGAGATCAAGAAGGTTACGGAGCCTGTTGTAGCGTGGTTGATAGGTGAATTGGAGGAATATCGCACAAAGGAAAAGCAATGGGCGACGCAGCGTGAAGAGGTGAACCATTTTGTTCTTGGCGAAAAATGGTTCAAGACTCTGAAACCTTTGGGAAAGACTCGTGATAAGCCTCCAAGGAAAGAGAAAATGTGAAATATTTACATGTGGAGTGAATAAATTAAGTACCAGTCAAATGCACAGCCTGAATAACTAGGTCTTTTTACTGCCCAAGAAAAAACATGGATCCCATATAATTTAGTTGAGGGAGAAAGGAGTTATGGATGGATCATAACTGTCTATTATAGAGTCATGAAATCTATTCTATACAGCCTGGGCAATGTTGATACTACTGGACCTTGGACCTCTTTTACCACAGAGATACAGAGTACTAGGTACTTCTAGGAAGGTAGTAATATCAAAACCATTTAGAATATATTGATTATTTAGGACTTGAATTTTTATTTCGATATCGAAATGTAAGGATTATAGGAAATAGTAGAGTCAACTGGTTAGACACCTTTCAAAGAACCACCTCTCCCTTATATTTGAGTAAAAAGCTCCCCCTGTAACCACTCTGCCCTGCTAGTCTAGCGGTCGGCGACCCTTCTGGGGGACAAAGGTACTGAAATGCGGACGCTGGACCCATCTTCAGTGGCAGAGACTTTACCGGCGGGTGGGAGGGTATCTGGCTTCGGCCAGGGAATAATGCTTTTTTTTGGAATTTTTCATATTTTTACCCATTATACTTCTAATCTTCCTCTTTCTATTTCACTTCTCAGATCCTCAAAATAAAAATAATTGAGCGAGATAGAAGGAATTATCGGATGGCGATGGATGTATCAAGTGAGAGTTGTTGAGGCTATTCACGCATTTCTGATTTTGAAGGTCCTGGGTTCGATCCCTGATCTTGCTGGATTCTTTTTTCTTTTCTTGTCAATTGCCACTCGGAATGTGGGCATTTAATCAACCAAAAAGGTAAAACAGCTCCCAGTGCCCAAGTGTAAGAGCTATGACCACATTCATGTTTATCCTGCCCTACTCCACAGCTCCCCCGCATAGCCCAGCTTCTATACCCCAGCCGCATCCTCAACCGAACCGAACCGAACCGGTAGCCAACCGAGCCAGCGCAAGAATCCTCGAATATTCTCAAACATCGAAACATGAAATATAAAATATACAAAGGAGGGACTTCAAAAATCTCAGAGACACAACGATCATCAAGAAGCAAATACCTCAGAACCAACATTCAAGATGACCACAACCACAACTACAACTTCTACCCGCCTAACTGCCCCATCGGGTCGACTGTTCTCCCAGGGAACAGATGTCCATTACGGCGATTTCCGCGACGAGCTCATTCAGAATGGGTTCGCTGTCATCAAAGGTGCCGTTCCACGCGACCGGGCCCTGAAATGCGCAGACCAGATCTACGATTGGCTCGAAGGATTGTACGTACCGCACATCGCATAGCTTCCCATTACTACTCGTCTGATCTAACACATCTACAGTAATCTCGGCTTCAAGAGAGATGACCCTTCAACCATACACAAAGATCATTTGCCCGACATCAACGAAAAAGGAATGTGTCTCGGTTACGCGATCTCCCACGAATCATTCACCTGGGCTGTCCGACAAGAACCCGAAGTTATTAAGACCTTTGAAAAGGTCTACGATACAGAGGACTTAATTGTCTCGTTTGATTCGGTGAATATCGGGTTTCCTTCTCGTAAGGATATCAAGCCCAATACTCCGTGGCCTCACCAGGATCAGGATCCTGAGAAGCCGGGTTTTAGGTGCTTACAGGGTCTTGTGAATCTTCTTCCAAATGGACCTCAGGATGGTGGTTTGATTGTCTGCAAGGGTGCGCACTTGTTGAGCGAGGAATTCCACGAGATTTTCAAAGATGAGGAGAAGATCTGGTCTTGGTTAGTTCCGTCCCTTTTCTTACTTGGTCCCTTTACTAATTGTCTACAGGACGAAGGAGTGGTATGGGTTTACTGAGGCTGGCCAGAAGTGGTTGAAGGAGAGAGGATGTGAATGGATCAAGGTTGAGGCTGAACCTGGTGATCTACTTCTGTGTAAGACTTACCCCATCACGGAAGCATAGAGATGCTAACAGGTTTTTAGGGGATTCGCGAACTCCTCACTATAACCTATCGTCGGAAACTTCTCAGCCGAGATTCTGCGTGTATACCTGTTTCATGCCCGTTGCGGATGCTACCGAGGAGCAGCTGCGGGTTAAGAAGATGGCTTTTGAGGAAACTAAGATGACCACCCATTGGCCAAATGCGATGCATGTCGTTGATTTGCCAGTTTTCCGGAATGGAGAGGCTGATCCTTATCAGCGCACGAAGCCTCGCGAACCAGTGCAACTCTCGGATCGGGGATTCAAGTTGACGGGTATTCCGTATCTTGAGCAGATGGCGTGAGCTTCTGTCAGCACTCAAGTATTCTTCTTCTGTGATAGATTGAACTTCCTAGTTATGCTTGTTTGATCCAATTATTTGATATCTTTGACTATCTTACTCTGTGTGTTGAAATAAATGACTTAAATCATTCCAATCCCATCCTGCCCAATCCAAAGCCGACAGACCCCAAGCCGACCCTTCCAGCGTAGGCATTGTATCTCCCATAGAAATATCACCCATCACAATCTCATCTGGTACCAGACTAAGAGGGTTGATATGACTGCCTGAAGGGGTCTCCAAGCATCGAGAGGCGATCCGCTCCACATCTATCAGAACATCGTCAATATTGCTTGCCGTGCCGTGTTTGTGGTAGTGTTCTTTCGTAATTTGGATAGCTACTTTCAGCAACTGGGAGAGGTCAGTCTTTATCTTCAACAGAATGAGCACTCTTACCTCGAAATCCGATCGAATGAGCAGTGAACTGCGCTCTTGATAAATGTGTATAGCCAAGACATAGACGGCTGCAAGAGGAGATGTTATAGCGGTAAGGTATGTTGGAGTTCCTGAATCGACTGATGCAACAAATAACTTGATCATCTGACGAGCGGCTTCAATGACCGGTGCTGACCCAGCAAGGAGGCGCTGTTGCCATGACTTGCCAGCAGCGTATTTATTGACCATTGCGTGAAGTTCGTCTTTTGGCACAAGAAGGGTCGATCTATTGACAAGGAGTAATCTGCTCGGAATTAGATAAATCCTCATAATGACTAGATGAATGCAGCTCACCCCAAATTATAATAATATGAAAGGAATGACGCTTGTGATCTACTATCAAAGGCTAGATTGGATGTTGATCCTGGTCTATGCGATATCAGGTCAGCTGGAACAGAGTAAAGAATTTGGCATTCAGACCTGTATGCTGCCGGTAGACTATCCTGCCACTCAGAGAGTAAAACATGCAGTTCCCCTCCGGTCTGCAGCTTGTCCTCTATGGACTGCTCCATAGACTGTGGTATCCACTCTTCTCGCCTCCATGCTCTCACAGAGCGCTCTTGCATCTCATGTAGCATATTGGCCAGGCTGATCAGCACGTTCCGGAATTGAGGATCTGTGCCACTGTCTGGATTAGTCTGTAGCGGCGATACAAGAGTCTCGGATAGTTGGCGGTCCCATATAGTAGAAGGACGCCCGCATTCCAAAGCTAGTACCCGCTCAAACACATAGATACACCACCATGTCTGAAACTCAGGCGTGGGCTCGTTTGAATGTTCAAGTGGTGATTGGGATCCCTGATTAATGCCAATTGATTGGGCTAACGAGACCCCCATTGTGAGGATATCCCATGCCCATGCAATCTTGTCACAGCTCCGAAGAACAATTGAAAAGAGGAGAATAACCTGGACTGATTGCAGACTACGATTAGTCACAATATGTCCTAGCAGTGAGTTGCAGTAGCTGATATATGACGAGATGAGTGTTCTAGTAGCTTCACTCGGGGCAATTGTCAGCATGCCTGTCATTACGATAAGATACTTCAGGGCTCGAGATGGCGCATTCGAAGAGTGGTTTGAATACACGTTCGTTTCCATGCCCGCATTGAATATTGGCTCCACAGTATTCCGGTCCAGGAATGGGAAGATCTGATGAAGTGTAATCCAATAATTTTCAACACAGACCTGCATCAAAGTTTCATCTGGCAGCTCGGGAGGCTGATCAAGAATGACCGATGCAAATGACTGATTCAAGAGCGGAGAGACCGCACGAGCTTGAGCGCCTCTTATCCGGTAAAAGGCCATGTCAAGCCATGCAGTCATCAACTCCAACACGCTGGATCCAACAAAACGAGGCATCATGGGAAGACGACCCGTCTTCCACCCCTCCGGTCCCCAGCATTGCGACCAGATCCGAGGTCTTTCGTGGGTTGTAGGAACCACCGACGAAGCATGCGATTCCGGGGTTCTCGGTGTCTGGCTCTGTGCTGGCGATGGTGCTACACCAGACAGTTGGAGCTGAGCCCTTAGCAGCGTCCCCGACTGGGACCGACCGTGCGATTGTTTTCTGCGACGATTCTCAACCCGCATTCCATCCCGTCTTTTATCTGTGGTGACACATTCCATGTCAGCAAGACGACAATTACGACAGGGTTGCTCCTCGTCGCAGCGGGTCTTCTTCTCGCGGCAATAGTTACACGCATAGCTAAGACGTTTGCGCTTGGGCGGAGGTTGATCAAGTGTACTCATGAGGCTGATTTTGACCCGCAGATGATTTCCCCACAAGGTGCTGGGATGCTGGGGACCTGGGGTAGATGAATTCCATTGGACCTCCACTTGCCGATGTGGGTGTCGCGATGTGGGTAAAATCGGGATTTCATTGGCTGTGGAGAATAAGCCTAAAACTACTCCTGTAACTTGTAAATAATATCAGGAGTGTCGAGGATTTTCACTTTGGATAATAGAGATTTGGTAGAACAAAAGGAACTTGAAAGATGGAGGAGATGGAGTAAAAAAGGGAAAAAAGGAAACGACAAGGACTTGGATTGAACCCAGGACCTCTAGATTCTTCAGTCATCGTAAGAGAAGCTTCATATTTTTGAAGATTTTATAACAAATCAAATAAAATAGATAAAAATATCAAAGAAGTACGAAAAGACTGAGAATAGATTAAAGTATTTACTGGCAAATTAAAAAGAATAGGCATTAAATAAAAAGTGCAAAAAAAGAGAACCCGACCCAAGAACCCTTCACCACCATTACTTAAAACCATGGTGAGTTTTCTTGGGTAGACTTAGATGGTTTCTCACACCGAAGTGCGATAGCCAACTAGTAGACCACGGAAGGATTCTCATTGCTATGACCTCCTGATATATCCCTATGACTGAGATGATATTATCCTTTTTAGGCAAGAGCAGACCTGGTAATTTACTCCTTTAACTCTTAACAATTATTAACAATTTCGAACCACTTTTAAAGATTCAAGTTGTGAACAACTCACTTGAGGGTGTTCCTACTACTATGTACTAGTACTATTCAAACTCCTACCACATATATGTACAGCCATGGTACTATATACTATTCTATAATAATAAACCTTCCAATGTTAGAACAAATAAAACACATGGAAAATTACCAGTCAGTAGTATCCAAATAATGTGAGATAATCCAGCTTTTGACTGGTAGTTTTTGTGTTACCATCAAAAATAAAAGGTTATAAACCTTGGAAAAGTTGGAAAAAAGAGACGTCCCCAGCACTACTAGTACTACACATGCGCACTGTCCAAATCCTGTCATACATAGAAACTTGAGGAGATGGATAAAAAATATATATGCATTCATCCTTAATCACAGCACAAGGCCATGTTAAATCAAGGCACAACTTCAAGTTGAAAATTACATAACATGCGGAATATTCAACTCACTGTCCTCCCATTCAAAGGGACATGGAATTACAGGACAAGACAGGTAAAACAAAGGGTAAAACAAGGCTAGGTACCCATGATCAGCAGTCTGATTACTTAGGAGAAGGTGGTACTTATCAATGGTTGGGAGTTGAGTTATTGAGCGTTCTCAGGTGAAGTGTATTGGAGCAAGTATAAGCCAAAGCAATAATGATCAGATAACTTCACGTCAGGGATAGGAAAGCTCCCAGGGGAGGTCGAAGGCTCTGATCAGAGGGATATCTCAGCCCGAATAATTCAACCATCAAGAATGAGAAGCCAGACGAGTTGGAGTCGCTTGATGAACTCGGAGGTACTACATAGTAGAAGAGTGGGTCAACACTGGTCGAGACGGTTGATGCGCCGCCGTTATCAACACCTCAGGCACCCATAAATTATGCGCGGCGATATTGTTCGGAGCCGGAATATATCACTTTCCGGCCATTTGAAGGCTTAGGGCAACGTACTTCATGCCCTGTATAGGATTTTGACATACGCAATTCATTGGGCTAGATCAATCTTGTAACATCACATAGAAAAGACGGATTGTAGGTTTTGATTCACCATCGAGACCACTCTGCTTATAGACCGGCAAGTGGGGCGGAGGTCTCTAGAATCGGCGATTCGAAAGGTGTATGGAATGGAACGGAAACTGCGGCTAGCGTCTGTTCAATTTCAGGTGGAAAATCAGCATAGTCCTCTTTTGAGGCAAACAACTCTTCCGAACTTGAAGTGATTGATATTCTCTTCCAAACCTATGAGCAAGAAGCGATCACGGCATATTTGAAATGACGTCGACCCCAGAAGGACTTCCGACGCCTAAAGGCAAGTCTCGTCTAATCAGACATTTCGAGAAAAGGTAAATCATTCGCTTTCATCGGTATCAGAGTTGTGTAGACCTGACAGCTAGCAGGTCGATTGAGAACCACAACGATGCGTGGACAGACCTATGGGACACTGACAAAAGTGACATGTGGGACAGAGGAAGGCCCTCGCCTGCCTTGATCGATCTTCTGGAGCAACGAGAAGAGGTCCTGAGTCCAATTGCAGCAGATAGCCGCCGGAAGACTGTCTTAGTACTAGTAATGTACCTCCTGCCATGTATCTATCTCCCCTAGGCTAACCTCAGTGTAGAGATGCGGAAAGGGCTATGATGTAGTCATGCTTGTTCTCCATGGATTTGACGTCGTCGGGCTTGAGATCTCGCAGAAGGGGGTTTCAGCTGCCGAGTAGTACGCGTTCGCAGAACTAAAAATGCCGCAAGAGTATAATTTTGGGAGTTCGGAGGCAAGCAAACGTGAACGAGGCCCGGTATCGTTTATCAAGGGTGACTTCTTCAAGTCCGAATCTGTGAATGGGAGGATATTCGATGTCATCCAAGACTATACGGTGCGTCATGGAGGCTTTCATGCTTTACCTGTTCACCATATTAACGTCGATCAGTTCCTCTGTGCTCTTCATCCGACAATGCGTTCTCAGTGGGCCTTGCGGATGGCCGACCTTTTCATCCCAGGAGGTCTTCTTGTTTGTCTGGAGTTTCCGCTCTTCAAAGATCCAAGTCATCCTGGTCCTCCATGGCCCTGCAAGGTGGGCACTGGAACCTGCTGGCCGAGGGTGGTGATGGGATTCTGTATCCTTCCGCATCAGATCGGAAAGGCGATCTTGGGATGGGAAGCTTCGGTATATCAAACCCGAAGGATCGTATGAGAGTGGACAAGGAGCTGATATGCTGAGTCTTTACGCCCGAAAATGATTTTTGCTGTCATATGTTGTTTGATTAATCGCATTGGACCTGCGCAGAAAGGGATATCAGTAGAAGACTCAAGCAATATCATGGATCGTAGTACTCGACCTGTAGAATGCTGTGGTCTGTTGCCTTTGCCTTTGAGCTCTGGTATGCTTTATGTGTGACCAACGGTCTCCTATCAACACTCAGGAGCATTGGCTTTCCTGTAGAACTTCGAGCTCGAAATGACATTCGGGGATTCAGCTACTAAAAAATGTTCCTCGCAGTCAGATGCAGATATTATGTAGGCTCCAATAGCAGCATTGAAGCTCCAAGGCTATCCAGACAACGAAGGCCAAACCACCACCCGGGCCACCCGTGCAACTTTGTGCCCAAATTGATATAATATGATGATTCAATGTTGAAAAAATTGATACTGTTGTAAAAGAGGGGTTCTACGAATAAATTGCATCAATCTCCAAGCTCAATGCAGCCTTAATCGGATAAAATGATATAGTATCGACAATTGAGGCTCTGTGCTTAATATAATCAATATCAATATCAATAAACAGGTCTAAGATAGATCAGCCATAAGCTTCCCCGTATGTGGTCTACAATCAAAATAATGAATCAATTGAATAGGTTGTGGTTGACGAGTTATCAATTAATATTCTTGGTTTGTTGACAGCCCCCAGGACGTACACCTCTGTCCTGCTATCCCTCACTGTCTCTCTCTTTCTCTCACTCCTCCACAACCACAACGCGTCGACAAAGCCTTGTCGTTATTTTTCCTTGCTTCATTTTTCTCGTTTTCTTCTTCATTCTTATCCAAAACATCATTTTTATCGAATCGAGTTTCATCTTGTTCACTTTAACAACTCATCCATCATGACTGATGAACTCCATTCCTCCGGCCCTGAGGCCTTGGCTGAAAGCTTTTCTGCCGTGAATCCGATGACAGTTACTGCGCCTGAGCTTGACTTGCTTGATCCTGTTACAATGAATGAGCTTGACTTCCTTTTAGGCCATGGCTCGGAGGTCGCTACTCCTGTTTCTAACGCCTCTCTTTCTGCACCTCAATCTCCTCTGGCGCATCAGGCTTCTCACGTTTCGCTTTCTTCTGCGATTATGCCATCTTCTCCTCCTGTTTTGCCATCCACCTCTCCTATTGCGCTGGCTTCCTCTCCGGTTTTGTTGCCCACTGGTCCTATTGTGCTGTCCTCCTCTCCTGTTGTGCCAGCCTCCTCTTCTATTATCTCTTTTTCTCCCTCAATGTCTATTGGCATCGAAGGTTGGCTAGAGGCACAGATCCCTAGCAACCCGACTGCGCAGAGTCCGGTCTTACAGGATGCCAAGATCTTCGATGATCTATTTCAAAGCCCAATTAAAGGGCCCAGAACTTTTCAGGATGGTGAACCCTACGTCCTATCCCAGCCACAGGTAAGCATATCATCCAGGCAAATGATCACAAGAAATATACTAAACTTCATAGGGTCCAATTCGTTTCCGACCCAAAGAAATCCCGGGCGGCACCAAGGGCTCCCCAAAATTGATCCACAACCAGGCTTATGCCCCAGTTCAGCAGCAAGAACACTTGGATGGCATCTTTAGCCTTGATCTGCTCAAGAGTCCAAATGAAGAAAAATTAGATGGCATCTATGGCCTTGATGATCGGTTCCAGAGTCCAAATGAAGATCTCGGAACAATTCTGAATGATCTCTCCTACCTCATTCCCAACGCACCGGTAGGCATATCATTCAGAAAAATGACCGCGAGAAATTTACTAAGATTCATAGACTTACCACCCCGTCCAAAAGCCACAGATCCCGAGCACTCCCGATTATGCCCCAAATATGATCCCTGCGCAGTCCCATGCCACTGTTCAGCAGCAGGCAGACTTGGATGCCACCAATGGCTTCAAAAATTCGTTCCAGAGTCCAATTGAAGGTCTCGGAACCATTCAGACTGACGAATCCTGGCTTCTCTCTGACATATCGGTGAGCATATTGTTCAGGTAAATCCCCTCAGGAAACATACTAAGATTTATAGACTCCTTGCCCCGCCCTCGAGCCACAGATCTCGAGCACTCCAGATTGTGCTCCAGCTATGGTCCACACGCAACCCAATGCCCCTGTTCAGCAGCAGACAATCTTAGATAATACCGATGACTTTGAAAATCTGTTCCAGAGTTCAATTGAAGATCTCAGAACCAGTCGGAATGATCGTTCCTCCCTCTCTCACCCACCTGTAAGCATATTGTCAAGGCAAATGACCACAAGAAACATACTAAATTTTAATAGATCCCTCACCCGTTTCAACGATCACAAATCTCAACCGCCCCCAACTCCTCTCCTAATATGTCCCGGGCTCATCCCCATATCCCTCCTCCGAACTGGCAACAGGTGATTTCGGCGGCTCCTTGCACCAATCTGCAGGATCCGTTCCAGAACATGTCCGGGTTCCCAGGACCAGTCGAGACTGCGCGACTCATCCAGAGTGAGCCTCGTGCCCCTAATCACACCAAGGTAAGCCATCTTGTCCAACCCAAAATTCAAAAAATAAGTTATTCTAATCTCTTGATAGATCCCTGTCAGTGCCAAGACAGATCGGTCCCCCGCAACGGCCTTTCGAAAGCTGAAGGCGGCTCTCTGCATGGCGGCAAGAACCAATGCCGTTCAGGAATTTGATGGGAAGCCAGTGAAGGTTGTGAAGCGAACACCCGTACCAGCAAAATCAAGCGGTATGCAGGGTTCCCACGCTGCGCTGAGGGCTTGTTTGCTGGAATATGCCCAGCAGGTCATTGAAGAAATCGCCCCGGACCTCCCCACCGTGAGTAGTCCTCAGAAGGAGGCTACTCCAAGCGCCACCACCAGCCCCTCAAAGAAGCGCAAGAGTGAGGAAGCGGAACTGGAGTTCCGTTTCTATTCTCCTAGCCCGCCTGGGACGCCGACACCACCACCATCGAAGCGATCCCGCCGAGACTCAACCGCGCCCTCTCCAAGTGAAGGGGCCGGTAATACCACCACCGAGGCGGACTCCTCTCACCCGGGGCCTCAGAACACCCCCGGGGCCAAGCACGGCTCGCCTCGAAAGAAGGCGCCGTGTAAGGCGGTGCCCTACCCTCAGAGCTGGGCCGAAGCGTCCGGCTCCGACATCCTGCTCTTCGAATTGAAGAGGGCAGGAAGCACCTGGGAGACGATCGCGAAGACACACCGGGACATCACCCGGTGTGAGTACACGCGTTCTGCGTTGCAGAACCGGTACTTCGGGATCAAGAAGAGTATTGGAGATTTGCCAACGCGGTTAGTACCTGCCGGGGGGCAGGCCTAACTTGGCATCTCCTTTCTCTTCTTGCCCGGTCTTCGTTGAGTCCGTTCTCGGCTCCCCCTTGGTGGACTCCCTGTATTTGTACCTTTTTTTTCTTTTTATCCTTTTCAATTCCGCTCCCTTGATGGGACATTGATTTTTGTTTTTGTGTTTTTTTTTTGTTTTTAATAACTAATGATACCCAATTGGTTCTCTTTCTTTTTGAACATCTCGCAGCTCTTTACAAGTCCTTCCAGTCAATATCCTCGCTAACCTAGATTTTCAACAGGTCCCTCGATACACTCCCCGAGGTATTCAGATTCGGTGAATCATAAGATTCGATAGGTTTGTTGCTTTAAGTTCTCAGAATTGCCCTTTAACTTGATTCTAGCTTGTGAGTATCATCACTAGGATAGCCTTCACTTATTTCCCTGTGAGTATTTGATGCGTTTGAGCGTTTGAGTGTCACTTAAAGTCACCAACCAGTAAGCACTATTTCAGTATGTAGAAAGTAGTTAAACTATAGCTCGGCGGCTCACTTTAGGAGCTCTTCTAAGGTGGGAGTTAGATGTTAGTACATAAGTGTTCAAAAGTTTGGCCCCACTCCATATATAACATTTTCGGCCGTTTTACCACATGCCAGTTTGAAAAAATTATTAAAAATCGATATCGTAATAAATTTGATTTTTCTCAATTTCAATATGGAAATAAATGATATAGGTTCATAATAACCACTACCACTTGGTGTAATAGCCCTTGACGTTGTAAACAGCCTTACATCGCCGCGGGAACGACCGAATTAGCCTATCGATCGCATCTTGTGGAATATTCCACCACGCACGCTTTAGAAGCATATGAAAATCAGACCAAGCCACTAAAGAACGACCTGTATATCGTAGGTCAGGGCGCAATGTGAATAATTCTCGTTTTAACATAAACCAACACGGTTCAATTGGGCTAAGGTCAGGCGAATGCGGCGGCCAATCCATGACATGGATCCCATGAGACATCAAGAATTCCTGAGTGGTCTCTGCGGTATGTGGTTTGGCGTTATCTTGCTGGAAGATCATATCTGGCGTATAGTGATGTAAAAATGCTTCTGTAAGAGCTTGTTGGTAAGAATTTGTGGAGTATCCACCTCGTGGTGCTGTTGGATCACGCTGCATAATCACCAAGTCCGTACGGCCACCAATCCAAATACCAGCCCAAACCATTTGGGCAATATCACGGCCATGGTAACTTAGATTAACCAGGTCAGGTCGATAAGCTTCTGAAGTAAGCCTAAAGACCCACTGAATTGTTGAATTCGACCGTCTTTGGACTGAACATTCATCACTGAATACTAGTCGATCTAGCTCATCGAAATTCCGCCATTTTTGTGTAAATATTTTATGGACGTGAGCTTCTTCGGTAGATAAAGGTATACGATGCCGAGACTTCCATTTTCGAAGCTTGTATTGACGTAAACAGCGATAAATTGTTGATCTAGCCACGGTGAGGCCACACTCGCCAATTAACGCTCCCCAGCTCATTCTAGGATTCGGCGACACATGCGATAGACATAACGTATAGTTCGGTTATTGATAAGATTCGGACGCCCAGTTCGATAACGTGAATTTAAATCATTGCGTTCGTGGTAACGTTTTATAGTGCGGTATACCGTCTTCCGATCAACCTTAAAGATACGTGCCACCTCTGTAGGTCTTTGACCTAATTTGATCGCTGTAACGATTGCAGAGCGTATTTCATTCGATGATTCACCTCCGCGGTGACGATTTCCACTAATAACGGTACCGAAAGCTCTCATGTTGACGGTGTTATGATTTTTCGAAGTTGGTGGGTTGGAAAATTGAAGTTCTACGGGAAAAGTGGGGCCAAACTTTTGAACACCCGTGTATTAGCCCTTACCTCCCGGGAAACTCTTCTTTCGGATATAAGGTACCATCCATTATCAGAGTATTTCAACTTACTAGTGCTATTTGATATACTATCAAAGCGAAGCTTATATTCCCTTTCTATCAGCTTATTTACAGGACTTGTGTCTTGAAATATCTTCTAATCATCCACCGCAATCATAACAGTCTTTGTCTCCAAGAAGGACTCCAGACTCTCATTCCATCCCTCTCGACCAATTCCACTGGACTTATATCCACCAAAAGGCATATCTGGGAAATTAGTTGGACTGGTACAGTTAACACCAACACTGCCAGCATCCAGTTTCTTGGCCATTCTCATAGCTCGGGAGATATCCTTAGTGAATACTCCTGCATAAAGACCATATTCAGTATCATTGGCCTTGGCAACAACCTCATCTTCAGTAGAGAAGTGTTAACGCTGACAACGGGTCCAAAAATCTCCTCTTTCATGATCTTGGCATCCTCGGGTGTGTTAACGAACACAGTTGGTTGAACGAAGAATCCATTCTTGTGTCCCAGTGGAACCTCTCCAAGTGTCATTTTGGCTACCTTCTTTCCTTCTTCGATATACTTCTGGATTTGGTTGTACTGAATCACGTCGGCCTGTGGGCCGTGGTTGACATTCGGCAACAAGGGGTCGCCACTTGCGACAGTAAGGGCCTGGTGAAACTTTTCAAGAAAAGTGTCCACGATCGATTCATGCACATAGATTCTGGAGTTTCCCATGCAGGTTTGGCCGCTGTTGAACTGGATAGAAAATCTAAATATGCAATAGTCGTCAGAGTGGGGAGAGGTAGAAGGGAATGATCTGGTTTTTGGACATACGCAGTCTTCTGAACGGCCTTGTCGATATTGCAGTCAGAGAAAATAACAGCAGGTGACTTGCCACCAAGTTCAAGAAGGATATTCTTGAGGTTGGACTTGGCAGCTGCCTTTTGAATCAGACGACCCGTTTGCTTGAACCTGTAAAGCTCAGGACACGAACATCCATATGGTGAGATAATACACTTCCAGAAACGGGACCATGGCCTGAGATGATATTGAAGACTCCTGGTGAGAAGCCAGCCTTCTGAACTAGCGTAGCCACTTTCGCAGACTGGGCATATTGTTAGTGACCAAAATACAGGGTTTTATTCGAAGTCTCTTTTCATTTCAGAATGGCGTGACTCACGGTTAATGGAGCCTTTTCACTGCTCTTCGCAACAACTGTGTTTCCTGACATCATAGCTGCACCAGCCTTGTTGATCAAGAAACCCACAGGTACATTCCACGGAATGATAGCTGCAGCCACACCATAAGGCTGTCTCATCGTCATATTGACATATCCTTGTTTGATTTAAACTCGATACACCCATAACATCGAAGCCAGACTCCGCATAATGCTCCAGAGTCTGGGCTGCCACGAAAGATTCAAATTAAGCCGAGACAGGACGGCCCATAGACAAGGTCTCAAGCTCCGCGAGTTCCTCGTGAGACTCCCAGATGAGAACAGCTAGCTTCTTGAAGTAGACTCCCTTTTCCTGTGGGGTTAGAGCAGACCAGGCTGGGAAGGCAGCTTTAGCAGCAGCAACGGCTTCATTGGTGTCTTGTTCAGTTGCTTCAGAGACTAGACGACGATGTTAGACTGGGATAAGCTATTTCCGTTCTATGGGAACGGGTTACCCTCAGCGACTTTCTCTCCAGTGCCAGGAGAAATCAAGTCGAATTTACCCCCATCGGAAGCTTCAACGAACTTGATGAGAATAAGTACGTGTCAGTGGTTGGTTCAAGCAAAGTGGAGTAGACTATGAACACACCTTTCCATTGATGAACAGTCTAGTCTCGAAAGACTTGGTCTTGGGATTCTAAACGATCGTGGACATTTTTCTGGCTCTGGGTCTCTCAATGCAACTTGAATATTTTTGAAATGCGAAAAGAACTCCGGCCTCGGGGCAATGTGGACGTATTTATACTAGTACCAGGACGATCTTGAAGCTACGAGACTTCGAAACACAGCGCTTCTCGCACAAGTGTATCCACATCGCAGTCATATGAATTCAATCTGGATGTGGGGCCAGATCATATTGGACGGCCATCCAAACGCTCTACCGAATCTGTCAAGTGTAGGCGGGGATGTGGAAACAGTGGGACCGACATGCATACGCGAGAGGCCTAAAGAGGGCAAAGTGCGAAGGAGGCGCGCCGATCAAGCTTTGGGTTTAACCTTGAGAGCAAAGACCAAAGGATCTCCTGAAAATGGGGTCTGTGTGGGGTAGATGTAGAGCGTGTTTCGACATCTGGTAACTCGAAGATTTGAAGATCACTATAAACTCGTTAGATCTTGCCCTCGCTCTACAATAGGTGACTTGGATGATACAAAAAAATGCCTCAATTGGGTCCCATTTTGCGCTACAGTTTAGACTGCATGTCAAACATTTACAGGTCCACCTTGGAGACTCTCGGATGATCTCATATATTGGGGGCTGAAAATGCGTGGACGTGCGGAACGGGTCGGAAAGATCAACTCCCTACATAGCTAAGATAGCTGAGATGGTCTGTCATTTGCTTGGAATGATTCAAAGTCGGGATTTGATAGAAGAGTACTCAAACCCCGAGCTTGGATTAAAATAATGAAATGAATCGAGGAGCTTCAAGTTTAAAACTCCATATATTCTGACCAGCTGAACAAGAAAAATGAGATCAACTTCATCAACTCGTGATTATTATTCCAATCTATTAAATTTATGGGATATAATGATTAACACCGATGCTTAGCTTACAGTCGTCAAAACAAACAAAAAAAATCGCAATTCTATCATCTTATCAAGGTATCATCAGATATCAATCAGAGTGCTCATTATCAGTCGGAGCTTCACTCTCCACCTTGGCCGCAGCAGCCCCATATAACTTCTGCATGAATGCCTCAGAAGCCGCCGCATACCGACATCTCTTCCGAATCTCGGGTCCATATTTATAGAACAAGAAAGGCATAGGCACACAAGCGAGTGCCAGGAACGCTGGAATAGATGACGCCCAGTGGATACCGAGATTATCATACATAGATGTCGTGAAGAGCGGAAACGCTGCACCAAAAAGTGATCGCATGGAGACGTTGGCGGCTAGCACAGATGCGGCATAGATGGTGTATGAATCGATCAGGTAGTTCAGTACTGGAAGGAAGACCATCACCATTCCGAAACCAAGAGGTACGCCGGCGGCTACGGAGGCGAGCCAGTGGATGTCAGGTGAGTTGGTCCAGGCGAACCAGAACAGTCCAACGGGAAGGGAGATCGCACCAATCATCGCGGCTGGCAGGCGCGCTTCAGGTGGAAGCCGGCCTTTAGCAGCAACGGCCTTTCGTTGGTAGCTGTAGAATACTGGGAAGGTTGCTATCGTGGAACAGACGATGCCGAGAGTTATGCCCAGGAAGGATAGACCACCGACTCCTTCACTCCAGCCACGTTTTTCTTGGTAGACGATTGGCATTGCTGCGAAAAGCATGTACAGACTGTGAAGGTTAGTTTGAGGTCATAGTGAAGGTAATAGTTGAGATACTCACATTCCGTAAATAATGGAAAGATAGATCGAGAGTAGGAGAACGATTGGCTCGCGGATAAGAAACACCCATGGTCGGAATAAAGTGACTTTGAAGATTTCTGCGGGGCTTTTTTTACCCTGATCAATCTCAACCTTACTCTGATAGACTTGACCAGTGCTTGCAGACAGACGTTCAGCACGCTTGCGGAGTAACACCGGCGCATATGTCTCCGGTAAAAAGAGAAAGCCGATAATTCCCAAGAGTCCGGAAAACGCAGCGACCAATCCCTCCACCCAGCGCCAACCTTCGTTCTCCGCCAAGAATCCACCGATAATAGGACCCAGAGTCGGGCCTAGGAAGGGCGCAGCGCAGTACAATCCACTTGCAAGACCACGCGTCATTGCGGGGAAACAGTCTGCAATAACACCACCCGATACAGCGAACGGGGCAGCACCGAACGCTCCACCAAAGAATCGAAGAATCAATAGAGTCCAAATATTTTGGGATCCAGCACAGCCAGCCGTGAATGCGGTCAAACCCAGTGCACTCAGGTTCAAGGCGACTCGTCGTCCGTATAGCTCACTCAACGGTGCCCAGAGCAACGGACCGACAGCAAATCCAAGCACGAACAACGAGATTCCAGCGATCGAGAGCTCCTCGCTAATTTGGAAATGCAGAATAATCTGTGTCAGACTGCCCGAGTACGCAGACGAGACCAATGCCACCGCCAATGTGTTCATACCAACCAAGAGTGTAATCCAACATTTTTGCAAGAACGGGAAGTTCATAGGATCTCGAGGATCATTGGGGATCCATGTTACCTGGTAAGGATCCTCCTCTGTTCCAGAACCATTATGAGTATGATCAATAACCTCCTGCGGAAGAACAGATTGATCAAAGATTAGACGCCAATATGGGATGCCTTTTGTCTGTGGCACCTCCGCCGCAGTTCCATCCATGGTCGCAACAATGTAACTGAGAACACACACTGAGGACAAGAAAGAAAAGGGAGAAAAGAAGAAGGGTCCACGAGATGAAGAAAAATCAACCCATTTCCATAATGGGGCTAAATCTAACGCGAAAGTCTTAGTCTCCGCGCGATTATCGACTCGCACCGAAGATTTTTATCATGTCTAGCACCGACGGGGCAAGAATCCCGATTGGCAACCGACATATCGAATCCGATGCCGTGTTTGGGAACATGACCGTGTAAAGAGGGGCGCTGCAGCATTAGTGTGCTAGCTAGCAGGGTCCTAGACCCGCTTATTTGCGTATGACAATGTTGATTGCGCGCGCGGAAACCCATGTCGAACAGATCTGCACAATTCCCACGTAATTCCCGACAATTGAAACTGATAGTATCGGGATAAACGCTGATCCACTTATATTCATCGCATTAAGTGGATGATCTATGGCATGGATTGCCGGATCGACCCACGTTATCCACCGCTGAACCGATCATATTGAGCTTCTGGACGGCGACCCCGTACGAAGTACGGTTGGTTGCCCAGGTGTGGGTAGATATGAATGTGTTGTCTTGCAGGGATCTGTAGGGCTTATCTGGTTTAGCGAGGCATGGCCCCTATATTTCCAAGATTGTTTCAGGAGTGGATCCGCAGGATCAGGTCCTGAATTATGTACCTCGGTACAAATGATTCTTCAGCGCAAGATGACTCGGAACAATTTAGAGCGAAGAGCTTCGATGTTGGGAGATATACGCTGTAGATCCTAACAACCTAATGCGAATCACCAGTTGATGACTTTAAGCTTAAATTCGGCTTGGCCAATATGGAAATTACCGCTTTCCTAATATGATTACCGCCCAGGTGACTTTGTATACTGCCATGTGTTCTTTGATCTCGTCTAGGTAGAAGTGACGGTTCTTAGTAGCTGCTTCATACTCCGTATACTTAGGCTCATTCAACTTGAAGTTCAATTTAATGCCATGATTAAAAATCTGGAGCTATCGAACTCATATAAACTTCAAATTGAAACCCCCTGCAGCTATAGTTCGAGTCCATCTAAACATGCCTTTCCAAGGTTTGAGCCATAGGACGCAACGTTGTATAATTTCTACGTTGAACTACGTTGGACCATATCTCACGAATGTCGGTAGTATGAAATTTCACCATGCACTACTCATACAAGTCTCAGCTAAGCCGAAAGACAAACGAAAAACCCAACGCCAAGCACAAACGCCGTCCAGCCATCCCACCATCATAAGTCATAACGAAAAGAAACGATCAAAGAACACTCATTTCCCGGCGACCTGCACTACGCATACTCATTCCCGTACTCTGGCCACTCCAATCCGATGAAGAAGAGTCCCCACGATTCCTCGAGCCAATAGTACTGGGAGCTCCAACACTAATCCCAGCTGTTGTGAGGGATTCCCCATCATCGATGATGGGCGGAATAGACCCGCCAACCATAGCGGGACGAATCTTCGCGCCAACGAATCCACGCCTATCACGACCTGTGCGTCCTCGACCCAGCCAGTTGTGTTTAAGGGCTTTGCTGAGGACTTCGATTCGTTCTTGTGAAGCATCATCTGTTTGGACGCTAGCTAGAACGCTGACGCATTGAAGCATACGTCCGACAGTCTCTGTGATAACGTGAGAGGAATCAGTGGAGCCACTGCGGTGAATAATTGTTGGGCGTTGGTTCGAGGTTGGAGGTGAAGAAACGGATGAGAAGATCATGGGATCAGGGTTGGAGGATGTGTTCGAGGTGGCGCGACTACGGGAGTTACTGCTGCCAGGCCGTTGGTTGGCATTTGCCATAGCCAAAGCGCTCATTGAGTCAGATGAATAGCTGTCCGCGACAGTGCTGAGCAAGGTTGAAGATTGTGAGTTGTAGCTGCCGAGACCTGCATCTAGCGACGCAGCGGTGCCTGGGCGACCTCCAGCCCCGGTACTCTTAGATATCACACTGAGCATTGGGAATCCCGTATTAATGGTATCCAAACTGAGACTTGAGAAAGTGGCTTTGAGGGTCTCATAGCGATTCAAGATCATGCGATCTCGGAAAGCAATCAACACCAAATTCCGCACGTCAAGCGATCCGCCAGTCGGCAGTGCACCCCAGAATTCACGAGACTCACGAGGGGTCATCAATGATCCAACTCCCTTGAACTCGAGATCTAGCGGTAGGAAAACAGCCTGAATGAATGGGAGAATAGTTCCGAAGACCAGCATCCACACTTGGACCAAATGAGGAACAAGCTTTTCATTGGGAACCCCAATCAACGAACTATGATTGAGAGTAGCAAAGCCTGCCTCGAGTAGCTCTTGAAGATCCAAAATCAAAGCAGTAGGAGTGCGCTTCTGAACACAACGCTGCAAATGCACCAAGACCAGCTTGTTGAGATCCTCAATAGCAATTCGCACGTCTTCACCGTCAAATATGACGAGTAATTTTGCCTTCAAGAAATCCCATGCATCCTCCGGAGACATGTTATTTAGTCCAAACCCTTGAAGAGTCTCTCGTAGCACAGCTTCTCCCATTACACCCGACGAGCTGTTTAGAGATGACGGCCCAGCAAAGCCCGAGCCAGTGGTAGCGTTGCCATTTGCCACTGAATTCGCAAGCCATTCCGTATGTTCTGATTCAGCGAGAGCCTTCTCTTTCTCCTTTTCTTCCTTTTCTTCTCGCGCAGTGCTCGTCCGCCATGCAGCAAATCCAATCCACTGACAGATTTTCCGAACGTGGCTCCCGGTGCTGGAGTCGCGGGGCTAGTAAATGAATAAAGAGATTGAGGAGCGTTAGGGTCTGCAGGACGAGAATTACTCGACGCAGATGACAGAGGTAGGTTAAAGTGTTCGTCACGGTCCTTTAACTTGAGCTTCTGTCGTGATAAGAAATGATGCTTATGTTTATCCTTGTCCTTGGTATCCTTTTCTGGTGGTGGAGGTTTCTCCCCAGCCGGCACAACAGTGCTAACCGAGGCGTTGGAGAGGTTGTACATTGAAGAGTTATTCGAGGGTAGATCCGCCAGGCTAGTCGTAGATGCGCTGACCATGCGCGAGAGACCACCACCAATCTTACTCGGAGAGGGCAAACCACGATCCCGGCTGTATGGATCCGACTTGTCTCGACTTAGGACGATATGTTTCGGTTTTGAAAATAGCTTATTTTTCTTTTTCTTGCTCTCCGGTGGTTCCCCCGGTGGCTGGGAAGCTGCCCCAGCCCGCGGGAACACAACGTTGGCGGCTGTGGTGGCAACACTTGGAGGAGGCTGGTTGATTCGCAAAGGAGCAGGCATCAATGGTGGCGGTTGCTGAGTTGGGGAAGCACTGCCACTACGTCGTGTCTCCTCTGGTCTTTTGATCTGTTGCATAGCCGCCTGAGCGGCGATGCGGGAAGCCGACACTTGCGGCATCTGGTCAGACGAGGCGGTAGGTAGGGACGGTTCAAAGAACCCCTGCGAGGTGTGTCGAAATCTGTGTCTAGGCAGCTCGGTCGATGGGCCGCGCCCTGACGGACGACGTTCTTGAGGCATTCTAGCGGCGCGTTGGGGTGACGTGGTGGCTGAAGCAGATCGGTGTGGGGAGAAATAACCCCCTGGGGGTGGGTTGATTGGAGTAATGGGGGCGGCTGAAACGGTTGTCACATTGGACGAAGCATCACTACCCGATGACACGGGACGACCCAATTCGTCTTCGTCTGAATCGTCGTCGTCGTCGTCAGAGACCGGAGGAGGATGTCGATGGATCGGAGCGGGGACTTGTCGGGTCCGACCCGGAGAGTTGGGGGAACGAAAAGCAGGGTTCATTGCGACATGTTTAATTAGACCCTTACAATTATATATATAACCTTAGGCGACCAGGATATGAAAGAGAGGGTAAGAGTCAATAACTGCAAGTAACAAGGTTGTTTCAGAATGTTGAATGCCTAGTTTAACTGGTATCCACGATCAACAATCCCTTGAGCTGCTTTGGGTTTAGTCTCCCGATTGTTCTCTTTGGTCGATCTTTTCTACTTGAAACTCCCCCGCCACCTTTGCTCTGCCTATACACATAACCCAATCCCTCTCCACTGATTATTCCAATCATGGCTGCCAACACACTTCTAAAGGCTCTCTACACCGCTCCGGATACCACCAAGTCGTTTCACTTCACAATTCCGACTGCTTCATCTCAAGACCCCGCCGCAAAAGCAACCCACTTATCAGCATTACGAAGTGAAACACCGAAGCTTCAGGAGGAAATTAATGTCTACTTGACTGCCCGAATGGAAGAAGACAAGAAATCCCAGGGACAACTCTCAGAGAAGGAGGCTAAGGAGGAGGAAAATTACGGCGAAGAAGTAGTTGAAGATGATGCGTGATCGAGGTCATGATGCTTATAATGCTACAACTGGGTATCAAACAAAAAGACAAACCCCCTGCATGATGCACATGAAACTATGTGCCAAAGAAAAAAAAACCAAAAAGAAAGAAAAGAGAAAGAGAAACCCAATCAGACTACCTCGAGGTAGTAGTGCCTGCTACTCGGTTCGCACAGCCCAAATGAACAACAGTGTTGCTAGATTAAAGTCAGCACAAATTCAAATTTACAAGAACGGGGGTAACCTTACTCCGGGAACACATTGATCACACTACCTCCTAACCGCTTGTGACACACACCACAAATTCGTTCTTCGGTGATCGTAACGTGTCGGGCTCGGGTTCCACCTCCTCGAACATTCTCACCGAGTGTTAGTTGGGCCTCGGTCTGCATATCGCGTGCCTTACGCAGGCTCGCCACAATACGGGCCTCGTTGAAGACCGAGTTTGCGGCCCGCATGCGTCCCTTGAAATAGAATTCCAGTTCCTGAACGGATAGTGTCGCAGGGATTAAACCCAGGGCTGCATCTGCTGGTAACCGGGATCCATGCTTGGCGAGCACAGCAAGTGCGGGGCCATTCTGAGCTGGGTATCCGTGTGGTGGTGCGAGGTACATTGAGAGCAGTGTGAGATAGATGGACTGCTCTGGCTCTTTCTCTGTGGCTTCAGCCAGATGCACTTGGTTGCAGTACCTAGTTGATTCAATCAGACCATATATGCAAGGGGGACACAAAAAAAACTTACTCTTCCGCTTTTCCGTGATTTTCAAGCTTGAATACGTAGATCTCTAGCACTTGGCGGTGTTGGCCCATCTTGCTAAACACAATGGCTCGTGCCTCGTAGCATTCGGGGTCTGTTCAGTCAGCATATAGTTCGGGGATGATGAATGGTTGAAGCTGTAATCATGCACATGTGTGGCTTACCGTCACGATCTAGCTGGTCCAGAATCTTAGCTGGCGAATACTGCTCGCTGTCCTTGAGCATGTCCAGGAATTTATTTTTAACCTCGATGTCCGATTTGTCTGCTCTAAGCTGGTCAAGGTATAAAACCAAAAGCCGCTGGTGCAAATCTGGGGTCATATCATTCCACTCGTGGATGACATGCTCGAGGTATCTAACAGCAAGTTTAGAGTCAACGCTTTGCAAAAATGTCAAGACTCGTGGACGAGGTAAGGTTTCGGCGTTCTCAGTATCGGTCAAGAAGATCTCCATACCAAGTTCTTCGTCTGTTAGTAGAGGCCATTCTCCAAATTCAATAATCAAATCGATTTGGTCTGGCGGAAGATTCTGCAGATAGGCAACGGTACGTGTTGGACCGGTGAGTGGTCCAGCTTCTCCTTGCCCAAAGCGTTGGAGCAATTCCAAAGCTTGGCGATGCAGTCTTTTGCCATATAGGAAGTCGATCAGATCGTTATATCGACCGGTCTCTTCCAGTCGTTCCATAACCACTTCCGGGTCGCAGAAGTTGGCAATGCGGAATAGAGACCCCGCAAGGGAAGGCGTAGCATACATGTGTGCACGGAACAATGTTGTATCGACTAGGCGCGCCTTGTCACGAATCGCATCCAGAAACTCTTCGGCAGATGGAAAGTCGAGGAGCTTCAAAACAGAGTCACTAGCTTCATCCTTTGCGTCCGTTGGCGCAGGCGCTTTAAGAGAGCCATCTTGGCCCAGGAATCTTTGGAAGCGCCGACGAACATCTGCCAAGTATCCCTGAAGTTCGCGAACAGCATTCTTAAGATCTTTTTCTTCGTCTCGAGTATCTCGGACTTCTCGAACACTGACTGTATCGCTACTTTCATCAGTCCTGCGCAGGAAGGACTGGACTGAGTGGGCATAAAGCGATGATGTCGGCCCACCATTCGCTCCATTGGCTCCATTGGCTCCATTAGCTCCATTAGCCCCGTTGGTGGTTTGAACATCAGAGCAACCATCAGCCTGAGCTCCATTGAGCTTTGGATCGGAGGACCTGGGGTCTGATCCATTCTGACTATTCTGCTCTGGGACGGCTGAAAGATCACCAGCAATAGACTTAGGATAAAGACGAATGACTGTCTCAGGGGCCGCTGCAACTTCTGTGAATAAATCCAAAGAGTCTCGATATTTGCGCAACGCAAACAAGCTTTGCGCTTTTTCAAGCTGCGCGGCGCGAAGTCGACCTGGCTTGTCTCGCAGGAGCGCATCCTCCAACATCCCCAGGAGACTGATAGCCTCATCCAAGTAGCCCTTTTCAACCAAAGTATCAATCTGTGTGTCGTAGCTTAAAGCCTCCATCCGCCAGATCGTGCGATCGCTGCCAACCAAGAACCCTTTGCCAGCATGTGCAAGACTGATATTCGGCTGGGGAATGTGCAGGATATTTGCAGCAGGAAGAGGAATCGATTGCAAAAGTGACAATGTCTCTGGATTGCGAACCTCCAGTACACCTTTAGCAGTATCATGCAAAGCCAAAAGAAACGGATACGAGTAGCCAATTTCCACAGGAGCATGACTCCAGGGAATCTGTCGTCGTCCAAGTGACTGGCCCTCCACATCAATGAAATTGGTATTCACATCCTTGGCCAATAATATCTGTCCCTCGAGTAGTCTTGTAGCTAATGGCTTCGGTACCATTCCTCCCATTCCAATATAACTCATGCTCGCTGCGCCAACTCCTGTAAACCGACCGGGCTCCTCAACACTCCCGGGACTCGGCAGTTCAGTCACTTGGCCATTTTCGATATCCACCATCACGAAACTCGATCCCAGCCCCACAACCAATCGTGTGGCAGATACCCAAGTGAGAGTCTTAATCCCGCTCACTAAGCTTACTTCCGTGGTATTCGGCTCCAGCTCCATATCCCGCCACACCCACATCAGGATCTTCCTTTTGACCGCAACGGCCAATCTGGAAACGATAGCTGGGACATGGGTATCGGGGTCATTAATGACATTCGAGGTAATGGCAAACGCCGAAGCGCCTTTCGTCTGTGAAAGCTGTTCCTGGAGGTCGTAGGTCTGAGAGTCATGTAGAAAGACATAACCACCTGAAAGCGAAACAATGATATGCGCCTCCTTAACCAGAGCCAGCTGCTCGATCTTGTACCGGGCGAACTTCTCCAACTCTCGGAGTAACTCGGTCTTCCCGTCGTCGGTTACGCGGTAGATGCGGAGTGTGCCATTGTTTAGGCCGGCGAGAAGTCGGTCGCCGTAGGCTAGGATGGAGTCGATTCGGGATTTGTCGCGAGGTTTCAGCTCGACCAGGGGTCTGGCCGTGAATGCGGATAACATCGCGCACCGGCAGGGGTCAATTTGTCCCTCTGCCTCGCTGGGCTCCTTAGTGTTTGCGGTGTCGAGAAGCTCCGCCATGTGACGTCTTTGCTGAGTCATCTTTCTTCATGCCTGAGGCAGAAACAATCTATCCTTGATCAATCGCGTCATTAATTCCCCCTTCAGTGAACCCACTATCTTCCGCGTTTAAAATATTTCTTTGAGCTTCTTCTGCCAGTGATTGAATAGAGTAGCGGGAGCAGCAGAATCTACAATGTCTCGGATATATAATGGCAAAATCTCAAAATCTCTGATAGTAAGCGTTTTCCTCAAAAGAGGCGAATTCTTCTTATGCCGTGATGCGGACTGCTCCGAGTCTTACCAGCATGATGACATAGACACCTCGCAGCTATTCGTCTTCTATTGCTCTTATCCGACTCCTTAAGCTGGGTGTTTAAGTGAACTCTACCCAGTCTCCTAATGATATTCATTGAATGTTTAATGGAAGATCGGAATAGCTATCCGAGGTGGAAAACTATGTAGTAGCACCTCGTAAGAGATACATATGGAGGCTTCCAAGGTTCTTCAACGTTTTGATTAAGCAATTAGCGGCGTCAAGACAAATCATTCAACCTCTGAAGCCCATGTGCAAGGGTCTGCATTACCAGCTAGATAGCATCAGATGATAGTAGAATATCATCATCCTTAGCTTGCGAGTCTTAGCCACATTCAAATTGATTCCATCGTTAAGATCTTGCCAGTGGCAACCCTTGGGCAAGCTAAGACTGTCCATTCACCTATTTGGTACTCGAGTTTCGACTATTTCACTCAAATAGTACCGAAGAAACAGTTCTCTTGTCGCCGGACTTTGCGCCTCGAAGTCCCAGATCTCCGAATGCTGTATGCTGACCTTTGTCCCGTCATACGTGGCTTGTAGGATTCTCCCGTGGTTTGGCACCATATAGGTAAAAGCCAATACCTGAGAATGCCATTTGTTAGCCTCTGTATTCATGCTATGCTTCTCTCGGAAAACTTACAGGGAGAATTTGATTCTTATCCCAGCCTCCATTGAGTTCCTTGAATGTTAAAGCAAATGAAATAGCACAGATCTCCTGATCCGTTAAATGAGATTGGGCGTCAATCTCGTAGATATTTGTGATGATAGAAACCATCATGTGTGGCTGGCTACTGGTATAATTTTCGTGTTCATAGTATGAGACGTGACCAGTAGAGGTCAAATCTGGCCAACATCTATCGACAGTTGATTTCCTGGAAAGGTCTTGTGTTAGTTTAACCAGATATGGATTAAGAATGATACTGGTGACTTGCTGCAAAAACTGAGAAGGTCTCAAAGATTAGAGATAAGGCCTCCCTGATTTTGGGGACTCATCAATTAAATCCTCATTAATGTCTTCCCAAATTGCGTTAGATCGATGGTACCAAGCCTTCTCGGTAAAATAGGAATGTTTGCGCCAGGCCACTTGAACCCTCGCCAGTCAAATTCATCCTCTCCACGATTTTCTCCTATGCGGCATTTGCCTTCTTGTTCTTCCTTTATGTATTCATCGCTAGTCTTGCAAGGCTTTGCAAGACAATCCTGGTATTCGGGGACGGGGGGATCAACTGTGTATTTTTGAAATAGCTTCTCAGGATGAGGTTTGAAAAAGCATAGTTCAAATTGAAGCTCACCATCGGATATCTTAACTGGAGACGACTCCACTCCCAAAGCCTTCAGATCGTTGGATTTAAAGAAACAAGATGTATATTCTTGCTCACTGTGGACAAGATCGTAGAGATTCTTGAGTATCGGGCCGCTGTTGAAGCGAGACAATATCCCGTCATCGATTTTGAAATCCATTTTGACAAAGAAGACAAGAAGAAAAAATATTTCTAGAATATCGACTGAAGGTAGTGAGGTTTTGTTGATGAAGAATTATTTTTGGTAGTTGGAAGGAATAAAGCAGAGGAAACGGAGAGGTGCCGGGTTCTGGAAATGGCGCCGGTGCTATCCTGAGTTAAACCAACCTTCAAATATTGGAATTGGTGTAAAATAAACTTTCAACAGAACATATAAGGCTTAGTCCCAGTTGCCGCTTACTTTTTGAACGAATGAGAGAGCTGTTCAGGTGTTATATATCAAGTTCGAGTCAGAGTACCACAGGCACCCTATAGTAGCTTCTCATGGACGTCCACCCAAGACTTCAATGTTCGGATATCTATGTAATATTTGAAAGCACCATCACGATCTTTCAATGTTCTAAGGACTCGAAATCTAGATATGGCAGCATTAATGGAAGAAAATTGGATAAGAATATTCTGAGTTTTTTTGGATTTTTTAATTAAAACGAACAAACAATAACAATATTTTTGGTATCTGAAAAAAAGGAAAGAACAGTCACTTAAAGTGACAAAAAGAAACCCATAAAAACCGCCACAAACGCCGGTCATGCACCTCAACAGTGAAGTCCAAAGGGCTCCACCGCCATCTCAGTTGCGTGGGACCTAGTGTCCCCCAGCGGGAAACTCCTGGTGGGTAGCCGAAGTACCCTTACCACGCCAAGTCGAGACAGCCGGGATGTCGGCCTTGAAGCGCTTCTCGTCGGTTCCATAGGCGCCAGGAGTAAGCTTGATGAGGGTGTGAAGAGGCACCTCCATCCAGGGCGAATTCTCCTGGGGAATGTTCATGAAGTAAGCGTAAATGCAGCGCAGAACAGCCTGGTGGGTAACGATGATGACGTTCTCGCTACGCTCGAGTTCCATGATGATAGGCTCCAGGCGAATAACGACATCGCGGTAGGATTCACCTCCACGGTAACGGTAGTTGTACTTGTCGTCGTCGCGGGCCTTGAAGTCCTCGGGGTACTTCTCAGAGATCTCCTGGTAAGTCAGGCCGTCGCAAACGCCAGAGTCCAACTCGTCGAGAGCCTTCCACTCGAGCTTCTCGAAACCGGTCTCGGTCTTCAGGTGGCGGGCGGTTTGAATGGTGCGGCGCAGAGTCGAGGTCCAGATGACGATCTTGGTGTTCTCGGGGATTCCGGACTTGCGCATCAGCTCGGGAAGAGCGCTAGCGTAGGCTTCACCTCGCTCAGAGATGCTGGAGTCACCACCAATGCGACCAGTCAGGTTGTACTGGGATTCACCGTGCTATAGGACTTTTATCAGTTTTTATTCACCATGTGGGAATTTTTCACCTCAGTTGAAGGGGGAAAACGTACACGAGAGAGCCAAATGGAGCGGGGCTTGATGTGCAGGTTCTGGATGTAGTACACCAGACGGCTGGACAGGTAATCCTTGATTTGGTTGATGATAACGGTAGAGCCCACGTTGATCAGCTTGACATATGGGTAGCTCTTCTCATCCTCACCGATGGTCTCATAGACCTTCTGGTAGTTGCCGATGCGCTTGCGGAAGTCGGAAACGGCCAACTCAGGGTCCTGGCCCTTGTAGTCGGGAGAGGTGGTCTTGACCTCGAGGATGTTGTTCATGATGAGGTCCTCATCATCGCAGATAGACTCAACAAACAGAGTCTCGATGCCTGCAGCGGCACACTCCTGGGCGATCCACTTGCGACGCTCCTTGGTTGAATTGGTGGCGTCAAGGATAGACACGACACCCTTGTCCTTCTTGAACCACTGGAGCATGTCAGACATGGCGGCCTGGGCAGCAGCTCGGCGCATGCGCTCGCCCTCCTCATTGTGAGGGTCGAAGAAAGTAGCCTGAGGCTGGGGTGTGTTGTTACGCCGGTAGTTACCAACGTTGAAAACACGAGCTGGAATACCAACCCAGCCTAGGTAACGCATAGCTGTGGCAATGTTAGTACGTGTTAAACACGTGTATCGGTGAGTCAACTTACCTTTGCCGGCGATGAGGCTTTTGCCACGGGCCGGGAGGCCAACCATGACGACACATATCTTGGAGGTGTCGGACTGTTCATTGACAGGTAAGTAAATGCAGGGCTTTGGCAACGGCATGGTGGACAAAGCAGATTGGAGAGAAAGCAATGAGAAGAATGGGGTTGGACAAAGGATAGAAAGGGCAAGCATGCACAAGTGCAGGCCAGGAGAAACGTGAAGGAGGAAAAGAGGAAGAAGAAGAAATTCAAAACAGAAGAAGACTAAATAGTCACAGCAGAGTGACACGTAGGCCGTGAGATCAACAATATTGAATGTGATCAACGATGCGATCTCAGGCCGCGAGATCAACGATGCGATGCGATTGACTGTGATCAACGATGCGATCTTAGGCCACGAAATCAACGATGCGATTGATACTGTGATCAACGATGCGATCTTAGGCCACGAGATCAAAGATACGATTGCCAGTATGATCAATGATGTGATTAACAGTATTATCAAAAATACTGTATTGATCTCGAGGGCTAAACGATGCAATCTAAACGATGCGATCTCCAAGGCCAACGATTTGATCAGAACGATGCGATCTCCAGACAGAATCATGTGATCTGCAATATGCGATTTCAAAGCTAAGAAATGCGATCTGGGAAATCTATCGCCATGGCGATGGTTCGTTGACAGCATCGAGTCATCGCGGCCTGGTAGTACTTGACGACGACAAAGGTAAACGTTGACAAACGTTGACGACATAAGCGTGTGGAGGACAAGCATCTCGGCAATGCCCCTTCAAATGTCCCATATAGAAAATACAAGATCGAACAGCAGTAACCCTTATAGAGAGGCCATGACATGAAAGATTCTAGCATATCTAGGTTTTCTTCTTTTTTACATGCTGATCCGAACATAGCCTTCGGGCTAGTTCAAACATAGGGGGACAAGGATGTTCAAAAATCCGGGGAAGTAGGGCAAAAACAGGGGGCCAGAAAATTAGAACTCACGCTAGCTAGGAACACTTTGTGTTGCGACTGACTCCGAATAGTACTTCCTGAAGACATGATTGCGAATTTGATGATCGGAAGGAATAGGGACAATATTCCGACCCGAGGCCGGAGGGAGAGAAGTAGGACACGACTTCAAGCATGCAGCAAAATAGTATAAACAATATCCAAGGGATTTGGAAAAGGCAGTTCTTCAAATATAGTTTTCAGAGGCAAGATAAAATCCAAAACGAAAAAGAAACGGATTATAGAGAAGAGAAAAAGCAAGATGATCATGCGGTGAGTCTGGAATCGGAATGGGTTGGGGCTCCACTATCGAGGAACTAACGTCATCTGATCAATGAAAATGTTCTGGATCTTCAACTTCAACTTGGAAATCTTTCTATATTTGATGCTAATATTGAATTCAATGCTTTTCTATCTATATATCCTCTATGCAAAACTCCTTTTTTTTTAGTCATACCATCATGATCGTCACGATCATCAAGTTCTATACTTCAGCCTCGGAGGAACTAGGGCGTTCTTCAGGCTTAGTAGTAGTACCCCGCGCCCGAGACACACGGATCGGCCCACCCCAAGGTCCTTGCTTTCCATTGAGAGTGTCCATGGCCCGTTGAGCCTCTTCCACGCTGCTCAAATCCACAAACAGATAATAGTGCTCTCCAGGATCGAATCGCTTAGCGGGGTGCGGGGTGAACAGCTTGCTAACTTTCTCACTGCGGGGCATATCAGCGGGGAGTTCAAAATGACCATGATATCCAAATGGGAGGGACTTACACTTTGTATCCTTGGAAGAAAGCCTTGATATGGGCTTCCACAACTTCAGGCTCGGCCACACGAGGTAATCCACCCACATACACTCGCTGACTGGCATCGGAGTTGATGGAGTTGGTGGGGTTAATGTTGAACTTGATAGGGCTCTCACCCTCGGGACGACGCCAACGATCCAATCCAAAGGGTGATCGCTGCTGCTGTTGCTGCTGCTCACTAGCACGCTCTGCTGATGACTTAGCCACACCGGGCTTAATCTTAACAGGACGACCCAGCAAATCCTTCCCATCCAAATCGATCATGGCTCGCTCCGCATCCTCTTTTGTGTTCAAGTCGACGAAGCAGTAGGAGGGATTCCGGCCGGTAAATGGGTCAATGGCAATATCAATGCGCTCGCTATCAAGGTTTACACTCAGCAAGGCTGAATCGCCAGCAAAGGATGATAAAGATGTCCATACATAGGGAATTGGGCGGCTGTGAAGATGGCCTGCACATCTTCCAACTTGGCCGTGTACGGCATGTTGCCTACATACAGACGACGACCCTCGGAGATTGCTTGGGGCACATGTGATCCAGGACGACTAAACGCGGAGCGAGAGGTATTGGTTCGTGGGGAGGGAGACACAGGCTGAGGACTTTCTTCGCCCTTCATACGCCAATTGGCAGAGTTGAATGAACGACCATTGGTTCGGACACCTTGGTAAGGAGTTCGAGGAGCTACTTGTTAAAGGAAGTGTCAGCCAATGATCTCTGTAATTTGCAGTTTTTATTTTCTAGTAGTGGGATGATTCCTGCTATGCACACACTTTGTTGCTCCTCTGGTCTAGGGATCTCGACATCGGCCATGGTCTGGGGGGGTTTAGTAATGGAGTTTTTTCACAGGATGAAAACGGTAAGTCTCTTACTGAAAATTTTCAATTTTTTTAATGAAAAAAAGCACTTTAGAAAAGCTACCGAAGATAATGAAGCTTGACACTTTTTTTTGTTTGCGAGTGCAAACAGTGCAAACTTGAACGAGGGATCCACCATCCACTATTTAATTTTTCTTTGCTCTTCGCTTCTTCATGATTTTTTCTTTTTTCTAAACAATCTGACATGGATCAGCTTGTCCTTTAGTCATTGATCTTCAATTGACCTTGGTCAATTCTATCATGGCCTTCTACACCAGTTTCCAGCAGCATTGAGCAAGCATATCCGACGCTTCGTCTGCTTTCCCATGTAACGCTAGCATATATTGGCAAGTATTCCATGGGAAAGCGCGCGAAGAGATATCGTTTGTCTTGATGCTGCTATACGCGACCCAATTGAAAATCTCAATTGGGTCGCAGGCAGTCAAAACGTGAGTATCATCGCATCTTCCTTTCCACTCTTATGATGAAGTACAAATCCACACAGACCTGTTCTGAATTCCATTGAGGATAAAAATTACGGTTAACAACTACTATCTGATCGAGTCTCTTACTGTGTTTTCAATTCAACACTATTTTTGATCGTTGCTAATGATCTTCAAGTGCAGGACTATTTCCGATCGATTCGATCTCAAGTTATAGCTACCGGCCAGCTTGCCTATCATCTTTATACAATTAATTTCATTTTATTTTTTACATATTGGTTTCAAACCCTCTCGTAAATCCCTCGTAGGCCATGGATTATCTCTATTGAGATCTAACGATCCTATTCCACCCCGTAGATCTCTGTCATGATGTTTAATAGGGCATACCTAGTATTTCAAGGCTGAGTTATCACAATTTTAGGCCTTAAATCCCCCAGTTGACTTCCCGAGGTCCTCAAAAAACCTTGGAAATGCTGCTACTAGTAGTACAGGCAATCTACTAGTACCTTTGGAAGAGACGACTCGGAAATACAACTTCAAGTTGAAATCGAACATCGAAATCATATTTCAAGGTTAGATGTTCATATAACAACTTTTCAACTGTTAAGACGGATTCATCTAAGCATAACCATCCCCTCATGATGCAGTAATTTCATCTAATATCATAGTATAATTACTAGCTTTGAAGCATGGGATAATTTTGAGAAGAGATCCAATTTTCAGTTCCAGTTGGAACTACTTTGTACTGAGTAACTTCTCTTTAGACGTATCTCACGCTCTACTTAGGTCATATGTAGTAGTAAGTATGCACTTGGATGGAGGAAACGTCTTAGACTGAACTTGAACCCCGCTAAATAGTTCCACAACAGAGCTCATAAAGGAATAGAATCGATTTTGTGTAATATTCTGTTGCCTCGTATGACCGTCGAATAGATTCGGCAAGCACATATGTTGACTCGGATATGCATGCAAGTGGGTGCATTGGATGAGGTTTCTCCCGCGTAGTACAGAGGCCGAATCTTGACTGAACTGAATAACTGTACTACTATAGACTCCAGATTAATATCAGTCTCGGAAGATCGGATAAGTCAACCTTAATAGTGTAAGCCTCATTCAATTTACCCTACTGCACTCACTTCTCCCTCGACATAGTAAATGTATACCGTCGGATAGTAATCGGCTCCGCAAACCTGCAATGATCAGGTGTGGGGAAGTGTCGATCCCGCCAGAGCTCCAGGTTTCGAGCCGCTGCAGCGGACCGCCGTCGGATAAGGAGCCGACATAATGAGCATCCGATGTACAAGTAGCTACAGCAGAAATAATGACTAGTACCTTGTGAGATGAAACTCAGTCATGGTGCTTCGTAGTTCAAGTTCCGAAGGTGCGGGGCAAGCAACTGCGGAGTCAAGTATAAAACACCGTGACCCCAAAAGTGATGTAGACATCTCCCCTCACTCAGACCTTAAAGCTCTCCTCAACTTTAAACTCGGAGGTTTACAATAAAACTTGAGTACCACCTAAAATAAGCTCCATACTCAAATAAAATGCTTGGAAAAATCGCCCTCGAAGAGGCCTTCGCGCTTCCCCGCTTCCAAGAAAAGACAAGATGGTGGGCCGGTCTCTTCGCCACTGATGTCGACAAGCACGTTGCAGAGATCACAGATGTGGATTCCATTCGATTGAACTTCGCCGAAAAGCACGGCGTCGGACTCCAGATTCTCTCCTACACCGCACCAGGTGTACAGGATATTTGGGATCCTAAGGATGCGCAGGCACTTGCTGTGGAGATTAATGACTATATCGCTGAGCGGGTGCAGGCTCACCCGGATCGATTTGCTGCTTTTGCGTGAGTTCTCCCTTTTCGCATACACACGCACATACTTCATGTATTTGATTCGTTGCTAATTCATCCAGAACTCTCTCCATGCACGATCCCAATGAAGCAGCTCAAGAACTCCGCCGCTGTGTAACAAAGTACGGGTTCCTCGGTGCTTTGGTAAACGATACCCAACGTGCCGGAGCCGATGGTGACGATATGATCTTCTACGATAACGAGAAATGGGATATCTTCTGGGAAACCTGTACCGAACTCGATGTCCCTCTATACCTGCACCCGCGTAACCCCACCGGCACAATCTACGAGAAGCTCTGGGCGGATCGGAAATGGCTTGTTGGACCTCCTCTTTCCTTTGCCCAGGGTGTTAGTCTCCATGCACTCGGAATGGTCACAAATGGTGTCTTTGATAGACATCCTAAGTTGCAGATTATTCTCGGTCACCTGGGTGAACATATTCCCTTCGATATGTGGAGAATTAACCACTGGTTTGAGGATCGGAAGAAGTTGCTAGGTCTGCAGGAGACCTGCAAGAAGACTATTCGGGAGTACTTTGCGCAGAATCTGTGGATTACTACTTCTGGTCATTTCTCGACGCCTACACTGCACTTTTGTATGACTGAGGTTGGGGCTGACCGGATTCTTTTCTCTATTGATTATCCGTTTGAGAATTTCGAGGACGCTTGTGATTGGTTTGATTCAGCTGAGTTGTCGGATATTGATCGGTTGAAGATTGGCAGGGAGAATGCTAAGAAGCTTTTCAAGTTGGGTGCTTATAAGGATAGCAATGCTTGAGATGTATAGTATCTATTAGTATTATTATGTCTACGTTATGAGGAATTCAAAATTCGAACAATTTGAATCTTTTTTTTTTTGCTTTTTTTTTTCTTTTCACCCTTGGTACGAAATATAGCAGGGACTTTGGACAATAGGCCCATCTTTCATTCTTCGTACCGGCATGCCTTCACCCCGTCGCTCATTTCCCTGCGTTTCAATTCCCCCCTTTCTGCCGCTCTGCCCTCATTTTACCTTTCAGTCAAATCCAAGGTAACGCTCAATACACACGGGCAGAGGGCACGAAATGTGGTGGGGAAGTCTGACCAGCGACGGGATGAAGAATCTGTCGCGCATAGTGATCAGCATGCGCTTGTAATTGGCGTAGTTCTCATTGGCGCCGGAAAGACCAGTCCAGATAGCATGGAGGCTTCGAGCAAGTTGGATGCGGGAAGCATTCGCATTTCTCTCGTGGTGAACCTGGGCGCTGCGAACGAGTAGGAACTCCTTGTAAACCCATTCGTCAAATAGAACCATGAACAAGGCCAGAAGGTCTTGTTCAATAGGTCGTGGGTTCTTGAGACTACTATTGTACTGCCATTAGCCATGTATACTCGCGTGGTAGGGAGGGCAACTTACCAGTTTACTATCATTGACATGCGCAGATAACGATGCTTCTCGGGAATATTCGCATAGGACGCCTCTTTCAAGGCAGGGTAAATGTGGACCGAGGTGTTGTAATTGTCCTTGGTAATAGCCTCTACCCAGTTGATCCAGGTGAGCATGCCGTTTGCGATGTACTGGGCGTCCTTTGTAGCCTTTTCGTTCAAAAACTCCGCTTCCGGTTCAGAGAAAAGAGCGTTCTCGAGGCGAATGACCATATTGGTCAATGCGATGAATCGCTCACGAGTTGGAGTAGGTAGTTGAGGGTTAGCAAGGGCCGCTTTGATTGCATTCAGGGTTCGTCGCTTCTTCTCGGAAAGCTGAGCAGGTGACTCGATACGAAGGTCCACAACCCCAGTGCGAATCTGGTCCCGCATGGTGAGATAAAAGGCGCGCAAGTAAGCTATCTCGAATCCGCGGTCTACTGAGATGTCTTCGTAATCTGGAAAGGGTTCGGAGAGTTCATGATTCAAGGCAAGCTGGTCCTGGATCTTATCCTCGTCTGTGGCGTTGCCTGCTCGGAGGGGCGATGCGGATGCAGACGCAGTTTCAGATGCAGATGTAGAACCCCCAGAATCAGATATAAGGGTTAGGTGGGATTGAACTGCCTCGAGCAGAGAGTAATCGTTTGTTTGAGGTCCATCCATCCCGGGAGGAGGGTGGACGAATGGACTGACACGTTGTGAGGACAATAACAACACAGTGGGTGCAGAGGTTGTGAGTTGTGAAAGAGAAACATGGAGTCAGGGTGCAGAGATATTTAAGGCGACGACAGTACGACGATGATACGAAAGATGACGCCGTATTGTCGTTGTGCTGTCGCAGCCTGCTGTCGTCGTATTGTCGCGGACAGTCTCGGCGAACCGCAAACCATCCAACTAGCCCTGGAGATTAGCTAGCCTTCCCTTTTAGTTACCCCCTGTAGGTAATGGCATACATAGGGGAGTAGGTCACCAGTCCATCATGGACTACCCCGAGCCGTACTGTCGTCTGGAGACAAAGAATGCAGTGAAAATGGAGTGAAAAACGATAGAAAGGATATAGATTTTGAAAGATGACCCTAAATATTATTACGGCTGTATATGCCAACCCTGTGGATCCCAAAATGCATAGTGAGATAGAATGCTTTCTGATAGAATCGAGGAATGGCCTTGTCTTCCCCTTTAGCGACTGCTTGATTAACAAGACAGGCTATTGACAGCAGAACAAGACGTTCTGTAAGTCTCTAGCACTGTCTCTCAGAGCATCGCAGAAGAGTTAACGAAGACAATGTAATTCTTCGCACAGTGACTAATCAACGTGTCATGGTAAGGAGCACGGCAACTTAAAGTAGTGCGAGTGGAAGCGATAAACAAAAAGTCTGACGACGTCCATGGGTTACTCCGTTTTAGAGTGGGCGGATGGCTCTTCAGGTACAATTTCATCTTCGCCCTCGGGGAGAGGAACATCCATGACCTTTTCGCCTGCCATTTCCAGGGTTCGTCTGCTCCAGGAACGAACACCTTTGTAAACAGTCTATATGGATAGGGAGGTTAGTTGACATAGCGGGCATCTTGGCAATGCTCATCATACCCAGAGAAAAGTGGCTACACCTGCCACGATCACTAGCCAGTTCAAATTGGCAGCTCGATTGCGTCCACTGGAGCGGGTATTGCTCACACCACGAAAATTCCAGTGTACCGGTGACAAAGTGAACAGCGCCTTGAGGAAAGATGTCAAGCCCAGCGCGGCAAATCCTTTGATGAAGTGTTCCAGCCACGAGGCTTCTTCGTCCAGTTCCTCGTAGATATCGTCCAGTGGGCCAAGATAGAGGTCAATAATAGGGTCAGCAACGAATCCAAGTAGAAAGATAGCGAGGAGAAGAATGGCCAGCGTAAGAACAATTTGAGTAGTAGTGCTACTGATCCAGCGAGCCCAAGTCAATCGACCCAAGCGATACTTGAAACCACAGGTTGGACATTCCCAGTAGTTCCGCGTGCTATATTTGGGGTCGGCATGTCGCCAGGCTTGCAGGCATCCTTCGTGTACATATCGCGAGGAGCCTTTGCATTTGCAGGGACGGAGTAGACGACCAGTTTCTGGATCACTTGATTCATAAACCACGCGAGGTCGTTGGAAAAACTCTGAAGGTTGAAAAGTTGGCAGGACAGTCTCTAGACAAATTCGACAGACACGTGGAGGATAGCTCTGCTGGTAGAAACCTTCCCCTGAGTCTGGCTCATTACTTGGAGAATCCATTGGATATTTGTAAAGAAATCATGTCTTGGGAAAGAAGATAGTAGAATCTCTTTTCTCAAACTCACTCTCTTTAATGAAGGAAGAGTGAAGAAGAATAAAGAGAGAAAGAGAAAATGTGTGGGCAAAGTTGAGCCTCGACTAAACCCGATCAGACTCACCGCCTTTGGACAGCTCAAGTCCCAGCTACCTAAGCAACCCGCGTCAAACGTCACCCGTCTGCCTGTTATTCCTCTTGCCCTTTTCATTTAATCCCTCTTCGATCTTCTGTGATATTGTTGTTTCTGTCCTACACACTATCATGGCTGACCGTTATTCCTTTTCCCTCACCACTTTCTCGCCCAGGTAAGTTGATGAATCTCAATACCCAGCATTGGTCCAGAAGCTAACCCGTCACTCACAGCGGCAAGCTGGTGCAGATTGGTAAGATTGAACAAGAACAATTTTCAAACAGGAGAATCAGACCTGGATACTAACAATGGTTCTGTCAGAATATGCTTTAAATGCCGTCAACCAGGGTGTCACTGCCCTCGGTATCAAAGGTGAGAGGGAGCTTACTCTCCATCAAGATGCCTAACTACAGCAAGCTAATCCACATTATTTCCATCATATAGCCACTAATGGCATCGTTCTTGCAACTGAGAAGAAGTCCTCATCGCCGCTCATCGACCCCCCTTCGCTCTCCAAGATCTCTCTGATCACCCCAGACATCGGTATGGTCTACGCCGGCATGGGTCCCGATTACCGTGTGCTGGTGGACAAGGCTCGTAAAGTGTCACACACAGGCTACAAGCGTGTCTATAATGAGTACCCTCCAACCCGTATCTTGGTACAGGACGTTGCCCGGGTGGTGCAGGAGGCCACGCAATCTGGTGGTGTGCGGCCATATGGTGTCAGTCTGTTGATTGCTGGTTGGGATGAGGGCATTGAGCCCGAGTCTGAGGAGGCCACAAAGGACTCATCTGAGGAGAAGACACCTAGCAAGACTGGTGGTATCCATAAGGGTGGACCCAGTCTGTACCAGGTCGATCCCAGCGGCAGCTACTATCCATGGAAGGCGACGGCCATTGGCAAGCATGCGACAAGTGCTAAGACTTTCCTGGAGAAGCGATACACTGAGGGCTTGGAACTGGAAGATGCCATTCACATTGCGCTGTTGACACTCAAGGAGACCATTGAGGGTGAAATGAATGGAGACACAATAGAGATTGGTGAGTTCTCCCCTACCTAAATGGTTTTGATCTTCTTGTTCCTAGGTAACTAATATAATACAGGTATTGTTGGTCCGCCCGCAGACCACTTGCTGGGTTACGAGGGTGTGGAGGGCGCGCAGGGCCCACGATTCAGAAAGTTGACCAAGGAGCAGATCGAGGACTACCTTACCAACCTATGAGAGACATGATAGAACTCGAATGACACATTTTTCATTTGTTTGGAAGAGACCAGAATAGAAATTATGAGGACAACCACAGCCGCAGGAGTACGTGTACACCGCACGGCTAGATGCCGTAGCAGCAAAAGAGCAGTGTAGATTCCACATCCTCCTCAGTATCTCCACGCTTAAATATCCTCTGGTTTCTGGGAGAGCTATACGGAGTACTCAAGTGACTTCTCATCTTCGCTGCTAATCTCGTTGGATTATAAGGAGCAAACATTCCAATGTACCACTTGAATCAGAAACCGGTATATTTTGGTCTGTGACATCCCTGTCGCTCGCTTAAAAGAGTAATCCCGAACAGGTCACAATCCGCCCAGTTTGTTGGGAATCGGCACTATTGAACAATGGCGTTGGATCTCCTTACCCCGGGTTTTTGGCCCCCGGCACTGATCATATCTAGCTCTATAACACAGACTAGTGTGAAAAAAGAAATGAAAAAAGTTGTATCTGTCCAGGGGTTTACAGGCTGTTGAAATTCCAAGGTTATTGCCAGCCCTGGAACATTTGCATCTGTATCATCGGGTACTTATGGTACGACAGATTTTAATCCAGTCCCTCTTCTTTTCTTTTCTTCTCTGATCTTTTCTTCTTCTCTATTCTTCTTCCTTCAGCTCTACAATTTTCAGCCTGAAAAATGTGGACATATCAGACAGGGTGAACTTGACTCTACAGAGTCTGTTGGCTCCAATCTGCCTTCTACTTACTCTGATCTCCCATCTGGTCTTATAGCATCTCGAATGAACTCATCCAAAAAATACTACCTAAACCATGTCGTCTGTTCCGCAAGATCTGCTAGATGGCATATCCGGCTCCCTCGCCAAAGAAGGAAACGTCCTCCAAATGGTCCTAGTAACGTTCATCGCACTATCGTGCTACAACGTCGCTGAGTTAGTTGTGCTTGTCCCCGCGACTTTTCGTCGCTGGCGAGGTCTCTACTTCTGGTCTTTACTTGCATCAGGTTGTATAGGAGTTGTACCGTACTCCATTGGCTTTATGATGAAGTTCTTTACTCGTGCGGACTCAGTATTATCCGTGACTGTCTTGACTATTGGCTGGTGGACTATGGTCACCGGTCAATCGGTCGTACTGTATTCCAGGCTTCATCTCGTACTCCGTGATGAGAAGACACTAGCACGGGTCCTTCTTATGATTGTTGTGAATTTCTTTTGTTTGCATGTCCCCACTACGGTATTGACTTATGGTGCTAATATCGTGCATACCGGGGATATGGCTTGGATTTGGGGGTATAATGTTATGGAAAAGGTTCAGTTGACCGGTTTTACGATCCAGGAGAGTCTTATTTCAACACTTTATGTGTTTCATACGGTGAAGTTACTTCGTCTTGGTGCGGAGGTGACAATTCGTCCGGACGCGAGGTCTATCATGTACCAGCTCATTGGGATTAATTGTGCCATCATGGCTATGGATCTATTATTGTTGGGGTTGGAATATGCAAACCAGTATGCGGTGCAGATCGTTCTCAAGGGCTTTATATACTCGCTCAAGCTCAAACTTGAGTTCGCAGTTCTTGGTCGACTCGTTGATATTATTCAGGGCTCCAGACATCCCATCTCCATCGCCATTGCCGATACCCTTCCTCTTTGCTCTTATCCACGTGTCCAGGAGAATACGAATCATACTGATCAGACGGAGCCTGATCACGAGCCAGAGCCAGAGTCGGAACCGAAAGAGATCATTGTTCAGCAGAGTGGGGATCGTGCTGTTGAGACGAAGAATTTCGTTGAGTCGGGGAGAGAGTTGGGCAGATCAACATGAGGTCCATTGTTGGATATAAAAACTTTCCATCATCATTTCCAGCTTCGGCCTCAGGTCTTCGATTCAAGCAGAGACTCATCATTTCAGTCATACTCCTCATCCGAGTCTTCATCCTGGCTATCCGCAATCTCATCAGATGCTTTACGCTTCCGACACGGCGTCGGCTGAGTCTGATGCAAAGCTTCAGCCTGAGCCCGTGGCGGAGGAGGCATTGGAGACTTTCGCTCCACTCCCTCAACGACTTCACGAAGACCATCCTAGATACGATCAGAACAGACACCACATAGTAAAAAAGAATTCAATTCAGTACTCACTGTCTCAATACGGAACGGAATAATCATCTCTCCCATCCGTACAGGAAATATCCTTCCGCCCCTTTTCGTAATTTCCATAAATCGTTTATCAGGGAGATCGCGATACATCGCAATCCGCGTCTGAACATTGCTTTCCCATCCACCACCGGCTAATAATGGCTGCAGTGTTGCACGCGGCTGGCCCTTAATCTTTGTATGAGCTTGATTGATCGTCAACACCGCAATACCACGACTCGCCAGTCGTGACAGATGAGTTGCTAGTTCGGATGAAATATTCCACTTGCGATTTAGGAGCCACTGCAGCTGGGCCTTGTCGGTGATTTTACCTTGTGTTTGGCGCTCTTTTAACTCTGCTGCGTTGGGGAAATATGATGGAAATAATGAGGAGACGGAGTCAATTATTAGTAGAGATGTCTCTGGCGGTGGGAAGTCTTTTGGTGGAGTGCATAGTAGTGCGAGGAGATGTGGGAGTGTTGTTGTGCGAAAGTAGATTAAGTTGTCCAGATTCAGTGTTGGAGTCAATGCTTGGAGACGTGGAGTGGGAATAGGTGAGCTTGTATCTGATTTAGTCAGTATATGAACATATCGATCGGTATTATGCATTCTGGTATTGCGTTCATGATATTCGGGGTTGATCGTACCAATCCAGATAACTTTTCCTCCTTCGCGAAGGGCATTAGATGCAATGTTCAATCTGGGATCAAATCAATATCATTTCCGAAGCTTTCTTTGCAATTGTCACTTTGATAAAAGCTCACGCTAATGCGGTCTTCCCTACTCCCGGTGGCCCGAAGACTTCTGTCACCTGTCCACGCAAGATCCCGCCGGATCGTTGAAGATCTTGAGACGCGCCATCCAACGCCCGATCCAAACGCGCCAGTCCTGTGGACACAGGTTCTCTGGAGAATTCAGAAGCATTCAGCGACTGTGAAGCTGAGATGGAGACCACCGGTTCTATTGGATGGTTAGTATGATTTCTGAATTCGGGCAAATGGACCTCACGCGTATTTTGGGTGTCGAGACCGAACAGGTCGTTTGTGGCACTCATTATAGATTAACTGGGGTGTCAAGAACCTATTGACATATTCATTATTTTGATAAAACTTGCAAAAGACTTCATATGTCTTCTCTTAACCTTCTCCGTCGCGTCGATATACGTGAGGTCAGTTGTGTGGATCAAGTGGGTCCACAAACCACCTCGGCATTCGCGCAATTGCGATTCTATACTCTCGATCCCTCGATCCCGATCCTCGATCTCACATTGTACTCACCTCCATGTCGTGGCAGGATGTTTCCGAGGACCTCACATCCTGGCTAGTCCTTGCATTCTGCTTCCTCCCTCTAATAATCCTATGGCGTCACCGAACACAACCCGAATTCCGTCCCAAAGGCTGTCGACGATTGGGACTCCCACCCGGTGAAAGCAATCTCCACGACGAATTCGATCCCAAGTACAGCGACGGTGTCCCTGCAGGCAGTCACGATGAAAACGGTCTACCCTCCTGGCGCATCAAAGCGCTCTTCACATACCCACTAAAATCATGTCGCGGCATCGAGCTCCAAACCTCCGATATCGTCGCAATGGGTCTGAAATTCGACCGCCAGTTCGTCTTCGCGCAGGATAGCACGGAAGGCTGGAATACACGTACTCTCCGCAATGCAGGCTATCAGCGTCTCGCTCTAATTCATTCGGAGATATGGATTCCTGATCCCTCAGCTATCGACTACGATCCCAATCTCCCCGAAATAAAATCCGAAGGCATAATGATAATCTCATACCCACGACCCAAACCAACCACACACCTCACATCCTTGATTACAAAAATCGGAACTACAATTGGATTCTTAAATCCTCGACTATCCTTCTCCATTCCACTCATCCCACCGGATTCATCGGAATTCCCTCTTATCCCCGTGAAGATCTGGAAAGATAAACCCCTGGCATACGACTACCGCACAACACTCCCACCATCTCTACACGCTTACCTCGGTTTCTCACCATCCACCTCTCCAGTATCCCTCTTCCGCGCCTCATCCGCTCATACACGCTCCATATTCCGCAATGCACCCCGCGAAGAAGTCCTAGGTTTCCAACCTATAACTGGCTTCGCAGATGCATATCCTATTCACTTGCTCAGTCTATCATCTCATCGAGATGTTGCTGCGAGATGCGCATACGCGATTCCCAATCTAAGTGTTGTACGATTCCGAGCGAATATCATCATTCAAGGACCAGTCGCGTTCGATGAGGATCATTGGAAAAAACTTTCTATCGCAGGTGTGGAGATATACGCAGCTTGTCGAACTGTTCGATGTAAATTACCTAACGTGGATCCCATCACTGGTTTTCGACACGCTGTTGAGCCGGATAAAACGCTCAAGGCATATCGGAGAATTGATGATGGGGATCGGACGAATGCTTGTTTGGGTATGCAGCTTGTTCCAGCTGTACAGGAGTTTGTGATGAATGTTGGAGATGAAGTGGTGGTTTTGGAGAGGGGAATGCATCGGTATATTAAGATGTTGGCCCCTGGGGAAAAAGTTGAGGGTGTTTAGACCACGCTGATGGTACTGGAGCAATGTATATTAGATGTAATTGTACTAATGATCCGATTGGATGAGATAGATTAAAATAGATTAGATTAGACTTGTGTAATTCGAGTTAGATTACTTATAGGATTGATATCTGTGTATGTATCAATGATCAATTCATTGCAATAGAGTGAGAAGAAAAACTATCTAGGTATATGATTACAACAACAGGAACGCTCAGGACAAAGAAAGAAATTGAAAAATCATGTAGAAGGCTCCATCTTGCCCGAAGTCGTAGGCTCAGCCAACTCTTCCACGGGCTCCTCTCCCTCATTGGAATCCCAAACAGGAACATCATCTGGCTCATCAGGAAGAATCAAGTTGAGAACAACACCAACAAGAGCGGTAACCGCAAATCCAGTCTCCATGACCAGGTTAACCGCATTAACCAAGCCAACCAGGGCATGGTTATCACCATCATAAGTCAAGACATAGTCCCACCACGAGGAAACAAGCGTAATGCCCATACCCAGCGCAAAGCTGGTAGTAAGGACGAAACGGTTGCGTCGGGTGAAGTCAATTGTACTGATAATGCGAATACCCGAAACAGCAACACTGCTGAAAAGGAAAGTGGTCATACCACCCAGCACAGCACTAGGAATCGAGACAAGCGCCGCGGCGAACTTGGCGAAAAGACCCATGACAACGAGGAAAAAGCAGCAGGAGTATCCCGCGCTACGGTTCGCGCACTTAGTCAACGCAATAACACCGTTATTCTGTGCAAAGACAGACATAGGCGAGATGGTCATCAGACCCGCGATAACACTAGTCAATCCATTTCCTAGAACACCACCCTGAATGCGAGAATCGAACATTGGGCCCTCGACCTGGACGCGGGAGACATCACAAGTAGCGGTAATATCACCAATAGACTCCATCATAGTAACGAGGTATAGTGCCAGCATAGGTAAGATGAGCGGAGGGTAGATCGATAACGGGAAAGTGTGGACCCAGGCGAAGGAGATAACGGGAGCTTCAGCGATACCGGACGATTCGAAGTAGTTGCATGCGGCGGCGACGATAGAGCCAACAAGGAGACCGACGACGACGGCACATGACTTCAGGATTGGGGGACCGAATCGTTCACAGATGATAATTGTGACGAAGACAAGGAAACCCAGACCGATGAACTCGGGACTGCCCCACAGTAATGCATGCGGGGCATCGGCGTCGGGACACATAGTGCGTGGGGATGGTCCACAGGAGGAACCACCGCCCCAATCTTCCATAGCGGATTCGATCAAGGAAGCACCGATGAGGAGAACGGTGGGACCGGTAACGAGGGAGGGAAAACGCGAGCGAGGACGGCGCTGTTCATGAAGGAGAGACCGATTTCAAGGAGCGAACAGAGGCAGGCAGTACCCAGGAGGGCGCCATAGCCCTTGTGGCAGGGCAGTTTAGTCCCGTTAGCATCGGTGGGACAGTAGCCTGAGTTGTACATTTGGGTGAAGGCATTTTCGGCGACAGTGATTGTAGCGAAGGAGGTACCGACAACGGAGAGAAGACCGGTTCCAATATAGTATTTCGTGCCTTTAATGTGGAATCGAGCAATCTGAAGGGCGCTGAGAAGGCCGGATACGATCAGGGATGTTGAAACAAGATATTGGTAGTCTTCTTCGCCGAAGTTGGCGCCGGATGTTCCACCCAGCATGATAGGTGGTGAAATGACTGAAAAGCATGTCAATAGATGCTTCTCTGTGTTGGATTCTTGGTTGTTGATACTCACCACCAGCCAACATGGCCAGAGCATGTTGTAAACCGAGGAGTAATGCGAGGAGAACTGGTACGCGATCCTCGAGGCCGAAGAATGGGGCTGATTTGCGCGTTTGCTTGGTGAAGGGTATGCGGGGTGTGAACAGGTAGGCATAGTCATAGTCGCCAATGAGGCCCTCACTTGAATAACGATTAATTATTATTCTTGAAGGGATACATGATCATGATGCATACCGAGTAGTGAAAGTTCTGACGAAACCCCGTAGCTTATCCTTGTAAGTACGTTTAGGCGATTGATCGGGACCAATTTGATCGGGGCCGTCCATGATGAAAAGAGTTGGAAGTGGATAAAATTGTCAATTGATGGATCCAGATATCCAGAATCCCGGGGAAAGGGCGATGCTATATACAATTCATCGAAATAACCGAGTCTACAGAAGTACTTAGTATGTGAACGCCACTCCAAGACAAAAAAAAAATATAATAATGTGGAGTAGATAAGATTTTTGTTATCATTAGACAAGAGGATCGAGTAAACTCCAGATTAATTATTAGTGAACTAACTATAACTAATAAGGAGTAAGTTAATATTGATCTCATTAAGTTACGCTTATTTACTAACCTCCTTAAGAGCCACCAATCACAATTCACGATATCATCGGATTACCACTATTTTGCTTATCTTGGTGGAGTCTTTAATCCCATCCTATACCCAATCAACATTCCCCTTAAACCATCATCCCGAACCAAGATAAGCAAACCCGAATTACTCTTACAGGTAATGTTTTTAGCCGCTACCGAGTACACAGCTTCCCCCCAAATCCACTGTTCACGAGCATGATGATGCGCGTGTTCCGGTGGGTCGCATGTACACGTTTTCAAGGCGAATTTCGCAATCTGATAGGCTTAGACCGCGTTGAATACCCAGCAATATGTGGACACGGGGGCACCCGAGACGGAGACTGAATCATCCGATCATTGGCTATCTTCGATATCTGGGGTTTATCTCTGCAATCGGATCCATCTGACGGAGACGCCCGTTGTGTGTGGAAGGCGCCGATGCCTTATCAGGATGCGTGGATGGCGATGAAGAGTAGAGGATGCAGTATGGAGTATATGAGGCGCATCAGCCCAGTGCAAGAACATGGGGTAGCGGATCCGATTCCTAAGTCACTCAAGCCGTTAGATCACTAGCCTCTTTCAATGAGTTAGTGAAGTTCAAATGTTATGTCATGGAAACTGTGCCAGGTGGGCAGTCCAGATGCCTGATTCGGGACACGGGTCGGGTTATCCGGGATATTGAGATCCTTGGACTCGGACTCGGAACTCGTAAATGTCACAGTGGAAACAGCATAATGAGAATTTATTGTCTAGTTGATATCATCAACTGTGGAATTGAACAATAAGATCTTCTGTGTGTTCGTGTTCATCGACCTTCAAATGTTGCAATGCAAGTGATCGAGATGACAGTATGTTCAAGTTTCAAACATCAGGTAACAAGTGATAAGTTGTCTGCCGTATTGCCGTTTTTGGTTGCTTGATCATTTCAATACTTGCATCGTGATCAACTGGTGTCATTTTGCTATTGCTTGGGTAGGTATATCTCAGTAGGAGTCAGGGCTAGACCACCTGGGCATGTATCATGAAGTTCAAGTTGTCAACCAGTTGACCGATCACTTTGGTCTGGTCCCGTATGTCAGGTATCCATGTTGTGCCTCAGGCAACAAACAGGTTTGAGCGGCCCCAGAGCCCAGAGGCGACTGCCAGTGGCCAGAACAGGCTGATTCTCCAAGTTGATATCAATTCTTAGTTCCAAGGTTCGGTTTTCTTTTTTGTCTTAAAGTATTCAAAATATTTGATCGGATTAGAATGTTATACTCAAGTTGTAGTAGTATGCAAATGGTCTCAGCCTGAGGCTGTGCTAGTAGCAAGTATGCCCAGGTGTACTATGTAGTATGTACCAGTGGTGGATGCAACTCGTGGATGGATCATGCACATGTACCCAGCCTGAGGTGTACTCAAGTGCTACTACTAGTAGTAGTATGGAGTAGTAGCCCTGGAGGTATTACTAGTACTCCGTACCTCTCATTTATATATCGTGACTCGGGCTACATACTACATATGATTCATCTGACCTAAGATCATGATGCATGCTTTTCAAATTTCAAGTTTCACCGATATATTACTAACACATGTGCACTTGAAGATTCGACTTGAAATCTAGTCAAAAAAAATATTTTAAATTATCCCGAGGTTCAAGTTCCAAGGGTTCTGTCGATCGGGGTAACCGCTGTTCGGTGGCGTGGATAAAGTTAGCATCCGGATTTTCGTCGGATTCGCCACCTTAAGGCTTGAAATGCAGGGGCGGAAAAACGTTCACACAGCTTGGGTATGAACCATTGCAATGTTTCAAATCAGATTAGTATGTAACACATGATGTATGAAGGACGTCCCTTTAACTCAGACAGTAGTACGAATATCCTAGTGACTCAGCCTTGAAGGGATATGGAATGACCCCAGAAATGAAGATCTGATGCGGTTGGGAGTCACGTGCATTGATCTGGGCCTTGTACCTTAAAAATTGAACTATACTACCAGTTGATACTATAAGATGCATACATTCATCCATTGGATAGTTCCAAGTAATATCTAGTTAATCTAGTTAATATTTTAGCAGAACCTTGGAATTAACCCAACCTTGATCATACCACTTATCCATTGGGGCCATACATGATTTACACGCAATCCCAGGATTTCCCTAATTGTCCCGGGGCTGCCTTATGGGGTAATACTGAATGCCTCAGGCCACAAAGTGTTGGGGCGGGACCCAACATTGTTCGGAAAAGAGCGAATGAATCTCGCCACCAGTAGAATAAACGGGAAAGTTCAAGTAATAAGTGAATTGATTATCTCCCTCTTCTCCTGTCTCTACCTCGGGATCTTGTGATTTAGCTGGTCTTTCTAGTTCTTTCATTCGCTTGGCTGACCTTTCACCCCCATATTGGTTGGCGATCAAACCCTTTCCAGGGCCACACCCCCAACGTTCAAGGTCTCAAAGTGGACCCTCCCCATATAAAAAAAAACCTCCTTCCCACGCCCCATCCCACTCTTTTCTCTCTTCGTTACTTTCGTGGTCAGTGTCAGTCTCCTACACAACACACAATCATGTCGACCAAGGCAGAGGCTGCCCGCCCCAGGCCGGCGGACACCAAGAAGGTGCACATCGCCGATACCCAAATGACCCGGGCGAACTGGTACAAGCACGTCAACTGGCTCAACGTCTTCCTCATTCTCGGTATTCCCTTCTACGGTTGTGTCCAGGCCTTCTGGGTGCCACTGCAGCTGAAGACCGCCGCTTGGGCGGTTCTCTACTACTTCTTCACTGGTCTCGGTATCACTGCAGGTAAGTCATTGTGCAACTATCATCATTGTCAACGCAAAGTACCGAGTGGCTAACTTGGGATTCAGGATACCATCGTCTTTGGGCTCACTGCTCTTATTCCGCCACTCTCCCTCTCCGTATCTGGTTTGCTCTTGTCGGCGGTGGTGCTGTTGAAGGCTCCATCCGCTGGTGGGCTCGTGGCCACCGTGCTCACCACCGTTACACCGACACCGAGAAGGACCCTTACTCCGTTCGCAAGGGTTTCTGGTACTCTCACCTGGGCTGGATGGTCATGAAGCAGAACCCCAAGCGTATTGGCCGCACCGACATCTCCGACCTTAACGAGGACCCTGTTGTCATCTGGCAGCACCGTCACTACCTCAAGGTCGTCTTTGGAATGGGTCTCTTCGTTCCCATGCTTGTGGCTGGTCTTGGTTGGGGTGATTGGTTTGGTGGATTCGTGTACGCTGGTATCCTCCGTATCTTCTTCGTCCAGCAGGCCACTTTCTGTGTCAACTCTCTGGCCCACTGGCTCGGTGACCAGCCCTTCGATGACCGCAACTCTCCTCGTGATCACGTTATCACTGCCTTGGTTACCCTGGGTGAGGGTTACCACAACTTCCACCACGAGTTCCCCTCCGACTACCGCAACGCCATCGAGTGGCACCAGTACGACCCCACCAAGTGGACCATCTGGACCATGAAGCAGCTGGGTCTGGCTTACGACCTGAAGCAGTTCCGTGCCAACGAGATTGAGAAGGGTCGTGTGCAGCAGCTGCAGAAGAAGATTGACCAGAAGCGCGCCAAGCTGGACTGGGGTGTTCCTCTGGAGCAACTGCCCGTGATGGAGTGGGATGACTACGTCGAGCAGGCTAAGAACGGCCGTGGTCTCGTTGCCATCGCTGGTGTTGTCCACGATGTGACCGACTTCATCAAGGACCACCCCGGTGGTAAGGCTATGATCAGCTCCGGTATTGGCAAGGACGCTACTGCCATGTTCAACGGCGGTATCTACTACCACTCCAACGCTGCCCACAACTTGCTGTCTACCATGCGTGTTGGTGTCATTCGTGGTGGCTGCGAGGTGGAGATCTGGAAGCGTTCCCACAAGGAGAACACCGAGTATGTGCGTGATGAGTCCGGTCAGCGTATCATTCGTGCTGGCATGCAGGTGACCAAGATCCCTGAGCCAGTTTCTACTGCTGATGCGGCTTAAATATGCCTTGCTTTTATCAAGAGATGATGTGTGCTTTGCATTTGTGTGGGTTGGCTGGTGTTCATCTGGCGTTATTCTAGCTTTTCATTTTTTTCCCTTGTATCTTTTGTGTTTTTTCGAAAAGCCAGTATCGCATAGATAATCTTTCATGAACTAGAAATGACCACTGTTATATCACTTCAATATGTTCCAGTAAATTATACCTTGAGGTAGACATAGCTAACAATAAGAGGATTGGAATTTGTTGGGTTAAGGGGCAAGGCACCTTAGAATACTTGAACCGTGGAACATTAGAATAAGCGGGGAAATCTGCAGGCAATCACCTGAGCCCCATGTTGGCCTTGGGCTTAAGGCCTTCAAATATACAACAACTTGGTTGCATCACAGCTGCAGTTTAAACACGTACACCGCACTTCTATTCGTCTAATTCCCCCTCTCTTGACCCCCCTCCCCCACCATTCGCTTCCTAACACGCCACCTTCTTATCCTCCTTCTCGCTATCATCGTGGCGCCCCTCCTCCGCCTCCCCGCCCGCCTCTCATCTGTGCTGGGTCACCTACGTATAACACCACGATACTTGACAACATCCAGCATGGCTCCCGCTCACCTCCGACGTCCACCCCAGGCTCCGCCAACTTTCACAGCTACTCCCCAGTCCGTCGTAATTGATGCCGAGCGTCTGATCAAGACCTCCCGCGACGTCCAGGATAAGGTTGTTGCTCGGATCAAGCCGGACACAGCGGCTTTTGCCAATGTACTACGTCCGCTTGTACAAGATGAGAATGTCATGGCTCTAGAGGCACACATCTTGGGCTTTTATCAGGCTGTATCAACCGACCAGAAGCTCCGAGATGCTTCCTCCAAGGCCGAGGAACTCATGGATGAGTTCTTCATTGAGTCGGTGATGCGCGAGGATGTGTTTCAGCTAGTCGATGCTGCTCTGAAAAAGAACGAGGAGCTCGACCCGGAGTCACGTCGTCTGCTGGAGAAGGAACACAAGGATTTCGTCCGTAATGGATTAGGTCTTCCTGCTGGCCCGCAGCGAGCTCGCTTTAAGGAGATCAAGAAGCGTCTCAGTCAGTTGAGCATTGAGTTTCAGAAGAATCTGAATGAAGAGAATGGTGGTATTTGGTTTACCCCTGAGCAATTGGACGGTGTGCCAGAGGATGTGACCTCCGGTCTTAAGCGCGGCGAGGGTGAGAATGCCGGCAAGCTCTTTTTGACCTTCAAGTACCCGGATTTGTTCCCAACCATGAAGTATGCCACCAGCGTGGAGACTCGAAAGCAGGTCATGATTGCCAATGAGAACAAGTGCAACCAGAATGTTCCTTTGTTCCGGGAGGCTATTGTGCTGCGTGACGAGGCTGCCCGTCTGCTGGGTTACCCTAACCACGCCGCATTCCGCATTGAGGACAAGATGGCCAAGACCCCAGAGACTGTGAACAAGTTCCTGGGTGACCTGCGTACTCGATTGACTGATGGTGGCAAGAAGGAGATTCAGACTCTGATGAAGCTTAAGCAGGAGCTTGATCCCAAGTCTGATGGCCGTTACTATCTGTGGGACCACCGGTTCTATGATCGGTTGATGCTGGAGCGAGACTACCAGCTGGACCACCAGCTCATTGCTGAGTACTTCCCGCTGCAGACCACGATCGATGGCATGCTGAAGATCTTTGAGGAGCTCTTCGGGTTGGAGTTTGTTGAGATTGTTGGTGAGGACCGCGCAGCCTTGGCCCCGACAGGCAAGGGCGATGACATCGTGTGGCACGAGGAGGTGCAGGTATTCAGTGTGTGGAATGACGAGGGTGAGGGATCTGGCTTTGTTGGATACCTGTACCTGGATTTGTTCCCTCGTGAGGGCAAGTATGGTCACGCTGCCAACTTCAACCTCCAGCCGGTATGACACCTACTCCATTTTCGTCTGATTTTCACAAAGCTGATTCTTTTATCTGAACGTAGGGCTTCATCGATGCCGATGGAAACCGTCGCTTCCCTGCTACCGCACTGGTATGCAACTTCACTAAGCCCGGACCTAAGAAGCCCAGTCTTCTTAAGCACGACGAGGTTGTCACTCTCTTCCACGAATTGGGCCACGGTATTCACGACCTGGTCTCCCGAACCATCTACTCCCGTTTCCACGGTACCAGCACGGTGCGGGATTTCGTCGAAGCACCCAGCCAAATGCTCGAGAACTGGTGCTGGACCCCCTCGCAGCTGCGCGCTCTGAGCCGACACTACTCATCCCTGTCACCCGAGTACCTTGCCGGATGGCAAGAAGCCAACAAAGACAAGACTGCTTCCGGACCCCCTCCCGAGCGTATTCCCGATGATGTGATTGATAAGCTCATCAGCACCAAGCACGTCAACGATGCTCTGTTTAACTTGCGCCAACTGCACTTTGGTATTTTTGATATGACTGTTCACGAGCCCAAGAGCCACGCCGATATTGAGGCCTTGCCCCTTTCTGCTACCTACAACCGCTTGCGCCAGGAGATCACCCAGATGGATTCCGTGGAGGCCTTGGGTGGTGGTGATGAGTGGGGACACGGCGAGGCGACATTTGGTCACTTGATTGGAGGTTATGATGCTGGATACTACGGATACTTGAGGTAAGTGATATCGTGACCTTATTTTATTTCATTTTCTTTATGCTAACTGCCCACAGTTCCCAAGTTTACTCCACTGACATGTTCTACACCGTCTTCAAGGATGATCCCATGAACAAGGCTGCTGGTCGTCGTTACCGATACCAAGTCTTGGAGAAGGGTGGTAGTCAAGATGAGATGAAGACCCTCACCGAGTTTTTGGGTCGTGAGCCTCAGACTACTGCATTCTACAAGGAACTGGGCCTGGCTTAATCGATACCTCAGTATGGCATATGATCAGTGAATTCAAGTGCTGTATTTCAATAGAGCTATCATAAAGATTTTACGAAGATTTTACTCCTAATTCCTAAATAATTCATGTCGAGGTAATAAACCTGTTCATACAACAAAGTTGGAAGATAGGGCTTATCGTGGGCGTAGATAGTAGATAAGTACACCGCCTTGGCATCGTTCGCATATTGCAGCTGGAGCTCCAGCTTCATCTCTAACTGAAAGCTCAAGCTCAAGTTATTTTTCCCAACCTCATTCCATTCCTCAAATTGTATGTGCAGAGATTGAAAATCACCTTCATGCAAAATCCGATACTAACACCTCATAGATCCAATCACCAACCCCCCTCATAAAAATCATCCAGACTGTCAATCCTCAAACGTCTCAGCTCAACCAAACCAAAATGACGACCGAACAACAAAAAATAAATACCCAACACTGCGCCTTCTGCAATCACCTCCTACTAGCCACAACCCTAGACCTGAACAAACTCCCACGACGGGGAGGCGAATCAAAAGATAACGCAATAATCCTTCCACTGGAGCACCAGTCGCACGAAGAGCCCGAAGAAGAATCCTCAAAATCCCAATTATCCGCAAAGCACCTTTCCCTATTACTTTCAACAACGATACCAGATCGACGCGCAACACTAGTCCGACGGGAAGACGGAATCGAAAAGCGCATTCTATTACGATGTGGACGGTGTCGAGTTATTATGGGATATTTCCTTGATGATGTGCACTATCCTACATCTACTACATCTGCCTCCCATGTAACTGATCATGAGGACGAGGATGAGTTTTCGAGACCGGGTAAGAATGCTCGCGCAGTTTACATTCTTCCTGGGGCGGTTTCACGGACTGAGGATATGGAGGGTGGGAAGTCTGGTCGGGAGTGGATTGGATGGGATCGGGAGGAGAGATAATCTCGTTTCAATTTATGGATGTGAATCTTGAAATTGAGGCTGAATGGTGCTCAGTTTGATTGTAAATGTCAATGAATATCTACTGCCAAATTATGTATGCCTCATACATATATACATACATGTGTCGTCCTAGAAACTCCACATTCATGCTGAGTTCGTTAGGGAAATGAGGCTCAGCTCCAAATTACATATAGTAGATACTGCCACTGAATCTTCAAGTGGGAGCAGACTCGGGCTACTGGATACTCAGACAAAAGTATTAATGAATATGGACAGATATCCATGATGGATTCATCTCAAATCAATACAGATATTCCCCTTCACGCCGAAAACCGCGTCAGAAAAATGGGATAACAAAAGATAGACGATAGAAGCAAAAAGAGATGAGCCCGATCCCGCCAAAGACATGTTCCATAACCGTAAGCGTGCGCATTCATAAAATAGACAAATAAAGGGTGTATTGCAATGGGTATCGGGGTGGCTTAGTTAGCCAGAATGGTGCGCACGAGATCAGTGTAGTTGATTTCGCCAGAGCTGGTATCAACAGCCTTAAGGAGCTCGTCGACTTCTTCGTCGGACATCTTCTCGCCGAGGTTGGTGAGGACTGTTCAAAGGGTTCATTGTTAGCTTCAACTCGAGTTTGGTGGCGATAACGGGTTCTGTCCAAGGATCGAGTCGCATTACGTACTGTAGCGCAGTTGTCCCACTCCAATAAATCCTGTCATATCTTTATCGAAGACTTGGAATCCTCGACAGTATTCCTCTGGTTCGCCGGGCTCGCGGAAACCACCGGGGCGGTTCAGGACCTTGAGGAAGGAATCGAAGTCAACTGTGATTATTGTCAGTTTAGTTCCATAGTTTGTTTTCAACTCAGATATAGATTATATGTTGATCCCATGGTGCACGTACATTCACTACCAACAGACTTCTCCAGATCGCTAATCTCCGCCAGCGTGGGGTTCTGTCCACAGGCGCGGAGCAGATCGCCCAGTAGATCACCGGACACACGGCCAGTACCGCGACGGTCGAAGAGCGAGAACGCTTCCTTGTAGTTGGTTGAGGCCTGATCGTGTTTATTAGCCATGATGTCTTGAGTTGTGATGTGCAGGTATTTGGTAAGGAGTTTGTTATGAGTAAATGCGTTCAGGGGGATCAGAATCGGGGAAGGGGGCGGAAAGTCAATCGGGACGGAAAAGGAAGTTCGTCATCATCCCTAGGGTACGCACCATAATGAACTTTTGTTTCTGTTGCAGAGGGATGAATTGAGGGGAACAAGAGAAGAACAGGAATGAGAAGGGGGAATCTGGGCGAGTGGATCGGCGCTGGTTGTTGCGGCAACCGTCAACTCCACTGTGAGATCAGATACAAAGGGACATTACAGCCCGCTACAGTACAGGGATCTATCTCTCTTAGTCTTGTAGTATATATTTAAATAAGTATACATTGAATTACCACATTATCTCACGATTGTAGCTTCGTTATACAGCTGTCCAGCAGCCGCGCCGCTTCTCCAAGTAACTCCCATCGTGAACTGTTAAACGAGTCCCGGAGTACCATCAACAATCCCAAACATGCGTTTCGACTTTGCATCCCTTCGAGCTCGTTCGGTTCTCGAATCCCTCCAACACGCTGCAGGAAGATATGCATGTCGCGTCGTCGATCAGAAAGCGTGGGCAGTGTCGGTGCAGGTCTTAAGGGACCATCTAACGCGAACCCATAACACCATACGACCAAGGCGGCAAAGTACATAACCCACGGTCGGTTAAGCAGGTAATCATCACGCGCGATGTACTCCGCAGAGGAAGCATGGTCTCCGAAGCAGGCAGAGAGAAATTTCAACGCATAGAATGCAGCATCCCGCGCCGATGCCTTGGTCGCCCACCGTTCGGTCTTTTCGCGGGCAGCGCTATAGTCGCGCGACGTGATAGATCGTCCCATGAGTCGACCAGCACCGGCAAAAATCTGAAGATCTGCAATGTCCACGTGGGAGGCCATATGGGCGAGTCCGTGGAGGACATCGCGCGACTCGGACTCGGTCGAAGGCGAAGAACCTAACGCCTCATCATAGTCACGGCGCCAGTTATCAAAGGCGCGGAGGAGCGCAGTCCGCCACTTGTCTCGTCCACCAAGGGTTTGACCAACTCCCAACGAGCTCACCTGGAGATCTCGCTGATTGAGATGCCAACTAACACTGAGCAATCCTGCGATCAGAATATTGCGACCGAAGGTATTGGTCCGTACAGGTTGGCCATTCAAGGTCCGTTTAAGCCCATCTAGAAACATTACTGGTCTCACACCATGGGACTGAAGACTAGACTGGACACGCGCTACTTCCGCAGCACTAGTTGCAGCCCATAATGCCTCGTCGCATGGGAGTGGCAGTCGCAGTTCATGGGCAACCATTTTGGCTGAGTGTCCAAACATGGTTGCGTGGGTTGAATCGAGGACAAATGCAGCAAAGGCTACTCTCCGTGTGGCCTCTGCTTTAATCCAATGGGTCCATGATTCATCTTCCTCTCTTGACTCGGGTGTGTCGAATGATGACCTCCCGATCAATGAGCTTCCTCGGCGCATCAGAGTTAATGTGGTATCATGATGAATATGAGCACGCTCATGTAATGCGCGCGTAGAGAATCCCTTTTCATAGACTTCTAGCAACAGTAACGCTTGAAAGACCCATAATCGGGCAGGCGGACGGAAATCGGCGTCCATGAAAATCTCCCAACGTAAATGCCAACCGATGAAACTTGCTAGCTCTGCTGCTGTTTCCGTGGCTATTTGCCCATGAATCTTATCAAGAGTAGCAGCTCCAATGGCGATGATAGCCAATAGCAGCAAGTTCGGTGTGCGGTCTGCTGAAAAGGTGGGTTGATGAAGGATTGGCAGCTGCGCATGGAATCGGTACCAATACGATCCGATATACGTCTGCAGCATGCGCAAGCTCAATACATGTCGGTCACTGTCTAAGTCCCCGTCCAATAGAGCGTCTTTGCGTTTTGTTTCCGCAGAGTACGCAGCCTCGTTAAAGCGTGTCGCTATTAAATGAAGTAACTCCTGTCGTTTTTCCTCCGAGATCATCGCTGGGAGCGATCCCGAGTCTAGTATGCTAGTAACGCTCATCGGGTGCTGGGGTATTACAGCACAGAAATTATTATACGAAGGCTCGTTAATATAAAACTGATTTTGGACCATGGGCATCATGCCGTATCCTAACGGCGCGAGCGGCTCACTGAACAACCAAGCTGCAAAGTCATCGGCCATAGCAAATGGGGACCGATTGTATGTCTCGCCTCCAAAGATGGGATATGCATTTGACATGGCGTCCAAATCAAGCATTGCGTCAGGCTGGCTGAAAGCATTGTTGAAATCTGTATAACCGGACACTGGGATGCCGGTGGCTTCGATTCCGGTCGATAGTGGGTATGATGTGCTGGGTGGTGACTTGGAGCTGGGCGCTGGATCAGTCATGAACGTATATTCCCCCGCCGTTACGGAGTGCGAAGACGGTGATGAAGCCGGGACTAGTGACTTGGATAGATCCTCGTGACCATCAGTTGCGAAGGAGTCGCGCTTCTGCAGCTGCGAGCCGCGGGTAGTGTGGCGTTCGCGATGTCGGATACATAGGTCCTGGCGAACGAAGGATCGATAGCAGTTGGGGAAATCGCAACGAAAAATTTGTTTGGGGGCGTCTGTTCGAGTGCCAGACAGTTTTGAGTTAGTCTGGGCTCTGTGTTCCCTGGCCGTACGAGTGGAGAAGGGAGAAGGGGTGCATACGGTTCAGCTGGTGTCGGTAGAGATGCTCAGCACGCGAATAGCTCTTGCCACAGCCCTCGTGCGTACATTCAAATTTGCGATCGGAGGGAGCGCGGCGGCTGCGTTTGCGTCGCTTAGAGGGTTGCTCATCGGTGTCGGCCATGATGTCTGGGTTAACCACAGAGGGCACCATTGGGTGCCATAACACGGCAATGAGGGGAGTAGATGACGCCAATCTGAGAACCACGTGGGATCTAGGGATCGACGAAGAATGTGGGAGGCGATGTGTATGTATGTGGACAATGCGATAGTCAAAGACTTCTGGGGTGCGGAGAACTAAGTGGGGTTAAGGTTGGCGGAGGTAATATTCGCCGACCTGGGGAAATTTCAAGTGCTCTGGACATATAGTGTGACTTCGAATACGATCATTCAATACCTTTAAATTCTTCATTGATGTATCTATATTTCATACAATAATGAGAGCGAGATTCATCAATTTGAGCCCGAATTTATGAACATTCTGTCTATACGTGGCATCGCGCACTCTCTTCCAAGGTCAGAATATACACACTGTGGGGAATAGCATTAGTCCAAAGTAAAGGTCGCATCATTTATGTATCTGAAGATAGTAGTAACATTTGAATGTCGCAAAGGTTATAAATCAGCCCAGGATCTATAGATCTATGGATACATAGATTGCATGCATGTACTCCGTAGATCCTTGCCACTACAGCTTACCAGTTGAATCGAAGCATAGACAATTCCTAGTAACATAATAAAGAGGTGATACAGGACGTATTCGTGAAAAAAGAAATTGAAATAAAAAAATGAAGAGAGCTGGAATCGAACCGGGGACGTTGAAATCAAGTTGGGACATTGAAATCGAGTGCGCATCGACGCAAGAGGGGAGATGCTGCGAATAGCCTCACTTGATACATCCGTCACCACACTATCATCCTTGATATCTCACTCATTTTTGATTGTTTTTCATTTCTGATAAAATGAATGGAAATAGCGAGTTGAAAAGTATTATCAGTAAAAATATCAAAAAGTTTTTTAAAAAAAAATTGACCCTTTAGCCACCCGCCCTCTGGTGATAACTCAGCCATCGATCAGGGCCAGACCAACCTGATCAATGCCTCTGTCCTCCTGCGTCAAGAGTCAGAGACCGCTAGGCCAGCTGGGTTGAGTTGTTAATTTCTCCCCTCAACTAAACTATATAGGATCTCTTACCTCCTCCCCCCGGTATCACCTGCCACTTTAACTTGTCTTGACGTGAACCACAGAGGCCTTGAATAAAAATTAACAGTGAATCAAAATTGTCCAGATTGATCATGCAGAACTATTATTGCCAGCCACCATAGCCCTGGAGATATACACACTCTCTCTTCCCCTAAGAGTTCTACCACCAATCGTTGTTCTACAGCCTATACGGAGTACATCAATTGATGTACGAAGTATTGTGGATATCATTAATTTTTGGCTCTTAATGAAACGCAATGCCTTGCTCAAAGGAACGTTGGAAACATCTAGTACACCAAAATTACTAGTAGTCAAGTATCCCCTTGCATCAAGCATGATAATAATCAAGGCTACTAGTAGTAATATCCAAGCTTAGTCCCCAATTCTGACTCGACTGGGTGTCCAGGAATATACTAATATGTAGTAGATACTACTAGTAACCACAATTCTAATGAACATAGAATATAACCTTCGAAATATTTGAATGTACTATGTGCACCAATCCATATATTAATTCACATAGTGATACTATTTAGTCCAATATAAACAATTATTCAGTCATATGTGGACCCTTGACGGTAAATGTACGAATACGAACTACGAACTACGAGTACGACACTAATTGGTGGAGCTTGACTGGTACCTATACACATGTGCATGCATAACTTGAACATTCTCCCTAGAAAATACATAAGGTCCAGATGAAACATTGAACATGCGAGATCTCCAGTAAAATCTCTGTTTTATTGAAGTTTCACCTTGGGAGATATGTGGATGGTCCACTTCTCCTCAATCCGAATCAATCGCGTGCCCTTTGACCCTTTAAGCGGAGATGCTTGGCACCCGAGATTTCCGATTTCCGATTTTCACAAAAGCGGTTATTCCATATAACATCATCCACTGAGGTCTTGATTCCACAATTTAAAAATTCTAGATCTTCTCATGGAGTTTCATCCATGTCACTCCAAACAGTATAGAGTACTCTGTCCTCTGTGCGGAATACATTACTCGAGTCTGTCTCAATTCATATCCGTACGCAAGCGACCCCCCCACCTCTCACGTCGCCAGTGCCCCACAAGACGCGTAGTCCGTCACAGAACTTTTAGTCTGGGAACTGTGGCTACAATGACGATCCCTTTGAAACCGTCAAATCCCATGCCGTCATGCAGCCGCTGAAGGAAAGGGGAGGCGGGAATTTTAATGGTGGACACGCGGTCTTGTTGACCCCCCCGTCCAATCGGGAGGTCTTGATCGAGCAGTGCTTGATTATCGACTATCTCCGACTCGAGGCGGTCGTCAGCAGTTCCAATTCAGGAGCAAACGCCTCTGAAAAGTCGGCTTTCGGAACTAACTTCGATCTCCTGACCCTGACTGGTCGTGGCTTCGGGGATTGTGGTCTGGCCCACTATACAAGACTTGACCCTCCCATCTTCTTCTTCTTTTTCTTTCCTTTGCTTCAATTTTTGTCTTTACGGAAGTTAACTCCAGGAGTAGTTGCCCTACGATTAATCGTGCTCTGATTCTGCTCTCCCTTTGCATGCGGAGGTCATTTACCTGATCATGAGCGGTATTTCCTGCTAGTCATTCTTTCTACTTTTCCATCATGATGCTCTTTCTTGGCACTATTTTGCTGGGTTTGTTGCATGGGTCCGTCGCACAACACGACTTGGATCTTTACTCCTTCGTTACAGTGAGTAGTACTTTATAGAGATGTCTGGTCCGATAGTGTATATCTCTTTTGCTTATCTTTTCATCTCATCTTATCTAGCTCCCCGAAGTCCGGGCGCTAAAGTTCGAAATCGAACATATTGATCGTGAGCGCCAAGCACCGGGTTATTGGTTCGTTGCGCCTTATGGCCAAATCGACCCCGAGGAATCGACTCATCGGTACCAACAATATCAAGTTGGACCGTATATTTACGATAATGATGGAGTAAGTCGCTTCGCAAGGAGGACTCCCAAGTACACAATTCTAACAAGTCACTAGAAACTTGTCTGGGCCGGATCCCCGTTATACGACAACCGTAATATCTTCGATTTCAAAGCGAACTGGAACATTGATGATCAACCCCACCTGTCATTCATCCTTCAACATGACGACCATGTGAAGGGCAGTGGAATGATTATGAACAACAAATACGAGGTCGAGCATGAGGTCGGGGTCGTTAATGATATCCAGTACTTCAACATGCACGAATTCAATATCATGGATGGTGGTCAGACTGTTCTTGCTTGCACATATCGCACCCAAACTATCAGCTTCGAGGACTTCGGCCGGCCCGATGAGGAGACTTGGGCGCAGACGGGTGGATTTGTAGAGCTGGATATCAACTCAGGCGATGTTCTGTATGAATGGGACTCTCGCGATCGGATCCCTGCACACGAATCTGTTAAGCTACATTCTTGGAGTTCGACCAGTGACGCACCTGGCTCAGACTACGTTCATATTAACGCCGTTGATAAGAATTACGCTGGTGATTACATTATCTCTATGCGATTCACCAACACTATCTATGGAATTTCGGGTCAGGATGGCAGCATTATGTGGCGACTCGGTGGATCCGAAAGCAACTTTGATCAGGATTTCACCTTCCATAAACAACACGACGTCAAATTCCTCTCATCCAATGAAACAATGCATGTTATCTCTATGATGAACAACGGTGCCGATGAGGGAGAGGCCGATGAGCGTATTTCCGCTGCCCTGCACATTACCCTCGACATGACCACAATGGAAGCCAGAGTCATCAAGCGCATCGAGCGACCCGACGGCGGCCTTACCCGTCTTCGCGGCAATGTTCAACAACTGCCCAACCAGAATACGTTTGTCGGATGGAGTCAACAGGGTTACCACTCCGAGCACGCGCCTAACGGTGATGTATTGATGTGGGCAAAGTTCGCCTCCGACAGATTCTCCAGCTACCGCTCTTACAAATTCGACTGGATTGGTCGCCCATCCGACCCTCCTGACGTCGTCTCATCGGTCTACGGCACAAAACTCGAAGACGTCCTCACCATCATACACGTCAGCTGGAACGGCGCCACAGATGTAGCAGGATGGAACTTTTACGCACGCTCTTACGAAGACGGCAACAACGTCTTCATCGGATACACCGCAAAGACTGATTTCGAGACCATGTACCTGGCTGATGGATATATGGATTGGGTTTCCGTAGAGGCTGTCGACAAGGACGGCAATGTCCTCGGCTCATCAGAAATCCACCGTACTGATATGCCTGAGAACTGGAAGTCTGTTGGCTTCCAAGGGTCCGCCGCACCTACACCCGACGATCCCTCTTTAGTTTATATTCCCGAGAGTGGAACCGACAATGTTATCGATGATGGTACCTCCGCCTCTCGTGTTAAGTCGCAAGATCAGATTTACGCGGATACCAAGGAAGTTGCCAAGTCGGTATACAAGGTATATGCCCTTCTCCGTGGAATTGAGTGGTTTGCCGTCCTGGCCTTTTTCGGGTGTCTTGTCTTGGGCATTGTTCTCGGTGTGAAGCGTTTCCTGCGTCGTCGTCGACAAGTTAGCTCTTATAAGAACGTTCCCACTGAGGAAGGTCTTGAAGATGCGGAGAGTCTTCCTGTGGAAGAGATTCCTCTTCGCCGGAATTCAGATGGTTAGAGCCAGAGGCTTGATTCCGTTTGATCTTTTTTTAATTCTGTATATATTATCATTTGGTGTATCAAAAGGGTATAGCATTTGCATTGCATTGTTCAATGAATAATCACATATTATTTTCAAAATTTAAATTCGCAAATCCCTTCAAGGGCTTGTAGACTGTCCCTCAGACTGTCACTATAATGTGCGTGGCAGAAAATGGCGGAGTGAACTTGTCTATGAAGGCGGTGAGATTGACATACTGCTGACTAGATCTGGTGTTCTTAGTTCTCAACTACCTATCTATGCAAAAAAGGATTGTCCAACCTAGCTCTGTCATTGGACATGTCTGGATAGATGGACGCTGGAACATCTGAATCAAGGAGTGTAGCGACCCCTGGGACGATACACCGAACCGGGCAAGCATGGTATGTGACCTTCACACTACCCCAGATTTTACAATAACTTAATGGGATAGCAGCTGATTTGGGTTCAGCGATCGGTGTAGAAAGTGAGAAATTAATTCGAGCGAAAGAAGAAAATACTTCTACTGACATAAGTGAACGATTAAGGAAGAAAATAAAGTGCGATGGGTCATTCCCCACGGTATGCTATACTCCTATTTCTCAACTTCTTAAACTAACGCATAGCAATAGTGTCGAAGCTGTGCAAAAGGTGGCTATTTGTGCGAAGTCTCTGCCACCCTTCGCAGGAATACCAAAGTTCGAGGGTGAGCTGATATTACCTGAAAATGGAATCGTCCCCGCTAAATCTCAAATAGATTTACGTCGGATGAGCAACGATTCGTCCAACTGCAGGAGGAATTGGCGAGATGTCAACAACTTCTAGAGTCAGAGAAGGCTCAAAATGGAGTTCTTAACCATGAGCTTTCCAACAACAAGCAGACTATATCCTTACTCGAAAAGGACTTGCTGAATCCAAGATTGGCTGAGCGATCTGCATCGCGACAGAATAAGTCGCGCCAGAATGAGGATCTCACATACATGATCAAACACATGGGTCGTTTGGTTCATGATGAAATGGGCGTTGGACGATTTGCAGGATCAACCACGGGCATTCATTTTGTTTTAACGGTTGAACAGCAATGTCAGAAAGTATTGAATCTGCCCACTGGCTTCCCCGAGAGCTGCTTTCGACTCTTCCTTGCTCAAACATCCCCCATAAGGCAGAATTGGATCACAGACATGTCGGTAGGCGACAAAAGTGAATTCCTCGGGTCTTTCAGCAATTCGTTGTCATATTACCTTGACCAAGCCGATCGTTTCATCAATGAGTGGGAAGCATACTGCCCGGTTCTCGTGCGAAGGCAATTGATGTCAGATATTCGACATACTATGGAGACACTTCATGGCTCACTCAATTTTCAAGAACTTGATCCCGCAATGCTATTGACGCTGACAGTGATCCTGATCATCAACGAGCTTGACCTCGACAGTGGTCAGCAGACCTCCAGCCACTACCGCTATCTACACATGGCAGGTACATTGATTAATGATATCAGAGCGCGTGGTGATATAAAAGGCTTACAAGCTTTGGCCCTTTGTAGCCTCTATTATCAATTAAGCGGTGATTGTCTTGGAATGACAAGAATAAACGGCATAATGGTGAGTCTTGCGCAATCGCTAGGTCTTCACCGTCATTCTAGACGTTTCAAAATGAAGCCATGTGAAATAGAACTTCGAAAGAGGTTGTGGTGGTGGATCTATTCGTTCGACAGGTATGTTGTTCTTCGTCAGTTGGAACCCAAAACATAATCATTCTGATATTGTAAATAGCGTCACCTCCTTGATTCATGGACTCCCAAGCCTTATCAATGATGTCGATGTTGATTGTGATATGCCTACGGATTGCCATATGGATGACCTGGATGCTGCAGAACCCTCTCATCCTCTACCCGGAGAACGAACTGCTGTCTTTCTGTTTATTCAATATGTAGCACTTGGAAAAATTCTTTCCCGGATCCGCGAAATGCTTTATACAACTACGCAACGGCGAAACGGTGCCACCAAAATCAACGACTTGACAATGGATCTAAGGATGTGGAACCAAAATCTGAAAATGACTGGGATCATTTTCGATATTGGAACCATCCCATCGCCGTTTCTCAGCAATGAATCTGCAGATGACACCGAAAGAACAGTGCTCTGGCTTCAGTTGCTAGCAAATATCGCAATGGTGTTGATAAATCGGCCAGGGCTGTCTTTTGACGACACCACCGTGGAGTTTGCTAACTGTCTTCGAGCATGCGTCGCATCTAGCACGGTTAATCTATTGCTACTCAAAGAGATCCAAGCTCCAAATTGGCTCCGAAACCCGAGTCTAGTGAGCCCTAGTATGGTCTTTCAGTCTGCTCTCATGCATATCTATTGCCAATGCTACTGCCGTACCCTCAATCTAGAAGGGTGTCCAGCTCTCGAAGCTAGCATGGACATGATCTCCAATGCCATATTTGTATTGGAAAAAGATCGAACAGACTTCCAAAATTTTCATGGGCATCAATCGTTCTATCATCAGTCTATAAATGAAGCCTGTGGGACTCTACAACTCTTGCGCTCATTACTATCAACGCCAGAGCATATTCCAGCATGCACTGAGCTGAATATTGATCAAGAGTTTGTCGGCCAAACTCCCAGAACTCTGGATGATCAATCTTGGAGCGCTAACGCGTTAGATGACTTGAATTATGTTCTCACCACTGATTGGATGTACGAAGTGCCAGGGCCTTTCATGGGGTGCATGGATGATCTTAGGGGGCCAGAATTCGGATGAATGCCGAGATCTCCACAGTGCCCGGGATAAGGCTCTATCCCGAGTGGGCCCTCCGATTCAAGCCTCTATTCCGAACTGGGGACATTGTATGACCCCGGGTTCTGAAAAACAAGTGGTCCAGCGTTTATTTATAAAGACTTCACCTGGGGACCCCGCATGCTGCTGCATAGGTTTACTGATTATTGACTTTGGGGTGTCGTTTACCCCCTAATTCCTCGAACATTCCTCCGTACCCGAGTATCCCATCGTTCGAAATGTCGAAAAGGGCTTGGAATTTACGGGGAGAGACCCTAGCTCTGGCTCAAATCCTTGCTGTCGTTTGTCCCGCGTACACGCTATTTGGATACAATCAATCTGGACTTGGAAGCCTTGTCTCCTTGCCAGATTGGGTGAAACACTTCCCTGAGATCGACACTGTCAACACCACCGGCCGCCAGGAAAGCTACAATGCAACAATTCAGGGGGTCGTCATTGCTACATTCACACTTGGTGCCTTGCCAGGCTGTCTATCCTGCTCGTATACAGCCGATAAATTCGGCCGGCGACCAGTCATATTTTTCGGTGGACTTTTCGCCTTGATCGGCCAGATCTTGGAAGCATCTTCATCGGAGCTTGCACAAATGGTTGTCGGTCGTACTATTCTCGGGGCTGGTATTGGAATCCTCAGTGGCACAGTCCCAACGTGGCAAAGCGAATGCTCAAGTTCTAAAAACCGTGGTAAACACGTCGCGTTGGATGGACTTTTCATTGCACTAGGATACATGCTGCAAGCTTGGATCAACCTTGGCTTTTATCAAAATCAGACCGGTCCCGTAACCTGGAGAGCCCCGGTAGCGATTCCTATTGTCTTCGCCCTTCTCCTTATGGATTATTTCCCTTCCCGAGTCGCCTCAATGGTTAGTGCGCCAAGGTCGAATTGCAGAAGCAAAGAGTACACTCGCATCACTCAGAGATGTTTCCGAAGATTCACCCGATATCATAGGAGAGATTGCCAGTATTGAGAGTTCTCTCGAGGAGACAGCCAATAGTGCAACCTCATTGATGGATCTTCTCAAGATGGGTGAAGACCGCCTGCTGTACAGATTTGGCATATGCATTCTTTTGCAATTCTTCCAGCAGATGTCAGGTGGAAATTTAATTTCTGTTTACTCAACGGTCATCTTCGAAACGGGATTGGGATTAGATGCGAACACATCGCGTATATTGTCTGGTGGTACTCTCACTTGGAAATTTCTTTCCTGCTTTGTTTCATTCTTCACGATTGATCGATTCGGTCGCCGGTTTGCCTTGATGGTGAGTGGAGGTGGAATGGCAGTTTGCATGATCGGTCTTGCCATCTCGACATCGTTTCCACACACAAATTATGCGGCCCAGATTGTCAGCGTTTTGTTTGTCTTCCTGTTTAACTTCTTCATTCCGATCGGCTTTCTGGGAGCCAACTTCCTTTACTGCACCGAGGTTGCGCCCATCCGACTTCGTGTTGCAATGTCGAGTATTTCGACAGCTAACCACTGGCTCTGGTATGTATTCCCTCGGCTTTCAGCGGAAAAATCATTAATCTGTCTTGCTTATCTAGGAACTTTGTGGTGACTATGATCACATCGGTCGCTATTGACACCATCGGGTACCAATACTACATCGTCTTCACGTGTATTGGCTTTTGCATTCCCCTTTCAGTTTACTTCCTTTATCCCGAGGTATGATTGAAAATAGTCAACCTTCCTCAACAAATAACTAATGGCTTTTAGACAATGGGACGTACACTGGAAGAGATCGACTTGGTATTCCGAGAAAGTCCATCTGTGTGGGCTACTGTGCGATTTGCGAAAAAGAGCGTTCAAGAGGTCCAGTCTAGCACAGAACAGGCGAAACATGAAGTCGAGCATGAGGAATATTATAATCCATCTATCGGCAAATAGAATGAATTCAGTCCCTGGGTTCCTTGTGTACATATGAAGTTCTTCTCAGCCTGTTTAGGTAGAAAAGAAGCAGCTAGTAGAAATTTTGCAAATCTCAGATATCATTATACAATTCAAGTTACCTGATTATTATTTCGAGAAAGACTCATTTTAAATAAGTCACAAGATAGTTCCAAGGCGGAATTGAACTTATTCGAGAGTGCATTGATCGAATGAATGTGTTCCCTAGTTGATAGAGCCGAGTAGAAATACCCGCAATGCGCCGCTCTTAGGCTTTAGCCTCTAGAGCTGTTTTCAGTGCTCACAACCCGGAGGCTCACTTGAACATGGAATTTGAAATCAATTATTTCCTCTCTAACAGTATCCGATGCATTATCGTTCAACATACGAGAATAAGTCTGCTGACACTAAACCGGACATAGCCCGAGTCTATTCCACCAAGTCTTCGGGATAAGCGCTTATTCCGATGATTCCACCCTACTATGCCTCGGAGCTTGTTGACTTCGCACGAGAAAGCCCAGAAGCTCATATATCATTTAAAGTGAATTTACCCCCGAAGAGATCAAAGAATAAAGCAAGATTTATCTCATTCAACAAGGTTCACGTTTTCCCACCATGGCTGTCTCTGCTCTTGATTCTCGCATCTTCCGGAACCTGTTTGGAACACAGGAAATCCGCGACATCTTCACTGATGATGCGTACGTGACATGTTTGATTGAAGTAGAGGCTGCACTAGCACGCGCTCAGTCAAAAACCGGTGTTATTCCTCCCGAACGCCGGCGATGTGATCACCGATATATTCGCCAACATTGAACTTGAGTATGTACTTTTCTCGATGATGACGGCTTTTACATCATTGTCATGTGCTTACAAAGGATCTTTCTCCAGCTATGAACGCCTAGCACGCGAAACAGATGTTGTGGGATATCCTGTTCTTCCTCTTGTTTGTCAACTCGTTGAGCGAACATCGAACGAGACATCAATGTATATCCATTGGGGAGCGACAACACAGGATATCATGGACGATGCGTCCATGCTTCAAATAAAGCGTGGACTCGTACTGGTGGAAAGAGAACTTCACACACTCAAGAGTGTTCTTACAGAGTTGGCCAAGACACACAGAGATATGTACGTTGATTCTTAATATAGGTTCTTCTTTGAGGGAACGACACGCTTACAAACCCTCAGTCCAATGGCAGGTCGCACGCATCTGCAACATGCTCTCCCCTGTACCTTTGGCTACAAATGCGCCGTATACTTGTCAAGCATCCTCCGACACCTGGAGCGCATCGAAGAAATCAAACAAAGATGTTTGCTCGTGCAGTTTGGAGGGGCCGCCGGTACTATTGCTTCTTTGGGATCAGATGATGCAGGTCTACGAGTCCGCGAACAGCTTGCAACGGAACTCGGCCTACAGAACCCTCCGATAACATGGCATGTGGCACGAGACAATGTGGCGGAAGTCACGAATTACCTAGCCCTTGTTGGTGGTACGCTGGGTAAAATCGCAATGGATCTTATGATCATGTCTTCCAACGAATTCGACGAGGTATCCGAACCATTTGTACCTCATCGCGGAGCTTCATCAACTATGCCACAGAAGCGTAACCCAATCTCGAGCGAGGTGATCTTAGCGGCTTCTAAGATGCTGCGAGCAAATGCCTCTCTGGGCCTAGATGCTATGATTACTGATTTCGAACGTGCTTCTGGGCCGTGGCATCTAGAGTGGGTGGCCGTGCCTGATTCATTTGTCACTGCTGTTGGCGCCCTTCACCAAACTAATTTTGCCTTGAGTGGACTGGTCGTGAAAACAGATTCGATGGAACGTAATTTACATTCTACCAGGGGTCTGATTGTGGGCGAAGCAGTTATGATGGCTCTCGCGCCTCACATTGGACGACAAAAGGCACACGATGAGGTCTATGAAGCTTGCAAATCAGCTATTGAGCAGGACAAGTCCCTTCTGGAAGCCTTGCAGAATTCCCCCATTTTGAGTAGCATCTTCACACCGGAGAGACTGGCAGCATTGTGTGATCCATTAAAGTACATGGGTGCCAGTCAGCTGATGGTTGATGAGATGGTGAATCGGTCCAAGTCGTTGGCGTCTCTCAAAAACAATGTATATACAAATGGTCATTGAATAGAAGTTAAAGAGTGCTTTCAAGAACATTGAATGAATCTAGCTGGATACTGCGAACTTGAATATAACCTTACCTCAAGTGCTTGAATGATAATATGCGTATGCCCGGCATCAATCGATTCATATTCATAATCCTGGCATAAAATCCATCGTGCTATTCAGATTCCTTATCGGTAATTCAAATAAGACAATACTTCAAGGTTATATCACCAACAATATTTACAACTAGTTACATGAATTATTATATAGGTAACCTTGGAATCATTCTGCGTTACTCCCAGTACTTGACTTCGTCTCAACCATGACCGTCTCAGCCGGAAGTTCTACCGGCGCAGGCTGATTCGATGCCAATTCAGCATGTTGAGGATTACCAGGTAACTCCGCATTAGGATAATCATTATAAGCATCCATAGGCGCCTGATCATTCGGAAGTTCCGCCGTGGAAGTCGCGTTCATGTCGGAATCTGACTTTGAGCGTCGTCGGAAGAATATTGCCCAAATTGCAGCGAGGATAGCGATCGCACCGACGGAGACACCTACTCCGATACCAGCTTTGGCACCATCTGATAGTCCTGATGAGTGACTATTTGAAGAATTCGAGGAAGAAGATGTATTTGTTGGTGTTGTGGAAGATGCGGTGGGACTGATGGTTGAGTCCAAGTCTGTAGTTGTTGCGATTGTTGAGGCGGGGAGATCACTGGCTTGCCAGTACATTGTTACAGCGTAGGCTGCAAATTCGGTAGAGTTTATTGTGTTTGTGCCGGTTTCTGTTGAAATGCATGGTTGTGTGGCTAGATAATAGTTTAATAGTCCGTTCGTATTGAGTTCCCATCCACTAAGGAGAGAAGTTTTGTTAGAATCGCGGGGTTTCAGGTTTGCCAAGGGAATTTAGGGTAGTCTGGGTTGATAACTAACCTCGGGCAGCATGTCGCATGAGTTTCAGTAACATTTCCTTGGATAACAGTCTGCACTTGGGCAGGGTCGGTTGTGTAGCCTTTTGGACAATCCAAGCCAGGTGAGAAATAACTGGCTGGACTCCAGCTCTCCGGAAAACACGCCGTTGTATCCCAATGGTAAGAAAGGAGGGAACCGAATTCAGCTTCCGAACTACCATAGTAGATCAGAGTGCTCATTTGACTGGTGACACATCCTGATGAAGGGGTGAATGTTGTTGTTAATGGCCCGGCTGCCATGGTGCATGATTTTCGTATATAAAGATCTTGTGCCTGGAAAATTGCAGATTCAGGTACGAAGCAGGGACCAATGAGTTTAAAAAGATCAAGAGGATCAGAGTCAAGGCTAACCTCGGAGTTTCCAACTTTTTTTTCTAACGCTAATTCAAGCTAATGTTGGAGCTAATGGTGCTAAGAGTTGGGGGCGGCCCCAGGGGGCGCCACTATAATTTAAGTCAAACACCACTGCGGCACTTGCGATCTAAACCAGTTGACTGATACACAGAGACCATGTGCTTATTGAATAGGTTCTACTTGACAAGATTCTAGGTTGCGTGTGCAGAAACGGATTTCTAAGTACTCTATCCCAGGCTACATAAGGAAAATGAACTCATTGCAAGAATGCAAAAACAAACATACTTGTCTAACCTTTTACCTGGTCGTCATCGAGCATAACTGGTATATCCCGGCTCGTATTAACCCCCCAAGGATCCTATCACTATCCAAATGCCAGAGCTGAATAGATCTGGCGACCGGTTTGGACCGGTAGATCATAAATCATCACAAGCACGACCTGTTTTCGTTTGCCATCTTACCATACCACACATGACACATATCGCATAAAGAAGAACGGACCAACACCTGTTGTGCAAATGCTCGAGGGGGATTCTTTTTTGTCTCCGGACGCAAGTCGCCCTCAGAAAACATGGAAGAGAAGAAAGAAAATTGTATACATGAAAAAATAAATTCTTTATCCGCTGAATCGGAAGCGTGTCGCCTCCAACCGTCCGAGGCCATCACGGGGTGCAACATTGCGACGGCGGTAGGAATTGGTGAAATCTGCACATATTAATAAGATTGAGAACAAAGAAAGGAGCAAAAGGAAGACATACCTTGGAGGAGAACACGAATCTTCCGGGTTTCGCCAGATTGCACCTTATCGGCAATTCCCTTCAGAAGTCGCTCGGCCTCGCCCGGTTTCATGGATCCCGCGGGCAGCATCTGCAGGGTATTCTGCAGCCAGGCTCCGGTCTCATGGGGCAGCAATTCAAAGAGTGTCATCATGACCCCTGAGGCATCAGGGAAACAGTCACCGGGGAATGTGAACATCATTCCGGTCAACACTCGTTGAGAAAGCAGCTGTCCCTGGGAGCCCAAAAGAGCCTTAACAGCCTCACGGACTTCTAGAGGATTGGTGTAGGGTTCGCCCTCGGGGCTGGTAAATTCGGAGACAACGGGCTTATCAAATGCAAAACTGAATAGATCGCGGTAGTAGTGAAGTGTGGCGATAAGAGGATCGACTTGTTGGAGTGTGAGAGAGCTAAGTGCCGCAGAAAAGATTGGGATAGCCAGTGATGAGGTTATGCACTTCTTAGGGTAGTAGCGGACGGCGTCAGAAGACAATCGGAAGAAATCCTCGATAACTATGCAAAGTTAGAAAACAAAAATCCCCCCAAAGTAACGAATACAAGTGACTTGGAAGGTGAACTTACCATCGGGGAGATTCTCAGGGGGCAGATCATTCAGTATCCGGAGGAACGCCAGAGCTTGCTGTTCGTAGAACTGGAAAACGGCATCGCTAGTGGCCTGGTCCACGAATTCGGCACCGTCGGAAAACTCTCGGACGACAGCATCCGTTGCCCACAGGAAACATCCTTCCCGGGAAGCCTCGAATCCATTCGCAATGCTTTGGGCGAGAGTGGGGAGAAGAGGAATCATAGCGGTCCGGTAAGAAATAATCATGTAGCGCCAGCATCGGCACACGCGCTCTAGAATGGGTGTAGAAGACGTAAAGTTCATAACAATTGTGGTCATGATGGGCAGGATTTCGCCGCAGTACTTGACAGCAGGGTTTTCCTGGCCCGGGGGAACAATGGGACAGACTACTTGCACAAAGATTGTGATAAGTTGCAGGTGATCGGCAACCGCCCGTTGGCCTTCTTCGTCTTGGGCATTGTTGGCAAGGTTCATAATTCGTTGCATGATTGGGTCGCAGAACATCTTGAAGGAATCGTAAATCTTCTCCATGGGTTGCACAGAGACGACAGCGGCGACACCCTCAGCCACCTCCTCCTGGCTAGTAGGCTTCAACTTGTCAAGCACGGTCAGGAAGAAGGAATGCAGATGGTCGATGTGACCACCCAGAAGCTTCTGGCAATCTGTTCCAAGGAACTTGAACGCAAGAGCGGCCGCCTGGATGACCTCCGGTGAGGGATGTTGGAAAGCAGAAATCACATAGTTGAGTTGTGCCTCGAGAGTTTCGGGGTGAAGCGCAGTCCACTCGGTGTAGCGTGCGAGAGCCATGATGGCCTGGAATCGAACCTTCTCTTGGTCCGGGATCTGTACAATCAGACTGATCAATTGACCCAGTACGGTGCTTTCCTCAGGATCAACCATACGGCCCATGGCACGAAGTCCGAAGAGAGGAGCTTCTAACTCCTGCCAATGCGGAACGTGCTCGTTGCTGGCCTGCGCTGCGTACTTGCCCACCCATTGTTGGATCAAGTGGTAGATCTTGCCTAGACATTCAGTCACGCCCACAACAGCACAGCAGTCCTTCAAGACATCGCCCATGGCGTGTCGGAACTGTCGGAACTTTTCCTCCTGCTCACGATCACCACCAAAGAGATCTGTCTCGCCTTCCTCGGGACTGGGGAATTCCAGATGCTTGACCATGATATCCACGAGCTGCGAGAAAATATCTTGGAAGTTGATGCGAGCATCTGTGTATCGTTCGATGGTGATGTACTGCTTCAATTCGTACCAGAAGATAAAGGTCTGGGAAATAGCGTCCCGCTCCCAGTCGCGAGCACAGCACTCAAGGACGGCCTCGACTAGGCCCCGGAACTCCACTGGCAGTCGCGCGATAAGAACCGCCCAAGCCTCACCAGCCTCTGCGAACATTCTTGTGATACCCTTGAACGCATCCAAATCTTCGGCTTCGGCAGTTTCGGCAATCTTAGGTCGAAGGGCCATCAATCGTGGATAAAGCGCCTGGATGACAGAGAGAGATTCATCAACGTCCTTAGTATCCCGGTAAAGAGTACACATGCAGTCCACACCGGCATCAAATGACACCTCGTTGTCCAATGCCTTCAAAATAACGTCCATCAAAGGCGACTCGACAACCTTGGAGGCGGGAATTTCGCGAAGCCATGAGGTAATGCAATCCAGAAGGCGTGGATTGGTGGCGGCGGACGGTGAAGATTGAGCATACTGAATCATGAGTTGCATAACCTGCTCCGCATTGTCTTCCAGCAGCTCCTTTGTTCTCGAAATCAGATCATCTTCGCTGAGGTTAATTTTGCGACCTTCTGTGACTTCCTCGGGGAGAATCTTCAAAAATTCCAGAACGCAATCCCCCGCACTGCTGCCCAATGCGGCTCCAACAACCGCCAAAACGTCTTTCCATGCGGTCATCTGAATCGCCAGACTTGCTAAACACACACATAACTGAGTCTGGATGGGTCGTGGGCCGGAGGCAAAGGCCACAAGTAGGTTAAGAACGGAATCTCGGAGGGCTAAAACCGATTCGGGGTTGAGTTGATCCAAGTCAAAGATGATCTAATCGAGTCAGCATTGCGCATCTCTTGCATGAAAGAACCATGATCATAATCGGGTATGGAACATACCTTTCCCTTCAAGGTAGTTGCCGCGAATAATTTGGCTTCAACTGGTACGTCGGGAGATTGTAAAAGTGCATGGGTTGTTGTCCATGCCTCAATCTTTGTAAAAAAACGTGTTAGCTAACTTTTTCTTTACTTTTCCTTTTCGAGATAAGGTTTAAAAGGGTTCAGGTGATACCGATTTCTGGAATTTCTCGAGGAATTCGTGGGCTTGAGTCTTCTCGGACCTAGGCACATTCCCTTGCATTGTCGCGACGGCCGCCAGGACCGGGGCAAATGGCCCACTATCCTTGCTGGCCATTTCGGGGATTGTAAATTGCAAAATTTCAGTAGCAATACAGACCCCGAGAAAATAGGAAAGAAACGACAAAAAAATTCAACTTAAAGAGGGTATGGGAGAGGTAAAAAGATAAGAGGATGGTGTCGCGATCCTTGAAGTGGGAAGGAGAAGGTGGGATGTTGGTGCCCGTGACCTGCGTAATGGTATTACCAGTGAAATCACGGGACGCAGAGCTTGACTTCCCTTTCGTTGCTACACACGCCTTATCAACCATCAACTCTACACATTCATCATGGCTGGCCGCAAGACATTGTTGGCGCCTATTCACTTCATTTTCAGCCTGCTGCAGAAGCGCAGTACGGTCTCGATCTGGCTTTACGAGCAGCTTGCTTTCCGAATTGAGGGAAAGATTCGGGTAAGAGACATGAACATGCGAATCAACTTGGTCCCCGCCGTCTAACGTGTGTATATAACAGGGTTTCGATGAATTCATGAACTTGGTTATCGACGATGCAGTGGAGGTCCGTCAAGCTACACAGACAGAGTCGGAAAAGCGCAGGCCGCTGGGTAAGATTTCAATTGATTCCGAGAAATAGATGAAGATGGTCTTGCTAATACCTGCCACAGGCCAGATCCTCCTCAAGGGTGACAATGTCTCCCTTATCCAAGCCGTTTAATCTGTCCTCTTTTTCGTCTCATTCCAGGCGGTTGAGATACCGCCCATCACCCACCACGAGCGCATCGATCAGCCAGTCATGCGCCATTACCGGAACCTCCTCGACCATCTGCTCCTGGAGCGACAAGGCCACTAGCAACGGAGTTTAGTTATTTCGGATAAAGGAAAACAAAGGGATTGGGGGGGTCTGTTTTTACCAAGGAATGGCATCTTCTTGCTCTGTTCTGAATATCGCGTTAGAAAATGGTCATAATATCCTTTACCATGTCCGAGTCGCCGGAATTCCTGATCGAATGCCATGCCAGGCATCACGATCAGATCTAATCCATTATCTGTCAGACCGTTGCGACGACCTGGCACTTGTGTAGGCTGTAATGAAGGGATTCCCCAGTTATCAGGCTGGAGCGACTCGAACTCCGTCATAGATTCGAGCGCAAGCATATCCATGACCGACACCTTCTCGACTGTATGGATGTACGGAATATAGACATTTTTGCCGCGCTCAAAAGCATCTTGTACGATGCTTCGAGTAGATAATTCTCCGGTCGGCATTGACAAGTATACAGCTATACTTTTCGCGTTTTGGTATTCGGGCAACGAGAGGAATTTAGTGGTTGCAACTCCGGCTACTGAGAGTTAGTCATTTGCTTGGGAGCTCAAAAGCACCTGAACAATACTATATAGGACCGAGCTAACATTGTTGGCTGATCACTGGAGCAGCCATATTCTTCAAAGTTGCGCGCATACGTTTGCGCAAATCGCGCTTTGCTGTCTGGAAGGCCATCATGGTGTCAATGGGTCTCCCCGCGGGAAAGTTGTAAGGATGAAGTTCCATTCCAACCGATAATGATAAGAGTGGGCACCGGCATGCTGCCTTGTTTGGTCCCCACCTGAATGAAGGGATCAAGTTACCCAGGGTTATTTTCCCTCTGGATCAGAATTTTTTTCCTTTTGGACAAGCCATCATGATTTGGATTTGGGGTCTTTTTGTGGCCGTTGTGGCTGCCAGCGTGGACGATTTGGTTGGTACATGGACTACTAAGTCTCGGGAAGTAGTGACCGGTCCAGTATGTGACTTTGATTCTCCCCAAGCAGAGCTATCTCTAACCCGGAATAGGGATTTTACGATCCGCTCAATGACAAGCTCCTCGAGCCGAACTTGACTGGCATTTCTTACTCGTTCGATGCAGATGGACACTATGAAGAGGCTTTGTACCGTGCGCTAGCTAACCGTAAGCTTGCCGATGTGGACCCTGCGAACTATATATTCAAGTCTTGGAAAGCTAACACGATCTACTACAGCAACCGATCCATCCTGTCCTTCCGGGATCATGCAATGGCAGCATGGATCTTATGTCGTCGGTACTGATGGAACTATCACATTGACTCCAATCGCTGTTGACGGCCGACAATTGCTATCAGAGCCCTGCAAACGAGGAACAGGCAGTTATACCCGATACAATACCACAGAGCATTTCAAGGTAAGAGATGAGGATGGATTAGTAGTTTCATCTTTTCTGTAAATTGACTGACGTGAATTCATAGGGATTCTCCGTCTCTCTCAATGCATACCATGGTGTCCAAAGACTTGACCTTACTCAGGCTGATGGTCAGATTATGCACCCTATGTACTTGGTCTACAAACCCCCGAAAATGCTTCCAACAAACACCTTGAACCCAAACCCAACCGAGTCTCACAATAAGCGAGATCTATCTTCAATTTCTGCTCCTAACTTTAACGTTGTCATTCAAGAGGAGATCATGAATCCAGATCGGTGGTGGTGGTTGGGTGTATTTATGACTTCTCTCGGTGGGATGGCCTTCTTCTTCTCTTGATATATTTAGTACCATCATGATTTTGATATTTACAGTCATCAATTTATAACTCCCAAATGTTTGAGTAGAGACGAAAGTTGTTTATGTTTTGATTATGATACACTTCTATTCATACATTTCCTGTACACACATCCTGAGGACCGCTCATGCAAGAGCCTGCTTTACCATTGATGCAACCTGCTTCCGGTCTGCTGGCTTTCCATCCAATGGACCACCTTGAGAAAAGATGGCCTTGAGAATTTGTCCAAAATCCATCTTACCACCAGCTTCCTTGATGCTAGCAATCTGCTGCGCAACAATAGCTTCCAGCTCCTCATTGGAAAGCATTTTGACATGACTGGCGTATTCTTCCAAAATGGTAATTTGTTCATCTTCCTTAGCCTTCAGGTCTGCCCGATTCGCAGCCGCAAATTGCTCGGCAGCATCGGTGGCAGCAGCAGCACGTTTCCGAATGAGCGACAAGAGTTGGATATCGGTCTCAATTGGGGAGGAGGTCTTTGCAGCGTTGTTGGTCTCTGAGATCAAAGCACGGAGCACATTCAGACTAAAGTTATTCAGTAAAACGACCATCTAAAACTTCATCAAAGACAAAGAAAAAAAACCATACCGAGCAGTGTCCTTGGCGCGCATGGCTGTCTTCAAATCAGCTCGCATTGTTGCCATTAATGGAGGTGTGGTTGCAGTGGAATTCCATCGCACCTGGCGCAATGGAGCGGATGGAATTAATCGCAAAGCTCGAAACATAGTGAATGAGAAAAGAAATTCAAGATTGAAAAGGAGCCTTAATAATTGAATTATGGAAAGGGAGATAGTTACAATTGTAAGTGAAGCATTAAGCTGGGAAAAGGCGGAAGTTCATAAATGGTCCGTGCACAGTGCACCGTAGGGAATTGTTGACTTCCGCCTCAAAAGAACCTTGAAACCTCCAGAGCTGTCTCCAATTCTCCCATCTACTTCCTCTCCCACCGAACTTCTTCGCCGGGGAAATTATCGCCTCTTGGACTTTTATCACAGCTTGCTCAGATATTTCAGCGGGGAGCGGCTGTTCCTCTCGCCTCCCCAGCTAAGCGCAATGTCGTACCCGATTCTTCCAACCAACCTTCCTCCAGCAACACCGCAGAAACCCCTACCGGGAGCTTACCTGCAAACGCCAGCTGTGCCACGAAATGACTTCAAATCCCCTCCTCGACAGCAACAAGCGCAACAAGCGCAATATGCCCGCTCACCACCTCGGAATCTCCCTCCCAAGCTTCCTCCGACCGCGACACCACCAAACCAGAACTTGAGTACGGAAGAACGAGCGGCGCGTACCATCAATGAGACCTTGATCCAAGAATCACGATACCCGGATCTGGATAGTTATCTGTCCCGTATGTGTTCCCAAATTTGTTGCGCTTATTTTGGAAAATGGAAGTAGCGGTGATGCTAATCAAATTGTGTATAGAGGGATTCTCATCTGAATATGACATCCCAATGACTTCGTCATGGGCGCCGTTCCAAAAAGTCAAGATGTACAATATTCCCGATCAGATCTTCGACCAGTACAATCGTGCTCAGGTCTCAACAAGCATGGGATTGTTCGCCGAATTGAACCACGCGTGGGTGGCCATTGACAACGCGCTCTACTTGTGGGATTTTACACACTCAAACCCTCAATTGGTGGGATTCGAAGACCAGCCAAACAGTATCCACTCCGTGAAGCTGGTGAAGCCGCGCGCAGGAGTGTTTTTGCCCGCGATCACTCACCTATTAGTGGTCTCGACTACCGCAGAGGTTATCTTGTTAGGTATGGGTGTTGATAATCTACCAACAGGCAGCCGACAGGTTACATTGTATCAGACTGGGATGGCAGTTTCAATCAGAGGGTTGGACATTGACGTTTTTGCTTCCTCGGACGCAACTGGCCGCATTTTCTTTGGTGGCTCATCGGACAACGATGTGTATGAATTGACCTACCAACAGGAAGAGCGTTGGTTCCAGGGTCGTTGCGCAAAAATCAACCACACTAGTTCTCGATTAGCAGCATTCAGACCTTCTCTCAGTCTGACAAATCTTACTCAAAGAGCCATGGAGCATGTGGAACAGATGGTATTTGATGACAGCCGGAAACTTTTGTACACCCTGTCATCCATTTCGACTATTCGAGTGTTCCATTTGAAGCCCGATGGCACCTTGTCCCTGGCGATCACCAAGCCGGCTTTGGATATTTACTCGAATATCGGACATGTCATTGCATCTAACGAAACTCTGAATCCTAAGGTGAAGATCGTCGCTATTAGCCCCGTCCCCGCAGCGGAAGCATCTCGCTATCACCTTGTTGCGACAACTGCTACGGGCTACCGTATCTATCTCAGTGCGACTAGTTCATTCAGTTGGTCTCCCGCGATGCTTGAGGTCAATGCGCCTACAAGCATGCAAGCTCAGCATGTTAAGACCCCACCTGTCGACAATATCAGTGATTTTGGGTTACGTGGATTCCAGAATGGTGCAGTCAAGTCACCAATCCAGACCTTAGCACCTACCCGATTAGCGGCGCGATTCCCGCCTGGCTACTTCTTCTGTTTCACTTGCAAAGATGCTACCCAGAAGGCGGATACGCTCTTCATCTCCTCCCCGGATTCTGGTCGGGTTGCCAGATCCCAAGAGAATGTCCTCACAGGAAAGGCCGGAGAGACTGCCATCTGGATGAGTCTGGGCGGCCGAGCGGAGGACATTGGTCTCTGCTCCCCACCCCCACCATCATCCCCGGGCTTTGGTAACGAGCTGGCTATCCAATTCGATCATCCGGCAGCTGAGATTGCTGTCCTCACGAATACTGGTATTCATGTCATTCGCCGTCGACGCCTGGTAGACATTTTTGCTTCACTGCCCCGTGGCGGAGGCAATAGCGAAGAAGGCCTGGATGGCGAGGCTAAAAACTTTATTCGCACCTATGGCCGTTCTGAAGCCCTTGCTACTGCCCTTGCGGTGGCTTGTGGACAAGGTGTTGAGATCTCTTCAGACCAACGACTTACCCAGATCAATGATCCTGATGTGTTGGAGTTTGCCCGTAAAGTCTTCATCGAGTATGGTGGTCGCCCTGCATTGAATGATAATGCTGTCGCTGACGCCACCACTCCTCCCATCGATCTGGTTGAACCTTCACCCCGCCATGCTGGTATTTCGTTGTACATTTCCCGCCTGCTGCGGTCAATCTGGAAGAAGGAGATCGCGAAGGTGGGCAAGGGTGCCAATGGCGCGGTTACAGTCACTGCTTCTGTAGGCACTGCCAAGCTGCAGTCCATTCAACATGATCTCTCCTCCCTCCAGAACTTCTTCAAGACAAACAAGAGTTTCATCGAGGGACTGAGTGGACCCGAGGCTCTGGCCCGAGTTTCCACCAAGCATGAAGAAATTGCCCTTCAGGGTGAGCACCGTGCCTTGCACTCTATCGTGCAGTTGGTGTCGCACACTATCGAAGGAATTTCTTTTGTCTTGGTACTTTTCGATGAGCGAGTCGATGAGATCGTGGCTACTCTGCCTGAAGAGTCGAAGCACAAGTTCTTGAGGCTTACTTTCGAGGAGCTATTCAGCACCAACAAGGGTAACGAAATCGCTAAGGAGCTCGTTAAGAGTATTGTGAACCGCAACATCGCCAAGGGCTCCAACGTTGAGACTGTGGCCGATGCTTTGCGACGCCGATGCGGTAGCTTCTGCAGCGCAGAGGATGTGGTCGTCTTCAAGGCTCAGGAGCTTCTCAAGCGGGCTACCGAGGCTGGTGCCAACACTGAATTGGGTCGAAATCTCCTCAATGAGAGCTTGAACTTGTTCACACAAGTGGCTGATAATTTGCCTATGGATTACCTGGTCTCAGCAGTGGACAACTACATTGCCAACCAGTTCTTTGCGGGTATGTCTCCTTCCCCCTTTTTTACATTATCCTTTCATGCTGACAATCTTATTAGGTGCAATTCAACTGGCCCACACAGTTGCTGCTCGTTCTGACAAGGCCAATTTTGCCCTTTCCTGGATGGAGGAGCGTTCTGAACAAGTATCAACTCTCCCCCTAGAATATTACCTCGCGCACCCGCTCACAAATGTACAGGACCCACGAAAAGTTCATTACTACTTCCGCAAGCAATGCTACGATCTCGTTTTTAAGGTCATTATTGCTGTTGACACTCTGGCTGCCACAGACCCTGGCTTCATTGATGGACAAATGACCCAGATTGCTAAGCGCCAAAATGAGGCTTATGCTGTTATCTCCGACTCTAAAGATGAAGTCTTCTTGACTAGCCTTTACGACTGGTACCTGGAACAAGGCTGGAGCGAGCGTCTTTTGCAGACCCAGTCTGTATTCGTGGTTACATATCTCGAAAAGAAATCTACATATGACATTGCTCATGCCGATCTGTTGTGGCGCTACTATGCACAGTCCCAGCGGTTCTTTGAAGCCGCTAAGGTTCAATTTCAGCTAGCACAGAGTGCATTTACGCTCCCTCTCAGCGGGCGAATTGAGTATCTTGGCCGAGCCCGGACTAACGCCTCAACAATCACACCGGATGTGGGACGTCAATCTCGACAGCGCCTTATTCAGGAGATCTCGACCCTGATCGACGTGGCCAACATTCAGGACGACCTTTTGCAGCGACTAAAGGATGATGATCGGATCACATCGGAACGCAAGGGCGAAGTTCTGCGGGATGTGGACGGACCGATTATGGATATTAGCACTGTGAGTTCGGCCAGTTTCCGCAACCTGCAGCCTGCAGCTGCTAGGCCCCCACCCCCTTTCATCCACTCACACCCCTGCATGGTCTTTTTTACTGACTAAAAATTAGCTCTACAACCAATACGCCGACTCGGCTAGTTACTATGACATCTGCCTGCAGATCTTTTTCCTGGCCGATCACCGGAACGCAGCCGATATCAAGGCCACTTGGCACAACTTGATCCAGGATGTTCATGCTACCACATCGGCCCGGGGGTCCCCACAACCCTTCGAAGCCATCGTCGAGAAAGTTCGCAGCCTTGGCAGTCGGCTCCGGATGTCAGAGACGGTATTTCCGGTTCGCGAACTGGTCCCCATGCTGGAACGCTATTGGATTGAGCATCAGCGCCACATTGCCCCATCTCACTGGGTTGTCGATCTGTTTTTGGATCTGGGCGTCGCACATGAGTCGATCTATGCTGTGCTGGAAGCCATCTGCTACACTGACGAGGCTCCATTCCAAGGTCCCAATCTCCGGTATCCCTCAATTGATCTGCTCTATCTGTTGAATTCTTGGTTCGATGAGACTATGCGACTCGGCGGAATGGTGTTTGGATCGGACGTTGTTGCTAATCGCATTTCTGAGACTTTGCTCTCCCTGCAGCAGCAATCCCACACTCCCGAAGTTATGGAAGGATGCCTGGATCTTCGACGACGCATTTCGGATCTTCTACGCTAGACTCCATTTTCTTATTTTTACTGCATTCTTGTCTCAACGTGGAAGGATCGTCGTTAGCGATGATTGTAACTCTAGGTGGCGTTCGGAGGTTTATGAATGTGAAAATCTACGTTTTGTCCTTTGATCATAATGAGAACATCTTCGAATGATAATTATTGCCATAAAATGATTCAATGTTATGAGATTACAATCTTTCACCAGCACTTGAGTAAAACACATATGCATGTAAAGCACCAGTAGAACGAGGTAAATCAATAATCATATTCTTTTCTGAAAGAGGCATTAAGATTACCCGAAACAAAAAAAAACAAATGCAGTCTAAAAGAATAATCAAGATAACGCCCGCCAAAAAGCAATAAAGATTGAAACTCAACCAAAGCACAGTCTATCATGATTGTCATAGTCTCAGGTCTCTTTACTCATCAAACTCGTCATAAACGGGGATAGGCTTCTCGCCCAACGCAATCAAACGGAAAATATGACGAGCCTTAGCACCATATTCCTCATCCAGATAATCTACAATGGCGGAGTCTGTACCACATCAATTAGCAAAATAATCCAATAGAAGGGTGAAAAGCAGAAAACTCACGAGTAGTAGCCCTGTTATCAAACATGACAATAGTCCTCGGTTGCCAGCGCACTCTAGCCTGGAAATCGTGACCCGTAACGATATGATTCATAAGGAAATCCAACATCCACTTCGTCTCAGGTTCCTTCATTCCTTGAACCTTGGTAATAAACTCCGCATTGACAAACAAGCACTTCTCCCCAGTAACAGGATGAACCCGCACAAGCGGATGCACCGTATCAACAGGATCCTTACGCACCAATCCCCCAGTCAATCGAGTATGATGAATCATCTTTGCAGATGAGTGCACCGTCTTCAAGGTATCCAGGAACGCGCGCAAAGTCGGCGAAAGACGCTTATACGCCATATCCGTCGCCGCAAAGACAGTATCACCGCCGACTTCAGGACCTTGTAGCAATCCCAACATCACGTATCCCGGTGGCTGGATCTCATAACTGACATCCTGGTGCCACAAAGTTGTAGTGGTACGAGCTTCGAGGAAGCGCATAATCTCCTCACGGTTTCCATCACGGTGAATAACATGAAAGGCGGGGTGATTCCGAACACTTCCCGAGACGGGTTGGTAATTCGGTTTACCGAAATAGCGCATGAAGGATTCCTGTTCAGCGGGACCGGCATCGATGAGATCTTGATCCGGGAAAGCGAGGACCTTGCGCTCAGAGATTAAGAGGGCGAGCTCATCCTTTTGCGCATTGTTTAGTGTGTTGAGTTGTATTCCTTCAATTACGCTTCCGATCGCGGGTTGGATATCGTGGACTTTCACATTAGGTGTGAGGAGGTTGGGCTTGCTTTTGTCCTTTACGCGGAGGGCTGGATCCACGTATTCGAATTCGGGCAGTGGGTCGAACCAGATTGGATCCCAGGTGGGGAGATATTCTGGGTATGGAGTGTTGATCTTGGATTGTTTTTCGACATCAACGTAAGGTATGTTAATATCATAGCTGATGGGGATTTCGGGTTTATGGCCATTAGGACCATTGGCCTTGGTTCGGACGAGAGGAGCGGAAGATGGCATCTTCAAGAGTGGGAGGGATGTATAGTAGAAATGTATAGTTTGAAGCACTTTGAGTGTGCCAGTTAACAACAAAATAGATGAAGTTCAATGGGGAACTTGAAATATAATTGAGTTACTGATTGATAAGAAGGAAAAAAGCAAAACTAACTTAATCCTCGAAAAAAGGCTCGGGTCCCAGTTATATACCCTTAATAGATGATAGCTTCAACGCTAACGGTGGCCTCATCGGGGGACGGAGTGGTCTGTGTCCTGTTCGCCAGATGAGCGGTCAGTACCTAAACCACTTATTAGAACACGGAATACATAGACCACCCTTATCCCGGTGAGTTCCGAACTATAATGCTTGTTGAAACTGGGGCTCTAAAATGGAATTTTCTATGATGACGATGAGTTTCAAGATTGAGCTCTTGAGTTCCCCGGAGCCCGATTTCACCGCTACAAGATGATACATAAATTAAACATAATAAAGGAGGAAAAAGAAAGGATTAGATGCAGGGTTTGCCTCGGTTCGGCTTATTTTATTTTATTATTTTATTTTGATTAATTTATATTAATCTATTTAGATTTTTACGCGCTTGGATTCGACGGAGTATTCCTGTATCTTTTTTTTGTTCTCCAAAGTTGCTGATAAGGCCAATGCAGCCTGCATGGCAATTGCATTATCTACCGTGATCAGTGCAGGCATAGGATTGGTTGCAAGTTGAATTTGGCCCCAAAACAGAGGCATATCCGAAAATCAGACCAAAAAAAGAATTAAGAACCTAATCAATAAATGTAATAGCAATGTGGAAAAAAGGCTAGTATTGTTTTCCCGTAGCAGATCAAGGTATTCCGTATGCCCGATATCAAGAGTAGCCTAGAGTATCCCAACAAGGTAGTCCATAGGAGAAAAAGGCAAATAAAAAAAAATAGAATTAAATAAACTTTAAGACACGTCAGGAAAAGAACAAAGAGAACAGAGAACAGGGTTCGATGGAAAGATCCATTGGATATGGCGAACATGCGGTCTGGAAATCCCGCAGATTTGGTTTAACGTACACGTCGCACGGGAGGAGTAAAGGAGCTTTGTGCCACTGAATCCCGATAATTGTACATGGTCTCGGTACCTGATTGACTTCTGATGTAATAACCCTGTACGGAGTATGGGTGGGTGTGAGACCATCCTAGCTCATCCTGATGGTATCTGGCGTACTCCTGTAGTTGATACGTCTCTTTTTTCTCCCGATATCGCACAAGGTACCTGATAGGAACCTGAATCATTGTCTGATACCTAACGTAGTACCACATGTCAAAGAAATTCGACTCGTTTTTGAGGGGGGATTTTGTTTTTTCCCCCTTTGAAGTGGATCTTTTCCCCCAAATTTCCACAAAGGTGTGCCATGGACCGGGCCGGCTATACCCACCTTGAACCAAAAGGAAATTCCTTTTTTTCTCAAAACTTCCCCTGAAATGATATTGAAGTAGATTAGTGGACCAAGATCTCCACAAGCTTAATTTTGGTAAGAAAAAGCAATTATGATCAAATTCGCGGTAGTTAAATCCGCCGATCTGGGAACTTTTGATAAGGGAAGCCCCGCTTATCACATGATCTGGCACGTGAAATTCTGATCTCGGGAGCTTCGATCGGGAGCTATTAGCCTATAGACCTCATCCTCGTACTCCGTACTCCGTACTAATTAATGCTAATGCACCTCTCGCCAAAATGCTCCGCCGAGACTATGTCTACCTTGTCTTCTTTATTATCCATATACCTATCATCTTTTTAATAGATACCGCCCCTTTACAACCTTCATGGCTCCGCACCGAGCTCTCGCAGCAGCTGCGCGATTTCTACATCTCCACATACAGGGATAAGTTATTTGAGGAGCCCGCGCCAGTCTGGTTTACAACTTTTATCTGGATGGAACTCTTCTACCATGTTCCTCTGAGTATTTGGGCCATTGGAGGATTACTCCGAGGTAACACAACACTGTTTTTCCGTTATCATTTGATATCAAAACTTCAGGGGTTTATACCTATCCTTGCAGATGGATGAACTCTCGGGATTTGCGTTCCTGCTTCATTTTTACTAACGCGGGGATTTGTGATAGATCATCCTCTCGTTCCAGTTCACCTCCTTATCTTCGGTGTCCAAGCTTTTATTACCTCGTTGACGTGTTTGGTGGATGTGTGGAGTTGGGAAGACCGCTCCACTGCTGAGAAAACACAGATCACGTATCTATACGCTCCATATGTTGCTTTGGGTACGTATACATATATCTCGTTATCTGGGATCCCGACTGATTCAATGCTTCATAGGTGCCTTGATGGCTCTAGATATGATCTTCCGCCTACATCACCAACTGCAAGCCACTTCCGCCAAGTCCAAGCGTGCGTAGTACTGCAAAATTTAGGCATCCAATATACACTCATGAGTCATGCGGCGACCATCCCGAGTCAAGTTGGACAATGAGCACTCATGCAGTCGGAGTCGGGCAGTGTTCATGCGTGGAAGGACATATTCGACAAGAAACATTCCTCATTCTACACGTGTTCCATCAACACTTGTTACACATAGAAGATGTAATCTTGGAAGAAACGCCATAATTATGAGATCAGACGTATAGGCTCGCTTACTCGGCACAGGCTAAGCTGTTAGAACAGGTTCTCATGACCATGAACTCGTTGCATGTCCTTATACATTTATGCATAATGAGCACAGACCGCTCTTCAGGATTGCGGCTGCACCCGTCGACTCCTTAATACATGCCCAATGCCGCCTCCTACTCCTTGTACATACATTTGTTACTCACAGGCCGTGCATCACATATGTATGTAGTTGATAGGGCGCTTCCAACTTGAAGGTTCTCGGCTGAGAGATCGAGGTGTAACACAGCGCTGGCAATATACATTGCATGGCTCCCAGGTGGCAGACAACGTTCCAAGTTTTCACTAGACGTACAGCGAGTTATATGTGATTCTCCTCATGCACGACTTGTATGCCTTCCTTGCAATTTGAGTCATTCAGGGTCTTGCTGAGGTGGTAGGACCCGAACTTTCGTGCATCGACATTCTTCAGAAATCAGCATGAACCTCGGCAAAGCACCGCCGGGGTGAATTTCTCATACCTGCATAAAAATCTCGTCCAGATCTTCAAGAGATCGTCTATCAGTTTCAGGGAGGTAGAAGTATGTCCAAATCAGGCCGACCAGTGTGAGAGAGCCCCAGATGAAGCCGACCTATCAAGACAGACCTGTTAGTTTCTAGCAGGAACAAATATCATTGGCGCAATTATGAGTCACGATACACCTACCTTGCCACCTAAGTTTGCAGCAGATGTATTGACCAAGTAAGGTGAGATAGCCGCAACAACCAAGCTCATAGTCCAGTTAATCACTGTACCCAGAGACTGAGCCTTAGATCTCAAGTTGTTAGAGCACATCTCAGATGCAACAATCCACCCAACAGCACCCCAAGACCAGGTGAAGAAAAAACTGAATAGACAGATAAAAGCAACTAGACATGTAGCTGCTTCCGGAGCCCCAGGCGCAGCGACGGCAACTATTGCCACAATAAACCAGCATACGACCTCAGCCACAGCTCCACAGAGAAGAATGGTTCGTCGACCCATAAGGCTTAAGCTAGGGTACAGAAATAACAAACCAGCAAGTTGGCATAACGCTCCAACGATGGTAATCAGGAATGCATTTTCAATCCCAGATGCTTCGAAGAAATATGTCCCGTACGAATTGACGAAGGTGATTCCGGATAGAATCTGGAATAGCAATACCATACAAACAATCATTGTTCGACGACGATCGGCTCCCTTGAATAGGTCTGAGTAGGAACTACTCTTCTCCAGTTGGTGTTCTATAGCAATATGCTCGGCGATATCTTTGATATCCTGCTCAATTTGATATTCGGGATATTTGTCCCCTCGGAGTCGTCGGAGGGAGGTACGTGCATCGTCAATTCGATCAACGGAGAGTAACCAGCCTGTTTTACTTGATCAGCATAATTTCATATTATTCGAGGCAAGTATAGCTTACGAGGAGACTCCGGTAAGACGAATGTGACAAGGATAAGGATAACCGGGAAGAAAAGTGAAGCGAGTAGAGGAATACGGTATGCCCAGCGCGTTTTCATATTATGTGTTCCCTGATTGATACAAGTACCAATCACACCACCGATATTAACACCAAGTTGATAAAGTGATACCAAAATCCCACGATATTTCGTCGGCGCAACTTCAGACTGGTATACCGGGACGAAGTTCGATGCGAAGCCAATGGCAGCTGGAATGAGATAGAATAGGTAATGAGCAGATGTTGTCTCAAATGAAAAGAAGGAGCTACTTACCTCCCTGAAATAATCTCCCAATAAGCATAAGAGCAAGACTGGCGTGCACGACCTGAAGAATCACGCCGATAATAGCTGTTGCCGCAATGGCGATTAATCCTGGTCTTCGACCAAGGTTTGTTCCAATAGGTCCTGATATAACAGATCCAAGAACAGCGCCAACGAGGGACATGGCACCAACCGCAAGCTGGATATTCGTGCGGATATTCCATTCTTGGAGAGTCTCATCATAGTATCCGAAATCCTTGAGCCATCTGAGAATGTCAGTTGATATTGAGACCAATGAGGTTAGGTTACCAACGATTCCATGGCTTGGAACCCAGCAATGGTTCCTGATTCCATCCCGAAAGTAAATGCTCCCATCATAACAGCTAGAGATGTGAATATAACCCGTACCACACTTCCACGTGGTGGATTCGAGGACATGGGACTCGGGGCTGGTGTTGACTCCATGGTTTCAAACTGGGATGAAATGAGAACTGTAGGCTAATTCGAGTGCCAATTAGATATCCATCTCATCAAGAGAGTTATTGTTGCATATATATGGGTATATCATCAAACCCCCACTTTGCGGCACATCGGCGGCCAGCCGCCAGAATCCGGGGAAAGTTTGGGGAAAGGCATTACGAATGTCGGCGCCCCGGACAGATCTCGCCCTTAGTGCGGGGAAATGTAGAACTTAGGATGAAAGTTCAAGTTGAGAAGTCGAGTCAGACACGTATCATGCCACAGCAAGGTCTTTGAAATGTCTTGTAAACGTAAAAGTAGATGAATGCACACTGAAGTCGGCTGGTCGGCGAAGAGCCTTTACCACCACCTGGGCATATATGCTGGATAGTGAAAAGAGGGTTGAAAATGATCATCAAATAGTATATTTGAAGAGCCCTTGTAATTTCTCAATTCAGTTGAATTGCTTAGAGTCTTGTTGATACGTCAAGTCTCACACATGTGCCTTCCGAGACGCACCTTGGATCATTGATTCCTTCCATAAGCCCATCTACTAGTACACTACGTTGTCTTCAACTTGAAAATTCCCATAGTCTTAATTGGAGTAGCTATCGCTCTTGTCTCATTTCTATTCTCAAAGAGAAGCATAGACTGCATTTTCTAATTTACTCCAAAGTTCCTTTGAAGCAGGATCTTCTGGCAATATCTGCGTGACCAACACAAATGCAATCCCCGTCTTACGATCCAGGAGCTATAATAAAGTTAGCACATGTCAAACCGAATAGTTTGTCAAAGATCTAAACATACCCAATTCGAATTGCTGAATCCATCCCAAGCCACAGCTCCCTGAGGTCGTCCCCCAGGCACATCTCCAGTGGTAACAATTCCACCGAGTGCATAATCAACCGAAACGTCCTTCGGTATTTCAGGAAAAACCCAGTGATCACGCTCTCTTTTCAAGGCATTTCTCCCCGCTTCGTTTAACTGTGGCTTCACAAGCTCCTCAAGGAACTCCTTCTCGAGCGGTACGCCATCGTTGCGAAGTAGAGCAGCCAAGAGCTTGATATAATCCTCCGCGCTAGAAAATAATCCAGCACCACCTGCCTCATTCACGGATGGAACCGGATACTTCCAGACTAGCCCATCAGCGCGGGTGAGCTTGCTGCTCGGTCCATTTTCCCGCTTACCCATTTCCAACATGGGATATGAGTCGCGTTTCTCCGGGTGGAAGGTAGCTCCTATCATTTCCAATGGTGTCCAAACATGTTCTTGTAGGTACTCGCCTAGTGACTGTCCGCTTACCTTTTCGACGACTTTTGCTGCCCAGTCTAGACCCTCACCGTAACCCCAGTCTGTTCCTGGGTGGAAGGTCATCGGACGATCCCAATCATTTGTCTATTATTGTTAGATCTTGCTGGCGTCTTCAGTAGGGGTTCACGAACAAAGTCACCGGTCATAGTCAATACTGTACGGTTATTTTGAATAGCCCATGCTTGGAGCTCAGGTGATAAGAAGTGATATACGAAGCCGGAGGAATGAGTTAACAGGCGTCTGTGGTTGTGTTAGCAGACTTGCACATGCTAACCTGAGTATTCTTCATACCGCAATGTGATCTCTCCTTTCACAGCCTCAAACTTGGCATCATTAGTTTCTGCATTGTACGAGATCAATATCTCCTTCTCGCGAAGCTCGGGTAGAATAGTAGCGACGTCTTCATCGAGCGTGACCAGGCCTCTTTGAACAGTGTGCAACACCGCAACAGCAGTCATCAGCTTGGTCATAGAGGCTAGCCAGCCGGGGGTTGCGAGGGTCATCGGTTCATCGGAATCGAAGGTTCGTCGTCCATGTGAGCCAGAGTAGATTTCCTTTCCTGGGCATAAGTTAGTTGTTAAGCCGGTCATTTCTCTCCGAGTTATAGTACATCTGAGATGAGCGGGAGGGGGTTTGCTGCTTACCATTCTTGTCAACTGCTATGAAGCTCAGGCCTAGGAACATGCCACTGGAAACTGCTTCTCGTAAGATCGTTTCTATCGCTGGATTCGTCATCTTGTTAGTGATGCGTGGGTTCCGAGTGATGATATGATAAATCTTGAGAAGCTAATATGGATTCGCTGCACTCAATTGACACCTCTCTAGTATAGGGGGAGCTTTTAAAAACCGGTACTGATAATGTTTTATACTCCCCAAATTGGCTCGTATAGACATAGATTGGACCCACTTGGCGTGTTTTGCGGTTCGCCGGCGGCCAGCCGACAACAACACTAATAACAGATTATACAGTAGTGTCGGGTGCGCCGGATCAAAAGCGCCAGAAATCGATTGATCCAGGTGTTCTCATGCCCCACAGACCATACGAGAGAGGCGGGGGATCTCAGAGAGGAAAGGTAAGAAGAGAATATTGATTCTCGAAATTCACTCATCACTTTGGTCCATACATCTCCTGATCGTATTGTTCAAAGAACCTCTCCCACTCTGCCGGATTGAGAATAACATTACTCAAATCCATGGAATCTCCAAGCCCATTCCAAAAATTTTCATTTAGAGGATGATTCTCGAAACGAATCTCAATATTTGCAGCATTCATGTGATTTCTGTTGCTGAGCTCCATCTGTACCGAGGACTTTGATTCCATCTCAACGGTAGAATATTGAGACCGATGCGTTGATACATCTGATGACCGATGACTCTCAGTCTGATCCTGACCCAGTCTCGTAAAAATCGCCTTCAAAGTATGAGCCTGCGTCCACTTCTGTCCCCACGTCTTATCTATCGATAAAAAACTCATAAATTCTCTCGCATTCTCAACTGCGTTCTGAAGACGTCGTAATGTAGAATCTGATAAAGCTGCTTTGGACTCGGAGTCCCGTAGTACATCGACGATAACCATTAAAGCGCGTGAGGTACTGTACAATGTGACAAGTAGTTGACCTGGGACTGATTGAATAAGCTCAGCAGTTGACCATTCGAGCGTTTGGCATGCTTGGATTATGACGGAGAGTAGTTGACCACTAGCTATTTGCTGAAGCCTTTCATCTGCAGGAGCTCTGGATCGAAGACTGAGGATAAATAGAAGATGCGTGTTCGAGTGAATCATTTGGAGACATTGCCATTCGTGATCGGTGTACTGTGAGTTGTTCATGTCGAGGTATTTCTGGTGCAATTCAATTTCTTTAAGCAGCTCTGTTACCTCACCATGTATTTGAGGTCCTGCTTTTGGAAGGATAGAGTAGCCTGTCGATAAAACGGAGCGAAGGCATATCATTAAGTCGACAGCAGTGAAGAAAAACCGACGTTGAAGGATGAAATCTGATGATGGGTGCGTTTCTGTCAGCCCGGCAGTAGTCTGTAACAGAGATAGACTTTGACTGCGACTCATACTGATGACCATTTCTTGACCCAGAATTGCTGAACTATGAGTGTCCACAAAGATGCACGCCGCCCATAGTGTTCGTCGAAGATTGATATCTTCTGTGTCATCCGCTGACGACTCTGTAGGAGGTAAATGAAAGCTCAAATCTTGGGCAATTTGACATGCAAAAGAGATCCGAAACAGCAGACGCTGGAGATCATGGTGACTTTTCGCACATAGCTCTACTCGAAGGGAAAGAAGAAGCAAAGCCTGTAAAGTTTGAGTTGAGTGCTCGCGGTCATCTTGTAAATTAAAAAGACTGCGCAGTTCCGTATCAATGACTGTTTGAAGATAGGCTAGATCACGCCAAGAGACAATAGCTGTATGATGACGGGCTGCTACGCCGAGAATTGCAGCTTCCAATAGAGTGGTGCATGGATAACGAATGAGGCTTTCTTTCGTTACGATGGGCCATGCGGGCTGGATAGCATCGAAAAATACTGAAAACAGATGGGTACGCACTATGGGTGTAATGTCGAGGCTAGTCTGAGATGGCTCGGTACCCAGTTTGGGTTTATCTGTGCGTATAGCGGAGCCACGTGAGCTGGTGGTCACAGTTGAGCCCTGGCCTGAAAGCATGTCTGGATGAGAGAGAGGTGCTTCGGAAGAGTGTAAATCCATTGGATGCCCGCCAGCATTTGATGATGGTCCCCAGTAAATATTATGGAAACTTGTTTCTGAGGCTAAGCCTTGGAAGGTATTCATGGAGCTGGATGTCCAGGAAGTCCCGGCAAAAAGGCAGTCCAGACCATATTCCGTGCATCGATGGCAACGGAGAGTAAAGTCTGTGTATTTCCATTGGCATTTTACGCGAAGCCTGGAGATGGTTAGTAGGTTGATTCCGAAGAATGAGAAAGAGAGGGAAGAGCTACTGTGCACAGGAGTCACATATGTCCTTGTTACCCATCCCAATGCGAAGAGATTCAATTGCCAAGAGATAAGAAAACTACAATGATGCTAGATGTAAGTCTGAATGACTCTTTACCCCAGAAAACGAGCATGGGATTATGTAAGGAGGTGGGACCTCGAGCCCTGGAGGCCATAGGTATCGAGTACTGTTCAGGAGTCCCTGTCTGCCTCGGTCATCATATATTCACTGGAGAAAGGCTCACTCAATTAAAATTCTTTGTTTGCCAGGCGTGCTCGAAATCTGAAAACCAGAAATCAATTCCACAGAAGTGATTCCAGCATGGCTAGCAATCCTCCTTCCAAGAGACTTAGGGCGGCAGCATCAACGGCCTGTTATCAATGTAAGGCCGCGAAGAAAAGGTGAGTGAGTAATCTAACTCGCCAATTTGACATTCTGCTATTCTTATCGCATGTTAAACCTGACACTGACGGTTCCCAGATGCGAAGGAGACACGCCATGTGACTCGTGTATCCGCCGGGGCTTATCCTGTACACGGCCACCGGCAGATATACCAGATAGCCGTATAAGGTTATCCTTTGAGGACCCGGAAACCACTGGCAGTGGAAAGAAGTATATGGTCGATGTTCATTCTACACTATACGACTCGACAGCCAAACTATTGGACCGGTAAGTCACATATGTGAGTGTATATCGGACTCTTGAACTCACTACTGTCTAGGTATTTCCATATAATCGCCCCAATATGGCCACTAGTCACAATTTCAGATCTCCAATGCAGGCCATTTGCATCTCCGCTTCTTGTCCGCTCTATATGTCTTATTTCAGCGATGTCTATTCCTGAAATGGATCTCACTCTCGTTCATGATCTTACTGATTCGATTTATCAATGTTTGGCTGTTGATGATCTCATCTCTTCACCTAGCTTGTCGACGCTCCAAGCACTCTTGCTTCTTCTTGCGTGTCCCCATTTTAATCAGCGGTCCATTGTGATTGCTTCTGTTATACGCATGGCATCTATCCTAGGATTGCATCGGCCCCAATCTGAACGACCGATTATTTACTGGACTTGTGTTACGTGGGCACAATGGGAGGGGATCAAGTCGGAACATAAGGGCTCGTCTACCAGTCATACATCTCATATACCTACTACTTCTGAACCGAGTGGAGATGGTTTCTTTGGAAAAGTGTACCATCTTCTATCGAGAGCTCAAAGTCCAGGACATCATACTATTGACCCCGATCTCTCCATTCTGAGAGCACCGGATACTCAACTTGGCGATGAGACTTTGGACTACCTTTTACATCTGCTGGAGTGTTATCTGTTCATGGACCCTTCAACGTGGAATGAGGTGAAGTCAAGGATCATACGAGACAATAAGTCACCTTGGTTCCAGTTTCATCCCTTTTATGATATCTCGAAGTAGTTTTTGAATGATCAGAGCTTAGTTCAAATGTTCGTAGCGTTATTGATCATCTAGAAATACTATGTACCACCAATATGAGATGATACACTATAGTGACAACCGAACCTTGTACCCATTTCACTACGAGCTAATTTACAGTGGTAGACGACAAAGGCACCATTGGTAGTGACGCTCTTAATCGTACATTTGATTCGTTTATGTGCCATCATAAAATCCGCTAAGTAAAGCAACCCATAATTCCCGAAGTAAAAAGCAAGAAACGCCCGAATATAAATGCTGCGCCTCCTCATAGTATAATTAAATCAGAAATCCAATTGCTCCGTCTAGATCTCCATTGGCAGCGTCCAGCGCCCGCTCCGCCTCTTCACGAGTAAATCCCAGCTCCGTGATCTTGGCAATAGAGTCCTGTGGCCATCGAGAGGTTGGAGCGGGTCGAATGTTGATTCTAGGTTGTGAAGGTCCAGAACTCGTCTGTCCCTGTTGTCCACTCGCTTGATGTGTCACGGCACCTGTACGAGCACCAACCTCCGCACCATCAGAACCCTTCACTGTGGGCTCATCCTCGAACTCCTCTGTAAGGTGCTTGGGAATATCTCCTTCACCGAGGAAGGGCACTGCCTGGTCTTGGATGATGAGGGCGCCGCGTTGGAGATCGATGCAGGCTTGGTGGCGGCGGAGCATGTCCAGTCCTAGAAGGAGGTCGATCTGTTTACCCTCCATGACGGTGAATGAACAGGGTAGGAACATCTCTCCAATCTTGATCTGAGCGGAGTGGACTCGGCCGAGGATTGGAGCAGTTCCGACACCCTTGGCGATACCACCGTAGCGGCGGTCGACAAGCCGCATGATGTTACAAGCAACAGCACACTCTGGCGACATGATGGTGACCTGGGCACCGGAGTCAACGAAAGCGTTGAGACGGTGACCGTTGACTTCGACGGGGATGTAAAGCATCGTCACGCGACCGAAAGCTGGGCCAAAAGATTAATATTTTCGTTGCATCAGAATTCAGTCTAGGCGGACACTCACATTCAGGATGATGCTCCATAGCATTGTGTAGATTCTCCGTCACGGCATTCTGTCGGATAATTTCCTCGATCGCTCGTTGATTCTCTGGATTGAATGGATCCGCATTCAGCATCGCGATACGCGCCTCCTTCTCCGCCTCCTGCTGTTGCTCCCGCTGCTGCTGCGAAATCAAAACATCACGAAATCGCTGAGCATTATCTGCAGCCTCAGCCAGCTCTGGATTCTGTCGCCGAACAGCCTCTCGCACGCGCGGATCTCCGAGGATATGTAACCGGATGGTTTCGGGGTCAGGCATGCCGGGACGAGGAGCGACTTGGTTTTGGCGGGGCGGGACGCTAGGTCCGGGGGCTGTTGACGTCGGTGGTCGGGGAGGTAGTTGGGGGGGCAGTGCGTTGGACAACATGAACGCCTAGCATGTCACCTTCGCCAATCCCGACTTGGTCAAGGGTCTGAGCAGGGTTTTGAAGGAGCTGGTTATTGTAGACGAGCTGTTGAGCGGATGGTGGGATGGTGGTTTCACTTTCGATAATGGCTTTAAGGAGCTCGATGTTCATGTCTCCGCCAACATCAAGATTGATGATGTCGGAGTCCGCATCTGGGCGGATAACGCTGACGGTAATAAGCCTACGTAATAAATGACAGGGTTAGTTTTTTTTAGAGCGTAGCATGGGGGAGGGATCAGGATCAGATAACAAATAACGTACATGATCAGGACTTTGGGAGATGCGCGGGGGGAAGGAGGGGTGAAGAGATAAAAAAAAATAAAAAGAAAAGAAAAAAAAAAGAATATGCAGGAGACAGGCAGAAATGAAATATTTCTGCACTAAATGAGATCCCCAGGAGATTGAGGCAAGATATATGTAATGGGAAGAAAGTGATGGAAAGGTGGAGAGAGAGGAAAGTGTTCCGGGGCTGACAACATCCCTCTCCCTTGATCCACGTAGCTTGGGAGCTTACCCAGGTTCAACACCTGAGAAACTTGAACAGCTTCTGATTACTGTCTCTAGACCAGATGCAGGTCCAGTTCTCTTGCCCCGCTTAGTATCTCCCGCTTTGACATGTATTCTATGATGATATCTTCTATTCGGATTATTCTTGGGCTTGTCGCTAACTTTGGAGGCTGCAGGGTACCCGTGCAACTGGCCACTGAAACAGAAAAGGAGCATTATGGCTTCAAATGTGGCTGATACTAAAAAGAAATCAAATCAAATCCCGGGTGTGACCCGCAGAGCCTACGAAGCCTATGTTACGAAACCGAGAGAGTTCCACCTCCACTATAGAGCCCAAAGTCCCAAGCCTGGGGTTTTAACGGCCCCGCAGGATTCCATGTCTTACTTGTCTGCCTTGTAGGATCAATCCTTTTACCCATGTAACTTTGACTTTCGAGTCTCTAGTTTGCACTGCCAACCACCTAAGCACGCACTAATGTCAGACTCCAAACTTGAAAAGCTGACAGGCGCAGGGTGCATAGCCGCAACGGCAAAGCCGTGAAATAACGAGGACGATCATTGATCTAGTGTGGTCTAAACGTGGTCTAACGCAAAGAAGAAACGACTAGACACGACTTTAATGCACTCGTCCCAATGCGACTGACCCCCTCTTTTCTCCAGCAGTGATCCTTTTATTGGGATTGCCTTATCCAATTAAGGGAATAGTAAGCGGAATGGTGGGTGTGGTACAAAAGTAGCTGAGAAGGTCTATCGAGAGGTAGGTACATTTAGGTGCTCATAAATGGAGAAGAAAAAAGTACGAGTCGTGTCTGACTACTACTCCACTAGCATGCTAGGGATACCCCAGAATGACGATGTATTCGACATGATAAATTCAAGTTACGTACAGCGCTTACTCGATTCGTTGAGCACTGGAAACATCAGGCACGCCCCGTCCCTCGGTGATCTTCGCATCGATCACCTCATCTATAGGGATCTCCGCCAGTCGCGAAACCACATGGTGGAGCGTAGGCAGTGCATCCCAGCCGAGCCCGTTGATCTCCACTTTCGCATTCTTGGTCCGCCGCAAACGCGTCACTTTAGACGGGACCACCTTGGACTCTTGCGCGTGTGGCACAAAGACCGGATACTCTGCCTCCGCTTCTCCCTTGGTAGCCTGACCAACTTTGGGAATGTATCGATAGACCAGAATTCCATCGTCGTCTTCGCCGCCGATCGTTCCCTTGTCGGCAGATGGATCTTGATCCTCCAGATCTTCAAGTTCGAAGTGGCCCCACACTGCTCCCTGCCAGCTGGTTTGAAGCCTGAAAGATTTGTTGCGCTCATGGATGTCAATCGCTGTGTATAGTTTCGGCATACCGAGCTCTTCACGACCTGAGACGATTGGGTCTGCTAAACTCTCGAAGAGAATTGGCATGTATGTTCCCTTTAGCACTTCCCCATTTTCCTTCTTGTATTGCACTCCATGGATATAGAGTCCGATGTGTCGGTATCCGCCGCCACCCAGCCAGTCCATTCCATTCAGTGTGGTCTGTGAGAAACTGGCGCGCGCAACGCTGGATGGAGAGATGAAACTGTACCGATCTGAAGGGAACAGATTCTGCAGAAGCGTGCGGCTGGTCTTGAACTTGATGGAGGCAGTCACAAATGTTGACTCCAAAGACTTCAGTGCACGGTCGCGTCCCATATGATCCTGTCGGGGACCAGGCATGGGTCCAAAGACAATGGGTTGACGCCAGTACATGTGAGGGTTTTGCGACCAAAGGTGCTTTCGCAAAACTTGGGCAGAGTGATCAAATTCGTCGTGACCGTAAATATATGCGATCATACCCATGGCTATAAATGAAAATGATACAAGTCAGCAAACTGCAAATGATTTAGATATACCCGGGTGCTGTACATACCCTTCTCCTGAGAAATCAGAGTGGCAGAGTCTCGTGTCATCTGCTGAACAGTTGTCGCACGTTCATGGCGTGCCTTTTGATACACCTTCAATCGCTCGGGAACCTCCTCGGGAGTAATATCACCTGGCAGCATGACTGAAAGTGAGACGGCATCTTCGATCGCCATGGCACCACCAGATGCGCGATATGGCAGGAATGGATGAACGGCGTCACCCAGGCAAGCCAGTCGACCCTCGACCCATGAGGGAAGTGTTTCCATATCCAAGAGCGGCCAGAGCTTCAGAGTCTGCGGGTCTGCCTTCTCCAATAACTTCTTGACCTGAGGGTTGAAATCCTTGAACACCTCCAGCAAAGTATCCTTGCCAATTTGCTGGTTGTAAGAGTCACCACCAGCATCGATGGTCGTAATAGAGTCCGGATGGATACAGACGAAGTTCAACAGCTCGTTGTTTGCGCATGGGTAGATCACTACCCGTCGATCAGAAGAGTCCCACATATCAACAGCTCCAAAATCACGCGCGATGCTGTTTGTCTCTGGGTCATCCAGTGCTTGTTGGCGAGTGATAAGGAAGCGGAAGGCATTCTTTCCTGAGGGGTATGGCTGTGCGTTCGATATCTTGGTTCGAGTTAAGGAGTGAACTCCATCTGCGCCGATCAAGACATCTCCCTCGATAATCTCTCCGTTCTCCAAGGTCACAGTGGCTTTGTCTGCATCAACATCGACGATCTTGCTTGCTGTATGGAGCACAGCTGGTCGGCCTTTACCAGGACCTTGAGCTGCGGCTTTGAGTCCTTCATGGAAATGAGCGCGGTGCACAAGCAACCAACGCTGATCAGTCAGTGATGAGCACGGAATTTCATGTGTTCAGCGAGTAGCTTACATGTCTCCACATCGCAGCATGTTCCTTTATCGCTGCAACGTGAACTGGAGCTCCATCTGGAGTGTATTCTCGTAGCTAAGATACGTCAGCTATGAAATAGACTAAAGGGAAATAGGATCAAGAAGCTAACAAGTTCAGTCTCTACGGCTCCAAACTTTTCAGCGTCAATTCCAAGTCGGCGCAAGACTCCATTAGCATTTGGGGATAGATGGATAGCAGCGCCGATTTCGTTGGCGAAGCGCGAGCGTTCAAATAACTAATTTAGTCAGATCAGGAATCCTCCAAATCAGTAAAAGAAACATTTGAAACTCACCTCTACATCGTGTCCCTGCTGTCTCAAGGCGATAGCTGCAGTAAGACCACCAATACCCGCGCCAACGATCAAGACGCGGAGTCCTGAGCTACTATTGAGTTCCGTCATATTGTATGATATTTCGCAATCTATCTTCTCCATCTCCATGAGGGGTTATTTCATTTTTAAATATGTATGATCTCTCTTCCTCGGCATTAAACCCCCTCCCCCTCATCATGTCCTCTCGGTTCGTCATATGAGGACAATATAGATGACTCGGATCATCCACTTTGAGCTCTCGGGACGTCTTCGGCTCCACATCCCCGCGGTCAACTCCCCGAGCGGGGGGGGGAGAAATGTATATGAATGTAATAAAGTAGAATTATTTTTGGATCTGCAGTTGTGTTTTTTTAAGTTATTGTACCTGTTGGTCATTCTGAACAATTGTTCACTTTCATTGAAAATGCCCAACGAAATCAAAGATATCACCACTCGCGACGAGACATTCGCCTACATCGTCGAACAGAATGTCTCCATCACCCTCAAAGATGAATCAGGCATCGTTCGCGCGAACGTCTACCGACCTAAAGCCTCCGAGCCTGTTCCTGTCATAGTCACCTATGGCCCATACGGCAAAGACATCCCATACAAAGATTTCCACCCTCAAAGCTTCAGCGAAGTCAACCCGGAACAAAAATCCGAACACTCCGCCTGGGAGACCCCCGAACCAAGCTACTGGACTAGCAAGGGCTATGCTGTTGTTCGTGCTGATGAGCGTGGAACCGGTCAATCAGTCGGAAAGCTCGATACCATGTCCCGTGGAACTAGCGAGGCGTTCTTCGACGTTGTTGAATGGGCTGCTGAGCAGGCTTGGTCCAATGGGAAGGTCGGTCTTCTGGGTATTTCCTACTTCGCTGGTAGTCAATGGCGTGTCGCAGCGCGTCAGCCTAAGGGTCTGGCGTGTATCATCCCCTGGGAAGGAATGTCGGATTACTACCGTGACCGATGCAGACATGGCGGTATCTTGTCGAACAAGTTTATTAAGTTCTGGTGGGATCGCCAGGTCGTCAGTAACCAGTACGGACTTGGTGGTCGTGCGGCGCGGAACTGGGGTCCTGATACCATTGAGGGAGATCTGGATGAGGAGGAGCTTGTGAAGAATCGCCAGGATCAAAATATCGATAATATGGAGAATCATTTCCGGGACGATCTTTACTATGCCTCTAAGGAGTATAGCATGTCTGATATCCAGGTTCCCTTGCTGTCTGTTGCCAACTGGGGTGGTATTCTACTGCACCTCCGGGGAAACGTGGAGGGATTTACTCATGCTGGCTCCGAGCTGAAGTACCTGCGCTTTGTTACTGGTCGTCATGATCTCCCATTCTACTACAAGGAAGAAGTCGAGCTCCAACGCAGCTTCCTCGACGCATTCTTGAAGGGTGATGACCGTGCCGGCTGGTCCACTGGTAAAGCGCCTAAGGTTGATATTGTGCTCCGCAAAGGTGACGTGGGCTTCAACAACGCGGAAGCCGAGAAGAAATACGAGCGTCGCATCGAGCACGAATGGCCTATTGCTCGTACCCAGTACACAAAGTACTACCTCACCTCGAAACACGAGCTCCTCACTCACGCTCCTACAGAGCGTCCCGTCAAGATCTCCTACCAGGCACTTGGAAACTTGGATAACCCTCAACTCGTTCAATTCACCACACCGGCCTTTGAGAAGGAGACCGAGATCACAGGCCACATTGTGGCACACCTAAACGTTTCAGTCAGCGCTAATCCCGGTGCACCAACACCCCAAGACCTGGACCTCTTCGTCACATTGAGACACATCTCCCCTGAAGGAAAGGAAGTGTCTTATACCGGTACAGCGGGAGATCCCGTCCCGCTATGCAAGGGTTGGTTGCGTGTGAGCATGCGCCAGGTGAACAAGGAACACCCCAAGAACAGAGCCTATTTGCCTCATCGGGATTACTACTCCACCGATAAGCGACCCGTTATTCCGGGCGAGATCTACCCTGTCGATGTTGAGATCTGGCCTACAAATGTCGTCGTGGAGAAGGGTGGTAAGATTGTGTTGGAGATTTCGAGTGGTGATACTCAAGGAAGTGGAATGTTCCAGCATAATTCCCCTGTTGATCGGTAAGTTTTAGATCAACGCTTCGTTTCTTTTGAACCTTGACTAATTGATTTTTTTAGATCTGAGGAGCGCTTTCAGGGTCAGAATCATATTCATTTTGGACTGGGAGAGAATTATGTTACCTTGCCTATTATTCCTTAGATTCCATCTCGTGTTCTTTTAACAACAAACAGATATTTATAGAGTGGTACATACTATTGAGCTTGAAGAAGCGAAGGGAAAATGCAAATAAAGATGTTCATCCAATTAAGATTTGTATCCCAGGCTACAATGCCAGTGTTAAGCACTTAAGTACTACTAAATACGCGGGGATCGGCATACAAAATATTAACAACCAGCCTTCATGCACCCACCCGCTCTTCATGGCTCACGATCCACTTAGACCGAGAAAGTGGAAGAATTTTCCCACAGGATCACATCGGAATGATACAATGGAATGGAATTTTGGGAATTAAAACATGGGGATAAATGTCTTAGAATCATGTTCTCACTTGAGTCAACAATGCTAGGAAATGGTACAATCGAACAAGAGCGCGAACGTCGCATCAGAACTCCAGTTTTCTAGCTGCAGCGGTGTTAAGCCAATGATCTTTTTGCTCTTGCCACCTGGCTGCAGCAGCACGTGTTCACCGTGAGATTAGTTCAAGTGTTGTTGGCTTGACAAGTGCTCAGCTGCTAACACAATCGAACTTTGCGAACCTCTAAACATATTCGAGTCTATTTCTCTTTTGAATCTACGAGTAAGATTCCCCAAGTCTCCATATGCCGCTATGAGCCGCTTTCAACAACATCGTCCATTGAACCGTGACGGATTCGAGATAGCGATAATATGTGCCTTACCCCTCGAAGCAAATGCCGCCCTTTACGCCATCGATGAAGTCTGGCATGACAGCCGCCATTATTATGGGAAAATTGCCGGAGATGATGATATTTACGACTTTGGGAGAATCGGGCTATACTATGTGGTCACTGTTATATTGTCAAAAATTGGGTTGGTGGAATCGTCAAGCGCTTCCCGATCCCTCAAGATGAGCTTTGGCTCCGTTAAGCTGGCTTTGCTTGTTGGCATCTGCGGTGCAGTCCCATTCAAGAAAGACAAATCTGAAATTGTGCTTGGGGATGTTATTATTGGTGATTCAATCGTCGAGTTAGACTACGGCCGGCAGCACCCTCGCAACTTTAAGCGTAAAGATGCATTACTTGATGTCTATGGTCGACCAAGTGAAGAAATACTCGGACTTTTGTAGCGATGGAAAACACCCCTTATCCTCGATACACTACGACAAGGATCAATGTGGCATCTTAGATGTCTGCTGCAACGCCTATGTATAGACTATCTTGGCGCAGACTAAGACATCTTATTTCATTCTGACTACATACATATGCATTATGGAAGCTGCACGGAGTGTCATGAAACCGATGGTATTGCATGTCAATCTGCTCTTACCACTTCATGCATTAATGCCCTTTGTGATAAGAGTCAAGCAGTTATTTGACGTCGGCTGAAGGAAGCCACCAGATTTGACAGAAAATCCCATGATCTTTCTATACATATTGGGTCAATTGGTACGGAAAATAGAGTCATGAAGTCAGCGTGGCATAGGAATCAGCACGCGCAGTCAGATGGAATCATAGGTTTTGAGATGGAGGGGGCTGGTGTTTGGGACAAGTTCAACTGCCTTGTTATAAAGGGTGTCTGTGATTATGCAGATAGCCACAAATCCAAGGCGTGGCAGAACTATGCGGCGACAGCAGCAGCAGCGGTTGCAAAAGAGGTCTTGAGCCAATATTTGATGCCACGAAAGGTGCCACAGCCAACCATTCCCAGTAGTAAGCTCCCACGGTGACCCCCGACGATGTGACCAATCGGAAACTGACCCAATGGTCACCATGATAGACCGTGAGGCTCTTTCCTACTCCCTACTGGATGGATCCCGGATGCTTCATGATAGTCAGAATTCAAGATCAGAATATTCGTTGAATTGTATAGTCAAAGGTTTCGAGAGTTGCTCTGAGAAAGAGCAGCTTCATAGAGACGCCCAAAAACGTGTTTTATCAAGTCTTCGGCTCCCTCAAATGCAAGAACGTGCACAAAAAATTGAACCCGCCTACGAGAAGACATATACCTGGATCCTTCAAGCTCGAGGGAGACAGATGCCTTCTGGGTGGCATGACCCGGTAAAATGGCTGTCCTCGAGCGTAGAAACACGAAAAGTCTACTGGATTTCTGGTAAAGCTGGTGCAGGAAAGTCAACACTCATGCAATTTCTTAGAGACAAAATCAACGAAAAGGAGCATATGCTCCCATGGACCCAGGGATGCTCAGTTATCCGGGCATCTTACTTCTCTTGGTGCCCCGGAAACAAGCTACAGAAGTCGGTTGAAGGGCTTCTGCGCTCCGCATTGTTTCAAATTTTTGAAAAGAAGCCAGAAATAATACCCGAGGTTATTCATGACATGAGATGGAGCTCTGCTCAGATGTCCTCGATTGATTACGGACATTGGAGCAACGTGGAGCTGGTATCTTCTCTTCAAATTTGCATTCAAGCTCTGCAGAAGCTCTCCATCAGAGTTTTGATCTTTGTTGATGGTCTAGACGAATTTGAATGCACAGATCAGATGCGTCAGGAGCTCATTGAAACTTTTGAATCGTTGGCTGATAAAGAAAATGTTAAGATATTCGTATCCAGCAGGCCTTGGAATGTCTTTGAAGATAGCTTCAGTGATTCTCCTAAGATCAGACTGGAAGAGCTCACACGAGACGATGTAAACTCATATGTTCGAGTAAAGTTTTGCAAGAGTCCACGATTTCAGTATCTGCTTCGTTCCGATCAACAAGCAGCAGAAAACCTGATTTATACGATCGCATACAAAGCTCAAGGGGTCTTTCTTTGGGTCAGGCTTGTGGTTCAAGATTTCTTGAAAGGCATTCGAGACGGTGATAGCATTCACACTTTGTACACAAAGCTTGAGGAAATGCCAGTCGACTTAGAGGAGTATTTCAAACGCTTGATTTCCTCAATTGATCCTCAACACATGCGAGAGGCCTCTATCATCCTGCAAATCGCGTTGCATGAAGAGACCAACTTTGCCAATCTACATCCTCTGCGCTTGATTGACTTGTCATTCATTGACGAGCCCAGTCTCGATTCTCCACTGAATGCCCCCTCCAGCCACAGAGAAATCTTCATCGATGATCGCGAGGGACTCAGGTTCCGCCTTGATTCAACCATCAGACGACTGAACAATCGATGTATGGGGCTGCTTGAATGCACATATGACCCTGAAAACTTCCTTGACTTGTTTGCTGAAGATGACACAAAAGGACTGGCGCGTACTATGCACCATCAAGGCCTAAAGTTTGAGTCGTCTATATACTCAGAAGTCTTTGACGGTCCCAATTTCCTACACATCTTTATGCTTACAGTCGACTTTTTGCGTCGATGCTGCCGGGACTTTCTCCTTTCTCCACAAATCCAGAAACTCCTCCAGAAACCCCTCCACCAGTACGCAGAGGGTCAATTTGATGGGAGGACTTTTCTTGTAAATGCCAGAATCCCAAAATGTGTGGCACTTCAGACTGCCAGAGTCTATCGCCGCTTCTCTATAGGGCTTGCAAGCTATCTTGTAAGTGCTCTTTCGGTTCCCAAGTGGAGAGAGACACCGGTATCTATTCAGGCTGCACATACACTTCAACCAGCTGTTGAGGCCTTTGCCTACCATGATAAAATTCATTCCGCGTATTGGTATATTAGCCCTGTTCTGAATAGTTGGCACGAGGACAAAAGCAATTTCCTTACCTTAGCGATTGATTTTGACATGCGAGGTTACTGCATGGAATATCTTACTGAGAGCCAAGTCCAAGCCAAGACAGGTCGTCCGATATTAGATTATATTCTCCGGCCAAGATTCTGGAGCACACCAAGATGTCACTTAAACATTGGGAATTCAGCCCCCAGAGTCAACCTTCTACAACGGGTTCTGGACTTGGGAGCAGATGCTAACACTCTCTACCGGGGGATCTCTGTTTGAGCACTATTTCTTTGGTCAATGGCAGACTGCTTGCACAAGGGGGCTGAAGCTTCCGCCATCAATAAGCAATCCTACCTTATAACTAGTTAGTTAGCGCTAGGTATGCTGATTAATCGAGGTGCCGCTCTAGTCCTTCCTTGTTCCTGGTTGTCGAACAATGATGCCTTTCATATATACACAACTAAATCCCTTCATCCCTCCGAAAGACAGCAAGAGCCATGGCCAGAAAACTTGCCAAGCAAAGATAATGACTTACATGGGCTATCACAGCCGGGATATGCGGTAGTTGACCTCTTTGAGGCGTCCCGGGTCCACTTTGGACAAGACATCGATCATTTGATTGCGCTTATAAAAGTCAAACTGGAAAGTCCATAGAATTAAATCAGAGCAGAGTCTTGAAAGATTAATCCAAAAATATGCATAAAAACCAAACTAAAAATGAATAAAGATAAAAATAAAAAAGTAAATCAGAACATATTGCTGCAGCGTTAGTCTCCGAGTCGGCGGCGATAAGAGCCTGTAGCATCGATTGATCTAATCAGGATCTGCTAAATTTGTTGCGCCATCAAAGCACGTTTCCCTCGCTATTTTCACGATACGTTTCATTTCAAGATCCGGTCTTGGATTTATCAGATGTATGTAACCAGTGAGATTCAAGTAGGAGGAGAAAAAGATAGCATCTCACTTCAGCCACAAAAACTCAGCCTCAGTCCACTCCGACGATTGTTGAGATGTCTACCACCGAACAGCATGAAGCCCCTCTGGCCTAATATAAAGCCCAGCAAATAGGCTTTCTGAAAAGGATGTGCCTTACTACGAAGAGGAATAATCATCACTTCTAGACCCTGAAACTACTTAGCGCAGGGTCTTGAAGAAGCTAGCTTCTTGGCTGGCCCCCGGCACCAAATTAATCTCCACCAGCGGGGGTCTGACCTTTAATAAAAAGAAGGGGGAGAAACAAGACACAGTCACTGGTTTCAAGCCATTCGCCATGGCAGCTACAGCTACAACGGCTGTCACAACCCCCCCTGCTTTGACAACAACATTCACAGCACCAACGCGATGTTTTACAGATACCTACTTCATTGAAAATCTGTCAGGAACTGACTAATATACAACAACGGTGACAACTGGTGAGACTGGGTGGTGGTTACAGCTGGGCCCAACAAGCTGGGATACATGCTTTCCTTCTGCCTATGAGATCAGCACCGATTTTTACTACTCGCCTGGAGTATGTCCCTCAGGATACTGGACCGCGAGTCAATCAGTGTACAGCGACGGAGAAACCCGTGCAACGTGTTGCCCCAAGTAAGGATGGAGCCGTAAACTGCCGATATTTCCTACGGCTTTGATCGTCCTAACTATTTCTCTCGTTAGTAATTATAATGTGCAGACGAGAAGCGATCTTGACTGGTTCACGACTAATAGATGTACCTCGCGTGTCACGACTTCGTCGGTATGGACGTTCACCAAAGGCTCCACTTTAAGCAGCTTGACGACCTCAGCAGACGGTATCAATGCCAAAGGAGTCTCGATACGATGGCGATCAGGCGATTTCACGTCCCAAACAGCGGCCACTACCACAACTTCGCAAATAGCAACATCTGCCACTTCCTCATCAGAATCACACATAAAATCCTCTGGACTTTCAACAGGCGCGAAGACTGGGATCGGGGTCGGCGCCGCAGTCGGCGCAATCCTGATTATAACGCTAGGATTGTGGATTTTGATACTGCGAAGGAAGAGTTGGAAGGCTTCAAGCGGCTCAAAAGGTAATCTGGATATGTCAGAAACATCTACAAAACCAACTGCCGAGCTCAATGCCACGAATTTCATAGTCGAGATGCCATCGCAACATGAACCCTTGGCAGAACTAGGGGCGGATCGCACTGCTAGGTCCCTGTCATTGTCCCCAGTTGAGCTGCCCACAAATCCGAAGTGATTATGATCTAATGACCGAATTGAATTTGTACTATTCCTATGTTGAGTTTATGATAGTGGACATGGTGTGTCATGACTCTCCGTGAATGTTGTATATACAACCCCTAGCTGCTAGAGTATACATTAAGGTATTAGTAAAGTCAGGGGTATCTGGAAGGTACCTATGATAGGAAAGAAATTTAATGCAGCTCGATAAGAGAAAAAGAAAAAGGAAATCCAGCAGGGTCAGGGATCGAACCCAGGACCTTCAAAATCAGAAATGCGTGAAAAGCCTCAACAGCTCTCACTTGATACATCCATCGCCATCCCATAATTCCTTCTATCTCGCTCAATTCTTTTTATTTTGAGGATCTGAGAAGTGAAATAGAAAGGGGAAGGTTAGAATTATAATGGGTAAAAATATGAAAAATTCCAAAAAAAAGCATTATTCCCTGGCCGAAGCCAGATACCCTCCCACCCGCCGGTAAAGTCTCTGCCACTGAAGATGGGTCCAGCGTCCGCATTTCAGTACCTTTGTCCCCCAGAAGGGTCGCCGACCGCTAGACTAGCAGAGCAGAGTGGTTACAGGGGGAGCTTTTTACTCAAATATAAGGGAGAATTTGTGACCATTTTGTATTAGCGTCTCCTTCCTCATATACTACAGGGTTTAAATACTCTCTACTCCGTACAGGTGACCCAATACTGGTATTTTAATAAATTTTGAAGTAACTAGGTGAGTCACTATATGGATATGATTCAAGTTTTTTTTTCTAGACAATAATGTTAAATAATAAATAATACCAGGAAATGCAGGTTGTCACTTGGATGCACCATACTTATTCCATTTCCACTTTTGTGGTTCTTCGATGAAGATCATCAAGATGGCCCCACTAATTGGACCGCAATGGAGTCAGATTATCCCTGCCGAGTTTCCAAGACTTGAACCTCGTCAAAGCTGACACCTGGAACTTCAACTGATCTTGGCTCGTCCGCCAGAGTGGCGGAATAATCACATGATATGAGTTCAAGTTGACTCTGAGCTGTATACTAAACCGATCTTCACAGCCAGAGAGAAATCCCTCTTATCAGTGCCATGCCGGGAGTTCCATCCAGCAAAGCGTGCAATGAGTGTCGCAAAGTGAAGAAAAAGGTACACGCGGACGCGCCTGAATGATACTAAGCCCTCAAACCCACTCCAACGTGTGCCTTTCTGACACCGGCATCCGGATAGTGCGACCAACTACAACCATGCTGTTCTCGGTGTCAGCGGCTACGGCTCCGCTGTGAAGGAAGTGGCCAACAGAGATACACGTTTAAATACTCAAATCCAGGAAAGCTTGAAGCGCCAGCCACACGAGAAATCACAAATCGCAAACTTGAATTCGAAGTCTCCACTAGACAAAATCCTAGAATTACATTCCAGATCCCCGCTGATCTCCTGACTACGTCATTTATCCGCACTCTGCAGATCCGAGACGTTCGATATGATCTCTCTTATTATGGCCCTTTTCTTAGAGACATCCCACGGCTTCTCGGTCATAATCCTGCACTTGATGCCGCAACTAAAGCCTTAGTGGCAACCTATCCATATTTCCGGGGTAATGATATTCCCCCGAACGTGTTACAGCACTATGGGCGAAGTCTTCGAGTTCTCCGAGAAACATTGAATGACCCGAGAAAAGCGCATGCTCCAGAAACCCTCTGTGCGATCTATCTCATCACTGTCTGTCAGGTATGCTATTCGGTCCATCTATCAAGTTTCATTCTTGTGATCTCAGTATGTTTTCTAGAGCTGGCTAGGCCGAAGCGATGGGGATCCCAAAAATAGTATGCATGGGGAAGCTTTGGCTTATCTTCTTCAGAAGGTAGATCTAACAAAGTGTCACAATAAATTTGAGAGGGAAATGATTACAACACTAACTGTCGTGGTGGTACATCTACTCGCTCTGACCTTCCTTTTCGAACCTTTACAAGTTAACAACTATGCACAGATCTTCGAAAGTATCGCAAACTTCAATGTCACTTTCGATCAACCGCTATTGGAGCGGTTGGTAGCTTTCATCCAACCGGAAACCCCAAATGCCCCCAGCGCATTATCAATCATGTCGAGGTTGCCGGTTTATATGCGCAATCCAGACCCTTACATTATGGAGATCGGAGTAGCATATATCAAGATGTGCGATATTGTCCAGAGAATTCGTTCATTTCTAGACCAACTCCCAACCTCAAACTCAGACTCATTTTCCTCGCCACTCACCCTTCAAAAAGCTCAGCTGCTAGCGCAATATGCTACCATGCTTACAATGCTACTGGTTTTAAATGCACTTCTTCGGTTATTTGATCCGGATAATCCGGTACTACGATCAGAGACTCACTCCAACTGTGAACAGATCTTGTTGGAAGCCCAGGCTGCTTATTGCTATCGTCCGCTTGGTGCGGCATATTTTGCCGTATGTCTTGTCGTCGCTCTGGCTATATCGGACGATTCCGAGCAGATAGTCCGGATCAAGAAAGTCTTAGCGGACTACCAAGCCGATTTTAGACATGCTGGGTGTAAAAACCAGTCTGTCCACCTGGCGAGGATTTTGGATTACCACCGGACCCGATTGAGAGCAGGCGCTGGCGCTTTGGTAAAAAGGCAATCAGAAGAGTCTGAGGCATGTTGTATGATGTGATCCTCCTGGGATGTTTTCAAGAACGTTCTTCCTTTCATGAATTTATGAAATCCTGTGATATTCCACTGCTTGAGGCATTAACGAATTTCATTACTAGTATCTACTATGCTTCGATCAAAGTAGTATGTATCTCAAAATATCACAAATTGGGAAAAGTAAAATCATGCAACGCATGTACTACCCTGTAGTACAGATCACGCATACTTCTGTGTTTGCTTCATAGATTTCCACTGAACAAGTCCAGCACCAATGAGCGAAAGTGTCGCAGAAGCCACAGAGACATAAAAAGTCTGTGTAACAGCAACATTATAAGCATGCAACACCGAGGGAAGAACCTCACTCGAAAAGCTGCGTGATAGGTTTGCTGCACCGGCCTTGATAACAGCTGCAGGGTTGACTTCAGGGGCATAGTCGGTAATACTGGCGACCAATCGGTTCTGGAAGACGTTCTCGGCAATGGAAATGAATAACGCCCCACTGAGACTTTGCGCGAATGTGATGACTGCAATACCAATTGGAATATCCTTTAGTGGTAAGACAGTCTGTAAGCAATTGATACACTGCTGGAATCCAAGACCTGCGCCGATCCCTATAATCACTTGATATCCAATCCACTTTTCGCGTCCAGTATGAACTTGGAAGGTTGTACAAAGTCCGGAGCCGATCGTGAGAAGGGCGCTGCCTAGGAACATTAATGGTGTGTAGTACCCGAGCATGTTGACGACTAGACCTCCCACCGCTGAACACACGATCATTGATACTACCATTGGAAGATTGTTGATTCCAGAGTCGGATGCAGAGGTCTGTTCGGTGGCCTGGAACCATATAGGAAGCTACCTGTGGTTTAGCAGTGTAATAAGGTCATCCCGAAGGTATGGACTTACATAGTATCCAAAAACGTAAAAGGAGCCACCGAGAAACATAGCGTGGATGACAGCACCGATCACATTACGGTTTGATAGTATATGAGGAGGAACTGTCGCTTCCTCTTGTTTCCTGTACTGCACGTAGCACCATCCTGCGAGAAAGACGCCAAACAGAACGAAAAGCACGACTACTCGCACATTTCCCCAATCGTATTTTGTACCACCCCATTGCAAGCACAATAGAATTGAGAGAATGGCGGGTATGAAAAGCATGATTCCAATTGGGTCCATCTTCCTGACCTTGTTCATTTTTCCCGGCTCAAGGGTTTTGGTGTTTCCAGTGTCTTTGAAGAATATTATAATGAACAAAGCAGTGATCGCTCCCAGCGGAATGTTGATATAGAAGCACCATCGCCAACTGACATGATCTGTCAATAATCCACCAATTCTATTCTATGTTAGTCGACGGTATTCATGTATGTGGAGATATTTCATGGCTGGATCCTACAGTGGTCCGGTCACAGTCGCAATCCCACCCATACTTCCGATTATTCCGAAATAAAGCGCGCGTCGTGGGACTGGTACACTGTTGGCAAGAACCAAAAGGGCACCAGGCGCAAGCCCCCCAGATCCAATTCCAGCAAGTGCTCTGCCAAAAATCAGACCCTTGGATGTTGGTGTAGCAGCGCACGCCAAGGATCCGATCTCGAAAATCACAAGAGCAATGATATATGTCCATTTTGTCGAATAGTACGTGTAGGTCTTTCCGAAAGGGAGGGTAACCGCACATGAAGTCAGGAGATATGCACTTGCGTACCAGGAGAAGTCTTCGAGGGAGTTGAACTGCTCTGTTATCTTGGGTGCTGCTGTCGCGAGGATAGTATTATCCTAGTATGGTTAGTGGAAGAGATCTCAGATATCAAGCTAATTGATGAAATTACCAACGCGGAACAAAAGGCTTGTAAGCATAGTCCTATAAGGATAGGGAAGAATTTGACAGTTGTAGGATATACGATACGCTCATCATCGCTTATATCACAGCTGCCGGCTTCTTTCAGAGGGATATCATCTGGACATTCAATGAAGCCATCATGACAATCTTTCATCTCTGAGCTGTGTGCCATGAAGCGTATTCTTCACAGTCAGAGATAATGACCGTGGAGGAAATTCAGTGTCAAACTTTTTGAAACATTCGGATTAAAGTAGAGAAGATGTACTGATCGGAGGAAAGGTCAAGCACAGCTTGAGACACACGATTTAACCACAGTGCTCGGACTTAATTCTTTTGTAGAACTGCTACACTAACTGGCTGTAACCTACTATCCGTTGAAGCAAGGGGCAAGGAGCTCTATAGAGGCGCAAGAGCTTGGTTCTCTATCATGCATTCCATTGACATCAGGTATGTGCTAGCTTCGTCACGACGCGAATTTACAACCAAGCAGATAACGCGCTCGTCTCTCGTGATTTCATCCCCTATTCATTTCCCCTTGGAGTATTCCTGTTTCTAGAATATTGCCGAGACAGTCTGCGTACTTTTGGTTAGCAAGCGGTTGGTGTTCCGGTGTAATTTTTGGGAGGTGATGCGGCATGCCTACATTCCAACGCGATAGAGTCCAGCCACTCAAGATTTTGTGCTCCTTCAACTTTAAACTATCTACGGTCAGGCTACGGATACTAATGCCGTCTGGAGGAGCTTGATCATGTGGCTTATTGCATATGAAGGGATATTATGACCTCAGGGCATCATCAAGATCTATATTTGAATGATGTACTACATATGACCTCGGGAGATGTATGGAGAGTGCACAGATCATGGCCTCAGTATTTAATCCAAATATGAATAGTTATTTCGGGACTAAAAGCTTGGAAGCTACTAACAATGAATTAAATTGAATCGACCCGTAGTAGAAAAGCCTATGTAGAGGCTTCTAGGTAATGGGAAAACATTACATCTTTTGGTCGTGTGTTGTGGCCGAAAGAGTCCAGATGTCGACTTCCGAGTCTGGCACACTTTGGTCCATGACACCTAGGTGCTTTTTTATTTCACATGTGAGTCAAGGAGGTTCAACTTGAAGTTTCATAGATATTAAATACGTCTGTGTACTTGTACCTCTTTCCAATGTTGAAACCAAGAGATACTACTAGTAGCAGATTTTCTAGCTGTACTACCCATAGAGCACTGGCTCAGATGTCTACCTACTGCAAGCTTTATCATATAAAAGCTAGTCAGGCAATTCAAGTTCTATTAGGTGACTGAAAATATCGCAAGCTATAGGCAAACTGCTCTTACTACAGCACGTGAAGTAGGGAGAATCTACCTGGACCTACAGCTCAATTGGACGTAAAGATGATGAAAGTGATAGTATTTTCAACTCGAACTCAACATTTGAAGAAGGGATGAGCATAAAGGGGCTCAATCTGCTCCAGCAGATCTGACCAGGGGTCCCGGTCTCCTGGGTGTGCCCAGTTCCGAGGAATGCACTAGGAAAATTCGCGGACCACAACCTCAGTTCCGCGCTTCACCGCATTGAAATCATTGGTCACTTCTTATAGGTCTTGCTTATTCTGAAAACATGGAGAAACGGGGGTGTTTAGTAGTGTTGGTACAGTGGATAATATGTAGTGATAAGGCCTGTGCCGAGTAGTTGTTGTCACATGTGCAGGTGCATAGCCCCGAAAAATTCGACTTTGGATATTTGGACATTGAGCAAATTGAATTTGGCAATCAAGTTCTGTAGAATATAAATAAGAGATCGTATTTTGTGAGAAACAAAACCTGAGCACTATTACAAGACTTGTAATCAATCCAGGCCCTTTCCAAGGGGAGGATGTGTAGTGTGCTTGTACTTATTTTGCATTCGGTTATTTAACTCAGGTTCAAATTTGATTTATATCTCAAGGAACACGCGAATAATGATTGAGGAATAGTTCGATTTGAGTTCAATAAATCCTGCTCTTCATTATCACTCGCATGAGACGATCATCTGTGAGAGAACAACCTTGGAACGGAAGAATTTTCCAAACATTGGTGAAGTTAGCGTTAAAGCAGGACAACAACTTGAAGCACTCGCATAAAATCCTCTAATCCGACTCGGAGGTTTCAGAAAAGATCCCTGCAGTGACTTTCAAGTTGGACTTGGGATCGCCAAACTTACAGTTGAGACTAGCCTTGAGACCACGCATCTTGCAGAAGGAAATTTTGTAACGCCCAATCTCCATTTGATGCAACAAGGTACACATGGCAGGTATGCACGGAGTACAGAAAAGTGTATTAGGCTGACTTGGGAAGTACAATAACCAGCCTCTCTCCACTCTCATACGATCCATACCCCCCCAACCGAAAATTTCGATCTCGGACATTATGCCATGTCATTTTTTTTTGGATCCCCCCCGTCATCACATCCCCGCAAACCGTTCGATGCATTCCAAGGAAAAATTCCAATGGCTCCCAATGACCTCTCCCGCCCTGGGACAAGGGGCGCACTCAGGACGGGTCAAAGCGTCCCGGGGTCAGTTCACGGTGATCCGCAAGCCATGGCTGATTCGAAAAACTCTGAGTCATGCGAAATGACTTCAGTGGCGGCCGGGAAGGGCCTCGTGGCGCCGCTGGTGACCAGATGCAGGGCGTCAGAAAATACTAAGCAAAACCATGAAGCTTTTGTTCTAGAAGGCTTGAGTGTTGACTAGATTTAGGATTTTAGGAGGGGGATCAGAAAACCGATGCGACGCAGACATGTGGTCATGAAACCAGACCAGCCCAATCTACGACAATAGTGGTTATCGCGGCATTATCTTGCCATGGATCCAGCCCGGAACTGCCTTATGAGGTATGTTGTACTGCTCATCCCCCAGGATTCGGACGTAACCGCGGCGGGGACAAAGAGGGCCTCAGGACCCAAATGACGGAGGTTACAGCCCTAGTTCCTTTTCTTAGTTTATGGTCTGTTTTCAATTTCTAAGCGGATTGAATTTATCTAGGTGGTTTCTTAATACGGGTGAGCTTTTTCAGTAGAAACCGAGCCTATGTCTACTATTATAGGAAATGATAACCTTGACAAACGAATACTACAGACTAATTCATATATCAGATTATAATAACAAAGAAAATGACTGTGGTATCCAATTAGAAAAAAGTGGAAACAGATTTGGCCGCGTGGACTGAATAACCATGGGAATGCCTCATATCCCCCCTATTTTTTAATATTGTTTTCTTTGACCTCAATCCCTTGATACTCAAACAAGATTTTTTTTTCGAACAAAGCCAAGCCATGGCAATCTATGACCAGAATTAGGTGAGGCGAAGATTTATCCAAGCTCATCCAAGCCCCCAAGTCAGTGGCTTGATTCTCTAGGCGCCAAGGCGACTCAAAGCTTCATGGAGATGGGGGTTTCGCGAGTTTTCCCGCGATTTTAATGCGGTCGGGGTCTTGGTAGCACTAAAACCGCTAAAACGCATAGCTTCGGCAAGGCTCTGACGCAGTAAATGCAGAAGTCAATTTAATTGAATGTTTTGCATGTATCAGGTACTTGGAGGCTATACTTTTGAACTGGAAGGTACTTATATGGATCTATATTATGATGAATATTAGAGAATTGAATAAAATTCGGTAGAGACTAAATTAACCAGAATATCCGATTAATCTGACATATAAGATGTATCACATGTACTACGGGATAAGCTGCCAAGACATGCAAAGATCCCAAAGAACACTTCATATCAGTACACTTCCTTTGATTGAAGCCATTTTGTCGCGTGAGAAGTCCTGCTAACAGCTGAATTCTAGGGATACCTACATCTACGCTGCACGCATGACCATGCACTATCCCCGGACCCAATTTAATTTGTGCGCCCGGGGACGGAGAGAGATGGCGGGGATAAAAGCAGGCCCAAAGTAGGAGCTCCACTCCGCTAGGCAGACTACAATCTGACAGGCTCAAAAATGGGATCGGCGGGGCTGAACAAACCGGGGCAAGTTAGTTCCTTCTTACCCGGAGTGAAAAAGCACAACCCTGGTCATACTAACCCAACCTGGTGAAGCCGAAACTGCCTCTCCCCGAGACTTTGCCCCGGGTTACTAGGATTTGATTGGATCTACGGACTCGCGTGGGCCGGAATCGATGTTAGAATCCCAGTTCTGGAGATTAATCGGCTCACTGGGGGGCCGTTGATAATCCCCGTGCTATAATCCATAATGGACTTGGAGGTCCTAATGACCTAGTTAGCCAACCACTGATCGCATTGTTGGCTTGATATGGGTCCTTGGAAAGTAGGATGTGGATCCTATTCCATATATTCTCTTCGAATCATATTTAAATGTTGTAATTCTCACGCAGCGGCTCGGCACAGGAAAACAAAGTCCCCCATAGAGAGAGAATAGACCCCTCAAATGGAGAGAGAGAGAGAGGTTGAGAGGGGTCTCACGGTCCCCTTAATCTTTGTTGTACATGTCTGTTTAAATTCGGCCAGGCCCCCCCTGATGCGATGATCGATTTCTGATCTTCTAGTTCTTGTTTCTTTCTTCACTCAGGCTGGGCATTTTCTTGTCAATTCTTGTGAAAGTCTTGTACCTCCCTTGGCAAAAGCTTCTCTCTCTTATACACTGCTCCTCCCCGACTGGTTTCGAGTCTTTGTATAACCTTGGGGGAAAATCCCTCTGAAAGAAAAAGTATTTTGTGATCCCTCGTACAGCTTGCGAATTTGACCAGAATGCCGACCAGTCGGTATTTAGGCCTCAATGGCATCAAACTTCAAATAGCCATTGGTCTGTTGGCAGGCATGGACTTTTTGCTCTTCGGTTATGATCAAGGTGTCACTGGTGGTCTTTTGACATTGGAGTCCTTTTCCAAATATTTCCCTACCATCAATACTCTCACATCCTACGAGGATGGTCACTCGGCATCATGGAAGAGTGCTCAATCCACTCGTCAGGGTATCGTCGTCGCCGCGTACAACCTTGGATGTTTCTCGGGCTCTATTCCAACAATCTGGGTTGGTAACATACTGGGTCGTCGCAAGGCTATTTTCCTCGGTTCTTTTATCATGGTCATTGGTGCTCTTTTGCAGTGTACCTCCTATGAGCTGGCCCAGCTTATTGTTGGTCGTCTAGTCACTGGCTTTGGAAACGGTATCAACACATCCACCGTGCCCACATGGCAGTCCGAATGCTGCAAGTCTCACCGACGTGGTCAGATGGTGATGATTGAGGGTGCAATGATCACTCTGGGTATCACAATTAGTTACTGGATTGACTTTGGTCTGATGTTCACTGACCCCAATGACGTTGCTTGGCGTTTCCCCTTGGCCTTCCAGATCTTCTTTGCCTTGATCATTCTGGTCTTTGTCATGTACCTTCCGGAGTCGCCTCGTTGGCTCATTCTGAAGGGTCGTGAAGACGAGGCTCGTGAGGTTCTGGAATGTTTGATGGGTGACGATACCGATGAGACTTTCCTTGAAACCGAGTTCACAGCTATTAAGGCCACTGTTCTGGAGATGGCAAGGGGTTCATTCCGCGACATGTTCACCATGGGTCCGGACCGCCACTTCCACCGTACAGTTCTGGCCTATGTCAACCAGATGTTCCAGCAAATCTCTGGTATTAACTTGATCACTTACTATATCCCCACTATTCTGGAAGAGCAGGTTGGACTTTCCGCTACCCTTTCTCGTCTGATTGCCGCTCTTAACGGTACCGAATATTTTGCCGCTTCCTGGGTTGCGGTTTTCACTGTTGAGAAATTCGGTCGTCGTACACTCATGATCTTCGGCGCTGTCGGCATGTCACTTTCCATGGTTATTTTGGCCATCACTGACAGTATTTCCTCGGCGAACAAAGGTACCTCGAAAGGTACTTCGGCTGGTATCGCTCAGGCTGTCTTCCTCTTCGTCTTCAACACTTTCTTCGCTGTTGGGTGGCTCGGTATGACATGGCTGTATCCCGCTGAGATTGTGCCTCTGAAAATTCGTGCCCCTGCCAACGCCCTCTCAACATCATCAAACTGGATTTGGAACTTCATGGTCGTCATGGTCACCCCTGTTGCTTTCAACAACATCGGCTATCAGACCTATGTTATTTTCGCTGTCATGTGAGATATCCCAGATCTGCCTTTCAACGCCCAACCCCAGCGAATCAGCTGCTAACCATTTTCTAGCAATGCCTTCATTGTGCCTGTTGTCTACTTCTTCTTCCCTGAGACCACCAACCGTTCTCTGGAGGAGATGGACCGTATCTTCCATAAGTCAAACAGCGTCTTCGATGTCGTTCATATTGCACGCACCGAGCCACACATGTATGGTGCCAATGGTGAGCTGCTTCGCCAGCTTGACGATCTCGAGTATGCTGCCGTCCGCCGTGCCAGCGCCGCCAAGCACCAAGGTGAACATCGCGAAGATGTCGCTATTCCTGAGATCAAGGAGAGTGACAACGGAAGCAGTGAGGAGAAGTAAATGTACGAATTTTGTTACCCGCTCGCTCGGTATTGTTTCATACCAATTTATACCCGGATTACCGGCATGCTGTGACGACTTGGATATGGCTGCCTCCTCGGCTCGCTGAGGTTTACTTTCTTTATACCTTGTTTATCTTTGTTTAATAATGGTCCAATACCCAGATTAGACTGATTCTAAAGGTTTTTACGGCCTGATTAATTCACGACTCTTGGTTATCTGTCCAAGATTGTACCTTATTTCAACTTAGCTGTGCTCATTTGATGCTGGCATAACGAATTAATAGGACCTGAAGAGGATGCCATGATCGTGTATCAGGATCTTTATGAGCTATGAGCCATGTCAATTTAAGATTGATCCGCTGTCAAAATTTTCGAGAAAATAATCCTCAAATCATCATTCTGTTTGAAGGAGACTGCACGCGCCTTTAGTAGACATATCTAAAATACATGTTCTGCTTGTCAGTTAGATCCTTGAAACCCAACCGTTCCCGCTCATCCTCGTCAAGCGTCAACTGGCTTCGCTTCTTATTTTCTCGAGAACAAATGACGTATAATGTCGCAGCGGATGCTATGGTTATGCAATAACTTCAGAAAAAGGTCAGCCTCACTACTAATTCATTCCTTCATAGGAGATTGAGTTCATACCAGATGATCAGACCTGTCCACAACTCCGTGTAATGCTGATCTTTGGATTGAGTTCGAATCAATTGCGGCCCAATGATATTCCCTACACAATATGCAACAAAGACTGCAGATGCAGTGAAGCTTCTTTTAGTATCGCCGGCGGTGTTACTCGCGCCAAGCGAGATTGTTAGACCCACTACTGGACCAAAGAGGCCAAGGAGTGAGTACCCAGCGACTGGGACAATAGGCTTATCACCCCAGGTTGATTTCCAAATCACTGCAAATCCTGCGATTACTGGAAGACAGCAAATGATCAAAGTTATAACTCTGATATTGTGGTATCGCGAGCATAGCCATCGGGTAAGCAGGATTCCAGTACCGGACAGACCACCTAGAGGAAACTGGAAGAGAATGCTTTCGAGTGTAGAGTAACCGAAAGTTGAGACGATCAGGGGTCCAAATCCCGATACGGCACCATTGACCGTATATCTATGTGCGCTATTAGTATAGATCAATAACAGTGGGGTACTTAACTCACGCAGAGGCCATGGTCAAGCCAACCAGCCATATCTTCGCGTCAATTACAGCTTCTTTAACCTGACTGAACTTTAAATAGTTGTTGTTCAGTCCTGTTTGACCTACTCGGAGCCGTTCAGCCGCCACAACTCGCTCCTCCGGGGTTAAAACCACGCGTTGAGTGGTGAATTTGGAGTGGTGAATTTGGGATAAAAAAGCACCAAATACCAAAGATGAATGTCAGGGCACCAGCAAAAGGATAGACAGATTGCCATAATTTAAGGGGGCCATTGATTTGAGCGAAGCCGTAACTGATACCTCCACCAATAATGGTGAACCATCCTGTTCCTGACCACCACCAACTCTGTCTTAAAGCCTGTTCTGGCTGCGTGTAAAATCCACCAACAGTGACCATGAAGCAGGTTGGAATAATTGACTCAGTGAATCCTAACTAGTGGTTAGCGATGAATGACAAGATAGTAGGAGAGTGAGAAATCAACTCTCATGCTCACCAAGAAAGAATCGCTGCACGAACAAGCCTTGCCAAGTAGTGACTCCTGCAGTGGCCGCACAAATAATAGCCCAGAGCATCACCATAGGACCAAGCACAAACCGCGTGTTGAAGTATTGCATTGCATATGTTGTGGGATATGAGCCGAGTAGCTGACCAAAGTAGAAGATAGACGTTGCCCAGCTCAATCTAATGGTGCTTGTTGTAGCTGGATTGACTGAGTAATCAGTAACAGATAGTTTCAGATCGGTTGTCATGCCAGATAGTGAGGCATTTCCAAGAAGGGCCTTCTCACGATATTTCAAGTTAGCCTAATGTCGTAGTACGTGACTGTGGTCGCTTGGGATGAATCGAAGATTTTACCTTGTCATAATAGACCAACCCATACCCTATTCGTCCGAATCAGTATGAAAAAAATAGAATCAGAAGGAATACATACCAATCATCATTGCTGGCATGAGAAAGAGATCTTTTTTTTCTCAATACCCTCCTTTCAAGTTCGGGATCAATCGCTCTCGCCTCTTCTCCAAGTGAGTCCAAGCTACCAAGAATAACAGCATTCTTCTCTATAACATCATGTTGAGGCTCCACCACATTTAGTGTAGATTGATCTACTTGAACCATGATATATAATTTTCAATTCAAGGAAGAAATGAAAAACAAAAAGTGATGATATGCGGCAAGATCGAGCAAGTACGCAGGCTGGATCCTGTCATATAAGTCGAAGTCCTAGAAAATTGATCAACTTGACTAGACAAATATTATGACCAGTTTTGACAAACATGAATCGCTTTACGCCGGTCATAGCTCCAAAACTTTCGTTTCATTATTAATATTCCCGTCAAAAAGCATACCGTGACCTAGGCAAATCACTATGGCGAGCTGTCCGCGGAAAATGACACCAAATGACACCATGTGCCGTATGGGCCGTATTCTAGAGCCCGCTCGGGGAATTCTACTAGTAGCGCTGAATATTTCGGATTTAAATAAACGATTCAGATAATAATTGAAAGCTGAAATGTTCACTCGAAGGTCTTTCTTTTTCTTCTTCGAGTTAGAACTAACAATCCCGCGAAGTATACTCCGTAGATACAGCAGGTAATTCCCGCAGCCGATGTCGGATTCGTCCGAGTCCAAACCAATTATCAAGCCAATCTAGAATGCCAACTTGAAAATGTCAGATTCATCTTTACATCTAAGTTCAAATCCCGAGTTCCCGAAATTACTTGAACCAATCGTAAAACAAACTGTAAAAGAATATACCAAGTTGGGTAAACGGCTGCGGGTAACAGCCGACTCGTATCATACAAGGTACGATCACACCATATAGCATAACAATTTATGCCAGTCCGAGGTACCCCAACCCGATAGGCAATGTAAGTCATCTGGCGCTTGGTAAGTCATTTTACACCTCATGGGGATTTATGCAGTTCGAATCCCAGGATAGGAAGGGCTGGATCCAATGTTGGACTTTTACCCTCGCTTACAATGGCTACAACTACAACTACAGAAACACTGCAATATGTCCAAGTTCCAGAGACCTCGGAGTCTCTGGATTGGGCCGATTTGAGAACTTTGGATCTCTCAAAAATCGATGACCCAGAGGGCAGACGCAAGCTTGTAGCTGAGTTTATCCAGGCCATGCAAGACGTTGGTATGTTCAAGTTGGCCTCAATTCAATCTTATTTAAAAACGTGGATTCAAATCATAGTTTGAGTCCCAAGATGTCTGATCATGTCTATAGGATTTTTCTACGTCAAAAATCACGGATTAAGCAGGGAGGAAATCGACACTCAATTCGCCTTAGCAGAGTCCGTTCTTCTCCTTCCAAATGAAGAAAAGCTCAAGTATCGTGCTGCACTTGAGCAAGGCGATTACAATGGTTGGAAGCTGGCTAGGACCCATAATCTTATTCCGGGAGTCAAAGACAATTTTGAAATCTATAACATTCCCAAGTTTATCCCTGAGCATGCGGGGAGACAACATCCCGAAATTGTGAAAGAGCATTTGGCGACGATTGAAAAATTCTCGAAACACATCCATGAAAAAATTGTGAGGAGGCTATTGATTATATTTGCTCTCGCTCTTGAGCTAGAAGACGAAGAATGGTTGGTGAAAAGACATCGATATGAATCGACAAGTGGCGATCACCTCCGTTACATGAAGTATTATGCCAGAAGTGACGAGGAGAACAAGAAGCTTGAGAATGTTTGGCTGAAGGGGTAACTCAAATACACATCTTTGACTTGATTTATTTCCCCATTTTGCTGACATCCTATTTCCTACCAGTCATTCGGATATGGGGAGTCTCACTTTGCTTTTCCGACAACCAGTGGCGGCGTTACAAGTTTTGACCAAAGACGGAATTTGGAAATACGTTCAGCCACAGATGGATGCATTGACAGTGAATATTGCAGATGCACTTCATTTCATGACAAGTGAGTTCAACCTGGCGGTCTCATGTGTAGTCATTGCTTGCTAATGCGGAAATCCCTAGATGGCTATCTGAAATCCAGTATTCATCGAGTTGTTGCACCACCGAAAGATCAGGCCCACGTGGATCGACTTGGAGTCCTTTACATGGTGAGGATTGAGGATGATGCAGATCTTGTCCCGATTGAGGAATCTCCAGTTCTTCGAGAAAAGGCTCTGTTAACGAACAAGATCCTTGATGCCGATGGAAAGCCCGTCAAGGCAGGTGAATGGGTTAGACAAAGAGTGATCAAGAATCTCGGAGAGTCTACTTCAAAGGAAGGTGATAATGAGGTGGTTGAAGTTGAAATTATCAAGGGAGTTTCTGTCAAGTATTTTGATTAGATAGAACAAATTGATATACTATCTCAGACTTGCGTTCCAGAACGTCCCATAAGTTCAGTGACCGTGACTCGACAAAATTCTGAAAAGCATGGAATTTTGCGCTGATTTGTTTACGACTGTGGATAAGATTTTCCTCTGATGTACGCGCCTATCCTGGCTGAGCTGACTGAAATGTAACTGGCTCTCTTTCACTTTCAATAATATCCTCCAACATCTCAAGACGATCTTGTCCCCAGAAAGGTTCATCCCGATAAAAGTAAAACGGTGCACCAAACACTTGTCTCTCGTTCGCTTCCTCTGTCAAATATTCCTCCTTTTCCCTCAGCTCTTCTTCAGCTTGAGCTTGTTCCAAGAGATTCTTCCCGTCCAGACCAGCCTCATTCGCCAACTGAACGATAACCTCCGCACTGGCGACTTCAAGCTCCCTTGCCCAGACAGCTTCTAACCCCTTATGCGCAAACTCATTTACGCGAGGGCTATCGTTACCCTGCTCTTTGATAGCAGCAAGAAGGACGCGATGCGCAAGTGAGGGATCCGCCGGGTAAAACTTTGGCTGCAGTACGAGGGGGATATTCCGAATTTGTCGCCAACGCTGCATTTCAACAAACCGGTAGGCTAATCTTTGAGGTGCGCGTTGCTTCACAGGTAAGCCGCCGGAGATAGAAAATGTGTACAGCAAGTCAATTGGTTTGTAGATGACTTGCGCATTGGTCTTCTTGACCAGCTGTTGAAAGCGTCGACTGCCGATGTAGGACCATAGCGATACGAAGGAAAAATAAAACTCAATGACTGGAGGATTTGCCACGGTGATCACTGGACTAATAGATGAATGATTTGATATCGCAGTGAAAGAAGCCAAGTAGATGCGGGGTTGGAAGACGATGACCAATCAATGTAGTCCTGCCCAGGCTGGAGAGGTACTTTTCTCTCTGCAACTGAGTATTGACTCTTGGGGTCCTAGTTAGTCCCTGAGACAGAAATCAAGAAGCTTCCTTCTATACAGCATCTGCGTTCCAAATTCCGAGATAAACGATCGGATCCTTCGTGGTTTTTGAGTTGCGATCTCGGGGATTTTAGTTGTGTTGATGATGATGGTAATGACGAATCTCACGCCATCAAGCGAACGTTCCGGGTACCTGATTCTTAGTGACACTAAGGAGTAGAAGTTCAACAGACATGCCAAACATGTAAGACATCTCGGCTGATCATTTTTCTTTAATATTATTTTCTTAAGTGGCAAATACTATCTGCGCGATAACTCAAGTCAACTTGAAAGTATTGAAGAAGCGGTTCAAAGATACTGTTGACCAATAAAGAGCACTCACCCATACTACATCAATGTAAGGGGCTCTTCGATATCAGATAATCTCTCTCCTCTTTATTCCCCTCTCCAAGGCATCTTTTCTACCATTATCTGCATGAGGCTCTGGAACTGAGTTTCAGGTTTTAATAATCGTGCCACTTCTAGCTGATCAATCTCTCATCTCATTATGCCACGAGTCCAAAAACGAGTTGCCGTTATTGGCGCGGGGCCTGCAGGTGCCATTGTCACTGATGCACTCGTCAAAGAAGAGACATTTGATGTAATCAGGGTCTTTGAACGTCAGCCCGCCATTGGGGGGGACTTGGTACGAAAATCTTGACATAAAACCCACTTCTTCCTACCTTGAACTAATAATCAATAGGATATTTGAGCCCGAGAGGAAGTCAAAGATTCCATCTCTAGGAGCCCTCCAAGAAAGGAAAGTCGACAGGCCTGTTCCGATACCACCGGATCTCCCGTGCTTCACACCTGCCAGTGAAGATATCAATTCACACACAGAGAGATTCTCAGATACATGAAATCATGAGCATCTACACAGTAATTTGCCGCCTGACATTATGTGCTGCAGTCAAGAGCCAATTTCGGGTGTGATTTCAGACCATAACCTATCAGTTTATGGACCGACGGCCCCATTTCGTCATCAAAATGTGATGCGAAAATGGATTGGAGATATTTTTGAGCGCGGAAATTATCTAAACCTGGTTGAGCTCGGAACGACAGTAGAGTTAGTAGAGCGTCTTGAGAACGAGTGGATTTTGACGTTGCGGAAATAAATACCCGAGAAGAATAGCAATTATTGGTGGTCAGAGAGATTCGATTCTTTGGTTGTTGCTACTGGACATTACTATCTCCCTTATATACCAACAATTCCTGGTATGAGAGAGTATGATGCCCGATTTCCTGGCTGAATTTGGCACAGCAAGCATTATTCAAGTCTTCAAAGTCTTGAAAATAAGGTACCGTTTTCGGATCATCGTCAGCATATACATGATTTCATTCTGACCCATAGACGCATATAGCGGGTAGTTGTTGTTGGTGGATCAATATCTGCATTTGACGCACTCCATGACATTCGAAAAGTTGCGAATACACCAGTCATTTCAGCACTGCGTCGTACCTAGGCTCAACCTTGGAGACCTTGCACCTGGGCAACGTTCGCGAGCAAAAATGTACATACCTATAGTATTCCTGAATTTCGTCACCCTTTCCCAGGTTCAAGTTGCTGCCAATGTAATAGTTGCCTGTAGTCTTCAGTGAGTCATAGCTGGAGTATTGTATCAGAGACTGAATATTGACAAAGACCTGCCAAAGGATCTACTACTAGCACCTAGGTAGTTGGTAGTTCGTATGGGATTGGGAGCCAAAAGTCATATAGTCTCAATTGCTCCATCTAGGTAAAGGGATTTTACTACACCATCAACAGCAACCGTAGAGCTGTCCGAGCTGATGGCATATTTAGTGATGAGTTCAACCCATTGGCAGAGAGAGCATCGGATTGCAATAGCCAAACATGTGGTAGAATCAAGAAAACCTCGGAAGGTTTGGTATGTAATGAAACAATACCATGACGAGAGGAATTCGCACGTCGATCTTGATTTGAGTTGGTGGGTAGGAAATTTTCTCCTCGATGAAGATCGATATTCTCCCAATGGTGTGAAGTGAGAATTTGGATGTCATTCAAATGTTCAAGTACAGATTCCTTAGCGGGGTCATTTTTGCAGTTGGGTACGCTTCAGTTGTCCAAGTTCCTCCACGAGTGAAAGTGCAGCAGCCACTAACGACACGGGCGTTGTAACTTGTGGAGGCGATTGGCACAATTTTGGGTTGTACTTGAGAAAGGACCACTAGAGTGGAGCCTGAATTCAAGTTAAGCTACCAGGACTAGTACCATAATAGTAGCATCCACTATACTAACCTGCAGTGGTATAGTAGGCCCCGAGCTTAACGGGACTGCGAGTAGTAATGGGCAGGTTTCTAGAGATACAGATACGTAGGATGATTCAAAACTGGCACATTCGCGAGACGAATGTATCTCTTATAACATAGAAAATGGATTGTAGTTGCTAAGATCAAAGACAAAAAGGACCGATGCGGGTCTACGGGCAAAAAAAGATTTTAATACAAATTACAGAGTAATATCGGTATCGCATCCCATGACAGCTTCTACAGCAGCAGCTCAAGGGGGTTCTCGACAACCTTCTTCAGTTCCTTGATCCATTCACCACCAACGGCACCGTCAACAACCTTGTGGTCGAAGCTACCGGTGACGATGATCTGGTCATCCCATTCGGTAACGGTGCCCTCCTCAGTCTCGACGGGAACAGCGACCTTGCGGACGGTACCGACGGCCAGGATACAGGCCTGAGGGGGGTTGATGATAGCGGTGAAACGCTCAACAGCGGGGTTCATACCCATGTTGCTGATGGTGAAGGTACCACCCTGGTACTCCTCAGGCTTCAGCTTGTTCTCGCGAGCACGCTTGCCAAGGTCACGAACCTGGTTGGAGATGCTGGAAAGACCCAGAGCGTGGGCGCCCTTGACGACGGGAGTGATCAGACCGCTGGGGGTAGCGACGGCAACGCTGATATCAGCGGACTTGTGCTCGCGGATGACAACCTGGCCGTTCTCCTCAATCCAGCTGGAGTTGACCTGGGGAACCTTCAGGAGAGCAGCAGCACAAGCCTTGATCAGGAAGTCGTTGACGGACAGCTTGTACTTGCCCTCGGCGGAGGCGTTCAGGGCCTGGCGGAGCTTCATGAGCTTAGTGACGGAGAGGGTGGTGGAGACGAAGTAGTGGGGGTTCTCCTGGACGGACTGCTTGAGACGGTTGGCGATGGTCTTGCGCATAGAAGTGAGAGGAATATCCTCGTAGGCAGGTCCAGCAGCAGCGGAAGCGCTGGGCTTGTACTTCTCAACATCCTCCTTGGTGATCACACCGCCACGGCCAGTACCCTTGAGAGCCTTGACGGGGACACCCTTCTCGAGGGCAAGGGCCTTAGCGGCGGGAGAGATGGTAGGCTCGCGGTCGAGGGCAGGCTGGAGCTTGTCACCGGAGGTCTCGGGCTCAATAGCGGCGGGCTCCGACGCGGGGGCCGGGGCCGAGGGCTCAGCGCTCTTGGGCTCCTCCTTCTTCTCAGCGGCCGGGGAGGCCTTGTCACCACCGGCATCCTCCAGGGAGAATGACTCGAAGGGGGTAACATCGGTACCCTCCTCAACAAGAACAGCGATGGGCTGTTATCAGATAACAAATACATAGGTTAGCTTCCGGTGCTCCGTGGGAAACCTCGGGAAAATTCTTACCGAGCCAACAGGAACATCCTTCTCACCAGTCTCCTTCAGGACCTTGGCAAGGATACCCTCCTCCTGGAACTCAAAGTCCATCTGTGCCTTATCGGTCTCAATCTCAACCAGAACATCACCGGGCTGGAGGCTGTCACCAGCCTTCTTCTGCCACGCGCCGACGTTTCCCGCGGTCATTGTCGGCGACAAAGCCGGCATGCTGATAATGGTGTGGGGAGGGAACGCTGTAGATTCATCATAGGTTAGATCATAAACAAAGGCGAAGATGGTAGGGCTTCGTGGATAATTTCAATGGGTCCATACACTTGGAGGCATAGAATCGGGACAGGGCGGAGAGGGCAGGCAATTGAGACCTGTGCGCAACGAATCCATCAGCATTATTTCTTCAACAAGGCACAATTCATCTGGAAATCCCGTACTTGATGACCTCCTGGAACTTGTAGGTGACCTGGGGACGGCGCATGGAGGCGGCGCCTCGGGCCATGGTCATGGCAGGTGTGCGCATTCTAGCAGCGGCAGCAACCATTTTGGCTGAAATTGCCGGCGATTATGAAGATCGAAAGGCCCTGAACTCTGAGATGAAAGAAGGGGAAGAAAGTCCAGCACAAAAGGGAGGACGTAAAGGGCCGGGATTGAAGAGTTGGGGAGGAGAAAGATGGCCTCTAAGCGGGAAACTTTTAGTCCTCCCCCAACAGAGCCCGGTGAGCTTCCTAGGTGCTGGGACGCTGACTAAGGGTCTTTCCGCCTGAAAGATTTGGCGGCAAACATCAATTTCGAAGATTCGATGAAAAGTGATATATTTGGATGAATTATATTATGGATAAAATTGATCTGATTTTTCCATTTTGGAAACTTGCTAGATCTTCATATGTCCTCTTCTTTAATTTATGCGGTCAATTCCTGACTTTCATCATTATAGACCTGTTATCATTTTCCTATATAATTTAGTATAACTTATCACGGAGACCCGGAAGGGGTAGATCACGTGTTTCCCGCGTATTATTGTCTTGGCGTGGCTGAGTTGGTCTAAACTCCATTTGGAGAAAGAGACACGCAGCGTCCCCATATATGCTTGCAACGGCCCATCTTGCCCTCCACGTTTCTTTTTAGTGGGTTGTTTTCCCGTTCGATGCGCTTGATCTGATCTGATCGCTCCGCCTGGAGTCTCCTTGACAATGGCGGACGTCGACCCTGGCTCTGAGCCAAACCACCATCCCGCAACCAACTCCGAAAAGCCTCCCGTGGATACTACCACCGAAGCTCCCGCAGCCTTGAAATCGGACGAGCCGAACCTACCCGAAGCGATAGAATCGCAAGAGCTCAATGAACAAGAAGAGGAAGAGACTCAACCGGAGGAGGGAGAACTCGCAAGTGAGCATCAAGATGAAGAAAAGCCCGAGGTTCCGCCTAAGGATACTGTAGAGGAGGAGGACAACAACATCGCGGAATCCGAACAGCCCAATCCCGAAGATGCACCACCTCAAATCTATGAAACACACCCCAGTGAAGACAATGCGCCAGACTCGAGGATGCGATCGGACTCACGGTCTACAACAGCTACCTTTGCAACGGCACGCGGCGGCCCCGTCAGCTCAACAGTCTTCATTGTGACAGCGCTTGATGCCATTGCCGCTTCGCGGGAAGCCCGGAGGAGCAAAGAGTTGGAGGATGCCACTCAAATAGCTCTGGGTAATATCAGGTCTGATCACATTGATCCAGAGCTCATCTTTCGCCCCCTCCACCTGGCAAGCAAGAGCTTGAGTGTGCCTCTGCAGGTAACAGCGTTAGACTGCATTGGAAAACTGATATCCTACTCATACTTTGCATTCCCTTCCGCCGAGTCCAACAACGATGCCAATCCTGAACAACCTCCTTTGATCGAACGAGCCATCGATGCAATCTGTGATTGCTTCGAAAACGAGGCCACCCCGAAATGAGATCCAGCAACAAATCATTAAGTCGTTGCTGGCAGCAGTCTTGAATGACAAGATCGTGGTACATGGAGCTGGTCTCCTGAAAGCTGTTCGCCAGATCTATAACATCTTCATCTACTCGAAGTCTAGTCAGAATCAACAGATCGCACAAGGTTCGCTAACCCAGATGGTTAGCACGGTGTTCGATCGAGTACGAGTCCGGCTGGACCTAAAAGAGCTTCGAACACGTGAGGTGGATCGTTCTGGAAGTACTCTCGATGCATCAGCCAGCGATCAAGGCCAGCTTTCCGAGGTCGCTTCAGTCTCAGTGGCTGATCAGGCCGATCCGTCTGACCCATCTGAGCAATCTGACCAGCCAGTCACAAAGGAGCCAACAGCCGAAAAACTGACTTTGCAAAGCTTTGAATCCCCCAAAGAGGTTTCTGGTGTCAATGATAATGCACCAACTACAGTCACCCGTGCCAGAGGAACTCGGGGATCCTCAGCACGATCTCTCTCCGGCATCCCTGAAGATCGAGAAGATGACAGTTCCGCTGAGGACGAAGTCGATGAGGTTTATGTGAAGGATTGCTTCTTAGTATTCCGAGCCCTGTGCAAACTGAGCCACAAAGTCCTCGGTCATGATCAACAACAAGACCTGAAGTCTCAGAATATGCGTTCCAAGTTGCTTTCTCTGCACCTCATCCACTATCTGATTAACAACCATACCGCCACCTTTACATCGCCTCTTGCTGCTATCAAGAACAGCTCCACCAACCCGGATGCCATGACTCTTCTACAGGCGGTGCGACCCCACCTTTGCCTTAGTCTAAGTCGTAATGGCTCCAGCTCAGTGCCTCATGTTTTCAAAGTTTGTTGTGAGATCTTCTGGTTGATGCTTGCGTATATGCGAGTTATGATGAAGAAGGAGCTTGAAGTATTTATGAAGGAGATCTACTTGGCTATTCTTGAGAAACGAGCTGCTCCCGCTTTCCAGAAGCAATACTTCATGGAGGTTCTCGAAAGGTTAGGTGGTGATCCTCGCGCCTTGGTCGAAATTTATCTCAATTATGACTGTGACCGCACTGCATTGGAAAATATCTTCCAGAATCTCATTGAACAATTATCACGCTACGCGAGCGTGCCCGTTGTCACCAGCATTGCGCAGCAAACCCAATTCCAGGAGAGTCACGCGAAGATGTCTAGCATTGGAGCTGAATGGCATCAGCGCGGTACCCTTTTTCCTTCTCTCACCAGTGCCAACATCACTCCACCCCCGCAACCTGCGGTGCCAAACATGCCATCGGACTACGTTCTCAAACAGCAGGCTCTCGAGTCCCTGGTAGAAATTCTACGCTCTCTTGACAACTGGGGGAGACAACGACTGGATGACCAGCCCCCACAAGATTCAGCTGTTCCCTCCAGGTCGATGGATCACTCCCGAGAATCTTTGGATACTAGTGTTCTTGCCTCGCCGCGACCTGATATTGTTGACGGATCTATAACCGGTCGATCCACACCTGTTCCTGACGATGATCCCAACCAGATCGAGAAGATCAAGCAGCGTAAGATCGCATTAATGAATGCCATCCAGCAATTCAATTTCAAACCCAAGCGTGGTATCAAGCTTTTCCTCCAGGAGGAATTCATTCGCTCAGACTCCCCCCGAAGATATTGCAAGCTTCCTGCTCCGTAGTGAACGTCTAGACAAGGCCATGCTGGGTGAATATCTGGGTGAGGGTGATGCCGAGAACATTGCCATCATGCATCACTTTGTTGACCAAATGGACTTCACCAAGCGACGTTTTGTTGATGCTTTAAGATCATTCTTGCAGCACTTCCGTCTTCCTGGTGAGGCACAGAAAATTGATCGATTCATGCTCAAGTTTGCGGAGCGCTATACCACCCAAAATCCCAATGCTTTCGCCAATGCTGATACAGCTTATGTCTTGGCCTATTCTGTTATCATGCTTAACACTGATCAGCACAGTGCCAAGTTGAAGGGTCCGCGAATGACCAAGGATGATTTCATCAAGAACAACCGTGGTATCAATGACAATCAAGACTTGCCATCTGAGTACCTCGGATCCATCTATGATGAAATCGGCAGCAACGAAATTGTTCTCGACACTGAGCGAGAGCATGCTGCAAACATCGGTATCCAAACATCCGCTCCAACAGGCTTGGCGACACGAGCTGGCCAGGTCTTTGCAACTGTGGGTCGCGACATCCAGGGAGAGAAGTACGCACAGGCATCTGAGGAGATGGCGAACAAGACAGAGCAATTATACCGCTCCCTTATCCGGGCTCAGCGCAAAACAGCAGTCCGTGATGCCCTCTCTCGCTTTATTCCTGCTACTTCTATTCGACATGTGGGATCTATGTTCAATGTCAGCTGGATGTCCTTTTTGTCTGGACTATCAGCGCCGATGCAAGACACCTCGAACCTCGAGACTATTCGACTTTGCATGGAGGGACTCAAACTCTCCATTCGCATCAGCTGTGCGTTTGACCTGGAGACACCTCGGGTGGCCTTCGTAACAGCTCTGGCTAAATTCACCAACCTCGGAAACGTGAAGGAAATGATGCCGAAGAATTTTGAAGCCCTGAAATCTCTACTCGATGTCGCTACCACAGAAGGCAACCATCTCCGTACCTCTTGGCGTGAGATCTTAACCTGTGTCAGTCAGCTTGACCGACTACAGCTGTTGAGTGATGGCGTCGATGAAGGATCATTACCAGATGTCTCTCGAGCGCCGACAATTTCAGGAGACGCTTCTCGCAAATCCATGCAAAGCACTCGCAGCAAAACTCGCACGCGCTCAGTCAACGGCCCTACAGCTTTCAGAATGGAGATTGCCATGGAGAGTCGGTCGGCCGATATGGTTCGCGGCGTGGACAGGATCTTCACCAACACTGCCAATCTTTCGCATGAGGCTATCATTGACTTTGTGCGTGCTTTGAGTGAGGTTAGTTGGCAAGAAATTCAGTCCTCGGGCCAGAGTGACTCCCCAAGAACATACAGTCTTCAAAAGCTGGTCGAGATCAGTTACTACAACATGACCCGTGTCAGAATTGAGTGGTCAAAGATCTGGGAGGTCTTAGGTCAACACTTCAACCAAGTCGGATGCCACACCAACACCGCAGTTGTATTCTTTGCGCTAGATTCACTCCGACAATTGTCAATGCGTTTCATGGAAATTGCCGAGCTTCCCGGTTTCAAATTCCAGAAGGACTTTCTCAAGCCTTTCGAGCATGTCATGGCGAACAGCACCACTGCTTCCGTCAAGGATATGATCCTTCGGTGCTTGATTCAAATGATTCAAGCCCGTGGTGACAATATTCGGTCTGGATGGAAGACCATGTTTGGAGTTTTTACAGTTGCTGCACGAGAGCCCTATGGTGAGTACTATTTTTCTCCAGACCTTGATCCGGGCAAGAACTAACAAATATCAACAGAGGGGATTGTGAACATGGCTTTTGATCATGTCACTCAAATCTACAACACACGTTTCGGCGTTGTGATCACTCAAGGTGCTTTTGCGGACCTGATCGTTTGTCTAACAGAGTTTTCCAAGAACTCCAAGTTCCAGAAGAAGTCTCTGCAGGCAATTGAGCTTCTGAAATCAACAGTCAGCAAGATGCTGCGTACTCCAGAGTGCCCTCTCTCCCATCGTGATGGGCCTGCGCCCAACTTCCAGGAGGAGGGAACCAACCTTGCCAAGCAACTGACTCGCCAGTCTCAAGAAGAACAGTTCTGGTACCCGATCCTTATCGCTTTCCAGGATGTACTGATGACTGGCGATGACCTAGAGGTCCGATCTCGGTAAGTGCTATTGTTTACTCCATTGTCTTTCCTGGCTAATTAATTCCGCAGAGCACTTACATATCTCTTTGAAACCTTGATTCGACATGGCGGTGACTTCCCCCGTCATTTCTGGGACGTCCTTTGGCGTCAATTGCTCTGCCCAATCTTCGTAGTCTTGCAGTCCAAATCCGAAATGTCCAAGGTTCCTAACCATGAGGACCTTTCTGTTTGGCTGTCAACTACCATGATTCAGGCCCTGCGAAACATGATCACCCTCTTCACTCACTATTTCGATTCTCTCGAATACATGCTGAGTCGCTTCTTGGAGTTGTTGACTCTGTGTATCTGCCAGGAAAACGACACCATTGCACGCATTGGAAGCAACTGCTTGCAGCAACTGATCTTGCAGAACGTCGCCAAGTTCCGGGAGGAGCATTGGACCCAGATTGTCGGGGCTTTTGTCGAGCTGTTCAGCAAGACAACTGCGTACGACCTGTTCACTGCGGCGGCCTCCATGACCAAAATGACGGAGACGGCTACTAATGGTGATCTTCAAGCTGGCCAGGCTGCGGCCTCGCCAGCATTTGGCGACGTGCCTGACGCTCTTCAGCCCAATGGATCTGAGAGTACAACCTCGCTCCAGGAATCAGGTGATCCGCCAGCTCAGAGTGAGGCACGTGCTGAACTCGAGGACTACCGGCCCCAGGCGGACCCCCAGCAGCAACCAGCTGCTGTTACAGTGGCCAGACGTCGCTTTTTCAACCGTATCATTACCAACTGCGTTTTGCAGTTGCTCATGATTGAAACAGTTCACGAACTGTTTTCTAACGACAATGTCTATGCGCAGATTCCTAGTCACGAGCTTCTGCGACTGATGGGCTTGCTCAAGAAGAGTTATCAGTTTGCCAAGAAGTTCAATGAAGACAAGGAACTGCGCATGCAGCTCTGGCGCCAAGGATTCATGAAGCAGCCTCCCAACCTGTTGAAGCAGGAGAGTGGCAGTGCTGCTACTTATGTCCATATTCTCTTCCGCATGTACCATGATGAACGAGAGGAGCGGAAGAGCAGTCGCACTGAGACCGAGGCAGCCCTCATTCCCCTTTGTGCAGACATCATCCGCAGCTTTGTCCGCCTCGACGAAGAAACCCAGCACCGCAACATTGTGGCCTGGCGACCGGTGGTTGTAGATGTCATTGATGGATATAACAACTTCCCTCTAGAAGGTTTCGATAAGAATATCGAGACTTTCTACCCCTTAGGAATTGAACTTCTGAGCCGTGATCTTAACCCAGAGATCCGCGTCTCCTTACAGGCTCTCCTGCGCCGTATCGGCGAGGTCCGACTGGGCGTGGCTCCGCCCAACTCTTTGGATGTGCCCATCAGCCCGCGTAGCTCCGTCTCCCAGCAGGCTTCCCGTCGCGATAGCTGAGCGTTAGCTCAATGCTGAATGATGATTTTGGTATAACCTTTGGGATGTTGTTACCCCTTCTGTAGTTGGCGGGTTTTTCATGGCGTTTTTTACTATTTCATTTCTGTCTAGCCTGTTTCATTCGAAATTTTTGTCACTTTTCGTTACTTGTTGCCTACGGGCTTGACAGCTTTTTAGAGATGCATAGCTGTATTGTACAAGACAAAATTCTTCAACCTTTCAATTTTCATTTCCAGAATCAGTGTTCCCAACCTCGAGGTCAGTTCAAGTTTATACTAGTGCCTCTGCTTGATACATACTGCCAGTGGCACTGGAACGGACAGGAGATTATGTATGTATCAAGTGGACGGCCCCGGGCTTTATGAATCTAGGCTACATACAAACTTCTACCAGATAAGAATTTGAAGGCTTCTAGGATCAAGTACTTAGACTTCTAACTCGTACTATGAGTCTTGTTTCTGCCTTCATCCCAAGGTTCAAATGAGCGTTAAGCTTCAGTCACGAGACCTGCACATACTACTGAAGCTGTTTAACTTCGGCAACTTTCGCAACTCCTAGTCCTATTTGGGTCTCACCACTCGGGGCCTAAAGCGATAAACTTCCAGTTTTCCTACTACCGCCGGATTTTTCTCTTCTTCCCTTTTTCATCATTTCAGTTAAAAAATGGCTCATTTACCACACATGGACGTGAGCACGGACAAAGCCTCCAAATTACACACTATCGGGAAGGCTTCTGTGGGACTGTCTGGGCTGCTTCCGAGGAAGACCACGCATACAAAAGGGAAGATGGTGGACCTGACAGATCTTTAGAAAATGAATTTGAGATCCATAATCAGATACTCGAAAGCGACAAGAAATTTTCGGATTTTTCCAAGGCCCAAAATGAGCTCCATGTTCATATTCCAGCCTGCTATCAGTTCATCAACGCAACAGAGCAGACTTGGTGGTCAACAAATCTTTCAAGATTCCCATCGGGGTATATACACCCTGTAATATCCTGAAGTCACAACGCATCCCTCCGTTCTCACAAGTCGTTCGGCAAATCCTTATCAATAATTTCTGTCCACCAAATATTGCTAAACAAATTACAATCAGCGAGCCAGATAAAGACTGCCTAGTAAGGCCATATCTCGGCCGGCGGCGAACACGAAGGCCGAACAGTACCTCTCAATTCACCGGATTTTCTCTATGAAATTATCCACTTCATCTTGATCAGGTAGAATCTCTTGGGATCAGCACCAATGACATCCAACAGTACACGCGAGCCATGGCAGAAACACTTGCATTGATGCATTGGATTGGCCAAATTGATGGGAACGATATCGAATTTGTGCTCGCACCTCCTAGACGCGATATACCTTCACCATCTTCCCCAATAAGGTCTAACATTTTAGGGGAGCATGTTATGTGGGTGCTTGATTTTGACCCATGCAGAAACATGATGATGGATTTGAAGGTAGTTGAACAGGCTGTTGCTGCGTTTTGGCGCAATGATCCCTACTACCCTCGGCCACAAACCAAACCATTCTTGTGGGATGTGTTCCGAAATCAATATCTCCGAATAAGCGATTTGTGTGCTGCTCTATTTGAGTTGTCGGAAGGAGAAATGAGGCGTGTCTTATCACAAAAAATTTATTGAATATGTGGAAAAAGAAGGAAAGCGTCGGAAAGAGCAGTCCAAGGGACGGGAAACTATGCCAATGCATGACGATCAATCTGATTCAATATTTTAACCTTGAAGTTCAAGTTCAATGTTGTACGAATTTTTGTGACTAAACTCCAGCTGGTATGACGAAATAGCCAGTCTCAACTACCTGATTGAGCTCTGAATCTTAAAGTTTTTCGCAGTTACGGGCTATTGTTGCCTATGGATAAGTAGTGAATGAGGGGAACTTCCGTAGTAAGTCCAAATTTAGATCTTTGCTGTTAGAACAAAGCTATATGCCAGATGCTGGTACTAGCCTTAGAAGGAAGGTTGGCCGTAGGATTGCAACCGGTTCATCATAGCAACTTGAAAGGTTAGCTATATTTCTTATTCAGGGTATCATGCAGGAGCCCGGGCTTGGGCAACGAAATCAATCTACGCAGCCCGAGCGGGTCAGAGGTTTTCCAGAAGGAATACAAATTTGAGGACGAGGGCGCCGGCGAGAGAAATGAATCGGTACACATTTTATCCATTCTTCATTATCAACCTCATTCTCGTACTTCCTGAAGTGCCGGAACTTTTCCAGACTCATAATGCGATAGAAGACCGTCCATATCCTGTTCAGTCATTTGTACCAAGTCATCCAAACTCCATGATTCACAAACTGCCGACATCCACTTCATTCTCTTAGGCCCTTGCTCCTGCTTGGGCGCCACATCTCTTAGCTTCTTCCGCAGTTCACCCACGTTCTCAATTGCAGCTCCCATATTTGAAGGCAAGGTCGCAGCGATCTTCTTGCGCACCAGGCTAGCCAGCTTGGGGCCATTTCCATTTGTACTGACCATTATCTGGAGTGGACCGTCACGGTGCATACTACCAAAGTAGAAATCACACTCCGGAGGAACATCGGCAATGTTGGCGGGAATTCGTTTCTCCTTGCAAAGCTTCCACACCTGGGTGGAGGCCTCCGGGTCATCAATCGCACATAGCACCATGTCGGCATTTTCCAGGTCCGAAGGTTCAAAATTTCGATCCACATGAGTGACTTGCTTTTCTGCGACTCGATAGGCCACTTCCTCATTCAGACCGGCTGAAGGGGAGACCACGGTGACGTGGGCGTCGGCATTGAGGGCATGCAGGATCCGCCCCGCGGCTACCTAGAAAGCTCCAGCTGTGTGAGCTACGAAATATATAGTTTGTAAACCAGCTTCAAACACACTCACCTCACCACCTCCAACTACTAACACATGCTTGTTCTTGATCTGCCAAGCAAGAATTAAGGAGCCTCCTCCTTGAACTTCCGGAAATTTCGACATATTGACTGTGAGAGACAAACTCCCGAGGTTGCAGGTTGCGTCTGCAGATAAGGGTCAACGTGGGGCATACGGCAAACCGCACAGACCTCTTGCGCAGGTGGTTTTTTTTTTCTCCGTCGCTTTTTCGTCTTCCACTTCTCTTCTCTTTGTTCTTCTCTATCCCATCCGCCATGCGGGGTGTGCAAATATTTTCGGGTAACTCCCATCCTGTTCTCGCAGAGACCATCTGCGAACGGTTGGGCACTTCGCCCGCCAAAGCAGACCTCGGTAAATTCGCCAACGGTGAAACGAGTGTCAACATCGGAGTCTCCGTACGGAACCAGGATGTCTACATTATTCAGAGTGGTAGCAGCAAGATCAATGACAGCGTAATGGAGCTTCTGATCATGATCTCTGCTTGCAAGGGTGGTTCGGCCAAGTCTATTACTGGTATGCGCTTCCTCATATGAAAATTCTTTCACTTTTTTCTTCAAGAAAAAAAAAATACTAACAATTTCTCAAGCTGTCATGCCGTATGCTACCCGTCTTGTTTGAATCAATGACAGAGGATGCTGACGCGCAGACGAGGTACTTTCCCTACTCGCGCCAATCCAAGAAGAAGAGCCACCGTGGCGCCATCACGGCCCGTATGCTTGCCAACCTACTTTCCATCGCCGGTGTTGACCACGTCATCACAATGGACCTACATGTACGTGAAACCGTTGCATTGATTTTGGATAATAGTTTTCCGTGTACTGGGTGTTGATCGGCATCAATAGGCATCTCAGATGCAAGGCTTCTTCGGAAAACCCGTCGATAACCTCTTCGCCGAACCGTTTATTGCCCGCTGGATCCGGATGAACGTCGCTGGCTGGAGGGACGGAGTTGTCGTTAGTAAGAATGCTGGTGGTACTAAACGGGTTACATCGTTGGCCGATACCCTGAAATTGAACTTTGGTATTGTTACTACAGACCGCCGACGTCCGAAGGTTCCGGTGACCATGTCCGACAGCACCGTCTTCTTTGACGCTATGGACGAGGATCACCGACCCAGAGACCAACAGCCCTTTGAACTTCACTTACACAGTGCAAATGCCACGCCGCCCATTCCCGAGGAGCCTGAAAATCTTAGCCCTGCCGGTTCTCTGCTGCGCCCTGAAACCCCCTCTGGTGCCCGTCGGCCATCTGAGCTGGAGGCTGCTCATGAGTACACCGATGTGCGGGTGCAAGATGTGGTGACCGGTCGTTTGGTGCAAGGCCAGCTGGTTGACGATGACTACCTCCCTGGTTCTGAGTCACAGTCTGGCGGTACTACCCCAGGAGCTGGTGCTGGTAGCGATGCCGTTGAAAACACGGAAGTCGTCCCAGAGACCATGATTAACTCCATGATCTCTACTAACTCCTCTCTGCCCCCAGACCATGCTTTGGGAGGCTCCTTTGATGCAGTTGAGTCTGACGACGACGAAGCTAGCGTCGCTGGTGGCTTTGGCTTCGACCACGAAAAGACCATCACTCTGGTTGGTGAGGTGCGCGATCGACCTGTGTTCATTGTGGATGACATGATTGACAAGAGTGGATCCTGGATCGCCGCTGCTGAGACTGTTGTCAAACGCGGTGGTGCTCGCAAGGTGTATTGCATTGCCACTCACGGTCTGTTCGGGGCCGATTCTCTCGACCAGCTGGAAGAATGTCCCTCCATTGATCACATTGTCGTGACAAACACTTTCCCAATTTCGCCGTCGATGCTGAAGCGGTCAAAGAAGTTGATTGTCATTGACGTTTCGACTCTCCTTGCTGAAAGCATTCGGCGGCATCACTACGGTGAAAGGTAAGTCTGCTGGGAGCCTTCCGATTTGTTGACCAAGTAATTCTAATCTTGTCTTCTAGCGTCTCGGCTCTCTTCCACCTTCATGATTGATGATGATGCAGCCAATTGGTTGTGATGATAGAAAGAAAGAAGCAAAAAAAAAGCAACGCAACTCAAAGACCAAACTTGACTCATCTTTAGGGCGGCGTTCGATATTGATTCGCGGGCGATTTCTACGCTCCATGATTTCATGGCATGATACCTATTCTTTACCAAATGCAAAAAGAACCCATTTTGAAGAATTCCGTCTTTCAGTCGGTCAAACAGTAATTTTTTTTACCCCTTTTTTGATTTTCTTTTTTTTTGCTTTTCATTTCCCTTCACTGTTTTATCCTCACCCAGCGATGCAGTCCATCTGAGTGGACTGCAGGGGTATCTCGTCATCCACGAGGTGTCCTTAACGGAGCGTTGGCAGAAAAAATTTATCGGGTTTCGGCTTGTGTTTTCGTCTTTTCTTTTTCTTCCGTCCGAAGTTTTTTCGGGAAGAAGAGAACCTAAAGAAGCAAACATAGGATCCGGAACTTGACGAGAACTGAAGTCGTCTGTTTTCTTCGTTTATCTTTCCTTCGGGAAAGATTGACGTCGTGCTTTCTTGGCAGTGGAACCTACGCAACACAACTTCAACTGTTGATACTCTCGAACATTACTACTCCACTACTCTGTAGGGAGTACGTAGAGATTACAATCCTGCTTCGGAGCAAACATAGTCAATATATGAATTTTCTCGGCTATCTCTATATCCATTCTCTTTTCGTACACCGTATACCGTTCACCGTCTCTTTACTAGTAGTGATACTAGTTGCAATTGACATCATCTCAACGGTTCTGCAGCTCCCCATAGCTCTCAACAGTCCGGATTCAAGTTGCCGTGACGATTGAAATGTGGTCCAATTCCAATCGAGTCTAGACTAGATCGATGAGATTCTTCAAGGGCTAGCTGAGGATTGACGGAAGTAAATTGACAGGTATGATATGAAAACAATAGTCATGAGGCAAGTTTCCCGTTTTGACAACCTTCAATGTTTCTAGATTGGTTCACTCGCCACCAAAGGTTCGCCGGATGATGGGGCCGAGGTTTCAAATCTGGCGGCTACTTTCTCCTGACAGGTGCCTAGCCGGGACGGATCGTTAAGAATAATAAGTGAAAATAAATAAATAAAAATAGTAAGTTTGTAAATCATGCAACAAAAGAACCTTGGAAGTTTGCGAACTGTGCGTATTGAAGGTACTTTTGTGCGACATCTTACCTGCAATTGCCCCATCCAGCATCTGCAAGTAGAAGGGGGTTCCAAGGTTGTGATTAAAATGGATAGAAAATAAAGTACATATGTACTGAGTAATATCTCATAACATTATTAACATGGGTTTATTCAAGTCTTAATATTTCCGTGAAGAGAAGAGCCCTGGCAGTGCACATGTGGGGAGTAGCAATCAAGATCCGGACATCCCCGTGCATTTGGGGGCTGCAAAAAGGGCTGTAAGCTGTTGGTCTGGGCATAAAAATCCCCGCTAAACTATTTAATGTATTTTATTAGGTATTTTTATCAAGTTATTATTAGCTGAATTTGGTCTGGGTTGGGTTAAGAGTGCATAGGAATAAACAATTGGCCCAAATGCAAGCGATGCACAATCCAACTACTGCCGGGGACGCACTTCCGCGCCGATCTTCATTCGACGAAGGATGCTAGAGGACTCGTCATTTGTTCCAAGGTTCCTATCAGCCTCTCATGTCTCTAATGTCTCGGCTGTAGGTTCTTAAAAAAATATCACCCATTACGATATGAACCTATAGGCTTTCTCCCTTTCCATAAGCCACAAAAGGAATATCATAATGAAAAGGAAAAATCAACCAGAGTTTGTCCCTGAGACCTGACATGTGGAGACTCATAAGAGCCGTGTGGTCCCTGCACTTTTCTGACACAGACGCTAAGGACAAATACTAGTGATAATGATTTTAAAATGGGTATTAAAGATGATGTATCAAATTCCCTGACTAGGGGTTAGAAAACATATAGAATTTGGAGTTAGTTCCAGTTTGTGAATTCTATAGCAAATAATCCATAATTTAAAATTGATATAAAATAATTATAAGAATAATAAAAGTTGAGTCTAGACATGATCAGACCCAAACTGCTGGGATGCAAAAGCCCGCACGATCGTCCTAAAAGATCGACGAGCTACTTAATGAGCCATCATTAAGAGAGCCATCATACGGAGTAGGACAGTCGCATTTCGTCGATCTCTTACTAGATATAGGTCATCGGGAGGTCTGGTCAGGTTCATGGTCGAGTTCGCGGCTAGTGGGTTTAGTGTGTAGAGTGTGACTTGGTTCCGTTACCTAGTTGGGATTAACACAGCGAGGGGTAAAAAAAATTGAGAATTGAGAAATTGAGAAATTGAGAAAAGTCTAAGCCTAGAATTTAAGGAAATATTGACTACGAATTACACCATTCCAATTTAGATGTTCTTAGAAACTTGAAGTAGTATGGAGTAACTACTGTAGGTGTACTGATATGGAAATGACCCACTTTATCGTCTAACACGAGTCGATCCCCGTACCAAGAAGTAATCAACTAAATCAAGAATACTAAAAGAATACTAAATAAGAAGAAACAAAGTAAAAAGTTCAATGACAAACATCTCCCCCAAAAAATACAAAGTACCTTATAAACTTATCTTCGGATCGCTCCCTACCAATTGTATCCCTCCGATGAAAGAGATCTTGATCCCGGCTGAGAACTAGGATCTGGCGGCGCCTTCGCGTAAATTTCCATGCACTACATGTGTATGCAAGATGATGTTCCGTAGATCTAGTTCATATTTTTTTTTAATCATTATTCCATTCTCCCTTCGCTTTCTAGTCCTTGTTTCCTCTTTCTTTTGATTTTATTTTATTTTTTGCTCCATCCTACTACTTCTGGATACCCTGATCCCGACAATCAATTCGGTAACGTACATCATACGGGCCTTTGCAGAAGACTGAGACGAGTCGAGTCCATTCTCACACCGGACTGGCCTTTGGTCTAGGATCTTTGGTCCCGAGGTATCAGAGATACCAGTGTGATAGAGAAAGTGTGTCTCCTTTCAAAATATACACACCTGGAAAAATAAAAACACAGAAAAAAGGAAAAAAGGAAAAAAGGAAAAAAGATATATAATGGCCTTGGAGTCCAGTTTTGAAGCTCTATAATTCTATCTCATCCCTCTCTGGTCTACCGCCTTTGTTCTTTCTTCAAGTTCGAGTCTTCTCAACTTGAATTCACATCGATTGAACTTGCCTTGACATATTTGAATCATCTTTATCCCCGCCAAAGAGAACATTCGAAACTCTCTATCCTTCTATACTTCATTCTCCGTGGAATTCACATTCCCATTCCTTTGGAAATAATATCCGGTTGGTGATCGACGCCAGATTCCATTCCCTCGGGCCCTGGATCGTTTCCCTAGTTCGGTAGGTGACAGTCTCTCGGGTCCGGTTAGCTGTAGCTTATCTAACGCGTTCCCTACAGTTATATCAAAAAGAACCTCGAACTTCAAATCTATTTCAACAATCATGGCAAACCAATGCTCTGGTCATGTCTATGCCATTGTGCAGGCTACAAATGGTAACATCCTGACGTGGCGTTGCTCGGATTGCAACTCGGGCCCCTTTATGGCCATTTGGCGCTGCAAGCTGTGTGGTCATTGTCGCTGCAATCCATGCCACAATACCAAGGGATAAACTGTATGTGTTACACTCCTTTATCTCTATTGTCTCATTTTCCCTCCAGATGTTTCTTTGAGGCATCATTCAAGAGTCAGGGAATGTCTGATATCTAAATCCAAGAGCCGGGATTGCGGGAGTATACGATACTGCCACTATCGAGGTTACTTGGATTTTGGGATTTACCACCTTTCTCACAAACTCAATTATTCTGATATAATTTGTTGCTGACTGTTTCCGAAAACAGCCCTCTGCAGTTAAACTTGAAGGTTTCAGCCTCTTGCATAGATCCCAAACCAGGGTATCCCATCCATTGCAAAACCCGGAAACCATTCCCTCATTTGCCCTTTCAGCCTGCTTCCTACTTCTGTTTTACTTTACTTCAAGTTCCCTGGCTGCGTTTGGCGATTGGCGAGATACGTGCATTTGATCGGTTCACCAAAAGTCTCGAAAAGTTTGGGTGCATCCGGATGGAGTTTTCTTTTCTTTTTCTTTTCTGTCTCAAAACAAGCTTTAGATTATGGATCCTGGTGTCATTGAAATACGGTCCTACAGTGGTCCACGGGTTGTCTCAATGTTATTTTCGATTGTTTGTTTTTTTCATCCTATTTTTATTTTATGCTGTACTTGCCTTGGTTAAAACATTGGATGCAGTGTAAGACTTGAAGTTTGCTATGATAGATTACTATGGAATTGAATTTGTCTATCTCATTGTTTGAGTGAAGATAATCTAGCCTACTCTACTCTGTATAATACGAATGCTAATTTGAATTAAATGATTATTCATATGCGCTCGAGGCGACCAATATTGAGGGATTCCAAATCGAGTTCATAAACATTTGAAAGCCAGGTCATCCATGTTAGTCTCAAGGTTCTCACATAATCGAAGTGCATCGACAATTCCAAGATCGCGGTCACGATCGATTGGTACTTTTTCTCTTCCTTACATTGAGCCGCGGAATTTATGATGCAGGGTCCTTCTTCCCCGATGCATTATTACATCTACTATAAGATATCCCTGTGTCTATTTTAAGGTTATTATTAAAATTATAATTTCTTTTCTTTTCGACTTTTGTTTTTTTTTCATCTTTATTTCTCATCTTTATTTCTCATCTTTATTTTTTATTTTTGTATTGCATCTGCACCTTTAACCCTTGACACCGGGGAGAAAAGAAAAGGTCATCACTTGGGCATTGCCGACATTAGCAGATAAGAGTCCACAAACTAAAACTAAAACTAAAACTAAAAGTGAAAAGAAAATCAAATCAAATCAAATCAAATCAAATATCATTTTGGAACAAAAATTTCCAAATCCACTCTCTTACAGCATGAATGAACCTCTCACAACCATTCGGTCCACCTTGCCGTTCTTTTCCACTATACTATTCCATTGGACACCGCAATGTCGGGACGAGCATAGCCGGAGAACTCCTAAGTGGATCGAACCAATGCAAGGCCATGGAGAAGAAATCCACTTTTTCCATCCCGACACGAAGATGTGGCTGCGCTAAATTCAAGCACAATCGACCTGTCCATCGCAAGAGTTTTCCGCTCGTCTATGATCGTCTTTTTCTTTCAAGTCTTGTTTCTTCTCCTATTTCGCTTTCCCCACTTTAATGGATCCTTTTATTTACTCCATTTTTTCTTTCCTCATACGATGTCGCTTAGAGGATTTGTACAGCTGTACGTGCGGGCCCCGGGTTCTTGAACAAATCGTATTAAGAATTTCCAGGGGCTTGGGTCCGCTAACTCTATTACGCGTCCCCACTCAACTCCAAAGCACTACGCAAGGACCAGAGAGTGCTCCCTTCATACCGTAGTGTATCTTGGTCATTGTGGAGGTCTGTGGGTCGTTTACAAAAGTCCCGTGCAGTTTGGATTACAGTAGTCTTCCAAGGTGGTGGGATTTTTTTTTCTCCCCGTAGAGCCGTGATCACAGGTTTGTCAGTGCTTTGATATAGTGGACTAGTTTATATCGGGATAAGTTGGGGGTTTCAAGCGACAGCGAACACTTAAGTCGAATAAAATGAAAGTTTATTGACAAATATTGGGAACTATGATCCGGCTCGGAGTTCTCCCCGGTACTAGCACTTGAGTAGTACTTGAACTTGGAACTATGGAGACATTGACTTGTATGTGGATATGGATGTCTTCATGCCTAGGCCTAGTTTGGCAGCTACTAGTAAGTTGGGTAGAAGGCACTGGCAGAAATTGATCAATGTAATAAAAATGAAATATCTATGTCGAGTATGTACTGTCAAATGAACAAAATGAACATGGTCACGTTAAACTAGGTATAGATGCTCTAAGAAGAAGGTTAGTCGGGATTCCTAAATCCACTGACTCGGGTTTCATAACAGATCCGAAGAGGGAACAAAAAATGCACAAAAAAATGAAAAATAAAAAAAATAAAAGTGATCTCAGATAAACTTACTTCAGTGATCTGATTCACAGCCAACCCAGGCTCCGCCATTTCAGCATCAATCAAAAACTCCAGCGGTAACCAAACCAAGTGACCCCTGATGCGATCCAGTTTCTCACGTACCTCCGCAGCAGGCATATAGGGATCAAAAAGGTGACCCTGTTTTCGGGACCCACGCGGATAGAAATCATCATAATCTTGAAAATTCCGAATATGGTCATCAGGGTCCGCCCGGAACAAATGTCGATACATTTCCGTATTCACCGTAGCTTGGCCAGTCCATTTTTCCCAGACCGCATCGCTGAGCGGGTCCGCCACGAACTCGTTCTCGGCTCCTTCCAAGATCTCATTCAGGCATACATCTGGCGGACGTGCATTCGCGGAACTTGAGGCGTCATAGTCTTGGGCTGGAAGAAGGCCTAGGTGCTCGCGCCACAGCTGACGACGTAAAGTGGCGGCGTGTCTAGCCGCTCGGTACGGCTTGCCGTTCATTTGACTGTCGATGAAATCTTGATCTTCCATTACGATCGCGAGCTCACTATCGTGAGATCCTAGTTGGGACTACATAACGGAGTTATGTCGTGTTAGTTGTATGCATGTGAATGGAGCCGAAATGGAGCCAGAATGGAAATTCCGTGACAAATACTACTCAGTTCCAGTTCCGTTTCCTCGGGTAGACTTACTCGGTCGTTTATGTTTGCAGATCCGCAAATGACTATCCGGTCATCCACAATGCACACCTTACCATGCACATACAGCTCTTCTTGGACAAAATTGGTTTTCTCGCCTTCTGGGTCTCCTTCCCACACCTCGTCCGACATCTTGCCACCATTCAGCATGGTGACGTGCGCCACGGAATCCCGGCTTGCGTCGCCTTGCTTCATCTTGTTCTGCTCCACTTCTTGCTCGAACCTTTCCAGCTTGTGGACTTTTTCTTGTTTCTGAGAGGGGTCTGCTTCGTAGCTCTTCTCGTGTCTATCACCTTCCTTTCCGATGGAGGGGTGGATACTTTCGCTCATGATGGACTCGGCAATTCCACGCTGGATATCTTGGTATGTCACACCGGCCTTTTTCTCGAGTTCCTCAAGCGCGGGAGTTTTGTTGATGCGGTCATAGGCACGCAAAGCAAAGACGAAGACGTGTTCTATATTGTGTTAGTATTTGCAAAATCATGAGGCCAGCAGATAATTCCTACCTTTCGGGTTCACTCCCGCCTTTTCAATTTGTCCCATAATCGAGTGCTCACCCCGACAGATCGACTTATACTGGTAATCCATGATGGCTCGCGTACCTGTCGCAGAAGAGTCTCGCAGATCACCCGCGAATCCAGGAATGGCGGGGATGACAATAATCACACGGAACTTGCGACCTTCCCTGCCAGCTCGAACACAGGCATCCACAATCGCCGCGCCGATTTGGTTGTAGACCGGGTGCTGTTGATCACCGGTGGCCGTGACTGCGATTATTAGAAAGGAAAATCTGAAGAATCGGGATAAGAAACATACTGAAGAACTGATTCTCAATGTAAACAAAATGTTCAGCATTACGAATAATCTCGCAGTAGGCATTCTGAATACTATGTTCGTTCAGAATACCACTGCTCCAGTCATCACTACTACGCACAATCTGCGCTCTCACGGAGCCTTGGTTCCCATAAGGCTTAGTTGACAGCGACGATAACGGATGATGGATATACTGGCCACAAGGATAGGCAGGTCTCTGAACAGCGATGATATCTTCATTATCATCTGTCCGCCCCTCCATCAGCAACCAATCCACCGTATCACTGCGCTTGTACTTGTCTCGCTTGATAAAGTTCCAGCGCAAGACGAAATGCTCCGCAATGTCGTACACGCAGTCACCTACCAATCCCATCGCGACATCATGCCACGGCATTCGACCATACTCGGCCTTGCTAATTTCGTTGCTCTGCCAGTCGGCCACGCTTTGGAAGTCCATGATGCGGTTGTTGTTAAATTCTTGGCCGGGGAAGATATCATCTCTGAGACCTGCTGGGTGCACATCTGCGAGAGGGTGTTGGTTTGCGTCCCATCGCCCGAAGCAGAGATCGATACCGCCGATGAATGCGACAGCGTAGTCAATGACAATGAATTTTTCGTGGTGCGCCTGTTATATCATAAGTTTTCTATAACGCCAATTGTACCGGCTAGTATAGACATACCCAGTAAAGTGTCATATCAGCTCCATTCTCGAAGATGTTATGATCAGGGTGGCGCAAGACTCGGATATTGCCATGTCCTGGTGTTCCCTCCGGACATAGGTTGTGCAAAGCATGTTTCGTATGCGCCGAATTACACGTCAGTGCTTGGTTGACCTGATACAATTAGTCTTGGATGTTCTCGAAAATAATAGCCTTGGAAAGGTGTTCATACCTCTTTGTACACAATAACATAGATTTTAACGCCAGCCTCTGCACGTCTCTTCAGAATATGGTCTAAACGCCATTCCTGGTGCTGAACTGGTGGACGACGAAGAAATAGCTCTGGCGAGAGCCACCAATCGGCAATATAAATTGTCTCAGTGGCCTTTTCCAGCGCTTCCGAAACTGCCCAGAGGTAATCTAGCGCATCGACATACCACTTCAGGCAGTTATTTTCGCGAATGGGCGCAAAGGAGTGGTAACGATGGGATTCGGCGATATCTGAGCGCTTGTTATCCGTAGCCTGTTCGTGCGCCTCATCGTGGCGGTGGTTGGGGTTGACGATGTTGTAAAATTTTCCGACTTTGTGTTTTAGGTGCACAGCGGATGCTTTGACATCTTGGAGGTTGTGTTCTACTCGGCAGAGGGTTCAGTATTAGCGAAGTAATTCCATGTTATGATTATCCTAGTAAATATACCCTTGAAGGACTCCTCCAGGTGCTCAATCCCATGTTCCAGTTTTTCCTTGAATCGCTGCATGATTTTGCGAGGTTGGGGAGGGCTCGGAGTCGCGGTGTGGGGAAAAGGAGGGGGGAGCTGAAAGAAATGGAAATCCAACTTCAACTCCAGCTCCTTTCTCCACTGACATCACTAGCAGCCCTATCGTGTTCGCGTAAATCGATCTCCCCATTTGTTCAGTTGATTTAAGGTGCCAATACAAATCAGATCCGTGGTCCGTGGTCATTTGTCCCTGTCCCGTTCCAGGATTCTTGCACTTCTTGATCCACTTGTTCCGCGAATACCGGATGAGATGACGATGCTCTCCTTGGCGGGAGGGGGGATGTTTCAACCCATATCTGTTGTTCAATTTGACCTGAGTATTCACCAGGGATTCATGTGATTGGAGTGGGGTTAATAGATGCTCTCTACTCCGTACATAGAGGGAATGCGATCTGGTGGAGACCTTCCATGGTTGGGGTAGAGATCAACATAGTACCCTAGTACGGAAAATGGAACAACCTTGGAACCACTACACACCTTAGCGCTTACAGTATTTAGATCTTCAAGCTTACCTTGTATATATTTACCTTTTCTTTCATTAATTGATCTTATTTCCTCCTAGTGAGCTCTGAAATACTTCGTTTTGGTTAACCCGACTGGTGCCTGAGGCTACCGTGATCCCACATACTCAACAGTAACAACTTACCCATGGGAATTTTATATATGTAAGCTGTTCTTGTTCATACTACCTAGGTATGTACTATCCTGATCTCTAGTATTCTCACATGTGCATGATCAGAAATTATCTATACACTACCACTGCAGTTATACTTCTTGTTCCCACTTACGGTGTATGTGCACACGTGCACGTGTGTCTTCTACTATTCATATGCAAGTTGGATCTACAGCTATCCATGTTTTGAGAGGAAAGTGCTTTCAACCTCAGAAGTTGCATATACAATTTATTCCAATGGATGTTCCAAGGTTTGAATATTGTTTGGATCAAAAGTACCCTAGCCCTTTATTTAAGTTGGTGCCTGAGGCTACAACTTACGGTGAAGTTAAAATGTTCAATTCATGATCATCTAAAGGTATTACCTAGTAGTATCCTGGGTCACAATATCCATCATGATTAAAAAATAACAGGAATTTATCTGAAGTTAAACTTGAAGACTAGTACATAGACTCCAGGCCGGAATTGTAAAATATGATTTCCAAGGTTCAAGTCCGAGTCAGGGCGCATATATATCGTACTATGGAACAATGTTTAACTAGTCTATGCTAGGAGTGTGAATAGTATTGCAACAGTTGGGCCCAGAACCCTGAGAGATCAGATTATTTATTGAGAACACTGTGAAGGATACAACATTTGAAGGAGCCTTAGATTAAGATAGGCCACGGAGTTGATTGTTCAAAGGATGGTGCAATATGAAATCCATTTTGATGTTTGGGCACAGTGGATGACGTAGATAACCTTAAAAAGAAACAAGGAAATCAGATATCATCAAAAAATGTGCACTAAACCAAACACTACAAATTTTCTTTAATGACAAGTACCTAGGTATATTTGGGCTAGATAAGTAATGGAGAAATTGGAAGATGAAAAATATCTAGAGCATCAAAGTCGTAATTATCAACAGAGACAGGGCCATCATGACAATATAAGGGGTGCATTTCTGAAGGGTCTCGTCCGAATTCCTCCAGGGCTGTCACGCTTAATTATAGAATAATAATAGGATTAAAAATAGCCTTCAAACTACAATCACGCATTGTTTTGGGAGTCTCGTCCCTACATACCAGTTTGTTCCAGCTTGTTTTGTTTGTCGTGTTTGGCTTACCTCAGCCCCACACGTGACCAACCTAAACAACGTTGTCTGAGGAACGGCCTGCTCTGTTTATCCTCCTACGACTCGACCAGAACTACGCAGCAACAGGGCATTTTGGGCCTTTGGTAAGGAATTCTGCTCAACAATATTGCTTGGCTTGTTGTCTCTGTGGTCGCCTCTGCAATCTGATACCCATATGGTTAGTGTTGTCGTGGTGCAGACAAGAAAAACAGGGCAACTGGCTGTGTGTCTTGCAGGACCGGGCATCTCCCTGGTGACGGATCTCCTCCACTTTTTTTTCTGTAGTCACCAACCGGAACCAGAATGCCTCCAGAACTAGGTGAGAAATGCCTGAGCTTAGTCCTTGAATATCGCTGTATCGTCGTTCATACTCATGAATTATGATAGTACGCGCCCCGTCGCAAGGAAGCGCGGTCTCACAGTCCACCCAGCACATGGGCCCTCATAGCCGTCCAGGGACAGCAGATCCCTTACGATCTCGATCGGAGACCATTTCACGGGCCGGTCATCGTGCTAGATCCAGGGGCTCGACTGCCAGTATCCATTCGAGCACCACCCAGCAGACCCAGGACCAACATGTCGATGCATTCCCACAATTCATACCCTCCCAGGTCGCCAGTGCCCAGAACATGTTTGGAAACAACCCGGAAGATATGATCATGCGTTTTGGTCCTCAATTCACTCACCAGGGCCATGGCGCGCCATTGGATCAAAGCATGCGAGAGGCACATTCGGTTATGTCTCGCCCGGACGATTTCCAAACCCATGCTATGCACGGCCACACGCTCTCTCATCATTCGTTACCCCCGGACATGGCACCAAATGGTATTCCTGGAGTTTCAGTGCCCCAATATCAGCCAATCTACGACAGCGGTATCGAAAACCACATGCCTGAGCAGGCCATCGAGGATCAGGAAATGCCCGACCAAGGTGGAAAAAAGAAAAGGGGGTCAAGTTCAACGCTGGCAAATGATAATGAACTTCGTAAATTGCTTCGCCAGTATGAGGGTTATTCTCTGAAACAGATGGCTGCCGAAGTCATGAAACATGAAGGTGCTGGTGGTAAGGCAGAAAAAGTGAAGCAGGTATTTGCTATGATCTGGTAAGAGAAACCACCTATGGATTGATCCATCTATTAGTCTCGAGCTCGTTTTTGACCCGGTTTTTGTTTACAGGCTGCGAGAAAACTGTCGAAAGAGTAGTGGCTCAGTCAGACGAGACCGTGTTTATTGTTGTTACGCCGAGCTGTGTGGAACAGAGCGTGTGTCGGTGTTAAATCCAGCGTCCTTTGGTAAACTGGTACGAATAATCTTTCCGAACGTTCAAACTCGACGCCTTGGAGTTCGTGGAGAATCAAAGTATCATTATGTGGATCTGTCGGTCATCGAGGAGAAGCAGCAAAAACCCCAATCAGTCAACACTCAGGTGGCACCTAGACAGCAGACACCATTGGCTGCTCCAGAAAGGCCGGCAAGCTCCATGCGTTCGCGCAGGTAAGTAGTTTGGTACACTTGGTTGCCTGTAATTGAAGTGACAACAACTGACATTGAACTCAGTATTAGTATCCCTCAGCCTACCGCAGATTCGGCTCTCTTCCCCTCTCCCACAGCTTCTTTTGCTCCTCGATTCCCCGCCAATTCCCCCGAGAACGATTGCCGTTGCCCTTCGAATTCTCAACCTGTCCAATCAAACCCAGACGCCATGATCACTTCTGCCAATATCTCCCAGCAAGCTGGCAGGATGATTCATCAAATGCTTCATTTCCCCACTGATGAGGCTCCGATTGATAACGATACACTCACGCTTCCTGATATTACTGGCTACCTGCCCGCGAACACCGACCTGAAGGTTGCAGTTGCTCTTGCAGCTCTGTACAGAACCCACTGCATTTCGGTCATCGACAGCTTCCGATTCTGCAAGGAGCGAAACCTGCTCAAGTACTTCTCTGCTTTTCATGGAACGTTGACCGTTCCCCTCCAAAAACTTTTGACTCATCCCAATCTTGCTCCCTGGATCAAGGAATGCGACTGGTTGATGTATCAGAAAATGATCCCTTTTGTTGCTCCCCTCACCACACAAGTTGTTCCCAAGGCTGTATTGGATGCCTTCCGATCCATCTCTATGCGCCTTTGCGCCCACATCACCGAAACCTTTAAGACACAACCAGCACATGTGTCTATGGCGCGATTGATTCCGGCACACATATTTTGCAACCTTTTGAAGCACATGCTTGACGTGAATCAGGCTGCTAATGCCACTGCTGCCTGGCTCTGCCATCAGGACAACCGAAGCCAGATGTGGGCTGACTTCAAGTCCCTTGTGGACCCAGAACAAATGATCTCCAAGTCCAACATTCCTCCTTGCGCAGCCCCGGCTACTCTGCAAATTCTTAAGCACGATATCCGCGCACTGCTCACTCCTCTCTCTGATGATGACCATACCAATACCCTGCCTTTCTATCGCAAGGCGGATTCCCCTATGGACATAGAAGCACACCCTTTACCCGTGGAGACCTCATCCGGTGAGGAATACAATTTCCCAGACAAGTGGCTTCAGTTCATCTTGAATGTTCCCGCTGTTTTCGCCGGTCACCCTGCCCAATGTGTAATTGAGAAGGTTGACGCCATGTGGGAAAATGTTTTGCATCGTTTGACACTGGGTGGAGCTGCTAGCTTTAGTGCTTGGTGGATGACCAAGGTCTTCTTCCACGAAATGATGCTCTGGCAGGCGGAGAAGGGTGGCTTCATGCGTAGCACCCCAAACTCCCTGCAAAGCCTTACTTTTGGCTCTGAACAGCTGGGTATGAGTTCTTTCCACCTTAAGCAGAACGGCGGGTCCGATCACACCTCTTTTAATGCAAACACCGGTAACACCAACAACAACCGACCCCAGTCCAATGGAGCGAGTCCAGCTATCTCACAGGGCCCAAATGGTGATGCGAACACCGAGACCAAACATGTCCCCAACCACAAGGACTTAACCCTCGCCGACTCGGGGTTTCAGGCTACCAACAATGACGACAGTGCAATTGATCTCGAAGATGATCCCATGATGATTGCTGTGGGTAAATATGGTGATATGATGGCTTCTGACCCAGCGGATGCCGAGGGCGATGTGGTTGTCATCTAAGCTTTTCCTGCATTTTGCATGCTGCATATGAGGTTTTCTGTTCTTCGGGGTTTGGAGTTGGGATATCCCTTGTGTAACTATTCGCGTTTATTTCCTTTGTTTTTTTCTTATGAAGGGTTTTCCTATGTTCTGGTGGGACGGCGTTCAACGATCTGTTCTACACGAAGAGATGAGATACGAGCATAGGAGTCTTCCAGTTGCTTAAAATGAGCTAATGGAATGTGTCTAAGATACTTGATCGTCCAAGCATTTAATCGGCGTGGGGTAGAATCCTCGGCTTAATTCTTGCTTTCTATTTTCTATTTCTCTTGTCCTTTACTTCAAGCCTTTAAGCCTGCTCTTCTCTTAATTAGGCTTCTGTACATATGCGCCTGCACGCTTGCCCGGGTGGTTTGTGCTGTTGCTGGTTTAATAAGACATTGAGGTACATCTGCCGGCTCATACTGTTATCTCTTGGATCTAAACTCTTATGAATTCCACTGAAAGTCTTGCTTCACTACCTAAGCTGCTTATGATTGTTCTCTCACTAGTCATTTTATGATGTCGGCCCTGGATTTGGATCCATGGTTGACATGTCACCATTCTGACAATACAATAATAGAACTAAACTTCAAGTGGGCATTGAGTTTACCTGCTTTACCCTTCTAGTAACTAATACATTTCTTTCGAGATCGGATGGGACAAAAAGGTCACGGCCATTAACTGCTACCTTACCTTGACCATAAAATCCTCTCAACTCTTCCTCACTCGAATCTCTTCATCCTTCTCTCTACCACCTTTCGAAATTACTACTTTTCCAGTACACAAGAACTTACTTGACTCGCTAAGCTTGCCTACTTATTCTCACCGTCGAATATCTTACCTGGAGCCCATCTCCAGAGATCAAGACATCCTCGACCTAAAACTCAAGTTTCAGCCATGACTTCAACCATTCTCACATGGACTCGTTGCAAGTCCTCATCTGTGAAAAACCAGTGACGACGCTGAGCAGCGCAAAAGATTTCCCAACTTGGCAGCTGCAACTACGTATTGCCATCATTTCTGAGGATCCTAAGATCTGGGATGTCCTCACTGGCAACCTCAAGGCGCCAAAATGCTGCACCCTGAGTCCGGCCTCAGTACTTGAGGAAATCAAAGAGCAGCTAAAATCCAACAAAGCCATGGCAGATATCTTCTACCGCCTGGCGATGAAAGATTGGATGATATGGTACACCAAAGGAAGGGTCCGTCCATACAATCATTGGCAAAGTATGAACAAGAAGGCACTTTCACATATCAACCAAACCATCGCCTCATCTGTGAAAGAGTCCATCGGCTTAACGGCCAAGAGTAGCGCCTTCGAGACTTACTCCGCGGTTTGCAAGTTCTTTGAAACCGCAAATCTCCCGACAGTTGGGGACCTCCGCATGGGAGACACTAAAGAAGTGCAAATACCTCCCCAATTCAACACCGGGGCCTTTCTCTAATGCCTTCGTTGCTGCATGGAAGAAAGCTTTGGCTGATTTTACGGAGGTGGCTCGAGACAGCAGCTCATCTGAGGAGCTTCTCCCTCAGCTTTCAGCTTACTTCATGTTCCTTGATGCTGTGGCAAACAATCCCGAAACTGAGAGCTGGTTGAGAGTCCACAGATTCAATCCTTACAACCTGGACGTGCTGGGAGCGGTGTATGAGGATTCTCTCAAGGGTGAGCGCAGGCGCGATCTTCGAGGTTACTGGGAGAAGTCGGAGATCATGGAGGCGACGGGGGCAGGACGAAGGGTTTTTATCTTTTTTGTCTTTTTTCTTTTCGCTGCGCGATTGAGTAATGACGATGATGTATTTTTTATATCTTCATAAGCTACTAATGTTTGAACCTATTTTCATTAAATTCGAATTATTTGATAATACTGCAATGTGGGTAGTGGAATATTTGGTAATTCTCGAACGAAGTTCTAACAGTTGATACAAGACTGCTATAGCGACGATATAGCTGTTGCGAGATGGAGAAGGTTCCAAGGTTCTTTGCAGCGGTCACGTATGCTTTCTTATTCGAGAATCACTCTGTATTGTTGATTAGTGAGTTTCCAGTGAGATTCAAGGTTGGCAGTGCGGAGCTGCCTGCTCTTTGCTTGATGCAATCAGGATGTTATTGACATTGAAAAAATACAATGAGGCAAGATGATGCAAAATGTGGCAGAATGTGGCAGAGACGCAGATATTCAGCAGCTAGCTCACGTCCAACCTCTTTCCGAATCCTTGGATCTTTCTTTCTCCATAGCTTCGGCTAAATTTGGAGTCCGTATAGCGTGCACAGAAGTTACATTACTTGCCAAGCAGAAGTAACTCCTTTGCGTATCACAGGGGAGATAGCATTTTGGGGCAGCTTTCCAGGACTGTGTTTGGAGCTTCCTGCTACCTAGTATTGAGATCATAGCCCGCTGGTAGCGAGGGTAACTGGGTACCCTGTGCGTTTCACACGGACAGAGACGGTCTGAGCAGGGTCAAGAGAGGCCGATCTATCCTTCATGGCAGTCATCCATGGGTTGATAAAGCAGTATGTCTTTCTACCCTTTCGATATTCTGGGACATCATTCCGGTGATGGCTACCAGGTTTAGGGGATATGTGTGCTGGCGGTGAAGGCTTGAAGATAGGCGGCCGGTTCATCATTTCAAATAATCTTCATGTTCATACATAACAAGCTATGAGTAGACGGGATATCTTTGTTAGCATGCTGGGCCATAGGGGATGCGTTGGACTCAGCAAGTCATGGACTCATGGGTCATGAACACCCTTGTTTAGCCGAAAAAGGCTCTACCCAAGTGCGTGGTAGAAAAATGTGTAACTCCTTGTCTCTCACCGTCAGTATAAACATCAGGCACATCTAACTGGTTCCAATTGAATAGGATTGAATGTTGCGAGTGGCTCAAACCCACGTTAATATGGATATGCCAAACAGACCTCGGGAATGGATGGCACAGAGCGGTGTCAAGAGCGGTATCCATTTCAGGCATTAGCCCAGGCAGAATATCATTAAGGGGGGCTGCGCCTGCTTGCTAACCTTCCAAGGTTACCTCCCTTTACATTGGACATAACTCACTGTATTTGCAGCAATATCTACTCCAAGCCTAGTTGCCTAGTATTGCCCGGGGAGAATGACGCACTCCATGCTTCTCGAAGGCGAGTGGACCGCAAACGTCGAATGACTTTGGTTCCGCGGGCCCGCGCGGCACGACCCCCGAACCTAATCTAAACGAACCTTGGAACTTGATCTAAATGTCATGGCCATGATATGGATGCTACTGTGTAATTCGGGTCTTTCGCATATCATGTCTGCTGCAACCATGCATGACGCCTCGAATGATTTGATTATGCGCGAATCCGATGCACTTGTCATACTTATCAGACATAGCCTTGGAACATTTCGAATAGTAATCTTGCCTCGCTGTTTGAGGTTGAGTCGTGAACGTATGCATGGTGTGACTCCAGATATGGATCCTTGACGTCAAGACAGCGCCGGAAAATTGTCAATTTGACCCTTGTATAGGGTTTGCTGCATCGCCTGTTCATGAGAATTCAACTTCTACATTTTTTGAAACTAGACACTGTGTGATATGCCCTTGATCCTTTAGGATGGCGTACGGCTTTTACTCCAGAGATCTCAACACGGATGCCCAACGCCAAATTCGACATACCTGCCATGGATTTGAGCAGCACTACTTCGTTCAGCTCCACCAACTTGGCCAAGTCATCGCGAAGATGCTGGTTACCTATTGCAATTCTGTATGTGCTTTGTGTATCTGATGAAGAAAATATTCTTTCATCGAGTATTCCTTGAGAACCATTGACTAATCAAATCTAGATCCCGTGCTTTGATGTCTACGAGAATTCCGCTGATCCGCAATCTATTCACCCAATAAATCAGCAAAGATTATTCAAACGAAGAAACAGAAAGGGGCCCCAATTATCCGATATAGACGGAGACGACGAAGGAGATGGCGACGAGGGGGGTGGAGATGAGGGCCCTGATCAGGAGGACATGGGAGGAGATGAAGACGGAGGCGGAGACGAAGGCCAAGGCCAAGACGAAGACCAGGGTGAAGACGAAGACCAGGGCGAAGACGAAGACCAAAACGAAGACCAGGGCGAAGACGAAAACCCAGACAAAGACCAGGGCGAGGACGAAGACCAAGGCGAAGACCAGGGCGAAGACGAAGATGAAAACCAAGAAGACGAAAACCAAGATGAAGATGAAGATGACAACCAAGACGAAGACGAAAACCCAGACGAAGACGAAAACCAGAGTGAAGACGAAGACGAAAACCAGAGTGAAGACGAAGACGAAGACCAAAACGAAGACCAGGGCGAGGACGAAAACCAAGAAGACGAAAACCAAGACGAAGATGAAGATGAAAACCAAGACGAAAATGACGAACAAGATGAACAAGACCAAGATGAGGATGGCGGCGGCTCTGGCAAAGAGGATCAAGATGAAGATAAGCAAAGTGACGAAGATGACCAAGACAGCTCAGGCGAAGAAGACCAAAATAGTCAAGACAACGAAGACGAATCCAATGCAGATGAAAGTGAAGGCAACCAGGATGAGGATCAAGATCAAGATCAAGAAGGCGAGGAAGAGGAGGAAGAGGAAGAAGAGCCTGAGGAAGAAGAGGAAGAAGGCGAGGGAGAAGGTGAGGAAGAGGAGCCTGAAGAAGAAGAAGGAGAAGAAGAAGAGCCTAGGGAAGACGAGGAAGAAGAAGGAGGAGAAGGAGAAGAAGAAGAAGAGTCTGAGGAGGAAGAGGAAGAAGGAGAAGAGGAAGAGGAGGAAGAGGAGGAAGAGGAGGAAGGTGAGGAAGAAGAAGAAGAAGAAGAAGAAGAAGAAGAAGAAGAAGAAGAAGAAGAAGAAGAGGAAGAGGATGGTAAGGATAATAATGAAGACCACAACTCTAAGTCAGGAGTAGGAGGAAAAGCTGCGATATCAAGTCCAGATAAAGAGAAAAAGAAGGTTAACGACGAGGATGAGAAGCCCAAGATTGACCTTTGGCATCTTAAAGAGGAAATGATGGAGGAGAAGAAGCCACAACCAAAGAGCGCATCTTAGTGTGTTCAAAGTTGAATTTGAGTTATACTAGTAATATTATTATTCCAGATGTCTTCATTTTTGAACTGCAGCCTCCTAGTAACACTAGAACTAGTAGTGATCAACCTGAACTATGTACCTGGACTAGTAGCTCGAGATGTCTGGAGTACAAGTCAAAATTATACCAGTACCTAGTACTAGTAGATGAGAGGCCAGTCCGGATGTCTTGAAGTTCCAACATTTGAAGTTTCACATAGAACATTCAATGTTGAAGACTCGGACTCGGAGTTCTTGCCTCAAAGTAAGACTCGCGATTATGTATACTATGTACTATTATCGATGCAGACGTGAACTTTCTTTTGGAAATCTGGAGATACAGTGTGCTTTAATTTGACTTTGTGTAACTTTGCTTTTCTTTAAGACAAAACGCACAGAGAAAAATAGACGAACATTTGGAGAGAACCTTGAACAACTTGGGATCAAGTCATGTCTGAAATAAACCCTGTTGAATCAAAAAAGAAAAAGAAAATCAAGCCAAAATAAAGAATTATACCTAATCCACCTGCTCATGACGCGGTCTAAAGGCGCGTCGTTTCTGTCTTCTGATTTATATGACCGCCACTACTACTAGTTTTGGGTATCTTGACATAGCCCTTGACGTTCATTGCATACCCCGTAATTGCAGTTGCTACTCCAGGCGCCTTTGCCGAGAGTAAACTATGCACGGTGCAAAAGGACTGAGGATCTGTCAGGGAATCTCCCACAAGTTGAATCGCGATCGACACCAGAGGCCCAACCATGGGGATAACGCCAGCACCCGTTGCTGCCAATCCAATCAAGGTCTTGATAGCCCATAGTTGATCAAACCCGTTTGTTTTGTAGGTAACATTGACTCCATGTTCATGGGACATGATCCACTCCCAATCAATCATCTTCCCGGGATTCATGATGCCCTCGTCCGGCCCGATCCTCTTTAGCTGGATACTCTCGCACGGGAAAAGCTTTATGAACTGGTACGGATCCGTATACTCCGGCTTGAGAAAATGATCTGGAATTGCAAGAACTGAGGCAATGACGAAAATATCTAGCCTGGCAGTCCACTTGGCATGTTCCAATCCCCAACCCATCCAGGAATCGGGCTTAAGCGTGATGGTTTTCCCAGAGTCCGTCTTCACTGTAACATCTCGTGCACGGAAGTTCAACCGAGAGTACACACAACAGGTGGTATACTTCGGATGAGCCAATTTCAGTTTTGGGATATAGATACCACGAATGGGATAGGTAAGGTCGATCCAGAGATAATCCCCTTTGGTAGTCGGATATGGAACTGGGACTAGAGCCACTCGTGTAGCCTCATCCTGAGGATAGAGAGTTGCATAATCGTGACCGCCATGAATCTGTTTATGTCCGGTGATTTTATCCGGAGATGGCCCCGTCATCACGGTTAAGTACTTGTAGCGCTCGTACCAAGACCGAACATCCGGATCCCAAGTCTGTTTCCCGGCTCTGGGATGAGAATCCGCCAGAGGCAAAGTGCTAATATGTTCTTTCTTTGTAACACCCGTATATCTTCCACCACCGGATACACGTACTTCCATTGCTTTGTTCTTCCAAACTGCATTTGTCGCGACCTCCAGAAAGATGGTACTATAGAATTGTTTGTCGTTGGTAGGGTCGAATCCCTTCATTTGTTGTAAGGTTTTATGCAGAAACCAGACATCGCCTTCGGGCGAAGAGCTCATCTTGAATGATTTGAAGATTCGGTTCAATACTTGAACTTGTGAAAGGTATAGTAAATCCAGAGGGGATGGAGGAGGGAGCTGCCAGTCCCCAGGTGCCGGGGGAGATCACATGTTATCTATCAGAAATAAAAGGCTGAAGACCGGGGAGGAGATTAGACTTCTTTATGACAGCATAATTTGAGAATTATTGCCGCCTGTATGTTGGGCCTGGAGGTGAATGTTGTAGAAAAAGTAGAGCATGTCATAGAGTGCCGGTGGCCAGGTGGCGGGTAGCAGTCAACAGGACCATGATACGACGCAGTATGATGATTCCATTAAACTTGAAGTCGTCGAAAGCGGATCACGAATGAATATCCTAATTGTGATATTCGACCTTGGGTTGCATATAACTTGAATTGATGGTTGACAAGGTTCTAGTAACATGACGTTGAGACTGACTTGTTGGTACCGCGGTTCGGCACCAACTTTAGTTCAAAATCTGAGTCCGAGTCATCCATCACTGGCAATTGATCAACATTATATAGTACATAAATAAAGACTAGGAAAACTGTCAACCGAGCGTGATTTTTTACTACTAGTAGTAGTAAATTTCCGCTGTTGACTACACACCTTGCATAAATCGAACCACAATGGCTAGCGGTCAGTTTCTGGAGATAGTTGAAATCAATCATTCTGAGATCTGACATACGAACTAGGCGCGCTCTGGGATAATGAGCACGGCCTGCATCTCACTGCTCTTGAAGGTGGAACAGGCAGTGTAACGCGCCTGCAAAATGGCGGGGCGACCCGGTTTACTTTCAAGAAGCCCTTCAAGCATATCCCGCATGTGCAGCTCACTATGGATCGTGGTGATAATACATCGGCACCATTCAAGAATTGTTTTATCTATCTCTTGAGCAACGGCGGGCCAGCCGTTGACCACGACGGATTTAGCGTGGGAATTTTTGCTCCAGTGGGATTCAACACAAAGTTCCGATACATGGCTATTGGTATCTCGGAGAGTACGACTACGAACACTCCCAAGCGAAAGACTCCACCCACCAAGACAGCCCCTCCTAAGAAGACTACTACGAAGACCCTGAAAGCCCCGGCAAATGATGAAGATGAAAATGACGAGGAAGAGGAAGAAGAGTGATGTGCAGCCTTGGAAGTTCCACGAGGTCAAAAATAATGTTACTAGCAAACCGGATCCTCACAATATTTTCAATTCGAAAGGAGGAATTCGCAAAAACAATATATCTATTCTGCCAGAGAGATATAGCTTATTCCAAGGTTGCGATACACAAAAAGTTGAAGTTGTATTAGTCAAGTTTGCGTGAACAGCGCTGGAGAGCAATTCTCACTTTTTGGCGCGGGGGAGAAATTCGGGATAATGGTCAATCCACATGTGCATGGATAATACTTGGAATGGAGGAGAAGGTATGAGACAAGATATATAGAAAACAGCATGTGCACACAAAGCTTCAAATGTTCAAGTTCTAGTAGTACTAGTTCAAATTGCATCAAAATCAGTTGTTCTCGATCACGCCCCAGGGCTTCAAATGTTTGCACTTTGGCTACTTCCAAGGTTGACTTGGTATGGCTTGTTTAGGTATCAAACATTTGAACTTATGAGGATCATCCCTTTCTACAGACAAATCAACAGTTACGGAACTGCCACACGTGCATCGAGTTTCTCTGCAGTGTTCGCAAACTGACACCCGATTAGGGTACTAAGGCCGGGATGTGGGTCATCGGTCGACTCGGAGATCGGGTATCCACGTAATCGATCTCCGAGGTTCAAATCTGCCACTTCTGATGCAGAACTTCCAAAACAAGTCATAGCAGGTGTAGAAATCATACACGATGCTGTTCCATCAGAAATGGGTCGGGGTTTTGTCCCTGTTGACCTCCCTTTCTGCCCCAGCTCTTGCCGATGTCGCGGAATTTGAAGACCTCCCGAATGCCAACCACATCTTCAATGCTATTCAGTCGACTCTGAGACACTGGGGATCCGGAATTAACAGCAATGGCATGTCGTTCTTCCTCGCGAGTGTACCAGAGGGAACACAGTTTTACCATGGCACTGGCGCCAAAGACCCCGTACAGGGCATCCAGTGGCTCGCTTTCAAGCCCGAGCACTCCCTGGGCTTCGCGCACCGCTCCGGCCAAAGGTCCTTCGCCAAAAGGGAAGCCTCAGTCAAACCGTCAGAACAACAACCCCTCGGCGATACACAGGAATCGATCGAACTACACGCAGGCGGATACCTCCACACCTATGCTGCCGCGCGGGATCTGCGTTTGCTATACATTGATGGAATGTCAGGAGGTCCTGGAGGTGGAGCGGAGTCTCAGGACCGAATCCTTTACAACGACACGATAAGCAGTGACCGCGGTCCTGGAAGCCCGAACATCGGTGGTCCACCACAGGAGTCGCAGCGGGCCGCGGAGGCTTGTCGCATGGCGAAGGAGGACTGGGGAGGCCGAATCGATGGAGTTGTTCGGACCGAAGGAGATTTCGAAATTATCATTTGTGAATTTGAGCGCGCTCTTGACCTGGTCTATATCACTCAGACAAAGCCTCAAGAGAGCTCCGGTGGTCCAGGTGGGCCTGGCGGACCCGGCCGTGGAAAGGGAGGGAAGGGAGGAAAGGGAGGACATGGGCCTCCAGGAGGACCTCGTCCAGGTGGAGATCTGAAGTCATTCACTGCTCGCTTTGATGAGCGTCTTGGCCAGAAGGTTCGACTTGATTTTGACCACTTCGTCACGGCCTATAGCTATGGACTTGACCTCTTCCCTGAGAATGCTTCCCGGCCGGAATTGGGACATATCCCGCTTGAAAAGTTGCACCCTATTCGACAAGATGTCACAAACTTGCTGAATACTTGGGACCCATCTCTCGATGCTTTTAACTGGCAGGCCATTGCAGATATGATTGTTTACCAGTACTCGGATGTGCTGCAAACTCTGGCGGCGGGTAATTTCTCGTCTTCCAAAGATCTCCGCGATAAAATTGAGACATTGTTGGAGCCATTTATTGACTACCGGGACTTCCAAGCCAGCGAGGTGATCATCAATCGTTGCGCCACGGAATGGATTCCCACTTCCGCTCCTAGCAATTCGCTCGGTGGTAAAGCTGTGCGATCCATCTCCCAGAGAGTGTGCTCTACCTTAACCTCGGCAATGATGAACAAGGACCAAGATCTGGAGACTGCTGCGGCTAGTTTCAAGGAGCTTATCTCTTACCTCCGGTGGACAACATGGTGGGTGAGTGACTCGGATAATGCCGTGTTTAGTCTTGACGTATAGATCGACGCTTTAATTAGTGACGCACTAATATCGATATACCAATTATAACCTTGGAACCTGCACTCAATTGGTTTGTCACAGAAAGCGTTTGATTTCTTCTACTGTTAATTCATTGGTGCCTAGCATCAATTGATGGTTCTCGGATAATGTCCCCCACATTCCGATGGAATTAAATTGCGGGGAGGCATACGTAAGCACTCAGTCCCTCCAGACCTCGCCCAGGTGGAGCCCTGACCTTGACCCCTCACACAATGAGGAGAGGGGCGTTGTGGCAGGGATTGGGATGCACTCTTGTCGGAATTATGAGCGAATCAGAAAGCCACGTTAGAAATCTTACAACCTGGGGAATTCGTCTATACGGTTAAATACTATAATCTGGAGCGGAGCGGCAATTCGATGTAGGTCCGGGGTCCTTCGGCTTCATGTTTACACTAACCATGGAAGTGATCTACATTACCTTCCAGTTTCTCATTAGTTTATTTATCCTCTGTTTTCTTTTTCCTCTTGGAACTCACCTGATCAACCTTAAGCTTATGGAACGGTTGGTCGAGATATTTCGACCACTGGTTTCTACTTAATTGCCACATGACCATTATGTACTAGCGTTTCCCCAGCTTCTCCACGCTTCGGCTTCGGCAGTTCTACGGGGGAAATTCTAAACTTCCCCTCTTCCTCCAACTCTCAACTTCTGTATATAACAATTTGAAGTCAATGAGTAATCATGTTTACTGATTCTCCTCCAACGACTGATCAGCAAGAGTCAAAGTCTCCTACAAAAGTCAAGGATGGCTATTTTCAATGTGGTTTCTGCAAACGCCACTACAATCGAGCAGATCATTTAATTCGTCATGTTCGATCACATACTCGAGAGAAACCATATGTTTGTGATGTCTGTGATAAAGGATTCGCGCGTCCGTGAGTTATCGCCTTCTTCGAATAGCATGATGTGATATTGAACCGAGAGGCAGGGATCTCTTAAAACGCCACGCAGCTGGGCATGCAAACGATCGGGATCGCAAGCGAAAAAGAAGCTCTTCGGTCGCAAAGCAGAGTCGAGTCTCACAAGCTTGTAAAACTTGTGCCTCTTCAAAGCTAAAATGCGACGAAGAGAAGCCCTGCAAAAGATGTCGAGAGAGGAATCTTCAATGTGACTGGCAGGATATCCCACAAGATTCCTCTCCCGAGCCGACCCAACAGAATGAACGAGAACCCCAAATAAACCGCCCGCCAGTTGACTTGGTATCCAAGGTGGCATTTTCACCAATGCCGACCCCTCTGGAAGATTTCCCACAGTCTAAAGCGATCTTAATGACTCCTCAAGGACCGCCACTGGATCCTTTGCTTTCTCCAGGGGTCCCCACAGGGGGTGAGCGACATTCGATTGATTATGGTGGTAAGAACAAACATTCCTACATGCTAGCCGATCACGCTAATGGATAGCAGTCTCACCTACAGATCAGGAAAGTGGAATTTTCAGTGTCGACGGCACCTTTTTTCCGAATTTTATCCCCGACTCGTTAATTTCCTCCCTTGGTCGATATAACGACCCGTTCGACCCGTCTAGTTTTATTGCAGAATTCACACCGTACGGAGCGCTGGAAAATCCTGCCCTGGATTTCAGTTTGACCGATGGCGACTTTGGTCTGATCGACTTATATAACTCCGGCAGTCTGATGCCAGGCTATGAAAACGAACAAGATCGCTTCGATGTTGACAGTGGGATCGGGATTGGGGCTGAGGCTTATCATCGATCTTCATTGTCTGCATGGAAACCCCTACAGGAAGACCGAGCGTTTGCCGACCACGAAAACCTGTCTATCCCCCAAGCGATGGATAGTCCCGAGGTCGCTACTGAGCGACAAATATTAAGTGATCGTTTGTCGGCGAGTAGCCGGGATTTGATTTTTGGCCTGGTTCTTGAGATCAGTCGAGAAGCCAACCTGCATCGAATTATGAAGTCCTTTCCAAGTACCGAGCTACTGGACGGGCTCATTCAACAATTCTTCGAGAACCAAAGTCAGAGTGTTGTTTCCTTCATCCATGGACCAACTTTTCATCCAAATAGTGAACACCCAAGTATCCTTGCTGGGCTGGCTGCAGCAGGTGCGGTGCGTTCACACATTCCCACTATCAGAAAGCTTGGCTATGCTTTGTTGGAGATTGTGCGGATGTATATGCCGATCAAGGTATGTTGTATCCGAGTCATTTATCGGCTTACCCACATGCTTACATATTCGTAGTATGAAAGTGATAATAGTTCCACGCGAGATCTCCGTACATCACAGACTTATGCCTTAAATATTGAGATTGGTGTCTGGAGTGGCAACAGGCGAAAGACTGAAATCGCAGAAAGCTTTTCTCAGCCATTGATTACAATGCTCCGTCGAGGCTTGCGGTTCCGTCGATCAATGTACTCCAATATTATCCCTCTACCCGAGGATAATGATGAAGTTTTAGAGCGCAAATGGCGTGAGTGGATTGAGCAAGAGTCTTTCAAGAGGTATGAATAATTGAATGCAATGATTCGAATTGGAACATTGACTCACACACTACAGGCTCGTGTATCACATATTTGTGCATGATTCCCAGACTGCAATTGCTCTGAACGTGAACCCCTTGATATCATACGCCGATCTGGAATTGCCATTGCCATCGGCCCGCTCACTGTGGGAGGCAAAAACTGCCAAAGAATGGAAACAGCTATACGGTGTTATGACCCCCGAGCGAGTCCCATCACTATCAGACCTTCTTCGCGACATGTCTCAATTATCCCTATTACAGGATCGAATCGACACCCAATTTTCTACACTGGCTCTTCTGAACGGTCTCTCCGCCCTGATCAACGAATACCATCGCCTTAAATTCATTTCAACTAATTCTAAGCATTGGCACGCCCTTGTGACCAGCTCCCGTCAGCAAGAACTCGATCAAGCCCTGCAGCATTTCCGAATGGTGTGCTCTGAGTTGCATATTCCCCCTCGTCCTGAAATTGTTTTAGTCTGTGAGGCAGTGTCTATGCTACTCCATATGTCCCTGGAAGAACTACAACTTTTTGCCGGAAAGGAAGATAAACAAGAAGCACGTCGCGTCTACAATTCCGCCCTTGAATGGATCTCAAGTACAGATTCAAGGCGAGCAATTTGGCACGCAGGCCAGATTATCCGCGCAGCTCGACGAATGGCACCTGGCTCTTTGACAGGGTTCTTGGCTATTGGTGTGTTCTACGCAAGCTTGGCTTTTTGGTCATATGGTGTGGTGTCCAGAGCGAAGAGTACCCGACTCACCGGTAGTCCTGCATCCCAATCATCTGTTCAGGGTCCGATCGTGCTCCTGGACGGTGAAGAGGTTGCTGAAGTCTCCAAGTTTGTGACTCTTGGCTGTGGTCGACCGGCCCTAGAAGGACCAAATGGGCCTGTGTTCTTGTCAGATACTAGCTTGACTATGCAGGTTGCACAGAGAGCTCTTCACGCCGATACCTCGGATAGCACGCCGCCACTATCCCAGAGCTTGAGCCAACTCATGGCCGATCTCGCACACTGTGTCCGAAGTTCTTAATTGAATATGATTGATGTATATTATGAAACCCCAATATGATACCCAACTGTAATAGGAATCTGATTGTATTTGCTTACTGTGCTCAATCTCTAATGGATACTACTAGTAAGGCGAAAGTAGCACACAATTTTGCGTATCTCAGTGCTTCAAGGTGAAACTTGAATGAGCCTGGCGACTCTGAACATTTGAAGAAGCATTTTGATTGGTCTTACAACGGGGTTTAGATGGATTATAGTCGCCCATTTGGTAAGATACATTGATCAGTGCCAGTGTACATTTAGAAATTTGAAACAGGTATCCAATATTTAGCTATCATCTGAGCACGAAGGTTGGAAAGTCAGTGTATCAAGCCATAAGTTAACCAGGTCCTGAATTTGACCATCAGACTTCTCAATTTCTGGTTTCTCATCAAGCGGTCCATCGGGGTTCAAGTCGCTGTTATTTTCCCATATCTCTTTAATCCATGTATCATGATAGATTTCCTCGACCGGCAGATACTCCCCGTTTATGAAAAGCCAGTGAAATATATCCGATGTAGCCCCCCCTGGAGGCTTCTTGAACGGTGTAATCAAGCTCTTTCTCCAGGAATCCCGTGGAGTTACCCTCAGTAGAAAGAGCGCAGGGAGCTTCAGCTTTGAACTTGGGGTGCTCTGTTATGAGCCCATGGTCCTTAATTACTGTACCATCTTCAAGCTCCTAGTTCCATTGATCTCATTGATATTCGTGTCGACGGCATGTCAGATGCGAGTTGACTCGAAGTGCACAGCTCTTGACTAGGGATGTTCCACAGGGTGCCCAAGGTGTAAATGGTCGACGTCTGAAAGCCAGATCATCCATTTCATCGGTAGGTAAGTGAAGCAAGCGCCACACATCTTGTCTTTGCATATATTCAGAGTTTTTACACGTACATGGACCTGAGCCAGGGATATCCATGAAGCTCTGAGGAGTACCAGTCCAGGCGAATCCATTTGGATCCAAGGAGGCGATCCACCTCTGAGCCCACGAAGAATCTTTGGACCCAGTCCACTAATGACCGCTCCAATCCACAGTGCACTGACACTCGGTCTGCGGATTGCGCACATCAAACCCAGAATTTCTTGACCTCGCCCTGATTCGATTGGAGAACCCCCAAGAACTTCATCAAGGACTGGATGTAGCCATGGAGTAACCAGATTGCAGGGAACCCCAGGCTCCCACAATGAGCCACAGAAAGTCGACATCATCAAGTCTGGGTTGCAGCTCAAATTTAAATAATATGGCAGCTCATCGAATATTCTTGACCAGAACGGTGGCATAGGTTCAACAGAAGAAGCTGGCTTAGTTCCAGATACTGTCTTTGTGATTGGAAGGCGAGCGGTCGAACTGTAATGTCCATGCATTGTAATAGTCAAAGCTGTTGCGAGTGCAATAGGAAATTGACTGCCCAACTTATATAAATGAGCGAATTGAGCAAGTGCTTCAAAAGCGCGTCTCAATCCATATGATTCGCATTTTATGGAGAATGACTCGGACTTGGATGTTTGGCATCGCCGCCTGATAGACCATGGCGCGATGATATCCCGACGTTGACGGGCCACAAAAGCCTCCCAGCCTTCTCCAGGAGCAAGTATTGCGGCCCACCACCGAGCACCATCATCATCAACCTTTCCAATGTCTATGGTAATGGTGCTTTTGTCTGGAAAATACTGCATTGAGTGATCACCACTTTCACTGGCAGCCTTGGCCGAGGTATATCGCATAAAAGCACCTTCACCCCGTAGTTCAACAAGATGTGCAGAAAGGATGTAGCACCAGCCAAGAGTGAGGACACTCAAATATTTCAAGTCATGGAAGGTTTCCTCTTTAGTGCCAGGCCAAGAGCTAAAAACATCTCCATCAAGCCTTACTGGCACAGGTTCAGCGAGACCGAGTTGTAGCAGGGCGTACCGTGATGCTGCTTTTTGCAGTCCATCGCAAGTCGTTTCTTTAGACACTTTCCAAGTGCTAGACGCTTCGAAGAAGTGACTGTATATTGGAGAAAATTCAGAAGGTCAGTATGACACCGTCTTGGGTCGTGCATGGAACTTTGGGGTTTTTCGAAGTCCATGGTGACGATCTATGTCATCGGGAGCAGGTCCATTAGCTCTTTGAACATGAGCTAAAGATGCCAAGTTGAACCAGTATTTGCGACTTATTTTCAGAGCTTTTTCAATTTCTTCTTTGGTAGGCTCAGCGGCATCTTTCTCAACAACCTGTCATCTGTGATTAGTGGTTATTTATGGTATGGGGCAACAAGACCAACCGAGAATAGCTGTGGAGGGTGGGGATAATGGCAACTCATTACTATTTTGATGAATTCTCCACCTTAGATCAGGATCGGGAATGAAAATTAGTCAGTCCAGAAACGACTAGATGTAAATAGCGGAGGGCCTTTCAGGTAGGAAAAATTCTCTTTCCCTTGCGTCGGGGTCGGAATAATTGACATGCATGCACAGTTGACCGCCCCAATTGGACTGGCAATGAGGTTTCTCATCTTATATCATACATGAGCATGTAGGCAAAACCTCGAGGAATATCTGAGGCAATTGAAAATTTCAGCTCCTTGAATTTCACTGATTATTATCTTTTCCCAAGGAATATCATATAGATCCATATGTACAGTCATAGTCAACTGGTAATTTCATTTATTCGCGGAGGTTTCAGACGGAAGTAGAGATCTCATATCATTAAATCTGGTGGAGCTTCAGCTCTCCGTGGTACAGTATAGCTATTAAAATACTACATAATATAACATTGATATCAGGGCAAAGGTTTTGATGGAGTGCCAGTGAGGAATTGACTGAGAATTTTACTCGTGGACAGAAATCCGAGTCATCCGTTTATTAAAATAACAAAAAAGACGCACTTTTAACTGCCTTCCAGCAATGTGCCATTGTTACCATCTGGTGTAATGATGAATATTAAAATAAGCACCTCGATCTTGCTCTTATAAACATTTGGAGATGCAAATAAATTGAACATCTCCACTTAGACATGGGGAAGATGTTAAGGGAATACTACCCACCAAGTGGCCATCTACCAGTAAGTCCTGGTGATCAATTCGTATAATCAGTCCCAGTCCTCGGAACCGACCAAAGAAATGAATTCATTGTCCAAATTTGATACAGTGAAGCAACTCGGGCTGTAGAATACTGAATATCCTCCACATCCCGAGAGGTGCGTGTCCACGAATCGGACATCTATGCGGGGTCAAAGTTGATCGGTATCGGCGCCGATTCCGATACAATGAAGCTTTGAAGTTCATGGTAAATCGCGTCTTAACTTTAGTATAAGATCAGGTATAGGCAACGGGTTGAGGTTTCAGTCAAGATCAATAATCAAATCAGTTCATCAGAATTCAACAGTTCAAAATGGTTGCTAAGCTCAAGCAAAGAAACAACGCCAGCGTCGGCTCAGCAGCGACAGTTGATACAACTGCAGTTGTGCGGGGAGTGATCAGCGACATCCGCGCAAAGGGTGACCAGGCTGTTCGAAGCTACTCGGAGAAGTTCGACAAATGGAGTCCTGCCAGCTTCAAGCTGTCACAGGAGGAGATTCAGCAGATCATCTCAACTGTTCCACAACAAATCATCGATGATATCAAGCAAGTCCAGGAGAATGTCCGTACATTTGCCTTGGCGCAGAGAACTTCGATCAAGGACTTTGAGTTGGAGATTCGCCCGGGTGTGCATCTGGGCCAGAAGAATGTCCCCATCAACTCCGTCGGCGCGTATGTGATGTGATCTCTATCCTGCAGTTGACTTGTACTAACATTGGAATCAACACAGATACATCCCCGGTGGACGCTACCCCCTGTTAGCCTCAGCTCATATGACCATTCTTACCGCAAAATGCGCCGGTGTCCCCCACGTTACTGCCTGCACACCTCCGATTGCTGGAAAGATCCCTGCCAACACCATTGCTGCTATGTACCTGGCCGGAGCAGACGATATCTATGTTTTGGGCGGAGTTCAGGCTGTCGCGTCCATGGCCATTGGAACCGAGACCATGAAAAAAGTGGATTTCATTGCTGGGCCAGGCAATGCGTTCGTCGCAGAGGCCAAGCGACAGCTCTTCGGCGTGGAGATCGGCATCGATCTACCGGCCGGACCAACAGAGATCCTGATTGTCGGTGATGAACATGCAGACCCATTCATTCTGGCCACCGATCTGCTATCACAAGCCGAGCACGGGCCCGATTCGCCAGCTGTTCTCATCACCAATTCCAAGGCAGTCGGTGAGAAGACTATTGAGGAGGTTGACCGTCTTCTCAAAATCCTCCCTACTGCGGACATCGCCAGTGTTTCATGGGATCGTCTCGGTGAAGTCGTTCTCGTGGAGAACTTGGACGAGGCTTACAAGGTGGCGGACGAATACGCATACGAGCATGTGCAAATTTTGACCCAAAACCCCCGTGAGGCTTTGGAAAAGATGTCCAATTATGGAGCCTTATTCCTGGGTGAAAAGACTTGTGTATCATACGGTGATAAGTGCATTGGAACCAATCATGTTCTCCCCACTCGTGGTGCAGCTAGATACACTGGCGGTCTGTGGGTTGGTAAGTACTTGAAGACTGTGACCTATCAAGAGGTCACTTCGGCGCAGGAGTCTGGCGAGCTCGGTCTTCTTTGCGGAAGATCTGCACGAGCGGAGAATTTCGAAGGTCATGCCCGTTCAGGAGATGCTCGCGCTCATCAATATTTGGGTGAGAAGTTTGATTGGATCTAACAAGCTTATCAGAACTTGAAGCTCAAATTTTTTTCATATTCTTAAATGTACACCTGGGCATGTCTTTGTTTGAATTATGAGATAAAACCCCCTTCGAATAATACATGTCAACATTCAATTTTACCTAAATATTATCACGATCTACTAATTCTAGCATTTAACAGCTTCGGATACTATTTTCCGTTAGATTAAGAATTTTTCGCTGGATCTAATCCACTGACCCACTTATTGCTTCCCAAAGATTCAAGAATGACCCACGTTGGGTGCCAGTGGCGGTAATGTATAAGCTTTTCGCACTGAGATTTGAGAAAAAAATAAATTCTGAAAGATCATTTTCCGACTCATATCATAAATACTGGGTGTTTCCAAAATTGCTCCTGATCGGGTTGTTTTCATCCGAGTTATACTTGGTGGCGAGTTGCAACTATGGAATCCAAACCCGAAGAGACCAAGACGGTCTACACTCAGTACGATGATCTTGGTTCAACAGCTGCCAACTCAAGAGTTAACTCGACATCCTCACTATCACCAAGTGCGGACTCTACCAGAAGAAATTCTGTGGAAACATGCCAACAGTCTCAAGATGTGGATTTACACACCGTCCCCACGAGGACCACGACCAGGCCTCGTGGAAACTCGCACATGGGTGAAGCACTGGAGCATCTATCTCGGACTATGTCGGGCATGCCAGAACAGCCAGCCGAAACTCATCTTGATTTGAACAATGTTCAGTCCCGTCGAAGCGAGAAAAGCGTTTGCCACTCAATTAAGCATATGCCTGGTCTCGAGGAAGAAGGAGGTTTACATGCAGCAAAGTATCAAGGTGTGCCTCCTGAGTTCAAGAACCTCACTGAAGAGATGATCTTCGTCGGGGTATGCTCTGCTGGATTGATGTTTTTTGCTTTCTTGCTCGGCGATATCACGGTTAATCAAGAAAAGCTGCGAGCAAAATTAAACATCAGTAACAGCGAGTTACCATGGCTTTTGGGTGCTTATAATCTTCCACTCAGTTTGTCGGTCATCATAGCAGGATCGCTGAGTGATCTTACACCCCCAAAAATGATCATGGTGGGTGCCTTTGCTTGGTTGACAATTTGGAATGTCGTTGGTGTTTGGTCGATATCCCCATCACGGGTTATTCTTTTCTACATTGTGAGAGCCATGCAAGGTCTCTCTATCGGCGTACTTGTATCCGCATCAATGAGTCTGCTTGGGCGAATTTATACACCCGGCCTGCGGAAGAACAGAGTATTCTCTGCTATGTCTGCCACCTCGCCTTTTGGATTCTGGCTCGGTGGTATTCAGGGTGGAGCTTTCGAGTCTTGTCTTTACTGGATTTTCGCCTCTAACGCCATAATTGCTGGACTTTGCCTGGTTGCTGCTTATATGGTCATTCCACCACTTAGACCAATGGCCGATGTTGCAGGAACCGAAGCGCCATCAATTCTGGATTTTGATTACCTAGGAGCTGGATGTGCTGTCACTGGCTGTGTTTGCCTGCTCTTTGGTCTCACACAAGGTGCAGTCGTGCAGTGGTCTCCATACACATATGCCCTTGTGATAGTCGGCATTCTGTTATTGATCGGGTTCTTCTTCGTCGAACGATGGGTAGCGCGTCCCTTGATCCCGAATCGACTCTGGAAGACCAAAGGTTTTACTCCTCTCATGATTGCATACTTCCTCGGATACGGTGCGTTTTCAGGCTGCTGGCAATTCTACGCTGTGCAATTCTGGCTCAGAATTCAAGAGCACAGTCCACTCACCTCAGCGCTGTTCTTGCTCCCAAACGCCATTGTTGGCGTGTTAGCCACCTGGGTAGTAAGCAGAACTCTGCATATCGTTCCTGGTCATTACATCTACTTCGCTGCAATGCTTGCCTTTTCTCTGGGTCCTGCTTTCTTCCTGCCCCAGACCTCTGGAACAACGTACTGGGCCCTATCCTTTCCCGGAGTTGCGCTCGTGACCTTTGGTCCTGATCTATCGTTCGCCGCGGCATCTATTTATATCACTAGCAATGTGCGTCGATCATACCAGGGAAGCGCTGGAAGTTTATTAGTGACCATGCAAAACCTCTCAACTGCTGTTATGACCGCTGTGGGGGATGCGATTGGTACAAAGGTGGATAACACTGGTGGAGAGATTGGGTTGGAAGGGCTTCGGGCTGTTTGGTGGTTTGCTCTAGCAGCGGAAGTTGTCGCAGCTCTCATCACCTTGATTTGGGTGAGAATTCCAAAGGAGGAAGAGAAGGAGCATGTGACCGAAATTGAGGGTTGAGTTGGTGATGTTGCTGAAGGATTAAAAAATGTTAGACGGTTAGACGATTAGATGGTTAGATGGGATAGTATAGAATGGCTTACGAGTAATGGATAATTGATAATGTTTGCTTCTACTCAGTACTAAATGCCGCATTGTGTTCACTCACAATATTTCAATTTTGAAGTCAACCTCTAATAGCACTTGAGTATAGAGTGTTAACTTTTGAAGTAGTTGCTTGATAGAGGAATAATTTTGTGCATTTATCTGTCAGTATGAGGAGGCTACGAAATAGTCATCCATGGATGACACTGTATTGACGAGTATTTGAATATTTGATCATTGCTTCAATGCTTCTAAATGTATCGAAAGATCAACTTTTCGCCACGTTTTGCTCGCCAAGCATTGGTAGAATTCATCAACTCCGGACAACCTCTCACAACCCATTGCCACCTCTTCAAGAAGTCCTCCGTAATTTCCCAGTTACTAGCATCCCACGGATCCCCCCAAACCAAGAGTCCTGCTTCTGGCGAAGTCGCGTTGGTCCAAAATCCCATGATATCAAGACAAAGTTTCTCATCGTCCCACTCATCCCCGGCCTCAATAAGATTATCTCGCATTTTCGGAATAGGAAAGAAATCCAGCCAGGGATGATGAGGCACCGTGCTCTGCAGCTTAGTTGGCCTAAGACTGACGGGTAGGTTGATGTTCTCGCCAGGAGATAAACCCTCTGGCGGTGCAGGTAACGCTTTATTGAATATTGAAATTGCGTTGTCGTCCATGTGATTCATATCACTGCCTATTAATCGCATATTATGCCCGAATGCACGGAAGACATTGACTTTGGTCAGCATGAGAAGATGGTCGGATGTAGGCGAGCCAAGTATATAGCTTTGGTATGCTGCTTGGGCAAATTTATCGAGAAGTTCCCGTGATTCGGGCCTCATGCAGCCGAAGACACTCATTTCTTGACTCAGGTCCAATTCACCCGCAGCGGGAGATGGCGGGTTTTTGTTAGCTGGAACCACGCTCTTGGGGTGAACATCTCTGTGGACTTCTTTTTCTTTTTTCTGCATTCGTTGACGCTTCCCTATGATATGTCAGCACCATGTCACATTTGTCACATTTGGCACTTTTGAACGCGCCGGAGAGCTTACGGTAGGCCCTTTGGTTAATTCTGTTTTGGCGTCGCCGGCGTTCGGCTGGGTCAGTCAGTCCCGCCCAATCGTCGGTATTCATATCTTCATCATTGGAGATCGGCTCAGCGATCTTGTTTTGTGGAGAGGTCATCGTATTAGTGTAACGAGCTAGGGCGTCGGCAGTCTGAAGAAGGGAAGAACAAGTTGGATGTGGACGTGCCTTTATGCGAGTCACTGACGACAGCGATTGAATTGGATCGACCAATTATATTGTGTAAATTGATGATTTTGGTGGAGACAGTCGGATTTAGCACGTTATCCGCGTGTATTGTCATTACGATTTATTACGAGTACGGCAACTGGTGAATTTATCCATGTAGTTGGGACGACTTCTCTATAACTATGATCAGACATGGAATATTGAGATTCCTCAATGGACATCCCGATATATGGATAATATGTGGCTTGAATCTCCCAGGCTCATGACAATCCCCATTCCGCCATCACGAATCGCGTGCCGGAGTACTTTCTGGATTTTCCCACTCACTCTTATTGAAACTCGACATATGCAAAGTCAGCAGGAGTCAGGCATTGTTGGCGCTCGCCATATGCATAGAGGCCAAGCATCATGCCTGTGAACGGTGCGCCTACAGGAGGTGCTTTTGTAGCGATACTATTTTCCACTTTGCCAATCCAGTTAATCTCAGCTTGAGGATTATCAGCTTCGCGATATCCAAATGAATAGTGGTCGCCACAATCAATCACGAGCACAATTTCCGATGTCAATGATATGATTCTTTCCACCGACGTGCCTTCTGATGGCTGAAATCTAATGAGACGCTGCTCGCCGTTTTTTCGTATTCCAAGAGTGCTATGTGTGAAATAGTTCCACCAGAGCACTATCCCTGCCTCGGTGTGTTCAGAGGTTGGTTGAAACGAGAGCTTTGTCTCCCACATACAAGATTTGTGGATTTGCTTTCGCAAAAAGAGTGTTGGACAAGCAGGCACAGAGAGATTATAAGGTCCACCATAAAGTCGGAGATAGCCAGGACGCTCAGCCAGTGAGAAATCGATTGTGAGTGGCGTATCTGCGCGCGTCAGTAGTGCTCATAAGTTGGGCTTGGTGACTTACTTTTCCTATACCACCCTAGCTTCAGGCTCGGTGAAGTAAAATCATCTCTCCAAGTGACCGGCACAGTGTGCATATACAAGCCAGGCCCTTGTGGGACTAGAGAGATCTTCTCGCCTCCATTGATCACAGGCCATTCATTCTCCCATTTTAATCGAGCGAGAAATGTTTCACGGCCTGGAATGAACGCTTAGCTCGAAATTCGTTTTAATTCTTCTCTCATATGTACCTAGCACGGATTCATCCTGTCCTTGAGGGCGAACTCCCAGCAGCACTGCCCACCAATTCCCAGAATCATCTTCAACCAGGTCCGCGTGACCAGTGTTTTGCACTTCGTCTCTCGGTCCATTTCGCCAAAGAGGGTTGTTCGGCCCCAATTCCCAAGGACCAAATGGGCCATGAGAGCGTGACACCCACTCACAGTGCCCTTCTTCGGTGCCGCCCTCTGCAGTGAACAAGTAGTAGTATTGACCTCGTTTAAATATGTGGGAGCCTTCAGCAACTCCAGAAGATGATTCGCGAATTAACCTTGGCTCTGATGTAGAGCGGCCGGTCGTGAGATCAACAGTGCATATGTGGACCGCGAAGTCCTTCAGCTTGACACTCGGTGTTGGTTGGAGTTTTCGGTATGTGGATGAAAGATAAACAGTTCCATCTTCGTCCCAAAATAACTGTCTAGCATTAGTCCGAACCTTCAAGTGCATGGATCCTACTTCCAACTTACATCCTGATCAAATCCAACTTGATCAAAGTAAACTGGGTCCGACCAGGAGATCTCGTCCCAGATATTGCTAGTCTTCACATAGAATCCTCGAGGCCAGACTCGGTCATCTACCTGGGGACGATATCTGGAAAAACTGGCCGCTGTGATATAGAAGACCCCATCGTGGAACCTTATCGTAGCCGCCCACACACCTCCTCCAGGCTCTGGAGTTTGTATTTGAAGTTGACTTGGTCTTGTCAGTGCATGACCAATCAATTTCCAATCAATCAAGTCTCGACTATGATAGATCGGGATGCCAGGAAAGTACTCGAAGCTGGAAGTGATCAGGAAGAATTGTCCGTCGACTTGGACAATCGATGGGTCCGGGTTGAAGCCTGGTATTATTGGGTTATTGAAGGAGTTCATGGTGTGTTAATGAGAACTCGAACTGCGTCAACTAGAAAGAGAGAATGTAAATAGCAATCTGAAGAGGTCATGTTGGCCTGATAATTTGATTGGTGGATAAATAGTAGCGGCTAATAGGATAATACTAGTAGTGCTGGAGAATTTGAAGAATTTGAAGAATCGCGGATGGCACTTGGGGAGTCTGAACTGATCGATACCAAACTACCGTTAGGTCTCAGATCATTGGAGCTGACTTGAATTCTCCAGATCTTAAGCTACTACTACTCCCAGCCTGGTGCATCAATCACTCTTAGACTAAATAATGTTCACCTTGAACACTAATTTTGCAGAATGCAACCCCTCCTCAATTAAGCCCATTCTCCAAAAAAACACATGATAGCTCTACTAAAAAAGGATTTTTGCCCATTGTTCTGAACTAAATCCCTTCTCGAATGAGGTCATTTCGGGTGTTTCCGTCATATTTACACGGCTACTGATGAGGTCCTCTGGCCTAAGGGCGTTGTTTGAGACACATTTTCAATATTCCGTTATACTTGAAGGGGATATCCTGCTAGAATTGAACTACTAGTTGAATATGTTCCAATGCTATTAACTTTTGGTCTGATCTAGAACATACATGTTGTTCCTAGTTTGTGCCGAAGATCTCCCGAGCGCTCGTTCATATACCGGAAGTGGCAACCCGGAACGCTCTCCGACAGCTTGGCACACCTCCTCATCGAAAACGGCCAGTGGCGGTTGGGCCTCGTGTTTGTGGGGTTGACTCACAACCTGATCTGAACAAATTGATCGTCGTCAGTGAGAGAAGAGCCTACTAGTAACAAATTCCATGTTATATGTTCAGCACTCTGGAGTGCCAGGGCAGGAATTCGAATCTATCTCCAATATTCAAGTTCACAACTTAAAACACTCGGAAGCACAATGTCAACAACGTGTGAAGTATTGACACACGAACAGACCCGTGATATTGAGCATTTCACTCTTGAGGCGCTACCAAGAGAGCATGTTGGACAGGACTTGAGCGAATCATCAGAAACATTTCCTGCGCTCGAAAAATGGAATTCTTCTCGACTCAATATTTATCGCTCATTGGCGACATTCTGGAGCTTTCTAGTGATGGGTGCGAATGATGCTGCATATGGCGTGAGTGCTTCAGAATCTGGTGGGGTTTGGATGACATCTAACAGCTGTTTAGGCATTGATTCCATATGTATGATCACATTCCACCACGCATTCATTTTCAACTACTTACAATCACTAGCTTGAATCTTACTATAACCTCAGCTACACAGTTGTGTCACTGGTCTTTCTTTCGCCTTTAGTGGGCTACACACTCGCCGCATTTCTAAACCAGCGTATCCACCTTGCCCTTGGCCGCCGTGGGCCTGCATTGATTGGACCGATCTGTCATCTCATTGCTTATATTGTCAACTGTGTTCATCCACCATATCCTGTTCTTGTTGTCTCGTTTATATTTGCCGGGTTCGGCAATGGCGTGCAGGATGCCGCCTGGAATGCATGGATAGGTAATATGGCCAATGCTAATGAGGTTCTCGGTGTCCTACATGGGCTTTATGGAGTTGGTGCGGTTATAAGCCCTCTGGTGGCAACTTCATTGATCACAAAAGCAAATGTGGAATGGTATTATTTTTACTATATGATGGTAGGTCTCCCCGATATGATTGATGAACTGAGACTGATTCTATAGGTGGGATGCGCATTTGTTGAGCTCATTGTCCTTGGAAGCTGTTTCTGGACTTCGACTGGAGCTGCATTTCGCGCTGCCAATGCAAGTTCTCAAGGCAAGAAAGGTGGATTGAGAAATGCACTATGGCACCGACCTTCTGCGCGAGTTACCTGGCTCTGCTCCCTGTTTCTGCTTGGCTATGTCGGCGTAGAAGTCGCCCTTGGTGGATGGATTGTCGAGTTTATGTTGAATGTGAGACATGGAGCAGCTTTTGCGAGTGGTATGACAGAGACTGGCTTTTGGCTGGGGATTACCGTGGGTCGACTGGTGTTAGGTTTCTTGACTCCAAGACTTGGTGAGAAGTTAGCAATCGCGGTAAAAATCTCTCATATGTTCGTCAAGTTCTCAATATGAAGCTAACAGAAAATACAGGGGTATATTCTATGCTCGATCGCTTGTGGGCTTATCTTATGGCTTGTACCTGAATTTTATGCTTCCGCGGTAGCCGTATCTTTCCAAGGCTTCTTTTTGGGGCCATTGTTCCCTGGTGCGGTTGTGATGGTGACAAAGCTTTTACCTCAGCACCTCCATGTCAGCTCAATAGGATTTGCTGCAGCGTTTGGAGGATCGGGCGCCGCTATTCTTCCATTTGCTGTTGGCGCGCTGGCACAAGCCAAAGGCGTGGGTGTACTGCAACCGTTTATCATTGCTCTGTCTGGTGCAATTTTCCTAGCATGGCTAGGACTACCGCGGACCGTTAAGCAGAATGTGCAATGAGATGAGCTACTCAGGCGACGATGGCCCACGTGGATGTGTTTCACATGTGAATCGTGATGTCTTATCAGATCAGATCCCTGGCCATGTGCTCCGAACTCTATTCCAACTGCGAATAGCGGTTACACAAAGCGAATCTGACACTGGACACAGAGACTGATAATGAATGGAGGTTAAAATAATTCAGCATGATAAATAGTGATCCAGGTCATCTTGTAGTGATCACTAATCTTGAATTTGAATTTATGCAACTGCTCAGGATAAGATAAGATCGAGATCCCGCACTATTGAACCGAATTAAATTAGTATGGCAAAAATAGCGTCAACTGGAGTCTGCAATTACTGTGGTCATGAGCCGAGGCATCGTGAGTCGGAGTACCCCGACTCGTACCCCGACTCGTACCCCGATTTCGGTGATGCAATAAGGTGACCCCGGACTCCCCGGCACCCACTCGGCTTCCCCACAAAAACATCCCTGAAGGGCAAAAATGAAGAAAATAGCGATTGAAGGGATGAGGACTTCATATGCGAAATTAGGCTACATGCACATTCATTTTGTAGTAACTAGAACCTCATAAAGTGTACTATGAGATGCTTAGAATCGGCCACTATCGGTGGACTTCGGCCGGCAAAAGCCGTTCTAATTGGCCACGTTGTGCCGAGGCACTTACTGCATTGGGGCTCCCCGGCCTCGGTCAGCTTTCGCGCGACGGCACAGTTATAACCACCTCCGTATCTCTTACTTTGCTTCATTCAATCTCATCCATATCTGATTTTATCTCTATACATACCCATCATGCCATCCCCTCCACCGGACTGGGTCAAGGCCTTGAAGCCATCTGAACCGCAGGGCTCCGACCTCCTAGCTCAAGAGCGCGCCCAATCGAACGTCAATGTGGAGAAGCTGTCTGAATTTCTCCACACCAAGGCAGCGCTCGAGAGACAGGATAAGATGCTTTCTCTCCTGCAGCCAGATAAGATTTTCGACAAGTCTCAAAACCACTCACTCGGTCGTGTTGAACGCCTGAAGCGATCCTTGGCCAAGGCCAAGCGCCTGCAACTGCTGGCTGAACAGGAAAAATGGAGCATTGAGGAGTTTCACATTGCAAATGATCTCATTGGTGAACCTACACCATACGGATTGCACGCCAGTATGTTCCTGGTACGTATCCGAGATGAATCTGCAAGGCGGGACACTACTGACACCCACTCTTCCTAGGTGACCCTCCGCGAACAAAGTACTCCTGAGCAATACAAGCTATTCTTCGAACGTGCCCAGAAATACGAGATTATCGGTTGTTATGCGCAGACCGAACTCGGCCACGGTTCCAACGTCCGTGGTCTTGAGACCACCGCCACCTGGAACCCCGACGATAAGACTTTCACAATCAACTCCCCCGCTCTCACAGCCTCCAAATGGTGGATTGGATCATTGGGTCGCACGGCCAACCATGCAGTTGTTATGGCACAGCTATTTGTCGGTGGGAAGAACTACGGCCCTCATCCATTTGTGGTGCAAATCCGTGACCTCCAGACTCATCAGCCACTGGAGAATGTCTATGTGGGCGATATTGGACCCAAGTTCGGATATAATACCATGGATAACGGTTTCCTTTTGTTTAACAAGCTGAAGATTCCCCACGTTAACATGTTGGCCCGTTTCTCCTGCGTTGACAAGGAAACCAACAAATATGTCCGCCCTGCCCTGCCATCTTTGGTCTATGGTACTATGACTTGGGTCAGATCCAATATTGTTCTTCAAGCTGGAGGCGTTTTGGCTCGTGGTGTCACTATTGCAGTCCGTTACACTGCTGTGAGAAGGCAATTCCAAGACCGCGATGCGGATCCTCACTCCGGGGGAAAGCCAAGTGCTCAATTACAAGACAGTGCAGATCAGGCTGCTTCCTCTTCTCGCTTCTATGTACGCTTTGCATTTCACCGGAAGAGGTAATTATTTCCCGAGCTCACTTTTATGTGAATTGATTGGCTAATATAATTTCTAGGTATGATGGCTTTGTACGAGGATAACCAGTCTCGCATGAAGGGGACCGCCACCCCTGGCCAATCCTCTCGTGGAGCTGGCCCCGAAGAACTAAGGGCGGGCGCAGAGCTGCTGGCTGATTTGCACGCTACCTCCTGTGGATTGAAGGCACTGGCCAGTACAACTGCAGGAGAGGGTCTCGAGGTGTGCCGACGCGCATGTGGTGGACACGGTTACAGCTCATACTCTGGAATCGGGCCGTTCTACTCGGATTATCTTCCTACCCTTACATGGGAAGGAGATAACGTCATGCTCAGCCAACAGGTGGCTCGCTATTTACTGAAGTCCGCTCGTGCTGTGCTTTCTGGTAAGGCTGCCGACAACGATACCAGCCACATCTTGCGAAACTACATCAACCGTCGCGATAAGGGTGCTTCCTTCGACATCCTGGAGGAAGACGCCGACATCGTTGCTGCCTTCGCATGGAGAACTGCTCACCAAACCTTCGAAGCACTGAAGCACCGTGATGCCGAGAAGAGATCTTGGAACTCATTGCTCGTGGACTTCTGGAGACTTTCCACAGCGCACTCACAGTACCTTGTTGTCAAAAACTTTTATGATGCAATCTCTTCTCCTGCAATGGCTTCCTCTTTGGACGAGGAAACTAAGTCTCTGATGCACTCTCTTTTCCGTTTATACGCTCTCCACACCCTGGAGCGTGAGGCGGCCGAGTTTTTCTCCTCGGGAGCTGTCACCGTCCGTCAAATCACACTGACCCGCACCAAGGCCGTGATGAAGTTGATGGACGAGATTCGCCCCCATGCTGTGCGCCTGGTGGACTCCTGGGCTATTCCGGACTGGCAGCTGGATAGCAGTCTGGGTCGTTACGATGGTAAGGTCTACGAAGATCTCTTCCGTCGGGCGAGCCAAGAGAACCCGGTCAATGACCTAGTATTCGATCCATACCCCTGGAATAAGGCTATTCTGAAGGATGAACCACCCAAGAGCAAGCTGTAGTTTGCCCATTCCACTTATTCCTTCTTTGTGACATAATTATGTGTTTTGTTCAGACCTCGGATGATAGATTAGAGATAAAGCCAATCTATAGAACCTGATATCGATAAATGGTACCGAGTACATACCAGATTTCAAAATCACCACTGGCAATAAACTGCCTTATGGAATCCGTATATAGTGCACATAAAATTAATACTATGCTGTAAAAATACAGAAATGCCCTAAAAGATACAAAAACATGGGCTATGTAGTCAAAAAGAGAGGGGGGAAGCAAAAAGAAATGGTCCCAGAGGGGGTCGAACCCTCGACTTTGGCGTTATTAGCACCACACTCTAACCAACTGAGTTATGGAACCTTGATATATGAGATGAAATTTTTTGTCATATGAAGCAAACATTTTATATCGGACAAAAAGAGTTTAGACAAAAGAAAATTCCGACCAAGGCCAAAAAATGGACCCTAACCCTCGACTTCGGCTTTATTAGCACATCACTCTAACCAACTGGGTTATAAAACCTGTGAAATCAGGTGATCTAGGATTCTAATACATTCACGAGGTGCCATTATACTTTGTAGATAGAGAGACTAACTGTTAGTCTAGTAGATCTTCAAATGTTCAATGGACCTGGTCATTCTCCATCTCTCCTTCAAGTTTATTCTATTTTTTTGTCCAACCCCACTTCCGTCAACTGGTGACACTTCAAGTTATTGTTGTTATCACCTGGCACATTCCAACATTGAATGCTGTGTATGCAGGTGGCTTCTTCAAGTTGATGTAAAATTCAAGTTGAACAGTACTGCATTTATTACATATGTACTAGGTACATACTACGTACCTACCAATACTACCGGGCGCTGGCAACTTGAACTTGAAGTCCGCTCCGGCACCCGGTGGAACTTGAATATATACATATGTCAACTAACACTCCATGGCTGAGTATCGCCGTCACACTGTGGGCCCAGACACCAACTTCCTTGGAACTAGGCAGTACTTTCGGTTCAAATGATGGAAATGTTTGAAGATTTTCAAATGTTGATGATAAGAAAAATCTTGCCATTATTTCACATAACGCCCGGGCGGATGAAAGGAGATTTTCTCTTAAGATTATACATAATTTAATTCCCTATAATACCTCCAGGGCTTCCCAAGGTTGAGTACAGACTTATGGCCGGCGGTACCTCAGTGGTCGCTTTACTACATAGTAGTCGTATGAGGCTATATCTTACTATGTACCTAGGTACTATGTAGTATTCGAACATTGATTGAATGGATGTTGAATGTGCTATTCAAATGTTGTGATGAGTGTCGGATCCTAGTACTAGGAGGTCAATGGCACTGGCAACCATCAATTTTCCAGTCAAATTACAGCTGACAGCTGGTGAAAAAAAATTTCAATGAGAACATTTGAATCCTTTCGTAGCTGGAGGGATGGATTCTGTCTTGCAATAATTATTCTAGAGTATTTGCAGGTCTACTGAAAGAAATTTTTTCAATGCCTTGAAAATTTTCAGAGATCGGAGCTGAACATTCGAGAGAGTTGATACCCACCTGAGCAACTATATGTGAATTCAAAATTGGAATTGCTCGGGTCATGCCACTCCAGCGCTCATGAATGGAGTGATATTCTCCTGCATATCTCATCATTGATTCGATGAGACAGCCCCTATGCACCGCCCATCGATCCTTCGCGGAATCAGGCTACGAAATTTCCAATTATCAAGACATGTCTACCTGCGACTCTCGCACAGATCATAACAAAAGCAGTAATAGCCCGGTGGTCTCAGTAATTAACCGAATATCATTATATATTGACAAAAGTCACAATACTAGTTGATTTCAAATCTTATTTACTGTGTGATGATTTTTGAAGGTAAGCGTTATCTGTAATATCAAAGGGCTCTGACTAACATTCATATCACGATTGTGGCATCATGCGGTCATGGTCTCAGATGAAAGGGAATACTTGAATCTGCAACTTGAATAATGTAACTCCAAGCTATTACTCGAGGGCACATTCCTGGGCATGTGGGTCGAATTACCTGTAGGCCCACATACGGGTATCTCCGAACAGTTTTGTCAATTTCCAGGACACCTGAAACTTGGAATATACATAAATAATATCAATCCCATCAGAGACTTCCAGCGAAGGAAAATCACAGCTCCTATTCTTCATATCACCGTCTACGCGAATTCGCGGTGCCGAGAGCATGACGTCGGCATGCCGATCATTTATCCAAAGCGGGCCGGCGTTGTATCAGCAACTTGGGAGGGGTCAAAGTCAAGGGCTCCCGTGCTAGGACCTCATTTACAGCCAAAGACTAACCGATGCAGGGAATTTGTATGTAAAAAAACTTAAACCCGAGTGGATAATATCCGGATAATTCTGATTCTAGTCGGTTAAAAGAATTTTCTCCTCAATTTACCCTGACAATATCCACTCTTCAACCCAATGAACTGACGTGCCTCTCCAGAATTTCCCCGGGAACCCCATCCCCTGAACTTCTCCGCATCATCGTAGATGATCCCTTCCTGATCCCGAATCAACCCCGGTCGTGAATCGTGCCATCCCGCTGCACTACTGCCATTTCTGGCGTAGTAACACCTTGATTCTCAGCCACCCGGATCATGGCGCACAATCTATGGACCCTGTTTTAACCAACATATAAAGCTGTAGGTCTTGCTTTTGGGTTATGTAGAGATTTTTGATCTCAATATCGCAATCATGTATCGGGTCTCAAACATATACGTGCTTGCTGCGTTTGGAACCATCGGAGGTGGCCTTTTTGGCTTCGATGTTAGCTCAATGAGTGCTTGGATAGGTGTGAAAGCCTATAAAGACTACTTTGGGAATCCTGATTCTAATTTGCAAGGCGGCGTGAGTTACAATTCAATGTCCATTCTGATTCATCAGGACAATACTAATCTCCATCTAGATTACGGCATCCATGTCAGCTGGCTCTTTCGCAGGGTCAATTCTAGCTGGCTGGTTATGTGATTATATCGGTCGTCGACGCTCCTTGATGGTAGCTTCATGGATATGGATCATCGGAGCTATGGTTCAATGCAGTGCGCAGAATGTGACGCACCTAGTAGCTGGTCGTGTTGTCAGTGGTTTAGCGGTTGGCATAACCTCGTCACAAACACCAGTCTACATGTCAGAGCTCGCACCTGCACGCATTCGCGGACGCATAGTCGGCGTTCAACAATGGTCCATTGAGTGGGGAATGCTTATCATGTATCTCATAGCCTACGGCTGTGCAGTTGGCATATCGGGACCATCGGCGTTCCGGATCTGCTGGGGCATCCAAGCTGTTCCAGGCCTGGTCTTGTTCATCGCTCTTTTCTTCTTTCCTGAGTCACCGCGTTGGCTAGCTAGTAAAGAGCGATGGGAAGAGGCGCTGGATACCCTAGCTCTTCTGCATGGCAAAGGCAGTCGGAATGACCCAGTTGTGCAAATGGAATTCGAGGAAGTACAAGAGGCTGCCCGTGTTGCTCACCAGGCCAAAGATGTTTCGTTCCTGGCATTGTTTGGACCTCGAATCTGGAAACGCACACTCTGTGGAGTCAGCTGTCAGGTCTGGCAGCAGCTCTTGGGAGGCAATGTTGCTATGTACTACGTGGTTTACATTTTTGAGATGGCTGGAATGACCGGGAACTCATCTCTCTACTCTGCCGTCATCCAATATGTCATTTTTGTTTTCACGACTGGTATCATGCTTCCAATTATCGACCGAGTTGGCCGAAGAGAACTTCTTTTAATAGGATCCGTTACCTGCATGGCTGTTCACGCTATCATTGCCGCCGTGATGGCAACCAAAGGACATGCTGTCTCCGAAGTGAACGGCAATTCGAATTTGACTTGGGAGATTAAGGGTAACGCTGGTAAAGCTGTGATCGCGTTCTCATATATTTTTACTGCTATCTACGGCTTTACTTGGGCTCCTACCGCCTGGATCTACGCTGCTGAAGTCTTTCCCTTGAAGTACCGTGCCAAAGGAGTTGGTCTGTCGGCTTCAGGAAATTGGATATTCAATTTTGCGCTGGCATACTTTGTTTCACCCGCCTTTCACAATATTCAATGGAAGACGTATGTCATCTTCGCAGTATTTTGCTTCGTCATGACATTTCACGTCTTCTTCCTGTATCCTGAAACAGCAGGACGCTCTTTGGAGGAAATTGATATGGTCTTTGACTCGAATGTCAAGCCATGGCGGACCGGACTCGTCAAGGATACCTTTGAGGATCAGATCGAAAGGCACAAGGGTTCCGGTAAGGATGTTGGAGGGGTCGATCATCAAGAGGTGGTTTAATACAGAGTGATCTAGTGAATGTAAGCAAACCTAGAGATACATCGCCATAATGATAGCATAGCACAGCCTTTTTGTCACACTTCTTTTCAACAATTTCACTTGAACTTCTGACTCGGGACTGATCCGTACCGGAGCCGAGAATGTAGACATCGGTAGTAACATTGGACTATCCGGGTACACGGCACCCTCTAGAAACTAGATGCCGATGGAATAGTAAACCGGAGGATATTATTTGCCGTGAATCGAAGTGTCAGGTGTGGCACAATCAGTTTGAGTGAGGTACATACCAATACAGTAAACTGCCCGCAATAAAGCAAGTACCGATTTCGGGATTGGTTCCGGACCCCGGGATTCATCCCGGCAGTACTGATACAACACTTGCACTATTTAATAACCATTCCCCACGGGGAAATATCAAAGTGCACAGACAAAACTTAAATTGCAATGGAAAAATTCGACGTGATTATTTGTGGCAGCGGCTCTGCTGGCTTGTCAGCTGCTCTATGGCTTGCGAGGCACGGCATTCGATCCAAGATCCTGGAGCGCCGGGATGGTCCGATGAAGATGGGTCAAGCAGATGGTGTGCAATGTCGCACAGTTGAAATCTTCGAGAGCTTCGGTGTCAGTGAGGAGCTACTTCGCGAGGCGTATCATGTGCTTGAAGTCAGCTTTTGGGCAGATGATGGCACTGGCGCTATCAAGCGAACTGGCAGGACTGCTGATACGGCACCTGGGTTATCTCATCAGCCTCATGTTATTCTGAACCAGGCGCGGATAAATGGGTTGCTTATTGAGTTGATGCAAAAGTATAATGATCAGAAGATTGATTATGGGTACAACGTTGTCGATCTGCACATCGATAGTGCTTCGCCCAGTGATTTGGATGCGTATCCTATCACCGTATCGGCGGAAAGGGACGGAAAGATCGAGAAGTTTGCCGCGAAGTATGTGTTGGTAAGTTGTTCCTTTCTCTAACAAATGTGACCCGGATCTTTCTAACGAAAAATAAAAGGGCGCTGATGGTGCGCATAGCACGATCCGGAAAACTCTTGATTTCAAGATGGAAGGTGATAGTACCGATTCAGTTTGGGGCGTCATGGATATGATTCCTCGTACAAATTTCCCGGATTTCCGCAAGAAATCGACTATTCGTTCCAAAGCAGGAAATATCTTGATCATTCCCCGAGAGGGTGATAACAGAAACCTGACCCGATTTTATATTGAAATCGGGCAAGGGACAAACGCCAAAGATGTGACATTGGAGGATCTCCAAAACCGTGCAAAAAGCATTCTTCAACTATATGAGATTGAATTCGTTGAGACAGTTTGGTGGTCTGCATACTCAATCGGTCAGCGCCATGCAGACTTCTTTCACAAGGACTATCGAGTATTTTTGGCTGGGGATGCATGCCATACACACTCCCCAAAAGCTGGACAAGGGATGAATGTTAGTTTCCAGGATGGTTATAACATTGGATGGAAGCTTGGAGAGGTGCTTACTGGTCTGGCGAGTCCCTCCATACTTGAGACATATGTACTGGAGCGAAGGAAGACTGCTATCGATTTGATCAACTTTGATCGCTACTTCTCCAAGCTGTTCTCCTCTGGAAACACCACTCCAGCTGAGTTTCAGGATGGATTTATTCAGTCAGGCAAGTATACAGCCGGACTGACAGCGAAGTATAACCTTTCGTCAATCACTGCCTCGGAGTCACAGCTGGCATCGAATATCACGGTGGGAATGCGACTTCCGAGCGCACATGTCGTCCGTTATTGTGATTCAAAGCCACTGCAGCTAATGTCAAGGCTGACATCTGATGGCCGCTGGCGAATTCTCATTTTTGCTGGTGATCTCTCAGTTGGAGAGAACCGGGCCAAACTTGATACAGTGAGTACACCATAAGTGACAGTTAACGATGACACTACACTATTAGTATGCTAATACTAGTATTTACTAGATTGGGAAGTACCTCACATCGGAAGATGGCCCAATCCGCACTTACACACCTTCCTCAGACGATTTTGATAGTCTCATGGAGTTGATTATTGTTGGTCATGGAAATCGGCATGATGTTGAGCTCGAACAGATCCCAGAATGCTTCTATCCAGTGACAGGCAAGAACCAGACCCGAGGTATTTTTTTCCTTTCCCGAAGAGCGAATACATGCTTGCCCATTAAAACTGTCGTACTAACAACTAAGACTTACACAAAATCTATTACGACGATGAGAGCTATAACAAGGGGCATGGCCATGCATACGAGTTTCTCGGAATTAACCCGAAAGAAGGGGCTCTGGTGGTGGTCCGACCTGATCAATGTGAGTCACCTGCTTATTCACTCACGAATACTAGTACTGATCGAGTCTACAGATGTGTCTGCTGTTCTGAACCTGCGTGAATACGAGGAAGTTGGCAAATTCTTCGGAGGATTTCTTTTATCTCAGCGCTGAGTATGTACCTGTACCCAGGTGGTCCATGAATAAAGCTCTAGCTAACATAGTATACAGGAGGTATCAAACCAGTTCTAGGTAGAATATATTGTAAATAGATCACTTGTACATTGCGTGATGATGTTTTACTAGTAGATAAGAATTCGTATTAAAATTTGATCTGGTGATACTACCGAGCAGATGCGACGTCAGTGGCTTCCGCTCATGCCAGTGCTCCCATGCTCCTGCACAACATTGCCCAGCGTATATCTAGATCTATGTTTGTACGAGAGCAGCATAGTTAGAGTGAATATGTCAAAATTGGAATAGAAATTATGTGAAATAAATAGAATACCTACTATAGCGGATAAGTATAAAACTGAAAGTTGGCAATCCATGGAAGAATCAATGACGTGATGTCACACGGCACCTGGGTAGCTTCCAAGGTTTGGTATTAAACCTCAACTTCCCCCTCTCTTCAAATTTATTCGTTCTTCCTCTGACGAATTCGCTTCTCTTTTCAAACACTCTAAAATCTACACAATGTCTTACGCCGACGCTGCTGCTAAGGGTCCCAAGCAGACCCCCGAGGAGGTAATTACCGAATACTACATGTGATTTCCCGAACTCAGCTAACAACTCAATAGGCGTAAGTCGGGTTTGAGTCATATGCGAAAAGACCATCTTTACTAACGATTATAGTCGCGCCCCCAAAGTTGGCGGCATCTACAAGGACGAGTCCGAAAGCACCGCCTCGTTGATCGATGTCGACTCCCCGCACGTTAACATCGTGGACTCCGATTTCCCGGAGAAGGATATCCAGACCACCACCCAAGCCGAGCGCATAGAGCGTGAGGCTGCTGAAGCTGAGCAGCGCCGAGTTCGCGAGGCTGCTGGGAAGAAGGCCAAGGCTAAGGGCAAGGGTGTGGGTGCCAACGCGAGCAACCCTGTCTACATCACCAATGCAGTTATCGGCGCTCTGGTCGGAGCTGGTCTCGGATTCGGTGCCTACCGCAAGCATGCAGAGGGCAAGCTGTCCTGGGAGCTTGTCGGTCTTGTATCTGGTGCTGTTGGCACATTTGCCGTAGCAGACTGGTTCGTGAGCAAGTAAGCAGCCAACAACAGCAACCTATTGCTACGGGTCATTTGCTAACCCGATTGTTCTAGGTGGTTCTTGCAAAACAAGTACCCTCTCAAATAGAGGCTCCATGATTTGACTCCTTGCTGAATTATTGTTTAATAATATACCATCCCTGCTCTTCAGATGTGCATTCTGTATGGAGGAGTTTCAAGGTTGCGCTGTACCAGTATAGCCTCAATGATAATTGATTTTATTATGTTTATTTGATCGGTAGACCCAGTATAAATGATTTATAGCAGTATTTGAGTAACAAGTACACATGTGGAGCCTGTAATTGTGTAGTTGCTCAGGCTGAAGAATCCAGACGTTTCAATTCAGTGCCTGAAGGCGGTCAGTGGTGGAAACATGTGGCTTCTACGTGGAGCTTCACCATGTTGTTTTCTCTTTGCTAAGAGACGTTAATTTATTCTGGTGCCTCTGAGCAAAGCAGCTCTTATTAATTACACCTTTCTTGAAAATATCAAAATATCCTGAATCCGACAAGGTCTCTGCACATCATGGTATGTACCTCCCATACATTCTACTATGGCACCCGCTCATACAGATAGAACTCGCTCTTCAACTCTGCTCTGAAGCAGTCTTCAGCCATTCGCCGTGATTTAGATACATTTGCACAATCACCAGCTACCTCCTCAGCCGCTTTACAAGGTATGTGCGTCAGCTAAACCAGTTGAATGCGACTGACTGTTCTGCAGGCCAAATTGCGGCATCATTAGCCTCTCTATCTCGCACAGTCGATGATTACTCCGCTCTATCAAAGAAAGAATTGATCCCAGAAAAACAACAAAAGGCGTTTGACCGGGTGAACAACTTTCGGAGTGAACTTACAGACTACCGGGCGCAATTCGAAAGACTGCGCAAGGAGCGCGAAGAAGCAGTAAGTACCAGCTGTCCTTCAATTGAATTTCTAGCTAACTCTCTAGCAATCATCAAACAACCGTAGTGAGCTCCTCGGTCGCCGACCACACCATGCCGCCACACCTGAGAACCCATATGCACAGCCCAACCTCCCTCAAGCCTCTTCCGCCTTTGCGCCCTCCGGTCTGAGCTTTGGTGGTGGACCTGGCGACCAAACACGAGAAAGCCATGCGCTTCGCGAACAATCCTTCTTCTCCAATACCAATACTCAGCTAGACGATTTCCTAGACCGTGGTCGCGCGGTACTAGCGGATCTTGGACAGCAGCGGGAAGTCTTAAAGGGCACACAGCGCCGATTATATAGTGTTGCCAACACATTGGGTGTTAGTGGAGACACCATCCGCATGGTTGAGAGACGAGCTCGACAGGATAAATGGATCTTCTGGGGAGGAGTGGTGATTTTCTTTTTGTTTTGTTGGCTAGTACTGCACTTTTTGCGTTAAATTATACCATTCTTCTTGTAGCTTTAGCGATAGCGTTGGGAACAAATTTAATTCATCAATTGATCATAAAAAATAAATACATCCATAATGTACCTCTCTTTCCATTACGATTTTGCCCGGTCGGCCGACCATCGGGACGTCGGAACAAAGTGGAGACCCTCACCGGCCACCCCAAACTCTTCTCCTTCATTTCTCCTTCTTTCTTCATCCATCCATCACAGACATAATGTTTGCCCGTCGTACCTTCAACCTCTTCCAGAAGCGCGCCTTCTCCGCTTCGGCCAGCCAGGTTTGTAAATAAATCTTTATTATTGATTGCGAATACTGACTCAAAATTCATAGGCCTCCAAGGTCGCCGTTCTCGGTGCCGGCGGTGGTATCGGTCAGCCTCTGTCCCTGCTGCTGAAGCTCAACCCCCGTGTTACTGAGCTCGCTCTGTACGATATCCGTGGTGGACCCGGTAAGAATACCTCAATTTAGCTCAATTGATCCATTTACTGACTTGTTTCTTATTGTTTAGGTGTCGCCGCTGATCTGAGCCACATCAACACTGACAGCACCGTTACTGGCTACAACCCCGATGCTGCTGGTCTTGAGAGCGCTCTTAAGGATGCTGAGATTGTCCTCATCCCCGCTGGTGTTCCCCGTAAGCCCGGCATGACCCGTGACGACCTCTTCAACACCAACGCCTCCATTGTCCGCGACCTCGCCAAGGCCGCTGCTAAGGCTTCCCCCAATGCCAACATCCTGGTCATTGCCAACCCTGTATGTCAAACCAGAGTGAAATCAAAACAAGAGCTCTACTAACCTTTTTAGGTCAACTCCACCGTCCCCATTGTCTCTGAGGTGTTCAAGGCCGCTGGTGTCTACAACCCCAAGCGTCTCTTCGGTGTCACCACCCTGGACGTTGTCCGTGCATCTCGCTTCATCTCCGAGGTCCAGACCACCAACCCTGCCGGCGAGAAGGTCCCCGTTATCGGTGGTCACTCCGGTGTTACCATCGTTCCCCTCCTCTCTCAGTCCGCCCACCCCTCCATTGCCGGTGAGGCTCGCGATGCTCTCGTGAACCGCATCCAGTTCGGTGGTGACGAGGTCGTCAAGGCCAAGGACGGTGCTGGTTCCGCCACCCTCTCCATGGCTATGGCCGGTGCCCGCTTCGCTGAGTCTCTGCTCCGCGCTGCCCAGGGCGAGAAGGGTGTCATTGAGCCCACCTTTGTCGACTCCCCTCTGTTCAAGGAGCAGGGTGTTGACTTCTTCGCCTCCAAGGTTGAGCTTGGCCCCAACGGTGTTGAGGCCATCCACCCCGTTGGTGAGATCAACGAGTACGAGCAGAAGCTCCTCGATGCCTGCCTGGTTGACCTGAAGAAGAACATCCAGAAGGGTGTTGAGTTCGTTAAGGCTAATCCTTAAATGTATCCCGACTGTATTTCTAGAGCAATATAATATATTGACTCATTCTACCCTGAAGATTAATGTGGAGATGCTATCATGAACCCCAATACATTATTCTGAATTTTCCACTTCACAATCATTAGCTGTAAGCTGTAAGTTATTTGCCTAGGTGTCATGTAGTAAACTTGGCACATTAGATCCCTGTAATGCGATGTAGAATTTGGTGAAGCCCACGCAGTTTCTGGTCATATTTTGCAACATTTGAATAATGTGAAATGAGGTTTTCAGGGATCAACATAGAAATTGTTCAATTTGGACGTAGTGTGAATGCTAGAATACTGTTGGGAAAGAAGAGCCCGTTTGTTGGCCCTTTAATTATGGGTCGACCTAGGAGAGAAGCTAACATTTGGCATGACCTAGAACTGATCGAGATAACTCACTTTACTCAGGCTATAATGTTCATCTGGGTAATCAATGCTGTGTTATTGTATTACATCTTACAACATTTAAGAAAAAGCTGATAATAGTTAATTTCTAAATTACCCCGAGCTCCATAGCTACACCGAATGTATTCGCCAATCTTGATTCTCCCATTGCAAAGCCAACTATGTGTAACTTCTCATTGCATCGAGATAACCAGAACCTCCCTTCAAATCCATATCGAAGTTCTCAGCTACCTCAAGGACGCGTTTGATATGATCCATAGACAGTGGCTCATGTTCGTTCACAGCCAGCGCTTGAGCCGTGCGCACGGAGTTCTTGATCTACATACTGTTAGTGTTGGTCAAGTAAATAAGAAGAAAGAGACCCACCTGTCGACCGTTGAGAGTGTGTCGTGATAGAGTGTTGTAGTCCTCTTCAGAGAATTCAGCTACCTTCACACCTTCAATGGCGCGCACTCTCTCCAGGAACATCTTCCAAATGCTACGCTTCGCCTTAGTAGCCAGGTCACCGTAGCGAAGAGCAACATGGATACGAGACTGGAAGGCATCATCGAAAGTTTCAACACGGTTGGTGGTTAAGAAGAGAATGCCTTGGAAGTACTCGAGCAACCGAAGGAAAATGCTAACCAGGGCATTTCGGTGGATATCGTGAATCGAACGCTTCTCCAAGAAGATATCTGCTTCATCGAGAAGAAGAACAGCACCCCAACTGTGCGCAATGTCCAAGATTTTTGTAAGCTCTCCTTCCAGTGTTCGGGAATCAGTACCCAACTCGCCAGCGCTGACCATGTATAGCGGACGACGGAGCAGCTCCGCGATTCCTTCTGCTGTGAGTGTCTTACCCGTTCCTGGTGGACCATGGAGTACAGCAACCAGGCCGCGACCTTTGCCTTGAATCACATCATCCAGGTTCTGCGCAGCATGATATGTGTGTGACTCGACCAAAGCCTTCACGATGGACTTCTGGTTGGCTGGCAAGACAAGGGAATCAAAGGCATCCTTGTCCCATTCGATATCACTGATACCAGAGATTGAAAGTTCCAACCAGAGCTTTTCGGAGAAGGCAAAGCCAAGTACAACTGGCGAGGCAATAAGAAGTTGGTCCTCAGTAAACTCTCTATCCAGAACACCACCTTCGATGCGATCCAAGTTCTCTTTCTGGATCTCTTGGCCATCCTCGTCAACTTCAACCTGCACAACACGAAGCGTGCCATCATCACCCTCGATAACCTTGTACAGTTTTCGAGGAGTGTCAGCTTGACTACCAGAGTCTGAATCTGAATCCGATGCACAGCAGCCACAATCACTCTCAGCATCCTCAGCATCGCTGCCTCGGTCGGAGAGATCCAGGAGATCTGGGTCTTTAGGCCGAACAGTACTGATGGGGTAATTAGGATTGATGCGTCGATGAATCGCAGGATCAATCATAACCCGACTTTCAATGTTCACCTTGATGACCGAGCGCTTCTTCTTGTAGAATGCCATTCCCTTGTGGAAGCGGTAGTTCATTCCACGGAGTGCAACGAACCGCTTTCCTCGTTCGACAAGACGCTCGCGCAGGGCATCAGCATCACGGTGATATTGCAGAGGGAAGCAGCTCAAGCTCGTGATCTTCCTCGCGCCCTTGAAGGACTCGACTTCGGCTGACATGGTACCAAAGCCGAAATCCTTCCCATCATACTCCAGGTAGCGACCTTCAATGCTGTACCATTGTCCTTTGATGAAAGATGACTCTTTGATGGCATATTCCACCTTGAAGGCGCGTGGCTCATCGGTGTTTCCGTAGGTAGGAGTATATGCGATGGTGTTTGGCTTGAACAGGGCCCACAAGAGATCGAAGGTAATGGTGTTTGCCTCTAACAGAGGATACAAAGTCTTCTTTGTGTCTGCATAGTCTGTGTCAAGGTACTTGATCAGAACCTTAAGGTGGGCAGCTTTGGTAGCAGCCGCCTTGCGGTTCTTCTTCTTTTTGTCATTGCGCGACTGACGCTTGAGGGTTTTCATGTATTGTCTCATCTCTTCCAAGTAGAGGAAGAGCATATTTGGATCAATAGTGGCCGGAGACTCGACCATGCTTACTCCTTTGACACCCTCCATGACTTTGCCCAAACTCTCTCGAAGAGCCTTACTCTTAAGATCGACAACCGTCTCCAGGTATTTGTTTTCCCACGAGAACCTTCTCCGAACGGTAAAAACGAATTGGTCAAACTCGTGCGCGTCATGATCCTCGGCAGATTCTTTGAGTTGGTATTTATGAACGGTATTGTCCCACACTGCCTTGTATTAGCTTGGGATACGTGTGGATGTATCGTGACAGTCCCTGGAATTATAACTTACGTTGATCAACTCGCTTGAACGCAGCCTTAGAGCCAGGCTTCTTTTTCTTCATTCGCTTTTGTCGCAGTGCCTCGGCAATAGGATCAGCGACAGTTCCCGTCTGGTCGCTTTGTTTGCGTAGGCGTTTGCGTTTCTTGACTGCGAGTTGTGCCACCAGCTTTCGCAGCAACTTCTCATCTACCTCTTCATCCTCGGTGGCTGACTCCTCTTCTGACTCACTTGATTCCTCAGAATCAGACACACTCACGGCAGCCTTCATCCGCTGCTTGCGCTTCTTTCTCTTCCTGTCTTTTAGAGCCCGCTTAGCCCGAGCCTTTGCTCGTCGATTCCGCTTACGGCGACCCGAGTCTGACTCCGAGTCATCTGAATCAGAATCATCATCTTCACTGTCCGATTCTGAGTCTGTAGAATCTGAGTCTGATGAACTCTCCTCAGTTTCTGGCTTCTTAGTTCGTTTCTTTTTCTTGCGGGTAGCGTCCGTTTTGGGTAGCTCTGATGCGGGTACGGCAGTTGTACCAGCATCCTTCACTTCCTTCACCGCTACTTCATTAGGCTGCACTGAACCATTTGCATTCTTAGTATCAGTAGGTTCAGCATCATGTTTGGTATCGGCATTCTCAGTGGGCTCCGTCATAGTGGAGAACTGGAGCTTCTGTGGAGAAAGAGAGTGTGGGGTAGCTTAGAGCCTGGGAATAATGTAAATGGCCACCTGGGCAAGGTTGGGAAGAAATAAACTTAAGGTAACTGGATTATCGAAAGTATCAAAAGTATCAGAAATATCAGGGAAGAGCATAGGAGAAAAAGAATTCTGGGAAGAAAAAAAAGAAAAGAAAAAGAAAAGAGAAGGTGAGACAGACGGGATTTAAGTCAAGGCTGATGCAAAGAGCCATCACAAATGCAGGCAAAAATAACCCCCAAAATATATCATGAAAACCAATCAGAAGAGCCCACGAATGTGACTGCGTTGGCATCCTGTTAATCCCTGCGAATCCGCTAGGCGCCTCACAAAACGCTGCGGCTCCGCCTTGATTGCTCGTCACACCTGGTGTTGACGTGGAACAGGGTTCGTGATTCATACTCTACTCAACACTCGATCGACGAGAATCCGTGCTTCTAAGGCTTAGCCCGCATATAGCCTTACCTAGGTACTATTGCAGACGGAGTATTATGTATGACTCACTCTGATCACATCCACGGCGCTTCCATCATGGCTCTTAATGCCGATCCCATTCCAAGGTTCCTTTGTTCCTACTACGAAGTAGCCCGACTATGCATTTTCGACAAGAGTCAGAAATAAAATTTGGCAGGGCTTAAATGTAAGCAGAATTCAAATTCAAACAGATTGAAACCAACGGAGTCAAAGTTAGTCTGGTTTGAAATCGAGTCCAGCCCCTGTGGAGGCCTCGGATCGGACGGCTCCACTAAGGATCGATTGGCTGATACAGCAGGTCAGAGTGAGGCTGTTCAACGAATCTGGAATACATTAATGCATAGGATTAGGCAGAATAGGCAGATAAACTCAATGTATACTCGGTGTAGAATAGTAATAGTAGAAGAAATAAAATTATTTCATCGTAATCTTCAGTATTCTAGTGCTACGTTGGTACCTGGATGAAGTATCTATTCTCTTCAGCTCTACGGAATATTACGATTCAACTTGAACCACTCTCCTGTCAGTGGTGACGACTTATTGCTATCCCGAACGACAGAATATAGCTTCAAGTTCCATCTCACGCATCCAAATCTTTCAAGTTCTTCGGCACCTGAGCCACGAGCGAGAAAGCCAAGGGCGCCAAGGATCAACATTGCCCCAAGGCAACTTTGATAAATATTTCCTCCGACCGAAAGATCTTCTGAGAATGCCCAAAGGCAATAGATAAATGGGTTCAAGATGGTAAGGATGCTGAAGTCAAAAATGATAATGATGATGATGATGATGATGATGACGATAACTCGTAAGAAGCGAATGGGTTTAGTACTACTCCGTGTATTCTATCGTAACCCCCAGTCTGTTCACGGAAGTAATAATCAATGTTGCAGGCGAGCTCATTCAGACTAGGTCAACTGCTGTTTCTTCATAGATAATTGTGTCCGTAAATGACCCGCAGGTGACAATGCAAAGACCGGGATCTGTCTGGTATCACGACCAGGAAGATGTCGACACAGTTGAAGAACTTGAATTCCTCGACTCGGAGCTGTCTATGATATTGTCAGAGTCTCCTTTGGGCTAGTTGGACATGGGAGGACTTGCTACAGCAGGTTCATCGCATCTCGTCACTTACAGAGTCGAAGCAGGTAAACTCGCATCATGGATGACAGATCCCTCGGGAGTGATAGAATAGAGAAGCTGGGATGAAACAGGGGTAAACAATCAGACATTGACTTACTGGCACTATCAGACGGTCCTAGTGAGTTGTAGGAACATTTTCCTACTACTTAATTGGCCGCATTTATACAAGCGGGATTCGTTCCAAAGCTCGGATGAATCGTTATAATAGCCGATGAAACAGGAGACATAGGGAGTAAGTATTTGAAATTAGTGATCAGCGCTGGCGACTTCGAGTTTGTCGACGTTATATTGACATAAACCCTCGAAACTCAACATTTGAACAATGACAAGACTCGGAGCTTCATACAGTGACTTGAGACACGATTCCAAGGCTCAAGTGCTGGTAGGTCAAGCTTGAGCTCATTTGAAGCCCTCAGTGCTGGAGTGCTTTACTAATATGTAGTACTAGTACTAGTAGTAATCATGTCTGAATGCTTTGAAGTATCAACACTAGCCCTAGAGTAGTTCCAATGTTCCAATCATATTATATGTCCCCCTAATGTCCCCTACCTACGGCTAAACGATCAGAACCCGAAAATTTAGGGATCCTCAGGCTGCCCGAAACTGAACATCCATCCCAAGGTCGACCAGTCGACGATCCAATAATAGTATGCACATGTGTGTAGTAGAGCGAACTATATTATGTAGATATGGGGTAGAGTCTGTGCATGAGGATCCATAGACGGCCCGCGGAAGTACGTAGTGCTAATAAAAGTATAGACTGGGAGTGGGGCTCGACGCGTGGCCAATACTTGAAGTAGCACTGGCACACTCGAAGACAATTGAATAAATACCACATACATCAAGAATATTGGTGCCAGTGGAAACCAATGGCAGTGGCATATAATCATCTTAATAAAAGATATTTGACGAGAGTTATCATATGGATGATGCTGTAACCGGCGAACATTGAACCTTGGAAGTGGCTCTTCAAGTTCAATGTAAAAATCAAAGACTCGGCGGATACCACATGGGTGATGTACTCGGTTAGCATTAGCATTTATGCAAACTGTTCATAAAAGACGGCGCCGACCTTGGGGAAGTACGGACTATGTACAACTAGGCACTGAAGTCCTATTATGATCAACTAGTATAAAAAAACTCAAACTTGGCCTCAATCAAGTTCAAGTTCTTCAACTTGCAGTTATCATGTAGATTCAAGGTGAGCAGCACCCTGTGGGGCTGAAAAGGCTCAGGTGCTTTCAAGTTCAACTTGTGCACTGGCAAGACTCCGAGTCAGATGTGATATCATATCCACGCCGGGTACGAAGTAGTATTGTATGCTCCTACAGATTCGGAGTGTCTTGCATCACTAGAAGATTAGAATATAATAATACCATAGGTACAGTTCGTTGCCCCAATGTTGTGGAAAAAGTTTGCGTTGAACACTATCACCGGCAGTGGTAGTAGTGCAGCCAGTGGGGGCCGGCATAGTTTGATTAGACCCTTGATTGAGAGCAGAGAAAAACAGTCAGGCTATATTGAGATCAAAGAATTAAACTTCTTTGGGTGAATTCATTCATCAGGTTTCAATCCCATGTTTCAGAATCTCGCCTAAGGCTTCGAGAGACCGCGACATCTCAGCCGATACATGCCTAGTTCGGGCGATCCGCCGTCTTGGCGATCTTCTTATTGTTAAACAAACACCCCCCGATGTCCTGACTAGGTTTAGCCTGTTAATTTGCAGAGCAGAGCCCAGATAGACTTCACTTTCCTCCAATCCTACATGTTGAGCAACTCTTTGCCATTGTCTCGATCAGTACCTACATGAGCACATCTACCGCCACCCATGACATCCATAATCGCTTGAGAAATCTCTTCTCTGCGTTCCAGAATGTAATTTACACAATTGAGTTGGAGGCGTTGATGGCTTACTAACGAAGCTCAATCAGGACAGGAGGCGTCCATTTAACACGCGTCCACTTGGCAGCCTCACGGGATATTAGTCTCCACCCACTCGGATCGCTGGCCACGGTCGTATGCGAGGCTGAGATTTCTCCTTTTCTGTTTCTGTATTACCATATTATTCATTATATCGGCGCGTTGATTTAAGGCATTTTACCCAATAAATTGACTGGGAGATGCAGCAAACCTCTAATTTGAAATCCGCGCTCCTCTCCCCAATACGCTCACTATATGCGACGGCAGTCATAATCATTGGAGCCATTGGTACAGGGAAATGGGGCCAACACCGATATGAACTTTTAGAAAGCGCCCGGCAAAGGTCAAATTCTTTTTATGCTCAATCTAGCAGGAGGAAATTAATCTCCATCATTGCTGTTCTAGCGGTGGTTTTGGTGCTCTTTTACAATGTTGTGGGCATTTTCAACCCTTCAATGCCTCTCGATTCACTCGAGGCTCGAGCTTGTCAGCATCCAGTTGCTGAGCTAGTTTCACAAGCGAGGAAGACTTTCAATAAGAGCCTCCAAACTCAATCAAAGACGTTGGAAGAGGCGGTGGTGGAGTACCAACGGAGGTATAAGATGCCTCCGCCTCCCCATTTCGATGAATGGTATGAGTTCGCGAAGTCGCGAGACACCGTTTTAATTGATGAGTTCGACACGATATACCATAGCCTTCTCCCTTTCTGGGGACTCTCACCTAGCGTGATACGTTCTCGTGTAAGGGAGGATCTGGGGTTCGTCAATAAAACCTTCGTGATGGGTATCTCCATCCGCAATGGAGAAGTTTTTGATTTCGGGAAGGGTCAAGGAGGATTCCAAAGAGAGGCGACAGTGAATATTTTGAATAAATTTGTTCAATGGTTACCGGATATGAATCTCCAATTCAATGCCCATGACGAGCCGCGAGTAGTGGTTCCACATGAGCAATTGAATAGATTTATTGCCAAGGGCCGTGAGGTACAATCCAGCCTGAATTCCCACTTGAAAATTTCAAGCCAATTTTCACCGGGCGACAATGACGCTATATTACCTGTTTCCATGAGTAGATGGATCAATATCGAATTCCAGGAAACATGGCTCCACTCCCGACTATCTTGTCCACCAGAGTCTCCTGCTATGTCGTTGGATGGCGATGCGCCAGATAATACAGCTGCGTATGCCATGGAGCCCTGGGGCTTCGTATTCAATCAAACTGCCGCAAGCGATATGTGCAATAGTCCGTCATTAAGGCATCGCCTCGGGGTTTTCCAACGTCCTAATTCGTTCAAGCTGAGCAATGAGCTCGTCCCCATGTTCTCCATGTCGCATCCTTCCTCATTCCAGGATATCGGTATTCCGTCACCATTCTACTACACAGGTGGGGCGAGATTTGATCCAGAGAGCTCTGTGCCATGGGAGGAGAAGAAACCCCAGCTCTATTGGCGGGGACGAACTACTGGTGGACATAGCCAGGGAGGTAGCTGGCGTTATTTGCAACGACAGAGAATCATCGAGGCTTTGAACAAGCCGCAATCACCGCATAATGTGATGCATCAAAAGTCGGGAGCTAAGTGTGCTTCAAAAGGACACTCTAATTGGGAACTACAAGAGGCGGACCAATCAGTAAATGATTACTTCAACGCTCATTTTACGGATATCATCGACTGCGATGCGGACTGCACAGAAGAGAAAGAGTTCTTCGAGACTGTCGAAAAGGAGCCCCAAAGCAATGCATGGCAATACAAATATCTGCTTGATATGGATGGCCACGCATACAGCGGTCGGTTCTATGCTTTCTTGCGTAGTAAGAGTGTCCCCTTCAAGATGACATTCTTCCGTGAATGGCATGAGAATATCATAATCCCATGGGTCCACTATGTTCCCCTTCACAAGGATGGCATTGAAATTGCCGAACTGGTTCGCTTTTTCCAAGAAGATCCAACTGGCCAGGAGATTGCAAAGTCTATTGGAGAGGACGGCTCAGCATGGGCGGACCTGGCGCTCAGAAATGAAGATATTGAAGTTTTTATGTTCAGGCTCATGCTAGAGTAAGTCATTCATCGTCCAGTACTTGCTACCACATGTGCAAGCTAACTCAGGTCTATCAGGTATGCCCGTGTTCAAGATGATAATAGAGAGTGGCTTGGCTTTCAATTGCCATGAGCCCAAGATTAGCCATATTGCCCGTCTACCTACTTCAATTCATCGAGCCAATCAACATAGGATTGTGCAAGGTCAGAAGAATGGGTTCGATATACGAGGAAAGGCTGTATGAAAGCCTGGAATCTGCAGATGGATGTCACGAGAAAGATGTAACTATATCACACATAAATGATAGACACTTGATAAATCCTGAACTGGAAAGTTGGGCATAGTGAATAATGTTCACTAATGACTTCCAGTTTCTAACTCCCAATTTCCCCCAGGTATCACCGCCACTCCATTCACCAGTTTCACCTTTTGCCCAATGCTCGACACCAGAGTGCCAATGACGCCAGGGAGCCGAACACTTCCCTTCGTGGAGGTGGGTGTGCTGAATGAGAACTGACTGTATCCTTGACCAGATGAAGACTTAGTATATTGAACCGAGAAAACGCCACGGGAAGTGCTAAGTCCGGCATCTACTGTGGTGAGATCTCCCGGCTGCGGAGCAATCTTCCATGATGAGCCACCGGGCCCAGTAAGTTGAATTCCAGCGGCGTACGCTGTAAGCGCATACGTCGGACCAGTAGACCATCCGTGAGCATGCGATATACGCGCATCATCGATATACGGAGCGTAATGAATTGACCCATCGGTGGAGTATCCCTCGATTAAGGTGGATTGCGTCATCTTAGAGTCAAGCAACATATAACCCCACTGAAGTCTCAGTAGATCTAAGGCCAGGTTTGGCTGTTTGGCGATGTAATGGGCCTGTAGCTCGAAGCCTCCAATGAACGGTGAGATGGTTGCACCGGCCTCAGGCGCGGGCGCACCATATTTACCCCAGCGGGCTTGTAGTACCTTGGAAATGATGGTGCTTTGATTGCTAGAAGTCAGACCAGACTTGATGGCCCACGTATTTCCATCCTGGGGATGAAGAGTTGTGGTTTCATTGTCGCGGTAGAGCCCTGCTTCAGAATCCCATAGGAGCTCATTTGCAGCAGTCTTGATACCTGCGGCGACGCTGGCCCAGTGGCTGATCATCGAGGTCTGATTAACATCCCGCGCCAGATTCTGTGCGTCTTTTAGAACGAAGTGGAGAATTCCATTCGCTTCAATGTTATGACCTCCCATACCATATCTGAGCCAGTCAGCACTCCAGGTCACATTGGCCAATCCAGAGTCGTCAATAGCTTCCAACGCCCATTCAACACCTCGCACATATTGGTCCCAGTAGCTCGAAAGCCAAGCTGTATCACCCGAGAAGCGATAGAGGAACGATACTCCAATGAGGTTATGCAGGTGATAAGTGTAGCTGATAGTTCCATTGAAAGGAAGTCCCGCGTATGGAAGCTGCCCATCCGCCTTCTGCAAGGCTAGCAAAGACTCCAGCCCCATCCTGATACTGTACAGATCCCCGGTGCTGACTGCAATGCTCTCCAACGAGATGGCCATGTCGCCAGGCCAGACAAGTCGATCACGCTTAGCCCCATCAGTAATGGTACTCTTGCCATTGGTGATAGTGTAGTTGTTGTACCAAGCGTTTGTTTCTGGGACAGTTATATCATCTGACTGAGAGGTAATAGCATCTCCAGCTGTTGGTTCAATTGTAGCCAGTTGATTCGTGTAGGCCCCAGCATACCAAATTCTATTGATCAGCTCGTCATCGGAATGGAACCATCCGGTATAGTCACGTAGGCTCTGCATGGGTGCAGCGGTGAAATTCACATGAACCGAGTTGAGGTTAATTGTTGCACTTGTGTTCGACACCACGGTTAAATAACGAAACGCGCCTCGTTGGAACTGACTTCCCGGGGTATAGACTCCAGCTCCTTTTCCGACGTCGAACCAAAGAACTGAATCGTATCCTGAGTTTCCGGTAGCATCAGAGTACTTACTGCTGATCCAAAGGTTGGATTCAGTAAATGTCACTCCTAGAAACGCACTGGGAGATGAGACGGATTCCACATCTAGTGACACTAGACCTGCAACATTCTTGCCAAAGTCTAAGGTGAAAGAGGATAGACCATTGAAAGTGGCTTTCCCGGATGAGTTCGTGTTTGTAACGGAACCATTGACTTGATAGACTGACGTAGGTACAAGGTTTCGCGAGGCTGGAGCTAGTATATACTCTTCATAAGGCACTTTCACTGCCGCTGCAAGAAGCGGCAGCAAGAAAGATGTGATTATTGAGCGCATCTCCGATGATGAAAAACTCATGGGCTAGAGATCGTACTTGCATTTATACCAGTGCTGCTGTCGTCTTTGTGCAGGTATTCGAGGATTCATCTCGGTGTATCTCATTCCGATGAGGGGAAATATGCGGAGAGGATCAGCGCTCTGGGGTTTCATTGAGCCTTGGAAACAAGTGTCAATGCTTTGAAATGCTGCCTAATAATTGGGCTCCGAAAGAGGTGTGCTTCCTGCTTGTTTTTGAAGATAGAAGCCTCCCAGAATCGGGACTTCTCTCATTGCCGATGGGATATACTCTTGGCACAGAGGTTGTAGTTGGTAGCCTCTCAGTTCCGATCAAACGAATCCACCTATTTCCACATGAAATTCCTGCTTCTTCTTTTTTGTTTCCATTGATCGGCCTTGAAATCAGACGATCAAATACCCGCCTGCGAACAAACCATAAAGAGACAGGCTAGGTGTGGTGGGTAGAGAGCGGCGCAGCGGATCGGGTCAGGTCCGGGACCAGCAGATATTGAGCTTGTGAAGTGAGAATGAATTATTTGATCAATACATTCCATCATGATGGGTCTAAATAGCGGTAAAAAGCTTTTCTGATGCTGGTTAGAAGTTAGTTTTGATTTACTGCTACTACTAGTGCTACCACTGTGATTTTTGGTTATCATGATGGATATGGGACCTCGGGATGCATATACTAATAATTTCTACATATAGGTCCGCTGGTAATGCCAGTGCTACTAGACGACACCCAGGCCTCCAGATCTGGCCTCAGGCTTTTGGTTCATGTCGCACTTATGATATATCTTCCAACGATGTCTCCCGCCTCGATTGCAGTGAGACATTCTTGGATGTCGACCAATTTCTTCTTCACGGTGATTGGCTTCGCCCGTCCATCTCTGACAAGCTCAAGGGCCTCTTTAGTTTCACTCATTGTCCCTGTGCTGCTTCCAAGAAGGCGCACGCCTCTTGCCACAAAATACTCAGGTCCTATAGGGAATTGCATGGGCGTTGAAGCTATTTTGACTGGTGAGAAATTCCATGTGTCGCAGAAATACTTGAGAGAGAAGCTTACTTATCCCAATGCAAACTAGAGCTCCCATTTTTCGAACGTATCTTAGCGCTTGCTCATAGGCCTTTGGGCTGGAGCTGACGACTAAAACACCATGGGCCCCGCCATTGGTCATATGAATCACATCTGCTGGGAGGTCCTATTGAGGTCAGAATAGGATGCTTATACATGATCATGAGGCTTGCCTTGGTTTTTGCGAAGTCTATGAAGACGTCGGTGCCGAGTTTCCTACAAATGCTTTCCTTATCCGCACTATCAATTCCAAGTACTCGCAGCCCAAGCGCTTTGGCGTATTGAACAGCCCTGAAGAGTTAATTCCAGACATGTTTTGGATCCATGTTACACTTACAAATGCCCAAGACCACCACCACAACCCTCAATCCCCACCCATTTACCTGCTTTGAGATCTGCTAATCTCAAAGCTCGATAGGCCGTCGTTCCTATGAGGATGTCAGTTTTTGTGTCACAACAACTGAGTCTAACTCACTCACCAGCGCATAATATTGGGGCGGCATCCCCGGCGGCGATGTCCTCCGGAACTCGCATAATATATCTAGTATCGACGACGGTATGCTCTAGTACAGGTAAAGTCTTGAATGAGGCTCGGGTGGCAAACAATTTGAATGAAGGATATCCCCGGACCATACCTGCCCAGCAACCATCAACATCTTTCCCGCTCAGTTTTCGGCTATCGCAAAGCTGCTCGTTCTCCGTCTTGCATATGTCACACTCGTGGCAGATCGAATACAGCAACCTGTGAGCTACTCGATCCCCAATTTTTCATTCATCATCCACATCAGGTCCTAATCTGATGATGCGTCCGATGCCTTCATGCCCGGGAACGCTGACGGTAGGTTGGAGTATGGAATCGATCTTTGGATGAGGTGTACGTCCGTTCCACGTACCCCTGCTGCCTCAATTTTTACCAATATTTCGGTCCCAATAGGCAGGGGTATATCTCGTTGCTTAATTTCGATCTTCGTGTCCACTACAATAGCTGCCGCGCTTTTCTTCATGATTATTTTGGATTACGAGGATAGGAGAAAAATGAATTGGCTTTGCTTAAATTCTATTAATCAGGCTCCAAGGTTCTAGTAGGTTTTTTAGTTAATGAATACTTGTTAGACCAGTTGAGAACAAAATGCGGGGAACAATGTACCTGTGAAGTACTTTGGAAACTTCTCTTCAGAAATGCTGCATACATCGTCGGCCGAATTCGGTAGTATTACCCCTCTGAGATAGTCTCATTCATACCCGAGGATAGGTGAATTCAACAATCTTACCTAGCATCTAGATATGTTTGTTAACTTGAAAAGGCAGACCAGGCCATACTTGATTCAAAGCGTATGTAAACTTTTGTTCTAACCTCAGGCTGTCAAAAATGGCTGTCGCGCATCCAGGCTGACATCGATGCTACAGCTGGGTCATTACCCCGGGCCTGCAGGATTACATCGTTTACAGCTCGAAATACTCAAGGTCAGGCAACTAGTGCATGAAGAACCCGACCTCGCCTGAAAGAGTCTTGGAAGTGTGCAAATGCTGAATAACCCGGCAGGCTGGATCCCGAGGTCCATCATCCATGGATGTGTGCCATGAATCACAGTTTTGTCACCCCGGGAGGATCGGCGGCAGATTGATCTAGTCTGCCAGAAAATTTAAACTTGAAACTAATAATATGAATATATGCACATATGTATTGGAAATTTTGGACTGCGCAGTAAAATTAGGCTGTAGCATGGTGCGATGATGAAGGGATATGTCACAGCCATCAAAAAAAGATTCAAAAGGACGAAAAGAAATGCTCACATCCGGATTTGAACCGGAGACTTCATGATTGACTTCATAAATCCTTTTTAAGGAATTGCTAGGTCTTACTAGTCATGCGCTCTACCAACTGAGCTATGCGAGCAGTTGATGTGATTTGACTTTTATGACATTATAGCCCCAACTTTTTAAAGATAAAAATATTAAAAAATAAAAAGATTTGCTTACATCCCGCCCGGCGGATAGCAGAAACCACCATTTTATTTTTCTTCTTATATCTCCTCAATGCATTTTAACAAGCTAAAAAATAATTATATCTTAAGATAAAAGGCTCTGGTTTTAGACCTGAGGAAAAAATGTTATTTCAAACATACTAGTACTACTCAATCGAAAGTGTCGGTGGTATGGTATACTAAAATCATCATGATGATGTTGATAGTGTTATACTATATATTTCACTGCCCGTCCACGGGTGGGCGGGGCCAACTCGAAGCCCTCAAGTGCTGGAGCTTCAAGTTCAAATCCTCAACCTTGGAAATGTTGAACTTCAAGAAATTGAAATTTTGCGCCATGTACTTACTACCTAGGTACATCCATGGATACCTAATATTCCAAGGTTCAAACATTTGTTAGAATGAACCAGTCGACATAGGATCAATGTATAGCTGGGCTTTCCCAGCCGCCACCCTTTCGAATTTCTAAATCCTCTGCATCGTGACTAAAAAGCCAATGCCGTCGCTCCGTAAAACCCCAGAACACAGGGTTGAAAGGAGCGTCCTGCTTCATGACCTGGTCTCTCTGCACTTGCTCGTCTCCATCCTCGATGTGAAGAATATATTGGTGCTGTCTAGTCATGCTTTGAATCACCGACGCCCGTGGTCGACGTAGGCTCTCATACTGCTTCAGCGCCTCGGAGAGGTCGGTGTACCGACTGAGGACTTGACTCAGCGTCCCCGCATCTTCGCACGCCTGCGCAGCACCTTGCGCCAAGTAGGGCAACATGACATGCGCTGAGTCTCCCAGAAGAATAGCTTTTTTAGAGGGATGGATCCAAGTAGACAGTATAGGCAAGTCGCATAGGCGCCACTTCTGAAATGAAGGCGCAAGTTGACAGAGCTTATAAAATTGAGAATGCCAAGTTGAAAACCGCTCGCATAGCTCCTCATTGTTCCCCTCGACGACCCATACTTCATCAGTTGTCTCGCCTTGGGAGGTTGCACAAACAACCACATTGTAAAGTTCTCCATCTCGAATTGGATAGCCCACTACATGAGCGTCTGGTCCACACCATGAGGTGGTCACAGGTTTATTTATCAAATCTGCCAGCTCAGGGTCTTTGAGAAGCTCCTCACCACGTATTACAATGCGGTATGCAACATCTCCTGTGTCGCGGGGTTTGTCCGGTTGACCGGTAAGCAATGGTCTTGAGATGGATTTAACTCCTGAGATATGTCAGCTTCTATACAGAGCCTATGAAAGTATTCATACCATCAGCACAGATCAGCAACTCTGCCGTCCACGAGGTTCCCTCTGCAGTGATTGCCGCTGGTATACTGAAGTCATAATCAACCACCCGCTGGTTCTTATGAACAGTAACGCCAGCATCCAGAGCTGCTTTGAGCAAAACAGCGTGGAGGTCGGCCCTATGAACGAGGTAATAAGGAGCCCCGTGTGTTTCTTCGTTGTTCAGAAAGGGCAGCCGTGCGATTGTGGAGCCGTCTTCCCAGCGGACGAAGTTGTATCCTGTGGAAATGGTTTTTTTGATTCCGTTCAAGTCAACTCCCCAGCGAAGTAGGAGACGGCATGAGTTTGGGGGAATTCGTATACCGGCGCCAGCCTGGAGTCATTAGTTTAATGCCAGAGGTAGTAGAGGTAGACCGACCTCAACAAACTCAGAAACCGAATCGATCACTGTCACAGTATGACCCTTTCTTTTGAGCGCAAGAGAGGCACATAAACCTCCTAGGCCTGCACCGACGATAAGAATGTTGCGAGAAGGAGCTGATTCAGACATAGTTGCGGGACGCTCGGGTGATCAATCAATTAAGTTCAGGCGAAGCTTTTCAAATCTTAACTTTACATGCTGAGGGGTAATCGAGTTTTATGTCACTTAATTCAGGCGCTCAATGCATCACTAGTAATTGCGCTAGTAAATGTACTTTGGAAGTACTTCGGTGTTTATCCTGATCGCAGCGGGGTGAAGATGTGCTAACGAGCGCTGCTAGTTGGACACCCCAAGAATACTAAAAGGACACCCTTTGCTTGATTAGGTTTAGCGTATACACCTCCTTACATGTCTCGCTGCCGCCAATGTAATTAATCAGTTACACCAATGTCCACGGACTCCTCATCTACGACTCGGACCTCTACCTTCTACCTTGCTGTTATTAATGGATAAAGTAAAATTAACTAAAGGAAGTGGTAGCTTGAGATCAGGTAGCTAAGGGGAAATTAATTTAGGATATTATAGCCTTTTTGAATAGAAATTAAGTAGCTAGAGAACTTAAAAGATATTAGTCATATATTCCTTTTATCTTAATATATACATTTAAAGGATATTATATAGATGATTCAAAAAGATACTGGCGAGTGCTTCGGTTAGACTACAAGGGTCATCAGAAGTAGGCTTACTTATAAAATAATAGGCTATAGAAGAACTATTGTTAGCGACGGCAAGATATTAGTTAAGGAGGAGTGGTCAGAAATGGATGCTACATTGGTGTCACCTGGACAGCGAGATGTGTATGGAGGTGTATACGCTAAACCTAATCAAACGAAGGGTATCCTTTTAGTATTCTTGGGGTGTCCAACTAGCAGCGCTCGTGCTAACCATGTTCAGCAAACAGTCTTGTATAGCCCTTCCGTCCCGTGCATATCGATGTAGCTGCAGAAACTGGATTTGCAAATGAGGATTGGGACGAATGTACTGGTGGGTGAGGATTTTCTTCATTTTAATATTTGGTTTTATAATTCAACAGGCTTGCACGTCAGCCCAAGTACGCAACTTGAACCATGGAGCTTGAAACTCCTAGTTACAGTCCTGGATACTATGTTCTGTTCATCCATAAGTCCCCCAACTTGGCTTGCGGCTGGCAATGGGAATGTAGAGGTTGTGAGGAAGCTTCTCGGGAGGCGCACAAGGCGTGAGGGATGATTAGACGTGGATTGGCGAATTGCATTAAATTGATTTCTCTTCAATATGAAGAAGCTCGAGAGCATCTGAGGCTACAGGTAACCAATTGGCTACCTCTCTATTGAGAGCAGTGTCTAAAAGAGTCAAGATAAGGGGCCAATTGGAGGGGCCAGAATGCTGCCATCTGGTCAAAGAAATTCGAGAATTTCCAGTAAAATAGGCCCTTTCGCATGAAAAGGGCAAGTTTCAAGGAGCTTTAATTTGTTCGATGAGTTTTTGGGGGAGGGAAAAGGGGGTTAAGATTCGGCCTCGCAGCCCTGAAAAGCCCCCGAGGTTTTTCGTGTACACTTAGTCAGCTTTTGGCCGCCTTTCATCAACTGCTGCGATCCAACATATGTGAACCAGCTGCGATTTGCGTCAATCTTGCCTGTCCCCTTGCTCTCCTCCTTTCGCTCGATCTACTCAAATAACTAAGGTCTATCTACCGTGTACATATCCATACCAATCAAAATAGCCGAGTGGATCCAGGTCCGGGCCGAAGACGCCGAAACGACGCGAACGCGAAACTTGAGATCCCTCACCACAGTCATGGGAGTTGAAATCCCAACAGTAACTCTGGTGAGTCAGGTTCTATCTGCTTAATGTGAGGCCCTGCTAATTTATTACAGGAAGATCTCCAAGCTTTCCATGCCAAGCACTTTCCCGCAAATCCAACTCCCCATGCCTTCACCAGTCAGCCTACCGAATACGAAGAAACGGGAGAGGATGACCTAGGTTATTATCCAGATGGCGTGAAGCGAACCCTTACCGATGAACAAATCGAGATCTTCCGGCACAGTGAGATCCATGCGTTGATACGCGCAAGGGAGCTAGAACAAGACAACGCTGAATATGAAGCCCGAAGAAACCTCCCCGAGAAATCGCAGGAACACCCCCTGACTGAAGAGAAGATACCCCATGCTGCGTCTAGCAGAAAAGCTAAGAGATCAGCCGAGCAGATGGATGAGACTGTCTCAGAAGCCTTAGATTACGAGGGCAATGATCAAAAGTCAAAGACTCAAACTCAGAGTGGCCTATACTCTCGAAAGCTTATATCCTATGATGACTGAGTCCATCCAGCACTAACCAGAGCGAAGTTTCCAAACATCATCAGTAAGTTCTATCTCTACTCTCCAATCCCCACCCTGCACTGTTATGATGAAATCATTTTATAGTCATCCTTAGTCGGAATGCCATACCTACAAGCTTCAAGTGGTGTAAGGCTTTGACGACTTTAATCTTCTCTCTGAGGCCCTTCTCATTCTGCATTTTACCACATTTCAAATTTTGAAGTCACCTACTGATATGTTACAAAGGAACAATTGAACCCACACTCCGCGGCTCACAGCAGTCCGTGTCACGTAATCGCAATATGGGATAGATTCCAGACCGGGTGGTCTCCCCGGGCTTCATACACGAGCATGGTGATCCTCTAGCGCGACACCAGTTGATGAAATTGAAGCTCGGCCAGAAATAGTCTAGGCCTTGGCCTATGACCTTCGACTAGGCTCATCGGAGAGTTACAATATGTAGCAACAGATAACACATTCAATCAATACTCATTCAATTCAGCTATTTTATTGTCGTCCAACTATCCGCTTAGACAAACCTCACATACACTGTCCCATAATCACTGATGACTCAAACAAGCAACTCCCATTGCAGCAGGACGAAGAGTCGTAGCAAGCACCACCGATATTCATGCATTCAGTGGTATCACTCCTTGGGGAACACAACCCTCGAGAGCACCGAGCACCGCCCGCCATATCGCAGCATTTTGTGCCACTTGTACACTCCGCGCTAATTGAACAAATGGAACCCTCGCTACGCTTCGGCATGCACCTCAATAGTCCGTTGACGCTAGTACAGAATCCCTCGCGACACTGGTGGTCTTCCTTGCATTCGTCACATTGGGAAATGTAGCGTGCCCGTTGACATGTCATACTCTTCCTCTGCGAGCAATGAAGTTTGGTACCTGCATTGGCGTGACAATCCAAATCGATGGTACATTGATCGCCAAGACATTGAGATACATGCATGGTTGATGGGTGGCTATTGGTGTTCATCACGACGTGTGACTGGTCGACTATCTCACAACTTATGCTCTGAACCAGTCCACCGACGTAGTCGACCATGTTGGAGGCCTGATGGGGACGATCGAACATTCTATAGTGGGAACGATCGATAGAGAGCATCGCTTCCTGGCAGTTGGAATCACTGCTCAGGTTAACAACGTCTTCATATTTGCTTGGGGCATTTCAATCCGTACCTATAGACCGTGCACATTGCCTTCTTCCCCGCAGGTGCTTCGCAGGGGATATACACAGATCCAACATTGTGATATCTGTATATCTTAGTTTTCTTCTGCCCATCGTAGTATTTGAGGCACTCACAATGCATCTGTAGTATTAAGCGTTTGACACATCCCATCGAGTGGCACCTCTCTCTGAGCACTCCACTTGGCATATTTTTCACTGGCATATAGCCGTGGGAGTAATGCTTCCACAGGTGATACGGCTCCGAGCGCTGCCAATGGAAATGCAAAAAGGGCAACAGCCACGCGATTCATGTTTGCAGTTGTATATAGAAGCGATTATGCACATGTATTCAGTAGTAAAAATCCATGTACACTCAAGGGCGACCTGGTTTTATATCGCCAGAGGCAGTTTTCTGGTCAGTCCAAGTGCTCAATATTATGTCTCGGACTGTCGGAAATAGTAGACTGCACGAAGTAGGTCACGATGAACTGGGATTCGAGGAATAGCCTTCACGTACCACACAGATTGCATATGTATCAACGAGCCCGGAGCATTGCAAACAATTTCAGTTTCCTCAACCCATCCCGATATAAGCTTTTCTTGCATATCACATGAGCCGTCCACTACTATCATCCGTCAATACCTCAAGTTCAATTGTTGGAACCTGAAGGTAGTGTTCATGACTCATGCTAGTATGAATGAAGATTCAATCTGCATGTCTTGATCAGCTTTCCAACCGTGGTATTACTACACATGATCATCAATGGATATGTGCACATATGGTGAAAGAAGTTGGATCTGTGCCTCTTCTCGATAAGGCTGCAAGGCTGTTTCATCAAGTCCAAGTCTTTAAAATGCTAAGGTGCTGGAGTTAATGATACTACCAAAATTAGCATTTGAGTAGTACTATTGGACTCGACTGCCAGTGTCTTCCAAGGTTCAAGTTAAACTTTTCCTGGCATTCAAGTTCACATCTATATCCATACATGTATACAGCTACTACCAGTAGTATCACAAGAAAAGAAAAAAAGAAAACCAGCAAGGTCAGGAATCGAACCCAGGACCTTCAAAATCAGAAATGCGTGAATAGCCTCAACAGCTCTCACTTGATACATCCATCGCCATCCGATAATTCCTTCTATCTCGCTCAATTATTTTTTATTTTGAGGATCTGAGAAGTGAAATAGAAAGAGGAAGGTTAGAAGTATAATGGGTAAAAATATGAAAAATTCCAAAAAAAAGCATTATTCCCTGGCCGAAGCCAGATACCCTCCCACCCGCCGGTAAAGTCTCTGCCACTGAAGATGGGTCCAGCGTCCGCATTTCAGTACCTTTGTCCCCCAGAAGGGTCGCCGACCGCTAGACTAGCAGGGCAGAGTGGTTACAGGGGGAGCTTTTTACTCAAATATAAGGGAGAATTTGTGACCATTTTGTATTAGCGTCTCCTTTCCCATATACTATACTGCAATAGTTGGGAAATAATTGAACATTTTCCTAGAACATTTGAATTAAGCCTGAGATTCCAAAACATGCACTGTTTCTTAAGTAGTAAAAGAGGTCTATCTATACCAGCACTGTGCTACTAGTACCACTATATCTCTCTTACTAGTACTAGATTGTGACACTATCAGCAAACTTCCGTTTTATAGCCATGTCAATTCTAGTTTCAATTAATTAGTAATAAGACCCCATACTGGCATTAATATAAACAGTCATAATTTGAAGCTTGGAATAGTATGGATTGAAATGTGGCGGTATGCTTATCTTATCGGGAATGAATGTTTCCCAGATGCGAAGTTGCTTTTTCCGACTCTCCTCTCTCAACGCCATGGGAAAACTCGAAGAAACATGCGCCTCTCTTCGGGCGCAGATTGCTGCCACAGAAGCCCAGCTTGCTGGACTGAAACGCGATCTCGTGCGCGCCGAGAGTCAAGCGGCGCATTCGGAGGACCCCGCGGAAAACAGCCAGTCGCGATGGCCGTTACTCCAGGAGGAATATAAGCGGTATGGTCGACAGATGATTGTGTCACAAGTTGGACTTCCTGGTGAGTTTTGTTGTCGGTAATTTTAGGACTGTCTAACGCCTATAGGCCAACTCAAGCTGCGTTCCGCAAAGGTCTTGCTAGTTGGAGCTGGTGGGCTGGGATGTCCCGCAGCTCAATACCTTGCCGGAGCGGGCGTCGGGACTATTGGATTAATTGATGGGGATACGGTTGAGATATCGAATTTGCATCGCCAGGTCTTGCATCGAAGCTATAACGTGGGGAAATACAAGGTGGACAGTGCGATTGAGTCTTTGAGAGAGTGAGTACCTGCCCATAGGTTATGGCCCTGGGCTATGAGTGTGCTAACCAGCTAGCCTCAACCCACACGTCAACTATATCGCGCATCGAACACATCTTACTCCTACCGACGCCGCTGCTATCTTCAAAGAATACGACCTCATTCTCGACTGCACGGATAACCCCGCGACGCGATACCTCATCTCGGATACAGCTGTGCTCCTAGGGAAACCACTTGTCTCTGCATCTGCATTGCGCACAGAGGGCCAGCTTATGGTATTAAACCATCCCCCTCGAGCTCCTGGAGACAAGGAAGGCGGGCCATGCTACCGCTGTGTATTCCCAAAACCCCCTCCAGCGGACAGTGTGGTCAGCTGTGCAGATGGTGGCATCCTAGGACCTGTCGTTGGGACTATGGGTGTTTTGCAGGCACTGGAGGCAATCAAAGTGATAACATCAGCCGCTCCGTCTGCACCCGCTCTACACATTTTCTCTGCGTATTCAAATCCTCTCTTCCGAACCATTCGCCTTCGTTCTCGACGGGCAAACTGTGCGGTGTGCTCAGCCGACGCGACCGTCTCATTGGATACGATTAAGATAGGGTCAACGGATTATGTGTTTTTCTGTGGCTCTGCGTCTCTCCCTTCTCTTCTGGGACCTGATGAGCGTGTTACGCCAGAGGAATATCGTGAAAAATGTCCAGATACCGCGAGCCACACGATCATCGATGTCCGAGATTCAGCCCAATTTGGGATCTGCAATCTTGAAAATAGTATCAATATTCCAATGTCGAATATTCTCGCATCAACGGGCCAAAAGTCAGATGATAAGGATCAGTCGACCTCAGTACCGCCGTGGCTTCCCTCAGATGTTCTGAACCCAGAATCTAATGACCCAATTTATGTTGTTTGTCGTCTTGGGAATGATTCTCAAATTGTTGTCAAGAGGATGAAGGAGCTAGGGCTGGACCGAAATGGGGAGAGATTCATAGGTGATATCCGCGGTGGCTTCCGCGCATGGAGAGAGCAAATCGACCCTCAGTGGCCCGAGTATTGATGTTCACTCACATAAAATTATGTATATACCTATCATGATCACTATTTGAACAGGAAGATCAACTGAATCCGGATTCCATTTCGTTGCTCAATAATCCTTCCATGGAGAGTCACGCTGACACCAAACTCCATCGATCCTAGAGTACCACTGGATAGTCCTTTGCAAACCCTCGTCGAATCCCGTGCGTTGTTTCCAACCTAGCGCTTCCAGTTTGCTTCCATCGGTCCAGTACATGCTGTCATTGAAAGGCCGATCCTTTACCATTTCGATTGAGTTGAATAGATCTCGTGAGAGGTGCTTTGAGCTCTGAACAATCTTTTTTGCAACTTCCAAAACCTGCACCTGGTTACTAGATGCAATGTTGTAAGCCTCGCTGGGGATGCCTCTATGGAATATCACGTCAAGAGCCTCTGCTGCATCGGCTGCGTATAGAAACGCACGCACGTTCCTCCCTTCGCCATGGATTGGCATCTTCAGGTTATCGTTGAACAGCATGATGAATTTTGGAATCAATTCTAAACACTCGTGTCAGTATAAGCTATAGTAAACTTGATGTGCAACATACTCTCAGGAAACTGATATGGACCGAATACGTTATTGCACCGTGTTATTATGATCGGCATTTTGAATGACTTCTGGTATCCCTTGACTATCATTTCCGCTGCTGCCTTGCTTGCTGAATATGGATTTGTCGGGTTCATAGGATGATCTTCAGTGAATGAAACTAACTGAGCCGGGTCATTCTCGCCGTATATCTCGTCTGTTGACACATGTACGATTCTCTGGATATTTCCCTGTTTTCGACAAGCCTCCAGCAGGATTTGAGTTCCTAGGACATTAGTCGCGGTAAATGAAAGGGGAGTCCGGAATGACTCGTCGACGTGAGTCTTCGCCGCGAAATGCACAATTGCATCCACGCTATATCTTCCAAGGTTATTCTCCACGTCTTTGATATCACAAATATCCCCTTTGACAAAATGGAAATTGCTCAAATGTTGAACCTCGGTAAAATTGGCCAGGGACGCGCAATATTCCAGATTATCAAATCCAACGATGATGTACTTGTCTCCGTATTCGCGCAGCATATGCCGCACAAACCATCCTCCACTATAATGATCAGATGAATGACTGCCCAGAGAGATTTCAAACCCGAGTCTCACATAAATCCTGCAGCACCGGTCACCATTATCGTTTTCATGTGGGCCAGATCCTTATTTCCATCATGACTGGAGGAGTAACCGCTGGACGAGCTGTCATTGAAATCCATTTTGATATTGATCAGCTGCAGAAAATTGATTTCTGAGACACTCTCTCATTTGAATGAGATTCTCCATTTATCCTTCTGACTGCGAAGAAATAAATCCGTTATTGTGTCTCTGCTCATATCGAACCCTCATTAAACTTTCTAGTTTCCTGGAAGTTGTGATCAGAGAAGGTCGTCATTGGGCTTTCAGTTTGAATGACATGACTGAGGTGGCACCGTTATATGTGTGCGCATTGAAGTTCCAAATCAGACCAAGAGATGGCTTTGGGAAGGGTTCAAGTATTTGTTTGCCTCTTATTACAATTTGCATGCGATGGATCTGACCGTCTCACAGAAGATCCTAGTTCATGGTGTTAAGATTAGGTTATAGCGGGAAGAACACCTGTTCATTCGATAAAAGATGCGATGCAAAAGATCTGCAGAATACCATGTCTAATGTCAAATATCTGCGAAAATGTTCCATGGGTAGGCTTTACAGGTAATATCCCCTGAACCCTGTCCTGTGATCCTAGTTACGAACGTCTCATTTACATCCCGTAACACCAGATGAATATGGTCCAAGCTTCGTACGCTCTGCCACTTTGTACGATTTCGGAACCATTGCAAATTATCCCCCGCATACTTCCCCCGCTTGACATGCTCTGAGAACATTCTCTCAATAAAGTCGGCGATGGCTTTACACGAGGCTGGACTGGGGTCTCCATGATCATCGGTGGCAATAGGGGTCTTGCTCCAGGCGACAAGATGAACCATCCCTTCCTCCATTGCATATGGCCAGTCATTGCGACGAATGCAGAAGTCCGATGGATCTGTGAATGGAGTTGGATTAGAATAGGGAAACACAGTTCCCGACTCATGACACTCCGGTTCCCAAGGAAGCCTGTTCTTGATAATAAATTCCAGAACTGATCCGTCCTGTCTCTGTGCTTCTAAAGTCCATCTGATATAGTTGAAGAGATCTAACGGAGTACGTCGAAGGAGTGACATATCTCGACCGGCTGAATGGTCAGTTTGTTCAATATACTCGAAGGAATAATGCTCACCAATTATTGCTTTCATTTCCTCCCAAGTATGTAAAGGGAAATCCTCTTGCGGGGCTCGTAGTACCGCTCTATCAGTTTCACTGAGCTCAAAAGGTGGACTTTGGGTAAATTCGTCTATGATAGCAGGGTCAAGCATCCGAGAGTCGTGCATTTTGCATTTGATCGTGTCATTGAATTGTGGAAAATACACTCTCAAGTGCTGCCTCATATAGCCGAGACCCTGCTTAACGGTGGATAGTCGCTGTGTGTGACAGATGTCGCGTAATTGTTTCCCTCAGTGACACAATCTGCTATCCCTTCTGCCCGCTATCTCCTAGGATGAGCCTTATAAATGTTGTCATATTCTCCGCAAGGTAGAGAGCACACATTCTCTAACCTTGGAATCCCCAAAACCATGGCAGAAATTCATCTCATAGCCACTATTCACCCAACCCCTGGCAAAGAAGAACAGGTAAGAATATCAAGGAGTCACTTCCACTGCTAAATGATTACAGGTGCGGGAAATCCTATGTAAAACCGCCGAACATGTCTCCCATGTCGAGAAAGGCTGCTTTACTTGGATCTTGACCGAGATCCCCAGACAGAACGGGGGAATTGAGTTCAAAGTTATTGAAAGGCAGGATTCCCTCCATATTTCGCGGGTGTTACAGAGCTGAATGTGTCATTAGATGGGCAAGCACAGATCACTTGACTCAGCATCAAAGTCGAGACTGGTTGCGTCAAATGTATACGGAGTTCGAGGACCAGCATCTTCTGTCAGTGGAGGAAGATGTACAACATTTGAAATTTGTCGCTGGATTTGCGTCTCGCTGACCAATTTATTGCCGAGTGATTCGATCTCGGAGTATATTCAAATGTCAATGATAACTTGATACCTCGCAATATTATTTCTCACTCATTTGTGCACTGCTTATCAAAATGCCTCAATCAGGTTGGAGATCATCTACAAATTTCGTTATCTTAGTAGTTTGCGTTGCCGTTTTCACCGATGTCTTTCTTTATGGATTGATCGTACCTGTTATGCCATTTACCCTCTCCAGACGTGTCGGTATTCCAGATGAAGATGTCCAACAGTGGACATCGGCCTTACTGGCCACGTATGGTGCTGCTATTATACTCGGATCTTGTATGGCCTCCTCCCTGAATTCTCGGTATGGTCGATTCTAATAGATTTAGTGCTATTCGGATGGCTTGGAGACAAGACAGAAACGAGGCAAACTCCGTTCATTATCGGTCTAGTCATTCTAGGAGGTGGTACCCTCCTGTTCTCCCTCACAGATTCGCTATCTTTGATTGTCATCGCACGAATCCTCCAAGGATGCTCCACAGCTATCGTCTTCACCATTGGATACAGCCTGATGCTTGATACAGTCGGGAATGAAGGAATAGGCCATGCAGTCGGCTTTACCAGCATGAGCATGAGTCTTGGTCTTTTTGGTGGCCCGATTATAGGGGGGCTTTGTATATGACACTGCCGGATACTTTGCTGTATTCTTGCCAGCATTCATCCTCATTATCTTAGAGATTACATTGCGTCTGCTTCTCCGACCTGTTCCAAGGAAGAAGATTCCTGAATGCGTACATCCCCCTTGCCAAAATGGCGAGCAATCACCGCTCCTACCTACCGAGTCTTCACGGGCAGAGTCTTCTTTGATGGTGTTACTATGTTGCCCTCGTTTTGTGGTTGCAATGATCGGAATGTCTATGATCAATACATTCCTAACGGCATTCGAGGCCGTTCTTCCTGTTTATTTGCATGAGCTTTTTGACTTCAACTCCAGTCAAATAGCAGTTGTATTTCTATCTAATACTTTCCCAATGCTTTTATCACCAGTGAGTGGACGCCTTGTGGACAAAATTGGACCATTTTGGCCCGCGGTCGCGGGATTCTCCTTAGCTGCGCCAAGTATGATGCTACTTAGCTTGGTGAGGAAACCAACTTTCATGTGCTCAGTGTTATTGCGTTTATTCTTCTTCATGTTCGGTTGTGGGGTATCCATGGCAATGCCAGCTATGATGGCTGAAATTAGCATGACGACGGATGTTTTAGAAAGTCAGCGCCCGGGGATTTTCGGCGTTAAGGGTGCATACTCACAAGCCTTTGGACTAAGCAATGCTGCTTTTTCTGTTGGAACTCTTCTCGGTCCACTTTATGCGGGATATATCAGGGAATGGGTGGGATGGACTTCCATGTTGATGTCACTAGGTGGTCTAAGCATCTTGATGGTCTTGCTGGTGGTCATGTTCACCGGCCATCGAACTGTGAGTGACGAAGAAATTTCCCAGACAGCCTGAGGTACACGGCAGTGGCTTAAAGATAGTCATATTGGCAGCGTGACTGAGATTGCTCGAAAAGCTGTGGGTTCATGTCTATTCAACTTTGTATCATGAATAAAAGTGACGAGGGAAGGTGCATATAAAAATATGTATCGAGAAAATTCCAATTCTCTATCATTACAGAATATGCACATCGTTTGGAAAAGATAACATGGTCTCATCAAACTGAGTCTCAGATTGTAACGCCCAGTCGAAGATATTTTGCGATACTGGAGGCTGCTCCAGTGGATCGGGATTTGGCCACACTGGCAGATTCCATGCCTCAAAAGAATTGAAATGCATGGGAGGATCTGTAGTAAGCAAAGACATATTGCTTACGCCAATAGCTTCATCCCAGTCTTTGACCAGTGAAGCCTGCAGTTTCAAACTGTTCATCAAATCGCACAGACCGTAGGTCATATTGCTACTTGCAGAATACACACATCCGCTGCTAAAAGAAGCCTCGGGTGAGCTTCCTGGTATAGCAACCATTGCGGCCAATTTTTGAGCACACTGCGTAAACATTTCAAGCTGCTTGTCAAAGTGAGGATGGGGTCTGCCATTAACTTTGAATCGAAGAAGATTGTTCTCGATAATGTTTTTGCAATGGCTAACAATCTCCAGGACGATTGGGCGTACTGGAGCATGGAAATCGTTGCCGCCTAATCGGATCGTTCCACACTCAACGAACTTGGCTAGGATCCCTTGCAGTTTGTCAGGGTACCGGGCACCAAAATGGTGGAGGAAGTTAAAGAAATGTGAATCTCTCTGATCATTGGGTGTTGTCATGAGAGTATTTATCACCTTTTCACCCATCTGAATGGCTTCTTCTCGGCGGATATCTGGACTTGCATGTGTTTGTGATTCACCAGTTTCAGATCTCGCTCGAAGAACGGATGCGTAGAATAAACCAAGACCAAGCATTCTAGAAATAACAGCATGAAAACGAAGCTCCAAAAGAGAACACATAGCCATCAGTTCATATTCCTCTCCCATTCCTGATGCCTCTGATAGTAGTTGATAGGCAGAATTGATCTCGGCCAGGCATTTCTTTTCACCCTCTTCGACGACGATATAAGTCGACTAGGATTCATCCAAGTCTGCTTTGAATCCGCCATGCACTCAATTTGCATATATGTCGCTATGGTCCATTTCATATGGAAAATCATAATTGGAGAGCATGGCCATGTCTGCAATAAAGCCTGATAGGCATCGATGTGGGGCTGCATTCGCTGAAGAACATGACGATATGAATGGAGTGACATTGTCAGGAAGTCTCCCAAGAGGAATTCATCCGATATCAACTGAAGACCCTGGATAGACAAAATAAGGTCACGCTCCATCTCTACGCTATCAATTGCATTCGTCCCTGTGAAGGGTGCGCGTTCAGGTTCAGGTAGTAATTCTAGACGTTCAGCGATCCGATATGCAAGATTGATATACAGTTCCGCCTTTACAGCCTGATGCGCAACTCTCTGTGAGGTTGCCAATGCCGTTGGCTTGAATGCTGCGAGGAAGCGACACAGCAGAATCGAATCGGGATGTGTGGGTGGACAGAAAATGAAATCCTGGCCGTATGAGCAGACAGCCGCTTGTAACTTATCTTTCAGAGATCCATATAGCTGACGGATCTCCTGGATCTTTCACAGGCTGTGAGGCAAAGTACTGCGAAGAGAAGCTTTTTTGCAACATTGTTAACGCTCTGCTCAGTAGATAGCTCGCTCTCTCAAGTTCACTAGACTTGGTATTCCCAGAACGAAGACCCGTTGCCATACTAGTCTACTCAATGTTAGCTAGCAAATAGCGTGGCATTTATCTTGACGTACAAACTATCCATTGTGATAGCCAAATCACAACTCACAAGGTCTGTGAGTGGGGCGTCCCATGTTGAGACTAATTGAATGCCAGCTCCAAACGAGGCATCTTTGGCCAATATCGAGGCAATTAAAGAACCAGTATTGGTCATAGAATGGTAAAGTTCCTCTTCACCGGATGAAGAATTTGTATCTCGCGTGGTTTGCAGCATCAAGTTGGTATCCATTGCGCCCGAAAAGAGATACTGGCGAATCGAATCCGACAACTTGACGGACTTCTCCTCATCTTGTGCACTTTCCGGTGAGTTGGAAATATCTGAATTTGGAGATTTGTTGAAAATCGCGCGTTTTGCGCGTTTCGCAGCTGGACGTCCGAGATATGTCCGCTCGATTATATACTCGAGATCCAGATTGCGACATCGTTCACAGCTTGTTGCTTCGGGTTGTGGAGTACCCAATGGGTCTAAATCCGTTGAAGGAAGCACACATTTAATTTTGCGGGCTCTACAGCCACGACAAATCAGTCTTGCATATTTGCCCCTTGGACCCCTTTCATTCTTTTGGTCCTGTTCAATTTCCTGGTTGAAATGAAGAAATATGACAAAGGTGAAACCTGCTTGAAGGGGTTGCGGCTGTGGCTGTGACGCTGACGTGGGGAGTACATGCGAGGAATCGCCCCCACCGTCAAATGTTATGGGTAAGGCTTGAGTTTGATTACTGATCTGCACTGAAGTGGATTGTTCATTGGCTAGATCATATCCTAAGACAAATTTGTCAATGATCCTCATCTGAGCCAGCTAATCAAAGTGAAGCAAGCTGGAGACGTTATGGGTCCTAGGTCCCTGAAAAGCATGGATTTTCTACATTCCTTGAATCAGGCTGAAATTGAATACCAATCAGGGGATTGGATTATCGGGGAAGAATTCCTGCACCGGAGTTTAAGAATACGAAGAAATAGCATATTATCAACTCAAATTATAGGGAACTGATAAATAAGTTCAACATTCAACAGGGACGTTGTCGCAAGGTTGTTCAATGTCAGATCATTAGCCAGTTTGACGAGAACTGGATAAAACAATAGGATAATCCAATGACTCAATATCGCTGGAAAACTGTAGATTATTATCCTTCCGCACTTTATCCATGATTTGCATAGCAATTAATGATTGATTCCATGGCATCAGCGGACTTTCAACTCGACCTTCCTGTATACATCGAGCAGCTTCATCAGCTTCGAAACATAGCCCATGCACATCTGGCATTTCATTCTCGACTGTCTTTGACAAAGTACCTGCAGCACCAAATGACTGCTCCCTTTTAATCACGCACATTTTCGATGGCCGCCATGCGGGACCAAAAAGCTGAATTTCGCCCGTCTCGCCTTGAATTCGAACCACTGGAGTATTCCCATCGTAATTATCTGCGGCTGATATACTTGCGTTTGCGATAGTCAAAATATCTGGACCGGTTGGGTCGCGGGAAGCGAATCTCATAAGAATTGACATGGATTCATCTACACCTGTTTCAACATGCTTCGAGACAGTGGACAAGATATCCAGCGGATGATTCGGTCTGAGAGTTTGCAGTATCCAGTGTATAGGGTATGCACCCACTGTAGGTCAATTAGACAAGAAGTGGAATATTGAGAGTCACATACAATCCAACAAAGCGCCTCCACCAAGTTCTTTTCGTATCATCCGATCGCTCGGGGGCCATTCAGTCGAATCATCCACGCCCAGTCCGTTATCCGCAATGACCCGAATGATATTCCCAATTGTACGATATTTCAAGGCACGATGAAGCTCTTGGCCGACAGGTTGAAATCGTGTCCACATTCCTTCCATCAAGAACAGCCCCTTTCTCGCTGCGACCGAAAAAAGTTTCCTGGCTTGATCTGCATTCACCGTGATCGGCTTTTCGCATAGAACGTGTTTTCCGGCCTCCAAGGCGAGCATGGCATTTTGAAAATGGTGAGAGTGGGGACTGGCAATGTATACAATGTCAATATCTGGGTTCAAGACCAGGTCGGAGTATTTATCGTATATGCAACATGTTGGTGGACCGTTTATAGCTTGGAGAAGTTGTCTTGCCGAAGTGAGAGAGCTAGATGAAGCCACACCAGCGAGAACGTGGGTTATATCGGTGACTCCTCGTGAAGTGGCATAGACGAGAAGATCATTTGCAAATACTGTATGTATATGTGAGTGATGTCTTGGTAATTGTTCACTTTTTCATACCTTTTGCTACTCTTCCCGTCGCTGATCAATAGTCAGTGAGTTCTTTCCAAGATTGTTCCGTCTAAAATCACTCACCAAAGATTCCCCAACTCAGTTCCATTTCGATGCAAATGCGATGCGATAAATTGCAAATAATACTTGTTGGTATCTTATGTAGGCCATCTTTATGGTTTCACATAGGATTCCAATAGAGTTCTGTTGCACGCTAAGAAGGTTGTACAGAGTTAATGTGATCACGAGTGAGATTTACCAGCCTCCCCATGCTACGAGATCCGGTCATCCTTCAATGGCTAGTTTTATAAAGCTTATTCTTGTGGATTCTGTGTAATATTATGTGAATCTTATACCACGACCGCTGGGGATTTATGAGATCCTAGTTATTACATCTATGTTGAGATACAGCATTTGAGCTTGAATCCAATGACGGTCTTGGGAGAACAAATCACTGCCACTTTCACAACCTGGACTTGAAAGAACATTGAGAACATATTGCCCGGCTTTTTCTATTTCGAGTCATTGCAAAACCCTGCGGGCTCGAGTTATCACAATCCACCATGTCTTCTTCATCGAAGAGAATCACTGCAACAAGCAGCACGGTGATCGGAAATGAATTGGACTACGCTCGAGAAGTTTTAAAATCTGGGAATTTGAACGGAAAAGGGAAATACTCGAAGCTCTGCGAAAAATGGCTTGAGAGTTTCATGCACGGTGGCCGAGCTTTTGTTGTATCCTCTTGCACCTCAGCGCTCGAAATTGCCGCAATACTCGCGGATATCAAACCAGGTGACGAGGTTATTGTCCCAAGTTATACCTATGTCACCACTGTCAACTCCTTTGTTCTTCGTGGGGCTACGCCCGTGTGGGTAGATCTTGACAAGGGAATGCATATCGATGCCTCACTCATTGAAGCTGCGATTACCCCGAAGACCAAGGCCATCATTCCAGTTCATTATGGAGGTATTGCCTGTGAAATGGATACCATAATGGATATTGCCAAGCGAAACAACTTATTCGTATGTGAGGATGCGGCGATGGCTTGCAACTCAACATATAAAGGACGCATGCTCGGTACCATCGCACCGGTCGGTTGTATCAGTTTTCAAGAGAAGAAGAATTTCACTGCCGGTGGTCAAGGCGGAGCTCTTCTGATAAATGATCCCAACCTCATCGAACGAGCTGAGACCATCTATGAACATGGTACCAATCGGGCGCGTTTCATACGTGGCGAGGTTGATCGATATGAGTGGATCGACTTGGGTGTAAACGCCACTCTGACTGAGCTCCAAGCAAGTTTCTTATATTCTCAGCTTCAGGCCTCGAGATTCATCAGCATCAGAAGGCTGTATCTTTGGAATCGCTACCACTCAGCGTTAACACCGTTATTGAAAAGAGGATGCATTATGCTTCCCGAAGTACCAAAAGATATAACACACAATGCGAACGTGTTTTGGATCAGAGTCACCGATCCCACACAGCGGGATGATCTAATCCGGCATCTTGATCATGCCAATATTGAAGCACACCCTCAATTTATGCCGCTCCATCTGTCGCCATATGGCCAGAGGATTGGAAGATTTTCGGGTGACGATCGGGTTACTACGATGGCGATATCACAGATTTTGATTCTACCGCTGAGTATGATAATGACTAATGAAGAGCAGAATATGGTCATTCGTGAGATTTTTTCGTTCTGGCAGCCTGAGCTCGGGGATAGGAAGTTCGGTGACTCAAATGAAACGAGGGATAGCGAAACGACTGAGTGTTCCTGATGAAGATACCTATGTTCTGGCTTTTTACCCTAAATCATGGTAAATCGACCTTGAATATTCTACTAGTATTCCAATGAATCTGCTATTTTTGGATGGCTCGCGTCCATGTGATTTTCAATGGATTGTAGTAAAAGAAATTAATTCGTTGGCTCGTGATACATACAATCATGCTCTCAATGCTGCTCCTCGGCAGGCAAGGTGATGTGTACAGCACGCTGCGCATAGTCACGGTTTCCCTCATTTTTCTTCGCAATGAAGCTCGTGATATGCTCTGGTACTTCGCTTATCTTATTGTTGACACTCGGAATAGGATCGCCAAACGTCTCCCACACAGGTACCACGCCAGTCCAAATGCGATTAGTGACCTCCTCATTCCCTGTATCTTTGCGCTCATCTGAAACTCCTCCGTCACGAATCTTACCGCTGCCATCGACGATGGTAACCTTGAGAATAACCGTCGAGGACATTTCTGCACGGTCGGGCGGGACTCGTGAGTTATCCCATCGATCTGCAACCACCGAGTTTGTGATCAGCTTCATGGCCCAAAGCTTCTCTTCCTCAGAAGTGACTAGCTTCGCGTATCCATGCAGGACCACAGATCGGTAATTGTAACTGTGAGAGTTCGGTGTAAGAGATAGGATGATTCCATCGACCTTGCTTGTCGCAATGCAGATAGGAAGACCCTGGTCTGCTTCAGAGTTCCGTGCAAGGTTCATGATCCGCGAACTGACGTAGCCATGCAGATAGCATTCTTGAGGCTCATCGATCCCAGCCGATGGGTAGTCGAAGGATCCCATCTGTCCAATCATGGGTAGGATAGTTGGGAATGGATCATCAGGACCAGGGTTGAAAGATACATGGAGCACCTGCGACGCATTCACGATGGAATGGATTCCACCCAAGTCATAGGTTGCTATAACCGTTAGTTCTGAGTCAGTCTTCGGAATGAGTCACCTACCTCGATGCTTATAACGATTCACGGTATTCGCTTGGCCTTTTGGGTAGGTGAGTGTTCGTCCCATTCTGTGATTGTTAACTCAACGAAGAGTGCCAAGTTGAAGAAAATAATATTGAGACTGAAGTAAATGACATGACAAGTCAACAGGTCGTGAGGCTTTTAAATCATAGTGCTCGGTATACCGCGACAAGATAGGGGAAAGTTCCGACGCGCTTCCATTACCTCGTTGCAGTAGGTCCAGCCGAACGTCTCTGATACGATTGGTCCACCTTTCAATCTGCATAGATCGATCAGTCATATTATAGCGGGGTATAGAAGCGATGAAAATTATTATAAGCCAGTTATATTTCTAATCGTCTTATTGTGATTGGTTATAATCTATATGTGCTGACGGATCTACATGCATTCTATTTTGTGTCATGTAGCGACTTCCTTAATGTTTAGCGTTCAAGTACATTTTTAAAGATACTCAATCATTACGAAGAGATTCAATATTATCTAATAAGAAAATTGTGATTCCCCAAATTCAGTATGACTTCCAAGGTTATCCGTTTCTTCATATCTCCGGGGACTCAACCATTGCTGGGGCCCAATACAGACTCGGAGCGGAGCGCTAAACCAAAACTGATCCAAGGCTCAAAATGAACTATACCAAATTCAAATAAATTTTCTGGTGGGATGGACAAAAGAAGAGACCGAATTTCTGAGCTTGCGGGAATAAGATGGTAAATCAGTGTTTTTCAGTTCGTAAACCCCCAGTCTTCTACAACATTTGAACTCCGATACAATCCTAGCAGCTCATAACTTGAACTACTTATGACTCCACGATGTCCGAAAGCTGGAGTCATCTTACTCAAAATCCACTCAGTACCACGCCAGGATTTTTAGGCGAGATCTATACTGGCGAGATGTATCAAATCAAGTCAGGTACGTCCTTCATACTGTGATCGCTTATCATTTTCTTGAAGTGCCAGTTCCACTAACAAAATCCAGAGCCGACCTACGGCCCAAATAATCAACCATCAACCTCGACTATAGAGAGTGCCGTGTCAGCTTCAACTAATATTGAAGCTCAGTCCGATGAGAAGAATTCCAAAGAATATCTGCCGGGTGAAAGTTGGTGGGCTCATTGCCTACGTACAACATCCCGCTGTACCATCTATGTCACAATCGGCCTTTTTCTTCTTTGCATCGCCATCGCTACGGTATTAATTCTTATGGCTACCAATGTCATATATGTTCCTCCTAGGAACCACACGGGCAACCGCTATGCACCCTCTGGGGTAATAGATGATCCTACTAAACCCATCCGTCCACTGATGTATGGGGCCTTGATGAATCGGAGTCAGATCAGCACTGGTGTTGAAATCTTGCCAATAGACACAACTGTTTCTCTTCCCACCGTGACTGATCCCACTGGTCCCACTGTCAGTATCTACCCCATTACAGATGATACAGTGACTATTAAAAAAGATGGGTTCGTGACACAGGTTCGCCCTTCCCCCACACAGCACTGAACTCTCAACTTGAACTTTGAGTATCAGAAAGATTGATGGGTGAAGATTTCAGAAAGGCATGGTTGAGAATGATGTTACTGTTATGTGTTAGGCTCCTCGACTTATGGTCTTTTGTTCTCAAGTTGTTGAAATGGTAATTGATTGTGTTTTAGCTGTGGTGTTCAAGTTTATCCTTGGGGATGAGAATTGAATTGGCCTGTTTCAAGTTCAAGTTTCGAATAATATGTTTAAAATTGATGTTTTCAGATGTTTGAATTCTGATTGAAGGTCACCCCAGATGATCGTTGGAGAAAAATAGCAATTTGTGCAATTTGAATGTTTCTTCCAAGCTTGTCTTCACTGAAATAGTTGACGTTTATATGTACATTTCGACTTAAACTTGAAGTTAGTGGTGGTCCATGTTACCACTAGTATGTAGTTGCCGGATAATCGCTGGCAGCGACCCATGTAGGTAGAGTACTAGTAGTGGCTTCAAGTTTCCCCCATGCTCATTGCTTTTTCTTTACTCTGTACGGAGTAAGATGGGTTCAATGGTCCAATCCCATTCAAATGTCCAACTCGCTAGGATTCTCCACAAGCGACGTCATAGCTCGGTGTCCAATTTTCGTCAAATAGTATCAAAACTGAGTGCACACGTCCAAGTATCCGATAGAAAAATGGTGGAAGAAAATTGAGTTCAACATAATTCTGGAGGACCACCAAAGCTTTTTCTTGTCTTTCTTTTTGGTTTTTCTTTGCGTTAGTAGTGGTGAAGACCGAAACTATCTGAGGAGCATAGCCGTTCGGCCCGTTCGGCATCCAGAAGTAGTTCCGATGCCGCGGAGTTGCGTCAGTCGCCATATCTTAAATATCTTAAATGGCGATTAAATCACCTTCATTCTCTTCTGTAAATTCTCAGAGCACACAATGGCAGCATTAAGAGTGACATCTGCATCTCTATCGCGTAAAGCGATCACCTCGTGCCGGCCACGACTCTACCTCGGTCTCCGCACCAGTGTGCGACCGTTGCTTCCGATAACGCGTAGCACCCCTCACACCTATTACTCAACAACTGCTCCTCGACTATCACTGGCACCTAAGATCGAGCGTGGCGGCTCAAAGGTCTTCAAAAATGCAGACGAGGCAGTTGCTGACCTCAAGAGTGGCTCGACAGTGTTGAGCTCTGGCTTCGGCCTGTGTGGTGTTGCTGGTAAGTGAATCGCACCGGGTGACACGACCCCTTGTTAATGTTAATTTCTCATAGAAACTCTCATCAATGCTATGCACCGTCGTGGTCCTGATCAACTGCACTCCTTGACGGCTGTTTCGAATAATGCTGGTGCCGCGGGTAAGGGCGGACTCTCGACGCTCTCACAGTCTGGTCAGGTGAATCGGTTAATATTGTCATACCTGGGAAACAACAAGGCGTTGGAAAAGAAATATCTATCTGGAAATATTGCAATTGAGCTGTGTCCTCAAGGAACCCTGGCTGAACGCTTGCGTGCTGGTGGAGCTGGCATTCCTGCGTTTTTTACAGCCACGGGCGTTAGTGAGTGACCACGACCCCCAAACCTGAATGCCAATTCGAGATGACGAATCTAATCGGCCATTAAAGACACATTCATTCAAGAAGGTAAGATTCCTGTTCGTATGGATGAGACAGGAAAAGTTCTTGAGTCCGGCACACCGCGTGAGACTCGTGATTTCAACGGCAAGAAATATTTGATGGAAACTGCCTTGACAGGTGACGTGGCTATTCTGCGCGCTTGGAAGGCTGATGAGGCTGGCAACTGTGTATTCCGGTAAGTTGCAGTATGCGCGTCACAAATGAGTCCATACTAATGAACCTTGTCAGATACACAACCAAGGCCTTCGGACCTATCATGGCCAAGGCTGCTACACTCACTATCGTGGAAGCTGAAAATATTGTTCCTGTTGGCTCTATCGATCCCAATGATGTTGACCTTCCGGGCATCTTTGTTGATCGAATTGTGCCTGCAACCGATGAGAAGCATGTCGAAATCAAGAAGTTGCGAGAGAGTGAGACAGGTAGCGCGGGCGAGTCAGCGAAGGATGAAGCTCAGATTCAAAGGGAACGCATCGGCCGGAGAGCGGCGAAGGAACTCAAGCAGGGATTTTATGTCAATCTTGGTGTTGGTGAGTAATCATGCCGACCTTCAGTTGTACGGTTATTGACCAAATCAGGTATCCCAACACTCGCTCCATCTTTCTTGCCTGAGGATGTGAAAGTGTGGGTGCAGTCCGAGAACGGAATCTTGGGAATGGTAAGTTTGATCACAAATAAAGCTTGAGTCCTCTTCATGCTTCATAAATCGGACCTCACTGACCATCTCACAGGGTCCATACCCGACCGAGGACGAATTAGACCCGTAAGCTGTCGCTCTCCAAGCTGATTATCCCGGCTCTGGCACTCACAATTTCTCATAGTGACATTATCAACGCTGGAAAGGAGACGGTGACCTTGGTCCCTGGTGCTGCAACCTTCGACAGTACAGAGTCATTCGGTATGATCCGAGGAGGCCATGTGGATGTTTCGATTTTGGGAGTAAGTTGAGCCCATTTTTCAAGCCCGGTGTTTTTTCTTCTAATCATCAAAACAGGCCCTTCAAGTTAGCGCAAACGGTGATCTCGCAAATTACATGATCCCAGGCAAGGTCTTCAAGGGTATGGGCGGTGCCATGGATCTTATCTCGAACCCGGACAAGACTAAGATCGTTGTTGCGACGAGCCACGTTGCCAAAGATGGATCTCCTAAGATTGTGCAAACTTGCAGTCTGCCCTTGACTGGTGCGAACGTAGTGAGCACTATTATCACCGACCTGGTAAGTCATTCAAATTCCAGTTCTCGACGCGTCTTACTAACGTATTTCAGTGTGTTTTCCAGGTAAACCGGGCTACTGGTGAGCTCACCTTGACTGAGCTTGCTCCAGGTGTTGAGGTTGAGGAGATTCTCAGCAAAACGGACGCCAAGTTCATTTTGGCTGAGGAGTTGTCCATCATGGAGTGACATCTGGAATAGCCACCTGGACAGTAGTAAGCGGACATCTCCGCATGAACTAAGGAATTGTATACAGTAAATGTATCACAGAACGTTATTTACGCTTGAAGTTTTAGTCCAACTTTTTCCATCGCTAGCTCACTAGCAAGCTGCTCTATGTAATTGTAGTATGATTATGAAATCCAGAAGTTCAAGTTGTGTATTTCAGCTAAAGCTGAAGTTCTGTAATTTTCTATTTTCTGTAGAGTTTAAAGCAATTATAGGAGAATGGCATATGGGTCATGACTGCTATTTCTTTTTAGTGGCTGACCCCCGCGAGAGAATCTGGTATTTAACACTGTCTCTGGACAATTCGGCTGGATATCCAAAGAAACATCATATGAAATCTATTGTGAAATTCCCAGTTCCGCCAGGATCGCCTCATTATGCTCACCAACCTTAGGAATCGACCCCATCTGAGCCTCATATCCGCCCTGATCTGCGCTCTTCGTGGACCCTGGCGGCAGAAGAGCTTTCACTTTACCGATCGGAGTCTGCACTTCAGTCCATCGATCCCGAGCTTTAAGCTGAGCGTGGTTCCAAACGCCTTGCATGTCATTGACACTGGCATTGGCGATCGATGCACCTTCAAGTCGTGCAATAGTCTGCTCAGCAGTCAAGTCCGCGAAAACATTGCAAATAATCTCCTTGAGCGCGTCCCGATTTTGTGTCCTCAGAGAGTTGCTTGAAAAGCGAGCATCCGTGGCAAGCTCGGGCTGCGAGAGAACATCATTACAGAAATTCACCCATTCCCGCTCGTTCTGAATACCCAGCATCACAGATTGGCCATCACCAGTTTCGAATGGCCCATATGGATATATGGCAGCGTGCGATGCGCCAGCCGGCGTCGGCTCCGGCGTGCCGTTGAAGGTATAATACATGGGAAATCCCATCCACTCAACCATGCTCTCCAGCATAGAAATATCAATACGGCATCCTTTTCCATCTTTACCCCGCTGCAAAAGGGCCGAGAGGATGTTGCTGTACGCATACATGCCAGCCGAAATATCAGCGATGGAGATGCCGACCTTTGCTGGTTCTTTTCCAGTTCCGGTAACAGAAAGCATGCCGGCCTCACTCTGAATCAAAAGATCATATGCTTTCTTATCCCGGTATGGTCCATCCTGGCCATATCCCGAGATATCACAGACAATCAAGGATGGGTGCCTTTCCTTGAGTGCGTTATGCGACAAGCCTAATCGTGCCGACGCGCCCGGGGCCAAATTTTGAACCAGTACATCCGCCCGAGCAAGAAGTTTCATGAGCACATCGTGATCTTTTTTCTCTTTCAGATCAAGCGCAAGACTTTCCTTTGATCGGTTGGTCCACACGAAATGCGAGGCCAGGCCGTTGACGCGTGTATCATACTGCCGGGCAAAGTCACCCACAACGGGGCGCTCAACTTTGATGACTCGTGCGCCGAGGTCTGCTAATTGACGGGTGCAAAATGGTGCCGCGATTGCTTGTTCCAAGCTCACTACCGTGATGCCGGCAAGTGGAGCTGGGCGATGAGAAGAGGCAGTGCTTGAGTATCGCCGGGAACCGAGCTGTGATAAGCCCCGGATTGCAAGGGTAGCCTTATTAAATTTCATGATTTAAGGAAGAATATTGAGACCCTATGAACGGAGTGAATTCGCTGAATTTAATATGTAGTATGTCTACGCGCGGCCAATATTATTCATCTCGGCGATCGGTGCCAGGTCGCCGAGAACTTGAAGCCGAGTCGGCTATATGAAAACCCCAGTATATGTAGGTATTTACACGGGCTACACCGATCCCTTGGATGATCCGGTCGCAATAATTTGATTATTACCTGTCTAAATATTGATGAAGAATTCAAGATATCTCTATTCTCGGAATTTACCAAATATTTGGTCAATGGGTTCGGGGCCATGGTGGCATTGCTCTGGATGGCTTAAAAGGGAAGCATCTGTTTCGCGTTCACGTACAGTAACAGACTTTAATTAAGAAACCTAGAAGCAACTATGCTACCGCTCACGGAGTCCACTTTTCAGCCCTTAAGCCATTGCTTTAGTTGTACCCAGTTTACTATGCCGCCGACCCCACCTCAACTGAGCAAGTAATACGGTCACCGCTATAAGCGCCAAGACTACCACGAGGATGGTGACGACAACCAAGACGGCAATGCTAAAGACCCAGCTTGTCCATGAAAATCCATCCCATTCATTTTGCGTGTTGGCCTCAACGGCCAGTGCAACCTGCATAGCAGATAACGTGACCGAAAGGGTACCAAAGATGAAGACGAAGGGAGCGATTGAGGCCTGAACAAAAGCACTCGTGTCCCAGTACAGCTGCTGGTAGTAAATGCGGCCGAGAATGCCATGATAGCGGCGACTAGAGGGCTGGAATAATCGGATAGCCCAGTTAAGCCGTGAGAGGCGAATCTGGCCGTAGTGGTAGCGTTGGGATACCTCATCGTCTCCTTTGTCTCGAAAAGGCATGGTAAGCCGTTGGAAGTCAGCAAAAGATATTCGGTCCTTTGAAATCATGTTCTTTTCTTGGGCTAACAGGAAGTCGCTCTCATAGCGGATGAGACGGGTATATGAACGGATGAAGCCCGTGGCATCAAGACGAGCACATCCTACTGAGCCCTTTTCGTTGGTTACCCCGGTTTTCGGGAGGTGTTTCTTCCAGAATTCTGTATCGAGCAGCCATAGTGGGAGAGGCTTAATCCAAATGGTTTTCTTGTGCCAGATCAAATGCAGCTCTGGGTCTTCTGTCACGACCAGCTCTCTGTTCTTGACAAGGTTGCTGTGTAGCGCGTCGATATGCATACCTGAACGTTTGGCAACCCAGTGCATGTAGGGATAGAGGGCCTTAATAGTCGGACATGTTAGTTCCGCCTGGAGAACTTGCTTGATGCTGTCTTACTTCGACTCTGCTGGGAGGGGCCAAATATCTTTGAAACACTTTTTAGATGCCACATTTTCGAACCAAAATGAGGAGGAAGATGACGAAACTGTTCGAGGCTCCATGTTTATAAATGGGGCATAACAAGAGTTAAGACGGAAAAGAAGAGATAATTTGTCTGTCTCTTTGAGTTTACAGGGTACTTGTGGCCTCTTTCAGGATCTCACGCCTAGAAAACCAACGTCGGCATAATCGGACTCATAACAGAACTCAGTAATCATCTGATTTTATCATTGCCCAGGTGATTGGACTAGTTAACTTTCTGGCTGACTGATTCGCCCGAATTAGCGCCTCCGAGTCAGCCTCCAGGGCTGTGGGTATAGTTCGCCCGGGCAAATATGATGCATCTATCCAGCCACTATGCATGCCCGGGCGGAGATGACCCACAAGCCCTGCATCTGCTTTTCCCCGCAGACTGGACTCCAAGTTTGCATGTGTGTTAAACCATTTCCACTTTGTTCTTCTCATTCCAGAGACAGATCTCGCGCTTGAAGCCAGAGCACGGCCTGCCGGCCACTTTAACAATTCTGAAAGTCATGGGCACATTTCTGCGCTATGAGCTCGCTTTCTGGGTCGTCATTGTGGCGGCCTCGGTGCCGTATGATCTCTACTACCTCGTCACTTCGCTCAGTGTCTGCGCGACCCGTCTACATTTGGTTCTGTGGCCATTTGCGCGTTTCCCGATAATCCCACGGTTTATTTTGGGCAGCCTATTGATCTGGTGCTACTTCCTTACGCCGTCTCATGTTTTTACTTTCACTCTTATGGACCTTTGGACCCCATACTTGATACACCTACCGTTAAATCCCGTTGAGATAGTGTATGATCCTGGTGAGAGCGCAGTTGTTGAGTATGAAGATACAAAAGACTAGTTCTCCGCTTGCAACTGACTGACTGCATATAGTGTCTTCGCCATCCATGGCCTTGGATCAAAACCTGATAGTGCATGGACATATAAGGATAACGCAACGGAGATACGTTGGTTGAAAGATATTTTGCCAAAAGAACAGGGCCTGGTCAATAACAGGATGGTGATGGTAAACCACCGAACTCAGTGGGATGCAAATACTGTCGATGCCAACTTCGAAGATCACGCAGAAATGATTCTCAAAGAGGTCGAGAGCGTTCACAATGTACGTGCCCGCCATCTGAGCAATTTCCTGGCAAAGGTATTGAATCATACAGAGCGATCAACGACGACCGATAATTTTTATCGCACATAGCTTTGGCGGGCTGCTTTGAAACAGGTATTTTATTCCTTCAGAGATTGCTGAGCGTATTGTTAAGTGAAATGTAGACTCTCCTTCTCGCAAAGTTGCGGTCCAGTCCTGTTGCCACAATGGCGAGAGGAATACTTTTTCTTGGAGTCCCTCATAGTGGTACCAGGACAGCATTCATTGGGTCTCTTCTGTCCTGTACAGCGTATTGGCGTGGCTCTTCTACAACTTTGCTTGAGCATATGGCCCCTGGCTCCGAACATATCAAGGACCTCGAAAGAAAGTTTTATGATATCTATGCTCATCCTCACTCGACTCACACTTTTCTGCCTTACATATGTGATTTTCAGGAAATGCGATCGGAGACATTGGGAAGATTTTCTCTAGGACTGGGGAGTTTTCAGAGCTATAAATCTGGTTACAGCGTTTAACTGTGAAGCAAAACCAGACAGTCGATCGCAACTCCGGGAGATCTTCCCATGGAGATGTGGTTCAGCTTGACACAGACCATCGTGGGTTGAACAAGTTCAGATCACCCCAAGACCCGAATTTTCGGCGCTTTCTAAGGCATTTTATCCTGGCATACGAGGCTGCAACAAGTTTAAGTGAGTGCCTAGTAGCTAACTGATGGAATTGAAAGGATACCCAATTGAAATGTTCACTTCATACTTATTCGCCTTCCAGGAAAGCCTGGGCATCATGAGACTGGAGGAGCTTCTGCTTACCCAGGTGCCAATTTCAGAGAATATCACATCCCTTTACAATTGGATTTCTTCAGAAATGATAAATTTACTGGTCGAAGGGATGTCCTCGAACGCATACATGGATCCTTGGGTGGTCACAAAGAACACAGTCAGCCCAATGTTGTTGTTCTGCATGGAATGGGAGGAATAGGTAAGACTGAGCTCGCTGTCGAGTATGCTCACTTGCATCAGGAAAGCTATAGCTCTATCTTTTGGATTGATTGCTCCACGGAGAATTCAGTGCGCCGTAGCTTCTTACGGATTGCAAATCGAGTGTTCAGACACTATGCGGGCGAGGCAACTGAAACGGTGACTCCAAATGCTTTCGCTGCAAGGCTCGGGCTGAAGGGGTCAGCTGATCAGAAAGGCCTCAATTCAACTCTAGACAAAAATGCCTTGGAAGTCGTGGAAGCAATGAGACACTGGTTTGCAGAAGGTCTCAACAGAGAATGGCTACTTATATTTGACAATCTTGACGATCTGGAAGCGTTCAATATCATGGACTATATTCCAAGAACCGCATGGGGTAGCATCCTCATAACGAGTCGACGGCGGGGATTTTTGAGCTATGGAACCGCCATAGAAATTTCAGAAATGAGCCCAGAGGAAGGCTTGTCACTGCTGGTGAAGACCGCAAGGTTTGGTCGTGATCTCAACTCTGATGGTACGCTTTTCAACGACTCCATTTGATGCACTGGTTTTTTGACACAATGTAGAGCAACGACTAGCGTTGAAGCTGTTGCAGTCACTTGGAGACTTCCCTCTAGCTATTGAACAAGCTGGGGCATATATTTCTCAACGCATTTCTGACGATTCTGGGTCCTATTGTCGCGCTCTGGAGAATTACCTCGACTCATATGAGAGAAATGCCAAAATGCTCCTACAGTACAAGCGGCTTTCTGTTATTTGGAGCAACCGCAATGATTCTGCTTTGACAACATGGGAGGTGTCGTTCAATGCAATCAAACAAGAGAGCACAGAGGCGTCAGATCTACTTCAACTGTGTGGATTCCTCGAAAACAATGACATTTTTGAAGAAATGTTCAGTCTTGGCCGCAAGCTGCCTGCCAATGGTGAGTTCAAGTGCTGACTCGAAGGATCCCGTGCCCTGACTTCTCCTTTCCCAAGATACAACAATCCAGGAATCGCTCTCCAAGTTAGCTTCGTATTCATTAGTAAGCTTCAGAGGTGCACGCGACGCATTTTCCATTCACCCTTTGGTCCATCTTTGGGTGCGAGAACGCCTGACACTGGACGTACAGCAGCGACTAGCAAATGAAGTAGTCCAACTGGTTGCTCGCGGGCTACGCCTCAAAGAGGAAAATGATTATCGAGACTCTCTGTCATTCGAACAACGCATTATTCCTCATCTTGACAAGGCTGTGAATAACATGCAGAGATTCCTGAGCTCCTCCACAACAGAAGTCAGCATACGACCGCCTTCAAATTCTATCAGTCAAAGCCGAGTGTCAATTTTGTATGATATTGCGGAAGGATGGTATCTATGGGTCTGGGGAGCCATGAGCGACATCTCAATTTCCTGCCGCCACTTTTTACTTTCAGACATCGAGTCAATCAGTGAGAAATGGCAACTAGCATACAAATTTGGCGACGTATATCGGAATCAGAGCCTCTACAAAAGCGCAGAGCAAATTTACCGATGGGCATTCACAGAGGCGCGCACACGGCTACACGGAAAACATCCAAAAGCCCTTGGAAATCGCTGGCGACTTAGCTTGGGCAATAGTTTTGCAAGGGCAATATGATGATGCTTCGGATTGGTACAGCTGGCTTCTTACATCGCGGAAGAAAGTACTCGGCAAAGGCCATCATGCAACACTTGGTGCCTTGAAAGGTCTAGCCTCTATTTCAAAATACAAAGGAGATTATGATAAATCGCTGCAGCTGTACTTTGAGGCTTTGGCTGGACGTCAGAAGAGGCTAGGGCAAAATGATACAATGACATTAAATGTCATGTTGGATATTGCAGAAGTCTCCCAGTACCAAGGAAAATTCAAGGAGGCGTTAAGATGGTATGAAAGAGCCCTTGCTGGACGACAAGGGACTCTTGGAGAGAAACATGAATCTACGCTGCAGACAATCAATAACATTGGCTTCCTCTTCAAAAGCCAAGGAAAGCTTGAGGAAGCATTAATATGGTATGAACAAGCCCTTGTCGGGCGACGAGAGACGCTTGGAGAGAAACATAAATCTACACTCCAGACAATTCATGACATTGGCCTCCTCTTCCAGGGCGAAGGCAAGTATGAAGAGGCATTAAGATGGTACGAAGAAGCCCTCCCTGGGCGACAAGAGACGCTTGGAGAGATACACAAAGATACACTACATACTATTCATAATATTGGGTTTGTCTTTCAGGGCCAAGGAAAGTATGAGGAGGCATTAACATGGTACAAACGAGCCCTTGCTGGGCGACAAAAGACACTTGGAGAGAAACATGAATCTACACTACAGACCATTCATAACATTGGTCTCCTCTTCCAGCGCAGAGAAAAGTATGAGGAGGCATTGGTATGGTATGAAAGAGCCCTTGCCGGGCGACAAGAGACGCTTGGAGAGAAACATGAATCTACACTGCACACTATCCACAATATTGGCGATGTCCTCCAGGGCCAGAAAAAGTATGAAGAAGCGTTGAAATGGTATGAAAGAGCCCTTGCCGGGCGCCTGAAGACACTTGAAGAGAAGCATATAAATACACTGGACACTATTTACAACATTGGCCTCGTCTTCCAGCAGCAAGGAGAGTACGAAGAAGCGTTGAGATGGTATGAGCAAGCCCTTGCTGGGCAAAAAGAGACGCTTGGAGAGAGCCATAAATATACGCTGCAGACAGTTCACAGCATTCGCCTCATGCAGTGATCTCGTTAGATGATTGAGTGGATTAGCATTACACGGCACTGCACATGTGGATTTGGCCGGTTGAAATATGAGTATGTAGCCTGGTTTATATCATTCATTGTACATAGTAGTATCTGAGTCCAGCATCCGCTTATGCCATATCTTTCGTTCCAGGGTCAAACCGAAGTGCTCTTCGGCGCTCTCCGAGTCCTATTTTGCACGCACATCCATCATGAGCACACCGCTGGCGGAAGACATGAAACCCTTGGGGCCAGTAGGATGATTGGACAGGGAAGTCCGAGTCCATAAACGCAGTTGTTCAGGGCTGCGATGATACTCCACTGAACAGTAACAGCGATCGATTTGTCGTGGACTCGAATGGTCATATCCAATTTCCTCATATGTGTTGACAATCCCCATGTCTCTTCTCTGCGTAATCAGACTTTCCTTTGCGCATGAGATGAGTTTTTTTTTAATTTGAGATCTTTTGAGGGACAGTAATTTGATTAGTTGGCATAGATTTCCCAAGTAAACTTCCAAGATTCACGGTGGTGTATTTGTGTCTATACTCCGGAGTACTCCGTAGTAGAAACTCGCGCCAAGAAGATATCAGCTCGAGTCTTCCACAAATTCTTTGACGATCCCTTTCAATAAAAGCTAGAGGGCCTCTAGCTAGGGCTTAAATGACCAATCAATTGAGCCACAGCAGGATTATGAATACCCTGCTTTCTTAATCCAATCAGAGCATGCAGATGACTGGGAACCATAATAGGGAGTGAAGACTCAAAGGTCAAAGACACGGTCCGATCTACGGAGTACAGAACAAGAAATTGAGCCGAAATGGTAACAAAGAAGCCTTCGTCGGGCCACTTCTCCATCATAAAAGCAAATATACTCGTGCCCCGTGGCTCTCCTCGGAGTTGTGTAATCAAACCTTTAACCCATGCGCTGATCATCCGGCACACTTACCGTATGGTTTATAAAAAGTATTTGTACGGAACAGTAATCAGACCTTGGCTATTTCTGCAGCCTTGAAGAGAGCCCAAGCCATCGCTTAAGCAATCCAATCTTAACCCCGGTGATCGCTGAGAAACTCAATTCTAATGATCCCTGAAGCATGGTGGGCCAGACTCCGCTAGAGTGGGGGCGGAGGATACGAGCAACTTTTACCCCTGGCACTCTCTCTTTGTCAACATTGAAGACCATGGACCTGTCCAATTCGAGTAAACCTGATTCTCTTTGAAGGGATGACGAATCCACGGGAGAAAGAGAAACCATCAAGGCCTCCTGCAGCAACGTGTGGCGGAGCCCAACAACTGGGCATATTCTGATCATTATGACTGGCTCCCGATCTGCATGATCCTTGCCCCATTGTCTGCCTGCTCCGTTATGCGGCTTAGAAATTAAACCAGCTTCAGTATTCATGGCCGAAGTTTTCCTTCTGCCTTCAACCCCTCATGGGTCCTTTCCGTTCGTTTTAAAGTGGCCTCTTCTCTAGCTGTTCCTTTCATGAAAGTTTCATGATTTTCCATTCTGTCGCGCTTCTAGGCTCTCCTGATTGTTCCTTTCGCGACCGAGTCCCTGTCATGGGTAGTCAATATGCCGACTACTCCATCTGAGTACGGTGGACTGCTTGTTCCATCCCAGAGTCAAGTGTTGAAAGTAAACCGAGTACCAAGATCATGGAGTTTCGCTTCAGTTTTGGGAGGGGTTATCCTCTTAATTGGGTATGATCAGGTCTGAGATGCGAGTGCGGGGTTGAAAGTTACTAATCGCAGCTGTTGCTGCAGTTATCTCACATTAGCTGTTGTGTTTGGAGACTCGAAAACGGATCCCGAAGTTAACAACACCGCGGCCGTTATTATATCTTTATTCTTCATCGCTCTCTCACATACTGCTTCAGTTGCGGTCGCATTTTTCCAACGTCGGCGAAAGGCCTTTCTCCTGAAATCATTATTTGTGTCAGTTCCCTTCTCCACAATAAACCTCGGCTTCAAGTCCGCTCACAATGGCTAGACCATATACCCTGATTAATTTGATCGCGCTATTCAACATTCTCCTTAATATTTTTGCTCGCAATTTACGACCATTGTCCACACTCCGAGTCGTTGCGGTTGGTTTATCGAGTGGGTTCACTGTAATATACGGATGTGCTGCCCTTTTGATCTATCATGGATATGAATCCACAGAGTCTTATCGGCGAGAAGATGGAAGTCCGCTACTGAGCGATGAGGAAATGCAACGACGACAACTCGCTCGGCTATTGGAAGAGCGATCCGTTATTCAGTCATCACCCGAGACTAGCTTCAGTACATACCGACTTGAGATTCCCACGCTGGAGCCGGTTCAGAAAACCTGGGATCGACATGCAAGTTCACACTCAGGATCCCTGTCTCACTCTCGGTCATGGAGCAGTGTCAGTCAGTCAGTCGTTTGAGAATTTGGAAATGACACATGCTTAGGAATTGAGTTCTGTTTCAAAGTTAACTGTGGACGGATTTGATGTATACATTGACTACCCAGGTGGTTCAGGTTGCTTGATATGTAGTGATTTCAAATTGACATACATCTTTTGTTCAACCAGTGAAGTTATTCGTGAAATCATACGCAATTCAAATTTTGCCATGTGGCATACATCCGATTGTACTAGGCACTCAAGTGCTACCAGATATGTTTAGTTCCAAGGTTGCACCACGTGTGGACCATATGGACGATTCCCCACATAATTCCATGGTTCCTATGATTAATTAGTGCTAATATATGGAGACTCCGAGTTAACTAGTACATATACGACTTCCTACACATGGTTATCTGCACGAGGTCATGCATGCATAAATACTCACTAGTACATCAGGTATGTGCCGATACAAGTGGCAACATCAGAAACTTGGAACCTGCGTATACGGGTAGCCTGACGTCGAGGCCAATTACTTTCTGCCAGTGTGCAATCCCGAGCCGTTATAGGCAGTTCGCGCCTGCATGAGTGCATGTGGCCCGTCTGTGTAAGTAGTATTTTGTTGGAATCTATTTCCGAAGCCAACGTGTTCGTAGCCAACTTTAGGCTGACCAGGGTCTCGTACTATTTAGATTTACGGATCCAAGGCTATTGTCCAATCACGCCACGAGTATCAATGCTCCACATTCCATTCATCTGAGTTTTCTAATGTTCCTTGAAGGTTATGTAGACCCCTGTTAATGGCAACTCAGACGTACTCCGGGACAGCGTACATTGAAGGAGCAAACCATGCCTAGGTGGCCGTCATGGGACCTAAGTATACAGTTCTATACTTGTAGACTGAGATTTAAGACAAAAACCAGAAATGTGCACCAATTTCATTGAAGCTCAGAATCACATGCATAAAGCAAACTTGAACTTGAAGGGGAACCATGTAAAAATAAGAACATTTGAACTTGAAGTGCTTGGTTGAAAACAGCACTTGAGCATAACAACCTTGGAAAACGATAGAATGATCAGAAAGCCGCCCTTTTTTCTTCCAATGAAAATGCAAGATCGATGATTCACACAAGGAAAACAACTCCAATGACGCGTATCACTGATAATTTTGGATGACTTCCATCATTCAACTCGCAGTGCGTCATGCTGGTGATACCTCTTTTTCACACAGTTTCTCTGACGCAACGAGCTCATTATAGTATTCTAGTAATTTTGGTCCCCACACACTCTTGCCTTTATATTCTCCCACATCATCAGGCCATGTATCCATTTCTGTCACCAAGTTCTTAACCTCCTGCATTGGGAGCTGCCTGATTGGAGTCAAGTACGTCTTCACCCCAAACAGAATTGCCCCTGTTTTTGGTAGCCGAAGAAAAGTTTGTCTCTCACGCCGAATGATAATATTATCGGTGGACGGGTCGGTAGGTTGCTTCTCACAAAGTGATCCTGGCCGGTACAAAGTTTCAAGCAGATCCTCATCTGGACGTTTGATCTCAACAAAGTAGTTCGAGCGTTCCATGGGGGATGTTGGTTTCAGAGTAGCAAGAAACCTACTTCACGTCAGGACTGAAAATACAGCTGTTAGGTATGGGGACTATTTTAGACTCACTTGTTCACAGAGTTCTCAGCCTGCTTGTGCCAAAGTGGAACTGGCTGATGCAATTGAGAGATAGTCCAGCCGATTCGATCCTTTACCGTCCACCCTGTTGGAAAAAGACTTGCACTCGCCGCCCTACATTGCATTGGTGAGACATTCAACAAGTGAGCCCGGGACTGATCTTACAAGTAGTATTCTCCGTCTGCATTGGTCATCAAAATGCTCAGATCCTCCATCGTGAGTCGAACCGCTGACTCCAGAGCATCCATATTGCTCTCTGCGGTCTTCTCACTCTTCAAGGGGAACTTCTCTTTTGTGACTCGATTTTCGATATAAGACTCATCCCCGTGAGCCATGGTGCGAAAAACATCGGGGAAACGCTGGCATAGAAACTTCGACACCTCCTCCAATGCTTCCTGGCATCCATCTCTTGACTCAGGTAGGCATTGTATTACCTCATCTCTCTTTTCCTTGAGCAGGCGATCCCTCACACGGTGCTCGTCGAGATAGTTCTTGTCCAATGTCAACCAATTTGCGATATCCAGTCTCCTGATATCCATCATGACACGGTATAGTCTTCGACCCTTAATAGGCTGGGCCGGGTATGGTGCGATGCATTTAAGATCTGAAGGACCTTGACAAGAGCCATGTTCTTGAGCGCCGACGTTTGAGAAAGGCCATGTCCTCCAATGCCAGTATTTTTTTTGATACCCCAGAAGGAGTATGACAATAGAAATAGCAACCACAGAGAAGGTTGTCATACTTTTTCCATGAGCAAGGAATGTGTGTGATGACTGAACTCAATTTGAATTTGGAATAAGTAAAAGCTTTTCCGATGATCACAATTGGGCGTTTTTAGGTGAAGAGAAAAAGAAAAGAAACTGAAGAAACTGAAGCGAGGTCAAAGATGGAAGAAGGATTTAGATAAATAGGCTTTCCCAGATGGCAATGATGATATGACCCAGTCAACATGGAGGCAACAAACCAGAACCCAACAGAACCTGAACATTCAAGACAGCTGATCACCAGACAGCCCCAAAGAAATTTTGAATAAAAAAAGAAAAAAATGAATTAAAAAAACAAAAATTAAAAAAAAAATGAATTCGAACCAAATGATGTAAATTAAACCATAATACCAATACGGATGAAGAAGAATACTCCGTACAAATGATCCTAGTACCAGGCTGAGTCAAGAAAATAGCAAAAAAATAGTATTCAGAAGCAAATAAAGTCCACATTCCCGGATTTAGATAAATAAAGGCGATGAGACTCCTGTGATACGTCCAGGGATTCCCCGCAAAAAAAAAGCCTCAGATCACCTCTAAGCATGATTCGTAGCCACATGATGACCTCTGTCATCAGCTACTCCAACAGGGCTGTGCTAACCTGGCTAGGGTATTCTATGGGGGGGACTCCACTTAGTGGGACCTAGGTAAGAGTCGGGCCTTTGTTCTTTTCCCATACGCAATTGGCGCTTGAAAAGAAAGTACACGGGACGTGCCCAGCAGTGGGCTGACCCAGTGACTAGGCACGATCTAGGCACAATAAATCGTCAAGCTCGCAGAAGAATGTCCGTGCGCGGAGATACTTCCCCCTCCTCTCGTGAACTAGTACTCCGTACATACATCTCCCCCTTATGCCGAAACGAAATCGGGAAACACCCCTCGAGACCATACACAGACGGATATCCTCGGATTTCGGCTTCGCCGTAGCTCATTTGTTTTGCCTTGGGAAGTTCAAATGTTTTAATAAGGAATCATTATTAACATGTTTGTTTGATCTGAGTCACTCTCACCCCTATGATGTTGAAGTTTCTAGCCCCAATGGATCCCATGGATCCCCCCCCAACTGTTTCTGTTTACGCACTTACATGCAAGATCCGACTGGTTCAAACCCTCGATCTAGAGTGCATATCACACTTGTCAACCAGCCAAAACAAGGATGGGGTAAAATGGGGCCTGACGTATCATTCCGAACATCTCCTGTGGCTTATGTGGGGTTGGTTCCTTCGCATTGGGATCCAGTATCCTTCACTTCCGCGGCCCCGATACACATCAAGGTGGTCGGATTGACCGTTAAGGCACATCTCTTATTAGGCTCTTCTCCCCGCAATTGTCATGATGCAGGATTTTTCAAACCCTTTGTATTAATACATAAGGCAGGTGTGCAGGTACGGAGTATACGGAATCACTTCAACCCTGGAGTGCTTGAGTGCTCCCCCCTTGGCGTTGATTTTTGAATCTTTTGGTCAAATGGACGATCACCAGGTCCAGATTAATTTTTATTCCGCCCCAAATTACTCAATTTGCCATGTCTGCTTAACCTGGTACATTACATCTATTTATTTTTTTTTCTGTTTCACGGTCCCACCTGAAGACTCCACACTGGGGTTGCTGCAACCGCTTCCCCTTTTCACGCAAAGCGCGCTTGCCGCAATAGCCACCAGTTTTAAGAATCGCCACATTCACAAATTGAAATTGCGACGATGAGGTCTTGGTATTTAGTTTTTTTCTTTATATCTGTACAACTTCAATTTTTAAAAAAATTGGAGAAATATTGAATGTTTGAAACAATGATTTTATTCAAATGGGTGCTTTGATGGCAGGATGCAGATCCAGATGGGATGTATCAGTGCTTTGACCAATGTTCATCCTCCTGTCGGGACCCTCTTCAGGGACCAATGATACTCCAAATATTACGACCTCATTCTATGACATTCTATCATGACATCTACTCTGGTCAATAGTTCAACCTAAACTAAGGGGGGTCAAGTTTGACACTTTTCCCATGTGGCTATTAAGTATCATCTTCGAATCTACAAAAAAACGGTGAACAATTTGAATGTTTTCTTTTTTTCTCTTTTCAGGGGATCGAGACTAAGATTGAAATCGGTATGGAGTAAAAAGCAAGTTTGCTAGAGTCTAATTTACAAACTATCTATCCCAAGTTCCTCGCATATCATATTCATGTCCTCTCATAGGCTATCGGGTCATTAGTGAAAATCCACAAATCCACCCCCTGGTCTTTTTGCACCGGATTTTCAATCATGTGGATTTTGGTGGATATTATCCGCAGCAAGGCAACTTATTCTATCTTTGACAGGGCATTGCTTTTTTCTGTATCCGCGCTTGGAGCAGACCGTCATAGCTCCCTTGACCGTCTTTTTGAAAAGTTAAAGGATCAACAGAGCATGCAATGGTGGAAATTAGACCAAGTGGCTGAAAAAGAAAGCATTCCACGCGAGCATAGACCAACACATCCAGATGTCTTTTTATCCTAAGTATCCCATTATCAACGCCAGCTGGCTGTCCTGCCCTACTGCCCTACTATTGTTCTTTAAAAAAATTGTTGGGAGTGATTTTCTCATTCTACAAGGGTAGATTAGCGCTAGTACTTTTGTTCGGCCACGTTGAATCATAAGAATCGTTCCATGATTGCCGGTGGCAGAACCTCAAAAGCTGAATGTTTGACATCAAGTTGATAATACCCAGCCCAACCGCCCTGGATTTAATAACTCACCACGAAAAGATACCTACATGGGTTGCCTCAAAATTTACATTAGAGGAACCACGGGTTTCAGCGTGGTCCACAGCGCACTCACCGGGAATCCACATAGCATTGGGCGACAGCTCAGGGACCTATAAAATAGTGAAGACGGCGGTTCCATCCACTCGGAGGGTGCACATGTGGCAAGAGGCATTGGGCTTCATGATTGATCACAAAGGAGGATATACGAGGCTGAGCTGGCCTAAAATTCCAAATTTGAGATCTAGATGTGTCCAGATGTCTTCAAATTATCATGTCACTTTCTCTATTATTTATATTAGGCAGTAGGCCTCGTCATATAGGGAGCAAGACCACTAGATTGGATCTCAGAGTCGCATGTAATTTCACTGGTTGTGTGTGTGGCGCTAGTGAAACATTTTAGACCAGGATAATGAGTTATAATTGAACTATTTGAGTATTCGCTAGATGATTCACTTTTAAGGTTGGGAAGAGTAGTAGTCATTCGAGGTTGTCAGCCTCGGCGTCACGCCCGTGGCATACTTGTTAGTATGTAGATTATGTAGATCATGGCTGTGCATGCTATGTCTACATCATGATAACCCAATTTATAGTATTCGAGATACTATTTTGCAAATAGTTGCCCGACAAACATAAGTTTGAATCGAACGCCCTTTTATCTCAAGTGCACATGTGCTCTCTGGTACGCCAAATACAGATATTTTGAGATGGATAGTATAATGAAATTCATACTCGGTCATATTCTAATATTCGAATCTTACTAAGAGCCTTCATATTAGGATCTCGGGTTTTCCCAGGGCCATATGTACTTGCAACTACCTACTACAGGGCATGCATAGCTGTATACGGTCACCAAGTTATTCATGTTTCTCGAAAAAGCGAAGACAAGTGGCAAGCAGATTCCAGTTTTGGAAGGTTCTATGAACAGTCGACTTCAAGTCCAGCGTTGTTTCGTCCTTGAAACTTGCCTTCTTCGGGTCTCAGGCTCTTCACAGAGTAAAATATCCGGTCTCATGACTCGGATCCCCGGACTTCAGACGAATGACTGATGAGATGACTCAAAGTATACTACCAGTATATTTCAAGTTGAGCACTGGCACCCGGGCATGCGCATACCGCGCATACCTAGTAATCATGATTCACCAGTCATCCAAGGTTAATAGGATAGTACTGCTATGGATGTATTGCCAGTGCCAAGAAAAAAATACTGATAAAAGATTCTTGAAAGATGCGTTCAAATGTCAACTGGAACGAAAGTGCCTAACTCATTGATCAACTTGAATGATAACGTGAATTTATAGTATACACCAGTTGACTACCATTCACAGAATGTTGACTGCAACCTCATGAGTCACCTTGAATTGGTTAGCGGCTAGAACCGCCTGGGCCTAGTCTAGATCCACCAGAACAATTCGAACTGTCAAGATTTCTTTGACTTTTACCTGTACGCACAACATTGTACTTTTGCAAACATGTCCGAAAAGCCTTCTATCCGCCTGGCAACGCCAGAAGGTAAGTAACCGAATGGCGTACGCCTTCCCGTTCTCCCCACGGGGCATAAGCTTTACCCCGTGTCTGTACCCCGCCACTCATGCATGCCAGATGTACCGCTCATCCTCCAATTCATTCGCGAGCTCGCCGATTATGAAAAGGCCTTGCATGAGGTCGAGGCTACCGATGAATCCCTCCTAGCCACCCTCTCCTTCCCCGGTACCCCGCCAAAACGCGGTGCCGTCTACACTGCTCTCGTGACCCCACCTCCCACTCCCGAAGTCCCCGAGCCAATTCCCGTCGGCATGGCTCTTTACTTCTACAATTATTCCACTTGGCGCTCCGCTCCCGGTATTTACCTTGAGGATCTATATGTGCAGCCTGTTGCTCGTGGACGTGGTTATGGCTTCTTGTTGCTTAAATACCTTGCTAAGCAGGTTGTTGAGGCGAACGGTCGTCGATTGGAGTGGAGTGTGCTGAAGTGGAATGAGCCTAGCATTCAGTTTTACGAACAGAAAGTTGGCGCAAAGGGAATGCATGAGTGGATGAAGATGATGGTTGATGGTGATGCTTTGACGACTTTGGCTGCGGATGTATAATTTGAACATGGCATGAATAGTAGTATCGGATGATAAAAATGGAGCACGAGTGGGATGTACGGCAAGATCTCTCAACTTCTGGTTGTATGAGATTTGCTTATAATCATGATGTGAATGACGTTGCACAGTTAATACAATACAACCTTAATCGCACGCGTGAAGAAGAATGACCTTTTTGAAGAAAGTGAAAAGAAATGCCCATTTCCCTAATTTATGATACATGAAAATACGCCTTGCTATGGAAGCTCTGGAAACTAATGCTCTAATCTTAGATGTGTGCTTTCCTGCAGCACTCAGAATCCGCCAGTCGTGATGAGCCGTTCTTGTTAGAAGGCACGTCAATAGAGGGGTTCGCGACGAAGAAATCCGCAGGACGGATCATCAACTGGAATATCTCAACAGGCCTAATGAAACTCCAATTAGTCAAAGATTATTGAGACTCGGAAGGTGATTGAACTTACATCACTGGCCAGTCTTCAACTCGTGGGTTGTGGGTGATACCGAATGTGTTCCAAACGACAACATCAGTATCTTCCACAGATTCTCCCCGGCGCACGGCATCTGCCACACCACCCACTTCGACTTGGCTTTGCAGGGTGTACCGACCACCAGCGTAGAACTCATTCTCGCAATGCTTGGTAACCCAAACGTGATGCTGGGCGAATTGAGCACGGCGTGCCTGCACTGACTCCGGGTCGGCTAGCAGTGTCTGTGTGGCGAGAGGGATGAATTTGTATCCAACGTTATTTCCACTGATGGGGTTCTTCTTGTGTGGGTTAACCATCTTAATAGTCCGGTTCAGCTGTGGTGCGGCATCGATCCAGGAAGCGCGTTGAACTGTCTCCTTGGTAACCTTGTAGAAGTTGCCGTTGGGGTTGGTCATGGCATTCATCGGCACTGGGTGAGACTCCTCAACGATGACTGAATTGTTCTGTCCATCAATAGCGGGATCGATACGGACACAGAAGATGTGCTGGTGGTTCTGAGCAAGAACTCCGCCGCTCACAACATTGCCATACTCGCTGACCTTTCCGGCGTCGATGTTCACGACGTTCAGAATACCAGTGGCGCGTGCTTCCACGGTGATACCACCGGATTGATCGAACTTGTAAGCAAAGATGTACTCGTAGTTGGCCAGGGTGATAATGAACTGAACCACGAATTCACGATTGCGAGTCACTACAGCTCTGCCAGTTCGCCAGTTGGAGTGCTTCCAGCCAATTCCATTATCTTGCTCGTGGAGACAGATGGCATTGGGTAGCTTCTGCGCAGTTCCATCGGCCTGGGTAATGACTGCATCGAGATATTTGATGACACCAAGACAATCACAACCAAGGGACAGGTTGTTGGCCATGTTTCCACCACCACCATCACCGAAATCGAACGCTTGCTTACGGTGGAAGGGTGGTCGGGGGTCAGCGTAAGGAACAGTCTAGTCAAAGTTAGTATCGTAATGTTACATTTTTCACCGAGCTAAACTTACCATCTCACTAATAGCCAATCGATGCATGACACTGCGTCCATCATACCAAATATCGTGGATAGTAGCACCCTCACGCGGATTGAAAGCCACGCGGAAACGCCATTTCTGCCACTCAACAAGAGACTCATTGGTGACGCGGAAAGATGGTCCCTCTGGCTGAACAACATTCAAAGGCTTCAGATCCTTGCGAGTGCCCTCTGGCAAAAGGTCTGGAACATATTCCGACGGCTTGCAGTGCCCGATAATATCCCGCTTGAAGGTTTGTTCAACCAAGCCATCCCCCTTGCCGCCGGTCGCAGGTCGGTCAACACGAATGATCTGCTGTGTATGGGCATCCATCACTGGGATGATCGGCAATGGGAACGAGTAGAAGTTGGAGTCTGGGTTTCCTGATCGCTTATCCTGAGCGAAGCACAGGGCCTGGAAGTAACGACGGTTCTCCTCGGTATTATCCAGTCCACCGTATGGCCATGGCTCAATCACGACCTCAAACCCTTCAGGCAGGTCGAAGTCGGCCAGCGCTTGCTGGAATAGTGGTGACTTCATGCATTGGTCCACCAATGTGTCGAATTCAGTCAATGTCAGCGCCGCGTGGTGCTGTTTGCCCACGACGGTATGCTTCACCCGCGACCGAGCCACAATATCCACAACCGATTCTTGGTATGAGGGGATTCGGTCAGAGCCGATCACATCGTATTGACACAGTGCCAGACGGGGTGGCCGAGGGGTCGTTGGGCTCAGGCGACCCGCATGTTCTATCGCTAGGAATTCCAATAGTTGTGCTTTGGGAGGCTCTTGTAGGTAGATCTCTCTGAAGTCAATCACGGTGTTCGGGTGGGCGGCTCTAACGACATCACGGGCCAAGTTGGTCTCCTCTTCGGAGAGGATAGAGAGGGGGTGGATCATTTCGCTCTAGTAATGTACACTGATTTTTCTTTCAAATGGTATTCAAGTTTGAGGTGTGTGGAGTTTTATACAGCATGTATCAATTCCGATAATCAAATTGAACTGCGGGGAAGATCTCGGAACAACGGAATCAAACCGAGATCGATAACGGTTCTTATTCAGAGTGATATGAATGGAAATCTAATCAATTATGGGTGTAAGATTTAGATAATGAAGATAACTGATCAAGATAATGTTGGTCTGTAGTATATCTTGACACTAAAATTCGAGTCATCTTATAGATACAGGTGTTTGTAGTATAAGTCATTGAAAGTTGTGATATCTTGTCGTTCCGAATCCGAGGCTCATCAAGGGAGTAAGAATGACAACACTGGAACACTGTTACATAATGAAAACATCGAATTTCTGAAATATCCAATCACCGATCATTGAATACTTCAAGCTCGGTTCAAGTTCCGCTGAACAAGGTTCACATGCGGAGAGAGCCCAGAGGACTGCATTGTGCCAGTGTGCACTGTCCTTTGAAGTATATTGATTCCACTATCCAGAACTGGAGTTCCGATGGACTTTTTTGAACTTCCAGATCTACCACCACCGTGTGCACGTTCTAGAACCATTGATGACTTCCAAGAATATACCCACTTGATTTCCAATGTCTGCCTTGTCCAGATCCCTGAATTGATTATCGCTGCATGAACAAGGGATGATACTGCATCTCCACCCTGAATTCCGATTCCGAGCAATGACTGTTATACGGAAGGGCTGAACAGACTCCACCACCTCTGCCCAATCATTTCCAGTGGCTTCTTGAAATTGATCCAGTGATTGGGCCCTGAACCTACACATCCGGTCCAATTTGGCTAATCATGACCTTCAACTTGAAATGCGGAATAGCTGCGCAGAGATAGGCAGCTTCATAGATCCTGCTGCATAAAATGCGGGGAAGCCATGGTGGAGCCAAGGCGATAAACCATACACCGTTCGTAATGAAGTTGAGTACCCTTGTTGATGATAAGCCTTGTTTTCAGGATGATCTGTGCCTAAGTCATAACGAGGGAAAGTGCGGATTGAGCGCCGCAATTGCGCTGGTGACCCTTTCTCCTTATCTAGTAATTCTCCTATTATTCCCGCGGCTATAAGATCGAGATGCTCCCAATTCCGTTGTAGTAGTCTGGGCATTCAAGGAAACTTCAATTCCTGCTCATTTGAATACCGTGCTGTGCACACCAATGGCTTCAATTTCTGGAGTGGAATACGATAGCAAGGTGGCTTTCCCGGAGAAGCCCGTCAGTGATGAAGAGCAGCTGGCTGCTCTGGGCCATGTGCAGGAACTTCGTCGAGAGTTCTCACTATGGTCTATTGTTTGTCTTCAAATCTCGCTGATGGCGACTTGGGAGGCTCTCTCATCAGTAGTCTCGACGGCGCTGACGAATGGCGGAGCTCCTTGTCTATTCTATAATTAGTAGGTTCCAATGTTCAATATCCGTCTGTTTTGAATTGTGGAAATTAATACATAGTGTGACATATCAGTCTGATTGCCTTGATTGGCACCATCTTTATTGTTCTCTCACTGGGGGAAATTGCTTCCATCTATCCTACTGCAGGAGGTAAGATATCCTGTACTACCACTCTACTATCATACATGCGGATCTATCTCTATTTTAATTATACCGCTAACCCATGACTCCAACCACAGGACAATATCACTGGGTCCACTGTCTCTCGCCCGCCCCATACCGAGCCACCGCATCGTGGTTTACTGGCTGGATCTCTATCGGCGGACAACTCGTTCTCGCCGCCTCAGCGGCTTTTGCAGCTGGGTTACAGCTTCAAGCTTTGATCACACTTAATAATCTCGACATATATGTTCCAGCAAGATGGCAGGGAATGCTCTTTTACTGGTTGATCTTGGCTTATTCGACCGCGGTCAATATTTTCGGATCCAGAATTCTACCTCACACGAACACTGTTGCAGGTGAGCCAGAAGAAGCGCTGAAGATGGTATGCGGGCTACAAACTAATGTTTCAACAGGGGTATTACATGTTATAGGATTTATCGCGATTGTTTGTGTTCTCGGTTCAATGTCATCGAAGCACTCCGCCGAATATGTCTTCGCCGAATTCTCTAATACAAGTGGCTGGAGGAACGATGGAGTCTCTTGGTTGGTTGGACTACTGAGTGCAGTCTATCCATTTCTGGGGTACGTATATACAAAAGAAGATGTCTAGTACAAAAGCTAACCGTACTATTGCTGCTATTTAGATATGACGCTGCCTGTCATCTCAGCGAAGAATTACCCAAGCCATCCCGAAATGTGCCCCTTGCTATGGTCGGCAGTGTTGCAATCAACGGTCTCATCGGACTCGTCTATGTGATCGTTCTCTTGTTCTCTCTGGGAAACCTCCAGGATCTGCTCGATTCAAAAACCGGCTTCCCATTCATGCAACTGTTCTTGAACGTGACCGGATCACCAGCTGGAGCATCTGTGATGGCTCTCTGTGTTACTCTAATCGCATTAGCCGCTAATGCTGCCGGCACAACCTCAACTAGTCGGACAGCCTGGGCCTTTGCACGAGATAATGGACTGCCAGCATCCGAATTCTTTTCAGTCGTGAACCCAACTCTGAAAGTGCCTGTACGCATGGTACTAGCTGTTGGATTCCTGCAAATGCTTCTAGGATTGATCTACTTGGGAAGCTCGACTGCTTTCAACGCTGTCTTGTCAATGGCTATCCTGGGCATGTATGCCTCATACTTTTCTCCCATTGCTTTCATGCTATTCTATGGGCGCCGGACATCCTCTCCGGTTGTTCGAGGGGTGGAATCAGGGATGTTTAATCTTGGTCCAAGGTGGGGACCGATTGTGAATATCATTGCGTTGCTCTGGTTGACCCTCGCAATGGTATTCAGCACCTTCCCTACTGTCGAGCCCGTCACTCCTAACAACATGAATTACTGTGTTGTTGTGACTATGGGTTGGGTTTTCATTGGTGCTGTATATTATTATGCCTTTCGTGGGAAGAAGCGCTTCACAGGCCCGGTGGTGGAGCTAGCCGATGACATTTGAAAGGAGCTTCAGCCCGTTGAACAAATGATGTATGAATGATATGAATACAGTTTCCTTGCGCGACGATCTCTTCCTTGGCTGTTAATTCGCCTTATGACCGAGTGACGGATCTTCCGCTATGTGGCTCCACTAGTTCCCTATTTCCCCGAAGGCTCAACTATTTGTAACTGAACCATTTAAGTATGAGGTTGGGGAAGCGGTAAAATTAGACAAAACGGATAAATCAATCAAAACTTTTCAATTTTGATCCAAGTAACCAGTCATGTCTAATACGAAGACCGTTCGCGTCCCTCACCTGGGTGGCATCGATGCCGCATATCAGATGCCTCGGGAGTATGACCCAGCCAAGCCGACCCTTGTGTTAGTGAACGCATTTACGACAACTTCAGAGCTATTTAGGCAACAATTTGATGATGCAGAACTTGCAAGTCAAATAAACTTGATAGCCATTGAACTTCTTGGACATGGTCAGACACGAACAGCTGCCGAGCATTGGACATATTGGGACACTGCGGCGATGAACTTCCAAGTATTGGACGCTTTGGGTATTGGGCGTGTGTTTATATCAGGAACGAGTCAGGGCGGCTGTGTCACTGTTTTAATGGCTCTCCTGAATCCTGAAAGGGTATGTCTACGCTAATCCCTATCTGCAGTCATATGCTTATTCCCTAGATCATTGGTATCATTCCCGTTGGCACATCTATGGATTCTGAATCGGAGCGGAGTCGAAAGCTTGGCTGCTGGGACGGCGCAAGTATCGTTACTGGTTTTGCAAAGCAATGGACTTCTAGCACGCCTACACCTGGATTCGAGCCAGACGACGTGTACTGCAATGCACTAATTAACATTGGGTTCAACGAGTGCACTGCCGAGGTTCGTGATTTCTGGCTTCGGTCAATCAAGTTAAACTATCGCGATGATGATGGCCGGCGACGTATTCGAATGGCTGCTATCACCCTCGCGGAACGAGGTCCTTTGCATCTTCGGCTTTCAGATATCCGTTGCCCTGTGTTGTGGCTACATGTAAGTTCAAGTCCCACTATACAAAATCCATTTCATCTTGGGCGATGTTGACTGGGAGTTTCTGTAATAGGGAGAGAAGGATGTTGTTTTCTCGGCCGCAAATGCCAGAGAAGAGATCGAGCTTTTTACTCACTCGCCAGATGCTAAATTGGTGATTGTGGACGGAGGTGCTCATTTCTTGAACCGCACACATCATACCGTGGTGAATGAAGCCATTGAGAAGTTTGTTGGCAAGTATCAGGAAAATTGAAGGGAACAGTCAATTGTCATGATATGCATGTTGTATTATCAGCCGAAGGGCAATTTGAATGAAAATAAATTCTCAGTAAATTCATCTATATTATTCATCGTGAGCATCGCTGCTCAGGTGGCCTCCACCCTATCCCCAAACGTTCCATCACCAGTTTCTCTCGTTGCTGCCATGTATCTCCATCGTGTTCCAGATCCACAACTTGACCGCCCGTCGTGCGTTCTCTGATTCCACTAGAATCAAACTTCCAATCATGAGCCTTCTTTGCATATCGCCTCAAATCTCGTTGAAATGTTGTATCACCAGTCCACCCAAGTACAGCACAGCCAATGGTCCTCCATGGAGATATGACAATGTCAACGCGACGGTGGGGGTTGGGGTTCTTCTTGTGGTTACTTGCACCCTCAGTACTATCCGATGGGTCATGATCTTCGGAATTCTCGAAATTGGGATCTTGCCAGACGACAAGAGCTTTGTCCAGTGTATCAAAATGGTGACCATCCTCTGCGCTAAATGGTCGCGTTTGTTGCTCACGATGAGTAGACGCAACATGTAGAGAGAGTGTATGCGTAATATAATGCGCTTTTTCCAGGCTAGCCACAATATCCACAACAAGGTTCCGAGTGACTGATTCATCCCGATGGGTCAGAATAAGGTCCACGTCGCCGCTTGATTCCTTCCCACGTCGGTATCCGCCTACTAGAATGGCCCCGATGGGCTGGTCTGCATCCGGACGCACAGCATTAGCATGTTGGCGCACAATTCCGGCTATAGATTCCGACTCCATGCGTGAGACACCTTGTTGCAGCTCATCATAGAATTTGACTCCAATTTGCTGGACCCTAGAGAGGGAATTCCAGCCAAATTCAACAATGTCGTCGAGATCTCTCCAGCCTCGGGAATAATAAAAGTCACGCGCGGTCTTTGGTCCAACACCCCAGATATCGTTAAATATAGTCAAAATTCTCAGGATTGGATCGGTTTCCAGAGCCTGTGCCGCTGAAACAAAACCTTCTTCATTGGTGGAACTTTTGTGATGCTGAAACTCTGCAAAGAGATTGGCCAATTTCACATCACAGCCAGGTAGTGCAGTAATCTCACTAGATCGTTTCACTAAGTATGGATACGCAGCCATAGCAGCAATGAACGTGCTGTATGCTCGTACACCGATGTCGTCAAGTGTAAACTGCCGGATTCGGCGGATCTTCAGAAGTTGCAAGATAAACTCTTCGTTTGGAGGATGAAGAGGTGCCGATCGCATGCAAGCATAAACAACATGGTCGCGAACCCAATCTGGTTGTGGTGGGAGTGGAGTGGTATCATCATTTTCAGATGTTGTTTCTCGATAAAGCACTGGCGGGTGTCGTTGGCTGGAATGTTTTTCTGGGTCTTGTCTGGAGCGTCTGGGATGAATCGTTTGTTTTTCTATTGCCGGTCTCTTGGCTGCGTCTTCTATCGCTCTTTGTTTGATCTGGTCAGCTACGATAGTGACAGGCTGACTGGGCGTGGCTAATGGAGCTGCAATCTTTCGTCCGTGATAAACAAGGAATGGACTCATAGGAAGAGGTTCCCCATTCTTGATAGATTGCACAAGCCAGTCCAGTCTAAGCACAGTCACTTTGTGCCCAATGTCCACTGTTGTGCTCAATATAGCCTCACTTGGATCAATTTGGGCTTTGACTTCCGAATTTCCCTCTTCTTCAGAGTCAGTGCATAGATCCACAATCTCGCTGGAGGCGTTTCCCGCACTTTGCTCATGAGACAGCTTCTGTCGTTTTGAAGGTATCTCGGGATGTGAGTCCGAAGTTGTTTTAGGGAATTTGCCAATTTCAAGGATTTCCTCAGTCCAGAGTCCCCGTGAACGAAGCTCTAGAACTGCACGTTTCTTATGGCTGACCTTTCCCAGAATTAAGCCTGCTTCGCCAATGTCATATGTCAGGGATCCTCCATATTTGACAAGCTTGGCTTCACTTTCATGTAATATATGCAGGGGCATGTGAGTTGGTAAAATGAATATCGAGGGCATTGACGACAACATCTCATAGTGTGTGACCTCGGGAGACTTGTTATTGGGAAGTGGGTTTCCCGGAAGAGTGTTTATATCCATTGAATGTTAAATTTTGTGAGATCGGGAATCCCATATGCGGAGGAAATGCCATGGCTCAATTTTCTGTGTATATCCTTCCAAGATTTGTATATGAATTCATGATCTTCGGTTTGTTGAACTTCAATCTAACAAGCATCCCCGGGGCCATTGCTAATTAATGTATTCTCACCGCTCACGGGAGTTCTGCCACTTCCAAAATCAGCTAGCCGCTTTAGGTTTAGTTTATCGGCTTCGGATTATCTCAATTCCGATAGTAGCCCATGCATTTGGCACATGCCTGCCTCGGCGGGGTAGGCGTTCCGGCTTACCCGCTATGGAGTACGTATACTAGCCCTGGGGGGAATCTCCACCTGGGCACCTGCCCTACAATGAGAGTGAAATTTCTAAGACATGGAAACCCTTCCAGGATAATTTACTCAGCCGTTCGGGATTCGTCGCTAGTGGTTGGTCCACTTTAGGCTCCAAGCAAACGAGGGTCTAAAGCTTGAATCACATATGCCGTGCTTACATGGGCCTTCACTCTGTGGCCCAAAAGTGAAAATGATCTTGTCTTACTGGCGCTTTCCAACTCTGACTCCTAGGAAATTTGCACCAGTCAACCTTCTTTTGCCATGGGCAACCGATTTGACACATTTTTGAAGATTTTGGCTTTGACTATAATCTCAGGCTGCCTTCTATCCAGTTCTAATTTTTGGAACTCGTCGAACCAAAATGGATCCAATTACCCCCTTGCCCCAGAACACGGCCCGGAGACAATACAGAAGAATGCGTCCATAGCGATAGCTACCACAGTTCTACACCCTGGGCTTACGCTCCCGGACTGGCTTGATTATCATCTCCGGTGGGTACAGCATGTAGCAATATACATGGACGACCCACATGAGCGGCCGTTATTTGAGCGCCTTTGTGGTGATAGGCCAGTCACACTCCTAGAAGGTTCACAAGTTGAACCTACCATGACACCAGAAAGCCGCCTCATCCGACGTCAGATGGCTAATATGAAACATGCAATCGCCTATCTGATGAATCATGGCTATACCTGGCTTCTCCACATGGATCTGGATGAGTTGCTCAATGGACCTCTAATAGAGTCACGCGCCTGGGCTAGGGACCTTCAAATAGGTCATGTCACTTTTACAAATCACGAGGCGCTTCCAGTCGACTTTGAGACCTCAGAACCGTTCAAAGACTGCACGCACTTTTGGGTTAACGGTGTAGACCGCAATGCCAACTTTGCTGCTTATGGAAATGGCAAGAGCGCAGTCCGCCTCGGACCATACGTTGAGCCAAGCGGACCCCATCTGTTCTCCGGTTACGCTGGCCGTGCAATCAAACCCTCAGGTGAAGAGGCGATGATATTGCACTACCCATATCCCTCTTACAACAGCTGGCTCCGCAAGTTTGATTTCTACGGCCGCTTTTCTGACAACTGGTTTGGCGACCGCCATGCGCCTAAGATCATAGACTTCATGTTGCAATCAAGAGACGTGATTCAGATGGCCCATAAGACCAATGACTGGGCCAGTGCCAGAGCATTCTTCAACCGGCGAGTCCTTGATCCCAAATCAAGGGAAGAGGCCATTTCCCAGGGCAAGATACGTCGATACACGCCGTTTGCGAATCTTTGAAGGACCGATGGAATCCTATGAGCAACGTCCACATAAGATGCATTTCATGTTAAACACATGCATGTAAAATATTTGTACACGTGAAACGAACTTCATTATGACAGAAGCATCAGCCGAGGTTTACTGCAAATTCTTGGTCAAATTCAATTCATTCAGTATAGGCGGCATTATAAATCGATTGATGTATCAGGCAGAACCGTAAGGACCATATGGTCTGCGCCTCTTGAAGTTTCCCTCTCTCTTGGAATTTCCCTTCCTCGGGCTCTGTGGGTTCCAGCTCTTCTTGTCCCGACCTTATGACTCATTTCCGAAATTTTGCCAACGGCTAAACTAATCCAGTGAAGTTCCTTCGAGAAGGGGAGTCTTGCAAACTTCAAAATGCAATTTGATAGCCACTATTCAGCCAATGTCAGCAAGCTGTATAATTGCAAGAATTTTGACGTGAACCTTTAACTTACTTTCCCAGTCAGAGTAAGGGCAGGCAGCTTTGAGGCATCGTTTCAGCGCATCCAGGTACGGGACACTAGGACATGTGCAGTCCTTGTCTAGGTAGCCCTTGTAGCACCCTCCTGCGAGAGCGGCTTGCTCATTGCATACAAGCTTTCCCAGAGTGAGCAAATGAGATTGAAACTCTGTAGATTAGTCACATACCAAACATGGTGTCATTCCCTGGGGATTATTAGGATCCACGGGCGCAGCATGTGCCAACAGAGCTGTGAGGGGAAGGAGTAGAATGGAAAGTTTCATGATGAAATGATCTCAATTTTGGCAAATATTTACTAAGACCTGTAGAGTTGAGGTTCATCAGCAGAATTACTGGGTTTATATGCCAGATAGACTAGAATGTTCATCAAGTTATGTACTCCGCATTGAAAGAACGTTTAGTAAATTCCGGCTGAAGTGACACACGATCTGCGTGTGGACAAACAGCTGGAACGAATAGTTCTTGATTTTTGAGACAAGTCTAGATGGATGACTCTGGTGATTTGAAATTTATCCAATCTTAAGTCTCCCCAAGATAACCGAGTGAACAGCATCTGGGTCCACAGTTCCAAGGTTCCGAACATGTGCTCATATGGACAGTGACGGTTCCAAGACCTCAAGCTTATGTAGCGTGAGGTTGTACAAATGCACGGAGAGTCAGTATCCGATCTAACGGGCGACTCATACAGTCATCTCAATTCACACTATTGGTTTGCTGTTTTTATCTATACAATTTCCTGTTCACTGTGTCTCTTCAGTGGCCGTCACACGAGAGATTGCCCCTTTAGTAACAGTGTTGCTCTGCTCATCCGGATGAATAGTGTCCTCGGCAGTCTCAAAAACGCCCCCAGTCACGGTGTCAGTGTCCGCTGCCGCTTCGGGAGTCTCATCATGATACCGCTCATCTTCATTCACAACTTCAACGGTGCGTCCATGACGTCGATCCATCCATCTTCTCCATGGCTTATATACCAATACGCTCAGTCCACCAAAAACGATGAACAGTCCGCAGATACCACCACCGATAGCATCATAATAATCGCCAGCAATTTGGACACCGTCCCAGAACTTGCCTGTAGCATCGGTGATGTTTAGTATCATAGTCAAGAGCTGAATAACTCCAATCACGAGCGCAACGATAACGGTCAAGACGGTGAGGACGATCGAGTAGTACAGGAACGCTATAGGGTCCCTGTGATTGTCTCTCGACTGAGGAAGTTCATCGTCATCAACATCAGATACTGCCTCAGAGACTTCAGTGCCATTCTTAGAAGTGAGGAAGTTTGTTGCAGGCTGGATGTAAAGCGAGAACATGAGAGCTCCATCGATAGTATCTAACAGACACATTCCGGCTAGATGAGAGGAGCGGTGAGTGCATGTTTTGTGGAACAGTAGTGGGTTTCTTACCAGTAAACAAGGCAGGGAAGATTAAAATGACCCAGAAGGAAGTTCCATTGGCAGCCTCGATCGATGATATTCCGAGTAACGCAATCTCGGATGACGTGTCAAATCCAAGTCCGAACAGAACCCCAAGAGGATACATTTTCCATGGACTGAGACATTGTTAGTATTGGCAAACTGGATGAGGTCAGTCCAGCTGGCTTCTTACCGGTCAATCAATTTGAACATCTTCTTCAAGATGGAGAACAAAGGACCACCTCCTTCGATCTTCCAAGCTTCGTCCTCCTCTCCTGGTTGTAAACGATAGACTTTCTTGATCTGTCGGATTAACTTGAAGAGAATGTAACCATTCATCAGTCCAAGCAGAATCAGAAATGCCGCACTAACGGAACTACCGATGATACCTCCGATCGTGCTAAAGCTGTCAAACTTGGACGACACCGCAGCTGCAGTGGCGGCGACCACAATGGATGTGATAATGACGATTCTATACCTGAATGAGTCATGGTCCTTGCATTTTCGAGATGAAGATACTCACGTGGAATGCCCAAGAGAAAAGAAAGTTCCAACAGTGACAGGCTTTTGACCTGTTGCCAGTAGCCTTCGGGTCATCAAATCGATTGCCTAGTTGAGTTGGTCAGTTGAAGATCATTTTCAATCTATGCGGAGAGAATCACGTACGGAAATATGATCCGCATCAAAGGCGTGTCTCAATCCCAGAGAGTATGCAAGAGCTGCCGTGGAAACTAGCGAACTAATATGATAACATCGTTAGTGTCTTCTCTTGCAATCGGAAGATAGACATGCTGTCTTATCATGCAGCATTAGGCCAACATACGGATGGTAGTGCTGTCAAATAGTTAGCATTTCAGACTCGTTTCATCTTTCTCAACCAGGGTGATCATACCAGCACGATTCCGGCCGCAACCCAGACAAAGATATTCAAAAACGCGATGAATATTATAATCGCCAGAGCACGGAAAGGTATTTTCCGAAGACCTGGCATCCGGCCATGAGAGCGCTCAGCACGGCGCAACAAAGGCTTCAGCCCCCAGTTTGTGTTACTATCTATGCTTCGTTCCTCCGCCGAAACATCCACGGTTGAAGATGTCATTATGCAGACTTTGGGAGCCTTGATCTGCTGCCCAGAAGTCTCAAGTACTCTTTTGATATAGTGCTTAGTACCACTTTTCGACTTCGACGAGATGAAATTACCGCCAAGAGGTTGCAAGTCAGTGAAAATCACGGAGGCAAGAGCCTTGTGATATATGGTGGGCTCTATAACGTGTGTATACCTCTGTCACAGAATTTTCTGCTGTTATCAGCTTCTTCACTGCCAAGGTCCTTCACGAGAATTTGCAGATCCACTTGACAAGGCAAGATCCGTTCGCTACCGATACCGAATGCAGCGGGGATAAATGACCACCACTGATCAGCGATGAAGCACCAGTTGAGCACGACTGACTCAAACAGTGCTTTTTGACTTTTCTCCAGGCCTTTTCCGAAAAGATAATCACTTTTATCTGCAACTACTATACGGTAGATCAGTGCGGCGGGGTCAACACGTGATATGGCGGGGCAGCGGAGAGGGCCGACTGATAAATGTAGTTCGCGGCGTTATTCATCCAGAGAATTCTGATATGATAATTGCTCGGATTTGATCTCCACTTCGCACCTTACAATGCACTCCAGATCCACTATGGTGGCCGAAGGTCGGCCCTAGCATCGACTTCCCGCGCTTCGGCAGCTTGGCCGCTGAAGAATGTTGGACGGAACAAAATCAAGGAAATTCAAATTGCGATATATTCATAGGAGGTTGTTTATATCCAGGAAAAAGCCGTGAACTGGGAATCTATTTCAAAATGCCAGTGTGTCATATTAGATTGTAGCAAAGTTTCTCCTCCTTTAACTCAGTAATGATATTCCTACCAAGACTCCAGATGCTCGTCACTCTCTGGGCAAACTTGGCGGAAGAAATCCATTACCACAGTAATTTGAAAAGTTTTGTCAAAATGAACTTGGATATCAAAGACAAACACATTAAATATTAGTACTTTTTTTACTCCTGGTCACCCCGACCCTTGCCGCGTTTCAGCCATCTCCCCACTCCAGACCCAAGTCCCTGCAATCCACGCTGCTGAACCTCTCGGCGAGCTGCTCCATCAATCGCATCCGTCTCATCCTCAGTCTGACGGTACCGGTCTTCCGTAAAGTGAAGAGCCACCTGCATGATCACCGCAGATAAGATACTCGCGATCAGAATTCCCACCATCACCAGGTTACTCTTTCGGTACTTCTGTCGGCCTGGTGCATTGGCATCACTCGCCCATCCGGAATACAATGCATAGGTAGTGAGGATACTACCCAGATTACCCCAGCCGGAGACCACAGCAGAGGCAGCTGCGACGCCGACTTCGCCATGACGAGGCTGGAAGATCTCCGCTGTCCACGTCATGGTGATGGGTACAGTCGGACCGAGACCAAAGCCCACAATTAGCAGTCCTCCGTACCTGGGCCAGGAATTTGCGTCGGTTCCAGCGTAACTTGTAAGAAGAAGACCCAGAATTTGGAGCAGAACTGGAATCGAGAAAAATAGAGCGCGATGGCGATGGAAACGGTCGGAAAATGGAGTCACCAGAACAATTGCGATAAGATCCATCTTAAGAACTGTTAGGAGGAAAAATGAAGAAGGTGACAGGGGATATACTTACAATCCAAATTGGGGCAGTGAGCAAGCTAATATCCACATCACTCAACGATGGGTTAATGGCTTCAATGATCAAGTTGGCGTAGAGTTGAACGCCAATACCAACACCAACAACACCGAAATACATAATCAACAATGGCCAGATTCTCCAGTCCATGAACACATGTAGCAAATCGCGAAGACTCCAAGCAGGAGCATGGTAGACGCGTTTCATTTCGTGGTAATGAATGACTGCATCACGGCCTGTTAGAGCCGGACTGGTGCTTGGAACCCATCGCATAAACCAACGACGAGGAGGGTGCTCTTCGCCTGGCGTAATAGGGCGATCAGGTAGCCACCAGAGAAGAGAGAAACCAAGGCCAATGGTAAGCACTCCGTATATTAGGAACATCCACTGAAATCCAACATAGCCGCGGGCACCATCCATCTCTTGAAATCCTGCTGAGACAAGGCCGACTACCGCGGCAGAGACTTGCGCAGCAGTGAAGTACTGACCAATGCGCTTGCCCATTCGAGAGGGTGGATAGAAAAGAGTCAGGTAGTATGTCATACCGGGCCACAATCCAGCTTCAACGATACCCAAAAGCAGACGAAGCAAGCTAGGACATTTTGTTAGTATAGATATCAACTAGTGAGAGAAATTTAACATACTAGAAGCTCCAGGCCGCCTTCATGGCGACCATACAGGTACCGATCAGTCCAGCACTGATCACAATACGACTCAACCAAACATGTGGACTTAAACGAGTCATAACCAAGTTAGATGGAAGGTCGAAAACCACATAACCGACATAGAAAAGCGCCAATCCTGTGGAGATCTGGTGGCTGTTTATGTGCAGGACGCTTGCCAGGTCGTGACCAGAACCTTCATTCATGGTCTGCGCCAAACTGACATTGGAGCGAACTGCAGAAGTCATAAAGTACAGAACCCAGAGGGCAGGAATGATCCGCCAGTCAAGTTTACTATAGTCAGGGTAAGATATCTGCATGGGTCAATCAATTGGATTCTCTCTTACCTGTAGATGCGCTCGACATTATCGACATTGAACTCCCCAGGTTCAAGCTCCAGATTAGGTCCAGTCGTTGATTCACTTTGATCCTGCGGAGGCTCATAAACATCTTCAGAGATCGGTTCCTTGCTCCCGCTGACTGCAGACTGAGATGCTTCGGCGCTCATTTTGACGGACTTCCTCTGAGGGACCGTAGCACCGAATATTGCACCAGCTAATATTTCAAAAGAACTTCACCATCCAAGGCCTACTTATAGGCGAAACCTTAAACAATTGACTTGGTGGACCTGCATATATAGATCAATCTCTGAGTCAATACCTTTTTCCGGCGATGATCCGAAAGCGCTCGCTCCACGTTGCCGAGGTCAATCGTATCCGCTTAAGATCGCAAGAGTTGAAAAAGAAATATCCGGAAAGTCTAGATCATACCTTGATTAATCTCTCCTCTCTTTATATCCCCATATAATTCCTGTTGTCCGTTATGGTTCCCAATTTTTAGAAAAAATAGAGGGGAAGAAATTAGCGGAAGCGGAGAGGGAAACCAATTTTTTCCCCCAATCTGATAACAGTGTGATAGCTCTGCAGCCTCTGCTTATCGTCCCTTTTTTATACTAGTGAAATAAAAAGAGAAAAAATTAAAATAAAGGATAAGAGAACAAATAAGTACTTTCATGAGTCACAGGCCACCGAATCCCAAAGAGGATAAACAAATAACAAATTCCACGTTGAGTCGTTGAGGTTGAGCTTGATGGTCGGGAAAATTCCCTTCCGATTCTCGGCGGAGTTGAGTTTCCCTCAACATCTCACCGAGGATAAGCTTAATCTTGGAAAAGATGATCTTGTTGTGGACTCAGACTTGACTCGGCTCCTGGAATTGGGCTTGATTCGATCAGGTCACTCTGATTCCTTGCAGAATCCCCCAGCTACCGCATCCGGTCTAGTCGGGAGATTGATATCCACATGCACCTACCTGCCTGAGCTCCGTGCAGATATAAGCCACCTTAATAGATCCTTTTATTATTCTAATATGGGCACAATCCAATGGTCAATCACCTGGGCACTCCAGAGCTCTAAATAATAAATATACCAAGAATTGCAAGTCTGGCTATACTGAAGCTATAGAAATTTCTATATCACGACTCCGAGTCCTCGCCAGCACTAGATAGGACTAATATACATTAAGAAACAGCCTGAGTTTGGTCTAGAGGATTTATATGATAGTTATTCCCATGAGCTCAGGGAAATGATTATTTCTCAAATAACCTTGGAATTTGAGCCATTCCAACATTTGGAGGTTATTTTCATCATGCATCCATAGGAGCTTCAAGTTATGATCAGTGATAATTCTTCAACTTGAGGTTACTAACCTACAAAAACTTGAATACGCGTTGCTGTATGACTCCACCCCTACGAGTATGTAGTATGTACTAGTAGCCTGAGGAGGGCATGATCTCTGACCAACTCAACTTGAAGAGGCTCGGAGTATGTTTTCTAATCCTACCCAACCTTGGAAGCTGCCCAGATGGAGTGCATAGGTACTTGATGTTACTATGGAGTAACAGTTCATTGAATAACCTTTGCACGCGACGCAATGTTAGATCCAAACACCCATTTTTACTCTACTATTTTCAACACGTTCAAGCTGATGGCCTTAGAATTTAGTCCAACCTTGAATGGGTACACTTATGAGTTCCATAAGTTGAACTTGAACCTCGGGACCTCGGGAATCATATGGACTCGGAATTTGTACTAGGCCCCGGGGCGCTACTACTGTGTGGTAGTAGATTCAGTCTAGTAGGTTCCGAAGGTATAATACGTATCATTTTGAGGACCAAATGATCTAAGTTTCAACTTGAAGCTCGACTTCAAGTTCACCCTTGGACTCGGAAGTTCAAGCTGGAGTTTCAAGATTTTGGTCTCTATGAATCTTGGCATTATATACTGTACATCCCATTATCACTACTCGGATGTTCAAGTTATTAACTTCAGACAAAATATGTTCAAGTTCCAACTTGAAGGTGTTAAATTCTGGTGTATGGTATATGGATTACCGGACATAGGATAAATAGCAGAAGAACATTTAGTATCATAGTACTCATGTACATTGTTTTCCGAATATCCATACTTGTGCTGTGAATAGTGCTTCGCGCCAAGCCGAATCGGGCATGGACCTCGGTTCGATTACAAAAAGTTGGAGGTCGCCGCCGCCCGGGCGTCATCCGTTCAGTTGTAGACATCCTCACTTTTATTCTCTCCTTAACATCATTTCCCTCTTTTATCCATCGCTCGAGCATCTGCGCAATTTCCTATCACAATGACAAACCACATTACCCTGTTTGAAGCCCCTCCAGATGATCATTCCAAAGCACCGATCGAGAATGTCCTCGACTTGACTCCCGTGGTGGACCTCGGCCCAGTAATACCCGCTTATGCCGCAATTCAATCCCACTTGAGAGACTAACAAGTGTCGCGTATAGGATGTTTTCACCAACACGCGCCCGCTGTGGCATCCTCCCGGCGCCCGCGGAATCTACGGCGGTGCCGCCATCGCCCAGTCCTTATCCGCCGCGATGCGTACCGTCCCTGCCGATTTCGCCGTACACAGCATGCATTGTTACTTTGTTCTTGCGGGAGACTCGGAGCTACCGATTCTCTACCACGTCGAGCGCGTCCGCGACGGAAGGAGTTTTGTGACAAGAACTGTTCAAGCGCGTCAACGAGGCCGCCCCATTTTCACCACCACATTGAGCTTCAGTCGAGTCGGCAGCGGCGGCGAGAAGACATTGAACCATGCGACTCCTATGCCAGATGTATCGATTCCGGACACATTACCAGGGACTGTGAGAGCGTTGAGTGATGCCGGAGGTGGGCCATTTGAGAGTAAAAAGGCAGGGATCATCAATCGTATGTTGATTACAGGTCACTCGGAAATTCGGAGACTTAGCGACTCACAAATGAATAGGAACCCAGAACCCAGAGGATAAAAGAGTTCGACGATTCGTTCGGGCTCGTGGCCGTGTTTCGGAAGAAGGTGGCTTCCAGGCACACCTATCCGCGCTCGCGTACATAACCGACAGTTTCTTTATTGGAACAGTTTCTCGTGTGCACGATATTCCTCGATTCTCATCACCAGCTGAGCTTGAACAACTTCTGAAGGCGCTAAAAAACCCTTCGGACCTCGACGATGAAGATATCCGAAAGGCGCTCCAGGAATTGAAAGAGGAAGAGGCCGCAGATTTACGACGTCGTTTAGAAGGGGCCTTGAGCAATGCCAATACCCAGGACCATAAAGAAGTCGGTATGATGGTCAGTCTGGATCACTCGATTTACTTCCACAACCCTAGGGCCTTCCGAGCCGACGAATGGATGTTCTTTGAAATGGAGAGCCCATGGGCCGGCGAAGGCCGTGGTTTGGCGATCCAGAAGATCTGGTCGCAGAATGGAACATTAATCGCAACCTGCACGCAAGAGGTACGTCGATTTTTTAGATTTAATTACGCTTCGAAAGCTGACCGACAATTACAGGGCGTTGTGCGCTTGAAGCAGGATAAGCCACCATTGTCTAAGATCTAGACTTCCGCATCATATACCCTATACTGCCTCATGCATGAGCTTACTTTTTGTTCACTGTGATTACTTTCGCTGATTATTTTTCATTTTCATTCCCTTTACATATTGGACCATAGACTTATTTACTTTTACCTCTGATTTGCTGTTGATTTGCCAGGTTGATCCGAAATCCTACATGAATAGCTACTCATTGTCTGTTTTTATATGATAATAAACTCTGCTATTATGCACTTCCAAATCCTTCACTTATGTCGATCTCACTGCTGGGAGTCCGAGAACCGAGAGTCCGAGACCAATTCTCTCCAGGTTGGCTCCACTTGTCGCTGAAAGGCGTGCCCCACATATACTGTGACTAATAATTTCCCCCAGATCGAGGTCGATCCATAAGACAGATGATTTTTTTTTCTTCTGTTCATCTTTGAGGTATCTCTGAGATTGCCATAATCTCATACCTCCGAGTCTGTTTCAACTGAGTTTTGCCAAACATGGCGACTGCAGTTCATACACAAAGCCAAACGATATCGTTGGAACTTGAAGTTCAAGATGCTTCGAGCCATATCACATTGGAAGGATCTCAAATATCGGCATCGGAACAAGAATCCGAAATTCGAGATGCTGAAGATCTCTCTCGAATCAGGGCCTTCACTTTGGTCGCCACACTCACAGGAATCACTTTTGTTGGCAGTATGAGTAGTGGCCTCTTAACGGTGTGTTTACCAGGCATCGCAAAAGATTTAAACCTACCTGACAATCTTCTGTTATGGTGAGTACCTCATGAATCGTATCCAAGAGACGAGAATTTGGAAATAACAATTATCAATTATAAGGCCCTCTTCGGTATACTCGTAAGTACCCAGTTATCTATCCATTACTCTGCAGAGCTCGGTTTACTGACTTTACTAGTCTTGCCAATGGATGTTGTCTGCTTCTCGCCGGCTCACTAGCAGATTTCCTTGGAAACAGGTCGATTAACCTGATTGGATGTTTTCTCTTGGCCAGTTTCATCTTGGCATGCGGTGTCGCGGAGACAGGAATCCAATTGATCATGTTTCGGACATGCCAGGGAATAGCAACTTCAATGTGTCTTCCAACGGCATTTAGTATTTTGACAGACAGCATGTCCACAGGAAAGCGTCGTAACTATGGATTTGCCTGTCTTGGTCTCGGCCAGCCACTTGGTTTCTCGGTTGGACTTGTGCTAGGTGGAATCTTTCAGGATTCTACTCTGGGATGGAGATTCGGATACTATCTTTGTGCCGGAGCTACATTTATCTTGACGATTGTCAATTTCTTCAAGCTACCTACTGACAGACCTCGGGAATGCTTCTCATTTAGTCGACTCCGAACTGAAATTGATTGGGTAGGAATCGTTCTTTCTAGTGCATGCTTGGGAATTATCTCCTATGTCTTCTCGTGAGTTAAACACCCTACCGATTTTCTAATACCACAAGCTTACACGCTACAGAAATATCACCGACCATCCTCAGAGCATCCAAAACGCTTCAAATATCGCTTTGCTTTCAGTAGCGGCTGCCATGATCCCATCATTCTGGGCTTGGATGGAATGGCGAGAAAAGTCAGGAAGACCAGCATTGATCCCAAACTCGTTGTGGAAGAATCGAGCCTTTACCACGATTTGTGTAATGGTTTTCTTTTCATGGGCTGTTTTGAACGGGATGGAAACCATCTTGAGTCTTTTGTAAGTTCAAAAGAGAGACAGCTCAACAGCCCAGGCTAACAAGTAAAACAGCTTTCAAGAAGTGCAAGGATTATCAGCATTACAGGCAGCTCTCCGCTTCCTACCAAATGTCATCATTGGAATCATAATCAACATTGGAACTGGATTGCTTATACATCGTCTTCGTGCGAACTACGTTGTGCTGGTCACTTCGATCTTATCCGCTGGATCACCATTGCTTATGGCTCTCATTGATCCCAAATGGTCATGGTGGTATGATATTTTCTGGGCGATGCTTCTCGGACCCGTGTCTGCAGATGGTAAGAGACCCGCCACATCCTATTCCTCAGTGATATTAGGCCTTGATTGACCAATTGAACTAGCCATTTTCACTGTCGCAAATCTGATTATCGCAGACTCTTTCTCTCCGAAGACACAGGGTCTTGCAGGTGCTGTATTCAATACAGTCGCCCAATTTGGAACATCCATTGGACTAAGTGTCTTTGCCATCATCTCCGCTAGTGTGACAGACGGGTCTCACTACAAAAATAAAAGTTCGCCAGATGCGCTCATGGCTGGCTATCGGGCTGTATTCTGGGCTTGCTTTGGACTTTTGCTTGCCGCTACTGCTATTAGCGCTTGGGGTCTACGTCGCGTTGGAAAGGTTGGAATCAAGAGGGAGTAAAATTTAGATTGTTATTAAATCTCGGGGGATCTCCTGTCGACAACGAGCTTCAAGTTTCATTCAAATTTTGAATTCTCAATTTTGATGCTATTAAGACTATCTCAGTATGTTAAGTAAACTCAAGCTCATGATATGTAGTATGGTCATAAATGTGTGATAAGCAACATGAGAAAAGAAACCAGAAAGATTCCTTTTTTGTGTGGGAACTTGATGTCGCTCCGTAAATGATCGAATCGAAATTTGGGGTATAAACATTAAAATAAGCGTATGAACCGATCATGGTTGAGCATGAATGAAAAAATCATGAAGAACTTTTGAACAGTGAACCAAGGGGTATGCAATGTGTGGGATCAAATCAAGATCCTAAAATCGAAACCAATCATTCAAACCGAGATGTGGTCGATTCATCCATGCAGGATCTCAGCATATAATCGAGGCAGCATGACTGCGAGCCGTATCGACTCTGGTAATCGGACCAGTATGAGTCGTAGGAACCTTTTCCAAATCACCAGTTTGTTCGAATGCATTTTCTTCTCGCTCAAGTTCCATGCGCTCAATTTCCTTGATGCGCTTTAACTCTTGACAGAACTTGCTATTTGCTCGAATCCGATCTCCATACTGGATAAACGCAAATGGGATGATGGAAACACCCAGACTGAGAAAGGCGATAAGACTACAAGCCCAATGAATGCCCAATCGATTGAACATGGGCTTTGTAGCAAGAGGTAACACTGCGCCTAGGATACTTCGTGTACAGCTGGCAGCTGATTGTGCGCTCGCGGATAGAGTCTCGTATGCGTCGGTGAGATAGTTGAGCATCGCCATGAAGATCAACAGGTAGCCCATTCCGAAGGGGATTCCTGAGAGGAAGGGGACGACCCAAGGAATATCGAGAGAGGCCGTCCAACCGACCCAGAATAAGGAAATGACGTATAAAGGGCCGCCGATACAGGCAAGAGGAAGTCGACGGTATTCTTCAATTGCTGCCCAGGGTGCATTGCGAGCCTTTGCGCGGGCTAGATATCCATCGTACCATATGAATACGAAGCAGGCTAGGACAGCTCCAAAACCAACTATATTCGTCGTGTTAGAATGAGTTCTCAAATTTGTTCAAATTAAGGTCAACACACTGGGTAAAAACATTAGCCCGGATACACCAGCACTCATACCATATAGATCTGTTGTCTTAATTAGTATGTGAGAGCGGCTGATTGCATATGCAGATGATAGAATTTTGCAAACCTTGAAAAATGATTGGATATGCCTCGAAGTAAAGGTAGAAGATTGCATATGCAAGGGCGAGATAAAGAGACGTCAGCGACACAATTGATTCGTGAATTATCATGCGGAATGGGCGTGAGATAGTGATAAGGAACATTTGGCGAATGTCTCGACTGTCTACTTCCAGTGGGGAGACGATGCTAGAATTTCCAGTTTCCTTTCGCAGTTTCTGCGCTCGTCTTTTCAAGATCACTGGTGCATATGTCTCCGGCATGAAAATAACGAGAGGGAATGAGGCACCAGAGCAGATGAGTCCAATCCAGAAACACCAGCGCCAGCTCACAACTGCGACAAAGCCTGAGACCCAGGGGCCAACAATTGGACCAAATGTAGTGCACTAGGCTGTGTTAGGAGACTCGGGAATGGAAAGGCAAATCATATGGAAATCGGTGTACTTACAGCCATGTAGTATGCCATCAGACGACCTCTCTTAGTTGGGTTGTCATGCACATCGGCAAATAATCCACCGACAGTAGCGATTGGTGAAGATGCCATCATTCCATTCAGGAGTCTAAACACAAGCAAGGATACATATGAGTCCGCTACCGCACACGCAAGCATGAAAATCATGAAACCGCAGTATGCGATGAGTAGAGGACGTCTGCGTCCGAAGTACTCTGAGCTAGGACCCCATAGCAGGGGGCCTAGGATATAACCGATAAGAAAGATGGAGATAGGCAAGACTAAAGCTTCCTGATTTGTGATATTGAACTCAGCTGCAATTTCTGGGATTGCATTGCTGCAGATTGAAGAAGCGATAGTACTGTTCATGACCTGCATCACACCAGCAGCGAGAACAAGAAGCTTACGGCTCTGTTAAAACGGTTAGCATTTAAGCTGTTTTGGTTTTGGATAATTCCAGAATTGAATCCATAAAGATCCGATTCGAATCCGGATTGTCTTACATTTTTCCAATTGACAGGATTGTCTGGGTCATTGGGTCCAAACGAGATGATGGTCTTCGATGCGACCCTTCGAAAGCGAGAATATGATGGATTCTCATAACGTTCTTGGATAGGCTCATGCAAGACCTCTGAGTGGTCATCCGAATCATGTGAGTGCTGTGATTCATGAGAAGAGACAGCTACATCTTCTAGGATATTGTTCAGTAATGGCCTTTAAGGTCTAGTGATTTAAACTAACGGGTAGCTGAAAGAGCTCTCTGCAAGTTCTCTTCTGCTTCAAAATGATCCGTCATGGTGGTGTTTCTGAGTGCCCATCAAAAAGACAGAAAAATGCGCTAGATGCAGATCCAGGTGGGATGGCTCACTATAAGAGCGCCATCTGAATAAAAAAAATACGAAAGGAGATCCAGTGCAGCTCCACTTTCACAGGGTCCCATGCAAAAGTTGGAGTCAGAGGCAAATAAAACTCCATGAAACTCCATCGTATTGTGGGTATGGTCTCCACTTTGGTCTGCCACTTTTCATTCTTTACGCCCTAAATTTGACAGGGCTCTGTGTGCGGTACTGATCTGGATAATACAGTGAAAAGTCTGGGATATTCTACTATTCTAATGCGGTAGGGTCAGGTGTTGATCAGTAGCATTTCGGTTAAGACGGCTTTGTAGTAAACTTTGCCATATGTTAAGCCTCGGAGCCAAGCTAGACATTTCAATAAGAGGGATTTCTCAGTGGCACGCTAAATACGAATCTGCAAACGCCATATACTATTACTTCATACTCGATCTCGCACATAAAGCCGACTCCTGTGTAGCAGTCACAAGTCTGTCGAACCTCGTGTTATTTGGGACAAAGTCAATATCAATCAACAATCCCGGCTGCATGCGTCTTGATATTCGCAATGTAAACCGGAGAGGGAAATCTAGAACTTATGCGCATTGACAATCTTGGGCATCATATCCTGCGAGAACAAAGCTCCAATGTCTGATTTGAAGGCTCGTGAGCGGACATAGGGTGACGCGCAAACCCATCAATGGCTCCTAGATGGATTAGGAGACCGGTGCCGGACCGGTTCCGAAGCAAAATCTGAGCAACTGGGGTTGACTTGGCGTGGGGCATGTCTACATGAACTAGAATTCAGGTACCAAATTCCATTTCAAGTTTCGATGTTGACTCATGGAATCAGAATAGGAAGGCAAATCCGATTTCTTATCTTACCCATGGATCCAGAGTTGAGCGGAGCAAACGTTATGATCCAACTTGTACACTAGATCTAGACAATATGAGTTTTCTTTTCAGTATTCCCTCTTAGTGAATATGTATCCCTTGTTCAAGTTTTCCATTGTCGGCGGCAAAACGGAGCGCCAAGCCACAAAAAAGCCCTGTGGAATTTTTCATCCGCTTGCATTTCCCGAAGGGTTCAGACATCTCGCCGATCTTTCTAGAATCATGGGAACATTTGCCCCTTTGCGGGGAATATTTGTCAAAATGCATTAATCAGGCTTCGAGCTCTTTTTCTAGAGCCTGAGTCTAGTATAATGATCTGCACTGGCAATCCAATGGGTCATGTAGCGCAGTTTGACACTAATGAGCTCCAGGATAATCAACCACTTACAGTTCACTGGGACTCAATTAACTTTGATCTTGAACACCTGAATAATACACTTCATTCAAATTCAGTATTAAAAATTCACAGGTTTATCATATGTATGAATGGGATAAAGAGAAAGAAACACGGGAACTCTAGATGTACATGGTGTACATCTCTAGGAATCGCTCGGCGTCGCTCCTTAATTTTATAATGCAGGGCAAACAGTCACAAGCGCCATCGTCGTCTTGGTAATGTACACCGTGGGTCTCACATCAGTCACAAGGACTGTTTTTGTGATATTATGTATCGGAATCACGGGCAGAGCGGTCGTTGAAACAAGCACATTCAGTTTGGTGACAGATGTCTTTCTCTGAGGGAAAGGGCAATGCTCCATATATTGAAGACAGCTTGTGATCGTCCCTTCGCGAGTTGAGAAGAGTCTCAATGTTGTATCAGTGGGATGCATGTGTTTAATAGGATACACAGTTGTATACCTAGGCAGCCACTGTTTCAGTTGTGACAGAGGTAGTGCGGGGTCTGCAGGGCACTCGGGCAGCTTTGAAGGACAAGCAGTGAAGGAATAGATGCGGGTGGAAAGGACCGTGAAGGGGGTCAGAGGCGGAAAGGAAGATATTCGCCGAATAGGAGTAGTAATCTGTGAAACGAATGTCTTGAAGGAAGATCCAGGTTTAGATGTTTGTAATGGAAGTTTTAAATGAAGCATGATGATTAAAAAACATACTAGTAGTAGTCACCATCTGCGGCACCCCCTGGGAAACTTTGTCAATACTGTAGTGCTATTCATTGTGGGAGCCCTTGATAGTCATTTAGTTTCAAATTATTCGCTATTAGGTGATAGTTAAGCCGATACTGGGTGTTTAAAATGTGGCGAAATCGGAGTATACGATCCACGCTCTATTTGGTATACAATTGAGAGATCTATCTGGGCACCTGGCAGTTTGGATTCTAAATAATTCAAGAGGATTTCCAAAATTCTGAGTCTATGGAGAGACAAGAAAAGAAAAAAAAGAAGTCCAGCAAGGTCAGGGATCGAACCCAGGAGCTTCAAAATCAAAAATGCGTGAACCAGCATGGATAGCCTCACTTGATACGTCCATCTCCATCACAGAATCTCTTCTATCTTCCTCAATTATTTTTATTTTGATGATCTAGAAGTTGAAATGGAAAGAGGGAGGCTAGAAGTATAATAGGTGAAAAAACCAAAAAATCTAAAAAAAAAAGATTGATACCCTGGCCGCAGCCAGATCCCTCCCACCCACCAGTATTATCTCTGCCACCGAAACTGGGCCTGGCACACCACAATTTCAATACCTTTGTCCAACGCGTCGCCAGCCGCTTAACCACTAGGCCAGCAGAGCAGAGTCAATACCGGGGAAGCTTCTCCCTCAAATTTAAGGGAGAATTTGTGACCATTTTGTAAGGTGACTTGGACGTGACATCGGGAGAGGATTTGACGAATTGAATCAACAAAATGTAGCTAGAGAGTTCAGATAGCGAATGACTCCATTCAAAGTCCTTCATTCAAAGGATACCTGTAAATGTGTTGAAATATAATAAATATAATATTAATAGAAGAAAACTTGAATAGATTGATATCAATTGCTGTTTTATAGCGCAGTCCAAAAGAGGAAGGCACTCATTACGTCAGACCGTTTAACCAAACTAGTCTAAATCCGGTCTAGCTCAACGGGGGAATACCAACTGGGAAAGATCGAATCTCCTCATCATCGAGGTCTCGGGTTCCAATTGATCTCCTTTATACCTCTGACTATGGCTCCCCCACCTCGTGGTCGTGGTACTAGTCAGCGGAGTCCGACTGTACTGGTAAGTCCCCTTTGTGGTGGTGGTTTCCACAAAAGCAATTATTCTCCGACATGCAGATATTAAACCAAGCTGTTATTTAGGTTACGGATTCCCGAGACCAGCAGCCCGCTTCAACTGCACGTCGACGACGGTCGCCCGCCACTCGATTTATTACTGTTGACAATGTATTGCAATATGCCTCCGATGTACCATCCATGCAGCAGCGCCACCCGCCGCCCATCTCCAGATCTCGTCGTGTTGCTTCGGGCGCCCTGATGGGAAATGCCAGCGGAGCCTCGGGATCCCTAGCGAGTACTACCGGGACCATTGGGCGTCTGGCAGCCCAGCCACGTCTTCCTCCACGTACAACGAAAGTTAGTGAGAAACTTGTCCTCCTGCCCGATACCGCAGGTGTAGGCGAGAGCACAACAGAGGATGAAGATGACGATGTGCAAGACGACAACGACCTGGTGGATGAGGAGCTGGTGGATAGGCTGGCGAGAGAAAAAGGCATGGATCCCGAAGTTGTCAGGCGACAATTGCTATCGCAGAAGCGACTCGGCGGAGATTTTGGCGTGGATAATGATATTTCACCTTTACTGGCCGAGGAAGACTTGCACCGAAAACGTCGCATTGCGCCCGAGAGAGCGAAGAGTTATGCTGAGCGACTACCAAAGGCTAGACGTGCAGAGAAACTTGCCCGAGTGACCGCGTATTGCACTGCACAGGCATACAAAATGGGATCCGTGGCATCTTTTGTCAAAGAATGGCATGGCGCTCGCACCAAACTCTATGATGACTGTCTCTACACAGCCTACCACCTTCCACTTCTGCCCGGTCATGAAGGGTATCGCTTGCGAAGCAGTCCCGTTGTCAAATTCCCCGGCGGCAAGTCCTTACTCGATGAGGAGATTGAGCGCAATGAACTTCGTGACCACCACGATGATTACATTGGCGAAATTGAAGAACACTCTGTCGGAGGTCATAATCGTTCTGGAGATGAACACCATCCAGAGGCATCCCCTCGGGATTCTGACGATCATACCCCCAACCAAGATCAACAAGAAAGATTCATGACACACAATTCTGAGGAAAATAATCATACTCGAGAGGACCGCCAATCTTCTGAGCAGTCAAACGGATTTGAGAATCATACTTACATTTCCTCGGAGTCCGACCAACAGTCAAATGAAATGCCGCCTCGACGACGCCGACATAGTACCGATGATAGTCACACCTTATTACGGGATCTTGGTTCCCCGCCGGCAACCCCACAACAGCCGCCAAAGCCCCCTGCCCCTGCCCGGACACTTTACAATGTTGCTGAAATGTTCGTGTTCAGCTACGGGGTCGTGGTGTTCTGGAATTTCACGGAGCGACAAGAAAAGGATCTGCTGGCAGATCTAGCATTTGCAACATCCTCCGCCACTGGGACCCCCATCCCATTGACTACAATGCCTCTCCATGAGGAAGATTTTGAGACCGAAGAATTCCACTTCGAGTACTCTACTGAGATCTCGCGCCCTCGTGTCTACAATGATATGATTACTCTTCGCAGCGGAGACCATATGATCAAACTAGCAATTAGCCACGGTATTTCTCAAAGTACGAAGCTGTGCTTCTTCGAAGAGGTGATGGCTCGCCAAATGACAGATGCCAAAGATGTTCCTCGCCGCCTCGCCATGACTGGAAAATTGGGCATGAAACGGGAGGAAGTATTCCGTATATTGGGTCGTCTATTCAAAAGCCGAGTCGAGGTCAATCTCTGTAGGTTTCTTCTCAGCATCGCAGTTCCCTTTTGTGATAAAATTGACTAACGAATTGATTCTAGCATCAAACATGCTTGACGTTCCCAATTTCTTCTGGGAGAGTGAGCCCACTCTCTACCCACTTTACATTGCCGTACGCGAATACCTCGAAATCAAGCCACGGATTCAGGTTCTCAACGAACGCTGCCGAGTCTTCCTGGACCTCGCAGAAATCCTTTCTGACTCGATAGCTGACAGTCGTACCTCTCGTATGTTACCCTTGCATTACCGATGCCTATAGACTTACTTGCTAATGACACTATTCTACTAGACCAAACATGGATCATTATTGTGCTGATTATCATTTCTATCCTCGTGACTATCTCCGAGGTATTCCTCCGATTTGGTCTTCTCCACGCCCGTGAAGGTGCAGTCTCGAGTCCTACAACTATTATCGCTCGTGCCTTAGGGCGATCTGTCCCCTCTCCTCCTTCTGGGTGGTCTTCGACTACCAACATTCCCCCAGGCTGTATTTGCCCCTCACTCACGCCCGGAGTGCCTGGATCAAATATCAACAGCAGTCCGCTCTGGGGCTAAGGCAATCTCCATTTTGTGCAACACTTTCTTTTAACCCGGGTTGAACATGGCGTTATGGTTGCTAGGATGCAATCTGGACAAAATTAATTTTTCTGTTACATATCCTTTAGTCGAGTGGTAGTTGGAGAATACTATATCACCCACTCCATCAATATTTTTTTATCTATGCCTTCCAAGCTTCATCTCCCGTTACTACAACAGTACCAGTGAGATACGCACTATTTTCGCCCATTCTGTCAGCGTTGGGTGATTACTTGCAATAGGTTCAATAGATGCAGGTTAGCTACTACGTACTATGCGATGTTTTTGAGAATTGGAAACTTTTCAGAAAAGATTTCAGTTCGATGGATTTGACTGCGTAAACAATACTAGCATCGACTGCCAAGGCTAGACCTCGCTAGCCAGAAAAGAAAGGTTTTTTTTATGACAGCACCACAAGAATGTGCAGAGGTAGGCCTTATAAGCAATGCGGTCTATGGCCACAAATTCACACAAAAGACAACAAAGAAAGGCACATTTGTCAAACAAGGATACCGCAATTAGCCAAGGGCAGGTAGAACACCGCAAGTAGGTCAGGCCATATTGGAGGATATGGCTACGTCCACAAGACAATCTCTCCATGGGAGGTACCGCCTGCAACCCAATTATTGGTTGGGTGAAAGACCGAAACGAGAGGGATATCGCTAATGCCGTAGCCACCAAGCTGAGCAAGATGGTCACCCTTTGCGTTAAAGATGTCAACGAAGCCATCTCTGTTTGGAATACAGAACTTCTGGCCACCATATTGGGGAGTGGGATGCCAATGGGGACGAACACAGCGCCTAGAAGCAGGACAAGAATATGATTAGTAAAAAGCCATGGAAGAGGGAGGAGGAAATTTCTGCCATACATCATTCTTTTAGACACATCAGAGAATTGGAAGCTATGCTCAATCACGGTGCTGGGTAGGAAGGTTGGTGGGGCTGGGGTTCCATCGTCGAAGGGTGATCGAGCTCTGTTAGGGGGTTGCTCTTCACTGAAAAAGGATTTGAAGTCATAGACTCTCAGTTTGTTCTCGTGAGAAGACGTGACGAGTTGACCCTCAGTATTGAAAGATACATGATCGACACCCAATGGGGCGGAGCGCTGTGCAACAGGGTGCGGTGTGGGGGTATCCATTCGACGAAGATCCCATACTTCCGTGTAGAGGCGGCCACTGGCAGTGGCAAAGTAATACGCTTCTGGAGGGTACAAACTGCATGCAGTCATCGGTGTGTAGTAGCCGATATTCCATTCAGGAGTGTGATTGCGAGGTGTTCTCATGTCGTACATGCAAAGGTAGCCTTCACTCTCTGAGAAACCACGAGCCTCCGTCCAGTAAAGAGTATTGGTCTCTGTGGGAGCCATATCAAGCCAGGTGACGCCTCCAATTTGTTGTCTGCGGAGTGGCCAGAATCTCTTGTATGAGAGCTGGGTTTCGATATCAAACTCTTGGATGGTTCCGTCCTGACTTGCTGTGAAGACACTGGTTGGCTTTCCGGGGTGGATCTTGGTACACCAGATGGTATCATTGTGAGGTTTGTACAGATCGACAATTGGGCTAGGATACCCAAGCTCCATTGTCTGGCCTGGGGATTCGAAGAAGGCTAGATGGCCATCATTGTCACCTGCATAGATCAACGCCTTTGTTTCGGTGGGATGTATGGCCATTGACGTGATCTGTCCATGCGTGACCTTGTTCTCTGTAAACGTGCCATGTCAGCTTAAGTCTTCTTTAAACCAAGGTGAAACTGAATTGATTTGCTATCATACCCCATGGGCCAAAGCCTCTGTCGCACCTCAGGCGGCCAAGCTCCTGGCGGATTCCTCTCAGATCTGCATCACTTGTCTCTTGGATGTCGGTTAGATCGAATGTGCGTGCTGTGAGATTTGCCACAGGACCACGGGGTTCAGCAGTATGCGCAGATGGTCTACGCATGCCGGTGTGCACCCCCGTGGTTCCTGTGGTTGGCTCTTCGCCATCGCTCCACTCGACGACCTCATCACTCTCGTACCACCTCTCCTCCACTTCTTCCTCTTCCTCGATCTCTTCTTCGTCGATCCACCAGAAGGGAGGGTGTTCGACCTGCAGCCGAGGAGGGAGCAGGAAGAACTCAGGACCGAGTTCTTCACTGCTCATGCCTCCTCGGAGCGCAGTCTCCTGCCTCTCCACTTCGGTGAGGGGGGGATTCGTGGTACTTCATTGTTTTTCTAGCTTTCAAATAACAAAGGAGTTAGCTAGTCCTGTTCACTGCTCATATAGGGCTTCATTCACACAACTGACTGCTTCTTGATTAGCGGTCAGATGCTGGAGATAGAGTGACTGGTGAAGTAAGAAAGGAACTCCCGTTATTCGAAATGTTATTGAGAGATCTTTTCTTTACTTCGGGGGTTCTTCTTGGGAATTCTTACCACTTGGTGATGCGGGAGTTGGGGGTGGTGCAGAAGGAAGATGGGAGTGTCGCGTCTTGTTGTCTGTTTCTCTCACTTCCCAGACAGCAAGGCAGGCGTCAGGCGTCACTTTATGAGCCATATTAAGTATACTAGGCGACATCTATTGTCCTGTGATATCGAATTGAAGCTTACAAAGGGTCCTTATGGAAATTGGGCTCTCCATATTCACTAATATCTATCAAGACCATGGTTGTGAATGAAATAGACGTTGTGAGTTCAAATAGTATACTTAGAAGTCATGCGTGTTTGTTAATGGTGCGTGGAAAGGATATATTTGATGCGGATATAGAGTGCGTGGTTAGAGCTATGGGCGGTTAGGGCTATCGCAGAATTAAGGTTACGCGTGGAATTTGTCTGATGTGGGGATAGTGACCACGCCCTGGTCTAACACTGATAAGATAAGCTTAAAGAAACGCGAAATGGAAACACGAAGTCAGGTGACCACTTAACGTAAAAAAAGTGCTTTTACTTCTCATTGGCCTTACCCAATGCCATTATCACTGTCACTTTCCAACCATTTTTTTCTTCTCAAACTTCAAATGGCGAATTTTCCCCGACAGGCGTATCTTTTTTCAACATCTACCTCGCCTACCGCATTTCTCTATCAGACCCGAACTCTTTGGCCTGTATCTCGATCTGTTCTCACGCGAGGCCGGTCCCAATATCAATATTCCACCGATGAACAGGCTGTCAAGGATGATCAAATAAGCACCAATAACTCTTCATTGGCTCAAGGTAGCCCTAGTAATGCTGACCCCTTACAAGAGAAGGTCACTAAAAGCTCTCCGTCCCGTACAAGCTATCTACGTCGACGCGGCAGGACAGCCCCTGCTTCATACCCCACCAACGATAAACCCTGGTCAAGAGACTCTGGTACCAAGAAGTCCAAGTCCAGAACCTTTACTCGGAATGAGCGAGATGCATTTGATGGCTTGTTGTCGCGGTGGAATAAACAGCAAACGGACCATGCCCAAACAGAAGAGAGTGAAACAATAACTCACTTTGAGTCCATTCTTGGAACTACTACACATGGTGCATCACAAAAACATGGATCGGAGAGCAAGCGGAAAGAAACTCCAATTAAAGATCGGGATAAGCCTCGTGATGAAGAGGAGGGAATTCATCTCAGCGAGTTAGGATTTACAACTCCTGGCTCGCGAACAACGGTAGATCCTATTGTCCCCATGAAAGCGGCAATCCATATGGTCGTACAACGAGAGTTGAGGAAAATTGAGGCTGAGCTTTTCCAAGCCATGGAGGACCAAAAAAGCGATTCCGCTGTTTGGAAAGTGTGCAAGGAGCGAATTTTCACCATCCCTGATCATGTAGGAGGAGCAACATCTTCCTCCTCTTCCGATCTTGATGGTGTTCCTAATGAGCACCAAGTCGACCAGTCCAACAGCGGAGAAGTATTTTCTGGCCCGTTGAATATCCCGGCCGCAGTCCCAGCCGGGCTTGTAGTAGCGAAACTATACCCACGACTTCTGGTAGTTGCATTCCGAGTCCTCAGCACCCACTTCCCTGAGTCTCCCCTTATTGGTCAATTCCGAACAGCGGTTCGAGCAAATGGCCGCACCTCTGCTTTCCTAGGGACGTCTTCACAGCTTTATGAAGAATTGATGACTTTCTCTTGGTATACCTGCAACGATCTTCCGGCAGTGGTTTCCTCTCTGCAAGACATGGAAATTGCGGGACTGGACACTAATCGACGAGTCCGCAAGCTTTTGCGAGACATCGTCGATCAACGAGAGCATGATCTTGACTCGCCGGACCAAGTCCGTGACCGGTCCTTTTGGGATGCACCACCGAATCAACAGGCATTCGAGGAGCTTGCAGGCCCTGGCGGCTGGCTTGAAACAATCAGCTCTCGGATGAAACAGCAAAAGCACTCGACAATGCCGGTTCTCAAGCTATAATTGTGCATACTAAAGTGCCCGATGAACTGGCCTGTACAGTGTGAATAATATCTCTCTCTGTAAATATTTGATCTGCTATTACTTCTGGTTGCATAATGTATCTTATTTAATAATATTTGAAAACTTTCAATGGCCCTTGAAATGTTCTCCAACCTCTGGATATCATCACTGGCAGCACTGCAAATTTGAAGGACCCTTTCATCGGGAGGTCCTACTCCACTGGCATAAACCTCGATATACTATACATACAAGGTCCACCCACGCTTCTGCCATGTCTAATTTGAACATCGTACACACTTTAACCATTCAGGATCACTATTCAGAATAGGAATATCAAATATTCTTACCCCCGATCATCTTCGACAAGGTACCGGCTCACTATCTCTACAATAGGTCAAAAGTTTAGCCGATTACATAACCCGATATGACGCCACAGGCCAGGAGGGGTTAGTTATGGTTATCCCCGCACGCTTTTCGGCTGTTTCTTTCGGTTTACGGACCAAATCATCTTTACACTTCTTTTTTTTCTTCCATTTGGCTTTATGAACCATATCAAAGCTTCAACACGATCAATTCGACTCCTATCTTCATCCTCAACCCCCCTCTCCCTCTCAACTCGATTCACTAGATCGAACCCTTTCGCTCTAGCAGTTCACCCCCATTTCTTCCGTCGCAATATGGCTTCCGCCATGGCAAAGCGCCTCGAAGGCAAGACTATTCTCGTCACAGGTGCCTCATCTGGCATTGGGAAGAGTACAGCACTGGAATTCGCCCGTACTTCTCCAAAGAACTTGAAGCTCATTTTGACGGCGCGTCGCATTGATACTTTGAAGGAGGTTGCAGCTGAGATCAAGGCGGAAGTTGGTGACGGCGTCCAGGTTCTCCCAGTCAAGCTGGATGTTAGCAACCCAGAGGAGATCCGCAACTTTGTTCCTTCCCTGCCTGAGGACTTCAAGGAGATCGATGTCCTTGTCAACAATGCGTGAGTCATCGGTTCTGATAACGAAAATTGGGTGGGGCACTATCAACCAGTCTAGATTCCACTAACGCGATAATCTATAATTAGTGGTCTTGTAAAGGGTGTTGCTCAAGCTCCTGATATTGATCCCCAGGACATGGCCATCATGTTTAACACCAATGTTACTGGTCTTATCAACATGACCCAGGCCATCCTGCCTATCTTCAAGAAGCGCTCTGATGGTGGTCGTGGAGATATCATCAATGTTGGCAGTATTGCCGGTCGTGAGGCTTACCCCGGTGGCGGTATTTACTGCGCTACCAAGGCCGCTGTGCGCTCGTTCACAGACTCTCTTCGCAAGGAGCTCATTGCGACCCGCATTCGTGTCATCGAGATTGACCCCGGTCAAGTTGAGACTGTACGAGACCCTTTTCAATTGTTTTTCATATGCGCCCAGCTAACTTGATGAAAGGAATTCTCCGTCGTCCGATTCTACGGCGATAAGTCCAAGGCCGATGCTGTGTACAAGTACGTTCTCATCCAGAGTCAACTCGGGCAATCCAGCTAATATTTTGCAGGGGCTGTGAACCACTTACCGGTGATGATATTGCGGAGGTTATTGTCTTCGCAGCTGGTCGCCGAGAGAATGTTGTCATTGCGGATACGCTAATCTTTCCCAGCCACCAGGTATGTATACATCGACACCCAGTCACCTAGAAGCCTTTTAACTAACAGAATCAGGCCGGACCTACTTCCATGCACCGCAAGTCATAAATCTCTTGCAGGGAATTGAGATCAAATCGGTAAAATAGACATGAATAAACCTCGGGTGCAATCGATATATTGGAGGAATCAGTTTTTATAGAATTTCCAAGGTTGGGCGCTGAAACTGCTATGAAATGGACATATTCAATATGAGCTTTTTAGGTGGATGAAATAGTATGTAATAATCCAGGATCCCAGAGATTCAACATTTGAAATTAATAGGAGGCCTCAATCTGTCAGTAGGGTTATTTTCCAACCTCGGGTATTTCCAACCTTGGAAGATTCCCATTAATGCAATTGAGCTGACTCAAATACGGGTCTTATCAGGTTTAAATTCAATATATTGTTATTCAGGAACAGTAAACTCTGAGTTACATGTGCATCTCTATCTCAATCGCCAGTCGGCCATCGGGTGCATCTAGAAGAGTTCATAGTAGATCCACTATTCCGGTGTATTCAACACTGTAATATTACATGCGGGGAAAATAGTCCGCCAACATCGAAGTCCTCCACTGCAGATGTAACATTGTTTTATCCTGTATTGAATACCAACCAGTGGACTCGTACCCGCCCGGCGTGAACTAAAAAGCAACACGCTGACCTTGCCGCAGGATACGAACTTTCCGAGGTTCTCATTACTTCATAAATATCAACGACTCCGAACCAAGTTACTTATCAGGAAAGAATAGACAAGATGTCTCCACTTCTCTATACATGAGATAACATAGTTATCGGCTCTCGGCAGTCCATGACGTTCACATCGGCGCAATGCAAGCAATTCACCGCCCAGCGAGACCCGCATGAGCGAATCCGGAGAAAGCAGTGGCCAGATGCAGCGTACGACCCAGACTTGACATAGAGCAACCGACCTTGATTCACTCCTTTGGGAAATCTTCTGCGTTTTTGAGTGTGGTCGTTCTTGTTCCCTCCGCAACAATGTCCGACCATGGAATTCCGGGGTCTATATCAAGATCCTCCACCCAACCCGTCTCCGCTTCTCCTGAGTCCATTATCTCGGCTTGGCGGGCTCGTCTGACCAGTTGGTGGGACCGTTCATCTTTTACATCGTACTCGCAATTACCTCAAGTTCTTGATCATCTATCATCTCGGCTGGATTCCGAGACTGAGGAGATGGCCATGGAGGTTGCTCGATTGTCCAAGGCTCGATGGCGTACATATTGGCTAGCTGCTGTACTATGTTGCGGCGGAGCGCTGTTTGGATATGATTCTGGTGTCATTGGTGAGTTTCCATATTATTATTGGCAATGTATTATAATATGGAAGTAATGATTTTCTAATATCTTTCAGGCGGTGTTCTCACATTCGACTCCTTTCAAGAATCTTTCCAATTCACTGCTGAACAGAAGACTCGTATCAGTGCCATTGCAGTAGGCATTCAGCAAGCGGGTGCGCTAGCTGGTTGTTTCCTCGTTTGGCCAGTTACGAATCGATGGGGCAGACGAATTGCAATGATGTTTTGTTCCGTGGTATTCTGTATTGGTGTCGTGCTCGAGGTAATCGACACTCACTCACTTGCAGCGTTCTATGCTGGACGGGTCATATGTGGTCTTGGTGTTGGCGCATCTGCTACTGTGATCCCAATTTATATGTCTGAAATGAGTCCCAAGGAAATCCGTGGCCAGCTTGGTAGCTGCTATCAGCTGACATATACAATCGGAATCCTTGTCTCTTACTGGATCGACTACGGCGTGGAGAAGATGCCGTCGAGTGCGAAACAATGGCAGTTACCAATTGGACTACAGCTTGTCCCGGGTGTCTTGATGGGGCTTGGTATGTTCACTTTGGATGAAAGTGTGCGCTGGTTGTTGGCCCATGGCAGGACTGCAGAGGCATGGCGAAGTCTTGTTTGGATCCGCGCTGGTGATGGACCGGCAGTACAAGAAGAATTCGAAGAGATGCGCCGGGGTCTTGAAGAGGAACGTCATGTCACGGCCGGATTCCACATGCGTGAACTGCTTGAAGGGCCCAACATGCACCGTCTGCTGATTGGCGCCGGAATTTTCCTGGCGCAACAATCAACTGGCTCGACTGCTCTCGCCTACTTCGGGCCGCAATTCTTCGCTCTAATCGTTGGTCCTGGTGAGAGAAATCTATTGCTTACCGGCATCTTTGGTGCCATCAAAGTTGTCTCGTGTTTGATCTTTGTGGTTTTCATGTCCGACCGGTTTGGACGTCGCCCGATGCTAGCAGGTGGAGCAGCGTTCATGGCAGTATGCATGATGGCTACTGCAGCTGTTGTCAAGCACTATCCGCCTCAGGATGGTGTGGTAACAGCGGCTGGAGTCGGTACTGTGGCCTTGATATACCTTGACATTATTGCCTATAATTTCAGCTGGGGCCCTCTTCCTTGGCCATGTACGAGCGAAATATTCCCGACTCGCATCCGTGAGCCAGGTGTCGCGTTTGGTGTTGGCTCCCAGTGGCTATTCAACTTCATCTGGAGCTTCTCAACTCCATATATTATGGCCGGCATTGGATGGGCCACGTTTTTGCTGTTCGGATTACTCGATATTTTGATTGTTCTCTTTACTTACTTTTGCCTGAAGGAGACGGCAGGAAAGACCTTGGAGGAGATTAATGAGATGTTCGATGGAGTTGATCCGGATGCCGAACAAGGTTGGAAGGATGATAATATGAATGACAGAGATGCTGGCCTGGAGTCACAAGAGGATGAACGGCCACAGGTCCTGGATGGTGTCGAATCGGACAATACATCCAAATCATCCCAGAGCAAGAATGTCTCCAGCCATTTGGAAGAGTCACCCGCCGGTCGGGCTTGACTTGATCAACCTCTGGTTGTTATATAGCTGATGGCAACCAGTGGAAGAGCGCCACGGGATTCGATTAGATTCGCGCAGATAAACACTTAGAATATTTCTGTACACTCCACAATGAACATATCAATCAATATATAGTATCACTTTCGTCTCGAAATTTGAAGCAATTCGTCACAGTCTTTAATAATCAAGTTGAGATTATACATTTATTCCGAGAGAAATCTACATTGGACTGGAAGAGCATGAGTGGGTAATTGAATCAATTTTATAACCCAAATCTATCTGATTTCCTTTTTCGTAGACTCGCTCACTCAAAAAGATTGTTTATATAATTCATTTCATCATTTATACGGCCACTGCCACTTACAGGATGACCTGGTGACCGGCAGGCTTCTCGTCGGCCTCACCGAAGATGTCAACGTTCCAGCGAGGGGTGTCTATGCAAAAGTCAGTAACAAGATCAATCATAAAAAGTATAATAAATATGGGAGGAAACATACTAGCAATGAAAGGAGTGTTGTAACGTCTGCGGTCCTGGCCCAGAGCGCTGACCTTGGCGACCTCCTCAGCGGTAAGCTCAATCTCGTTGAAGTTGTCCTGGATACGGGAGGGGGTAACGGATTTTGGGATGACACTGTGGCCACCAACTTGGGACCAGGCGAGACTAGGAAAAGATGATGTTAGTTGAGGAAGATTGGAGCAGGGAAAGGGAAACATACATAACGTGAGCACCAGTGACCTTGTTACCAGTGCGCTTGGCAACAGACTCGGCAACCTCCAGAACCTCAGGGCGAGTGATCAGGAGAGGCACGTTGAAACCGTTGTTACCGAAAGCAGAGTAGGCAGTGATGTGAATGCCCTTCTCCTGGCAGTACTTAATGAGCTCGTTGCTCTGGAGGACGGGGTGACGCTCGATCTGGTTAGCAGCGGGCACAACGCCGGTAGCCTTAATAATGGCCTCAAGCTATTACAATGCGTTAGTCGGTCATTTCCAAAATCCAGAAGGTGAAGAGTGGACGAACGTGAGGAACCATGTGGTTGGAAACACCGACGGCGCGAGCCTTGGTCTTGGGGAGCTGGATCATAGCTATTGAGAATTGCAGGTCAGTTTCTGAGATAAGATGGGGATACAATTGAGAAAAATTTGCTTACCCTTCCAGGTGTCGACGATGGAAACATCATCATCGATGCTGACATCGCCACCCTCAACAGTGCTGCCCTCGACCAGAGGGAAGTAGTTGGGGCCCTGCTTGAAGGCAACGGGCCAGTGAACGAGGTAGAGCTTCGACTATTAGCAATCATTCTTTTGTGCCACAGGATCCTTCTACTCACATCAAGGTAGTCAAGCTCCAGCTCGGCAAGACAAGCATCGAGGGAGGCCTCAACGTCCTCGGGGCGGTGCTGGCTGTTCCACAGCTTGGATGTCTATGCAGGTAATGATATGTTAGCAAAGCGGAGTCTTGATGGGGTTATTACCATATCTTCCAGCGGGCAATGCTTACGATGAAAAGGTCCTCACGCTTCAGACCAGGAACATCCTGGTAGGCACGCTTAATACCGGTGGCAACCTCACGCTGGTTCTGGTAGCTATCCAAATTTGTCAGTATTAGTTTTATGATTGTCAATTCAACAATTGACGAGGAGAATGATTTCTTCGATGACATACATAGTGGCGAAATCCTGTTATTTCAAATTAGCATTCTTATTCTGGTGAGCTCTTAGACATCGCAACATACCAAGTGACGGTAACCGGCCTTCAGGGCCTCGTAGACGGCCTCACCGACCTGGCCGGGGGCAGACTGCCAAGTACCGAAACCCAGCTGGCTGTGCAATTGTCAGTACCATGCTTCAATTGAGAATGATTTCATGTCCTTACGGGATCTCAGTACCGGTGTTAAGAGCAACCTTCTTTCCGAAAGACATGATTATAGAGATTGAACTTTTCAGATAAATTGAATGATTCGAGGGAGTAAAAGAGAAACGAAGAGCAATAAGAAAACCGGGGAGAGGCGTGTTTAATAAATCATCGACGTGTCTCCGGTGGGGTTGAATTGTATCATGCGCCTGGCCATCCCACGCTGCCCCTCTTAAGTCGGAGGAGACCCCACCGAGGGGGATCAGCGGTTATTTGCCCTTGATTTGCAAGTCCGCATTGTCTGTACGAAGTATATGAACCTTGGTCGAATGCATTGACCCTTCATAATGCAGCATAGTCAACCAAGTGAAGATAGTAGTAACCTCATATCAGTCAAGATTCCAATATTGAACATTGTAAACCCCTGGACATTCTGATGTCATGTCTATTACCCGCTTTTAACCGGAGTTAATTCTACTAATATTTCCTCCAATCTCCTTTTTTACCGGTTGACGCTAGTCAAAGCCTGGTAAGAGAGTACCGACCTGGGGTACAAGTTTCGGTTCAAGATCCACCTTGAACATTAGAATCTCGGTCATTAGTTGCCAAGGGCCCAGGTGGATTCTAGAGTCAATTGAGATGAAATCAACCCTTGGAAACATTTGGTTTTTGTCGGGCACCCAATTGGGCCTAGTATTCTTTTATTCAGTCCATTTTTTGCATTGACTGTTTCTGATTTCTAAACTTGAAGGTCCACGCGCTGCCCTTGTGGATACATGCATCATTATGCCGATGCATCGGACTAACGCCGGCCCTGTCGGCTCGATCGCCCCGGGTGTCGCAATTTCTCCGAGTGGGATATGGGGAACAAGATGGAAGAAATGGAGGCATTGGTTCTCTCTCTAAGCTTCCAAGGTTCATGTTGCGGACCAGCCGAGTACCCTGGCGATTGTACACCACATTACCGAGCCGTATGAGGTGGATAGTCATCGAAACGAGCCGATGTTCCCGATGTTCCCAGCGAACAGCAGTCTCGGGATTCATTTCAATTCTCTCGGCTTCAAGTCTGTTGAAGTCAACTGGTAGATAGCGCTTAAGTGAATTTGTTATCAGTTGGCGGGCAAGATTGGCGGGGTATACCATGTCCAAGCCAAGAGGTGTCTCGGAATTGCAAATGTTTAGAGCATTTGGACTATGGGCCTAGATAAGAATGAAACTGAACCTTTGAAAGTACTAGCAGTGCCAATAATACCAATCGCCATACTTGTAGCAACTAGTACTAGCAAACACTAGAATCTATGCCTAACTGAACAATGCACGTGTGGACACTGACTAGGAAACATTCGTGGAGATTTACTAGTAATGCAGTACAATTTTCCAACATTTTTGTTTTTCTTATGAATCTCTGCCTAATTTAACATCCACCACCACCAGCCCCGCCGATAGCAGCGCCTGTAGTTATAACATCGTCGCGCCCCGCACGGGCAGTTCGTGTAGTTTGCCGTCGCCGTTTTTCTCGGAATACCAGCCCTGTCAAAAGCACGAGATGATCAAAAGGATCACTATGTTCTCCATATATGTCCAAATGACCTGCCACTAGTAAACGTGGTTCAGATGAAAAGACTGCGAGGATCTCCTGGCTCTCCTCGTCCACTAGTTTCGAATTTCCATATGCACTGGATACAGTTCCCACTGAGCGGGTTCTTTTCCATGACAAGGTGTGGGGTTCTCCATGAATGGGTGCTTGAAAGGAATAACTAGATGAAATTAATCCTTTCTTCACCATGGGTACACATTCTTGGTCGCCATCCATCTGACGTCACATTTTGATGAGAAGCGATGAAATTTGGACACCCCGAGTATCGGCCCTTCAATTCTTGACCATTGTGAATCGTAAGATCCAATGACTTTGACGAGAATGGGGATTTTTCTATGAACAGATGCCGTTCCCCGCCGAGGGCATCAGAAGTAGTAGCGTGGTAGTGATTCCCCATTGACTCTTCGACCACTTGAAATACTCGAGTTGAAGACATGATAAATGTTTAATATGACCAACTTGAAGCTCACTCTGGAATGGCTTCCAGTGCTGATCAACTCTCTTATATGTTAGTATCAGAATCCCCGTATTTCAAGTTGTCCCAAGGTTGCTGTGGTTATAACGTCATGGATGAGAGGTGATCATCAAACATTGGCCGGCCACACTTTATAGCCCTGGATCCATAAGATTGGATTTTTCGGCTATAATTAGATCTCATAGAGCCACTTCTGCCTTCAGCCTCCACAGACAGCTCCTCTGTTGTCAATGGTCATTGAAGGACCTTCGATGTATCTGTACTAGCGTTGATGCCTGAGGCATGAAATGGCATGGAATCCCTAACTAGGGTCAACTGGTGGATATATCAACTCAGAAAAAGAATTTATATCCACAACCTTGGAAAACGATCGAGAATAAAGCTTTCCATAAATGCTAGACCTTGAATGATATAAATAATAGCTTAAGCTGCATAACCTCCCCATCATATCATTAGCATCAAACTGACAACTGGTCAATTCGCGGGGACAAGCTCTCCGCCCGCACAGAGGCCACTTCCGCACTTTCTCTTCTAACTCGACTCCTCCACCTACGTATCAAACCCTTTAATCAACTCGCCATGTCGCAATACGCTCGTGTCGAGGAGCTGTCAGACTCCGACCCTGATGAGGTCGCGCCTTCCGACTTTCTTCCCGAAAATACCATCATTGCACCCATTGCACCCGCCGTGCCAACACCGGCCCCAGCAAAGCCAACCCCAGCTTTCGCCCCACCAATCTCCCAGGTGCCAGAGCCTCAGCGCGAAATCCCCCGTCACTTCCAATGTCTCTACCCGGTTTATTTCGATAAGAGTCGCTCCCGCGCCGAGGGCCGTAAGGTTGGTGCCGAGCTTGCTGTTGAGAACCCGCTGGCGCGAGACATCGTGGATGCGGTACAGATGCTGGGATTGAAGGCTGGCTTGGAGCCCGAAAAACTACACCCGAAAGATTGGGCGAATCCCGGCCGAGTGCGCGTGCTCCTCAAGGATGAAGATGGCACTTTGGTCAATCCTGGCATTAAGAATAGTATGTTATTGACCTTCTGAGCCAGAATGAGGAGGACTTACATTGCGCGTTTAATAAATACTGACCAAGTTTATCACAGAGCATCACCTCTTTATCCTCGTTGCACAATATCTGAAAGCCCACCCTACGAATGAGCAATCTCCGTACCGCCTCCGTATTCGCGGCTTGCCCATGCCCGAGAAACTCCCTGAAGCTCCTTCAGCCCCACGTGGTTGGAAGATCGGAAAAATCCTGCCTATCCACTCGCCCGCATACAGTGGTGGTGGTGTGAGTGACAACCCATTCAAAGAGGCCATGGCGGAGATGCAAAATATGCAGGGAATGCCCGGAATGCCCCAGATCCCTGGAATGCCTGGTATGGGTATGCCTGGTATGCCCGGGATGCCAGGCTTCCCCGGTATGGGTGGTGAGCCCTCTGGCTCAGCCCCAGAAAAGAAGAAGAAGGATAAGAAGAAGGGCAAGGCCTAATCGACCTCAATTCCTACTCGATTTTCTTCTACTTTGCACTTGCATTGCACGGCGACAGGCGTTCCTTTTCTCTTTCTGGTTTTCTGCTTCCAATACGATAAAGGCTACACGATCTTGTGATACCTCTTACATTTGATGGACACGATTTCCGGGGAGGAGACTTGAGCTTTCACGGCAGATATTAAGTGGTCACTATGATGGCCCAACTCGACCTGTACAATTCCACAAAATTATAACCAGCATTGTTCACCATATTATGAAATTGTGAAGCTACAATTAAAAAAATCCTTCACAGCTCAATAAATCCAATCCACATATAACTTTTCCTTTTTGATATGAAGACGCGGCCTTCGATTTATTTCTCCTCCGGAGCCAATGCTTTGTGATCAAAGATTGAATCACCATTGTGTCTTGAAAGAGATATAGACCAAAATAATTTGAAATAGACTGTTGTATTAAGAAAGGTGTGACTGAGGAGTTTTTAAATCTGACCTGATCTAACTTGAACATCCATCAAGGCCGTGTACACCCCCACTGGCAGTGTATGCACAAGATCCGACGCCAACAGTAGTCGAGTTCTCAGGATACAGCACAACATTATCAAAGTCAATGTTATAGCACGGATGCACATTCGAGCAAGACACAGACGCTACCTTGGTCGAGGTTGTATCGACATATCCTGTGAAGTTCACAAACGCAACATTAGAAATCGCCATCTTACTCGTTCCAACATACGAGCCATTATCACCACTATCCTGAGTTATGGCAATGCCAGAGCTAGGGCCGTCGAGATAGAAGTTTGAAAAGAGGACGTTGCGGATAGTTCCCCAACCTCCACCTCGTGGGAGTCCTGCACTTTCATATGAGCTCTGGGGCACCAGTCCTCCCATCCAGGTCTTGATATAGGCGCCGTTCTCCATGTCATTGTTTCGACGGATGACGGTCACATTGTCGACCAGGATATTTGCGACACTTGAGTCTTCGAGGTATTGACCGAGACTGCCGATCGCGATGCCGTTACCTCCATGGCAAGTGACATTGCGAATATCAACGTTGTATGAACGTGGCTTAATTGCAACGCAGTCGTCGCCACCTTGATAAACCAGGTTCGAGAGCTGGATATTTTCAACGTCCATGGTATCTGCCAGATAGACATATTCAATCAGTTCTGATCAACTTGAAGGTCTATATTTGAAATCACTCACCAAATCCATCGGTATTCTGTACCCAGTTCTCCCCATATGGTGCGTTCACAGCAGTGGCATTGACGTTGATATTGTTGAATCGCATGTTTTTTCCACTCATGATATTTAAGCTCCACAGCTGCGGATCCTTTATATAGAAGTCATCCACGGCGACATCCGACACATTCCAGAATACAAACGGCATTGGACGGCCTGGTTGAGTATCACTCTCTTCGGCATCATACCACACGTTACCGTTGCCGTCAATGCCACCAGTACCATATCCATTAATCGTGATGTTGCTGCCAGTGATGATGAATCCAGCATGGTGGTTTTGAAAGGCGATGGGGTAGGAATTGTTTCGCCAGTAGGAGAGGTCATCGGAGAACTTCAAGCCATCTTCTGTTAGCTTGTTGAAGCAATGCGAGAAAAATTGTGATATGAGATAGCTAAATCACTTACTGTCCACTTCCCTCGCCATTCGACTGTCACATCATGAATGACTGGGTTTAATCGGGTCGCGATCCAATATGATTGACCTTCTGGGAAGACAACAGTACCGCCACCACTACATTTCTCGAATGCTTGCAAGATATTCGGCGTGTCGTCTTTTTTGTTACCTCTGGCCTTCACGGTACAAACATTTGCTGCGGTCGGAACAGCTTGGACCGAATCAAGGATGGCGAGGCTGCAAGCCAACGCCGAGGAAAGGGAGTTGTACAGACGCATATTAAGCTGTCGCTATGAGGGGAATAGGGATTCTCCCAGTTCCTTTTCTTCACAGGCTTGAATTGATAGCTCCGAATATTGGAGGACATACTTGGAGTTCCTCATTGAATACATATACGTCTCAAGTCCGTTGCTCATTTCGGGACCTTTTGTACCGATATTGATCTACCCCGGAGAAAAAAGAAATATTGCGGGGAATGTTGCATATAATTCTAATTTGCCTGATTGACACTAATCCCCAGGAAGATCTAAGTATGCCGAAGACCCCTAGTGCACGGATGCTTCCCCGCGGCACAGGAAAATGAACAGTGAGTAATATTCCACCAATTATTCAGACTGACCGGGATGAAATAAGGCAACCTTTGACTGACTATTCTCCTGAAGAATTCTTGTCATTCATTCATCGCTCTCTGTGATATTGGCATGGACTGGATGTTCAATGTTGGTAATTGATGAAGTGAGTTTGTCCCCTGCCTGCATCACGGCTGTATACCATGGATGAAGACTAGGAATGACCCAGAATTTGACTAATATCAGCTTCAAGTTTCTACTACTAAGGCCGAGGAGTAACCAGACAAAGCACAAAGAACCACATAGTGCCCACTGGCATGTGTGATGCCAGCTCCGAGCCCTTTTGAGTTGTATGAATGGAGTCCTGAAGAGCAAGGTGCCCACCAGATGTCCTTTGAGAGATACTTAAATCCAATGTCGGGCTGTCAAAAAGATATACACAAAGTTATCTATGCGGTTCTAATTTCCGCATCAAAATCATCAGACCACTATGATCCGGTGGATTCGATCATTATCCGGTGGATGATGTAAATTCCCCCCCACACTGCACTCATCGGTGTTACGTCCGATGAGGATCATCTTCCCCACTCTCTTGGGGGTTCCGTAGCTCGGTTGCTTTCTCAGCAACAAGAGCTCCGATTTGCCCCTCAGTAAGGTAAATTGTTTCTTGGATTCTTCAAATACTTGATAGATTCTCATCTTGAAGATCAATGACCATGGCGAGCAACAAAGAGTCTGTAGTTAGAAGCGCACCTGCAACAATGTATGTTTGTTTATCGCCTCAAACTGTTGACTTTCTAACCTCATTTCTCTGTTTAGGGGATATACCGCGTCGTCTGCCTTTTTTGAGGCTCTCTGGGAGGTATGTGACTGAGGTCCCCTGCTGTTGGTTAGTAGTTCAGTGCTAAATCTTTCGTCAAGGGTGGAGTCAGTCATGTATTCGTCAACCTGGGATCAGATCATCCCTCTATCCTAGAGGCGATGGTCAAAGGCCAGAGAGATAAGGATCGTTTCCCACGAATTATCACTTGCCCAAATGAGGTACGTCGATTCCTCTGCTATTGTTGCGCAAAACCCTCGGGTATTCCCGAAAAAAACACAAAGAACCGGGCTGATTAGGAATCTAGATGGTAGCACTTTCAATGGCTGATGGATATGCTCGTCTCACTGGGGAGCCCCAAGCGGTCATTGTACATGTTGATGTAGGAACCCAGGGCCTGGGAGCAGCAGTCCATAACGCCTCATGCGGTCGAGCTCCCGTGTTGATTTTCGCCGGTTTATCGCCATATACAATTGAGGGAGAAGTCCGAGGTTCACGAACCGAGTACATCCACTGGATTCAAGACGTGCCTGATCAGAAACAAATTGTCGCCCAATACTGTCGATACTCGGGCGAATTGAAGTCAGGCAGGAATGTGAAGCAGATGGTGAACCGAGCTCTGCAGTTTGCAACCAGCGACCCCAAGGGACCGGTCTATCTAGTTGGTGCCCGAGAAGTCATGGAGGAAGAAATTCAGCCCTATCAGTTGAACCAGCAAGTGTGGGGACCTGTGTCCCCGGCTGCCCTCCCAGAATCTGGTGTCGAGCTTATCACCTCTGAACTTGCTGCTGCCAAACGACCATTGGTCGTGGTTGGATACACCGGTAGAAATACACAGGCAGTAACAGAGCTGGTGAACTTGGCAAACCACTTCAAGGGAATCCGAGTTCTGGATACAGGAGGCAGTGATATGTGTTTTCCGGCCAACCATCCAGGTTGGTTGGGACTTCGATACCCAGGACATGAACTTGTCAAAACAGCTGATTTGATCTTGGTCGTTGACTGTGATGTGCCCTGGGTTCCCACTCAATTCAAGCCCTCTGAATCAGCCAAAATCATTCACATCGATGTCGACCCACTCAAGCAACAAATCCCAGTGTTTTATATCAACTCAATGGCCACTTTCCGGGCCGACTCCTCAACCGCGCTCAAGCAAATCAATGACCACATTGCTAGAAACAGGCAAATCCAACAATTCATCGGCTCCGAAGAAAACATAGTCATGGGCCAGCGACGAGATGAGGAGTATTTGACTCGCCGAAAAGAGATCGCCGATCTAGCCGTCCTGCCAGAGGGTGGAGATTTGGCCCCCTTGAATGCCTCATATTTGATGGCTCAAGTTCGCGATGGGTGTCCCGCAGATACGATCTGGGCAATAGAGTCCGTGACACTCACGCATCCAATTTCAGACCAAATTGCCGCAACTTTGCCGAACTCATGGATCAACTGTGGAGGAGGTGGCTTAGGCTGGTCCGGTGGAGGTGCTCTGGGAATCAAGCTAGCATCAGATGTGAAAGCTGGAGGACCGGGCAAGGGTAAATTCGTTGTCCAAGTCGTCGGTGATGGTACCTATCTCTTCTGTGTTCCGGGCTCGGTTTATTGGATCTCCCGCCGATACAATATTCCCATTTTGACCATCGTGTTGAATAATAAGGGGTGGAATGCGCCACGACGAAGTATGTTGTTGGTCCACCCGAATGGTGATGGTTCCCGTGCCACAAATGAGGACTTGAATATTTCCTTTGTGCCGACACCGGACTATGCTGGTATTGCAAAGGCCGCTGCTGGTGGAGAGGTTTGGGCTGGTCGTGCTGCTACAGTGGCAGAATTAGCGAAGAAGTTGCCAGAGGCTATTCAAAGCGTGATGAATGGTAAGACCGCTGTGTTAGAGGCACAGATGGATGGGACTGCTGGGAAGTATGTTGAGCCCTCAACTTGAAGTAAATAAGCATTGTCTTTATTGCGTAGTATAATAATAACTTGAACTCAACTTCCCAAATCCATCTCAACTCCAAGAGTTGATCTTCGGACCGTGCGTCGGCCGGGGGTCTCTGTCACTGAAGAAGAAGAAAAAAGCAAATGGAGAGGACACCTGCCCAGGTGGAGTAGTAGTAGGCTGGAGCTGCGGATCCTTAAAGCACTAATATTTCAGACAAGCTTCAAATTTCCAAAAGTCGAAGTAGGGATTATGAAGGCAAAATATTGAACATATGTGACAAATTGAACTTGAAGATTTGAGTACACTGAATAAGAATACTAGTAAAATTGTACGCCTGACACTGAAACTATGCTTCTCCAGGCCAGATGGAATTGGCCAATTCCCGCACCAAGTTCAATTTGTCCAACATGTTGTGTTTTGTGAGTCTGTTCTCATGGCTGTTGCTGGCAAACCCACATTGAGGACTAACACCAAGTCTTTGAAGGCTCTGTTCAAGACTGATATTATTTCCTTTCGCGATGAACTCTGCAGCTTGAAACACCCGTTCTCTGAGTTCACCAATGTCCTCCAGCTGTGACGACTTTGTAGAAATAACGCCAAGAACCACGTTTTTGTTGAGAGGCAAAGCTTGCAAGGGCTCAAATCCGCCTGCTCGGGGAGTATCGAACTCCAGGTAGTAGGTATGAACATTCAGATCCCTGAATAGTTGACTGGCAATGGCATCGTAACCTCCTGCGGACCAGTATCGACTGTCGGTGAAGTTACCCCGACAAACATGAATACCGATATGCATGTCGGCATTGACATCTTTCAGACAGTCATTGTATAACTCGATATAGGAGGTGAGTAACTCGGTTGTTGACTGCTTGTTTGTGGTGTCCAGGCCCCATGCTTCAATAACGTTGCTGGAGCAGAAATCTTGAGATCCTCGTAGTTAGTGAAAAATATCTTACAAATCCTCCAATGGTTCCTGTTTTGGCAATGGAGAGGATAGGATTGGACCTACAGGAAAGATCGGGGTCATCAAACTGGACCCTCCGCAGACCGGCATCATACAAGATTTGCAGCTCTTTACGATAGGCGGCGGCTAGATCTTGAAAGTATTCTTCTTCGGACGCGTAAACACCATCCAGATAAGCTTGGCCATGCTTGTATCGCAGATGATACCAGTGAGGTGGAGGAATGGTGATTTTAATATCACCAATTCGATCAGCAGGAACGATTGATTTCAAGTAAAGGAATTCCCTTAGGTGTGGACTATCTCCCTTGTGTTCGATTTTGCTGGTACAGATAAGAGTAGTCGGTATGTGGTATTCTAGCAGAGCTGTGACCTTCGGTGAATAGGTGCGAAGGGCACTTTCGACCATGGGAACTTCCTCAAATCCAGACAGACTCTCAAAGAAAGAGCCCCAAAAAACTAGTGACGAGTTAACGTGAAAACTTCATAGACTAGGAAGCAGTGAAGAAGGACACACGAGTTCGTCGATACTCTCCATCATTCACAACTCTGAATCCGAGATTGAGTTGGTCTTTCACAATGGTTTCAATCTCACGATTTTCAACTTGCTCTCTGATCTTAGGATTCTGCTCCTTTTTGAGAGTGTCTAGAAATTCTGCAGGACGTAGCAAGGAGCCCAGATGCTCTGCCCGGCGGGGGAAACTACGCTTGACATGTTGTTCAGCGAGGTGTCGGTAATTGCTCGCGAGTTGTTTCAGCGAGAATCATATTGACAAAAAAGGAGAAATAAATTAGAATGTGCGGGGTTTTAAGCTCCAATTGCTTAGCTTCGAGGGGTGAAGCGCGTGGGGCCTGCTGAAAATCGGAGTGAAGTACTTGACTTGTATACATCGCGTGTATGAATCTGCACGATTTTGCAGTAATTTTTTCATCTAAAGTAGCAAAACTATGAACTTAGCAGTTTCTGAACATTGAATATCCTTCAATCACAGCATTCACTTGACATGTTGCACAGTGCATGTGTAAATTTGAGATCATTGATGTAGAAACGCAACATCGGAGACGGGGAAGCTGAATCGCCGAATGTCCGCTGGGTGAAATGTACGGGAGTTCCTGAACCACCGGCAGCGAACAGCCGAGGCAAATAAACACCACCTGGGCAGTTGACTTCAACGTTCTGATACTCGGAGCTAATGTAGTGAATCTGGGGGCACTAAGCATAGAGAGCGCCCTATAGTCACCCACTTTCAAAGTGCAAAATGCCCAGGTACTTAACTTCGTCATATTACCACACCTCGGCAAAATCAAATGTCATTGTTTTCAAGTTGACTTGGATTCCAAGGGTTTGAGCTTTGTCCTCGGGCAGTGCCAGTGGCCGTCGTGACAAAAATAGGTACAGAGCACCCTTCCAAGGTTTTCCTTGAGACTCAATTCGTAGCTCGAGCCTCGGTCAGTCTCAATGGGTTTTGTTCAATTGTCAATTTGATCAATGTGTATCAATGTTCACCATGACTGTGGCAGCTCATGAAGGCTTGAATTCGACGAAGTTGAAGTTTTTCAATGGAGTTGACCTAAAGTAGGGGCAAGGTGCCTTCCTGCACATGTGGGCATCTGGACGGGGCTCCAAGGCTGTCTCGGTTCGCCCCGGGGTGCCCGGGCATCTGGGCATCTGGGCAGGATGTTATTGTGACTAATCATATGATCCACCCCCGGGCCATGGGTAAATATCTCCACGCCCAGGTGACCAAGACTGGGCAACACTCGGGCCAGTTGTGGTCCCTGTGGATGAAGGTGCCAAGTCCGAAATTGTGGAATTTTATCCCACCCTACCCATTGTGAAAGGAGAAAAAAGCCTCAAAAATCAAGGCACTGCCCAATATCTCTCTAACGGCCCCCAATGCCTAGTTTCATCTGCATAACCTTCTGAAAAGCATTCAAGGTTGAGTAGGGAAAAATTGACTTGGATTTGTTGATATTGCCCGGTAAAATTCATATCCAATGAGATCATGATATTGTGACTCACAGATATCTTCCAAGGATAGCAGGGTGACATGTATTGGAGCGGACTTTATGCAAGTGCCACGTCAAAGACACCCGTATTTCATGCTTTGAGCCGGGGGGCCTTATACGAGCGCCGGCTTGTCAACTTCTCTTGGTGGTGATCTTCATCGGGGTCTGTTTTTGGCCCAAAATGCAGGTTCTTCAACCATGCAAGGCGCAGGGTAACTTGACCCGATCGCACGCCAATCAATTTGAACGCCCCGACCCTCTTGGGGCTGAAATATCACTTCATTTCCAGGGTCTTGCGACATGACCAATCATGAAAGATGAAAAACGGGACTTGGCGGAGGTAGCTCGCCTTGGCGGATCGAGGATAGTTTAGAGCGATGCTATTCCCCACTAAGTGGACCGCCGGGAGAGTGTTTGTATAGCCTTGCGGCTTAAAGATGGCATGGCTTTGAGTCACTAAAAATAAGCGAAGTTCAACTAGTGCCGTAGCGTGAATTGAGACTGGAAAGGGTGATTTTTTTTGGGTTTACTGCTAGTCAGTCGGATATTAAAAAGAGAGATATTTCCCCCCTGTCTTTATTCAATTCAAAGTCTCTTATCCTCCATACTCAGTACCTCACCAGTATATACCTCACAAAATGCAGTACTCCGCACTTTTCATGTCCACCCTCGTGGCCTTGGCCTCTGCCCAGAGCGGTACCCCTTCTGCTACCTCCGGAAGCTCCGCCACCCAGAGTGCTACTCCCAACACCACCCTCTCATCAAAGACCACTGGCACCCCAACAAGCTCCGCGTCTTCTCAGAGCACCACTGTTGTCAGCATCTTTGAAGCTTACGAGAATGACAGCGGCGCCGACATCAGTGTCTCATGGTACACTAGCCTTGGTGCCAGTATCGCCGGCATTAATGCCGACTACACCACCTACGCCGTGGACTGCATGAGCGACGCAGCTCTCTCTGATTGCAGCATTAACGCTCCCTACACCATGATCGCCGGTCCTACCACCCTCAGCTACTATAAGGCCTTGCCTGTTGACATGGAAGCCTACGATGCTACCGTCACTGTCACCCAGGACGTCGCATGCTCCTTCACCCACAGCACTGAATCTGCTGTCTGCACAGAGACAGAGTGGGTCTCATATGCGGGCGAATCTACCTCTACCACGACTACCAAGTCCTATGCCACCAATGACATCTTCTACATTCCCATCACCGTCACTGCTGGCCTGGACAAGCTCAACTCGCCCCAGGCTACTGAGACTTCTTCCTCCAGCAACGCTGCGGGTGCTCCTCATCGCCCCCTCGCTACTGCTGCCCCTCTAGGTGCGGCTGCTATCTTGGCTGTGGTTGGTCTGTTCTAGACAATTCCACCTGCTTCTTTTGCATTTTCGTTCCCTGCATATATTAATTTGATGTATTTGGATACCATAATACCTTGATAGCCTCGGACTATTCAAACGCGCTCAATGATACCAACAATATTATTTTTATAAGTTGAACTTGTCCTCAGACCACTGTAAATCAACCTTATGCTTGCCCAGGAAAAGGAAACACAAAGAATTCGGGCGAAAGTAGAAAAAAAAGAGACAAGGAAGATATAAATTCAGCCCAGGAACTTACCTATGGGCTCGTATGCAGATGTCCTCCAGCTCTCATTGACCTATTCTTTTTACGGTTCACACCTCTACTCTTCAATGTTTCACCACCACCACCCTCCTCCTAAATACTGGACCTTGACCTCTTCGAGATCTTGGGATCTTTCATGTAAATTTAAGCACTTGACGTCCAAGGTTCAACTTGAAGTTTGAATTTTGTACGAACTTGTTTGCCACCTGGGCAGTGAATTATATCCTTACTAGTAGGCCCCAGCCTTGCAAGCCTTCCTATAAGTACACCTGCCCACTGGCACCGATGACCGACTCGAAGCTCTATCTAGTACGAACCCTGGAATGATGTCGCACTGCAAGTTAGGCTGTCAACTGATGAACTAATTTAAGCTAGTAATCATTCATCCGATACTCTAATCCTTAGTGGAATGATCACTCCAGAGCTGATCTAGGTACACGTAGACTCGGAACTTTTGAAAATACCGAATGCGGCATGGCTGACGGGCCGAACGGATGTTGCCGCGCCCACACTGGCATTTCTTGTGAATGACCAACTTGGCATATGCAGCTGTTTCTCTCCACCATCAATCTGAGTATGATTCAGAGTCCAGCCATTGAAACCGCAGTGATTCTGTAACGCCAATGTTCAAACAGAGAGACAACCTTAACACCGTTTGCTTCCAGCCTTTCCTGTCCGTCATTATGTGCAATGAATGTCCCTGGCTCCTTTATCCCCACATAGACAGTCTTGATAGCGCCATTGAGTCTCAAAATCCTTGTTGCGCACGTCATATTGCCACTGAGTTGCTCGTTGCATGGCTCCATAGTCGTGTAGAGGACGGTGTTTGGTGGAAGAACTTCGTGGATGCGTTCTTCAGGGATGTTGTGAGTGTCAGCAATTTTGATGAAACAACACTGCTCGGCGTGTGTGGTGCCTGGATCTCCCTTATAATCGCGAAGGTACTCCAGCAAATATCCTGTTGATAGGACCTTGCCTTAGTCGGCATCAACGAGTACGGCCCCGACACAGAACTTGTTCTCCGCTGGTGGGGACTTTTGGGCTTGAGTGAGTGCGAAATCCATGAACGCTTCGTGATCTCCGATGCCAAAGGTTGGATTCATTTTGATCTTAAACATGACCAGTTCTTTTTCTGATTAAAAAAATCAACAAACCCCCCCTTGAAATTAATGTAGGACGTGGTCAAGAGTTGGAAAAGGACAAAATAGTCTAGCGTCACTGCGGGGTTTCGACTGAGATCCCTGGCGGTTCTGTAACTTGGAATTTGAAATATCACACATGCATCTTCAAATGCTCGACTGCCAGAGCGATTCAAAGGGTTGAATCCAGGGCTTTCAGGATCTATACTAACCCTTGAGAATTCTGATTTTATCTCAAATCATGAACTTGACATATATGCCGCGACACTGTAATTCTATAAAGACCACTGGCAAGTACTACAGAAACCTTGGAAGACCCGAGTTGATATCTATGAGGAATTCATATCACAACCGCCGGCGGCACTATCACAAGGCCTTCTCCTTACTGACCATATCGCTCCACTAAATCTGTCATCACATCAATAACCCTGTCGTAATTGTTAACTGCTATACTTGGTAATGGAGTCAGGTAGCCTCACTGGGTGCGTAGTGCTGCGTTTTCAACAAAAAGCGCCGAGACATGAGTGTCAAATCTCCTAGCTGGGAGTAAGCTAATGTGCGACACATCTTCAGTCATTAGAACACTTCGAGGTTTCTTACAATCTGTATAAATCTAAGCGGCCTTCGAAGTCTTCTTTCGGTATTGATATTCCAGCAAACGTGGTGTATGCAGCCACATACTCATCCCAAATCTGTTGCAAGGTGGGCGCCATTGGCCCAGCTCATCTTCATGCACATCATATTAGCTTCCATATACTGCTGGATTATGTCGTCGTCCGTCGTCGTGACTCACATTCATGGTGTGCAAAGAAACCACATGCATCAAAAACAAGTGGTCGGTTACTGTCAGTCTCAACGCCCGAATTTCCGTACCAGAGGTCGCCGTGAACTAGTGATGGTTTGATGACTCTGCCGTTGCTCTCAAGCGGACGTAAAAGTCTTGGCATCACTCTTTCAAACAGCACGCATGAAAGCTCGGCAAGTTCTTCGCTAGGTCCTTTCATCGCTATCTCCAGATCAAGTGCCTGTCTCATACTCTTTGCGAAGAATGTCTCCCAGCTATCTTCCCATCCAACAAACTGGGGTAGATTTCCTGCGTAAGTCGTAACATGGAATCCAAATTTCCCGGTGGGTGAGATACTCTTTTCATGTAAAGCGGAAAGCAAAGCGGCAAAATCAAGAGGGTCAGGCATCGAGCCAGGTATACCTCGGTCAGTCAATTCTCGGAATTCGCAGAGGAAGAAATGAGTCTCCGGTGCTCTATCATACGAGCCAAAAGCTATGGGGTTTGGGACAAAATCCGGCACAACATCATATATCGCTTTCATTGACTGATATTCTCCTCTTGTGACGCTTCTGCCCAGCTCTTTCAGAAACACCTTTATAAAGAAGCACTGGAGTGTGCCATCGCTTAATATCACGTTGATACGACCCGTCTGACCCCAGTGGCTCGTCCCATGCTTCTCGGTGGAGATGACCTGAAATCCTTTTGGTAGTTCTTGTCGCCTGTCAGTCTCATATTGGTCTTTTTGTCAATTCAAAGGTTCATAACTCACCTCGGAGCACAGCTGGATCGATCTCGCTGTCCCCAGCCCCGAATCCATTTTCTCCTGCGTCCATGTTGTTAGGCTTTTAATTCCAGGCTAATATTGTTGTGCGTGGCCTGATTTGAGTATTTTTTTTTCAATCAATGTTGCCTCAATCGTCGAATGTTCTCAAGAGAGAAGAGTCCTAAGCGCTGTGCTTGAGAAAGTGAGGGGTACAATATTTCAGGTTCAATATAGTGACAATTACTAATTAGTTCGCTTTTTGTTGGTCTTTGAGGTTAATCGCCTTAGTGGGGCTCACTGACCAGGAGCTCAAATGCCTAAAGCTCAATGAAACAACCTTGGAATCACTATGCATGTTCAGATTGTAGTAGGAAAACTATTGGATCTAATAGGCCCCAGGATTTTGCAAGGCCCCATATATTGGTGCCTGATAACCCAGGCACCAACGATAATATTTCTCCCCATCCCCTCACGTGATCTTATCAACTTCACCACCCCAGAGCTCGGAGAATCATTTACCCGAACCATTTACCCGAGAAAAGGATCATTTACCCGCCGGTTATTATCGACATGTCGACCCTATCGAAAAACATTTGGTTGCCGAAAGACCTTTGGCAGAGAATCGTTGACCAACTCAGAGATGACCGTTCACCAAATCATCTCAGCCACCTGATCCGGACCTGCAAGTGGTTTCATGAAAATTTTGTCCACTTATTGTACCAAAATCTCCGATTTTTCAATAAAGGTGATGCAATAGCCTTCGGCAATGCTCTACTTCGACAAGAGGTCAAGGATCTTGTCGAGGAAATCCGCCACGAGGATACAACCGGTTTCTTGGATTTCACGGGCCGTTCTAACCCTTTTTTTCAAAAACCTCCAACTTTGACAAACTTGAAAACCCTCATCTTGAAACGGGGGCTTGGATGGAAAGACTACACCTGGTATGGTCGGGCGGAGGACCTTCTACATGATGCATACATGCTTCCTGATCGGGATTGGCCTCATATCTTCCGGGAATTCAAAAGATCGCTTTCTCCAGACGGCTACATGGAGGATTATGACGAGGACCCTTTGGGAATTGGATGGGAATACTCTAATATTGAAGTGCAGCTCGCGAATTTAGGGAAGAGCACCTTTTTCTGCCACAGGCATCTGAGTAATTCGCTCTTGACCAATCTACGCATATGTGAGTTTATATGTCTTCCTTTTTCTGCCGGTTGAGCGTATTGAGATTCTGATGCTAAACAGGTCATATTGGTGGTGCCCGTTCTGTTCTTCAATGATTCGATTTTCACTCTACCTCATCTGTAGAAGCTCTGCATCGCTGATGCTGATTACATAGAGGAGAGCTGGGAAGATTCGCCCGAGCCTCATTCCATGAAGGCTTTGAAAGAATTGACGCTTTTGAACTGTCGTCGCATCACTGCCCACAGCCTCCAAAGGATTCTATCGTATCCAGTTGCGCTGAAAAAGTTTTTGATGAGATCCCCCTTTTACGGTACTCAGGATCCTGTAGCATATGATGCTGATGAGGGCTATATTGAAGTGTCTCACATCATATCCGATCACCAGCGTTCTATGGAGTCAATGGACCTGGACATCTGGCTCGGGACGGGGTATGGAATGGACCTTGATGGCTTGCATTGTCTCAAAGAGTTGACTGTCAGACCCTACTCCATGACGGATCTTCATTGGGACGATAATCCTCAAAGATTTGGCGATCTTCTATCCGCATCTCTCATGCAACTAACATTGCGATTTGAGGAAGGAGCCACCATCCGCCTCCTACCCCTGCACAATTCAATCCAAAAAGGCAGTCTTCCTGAACTTCGGACAGTGTCTTGCATAATACCTGACGACTTAGAAGATTTTGAGTTGATCGTTGCTGAGGTTGAGGGTTGGAAGGACCGATTTAAAGCCCTCAAGGTGGATCTGATAGCGATTATCTTCCAATCCCTGATGCGGGCACCAGACTGGGACGCCTGCCCTTGCGAACACCCAAATTTCAATTACCGAAACCGAATTGATGAGAAACCAAGTTGGTGGCCTTTCTTGTTTGAAAATCCACGCCTCGGACCCTCCAATCAGTGGTGAAGATATCATTGAGGCATTGAAATGATTTTGTCTCACGAGACCCTCTCAATTTTGAAACTACACAGCAATTATCTGTTCATAGTGAATTATCTATGTATAGATATCAATTTTCAAATACTAGTAGCTCTGATCAAGGATTTTGAATCGGAATTCCAAGGTTCCAACTTGAAGATTTCGCGATGCCTGGGTCCCAGTGAGTAGTAAGAAGTCCGATATCTACATGCCTTCATCCCACTCCTTTCTTGGAAAATTTGCAATGATAGAGCTCGCATGATATAGTAATCCTTATCAACTATAAAGTTTGTAGTGCTACTGGCAGCCTCGTGGACTGAGTACTGCTAGTATCTCCTGGCTCCAGATGTCCGGCCCCGGGGGCGATGCAAAATCGAGTGGGTCTACTACTAGTAACATAAATACCCACTGGCACTTCCAACTTCGAACTTCAGACTCGGTCTCGGACAATACTTTCCAATGTTTTTCTCGTACTCTATATTGCTTCAATGGTCATCGGATCCATACTGCTCTCCCTGATGTGAAATAATTCTGTCGCGCAGCCAGAACCCCAATGGAAGCTCTTGCCCTGTATATTTTCAGGGGGATGGGGTGACATCGGGAGTGGATATGACAATGCATGCTAGACCGGGGTCTGGCGAGCTAGCAACGTCGGCTTCATGATCGGGATTCTGGAGACCCAATCGAAGATCGCGTGCATACGTATGCAATTTTCCAGGATCTCAACGTGGAGCATTCTCACTGCGACTGGTGTTTCTAGATATGATTAGCCCTCAAAAATCCCTTAACTCATCCCCCACTCGAGTTGCAGCCCTGGCGCAATATATAGACTCTCGGACTCGGACAGTTCATGCACCTCTGTTGTCGTCACGGTGCTTCGCTGGCTGATATTGACTTTCATTCGACGATCCTATCAGGTGTGACCTCGGGAGGAAAAAAGGATCCAAACTGAGACCAAACAATCATTTATGATGTATGAGTCCGAGGGAAACAACTTGTCGATTCTGGCCGAGTTCACTGCCTTGGCTGGCAGCTTACAAGGATCCAATCTCAATGAGGATGTTCGCCTTAAAGCGTCGGCTGTTACTCGTAGTTTACTCTCAGCCTTGGAGTTACCATTCGAGAGAATCATGCAGGATGTGGTCATGGTGCGTCATTCAGGATCCAATCACAACGTGTGCGCCTAGGTGACTGAGAATGCAGAATCCACCAACTCTGATGGCCATTAGAATGGGTGTCCAACTGGAGATTTTCACTCAGGTCAGCCAGAATCCAGAAGGAATCACTTTGCAGACCATTGTGGAGAAAACGGGGGCCAGCCCCATCCTTGTTGGTAAGTCCCTGCTTTTTGTAATAGAATGCCGAATGCTCAAGTGACCTATCCGGAGTTAAATAATCAACAACATTTCCATGAATGCCCTGGTCATTCGCCGTTGTACTTCCAGATCATCAAACTGCAAAAGATAACATAATCTGTGCTGATAATATGATCTCTCCTCAAAGCCCAGATTCTGCGGCTTCTATGTGCTGCCGGGTATGTCAAGCAGCACGATGCACAGACATTCAAGCCCTCAGCTTTGACTATGGCAATGGCAGGTCCAATGGCGGAAGCAACAACTTGAGCCTGGTAGGTTGACTGATTTCTCGCAATCTATTTTTCCTCCATACTAAGAATAAACTAGTTTTGATATTGGAAACCTCTGCACCACCAAAGCTCCAGAGTTCTTTCGCAAAAAACAACAATCATGTTCTATCCTCTGTCAAAGATACGCCGTTCCAACTGGGCTGTAACACAGAGTTTAGCTATTTTGAATGGCTGGGTAAAAATCCTGATCTGGCCAGGGATTTCCACCAATGGATGACATTAAAGCAAAACGCCACGCCAAGTTGGCTCGACTGGTTTGATATTGAAAACCACCTGGCTGAGGACTTCAATGCTGAGGCTTCAGATGTTCTCTTTGTCGATGTTGGTGGCGGCGAGGGTCAATATGTACAGGGCTTGAAGGAAAAATTCCCAGATGCCCCTGGGAGACTAATTTTACAGGATTTGCCCCAAGTCATTTCCGCCGTCGATTCTCCCCCTACTAGCGTTGAGTTGGCCAGCCATGATTTCTTTACAGCTCAGCCAATCAAGGGTAAGACATAATTTCCAATTTTTAGGGAGAGAAGACATAAGTTGACAGTCCCCATAGACGCCCGCGCATACTTCATGCACTGGACTCTACACGACTGGCCGGATGAGCAATTTCAGTCTATTTTGCGACATATTGTGGATGTCATGGAGCCTGAATACTCTAATTTGATAATCCATGAAACGATTATTCCCGACACGAATTGCGATCTACCATCGGCTTGCATGAGTGTCATGATGATCATACAAGTTGCTGGTTTTGAGCGTTCTGAGAAACAGTGGCGGGAACTGCTTGAATCGGTTGGACTGTCCAAGGTTGTTTTTCATCAGCCTCCCATCAGTGGTGAAGGTATCATTGAGGCAATGAAATGATTTTGTCTCACGAGACCCTCTTAATTTTGAGAACACATAACAATTATATAGAGAGAACTTGAATGGTCTTTAGATATCAGTATTGAAATACCTATGATCAAAATCCCCAAACCAGAATCCAAGACTAACCTAGTACTAGATCTACTCATTTTTCCTACTATCTAAATACATATTGAATTTACTTAATTCCCTAAAACTGAGAGTTCATGATAATAATTATCAAGAGATGTTCTGAGAGCTGAGTCTCTCACTCTATTTTCATTCTACTCTCATTCTATCCCCAATCTACTCTTAATCTACTCTTACTCTGCTCTGAAATACTTCTGAGTCTGTATCCACTATGTGCCTTTGTGATGAGTATAATCTATAAAACTTACCTTACTCTATACCTAAGGAGATAGGATACTTATCACCATTAAATCCATACATTTTTTGATCGGAATTAATACATGTATTTCCGAATTCCGAATTCCGTTCATTTCACGTCTGTAGTGACCTCTCACAAACAGTGTCTGTACCTGGGCCTTTGATACCCATTTGTCAGCAGTGCCAACCCGAGATGGTATGTCTGAATAATCATGGTAATCACAAGGTAACAAGGATTTGAAACATTATCTATTACCTCCATTAATTGGAACAAGCAGAAATTGGTGTGAATAAGCAGGAAGGATAAACCTTGGAACACAGAAGCAGAGAGAAGAAGACTACAGAATCTTGTAACATGGTTCAGCTTAAATACTTCATCAATCCCTTCTTTCTGGAGTACTATTCTTCATCAGAAATCCTCTTCTCTGCCTTGTCTACTACGCAGAAGCCTCTCACAATCCATATACTACAATGTCTCTCCAGCCCATTAAGCTTTACGGCCATGGACCTGGTCCAAATCCCTGGAAGGTCGCCATGGTCTTCGAAGAGCTCGGCATTCCCTACTTCACCGAGAATGTTGAATCTACCGATTTGAAGAAGGAGCCGTATGAGTCGGTCAATCCCAACGGCCGGGTCCCTGCTATTGAAGATCCCAACACTGGAATCACCCTGTGGGAATCAGGTGCTATCCTCGAGTACCTGGTGGAAACATATGACAAGGACCACAAGATCAGCTTTGTCGCTGGCTCGCAGGACTATTTCCTTGCGAAGCAATGGCTGCACTTTCAGATGTCTGGCCAGGGCCCTTACTTCGGCCAGGCTGTCTGGTTCCAACGCTTCCACCCTGAGAAGGTTCAAAGTGCTATAGATCGCTATGTGAATGAGATCCGTCGTGTCTCTGGTGTGCTTGATCGCTTCTTGGCTGACAAGGAGTACCTTGTTGCCAATAAATTCAGCTATGTCGACCTTGCTTTTATTCCATGGTTTGGTCTTACAAGACTGTTCAGCCTTGATCTGGAGAAAGACTTCCCTAATGTTGATGCTTGGCTCAAGCGTCAGCAGGCTCGTCCAGCCATTGACAAAGCTCTCAAGGAGCGTGATGCAATCATTGCAGCAATGCAGTCTTAGACGACCCTGGAAAGCTTTGAGCAATGGGCAGAGATATCCATGTAATGTCAACTTGATGAGATAATTTGAATACAATCATGATTAAAGGAAAATCCATTGAAATAGTAGAGTGAATGTTCATCTAGGTAGCATCTGGGGGCAGTGAATTGTGAAATGCTTTGTAAAGGGCATAGGCTAACCCAAATTGGGAAAGGCGGTCAACCAAACTCTTGGCGAAACCCGCGAGTTTTCCGTAGTCGCGACATCCACCTCTCCCCCATTTGATCACGCTTCCGGTGCAATCAATCCCCCTTTACCTGATTGCCCGTTAGATTGGGCCATTTATTGTTTCGTTCAATTCAATTCATTCGGTCCGTCCTCAGGGATAAGAACGCGTCTTGAAGCTGCTTTGTGTAAAACTAATTGTGGTGCTCAACAACAGACCAGGAGTCGACCATCTGTCGCTCGCGACAGCTACTTCGTTTGCTTGACTTCATCATGGACGACACTTCAGTTAACCCCGCCTCAGTTTCTGAGGCTGCCCAGTCCATGACTGGCTCAGATGCTGCAGACCTATCGCACGCCGGTTCTGGTAATTTGCCCCCTCTCGCCATCAATGAAAGCTGTGTCAGTTACTGACAAGATAACAGAGGCGCAATCACGCCAGGATTCCCCCCGAGAAGAAAGTTGAGAATGCCACCGGATCTGATAACCCTCTTGATGCCCCAGCCTCTCCCAAGCCGCAGAATGGCGACGCCGAGCCAGAGGATGAGGAAATGGGAGGCACTGAAACCGACACCAAACGCGATACAGAAGGATTAGAGGATGCCGCCGGAGAGTCGCAAGCTCCCGCCGATGCTTCTGAGGGCTTGGAGGATGCAGTTGGTGAAGATCAGGCCGCACCAACCAAGGCCTCCCTTGAAGTCTCCGCCCGCGATCACCTTGTGACTCAAACCCACGCTATCATCCTTCCCAGTTATGCCAATTGGTTTGACATGAACACCATCAACCAAATTGAGAAGAACGCTCTCACCGAATTTTTCAATGGCCGCAATCGCAGCAAGACCCCAGCTACATACAAGGACTACCGTGACTTCATGATCAACTCCTACCGATTGAACCCTATTGAATATCTGAGTGTCACTGCTTGCCGACGTAACCTGTCTGGTGATGTCTGTGCGATCATGCGTATTCACTCTGTCCTTGAGCAGTGGGGCTTGATCAACTACCAGGTAAGCAAGCCCGTCTGAACTCTTGGTTTTTATGATTAGACGCGCTAATCACCAGTCAAAAAGGTTGACCCCCAAACCCGACCTTCTAACATCGGCCCACCATTCACCGGCCACTTCCGTGTCATTGCGGATACTCCTCGTGGTCTGCAGACCTTCCAACCTGGCCCGAATCCCATTGTTACCGCTGGAAAGGCTCTCCCAGCTACCGACCGCGCAGCTTCTTCCACTCCCGCACTTAAGGGCGAACTCAACCTCGACGTTCGTCGTAACATTTACGACCAGAAGGCTCAGGACATTCTCGCCAATGTCGAGAAGCAGACGAACGGCGAGCCGACAAATGGAATCGATGTCCAAGAACCCCGCAAGAAGGTCCACTGCTTCTCTTGCGGTATTGACTGCACCCGATCTCGTTTCCACTACACCAAGGCAGCCCCGATCTCAGCCAACGCGAACACGCCCGACACCAAATACGACTTATGCCCCAACTGTTTCCTTGAAGCCCGTATGCCCTCCAGCCACAGCGCTTCGGACTTTGTCAGAATCGAGGACAAGACGCACTCACACGCCGCTGACAAGGATACCCCGTGGTCTGATTCCGAGCTCCTGTTGCTCTTGGAGGCCCTGGAGAGCTTCGATGATAACTGGGACCAAATTGCCAACCACGTGGGTTCTCGTACCCGCGAGGAGTGCGTCATGAAATTCTTGGCGTTGGAGATCGAAGACAAGTACCTTGATGAGTTGCCCGAGATTCGAGCTGCCCCCGGTCGCGAGCCTATCAGTGCATCGCAAAACCCCATTCTGTCTGTTGTCGCATTCCTAGCCCAAATGGCAGAGCCTGCCGTTGCTGCTGCTGCTGCTGGCCGATCCGTTGATGCCATTCGCAAGGAGCTCCGTGCTCGGTTGGAGAAGGGCGATGGCAAGACTCAGGATTCTGTCAAGGCCGAGGATTCGATGGAGGTTGACACTGTTTCTGAGAGCGAACAGCAGGCTGAGAAGGCTAAGGAGTCCGTTTCTACCATTGCTCTGGCCACCTCAGCCGCCCGTGCCAGTGCTCTTGCATCACACGAGGAGCGCGAGATGACCCGACTGGTTGGTACTGCGGTCAACATTACCATGCAGAAGTTCGAGATTAAGTTGCAGCAGTTCAACGAGATGCAAGAAATCATTGAGGCCGAGCGACGTGAGCTGGAACAGGCTCGCCAGCAGCTTTTCTTGGACCGCATGGCTTTCAAGAAGCGGGTCAAGGAGGCCCAGGATGCCTTACAGGCTGTCAGTCTGCAGGGCCCCAATGAGCACACCAACACCATGCTCGCCAGTGCTGCTACTGCTGGCATTGGAAACCACTACAGCTTCCAGCCTGTTGGTGGTGATGCACGAGTTGGTGCTCAGCCTTTGAGCGCCGAGGCTGGCGCTGATTACAAGACCCTCGATCTGTAACTTCTCCTCTCAATACATGTACGATATTCCTCATGACTGGGTGGAGAACGGGAGAGCGAGCTGTTGTCTGATGCGTGATCTTGGTGTTTATGATTTTTTTTTTCAGTGTTTCATGGCTAGGAAAAGGCGCAGTTTCTTTTTATCTGCTGGCGTTTGAGTCGATTTGCCCTCCATCCGAGCCCAGATTTATCAGATAGGTGTTGTTCTTTCAAGGAGATTGATACCGGGTTTCAGGGTGTTTTACCTATTTTCCCAAATGTGTTTACCATTTTTTTTCTTTAATCATATCTTATCTTTTATGATGACGGTTTTCGGTGTAAAATCTTTAATCTTTTCATCAAATAGGTGCTTATATCTTACATTGGGTATATGTACATTGGAAGGACGCCTTCTGCCTACTAGTAGGTAGTATCTATGAGGTTCTCAAGGTTCTTGCATCTAATCAAGCCGGCCACTGGCAGTGACTGAAGCAGGACTTGATTACTCCGAGTCGTCCACATCCGAGTCGTCAACGTCCATCTGGCCTTCAGAATCACCAAGTTCGATGGGAACTTTACTCCTGCCCATTTCGTCATCTTGTGGTATTTCTTCCTGTTCCTCCTCGGAAGAATCCTCAACCTGAATAACCTCAGTGGACAGAGGCCCCCCTGGCCTTTTTCGTTGGTCTCCTTGGTCGTTCAATATCCTCCTCTGTAATCTCATCGTACATTGACCAGCGTCTCTTTCGTCGATTCTCAGCCAGTTCATCTTCAAGATCCTGTAAATCATCGCCATACTCCTCCCACTCGCTACGGTAGATAGTACGCTCACGCCAATCAACCAGGTTCTCTCTCGTTTTGCGTTCGATGTAGGGTTTCCGCCCAACGAGACTTGTTTCATCTTCGTCTCCTGCGATGGGAATGTTGAGGTGAGATGGTGCGGGTATTTCCAGCATGTCCCATAGTTGTCCTTCTTCGCGGCGATTCTGTGCTAGATCGAGAAGATCCGCATGTTCCTCTTCAGGTTCCAGGGGTATCTTGCTCCACTGGATGGAGGATTGTTCAAAATGGTATGGGGGTTGAAATATCGTAGTGGAGGGGGAGACTGGTTTTGGTTGCCCTGTCTCGGCTTTGGATTCGTTGTCTTCATGCTCATCGTCACTGGTAGACTCTTCATCGTCCGTGTCCGAATCATCCGTTTCGTCTTGGTTGCGAAGAATATCCTCCGCTTCATCGTAGCTGATGAGCCGAGGTTCCCCGTGTTCATCTAGATCGTCTGTGATGGTGATGCGATTTCGTCGAGACACATCCACAAAAAAACCCGCCCGATCGTGTTTCATGTTTAATACATCGACAGCAGCTCTCACATCTCGTTTTCGAACGACATATCTTCTTGCTCTGCCGATTCCACTCATAGCACGTAAGCGTGCCATAGCGAAGAAAATAGTCGATTGCATCAGGCGTCGGGTAATGCTCATGGTAAGTGCGTAAAAATCCATAAGCGCATCGCCATAAATTCCTGGCGATTCCTTCCTCGATTTCACGATATTAGTCCAAGAATCCTCAGCTCGATGACCACCGAAATTCATGAAAAACTGTGCCGAGAGCTGAGGCCACATTGGAACATTCAGTAAATTCGCAGCATGATGGATACTGCCACGGAGAGGAGGATTGATTTCTTTAGCAACCAGTGCTTTCCCTTCAGTCACGCCAATGAGCGCATTCTCAGCATACACTGATCGACATGCGAGTTCTTGATCAATATCTTCCCGCATCACCAGTCCCTGCGCATATCTGTCCAGCTCTTCGCAACATTCCTTGCTCAGTTCAATGGCAGAAGGAATATCGCCCATGACAATTGTGTCAATCTTTGGCTCGAGGATATGCTGGGATTCCAGACCTCGGTGAAGAAGACTGAGGTAATCCGCTACCTCGACTTCTGATTTCGTTCCAATCGTAGCAGCCATCTGCCTGATCCCATTCTTCCCCTTCTTATCGAGGACCTTGAAGAGCAAATGTTTTTCTCTCGAGGTCCAGCTAACCGCACCGTTCTGTGTCATGGAGTATTGCGCTTCGTTGGGATTCGCTCTAACAGCCGCTACATCGTAGATGTATTCGTCCAGGAGATCTTTGTATTGCGCCAAGGAGTTTGGGTTCAATTGGGTGACCAGTGCATCGAGCCTATCCCAGCGGCTTTGAGAAGATTTCGGTTCTTCGAGGTCATTCTGTGGCTCTGGTACTGGTACTGACACTTGTGCAGTAGGTCTGATCTGCACCTGGACTTCGGGAACGTTGGAATCGAAAGGATCATGGTGGGAGAGAGTGCGCCGTTGGCGCTGGCGTCCGCGATCAGTTCGGAGGGAGAAATCAGAGTCGGAGGAATCGTCAGGTTCAGGTTCGTAAGAGGGAGATCTGCTCATAATGGGAGACTCGGAGAGTCACAGCACAGTCCGATGAACCTGAGCGGAAACATTACAGCTGTACCAGCGAGATCAAAAGGGGTTCTCTATGCGACTGGAGAGAAAAAGCAAAAAAAAATTCAAAGTTGATAGATACATTGAAAAAAAGTTGACGCGGCGGACTTCCGCCTGTACCACCTTATCGCCGATAAGAGCATGTTTGCACTGTTTGTGAGATTTACATGGCGACGGAGCTTCATCCTCTTTCGACTTGCTTTGCTACACGCATGGAGTTCATTCGAAGTTTTGGATTGCTGTCGATCTCGAGGATAGGGAGGAGGCTACCAAGCAGACCTCCGGTGCTTCATTGTCGGCACAATGTACGGCTGAAGTCGACTTTGCCTCCCTCATTACCGGGCTCCAGTATTGTTCTCCGTGACTACCAGGAGGAATGTATTCAGTCAGTGCTGAAGTATCTGGGCGAAGGCCATAGACGCCTCGGAATATCCCTAGCCACGGGAGCAGGGAAAACAGTTAGTACAAACATCGTCCTGAACTATTCACCGTGCTAATGAGGTCCTCTGTATAGGTTATTTTCACACAACTTATTGATCGAATTCCTCCGCGCGATGCAAGAGCGACGAAGACCATGATTATTGTTCATCGACGGGAACTGGTTGAACAAGCAGCGAAGCATTGCCGCCTTGCCTACCCAGACAAAACTGTGGAGATTGAAATGGGCAAAAACGTAGCGACGGGGCACGGCGATATCATCATCGCATCTGTACAAACACTCGCGCGAGGGCGTATAGGCAGATTCGACCCTCGAGCTTTCAAATTGATTCTAGTGGATGAGGCGCATCATATCGTGGCACGTTCATACCGCGATGTGTTGGAGCATTTCAGCCTCAATGAACCTACCCTAGGTGCACCGGTACTGGTTGGAGTCTCGGCAACATTTGCACGGTTCGATGGGTTGAAGCTTGGTGCTGCGATTGACCACATTGTGTATCATAAAGACTATGTGGACATGATCGGTGACAAATGGTTGGCAAATGCAGTTTTCACGACAGTCAAGTCCGAGGCGAATCTCACGAATGTCAAGAAAGATAAGTTCGGGGATTTTGCCCTTGGATCGCTTTCAGAGGCTGTTAACACTGCCAATACGAACAATATCACCGTTCGGGCATGGCTGGCCAATTCCGAGGGTCGGAAATCCACATTGGTCTTCTGTGTGGATGTTGAACATGCCAAACAACTAACAGCGACGTTCCGTGACCACGGCATTGACGCTCGCTATATCACTGCGACCACACACAAAAACACTCGTTCTGAGCAACTCGATGCTTTTAAGAATGGGGAATTCCCCGTCTTGTTGAATTGTGGGTTGTTCACAGAGGGCACTGATATCCCGAACATTGACTGCGTACTACTGGCACGACCAACCAGGTCAAGGAACTTGCTCATTCAAATGATCGGGCGTGGCTTACGACTATTTCCTGGGAAAGAAGATTGCCACATAATCGACATGGTCGCATCCCTTGAAACTGGAGTTCTATCAACTCCGACCCTTTTCGGTCTCCATCCAGATGAGGTTTTGGATAAGGTCGGTGTGAACGAAATACAGGAAGGTCGCCAAGAAGAAAAAACTGCGGAGCCCATCAACACTACACCTGAAGATGAAACAAATGACAACGTAACTCTGAAGTTCACCAGATACGATAGTGTCTACGACCTCTTGGAAGATGCACAGTCAGAGCGACACATCAGATCCCTCAGCCAGCATGCCTGGGTACAGATAGATGCCAAGAAATATCTTCTATCAGATTCATCAGGATGGTTAACCATCGCAGATGGGGAAAATGGGTTTACAGTCCACCATGTCCTGAGATTTAATGACCCAACATCTGAGAAACTCCAGTTCACCCGTCCACGACTGATCGCATCGGGTCCGGACCTGGAAACCGCCGTGCGAGCTGCAGATACATTTGCAGCAGACAAATTTGAGAAACGATACATTTCATCCCGACAGCCCTGGCGACAAAGTCCTGCTACCTCAGCGCAGATTGCAATGCTGAATAAAGCGCGGATCCGCGATGGTCAACTGCGCGTCGGCGATCTCACACGGGGACAAGCGGCTGATATCATTACCAAGCTGAAGCATGGTGGCAAGAAGCGATATAAAGATATTGCGGCTAAGAAACGCAAGGTGCAAAAGAAAGAGATTGCTTTGAACGAGCTGCGACAGAGGACTGATGTCAAGGTCGGACCATTGCAAGGATGATAGCAGTCTAGATGGACTGGGTCCTGTACGCCATGCACAGATGGGTGCTCTCAAATGTAAAATATTCCAAATCCTCTGCCTATTGTATAATTAATATTTTATATATTTTGAACTTATCTCCATCCTCCACAGATCCCATAGAAATCATATAAATCCCTCAAGTCGGAAGTAAACCGAAGTGGAGACCAGGACTTCAAGTTCCGCGAAAAGAAAAGTCGCTAAAATCAAAAAGAGTTCCAGACCCAAGCTTCGGATCATTGATACTACCTAGTACATAGTATCTCAACCCAGACGTATGTACTGGGTAGATCATCTACCGCAGTGGCTTTCTTCCGTAAACAACAACCCTGAACCCAGTTAGCATAATCAAAGTCCTCCAAATACACAACTGAAAACTCACTCCTTGCAGTAAGAATGATTATTCTTATCTCTCATCTGCTTCGTCACAGTAGCATTAAAGATCTTCGAAGGTTGTTCACCCCATCCAAGAACACCAGTTTGCAGTCTCAATCCATAAGACTCAACCGCAATCTGGGCCATAGCAAGCTGGAACTTCCCCAGCTCCTTGAGATGCGGATCACGCGGCCAAGGTGCATATGGCAAGAAATACATGAATTGCTGCACGTCTTCGAAGCCAGCGCCAACAAGCCAATCTCGGAGCTTGTAGTAGACGTTTAGGTCTCGACCAATCTTGTGTGAAGCTACTTCAAGTGCTGAGAGATATTGGAGAAGTGGAGAATTGGGTTCCATGGAGCCGTCATCACTCCAGGCCCAAAGGGCACTTTCTTGAATCTCAAAGTAGGCGCCTGGTTTGAGATGGTCGTATATATTGCGTAGGAATTTAGACCAATCGACGACACATCTATGAGGTTGTTAGGATGATCATGCTCAGTGGAATGAACCTTAGGACTGGGTCTTACCCTGATAGTAGTCGTGCATGGATGAAATCGAAGCTGTTATGTTTGTACAACCACTCTGATTCATAGTCTTCCACGATGAACTCCACGTTCGGTGTCACCCAGCTTGGTTGAATGGCACTAAGATCATTTCCAATGACATGAGCTTCGGGGAATTTGCTAGATGTTGATCATTAGTCAAATAACCTCTTTCTTTTAGTCATAGACGGAAAAATACTCCGCCATGTCCATGGCCCAAATGCCTGTGCCAGTCTCTAGATCCAAGACCTTCTGAGGATTTTTAACAGGTGCTTTATAAAGCTCGCCTCCCAGTAGTAGAAGCCAGCTAGGTAAATGTGAGTGTCATTCAACTTCAACTTGAAATAAAGTGCACGGATCTACTAACATATGGTGGGCCTAGGTTTGTTAGTTAAGCTCACACGGGAGATGTAAATAGTGGAGGCAAATACCAGGTCCATGCGGTCTTGTTCTTGTTCATCATTCGGCATCCTGGATCTTATTAGCGAGGAGTTAATAACCGACTCCAATCATAAGATTCATACATGTAATTCCCCTAGGAGCTGTTAATTTTGGCTTTTGACTTCTGAATAAGTGGGAACTTGAACGTACTGCACGAGGGCTATGATAACGGCGCCCATTTTCATACTCGTAATCGAAAACACTCGACGATAACGAAGTCATGTCCGATCCCTCGGTACTGAATTCGCTGTCTGGGTCCTGATTTCGAGAAGCTTGTCAGATCGGATCAATTTGGAATCATTCATGCGGGTCGTACGCTGTCGAAATTATCAATGATAATTGGCCTCTGTGCATTAATTGCAGTTTCTCCATCATCTAACAGTTCCTCTGGACGTCTGGAAACATTGGGATCCGCAGTAGGTTCCATCTTTTCCGCTCTTATGAAGTCTGGAGAGAGATGGGTGAGATGAGACTCAGTGGACTTTTTTCGATTTAAGAGAGTTCAAATCCTGAGAGGCAACGAAAAGCAGTCTTGTGAGCCAGCAAATAGATGCAAGAGGAGCCGATGAGAAATGTGATCTATCATCATCTGCCATTTTTTGCTTCTTCCATACGGTGAGTTGCTGCACGAAGCCGAATCGAATCGGCTCCACAGTACAAATGAAGTCCATACGGAGTAAGCGGAAAAGCCTTTTTGCATTTTACGCGCGCGCACTCGACATAACCATCCTAATATGCCCGGATTTTCCACAGAATCAAGCCAATCATGATTTCTTCAGCCCTAATGTTCCACAGCTTCCTACGAATCCCCTCCCGGACTATGCATTGCCGAACAAGATATGGAGTAAATATCACATACTACGATTCCCATGAAACCTTCTAGCTGCAGCCGCTTTGACCCGGGTTCGACGGGCCGTCCATCCTCAGCCCCCGAGGGGCACAGAAATAAATTCAAATATTGTTGATTCCCCGCACATGCAAAGAGTTCGGAAAAAGAAGTCCACTAAGCACTATTGACCCGATGGTTTGGGTGTCCCCTCAAATACTCCCTGTTCTGTCCTTCCCTCAGGGCGTCCAGCTCATCTTATACGACACAAGCTCAAACTCTCCAACTGTCGAGTAACCTGAATATTAGACAGGTCAAGAATATGACGAGTCTCCGAGAGGGACAGCCTCAGCCGGAAAGTTTAGAATTTTCGGTTCCAAGTCTTTGGGACATGGTGAGGAGGAATGCGCCCATCATACAACTAGGAGAAGGAATCAGATGTGTAACAATGAGCACAGAGAAAGTTTCCTCAAAATCCCGCATTTGACCAGGAGAACAAAAGAACGAGGTGTCGCACTTACCTAACATTTACGGCTAGCTCAGAGGACCTCAGTCTCTCGCTCAATGTCTCTAGATTGGCCATTCTAGCAAAAGACGACTGCATGAATGAAAGTACTGACCCACTGACAGCTGCATAGGCAGACATGATTACTCCCACATTTCACAGACAGTTATTGAAAAGTGACCTGATTGTGCGCTTCCCAAAGACAAGGACTCATTTGTGCTTGTCGATATCAAGATTTAAAGGGGCCTCAGAATGTGCAAGCAGAACCTTGGAAAGGTGACAGGTGCCAATGGGGTCAAGGTGCGACAGGTAAGTGTGAATTTTCTGATGTCAGATGCATAGATGAAGTGCTCCACGACCAGTATCAGGATTTCAGCTGACATGATATCCAGATGCCGGGTGCAGGTGCGGGATTGAGTCTAGGCCTTAGAGCGAGGTTGGTCTCGGGCTTGAACTCGGGCTCTGGAACCGGGTCACGCATTTAAATGCACAAACAACTTGGAATAATCCTAGGTGAAAAGTGGCGATGGCCGAAACATTTGGAATGTCGCCAAAAGTACTACCAAAGAGAAGAGGGGGAAGGAGAGAGTCAATGAGAACTCCTGAGGCGAGCGATGCAGATGAATGAAGGGAAGCTGAAACAAAGTTATGGTTGGGCACGTGCCTTAAAAACGTGGGCCAGCATCAATTCACAATCAAGACGAGATGCCAGTGACTAACATGAAAGAAGACAAATCATGCACCATTGAACCCAGTCAGAAAGAAATACTATTAGGGACAAAATTGAGATTCAACAATGCTCAACAAAGCTTCTCAAACTCAAGATTGTCAAGAGTATCATTCAGCAAGAACAAAACAGAAGAACTATGACAAGACATGGACCCACCTCCGCATAGTTCTCAACATATGGAATAGTTCTCCGCATTTGAAAGCAACCAATATCATGCCTCAATCACAGCTGTAGGGCAGCACAATAAGCCTTGCGATAAGTATCCTCCAATTCACGAACATCTTCCGCGTCAGCAACAATCTGCATCCGCATCTGGTGCATCTGCACAGTCAAATCCATGATCCAATCATTCAAGGAACTATCCCCAGGCATAAGGCGAGCAAAGAGAGCCCGCAGAAAGATGTCCAGCTCATTTACGTTGTGCCAGCTTCTCGAAAGGTAGTCACGCTTCAGCACAATCTCTCTGCCGAGATTTTCCAGCTCTAGGGCACGGGCAGGATCGGTGATGGAAATTTCCTCCACACGGGTTAGGTGAAGGCGCTTGGGCTGATCCTAGTCTTTGTTAGTTTTAATCTTTTGGAACATCCGGTGGTCTGGGTGACTGAATATAGATACCTCGTTGGTCTGCACGTTGGGTTCATCGTCCCAGTCGGCCTTGCGCTTATCACCACACTATCAGATGTTAGAATTCCTTAGAGATGTCTAATTGGGTGATGTTATGGGCATACCTTGGGGCTCTTTGGTGCTGGGATCGACTCCTCAACTCCACCAGACGTGTCTTGGTGGTGCTCGGCCAGGGAATGCTCCATTTGCTGCTGATTCATTTGCTCATCAGCCATTTTTGCGGTACTTGATAATCGAACAAGTTGAAGTGAGATGAATGAGAGGTTGAGGTGATGAAGGATGGTGAGGAAAGTGAGTGAGCAAATATGGCTGGCTCAAAGGCAACGAAGGAGCTTCAACACAAATGCTCGGCGAACTTGCTTAGTCGCTTGGTTAGGCATATGGGTTCTTGTCTCTTTGATATACTAATAAAGAGCCCCTTTCAAGGTCTAAGACTGTTACTAACGCAGTACAACCTTTACTCTTGCCTTTTCCTAAAGCAAATAGCCAATAGCAAGCTAAACAAAATGCATTTCCCCTGAGTTCTTAATTCATAGTATTAAGCATAGATCCGTACTAGCATATTTTAGTAAGCACTTTAATTTAACTCTGGTCCCAAGGTTACTTCAGCTCCAAGATATAGCCCTGGAGGCCATGCCATGTAGGCGTGCCGTATACTAGAAAGATATCACATACGAATATCATAATAGGCAGAATACGGTCCACGGGTCAAGGGTAGATACTAGTAGTATCATATAGCAATAAGGTCAAGCTCACAAGCACTAGTAACTAGTATTAAGTAGAATTGGATCTTACTCCGAGCCCGAGTGAGACCCCCAAGGTCAGAGTCCCACCTGGGCATCGTCCTGAGCATCTAGAAATACAGTACTACCACAGCCTGGAGGCACTGGCAATCTCCATGGGTGGTAATGTTCTAGGGTTGTGTTCAAATTTTTAATAATGAAACATTACTACTAGGTATAGGAAGGTGAAGGTATGGTCTACAGGTCTGAAGGGAAAAGATAGAACAGCAGGAAATTTATTTTTGTCCTCAGCAACAACTATGAAATTCATAAAAAAAAAGTCATAAACTCCATAAAAAAGACAGGTGGCCGAACAGGTAGCCCGTCTTAGACGTGAATAACTTAGATGTCATCCTCGTCAGAGAAGACCTCCTCACCACGCTTGCGGCGGGCAGCACGCTCCTTCTTCTTCTTACGCAGCTCAGATCCTGTAATGTATGTTAGCAATCATGTAATTGTCAGAGGGAATATTGTTAGGGATAGTAAACTCACCAGTGAGCTTCTTCTTCTTCTCGACGACAATCTTGTTACCCATGGCGTCGAACTTGTCCTCCTCGTCGTCACCCTTGGCGTCCAGACGGGGACCGGAACCCTGACCCTGAACCCAGTTGTGGCCGGAAGGCTGCATGAGACCGTTGTTGACGGCCCAGACTTCCTCGGTAAGGTTCTCAGTGAACTCACGGGAGTGGGTAATGATAATAACACCACCCTCGAAGGACTTCAGAGCCTTGGAAAGAGCACCAAGAGAGTCACGGTCCAGGTAGTTAGTAGGCTCATCCAGGACGATGACGTGGGGACGCTGCCAAGAGCAAGCAGCAAGGACGACCTTGACACGCTGACCACCGGACAGACCACGCATGCGAGAGTGAGAAACCAGCTCGTTGTCCAGACCGAAGTTGGCGCAGTGCTGCTCGATCTCCTTACGGACCAGGGGACGGAACTGACCGGAGGCAAGGGCCTCCTTCTGATCAACCTCGGCGACCTGCTTGGAGTGAGACTCCATGATCTCGGAACGGGGCAACCAGGTGTTGTCGGCGGACATGAGAGGAGTCCACTTCTCGGACTTCATGCCGATGTTGTCACCCAGAGACCAAGAGATCTCGTACTCGTAGGTGTTCTTGAACTTACGACGAGAGTGGATACCGATGACACGACGCAGAGTACCCTCGACCTTGTAGATCTTGTCCATGGCCTTCTCGTCCTCCTCGGTGACGATCTTGTTGGCACGGTCCATGGTCTCACGGTCCTCACCAGTCTGGAAACGCCACTGAATGTACTCGGAGGGAGTGGAGTTCAGGTGGTTATCGATGTGAGCGAAAGCGTGCTGCTTAATGTAGGCAATACGGATGTTCTCGTGCTGGTAGACATCACCGGCGGTGGGGATCAGCTCACCAGTCAGGACGTTGACCAGGGTGGACTTTCCGGCACCGTTAGGACCGATGACGGCAATACGGGAACCCAGGGAGACCTGGAAGGTAATGTCGGCGATCTGGGGGCGGGGAGTGTTGGGGTACTGGAAGGTCATGTTGGAAACACGGATGATAGCCTTAGACTTGGTCTTGACACCCTCAAGGAAACCGGGCTCGGGGAACTTGAACTCCATGTCGGAGGCACCCAGCTCGTAGTAGGAGCGAGCAGAGGGGACACGCTTGACGAAGTCGCTCAGGGTACCGCGGTAACGCTTAAGCTTGAAGCGCTCGTAGTGGATAACGTGCTGGATAACGTGGTCCAAGAAGCGGGAGTCGTGGGAAACCATGATGGATGTGCAAGGAGAGCTCTTGAGGTAGTTCTCGAGCCACTCAACGTTCTTGACGTCCAAGTGGTTGGTGGGCTCATCGAGCAGAAGAATATCGGGGCTCTCGAAGACGGCACGGCACAGAGCGAGCTTCATCTTCCAACCACCGGAAAGGGCAGTGATGAGACCATCGAGCTGCTCGGGCTGGAAGCCGAACTCGTTGACCAGTTTGTCCTTAACCTCAGACTCGACGGGGTTGAGACCAACCTCAATCAGCTTCTTCACGGTCCAGCCAATGACAGTCTGCTCAGTGTCGGCAGCATCCAGGTCGTGCTCGACGTAGACAGTCTTGACCTCGTCCTTCTTGGGGAAACCCTCGAGCTGCTCGTTGTTGATGGCACGCATGAGGGTGGTCTTACCGGAACCGTTGGGGCCCAGGAGACCGTAACGCTGACCACGCTTGAGACGCAGGTGGGTCTGGTTCAGCAGAATCTTGGCACCGTAAGCCAGGGAGAAAGTGCAGTTGCAAAGATCAACACCCTCCTCCTCGTCGGAGGGGACCTCATCGGCGGCAGCGGCGTCAGGGGAGGCACGCTTGCGGAGCTGATCAGCAATGGGCTTAGCAGCCTCCTCACCAACGATGGCGACAATGTAAGGAAGGGCGTTCTGGGTCCAGGTGGTGGAGTCAGCGTCCTTCTCGTCGACGAGCTGACCAGCGATGGCAGCAACGTAGTTGATGATGGTCTCGGAGCTGGCGATGCAGGACTCGAAGTTCTCCTTGAGGATGTCCTTGAGGATCTCAGAGACGGTGGAGATGTCACCAGCGGTGGAGATCTCGGGGATCTTGCCATCCTTGATCTCACCAACACGGGTGAGGGTGTCGAGGGCCTGGCGAGTCTTCTCACGGGCCTCAGGGTCGGCAAGAATGTCGTAGTTCTTGTTCAGAGCGGGCAACATCTTAGGCAAGAAAGGAGCAACAATCTGGGGGTCCTCGACCAGCTTACACATGTTGTCGACAATGACAGCGGACTTACGCTTGATAGCGGTCTCACGCTCAACAAGACCACGGTCAAGCAGAGGAACCATGATAGCGAGGGTGGGGCCGGTAACATCGGAAACGAAAGTGGTAGCACCGAGCAAGTGAACGGTCTCAGCGACGTTCTCGGGCTTAGCGATACACTTGATGAGCTCGGGAATGAAACGCTCAATATCCTTGTTAACGATCAGGCCGCAGACCTTCTCCATGGTGGTGTAGGCGGCCTTCTTGATATCAGCCTTGGTGTCCCACATGGCCTCAGAGACAACGGGGATCAGGCGGGGGACCTGGTAGGAGAGCTGAGCGGGGGAAGAAGCAATGAGCAGCTCCAAGCAGGTCAGAGCACACATCTTCTCTTGCCACTTCTGGGCGTTGGAGATGGACTCCATGATGGCGGGGACAACGGCCTTGACGGCGTTACCGTTGATGGCCTGGACAATGGCAGCAGCAGTGCTCTGGGCAGCCTCCTGGACGGGCTTCATCTTGTCACCAACAGCAGCGAGAACGGAAGAAAGGAGCTCAGCAAGGTGAGGCTCAACACCGGGGGCAATGGTGGAGTGGGAGGCAATAGCCCGGATACCCTCAAGGGCACGCTCACGGGCAATAGCATCCTTCTTGTTGGCGAGCTGCTTCTTGAAGGTCTCGGCAGCCTTGGCGGGCAGAGTCTGCTCAGGGATGGGACCGCTGAAGAGGGTAGCCAGGTTGCTGGCGGCAGCGTTAACCTCGTCGGCGCTGGTGGAGATGTTGAGGTTCTTGATGAGGTCCTCAAGGACAGCGACCGACTGGTCGATCTCCTTGCCAGAAGAGGCAGGAACGGAAGAGACGTTAACGGCAGGCATGTTGGGAGGAATCTTGGCGGTTTTTTGAGGAAAAGGATTAAAAACGGAAAGAAAGCTTTTTTTTCTAAGGGTATCACGATGATCCGGCCTGTGTCTGCTGTTCAGGACACAGCAACGCTCTGTTCAGAGATGAGCGAAGGCTTTTCTGTCTGTCTATGCAGAAAGAAAAAGAAAAACGAAAAAAAGAGAGGACAGACCTCAAAAGAAAAAACGGGAAAGATGGGTAAGAAGGAGGGGCGGATGTGAAGGGGGGCGAGATTATTTATGTGGCCCTCGCCGCCCAAATGAATTTCGAAGAAAAAAAAATTTTGCAGTGAATATGAGTGGGTCCTGGCTAAGGCCGGATGGAGTTTAGCCAACTTCACATTCACTGCTTGATTGGTCAGCACCCTGCTTGTGTCCGAATCCCTCTTATTTAATTGGTCAGTTTCCCGATTCGAAAAATTGAAAAATTCATAAAAACTCCCAAAAAGGAAAGAGGGGTGTCACTCACCTTGAATGATAACCTCTATCAAGTACGAAGTACATAAGGTCGATATTAACTACCTAAGTATATAATTGATATTCCCTTGATCTAAATCTACATACTAGTATAGTCAATGAAGGTTTTTTTTCTTTCTATTTTTACCTTTTTGGAATTTTAATTTTAATTTTTTTTTTCGCGGCTATCAGAGGCTCGAGGGCCATGTCGTACGCTGCACCTGCAGTACCAGTCTAATCCACTCTTGGAGATCCGGGGCTTGAAACATTAATATTCTAATTAATTCAGTGCCCCTGGTATGCAGAGCAATCTCTATAGCTCCTTAGTATAAGGTACTTAGATGGGTCTTGAATTTTTTTTTTTCGTGGTTGCCACTTTTATGACCCGGTGGCGTGGCTCTTTCCTTAACCCATGTACATACTTCCGACTCTCCAAGATTCGTTTCGTGGTCGAGAGTTTTCGAGAAGCAATAGATAATAAATAATAAATAATAATACAAAATCGTATTAATTTTTAAACTTATTTTTTTCGCCTACTCCGGTCCCCGTTATCTAAGATGTTCTGGAATCTTACACAGTGGCTCAGCCCTGCAACTGTACCACATGGCTTAGGCATACCACTGTGACCTCATGGAGGGTATCGTCAGCATTGAGAAGAGAACTGGAACATTTACACTGGCAGTGACATAACTATTAATTAAATTCTAATATTATTTTTATACATATTCAATATTTTATCTTATGCCTCTATCGGAGTATGCGGACTCGGATCTACGGCTTGGATCGACATTACTATGAGCCCAACCTTGTCAAATTTTTCAGGGGTAAAAAGATTCTCCCGCCTTCATGGAAGAGAGCAAATGGGACATAGTACATCTTCAAGTTTGGCACCGGCATCTACTTCAAGTTACGTGCCAGTGCCTAACATAATGAAGATCCATTTAAATGTTGGTATCAATAGGTGCCACGCCACAGTATATACTCCATATTGAAACCATCATCACCGCTTTTTCTCTCACCGCTTCACCTTATCGCTTATCAGGGACTATCACAATTCTATACCCCTCTTCAAGTTCTCCTTGTACTCCGCACTTTGTACTGAATTACATTCCTTAATATCCACCAAGGCAAATGAATTTGACTGTAATATCTCGGCATAACCCGTATGAACATCCCTATCCCTATCCCCCGCGAAACCACCCGGGTGGCGAACCCCAATCGGGCCACTCGGCCAGTGGATCAATCGCCATGATTCGGCCCTTACTGCTTTAGTTGGACCAGAAACCGGCCTTGAACTTCAGTTAAAACTTTCTTTTTTTTCATTTCCATAGTTCAATCCCGATTATCTACTTCTGGACCTGATTCGTGCTTCAGATTCTTTCTTTTTCTTTGCCTTGGCTCTTTGGCCTCCCGATTCTCCCGGCGCTTTTCCGCGACTGGGGCACGAAAAGTTTTCTTTGAAGCGAGGCAAAGCAAAGCAAATTTGATTTAGAATAGTATCCAGTAAAAATCCAGGAAATTTTGTACTTGTTATTCTCACTTTTCTTTTCCTAAACACAGACTACAAGGCTTGTGGCGCGGTGTCTCCTTTTCGCCGCCACTCACAGCCCGGGTATAACCTTGGAAGCCTGATAGAACTGTAGTATACACGACGAGACCGGGAACACTCCTCAAGGACATGTACTTATACTTCTATAGTTGGATTTGGGGCCGGCATGGATGACACTTTTATCTGCCCCAGGTGCTTATTGTATGGGGCCGCCTTATCTTATGGCCCCCTTCCTTTCTTTGTTTAACCCTGGATAACTCGGACCTGGGGAAGGAGGGGCCAAATAGTACCCACCCCTTTGTTCGGTGGGGGTTGAATCTGGGGTGCTTGTAGATACACGTAAGATGTACTACGGGGCTGTTCCCTAGGGAGATGATGAGTTCAATCACCTCGTACTTTGTTTTCTCCCGTTTGCTCGTTGTACTCCGTGCTCTGTGGCTTGTTTAATCTACCCCTGAGATCTGGGCTGCGTCCTTTCTCATACCCACCAATCGAATATCGCTAAGCATCATAGACGAAGTACCCTGTCGAATAAACATCGGCGAACCCCTTTCCGTTTGTTAACGTTGCGCCCCCTTGTCCAGTCGCTCGGGCCCATACTCCTGCACATAGCCCGCCTACATCACCCTAGATCGACAGACCTATCAGTTCAGGTCTGAATGGATTTTAGAGAAGGGGCCATGCCAGTGGTCTGGTTTCCTGGAGATCAGTTCAGCCATGTCTTGGGGTCCAAGACCTAGGGCGATGTATGCGGGCTATGGTTGGTTGTATATTTCGGGAACCAGCATACCACCTGGGCAGGTTGCGCGGATGCCAGTGCCAGTGAGTCTCAAGGCTTGCGACATCCAAGTTCAAGCACGGGTTTCACACTACGGCTCGGATACCACTGCCAGTGGCAGTGCGAGGTGAAACAAATTCAAAACTGATTGAGAGGAGGGGTAGTATGGATCCGTTTAAAGGGCCTAGAGTCCACATTCGCGCATGGTTATCCGTCAAGATTCTGTTTCTCCTACTACTACTAGTGGTGTCACTTACCCTTCCAAGGTTGGGAGCTGTCTGTGATTAATGGAGCCCTCCGAGTCCAAGGCCGGATGTTGTTCATAATATGATCTGGTCACAGCAGGTAGCAACCTGGATGTCTACTAGTACTAAACGCACGTGCGAAATATATGGAGCGGCTCTTGGAACACTTCCAAAGTTGACCAGAAATGGTGATAACTTGAAGATCATTTATTGAAACATTATCGTAGATACGAAAATCTCAAATCGCTGGCCACCCGGGTATTGTATCAACGCCATTCAAACCGAAACTGAAACACAGATAAACCAAGACTCATGGTGAAACTACCAGTCCTGTCCACGATCCCGCATCAGGATCTCAATAGCCTCTTCGTGCGAGACCGGGTTTTCATTCAGTTCCTTAACACATTCCGTTAATCCTTCGGCTGCTTCATCCACTTGCTCAGCTGTCCAGCCTGTACAGGACATAACCATGCGGCGATAATTCTCGCCGAGAATTGCATTATTGGCCTTAAGTTTATCCACCTCCTCCGTAACGCCAGAAAGGAACTCATGATAGAGCTTAAGACGAGTCTTGAGCACATCCGGAGAATTTAATGAGGCCAGAAGTTGAACTTGCTTTTTCGGAGAACCCGGTTGATGGGTCGAAGGTATCTGGGAATAGAGCATCGAATGATCCAACGTCCACGCCCGAATCCTGATCTGCATCACCAACGAAAGTGACGTGAGAGGAGTCCACGTCGGGTGTGGCCTTCAAAGTCGCCACCAAGCTGTCAGAGGAACGTTCCAGATTCTTAATTCGTCGCTCCAGTTCTACTCGTTCGGTGCTTTTCCGTCTCAATTCATCAAACTCCTTTTGCTCGATCTGACGAGCCTTTGCGGACTCCCGGATCTTGCCATGCCAGTGATTAAATTTTTCTTGTTTTTGGGTCAAGTTCGAGGATAACTCTCGGTCGATCCCTCCCAGGGCTTCTTCTACCATTGCACTAATTTGGGACACCGTCGCTGGAGGAAAGATTAGTAAAAAGAAAGAAGAAAAAATGACAGGGACGAGGGAACAGGGAAAGGGCATATACCATCAAGAATCTCCTTCTTCGATTTTGCCAGCTGGTCAATAAAGGTATCACCCCGACCTTCGGCTCCCTGCGACTGGGCATTCCCATCAGCCATATCAACTCCAACGCCGTAATCAGCGGGTCGAAGACCAGTGTGGTTCGGAATATGAGGATCGGCTCCAACCTCCAGCAGTTGTGGAACAAGGACTGAGCGTGCTCGGCCTGCAAGGTTCAGGGCGGTATCACCCTGGTCGTCGCGCAGGTTGACGATCTCTGAGATGAAGCGGCCGAGAGAGATAACATCGTTGCCTTGGGATCCATTTTGCGCCTGGTCACCATTGGCATTGGACGTGATTCCGCCGTGTCGAACAATAAATTCCAGCAGACATTCCAGGTAGTGCTTTGCAGAGACATGTCCTCCGCCACCTGTCGCTGCCATGACCGCAATATGATGCAGAATTGTACGACCACTGTAGTCGACCATATCAATAGTTGGGGCAAGGACTTGGAGCAATCGCGAGAAGCTTCGGTAGTCGAGGTTATTTCTCGTCCCCACTGACTTTTGCAACGCAGTCTCACCAGCACCATTGACCCGCGCAACGTTAACTCCCTTTGCAACCAGTGCCTGAATCAGAGGCATGCGTGCCAGCATAGCTCCCCAGTGGAGAGCGTTGTTCCGGTATTCATCAAGTGGGATCTCGAGATCTGCACCTGACAACTGTAAGAGAGCGGGGTGATTGCTGAAGTCTTTGATGCGCTTGTCAAGGAACAAAGTCATTATCAACTTCATTTTTTGGAAATTTCCTGGAGTGGTGGCTGGACCCAGAGCTTCGACACCACGTTTTTGACCGTCATCCATGGGTGGTGGTGGTGGGAGATCCATGTCTTGGTAGAAGGAGTCGTTTGGTTCGGTGGGAGTAGGTTCATGCATAGATAGATTAGATGGCTCTCGGGGTAGTCCAATCGATGGACCATGATGTGAAGAAGAGCGAACACGCTTGCGAGGTGGTTCGGCGAGGTCGTCATTGTCATCATGTGCCAAGTAGCGATTCTGTAGACTGCTAAAGCCACTGTCTGACATATTGTACATGCTCTGTTGACTGAAAGCCATTTGTGATGATTCCTGACTGCTCATTTGGTGTGATGGTTTGCGGATGACACTGGGGCGTCTGCTGTTTGAACTCGGGGAATCGAACCGAGCTTTGCTAATAGCGTTCACTGCAGTTGCGGCTGTGCGTGAGATATTTTGGAAGAAAGTGCCCTGCTGTGGCTGGGATGAGCTTCGGTTCTCAGCGCCACTGTACAATCGTTTGCGCTGAGCAGCCATTGCTTGCTCCTTAGTCGGTGTATCCACCAGTCCTTGTGTGGGACCACCAGGCCCATCGGGGCTCGTATCATACTCAAGCAGCGGTCGTAGCAACTCCTCTACATTGTATTCTCGACATAAATCCAGACCTCTCTGGTAGTTTACCCATGTACCTTGATATTTACCATATCCACCCTGTACTTTTTCATGTTCACCAGCTGCAATCTCTTTCTCCAATGTTTTTGTTCGGCGAGCCTTGACAACACCGGCGACTTTCAGGATCTGGGTTGCGTTCAACCATGAATCGTGGCGACGTTTCATAATGGCGACCCCATTGACTTCCATCTCATATACCGAAATATTGGAATAAACGGCCTGTTTCAAAGTTGTGAGTAAAAAGAGCGTATGGCGAGGATTGCCACGAAAGGACGAACTCGATAAATCTGTGGCTTGTATTCCTCCTGGTAAGACATCGTAGAGCCATAATCATGAGACTGATCGTAGCCTCCAAAGCTACCTCGTGCACCGTTGGACATATTGAAAGATATCGGAGGACTCGGAGTTGGAGACGTCGTCGCGCGTGAGGGAAGGAGAAAGAGAAATTGTGCAAAGTGCTCCTAGTCCATGCAATGACCTCAGCCTACTTTGGAAAAAGAAATTTCCTAGCCTATGAGGTCTTCAGGCCAGGGTCAGTAAATGTAAAAAAAGACCAGGGTAAGGAAAATAGGTGGAGAATTACCGGAACGCGAAATCAAAAAGGAGAGGCGCGCGTGTGGCTTTAGCACCCGCTATCCGGGAAAGCACAGCGGGATCAAGGCAAGAACCATGCAAAACAGATAACGGGATCTTTGAATGCAAATACACAAAGAATGTGTCAGAATTAGAATCGCAGATCAAAAAAGTGCAATGCAAGGCAGTGATCAAGTCGCGGGGTTGGGGAAGTGAAAGTGAAGGTCGCGTCAATCCCGTGACCACGCCAAGGTTTTCGCGTCTTCACCGTTTTGAGAAACTTAAACCTTTCTGGGATGAGAAGAACGAATAGATCATGCCACCAAAACCTCGAATATCTTTATTTTCTCTGAGCCCTGAAGCTCCACAATGGCAGCATTTACTTCGTGCTACTTTACAAGAATGTGCCTATCTTCCAGATCCTATTGCTCGAACATATATGCGTAGCTATGTTGTGGATCGATATCGCCGAGCATTCAAATCAAAAGTACCCGAAGTCAAGTTGACTCGAGCAGCTAAGCAGGGTCTCACTTTGTTACGAAGGGCCAATGAAGGCTATCCACGAGCATTAGACCGAGTCATGCTCATGTCTTACGGCCGGATTGGCAAAAGAAGACACGAGTTAGTCGACCAGCTCTTGACTCCCAAAGTCCCAGAAAACACCGAAGCACTCAGAGATTTGGTCAACAGCGTGCCTGAGTTTGAAGATGGCTGGGTAGCCCCAGAGATCATTACGGCCCTAATCAAGTCTCAGATGAACCACGGGGTTTTCACCGCATCCCGTGTCCGACCCCAGATAAAGTCCAGTGAGCCAGTGATTCCCGAGAAGAATATCTGGGGTCGACCTTTATCTCGATCTCGTCGGTTCAATATCCGGCATGACTGGTATTACGAAACACTGTATAGCGTCCTACCACCGTTACCAGAACGAGATCTTGAAATTATGCAGGGTCTAATTGCGGGGACTATACCATGGAAGCCTCGGAGGCAAAGGCCGGTACAGCCTCCTGCCTCTAAGAACGATATCGTGTTGGACTTCTTGACAGATGGTCCTCAAAAAGAGAACACCTTTCGGCCATATGTAAATGGTCGTCCGCACAATATTACTACGAGGTTCATGCAACGCCAGTGGAGGCGTATCTCTGCACTTATACCCAGAATTCATTGGAATGATGCCATGAAGAGGTGGAATTTTGATTGGGACAGTCCTAAGAGTCTACCACAGGTGGCCTTTGCTGTGGAGGAGGATTCTGATCTGGATGGGATTTTCGGGTCATCAGCTGGAGACGCCCCCAAGAGCACTTGAGTTGATCCAAATTTCTTCAACCATTTGAATCGGGTCGAATTCATGGATTCGAAGTTGTAAATTAGTCATGGTCTAAGTCGTGATATACCGATCTTGAGGCCAGTTGTAAATATCAATACCAATACTAATAGATGGGTTCAATCCCGAATATTCTAATACTTAAGAATGAAAATTCCAACGTGATATATTATTTCCATACTCGTATTATCATTCAAAAATAATATCATGATCAACATTTGAATGATCTTGAAAATATTGATACCCGTATAAACAAAAAAAATGATTCTCAAACCGCAGCCCGAACTCCAATATATCAAAAACCCAAGGGACTCATGCAAGTAATCATAAAGATAAAAGCGCCGCTAAAAGAACTTGAAATCCATGATTCTTCCCAGGAATATCGAAACAAAGTCAAGATCATCCAGTGACTCCAAAACAGATACACCCACTTAGTCACGGTCTCTGCGACGATCAAAGTAGTCTCTGCGATCGGCCAAGAAACCAAGGGGACCACGGCCAAGAATTCCGCCTCCCTCACGACGTCCTCCCAGACCCAGGAGACCACCACCGTTATTACAACAGCTACCGCGTCCTCGTCCTAGGCCAAGGAGACCGCCGCCGCCACTAGAACCATCATCGGTTGTGGTAGTAGTTGTGGTGGTTGTTGTGGTACCAGTCATCGGTTGCTGGTAAGGGCCTTGTGGGTAGCCTTGAGGTGGGTATCCTTGTGGAGGGTAGCCCTGAGGAGGATAACCCTGAGGATAGCCCTGAGGGGGGGTAACCCTGCTGGGGATATCCTTGAGGAGGATATCCCTGGGGTGGGTACTGTTGTTGGTATTGTTGTTGTTGTTGTTGCTGCTGCTGTTGCGCCTGGTTCTGATAGTGGTGTTGACTGCGAATATAACTGTCAGTTCCTGTCTTGTAGGCCAAGTTATTGTCGGTCTCAACTTACACTCCATGTGTGACAGCGTTCGCACCAATAGCTCCAATGACTGCACCGCCGGCAGTCGCCAGTGCACCACCACCCATCTGATGGCCTACATAGGCACCACCAGCACCACCAATGAGAGTAGATCCTAGACCTCTCTCATCTCCCTGGCCCTGGGGCTGGTTGTATGCGGGGGGGTGCCTCAGCATAGTATGTTGAGTTGGCGCCAGCATGCTGGTCCTTGCTGTCTTCGTTGTTCTCAGGCACACCCATAGTGGAGATTAAAGATTAAGGTAAGTGGATAAGGTTGTTGAGGAAATCCTTCGAGTCTGAATGAATTGATATGAAAAAAAGAAGGGTAATCAGCTTCTTTTATGCTACAATTTGGACCAGCACATGGATTCTTTCCCGCTGCGCACGTCACTTCATTGGGGGCGGAAACCCATAGTGGAACATGGGCTATGTACGAAACACCGCCTCCAAGGACTCTATTAAAAGTATCAGGAGAGCAAGGATCGGCATCAGCGCCGTACAAAGCGCATCTTTTTTCTTTGTGTTCAGTAGGGCTGTGGCTTCTAACGTGGCTGGGGCAGATAATGGGGGATTTGATAGGTCGACAAGACCCTAAGCAACGCAACTAAGCTTGATTAAAATCCCGCACCCGCAACGTTTAACTGTTCCGGGTATCCAGTTCGCAAAACACACCCAGTTGAGACAGAATCGGCGCCTAGGGAGTAATTTAGCGCCATAACTCCCAGATGTCCAAGATTAGTATCCACGGAGTTCTCCGCATGCCCCAGGGCGGAATATTTGAATTTGCGCAGGGCCAAGCCATAGTGTTATAAGCCCCCATGCACTGTTGAATTTGAAATAGTAGCATCGCTTGGATAGAAACATTTTTGAACACGAAGTACGGAATTAAGGTAAAGCCGAATAAGCATAAGGGGCAGAGATGAAACTGTAGGCGCACAGATGAATCCTTCTCATTTTTGAACACGAAGGATGAACACGAAGGCCAATGGTACGGTCGCTAGATGAGCCTAATGAGGGTCACTAGCCCCCAAAGATGTTGTGGGGGCCAAAGTACGGAGTACAAAGGCACGATAGATAAAACAATCAAACGGTGTAAACAGAACAAACATGAATAAATTAAATCAAACAAGACAAACAGGGAAAACATGCAAACATGATCCTTCGGGCAGCCGTATTCCCGGTGCTCTATAAGCAGTTTGGCTTAGCCTTAGATACCAACAGATGATTCGCTTGACATAGCGGTTTTATTTCCCTACTATAAACCCGGGGTCGTAAATCCCGGCTTAGGCAGCCCGGTCTCCGGAGATTTGACACCTGCACATGTGAATAAACTTCCGGGGTTATGCACCGTAAATGAATAGTTATTGTTTGCATTCTAGGTATGATTTCCAACATTGGCTGAGGCCCGGGGCTCGGGGTTATGAATCCAAGATCAAAGTAGGATCATGTATGGCACAATAGGTATATATAGCACCAAGAAATCCAGCAAGGGATGATTTTTAGTATCCATCGATCAGCTGAATTAAACAACCATTCGAGATTCTCACTCCAAACTAACCATCATCCATTCGTCTTCCATCAACCAACATAATGGTTGCAGCACCTCTGATTCACGATCCCGCCAAATACAAGGACTTCCACGTCCACCATGAGACATACAAAATTGTCTCTGGACACTCGGTGGAACTGACCATCCTCGTGCCTAAATTCCTGGTTGAGAATGGTGAGTTGTCGGAAAAGACACCTTTAATCGCTGAGTTCCATGGTGGATTCCTTGTCGGCGGAAATCGACTCTTCTCCCCTTGGTTCCCTGACTGGTAAGTACAAATACTGAACATCGACCACAAAGGCAGAGCCTAACATGTCCGCAGGCTTGTCGAGCTGGCATTTTCCAGACGTGCTATTGTCATCACACCGGACTACCGTCTTCTCCCCGAAGCCAACGGCCACGACATCCTAGAAGACCTATCTGATTTCTGGAAATGGTTCTCCGAGAACCTAGAGACTAAGCTTGCGGGCTATCACCCAGAAGCAAAGATCCAGCCAGACTTCGATCGCATCTTAGCAACAGGCGGTAGTGCAGGAGGCTGGCTGGTTTCGCAGAGCATGTTTCTGCACCCAGAGATCAACATTCAGGCGGCTATTCTGCCTTATCCCATGATTAACCTGCGAGATCGGTTCTGGGCTGAGGAATATGAGAAGCCTATCTTCGGTCTGCCAACTGTCCGTTGAACTCTCATTACCACGTATACATATGTAAATATCAAACTGACTGTTCGCTTTCCAGCTTCCATTTGCTATGGTCGAAGCTCATATGCAAAACCTGCCTCCTAATGCAGTAGTTACCGTGGATGGAGATATTGAGAAGGAAGGCGGCCTTACCAGAATCCCATTGGCAGTGAGCACTGTGCAAAACGGCAAATTCTTGGATTTCTTCGGCCGCGAGACCGAGCTGTTTCCCTTCGAGAACCTGACACGCGCAGAACGAATTCCTCCCTTTGTTTGGGTCTTCCATGGCAAACAGGACTCTGCAGTGCCTGTCTCAGGAAGTGAGAAATTTGCGGCTGAAATTCAGAAGTACCAGTCAAATGTTGATGTGAGACTTGATTTGAAGGATGGAGAGCATGGGTTCGATACCGATGAGCATCTTACTATCTTTGAAGGGTGGATGAAGGAAGGTGTTGACCAGATGTCTGCTTATTGGTAAACACCTGGCATGGATGTTACACCAAGCATTCTTACTAACATTTGTTATATGCGATTTGTTTAGATAGCGCTATAGAGTTATTGCTTATTCTTAATAATTTGATATTCAACCAGTTATTCGATCACATTCTATCTCATAGGTCAATTCCACATCTAAGCAAATAGATCCAAGGTAAGCTTTTCGGTAATTCGGTAAATTCACGGCAAATCCATGGCCCATGGTACCTGCAGCCAAGAATCAATAGATCTCGGATCCAGTTACAGTCAAACATCTAGATAAATATTGAACGTCTCTTATTGAAATGGTGCAAACATTTGAAGCAGCCTGAATGCACATGAGTGGGCCCGAAGTCACTTTTATGATGACTCTAGCCGATGTCTTATAGTTCACTCGCTTATTTCTCCTCATTGCAATCCACTAACAAGTCAAGTGCGCACTAGATATTTTTCCATCGTGAGACAAGCTAAGAATTCCCATTCAAATCAAGCGACAAACGGCCAACCTCCGAAACCTAGTATGCTAGATCCCCGCTGTTAACTCCAAGAACCCAAGTTGCCAAGCTTCAATCCCCGGCCCGCGTCTCGGAGGAAACTGTTAATTGCCGGAGACTTCACCCAGAATATTGATGAACACCTTGCTCCGAACCATTAGGATCTCTCATAATTTTTTTTCCATATTCGCCAAGCCAATTTCTCTATATCGGCGAACACGGTAAATAGGCTAAACCGGCAACTCCAACATATCCATGGATACTTTGCCGAGGCTGACCGATGGGCCGATCATGGCAAGGCCGGCGCTGGAAGGGGCGCGGGACAAGCCATTTTGGCTTTTAGTTCGGGAGCTTAGTGGGTCGCGGGGGTAAAGATGGTGCTTTTTTTCTCTTCTTTCTCCCCCCAGAGCTCCACACCGTATGAATAGAACAACATCGGAGAAAGTCTAGCCCGGTTTTCAGTTCAGTTCTTGTAAACTTGAACCGCAAAGACTGAGAGAGAAGTAAAAGGCTTTAAAGAGTAACCTATCTGATGCCTGTGACGGAGTGGCTGGCGCACTGTTCGTCTGGGGTAATATACAGCCTCACGTGGAGAACGCCTCTTGGCTTTGACGCAGATCCCGACTTCAATATGGTAGCACCGTGGTACTACGTCGTACTTCGACTGAGTCAGAATACCGGATGAGGTTTGTAGTAAGCCCGTATACTAGGGTATTGGTTAAGCGGAGACCGGCGATTCCAACCAATCTCAACAGTGGGGGAATTTGACTCGAAGTATATCCCTATGTAACGGTAGAACTGGAACTCTCCAAATAAACATAATGTCGGAGTCCATAATCCGTAGACGAAGCCGAGAAAAACTTACCGTGTGAGAAGTGGATGCCGACCAGTTGAATGTGCACAGGTAAATTTCCCCAGTCTGGGGGGACTCCACCGATGCCCCAGAAAGTAAGAAGATCGGCAACTCAAGACCTTGGTTTTCATCCTTCATTCGCGCCCGTGTCTACTACAGGATCCGGGACCCCTGCTGCAGACGAATAAGGATGTCGGTCCATGTGTCTTTGAAAGCGGGGATGCACTAAGGCCCACGGACACATGGTCTTGCGGACATTCTCAAATGGGAATTTTTTTTGTATTATTGATTGACGTATGTGAGAGATGGTTAGAGTGGAATTGAAATTGATTTAGATTTAAGAGGTTGGGCTTCTCCCCGCTAATCTGAGGACTTTATTTTTGTTTACCCCCCCCCTACTTGAAATCTATCCCTATCACCCACTGCAGAAGATCATTTTTCTTAGCTTCTTTCTCTTGGTTTTTTTCAACTCACCAATTCTCCAGCCATGGCTGAATCGCAGGATAAATCACTGCACACAAAGACGGATGGCATAGCTATCTCGCCGGAAGCTGCCTCGCCAGATGTGGAGGAGAATATGAGTATCGGCCGGTACATCGTGACTCGGATTCCGAGCTTGAAGCCGCCGATGAGAAAGGCGCCGAATCCCTTCACAGCCCTTGCTCTTCTCAACTTTCAACAATGGATGTTTTTCTTGGTACGTTTCTTCCTTTTCAAAGATCCCGAGATTACAGGATCAAGGATCAGGACTAATACGCGACATTCATCTTCCAGGTCGCATTCTTGGGATGGAGCTGGGATGCCTTTGATTTCTTCACCGTTTCGCTGACGGCATCCGACCTGGCGAAGACCTTCGATAAATCCGTTACCCAAATCACATGGGGAATTACATTGGTACTGATGCTGCGATCCGTAGGCGCAATTATCTTTGGAATTGCAGCCGACCGATGGGGTCGCAAGTGGCCGTTTGTCGTTAACCAGCTCCTATTCGTGGTTTTGGAACTCGGTACTGGTTTCTGCCAAACATACCAACAGTTCTTGGGTTGTCGTGCACTCTTTGGTATCGCCATGGGTGGTCTCTACGGGAACGCAGCTGCAACAGCATTGGAAGACTGTCCTCCTGAGGCCCGTGGTATCATCTCTGGACTAATGCAGCAAGGTTATGCTTTTGGATACCTTCTCGCAACAGCTTTTGCTCGTGGATTGGTCAACACAACCTCGCATGGATGGAGACCTCTCTATTGGTTTGGCGCGTGCCCTCCTATTCTCATCATCGCTTTTCGTTTGTGTCTGCCGGAGACGGAAACATTCCGCCGTCGCCAGGCTACCCGGGAGGAGGTTCGTGGTGGTGTGGCCAAGTCCTTTATCGAGGAAGGAAAGGTGGCTCTAAAGCGACACTGGCTTTTGTTGATTTACCTCGTCTTGCTCATGGCTGGGTTCAATTTTATGGTAAGTAGTAGTACTCTGTTGCGTGAAAACAGAAAAGTCCTAACATACTTCTTTTAGTCGCACGGTTCTCAGGATCTTTACCCCACGATGCTGGAAAACCAGTTCGACTTCTCGGCCAACGCAGTCACAGTTACACAAGTCGTTGCGAACCTCGGCGCATTAACAGGAGGAACTTTATGCGGATGGGCAAGTCAAATCTTCGGTCGTCGCTTCTCGATCATCGTGATCTGCATTGTAGGTGGAGCACTACTCTACCCTTACACATTTGTGACGACTCACGCCGTCATTGCTGCCGCATTCTTCGAGCAATTCTGCGTCCAAGGTGCTTGGGGTGTGATTCCTATCCATCTTATGGAATTATCTCCTGGATCTATCCGAACATTCGTAGTGGGTACGGCCTACCAACTTGGTAACCTAGTTTCATCCGCCAGTTCCACCATCGAGTCAACCATCGGTGAACGATTCCCCCTCCCGCCAACTGCAAGTGGCACCAAACGCTACGATTACGGCAAGGTTATTTGCATCTTCATGGCCTGTGTATACGTCTACACTATCGTTGTTACGTTCGCTGGACCAGAGCGTCTGGGTCGTAATTTCGATGCCGAGCACGATGCTGACCTGGCCATTGTCGCGGCTCAGCAAGGAATGGATCGGGAGAGTGATGACCCGGAGAAGGCTACAGCTACACGACACGAGTAGGATGTACCTCCTGCCTTTCGTTCGTTGAAATTTGAATCTCGACATGCAAATACCCATGATTTTTAACATTTTGAACGTGATCAAAGCCCCTTGATGCCCAATATTATGAATTTAGCTTTATCTAGCATAGTAATATCAATGATGATAGTCGCTTCGACGTCACGGTGTCGCCCTCTGGGCATCTTATCTAGACTTCGAGATCATGCAATAGTTAGCTTTTGCTTGGTCATATGTATTCAACATTGAATAGACACAAATATCTTGATCTGAATCTGCTTAATGATTACGGGTCATTCCGACTTTTGGACGGTCCAAGGGTTGAAGAATTTCTTCATGTGGGATCATAGTAGGAGTGGCAGCCTGAGGCAACGTGAAAAAAGGAATATTGCTCGACTCACAATAAGTAGACTAGTGTTTAGTAGCCTGAGATATATGGAGTTTGGAAATAAAAGAAAATCCAATCTGAGCAAAAGACTCAGTGCCTGACGAAAAACATTTCGCATTCAAGTTTGTTGTTGAGGTTGGAAAAGGAGCAGGGTCCACGGGTTTACCCTACCTTTTATAAGCATTTGAGCCAGAACCCCGCATTTTATATTTGTCCTGTATCACCTGTGCACAAATTTCTTGTGTCAGGAACTTGAAGTTACGGTGACCTGAGTCGGTACCTAGTCTTGGTCTTGGAAAGTAGGTCTAAGTTCAAGTTGAAATTGCATAGTATATCTGATGCCGTAACAGAACTTGAAAGACGGCCCACGGCCATCATTAATGTGACAGGGACTCAGATTATGCATCGAGATAGTCGCCTTTATCCCGTGTACAAATACGTAGTACTATCACTCTGTCACAGCACTGACATATGCATGAATCAACTGATCAATCCATAGATCTGCATTTATAGGAGTCTAGGTCACGCCATCCGCGCCAATCATTTGCTGATAAACCCTCCCAATTTGGTGTTACTAGTATAGGGGGCCAACCCAGTTCTGTTGGGTTTTTAATTAATACGAACGGGGCGGAATTGTGGTCAATTTGAAGGTATTTCCACAGTTCAGCTGGATCAGGCCGTTGTGGCTCTCATTCATACGCGTCCTGCAGGTACAATTTTGTATATGGTTGCCTAATGAATATTGAAACCAGTTGACCAGAGTTGACAATTGTTAAAAATTGTTGAAAAAGTTTCAGATGATTTTTGTAGAATTTGAAGAGTTTAATTAATCTCAAATTATTCCCTGCAGGAATACAAGAATATCCCGGTAGATATTAAATATCTGAGACTACGGAGTACTCCATATAACTTGAACCCGCAATTCCAGGGCAAAGAGGGTCTTACCTCCAGGTTTACCCCGACCCCACGATACCCATAGAACAATTTGTCTATTTCCACCTATTCATTGAATAAGAAAAGGAAGAGGATATACTCAAGAGTACTTTGATAGCCTCCTCTGATTCATTCGGTATTTCTGGTGATTCAAGCTCGGCATTTACATTAACACCAGTTGACCCTTTAAGCATTACCCGTCATCAACCGGTTCCTTGTCCCTGTCCCACTATCTTTTTTTTTTCCCACATCCCAACTTGAGAGACAGAAGGGACAAAAAGGCACCCATCTTTTTTGGTTTAAGAAAAAAAAAATTATATAAAAAAAAAAAGGCCAAGGAAAAAGGGGACCACTAAGAAACCACTAGGGAATACTAGGGAACTACACTTCTCTCTTTCTTAAGAAAATCAATCCCGATAAGCGCCAAGTCTTCGGGAACCGCATCTAGTGCTTGAATCTTGACTCCCGTTCTCCGCGAAACTTGAACCTCTCTCCTACCTTCCCCCCCCGTGTTCCGCGCATTCCAGTGCCCCTTCCTTGACCTTAGAGTCCTTAAAGTGCCAAGAACGAATCACGCCCCTGTGTACTGGATGAGTCTCGGCTCCGCCTCCTCCAATGCACAGACGGTCGTCTGGCTCCCCTGTCGCGGACGACACTGAAGATTCCTCGACTCGATCAGATGATCATGGCTCCAATGCCATCGATGCTCCTAACGACAAATCACGGTCTCAGTTAGCTAGGCACGGAACTAGTTTCGATCTAAGGAGGGATAACGGCACTTCCACACCACGATCGCGGAACTCGAGTCTGTGGCGTACTTCCTCGTCTCAACCTTCCAACGATACCAAGACAATGCCATTGGGATCTCCCCGGCTTCCCATGGAGCCTTCCCCCGAGGGCCGGCGCGCACGCCAAGCTCGTCAGCGAAGTCCCTGGTCGGTCTCGATCCTTACCGCGTGTACGACATTTTTCGCTGTTGCGTTTATACTGGCCATCCTTCGTTCATTCACCGGTCGGGCCACTGGGGGTGATGGCTGTGGAGTACCGATGATGAGTCCAACGTTTATTCGAATGCTGGAATTTGATACGGAGCATACGCGATTTGCGAGCAAGTACAATCTGTTTCTCTATCGGGAAGAGGGTGTGGATCCATATACTCAGGATAATATCGGGGTAAGAATGCTCCGGGTATCAACGAGGGGACAAAGAAGCATGAGCTGAGCTGACCATTATTTTTTCCTATGGTCTGCAGTTAAACGGAGTACCAGTTCTTTTCCTTCCTGGAAATGCAGGTAGTTACCGACAGGTTCGATCTCTGGCCGCGGAGGCTTCGCGACATTACTACGACGTAGTACGACACGACGAGGAACGACATGCGGCAGGAACACGGAGCTTGGATTTCTTCATGGTGGATTTCAATGAGGATATGGCTGCATTCCACGGCCAGACGTTGTTGGATCAGGCGGAATACGTGAACGAGGCCATCGCATACATCCTATCTCTCTACCACGACCCACAACGGACTCGACGAGACCCCGCGCTCCCCGACCCTAGCGCTGTGATTCTGATCGGACATTCAATGGGTGGTATTGTGGCTCGGACTGTCCTCACCATGGCCAACTACCAGGCCAACTCGGTCAACTCGATCATCACCATGTCCGCGCCGCACGCGAGGCCACCGGTATCCTTTGATTCCGACATTGTCCATACCTATAAGCAGATCAACGACTATTGGCGTGAGGCGTACGCACAGACGTGGGCCAACAATAATCCTCTGTGGCATGTGACTCTGGTGTCTATTGCCGGTGGTTCACGAGATACTGTGGTCCCCTCCGATTATACCAGTATCTCGTCACTTGTACCGGAAACACATGGGTTCACTGTGTTCACATCTTCGATGCCCGATGTTTGGATTGGAAACGACCACTTATCTATTACTTGGTGTGACCAATTTCGCAAGGCGATAATCAAGTCCTTATTTGAGATGATTGATGCCCGGCGGCCTACTCAAACAAAGCCGCGCGCCGAGCGTATGCGGGTTCTGAAACGATGGTACTTGACAGGATTGGAAGATGTTGCTGAACGAACCCTCGCTCAGAAGGAACCTAACACCCTTTTAACACTGGAGGACAACGCGAACACCATTCTCGGTCAGGGTCAACGTTTGACTCTCCGTGAGATGGGCCAGCGACATGGCCCCGATGTTCGCCTTCTGCCAATCCCGCCTCAAGGTGTGTCTGGCAAGAAGTTTACTCTTCTCACAGATCAAGCCATTGGCCCACACGGTCATATCGAAGTGCTCTTCTGTAGCGTGTTTCCTCTGAACAACGGGCGCTCGACTGTGTTTTCCATGAATATGGATTTCTCAGGTGGCACTGTTGGCTCTACGCGATTAGCTTGCAGGAGTGCAGCGGAAGATGTGATTCATTTGCCTGCTTCAACCCCTTCATCAAAACATGCTTATGACCGGGTGTCCCCATTTTCTTACCTCCAATACGATCTGGAGGGCCTAGCTGAGCATCAGTTTGTGGCTGTTGTGGACAAGGCCGCTGTTCCATCCCCTGGGTTTTTGGTTGCCGAGTTTTCTGATAGCTCGGACGCCATGATCCGCGCTAAAGTCGGATTGGGTGGTCTGTTGAGCGCAGGCATCAAGGTGCGCCTTCCTGCCAATCGACCCATGCTTACTGAAGTCAAGATCCCGGCTCTTCACTCCAGTTTGCTAGACTACCGACTCAAGATTACTCGACACCCTCGAAAGGATGAAATCTTTGCCCCGCTTCTGAGGCAGTCCATCGCAGATCCTCATGAGTCAAAATTTTTCGTCAACGTCGACGACATCAATGTCAACCTTCACGGCGTGGCCCCTTTCATGCCGCCTCCACTCCGCGAACAAGCCACTCACGCTGGTGTCTCGTTCCAACTTTGGACTGATCCTAGCTCTGGATCAACGGTCGATATTTTGCTCCAGGTTGATATTAAGAGCAGTTTGGGTGAGCTGGTGATGCGATACCGCACTATATTTGCAGCGTTCCCATTGTTAGTCGTGGCTCTGGTGCTCCGCAAGCAGTTCCAGATTTACGATGAAACAGGCTATTTCATTCCCTTCAATGACGGTCTTGGTCGAGCTTTGCGATCCTCTCTTCCCCTTCTCCTCCTGGCGATGTCTCTCTTGGCATCCTCTCTTGCTACCTCCAAGGCCCTCCCTCAGTCGGATGATCCATTTCATTGGCGCACCAATTCCACTGAGACACCAGTCGATTTTACTAAGAACGACCTCCTTTTGGGATCACAAGATGCATTCTTTTGGTTCCTTGTTCCGATTTTTGGGATCATTAGCGTCGGAGTATGTGTATTGGTTAACTATGTAGCTCTTCTTCTTGTCAACATCTTCTCCTTGATGTACGGTGCTGTGAACAGCAAATCGGGTTATATTCGTCGCGAAGACCGAGGGTGAGTGTTCTAGTCTTCGATCTTTTGTGAAGAAAGTGTTCTTACTGATGATTGATAGGAGTCTGCCTATTTTCAGTGCCCCCACCCCTCGGCGACGTGTCATTCATACGGCAGTATTACTGATCCTTGTGTCCACGATCATCCCTTATCAGTTTGCGTACATGGTGGCCTGCATTGTGCAGCTGGCAACTTGCGTACGAGCTCAGTGGCACGCTAAGGAAACTGTAAGCCTATCTTCTCTCAATTCGAAAGATTCTGGCCGAGCATGCTCTAATATTCTCAACAGAGATCCACATCACACCTCAACTTTGGCAACTATGCCCACTCCATCTTAATCCTCATGCTATGGATTCTCCCTATTAATGTTCTGGTTCTCCTGGTGTGGGCGCATAACCTCGTGATTCATTGGTTCATGCCTTTTTCCTCCCATCACAATGTCTTGTCTATCATGCCGTTCCTTCTTCTCGTCGAGACCATGACAAGTGGTGCCATGATTCCCCGCATCACGACTCGGTATGTTCATCATTTTCCAATTCGTTTCCAGACACCTAAGCTCATAATCTTAGATTCAAACACGTCACTTCCATAATATTTTTCGCCATTGCCATGTATTCGGCTGTTTACGGCGTGACATACGCCTACCTCCTCCATCACCTCGCAAACCTCCTCGCCGCCTGGTTCGTCGGTATCTACTTGGTCGGCAATAATTTCTCTCCGCGTCGTCTGTGGCGCATTATTGATGGCGATGAGCTTCCTTCCGAACCAGGAAGTCGTCATCTCAAGAAGAAGCCATGAGAAAAAGAAAACCAATACTAATTATGTTACCCTTTCCTTTCAATTCTCTTTTGGAGTCGCGCATTTGGGACTGGAGTTTGAGCGTTCTGTTTATTTCCTGTACAAACAAGTTGAGATGAGCGTTGTCTATTGTCTCATTATTCCTTTTTACACCCCTTTACCGCAGTACCCTTGCCCATTACTGACATTGACTCTTGGTAATGGAATTCTTTCTCCTCCCTATACCTTGTTCATTCATGTCCCTGTTCAAGGTGATTGTGATACTACCAACACTTGTCCCGGTCTGGATATTGGTGTCCAGCTCAGAGGTCTTGTGTATATATCCTGTTTTCATGCTTCCTCTTTCCCGATTTGTTATTGGACATAGACTTCTGGTGTCGATGGGCAGGTACTTCATTTCAATGTTGACTTCCAACCTTGAAGGTTGTATGCGTTTTGGTAGCGATTGATAGATCCGTTTGAGCTTCCACATACTACTAATAGCCCGAGTCTCTCACCTTGATCTGCTGATTTCCTGCTGTCTACCTTCATAGAGTGTATAAACTATTGTTGATATGCAGTAGTAGTACCTGCTTTATCGTACATGATGTTTCAACTAGACTCGGAGGATCAGTGCCAGTGAGTCGGAGAATATCAATGAAGACATAGTCAACATTTTAAACCACACCACAAACCTCCCAGGCTCGGAGGTAACACATTGAACTCCGAAGCTGTGTGTACATTCCGTCCTTTGAACAAGCATGGAATAAGTGCTTGAGCAGACACAAGGTGACGTTCGTGATACACTATACACGCGGGGCACCGTGGGGGTCCGTGGGGATACAGGCTAAATAAAAACATGGGGTAACACGCGGGGTGAGATTAGCCGGTCTCATCGAAACTTTTCACTATGTACAGGGATGGCTATAGCAAGAGCTAGTAGGTTCATCCCCGCATTTAGGCACCCTTGCTCTGTGTTAAGTTTGCCCGGGTAAATTTCGGGCCAAGAGAGTTGGTACTTATATCCAGAGCCTTTCTGTTTCCGAGCCAAATCATTCTTCATTTACTTCGTGAGTTGCTTGGCCATTTTGAAGATACACAATGGCCACGGGTATCCTTAAAGTTAAAGGTAATTCGGTCGTTGACCAGAATGGACAAAGTGTTGTTCTGAGAGGAGCGGCGCTTGGAGGATGGATGAAGTAAGTGACCAGAGCTAACAGCTAGTAGCTACTACCTATCTAGCTGTGATGTTTCTGATCTTTTTGTAATGACTAGCATGAGGCTGACATCAAGTCTAGTATGGAGAATTTCATCACCGGTTTCCCTGGACATGAATCTCAGCACCGAGCTGCAATGCGCAAAGTCCTTGGACAAGAAAAATACGAATTCTTCTTCGATAAATGGCTGGAGTACTTCTTTACTGAGAAAGATGCGAAGTTCTTCGCTGAAGTCGGATTGAATTGTCTTCGACTGCCATTCAACTATCGCCATTTTGAAGATGATATGAACCCACGGGTATTGAAGGAGTCGGGATTCAAACACCTGGATCGAGTCGTTGATTTGGTACGTCGCATTTTATGATACCTGCCGAGGAAAAATAAGCTAAGAATCACCTCCAATTTAGTGTGCCTCCCATGGCATATACACCATCTTGGATATGCATGCTGTTCCTGGTGGTCAGAATCCAGACTGGCACTCTGATAACCCTTCTAGCTATGCAGCTTTCTGGGACTACCGCGATCACCAAGACCGTACCGTGTGGCTGTGGGAGCAGATTGTATCTCGGTATAAGGAGAATCCCTGGGTTGCTGGATACAATCCTCTCAACGAGCCATGCGACCCAGAGCATGTCCGACTCCCAGCCTTCTATACCCGAATTGAGAAGGCTATCCGTGCCATTGACCCGAATCACATACTATGGTTGGATGGAAACACCTTTGCTATGGAATGGAAGGGATTCGATAGAGTCTTGCCGAACTCCGTTTATGCTATGCATGATTACTCCGTGAGTGTCTCTTATACCGACGTTCTCACTATCCACTAACATGACTAGTCTATGGGATTCCCCACTGGTGATCAGTACAAGGGAACACCAGAACAGAAAGAACATCTGGAGCGATCCTATCTTCGCAAAGCACAATTTATGAGCGAGAATGGCACTCCAGTTTGGAACGGAGAATTCGGACCCGTATACGCCAACCCTGACACAGAGGTAGACGCAGCAACCGTGAACCAAGCACGATACAACCTCCTAGGCGAGCAGCTCCGGATCTACGACAAGTATTCCATCCATTGGTCCATCTGGCTGTACAAAGATATCGGACTACAGGGTATGATCTATACAGACCCACAAGGCAAATGGAATCGAACCATCAAGCCTTTCTTGGATAAGAAGCGAGCCTTCTGGATCGATAAATGGGGTCATAATCCCAACCCGGAGGCTGAAGCCGCTCTGAAACCACTGAATGATTTGATTGACCGAATTAGTCCATCTGCCACATCAACCTATCCCACATCCTGGAACACGGACATGCATATCGAGCGAAATGTGTTCTGGACCTTTTTGGCAGCCTCCTTCTCTAATGAATTTGCATCTTTGTTTGAGGGAATGGAGGAAAATGAACTTGAGGAATTGGCGAGAAGCTTTCACTTTGATGAGTGTCTACAGCGGGATGGATTAAACCACATTTTGAAGGAACATGCACGAGTTTCGAAGTGAGAAGAATCCATAGAAGGTTGATGGTATATGATGGAAAGAATGGAAAGAACTAGAAGAGGGGTAGAATATAGTGCGTGGATTTAAGACTGGTTACATAAGAATAAATATCACAGAATATGATAATGCCCACACACTTATCTGTATCCACACGCTATCGATAAGGAAAAATCGAAAAAGATCGCGGGGTTTCGCACTTTCAGCTCTAGAATCTGTGAACAAGAGGCGAGAGTGTTCCGGTTCATCGAATCGCACAAATCGAAAGTGCTCGTCAAAATGGCCGATTCCTCCCTTCCCACAACGCTAAACAGCGTCTTCGATGCGCCTCTTAAGGACCAATATGACCCCGTCCGCTTGACCTCGACCAATATTGTCCCGATTCTCGAATTGCCCCTCGCAAAGCAGCTCCTGGGCCACGATGCCGCCGATAGTGAATCCCTCGCCAAGATCGCCAAGCTCGAGCTCTCCTACACTGCTTTTGTCGCCTCCCAAGCGCGTGCCGCCCTCCAGAACCCCCGCGATGATTTAACGACCGAGCAAACAAAGTCGCAACTCCTGCATATCGGTCTCGCGGCCCTTTTCAGCTTCTTACAATCCAATGTGACTGGTCCACCGCTTGAATTCAACTCCGCGGAAACAGTTCTGCCTGCTTCTTTGCGCGGAGATATACCCACCCTCCGAGCTGTTCGAGCTAAGATTATCCGCGATCTCTCTATCGATGGAGAAGCGGCCTACAAGTTGACGCCAAATGCGGAGCTATTCTCCATCGCAAAGGCCCTTCTGGCTGATTCTGACAATGAAGGAGCGGTGGTGGCGAAGACAGCGCGTGTGCGCGTTAACTTGCTTCATCAAAAGATGCTTTCGGAGGTTACAAGCACACTGCAAGATGTGATCTACAGCGATGTTGAGGTATTGTCCAAATTGGATCTTACTGCAGAGGAGAAGGGAAAGTTACTCTTGGAGCGGGCTATTATCAACACACACCATGGCTTCGATGCTAAGGCACGCGCTGATCTTGATCAGGCTGCTCGGGTCAGGAACTTCGAGTTTGCGCTGACTGGACAACTGGGAAAGAGGACTAAGTTCCAAGACCGGGATATCAGTCAGCTTGTGGTTTTGGCGAAGAGCGCAGATGAGACATCTACGAGCGCAGACCCGTCTGGCCCTAAGAAATTGGATTTGAATGATGATACCCTGCTCGAAGCCATTTCGTTTGCTGATAAGAAGTCTACTACTGTATCTGAGGAAATCCCATCGGCTCTCCAGTCAATTGATGCCAATGATCAACCTATTTTGAACCCGGTGGACTCAGCTATCTTGTTGGCTATGGCATCTGCGATCACCAACACTGCTCCAGAGAACGGTCTTACTCGTGAGGAGACAGCACCTTACGCTACCCGAGTTTTGGAGGGTGGCAGTTCCAATTGGCAGATCTATACCGAGGCCTTGCTAGTCCGTAGTCGTGTGGAGGGTTTCCGCTCACGAACAATCGAGCGCTCTGTGTTGCAGATGCAGGCCCTTGTTGATCAGGTCATTGCCGATACAGCGACAGATGACTCTGCCGCCCAGCAGCCCTCTTCCGACCCCACAACTTTCTTGCCCCGTCCAGAGAAATCCGAATCGGCTCCTGCCGCGGACCGATTGGAGTACATCTGGCTTATCAACTTCTCTACTCGATGGAGCCTTGAAGCCGAGCTGGCTAAGCGCTGGGTTGAGCTTGGTGGTCTCCGGACCGCATTGGAAATCTACGAGAGACTCCACATGTGGGCTGAGGCAGCACTCTGCTATGCTGCTACTGAGCGTGAACTCAAGGCTAAGAGTATGGTGCGACGCCAGCTCTACGAGCCTAAGGGTGATGATGAAGACGACGAGAATGAGTTGTTCGAGGGTCCCGAGCGGGAAATTCTTCCAGCTGATGCGCCGCGATTGTTCTGCATTCTGGGAGACATCGATAAGGACGAGAAGATGTACGAGCGTGGTTGGGATGTCTCAGGTCAGCGATATGCTCGGGCTCAACGATCTCTGGCCCGCCACTATCTTAGCATGACACCTCCCGAGCTGGAGAAGGCCGAGGGTGCCTACCGCAAGAGTTTGAACATCAACCGTCTCAACCACGGTGCCTGGTTCGCACTTGGCTGTGTCCAACTTGAGCTTAACCGTTGGCAAGATGCCACTGATTCCTTCACCCGAACCGTGCAGCTCGATGATACTGACGGAGAGGCATGGAGTAACCTGGCAGCAGCCATGCTGCGCACATCTGCACCCGACCAAGAACCCGACGTTCCGGCCGATGATAGCGCCGAAGAAAAAGCGGCCATTGAGAGTGATCCTTTCAAGCGAAAGCGGGAAGCCCTGTCTGCACTGCAACGTGCAGCCAATCTGAAGCGCACCGACGCCCGAATCTGGGATAACGTGCTAACAGTAGCTGCATCAATTCCCCCACCCAACACACCCTTCCGAGATGTGATCACTGCGCAGAAGCGTGTTATCGAGTTACTTGGCGCCAAGAAGGGTGAAAAGTGTGTTGATCTCCCAATCCTGGGTATGTTGGTTGATTTCCTCACAACCGCATTCGAATATAATGATCTCCTTATCGACTCGGACTCCGGTCCTGTCTTCCGTTCCGGTACCATCCCAGGTCAGATGCTTTCCATGATTGATGATAACGTCGTCCCACTTATTACCCACTCTTCTGCACTGTGGTTGATTGTCTCCCGTGTGGAGCTTTTCCGGAACCGTCCCAGCCGTGCCTTGGATGCTTGCGAGAAGGCCTGGCGAGCTACCATCGCTGCCTCTGCACAGGGTGCTTTCCAGATGGGTGATGAGAAGCCTTGGCTTGAGGTTGTCCGTGCCACTGAGAAGTTGGTTCGTGATGGATATGCCAGATATGGCCCCATGGATCATGAAGATAAGAAGGTGGAAGGTGGCGAGCCTGAGATGGTTGCAAGTGACTGGCGCTTCAAGGCTAGAAGTGCGGTGCGCGGTATCCTGGGCAAGGGCAAGGACCTCTGGGAGGATTCTAATGGATGGAATCGATTGAAGGAGTTGCAGAATGAGGTTTCTGGAAATTAGTAAATACAAAAGAAAGCGTTGATATCTTTTTTCGTTGAATACATCACCAGTTAAATGACTAGGTACCATTATGAAATTTTACGTTTTGAAATTCACAGTTCAGTCAATAAAATGTCCCAAGTTTCGAATGATAGATAATTATGCCAAAATGTCTATATACCCCAAAATGCAGTCAAAGTAATCGCCAAATGATCAGTGTAAAAAGTAGAATCAAGAAGTAAAGTCGCACCCGAAAAAAATGTAGTAGTATGTACCAGTCAACGTCAGAAAAAGCAAGTCATGAATGTCATCAAGGGTTTAAACCCGTCTATACCTGCACTGATCCTCGCCGCGCTGTTGAAGGCGAGTATATATCCACCAAAATGAATTTTAACTGGAATCAAATGTTCCGATAATTGAGTTTTGAACTGAGTTGTGAAAGCCTTAAGCCTCCTGAATCGACTCATCAGCCTTAGCCCTGAGTCGTTCATTGCGCTGCATCCGCCATCCAGCTCCCCACTTCATCTCCACCGACAAGAGAGGAACCATTGCCAAAGTAATACCAGCAAGTAGAACAAAGGTGTAGAGGGAACCGAGAGCATCAATGATAGGTGTGATGAGAGCAACACCACCAGCTCCAATCAAGCAACGCATCAAATTGTTAACAGCCGTAGCGCTAGCACTAGCACCAGGATACAGATCAATGATCAAGGCGCTGTTAATAGTGAAGATCGCGGTAGCGCAGTAAGCAATAAAGTACTGCAAGATAATAGGCACGGCGAGATGAGTTCGAAGCGAAAGACCGTAAACAGCGGTGCAAACGATAAACAGAGCGGTAATCCACCAAGTATTCCGCATACGAGCATACTCAATCGGGAAATCAGGGTGTGTCTTTGTCGTGATGCGAGTATCAAGAGGGAGGTTATTCTGTTGACAGTATTCGCGTTCCGTGCGCTTATGGTTGTAATCCATCAAGTAGCCGATAGTGTAAGAGCCGGACATGCAGCCAAATCCATTACCGAGGAATGTAAGGCCTACTTCGAGGGTATTCAGGTTGTATGTATCTTCGAAGAGTTGAGAGGTGGAAGATGTGATCATAGACCAGACGGTGTAAACGATAGCGCCGAAGAAAAGGGTAATGAAGACATCTTTTTCACCGAGGAAGGTGAGTGGAGCGAGAACAGTTTTCCAAGTTACTTTTTTCTTTTCACCGATGGGTTTAGCGTCTTCTTGGATGTCGGGTTGGCCGGTGATATAGTAGATGGAGGGTTTATGGAAGCCGTTCAGTGGAACAGTGCCGTTTCCAGCGATGGAGCGAAGGGTTTCAGGGAGGAAGAAAATTATAGAGATCAAACTAATGCTTGCGAGAATGGTCAAGAACCAGAAAATGGATCTGTAACCCAGGTATTGAGATAGGATTCCACCGAAGACGGGACCGATGCCTTGACCCAGCATGCGGACTATTTTTAAGTTGGTTAGTTATTGGATTGATGAGATAGATGAGAGTGAAGTGTAGGTTACCTCCGCCAAAGATTCCTATCAGGCTTCCTCGCTCTGCTGATGTGGTGATATCGCCAATTACACCGGCACCGATAGAGATGGTTGCAGCACTACCAGCAGCTTGCAAGGCTCGGAAAGCCATCAGCTCTCCATAATTGTTGGACACGCCCAAGGCAATATTGGCAATAATGTAGACAATGAATGTTCCGATGAAAATGCCACGACGACCAATAGCATCGGAGAAAGAGCCCCAGAAGCTGGGGGCGAGGCCTTGGACGATCATGTATACAGTGACAGTTAAAGTAGTGAGGGACATTGATACATCCAGTTCCTTGTCTGTATCAGTATATTTGAGCACCAACCATGCAGATAATTTAGTAACTCACCTTTGATATAGTCTTAAGGGCAGGGAAGTAGATGTTGGATGAGAGTGGGGAAAAGATGGCAGCTAAAGAGACAATGCAGACCATCTGCAATTTGCGGGATCGGGTAAAGACATGGTACTGGGGCGATGATGGAGTCTGGCTTTCAAGCTTGAATGAGCTTGCACAGGATGATGTTGTTGGGGGAGATTGCTTCTCATCCTGGCCAGATAATGACGGTGATGTGGTAGGAGTACTTGAGCTGCTAGAGTGGATGGAACGCTCTGTGATGATAGCATTCTTTTTCCAAGCATCTTCTGTCAGGAGTGAAGACATGATGAATAATTTTAATGTAAAGCTTATAATGATAGTCCGCAAATCTAAGGGATCATAGCTTGAAAGGGAAATATCAATATAGACAGGATGAAGGTGAAAAGTAGATGATGACCTGGATAGATTAACTTCTAGAGAGTCCAAGCTGGTATGCCATGGCCTTTTGTATCTGAATATCAATCCTAGGGGTCCCCCCTAATATTGCTAGATTGAAAATATCAGTTCCATGCATCTAAAAATCCAGACCATGTGCTCCACTGTGGATTCAGCCCAGGGGATCTTTGTCCCCATGTCCACTCACTCCTTGGCAGTCGAGGGTGGCGATGATCAGACGAATATGGAAATCTAAATGCAGCTCAGTCCATGATGGATGGACCATGATCAGCAAAAAAGAAAGTAATTACCCATATTGATCATGGCAAGGTATCACATCAAAACAAACATAGCTATCATGGTAGTCTAGATTCTCAAACCTTCAGTCTCAGCCTCTTTAGAATGTCTGTTTTTGAACACGAAGATATGATACATACAATTCTAAAGAATAAAGATGTAGATCAATGATTCGCAACATCTAAGACCTGACTTACGAAACTCATAGGCAAATGCCATTACCCACCGGGGCACAATAGAAAATTCCTTCAAGGGTCTGTATATACGCGTCCTACGTATTGACTACGAAATGATCTGCATAGCATTGGTGACACGCAATCAAGATGACATGATCACTCTATGCAAAAGAATGATATTTTTTTCAAATCAATTGACTTTCACGGACGAAATGTTCCTGAAAGTCCCGAGATTCTGCAGCCCTAAAGATGCTAGAGATGCGTGATAAGGATGCAGGAAGACAAAGACCAATAATCGTGGCGTAGCCAAGACTTGGCCACCTGGGCAGAGACATTGCACATGGGCAAGAAACTGATCCGAGAGGGCTTGAGTCCCGAATTCCGGTTCTCCGTTGTAATACAAGTCATACAAGTTATTGCGTGATGATTATCATCTCAAGCAAGTGCCAAGCATCGTGAGCTTGAAGTTCTATAGGAGTAAAAGAGCATTATGGCTTATACTGTAGTACACGCCAGCCGTTGACGTATGTTTTTTCCCTCCTTCAATAGTATGAAATTTCTTTTTTTTCCTTCTTATTCTTATTCTTATTTTTTAGCTATTTCTTTTTTTCGCAGCTGAGCCTCTCTCTAAGGGGAAAAAAGAATACCCTTACTGTTTTAGATACTATAGGACCCAATCAGGGGGCCAGAAAGGGGTACCAAGTCTATATTCAACCCAATGACGTGAATTACAGTGGAGCTTTAAGGGACAAGAATGCATCTTCCCAAGGACAAAGTTTTGCGCTAGGCGGGTATGATCGACAATCGAACGGCCTTTAAGACGCCAGTGCGCAATGGTCCCCAATCCTCGTCGATCAAGACCCACTCCACCAAGCCCCTTGGCGTGGACTTTGAACAGGGGGTGCGAAGTGACCGCCGGTGCATTAAGTCTCCGAGTATTCCGTTCTCGTATGCAGAGTCAATGGTTTGAAACCTATCTAAATCTGACTCCGTATACTTTTCAAGCCATAGAAGTATAGACCCCACACGGGTGGAGGAGAGTGGCTGACGCATACGGAAAACATCTTAAATGCCTAGAAACGCCGGCGGCGCAGCCAAGAGAGTTGGCATCTTCACGATGCGCCGTGGCGGAGTGGCTTCGTCATCTTTGCACCTGGTCAAGGTGCTCGGAATGTTTTTTTGATGGCTTGATGGCTTGCATTCGGGTAGAACCTAACCACAAGGCTGGTTATCTTGACACTTGTTTGGAAATTATCTTAAGACCAACCTGATAGATACGACCAAAAGTACGATAGACAGGGATCTGAAAGTTTACTTCACACTAACGGGAGTCTATCCTATTCCGAGTGTCGCGACCGTGGCCATTTGCCATTATACCCCCCCATAACGCCGAGAAAGATCCCGACTCGGGTAGCCGACTGCAACCCATTCATGCATGATAATGCTACTGCAGAATGGTTTGCCCTCTCATATTGATGAGTACCCGATTGGTGGACTAAACTTTAGATTTGGAATTTGTATTGGGCTGCAACTTGAATGATCTTCAGGCCAATCAATCTAGTTCCATAGATTTTCCAAGGAAGAGACCTGGTCTCGGTCTTTCCATGAATCCACTCATTTCTTGGATATTTCGGGCGTTAACTTCGGATCCTCTAAAAGACATGTTTTGAAGCACGTTGAGTACCTGGCTAACTTGGCACGATGACAACCGACTTGGTCTGTGTTTCTTTCATCTCCACGTTTCGATTCTAGACCGTAAGTAGTCGATGTTTTGTTCCCACTTTGGACCTTTCAGAACGGGACTGTCTATTGGCTTTACAAACATATTTTTGAACATCAATGGTGGCAATAGACATGTGGAGTATCAATGGAGTAGTTAACGTTCCACAGAACTCTGGGTCTTCCATATAGAACATTTTGAAGCCTGGAGCTCTAGCACGCTGCACGGTGTCTAGAGCTTGAAACAATAGTGTAGGTTTACTCCACCGGCTACTTAGCACAGCCCCGATATTCCCCTATCTTCAGGCTGTTTTTCAAATATTGCTGGGGCTACCAGTTGACTATTGCTGATAGTAGTGTGAGCTCTAGAAAAGAAACAAAAATCAAATTCGTGAACTCCGTATTTTGGTGCCCAATGGGCAACTAAAGGATATGATCTGTAAACAATGATCCCGATCGACACCTAATTAGTGTTGCCTGGAAACCCCATAGAAGCAACAGATCAGTGGGACTCGTTTCAATAAAACGCATGGACCAAGCGTTGTGCAGATCATCAAGCCCCCTGGTTCAGGAGGCTTTTCCACTGACGTGGAGAATGGGGCCGCTCAAGGCTAGGGATGACATCGCTGAATAAAATAGATCTGATTCCCTACTCCGTTCACAAGAATGTTGTTCCAGTCGATCATGTACGCAACCCCCAGCATGCTATACTCACATGGCCTGCACCCCAAATTTTCTCCAGAGGATGACGATGACGATGACTCCATGCCTAAATGTGGTGCTCACAGGGCCAAGACGACGGTATACTAGAAAATTGAATTAGTATAACAGGTTTGCATAAATCGCTCAATCTTGGAACTCTTGGCCCGGAATCTCTTATCAAGACCAAAATTTAGTCTGATGAGAATTTAATCTTGGCAGTCTTTGATCACATTGAGCCATGTGCTTGTTAGCGTAGTAACAAAGATATCCGGAATCCTACTCACCCTGAGCCAGGAGTCCCAATTTCGCCTGCAGGTTAGCAGGTTCCAAATCCAATTGGAACTTAGTTCATTACCTTGGCGATGACAGTCTTAGCCTTGGAATACTCAGTAGTGAGGTATTCCGAGGTCCAGTAGACCTCGGGAGAAACCTTCCAAGGTCCTCTCAATCACAAATTTCCACTGGTGTAGCACTTATGCTAGTACTGAGGAAGGATCTTCGCTCATTTACTCAAACACATCCGATATTGCTAGTAAAAGAACCGCCTCTTGTCACTTCCTCGCACAGTTCTTCAAGTTTTGCGATCACTGGTATCTGTATATGCACATAGCACCTCATTTATCTGTTTTTCCGCTGTCAAAATATGAATTGAATTCTTTCAAGTTCGCAATATTGGATTTCAATACTCATTTCACGACGCGATGGCGCTTTTCTTCTCACAACATGAACTCTGCTGCTACACATAATGTATCACTGAGTTTCAATTCAAAATAAAGCAGACTGACTACTGATCATTTCGAGTTTATAGAATCCATACATTAAGGATTTCTGAACATTTGACCGTAATTGTGATGATCATTCATCATGATGGATGTGCCAGTGCTACTATGTAGTACATCGTACATCATGATATTAGTAGTACAGGTAGTACCGTGACTAGTAGACACTTGAAGCTCGAGACTACTCCAGGCTGCCGATGGTACGTATCCATTAGCACATACCTAGGTAGAAGAAATTCCTATGTCCGGGTCCTCTCAACACATGTGCACCGTGACCGCTGGAAATATATCAGCGCCCGGCCCGAGGCGGTTGCCTATGGATATTTCACTCCGGCCCACATGTGCAGAACCCTCCAGTTCAAATTGGAACATGAAATACACTGGCACGCCCTTTCAAGCTTTCAAGTTAAACCTTCTCAATATGTGAGATAGACGTCTTGGTGGGCGACGGGTCAGGTCGTTCTGTTCTCAATGCTCGAGCATAGCTGGGCACCTGCCACCAGTGGTCTGGATCCGAGAACAACTCATCCATTTCCTCCAGTGATCGACAGTTGGTTTCAGGGAAGAAAATGTACACCATAGCCGCTGCACTCACGCTGATAACGGCGTAAACAATACAGTACCGCCACTTGATCGTGACAAACGCGACAGGAGTAATTTCAGCAATAACAAAGTTGAACAACCAATGGGTAGCAGTTCCGATCGCTGCGAGATGAATGCGCAGATCTTGCGGTGCAATCTCTGCGCTGTACAGGAAATTGGCACCAAGGAATCCAAGTGGGAAAAAAGTCATTCAAAGAAAGAGGAAGAAGGTAGCTGCGACAGAGGCCCCAAATGTATAACGATATTCAATCGCCCACACACAGCCACTCAGAGAAGCCATTGAAAACCCCATCCCAAGGCAGGCAATGATAAATAGGGGTTTGCGACCAAAACGATCCACCGAGAGGTAGACTGAAATGGCAGCAAATATCTTCCAGGTCAAGGCACCTGCATCGAGCAAGGCAGCTTTCTTCGACGCAAGACCTAAAGAGTCTTCGAAAATTGTGGAGCCATAATAAGAAATGACATTTGCACCAGTCATCTGAGCACCGAAGTTGATGTCAACAGCAAGACACATGCGATAGAAAAGCCTTTGGTCTCCAGGCCTGACGAGATCAAGAAAGCCACGCTCGGACTGTGAGCTTTGTTGGAAAAGGCTAGCGATGTTATCGATTTCCATACGAATTTGTGCATCGTCAATGATTGCTTCTCGAGATAGCTTCTGCATCGCAACATGAGCTTCCTCCAGGCGGCCTTTGCTGATCAGCCAACGGGGAGATTCCGGGAAAAGAGAAGTGAAGCCCATAATCATTAGAGTGAAGAGAATGGGTAACGCGAGAGGAAATCGCCATGCGATCTCGTTGCTGGACATGAACGAGAAACCAACATTGACCCAACCAGCAGCAGCGACTCCAGAAGAAATGAAAACACCGATTATAACAACATTCTTGCCACGATTCTTAGATGCCGTACACTCACTTTGCCAAACAGGTACGACAGCATTGACTCCGCCATTTCCAATGCCGGAGATGATCCGACCCACAACGAGTTGACCGATGCTGAATGAAGAGCTCTGGAGTATCTGACCGATAGCTGCGATGACAGCTGCAACGATCAAAGATTTACGACGTCCAAATCTGTTCCCAATCTGTGTGATACCAAGAGCACCGATGAGGCATCCGATGGTGTATATGGCGACAACTGTCCCCTGAGCTCTGGCATTTTCAGCCTTGACGGCCCCAGTAGTATTGCTGGTATCAATTTCTGGGAAGTACTTGACAAAAGATGGATAACTGAGAAGGCCACCGATGTTTGATTGTTACCAAATAATAAAAATGAAGGGACAACTATGAGGCATACACGGGCTCTGGCTAAGGCCGCGCCAGTGAGAGCTATCATACCCATTTTGAGTGTGATCGGTTGTTTGAATTAATAAAAAGATTTGCGTGAGGAGAGAAAATTCAGTATGTATAAGTTTGAGATGTACCAGCTTCAAGTTTCAAAGTACTAAGTGTGATGAAAAGTGATAACAAACAAGAGATAAGACTGAACGACTTCTAGAGAGAAGTGAAGCAGGCCTATATGACAGCAGAGCCTGTGCGTTTTAAAGCAAAATGAGCCTTACAAGTTACACGCACTTTCAAAGCCTCGCTTTGATATCTAACAATAATCTTGAAAAAAATACAGGATCGTCACCTTCCCCGTACATTTCCCCATACAATCAACCCTCATGTACGAAGCCAAGCATTGAACAGCCCACTAGGTTCCCCAGATTACAACCCCAGCTTTACACGCACGTTTTAATAGGCTAAGTACATTTGATGGGGGAAATACCTGCCAGAAACTTCCTGTCGGCGGCCCGGCATCATGTTTAGGCGCAAGTTCTTCCGCCATCAACACGTTCTCGGAATCGTCCTGGTTTTTGGTCAACTGCAGAAATTACCGAGACAAGTTGGAATAAAATATGATCCCGCGGTGTTTTACTGGCTGTGATTAAATACCAACGGAATTCCGAGAAAGGCCTCGGACACAGAAAGAGTCACATCATTACCTCCACATCAATTGAACAACATGTCGACTTCTAAGCCTTTCATCCTTTTCTTCAACCCAGTGAGGCATGCCAAAAGCTTCTATGCGAAGCTTCAGGAGTTGCTCATACGGCAGTGGTTACTAGTCAAAGCAGAGATGAGTTCTTCAAGGATCTACGAGACAAGTATAAGAACATTTTTGCTATTTACCGAGCTTCTGCTAGTGGTTCAGTAAGTTCCCACGAGCCCTTACCCAAATTGGAATAAAATAAATACTGCCATCTGGCCTGATCTTCATTTAACATGCTGTATGTATGCTAATGGGCTTGACATAGGTCGCCGGCAAGTTTGATAGGGAGTTTATTGATCAGCTGCCTCCAAGTTGCAGGTACATTTGCCACAACGGAGCAGGTATGAAATTCCTTCTAACTGCCGGCAAATTGCAAGTGATCTATTTTGACTGACGCCTGGAAAGGTTATGACCCAATTGATACAAAGGCTTGCGCGAACAAGGGAATTATTGTGACCAATGCACCCGATCCCGTCACAGACGCCACCGCCGACCTGGCCATTTTTCTCTTACTTGGAGCCTTACGCCAATTGAGTCCAGCTATGGCAGCTCTTTGTGCAGGAGAATTCAAAAAAGGCGTCGAATTCGGCCACGACCCCCAGGGAAAACTCTTGGTCTCCTTGGTATGGGTCGAATTGGCCGTGCTATCAAAGCACGCTGTGACCCCTTCGGCTTAAAGACAGTTTACCACAATCGTAATCCTTTATCAGCCGAGCAAGCCGCCGGAACTGAGTATGTCTCATTTGAGAAGCTGCTTGAGGAAAGTGACATTATCAGTATCAATGTCCCCTTGAACGCAAATACGAAGTATCTGATCGACGCTGCGGAAATTTCCAGAATGAAGCCTGGTGTTATTATCATCAACACCGCTCGAGGTGCGATTATCAACGAAGCTGCCATGACTGATGCGCTGGAAAGCGGACATATTGGCGCTGTCGGCTTGGATGTCTATGAACGGGAGCCTGAGATAAACGAGAAGCTCATGAAACAGCCACGCGCTCTCATGGTTCCCCATGTGGGAACTCACACAACCGAAACACTCGCGAAGATGGAGACGTGGGCAATGGAGAATGCCTGGCGAGCAATTACTGACAAAGCGCTCTTGTCACCCGTTCCTGAGCATAAAGGTCTTTGCCAAGCTCAGATCAGATAGGTAGATTATCATGTATCTTTAGGTTCTATATGATAGCATTAAATGAATGATTGAATACTTGGAAACTCCCATGAGGGCTTTTTCTTTTTCTTTTGTCAGTTTCATTTATTCATTGTATTGATCCAAAATTCATGTTCATATTGAGAAAAGAATACACTCGCTCCATACAGTACTACAATTTCAATCTATCGTGCCGATTGAAAGGTAAAACACAACTTTTTAGTAATTGAAGGCTCATCCTGATAATTGAGACGGGACAGAGCTCAGATGAATAAAACGATTACACGATACACTCCATTCAGATGCTTGAAAATAAGCGATCAGGCTTTTGGTCAGAACATACATCACCTTTCCCGTTTCGGGAGGACTTCCAAAGTTATTCCTGAATCCTTCTCTAGTACACGCACCCCTTGTCTCTTCCTTTTCATCTTCGAAAGTACCAGTATAAATCTAACATCATCCAATTTGAAACCTCCAGGCTTCCAGAGGTTTTTTTTCTTACAAGGGATAAATCGACAGCCTGAAAGTTTCAAGCGCTTGATCTCTTCCCCGAATGACGGCGAGCCGAATGTTACGGCTGAACTTTCCACCGTATCGCTTCACAAACCACGCTCTGGTTAAGGCAAAGCGGAGAAGTGCCAGTGAGAAATATCGATTTGTCCATGAATCAAAATTCTTACAGACAAAATATCTCAAGCCTTAAAACCTGCACGATATACCTTGTTGTCCCAGAACTTGAACACGAATACCAGCTTTCAGCTTGACAGATTTCGGAAAAGGTACTTTGGCTTTTGTTGACAATGGTTAAGATTGCACTTATTGGGGCCGCTGGCCAAATCGGCACTCCTCTCAGTCTACTATGCAAATCGGTCAGTACTATCTCTACAGCTCGCCTATGTCTCGAAGCATTATGCTAAAATATTTTCAAAGAGTGATCTCTTCGATGAGATATCCCTATATGACCTGGTCCATGTGCCTGGTATTGCTACAGATCTGATGCATATTGATACCAGAGCCAAAGTTAGTGGATATCTTGCCGAGGATTCTGGTCTCAAGAAGGCGCTTACTGCCGCAGACATTGTGGCCATCACAGCTGGTATTGCTAGAAAGCCTGGCATGACAAGAGATGGTAAGAGATCAAGCTTGGAAGTCAATATCCCGATCCCTCAAGCTTACTGACGACGAATTCCAGATCTGTTCAAGGTTTGTGCTATACGCCACTTCAAGTGCACTCAAAGAAACGCCCGTTTCTAACTATAGCTTAGACTAACGCCAGTATTATTCGTGATATTTTCACAGAGGTTGCTGCAACGTGCCCAGGTGCGACATGCTGTGTCGTTACCAACCCGGTCAACTCGACTCTTCCCATCGCAGCTGAGACCCTGAAGAAAGTTGGTGTTTTTGAGCCTAGTCGTCTCTTCGGTGTAATTTGTACGTTGTTCGTGCCTCTACTTTTGCTGCCCATGCTCTCGGAAATGGTGCTAGCCCTAAGGACTTCAAGATTCCTGTGATTGGAGGCCACAGCGGAGCCACTATCCTACCTCTGTATAGCCAAGCTGAGCCCCCAGTCAATCTGAGTGAAGAAGTGCTGGCAGGCGTTATTAATCGTAAGTGTTTGCGATCCAAAATATCCTTTGCATGACTGACTGGTCAAAAAGGTGTTCAATTCGGTGGTGATGAAATTGTCAAGAGCAAGAATGGTGCTGGAAGTGCCACTACATGCATGGCATATGCCGGTTTTCGATTCGTTAAGGCGATATTAGCCGCGAAGAACGGGGATTCTGTAACGGAAGAGGCTTTTGTTTACCTTCCTGGTATCCCTGGTGGCAAGGGGATTGCTGCTGAGATTGGCGTTGATTTCTTCGCTGTCAAGATCGAACTGGGCAAGGTGGGCGCAGTCAAAGCACTACCCATTGGTAAGATCTCTGAAAACGAGAGCCAGCTCCTGGGTGTCGCCATCGATGATTTGAAAAAGAATATTGCTACGGCATTGTCATTCATGTCAACATAGATCTCTCTATGATTTTTTTACATGTCACTTTCGGATGAAAGTTTACTAGATGTAAAAATTATCTTTCTGTGAATATTTTGATGAATATAGCACATATTCCCTCAGCACTTGAGTGTTTAATGTCTCGTATATCTTTAGATGTGCCTGATACGGTACGGCTCTGTCCGGATATCACCAATGCCCTAAAGTGGCCTAGTAATCATGTTCGGTCCAATCCGGATACGCTCCATGGCATCTGACAGTTTCCAAGATCCGAGTGACTACATACCCTGGCTTCACTCGGTCCTCCCAATAACAAACACTGTCACCTTATGTGCAATCATCTTGGCAGAATTGTTCTGTCTTTGGAAAGACACTTCGTTGGGCTCCATATATGACCTCTGAGTTCATCTTGCACGGCCTAGAACACTCCAGATCTGTCAAATATCATAAGGAAGTAATCAGATGTATGATCTGCTTTTCATTTCAATGTAGTTTCCTAAAATTTCCAACTGTGCAAAGATCGGTATTAGAATTCAGGATTGTTGGATGCCAAGACTCGCATTGAATAGAACTGGATTCAAATAATGCCTAACCGGAAGCTCCTGGGGTCTGGGTCTGGGGCTCCAGCCACTGGTTCGGGTTGGGTTCTAGGACCCAATTCGGGGGTTGCGGAAACCTACTCCACAAACGTTATTGTTTTGGTGGGTGGGATAGCCTCTGTTTGGGCCTCGAGGTCCCGAGATCGTGGGTTGGGTTCGGGACTGAGTCAGCAAACTCTTAGCCGTCTGGGCGCCTGCGGTTTAGTACAGGCAGTTGGATCTGTAGCGGTTTTAGTGAAATTATCTAAATTAAACGTAACACATTTTAGTCTACCATGAGTCAATGGCGAAATACCTATCGAGGTATGCAATAATTGGCTCATATGAAAGTAGAAATAAGTTATATTCAAGTTCTGTATCTATCTTAGCGATTCGGACTCGACTCTGGTAAGTCCCAGGAAACCCCGAACCCAACACGAACCCATGAAGGTTGACCCATGGGTACCTAATTTAGTGCCAAGAGGTTAAAAATGCCAAGATTTCAATTAAACTGCATTCAAAGCCTGTTTTCAACCTTTATAAATGGTAAAGTCAATGTCTGTTCGATGTTGTATTATATGGGATGTAAAGAGATTCAAGTTATGATTTACGACAAAAGAAAAGAAAAGAGACCTCGGAGTTACCGAGCTTGTAATCAAATCCACTATGCAATCTACATCACGATTATCAAAAATGGGGTTTGCAAGTAAATTATCCATGAACATTTGAAGTGATGAGTTGTATTTTGAGTACAGACCTTGAATCTATAATCCATGGTATTCGCCGCATTTGAAGTCTAGTTACGAATTTCAGTCACTCAGGTCACGAGGCGTTCATAGTACCCTGGCACCTATAAGGCTATAACTGGCCAAGAAGATGGGCTTGCCATAGCAACGAGATTAGTGGATCCAAACAAATGGTTAGAGTTGATACATACTTCTGTCGCCGCGAATGGAGATACTAGGCTAAATCTACTAAGTACCAATACTGAGGTTGTCGGCTATAATGCCTTCTTCGCCAGTAAATCCACTTCATGCCCTCTCTAAAAGATAAATCTGATTGAATTATCATTCTAGACCTAGATCTAAATCTAACATAAACCACGGAACCCGTTTAAACAAGTACTTGTGACAATACCCACATATGCGCTATCCCCAAAAGCGACAGTAAGTTGTCAGTCCACAGTAACCCCATTGGCCACCATGAAAAGTAAGAATAGTCTCTTCAGATTCTAGTCGCATAATGGCATATGTACTACTATGTATGATCTACACACAACATGAGCGAGTCATAGACCAACAAATAGACTGGTTCTAGTCTCTAGGTTCATTAGAGGATGAATCTGTCAACTTCAAAGTCAATTCATATTCTAATCCGCCACTCAATTCTATATAAAGGTCAAGATATCGGAAGCTCATCAATATTCCTAGAACCTACTATGAACAAGCCACCTACTACATGATACAAACGTGAAAGAACATTTTGAACTGTTATATCAATCATTGAGGATGCTTCTCAAGAAGATTCTTCCCGTTTTTGCTATCGCAGGCATGGTCACTGCTGCTCCAGTTGAAGACCTTGAAGCGAGAGCAACTACTCAAGGCTACTGCGGGAACTCTTTAAATGCATGGTGCTGTGCCACAGCATTTCCTTTCAGTGTTTTCTTTATCCAGCAAGTTGGTTCAAACTGTGTTCACCCCAGTACACCCAGTAAGACATTTCTTAACCAATATGAATGAAGACCTGCTAATCAGCCATTACAGATGCAAATTCACCATATAGCTGTACTAATAAGCCCGGAAGATCTAGTTTCCTTTGTTGTAATAGCAACCAGATTACAGTGAGTTCAGATGCCTGCCTATATCTATCCATTCTATCAACCGGGGATTGATTTGAATTAACAAAAAATAGGATAATAAAGGCGGCGTCGTTTGCACCGCTTGAACTTGAAGCAAAAGGTCTAAGCTTATTTTAACTTAACAACCTTGGAAATTTGGCAAGACAATCTCTGAAGTCTTACAATATTGCAATCTTGTCTTTGGGAGATATCTATGTTCGGGATATGGATGGCTTAAGCCACATGCATGCGTGTAACTTGAAAAGTTGTGGCAAAAAAAGAATCGTTGCCTATGCTTTAGCCAGATGAATTAAATTATTGGACTACTAGTACCTAAAATTAGGCCATCTGTCTGATAATTCAATAGTTTTATCCTATTAATTTCCATTTCAAAATATCCGAGTCTTCAGTCTCAGGCTAGTACAAAGTCAGGCGAGTGAGATACTATGGATATGTAGTATTCAAGCACTTGAGACAATCCATTGTGAACTACTAGTAACATCCAAATTTGGAGAGGGCTCTCTTCAAGTTGCCTAAGATGGAGAGAAGCCAGTCGATAAATGGTGAGTCTGCTGGAGTTACAAAGCTGTGCAAGAACAACATTTGAAGATAAACATCCGCATTCATATCGATCGATACACATGATTGTCTCGATAAGGCGTGCGATATTCAAGTTTGCATGACTCTGATCGCAAAGAATAAGGATCTCAAGTTCGTGACATCTGATAGACCGAAATTCTTCAAATTTGCATATCCAGCGCGTCAAGAAACATTCCAAGGTTGACGCCAGAGTGACGAGTAGTCCTACTAGTAGGCTTCATGCTCTCCAATCTTCCGCAACGTGGCGCCTTAGTACCGGGTCAAAACTCAAGTTTGGATACTAGGCGGAATACATATTCCGGCTCCAGCCCAATCCATGCACAGTGCTGAACTTGAAACAGGCTCCAGGGCTACTAGTAAAGGAGAGGTTCGTTCATTGTAGCGAGAGGGGTTAGAAATTTTAGTTCATTGCGTAATGGAATGCTGTACCTAGTCTCAGGTCTCGCATAATAGGTATAAAATGACCCTTGTACTCCGTACGTTCCAATTGATCGCCAAGAACCTCAATTCCAAAGTTTTTGATCCCTTTCAATAAATAACTTGAACCTGAATCACCGCATCCACCATGTCGCACCTGCAGTATTACAGCTATGAGGGCGTTGGGCAGAAGAACAAGAAAGACTTCCTCTACAGCCAAGCTGTTCGTATTGGTGATCGAATCGAATGTGCTGGCCAGGGTACGTCCAATCCTCGCCCGGGCGTGATGTATAAACGAAATATCTGACCATTCTATAGGTGGCTGGGATCCAAAGACTGGTGTCTTCCACCGAGAGATCAACGCACAGATAGATCAAGCATTTGCAAACATCGACTTAAATCTGAAGGACGCCGGTGGGAAAGGGTGGGAACAAGTGTTCCGTGTCAACTCCTACCATGTCCCCATAAACAATGAAGCGCTCGATGCTATGGTACGGAATTTTAAACGCTGGATGCCGAATCACCAGCCTATTTGGACTTGTGTTGGGGTGACAAGACTGGGTGAAGATGATATGCGGGTAGAAATTGAGGTTGTAGCGCATGATCCTGAAGGCGCTCGGTAGGGTATCAATTCGCAAATAATGGAAATGGGATATGTACTTGAATCGTGAACCAACACCAAGCTGTAATTAGCCTGCCTGTCCTCAACCGCGCCCTCTCTTGCCTCCTCTTCCACCCCTTCCACCCCTCCCTCTTCCACCTCTTCCACCTCTTCCACCTCGCCCAGAGCGACTTGGAGCGGATTTCATAGAATGCAAATCCTGCTTGCTCAGATTGAGGGTTCCACCTGAGAATTTTCCAATCGAAGAACCTCCAATTCCCCGGTCTCGTTTCCCGGACCCGGAACTCGATTTGGTAACCTTGGAAGGTCGTTCCAAAATAATTCCATTCTCCTTGGCTTCAAGACGGCGCTTTGATTCCTTCGATGCGGCTTTGGCTTTGATGCCCTTTCGGTGCGAGGAAGGCATCTTTTGACTATACAGGGATGTCTTAGCACCGAGAGATTGCATGCGTAGGTCCAAGGCCTTCAAGCGATTTTTTCCAGTTGGATCGAGATCGGATGCATCTTCAAGGAGGTGGGATTCGCGTAGAAGTCTTTGTAGTGCGAGGTCATGTTTCAAGTTAACTGCGTCGTCTTGTTGCTCCTCTTTAGTAACTGGTTGCTCGGGTTTCTTGCTCGGGCCATCTAATGATGGTAGTTTTCCGCTCTGCAAAGGTTAGAACCAAAGTAGAAGGATATGATTGCAGAACATATTTACCAAAAATGCCTTGCGTGCTTTCTTATCCATCATTTCATCTGTCATCTGCGCGTCCTTGTGCTCAACAACTTCCACTTGAGGCATATCTTCGTCTTCGTCCGATACGCCATCCCAATCCTCGTTCTCTGAATGATTTTCATCCTCAAAGTCTTCATCATCTTCATCGGCATCCTCGTTGGAGTCAGAGTCATCTGCGGACTTGGAAGGCAAATCTAGCGGCTGAAATTGAGCCTCGAAGTATTTGCGGAAGATATCCTGCGCATTATCTGCTGGTGGAGGAGTTGTTTCTTCGGACTTTGTTGACCGAGACACAACTGAAGTGACCTTGCTTCGTTTCCCGGGCATAATGAAAGTAAATTGAAAAATGCAACCTGATGAATTGGTGATCTTTCATCTCCCCGACATCGAAGTTTTTTTTTTGGACCAAGCTCCAGGTCACGTGAGATAAGAGATAAGCCCCTCGTTATCCACGATGAAATCGGCATTTAGCTTCTTCATTTCATTTGCGACAATGACTAAATTCAGACCTTGCATTGACTTGCACTCGGGGCAGGTGAAGCAGATTGTGGGAGGTACTCTCAGCAATGTTGCCGAAGACCTGAAAACCAATTACGTCTCAAAGCTTCCCGCCGGCTACTATTCGGAATTATACCAGAAACATGATCTGCGCGGAGGACATGTGGTAAAGCTCGGTCCTGGCAATGATGACGCAGCCAAAGAGGCATTGAGCACTTGGAAAGACGGATTACAAGTTGCTGGAGGTATTACCGATCAAAATGCTCAATACTGGATTGATCAAGGCGCGGAGAAGGTAAGCTTTGCCCCGCACAAGTATGATTATGATATCTACAACGTCACAAGATTCAATTGATGCATGGAATTGTATTTGAATTTGATCTTCGCATATTTGCAAAGTTCTCTTGTTTTTTTTCATGATGGTACTTAAGGGTAATGCTAATCAAGGTTGATGGAATGCGGGACAGGTGATCATCACATCATTTCTCTTCCCATCAGGCAAATTCTCGCTCGAGAGGCTTCAATCAGTCCTTGCTGCTTTGGGCGGTGATAAGTCCAAGCTGGTCTTGGATCTTAGCTGTCGTCGTAAAGACAACAGTTGGTTTGTGGCGATGGATCGCTGGCAGACCATTACCGAAATGGAAATTAACGCCGGTATGACACGCGGATCGGGGACCATGGTGGATTCATACTGACTCATAAATCAATAGAATCTATTGCACTCCTGGAGCCCTACTGTTCCGAGTTTTTGATCCATGCTGCTGACGTGGAAGGACTCCAGCAGGGTGTGGATGAAGAGCTGGTCTCCAAGTTGGCCGAATGGTGCACAATTCCCGTCACCTATGCCGGTGGAGCTCGTAGTCTTGAGGACTTGGAAAAGGTGCATGTGAGCAGCAAGGGAAAAGTGGACCTGACCATTGGAAGCGCCCTGGATATCTTTGGCGGGTCTGGAGTGACCTTTGACGAATGTGTTGAATGGAACATGAACCATTGATGAAGACATGACCAAACCAATATTTCATTCATATCTCATTCAAAAAAGTTGTAAACAATACCATGAAAATAAGACACTTTTTGAAAGTAGTAACCTTGAAGTCTTTTGAATTCTTTTCATTCAGTAAACAAATAGATTGCTTGTAGTTAAGTATAGAAATCTACATAAATGCTGTGCTGTCCGAAAGCGGCTAGACGCAGGCAGCTCCGCCCGCCAACCTCCGTGATCTTAGACTCTTCCACCCCCAGTCCACCTCTCGATCGCTTTACCCCATACGTTCCTTCCACTGGGTCAGTACCTGGAAGACGTTCTAAGCGCATTATTATCAAACTTACGACACAGAGAATCACACATTCTCTAAGCTCGTCAAGATGAAGCCCGTTGTTTCAGCGTTAAACGCCTGGTCCTGGTACGATCTCCATCTTTGACAGGGCCCTGGACTTTACGGAAAGACTAGTTCTAACAATAGTTTGAAATCTAGTGTCATCATTTCAGTTTTCGCTATTGTCATTCTCTCTGTCCTCGGATCTCTATTCAGCGTACGTACGACCTGAAGAACAACCTCGTTGCCTGACGCCGGCATCATCTGCTACGTACCCAACAGCATGGCGGCACAATAGACATCCATATAATCCAGAGATTGGTTACTGACATGAATTTTACTGCAGAGCAACAACCATTCTTACACTGGAAGCGAAGGAGAGCCTGAAGATGGCCCAGCAGTTGCGGCCTCCATCTACGTTGCGGTACTAGTCTACGCTGTATGTTGACTCCCCCTTGAAGACTATGCCCAGGGGCAATATCAAGAAACTCAAGCTAATTCCGTCATTTGTAATCAGGGATTCCTCGTTTTCTGCGGATTCCAGGTCTTCCTCCATAGGCGTGCCAGCCGTGGTGGTGCCATATCACTCAATTAAATCCACAAAATCTCTACGATTCGTCTTGTTCGGTGTCTCTGAAGGTTTAAACGCGAGTGTTTTACATATCTCGGTCTTTTTCTTGGTTTATATAGCTATCAGGATTGGAGAGGGGCGGGATAGATCTGAAACGGATCAGCGGGCTGGAATTGCCTAGGCCTTTTAACCTCCTGATTAGGTCGGCGGCGTCCGCAGTTTTGCTACGAGGCAAAATGTCATTGGTTTTTTTCAAGGAATTCATTACTAGGCAGGTCCCTTGAAGTCCTTGAACAGAGTATCTTGATGGCTTTTGCTGTGCTAAGCGTGCTTGTACATAGAGTGCTCAGAATTACATGTTTCCTTCATTTTTCCACGCTATTGACTAGCGATTATGAACATTTCATCATTTCTCATAAGTATCGACAGAAATCACTTTTTGGAGAATGACCCCAACGCCAGTAATATGCAAGTTATTAAAATTCACTCCGCCATCCAATCAGCGGGGCGGAATTTCAACTTAGAACTCCTCATCCTCAAAAGGGTCCAACATCTTGGACATGTAAGGTCCATCCAAGGTGTAACCCAAGCGAGCATAGTAGCTACGCACACCAACGCCAGAGATGACGCTGATCTTACTGCTGCCATGCTCCTCGCGCGCGATACGCTCTGCTTCCTCCATCAACAGGGTACCGAAACCACGGTGCTGGAACTTCTGAGCATCACGCCCGTGGAGCGGCACAGCAGATCCGTAGACGTGTAGCTCACGAACAATACTGGTCTGCTGACCGGTGAACTCGGGGCGGAATGTATGGGTGGCACTGCACTTGCGCAGACGCAGGAGACCGATCAAAATATCCTGCTTCGGGTCCTCGTAAGCCAAGAAGGTTTCCCAGCCACCGTTGGCCGCGTAGTCGCGACGAATCAACTCAATCTGAGATGGTCGAATTTTGTTCTTCACTTCATTGATACCCACTTCACGGGTTCGGATATCACGGCAGGTTGTTCCAAAGTCCTTCATTCTGGCCAAAGCCAACTCGCGCAGGTTGCCGTTTTCGACACCAGAAGTGACTAGCGGCATGGGAATATCTCGCTGGACACGGTAGATACGGGTCCATGGAGGAATCAATGCCATGATACGAGCAACTAGATCGACCAAAGCATTGGGGGTGTAGTTCTTATAACGACCGGTGCGCCAAAGCTCGTAAAGGCCGGTACCTCGGATGACAAGCGTGGGATAGATCTTGAGACCATCGGTACGGAAATCAGGGTTCTCGAAGTACTCCTGGAACTGGAACAGGTCGCGCTCCATACCCACATTTGGCAAGTCAGGCATCATGTGGCTGACAACCTTGAATCCAGCATCCTTAGATAACTTGAAAGTCTCGGCAACAGCTTTAACGGTGTGTCCACGGTTTGTATCACGGGCAACATCCTCATACAGACTCTGCACACCGATTTCCAAGCGGGTACAGCCGTATCGAAGCATACTGCTCAAATGGGTATCCAAGCAATAATCGGGCCGGGTTTCAATTGTAATTCCCACACACTTGACATTGCTCATTTCTCCCGCCAGTACGGCCTCATCAACATTATCGGTTTGGTATCCACTCAGCGCATTGTGAAGCTGAGAGATGAAAGTGTCACGGTAGTCTTCAGGCAGAGACATGAATGTTCCACCCATAATAATGTACTCTACTTTATCCACGCTGTGTCCCAAAGCTTTGATCTGATCGACTCGTCCTCGGGCCTGCTCAAAGGGATCGTAACGAGCGCGAATCGCACGCATAGAAGTCGGCTCGTAACCGGTGTATGATTGAGTGGAATATTCGAAGTCGGAGTCAGGGCCACCAGGGCAGTAGACACAAATGTTACCGGTATAGGCGATGTGGGGGCATCGATGAGGCTTGCACATCACGGCGACGACGGCGATACCAGAAGAGGTACCTAGACACACAATGTAAGCGCGACCCTGGGTTTATTCAGAAGTAGTAACATACGAATAGGCTTCGCGATCAGCTTTGGCAAGATGTATTTCTTGTAATGTTCTGGCACGGCCGCAATAATGGCCGTGAGTGGCGGCTGGGTTGCCAAAGAGTGCTTCTTCGCCATCTGACCCCGCAACTTGTTCAGATTAATATCCTTCTTCGGCTTGGTAGAATCTCTCTGCGACTCGAATTCCTGGATGAGTACATTCGCAATATCGGAGCAGGCTCGCATGAATCGTTCATTCTCGGGGACCTTATTGGCGTTCTTCTTCGATGGCTTCTTCGACGGCGGCGGCGCCGTTACAGTCATGGTAGCCATGGTGAAATGGGATAACTATGAACCAACAATATTCGAATTATCTCTTAGTTGACGGTCACAGCTCAGAGGTGGGTTGGGTGGTGGGGGAACCTCGATTAGATAGAAAAAAAAGTTGGTGGCCGAGGCTGCCGTTGCCGTCTCTGTCTCCCTCAATCGGGTCCGCTTAAGTAAAGATTTGTCCCGAACGAAAACTCCCGGGCGCGCATCCCGATTCCTTGTTATATCTCAACCCCCCCGAATCAACCTTTTCTCTTTATCCCTCTCCCCTCCTATCCTCTCTCATAATCCTCTTGCAGTCATGCAGGCCTTCAGCCGTAACACCGTCTCGGCTCTCCGCAACGTTGCTGGCCAGCAGCGCCGGTCCTACGCCAACAGCTCTGCCTATGCCAGCACCGTGAACAACCTGCGCATCAACAAGGACACCCGTGTTCTGTTCCAGGGTTTCACTGGAAAGCAGGGAACGTGAGTATTTAATCTAAGCTATTTACTTACTCCGCGCAGAAGCGCTGACGTGTACTCTTCTGAACAGCTTCCACGCCGAGCAGGCTATCGCCTACGGTATTTCACCCTCGCGTCGCGATAGATGAAAAAGGACACACACTTACCCAACATAGGCACCAATGTCGTCGGTGGTACCAACCCCAAGAAGGCCGGCTCTACTCACCTTGACCTCCCCGTCTTTGCCAATGTCTCCGATGCCGTGAAGCAGACTGGTGCTACCGCTTCCGCCATTTTCGTCCCGTATGGATCCGTTACCAACCCAAGCTCATAAATCGACTAAATATGACTGACAAATCCTAGCCCCCCTCTCGCCGCCGCTGGTATTGAGGAGGCCATCGCCGCTGAGGTTGGCCTCGTTGTCTGGTACGTGTCCAAAGCAAAATATAATCATCCCCCAAAAAAATTCGGAGCTCCTAGAAGCACTTTGTACTAACATTAAATTCGCAATAGCATTACTGAGGGTATTCCCCAGCACGGTACGATCTAATCAATCAATCGCCCTATACAACACATACTGACTTATCCCCCTTTTCAGACATGGTCCGCATCACCGATATCCTGAAGACCCAAAACAAGACTCGTCTGGTCGGCCCGAACTGCCCCGGTATCATCGCTCCCGTAAGTGTGGACCTCCGCCCGATCCGACGTCATATTGGATATTCATATAGTTTCTAGGGTCAATGCAAGATCGGTATCATGCCTGGTTTCATCCACAAGCGCGGTCGTGTCGGTATCGTCTCCCGTTCCGGTACCCTGACCTACGAGGCCGTCAACCAGACCACCCAGGCCGGCCTTGGTCAGTCCCTCGTCGTCGGTATTGGTGGTGACCCCTTCTCCGGTACCAACTTCATCGACTGCTTGAAGATCTTCCTCGAGGACCCCGAGACCGATGGTATCATCATGATCGGTGAGATTGGTGGTTCCGCCGAGGAGGATGCCGCCGAGTTCTTCAAGGCCAACAACATCCACAACAAGCCCGCTGTTTCCTTCATTGCCGGTATCTCCGCTCCTCCCGGTCGCCGTATGGGTCACGCCGGTGCCATCGTCAGCGGTGGTAAGGGTGGTGCTGACTCCAAGATCGCCGCTCTCGAGGATGCTGGTGTCATTGTCGAGCGCAGCCCTGCCTCTCTGGGTAAGGCTCTGCTTGCTGAGTTCGTCAAGCGCGACCTTGTCTAAGTGGTTTAAATGCTTGTGACGTTTCATGCTCTTTTGGTGTCCTGGTTCTTGAGAAGGCTGGGAATCTGAGATATATCCATCATTTACGGTGGAATTTGGCGGTTCATTCTACCCACGCCGCAACTGTATTCTTTTCTACTTTGTGTTAGAGACCCTCGAAGAGTAATTATTTTGTAACTTTTCTTCATTCGTGTGCATTGTAATTTATTTAGTACCTGCTATATTCGAGTGATAGTTCAATATTTGCTGCTATTTCAAGATCCGAGAACGAGAACCGACTTAAGACTCAGAGTACGGAGTAGATACCAGACAGATTGATATCAAAGAAAATACTAATACATATGTATGTAGTATCCAGATGTCCGACACATGATGCGTTTGTTCAAATTACTAGTACATAGTGGTCATTGAGCCTTTCAAATGATGTTACTTATATCTTCAAGGTTATATTATACTGTACATCCCTGTCAGACAGTACTTCTCAAAGACTTGACAACATCCTCCGCATTAATAGCCTCACAGAACTCCCCATCTAAGCTCGCCACAGAAACAGCATGCACGGTCTCAGCATCGAATCCCCCCTTTCCAAAAGTCGCAGTTGCATCAGGAACAAGAATGATTCGCCCCTGTTCAACACGAATATCCTTAACATGTGTACCATCAGACTTGATCTCGACAGGCCCATCATCTAGTAAGCGGTCGACAACGCCCAAGTTCGCCGCCATGCGCACGGTGGTCGAGACGCAATGATCAGTCGTTAACCCAGCAATAATGATCTGACGAATTCCCTTTTCTCGCAAATGCGCTTCCAGGTCTGTTCCAATGAAAGAGGAGTTGACAGATTTCCAGAAAATGGGCTCTGAGCCATCAGATGCCGGCGTGGCAAAGGCTAATGGGCGGATTCCATCATTGGGGTGAGAAGGGTGTAGCAGGCTGCCAGGCGTTACTGATGAGTGGAAGATGTGAATGACTTCCATGAACGTAGATGCTGAGGATCGAGCTGCTCGGAATGCAGAGATCAGAGCTTGGATGTTGACCTCATATTGTGGGTTGGATCGTCCGGTACCCCAGTAGGAAAGGTTTTCCGGGTCACAGAAGGCGGATTGATTGTCAATGAGAATGAGAGCTGTTGGGATGTTCAGATCCACGGGTGCAGACATTTTGATTTGAGGATTCTTTAGCTCTGTTTGATTCAGTTGGTTGGGAAGTTGATTGTTTTATAGATAGTTCCAAGGTGATGATTATGGTGAGTCACGGATATTAATATTACTCTTGGGCCCGCTTCAACGCCCTTCATTTGACATCCGCTCCAGGGCTACTACTGACTAAAGAGGTTGACTAAGAATTTCCAAGAGATGATAAGAATATTTGTTTTTACCGGTTGAAAAGCCTTCAAATTCTATGGTCTAGATCATGGGATACATGTAGGTTATTCCAACTGGCAATATCCCTCTTTCATATAGGTATCTTATGTATACCAGTTGCCTGCATTCAACTACCTAGGTACATACCGGCTGGACTCTGTACGTATGCCAGTGATGATATGAATACATGATAGGGTTGGCTGGTCTCCATCTAGCAGAGCTTCCTCAATCATAATTCAGGTCCAAATGGAAGAAATCTGCGAGAGCTCGAGAAAGACACTTTGGGTGCTTGACTCCGTAGAAAAGATGTTACTGTATGTTGCATCCTCACTGGGAAATACCTGAGCAGTCAGCGTGCTCTCACCATTAAAGACCTCAACGCTGGCCCAATTCACCAGGATACGTAGATTTATCGAGCCATCAGGCTCCAATCTGCAGGGAGCAAAATACTTTCTCGGGAAAGTTTCATCGAATCCAACATCTCCTGACTTTCGTCGGTCCACAAATCTCTTTTGTGCTCCAAAGTCATATCCAATGCGTATTTGTTGCGTTAAATTGGAAGTGGCGTGGACAATGATACCGAACTCGCCCTTGCTTGAGCCGTTTTCCTTGACGCCTGAAAAGTTCAAATTGATGTCCAATGTTTTCCCAATAGACCCAAGGCTCTGCATTCCCATTTCGAATGATTTCCAAGAACGCGTGTCTGTCTTTTGATTTTGAATTGACTTCCAGTTCTCGTGCGGTGTTTGAATAAGAGCCACCTTGCCAGCAATAGTTCTCAATGACAATCTTCGAGGAGCTGCCATGGCGCTTCGCCAGGGATATGTCGGGATATTCTCTCCATATTGCCAGTTGTTCATCCAGCCGAGCTGAACATGATTCTTTGCGTCGAGGCCGTTGTAGGCAGTGGAAGCGTAGTAGTCAGGACCTCAGTCAGGCCAATTGGATGTCGTGTTTTCAGAGAAAAGGGAATCCGCATCTGGGATGAATGATGTTCCATTGAAGTCTCCAATAAAATATTGATCACCAGAGCCCACTGTACCCGGAGGGCCTCCTGGGTTCAGTCCAACAATCAGAACCCACTTTTGGGTGGTTTCACTGCCATCAAGAGGAAGTGGAAAGAGGTTGGGACTTTCCCATACGCCACCAACAGCGTTGGTAGGTCCAAATTCACTGGCGATGGACCAGTCTTTCAGATTGTCAGAAATCCAGATGACTAGCTTGTGTATCTCAGCTAGACTTGTGACAAGAATCCATTTCGCACTTTCGGCATGCCAAAATACGAAGGGATCGCGGAAGTTTTCGTACTGATCTTGGTAGGGCGAGGGAGGGTACTGGATGACTGGGTTGCCCGCATCATAAGTTTTCCGTCATGCCATTGTCAAGACTATAGGCAAGTGAATGAGATTCTTGGTCCCAAAGAGCTTTCCCTCCGCTTGGTAATGTTTGAGTCATCTCGTACTAAGTATGATCAGTTATTGTATGTTCAATGATGGGTGTGATAACAGCTTCTTACCTGGGATGTGTAAACAGCAACTATGGGGGTCTCTCCATTCGTCCCAAAGCTACTAGTGTTGTTGGTATCGACCACTGCGCTTCCAGTGTAGAACATTCCTGTTACATTTCCAGGATAACCTTCAGCGAGGAGAGCAACAGGATGTTCTGTCCAGTGAGTTAAATCTTCGCTTGTTGCATGACCCCACGACATGTTCCCCCAGGTAATCCCACCCGGATTATACTAGAAGTAAAGATGATACAATCCTTCATGATAAAAGAGACCACAAGGATCATTCATCCAGTTCTTCGCAGGGAGAAGTGAAATTGTGGCCTATAGGCCTCAGTATACAACCCCATAGTGGGTCCAATCCACGCAAAAAAGAACGACACTCGAGAGACCCCAAGCATTTTTAAGATTCTAATGGGATTGATATTTCTCATTGTCTACTTGAATTTGGGGGGGGGAAATGCCAGCTTTATGCCCCTCATATTACCCCGTGGGGCGCATCTTTTATGCTTCCTGTGAATACTCGGGCGTTTCTTCGGCGAAACCCTCGAACTATCCCCGCAGTCAAGGTTATAAAGGGTGAATTCTCGGCGTTAACTGATTCTATTTGTGCAGGACTTTTGACAATAATGATTTATTTGTTATCCTTATGACCTCATACCGGCAAAGAGTTCTTGCTTATTACTAGATACCTCTACCGGTCCACTAATCTTCCAGGATATCAACATGAGCCTATCGAGCCTTGCATGCGCATGCATCAGTCATGTATTCATGTAAGGATAGATCATAAATTGATTCTTTAAATAACCAAGTTAAGCTGACTCTAGAACTATGTCATAGAGCTCTCACACGCCAATCTCCGTGATGTGATCCTATGCGTCCTTCACATTTGAAGTGACGGTCTGTCCATAATCGTCCGGTGCAGCACGATTGCAAGGAACGCCGGAATCATCTTCATCCACAATATTTATACACTGATAGACTTCATGCTGGATATCAGTCCCATACATTGGCAAGCCCAACGTACTATTCACAGACTGAAGCTCGATATCCTCAAACTTGATCCCAGGACAAGGGTGTACGTCAGAGCAGTATATCGAAGCCGCGATATTGTATCGAGAAGTGCCTTTGATATTCGACCATGTCACATCCTCGATGGCCATCTTGGATGTATTGCAGTTTTGTCCACCTTCAGTGTAAATGCACTGAGAGATCTGAATGGGCAGCGCGACGTTGGTCAACTCGAAGTTGCGGTAGGTGATATTCTTGATCAGGCCACTACCGCCACCTCCACTGTCCCCATTAGAGCTTACATCTTCAACAATTCCTTGCCATGTCTTGATGAATGCACCCTCAATACAATTCAGACAGCGAACAGCTTCAAAGGTGACGTTTTGCACGTAGTCAGGCATTGTGGGATATTGGCCGACAGATCCGATTGTCATGCCATAGTTTCCGTGACAGGTGACATTCTTAAGGTGCAGATTGGTGGTATTGCCCTTAGCGGCCACACAGTCATCTTGGTTGGTGATAACTGCATTTTCGACCAGCAGAGTATCACTATTCCAAGAATCATATCCGTCGGTATTGACAGTGCCCCATTCATCACTGCTTGTAGCATTCACGTAAAGGTTTGTGATAGAAAAGCTTTTGCTGTAGGACACGAAAGTAGCCCAAAACTGAGGTTGAATGACAATGAGGCCATCCACAAGTAGGTTTTTGGAGTTGATGAAGGTGATACTGATAGGTCGACCTGGCTGGTTACTTTGATTCCTGTTCTCGGTGTACCAAGCCTGGCCATTCCCATTGTACCAGCCTCCTTCACCACGGAAAGTGACATTGGTTCCGCCAAAGAGCCATGCAGTGGACTGGTTTTGGAAGACCACAGAATATGAATGGGAGAGCCAGTAGGAAATATCGTCAGAGAATAGCAGCTCGCCTTGCAGTGAGACATCACAGTTCTCGAGATTTGTGGTGTTCAAAACGGAATTTATGTTGAAGGTATTGTTGGAGAAAACAATTCGACCATCGATACCGCATTTCTGGAATGCCTTATGAATTGAAGGTGCATCATCCGCAGGTCGCCCTTTATGGTTGATAGACTCAGGATAGAGGGTACAGGTGTTCCCCTTTTCATAAACCACGTACCCGGCTGTCAAAGACGCCAGGGAGGCGACTGGTATGAGGAGTGATCGCAGCTTCATAGTAGTCACTGATGCTCTTACTGGTAGTAGAGGCTTCCAGTTTGTATGTTGTCTACGACCTGCCAGTGTTTCTAGTGAGATGGATGAGAAAACAAATCTGCCAAAATAATTTTAATCAAGGGGCATCTACATGAGATACTAGTACTTGTGAGATCTATGCGCAGTGTTTACGAGAATGACCATTATTTACCCCACAGAGGTTACATCCAATGTTCCACTTATTGGCTCAGCTTTTCTTGATATGTGGCGGAAGTGCGCTTTGGTCGGTGGAAGTTAGCCCGAAATGGCAATTCTGGAATTCTGCCGTTCTTCCTCTTTCCAGCACTGGATAATTCATTTGCAAAAGCGATGCAAGTAGTCTCAAATTTTCCTTGATGTATCCTTGCTTCCACTTTAGCACTGGTATTGGTCATTATTCCCCTGGTCGATTGTAGAACGTTTGAGGTAGCAGCCCTTTGAGCATGAAGTGATGAGTCCACAGACTCCATATTGTAAATTTGTACATATAACCATTCATATCCCAGTTCACAGATCGGATTTAGGACTTGAAGTATTGATATTGTAAATAAACGCGAGTTTCATGTGTATCTAGGTGAAGCAAGATAAAAACCAGGAAGCTACCAAACAGCAGACTTATGCCAGAGCGTTGTGAACTTGAACATAGTAATCCTTTTGAGAATCCACTAATTGTGTCAGGTATCAGATTCAAACTATGAAACAACAGAAGAACATAACCGAAGTGAACCATACGTAAGTAATTTATTTGGTCGTCTTTTAGCGAGCTAGCATCTGGCACTGTTCGGAACCCCTGTGCTCGGGGCGGTGCTGAAAGACTGGTCAACGAGAACATCAACGGGTACTTGACCAACTATGCTCGAGTATTCTCTATGAAATACTGGTAAATAATGTAAAGAGGACTCACCTGAATAGGTCTGGGCAATCAAATAAGGTGGCGTGAAGCATGCTCCTCCCTGGGGCGGCATAGTAATAGGCCGTCCGAGACATGCTGCCATAGCCTCATTGATATCGATGCGATTTCCTGTAGGCTTTCGATGCTGGGACAATCCACTATGTATTGGGTCTCCCTTCTCACGAAACTTTTTGTCAAAATGATCATACAACCCAGGCGTGGTTGAGAACCCTTTCTTTCCACACTCGGGGGCAGGGCAAACGTAGTTAAGTGGTTTCGTCTCGGCCATCTCGCGGTAAAAGGCCAAAGCGTATCGAGTCCGATCTAGCTCTGCAAGTGTCTCATCGTGGCGGGTTGCCGATAGAAGGAGCTGGGCCGATAGACGAACGATCAAGAATGTAATGTCGGGACCCATGAGAGTTGGTTTCTCGATCCAGATCGATTCACCGCAGCTCATGAGGGTATTGTTCATCGCGGGTCTGTTGCCATGATCTATGATCAAGGGGGTGTATATAGCGGATAACAGATTCTTGGGCGTCTTGGTACGGCGCGTCGTACGAATAAGTGCATAGTCCGCATACTGGAGCGTGGTTTAAAGCGCTGCTTAGCATGCACCATTTATGTCAAATCTCATGGAAGGGTTCATGTACGCCTTGATAAATCACTTGACGAATTTCTAATGTAGCATCGTTGATTTGACCTGCGCGAATCTCTATCACTCCGCTCTCATTATCGTCCGTGATAATGGCATTTCCTCGTAACCAGTGCTCCATTTTCGAAACCACGGATGAGATTTGACCCTGTTGCCCATCGGAGGATAGGCGTTCGAGATGCTCAAAGGGTGACATATCCGTGGCTCCGTGAGCCTTGTGTTGAAATAGTCGCCTTTTTTTCTTCTCTCGTTTGGATCTTCGCGTCCAAGCGGGAAGAACTCTGCCCCGCTGAATGGTGTGGGGGCGTTGCGGATCTCCCCTGAACACGCTGAGTCAGCGTAGTTTTTGTTTTGATTTTGTGATTTTTATGCTGTGTGGCACCTGGTCACTATACACTTGGGCATAAGCGAAGTGATTCCGGCTGCTTGCAGAGTCAAGATGGGTGGGGACTGCTACCCGCGCAACATCCACAAGTTACTTAACTCCTCGGCAGATAATCGTTCATTTGAGTCTCCGATATTGACCCCTTTAATGAAAAATCATATTTCCTCCTCTACCGGTTCAAAGTTTCGATGTCACTTCCCGGATATAGCGCCTGCACATGGAGAGAGAGAGAGTCAAGTGAGGGACAACAGCGATCATGACTAGTACCCTTCAGGGAGACAAAATCCGAGCGCGAACTTGAACTCTGAAAGTGGAGATATACTTCAAGCTGAGCTGAGTACCGAAAAGCTGGTTAATGGTATCTCCGGAGAAAGGAGAGCCTATTAAAAAAATGTGACTTATCGATGTCTTCTCACCTTAGACTATCAAGGCAATATCTCCTATCAAGCCATAGATGCGCCAAGGATCTAAATTCAAGCCATGTTAAGAACGAACCTCTTTGAATGGATTCAACTCGGCCCGTGGGTGGGTCTTCCGAATTCCCGTCCCAGAACTTGAGCACATTGGTCCCATGAATATTTGAAGGATTCCTAGCTGAACGCTTGTCCCAACTTGGTACATGGCGGTCAGCATTTAGTGGCTGAGGAATCGCGTCTTCAAGTCCCGAGGTCGCGTTGAAGACTCCGTGCATGTCGTCAAAAAGTACTCTGTCACGACGTGGACCATGAAATTACTCATATCACTTTCTGCTCAAAGAGTCATGAATGGTGATCACACGGTTTAATCCATCACAAGAAATTCCAGGAAGTAACCTCTCAAATATGACCCAAAATTGATACTTCAAGGGTCCAAACAAAGCGCAACCCAAGATCATCGCTCCCATCAACTACATTGATCATCTTCCTGTTATCACATCAAACCCCGCATAGTAATTTTTGGTCAAGGTAAAATTAAGCTAATAAAAAACATCAGATCATCAGAGCTTTACATCAGAGGCGTCTGAATCCATGGTACTGATATCTCGAGCTTCTTTGAGACAAAGGCCGAATGTCCGAGCTACCATGGACCCTTTCAATACCCTGGTCACTTGAAATTTGATCAAAGAATCTCTTTTCGTGCCAAGGTCTGGGCAAAATTGAAGCATCGGGAAACAACGTCACGAGTTGTTACATCGAGACAAAGGAAGCAGTATCAAGTTATGAGCCCTCGAACCTCAAGTATTAGATAAAAGCCCTATTCTGACTCGGAGAATTCAATCAATTTCCTCAATCAATATCCCCTGGAAAGCGAAGTCCTCATCATCTCAACATTCATCGATTCATCATGGAGCTTCCTACCTTGAGCTTGCTTATAGTTGTTGCCCTGGCTGCATTGGCAAATGCACACTGTGGTGTTGGTATGATTTCACTCCATATGTACAAATCGAAATCTGTATATTCTTCGCGGGATCTCAAGTTTTCTAACGTTAATAGATGTTGCCGTCTGCACTATGGGAGCCGATCCGGAGTCGTGCATCGTCACCTGTTAAAGGCCAACCTTACGATTTGAATTTGTTGGATAATCACGTACACCCTACGCCATAAGTGCTTACCTCTGCTTTATACGCTTCTTCAACTTTTCGCAAGTCCTCACAATTGCCTCGGCTCGACTATTGATATCAACGAGTGGCCCACGTCAAAAGAATGGATACCGGAGCGTGCTATATGGTCATCGGTGGCAAATTTTGAAATCATTATCATTGTCATGTATCTCGTGCTTGAATCTATTTATCTGAATGTATCATCTCAATTCTTCAAGGCCTGAGTAATTTTCCCAATAATCATGCTCGAATATTCATTTATCTCTTCCCAGGTGCGAGGGCTCTGTTGAACGCCCTCGAACCAACTCTTGAGTAAGAAATCACGAAACACGCAGAAGTCGAAGCCGCATTCTCCCATAATCAAAAGTACTTGCAGACACCAAAGGAATTTGTCCGCATTTCGACACCGGATGAAGGTCTTAGTAATATGTCCTATGCTCACACAAACAAAGCAGACTCCCCATAGATTCATACTATCTTGTAGACAATATGGTATTGTGCGGACTATCATCTCAGCGTATAGTTCTGAGAGATCCAAGCTCGAAATATTAGGAGGGTTGTTATAAAGATTTGGGTTTTGAGGTGGGCTATCGTAGAGATTCGGATATTGGGGAGACCCGCCCTGAGAATCCTCGTCTTGAAAAGGAATGTGACAGACTGGAGATATCTCAGATACGGCAGCAGCAGCGAGTAATTTGACTTGGTCGATCAGAGTATAAAGGGAAGATAGTGACATCCAGAACATCTGATGTAATCTGGCATCATCAAGTAAACGAAAACGATAAGGTGTACCGAACATGCGATCTATAGGCGGGACCCAAGATTTTATTTCACCTGAAAGAAGTAAGTTAAGAGAAATATAGCTGAGATATGAGATTAAACAAACCTGCTTTAGATGGAAGCGGACCTCTACCTGGATACCAAAGATGGCTACCGTACCATTCCAGCTGCCTTTTCTCAAAGATAAAACATTTATCAAGTAATGTTTGAATGGCGTTAGTATCGGAGAGATTGACTGAGTTTGTCGATGCAGAAAGTTTGTCGATGCAGAAAGTTGCGAAAGATCAGCGAAAGCTTTGATAGATCGATCATTGGACCTGTTGCACCGGGTTCCATTTCCCAATAAATTTCTTCTTGCATCATATGCATGCACCATGTGAAGACCTGCAGTTATCTCGCAGTAAGCGAATATTCTCTTTTTATTCCATAGGCGAAGACATACCTTTTTGGTCATTTGGTGTTGGTTGTATATAGCAGCAAGAACAGGATTGCTGCGAGCGGTTATCTTGGGACGATAATGTTTTAAGACTGTTTTAAATCCTTCCACCTGAGCGAGCCATGTTTCAAAGCCAGATGGGGAGTACAATGTCTATCATTGGACATTAGCCAGTAGTTTGATGAATTTGGAGCAAGAATATTCACCTCGATATCTTGAAAAATCACACCCGTGTAGATAATGTCCTCATGATAGCGATTTCGGCTTATCATATCTGACATATGTTGAATAGAGCCATTGTATAGTTCCACTCCATGATTGAATATGGCCTTGTCACTATTAATCTTTCCGACATAAATGCATGATAATGCCGAAATCGCCTTCTCGAGCATCACGGTTTTCTTGGGCTGCGTCGAGATGGCAGTGATGACATGATGCCAAAGATCGACAGTGGAGCGTGCCTGGAAGCCATGGGGGAAGTAAATGTCAAAAAAGGAATTAAACATATGACTCCGCATCATCAGTCCCGATTTCACAATCTGAACGGGCCCAATTTCCCCACTTTTCCGATGAGTTGACCTCACAATAGGGGCACTTCGCGTTGACGCTGAATCCATTTTCTGCTTCCTCTCATGTTCTTTTAGGTCTTGAAAAATGAAAATGTGACCTCGCCGGTAGCCTGGACACTGAACTCGATGTTTGACACACTGTCCACATTGTGGCTCTTTTTCGTCGCACTGTAGTGTATTCTTTTTCAATACTGGGCCGAGCACGGCTGGAAGGTGGAGATTGAACCCACCTTTATTTTGCGCTTTTTACATGTACCACACGCCTTTGGTTGCCAGGGCTTTCCAGCCATTTTGTTCAAGCCAATTGACCCAGGTTGAGCGTATATTTTGGGTCATGTTATGCGTAGGAAATGGGAGCTTGAAAGAATTAAGTGAGGGGACGGAAATCGGGGATGACGTAGCTTCAGTTCTCATGAACCTTGGAATAGATTGGGGCCTAGCATTGAGACAGTCAACTGGGAACCCTCTAGAGCTGTGTATGCGGAGTAAAGATTCTCCATGCTTGTATTCAAATTTTTTGTTTTCAAAAATACGATATGCAGCCCCAGGTGTCAGTGTTGACTTTCAAAATTGAAATAGATATGACCGTCATTCAAAGTATGATTCTGGTTTTTCCTTTTTGATTGCTCAAGAATAATTAAGGACGAACCTTCGACTATTACAAGGTTCAATCTTAATCACATAAAAGCCCCCTATCCGTACTAGTGCAGGGTATAAATCCCTGCATGTCGGTGCCCAGGTGGGCGGTCAAGGAATTACTATATTGACCCTTTTCACAACCTCCTCAGGTTGGATATCAACTTGAACTAGTACTCCATATAGCACTCGAGCTCATGAAATTGACGCGTCATCTATACTACCCTAGTCTGGTTATTCGTCCAAATGAGAATTTTGAAAATCTTGGCATCATATTAGCTCTGAGATCGAGCTATGCCACTCACACTAGTATGTACTACGTTCGACCAGTTGACCTCTAGGGACCATTCCAGTCGCTCCAGTTCAAGTTCCAATCCTGAGCATGTGTATACATTTGGGATCAGAAGGCCATTGGGTCCTGAAACATTCCAAGTTTAAGCTATCACGGCAGATCATCCTCGCATATACGGAGTATGGAAAAAACTGTTTTTTTTCTCTCTTAAATCCGAGAGACAGTGGGTATTTGCAGTGACGTAGATCTCCACATGTGCAGGAAATTAAAGCCTCCTTCAAGCTTAGTATGGGGCGCGTTTTGGCCCCTCAGGATGTCAGCGGTTGAATGTTTTGAATATGTACCCGAGAGCCTTGCATTAGACGCAAGTGCAGATTAGACGAGGATTCCTGGAAGCTATGCATAGCCATAGCAGTCAATGTTTGTTGGTTCAAATTGATGTTGATGCAAGCGCTGAGAACCTGCCCAAGTGATATGCTGGCTACCTGGTCATCTTCAAAACTTGAAACATTGAAGATATACCAGTTGACAATTTCCATCATCTTGGAAGATGTCAGCGCTCTATACGCGTCCTCGTTTATTTTAAGGTGTGAAATTACTCCATATCCGCCACTTCGTCAATCGTGGTTCGTTGGATCTGAAATTTCTTATTCTCCTGCCTGTGTTGGGTGATAAAGGGGGAAAAGGTGGATAAAGTCAGGCATAGTCAGGCACAAGTGACCTCTGACCTCAAATTTTCCGATGGATCTGCTCTTTGTTTATGCTCCAGTTTTCTCGATTATCTGCGGCTCCATCTGTCCTCCAACGTTTTGTCTCAGTCATATACTCTCAGACCACCTCTTGTCGATAAGCGTTTCTCCCTAAACAAGCAACACTTAAGATAATCGGGTAACAAAATGATCATGGAAGTGATCAGGCCCGCTTGGCGCGATGAGATCGTCCGGTCTATTGTCTCACATCCCCGCTTAACTTGCCGAGCTCAGGTACACCCCTTAACCAAGTGGAGTATAGAGGGTCTGATCGGCGTCAATTCAGCAACATGAGTGGTTCGCAACTTCCAACTCCACTTCCAGTTGGCATTGCTTGTATCCGTCGTTTCTTAGAGGCGGGTCAACTCTCTGGGTCAATGAGGTGATTCTGGGATTGCACATCCTAACTTCCTGTGCCTTGTTGGTGGGTATCGGATCTAAAAATGTTGGAATCCACCTTTTCTTGTCAACCCAATCAGTGAAGCCATATGAGATAAAGCAACTCCTGTGTACGCGCGGAAACGTGGAAACCATTGCGGGTTGGCTCCATTGTTTGAGAAATCATTTTCCAACATCGTACGGAGTACGGAGGAGAAACGTCACTCTTTCTTGGCTCTGCATGATGGATCAGTATAAAGCTGATCGCAGTTCGCCTTGATCGACATTTCCATCAATCAGTCTCTCATTACCAGTCACTCCTTTATCAACCCATACATACTATATTCAAACTATCAAGACTCGACGTCATTTCTCCAACCCAATTATCAACATGAAGTTCTTCGCCCCTCTCGCTCTTTTGGCCGCCACTGCCCTCGCTGGCCCTCTCGGTGTTCGCTCCTCTACCAGCGAATTCAAGCTCAAGACCCACGGTGCTACTATCGACTCTCTGAATGACCTCTACGTCTACTCCTACCACACCGGAGCCGGTCTGAGTGACGCCGTCCTCTCTAACACCTCCTCTGAGGCCACTTCCTTCTGGATCACCAACGGCACCGTCTACGCTGACCTCGAGGACTCTTACTCCTGGGGTCTGTCTATCAACGGTGACACCGACGAAGCTTGTACGTGATCAACTATGTTCAGATTTTCAATATTGGGTATACTCTAATCATTATATAGCTTGGGAGCCCGTTGTCATTGACGCTGATGGTGGCGAGTCTGGATACTCCATCTCTCACGGCAAGTTGATTGGTTCCGCCGAGGAGGAGTTCGACGGCTGGCTCGGTAAGTTGATATGACCACTTGCTATATGTTTACCTCATCTGACGTTTTGCTTTCCTTTAGTCTGCCCCTGGTACCACAACGCTCCCCAGCTGTTCGCTCTTGTTTCCGGTTTCAATGCCAACATCCCCTCGAGCTGCAGCAAGGTCACCCTCGAGGCTGTCTACTAGAGGGTTTCATAGATGGCACTTGAAGCATAACTATGTTACTCGTAATGGTTAATACAACTCGTTCATGTGTCCTCGGTTCCTGACCTAGAGTCTATTCTATTGATGGTTTAATAAATTGATCATCATGTCATTGCTTTTTTATTCATACATCATGAAGGGATATCATTAGGAAGCTGCCACGAGACTGGGAGATTCCTCGTCATACCACCGCTTATCCATTCCAGCTTCTAAGCGAGCTTCCTCATTGAATGGTCCTCGGATAGGTCCTCGGAAATGCTTCGACACATTCGAACGGAAGACCTGCACTGGGTCGGTGCCCTCTTCATTGCAGATCCAGGTCAGCCACCTGTGGCCAGTAGTAACATGAGTAATTTCGTCGTGGTGGATGATTTCCAATGCTGCAACACTAGGGTCATCTCCAGAGTTGCGGAATTTTTGGATAGTCATAGGATTAACGTCCAGACCTCTAGCTTCATGAACCAGGGCAATGATACTGATTCTGGCACGGAGATCGTATGCTGTTTCCTGAGCGGAGAGCCAAAGTGTGTGGTGAACAGGCAGCGCTCCGAAATATGAACCCAATTCCTCAATACGGGCTCTGAGAAGAGAGAAGTGTTTCGCCTCGTCGCTTGCAACCTTCAACCAGTCATGAAAGTATGCTCGTGGAAGCTCCTGTGAGGTTTTCTCGGTTTGAAACGTAGCAAATCGCACACAGATATCGATAGCCAGGTCAATAGCCCATAATTCAATATTGGCTAATGCATGCAACATAGCAATCCGGCTCTTCAGTGTACCACCTTTCCCTGTCCTCGGCATAGCTCCGGCCTTTAATTCGATCATTTTCTCACGAGGAGGTTGTTCTTCAGGCGCCGCGACAGTACCTCTGCCAAGTTCCATAGGGGAATCAGATCCCTCTCTTTCGGTGAATATTGAGAAAAGATGAGTAGTCAACTCGATTTTATGTTCCGGGTTAGCGGTATCCAAAATATGAACCGCCCAGTCACAAAGTGTCGCCTTGTCATCCAGATAACGAGCCATTCCAGGGTCCACTGCTTTCACAGGTGTAGGTGCAATCTTTTGTGATGATCGTCCATTCTTCAATTTGACCTTTTCGCTGACTGGCTCAATCTTGGCAAGTTCCACAGCTGATTCATCTTCAATAGGGAAATTCAACAGGACTGATTCCCCTTGCACATCGATCGGGTATGTACAGGCTTTGATACCGATGCTCGATTCACCGGTCTCCACGTTAAAATCGTAGGCATGCCACGGGCAGCTGGCCACATATCCTGAATCTTCAATATCAATTTGTGAGTCCACCATAGGACCTCCTGCATGGGGACATTCAGCCTCCATGGCAAAGTAAGACCACCCATCCACTTCGTTGGGTTTTGACGCGGAGGGGTCAATTGACGGCAGGCGAAATAGTACTAGTCGCTTTCCGGTGGACAGATAAACCACATATCTAGCCTGAGTAAAGCCAGACAAGGGGCCACAGTTGATAATCATTTTGAATTTATGGACCTAAAATGAATTCCGCCAACTGAAGATAGTCGTCGTCGTCGTTTCACGTGTTTTGGATTTTTGATTTTTTTTTTCTTTTTTGGAGGGGAGGCCACGTGAGATAAGACTCACTCTAGCGTGGCGATAATAACTGATAAGGATCGATAAGCACTGATAAGGATGTATAAGTCGAGATAACCTCAAGTTTACATTTCAGTGTATGCCCAGATGATGATATTCAAGATAGATTGATGCTTGAACCAATAAAGAGGGCTGTATATTTTTTCAAATTTTACAGAGAGGTCGATAAGATTTGGAAGATAACAAGACAAAATTGCGGAAAAAATAGTCTCTTCAAAGGCGAAACATCTGGAGTAAAATCAAGTACGCGACGGCTTGAACTGACATCAACTTCAATTTTGAGATTATCACTGTCGACTGGACAAAAATTAGAAATCCTCAATCCTGGCACTAGTGGAATGTTGTGATTCAGGTTGTGTCTCAATTTTCACGTGCTGGTCAGTCGGAGTCAAAGTTGTGGTTTCATTGTTTGCCCAAGATCAATCTCTCGCTTCGCCATCTTTCCCAATTAGGAAGTGTATGATCTTGGGGCCTGCGTGATCTTGCTGCCTTCCCCCAAGGTATAAATTCATGAGATCTTCCCCCATTCCATTTCTTCTTCCTTATTTTCCCCAGCCCACTTCCACTCCTTCTTACTTTCATCCATCCACTCATCCACTCATCCACTCATCCACTCATCCATCCATCCATCCATAAACATACTCAACCAACCCCTCCGGTGAGCCTTCCGTGCCCATGGTCTCATCCTGGGATTTCTGTATTTTTATTGCTCTACGGAGTCCTGCGGTTACTAGTAGCACTAGAACTTCAAGTCAATCGTGCCAGTAGTACTGAAAACAAAATACTAGTACATAGTATATAAGATTCTCTTGTCGGTAGTGTCTTGAAGTTCAGGTTTAAGGTGAAAAACCTAGAGTTATTTTATTTAGCAAGGTTTTTTCAATTTCATTTCAAACAGACATAGGATATAACCTTGGAAAGATATTGGTTTTATCTAAATTTGAATCATTTCTAAAGCGTGTGTGGTTTGTTTCTGAGCGTGGGCTTAGACTATTACAACCTTGGAAAGGACGGGTGGGGAAGGCGCAGCCCTTACTGATACCCACTTACTCCCCGCACCATAAACTTCACCTGGGCAAGTCTCCATCCACTCACAATCTTGTACCGATACCAACATCATGGACTCAACTGACCTACAAAAGAAAGTTGGCCAGGTATGCAAAGGAAATTCTTCAACCGGGTATCGATTGAACTAACATTCATCAAATCTAGCTGTTCGCAGTGGGGTTTCATGGTCACGAACCAAGCCCAGAAATCAAGACTCTGATTCATGAATACCATGTTGGGGGGATCGTTCTTTTTTTCTCGCAATTTTCAAGATGCTGCTGGACTTCAGGTGAGATCTTCTACTATTTTTATCTCTCTTTTTCTACATGCATGCATACTGATAATGTGTGATAAGGCCTTAACCTTGGCGCTTCAAAATGAAGCACGACAAGCTGGGCATGAACGGCCTCTACTCATCGGTATTGACCAAGAGAATGGATTGGTTACTCGAATCTCTCCGTCAATTGCCGCCCAAGTCCCAGGGCCGATGGCTCTTGGAGCTACTCATGACCCCGCCCTGGCCTTGCAAGCAGGGAATATCACGGGTGAGACGCTGCATTTCTTCGGGATCAATATGAATTATGCGCCTGTTTGTGATATTAATTCAGAGCCGCTGAACCCTGTGATTGGCGTTCGTAGCCCTGGTGATGACCCAGAGTTTGTGGGTCGATTTGCCAGTGCAACAGCGCAAGGTCTTCGGGAAAAGGGAATTGTTCCCAGCGTGAAGCATTTCCCTGGGCATGGTGACACTGCCACTGACTCGCATTATGGACTACCAGTTATCCCAAAGACACGCGATGAACTAGAGCGATGCGAATTGATACCATTTCGAAGGGCAGTCGCTGAAGATATTGAGACAGTCATGACTGCCCACATCTCTCTACCTAGCATTGATGACAAGCTCCCCGCAACGCTGTCCCCGAAGGTTCTTGGAATATTGCGAAAGGACATGAACTATGATGGAATGATTGTTACTGATTGCCTTGAAATGGATGGGATTCGGGCTACTATTGGCACCGAGAAAGGCTCCGTCCTTGCTCTCCAGGCTGGAAGTGACAGCATCATGCTGTGTCACACATTTGATGTGCAAGCGGCTTCTATTAAGAAAGTTTGCGAGGCTGTTCAATCCGGTGAACTTGGAGAAGATCGGCTGGATGAGGCCTGTCGCCGCGTTTCCGAGGTCAAAGACAGATTCTTGAATTGGGACACTGCTTTGCTTCACAGAGATCTTACAGAGCTTGAGAAATTGAGCAAAACAGCCTCGCCGATGTGCAACGAGATCTATGAACGCTCTGTCAGCCTTGTTCGTGACAACACTAGCTCTCTTCCTTTGTCGAAAACAGCTACAATCGTGCTGCTTTTTCCAGGTAGTACTATCCCCGTGGGAGGTGCTGTCGATGGCGAAGGGATGGGGCGACAAGGCGCATACAAAGCTTCCCCATATCTTGAGATACTTCGACGCCACAACCCGTCTGTCACAGAAATCAGATATAAAGATGAAGGGCTATCTGAACAAGAATTGGTGGACGTCGAGGCTGCGGATGCGGTCATATTTATCTCAATAAATGGAGCTGAGGCGCCTTATCAGCAAAAGCTTGGCAATGAGCTTCCTCAGTATGCTCGATCATTGGTGGCTATTGCTGCTTGTAGTCCATATGACTTTCTTGAGACTCCTGAGATCCAAACATATCTCACAACATATGAACCAACTATCGAAGCCTTCACGGCCGCTGCGGCAATTATCTTTGGTCAGAAGAAACCACAAGGCTCACTTCCCGTCAGCACCAGTACGACAAAAACACGCAATGCGACAATAACCCCATTCAATGAAAATGATTCAGATGAAGCTGTGGCCTTATGGAACGCAGTATTTCCAACCTATCGTCTTCCCGATGAGGACTTGCATGATCTGATAAATGTGAAAAACGCACATCACTTTGTTGCTAGGGATGGCTCAGAGCTTGTTGGTATCTGTCTTGCTTATATCAACGCTTTCGGCCCACCGTCTACAGTGCATATTGCAGCTCTAGCTGTAGCTTCTCAGCATCAAGGGCGGGGAATTGGAACATCTCTCTTGATGGAAACCCGCTCGCACTTCCGAACCCAGTTCGGCATCAATGACATTAATCTCGGTAGTTCGTTCCCTCGATTCTGGCCCGGAATTCCCCGTGAGTTTGATGAAGCGGTTCAGAACTTCTTCATTCATCGTGGCTTTCGTCTCAGTCCCCCAGAGTCCAGATCAGTCGACCTGTACCAAGATATTCGGAATTTTCAAGCCCCTGAGAAGTATGTGACTCGCGCCAAAGACCGTGGTTTCCGCTTTGCTCCTCTGCAACCTGAAGATTACGAAGCCTGTCTAGTTGGTCAAAGAAAGAACTTCTCTGATAAAGCGGTAAGCGACAAGGTTTTCAGATTGCGCTATACTACTGAAAGGCTAATACTAGTTGCAGGGCTGGGTTGAAGCATACGTTAAGTTGCATCCCAGCGAGTATCCAGATTGTGTGATGACCGCCTTTGATTCACAAGGCCAGCAAGTTGCATGGACGTTAATGTTACCTCCATCCTCTGAATTAAACAATGTATGGGCATTCCCGCAAATATCTGGTCCAAATGCAGGCCTGATTGGCTGCGTTGGCGTTGATGCCGATCATCGGAGCTCTGGTATCGGGTTGGCGCTCATCTGCCATGCGGTCGAGAATATGAAGCAGCGCGGAATTGAGGGCGTCTTTGTGGATTGGGTCGCTCTTGATGGGTGGTATGAACAAGTCGGTTTCAAGGTTTGGCGCAGTTATCGACCAGGCAAGATTTGAGCGAGTGACCGCCGACTCGGAGTTCAGTGCATATCCTTATGGGCTGCTTTTCTCGGATCCATTTGCTTTTAGAAGAGCATCTATAGAATTGATGACTTGGGTGGTTCAAGTTAGTATTACTAATAGTATTAGGAATGCATCGAATTAAGATACACATGCATTATATTGAAGTTCAAGTTGATCCCGAGGTCCGTTGCCCCTGCCAGGCGTATAAGCATGGATGCAAGTTCAAGTTGGCAGATAATAGTTGCGATTCTACCACTCACATATGCAAGTGCTGTACATAGTACTATAGGTCTGCGATCTGGGATGCTACTAGTACGAACATTTGAACATCTGCAGGTAGAAGTGTACAACAAAGTTGGAATTAATGGCTACAAATACATCCTACTTTTGATATTCAGTTTTAGCAGGCAAAGAGGCATGAAAAATCCCCCGAAAAGCCTTGAAGAGAAGAACCGGAAGCTGCAATCTGCAGCATCCGGTTCTTTCGACGATGTTTGAGATGCAAATGTGCATATTCTAGTCGCGTGGCTCAGCAGCCAGCTTGGCAACCTCCTCCTTGCACCAGCTTTCCAAACCTCCGGCGGCAATAATGGCCTGCACGTTTGCCGGCAGTTCACCAACCTGCTCAGTCCAGGTCTCACCACTCTCACCCTCCTGAACCTCAACAAGACTGCGCTTCACGTCCCAAGTCAGGGTCCAGCCGGTTCGGCGAGTCAGCTGAGCACCATTGGCATCATCGGCAAATCGGGCACGAAGACGCTCAAGAACGCGAGGAATTTCCAAGCTAACCAGTCCGTTGTTGATAGAGTTACGGGAGAAGATATTTCCCAAACTACCGGCAACAACCAGTGGGATCTGCTTAGCAAGAATAGCAGTAGCGGCCTGCTCTCGTGAAGATCCACAGCCGAAGTTGAAACCAGTAACGAGGACATCATTTGGCTTGGCAATACCGTCGAACTCGGGGTCGTAGTTAGACATACAGGCGCGAGCCATATCCTCCTTCGAGACGTTGTCCTGGTATGTCAATTTACCGGGGTAGATACCATCAGTGTTCAGGTTATCAGCGTCACAGAAGACAATCTCACCGCTGATCCTCTCGGGGAATCCGGGAAGGACCTCAGTGTTGGACTCGGAAGTGGTATCCATGGACTCGACGCGGTTGATAAGCGAGTCGAGCTGCGAAACCATATCGGAGAGCTTGCTCTCAGTGGTATCCGGGGCACCGGTACCGTATCCGTACTCGACACCGGTGTAGCCCTCAGGCACTTCGTAAGTACCTGGGCCGGAGATAACACCGCTAAGAGCACTAGCAGCCACGACCTCGGGACTGGACAGGTAGGCCTGTGATGAGCGGGAGCCCATACGACCAACGAAGTTTCGGTTGGAAGCGGAGATTCCAACTTCTCCGTCCTCCAGGAGACCCTTACCCAGACCGATACATGGGCCACAGCCAGCAGGGAGAGGCTGGGCACCAGCATCAACCAGGGCTTGCCAGTCGCCGTTGGCCTCGGCAGCCTCTTGCTCGAATGAAGAGGCAGCGCCAATGTAGAGCTGGACGCCGTCAGCAATCTTAGGAGGGGTATCGGGGTTGGCCTTAGCAGCGTCCTTGAAGACCTTGGCGGCAGCCTTGAAGTCGGAAGCACGACCATTAGTGCATGAGACGATGTCTATGGGATGATATGTTAGCTTTGTGCATTTCAACGAGTTTGATAATGATAAAAGCCATCTCGTAGCAAAAAGCAAGAAGAAAAGACTTACATGCACGGTTAATCTTGATGTTCTGTGGGGCTAACTCGTTCAATGGTGTGGCAATCTTAACGGAGTTGGGACCAGAGACATAAGGAGAGATAGTAGACAGATCCAAGTAAAGCTGCTTGGCGAATGTAGCATCAGGGTCTGCGACAAGACGGTTGGCAAACAGCTCGTCTATCCTCTCGTGGGTGATACGCTTGCGAGTAGTGCGCTCATCCAGCATAGCTGCCTCCGTGGCCTTGTATCTCAACCAGCGCTCGAGGCCGGTGTCGATGGGGAACAAGCCACTGAGAGCGCCCCATTCGGTGGTCATGTTGGCGATGGTCATACGGGTGTCAATAGGCAAGCTCAGCATTCTATTTATTGCGCGGATGTTAGTATTTGCTCTTTCAACACGGTTTCTGTAGGGTACTTACGTTTCCTCGGATCCAGTGAACTCGACAGCGTGGTTGAGAACATCGTCCTTGAAAAGTCCACACAGAGCAACGATAACATCCTTACCAGTAGCACCGACCGGCAGGGTTCCCTTAAACGTGACCCGCGCGATAGGGGGAATCTGCCACCAGGTGCGTGATGTAGCCTATTATATATTGATCAGTTATCATGCTCCATGAATCTCCAAGGCTGGGTGCAACTTACCCAAATACTGGCAGCATCGGTACGCACAATAGGCGTACCGAGACAGCCAACACCACCATAGTGGTTGGAGTGGCTGTCGGAGGCGACCGCCATAGTACCAGGCCAGGCATATCCTTCCTCCACCATAATCTGGTGACCAATACCACGACCCGCAGGCCAGAAATCGCAACCATGTTCCTTGGCGAAGGCTTCGATCTGCTTGTATTTCTTGAGGTTGGACTCGGAGGTGTTCTGAACGTCGTGGTCGAGGGTCATGACAATCTGTTCGGGGCGGTTGATACGAGTAGCGCCCATAGACATGAACTTGGAGGCAACGGGCCACGAGTTATCTATCCCATGAGGATTAGACCAGTAAACAATACAATAGCTGCACCGATAAAATCTACTAACCGTGGGTCATGCATTGTTGCGGAGAAATGCTGACATAGTCACCGCTCTGAACAAACTTTCCCTCTGGAAGACCAACAGCATAACGCTGTACGATCTTCTCTGTTAGGGTCTGGCTTGACTGCTTCTCGGCGAAGGGTCGCGAGGTGGAGAACTGTCGTTGCGATGCAGGGAAGGCGCCATAGTTTGTGCGAGGAGAGGAAATAGAGGAGGAGGTAGTGACTGGCGAGCAGGAAAACAGTCGTGTAGGAATTGGTCGCAAATGCTGGGCTCTTGTACCCAGTAGACGCCTCCTAGTAAGGCCGACGCATCGGGACCCCAGAGGTCCAGACTATGAAGGTCAGAATTGACACAATTGACACATTTTGGGGATAAGTGGGATTGGTTGAGAGTTCCAGGGATGAAGAGCTACTTACAGGTCTGTACATTTTCACAATTGAACGTGGAAATCTAGCCACGCTCTTAAACTTAGGAAGTGATGTCGAAAATTGTTGGAATTAGGAATGAATTACTTCAACTATCATTGGTCGTGAGTCACGACATCGGAGGAGTATCGGGATTACGTCAGCAAACCTTAACCTCGGGATTGTTACTGCCATTATTGACCGCTTTTAAGGGTCCTGATTCAGGTACTCTTGACTCTTGACCTTTCTTGCTTGTATACATGTCCAAATATCTTCATTCTTACTACCAGTTGGCATATATTTCCATTAGCAGATTCCATGCAAAAAAACAATAAATTCAATGCTATATGCGATGCTCGAGTCCAATCATCTAATCTCCGTCAATCAACAATCAACTAGATCCTGCCTTGGCTTGCAGAGCCAATTGCTGCTGGATAAGATCATCAATAATAGAATGTCCAGAGCGCCACTTCATGCCAAGAATTTCTTCCGCTGTGGTAGTGTCAACCTTCCAATTGTCCTCGAACGGGCCCTTCATCTTGCAACCCAGCTCGGGGTACTTCTCATTTATATGGGATACCACATCTTCCCAGTCTACAGGACGAGCCAGAATAACCTCTTTCCCGGTCTCGATCTCTGTTTCCAGTACCCTCACGTGTGCATCAGCCACATCGCGGACATGCACCCACGAATGGTGGATCGTGGGCTTTTCTTCGAACAGACCCTTCCAGAATAAGGCATTGATTCCGCTGATATCCTTGGGCCCCTTCCGAAGCAAGCTATCACCAAGGACGAAAGTTGGATGAAAAGTGATAAGCTTGTAGGAGATGGCGTTATTCTTAATGAAATCTCGGGTCGCTTCGTGAGCCTTGATCTTGGATGCAGAATATTTCAGTATTTCACCAGCGAAGCCCTCTGGCAAGGCCATAGAAACGTCGACCGGGATAGTTTCTCCTGTGTTGTCTATGAATATACAGGTAAGTGAGTTTCTTATACGCATATTCTGAGATGAGATACATACCTCGCAGTGAAACTTCATGCTGGAAAATGGTGTCCACAGGACCCAATGATAGCAGAGAGGAAACAACAACGATTTTCTTGATCTGCTCAAATGCTTGTGCAGCGCGCAAAATAGAGAGAGTTCCCTCAACAGCCGGGTCGATGTAGTCACTTTGGATGTCTCCACTGTCGGGAGTTGGAGACGCCAGGTGGAATACATAGTCGACGCCAACGAGCGCGCTGCTGAATGACTCTTGCTTTGACAGATCGGGAATGACGGCAAATTCGATTCCTTCATGTCCATTGTACCCGGCATATCGGGCTCGGATAATTGCCTCTTGCTCGGCCTTCCGAATGCTCAATCGCACCCGGTAGCCAGCTTGAAGCGTGGTGGCCACCACTTGGGCACCGATAAAACCGGTAGCACCAGTAATAAACACAAGAGGTGTTGACATGATGGTGTTTATGGGAGAGTCACTTGAATGCGAAGCGGACTAGATTTGAATGGAGCACCTGAAGGTATTCAAGTTTGTATAATTTTCGAGATGCTATCTACTAGATACATGGGGGGGATGGTCCTTTTATCAATCAACCACAAGGGCTTGGAAAGTGACAGCCACGGTAAGAAATTAATTGATGACTGGCTTTTTCCGACGTCGGTGTTGAACCTTCAATGATCAGTCTATCATTTATTCCACCTACTGCACTCGGTATAGGAATTCTATAGCACATCTAGCTACTAGTTAGTGCTTATGTTGAATAATCCATTATTAATTTCTGTTTTTAGCTCCATCCTCGGCCGCTTATAACCGCCACCATGACCGATGACGGCGGGGCCGCAAGCCACACGTCCAATCTTGGAAGAATTTGTGGACACTCCGTATATGTTGAATAATCGGTAATCTCCAATCAGAAATTTGAATTTAGATGCAACATACGGCTGTCTGTCGGAGAGCCAAGTACATTATCATTTTATTCGGATTTTCCAGGATTACTAGAATTTTCATCAGATGCAGTACATTAGTTTATTAATCCTTTCGGCTAGATGATATTCCACCTGCATGTTAACTTGAATGAACCTCATGATAGAACATTGAATAGATAGTAGTATGCCAGTGCCAGCGTATAAATCAGATACAATGAATCCAGAGTAGCTGAATCTATGCTCTCCTCAACCTCAGAATTCATCTTGCAACCAAGGACTACTACACACTAGCCCCAAGCTTCACCTCAAGTACCGACATAAAGAATTTCATCAATATCTCAGACTATCACCATGCCTCTCTGGCAGATCTATCATCCATATGGCACTCTCGAAGATGATGCCTCAAAGCAAGCATTTGCTCAAGATATCACCACCATGTATACCGAAATGGGCCTGCCTGCCTTCTATGTCGTTGTTCAATTCTTCAAGATGAACGATGACAATGTCTTCGTCGGTGGAACTCTCAGAAAATCGGATCAAACGCCTTTCGTCCGGATAGTCATTAATCATATCGCAATCCATGTCCCAGACGTGGATGCTCTATATCACCGCGCCACCTCCCGCATCGACCAAGTTGTGAAACCACATGTGACGGACAAGGGGTACGACTTTGAGTACCATATCGATGAAACTGAGAGAAGACTTTGGAAGTTAAATGGCATGATTCCCCCACCATTCAAGAGTCAGGCAGAGCAGCTCTGGGCGAAAGAGAATCGGGCCATTACTTATGATGGCGCGTACCCACCTACTCTTGAAGTTAGCTCCAGTTCGGGCTGAGAATGCCCAGGTGGGTATTATACTTCAAGTTCAGGTGTTATGGATGTTGTCATCGATGCAAGTTTGTCAGTCTGCATGTAGTATAGGAAGCTATATTCATGAAGCCGGTCGCCTTTCGTCATTCATCATGTCGCTTACTTCGGTTAGAGTTTGATGTAAGCACTTTGAAGAACCTTGGAATCTAATGAATTAAAGTATCACTCGATAAGATGAGGTCCGATATACCAGTTTCATGTCAGTGTAGGGTGACCGCCCGGGCGCGTGCGTTATCGATTCCCATAATCAACGATGTTCAAGTTCGGGGTATAGAGGTCTACTAGTAGATGTCGATAAGTGGAAACAGCTTCATTGGGAGCTGTCGATCCTGGATCCACATAGTGTTAACCTTACAATGTAACGTTATATCTGATCCATTCATATATTCTCTCATTCGTCAGTGATCTCTCAGTCATCAAGATAAGCACGACCTGAATAGTGGACCCTTATTCAGAGAAGGGGGAGAGAATGCGGGGTAGATCAAACCTCAAAGAGACCCCTTTTTGAACATCTGGAATTCAAGGCCCGAAACTCTCTTTCTCTTTCATTCCGAGGTTCTACTACACTTGAGGATCGCGATGGAGAACCTTGCAGCTGAGGATCGATCAAAAGTTGATCAGTCTCTCACAGAAGATCGTGCTGTCGAGGTAACCGTCACTTCCTCCCAGCCTCCGACTACCTTACGGGAATATGAACGACTATTTCGAGTCGACGAGGACGCTTTTGAGCAGCCTACCACAACTCGGAAAGAACTCTGGTCTTATTATCTCTACTACAATGGTGTGTTTGTTCCATGTTCGGGAGATGCCGAATTCTTAAATGTGAAGTCCAAGCTAATCAAGTATCTACAAACCTACAGGTGACAATGGTGTTGGCCCAGGGTCCTACAGCCAGACTCTGTATGCGAGTCCCTTATCTCAAATGAGACTCGAATGAGACTAACATTGCAGGTTTCAATGGGCGTTAAATGGCGCAGGGCATATCCCGGGGACGAACCCACCTCAGCCCTGCACCGATTCGTCGGCATGTGTGGTGCCCTGGGCAGGTGGCACGCGATCTACATCCTCGGTGATCTTAATCGCTAACGGTCTCTGCTTTGCCTTCATGGCTGTCATATTTGTCTGGCTTGGAAGTGCTGCTGACTATGGCTCTTTTGGGCGATGGCTTCTTTTGGCCTTGACGGTCATCTGCTGGGCTTTACAATACGGTATGCTCTCTATCCGACATGCTAGTCAATGGCCCACTGCCATGGGTCTGTATGTCGTTTCATACATTGCCTATGGTGCCACACTGGTTTTCTATGCGGCCGTGTTCCCTAGAATCGCACGATATATGCCACACGTTCGAAAGGCTCGCGACGAATTAAAGGAAGGCAAAATCAACCAGGCAGAATATGACGCGATCGAATCTTTGGAAAGAAATCATATCAGGTAAAGTAACACCTATGATATAATTCCTCGTGATGCTAATATTAGTCCACTAGTAATATTTCAACTGCCCACAGCAATATTGGGTACTTCCTCACCTTGGTGTTGAATCTCAGCGTTCTGCTCCCGATGCAGGGTAATGAATTCGCGAATAACTTGGCACTCTGCTTAACAAACTCATGTATGTCCTCATCGATTACATTTTGGAATCTTTTACTAATATTCTTGATAGACTGGGTTGTTCTTGGCGTTTGGTGGTTTGTATTTCAGCAAAAAAGACCTGGTCCTAAGATCCCCAAAGGTTCTAACTATGCTACAATCGGCTTCAAACAAATTTGGCTAGCCATGCGAGAGATCAGATCTCTTCCCCAGACATTCCTGTATTTCGTGGCATACTTTTTGCTAGCAGATGGGCTCAATACCACGGGTATGTTGCTCGCCCCCATTAGCAATCCTGCTCTAACTTAGTCTAGGAACCCTCGTCTCGATCATTCAAAATGACTTCGTATCATTTTCATTCTTACAGGTCACATATCTTGGAATCACTCAATCAGTCTGCTCGATTATCTCAACCTTTGGGTTCTGGTATATCCAGCGCTACTTCAAGATTAAAACCAAAACCATGTTTCTGATCACGAACTTTTTCACTTTCTTCATTCCCTTATGGGGCATGATAGGCTTGTGGACGAATCGAATCGGCTACCATCATGAAGTAAGTTTGCCAGCATATCAGATAAGTCCCGATATTGACAATTCTTTAGTGGGAGTTTTATTTCTACAACGTCATCTTCGGGCTTTTTCAAGCTCCATACTATGCAGTAAGTTCCAAGGTTTCCTTTCTCCCTATTATGCAAGGAGGCCTGGCTAACATGAACGATAACAGTACGCCCAAACAATGATTAGCGAACTTATGCCCCACGGCTACGACAACATGTTCTTTGCTCTGTTTGGAATCACTAACCGAGCAGTAAGTTGCAATACTTCATCAAAAGTCTGATAACTCGTTGCTAACTATCCTGAAGTCATCGGTCATCGGTCCAAATGTCATCCAGGCCATTATCAATAATACTCGTAACAACTGGATGGGATTCCCCTTCCTGGTTGCGATATGTGGTGCTGCCATAATTGGCATTGGGTTTGTTGATATCGAAAAGGGTCGAGAGGATTGCAGAAAGTTCACCGAAGAGCGAAAGGTCGACCGTGTAGCTGCCGAGACTGGGCTGGATCGTGATGCAATTGCTCGAGGCAAGGGATTGGGAAGTGTGAACGATGCAGAGATAGTACATCCATAGATGACATTTTCAGTATTTGGGCGTAACTTCAAACACTTGCAGCCTGAGGTACCGACTCTCTAACAATCGACTACTACTAGTAGTAATTATTATCCGTGCCTACTTGGATAGGGAACTCAAAATAACATTCAAGTTAAATAACTGGAGAAACCGAAAAATAATTCATTATTAGATGAGCAAATGACTAGTATGTGTATATCGCTTTTCACGCTCAAAAAGTATCAGTCTAGCAATCTGGTAGGGCATTAGGAACCGAAATTCCCCCTGTGAGATTTTTGAAACAACATCATGCAATATCAGATAAATTCGTGGCTCATGGCTGAGAAAAAGCTCAAACCTCAGCTCTCTTCTCACTCTCTTGCAAAGCAGGCTGCTTTCCAGCCCTCTCTGCTTCCTTGCGCTGATTCTTAGCATCCACCTGTTTCCGCCATTGATCTCCAAATATAGTAGTTGCCCAAACACAAAGTCCAGCAACAACAAGGAACAAAGCACTGATGGTACTAAACCATCCAACACCAATTCCATCGACAGCCGGCAGTACAACACCAGAGCCAATCGCAGCAAAAACATACCGGAACATATAGTTTCCAGCAACGACCTCAGCACTTCGGCCAGAAGACTGCATCACATCCAAACAGAAGGTATTCAGGCTTGGGAAGCAGAATAGTTGCGCAACACCCTGTACGAACATAGCAAGCACCGGAACAGGAATACCACCGACTGCTTTCTCAACTGTCCAGCCGTAGATGAGTATACATCCCGGGATCACGAAAGTGATGAAAACCAGACAAGATTTGAGCCTGTCTTCAGGAACTCGCACGCCGCCGCGCTTGCGAATCCATTTCTTCACGGTGTGATCAGCCCATCGTCCACCCATGAATGTGCCCACGAGGTACCCGCAGCCAGGTGCGATGTAGAATAGACCCGACTCGATGGGACTGGTGAGGTGAAAGCGAGGATTGAGGACATAGCGAATGGGGGTTAGCAGGGAATATTGATTCCAGACTAAAGCGCCAGCTCCTAGACCTGCGAAGAATAGGTTCGGATAAGAGAAGAGGAGGATGCCGACGCGTAAGGGGTTGACACGATGCCAGAGGAACTTGGCTTTTTGCTTGGGTGTTTTTTGATCTGGGTCTGATTTGACAAGATTCGGGTATGTTTCGGGGAAGAAAAAGAAGACAAGTAATGTGCCGAAGCCACCCAGGGCAGTTTGTAGCCAGAAAACGACTCGCCAAGAGCGAAAGGTCACAATAACACCCTGTTTGTAACCGATCAGCTCAAGTGCCCATATTTTAAGAGGTTAGATAGAAGAGTGGAACTTACACCGATGAATGGTCCGAATGCTGGCCCGATAAGTGTTCCAGATAGAAACCATCCCAAAGCTGTTGCACGAGCTCGGGGCTCATATACATCTCCAATAGCAGAACTTCCTACAACCAGGAAAGATGTCCCTTGGAATGCTGTGAGAATGCGGAAAATGAAATAGGCAGGAAGATTAGGGGCGAGCGCTGTGCCGATACTGAAAGCAAAGAACAAGAAGGCGCTGATAAGAAAGATCTGAGATTGAACATTAGCATTGACATTAGAAGTAGATCAATAAAGCCTGAGATTGGAATCACTAACCGGTCTTCTACCCCATACTTGACTAAATGGGCCCCAGAATGGGGCCGAGACACCCATGAAGGCTAGGTACAAAGCATTGCTGGCGTTGATTACACTTCCAGTGGTATTATAGGTTGATGCGAGCTCCGGGATACCTGATAGAATTGAGGTCGAAGAGATAGGGGCCAAGAACGAGCAATATGCTAGTATAGCAACAATGAGTGTCTTGCGAGCAGGCGAAAAACGTAGGTATTGTTCGGCATCGACCTCGTGAAACTCATTGGTGGCTACTGGCACAGGCATATCATGATGCGAGACATGACTTTGAACGAGATGTAAGTCGTTTCCCACCTCAGAGCGACGTGATTTTGTTCTTGCAGGCTGTATCTCCTCTACTGGAGCAACACTCTCCGTAGTACTCGAACCTGAAAGTGACCGAGGCATGATCACCGATCTAGAGGATTTACCTCTAGCGCCAATTCCAAAATCCTCAGTGCTGGAATGAATAAGTGGGTTCTGTACTGAAACCTAGCTTAGCCACTGGCAGCTCGATTCCTCTTATGTAAACTGAAATAGAAAAACAAGAGAAGTTGAAGCCCTATAAGGGAAGAATTCAGGTTAAGGTTCAACCGCGGCGTCTTTCCGAAGATTAAAGTGATATACTTCAAGTAAACAAGAATGAATTCATTCAATTGCAGTAGAATTTAAAGAAAATGAAGGATTAGAAGTCATTGAGTACATTGCAAAGTAGAATAATGAGTCAGAAGCGAAAAATCTGCAATAAACTGTTCCTTCGGCGTTTGTTATCAGTTGGCCGAGGATCGGCGCGGGGGGTCGCATTGAAGCATGTCGGATGGGAAGCCCGTAGGCAGAAAACGGCCATATCTAGAGACTAGACCCCCGAATCTGCAAAAATTGTTAAATTGACACCCATTATCCTTCTTAGGCTTGGTTTGTCAGTCCTTTCCAAGGTTATATGGATGTATATCAATATCGCCAAGGGATGTACTCTGTACATCCATCACATATCACATGGGAACATCATTGTACACAGACTCGGAAGAGAGCCCTGGAGATTCTAACTTGAAAATTGAAACTGCATGTTTTAGTAGAATAGTAGGCACTGACCCATGTACCTACTTCTAGATTCAGAAGGGTAGAAAAACAGACACCGGTAGTAATCTCCGAGTATATCATATTATCAAGGGAAAGGAAACAGTTGAAAGCACCGGCATACTCAGATGGCTTTTCCGGTGTGACCAACCCATGGACATCTGCTTGTACAGGAACTCATAATTAAACCTGTTTAGCACACGGGGTGTCCATTTAACAAGACTCGAATTTTCTTCTCTCAGGGTCCGAACGGTCATTGCACCCAATCGTTATGCTAGATAGCGTGGGGACCTTTTGGTGCCTTTGTTACTCCCGGGCCGAGAGTGCGGAAAAGAATCCGTGTGTCGCGTGTTGGAAGCTAGACGACCAAGCCGCGATAAAGCGATAAAACAGCTCATTGCTCTAGACCATATTAGTTTCTTTTATCAATGGTGGAACATCGAATAGAAGATTGAAACGGAATATTCCATTATGGAAACCGTGCATTGATCCCCGGATCGGGGGTTTTCTACCCCTTCGATCCCTGATTAGACCATGCTAGAGGTCCAAATTGGGTCTCGTGTCATCGGATTGGAGGAGGAAAGGGACTTTGATAGCTTTGACGCGCAATCAATCCCTAAAAATGACCGGCTAATCCCATAGGTAGGCATGTCCATGGATGACAAATGTGGCTGTTCATCCAAGCGACGAAAAAGAATGAAGATCGGCCAATTTCCAACATAAACGAACTGTTCACCTGGACCATGACGTTATCCTCTGACCGCCAACCAGCGACATCAACCTACTCCGCCACCTCCACCCCACTTGGCTACACGGTGATTTTGTTGTTTCAAGCTTGAGGATTCCTCTTTTGGTCACTTTTAGGAAATTCTTCTTTCTTTTTTTCTATAAGAAAATATGTCATCCAGCGAGCCTCAGAGCGCCGTCCCTGCCCACAGCAAGGGCTCATGGACAAGTTTCCTCAAGGTAGGTGGAATGCCAGCATATATTTGCGCTGGTGGAAGCCTAGGAATAACCGGTTTCTCAGTCTATCGCATCGTTCAACGGTGACCTGTCTTCACTGACAGCTCCTCCGTTCATCCTGTCCTCAACCTCCCTCACCGAGTACTCCGCCTACTGGGCCGAACATCCCGCCGCCTTCATTGCCCCTGCTAAGGAATCCGACCCTGAGAAGCGTGCCCTTCTCGTTCTCAAATGGTTCCTGACCACGCTCCACCAGCAGTACTGCAGTCGCAGTGAGAAGCTTGGTAGCGAGAAGAAGCCGCTGAACCCTTTCTTGGGTGAACTGTTCCTCGGAAAGTGGGAAGGTGATGCGGACGTGGGTGAAACACAACTCTTCAGTGAGCAAGTCAGGTACGATCTGCAATCTACAGTCGATCATTGTGATGTGTCATTTCAATACTAACGAGAAATTCTCCTTAGCCACCACCCACCCGCTACCGCGTATGCTATCTCGAACGAGAAGCACGGAGTCGAGGTAAGTGCAGAATAAGGTCCACAAGCACCCTTTCTCCTCAACCGGTCTCTGATCTCGATTTGACTACAGCTTCAAGGATACAATGCCCAGAAGGCATCCTTCTCAAGCACCATCCAGGTCAAGCAGATCGGCCATGCCCTATACTCCCTCACCCTTCCCTCCGGCGAGAAGGAGCGATACCTCATCACCCTACCCAACCTGCACATTGAGTCCCTCATCTACGGTACCCCCTTCGTAGAGCTTGAGAAGACTGCCAAGATTGCTAGCAGCAATGGCTACGTCTCCAAGATTGATTTCTCCGGTAAGGGTTGGTTGAGCGGTAAGAAGAACACCTTCACCGCAAGCTTGTACAAGGCCAGCGAAGGAGAAAAGAAGCCTCTATACACTATCGACGGCCAGTGGTCGAACACATTCAACATCAAGAAGACTGGCTCCAAGGAGATCATTGATACTTGGGTGGTCGAGAACAACGCCACTACCCCACTTACCCTCGCCCCAATTGATCAGCAAGATCTGTACGAAAGTCGCCGAGCCTGGAAGGAGGTCGCAGAGAACATCCAGGCCAACAAAATGGATGCTGTCTCCGCACACAAGTCGCGTATTGAGAATGCCCAGCGTGATCTCCGCCGCGCAGAGCAGTCCGAGGGCCGTGAATGGGAGCGTCGCTTCTTCAGCCGTATTGAGAGCAAGGATGATGATGCTACTATTCAGCAGTTGGCTCGCTCTCTTGAACTGTCCCCTAATCTGGATGGTGACAAGACTGGTGGAATCTGGCGCTTTGACGCCTCCCGCGCGGCGGGCGCTCAGCCACCTTACCACAAGGTTGGTCCCGAGGGCCTGGGTCTTTCTGCATAGATCGTTCCTGATCTGACTGTTACTGTGTCATCTTGATTTATTTTCTTTTGGATCAGGGATGCTAGAACAATCCTTGCAGATTGCTCGGTCCTATGCACTTCCCTAGCCCCCAGTGTTTGCACACATAGAGTTTGGTCTTACGATGTCCTTGATTATATGAAGGCCATGTCACGTTACATTTCCACTGTATATAGTTCCAGTTCCGAGTCCATGTTTTTGTCATTCGATTATATGCGTGGAGCGAGCAGGCCAATGGCTAAAGCCTAATCATATAATCTGATTTTTCATTATTCAAAATTGTAGGCTTGAGTTTGAGATTGAGTAGTCTCATCATGATGGGAACGTCCATGAATTGGATAGTATGTCATCACCATTTTCACAAACATTTAGATAAACGACATAAAACTTGAACGCATAAAGTTATTCATTGAAGTAACAAGAAAGACAACGAGGGTCACGGTTTAACATAACAAAGGAAATACCTTGAAACAGTCTGATAGTAACATTGACTCCACTGGAGGCTGATGACCGTGGCTTTTTTGATTTTGCAGCACATCATTAATGCGTTCAGTTTGTTATACTATGCATAGCTGGAGAGATATTAGCTCGACCTCATAAGCTGAGCTGTCAGTGAGAACCAATAAACATACTATTAATAACGTCGTAGCAACGCATACACCCAGGATTATGAGCAATATTATAGACATGGATTGTGATGGAACTCGTGATAGCGTGGAGGAATTGTATTGCAGAGATTGATGTGAAGGGAGAAGGACGTTGATGTCCTCGGGCAAAAAAATCGAGTGATGACTTGAACGTGAATGTGATGAAGGGAAATTGAGATTTATCAGGAATATGGAGAAGAAATGAATAAGACCAATTGAATCCGAGAAGTACTAAAGATATCCTATTAACCTCTTGTCCTTACTAGGAATAGTACACATGCCCGGTTGTGCCCTAACAGAACGCGGAGTGCGCAACCTTGGAATCGGGGCCAGATGTAGCCTGAACCTTCCGAGGTTGGCCATAAGCTGGTACCTGGGAATGTCATGTTCAAGTTCAACGTTAGAGCTGGGCTTGAACTACCAGCACCAGTGTCTAGAACTAAACCCATATGTGCAACCCTGGAGCACTCACTGGCTTCAGAGCACCCTGTTCAAATAACTTCCAAGGTTGACCATTCATACTAAGCGGCTACATTATGATATACTGGGATTACTATTGTCTGCACATTGAAGATCTCAGTCCTGGTCCCTAGGAGAATCGATTGGTCCCGGAATTTCTGGTTTGTATAGATGGGTACATAATTCATCACACTTTTTGAAGGCCCATAAAGATGGGTCAAGTTCATCACGATCTACCTCTGTACCATAGGCAGCAATCATAATAGACATTGCTCATGGCCAAGGACAGAAACTGAAATAAAGGGACAAAAACAGAACCCCATTTCCACTGAATCACACCGGACCCTGAATAGACACCGTGAGCTAGGGGTGGGGAAAAAAGAAAAAAAAGAGAAAAAAGAGAAAAAAACAAGAGTGGAGGGACACAAAAACACTCGGGGGAAAATTGATAGATTTAATACAAACTGCCTCAATGGGGGGAGCAGCAGTAGCAAAAGGGAAAAAAAGGAAAAGAGCAATATGAGAAAGAAATGAGACCAAAAAACCGTAAAACCCAGTTTCCCCCCAAAAAAAGAAAAGCCAACCAAGCTCCCAAAAGAGAGTAGAGATTACACAAATGTTGAAGAAAAAAAGGATGAAAAGGAAAACGTCAGGTTTGTTTTTTGGTTTCCTTATCTGTCACACTGACTCACACAGGATGAAGACAAACAGCAGAAACCCTCATTTTCCCTCGACTCATCCACAAATGCAACGCCATATGTGTATGGCAAGTTAAGAGAGAGTAGAATAAGATATAGTCATTCTCTGTACTTAGTGACCGTAGTTGTTACCCCAGCCACCACGGTTGTTTCCGTAGTAATTACCAAAGCCAGCACCGTAGTTGTTGTAGCCACCGGTCTGCTGCTGCTGCTGCTGCTGCTGAGAAGCACCAGCCTGGTGACCGCTAAGGCCACCGAGACCGCCGTACTGAGGGTTCAGGTGGCCGTAGCCGCCGAATCCCTGCTGACCCTGCTGACCCTGCAGAGGGGGGAGGCCGGTCTGAGTCTGGGCCTGACCAGGTGCGTTGTTGGTGGCAGAGCCAGGACGGTTAGCCTGAGCGAGAGAGGGGCTAGGGCCACCAGCCTTGGGTGCCTCGAAGCCCTTGGTTTCTTCAGTAGTCACAGGAGCCTGCTGAGCGACAGAGGGGTTCTGACCGAAGCCACCAGCCTGGGAACGACCGAAAACATCAGACATGCCGGTAGCACCAAAGGCATTGGCGCCAGTAGCGGTCTGCTGGTTATCAGCTGGCTGAGCGGAGCCAGTGCGGCCACTGTAAACGGAGTCACGTCCGGGAGTGGCTTGGTTGAAGCTGGCAGCAGCGTTGGCAGGAGAGGCAGTGTGGTCATAGTTGAAACCGCCGTGGGGTTGACCGTACATGCCACCCTTGCCAGCATAGGGGCCGTATTGGCTACCGTAGCCATACTGGTTGTTGTGTGGCATACCGTAGTGCTGCTGCTGCTGCTGCTCATCGTAACGACGGGCATCGTCGTACATAGGGCGGCTGCGGCCGTACTGCTGCTGGTTCATTTGGTTCATGTACTGAGCATAGTGGGGGTTGGAGTAGTAGGGGTTGTAACCGTATGCGTAAGCATTCTGACCAGGCATGTGCTGGGCGGCAGCAGGGGTCTGAGTAGCACCGGGAACGGTGGGGTTAGGAGTGTTGTGGCCACTGTTGGTGGCATCGACGGGACCGTAACGGCTGGGGGGCCTGAGTAGTAGGAACCTGGGGAGTAGCCTCAGCACCAGAAACACCAAATCCAGGAGCAGCGCGGGGAGCAGCAGCTACATCCTGAGTCTGGCCATAGGTGCCGTAGTTGTTATAGTAAGGGAAGCGTTGGTCAGCAGCATAGAAGGGAGAGTACTCGCTGCCAGTGGTAGCAGCAGGCTGGGTGGGGGCCTGGTTGGCAAAAGGCTCCTGGATTGGCTGAGGCTGGCTAGCTTGCGGGTTGAAGGGGTCGTAGGGTTTTTGGGTCTCAGAGTAGCGACCAAAGTCGGAGAAAGAAGAGTCGGCAACAGAGGCTTGGGGGGACAGGAGGAAGACCGGGAGCAGGGCGAGCAGCAGTGGTCTCAGAGGCTTGGGTGGAAGGAGGAAGGGAAGCACGAGGAGCAACAGGAGAGTGCTGAGGAGGCTGAGCGCGAGTTTCGGCTTCCTCGCGGTTCTCATCAATGTCCACAGCATCACCGTTGAGTCCCATGCTACCGAACTGCACAGCAGCACGATCGACCGCATGGTTTCCAGGCATGACTACAGCCTGCTGTTGTTCCATCACACGACGCTGGAAACCAGGGGCACGAACGCCCTGCTTGTATGCGCTACCGGGAAGGCTCGCGGGAGGGGCACGAGAAGGAGTGGCGTTCGCAGCAGCAATGGGATCCAGAGCACTGCCAACAGTGCTAGCGGCAGTTGCAGTGGGGGCGGGGGCAGATACATCGGGAATTTGCTCGAGGTTGGTTTCGGTCAAGTCAACCTGAGGAGGCTTGACAGCGGTAGTCGGGATGGCAGGGACGACAGGTTCGGTGGGCTTCGCAACGGGAGTCTTCTGTACTGCTGCGGGCACAGGAACGGGTTCAGGTGCCTGCTGTTCGGGTACAGGTTCGACGGGCTGCTCGGGGGCAGGGACAGGTGCAGATACCGGAGCAGGCGCTGGAGCAGCGGGCTGCGGAGGCTTCTTTTGAGGCGCAGGGGCTGGGGTGTTGAACAAGGAAGCCCATCCTGTCTTTGTACCCTCAGGAATCACATTAGACTTAGTTTCCACCTGTACGGCAGCAGGTTCGCTGGCAGCATCTTCTCCAACAGTAGATGTAACAGCCTCAGCCGGTGTAGCAGCTACAGCCGCAGCAGTCGCCGCGGGAACAGACTCTGCGGCACTAACGACACGGGTTCCGTTTGTGTGGGCACCTGCTCGGCCACCACGACCGCCACGACCCCGATCTCCACGGGCACGACCACGGCCCTCAAATCCACCACGACCACGGGCTCCGCGGACGGGAGCTGCATTCGACTCGGCTGCGGTGCTCTGAACCTCCTTGGGCTTAGGGCGACTGCGGTCTGTGGTCTTCTTCTTGACCTCTCCCCACTGTGAGACGTTGCCTATAGATGTCGATTAATACAGCCTGGCCTTTGAATAAAGAAAGAAAAGACTCGGAAATTGCGTAGAGAATTCTTTGCGATTCAAAACACGTACCTTCAGTGATGCGCTCAATTGCTTCCTCAAGTTGACCATTGGAATCTTCGAGTGCGAAGACCAAGTCCTCATCCTTCCAGTCGGGGAACAACTCCCGGAGAAGAGGAAGAGTGTCAGAGTACTTCTGCTTCATCTGTCCAATTTCACCTTCATCAAAAGAAGGAATGTCTGAGCTTTCGGTATTATCGGCATTGGATCTGCTGTTTCCACCACGGCCACCTCTGTTGCTGTAACCACCACGTCCACCACGGGCGGAGGGTCTGCCTCGAGCAGAGGATCGGCTTTGAACGTCGGACATTGTGTCAAGATTATGTGTGGGATGAAAGAAGTGGAATTGGGAAGGAGGTCACGATGAGCGTCGCAAGGGTCTCAGATTTGATGAAAAGGATCTCCAGAGGAAAAGTGAATGATGCACCCTCACGCAAGAGGTAGAGCACCAAAATAACGACCACAGGCACAGGGGCCAGATAGAAATCCAGAGACACAAGCAAAGAAAGGAAAAGAGAAGAAAGGCGAGTTGGTATGAGAAGGGGTGGAGGAGTGTGAATGGGGAAGGCAAAAGCTAAGTTCGGATGTGTTGCTCCCAGTCACAGCTGGGTCTTGGCACTGGCCTGGCTTTTTAGCGAGTGGCGCCCATTGGGTGTATGGCCTTGAAATATGAATATTGATATTTAGATGTAGGTATTAATATGTAAAGAATTTGATATTAGATGAATTGAATATTATTAGATAATAGATCAATTTCTTAAGATTCATTTCATCATCTTTTTTTTTAATATCTTTCCAACCTATAACCACCTAACATCTCATTCATCTCTTCATTAGTCCCCATTGCACCACTTCCTGGTCTGCTCGTCATCCACTCCCGTCCAATCTGCACCCTTCACCGCCCACCCCTCGCGGCGATCTTCCCCTACTCAAGTTCTCAAGGGGGGAATCTCTCCACTACTACTCTATCAGGTCTCTGTTTTGGGACTCACCGCAATCCCATCATGAAGGGAACCTCTATTTTCCAATTCAAATCTTGGCCTAAGATTCATCAACCATTACCTCGATCCCCTCGAGAGTCTCAACAACTGCTTAATGCCCTCACATCCTCATTTCGTCGTCAGCTGGACCGAGCGTACCCGGTTTCCAACCCATCCAACAATGAAGGCGATCGACAACCCTTGAATACCGATTCCTCACTTCATGCAACTGAACAACACTTGCATAATATCCTCGACAATCCTCTCTTTAGAATCGTACCTCCTAAGACCGCCTCTTCAGACCATCATGTTGGAAAAGGTATTGACGAACAAAAGCGCTTGGCCGAGGAGCCAATGTTAGTCTTTGATGAACTAGCAGCCTCAGGCTCGATCACCCTGTCCACAATCACCAACTGTTTGAAATCTCAACTTTTGTTAGTCCGGTCTAGTGGTGAAAGAGGCGTCAGAGATGCAATGATGACATCTCGTGCTGCTTCTCGAATTGTAGAATGGTTTTGGGCTTCAGATGGTGCTTCTCGGCAAATGATGTTACACTCAAGAGCCACAACTCCCTCCTTAACCAAGTTCATGGTTGCAGAGGGTCTTCAGGACACAGTTTTGGAGTGGCTCAAAATGCTTACAAGTCTTGATCTGGGAGGTTATAATGGTCGAATCACAGAGACAGTGGCCCAACAAAGCTTCAGTCAAATTCTCGTCGATTTTATGGATGCTGAAATCCGATATGGAGGCGGGCTTGCTTCTGCTATGAAATATTACTTGCGAATCTACCACGCCTACTCGATTTCTCAGCCACAACTCAGCTTGCCTAGAAAATCATTGTTCCTGGCTGCTGGAGCCAATCTTAGCCGAGTGGCTATGGAGGCGAAGCCGTTGACTGAACTGGTTTCAGTCTACGCATACGATGAATACCGAGAGATAATTTCTGTTTTATCATCCCCTCGTTCGTTATTGTTCGCTAGCGTGTCTCTCTGCCATCCCGAGAAACCCGATCCAAAACCCTTCATGCGCTTCGTGGGAAATCTTTCCATCAACAAAGTTCATGCTTGGAATGATGCCCGGCGGGAAGCACTACTTCGCATCGCTTGTGATGCTCTTCATCTTCTGATTGACCAGAAGCAGATTCGAGATGCCACTATTCTCGCTCGCCAGGTTCAGCAATTGCTTCCAGAGAAGACAGCGGATACTACTGAAGGGTCCAGTCTTCGTTCTGCGTCAAGAGAAGAGGAGGATATTTTCACTCGCCTGGAGTTGAGTTTGACTTGACGTGTTGGTAATAAACCTTAAGCGACATCTACAACTACAGTCGGAAACTCCGCTACGATAATCACGATGAGTTTCGCAAGATTTTAGAACTTGGTGTACAGAGTGCAGACGGCTGCAGAAGAACACCAACAATTCCATCCAAGATATGCCAGGAATAAACGGATTCTCTTGGGGGATCGCTCACTTACACTCATTTTGTGTGGGCTTTCAACACTGGGTAATAAGCCTTGGACGGAGAGGGGCTCTGCTAATTCGCCCCTCTGAGTGGCAAGCAGAGTTCATCATTTCCCGGAGCACTTCAGTGCGAAGATGACGGGGCTCAGTTGTGTACTCCGCAGTTGGGACTCCACACCCGCTGCGCCATACGGAGAAGGATCTCCGAGATCTGCTTGGCGGATTTTACCCAGAACAGGTACCAGGTACATATTTGGGACAGGAGGAACAAATTCTGGAAGGTATACAAATAATTACTTATCCTCCCGGGATGTGACGGGAGTGAAAGCTGAAGCATGTGCATAGAAAAGAGTTGTGCGGGTAGAAAAGACTGGGCCATTGACTCCAGTTGTGTGACGGCAGTCCCAGCATGGGGTCGCAGGGGGCGAATCAGTCCAGTCGCATTGCAAGGAAATCGGGTTAGCGTCTCCAGCTACTCTTAGTAAACGTCACCGCGCAACCTCAATCTCCCACCTTCAACTTCAATCGACTTCTTTCCTGTCTTATTCTTCTCCCGTAGTCCATATTCATCCTCTTAATTGCAGTCGCCTTACTCTTGCGATCATATTCTTTGTGAACTTCACCTCTCCCAGGCACGTGCTCACCTCTGACATCATTGATCCACCATGGCCAGCGAAGGTGCCCCCGAGCAGAATGTTCCTACCAGCGCATGTGAGTGACATTAAAGGAATGGAGTGTTCTTTCGAACGAATTGATTCTTCTGAAGACATGATCATCCGTTTGGAGAGACCAGCGTTCCCTTACTCGTCAGGTTGGTTGTACCATCTCTTAGTATGTGCTGACTAATAGGCAGCAGCTCCCAGTGAGCCTCCACAGGGAGCTCAGAGCATCCTGGATCCAAGCCAGACAGATCACGAATCGGTTGCCGTTGAAAAAGCTCGAGCAGCTGCACATGTGGATTACCCCGAGGCCCCTCGACCTCAACCGCCAAATGCACCCTCTACAGAACCCGACTTCGGTGGCGCGGTTGCCTCCTCAGAGCCCCAAGCTCCACTAGCTGCCCAAGTGGAGGAAGCCAAGGCCAAGGAAGAACCGACCAAGGAAGAACCTACCAAGGAAGAAACAAAGAATAAAGAACCTCGAACTGGTGAGAAGCGTGATCTTGATTCGACTGCCAACCCAGCTCCAGCTCCAGCCCCAGCTCCAGCTGCAACTTCAGCCATCACCGATGACAAGGATCACCCTGTTCCTGACAGGACAGAAGAACCCGAGTTAAAGAAACAAAAATTAGAAGCCAACCCGGAATCTTCTCTGGAGAACAAGGAAGACAAGCATCCCAATGCCACTGCTCCCGCTACAGCTCCAGTTGACAATTCCAACGGAGATTCCAAGAAAGCAGGTCGTCCCAAGAAAGACAAAGTGAAAGACGCCTTTAAGAAGATAATCCCAACTGATGGACCTGGCAGTCGCACTCGTAGCCGGACCAAGGGTGATTAAGGTTCTTCACGCAGTTTAAAATGTATCTGTATGGTTCTTTGAAGCTATACTTGTGATACTGCTGCAAACTTTCCTGGTATCAAGTTTATGGTATCAACGAAAGCACCATGACGGATATTGTTACAAAAGATGAGTCCAATGCTACATAGGTACTCAAATATGATCATCGAACCATTCAACCCATTTCCTTGTAGATCTTCTAACTAAATAAGCCTCAATGCCCTAAGTACCCGATTCGGGAACGCGCCCGCCGAAAATCGGGCTGACTCACTGCTCCGGGGACGGAGAAACCCACCCCGCTATCAGTGTGTCATCGCCATAGTAATTGACTATTTTATTTCGAATTCTATTTCAATTGTTCCTTCTTTTTTACTTCTTTCAAGTTTATATCATCTCAATTCCTCATAATACGATATGTCTCTGAAGATCTGGCTGCGTGCTGAGACCAAGCCCGCTGAGGCGCGGTCTGCTTGTGAGTCTCCCCCTCATTACTCTACGGTCGTTATAGGCGTCTAGAGGGGGGGGCGATTGTTTGCTCACAGCTTCTATTAGTGACCCCTACTACTTGCAAGGCATTGATTGATGCTGGTTACGATGTGACCGTTGAGCGCTCTACTCAGCGCATTTTCGATGGTGTGTTCTACGCTCTGGTTGTTTGAAAATAAATATGACTCAATTGAGACTAATCCCCGCCATAGATGAGGAATTCGCCAAGGTTCGCTCTCCCAATCCCTCCTTCGCCTCATAATACAGATTCTAAATTCAGCCAATGGCTATATAGATTGGTGCGCCTCTCGTTGAGGAGGGTTCCTGGGTGAAGGATGCTCCCAAGGACGCCGTTGTTCTGGGTCTTAAGGAACTGCCCGAGGACGACTTCCCCTTGGAGCACGTCCACGTCACTTTCGCCCACTGCTACAAGCACCAGGGTGGCTGGGAGAGTGTTCTCAGCCGCTGGCCCCGTGGTAAGGGTCTCCTGCTGGATCTGGAGTTCCTTACCGATGAGGTTGGCCGTCGTGTTGCTGCTTTTGGTTTCTCTGCTGGTTACGCTGGTTCCGCATTGGCTGTCAAGAACTGGGCTTGGCAATTGGCTCACCCCAACGGCGAGTCTCTTCCTGGTGAGGTTCCCTATGCCAACCAGGACCTTTTGATTGAGTCAGTTAAGGAGAGCGTCGAGGCTGGTAAGAAGATTGCGGGCAAGTATCCTACCATTCTCGTCATTGGCGCTCTTGGCCGTTGCGGCAAGGGTGCCGTTCAGCTGGCCAAGGATGTCGGTATTCCCCAGTCCAACATTATTGAGTGGGATATGGCCGAGACCAAGAAGGGTGGTCCCTTCGAGGAGATCGTCACCAGTGACATCTTCATCAACTGCATTTACCTGAGCGCCAAGATTCCTGGTAAGTCATGAAAGTCCTCCTCTTCTCCGATACCGGCTAACGAAATCCAGCTTTCGTCAACGTTGAGTCCCTTTCTACACCCAAGCGTAACCTCTCCGTTATCTGCGACGTCAGCGCCGACACCACCAACCCCTTCAACCCAGTTCCCGTTTACGACAGTAAGTAGCCCCAGGCGTTCCTTTGTGCCATATGTACTATTCTCTTGAACCCAAACTGACGCCTGAATAGTCACCACTACATTCGACAAGCCCACTGTTCCTGTGACCCTGCCTGCTGGCAACCAGGGTCCCGTCTTGAGCGTTATCAGCATTGACCACTTGCCCTCCCTCCTTCCCCGTGAGAGCTCTGAGCAATTCAGCCAGGCTCTCATGCCCAGCCTTCTGCAGCTTAAGGACCGACAGACTGCCCGTGTATGGAAGCAAGCCGAGGATTTGTTCAACGAGAAGGTTGCTACTCTGCCTGAGTCATTTCGCGCTTAAGCGGAATGCTTCCTGTGAAATGAAAGTTATGACAAAGTGAAATATGGATAGAATTCAGGCGTGGGATCGATGGAGATATTATAAAAGTCATTACACTAGTACTGCCCATAGTTGGAATTTCGGGACATTTTCTTCTACCTCTCTCTCCGATATGCTTGTAGCTTCTGAGACCTAATCAAGAGTAGATATCAGCGAGAACAGATTATTGAAGACGATGTGTAGTGATGGTGGCATAATAAGTGCCTATCAAAAACTTGAATGATATGATAGCTGTCTGGCGCTTATGGCCATAAGCTGCACATGTGGTCAGGACTTGAATGAATTCCCCAACGGCTGGCATCGAGCTTGATCATTTCTTAGAAAACATCCGATTCATCGTTTGGAGATAACTCCATAGCTCGTTAGGTCCGTTTTATCCCGCTTCATCTGATATCTACCAGCTCACTCGATGCTTTTATAGAACTATTAAACCTTTTTCTCCTCTTCTCCGCAACACTCTTCTCCCCGAACCCCGATCTCTTTAAAGAAGACCTCAACGGCCCAACCACGGTTTAATCCACCTTATCACATCTAGTGCGGGGGGGCTAATATCTAGTGGATATCCGAGAGATCCGTCGCGGGCTTAGCCAAGCAGATTCGCCCGATGGGGATGACGATTGGGCATGGCGGAAAGGAATTCTCCAGGAAGATTCGGCTGCAATGCTACCGGAGTCCAATGAACGCCTACGAAAGACCTCGCAATTACTATATACTCCGGTCGGAGTTACCCCCTTTTTGATTAGGGCACTTGGACACCTGGGATGAATACTACACATAAGCAGGTAATTCTCCCACCTGGGCATTTGAAGCCCCCCATGTTCTCCGCATGAACCCTTTGGTCCACTCCCGCTCCCCTCTTCCCCGGTCTTTGCCCGCAAAATTCTTTACTCTAGTCTTGTTTCCCCAGTTCCCCATGCATACGACATTGCATCTTCGATTCAGTTTCTAATCTCTCTTCTCTGACCATCTGCATCCTCCTTAAAGTCCCGAATACTATCATACTCACTCTAGAACCTCGTTAGACTCGACGATGGGGTGCGTGAGACTGCCAAGCTGATTCGCCTCATTTCCTACCCTACGCCCCAATCTTACACCAAGTCCTCCCTTACATAACCTCATAAGCCTTGATGCAAGACAAGCCCACTACGGTCGCCGCATACGCGGCCGGAGCCTCGCTCGCAGCCGTTGCTCTATTCTACGTATTCGGTCCCAACTACACGATAGACGGAGACGAGTCCAATGGCTCAAACCGCAAGAAAAGCATCGTCGGCTTGTCCAACCTAGCCAATGACTGCTTCATCAACTCGGTTCTTCAGGCGCTAGCTGGTCTGGGTAACCTTCGCGTCTATCTCATCCGAGAGCTGCACCGACGCGAGCTAGATGGCCCGGAGATCTACCACGCGGTCCCGACTGACGATAACTCGTCGCGCGGAGCAAAGGAAGACAAGGTGCGGGAATTACAACAAGGATTGATCACTAAGGCATTGAAGGACATGCTAGATCGATTGAATGAACGACCCATCTACAAAAAGACTATTTCCGCACGGGACTTCATTGGGGCTCTCGAGTTCGCGTTCCGGACGCGCATTAGTCGCAATCAGCAGGACGCGCAGGAGTTCCTGCAGATTGTGCTGGAGCGACTCTGCGATGAATACCATGCAGGGGTACGCGCAAGAACCCGCGCTTTGGGCCCTATTGATTTGTCCGACCGGCTAGGTGCGACAGGATCCGAGTCTCAAAGTACCGTACCCGAGGGCCCGGCCGAGGTGGAAGTACGAATTGATGATGGGACACCAAATGGTCTTCCCGCTATCATTGATAATAAACTAAAGGAAATTGATAATGAGTCGGGATTTCCGTTTGAGGGAAAGCTGGAGTCTCAGATCGAGTGCCAATTCTGTCACTACCAGTACAAACCTAACCAGACAGCATTTGTCAATCTTACACTACAAGTGCCGCAAAAGAGTTCGACCACGCTCAACTCCTGCTTTGATGGCCTACTTAAAACCGAGTACATTGAAGACTTCCGCTGCGATCGTTGCCGCCTTCAGCATGCGATCGACCTGAAGACTCAGGAGAGAGCTCGGACCCGTTCGCAGAGCGACTTGGAACGTCTGGACCACGAGATCTCCCGTATCCAGGAGGCATTGAAAAATGATCCAGAGACTGAACTGGAAGGTATTACGCTTCCACCATCAGATCTTGCGCCAAAGCGACGAATTGCCCGTCATATGCGTATTGTCGCATTTCCCAAGGTCATAGCCATTCATCTATCCCGATCGATCTTTGATCGTAGCAGCTCTAGCAAGAATGCCGCCAAGGTCTCATTCCCTGAACGACTTCCCTTGGGAGGAATTTTGAATCAGACCTGGTTTAAACTACTGGCAATTGTTTGCCATAAGGGCAGTCACCATAGCGGTCACTACGAGTCCTTCCGTCGCAACCACCTCTATGCTCCTTTTTCTACTCCAGAAGCATTCAGCTCATATGCGCAGAGTCGTGTGGCCAGTGAGAATCCTTCTGAAGCTCCCAGCCCTCGACTAAGTCCTTTGAGTCCCGACGATGTTGTCAGTGGTTCTAGCCTTTCATCTGCGACCTCATCTACCTCTCTATCCGGTACATCCCAGTTTGCGACACAACTTTCTCCTTCAGTGCCACGCCCTGGTACATCCAATTCTCGTCGTTCCTTCCAAAGTACATTCTCTCGCTCCCAGACCCCCCCAACCAAACAATTCGGACACCACTAGTCCGACGATAGATACAGGCCGGACAAGCATGTCGTCTATTCCAAGATCTTCTCGAACTATCCCGCGATCCTCGGTGGAGAATTCCACGGGGATCAGTTCACGACTTCGTCGTCGTCGCAAGCCAAATGATCGATGGTGGCGAATTTCGGATGAAAAGATCAAAGAATGCAAAACTGGCGATGTGCTGGGCATGCAGAAGGAGGTGTACCTCTTGTTCTACGAGATGGAGCGCCCCGAAGTCCCAGACCGGCGTTGGACAGCCATAGATGGCATCGTGCATGACTTTTGCGTCTGTGTGTTTATTTTTCCCCTTGCTTTTTTTTCTGTTCCTTTTTGGTTTTTATCTTTCTCTCACCTCGTACTTCTTACCCTCAACTGGTGGTGTGTATAGAAGAACCAGTGCCGTATATACCTTCCCTCTGTTCATAACCAAGCTTGGAATAGAAAATAGAAATTCTTACTCCGTCATTCGGGGTTCCCATTCAATTCTCTCATGTTCTTCAAGTTCAAGAACTGATGTCACAGGTGTCCACACCGATCAGGGATATGAAGATCCACTCCTGTTAACCGGATTACACACCGGGATAACGCAGTGGAACTGCAGGTAACCGGATTGAGAGATGGAGATGAGTTGATTGTTGTGATTGTCAGTGTTGGGTAGTAATTCCAGGATAGATCTACTCTATATGTACTCTGAGTCCTCAATTCCTCTCTATACTATCACTAGCCGATCCCGAGTCTGGACCAAGTCCGGATAATCAAGGCGAAGTCGGAATGAGATTGAATTCCTCGGTTCCCCGCTAGACGAACAATTTACGGAGTCAACGGGATCATTTTACAGCCGAGCTTTGAGTTCTAGGTAGATGATAGTAATAACCTTGGGGGGAATATTATATTTTAGTTTGTATATGGAATATAGCTTCTGTCAGATACTCTTATGAGATATTTCATTTTTCTCTAACTACTATAATAATTCACAAGCTTGTACATAGCTACAGAATCCGGTCTTTCTCATCCCCGCGACCGGGTGGGGGGATGTTATACAAGGCCGGTAAATCCTCGCGGAGAGATCCGGAGGAAGAACATGAACATGAAGGTATTAAAAAGACTATATATAGTAGTAATTCCTCAATTATCTCATACCTACTCATCCTGACCTCAGTTCCATATTGTAAGTATCCATAAACCCATTAAAACCAGGTCCACCTTTCGGTGAGTGTCAATGACGATGCTTGCCCCTCCAACTCAATTTTGCCCCTCATTTAACATTTGCCCGCTTTCGTCCTTCGGTAAAGCTCTTTGCTTAATACAAACTCAACTGACTTCCCCTTCTTCCTCTTTAGTTCTTTACAATCTTTGTACATTCTTCTAAACATCATTCATCATGGGTATCACTGAGAATCTGTCCCGCAAGACCGGTGTCATCGTCGGTGACGATGTCCTCCGTCTCTTCGAGTACGCCCAGGCTAACAACTTCGCCGTCCCTGCCATTGTATGTTTTCTTTACCTTTGGAAACTTGAGAATTTGAGAAATTTCCCCAATCTCAATGATCAATATTGAAAACAATGGAGAAAACACATACTAACCCCACTCTTTAGAACGTCACCTCTTCCTCCACCGTTGTCGCCTCCCTCGAGGCTGCCCGTGACCAGAAGTCTCCTATCATCCTGCAGATGTCCCAGGGTGGTGCCGCTTACTTCGCCGGTAAGGGTGTTAGCAACGAGGGCCAGGCTGCCTCCATTGCTGGTGCCATCGCTGGTGCCCACTACATCCGTAGCATTGCCCCCGCCTACGGTATCCCCGTTGTTCTGCACACCGACCACTGCGCCAAGAAGCTCCTGCCTTGGCTCGATGGTATGCTCGATGCCGATGAGGCTTACTACAAGCTTCACGGCGAGCCCCTCTTCTCCAGCCACATGATTGATCTGTCCGAGGAGGAGGTCGAGTACAACATTAACACCACCGCTGCTTACCTTAAGCGCGCTGCCCCCATGAAGCAGTGGCTCGAGATGGTAAGATCCCACCACCTAATTCATTTCATCTTAATATATCTTTCTAACATACTCTATAGGAGATCGGTATCACCGGTGGTGAGGAGGATGGTGTCAACAACGAGGATGTTGACAACAACTCTCTCTACACCCAGCCCGAGGACATCCTCGCCATCCACAACGCTCTGAAGCCTATCAGCCCTTACTTCTCGATTGCCGCTGGTTTCGGCAACGTCCACGGTGTCTACAAGCCCGGTAACGTTAAGCTGCACCCTGAGCTGCTCTCCAAGCACCAGGCCTACGTTAAGGAGCAGACCAAGTCCACCAAGGACAAGCCCGTTTTCTTCGTCTTCCACGGTGGCTCTGGTTCCTCCAAGGCCGAGTACAAGGAGGCCATCAGCTACGGTGTCGTCAAGGTCAACGTCGACACTGACATGCAGTACGCCTACCTGTCCGGTGTCCGGGACTTCGTCCAGTCCAAGAAGGACTACCTCCAGACCATGGTCGGTAACCCCGACGGTGAGGACAAGCCCAACAAGAAGTACTTCGACCCCCGTGTCTGGGTTCGTGAGGGTGAGAAGACCATGTCCAAGCGTACCCAGGTCGCTCTTGAGGACTTCAACACTTCCAACCAGCTGTAAATCAGCGTTGAGTAGTGTTTTATGTTCCTTAGGGATCTTATGATTTCTTCCTTTTCCATTTTTCTTTTTATTCCCTCTTGTTCTTTACCCTATGATGAAAAATTTTGGGCCGCGCCTGGGGATGTTGGCGTACCGGTTGTATGTAGCGAGATGTCATGCGACACGTAATTGAAGACATTGCGGCCATGTGACCGCTTGGAAATTATGATCTGGAGTTTCATGTAGTGCAATACGTAGGACATTTGTATAAGTGGTAGTACTCATGCATCCGAATTCGGAGTAAAGGTAACACAACTATGATATTTCTCTCTAATCGGCGCCTTTCTTTCGGGTGCATATATTGATTGGACTACAGAACGTGTCAAAATAGGACCTTGCTATGCTCGCCTATAGTGATTTAATTATAGTTAACTAGTTGCGGCATGATTTTCAGGCCTCATATCTATAGTATTCATCATATAACCCACCTTGGCATTTGGTTTTTAACGCTTTTGGTGGGAGCATGACCTATTTTGCAGTGTGATGTCCCGTCACCAGACTCGCAAAAGGCCCGAGATGATGTGACTGGCGTTGTTGTTTTGTTATGATTATTCTAAGGTACATAACCTTGGAATGTATAGCCCTGGAGTTTTAGAGACCTGTCGTGTGTAATTTTGTTTCATAGTATTGATCCATGGATGTTGGTTGGGAACTAAATGTACTCCCACAGTCCCACTGTTGATGGTTGAGTGCCTGGTATATGAGGCAGGAGTTATTGAGGCAGAAAGGCATCAAGGCAACAAGGCGTAAAGGCACCAAGGCATCAAGGCCACAAGGCCACCTACTGCGCTTACAATGAAATTTCAGTGGCACCAAGTCAGGTACTGTGTCAGCGTTACCTTGGAACTCAGACTGATCAATGTTCCAAATGTTCCAGACTGCTACACTGAATGGATGATTGGATCGCCACGAGGCGCAGTCCCCAGTTCTACCAATAGTATCCATCTTCATGGGTCTTTGTATGGAGCGACGTGTCGGAGACGCCACCAGGGGACTCGGACGGGGGTTTTGTTGACGCAAGGAATCCACTATGATTACGGAGTACTCCGTACGAAGTGGAAAAGTGGAATGATTAGGATCGCGTATGCACGTATGTCCCATAATGACACAGTATGTACTCGGTTACATAGATTGATTTCTCTTTCCTCGTCAAGAGGGGGATGATTAGACGGAAAAGATCAGCGCTGATCTTATTGCTAAGAATAAAGCTGTAAATCCAGACCTTGCCGTATGTAATCCTTTGATTCTCCACTTTTCTTCATTCTTGTACATGTCTCACTTGATCAACTTTTTCTCTCTTTCTGTTCCCTTGCACATGGACCCTTAATCTATTCTTGGTTCTCCAGTTCTCCATGTCTACTTGTCATTCGTTTCCCCCGTGATTTCAATATTCGCTCGTTTCCTTTTACCTGGATTCGAGGAGTTTTTTTTGGTGAAGATGGATCGCAGTCAGAGCTTGCAGCTCCGCGACGACTCAACGGATCAGTTTCTCAAGCTCATTTCGAATCCGTTCCAATCGGAGGTATGTTGATCACGGCTATGGCTTCTGCAGCCTCAAAAATATGGCCAGAATGATCTTATACTAACAATCTCACCTAGTTCACCACTAGCTCCATTTGGGCTTCGCTGGCCTATTCCATTGGTTTCTCCATCGTCCTCGCTCTCCTCTTCTCCCTCTTCCGACCTCGTCACTCGCTCGTTTATGCTCCCAAGGTCAAGCATGCCGACTCCAAACATGCCCCGCCGCCGGTGGGCAAGGGCTTCTTTTCCTGGGTGAAACCTGTCATTAAAACCCGGGAGGAACAATTGATAGAAACTGTGGGCCTGGATGCTGCCATCTTCTTGCGATTCAGCAAGATGTGTCGCAATATCTTCATCCTCGTTGGCATTATTGGTTGTCTCGTCATGATTCCGGTCAATCTGTTTGAGAGCAAGGGTAATGCCACTGCCTCGGATTTGTCCACGTTGTATAGGATGACCCCGCTGTACATCCAGACAGCGCCTCCCATTTGGAGCCAGGTCGCATGTGCATGGGCATTCGATATAATTATTGCATACTTTCTTTGGAGGAATTACCGCGCTGTCCGAGCCTTGCGCCGAAAGTACTTTGAAAGTTCGGATTATCAGCGTAGTCTGCATGCGCGAACTCTCATGGTCACCGACATTCCGTCAGCAGACCGCTCTGATGAAGGTATCTTGCGACTCACGGATAAGGTCAACCCCACCGCTGCTTTGCCTCGCGCTGCAATTGGCCGAAACGTGAGGGATCTCCCGAGCATCATTAAAGAGCATGAAGATGCTGTACGAGAGCTAGAGTCTATTCTCGCCAAATATCTGAAACGCCCTGATCACTTGCCTGCGAAACGACCCCGTATCCGCCCACCCCGCAGTCAGCGCGACAAACACCCCGATGGTAAAGTTGACGCCATTGACTACTTGACGGTGCGCATTCGGGTCCTGGAGGAACAGATTAAGCACGGCAGAGCATCTATCGACCGACGTGATGCGAAGCCATATGGTTTTGCTAGCTGGGAGAATATCGCGCATGCACATGCAGTCGCTTGGACAGCTCGCAAGAAACACCCCAAAGGCACTACGATTAGACTTGCGCCTCGACCTAGCGATCTTATCTGGGAAAATCTGCCACTTTCCAAAGCCTCCCGCAAATGGAAGCGATTCGTAAACTTCATCTGGGTTACTCTGCTGACCCTGATATGGATTGTTCCTAACGGTTTGATCGCGGTTTTCCTGTCCAATTTGAACAATTTGGGTCTGGTGTGGCCGGCTTTCGAGACTCAGCTCGAGGCCAACCCAAAGGTTTGGGCTGCTGTGCAGGGTATTTTGTCCCCTGCTGTAACCTCAATCGTTTACCTTGTGCTTCCCATCCTTTTCCGACGTCTCTCGATCCAAAGCGGTAGCAAGACGAAGACTTCTCGCGACCGAAAGGTCATGGGTCAGTTGTATGCATTCTTCGTATTTAACAATCTGATTGTTTTCTCGCTCTTCTCAGCCGCTTGGACCTTCGTATCGACTGTCATTGAAGATACCGATAACAACGAAAACGCCTGGAAGGCTATCCTTGAAAGTCAATTCTACAGCAAAATGATCAGCGCATTGTGCAACGTGTCTCCATTCTGGGTAACCTACCTCCTACAACGCAATCTCGGCGCAACTATCGACCTTGTTCAGTTGATCAGCTTGGTCAAAGTTTGGTTCTCCAAGTCATTCCTCTCGCCTACACCTCGTCAAACGATTGAGTGGACTGCGCCCCCTCCTTTCGACTATGCCAGTCAATACAATTACTTCCTGTTCTACTCCACTGTTGCGATGTGCTTTGCCACATTGCAGCCAGTCGTGCTACCCGTCACCGCCCTTTACTTCGGCGTGGATGCCATTCTCAAGAAGTACCTCCTCATGTACGTCTTTATCACCAAGAACGAATCCGCAGGTGCATATTGGCGTGTAGTCTTTGATCGCATGATCTTCGGTACAATGCTTGCCAATGTCATTGTTGCTCTAGTTGCTATCGACAAGGGAACCTGGACCATGGTGTTTTGCGTCGTTCCACTCCCTTTTCTCCTTTTGGGCTTCAAGTTCTATTGTTATCGAACCTTCGATCCAGACTGCGAGTACTACAACCGCGCCAACCTGAACGATGCCGAAGCCATCGATATCTCCAAATCTAGCAAAAAGGCCGGAGACCGTCTGAACTCCAAGTTTGGTCACCCAGCCCTGTACAAACTACTCATGACTCCTATGGTACACGCCCGCGCTGCCGAGGCACTAAAGCAGATCTACCAAGGTCGTCTCGATGGCGGCGAAATGGCAGGCGAGTACTCCGATATCGCCATGAAGCCAATGATGTCCACTCAACCCGGCAAGGCCAACGACCCATCCGCACCATTCGAGGTCGTTCCAGAAAACCACCTGGATTTCTCGTACTACAAGAACCGCCCAGACTTCCGCGACGAGTTTGGTGGAGGAATCTACGGTCGTCCGGAGGATCTGATGACCGAGCGCTCACAAACACCGCGCAGCCATCTGGGCGGCGAATGGTCACCCAGCTCATCGCGTGCTTCCTCTCCCGCACCCTCATTACCATCTATTTCTGGTCTCAAAGTCAACGATGGATACGAGCCTGGTGAGAATGCGGGACTCATTCACCCGGCTTTCCGTGTTCCACTTTCGCGGGGCGATAGTGGTAACGGCACTGGAGGCGGATTCTATCAGCAATCCAACGAGAGTGAAACGAGACTGCTTAGTAGTGCGCAAACACCCGGGCAGGTTGATTCTAATCCGCTTGATCGATGGCGTACGGGAGGTACTGGATATGGTCCTGTTGAGCAGCAAGAACATGAGGAAGAAAATCCATACAACTATACCTCTTATGACGCCTATCGGCACCAGCGATAATTGATCTCGTTCATACCCTTTTCTTTCCATATCTCACATCATCCTCTTTTTTCAATTTTTGGCGGCTTATCTGTGCATACATATTTCCACTCATTATGGTGCGGTTTTGGCGAACATTCCCTTTTGCTTTAGATGGCGCTGAGGCTGTCTTGCATACGAGACCACGATTTCTCTGTTTTTATTCTTTTTCATAATTCCCTCGGGGTTGTATTTGATGTTTGAATAATGCTGTATCAAACGATATCCGGAAATACTTACTTGAACTGTACCTACTATACAATATTGAATCACATACTTCCACCATCCCTTTGAATTCGTTTTGCTCTTCTAGTAAATGGTACTACCTTTAACAAGTTTGACATGGACTCATTCTCACAACTAGCTTCTATCTCAAGAACAACTTTGGATTTTGAGATAGAAATAGTGGGTTTGACTGACTACGAGATAATTGAGACCGTGGCCAAATCCAACACCTCCGTCCTTTGTTTTCTTTTTTCTTCGACGGTCTATCTGGTGAATGTCATATGCACTATGTACACAATACATTGTGTCTTTTCTTTTTGTCTCACTGCTCCGAGTGCTATCATCTTCTAACATGAATTATTCAACTTGAGCTGATATAATAAATGTTTATCACGCCGTATGCTTCCGCCATTTGAAAATGAAGATCAAATACGTCGCCACAACAGCCATCGTGTAATTGAACAGGATGAACCCAATGAATATTCCCACATTGTGACCTCTTTGAGAATAGCTGAAATCGTATTGTTTGACCTAAACGGATTTTTCGTTGTTAGCGAGGTGTGAAATCAACGGGCAAGTTTCGACTCGGAAATAAATAACCAAACTTGAAGAAGGGTACAACAATAAATAAGACTTCCAAGGTCGGGAGGGGAGAAATTAACTTACATATTCATCACCATTGGCGTAGCTGCAATATTCGCACTGTCCTGTCGCGCTGTCATCTACCAAATAACCTGTCGAATTGGACTGACTGAAGAACGCGGCAGCGTAGGAGCCACACGTCTCCGACAACGGGGCGTTGAATACGCTCAGCTCAGAAATTTGGCATGTAATATCCAACGCATGCATTGCATTGGTACCAATCCCTTCGATGAAATAGTACAGTGGGGAAATATTGTAGAACCAGCGCCAACCACGAGGAGTCAGGGGCGGCGGCGAGAGAGGGCCATTGAAAGTGTTGACTACCAGCCACACAAAGCCGGTAGCAACCTGTGCCGCCAGGGTAGTCGGGAATATGGCAGCTGTAAGCTGGGCCAGACTGGCGACGAAAAGCGAGTACAACTCGTACATGAGGAACGCGTAGCCCGCTCTTGTTGAGATGATGAAATATCCCACCATGTAGTACCACAACAGCCAGTAGATCAGGCCTCCGAGTAAGGTATATGGGATCTCCACTAGAAACGCACTGATAGTAAACACGCTCCAATGATACACGCGGGACTCGTTCTCTCGGGCTAGGAATTGATCCCGTAGGATGATGAACCTGGGCTCGATCTGGAGACTGAGAACAGGGCCGGTGATGACACCAACGAAGATAGAGAACATCCGACCACGGGAGTCTGTCAGGTCGTTGGAAAGTTGTAGGAAGGTCAATCCGTTCATTAAGCCCATCCATATATTTAGCTGGATTTTTCCGAGCACGTAATCTGAGTTACGCCAGTAATTGGTAAACGCACGTTGAGTGACTACTCGAAGCTGCTCGAGATATGAGGCAGCATAAGCTCGATCGGATCCTGCAGAGGCTACAGCGTCTTTCTCCTTGAGTAGATGTTGGATTTGCTTTTTCATGGCTTCAAACTCAGGCGAGTCTTGCCATATCTATCAAAAAGACATAAGAATTGAACATAAGCAATGGCGGAGAGAACGAACCTGAAACCAATCTTCACGAGGGTCGGCGCTGACGTCTAAAAAGTAGTCAGCAGGATTTTCGGTATCAGTACAGCGGCGTGTATAGCGAGCGAAGTAATCGATAATTGTCTTGCACTGCTGACCAAGAGGGCCAAAGTACATCGTCTTCCCTCCAGGAATCAAAAGTAGCAGAGAATCAAACAGTTCAATCATCTGAGAAGAAGGCTGGTGAATTGTACACAGAATCGTTTGTCCGGCATGTGACAATTTACGCATAAGCTGGACAATTGAAAGCGCGGAATTGCCATCTAAGCCAGAAGTAGGCTCATCAAGGAACAGAAGAATGTCCGGCTTGGCCGCCAGCTCAACTCCGATACTGACACGCTTGCGCCTCTCCAAATCTAGTCCGGCGCCTGGGACACCGATGATAGCATCAGCGATATCTTTCAATTCCAATAGCCCAATGACCATCTCAACATGTGCCATCTTCTCCTCGAGAGAGATATTTGCTGGGCGACGGAGTCTCGCACTCAGCTGGAGGGCTTCTCGCACAGTTGATGAATCGAGATGGATATCATTTTGGTGGACGAAGCTAGTCTGGCGACCCATTGATGCTGGGAGTGGACCCCCATCGAGGTAAAGTCCTCCAGACAACACTCCAATTTGAAGCTTCTGTGCGAGAGTGTCAAGAAGGGTCGTCTAAAATGCGTAAAAGTCAGCTGCAATACTCCTGTTTGAAAAAGAGACAAGCTATATAGTCTACCTTTCCCGCACCAGACATACCCATCAACGCAGTCATTGAGCCCGGCTGAAGCCACCCTGTGTCGACTCATCAGAGGGAATCATTCATAATAATATTATTCAAACGACTTTACCTGATACATTATCAAGCAAGCGCTTTTCATTGCCCAGATCAAGGGTTAGGTCCTGCCATGCAAAGACATGATTATTAGGCTTGAAGTAGTTGGCGGGCAATTCACTATCCGACGCCTTCTCAAATATGTCAACCTCGTTCGTCACTGTCGGCTTTTCAATATCTGTTAGAGCAGGAGCTGATGTATTTGACCACGGAAGCGTTTTATAAAAGATAGTCGACATGTGTACCGCTGCGTGACGGAATCTTTCCATTCCGATTCTGTTGGATGCATCATTTTGATTACGTTAGTGATTTGAATAAAACTTTAGGGAATAAAGAGAAACAAAACATACGTGACCAAAACTGAGAAGAAGATGAAGACCGCGGCATTGATACCGACATTCCGCCATTTATGGATAGCATGGAAGCCGTATTCAGCCACAAGATAGAGCTTTCCGGAAAGCTCTAGGCTACCAGGCAAGGACCCCGACACTGCGCATGTCTGATAGCTGGTATCATTGTATGATAGTCCCACAGGCACGGTATCCTTGGTACTGCATTGATAAGTGCTGCCTCCAATCTCATTCAGGGCAATTGACTCGAATATATAGTACATTGGCTAATATAAGGTGAGGTCATTAGATTTTAGTAATTATGAAATTTTTTTCGATCAAAAGACTTACATCGAGGTAGCGAACCCATCCCAGCCAAACCTTCATGCCAGGTGGTGTGATGTAGAAGCCAGTGTAAATGATAAGAAGGTTGAGAAGAAGACCCACAGGCAGGATGGCCCGAGTGATGGAAGTTGTAAAGACTGCAATAGCTCGAAACATCACAGAAAGTGCCATCAAGCCCATATAAAGAGAGACAAGCCATGTGAAGAAATGGCCAGCGGTCCGCTGAAAGTCAATCATCCAGTAAATCGGTAGAGAGTATAAGATAAAAATCAGCTTCCAAGGGATATCAGCAAAAATTTGCCCAAGCGCGTATGCCCCGGTCGGTAAAATCGGAGGGCCTTTTGTTTCAACAAAATCGGGCGTTGAACGAACGTATTTCCAAACTCAGCAGATGCCTGTAGACCCATAATGAGCACACAGAAGAATAAGGCCGAGCAAAGTGTGTACAGCCCTTCACTAACGGCGGTCTGGTTTCGAAATAGAGTACCAAGAAGAAGAGCTTGCACAATAGTTCCTGCGGCTTCGGCAATCCAAGCAGCTCTGTCAGTCATAAAAATGCGATAGTGACGGATAGTGCACTCGTAGACTTGACGATAAAAAGGCAGAGCATATCCAGAGCGTTTGATGTTCAATGATGTGGGTTGCGGCGCCTTGGCTTCTCCGACTGCTCTCTGATGGAAGCTACTCTCCCAGAACCGAATATCAAAATCAGCTGGTTGGAGAGGTACAGGTCGTTGAATATCCTTCCGGGAGATTCGACCGTCCGGAGCTCCTGACATGGACGCAAGGAAGTCCGATATGGAAGTCCGCGAGGAGCAGTGGAATCCAAGCGATTCAAAGTACTCTTTAGCAGACGCAGCCGGGCCATAGTATGCTACATGTCCCTCGTTTAAGACCAATATCTTATCAAACAGTGAAACAGCAAGGTCGCTGGCCTGATAGAGGGACATTGCGGTCTTCGACCCACTGCGCGTCGTATACTTGCGAAGAACAGCGAGGAAACGGATTGCGGTGGAGGAATCCAAACCCCGCGTAGGGTTATCAAAGCAAAACAGACTATAGGACCGTCAAACCAGCCCAATCGATAATTGAGACCTAGGGACAAACCAACCTTGCACGGGTACAAAAGGCCTCGGCGAGAGATACTCGGCGACGCTGTCCACCACTGACGCCGCGAATGTGATCACTCCCAATACGTACACCGGCCACATGGTCGAGACCCATAAGTTGCAGCACAGTTTGCAAGTCTTGCTCAACGATGGATGCTCGATCTGCCAGTGGTTGCGAAGTACTTTGCCGGGCATTTATAGCAAAGCTATATTATATGTGAGTAGCGCTCTTTAGTTGGAAATTCAAGAGCATAAAATGGCGTGAAAGCGTAGACATACCGCAATGTGGTACCTACCGACAAGCTTGGGAAGTGAACATCATTTTCTCCTATGTGAAACGGCCTCAAAATTAGCATGTTAAGAATATTAGGAATGAAAGAGAGGATGTGACACCATACCAACAAAAGCAATCTGATCGGGTTTGTTCGTTTTCGCAGCCGCTGCATCGAGCGATCCATACAAGACTTTTCCATCCATTGCAAGGTACTCTTCACGCATGTTGGCTAGGGCTTTAAGGAAAGTTGTACAACCACTTCCAGGTCGCCCAACAACCATTAGCATCTCCCCCTGGCGAATCGAGCCAGTGATTTTATGCAACAAGACTCGAGAGGAAGCAGGCTTGCTTGACCAGCTAGCTGGATTAGCAAGCTGTAAAAGTCGACGACATGCCCTAGGGACATTGTCAATAAGTTGATGCTATATGGAAATGCGAATCAGTCAGTGATCTAGCGCAACAGAATGTTCAGGAAAAAGCGAACGAACCCCAACGCCTGCTCCTATGACAGACAAATCCTCAAAAATAACATCTCCACAATTCTCTGATATGCCAGTCTGGCGAGCTAGAAAGTCGTCTACCAATCTATCAATTTCCTCGTCTTCATGGTGAGCCTTATCAGTCATGTCCTGATTTTGGAGCTCTATCGGTTTCGTTGAATCACTCATAGCTGCTGGAGTTAAGACAGATATTGAGAGAGGGAATCACCAAGACTTTTTCAAGCGTGTTGAATCAATATATACGATTAATATTCTTCATTATCTCTGTCCTTCAAGTTTGCTCTATTTACCGAAATGATGGCGATATATTACCCAAAGGGGTAATAGTTACTCCTTTGGGCCAAGTAGGTTAACTATGTGGAGTGCGGACCACGCTTATGCTTACAATCTACTAGTATCATCTATTAACTTCAGCTTTTGAATTATCAACAGTGGAGCGAGTGGAGAAATTCAATTTGAATAACAAGATTTATAATAATTGGATAATTCAAATGTTGGACTGAGAGATTAGCGGATTGGAACCTATAAGTACTACCAGTAACTAAGTAGTAAACTTGAAATTTGACCTTTCAAAGATTTCACTTTCATTCAATCATATTCTACCATCCATTCGATCCCTATACGATGTCTGACTGTCCCATTGACCCTGATCAATTCACCCGAGAGGGTTCGATCACAAAAACCTACTACCGAGATGTGTATTCCGCCATTGAGCCATCCAAGCCGGAATTTTCCCAAGCGGACAAAGTGACAATTATCACAGGCGCAGGAAATGGAATTGGCAGAGTCAGTACATAACTTTGTCACATATTGAATTTCAACTCTAACAATAATCTATTTTAGGCAATCGCACGAAGCCACGCCCAATCAGGCGTGAAGGGACTAGTTCTCATCACCTTAACCAAATCCTCCTCAGAGGAAACCAAGAAGATCATCCAAGCAGAGTTCGCTTCAATCGAGATCCTCGCACTCTCCACCGATATCGCAGATGAGAAGGCCGTAGCTCGCAGCTTCGATGCCATCAAAGAAAAGTTCGGAACAGCCCACACTTTAGTTAACAACGCTGGAGTTTTTGCACCTGGCGCTGCTATTGCAGAATCCGACTCAGCCGTTTGGTGGAGCGATTTTGAGACCAACGTACGGGGTACATGCCATGTCACCGCGGCCTTCTTGCGCTTGGCCGCCCAATCACCAGAGGTTAAGCGCACGGTGGTTAATATGATTAGTTCAATTGCGTTGACGCCCCCGACGCTGAGCAGTTACTTCATTAGCAAGCTGAGTGTGGCTAAGTTTACTGAATTTGTCGCTGCTGAAAACCCTCACGTCTCGGCCTATAGTCTGTCGCCGGGTATTGTCTTGACGAGCATGACGCTGGATTCATTCAAACCATTTGCCAAAGATACTGGTATGTCACAGCTTGTCGCATATGCTTGGGAGGGCTTTCCTTTGCTAACTTTTTGATTTACCTCTCATAGCGGAATTGACTGGAGCAGTGACGGTATATCTGGCGGCTAAGCGGCCTGGGTATTTGAATGGCCGCCACCTATCCGCCAATTGGGATATGGAAGAGTTGGAAACTCGCCAATCTGATTTTGCTTCCTCGGATAAGTTGAAGGTCGGACAATTTGTTTGAAAAGCCTCAGCACCAGGCAGGTGGATATGATATAGGTGTGCTATGAAATTCTTATGCGACAGAGTTATATGAATGAAATGAAAGACTTGATAAAGCACGCAGGCTCAAAGAACATATTGTCGTTAAATAGGGACGTAGCTTATATCTAGAGAAATCTCAGGGAGATCGACCAACATATCATTTATTTCATGGCAATAACCCGACCAAGCCTTGAGGTCAAGCGTGTCCGCCCAGGACATTAAATCATCAGTTCCAGGAGTAGGCAAGAAAGAACCGGAAGATTGCTCAGGGTCCACTTGATCCCAACTTTCCGCGACTTGCTCGCGGGCAGGAGAATGGGCACGCGGATGTGATTCAGAAGCTTGTGTGTTGAGTACCTCCATGAGAGCATCGACTCGGCCTAGAAGGTAACGGGCCAGATGAGCTGCCCGAGACGCAATGGGATTTGAAGTCTTTGCTGTGTCAAAAATCTGAAAGGATAGCTCGACATGTTGTCGAGCGATAGGAACCCAATAACACAAAGGATAGGCCAATAGAAAGCCGACAAGGGTCAGGAGTGCATTCCAGACGTATTGATAGACATCGGAGCATCCATAAAGAGCATCGTGGTTGAGCATACGCCGGTGAATAATCTCCGTAACTTTCAGAGCGTGTCGAAGAGCTGTTGTTGCATGGATATCGGCCCCTGGGCTGCGTTGAGGTACTAGGCCATGGCTGGGAAACTGTATGAATGGGCGATGAAACCAAATAACAAGGTCATGAAATTGGAGTTCAAGAAGGGTTTGTTGCAAAGTGAGATTGGGCGATTGATTATACATCCATATATCGTCATGAAGGTTTAATCCTACCCCAGCTGCGTGCGTCTGTGGTTGATTGGGGCTACCCACAAGCACCAAGTTCTTGAATGGCTCCACCTTCACAATACGATCTTTCCATTCAAACAAGCGACTGATTTCATGGGTCAGATACTCGGCAGACAATTCGACTTGTGGGGTGGAATCGTTCACATTAATTGTGTCATGGATATTTGCCAAGGACTCGGCAACTTTTTTGCCAACCACTGTTAACGTGATGGTGGCTACATAAAACCCCAGCTCCGAAAATGCCGGGTCAGTGGATGGATCATCATTTGGCAAGTCAATGGTAGTGTCTCTTAGAGAGACAACCATGGGTTTACCCAGGTATCTCGAGCAGCGAAAATCGAGGTGAACTAATGTCCACCATACACGACTACGGACCTTGGCTTCTGTTGCAGGAACTTGAGGTGCCGGTGGTTTCTGCAGGTCGAGCGACTGCGCGAGTCGAATTGCCGCTCCGGTGATGTTATATGCGGCTAGGACCTCTCCAGAGTTGAGCAAAAACAAGGCCATAAGAATATGGCGTTGGATGTCGGACAGAGCTGGTTCCGCATATAGGAGGTAATGACTGTTTGCCGCCAAGGCTTTCTGGAAGTACGAAGCAAACAAAGTCACGAGGGAGCTCTGCTGTCTGTTGGAAGAAGATTCTTGCGCCTCATTCAGTCCCGTACTGACGCTCAGGAAACGATGATGTAGTCCTGCATGGTAAATTGATTGCAAGCAATACGCCATCAGAGCGTTTCGTAAAGGCTCCTGTTTTCGGTCTTTTTCAAGATCTAGTACATCTGTTTGAGTCACAATTGGGGCTAAAAAAAAAATAACGAGCCCAAAAGATCTCCAGGAGCCTCTTTTCGAGTTCTTGCAGGTTGAACGGGCTCGACTGGGAAATTCTCTGCTCTGCATCTTGAATCAAGTCTGGAGTTGAATATGAGGTCCCAGGAGTGAGTAATTCACTAGAATCTGGAGATGCTTGTGCTGAAATCTGGGACACTACAGAGCAAAATGCATTGATCCGTGATATAAAGCCAGTTAGACAGTCCGGATGGCGGGCGGGGACCGAAGCTGGGTCCCTTGGTGAATCGACCGGTGCGGACGAGGTCACTGAATCTGACTGTGGGGTTGCAGTGCAGATTGGGACAGATGGCCGGATATTCCGGGGTCTATCGGAGCGAGCAGGCGATAAGATATGCGAGGGCTTAGGTTTGACACACTTGACTTTGTTCGTTGTACACTGCGAACACGGTAACATGCCATCGCAGCGAACGCGATGCTCGCGACAGAAATCGCATGCCCGTCGCACTTTTCTTCGCTTAGCCAGAGGTTTTGACCCCTCAGGAGTAAAATTATAGAACATGGCGAAGGTGGGACGTAGCCCAAATGTGAAGGTCTGGGAGGTCTTGCATTGAGAAAACTATGGAAGGGAATAAACCCAGGTGTAGACCGTGTAGTTACAGGCCGCGATACTAGATACTGATTGGGATCCACAAAATGGGGCTTTTCCCGCTCCCCTAACCAATAGGAATCTGAGAAGTGAAGAGCCAATAGGAAACACAGTATTAAAACAGGTAATTTTTTGACGCGAAACAACCTTTGAAGTCCCCCATATTGCCTACTACTGACCCACGAGCTGTTTAGCCAATGGAAGATCCTTGGAACTATCCACACATTGAAATACAGAATAATTATCAAGTACCTGAGAACCAGCTCTAGAATGCAATTTCTAGCAAATTTCTACTAGTAACACTTGAAAAGGTCATCAACATCAACAAAATCATAATCCAAGGATCATTACTCATTACCAAAACATTTCTCACACCAGAACTGCCAATCCCATTTCCCTCACTTGCGAAACGCGATAGCACTAGGCAGAGCAGTTGGTGCATTCTTGCGCGCAGAGCTCTGAATCAAATGCTCAAAAGAAGCAGCATCATCCACACGGGGGTTAAAGGGAGCAAAGTCCCATAGGTAACCCAAAGTGCGGAGCACAGAAGAAGCAGAGTAAGAGACAGTTTCACCCTTATTGTTAGTTCCCTTTTGCTCAACAACACCCTGACTGATCCAAGGCGAGATCAAGAAAGTAGGGATACGTCCACCAAGTCGGTTAAAATCATAGGTATAGTTCTTTCCGTTGGCAGCAAGCTCGGTGTAAGTGAGGTCATCGGGTCTTGTTGCAAGAGGAGGAGGGACGTGGTCGTGGAAACCACCGGATTCGTCAAATGTAAGCACAAATAATGTCTCCTCCCATTGAGGTCCTTGACGGATGGAATCGTAGACTCGCTTAATGAAAGCCTCGCCGTCGGAGATGAGACCGCTGTCGTGCATGGATGTGGTACCGACACCACAGCAGGAGGGGTTTAGGTAGGAGAATTCGGGCAAGGAGCCGTTAAGCGCATCGGTGTAGAATTGGGTCATCGGGACGACCTTGTCCTCGTTGGAGGTTTCCTTGGTCCAGGCGAACCACTGTGATTCGGGACCAGTGCCACCGGCTGTGTCCCAGTAGTTCAACCAGGTGTGGTTTGTTTCGCCGAGTTGTTGGAAGATGGAGCGTTGGGTAAAGGCGTATGTGCCGAATGTGTCATCGTTCTCTCCGTGGCCGGCTGAGGTACCGGCAACAAGGGCGAAACGGTTAGGGTCCGTGGGCTAGAGAGAACAGAGTTTTAGCAATTTTACTTGGTCTCAAAGCGATTGAATGGATCTTCTGATCCAATTGAATAAGGTGGTTTTTGCTTACTCCTGCAACATCGGAATGCCAGTGGTTGAAGGTCAAGAAGTTCTGAACCAGAGAAGTCATAACCGGGACTTCTGCTTCAGTGTAGTAGTTCATGACCTGCTCAGCCAGAACAGACTTATTGACATCGGAGCTATACTTGGAGACCTGCTCGTGGATGAAGCCCTTGTTGTTGGGGAGCAGCTTGCCCTCGGCGATGAGGGTGTTGTCGGGAGTCCACTGGCTGTAGAATTCCATGGTGTTACCAGTCACAGCGTGGCTGGGGTCGTCACCGACGGAGTTGTAGTCTCTGGCCTCAGTACAGTGCTCACCCTCGGAGGGGTCAGTAACATTGTACGGATTGCAGAAAGGACCATTGTTGATTGGGTTATCCAGATCCTTGTGGGTTTGACCACCCAGAAGGTTATCAAGGGACCGATTCTCCATGCAGAGAACAACGACATTCTTAATCTTGGACTTCAGGTTGGAAATGGATGAAGCGGAGTGAGCCTGGTTGGAGCTTGCAGGGAGAGCTTGTGCCGCAGCAGCGAAGGCCAAAAGGCCGACAAGAGCACTGGAATGCATTTTTGCGGGGTTTCCGGCTCAATTGAGTAAGAAGAAAGAAATTTCAAGCTGCGTGCCCAGGTGAACAAATTCTGTTGATCGGCAGCAGACTTGCTTTTTATATGCGGACATCAGGGGCAGCACCAGGTACTCCGCATATTGGTGGGTTGCATTCAATGCCCAGATGTTGGAAAGCTTGGACACACGTGCGTCTGAGGAACACCATGAGAGTAAGCTGCGGGGTTAATGAGAAATCCAGAACAATCGATCTCATCGTACGGAGTATTGCTAGTAGGGATACTCCGTAGTGATTGGGATTGTATGGGATCTAAAGTCCCGAGTGCGCACTTCCCCCCGGGTTGAAAGAGATATAGATTATAAGCATGGTTGCCAATTAAATGTGACCCAGGGACCACGAGGGATAATCAGATCGACATAAATCATATCGGTTAAGCGGTTAGAGTTAAACGCTAGTCTTAGTTAACGGATGTCGGTTCAATATTTGAATGTTGTCCGCTCAGGCACGGGCCACGGCAGAGGGGTCAACTGGTATGTACCTTAACAGAACTTCAAGTTGAACTTGAAAATTGATCATGGCCATTTTGATATTAAGAATACACATAACAGTTTGTCAAAATAATGGAAGAAAAGCAAAACTTGAGTAATCTGACCATCCCGCTCGATTAAATTGTCACCAAAAAAAAGCAAGAATTGTATTTTCTCTGATGTGTAGATCGACAATCTCAACTACCAACCTTGGAAGAAAGGTATAGGCGGCACCGACCGTCTAAGTTAACTCGACCAGTCATTTCTTTCTTCATCAATCCATATGGATACAAGCCTTTGTCGCATTATATTAGGTCCCGCCCCGTGGCTTTCATTTCCATCATGATTGGGTGTCTCCACTTATGTACTTTGAGATATGCATGCGCCTTCGGAGTGTGACCCGATATCGTGATGACTCGGAGTTCGGGGATTCAAGATCTTTTCATGCGTGTTATTACCTTCTCTCCGATTGGAGACTGAGTTTTTCACGTCAATTCGCTGGTTCGAATATTTCCACCAGAGACAATAGATGAAACGTTTGGATTGATATTGATATCATAATTTAACCGCGGAGAAAGAGCAGCTCCCTACAGCCCTCGAAATATAGGGACATACTAAGCAAGTAAAGTAGTACTACTATGTACATGAACTTGTATTCAAGTTTGAAATAAAATCAAGCATCCATACTGACTTGGGACCATGACGTTCCAAGGTTGGAGTGCACTGCTGAAGGAGACCCTGCTATCAGCCTCATAGCCACCATTATCCTGTCGCCTGGCTATTTTGACTCGACAGGCGCATGTGTTCACATTTCCAATGGACAGAGATACCAGTTTGCCATTTCAATACAGAATTAGGTGGAACTATATTCACCAAGTCTTTTCTTGAGATCTTCTTTGATATACTGTTTGTCTTCGTCTTTGATCTCAGACCCACGAAAGTTTGCACAACACCAACACTGTGTACTGCAGTGACCTCTGCCTTTCTCTTTTTCTGATAGATGTCTTCTTTCACAGCATTCACATTTTCGGCTGCAACATCCACCTCAAGCGAAGCAATCATCGACCATTTCCCGACGCATAAACCATTTTGGATCAAGCCGTAAGTTCCGATAGGCATTTCTGAAGGGTGGGGGGAGGGGGGGGAGTTTAGATTCTTCGCTGTATAGATCGTACTCTGCCCTTGCATACTGTGCTCGAGCATCTTGGAGTTGTTTCTTGATTTTTTTCAAGATTTATAGAACCAGACTCGGATTCGGGTTCGATACTTGTGACCTTTTCCAAGGCTTTGGCTTTATAACTCAAAGCTTCCTCATGCTGTACAAGCCCACGTATAGCCTGCTCAGCCATAAATAGATTGACAAGATCCTTGTGGGGCACAAGGTCTGAACCGAGTTGTAGATAATGCGCATCGTAACCTCTGCAATACACACGCTGTGAACCGATTGTTAGAGAACGACCCCTGACCTTGGTAGTATGTTTTTGAAAGGTCAGAGCTTGAATATTTAAGTCCTTTCTCTTCCACCACATAATGAAAATAAATCAAATGGAAAAGACTTCTTTTTTGATAGTGTTGGATGAGAAGGACTATGTGGGTATGTATCAGGAAAGATGAAATTTGAAGGGAATATTTGAAAGAAATTGTGTTGCCACCCAGAATGACTCGCTTTTCACTAGCAGTATACTACTAAGCCTGTTTAAAAGCACCAACAATCTTCTAACCTTGGAAGCCCTGGAGGCTAACCAGACCTATATTTGTAAGTACCAAGCCAAATACTGATCCTTAACCCGTGGACATAAAGGGCTATTTCAGTTTCGAACTTTGGGACACTAGTGCAAGGCCCTTCACTTAAAGCTGATAACTTGAAGCAAAGACCAGTAGGTTAATAACTAAAAAGATTTCTAATCTTCCAAGGTTAGAATGCCATCACCAAGCAAAACCATCCATGGATAGTTCCAAGGTTCCGATCTTTGTAACAAATATTGATCTTAACAGTCAGTTCTTCTACTGATCTTTCAAACTAGAAAGCTTAAACCCCATAGGCTCAAATCTAAGATACCAAGGTGAGAGTAATCTAAGGGTAAAGTAAGTGCTAGGTACCTAGTACCTAGGTAGTTCAAAGTGAAAGTTAAGTTCAATTAGCAACCTTGGAAATGATGTTATAGACCTCGGGAGTGATATAGGTAGCCCTGGAGCCCTGTACCAAGGCACCTTCCAACCTTGGAAGTTACAGACCTACCTACCTAGAGTGAACAAGAATTGGTTTACCTGCAGATTATACCAACCTCTTAATCTTGGAAGTCATGTTCAGTAACACCAGCAGCACCACCGTCACCACCATGCAAAACACACAGGACCTCGAGGTCCCAAAGAACAACACCACCATTCCGTCACTCAAGTGTGTGCGCAATGCCCTGAAGCCCCAGCCCGGGTTATCCCAGTGCTCGCCTGCCTCACTGGCATTATTCTCGCAATGATAGCGGGGGTGGTGACGCTTATATACCAGAAGTATATAGTATCTTCCTTCTTTCCCATCTACTGATTTGAGTACTCTGAGGTGCTGACCTGTTTTACAGATATACGAGCCCATCAGCACGCAATTTGCTGTAGCCCCCAGCGGCTGGCGATAGAAGAACACTGCCGTATGGCGGAAGCCGAGGCCAAGAAATACTGGCAAAAAGGTTGGTTGGCCAAGGGCATAGACCAGTTAGTCGCCTGGATCTGGACAGGAAAAAGGTAAGTAGCAGCTTCAAACATGTCCCGGTATGTACATCAGCATATACTAACTGGGTCATTTTGTCTCAAGGCACTGTAGGCGAAGCCAGTGGGGATGCGGGCGCCTTGATGAAGGCCCAAAAGGCGCTCGATGAGGCCAACGCCAAATCCGCCGCTCTCCTACCCGGCCCTCCTGACCGACCACTACGCCTTTATTACGAGGGCGGGAGGATGTCAAAAGCGTGGCGGTGAAGGGGACGATCATCACCGCCGTCATCCCACCAGCCGGGCGTCGACTGCCGCCACCAGCCACGGTCCCAGAAACGGCACCGATGGCACCGAAGAACCAAGCTCATGTGAAGAGTAATGTTGGGGTTTCTACCACCGCCGTGAGCATTGGCCGGAAGTGTGGATTCGCAGTTATATTCTCCCTAAACAGGCAGTCCCTCTGTTTCTATACACCTATTGAGCAAACTGGCGGAGCTTGATCTAAATTCCTTGTTATGTCATTCGTTTCATGATGGCTTTGATGATTTTGTTGTCCCTTTTTGATTTTCATCATAGCAAAGAACATGGTTCATTACAGTAGTTTTCGAAATCAGCTTTACCAAAAACTCTTTTGACTTAATTCCCGGAAAGAAAGATTATTGGGCTAGTGTAATAATACTGTAATTTCCCATAGAATTGCGTAGAACCACTGTTTTGATGATCTGGCACGATCGCCTATTCCCAGCCGCTTGTCCTGTTTTGCTTTTTGCTCCCCAAATGTACACCAGAAACCAGGGATCAAGGAGTAACACTTGGTTGCTGATCAATCTTGTTGAAGTGTCGACTCTGATAGTTCTATCTCAAAGCTGTGGCCACTTGGTCTGGATAATTGGCCCAAGGATTTTCAGATCGAGGATAGCCTGCGTACCAAGAATGGGATGTCTTAGAGCACAGCGCTCAGATAGACAACCTAGAAGAGTTAATTACTGTATAAGAACTCTTAGTACCAAACTTACCTCGCTAGCACCAATGCTAAATCCCCATTTGAGTTGGGACAATGACCAACTCTACACCCTTCACATAGTTCACTATCATGCGGTCCTCTGCTCTGGCCAGAAAACCTGGGCGGCCGTACCTCAATTCCATTCCATTTTTTCAGCCAGTATGTCACTCTCTCCGCATAGCACCCAGTATCCAGGACTAGCCGACCAACTGCTCCACAATTTCTGCATCGCTGATGATACACTCGTGCATTATATCGCCGTGGAGAGTACATGCGAATTGTAATCGCGACTTTTTTGCTCGACCAACCACTGGAGGAACATCCGCTGTTTTGGCATATAAATCGACCCATAACGTTCGTGTCCCGTTCCTCAGTGTTAGTTTCCTCGTCATCGGCGTCAAAGAAGTCTATTTGAAGCCCTTCCTCGTCTAATAACTGAGCTACGTCGTCGTGAAGCTCTGGGTGTAGCGACCATAATTTCGCAGCTTTGCGTCCCTTGCGTGGCATTTTGAAACTGAGTGCCGGGCGTATAATTCTAGAATGTCAATGATGTCAAAAGCTTGCGCTGAGAACTTGGAATTTGATCGAAATATGGCCTTGAATGGGCTTATAAACAATTTTCTGGGAGAAAGGCTACCCCACTCTAAACAAAGCAGCACCTGTATCTCCTAAGGACAAACGCATCGCTGCCACAGCATGAGTGGATTAGTAGATATGTTTTATATGTGGTATAACACAACGCTAAACGTACATCTAAGATAGGAATAAAACTAAGGGAGATACAAACAGCAACTGAATGAGCACATGTAAGGTAGAGCGTAGCCTATAAACCATATCCAAATGACCGATCTGACCGGGGCTAAGATAGAAATGAGTTTGATGTTGGCTCTTACGATAGGTCACGGTGGTCAGCAAGCCGCTAGGCAGTATTTTTTTTGGCACTGCGCGCTAAGGCAGAGCGGTGCCACCAAGTGGCCGAAAACTATAGGCGTAAGGATTTTGGTATCTCCGAATCAAAAACCGCTACCTCTTGTACCCTTGGTCTTCCCCTCCAAGCCTCGTCAACTTTTCCTATCGTCCTGGAATTTCTCAGAGTCTTTCGCTAGACGGCCTATAGCGTCATCGTACAATCGGTGACTACTCTAAGTCCGTGCATGAATTTCTCTGATTATCCTTTTATAGTAAACCAATTTCCTTGACATTCTGATATCTGCATCACTATCTGGATTTATCTTACAATATAGCATCTTTGCATATACCGAATGAAGGCCGATGGTGGTCACCAACCATTATGGCAGCTCTGCTGCCTCAAAGTCAATGAATCCCGTCGTAGAATGGACATTAAATGTAGAAATCTTCCGAATTCCACCAAATAACGTCGGCTTCCGGGATGGTTTGCATAGCCGGATTATCCCCGCAGCCTAAGGAAGTTACATTCAGCAACAAAGTGATAATCTTATAAGTTGCCTGGAAATGAGTGAACTGGAGAAAAATATGGTGAATTAATACGCTGGCGTGGGAAAATCCAAATATTATCGAGGAGGGGCAGTGAGGTTGAAGTAGGCGCCATAAGGCATCAATGCAATCAGCCCGACGGTTCCGTGAATTATGTACGCTAACCATAGTAGGCTTGTTCGATTTTCTAATGGAGCAATGGGAGAGAACGAAAGGCGGGGTTTAATATATGAGCCTCGTTAGACAGCATCATTCAAAGAGTATGTGGTTGCATCAGTCTCGGGACGTACTATATAGAAGTTTCGTGTAAAATACATTTCCAAACGGCTACCTTATGTTATGCAAAATACAATGTTTACTTTGGGAAGCGGTCTAGGGACGGTTGGTCAGCCACTATACTACTTTAAGACTAGTGTGTTTCAGAATAGAGTTTATGAATCAATCAAAGAAAGTGTAGAGGTAAAACTGATTTCGAAAACTACTGTACTCAAATGATAAGAATCTTTTCAACCATGACACCACCACTACTTATGAATAATTGGGATACAAATCTTCAAAATGTTAATAGTCAGTAGAAACCTTGGAATGAAGCTGGCTCAGAGATATTATAAATTAGAACCAAGTAGAAACTAACTTGCTTACCAGGTAACTAACCAGGTAACTAACCAAGTAGGTAACCAAGTAGGTAACCAAGTAGCCACACACGTCGCATTAGATGTCTAAATCACCGTGTCCCAAATGCCTACATGGTTTGTACTGCTGATCCGATAAGTTACCGTGAGAGATCCCATATAGTTGAGAAAATTGAGAGAGAAGTGAACAGCTCAGTCCCGTTGGACTAGCAGCATAGTAGTCTCAGACTCTTAAGAGAACAGAGGTATTGATCAGGATAGTATGGGTCTTGGTCGGTGGCCGAGTTCTAGTTCACACCAGAGAGCGGGGATCCAGCTTCATCTGAGGACAAGTCTTTTTTTTTTAAATTTTTGATATTTTTATATAAAATATTGCTCAACACGCTTCTTTTATTACATCTCTCAGAAACCAGAAATATTCAAAATTGAGTGAGATATCAAGGATGGTGGTGTGGTGATGGATGTATCAAGTGAGGGTATTCGCAGCATCTCACCTCTCACCCCGATGCGCACTCGATTTTAATGGTCTTGGTTGAATTCCAGCTGCGGCTCATGAAAGACCTTTAATCAAAATTATTCTGTTCAATCTCTCCAGCTTACAGCCTTGAGCATATCTCAGTCAGCCATATCTTCCTCTATTAGACACTCTCCCCTTCTGCCTAATAAACAAGGAGAAATTGACATTCGACTGAGGCTGGTATATGCCAAGCCACAATATTCAGCAATACTCTGCGAAGATACGCTACTTTATTCTGATATGAAGTATTTGAAATATAATTCGTTGCAACTTGCAAGGTATGGTGAAAGTTGCCTAATCGGGCAAGCTTAGATCGGGCCTCGGTATCCAACCGCACAGCTCCACTTGTGCCTGATCGCCTCTTAGTCCACGCGACTGGATTGATGAGCTGAGCCTGCCCATCTGGTTACATATCAAGATTCCTTCCCCGACGAATACGGCTACACGTCACTGCCCAGTGTACGAAGTGTTTGAAGCTTCCAAGCTCGACACCGCCTTTCCTCCGCATTCCGAACCTCCCTTCACCTTCTCCAGACTGGAGGGACCGTGCGGGGAAAGGTGTTCGTTTAATTTGATACATCTCCTTTGAAAATACTCCAATCCTTGCATCCCTCTGTCGCGTGCGTTTGCGCTTGCGCTTCCACATCCACCTCCGTTATTCGGTCACCCCCTGCCCCGATATGAGAATGACACAACTTTGAGCAAACCCCGTTCACAACAGAAGCCAAGCCTTTGAGATTGTTGTTTATGGTCTGGCTATAGAGCTTGGAGAGACGAAGACAACCCCTTTCACTTCTCTCGCAGCCTGTGGAAACTTCTCAATCGCCTCCATCCCAGAAAGGATCCCCGAATAACAGTTATGGCATGGTACTCTATTCTTCCACCACAGCTTATCCAAGTGGAAAGCTGGGCAGTGCGGATATTTGTATGCTCCTCTCCATTCTCAAATGGCAATCTGTGCAGGAACTGATATTTCAAATACATAGTTCCTCCTCGGTTTAATCACGATCGTCCCCTGGTTCGCGCTCATTATTTTCGACGCGGCGCTATGGCTCTATCGAATAATATTGTGGGAACTTCCTTGGATAGGCGGACGAGCGCGGGGTCAACAGCGACCCCGTGCACCGAGCTTGAATGAGCGGCCAGATGGACAACGTCGAGTATTCGGACTGCGTGGTTTGGAAACGGACGGCGATCGCGACGGAGAATCAACACCGAATACACCGACTGAACGGAATTCTTGGGATACGGGTACAGGGAAGGAGAATGTCGCACCCAGTGCTGATGGCTGGGCCCATTCTAACGCAGATGGAGAAATAAAGTATAGGGCAGCTGGGCGAACATGATGGAAAGCTTGACTCCGTTCTCGATGTCCCCCATGATTCAAAGTTTATTATAGTATTTATTGTGTCTTGTCTTATTCCCAAACTGGGAATGGGTTTGGTTGTATGGTGTTATGGCGTTGACTTGGTCTGCTGGGTATGCAGACCTGTGGTTTATGGGGAAAGGGACTCGGGAAGGCATATGCCAGAGGACGGTGTGTTCGAGGTCTTTATTTTCTGGTTGTGAATATATCATTATGCCCATAGTGGGTGTTCTTCATATATAATTTCATCCTCTAATGATAAGCTCCGCGTGAGTCAAGCCCATCGGATGGTTCCGCCAAAGTGGAGAGCAGAATATCCAGAGAGATAACACTGGCACGACCCCTCTGCGGAGTTGGTGCGGAGTAGATGCATCAGGAAAGTCAACTTGGTCAAATCTCAAATTCCCATTTACATCCACCTATCTGTACAACCTTCGCCAGTGCAACGGCAGCTTCCAAGGTTCTTGGCTCCGATTTGAGACATCTGGATAGAACGGGGTCTGGCTGTTGCGGAGATCGCTCTATCGCTGCAGCCGAAATGTCACTTTCTCTAGACAAACATGATCCGATGATTTCATGGAATGAACCACTAGCTCTCAAAATCCTAATCGGGTTAATCCTTGGAATATGTGTTTATACATGGCACCGGTCCCAGCAACGCCCAGATTTTATACTCCAGACAGCGGTCAAGATCGAAAACCAGCTGGGTAGCAAGGGCCCAATCATCACACCTTTAGCAGACTTCGATTGGCAAAAGACACAGCCTCTGCAGCTCCGCCCTTTCCAAGGAAAAGAAAAATTGAATTTGACCATGGGTTAGTCTTATACTACACCTTCACCTCATCAATGAACCCCGCTCTGGTATACACGCAAGGGTATAGCAGTGCTAACATACCCAGCAATCGAGAACATGGATGCATCCGATTTGATACATATGGACAAAACGTACAAAGACAGAATAACACTCCGCCAAAAGCTTCTCGCACAGCACCACGACATCGTAGTCGCAGTCAACGAAACCACAACATCAGATACACGGACCCGCACAGCAGTTAGCGAGCTTTACTCTTTTATACTAGGAACATACCTCCCATCTCGATATCCGCAGATGTTCAAGCTGCATGATCATACAGACAATGAGTCCGAACTATTCGAGAATCTGATAACAGGCAAAGCTTGGCCAACGAGTCTCAGTCCCGAAACACCCACGATCCAGGCACTAGAGATCCTAGCACAAACCGTCGATGAGGAATTCCTTATTCTCCTTCCTGATGCTTCATCCGAACCTGATCAACCGAAATATATGCTTCAGGCGTATGCTACTTGTTTTCCATCTGGGTTTAATACCCGAGAGAAACTCGGCCTCCGTTTAGCTGATATCCATGGTCCTGTTCCTGGGTATGCGGAGAAGCTGGAACGAAGTATGGATCGGTTCTTTGCGAAGATTGAGATGGGTAGGTTTGTGAAGAGAGTGAATTGGAGTGTTACGACGGAGACAGAGCTATTCGCTGCTTTTGGTTCAGTACATGCTTCACCGGCTCCTGAGGATATACAGGATAATGTTGAGAAGGCGGAGACTGAAGCAAAGGCTTTGAAACTTGAAGAACTCGACATTGCGCAGGTATGTTATCTTTCTTTCCTTAATAGGAACGTGCTTGTGACATTATAGAGATACTGATCCTTCATTAGACTGTCCTGCGCTGTGAGCGCCAGACTCTCCATCGATTGCCTTGTTCAAAAGCTTTGGTTTTCGCTTTTCATACATATACTTATCCTATACAACAAATCAAGGATGAAGGGCTTGGTGAGGATCTTGCTGTAGCGATTGATGGTCTCAAGTATGGAAATGTACCCGCTATACATGCCTATAAAAGAGGAGATTATTGGGGAGAAGCTGTAAAGGAGTTCTTACGATCCTGACAAACCAATAAAGTGAATAACCTCAGAAGCACTTGGGCATAAACACTTTCGGCTTTCTCTTTTATTCATTCATCGGGTTCTTCATTGCATTCCTAAGCTTTTAAAACATCTTTATCATTTTGTCGCTGTGCTTACTGCAGACGCTCAACAACCTTGAGCAGATCCGCGGAGACACCCATAGCAGTAACATCACCACCAGCGCCAGCACCCTGGACAATGAGGGGGTTGGCACCGTAGCGCTTAGTGTAAAAGCTAATGATATTATCACTGCCCTTCAGACCCGCAATGGAGCTATCCTTAGCAAAGTACTCCAGACCAACCTTAACACTCTTGGTAGCAACATCAATGCTACCAACGTAGCGCACAACCTTGCCCTGTTTCTCAGCGGCATCCTTGAGCCCCGCCATCTGGGCATCAAAGTCAGGCAAGCGAGTCATGAACTCCGAGATACCCTCTGCAGAAGAAGGCAGCGAAGCAAGCTCAGCAGGGATAAGAGACTCAATAGGGAAGGATGAGGGACTCGAGACTTCCAAACCAGCCAGACGGGCCAGGATAGTCAGCTTACGCGCGACGTCCATGCCGTTCAGGTCATCACGGGGATCAGGCTCAGTGTAGCCGAGCTCCTTTGCCTGGGCTACAACAGTGCTCCACTGCGCATCGGAGGAGCCGGAGGCAGGTGCGAAAGTGTTAAACAAGAAGGACATGGTACCGGAGAAGACACCCTCGATGCGGGTAACTTCGTCACCGGTTGCGACGAGGTCCTTCAGGGTGGAGAGAACAGGAAGGCCAGCGCCGACGGTGCTCTCGTGGTAGACAAGGGCCTTACCCTCGGCGGCGGAAGCAAAGATATCCTTCCACAGGGACAGATCATCGGAGAAACCCTTCTTGTTCGGGGTCACGACTGAGATGCCCTTCTTCAGGAATGTGGGGTACTGGCGAGCGAGGTTGATGTCGGAGGTGTTGTCAACCAGGATGGCGCGGCCAGGGGCAGCGGCGAGGTATGCGGCAATCTCCTCGGCGGGCAGAGCACCGGTCTTGGTGAGAGAGGGTGCGGCGGAGGCTGTGGCCCAGTCGGCCGCGGGGATGGCGGGGGAGTACGCCGGTGTCGGAGCGAGGAGAGTCTGCGAAGAGCGGGCAAGGAGAACGAGTTGAGGGGCATTAGGGAGACGAGCGAGCTGGGAGAGGAATGCGGTACCAACGCCGCCAACACCTGATTCAATTGTCAGTTCTGTTGGTGGGAGAATACCATAGGCATTCAAAAAAGATGGAGGGGTAGCATACCGACAACACCGAGATAGATAGGGCTAGACATTTTGAGCAATTGCTTGAAGTGCTAGTATGTTCTGAAGGTATAGAGTATGTATATGGATTGAAATGAGCAAAGTCAGATATGTAATGAGAAATATCTGGTCAGACTCGGAGAAGTAGATGATTGAATAGATTGCGCGATGATCTGCTTGACTCAGTTTAACATTGCGGGACCGGCCCGGAGATATGTATTCCCACTCTTTTGATACTTCTGGATTATATACTAGAGCTTCGGTTACTAAGAAAGATAAAATTGTACAATGATCTTGAAATGCATTATTTTCTGATCAAAATTATATCTACTTATTTGTCCGAAGAGTCATTTCAATGCTAGTATAGGAATCTGACGTGATTTGTTGCCTTGAAGCACAGGCCACCAAGCTCTTATCGGACCTGTTATCATTTCTATCTTCGCCTCCATCATCATCTGGACATTATTGACTGTGGTTCGCTTGAGCCAGAAACAAAGCATGGCGTCCGATCAATCTTCTCTATATGGGAAGCGTCCCACCAAGAACACAAAAGCCCAAGATATCTCCAGCTCATCGAACCTCGCCTTTACAACACAGCTCTCCTCCCTCATAGCCCAAGACAGCGGCACATCACGCAGCCGAACCCGTCCATCAAAAGCTCCAAAATCCGACCTCTTCTCCAAAGCGAATAAAGGCACCGAGAAGCGCGCAGCCGCCGATCTTCGCGATGACGGTCACACCCAGCAAGTGCATAAAAGCAGCAAGGACATTGGAACAATCGACGATGCGACGCTCAGTCGATCCAAGCGCAAGATGGCGGAGAAAGTCCGACAATACAACGACCTAAAAAAAGGTCTCTACCTAGCTGGAGATAGCAGTGATGAGGAAGATACACATCAAGCCAAACGGTCACGACCAGAGGAATACCTTGCTCGACTTCGGCGCAAGGAGAAGGAAGGTCTTGTTGACTTTGATCGAAAATGGGCCGATGAGGAACGCAAGCGACAGGGCTCGGAATCTGGTTCCGAATCTTCAGCTGATGATGATAATGCTTCGATAATCTCCTACGAAGATGAGTTCGGGCGATCGCGTCGTGGAACAAGGAAAGAAGCTGCTAGTGCGGCGCGCGCGAAAGAAGAAGAAGCGGATCAAGGGCGCTCAGTACAGGAACGGTGGAAACCTGCTCGACCGGAAAATTTGATCTATGGCGAGACTGTGCAGGCTGAGGCGTTTAATCCGGAGGGTACCATCGCAGCGAAGATGGCGCGTCTTGCGGCGAAACGGGATAGATCTGCTACGCCTCCGGAGGAGGTTCACTACAATGCTGATGCGGAGGTGCGGAATCGGGGAACTGGATTTTATTCTTTCTCGACGCATGAGGTTGAGCGGAAGGAACAGATGGAGGAATTGATACGGGCGCGTCAGGAGACTGAGGCTGAGAGACTGGTTAGAGTGGAGAGGAAGGCTGAATGGGAGGAGAAGACGACTCAGCGACGACGGGAGATTGCTGCGTTGCGGGAGAAGAGAATGACCGAGAGGCTGTTGAAGGGCCTCTCCGGCATGGAATCGTTGGTTGGGCAGCCTGAGCCGGAGAAGTGAAGGTCTGCAAGTTCTACTATGTACTTTTTATGATACCCAATATTTTATTTCTCTTTTCTGTTTCTTGATGGTCTGATCGTTCCTAGGAATATGGATTTGCCAATGATTTTATGCATGGATTCAAGATTGTAGATCAGTTCGAACTCAAAGCCAGTTAAACGAGATATCCAAAAGCCAACACTACCACCAATTGGTATCAATGTACTCATGTAACATGTTCACGTCGCTGGAAAAGGATAACTGTCGACACCACCCAGTTGATGTTCCAGAACAAACATATAAAAACCGAAATGAAAGGAGCTTTTTATCTTGATCATGATCATCACAGCGTAAACTCATGAGTCGTAAGCCTAGGAAGGCGTGCTTCATAGATGGCGCACCGTAAATACAGGTGTAGTCGCGGAATCAAGCAAGCTCATCCATCATATCCAAGAAACTGTCGGCATCTAGATAAAGATTGTTAGTTCGAGTACAGCTAGCCACAGGAGTCATTTGAACGAACCACTCCGGGAAGTGAATTTGAGAATATGCTCTCCACGAGCGGTAGATGGGGGAGAATAGTCCTCGGGAGACATGAAAATCGTTAACTTCAGGTCGCGGACTGCGACTGTTCGCGAATCCAAGGATTTTAACCATCGTGATCGATCGAGAAGATGAGTGACGAAAGCAGTCCATACGGGAGTACTAATTGATGTTGGGTTAGATATTGCGCATAACTAGCTTCATTATTGATCTTACCGGTCCATATCCCCTTTATGAACAGAGGCCTGCAATCGTACAGCTCCGGTTGTCTTGTGCTGATAAACCCGCAAGGCATGAGTATAGCTGTCGTCATCGATGGTGCTAGATGGTGTCAGTATAAGGCACATATATTCTATACGTTTGAAAATAGAAGAAACTTACCCGCCATATAGCTCCTCCTCATCCGCCAATTCGTGATCCTTGATATCCTCCACGGGTCGACCGCCATCTTGAGAGCGAAGAGCCAGGAAAGAACAGAAGAAGACCACCATACCTGTTTCCTATATATTAAAGAGACGCCACAGATGAACTGGAGGGAATCAAACATCACACTACTTACTTTCAAGAGTCGTGAATTTGAGACGTGCCCATAGAACCAGTTCCCTGCCTCCGTTTCGTCTTCGACACAGCTGGAGACAGCAGTCCTTCTGAACAACCTCCAGCATGTTCAAAGGTAGACAGAACAATTCACTTGGTCTAGTGCGGTGGGGCACCTTGCAGACAATTCGAGCACGATGATCTCTGTCACGCAAATAGAAGTATGTATTCATCTCCGAGGTGTCATTAAAGGCTCTGTGGGATAGTTAGGGGGCCAAACTCCCGATTGATGATCAAATCAGAACTTACAATTGGAGAATCTTCTCAAATCCTTGCTCCTTCAATATTGGCTTAATGTTCGTCTGAGGCTCATCAAAGCATCCGGCTCTACAAATTGCAATGTTGTCAGCAGTGTACCCCAAACAGAGAGGAATGTGGTTCTGACTTGTCTGTCGTGTCCGAAATGGCAGTATTAGTATTGTAGCTACTAAATACCTCCCTCACCCAGTGATATTGTATCGCATCATTCTGGGTTGACTGGCTATTCGCTGTACCAGCAGATCCAGACCCAGTTAGGGGTGAACTAGGTGCCTCAGGAACCGACGGAGGGATGCTATCGGAGAATGTCCCAGATAAAGGCGACAGAGGGGACTGTGGGGATAGATGTGCTGGACGAACACGCTCAAACGACCGGCGCCGGCGTCGGTCACGGTCACTGACCGGACTCGGGGGATCAATCACGACATGGCCTCTGGAAGGGGGACGTCCGTTATCGATCACCACATTGCCTCTCGAAGGAGGTCTAGAAGGAGGTCTAGAAGGAGGTCTTGAAGATGGTCTTGATGGAGGTCTCGACGGAGGATGATTATTATTAACCGACATGCGTCCAAAACGAGAAAGTACGCGTTGTTCCTGTAGTGCGAGGAGGTTTCTCAGACTGCTACGAGAGGAAGCGAGGAGCGGAAGTCCACTGGGTCGACTAAGAAATGACGGACATTAGTATAGGCCCTAGTTGATTCAAAAGCCCAAGTGGGCGGTTCTGTTTCTTGGTTTGTTTGATTTTGTTTGTTGCTGCCCAAGGTTACATACTCCTTCATCACTTCAGTCGTTTCTCTTAGGAAAGTCTTATATTTCAATAGTCGAGTCGAAAGAGCATATTGCGACTCATCCCAGAAAGTCCGTTCCAGCGACATCCAAACCCGCCTATAGGAATCAGGAGACTCTTTCCCCTCTAACCGACGGAAATGATCGAAGATCTCGTCCAGTGTGTACTTCAGGCTCTTGCGTAACAATTCGATATCAGGCTGAATACGGGCCCAATTGCGCCTATAGAGAACATCTTGCGAAAGGGTCTCTATGGCAGTCAACGATGAGCTGATGGCATAGAGATCAGAGATCAAGCCAGTAACCTCTGCCGCATGGTCGGGCAGAGGGCGACGAAAACCGGTGAAGCCATCTGCCGCATCCTCGGCGTCTTTAGCAGACGTGCTCAGGGCCATGGAGTGGTTCAGGCCATACGGGGGAAAAACTTGAGTTTCTGGATTCGAACCAAGAAAAAAAAGAGGGACTCGAAGGTTACGAGAGCCCGACGAAGGCAAAGGCAACAATGTCTCACGTGGGATGCGGCTCTTACTTTTTTTTTTCACCCTTGCGTCTTGTGTCCTGACGTGGTCGCGCGGGAATGGCGGGGCTTTTTTTTGGTGGGGAGGGGAAGAGGAGGGGAAAGAAGCAAGTGGAATCAACACATCCCGGTCTACCTAGAACATCATCGATAAAGAGATACTTATTTGAGGTAGATTCGACCTGTCCAATTTGTTAAATATTATAACGATATGAATATTATTGGATTGATAGACGAGTTTCCATGGTTCTTGCACAACTTTAAGTATGCATCTGTATGGTCCCCACTTGGTAACCCTGGATGAGTCCTGTGGATGAGCGGATCCATTTGGACTGAATAGAAGAGACAAGAAGGGTAGGTGGAATATAATTCATTTGGATCTACGAATAGAGCCAACATGTGAAATATTCCAAGATCGAGATTAAAAAATAACCAAAAAATATTAGTATGGGTGGTGATGGTTGTTGTAGAAGTACTCTGCTCCCGTTGTATAGGTGCCAGCGGTGGAGGACTTGGAGTGTCGTCAGAATAAAACATAAAACATGGTTTGAAAGGGGTAAGCCCTGTTCTTTATATCACTATGTGAAGAACCAAGGGGCACCTGGCTCCATAGTGCTGCCTATGAGGCTCCATAAGGCTCGTATCCCCATTTGAGGCTGTGTATCAGTAGTCCACTCCAGGGCTGATTTGTCCTTGCTAGCGCCAAGCTATACTAGAGAGATGACTATTGCAGCTAGTAGTCATCAATCTTTGTTGCTGACATGCAGACTGCTGAGGGCTTCATAAAGTGCTATAATACCATCCTATGCAGAGTATCTCCAACTCTTCTCCTTTGTTCAGATATTTTCAAGACTCTATCTTTGTTAGAGCATGAATGGACAGGGATGTGTTCAAGGTCCAAGTGTACTGGACCGCCCCTCCGGAGAGATATCACCTTCCTCCACCCTAATAAAAGGAGTTCAAAGTATGAAGGACCACATGAGAAATAAGGAGGGTTCATTTCTAGTGAATGTATAGGAGGCCGGATAACATCTTAGATGGTGGAATTAAAGGCGTAAACAGAATGATTAAGAAAGCTACATTTGATGCAGCTGTATGGTAGCTGAAGAAGTCATCGTGGGTTACTGTGACAGCTTCACTAATCTGGATCATGTGTGCTGTGATAAACATCGCAGAAAGAAAGGCAAATAAAAAAAATGAGGCACCCACAACTCAAGGTTGAGACCGTTTGTCTCATCGTGGGGCACCTCGCGTCAAGGCGCATTAGATCGACACTTAAGCTTTAGCCGCGACGTACCCCAGGCTCCGCAGGGCACTCGAGTAGTATTTACATACAAACAAACAAACAGCGTATCAGGGAATATGGATACTTTGATTAGACTAGTGTATAGCAGACCAGGCTTGCGTTGAGAAATCCAGCGAGCATGGTCCTGGCGATCAATCAGAGCAGCCAAAGGATACAAGAGACTCCAGTTCTCAATAGAAAAAGAATAAATTAGAGAATTCGGCGAAGGTAAACATGACTGTCGAAAGATACGAGCGTCGATATGAAAACCATTTCCCACGAGAAAACACTAGTTCAGGGCCGAATTCAGACCATCATAAAGCAAGCAAAAACCACCGAGGAACCCGTCCGTTAAGCCCATAAGTGATAAAGCGACAAAGGAAAAGGAAGACCGAGGAGAATCACTAAGAGAGCACACGAAAAACGCCGAGATCCGCGCAGAGAAAAGTTGCGGAGGGACGCTTAGGAGGACTCCTCATCGTCATCAGCAGCCTCGAGAGACTGTAGAGCATGTTAGCTGAGAACCAAAAGAAAGTGACATGGGATTGTGAAGAGACAGGGGTGACTCACGGCCAGGTACTTGGCCTTCTCTTCCTCGTAACGCTTCTTGTCAGCGGCAGCCTTCTCATCGTAAGGCTTGCGCTCAGTGTCGGTAAGGGCCTTCCACTTGTCACCAAGCATCTTGCCAACCTGGCCTGTGATAGAGATTAGATCTGTTACAAGACAGACACGGGATGCAGAGAAAGGCTTACCGAAAGAGATACCGGGGTTCTCCTCACGGACCTTGTCGCGCTGGTCGTTGGCGAAGAACATGTAGGCAGAGAGACCGCGCTTGGGGGCGTTGGGGTCTAAAGGATGAGTTGTAAGTATACGCAACACGGTGAAGAGCAATTGAAAAGAGATATGGATGATATACCCTTCTTTTGGCGCTTGGCCCTGGCCGGCTCCTTCTTGTTGCCGGCGTTGGCGCCGGCGCGAGTGCTGGGTGCCTTAGGCATCTTCTTGGATTTGGTTTTGGGAGCTTTAGGCATGGTGGTCAGTTTGGTACGCGCAATGTTGGATGATCGGAAGATATGTCGCGGTTGGACTGAAAATGGGAACGATGGAACACACGGTGGTGAGGGAGGGGGGAAAAGAGAGGAAGGAGAAACCACCGCTAAGAAAACAACGCGATTTGGGTGGGTGGTCCCAAGTCGCTTCACAGACAATAGTAGCAAACATGGGCCAAAACACGCGCGTGGGCCATGAATGCGCTCTTGCTCAAAACAGCATCTGGGGGCTTGCAATGGGACGAAACAACTCGAGAAGATGAGATTAATACTCACAAGAAACAGGGGAATTAGAAATCAAGTGGTAGTTTTAACACTAAAAGGACCTATATGAGTAGGCGCAAGTTAGTGCCGCGTTTTGACAACAGCGTAAATCGACCGCGCGACCGCGACCGCGACGAGGATTTAAAAAAGGAAAAAGAACCTTGATTGGAGAGAATCAAGGATGGTAGAAACACAAGAAGAAAAAAGAGATGGTGGTGGTGGAAAGAATTGGGGGGGTTGGTGGGTGTATAGATCAGGGAATAGATGCAGTACCTGAGATTGGTCAAAATAGTGTATGGGCGAAGCTGGTAGTAAGAAGAAGGGAAAGAGAGAGGGGGGAGAGCCGTAGTAGTAGGGAAAGAGAGAAAGAGAGGGGGAATGCCCTTGCTGTTTGCTTACCAAGGGGAATGTATGGTATTTGGTGTACCATACTGTATTTTCCCTACTTAAAAAAAGTCTCATGGAACTTCTTCCACCTCCAGGGCTGGCTTACTACTAGTTGGCCCCAGAGTACTTGGTTTTTTTTTCTGTCTTATATTTTTTTTTCTATTATTTCATCGGAATTTCTTAATTTTTCTGATCAATACACATCTTTGATCTCTATATTTTCTTAGATCAATATGATGGGATCTCTGCAAACCCCGTTACAAAAGAATAATACATGCCTCTACCCGTGATGGTTCACACACCCGAGCAAGCCGTATCATCCGTATCATCACCCGTAACATACTCAAGCCCTCTCACAGTGGAGCATGGCTGAAAACCGCGCAGCTGGTCGTACCGTGTACGGATGAAACCCATAATAAAGTGACATCTCAGACAAGTACTCTGTACCAAATACACGGCTCGTCTCCAGGGCTCCAGAGCTCAGCTCCAACCTTGCAAGATTCGATTGAACCGGACTAAAAATCCAGAAAAAAAAAATTGCAATGATTTACCAAAAAAAAGGATAAGACTAAGCAATATGGATTTTCAAAAAATTGCATTATCACAAAAAAAAAAGGAAAGAAAAAGGATTTCCACCCGGGCACAAAATCAAAGCATCCTTTGGCACATAACCTTGGAATACTAAGGTTAATATCAGCTGTGGTCCATTGTATAGCCTCTCACCATCCTAGTCTACTCCAATTCTCCTTGAGCCCTGTTGACGCAATTGGTTTACAACCAGAAGGGTTGCGCGACACTCACGGACAAATGGCACTCACACAACTCCTTGGCCAGGTAATAACCCCGAGATGAATACCACAAGTACGTGGGGGATGGTGTACTGTTACCCTTATCCTCGCCAAAGTACACCCAAGTATACTGCGTACACACGGACTATGTATAGTATTATTTTTTTTCTATGGATAAACCGGATCCCTTCCCCTACATAGAAATGATTTCCCGGTTTCATCCAGGCTGGGTTTAGTCAAGTCCCAGTATTATCACATTAAAGTAATAAAAAGCACCGACCACGGTGTAATAGCACTCATGACCGAATTAGCGCGAGGTAAGGGCCTGGAGTCGCAACCGCAGCCCGGAGCGTTGCTCAATCATAAGCGTGGCGTACCCTTTTGGCGTAACCGCCGATTGGAAATTGGAAATTGGAAACACGGCCTTACACTATCGCCCAGTTTTCCCTCTTCAAGTTGAATTTTCTGGTTGTTTTGAAAAGGATGCCCAGGTGGCTGCCGACATCTTATTATGCAGCGAGGCTACGGGGAAACTGAAATCACGGAATTTGGATTCCCTAGGTAGACTACCTAGGTAATATTTGAATCATCGAGGTCTACGGTAAGGTAGAGATTGAGAGATCTCCAAGGTAAATGGTGATTTCTCCTCTATTCCTTGCAGCAACGGGAATCACACCATGATCACAAGCCGGAAAATATGGTGTATTGGGGCGTGTTCCCTTGCGACGCGTTCTGAAAGTTCCCTCGGGATACGGAGTACGGAGTACAATATGCAGAATATGTACTAAGAGAATAGTAATCTTCGTTAGTTCCTATAGAAACAAGGAATCAACCCTTGAAAGCTATCTCATATCATAATAAACGATATACATCATACTATACCTCTAGATACTATAGTAGGAGTACACATTAAATGAGTTCAAGGTCACATTTCGGTACATCGGTCTTGATGTTCCAGTCCCGCAGGAATCAAGTACCACTCCACTTGTAATATTACCCTTCCACTTCTTCCGGAGAGCGTCATAGAGTACGGAGTATCCTCGCCTAATATCTGTGTAATGCTGGGTTTCTGCAGCCCACTAGCTTTAGAACTAAGATTTTGCTAGCTCTAGACAAGTCGATATATCATTTCTGCAGCTCTACTCCGTAAATTAAACTCCAATATCATATCCTCTACGGAGTACGGAATATGATGAGGGTATTTTTTCCGGCTGTGCGTGCGTGGCTGACATCCCCCTAACAACGCGTAGCCCTCTTATCTATCCACTCCGTCATGGCGCGTGAACAGTGATGTAGACGTGGGTCAACAGGTCTTACACGGCCACACTCCTATTACATGTATTCATACCATCAGTATTTTCTCATGCTAGGGTAAGAATTTCGCTTGCGGAAATCTCTACTTGGTAGATTTTTTTTTTAGACTTAAACAGAAATTATATGAATCATTTAAACTTGAAGATGTATCATTCCTTGACGTATACCTGGTTTTGTTGAAAAAATTTTTAAAAAGTAAAGAGACCTCAAAATACGCCTCGCAATCATTAACACATTAATCGTCACTTTCATCCAGAACCAAAGCTCGTAGATCATCATCATCAGCCCAGTTGAGACCACTACCAACAACCATAGCGCTAGCAATATTTTTCATTCTCTCCCACTGCGCCTTGCTAGTTCTATGCTCGGCTTCGAGAGTGTCCAGCTGCGATGCAAGGCTTGCATCCTTCAGTCTTTCGCGCCAGGAAGAATCTTGCTTCGTGAGATCCAATAATTGGCTCACTAGTTCCTGATTGTCTCGGTTGATGTGTAAATTCTGGACTTCCAGATCAGAAAGTCGCTTAAGAACTTCATTATGAGCGGAACCTAGATTCTCATGCGCAAGCGCTAGCTCATCGCGTCGGTTGATAAAGCGAAGTAGGGCCCTGTGTTATTTTCATGAGACGCGTCGCACATCAGCTTGGTAGTGGTCATACACGTACTTTTCAGGGGTGTGTTTGCTTTGAGATGGACAGCTTTTAAAATCGGATCGGTCATAAGAACCGTTTGCGCAGCTTTCTTTCTAAGTGTATAGGTGGCTCGCGCCTCTAGTAACTCGCGTTCCGCGATCGCGAGCTCCTCCTCCGCATTATCGCCGGAGAGTTCTTCCCGTTCTGTAGAACAATTAGATAAAAGCGCGATAATACGAAAGAAACCAAGGAATAAGGAAAGGGAATAAAATGACAACGAAAGACTAAAAGAAAAGTCATAAGTACCTTGTTCAAGTAAGGCCTTCTCTAGTTGTTGTTCCTGAACCTGTTGGGCAAGCTGCAGGATAAGCAGTTCTTTGTCTGATAGCGTCACGACATCGTGCGTGTCATCTGTAGCATAATCAAGGAGGGTCAGCTCCCCGGGCTGTAGGTGTGGCCGCTGGCCATGTTTTGGAGCCATTGGGAGATCGCGTGCGAGAGAAGATATCTTGTGATACTGATACGGACTTGGGAGGCGGTGGGGAACTCATATGGAAGAGCTTCAGCCCCTACCCAACCTTAACCAGTACTCTCCCCTCTTGATAACACCTGAGAGCTTTTCGCGCTCGGTGGAGAGGAGGGGGATATGTCGTTACACATTTACATTGCTCACTCTGGTGAGCACATACTGGCTGATCCGGTAGCCTTTGCTTCGTATGTTTTGATTATTTTCCCCAGAATCCCGGCACCTGGAGGGGAGCCTCCATTCCGATGCTCCCTAGCTTTATGCACCCGCTAACTAACTCCACTCCATCTCCAGTCCGGAAGCGCTAAGATCATGGATTATCAAGAATACCTCGATCCCTCTTTCAAGGCAGATCTTGATGACTGCCCGAGGGAAGAATGTGAAGATACAGACACTTGCCACCGAGGTATGGAGCTTTGAGTCGGGCATATTTTCTAAATTAAGAGCCCACATTTGAAGCGATTCATATACTGATACATATTGTTCGTTATTCAAATTAGACCGAGATCTTCGTGTATGACCGACAATACCTGAACGAGAATGGTGACGTCGAGCTCCCCGAGCTACCTCCGCCCGAACCCTTTCAGTCTGGCAGCCCTCCAGCATCCCTCTCCGATGAGAACAACCTACAAGCATGGCAGCGTTTATTCCTAGCACGAAAAACGTGGGCCTCGGAACTATTCAGCCGCTGTGGGAGCATCTACAAGGATGTCCAGGAACATAACGACCGGACCAACATCATACATCGGGCTGTTGGGGTTGCGCTGGAGAACCTCAAATCGCACGTTGGGAGCTTGGAACGCAAGTTCCAAGATGCACAGTCATGGGCTAATAATTTGCTGGAGGAGCAACAGGCTGCTCTCGATGGCTGGCAACGTGCCCTAGCAGTGTTGGAGGAGATACCGGCCAGGAAAGACTTCCCTCTTCTGGGGCGGCCAGCGACACCCAAGAAAGACAGCAGCCGGCTGACGGGTTCTCTGAACGATTTCGTTGACGCAAGCGAGGTTCAGCAGGCTGGTGCGAATGCAACGGATGCGCTGCCTCGCTTCGCCGGTCAGATGCAAGAAGTTGAGAAGACCGTGGTCGAAATCGTTTCGGATACCCAGCGCTTGGTGGGAAATATTGACTTTACTCCTGCCGAGAATGAGGACGATCTCCTTGAGGAAGTTGAAACAATTGTAAAAAAGATCGGTTCGGACCATGAACATGTGAATGGTTTAACGAACAACCCGAAGACAGTGGTAAATGTCTCTCGACTGGCACTTAATCACACCCAAAATCTGCTTCCATCCCTAAAACTTGCAAGTGCCGACCTCCAACAGGCTCTCGAGTTAGCAGTTAGGCAGCGGAGCACTGCGCAGAACGTAGCTCTTGGGCAGATGCGGGCCATTTCATTACTCCAATTTCGGTTGGCAGATGCGCACACCAGGTTGCTCAACCTTGGTGTCCATACAAACGCATTCGAAATTATATTTGCTGTCTTCCAGATGCCGATGGTTTATGGCTCGATTCTAATCGAGTCCGTGCGTCGCCGCGAATGGAGCGAGAAGATCAAAGCCGATTCCTTAAATCTGGCGGAAGAGATGGCTGTCTTGCGAGATGAGGAACAGCGACGTCGGAAGAAGTGGCTCAAGAACATGGGAGACCACATATCCGCTGGTGACTCCGCAACACTTGGGATTGAAGTCAATCTACAAGGGCAGGACGAGGAATGGCCCGAGGTGACTCGTAAGGAGATCGAGACTTATATCGAAAATCTACGATCCAAGCATCTCCTTAAAAGTATTGCGGATGATTTAACACAGCAGTTCAAGGATCTAGATTCCCCCACTCGTCAGCAAAGACGACGCGCTAAGGCCTTCAAAAATGGTAGTGTGTTTGACCTGAGTCGGAGTTCAATGCTGCTACGAGGGGATGACATGGTCCGAAGCTTACAGGATGAAAAGACTAAACTCGAAGAGCGTCTCAAGGGCTCTGAAAGTCGTGTTCGCAAGTTGGAGGACCTCCTTCATCGCCAAAGTCATTTCAGTCGACCATCTAGCGGGAACTTTGGACCCGACTTCCCAACTTCACCTGCATCTCCACACCCCGATGCTCTCTCCAGGCGGTCTTCGGTTTCCTCCAGACGTGTTTCTATGACCCAGTCTCCCGAAGACAGAGTACTTGTCCAGCGCATAGTATCACTTGAAGCTGAGCTTACGGCTGAGAAGGAAGCTGTGCAGAGGCTCCACAAAGAGGCTCATGCTGAGCGACAGTCTAATTCAGACAAGTACCAAGAAGCTCAATCGACCAAGAAAGATCTCATTGGGAATCTTGAGGCTCGGCAGCGCGAGTTTGAGGATGAGAGGAGATTCCTTGAAACCGAACTCAAGAAGTATCGGCTTCGCTCCGAAGAAGTGGAAGAAGAGCTAGACAAGCTCATGGATGGACGGGACCATGAGAAACAAGAAGCCGAGGACCGAATTCACCAACTTGAAACTGACCTGCAGAGTGCTCAAACAGTCTCTGCAGAGGAGTCTCAAAGGGTCAAAGATCTTGATGCACGTGCCCAAGCCCAGGAGGCCAAGGAGCAGGATCTTCAGGCCAAGATTGATGACCTCGAGCGCCAGCAAAAGGAGTGGAGCCAAAAGAATCAAGATAACTATGGTGCTTTACAATCGGCTTTCATGAACTTATCACCCGGAGGTTCTGTGCCGGTTGAACTACCCGGCATCATTCATGCTATCGAGATACTCTCTGAGGGTCTTTCCATCCATGCTAGAACTGCCGAGAGCAATGCATCGAAAGCTATGGCTGAGAACAAAGCCCTCGAAGAGAAGATACAGACTCTTGAGCTGCAACTGGATGAAAAGATGAAAGCCATTGCTGACTGCGAGGCTGACTTGGACAGGGCGACAGAGGAACATGCGCAATTGCGCTCTGAAATGGAAGATGTCAAACAAGACTTGGAACAGGAACGATCAAAGTTGAATACGCTGCAGTCTGAAGTCTCTACAGGGGAGAGTGGCTCAGATGCTCTGCGAGAACGAATCGCTGAGGAAGAGCAGAAACACGCAGACCTGTCCCAAAGACTAGCTGATGCAGAGTCGCGAGCCCAGGATTTGCAAACCCAAGAAGCGGACTGGACGAAAAAGCTTAATGTGGCCTCTGAGGCGGAACGGCTTGCTTTAACACGCCATGAAGCTCGTGGTACTAGATGCTATGAGACTTCCCGACAGCTATACTCTCAAGTTGATAAGTTAGAGCGGATGCTTGAGCAGTTGGGCTTTGTAGTCATTCAACAAGATGGTCACCTTGTCATTCAGCGAGCCTCCAAGCTTACTGCCTCTTCATCCGGCCTTGGTGAGAGCCTGGCTCAGTCTGGGATTGTCTCTGCCAAGCCCGATAGTGCACTACTTGGATGGATGCATGCTGACAGCCCAGAAGATGAAGAGGTCAAATTTGCTACCTTCATGGAAAGCATATCTCGATTCGATGTTTCAGTCTTTGGAGATGTAGTTGTGAAACGCATGAAAGATATTGAACTTCTGGCTCGCAAATGGCAAAAGGAGGCTCGCGGGTATCGTGAGAAGTACCATCGGGTCCAGAGCGACGCTCATGACAAGATTGCATACCGCTCGTTCAAGGAGGGTGATCTTGCTCTGTTTCTTCCAACTAGAAACCAGGCTCTCCGTTCTTGGGCTGCTTTCAATGTTGGCGCACCTCATTACTTCCTACGCGAGCAAGATTCTCATAAGCTCTACGCGCGTGAATGGTTACTCGCCCGCATAACCAAGATCGAGGAACGTGTGGTGGATCTTTCCAAGTCGTTGAATGGTGGTACCCTCGACCGACGCTCGCTTGGAGATGCCAGTGAGGCTGCCTCGATCGATGATGAAAATCCGTTCGAGTTGTCTGACGGATTACGCTGGTATCTGCTCGAAGCCGTCGAGGAGAAGCCCGGTGCACCTGCTACCCCTGGAATCTCCAAGAGTACAGTCGCATCTACACCCGTCGATGCCAAAGGTAGTATTCGGCTGAAGCGCCCGACTGAAGAAAGCACAGTTGCTCAGACTCTGTCTAAGAGCTTAGAAAGTCGCCGCAACAGCTCTAATTCGAAACGGGGTACACCTACGCCTTCACAAAAGGCCAACGACTCAACCGTGGACCTAGTTCGTCCTGCTGAGGCAGATGCTAGCGCTGATGCTGCCGGCTCTCAGCCTCGTGAATCTGCTCCGATTTTTGAAGAGGTTCGCCGCGACCTGCTCTTCGGCCCGTGAAAAGTAGGAAATTACAACTTTCATCTTTTCTCGGGTCTTGCATTGTTTCCAAGCTAACGATTTTGGGGTTCCCAGCAGGCTACGAATCACTCTATATTGAGCTCTCAGAAACAGCCCAAAGCTAATGTTGGTGCATCATCCGCAGCTCCTCCCTCTCGATCAACATCTGCTCGACGAGGACGGCCATGGGAGAAGCTGTGGTCCATTGAATACCGTCGCGAGGACGGTCAATAATAGAAAGATTTCTTGGGTTGGTATCTATGGCGTACGATGATTTTCACTTTTCTTAGATTTCCGATTCCACTTTGCCCATTTTTGCTCTTTTTTTGTGACTTTTCTTTTCTTTTAAGAGTGGCTTCTTCTCCATGGTCCTCACGTTTGCCCAAGGCATATACTTTCACGAGATACCCATACGTACAAATTCACTTCGTTTATATTCATCCTGAGTCCCCTTCATCTATTTATTTTTGTCAAACTACTAGTGATCTAACCAAGTACATCTAGTGTACTTTCCCTAGTAATATAGACCTTAGACCTCCTTTTACTACTTGGCTTCCTGCACTTTGATTTACCCCCTGGCATAATAACTGAGGAGAGGTGCAGAATCAGCCTACTACAGTGCGCGAAGCGCGGTGGTACGACTAGCACTATTTGACCACAAAAAGTGAAGATATTCGAACATGGGACCATAGGCCCCGTTCTGTAGATATCACCTTCCACGGCACCTTCTTCTTTCCCTTCCCCAAGCACCTACCGCTGACAGAAGGTTTACTTGTAAGATTAACTTGAAAGTATGCAGAATCGGCCGTCTCCAATTGTATACTATACAAAGCTAATCAACATCTAGCAAGTCTTGGGTATGTGGTGCAGGCGAGCCTCGTTTGGGAGCTAGTAGGATAGGGTGATGTCCGAAAAAGATGTTTTGAGATGATTCGCCTCGCATGAAAGGAAGCTTCCAAGGTCACATTTGCAGTAGGTGGGTGTATCGGAGGGCGACGGAGTGATAATGTCAACTGCTGTTTGACTCCAGGCTGGCTCAAATATCCTGCAAATCTTGCGATGGTTCAATTTGAGTGGGCGGTGTTAAAGAGCCTCCCCTGGATGAGATGTTCTGTTCAAGTTCGTGTTTCCAATTCTCCACAGCTCTGGAGGTAGATATAGTGTCTGGGTGCTCAGAGCCTAAGACTTTTATGCGCAAGGCAAGACATTCTTCCATCAGATTTAGAGCAGCACTGATATCATGAAGCTTCGACCGGGATTTCCAGGTAACGGCAAGATTCGACATACTGACCAGAGTGTCTGGATGTTCAGGCCCCAGGACTCTTTTGCTTATGTCTCTGACTTGTAATTCAAGCTTTTCAGCTTCATCCCATCGGTACTGGCTCGAATAGGCTTCTGCCAGATTCGCCATGCTGGTTAGAGTGTCAGGGTGTTTGGGCCCCAGGACTCTCTTGCTTATGTCTATGACTTGCAATTCCAGCTCCTCGGACTCATCCCATCGACCTCGACCCCGATAGGTTGTTGCTAGAGCAGCCATGCTGTCTAGGGTTTCAGGATGCTCAGTCCCCAAATCTATCTTCCTTTTTTCCATCACTTGTAACCTCAACTTCTTAGCTTCCCTCCATTTACCCTGCTCCTGATAGGTTGTTGCTAGAGCAGCCATGCTACTCAGAATATCAGGATGCTCGAGCCCTAGAACTATCTTCCTTTTCTCCATAACTTGTACCTCCAGCTTCTCAGCTTCATCCCATCGACCCTGGCTCCAGTAGTTTTTTCGCTAGATTCGCCATGCTGCTCAGAGTATCGGGATGTTCAGGACCGGACCTTTCCTCTTCCATTTTTAATACATCCATGTACAGCATTTCTGCTTCATACCATCTTCCATCACTTTGAAGACAGTTCGCAGCTCTATCCATAGAACTGATATAGTTGTTCCGCTTATCCATGAAGTCCTTCTCACTCAGAAAGCAACAAAGCATGGGGGGGAGGTATTCCCGCCATTGTTTTCGATTTGTATGATCATGATTCGGAAAAATATTATTAATATGATCTGCCGCTCGAAGAACGCAATCAAAAAATAGGCCGTTCTTTCTGAGGAAACTGCGGGTAGCCAGGTGCACAAGTCTGTGTAAGTTGATATCCTTATCCTGCCGGTTTGTAAACGAATATGCATCTAGAACCCCAAGTGTATCCCTTCGGCGTTTCTTGGACGTTGGCAGGGGAAGTAGGGAAGTGGGAATGTTTCGTGGGTTGCAGCATGCCATGAAGAAAAGGGTGTCGGCCGCTAGCTGATTTTCATGCTGAATGCGTTTAAATGATATCAACCACGTCGTGGCGACTGAGTTCTGGATTTCTTTATACCGCCCCTGATCTGTGAAGTCTTCACTCAACAGTTCAACCATTTCCGACTCTTGCTCTTGTAGAAGCTCCAAATATTCAGACAGATCTAGACCGTTTTTGGCTATGTATGCCGAAGCCTGGGCTATGGCCAATGGGAGGAAAGCGAGCTGCTCAAGGAAGGGTATTTGCACTGGTCGGGTCTTTCAACAACTCCTTTTCACTAGCCAATTCCTGTAACATTGATAGTGCTGTTTCTTTGTCCACATCGGGCACAGGAAAAATGTTCCTCTCCGATAGATCAACCCCGAGCTTTCGATTTCGGGTTGTGAATAAAACGCGACCTTGTTCATTCTGTGGAAGATAGTCTCGAAGTCTGAGGCCCACTTCATTGGGAGACAGCCATATGTCTGGATCATCTGCGTTGTCAAAAATCAACAGCCACCTCCCAGCACGATCGGAGCTAAAGTGGGTTTTGAGCTGTTCTTTAACTTGTGCTGGGTCGAGGTCCTCAAGCCCAATGGTCTGTCCTATTTCTAAAAATGTCTGCTCAATCACCGCCGGGCTGGTACAGGGAATCCAGAAGACTGAGCACCCTTCATCCTTTTGTCGGATGCGGTAGGCTAGTTCCAGAACCACCTGGGTCTTTCCAACTCCCCCCCAGGCCTGTGACAGCGATTTTCCTATGACCATAATGCGCGGAGAGACATTCCTCTAGCTGCGTGATGATATCTTGACGACCAACAAACCTTGGATTTCTTGCTAAAGAGACCACCCAATGACGGGAAGTTTGGTTTGGCTCTTTGCAGAACTTGGATTTGGAAGAGTAGTCGGGAGGGAGTAAAGCAGGGATTTTGTGTATGCGGCTGCTGTCAAAGCTGCATATCCCTGCCATTCCTTCTTCTTGTGAGAGTCGCAGTAATCACAGATTCTTCGAATCACAATGGTTGGTAGTTCGTCCACGATGCCTGCTGCCTCCATCTCGAAACAAAGTATTCCATGCTGTTTTGCAAGACGGTCTCGTGTCTCTGAATCCTTCATGACCTGGTCTCCAGAAGCAATAAGCCCATAGTGAATACGAGGTGTCCTGGTTTCACGGGATGGTCGGGGCACTAATTGCTCTTGGTCACACATTTCACAGCTCTTCGATTTATCGACATGATGATAAGAGGAACAGAAAAGATAATCTGTTCGAAGGTCTGGGGGTGAAAATTGATCTTTCATATCAGAATTCTGGCTCAGCACATCTCTGAGAATTTCCGAGATCTTCTCATCTCTTTTGATCATCTGTATTGCTTCTTGAGAGGAGATGTGTGTTAAAAGAAATTTTGGTGGTTTGTTAAGAGAGCCAGTCAGCTCTAAGTGTCCACCTTGAATCGTCTTGCCATAATCATTTTGAATCACTCCACTGTATTGTCCGGTTGGCTGAGCCACAACCACATCACCCAGTCGAATGTCATTGCTAGTGCCTGGGACTCCACCTCCAATCCCCACCATGAGGCCCAAGCGGATGTTTGGAAAGTTTGATTTTGTGTGAGCTACGACTGATGTAGCAGACACCTTTCCATATATTCCTTTTGGAAGGCAGGCAATGATAAGATAGTGCCCTTTTATTTCACCGAATATATAAGTGTTCGGATCAGTGGCACGCTTGGGCAAGGGAACATGGGTTTTATCTAACATCACGCTCGCTGCGGCCATTTCCAAAGGTAAGGCGCATATTCACGCGACTGTATAGTCATCGTGGGTGAAAGAAGCCATTGTGGGTCAAGAAAATGTGACTTCTTAGCGTTGAGAAAGCTAAACAGTGATAAGGTTATTCGGATAATATAAGAGAAAAAGTAATAATGAAAGAAGTAACTTGAAGTGAGGGGTATTCTCAGCCTGCTGCACATATGCGAGGTCTCGTCGCCTTGTCACACTGCAGAGTCCCCACTTACAGCAGCGCGACAGCGATACTAGAACATTGAACATGGTACTGATCATGTTATTTTGCAGCTTCATCAGAGGGCTTCAACTCACCTGCTCGACAAGCTACCCCTTGACCTGTCATTCAAAATACCCATGGACATCCATGGATGTGTAGGAGTCAGTAGGACTTGATTTCGAGAGATTTAATAACGTAACGCGACTCGAAGCATCACCCCAAACTCTCAGGGCTAGAGCACTTGATGTTTTCTGTACTGTAATTATGATATGTTATAAAATCCAGTCTAACAGAATACCTAGGTATGTTCTAGTGCCCTGTAGTAACGAAATTCAAGTTGACAAAGATACATCCTTAGCACTACTAGTCTACAGCCTACAGGGGTCACCGTCTATAACGTCCACACGGCCAAACCCCATTTCCTATAATGAACTTTGACCGCCTAGCTCACCGCTGGTTCTATTTCATTTCCTCCATCTCCCAGTTAATCCTACCAAGTATTATATACTATAAAGGTAGAGTAAAAGTTAACCGAGAGATCAGTGAGAGATAAGTAAGGGATACACTTATAGCCTTTTTTTCTGCCAGCCATATAAGGGCTCTGGGGTTAGCTGTTATATAGTTGGATCAATGGATAGAGCAGCATAACTAGCCTATAACTAGTAGCCTAAGCTTGGAAGAAGCTATAAGCTGATTCTGCCACTCTCCCCGGGTATTATACCAGGCGGTGAGTAAAAGTGCAGGGAACGAAGTACTAAAAGAGGCCTCCAGAACTCCAGCTACTTTATATAATACTTATTTAAGAATTCAAAATGATTGGGGCCCAAGACTATATTTCGCGGGTTCCCCTTGATCATCTATGTACATTACTAGACTCTACATAACCTGGAGGCCACTAGTCACTTGACTAGAAATTTGAAAGAGCCAAAAAGCCATCTACAATTTATTTATCGTCATTGGTGTATGTTCCAGGTTAATTTGAGGAGAGCCAATCACACCATAGAGTGCACAGACTATTGTCTCTCGCTACCAGGTCACCCGATATTATGCAGGATAACCGAAGGTATGTAGCAGCCTCATATCTCCGAGTTAGGTGTCATGGCACTAATAAAGGATATTATTATTACAGATAAACTTGGAAATATTTCATATGTCTATGATGATGAGGCTTGACATTTGACATTTCAGCCCTGGAAACAGCACGTAGTCAGGGTCTTAATGTACTCAAATCTTAGTATTTAGTCAAACCGATGGAGCCTCCAATTTGAAGTTCAAGTTGCTAGTTATCTCCGGTTGATCCCGGAAAATGGGGTGACGAATGGATATACCCGCTTTAATCTTGGAATAACAAATATGACTCAGTTGATGAGCGATTTATGCCAGTGGATAGTAATTTCATACTACGATGCTTACATGACTCAGTTCCACAGCCCTAACTGAAGATTTGGAAGGTGCTCCAAGGCTACATCGATGTTGATCTCAACTCAGCCACATATTCTCCGATTTATGTATCGCAGCCTAAAAATTCATTCAATCATAACTGGATTTTTCATTAAGTAGGGCATCCAATTTCTAATAATAAGACCCTGGGTGTGGACCCCTGAACGGCACCAAACCCCATCAGGACCATAGTCCCGCATAACCCCGAGCTTAGCGTCGAAAAAAGGGTCTATTCGGTGAACCCTAGCCTCAATAGTGTCGGAAAGCATTGCTTCGCGAGGCTTTTAGCCTGCCTCTGGGGTTACGTCGGAAATTGTGGTGGGGAGTGATTGGTTCCTATACAAGCAGCGGTGGAGGCCTAAAAGCCACCAAAGAGTTTGGAAGTGGGAACAGGATCGCTAGGAAGAGTGGACAAAAGAGAATAGGGACCAAAGCTGCCCGGCATTTATGTACCCTGTTTTCCCTATTTCTGTTTGTCGAGTTGAAGGTGGAAGATTTCGCATTCTGCATTGATTCCTTTGCAGTGTATTCTTTTCGCACTATTTTATACCACAGAATTTTTCCACGACAAGATCTAGGTGGAGTTCATAATGTGGGGTTCTTATATCTTGCCGCTCGCTGCTCTGGCTGCTTTGCCATGCGCCAATGCTATTACGCTTCACAGGCGGGACGATCCCGCTGTCTTTTCGCTCCCGGTTACTCGTAGTGATCGATCCCATGCATTGCAGAAACGCAGTTCCAAGACTGCTAGCACATCATTGTACAATGTGGTATGAGACAGATTTCCGATCCTATTTCAATTATGTTAGCTTTTGTTCAGGGCGGAGAGACGTGTCTTGGAAATGCTCAGGCGTAGACTCGGATGCAGATCGTACTGTTCCGAGTCGTTAATAAACCTTCATACTAAATCCCAGATAGGAAAATATGTACTATATGGTGAATATCACCCTCGGCACACCACCTCAAAACCTTTCCCTCAGTCTCGATACCGGTAGCAGTGATATCTGGGTTAATGTCCCAAATTCCACCTACTGTGCAGCAGATGGTGATGTCTGCTCCTCAACCGGCTTGTTCAGTCTCAGCGACTCCTCCACTTTCAAATTGCTGGATTATTATATGAATGCCACCTATGTCAGCGGCACTTTGGCTGTAGGTCCATACGCCACCGACACTCTGACAATTGGAGGTGTGACCGTGAAGGACATGGAGTTTGCGCTCGCTGAAACAAGTAGCAATCCCCGTAAGTCCATCACCCTATGCTCTTTCATCCGAAACAGAAGTAAAATAGCACCTTGCTAACGATGGATTGTTTCGTCTCTTTGTAGATGGTATTCTGGGGATCGCATATGCTTCAAGTACTTTTTCTGCTTCTGAGGATGGCAAGAATTATTCGAACCTCCCAGAGGCCCTGGTCAGCAGCGGTGCTATCAACTCCGCTGCCTTTAGTCTGTGGTTGAACAAGTTCGACGGGACCGGAAACCTCCTCTTCGGAGGTGTCAACAAAGCGAGATATCAAGGCGAGCTTCAGACTGTGCCTGTCCTGAAGTCAGATGGCGAGTATTACTCCCTGACCATCGCCTTGACCGATGTTTCACTGAAGAGCTCCAGTAGCACTAAGAGCTACACAAGTGGTCTTCCCTTGGCAGTCACTTTGGATAACGGCAGTCCTTTCATTGCGCTTCCCGAAGATCTGGTGAAACCCATTTTCAAGAAACTTGGAGCGGGATATAATGAGACAGATGGATTCGGCTATATTCCCTGCAGTATGTCGACATCCGATTCCAACTTGACGTTCAGCTTCTCGGGTGCTACAGTCAATATTCCCGTCAGCGAACTGGTCTATGAAAACTATGTCGAGCCCGGGTTCCCTACGGACGACTGTATCTTCGGACTTGTCTACGGTGAGCCTGGAGTGAGTCTCATGGGTGATCCGTTCTTGCGTGGAGCCTACGTGGTCTACGATCTTGCCAACAATGAGATTTCGCTTGCGAATACCAACTACGACGGTGGTGATGACGATATTGTTGAGATTGGTACGGGAACAACTGCTGTTCCTGGCGCGACTTTGATGCCCTCGCCTGTGACCTCGGCGACGGGTAATGGACCCCAGGCCACTGGAGCTTCTAAGGGAGTGGCGGCAATGCCTACTACTAACCCCAACCATATCCTGCCCGGTCTCTTGGGTGCTGGTTTGTTGCTTGCATTATAAGTTGTCTACGGTGATGAGTGTCTTGTAGATACCATTCAATTATTTTTGTATTTATTTTAATGTCCAAATGTCCCCATATACAGAAATGAGCCGGAATTTTAACTTGGCTCACCTCCTTAAGATAGAATGCTCAAGGTTGCATCAAGAGATCCTGGTCCAAACGCTTGTGTCTCTTGCTAAGGATCTTCACGAATCCCGAAATTCGCCCAAAGTATTCACAATAGCATGAGGTAGAAACCCCCAATAAATCACAAACGTGCTCGCTCCCGCCAATCCTTCTGCATTGCGTTCTCAGTTTCGATTCTCCAGGCCTTGTTCCTGTTTATCCGCTCCTCAACCTCCTCTTCGCTAACATCAACCGCCTTCTCCAAAGGAATCTCACGTTGATTCTGCACATTGGCCCCATAGTGTCTCAAAACCCCGTTCGGGATACCGTGATAAGCCGTAGGCTCAGAGCAGAACGCAGCAAGTCCCTCGAAAAATTTCTTACTCGCGGGTATAGACATCATGATCATCGCATGACAATGCGGCATACCCTCGAACATCTGAGCGCTAACAGGGACCCCAGCCTTATGTATACGGCGCGCTAAGACCAAGCCTTCATCCGTGAGAGATTCCTCACCAACAGAGATGAAAACCGGAGGAGAATTTTTCCAAAGATCAGGACTAGCAGCGACGGGTGAGACGAGGGGATGTGAGACTGCTGTTGCGTTACAGAAGATATCTACACGCGGCGGGGAAGCAGGCCAAACCTCGTCTGCGGGAAAAGGGAAAACAGGAAAGGGAATAGAATAGTCTGGTTCATCGACTCCTCCGGGACGAATGTCCATGTAGTCCCAAATTCTGTTCCGAATGACTGAGGGCATCGAAAGTGTGACATCACACCATGGTGAGATACCTGCTACACCAGCCGGTAACTCGATTTCGACTTGTTCTCCATGAAACAGAACTGTTCGTGAGATGCGGCGGAGAGTTAGTAGCGTCTGCAATAGGACAAGTGAGAGATTTCCTCCTGCGGAGTCTCCAGCGATAACGATCTTGTTGGCTGGGACGGGCTTATGGAGAGAGCCCTTGGGTGGGTGGATAAGTGATAGATATGCTGTTAATGCGTCGACAAGCGCTGCTGGGAATGGGTTCTGTGGTGCCAGTCGGTATCGCACTGAGAACACAGGGGCGCCTGTTAAGCGGGAGATATGTGCGACAAGCACTCTGTGAGTGCATGGGTCCATCATGCTGTGAATGTGGTTAGAAATCATACTCCGGCGTTGAGATGAGGGCCAGAGTCCAAACTTACAAGTATGCACCGCCATGAAAATACAGAATCGTCTTATCCGATGAGATATCCTTTTGCAGCCTATGATATTTCTCTTCTTCAGAGATATCAAGTTGAGGTTCTTTCTTGCCAACGCCCTTGCGATAACCAGTCCATTCAGCCTCAACAGCTGTAACTCCAGGAAGATTGAAAGTTTCCTGACCAGTTCCAAGCGCCTCGATAGCACTCAGAACCGCGTCGCGTACATCGAACTCGGGCAGCGGCAGAGTGACCTTGGAAACCCACATAGGGCCTTGAATCCCCGGGTCACGCATACTGCCCTGTTGAGTTTTGAGCATAGGCTTATCCGCCGTGATAAGTGAACGAATAACAGTTGTTATCAGTTCAGTGCGCAAATCTTGCTTCCCTGACCCTGGCGACATGCGCAGGCTATGCAGGATGATAGTTTTGAAAATCATTGGGACCCGGACGAGCAGCATCTTCAGGCGCGTTACCGCGACCTTGAATGCACTCATCTTGTCCACGGGTGACAGCAAGTCTGGGGTTCGAGTTGAGGTGAAATGTGGTGACGGCGGGATATAGATTTTAAACCGGTTTCACGCTTCCACTGGCAGGTTGTGCCGAGGTCCGTTTCTGCTTATCCTTCTAGCGCTAATCCACACCCAAATTGGCATTTGCAGGTCGAGGTGATGATAATTTGGTCATTATGCGACGATGAAAATATCCTTGAAATTTTCTTGAGGATCTTATTCGGGGTTGTCAGCCCTGCAGGCGATTCTGAAATTCCCAACGCCCCTGGTCTGACTCCAGGGAAGGGATGGGACGCGTCACTGGAAATTTGACAGACTTCTTCACCAATCTCCCACATTTCCTTTCGACCCAATACTCTTGATTCTTGATTGAATCATGATGGCTCGAATATCAATCGAGAACGCATGTCTCAAAATTCTTTTTTTTTCTCGACGCGCTGGATGACTGGAGGCTCAGAAGATAACAGTCTTGGCTCTCGTCAGGAGTGGTCCGATCCCATTTCTCAATCGCAGAAGGGCCATTGAATGAACCATTCTGATCGCTATTGTTGAAATACCGTGCTCGAAGATTCTAGAAATCTACGAAGTACGGACTCCGGAGTCCAACGCACGAGTTGGTGGAGAAGCTCGATCCTCCCGCCCTTATACTAAGACCGCACAGATCGGCATCAGAAAGGGTCTGAAGGATCTAAGGGATCTCAAGACCCCACCACAGCTTGGAGCGATCAGAAGGTCCAGGCGCACGAGGGAAATACAGATACTCAGGTGAACAACGGAGCTTCAAACTCATTACTCGCAATATTTCCCGTGATAAAATCTTGTCTAGAATGAGCTTATGAAATTCGTTGCATAAGCCAGGAGGCTGGATATTCTAAGCTATGACTGGTGCCTCCTAAGACCCGACATTGAAGGTTTAAAATTCCATAAAATACTGCATAACAGATGTTACCAGCAAGAGACATGAATCATGATCACATAACTTAGTGTCCGGACAGAACAGCCGCGATATCACCCTCCATCATTCGGGGGGCGCACCGTCAGGTGCACAATCTTCCAGCCATCCTCGGTCAACTCGAACTCCATAGTGTTCAATCCGTATCCATTGGCGTTTCGGACATCAGCTCCTTTTTTGGAGTGCCAGTGAGCCACACGAATCTGGTAGGTGACAACCCACTTCTTCTCTGAAACCTCTTCCCATTTGGTAGCACCAACGAAGTGCTGAGTGGAGATGGCGTCCTTTCCCAAACTAGCGGGATGTGCGAGGGACTCGATGAAGCCCTTGGGGGTTGACACGTTCTCGAAACCAACAACACCACCGTAATCGACAGTGATTGAGCGAGTGAATAAGGAGTCAAGCTTGTCCCAGTTCTTGGTATCGAGGGACTCAGCCCAGTCGAAGAGGATGTTCTGGCATAGCAATTGTGGGGATGTCATGGTGGAGTTGATCTACTTGTGGCTTTGTTAGCGCGAGTCAAAGCTATAAACAATACAATGGAGGTCATACTATTGTGAAAGAAGGAATAGGTTGAGAGAGAAATAGAGGACAAGAGGATAGTTGGGGTCAAAGAGCTTTTTGTTCTGACTGGAAATTCAAAGAAGGAATATGGTTCTTACTGTTCTTTCATATAGGTACAGGCATAGCTATAACAAAGAAAGTCAGGCCCCCACAGAAGAGGCCGAGATGTGCACCAGTTTTCCCGATAAGGCCGATAAATCCGGTTTCCCGAAAAAACAAACTGCTGAACATGACCTGATGGATGTTGTGAAACAAGAAATACTTCTTTATTATTGGATATTATGCAATGAAAAGGAATACCCCTGTTCAGTTGTGCTTTTGCTTGCAGGTGTGTGCGTGGCCACTGAGGGGTCATTTCCCCTCCATCAAGCGATCTATCACATTTCCCATGTCACAAATCCCAAATATTGAGTCAATTTCTGTCTCAATTACCCTGTAAAGACCGGATATTGAGTAATTCCCAGTCAATTCTAGGACCCTCAAAATTTCTACCAGAAGTAAACCAAAAACCCATAATAACTAGAAATAGTCCGACCAGAATTGGCGCCGAGTAATTCATCGAACCCACCGAGACTGGTAATTCGGGTGGAAAACAGATAAAAACGATCATCACAAGACTCCACAGGGGGGCGAACAAATTACAGAAATATCCACAAGTACCAAGCTTTAGGGGTCTATTAGGTAGACACTTATTACGACCCCGCACTAGGATGATTGCTTGGGGAATAGCATAACTGAGGTTTACTAATGTGATAGCGGATGTAATAATCGAGTTGAATGCAGTGGTGCTAGCAAGCCAAATCAGTCCATATAAAGCAGCGAAGATAGTCGAAGTTATTGTCGTACGTAAAGGGAATTCAAGGGACCTATCAACGTGAGCAAAGAAATCTGCATATGGTGTCCCTCGATCTCGTGCAAATGCCCAAAGAAGACGCCCGCATGTGGTCCATTGTGGTGGGAGACATGATGCATATATGACAGTTAATATGACAGCAAGAGCCACGGTAACTGGAGTTGAGCCTGTAGCTTGGTAGAGAAGCTCAATTGCTGGCATTTTGGAACTGAGTACTCTTTGCATGTCCTCCATTGTGACCATCATCACCGTCATAAGAGGGAAAGCTGTTACCAGACTGATAAGCATTGTCATGTTCCTGTGCATATTAGTGACTAAAGATACAGTGGAAATCCTATTGATGTTCTAACTCAACTCACATAATCTGAGGAAGTCGTTTTCCTGGCGATGGCATTTCTTCCGCAATATGAATGACACCGTCGGTACAGGTGAAGCAGTACATGGAGTTGATAATGCCTAGTAACCAGGCTGTCCCAGAGCTCCACCCACTGGTCCCTTGACCGGGGCTAAAAATTTCTTTTGCACTATTCGTATGTTTGTGCATGGCCAGAATGACGATAATCCATATAATAAATCCGGATAAGGTGAGGTATAGGGACCAAGATACAAGGCGTGGGATGTATCGAGGGCAGGAGACAACTGGAATTACTATATACACTCGAGGTTAGTAGCTGTCATTATCATTATGTTCTTGACTGCAACTTGAAGTATTCATGAGCTCACTTGTAATGATCAATGTAGCCAGGTACACAAGATATTCATGCCATTGAAGAATTGTGAAATTCGGATGCAGGAAATGTACCAAACCAACTATTGAAGTAGAAACCAGGGCTGCTCCAGAACATGATGCAATCCACCACCCAAGGATGGACATCCAACCTGTAACGAATGCCGCGAATCGTTTAATTTTCTCTGGCGCGACAATATACACGAAATGGTATTGACCCTGGAAAGATCATCACAAGAGTTAGCATACATTATGGATGGATAAGGAGAGACCAAATCAGAGTCGTCAGATCATACCCCAGATGAAGGAAATGCCGATGCTATCTCAGACAATCCTAGAGTGATAACCCATTGACAACAGCAGGCAATAAGGATCGATAATAGTGCCACTTGAGATCCTCCATACTGGAGGTTTTGACCAAAGTTGCTTAACGCACCGACCCACGCGTTGGTGATACTGCAAGACTTGGAGTGAGTGTTTTGTGCAAAAAGCCTCGGGTGAACTGTGATATTACCTAAATGCAAGTCCTAGGGATGAGAGCATGGAGAAAGACCTATTCATTACAGACTCATGACCCTGAGCACGAAGAAGATCGTCATCCCCCAAAGTTACTTTTGATGCCGCAAGCTGTATGTCAGTGGATGTATCCATTATATCTTCAACTTGAAGTTCTGATGTATGTGCCAGTGAACATCCACTTTGACCAGCCTTTGCATCTGCCATCATGATGTTGAGATGTTGGCGAATGTCATTTCAGGAAAACAATTCAAGGCAATGAAATTGAGCGCTAAGCGTTATCTCTACTGAGATGTAACATTGAGTGATATAATGGCTTGGTTCGGAGAGAAGGTTATCATCTGGGTGATTTTCGGTTACACTCATTGCACATGTGTTGACCCGGGTCTGAAGGCTCGATCCAGCGACTGGTTCACTGGACCATCTACAAGATCAAGGGTAGGACATCCTGCAAATGTACGCCATCCTAATGGCCGTATGGATTGTTTGACGGGTAAAATCAAGGTCTTGGGTCACAACGAGTCCTACTCTGCTGTATGTTCTCAGTCTGTTTACCAACCTCTGGGATGACAAGACCAATTCAAGTTCCATTGAAGGTGTTTACACATGTGCCGGCATGTACTTGAGCTAGGTATTCGAGGATAAATGGCAATATCCGAATGATCATGTTTGTATTTGTCGTATGCATGCGTTACTAGGATGTGATGGTGTATATACAATTCTTCCAGTTCCCAGACAGGCAATCTTGACTCTGAAGACAGCTTGTATCAAGTTTCAACTGAATCACCGGATCGCTCCAACGCTGAATGCAGCGTAGACTCGGTCTTGGATTGCTCCTTTGACTCAGAAACACCCGAGCGAGTATCCGAGCCGTCTTGAAGACCCTGCTTGGGATGCAATTCCTTCTGATAAACAGGCTGTTCATCATCCTTGAGACCCGAACCCGTCGGATCCCTACGAATCAAGAAGTTCTGCACTCTTGCATCATTCGACGCCATTTGATTCACAGTATTCTGTCTCCGTCCCGACAAAAACCGCATCGAGTCCGCACTCACCTCGCGAAGGCGTTGCTCATACCCCGTGTTCATTTGGCTGATCCAGGACGCCTGCACGGCACCGCCGAATAATACAAGGAGGATAACTAGCCGTGTGAACGTACGGTGGTCTATTATGTTCTGCTGTTTAGGGTTGTTCCGATTATTCCATCGTTCCCAGTCTTCCCATGTTGCGTTTGTGTATATACCCGCGTCTGGGCCAAAGGGATCAGTCGTAGGGTCTGGCCGGGAGAATAGCTCCACCCCAGACCAAATTTATCGTATGCATCGCGCTTTGTAGGATCGGAGAGGATCTCGTGGGCAGCGACTACGATCTTGTAGCGGTGGAGACGGACTTCTTCGGTGACGTCTTTGCTGTGGCGGTCGGGGTGGTAGAGCTTTACGAGGTCGTAGTAGCGGGTCTTTGAATATGCGGCATTGCGAGGGATATTTAGGACCTCATATGGAGTAAATGAGGATGATTTTGGCCACGAGTAGACTGGTCCCGAGGTATCTGATATGGTCGCATAGCTTCGCGGAGATGGAATGAAGCTAATGTGGGCATGTGGCGAAACGGTAGGTTGGAAGCTTAGGAGCTGGATGCCGCCATAGTGCAGAAGATTTGGCTTCTTGAACATGATCCCATGGTTTTCTAGGGGAGTAACGGTGACTGCCGGTACTCCTAGAATGAAATTGGTTGAAGAGGAGAACTTGAAGTGAGGAGTTCAAGTTCAAGTTTCCCCTCGCGGATAAAGCCGGTCTCGGACTTAGCTTGAATTACCCACGCGACTCATCCGGGTCAGACGACATAAGACCTAGTTAGTCATATAGTGTTAAATGGACTATATTCCAACGAGTTTTAACCATGGAACTAAACCTGAACATTCTAAGTTGTGAAAAAAACTTGAACCTCCAGTATCTGAATCGGAGTAGTCAAAGAGGTGTAATAGTATTTTGGTACCAATACTATACGCACATGGGAAGATATATCAGATCCATTCATCCGACTCCATCGCGACCTTCAAGTTGTTTTACGAATCGCCAGTATGACGAGAGGAATAAAGATTTCTGAAGGTACAAGTAGTAATAACAAACATTTGGATTGACAAGGCTACCTAGGTAATAGTCAGTGTTCATGAGCCTCAAATTAACATTTGAATGAGCAACAATGCGCTACTGCTAGATCACCTCAAGTTCATGTTCAAAAAAGCAGAAGGTATTCCCAGCAACCGCCCAAGAATCATAATACAATTCCAGTGCCATTAGAACATAGCTAAAGATATTCATCCTCATCCATCGAAGGCAGAGGCAGATCATCCCCCCAAGTAACAGGCATTTCCACACGCGGTGGTTCGCTGCACTGCGTCCACGCAGGCTCCTGCGGAGGTGGAATGCCTTCAGAAGTCGGTGATGACAGCCACGGAAACGAGACCGGGGTACCATTGATTCTGATCTCACCAATAAGACTTCCCAATTGTCCTGGTTCATCGACATACCCATCCCATAGACCCAGCAGCTGTGCAAAAAGACGAACCATAGCTATAATGACCGTGAAAACAGGCATAAGGACGGTCGACAAATGAGACCATCGCCATAACATCGTGGTGGTCACCCATGGGAATTCAGGGGCATCAGGTTGAAGACAGTAGCCCTCACAGGTGTCCGAATAGAGTGGGTGGCTGTACAGCTCAATCATCGTGCATTCGATGACATACCACGTGAATGATACCAAGGTGAACCAGCCAAGTTTTGTGAGCTGGCGGCGTCTGGTAGATGGATTTCTTTTCCAGAGCCGAGGCAGCGGGATTGCAGCGTAGATGCGCCCATTGGAGTTTGATTCACAGTGCTTGCAGGTCTCGATGATTGTGTGCGAGTGGGTAGTCTGGGGTTTCTCTTTGGTTTCCTTTTCTTTGGTCGTTGAGGAGCTAGGTTGTGATATGATAGAATCCTGCCGAGCGACATGGTTTTCCAGGCGGTTGAGACCATGCTTCACTTGTTCGATATGTGTTTTGAGGGATGTCAATTTGTCATCCAATCGTGTGGTGTCATACAACTTCTGCCCATTTGTCTCAGCTAGTTTCAGTTTTTCAATAACCTCCTTCTCGTATGCTGCTTCCTCCTCCTCCTCTGTTTTCAATGCGCTTTGATCGTCCATAATTGCCTGGAGAGACTCGATAGTGTCATCTGACACATCGAATGACTCTTTCCCAGAGTTCATGTCCTCGATAACGGTTTCCAATCCACTTTTCGGTAGCTTCGGTCGAACAACTGTATGTTTCGATGATTTCGACGGCTGTGATTCTTCAGTCGGAGTCTCTTTTGTACAGACTGACTCATTCTTCTGACTCTTAGGTTTGGGTTGAGTTTGTACTGGGGGTTTGATTTGTTCAACCGGGGCTTCAACATTGCTGGAGACCACGGGAGGTGAAACCACAGGAGGAGAGACAATGTCTTTGGTAAGATCGGCCGGAAGTTGAGCAACTTTCTCGGTCATAGGCGTATCGATCCATGCACCCGTTACTCGAGGTGTTTTATCATATATGCGGCGTTCAAACAATTTCGGTGGATCTGGGGTCTGCACCTGCTCCAGTTTTGGACTTTCGGTTCTTGACAATCGGCGTAGCAGGTCTTGCGAGTCTCGCTTCGGTAGGTTTGGCTTGGTATAATTAGAGCCTTTGAAGACAACAATGGGGGTATTTGGAATGGGATCACCATCCTCGGGTGAATGTTGACGTGAACCCATATTATTTCCACCATTTGTAAATGTAAATGCTGGCGCTTGCTGTACAGGAGGATTGACAGTCCGTTCCTCAAGGATATTCCGAGTTGGGTTGCGCCGCTCCAGCGCACGTGGAGAAGTACGAAACTTAGGGATCGAGGTATCCTTTGGTCTTGTGTTTGTTTCTGGTCGAATCTCAGATGTTTTCGGTTTTGGCAGTTCCGCCTCTCGTTCTTTCGATTGGTCTGAAACGCTACGATCGCTGACATTTCGAAGCCATTCTTGTCGGCGATTTGCTCGGCTTCCCCAGGTAGTTGGCAGATTTAACGATGGGCCATTTTCGTTGTCATCCTCTGAGACATGCTGACTCTCAACCTCTTCAACTTCATCTTCCCGCCTCTGGAGGTTATCCGCCGTTAAAGCTGCTCGAGCTCCAACCTTGGCTCTGCTGAACACCGGGGAATCCTTGCCCGTCACACGTCTCAGGCGCTGCTCGTCTTTGGTGTAGTCTGAGGTCCTCCGGCGAGGGGAATATCGTTCGTTTTCGCTAAAGAGGCTCGCCTCTGAAATTGCAAGTCCATGATTAACAACTTCACCGTAGTCATGGTCCCGCGTGTGAGATGACGTGCGGCTTGTTCGACTTCCGGAACGAGCACGACGTGATCCACCCAACCCTTCAAATAATGCATGACTTCCAGGTATTCCGTCTTCTTCGTTTCTTCGATATGGATCATGCAGCTCTAACGGGGTATTTGAGGTCTCGTATTTGGGAGAGAACGCGCCGAATGGCCTTCGAGCCTGTCGAGGACTAGGGGACGAGCCTAGCTGTATGCCTTCCTCCAACGATGCTCGCGATGCCGCTCGATATGCTCCGGCTAATGTACCCGTTCGATAAGTATGGCGATTTCGAGTGTCATTCTGTTTGGGGGAAGTTGGAAGGTTGGGATCCATATTGAATTCATAGTTTCGTTCACGCGTGCGATTGAATGGTGATTGGGGATAATTATGACGCGCTAGCGCGATTCGATCGTCGCGAGAGGTTGCCATAGCGTCAGGGAGTAAACTCAGGAGAAAAGCAAAGTATCCCCCTTACGCGAAAAGATTGAGGGCCGGACCATCTAGGGATTGAAGGGAATAACTTGCAAGTTCAAGTAAATAACATGGAGATCCCGCATTGCCCGATGAGGTTAGTAGCAGCATCAACGATAATGTGGAATTTTACCTCGATAAACCATTTTAACATTCTTCACTCATCACTTTTCTCTGAACTACTACATATTAACTACCTACTACCCATTAAACGCGCATGATTCCTAATTCCCGTTGCTTCGTCACTCATTATGTTTTGATCTCTGTTGAATCATGCGAACATTCTTGATGACCCGCTTGGACATGTGACCCGCGCACTTGCTTTGATCATCTACAACCTCGTGTTTCGAATAAAACGAAGCTCAACACCAGGGTGCACCGCAGCCCTGGTAAAAGGGAATACCCCAGCTTACAAACTCCCATATCCTCCGACCATCCGCATAACAAATTCATATCACCATGGCGAAGAAAGCTTCCCGTCGAAAGACCACCGGGTCAACTCCGACCTCATCAGGCTCCTCTACACCAAGCTCCGCATCCTCTGGTCCGATTCCTCCCTTCATTAAAGTCCCCTCCATTCTACAACCTTTCGTCGAACCCTTAGCCTCAGACGAGGTATACCTCATCCATATCGACACAACATCCCCCGATTTGAAATGGCAAACCTTCCTCGTTCCGTTGGTGGTCAACATCGTGGTAGCCTTGGCGATCGCATTGCGTGCTTATTTCGGATTTTTCACCTACCCAGCACTGATACAGACGGTTCTCGGTTTCGACAGTCCTGCAGCCGTGGATCAGTCTTCCGCGTCATGGACTGATAAAGCTCAACTCACTCTCCGACGGACAGGAATGGTTTTCATCGACTATGTCCTCGTGATGCAGTTCCTAGCTTGGCCCATTAACTTCGTCCTCGGTCCTATGCGCTGGCGCCGTGCGATCGGGTTCCAGGATCGAGAAGTCATCGTCCGTTGCAGTAACCGCAGTTGGAGCAAGAAGCTGGAGCGGAATAAGTGGATTCGTGAAAATGAGGCCATGCGTGATAAGATAGTAGCTGCCGTGACGCCTGAGCGTATTGGAAAAACGGGATATTTGCTTGTGGATGAGGACTGGAACCTGGATTATCCCGCCATGGTTTGTGCCCATAGTCTAATCGACCGCATCAAGAAGGGCGATGGTGTGCAGTTGGATGAGTTCCGCACCGCTGTGCTGGTGCATACCGATACTGATGGGTGGTTGATCTGGCGTGTTGGCGATGAGAACTCTCCAACTGGTCAGCAACGGACAGTGCAGCGAGATCAAATCCTGGCTTTCAAGGATAAGCTGACTGCCATGGGCAAGGAGGACCTTTTCTTCCGCTGGGTCGAGTTGGTTCAATGGGAGAGTTCACAACCAGGTGGTTTCACCCCAGAACGGCAAAAGGCTGCCATGGTCCAGGCCCAGCAGATGTTCAATGAAGAGAATGTTGATTTCAGCAGCTTCTGGGATGATTTAGGTGGCATGCAAGGTATTGAAGAGCTGGATTAATGATACCGATCATATTTACTTGCATTTTCATTGGAGGGTTTTATCTTTATTCTTAGCACATATTTGATTCTCTTTTTCTCTTCTTTGATAGTAATGTCGCAAGCACGTAACAGTTCCTGCTTGATGTACAGACTTTGTATTAATACACATAACTTGACTGCATGAAGACCACTCAGCCGAGATGCTCCTTAGCCTTGCCAACTGCCTCATGTGCCTTTCCCTTGGCCTTTCCAGCTGCCTCCTCGGCGGTTCCCTTGACCTTGCCTTCGTACTCGGATGCGTTGCCCTTTACATCGCCTGCCTTGCTCTTAGCATCTTCTGCAGCACCGCCGACGACCTCCTTAATCTTGCCGGCAGCTTGCTCTAGATACACAATCATGGTATTAGCTACAGTTCATATCGAGGATACTGATGATTGAATGTGCAAGTCACATACCGCCCTTGTTAATGCCTTTTACTGCAACATCAGATACTACCCGATCAGCCTTCTTGAGGGTGTCCTTAGTCGCATCGACGGGGCCTTTGTTAAGTCTAGCTGTCGACGAGATAGATCGTACAGCAATTGTGGAAGGAGTGGTTGCCACGCGGGACTTGGCGAGTGTCATAAAACGTGTAGCTGACATGATGGTCGTTATGTGCGGATGTAGCGTAGTGCCAGAATGAAAAGTTCAAGTGTTTTCCAGATAGATGGTTCAAGCTTGAATTATTAGAGAGATCAATTCAATGTGTAAGAAATCCTAGGTTAATTTGCCGCTTAGCTGGGTTTTATAGTAAATTGTTCCGGTTTAGTTGATTCCTGGCATCACGACGTCATTGGCATCACATCATGATCTCTTACGTCGATTATCGGTCACACTCCAGGTCCGGCGCTGCCAAGTTTTTATCACTAGCATTACTTCCAAGGTTGAGAGTTTAATTTTCTTGTTTGCATTAAACAATGTAATGGTAGCGAGTAAGCCACAGCATCTTTCAACTGGGTTGTCTTTTCCGACTGTAATGAAGCTGTAGCTTAATTAAGAGCGGAGCTTGTGCAGATTAAGGGTCCACTAGATTACCCCAGGTTCTCACTTGATTTATTTACAACAGTTTCAGATTACTAGTAGCTATAGTTGAAAGCTTTAATTGGAATGAGAATTAAGCTGCTGTATATGTTCTAAAAATCACAAATTGATATCCAATCACTTAATGTGCTATATCAGGTTCATCACGATGCTGCTGACATTTTCCCCTTCGAGCCTGCAAGGGCAAGTCTATCTCGATGCCACTAAACTTCAATCAGCATGCATTTCAAAAAATTAAACGGAGATAATAATTCGATTCTTACCTTCCCACAAGTTATAGGTTCATATAAAGCAGGATGCTCCTCATCAATGCAAGACGGCACAACCCGACAGATAGAGTCCGGATTGAACCCCAAGAAAAACGGCATCGAGTACCGTGACGTTGTCTGCCGATTATAAACCCGATGCACCGTTGACTTGAATTTGTTATTCGAGAGACGCTGCAAAAAGTCTCCAATATTGACAACTAGCGTTCCCGGAATCGGCTTTGCATGGAGCCATTCGTCACTAGCTGAGAGGACTTGTAAACCTCCAGACATATCCTGCCAGAGAAGTGTGATGCACTGGATATCGGTGTGCGAGCCAATTCCGACGTCAATGTCACGGCCTGCATCGACGTCCTGGGATATGGCTTCTGGAGATCCGGGGTAGTGCACGTAGAGTGCGTCAGCACCTGGATGTGTGGTGACTTCGTCAAAGTAGTTCTCCGGCATGTTGAGTGCCAGTGCGAAGATACGGATCATTTTGCGGGCAAGGGTAAGACGACGTTGCCAAAATTCGATGGTGGTATCTTTGAAGCTTGGAAGGTGAGATACTCCCTTCCAGAGGGAATCGTCGCCGCCATATGAATACTTCTCATTCTGAAGAAGAGCTGTTGGATCGGTTATCGATGGGTCGTTAATAGGATTATAGCGGAGTGTAAAGGTCTCTTTCCGGTCTGTGAGTTTGATATGTAATTAGCAATGTTATGATATGGTAGCCAGGCAACCCATGCTAGTCACATGTTGGAGAGGAAGTAAACCTTTTGTTTCCTTTATGTTGATTTGCGAGCTTCCAACTCCATGGTATCCAACAGAATTCTTGAATTTTGCATGGAACACTAGGTCTTTCTGTTCATCTGTCTGCTCAAAGAAAGTCCGGGCATTTGTGAGAGCTCTTTCTATCAGTTCCTCCGAGATCCCATGATTCTTGATGTAAAAGAAGCCGGTATTCTCCGCTGCGGCCTTTACTTCCGTCGCAATTGTTTCTTTAGCCTTTAGGTCGCCATCAATTGTACTTAGATCGATAATGGGAATCTCCTCGTCAGTGGCCGGACGAGGAGGCGCTGTTGAAACACGACGAAAGGCCGGACCATCGAGAGTAAGAAGCTCGACTTGAGTATATTGAATCATTCTGAGGATAAAGGAACTAGGAAATAATGAAAGAAATGAAAGAAATGAGGGGCTCGAGGACACATGTGCATGCAATGTAACTTGAAGTGTCCCCGCCAATCTAGATAAGCCTAATCAATGAGTACTCCGCTTTGATCAGACTGAAAGATCCTCATCATGATATTATTAGTAGTTCCATTTATATCTTTATCAGTGTTCAAATATTACTCATATAAGTCAACTTGAATTTTATTTTATATCCACATATTATAATGGTAGAATGTCCCTTACGAGAAATTCCCACTTTACAACTTGGATAAAGAATAACCCAGAACTCGAACCCTAAGTATATGCAAAAGTAATTGAAAGCGAACAAAGAAATATCTACAGGTTCTAACTTACACATGGCCTAAAGAGAAGAAAAAAGGGCAAGCGACAACTTGAAGCCTTTCACAACACCCCGAGTCTCTGACCGATCCCGTCCCATCTTTCTATTAATCCCATTTATACCAACCACGGGAATTGTCAGGTTCAAGTTGTGATACAACATTTAAACTTGAACTTGAATATTCGAACCTCTTTCGCTTCAAATCCAATCAACGCTCCCTCAATATTCAACCAGCAACTTGAACCCCACATCCTCTTGCCATTATGGCCATCGATCCCTCCATAGTAGCCGAGGAGCTCTTCTGGATGGCTCCAGGCTATAATCCACTGACCTGTCGTCCATGTCGTGAAGCAATTTGCCTTATCGACATTCAAGATCACCTCACTGGCCCCGATCATGAGATGCCTCTCGCTGAGGCCCTCCCAATTGCTCGAGCCGTCTACCAGCGTTGGTGTGATCCTCCGTCAACTTCTCAGAGCTCCGATGATGAAAGTGACTGCGAAGACGATCAAGACTGGTTGGAGACCCTTGAAGAAGAATCCCAGCCTGATGAGAGCCCACCGTCTGACCCTCCTCAGTCTGATCGCGATTACCGGGGATCCGTGGCCCTTGCCAACCTATCTGATCCCCTTATCCCTAGTCATATCCAGTATACCCTCGATCGCCAGGCCCATCAACGCCGATTCAAGTATTGCCAGCCAAGCTCGGAGCTTGAGAGAGGGCTGAATGTATGGAATACTTACTGCTGGCCATGCATGTCGCGAGGATACAAAGGGAGCTGTGTTCATACTCTCAGCAACTGCAAGCAGCCCGCCGAGGTCGTTGGCAAGGCCCAGAGGTGGTTTCGCCGGGCACGCATCAAGCTTCCCCATGATCTCCGCTGTTCTGACACCTGCGATACTAGTCGTCAGCGTCCTGACCAGCCGGAAGGGGCACGGCCCTGTTCACACATTGAGCCTATGCTTGCGCTGATTGCTGGCTTCCTATTCATCGATCCCGCAGTAGGTGAAGGTATCGAGCCCAGGCGGTGTAAAAAGATACAGACTGCATAAGCGGAATTCTATTCTGCAATAGCAGACTGGGTAGTAGCTACCGCGGAACCGGAGCCACTGGCACGTCGCACTAGCAGGGAAAATAGTGTCCTCGAATTGCTACAGCAGCCGTCTTCTCTTCCCTCGCACGAAACATATATCGTTCGCGTATTTCGATGGATCAGCGTGCAGATAAAGTCCGAGACTGGATGTTTATGGCCCGAGCACGCCCTGAAGAGGTACCTGCTGTAATAGGAAAATCAATAGGCCTCTCGCTTGGACTTCCGGTATTAGATAGCTTCTCTTTACAACTCATGTACTGCAAATCTACTCCACTCACAATGCTCCCATTCCTCCTTCAGCATATCTCATATAGACTTTATTAGTTTGTGAAACAAGGTTGTCCCAAATCGAACTTGAGTATTACTAGTAGGATTCAAGTTCCATGGGTCGAACAACTTGAACAAGATGTATTCAACTGGAGCACTTGAGGTTACGCTCCAGGGCTCTGAAAACTTATTGAAGTTCCAAGGTTTTTATAGTGTTCAAGTTAACAATGGCCCAGGTGCCATTTTGAGAAACTAGGTGAAGAGTCAGAGCTGAACCCTAACTAGTGTAAATCAGAGCACAGTTCAGTGGATGGTTTACTAGTATTGATGGCTTCAAACTTTTAGGCCAAGCCTGCTTATTGCTATGGGTAGCACTTGAGCAATATTCAATGTTAGTATTTAGGGCCTCAGACCAAAAGCCTGGAGTTTTTAAGTACCTAGGTAGAACTTAAAGCGGACGACATCACATATGCAAATTAGGCTCCAGTTCAAGTTAAGTCTTCGCTTCTATTCGAATGTTGTCAATCTAGCATGATACTTACTACTATAGAGAAACACTATTATATATAACATTTTGAACTTATTGAATTTCATTCAGAACTTTGGAGCCTCTTATCTACATGTATAAGTATGTCCGAGTCCTTAAACTTTGCTTGAGCTCCTCCCGGTCTTATTCAACTTTCGATCCATCAAATGTTCCAAGGTTCAACTTGAATCGCTCCATACTACATAGTAACAGCCAGCCCATTGGCAAATACCATAATCCCACAGTATCTTAAATCGTTCAAGAAAATCTCAAGCTGTTCAAATATTAGCTACTAAGCCGCCCTCTTCCACATCAAGACCAATTAGATACTCTTGGCTATATGCTCTTTAGATATCATCAGGGGACCTCAGCCAGAGTGGGCGAGGAGTTCAATGTGGCTTGTCCGGCCTCCAGGCTGTTAATGGCATACGGAAGTTGTTAACGTCAAAGACACTTGTTGTATTTAGTAGTAAACCCGGACCTCCCAATCCTGCCGCGCGGCCTAGCACCATAGCATGCTGTGGGCCAGCAAAGTAGCCCGCACTCTGGCCCGGTGCCATAAAAAGATATATCTGCCTGATCAGCATCTGGTGGTGTCGGCACTCGGCTATCACCCTGTTCAAAAACCGTAGGGCGCCCATCGCCCCAATAGTAGTAAACGTGTCATAGGTCTCTTCCAGGCGGAAGTGTAGCATACCCATCACACACAGAACATACCCATGAATAGTCCAGAGGTTCGTAAACGGCATGCGAGCAAGCCCCGGGATCACCACGCCAGATCTCAGGTGAGCATCATTGGGTAACCACCGTAGTAACCTTGCAACCATTACGCATGCCTCGACAGTATTTCGGCACCGAAGCGCATAATTGACAACAGTCAAGTGAGAAGAATCACTCTCATGTTGGCCAACATCCGTGGCAAAATGAGCTAGCCCTAGGAGATATTCAAAGAACGGTGTGTTTCCTACCTGAGCCGCTAGCATCAATGCTGTGCACTTAGTTGGCGGTTCGACCTCTTCTGGGTGAACATGCCTATAGACCCGTCCAGCTGGCATGACCATATTATCAGTAGGCTGGTCCCGTGAAAATGGAGGCCCCTCTATCACTCGGAAGTAAACAGACCAGGTCTTAAGTAAATTCCGCTTATTAGTCGCCCATGCGTGTCAAATATTCAGGTGTGAACCCCACTTAGAATGCGGCTCTGGACCACTAGTCATGCCGTCGCAATAAAAGATATTTGTCATCTGCAGCGCCGAGTGGATCGACTGATCCCCATATGCCAGTAAAAACCATATTACATCTAGGTCACCAGTGTCCATATTCCAATAGACCTTGTCACTGGACCACTTTTGCCACTCTGGCCAGTTGGGATCCGGTGATACAATCCGGCGAAACAGCCTGATCATCATATGGGCTTCTTTCCTCACCTCCCTCTCCGACTCATCCTCGTGCCACTTTCTCAGCGTCCGCTGAAACGCCAAGTCAAAGATCGTTTGGCTATGAATGAGCCAAAGCCCACCGGGAGGTATAACTGCCCCTGCTGGGTACCCGGAGTATGAAATAGACTGATGGACACGCTCGGGCTCCATCCAGCTTATAAGGGCATCAAGAATACCTTCCGAGCATTCTTCCTGGATTGCCCAGGCCACTATTGACTGACCGTACACACTGTATAGATTGCCATCTGCTGTTCTTCCTACCCCCGGGCGACGATAGAAATCCACCAAAAACCTTACGCATGCCTCAATGATCACACACTGCCCCGGTCAGCACATCTTGCACAGGCAGCGCAGGAACAGATTTTATCAATGTCCCAAGAAGTGGTGGGGGGAATCCTGGTCGCCAAGCGTCGCCCACCCAACCTTCAATTTTCTGCAAAGCACCTCGACAGTCAAAGGCACCTGTATAAAGGTGGATCAGACCCTCAGTCGCGGCAGTTGACCGCCAGTCCATCGGTGTAAGAGTAAGTGCCCGTAGTTGTGGGCAGGTCCTGAGCAGTACATCCCGGTGGGTGATAAGTTGGTTCACTACCGGACAGAGCATCGCATGCGTCAGTTGCAGACCTACTGGCGGGGAGAACTGTGTATTGAGCCAGGCATGGCGAGCTGCTGGAGCGAGATAATTTGCCGCACGCATCATACCCGCTGTCCAGGGTGGCCTGGAGCCAGGGATTTGCTCCAGCACCGTCGTCATTCAGCGATGATATCCGGTTATGTCCCTAAAAATAGCTTGAATCAGACAACACTCCATGGTGAGCACAAAATAGCTCATAATTTAACATATAAATTTCAACTTACTGACAAGAAACTCTTCGTTCAAAGCAAAGATGTTCAAAGCAAAGGTGAATCTTGGTGAAAATCGCCAATGTCACAATTCTGTAATGATACTGATCCTCACTCTACATATGTGGAAGACTATATCAACATTGAATGCACGTGTATCCAGGTGTCCGTTTCGGTGCCTTCCCAGGGCTGCCAGGCTATTATATCCCTCCAGTCTTAAACTTCAAATATTAAATTGGGGACAAAGGCTCTTGGAAATCTATATATAGGTCCACTTTAAGTTTTCAATGGTGATATTAGTCGTATTAATAACTTGAAACCTTGGAATTGATGATTGATAAACATTTGAAATGATACCACTTCAAGTTGAACCTGAAACATACTATACCATACCCGGGGCTACTTAGAATGGACTCCAAATCAATCAAAGCATCTACCTTGCGGCTTGCCAGTGGTCCTCCTAGTGAAGAAAGATTCATGGACCAATATCCCCATATATACTACGGCTTGGAATATGAAAGGCCGAACCTTTAAGTTGAAAGAAAAAGGAAGTACTGGCAAGATCGATGGATCAACGATAAAGAAAACTTCAAGTTTCCAGGATCAAAGGATATCTAACCAAGAACAGACAAAAAGAGCTGTCAAAAGTCGAACTTGAACATGCCAGTGGCAGTAATCAATTATAGTCAATACTAGTACTACTATATGGATACATTGATGGGCCGTTTTCGCTGGCATAGGTATCTACGTGTTTTTATCATAATGTAGGAAGCTATCGCTTGTTCTTTGGGGACCATATCTTGCAGGGTGCTTGATGATACCAACGGCCGAGATTGTGCTATCTATCGCATTTTGTTTTCAGTTCTTTCAAGTTGTCAATCTAGCTTTGGCTCATGCCCAGGTGGCCGGCATTGAAAACAGAGAGGAGATTATTGAGAGGCTGAACTTGGGATTGGGGCATGATGATGCACTTGCTTGTACTTTAATGTAACAGCTTGAATCCTGAACACCCGTGACCGTTCAAGTTCAAAATGTTGGAAGGAAATTAGAGGTATACGGGGAGCATTGTCAGACAGACCGAGACCAAGTTGACATTTAACTCATGCCAGTCAAGCATTGAAATACTAGAATGCTATATTATTATCTATCAAGTAGGGAAGGTTTCAAGTTGTTGAATGCATTTTAATTATTCGAAAATAATTGAACGCCCTCATATGCTTTCATCTCCTTTTATATGCGCCCTTGAGTTTAATCTTTCTAGACTTTTAGTATGATAAAAGTCCAAATCTCAATCTCAACTCCTCTTCTCGGAATTTGTGAGCATGCAACAGAACAGGAACTGATGATAATGAAACAAACAGGTATCTAACGAAAGCAAACATTTGAAAAGCAACCATTTCAATGCAAGTGCAAAAATTGAAAAAAGATATTATAGCAATAAGAAAAATATAGAATAAAGTCATGCAAATCTTACACCTAGCCCATCATAGTTAGTAGGATGTGAAGGTGAGCTCCCACTTCGTGCACGTCTCCCATACACCTCTAGCGCCGGCGCAGGTGCATAGACATGCCCACCATCTTGGATGAGGGGACCAGATAAATTAGGACCAGACAAGTTGGGATGATAGAGCTGGTAGGGCACTTGACGTGGGATCTGAAGTCCCGATAGTCGTTGGCGAGGATCTCTCACATCACCGCGATGACTTTGGAGTATCTGCACGGGCTCCATATCTAGATCCCATTCTGGCTTGACGGTATTTAATCTCTCATCTACCGATCCAACTCGGTGATGATTTAACGGCTGAGACCCCGGATACAGTAGATCAGATTGGAGAGCACTCTTCAGTACAGGGATATCACCAGTCCAGCTGGCTCGTCCAGAGAGTGTTTGTGGTTGTGTCTGTGACTGGATCATTGGCGTAGAGCTCCGCACAATTTGCAATTGGCCTTGGTAACTCGGCATGGGAGAGAAGCGAGGTGGGTAACGGACTGGCTCTGTGGCCCAAGACTGTGTTGAATAGCCAGACGAGGCTCGGGAAAGGGCATCAGGTCCTGATCCGGGTCGTTCGTTGAAATGCGATATCGGTGCATCAGATGGTAAAGAAAGGGGCATGGCACCAGGCATTATTGCGGAGGGATGGGAGACAGGGGACATAGTCTGAGGAGCTGGTGTGATGAACATCGGACCGGTCACATTCTGTGACAGCGGTGGGTTGAAGCGGGCTGATTTTGTAACAGTAATATTTTCGTCGTATGGCAAAGGCGGCCCGAATGGAGGAAGTGAAGAAGTACTAGCAGATATACCTCGCACCGGCTCGAATGTTACAAGCGATGTGCGTCGAGAGTTGAGATGTGAATTCGGTGCTGTGTGTAAATCCAGCTCATGGAAGGGCGGATTCAGAGTAAAGTTACCATAGCCAGGATCGCTATATGTAGATCGAGTCAAAGGCTCTGAAGTAAGCTCATTTGCGGCCAGCTCATGTGAGAGTGGCGAGGTAAATGCATTACTTGCGTAGCCATCGAGTGATTCCACAGATGGTTTCATTTGTACTCCGACTAGCTCCGCTCCTCTTCGTAAAGGTATGGGCGCTGGGCGCTTTGGCTCTGCTTCGAGCATGCGATGAGCAATAACACTACCGTAGGCGTTCCCATTTCCCCCATCAAGCAATGCAGATCTAGGTTTCAGCTTCGCATTCTCACTCACTGCTTGGCCATTTTTTGATTGACGAACAGCCGTAAGTGCTCGCTCAGCTGCTGATGCTAAGATTGTAAAGCTGCCTCCCTCATCCACAGACTTGCGACTGGATGAGCCTTTTCCTTGAGCTGTTGACATTTTAACTGATGCGGCAGCTGGTCCACGAAGTCGACGAGAACCTCCTGGCCTACGTCGTTCCTGTTGCCTTCTTTTGGTCGACCGTAATTGAGAGTGCCGATCAACCACTTTCCAGTCTCCATTGTTGTCACCTTGAATAGGAGGACTGGACGATAGAGGCGAGTGTCTTGGCTTCTCAGTAGCCTGGCTCATCTGTGATAACGCCGGAGAAATCTTAGGTGCCTCCTTCGCTTCCCCATCTGTTTCATACCCTTCTTCCGACTCGTATCCATTTTTTCGGAAGGGAGGTGGAGGGAAAAGATCTAGTTTGAAGCGAGAATGCGCAGGAAGTTCCTCTGGGGACTCTGCAAGAGGTGAGCCTGCTTCAGTTAACGCCCAAGTTGACGAGCGTGAAAGGCCTTCATCTGTGGATGACTCGGGGAATGATGATGATGAGCTACTAGAACGATCAAATACGGACTTTTGGTTGCGCGTATATTCTTGAGAAGAGCTCGGTGACATGCGATCAATCTCGTTGCTGAGACTTTTCATCAGTTGCCGCAGATTCTCGCGCGCTTCTCGAAGAACCGGTGGGTGGGCGCTGATTCCCTGTTTCTTTGGGAAGAGCTCGACCAGTCGTGATGCATGTGTCTGGTATTCACGGAAATCACGGACAAGTCCACAGTCATGATAATGGGTTATTCTGTCCTTGGCAGCCTCCCAGGACTTGCACAGGAAATGAGTAGCCACAATCAGCCACGAGTCGAAGTAACCGGGGTCATCCTTGTGTGTGACACCTCTGTTCTCCTCATCTCTTATCCGTAGTTCATCTCGACAGAATCCTTGAACGACAGTATGAATCTTGACCACGTCAACAGCCAAATTCCCGCGGTAGATGGAAAAGAATCCCTCTTGGCTACTCTCGGTCAATGACTCTGACAGATCAGGAGGCTTCGGATTGCCCTGAAATTCGTCTGCAGACTTTTGTGCGGTGCCACTCTGTGCGAAGAATGGATCGGAACCTGAGATCCGCTCGATAAGACCGTAGTGAATCAAAGTTCCAAGAGTGGTATCAAGATCGGGATCCTCCCCAATTTGAGCACTGGTCAATATTTCTGCATTCTCGGCAGACATAGCATGTCTTCCAAAATTGAGTAGACCAACTGGCACTTGATGGCCCAGAAACGAGAGTAGGTTAATAAGGTTCAATGCTTGACGCTGTTGCAAACGATATAAATCATTCATGATGCTGAGGAACGGCTCAGCCAGCTTTTTATCAGTTACCTGGTGTTTAACATGGTACTTTTCAATGGGCTTGCTTGTCGCATTAAGTCGGTGACCAATTGCATGAATGGCCAAAGGCAAGCACTCATAATATTCAGCAATCTCTTTTGCGCGGTGAGCCTGCTCGGGCGTGGGTTTTCTGATTCCAAGGTCTTTGTAGAGGAGCTGGCATGCATCCTCGACGCGAAGTCGGGGCATCGATAAACAGTACGGTTCAAACAGGCGCTGCTTTTTGCGAAGTGTAGCATCAATTGAGGTGTAAATGATGCTACACATTTTGTTCCATGGTAGAAAACGTCGAAAGTCATTAATGTCAGCATCATTATCGAACGTGATCCCGTCGAAGATTAATAACCACTCATGACGTGTCTGGAGCCAGGTTCGGACAGAGTTCACATATGATTGAGCTTTTAGATGGGTCGGATCTTCAGAGTCTTTGATATCCACTAGGCTGACTGCTTGGGCAATCTCCCAAAAGCATTTGTACACCGACTCACGAGACTTTGCATCGATCCAGAACACTCCGCCTGGATAGCATCCACGTTGCGCAAAGACATACTCTCGTGCTAAATGGGTCTTTCCAGATCCTGGGACTCCGGCAATAAGGACAGCCATAGTTTTATCGACGCGAGCTTTTGCCTTGAAGAGTCGATTGTGTAAAATTTCTAGTTCCTTTTGCATGCCAAAGAATGTGGCGTTGGGGTGAAAGCCTGGTGGTGCAACAAAAGGCTGTAACTCTTGTTGAGATTTGTAAAGTGCACCACTATTGCTCAGATCTGATACTGGGGAGTTACGACCAGTAGCGGGACGAAGGGGCAGTGTTGGGGTGGAGTGATCTAGAATGGAACAAAGTCAGCCACATATCTGACCTCGAGTGATGCAAGAAGAAATTTGAATAATATCAGCTTAATTTATAGGAGAGGTGGAAGCCATCCCAGACCAAACGATAGCATAATTAGATACAAAAATGAGAGAGAAAATAAGGGGAAATTAAGAAAAGAATGAGATGAGAAGTGAGAGAAAAGTGGCAAAAATAAAATAAATCATAGCAAAGATAGCGGAGGCCGTGAGCTTTATATCGTCAAATCATCGCCATGAAATCAAAAGGTCATTAAACAGGAGGCTCCTCAATCTCGTAATCCCTTAAGGTGACTGACTCATCCGGTGAGGGAAGAAGGTGCCTACCAGTGTTGAAATTTGGGGTGCTGTGTGTGAGGGGATCCTTTAATCTGCCTGAGCTGGTCAGCATGCCAACCTGTGGAGGCATGGCGGTGGTCATGCTGGGCCTACCGTCGTAAATTTCACGGGCCTTGGCCTTCATCTCCATAGTACGAGTGGTACGCTCTGACACCCAACGATCTGCAATCAAGGTAGGTGCTTGTCGAGAGTATCGGAGAAGGGCTTCAGCAACAACCTCATAGCCCGCTGAATTCTCATCGTCGAATTTGCACATATGGCTGTGATCTGCCTCGATACCCATACGCTCAACACCCTCGATGTATGGGGCTGCAGATGCCTCATCCACGATAATCTCTCTAGTTCCACGAACATCGGTTGAGCGAGTCTCATGGAAAAAGTAAATGTGGAAACGACTAATGATATCTGCAAACAAACTGTTGATGTGTTGTAAGGTTTCGTTATTGGTGCGGAGGGCTTTCACGAGCTGCGGGGAACCCTCCATAAATTTCTTGGGAAGGACAGCAGTACAGATGTTGTGCAACAATAAGCCCCATTTCGCGATATCAGATCCATTATGAGGCGTGCCGAGGAAAAGGATGCCAAACGTGGACACGTAAACGGAACGCAGGTGCTCGGTCCGCTCGTTGGACAAGCTTCGGCAGTAGATCAAAGCACGCTTCACCACTAAACCTCCGAGCGAATGGCAGACAAAGATGATCGGTCGGTCGGAACAGTCTCGAAGGTTTCGGTTCGCAGCAAGATTGGAAGCTAGAGTTTCTGCGTGGCTGACGATCGAGTCGCGCGAGGCACCATCGGTGAATGCAGTGACATTCGCGTTATAGCCGTAAGTTAGGATGCGTGGACGTTGGGATGCAAGCACCTCGGGCAAGAGATCCACAGGCCAAAAGCAGTTTGTGGACTTGCTTGTCCATGAGTCATGGGGGTGGCCGTTGAGGCCATGAACAAACACGATATCCACCGTGGGGTCACCGCGGGGAGCATAGACCTGCGTCAAGCCAAAGGCTTTAACGGGACGAGGTTCAGACATTCTGGACTCAGCAACAGTATAGCATAGTTAGAGGAATGAAAAGAGATGAAAAGGTGAAGAATAAAATAAGATAAATAGGGAATTCAAGATATAAGAGAGTGTTATTACTCAGATGATATGGTTCCCCTGACCGATCCAGATGACCCCCCAGGTAAACAGTGGATCCATGGACGGTTAACAGATTACATACTGCGCCACGGGTCTAAGTGGGCCTCATGCCAGGGTACAGGTACTATCTTCAGGGTTATTATTACAATATTATTACATGGAGTTCCAGGCTTCAATATTGATCCAAATTCTGTTATATACTCATAGAGTCACAAGAAATAGACCCCAGGTACAGAGTACTATCACCCACCTCATTCCCATGTCTAGTAAAAAATCCCTCAAATTTCACCTGGGCATATGTGATACTTTGAGATAGATCATACTCGTATCTATAGTCCAATTTTGGAAGCTCAGAATCAGATCGTTCAAAATACGAGCCATAGATGTACTGTATGCACTCGCATATGGCTGCAGGAACCCTGGTTAAGTGCCCGGAAGATGCACAAGGCAGCCTGAAACCCCTGGATATAGCCCCCGAAATCTGCGCTATGTGAGTCACACCATACATCAAAGAAGTTCCTGGCCAATGAAATGAATCAAGTAAATTGGAGCCTGCATCCCTGCAGGTGAGAGCGCCCCGAGCCGTGAAGAAAGAATATGGGGGATAATCCAGGGCTGATTATATTGCCCCAGACTCAGCATAAAGAGATCAGATTGGGTATAGTTTGGACGCCACATCTATATCAATATCAAATCCTAGTTGCTCTGTACAAAATATGGTCATCGGTTAAAGGAACTTGGATCAACACACCCAATTCAAGATTGTTTCCATGTGTTTCTATAAATAATGAGTCAATCGGGGTCGGGGCAACAAAGGGTTAATGCAGGCAGCCGGGCGCCTGGGGCTGAAAAGGGTGGCTATACAGGAACATGGGAACATGGGGCAACATTCGAATTGATCAGCCTTAGGAGGCTCCAATTTTCGGACAAAATGATATTCCAAGTCCTACTAGTCCTAACTTTGAACATATTAAAATAGACTGACAAGAGATAGGTACTAACATATCAACATTTGAAGTAGTAGACAATATGTCCGCAGCACCATAACACCACTCAAACACAGTAATCCTTGAATCCTCAAGCCCATCTTAAATCAAGATAGATATCAATTTTTATACCCCAGGAGACAAGATCTATCGTCCACGGAAAGAAGGCTTGCGCTTCTCAGCAAAAGCGCGCAGCGCCTCATACCGATCCTCCGTCTCAATAACACCCTCATAAGCTCTATTCTCAGAGGCTTCGCCCATGTATGATCCTTCAATGGCCGCGAGGGCCTGCTTGATAGCAATAGGACCACCCTCACAGATATCCAACGCCAACCGAATGGCCTCCTTCTGAACCTTCTCACGCGCAACACCTTCCTGGGTGGCCTCCTCGGGCAAAACTTCCACAAGACGATCACACAGCCCCATGAAATACGATTCCGGACCTGTGACCCGGCGCCCAGTGAGAATCATATCCCGCGCACGGTTCATACCAATCAGCGCAGGCAATCTGTATGTGCCACCGGCACCGGGAATAATGGCCAGACGAGTTTCGGGGAGTCCAACGGCACAGGATGAGCCGAAGACGCGGAGATGGGTACAAAGGGCGAGCTCGAGACCACCACCCAGGGCCATAGAGGAGATGGCTGAGATGGTGGGGACTTGCAGGTTTGCGAGTTCCTTGAATGTGCTTCGGAGATCCAGTAGGAAATCTTCGGTCCTAATTCGGGAATAGTGTTAGCAGGAGGTCATCGCTATGTCAGTGACTAATTCTGAAAGACAGGTGGTTCTTACTGGGCGTGAGTCATCTTCGCACGCTCTTTCAAGTCCGCGCCTGCGCAGAATGAGGCGTCGACATTGCTTGATAGTACCAGGGCGCGTGTGGGCCCGTTGCCCTCTTCCGCGGCGACGGACTTGACATGCTTGGATAGAGTGTCGAGCAGCTGGCGCGAAATCGCGTTACGGGCATGAGGTCGGTTTAACTGGAGCACGCGCACATGACCAGAGCCTGGGGCGGGGATCTGCTGGGTGATGATGACGTCTTCTTCTGAGCTGGTACTGTATCGCGATATGAAAACCCGAGTGCAGGGCGCGGTTCGGCGGGAGATGTGGGCGAGGGGTGTGAGGCGAGCCACTCGGGGTGACAGGATGGAAGCCATTGGATCAGCTTTGCAGATCGAGATTTTCTCGATCACGAGTTTGGTGTCTCAGAAGGAAATTTGGGGGGTATCAAGTGCTCTCAAGTGAAGTTGGAAAATCATGAATTTACAAGTTGATCTCGGGAGCTTCGGGGTGTGGGGAAAGCTTGAGACCGATGATTACCGAGCTACCGAACTACAATTTTGAAGGTAATAGGATTCCAAGTATATCATTCAAAGGGGGTATCACAATTCACATCGATCTATAGACAAAAATAAATTACACTATTGTACATTCAAGTAGTCCTCGACCTCTGTAAGGTCGGGCCACTCCCATCCAGGTGTCCGGCTGACAATGTCGTATGCCTCTTCCAAATTAGAGTCCGACGCTATCCGATCGCCAGAATTAAACTGGGGATGTAACTTCTCCAGGTACATCCGGATCGCCACCAGGGTCTGTCGCATCATTTGGTCTCCATTCAGACGATCTTCAGCTACCTCGTTCAGCAAGGCAGATGATCGACTCATCCACCGTAATAGATGTAACAGACCATCATCGTCTCCAACCATTCCCATGGCCCGCACAAAACTATGTAGTGTGGCGTAGGACGGAACATGAAGAACAGCAGGCATGCCGAGTGATTTATCACTGCTGCTATTTGTGAAGACACTTTGCTCTGCTACCCCCGATGTCTTTGCAGAAGGGAGGACGAGCTGATCAAAGTGAGCCTTCAAGAGCGATAGACCATCCTCGACCAGAGCATCAAAGTAATCGCGGTCATCAATATCCGGCAATTCGGTTGAGAATTGATGGAGCGTACAAGCCTTTTCCACTAGCTCGGGTTGCTTGATGCCAGCATCAATGGCTCTGCTGAATGTGACACACAAAGGTTGAAAATCAGCAGGCCCGGGTGCAATCCCGCGGACTCGCATCCAGTTAAACACTTCACAAATCCCATGCCATGCCAAAATGCGGACATACTTTTTGTGGCGCTTCACATATCGTTCCCCAGAAAAGTTAGAGGAAAAAGCTGATAGAAGGTTATGCCAGGCCAGGCGACAAGGGGGTTGTCGCAGTTTGACCAGCTGAGTGGCATGCCAAAAGGCCAGTGGGTGACCCTCCGGACCTTCTTCTACAGACATCTGTAGAAAAGCAATGGGCTCTTTGTACTGAGTCGGCACGTCGGTCCGGTCCGCCATAAAAACATCTTTGACGCATTTGCTAACTGTCAAGGGCGAATGCTTGCAAAGAAAAGTGATAAAAGAGCCAAACAATTTATCAGGTAATGCCTCCAGTGCCTTAACTTGCTTTTCTTGGTATTCCGAAGGATGCCGCCACACAGTGCACAGCGCCTTGATCTGGTCCTCCGAGAGGTTGCTGGACTGGAGATAGAACAACCCCGTGCGTAAATCTGGAGCGGACAATAGGAGAAGTGCAAGAAATCTCCCAGAGGGACGAATACCACGTGAGATCATCTCATTCAGAAAGTCTTCCAATAAAGGCGGCTCTGTTCGTACGTAAATGATATCGCGAGCAGAAGCTGGTTCAGGGTAAACCTCCCGTCCATCACCTGGTAGAGTAAGGCTAACCCGGTCGAAATTACTGCTAGCCGTCTTCTGGCGGTAAATCAATTTCTCAGCCATGGCAGCGTAGATCTCAGCTTTGGCAGGTAAGCCGTGGTCCTGGTAGGATAAAAAGCAGGCCCATGCTTCACGGACAGTTCGAGTGGCGCGAATTCGTGCAACCCATACTCCGTGGTTATTGTGGTCATTGCAACTCTGGAGTGAGAGAGCCCGCTGCGGCGGTGCCAGAGCTCTGGTTTGCACCGTTGGGCTCCCATCAGTATCCCAGCCAGCCAAGATAGCAGATATCTCCTCCCAGACTCGAGGAGAATACCCTGCTTCTTTCATTTGAGACAATACGTTCATTGCTCGGCTCTGAAGACCCTCATTACCTCGATGAGAATCCATGCCCAATCTTTCTTCTTTCCACGGAGGCCACGATGGAGCTTTCAACTCAGCAGATTGACGTTCAGCTGTTGTCTTTTTGTGAGCTAGCTGAACCGCAACCACCGACCGATAACCTTCTCGGGTAACGGGGAAAACAGGCTTGTGGGCTGCCATTGCACGAAGAAGCTCGAATTGAGCCTGCTGTTGCAGAAAGGCCGATCGGAAGGGATGAACTTTGGCGGGGGCGGATAGTAAAGAAAGACACAAGTTGAAACTCTGGGTCCTAAAACTCCTGTCCTTGATTTGACCCAGCCCTGACTTCCTACTTTCATTTGCACTTGGGACAGTCAAAAACCGGGCGACTGCTCGAGCAATCACAGGAAGAGCCTCGGGCCAGACTTGCCGCGCATGCAGAATTAAGCGTTTAGTTAACAACATACATGTTGTTACGTCCACTTTAGGCTGTTTGGGACTTGAGCCTTCTATCGCAGAAACTTGGTTCGTCTCCAGGGATTGTGTCAATTGATGAATTGGCGGTAGTGCCTCCCCGCTCATCAAATGCAAAGAATGAATGAGTAATAGCCGAAGGACATGGGCATCCAAATATTGCTCTTTCAGTAAAAGCAAAACAAGGAAAGGAGGGACGTGAGGCCCACTGGCGTGTTTTGTTCGAGTTTCATGGTCTGACTCCAAAGCAAATAGGCGGGATGCTGCTTGATAATTATCTTGACTTGTCAAAACCCAAGCCCATGCAACCACATCATCGATGCAATAGCCTCGTTCTTCAAGGTGACGATAATTGCATGCGCCGAACACGTCCCCGATTGCAGCCTCCAAAGCTATGGAGCTGTCGCCTTCATACTTGCGTTTAAACAAAGGATCAACCTCCTGTATGTACTGTCCAAGTATTGTTTGTAAGGACCTCCGTACGAAACGTGACCCTGGACTTTGTTTCAGAAGCGACTTGGGCACAATGACATGATCCGAATCCTTTGTTGAATTTCTTGCGGCACGAATAGAGCCTTCTCCGTAACCAATTGAATGCCCTGCTTTTTGAAGAGACTCAGAGAGATATTCGGAGGGGGTGAGCCAACATTTGACTGATCGTTTGCGGGTACGTCGTTTGTTTGCGGGACGTTGGGAATAGTCGTGGGCTGGCAAGGAGGTAGATGGATTATTGGCCTCGATTAGGGATTGACTTTGTTCACTGTTTATCTTTGATTCGATAGGCGGTGCTTGTGAGATAGAAGCACGAGGGGAAACATTGGTATAGAAACGAGGTCGAATGTCTTGCGGGTAATAGATGTAGTGAGGATTTATATTAGATGGAATATCGCCACAATGCCAATTCTAATATATTCAAATGGTTAGTTCAAATTTCATAAATCCTAAATGAGCTCCTTTTTTCATACGTACCTTATAACCGATGTTGGTGCGAGTTATGGCTCTTAGGCAGGATATCCCCGAAAGGCCTCGCACATGATTGAGAGCCGATGACATCCATGAATGTAATCATAGAAACACCATTCCCAGAGTAACCACTCCAGTCAGGCGTCACAATGATCTTCTCCTAAGATAAAAGAATAATTTTAGAAAGAACTTGGACTGCAAGCAAAGAAAATATTCAAGATATCAGACCAACCGGCGCGCTTCGCGGCAGAAAATGGATTGGTATCACGTGACGGATCGACCACCTTTTGGGCAAGCGCGCATTCTGAGTCTCACGAAACGGTATCGCCCTCGTCCTCTTCCCATACAAATTCACTGCTCCAAATTGTACCATTTTGGGGTGGTGGACTTGACCATTGTCACCCAGTGAATCTGTTTTAACTCCAAATTTCTTTTTGAAGCTTCTTTCTTCATTTTCTACCCCCCTCACATCTGAAACCATAACGTGTTGTTCCTCTCTCCTTCGTCGCGATCTCATCCTTTTTTGATCCTGTCGCGGCCCTCGCATCAAGACTACTCGAGCCATCCTGTCGCGAACAAGACCACAGCTCATTTTCAACAACTACAATCCATTGATCTTTAACCCGACGGTCGCATTCCTGCGATCTTTTCCACGAACAATTCAAAATCCTTCAGGAGATCGTCCGGTCTAGAGTGGGCCGTGTCAAAGGAAGCCCTATCCACCTTGTCCCTCCCGCAGATTCCCCCACCATGAGCGCCGACGAGGGTGAAGATCCCCAATTTATGGCTCCCGTAAATGGCGAGTCCCACCCGGAGATGGGTGGTGCGACCGCGACTCCTCCCGGCAAAAGAAAGCGTTCGACTCAGGATGATACTCCGGCTGTCGAATCTGCCCCATCCACATCGCGTGAGAGTACAAACCTACATGAGTCTCTTCAGAGCCTCCTTGGTCTTTTATTGAAGTAATATCGCCCCGCATATTGGTAGAATGACCCCGTCATTGGTAGTGTGACTGACAATTGGTAGTCATGACTCTGAACTTCAGCTTCTGTCCTGTCCCTTTCCCACATCGGCGGCCAAGCCCCGAGCGAAACGCGCCAAAACTTCAGGTGACCAAGAGACCTCGAATGTCCGATCACGGGTCGAGGCGAACCGCTACAACACCATGCAGGAATTCCTGAGTGACATTGACCGAGCCTCCTCGGCGGTCATTGAACGCAATCAGAATCAGACAAATGGTGCAAGCGTTGAAGGCGCAGCTTTACCCGAGATGGTCAACCGCATTGCGGCATTCAAAAAGCACATGAACAGCCTGATTGGACAATCTTTCATCAGTCAGTCAGATGTCAAAACCGAATCCCTAGACGACGAGGACGAACAACTCTTATCAACCGTATCAACTGTCGGTCGTGAGGACAAACAGGTCCTGACTATGTACTGCGGGAATCAATCTCATTCTAAACAAGTCTGGTCCAGTCTACCAAAATCCGTCAAGGTCCCATTGCAGTCTGCTGAGACTGGCGCCGAAAAAGTTGTCGAGTTGCAGGAGCCACTTCGTGACGGCGGACTACCCAATGGCATCACGCTCTGCTCCGCTATTCCTTTGAACTTGGACTCAACGAAGGTGCCGAAGAGAACATTTGGTGAAGTGTTCGCACCGCGTTCAGGTTTGCCTGCCGTTGAACCTCGGAAGCGCTCTCGCACCACCTCATTATCCTGGATTGATCCATTTGATCTTGTCATGGATATCAAGAACTTCTCTGGTGAACGTAATAACTACAGTCTTACCCCATTTCCATCTGGGCAATGGTTGCAATACGGCGGGGTCACATCGTCACCATCATATTGGGCTCGTGTTGAAAAGCACAATGAAGATGCAAAAATCGGGTCAACATATGGACATCCTGCAGCATCATGGGTCGGCGATGACACCTCCACTTTTCAGGGCGTTCACTCATCATTTGCTCCATGCTTCGATAGCTCCAATTCTGTTCTACAGGCAGACGCGAAGAACATGGTCTGGTGGGGTCAGCGAGGTGCAAAGCGCTTCCACGCCATGTTCACACCTTCACAACCAGAAGACGCCGCCTCGGAAGTGGATCTTGATTTCATTGACAACATCGACACAAGTACCCTTGAGGAAATGGTTGATTCGATGAAGCCGAAGGACTATTCCGAATACCTGGCTCAATATGAGCAAGCGCCCAAAGGAGACAAAGAGTCTCAAAGCACAGAGGAGTCCCTTGCGGAGATTAACAATTTGATTGAGACTCTCGCCTCATATCAAAATATCCGCCGAAATATCATTCCGTCTAGCAGCGACAATGCTGAATCAAAAGAAACACCTGCATCCGATGCTGAGGATCCAGACACTCCCTCCGATGCCGAGAGAGCTGTATACGAGAGTCTGACATCAAAGCTTGTATCACTCATCAGCAGTGTGCCTCCGTACGTTGTGGCGAAGGTCAACGGCGATCAATTAGCAGAATTGAATGTCAAGCGAACGATCATCACTGAAAGTCCCGACTGGAAGGGCACAATGGAAAAGGATGACTACACCCTGAACCAAGAGCGGGTAGCAGCCATCGCTGCACAGGCTAATGCCGCTAACCGTGCTTCGACACCATCTACCGCGCGACCAGCAAACTTCCAAGCACCTCACTCTGCCTATAACCAACGCGCATTCAATGCAAACGCTCGTCTGCCACAAACACAAGGTGGATTCCAAGTGCCTCAGCAAAACCGACAACCCTCAGCTGCAGGCCCATATACTCCCGGCTATGCTGGAGCTGGAGCTGGAGCCCGAGCCCCAAGCACCCCTTCTCAACGTCCCGGCTATAACGCACAGCAGTATGCGCAAACAAACCCGCAATACAGCCAAGCCAACAATGTGCCTCAGTTCCAGCGTCCTGCTCCTAATGGTTACACACCCCAGCCCTATACACCGCGACCTGGACAACCCGCCTCCTACAACACTCCTCAAGGGCGAACTCCCAACCCTGCAGTTGCCTCCGCTCCGGCTCAACGTTATCAGCAATATGCAGCTCAAACCCCATCACAGGGATACTCGAACACCGCTGCTGCCGCGGCGTATGCTCGCAGTGCCGCTGAGCAAGTAGCTCTGAACAAAGCACAGCTAGCAGCTCACCAAGCACGGCAAAGCCCTTCCACACCTCAACCACAATTTGAGGCTCGTCACTCCCAAGAAGGTAGTCTCACACCAGGAAGCAAGCCAAATGGTACTCCCATTCAGTCATAAACACAACAAAATACGATTGCAGTTAGTTGCTTTGGAATACATCTCTCAATGTTGAAAAGTGCGCATTTGCTTCTCTCATCTCCGATTGTGGCTTCCTCTTAATTCAGTTTCCAATCCTCCTCTTCTCTCATCATGGCTTCATGTTTACTTCACCTCTTTTCTTCCTCGATTTTTTTTCTCTTTCTACTCTTTTCTGTTTCTAATGAACTTTGCGATCATATTTCATGCGGTTCATGTGGCTTTGTTCTTCCTTTTTCTTTTCTTTTTCCTTTTTTGTCTTTTTCGGTGTTTCGCTGAACTCGAGCGACCGGCGCGTATGTGTGATGGTTTTCTGGTTTACAAAGGGGTTAGGCATTTGGGTGGTATAGAGCTGCTGCTGTAAAGTAGTTTGCTCTTTGTTTCGCTTAGACGAGATGAAGATTGCTGCTGCGTTAATTTGAATATCATCAACGTATTCCACGCTACAATTTGAATTTTAAACCCATCAAGAACCGAATTCAATTCATATCCCATCAATAGTACACTTGAAAGACACAAATAGTATAAAGTACCGCTCATAAATCTTTGCATGACACCTCAATCCCAAAAACGTTCAACAATAGCGAGGTATCCTGGTCTTCCATCCATCCCAATGCTCATATTCCAATGCCATAGCCAACAGATATCCTGTTAGCATTGTATAATTTGTTATAACAATAATCTCGCGAGAAATGCAAACGCCATATTCTTCCTGCTAATCCCGAGAGTTTTTAATCCTGACTCGCTGAACACAACACACAAAACAAAAGAAAGTGATATGAAATCATTTCTAATATGAACTTTGTGAAATGAGCAGCAGTGATGAGTTGAATGATATCAAGACATCGCGTGGGCCCGACAACCAAGTTCTCTTCCTAGCATCTGATGCTTGTAAATAAAGACACGAAACAAATGAAATAAGGAAATGGTATTCGTCCAAAAAAATGATCAAGATAAAAAGATTCGTCATTTATCACAACGATGGCTCATCATGGAATGAACATCGCGGCAACAGTCATGAAACCAAAGTACCTGGATTATACGAGTCAGTTTTGTCCAGAATATTGACTAGAGAATGAATCGATTCTTACAGAGTAGCACATCTCCAACCATCTCTCGAGTCAACCAGAGTATCAATGCCAGCGGAATAGTTTGCTGCGATCGCAGCTGCAGCTCCACCAACGACTGTAACCACGACGAGTCGACCAGAGAATTCTGCAATCATGCTAAACGCAAGCAATGGTAACAGAATAGCTCCGGATGCGATGATAATGGCCATGTAAACTGGCGCCGAGGCAGCGGAAGCGGCAGAGCGCGGAGTAAGAGAGACAAGATCAACACCTTGATCCAAGAAGCGGGTTTCTGCCGCCGCGATGGGATTATGTTCTTTCATCCAACAGCGATAATTCCGGATATCATCATCGGTAGCGCGAGGCAGAGTTTGAATAACTTTGCTATATGCGCTGAGAGCATTGTCTGTACGACTAGTCAGAAGGGAATTCGTTCTTATTTTTTGACTCTTCGAAACTTACTGTATTGTTCAGTCTTATGGATCAACGCTGCCATAAGGTCCATACGTCTATAATGCAGCGACGAAAAAGACTGGGACTGGGCGTCCAGGCGACGAGATGCAGGCACGGGCTTATTGCCTTCCTTCTCGGCGGCAGCGACACGGTGCATCTCTTCGTATTCATCCAAGGTCTGGAGGTCTTCCTCCATTTGTGAGATCTCGTCTTGTAGGTGGAGCAGAACACGATGGTTTAAGCTCTCGAAGCGCCGATACATCGGTGGAAACGCTCCTTTGTCCTCGCCGGCTGAGCGGGTCAAGTGCGATGCCACAAGTCCATAGCCTGATGATACTTGTGAAGCATTTGAGTCCCTTCGTTGGAGCGCGCGGTGGATACTATCCTCCGGGCTACTCGGGGGAGAAGGTGGGAGCAGGGATCTGTGCATTGGAGCCGCTTCCCTAGGGTAATAGTTCTCTGGCCGGGAGATCTGCAATTGGCGCTTGCCTTGTGGTGGTGGCGAAGGCGCAGCTGGAGATCTGTGAAGCTCTTTCGTCGGCCTTTTCGCCGGCGATGGCACTTTTTTCCTTGCTACCAGCTGGGTTTCCGATGGAGGCACGGATGGCGGTGATGGTACCGGTGGTGACCGAATGTCACTGGAACGTCTTGACACCCCACTCGCAGGAGATTCTGGCAGCTTCGGAGAAGTGCCTGCCTTCGATGCCAAAAGCGCATGTGGTACAGGACTAGCACGCGGTTTCGGCGACTGGATATTTATCACAGCGGCCCGAGTCGCGGGGGCAGGCTCTTCGTCATCGGAATCAGAGGACTCGGACGATGACGACGATGACGATGAAGCTGAAGCTTCCTCGCTCTCCTCAAGGAATTCAAAAACGTTTGGGACCTTTTGCGCGGGTTCAGTTGGTGGTGGTGGGGGTGGAGGAGGTGATGCTGAAGCTGCCTGCGGCTTCGCAACCTGTTTCGAACCATTGACTCGCTCAGATGGAGAGTGACTTAGGTTGTGAGGTTCGCCAGGACCAGCCTGTGTGGTCGTTGTAACATTGGAAACCGTAGATGATGTCCTCTTCCTCCCATCCTTTCTTGTTGGCTTTCTGGTGTGCATATTATTGAGCGGCATGATGATCGGGGATAATCGGATTGTAACACTGGTTCATAACTTTGAAAATAATTAAAATGTTGTTTTAGGCCATGCCCATAATAGAGTTGGATTGGCATGAAGCGCGCCGGCGTGATTGTAATGGTAGTATATTCAAGAACGTCAATATCGGGCCGTGAGGCATGGCAAGGGAGGGGTTGAATTCCGATCAAAATCACGATGTCAAGCCGGAGAATCTAGGGGTTGAATCTGTACAAAAAAAGGACAAAGTTCAAGGGGAAAGTATGAAGAAAAAAATGAATAGAGGAAGACAAAGCAGAAAAAGGAAGTATGAGTAAATGGTTAATATGATGTCTCAAAATCTTCCCCACGCCTGGTCCCTCTTACATTCTTCAGCTGGGCGATAAGAGCAAGAAGTATGTAAAGGCCCAGGTTCCAGGCTTGTATTAAATGGCAGAGCGAGAGATTCACGTCAGCCTTTTTCATGGATGGAATCTAAAACGAGAGCGCGTCACCCAGGCGGGACTCAAAGGAGTCTACGGCGTTAACTCTTTTGAATGGTGTGTTGCAATTCGTCGCACAGGGAATCCCCGACAATCTGAAGCAGATGAGAAGCGCCGGGGGCTTCAGATCGGGAACCAATGACGGGATGACCTAGGAGATTCCTAACACTCCCTGCCGATCGTAATGCGGAGGTCGATTCCTGTTATCACACAGGTCTCATTTAATGTTTCTTCGGAAGTTGTGTAAGGTTTCCCCAAACTAAACACGACTTTCGAGGTCAAAGAGAATAAACCAGACTAGTGGTTTGGATGGGGACATCCGTTATTCAATAGCCCTGTGGCCTGTGGGGACAACCCTCGAATAGGAACAAATCAGCCGACATCCTTTCCGATCCGTGGAGTGATGCATGCGTGTCTGAACATAAACAAGACAATGGTGTGTTGGCGAGTCGCCTGTCGATCATCTCCTTGCATCTGGACCATCTGGCGGTCTGGCAGACAAAGCCGCCCCATTAGTTGGGTAGCGAAGGATTCCTCCGTTGATGACGAGGCGTCTTGCATGCATATGCTGTGCAGGTTAAGAAAATCCGATACAACAATAGATCAAGACCTCGGGACTGAATAGCGCTGGAGTGTACTCTAGACTAGTCGCTATGTGTATGTACGGAGTAGTAGAGTCCATATCGTTATCGTAGCGTGGTCTCGATACCGCCCTTATCCTACACCAATGCTCATGGTACAACATCGCAGACTCTATATGCTCTAATTCATTAAATTTTGTGGTTTCACTTATAATAACTAATATTAAAAATTATGACCTAGGAATGACATCTATGCTATAAGTGCTAACTAGGGTACTCTGTACTGACTCCTGAGACTCGACATGAATCTACTTCGGATCGGCAGATCGCCAAGTTTCCCGCGCTAGAATTCCGCTTTCTTCTCCGACTTCACCCTCTACAGCGCCATGCTTCGGCCATGGTTCAATAGCGGCGTCGTCCGCTCTCTTAGTCGAGTTCGTCGCCCATTATACCCTGTATCAATACAAAGATCCTTTTCCTCCGCCCGCACCCTTCACGCGACAACAGACCGAGTCCCTCTGCGCAAACAGCTGAAGCAGGAAGCCAAGGGCCATAAAGCCCAGAAGAGACAGCGCAAAGAGAGCGAGAAGGCATCAAGGCAGACATGGAAGCTCACTGTTGGAATTGAGATTCATGCTCAAGTCGATACTGCTGCAAAACTATTCTCCAGTATGCCCAATGGAACCATTTCTCATACTTGATTCTTTCTGACGCGCGACATTTCTCTTCATTAGAAGCTCCTACATCCACAAGTGATGCTCCTAATTCCAATGTTGCCCTATTCGACCTAGCATTTCCAGGTAGTCAACCGGTTCGTATCAACTATAACCCCGAGAAATACAGACACCGACTCATGCGGTACAGGAATTCCAAGCAGCGACTCTTCTGCCCGCTCTTCGTGCCGCAATCGCCCTGAATTGTGAGATTCAACCGGTCAGCCGGTTTGATAGGAAACACTATTTTTACCAAGATCAACCGGCAGGATACCAGATTACCCAATATTATGGTTGGTAGCCATCCTTCTCTTCACTCAACTTTCTGGCTAATACTATGCAGAGCCCTTCGCACGAAACGGCTACGTCGATCTGTACGACTACGACGGTATCGCACCGGAGGATGGAGACCGAGTCCGAATAGATATTAAACAAGTTCAGCTGGAACAGGATACCGCCAAATCACAGGAATACCCACCCTCCACGCAGCTCCTCGATTTCAACCGCGTGTCTCACCCGCTCATTGAGATTATCACCATGCCGCAGATCCATACCCCCGCAACCGCTGCAGCCTGTGTCCGCAAACTGCAATCCATTTTGCAATCCTGCGGAGCCGTCACAACAGGAATGGAGCTGGGAGGTCTGCGTGCTGATGTCAATGTGTCGATTCGACGCCGAGGTGAAGCACCGGGTCAATGCCACTACGATGGAATCAGCGGACTCGGTCAACGCACTGAGATCAAGAACTTGAGCAGTTTCAAGGCAGTGGAGGACGCCATCATTGCGGAGAAGAATCGTCAGATCAGACTCCTGGAGAGCGGCGGTGTTGTTGAGGGTGAGACTCGAGGATGGACGATTGGCAGTTCTGAAACCCGACTTCTTCGTGGTAAAGAAGGAGCCGTTGACTACCGCTACATGCCCGATCCTGACATCCCACCTTTGGTGATTGGCGAAGACCTAATTGCTCATCTGCAAGAAAATCTCCCCACTTCTCCCGATGCTCTCCTTGCGCAGCTTACTGGGTCCGAGTATGGTATCCCAATTGAGGATGCCAAGCCGTTGATCGAGTTGGATGACGGTGCTCGTCTCGAGTATTATCAAGATGTAGTGGACATTCTCCACACTCTACATGGTGACTCGGGCCAATCCACAGCGGCCCTTGCGCGAATTGCGGCTAACTGGGTTCTTCATGAACTGGGTGGCCTCTTGACTAAAGCAGACCGGTCCTGGGATGCGGAGATCGTTCCGGCCCGATCTCTGGCTGAATTGGTCCACCAGCTCCAAATGAAGAAGATAACTGGTCCTACTGCGAAGCAAGTCTTGGCTGGGATTTTTGAAGGCGATCGTCGAGCAGTCTCCCAGATCTTAGAAGAGGAGAATCTCCTGCTACGGCCCTTATCGCGCGATGAATACATATTATTGGCGACATCGGCCATTTCGATGAACCCCATGATGGCCCAGTCGATTCGAAATAATAAGAAATCGCTGCACAAGCTAGGCTGGTTCGTGGGGCATGTGATGCGCATGGGCGAGAAGGGCCGTGTTGAGGCCCCCAAGGCCGAAGAAGTTCTTCGCGAACTGATCCTCGGGGAGAAACGATAGTGTTAGTTCGATGCATGTACTCCGTACTCCTTCAGCTTTTAGCCAATGATACCCTTGTGTATTTCTAATAACTGTGTTCATATTGCGCAAATCCCATAATATTCTTCATCTGTAAATAATCTTAACTTGAATGATTGCGATCAACGAGATTAATTTCCAACCGTATTATACTCATATTCCCTCTCTTGCCGCCCCAAACGCAACTCTGGAGGATCAACCCCCATTTCCCCCGTTATTCTTCCAATAACCTTGGAAAAAGAGACTCTCAGATAACTATTACGACATTCCTCGGTCTTAGCCCCTCTCTAAAATTCCAGATTGCAACACAGTGGGACATTTCGGGACCTAAACGGGGCAGCTCTCCTCAACCTGTACTTAACGGAAGTGATGGAGAACCCAGCGGAGTGCCATGATCGCTAAGTGCAGGTTTTAGCGATGGTTGCTAAACACGCAGACCGGAAACATGGAGGTCCGGGAAAAAGGGGGGCGATGAGAATAGAGATATAAAGATAAGATGAAATCCTATTGAATCTATAAATTCCAATCTTTATTCAAGTTCTCTTTCTTTCTTTCATCTATCCTCTATTTTTCTATCTTCTACTGTGGATTCCCCTCCCGATCAGATTATTTTTTTATCTTATCGCGGATCACTTACGTAGTAGATCTTCAAAGGGTCTTTTACTAATTCTACTCTTTCAACTCTCTCCAGATCTTGAATCTTTCTTTACCATATTTAAAATGACTCAACCATCAACTATTGCCTCGCACTTTCTCACCCACCCTCATCAATTGGGCGTGGTGGCCGTGGGCTTCAACGGCGGACAGGTACAAGAACAAAGACCCCGAAAAGAAACAGAATCAAGTGAAAGAGTGAACAAAAATGCTAATAAAAACCTTCTATACAGATGAAGAAAGGAGTCGAAGCTGCCCCAATGGCTCTCATCGAAGCCGGACTTCTCACCCAGCTGAAAGAAGACCTCGAATATGAAATTCACCACGATAACACCGTTCACTACTACGAGAAGGACATCCCTGCCGAGGACCCCGATCACCGAAACATGAAGAAGCCCCGTGCTGTCAGTGCCGTCACCGAGCGTATTAGTTCCCAGGTCTACAACTACGCCAAGGATGGCAAGTTCGTCCTGACGCTAGGCGGCGACCACTCCATTGCCATTGGTACTATCTCCGGTACTGCTAAGGCTATTCGGGAGCGATTGGGTCGCGAGATGGCTGTTATCTGGGTTGATGCTCACGCTGACATCAATGTTCCCGAGATGAGCCCTAGTGGTAACATCCACGGTATGCCCATGGCGTTCTTGACCCGCTTGGCTCGAGAGGATCGACGCGATATCTTTGGCTGGTTGCAGGATGAACATATCATCAGTACCCGCAAGCTGGTGTACATTGGTCTTCGGGATGTGGATCGTGGTGAGAAGAAGCTTCTGCGTGAAAATGGAATCAAGGCTTTCAGTATGCACGATATTGACCGGTATGTTTTGACCTTTTACTCTTTTTTTCATTTTACCATATAACTAACCTTCTGTGTAGTCATGGTATCGGTCGTGTTGTCGAAATGGCTTTGGCTCATATTGGCAATGATACTCCGATCCATTTGTCATTCGATGTGGATGCCCTGGACCCCCAGTGGGCACCTAGCACCGGTACCCCGGTTCGTGGAGGATTGACTCTTCGCGAGGGAGATTTCATCTGCGAATGTGTACACGAGACAGGTAACTTGGTCGCCATGGATTTGGTCGAAGTTAACCCAAGTTTGGAGGAAGTTGGAGCTGCGGAGACTATCCGCGCAGGATGCTCGTTGGTTCGAAGTGCGCTGGGCGATACCCTTCTGTAATTTTTGATTTCTTTTTGGTTTTTGGGTCTGGTTTTTTTTTCTGTATTTTGTTTTTTTAGATGATCCCCATGACATTTCAAGAGAATAATAGAAGCAAATTCTAAAAAATGATGATGATACAAAAAGTGGGTTTTCCGTACTCCATTTGAAGTTGTACTATACTTTAGATCCCCTGCCACCTGAATTTCCACCTGTCAAATCCCCCGCCTCCTCCATCTTTCTTTCTTTCCATTCTTTTCTCCTTTTGCTGCGAGGTCGTACATTCTTATCTTGTCTTGACTTTAAATTAAAATCTCAGCTTCATCTGAAGTCCCTGCTTCTCACTGCGCCTTTTGGCGCCTAATGCGCTGTTCTTATCGCTCCCCGATCTTACATCCGGTCCAAACAAAAACAACGCAGCCAGCAGACTCGAGCTCTGTGCCTTAGGGTTGGAAAGTTGCAACTACCTGACAGCCCAATCGCAAGATTGATTAATAGGACGAAGAGCTGTGCAACTCGCTTCATTCATCTTCCATACTACCCAAGTATCGCAATCGCATCATCGTCGCATCGCAATCGCAATCGCTCCGCCGAGGCTCGACGATAAACATCCCATCCATTCAATAAACAAGACACCAATACTCCTGTCGCAAGATATTCTATCCTCGACTTCCCTCACACCCATAACACTTCTCCACAATGTCAAAAGTCCCCGCTCGCCGTATCCGGCTAAGCTACCACTGGCCAGAGATCCAACTCAACATCTGGCTCATCGTCGTGCTAGCCGGTTCAGCAACATGTCTTGGTATATTCTCCTGGTTCATGATTATTCAATCTACAATGAAACTGGGTACTCCATGGTACGTACTTCTAAATTACTCTTACACACCCACCTCACTATATGAAGCAATACATACTAACTAGAACATATTTAGGCTCTTCCCATTCATGGTTACAACTAGTTCATTAGCCGTGTTATTCATCTTCGTTGTCCTCCTCTTGATCGCGCAACGCCTTTTACTACCCGGTATCCTTATCCTGGGTAGTTTCATACTTTTCGTCCTCTTCTTAACGGGGTTAATTGAGACCTCGTTACAGATGTATGGTGTTGTCGGGAATGTGAATAGTAATTGCCAGAATTATGTTGTGAAAAACAAATCAACTGGCAATAATCTCGATACACTGGGGTGGTTGACGCAGATTACTATTTGTGAGTATCTTTCTTTCCTCTGGAATTATATGGGATCTTTGAGATCTGGGCTTGGATGGTATACTAATGTTTGAATTATAGGTAATTGCTGGAAAACGGCATTTGCATTTGAACTTGTGAACGCTATCTTCTATGTATGGATGATGATCATGTCCTGGCAAGTCCATATGAATTATTATCATTGATCATATCTTCTTCTTCATGTCTATTTTTTATCGCATTTGATGTCCTGTTATATTGATTCTTTTTTTCTATGTATTGTGATACCTTATTTGATGCATCAGTTTGGCGTTTGGGTGACAAGCATGAACGACGACGTACAACCATGAATAGTTACTTCAAAATTCGATTCTCAAACCTTCAATTATGGATTTACAACCTTGAAAGGGGTCCTCGGTCGTTTCAGACATTTAGTAAAGATAATATTTGACTAAAAGTGTCACTGGCAAACATGTTCATTTTTGTTTTTCAAGGATCGTACCTAACATTTGAAGCAAACTAGAAGACTTGAACAGAGCACATCCTCTGTATTTGATACAGTCAGGAATCTACCTACTTAAAAAAAAGAAGTAGACATATTTCAAGACTAGCCCACATACAAGATACATTGAAGATAAAGATAAACAAAAAATAATAATAAAAAAAACTGCGAAACGCCGTCGCTATGCCAGGACCACACGACAACTGCATCGATCAGATATGAGAGAAGATTGGGCAGGAAAATGAAGCAGTCGAGTCCGAGGATGGAGAAATGCCGATGAGATAAAAGCGGACGAAAATACAAACTGGAGATAAGAAGCATAGACACCTCTAGGTAGCAGGAGAAATGACAGGAAAGTTGATTAGACATTCTCCGTCGTCTCCTCTGGGTTCTCATCGTATTCATTATCTTCAAACGCTGCAAGCATCTCTCGCTCTAGATCATCTTCATCCTCGTCTGGATTCTCGGGATAAACATCATCAGGAATATCGCCAGACTCTGCCTTGCCATCTCGCTCTTGCTGTTCGACGGGTGCTGCACTTGAAACTTCGCGAAGACCGGTGCTTCGTTCATATGAACGCTTGATGCGCTGCGACAGACGTGAACCTTGCTGATCCTCATCCTCATCCTCGATAGACTCTTCATCTACAGCTCCATCATTTCCTTCTCCGCGCTTGCGCTTCTTGCTAGCTGCAGTGGGTTCTTCGCCCCATGCATCCGTATCGCTTTCACTCTCGTCGTCGCTGCCGAGGAACTCCTTTAGTTCGTCATGCACAGCAGCCTGTTCATCTTCGTCATACCCAATAGGTGAAGTCGAGTCTAACCCAGTGTCCTTGAACAGGTCCTCTGACTCTTGATTTCCCTCATCATCAGTGAGAACGGAGCCTGTCGCCTCATCAGAAGACGATAGCCAGGAAGTTTCTGCGAGTTCTCGCGATCCAGGTGAGAGTAACTCGCCACGGTCATCGGGATGGACAGGAAGTAGATATGGCTCCTCGTCAAGATGCCTCCAATTCGTCAAGCAGTCCAGAAGCCATTGCGTGGTGACAATCTTGAGATCAGGGTAACGTGTGGCTTCACGGACCTTTGCGGTGCGGTTTCGGCCAGCGACCAGATGGGTAGTGCGGCGGTTGATTTTAGACGCAATCACGATTCCGAAAGTCTTGGACCAGAGGGAAATATCAGCATTCTGTGTGTCCGTGCCGAGAGGCAGAACGCCAGAGAAAACCACTACAATGCCTCCAAGAATTCGCGATTTGATCTGTGGCATGATCTCCTTGACATCAGGAACCAACTTCAAATCAACATCCTTGTCTTTGAATGTTGGCTTCTCTCCCCTCAAGGCCGCCACACGGCCTCCAAGCTCACTGGTACGTCTCTTGTCGTATTCTTCGAAAAACTGCAGATGTACTTGCTCGAGTCGGGCCTGCAATTGGAAAAGTTCCCGATCATGATCTTCGAGAAGGTGATGTCGTTGCCTGTTCTCCAGGGGTTCATCAATGCTGGAAGTTGACTCGCTACTATCGGCAGAGGCATCATCCTCCGCATCTAATTCTTTCTGTTTCTGGAGCAGCGGTCGGTCTTCCACCTGATGCAATATTGTCTCCTCTTGAGCATTTGTTTGCTCTTGCAGCAGTCTCGGGTCGTCACCACCTCCCATTGTCACCAATTGTTCTAATGCAGAGACCTGGTTCTCATCTTCGGATTTCGCAGCTGTACCGTTGACATTATGTTCTTTAGCTTCCGTCTTAGCTGCCTCAAGCGCAGCCTTATTTGTCGCACCAAGCTCTTGCTTTTGAGGCAAGAAACTGGAATTGATGTCACCAATTCCCACGAAAAAGTCATAGGGGGAGACCTTGATGAGGTTCTGGTTCCATCGCCACACGTCACCACGATCATCGATAATGACGACCATCTTGGTATCAACCGGGAACAAACGCTGAAGGTTCTTAGCTGTCAGACTGCCACTTTCGTCTCGACTGAGAATGCGATCGCCAAAAAGGTTGCGATTCGGGTCAATGATATCGGCAATATGCTGCGCATAAGCACGAGTACCCATGGTGTAAATGTGCAATTCGTAAAGCTCGGCGACATTCTGCAAGAAATCTTCCAGCCCGGGCCGCAGTTTGATGTAGTACCAACAGCCGCGCATTCCGGGACCATCATCAATCAGTCGGAACTGTTTAACATTCTTCAGTGCTTCGTAGTTGGGGTTGTCCTTGTCTTCTTTCCATTCACCAACAGTTGGATCGACAGTGGCGTGGATAATGGTTTGATCAAGATCAACAACGAGAGATAGACGTCGGGATGCCAAAAGACGACGCTTTGCATCTTCTTCGACACGAGTGGCCTCCTTCTGACTGACTGTCAAAGTGGTGTTGTCATGGGACATATGGATCGGGGCGCGAACAGAGTCCATAACCTCGGTGTTGTAAGATGATCTATCAAGAGGAAAATGTGTTAGCGCATATCTACTCTCCCAACCCATCGTTCCTAGGGCTCTGGGAGTACTTACTCAGTCATATCCTTTCCGCACTCTGCGCACATTCCTCCAAATTGAACCTCATGAGCACATGGCTCAGTGATCTCGACCACATCGACCCTGGACGGAAAGATTAGCCAACCTGAGGGGAAAAAATATCTCGATCGGAAATGAAACTCACGGTCCATTAATGACATCACCCTTTGAAAGCTTCCACTCGCCAATCTGACCATCAACAGTGGACTCAAACCGAGTCGGATATTTGCGCAGTACGGGTTTCAGAACACCCCACAAATCATACTCTTCATTGACGGCCTCGTAGATATACCAAAGCAGCGCCTCATCTCTCTCCACACTATCACCTTCCTTCTTCAACAATGATGTGATAGTGATGGGGTAGTGCAAGCTGGGGGGGCAGACGGAGAAGCATCTTTGCTGTGGATTCGCCTTCCCAGGTGACAAAATCCACGGGGTCCTGGTGACTAACTTGACACGCCCAGTGTCCCCAAAATTGGTATCCACCTCCTCAGATGTTTGTTGGTTCCACGGCGCAAAGCGAATGTGGAATTGTGTTTGGATATGATCGCGTGCGCCTCGGGCTATGGAGCCATCACCAGCACGCGACGCGTGATAACAGGATTTCTTAATTCGGGTTCAGGCGGTGCGATTCGAGCTGGGGGGGGATAAGAAAAGGGGAGAAAGATATGTTTATCTCTCTTTCAACTCAATTTGAGGCGTTTGAAAGAAGATTTTGGGATGAGTGAATGCGTAAAGGTTCCCTTTGAAGCTAGGCGTTGAAGAGAAAGAGAAAATTGCCACACGATGCGGATGAAAGGGGGAAACAGTGTGCGCCTGGCACAACCTGGCGCGTGGATATCGGGATGAAAGCACGCACCAGGCACAGAAGATGCGAACTCAAAGATAGGGATTATGAAATAGAAGAAGAATGCTTGCGATCGGGGAATGGGAAGCTCGGGTGCGGGGACTGAATAGCCTGGAAGTGGAAAGAGCTCCGCTTATGTCAACCCGCCCGTCCCCTTCACCGCCTTCTGGGGAACATGCCATGGTGGATTAGGTTGAATTTATACTACTAAGAACTCTGGATGCTATCTGGCGGGATCTCAGGCTATCTAAAGTTTGAACAAGGATTCACTGGCTTTCTTCATTATACCTACAGTCTAAGCACCCTCTTGGCCCAGTCTGGCATTCCTGATTGGCTGAAGGCCTGTCACTGAACCGTTTCTGAGTCTGCAGTCACGGCCCATTGGCTCCATATATACCAGCTAGTTAGCGAATCACCATGCCTTAAAGCAGAAAATCCGGGGTTTTCATATCACTTTTGAAATGACCCTAGAGAATACTAGTATATGATACATACACTCTTGTATTAGTACTGTTACCTACCCCGAGTCTATAGTAGTATATCGCATCCATCATGATGTAGGCACCTATGCTACTTAAATGCTGCATTATGGCAAGTATACCCACGATGGGCATGACTGATACGAAATTATCAGAAACATTTGAACTTGAAAGAGTGCAGATTCCAAGAAAAATGAAGGACAAAGGTATTGGTAGGTAATATCCATGCGTATCAAGATGGCCATTTGCAGTATACACTAATGATCAAGTGCAATACTAGAAGTAACTGAGCAATAATGAAGCAAAATCGGTTAAAGAAAAACATTGAAAGCAGTACAAGATATCTAAGTACCTAGGCACATATGCTGGTATTGGTGGATGACAAAGCTGCAGTTGAACCATTACAATCTCATCATCCTAGTGGATTTCCATGTGCAGCAGCGTCAACTGATGTATATGAGATATTTCCTGACTCCTGAATTTCTCGTCGGAAGCTGCCACCCAAAATCATTTCATGCCAACAATTTATTTGGCCTTGGCCAGACCAACGGTACCCTTGCCCAGGTCGTAAACACTGTAGTACTTGCGCAGGAAAGCATCACCCAAGATGGCCAGGGGACCAACAGGCTCAGGCATATCCATACCCATGAAAGTACTGATGCAAGAGCCCTGGACCTCCAGGATGTAGTCGTAGGGAGTGATGGTGAAGTCGTGGCCGCTCAGGGTGAAGGTGAGATCAGGCAGGGAGCCACGCTTCTCACACTCGACGCTGTACTGTCCAGTGAAGCCCTTAGTGGCACCAATCTCCTTGTTCAAGAGCTCAGCCATGGTAGAGGGCAGAGCAATGAGAGAAGTACCAGTGTCAAGGATGACACCAGTGTTGTCGAGCTCAGCAACCTCGTTACCCAGAGCAATGGCGTTGAGTTCAACCTCCCAGTAGGCCTTGCGGCGCAAAGGAATGGTGGTCAACTTGCCCTCATAGTGGCTCTCGTCAACACCACCGAAGGTGACCTCGGAGTTGTCACCTTCCTTGGTAGAATCACCCAGGTAGAATGCGAAGACAGGCGCGTCCAGCAGACCCTGGTTGATCATGCTGTAGAAGGGGGAACAATCCCGTTGACGGAGATTCTATCGTATCCCAGACCCAGGATACCGTCAAACCGACCGAAAGCAAAGGCCAGACCAGGCTCGCTAGTAGCCTCAGCGAAGTCCTGCTCCTTGATCTTCAGGTCGCCAATCTGAACGGTGTCCTGAGAGACGAAACCGCTCAGGCTACCAGAGCCATACTGGATGGAGAACTCGGTGCCATTCTTCTGGTAAGTTGAGGACGAGGATGAATCGTACTTGCTGTGAAGGAAGCAGGCGATCGAGTTGCAGCTCGACGACGGAACCCAGAGGTTAGAGCTACCAGTATCAAGGACAACCTTGAAAGTCTGAGGAGGAGTACCGATGGTGATCTCAGAGAAGTCTGATGAGATAAAATAAGAATATTAGTATTGATACATGATCGTGTGAGGCGTAGATGAATTGATGAGGGAAAGCTTACACTGGGCGTTCAAGAAGTTGTCGACCAGGACATCATGGCCAGCATTAGGCTTGAAGGAAGTCTCCTGGAACAACTGATCATGTTGTTCGGGGCGGATTCCCATGTACTTCTGACCCAAGTTACGGACATGGGCGTCGATGTTGTGGGTATCCTGAGATATATTAGCTCGGAACTAGGATGTTGCCTAAAGGGTTATGCTTACGAGCTGCTCGCTGAGGGGAACCTTGTTGAGCTTCAGCTTGTGAACCTCAGCAGAGGCACTGCCCAGCAGTGCAGAGGCCGTCAACAGGGCAATAGACTTCATAATGGATAAGATGGATGATTATGATGGAGGGGAAGAGAGGATGAGGAACCTTGGAAGATAAGAGGGAGCTGGGGGCGGAGTAACTGGAGACGGCGATCGGCATAACGTGACGGGACTGCGTCATTTCCCGGAATCAGGTGCGCCATGGGTTGCACCCGTTAATCCACCCTTTCTCTTTCCGTTTATTGATCAGGAATCTCTACAGAGTACGGAGTACATATGATTCATCAAATCAATAAAATTGAATCTATGAAATTGAATTGACTTACTATTTACAATGTGGGAAAGGTACCAAAGTGATTCCCGGCACATCCGCTATCTGCATATCAGAGGGGCTGGGCCAGAGCTCGAACACTAACAAGGGGTCAGGGCAAACTCGTACCTGGCAGCGGTAATAAGGCAGGTGGCAAGGACAAGGTTGTCTTATCCGACTCGCCAGCTGATACCAAAATGAATCTATTTATCTTTCCCTAGAGTTTTACAGGGATAAATAGGTGGCAGAAGGCATTTTCACATTGTTCAAATGTTTCCTCCGTCCTACCTTGGGACCTCGGGAGGGAGAGTATCCGACTATTTGGCTGAGACCCTGCATTAAAGGTACCTACGTATGCCCTTACTGATGATCTTGGAAATCTAATACCTGTTTGACACAGATATTTTTGTTCTAGGACCTGATTTACGGGAAACACACCGAAGTGTTCCCGATGATGCACCAATACCTTGGTATGTACATGTGCGGAGATGTGCTATTCGACGTACCGAGTTTCGTGTGTTAGGTATATCCATGGATATTGTTTACTTCAACTTGAAAATTGCCCGACCTTATTCAAGTCACAGCAGTTTTATTTTTACAACATTGAAGGGAAGTGGACGTGTTGTCGGAGGGGCCTACGCTAATAAAGTAGTCTGGCATATGCTACAATACACAGTTACCCTTAGGAGTGACTACTAGCCATAACCTCGCCATCCTCTCACACATACAGATATTTCAAGTTACCACTCCTCCCTCGGCTGGAGACATCGGTTAATTGCATGTGGGCAAACCCTAAAGGCCCGAAGCTTTAAGAGCCAATCTGCAAAAAAAGGACGAATGGGTACTTGGAGAGAACGCAGTCGGGTGTGAAGAACTCATACGAGAATTTGAACAGCGCCAACACCTGGACAAGCTTACCTAGGTAGACTTTACTCCAATCCATCCTCATCACTACATCCGTTATCTCTCATCTCGCCCTCACCTTCCATATGGATCTCATCCAGGGGCACACGTCCAAAGGTTTAAGCTGGAAATTTTATATGATACTTTATACTCCAGGTTACTAGGAATATAACTTTTGAATTGATAGTATTTGGGGTTTCGTACATCCTTAGATATCTGGATGTGTAGGTATTGGCTTTGAGGTATGTGGGTACTGGTTCCCTCACTATATCATATGCACATGCTCAGCTGTCTGTTGCCATACCATATGATTTACTAGCCCGGCCAGTAACTCGGTCTGTAGAGAAACAAGGTTGTGTTGGGCTATGCTCGGTAAGGTTGGTGTTGAATCTGATGATAGCTGTGACAGATAGGTAAGGTCACTATGCATGCTTGATGAGATCCACTGTGTCCAATGTTTCTGTTGTGAATTGGGATAATTCATCCCACATTGGAAAATGCGTTCACCGAATAGTAGGTACTAGTACCGGCGATTTCTGGCAAGCTCCGCAGACTAACACATCCTGTAGGCTTTCCACATAGAGGGCCGAGATGCCCTTCATCTGTAAGAGGGCGCTGTTAAGCGGGAGACTTTGATAGGGTAGAAGAAGTGAGATATCATTTCATCGATATCTCACTTCTCCTAATCCACTTCTCAGCTAGGGAAAATGTCTCGCCACACCACCCATAGACCTTGTTGAGTCTACATCCAAGTCTCCGAGCAATTTTCGACGGTATCTTGCTAGAGTGCGGCTCATGAAATGTAATACTCCTATCAGCCTTCAAACTGATTGGCTGAAACTGCCAGACAGAACCATCCATTTTCATAGCCGAGAAGCCAATCGAAGTCATGGCGTGAAGGAAGTCATTCCAGTGGAGTTCCACAGGTGCCGATTTCGTTTTTTGTTGAAGATGGTACTGAAGACTTTAAAGGCCCAAGTGTCTACGATAAATGAGGGCTGGAGATCTTGAGAGTTAGGTTGGAGTACCGCCTCATCCGCCTCATCCGCCTCATCTGCGGAGACCGGTTCTTTGAGTGTGGATGATATTCCGCGTGTTTTTACCTTGGTTTTCGGTAGGGGTATGTCGAGGGCTTTTCCTGAGAGGTTGTTGTTGGTGAGAGAGACTGGTTGGTGAGGGAAGTACAGGTCAGCATCATCACTGGCTTCCTTCTGTCCGGAATTCCGGAATGGTAGCTTCTCTGTCTCTACCCACTCTGGAGTGCGCTGTAGCATGTGAGGCTTGAAGATAAAGTGAGTGAGAGCTGTAGGACATACTTTGCCGGCCCTTTTGATCACGAGCTGATCAAGCAGAGCCCAAAAAGCATCCAGATTTGCCTCGGACCTGCGAAGTACCTCCACATTTTCTCTGGTGCGACATTTCTTAATGGGATATGTGAATTTGCCCTTGGAAGGTTCACCGAGCTTCACAACTTCAGGTTTCATGGCTTCCTCCTTTATGGCAGCCATGACTTGGGCCCAGGGAGTGGTACACTCCGTATATGCCTTCTTGAGAGTTTCTTCACGTTCCGCAAGCTGACCTTCAAATCTCCGGGCCCATGGCTGGTAGAGCTCTAACTGATTCAAGCACTGAGAGATGATAGAGAGATCTCTCACTTCTTTGGTGATGTAGGGGGACATAAGGTCTCGGGCTTGAGGATCTGACTGGATTAGCCGATTTAGCTCATCAACCACAATGGGTAAGCTGACTTCAAACAAGAAGTTGCTATCCTCCCACAACTGACGAAGTAACCAGAGCAAAAAATGGTCATTCGCTTTCAACTCGACCCCATGCTTCATTACGATGTTAATTTCCGATGCTTCGGAGTCAGGGGCGTCCCTCGAACAAACAGCTTTAATGGGTGGTGAGGGCAGGGCAGACATCATAAGTATGTCTAATGGACCCTTTGCCATCTGGTTCACAAAGAACTTAAACCGCAGTAAGGCTGCAAGGTAATCCAATGGTAATTCCTTTGAAGGCGAGATATCATCAATGTAGGTCTTTTGCAAGAAAGCTAAGCTCTTGGCTTGATGGCTGAGTTCAGAAAATGACTGAAACTCCAGGTATGCGTTCGAAATCATAAATCTGATGATGCGTCCCCATAGAATCTCACGTCCACCGCTGCTGTATACCGGGTGGTCATTCCCCACGGTGTCTTTCATTATCTCTGGGCGGCGATCCTCGGTATCAAGAAGGGACGCGGCAAAGTAACCAGGGTCTTCGCGCAAAGCCCGTAGGTGATCTTCTGCAGCAGATGCTCTGGCGGCCAGTAGAGACTCAATGAGGTCAAGGTTAAGGTCCAATGGAATACGGTATGGGGCGTCGGCTGTCATAACACTTAGAGATTCGAAGCCGGTGATCTTGCTTCCAGGCTTAAGCGGTGGTTCAGGTAGGACAGGGAAGGTGCTACCGGTCAGGCCAGACTTGGGGATATCATGCAGAATTTGCTCACAGCATTCAACAAGGAAGGCAAGTGCTCGCTCCTGTGCTTCCAGGACTAGCATCCCCTCGCCCGGCATAAATTGCTTGCGTTCCTTCATCCAGTTGAAAACGGTAGGGTTATCGCCCCACGCCATTAACTTCCCATATTCCCTGGTATTATCAGTCATGCCGTTGAGAATCATGATATTCTGGCATAATGTAAAGGAGGTGAATTCGCCGGTGATAAAGTCTAGTCGCATGGCTCTGTTATCTGCTGCGGCGAAGTATGAGGATGGATGTCGACCTCGGGCATTTAAGAACAAAGGTAGTATGTTTTTGTTCAGAAGATCTGCTTGATTTATGTATGGCCACATGAAACAAGCTCGACGAGCTGTAGCTCCGCGTCGGTCCAAGTCAGGTGATGAGCCCTTTCGATATTCGTAGAAATCAGGACGGTGCATAGTTGGCATATCCGGCCAAGCATGAAGCAGAATCTTGAGTCTCTGTTTGTGTGTCTTTTTGAGCCATCGCTTGCGGATAGTGGCCTCGTGTCGCTGCAATATCGTATTCAAGGTTTCGTATCTGGTGAAAATGTTGTCAGATTTTGCAGCAACGTCCTGACAAAACTCTTCAGGGCTTTCTATGGACTCAGACAGGCGAACTGAAGGATCAATGTCACCTAGGGCTTTGAGAAAAGAGGTCGCGTCTTTGAAGTCAACAATTTTTTTTGATGTCAAGCCCATTCTCCAGATATGTGATTGCACCAGGACCAACAGAGTCCAATCCAGGATTTGGCCTCTGCTCCATTGTTGAATTTGTGAACGTTGAGGGAAGTAAAAATTGTAGGACGCGTGAAGATGAGAACAAGAACAGCACAGAACTCACAAGTGGGTGGTCAATATCAATAGATGTTGCCTATGATGTACTGCCAGGTCGCGCCGATGAGAATCGGTCTGATCTTTGAATCTCTGATCCCCGGGGGGAGGTGATTGCTCTTGGTGCTCCGGGACACTACCGATGTGGCCGTGGCAGTAAGCAGATGTGGCCATCGTGAACTACTACTACATAAAGAATAGCCTACAGCAAGGAGCTCCAAGGCATACCTACTAATAGAAGGCTACTAGTCTTCTATCCGAATGGCGAGAAAGTTCTCGCCGTTTCCTCTTAGTAGTATTGCCCAAGACACCACGCACTCAGAACATGGTAATAGATCATTCAAGGGTTTCAAAGTGTCATAGATTATTGATAATACAACAAGGAGGTAAAGGAAACATTGTACCATTACCTATAACCCCACCCCCATGTCTAACAAGATGCCCAGAAACCAACTCATTTACCGGTAGAAGTCGAGTCTGTAAACGCATCAGTAACGGGATCAAGAGAATATTAAAAATAGAAATAACGAAAACATACCTGTCATCCTCGTGACCACTCTTCACCTGGGAGGAATAAGCATCCTCCAGGTCAGACTGGATGATGTTGTATCGGTTCTTGCGCACTGCTCGAAGACCGGCCTCTTGCATAATCGCAGCAATAACGGCACCGGACAGAGGCTCATTCCGCACAATCAAGGAATCCAAATCCACTTCTGGGGAGAGGGACATCTTGGATGCAATAGTGCTGAAAATCAGACGGCGCTCACGTCGGTCACGCAGCGAAGGGAATTCGATCTTTCGGTCAAGACGACCGGGACGCAACAAGGCAGGGTCCAAAGTATCAGCTCGGTTGGTGGCCATGATGACCTTGACGTTGCTGGTTTGCTCGAAACCATCCATCTGGTTCAGCAATTCCAGCAGAATACGTTGAACCTCACGATCAGCACCAGTCTGGGCATCGAAACGCTTGGTGGCGATGGCATCAATCTCGTCAATGAAGATAATGGCTGGTGAATTCTCGCGAGCCATGCGGAACACATCACGGACCATACGAGGACCTTCTCCCAGGTATTTTTGGACGAATTCTGAACCGTTGACACGAATGAAGCTGGCGGTTGTGCTGTTTGCCACAGCCTTGACGAGCATGGTCTTACCGGTACCGGGAGGGCCATAAAGCAAGACACCACGGGGAGGGTCAATACCTGCACGCAATTAGTACACCCCTCATATATACATGGCAGCAAAATGATCCGTACCAATCTGCTTGTAAAGGTCGAAATGTGTCAACGGCAACTCAACGGCTTCCCGAATCTCCTGCTTCTGCATATCCAAACCACCAACATCGGCGTAGGTCACATCTGGCTTCTCATTTTCACCCAGCATAGCAATCGATGAGTCGGCCTCTGGGGGCAGAATGTCGACCAAGGCGTTGGAGTGTCGGTGGAGGGCGACCGAGGATGAAGGCTTCAGCTTCTCGCGGTCGAGTGTGGACAGGATGCGAACAACGTAATTGGATCCGGTTGAGCTCTGGACGATACCGGTACTGGGATCAAACTGTTAGAACGTAAACTCCGGTTATTGGTTGCAATCTAGCACGACATACTTCTGATCGATAGCTTCCATGAACTGTCCAATGACCAACGGCACACTCTGTATACGCTTGATCTCCTCCTGTGCTCGAACAAGCTCCCTCTTCAAGCTCCTGTTATGACCGCACTGGTTAATCTCTAAACAAGATTTGGAAACTCTCCATTTCAAATGGATGGGTCAATACCTCTGTTCATCTTTGATGTATTCCTCCTGCAGTTGAATGTATCTGGGGAGGCGTTAGTACCCAACCTGGCGAACCCTTGTGGAGGTCCAACATACTCTAGGTGTCTCTGTAACCGCTTCAGAGTGGCGTATTCATCATTTGCATCGGCACCTGCTCCCTCCAAAGAATCCAGCTTGCTAAGGGCGTCCAGAGCAACTGGCTTGGAGAGAGGCGTGACGCTGTTGGCCGGGTTTTCCACGGCGACGTCTCCCATGCTGAAGATCTTTCAGAGCAATTCCTTAATAAGATTGGACTCAGATGGAAATTCCAGGTGAAATGAGATGCAGGTTCGTAGACGTTGGAAATGCGCGATGGGAAGTTCGGGGATGTGGTGTCCTTGGAGCTCGATCAATCGGGAACTGGGAGCTTACGGGCGAGTCACGTGGTTTGAGGATCGAAGAGAGTAGAACGACTGTTATTGACCCCTTCACTTTTATTTCATGAATGGAATAAGATTCCTATTACTCGAATTTCAGAAATCACAAAAAATGATCTATTGGTGCTCAATAATCTTCTCCAAAGTGAAATTCAGCCGCGCTTCAATATGTAAGCTGCAATGTCACTGGTTTGCTAACAACATGGATTGATTACGTCGATGGATCTGGCCCCGAAATATCCTAGTGGCCGAATATCGAACAACGAACAACGCGCCACGTTCAAAGATGTCCAATCTTTCCAGGAGGAATCCAGGCTACTAGCAATATAATCAGAAGCTACAGTTTCAATACGATCCGGATTTCTCCCAACTTGTTCTCTATGGCCCCATGACCGTCCACTAACACTTGAGCACCGTGACTTAGACCCCTTTGCTCTAGGGAATTAAACCCGTTAACCTCGTATACATCCATGTCTACGGGCACAACCCTGTAAGTGGACCGTCATGATCTCAGGAGGATCCTTTCCAAGGTTGAAGTTCCTCAAGACGAACCACCATGCATGTATCCATCAATGCCCACAGTGTCAACGAGGCAATCGTCGGGAAACCCGAATCCTTGTGTTCATGGGATGTTTCAGGGTGATAATCGGTGGTCAGACACAGACTAGTCCATGATATGGCCAATAAGGTGAGACTACGTTTGTTAGGTTGGTGATGTGTAGCAGCCGACGCAGATCTAGGCAGCTGATGCGTTCCTCGGGACAAGAGATCATTCAGCAAATTTGATTCCTTCCCACATCAGCCATTTCCAGCTGCCATTGAGTCCGGACCCAATCATGAGAGTGGAGTAGCTCCGCGGCTAGGTGGGACAGGCACAAGAGACCATGAATTTTCCCATGCGGATCGAGTCGGATCCTTGCCACTGGGTGGAGGGGGAAACCTTGGCCTTTTTTTCCCTCTTCTTCACTTTTAGTGCATTGAAAAGAGATTGGTATGAGTGTATTTTTTTTGGTAATTTTATTTTTATGGAATTTTTTTTACCCTTATGTTTCGGTTCCCTTTTGAGAGGGGAAAAAAGAAAGATTGGGCGTCATGATTATCAGACGCTAGCCCGAGCTTTATATAAGGAGTGCCCACGCCCACTACACCTAATCCCCGGGTTTCTCTCATTTTATTTTACATTCATTTTTTTTCTTCTTCCCATGAATCTTCCCCTCTTTTCCCCCCCTATCATGTAGATTTTCAATTTGATTTTTCTTCACTTCTAGGGGTGATTTTTGTGCGCCCGAAAAGAAACAACACGGGCCTAGCACCCTTGAGGAGTATACAGGCTAACCTGACTAGGCGAAGACCGTTGGAATGGATCATCGTCTGGTTTATTTTACCATTTTCTTCTTCTCTCTTATTTTATCCTTTGGATCATCATTCATCTCTTCTCTTATTTGAGAAATATGAGAGAAAAAAACTATGCCATATACCATATGAAATTTGGTGATTCTGTGGTTGGTATGATCTTGCCTGATTCTTATGGTGGATGAGGCGCCAACCCAGCCGAGCCCCGTGACTCGGATGAACTTGAACGTCATGGCGACCTATACAATTTGACAGCCAAAGGTTCACAAGAAAAAAAAGAGCCATACTAATTTTAAAGGGTTCAAAAAAACAAGAACACTTTTGCAAAATCTACAGCAAATGATTCAACTAATATATAGGAGAAATTGTTGGAAAAAACAATCCGTGGCACAAAATATGGCCGGAAACGAGTCTCCCGCAGTAATTTTCTTTTCATCAGCAAATTTTACTCTCAATTCACCCAAATCTCTGCCTCCACTTCCCCTTTCATCCCTAACTGCACTCGCGAACTGTAGGTATTTCCCCCCCCCCCCGTTTGTTATTTGGTATTTTATATCGTTTTCACTGGTTCTTTATTTTTTATTATTATTTTTTTTATTACCCTTTCTCATGGTATTATTGTTAACCCCTGTGGCCACGCACCCCCCCCCGCTCCCACTCTTGTCTTCCTTTCCCCCTTCTTTCCGGGAGCCCACACCTACGCACTGTCTGTAACCCCCCCATTTGTCTCTTTATGGTTTACCGGGCCGATGTCCTTTGGATCAGAAAGATCAGCAGCTTGTTTTCCCCCCAGCCTATGATCTGACTGGCCCACCTTTCCTTAAGGGTCCCATCTACCTTATTCCCCCCATTTCCCCCCTTTATTGCCTAGGTGGCAGTTATACCCTGCCTTAGGCCCCAACACCACGTGACCACACGCACCTCCTCCAACCTCTTTTGTCCTATCTGCTAACCGGGTTCCGGTATTAGCCATCGGTTCGCCTATTGGAATTTGAGTGATCCAGCCTTGTCGGTATGTATTCCCCCTGGACTTCATTCTTAATTCTTTCCACCCCAATACATTACCCCCAATTTCTTGATGGAAATGGCTTTCCTTTGGAAAATGAGGCCTTCCGATCCAACCCGTGTCGCGACCGAGCGCGCATCCCAAACATATCCACTCCACGCGTGTTTATAGTTTGGATGGGAGACGAAAAAAAAGATTGTCATCTGTTATGCGCCTTGCCATTGATGAGAAGGATGATATTAGTGTGGCAATGTTGGCGTCGCGATGATGGCGTGCGACATTATATCAACACAATTGCTGACTGTGTCGGCCGCAGATGGGTTGGTAAAACCGCACGATATGAACGCCTGGGCCGTCGACGCCTCGAACCTTCCTGGCCAGGACAATGGGGCTTTCAATCCATCCACTATCGATCCCTCTGCCGCTTTTCTCCATGCCTCTCCAACTCCTCAAGACCCTAATCAGTTCCAGCGCATGTTCAATGGCGTGCCGCGGAATGCTTCCCCCGGATTTCATAACCCTAACCAGGTGATTCCATCAAAACGGCCCCGACCAGAAGATGGGATGCCGATGTCTCCGCGACCTGCCCCTGGCGGTGTCACTGGATCGCGATCGCAGACCCCTCAAGTCCCTTACCCTGGCTACCAAGGTCCGGCCAATGGAACACCGCAATTTCCTCAACACCCCACTCCTTATCAACATCTCCAACAGTCAGGCTCTCCCAACGTGACCCAGTCGCCGGTCATGCAAGATTTTGACCAGCAAAGCGTCCGCATGGGTACAGCCTCTCCAAGTCCCTTTTCCCCCGCGGGTCCACATATTGGCCCTCATATGTCTCCATCACAGTCGGATCATGGGAGCCGAGTCAATACACCGCAGAATGCCAATTTCATGCCAGGCCAACCATTCTCACAAGGTATGGCTCCTCAGTTCCAACAAGGACCTGGTATGACCTCGGCTGCTCCTCAACAATCCATGCAAGCGCCACAGCTCGGTGGTATGCAACAAGTACCACAGGGATATCACCAAGCACTGGCAGCCCAGCAGCACCGACTCCAGGCAATGCAAATGCAAAACCGACAGATGAATGCTCATCCACAGATGGGTGCGCGTCCTGTTGCTAGTAACATGAACCCGATGGCAAATCCCCAGCAGATGGCTGCCTACCGACATATGCAGCAGCAACAACAGCAACAGCAACAGCAACAGCATCAACAGCTGCAGCAGCTGCAGCAGAATGTGCAAAAGCCGGGTAACCCAGAAGGATTTATGCGGGCATTACAGAAATTTATGATGCAACGAAATCTCCCTTTTGATACGAATCCAATAATTAGCGGTCGTCCTGTCAATCCAGTGCAATTATATGGAACGGTCATGAAGATGGGTGGATCAAAGAAAGTTACCGCGGTAAATGCTTGGCCTGCGGTTGCGCAACACCTCCAGTTTCCTCAGATGCAGTTCCCTATGGCCGTCCAGGAGCTCCGAGAATATCACCAGAGGAATTTGGCTCCCTATGAGCAAGCGTTCATTAATTCCCAGCAAAAACAGTTTGTTGAGATGCAGCAGCAGCAGCAGCAGCAGCAGCAACAACAACAACAACAACAGCAGCAGCAGCAGCAGCAGCAGCAGCAACAGCAGCAGCAGCATCATCATCAACAACAACAACAACAACAACAACAACAACAACAACAACAACCGCAAGCGCAACACCAGCCGCATCAACAGCCACACCTCCAACAGCAAGTCGGAATTCCCCGCCAGCCGAGTGATGCGTCAGCCATGCAATTCCAGTCCCCTGTTGTCAAACCAGGCCAAGGCTTCGAGCAACCACAGCAAATGTCCCACTCTTCTCAAAATAATAGCCCTATCCCCAATCAGGCCCAAGCCCCGCCAGTTAATGGGTTTGCAACACCAACGCAAGTGCGAAGTCAAAGCAAACCCCCTCCAGTCTGGACATCGCCTCAGTGTTTCCCGCCAATCACAACCCCCACAGCCGCCAGCCGACGCGTCAGGTCAATTTACCGCGCCCTCGCCTTCGCAGCAAACCAAAGCCGCATCGGCCACACCTGTTCCACAGCCTGTTCAAGTGGAAGCTAAGCTTGAGCAAGTGACAAAGGTACCTATTGAGGAGCTTTTCAAGCCTATGGTCATCACCGAGCATAAATTCCACGGTCCCATCGTGGTGGACGAAATGTACACGGTTGGTGATGATATTCTGAAGCTGAAGCCCACTGTGCCAGCCTTTGTTGAACTGGGGGTGGTGGATATTCATGCCATCACCATGAGCGTCAAGTCTGGGATTCAGGCAGAAGTTCGGGTAGCCTTGGACACTCTCACCACTCTCTCAAATGAACCCGGAGTTCCGATCATGCTCGAAAATTGTGACGACTTGGTGGAGAGCTTGGTTGACTGCGCCCAGGATCAAGCCGATTTTCTGGCTGCTCACATTCCCGAAGTGACCGATGTCATGCGATTACGTTCCTACGAAGAGGTGACTCGTGGTTGCCAGGCAGAACTTACAGATTTGGCAGATGTCCCCGCATTTGGCAGCACCGAATATCATCTAGACCGAGCCGTTGAACGACTGATATGTATCACTACCATCTTCCGCAACTTCTCTTTCCTTGAACCAAACATGGGGATCCTGGGCATGCCCGATGTGACTCAAATTTTCGCGGACGTCTTTCGCTACCTTGGAACTCGCAAAATGTTCCTGCGGACCAACCAAAATACCTTGGATTTCATGAAAGATGCGGTGGTTTTTATGAGCAACTTGGCCCACGTTATGCAAATACCCGGCAAGGAGGAAGCCCATAGCCTGTTGAACTTCCTTCTCGCATTTGCGCCCTCCCCGGAGCCTACTTCGAACCCAGACAAATTGATGTTCACTACATTCAATCCCTCCATCCACCGATACACACCAGCTGCCGTGGACGGTCTGGCCAAGCTGTTGGCGCGCGATGACCCCAATCGAATCTATTTTGGGTCTATCTTTGCCGGTGATGGCTCTGTTCCCCGCAACCAGATCTCCTTACCCGCGCTTTTGGCCTGGCCATCTGTGCGGTTCCCGACAAGAAAACATTGGCAGTGGCAGATGCACGCAAGGTATTCCTCATGCAGGGTCTATTGGCCGCGGATGTGTTGGCCACGTTTTCAGACGGACCTCTGGCAAGATCATGGCTCACATCTGAGGATGGATTTGCTATCCACCTCTTGAAACTCTCTTATCTGCTTTGCAGTGAACGCATGCCCCATCTTACCAACCTCCGTACAAGAGGCCCTCACGATGCCGACGCCTATGCGTTCACTTCCATCATCCATCGTAGCTTGGCTATCCTACGCCGACTCGCAGAGAAATCGAAACAAGTGGATAACACATTCCCACTTAAGATTCCTCCCGGTGTTATTCCTCGAAAGGAAAGCTTACTCGGTGCCCTATTGCTGTCGAACATGGACCCGACCATCATTCGTCACTTCCTCACATATGCTCGTCTCGCGGAGTAAACGGTGTGCCCTCTCTTATCATCGTTTCTACCCCGAGTGAGTATTCCTAACCTTTCCCATAAGAGAGTCAGGGAGGAAGTATGCAGGTCTTTGTTCACAGCATCTACGACAATTTTTGATTTCTGTCATGTCATTTGTACTCACGTCCCCAGTCAATGGACAATCTTCGTTTCTTGTGGCGCCAGCGGAAAGGATGGGTGATGCTTTTTTCTAGTTATCCTTTTTTGATTTCTTTTCATGTGAGATAGCGAGTTGATTTTCCGTGTACAATGTTCAAAATACCCTTCACGGGATCTTATGATTTACCCCAGTATTTGTAAACATCGTGATAGATGCAACCAGTATGTACTAGTAGTTATCATTACAAAAACATTCAATTTCCATTACTTGGTGTCATCTCACTAGCGAACACAAATTAGTCTATCTTAGGCCCTGATTCATGTGGGTACATGTACTAAATAGTAAATAACCCCGGGACCATTGCATCGCAGGATTCATTATCTGTTCGATGACTCATTCCAAAATTGTATAACTTGCCAGAATTCTCCAACATGACACTGTCCCTACCATTGCCCTTCCTCGAAATCTTCATCCACACTCAAGTGCTGCTACACTTGATCGAATCAACACTATGACAGCACCATGGCAAGCCACCCGTCTCCTCCACGGAGTCCGCGCCATAGTTGGCGGCCAAGGACCACCCTTAGTCCTGATTCCAGGTTGGCCCCAAACAGCCGAAGCATTCAGCGATCTCTTCGAGCCCCTTTCAAAAAATTACCAATTCTTCGCGCTCGATCCCCCAGGTCTGGGTGAATCAACTCCTCCAAGCAACGGCTACGATACCGCGAACGTGAGCAAGATCATGGCAGAAGCGATCCACGATACCGTGAAAGAACAACCATACCATCTAATCGGACACGATGTTGGAGGATGGATCTCATACTCCTGGGCAGCTCAATTCCAATCAAGAATCAAATCTCTCAGTATCCTCGATGCATCAGTCCCAGGATTCCTACCCCCGTTTCAGTTCCCGTTATCCAATCAGACCAATTTACGTCTTTGGCAATTCTCCTTTAACGCGCTTCCTGAATTACCTGAGATTCTGACAACGGGCCGAGAGCGTGACCTGTTATCTTGGTTCTTTAATTTGAAGACTGTTCACAAGGATGGGTTACGTGAGGATCACTTTGAGCGCTATATTCAAGCTTATTCAAGACCGGGTGCTATGAGTCGGGGATTCGAGTATTATCGAGCGTTTGAAACGAGTTCGAAGCAGAATCTGGAATTCGCGAAGACTCCGCTCCATATTCCTGTCTTGGCTTTAGGTGGAGCTAGTTCTGTTGGTTCGGGTATGGTTGATTTGGTTCGAAACTTCGCGACTAATGTCTCTGGGGGCGCGATTGATGATTGTGGACACTTTCTTCCTGAAGAGCAACCTTCTGCTGTTGCGCAGAAACTGCTGGGGTTTTTGGAGGCGAACTCGAAAGAGTGAATTTGCATATATTACGATGATGATGGTCGGAGTTCAAGTTTCACTACTAGATGTTCTGGATGTTTAGATTTTGGAAGTGTTTATACAAAAGCTGTCAATGCCATATCTTTGGGAGCAAGCGATGATCATATATGGTTATTGCTCACCATCTGACTTCACATATTCCGTATTTCATTGAAATTCTCAACAAATAATTGTAATTTCTATTGATATTGAATCCTGATTGAAGTCTGAGGTATAGCCCCGGAGAGTATAGGAGTCGGAGTACATAGATCCAATGACCTAATTTGGGATAGTGCAGTCTGAATGGGGCATAGAATGCTTCAACACGGGAAGCAAAGAGAACTGATATTGGATCAGATATTATTTTGTATGGCCAGCTGTCATTAGTACAAACGTCCAGGTGGCTTGTGTATTGTGCCAGTGAGAATGCGAGGTGATATCTTGGGTTCGCAGGGCCTCTGCGCACATCAAGAACTTACCATTGGTGGCCTAAAATGATATGATACACTAAGCAATTTGTCCATATTACAAGGCCATACTTGGGGCTAAAAGATAATAAGACCAATCTTTAGTATCAATGCATGATCCAATCATTCAATTAGAGGAAACCTCACTAGCACCGAGTCATGACATATACACAGTAGGAATGGTACAGGGAGATTCGAACTCAATAGAGCAAAATAAAAAAGGGCGCCGGATAACTGCAAAGAAAAAGAGCATAACACCAACGTGGTAAAAGGCGGAGTAATAGCGGGAAAGCTATGACGAAAAGAAACGGGTGAGAAATACAGAGAAGAGGGGGAAAGTCAGACCATCCCATGCCACTGGGGCCATCTGGAAATAGCCACATCCCATTTAACCCTTCTGAGGACCTAGTCATATGGTCCAATCCTGGTTTGTTCAGGATTTGTTCGATGCTTTTGTAACCATATTAATTTATGGTATGATTGGCGACCCATATGTCGCACGGTTATGCATGTAAGAAAAAAGAGGCGAGAGAAGAAGTGATTAGAAGTTTCGCTCACGCAGGAACTTCACAATTTCAGGTTTGCGCCAGCCCTGTAGGAAATATATATTAGCCTCATGTCCATCATGTTGAGGTTACCCCATGTCGAGTAGGACTGAAAAAATCCCAATATAATAATCGTACCTTGACGACAATGTGACCCGTAAGCTTGTTAACGCTGACATCGGAGCTTCGTAAATCAACACCTAAGGAACGTGCCAGATCCTCGCGGAATGCCTCAAGGTCACCCTCGGTCTTTTGAATCTTAGTGAGTTGCTTTGTGCCACCAGCCTTCTTGTCTAGGTACACGGGCAGTTGGTTGGAGCCTGTACGGCGAACGAAGTAGGGGAGATTGTTGACGCGAAGGGGGGCTGGGGCTTGCGTGGTTGGAGGAATGGGAGTTGAGGAGGAAATAGGCTGTTCCTTAAGCGCCTGGGCTTCGCGGCGGAGGTGCGTCAAGAAGGTGCGAGTAGAGCGGATAGAGAGAGTGGATGAGAATGATGGGCGAAGAGAGTCTGTTCAAAATCCTTTTATTAGTTATCCTGCGCTTTGTCTTTTCTTATTCCAATTAAACACGGGTTTCTTTTTTTTCGTTCGCGGCCGGGAGTATGATATCAGACTCGGGGACGTTGAAACATGGTTTGCCATGCCTATTCCCGTCGCAGATATCACTTTTGAATAGAGAAGAGGCTCAAGGCATTCAACCCAGAGGGGAACAATGTGCAATTTTGTGAAACATACAGGATGCAGATCGTGTAGATAGAGAAGACATGTTAGATGTCTGCACGGAAGCCGCGGACTGAGAGAGACGAGAGTTGGCGCTCTGTCTGCACACGGCCGAGAAGACCGACGCGGAGGATCGGAGAAACGCCATTGCGCGTCAAAAGAAAAGGGTAGGAGGGGGAAAAGGAGGGAGGTGAAGAAAGACTGGTGAGACGATCAACCGAGCTTCTAACAGCCGAAGAAACAAGAAAAACCACAAGTTTCTCTCCCGGAAATTCTGCCACCGCCCCACGTCTCAAAGGGTACCCAAAAGGGTTTAGCGCATCAAACCCGCACACAAATTCAATCAAAGACGCATCGTTGTATCTTCGAACCAACCCACATCTTGCGTCCCACCATGGCAGACAACGCCCCTCCTTCCGCTGAGCAACTCAGCGGCGCTCAGTCTGCAGATGCCGCCCCTCAGTATGATCTGCTCCCCCGGTTGATTCCGTACCTCGACCGCCACCTGGTTTTCCCGCTGTTGGAATTCAGCGCCGGCAACGATGAGGAGGATAGTGAAATTATTCGCGCCAAGTACGAGCTGCTTAAGCACACCAACATGACCGACTACGTCGCCAACCTGTGGAAGGAGATCAACAATTCCGATTCGATTCCCGACGAGTTTGTTAAGAAGCGCGAGGAGGTTCTGGCCAAGCTGCAGCAGTACGAGGGTCAGGTTGAGAAGATCACCGAGTTGTTGCAGGATGAGGAGGTTGTGGGCAACCTGCGAAGCGACAAGGCCGCTAACTTGCGCTTCCTCGAGGAGCAGCACGGTGTAACCAACGATATGCTGAACAGCCTCTACGACTACGGCCGCTTCCAGTACAGCTGCGGTAGCTACGGTAACGCCGCCGAGTTGCTGTACCAGTTCCGTGTTCTGTCCACCGATAACGACAAGGTTGCCTCCGCTACCTGGGGTAAGCTGGCTTCCGAGATCCTGACTACCAACTGGGAGGCCGCTATGGAGGAGGTTCAGAAGGTTAAGGATTCAATTGAGACCCGCCTGTTCAACAACCCCTTGGGTCAACTCAACAACCGCTCTTGGCTCATTCACTGGTCCTTGTTCCCCTTCTTCAACCACGACGCTGCCCGTGACGTCCTGACCGACCTTTTCTTTTCCCCCGCCTACATCAACACCATCCAGACCAGCTGCCCTTGGGTTCTGCGTTACCTTGCCGCCGCCGTTATCACCAACCGCAGCCGCCCTCACAAGCACACCGGTGTGTACCAGAAGCAACTGAAGGACCTGATCCGCGTTGTGCGCCAAGAGGACTACGAGTACACCGACCCTATCACCGACTTCGTCAAGGCTCTTTACGTCGACTTTGACTTCGAGGAGGCTCAGAAGAAGCTTGGCGAGGCCGAGGAGGTTCTCCGCAGCGACTTCTTCCTTGTCTCTGCTGCTGATGCATTTGTTGAGGCTGCTCGTCACCTTATCTCTGAGAGCTACTGCAAGATTCACCAGCGTATTGATATCAAGTATGTGACCAATTCAAGCAACGCATGTTTGCTTTTTTTTACTATAAACAAGAACGACCCACTAACATTTTTTTTTCCAGGGATCTTTCCACTCGTCTCGGTCTGAGCCAGGATGAGGGTGAGAAGTGGATTGTCAACCTCATCCGTGATACCCGAGTTGACGCCAAGATCGACTACAAGGAGGGCACAGTTATCATGAACCACCCTCCTCAGTCTGTGTACCAGCAGGTCATCGAAAAGACCAAGGGTGCCTTCTTCCGCACACAAGTCTTGAGCTCTGCTGTCGCAAAATAAATAACTTTCCCGCATTCCCCATACATCTTTCTCAATGAGCTGATGCCAAAACCAATCCTTTTCTTCTTTTGTTATTATCAAACCCCACATGTTTTCTGCCTTCCCCGCTATAGTATGAATCTCCTCCGTGTATGTCACAACACGGTTTCTTTTTATTTCGAGGGATGAGGGACTCCGAGGCAGAGTGGCATCCGGCTGGCGTTCTTAGGTGGTCCAACCTTTTCTGATGTTTCTTATTTACCTCTTAGTCCACAGTTTCTCTTCTTCCATTCCCTATTTTCCCCCTTCTCCGTGCTCCTCAGATCGTGTTCTTTTCTTCTTCTTTTGTTTAGTCTCACTCCTATATTGGTGCTTATGCCCTTGAGGTTCTTGTTTACAGTGAGGTGGTCGATCTACAAGAGATGCACGGTCACATTGTGGATGAGAGAGAGAAAAAAAAGAGTGAGACTGGGATCATGTAGCAGACTCCTGAGTCTGGAGTCTGATGGATCTATGCTGTTACGAATGGTCTATAGAGATGAGTGAAAATGATGTCTGACAATATGTCTGGTCCAATAATCTTCCTTCGTAAGCAAGTTGCGTAGCCCTTGGACAGAACAGAGACCATTGGATGTCCGGTATGATCCAAGGGAAAACAAAAGAGACAGGTCGCTCCGAACGCATGGAAATCACATCATATAAGAACAGCACTTGAGAATCACAAAAACGCTTCAACCGAAAAAGGGTATCTTAGAGCCAAACTGATACGCCCGAAAACAGCACTCGTCAGTTATCACTCTACGGCAAATTCCCCCAAAGTCCAGTCTTCTCATCCGGTTCTGAGGAAGGGAGAGGCCCTATGCAAGTTGGTTCGAGAATCCATGGAATGGGAATAAATTGGGCAAAAAAAACCAGGCATTGGAAGCCATGAACAAGGCCAGTCCAGTATATCCAGCAAAGAGAAATGCGAGCCTTGGTGGAAATGCGGATTACGATCAAGCATTGGAACTAGGGTTGGCACTCTGGAATCACGAAAAAAGAACTGTCGTCTTGGAAAATAGACCTCGGTATAATTGAAAAGAACTCGTAGGATTCCACAATGGTGTCCAGGGATAAATCCTGTGATCGAGCTTGGATAGATGTAAGAAAGAAATTAGGGCTTGGTATTAGGTGCAGTCAAATTGGCAATTCCGGTCATGGCTCCGGATAATGGGACTTTGGAGACAAAATTCCAGGATCAACGGCCTCCACTGGACTCCTGATCCGTGCGACGGCGCGGACGAGAGTTCTCAACCGGGATCAATTCGTTGATATACGGTTCCGAGGAGTGTCGAGATGGAGAATCACCATAGCCACCAGCATAGATACTTGGAGCTTGACTCGTCATGCGTACAGCTTCCTGCTGTTCATATTCTCGGGACATGACTGCCAGATCATCGATTTGTTCCTATACAAAACAAGAATAAGTCAGCTTATCCAGTGTTATACGCCCAGATCACTTGTCATTTGTTTCTATATTCTTTTTCCCATTTCTCCTCCCGGGCAGTGGACAGACCCGTGTAAGAGGTACGCCCGTGATAAGATAACCTTCGCGCCCCTTTAGACATTCAAGGAAATCTGGTTAGAGTGGGTTAACCGTAGCGTGCAGCGGGTGGTATGGCCCCATATACCTGGTAACTAAACGGTCGAACCGATGCACTTGGACCAAGAAAGTAATGGATATGACCTAGGACAATATGGCGGGAGAGACCGTATCCTGGAAGCCAATACTGTTGGACCCGAGACATTGTTGGAAGCACCTGGACAGGGAGGAGGTTCAAATGTTCTTTGATGAGAAAGTAGGGCTTATAGATTTGATATTATGATGAATTGACACCAACACACGAGGACCAGAACCAGAAGTATCTGGATCCAAGTGGTGGATATCTGCGAGTGATGTTGCTTATTGTTCTTGGTTTCTTCTTTTCTGTTTCTGTATGATGCTTTTTTTGAGACATGCTATGGGGGTATAAATAGTTCGGCCAGCAGCAGATGAGCAGTGCCCAATGAGACAAAACCCCCTTTCTCGGTGACCCTCTTAATAAGAACGGATTCATCAAGAGCGCCCATCGGATAGAAGATGACGAATCAGGTCAGTGTCAGCTAAAGCTGCCGTATTCTCATTCAGATCCTTTTAGAGGGGCCAAGTGGATGATCTCACAGCAGAATCCACATGAGCACCAAGACCGCGTATCCCCATTCTCCCCATGGTCTCACAAAGAGATATCCCAGATCCACAGATACATCATGATCTTGATCACGGACGAATGGAATGCAGTATAGACTTCCGAGGAAACAAAAACCAGACAAGTCCACGAAGATATTCATGGATAATGTCGGTCACCCAGGTGCTATGCACCCGGGTTAGGGGTATCAAGTTCAAAGGACAAATACGGGGCGAGGGCACCACAACCACCAAAAAATCAAGTTCCAGCCAATTGATTGAGACGGAAACTCTCTAGTTAGTATGAAAGGGATTCACGGAATTGTCGGGGACAGGCCCAAAAAAAACGGTGTGGATGGTCGCCTCACTCTATCGGACAATGAGACCCAACCCTTTTTTTCCCTTGATCTATTGCCCATCCTCTGGCGGCTTGACCAAGATTCCAATTTAATTCCGTGTTTGATTGAATTGATCAATCCGAGTCTCGGATCTGATCAATGCTCAATTCTGATTGACGACCTTCATGGCAGATGACGGCGGGGCGTCCTTCACCCATGTCAAAGTGAGGCTTGCTTTCTGGGAATACAGAAAAGGATGCATTGTCAATTCCAATTCAGTGGACAACGCAGCCAAGAGGAAGACAGATGTGTAAAATAGTTAATAATAATAGCCAGTATTAATGTCATCAGAGGAAAATAGATAGCCCTCAGAATTGTATTTCCCGGCTTATTTCCTCTTTGCCGACTGGGAGTGACATATTCATGTCCACACCGCACCTCTGTTCAATGCAGCGCCAAATGCGTTGATGTCGTGGCACCATGGAGTCGCTTTCATTGTAGAGGCCCGACCTGAACTGCTGCAGATGGTCTTCTGCAGCTTTCGATTTTAGGACAAAGGAGGTTTGCCTTTTTCTTGTTGATTTTTGATCTATGCTGAACACATGGCAGGTACAGGCGAAGAGGGTTCATGGGTTTCGAGTCGGGTTTCATGGCTTAAATAACCTGTTTCTGATTTATTCTGATTCGTTGACATGAGGATTAATTTGACCCAAATGGATTTGTTGAATGGTTGTTATTCTTGATCTTTAATCCTTCGTTGAGTTGATTTAGTTGGACTTTGGAGTAATTGAGAGGGGAAATTATGGAGAGATGTTGCACCGACTTCATGTCCATAAGATGTGACGAGGGCTTGCATATCACTATATCACCCTCACCCACGCTATGCATATTCATCTGGAATGCTGGATTGTCACCCACTCGGTCATTTAATATTACACTTATGGCCCACATACAAAAAACCGCCAGATTCATTGGCGTGTCATGTATTATTCTCTAGTATTTTTCATAATTCGTTTGAAACAAGCTGCCATTCATCTCGTATCCTGTCAAATAAAATATCATCGTTTACTGGGGAGGGACATAAGGATTGATCAGCATGTCACTGAACCTATAGGTGAAGACAGATGGTTAGTATGGAACAAAAACACCGAAAAAAAGAGAAAATGCCACGCAAGGATGAACTTACTTCTCCAACTTTTCCTTTCCACGGACCTCTTCTACCAATAATGGCATACGGACCACGTTGAAGTCCTCGTACAGCTCTTCAATCTGTTCCAAGTACTTCTTCTGCATCTTCCGCCGGGCATTGCACTGTTCACACTGACTTCCATCCTTGGGGAACAACAACTGGTTCACAACAATGGAGTGAGTATCAATACCATAGCTAGTCAACTCCTGGATCATGCGCTCGGTTTCATATAGAGATAGGAACTCCGCAATGCAGACACAAACAAAGGTGGTCATATCCGGGTTCTTGAACTGCGTGTTGACCTCACCAATAGTCTCCCGCAGAGATTCCATTTTCTGCAAGAGTTCATCCATGTTTTGTCCACCAGGCAGACCACCCCGTGCGCCCAAGATTGAGTTCAGCATGGGGCCAAACTGCGTTGAGAGCTGGGAAAGCTTCGCCAGTGCCTTTTCGAGAACGGTTGGGAACTGCAGGAAGCGCAGGGTGTGGCCAGTGGGCGCGGTATCGAAGACGATCACCTCGTATGAGAGTGATTTCACTTGCTTGAGGACTTCGGCAAAAGACATAGCTTCGTCAACACCGGGGATCTAAGTTCATCAAAAACTCTCGCAATTAGTTTCGCGTACTCAAAATGGTAACTCTCATTCCGTATGGGTTTTAGTCACTCACGCTGAACGCGAGGTCCTGCATCATGTTGCCCATGCCCATTCCGCCCATAGCGTCATCCTGTCCATCTCCATTTGCCAGGAGATCCTGGATACTGCCATTAGGGTCAATCTCCATGGCGCTCAGGTTGGTGTATCCGTCCACCAGACGGGCCTCCTTTCCGAATTTCTGACCAAATGCATCACTCAAGTTATGGGCGGGGTCGGTCGAGATTAAGAGAACGGACTTGCGAGCTTTGGCAAGTTGGATCGCGAGCGAGCAGGAGGTGGTGGTTTTACCCACACCACCTTTACCGCCGACGAAGATCCAGCGGAGGGTTTTCTGGTTGATGATCGACTGGAGCGTGGGCTCCATGTCGAGGTCATCACTGTGGATCACGGCAGAAGACATTGTGGTGATATGTGCGGAGCTTAAAGGGGGTGTGGGGTGGAAGATGAAGGTGAGCTGGTTGAAATTGATGTGCCCCGCATAGCAAATCGAACGTTCCGGAAAACTAGATAACCATGAGCTCTTTTGATCTATGTCTTTACTCGAACAATTATTTTCTATCTTGAGGATGATCTTGCAAGTTTAAAATCTTGATATTATCATGAATATCTCTATTTCTTTATCGAAATATAATCCACTTATTTTTATGTCCAATGCGCACCATACATAATACATGTTGACTTCGCACCAACAATCCATAATCTCCTGGATTCCCTTTAGAGTCTCCAGGTTATTCCAAACCTTCAAATATTGAACATAAACTAGGTAAGCCCCAGATCACCAATAAGTAAGAACAATAAAGATTGACGATATGCTGGAAGTTGACAACCGCTGAGCTCCACCCATGGCATCCTCCGCATCGCTATCGGTGCTCTCCGATGCCAACGACCCATAGAAATGAAAACAACTTTTCCCATATCTTTTTCTTCATAACTTCTTATTTATTTCCCTCACACTATCTCTACTCCAAATTTTCCTCTCTCATCCTTACCACTCCGTATGAATGGACCAACCCAGTGAATCCTCAGATCGCATCACCAACCGTCTAGCGCTTTACCAGCAACATCTAACCTCCACCCCGCTCTCCAATACAACCAACCCACCCACAAAACAACCACCTACAAAAATGGCCGCCCGTGACCCAATTACCTGTCACGTCCTTAACACGTTGACCGGCACTCCTGCCGCCAACCTGCCCGTCACATTGTCCCTCCTGTCGGCGCCTGCATCACCCTCCAGCCCCGTCACTTTCCACGCGACCACCAACGCAGATGGCCGTGTCGCACAGTGGAGACCTGTCGGTGATTTTTCCTCCGTCCCTACTGTTCTGGCTGCGCTGCCTGGAGCAGAGAGCAAGACCAACTGGGCTGTGCGCTTTGAGGTTGGTCCCTGGTACGAGGCGCAGGGTATTGAGAGCTTCTGGCCTGAGGTAGAGGTGAAGTTCACAGTTAAGGGCCGTGGGCGGGAGAACGAGGAGGGTTGGCGTCATTACCATGTGCCTGTTTTGTTGGGTCCTTGGAATTACTCGACGTATCGGGGATCTTGAATATACATTTATCAATTGTATACAATATTTGGAACATATATGAGGCGTCTTTACGGAATTCAATGTTGGTTATGTGCAACTTGAATGTACTACTTTTTATTTTGTTTTCACAGTTACTGCGCAAGAACTGTGGACCTATATAGTCTTGACGGTGAATTGACCTCAAATTAGAGTAGAACGAGGGTTAGAGAAAGTCCATATGGACTGTCATTATCCTGATCAATTCAGAATAGATAGGTCTTGATTTCATAGTATATCTTGTCATTCATGATGTCAAAGATGAAGCTTCCTTACATCAAATTGGTAAGATGGCCGAGCGGTCCAAGGCGCACGGTTCAGGTATACCTGATCCAAATATCCGTGTCTCGATTTCGGGGCGGGAGTTCGAATCTCCCTCTTATCATTTCTTTTTTTTCGTTTTGCTTTTGTTTTTGAAGATAGTCCAGAGTAGACTCTAAGACCTTTATGCTCATGGTGGTGTGCGATGTGCTGGAGGTTACCTTGATTACGGGACAAACATACTTTCCAAATTGGACGAAATGGATCCTCTGACTTGCATACATACCAATATCATGGGCAGGAAGTTGCAGATACGCCCGAATCCCTCTTAGTTCGTGTAAAAGATAGAACTTGGAGAAAATGAGACTTGCGCATCAGCCCTTCAACATGCGAAACAAATTCCTGGAAGTCCGTATTTTGCAGTAGTAATTGATCATCTCGTGCCATCATTTTGTCTAATCTATGATTTAATGTACATGGGTAATGATTTATGCCCCTCTGGGCTTTCCACGGCCACGTCCTCCACGTCCTCCACGACCACGGCCTCCTCCTCTACCGCCACCACCTCCAGTCTTCTCAACACCGCCTCGTCTATCCTGACCAGCTCCGGGGCTGAGAACATCACGCTTCTTGCCATTGGGTCGGCCATTAGCACGGCCATGAGAACGACCGCGTTGAGCACCAGAACCATCTCCGTCAAGATCATTAATGTTACCATAATTGAATCCAGGAACACCCTTCAATCCCATCTTACCAACAACCTTCTTGTCCATTGGGGGTGGCTCAGGGCAGGCCATACCCTGCATAGCCATCTGGTTTGCTAATTGCACAAGGCCAGCCTTGTCAAGATGGAGCTGTCTCAGAAGACCCGACCCGGCAAAGAATCCAATATAAGAGGAGTATGCACGTTGCTTTGTGAGTTCATCGATGCTGTACATGGCTTGGTTGACAGTCTCGGCGCATAACGGAGCACCTGCATTGATCTGCTCGGTCTCGGGGTGGGGTTTGATCGGCAAGTGGCGGTTGACCTTCATGAAGAATGACTCCCCTTGCGTAAGAAGGATAATTGCGCGACCATCGTTTCCGGCACGGGCTGTACGACCAACACGGTGAACGTACTGTTCGCCGTTTGATGGCAAGCCAACCTGAATGACTAAATCCACGTTGGGGAAATCCATGCCACGACCGATAACATCTGAGGCAAACATGACTCCGGTAGTGGCCTCTTTGAATTGGGCGGTGGTTCTTGTGCGAGCGTTCTGGTTGAGACGGGAATGGATCTCGAAGACAGTCAATGGGGTCAAGCCCTGGGAGAAAACCTTTGCGAAAAGAGCGACCATGTTGGCCGTGACGCCGAAGACAATGATCTTTGAGCACTTCTTACTCTCAAGCGCGAGCAGGGTAGCCAAGGTGGTAAATGTCTCGGCCACGGATGGAATAATCACATGGTACTGTGGGACTCTCTCATGGGTTGGTGCTTCGTTCTTTTCAATAGTAGAGATACTGGCGTAGCCCTCTTTCAGCACAACATTGACAACCTCCTTGACCTTTGGTGGGACAGTGGCCGAGAAACACATGCCTTGCCAGCCACGGGTTTTCTTTGATGGAATAAGGCGAAGGATCTGCTTCACATCCGCCAGAAAGCCAGACTCCAGCATAGTGTCAGCTTCATCTAGAACCAAAGTCTGGATGTTGGACAGCTTCTCAGCTGTTGACTCCTCAGAGAGGTAGTCCTTCAGACGACCTGGGGTCGCTACCAGGACAGAAGGTGATCCTTTCATGAACCGTGTATGGGCGGATGCACGAGCAGTTCCACCGACCGCAATATGGCACTCGAGAGGCTTCGATAGTTGTGATGTGAGCTGATCGCATGACTTGGCAATTTGCTGGGCAAGTTCTCTCGTAGGCGAAATAATCAAGATAGCGACCTGTCCTCGGGGTGGCGCTGAGTTACCCTGGAGCAGGCAGTGAAGGGCAGGAAGCAAGAAAGCAAGAGTCTTTCCAGTACCAGTCTTGGCTTGGACCAAGCAGTCACTACGCCAGTCGGGAAGTTCGGTCAAAACTCGTTGTTGAACCGGGGTCATAAACTTGAAGTCCATCACTTCCAGAGCCTTGAGGAGTCGGGGGTCCAGCTTCCCAGCCATAGTGGCGTATGGCTGGGCGCCATCGGGAGTAGGAGGAGATTGCATGACAGATGAATTTCTGTATTTCAAAAAACCCAGCAAACAGTTGTAGGATGAAAATTTCACCCGAGAGGTACCTGAGTAAAGGATCGATTCTAACGGTAGGATGTGGCAGAATATATTTTGCTTATCGATAAGAGTATCTCGGTGGGTAACTTGAGGATCCACAAGGTCACTTCTAGTTGAAGTGTTATTCTTCAACTTCATTGGAATATTTAAGCTTGCATTAAGGAGACAGATAATCTATGTATGTCTCTATTCAAATGTTTAAGACAAACTTTGTAAAATTCTCATACAGCTGACCACTTACGACTTAAATGTCAATGAAGTAAGGCAGGTAAAATGTTGGGAACTATTCATTCCCAAGAACCTGATTGGTAGTTACAATTGATCTGCATCGCTCGGTGGGTCTCATGTATAGAACGCACTATCCATGTATAATCTAAGGTAAATTGTACTTATGCTTGAAGTCAGCTTTGGACATACTAGTATATGAGGAGATGACCTGGTTATCTCAAGTGCTAGCCTTCAAAGATTATTGCTCAAATTCAGACTACCCGTACCTGAATAGACCACATACTGCCTGTAGTATATCGTAACATTAGCACCTTTCCGACCTCATATGATGCAGTCCATTCATGGAAATGCACTAATGTCGGTGATACCATGTTTCTAATCATATCCACATGTGCATCAAACATTCATGAACCAATTTGCGATCAAAGGGAGTCAACTGACTCTAAGACATTGTGGTCTAATACATCCATGTAATATTGCTATCATATCATCATGATGCTGTAGAGGCGAATCAGAAGCGACCGGCATAGCAGAATATATAGTATCGTGACAGAACTGAAAAAACAACATTTTGAACATTTGAATTGATCAATCTTGATAGCATTACAAAATATCACTCGAGGTATAGTACATTTCAATAGGCTGAACACTGGCAGATCTGGTAATATCAACTTGAACAAAAGCTCTTGTCACTCTCCCAGAAGGGTTTGCCAATGAAAAATTCAATAGTGTACATGAAAAAGATCAAAATGACATATCATGTTGATCAGCTAGAAAAATAAAAGCCTACTCAGCCCTTATTTCTTCTTAAACGCCTTTTCAACGGTGCCTTCATCAGCGATATGGTTGTAGGGTCGATCGTAACGTTGCGCCATTTCCTCGTTGTGCTTTCTCACATCTTCAGGTAGCTCATCATGTGGTTTGCCTTCCATATCTGAGAGATTAGATTGTCTACCATCTCGAAGAGTTGGATGGGCTTTGTTGGAGGGGATTGGGTGGTTTGGAGTATTGCCTCGACTGTAATCTTCCTCTTTTTCTTGGCCATGATCGTTTGCTTGCCCGAATTTTCTTGGAGTATCGTGAACATAACAGTGTTGGCTGACTGCTGGATGGGTAAGAGGAATGGAGGATAAAGGTGCCCGGATTCGGGGGGGAAATTCGTAGAAAGGAGCTCATTTTGAATATATGACGGAGAATGAATGTATGTAGAGTTGAAGTTCTATTCAGAAAACAGTGGAAGACACGATAGGTGAAATATCCTAATATGAGAAGAAGTAGGGAGTGTCAAGCCAAATTTAAATTTCATAATGAATGCCAGGGGTACTCTTGAAAATCAGGTTTTAGATATGACAAAGAGCTGATGTTGTCCAAATATCCCTGCCGTTGGTGATGACGTACTGCGATGTCATATCCTGCCAAGATCTTAGATTTCCCTTCAATTGACTTCTTTCCGATTATTGAACTGAACATTGAACCGATCATTGAAAAGCTTTAAAATCAAACTTTTTTGATTTGGAAAATTCCAAGGTTTGGATAGTTTAAGGATTCTTCTGAAAACAAACACGGCCCGTAGTAGCAGTGTTTAACTTCTAGACAATTTTCCGAATTTATGCATCTTAAATCGACCTTGGAGACTGCAGCATATCAAATACGAGTACTAGTAATCCAAACCCAATAAATTTGCAAGGTTACATTAATGAATAGTGGTACTTAAATTTCTAGTCAATAATTACCTGCGTTGAAAGAATCAGCAATCGCAGCCAGACCGTACTTTTTGGATAAAGAGATATCTTGGAGACTGAGATGAAGACTCCAAGTACGCATAAAGGGGAATGTTTAGAATCGTTGTGATATACTAGGTGGTCTTTACCCAGATGGATCTATAGCAAGAGCAGACAAAGAGCAGGGCACTGGAGACAATTTCAGAACCATCTTTATTGAACCAACTAAAATCACTATATTCATGTGGCTGTTTTACATCTACTTTGTAGGAGTCATGTCCTGAGCATACCCACTGCACATGTTCAGGGGCTGAAAGCGTTAAAAGGGTTGGAGATACTTGATCGCGTGCCAGGTGGTGTATGTCCCCCATACATAATCGTGCTCGGGCCTTCAAGCCCTGGAGATGGCCCCGGATCGCCGGCTTGATCCACTTGGACCCTGCGAACCGTTGTTACCTTCCACACTGATTTCAATGTTGGTTCAATATGGGCATTTGCAAATCTAAGTTTGTAACAGAGATTTATTCATAAATTGATCTCTTCTGATTTCGACGACGCAAGTACGGAGTGCGGTGGAGATTGATTAGAAATAGCCACTAGTGATTATTGGAATTGTTATGGAGATGACCCCGGGCTATAGCATAAGATAGGGGGCCATCACGCTCGTATTCCTGCACCTAGAAGCCACTGGCGCTGTTGCAGCATACTCCTCACAAATCTACTGCATAGAGATTATTGATTACTGAATTGATTCACCGGCACGGAGTTCGGAGTAGACCATGAATCATCAGTAAAATAAGTACAGAGCATACCCCCACAGTATGAATTGTGCATACTCAGTGATCCAAAAGTTCAGAGTAAGCCTCCTAATTTCACACTTGAAAGGCTTATGATTCAGTGTGAGCTCAAATAGGCTAATCTAGGATCATAAACCTAGTCAAAAACCGGGCTCTCTATTGGTGCCGATGTCCGAAAGGTTCAAAGCCCAAGAGCGTCGGGTAGCCTGAGAAGGTTAGTTTTGGAGCTACTGCACACGACTAGGCCAAATGAATATGATATTGTGGATTCTTTCTAATTTACTGTGCATACCGGGGGCGCTCCACGATTGCTGAAAGCCCTGCCGATCCCTGTTTGCGGGCCAAAAGGAACATGAAAAGAGCACGTTTAATGATGTAGTGATTGTGCCATCCTGTGGCATGCTGCACACGTGATCTACACGTGACCTGCCACCGATCATTTACCAGCCGCGGTTGGTAGCCGAGAGGCCCTTTAAGGCATCTCTCCACCTTAAGAGGCGGAGCTACTCTCTTCCAGCGGGTGTCGCCGGTCTTCTTTTACTTTCACGTCATCTTCTCAACTTCATTTTCCCCAGAAGATGCTGACCCACGTTTTTTTCAAATCGAGTTCGGCACTCTAACTTTGACTTTTTTTCTTTTGTTTCATTATCTTCTAAAAATACGCTTCCTGCGTTATGGCGTCTGTCCCGGGTTATGCTATCGCCGCTCATCGCGCCACTTCAAATCACGATGATGCCTCCACCGCCGAAAGCTCCCCACCTCAGCCCGATACGATCGAAGATGCTGAGACTGTTTTTATGAATCAGGGTGCTTCAACTCCAAGCGCACTGGAAAATGTGACCGATATCATTGACAAAGGCGCCACTCGACCATCAAATCAAACCGATACAGTACAGGAAGAGCCACGCAAATGTTGGATCTGCTATACCGATGAAACAGAAGACTCCCCACTGAATCTGGAATGGCGATCTCCATGTCCATGTGCTTTGACGGCGCATGAGGCCTGCTTACTGGATTGGCTTGCAGACATGGAGAACCCCCGCTCCAAGAAGCGAAGTGGCGGCGCTAAGATACAATGTCCCCAGTGCAAGTCTGAGATTGTCGTCACTCGTCCACGCAGCTACATTGTCGATACATTGCGCCTGATAGAAAGAGTGGCAGGTCGACTAGTCTTACCGGGCATGGTTTTCACCGTGGCGGGAACTGTATGGGCGGGCTGCTGTGCACATGGCGCATACTCAATGCATCTCGTATTCGGCACAGACGAGGCAAGACAAATTCTGGAAGATAGTTTGGATGGCCCGTGGAACCCAGGACGCAACCTAGGTCTACCACTTATCCCACTCGTTTTGATATTTTCTCGCACCCGATACGCCGAGGGTTTACTGCCTGCAATCCCTGTCTTATTCTTTGCTGCGCACAATCCGAGACACGAGCCTGACTTTGATATGTGGCCCCCTACCCCGGCTTTGACCTTTGCCGCCTTACCTTATTTGAAGAGCTTTTATGGCGCACTGTATGACCGACTATTCGGTGCTTTGGAACGGAAGTGGATCGCAGAGGTCCAGCCTCGTGCGGCAGAAGAGATCCTGGATGATGCACAGCAACAGGATCAGGCGGAAGGACTCAATCGTTTTGGCGAACATGCCAACGGTCAAATTCTCATGGAGATTGACCTCGAATTGCAGGTAGGATTGCCCGGCGACGAGCTTGTCGATGCTCCAGCTCTACCTGCCGCCGGCAACGACGATGGCGCTGACACAGGCGCTCAGGACGGACAAGCCCAGGCCGGCCAGAACGGCTTAGGCCTTGGTCGACGACAAAACGAAATTATTCACGACACCGGAAACATTGCCGATACAGTTCTCGGCGCTCTCGTATTCCCCGCTATCTCCGCATCTATGGGCGGTATCTTGAAATACCTTCTACCGAAATCATGGACTACGCCCTCATCGGTTCTAGAGCGTAGTCGTCCCGGACTTCTTCAGACTCGCTGGGGTCGTAGTGTTGTTGGCGGTTGCATGTTTGTGTTGCTGAAGGACGCCCTGGTTCTCTATTGTCGATGGAAGCTGGCACAGACACACCGACGACGCAAGGTGCTCAACTACGAACGGTCCAAAGCCAAAAAGTATGGCACAAGCAAGCGGTAAATTTGAACTTCCGAAGCTCACTTCTTTCTTTTAACTCGGAACTCATTTCTATTTTGCATTTCATGGCGTTGTTTCGGGAGGGCTTTGCTTTGATTTGACGCAGTGTGTCATTTATACACACATGTCGCTTTAAGATTTCATGCCTCTTACGACCTTCAAGATACCGTTACTTATTATGACTGATTTTTCTATCTGATACATTACTTTCTTTTTATCCTGGGTGGACCGGAAGGGGTTTAACTATCATGTACTTACCACTGGATCATCTTTAAAATACCCAAAGGAAAATTGATATGTCATGACAATTTATTCAAACATTTTCTTTTACACAACAAACAAATTTATCTGTGGAGTCCTTCGATAGAGTAAACTTCAGACAGATGAATGTGTACCTAGGTAGTTTAGAATAAGCGCGCGGCTAATAAAAGCGGTGAAGCAATTCTGCCATCAGGGAATTATTCGCCCTGAACCTCAGCGCAATACCCTCTTCTACAACCCCCATATACCCCAGCCACAATGCGGTCTCTATCACCAGCTCTCGCGTCTCTCGCGAATGTATTCCGTATCCCCATGACGCTCGCACCATCGCGTCCTTCCGTTACCCGTGCATGCCACGAGACCCTCGCCCGCCGAGCATCACAACCTGGCCCGATCACCGCGGCCGTGCAAACCGCTTCCTTCTCATCGACAACCTCTCTGGCCAAGCGCAAGGAGAGCCGATCCAACGTGGACAAGCGAATCAGTACGTCGAATCCCCAATTCTTGCGGAATTGCAATCCCACCCTCCCAATTACCCATCGACGTGCTCCAGAAACACCTTGTCCGGAATAGAAAAATCGAACCCAAAACGCCCCATGCTAATCTAAATCTATAGCTCTTATCCGCTACTTCCTTCACCACCCTCTTACTCCCCGTCCTCTCCGCTTTTCCCGTAACCGTTACCTCCGTCACTGGACTATTCACCGCGCTTGGCAACTCTTCCAGGCGAAGCAGCGCACCAACCAGCAGCTAGAGCTTCAGCGTCAATACCAGAGCATGCAATCTGCGTGTGAGGAGCTGCGAACTGGTGCTGGAGATGGTGGCAAGCTTTTCCGCAAGTCCATGAACAAGAAGGGTATCTTTAATGATATGTTTCCTATTGAGTACGGACGTATGCAGACAGATTACCCACCTGCTGAGGGGTGGAACCATGATTGGAAGAGGATTGAGAAGAAATAAATGCCCTAGATTTGTTTGAGGGTGGATGCGCGGTTGTGAGGGTAAATTGATGATGGTTGAATTTGGGGTGTCTTGTATCATTGGCGCCATGTACTATATATATGCATTTTTATCTTTTTCATCGAGGCTATTAGAGACCTTGGAATGTAAATGGAAGGCATTTTATTGCTTTTCTTGTGTTTGAGCACTTGACACTCTTATGTTGATTGATACTAGTAGTAGTATGTAGACTTGAATATCTGACCTAGGCGCTCGATAGCCAGTTGACCACTAACTTTAGTACACATATAGATCTATTGAATATTGGGATTAAATGGCACGTAATATAGCCCAATTAGTTATTTCAAAATAAACAGAAGCAGTATATTCCAGGTGAGTAGTTGATTATGTATTTCCTGGCGAAAAATAAAAACAATGACTATATGAGAGCACGAGAGTGGCAAGAATAATAAGACATGAAAAGAGCGGTTCGCCATGGACTTCGGGGAATTTGCAAAAGAGAGAGAGAGGTATCCGGAGTTGCACGTGCATCAAGTCAGAATATGACAAGGAGAAAGCAATGGCTGATCAAGGAAAGTCATGAAGGGAAAGATAAATGTACTCCGAGAATAAAACATAGCCGGAAAAGGTAAGGGGGAAAAATAATGGCGATATCAGATATCATACCCACCCCAATTGTTCAGGCGAGCACTAAAAACCACCCAAACGCCAATGATGCATGATACAGCGGAAGGTCGAGTGAACGGCAAACCTAAGCTTGAACCACGTTCATCGAGTTTCCAGAGGCAGAGTAAAAGAAACCGAACGCTGGCAGAGAAAGGAGTTGCAATGTCGCAAATTCTTCTGGAATAAATTCATCATAGAACCACACAGCAAGAGGTTTTCCGCTTGTCAAAGGTCAAGAGAGCAGCGCGGGTAGCTGCTTCGAAGACGTCGTCGACACCTTCGCCGGTCAAAGAGGAGCATTCAAGATATTTACGGGCTCCAATGCTTGTACCGATCTCGCTGCCTTCTTTAGCGGTGACGAACTTCAGTGACTTTTTGCGCATCTCTTCGATCGCCATAGGGTCTTCTCGAAGATCTTTCTTGAGACCGACGAGGATTATGGGTACACCGGGGCATCGTTCATTCGCTTCTTCGATCCACTATCATCCTCGAAGGTTAGCAGCCGTAATTATATATGTATTGAGTAGCCCGCTCAGCCGGTCTTTGCCCAACGAACCTTATGTTTCACGTTCTCCAGCGAATCGGGTGTGTCCACGGCGAATCCAATTAGAATGACGTGGGCCTTCGAGTATGCTAATGGTCGCAATCGCTCATAGTCTTCCTGCCCAGCAGTATCCCATAGAGCCAACTGTACCGAACGACCATCGACTCGACAATCCGTCACGTAGTTTTCGAAAACTGTGGGTACCTAGGCAGCAAGTTAGAGACCGAGGGATTTACTTGGAATGGATCCGATAGGAATGGCGACTAACATAATGCTATACAGAAACAAGTTAGCATGTAATCCTCTGTCATTAGGCAGAAAACAGGTATTGTTGACTAACAGTTGGGAAGTAGCCGAGTGTAAACACGCTCAGCAAACTAGTTTTCCCGCAAGCACCATCGCCGATAATCACCAACTTTCTGTATAAATCAATTCATATTAGTATTCGATAAATATATGATTCTGAAGTTCCAATTGCAAAGACTAAGCAAAAAGGCCTGTCTTCGTGTTCTGCGGGATGATATTGCCACTTTGCGGAGGTGCTGCATGGTCTTGAACGGTCTAGGCCGGAAGGGGTATGACAAGCTGCGAAGGAAGGAAGAAAAAAAAGGATTGGCCGCGCGTACCTCCGCATCACATTATCACCTTGTTGTTGCGCCATATTTCAATGGACCGTGTAGGAGGAATGTCTTGAGCGCTGCTCGACAAGAGGAAAGAGAGAAGGATAGAAAGGTGACCGGATCACAAGTGCAAGATGATCGAGGTCAGGCCCACGGAGCCGCCGCAACACAAGAGAACACAAGAGGCAGGGGTAAGGGTCAGCCCTGCGCGTACACGTATTTCCACCCAATAGTAGATGCAGATGGTGGTCGACCTAAAGGAAAACAGTGACGTTTGGGTTGGTGAAGGCGGTCGCGCCGGGGGCTTGATGTTTAATGGTATGGGTCGATTTGAGGGGGAGAGAGAGAGAGAAGACGAGGGTGGGATATGATGGAATAAGACAAGTATAAGGATCACTTAGACTCAATTTACCGAGGGAGAAGTTCAACAAAAAAAGGAAAAAAAAGGAAGGAAAGTAATGAGGAGAAAGTTGGAATTGAGTAAGCGAAAGTGTTACTGATGATAAGATGAAGGGGGCAGAGCGGGAATGCGGATGCAGATGGAGTAAACCCGGAGATTTAAGGCACACAGAGGAGTTTGAGAGACACAATATTTTTTTTTCTCTCTTAATACTACACCGGGATCTCCGATGAAGTTATGTTTCTGATTTACGGCAACTCCGTTGATCAAGAAATTAGGAGTTATTTTTGTGAGATCAACACTAATGTCTCACTACATGTGGAGTAGAAGCATAGTTAAGAAGTCAACTGGACAATCTTCCCTACCGCCTTTAGTGACAGATAAACATGGCAGAATAAGTATGACTATAACATGCATAATTGTTATACTGTTATTAAGGCGGTTAAGATTATAGGTAATTAGGGTTTTGATATCATAGTAGAAAGAATGAGTGTTCAAAGAAGTCTTTCATCAGAAATCATCTCAAATGTTTGTTTTTTATTTTTCAATCCATCTGGTCTTTGTCTTCAAAAGCATCGACTTTCAATTCCGCCTCATCATCACATCGATGATCTAAAAAGGGAAAGCGGTGTGAAGGCGGTGAATCAATTCAGAGCATATAAAATCTATAAAATCAACGACGCAAATACTTTTATAACCCTAGTTCTATAAAAATGGATCCCATAGACTTAGAATGATGATACTTCTATCATTTCTCAAAGAATAAAGCTATATAAACAACGTAGATTTTATATGGTGCCTGACTCATAAGGCATTAGCTCGCTTGCGGCGGCTACCCCATTGCGGCGGCACTACAACCAGCCAGAACGCAGGAAAGCCCATCGCTCCATCCATCAATGGAATAAGATCTCCCTCGATCATTTGTACACTTGCGGGTCTGCTTTACTCGCTGGCGCTCAGTCAGAGTAGCTTCTTTTCAGATCATCGCATCCCCTCCAACCCCTCTTTCGACAACACTTCAACCCAAAACCCTATCCTGCCTTGTCTTTATTACCCTTCCACCCACCCCCTCCTCTCCAATCCTAGTCTCCCGCAACACCCCCTCTCTGAATTCCTAGACGCTCCGAGTACCTTCGGTGTAAGCAACAAAGAGTCTGACTATTCCCTGGTCTTCACCAACACCCAAGAAGGGGGTTCGGCTTTTGGTGAGTCTCCATTGCATTGGGTCAATGATTCGGAGCTTTGTTCTTTCGTTCTCCCGCTCTCCGCTTTTGCCTTGGGCGGCTCCTTCTGAACCAACCACCCCACACATCTTAACCTTCCAAACTGCTATTGATCTCTAGCTGTTAACATTGTGGTGCTTTGTAACAGACTTTTGCTGTGGACTGTGGTGCCCGGCGTCATTCAAACCCCATTATGGCGGCTCAGACAGCAACCAAACCGATCCCACCGAGCAACGACGATGCGCGGGGACCCTTGAGCCACGCCACAGATGGGAAGATGGCTGCTTCAGCACCTGTAAATCGCAAGAAACAGAAGCGTCGACTGAAACAGGCGGCTCGCGCTGCCGCGGATTCAACCGACATCCACGCCTCCGCGGACATGGAATTGAACCCCGATGACCAACATTCCAACGGCCACGACGAGGCTGACAGTGCCGATCTGGACCATGCGGAAGCAGACGATGTTTATCACCATGGAGTATCTAGCTCACAGCCTGATCTGGGTCACGATGCAATATTGAATGAATACGACGAAGCTGCAGGACCTAAGTCCAAAAAGAAGAAGCATAAGAAAGGTCGTTCTCGCTCTCATACTCACGCTGATAATAGCCCGACACCTCTACCGACGCATACTGCCAGTTTCTCACATCAACCATCATCACATGCGCTGCCATGTTCCTCCCGTTTCCCCACGAAATCCAAAGAAAGCAGCATTTGGAATCAATCGTCCCTGGAAGAACGCGAGAATATCCGGACCTTCTGGTTCGAGTTAGGCGAGGAAGAAAGACGCCAACTCGTGAAAGTCGAGAAGGATGCCGTTCTTAAGAAGATGAAGGAGCAGCAGAGGCACTCTTGTAGTTGTACTGTCTGTGGTCGAAAGCGGACTGCCATTGAAGAAGAGCTTGAAGTCCTCTATGACGCATATTATGAGGAGCTCGAACAATATGCCAACAACAATCAAGGCTCTTTTGAGGAAGGCGCCCCCATTATTCCACCACCTCGACTTTATCAATCTCCACTTCGATCTCCCGGTCAACATACCCGCACGCACGGGCAATATCATCCCTCGAGGGGTCGTGTCCAAGAATTGTCCGAAGACGAAGAGGAAGAAGAAGAGGAAGATGACGAGGACGACGAGCACCTAGAATTGGAAGATGACTTCGACGATGACGAAGAAGATGATGAAGAGGATGAGCTTTACAGTGAAGAAGAGTTCGAAGAGGACGAGCGAACTTCTGCAGCTCGTGCGGATCTTTTTGCGTTCGGTAATAGCTTGACAGTGAAAGGCATGTGAAGATATCACAACCGATCCTATATAAAGTTTTGAAAATTTCTGACTGTTTTTGGGTTAGATGGCATCCTGACTGTGGCAGACGATCTGCTGAAAAACGATGGCAAACACTTCATTGATATGATGGAGCAACTAGCGGAACGTCGAATGCAACGAGAAGAAGATCCGCAGTTCAACATTTCCACATCTCATCAGTCCTTCCATGCAGGTCATAATCATGGTCCTCTTGATGATGACGAAGATTATGACGACGAGGAAGACGAGGATTATGACAGCCAAGAGGAAGAAGAGTTTGACGAGGATGAAATGGTTTGTTTTGGATCCTCGAGATCAATTGGCCCCACACATACCAAGTATGTTTTGCTAACTTGGAAAAGGATGCGATGACCGAAGAGCAACGTATGCAAGAAGGCAGACGGATGTTTCAGATATTTGCTGCACGAATGTTTGAACAACGTGTGATGACGGCTTATCGAGAGAAAGTCGCCGAAGAACGTCAGAAGCAACTTCTTAATGAGCTCATAGAAGAGGAGAACCGGAACGAACAGCGCAATGCCAAGAAGGCACGAGAAGCCCAGAAAAAGAAAGACAAGAAGCGGCTGCAGAAGCAGGCTAAAGAAGAAGAAAGGGCTCGTAGAGAGGCCGAGAAAGCTGCCGAGGAAGCTGCTGCTAAAGCCGAACACGAAAAGAAGCTCGAAAGCCAGCGATTGAAGCGTGAAGAGCAGCGCAAGAAGCGCGAAGCTGAACGCAAGGCTCAAGAGGAGGAACGGGCTCGTAAGGACGCCGAAAAGCAGCGGCGTATCAAGGAAGACCGAGAGCGCCAAGCCGAGGCAGAACGCAAACAACGAGAGCAGAAAGAGGAAAAGAAGAGACGAGAAGAGGCTAAACGCAAAGAAAAAGAGGAACGAGATAAGAAAGCTAAAGAGGACCATGAGCGTAAATCGCGTGAAGAGCAGGTCAAGAAAGACCAAGATAGTGCGGCCAAGGGAGTGCAGGAGGGCAGAGGGGTGTCGGAGACATGGGATGCTCAAGCAAAACCCCCGCAAAATCCTTCACTCACCTCGTTGCCTTCCACCCACCCATTCTCTTCACAACCGCCTGTACCCCAACCTGCTTCTCTTCATTCTCCAACTCATCCTCTTGCTACGCCTCTTGTCCCCAAAGCTTCGACTCCTGTGAGACCACGTCAGTTGTCTCATCAGGGTTCTCATTCGTCTTCTCCTCACTCTCAACCATCATCCTCCGATATGTTTCCTTATCCGTCGTCTATCTCGCCGCGTTCCATGGCGCAGTCGCAGTCTGGAGCTGCTGGTGGAAGACCAGGGCCGGTACCGGGACCACATTATTACCAACAGCCGCCTTTACATCATCCTCAACCTTCTGCTCCTGTGTCCCCTCTGGGCAGAGGCAACCATCCTGGTTTCTCAGGCTTCGGCGGGGTACCTTCAAACCCTCCAGGCCTTCCAGTCATGGGTGATCAAACCCATATGTCTCCCGATTTGCCCATGTATTCGCCTAATTCCGGGATGGCAAACCCACTTCGCACGGGTTTTCCTGCATCAGGTGGAATTACTGCCCCGCCTGGAATCAATCCAGTGCGCACTATGCCGACTTTTCAACGACCAGATGTTCGATCTAACCTCCCTTTTCCTGTGCACTATGGAGTCACGGGTGTTTACTCAGCACAGCAAATGCAGCAGCTGAAGCAGCAACAACAACATGAACATCAGCTGAAGCAGCAAGAGCAACAGCGACTAGTGCAACAGTACAATGCAAACGTGAGCAGACTTCACCAACAGCCAGCAAGCCAATTTCCCATGTCGACTCTCAGTCAGGGCACTGATCAAAGCTTGCCCTCTGCGCACGTGAGCCCTATCCGACGCCCATCGAGTGGCACGCAGGATCAACACGAGAGTGGTCGTACTGCATCGCATCAAGAGGTGGAAGAATTGAGCACTCATCTGGGTAGCAGTGCGCTCCTTGATAACACTGACAATAGTTTCCCATCCAACTTGTCTCAGTCGTTGCCGGGAGTCTCAGCCCCAAGTCGGTTCCCTCCTCCATCGCGAGCCAGCTTCCAAGGACAGTCTTTTGTTACTGAGCCTCTCAGTCCTCAAGCTGGCACTGCTCAACCCGGCACTGCTCAACTCGGTTCTTCTCAATTCGGCACTGTTCATCCTAGCACTGTTTATCCTGGCAATATTAACACCGGTCCGGCCGGCTGGGGTGGAACTTATAGTGCAGCAACTCCCTACCCTACCACATCAACTTGGGGTACAGCGCCTGGTAAGGCAAACTCCAACAATCAACACAATCCAAATATCCCTTTTACTAAGAGAGATTTCGGTGGATCTCGACCTCCATTGGTCGATCCACTGGATCCTTTTGCAGCCATTCCCTACTATCGTGTCCGCCCATATCGACCTGTTACTGTTCGCCTTTTGGTAATCGAGGCCTGCAATCAACTCACCACAGAGAGTCCTAGTTCGCTCGGTTTCCACTCCGCGAACATACTACTCGCTCGGGTCGAACAATTGCGCCATCCGCACGAACCTCACATCTCGATGACCGAAATGCTAGACATCTGCGACACTGAAGGTAATGCACAGAACGGTGGTGGATTGTTCCATGTCAAACTCAGCGAGGGAGGTCGCTTCATCAAGTTTGAGCCAGATATGCACAGTTTACACCCAAGCCGTCGTACCAGTGTCGCCCCCGGTCCTGGTGATATTGGAAGCCCCGTGCAGATGGGATACAGTCCTACTTCGCCGTCTTCATTCAACGGTTACAATGCTAACACTGCGGGTCACAATGCTGCTAACCCCGCTATGCGCCAGTATCCTTCCTCCGAGACTAGGATGTATGGCGGAAGTCCTTAAATCCCGGAAACTATTACGAACCCCCATTTGACTGGTAAACTGTGTACGAACAGGCCGATCTCATGAGGAATGACCCGTGAAATGTCCCCTCCTTGTCTTTTCTCCCCAATCTTCTCCCTTTCCTCTGCATCTCCTCAATCCTCGTTTTTTTTGTCTTTTTTTTCCCAGTTGAATTGAAGCGTCACGGGTTCACGTCTTACAAATGCGCACGTCCTGAAGGTTTTTTTTCCGAACATTTATGGGTATCGAACTTTTTTGGGTTTTCGTCGATAAGGTTTCTTTTTCTGTTAAGTTGTGTTCAAGTCAAACCGACTTGAATCTGGGGCATATGGATCAATTTTGTGTGTACGGTACCAGGTTATTTTTCCCGATGGCCTTTCTGCATTATGCAGCGATATCCAGGAGCTTGGGATAATCTCCCTCTCCATCGTCGTCTTGTCTGAATAGCATGAAGATTCTTATCTTTATTTTTCTTCCTAGTAGTTTGATAGATGGTCTGTCTGGAATCTGAGCCATAGGACCAGGCTTGGAGCTCCGAGTCTAGAGATATTCCCAAAGGCTAGAATACCCCGAGTCTACAGAGTATGTAGTCGCCTCAGGGAAGTACTAAAGGGTCTGAAACATTAAATGATCAACTACTAGTATCAATTGATAGCTCATATTCAAATGGTCAATTACAAATGAAGGGAATATGAAATGGCCTAAAGTACTCTTGAGACCTAAAGTCTACTCATTGATAAAGATCAATCATGAAAGAAATATCGTTGAAGGGTATGGTGTGGTGTTATCAAGAGACAATGGTACACTTGTATATACTCAGAAACGAAAAATAAAGCATCTTAAACAGGGTCCGGCTTCCAAAGAACATAGAAAAAGGGCAGGGGAAAAATAGGGGAGAAAAAAGGGACTCAGGGAAATATGAGCCTAGGGGAAGATAATCCTTAATGAAATCTCGCATCTCATACAAAACACAACGCTTTAGGGATCCAAGTCTTGATACCAAAACCTTGACATTGGCTAAACCTCAAACAACATCGACGTCTGAATCTACTGTCGCTCCGTAACAACACCCTCATAATCTCGAGATCGAATGTACTCGAGAGTGCGCTCGAAATGACGCTTCGGGCCGTCAAGGTTCGGGTTGGGCTCATCTTCAGTACTGTGAAGGTTGGAGTGGATGAGCTCGATAAGCCCATTAAGGTACTTGGTGGTGACCGTCTCGTTTTGCTGATCGAAGTAGTAAACGTAGCGGTTGAGAATCTCCACGAAGAGCTCGACGGATACGGCTGTGTCCATGCAAGCATCTGCAACGCGCAGAGCGCGCTGGAGGCACTCCAGAACTCTTTTACCGTCACGGTAAAGCTGCTAAATGTAAGCAAAATGTTTCCAGAATAAGATTAGATGAAAAAACAGGGTATCCCTTACGTTCTTGGGATCTTCTTCTCCGCGTTGTGGGTTTTCAACCACCCACCAGAGGTGACTGGCCAGATAGACCGCGCGACACTGGTCTGGCTTCTTGAGAAGCTTGCTACCATGGAGAGCAGCCTTGGTGATTAGTGTATCGTAGTTCTCTTTGGAGAAACCACGGGCGCCATGCAGAGCACCTGCAATGATGCAAACAGCCTGGAACTGGGCGCGAGAGTCACTAATTGCATCTTCGTAAATAGTGAATGCTTGCGCGAAGAACTCATAGCTGACTTCCTCGAAGCCGGTTTGATCAGCGACTTCACCGCACATCACAAATAGTCGAAGAGACAAGTCTGCACAGCCTGGGTTCACTCGCTGGTACAAGTTGTTGACGCATTGGTGCAAGAAGCGGTAGAGAGCTGATGATTGTGATTGCCAGTTGTCATCGTAGTGCTCGCGCGATTTCAATTTACGAGCTAGGCGGATTGAGGCTGTGACAAGAGCGGGAGTGGTGTATCGGATACGCTCGTTGCCATCGGCATACGCCTTACGAGTTGACTGAAGCAGCTATTCATTTTGTTAGCTTAATGTCAGGAAGCATAGATTGAATGGCCATACCTTGAGTTGAGTGTCATTGTCCGGTGCCTGGATCAAGTGCACCAATCTTGCGAGCCAACCTTGCTCTTCAATAGTCTCCTCAGTTTCTCCTCCACGACGCTGGGCCTGTGGTCCTGGGTATCCCGTAGACTGCTGAATGCCTTCCTTGATAAGCACTCTGGCGGTCTGCAGAACACGATCAAGGTTCTCCAGGTTTGAGATGATAATCTTGTTCTTCAGCAGACTCTTGACTATCTCGCCTGCAATAGATCTTCGAGTAGGATATGATTGCGAGGTCAGGAGTGGCAAGTAATGCGGCAAGGCCAGGGCTGTGAAAATCGAAACGTAAGATTTGAGAGGAGCACCGAGAAGATCAAGGATGTGCTGCTGTGTAGGTGCGGAGTGTAAATCAGCATGATCGGTAAATTCGGCTGTCTTCTGAGTCGCAAAGTCCAAGACCTGATCAACGTATTCCAACTGATCCGGATAAATGTTCAAAGCAAGTTTGACCAGGGATACGAGAAGGGCCATAGTATCTTGAATGGGCAATCCGCGTGTCTTGATCAAGTTCACAACCTGGTCATAGAAGATATCGTACAGCTTAACTTCCGTGGGAACACTAGTCTTCGAGTCCTCCTCGTTTGTTGGCTCTGACTCTGCGACGGGCTCCTCTGGTTTCCTCGGCTTATCAGTCCCATTCTCCTTGGGGGCATCTGCAGAGGCATCAGAAGTATCTGTGACCTCGGTAGGCGCTTCCTTTTTCGTTTCCTTGTCGAGTTCCAGCTTCTGCAATAAGCGAGTTACCGCTTCCTCTTCGCTCTGTTTTCTAGCCTCAGGCTCTATCGTTGAGTCTGTCTCGCCCTCCTTAGCAGCATATGTCGATAAGCGGTCCATGAGTGTAATCACGATCTTCTTCAAGTCGACATGAGGATTGAGTCGGGCGATAGCAGATAATAACAGATCAAGAGTGTGCAGATGGAATTCATCAGGGAAAACCTTAGTGATCACTATATCAAGAAAATTAGCAAATGAACTTCAAGTCAAGAAATCAACATAAACTCATACCTTCTAGGAGATATTCTTGCGCCAAAACATCCCGGCACTGAACCACCTGTTCCAGGAGCGCTTGTAAAATACCAGACTTGTACGTTTCTAGATCCACCAACTGGCTCAAACGAACAAGATTGCTACCAACAAGCAGCTCAAGCTCGCGCCGTTCTTGTATGCGTCGGTCACGCTCTCGCGATGGACCCTGATGTTGAAGTCGCACCCAAAGCTTGTTCATCTCCACAAAGTTGGTCAAGACAAAGTTGATCGAGTCCTGCAGGTTGCCTTCGGGTCCATCACCAGTTCCAGAAGGAAGGTATTCCCGCGCCTGTTGGGTTAGATAGTAGCGCAGGAATAGACCGCGAATCGGATGCTGAATGCCGCGGCTCATCTCCATCATATCCTTCATAATCTCCTTGACCGGCGCATCATCGACGGACATGTACACGGTACCCACCGTGATCATGAGATACAAACGGGGTACGATATTTCCGGCATACTGAACGAGCTCGTACAGGTCCGCTAGGTGGTTCACGGGATGGTTCTCCTTTAAGTAGACGGAGAGGTATCGGAGCGCATCAAAAACAGCCATGTACAATTCATAATATTGCTTCGGGCCGAGACTCGGGGTTCGCAATTCGGATACAAGGGTTGAGCTATAGTGAAGGGAAAGAAATTAGCACACCAGTTCGTTGCGCGACTATCCGTCATCGTTGCCTGGGCGGGCTTCGGGGAAGGTTGGGGAAGGACAACTCACCCGCATTTGAGCGCATCCATCAACTTTCCGGGGGTCTCCAAGCACTTGCGCATCATTGCCGACTGCTGCCTCACCACCCCCAATGCCTCCTCTAGGAGGCGACTTTGGTCCTCTAGGACTGGTGGTGGGCTGGCCATTGTGGAGTGAGGGGGAGCTGAAGGTTAAGAACAGGCGGTAGAGGCTTGCGCGTTTAGAGCAATGATTGAGCTTGCAAGGGGCCCTTCACCACTACCCACGATTCATAAGAGAATTAAGGGTGTAAGGGTTGTTCGGTTGGATTGGTGTTTTGGGGGAGAGAAGAGGGAGGTGAGTTTGGAGCACAGATGGATAAGCTAATTGGATGCCGTGACACCATATGGGGTCGAGAAGCCCCGAAACGTCACCGCGGTTTTAATCGCTTGTTGCCTACAAAATATTGACTATATATAGCTTTTGTCGGGTCTAGTAATTTCAAACTAGACAAATTGAACCAAATTGAGTTACAATTATGCCCCTGAATTGATTTACTCTCTTAATTGATAATTTTATCTTTTCATAGGGGGGTCTCATCACTGGGCACGAGGCCAACTGAGTAGTTTACTATCTTGGTGCCTCAGGCCAAAAAGGTACATAACCACTTCCAAGTTGGACATGTGCATATGGTACAACAACCTACAAGCTACGTAATAATAAATGAACTATGAGATAAAACTTGAACACATTGCTCAATTGAAACATTCGAACTTGGGACGCTTTTCGTGAAATTGAACCAATTCCGGAACTGACTCGGAACTTGAAACAGCACATCCTTCATCTCGACCTATGGCTTGCAATACATGAATATTATATACACACAACGTGAAGGAATAGCATGGAGGAACAGAAACCCGAAAATGACCAAGTAACTTAAAAAAGTCATTTGGGATTATCTGATTCAATCCAGCTTGCATAGGGGGCAGAAAAGGCAAGTTGAAGCCGTCACAAAAAATAAAATAAAAAAAAAACAGGCACCAAAACTTTTGCCATATCGGTCAATCTGCAGGAGGCGATATAGTCTTTTTTGTTTCTTGAAGAGTAAACTCTTTTTTGTTTTTGAGAGCTTAATCAGACTCTTCCAATCGCATTTTGGTGAACCCGCCCAAGAAACGCCATGGATATCAACTATAAAAAGAAATGACGGTCAACAACTTGGACCGGCATCCCATCTTGAAGCTAGCTAGGTTGCCGGTTGGCCACTGGCCTTAGGACATTTATCTGCGGACAGCGAGGGGAGCGTTGCGCTTGCGCATCAGTTCCTTGCGCTCCTTCTCCTTGGCCTCGTCGAAAACGAGGAACTCGTGCAGACCACGGCCAGCAGGGACCATGGGAAGGACGGGCACCTTGCGGTCAGTGATGACCTCAAGAAGGGCAGGGCCATCCTGCTCAATCAGCCACTTCAGCTTGGCCTCAACCTCGGCAGGGTCGGAGACGCTGTCGGCGGCACAGCGCATGGCCTTGGCGAGGGGAACGAAGTCGGGGTTCTGCTGGTGAGTGTGAGCGTAGCGATCCTCGTAGAACAGGTTTTGCCTGTACTCATTGTTAGCAGATGTCTTTTTTTCAATCGTCTAGGAACAAGGTGACATACCATTGAGTAACCATGCCCTGCTCCTCGTTGTTCAGCAGGAGAACCTTAACAGCAATACCGAACTGGGCGGCGGTGGACAGCTCAGTGAGAGTCATGTTGAAGGAGGCATCACCATCGATATCGATAACCAGGCAGTCTGGACGGGCAACCTTGGCGCCAATGGCGGCAGGCAGACCGAAACCCATAGTACCAAGACCACCAGAAGTGATCATGGTACGGGGGTGGCGCCAGCGGAAGTGCTGAGCAGCCCACATTTGGTGCTGACCGACACCAGTAGTGATGATGGTCTTGTCCTTCATGTGAGCGGTGAGGTCGCTGAGCTTCTCAATGACGGCCTGGGGCTTAATGGGACCATCAGCCTCCTGGCGCTCGTAGAGAGACAGAGGGAAACGGGCCTTCCAGTCGTTGATCTGCTCGAACCACTCGGTACGCTCAGCGACAGGCTTAACGTGGGGCAGAAGCAGGCGAAGGTTGTCAGCACAGTCACCCTCGACAGCCTCAGTAGCCTGAACAACCTTGTTGATGTTCTTGGGCATGATCTCGAAGTGAACGATACCACCACGGCCCTCGGCGGCAGCCAGCTTGGCCTGAGGGGCGAACTTGGGGATGCTCAGGGTAACACGGTCATCGAAACGGGCACCAACAGCGATGATCAGATCGGCCTCCTGCATAGCCATGTTGGCATACGCAGAACCGTGCATACCCAGCATGTGCAGAGCCTTGGGGTCCAGCTCGTCAAATCCACCAAGACCCTGGAGGGTAGTGGTGACAGGAATGGCGCACTTCTCGGCGAATTCCTTCAGGATCTCAGGACCATCGGGACGGGCAAGCAGACCCTGACCAACGTAGAGAATGGGCTTCTCAGCCTTGTCGACAAGCTTGGCAACACGGCTGATGGTGGCATCAAGAGAGCGCTGGCTCATCTCACGAGCAGCCATGGTGGCGGCACTGGGGAGGGAGGGGATGGTGCTCTGCATGGGGATGGGGTTGCGGAGAATGCCTGCGGTAACATCCTTGGGCAAGTCAACCAGGACGGGACCGGGACGGCCACTGGTAGCAATCTCGAAAGCCTCCTGAATACGGCGAGGAAGCTCAGCAACCGACTTGACCATGACATTCCACTTGGTGCAAGCACGGGAGATTCCAACAACATCAGCCTCCTGGAAGGCATCAGTTCCAATGGCACTGGTAACGACCTGACCAGTAAACACAACCATGGGGATACCATCCGACATAGCATCCTGCATGGGAGTGATGACGTTGGTGGCTCCGGGGCCAGAGGTAACCAAAACAACACCGGGCTTGCCAGATGCACGGGCGTAACCCTCGGCCATGTGACCAGCACCTTGTTCATGCTTGGGGAGGACGAAGTCGAAGTGTTTGGAGTTGTAGATAGCATCGAAAACAGGGAGAATGGCACCACCGGGGTAACCGACTAGAGGTGATTTTATCAGACGGGGACTCATCAATTGATGTGGATAGCAGTTACTCACAGACGTGCTTCACGTCGAGACGCAGCATCATCTCGTGGAAGATTTCACCACCGCTCATACCAACCATACTAAATTCCAAGAAGTTAGCATTATGGAATTTGACTCTGCTATTAGCAAAAAAAATTTGCCAAGACTTACGAGTCATCGAGCTCAGGGAGCTGGCGGTTCATCAGAGGCGAGACCTCATTGCGATGAGGTTCCTGGTTGAAAGCCGGGCTGGGTACAGGGCGAGCATCTCTGGAATTGAGATTAGTATAGGGTCCATTGATGGATGAAATTCCATCGCATAATGCTTCTTCAATCGATGTTGAGAATAAGAACTCACGCCGGGGCAGTCACAGTGCTCTGAGCACGCTTCTGAAGAGAAGAGCGGTGGGGCGACGCAGCCGAAGCCACGAAGGAAGTTGAGAAGGGCCGACGACCAGAGGCAAGCTGCCTCTGGAGGTGAAATGGACCGCAGAGCGGTTTTTGATGGTCTGAGAGGCATCATCTTGAATTGACCCAGCAAATTAAAGAAAGGTGAGTCAAGTACGAGGCAAAAGGCCCTGGATGAATCTTTGGGGGAATGGAAAAAAGCGCCCTTAACCTAAAGCACCCGACCGCTCTGACTCAATTTGACGCTCCATGATTGGTTCTAACCTCCTTCTGTACTTCCAAGGTTCTCCGCACACTCCGACCTCGGCGTATCCCGGTGAATCACGTGATTTAGTAGCAAGGCCGTTTTCGTCATCACGTGATATGTCTATTTTGAGTCCAGCCCACATTTATATTGTACCTAGTGCAGACCATCTATATACCTACAGGGTTACCTACAGGGTTAGCTGGAAGGTTATTTGGAAAGTTATCCGGAAGAGAAGTTTAGCTGTTATATTATTGGATATAGGCAACTGGTAGCCCTATAGATAAGCTGTATCCCAGGAGGTCCTTGGGTATCAAGACAGTAGTAAAAGAGGTCTACTAGTATTAGATCAATGATGTCAATGGATAAAATAGGGATAAAATCATATGATATTACCCATAAACACCTCACCTAATATGGAATACACATAATTCCCAATTAGTCTATATGATCTATATCAATCCCATATTTAACATCATATGCATATAGATCCAGATCTGTCAAGGATCATCGGGTATATTTTCTTTTCTCGGATCTTGGTGGCATGCCGAATTTCCTGACACGGAAATCGGGGTTTCTCTTACTCCATTTCGGGCCGGTTATGCGTTGATCCAGATGAACAAGTACATATTTCAAGTTCTTCAACCTTGCAATATTTGATCTCAAGGCTTGAATACTCTATACTCTCTACTCCCCATCTAGTGTCTATATACAGATAGTCCTCCTTACTTCGGAAGAATTATTTCCGGAGGCGCAGGTCTAAAATAGTTCTATGCGTAAACCCCGTAATGCCCGCCACCCTGTCCGACATACATCTGTGCATTATTCCACAATACGTCAATTAATGACAAAAGCAAAGAGAGGTTGCATTTCTGGTCCCTGATCATCTAACCAATGAAAATAGAACAATCAAATTATGTTTCAGGGTCAATGCGACCTCCCCGCAAACACTAACACTGCAAAGGGACACCGGGGGAATAACCTGGGTCTTCCCCCACCAAGTTCATTTTACCCGGGGTGAAAGATGGGGCGTCGCACTGGGTCGCTTGGAGAGTTTTGATTAGGTATCATTAATTAATTTATCCTTGTCCCTTGCGCTCTCACTTTTCCCCTCCTTCCTTTCTATCTTGTATTTACTTGTTTTTTGCCCTTTCTTTCTACTCAAAAAAAAGATCCCTTACCCCGCCATGTCGTCCCCACAGGAGCTCGTCCCGCAAACAGAATCCATCGCGGAAGTTTATGCCACCGATGATGCATCCTTGAACTCTGTTGCGGCGCAACACCAGCAACGATTCTCTGGTCTGATCTCCCAATTTAACAAAGAGTACAACCACCGTCCCGACTTCGTCGCTCGCAGTCCTGGTCGCGTGAACATTATCGGCGAACACATTGACTATTCTCTCTATGATGTTTTACCTACCGCGGTTAGCGTGGACGTCATCATGGCTGTCAAGATCGTTCCCGGTACCTCTGGCACCACCATCAAGATTGCGAACGTCGCGCCAGAGAAGTTCCCCACGCGCGAGTTTAGTTTCCCGCACGATGCCGACATTGAGATTGATCCCAAGAAGCACGAATGGGTGAACTACTTCAAGGCGGGTCTGTCAGGTGCTCTGAAGTTCTTGCGCAAGGAGAGACCAGATGGCGTCGTACCGGCAAGTATGGAGATCTTGGTGGATGGCAATGTGCCTCCCGGTGGTGGTATCTCAAGCAGCGCTGCATTTGTTTGCGCCAGTGCACTGGCTGTCATGAAGGCCAATGACCACAATGTCTCGAAGCAGGATCTTTTGGACTTGGCTGTTGTTTCTGAGCGCGCAGTTGGTGTGTACTCTGGCGGGTAAGTCAAGAATATACTAATCCCATATTTAATATTTTCTAACCAAACCCGATTATGAATGAACAGTATGGACCAGGCCGCATCTATCTTCTCGAAGCGTGGTTTCCTGCTTTACACCCAATTCTACCCCACATTCAAGGCTCAGCATGTTCCGATCCCTAAAGCAGCCGACGAAATCACCTTCCTTATGGCTCAGAGCTTCGTCACTTCCAACAAGGCCGATACCGCGCCTCGACACTACAACCTGCGCGTGGCCGAGTGCACACTTGCTGCGGTTATTCTGGCCAAGAACTTTGGCCTGACTCTTCCCAAGGACAACAGCTCTCTGGGCTACAGTCTGCGCAACTTCCAGAATGAACTAATGACCAAGGAGGAGCGTCTCCACGACCCACTGGAGTACCAGATTGACTCCGTCATCCAGGCTGTTCAAGATCTTTTCACCAAGACCGAGGGATACACACGAGAAGAGATGGCCGAGCTTCTGGATATTACCGTCCCCGAACTGGAATCCAAGTTCCTGTCCGCATTCCCCGTGCAAGCAGAGCGATTCCGTCTCCGCCAGCGGGCATTGCACTGCTTCAAGGAGGCACGACGTGTCCTGGATTTCAAGGCTTGTCTAGCAAAGGCCTCGGAGCTGGATACAAAGCGCATTCACTACTTGGGCCAACTGCTTAACGAGTCCCAGGAATCCTGCCGCGCCGATTACGAGTGCAGTGCCCCTGAGGTGGATGAGATTTGTGAGATTGCTCGGAAGGCGGGTACCTGGGGTAGTCGGTTGACAGGTGCTGGATGGGGTGGTTGCACTGTTCACATGTTGCCCCAGGGTAAGGTTGAGGCTGTGACAAATGCCTTGAAGAATGAGTACTACTTGAAGCACTTTCCCGATATTACTACCGAGAAGCTGGAACAGGCTATGGTTATTAGCAAGCCCTCTAATGGCTCTTTCGTGTATGTTGAAGATTCCTGGCCTCGGACGAAGTCGTGATACTAATATGGATATTAGGGTTTTTGGAGCTGCGATTGACCAAGTCGCTCTGTGAAGGGTTATCGGACTCAATACTCAACGATCAATTTATGCTCACACTTTGGTGCTTAGAATTATAGATTACTTCAAAGTACACCACATTTTGCATGGCCAGAGGGCCAGTTCTAAAACTGAAGATCTCAGTACATACCAAGTAACACAATCTGAAAGTATCATGTGTATAAACCATTCAGAAGCCAGTGATGAAATAGTACGGAACAAATCACAAAGCGAACAATAAAACGAAGACTGCTTAGTAGCCTTCCAGTAGGTTTTCGATGTCCTGAGAGGCATTATCCGAACTTGAAGTAAAAAATGACCTCCATCTGAACTTGGAAACTGGACAAATCAAGGATTTGGCCAATGTTGAAGCATATGGAGATCCAGATTTTGTCAACATAGATTTCCACTCTAGAGTACGAGCCTCTTTCTGCTCATCTGAAAATTCGAAGCCTCGCGAAATAGAACAGCACCAACATTCCACAGTACAATGACCCTTGCCCTTGTGTCTTGGTGAAGATTCCCTCTTAGCACAGCATCTACAGTCACGACTGCAACATCCACCTTGACTAGCACAATTATCGACCAGTTCTTTGCGCATGAACCAATGAGGGTCCTTCCTCAAGAGGTCGTAGTTCTTTTTCAACAATATAGGAAGATGACCCTCTTTTTCATAGACTGTATGTTCAGCAGAAGTAATCTGATTGTGTAGCTTCTCTAGATCTTGGCTTGCGTCTGAAATTTGGAGTTTGGTGACAAACATGGATTTTTCCAATGCCTTCACTTTGTGCTGTAGTTTTTCCTCGAGCTGAACCTGTTTCCGTAAATCCAATTCGGCATAAATCAATTGAAGAATCATCTCTCCCCAGACGTATTTCTTTTTATATTTCGCCTGGATCTCCTCATCTGGCCAGGTCAATCTTTTCTTAGTATATTTAAGGCAGTCTGAGCCTGGCATAGTGGTGAATCTGTGCCAATTGTGGTATTGGAATGGGACTTGAAAGTTATTAAGACAGTTTGTGTGGTAGCAACCCTGGAGAGAATCTCGACTCGGAATATAACAATATGATGAGAAGTACATGTATTGCTTAGGTGTACAAATTTGACAAGGTCCAAGGTTCAAGTTTTAAATATTTCCTCCAGGGCTATACCCGTGAACGTAATAGCGCATGCATATACCTCGAAATGGACACTGCCACTAGGGAACCTTGGAACCTTGAAAAGTACTAGTATCACTAGAGTTGATTCGGATACCAAAGAAGTCGTCGGCCTGGTCTCAAGTGCTCTATAAGGTTACCAACTTGAGGAAGTCACGGTCCACACAATCAAGCAGCACTCGTCGAATCAGCATTGGAGATCAGAGCACAGCTACTGAATTTGAATCGGGCGTTGAAACCTGAAAAAAAGAAATTCAGCAACAGCTGGAGTCGAACTCCAGGCCTTCAAAATCAGAAACCACATGGCTAACTGACTGACGTAGTGAAATCCCGTCGTAGAATCCTTTCCATTTCACTCAATTCTTTTTATTTTGAAAATCTGAAAGTCCTAATGGATAGAGAATCATTAGAAGTCTCACCAATAAAAGTATCAAAAAATTAAACAAAAGGTTGACCCAGCTGTAGCTGATCCCACCCTTTGATACTGAATCTGCCACCGTAAAGAGTAAAGGGACCCAACAATCCCAGTCGATACTTTTGTCTCCCGGAGGAGAGCAAGCCGCTTTGCCAACTAGGCTAGCAGGGCAGATTTGATGCTTAGAATTCTCGTTTTAAAAATATAAGGGAGCATTCGTACTCAATTTGTGGTTCGCTGGATGATACTTAACCCGATATGGATATGTCTTCCAGACCTCGGGAGTCAGCCTAGTAGGCATTTCTAGTAGTAGATGTCGGTGTCTAGGGCGCCTCACATATCCAAGGTCAAGTTGGTACCTAGTAAACTAGGCCATGACTGACTCGGAATAGTAGTATGTACCTAGTAGTACCTAGTTAGTCTCACATATATGTAGGATGGTAAATTCGATGACTCTCCACACGACTGAGTGTACTTCCAAGGTTCCAGCATAGGTATACCATTCGGCGTCGTAAATACTGTATCACTCTTCAATTTATGGCTAGTCAAAAAAGTCAAATAAGTCCAAGAAATCAAATTTCAGATTGTGTCAATATATCATTTGAAGTTGAAGAAGTCCATTGGGAAGGACTCTGTGTATAAGGTGTAGTTAACTGGAGCTGAAGCTATATAGAGCACTCTATATAATAACACTCAAATATCCAAGCTTCATGCCCAGGTGGTTGGCATGTACCCAAAACTTGAACAGCCTGGGAATCGCAACATGTAGAAAACTCGAAGGCCTGACAGAGGGTCATCAACCCTTATAATGATGCAGCCATGATTAACTTAGAACCTCATCGGATTACAGGTTGCGCCTCATGGACCTGCCTGAAGCTGTTCAATAAACAAGGATCCAGTCCTGCCAGGTGATTTGAATGGTGTTTTCTGCTCTCGATGCGAGCAACGCCATATTTCCAAAAATCCACCGCGCTTTCTATCAAGATATCGTGTACGACACCACAATAATGACAAATGTAGTTCGCTCCCAAAACATCATTCAAGTCTTCTTCTTGGGTGCAGCCTTTCCAAAGAAATCACTCATCTTCTTCATACCAGTAGTATTGACCTTCTTCAAATCCCGAACGCCACGAGACTCGGAAGCCTTGGTTTTCTTTGCCTCTTCTTCCTTCTTGCGCTTCTTCTCCGCACGATCCTCGACCTCCTCATCATCCAGGGCACGTTTACGACTGAAATCAGACAGGCTGCGTGATGCAGCGGCCTGAGCACGAAGATCAACAAGCTCCTTCAAACGCTCCGTCAAAGGCTTGAAATCCAAAGGGCTTTCAGGAGCCGCAAGCATTTCATCAATGCGAGTGGATAAAGCGTTCGACAGATACGATTCTTTCATAAATGCCAATGCGGTTGAAATGCGTAGTAGTCGAGAGATATGTTCTGCGGATGTATCATTCTCGGTAGACCGAGGCAAGGGCGTTGACTCGCCCGCAGGTGTGGATACAGACGGGGTGGCAGTAGTAGCCATGGTAGATGGGGAATCCTGTTCCTCTTCTGACTTGGTACTGCTAACACCCTCACTCTCATTGGGTGTCTCGCTGGTAGGAATGTCATCTCGCTTGACAGACATTAGTGGAGCAGCCAATGCTTGAGAAATGAACCGTTCCTCCAGACTTGCAGGCAAGCCTTGCGCAGCCATTCGCTCCGACTTCGCAATCAATTCTTTCAACAACTTTGATTCATTGAATCTAAGCATCTTTTCGTCCCCAGCTTCCACCGTATCACACGTAGCTTCTGCGCGCGCAAGCAGCGTAGCTCGGAACTTGTCGTCGTAAAGAACATGGCGGAAATGGGGAGGAAGATCGTCGTTGGAGTCAATGATGTCGTCCAAAAGCTGGAAAAGAGATTGACCTGACTTAGATGAAGCGGTCAAGAGAGGAATTAGGAAGAAGATCGGGTCAATTGGAGTTGCGACGAGGAGGTCCGCATTCTTCGAAATTGAACCAGTTGTAGCAGGCTTCTTCTCCTCAGTGTCAGAAGTCGAGTCGCGCGTCGAGGTGAATAGAATACTTCGACCTTGATGAGAAGGCGCAGTGACGACTGTAAGCTCGTAAAGACCTCGGTTTGGACAGAAAAAGTAGCGAGTGAGTTCTCCCGATTGCGGGTTCGGAAGGAAGAGCAGGCGCGCGTCGGCGCTGGTACCTGTAGGTAATATGAATGTTTTGCTAGGAGTTTCAGCAGGGGTCAAAGTCTTTTTTTGATCTGACTTTGACTCCTCTACAGGAAAGGTAGCAGTAGCACGAGTACGTGGCATAATGAAAATAGAAAAAAAAGAGTGTAGTGTATTATAGAGACAAGTTGGAGAAATTAAAGGATAAGAGAAACCCGCGACACGCGCATGGGACGCGCCCAATCAAATGCATGCAGGGTGTGATCCATCATTTCCACTCCTGCATCCCTCGCATATTTCCAAAAAATCTCCTAGTCGCGCAACGTGCTTCGGAATTTCGTGTTGTTTTCTCTTCATCTAAACTTTGCGCGCGTTTTGTTTATTCATCTACCATCGCAGATCAGACTGTCATTGTGTGTTGAGCCGGCAAAAAACGGCGATAACGGCGGGGAATGACGCTCGATGCTTACGACCGGTTGCGATTGAATCTCCCTTGATCTTCAAACAAAAGTAATTTGTTTAGCCCTTGGACCTTCGAAAAAAAAACTCCGTCGCTGACATGATCATTTACCAGTGGTTGAGACTGCCTGGCCGCCCAAGTCACCCCGAGACGCTCTGCTGAGTTCCCCGGGGGGCCGAAGGAAGTATCAAGACATGCAGCAGCGCCGACAGCTCTTGTCCTCACCTTTGAAACGCTCCAACACAACCCCGAATTTCCGATCGAAAGCAAGCCAAGTATTAGACGAAGGCGAGGACGATGGCGAGGAAGAAGATGAGGAAACCCTAGAGCTTCGGCTTGCCGAGATCCAGGCACGTCTCAAGTTGAAACAGCTCCAAAAGTCCCGAGGCCGGTCTGGCACCCTCACGTCCCAGACAGAAGACGATGAGAGCTTCGGCTCTACTTCACGTCCTTCATATCAACCCTCGATACCAAGAAGCCCCCCCACCTAGCCAGCGAAAGGCCTTGGCAAATGAAGTGCAAGTTCCCGTATCGCCTACAAGACGTGCGACTGCGGCTCCTGAGCCTTGGTCACCTCGGAGATATCAATTGGGAATTGATAAGGGACGGAAGGCCAGTGATGTGTCATTAAAACGGCCGCCGAATGCGAGAGCGTTACAGAGGCCCACAAGTCAGCTTGGGACACGCAGTGGTGCAATGACCCGCACAACCGATTCATTCTCGCCCAGGCCACAGACCTCTCCAAGTGATGGAGGCCTGCATAGAATTAAAAGCTTCAGCGAAAGAATGGCCGAGGGCCGGGCAGCGGAAAAGGCTGAGAAATCCCGTTTGGAAAAGGCCGAAAGAGTGCAGGCAGGCCGTAGCACAGCCTTCCAGCTGAATAAAGCAGAAATCGAGTCTTTCAGAGCTGCGGCTGCAAAGGAACCAGAATCGACACTTCCGTCTTCCACGAGCCGAGAACCTGAAGGATACTCATTCAACCGTGAAGAGATCCTTCGGTCCTTTAACCGCCCACAGTCTGGTGGCTTAAAGCGCAGCCAAACGACACCCAACATGAAAGATGAAAATGCCCGAACCGGGAAGTCATCTGAAGAAACCACATTAAATGCTCCTGACTCTTCAAAGTTTGAGTCCTACTCATCTATGCACCTGTCGACTCGCATCTTACCTCATTCATTCCTTAGCCGCACTTTAAACGATAAAACTGTCCTCCGCATCCCTGATCTTCTCAAAAAAATCAAAGCTCCTGCGTTTGAACTTCCAGAGGAAATAGATGGAGACTTTGTGGTGTTTGGTATCGTTGCATCTAAATCCGCACCAAGGACGACGAAGCAGGCAGATAATGCTACTGCCAAATCAGCTGATCCTTATGACGATGGCTTGAACAATTCCAACCAATACATGGCTATTACCTTGACCGATCTCAAATGGACGATCGATCTGTTCCTGTTCGATACCGCATTTCCTCGTTACTACAAGATCACCGAGGGCACTCTTGTTGCGATCTTGAACCCAACTATTCTCCCACCCCCGAAGCACAAGATCGATACCAACCGATTCAGCTTAGCTCTCTCATCATCGGACGACAAAGTTCTGGAGATTGGAAAGGCCCGAGATATCGGGTACTGCAAATCCGTGAAAAAGGATGGGAAAACCTGCCAGTCTTGGCTAGATGCCCGAAAGACCGAATTCTGTGATTTTCATGTCGATCTCCAGGTACGACGTACACAAGGTTCACGCTCCGGTGTAAACAGCAGTGTGGGTCAATTTGGCTCTGGTGGTCGTTTTGACTCGCGAATGGGTTATTACAAAGATCGCAAAGTTCATTATCATGACCCAGAAGCCCCTAAGCAAAAACCAAAGTCGGAGACCGGGCGATATGATATGGCAACAGGTTCAACATTCTTCGTGGCCCCAGCTCCTAGAAATCGTGGTGCTCCACGTACGTCCTACAACCCTGTCGCTGGGGGACACGGGTCAGCGTCATTACTTGATGCTAATGATGATCCTTTCATTGCAGCCGGCATGATGGGACGAGGCATGGACACTAAAGAAGCGCAACTACGGAGACGTCTCCTAGCGCAGCAGCGTGAACGAGATATTACACAGAAGCTTGTCTCCACGCGAGGTGGTGTGGGCGCCGAGTATCTCCGTACACGGACCACCGAGACATCAGCTACAAGTGAAACCAATGGCAAGTCTTCTGGAACCCAGAGCACACCAAAAGCTCTTCCTTCGAGCAGTAGTGACTTCAACTTGGCCACCTTTGGAAGAGCCAAGAACGTACACTTGAGTCCAAAGAAGCGTTCTTATGATGGCGATAAACCCCATGGTAGCGGTCTCAAAAAGACAAGATTTATTACTTCAAGGGGTATTCGAGAAGCTGGTCGAGATAGCTTAGGTGGACCTGAGGCAACAGGTGCTCAGGGCCAGATATCTGATGATGATGATGAGCTGGAGTTTGTTTGATTATGAGGAATAAAATTCATCTGTGTGTATTTGTATCATCATTGAACATTATGTTGTTATGAGTAAGAAGCAATAAAGAGCTGTCGGCTGCATGAAACAACACTGGAAATGCCCTTTAATGCATCTCGTTTTTTTACATATTCAGTTAGCTGAAGTCCATTTAGTGTGGCTCAGTGTCAACTGGTTACTACAAGCCCTAGCTAAACTTTGAGTTTTAGTACTGTGGGAAATCTTGCACATGTAAAGTATAGGTCTTGAATATCTATGATTGAACTCCGAGTCTGTATGCTGCTCTCAATATCCACTAGCTCATCTTTAACTGATCGGAGAGGATGCCACTTTGTCTACTACTTGCAATGACATCCACATTGGAAATGTTTCATTTTGATAAAAATAACTACCTAAGGATTGAGTGTACAATATACGTCCCCATCCTGCATCTAAGCGCCAGCCCAACCGAGGTATGAGCAATGAACGCTGCTCAGATACAGGAAGAGGAGGCATTTTGCACAGAAAAAAATAAAAAAAGGCAAAAAAAGCACAAAAGGGGAAACAAAGTAGGCCCAACGCCTTGAACACCCATCCAATACCTTGGTATCCCCATTTCCAGACCCAGCGCCGAGTGAAGAGAAAGCAAAACAAAGAGCCTCATTGCTTTGAGGACGCATAAGTCGTGATGGAGAACAGATTAGATCATGAGTGAGAGAAACAAAAAAGGAGTAAAAATTAAAACCAGCTTTAGTCCATGCCATGCGGAGCATAAAAAAAGGCTAGATGTGCAAGTGCAGCAGAGTGAATGCTGAAAACTGGCGTCAAGGCCATAAGAGACAGGTGAAGTCAAGATGGACGTTTCTGGGCTGAGAAAAAGAACCGAAGGCAGAAAGCGCTCACAAAATGCATGTGTGATTTCGGAACCGATAGAAATGATTCAGAAAATCAAAGTCTTGGTGTGGAAGAGAACCATTTAGGAACGGCTGGGGAGACTCTTGTCGCTGCTTCGAGTTCTCTTGGAGGGAGCCTCCCAAAAGGCATCGTCATCTTCAGCATCGCGCTTAGTAGATATGCTAGAAGACGTGCTAGAAGACGTGCCACTAGATGTTGTGGTCCATTCATTATTGGATTGATGAGAAAACAGGATTTCATCACCCTTCTTCTTCTTGCGCCCCCAGAGCTTGAAGGGGCTAGACGGGCGCTGGGTAGGGCTAGTAGTCACAATTGGAGTTTGATACATCTCAGGGTGGAAATGAGCCTGGGAGCGGAGATTGCGAGTAGCACCAGGAGCATCTGTAGTACCAGGCTGCTCAGGCTGCTCATCGACGGGAGATAACTGAAGCGAAGGAGCGATTCGGTGGTCGTCGTCCACATGATTTGTAGCATCATTGATACATTCATCATCAGTGGCATCGTCTTCAACAACAAAGGGGTTAGCAGGCTTTGTTTCAGCCTTGGGCTGGTTGGCGACCGTCTCAGACTCTGGGGTGGCTGAGCGCGGGTTCACTGGATCTCCATTGGCATGCCAAAGCATACGAGGCTTGATGTCCTTGCGACGGAGAGGCTTGATGTTCTGAAGGATGCTTGGGTCAGGCAACAAGTGCTCACGGCCAGCAAACAGGCCTAGATCAGTTGGATCATTGTCCTCATCCTCCTCAGGGTCAAAATCAGGATAGCGGCGGGTGCGCTGTTGACCACGGCTGGAGATTATATGTTAGAAAAAAAATATAAAGATGCATGTTAATAATATAAATGAGTACTCACAACATGTACGTCGTTTCATTGTTCATTCCCACGCGCACCTGAGAACGAGTGACACGGCGAGTGATTTCAGGCTCAGGCGAGCCATTCGTAGAAACAGCAGGATCCCTGATGATGCAACGAGGCGTTCGCGGGGCAACAGGAATACGGTCGCGGGAGTCAGTAAAGATTTCAATTCTTCCAGGTGGACCTGGAACTTCATCATCAAGCTCATTCAGCGAGAAAGGAGTCTGCGGGTTGCGAGACATCTTGCTGGATGGAAAAAGAGTACGAGCAGTTGAGGAAGGATTGGAAGACACCTTCTTCTTTGATGGAGTCTTAGAAGGAGTAGGAAGGGGATGAAATTCGGAGACGCGGGACGAAGAAGAAGAAGAATGTTGAGCACTTTCAGTCTCGTTAATTGTGGTGAGAGAATCAGCGTCCAGTGAATCGGCGAGGCTTCCATGGACGAAAGGGGTAAAGCGTCCTCGGTTTTGGTTGGTCGAGGGTTTTGAGAGGTTAGCAGGCGACAGTGCTCTCTCTTCGACTCTTCGATACTTTCTTGGTGACTCCATCGATTGGCCATCGCCTCGCAAGCCAGGAAATTTCCGTGGCGGATGTGTTTCTTTTGGTCTTGAAGCACGCTGACTCGCTATTCTAGCCGATGAACGAGTTGAATATGGCTCAAATGTGTCATATCCTGCCCCATGAAGTGGTGCAGCTGGGACTCTCAAAGCCGATGGTGATGGGGGAGGCGGAGTGGTCGCCATATTGAATTTTCGTTATGAAGATCGTCTTCGTGTTGGGTTCTCTTAATTTTCTGACTGATATTGAGTTGGTATCCTTTGGTACGATTTATCTGAAGCCGTTTGTTGACAGTGTCGATGATTGATTGGCGTTGGAATTGACTTCAAACAAGGTCGAGGCGAAGATCCACCTGAAGTGGCGTAAATGGAGCCCCGCAAGCTCTTCAATACACTAGCAATCGATACGAGGAAGTTGTTTCAAGTCTTGAATGGATTATGGATCGTGAAAGACAGCTGAAGATGGAAGGGAAGTTGGATGAAGGGAGGGCTAAGACCCAAGGGAGGGCGGCATTCCCAGCCACCAAAAAGCGACACCGCCCCGACCACCCTCACCGCTTTGATAATTGGGCCGCCAATCAGCCCCACGATAGTATTTGTCCCGTGGATCTGCATTGTTGACGTTCTTCCCGATCAAGTCTTCCCCTGAAATTGATCGATTGCGGGGCTAGAACGAGTGTGCTAGTCCAAAAAAGCTCTGACGGAGGTGGACATTTCAACAAACACAACATCCCACAATCATACCAATCTCTCCAAATTCTACAATGGGTCGAAGCGCAGCGGAGGAAATGGATCAACTCCAACTTTCTGACGAGGATACCGAGGATCTCTGGGATTCACCCTCTAAACGAAGAACCCACAAGAAGTTCACACCCCGGCAATCCGACGAAGTCCCTGCCGCAGAACCTCGCCAACCTCATGATGCAGGGGAAACTTTGTTTGATCAGCAAGATGCTCGAGAAGCAGCGCTACAAAACGAGTTGCAGTCGGTCAGAAATATCAACGAAGTGCTAGAGGGACTTCTGGGGAGTATTGATCGGGCCAAGGGGAATATGGAGGTGAGTCTGCACCACATGCATTGAAAACAAGTAATCTTTCTCACCACATTTCAATTACAATTCTAGACCGTGTCAAAAACCGTTACTTCTGCATCGACGCTTCTCAACACATGGACCCGAATCCTCTCTCAAACCGAACACAATCAACGACTCATCCTCAATCGGAACTGGCAGGGTGCTACTCAAGATGTAGCTGATATGGAAAACGAAGCGATTCAAAGACAACAGGCCGCCGAGCGGCGCGAGCAAGCACTGCAGCAACAACGAGAAGCCGCAGCTCGAAAAGCAGAGGAAGATGCTCTACGACGGACACAAAGCACCAGAGGCACCCGGGGGACCAGCCGAGGTACCGTACGCAGCACTGGATTGGGAAGAACGCCCAGTGTCAGTACAAGCCGAACAGGAACAGGAGCTACACGAGGATCGTCAACAGTTCCCACTCGACGACCAATCAGTGGGACAACCAGTGGGATTGCCCGTGGGAGTGGAATTGTCCGAGGAAGGGGCAAGCCTTGAAAAATACTGAAAAATACTTTAAACCTGATTTCTATTCATGTATAATAGTTAGAACCCATGGAGATCAATGTGCCCAACGAAAAATGATACCCGATTCTCAAATTTGAGATCATCAAATATATTGGTGCCTGAGGCGTCAAAAATGACACGCGGACACGCGACCGTGATAGCGCGGGCGATAAGAGAGCTTAGTTCGCCCGTTAGATCAATTTCCCTTCAAGCTCTCTTCTCTTCACCATCTAAACATCATGAATTTTGCTCCCTATCAAGACGATTCCCCTGAGACTGAGCGGGCTCTGTCCCCTCCCCACCCTGACACCCGTGGGAAGTCCCCCAATCTCCGATCACCGCGAGCATCGGCCGACCTTCCCTCTCCGAGTCAGTTTGGAGGCAGATATGGCAATACTGGCTTTGGAAGAGATGTTGAAGCGGGGCATGTGAGCTTGGGCGCGTTTGAGACAAGTCTTCCCATTCGCATGGATGTGGAAGCTGCGCTGGCATATTTGCTTTTACCTCCCGCAGGTGGCGTGTTTCTCCTGTTAACCGAGCATAAGAGTGATTACGTGCGGTATGTATCTGCTTAGTTTTGGAACACTTGGAATTACCTAGGTATAGTCACTAATGGAGTTCATTATTCTAGCTTTCATGCCTGGCAATCTAGTATGCTCTTTGCCGTTATTTTCGTAAGTATCACTATAGTGTTCACATTGAAGCCTCATCTAACGGAATGGGTAGATTCTTCACTTGATGTTTGCCTGGTCCTCTTTTCTTTCATGGACTCTTTTTGCTATTGACCTTGCTCTGATTGGATATCTCAGTTTGCGCGCATACCGTGATGGTAAGTTAAATGGGGAGATGTCGTGGATCTGTCGGATCATATGCTGATTTACTTTTAGTGGACACGCTGGATCATTATGAGGTCCCCTTCTTTGGCCGTTTGGCTAATTCCTTCGTTGATGATGAATAATTTCCTTAATTGACATGATGTTCTTGAGCCTGGCGTGTGCTTGGAAGACTTGCTAAGAGCGCATGTGTTCTTTTTTCATATACCCCTTCTGCATATCAATGCGTTGCCCTTTTTATGATTTGACAAGTCCTTTCCTTGGCCATCTTTCTTAGCATATTGCTCATGCTACATCATATTTGAATCAAATATTTTCTTTTCTCTACCCATTTAATGAGTTCCGAGATGTATATTTAATCTGAAGGCTGCTTCTTGCCTATATCAATCGCGTCATGATCAATTGATATGATCTTTTCAAACCAAGCATTCATACTACTACATACCTACACAACTTGAAAGCAAGACCTTGAAAGGAATCAAACACAAATATAAACTTGAAGTATGTATAGTTTAACATTGAAGATCCAATTTATGAATCATTAGAAATTTACAGTAGACCACTTTCTGTGGCGTATATACATAGTTGGTAGTAACCCAAACTTGAAATCCAAAAGCACCACTTAGTACATGGCATCACCCTCCTGGCAGCTAATAGGACCACGCTGCCAGTTCAGGCGAGAAGTGGTGTTGTAGTTCCACCAGAAGTCCAGGTACTGAGGGTAAGACTTGGGGACCGAGCAAGTGCTGATGTAGTTAGGGAGGTTCTTGTTCAGGATGGAGGTGTAGTTGCTCAGAGGGCAAGAGTAACCGGGACCAGACTGGCACTCGTTGAAAGGAACAACAGCCTCGTTGAGGACCAGACGGATGTAGGTACCCTTCTTGGACATGGCGGTAGCATTGCAGCTGAGACGCTCAATGGTAAGGTGACCACCCTGGGGAACGATGTCACCGGTGGAGTAAGGGTTTCCGAAGGGAATGCGGTCCAGAGGAAGGTCCTCATCGGGAACGAGGATTCCAAGGGCAGAGACGATAGGAGTGATGTCGGTGTCGTGGGCACTATTTTAGTTAGCATTGCTAGGGAATGGATAGAGGGGATATAATGCATACAAGTTGAAGAACAGAGGGCCGACCTTCTCGGGACCCTCGTTGAGGAGACTCAGACTAGCGTTGGCGTAGACGGCTCCGACAGCAGCCATGTTCTTGTCACCGGGTCTTGAAAGGAAATTAGTATGTAGTCTTCTTAATAAAGTCTTTTGATTTTTACTCACCCGGAGCAGTAGTAGTAGCTCAAGTCGTTGATGTAGCCGAAAGAAACCCACTCGTCCTGGGTGAAGACATTGATCCAGTCGGAGAATGCACGAGCATTGAGCTCGTAGGAGGCCATGGCTAAGAAGAATGTTAGTATGTACTCTAATTTTAATGAACCATGCATTTGGGTACTTACACATCAAGTTGTAAACATCAGACTCAGTAAGGTTCAGGCCAGTGTTCTGGGAGTTCAGACGAGCAGCGGCGATCTTGAACTGAGGCATAGTGGTAGGCAGGTTGTCACAAGTGGTGGTATCATTGTCAGTGTCGCAAGTAGGAGTCAGACTGTTGGCACCCATAGAAGCAGACTCAGAGATGATGTTAAGGGCAGCGTTGGTAGAGTAATTGTATCCGAAGAAACCCTCTCCGAACTTACGAGCAGTGTTGATAACACGGCTGTAACCACTGCTGAAAATAGGGACAATAGACTCGCCATTCCACAGGCTGCCGTAACGGTCACGGTAATCAACACCGTGCTGGTAGCCGTCGAGCAGACCGGCGTAGGGACCGCTGTAAGTCTCGGCGTTGTACCAGCAGCTGTCAGGGACATAGTAGGTCCAGTCATCCAGGAAGGTCAAGTCACCCTCCCACTTGGAGATACCAGCACCATAGATCTTAGCAAGGGAAGCCTCAATCAGCTCACCCATTGAAGGGGAGGGGAAACGTTCACCGTGACGCTTGATCATGATGACTTGATCGACGGCACAGCTGTCTGGGGGATCACGAGAGATACCGTAAGAACGTCTCTCAGAGTAAGGACCGTTACCACCATAGTGCTTGAGGATGCTGTATCCATCAGAGAACTCCTGTGAGAATTGCTTCTCAACAGCAGACTTGGAGACCGAGTCACCGTACGCAACAGCAGCGACACTGGAGGAAAGGCCCAGGGCGCAGACGACACCCGAGATGAAAGAAGGCATTATGAAACGATTAAAAAAGACAAGGGCGACTAATAGCTACACCTTTTCTTTTTATTTGCTTTCCTACTCGAAAAAGAAAAAAAAAGCCCAACCAAAGTGCGAAGATGGGGTGGCTTTTATAATATGCATACAGTCTATGAACCTATGCACTTATTACTACATCTAGGTACAATCCCCGACATTACGGATCAGATAACAAGAATTGACGAAAAAAAAATGTCTCATACTACTCATAGTTTCTGGTCAATCAGAGCATTCTTTGCCCACGTGCTCGCGACTCGAAAGGAGCTTTGCAGAGAGATATAGGGCTGAATAACATTTGGCACTGCAATGTTGGGTTAGATGAGTAAAGTAGCACGTATATGGAACTCAGCCATACTCCACTTTAAATGAGATGTGATTCCAATGATCGTAGTTCAGTTGAGAGCGTGTACTGTCAAAGAGTTTTGACTGGATAGGATTTTCATACGCTAATGTTTAGCCGGGGTGAAGTGGGTCGATAAATTGACGTCCTGGATACGCAGAATGGGGCAGACGGAACATACGGAATGTCCATAAATGTCCATAATTGTGCTCAACAAGCTTTTGGTTGCCGCACCTGGGCACCTTGGCAACAAGTTTCAGTGACACTAATCGGTTGAGAAAGTCCGAATTGAGTATACTGTCGTACGATGATCATTTGCCGAAAACCCGCGGTGCCGATTTAATCTCGCCTATTGAGTACGGATTACGGAGAGTATGGAGAGTATGGAGTCCATCAGGAGAGCAAGCCCCAATGTATTGCCGACCATGTGCACATGTGCATATCCACGGATCCATGGATGGTACCTTGCATTAGTGTGGCGAGATATTGTTTTCCTGCTTTTAATCTCACTTTTTCGAAGCGAGATATCGCGCTAAGCGCCATCCAATACCAGGCAGTTTCTTACCACGTTTGTCCACTACGACTACAGAGGATATTTCTACGGGAGGACCTTGGAAGTTCAAGTGACAAAAAAACATTCAATTACATGAAACTCATAATGCCATTCACCATAAGCGAGTGACAAACAAGGGAAAACAGGAACAGGAAAGAAAAAATTAGAGAGAATAAATCTCATCAACCATGATCTCCAAAGATTACACATGGATCAGATCGTTCCTCGTGCAATTTAGTTTGAACAGATCTCATATCCCTCAAAACACACCATAAAAAAGAATCCCCAAATAAATGGAGCACAAACAGCGAGAAATTGAAAATGCGCTAAGGCTCCAGACCATCGAAAAGAACCAAAGTATTGAACACGCTAGCCAGCGAAAAGAATGCGCCGGTAAGGCACCATATTGAGAATAGAAATAGGGTAATAAGAAGGATCGTCAATGTGCAGGAAAGGAGTTCGAAAAAAGGGCATGGTATCTACGTGAAAGCGTGAGCAAGGACAAAAAAAAGGATCTCCGTCAGGACGAGCGTTTGTTAGGGTCGTGGCGGGTCATAAAAAGGCAAATCTAGATGATTTGCAGGTAGTTGCTGGGAACCAAGCCAGGGTGGCTGCGACCATTGGTGATTTCAGCTTCCCACCAACCATCATCTTGGAGACGGATGACAGACATAACATCACCCTTGGAAAATCCAAGTTCTTCAGGAATGGCGGCGCTGTAACTGTACATGGCACGAGCTGGAATTCAATAAGTTAGCATTTTGATGTTAGTATGGCCTGGATGCATGGTTCATGCTTACCGAAGTGTAGGACTGGACGTCCATCGCGACTGAATTTCCGGCCTGGGTCTGCAACGGCAAGGGTACGGCTTCTGGAGCGACCGACAGGCGGAGGATTGTTGTCTCCCCCGTAGTAAGATCTGGGACGACTATCGGATCGAGAAGGAGCATAACCACCACTCTGGCTTCCTCCATACGTGGAACCTCCGGAGAGTTGCAGCTCCATACCTCCAGCGCTGGACGGACGAACTTGCTGTCTGAATTGAGGCTGAGGGGATACCGCACGATGGGAGGCAGCAGGAGAAGGCCGTCTGACATAGTCGTTGGGCGAGTAAGGCGGGTCTTGTGCTCGGTGTGGCGTTGGGGACTGACTGTAGCGGCTGCGTACGCTGCTGGGCTGATGAATGCTTGGACTAGGGCTAGCACCTCTACCACTGCTGTATCCACTACGAGTATCAACACGAGGAGAAACTGAAACTGCGGGACTGGCACTGCGTCTTGTCGGAGCTGGAGATCTGGGCGGGGCAGGTGATCTAGCACGAGGCGCCTCCTGTGGCTTCGCAGGAGAGGGGTTGGTGTTGCCTCTACCTCGGAGCATACTCTGAGTCTGGCCAGTGTATCGTTGAGTTGTCTTTTGCATCTGTTTTGCAGTAAATGCGGGCTCGGGAGCGTCCAGTCGCTTCACCGAAGGATCATTGTATGCCGGTGGAGCAGCAGCAGTATTTCCACCATAAGCAGACGAAGGAGCCGAAGGAGTTGGGGTTGAGATGCCGTGGTATCGGTCTGCTGAAACACGCACGCTGGCCTGCTTGCCATTGCCGGTAGTCTTGAGATCAGCCAGAGCACGAGCAATGGGATCCGAATCATCCTCAGCTGCTTTCGCAGACTGAGATCCTGCATTCTTGTCAGGTGAAGCAACATCAAAAACGTTGTTGCCGACATTGAGCTGGAAGTTAGCTCGAGGATCGACAGGCTCGGGGCTGTGACTTTCGGCCTGCATAGTGGGCGGAGGTGCAACTGGCTGAGGCGCAGCTGGAGGCGGTGCAGCCTTGACCGGAGTAGTCTTAACTGGACTAGTCTTCACAGGGGTCGTCTTTACAGCAGTAGGCTGCTTGGTGGGCGAGCTCCATGGGCTTCGTGAGGTAGAAGGAGCAGTGATGGCTGGTCTTTCCTTGTCATGACGACTCTTCCGGCGGAAAGGACTGTTGCTAAAGAATATATTTTTCTTCTTCTGAACAGAGTTGTCCTCCTGAGCACTTGGCGAGTGAGCATTAGTTAGCGGCTTAGGCGGTGACTGCTGTTGCTTCATCACGCTAGGCAGAGGAGGCTTTTGGGCGACTGGGGCCGGCACCGGCGCTGGAGCTTCAAAACTGGACATGGAAGTGGGATTTGAGACATCACTCTGCGAGTCACGGCTAGAGGGTCTGTACCCACTGGCTGCCGAGCTGCGCTCCGAAGGAGGTCCAGTACGGCAGAACATAGTCATACCATCAGTGGGATAAGCATTGTGAGGGATCTTATTGATTTCGCCATGGCGCTCCGGATCATAGTTTGGTGGCGGATGCCCACCCCGGCGTAGATCAAGTGGAAGCGGCTGCTGTGCCATCATTTGCGCAGGCGGCTGTTGAGGAGGCATTTGCTGAGGCGGTGGCATACTCTGAGGTGGAACATCTCTGGGAGCTATCTCTCTGAATTCCCTGGGGGCCATATTCTGAGACGCCATCTCTCTGGGTGGCATATCCCTGGTTGGCATCTCTCTGGTTGGCATATCCCTAGGCATCTCTCTGGAGGGCATACTCTGATGCGCCATCTCTTTGGGTTGCATGTTCTGTGGAGGCATGTTTTGAGGAGGTGGCATGCTCTGTTGAGGTGGTTGCTTATGCATGCGCTGGAGTGGAGGCTCCTGTTGGATATTCTGAGGCGGTAATGGCTGCATATCAATCGGGGGAGGCGCTGGGTGTCCCATTTGAGCCGCAAGCTCGGAGTGTGGATCATGGTGGGACTCGAAAGTCGATGGCTGTGGAGAAGAGGTTCGGAACGCGGGATTCATAGTTCGTTGAAACTGAGCAACCGAATAGCCCTCTGCTGAGTCAATAGATGATGTATCGTCGTCTTCCTTGCAGAAGTTGATGAAGCGAGGCGCATCCGGAATCTCTTGACTGGTTCCACGCTCCTTAATGAACGAAAGGATATCCTTTTCCACTTCGCAATCTTCGAGAGACAGGCGAATTTTCTCGCAAGAACCATCATCGCTCACACAAACCGTGGATGCAATGTTTGCATAAGTCCACAGACTGCTTTTAGTAAAGTCAAGACGCTCCTCCTCCAGATCCTGGAATTTGTCGCAAGCCGCTTTCCATTCCTTGTTCCAGCGGCCCGTAGTATCTTCAAGGACCTTCACGGCGGCCTCGTACTCGGCGCTGTTCGAAGCCATCTGGATTTGAGTCTTTTCAAGTCTCGACTTATTCTTTCGCTCCTCTTGTCCCATAACCATGTGTCCCTGGGCAAGATAACCCTTTATCTGGAGGCAATTTTGTTCGAATCGATCCCGGGCCTGCGTAATAATTAGTAAGATGAAGAAGCTCCTGAGGGTATTCCCATTCCCACCTTATTAACAACATGTGTCTGTTGCATCTTAGTCTTGTGCAATCGCTCGACGGTATTTTGAATAATCTTTCGTCTCTCCTTGATTCCGCTTGCGAAAGCACCCAAAGGTTCCTCAAGCTCAACCTTCATCTGACCTGCAATTGCAGCGTGTGCTTTGGCGATCGCTTCCGTCTCTCCGCGCACAACATCCAAGGAAACTTTTAGAGATCCGGACTCGCATGTTCCAAGTGGCTTTCGGCATAGTGCTTGTAATTTTCTCGCATACTCGTCTTCAATCGCAGCTCGTACTTAAAAAACAAAACAGTTAGTTCCCGCTAATATCTGGTCGATCATCTCCACTTACCTGTGTAAAAGGCTTTCAATTCATCACTCGTAGTTTTCGACCCGTGCATGCGATCAAGCATGGGCTGGACGCCTGCATCATCTTTACCCCAAAAGTTGTTGGCAACTATTGTTTTTTTAGCGCGTTGAGTCTCGGAGACATTTCATGGCTTGAAAACTTACACGACATGGAGACCGTGGGTCCCTCTGCCACTGTACCAGGCATTGTTGTTGATATTGAGCCTCGGCCAGCCTTTGCTCATACAAGGTTTGAGATAGAAAAGAACAGATACAAAGAAAGAATAAAAACCAAAAGATCCCGTAAGAAAAGAAAAAGAAAACACACAAGAGACCCTGCGGTCAACGAATGTTCAGGTGGTGAGTAGAGGGATAAGTGTTGACAATGTTTATGGGCGCGTCACTCGGGGCAACCAGGTTCAGGCGCTCAATCCCGCTTACATAAAAGCAATTTATGTCCGTGACGCGTCACTTTATTCCTTTTTCTCTGTTATTTTCAGATATTTTATTGATCAACAAGAAACTTTTAGTCTTTTCTCTAGATTTTTGCCATCATATTTACTTAGTGCTATTTGAGAGAGCTTTCGTTGTCAGTTATCTTTTTTTCGCATTGTGATTCATTCTAAATGAAACTGGGGCAATGGTCAAAGCAATCTATGGAGTTGAGCCCCACCCAAAGTAAATCCGCCCAAAGTTGAGAGTAAACAAATACATAAGTTTGGAAATAAGAAAAGAAAGAATCAAAATTGTACCCAAGCGCCTTAAATGCACCCATACCCAAAACACATTGTAAAAGCAAAAGCAAATTGTACCGATGGCGTCGATCGTTGTCGTGTATTGTGTCATCCGTCATCCAAATCATTTTCATATCAGCGTATTGTAAATCAAGTATCATCCTTGAATGTAAAAATTATGTCCAAGAAAACCTTCGTCTACCCCTTGATTGCGTCTTTAGTAGAGCAATGACGAGAAACGAGGGGCGGAGAATTCAACGCTGGGGGCGAAGAGGTTCTCGCCGCCCTTCACAGAGGAAGGAGTAGCCGAAGGAGAGATGCTGGCACTGGAGGAAGGAGTACCAGATGGGAAAGCATTCGGAGCGGAATCATAGCCCCGAGCCCACACGTGGGTGGAGGGGATCGCATATGGAGTACCGGAAGGAGCAGAGGAAGAGCTAGAACCCCAAGCATCGAATTGACGAGCGGCCAGCGAGGGAGAGGGAACAGCGGATGAAGCAAATGCAGAAGAGGAGGGCGCAAGACTAGGGCCCTCTTGGAACTGGCGAGCGATCACAGGAGAAGAGGGAGTCGGAACAGAGAAAGAGCTGGACGAAGAGGGCACCAAGCTGCTAGGGCCCCAACGGCCAAATTCCCGGGCAACCAGAGGAGTAGCAGTGGGAACAGGTGAGCTTGAAGGAGTCCAAGATGAAGATAGGTACCAGCCTTCAGCACCACGGACAGCAAGAGAAGTTGGCACAGTAGGCCAAGAAGTACTGGAAGAGGAGACATAGTTTTGTGCAAAGTGACCTGGATTGCCGAGTGCGTTCAAGCCTCGGCGAAAGAAACCTCCATTGAATCCATGCTCTTCAGGCATGAATGAATTTCCTGATGGAGGAGCCTGGTGCCAGACAGGAGTTGAGCTGGAGGGGAATGGAGAAGCAGATGGCGTGTAGGAAGGTGTGTAAGACGGGGTAGCAGTCACAGTCACAGTCTGAGCCACGGCCGGAGAGCCTGGAGCAGTCACAGTGGACTTAGCAGTCTCGGTAACAGTCTCAACCTCAGGAATGGCGGAGCTGTCCGAATCACCATCGACATTAACAATCTGGTAGTTGACTTGTCGGCGGTTCAGATCATTCTGTGAGTTGGCTAGCGGAGCGGCAAAAGTGACGCTGATGGAGGAGAAAGCAAGCAATGCCGCTGCGGAGGAGAAATGCATATTGGAAATCGTAAAGTTTGTAGGTGATCAAAAATAGAGATTGGAAAACAAGAGAGTGCGAATTTTGGGAGAAATCGTCAATTGGTCTTAATGCTTTGGGGATTGGGGTTGAGAGGAATGGAATGGTTTCGAGAAGGGCGAAGGAAGTGAGCGTTTAAGAGTGATAGGAGATTTTGATCTAGATGCGGCACGTCAGTCAAAATCAAGTGTATCATTACCCACATGGCTACAATTCAATTGGACCAAAAATAGGTAGGCTGGGATCTACAGAGGTTGGGGATCAAAAAACATCATATGAGCCTTTAATCCAGCCACCTTCTTTAATATGGCATTATCAACAAGATCCACCTTGAAACGCCACAGCCGTTTTTCCTTGATAGGATGATTTTTGATTGGTGACTCGGGGTTTATTGTTGCCGGGGAGGCCCACTCTAAGCGTGGCTGGGATGATCCACATCATGCATCAAGTACATCAAGCACATCCACTTTATTGCATCAAGGATATCCTCGTCCCTAGTTACTTTTCTTAGTCTACGAATAGGAGTTATTTATTCCATATATTGAAGATTATTGCTCCGTCTCATGTTGATTAATCTTGTAATGATCGACGAAATGCCGGCAGGGTCTCGCCCCATGATCGGCAACTCACTGTAACTAGACGGTAAGATCTTCGACCCGCAATAGGCCACAGCCAACCGCCGCACTGCCCCAGCCTGCACACAAGCGGTTAGGATTCCATCCCAGTGCTGTGACGTGTGTACCTTCATCGTGAATCGTAGTGAGACTCAAGCCCAATGGTCGACTCTCTCCACTCTTCACAACACCGGGGTTTTCTGCCCGAAATCCCTCATGAAATCGGCTGACGCCTGAACCGTTGGCGTCATGCCCTGGGACCCAATGGTGGATAAACCACATCTGCTGCCACTGGGGCTCCTTCCCGTACATGATGCGACGCATAGGGTTGGTTCCCATCACTTCCCCAGCAGTGCCACCAAAGAGGAGGCTGGGGTGCCAGAAGCTACAAGGAGCCAGAGCGGAGACGGTGCCATTGAGTCTTCCGGACGCATTAGTGGCAAAAAACCGACGGATCGGCATCAGTCGGCCGTATTCGTTTTCATCACTAGAGCAAAATGATTGAAGCACAGGGGAATAGCTAAGTTGAGAGGAGCTCAATCGCACGCGGACGGTGCTTGTATTCTCGCCAATGGGATCAACAATAGACCACATTCGAGTTTCCCCATCGACTGATATCGTTGAGATGAGGTGTGGATATGCCGGGTAACCGGAAGCGATATTCAAGACGTAACTGGTATGAATGGGGTGGTAGAGGTATGGATCGGGACTAGAGGAAGGTAGAATGCTCCACAACGCGACAAAACCGTTGGCACAGCCTACTGCAATATCACTCGGGGAGAGCCAAGCCACTGTGGTACAGATGGTCGAAGGTGTGATCGCCTCGAACGCTGGTGAGGTCACTCTCACTAAAATTATGTGTCAGTCATGAATCTAGAGAACAACAGGGTCTTCTGCGGGTTCTAACCTATTTGCAATTTCTTGAACTCCTTTTGTAGCTTGATGTCCAAGACCCGTACTTTTCCATCTCCCCACACTCCCGCCAATAGACCGACGTCTATCAAGCCGTTGTCCACCTTACCTCGCCTTTCTCGTCCCATAGGACACCAGGCCATTTGCCGCAAATGCCCCCATTCAGTACATAAGATGAGACGAAGATGTGGTTCGACATTCATGTCGATAGTGTTGGTCATGGTACCAGCTTTTTTAGACATGAATTCCCATAATTGAAGAGCGGCGGGATAAGGGGGCGAGGGAACAAATGATGTGATGGGGTCACTCTCAGGGTTCATGTATTTCTTCATTTGATCTTCTGTGATCGGGGCAGCCACGGCCAGATACTGTGGTAGATCGTCCTGATTAGGAGCCCATGCCATGCACTGAATCTTCTGTCCAATATTGATCAGCCAGCCTTCGTGGAGCTTGGTTCCTGTTTGATCCGAGCTGTTGGGCTGTTGTTCCTCCCAGGCCTGGCTGACATTCATAGCCTCGTGATAACCAAGTTGGAAGGCCTGCTGGTCATTTGCGGGCCCCAGAAGTACTGTATGAGATTTTTCCTTTGGCTGTGGTAGATATTCTCGGCGTGCTTCAGCCTCTTTCAATTTCTTGTCGACTCGCTGTCTCTTCCGAAATTTTTCACCGATCTCCTCGTCGTAGTACCATGCCCATCCTTCTTTTCTTTCTCTTTCGACATCTTCCGGAGCAACACCAAGGGTTTGACCGAATGGTGAATCGGACTCTCCATGGGTCTGTTCTAGAGAGATACGGGTTGGGTAAGTAGAGTCTCGTCCCCATCGCCATCGACCGCGCTGGTGAATTGTGAGACCCAAATCACGGTCATCAGAGCCATAGGTCAAGTTGTAGTGCATGAACTTTGAAACTTGATCTCGAGAATCCAAAATGCCTCTATGGTGAAACTCAGCCACAGATGAGGATGATGGGGCCAGAGTTTCTTGGGTTGTCTGAGCTTTTTGAGTTGTCGTCTGTTTTCGAAGTTTTGAGGCGGGAGCTTTCCTTTTGCTCTTGGGAGTACTTGCGATCTCATCTACGTCCATAGCATCGTCGTCCTCTCCATCCATGTCGTCTTCTTCTTCGATTTCTTCCTCTTCTTCGACTTCGTTCACTTCCTCTTCATCAACAACATCGGGCTCTGGGCCTGCGACGAACTCTTCATCCGATCCATGATCTTCCCATTTCTTTGCTTTCTTTTTAGATGGCTTTTCTGGCTTCTCGGAGCTCGATTCATCGCTTATTCCTGCTGATACGAAGGGATCCTCAGTGTACACCGCCCTGGGGCCCTTGTTGCGGGCAGATCTGCGGCCGGCAGCCATTTTTTCTCCAAGTGGAATCAAAGCACCATCGATGTTCAAGTGGTTCTACCGCATCCGCTGATCAGGATTCCCAAGTACCGGCGAATTGATATCTCAAGACGCGAAAATATGCGACAAATGAAAAGGGAACCGCGGTTTACAGTAAGGAATGCTGAAGCTTGTGATGCGGGCAGATACAATCCACGACGCGTTATACTGTATTGGGGGAGCCTCCCGCCTTACCTATTACGGTTAGCGTATAACTAGGATCAGTGACATCAACTGGCCAATGAGCAGAAGACTTGTATGTACAATATGCATTGTAGATAATAGATAATACCTAGGTAAAACATTGGAATAGATCGAAGGAGCATTATTACGAGTTGAGGCAAATACCTACAACGGAGCTCCGGAGTCTCAAGCAAAAATCCCTCTTTGATAAGCTTTTTTTGCCCAATAGGGCGCATAGTGCCGTTTTGCCGTTGCGTGATGACATCAGTTCAAGTTAGGATGAGATGCATGTCCCACACTGGCAAATAGTACGGAGTAAACCACCTGCAGAATTGAATTCAAGACCCACTTATACTATGTAACAAGTGATTCTAAAACCTCATTACAATATACTATACCCAAATAACGCGAGGCTCTGGGAATCGGGTTATCGGCAGACAAGATTCGGGAATACTAAACTGGCTCAAGCCGCTCAACTTGGGAAACGAGTCTGCCTGAGCGGAGTACCCAGCCAGACACAGCCAAGACACAGCCACCACGGGGCAAAACCCGTACAGGGACACGCGGACCCCCGCAACCTGAATAAAAAGGGTAGATCTTCCTCGCCAAGCTTCTAATTCCTACTTCATATCATATCATACCAGAACATTGAAAGCGACAAAGTTGGAATTTCAAGATGGGCACGGACAAAAAATCCACCCCGGCTCCCCCAACGTATGAGGCCACAGTCGATGCTCCTCGTCGTCGTGCCCATACCAATGCTGTCATCGCAGCAGGAAACCTTCGTAGCAGAGATGAGGTATGCATGGATCATTTCAATCATGGCAGTATATTCGCAACGATCTGACCATCATTCACGGTATCTAGCAAGATATGCAAAATCATTTGCAAAAACTTCAACTTGATATGGGCATCTACAACTCTGATATTGAACCCGAACACGACTCAGATTGGATTTGCAGCTGCCCAATTCACATATACAAGCAAAGAAAAATGAACCGATTGCCCGTCCAGAATGAATGGTCCAAAGCCGTCATGTATCCAGGTCAGCCTGATGCTAAGTCGTCTCCCTGAGAAAATTTGTTCAAAGCTTACTATTTTGATAGGCGAAAAATCCTACCATGACTGCTATCAATACTCGCCTATGTTTAGCGGTAACCCTTACCAGTTCATATCCGCTTATACAAATTCTGGTGGTTTCCGTGGCTATGGCGGTTACTCTGCCACGAGCGTGTATGGCGTTTCCGGATTTTACGGGGTCGCAAGACCAGATCCGTACAACTATACTAGAGCGCTTGAGAAAACACTCCGACTCAATAGAGATTTGAATAGAGCTGCTCAAATTTCTGTGGATCAGAAGGAGCCTAAAGTCAACATATGGACACCGATTCAACTTGACATGTCACCATCCGGCAAGGGTGCCGATTCCCCCTTGCCAGACTCATCTAGCAACGAGAAAAGTGCCAAATCATCCAAACTTTCTGGTCTTCGAAGGGCGTTTTCAATCAAAAGTTCCGAAGAAAGGGCAGCAGAACGAACGGCAAAGGCAGTCGCCAACGCTGAAGCATTGAGAAATGAGATTCTCTATGAAGAGAACGGTCGATGGCCAGACGAATCATGGCGACGCCTTGTTGCAGAGTATCAAAGTCATGTTGGTATGACAGGGAAAATTGCCGATCTCCGAGCTAGGTTTCCTCTGCAGTATCTCCATCTCCTTCGAGCAGGATACTTTGAGCCCATTCCCGTAGATTGGGCCAATCTCGCGTCGAATCCGCTGAAGTTTAGCATCGAGGCAGCATCCGGATGGAGGGGTATAACACCAGGTTGGAGAGGATTTGAGGACACTGCGGAGGAACGTCTATATTGGGTTTTAAATCACAGGGAAGGGGTCACTGGACCACGAATGAAACCCGATCCTATTTCTGCGATGCAGCTGGCCAGAGCTAGAATGGCTTCTGCTGTTGAACCCCCTCCGGCCTACTTCTCTCCTAACGATACCTGCCATGTTCAGCATAAATCGGATGGATATTCAAAGCAAGTGATGCCAGCGCCGTTTAGGCCATTCGATGCACCAGAGGTTCCTTCAGATGATACAATGATCCTGTTGGATGTATCGGGGTCTATGAATTTCGATCCTGTTCGTCCTATATATCAGCAGGCACTTGTCACAGCCTATGAGAGATCTTACCAACCGAAAAACAAAGGTGAGTCTGCTTTTAATCATCTAATGCCCTGTCTAATCTTCTAATGGTTCTATATCACAGATCTTGCCAAGGCCATTATCCGTCGCTTTACAGATGCAATGATCAACCACGATCATAATTCCACTGGTTACCAGCTAGTTACTTTCGATGATCAAGCTGAATACATTGGTTTCGTAAACCACAAGAGCTTTGAACAAACATGGGGCCAGATTCGCTTTGGCGGGAGAACAAGAGTCATGACAGGTTGGCAACTAGTCAAGAACCTCCATTTCCAGAAGCACTCCGAATCAGCCTTCTACCACCCAGTATACGGATGGCAAGCCGGTCCGGAAACTCCGAAGCTGAGATTACTTCTACTGCTTGATGGTGAAGCGAGCGATATGGACGAGTTTGAATTGGATCTGCTTAGCTTGTCTTGGGTACATGTGACGATCTTCTTGATTGGCGTGGATGGATGTCCTCATCATCATCGTCATGCGAATGAGCTGCAAAGAATTAGCGAGGTAAACCCTCATGTATCATTCGTTGATGCGCAGGGTAATACGCCTGAAAGATTTGTCACTCATGAACTTTTGAAGAGGCATCTCGGATATGATGTGTCAATGTCTGAGTTTGTGGAGCTGGAACAACCACCTGCGTATACCGAGCTATAGAAATTTGTGGCTTTATGACGATTGAGATGATATAATGAAGAACTTCTAGCTTTCTATCTATTCTATCCATATAGACACAACTTCCAACTTAAACGTTCATCCAATCATGTAGCATATAGGTTTGAAATTGGAACAGTTGAGATCAACGGTCTTCTGAATCCCGACCTTGGAGGGAATCCAACCCATTACTCCCAATGGGTTTTCTGGCACCATATTGTCTATGATCCCAGAGCCCAAACATGGCATTTATGTGAGATAAGCAAAGTCATCAGCATGGTCATCCCATTGAACGGTTTGTGTTTCTCCTTCCCCGTTACCCTTTTTCTCGTTGCGTAAATCGTAGACCTTCTTCACTGCTGTGAACAAAACCAAGGATAAAAGGACCATCCCGAGGGTCCAGCCATTCCCAAGATAGTACTTTGGTGTATCCTTTGAAGGGTAAATCTGGCCGACCACAACGCCTAGTTTCGGTAGGTGGTTAGAAGAATTCATAAAAGCAGCAGAGATATCGCATCACATACCAGCGAGATCCGTCAAAGTCAAAGTGATGCCCATAGTGGCATCTCGTTTCCCATCCGGAGCTGAGTTCAAAGAGGTCCAAGATAAGTTGATACCGGCAATGATGTACATTCCAGTAGTGATCAAGAATGTGGAGAAGTATTGTGCACCAGCCGGGATTGGACATAGGACGAGAATGTATCCTAAGGCGGTGATTGATCCAAAAATCATCACAAAGATATAGCGGCGCTGTATTCTATCAGAAAGCCATGCGACAGACACGTAGATAATGGCACACCACATTTGCACTGAGCCCTCTGTCAGCGCAATCAATGGGACGGATTATGGAGGTTCAAAATACCTGGAATGACAAGATACTGAGCTTGAACACTGCTAAAGCCGAGTCCGTCTTCAATGATTATAGGTGAGAAGTTATTGAACCCTGAATCAGTCGGCCCAGCTACCTTGTACTTAATTGTTCTTCAAGCTTACCGTAGAGTGGAGTCATCACACAAAATTGCAAGCATGCATGCAACCAAGTCTTGATATCCTTGGCAGCCCAAACAATGTGCTTGAATCCAAAATGTCCTCGTCCACCACTATACTGGTGCATAACCTCTGCGCGACGCCGCATTGCGACTTTATCGTCATCGTTCAAAAACCAGGCCGTCTCAAATGAGCTAGGCACGAGCCAAAAAGATACGAAGCCAAAGGCGATAGTCACACAACCCTCGATGATGTAAATCCATCGCCAACCTGAAATATTGGCTGCTCCATTCATGTGATAGATACCAAAGGCCACTAAACCTCCAAAAGCACCAGCAAGAGCGGATGATGCTGTGGAGCGTTAGAAAAAAAAATAGAATCGGAATTTGAAAGTGGAGGATCGAAGTACCAAATAAAAACGCCATGCGAACCGCTAACTCCTCTCTTTTGTACCAGTTTGCCACAAAAAGAGCAAGACAGGGAAATAGACAACCCTGGAATAACCCCAGGATCAGTCTTGTTGCAGCTAGTCCTGCATAGCTCGTAATCCATCCGCTACCAAGTGTGACAGCTCCAAAGGCAATTGTGAGAGAGGGGAGAATGCGCTCAAATTTCCATCGCTTTGCGACCATAGAAATGGGTAACTGAGTGTTTGTTAGTTCCGCGGCCGCTAATCCAATGAGAAATAAAAGTTCACACCTCTGACAACACGTAGAAAACATAGAAAATGGATATTGCGACCTGAATGAGATGTCAGTATGTATAGAAACCTGGCAGTAGCTTTATACTAGTAGGAGCTCAACTTACATTCAATTCGGTTCCCTTAAGATTCAGATCTGTTGACATTCCTTGGGTGTCCGTAAATCCAATATTAGACCTATCAATGAGGACTATATTCAAGTTAGCCGACTCAACGAACCTTGGGAGAAACCTTGGGAGATGAAGAGTATACTTACGAGAAAATTGAAGGCACCAATAAGTGGCGCAATGATCAAGTCTAGCTTTCGTACACATGTACGCTCCATCTCAATAAGACGATCATGATCAACATCCGGAAGATCACTTAGACTGGGGTTATCTAACGGGTCAGGCTTGATATCTTCAGTGAGATCTAATGACCTGCTTGGAGAGGAGGCTCTCGTCATGGCGTCAAGTGTCAGTTTTTGGTAAGCCGAGGCTATCGGTTCTGAATAGTTAAGAAGATTATCACTTTCAGTCTCAACATGGTCAAAGGAAACAGAAAAAAGGCGGAGATTTGGGCTCTTAAGAGATCTGTAGTTTCTGGGTCGCATTGACCCATTGAGGTAACATGTTGTCGAGTCATCGAGCTATCTAAGAAGGATCAGCTCATGGCGTACACACCCCGTCTGTCGGCTAATGATTAAACGTCCTTAAATGGAGCACCAGGGTCTCATGACTGGGCATGAATCCTTAGTGTATACTTAGCGTTCTTCCCCGCCCCCAGTTCAATTTGAAGTTGTGGGGAAGGATAATCGATTACCCCGCGAGTATCGTAGAAAAAAGCAAACATACCAAGTGTTTCAACTTGAGATGACTGGAGAGAATTAGAGAAGATTGGTAGAAAACCTTGAATAGGCAAATTCACATAAAGCATTTGAACCTTGGACAGAGCCAACGATGCAGCATGAGGTTGGAATATCTCTAGCTTCATTTGAAATTGAATAACTGGCATCATCTGGAATATTGATAAAGTCTAGTTATCACTAGTGCAGTATGACAGATCAAGCCCTAGAGGTTTACTAGGTAGATAGGTAGCATAGTCCTATCAATACTACTTAGTAAGTTACTAGATTATTATAAATAATGACCCATCTGGTGGCATGATTTTTGGAAAATAATCTTAGCTCCAGAGCGGCAATAGTCACCAGCGTCGTCTAAAAAATAATCTCAGCCACAGAACTGGGAGCCATTGCAATAACTACCAACGTCGTCTGAAAAATAGTCTTCGCCCCAGAGTCATAGGAATAATCACCAGAGTTCCAAGGTTCTTTGGAAAATTACCTTGGCCCTAGAGCCATCGAAATAATCACCAGCGTTCCTGAGTCCTTTGGAAAATAACCTCAGCCCCAACGTCATAGAAATAATCACCAGCGTTTCAATGTTCTTCCGAAAATAATCCCAGCCCAGAGTCATGGCAATAATCACCAGCGTCGTCTAGAAAATTATCTCAACCACAGAGCCATCCCAATAACCACCAGTGTCGTCTGAAAAATAATCCCAGCCCCAGAGCCATGGCCCATAGCAATAACCACCAGCTTTCTGAGGTTCTTCGAAAAGTTATTTTCTGTTGAGACCAGATTTACCTACTACTGTAAATCATCTGATCCTCTCACTCAACCTTGGAACTGTATACTATCACCTTCACCTCCAGGGGCTGCATTCTGACTGGTATTCTTTACTATCACATGGCAGATACTAGTACTACATAGTTGGTCAAAAGTCTGGCCACACACCAATGCTCAATATCTTTGAAGAGAAATCTCTCAACCATACCTCTCTAAAATATATTGAGAGTCTTTATTTGTATTATAAACTTGTTTAATATAAGTTCTATAGCTTCTAAAAAATACTCCGGTAAAGTCATCTAAATATGTGAGACATTAGGGTTTTTCTTTTAAAAAATGAAGGCTTGTTTTTTATTAGTATTTTACTATAAAATATTATATATGATAAGGTATTTGAAATATGATGATTTAATAGAGAAAATGAATTTAAACTAGAATATCTTGTTTTTAAATATAATATAATCGTAATGTAGAGTTATAAGTCCTTAAAGTAGAAAGAGTCATTATGAGTTAATTTTGGGGATTTTTTAATATGGGCGCCCATAGTAAAAATTTATTCCTTCAAATCTACCTAGTTTTAAGGACCCACAGCCTGTTATAGATAAATGGAAATAAAATATTTTTGGTATAAAAGTTCTAGAGTAACCAATTCCCTATCCTTTCCTTTTTTTTCTAAAAATTATACTCAAGTTAAAAGGTGGATAATTATGGTTGAAAATGGTCATATTTTGAGGTTTTATATGGGAAGCATTGGGTGTGGGGCCAGACTTTTGAACACCTATGTAGCAAATTCCATCATCTATCATGTACTCCAACATCTTGATATCAGGCTGGTTGGTCCTGGGCTCATAGTAATAATCACAAGGCTTGTCAACGGGTTTCATGAACTTGAACCTCAAAAATTCTAGTCGGTAACTAGCTGGGCTTGAGCTTCTTATCCACCAACACGATGAGAGCATCACTGAACAGACACTCGTTCTTCATGCGTAATGTTTGCCAGCTCAATGAATAATTGATAGCAGTGGATTGGTATACTTACAAGGCAACAGCGAGCGTAATGACTTCAAATGTTGGTCTTCACCCCGTGCCTGGAGAACATTACCGCTTTTAATGTAACTTCAAGTTATCATCCAGGGCGCCAGGTCCAAGAGAGTTCATGCTCTGCCCTTAGGTAGATACAACCTTGAAGTTCAAATGTTGTGTATGGATATGTGAAAGAGGGCTTGATGAACCCGACAGGAGTCTGCATGACCAGCGAGGCAAAATACCTAGGTATTGAAATGAAAAAAAAGTCTGGAGCTGGAATCGAACCGGGGACTTTCAAATTCGATGGGGACATTGAAATCAGGTACGCATCGAGGTGCGAGGTGGGATTCTGCGAATACCCTCACTTGATACACTCATTGCCATCACATAATCCCTGATAACTCGTCCATTCTTGATTATTTTCGATTTCTGAAAGCAGTAATAGCAAGAGCGAGTCTGAAAGTATTTTATGTGAAAAATATGAAAAATTTCAAAAAAAGAATTGCCCGCGGCCGAAGCCGCTGCCCCAACCACCCCCTGGTGACAACTCAGCCATTTTAGGGACCCAGACCATCCCGTCCAATACCTCCGTCCTCATCGTGTAGAGTCGGAGACCGTTATTCCATTAGACCAACAGGGCTGACTTGTTACTATTCTCCCCCTCGACTAAACTATATATGGGGTTTTTACCCTCCTCCCATATCCATCATATCCCACCACTGTGTTAGCTGGTTTATTCAATATTTCAAACTTATAAGCAGGGGTCTACGCCAATAGGTCAATTAACCATATGTGCAAGCTGAAGGCCTTACTATAGTACTGATGGGTATGCACAATAAATTTGAGACGGTTTCTTCCTTCCATATACATAAATCGTATGTATTTCAGGCTGTTCCACAAGCTGCTTTCGTCATTCTACTTACTAGTAGAACATACGTTCTTCAATTTCCAAGTCAACAGGCTGCAAATTGACAAGACTTTGAAAACTTTCAAGGTGATTTCAATCGAAAGTTTCCCCACCAGATCAACGCTTATAGTTGAGAGACTATAAACTCAGTCACCGTCAAGACCAGTTGACTGTCCACGGGTCCGAAAGGGCAGATCACAACAAATGATGATTTTTGGCTTCAGACCTATTTTTGAGCAGGTATCAGTTATCTGATGTGTCACATGTGCATGTTTCTCATGCAGGCTGCTACATATTAAATGCGTCGGGCACTCACGCATCATTGTGCTTACTCAAGTGGAAATATCTATGGTGCTCAGGTCCACGGGTATAGCTTGTGGTGGGGACCGTGGGGTACGAACTACTTGCCCGCCAACGTCACTTCTAAGTGCTCTCTGCCCCTCTTATCATAACATTGCAACTTTTCGTCACATTGATAAAAATGGCTTCTGGCAATCTTTCATTGGATGGAGTCCTTCATCAATTTGTGAATTACCTACCCTTATTTCCTCTTACCTGCTCAACTAACCCTTTACCTCGATAGGCCCCTAGGCTCGTTGCCTTCGAGTACTTGGCCTCGCAAGATAAGCCAAGCAGACCAAACAGCTTGATCTTTATTGGTGGATTGACTGATGGCTTGGGTACAGTCCCTTATGTAGCGCCGCTGGCTAAGACCTTGGAGACCACGCAGTGGTCTGTGTTCTCAATTCTACTCTCTTCGTCCTACAATGGATTCGGAGTCAGTAGTCTCGACCTCGACGTAGAGGAGATCGCGCAATGTGTGGAATTTGTGCGCAAGCTGAAGGGAGAGTCTGGCAAGGTTGTGATCATGGGTCACTCAACTGGTAGTCAAGATGTGTTGCATTACCTCCATTCGCCGAATCCTCTTCCTAAGGACCCCGAGTTTGATGTCGGTCTGACATACCTGACCAGACCTAAGCTCGATGGTGCCATTATGCAGGCGCCGGCTTCGGATCGAGAGGCAATTCAATATCTCATAAAGACCTGCGATCAACCGGAAGAAGCGCAAGGCGCTTATGAGCAACTTGTGAGCGCTGCGAAGAGACAGCCCTGGACGGATGATGAGCGCGATACCATCCTGCCAATGAACATGACTGCACTCCTGGGATTACCGGGCAATGCGCCCCTCAGTGCTCGTCGGTTCCTGAGCCTTACCAGCCCGGATAGTCCTGAAAACCCATCACAGGATGACCTCTTCAGTTCCGATCTCACCGATCAGCGCTACCGAGAGACATTCGGGCAGATCGGCTCGCGGGGTATTCTGAGCTCCAGCTCTAAGCTCCTGGCACTCTACTCCGGTGAGGATGAATACTGCCCACCATCTATTGATAAGGAGGCCATGTTGAAAAGATGGCAACTCGCAACTGAGGCTGGTGGTGCTTCATGGGATGCGCGGAACGGCGGTGTCATTCCTGGTGCTATTCACAATGTTGCGGAGGAAGGCCAAGAAGACCTGATTGGACGCGTTGTGCGGTACCTCCACGATATTTGAAGGACTTGATAATTCAATGAAACAAAGCACATATTTTAAGGATAGAGAAAAAAGTAGAATTATCGTAGAACATGCAATAGATCATTGAATTTTCACTTGACATACACAGAACTCGGAAAAGAAGACACGCAAACACCACCCAAGAGTTTGAAGGTAAGAAAGAAAAAAGAAATTGTAATGAGAGAGAGAGAGGAGGCCGAATGTGGGGTATATCGAAGTACGGCTAAACCGTTTATAGTTGACACCTAATGGGCCCGAATGAAATGTGTGCGACCCAAGAAGAGTCAATTAATAGGCGCTTTTTGCTGAGTTTAGACCTTCAGCCACAGAGTAAGCACGCCCTTGAGGTACTCCACGATCTCGGAGCCTCCGAGCTTGCTTTCACCATAGAGACGGTCGACGAAGGTGATGGGGCACTCCTCCACCTTGTAGCCCATAGCCTTGGCACGGACCATCATCTCCATCTGGAAACTGTAGCCCTTGCTCTGGGTGCTGATAATGACCTTCTCAAGAACCTGCTTCTTGTACAGACGGAAGCTACCAGTCAAGTCGCTAACACCGGGCATCAACATAACGTCCGCAATCATGTTCGCAGTGCGCGAAGTGAACTTGCGGAACAGATCCCAGCCGTAAACACCACCCTTAATATCTCCGCGATTGGCGTAACGAGTACCGGTGACAATATCGGCGTCGCTCTCCTTCTGGATGCGAATCATCTCAGGAATGAACTTGGGGTGGTGGCTGAAGTCGGCGTCCATGATGATGACGAAGTTGCCGGTGGTGTGTACCAGTCCATGCACATAGGCGGTTCCAAGACCAAGCTTGCCTTCGCGCGGTTTCAGGACGATATGGTCGGCACCATAGAGCTTCTGGAGCTGCTTTGCGATTTCGAGGGTGCCGTCAGGGGAGCCATCGTCAACAATGATAACCTCCCAGTCTAACTTGCTGTTCACAAGAAAGAAAGTAATTAGCTAAATTCTCTGTGCCAAATATGTGTCCAGAAGTTGCGCACTTCTCGTTGAAAGTCTTCTGGAGCAGCCAGATGATAATAGGGAGGTTTCTCCGTTCGTTGTAGGTGGGCAAAATGACCGAGTACTTGTTTTTGGTGGCAGCCATCTTGAAATTTGGGAATGTAGAAAGGCAATCGGGGTCGGTGTCTCCAGGACAAACTCAGCAAATAACGGAAATAAAATAGAAAGTAGGGAACGAATGGCCAGACAGCTTGTTGGAGGAGGATCAGTGTCGCGAACAACTCTGGCCAGATCCGGACATGTCCACCGCCTTCGGTTTTGCCCGATAACTTATCACACGAGCTTCCCCGGACACGGATGCCATGACCCTCGTGGATCTCTGTTTACTTGTTTATCTTTCAAGGATGGCATCACCGACAAAACACAGTCGCAATATTTCCCGGTGTAAGTATGCGCATTTTTTATTCCCACCATTGACTTCCAAGGTTGCTTTGGGGCCAAACGCTGATCTATTGTCCCAGCTTCACGGCCCCGCAGCTCAACTCGGGGCCCTCTAGATGCACCAGATGAGTGAGCAAAAACTTTCAATTTTTGAAGACGCGAGACCCAATCTCATACCTTTTACAGCCCACTTGGACCGAAAAGCTTGCGTACATCGCTTAGCTTGAATACAGACCCCGAAAGTGGTACCTTAGGGGTTTCTTTTCACGAATTGGACCCATTAGCTCCCGATGAGCTACCAGAAACACTAGGGAAGGATCTCTCATTCCTCCTTCGACATAATATCTTTCATGCGCTATCCCATACCGATATCCCGCCCCCTTTACGCTCTGAATTCATTGTCCTCGATCCCAGCGAACCACTCTCCGCATCTCTCGGCACGCTCGAGAAGCTACTTGCTCAAGGTCGCTTCCTGGTTGCTGCACACTTCGCCAGCTCAATATTGACATCCTCTTTAATAACATCTACGGATATTAAATTAATCTTTTCGCTGTTTTACACTCGTCTCGCGTGTCTTGAACTGTCCGGAAACACTGTTCTCGCGGCTCAAGAATCGAAAGCATTGGAAGATCTGCATTCTGCATTTTACTTCATTGAATCAAACTTCGATTCACCGGAACCAGATCAGAAACCGGAAACAGATCAGAAAGATGGCGCTGTTCCCGAGCCCTATCTTCGTCACATAGTTCCATGGCCATTGCGCGTGTTAGCTGTGAGACTTCAAAGTATTGGATTCGGCGACCCTCGCAGGAGTATTGGTGGACTATATGAAATTGGATTAGAGGCACGCAGGGAGATGATGAACCAGGAGATTGATGAAAACGAGAGAAAAATCTGGAAGGATCGATTGGCTGATCTAGGGATTCGCAGTGTCAATGCACTCATTGAGATGGGTGACCTCGATGCTGCCAAACGATCCCTCGAAAGTTTACGTTTTTCGGAATCTGATACAGATATTGTCAAACTGCGCAAAGCGCTCCTTTTTCTGAGAATTGGAGATGCCGATTCTGCACAGCAAGTCTTCGGTGACTCTTATGAGTCAAAGGAGGCGGCCTTGTTGCAGCCTTTGCTAAGCATGTCCGATGGTCGTTACAATGACGCTGTGGATCAGTGGCGGGTTCTTTATGAGGACCAAACCAGGAGCGATGAAGATCTGGTGGCACAGAACATGGCAGTCTGCCTGCTTTACTCTGGAAAACTGGACGAGGTATGTAGAAATGATGTCAACGGGCTTAATTGGTGTATCCCAACTTACCATTCTCTCAGGCACGTCAACTCCTGGAGTCCCAGGTCTCTGCGAATCACTCCTTTGGTAGTCTCATTTTCAACCTTTCAACTGTCTATGAGCTCTGCTCCGATAATGCAAGCCAATTGAAGGGGCAACTGGCAGCTACATTAGCGGGTCAACCCGTTTCTGGAGAAACAAACATAGATCGCCCTAATACAGACTTCAAGCTATGAGACAAATGAAAAGAATGGCCTTGAAGGGTCCCTTGAATTCAACTCTTTTTTGTAAAACGCCAAATGTGCAGAGAATGCCAAATTCTCTCATGGATGGATGAACGAATGCAACCCAATAATAATATCTTTATCCCTGTCGGTAGCCCAAACACCATGCATCATGATCCAACCAAAAACCAAAAACGCCAGTCAAAAAATGCGAATACGTACAGCTGCGTCATTATTGTGCTTTCGTGGGTTCTGGATTCGGCGGTGGTCGAATTCTAGGGCGTTTGATAATGATCTTGTCACCCTCCTTCTGCCAGCCTAGATTTTCTTCTTGAAGTAATTTCTCCCACGTCCAATTTACATCATCGCCGGTGCAGCCACCCACGACCCAATCCACATGAGCGCTGAGGTAGGCACTACCCACCGCCTTCAAGGCATGTCTCCGCATTCGGTCCGCCGCCCAGTTCATGACTGCGCGCATGTAGGAGTCTACACTTTTGTGTACCTGCCAAAATACCACCCAGTTGTCATGCATCAAGGCTGTCAACACGCGGTCTACAACCTGCGACTCAAAAGCGTGCTCCCGTCGCGCCCGTGCGCGAAGCTCAAAGGCTAATAACATATTCTCCTGCCGACAAGCATAATCGAGAATCAAGTAAGAAACCAAGTCTTTCACTTCCAAATCGGGCATTGGGTTGGACTTGGAATGTAGTCTGTTCAGACAATGCTCTAGGGAAGGGAAATATGACGGAGGATGCTGCGCGAGAATGGCCAGTCGAATCGAGAAATAATGAACTCGTTGGGCGAATCCGGGTAGAGTTGTTGCTGAGGTAGCCAAAATACCCTCTCGCAGCTTCCGGAGGGAAAGGAGCAGCTTGGACAATTCCGCCGATGGTGGGGGGACACCCTTCGCCGCGGGGGTTGTCTTGGAAGTTGGTTGGGCTGCAGGGGGGTTCGACGTTGCATCATTAGATGAGCTCATAGGAAGTGATGCGTGTGCAGTATCCAAATCCTTTTGGTGATCAGAACAGAAACGTAAATATCGCTCAACAATCTTATCGTAGTACTCCTCCTGGGCTTTCTGGTTCAGTAGTCTGCAACCTATTGCGTCAGTGGGTTCCAAAAATGGATTATCGATGTATCTTACGTTTTATCACCCTTGGAAATGAAGCCGACCCTCTCGAGAGGATCGGCTACGGGCCGTAATCGGCTTCCTTGGGGTCTGGCAGGTTTAGTGGAATGCATGGAGGGAACATGATAGAGCAAATAGAACCCGTATCAGATCTGGGGTTGATGCAAGTGTGGGCCGGCATTTTGCATTGTTTGCACCGAGGTTCCCAACGACGCAGTAGATTTGGTTCACCCCAACTACTCAACACTCCATTTTCTATAGTTCTTTGTTTCATTTTTTTCTTGGTGTCTTTGGATTTTCTTCTCTTTCTGCAACACTTTCTTCGAGAACAATCTCGTGACAGCTGATCTGCTTACATGCTGTGCATGGTTTGTGGCTGATCCGCCAAGTTCTAAACACCACGTCCTGCATTAGATTCTGCATGTGATAATGTCTCGCCAACGTCGACCGGTACAGGGGGAAGAGTCAGACAGCCCAGCAACTAAGCTGGCCAATTTAGTTCTGGAAGTACCACCAAAGCTAATGAAGAAACTTCTACACTGGGATGAGCTACCACATTGGCAGCGCGATAATCACCACATTCATACTGGATATCGCCCAGCCTCGTCGTCATTTTGGGTCTCATTCCAATCATTGGGCTATTTTCACAATGAGACAGTCAATATCTACACTCATCTTTTGCCGTCCATATTGGCTATTCCTGCGAGCTATCAGCTGTATAATGCTTTGACACCTCGTTATCAAACCGCAGATTCCTCTGATATTGCTGCGTTCATCTGCTTTTTCTCTGGTGCTGCTTTTTGCCTGGGAATGTCTGCTACATACCACACAATCTCCAATCATTCACCGGCCGTGGCTCGTATTGGTAATGCACTTGACTATATTGGCATTGTTGGACTCATCGTGGGTAGCTTTGTGCCCAGCGTCTTCTACGGATTCTATTGTGTGCCCGAGCTCCAGCATCGATACTGGACGATGATCTGCAGCATTGGGCTGGGGTGTGTGGGTGTCTCAATTCTCCCACGGTTCCGAACCCCCCCGTTGGCGACCATTCCGAGCTGCCATGTTCGTTGGGATGGGCCTGTCGGCTGTCTTCCCCGTGGTTCATGGTCTTGTTCTTTTTGGGTTCGAGCGCATGCGACAGCAGATTGGCCTTAGCTGGCTTTTACTCCAGGGATTCTTATACATCCTCGGTGCTGCCATCTATGCTGCACGGATACCCGAGAGATTGCGGCCCGGTCAATTTGACCTTGTTGGCAGCTCGCATCAGATCTTCCACGTGCTTGTTGTCTGTGCAGCAATAGCCCATCTGACAGGCCTTTTGAAAGCTTTTGATTATCGGCACGGCGGTACTGCCGAAATTTGTCAGATTCAGATTCCACGCGGCTGAGTTCTGGCGGTATTAGAGTGGAGAAGATGAGGTTGGACAACATGCTCATGGCAATTTTGGAGGTAGCATGAAATGAAACATTTCACGCAGTCGTGTGGCGAAGGGGAATGGTCGTCTTCGAAGGTGAAGGTCCCTGCTGACGATGACCCGGTTCGTGATGTGCAACAATGACCACAGTCAGAGCGAAGCGGTGAAAGCTCTGACAGAGAAAAGAACCAAAGATAGTGGCTCAATCCGGTCAGCCGAGTCAAATTAAATCGAGATTTTCACATGGTGCTCCTGTCCGTCGAAGAGAATTGTCTATGGGTTTCATTGGTGGCTCATTCAGACCTGGGCAACAACAGACACCCCAGAATAGTCCTTGTCATCGATGATATTCGTCATTTTCCCCAGGAATAGTGAGGGAAATAATAATTCAAAAAATAGTAACCATGGACAACAAAAAATTGACAAAAATAATTCAGGAAATCAAGAAAAGAAAAAAAGACAAAAAAAAAAAAACTTAACCCCATGGGCTATTACCAATGTTGCATCAGAGTGTGTGACCTTGAGGACCCCTAGGGGGTTCCAGGTCCCGGACTTGCTTTCTTGCTTTTATCGATCACGAGCGATTGCTCCAATTGAGCAACGGCTATCTTGAGAAATGCGGTCCCCAATCTGGGCCGATCACCGACACTGTGGGGGGGTTCGAGGGAGGAGCAGAAGCCCCTTTATTTTTACTTTCCAAGTGCCTGTCGCCAATCCCAGGTAAAGTTGATCAGATGGAAGCATTCTTGGGTTTCACAGCGGCTGACCTCTTTGCGGCTGCCGTCGGTATAGGAATCCGAATGGAAGTGTGACATTCTTTTATGACTGGTTTTTTTTTGGTTCATGAAGCTTGAGCTTGTTTCCATGATTTTTGCTTTATATATACGAGCAAAGTGGAGACTGGGTGTCAGAAGAAGCGGATACACTGGATGTGCCTTATTGGACTGTATATTGCACGCCAACCCCAGGTTCCTTTCTCAGGTCCTCGCTTTCTCCAATTTTTTATGCATTGATCCCCCGGCATTGTCGATCTTTCCTCTGTGATACCACTTTATTCTTGCACCCTACAATAAAAAACGCGAAAGCAAAACGAGACCCTATCCCAGTCTCTTCGATCTCTTTCCATATTCCATACATTTTTGGCCCTCTATGCTTGCCGAGACCAATGGTAGTCCCTATACTGGAGGGGATGCACCAAAGCTGAGAACTGCGTGTGAGAATTGCAGACAATCCAAAGTGAAATGTAATCTGTCTGGGAAAAACGTCTGTACTAGGTGTTTGCGACACGGTCTGCAGTGTCAGTACGGCTTTGCGAACCGATCTGGAAAACCGAAAGGTAGCAAAAATCGTGCCACGCTTCGCAAGTTGGGTCAGTTACAGGAGGAGAAGCCGCCCCGTGGATTTCGTGGGAATCGTATCGTACCTCCTTTAACAGACAGAGAGCCTCGAATGCCTACCAACTACACAGGACATATGGCAGATCCACTGATGGATGACGATGTGAGTTCTTTCAGATCACTCCATCTCTTTTCCACTGATAGTATCCTGACATAGACGTTGATTCAGATATGCTTGATACCAGGCCCGCCAGCGCTTTGGGAAAGCCCGCGAAGTTTTGGTAGTACTGCCGGACTAGATGCACCCATATGCCCCTCACAGTTGGGTGCAGTTGATGGCTCCCCGTTTACTGATCTGATGGATTCTTGTTCTGCATTGCCTCTTGGTATGGGATATCCACATACGCCCGTTACGCCTACATTCCTTCCCTCGGATCCCCTGATAGATGGAATGGCAAGTCCACCGTTTGGAGGATCTATTTCTTCCCCTTACTCAACAGCACCATGCGAGTGTGTGGATAAACAGTTATTCTATATGAACCGACTGAATCATCTTCTTGCTGAAACAATCCCTCTACGATTTGACCATAGCCTTCAAGCCATCAAGGCTACTTTCTGCGCATGTCAGGTGTTCATGCAGTGCATCAAATGCACCAAAGATAGTGCCAACTTGCTTCTTGTTATCTCTGTTCTCAATTTGACTTTGCAGCTATTCGAACATTGGATCTCACGCGACACTTCACGAGCTCCACGCATGGAGCATGGAATCGACATTCGCTACGGATATTATGAGATCGGTCTCGAGGATAATCGGAAGATCCGATTTTTTCTAATTCGGAGATTGTTGTTCCAGTGCAGGGACGTGTTGACGATGTTGACAAACGCTGTCAATACTGCTTATATCGAGAATCCCAAACTTCTGGGCGAAGGCTCTTCGGAACCAAGTATGAAAAGTGAAGACTCGACCAACCAGTCATGGCTTTCACCAGAGCACTTTGGAACCACGCTGCCAGATGTAGATCCGGATACACTAAGTTCGGGTCCTGAAAGCAATTGCTTTCTACCTATTATCGCTGGTTACGAAGCTACAGTGGAGGCATTTCTTCGATCCGTCTCCTCGAATGATTGTATCTGTGGATCCAAATACATGACGCGAGATGAGTCTCTTTGAAATCCAAACTGTGTATACGGGGTTATGGATGGGTGTGGATTTTTTGCAGCATTTTTCTCCTTGTTTGATGCCTTTCGACGTTCAAGTTTCAATCCCTGCAAAGTTGTATTTTACGGGGCAGGATCTTCTGTGTAGTAGATAGGATTTCTTAGCAATAGTAAACTTGGACCGGCTAAGCTTGAATAATAAATCGGCTATATAAATTAATCTCGAGTGCTACTAATCTCCATTAGTATCGTATGCTGTGTAGTTCAAATGTTTGTCGTCCTAGTTTGCTTTAGTAGCAACCCCACACTCTCGGTCCGCGGCGAGCCTCGGCACTTCCATCTCCGAACTTGTATAAGACCCCAACGTTCCCCTCATCTTATCCCAACCAGATCATAATGGCACCTTCCGATCGTCTCAATCAGGTGAACAAGCACCTCAACTACCCAGCCGGTCTTCTTGCTGGTCAAGTGGCCATCATCACTGGTGCAGGTCAAGGTATCGGCGCCGAGGCCGCTCGGCTTTTTGCCAATGAAGGTGCAAAGGTGATAGTTGCAGATATCGATGCTAGTAAGTATCAACCAGTCTCATTCTGTCAGACCTCTTCAGCGTAATTTCTATCCCGAATTATACCGCTAATACCCCAAAACAGAAAAGGCCAACGCGGTCGCCGACGCCATCAATGCTGCCGAGCCGAACCGCGCCCTGGCAGTCGTCGGCGATGTACTCGACAACGACTACATCAAGGAGCTTGTGAAGCGCGCAGCCGAATTCGGTGGTGGCAAAATTCATATTATTGTTAACAATGCCGGTTTCACCTGGGACGGTGTAATTCACAAGGTGAGTGCCCGTCTCTTAGTCCCCCAAGGGTCGCGGGTGTATTTAATTGTCTACATTCATGATTCTTTGTCACTCGTGTTATGATCTTGGATCTGTATTCAATTTTCCCCGCTGTCCTAGCTAGGTATATGTAGAGCTAACGAGGATATCCTTGGATTGACTTCTAGATGACCGATAAGCAATGGGATACCATGCTTGCAGTGCACAACACTGCGCCCTTCCGGCTGGTGCGAGAGGCCGCACCGTATTTCCGGGTCAAGGACCAGGAGCCGCGGGTTGTTATCAATATCAGCAGCACGAGCGGAATCCACGGTAATGCGTAAGTTCAAGTTCCAGTTCTCGAGTCATCTCCCTTCGTACCCGTCTTTTCTTCCTATTTTCGACATTCGTTTTTGATAAAAGACATCTCGGCTAATTCACTTCACAAAAAAGCGGCCAAGCCAATTATGCAGTTGCCAAAGCCGGCGTCGTCGGTCTTACTCGTACAATTGCCAAAGAATGGGGTCCAGCCTTTGGTGTGCGCTCCAATACTATCGCCTTTGGCTTTGTAACAACCCGTCTTACAGCCGCCAAGGAAGAAGGTGCTTTTATCACCACTCCTGATGGTACTAAGGTCGCGCTGGGTATTCCTGGTAAACAACTTGCTGGCAAGAAGGGCACGGATGATCAGGCTAAGACCGAGAGTTATCCGGATATCCCACTGCGGAGACCTGCAAGCCCTGAAGAAGCGGCACGGTCGATTCTCGGAGTGGCTAGTCCATACTTCTCCTATGTTAATGGAGAGACTATTCGGGTCACTGGTGGACGGAACATGTAAATTTATTGACGTTCAATTCTGCAACGAATATACCAGTACTAGTGACTTCGAAATTAGCAAGTATGAATTACCTGGCGTAGTCTCAAATGAAATGAGAAGATACAGTCATCATATTTTTCTAATCATTGGTTTGAATTAACCATTACCTCGTTTCTTTTATCAGATCGCTTATCTGAGAGACCTCCCTGCACGTACTGCTTCATGAAATCACCCACATAATCTTAAAGAACAAAAGAAAGAATCGTCGCATTTACAGTTACACATGTGAGGTGGAACTTCAAGTTGATTACATTGTTGTGCCACCAGTTGATCGACTCTACTAGCTTTTCACTTGGAAGAGCAGATTCTGATAAGAATCTTATAGGCGAGACCATACAGATATCCTCTTCCAATGTTGGGTTAGTCCCAGTCGCTAAAGTTATCGAGTTCAAGTTCATCTTACAAAGACTCCGAGGAAAGACTTGGAGAATTCACTACGTAACTCGTCAAATGTTTGAGATGCATCATTGCCAAGTGCAATAACATTATTACTTGTACTATACAGTCTTGAGTAGGCTTAGGCCTGGCTATTCAATGTTTAGGTTTTTTGTCCTGTAAAAAGGAGTGCTACTAATATTGAGGCCTTGAATATGATATTAAATGGAATTAGAAGAATCAAAGCATGATCGATGGGCTTATATTTGTATTGGTCAAGATAGACATAATGCTGATACTACAACTAAGTACCACCTGGGCAGGAGTCAACTGGTACTTTTATTTCAAGTCTCTGGTGATGTTGTTGGACAATCTCAAGTGCCCTAAAGCTCATCAACTTGAATGGAATTCATGTAAATTTATCCCATTTCATCTGCCACATTTGATCCCATGAACTCCTATCCTCAAATATCAGAGGAACCAAATCCAAATTTCGAGTTCGTGCTTATATCGTCCAAAATATCATCCCAAGACAATGATTCACAACTGGCATCCAATCCAGCCTAGCCTTGGCAAAAAGAGAACAACCGATACTCACTTTTAGTATTTACCGTCTAGACCGAATATTGCGCTCATTTCATTCCCATGAGATCTCTGATCTACGCATCTCCACAGCAACAGTTTCAAATCGGTCTGTAGATCTATTCTAGACTCCGACTCCAATTCTCAAGCTTGCTGCCTCGACACTCTTATGTTTCGGATTAAATAAGTCTAGGTACTCCATACGTACGCATATACCAATCTGGGAATATCTATACAAACACTAGCAACCCAAAATTGAATGTTTGAAGTGGAGCAACTCATACCGAGATGATCACGCAAGCCCGACTCGGTCAGGCTTATGGGGCTGGTGGGACTGGAGCATCAATTGGCGATGCTACTAGTGTCTGCCGCGTCAGGGTACATAGCAGGGCTTATTGTTGGAGTTATTATGGGGGCTTGGTGCCCAGTGGAGACTGGATGATCCAGATGTCTCTTATGGACCCGCTTGGGTCGAGACTCGTACGCGTGGCTGACCGCATATAGCCACCAGTGATATATTTGCCTCACTATGGATAATGGTCTCGACTATTGCTGCAACTTATGATTCAGGGCTGCAGTATCTGGATACGTGGTCATATGTCGAGAAGCCATTCATGACTCTTAAGAATGTGGTTCTTTTACTTAATTGGTAGTAAATATGACCCACTGGTATTCCTATTTCTATTTCTAGATTCCTACATACATATGTGCCATTTTGGATTATTATTTAAAATAACAATTGATTAAGAATAGTATTCTTAGTATGTAGTTTGAAAGAATTGAGTTTTCTGCACCTGTACGGGTACTCAAATGGAGCTCCATCGCCAACTGGCAGATGTAAATCAAGTGGAGCCCTGAAGGCTGGATCTTTTGTACCCAAGTACATGTAGTAAAGATGGCTGGAGAATAAGAATGCCACATTGGAATTGAACAAACATTGTGACTAGTACTTTCCAATGAGCCAAGCTCGATATTCAATGTTAATCATAGAGAACAAGCTTAGAATAAATTTTTGGTAGCTCAACCTAGTATGTAAGTAAGAGCTCAAGCAAAAGACGTTACTCTTACGTGGCTTGTTCCACAACATTAATTATGCAGTAGGTTCTTTCCAACGACCTGGGCGCTAAAAGGCTAATCTGGTGGCAAATCAGCCAACCGCAGCAAGCTGCCGCCAGATCCAGTATGCGAGAGACAAGGGGAAAAATGGCGTGGAAAGAATGCCTCGCCCATCCCTCTCGGGTTGGTGCTCCAGCGTTCACGCCTCACGTCTCACTTGGGCAGCAATGGGGTCTCACGGTAGTACGACATCTGAACTATCCACATGAGAGGACCCGCATAGCCGGAGCCTTCTTGATGCCTTGGTGTATTAAGAGCAACGTTGCACGGGGTGGTCAGACTGGACCAAGAAATTCGAGTTCCAGTAAAGGTGAGGAGAGGAATCATAGGACTGTAAAGGAGTAAAGGTAGAAGAGGTGTAGGGTTCAAGTAACTTTATGTGAGATGTATAATCAATTATCGCTCCCGAGGTCCATTGTCCGAGGTATCATATCGTTAAAAAAACAAAGCTCAAATGCTTTCCCATAAAAAACAAAACCAGTCCAAGCCAAACCATGCCGGGAGTCTATGCAAAGATGTAGAATAAAATAAGCCAATATCAACCACCCATAACTTCATCAACACAAAAATAGATCAACATGAATCTTTCCCAGAAATAAAACAAATATGATTTGGAATCAATCCAATAAAAATCATAGAGAAGATCCAAGTCTCAACGCCTCAAAACGACCTGCCCCAAAATAAAGCAATAATGTCCGCCCGTAATAGAGCAATTTCTTCACTCGTGCCACCCAGATATATGCTTAGGTATTTTCAATAAAAGCAAAAGAAAAACAGAAAAAAAAAACCAAGAACCTCAGGAAATAGAGGTTCGCCTCCGGGTATGTTGAGTATTAAAACAGTAGAAGTATGGGTCGAATCATCCGTGGAAAGAATCCAATGGCCTGCGGAAAGATCGCGTGGAAATCCAGTGGAAAATGCAAGTATGTTCACGATCGCTGAACCAGGGAAGATTGACAAAAAATCCAGGAAAAAATGTAGATATGTCCAGAAAGGAAGAAATCCAGGGGAAAGCAACAGTCGAGTCTCCAAAGCAACGGCCTTGACCCGATCTGTGAGTAATAGCTTTTGTTTTTTTGTTTCGAAATCCATGGAAACCAGAAGATTGGAGTCACTGATGATCAAAAAGAAACTCCAGGCGCCCAGGGAATCAATGGTAAGATAAAATTGCGTGTATATCGTGTAGTCGCGTTAAAGGGGAAAGGGTGTATATGGTCTGAAGGTAACCTAACAGACCGGAATAGGAGGTCCAGGGAAGATATCCGCGGGGATAGAGTGATCCACGCAGAGAGACGAAGGGAAGACCACTTTGCAGTCCGGCACCTGTTCCGAGACAACAGGCGACATGCAATCGTAGTCGGTATAATCCTCGGTGAGGGCCGAAGTGTCTGAGATAGCTGAATCGGAGAAATCCGAGTAGTGCGAAGAATCCGACGATGACCCAGATGGCTGGGCATGTAAGGGTTCTACGGGAATGAAAGGCATCTGGGGATGAACGAAGTAGTCGGCCTGCGGAATTTGGTCCGGCACCCAGGAAGCCACAGAGGGTTCGGTAAAGCGAGGGCACTCCACGATCAGTTGGCGTAACTCCGGGATAGTGATCCTCTTGGAAGGGTCACGCTCGAAGACGCGGCTGAGAATGCAAACCATTTCCGTGGAAAGGGGCAAGATTGACTTGAGGAAGAAAGGATCCTTAAGGTATGCCCGGAAAGTGGAATCTTCCATGGAGGCCCGCTTCCATGGATTGCGACCGCATGTTAGATTGACTAGCATCACCCCCAGGCTCCAAACGTCATTGGCGGCAGAGGCGTAACAGGACATGGGTTGAGGGTTGGTCTGTTGACATTCTGTGTGGATAAGATTAGGTTAGGCGATCCGGGGTGGGAAACAGAGAAGTAGATAGTATATCGTCATTCCCATCTGGCTTCGTAGTTTTATACAAAAGAAAACTTACCAGGCGACATGTAAAAAGTGGAACCGCAACCGAAATCCGAGGTAAAGTATTCTTCGGTGGCCAAGCCAAAGTCGGCAAGTTTGACGGTCATGCCTTGGTCGGTGACCAGAACATTTTCGGGCTTGAGATCCCGGTGGTAAATCCCGAGAGAGTGGCAGTATTGTACGGCATCCAGAAGTTGCAAGAAGACACGCTTAACCAAGGGGTCATTGGTGACGAAGTTGCCTTTATCGGTGATACTGGAAAAGAGATCACCTTCCGGGCAATATTCCATAACGACGTAGGTACAATCGACGGAATCCATAATGCGAACCAGGGAGACGACATTAGGGTGTTGACTGGCCAAATGATGGAGGCGGATCTCCCGTTGTTGATACTTGAGTTGTCGGGGATCCAGCCCAGACTTGTTTAATGCCTTCACGGCATATGAAACGTTGGTATGAATATCCACGGCAGTATAGACGACTCCATAGGCACCGACGCCTAAGATTCCAGTGAGTTCTAAACGGTTGGCCAAGATAAATCCTAAACGGTCCTCGGGAGCATAACACCGGGGAATGGGAGATGGTGGTGGAGTTGGAAGTATGGCCGGATACATGGTATAGTAGAGTGAACCTTGTGAGAGATATACTAGGTATAATGAGGGGGATTGGGAGTAGGAAGTCCAAGGTTCAAGTAGTCGTGTCGAAGAATCCGAAGGGAATAGTAATATATATATAAAGTCCTTGATCTCTGATCCTTAGGATAAAGGGAGAGTTGGCGTAAATATAAAAATCCAGATGTAATCCAGTGGCAGTGTATCCGGGGGGCGTTGTCTCCAAATTAGATCGGGGCGAATCAGGAATCCATTCCACGGTATTAGATCCGGGAGAGATAGAGAGAGAGAGAGAGAGAGAAAAAAGTTCCAAGAGTATCAGATAGAAAAGAACAAAACAGAGATTTTTTTTTTCCAAATAACAAAAGCACAAAAAAATAAAAAGGAATGTATAAGGGGAGAAGAGGGAAATAAGAAGTAATGTTTATCAGGGGGGGCGATAAAAATAATCGATGATGCGTCGAGTCCCATGTGGACAATAAAGTGGAGTGGAGTATTAAGTACTAATGTACAGTATTACTTATTACTTGTAACTTGTAATAGTAACAAGGCCAGGCCACCGTGGCTCCAGCAGGAAGCGGTGTGCAGCCTACACTAGTGTCAAGTAGTTCCTTCTTCCCTTCCAATCATTCTTCTCATCCACTTTCAACTTGCATACGCCACTGCATTAACTGCTGCATCCTACTATCTCATCTTATTGGTTAATATTATCTTGTTGTTTTTACTTTTGCCCCATAACTTTGACCCAGTGGCAATGATTCGAGACCTCTCCGCCACTTCATCCCCTCCACTTCTCATCCCGTTCCCACATGGATACCTATTGAAAATCTCCATAACACAATGCACACAAGAAGTTGCCCCACTGACTAAAAAAAAAAAACTTGTTGGCAAATGTTTCCCCTCAACCGTGTTCCGTGTTTCGTTTCACTTGAAGGACCAGGATTCTGGATTCGTGTTTTTTTTTTTTTGGTTTGGGGTTCTTTTTTTGAACTCTGAAGCACCCACCGCATCCCCCTAATCTCTGACCCTCCAAGACTTCAACTTTATTCGTCCGTGCAAGGTCTCTCAGATGCACCGACCACCAACAAAAAGTGAGGCGATGCAGGAGGGGGGTCTTCCGGCCAATCAGATCCTCCGACCTTCGGTACATTCGAGAACGAGTGGATCTTCTTTCCCGAATGCTTTGGCTGCTTTCGTTGCACGGACCTTCAGACCCTGGGCAAACTTGTGACTCCAGTTGCCAAGTGATTGGCCAACGTGGTGAGTTCGGGGGCCGACGGCACCCAGCTAGTCTGTGTGACACCCAAGGCGCCTAACTCTTGTGTCAGAAAGAGTCAGGGAGAAGAGGAGAGGGCTGGGGGGAAAATCTGCCTTTCCCTGCCCCCCCTTTTTTTGGATCTTCCTTCCCGACCCTAACCGGATTCAAAAAAAAAAAAGATATTCCAAAAAACCCTTGAAACTGAACACAACAGAAAAAAAATCAATATAATGAAAACAGACCATCAGATCAGTCAACCTGCGGTGAGAATCACCTGATCTGCACGACGCATCACATCAACTGCTGTACCCCAGGATTGGCAATGCAGCTGAACCGCTTTCCGAGCATTTTGGACCTCTCACCGCTATCTAGGATCTTACCAGTTCTATGCTTCTCCATCAATAATTTACTAGTTTACTGCATAGCTTAGAGTCTACTTCCGATATGTCCTCATTTTTCCGTCTTAGTCGATCATCGGCCCTGCATGAGGCGTGGTATGCTAGCTGCCAAGGGGGCGACACCCTTCAAGACGAATCATGACTCCTATTTTCATCTTATTTTCATATGTAGATTGATTGCCCCACAAAATAAACACATTAACGACATCATTCAAATATATGCAAAGAATATCATCACCACTTTTTCTTTGATGATTTAGACCCGGATAACTTTGCCACTAAAAGTGGTGGCAACCATGGAACGCGGAGATCTTCGCCTTCGAGAACATCACCACGCGAACTAATACTTTAGTACATAGTACTCTGTTTAAGTCGGAATTTCCTTGGAAGTATCCCTGAATATAGACAAATAGAAACATTTGAAAGTGAAGAGAACTTGAAAATGTACTCACATCTATAATAGTCCTCGTACATGTACACCCATGTACATTGCAGGGCAGTCGCACCACCCATTCTACACCACATGTACAAAAACCCAACCCCACAACATATCAAGTATCTCCCCGCCAATACCTGCAACATGAAAGCGCATGGCCCCGAGACATTAAAAACGCCATGCATCATCACCCGGGGGCTGGCTCACCCCACCATTCACACTCCTCCCTTTCTTGCCTCTTTTTGCCTTTCCTTCTATCCCGCTTTACATACTCTAGACCTTTCGTATTTCCCAGCCCATTTCACTGGCCACGCAATTTTCACTTGTACCCAATCGGCTTTCATCCTCACAAAATCATCCTAGTACACCGAATGCCCATTTGTTCTTATCGGAAACTTAAGGGAAAATGAGGGGTCTATCCACCCTAGCAACGCATACGTAGTTGGCTGAGTTGTTTTTCCTTTCTTTGTGCTTACGCGACTGATCACGCCTCCGGGGAAAGGGATGAACCACGCGTTGGATTTAACGGCCGTTTGTGATGGGTCAGAATCTCTGGTCCAAGGTAAGATCAAGATCGACATGGCTTTGCCTGTCTCAACCATGGATGGTTGATGTCAGCTTGGTAGATCTAGAACTTGTCGGCTCCGAGAACCACTTTTTTTTCTTTGGCTTTCGTGGTACGATTAACAGGTTTTGGATGAGGGTACATGTTTACTATCAGATGGTTGGTTGGTTGACTTACGGCTTACTATTGGGTGTCTCTTTCAGCCTCCCTGGTCCCGGGTACGGGGGTTCTACGGAGCCCTAGCCCTGGATGATTACCCGGGCGTAAGGGCGAGAACCTGGAAAGAGGGAGTAAATTCTTCAATCTACTAGTACTAGTAGATAATCTGACATCGTCAGGTAACAGAGTTCAACTTGAAGTTGGATATCCTGACTCAGAGATATGTAGTGAGCACTTGAAGCTGAATATGTTGAGAAACCTTCAAGTTGAAAGGCAAAGCACTTGGCAGGTGGAATATAGTGAGAAAATGACTAGTTACTTTATTTCTCTGCTCCAGAGTTGCCAATATTTTGTTTAATCCCAAGCCCAATGAACTCGCCATTTGATATGGCACTACGGTGAAAGATATCTGAAGTGGTTATCAGATGATAGAGCGGAACTTATGGAGCCGCGTTCTGTATCCGGATGAGGCTTCGAAAGTAGTATCAACCTCAGGCATATTGCATTCTGCTCAGGCTCGAAAAGTAAAAGGGGAAACACTGACATCATGAAGATAGAACGAGCTCGGGAAAATTCCCAACATTTGAAGGTTTGGCGATTTCGAGTGCTACATATGAAAATGCTGAACATACTGGCATTCCGAAGTTCAACTCAGATACAATGTTTGAAGGGGTATCTGGCCACCTAAGGCATATGAGAAGCAATGCCTGTGCAACCTCAAAAAGGTTTTCCATTTCTCCTGCTCTTCTAGGGTTGATTCATAAGCTTCTCCTTAAGAAACTCTATCGCTCCAGGAGTCTTGACCCAGTAGGGAGCATTGCGTCGAAGCGGAACTTTGGTTTGCTGTAAGTATCTTTTGTTCTCTTCCTGGGTAGGCTCGTCGAGAACAGAATCACCAGCACAGGTTGCCAACATCATCCAGAAGTATGGATTTAATTTATCGACTTCAAGAAATAAGAAGTCGATTTGAAGGTTTAATGTTGCAATTTCCAAAGAGTGGTCTTTGTTGCAGCGCATCATACTTGGGATTTCAGTGACGAGTGTACTTTCGGGGATTTGTGGGAGAATCAGATCCACAATGTCAACTGGAATCCTAGGTCTCAGGGCCAATGTTGCTGCATCCAAGCGCATCAAATCCAGCAATTTTTTTTGACATGGAGGAACGTCATTTTTTTACTAAGGCTATCTTGAGCGATTTCCAAGGTTGAAAGCCTCAAAGAGTTGACGGCAACTTCAAGTTCAAGTTCTAACTTGAAGGTTCTTCAACTTGAATTCAAGTTTCAAGTTATCACTGGCACCTCCAGCACTTCAAGTTCAAATGTTGAGGCACCTGGGGCTCCAGGGCTCAAGTGATATCTTCCTAGGTTCAAGTTCAAGTTCAAGTTGAAGTCCACCGTGACGGGCTTACAATTCCAAATGTTGTTCAAGTTATCTACTACTACCTACATGTAGGTGCTAGTAAATATATCATGACCACGACTGGCACTGGCACTCTAGCACTAGATCAAAGTCATTTTTTATCTCAAATATTCAAATTTTGTTGCAACAGTGATCAATATAGATCATACTAATCGCTCATCTGCACGTTACTACTCCTTCAATTTTCAATCAATTTGAATGAGTACTAGGTACTAGTAGAGATAAAGGTTACCTTTTCTGCAACTGCTCAAGTGCTGACTTCAAGTTCTCAGCCCAAACTCAATCGTCCTCCAGATATAGGTAGCTACATAGTAGGACACATAAATTAGACAATATCACAACAATCAGACAACACTATAAAATACAACGGGCTGGGGTTATATGCGCCCGGTTGAAACGTCAACCACAGTGAGCCGGAAATCACCGTCGGTATTTTAACTTGGGCTTGCATATGGCGACACGAAAATCAAGTTTCCGAATCAGCTATCATTTTAAAGTGGTCTTGAATTTTGAAATGGGAGCATATCATTATTGTCGAGTCTTAGTAGATGAGAAAGGATATACTCCGTAGATTTACTAGCAACAGTACTATTACTGCTGTGTCCACACTGATCTGCTGACTTTGGCGTCAACTGGTAGCCGCTATTACTAGTTCGTATTCGCACTAGGCTGCACAGAATCCAACTTCCATGAATAAGAATGTTACAAAATATACTTGATCAGAGTAACCCAGATTATAATTACATATCCCAAAATAGCACTTGAGACGAGGCTTCCAAATGCCAATATCCGTGTGCACTTTTGCTCTCCGGAATATTCCGCCTGAAGCACAGCCATGGTGAAATGAGACTCCCATTCCCAACATCACCAGATCCACAGAGGCTGAGCATCTCGATTCTCCACAAACAGAAATAAGAATCAAGTGGGTCACTAGAACCCTGAGATCCTGGTGTCTGATACGCTCTTCTTTTATCTTCCGTATAGACTGGAGGCTTGTTCTGAGTCAAAAGCAGACAAGGCTGTGAATACAGGGGCTCGCCCCATTATGCATTATGAGGCGTTAAGAGTTGAGGCTTTGTGATCGATCGACAATTTAGGCTGCCACATTTCTCAACTTTCAGCAACAGCTTAAGGATTCGAGTTTGTGCACTCTGAAGTTAGTTGTGTTCGTGTGTTCCTCTCATGTATCTCAAGAGTAGAAGTGAGAGAAAAGTGAGAGAGAATTGAGAGAAGAGCAACAACACAATTCCTCATATGGAATCCTCGGCAGCCCCTTTGAGCAATATCAATACACATGACCGATGATGAAAAATACATACTGATCTCAAAGAAAAATAAAAAAAGGGAGACGAGAAACCTCGAAGGAGTCTTCCATCAGAATCCCCCACAATAACAGACCGATGTCATCCATGAGTGTACTTATTCACGAACAGACATTTGAAACAATCACTTCGGCTTGGGCCATCCATCAATATCACCAAACTAACGAGCACGATAGATCTCATCTCCCAAGCTAATCATGCGTCGTCTCCCATTCGTTACAAGACTGATATGGAACCCACGGAACTTGGTCCAGAGAGACTGTACATATATAAAGCTTCCATACGGCGCGAGGTTGAAGCTCTTCAAATCCGACTGCGGCAGCTCTTCATACTGACCAGTACGATTATAACCATGACGATCATTCGTCGTGACCTCAAAGCCCTGCATAAACTCATCGATGACATCTTCATACTCAGCATAGAATTCCCCCTTCTCAATATCAAAGGCATGCAGTCCTCGATCCTCCGAGAGCAAAAACTTCCGCTGGTTCGGCACTGGGACAAGGTCATGGGGGCCTGCCCACCATGAATACCCTTTACCCCATTCAGTGTCGATGTCATACGCGTTGGGCAGTTTATAGATATACCGCTCATCCACGCTCAGTTTACCCGTCGTCGCATCAAATGGATATCCCTGAATGGTACCATGGGCCGGAACCGGATCTGATCCATCAGCCGCGGCATCAGTACCTGTTGCCCACAACATCTGTGCCTGCTCATCCCAGATCATCGCATGAATCGCGCGCAAACCCGTGATATTCTGCAATATGGGAGCGTCATCCATGAGCGGATTCTCCATGCTAGCATTATACACCATGATACCATCCCAGGGTCGCTGGCCTGTGGTGCCGACCGCGATCAAATCATTAGGTAAGGGTTCTAGGGTATGAGCGTTCCAAAGGAACTCATTATCGCGACAGATAGCCCATGTGATTTTCTTATCATTTACAGGATCTTCTGGCGTGTGGTTGATGACTAGAGCAAGATCGCTATATACGGCAGCGACACTGCTCCCGTTGCGCATGTACTTGATCTCCGTTGCGTCATTGGCGCTCGCATACAGACATCGTTTCAGACCTGTCGGTAGATCCTGGGTGACGTCTTCCCGACGGAAACTCCAGCTCACTTCCCCGGATCGATCATGAATATTGATCTCGGGTGGATGGCCATATACACCATGGATGATTGTGTGCCATGGTCGATTCTCGGGCCGTAAACGGGCTTGAGGTTGGATTGGAGGAATGTACCAGTCGGATAATGGCTCAAACAACAAGGGGATCCAGCCCAGAAATCTACTCAACATGATGCCAATAACGAAAAAAGCCCGAGGGAAAAAAGGATTTGGGGAATTGGCCCCCCCTGTGGCTAAGAGAATCAAAAATCCCTGATGCCTTCTACGGATTAGAGAGATCAAGAACCAGGCTGGGGCGAGGAATCCTCTCTGATGAGAGTGGAGACGAGTTTCCAATCAGATGCTACTAACTTCTAAGTATGGAATTACACAGCCTACATCACATCAATCCTTTAGCCTCGTTGCGCACTTGGGGGGAATATCTTGGCTAAACCGGGCCCCAAGTGGATAAGTCCGAGTGGGAGATGGTCAATGTGGATGAAGGATGAGCGTTTCCACTTCTTGAACAGAAAAGACCCTGATTTGGTTCAGGGTCGTGTGTCTTGCCTTATTCCTGGGCAAAAGCACATCATCAAACTTGAATTCCTTGTGTTCACCAAATCTCTTTTGAAATTGTGAATTCTCGATGCGATTGTGGAAGTTCAAGTTCTGGAAGCCCTTCTCAAAATGAAGGCAACCGGTATGGTGAGGTTTATACATCATCAGGTCATTCAGATCTATCAGTCTCCTACTCGAACCCTGGAGGTTATCGCAGTCTTTTGGGACTTTTCTCGTCGATATTTCTATGCTCTCAAGTTTTTGTCTTTATTCGGAGCAAAATTGCTTCATCTTTACGCCCACCTATATTCACTAAAATTCCTTCTTTGGGGACCGTCATTCTTTTTTCAAGATGTGGCTATCTTATTACTCTTTCGCATCTTTGTACAGAGGCTCTCTGGATTCTTCATGGCTTTCAGTGCCATTCTGGTTATCCCATTTAGGTAATTTCTCGCGTGCTTCTTATTAAATGAGATTCATATTCAACATATCAATGAGTCTCAGGTATGCTATCTCATAGAACATTAATTTCCTAACTCTTTTGTATTATTTTCTAGTTTAATTATCTCAGGTATGGCTGCAGCCAACTTTTCAGTGTATGTCTTCACTGGATCAGAGATTCATTGGAGACAAGCCAAGACCTTTACAGGAGACGCAGCAGCTCTTCGAACAATACTATCTGGATTAACTGGGTTTCTAATTGGAGAGTCATTGTTGGTGGCTGCTGCTCTATTCACGGCACGTCCCATCCACTTATTTAGTGGTGGCGTTTTACATGTCTTGGCTTGGCCCTTTCAATGGGGAACTTCCCAACTCCATCCACATGTTGAACCCTGGTTACATGGCTTGAAACAATCACAGAAATTACCGGATCCTCGACTTTATGAACAGAATCATCTACATGATGATTATCTAGATGAGTCTGGCGATGAGGACGAGGAAGGGGATTACCTACTTACTCCCCCTGGTCATTCTAACTTGAACTCCATCTCGGAGAATAGACGCACGACGGACCGTTGGATTCCGCGTGTTTTCGTCCTTGCGTTTGTCTCCTTGGCAGTAACTCTGCGCTGTCTCAGACCCTCGGATACAGTCTATCTATATCTATCTGGAACATTACCTTTGGCTTCCTTCGAAGGAGGCCACCGGGATTCCCCTGTGGATCTCAGGAGTCTACCTTCCCTCCAGTATAACTATCTTGATTCCAATACGTCATTGCATTCGCCAACATCATGGAATTGGATGCCCAAACACCCTGGTGCGGGATTCGAAGATTGGAAGGTCATGCACAAGGATAAAGACCCTCTGCATTATAGTCCACTGAAGAACCCATTGCATATCTCCAATTTGCAACATCCAGTTCTGGAGTCTATCCGCGGCGTTCTGGACGACGGAAGTGTGAAGATCAAACAGATGGTTCTATTGAAGCTTGAAAGCGCGCGTGCGGATACCTTCCCCTTGCGAAAGGACTCTTTCTTGTATGACCGCATTGCAGAAACGTATGGCAATGACAAGATTTCTCAGGTTATCGAGCGGCTCATCTCAAACTAACCCGAACCGCCGAATTCTTGACCGGGTTCGACTCGGGTTTCTCCTACAATGACTCTCTCCGTGCGGAACGCAAGACATATGGCGGGCTTAGTGCTAAAGACGCCTACACAACCTCGACTTACACTCTAAAGAGTCTCACTGGTACATTGTGTGGGGTGGCACTGCTGGTCGCGGACTTCAATCTCGAGTGGGAGCATCATATCTATAATCCATGTCTACCTCATGTTTTCGAAATGTTGAACCAACAACCGGACATTGCTTCCAATGCATCGGGAACCGATAATTTCACCAAATGGCCCTGGCACTCGATCTACATGCAATCCGTCACCGATCGCTACGATGACCAGAGCAAATTAACTCCAGCTTTGGGATTCCATGACATGAAAACCAAGGAGATCATCGGAAGAAGTCAACTACTATGGATATACTGATACTGAGTTGCACGAGTACATCCGCGACGCTATCGATGACGCCGAACGTAAGCACGAGCGTCTTTTCTTAGCCCATCTCACCGGCACCACACACCACCCTTGGGGTCTACCAAACAAAACCTATGAGAGAATCCTCGGCTCGGAAAACAGACATAATAACGATTTAAACAAGTATCTCAATGCTGTGGGCTTTCAAGATAAATGGCTCACTGAGATCATTGATATTCTCGAAGAGAAAGGTGTTGCAAATGAGACTCTATTCGTTATGGCAGGAGACCACGGTCTCTCACTACCTAATGATGGCGGTATCACTCCATACGATAATCCGCATGTCGGCAGTTTCGCCGTTCCAATCGTCCTCGCACACCCTCAACTTCCAGCTCTTGAGATATCTGCTCCAGTACTCAGCAATCAGATCGTCCCATCAATCCTAGATCTCCTCATTTAATCGAAATCTATCCCATCGGACTCAACCAAAGCAGCGAAGGACATCCTTCTTTGTATGAGGGACAATCCCTTATCCGTCCACTTATCCAAGAGCAAGACGGTATACAGGACTGGCAATTTACAGTTATGAATACAGGTGGATCATGGCTCGCTGTTCGCTCTGCAGCAAAACCACAATTCAGACTGGTTATCCCGCTCGTGAACGATGTGGAATGGCGATTCTCAGATCTGAGTACCGATCCTCAGGAATTGGAGCCTGTTGTTAGGTTCGATCTTGCGGATTTGGCTGTGGTAATTCGTAAACGTTATGGCGAGAAGGTCTTGCATTGGCTTTACGACGCTGCTTATGTGTCGAATTGGTGGATTGAACAAAATTGGAAACGATATGGATTTCACCCTAAGGATTACTGAGAGGTCTGGACTAAATGATGAAAGGATAGATTCTTATCCTTTCTACAGCCGTATTTGATTGAGGTTGGTCGCTTGATTGGTGCTGATTACCTGGTGAGGCTGGATCTCGAATCGAACAGGAGTTCCAAGGAGATCAGAGTCTTATTACTCCATATTACTAGGATGTGGTAGTAGACCTCTTTCCCACTTAGGTTGTAGTGGGTTTTCAGTTTTCCTCAATATCTCTCACTTTAGCTATCTCTTATTTTAAGATAGATATCTATAGTATGGTTACTAGTTAGCTATATCTAACTATATAGCAGGTAGCCTTCTCTTCCACTAGTAGGTAATCATGTAGGTAACCCTCCAGGGCTATAGGTACCTATACATACTACTAACTGAGTACTTAAGTATGTGAACATGGCTATGGTGTCACGGTATCTACTACTTGATCGAGATTCCTGGCCAAGCACTTCAAATATCAAGTACTGAGTAGATACCTTGCCGCTACACACATCTACCTAAATAGAACGCACATTAGATTGAATACATCGATATGTATCTGGTTTAAATTGATATCATGCAATCTCCTTGCCAGTTGCCGTAGTCCTTAGAAGGGTGATTGGTAAAAAGAATGAAAAATCTACTCTGAAATAAAACCAACTCCATCCCCCATATGAAGAAAAAAAAATAGAAATGAAAGCAGATACAGGTGAACGCCCGCAGATTCATCGCCAATTAAGGCTTTCGTGTCAAGAACGGATGCTTCAACGCCTCGGCAGGAGTGATTCGCTTCTCAGGATTCAACCCCAAGCACCGATCCAAGAAATCCACAAACAGTGTCAACTCCTTCACTTCAACATCAGACATTCCACGTGTACCCTTACCCATCAACCGAGTTTTCAAGTCGCGAGTAGGCTTCTTGAAATCCATCACACGAGTCACAGGTCGTCCCGTAATCTTATCCACTTCCGCACTGTGGAAATTGAGCATATCATCGAAGTGCAGGTGGGCCAACGAGCCTCTCCGAAGAACCTTAGGAGGGTATTTACCCCGACACTCCATGATGGACTTCAGCATCTGGTTATTGTTTCGGCCGGTGAAAAGAATCTTGCCCGTGTAGAGTTCGAAAAGAGTACAACCAATGGACCACACATCTATGGCATAGTCATATGGAATACCCAGGATGATCTCCGGAGCTCGGTAGAATCGACTAACCAGGTACGGCGTGATTTCATTATCAGAGGACGAGGATGCGGATCCCAGATCACAGACCTTCAGCACGTTACGCTGCTCGTTGACGAGTAGGTTATCGGGCTTCAGATCCGCATGGAGGATGTTGCACCGACGAAGGAGGCTCAAACCAAGGAACATCTGGTGCGCATAGGCTCGGATAGCGCGCAGGTTGAGTCCGACATCGCGACCGAATTTCTTGAGCACTTCGCGCAGGTTCATGCTGAGATTTTCAAAGACCATGCAAAGATGGCCCTTGTGCTCGAAGTGGCGGAGAAATTTGATGAGGTGTTTCTTATCTTCTGGATCCGCTTCTTGTAGTTGCTCCAGAATACCGATCTCCTTCATACCGGCTTTGCGCATGGTGTCGTTCTGGCGGATAATCTTGATCGCGACGAGACCCCCAGTCGTGGAGTCGGTGGCCCGGACGACAGAGGAGAACATGCCTTTTCCGAGGTTCTGTGTGACATGATAACGTCCGTTGATCAACTCACCAATACGGAGGTTGTAGTACCCTTCAGGATCGTCCCAGTTGTCCATCATGCTGATATCCAACTCCTTTGCTTGAGGGATAGCAGACATTGCTGAAGCGTGAGTCGGCTGCTCATCCTTATCTTCGGCGAACATATCGTCGTCGTCATCCTCTGCAAACATGTCGTAAGGATCTCTCTTTGGGGGTGGGGGCGGGGCAGAAGGACCGTCCAGGATAAGGATATCTTGCTTCTGCGTCTGCGTCTCATCGTAAGTAGCGGATGAGACATCATCCTTTGTTGTCTGGCTGGGGTCATGTTTTTGTCTTTCTTCTTTCATATCCATGGTTGGGTCATAATCTGCAGCTGAGGGCTCATCTCTTTCAGCACCGTCGAGGGGCACAGCGTTATCAACCAGGTCGGTATCCTTGCCGACGTTGAAGTCAGGAAAGCCTTCACCGTTAATCTCGTTCGGGGTTTGTACCGGTGAAGGACGTGGAGAGTCTACACAGATGGATGGATAAGAGTTAGTTTGTTTCAGTAACTTCTGTCTCGTGTTGACAAACATACCCATTGCATCCTGCGCACTGGCGGTGTCAGTGCCAACAGTCGACGAGTCTGTGTCGACGTCCCCCACATGCAACGCCTTGAGGTGCAAGGGAGTCGCTTGGCTTCGGTACTTAGCTCGAATAGCCTCACGACGTTTTCGACGCGCCTCCAAAGCAGTAGCTTCATCAACCGGCTCGGAAGACTGCGGTTCTTCTGTGACATCCGATGCGGAAGGGGTTTTAGCGCTGCAAAATTTATTAGCCACCATGACTTTTGATACTTGAGACGGCGAGGAGACATACTCATCCGCGAAATGGACGCGCGCGGGAGAATTCTGCTGCACCTGGTTCGATTTTGTTTCAGCACCAAGTTTGGAATCCGAAGAGACAGTCGGAGTCTTTCCTTCGCTCACTACCTGATTAGAGGAAGGTCCATATTTCTTGGAGTCTGTGGGGTGAGCATTGGAGTCTGGCTCATCATACTGTTTCTGCTTTCTCACTTCACGATACGGGGATCGGCTATGAGTACGCTGGCGCTTATCGCGGCGTCGGCCGTAGTCATCTGTGTATCGCAGGCCACCCCCGTAGGATTCTTCCTTATCGTAGTCGTGATACGGCTTGTTTTGCCGGCGGGAAGCTGAGCGGTCATTTCGATCGTCGTATCTGGATCCATAGCGACGCGAGGACTCGTACCGGGAATGCCGACTCTCGTACTCATCATACTCATCGTCGAGTCTGCGTTTATAGCCTCTATCTCGGTTGTCCCGGTATGGTGAGCGAGAAAGCGATCGGGATCGGGAGCGTGACCTCGTCCATGACTTTCGTCGGCGTGGTGAGCGACTGCCTTGCCGAAATGCAGGGGATCTGGGCGCAGAGGATGCACTATCTCTGGGGGGACGGTCAACGCTGGTGCCATTAAGAGGAGATTGTGACGCAGTTGCCTTCAACTCTGAGCCTGACTCAATGATCTCACCCTCTGAGGGGGTCGATAGAGACCTCGATCTCTGTTTCGAGGACATTGTTACCGACTGACAAGATCTTGAAATGACCCTAGAACCAGCCCTAAGTCTGGTATTCCACTTTATGTGGATGAATGATTTTTTCTTTCTTCTTGCGGCCTTTGGAGGAGGCTTCAGAAAGCGATGCTCAGTTAGCGGGAGCACAGGAGACAAAATGAAATCTGGGATGTTTGAAAGTCCAACCGGCTTGAGAGGCCTGCCTTCACACCAAAGCCTTGTATAGCTTTGATTATCCCAAGCACATAACTAGAGGGCCAGGTCTTGGAAAAGAAGAATATGGGAGCGTAATGATTCGATTGAGACGAATCACGCTCTGATGGGGGAGATGTGATAGAGATTAGAGGTATTGCATAGACGACATGAACTAAGTCAGAGCTGATCTGGTTCTGTCATCCGTAAATAGAAGGCGGTCAACGAGCCCCTCTTGTATGATAATAAACCGGGGAATTTTTTTTTCTTACTATCGACTTCCCCTCCTTCACTTTTCCCCTTCAGACTTCACTCTCAGTTTAATCTTTTAATCATGGGTGGCGCTAGCAGAGAAGGTAAGCACATAACTTCCTTTACCCCGAACGCAAAAGTCACTCGGGCAGTCTTGAGCATCATACTAACGCCCATTGTAGGTGGCAAGGCCAAGCCTCTTAAGGCCGCTAAGAAGGAGAAGAAGGAGCTAGACGAGGACGAGCTTGCATTCCGTGAGAAGCAGAAGGCCGGTATGTTCTTTTGATTCCCACTCTGTCTCTTTGCGACACTACCTTATCCCGGCGCATCCAACTAACCGCTCGGTACAATAGATGCCAAGGCGAAGAAGGACATGGCTGAGGCTGCCAAGGGCAAGAAGGGACCCCTCAACACTGGTCAGCAGGGTATCAAGAAGTCTGGCAAGAAATAAATTAGGATGGAATGCTGCTAGGCGCATAACATGCGGAGAAACTCGTCACCGTCCAATTTACGATCCAAACGACTCACATCCATATATCCAAAGAGAGCGCAATACATTATTATCCCTCATTCCATACTTATATCCTACTCCTTATGATATCTTCATACGGTCCAAGACTTGGACTTGCATAGCTCTGGTCTTTGTTTGAAGACTGATCGATTCTACTAGAGTTTTCTAGCTTGAATGCAATATCAGATACGCAATGTTGATTATTGAATCTTCGTACAACATTATATTCCAGGAAAGGAGATCAAAGGCTTGAAACGCACCAGAGAAGACAAAGGCACAGAGGCAAGCTAATAAGCCGGGTATCCGAATGAGACAAACAAGGAAAATACGCTCAAAATTTGAAAGAAGAAAAGGAAAAGGACAATAAAAAGGCGCAAAAGAAGAAAAGGTAGACAAAATTTCGCCAGGAAATATTGCAGATTTGATTATCCTCCAGTTTCACTTGAATCAAATAGGCCCAAATGCCAACCTGGAAAGGTTACTTAACTGGTGACCCGCTTAATCCATAGATTACTTCCATCGCCGTTGCTGTTCTCATCCAAGCGCCTCCACGCTCGACTGATCTTCATTCCAAGATCATGCTCCTCTCGCTTGATATCTGCAATCTCATTCTCCATGCTCTGAACGGTTCTTTTCACTTCTTCCTTGGCGGCACGATCATATGCAATAGCAGTAGGTTGGATGACGCGGGTCAATTCTCTAATCACGGTTTCCAGATTGGCTCGACGTTTCCCAAGATCATCCCGTCTGGTCTCCATTGCCTGAACTCGACTCACGGAGTCCTTTGGAAGATCCACGGGTGTTTTTTCCACACCGGTTGCCTCTTGGGAAGCCTCCGCTGGGGTCGGTTTTCGAACAGGCTTCTTTGATGTTGGCATAGAGATGGGGATTGGGCGCCGACGGGACATGATAGAAGGAGTCTCTTCCGTAGACTTATCTTCGCTGCTCGAATCATATTGATGGGTAGCATCCCTAGGACTATCTCGAGGACTATCGCTTTGACTATCCTGTGGACTGAAACCAGGAGCAGGACTGCCAGATCTTGGCACGATTGTGGCACCACCGAATTGAACACCAGCAGTGAACCGCATTGTATCAATCGATGTATCAAGCCTTGGCTCTGGCCTGAGCGCTCGTTGTTCGGTTCGCGGATTGTGTTGTTGGCCCTTTGCTGGGGCTGGTCTCTGCGGCAACGTACTTGGACCGCCGGCAGTGATCGTCGTCACGGTTGTCGGAACAAACCCGGTAAGAGAAGACCTTCGTGTTGCGTCCGTGTTGCTGGCGCGTATGGGGCGCTTCTCATGCTGGCCGCCACGTGATGCCGATTTTCGTCTCCCTCTATGAGCGCCATCTCTTAACCAAGGCTCGGTGTCTTTGAGTGGAGGGCCTTCAGTTTTAGAGAAATTGGCAATTCGACTGCGGGCTGCCTGAGCGATTTTCTTGGAATGGAATTGCTCACGACCCCAGTTGAGGAAGCTAGATGTGGAGCCTATAGGTTTCTGGGAAGTGGTATGATGTGATTCCACTTGGCCAATTTTCCCAGGTTTAGCCAAGGTAGGTTCGCCAGAGTGCGCATCCCATGGGGCTGCTTGCGCGTGAACTGGTCGCTCACGGATTGGAGCCTGGTGAGAGCGACTGACACTTGGCTGTTCAAAGTCTGGTTTCCCATAATTAGGTTCCCTGAAACTTGGGGTCTCAGGATCTTTGCGCTCATAAGCAGGACCTTGGAGAGGGGACCGATTGAAATTCGATCTATCGTTCTCGAACTTCTCGTACTGAGGCTCTCTGAATCTAGGAGGCTCAATAGCTGGGTCTAGAAAGCTTGCTTGTGGAACAGGTGGTTCTTCATCTGCCGGAGAATACTCTACCTCTCGCGATGGTATCTCCTCAGGCACTCCAGATTTAAAAGCAACCGCTTTTTTCTTCGATCGTGGAGGCGATACCGTCAAGGGAGGAGCATCGACATTCATTTTACTCGCCGTCAAGTCACCGAAATAGTCTCCTGTTGAGATCTTTCGCTCATGGGAAATTGTATTGTTCGATTCCTCGATCGGCGAGACACAAAAGCTGCTTCCACTGTCTCTTACACCTAATGTTGGTGACGCCATGGGAGAAACGGCCGAGTATCTCTTATCCTTATAGTCCCCCGAGATGTCCGACGGCCTGGTAACTGCAACGGGGATACGGGAAGACGATTCCGGCTGTCTATTTGATAGTTAGACATGTTTCTAAACTCGACCGGTAGATACAGGTTCTACTCACCTGATGACAGATGGAAGATCTCTGGAAGTCATGTCTGTCTTTGTCGGAAATGTCGAAGTCGAGTTGGTATCCCCCGAGTTGTTATCAGCTGATGTGGGGTTGCCCAACGCGCGCCTTGGACGATTCAGGCCTCCCTTTGACCACATATTAATCCTCAGTGAGTTGGTTGACGATGTCGTTGCAAATTGTCGAGGTTTTTAGGATTGGGCAAAGAAATAAGCAAACGGGAAAAATCAATAGCCCTGAAGTTGATCGTGATCGACTCGCTGAGATTAGGAGAACAGAAAGGAACGAGAGCAGGGACACCCGGGGCTTGCCGGATCCAAGTAATAAAAGGTCGATGACCACGGGTGCCAGCACTGGAGAACAAGGTAAAAAAGATGAAAGAGAAAGAAAAGAGGAAAATCGTCGACCCCCAAAGCCTTACCAGGCGCTTGGAACAAATTAAAATGGGGGCGATTGAGGGTGGAGTTGTCAATAAAGCTTTCTTTATTGGGGGTTCCAGACGTGTTTCATATTTGGGCTTGTATTGTTTTGACTTATTTAGGATTGGAACTCTCCTATTCAATCATTTTTGAATCAAGATCTATATATAGGGTGTCAATGTATCAGGAAGCGCCTTATAGTCACTACTAGTATCTAGTATAGGTGTTTATATCAGTTATCGCAATCCCCACATTTACTCCAATATGAGTGCCTTATACCAGTTGACAGATCGTAGAACAAGTGTTATCAAATGATAATTCAGTAAATCAAATACTTCGTTCAAGTAAGAATAAATTAAACATTTAATTGAGAGAAATAAAAACAATCATATAGAATGCTGTAGAATCACGTGGAGGGCTATGTCATGGTGGGGAGAAATGATCTCCGCACCTGGATTGTTCTACACTCCTTCCGAAGTTCCTCTCGTCATCACACTCATCAGCCCTAGAGTGTACCTCGGGAATCTATACCAAGATGACTGCTGCCGGTACTTGAAATCTTAAAAATCCTGCCATCTTACAGACAATTACTAACATAGGAAAAAATCTATAAGACGATGCTTTGCCCCAGGCTGAAGTGTACGTGATCTTTCTCACGCCACGCCCCCAAAAAACACGGCCCAAACTGACCCAGCCAACAGGATGTCTATCGCCTCCCCAATCAACCTCATTCTCGTTTCCCTTTTCGTCGTCTTGCTTTTCTGGCACTTCAAGCCCAAACAGCCAATCGAGCTTCCGCGTGGGCCGCCACCGACCGTTTTCCGTACCTATATCCCCAAGACCTTGATTGAGTTTAACGGCGAGGATAATCGGCCCGTTTACCTTGCTGTCCGTGGCCGTGTCTTTGACGTGAGCCCAGGCAGGAATTTCTATGGACCGGTAGGTGGATTACTTACTGTCATAGTGGAGACTGAGTGATGGAAAGCTGACCATTGGGTTGATATATAGGGTGGTCCGTACGAGAACTTTGCTGGTCGTGATGCATCCCGAGGACTGGCTCACCAGAGCTTCGATGAGGATATGCTGACAAAGGACTTGTCGGCCCCATTGGATGACCTCAAGGACTTGGATGCGGATCAGCTGGAGAACCTGAAGTCATGGGAGGAGCGCTTCTTGGAGAAGTACCTCGTCGTTGGCAAGTTGGTTGCAGAGGGGGATGCTGAAGCCCCGAAGTCATGATCTAGGAGTCATATTAAATATCTTGGAAAGCTAAAGGACTCGGATGACTTGGATGCCAAAATTGGAGAAACTCATTGGATTAGCATTAACATCACCTGCTTGTATTTCGGGATTTATTTCTGAATATTCATGAATTGCATTGCAATCGCCCGGTAGCAAAGCAAATTGCGCCTATAAATAGACCGTTGAAACGGTTCTTAGGGAAATCGTTTACTTTTGAGTGACAGCATTGAAAACTACCTTTCTGGCTATTGGAAAGGATATCCCATCCAATGGCCCCCAAAGTCCCAATCAAGGAAAGAAAACAAAATATCAATATAAGGGAATTTCATCTCATCGTGACCGAAAATTAAGCATTGCAGGATTTCAAAAACCTCATTGTTGCCTTCCGTTGCTCCAAAGAAAAACATACTTCCTCCATGTTCCATTTTAGCTCCTTTACAGTTCAGCGCGGAGGCTTTGAGTCTTCTCAGAGACCTTCTCACGGACCTTCTCGGCTGCTTCCTGGCCCTGTGCCCGACCGCTGGAAGCTCCGATCTTCAATTGCTCCAAGGCCCACTGCAAAGTGTCGACAATCTTCGCATAAATAGTATCCTGGGGGTTGTTGGTACCGTACTTGAAGTACGTGGTTTGCCGACGAGCTGCAGCGCGCAGCTCATTGATACTTGACCCTTGGTACACTGGGATACCATAAGAGTCAAGGTACTTCTTCAGATCTGAGTGTGACCACTGATCAAAAGTAGTATCTTTGGCAGAGCCGGTAGCTTGGGCGGCGGCAGCAGCAGCAGATGCGTATTGCTCGCCACCGGCCTTAGAGGCTTTGGCGTAGCCGGCTTTAGCATGCTCGACCAGCTCCTCACGAGATGCATCAGCCTTCTCTGCTGCCTTGCAGTTCAATGCAGAGAGATATTTACTAACGAGGGCATTAGCCACGATCTCTCACCAACCATGCGTTATGTGGTTAAATATTCGAAGGGAAAACTCACAATAGATGCTCCGTATCCCAAGTATCAAAGTTGTACTCGTTCCATCCAGTAGCTGCCTTGTGTGCATTAGCACGTACAAAAGCAATAAGCTCATCGCGCTTGCTAGGCTGAGGGACGGGGACACTACGAGCATCCAAGAAAGCCTTGAGGCGAGAGTCTGACCAGGTCTGAATAGCAGCCTGGAATTCATCATCGGTCTTCAATTTCACATTCTCAGTAGCACGCGCATACTCGTTTCCAGCCTTGGTAGTAGCAGCGCCAAATGCTTCCGAGGCAGCAGAAGACGCACTAGCAGCTTGATCCAAAAGATAAGCACGGTGCTTGCGAGAAAGAGCGATAAGCTCATTACGCTTTGATCCTTGTGGAACGCGCACATTGTGTTCATCAAGGAACTCCTTCAGCTTGGAATCAGACCAAGCATTGAAGAGTTCCTCACTCAGCGAGGCCTTTGCGGCTTCGGCGGATGCAACGGCGGACGCAGCGATAACACGTGCTTGAAGACTAGCAATCCGAGAATTGCGACGGAGAGACGCAATCAACTTGTCCCGAGTTGTGGGCTGGGGAACAGCCCATCCACGCTCGTCGAGCCATTCCTTGATATCAGAATCGGACCATTGCTCGTACAACCAGTTACCGGGGTAAGCGGCTGTCTCGCCGACTTTCTTTGCGATAGCTTCGTAATTTTCACGGGCAGTCCGGATGAGGACATCGCGCTTGCGAGGTTGAGGGGCTGGAATTCCGTGGCGATCGAGGAATGCCTTGAGCTGGGAGTCAGACCAGCTATGGTAATATTGTCAGTACTCATTTCAATTCGGAGGAACATGAACGTGAGAAACATGATCCTACCTATCAAAAACCCATTCTTTGGCACTTTGCAGCTCATCTGAGATATGCCCAGCAGCATTGCCCAGAGGTTTCTGAACCTTGGTATCCCAGTTGGACTTGACCAAAGTCTCCAGATCCCTACGGTCAGCGGGACTAGGATGAGGGATATCTGCTCATGTTAGTTTCAGATCATAGATCAAACTTGGGTCTCATAGTCGTGCTTACCATGATCAGAGAGCCATCGCTCAAGTTCCGTCTCATGCCATTTATTGTATACTGGGAGATAGAATTAGCATTGTATTATCAATGGCTATACCTGAAGTCATTTCCATACCAGCTTTGCTCCACCAGCTGGAAGCTCCTACAGCCTCAGCAGTTGCGAGAAAAAAGACCAGGCCAGTGGCCAGATGAAATTTCATGGTTGGTGTTGTTGGATTTGGTGATCTTGAAGCTATAGACCAGGATCAGTATCACGTTGTGGGGGAGCACTACCTAGTGGAATTAACCTACTCAACAAATACCAAATACTGAATTCTGGAGAGTCAGTCAGAGAATTAGTTGAATCAGGCGCATAGATGTATTTAAATACCAGAGCTCAGATCTCGCCTTTCGAAGGGGAAAACAAGCAGCAGGGATGATCTCGCAGTGACGTAGTTGGGGAATTTGCTTGGTTCCCCGGCCAAGAAGTGCATGATTCATCGAGCACTTAAGTCATCAGCTTCTTTAATAGTAAAAACCTGAGAAATTCTAGCGCGTCATCTGAACCCTTGAAAAGACCTTGGTCTAGGTCAAAGGCAAACGTGCTAATATAACGGGCTTTGACTCACTGTGGTAGGTGTTGGTTCCCGATTTCTGTCTCAACTGTACGGATTATACGGAGTAGAGCTCCACATTTTTACTGTTTTGTGACACCTTGTATTTCAAGTTCTCATTTTCCAAGACTTACTAAATGTATGCATCCTCAGGATTTGAACCAGCACTTGGCCACCTCCTGCAAATGCACTCGCATCTCGTATCTCGGTTGCCCACACTAAACTGATCGCGGGTGAGCCCAATTGGGAGTAGGTGCGAGGATGGGCACATTCCAATGTTTCCATGCTGTCATTGGTCTTGCTATAAACAGCAAAAGATCAGGTTGAATCAGGTCCCTTGATGATTGATGAACCTATAATATGCTGAAGCACCTTGATGCTATTCCCAGCTATTTCTAGGGACGATGTTGATGCCTCGTTGCCTGAATTTACATCCCGCCAATCAGCACATGGTCTTATACATCCGCACCAAATACGACCTTCAGACCATAACGCCGGATGCAGCTCAGATTATACAAAATTCAGATAATCATGACAAGGCGATCACTACCTGGAGCAATCAGTGTAGTTAAAATGTTACATGGGTTTATGGTCCTACTTAAGTGGGAGTGCTAGCACCAGCATCTCCGAGTCTATCGCAACTCCTACCTTACCCCAACCCACATGGCGACAACTCGAAGCAAGCCACAGCCATAATGCACGAAACTGGCCGACCAGAAGAATTTATGAGCAAAAAGCTCATCTCTTTTTGCTTATTGTCAATTGTGTTCACCATCGTTCTTCTATTTGGAACGCCGATACCACCACCTACTGGTATAGATGGACCAGCCAGTCCCGTACCGGCAAGCACGAACCAACTTGAAGGTCGCTATGCGATTACAACTTTTCTAGGATTGCGTGGGGATGGAAAGGGCCAGGGCGATGACTCGGATACGGAATACGTTAATATTCGAACACTGGTGTACCAGTTACTTCATGCCCCAAGCACCAAGCTACATGAAGTAGTCCCGATCGTCGTCCTCGTGAATGAGAATGTGCGGGAAAGCAAACGTCAAAGACTCCGGGAAGATGGTGCTACTATTGTGGAAGTTGAGACTATCTCTAATGATCGTTGGGGTGACATGGCGACCAGGCTGCGTATTTTCGATCCCACAGTTGTGCCCTATGAGAAGATCCTTTTCATCGATGCCGAGACTGTTTTAACCCTTCCGATCGACAAAATCTTCAATGATCCCAGTACTAAGCAGATTTACGTTGAGCATGATTCTCAAAATGCGCCAGACAAGGTGGATCGACTACCAGAGAAGTTCGTCATGGCGGCATCACCTGTGATGGCTAGAGATGTCGGATCGGACTCGGCAAGAGCAGACATTCCATTCTGCAACGGGCTCTTCTTATACTCACCTTCCAGAGATCTGTTCAGCTACTACCAAGATTTGCTTGGTGAATCTGAGCTGTATCACACGGATGATGAAGGTCATGATCTGCTGAATTATGCTCATCGCCGGGGAGGACCGATGCCCTGGCAGAATCTGCGTGGATCGTGGTACTTGAACTGGCCTGGAGATAATGATTTGAATGGGAAGACACCACTGTTGCATACAAAATGGCAGGCTCGAGATGGAGAGGCGTCATACTCTAATAGTGCTGTGGGTAAATATGCCCAAGCGCGGAGGTGGGAAATGGAGGGATACTGGATTGGAAAGGATGAAGCTTTCATGTAGAGTGGCTCATCTTATGTTCATGTTATGTTCTCCTTCACGTTTGTTTTATCATGTATAATCTCTTATAATATCCGTGAACCAGTATTCAAATGTTCAAAAAAGTTGTTTTCTGTCGAATGTTCTCTCGATACCTTGCTTTGAAATATTCTCCTCCCAATATTACGGCTAGTGGTGGTCTACAGCTGCCGAAATTTTGCACCTGGACAAAAGGAGTCTATCACATGTGAAAATTTTAACACTTGAACGATATACAACAGGTAGGCACTAAAAGCAGGGCAAGAACGCACATACATATGCACTAAATTGAATTGTTGATCAAGGCTCACCTGAAGAGGGACAATAGAACAACAAGTTGAATGGACAGTCGAACTCAAATCAATCCCAAAGTTAAGATCTTGCGAGAATGGTATTGAGACTCTGATTTCCCCTTTTGCATCTCTCGCAAACATACACTGGTCTAAACCTGGAGCCTTGAAAGTGAAGGTCGACTTCCAAGGTTGACTTCTCTCGCCCAATCTGAACTTTCCTCTTCTCTCTTCAATCACATGTCTCCTCCGGTCTCTATTTCCTTCAACCCAGTCGGTCTTTCAGTCTTCTAAAGAATCACCAAACACTCGACTTCCGACAAAGAACTTCAATATGTGGTCAGAAACTTCAGACGAAATTTCACTTCTGAGTTTGCCAAATGAGCTATTGCTTATGGTCGCGAACGAACTGACGGAAACCTGCTGCATCAACGCTTTAGTGCAGGTGAACCGACGATTTTACCAGCTACTCAATCTCGAATTGTATCGTCACGACGCTCGGAACCGCGATACGGCCCTTCACTGGGCTATCCGAAATGGCTCTCGAAGGACCGCCGACGTGGCTATTCGTGCTGGATGCGATATCGAACGATTCCTAAACAACACCACCCCGCTTATGGCAGCTGCCAAAGCGAAGACCCAAGCGAAGAAGAAGAAGAAAATCAACTTCCTCAAGATGCTACTTGAGAAAGGTGCCAACCCAAATACTCAAGATAGCAGAGGACGCACTGCGCTCAATTTCGCTGTGCAGAATAACAACAATGATCGAATTCTTGTTCTTCTCGGAAAGGGGGCAAATCCAAATACACAGGACGTACAGGGTAGCTCACCTCTGCACACTCCACACCTACTCCCAAAGGTTGTGGAGACTTTGCTGACATATGGCGCAAATCCATCAATCCAAAACCACCGGCTGGGATCACCACTGCACGTCGCAGCCACTCAACTGAACCTGAGCGTTGTCAGGTCGCTTTTGAAGGCCGGTGCAGATCCCTCCGCTCTCGACTATGACGGAAAGTCCCCATTGTTCAATGCCATGCTCCACCAGGATAAAGGTCTTGAAATCGCCCGTGTCTTACTCGAAAATGGTGCCAACGTGCGTCGCTCCGAGGAAGCAGTGCCCGGACCCCAGCCTATTCACTGTGCGGTTCAAACAGGACATATCGCAGGGATACAACTTCTATTGGAATTTAATGCCGACGTGAACGCCCCAAGCCATACTGGGGAGAGCGTTCTTAATATGGCGGCATTGACCGGAAGAACTCTGCTTGCACGGTATCTTGTTGCAGCAGGAGCTGAGGTTGGAGTGGACAGTGACGGCAGAAATCCTCTTCATTTGGCTCTTGATCATGAAGATGGGGTGCTTTGCCAGCTCATACTGGAGAACGACCCAGATCCTGATATCCGGGAGTTGTTTAGCAGCCTCTCTATTGAAGACTATGACTGCCCACAAGCCGTTGAGGTTCTTTCTCGCAAGGGACTATCGGCCCACCGGATGAAGAAAATCTTGATGCAGCCACCGAAGCCACAGGAGACAACGATGACCTCTATTCCCATTCCTTCGTCCTAGGTCTTATTTGAGTGCTTTTATGCTTAGCATCATTAGCTCGCTATCACACATGGTTACTATTTCTACCAATGATATGGCTCTTTTACTATTGTCAGCAATATTAAGCCGTCGGCGTGTTCCTTCTAAAATTTACTAGAGATATCTCCTTGCTATACCTAGACAACAGTAATGTGCATAGCATAGCACTGTGTAAATAGTGTATGGGTCTTTCAGAGGAGACCGTGTCGTTGGCCTTAAGATCGGATCTTCGGCTTGTAAAGAAGCTTGGTAGGTTAGTAGCTTGTGAGAATCTTCCATGATAGATCGTGGCTCAATATTTGCCTTGGGTAGAAATTCTGAATCTTTTTTTTTCAACTATGAAATCATCCACAAGTTGTATGGAGCAGATCTAAGAATGTAAGATTGATTCATCCTTGGATGATGCTACACGTGATAAGCCTATCATTCCTAAAAAGGATTAGCGCAGGAACCCACGGGTAGTTATCAGTTTGCGGGGACCTCGGACTCACTCAGCCCAACTCAGCCTGCAGAGTCAAGCCATCCATGCTATATTCGGATAATATTCCTACTATTCTATTGTCCATGGAGTCTTGAATCTCCTGTGTTCAGACTGAACTACTGTCTTCTTCAAATACCCATCTATTCAAGTTGTCATTTCCCGCGAATACCTCTTCCTAAGCCTTAATCCCTTATATCAGAGCCCTGGAGAGCTCGAACGTCATCTCAAAGAGCAGATCGCCATTGGCAGTCTATCTACCAAACAGAGCTCATGGATTCTTTATCACCTATCTGCCGTGAGCTGGCCTCGCCTGGGGTCTTTCAAACTGTTCTTTCAGTGTATGTTCTTTCTTACCCATTCATCCCAACTGAGAACTAACGCATTACACCACTTCCAGTTTGATCATTTTTGGCATCTTTGTTTCCTATTTACCACAACATATTCGAATCATTACTCGTCGAAGCTCGTTTGGTATATCACCCTACTTTATACTGCTGGGTTTTACTTCTGGTACATCTGCTTTTGCCAATATCCTCGTGTTTCCCAAGACTGCCCAGGATGTCGCTTGCTGCCATGAGATCAGAGGTATAGCTTGCTTTGCAGGGCTACTCGGTGTCTTCCAGATGAGTATGCAGTGGCTTTCCTTCTTTTTAATGTAAGTGGGGTACATTCTTTCCTACATGAATTAATCTTGTTTGAAGGCACGCTACTAACTCTAACTAGTCTACTCCTCTTCGTCATCTACTTCCCCAGAGCCACTTCTCCCACCAACCCAGTCGCATCCGTCTCTACAAACCCTAGCGGACCAACACACCGTACTGCAATCTCTATCGCTGCAATCTGTGTTCTCCACGCTGTAGTCACAGTGATAATTTCCGTCGCACTCGCTCTTCGACAACCCTCCGCTCTCGCAGCATGGGCGAATTTCCTTGGCATCTTAGCTGCTATCCTAGCATCCATTCAGTACTTCCCACAGATATACACGACCCTCCGCCTACAATGTGTTGGAAGTCTGAGTATTCCAATGATGTGTATTCAGACACCAGGAAGCTTGGTCTGGGCAGCAAGCCTGGCAGCGCGAGAGGGTCTCAAGGGCTGGAGTATATGGGGTGTGTTAGTAGTTACAGCTTCTCTGCAGGGTACCCTGCTGATGCTGGCGATCTACTTTGAGTATTTTGGTCCAAACCGTCACCGCAAGGGAAGTGTGAGTGGTGGGCCTGGTGACCAAAATGGTGCTCAATCGAATGGATTTACAGCATCTCCAGAGAGGTCTGAGGCCCCAACGCAGAGACCTATTTCAGCTGGACAGCCTTCTGAAGAAACACCGCTGTTACAAAGTCAGTGATAGGAACTTGAATCACCCGCTGTGTAATAGCTCAAAGTGCGGCTGGTCCGCATGAACTTACAACTTACAACTGTTATACGCCGTCGTTGGCATATATACACACATAGAACCCAAAGAAATGAATCAGCAATGAGAATCTAGGAATCAACGCATTCAAGTTAAAGTGCTAGTAGAGAGTAGACATCTAGAGATAAGAATAGAATTTCATTTCTTTTATATTCGATTGAAACCCATGGAATGAATCAAGTGGACTTGTGCATTCAGAATGGCTTAGCAGGCCTGCCTATCTCATTTCTAAAGCACATGGTTTCCACACCCCCAAAGGAAGTCCTCCATCATTGCGTCGTAATAGCTTCTCCTTTCACGGGTTATTTAACCCATAACCAGACGGAAAACATCGTTCAGGACAAAGAAGCTGCCCTGGTCAGGCATGAGCTTGAAGCACTGAGTGTAGTTCATGGGACGCTGCTCCTCATCGACCTAGGTAGAACCGATGTTAGCATGAGAGGTTAAGAAGGAACTCGAACCCAATTGGATAGCTTTGGACTGTATTCTTCACATACCAGGAGAGCACCAGTAACAAGGACAACAACACCGTCACCGTGGGTAGGCTGAGCATCCAGGGTCGCAATCTGGTGGCGAACCTGCTGAAAGGGCAGGCTCTGTCATAGACAGGTTAGTTAGATTATTTATTCTCGACAAGAAAATATGGATAAAAAGAATGGACGAACGGTCAGCTTCTCGACGATGTCGTTGGTACCCATGTGCGAGCTGGTCTCAAAAGTGAGCATGGAGTGGTCCCGCTTTATAAAACAATCGTTGTTAGCACTTGTAATGCTTATTGCAGAATACTCGTAGGGCTAGACTGAGGGGTATATAGTCTTACGTAGAGGGGTCCAAGAGCCGCGCGGTTCTCATCGAAAGTGTTGTAGTAGAACTGAACGAACTGCTCTGTAGTATACGACAGTATTGTTAGATAGGCTCCTTTTTCATCTATTTGAGGGGATGCTTTGTTGCAACGCCCAGGCCCGAATTTCGCCAGCGCGGGGTGATAATTCTGTGCGGGCGCATGCGGATTCGAGAGGTGGACGAGGGGAGAACATACGAGCGATCTCGGTGAAGTCTAAAGCAATTCATACTGTTAGCATCACTTTCACTGTTTGTTTCAACCATAAGGACTTTTCCCCATCTGGTCGTGGTGTAAGAGTTGCAGGCGCAACCAGTTCACATTGTGCAGGGGAGGTATCATATCCTGGACTCAACGTCCCTCATGCAGTGAACTGAGCGGGGTGGGGGATGAGAATGGTGCTTGATGCCCATTGTCCTACATACTGGACATTTTGACGGTAGTTTACGAAACTTGCGACTGTATAGATCAAGAAGGATGTGAGAGATTGTCTTTGTTGACGCGGGAGGGGTTGTAACCTGTGGGGCACGAATTCTGCCGGCTAGGTGCCTCAGGCGGCAGAATTCTATGCGCCCAGTCTACTATTAAATCTACCCGATGATCTCACTTTGGGATGAACTCATAAGTGAGATTGGGAGGAATTGGGTACAAGTAAGCTGCTCTTTCATGTATACATGTGATAAGAGTCTGAAATTTAATTGGTATCATTCAATTCATTAATATACTTTATCGCTCCACTCATTCGGAGTCTGACGCAAACATGTCTTCAGCTTTAGGGCGTGCCTTTCGAGGACGTCGAGATGTCAAGTCTGGGCCCCCGGGCTCTGCCTCGATTTGGGTATGTGTTTGATCTGCAGTATTCTCTTCGCCCAAATTTGAGTTGTCATCTTCCATGGCTTCGCCATCCTCGAAATCTTCGAGGTCGCTATCTTCCATTGGAACACCATCGATGTCACTCATGGATTCGTCCTCAAGGACATTCATCTTGGTCTCAATCAGACCAGCGTAGTTTGCTTCCAAGTTTTCAGGCACATTGTCATCGTCCACGGCCTTCCATTTACTCTTTCCCTTAGAGAACGCCGCAGCTTTCTCCAGCTCGGCTTTCTCTTCCTTTTGCAACTCGTCTTCGCTGAGCGGTGGCTGTTCAAACATTTGAACAAAGTGTTCATGGCTGTCTTGTGGGAAAACACACCATCCTTCCCACAGGTGCAAAAGGGTACCGACACTTCGCTTCCATTTCTCAGCTTTCAATCTTCCCCAGCTGAGATCCTTTTCGAGTCGGCCGAGATGCTCGAAGACCTTGTGGGCGCGAAAAGCAGATTCGAAAAGCTGCCGGTATCGCCATGCATGACGCATGCCGCTGGTTGCTGACGAGGAAAGAATATCAGAGACAACATACAGCCCAACTAATTTGGAAGAAGATAAATCCATCAGAGGCTTCGACGAAGTGTTGGCGCCGTCCTTTTGGACGTTTCCTTGATCTGCTTCAGCCTTTTCGGATTCTCGATCAGGGTTAGCACCAGTGTAGACCAGTGGATTCAAGATATTTAGAATAATCATATCCACAACTTCGTCGGCCCCAGCACCAGCATGTTCAATGGCAAAAGCAGTGACCCGTGCTACATCACCTCGCCGAAGCTTAGCATGAGTTGTCGGCAGTCGCGCCAAAAGATGAGTGAGCTTGGCTTTTTGTAACGGATTCATGTAGCCGAGACCATCTTGTTGGCTGGTTATTCCCTCCGGTGGAGGTCCACCGCCGTAATTTCGTCTCTCATCTTCGTTGTCTGAGTGCTCTTCATCGGATGAGTCGTAATCGTTCTCAGATACAAATTCTTCAAGCTGCGTGGTGTATTCGAATTTGATGTGAGTATCAGGAGGAAACCAATCTGGCTCGCCCTCAAAAATTGAGGAAATTCTGGTATCAAAATTTTTGCGGCTAGACACAGGCTGGGTGACGATTTGCCATAGCTTCCAGCGATAGTATACACCACCGAGGCTCCGTGCATCCCAAATCCAAGCCCATTTCTCTTCCCTCTGCACCTCCGGTCGACTCATCAGTAATGCTTCGAACTCAGGGCCATATTGAAGGAGAGATTCCAGAGTCTTGTGGATTAGCCTGAGCTGCTTTATATCTGAGGGCACTTTAACCTCGACCCGAATAGATGGCGCTAATCCCCCCGAGATTTGGTCCATATGAGCTCGGGGGCGCAAATCCTCCACGGTGAGAACCCGGTGGCGGGGCACGATTAAGACTGCCTCCATGTGTTGTTGGTTGGATGTTCTTGGCCCCAAATGGAAGTGATCCAGTAGAGGAGCCAAGAGACGCTGAAATATTCGAAGTAATCGCCGCAGAGGAGAGATGCCGAGACAGAGAAAGATAGTACCCGCGACCCAGGTACTTATTCTGAAGTGCGCTAACAACGGTATCAATATCTGAGGCTGCAGTATCACTAGCAAGGGTGACTATGGCCGCTGAGGATTTTCGTTCTGTTGGAGTTTGACTGGATGGACGTGTGATGTGTACATTATCGACAACCAAAGAGGACGGGATCAAAGATTTGATCACTGATGGAGAGGTTCCAGGGGGTAATGAAGCCAGCTGCAGCGTGGGCTTAGCAGCAGCTCTCTCGGCTTCTTTGGTGTCGGTTTTGCGATAAGTTTCGTCCTCAAGTGTGCTATTGTATCCAGGAGGGCCGGATGAGACGGCAGTTGTTTGATCGAACCCGAGGATACCTTGGGCGGGGTCACGGTTGCGTGAGAGCGGCGTAAATCCTTCATGTGTGCGTTTGCGAGACAGCGATTGTGGGGAGGGTCCTAAGCTACCTGGGCCACTACTGCGAGGACCGGAGCTTGTGAAGTGTCGCCGCGCAGGTCCCCCTCCCAATCCACCACCCCGGGCACCAAATGTAGTCTGTCGCGCATCGAAGGGCTTTGAGCCGACCGGAGAATCATCTTCGAATGATTTAACAAAATCCTCGTAGACTGCTGCTGTTTCGGCTTTCTCCCGAGCGCGTTTAGCTTCGGCTTCGGCTTTCTGACGCTCAAATAACGATTTCTTAGGCAACGCGGAGAGTTTGGCGGAAACATCAGGGAAAGCCTTCCCCTTCAAATCATCAGGCATGATGTGCAAAAGCTGCTGCTGCAGCGAATCGAAACTCAGCACGTAGTGATAGGTTGCTGTGAGGATGTTGGTCTCCGAAAGGTGCAGCTCGAGTCCTTCCTGATTGGGAATCTACCGGGCGGTGAGGAAAGCGGTCATCTTATCGTCTCATTTGTCCAGAAATTCAAAGTCTTTTGAGTCTTCAACAACCTTGGAAGTTGGAACCGGAGCAACAGCTAATCTATCGAGCAGATTAATTACAGTTTACGAACTTGAATTAACAGTGCCCAGGTGCTCTAGGTGAAATTTCTACTTATCCAAAGCAGGAAATCACATGATCATCCAGCGCTTGTTGCCATCCCGACCAAGCACAGAGACCACTAGTATGTTGGATCCATTGAATGAACTCGAATCTTGAGGTAACATACGTATACCGAAATCATCGACCTTGGAAGCTTTTCTCGAGTTTCCTGGGTAGTCCTTATCTGCTAGTTTTGCTTTCCCACTGTCCAATCTCAGTTGACAGCTTTGTCTCCCTCAACCGTCTCAACGTTCGCAGTAGCGGGCTTGCTCTGAGTGCCTTCTTCCAAGGTAATATTTTTGCCCAGTGTTTTCGTGACGTTCACCTCGGTATCACGATGCAGATCCATGACGTCTCTCTTATAAAGATTGACATATATAGGGAAGCTTAGAGCGAGGATGTAACCCATCATAGGAATAACCATGGATGTATGGGCGCTCACGTTAGTCTGCAAGATATCAAAACGTCAGCATGCCCGAGTTCAATGCCGAATTTTAGAGCAACTGAACGGCTCCAATTATACGAAGAGATAAAACATACAACGATGGCACCCATCATAGGAGGAAAGACCATGCCACCAGAGATTGCAGCAACCAGTAGTGAGCCACCAAGCTTGGTATGTTGACCTAGACCACGGAGGGACAATGAGAAGATCGTTGCGAAGCAGAGCTAATGGGTCAGTTAGAGGGGATGATCCTGATCGAGTTGTTCGTTCTGAATGCACTTACCGACTCAAAACACAAAACGAGAGTAATCATCACGATAGAGGTTGTGCCCTTGTTCACTATAGCGAGAATAGAGAAGAGGGTACACAGAATAAAGAAGACAAGCAGCATAATACGTGGCTTAAATGGTTTTAACATCATCAAACCACCGGAAACAAAACGCATGAATGCGTAGAGACCTTGTGCTACGGAGAGCAAGTCGGCTAGAGAAGATATCCACCGTCAGAAAGTGACAACTGAAATCAAGGGCATGACCCAAAACTTACAACTTTTCAAAGAGCTTCGACCAGCCTCTTCACAGAAATTGATAAAGTATCCAGTAACGGCTGCTTGTGCTCCTACATAGCAGAACTGACTCCATACACCAAGAAACAGGGTGTACTGTTTCCTGAATGAGCCAGGGTCCGCACGACTATCCGCAATCATGCTCTCCAACGCTGCTTGGTCGGCATCAGTAATTTCTGGGAAAGGTGCAAGCCAGAAGAGGATGATGAGGAGAACAACAAAGCAGGCAATGGCGAGGTAGGTCCATTGGACATTCTTCAACCCAGCTTCAGTGTTCACTGTGTTTGCAAAGAAGACGCGGGAGGCCAAAAGTGGGCCAATAAAGGTACCAACTCCCTGAACGGCTTGTCCCAAGTTCAATCGGATCTCGCTATAGCGTGGAGGGCCACAAATGGAAAGGAACCTAGATTTGGAGGTGTCAGATGGGGTTCGCAATGTATGATGGGATCACAAAACATACGGATCAGCAGCGGTTTCCAAAGTAGATAGACCGGCCCCAACAACCTAGTAGAAAGGTCAGTTCACAAGCAACGGGTGAGTGTTATAATCAAATGTCCAGGTGTATTGTTTACTTAAACATGCTCCCGCAGAAGCCTCCAAATGACTTTTTTGTTCCACTTGGCCAGCAGAGAAGACATCCAACGGCCAAAACAGAAAGACCTGGTTCATCAGCATAACTAGCCAAGAGCTCTATGCGATAAGGGATTTTAAGAAAATGCTCTAATCGGTCATAAAGGTCACTCGAAATCCATACTTGCGACAGATCCATCCGGAGATCGTTAACGGACAAAGAAAGTATGCAGCGAAGTAGGATGCCTGCAATCCAGAAGACCTACCCGCGGTGGTATTGAGGACGTCCTGGAAATGCGAGTTCAAGGTATCCAATAGACCATAGCCAAATCCCCAAAGGAAGAATAGAATGGTAAATATGAAGGTGCATCCTGTTAGCTCGTGATCACAAGACTCAGCACCAAGCTCGGCAATGTACCCAAAAGTTTGGATACAAAGACTGTCGCAATATGAAATTGATTGCCGATGTGACAGTACTGTCATCGACTGTGATTTTTCGCTTATAGCAACCCATGGTGGATCGGCTTTTGGAGTGGGGAATCCGGGGAAAGTTGATGGCCCACAGAGAAACAAGTGCAGATACGAGGGAGAATGACAACAGTGGGCCAGATCTTTGCGACCTTATACAATGGTCCTCAGACTCTCTCCAACTCCGCATTTAAGGCCAACATTGCTTCAGCATCGGGATAGTTTGAAGCGAAGCATAGCTTGACTTATGATCACCGGGCGTTGGTGGCGCCCGGCAGTCGTTTTCATATTAGGCGTTCCCGTCTGGGCAAAATTGCTTGGGGAGTTAAGCAACCAATAAAAATGGAAGGGCGCAAATTAGCCTTTATTTGGAAATGATATGTATTGGGTACAGAGAATATCCATGGACTTTTTAGTGAACTCCGAACAAGGTCATTCAGGGCAGGGTTTCAAGGTTTGTGGAGAAGCTGGGGATGTGGAGCCGACATCCCCCCAGAGCCCTCTTGAACCCCATTGGAGACTTCACAACTTGGACTCGCCCTAGTGTGGGGGGGAAAGGTGTGAAATGCCAGTGTCTGTACCAAGAAGGAAGGCACCCATGCAGAATTCTCTCCGTTCTATACTGTGTCCATACCACATACACGTACATGGCGCTCAAACTCCAAAGAAATCGGGAATGATCTACTGGTGGACGGACTCTACTAGCACATTATTCCCCTCCAGGCTAAGTGCCATGGACGCGAAAGCATCTCTCAGCAATTATTCGTCGTACATTCCCAGACCAATCATTTGAAAGCCGCCCCTATTCATCTTCGCATGATCCACCACTCGTAACTCCCGACGTAACTCTTGATGCATCGGAAGAGTATTCCTTTCGGAAATCCCTACGCCGAATTTCCAAATGGTAAAATTTGGTGATTCTGTAGGTACTTCCCTTCAGCTTCACCACTGGCGTATGCTGGAGCCTTCAAGTTTTTGGAGCTTGTGTTCATATCCCTCAACTTGCTTGAAGTGCTCAAGCGTTATTGATGGTTGGATGGATGATTTTAGCCAATTCAGAAGAGCGGTAGTCGGTTAGAATGGAATTCCAATGCAACCTCTCCAGATTGACTGTTTTGAGGGGAGACCCTTGGAAATAGTCAGAGCCCTGGTGCCCAGGCCTCTTCGCTTCGTCGATAATATGATCAAATTGTCTACGATTAGTACTTCACCTCTCCTGAGGTCATCAATTGATCAAACATTGAACATTTGAATGACTCGGAGCATTTGAGATATTCACATGTGCACATGTGCACGTCACGGTCCTGCAAACATTGCACATGAACTTGAAGGCATACTGGTACTATGCAGTACACCACCTAGTACGTGCACACATGTATATTTGAGCCGCGGCATACCTACACATGTACCACCTGGGCAGTTCAAGTTGACGTACACATTGATGTATTATGGATAGGTATACTCTATGTACTAGTAGTATTCCAACATTTTGAAGGTTACTATCTCCAGCCCCGGGCCTGGCACCTGGGCATGTGGCGGCTAGTATAGTCAACATTTGAACTATCAAGTACCACCGTGACATGTGCAGGGACTAGTACCTAGGCACTACATATGTAGTACATATCAATGGATGCACATCTCCACAGGTACTAGCCCCAGGGCCTGGAGTAGGTATTCAATTCAATTTTTTGTGGACGATATGATTTGATCATTACAACCTTCAAATGTTCAACGTGAACCTTGGAAGTTCCAAGCTTGGGTTCAAGTTGGAACTTGAAGGTTTTATACTATTTCGCGACTCTCCATGTGCTAGGCTATTCAAATGCATGTGTTCATATTGAGATTCAAGTCGACTGGTTGGACATCCATTGAAATAGTATTCAATGTTCCATGGTCGAGATTAGGTACTAGTAGTGAAAGTAGTAAGTCCTCAGGCTGCTAGTGCCAGGTGGTATTTAGTAATTGTGCATACACAGCAACCTTAGAACATACCTAGGTAAGTGCTATTAACTTGAACTTGAATATACCTATATAATATAAGATCACTCAGCCCTGCCCACATGTGCAGGAGGGCGGTATGAACACTACCTAGTAAAGCCCGAGTCCATAGTGTACACATGGTAGTGAACGCACGTGTTCGTTTCTAAAATTGAGTATATTATTCTGAATGTTTAATTAAACTCAATTTACTAGTAAAGAATAAAGAACTTATTTACGGAACATGAGGACCATATATATAAAGATCACTGGACTATTATTTGGCTATTGATCACTAGCGCCAAGAAGGTTGTGGAGTTAAGAACTTAAGAACACGGGAGGCTTGGAGGATGTGGCCCACTCAAGACACGGCACGGAGTATAAGAGATCGACAAATTAGTCCGTACTATTGATGCGTGATGGCCATTGTTCTACTTTCAAATTTTCGATAACCACGGCAGTTTTCTCATGGGATAGATAGCATAGCAACATGAATAGCTCTCCATCGGATAATCTATCACTCACAGAATGCTTACTACTCAGCCTTCTGCAGCCATGGCTGAGAAATGTCTCAAGTTCAAGGTTGATCACAAGGCGTCTTTTTTTCAGCTATAAAAGAGACTGGCCGGGTTCCAAAGGTCACTCCAAGAGATTCAACATACAATACATCCATAATGTGTTTCCCGAGGTCGGGGCTTGCTTGTTCACCTCGGCCAACGTGAGATCATAATTGGTTTGTTGGCTATTGATAATTGCACAAGGTGAATCAATCTTGGAAATATTGGAATAGCTTGAAAAGCCTTGAGTTGTTTATTGAAAGAAAGCCATTCAAATGTTTACATGCCTCTGCCGTCATGGTAGACTTGCCTCAAGACTCGGATGTATGACTCGGGAATCGCAAAGGACAAAGAGAAGGAAATACCCACATGTGTAAGAGCTTCGTACTCCGAGGAGCAACCCATTAAATGTATTCATCTCCAGGTCAACCACATATCTTCATTCAAAGAGATAAGATCTATGACAGATTGCACCTGGGCATCAGGAAAGACGAGAATATAGTCGACTAGGTACTACTCAAATAGAGCAGAAATTCCCGCCAGTAATCAGATGTGGTCAAACGTTGCGGACTTTCACGCATTTGAGAATACCATTCGGTTGACCAGCCTGTAAGGCACTTCTTTGAGAGTTCGATTTTGACATCATAAACAAAATTGGACATGCAGATATCGTCAAGGCCTGAGGCACTAAATATGGGGCTCAACGATAGAACCTTGGACTGGAACGTATTACTGGAACAAATTATTGATCTTAGGCCGGTCAGCTCATCTCTGAAAATTGGGTCGGGTACGCTTTCCCGCACGATAGATCGAGCAATCGGATTGGACGGATAGTGATGAGCCTTGTGGACCCATGATGAGAAGGAACCACAGGACATGGTCAACCCAGGGGATTCTAGATTAGCGAAAACAATGTCGAATGGAAACAAAGAGGGCTGGTTCTTAACACGTCTTGGTGTTACGCGCGGTTCAGGCTGTTCTTGAGTCCCGTGCTGAGGCCAGCTCACTGCATGATCAAGAAACGCAATTGTCGAAACGCAGGAGTTTCATCACATCACCAATCAGTCAAGGAGACTCAACAATCGTCTTCATGGTGACGGGGATTCCCCGAGTAGCCTAAACTAGTCTTGGCAAGAAGTCCGTTTCGTTCTAACATTGTAGAGGTTTTCAGGGTTTCCATGGATCCTTGACCTGATGTAATACTTTCCCCTACCGTGGTAGGTAGCGAGTCCTCCACCGACGTAATTTTCGCGGCGGGGGCTCCGACCAGGGTCGAGCACAGGTTCGCGGGAAAAAAAGGAATTAAAAACTTGGAAGATAATCATCTTCCAGGGTCGATATATGTACAGTATCAGTTTCTGTAATGCCGCTGCCATGAAGGATTCCAAGGTTATTCATCTCAGGGCATTTTGTTCACAGTGCTTCACATACACGTACGGGTAACATTTAGCCCGTTCTGAGACAACATTTTCCTCGTTTAGAGCCGGGCATATCCGCTGGCCAATCTTCATCAACCATGATTGGGGCCAGTCTGATGCCTTGAAATCCCGAAAGAAACCACCAGATTGGGGGTTTGAAGGGTGAATTTCCAAGTTCCAACCGTCCTGCGGGTTCGAAATTCATCTCTTCTGTATTTATGTATTAAAATGACCCGAAGGTGAATTCTTGCTCTTGTTGGGCTCTGCAGGGGTGTGGATGCCGGTCCACAATCATACGGTATTGTTGTCTGGAGCCCTCCAAGTCCAGGCTGGAGACATTGTTCCTGTTTGGGCTGCAGGTTGAGATTCCAGACCCCGGGAAAAGACCGGAATTCGCATGGTTCGAGGCTGAAGGGTGTTGACAATTTGCGATCTGATCAGACTAGAGTTCAGATCAAAGAAGATATACTCCATAATTTGTATATCCTGATGTTTTTTTTTTCAACTAACCTTTTTGAGTCTGTTTATTTTTTTTTGATAGCCCTTTCTCTCTCTCTCTTCTCTTGCCGTTTTCATCTAGAGTGGGTGGCAATGACCCAAGACCCACCACACGCAGCTGGAAAGGTGACTCTAGTCGCTAGTCTGGTCGCCCTAGTGGCCGTAGCGCTGATGGAGGAGTACCCAGTCGATCACAGTCCAAAGGGTCTTCCCTTCATCATGGGGAAGAAGAAGAAATAAGGGTCTCACAAGATATAGAGATGAAATATTAGAAACCTTTTCCCCATTAAAAATAAATCCCAGTAAAACAAAAAAGAAGTAGTTGAATATAACATTTTCCCAAATAAGATGAATGAATTTGTTTTGGATGTGAATCCTTTTTTTTTTTTCATACCTGTCATTTTCAAGGTTCTCCCGTACAGAAACTCTCACATTGCGGCGCCCCCTCCCCGACCTTGTATTACGCCCGTCACACTAAGTCTCAAACTTCAGTCCCTCCCCTTCCCTCCTCTCGCTCTCTCACCTTTCCACCCCTTCTCTAATCCAACCAACAACCTCCACCTCCCATATCTCAACAATATCCTACAAATAATTCCCCTCTTCCGTTCAATATTTTCGAGGAAGAGCTCTGCGAATTTTCTTCCATTTTTGGATCCGCCCATCCCATTCGGGGGTGAGCCTGTTACCCGGATTGAAACGAATTCAACGAGGGTGGCCCGATAGGGCTGCCAGAGCAGGGGAATATGTCTGGACACATTTCACCCGATCATTCTCGCTCGGCTTCGAGGTCGTCTCAGACCCCACGGTTATCTCAGGGACAGTATGAATCGATGCCTCGCCACTCCCTCGGTCGCACGTCACGCCTATCCAACCCCAATGTCTTCTCCGACGAATACTCTTTAGAACCCATCGATCTCGATCAAATTGAACGCGCCGCCAGTCCCGACTCCATCGCCTCCTCAACAACATTAACTCACCCTCCTAATAAATCTGCTGGTGCAACTTTAACGGAAAATGCCGCCGACCCTTTCGCCGATGACGCCCGGGTATCCTTCGAGGAACCCCGTCGATCCAGTTTACCACAGAAAGGAGGATTCTCCAACAACCGTAATTCTGTCTCATCCATCAATAATGCTGCCTTTGCTGTGCAAAGGAATCAAAGCGTTTCCTCCCGTTTCTCTATCCCCCGCGCTCTCAGCCCCTACACCGGTGCGACCGGCCCCAGTCATCCATATTCAATGTACCCTCAAGTCGGGGTCAGCCGTACCAACAGTGTAGCCAGTGTCTCGACAATTCGTCCGCATGATCGACCGCTAGGCGAAACCAGTGGTCCCCAACATCCTTATGGGATGTACGCTCAAAATGTTGTTGAAGAAGGGATGGACGATGATATTCCGGTCGGCTTCAATGGGCTTAACACCTCATATCAACCGCCTCCTAGCCGTCGAATTGATGACGTTGGCGATATTATTGGACCGGATGGGCATACAGAACCACTTCCTCCTTATTCACGATATCCCGCGGGAGTTGTTCCAAAACCACCTGGGGTAGAGACCTTGGCAAATGGAACCCCCACAACCGTCGACATTCATCTGCCACCCGATGAGCATCAATTGAGTTCAACTTCAAGAGAGCCAATCTCAAATACATCCTCAAGAGCCCTAATCTCCGGTGGATCAGAGACTAGTGAGCGTAATACGGCAACGGCCGCGGCAGCAGCCGGTGTCACGGGAGCCACCACATTAACGGGCATCATGGCTTTCGAGGAGAAGCTGAAGCGTAAAGGAAAACAAACAGCTTGTTGCGGCCTGCCGGTCTGGACGCTCGTCCTCATTGTGACGGTAATGTTGATTGGAGGTTCTATTGGAGGTGCCATTGGCGGTGTTCTTGGCACAAGGAGAGCTCAGGAAGCCGACCGGAAAGCAAGCCAGTCGCAAGGTCCGCATATTGTCACTGTGACTGCTTCACCTCAAATGGATTATTCCTCGATAACGACCACACCAACAAACTACTCGCCAGCACCGACCGGTCACTATAACATTGACCCAGTCTTGCAGAATTACTCTCGCATGTGTGTCGTGGACCACGATATTAAGGAGGTCTGGAGCTGTCTTGAATCAACCAATGATTTTGAGGTTTACATCGCAGGTTCTAATGGCCAACAATCTATTGTTTTCCTTGATGATTCCCCAACGTCAACTTACTCATATGGTGCCCAGCAACCTGTTCTTCCAACTCCCACCCAAAATTTGAGCATGGTTATTGATACCAGCGAGGCGTATCTTGGGCCTGCTCTCTTTTTCTGGTCGTACTTTGACAAGCTTGTGATTTTGCCCGAGGATGCGATTGATCCATCCACCGTTTCTAAACGGGATGATATCACAGCAGAGAGCTTTTCATCCCACATCCAGCAAAAACAGACTGCTCAGCCTGGCGATAAGCCGTGGTTCTGCTGGTGGAACAGCACGATGCTGGAATTCTTCCTGTATGTCAATCGAACTGCACACGATACTTCATATGATGCGACTGCTGTCACTGGCGGCAACCTTGCAGCGAGCATGGCTACGACCAACGCCAAAGTCAAGCGTGATGACATCACCCAATATCCCCGGATTGTCAAAATGGAAGAGCGACGAAACCACCAAGGCGCCACTTCGCCATACTGCCAGCAGATGCAGGTGGAAAGCAATGGTCAAATCCAATCCATTCCAAGCCAGGTTTATTCGGTCCAGGAGGTTGAACCCACCCCAACAACCACAGTATCCAACACTGCCTATGGCGCTGATCAGACATATACTGCAAAGGCACAATGGGCTACCCCGTGTTACTGTGTGGGAGTATCTGATTAGTCTGATTCCTTGGCATTTTGAGCGACTTCGCATTATTGTTCTATGTGGTATTTTCTTTTTGACACACCGGCACGGCGTTGGTTCTGGTCCTGAAACTTGCATTGGCTTATGTGCACACGATCATCTATATTCTCTTTGTGTGATTCTATTCTGTTATATCTCACGGCATTTCTCCCTTCCCTTCGCAGGAGACTCATTCTTCCTTTCGACCCATCTCCTGATCATCTTCTGCCGTCTTTTCTATATCTCCCTTTCTTTTCTCTTCTTTACCCTTGCTGACCTTCGGCATGGCATCCTTGTGCTTTGGCGCAAGTTCTCTTTCTTCCACTGGGTTATATATGGGTCTATTTATCATGGAGCCTGGTTTTTATTAGCGTTCATATTTGGTGAATTGGTGCGATTTGGGTATATTGGGAAATCAACTGTTGTCATGTCTTGGGCTATCTGATCCATATTTATCTTTTCTTTTTCCATGTCATCTATGATGTATACACACCATCAGTGTCTCCTTGAATCAAAACACAGAGCAAAGAATTATATTCATCTAGACTCTGTCTTATTTCAGTCACTTTACTTTTCTCAGCCCCACCTAGCCATCTATGTAGTATGTGTCACTTATGGTGTAGGCAAGCAAAGACGTGGATGGTTTTCAAATGTTGTCTTGAGAATGTCTGTGGCAGTCAATGCTAACGTTCAAATCACACAGTTTATCACCTAGAGCATTGAGGTCATGCCCACGGCATCCATGCCAGTGGATGCGATAGTCAAGCCAACACCTCATGTATTGGTAGGCGTCCTCAAGCCTTTCGAGAATTTAAATTATATCTGAACTCTGGTCTTCGGCTATTTTAAGGGTTGAACTTACATTTTACAAGGGTCGTATATCAAAGAGATTCTCTAGGGTTTGCTTGCTGGTTCCTGACATGTTCGCTGCAAATGACCTAACTTAAGTCCCTTCTCAACTGAAATATCTAACTTCCAAGCTTTGATTTGGAATGTCTGGTGATGAATTCAAGTTGTACTCCTGTCAGTCGAAGAGTTAAAAAACAATATTGATTAGGCAAACCTATACTCCATGAATAACTCTCATGCTCTGGAATACTCCAGTAGGGTCACGTATTGATCCACATGTCCACGGGTGTATACAAACAACCTCCAGGGTGTGTTAACACTGCATATACAGTGGACGTTCCCACTGGCAAGTATCAACTATTAGTCACCTGACCAAGGAAAGAAAACAGCCAGCGCCTTTTTTTCTAGTTTAACCATGATATAATTACTAGTGGTCCGGCATATCGATTTCGCGGACCTGAGTCCGTTCCAAGGCCAACATTGAATATGAATCCCTACAGGGTATCCTGCCATCCAATCACATAATACAAAATAGTATCGGTATCCAAGCATTTGAAGAGTGAGAATAAGAATTACTTCCTGCCAGTGGTGAAAGATAGGCCTGGGAGAAACATGCCCAGGTGGTACTAGTAGGTAATCGGCTATGCCTGAGATACTTATATCACCATAAGCAAGATTGATCAACAGACTGATATGAGAGTATGAGTGGCAAGTATGGCTCGAGTACCTGTGCAGAGAACTGAAAGTAATTACAGAATCCTATGTATGAGGCAATTGCAAGTATTGTGATCTATCAAGTAGGAAATCTGCAGCGTCCATAAACCCGGGGAAAATCCACTTCAAGGCGGGACACTTAATGACTCAGCACATACAAACGGCCCCCAAGGGTCAGGTGACTAGTGTAGTTGGGAAAGGGACCATTATGCAACATTGTGAAAAGAGGTGATCTTGAATTTAAAGGATCTCCTCAATTTGCAATCTACTTGAAGATTACTAAAATATTCTTACTGTCTTTTTCCACTAAAAAAATGACGTGGCGTGGGTAAAAACTTTTAAGTAACATGCCCAACTTGAACTCTGTGCAAGCCCAAGCTCCCTCGTGACACCTGAGGCAACCACACTTCCGACACCTCGCACCTTAACGCACCATTCCAACCTCTCCTCCATCGCCATTCTCCCATTTCACCCCCTCCAACATTTCCTTTCTCAACCCCTCTCGATCTCCCTCACATTGCCTCATCTCGCTGACGATCGGTCTTTTCGGTCGTGTCCACCGCGCCCGCCCGCTTAAAAATCTGTCGTTGGACCCTCCAGATCAAATGATCGCGTCTCCTAGATGACCTTCCCTCCCCCTCACCCTTCCGCCCAATCGTCGATTGCTTCTGGCACCGATAAACCTTCTTCGACCAGGACTGAGATTGGTGCCTGGGGTCGGTCCGCGTCGCAGTCCGGCATTCGTCGTGGGTTGACTCCTCTCGCGACCAACCTCTCCTCCTCCACCGCTCCCTCTGTCTCTTCCCGGGGCTTGGACGCAGGCCCTGGGGTTTCTACACCATCCTCCTTCTCTGCGGTTCTGAGTTCTACAAGGGGTCTCTCAGGAGGTAGCCCCAAGCCCACACCGTCTCCATTCACCTCACTGCAGGCTGCGCAGCAGCAAGCCCAGTCACTTTCGTCGCCTAAGTTTCGGGCGCACACCCCATCAGCTGGGTCCTATTTCGCCTCAGCAACAAGCTCCATCACGGGTGGTGGAGGTTCTGGGGAGGCGGTGGGCCGGGTTCTTCCAGAGGTGTCGCCTTTTCACCACTGTCATCCGGCACAACTGTGAATTCACCCACAGGCTTCGCTTCAGACAAGCCTGGATCGGCGGCTGCACATTCAAGCCAGTCGTCCCTCACCAAGATTTCAATTGCGCAGGTTTTCCTTCTGCTGGACTCAATTACCGAGAAAGAAGGAAAGGAAAAGTGGGAGACAAAGGCTGCTCAGATACACAAGGTAAATTTGGATTTCACTCGATTCATATGCCAGAGCAAAAGTTAACAACATTCCTTCTTCTAGCTCGTGACATCGAACGGCATGGAGGTCTTCTCGAAATACTTCCGGCGCCTTCTCACCGGGAATGCGCCTCAGATTTTCCCTGGTGTGAACAAGTCCGTCGAGAATGCGGGCAACTACCCTCTTCTCGTACAAGAGATGCAAAAAGTGTCCTCGGACATTGAGCAGTCTCAGAAGATTGCAGAGACGGTAGACACCTCAGAGGGTGACATCTTCCGCGATTTTGATCTGTCCACCTTCTTGGACCACTTCCGTCTTGATCCTATCGTGAAGGTTGCACTCACTTTGGCTTTCAAGATGACAAACAAGTCTGATCTTCGGGCCAAGGGTAAGTCCTCGCATTTGAATTTAATAACCAAGAACTATCACTGACATCATTCTTTTCGAATCTAGCTGATGCAATTCTCTCCAACTCCATTAACCCCTTCCTCCAAAGTCTTGCCAATCCCTCCGAAACAACCAAGGATTTCCATAATTCCTTCCTTGGAATGACCATCGAACGATTCATTCTCTACCCTCCCCGCAATTTCACCGAAGATGTCAAGGGGAAGCTGGTCTACGCAGCGAATCTGCGGTTCCAAAAGCTTGGGCTGGATGTTCCATTCGAGGTTTGCTCTGCTTTGCAGATGTTCAATTTTGTGAATCCTCGCTATACCCTCGTCAGACAACTTCATTTAAAGGGTCCTCGCGCAACTGCCAATGTTGATACAATCACTGAAGTGATCAATGCGGTGGGCCCCGATAGTTGGAATGAAGAAAATCTTGCCAGTGCTCTTCTTTTCATGGTTCTATCTCAGTACTGGCAACAATTCTCGCTCGAGACTCTGATCAGTGCTTACTCCGAGAAGCAACCAAATTTGGCATTGGTGTTCCGATGCTTCGACCGAGAGGGCTTGCGAGTGGAACCGAAGCAGTTCGAAAAGTTGTATACTGCAATCTCCGCTATCGCTGCTGACGATACGTCAGCTGACCTCCAGAAGCTTTGGGGTGGTGAATGGGAACATCAAGATACTCAAATCTCATTCTTGACCGCTTTTGTCGCCTCGCGAACCGATGCCTCGAAGCTTCAAAACTTCCGTGCTACATTCACCGCAGAATTCTTCGATGACGCACCTGACACAGTCAAAGTGCAGGGAGAGCGCGCATGCCTATCTCCTCTCCGGTCCATGGATGCAGTGAAGGCCATCTTTGACCTAGCTCTACTTTCTCAGAACTCTTGGGCTGCCAAGGAAAGTCAACTTCTGATCAAGGCGGTGGTGCAGTATGACCTGCCGGTCTTCCTTATTTCAGCCTTGGCTATTCCACAGCCGTGGTCTACTGTCCAGCAGAGCTTCGTCCTGCGAACTTTTGTTGTTTTTATTTCGAAGCAAGAAGAGGGTTACCAGCTGGGTCTTCACGGCGCCTGGCGTCAGGACCGCCAGTGGGTTGCTGAGCAGTTGTTTGCAGCTTTCAGCCAAGATCCCACCTCCACCACGATGATTTATGAGCATGCTGTTAGTTTCGGTTGGCTTGAATATCTCCTCGGTTTCAGCAACGGTCTTGCTTTGGATCTTGCTTGCCTGTGCGACCGCAGAGGTCCATTTGACCTTGGTCAATGGATTCGAAACACCGCGCAGAAGGGTCAACTTGATATGGGTGGTCTTTTGTCAAAGTTCTTGAGAATTAAGGCCGAGGACGAACTTCACGTGCAACGAAAGGAACAACCTGCCCCCCCAGATGGTCAGCCTTTCAGTGAAGACAGTCTACACTCTGCTTTCAGTACTGGAGGAATTTGTTGGTGATCGTGAGAACCTCACGCCTGTTCAACGTATCTGTATCCAAACATACCCTCGCTTAATCAACTACGGCGAGGGCTATGACGATATCATTGATACCAGTGGTGCAAACGGCAATGCCCTCCCTGATGTGATTGATAAGCAGATGCAGGCGCTGTTTGGCAAAATGTACCACGATGAGTTGTCGCTCAGAGAGATGCTGGAGCTGATGCGTCAGTACAAGTCTTCCCACGAGCCTGAGGAGCAAGAGCTCTTTGCTTGTATGGTGCATGGTCTCATTGATGAGTATCATTGCTATCATGAATACCCTCTTGACGCTCTTACGAAAACGGCTGTTATGTTCGGTGGTATCATCAACTTTAGACTGGTCGATGGAATTACGCTCAAGGTTGGTCTTGGTATGATCCTGGAAGCTGTGAGAGAGCATGAAGTACACAACCCAATGTTCAAGTTTGGTGTGGAGGCGATTGAACAGCTCATGGATCGTCTGTCAGAGTGGGCTGGTTTCTGCCATCTTCTACTTCAAATCCCCACCCTGCAGGGCACGCCCATCTTCCAGAAGGCCGAGGAAGTTCTGCGGGCTAAAGGCAAGGAGGTTGTTGATGGTGAGGCCGAAAAATGGAACATACGACCCTCTCCCCTGCCAAATGGAGATAGTGATGATCGCTCCGTCGATGGCAACCCCTTCAAGTTCCGCTCTGTCTCGATAGACCCACCACTTCGGTCAGCGCTTTACCACGATCCTGATGAGGATATTCAAGACAAGATTCTGTTTGTTTTGAACAACGTTTCTGAGCAGAACATTGAGGAAAAGCTGGAGGACCTTCGCGAGGTCCTACGTGACCAGCATCACCAATGGTTTGCGGCATACCTGGTTGAAGAGCGTGCCAAATTACAGCCCAACTTTCAACAGCTCTATCTTGATCTTCTCGATCGCATTGGAGACAAGATTCTTTGGGCTGAGGTCCTCAGAGAGACCTATGTCAGCCTGTCCAAGTTGCTGAATTCCGATTCTACCATGACTTCATCTACTGATCGCAGTCATCTCAAAAACCTTGGTGCTTGGCTAGGCTCTCTGACAATCGCCAAAGACAAGCCAGTGAAGCACAAGAATATCTTCTTCAAGGGCTTGCTCTTGGAAGGTTACGATGCACAACGACTCATGGTGACAATCCCATTCACTTGCAAGGTCCTTGTCCAGGCTACTAAGTCAACCATCTTCAAACCACCTAACCCCTGGTTGATGGATATTCTTGGTCTTTTGCTGGAGCTTTATCATTTTGCTGAGTTGAAACTCAACCTCAAGTTTGAGATTGAAGTTCTCTGCAAGGATCTTGACCTTGACCATAAGACTGTCGAGCCAGCTATCATCATCCGTGAACGTTCTGTTCGGGTTGAAGAGTTGCCGGCCACTACCAGCATGCCTGAGGGACTGGAAGCGTTCGAGGACATGGGCCTCACATCCATCAACCAAGGCATCCGAAATGAACGATTGTCGCCTGCCGCCATCATGTCAACCCTGCCAAGTCTCGATAAGATTCTTGTCTTGCCTCCGTCAGCGAGCACCATGGTGGATCCTACCGTTCTTCGACAAATCGTTACCACTGCGGTAGAGCGTGCTATTGCAGAGATCATCACTCCTGTTGTGGAACGGTCAGTCACTATTGCCTCCATCTCCACCATTCAGCTTGTCTCCAAAGATTTCGCGATGGAGCCCGACGAGGAGAAGGTGCGTCATGCTGCTGGTATCATGGCCCGTCAGCTCGCGGGCAGCCTTGCTCTGGTCACTTGCAAAGAGCCACTGAAGGTCAGCATGACCAATTACATTCGCATGATCCAGCAGGACTACTCAGACCAGCCTATGCCTGAGGGCTTGATTCTGATGTGCGTCAATGATAATTTGGATGCGGCATGCGGCATCGTGGAGAAGGCCGCTGAAGAGAAGTCATTACCTGAGATCGAGAAGATGATCGAATCTCAGGTTGAGGCACGACGACGCCACCATGCTACCCGACCCAATGAGCCGTTTATTGATCCATCAATGAACCGCTGGGGTCTGTTTATCCCGGAGCCTTATCGCCAAGGAGCAGGTGGCCTGAACAAGGAGCAGATCGCCATCTATGAAGAGTTTGCCCGCCAGTCACGAGGTACCGCGGCTGCTCTCCCCCAAAATGTTCCGGCCGATGCTGGTCGCCAGCTTCCTGATGTTTTGCAAGAGGCGTACCCAGCCATCCCCAACCTTTCAACGCCAGCTGAGCAACCTGCAATTCCTCATAGAACTCCTCAGGCGCAAGCTGTGTCTCAGATCGGTGGCGTGCACACCAACGGCTTCCTTGAGGCCCAAAGTCCACGAGAGAAGATTGAGTCTCTGATTGCAGATCTTCAGCAGGCTACTCGTGATGCCTCCGAGGACCGTGTCAGAGACCTTGGACGGGACAGCAATGTCCTCCAAGAGTACAACACCACTCTACGTACTATCTTGGGCTCACCAAATGGCGAAGAGCTTGCACGAATTACTGCTCTTACAGTTTGCAGCACTCTGTACTCTCAATCATCGGCCCCATTGGAGCTTGAAGTTCTTGTGCACTTGCTTGCCAAACTTTGCGACATGTCCACATTGATCTCACGTTACACGTGGGCACTCTTAGCAGAGCTTGAGGACGAGCACATGTTCAATGTTCCAGTCACCGTTGCTCTTATCGACGCTGGCCTGTTGGATATTCGTCGTGTCGATATGGTGTTGACTCGTCTTATCTTGCAGAAGGACCTCCGCGCTTTGGAGTTGCTTGATAATCTGATGACTCGTGTGCTAATGAACGACGAGCCAGCAGCCCTACGATCAGACTTCTCTGGCAGTCTCGAGGCTATGAGCCAATGGCTTGTCGAGGAGCCAAACCTACCTCCCGCCTTGGAGATTATTCGCAAGCTCCGCGACTGCGGCATTCCTGAAGTTGTTGCCTCTCTTCTGAGCGACCTTGCCAGAACCAAGCGAGATCAAATGGAGTATATTTTTAACGAGTGGATTGGCATCTACAAAGCCTCCGGTGCCACCGACCGAACCTATCACTCGTTCCTCCAGGACATGCATAGCCGTCAAGTCATGAACAGTCCTGAAGACTCTGCCCTGTTTTTCCGTCTCAGCATCGATATGTCCGTCGGCATGTTTGAGCACGAATCTCAGAACCCACACGGCAGCCTTGATGAAGCATTCTTACACATCGACGCGCTCGCAAAGCTCGTGGTTCTGCTTGTCAAGTTCCAAGGCGAGAGCAATGGCGCCGTGAAGGCCGATAAGGCTGCATACTTCAGCTCCATTCTTTCATCTCTCGTCCTTGTTCTCAATCATCACGCAGTCATGCGCGGTGAGGCATTTAACCAGCGTGTCTTCTTCCGATTATTCTCCAGCATTCTCTGTGAATACTCAGTGGCTGGATTCCAGAACCACGAGGAACACAAGGGCATGATCTTCGCCATGGCCCAACGACTCCTGTCTTTGCAACCCCGATATGTACCTGGGTTTGTTTATGGCTGGTTGTCCTTGGTTTCACACCGCGTCTTCATGTCAGATATGCTCAATATGGAAGACCGAGCCGGCTGGGCACCTTACTGCGAAATCATGCAGGCCTTGCTCTCCTACATTGGCGAGCAACTCAAGGCAGCCAACATCACATACGTCGCTAAGGACCTGTACAAGGGCGTTCTTCGCATTTTGCTCATTCTGCACCACGACTTCCCCGAGTTTGTGGCTGAGAACCACTTCCAGTTCTGCAATGTGATTCCTGCTCACTGCGCTCAGCTCCGCAACCTGGTCCTCAGCGCCTACCCATCATCTTTCCATAAACTCCCGGATCCTTTCCGCGAGGGCCTGAAGGTTGAGCGTATTGAAGAGATGCGGGAGATCCCCCAGATTGCAGGAGATATTACCGCTCCACTGGAGCAGGCAAACATCAAGAATGTCGTGGACAATATTCTCCTCAGCAACAATATCACCGACGGTGCCGTGCAACAGCTTTACAACGCCGTCATGGATCCGGAAACCACCGACACCGCTCTCTTCTATGCCCCTATTAATGTCGACGTCGTTCTTGTGAATGCGCTTGTCTTGTACATTGGCCAACAAGCTGTCGAGGAGCAAGCTTCCAAGAGCAATACCCGCAGCGCATTCGAGAACTCCACTCACGCAGCTCTTCTTGAGAAGCTTTCACAGATCATGCAGCCGGAGGCTCGCTACTACCTGCTGAGTGCCATGGCCAACCAGCTTCGGTACCCCAATAGCCACACTTACTTCTTTAGCTTCACCATCCTCCGTCTCTTTGGCGTGGAATACTCCGAACAAGATGATTCGGACATTCGCCAGCAAATCATTCGTGTGCTTTTGGAACGACTCATCGTCCACCGTCCTCACCCATGGGGCTTGATCATCACTCTGCAGGAGCTGCTCCAAAACCGCAGCTACTCTTTCTTCCGCCTTCCCTTCATCCAGGCGGCCCCTGAGGTATGGATTCCTATGTTACGCTCCACCTTTGAGTTCTAAAGAGAGAAAAAATCTATTTCAATATCAAAATCAGAAAGTTAACACCCCTGCGACAGATTGGTCGCCTCTTCGATGCCCTCCTTCAGCATATTCAGCAACAGAGCCCTCGTCCACTGGCTTAAAAAGCCGAACTTCTCACTCCTCTCCGACCATTTTCGCAGTGCAACACCGCACTGTGCTCATTGTATTTTTCTTCTTGTGCTTTCTTTTTATTTTACGGGGTCCATTGCTTTCACGTTCTATTTATTATGTCTCATGTTACGGCTGGGATTTGCCATGGGGACGGTATGCATATTTCCTATTCGTCACGATTTCCGCATGACCTGAGATACTACGATACTATTTTCGCGTTCCAAGGCTGCTCGCGACCTGTAATGATAAGAGCGTAAAAGCTGGAGTTTATGGGATCTGCATTGGCGGCTGGGGATTCCTAATCATAGCTATTACATTCTTACTCCTCTGTTCAAGTGCTCGTAAATTTTAATATGTAGTAGAAATCCTGGAGTCATAGGTGTACTCCGTACTGTGACCTCATAGATAGCAGAGCTGCGATAAGGTTGATTAGATCTCTCTAGTATTCTGCCGAGGAACTTGTTTTGTACCCTTTTACCCCCCTCGTCACATATCGACAATGGCGGATTCAGACTACACAGATGATGAGTTGGCGTATGAGGGTCCCTCCTCTCAATCCGTTATTTGGGTTAGTTTCTTCTATTGGAAGCTCAGCCTGTTCATTAGTGTCTAACACCAAATAGGACGCGCTTTGGACGCCGTTCCGCGTACTGTTCTCCAAGACAGCTCTCCGCATATACCTGAATACCCTATTATTTATCGGTGCCACTATATTTATAGTGGGAATTGCTGGGATCGCATACATGCTTTTCTACTTCACATTTATTCCTACGGTCGGTGTGGATCGAGAAGTGCATTTACAATTTGGGTATGCGCGCTTGTCTGAATCCAGTGCTGGTCATTTGTTGACCTCCTATATGAATAGCGATGGACACCCTTGGGGACTAGCCTCTCTCGACTCCGAATTCGTTTCTTCTCAGCCCTACGATATCGCTGTTGCCCTAGACCTTCCTCGAACCCCATCCAATCTCGACGCGGGGAACTTTATGGTCGATCTTACACTCTACTCCCGCCGAACTAGCTCCGTGCTACCCACCTCCAGTGGCTCCTTAACCCCCATCTCGCAATCGCGTCGATCCGCGATCCTCACATACAGCTCGCCATTGGTAGACGTTGCTCGACGGATGGCTCGTCTACCTCTTTATGTCCTTGGCTGGCGTAGAGAGGCCGAGTTTTTAGAGGTTCCGATGATGGATAAGCTGGAATTCGCACGTGGTGCACAGAATCTTCCACAGAGCCTGCGTCTTGAGATTCACAGTGATACTAAATTACAGATTTACTCCGCGCGAGTCGAATTCCGGGCACGGTTCACCGGACTCAGGTAATTATCCTCCTTATTGGTAAAATGTTATTTGAGAATGGTGGCTGACTGTCATTACAGGTGGTTTATGTACCGCTGGAAGCTTACCTCTTTCGTCGTGTTCAGTTCTTTGTTCTGGACGGTATCGATGTCTACGGCTAGCTTAATCTGGTTCGTATTAAGCTCCTTGAAGCCCGAATCTACATCCACGGATGAAATCAAAGACGAAGAGCAAGATCTTATCAAAGATGAGCCTGTTACCGAAGAAAGTGAATCACTATTCAGTGAAAGCTTTAAAATCAAAAAGGAGCAGCCAGAGGAACAGGCCAGTAGCTCTTCTTTACTACAGAGCTATAAGGCTGACAGTGATGAGGGAGGTATGGGTTCTGGACTAGAGAGCTCAGAGGCGCAAGGAGTCCAGAAACGAAGGAGTCGCTTAACGGAATATGACAGCTAGATCATGATCATGATAACTGCTTTGATAATGTTTTATATTTCTTGCGTTCAAGTTATATGTTCTGTATACCCTAGCTTCTACCTATATTTGAATGATGTAAATCCCGTGCAGATTTGCAGTTCCGATAACAAGCGATAAAAAGCGCCCCGCGTATGGGAAACCTCCGATTTCTTCCCCTTCATCCCCTCATATCCCCAATTGATCAGTATTCAACATGCATATTCTGGTCCGCATCTACTTTTCTTAATGGAATATAAGAAGATTATCCTCGAGCTAACGAATCTGGAATAGGTCACCAACGACGACGGCCCTCCGTCGAATCAGTCGTCGCCCTACGTTCACTCGCTCGTCCATTCGCTCCAGTCTGCTGGACATACCGTTTCGGTTGTTCTCCCACACCAACAGCGATCATGGATTGGTAAAGCGCATATGGTCGGGGCCTCTGTGAAACCAACCTACTTTCGACCAGGCACCCTGCACCAGGAAGATGGAACTATACACCACCTACCGCTGGGTAGCAATGGCGAGCCCAACGACGGTGGTGACGAATGGATCTTAATCGATTCGACCCCAGCAAGTTGCGTTCAGATCGGTCTCTTCCACTATTTCAAGGATCGAGGTCCGATCGATGTCGTTGTTTCAGGTCCAAACTACGGCCGTAATAGCACTGCATTGTTCGCTTTATCCAGTGGAACCATTGGCGGTGCTATGGAAGGTGCTGTCTGTGGGAAGCCCTCAATCGCCTTGTCATACGCTTTCAGCTCTCGGAACCATGATCCTGTTATCATTGCAGAGGCTTCCGAGCACTCTGTTAAGCTGATTGAGTACCTCTGCGCCAACTGGGCGGATGGTGTGGATCTCTATAGCGTCAATGTTCCTCTGGAACCTGGCGTTAGCAAGAACAAGATTCTCTATACCGACATGCTGCTGAATAAGTGGAAGTCTGGTAGCTGTTTCGAGGCAGCTGATCCTGCTACCAGTGACGACCCGGAGCTAGAGGAACAGCGCATTCGCATGCAGAGCGAGCTGGAGGGACAGAATGTTGGTGCTAATGCCACTAATGGAAATGAGTCTGGTCCCTCACGATTCCAGCATAAGCACTTTAAGTGGGCGCCAAATCTACAGGATGTTTACCGCAGTGTTGAGGAAAGCGCACCCGGAAATGACGGCTGGGCCGTCAAAGAACAAATGACTAGGTAAGTACCATGGATTATAGACATCTTTCATTTAATGCGATCTAAGTTGACTTGTCTTGCTGTAGTGTTACACCCTTGAAGGCTTGTTTCATGCATTCGCCCGGCATCACGGGTGAGATTACGCTGTGAGTGGAGATTATGACATGATGGCTATGACGATCTTTTTGTTTCAGACATACGGGTCCATGTGCTTTTAGATATCTGGCATAGCTGATAGACACCATGTTCCCCCTATTCCCATTGTTATTTGAGTTTGCTTTATCCCCCGAAATTTTTTATTTTCTGCATCGCAATTGATCTTCACTTTCGAGAAACGGTTCTGATAGAGTGGTGGTTCTTGTAGATCAGATAATCAGTCTACGGTGAGCCAACCCCAGTTGTACTCCATCATCGACTGTGACGTGCCCTATGTTGGTGAACTCGTGGAAAAGGCACTAGCCCGTCGTCTGGGAGATGCTGCTCGTTCCCAACGCATCTCATCCATTTGCGAGCTCCCCGAATCTTCGGCGCCAGTGTTTCAGTATCGCGAATACGAGCGCCTCGACTTTGAGCATATGCTCTCAAGATCATCCACCTCCCTTGGAAACGCATACATTATCCGAAAGGCTCTGATCCGCAAACACTATCTCTCAAATACTGTTGCCAACTGGATTTCCAAGCACCCGGATAGTGTTTTAAAGAACCACTTCAAGCCCGCTTTTGATTTCGAGTTAGACTATGCCGAGTTCCTCGACGAAGCTCTTCTGGAGGCTTACGAACTCAACGAGAGCCTAGCAAAGAACGAAGAGCTTCCTGAATCCGAAAAGGAATGGTGGATTCTTAAGCCTGGCATGAGTGATCGAGGCCAAGGAATCCGTCTATTCAACAGCGAAGCGCAACTTCAAGAGATTTTTGAAGAGTGGGAAGAGGACTCAGACGATGAGCAGAGCGGTTCTGAGAAAGAGGATGATGAAGACGCACCTCATGATAATGGCGTCGTCACATCCCAACTCCGTCATTTCATTGCCCAGCCCTACATCGACCCACCACTTCTCCTACCCTCTTCTTCAAACCGGAAATTCCACATCCGTACCTATGTCCTCGCTACCGGTTCATTGAAGGTCTACGTTTTCAAGGAGATGCTGGCCCTCTTTGCTGCAAAGGCCTACTGTGCACCTCATGAAGGAGAGGACGAAGTCCAAGACTTGGCTCGCCATCTCACGAATACCTGTTTCCAAGAAGGCGGCAGTTCCAATGAGGGTAGCGTTCGCCGATTCTGGGATCTAGATCATCATGTTCCCGGTCTAGCACCAGAGTGGAAAGGGCAGATTTTCGACCAGATCTGTGCTGTCACAGGTGAGGTATTCGAAGCTGCTGCTCGAGGCATGATGGTTCATTTCCAGACTTTACCAAATGCTTTTGAGCTCTTTGGTGTTGATTTCTTGGTTGACAGTACTGGATGTGCCTGGCTATTGGAGATGAATGCGTTCCCTGATTTCGCGCAGACTGGTGAGGATCTTAAGGAAGTTGTTGTTGGTCGATTGTTTGAAGAGACGATTGATGTGGCTGTGAAGCCGTTCTTTGGACTTGGTGAGTATGAGGGAGAAGATATGAAGTTGGTGGCGGATTTGGATTTGGGAAGAAAAGCATAAATGGATCATAGTATTCTATAGAAATTCAAAAGTTAGTCTTAGGCAGGTTTGCCTGCCATTGAGATCATTTGCTTTCACTCTAGAGATTGAAATGTTGGCGGAACACATACATGAAGCATAAGGGGACTCGAGTTGTATTGCCATGGCTCCTACTAGTAGTAGCAGGATGAAGCTACAAGTATGAGTACAATTTCGAGTCTATTTCTTCCAAGTCATTCTTCTCCTACTCATTCTGCATACTTCCAATAAACCTTTCCGAATCCTTCAAACGATCGCCGAGCTGTACGAAAAACCGTTCCAGCCGCTAACTCGCCAGAGGTATCAAAGTTTGCAGCTCTGGTGAATGCGATGAGACCTTGATCGCATCCCGTCTGGTATGAGATGTAGTCTACAGGAGAACACTTAGAAGTTCTAGTCATGCTATATCAAGCTTTGTGTTGATAGTTTATCCTTCCTCAAGCTCTTTCACACACTGGAGGCACATCATAGATGTTAAATTTGATGCTGATAGCAAGTAAACTACTTGCGTAGTCGTTCGATAGTTGCGCCCAAAGGCTCACCCGCTCGGAGAGCCTTCATAGTCTTCTCATCAATCTCAAATCTCTCTGCGCATATCTCTACGACTTGCTCAAGTAATGATGGCGGCACAACAACCACGCCATTCTCATCACCAACCAGGATATCCTTCGGGTAGACCCAGAGGTCTCCCTTGAACTGAAGTGGGACATCGATCTCAGAGGCACGCGTGAATGTATTTGATCCAAGAACAGCTGTACCTCGAGCAAAGACCTGTTCCTGGGGTCAGTTATTTCTATCATGATTGGAGAGATGTTCTGAGAAGATGCCCAAGTGTGAATGCCTACCGGGAATCCCATATCGCGATGCTCCTGTGCATCCCTCATACGGCCATCAACCATGACACCTAAGCTACCAAGCATCTGAGCTCGGATTGACATTAAACCACCCCAACAAGCAGAGGATAGACCCTTGGGTTGCTGGATATACATGATATGGCCCTCTTTGTTTGCGTCTGCAAAATGCAATGGCGGCGTGGGACCAGGACTATTCGTCTCTACCATCTTGACAGTGATAGCAGGTCCATAGATGCTAGTCCCCCCACCAGGAGAGTACATCTTCAGACCATCTAGAAAGCCGCCATATGGTTGTTTGAGCTTCACGAGCGCGTCGCCAATCTGAGAGCCGTGGAAGAATTGTGTCAATGGTTTGGGGTTTTGGGTTTTCTGGATTCAGGTATTGCGTACATCGCAGGTTGTGAACCGTTTTAGGCCCTGGAAAGCCTTGGAAACCGTACTCATTTTGTTTTTTATGGATGTGCTGTTGATTCAAAGATCTAATCAAGGTTGAAGTTGTTATCGGATCCCGCTCGGCGCCGACGATCCACTGAGTCATGGTCCCCGAACAAAGACAACAATTACTAGTAGATTTCAACATACCTACACTAGATTGCAAAATCGGACAAATAAATAATACTCTATTGAATTGAGTCATTTCTGAATGCAACCCGAGTACAGTCTGGAGTCTGAGGTATAAATTCGTGGTTTCCACCTTCTTCGTCCCAGTTCCCTTGAATAGTTCAGCATCAACTTCCACTACACCACTGAACAACTCAAGTACTTGAAGATGACAAGACCAGTCGGACCAGCTGTGGATTCCTATCCTGCCAAACTACCACCATCAACCTCTTTTACAGGTCGCTCAGTTCGTCTCGAAAAGCTAGACCCCCGTCACACTGATGACCTGTACGAGGCCATTGGCCTGCCAGAGTACGGCGCGCTATGGAACTATATCGCCGATGGACCATTCCAAGACAAGGAAGCATTCATCCCATATATCGAACGAATCTCCAAGTCGCAAGATCCATATCTTTATGCTTTGATCGACCAAAAAAGCAACAAAGCTATGGGATTCTTCTCGCTCATGCGCATTGATCAGCCAAACCGCGTCGTCGAGATCGGCTTCGTGGTATTTTCACCTCTACTACAGCGCACAACCGCCGCAACAGAGGCCTTCTACCTCATTACCAGTACTGTGTTCAATGATCTGGGGTACCGACGCTTTGAGTGGAAGTGCAATGACCTGAATGAGGCTTCTAAGAAGGCTGCTGTCCGCTTTGGGTTCAAGCCGGAAGGTGTCTTTCGTCAGCATATGATAGTTAAAGGCCAGAATCGTGATACGGCCTGGTTTTCAATTCTTGACTCCGAGTGGCCTGCTTTGTCTGAGTCTTTTGAAAAGTGGTTGGATCCGCAGAATTTCGATGCTGAGGGAAAGCAGCGCTCTACACTGGTGGCTTTTCGGGGGAACTGATGAGTGATATGCCTTGGTATACCAGGCTTACCGCAAATATCAGGAGTTCTATCTAGCATGGATTGATTGTGAATCCTGGTAGTCTGGTGGTTCAAGTTTGTTGTAATTCAGATATAATGAAATTGCATCATCTATCTCACACTTGACTCAGTCTTGGGTTTAAAGGTCCACTGGCAGCTCTCATGAATCAAATCCCAGTCAGATTTTGGGAATATAGTACTAGTACGATTTGAACCATTTGAACCAAGCATCAAACGCTAAGGCATCCTTCCATAATCTAAATTGTTCAGCCAGCCAGTGGCAGAGCTCAACCAAAACGTTGCTTAGCCAACGTGTGCAACCAACCCATAGTCTCCTGCTCCTTCTCGCGATATTTCTGAGCGCGCTCCTCACGCTCTGCAGCCCGAGCTCGAAGAATCTCTTCTCTGCGAATCTCTCTTTCATTCTTCTTGCGCTGCTGCTGGTCCTTTTCTCTCTTCAGAGCAGCAAGATCATTATCTCCAGATCCCATCAAATCGGCCTCTGGCGCCGCTTCAGGTGATGCACCCCGAGCCTCCGCAAATGCGCGATTCGATGCTGCGGCTTCCCTCCGTTTCTCGAGTTGCCTCTCGCGTGTACCGGCTTCTGCGCGCGGCGCGACTTCCTCTTCATAACTCTTCATTTCAGCTTTACGAGCTCGCTTCTCATCTTGGTACCTTAGATCTGACTCTTTGCGCGCGGCAATGGCGTCCTCCATTTCGGTCTCTGTATGGATCTCATTAGTACACCATAAGTATTCGGCAAACTAGAAAGTTCACTCTTACCTCTTTTCAGTTCAAGATCTTGCATCCTTGGTATAGTCGGCCCGGAACGAGCCATCTGTCTTGAGGCATTGTGATGGGGAATTGACGGCCCGTATTCATCATCATCCTCATCATCGTCATCCTCTGCGACTGGTACTGTCTGGGCATTCTCGATATTCTGTCCACCACGGGAATAATCCGGTGAATTTCTCTCGCGTTGGGGAGGAGGTGGCCTTTCTGCCACAGATTGGCGCGCTTTTTCCAGGGTGGCGGGATCATACCAGCCTTCAGCTAGCTCTGCGCGATTCCTACAATAGCCGGTTAATAAGTGAAACGTTTACCGAGTAGCTATCGCAGGACGTACCACTTGTGAATAAAGCTCTTCCACCTGCCCTTAATCTCATCTTCTGATAAATCCTCAATGAATATTCCCTTCTGGATATCTAGATACATCGCGAACATAGGCGTAAAAACTTCCAGGTCTCGCCTTGTGAGCTCTCGCGCCTGCAAAGGTAGAACCACCGGCTTTGCATCCTTTTTGCTCTTGCGATCATGATGTTCTCGGTCTCGATCGTGTCGACGGTGGGGACGGTCACGGCCTGAGCTGTGTCTCTCTGATCGATGGGGTGAGCGCGAGCGATCGCGATGTCGGTGTCGGTGGGAATGCGAGCGTTCATGGTGGCTGCGATGATGGCGGCGCTCCCTATCTTGTGTGGACGGGGAATTGGATCGATGGGAGGGTCTTGGTGATGGCATTATGAAGGTAAAGATATTCGTTAAAGTATTCAGGTAAAGCTGAATCAAGTAATTTGTCTAGTTCAAGAATTCGGCGTTGGAGGTATATCAGTTATCCGGACCCACTCGGCCAATAATAGGCCTCAAAACTGCCCTTCCATGCTCATCTAGAATATCGACTGTGTCCATATAGTCAGTAATTGACATTAATTTAGTATCTATGTGGTGTACCAGAGAGCTATTATGGGCTCTAAATTATCCTCTTGAAATTTACCTGGGCAGTAACATGAACAGTGAGTTACAGGCAAAATTACAACTCAATATAGTACCTAGGTACAGGGTTAATGAATCAATGCGGTGTGATCATTACATCTAAGCGAACTTGAAAAGGTATCCATACAAGGTCCAGAGCGCCAATAATCCATATTCTAGCTAGATGGCGCACTCTGTTCAGTGGTATCAGCTGGCTTATCATCCGTAGTGGGGGTGCTTGACTGCGATGAGCTCTTGTTACGGTTCGCGGCAGCCATTTGCCACGCCGGAATAGAAGCAGAGCGGTTGAGTCGCGAAAATGGGCTGCTGTCTGTAGGAGGCGCATGAGTCGTTGTCTGGGTCTCCTGCTCTGGCGATGTCACGGTTGCTTGCAAGCCATTGGGGGCTGGAGTAGAGGAAGCGGCGGTGGTATCAGTCGGGACTGGTGGAGGTGTAGTAGTAGCTGGGGGAGTGGGAATTGAGCTTCCAAGGGTTCTACCAGCCAAAGGAGTGGTGCCACTGCCGCCCAAGCGGTTGCCCAGAAGAAGCTTAAGGCTCTTCAATTCAGTTCCAAGCGCCTTCAGCCGGTTCTCGTTGCCCTCTCGGGCACCCTCGAGGGCTTTGGGAATAGCATCCTTCAGGGACTTTACTTCATCACTAATCCGACGAGTCTCATCATCCCTGCGACGAGAAGATGTCTTCAAGTCTGCAACAAGGCTCTCAACATCCTTGAGGGCGGCATCCAGACGCTCAGTACGAGCATCCTCAGCAGCCTTCAAGGCTGCAGTATCGGTTGACAGCTGTTCAATGAGATCAAATGCCCGTGAAAACTGCTCATCAATATTCTCTTTATCCTGCTCTAGCTGAGGAGGGGTCGGTGGGGCGATTAATGGGGAAATGTATCGCTGAATTGGTCGATTAGCACTAATATTGAATAGTTGCGATATATAGGGCTCTTACCTTAGTGACAGTGTAAAGTCCATAGCCAACTCCTCCTACCACGGTCGCCATGATAAACCAGTCGCGCCAGTCACGCTTCGGTGGCCTGCTCTCCGGTTAGTAATCAATATGCACAGAGGGTAATTCAGGAGACGTCAAGCACATACTCAGGAGCCTGCCATTGGGCTTGGTTATATGGGGGATAGCCATATCCCTGGGGGGCTTGTGGTGGCGGCCGATAGGCAACTTGTTGTGAAGAAGGGGCTGGTAATGATGCGCCTGCAGCAGCGGCAGCAGCAGCAGCAGCAGGGTCCTCTCCTACGCGCGATAAGGCGAGATCGACTTCTTCTTGAGTGAGATTCTTCGATTGCAGAAATGCGACTCGTTTCTCAATAGGCGATGAGGCCACCGAAGGGTCTTGGAGAACTAATGGATTGTTAGCGAATAGTCTATCACGCGATGGGTCCACGGAGTGCGATTGATCGTACAGGTCACCTTAACAAAGATCAGTTAGCATCGCTTGACCTGAATCAAGAAAGGGGTGCACTTACAGCAGACGCAATTAGCTCCTCACGGGGAGCCATTATGAATAGTAAACTCGATCCAGGAGGATGTAAATGAAGAGAACCATGTAAGTGAAAGCGACCTTCATCGGCAATCGCCGTGGACCTCGGAACTCATGACCGCCAAGCTTCCCCACACCGAATCTGGGAAAGTCTCGTGATTGTGACCCCTTGTTTGCTGTGTTTGCACAATTTGGGTACCGCCTTCTCTATCCGGACTTGACCCGCTTCTTGTTTACATTTGTTCGCCCGATCCTCCTGCACGATAACAAAACCCCCTCCTCGACTAAGTAGCAATTTGCGCGTTCCTAGTGTACACTTGCTCGAATTGAAACTCTACGTACATTGGCATACCTTTTGATACATTATCAACGCGCCGCTTTTGCGGCTCCTCTTGTTCATAATGTCGCAAGATACTGGGTTGTTTAGTGTCAGGCGTCCCCGAGAGGTATGAGCTTCTTTCCCAGTTGTCGCATAGTGTAGATCGAGCTGACAATTGAACTTCAGACGCTAGCAAGTGTTCAAAATTTCACTTCCATCCCACAGCCCGCTTCTGCTCTGAAACGCACAAGTTCCATCGGATACAACAATCCTCCGTTTACCTCGCAAAATGCCCGTCGAACGTCCCTGATGAGCTCGGTCAACAGGCCGCAGCAGCCCAATTTTAGTCGTGCTTCTTCTGGAGGACCATTTGCTGCGGAGGCCGGTCTCTCCTCTGTCCGTCGCTCTGTATCTACCAACTTGTTCCATGGTGCTAGTGCAAGTCGCCAAAGCTTTGCGCCGAACTCTATCCCGTCAATTCCTGCGCCGCAAAGCCTACAACGCCGCAGCAGTGTATTTTCACGGCCTTCCATGGGAGGTCCCATCGGCCATCAGTCTTTTTTCAATCAAGTTCCTGCGGTAGCAGGCGTTCCCCGGGATCCCCGACCACTTCGAGATCGATCTTTTCAAGCACGCATTGGACAAGAGCTATTGGAATATTTGACAACCAACCAATTTGAGCTGGAAATGAAGCATTCTTTGGGTCAGAACACTCTTCGTTCACCGACACAAAAGGATTTTAACTACATTTTCCAGTGGCTGTATCATCGCATTGACCCCGGATATAAGTTTCAAAAAGCTATGGATGCTGAGGTCCCTCCAATTCTCAAGCAGCTGCGCTATCCTTACGAGAAGGGAATCACAAAGTCACAGATCTCGGCCGTTGGTGGTCAGAACTGGTCAACATTTTTGGGTATGTTGCATTGGTTGATGCAATTGGCACAGATGATGGAGGGTTATGTACATGGACAATACGACGAAGCAAGCGCTGAAGCTGGTGTGGATCTCACGGGCGATCGAATTATTTTCCGTTTCCTTACCGAGGCCTATCACGACTGGCTTCAAGGTGGTGAGGATGAGGACGACGAAACGGCGGAGCAGCGGTTGGTACCGCACATCGAGAACATGTCACAACAATTTGCTCAAGGTAATGAGCGGTTTGTAAAGGAGATGGAATCTCTGGAGGCAGAAAACAGAGCCCTCCGTGAGCAAATTGAGGAGATGGAGAGGAATGCGCCGGATATGGCCAAGCTAGACAAGCACTTTCGAATTCTGGAAGACGACAAAAGGAAATTCGAAGACTACAATCAGAATGTCAAGGGCAAGATCGAGAAGTACGAAACTCGAATCAAATTCTTGGACAGCGAAATCCAGAAAACCGATGCGGACCTTCAGACAACTGAGTCTGAACGATCCGATCTTCAAGCCAGTGTGGATCAACAGGGTATTACTATCCAAGATATCGATCGCATGAACACTGAGCGGGAACGTCTTCAAAAGAGTCTGGAGGACACAATTGCTCGTTTGGAGGAGACACATGCACGTGTCATGGAGAAGGAAGCTGAAGCCAGCCAAAAGCTGGAGGATCTTGAAAAGATCGTCATGAACTACAACACATTGGGCTACCAAGCCAGTTTAATTCCCTCATCTGCGGAGAACGCGAGGGATCAAGACTTTGAACTTCACTTGAATGTGAACGAAAATAATTTCTCTGCCAGCCAAATTGGCGCAGGTCCCAGTCGATTTACATCCGAGGGTGATCGCCTATTAGCCGAGCCTTTTACTGGATATCATCCCGCCCATTTGTTGAATCTTGATCTTCGGGGCTTTGTGCGCAACAATCTGCAATCTCTTCGCAAGGAAATCAATGAGCGACGAAAGAAAGGAATTGACGATGATCTCGAGCGCCGCAATCTCCTCGACAATATTAAGGAGGCAATGGACGAAAAGCGAAGCGAGGTCGAGGCCTTGGAGCATCGACGTCGAGCGGCAGAGGAGGAGTTTGAACGCACCAAGGAGATTACCACCACTCAGAAGCTGGCATCTGACGCTCAGATTGAGAAGATGGAAAAGGAACTTGCCAAGATGCGTGCCACTCTCAGCGACAGTGTCCAATTAATGGAACAGCGCGAGATGAACACCAACATCGAGTATGAGCAGTTGACATTACGAGCGAATGCACTCCGAGAGGAGCTTCATACTAATGTGGAGACCATGCTCAACGATGTCATTCGTTTCAAGGTGCATGTTCAGAAAGGCCTAGAAGACTACGAGAGTTTTGTTGTTGATGAAGTGGAGCAGGAGCTTGGAGGAGATATGGCCATGGAGGAGGAAGAATTATGAGAGCTTCCTTGGAAATGATATATTTTCAATGTTGCCTTGCTTCATGATGTGATGAGACCCTGCGTGGAGTTCTTGCGGTTATTTTTGTATCACTTTAATTGAGATTCCCCATGTTATCTGATGTACGGAGTAAGTCGGGGTGTGGAAAGGCCACAATTATGCGGTTGTCCTTCTACCTCTCGTGCTGGGCACTAAGGGCTCGTGGTGGAATACACCGCCAGCCAAGTCAATTGATCTAATTAAGAACAAAGGATGCAAACAAGTACATGTATGAAGCTATGACAGACTAGGACAAAATCTATTTTGCCTACGTTTTAATTCTATCACCTGGAGAGCTCGAACACATGTGCATGGAAACTACATTTACAAGGTTGCACTAGTTCACGTATTCGGTAAGCGAGCTGGACATGTAAGCGAGCTGGCCACCCCACCCAAAACGCGTCCATGTATTAGCACTTAGTCAATTCAACCCCCTACTATGCCACCAATTCGCTCCCAAACCTCACGAAATTCAGCTGAGCAGGAGGGTAGGATTTTATTAACTATACAAGCTATAAAAAATCAAGAAATTATCTCGATTCGTGAAGCAGCACGTCGGTTTAACGTGCCGAAATCAACCCTCTCTACCCGTCTCCGTGGTATTCAAAACCGCGCGACTTCTCGCGCCAACTCACACAAATTAACTGAAATCGAAGAGGAAACACTTCAAAAATGGATCCTCTCGCTTGATGATCGTGGAGCAGCGCCCCGGCCGGCTACTGTACGAGAAACTGCGAATCTTCTTCTCGAGGCCCGTGGAATTACCCCAGCTCAAACAGTTGGCGAAAAATGGGTTTATAACTTCGTGAAAAGACATCCTGAACTATCGAACCGGTTCTCAAGACGCTATAATTATGAGCGTGCAAAATGTGAAGATCCAAAAATCATTGGTGAATGGTTTAATCTTGTTCAAAAAACCATATCTCAATACGGCATCGACCCTAACGACATTTACAACTTTGATGAGACTGGTTTTGCGATGGGATTAGTAGCGACCGCAAAGGTTGTTACAAGGGCTAAATACTATGGACGGAGATCACTATTACAACCTGAAAATCGTGAGTGGGTAACTGCAATTGAATGTATAAATGCTTCAGGATGGGCGCTGCCTCCATGTGTGATTTTCAAAGGTAAAGTTTTTATCGAGTCTTGGTTTGATAACCTCCCAGATGATTGGCGATTTGAAGTAAGTCCAAATGGCTGGACATCTAACGAAATTGGTATTCGTTGGCTTCAAAATCTCTTTATTCCATCAACTTTTTCACGGTTAAAAGGCCAATATCGACTTTTAATTCTTGATAGCCATGGAAGTCATTTAACACCAAAGTTTGATGAAATTTGTGAAGAAAACAACATCATACCAATTTGCATGCCTGCACATTCATCACATCTTTTACAGCCACTTGATATTGGTTGTTTTGCGGTATCAAAACGCTCATACGGTCGGATGGTTGAAATGAAAATACGGCTTGGGATCAACCATATCGATAAACTCGATTTCCTTGAAGCATATCCCCTTGCCCGAATTGAGACATTTAAATCGGAGACTATAAAAAATAGCTTCGCAGCTGCTGGTTTAATACCTTTTTGTCCCGATCGGGTTCTATCAAAGCTTAATATTTGTCTTCATACACCAACACCTCCACCAAGCCAGGATAGTGATTCAAGCCAGAACTTCACACCAAAAACCCCGTTTACCGAAAAACAACTGCGTCGGCAAGCTTCATCAATAAAAGATTTACGTCATACAGGATCTCGAAGTCCCCCCCAGCCCATCAGATCGTGCGATAAACCAAATTGTTAAAGGCTGTCAACTCGCGTTACAAGGCGCTGCAATCTTAAGAAAGGAAAACAGCGAATTACGCGCCGCCAACGAGAAACAAAAGCAAAAACGAACTCGATCAACTAGACAGATAGCCCACGAAGGGGATCTCTCAGTTCAAGAGGTTCGTGAGCTACGTTCAGAGCCATTCGAGGTCCAAGTAGCACGAATCAATAGCTATCGTGAGCAGGTTTCAGAGGGTTTACAGCCACGTACGCGGGGCCAGCGAGGATGTGGAATATGCAGGCAGCCAGGACATAGAAGAGAAACATGCCCAGACAGAGAAAATAGCTAGTTTGATTAATTTAAAAGCGCGTTGGTTGAGAAAAATATATTTCAAATTAATAAATTAAGTTGGGTGGCCAGCTCGCTTACATGTCCAGCTCGCTTACCGAATACGTTATGTCCAAATGTTAGCCTCAGGCAACGTCGAGACAGGGCACCTGGGGTCTCTCACTCATTCACCTCATCAGTTCGGTTTAGATCATACCCCGGGCTTGTCTTTGTCCCTTGTCTTGTCGACAATCCGATACATATTACGTGGGTGCGACTCCTTACTTACAAGGAGACAAGCATTATCAACCCTATTATGACAATACGCACCGACATCTACTAGTAGCTACGCGCCTTCGACGTAACACATACAATTTACAAGCATGCTCGAAGCAAGGTTGCAGATTATTCTAATGGCATGCCCAGGTTTTTACCAAAGCCCTCCTTATGGTTATGGAATGAATAAATAGTCAACGCCCTTATCCCAACGGACCAGCCATCACAAAGCCACGCATCTGACATACTAATGATTTACACAGTGATGACATCTTTATCTACCCTGAGAATCCTGAATCCATCACCGCCCTAACTGACTGGCAGTCCTGTCACATTTCACCTCTCTTCAATCAAACTACTGACCCAGCCTTTCTCGCCTGGGAGGCAGGTCTTGAGCCCGAGACGCTCGATCTAGTACCCAAACCCAAACTGACCGGCCTCTCACCTGAAGAAAGATCAGCAGTCTTGCACGAATACAAACATCAAAACGTATTCATCGGCTAGCGGAAATTATGCAGGCGAGAAACCCAGATCTATGCAAAGCAGTCGAATTCCGCAAGACGCCAGCATCGGGTTGATATTCCTGGCATCGCATGCTCGAATACGGCGAGGCGCATTTTCAGTCACTTCTTGTTAACCTGCAGGACTCCTGGATCGATTTACCAGTGTTTCATGCTAAGAGTAATATCAATGTCTCAAAATTCCCATTTGACTTTTCGGGCGCAGATATTCAGCGTATTAAGCAGGATTGTGATGGTGTGCAAGCGGGAACCGATGCCGTTGCGGTGGTCAAAGAGGGGATGGGCGATTTTATGGCCGGCTCAAGGCTTCATTGAACTGGAATTTTATGATGAGTGCAAGGCTGCTCTTGATGAAGCTAGAGATTGCATCGTGAAGCAACTTGAATTGGCTGAGACGCCAGAGGAGAGGGTTGAGTATATGGGTTATTGGCCATTTGATTGATACATTTCGTTATCAACTAGTATAGGGCAATCTCAAAACAAGACAGATCAACTTACATACTTACTGGAGCTTGAAAAAAATGTTGACATATTGTTCAATTTTTATTAGAGATATCGCAATGTCATCCGAGTTCAATCGGTACACTCCGAATCCCCAGCATTAAGTGGTGGCTTGCTCCCCTGCGTCTACTCGGATATTTTTCTGCTCGCCAAGTATTCATATTCATATCAGTTACTTTTTTAAGGGACGCGCAATTTTGCTGAGGTGGGATGTTGTGTAGCAGGCTAAGTGGTTGGATTGTAGAGTGGCGGGCGCACTTGCGTGTTCCAGCGCTTAACCCGACGTTGACCACCTTTGTATACGGCATTTCCATCACCCGTGGAGTATGATCTTGTCGCCCTATTTGCTCACCTTGTTTTTCCTCTTTCTATCGGGGCGATTCCCGTCTTGGTCCAATCAATCTGAGAAAACCCTGATCCCGTCTTCTCAATTTGAAGCAAGTGGTGAGTAGATCGACAGGCGACGTGTAAGCCGTGGTGGAGCGAGTCTGTGACTCGTCCGTTTCACATTGACCTCCGCACATCTACAGCTGCGGTCCAGCCCAAATGGCCACCCTGATAGGACCCGACGGGAAGTTCCAGGTTCACCAAGGCGCTTTTTCCCATCTTTGTCTAGTCAGGGTTTCGGGATCTCAGAACCCCTGATTGCGTACACCCTGCACCCTTTCGACTTGAGGGCTGTCGGCTCCACATGAATGAGCCAATACTGCTCGTGGCCCATCCAGGGCTTCAATCACGATTTGCCGAGATCGTCGTTGATTCGATACATCCGTCATGGAGAAGAGTGATGATCCGGTATCATGAGCAGTCTCAGAACGCTGATCCCCACCGTTCCCAGACTTGAGTCCCTAGTCTAGATGTCTCAGCTATACCCAAGCGGCTGGAGTCCACTTGACTGGAAACAAAGTACAATGTTTACAGAGCAAACCCGGGGTATATAAGGAATGTTAACTTCGAACTCCTCCGGGATTTTTTTTTGAGACCAGAGTGCTGCGCGCTTCCTTCTTCCCAATAACTTTTTCGGATCATTCAGAGTTTGATACTCAACCTATCCATTCATTATCAATCCTTCGGGCTTTATCATCCCATTACTATCGTTGTTTACACCTACCACAACAAACCATTCACTATGAAGTTTAACATTGCTGCCGGCTTTATTGCCGCCCTTTGCCTGGCTCCCAATGCCGTTGCCTGGGAACTGCCCGGAGTATGTGATATCTGCTGCTATTTTGTTGATCTTTGGTTATTTTCTAAGGTTCTTAACTGACTGTGACTAGCTCCACAAGCGTCAGGACGCTACTCCTACTCCCCAGGCCCCTTCTGGCTCTGAGCCGACTGGTTCTTTCCCGTCCGGTGGATTTAGTGGCCATGGCGGTGGATTCGGAGGTCACGGTGGTGGATTTGGAGGTCATGGCTCTGGTGGACACCATTCTGGTCGTCCAGGTCCCCGTCCTTCTGGCACTCCTCCCTCTGGTTCATCCCCCTCTGGTCGCCCTCAGCCATCTGGCAGCTTTGGCGGCCAGGGCTCTGGTAACCAGGGTTCTGGCGTTTCCGGCGGTTCATTCCCCTCTGGTGGAGCTCAACCATCCGGCACTGTTGGTGGCTCGTTCCCCTCCGGTGAAGCTCAGCCCTCCGGCACTTTTGATGACTCGAACTCTGATTTGGCTGTTCGTGCATTCCCATCTGGAGATGCCCAGCCATCTGGTACTACTGGCGGTTCTGGTTCTGCTCCCTCCGGTGGCGCATTCCCATCCGGTGGTGCTCAGCCATCTGGTACTACTGGTGGTTCGTTCCCGTCTGGTGGTGCTAAGCCTTCTGGCACCGTTGGCGGCTCATTCCCATCTGGCGGTGCCCAGCCCTCGGGTGCCACTGGTGGCTCTGGTTCTGGCAGCGGATTTGGCGGCAGCTCCAGCAGCGGTGCTAGCGGGTCAGTTCCATCCGGTAGCCCCCAGGGTAGCAGCTCCCAGGGCGAAGGTGATGACAAAGGCTCTTTCTCTTCCTCATCCAAAGGTGAGAGTAAGGGCTCCTCTTCTTCTGAAGGCGAGGGCTCTTCTTTCGAGGGCGAAGGCGAGAGTTCTTCTCAGGGCGAGAAGGTTAAGCGTGTCCACGCTCGTCAGTTCCTCAACCTCTGGGCTTAGAGGAATGGAGCATTTTTCACTCATTAAGGGCATTTTCGCTGCCTTGTGTGGTTGAGGTATAGGTTGTTGTTGCCGTCGCTGCTGGTTCAGTTTAGGACAAAAGTATTTAGACCGATGTCGCATCCACACAAATGAGACTCTTGATTGATCCGACCTATGTATTCACTAGTCCATGTATTACTACGTACTTCAAGTTATCTTTTACTAGCACATGTCTATTTCTGTGTACTAATAGTGTAGCTTTGATTTCTGCATACTCCATAGATCGGACTAGTCATACTAGGATAGACGGCTCCTTCGTAACATTGAATATGTCTTAATAGACTTGACGCCCCGCTGAAACGCCACGACTATGAGTATTTAGTATCTGGAGATTATTTCCAATCTTTCAGAGAAAGCCCACACATCAATCAAGATTTAAATATAATCAACATTGAAATGAAATTATTGATCTAAATTAGATCGATGATCGAAGTAAATACGGAAGCTCCGATTGGCTGCGCCTTCTTCATGCTGACTCATCCGGTTTTGGCTTCAAATTTCCAGCGACTCGTTTTCGCTCCAAACACACTCCAACAAACCCCCGTCTTGACGGGTCAACACCTTTTCACCCGTTGAATCACGCGAAATATAAGAAGCGAAGATCCAAAGCTGCGTCTCGGTCCATGTGCCACCCGCAATGTGCCACGCCACACCCGAACCCATCGAGTCCGTGAAACCTCCGCAGGCGCCTTCAACTAGGCTTATCGCCGTGTCATGAGAAGGTGCTTGTGCCCCAGTGGCCTCTTGCGAACTGGCCGCGGGTCAAGAACTTCACTCCTTCCTCCTCCCCTTCCATCTTATCCCGCCCTATCTCGCCTCCATGCTCAGTCAATTACAACTAAGAGCAATCGCCTGCCCGAAAGGCAGCTCAACAAGCTCCGGCACAAGGAGCTCCAGCTGATACTTTCATACAACGAATTACCACCCCCTCCAGCAAGTGTGAACCTGAAAGGCCAGATCAAGCAATGGATCCCATCTCTCAGGAGGGCTTTAACGGCCTCGAGAGAAGCTTTCGCCGACAAACCCCAGACGGCTACTTCACTTTTGGATCACGCTAAGGCTCTCGAAGGAGGTTATAATGTGAGGGCGGTATTATATCATGCACGAACGCTTCGAAATCTCGACCTTCTCAGTTACTGGGGTTTCTACAACGGACGGTGGCCGCTAGCGTACGCTGCTCTGGGCAGTCTTGTCGATACATACGAGCTGCTCATGCCTCATATGACTCCTCGGCAGATGCTTTCGGATTCAGCATGGCAGGATCCTGGAATGTCGCTAGATGAATTGACTGGCAAGGGTCACGATGATCTTATAACCAAACGCCAGCTAATCCCGATATGCCCGCCTACACACGAGACCTCTCTTCAACGGATAACTTCATTTCGACCAGCTGTGAGAAATCTAGCAAATACCTTCCTCGAGGAAACATTCGTCAATCTCGGGTTATTAATATTAACAGCCGCGGATCAACCGGCTGAGAAGGCTGATATTGCAATGTCCTACATTTATCGTTTACTTGCTCGTCTGCACCATCTCGATTTGATATCCGACAGAGTCTACCAATCACCGAATAGCCACTCCAACCAATATTCTGTCCGTCCCCCGGGGCTCCATTTGCTATCGGGCCATATCATGAGCGTTCTTTCCGACGCAGCATGGGTCGAACATGAAGCTGCACTTGCAGATGCAGCAGCCGAAGCTGGTGAAGATCCCCCATTTGTTCCTTTCAAAGTGGGAGTCCGGGAATTGGGTCCTGAGATTTGGTTTGAATTCATTCTTTGGTGCTGCGTTGAGCACGGTCTCAACAAATCCGGTGCTTGGTTGGTCGAACAAATGAGTAAACGACAAGGCAACTTGTCTTGGAAGGTCGAGAGCTGGGCTCCTCTCATGCAGGTTCTAGATGTTGTGCAACAGACTAACATTAGTCTGGAAAAGTCATGGCGACGTGCAGACCATATAACCTCAATTGAACCCCGCAAGGGCCAAAGGAAGCCTCCCTTCAACGGACTCGGTCCAAGGACAATTAGTTCTGAGGTCATTTCGGGTCTACGTGTTGGACTGGCTAATAATGCCCATAATACAATTGGATTCCACGGGCTCTCTCCCTCCAAACTGCTTAAGCACTCAGCCCCTTTGAACGCTTTGCTTGATCCTCCGGGCCCCAAAGATGAACTGCGCCCTACCAAGAAGGTCGCTACCGAGAACATTGTCCGGATTCTAGAGTCTGGTTGCTTGGTGGCCATGGAAGATCCAAACACATTCGATAAAGTTTTACGATCCACCCAGAGCTTGGTACCGCCGTGGGAATCCAAGACCGTTCCCTCAACAGAGGAATTGGATCAAATGACAAGAGCACAGCTATACGATCAAACAGCGGCTCTGGCAGGTCTTGTGGAATACAATGTTCAGAGCTACAGCTACAAGGGCCAGGCTAGCACTGCCTTCATCCAATACTCTTTGCTTCAAAATATCACCGATGCCAGCAAAGCCCAACACATCCAAGCCTTCTTCGAGCGTCTTAGCCAGGCTCCATCGACTGATGTAGAATTTTTTGATTCACAGCAATTCGATTCGCTCCAGGTTCAACAATCGTCCCTTTCTCAAGTCTCAATCACAACACTCGCCCATCTTCTTGATCTTGCCGCTTCTACTCGTGCGGATACTTTTGGAAATTGGCTGCTCTTCAACGACGAGCTTGATGGCCCTGCTATCCCGCCAACTCTTTACGGTAGTCCCGCGCTCGCTCCATCCATACTCCGTTTTGCCTCTGCGACACAAAATAAGGAATTGAGCAAGAGCGTCATCAAGTCACTGGAGATGCCACTCTCCGTGAATACCCTCAAAGCCATGGCTAATCTTCATATCACCTTCGGGGACTGGGATCGTGCGATTCTGGCATTTGAATACCTGCGTGATTACAGACCAAAGTCTTGGGGCTTTGGTAATATCATGATGCTGGGTGCGAAGATTGTCAGGCTTGAGGGTGCACTCGCGCGAAGTCGCGCTAATTGTGCCGATCCGGAGGTACAAGCGAAGCTCACTCACAGTTTGTCTCGGGCTACGGCTTTCCTACGTCGCTTCTTTGACGGTGAATTCAATACCTCCCGAGGCAAAAACCCACGTACGTCTGATTTTCAATGGAGAGTTCTTGAGCGGACGAGGGTATGTTTCGCACTGTCCCTGGGGCCTTAGCGCGTGAAGCAAAGATGGAGCTTAAACATAAGTTCAGAAGCCGTGACAAGATCGGCTATATCTCTTCCGTGTCTTTCCATATCCTATTGTCGGCGATCACTGAGGTTCGCGGTGCTCAGGCTGGCAGAGACCTGCTTTTCAAGTGGTGTCAGAACCTCCCCAATCCAGCCCTCTGGCGTAAAAAGGAAGGTGGTGTCACCCGAATTGCATTGCGCGGCGAACGTGACTTTGCAGAGAGTGATCCAACCTACTATACTCAGTGGCATCGACATGTGGCGGAGAAGGCAGTTATTCCTAACTTGAACACCATCCGAATTCTTGCGCGAGTTGCAAGTCTGGAGTTTAGCAAGGAGCTTATGAACAACTTCGACCCATCATCTCCGGGAAAAGATCATTCTGCTCGCAGCTCCCTATCCAAATCCACCTCATCAGAATCACCCGCTTCATCCTCCCAAACAAGAACCCCCAAAGTTGGGGATACATTTAAACAGGACGCAAGATACAGAATTGGGGTATCAAAGAAGATTTTCCAACATCAAAGCGCAAATGGCGGTCTCCCCCCTTCATCACCAGCTGAGGAGATCCTCGATGAATGCGTGAATCTGTTCCTTCATGCCGGGATGCCAGAAGAGCAAATCGATTTCGAAATACCAGGTCACCTATCACGTCTACAGGCTCGTGAAGTCCTAACTGGTCGTCGAGCGAAGAGAGTTCGCGATCGATTCAAGGAGATTCAAAACGGGCCTTGGATGAATAACGTTTTGAAAGAACGGTATACCTTCTTGAAACCACGTTCTTCGAGAAAACCAACGCCGGAAGAAATCGCTCTTCGTGACTCCCCTCGACGGGGCTCACTATCTTCGGGGCATGCATCTGCCAGTGGTGACCGGTGAGATGAGTCTCGAGAATCCGTGCACATGTGTATAATACAGCGATCTTTGTGAACATTCGTACAAAAGTGTATATATACCCCTTTTATTTCCAAGTCTTCATACAATGTATTATTATTTTCACATATCATTTTTATTGCTCCCAGCACTTGAGAGTGGATGTGGACTCGGTGGACTCGGTACGCATAGCTTGAATTCACATGTTGCAGAACTACTAGTAGTTTCAATGTTCTGGGGACTCATGCTAGACAACTACTAGTAGGGATATATTCAAATCACTTTAGAAAAATACTATTGGGACATGACAGTTGAAAGAATCATAAATCATAGGTGGACAATTGTCCAGACATAAGACCAGCCCTAGAGTCTCAATCTGATAGGAGCCATACTGTAGGAAAACTCAACGCCCTTCCCATACCAACCATTCGGGCTGGTAATTCAATTCAATCATGGAAGTTTCCAAATCAAAAGCCCTGCCCCGTGGAATAAAATAAAAGAAGATATATGAAACTTGAGAAAAGGAGAAACCCAGACCAAAACACCAACTCAAGGATTTCCAGATTTGTCTTGCGTTTAATCCAAACCTCCTTTTTATGCACCTTCCAGAGACAAAAACGAACCTCATCGCATATTGATCAGTTATTTCTGAGAAATTGCAATTGGTATAGAGCTGAACATAGGAGAAGATATAAAAATCAATGAGTCATAGCGACCAAACATTTCCGATGTTGTAAAGAGATCAAGGCAGTCATTTAAATAAGTAAAGATAATAGAACAGAAAATCGGGCGATTTCGAATCGCACTTCGTAGGCAAGCCTAGGTAAAAGTAATATGTAAAGAGAAAAAAATATATGAAGAAAATAACAAAGAAAAAGAGGAAGAAGAAATGAGAAAAATGAAAAAGAAAATAGAAAGGAAATTCGTTTTGTTGAATCAGAATAAAGTCGTTCTTAGATTAAGCTTGATCCAAGTTCATCTCCTCACTCGAGTAAGGGAAGAACGAACGAATAAATTCTCCACTGATAGGATCATATGGGAAGTACATATCATCCGTAACTTGATTCGGAGAGAGAGTAGCCATCGGGTCTGAGGTATGGACATCCGAGAAACTGGGTAAACTGTTATAGTGATCCGTTCCGAAAGCCGAGTCCTGAGAAGCCAAGGACAAATCTTCCAATTGCGGGTTCCAGAGACCCGTAGAAGGAGGATTTAGGGTCTCAGTACTTTCTTGAGGTTGATCGAGTGAGAGGGTAGAGGTTGGTGCGGCTTGGTAGGTATATTCAGGCATATCACTCATATCGAATTTCATTCCCATGGATAACCGGCGAAGACTAATATCGCATAATTGCCATGCGCGTCTGGAAGCGATACTGTGCTCGGACATGGCGAAGAGCCATCGGATGGATTTCTTCGCTAGAACGATGAATAGTTTCTCTTCCTCGGGCATGTGTACACATCCAAAGGAGAGCTCGAGTAAGAGGACGGTTGCGGCTTGCATGAGATAGTGCAGGATGCACCACCAGGGGGCGATTTCGTAGAGTTGGATGGCGTTCGGTTCATCAGGGATAAGATCGAGCATGAGATTTGCAGATTCTAGGGTAAGTTCGGCCATGTCGTGGCTGAATGTGGATTTCTCTGCCGGTGCCTTCTTCTGTGCATCGCGTCGGCAAAGACAGGGACGACCTAGTGTGATCCTTGCACTGTAGTAGTGGAAGGCTAATGCCAGTTTGTACCGAAGTCGTTCAGGGCCCTCATCTTCCTTTTTGGTGAAGTCGAGAGTAGCTGGGAGACTGTGATACCAAAGGTCAATGCGAGATCTCAACTCGCCAATTCGGTTCTCAATGTGAGCCCAGGGCACCATCACACAATCTACCGAGTATACTTTGTTCACGATTTCTTGTGTCACGACAGCCAGATCACAGTAATAGAGATGACAAAGACCGGCATTGACAGGCAAACTCTTCACCCACGAATTGTCGCGAGTGCGGGATGTATGAGTGGCTTCTTTGCCACCAGTTGGGTTGAGTGGCATATGCCGAACCCATGCACTCGCCATTACAGTGTTAATACGCTCATCTCGAATGACTGTGTTGTTGAGTAATTCGGCTGCTGCTGGTTCAGTCAAGTCTTCCTCTGAAAAGGGAAGTGGCAGTGGTGTGGTGCAAATTCCATCCAGGATACAAGTAGCTCGGCCGGTCATTATACCTAGCAGGTGCTCAAATGTGTATAGGCACCACCAAACCCGATAGCGAGCCTCCTTGGAAATGTTTGGTGTTGTTGGACTGCTACTTTTCATGTTGATGCCAAGAGTGATCGCGGACCGAACTGCCAATGACGATATCCTCCAAGCACTATATATGAGACCAATGTAAGACAAGGATAAAAGGTTTTCTCTGATCCAGGGGTGGAGGAGATCGTCTTACCGGTTGATCTGATCAGATGATAGCAGATAGAAGGCGATCAGGCCTTCTACCTGAACCTGCTGGAGATCAGGATGGCTGAATAGGACTTCGCCATCCATGCTAAGTATCCTAGCTCGAGTGAGGTATGTCAAATGGTCCTTCTCCTCCCCACGCCATGGCGCTTCAATGAGATGAGAATGTTTGGATCCGATGGCAAAAATCATATTTAAGATGGCGAGCCACTTGTCACCGGGCTGTGCGTCGCTGTCGAAGAACTTTTTGAATTGGGCAGTGAAGAGAGGTCGATTGATGATAGGGAAAAATGGATGGACGGTTCGCAGGTAATCATCAAAATAATGATCGGCCTGCTCACGGGAAGGAAGTCCATAGATGTCTACAGGCCCAGGGACCGAGATATCTAGATCGTCCAAATGGTAATTGACAGCATGTAGGGCAAGATCATCATCCTGCCTTTTGCTCTGTCCTGGTTCTAATGAACCTGGTAATCCTTGTGATCGATGTTCGGCTTCTCGTTGGAGTCGCTGCATCCAAGTCACCTCAGAATTCTTTCCCATGTAGCCGGTGGCTCGTGAGCGTTCGTTCCGATTCAAGTCTTCTTCGACTCGATCGATGGCTTCGAGCGAGCCAATAGATGAAGGTGAACTTGGTTCATCTGCCTCTGCGGCCTCATCCTGAGGTGTGACCGAATGGGAGGGATTGCTATTTGATGAGTATTCCACATCCAAACCATGCTGCAGATAAGAGTTAGTAATAGCCCAGACCGTTTCAACAATATGACGACCGTACCTTGTCCAGCAAGCTTTTGATTCGGTCCGCAGTACGACTCTCCACAATGTTTCCCAAATCCTTCAAGAGACTTTCATAGTCCTGTGCCTTTTCCGTAAGTTTTTCAACCTGCCTAAACAGCACCCAATAGTTTAGCAATACTTCTTTAAGATCGAAAATCGCATTTGGTAGAAAGAAATGATTGTCGTACTTCTTCGTTCTTTCCTTCCAACCAACAGGGTAATTACAGGTAGCCCTTAACTCGCGACACTGGCGACAAACCGGGGTGTCACCGCTGCATTTCGTCTTGCGCTGACGACAGGATTCACAAGCTCGGGGTACTCGTCGATTATACCGTGGAGCCACTCCAACGCGATGACGGGGGATGGGGACCTTTGCATGGGAATTCCTTGACTCTGCGATCGATGTGGCGTTTCCGAAAGACGAGGCCGTATCGGCGATTGAGGCGGCGATGGAAGGACGTTGAGAGCGTGGTATTTGAGCACCGTTTGGAGTCGCAAGACCCTCACCCGGCGGGTTATGAGGCGGATCTTCCATTGTCATGATGCGTGGTCGCGAAGTTGGTGGGAATGCGCAATATCAAGAATCAAGGGCTTGGTTATAGTGGAACCAATGCGGCGCGATACAATTTTGTCGGCGAGTCTTTCTTTTTGGCTGAGTTGATATAAATCGCGTAGCCTGCGAGAAGCCTTACGCAAGAATAGGATCCATTTGGTTCGTGGTATCGCAGAAATTTCAAGGCAATCGAGTGTTGAAGGCTTTGGATTTCACATGGGCGAGACCAAGGCGGAGTGGCGGGGAATTTGATGTCCCGCTAGATTCCAAGATTGGAAAGTTGAAAGCTTAGTAAGGTTGATTGCGTAGATTTGATGCGCTATTCATGAAGGGATCTTTTTAAAAAAAAGTAGAAAAACGAGGGAGAGATGTAGACGATTATGGCTATCAATACTAGTGATATTAGCACTGACTATTGAAGTTTCATCTACTTGGGGCTTGGGTACTATGCAGTAGAGGTGCAGCCCTATGACGTAGGTGGACGTACTACTGTAGTAGGTGTACTGCATAGACTGAAGATGTAGTCGATGCAAATACAAAATGATTCCACAACTCAACCCTTTTTAACTCGCAAGAAAGATGAGATGAAGAAAAAGAGGAAAAACGATGAGAAGAAAAGAAAGGACTAGGCACAGCCGAGGCCTGTTCTTGAAGCATCGCGATATGAGAGTCTTCAAATTTCAGATTTGATAGCAAATCAAATAAAATAGGTAGAGTTATCTACTGAGTATCAGAAGAACTAGGCGGATGTGAAATTTCTACTGACCCAGTTGCTACATTGATAGCAGAAACAAATTGTTAAATGAAGAACTAACCCTATGTAATATCCTCTATACATGAGCGGCATAGGAGGCTAAGCTACTGGTGGTCAAGATGTAGAGGTAAACACTCCTACTCTATTCAAAAGTTGAGACACTACACACCACAGACATCTAGATATTCATGATTGTCATACTTGAATTGATTCATAGATTGCATCGACGCCTTAGCATACAGGAAATAGCCCGCTTTTTAACCCTTCTTTTCATCGAAAATTTCCCAGATATTCATATCCCCCATCTACCCATCCAGGGCAAGATAATAACGCAAAACAAACTGATGTGTATATATACAAGAATAAGATTAGAAAAAAAAAGTAAACGCGCGGCACAGAGATGAGAGCCGACATGTTCCAGGATTTAAAAAGGTGGTAAGAGGGTATAACGACAAAGTTGGCTCTCAGGGCAAGCGAGAGGGGAGAGAAGAGAAAAGTGTTTCAAAGAAACGATGAAAAATGAAATGAAAGGAGTGCATAACCCAGTGATGGCATGAAAAGAGTTTAGATTTCGCCAAACATCTCATCAAGCTCATCAACCTCCACGGTTTCTGGGTTCTGCAACTCTCTCCAAGAATCAAAAACAGACTCGGTGTCCATGGAGAAATTCCGGGGACCAAGACTGAGCTTTTCGTGCGACTCGGTCAGATCAGACATCTTGAGATCGACATCTGGGAATCCACTGTTCAACATGTCCAGGGATCGCTTGAGGGTGGAGACCGGAGCGGCATCCGGATCAGTAGGCAGACTGATCTGGGGAGCGGTCGGAAGACCATTAACCTGTTCCTCGCCATCCATCTCAACATCAATCACGCTCGTTCCAGACGAGACAGAAGATGCGACAGAAGTAAGGGAGGGAGAGGGAGATGTGCCGAAGAGGGTGGCAGCGGCGGCCTCATCCAAATCATGGGAGGCGTTGTCTACCGAATTCATATGAGAGAAGTAGTCGTTGAACTCTTCTTCGCCGTGAATAGACGGAGAGATCGATCCACCGTTCATGGGGGAATCGATGTGCGAGGCCTCGTCGATGGAACTGAGACTCTCGGAAAGAACGGAAAAGCCGCGTTCCGACTGATCGCGACTGGCCTTCTCCTCCGAAGCACGCTCACGCACAGCACTGGCGGTCTGGGTGAATTCCTTCTCATCGCCCTCCAGGGGCGGGGAGGCCGCGCGATTTGAGTGCATCAGGCGTGTATGACTGCTGGGGTCTGGAAACTGATCGTTCGATGTACCATGGCTGGTAGAGTTGTGCAGGTCGACATTCTCAAAATCCGGCGATGACAGATCAACTTCGGGACTGGGGCTGCGTTGGCGCGACATCAGATCCTCCTCATCTTGGTCCAGACTGGAGACACTGGGTGTCATGTTCTTGCCATCCATACCAATCAAATCATCATTATCTGGGATAGGTTGACGTTGGCAGGTTGTCAAATAATAGTATACTTTGCGCGGGTGAATGAGAATAAGTTCCTTGGCCATGGGGCATGGCGCAAGGGCGGTCCAAGGACGCTTCATATAGGCAGCCAGTCGAGAAGACAGGAGGGCGGCAGGATTAGCAGAGCTAGAGAGATGTTAGTCGCGAAAACGATATAGTCAAGGGAGATAGGGGATATAGTCTTACTTTGCGACAGTCGCATTCAGCGACACTAATACTGCAGCCAACTCCTTCACCAAATGAGGGCGATTCCCAGTCTTCTGTAACTGTTCAATCACAGCGACCACAATATCATCATTGATACCTTCCGTGTCAATCTTCCGCGCAACTCCGGCATCCATAGGTGATGGGGGAGGTGTATGCTCGAAGGCTCCGTGCCGACCGGCGCGCACTAGAGACCCCTTCCCCGTTGACGGTTCTGGTGATTGTGAAGTATGCGACCGTTTTACTTTCTTTGCAGGATGAGAATCATCTGTTTTTGAAAAGGAAGGAGAGCGTCTCGAAGAGTTGGGAAGATGAATGCCTAGCGAAGGAAGAGAGAGTGACTTGCGACGAGTATTGTACGGCATGATGGAAATATAAAAGGATGTATAGATGTTAAGGGAATAAAGAGTAAAGGGTAAAAGATAAAAGATAAATAGAGGAAACGATAAATTCTGGGGGGAAAAAAAATAAATGATTTCACTCGGAGAGGGACTCCTGGTAGTAAAGGGGGAAAGAGAGAAGGGAAGTAGATGAGCTTCACACTCTCTCTCAGTTCTGGAAGGCGAATGATCCGAATAGTATGGATTACAGTGGATTCTCCCTATTCTTCTTTTTTTTTCCTTATTTTTTTTTTCCATAATTTTTCCATGGATTTTTTCCTCTTTTTTTTCTTTTGTTTTTAAATCGGAAATACCAATACAGTCCCGAATTCAAATGATGATGATTGGTGGGGATCCGGATATTGATTTTCGTTACGGCATCAGTTTAATTCTGACATTATTCAACTTAATCCACTTCATACGAATACTATGACCATAAATCGGGATTTTTATTCACTTGAACCTTGGTATCAACATTTGATATTTTCATACTTTTATTCTGTCTTTATTTTTATCTACTTAAGTACATATAAGTATATGTATTTTCCCTCTTCTTAGTAACATACTCTATACGGGATTTGAATCAAATTCCAGGCGGTGTGGATCGGGTTCCATACCACTACCCGCTTCATTCCCTAGTGCATACCGATCCAAGAGGCAAAAAAAAAACCCAAGCTGATGAAGCCTGGAGTGGAGTGTCATAGCCATGTGTTCTATCACCCAATATGGTTCTTAACAATAGGTTCCACAATACCAAAAAAAAAAATATGGACCAGGCTCCACGACTCCATTAGCTCAACCTGCTCTCCCAACCACTGAATACCGCTGGCCCCGAAACAATAATAACCTCTACCAAATCGCTGATTGGTGTGGGACAAGGCAGGAAAGGACTCTCTAGGATTGGGGGCAATGCCCGTATTTCTCAATCTCAAGTTGCTGCAGATGCATCTTGCCCAGCCCTGGAGGGTGGAATTGGATCTGTCAAGTGGTTGCTAGGTGACCAGTCGCCCTGTTGCATCTTGACCGCTTCTTCCATTCAAATCTGTATATCATTCGGTATGTGAGTCTAGAGCAGGCTCGGGAACTAGCGCATCACCTTGTTTTTTTTCCCCCTTCCCATAATCTCGGATGCATCATCTCTATATTTCTGGGTTGCCGGTGCACGCGAGCAACTTAACCCGAGACCTCCGGACGAAAAACACCGGTTCCCTAAAAAGATCCCTAGCGTCGCCGTTTGGGAGGGTCACTTTATCCACTAAGGTGGATCTTTGAAACATATGTACTGTATTGTAATACTCTAGTAAGGAGATGGACTCTGTTAGTCGGAAACGGGACTCGCCACCCGTGTGCAGCTAAAGCTGAGAGGTACATTAACGCCCCCGATTGAAGTACGAGTTTACAGATGTACTACCACTTGACTTTCTTGGCTTCAAGCTAACATAAGTTTAACTGAAATATGCAGAAAAAGCAAAAAAAAAAAAAAAGATTAAAAAAGAGAAAAAATCTTCCATATCACATCTCGGCTCATAAGTTAAAAAAAAAATAATAATAAGTGATGATGCCATTAAGAGGGGAATTCCTTTCCCCCCCTTTTAACTCCGCTCGACGTCGATATGATGTTCATGTCATGGTCCACCTCACCGGAGATGGCACATTATTATGCTTCCCTAGGCTAAGATATTCATGAGACCCGTCTTATTTTACTCCATTCGACTCCGTAACCCCCAATCACTCCATCTGAGATGATTTCAATACTCCACTGTAGTAACGATCGTCGCCTTGTCTTAGCAGCAAGGGCGGGTAGGGGCATTTACAAACAACCTACGTAGTATGCAATCTAGGATAATCATTCCATGTCCCTTGGGGAAATTCCCTAGGATACAAATGGTCCAATCTTATCGTCGCATTTGCCCACTTCTAGGTGATGACATCTTTCACTTCTTGTTCGGGGAGGGGAAGGTTACCATATTCGACCAGTCAACCATGGAACAGGATCGAGTATCAGGCCATTGTTTGGATACATTTAGACATATCGGTTGAAAGGAATGATCATTTTATCTGATCTGGTTCGTGTTTGGTCCCATACTACATCGGATCGAAATGTATGGTGACAACATGCAGTAGTGGCTGGGACACTAATTCTCCGCATCTCCACAGATGAAGTAGGTGGTACGGAGTACATGGACAGCCTGCATCGGACATGCCCTATGCCCTGCATTTGGATCTACCTGTACGGAGTCTCCGTACTCCGTATGTACTCCATAGACTGGGAGTTCTATACTGTAACTCTTTTTTTCAGATTTGATCTTCTGTTTGCAATGTTGGATATGTCGTTTTGGGTGCAGATCTACATCACAGTATGCAACTTGAATGTGGTTGGCTGTCGGACATGCATAAAGACTGGTCCGATTGGATTCCTCGTTTCTGGGGGTTGGCTACACACTTAAGATTCAAGTTCTAGCCTTCGTTTAACTCTTTGATATCAAGACCATACCCGCTTCCTTCAAGACTATATACGTATCACTTATATCCACTTTCATGATCTATCCAGTGTTCCCCATGTGGCAAAAAGAGTCAAACTTGAAACATAGATGTCATGAATCTGACCATAACCCCCCCCACTTGAGTTCAACCTGGGACGGGTGTATACATCTAAACTGAGACAAACATTGGACTAATGCTATCACCCACCAATTCCATATGTAGGTTCATATGTATTGTAGGGAACCCTTGCTTTGTCTCAATCACTATCACGAACCCCTCGTCTAAGATCCCAGTGCATCATCTATTTATCACCACACCAACCTTCTGAGACAAGGCAGATACCCCTGCAGGTGATCTGCAACATGCATATCCCGACCGATTTAGATTGGAAGGCTTTCTCTTCCGCCTTGTTGGTCTTTCCGCGTCGTTTGAATATCGCGTATTTACCAATAAGAAAGTGATCCGACCCCCCTCATGAAAGTGCCATTTCAAGATTCCCTGCTCATTTCCCGCTTTCGAGGTCCAGATGGATGAAGTATGAACTCTAGAACATGTTGACTCAAGTTGGTTATAACTCCATGTGGTATACTCCGTGCTCTGACTACGTACTACTTTTGGTCTATCTAGTACGAAGTAGTAGTCGTCTTGGACTAGTCTACATTGATAGTAGGCACCCGATATAGCATTCCAAATATCTACGTCAAATAGTGCCAGTGGTGACTAGTGTTAAGGTAACTCTCCACTAAATTCGGAAATTGTACTCCGTCATGAAGCCATTCCTTCAGGTTGTCATAAGTCTTGGGTTAAACATTTGAATTAAAACATTTGAATTAGAAGATTCAAATGAATAGTGGCCAACTGGTGGCTTGCAAATGTCGACTGCTACTACCTATGGTAGTAGTCTAAGGCGTTCTTGCAAAAGTGTATGCAAACACTTGAACACACTACTAGTACTACTCTTCTCATCAGGCGTTCCAACATTTGAAGGTTGTCACTTGAGTCCGAGTCAAGCACCCATAGCACTTATTAGCACTAATAGTATCCTCACGCTGCTCACTTTATGAATTTCCAATTCCTACATGTGCAGTCTTCGTGTTCCATTTGAACATTTGCAGGTCAATTTGAATTACTGTACTACACCACACATCTCAGCACTCCATCCATCTATAATTAGGTTGGTATCTACTAGTATCATCAATGTAGATCTCCACGTTTCATCCAAGCCCCACATTCATTATTCCGCGACAACTTCAAGTTACGCGAGATACTGCCAATTTTAGATGATAACGTGAGATAAAAGTCTTAATATAATACAAACACTCAAGTGCTGTCCATTTAATCCTAATCACAAAAAGATGCTGACCCTTTCATGTGCGATGCTTCTATCTATATCCAGGAGGCATAATCCTTAACCCAAGTACTCCCTCTAATACTAGTATCGTATGATCCTCATGCAATGTTATATAACTCGAAGCCCATAAGCGACAGACTTAGACCTAAGCCCAATCAAGACTTCTCAGATCCCTGCCTCGGTCGCAACACATACCGCCATGTTGTCCCAAAATGCCACCGTTTCTCTTCCACAATCTCCAGCCCACTCTCCTTCACAATCGCCCCAATATCACGGTTCCACCAACAACCATGTCTATCCGCATGCGCAGGCGCCAAGTTATCCAGAATCCGATTCAACCAATTATAATGGGATCTTCCATGCTCCAACAATAAGATCCTCCCATTCTGCGGCTCCGTAATCTCACCCAAATGCCTCAACGTCCCCACAGGATCAGGCATGGAGCATAATCCCATAGTCTGCACAATAGTATCATAGTAAGAACCCTTAAAGTCCTGACCATTGACACATTTCACAGGTTCCGCAACAGTAACAGAAGCCGCATCCTCCGCCCGAAACGAAACAGGCATAAGACGAACCTTTTCCTTCTCATTTCCCTGTTCATACTCCGGATGCAAGGTCTTGAACTTTTCTTCCGCAATACCAACCATCTGCGGACTAAGATCCACCAACGTAAGTGACCGACATCCCAATATCGCCGCGCGACCTGCATCGTCTGTTCCACGGCGTTCGCCAAGCTCATAGTACTCGAGGTTTCGACCTGTACCACAGCTTATCTCGAGGACATCGCCGCGTGCGAGCTTGACCAGAGCTGCGCGCTTAGAGCCCATGCGCATAGCTTTTTCGGAGATCTCGACCTCCGCGTCGAAGGTTGGGGCGGTGGTGTTGTATCGGTCTGAGACATCGGTGGGTGTGTTCATAGCTTGGGCTTTTGAGACTTCGCGACTGTACGATGCGTATAGGAAGCCACAGTAGGCGCTTATTCCGAGGACTGAGACGCCGAGGAAGGTCATAAGGCGGGGTGACATGGTGGGACCTTTGTAGTTTGGGTGTGCTGGGAGTATGGGTTCTGGTTTGGGGGTTGGTCTTTGTGGAGGTAGAGGTCGTCGACTCGGACTGTGATGGCTTTGGATTAGAGGAGTAGGTGAGTTGAGGCTATTTGGGTCATACCTTGGTCTTTGAGGTCGAGGTTGTGCCTTTTGTTGTGCTTTGCTGTGTGCATGTCTGCGAGCGGACGGCGCAACGGCCCAGTTGAGTCTTGAGACTCTTCTTATTTGGGTAGTGTTCATCATGACGGAGTCAAGACTGCCTGGGTCTTGGTTTGTTCACCAATTGAGCTTTTCTATCGCATCAACTCAGATATTCGAGAATGCCGATGCGCGACGGCCAAAGAAAAAAATCCCGGGAGCACGTAGATGTATGCTCAAAGGCGGAGTTCCACTGAGAAACAATGGAAAATGCAAGATATCCCTTTCTCTTCGACCCAATTCAATGTCAATCCCCGGGTTTTTATCCAGGATAAAGCTAATGAGGCTCTGCTGTCTCCGGGTTGCCGTTTTCCAAGGAGAACCGAGATGGATGACTTCCGTTATCGGGACGATAAGACATGCCGGAGATCACAACCATACTACACCCGTGGACTCATGGTAGTCAAAGGATGCCGTTAGTCAAGTACCTAGTTCAAGTTCGCTAGAAACGAGGGACTGAATACCTAGGTATTAATTTCCCAGTCTCCAGGTTTGAATATGCAATCAGTGATTCTCTACTCATCTCAAACTATTACTACTACTAGTATCAGTGCCCTTCCATTCACTATATATCACGATATCAATACTACCAAATCTTGCAACAAGTTTGGTCAGCTCCGATTGGAACGACACGGGGATCCTTAAAAAAAATCATGTAATATTAAACCACCGATTCATACCTATTGACATCTGATATTGATTCAACACTGCCCAGGTGCCACCCAGGCATCGGCGCAGCGCTAGAGGTGCTCCAGGGCTAGTATCTGCGCATAGTTTGATGTCCACTGGCAATGTCCATAGTTTACTACCCTTAGCCCAGATACTCCTTACACACCCAGTCTCAGCTTTGATGCAGATTCGAATAGATCATTCAACCGGAACTGAGAAGAATGTTCTCAACTTGTTCCTGGCTCTTCTATATTCAATACAGTGGTGCTGACCCACTATAGACTTGGACTCCACTTGTACCTCGAATTAACGCACAGTCCGTTATCGGGAGAGTCACAACGTCTCCAATCTCCAACTCAGCTGCATTCCTCTTTCTTCCTCCTGAAGCACAAAACAAAAGACCTCAAAAACCAAGCCATTGAAGCCTACCATGGCATTGCCCTCGAAGATCCTGATTGTTGGAGGTGGTATCTTCGGACGTAAGTCTCTACCCCAGACCAGATCCCAATTTACCCCAATTCCTCTCCACAGAACGCACAACAACCCCGCAAAATAAATCTACAATTCCTGTCCCTATATACCGCGCTCACGAGACCAAAACTAAATACTAAATACCACTGGCAGTATCTACCGCCATATCTCTGAGCAAACGCCATCCAAACGCTCAAATCACACTCATCGAATCCGCACCCACAATTCCAAACCCGCATGGCTCCTCCGTAGATAAAAGCCGTATTGTGCGCGCAGACTACGCAAACAGCGCATACTCTAAGCTCGGAGCAGCCGCAATCCAGAAGTGGCGCAATACACCCTGGGGTGAAGAGGGTCGTTACACGCAGAATGGTCTGTTACTGGTATACCCCGGTGACAGCGCCAGCGCAAAGGAGTACGCGCGGAAGAGTTATGCGAATGTACGAGAGATCGAGGGTGACAACGTTGTCTTCTTACCAACCAAGAAGGATGTTCTGAGTGTTGTACCACCGTACGGAGAGACATTAGATGTTGCAGGTGGGTATGTGAACTGGGGATCTGGGTGGTCTGATGCAGGTGCGAGTGTTGCATTTGCGAAGAAGCTACTCGATGAAGAAGGGAAGGTAGTTTTCCGTCATGCCGATGTGAAACGTGTACTCTTTGAAGAATCCAAGGACAAGGGTTCAGAGAATAAGAAGCCTCGTGCTATTGGTGTTGAGTTGGAGGATGGCTCGAATGTCTTGGCTGATTTGGTTGTCCTCGCGACGGGTGCATGGTCATCTCGTCTTGTGGATCTACGTGGAAAGGCTGTTGCGACAGGTCAAGCTATCGCTTATATCAAGATTAGCGATGCTGAGCAGCGCGAGCTGGAGAACTTGCCTACTATCTTGAACTTCGCGACGGGTATCTTTATTATCCCGCCACGGGATAACTTGCTTAAGATTGCGCGTCATGCGTACGGATATCGGAATCCTGTTACGGTGCCGGTTCCTGGGACTGTGCAGTCTGGTAAGACCATGCAGGTTAGTCTGCCTGAGAATGGAGTGCCGGTGCCGTTGGAAGGCCAGGAGGCGTTCCGGGTTGCGTTGAGACAACTTCTACCGCGGTTTGTGGATCGGCCGTTTGCTGATACGAGGATTTGTTGGTATACTGACACGTAAGTATTTCTTATTCGAGTGTGTTTTGTTGTCTCGGCTCGATTACTGCAGTTGGATGATCTATGGCTAATACGAGTCTGGTGCAGTCCGGATGGTGATTTTATTGTCTCATACCATCCTGCCTATGAGGGTCTTTTCCTTGCGACAGGTGGCAGTGGACATGCTTACAAGTTCTTCCCCGTTATTGGAGACAAGGTTGTGGATGCACTGGAAGGAAAATTGGAGCCCGAATTGCGCAAGCTTTGGGAATGGACAACCATGACGCCTACTTCGGAGACCGAGGACCTATTTGATGGTGATGGAAGCCGGTCAGGCGCGCGGGATTCAATTTTGAAGGATGAACTAGCCAAGAGCAGGAAAGCTACCAGGGGTAGTGTTTTATAGACTTGGTGTGACAATCTTGCAAGTTCAAGTCTCGGTTGAACCTGTGGACTTTCCTTCGAGTCGCTGGGCGGAGGAGGTTGCACTTTGGGAGGTGGGAGACGGCTGCAGTTGCATATACAGTCCTTACTGACAGGCGGCACGTATGTGGTATAGCCTGAACATTTGATCATGATAGAACATAGAATTGGATGTTGATACCAGGTTCAAGTTGAGTACTAGCAGGAACCATTCTACTCTTCCAGGGTATACAAGGTGATATATAGACTAGTACTTGGAAGGGATTTTTTTTTTAATAATTCCACTTTCTTTAGAAGTAACGGAAGCATCACGGCAAAAGCCGATCCATCAAGCTCAGAGCCAAAGCGACCAAGCAACGACGGAATTTTTTTTGGGCCCGCGACAAGCTGCCTCACCAACGGGGTTGAGCAAAATCAAAGAAACATGGGGATTAAGAGGCAGCCATTCGACCAGCGCACAGAACCGCCTCACTGCGGTGCGCAGCAATCTAAATTGTAAAAAGTCGAAGAGATGAACAAAACACAACCGGGGATTTGACCAAATCGCTAGAAAACGCCGAACAATGCTTGCATAGAGAATCGTGAGAAAAAGGGGGAAAAAGGTCAGGGTAACCGGGCAGCAATATGGGAGTCGAGACTACCCATCTGCCATAGTTGACCCATCGAAGCAAGAAAGATAAGGCGAAGATGTTAATACAATGGGGAACAAAACGGAGAGCAAGATTGATCTTCCTGGCGAACGGCTGACTGTTTGTTGCTTAGACCTTGCGGAAATCTGGAGACGAGAGTTAGTATATGAGTCGATGAACAGTGTAGAAATATAAGACATACCGTTGAGCACAGGATAGATCATCTCGAAAGCCTGGTAAATTTCCTCACGGACTTTGGCGCCAGTCAGGACAATCTTACCACTGACGAAGATCAAGAGCACAATCTTGGGCTTCATCATACGGTAGATCAGACCAGGGAAGAGCTCGGGCTCATAGGAAGAGAAGTTGTGGTGGCGAGAAGCCAGACCCTCCAGACGGATGGGGAACTTGATATCGCAGGAGCCGACGATGTTCTGGATCTTGAAGTCGGTGAACTTGGCGTTGAAGCCGAGCTTCTGGATGATACGGGCGTACTTGCGGGAAGCAAGCTTGGAGTCATCCTCGGACTTGGCACCAGTGACGACCATCTTGCCAGAGGCGAAGATCAAAGCGGTGGTCTTGGGCTCACGGATACGCATGATGACGGCGGCAAAACGCTATTAAGCAAAAAGAAAAGAGAACAAGTTCAGTCACACTGTACCCTGAAAAGGAAGCCAATATCAGAGAGGTGTGGAATATACCTTAGGGTTGTACTCGGCGTTGCGAGCATGCAGAGCAATAGTCTTGAGATCCAGACGGCAGTCCAGATTGACAGTAGCCACAATGTTTCTTTAAGAAAGTTTCAGTGTTCTGACTCTTGATGGAATGTGGTTTAAGACAAGCCAGAAAGAGTGAATACTCACTGCAAGGTAGGAACGATACCACTGCTTCCAGTGGTCGCGCCGGGAGTCGCGACAGGAGTGGCGGGAGTAGCGGGGATCACCCCATTGCCTGGGATGGCATTTCCTCCTTGGCTGTTCATCGCGTTTGCACCCTGAATCTCCTTCTCAGAGCCGGGAGGAGTGAGATCGCCCGCACCACCGGGGAAAGAGAGGGACGAGGGAGAGGTGAAGGCACGAGCCTGCTGCGCGTTCGACGGGTGAGTCGTAAGCGAATCCATGATGGGTCAAAGTGATCAGGAGATCAAAGAGCCGATTTTGGAAAAGTGTCAAAGATGACGTGGAACCACTGAGGGATAAAGGAAGGAAGGTTAGTGGGGCACGTTCGATAAAGAGACAAAGGTAAAGGGTGGTGAGGAGACAATCCTCATTGGGAGGAGGCAACAAAGGAAAGCCGTAAATAGAAGGCGGTGACTCGCGGCAGGTAGCCTAGGCGGTGAAGCAAAGGCAGAAGATGAGACGAAAAACTCACGGAGTCAAGATAAGGGAGATGGACAAGTGAATGTCTCCCCCTGAAGATGCAGGACGTTTGAGTCACACAAAGAAACTCAAAAAGATCCAGAAAAGCACACTGAAGTGTTTTCAAGAAAGACCGTCACAGAAGCCAAATATTAAAAAAGGAAGAAAAAAAAGGGAGCAGGGAGTTGCAGCACCAATGACAACTTTTTGCGTATGAACAAGGGGAAATTTCCTTCTTGTTCAGCTCTGGCCTTTTTTTTTTCAAATGAGATTTTCAGTTTTTTTTTTTCTATCTGCAAAACGTGATTCTGAATGAAAGTGATATAGAAGTGGTAACGTGAACACACTTCTTTGGATGAAGCCCTAGATGGATAGGAGGAAGATATTGATCCTTTGAACCCGGTAAGGAAAAAATCAACCTAAGAGAGAAACCTTCTTTCCCACCTGAGAATGATAGATTTTCTTTGAAAAATGGGTAAACCCAAATATAAAAAGAAAATCGATGATTCCGATCAGATTAGTTTATAGATTTGCCCAGGTGTAGCAGTGCCACAAAAGGAAAGAGGTGGAGAAGGGGGGGGGGGAAACAGAAATGCCAAGACCAAGGATTCTCTCACTCAGACACCAAGGTGGGAGATGCCCTCTTTATATAGTGCTGACTCACTGCCCGCGTCAGGGGAGGCTGGGCCTGTTGGTGGCGCTTAAAGCAGCACTACTTCTTCCCCCTTCACCCATGGTCTCCAAGCCCCACTAGCGGCTCTGGCACAGTCATTTTGATCCAATCAAAGACATTTACCATGTTGTTTACCTATGATTGGTCTTGGCTATCAATTCTCCACTTTAATATTCCTTCTTACTGGTTAATCCACCCTTGCTTTTATCCTCCGCAGCGCCATGGTTGCAATGGTCACTCAGTCTTGAGATGCTCCTGCAGCTGATAGTCGGGTCTATCCTCCCCCCCCATCCTGTATGCCTATCCAATCATCTTCCCCCTGCCTACTCGGTCACTCCCTGTACGACGCGCTATCCTCTTGCCGCTTTAATCGATGGCAACTGAACAAAAATTCTTGCCGCCGACTTCCTTCTTTCCCTCTTTCCCCCACCAGGTTTTTTTTTTCTCCTGCTTGCTCCAAGCGCCCGCCCCATGAAAAATAGCGCCTGCCACGAATCTCATCACATTTTAACCAGGATATTAATATGCTCAAAAAATTAAAAATAACACAGGACAGTGTGGACAACCAAAGGGAAATTTGTTGGGCAGAGAAAAGGCCAGGGTGTCCGTTTGGGATTGTGCGCTGGACTGGTCGCGTCGCGGATCTGATCCACCGCTTCCGCCAAGCCTTGGATCAATCTCATGGCATGCGATCATCACGTCCTAGACTCCGTATTCGGTACGGAGTATGCTGAATAGGTATTTATTTGCAAAATTTCACATTCCCCGATGATATATATCATTCAAATATGAAAAACAGCAGAAAATATGGAAGTTACGCGAGGATGGAATTATGGGCAAATATGGTGAAAAAAAAGGAAGGAAAAATAGTATGACCGTGTTTCGGGTAGAAGCTTAACATTTGAACGCGGTGAGATGATCGCCTCCCGTATATACCGTATTCAGCATATTGCTCTATCTAGTAATCCTGGAGCGGTCGATCATCACTATGGAGTACGGAGTAGATAGCTTCGAGCTCTCTTTTTTCGAGATCAGTCTAGATTAGAAGAGACAACCGTTTTAATATTATCATATTTTAATATATTTATTAAATTTGGAGAAACACATGCAACTTATCCTCGTCGATGATGTCAAGACACTTTCACGGCTGGCCACGGGATCTTCTATCTATTCCATCTGTTTAAGGGGTATTAGTTAAGATTACCTAGGTAAATGGTGGATAACTTAAATCAACTTCAAAATGTCAAAATGGAGTATAATAAATTCCTATTATATTACTGCATAATGCATACACACTTTAATCTCTGTAATCAATGTTCGGAATAGGATATACGGGGAGGGAGAGCACAACTCCTGGGCCGTTCTCGGTGAACCGCCGATTGCCCCGATTGTCAATCATCCGCTTTCTGATTGGTGGCAGAACTTACACCTCGGGTAGGCGGTTTTCGGCGATTTTAAGAATACAGAAAACGAAGTCAAAAGTTCGGCTATTCAAGGTGATTAATCTCTGGAATTCAATCCCGAGGTCATGATCGGCTTCTTCAATATCTGGAACTAATCAACTTGATCAACTTCCGTCAACCTCCCTCTCTATCACCATACATTGCGCCCCGCCATGGCGTCCAAAGGCGCTGTCTTGCCTCTATTGAGGCGTGAGATGCGATCAGCTCGATTCGCACGATCCTGCCCCTCCGTCTCGGCCCTGGTCTCGCCAGCTCGTTCTACTCACTCTCCACGCTTTTCTACCCCATCCAACCGCTTGTTGCGCCGAACCACCCTTGGTTTACCCCAGACCCGCGCCTTTTCGCAATCTGTAACCCGCCGGTTTACAGACGAGAATGGAGATTTTGATCCCCGGAAATTGGACCGCGAGTATGACGAGGTGGATGTGTGCATTGTTGGTGGTGGTATGTAGAAAACATGCGGCGTTGATGTTTTGCTATCACATGCCAACGGCCTCTGTTCACATGGCAAATTTAAGCTAACCCATCGGAATTCCTTTCTAGGTCCCGCCGGTCTCGCCGCTGCGATCAAGTTAAAGCAACTTGCTAATGAAGCTGGAAATGAGGAATTCCGAGTCATTTTGTTGGAGAAGGCTGGTGAGATTGGTTCTCATATCGTTTCCGGCAATGTCCTCCAACCCACCGCCATGAACGAGCTCTTTCCGGACTGGCTGTCCGAAGATAACCCCTCGCGCTTCGAGGGTGCCACCCCCGCCAAAAATGACAAGATGCGATTCCTCACAAAGAACGGCTCATACCCTCTCCCCACACCCCCGCAGATGCACAACGAAGGCAACTACATTATCAGTTTGAGTCAGTTGACCCAATGGATGGCTGAACGAGCAGAGGAGCTTGGTGTGGAGGTCTACCCGGGTTTCGCCGCCAGCGAGATCATTTACAAGCGAGACGGATCTGTAAAGGGAGTTGCGACCAATGATTTGGGCCTGGACCGCGAAGGCAAGGCCAAGGAAACCTTTGAGCGTGGTATGGAATTCCACGCACGGGTTACACTTCTGGCAGAGGGCTGCCACGGTAGCTTGACCAAGCAAGTGATCAAGAAGTACGACTTGCGACGCGATAGCGACCCCCAGACATACGGACTCGGAATCAAAGAAATCTGGGAGATTCAGCCGGAGAAGTTTCGCTCTGGAGAGATTGTGCACTCGATGGGATACCCCCTCCCCAAGGATACCTATGGTGGTGCTTGGATGTATCACTTTGGCGACAACATGGTCAGCATCGGTATTGTGGTGGGATTGGATTACCCGAACCCCTGGTTATCACCATATGGTGAATTCCAGAAGTTGAAGCATCATCCCCTGTTCAAGGATGTCCTTGAGGGCGGCAAGTGTATCTCATATGGTGCCCGTGCCTTGAACGAGGGTGGTTTCCAGTCCATTCCTAAGTGCGCATTCCCCGGTGGTGCTTTGATTGGTGATACCGCGGGCTTTTTGAATGTTCCCAAGATCAAGGGTACTCACACGGCTATGAAGTCTGGTATGCTGGCTGCAGAGGCTGCATTCTCTGCACTGAAGGGCGAGGACAAGGGTACAGTTTTCTTGTTTGATTATGAGCAGGCTCTTCGGGATTCCTCCATCTGGAAGGAGCTGCGCGAGGTGCGCAACATTCGGCCTTCATTTAACACCCCACTCGGCTTCTTCGGTGGACTCCTCTACTCCGGATTGGAAGCCTATATTTTCAAGGGCCGCGTTCCCTGGACCCTCAGCCACCACGGCACTGATGCCGAGGCCACCAAACCCGCCTCTCAATACAACAAGATCGAATACCCCAAGCCTGATGGCGAGATCAGCTTCGACATCTTGACCAGTGTGAGCCGCACAGGTACCAACCATGAGGAGGACCAGCCTGTGCATCTTCAAGTGGAGGACTGGGACAAGCATAAGGATCTCGCATGGCCCGTTTATAAGGGTATTGAGAACCGATTCTGTCCTGCTGCTGTGTACGAATATGTCGACGATCCCAGCAAAGAGCATGGTGTACAATTCCAGATCAACTCACAGAAGTAGGCATCCCCCTTTCCCCTCCTCTGATTTGTCTCTCGATTAAATACTAACAATCAAATTTTAGCTGCATTCACTGCAAGACGTGCGACATCAAGGTTCCTACACAGGACATCAACTGGCAGACCCCTCAGGGTGGAGAAGGTCCTAAGTACATCATGACTTAAGTTTATTTGGGAACCTTGGAATGGACCCGGAGTTATGGAAGATCAAGTTTGAATATAATGCTGGGTGGCCCAGCTGTTTTGTATATATCCCAGAATACCAAAAAGACAAAGCGTTCTACATGCTATTACTACTAGTATGAGCACTGACACTGACACTGGCAGTACCAGGTGTATGCCTTTCCTTTATTCTATAATATACTATTGTTAATTTTAATCTGATTTCAATATTAAATATTAGATGACAGAGATAGAGATAGTTTAGAGTATCCACCAAAAGCATGGCTTATGCGTGGTACATAAGACCCCATGGGGCAAAGGTACCGATGCAGAACCGTGGAATGAAGGGTGGAGGCCCACGAGGCGGATCTATACTTCCCATTAACTCTCTCTACTGGTACTATAGCCATTGATTTTCTGACTATTGAAATTTATTTAGATTCCTCACATTTAAGCGCCATGACGCAGTGGAGTACCCACGTGGATACGGAGGTAACAGCTCACACAGAAAAAAAAAGTGAGGCGGCCAAAAGTTCCAATGGTGTTTCACGCCCACCGCCAGACCACTTTCATTTCTCTTCTTTCCCCCCTCTTTTTATTTCATCTCCTTTCCCTTACTTCTCATTCAAGTTCCGATACGTGCAGAAAAGTGAGATCTGTGTAATTGGCACCAACCCAGTCACAGTCTAGTTCAAGTCCACTTTTCCTTTTGGGGTAAAAAATTTAGTGATTTTAAGCGCGTGCCGCCTATCACCGCCATCTCCATCTTCCCCCCATTTGGCTACGTCCATCTACCGGTCGCTTTGAAACTATCCCGTTGGCCACCATTTCTTTTCTCTTTCATTCTCCCTAGGATCTGGAGCTTTCTATCCCTGAGTCCACAATGACGGAGGTTTCGTCGACTCGACTTTATCTTGGGAACCTTCCCCGCAATGGTATGCTGGCAAAACCCACACCCTTTTTTTTTCTCAGCCGCAGAAGGTCGCTGGTCCCTGATGTCGCTCCGGTTTTCCCATGGATATTACTGGGGTCCCGCTTAAAGGGTCTCATGCAGCGGCCCACTTTCTTCAGAGAATCCATTTACCGCGATGGAACTGCCCAGGCTTGCGACATTTCAACATTTCCATCGTGCATCGCTGACCGTGATATCAAAATCGGCAGTTACCAAACAGGATATCGAAGAACATTTCAGCACTCATGGCTCAGGTAAAATCACAGAGATCAAGCTGATGAACGGCTTTGGCTTCGTTGAGTACGAGGATGCTATGGATGCCCGTGATGTTGTGCCTGGTAAGTCTGACAACTCACTGGTCATAACATGAAGCTTGCTAACCATGTTTACCTTGTAGCCTTTCGTACGTTATAGTTACTTGAATGGAACCTGCTCCAATGTCCATTGACTGACCTTGCATAGATGGTAGTGACTTCAAAGGTGAACGACTGACTGTGCAGTTTGCGCGTGGTCCCCGGCGCAAGGAGACCTTCCCTGGTCCACAAGACCGCCCCACTGCTCCTCGTCCACGTCGCACCATGTTCCGGATGCAGATCTCTGGTCTCCCAGAAACAAGTTGGCAGGTTAGCAGCTCAAGCCCATTCCTCCCTGGACACCTCCCTGGATTTTGATATTCCCTGGCCACCGGCGTATTTGAAGTTACCATGCCCTTCCATCTTGGTTCCTCGGTTCGGTTGTTACTTCTTGACCCTTAGAACCAAGGACCATCTGCATTCTAAATCCACGTGCTGATGGATAAGACTCATTTGGTCTTCTGTTCCTATCTGAGGAAATTGTTCACATCTGGAACAAATATCCTGGACAGATGTCGTGTGAGACTTTGCTGAGGATTTGGAAAACCGATGGCCACCTTAAACTTCTTCAGCCCTCCCCTCTCTGCCCTTTTCATGCCCTGGACGTAGACTATTCCTGGACCCATACCGGATACATCATACTCTTCCTGGAACCTGGACTCACCATTTCCTTCTTTAGGATCTCAAAGACTTTGCCCGTCAATCTGGACTGGATGTAGTCTACTCTGAAACAGGCCGTGAGCAAGGAAAAGGGTAGGTTACCCAAGCCAGACCTAGGCTTCTTATCTTTTTTTCTATTCAACATAAATTGACGAATGGATCCAAGGTTTGTTGAATTCGAAACCGCCAACGACCTGAAGACTGCCGTGGACAAACTGGACCAGAAAGAGTTCAAAGGCGCACGAGTATCCTGCGTTGCGGATGTAAGGACCCCAAACTATTCGCCCCAGGACCCAGCGGAATGGAACCCCCCCAATCTTACGAATTTGCACAGATTCAAACCAATTTTGATGACCGTCCTTTCCGTGACCCCTATCGGTCTCGCTCCCCACGTCGGCCTTACCCTCCAATGGATGAATACGACAGAAGATTCCCAGCTCCTCGTGGATACAGTCCCCGGGATCATTACCGGGAACGGTCGCCCATTCCCATGCGCCGAGAATACTATGAGAGAGATGGATATGGACGCCGCACTCCCCCACGGCCTCGGATGGAGGACTACCCGCCTCCACGTCGTCCCTACGATGACCCCTATGATGCCCGGGGACCTCCTCCCCCTCCACGCCACTATGATGATCCGTATCTTGTGGCTCGGGGTCCTTATGCTCGTCCACGTTCTCCTCCCCGTGGTGAGTATGCTGCCTATGACCGCGCACCTCGGTATTGGTAAAGGGGATTGACCCTGGTGACTTGCATCACTTTTATCCTTTTCGGATGTTTTCCTTGCAAATGATTGTTTTCTCTCCCCTCCCAAATACCCGCTACGTATCGTATTGAGCTTTATGGTACCATGAATCTTTTCTATCTGTCGAGAGTTAGCGCGTTTTCATTTTCCTGGTCAAGGTAGTTAGTTTGAAAATGGATAATGCGTCTTGATGAGTTCGAGCTTGTGCATGGTGAAATATTCACATAGATGATTGTATACTCTCTATTTGTTAGAAAGTGGATATCACTCATAGGAAAGGGCGAACATTAGTAAATTGTTCCATTGAAAATATAAAGTCAATTCCAAATTGGCCTTGGGTCATTATGGCGTGGTCCTTCTACCCGCTATGATCTGCGGGATGCCCCGCTAGAAAACTTCCTGAGCTTCTCTCCCCGCCTCCCACCATCCCCACTTGGAATTCTTTATTATCCAACTTGTACTCTGTATAGATTGGGATCACTCCTCCAAAATATATTGGAAGTACCAATTGTCAAGTTTCTCGAGTGACAAAGTTCTACTTTGTCTTTGTCCAACTGATTCCAGTGCTGAAGCTCTCCCTTCAGTATTGCTCTCAGACAGACCCCCACCATCAACTCAACCATTTACAAAAAAAAAAAGCGACAGCCCCCTTAAACATATTCAAACATCCAAAGGAAATATACTATCCAAATCAAGCCAAAATGTCCCAGCCACGCTCAGCAGTCCATATCCCTCAACCCCCTCCAGTCCTGGACAACGTCCAGCTCCACGAGATCCAGCTTCCTCTCCCCGCAGCACCTGAAGCATGGCACCGACACGGCAAGCCTCAACCCTGCACCGCAAGTCTCAAAATCTCCTACTCCTCCGCCATCGCCTCAGCCGCAACAGATGACGTCTCCCTCTCCATTGACTACGGAAAACTCTTCCGACGCCTAGAAACCGACGTCCACAACATTGGCCAGACCCCCTCTTCACCCGAGCACCCGCATCATCGATTGGTCAGTCTGGAAGGTACTCGCCGTGAGGAAATGAAGACCAGCGCTGCAGGCCAAGATCCCCGTGTAACGGCTGGAATTATCGCTACAGCTGGTCTTGGTCTCCTGGATGAAACTGCTGCGGGCGTGCGCCGCATGGCGCATGTGCGTAGGAGTCCCCGGAATAGCTTCTCGGGTGTTTCTGATGTTGGGGCGTCGGCTACTTATCCCATTGAGGCGGATTATGGACGGTGTGAGGTTTGGTTGCATCTGCCCAAGGCGTTGCTGAGAGCTGAGGAGGGTCTGCGGTATCGGAGTGTTACGGTTTGGGGGTACGAGGGTGCCGAGGGAGCGGGAAGATGCCCTGTTGTTTTGGAGGAAGAGTTCCGCATTAATGGGATTCGGTGCTACTGTATTTTGGGTGTAAACCCCCACGAGCGAGTTGAGAAGCAGTCTGTTATTGTCTCGCTTTCGTTTACTGGCCCTGGACAGTTGGCTTGGGGATCAACTGTTGTTGATAGCTACCAGGCTATGACTAGGGCTGTTGCTGAGGTATGTTATTCCTTTCCTCTGAATTTATATGGATTGTCTTTTTGTCTTAATGGGGATATTTACTAACTTGGATTATAGAAAGTTGATGAGACCACTTTCCAGACTGTGGAGGCCTTAGCTACCTTTATTGCTCACATTGTGACTGTGGACTTTGGTAACGAGCGGGTGACAGTGAAGGTTGAGAAGCCAAGTGCATTGGCATTTGTGCAGAGATCAGGAGTCGAGATCACCCGATCCCAAGCATTCTTCGCTACCCACGAGGTGGCCCGGCGTTAAACACGTTGTGCATGGCATTTAGGGCAGATCGCTTCAGCGCCCTGCATTTATAGAACCATCCAGAAAACCATAATTTTTTTTTGATAATCTGGAATAAAAGTAACAAATCAATTTATTTATATAATATTTATCAAGATCAATAATATTTCGTATCAAGATAATTATATGTCGTAGTTGAGGCAACCAATGGGGGCCTATGTATAAATCAGAAACACGTGAGCACCGGATCGGGATTAGTGGCCGCCCCGGATTTCCGCCTCAAAGCGAGAGATGTATTTCTTCAGCTGAGACTTGCAACTTCTCATTCACTGCTTAGTGTAATAACTCTACTTACTTCTCAAATCATTCACCTATTTCATAATACCTTTTTTTCTCTATGGGCCTGTCTGCGCCGAGATTTTCCTCTTCAATTTCTCTGACCAGCTACCTGGCCAGCCTGAACCCCGTTGCCTTGGACCCTCCCTTGCGAGCGCCTCCCGATTTTCTTGCCGTGTCCCCATCTTTTGAGCCCATCCCTGCCACCTTGAACCTCGACTTCGCGGTCGGTGAGGTGATTTGGGTAGGGGTTCCGGGTCCGTCCTGAAGAAGGGCGGACGGTAAAACTGCTCGAGATATCCCAGTTGGAATCAATACAAGCCCAGAAGCGAACGTGCTGTTTACCTTCTAAATCGAGGTATGTGCTTACATCTGATGCTCACTTATCGGAATTTCGGTTGTTCTGGCCGTGCTGCGATTTTCGTCCGCGATTTGGTGGGGCGAAACCCCAAGACAATCTCCAAATTTACCCCTCCAAAACATCTGAAGGAGCAAAATGAAAATGAGGCTAATCAGTATGTCGATGTGACTAGTGACTGCCATCTGGCGACTCGAGTACTTGTTCGCTGTTTTACACCCTTTCAAGTGATCAATTGTCCAACTAGACAGTGATCCTTGAACCTCTGGTTCGCAAATCTACTAGAGACCTTAATTGGCCGTAATACCCTTTCAAATCCTCAAATAAGAGACGGATCGTATCTGGAAGCCATGGAGTCTACTGCGCCTCACGATGATCTCTCCGTTGGAGATGTGTTCACCCCTCAAGCCGACAGTGTCCAGCCCTCCGTCGAAATCCCGACCAATCAACATGGCGCGGATGTCCACATGGGAGATCGGCTGTCTCCGCGCAAAGAGATGACCAATTACACTATAAACCGAGATAGTGCGATGAAACCTCCGGCCTTCGACCCCAACCTGCTTACCGGCAAAGCGCAGCGCCGCAAGAAAAAGAAGAAGCAGGGTAACCAGGCTGATCTGGCTCGATCCACAGTCCATGGCTTCACACCATTGGCGTCCGCTGATGAGGACTCGGACTTTTCAACCAAAAGCTCTCGTATTGGGGACTCGCGTCACCCTATCTCCGTTGGTGGCAGTCCACGTGTGCAAGCAACCGCTCATGGAGTCAGTGCGTTGAAGCTTCAACTCGACTCCCTCAATCTCGCCGGCAAACCCACTGCGGGAACTAGCGGGCTTTGCTCGGAAACCCCCAGCAATGCTAGTGTCTATTCTGACAGCGACCAAACTGAGGTCCTGACAAGCTACGAAGTACCTTTGGACCAGGATTTCGTCAGTGCCGATGCTGAAAACGAAGATGGACCAGCTGGTGCAAGTCCTAGCGCAGCCTCTAATGGCGTGGATATGCGCAGTCAAATTTGTCGTAAAATGACTGCGCAAGACTTTGAGCCTATGCTCTGTCTTGGCAAGGGCTCCTTCGGAACCGTGCTCCTTGTGCGCCATGCTGTCACGGGCAAGCTCTACGCCCAGAAGCAGTTCAAGAAAGCTTCGATTACCGTGCACAAGAAGCTCGTGGAGCAGACTAAGACGGAGCGCACGATCTTAGAGAGTGTCAACCGACACCCGTTTGTTGTCAAGCTTTTCTACGCCTTTCAAGACCATGAAAAGCTTTATCTGATTCTCGAGTACGCTCAGGGTGGTGAGCTGTTTACTCATCTCGCCATGGAGCGCATGTTTGAAGAGGATGCTGCCGCTTTTTACATGGCGGAGATGGTGCTTGCGCTGGAACATTTACACCAGAACGTGGGTGTTCTTTACCGCGACTTGAAGCCCGAGAACTGTCTCCTAGACCGCGAGGGTCATCTACTCCTCACCGACTTTGGCCTCAGCAAGATCGCGCTGAGTGACGATGATCGCTGCAATTCCACTCTGGGAACGATTGAGTACATGGCACCTGAAGTTATCCAAAGCAAGCCATACGGCAAGGCCTGCGACTGGTGGTCCCTGGGTGCCCTGGGCTTCGATCTTCTCACCGGCGCCCCGCCCTTCCGCGCAAACAACCACACCAAGCTACAGGAAAAGATTGTCAAGCAAAAGCTCGTCTTGCCTTACTTCCTCGGACCTGACGCTAAAGACCTTCTCACCCGTCTACTGCGTAAGGATCCCGCTAAGCGTCTGGGATACCACATGCCCAAGGATCTGGTGACTATCAAGAAACATCGCTTCTTCCGCAAGATCGACTGGGCAGCCCTGGAACGCCGTGAAGTCGAGCCCCCGATTAAACCGATTGTCACTGATCCGGCTCTTGCTGAGAACTTCTCTGTGGACTTTACCAACCTCCCACTTAGCCCTACTGCTGCTAATGGCTTTGATGATTTTTGTACCTCGCCGTACGCTGCTGGTCACTCTCGTGCTTTGTCTACCGGGCTCAGTGGTCAGCAAGCTCCTGGTGAGAATGATCCATTTGGTGGATTTAGTTTTGTTGCTTCCAGCAGCTTGCTGGATCAGGGATTAGGTGTTATGACAGCGGGTTATTAACTGTTTTTTTTATTGTTATATTCGTTCTAGCAGATTGGCCTTCAGTTCATTATTGGTTATTGATTACTTCAAGTTGTTTACTCCATGCATCTTTCTTGACTACACAAGCGTAGATGGACAGTGTATAAGGGCTAAGATATCCGAAAATAAATGATAGTTAATTCAAGTTGATGCGACTTCGACGTTTGGAGTTTAGAGCTATCGTCAAGTACTCATTCCCAACATCAACGTCACATCCCTATGATAGCTATCAATGGCGACCTTCTTGACCGTGAGACTCAAGCCGCATTCAAATGTTTTCTTTAGTTAAACGCAATACTGCTGACTGAGCAGACACGAAGGCAATGATACTGGTGATGCTAGCAGGCACTAGTCTAGTTTTCGTCAGGGATAAGAGAAATGTGGTAAATCGGATTTTTATTGTTGGGAACCCTCGTAGATAGTCATTATGTACAGTTCTTCCCCAGTCACCGCAGCCACGTGGTCACCACAGTCACCGCATAAGCCAGAATAAACTTGGCTCCGTGACGCTTTTTCCAGGAAGAAAGGAGTCAAAGAGGAAAAGGAAGAAAAAAGCGACAAAGGAATAAACAGCCACCCTGTGATACTCCATTTCATACATTCCCGATTAAAAATGCTGCTAGGCAGAAAGGAAGAAAATGAGCCAGAGAAAAGAAGAGAAAAGAGATAGAAGATAGAAGGGGGAAGAAAAGTAGACGTTTAGATCTCGCCTTCTTCACTTCCTCCGCCTTCATCGGCAGCATCTTTTGAGTGGTTGACACCTTTCTCATCTGGGATTTCACCTTCTTCTGCACTGGTTTCATCTCTCGGCTTTGAGTCTGGGTTTGAGCCAGAAGGTGCTTGCGCATCTTCATTATTCACTGCATCTTTCTTGGAGGATTCAGAAATCGCACCCATGGCTCGGAGCGGAATTCGAGGGCGAGATGCAGATGCTCCTGCATTAGGAGCAGGTGATATTGTGCGTTGTCGTTTGGGAGATCGTTCGCCATTCACCGCAGAGTGCGGTTGAGGTTGTGGGATAGGGCTTGGCTGGTAATTCTCTGGAGCCTGTGACTCTGGATCACGGGAGCGTTTACGCCAATTATTAGCGGGAGAATCGGCTGTTGGGGTAGAAAGAGACGGAGTGGGATGATCGAGGCCGGAAATCGGATTGCTGTGGAAAAGGCGAGTCGGGTCGTTGGGATCAGCGTCGCCGATGGTGAAGTCAGGGTAGTTTTTGCTGAGATTTTGCTGTACACGCTCGTAGATTTTCACGATAAGTCTACAGGCGCTGACCAGGTCTTCGAAATTGACGTCAATTTGCTTCCACCATGGCCGGCCTTGGGCGTCATCTGGGAACGAAACCTGACAGTGGCGGGCGGCAGCGTAAAGGGCAGCCGCGGCGATGACTCGAGGTGGGTATTTGAGGCAGAGAACAGTGTAGGTAGAGTCATTAAGGAAAGCGTAAGCCGCATGTCGAAGGGGTCGGTTGTCAGGAACTTTTAGAAAGAGAGAATAGTCCCACAGAATTCGGTAAGGCGACTCAAGCTGCAGATCAAAGCAAAGAAATTCGAGGATGACGCTCTCATTCTGTAGGATCAGATCGCGCCACTTCCAGTAGTCCTTAGATTGTTCATCAACAATCATATCCGGCTGCTTCATAGCGACACGGCAGCAGGCCACGACAAAGTCTTTCATGCGGCGCATAGTCTCATCCACTTTGAACGCGACGAACAGCGACACTGCCGCAATAACCTTTGGATGCATCAAATCTGAAGCCTGGTCTGGGTATTGTCCACGCAAGGAGTACCGCATCAAGAATCGGTGCAAGAAGACGGTGGCAGTCAAGGAGGTCTGTGGCGGCATCTTGAGCATCATGCTCACCTGCCAAATAAATTCAACGGCCCGGTGCCGAATGTAGTCCTCTTGTCCACGATCAATCTTGTCGAGACGGGATGGTGTGCGCTCGAGGTCATCGTCTGAGAAGAGCCATTTTTGCTCAGTTGCTGCCACTACCGGGTTCGGCAGACCGGGAATCTGGTGCTTTGACGGCGCGGGGGATGCGGTAGATTCCATTTGTAAGACAACGCGATGAAGCAGGCGTGGCTTGGAAACGAGTGGGAGGAGTGGAAGAAGTTGGAGGAATAGGGAGGCAGGAGGTTGTGAGGAAGCTTTTCTCAAGAGAGATATGGCAAGAGAAGCGCGCCCGCGCGCTTGAGAGATTCTATAGATTCTGATCCAAAAATATGCTGTCCAGTCCAATCAAGCATAGCGGTACTATTCATCGCATGACGAAAATCTTTTAAATATTAGAAAATTTATATTTCGATTGATCCAGGATACCTTGGGATGAAAAGGAGCGCACCTGAAAGCAGTGCAGCAAAGAAAGCGAGTTAAGAGGAACGCGACGATGTCATTTCACGGCGGAAGCGAGAGCTCTTCGGAACGGATTAACTCCACTTCCGTGTGATAGAAGTAAGAGGACTCCATGACATATTATACAGTGTTCATGTTTCAAAGAGAGATGAGATCGAGTGCTGAATATAGTTCGATTGGCTTGAATGGATCCTTTACCCTCGTAGCTCTTTCTTCTCTGGTTCAACTGTTGGGTTGATATCAACTTCCAAGGTTGAACCTCGGCCCTGCCATGGCTGAGTTATCAGAAGACGAACTTGAAGTTACTTAAACATTAAAAAGATGAAGAGATAAAGAATCAAACATTGAAACTGAAAGGGCAGTTTGCTTAGATTGGGGGATGGCATTTGAAGATGGGGTTTCCACCTTGAAAGGTGTTAAAGACTCAGCTGGCTTCAAGTTGATGAATGTTTTCATACTAACCTCCAGGGTTGGAGCTATGTAGTATATCTACTCAAGTGCTTGTACTGGTACTCACACCCTACAGCTAACTACAACATTGGCAATATCACTAAAATCTGACAATAACAAATCGCAATGTAAATTTGGTATCTTTGGTCCTGTAGCCTAGCGCCCTCGCTGATAAAAATTATGCAAGATTCAAAAGGATGATTCGAGAAGATGAACATTCATTACTCCTCTTCGCTAACCTCGCTCTCATCATCGCTCGGTACATTGTACCGGCCAGAATTATGCGGATTATATTGTTGACTGCGGGCCTCTTCCTCCCGCGCACTCTCTTCAAACGCAGCTTCCATCTCCGCAGCAAGTAAATCATCTTCATCTTCTAGATCATCGCCATCGACACTCGCTTCAACAGGAGCTGATGGTGGCGGTTGGGTATTTCTTGCAGGGGATGGAAGTCGGAAACTTTCCATATCCTCGTCGCCATCGTCATCCCGCTCATCGGGGGTGTTGTTGGATGAGAAAAAGGCCGGGTTGACCTTGAATGCGCGGGATGGCGGTGGAGATCCCATGTCAATGATCAAGTCTCCATCCACAATGATGTTGGAACCTGGGGATTGGACTGTCTGTTGAGATGCAGAACCTGTTCCAGCATCTGAAATTGACGAACGAGCATCTTCATTTTCCTGTGGGTCTGCACGTGTGCTAGCGGACTCGGTGACAGGTTCCGGCTCAGGCTTAGGTGGATGGGGTTTAGCTTGTGGCTTCGCCGGACGTTTGGGCTCTCGGAGTGGGTTCGCCTGTTTCTTCGGCCGCGGAATAGGCTTTGCAGCAGGTTTTGTGGCTGCAATCACAGGAGTGTTGGCCTTGCTAGTGTAAACTGGCTCCGGAGTACTGTTGCCGGAGGCCGGCTTGACTTCCGCCCCCTCTTTGCGAAGGAAATGTCGAAAGTCATATGGATTGCTATCATCAGCTGGGCCCTCGTCTTCACTGGTGCTTCCAGCGTTGGGATCATCCCCTGATGTATGTTCATCCTCCTGTGTTATCCGTAGCTGCTCATATTGCTCAATCACTTGTTTCTCTGTCTTCCCTGGCGCCGAGCGAAGATTGAAGTTCAATTTGGTGTTTAAAGGTTCCAGAACGAAAACTTTTCGGTCGGGATCGAATATGAGCACGAGGCTGCGCTCGCTGTCGGGGTCTTCACTGCCTTGGTAGGCATACGTCAATGTTTGATCGGCACTCGGGGCCTTATCGGTGACGGAAAGGTCGTAGAGGTCATGCGACCGGGCCGAGCGAGTCACGTTTGAACGCTGCCGTGATGTAGCATGTTTGGTCTTGTAGTTGTAATTTATGTTGATCAATCGACTGTGATCTGCATTCGACAGGCGTTCACCCAGGACAATAGGGTACTCGGCCTGTTTGGTCGGGTCGACCAGAGTGGGGGTAGTCATGGTTTTCGCCAGTATAGAAGGATGGGAGGGAGTATGAGGTTGGTAGATAGGTAGTCAGAGGAGGGCGAGTACGAGGACTAGTTGCAAATGAGCCCAAAAAGTGGGAAAATGGGAAGAATGAATGAGGAGTTAAGTGAAAGGAAGAGAGTGACACCGCGAAACACGGGGAAGGCGGAGACCCACTCCATTATTATCTATAGGCTTGGCAGCTACAAAGCGCTACAAAGCAGTCTATACATTAATATATACCTTGTAGATTAATACACATGAGTTGCACCGAGAAGACCATTGTTCAATATACTGGAACTCGACTGGTCAGTTGTTCTAATCGTCCAGCCAATGCTCGGTGTTTGCGCATCACTTCCTCCCATTCATATTCCATCTCCCCTTCCCCATTCAGCTCCGTCAAGATCATGCCAAAATCACCTCCGAGACGACCCAAGCTAGCCGCGCAGTATAATAATTGCGTTAACAGACTCTCCCGGGAGCTCTTATCCCGTACATTCGGAAGATATGTTCGCATAGTTTCTGTAAGAAGTTGCACCAAATGCATAGGAAAAGTGGCGAGAGCGGAAGGGCGGTTTTGTAAAGAATCATGGGAAGCAGTGACCGAGTCCGATTGCTCTGCAGCAAATATGTTTTTGTAAAGTGAGACAATGGCAAAGCTCTGTTCGCGAAAGATCTCAATGTATCGTTTCAAATAGCGGTCGGTTTGTTGGCCACTGGACCACGAACCAGGGGAGTCCTTGCTATTTGTGCGCCGCTGAGTTTCTTGGTCGGCAAGTTCCCGCAGGGGATCCAGTGCCTCCAACGTTGATACAAGATGAGCCAGTCGGCAGATCAAGAAAATGGCACCCAGCGCCCCTTCTTCTGTCCCGGCAGTTTCTTCGCTTCGCAAAATCTCTAGATCTGGCGCAACTCGGCGCAACCAACCCACAGTTCGCATGCCCGCTGCAAGTCGTATGTTCTGGCCTCGGAGTCCAGCAATAAGATTGGTGGTCATGTCCTTCATGGCATCTTCAGCTTGTGATGCCACATCTCGGATCAATGGCGAGTCTGGGTATAATGTTTGTAGTCGCTTAATATGTGCGTACAAGTCCAGCGCAGACGAATACGTGGTGGATGCTGCACCAGCTCCTGAATTGGCCGAGGCTGCGGACACTGCGGCGGAGAGGAGGGAGGGTAGTTCGAGGATATCTGACAATCGATCGACATTGCGGGTTAATTGCATCACTTTCTTCCGTCTTTCCAAGGCCGCATTGTCGGTGATCTTGCTATATTTAGTGGAGAAGCCCACGGCGGCCTCGTCAAGCTTTGGTACAGCATCCCGGAGCTCTTGTGCCTCCTGGGTCAGTTGAGGGATTGAGGATCGGAGTGTGGATAGGTTATCAGCAGATGTAATGAATATCCTATGGGAGCGGTTGGACAATGCTTGAAGGGAGAGGAGAGTGGAATGGGAGGACTGCGAGAGTGATTGCGGTTCGGTGGTCTGGAGGTTTTGCAAGGATAGAGTTGATAACCGATTTAGATATTGTGAGGTAGTAGCATCATTGGATATTGGTGTTTGAAGATGCGGCGACAAAAGTTCCAGGAGTGAATCAGCCATACTGTGCTGATATTAACAAGTGTGTGTTTAAAGGCGACAGTGTTCACGGGTGATTGCGTAGCGTTGGAACGATCTGGGAGGGTGGTCCGTGCACCCAGGGAAAAGCACGTATCGGCGACGAGAACCTTGTTTCTATTCATCTCATCAGTGTCCCTCTCTCTAGAATGATTGAGATGGATACAGTTGAACAGTACTGGATCAATTATTTCTTTGGTGATTCTTAAGAGAAACAAATTCATCCATTCATTCTCTCCACTTCCCCCTCTCCCCGCATCTCCAGCATCTTCATTGACTGCTGTCCCACATGCCCCTTCAGCCATGGGGAAACCACGGGTGAGGCTATTCTCTGATCCTGGATGGTGTTACAAGAGAAAACCCTAATCTGTGCTCATAGATGATCATTTTGGTTCGCCATGCACAATCAGAGGGCAATAAGAACCGCGATATTCATCAAACAACCCCAGACCATCGAGTAAAGCTCACAGCAGAAGGACTTCGACAAGCTCAGGAAGCAGGCCGTAGACTGCGAGATCTTTTGCGCCCTGATGATACCCTTCATTTCTTTACATCTCCATATCGTCGAACCAGGGAAACTACAGAAGGCATTTTGGAGTCCCTGACCTCTGACGAGCCATCTCCCTCTCCGTTTCCCCGGAACACCATTAAAGTGTACGAGGAGCCAAGACTACGAGAGCAAGACTTTGGTAACTTCCAACCATGTTCAACTGAAATGGAACGAATGTGGATGGAGCGAGCAGACTACGGCCATTTCTTTTATCGTATACCCAATGGCGAATCTGCAGCAGATGCTTATGATCGAGTAAGTGGATTCAACGAGTCTCTGTGGCGGCTCTTTGGCGAAGATGATTTTGCCAGTGTGTGTGTTCTTGTTACGCATGGTCTCATGACTCGAGTCTTCCTAATGAAGTGGTACCATTGGAGCGTGGAGTACTTTGAAGATCTCCGGAATATCAACCATTGCGAGTTTGTGATCATGACCCATAATCCGGACAACGCAAAGTATACATTGCAGAATAAACTGCGCACGTGGTCTGATTTGCGAAAACAAAGAGACATGGAGAAAAAGAGCGAGCTCGAAGCGCAAGGACTCAGTCCCACAGTCATCCAACCGGCAGAGCATGTCCCCATTCGAAGAAAATGGGGTGGTTGTCCCGATGGATGCACCCATGGTTTATCGGCAGATGCTAAGAGTTCCCTCCGATCGCGAATCGCCGATACTATTCGCGGCAATACCGACCTTCAATCGAATAAATCAACCCCATCAAAAGATACGGAGCAGACATTTAAATTTCCGCAAGCTGATACAACAAAAGATACACATGGTGGCAGCCCGAATTCCGTGGGGGATCACTCTCAATCAAACCCGCACCCCGAAGCGGAGGCCGAGGAGGCAGAGATATACAGCAGGACGGGAGACGCCAGCTCAGACAAACGCTCCGATGATACTTCTCGTCCAATACGTCCAGTACGACCAACTCTGCAAAGCTTTCACCGAGATAGCGAAGACCACCTCCTCCATCCACCAGCGGTGTCTTCATCTACAGCATGTCTCAAGCTAGCCTTATTACACCTTGGCGGTCGTGATGGGGGTGGCTCCATGAGTGGTACAAATAGTCTTGCTCCATCTGATGATGAGGATGATCATCATCATACCAGAAATACGCGTCCAGTATCTGGCCAGTTCCACCCTAGACAATTGCATCGAGTATCTCAGGATGCTGGAGATGACGGTGATGACGAACTCAGTGCGCATCCCACAGAAGACTTGAAGCGTCGACCTCATCACCATTATACCCATCATCATCATCATCATCATCCGCATCATCACATTCCGTCTAATAACTATACTACCAACCATTACCGTCAAACATCCTCAAATGCTTCTTCGCAGCCCCCTCATCACCGAATGGCTAATATCCTTGGTGATGGGGATGACCTGTCTACTCATTCTGATAGCCTTGAGTCCAGTCATCGAGATGCCGAGTCGTCGCTCCAAAATGGCAACATCAATTCTAAACCAGATGAGGAGAGACAACAAAGTATCTCACTAGAAGAGCAACAGAAACAAGATCAGAGCATCCGAGGGAGTGTATACTGATAATCTGTCCACTCTATTCACAATATTACTTCCCTCCACCTCTATCAGAGTCTTCTTTTCTTCATCTTTTTTCTGCCCTTTCTGATATGTGTCAATATGCATTATAATTCTGCATTGATAGCCAATTCTGGGCCGGTTGGGGGGGGGGGGTATGGTGAATCAATCATCGGTTGAAGTACTTCTGCTTGGTTTCAGCGTTATGACTGCGATGATTTTATGAACGAGTTGGTTTCAAAGAGTGTATGCAAGACACATTGTCATGGTATATGCATCACATACCATGGGTTAGGTTTTCATTGTCTCTAAATTGTGACTGAAACACTGGCATTACTTTATTTCCTTCAGACTTTCCTCTGCTGTTGAAGAAATAACCGAGATCGTAGTACATCTGAATATACTAGTAGTAGAACAAGGACCAGTTGACTGATACAAGCAGGACAAATTGTCCATTCGAGAGAATTTGGTCTTCCAAAAATGGGGTTGATTGATATTCAAGTCTATATATCAGGCCGAAATTATGACCGCACCATTTCGAGTCAGCATCAGGGAATCCAAAGCGTCTCTGAATGATAAGATCCAATATCCAAAAGTATACTATATAAGGACAAAATTTGAAGGCTAGAACTTGAAGAAACAGAACAGGACAGCTAACAATAACGATGCATATTTTGTTTGAATCATGTTCAGAGAACACTCATCGCTGCACTACCTCATAAGATAACGTATCACAGGAAGGCTCCACACTATCGTTGGGGCGACGCAAGGACAACTGAAACCCGACGCGACGATGATGTGTCAAGTCACCGAAGATAGCGACAATGAGAACATATGATCACCAGGTCGACGTAAGGGCAATCAAAACCCGCCCAACAATAATAAGCGTGAAGCCAGTGGAGATGGCAGCAATGAAAAGAAAACAAACAAACTCCACCGAATGCGTGCGAATACTACATACAGATCAAGACCTCATTCCAGGACCGATTTAAGTCCTTCAGACAATGAAAATTCATCGATTGGAGAGACAGGGATTCCCGAAAGAAAGTAATCAGGCATACAAAGGAGGCATTCAACCGGCACTAGGATTTGTCGCTCTGCACCCATAGCTTGATGAATCAAGATAAGAGGGAGAGAAAAAAAAAGGTTAAAAAAAAAAAAAAACTTCATGTGGGTCCCGAGCATTTGGGAAACAAAGTCGTAGATTGAAAAGTGTAAATGAGAATGTAAGGTCATATCAAGTTTGTTTGGTCGAATTTTTTTTTCGGTAATTGAGGATGTCAAGAAAGGACCTTGACAAGGCCATAGAGAAAGGAAGAGTGAAGAGAAGAATTAACGCCGGAAACTGATTGCAGCGCGGGGAATTGAAATGAAGATAATGTACCGACACGAAAAAAGGGCGTAAAGAAGGAGAACATTCTATGGGTAATGACGGCTGGACAAAAAATTGTCAAGCATGAAGAGCCAAAGGGAGAAAAAATGAAGAAAAAAGCCGAAGATATGAACCGAAGTCATGGAAGATGAAAAAAGAGGTCAAATTTTAGGGATTCGTGATCGTCGTGACTGCGGCCCCAGCTACCGGTTGAGAACCGCACTTTGAAAGCGGAAAAAAAAGAACCGATCAAGCTCAGATATGTTACATATGCATGAGTTTGTGGTCTTTTGAACTGGGGCGTGCAAAGGTCGCCGCGGGAGCGTTTTTTCCTCTTTTTTTTGGAGTTTTTGGAGTTTTTCGCTAGACCGACGCGAACTAGCAGACGCGGAACAAAAAGGACTTTTCAAAGTTGACGTGGTATGCCGATCGTTCATGGGAAGGCGAGGGCCAGCGGGTCAAACGATATCAAAAGGGGCGTAAACGTCGAATCAGGTCAAGAAACAAGCCGGAATAGAGTAAGAACAAGGAACAGACAACGGTATCATAGAAAAAACAGAAATGAAAAGAGGAAATCCATGCAAAAAACACATAGCGTGAAAGAGAAGAATTCTAAAGGCATGCACAGTAAGAATTGGGACAAACCGGTACAAGCCGGTGCGGTGACACGCGACGAAAGGCGGTATCGTCCATTTCCAACCGGAGTAAAGAATCAGTAAGACGAATCAAAGATGAGACGATTTAAGCAAGAATTGGCTGAAGGGACGGAAAGGCAGTGTTGCACATGTAATGCTCGATATGTTTGGCACAGTACATGCAGCTGCAGGAAGATCCGTGGCCAGTCCATACACTCTGGGCAAAGGGGCAGGCCATAGGCGGGAGTGTGGTGGTAAGATGGGGGCTGAGAACGTGGTGCTGAGGCTGGCAGGTAAGATGGAGGAGGAATCCAGGCACGCGAGTATGGTGGCGGCGGGTTTGGGTAGGCCCAAGTACCAGCGGAGTAATAGTCGGGGGTATTGGGGCCACTGTGAGGGGCCGATGGGGGCGAGTACTCGGAGGCGGCAGGATTGAGCCAGGAGTTCTCAATGCGCTGGTACTGGGGTGGAATAGGACCTTCTGGAGACATGAGTGGCTTGGCAATAGACTGCTGTGGGCGAACCACGTTAGTGTCGAGAGGGGCCAGAGCCTGGCGAGTCTCCTGGGCGCGAAGGTTGGCCTTAGCGCGCCAGTTGTCCCAGTGGCGACGCCACGAGTTGAAACCATCCTGCTCATCATACATGCGGTTGTGGATCTTCCACTCAAAGGCAAAGAGCCATTCAAGCTCCATCTTGTTGAGTTCAGCGACAGGAATGTTGCTGACTTCTGCCCATGATTTATTCTGGAAGGTGTTATCATCCAGGAACTTGCTGCCTAGCAGAAGTGAAACAGTGAGCATGCGGTAGATCTGACCACTGCTGGCCTGAAACACCCGCTGAGCCGAAAGCTGGCGCATGCGGCAAGCCAGGTAGAACAGGCCAAGCAAGATGGAAGAGCTTGGCAGGCGAGTCGAGGACAAGATCTGGAAGACGTATTTCCGGAACTGAGGGGGGGGCCGAAGTTCCTGGGGAGACGCTTCGCGCGAAGTCAATATCTGCTAGGTGGATCTTGGTGTTGTACAAATCATACATTCCCTGGGTCATTTCCGCCACGAAGTCGGACATGCGCTCCATCTCGTAATCCAGGTGGGCGGCGACACCTCCAGTTGCTTTCTCCTCCTTGCGGGGTTGCTCTTGCTGCTGCATCGGGGCGATATCCTGGCGGCGGTACTGCGGGGGGATGGCACTGTCCATCGGTGGAAGTTGGACGCTGGAGCGGAGTGGTGGCAAGGTAGCCATCTGTCCGTACATCGGCTGTTGAGCCATGGCGTGGATGGACTCCCTGGTCGGGTGCATCATGTTGGCAGACTGGGGGTGCAGGTTCATCGAGTTCGGCTTGGCGTAGCACAAAGACTGCGAATACTGCTCAATAAACTCACAGCCACTCTGGTGAAATCGAGGCGGGAACGCAGAGTGGGCAACAGGGTAGAAGGATTGTTCATCCAAGCGGCCACCGTTGTTGACGTGAGGAGGGGTAGGAGGCAGGCCGTGGCCTGGAGCGTAGAAGGATGGCATTTTCGATGGGAGTTGGGGGGGAAACTACCAGCTCAGGACGAGGAGGGGTAGACGATTGAAGGCTGTAGTGTCACTTGAGGGTCAGCGCCAGCCTCGGGGGAGAGGAAGGGCAAACACCTGGGGGAGGGGGGAGTATGAGAGTTGTGAGTGATGGAGAAGGAAACGAACCGTCTACAACTCCACGAAGCCCTGATCCTGGGAACTAAGAGCGATGCTCAGCGAGCGCGCCGCTCTTTTTTGATCGTAGGGAACGTCTCTAGTTGAATGACATCGAGGACTTTCAACTGCAACCAAGTGAATAGCACAAATGAGACAAAATGAGTGTCGTGGAAGTCAAGCTTCTTGATCTCTATTTTAGGCAATGGGTTTGTATTACCCAATTACACAGGAACCAGAAGGGCCTTATTCAACAAGATCAAGAATGAGATCACACGGAGTATTTTGTTTGGAGCGAATCCCTGCCAGAAAATCTGGATTTCCTTTTAGGAGATGCGCGCGCACACAACGGGGATCTGCGAAAAAAAGGAAGAACAGAGTTAAGAAGATTTTTTTCCCTCGCGTAGAGGCAAACCTCACTCTCGTGAGGTCAGCAACGACACTTAGTGAAAAGCTCGTTGGAATGGAGGACGGATGGGGGGGGGAGAGAGAAAGGAAGAAAAGGGGAGTAGGATAGAAGAAGCACTTGAAGTGAAAAGGGCGGAAGGCATCTGTGTGAAGGCGGCCAGTGTTACCATACGTGACCATGGTCCTCGAGGCTAGACTCCGCCAAAGAAAAAATTACATCAGAAACGGTGACCCCATAGATACTTGAAAATTACACTCTAACGAACCTTGGGAAATTTCAACGTTCGAATTAAATTGAATTGTTTTATAGCATATGATTATTTGTGCCAAATATATTAGATATTGAGATTATCATAAGTTTTAGAATAATATAGGGTATTGATTCATTCATGAATTCATAAATTAAAGGAAGAAATAAAAAAGTATTAACATAAAAACCTCGACATCATTGTTGCCTCCCTTTCTACACCGCTGTAAAATAACAGGTATTAAAGCCACCCCTTAACCCTCGGTGATGCAACGCCCGTGTCACTGGAGAAGAAAAAAAAAATTCTAAAAAAAGGCTTCAAATAGAAATTAAAGAAAAGAAAAAAAAACGGACTCGTGCGAACTCCACCTGACTAAGCCCCGGTAAGAAGGGTTGACCCCATTTTCTCCATACTAAAATACAATTGCAAACTCCGTCAACTGGTCCGAGTGCCCTTAACATTCCTCGTTGCTTGGTCTACAAGGAATCTATGAACATAATCATATTGAAGAGATATTATTTTCATCTTCATATCATATTCAACCTTGGAAATGTTGTGCCGCGGCTATATAGACAGAGTCTGGAATTTGAGCTACTAGTCTCAGTTCTATGTACTAGTATGCAGTAAGCTATGATTCCGGCATGACCTCGATCATGCGCTGTTTTTTTTTCTTCTTTCTCCATCACCCGGTACTACCACGTAAGGGCCATTGAACACTCGATGACTTGTCACGACCCCCTCTTCTCTGAGTCACAGACCAAGGCCATGACACCGGTGATCGCAGGGTGCATAGCGTCATGCCGCATGGCCACTGACAGCAGAGAGAGAGGGGCCCAACACCCCAATGTGTCGAATTGACGGCCCCGCGGTGGATGTTCTTATTGGACTATAGAAGCGGGCCACTTAGAGCACGGAGTCTTCATCTGAGGAAACTATTGGAGATACGGGGTGTACGGCAAGGTCAGGGGAAGAACTCCAATGAATTGAGGGGGGGCGAACTCGAATTTTCTATAATGTACTCTCTGAATGGTCAAAACATGATATTACCGCCGACCTACGGAGTACGGAGTAGTGCATAGCCCTGGTATATGCGCATAATACAATTATTATTACCTATTAGTTACAGACCTAATAATGTGAGAGGGATCATACATATTGACCACTTAAGTCTTGACACTGCCCAGGTGCCCTGACTTCAAATGTTGGAGGCAAACCATATGGGGGCTGGAGGTTTCAAACATTTAGTTTTCCGAGAAGAAAAATAAAGAAAATAAATAAATTAAAAAAAAATAACAATTAAGATAAAAAATAAAAATAAAAATGGACCTCAATCTTCTCTAATCCTTTTCCGGTCCCTTAACCCCCTTCCATCATATTCTAAATATTAATAATCCGCCTAGGCAACCTGATCCTTCCTGGTAGCATCATGATCTGTTTGGAGTACCGAGTAGTATAACCTGCATTAGGCCGATGAACTAGTATTTGACAAAGTTCAGGCTCAAAGTTCAAGTTTTTTTCTTTCTCTTTTTGACCAGCCACCTGAGCCACCTGAACATACTTTGTTATGAAAATCCCTCATCCCCAATGCCGATTCACGCTAGTTTATTGTACTGGTGTACTGGTATACTGTATTTCTCTGGAGTAAATCTAAGCTCGGCGGAGAAACGGTCCCGGATACACTCGGCCCAGTTCCTGCAGACGTTGGGCAGAACAAGGTCAGAAATCCCCCCACCAAAGGAAAAATCCGGGCGCACTCCTCTTCTTTACAATGTCAGGGCGGGGAAGGCGAAATTGACCGGATATGGGGGCTCATATACCTCGTGCCAGTGTACATTTAGTAAAGGTGTGTTCGGAGGAAATGGTGATCATACATACTAGTAGTAGGTTGATGCCGGTGAGATATACATAAACTTGTACCTACATGGTTTCCAAGGTTAAACTATGAGAGGCATGAATACGACATATGTAGGTACTACAGACAAATCATTCCAATAAATATTTCCCGTAAATGTTTGATATTTCTATGGTAGCTTTTGGTTGGAGAAAATGCACCCGGACTAGAAAGGTGTCATCGGGAAGTAAAAAAAAAGAAGGGGGTTAACAACCACCAGGCTTGAAAGCGCCCGTTCCCTTTTGGCCATGGCTATCAATGTCCATGTGCCAACGAAAAGAGTGAATCAAATGAGCAAAAAAGGGGCAGAAAAAAAAAGTTCAGGCGGATGTAGCTTGCCAGAACAGAGGGATATCATTAAGATTCAACAAAAACCCGGTCACAAACAAAGGCATAAGACTCGTATACTCGATAAGTCGTCAGGGAGAAGATCATTCATTCCCGGTCGAGCGCTTCCTCCTAAGGAAGAAGACCCGATCCGATGCCCTTCCCAGAGCAACCCCAAGTACAGGCAGCAAACCAGGTCGCACAAAACTTTGATCGGAGGAAACAGGCGAGAAACAATGATGAACGAAAAAAGAAAGGAGAAACCAAAAAGGGGGGGGAAGAAAAAAAAGAAGCATGTAAACTCCGGGAAAGCCGTTCCCCAAGAACATGCCACAGGTCGTAAGTCATGACGAGAATAAAAAACAACGAAAATGGACCGGCGAGGCGGTTACTCGTCTTTCAAGCTTCCAACCAGATTGCGGAGTACGTCCATGATGACGCCCTCGTCCTTGGGTTCTCCACCGGGGAACGAGCTCTCAGTAGCATTACCCAAAACACGCGCACGAGCACTTCGAAGTACCTCCCGAATGTAGTTTTTGTCCTCGTAGTCCTCCATAAGAACGGCTTCAAAGTCATCAATGGCCTTATTAGCACGATCATTGAATGAGGATGACTCCGGTGGTCCAGGGGGCAGAGGATTTTGTCGCGGAGGCATCGACTGCACTTGAGAATGCATAGGTGGTCCAGGAGGAGGGGGAGGTGGGTGTTGATGTTGATGTTGATTTTGATGCGGGTGCTGTTGTTGAATAGGATGTTGTTGTTGCTGGACCTGATGATGCGGAGGTGCCACATGCTGAGGCGCATGTTGAGGCGGGTGCTGGTGCTGGTGTGAATGTGGGTGTTGATGATGCTGGAGAGGCTGCTGTTGCGGCTGTTGTGACTGGGCCGATTGCTGATGCTGGGGTTGGAATTGAGGCCCAGCAGGAGGAGGGAAAGCCTGGGGTTGCGAATTCATGCGTGGCGGTTGTTGGGAAGGGGGTTTTGGAGGTGGGTAAGGAGATTGCTGTTGAGGCGGCGGTGGTCCTTGAGCAGGCCGTGGAGCCTGAGAAGGCCGCGCCTGAGCAGCTTGCGGGGTGGGATCGGATGCATAAGGAGATGTGTAGGTAGATGGAATGGTTTGAGCAAAAGCCGCAGGAAGGTTGCTGCGAATAGTGCTCGGGATGGGAAAAGATGCAGGAGCAGGAGCGGGGACGGGAGCAGGGGCAGGTGTAGGAAGTGGAGGTTTGGGTGGTGCAGCAGAGACAGCAGGAGAAGGAGGGACGTAAGGGCTTGAATGTTGAGGAGCCGCTGGTGGTGGCGCAGAGAAATTCGTAGCTGGCATTGGAGGGAATTGAAAGTTGTGGTGCTGCGCTTGCATTGGAGGTGGACCACCAGACGGAGGAGCATATGAATGGGAGATAGGACCCATATATGGCTGAGGAGCTGGCGCTGACACCTGCGGTGGTTGTGGTGGTGGTGGTGGCGGCGGAGGAGACGGCCGTCTCTTTTTCTCCTTTTCAACTGAAGCACCGGGTCGAAGCTGCCATGACCAGCCTTTACCATCTCGCTCTGCGTGCATGAACAAGTGGCCGTTGCCGTTGAGATTGTGTCGTACACTTGATGTCCAGCCCTCTGTCTCGCACTTGAAGCGGAAATAAGGATACTTCAACTTTAATGCGCGGTAGATCTGCTTCAACGTCATCGGGGTTCCAGCGTCCGTAAGGGCATCGAAAATGAGAACAGCGTAGTTGTATGGTGGCTTGGCCAAATCCTCCGGCGTGTAAGCAGACTCAGGAGGATAATTGGGAGAAGGTGACCGAGACGGTTTGCGCTTCTTGACCGGTGGAGGCTTGACATATTCCTCGGGCCGTTGCTCTGTGGGTAATTGTCCACTTTCGGTAGAAGGCAGAGGGTAGTCCATCGAGGTTCCATCCTTCTTCCGCTTGTTGTATTTCCGTTTTTCTGCTGGCTTGACTGACGAGGTCGGTGATTCGGCACCCACAGACTCCTTGGTTATTGTTTTTCCTGCCTTAGTAGGTCGGTTTTGCACTGGTATTGCCGCCATCGGTGGCGGTGTGACACCACCATTAGCCTCGCGCTTAGCAGCTATCTTTTGCTCCCGGGCAAGTTCAGCCCTTTCTCGTTTAGACATAATTCCGTCCTTAGGAGGCCTGCCAGGTCCGCGACGACGTGCAGCAGGTTGATCACCCGAACCTTCGATAGAAGGTAGAGCACTTGAATCGGTATCCTTAGTTTTGAGGACAATCTTGGTCATCCTGGACTCCTTGCCTTCAACACTTTCGCTCATGTGTCTGTCCATGTCATCAATCTCATGTTCAGCATCAATGGAATCTGGATCATCATCTTCTTCCGCTGCCTCTTCTTCCAGGCGATCCGCACCAGTCTCACCAATAGGGACGTCTGGTAGTAAGAATCGAATGCGCACACCTCCAATTTGGATATAATCACCACTGTGTAAGGGTCGGACTTGTCCTGGTGAAAGCCAATCCGCTCCAATAAATGCACCATTGCGACCCATAACTTCCATCTCAAAGAAGCTACGATCAAAATTGTAGGCAATGCGAACATGTCGCCTCGAGATACCACGATGACCCGCGGCAGTGCCATCTATAGTTGATGGGGGATGAATAGGAATTGTGGGGCAGGAGTCAGGAGATGGCAGCAAAGCTAATGTATCAACAGGCTTTGCTTCACCATTCCCTTCTTGTAAAGATTGCATTGCAAGCGCATTATAGTCTGTAGATGTTGTCGTTTGTAATTGTGCTGGATTAGCATGAATGGGCATTGCCGATTCATCCAGTGAAGACTTTGATGATCGCCGGCTGATATTCAGGTTGGTTGGAAGATGCGGAGGAACATCGGGATCAAAGCCCATAATACCTCCTCGATCACTGACAACACTGCCCATCATGGCTGCACTTTCTTCCCGCTTCATTCGATTCGGCGTGTGTGATGTATTACCGCCACTTGAGCTCTTTGCCCGAGAGCTCCGCACGGCCTGCCGGAATTGGACCTCTCGCTGATGAGCAGCACGCGCAGCTCGAACATCTCGCCCCAGAATGAACGAGTATGTGTTGACATAAAAATGACCATCATCAAACTCTAACTTGGCAAATGCTTGAATGCGCGGCTCGGACCCCGCAACGGAGGTAGTTCCATCTTGATATCCCAGAGCTGATAAATCAGCGCTTTGTGAAAGGTATGCAGCCGTGAGGAGTTCGTTTTGTTGCAGGGCTTCGAACGCATTCTTCGGAATTCCTCCTATGTCGAAAGGGGGCAAAAGGGAGGGCTGATCCATGCTCAATTTGGGGTTCAATGGATCTGAAAGGGTATCCATAGCATCTGAAAGTCGATGTCCTGCACTGCTACCTTCCTGCGGAGTTGTACCAATTCCTGCAAAGATATCGGCTGTAGAGAAACCTCCATTAGAAATATGTTGCATTCCTTGAGCTGTGAAGGCCGAATCCTGATCATGGGGGAGATCCGAGTCAAAGAATTTCGAGGAATCAGCGGTTTGGTCTATTGACGGGCGATTTGAGATGTGCAATTTGAGGTCCTGGTGCTCGATTTGTTGTCCAACAGATTGCTCCGGCGCAGAAGCAGAGGTCGATGTGGACTGGTTCCCCAATAGTTGAGCCAAAAGTGCCCCGGCGGCGGATTGAGCATTCGAGTCCTTTTCAGCGTCACCCATCATCAAGTTATGGTGATCCGATTGCTCTGTCTTAATTCCGATCTGGGTGGCGGGCAAGGGCCTAGAGGCTGGGGCAGAATTATGCATGTCGCGGATTGCGGAGTCGCTTCTAACGTCGGTCGGGGGCGAGGGGTGATTCTGCGAGCCGCCATAGTCGTACATGGGCGTATCCGTGCCTGGATCAGGCGGACGATGGCCCACTGCTGGCGCCGTCATGGTCTGCGACGACATGGCTCTGGAGAGGAGAGATGGGCAAAAGCAAAAGCTGAAGTTCTCTCTTTACAGCCGGGCGGTGAGAAAACTGCCCGAGTGGTCCCTGCACGTGGCCGTACTAGGAAGGATTCAATTTTTTTTTTTAGTTTTGATCTTTACCCTGCATCATCTTCATCTCATGAGATCTCTCTCCAAATCTCAGTACAAGGATGAATCGACAGAGGTTCAAAATTTGGGAGAGAAAAATGCGAAAGAAGTTAAACCGCTACTGATCGACTTTCTCCTGGGTACATAAATGATCCTCCGGGTACAAATTTTCTCTTCCCGCCCCGCTCCTCTCTCCGAGTCGATCCACTGGTTTAGGTGCCTGGTTCCTCACCGATTCCAGTGATCGACTCTCTCTAGTGGTATTGATCAAAGAGCCCAATGCTCGAGTCCCAAGAGGGGTAAATGCTCCTAATCTCCCATTTGAATTCATCATCTATTCTATGTGTTCACTCACGAGTGTCCAAATAGAATAATACAACAGAGGCTATATGGTGGAGCCAGCCCCAACCCATGTGCTGCTATTCACTGGCAGTGGCTTGTCTCCGCTGCAGGCCTCGGGATGTACAACACCCACTACTCCAATTGCCGGTTCTCTGCAGGGAAAAAAGTAACTCTGAAAGCTGGACCAAATCTATCTATTCCTTTGAATTTCTTCTCCGAGAAATATTTTAGGTCTTGAATGTAAGTCAACTCAAATTATGTAGCACCATGAACCACACCGAAATTTGAACTGCGGAGACAAGCGGAGACATGATTTGGAGTAAAAGAAAGAAAAAGAAGTGACCTGCAGGAATATGCTACCAATCTGATCAATGATACTTGACACCCCCTCCACACGGCTCCCCCAAACTCCCCGCTAAAGGTTGAAGTTATCACCATTACTAGTAGTACTAGTAGGCAGACCTCAAGTCCTAGTATACTACTATTTTTTAGACCCTGGAACCTGAAACAAGCCATAAATATGGTCTTTGAAGATGGGAGCCTATAAGGAACATTTGAACCAACTTGAAGTCCCAATAGCACTTGAGCGTCTTTGGGTCCCTAGTGCCTAGAAAAATAACAACCCTGAGTCACTTCCAAGGTTCTGATATGGTTCAAAGATTACTACTACATACACTCTACCAACTTGATGCCGAACTGGGTACCTACCACAACAGCCCTGGAGAGAGTTTAAAATGAGATCATTCTCAACTCAAACCCTTCAATATTTTAATCTTCTGATTTTTCCACTCAGTTTTCTGCCATAGGCCGGTCTGCACCTGGAACACAAGTTGAATGGTTGATGCGGAATCTCCTTACATTGCCCTACACCGACTGCCGCCGACTGCCAGTGTAAACCTACTCATAATAGCGACCGCAATTATAGACTCATCTCTACTAGTAACCCCATAACTCGCCTGCATGTGGGCAATTGATACTAGTATTGCCATGTATACGGAGTACACTGGTAGTAGATGAGGCTGACTTCCGGAGGTTATGTGAATATTAGAAAGACAACTATAATACTGCCATAACACTGTTACCTGAGGTATGCGGGAATGCCCCGGTCTTTGATCATAGTATGGATGAAAGGACTTCGGTCATCCGTACGGGTGTCACTACCTCGTATACCTCGGAGTAGCTCAGGACCTCGGGAGTCATCGTTTAGGGCGAGATAAGCAGGTCTTTCCCCGAGCCCTGGAGTACTGCAAGCACTTGAGACATCATGATGTAGATCAGTAATCCGTTTTTCCTGGTGAGCTTGGAATTTAAGATCTCTGAAATTATTCCGACTCTTTGCTTCAAGTTCCAGCCAGACAAATGATCAATTATAGGAAGTACTGGAGAGTATTTGAGAGATGTTCAATGCTCATTCGCCCAATATTTCCCCAGAAAAGAATGATTGTCATGGAGATCGAGATCAGGATTGCCTGCTATATTGGAGAATTTCTCATATTCCAGATCATGTTTGTGTGATAAAACAGGCTAGTCTTCCAAATTGAGAATGAATCTCCATACGGGAGGCGAAGGCGATTGGTCCAAACCCCCCCAGATAGATAAACTTATCTTTTTTTAAATATGGAGCAGACGGATGCAGGCATTGTGAAATATTAATCACTGTGAGATTAAAAAGTATTTATACGTCACAAATGTGCATACTCTTATGTAAATTGAACCTAGAAGTCTCAATCTGGATAATTGATAAGGGTACATACTACCATCTAGAAGATACTAAGGATCAATGAGAGTCAAATACACAGACTTTACCCTAACTTTTAGTGTATTTGAAAATAAATACTCAAACTTGAAGGTCAATAAACCAAGGAAGTTTATTATCCTATTCTGAATAAATATGAACGAAAAGATGTCGAAAGATACCGAAGCCATCAACTCCCAGGTCACATATGACACAACTACTCAACCTGGAGATGTTCAAGCCGGAGAGCTAAAAGACCACGAATCTAACTATGATGCTGTTTTTGGTGAGATTACAGAAGATGGGCCCAACTTTCGCAGTGTAAGTAACTGGAGCGATTCCATTACGCATTGGACTTCATGTTGCTGACATGCACACATAGATGGGATGGCTGGGAGCAATTGCTTTGATGCTGAAGACCCAGATCGGACTGGGAGTTCTCTCAATACCATCGGTTTTTGACACTCTCGGAATTGTACCGGGCTCCATCTTATTATGTGTTGTGGCAGGCATAGCGACTTGGACAAGCTACATGGTCGGTATATTCAAGTTGAATCACCGCGAAGTGTACGGCATAGATGACGCTGCAGGATTGATGTTTGGTAGAGTCGGGAGGGAGATTTATGGAATTCTTTTCTGACTATGTGAGTAAAAGATCCGAGTCTTCATAAACTGCTTGCCCATCTCTTAATCATAATACGTTTGGGGTTGAATGATATTAACCATCGGAAGATTGGGTATTTAACGGAGGCTCCGGTATCCTGAGTCTATCAATCGGACTGAATGCAGTCTCAAAGCACGCAGCTTGCACTGCTGTTTTTGTTGTCGTTTCAGCTATTATTGGTTTTGCCTTTACTAGCATTCGGACTCTGAGTCGAATTACCTTCCTAGTATGGGTGGGATTGGCATGCATTCTGACAGCTGGTCTGTTTATCCCCAGTCTCTCCATTATTTATCTTGACATAAGAGATATCCTATTTTATCTGAATTAGCAACCTTGGAACTGACCTAGAGGATCTGCAGTTTTGACCGTCACTGTCGCTGTTGGTGTTCAAGATGGACCATCAACTGCACCACAGGGATGGACTTCAGACTACAAGCTCTTTAATTCTCCCTCATTTGCGGATGGAGTTTCTGCAGTGTCTGGACTCATATTTGTCTGCTCCGCTACGCCTGCATACTTTTCAATCTTTGCCGAGATGCAGAATCCTCAGCTTTTCACTCGTGCACTTGTCATCAGTCAGTTTACGTCAACAGTGGTATATCTCATTGTAGGCGTCGTTGTTTACTACTATTGTGGATCTACGGTGGCATCACCAGCATTGGGAACAGCTGGTCCTTTGATCAAGAGAATTGCCTGATGGGATTCGCTGCCAGGCCTTATAGCAACCACGGCCATATTTCTTCATGTAAGTTTTTTAACCTACTTCCTGATCCTATCCCCGGAGCTACAAAAATACTCTTTCCTTAGCGGACTTCTTAATCTTTTACGTTTCATCCAATTTTCTAATGCGTTGAACAGTACCCGTCAAAATACGTTTTTGTTCGTGTTCTGCGAGGCTCAGTACATCTCACATCAAACTCTCTAATCCACTGGATGACATGGCTCTGTTGCACTGGTGGCTGCACAATCATCTCATATATCATCGCAAGTGGTATTCCAGTATTTTCGGATCTGGTTTCCCTGATTGGCGCTCTCCTTGGGTTTGCTCTCGCTTATCAGCCAACTGGCTGTATGTGGTTTTATGACAACTGGCGACGGACTGATAGAGACTGGAAATGGGTCGCTCTTGCATGCTGGAGTGGGTTTACCATTGTGGTTGGATCCTTTATGACTGTGGCCGGTACCTACGGATCGATTTTCTTCCATTATTAACACCTTGAAGGAAGGAGGCGGGACAAAACCCTGGACATGTGCAGACAACTCTAATTCTTGATTAAATCTTCTATCTGGGCAGAGGATGCCGGTTCGTTTATGAAGAATGTGAAATATCAAGACTATTTATGTTGATTTTTTGTCTCATAAGGGTTTCCTCTGTACTCGTACATCAATGGTCGCAATTCAAACATCTTAGCAAGCACCCGAGTTTCTTCTCGGTACTACTAGTAGGAGTGTGAACTATGTCTCAAACCCCGTTAGAACCTCAAAATGTACATACCAGTGAGATAGAGGAATGTGACATGATCGTCTCACTCAAAGAATCAATAACGTCACTTTTTACTTCAAAGGGTTGAGTTGTCTCAATGATGAACTGACTTCAAGATCCCGCAAAAGAAAAAGTACTCGGTGCTGTGATAGTAAATAATCGAGTCCATTTCATAAACGTTGAGGCAAAATGAATCAAGGATAAGTACTATCAGTCGTGCTTCAGAGCTATGCACATGTGTGTAATACCCTGCCCAGATGGCAATATGTACATTATGATGCACTGGGAAATGCATACCCAAGAAGCAAATCCAATTGTCAATTGCATAAAGAATAAATTCAAAGGATCTTAATAAACTTAATCGATTGATGTGCCTCTACTCCCCTTTACACAGCTCTCCTTCAGACTTCCAAATCTCATACTCAAAATCAGGCTGGAACTCAGTGTAGAGTGTTTCCTGTAAAGAGAAATTCAGTCAGATTCAATTCCAAGGGCTCGGAGGGAGATCCTTCTCTCCGTGGCTTCAAAGTTGAGAAGGTTAAAACAACTTACAGGATCGGCATTTGCCTCAGCTGTGAACTTAGCTGCCTTCTCGCTGATAAATTTCTTCGGAAGTCCAGAGGCTTCTACCATGAGCTGAACCTCACAAGTCCTCTCGAGACAAGTGAATAGGTAGGCAGCCTCATCAACAGTGCCACCAGTAGTCAGCAGACCATGATTCTGAAGAATCATGACACGACCTTTGTCACCCAAGGCCTCCACAATCCTCTGTCCCTCTTCATCACCAAGGACCACACCGCCAAAGTCATTGTATACAGCTTGTGTCTCGTAAAAGTTGCAGGAGTCTTGATTGATGATATCGATAGGCTTGCCAAATGTTGCCCAGGCCTTGCCGGCAGGAGAGTGCATGTGGCATGCGGCGTTGATATCAGGACGAGCGCGATGGATTGCGCTGTGAATAACAAATCCAGCAGCATTGATGGCGACTTTGTTTCCTCCGATAACCTGTCCTCCTTCATTAATGTGAACCATATCGCTGGCCTTTAACATGCCAAAATGCTTGCCCATACTAGACATGCCGTTAGCCTTATATGCTAGAACAAGTCAGTAGTGATTTTGCAAACTCACGGGTTGATCCAAAAGGTGTCTGGGTCAATAGTATCTCGAACACTAATGTGTCCACTCGTCCCCTCTGTGAATCCTTTTCTCGCAAAGACTCTGAAAGCACCAGCCATGTGCTCAAGCTGCCATTGTCGCTTCTTGTAGGGGTCGTCTATTCTAGGAATGCCAGGGAAGGGGTAGCCACCCGTGGCCACGACGAGATTTTGAGGAGTCTTGTCGACGGAGGAATCATCATTGCGAGGTTTCTTTTCAACGACGGGTGTGCATTCCACGGACTGGGAAGCGGAAGGAGACATATTTTTATGATGTAATGCAAGATTGGTGAAAGAAACTTGAAGGAAATGATTTCTGGAGCTGCTGGAATCAGTGACTGTCGTACATGTATTCCAGGTCAATAGATCGATTTTAAAATTCTTATATCCTTTTTGAGTATTATCGAGAGCCTTGACACAGTAATGAGATCAACTTGTAAAAACCGACTTACTCAATCAGGTGATATCCACATGTTCAAGATTCGATGCGAAGTTAGAGTAGTACCTACCTAGGTAGGTATCTGATGGCATTAGTAAAGTTTGTGATCTGATCATCGCTGTCTGCTGCAGTTTCCAGACTCTCGCTTGGGGTTTCCCAAATTGCCAACATGATAAAGAGACTGACATAATAAACCTTGCTAAAATGAGATAAGTAATAATTATCGGGTAAAAAGACGAGAATGGTGACTGGGTCTATCTTGGAAAGACCTTGGGAAAGTTAATCCGAGTGAGCTGAGAATTCAACTTGAAGTTGGTGTGAAACGGAAATCTGCTAGAACTTGATGCTAACTAGAGGTTATCTTCTGCTAGTCCTAGATATGGTTCAGACTTCAATCATTGACAAATGTGTGATAAGTATATTATCTTTTCATATTTTTTATACAGTGACTTAGCTAGATGTGGACTTCCTCAGGCCCTCGAGAGACGTGGAGCTACTAGTAGTAAACAACAATCACCACCTAGATGATTTCAAGGTTCATGAGCTTGAAGCTGCACATGTGCTTTTGACATGAGTTATTTCACTCCTTGACTAATTTCTCCAACGATTCCATGTAGGTGAAAATTCGCCTTATGGATTTGTATGCTATTGGAACCTGAACTTGAATTGTCTAATCTAGTAATCGTGCCACTGAATCACATTATATTTGAATTGAATAAGGAAGACATAACTATAAAATGAAGGAGCTCAAGCGGTTCTACTCATATGGATTTCCAGGCTCAAACTTAGGTTCCCAAAGTCCCTTCTCAGCCTTAATTTTTGCTTGCAGACCCTTCATAACTCCATAAACAATCTTGAGAGTTGGCGCAGGAACATTAGCCTTCTCCGCCTCCCGCAGCGGCTCACCAACGAGGTTCTCAATCTCCATCAGATTTCCCTTCTCAAAGTCCTGACACATACTCGGCTTGAAGCCTGTATCTGTTGGATCCTGATGTGTGACCGCATGAATCAAATCATCTTGAAGACTAACGCCATTAGCTGCGGCGATGGCGCGCACCTCCTCGACAATAGGCACAATCAAGTCATCGATAATGTGTCGGCTCATACGCATGCGCGCAACATCCATGCGCATAATAGATGCGATAGGGTTCATTGAGCCGTTGTATGCAATCTTGCGCCATCGGACTTTATCGACTTCTGGGACATATAGAACATCAAGCTTGCCTTCGGGGTTATAGATTTCCACGTATCGCTTTGCTGCCTCATCAGCCACGTCTTGAGGTACTTGTGGGTTTGTGAAAGCGCCAATCTTCTGACAATCGTCATCATCGTGGTAAATCTTTGCTAGAGAAGTCTCAGTTGCGCCGGTATACGCGACACTGCTGATAAGAGGATTTGTGGGGAATCGAGGAATGAGAGGCTTCTCAATGTTGATGCCGTTTTGAGAAAGCACAATGGCGGTTTTGCCGGGAGTCACAGCTGGAGCAATAAGATCTGCGACTGTAGGAGGGACGTCTGGAATGTTTTTGGTAGTCACGAGGATGTAATCGAAAGGCGCGATGTTGCCCTTGGATACATCGGGAACCGAGTTGACAACTACAATGGAATAAGTACTAGATTTTTTATGAGAGACTTTTTAGGAAACTTACTGGCTGTTGGCTTCCATGCCTTGATCTGGCCGTACTGAACGGAATCAATACCAATACCGTTCTTCACAGCGGCATCGTAGTTTGAGCGCATCACAGCTGTCACCTCAGCCTGGCCACCTTTCTCCAGAGAATAGGCTGAGACCGTGCCAATGCCACCGGTGCCAACAATCAAGACTCTTGTCTTTCCCATCTTGGACTATGCTAAAAGGGAAATTTGATAAAAAGAATCTCGCGTTGAGCTTGAAAATAATTCTCGAGGATCAATTGGGGACACGACTCAGAGAGGGACAATATATACCAGGAGCTTTTCAGATCCGGTTCAAGCTGTGAGCTTCAAAGTGTGTTAAAATGACAGAGCTGCATGATTGACTTAGAAGTTATTACCGTAGCTCACCTATCGCGCAATGTGATATGCCCCACTATGGAGCTCAAGAGGGGTACATGATCTCGATCCACTTTCGCTCTCTGATGCCTTCTTGACCCAACCGATCTCGGAGACTATCACCATTTTCGCCCCAACTGCCCAGGTGAATTTGGGAACTCTCTCCGCGGCGCGTAACCCCAAAATAGAATCGTGAAATAGATAAGAAATCACTGTTTCGATAGCAGTGGACTCTGATTACACCAGTACGTAGCGCTGGAGTTTGAAAACAATATTGATTTGCCATTCTTATTGTGTTAGTTATCAAAAATGAAATTCCAATTATATCAGGCGGGTTGTTATATGAGTGATATGAGGGCTAAGCCTCGGAACCGGTAGCCCGGGTGGCACAGTGGAAGCGCGTGAGACTGTAAGCGGCTAGAAAATCACATCAAAGAAATGATCAAAAACTAATAAATAACAGTTTATAAAAGAGAATCTCAATGTCCGGGGATCAAAACCCCGTCCGGGCGAACTTTTTTTTTTTCTTTTTTTCTTTTTTCTATTTTCACCTTTGACTTTTTTTTCTCCTTCCTTGGGAGGATGAGATTACAAAATGAAGATTGACCGGAGCCGCAACTATTAGATCTTGGTGACAGTAACATTTGAAGGGATCTAGGTACTACCCCACCCTGGGCACTCGAGTACTCATACAATTAGATATCAAATAAGAAGTGTTTTGACAAAAAGAAAATTGAACATTGAAGTTACCTGGTGAGTAATGGTGACTCAAATTGAGATACTCTTTATCTAAAGTGCCTAGGGCTTGACTTTAGAGTGATGTCAAGCTTCTGGCATGCTATAGTTGATAGTGACAAGTTTTGATTATTTGATGGGCCGAGCAGGCTACGCAAGAGGGGGAATCTTGGAAGAAGTGAATGATAAGTAGTAATAAATATTTTGAAAACTGGCCCGGAGTGTCTAGTAAAAGAAAATGAAGAAAATCAGAGTCGAGCGGTAATAGGCCCATTGAGATCCTTGACAACCTCAGCAGCAGCTCGAGAGCCGCTTCGAACAGCTCCCTCCATATATCCTTTCCACTCTCCAGCTGTCTCCGTACCAGCAAAGTGCAAGTTTCCGACAGGTGCACGGAGGCCATCACCACCAAGCGTGTCAAGTACTCCAGGCGGCAGTGTGGTGCAAGGGCAACCCAGACCAGCATACTCATCATGAACCCACTCGTAGGCAGTCATCTTCAGGAACTGGTCCTCGACATTACTGACGCCGTAAAGTTTACCGATCTGTTTCAAAAGAGTCTTCTCACGCTCGGCAGTGGATAGCGCAGCCCAGGTACGACCAGGTTCACCACCCATAAAGCAGGTAAGGACGTATTTGTTATCCTGAGGAATGCAACTATCACGGATAACACCTGCAGGACCAATGAAGGAGTTGGCCAGACCACAAAATCCACGTTCAACCCAAAAAGGAGTCTTGAACTCCATCATGGCCTTGGTGTAGTAACCATAGTAGAGTGATTCGGTCCAAGCCCGCTTGACGGGAGTGAGTGGAGGATAGAAAGATATGTTCTTGAGAGCTGGACCAGGGAGAGTTGTAATGACCTTGGTAGCAGAGTATACGGCACCGCCAGCTTGCACCTTGATCGAGCCGCTTTGCTCCTGAGCGATAGATTGAACGGGGATCTCAAGACGAAGGACTCCCTCAGGGAGCGATGAGGCTAGACCTTTTGACAGGGTCTGAGTACCTCCTCGGACTCGCAGATACTGACCACCATCCTTGCGGTCTGATCGCATGGTCAGGAGACCACCACCAGATTTGCAGTAGTTCAGGAAGTAAAGAGCCGAGATATCACATGGTTCCACTCCAAGCATAGCACGAGTCCAAACAGTTGCTGTGCCGATGGCAGCCTTACTAGCTCCCCGAGAAAGGAGGTAAGCCTCAAATGTCATGGCGTCAAGCTCTGTGTTGCTGGGGCGCCAAACATCCAGCTGCTGGCACTCTGCCTCGCACATGTCTCTAATCTCTGTAACATTCTTCTGTGATTCCTCATCAAACTAAGTAATGCTTGGTCAGTATCATATCTTGCGATAAGAGAGTAGAACGGAGTACTTACGTTTGGTACCTCGCCGTACTCGAACGAAGAAACATTTCCTTCCCAGTTCTCCATCACCGCCTTTCCTTGTGTGTTTTGTACAATAACCTCGGCACCGTACCGCTTTGCAATCGCCCAGACACGGCTTTGATTGGTATCATTGAGCCATCCAGCACCCACATCAATGTAGCCCTTTCCATCAGACGTTGGCTGACTCCATGTCTTTCCACCAACGCGATCACGAGCCTCAAGGATAATGCAAGAGAGGCCCGATTGAATGACATCGAGTGCAGCAGTGAGTCCAGCAAGACCAGCACCAATGACAATGACATCAGCGTTCTCTGAAGCAGCGGGGAGGACAGGAGGAATTGAAGGTTCGGGGAGAGCAACGATTGCGTCAATTTCGATCAACCACTCAGGAACAGCGAGTTTGGGGACAGGGACGAGAGTCTGAGCTGGTCGGTGCTTTCCGAAGAAACTTTGAAGAGGGCGAGCGTGCTTGCGGTTGTTTACATCGTAATCGACGATATAAACGTTGAGCTTTGCGATATCCTTGATGTCCGCACCGGCTGCGATAATCAACTTACGCAGGTTGAAGAGAGAGAGGTGGATCTGGGACTCATAATCCTTGGGTACATGTCCATCTTTGGTGTTACCAGGTTGACCCGCGATGTGTAGGACTTTTCCGCTCGAGATAGTTGCTGGACCATAGTAGAGGCCGGCCGTGTGGGATAGGTCAACCGTCTTGACAGTCTTAGACATTCTATCAGATAATTGAAGGTGATTCACTTAGTTGCGACGAAAGAAGATATGATCGGAGTTACTAATGAGATGCTTTTCTAGGATATAGATCCAAAGTCTGCGATCTTGACTTCAAGTTGGGTGTTACAATGTTATATATCGGTGCCAAGATTTCAAGCTAGCCTTGAAGTTTGAACTGATTATCCAAGGACACGAAAAATAGATTGCCTTGCTGGTATTCCCCCACATATGCAGAGTCCAGACTTGGGTGTAAAGCTCCCAAGATAGGATGGAGATACCGATCTCCACAGTATTGGATGAGCGGCATTAACCCCGCTAATGTGGGACCCTCTCGCTCGGTCTTTCCAATTCAACTCACTCCAACTGACCCCGCGAGTGGAATCAAGGATAATTGCATCCAATCGATAAAGTGATGAAGTCGATCTTTGCCTTAAATGACTGTAGTCCTGCCGTATTGCTTTATCTACCGAAATGGGAGAGGAGAGGAGAGAGAAAATGTGCTGGTCGATCGGATGATTTCCGCGATAAGATGCCTACAATGGTGGATATCAAATGACAACATCATTGGAATGATTCAGTCTCATCGGTCTCTAAGCCCACCTCGATGATCTTCACTTTCGACTTGGACCAGTATATCCCGAGTAAAACCCTGGAGGTTTATAACGATCCCTCGAGCAAGTCAAGTCAAGCGCATGAACTTTTTCAACTGAGAGACACCTTCTTCAACTAGAAGGACTTAACAAAATGAGCTACTCGGCACCGAAGCTTCGAGATTCCTCTCTTTTTGTCGATAAGAACTACATTGATGGCCAGTGGATCGATTCGGTATCCGGCAAATCATTCAACGTTTACGGTATGGAAATTATTACCCTGGAACATCTCATTTGCGATTCATGTACTGAATTGCTTCTGGGTGTATAGATCCTGCCAATGGAGTATTTATCGGCTCATGCCCAGAGTCCGTAGCTCAAGATGCAGAGACAGCCATCAATGCCGCAGCTGGTGCACTCCCCGCCTGGCGCTCTCGCACTGGCCGAGACCGTTCAAGAGTTCTGCGCCGATGGTACGAATTGGTGATAGAAGACAAAGAAGACTTAGCAACTCTGATTACATGGGAAAATGGCAAGGCAGGACTTGATGCAGCAGGTGAGGTCCAATTTGCAGCAAGCTTCCTCGAATGGTTTGCTGAAGAGGCTCCCCGTGTTTATGGAGATGTGATTCCTCACAGTCAACCCGGGTTTCGAGTCTCTGTTCTCAAGGAGCCCATTGGTGTGGTTGGTCTTATTACACCGTATGTGATTCCTCATATCGCACTCGAAGCATATCCTTGTTTATTTGAAAGACTTACATTGAAACTAGATGGAATTTCCCTGCCGCTATGATCACCCGAAAGCTTGGTCCTGCTCTTGCAGTAGGATGCACTGCCGTTGTCAAAACAGCAGGCGAGACACCCTTCACTGCCAATGCCCTTTTAGTCCTAGCAGAGAGGGCTGGTGTTCCCAAGGGCGTTATTAACAGTGTTTCCGCTTTGGAGAATACACCCGAAATTGGTCTCGCCCTGTGCACCTCCAACACCGTCCGAAAGATATCCTTCACAGGCTCAACTCGCGTCGGAAAAATTCTCATGAACCAGTCCAGCAATACCCTGAAGAAGCTGAGCCTAGAGCTTGGTGGAAATGCCCCGTTCATAGTTTTTGACGACGCAGATCTTGATCTGGCAGTTGCCGGCGCAGTCGCCAGCAAATTCAAGTCATCCGGTCAGACATGTGTCTGCTCCAATCGGATCTTTGTTCAGAAGGGAATTTATAATGAGTTTGTGAAAAAGCTCAATGCTGTTGTTGCAGGTTTCAAGGTGGGGCCTGGTTTCGATAGTAAGACTACTCATGGTCCTCTAGTTACACCTGGTGCCGCCGATCGCGTGGAGAGCCTCATTGCAGATGCTGTTAAGTCAGGCGCCAAGGTTGAGGCTGGAGGTAGAAGGCGTATTGATATCGGTAATTCTCCTTTGAGCCCCGATAATCAACCCATCCCGCTAATCACCTTGGATATAGGACAAAACTTCATCGAGCCTACTATTATGACCAATGTGACTCCCAATATGCGACTGATGCAAGAGGAAATATTTGGCCCATTAGCACCAATCTTTTCCTTCGACACCGAGGACGAAGTCATCGATATGGCTAACGACTGTGAAGTGGGCCTGGCTTCATACATTTTCACCCAGAACATTGATCGCGCTTCTCGAGTCACGGAGCTTCTGTCTTTTGGTATGGTTGGTTTGAACACAGGTGTTATGTCAGATGCTCCCGCTCCGTAAGTTGACCTTGCTTTTAATTCACCATGATATAGTATCACAGGCTAACACGATGTAGATTTGGCGGTATTAAACATTCTGGGCTAGGACGTGAAGGAAGCAGATATGGCATTGAAGATTAATTGAATATGAAAACTGTGGTAAGAGGCAATGTGAATGTAGTGCATCGTGCATCACTCTAGATGTTAGATTTTAGGCCTGCTTCATATTATCAAGTCCATGCTCTAGAACTCGAATATGATTCAATTTCAAAATCTTTTAAACGTCAGTTAGAGCTCACCTGGGCAGCGGCTGATGCTTAGGTTCAAGTTCTTTTAAACGGCTTTCTTTTCGCGTAATAGACCATGATGGAGCAATTGAGTGTTTCTGTATGTTATTAGGTCAGTCTGAGAAACTGCAATGAAAAATATCCATTTACATAAGCCTCAGTCATTTGAATGCTGAGTTGAAGTTACTGAAATGTCGATCCTCTCGCTTGAAGCGCTCACTGCCCAGGTGGCATATATGAGCCTTCAAATGATTCAAGGTCCTGGAGAATGCTACTTAAAGATTTTATATAAAAATTTAGAATAAACTTGAATTCTCCTTTGGCCCAAGTGCATGCACATGTCAGCTGGTGTGGATGGACCTTGAAGTCAAGTAGTATGTCACGATAAAGTTTGGTTCAGTAAGTTGAGAGTTGGTATATACATAAAATATTCCATTCAGATGCTCTATACTAGTAGAAGTTGATTCACATGTTCAAACCACATCCCATTCATATCAATTCAGCATTTCAGTTCTTACAGTTTCAAGAGGCGGCCATCCTGCTGTAACAGTGAGACGCAGTTTTTGTTGATGGCGGCCACATTCCGACAACTTGACGAACTCTTGTGTGAGTCCATGTAACATAAAATAGTAGAATATAGAAAGACGTACCCAGAAAGTGCCATACAGACTTTGAACTCGTCATAAAGTAGGTCGAGAGCCAACTTCACTCCATTTTGGCCGTCGTACTATATTTTATAATAGGTCAGCATACCCAAATTGCAACACAGAGAGAGGACAACGAAGAAGAACTCACAGCCAACCCCCAAAGTGCCGGTCGTCCGGCAAGGCAAAAGTCCGCTCCTAGAGCTAAAGCCTTAAAAATATCCGTACCACGGCGAATGCCTCCATCAACGGCAACGGGGATCCGACGCTTCACAGCGGGCGCAATCTCACGGAGTGCATCTAGAGTTGATGGCACACCGTCAAGTTGGCGACCACCGTGGTTTGAGATAAGAATTCCGTTGAAGCCGTGCTTCACTGCAAGTTCAGCATCCTCAGCAGTATAAACTAGACAGAAAACCCACGTTAATATCTAGGCCTTGAAAAGTTGCCAGTGCATTGAAGGCATTGAAGACCACAAGATCTCATACTTACTTCCCTTGGCCCAGACCTGCATTTTGGTATGCTTGCGAAAAAAGGGTATAATATCGGGCCATTCAATGCTGTCGTCTATTTGATAACATCGTCAGATAATTGGAAAGTTGAACGAATTTCTCCTTCCGGGTTCTTACCGTAAGCCATAGACTCGTCACCATCCTCAAGGTTGGTAACATCGACACCGGGATACAGATTGGGGAATTCCATTCCCTTCGGTACTGAGAATTCGTTTCGGTACTCATTCAATCTGCGACCAAGATAGGGGCAATCCAGCGTAACGAAGAACGCATTAAAGCCAGCAGCTAGATACTTTGTCAGAGAATTGACCTTGTGCACTTCTCAGAACGAGTCATATTCGAATAAAAATCTCACATTCTGCACGCTTAATCAATTGGATCATCGCAGGTTTGTTCTTGAGAAGACTGATTTGCATCACATAGGGATTTTGTTTGCGATGACTGATGACTTTTTCCAGATCCACCGTCGAATAGTTAGACAAGCCCATCGGAGTATCAGATTCCGCACAAGCTTTAGAAATTCCAACCTCGCCATCTGGGTGAGCCAGAGTTGGCATAGCAGTAGGAGAGAAACCGAATGGGAACTTGACCTTCATGCCGAGGAACTGAGTGCTGGTATCGAGACCTGAGATATCGCGTAAAACCCGAGGACGAATCATATATCGGTCATAGGCCGCCTCGTTTGATCGCAAACTGGGGTTCATTCCTGTTTAGACCAAGAGATCTCTAAAAGGACGAGGATAAGGATTTGGAAAAGGAAAATTGAACATACGTGATGAGATCCATAGCTCCTTCATTGTAGTAATCTATATGTCACGGTGTGAGTTAGCTTTGAATCACGTATCAACATTATGAACTTGAAGCTCAAAGTCTAGGAGCTTACCCCGGGTTGACTTATCCATCTTGTTCGAGCCATGTTGTTGAAGATCCTTAATAGAAAAGACCTGATTGTTAAGGCTCCTGCCGCGATTCGCCATTTTGAAGAGTTTCGTCGAAAATGTTTCTGAAGACAAGAATAATGACGCGAATTCTGAGAAAAAATGAAAATATATCTTCAAAAATTGTAGAATCAGGCTGGAGCTTCACAATATTTGAACCCGAGGTCTACTAGAGAGCTTGCTTCCAGTCCGGGGAGAGTTGCCCATATGTGGCACCTGGGTAGGTAATAGCTTGTGGTAATGTACTACGATAAACACCGATAGCGGTATACTCCTTTTACTTTCCTATGAAAAGTTGATACTTCAGTGCTTTAGTTTGCCGATAAGCCCCTCTTCGCTCAGTCCTGCTGTTTATGGTTGGAAGTTGGGGCCTTGTGGGGGGCAATACGATAAGACTTAAAATGTTGGTCCAGACTCGAGGGGGATTACTATGAATAAGGATGTAGATGGTGCATAAAAATAGGCTATTCAAGCGCCAGGCTACTTCAAGATCCTCGAGTTAATTTTAGCTAACAAAATTTATAAAAGTATCTTCAAATTCTAGAAAAATCCAGATCTTGTTCAAACGTTGAGACTCTTAGGTTCATCTGCCCCGCAACGCCGAGGTTTGCCCTCTCTGTCACGGCCCCGCGGCTATGATATTTCCCCAAATTGGTGTATGCTGCCTTATGTTTGAGTGCAGAATTTATTATTGAAAATGAGGACTATCGATGTAGGTGGAAATAATTAGGCCAAGGATTCAGAGGTTGCTTTATCAAAATCAGTCAATTGATATCAGGCTCGAGAAACCTCCACCTGGGGCTGTGACCTGGATACAATAATACATAGCCCTGGAGTGCCAGTGATATACTACAAATAACTTGAAGATAGTAGCTACTGGTAGTACCGCCAGTGGCAAAGATTTCACCTGGGCATAATTCAATATTCAACTCAGGCCCAAGGTTCTTTCAGGCATTTCCAATGTAGAGTAAAACATTGAATCATTCATTTTATAAAGGAGAAGGCTGCTTCTCACATATGTGCATATCCAAATCCTCAGTAGCTGTACTTTACATATATCAGATAACACTATCCACTCTTTCGTGTTCAAAAATGGTCACTAGCAGGTCCAGTGTATGTAGACCGAAGAAAATCAAAATCAGCGCCATGCTCAGCTTGAGTGACTGAACGAATGTAGAGACCTCGATAGCCTCTAGTAGTCTCTTTTTGCACCCAAGGGCCTGCTCTTTTGTCATTGCCTCCTTTCTAGTTTCCTGTCGCCGAAGAATCTCTTCATCTGTGATGTCAACGTTCAAAATCCTTGCTTCCACGTCGAGAGAGATAGTATCGCCACTCTGGACGATACCAAGAACCGATGAGAGATTAGCCGCCTCAGGGGATACATGGAGTACAATAGTTCCACCAGCAGTTCCACTCATGCGACCATCAGATATGCGTATCATATCAGAGACACCTTTGGTGCTAAGCTTCCGAGGAATCGGGTCATGCCTGCTTCAGGCATTCCAGGATTTCCAATTGGACCAATATTCTGCAGCACTAAAATGTCTTCTGGATTCACATCAAGGTCTGGATCATCGATGCGCTCTGTGAGGTCTATCGAATTTTTGAATACGACCGCGCGACCGGTATGATTCAATAGTTCTTGTCTTTTAGAAGCACTTGCTTTGATTACAGCGCCTCCCGGGCGAGATTTCCTTTGAGAACCACCAACGACGATTTTCTATAGAGTGGCTTGTCAAAAGATTGGATACAGCTCAGCTCTTGTGGTAATGACATTGGCGCGGCCTTTGCCAATTTTTGACCTAGTGTCAGGCCTGTAATCGTTAATGCATCCAGATGCAATAAGGGCTTCAGTTTATGAAGAAGAGAAAGCATTCCACCTAGGAAGCTGTCAGTAACTGTGATTGATTATCTGCATGTACTCCCACTCACCCGAGTCATGAAAATCTGCCATATAGTTTGAGCCGCTAGGCTTCAAATCAACTAGAAGAGGAGTCTGTGCTCCAATCTCGTTGAAAGTTTCCAGAGTGATAGTCCCTGAAACACTCGGATGCTGTCCAATAATAGCCATTAGATGAACAACCACATTGGTGGAGCCTCCTATTGCTTGGAGAACTGTAATGGCGTTCAGAAATGACTCCCGTGTCAGAAGAGTCTGGGGCCGCAGAGGCTCGGATTGCTGGCATGACTTTACTGCATTACTGCCCGTTTTTTCTGCGACGCGTAAACGGGCAGATGAAACTGCAGCAGGGGAAGCTCCAGCAAATGGCATCAATCCAAGACCAACCAGAACACACGCCATCGTGCTGGCTGTGCCCATTACTCCACAAGTACCGCCCTGATCATGGCGAATTTAGTTTGATGCACAAATCATAAATTTTGAGGGACGAAGGAAATTTACCGCGGGTGCTAACTCCTCATTGATGGCGGAAATATCTTCAATATCAATCTCTCCAGCCCGGAATTTGGCCCAGTTGTTTCGGCAGTCTGTGCATGCACCAATACGAACACCTTTGAACTTGCCTGTCATCATTGGCCCGGTGACAAGGTGTAGAATTGGCTTATTTGCAGAGAGTCCACCCATCAGCTGGGTCACTGTTGTTTTATCACATCCTATTTGTACAGTCAGCTGTGAACTTAAAGTAAACTAGTTGAATGAATGATTATTCACCTCCAATAAGGACCACTGCATCACAAGGCTGGGGCCGGATCATCTCCTCAGTATCCATGCTCATCAAGTTGCGCAGGTACATGCTTGTAGGCGACGAAAACGATTCATGGATACTGATTGTTGGGAATTCCACTGCGAGGCCACCATCGAGGTGAACACCACGCTTAACAGCCTCAATGAGTTGAGGTACATTTGCGTGACATGGATTGAAGCCAGAGAATGTGTTCACGATTCCGATAATAGGCTTCTCAATAGACTCCTCGCTATATCCGAGTGCTTTGATGAATACTTTGCGCAGGAATAGAGAGAAATGGGCATCGCCATATGAGGTTAAGCCTTGACGAAGACCAACTTTTGCCTCGATCGGCTTATCCAAATCATAGTCGGAATACATAGTTGCCAGTGTGTATGTAGAAAAAAAAAAACTAACTTGAAGTCGGATGGATGTGAGATGGTCGGATCTTTTCTCAATAAGTAGTGAGTAGAACAATACTGTAATATTTTATTTTGAACTACTAGTATACTATTACTACTCCTTGAAGTTTGAAACTCATTGAATTTCCATACTTCCAAGATTCCAATGAGTCGGAGTACTCATGTTATTCTATAAAGGGAATGACCTTCCATATTCGGTAGTACAACTCGTGCCGCTACTAAGACATTGTCATTATAATAGCGAGGCGATCTCGAGGCCATACGGTATTGTTCACTATGGACTTTATTTTATTTTATTTATTTTATCAGGTTTCTCTCTCATTTTTCAAGTTATGTGCAACTGATTGTTTGGCTAGAATAGAATACAAAATTATTGAGGCAATTATTCGTCCCGTCGGGACTTACAGGGATAGAAGTCAATTCCGACAAGTTTCCAAGACACATATTACCGATAGCCAGATCTGAGATAAAGCAAAGACAAACGCGACGGATAACAAGGCTTTGGTCATCATTGTCATCATTGGATGCAAAAATCCAAGATCAGCCACATTGTGGAGTCTTCCAGATGTCTCCACTCCCCCCTCATTTTCACCTTATCTTCATAGACATAAGGATGAACCTCTCGCTCTCACTTTCCCACTTTTTTTTGCAAGTCCCTGTGTAACCGCAGGGCTCCAGATTCCGAATTAGACCCGCATTGTTGTACTCTGGGGCATCAATTCGATATTCAAGTTCGATGCCCGCTCATTCCCTCCGGTCAGGCAATCGGCCTCGCAAACACAAGAAAACATTTACGGGTTGTTGGACATGTCGAGCACGCAAAGTGAAATGTGACGAACAAAGACCCGCTTGTAACCAATGCACCAACCGCCGCGTGCCTTGTGGGGGCTATGGTGTGCGACTTCATTGGATGACCCCTGACACTGGTCTAGAAGATGATCGCCAGTTATTGTGTGAGGAGAATCCCCAGCCAGTCAAGTCTTTCAGAAGTCGAATTATTTCGGGTAAGTGGTTCATCAACAAAACATTTGGGACAGAGATTGGAATGTGGAGCTAAGAATGCAGACTCACCTCGCTCATATGAGGTGGAGGATATTCTACTCGCCATAGATGCACTCAACCCAGGACAGCCCAATAGGCAAGGTACCAACCAAACGTCCTCAGGCTTTATTGGAGGTTTTGGAGTTTTTCATACATCTGAGAATAATAATCGTGCCGTGGATTTGGAATTTGAGTCCCTGGGGTTTCCACAAGTCCAGAGTCCACCTCAAGAAGAAACTCACTCACCCATAGCAATATGCGATGACCAGAATACGAACCTTGACTGTGCGTCTGGAGTTTCCCAGAATGTTGCTGAAACGATAACATCAGGAGCAGACCCCACTTCTATGACACAACTTTGCGAAATACAAAGACCCTTCATATTCCCATTCAAAGAATCACTGGGTCTCGCATCTGCCGAAGACGATATTGACATTGATCAACTCGATCAACTCGATCAGCTTGATGCTTTTAACCTGGAAAATGATGAACTTAATCATGTCCAGGGACATAGTATTTGGAACTTTGATCTTGCGCCAGTTGTTCCGCAGGCCCCTCCCCCTTCATATCTTAGTAGCAACGAGCGACTATTGATGCATTACTATACAACTCGTGTTGTACATACTTTCCCGGCTCTGGATAGTCCCAAGAGCCCTTGGAAGACCTTCCATCTGCCTCGCGCACTTCAGAGCGCTGGTGAAATGGCAGTTCAAGGGTCAACTTGTGTGATACGATCAGCCTTGAGGAACACATTGCTATCGATTAGCGCTTTCTACCTATCAAAGCACATGAGATGTCAGTCCCAAATCGACGAAGCCACCAAATGGGAGACGGAGGCTATGCATTTTCATGGTACTGCAATGAACCTTTTGAATGAGTCCGTCAACGCACGATTTACATCGCCAACGCGGCCAAAATACAAGGAAGTCCTTGCTACCATGTTATCCATGGTCTCTATCAATGTGAGTAGTTGTCAAACTTTCGATTTTAAAATGCACGATATTAACAGTATCTGCTTTGTAGGTGATGTCAGGCGACACTGCCAGTTGTGGTCTCCATCTTGAAGGTGCTTCCAGATTGATCACAGAAGCCGCCAAATGGAAATCCCAATATTCAAACAAAGCAATCGCACTCCACCGTATTTACTTTTATTTAAGAACGATTTATGATAGCACAGCTATTCGGGTCCCCAGAATTTCGGAAAACATACCCGATACATGGAATGCGGCGGCATCACCGTTGTCCAATGCTGCATCTGAGCTTATTGATGGCATCGAGCTCAATACATCTCCATATCCAAAATCTTATGGTGTGAAACAAACAGGTGATTATGAAAGCATATACGCGATTCCAAAGAGCCTGTTGGTCTTTTTGGCCAGAACAACGGAGCTCATAAATGCAGTTTCCGATGCACGGGAAAGATCTGGAAACACTCATATAACATCTCCCCTGGCCGAGAGATGTGATGAGTTAGAAACGAGTATCATGGATTGGCGTGCCGATCCTATAGCTGCGGACGTCACATCCAGCCCCGTGGCAAACGCGAATATCATCCATAACATGACTCGTGCCTTCCACAAAGCTCTCATAATATTCTTTGCACAACACATTCGGCTACTTGGACATCGATATCTGAAACCATTTGTTGAGGACGTGATTGACAGCATTGAAGCTGTTGAATCCATTAAGGTCGAGTGGCAGGTTTCGGCGTCTCCATTATATTGGCCGGCCTTCATTGCAGCAAGTGAAGCATTTGATCCTCATCTCCAGGAAAGATTCCAGCGATGGTATGCACAGGTTGAGCCAAATGCAATAGGATCCATGAGTACGGGAATCTGTTTGCTTGAGCAGGTTTGGGCAGAGGGCCCGTCGACTGGCTCGCATAGAACGAGTTTGTGGCGACATATTGCAATGAGAACAGATACAAAGCTGATGTTGAATTGAGCCTTCATGCGTTCAAATGCTGGGATACACTCACTAGCTCATCCAAGCCCTGTAAAATACACAAAATAATAAAAACTTGAACCTAACTTGAAGCTTCCATCTCTCCTTTACCTAGTACCGCAAGTGTGCTTTCCAAGCCTAATATCAAGTCAAGGGACCAACTGGTCTATACTAGAGTTGGATATCATTAACTACCTCAAATGTACGGCGTGACTTGCCTTATACAGCGGCGCCTACCAAATCCGCCCGGGCGCTGACCGAGAAAGTAACGCCGAACATCAACATTGATGTTTTTGGGCATCTTTTCGAGGACTCATGCTCGAGTTGACGACTCGGAGTCCTGGAGATGCTGAAAATGCATACCACCTACTATTGACTTGAAATTATAGCTTTTGTACAATCTTCAAGTTTTGGGGGCTCCAACTTTGCTATATATTCGTCGGGTTTCTTCCCCCGTTCGCTGTCCCATCCAACTCCGAGTCGAAGTTCAACTTGAAGTCATCTAGTATTTCTTATTTTCATCTCAACATGTCTTCAGCAAAAGTCGCCATTCTGATCCCGGATGCTCCTGCTCCAAACTCTCTCATGTCCCAGTCAATAATTTGCAATGGCATGATTTATTGTTCTGGTAGTCTTGGCCTTGACCCAAAGACGGGAACTTTTGTTCCTGGCGATGCTTCCGATAGAACCGTGAGTGTCCGTTGGGCTTATTGGTCTTGCTCCTGCAAGTGAATTTGTCTGATATATTGATCATTTAAAAGGTTCAAGCTCTTCAAAACCTTGAGGCAATTCTCAAGGCCGCTGGTAGTGATCTGAACAAAGCCGTGAAAATCAACATCTTCGTCTCCAGCATGGATCACTACGCGAAAGTGAATGAAGGATACGCGAAAGTTTTCACAGATGATATCAAGATTAAGCCTGTAAGAATTGTCTTCGAAATTACTAGTCTCGTTTCAACACATGTTGACGAATGATTTATTTTACTTAGTGCCGTACTTGCGTTGCTGTTGCAAAACTTCCGTTAGATGCAGAGGTCGAAATTGACCTTTTTGCAGCGGCCTGAGCTCTGACAGAGATTATCTGATAAATAAATTTCTTGATCATAAGAATAGATAGAACAAATGCTATGAGACATTGGATATCTCGCTTTCCATCCGGAGTTACCTAGGAGGGCTCTATTCTCCTATGTGTTGCTCTATTTTTCATCCCAGTCCCATCTTTCTATATGTATAAGCGATGCCGCGTACAGAATAGCAGACCGCGAACACTCTAAATTCAACACTCTCCTGACTCCAGAGGTCTCGTTGGAGACGCGTAGAGCCGTTATACAGAGTGGGCCCCTGGTTTTGTCTCAATGTCTCCCCCTGAACGGCCCGAACGGCCCGCTCCATCATCACCAAAATTGAGACATATGGACAAATTTCAAGCCTAAGTTCCAAGGTTCATCAGCTTGTCCAGTCTCAAGCCTTGAGAATACCCAAATTCTAGGAAAAAGATTAGCCATTTGAAGATTGTGATCAGAAGAGAACAATCCATAATTTCATGAGATGCGCGTTCCAAATGTTCATGGACACTATCCCAGATCTCTGGCTCTTATTGCGATCGGCATTCCTTCAGAATTACTGCTCCAAACTTCCAACATGGCAACATCCATGCTGTACTCTACCTTGAACTGCCCAGGTATCTATATGTAGTTGTGTAGTAATTCGAGTTTCAGTCATTATTTGTACTCAATATAGCTGCCAATTGTCTCAATAAACCCAGGGCTAATAGAATCACTTTCAATTGTTATCACACATGATGATCCTCTGTCCAGTGTATATCCCGATCAACGGAAATGAAGCCCGGATCATGGGAGTCCTCAACATCCCCTTCCTCACGAAACGCATAAGCATTGACTTGAGCAGAAGTGATGATTGGACTTAGATCATCAGTATTAGATTCTGATCCCTTACCACGCACACCAAAGTCGCTCGCACTCATGTGATGGAAAGCATGACCGTTGGCGGATCCCTCGAACGTTCGTCGTCTCTCCTCAAGACTATATCCCTTATATCCACTTCTCGGGTCGGAACCACCAAAGTATCGGCCCATACTAGATCCAACCACATTCTTCAGCGACCAGCGAAGAAGTGGTTGTAGGGTCGGTAAACACGCGCAGACAATGCCGATGGCTGGTTCCACGGTTGACCAAACGAATACATCACCCATAATCCAGTTGACGTCGACATCCGTGTTGAGGAAACTCATGTAGTAGATTCGCATGATACTAGCAACGCAGACACTTCCATATAGTTAGTATTGTAAAGAACAGTCGTACCGAAAGTACAGGGGTGCGATCCTTAAGATCAGTAAACTCACAATGAACCCAGCAGGAAAATGGCAGTGACCATAACCTTTTGTGCCTTACGCATTTGGAGCTTCCAAATGACAGGCAATGGCGCCGACAAAATGCAGATAACTGTAAAGACGTTGGCTGCGGCATTCCCCAAGTAAAAGCCGTAAAGGCTGATGATGCATTTCCCCTCCCCGTTGTTGTACATCGTCCAGAAATAAGAAAGAGGTTGGCAAGCCGCGGCCACCGCGACACCACATCCAATGGCCCATGCGAAACAAAGTCCCATCAAGATCCAAGCTGATTTTTTCATGCAGAGAATTTTTCGGTAGAACATCAAGATCGAACACTTGATGATGACCATCAGTGCGATATAGATCCAGATATAGGTAAAAAGGATCTGTGGCGAAATGGAAGTGTTAATAATCGAACATATTGGTCTGTAAACAATGCTGTTCAAGTTTGGGAATTACCTTTCTCATGTTGACCACATCACCAACGGTAGAAACCCATACATGTTTTCCTAATCCATCTGTGCCGGCTGAATGAGAAGAATCAATATTCTGAAAAATGAAGAACTGATAATTTTCAAACTAGTAAGATACTCACCCAAAATTGTAAGAGCCAACAACACGGCAAGCGGTATCTAAAACAAGGCGAGGTTAGATCTCCCTCCAGTAAACCGTGGAAGTCAGGTAGTGAGAGGAAATATCCCTTACCAATGAACATATTATAATGAGATCATCAGCACCCAAGCTTGAATTTACAATATAAATCCTTGTGAAAACGCGAAGAACGACAACAATCACCGCTATGATGAATATCGCGATAGAAGCAGCGTTGTCTGAAGGCGTTTTATTCGCTGATAGGTTGATATCACTGGGCGCCGGACCAAAGATATCAGTGATGCTTGTCATCGTTGAGATGACATAGAAATGGGAGCATGAAGACTCCTGAAGAAGGATGGAGACATTCAAGTGGGGGAAAACCTTTCATATGCAAAAGCACCCTGACAGCCTGTGTCTAAAAAAAGTGCAAACACATAGATCTAGTGGCGTATGTGTAGGGGGCCATGCAAAGCGGCCCGCTAGCCACAACCGCTTCTAAGGTTCAGGAACCACGTTATTACGGGCGCCGGTACTCGAATTAATTGCCCGCTTTGGCATGGTTTCATAAGAAAACATTTGAATGACCTCAGGATGCAGATATGGAGTAATTTTGGGTAGTGTAGACTAATCTACTAGTATGCTCCTTCGCCCCGCATGGGCCTCGAGGCGGGAAGTGTTGGGGGCTGCAACTTGGGGGCCAATAGGTACATTCATGCCCACCTAGGGCGTCAGCACTTATTGAGTAAGCTTCAAATTTCTTTATACCTTAAACCGCCACCCGCAAGCCATTTTTGTGGCTCGAGGCTAGTACATTGGAACTTCTGTTTTTATTATAGATACGAGTTGTTATTATTTGATAAAAGAAAAGTCCCTGCCTCGCTGAGGATTCATGGTACGTGACCCACTCCGATGCATCCTGCATACGCCCATATCTTTAGTTTGAACAGTGACTACGTGTCAGTGGTAAACCTGAATCCTGTTAATCAGTATCCTTAGTATGCAGGATTTGACACTTAATGTACTCCGCAAAAAATGGATCTAATTTTTGTCTCGACCAAAGACAAAGGGCGCTGGCTCCAAGTTCTTCCAGAGATCAGCAATAATGATACTCTTTCTGTATATCGCGCCAGAAGTGGTTGCATCCTTGAGTCGAAGGAATTCATCGGTTAATAAGATGATACCTATTTGTAACAATTCTAAAGATAGGGGGCAACTACAGCCGTGTCCACTTTCCGAATTTTGCTTGGTTTTTGTATTTGGCCCGCCCGAGTCTCCATACTTCAACATTCAAGTCTGTCAATCCTTGTAACAGTCAAATCTCCCTTCCTGCAGTATCACTGGCAGTTGATTGCTGGACGTTGATCATAATGCCGACCATTCAAGGATTCTTGACTCAAGCTATTCTTTCCGGGATCATTTTATTATTTTCCCGATTCCTGTGGAACTATCTGCGTTCTCCCTTAAAATCATTTCCAGGACCCTGGCAAACGAGCTTCACGAATATATGGCGCTTTATCGAGACATACCAAGGTCGATGCGAGCTTACCCACCTAGAGCTTCACCGGAAGCTAGGATCTGCTATTCGAATTGGTCCCAATGTTCTGAGTTTGTCGGATCCAGGCTTGATCAGTGAGGTCTACACTGTCAGGGATCCTTGGCTTAAAAGTGACTTGTACACTGTGAATGATATAAAGGCGAATGGAATGCGAATAAAAAATCTCTTCTCCCATCAAGATGAGAAGTGGCATTCAAAGCATCTTCGTCCCGTTAAGAATCTATACTCTATGACCAAAGTCCAGGATGTCGAACCTGCAATTGACGTGATGATCAGCTCCTTCACGGACAAGATACGGGAGAGGTTCACTCAACCAGGGAAAATTTGTCAAATCTCTGATTATATCACTTTCCTTTCATGGGATGTAATGGGCCAGGTCACCTTCTCTAAAGATCTGGGAATTCTTGAAGCGGGATTTGACCACCAAAATTTACTGGAGACTTCTTCTAAGAGTTTGGATTACTTTGCTTCGGTTCGCTCTACCTAAGCTATTTCGTCTTTTCTTTTCTGACCAGTTTTCTTCCAGATTTGCCAAATTCCGAAGCTAGATTTCCTGCTCGATAAGAATCCTATTTGCCGTGTTGGACCTCCTAGCTTTGGATGGGCCACAGGGTTTAGCGTTGGGCAATATCAAACACGACTAGCAGATGGAGATTCCATCAAGGGTCGGGTTGCCGACTATATGGATAAGTTCATTGCTCTCAAGGACAAGCACACGGACACCGTTGACGACAACACTGTGATTATGTACATGCTCTCCAATGTCATTGCTGGAGGCGATACGACCGCAAGCACCATGATCTCTGTGATCTACCATGTTCTGAAGCATCCAAACGTGTACAAGAAGCTGTGCGATGAGCTCCGATCAGCCAAACTTACTTTGCCAGCTCAATGGAAAGAAATCGTCAGTCTTCCATACCTTGACGCTGTGATACGCGAGGCAATGCGAATTAGCCCCGGCTTGGCCATGGTAATTGAGCGGATTGTGCCCAAGGGCGGGTTCTCACTTCCTGACGGCCGGTTCGTAGCCGAGGGAACAATCGTCGGCATGAACCCATACGTCATCCATCGCGATAGCACTGTTTACGGCGCCAATGTTGACTCTTTTATTCCGGAGCGCTGGCTCCCTGCAAAGGGTGAGTCAGAAGAGGTGTATGAATCGCGGGTTAAGAAGATGAAAGGGTCGCAGTTGAACTTTGGAGCCGGTCCTCGTTCGTGTCTGGGGCGTCACCTTGCCCAGCTGGAGGTATATAAGGTCATTGCCACTATTTTCACTGAATTCGATGTCAGTATTCTATCAATCGTTTTCTTTTTAATTTCTTTCTCTCTTCCTTGGCTAACCATGACTCATATCACAGATGGAGCTCCCGAGCTTGGACCACGAATGGAATGTGATCAACTCTTGGTTTGTCAGACAGGAAAATATTCCTGTTACGATCACTGAAGCATCCTGATCCCTGATACTTTGATCTATGTCTGACTCAGGCTGTTCTTACGTATGACTTGAGGCAAAGATACCACAAGGGCAGTGTACCGCGTAATAGTGTAAAATGCTAGGGTGATATGAGCTTTTACGAATGATCGGTTAACAATTGAGCATTTCAGTACGACATGTAGTCTTTTACTAGTCAGGTAGCTCAAATCTCTAAGTCTGCAGAGAAATCAAGTGTCATATATTCATCATATTTACAAATCGGTGACGGTAGTCTCACAGAGTATAGCGAAAGCTCGGGAGTCTCTCAATGATAGCCAGACCTTTGTCGGCCAGTTTGTTTTGCATCAGGAAATACACCACTGTAACTGTGGTAATCGCAACGATAAGGCCGTTTGCACTGCAGTCCAAATTAGTATGAAAAGAAATTTCGAGCTCAGTATGAGGAAGAACCTACGTCAAACAAGTATAAATTCCTGGAAGATACTTCGGCGCATCCTGAGATCGGAAAACCAGGCTTCCAACAATACCACCCGTACCTCCCAAACCAATCATACTAGCGCTACAGAAGGCTCGCTTCCATGCACCACGGATATTGTTCGACTGGAACACCATAACAGTCGGCAAGTTGGCGCTGCTACCAGCTGTCACTAGGATTGCACCAAAGTACTCCACACCAGCCGAAGATGCCCAAACCATGAGGCACAGTCCGACGATGTTAATGATGGCATTAAAATATAAGAACGGATATCGAAGGCGGATCTTGTCACTAAGCCATCCTTGGACGAACATGAGGATCATACCGATAATATAGGGAGGGGTGCTTAGGCCTTGAGTTTGAGAGGTCGAGTATCCCATTTTTGTCTCGAGAATGACGGGGAGGAAATATCCAATTGAGTACGCCTGCATCGTGGTGCATCTATTGGTACCCACATTAGTAAATGGGGGATATGGCTGAACATCGATTACCGACTCACAAGAAAATCATAGCAAAGGCCCAAACCTTAGCATCTAAAGCGGGCTTAAGGAATTTCCGGAATGAGAAATTGTCTAGATCGGCATCTTGGCGATCGCGATTAATCCGTCTGATGATATAGGCGCTCTCATTCTCTGTGAGGAACCCCCCAAGCCTCGGGGGCTTGTTCTGGGAAGTTGACCATGAAGATATAGCCAGCCACACCAATCAAGCAAGTGATAATGCCCTCCATGATGAAGATCCACTGCCAGCCGGCGCGACCACTGAGACCATCCATCTTGGAGAATCCCAGGGCCAGTACTCCGGAGAGTGCAGAACCTAGGACACCGATGAGGTAAAATATGGAAGTTCGCTTGTACAGATCATCTATCGGTTGTTAGCTCTGATTTCGGACGATTCCATTGAATGTCTGAGATGGACGGGTTAGACGAACAGCGTGAGTACCACGAGGATATGAGATAGTATTGGCTTGGAAAGCAACCAGCTTCCAGACCTCCAACAAGTATACGCAGGAGAATCAGGATTTTCCATGATTTGGCAAAAGCAAAACACTTCGGGATATTAGTCCTGTTGGATCAATGACATGTCGGGTGTATCATCTTACAATCATAACGATTCCCCAAAGAAGAACAATTGTCGATAAGAAGATGCGCGGGCCGACTTTACGAACAAGTATCGATGCTGGAAATTGGAGACAAATATAAAGAGGATAGAAGACGATCAAGACTATGGACTGTTTGGATCGAAGTTCAGGTCAGTCGAGGCACGTCAAATGAATAGCAACAGATTGGGAAGATACTCACGTAGCGGTTTCCAATCTCCAGTCCCAACGCTTCTTCCATTCTATGTGATCTTCGTTTAGTATTTTATACTCGAGCTCAGGGAGCAGACAATAGTCTTACCCAGCCACAGCAGCATTGGCGATGTTCGCTCTGTCCAAGAACGACACGGCTTGCATACATCCCAAGAGAATCAGGAGTCGTCGATCGACCTTATGAATGATTTTTCGCTGCTCTGGCACATTGTATTCATCATCTACGTCTGGATCCTGTTGAATCAGATACGAAACCTTTTCATCCTCGTTGAAGGTTTGGCACTCTGACAACGCCGGTAAGGGCTGTTCTGTATCAACCTTGGTGTCTGTTTTGGAACCCATGAATGCGATCGAGATGTGTAAGACAAAATTAACAGTTTCATTATATTAAACATTTTTATGTTAGTTTGGCAGGTCTTATGTTTGCCGATACGTAATTTAGTTCTTCGGTCCTAAAAGGGCCTAGTTGTTGTTCACGCTTGCTGAGCTCGGGATTGCGTCTTATGGCGTGAGCGGGAAGCTCTATGTCGTCAAGATGGGACTAGATCTACTCTATGCATTCTTTCTTCTTTTATCCACTTGGATCAGGCCAGTTATGAAACATCCATGGATATGAAAATTTAATGGGAATCTTGAAATCAATTGAATCCGCGAAGGGATTCAGTTTTTGTTCTTTTACAATAGCCGGTATTATCATAGAATCATTTTACTTATATTACCATAGCCGAAACTTGAAACTGGAAGATTCTAAACCTCAGTCAGATAAGGCTTTCCTCGGATTAATTCCGTTCAAGCCAATCGCGACTAAACTTATAAGGTTATCGGCAACGTGCCACGAAACGTGGGCATCTAATCTACTAGTAGCTTGGTCCGTCCGAGACTCCGAGTAATTGAGCCCCACGTCGGCATACTTGGATTTGTATGCTCCGTACTCGGAGATAGTTTTCAATTATTTTAATTATTTTAATCAAGCTCACAATTCCCATTGTGTTTTTCTTTGCCTTCTCATTCTCTTACCCTCCCCTTTGCTGCCTTTGTTATCAAGCTATAATCATAATCGGAACTTTGAACCAACTTTCACCATGACAGCAAACCCTTCCTTCGAAGATACGGCGGATTTTGAAGCAACAGACAGAGGATTCATTGCTGCGCTCGATGACGGCATCATTAAGAATGAGAGTGGAAAGGTGGTGTGGGATATCAACGCATGGGACTTTATGAAGGGTGAATGCCCCTCCACCGCGAACCCGAGCCTCTGGCGACAGGGTCAATTGAACTCCAAGCACGGCCTGTACGAAATTTGCGAGGGCATCTACCATGTCCGCGCATATGACTTGTCAAACATGACCATTGTCGAAGGAAAAGAAGGAATCATTATTATCGACCCGCTCGTTTCCTGCGAATGCGCCGCTGCCGGCCTCGCCCTCTACCAAAAGCACCGCGGCCACGGCCGGAAGGTCACCGGTATGATCTATTCCCATTCCCACGGCGACCACTATATGGGAGCTGCGGGAGTGATCGACGCAGACACAGAAATTCCCATTATTGCACCCGAGGGCTTCCTCGAGGCTATTATGAGCGAGAGCATTCTTGCCGGTCCAGCCATGCGCATGCGCGGCGCACGCATGTATGGTAATGCGCTGCCTCGGAGTCCAACGGGCCAGATCGGTACTGGTCTTGGAATGGGATCTAGTGTTGGAACTACCAGTTTGATCCCGCCGAATCTCCTGATCCAGGAGACTGGCGAAACCCATGTCATTGATGGTGTTAAGATCGTTTTCCAGATGGTACCCGGTTCCGAAGCTCCAGCGGAGATCAACTTTCACTTTCCTGATTTCAGGGCTCTCTGTATCCCCGAAACAGCGACAAACTGCATGCACAATATTGTTACATTGCGAGGCGCCCAGGTGCGCGATTCGAAGGCGTGGTCGGGATACCTGGATGAGGCAATTGTGATGTTTGGATATGATTCAGATGTCGTTTTTGGTAGTCATAACTGGCCGACGTGGGGTCAGAAAGAGCTGGTGACCCGCCTAGAGGAGCAACGAGACTTATATGGGTATATGCATGACCAAACAGTGCGATTGATGAATTTGGGAAAGACTGGTGTTGAGATTGCCGAAACTATGGAATTACCACCAGCTATCAATCGGGCCTGGCATTGCAGAGGCTACTATGGATCGCTGAGCCATAATGTCAAGGTATATTGTTATTATCCGCTCACAAAATTATAGTGCTTTCCAATACTGACATCGATTTCGACAGGGAATTTATCAAAAATACATGACCTGGTTCGATGGACGCCCCGAACACCTGTGGCAGTACCCCCCAATCGAAGAAGGACAGCGCTATGTTGAATGTTTTGGCGGTGTTGATGGTCTTTGCGACAAGGCCGAAACCTTCATCCAGAAGGGGGATAGCCGGTTTGCGGTAACTCTTCTAGCACACGCTGTGGCGTCAGACCCCGAATCTCCAAGCCCCCGCGCCAAGATTCTTCTAGCCTCGGCCTATGAAGCTCTGGGATTCGGTGCAGAGAATGCAACTTGGCGCAACTTTTATTTGACCAGCGCCCAAGAGCTTCGCACAGGAAAAGCTCCTGGTACCATCGCCGGTGGACGGACAGCGCTGGGTGATCAACTTAGTATCGATCAGTGGTTTGAGATTCTGTCTGTGATGTTGAATGGAGAGAAAGCTGCCGAGTCTTCGTTTGTAATCGACTTTGATGTGATGGATGTGAAGCAAAAGTGGAGAATCATTGTGAACAATGGTGTTCTGACGAGGCGGCTGTTGCAGACATCACACCAGCTGCGGAATGCACAGGAGATGGTCGCTGACCTTTCCATGGTTCTCACAAGGGCGCAGTTATTGGATGTTATTCGAGGTAATGAGGTGGATGTAGAGACAAAGGGCAGTGTTCATGCACTAAAGCAGCTTCTTGACTTAGTTCATGTGCAACAGGGCTCTGCTCGTGGACCGGGTCAGCTGTGAAGCAACCATAGATGAATAGTTTTAAGAATAGGTTATGAGACTTCATGCTCTTAGAATTGTACTGCTTTGCTCAGGTCACGAGTCATTGTTTTCTGAGCTTTATCATAAGAATATACTCAGGCTAGATCATGCTTGCCTCCAGTTTCTCATTCTTTGATAGTCGACACGTACACAAAAAGAGGATCGGGTCATTGGACCTGGTGTTATAAGAGTCAGGTAAGGTTATCCCAATATACTACCTGGTTTTCTAGGCGGTCAAATAGGCCTCACTATACAGATAAGGAAGGGACGAAGGATGATGCTCATGGAACACGTGAGGGAGCAGGTCGCAATTGCCTGGAAGAGTTATCTCACACTCACACTCACACTCACACTCACACTACTCTACTAGGCAGGTACCCATGAACTTCAACCCTGAAGCTCACGTTCTCTGAGTTCTCAATCTCATTACATTCTACACACTCTCCCACTTCCAACACATCAAGTTGATTCTTCAAATACACCTTCCAAAGGTCCGCTTTCTTCGTGGCGCACACGATTTATTGGTCTGCAGTAAGTATACAGCTCTTTAAATTTCATAGGAGAAAATTGAGAGTCAAGGAACAGTGAGGGAGATTTGGCTGACACCGATCCAGCGATGAGCAACGATAATCGTCGACATTATTCCAACCTACCACCGTACGGGACAGTAGCATCAGGATTTGTTCAAGCTGGCGTTTTCAACAGCTTCACTCTGCCTCCTCGAACTTTTGACAGTCTGTGGTTTGGCACTGGATGTATCTTCCCCGAAAAATTCATCCCTCCTTACCAGGATCCAGCGTCTCTTTTCAAGCCCTACACCATTGATAAATGTGTCCCAGCCAAGCGACTCGTTCACCGCGACTTACACAAAACCTTCATACTGTACACTGATGGTGCGTGTCTTAACAACGGGGCCCCGAACGCAAGAGCCGGCTGTGCATTTGTTTTTGGAAAGGCTGAGCAAAATTCATACGAGCCTACCTGCGCGCGATTTCCCCTTGAAAATAAGGGACCAACTGGCGAATATCACAGACAAACGAGCAATAGGGCAGAGCTCCGTGCTGTTCTTGCAGCTTCTCGGTTTTGCGACTGGCGTGTTGGACGGTTCAACAGAATGGTCATTGCAACTGACTCAGAGTATGTAGTCGAGGGCATTACTACAGGGCTACGAAACTGGATCCCACGTGGGTGGAGATTAAATGATGGATCGCCAGTCATGAATCAAGACCTTTGGGCGTGCCTTCTCGGTGAAGTTGAACGGTGGCACACATATGGCATGAAAATGGAATTCTGGCGCGTTAGCAGATTGGAGAACCGAGAAGCAGATCGTTTTGCAAGTATTGCTGCTTCTGAAAGGCGAGAGGATAGTTTTCAGGATCACAGGCTTGGGGTGTGATTGGTATGGCATTACAATGGTATGACTTTGATCACCTGGGCAGGGGCATCGTGTCATAGCGCCTGCTTCATGGCTCATCCTTTCTGTTACTTGACCATTCAGAAACTACTGGTAGCTTTATCTTAGCACTAAGAGAGACTCGGACTCAATTCCATTACCATTATCAACAAATTTCCACCTTCAACAAGTACTATTATCACAAAGACCTTACTCGACATAAACCTATGACTAAGATTATTGTCTGAACAACGCGAGTGCCCAGGTCACAACCTTTCCATTCACAGGACGGATAATATTCGACACTCTAATATTGTGGTGCAAGTGGAGCGATTGAGCTCGGTTTTACCAGATTATTCAAATCTTGGAATGAGTGAACTCATAGTTCAACTTTGGTGGCTGTATTGTCATCTGAATTTTTATTGGGCACTTCAACAATTTCAAGTTCAAATTTATGCAACATCTAATTATTCTGCAACACATGTGGCAATATGTGTGTCAGTGAGAGTGAGTATTTACAACTTGGATTCCCTGCAGGAAGAAAATGCTGCAAAGATGAACAAACGCTTCATATTCTCAACATAATAACCTACTATACAGAAATACCCCTATAGTCCTAATTAGGAAGCTTCAGTCCCTCTGGGTCTGTCGCTGGTAATGGGAGATAACTCAACCAAGGACCCCCGTTCGAGAAAGCGGCATACAGCTTTGCCTTGAGTCCGTCACTAACCCAAGGGACGATATAACGAGATGCAAATCTGAGAGTCCAGCTCGACTGCGCCTCATAACGCGTGATCTGACCGGAATTATTCACAACAGTGTGGGCTCGAGGCTTTTGACCAGCGACATATTGGTTGAAAACCTCGGTCAGTTGCTCAAGGGATGGCGAGGGAGTTTCCTTAAGTAATGGTACAAGACCATTGGTGAAACGAGCAATTCCTTCATAGCCCAGGTTACCACCCAAGCCAGGGTTGATTGTGGCCTGTCATAAAAAATTTAATTCAACGATCTTGTCCGATTCAGTAATACCTGGTAGGCGATTCTTACCTTATGAACTGCGTCACCCATCAAGACTACTCGGTTATGAGTCCACTGCTTGATGACACCTTCTTCCAAAGGTACCATTGTGGCCTTGACGCGTGCATCCCAAAGATTTTTCACGGTATAACCGGGACCCACAGCAGAGCTTCCATACTTTTCAATGTATGCCTCTGCATCCTCATCTGTAAAACGGGGACAGTTCGGGGTTCTTGTGAGACTGTCACTCTTGACGAAAAGGAACCAAAATACAAGTCCATGCACACCTGCAGCCGCAATCGCTGAATAGCCATCATAATAGACGTTATGAACCATAGCATCGGGCAAGAATTGCTGCGCTTCAGTATCATTGCGAGAGACAGCAAAGATACAGTTATATTCACTTGTGAAAGCTGGGTTTGGAGAGTTGTCAGTGATACAGAACATGAGAGCAGAGAATAGAGGAAAAAGGAAATACTTAAACCCACCTTCATTGATTTCCTTAGCGAGGGATTGGTCTGTGACGCTGATCTTATCGGCCATAAGTTTTCTCACTTTACTGTGGATTCCATCTGCACCGATCAAAATGCTGCCTTCATGCTGCTCGCCATCCTCAGTGGTGATGGTAACCCGATCTGCAGTTTCTTCATATCCCACGACAGCAGTCTGAGCATGAAGCTTGGACTTGTCTTTGACGTTGTTATGTAAGACTTCCAATGCCTTGCATCGCTCCACAAAAATAATAGGACGTTTGAGGCTATACAAGGTTGACGAGACAGGTTATTAGAATATTGGTTCAATAATCATTATTTGCTTCGATGTGAACTCCCATCCCATTACTACATTCATCCCATTTATCCCCCTCTGAGAAAGAAAAGGTGTTGGATGAAAAGTGAGGAAGGAAAACCATGGAGCCTCAGAGAAACAAAGATCAATCTGATCTCCCGGTGACAGAGAATTTCTGACTTACACATCCTGAATGCGAGCTATCACATGGGATTCCTCAAAGCAGTAACCCTTCTCATCATAATGATTCCGATCTTGAAGAGGCACAACTTGTTCCTCAATGTCTTTCCAAACACCCAACTGCTCTAGAATGCGAATAGTGTGTGGATGCAGTCCAATAGAAGCTCCTAGTTGAGGCGCAAAATCACCTTTCTCAAACAATTCATAATTGACATCCGCACGTTCAAAAGCCAAGGCCAGACCGAGACCCACGAGGCTACCACCCGCGATGAGGACCTTGAATTGACTTGTTTCTTGATTGGAAGCCATAATCGAGAATTACACCGTAACTGTGGAATCGAAGACCCTGAAGTTCCAGATGTCGAACTTGAACTTGAAGCGAGGCTTAAAGTTTTGAGGATTATCAATAAATTATAAATATAGTACTCAATGCCTGAGCATACGGGGATTAAATGATTTCTACTTATTAGCGGAGTAGTTTATACCCCTTAACTAATTTGTTTCCCATGCCCCTTTATTTACCTCTTTGAGATTTCGGCAATTGTCCAGGTTGATGTTGATTTTTTTTTTCTCTTTTGAAGTAGCACTAAATAGGTTTAGTTTTGGCTTGAGTTCGGTCATTAGAGAAGAAAAGAAAAGTGGAGATTGAATGCCGCGCATACCAACAGCACTTGAGCGTTGCACTAATCCAAACATGGTCATTAGAGGGTCATTATCCACGTTCATAAACTCAATTTGTGCATTTGCATTTGTACTTCAAGTTTTGACATCCCCCTTTCTGAACATTGAACTTGACTCCATAGAAATACTTTGCAGGTACTATGTATTCACAATATAATAGCCTTGTTCTAGCCGAACTTGCACATGTGAACCTTATTATCAATTCTACAAAGCTATTGTGTACTTCATACTACAATACTATTCTTAACATGGAGTAGTGAAACTGCACCAGACTCTCGGTCCTAGTGGGCTGAATTGTTCCCAGCGGCGACCACTTCCAGGGCACACGACTCCACAGTGGTCACCGTCAAAACAAATGAGGATCGACACCTATTCAACGTTCTCGAACAAATTTAAGATATTGAAGGCCATTGAGCTTTGATCTGCATTGGCCTAGATGGGAGGAGATTTGATCTAAACAGAAATAGAGAAGAAAAAAAGAGGCGAAAAGGAAAAATGCAGTCCCGGGGAAATGGGCATATCCTCCAGTTCATAAAACGTCCTGTGTCGCAGTTTTTTCCCACCTAGGGGCTCCGCACCTCGTGGCTTTTTTTCAAACTTTTAATTTGAATGCAGTTATCCCCTTGACGGGAGATTTCTGACATTCTCTTCAAGTCACCATGGCGATACCTCTCACATCGGAGGAGCGACATCGTCAATCACTCACATATGGCTTGATCATTGGCACGGGAATTCTATCGTTGATTGTTTGTGGACTGAGAGTAAGTAGGTTCTCCACTCGTGGGGCTCGAAGATGTGAAGACTTATATTAATCTATCTTTCAGCTCTATGCAAGGGCCAAAGTGGTTAGGACATTTGGAGCTGATGATATCGCCGTCTGTATTTTGTTGGTAGGTCATATGGACCCTTCAAGCTCGGATCAACTATGGGTAGTATTAACTTGACATTTTAATAGGTCATTACCCAGATCTTTAATGGTCTAGGAGTTGCCATTGTCTATTATGGAGAAGGACGACACTATACAAATGTCTCTGAAAAGGATCAAGCAATTTGGCTCAAGGTACACAAGATGATTGATTCATGATCCATCGAAAACATTGCTAATGACCTTGAAATAGCTTTATTATGTGGCAATGTGCCTCTACCTCTACGCGTCACTGTCCGTAAAGATGAGCTTACTGATCTTTCTCCGACGAATCTTCGTTAAAGGTATGTTCTTCACAATCCACTGGATCTCCAGGATTCACGCTAACAGAATCTACCAGCTTGGATGAACTGGCTCACGTTAGGCTTAATGATCTTCCAAGTTCTATTCTCAATCTCTGGCTCATTCGTTCTGGCCTTTCAATGCGATCCAGCAAGGTAAATAAACACTTCAATTCCACAAGAATTTCATCAAGCTTACCTACTCAATATCATAGAGCGGCCTACGATACAAGCGTTACCGGAAATTGTTATTCGCAATTCAAGTTATACCAAATCACACTATACCAAGCCGTGCTCATCTTCGTTTCGGATGTCATCATTCTCATCTCGCCGATGGTAGTCCTCTGTGGATTAAACATGCCTACCAGAAAAATCGTCGCTTTAATGTTTATTTTCGGATCAGGTGCGTCCAAGATTGAGTTTATCTCAAGCTAAGCTAATTGAGACCAGGTATAATTGCATGTATCGCTCCTCTTGTGCGCTTTAGCACACTGGATTATCTACGCCACGGCACAGAAGATCTTACCTGTAAGAAACTCTCACCTCAAAATCTCAATTGGATGAAACTTGAACTAATTTATGTTTTTCATAGACGACTCCGCTTCTTCTTTATACTGGATGGCCATTGAATTCAACATTGGTCTCGTCGCCGGTTCGCTCTCCTCTCTCCGACCGTTACCATTTTTCCGACGATTCGGATCGAGTAATGGATCACGATATAAGATCTCAACGGGCGATACACCACACGAACTTGCGAATCGAACTAAGAGTGTGAGAAGCAAGAAGCTTAGTCATGGTATGGGGACAACGATATTGGAGGAAACGGTGAATTCGAGTCAAGAACGGATCGTCACTGTTGTCAAGGGGGGATTTTGCATCATCACGCAGTGACCCTGTCTGAGTTGCGTTTGAATTCTACGATTCAATGAAAGAGGATAGGGTATAATAAGGAAAGGACATATATGTATTGCATTTAATAGTCTCCTGGGAGGTTGGCTCGGAGTGTATTGTATTGGCGTTATGGGATGGTTTTTATATCCGGGCATGCATTTAACCTTGAAAGGTTATACGAGAGAATTTGTATGAATTAAAAAAAAGATGAGAGATTTCTAGTCAATTGCTCTGCCCTATCAATATAGAGTAAAAAGCACTTGGTAACTTGAAGGATTCAAGTGACACAGCAAATAGTATGACAAGGACGATAGTAGGTACCTATGTCGGGAACCGCGCCGCGGGTAAAAGAGACAAGAATTTGTAGATACACGAAGTCGTAAGGAATGTCGAGAAAGGTGGGAATATAGAGAGAGTCATAGAGCAGCAAAAACACACGGACGAAAAAAAAGGAGAAAAGAACACAGGGAATGCGGAAGGGATGGAACCACGGCTAAAAGAATAGCTGGGATTTTAGGTGAAATAATAAAAGAAACAACAATAATTGTATCACACCCAGTCTCACATCATAGAGCTCCAGGTCCATCTCCTATTTGGATTTCATCGTATCGTATCACATTCATGAAGAAACGGAAGACTTGGCCGCATCCACCTGATAATCAGCCCGACGCATGATATCCTCCACGGGTCCTAACAGTCTCTTAAACCCATCACGACCCAAACGCGCCACCTTCACTTCAGTTTTTGTGACGATACTTGCCGCACGCGGCTTGTCGTCCAATAGAGCCAATTCACCAAAGTAGTCGCCCCGGTGGTAATTCTTAACCGAAACTCCGTTCTTGAACGCCTCAGCCTCGCCGGACTCCAAGAGATAGAATGCATCGCCAGGGTCACCCTCGTTGATGATAGTGGAACCAGCGGGGTATTTGATAGTATCCAGGGCATCAGCAATCTTCGACCGCTCATATGGCTTGAGGGACGAGAGAAGAGGGACCTCCTCCAAGAATGCCTCATACATACGACGCCGCTGGAAAGCCGAGTCCATCAGAATTCGACGGAAGGTGATGCGATCCAACGCCCAAAGTGTGCTCTTGGCCTCTGTAGAGATAACCGTCGCGGCACGTGGCGCATTGTACATTAGAGCAAGCTCACCAAAGGAGCCACCAGGTCCAGTACTGCTGACCTTGTTTCCCAGGCCATCGAGACCGGGTTGCACCGAGCCAGAGGGGTGAATATAAATATCAAATTGGCCCTTCTCCACGATGTAGAAATAGTCGCCCGCGTCTCCCTGAGATATCACTTTGATGTCTTTCGCGGGGATGGGCTTTTCAACGAGTGCGCTCAACACGGTCTTGAACTGCTCATCGTCAAGGTGTGAAAACAAGAAATTTCCACTGACCGCAGTCCTCAGTCGTGCCAGTTGCTCATCCGTCTTAGGATGGTTTGGGGGTGACCAACTATCAGTTCCAGCGGACGTGGGGTTCAAGGACTCTGCAGACACGGAGGTGCGACGACCCAGCGCATAATTGCTGGGGAAGCCTTGACCTGCGGGGCCCGGCGGGAGAGCTCCAGCCTCATCCTCACCCGGATTACCCGCGCCCGATCCAGGACCCGAGTCAAAGGGGCTCCCCCGACCGAACAGCGAACCTCCAAAGCCCTGTGTTCCACCTTCAGTTCCTGCGCTTCCTGCGTTCTCTCCGAAAAGGATTGTCCCTTGAATGCTACCAACGTTGGCCTGTCGAAAGGTCATGTCAGTTGGTGACGTCACCTCATATTCCTCCTCCTCCGTGATTTGGTGAATGTTGGGAGATTTATCACGTTTGGCGCTGGTGTTGACGAATGGGTTGGACCCCGGGAATGAATTGTGTGCCATGACTGGATGGGTGATCAAGGCCGGAGAGGCCGCCGCTCCGGCCACGGTGAAGCTGGAATATGTAGGTTTGGAGAGAGAAAGGTGTGACAAAAGGGGCCAGTAGAATGTGAATGACAGGTGTCTACTGTTGTCCAGACAAATAGTTAGAATGAAAGGAACTACTACGACCAATATATATGGGGAAGGAGGAGAAGCGGGAGGAGAAGCTGGAGGAGAAGCTGGAGGAGGGAAAGTTGCAGAAAGAAAAAAGAGAATGGTGAGTGACCAGTAGGAGGGGCAATCCCCCAGCTAGACGGGAGGGTGGGGATCAAGCAAGAGTCTTAATTGGAGAAGGTGGAGTGAAATGATTGTCCCAGACCATGTCTCTCCACGAAGAAGGTCTCGGGAAGGGGGGGTCTTTCATGCAAGACATGGATTATGGAAGATGACTGACTCACCTAGACTATGGGGTGGGAAAGCAGGGGAAGACAAAGTGGCGCCAAAGAAATGGGAAAATGGAGATCTAACTGGGACCGAGCCGAGCAGCCCAGGTCTCGTGCAAATCAATTGGAAGAGGATTAAAAAGAGGAAAGGGAAGAGAGAAGGAGGGGTAAAAGGAGGGAGAGTTGGTCTGAGCTTTCCCCGTCGATCACCTTTTTTATGATCGACGTCACTCTTGTTTCCTTTGGTTCCAACAAGTAAATGGAAAAGAAAAATGATTCAATGGATAAATTTGAATCAAGATCTTTTCACGGTTCTAAATCCGAGACATAAAAAAAGGGATCAAAAATGGACAATTCAAGGAAGAGACCAAAAGAAATAATACGAGGAAAAAAAAGAAGGAAAAAAAGAAGGTATGTTCCAGGTGTCTTCTAGAAACGAAGGTGATCACTGCATTGTCGCCACAGTGGGACATGGGGTGGCAAATGGGACCATCTGACTCTTGAAGTCATCCATTTGTAAATAATGTATTATATAGTGGAATATAGTGTAGGTCCACTTAAAGATACTTTGAATGGTGGATTATAAAGACAAAGATTGAATATGATTGGATTTCCTATTCCCTCTTAATTCTTTATTCTCCAGATGTCGCCGTTTGCGGGACATTCTACAGTACTCAAGGACTTGAAGTACTCAAGTGCTCTACGAGTACGAAGTACGGAGGACATTTATTTAGAATTATCTATATCTACTATTAGCAATTAGTCTTTGATAGTAAATTAATAATATAAGAATAAAATATCACTAGTATAATTTAGTATAAATACTATAAGTATTAACTAGTATGAAATGTATCCCCATATGGAGTACTTTTGTCGATCATAAGGGGTCAAACACGAACATCCCGTGACTCAGTTCATTAGGAAACGAACAGGAGTTAGACATTTTTATTTATGTATTATGCTACAAAATATAATAATAAATTGTATAAGTTAAGAGAGTTCGCTAATCTTCTACATTTGTAAATGTCGGTCTAGAAGATAGGACTAATGCCCAACCATGGTTCTAGTGGGACTCTCCGATATGATAGATAGTGTGGTAGTATCAGCATATGCATAGTTATGAGGAGTTATAGAGCTGGAGTATAAGAAGTTCAAGATAATTTTGAACTTGAACTGCAAATATAATCTCATTTCCATGCAGCTCTCACATTTGAACTGCCAGTGACTTACACTTGCATACCTGAGACTCTGAGAGCCCCGACTAGACCGGGCTGACCCTGACACTTGGTCTGTGTCATACCCCACTCGGATTTAGCCTTGGAGAAGCTTGGAAGCGCCCTGTTCAAGGTTTTCTCCCTTTTCCCTCTCTTCCTTCAGCTTCTTTGATTCCTTTCCGGTGATCTGTTCCTCGTGACAAGCATCGCAATGGGCAGTTACACGTTCCAATGGTGAGTCTTTCAATCCATTTTACTCGTTCTGATCGGAAGCGCGGGTGTCCACTCTAATGCGGAGAGCTCGAGTTCTTTATTCTCTGCCCCAACACCCCTACACCACCCGTGGCACAGACATATTACTATCCGGAATTGGATCGCTGACTGGACGGTTCCTCGCATTTGCATAAAGGCCTTATACAGCGAACGAGGTGTTCGTAACCGGCACTTTCGATGATTGGGGTAAGACGGTGAAACTGGACCGGGTGGGCGACATTTTCGCAAAGGAGGTTTCTCTTCCGATTAAGGAGAAAATTCAATACAAGGTATTTTTTCCATCTTTTTTTATCTTTTTTCTCCAAGTTTTCTAGGGATTTGCGCCGCAGCCGTAGATAGTTCAAACGTTGCGGTGAGCGTCCCTGCCTCAGGCTTCCAACCTAGGCTTTGTATGACGCCTTTCCTCACCACTGACGTCATTCGCTTTGTTCCTTTCAACTATAAGAACCAGTTGAAGCACGTCACACTAAGAAGTGAGAGAGAGGGGTACTGACTTTGTTTTACAAGTTTGTTGTCGACGGCACTTGGACTACCGATAAGAAAGTACGCGAAGAGGACGACGGTTCAGATAACATCAACAACGTCTTACTCCCAGAAGAGATCCAGACCCAAACTCCCCCGACTCAGACCCAAAACAACACCGATTTTGATCCCTCCAACCAGATTGAACCCACTGCCGCCACTGCAGCCATGTCTGGCGTAACCCCTGACTCTACGACCGCAGCCCTCGCGGCTAACGTACCCAAAGAACTGCCCACTAGAGAGCAAGTGAATGGCAGTCTCCCGGGCGCATTCCCCGACACTCCGGGACAGGAGTCCGACAAAATACTCTCTGTCAATCCAATCCCAGCCTCGGGTGGTATCGGGAACCCAATCAAGCTGAACCCTGGAGAGAAGGTCCCAGATCCCAGCACGATCCATGGCAATACCGTCGAGTCGACCGTGAAACTGGATCAGGCGTCTTATGAAAAGGGTGACAGCGTACCCCTTGGTAGCGCCGGTACTCAAAGTGACACAGCCGGACCCAGCGCATTCTCTCTGCCCCCTGTATCCAAGACCACCATCCCCGAATCCAGTCTACCTATGGGTGGACCTGCTCAGCGCGCGGCTACAACTGCAGAAGAGTTAAACCACGCTGGAGGTCCTGCCCAGCAGGCCGCCATGGCTGATCACGACTACACCATTCAATCTGCCGCACCAGGCTCCACCACCGCTGCCCTGGCCGCGCAAGTTCCCTTAGAGAAGGACATAGCCAACCAGACCAATGGCACTGCGCCTGTAGACGAAGTCCCAGCTGTGGTGAAGGACTCGATCGCCGAGGCCCATCGGGATCCCGAGGCGACAGCTAACAAGGAGGCGGTGGAGGAGAAGAAGGATGTCGAGCAAGAGCTTCAGAAGAAGGTCGATATTGATGAGTCCGCTGGAACCCCTGCGCCCACCGAGACCGCCACCCAGACCGCGAAAGCGCCCGGCGCGACCACTGCTGGCGCCACTGCAGCTGTTTTGAGTACCGGTGGCTTTGACTCCGCCAATGTGTCCCCGACCTCGAGCCCTCCTCCAGGACATGCAGCACCTACCTCCGCTCCACCTACCTCTGAGCCGAAGGCGGCTGAGACCCAGGCCCAGCCGACTGCGACTCCCGCTGCAGAGCCTGTTCCCGCAAAGGAAGTGAGCACCTCCAAGCCTGCTGAGAGCACCCATACCACTAGTAAGGAACAGAAGAAGAAGCATCGCTTGAGTGGATTCTTTAGCAAGCTGAAGGAGAAGCTCAAGTAGATGTGCCATCTTGCGACAATTTGTTAGCGACAGTCTCCTGAACATGCGTGTTCCTATCTACCCTTTTCCTTTTTCATTTTCTTTCTCATTTGGAGGGATTGCGATGGTTTGATTTGTTTTCGCTTGAATGTTTTTACCTGGATACCTATTTGCCCCTCTTGTCGCATTGTACTCCAGCAAGTCCTGCTCTAATGACCTCTGATATGTCCCCGTTGAATGAACATTTACATTATGATATTGTCCTTATTCCATTCAGGAGTACATCTTAAGATGATATTGCCGCACGTTCCAGTCTGTCGTATGCGTATCTGGTACTATGTACTAGGTATTATGTAAATGTAAAGATTCAAGTTTTAAAGCACTCAAGTGCTTCAAGTCGATGTCAAGTCCAATCCCAGACACCACCTTTGAAGCATCTCAAGTTTAGTATAACATTGAACCTTGGAACTCAGGCTCCAGTGCTGCCCGTGGTCTTTCACACACTGGCATGTGCACATGCATGTTCAAATGTTGTGCAGCTGTCCCAATTCCACCATCAAAAAGGTATAGCATTACTGACTTGCCCATTCAATTTAACCGGAAAGCCCAGCATACTAAAATCATGAACTACATTAGTACTCATTCAAGAAAATCGAATAGGAAGTCATACTCTCGACCAGTCTGCGTACACCCACAACCACAGAAAATAGAAGCAGGCCAACAAATCACCTAAATGGTATCAGTTACGATGATGCGATCCAAGATTTCAGTTCAACTTGAACATACAGCCGCGAGAATAGTAGAACAAAATCCTAAATCGTCAGATATAAGTCTTTATCGGAGATAGATCTGTTCGGTAGCCTCTTACCAAGCGTCGGTCCAACAACTTTACAATGGCATGGATTCTGATCGGTGCCACATTGGAAACAGATTGGGAAGATTGGGAAAAAAGGGACGTCGCACATGTTCAAGTCAGGATGGTTCAATGTTGTTCTGGATATTAAACTAGTAGATCATAAGGGAAGCTTCAAGTTTCCAGCGGAATCGATTGGGAGAGTCTGAGTTATTTCAATTGGCAGTCCGAGAGGCTCATAAGGTATTTGATTGAGTATTAGTAGCTCTTCACATCTGAAGTGATATCTTTCAAGCTTTCCCCAGATGCCGGATGGCACCGCTTGAGTTTGAATTCTATCATTATGACGCAGATGAAGTGATCTCGATCGGGATAATTGTGGGGATCTTCTATATAATGGACCTCGGGGCAGCATTTCGTCTCTAAATGTTCAAATTCAGAAAATTGATCGTTCTACTATGTGTAAATTTCGAATTCGTCCGAAGCTGCCAGAAACAGCGTCAGATGACGCCGAAGTTGGCGTTGCCGGCCCCCGGGCTTCATTCCACGGCCCCACGCCAACTCATCCACGCACCTGCCGATGCAGATTGACCCACCTGGTGCAGCGCTCAGGGCGACGGGCGTCTCGCTCAGGAGCCCATCACACGTCGGCGATTCGCTGCACACAACGCGGCCGTGAACTTGTCTCACCCACCACTCACCCCCGGCTCACCTTCCGCACCCCTGTAATGTGGACCTGCCGGTCGACACCTCCCGCCATGGTGGGAAAAACCGTGGCCTTTGCGACCTACTTCCGCTGGACGTTATAAATTGCTCTCGCCGCCCGGCCTCACTTGAACTGAACATGATTAAACCCCACCCCCGATTATTCAAATTCTACCTGTCTATACCACTCAATCTTGCCTACATTTTTCTCTTGTTGATCTCGGATTCATAGACAGGCGGTATGACGAAGCGTCGAAACCGGCATGACTCTGAGAGTGACTGCTCTCAACGATTTTGGACAGAGTCGGAGGCAAGCGACGCTGACTCAGAAACTGATATCTCAACCCCGGAGTCCTCTGTATCGATCCGTAAGAAATCTCTCGTCTTCCCCGCCAAGAAACGGCAGCGCAGCCAAGGGTCGTCAACTTGCACCAGCAGCGAATCCGAGAATGACAGTGGTCAAGCTGTCCACAAGAGGCCGAAGAAGAAGATCAGATCCAAAAAATGGCTGGAGGGCGTGAGAACTGTTCAAGAACGGAACTACCGAGAGGGAATTGACTCAAGCGCAAGCGATACGGGCGGAGGGGATTCCTCCACCGATCCAAATATTGAGTCGGATGATATTTCGTCTGATAGTGACAGTGATGGCTATGCTGATGGCACGAAGACCCAAATTACGTTTATGAAGGGTCTTTGGGAACGGTAAGTGAATTAAAACCATCGATGTTTTTTGAAGCTCTTTGTCTTATTTCTACATAGATTCTGCCGCAAACAACATAAAGCAAACCATTCATCTTTTGACTTGAAATGGAAGGACCCTCAAAATGCTCTCCGCGCAGCAGGAAAGAGAGAATTCACCAAGTTTCTCTACTGGTGTTTTCGAGTCAAGCACGGTAGGAACGGACGACGGAATAAGGGTATAAAAAAAGCTAGTACTCTTGACACATACTGGAAGATGTTTCTTCGCCATTACAAGAAAGCAAATGAGGACCTAATGTCCGCTGAGCTGGGACGAAGAATAAGAAAGGTTCGGCTGGAAATTCCCTGTGGTATACCTCTTACTAACGAAATGATTGCAAAAAGAGTATCCGAAAGATCGTAAAACATAAGGGGTTGATTACGGACGAAAAGGAGAAACCACCAATATATATTAAGGATGTGGTCCTTTTGCAGGAAATGGTTCTCCGCACAATGGACAAACGGTTCTATATTGGCCTCCAACGAATGTAGCAATGTCTCTACAATCTTATGGCTTACTTTACGGTGAATCGGATCAGCGCAATGAGAAAGCTCCAATACAAACATCTGCAGTGCTCAATCCAACGGGATCCAAAGGGAGGACCACCGCAAATTTTGCTTGAAATTACCTACAAATTTGCTAAGAAGCATCTTGGGGTGACACAAGGGTAATTTCTCATTAAGTAGAAACCACTTGGAAGTAGAGATGACTAATATTGAGCAGAAATACTTTTGTCATTCCCGAGATCATTTACGATCCGTCGCTTATTTTGAGCCCTTATGAATTTTTACTTGGCATTCTTTTCAACGACAATGCCTTCCGCGCGCCTGGAATAAAATCCCAGGACGACTTGAGAAGGCTTTGGCTAGAAGATGGCCGATAGCAGCTGCCATTACCGCTGAAATCAGAGAAATCAAATCATTATGTATTCTGCAAGGTTTAAGCAAGCCGCGGTACCATTCACGTTATTCGGGATCAGCCAATCTCGACTTCAGCTTTAAGCAAGTAGTATCAAACATTTGGTGAGATTGCTGGCTTTCCGAACCTATACATGCATTGCAACCGATACAGTGGCGGAACAATCCTGAATCAGAGTAGTAAGTTACTTGTCCCTTGAAATTTGTTAGGAGTTAAGAAAAAAAATAGGCTAAGAATGTCAAGGGCTTGTAAGCGATGCACAACAAAACTTGATCATGAAACATATAAGTATTTAAACTTTTTTGAATCATTATCTTCCGCGTCGTATCGGCATAGATATACAGGCTATGATGAGAGGGCTCAAGCCCAACTTAGCGATGATAAGAGTGGTCATCTGTATGGGGAGATAGGTCGACACCCGACGGCCTCGCGAGCTTACTAATGACCAGAAAGCGAGTGTTGAAATGATTCCGGAGCTGCAAGCTGCGATATACAAACGTGATAGCTTCGCTCGGAAACTCGACGAATGTGGCAAAAACAGTCGCAAAGGATTAGATCGACTCGAAAAGCTCAAGAGGAACGTGACGAACACATACAGCCGGCTACTATACGATCTTCGCAAGCACGTGAGGGAGGAGTTTGACAGCAGTCAAGCTGTCAAGGACAGCTGGTCACCAGATGGAAGCCGGCTCGCATCAGCATCCGATAAGAAAACCGTTAGAATATGGGATCCAACTACCGGTCAGAGCATATTAACTCTCAAAGGGCATAGTGGTCCGGTATTCTCGATTGCCTGGTCGCACGATGGAAGCCGACTAGCATCGGCGTCTTTCGATAAGACAGTGAGAATCTGGCATCTGGCCACCGGCAAGACTATGTCAACTCTCAAAGGGTACTGGGACTGGGTTACCTTCATTACCTGGTCGCAAGATGGGAAGCGACTTGCATTAGCATCCGGTAGTAAAACAATTACGATCTGGGATTCAGCCACCGGCCAGAGCGTGTCTTCTTTCGAGGGACATAGCGGTCTGGTCCGCTCAATTGCCTGGTCGCCAGATGGAAGCAGAGTCGCATCAGCGTCTGATGATAAGACAATCAGGATTTGGGATCCGACTACCGGTCAGAGATTGTTGACTCTTGAGGGTCACAGTGACTCGGTCATTTTGATTGTCTGGTCGCCAGATGGAAGCCGACTCGCATCGGCGTCTGATGATAAGACAGTCAGAATCTGGGATCAGACCGCTTTTTAGAGCTTGTCAATTATTCTTAGTGGTCCCATCGACTTCCTTTATTTCGATGAACTTGATTCGAATCGTCTACACACGAGTATTGGCACATTTGACGTATCTTCAATTGCTACTACCATGCCTAAATCCCATACCCGAATCTCACTGCCTAATCTCACTGCCTGGGCGAGATCGATATGGCTTAAGTGATGACTCTTGTTGGATTACTTTCAATGGACTCAACCTTCTGTGGTTGCCTACCGAATATCGACCGGTCAGTTCCTCTCTTTTTGCTGTATTCGCAACCAAGTTGGCCATCGGATGTTCATCAGGTCGCGTCACTTTTCTCGTGCTCACAGAGAAAAACCCTCTCTCTGGACTTTAGTCGGTGTGATATTCCTCGGAACCCTATACCTTTATCCGTTTCATCCTGAATAGCCCATAAGTACCTTCTAGAATCGTCCTTCACAGGCCGAAGTAATGAAACGCCGGTCTGTCAAATCGGGACTACCTGAATAGTGCAACAGAGAGTATTGGTATTGACGCCGTAGATCAATATGTTGATACGCGCAGGGCAGCCTGTACCCAACCACCTAGGAGAGAGTGCGCGCGAACTGGCGCCCTGGAACTCATCTGCCCTACTGGTTCGATCGCATGTCGATTCGTCAGTCCGTCGTCTGCTATCTGGTGTTGCCGCCAACGAGACAGTCAGCTACTTCGGGCGTTGATATGAAAAGTTCTCTTGGTAAATCGCTGCTCAGGGAAGAGGTCTCCGAAAATACATCGAGAATGGATACGTGGGGCGTCCGGTGTCACAGAGGGATTAGTTATTGCTTTTGAAGGGGATGATAGGGGGGCCTCATGAAAATGGGAGGACTTGAATATTGCTTGTGTATGTAAAGTACTATCGGTCTAACAAAACTGTATATGTGAAAAGTGAGTCTACCATAATCTTCCATTAAAGCAGGTCCACGCCACCTTATTACCCCACATTAGAACTCCAGATCACTAAAGACAACCCGCATCATGGCGCCCTCTAGCGGCAAAGGATCGAGAATCTTCTCAACATATGCTGGCCAGTCGTCAATCCACTGCAATAAAGGGAAGATATGAGCATATTCCCAGTATGAAGGATACCATCCAGCCGTTTCCCAGTCCACAAGAGCAGCTACCTCATACTCTTCTTCATTTGTGACAGAATTGACGACCTTTCTGACAAGAACGTTCTCTCTGTGGAGATCTCCGTGGGTGAATGTAGGTGGATGATTGCGAAGTACTAATGGGAGGTGGCGAGCAAGATAGTCGGAGAGAAAGCTGTGGCTGTTTGATTCGCTCCACATATTTTTTGAGCGAAGTGCGATGGCTTTTCCGAATTCTTCTTCCTTCTGAAATGGACCGGTAACAGCAGGGTCTAATTCACGGGAAAAGAAGTACCTATGGGGAACGGGTCCGCGATTGACACTGCCATAAAATCCGAGCGATGGTAACGCTCTCATTTGATCGAAGATGCACCGCAATTGTCCAACAATCGAGTGTTTCTTTGCCTCAGTGAGCGAAGGCCACGCCATTGCTAGAGAAATGCCTGGGATGTATTCCATGACGATATACAAGGTATCCCGATGCCGGTACATGGCGTAGAGTCGTGGCGCTGCGATGTTGAGTCGTTTTTCAACAAAAAGTAGAGCATGTCCTTCATTCTCAGTCACAAGTGGGCCATGTTTCACAACATATTTTTCTCTGATTACGACCACGCGCCCACCATAATCTGATCTCTTGGGAAGGGTTCGTGTTGCTCGTTCAATTTCATTCTGATCAGGAAGAGGCCCTGGTAATTGACCAGCATCCCGATAATAAGGGAGAGAGAATGACATGGTTGGAGGGGCGACGTCTACACCGCCCGTATCCAGCAGAATAAGGCTTCGTCGCCCAAGTTACTGCCAACCAGAATAATACGCCAAGACAATGACAGAGTAAATAAGCCGCTCTGTATTGGAGTATAATCAACGAGATTTTTTTAATCAAGTAATTAAAGAGGAAATAAAAATAGGACAAAAAAGAATCAGAGGAGTGTTATCGTTAATTGATGATCAATGGTCTATTGGTTAAAACTAGGGCCTAAGAAATTTATCGGTCCTCGCAAAGAAGAGGTGCCCACCGAGGTTACTTCAATTTGAATCAGCAAGAGGGCGGTCGAATCGATTTGTGGCTAGCGATTGTAATTTCTATTTGCACAATATTGGCCGTTGTATCTTCTCCACCCCGAACTCGGAATCATACCAAAGTTCTGATCATGTTTCGCCTCAAAGTAATATCCATCGGTAATTTTCTGAGTACTGTTACCGAAAAAATGTATTGCTCATATTCATTGCGCCGAATATCCCGCTATGTGACAATACGCCAATCCATACCTTCATTAAAGATTCTGAGGCGCCAGCGGTTCATTTCCGGTGAGCCCTCTTTTTTCCAGAAGAGCAGCCCGATCCTCCATATATGCTTTGTAGGGCGCTTTCGGGACAGTCTTGTCTTCGTCCTCCCATACTTGATATCCAACCTCCTCCCAAACTTGAAGTTGACGAGTAAAATTCGGGCTCGGTTTAATTCTTTGCTTTGATTGAACAAATTCCAATACTTCCACTTGCTGCATGCAAAATTTGCGCATCAAATAGGCAATGATAATCGTTGGCGAGCGCGATATCCCAAGATCACAGTGGATTAATATGGCCTCCGGAGGTGCTTCGCCCGGCCCATCATTCGTATCGTCTTTGTGTTCGAAGGTCAAGGACGACAGCAACGAAAGAGCCGGGGATGCCATCTGGTCGATGAAATCGCAAATATCGCTCATATGAGCAAGGAGGTCTTGCGTCGACGAATCAGCACACTGAATCCATTTGTGACGATGTGCCGGAACGCCTGCCTCTCTCGTAGTAGTGTTCCACCACACCCACCGAGCATCAGTGAGAGAGACGATTGCGTTGATACGATTTTCTTGAAGCAGCTCCCGTTTGTACGACGCTTCGACATTTCCAAGAAAGAGACCAGGTACAATCTGCCTCACCCGCGCCGCGAACGCCATCTCCCACTTCTTCTTCCTAGACTTCTCCATATTCTCTCCTAATTTATTTTCGCCCGTCGTAGCTTGTCAGACCCTTCTCCTTCCGTGGGATTTGTGAGAGACGAGTGGTGGTAGATGAGAGACTGATCGCTAGAGTGGGGTTCAGGCGGATGGTTGGACCCCATTGTTTTGCTTAGTCATTCAAAAACTCTCAGAAGCCCCCTTTCGCAGATGATAGATGGACCGGGAAGGGCCAGCTCTGGTGAAGCTCATGCCACGATGTCGTTCTCTTACCACCAGCGACCATTTTTGCTATTTCAGAGCATGCTAACTGAACTACTGGGGGACGATACGCTCCTCATCTACAGATACGTGAGGCCCTAACATGACTCCTTCGTTCATCGTTTCGGGGCGACGCACTGCGAAGAAGTGGGTCAGACAGCTACGCGTCCCATACATTTTGCCCCGATGCACGTCGGAACTTCAAGGCTCGACCTGTTTCTATCTTGCTCATCCTGGTCAGGTAAAGGGACGAACGTTATTGCCTCCGATGTGGGGACAGAGATGATCGTTCAAGCCCCACTCACAGACATGAATAGCGCGTAAAGTAGGAGCAGGGTGGGGCTCTCAACACTTGTACTAATATTAGTTAACTACAGTAGCGTAGTGGGGGAGACTGCAATTGCGCATCGTTGGTGCGTCAAGGATGAAGGGTCAAAGCCTTCAGGCATCAACGGCTCCTGTTGGTATTTGTCGTTTTTACTGTGATTTTATATTCAAGAATCTAATTCTTTTGTTGGCCGAAACTGACTTGTTTCAAATAAATCAAGTCAGACGTGTTGGAGCTCCTGGGTCCGTTTTGTGGACAGAGATCTCTCGGGGAGCCTCACATCCACCAATGAAACGTATCCCTTTGCCGCCCTCTGCGTGCTATCTCAAGTCTGAGTTCAATGGGGGCATTAGGTATCAATTATTTAAGCCTGACCTTCTCCAGCCAAACCCAGCCTCTGGAAAAAGGTCTTATTTCTCAAAGCTACACTGCAGAAACATCTACCCCTCAACCAGCATGTCGGATATCCAAGAATGCCAAAGCCTCGTTGCCCAGCTCGGGGGCGAATATAATAACGAGGATAGAACCACGTTCATCGACATCACTCCTGAGAAAATCCTCCAAACTTCAACGATGGCGCTTTGGGCGCAGTCTACTTCAGGCCAGAGGCAAATCAATCTGGGCCTGCCTGCTGTAAAAACCTGGCTGAAAAATCTCGCGGCCAATGGGCCAGGTCGTGCCGAGACGTACCAAGGTGTCACATACAAATTTGTCAAGCGTAAGTTTCTAAGTGATTACTTTCAAGGTCCACAGCTGATGATTCAAAGAGGAGCCGAACAGCCGAACCACCACTCCCTTATCGAGCCTGGATTAAGTGGATGGGAAATCATGATCGAGCCTTTTCGTTTTACACCCGCCTCTTCCGCCATCATCCTTCTTGTTAGCACCAGGACAGCAGGTGGGTACGGAGGAGTAGGCCACATTCATAGGACGAACAAGCGGGGTCATTTCGGGCTGCTTAGGGTGGACCAGCCTTCGTATTCAGTAGTTATTGCAAATTGAATTTTTGGGATATCACAATTTTGCATACTCTGCATACAACTACAAAGTCGCAACCGGAGATTCATCAACAAGCAGGTGCCAATTTTCATGTGGCTTCCGCTGGAAATTGTCGCTGTTTCTTAAGAGTCTTCTATGTACAAAACAAAGGTTTAGTTCCTCATCTTTGTTTTTTTGCGCCGTATTCTTTTCTGTCCTTGTCCATATCTTTGCTGTTCTCATCTCTTCATCCAAACACCTGGCAATCTTATGTACGGGGAGGGAAACTGTGAATCATATCGTGAAATTCTAGCTATCTGAAAGTTCAATGAGATTACCCCTTCTCCCCCTCCAAACCCGAAACGAAAGTTCTCTGTTGTAGTTCAAAAGTTGAATAGCCAAAGGAAGGGTCATTGCTCGTCATATTCAGAGGGAAATATGAGCCTATATATACAGCATGAAGAACAATTTGATTTCCAATCGACTTTATTCGGCTCATACTTGTTGAAGAGGTTCGAAGAGCCAGAACCCTTGGCCAACTCTTATTTGGTATGCAAGAGTCAGTGTTCAAGCTCGAGACCTCTGCAGCTTCGCCTCCAAACTGATATTCATCAGGCTTCCCTGATCAAAGATTCATTCAAAAGTTGACCATCCTGAATTGTCACAATTTTATCATGCCCAGGTCGTATGGCACTGAAAATCCCATCAATCTTGTGGGCGATCATCACAACCGTGTGGGTGGAGAGGTCATCGACTAAAATCCCATGAAGGATTGATTCAGTCTCAGGGTCCAGGGCGGAGCTCGCTTCATCTAAGATAACAATCGGCTTTGTAGATACCTCTGACCATACACGAAGCAGCATCCGACACAGTGCAAAGAGCTGCAATTGACCAGTCGATAATGGTAAAAACAATGACATGGGCATGTCAAGCATGCTCGTTATTTCCAAGATCTCATCTGAGCTCACATGAAACTCATCAATCGAAACAGATCTGAGCTTCTCCCAAAGTCGCGTCTTTTTAAGCGCCCTAATGATTGCATCTTGAGAGCTTGTGTGATAAGGATCCAGGTTGAACCTTAGGGTTGCTGTTGGGATATTGAAGCCATCTTGTGGCACTGCTATGATCCCGCGTCGACGCATGGCAGTTGAGGAAATTCCAGCAATATCGACATTGTTTATTTGGATTCTCCCTTCCCTAGGAGTGAGAAGCTTGAGTAAAGAAAGCATGAGTGTACTCTTTCCACTACCATTAAAAGCAGTCAGTCCCTTGAATTCCCCAGGATGTTCCGTGAGACTCGGAATTTGCCATTGTGGTAAAGATTACATACCTTCCCGTTCGGCCCATGATAATAAGGTTTTGTCCAGCAAAAACGTGAAGAGACATATCTCGTAGGGCAGGTTCCTGAGACGAGGGATATGCGACTGAGACGTTTTCTATCAGTGTTTCACCTGACAATGGCCACTGTGGGCCTGGATCCGAGATTTCCCTGCCCTCGTCCTCAATTAACAGAGAATCTTGCACGTTCTTCAATCGAGATACAGCTCCCAAAGAGGTCTCTAGCGATGCCCACGATTGAACAAGTTTCAAAAGTGTTGTGTTTGCCACTATGATAAGGTTGAGAGCTAATCCAATATCCGCCCCAGTTGTAGTGTCTCTATATCCGATCGTGAGTGCAATAAGAATGATCGCTATCAATGCAATTAAGAAATCCAGGACAAGCTTCAGCCAACATTGCAGAGAAAGAAGGAGGTACGAAGGTTTTTGGGAATTATTCAATGCTTCATCAAGTTTGTGCTGGAACTTTTGTTGCCAGCCAAAAGCCCGGATCGTACTTGCGCCGCTGGTCTAGGAATGTTATTAGACTAATGTCACAACATAGAACTGGGAGATACTGATGTACATACCGTGTCAACAATAGTGGTCAAAACATGCGACTTGGACTCCAGATCAAGGAAGCGGAGTTGCTTAGACGTTCGAAGGTAAACTCGCTGGATGAAGTAAACGAAGAAAAAACATAATGGAACGGTCATCGCCATCAGACGCTGCACGCTTAGTATGAGAAATACTTGCGCTAAAAGTTTGAAGATCTCTGATAAGGATATTCAGCGCAAAGAAAACAACCTTGAGACATTTGTGAGAAAGTAGAACAGAGAAATCTTACGTGTGTTTAAGTTGGCAAATGCAGGAGGAAGTTGCTTGTCAATAAGAGATATGTCCTGGCTAAACCTAATTGCCAAGGTTATTGGCAGGCCAAGATCAAAATTTAGGTATCTCACCTATTCAGGGTAACGCCGACTTGAGTTTCTGTGAAATATGCAAGAGGAGCCCTTGTTCGCGTTAGTTGACTGCCAAAAATCCTGTGAAGATTTGCAGACTGTGGAATGGGGCGAACCGAAGAATTCTATCAAGCAGCTGAGCATGGAGCACCTCTCCTGAACGCAATGCAATCTTGATTTGAGTTGACCTAGATAATGTTAAAAATTGAGACTCCTGCGATACAGTAAATATGAACTTTACCACATGGTACCATTTGTTGCTACCCATGCGATACCTGACATTGCAGCGTAAAAGCACATGTAGAATCGTAGGTCCTCTAGAGGTGCCTCAATAGCCCACTTGAGTACATAATGGGAAAATATCAGGGTGAAGGAGTATGTAGCGGTACAAATCGTCATAAGAAGGGCATTAAAATGGCCAACCGAATTCAGATAGAACCCTATTTCAATCCTCTGTCAATATGTAAAATTCAAGGGAAATATTTCCAATGAGATCATCCTACCGTAGATCGCACTTTCAGCACTTTGAGACATTCTTTTTGCAGCATCCTGCGATCGATAAGTCCAACTTGGTCCATTTGAGCCTTTAGAAATTAAATTTCGATCACTATCAGACGGGATTCCTGACGAGAGGGGAGTCTTTGAAGAAGGGTTTGGGTCTTCTTTGTCAAATGCTGCTTGGGGGTAGGCCGTTGAATCTTTTAGTGATACTACCTTGTCCGCAAATTGATGGAGTGTTGCTTCATTTGTTAGGAACCCTGCTACTTATCGACCATCTGGATACTTGACTCACTTGAGTTGCCTATCAAAAACACGGTTGTACCCATTCGCTTGAATAGACCCCCTAAGCCGAGAAGACTTCGTATGACGTGATCTCTCACATCTTTATCGAGTGCACTGAATGGGTCATCAAGAACTAGAAATTCGTATTGAGAGTATATGGCCCGAGCCAAAGCCTTGACGTCTCAGTCAATAGGACATGGTTCGGATGGAATGTCAGGAAACTCACAATGCGCTGCTTCTGTCTCCCTGATAGATTTATACCATTATTTTCAATCATGGTTTTGTCGCCATCAGGAAGCTTCTTGAGGTCAGGAAGCAATCCACATGCATCAATTGCCGTATTGTACCACTCCAAATTTAACTCAATAGCCTCCCCACATATTGCATCGCAAATGGTGGCAGTCGGGAGCCATAGCTCTTGCGCACAATACGCAATATGCTTTGCTGGCACCTGAATGATTCCGCACGATGGAGTTGTCTCGCCTAGAAAGGCCGTTGCCAAAGTTGTTTTACCGCTTCCCACAGGACCGACACAGAGAAAAATATCACCTTTCTCTATATCCAAGGAGATATTCCGGAGAATGGGCAAGTTTTCTGAAGCAGAATCGATAGTCACATTATCCACCGAGGCAAATTGGTGCGTGAACCGTCCAACTGTGCACTGACGGATATCCTCGATTAGAGACTTGGTAAGATAAGACTGCACTCGAGCAAAATTCGCCATTACAGCAACGGCACGAGGAGCTAGGGTCATAACCATGTTCGCTGGGTGTGTCACCATCGCCAGAAGAGCAACGGAAGAGAATATTTCACCAGCCTGCATAGGCCCCTCACTTTGCGATGAGGCTGCATAGAGCATTAGTGTAACCACAGGGGCAAAGATACCAAGTGCATTTGCTAGGAGATTGTCACAGCAAGGAAAGAATGTAGTTTTTCGAGTTTATTTGACGTACCACTTGCATTATATGCCACTGAAATCCACCTCATTCCCTCCGAAGTTTGTAACTCTTGATTTCTCAAGTACGAAATTTGTGTCTGAATTGCTTCTTCCATGCCTAGCATTTTAAGACTTTTGATGCCACTCAATGCGGATGTAATAGTTGCAATACGCCTTTGAGTTGCAAGATTCCAGTGTTTTTGTTTACCCTCCAGGTGATTAGCGACGTATACACTCATCCTGGAACATCCTGTTTAGCTCTGTTAGTACTTTAAAGCTAGGATTAGGATTCGAAAATAGTGGGCTTCACCAAATATTATGATCAATGGCAAGAATGCAAGCCATCCTACTCGGGCTGCCAACATAAAAGTTCCAATAATCACTTCAAAAAGCTGAGCCCAAGTCTCGTGCAAGATCTCTCCTGTTGATTCGATGCTTTCAATATCGGACCCCACCAGAGCCAAAGCTTCGGAGCTATCAGAGCTCATCGCGGGGACCTTTAGTGAGTGGTTATGAACAAGGCTGATCATACCTCCTCTGATCATGATTTGTAACTGATTGATTCGATGCTGGTAAATGGCCGCTGAAACCTGGGAATTGTTAATTCAAAATTCATCAACTGAAACTATACGCTATGTGTCTTACCGCCAATCCCATGTAGATGACTGTGGCATAGCCCACTAAATAGGAACCTTTTCCTGACGATGAGTCCCTGACAAAATCAATCGCAATGCCAATGAAGATAGGTTGCAAATAGCGGAATACAATAAGCGAGAGTCGGGGCGCGATCGGAGACAGAAAAGCATATCGAAATGAATGCAACAGCACAAATGGCAATGTCCACTTCTTGATAGGCTTATCTTTCAATAGCATTAGTGTAATTTCCTTCATAGAATGGAGTGATCTCACCTCTTGCTATCCATGCAGCCAAAAGCTTCTGTCGGAGGGTCTCAGGTCGTAGCTTTGAGTGGATCTCAGGTAGACTGTGAAGTGCTAAATAACCTGTGTACCCTTGCTGAAGCACCGGTAAAACCCAGAAGAAAAAGACACGACTCAAAAGCCCAGCTTCTTCCTCTAAGTTTAAGGATTCTCGATTTTGATCAAAGCTGGGTCCTTGGATCTGAGAGTGATAGACCAACCAACTCAATTCCCAGCATGCTCGAAACTTGAGGAAGTGAGATTTGTGCCAGTATGAATCACTCAACGTCGCCTCTAACATAAAAACGATGATATCTCTCGCTAAAGAAAGGGCCAGATAGACCATTAAAGCTTGTCTCGGCTGGAAGGTTCTGGTCTTTTCGAGCAGTGTATTGACGAGAATCCCGGTCGATGCAATGAGCGAGATTAACGTCGTAGAAATCGTGATAGGTTCGTGAAATCCAGAAACAGAGTATACTCTCCAAGTCTCCGCGAGATGAATGATGAAGAAAACTATCGGGAAGACCTGGAACTTGTCAGCGGTCGGATGCTAAGTAGCTGTCCCGCCGAGAAATCATACTTTATCTCGACTTGGACGAGTGTATAGCGTGATCTTTCTGGATGATCTTCGGATAAGGCGAATTCTTCGCCATAATTGAAGAAGAATGATTAACGACAGAACGATCGTAAATCCAGTTATATTTGGTTGTCCTAAAACAACACCTCTTTACCTTTCCAAAATGAGGCGTTGGGCGATAAAAAAAATCCTCGCCATACTTGTTCTGGTTGCGTTGCTATCATTCTTCGCAGCCTCTGATCTCTGGAATGCACTTTTTCCTGAGAATGTCTCGATTTATGGACCGGCACCACTTGCCCTCACAAAAAATGGGACCTATGCCGGAATGCGAAATGATTATCTTGCTCAGGATCTTTTCCTTGGAATGCCTTACGCCTTACCACCAGTTGGCGATCTTCGCTTTGACATACCCCATGCCCTTAACCAGTCTTGGAATCATCGGAAAGAAGCTAAAGCCTATGGGCCTCACTGTTTGACATATGGTGTAAGCGTACCGTCCGCTCTAGGTAGACAAAATCATCATTTCTGATCAAATATACAGAATAATCGTACAAGATTTCCTCAGTCTGAGGATTGTCTGACTATCAATGTTATACGACCACATGTTCAATTTCCACAGCTTTTGCCGGTTGCAGTCTTTTTTTATGGCGGTGCAGGAGTTGGTGGAGGGTCCAGTGATCCTCGTTACAACGTTTCCTTCCTCGTTGCCCAATCAGCAACCTTGGGAAAAGCCTTCATTGGTGTATCTTTGAATTTCCGTGCGACCGCCTGGGGCTTCATAACAGGAAACCAAGACGGTGAACATGGAAAGACAAACTTGGGGCTCAAAGACCAGCGCCTGGCACTGGAGTGGATACAGGAAAATATTCAGGCTTTTAATGGAGACCCACAGAAAGTTACCATTTGGGGGGGGTAGTTCCGGAGCTTCCAATGTGGGAGCCCATTTGATAGCCTTTGGCGGACGTGATGACGGTCTTTTTAGGGCGGCCATCATGCAAAGCGGCTCTCCAATAATGGAAACATATCTTCCTGGATTATCGGCCGAAACTGCCTACAACAAACTTGTTCATCTGGCAAATTGCTCACATCGTCAGGCCACGTTGTGTTGTTTACGCCAAGTGCCATTTGCCGATTTAGACAAAGTGTTTGAAACTATGTCGCAGACATACCCATCAGAGCTGAATGCACTGTCACTGCCAGCAGTGGACGGGGAATTTCTCCAATCTCTTCCCAGCATTCTTCTTAAAGAAGGGAATATCATCCCGGTACCGATCATCATCGGTACGACGACTAATGAAGGGAGCAGCTTCATTCCAGATCGGTTGGATGAGCCTGGTAGACTTTTACGATATCTCACCCGTGAGTATGTCCTTTCAACTAGTGATCTCTGGAGGCTCACTGACATAAAAAGGTGGTTGGCTGTTCCCAAAATCGATTGCGCACAGGCTCTTGAGTCTATACCCTTTATCCGAGGATACAGATCACATCATCACTCCATCTTTCGGGCTAAATGATAAGAAGTTTCTTCAAGCCTCTACACTCATCGGCGACCTTGAATTAGTTGCATCGCACAGATTGACTTGCGAGGTGTTTTCAACACATACCCGTTGTTTCTCGTTTCGATTTGACGCAGTGCCGTCTGGCGGGGATACCATGCTAGGAATTGAAGCCGGTGTGACTCATGGAGCCGAAATAGGACCCTTGTTTCAAAACAAGGACGGTATCGGATTTACAAGAAACCCTTTTCTGAATCAGAGTCCCCCCCTACTCCAAGATGTCTCGAATCATGGGCGAAATGTGGATAAACTTTATCGTAGATCTTGACCCAAACGGAGTCTCTGGCACAGGGGTGGATGGTGTAAAATGGCCAGCCTATAATTTAGAAGATCCTCAAAATATCGTGTTTGGAGACCAGCTGCCTTGTGTAACAGAGATGGACACAAAGAGAAGAGAAGGCATTCGGTACATAAATAGTCTTAATCCGGGGATTATTGGAAGATAGATCAATATTTACCGACTTTACATAGCGAGCAGGGTTTCCATATAAATGGATTGACGCGCTGGGCAGCGATAGAAAATTAGAAGCTCGAAGTTTCTATCGATTTCTCATCCTTGAGCTGGTTCTCACCTGGAACCTAAAGACACCCTACTGACCGTCAGCAGAAACGTCTCCCGAAACACTTATAAATGAGGGCCTGTAGGAATGCAAAGAAGCCTGGATATGACAGCTGCCAAGTTGGAAAAGCATATGCGAGATGTCATGGACAGGCTACTGGCGAAATCAAAGACAGCCATCTCGTCCGACGAAGAAGCTCAGGACCTGTCGAGATTGCGCGATGAATAGGAAAATGTCGGGCAGTGCTTGAATATTTGCTCCCGGGCTGAGTATTAACATGAGGGAGAACTTCAGTGTCATCGAAAATTATGGCACCGGCGACACTTTGCAGTTCATGGTCTCCACGAACGCGAAGAAGCGGGGGTGGGTCGGAGGAGCAGGCATGTGGGAGGTTACTTGAGCAACGAATCTATCCAGCGGATATCACGAGACTTCGCAACTATGCAGACATGCCATCTGAGGGGCGAAATCTTCTTTCTGGAGGCTGGACTATCACCCAGTACGGAAGAGAGGATGGAGGAAGAAACGACGGCAGAATTTCCAGAAGGATTTGGACGAGACTTTACCCTAAAGCCGGTGGCTTCGTCGAAAGCACACACGTCCGGAAATAAGCAATGACTGGGCAGAAAAGCTGAGGAGCCGAGTATCTTTGTTTGTACTTTTTATACTCGTTCATTTAGTGTGCTCTTGGTGCTTTTCTCCCGTCGGGAATCTAGGTTATCAAATGAATCACTTCGATTTACAGTTACCCCTTCTTTTATATAGAAGCTTTATCAAATCCGTATACAGAAGTTATCAACTTGATCTGAAATTGAAAAAAATATGAAACAATAAGTTCTTATATAGCCGAACCGGGGTCTGTGTGGTGGCCGCGCAACCAGGGGCGATTCTCACCCGCTCTCACCCTATTCATTGCGCACTTACTCTTCTCACCCAGGCCGTCACGGATAAGCCACATGCCGGGAAAAGAGTATCCCTGCAGACCGCAAATTTGCCTCGGCTTACCTTCCTGCAGTTCGACCTTCGATCAAGCGATTTTTGCCATTCTTAGAAAGGAGGCCCAAATGGAAAAATTACTAGATATACAGATCTATATTTCAAGTATTATTAACAGATTTTGGTCCGAGGTTCAGTGTTATTTGCGGGCCTCGTGAGACTCGGAACCTTGCCAGACTGGATCTGATCAGATGCCAGTGGATGTAAGCAATTACCCCAACTTGAACTGATGCAGCAATTATTTCCCTGGTACCACCTGCAGATTCGACAATGATCCTAGATAGAATCTTTTGCTAAATATGTACCTGGAGTATGCACACCCGCATGTGACATATAAATAGGTCATTCCTAACAAGGCAAAGCCACCTTTATCCCAAAAAGGAAACAAGTGAGAGACGCACCGCCACACAACGTCGCGGGGGGGGTTAAAGTAAGCCCCGATTCTATTATATAGCTGATCTCAATTCCATTTGGACCCCAAAAGACCGTTTCAACCTGAAAAGAATACATTTCCCTTTCGTCTCTTCTCTCACAGTAATACCCTTAAACGCCAACTATCCTTTTCCCGATTCACTTGGCGCTCACGGAGAAAAGTACGCGCACACCGTTAAAATCGTGATTCGTCTCCACCTCGATCGCCCCTCAGACAAAGCCACACCAAAGTTCCCCGACTCAACTCAACTCATAACTTCGAACCTGCCACCCTAAAAAATGGCGCTGGAAAACTTCGTTCCTCTCGCTCTGCTCCTAGTTTTCGTGACTATTCTCGCTGTGGTCGGGTACGTTGCGTACACTATCGCTCAAGATGTGAGCAAGAATACGCGCGAGAAGATGGAGCGCAAGCATATGGTTTTTACGAAGGATGGAATGAAAGTTGAGGTTAAGGAGATGCAGGATGAGGAGTATAAGGATCGGAGTCAGAGGTATGTTACACTGTGTTTGCTGGAAACGGTTCCTGCGTTGGACGATGGGATTTCCAGATACTTGGAGGGACTGAGCTAATCTTCTGTTTCTAGTGTACTCGTGAACATGTGGAATCATACTTCCTTCCCTGCGTACAAGAGTCGACTCTGGGATATGACTGGTTCTTCGGGTGCGAGCACGGAGGCTCATGTTGAGAAGCGCAAGCCGTACGTTCTCCCCGCTTTGTACTTTCGGATGTGATTTTCTTTTTTTTTGTTTCTTTGATTGATTCAGGACTAATTTGTACTTTGGGTTAGGCACTCGAATTAAGCATCCTACGCTTACCCGTGATTGGGTACGGTTCCAGCTATCGAGCGACTAGACCAAGCTAGGTCCCTGCAGAACCCTCTCGATTATCACTCTCCGATCTGGATATCCACTTCTACTGTCGATGCAAGCTTTGCATTTCACACTTAGGCCGGGATCTACAGATGAAGCCTTATTCTTTTCGCATTTCGTCCTTTCATATTTTTCCTTTTCTCCTTCTTCTTACTTTTTCTTCTCATCATGCGTTTGTCTTCAGACTCATGCTTTCTGCTAAACGCGTTATGACAATGATCATGCCTTATACCCCGAGATCCCTGCGCATATGCTACAAACATCTTCTTGGTGGAGATCTTGCGATGGCATTGCCATCTTGAATTTATTGTTTTACGCTTCGCTCGCTATCTTTGAACATGGTACAGACATCTGAATTAAAGCATTTTCTCAACATAACATCGTGGTTATATTAATTATCATGGAGTTACACTCCTATTAGATATTTTGCCATAAAGTTCATGTTTACATCTCGGGAATGATCCATTCGTCTTCCCTTTCCGTATATCGTCAACTTTGACATATCTTACATGTCAGCGTAGTAGCTGTAGTCCTGGTTCAGCAGGTAGAAAGACTCTGGCTCTGGCTGTCCAATACCTCCTCCCCAGGTCGGGGTAGTCAGAGTCTCAGGAGTGTCAGTGCGACCCTCAGTGGTAAAGATGGACTCGAAAGTCTTGGCCCACTGCACACGGTTGTTAAGACCCTCCAGGCTCCAGAGTTCCTGCAGGAAGTGCAGAATAGAGCTGTGAGTGTAAGCAGAGTCGGTGGCATACATGGTGCCTTGGTCGTGGATGAGGGTGTTGGCAGTAAGGTAGGGGGAGATCAGGAAAGCAGGAACGCTATAGAATCGAGGTTAGCATCGGGGACTCGTAAACAGACTTTAAGAAACGTACCGAACTCCAAGACGGGTGAAGTCGTAGGTCACGTTGTGGCCGTCAGAGGTACCGTTGAAAGTGATACCATCTTCAGGCTGGGGAATGTTCATAGGAGGGGGAACGTGGTCAGCGAAACCACCGTGCTCATCGAAGTTGATGATCAAAAGGCTGTGATGAGTCTGGTCAGAATTTGCAATATAGCATTCATTGAATGTGGACTCCAGGCTTACGCGTTGTCCCAGTACTGGGAGCGACGGATAGCATCGTACAGATGCTTGATCATCTGCTCACCAGAGGCCATGGGGCTAGTTGGGTGCATGGAGTCAATGGTGCAGCATTCCGGGTTGATGTAAGAGAAGGTGGGCAGAGTGCCCTTCTCGAGATCATCGTAGAATTCGTCTGCGTGAACCAGCTGGTCCATGGCGTTGTCTTGAACCCACTGCACAGGGTTAGTAACAGATCAAAATGTGCCGCGAATGCTCTAAAACTGACCTTGTACATGTATGCGTCAATGATATCAGTCTCGTAGTACTATTGATCCCATCGTTAGCTGTTGAACTATTCAAACCAAGTCAGGTTATTTCATACATTCTTCCAGGTGATGTTCTTGTTGGTCAAGGACTCGAAGATTGATGTGGCACAGGTAGTACCCGTCACATTGTTATACCAGCCAGCAGCTTGGTCGGTGTTGTCAACGAAGCCACAGGATGATCCTGAAGTCGCAAACTGGCGGTTGACATTGGTTGGGCCGGGATGTTCCGCGTGCTGCATGATCCTGTTAGCAATGTTCCCTGTATTGCCTATATCTCGTTCAACATACGTAGGAATCGAAGAAGGCAAAGTTCTTGGCCAGCTCAGCAAGCAGAGCCGTCTTCTTCTCGTCATAAGCCTTGATGACGAAGGAGGCATCACCAGGAGTCTCGCTGTACTTCTCGGATTGACGCTCAATGAAGCCTTGCATGGTAGGCTCATCATCGTTGGTGGGGTTCCACTTGCGGAAGATCTCATAGCTGACACCGGCGAAGTTGTGGTCGGGATCTGTCAGGGGAACCTCGGTCTCGTATGGCGCAGCACAGATCTCCAATGGCTCTCCATAGACAGTCCAGTTGGGGTTGGTGTACTCATTACAGAAGTTGATGTTACGCAGGTTATCAATATCTGGGTGGAAGTCCCAGTATCCCGCAATGTTATCGAACGAGTGGTTCTCCAGGGTCAAGTAAATGACATGCTTGATCTGTTGTTTTCAGACTGATTGTCAGATGTGTATGTACTTTGTAATTTTTTACTTTGACTGTTGACACCACTCACATTCTTGCGCAATTGGGTCCACACTTGGGTGTTGTCCGTCGGGCGAGCCGATGCTCCCGCGACCAGGGCCGAGAGAGCAGCTAGAGTCCAAGCTGACTTCATATCTTCAGAGGATGTGTTTTATTTCCAAAATTCGCTCCGAATCCAAATCTCGCGCAGTCTACGAGACAGCAGGGAAACCCCGACAATTTATAGTGGAGCAGATCATTGCCCATGCTGTTATGAGATGATCGCAACTGCCTTGAAAATGAGTCCATATTCTTGGCTTCTGTCGGAAACTGCCGTCTCTCAACCGTCTCTGAATATTTTCGCAAAGTGGACACGCGCCTTGTCTCTCTTCTCAGCAGCTATCACCGAAGCTAGAGTGAGCACGAGGGCGACCTCCGACGCTAATTGCTCATATCGGGAAGAAATAATTCCCCCAGGGAATGAGATTAAAGCCTATCAATGCGGGCGAATTCAGCACGATACACCCGACCTGTGCAACTGATTCCCCATCCTTGTTAAAGTGGGGGAGGGAATACACCCGATAAGGATGCATCTGACCTATTCGGCATCTCCGGTTACTCCATCCTGCGTGCATTTTCAGGTGAAATAAATCATTTCGTGATGGTTTTCATTATTGTGGAGTAATATCAGGGGCAAGATGCAGATATTCCGTACTCCGGTAATTCCTACGGATGATCGGATCGCGTGTACCTGCTGGCATGTAGCTTCTAGAGCCTATGTTTTCCGCTTCGATGCAATCTAATCGCGTGGTGGTGGTGATGACTTTGTGGTGCCTGGCGAATGGAAATGAAGATGGTGGGTCAACCCAAGATCCACCGCTGACAATAATCAAGATATAATTGGTTATATGGTATCATTAAGCACTAACGGACCCCACTGAAGACTCCACTTCCAACCATTCATGCTGGTGATCTCCTCGAATCAGCGTAGCACGTGCCGGTGGTTGCATCCTGCGAGTTGAAGCGACTAGACCAGGACGCCAAGCACGTTTTGCCTGGAAAGGCTGTGATGGGCTTGTGTCTCCGCACGAGCATTGTAACCTTTTCCAAGCGAACTGCCTAAGTGCACTTTTAAGTCCGTCCATTTTTTGTTGTTTTTGCTTTTCCACTCCTGTCCTCGTTCAACCTCCTACTTTCATCCCTTGTTTACAATGTCCGTTACTTCAATCAGCGGCCTAATGTCTAGTTACTCCCCGTTGTCCGATCGCAGTTCGTCTGTCGATGAGGAGAAGGAGCAATTTCGATTGACCTCTGATATTGAGGCCGGCGATAAGCAAAATGGGGACAAGAAACCCGGTCGTTGGATTGATGGTCGTACCGTCTCCGATGCCATCATTGGATTGTCTGATGGTATGACTGTGCCCTTTGCTTTGACAGCTGGTCTGTCAGCTTTGGGCGATACCAGAGTTGTCGTCTTTGGTGGTATGGCCGAGCTCATTGCTGGCGCAATCTCCATGGGACTCGGTGGATATCTAGGAGCCAAAAGTGAAGAGTAAGCACCCCGCACCAGGAACAACCCCCCCAAAAAGCAAACCTAGTGCATGAACGACGATCAATATACTGACTTGATGTGCAGAGAATCATACAAGGCCACATTCAAGGAAACCCAAGCCCAAACAGTGACCGACCCTGGCTCGGTGACAGGCACCATCGCCGATATTTTCGAGCCCTACGAGCTACCATCCGAGCTGGTCTCCCAACTTACTCACCACCTTTCCGCCTCACCTATGCTTCCTTCCTTTTTGATGAACTTCCACCACACAATGCCTGAGCCATCAGGTTCACGCGCTGTCATATGTGCATTGACTATTGCCCTGGGATACTTTATCGGAGGTTTCGTACCTCTCCTGCCTTACTTCTTCGTTGGCCCACATGATGCATTCGTTGCTCTGCGCTGGTCAATTGCTACTATGGTTGTTGCTCTCTTCCTCTTTGGCTATAGCAAAACCTGCTTTGTGAGCGGCTGGCGCGGTCGCCGCAACATTCGCAAGGGTTTAATCGGTGGAGTTCAAATGGTCCTTGTTGGCGGTATTGCGGCTGGCTCTGCCATGGGTCTTGTGAAGGGTTTCCAGATGCTGGCTCATGGAGGACCAGATCACCCAGACCACGAGTAATCCTCAGCAAGGACTGTACCAAAATTTCATTCGTTTCTGAGTTTTAATGGGTCATGGCGTTGGGGTATATGGGCATCCGAATGATTCAAATGTTCAATGATCGGACCAGGCGTTCAGCGAGTCAAAGTGTCTTTTTTCATATAGGGTCTAATTAGCTAGAGAGGTTTTGGGATCAAGTAGATCCTGAGGTTTGGATTATATATGTTCATTCCTCGAATTCAACTTTTTCAATGAATGATTGATCTACATCCATGGATCAATAGTAATGTCCAGATGCGCGGAGTAAGCTAGTATGCAGTGTTATATACTTACAGTACTTTAACATCAAGTTGAGATGATAACCCCGGACTCTGAATGTTTGACAGACATCCATCTGAAGACTCGGAACCTTGAACATCCTTTCAAGCCACTTCATAGTACGAGTCACGGCTAGTACTAGGTAGTAATCTAATTTATTAGATGAAAATATACATATGTAGTACTATGTATTCCGGTGTTTAGCCCTCCAGGGCTGGAGCTACACACTGTGCAGATAGACTGAGAGGATCATGATTGGTGTACCATCTGATCAATGATCTTCAAGTTCAGCCCGATATTTGAGGTACATGTTTATTAAACGATTTGATCTCAGAAAGATTATCGAATCAAAGACTTTCCCTCGCCCATCTGTCAGTTCTCAGCTCTCTATTTAGCGTCGAAAAGTTGCTCGACAAGTTGAAATCTACGTCATATTATTGCCAGTGGATGTCGAAAGACTCAATGACCAGCTAGATCCCCTCTTGCATCATTGCACGTCAGATCAAAGCCGAAGACCTGCTAACACTCCAAATGCTGCCCTATTCCGACCGATGAGTGGGTGGATGTTCACTAGCAAGTAAGGGTTTTGATGTGCGATGCACCCAGCCTTGAAAACAATCCATTCCAAACTTTAGACCCAACCTGTATTCGATCATTGAGCTGTATTGTAACTTGAAGTTATTTATCCTCTTTATTTCATAACGAAACCAGCAGTTGACCTTACCAGCCTTAAAGCCTATGTAGGTAAATCAGATGCCAGTGATACCCCACCAGGGCGGGGATATGGCATGACAATCCATATCCCGTTGAAAATATCAAGCTATGATCTACACCGGATGTCAGCCTCTTGACAATCGTCATATCTTGGACGGTAAAACGGTGAGCCTGAATTGGGCTTCAATGTTCAAGATTGTGGTGCAGGGCTGAAACTCGTCAAGAATCCTGGCTGTGTTATGCCAAGTCAGGATGTTGTGCTGCCGTAAGGGGGCTGAGGAACAAGCCCCATTGGCATAGCCACTTGAGAGGCACGTTTGGGGAATGAGAACTGCGGGGTTAGTCTGTTACTTGTAATTTTGGAATTGAAAGTGTGTAATTTCTATCTTGATCCATGGATGCATCTGAATTGCGTGGGCTCGGAAATCCCGGGCTATGTAGTGCGTAATTGCGCCCTCTTTGCGCGACGGCACATGCTACCAAGTTTGGAAGCATGTATAGAATGAGTAATAACTTCTTTCCGATCAAGATAAATCGCACTCACGTGTTTGAGATCTCTGATTTCGTCCTATTTCTAGGTGCATTCGAAGCAATTTCCAAGTTAAGCTCTATGCACCGCTACCTACTAGGTAATATTCCTTGAGTCGGGATGATCTTTACCTTAGAACACTGTCCTTAGTACCAGTGATATAATGTTAAAGTTCTATAACGTCTACCTAGTATGCACGAGCACGGTAAGAATAGATTCAAACGCGCACGTGTGTAATATCCGATCACTACAATTTCCTAGACGAGGCAATCTACCGAGATAACGCGCCAATCTTGACATCTCTGCCAAAAATAAACCAGTCAACCATATTGAATGTGCCGTAAGCGGCCCCTCGGCCCCCAGTCCAATCTCAGTAAGATACCAATGATTTCAACCATTCTTGCAAATATCTCCGGGCGAATGCTGACTTCATACGTGTACCCATATATGTGGCGCAGACACGTCTTGAGTTTGACAGTTCATCAAACTAAGTGAGGGACAGTCTCCCTGCTGGAAGCCTTGCCATGTACATTCTTGGCCCGGATCCACTTTACTCCAGGCAGCATCCGACTGATGAAGAAAGCCTCTACGAGTACGAGGCATACCTAATTTGGGGTGGTATCTTGCTTTGTAGTATTACGCTGTCATGGAGGATTATTATATTGTTCGTGACATGAATGTTTCAAGGAAATATACGGAATTTTAGTCTGGTTGTTACTTCCTCCTGATTGGTCTCGGGTACGCGAACGTTGATATCTGAAACGTAAGCTATCAACTTGTTCTACATTCAACTTCAAGTTGTACTCTATAAGGATACTTCCTATTATTGACTTGCTCTTAAATATAGAATGAAATCAATATTCGAAAAAGCTTGCTATTTGTTATGCAAATCGAGTTTGGGCTTTCATCACAAATGTATGGATTGACAAATACATACTCAAATTGGCCCTTGATTCAAGGGGGATTTAGATTTAGGCGAAAGTGAGGCTGAATGGATCATATCCAGAAATGCACGACATGAATGTGTCCCTGGCTCAACGATTCTACTATAAAGCTATGACCGTTGAACGCTCTGCTCGCACATGTGCAGTGGATACATAGGTCAACTGGAGCATGGATAAGATGAAATATCATGGATACGAAGCAAACATTAGTTCAATGTGTGTGATATGAAGCTGTCACTTCCCGTCTGAGTTGACATGCAGGAGCAGGAACGGTACTTGGTAAGATGATCAGTATCCACCATTGAAGAGAAATCATACAATTATTGATGGGTCATTCGCTAGTCACAATCACTTAGCTCGATCAAGAGCATGGACCACCAGACTGCGAGTGCCGGAGAATATCAAACTTGAATTGAAGCGGTCTGATTGATAGAATCATCCTGGTCAGCCCCACTGCGCAGGTACTGGTTCAAGATGTTTGATATAAGCGGCAACGCAATACCCGAATGCCGAGGGAGTTAATGATGTAGTGGCGTTGTATTTGCGGAGTACACGTGTACCCTTAGATCACTGGTAACTTGTAGCTTGCATTGTTTTTTTCTTCTGATTCTTGATAGATCTTTATGCAGTGCCTGATCGGAAATTTACTCAATATATCGCGCAGATAATCATACTCGGAGCTTTGGCCCTCTTTGTAAAGCCGTGATTGGCCCCAGTCGCGCGACAATGTATTCTGAAACTGGGGGCGACAAGCTAGGCCATGATCGGCCTGAAAGATATTTGGCCCCCATGAAAAGTTACATTGTATTTGAGATTCAAAACGTTGAGAGGGATTTGAAAATGAAAATAGAAACGGGGAGGCTGGCATCTCTCCTGAGACAATTCATTTTATTCTTGATGGGGACATGCACATCCTCATCTACTTATGGGGCCCAAGACTAAACCAGAACCGATAGTGTTGTATAGTGTCACATTGATCAAGCTGATCATGTATTTCATTCGTGCAGAGCACCGTTATTGGGACATGCACCTGCCAGTGCTCTATTGAACTTTCGGGGAAGAAATTGAGCCACAGCAAAGCCACAAGGTTTCCCCGCGACGATGATCATTTTGTCACTTGAGCAATGCCGAAGAAGACATCTAGACATATGAGCAAGTAGCAAGTTACTCGTGGACATGCTGGTCCCTGGGGGAATCATTTGTTTATGCCGAGTACTTCGTACCTGTAAGCTCCCCTTGAAATCACCAGGGACAACTGGTAATACGAATCCGGCGTGTACAACCGTGGGCTAAGCGAAATTGAGCCAGAAGATCTGACGCCTCCCGTTGGCCATTGGGTCTGAACTATGGGGCCGTAGAAGGGAGGGTGGGCCAATCGGTCTTCTACAATGGATCTTATATTGAAAATTTATGAAATTTGTGTCCCCAATACACCCCTGATGTGTACCTAAGGCTCTTAATGTCCCTGAGTTCCATGGATCCAAATGAAAAATGAAGAGAAAAAAAAACATAACATACTCTATTCAGCACTCAGCCTTGAGAGTATTGTCATCGCAGTGTATCAAGTCTTTTTGGCCCTTTGATCCTCTTTCTTTTTATATCTGGTACGGAGTATAATTTTCGTACTCATTCCTTACTTAGGTTTAGTAGTGTTGATTCATTACCTTAATGAGTTTCACTTCAACATGGAATTTTGGACTTGAACAAAGGTAATCAATCGGTTGACTTCATTTGACCTCGGTTTCTGTATACTGAACCGGATTTGATCACATAAACCCCGTTGTGATCTCTCATGCATTCTCTCGGTCTCCGTGATTCCGTTCCGACGCATCCGCCCGGCACAGTCGGGATGACCTCGTATTAGAATACTAAGTAAATATCTCTACGAAGTGCATAAGAAATAGGAGAATTATCTTAGAGAGAGAGAGATTAATTCAATGTTCAAATAGTTTAATAATTTCATAAAGTGGTAGAGTAACATAGGCCATAGTACTCTCATGTAGTATGAACCAAACCTCCCTAAATCGGGTATGTCGTATAATAGGGGCCAGAAAACTAGTGACGCCATGGACTTTGCGGCGCCAAACTTGGAAACACTTGTAATACCAATACACCGAAAAATTACTTACACCCTCACTCTCTCTGCCCAGGTGCTTTTCTTCATCCTTACTTATCCTTTCTCATTTCCCCCCTTCTCATTTTCTTACTTATCCTTCAGGGCTCGGCGCCTTACTTCCAGTCTCCTCACCTCCTATCCTATGCCGATCATCTCCAGCTGATTTTACTCTTCTTCCCCGAACGCTACTGCGAATTCCTTCCGTCTCATCCCGCGGTATCCCTCGAAACTTATTCACATACCCCCCCTGCTACATTCGAGTGATTACTTGAGTCTCCCCGAGGGAGATCCATTCCGTGAAGATGAACGCCTTTCCATCATGGAAGGATCGCACGCAAAATCAGTTCGGTAAACTTCAAATCCAGGTGCCATGGCGCTCATTCCAGCTCTTGGTGCCGCATCGCATGCGCCGCAAGATCCGCTCAAAGCTCCGGAGTCGCATATCACCAACTTCGTCCATCGCCAATTTGCAGACATCGTTCTCTCCAGCCGATACTCTGCGTTCGCTTCAATCCCACCGATGGACGATGTATGATTTCCAGTATCTACTACTGCTTATAATCGGCATCTTCTCCCTGACTGTCATGCAATCGCCGGGCCCGCTGGCTAAGACCGCTATCTCAACTCTGCTTCTATTCTCTCTATTGATGCCCATCACACGGCAATTCTTTCTCCCTTTCTTGCCCATTGCTGGGTGGCTCATTTTCTTCTACGCTTGCCAGTATGTTTTCAACCTCCCCTGGATTTTCGCCCCCACGTGACGTTATCATTGCGCGCCCACGGTGGCATCGCACTGTGAAAGAACACGGAGGAGATGCACGCGCTTTGACAAGGGAATTAGCTAACAAATGCTGTAATAGGTTCGTTCCGAGCGATTGGCGACCTGCAATTTGGGTCCGAGTACTCCCTGCTATGGAGAACATCTTGTATGGAGCCAACATTAGCAACATCCTGTCAGCCCACCAAAATGTCGTCTTGGATATCTTGGCCTGGATTCCCTACGGACTCTGCCATTATGGCGCGCCATTTGTCGTCTCTCTGATCTTGTTCTTCTTCGGCCCTCCGGGTACCACTCCGCTCTTCGCCCGAACCCTGGGATACATCAGTATGTTGGCCGTGACGATCCAGCTGGCATTCCCATGCTCGCCACCATGGTACGAGAACCTTTACGGTCTTGCCCTGCCGACTACTCCATGCAGGGAAATCCCGCCGGTCTGGCCCGCATCGACAAGCTGCTCGGAATTGATCTGTACACCTCCGGCTTCAAACAGTCTCCCGTGGTCTTTGGCGCTTTCCCATCCCTCCACGCTGCTGACTCGACTTTGGCGGCTTTGTTCATGAGCCACGTTTTCCCTCGGTTGAAGTTCATCTGGATCACCTACACTCTGTGGATGTGGTGGGCGACCATGTACCTGTCTCACCACTATGCGGTCGACCTTGTCTGTGGTGGCCTCCTCGCCACCGTGGCATTCTACTTTGCCAAGACTCGTTTCCTCCCGCGCATCCAGACCGACAAGATGTTCCGCTGGGATTACGACTACGTGGAAGTTGGAGACTCCTCCCGCCAATTCGGTTACGATCTCGCTACTCTGGATGGTGAATTCAACCTGGACAGCGATGAGTGGACCGTTGGCTCTTCATCCTCCGTTTCCTCGGGCTCGTTGAGCCCTGTGGATGACCACTACGCTTGGGAGAGCGAAACCCTGACCTCGAACCACGACATTGAAGCCGGTCGCTAATTCCGGTGACGTTTCACTGGATCAATCCGTGTTCGACTTGTTCATTATTGCATCTACTCTTTTTGAAACGGCGTTCTACCCTTTTTTTCACGACAATATTGGGACACATTATCTGCATCGAACCATTTTCGACACCTAAAGGTTTTTAATCCTATTGGAAACCTCCGGTTTGCGCGGTATTTCATCCGCTCTGAGCCGAAGGTCACCTTTACCTTCTGGCTGTACATGCCTCGTCACTCTCCCGCTGGAGTGACAACCCCCTCCGTCCATAATACTAATTCCGGTGGCGGACCCTGCTCACCTGCCTGGGTTCTTTTGTGCCTCGTCTCAATCGCCACTGTTTGGAAACCTTCGCTTGTACAGAATCGGGTTGTTCCCCTTGGAACAATCTGCACTTATTATTCACTTCTCACCTATGTCTTTCGCTACGACCTCTTTTCCTGCACGAGCCACCCTTTTTTTCGCTTCTTCGGCTCGTGCAGTTGCACAAAATTATTTTTATCATTCGTGTCGATCGCTTATGACTGGCGTCTGGGACTTGGGAAACGACTTTTTTATGGGAACAAAAAAAGTGTCGGCGCCTCTTTGCTTGCACTACACTCGCTGTGCATTAGAATATTGGATATCTTTGTTTGCTTTTTTTTTGAGGACATGATTTATTGCATGGGCACATAGAAAGAGAAGGATCACGAACCGTGGATTCGGCTTGACCTTCGTTTTTGTGCCTTCGCCGCTGGCAGGTGAAACCGGCGTCGGCATTGGATGATTACTACTAGAGAAGTGTCTCTATGGAATCATCCATGAAATCCGACTGGATACCCAGTACGGACTACATGCGGTGGACTCAGAAGGAGAATGGGATTCGACGGAGCTCATCTTCCTTTTTTGATCACCGCTCTTTTCGCTTCTGGCTATGGGAATGAAGCACGATCCAACTGGATTTGGCATGGCATGTCTACCATGCATCCACCAACCACGACTCCCGCCCACCTAATGTCTTGTGTGTTTTATCCCCTCAAAAGGGGGCGTGGTCTGCATTTGCGATCCCTGGGTTACCTTATATCCCAGGAATCGATCGCGTTGGAAATATCGTTAGCATTATTCTTAATCCCTAGATGAAGTTATGAAGAAATGTACATTACATTATTACAACACTTGCTTGCTAAATAGTAACCACGTACTTTGTATATGAAGCTTTAATTCCCGTCCCTTTCATTTATTCAAACCTTGGACTCATGCTCTTATCACTACGGTGTGCTAGAGTACTGAGCCTAATCTTCATGCCCAAGAATAGTACACCCAAGCTCCTACAAAGCTACCAGTGAGGAACTAAAGATTCATGGGTATAATACCCCGTATGAAAACCTTGCAGCCATAAAAAACAAGCGTACTCGTACTCGTAAATGTAATCTGAGTCCTGATTCTAGGGCTATGATACCCGTGCAAAAAGACAAGACAAGATTCCTGATTTGGCCCTTTGCAGATCTTACTGGTGCTTCTTGGCCCCCGCTTTGCATACTGCAGATCCCTAGTTCTCCAGGACTCTTAAGTGGTTTTACGCCACTTTTCGTCGATCTCACGGGCCAAACTTACTTCCTCCGAGGCTGCCGGAGGGCTTTGGATTATGTATCATCAGGTGGGATGAGATTTATTACAGTTTTATTCCTCGTGCGTGCTTCGAGTTATGTATTGCCCTCTTTGCATAACTTTCTTCTCAAATATGAGTACTCCCTACAGTCCCTAAGTAGCTTTACTCTAAACGAAATCCAGACTTCGTATTCTACTCTGTCCTATCTTGCATGTGCTCGTGTGCTTTGCCTGCCCATGTGCATCTGGTGATTCGCATTGTAAGTACATCTTACCTGCCAGTGACAGCGTACAGTATAGTGGAGGACTCAAAATCGAGCAATGTAGCTATCCTACATATCCGATGCATGATACATCATGTATGATCCATATCCAGACTTCTGATAGGCTGCCCCGGAAAAGCTAGCTATCGGGGTCCAATATTTGCTTCTTTGTTGATCGGTATTGCGCGGGGTATGCGGGTTTTGATGCTGAAGAATGATGACATTGATCCTGAGCTCTATAGGTCCATCATGATGTCGGGGTTCGTGAATCTCAAATGAAACCGAGATTAAAGTTGTAAGGTCCGACACTCAGATTATTATTGTAATATCTAGTGCATATCAGTCAGATGAACAGAACCTTCGAGTTTATCCAGCACTTACGCATGCATCGGCCCAGTGCTGGGCATCATGATGGATGTGGATTAGTGCACACTTCTACCATGACGGTGTCAACGGCCCTATTGTCAACGTTTATAACTTGAATACGATGCGCTCTGGTGTGCTACTAGTAGTTCTAGAGTTACTAAGGCTAGCGACAGTTATACGGAGTACACGTACAAACACTTTCGGGGCTTGTAACCTAAGATCAAGTGGTAGAACTCACATACGGGTGTCTCCTAGTCTAGAGGGTGTGTTTCCGTAGTAGGCTTCCAACAAAAAAATAGAAAAATAAAACGACGAGAGCTGGAATTGGACCGGCGACTTTCAAATTCGATGGGGAAATTGGAATCGGGTGCGCATCGAGGTGCGAGGTGGGATTCTGCGAATACCCTCACTTGATACAGCCATCACCACCGCAGAATCCCTGATATCGCACTCAATATTGGTTATTTTCGATTTCTGAAAAGACATACAGACAGAGCGAATCCGAATGTATTTTCTAGAAAAATTTCAAAAATTTCAAAAAAGAATTGCCCGCGGCTGAAGCCGCTGCCCCAACCACCCCCTGGTGACAACTCAGCCATTTTAGGGACCCAGACCATCCCGTCCAATACCTCCGTCCTCGTCGTGTAGAGTCGGAGACCGTTATTCCATTAGGCCAACAGGGCTGACTTGTTAATATTCTCCCTCTCGACTAAAATATATGGGATCTCTCTACTCCGAGTCCGTAGTTGGTATAATAACCTTAGGAGTATTAAACTGAATGAACTGAAGTACTATCAAATCCATGCATCTATCCATAAATTCTAGAAAATGTACAAAGATCAATCCATCACAGCCGTACAGAATCATCCTTCACATCTTTCCATATTCAAGTCTAACATGGCTCAGGTCAAGTATACATGATGATAAGATGCCAAACACAAATTCAAACCGAAAAACCCAGGCGCCCATCCAAAATTCATTGCTAGTCTATTCGTCATCAAAGATTTGTACACGATCCGCGTACTGGCGGATATTGGAGAAAAAAGTTTCTTCGATGTCGTCACCCTTTCCACCAGCTACTCGGAGAATAAGGTCATTCAACGAGGCACGGCCAAGGATATCGACATGATCACCTGTATACGAGTCAGCAACTGATCACTTAGATAAGAAAAAAGGGGTCAGTCAGAGACTTACCAGTGTTAGGCCCGCCTCGAGGGGAGAAGCGGTCTGGTTCATGGGGCATCTCAAAGACCTTAATCTTAGACCCGGCTGGGTTATATCGCTTCATGCGCCAACCTTTGGCACACATGTATCCCGTGCTAAGGAGATTGACTGTGCCATCGCCTTCACCCATGACCACGCCGTGATCGACGTGTTCATTCAGAGTGACTGTGGTATCAATGCTAACATTCAAGTTGACCAGAGGATCATTCTCCTCCTGGTACCAATAGCTACGCTCGGTGGGCTTGCCCACACCGTAGAAGCAGTAGATCTTCATATCTGGGGCAAGAGGCAGACGAGCCTCAAGTGGGTTGAGCCACGTTCGTGGGTCTTTCTCGTTAGCTTCGACTTCAGCAGCTGTGTGGGCAACGCCATGCGAGTAGCTTCCCAGCACTTGGTTACGGTACCAGTCCTCACTCTGGTCGAACAGGTACTGCAGACTCTGCGGGGCAGTGAGATTCCGCTGCGTCAGCGACGAGTTCGTCTCACGGAAGTTCAAAAGATTTCCAAAAGTTTGGTCCTGGCCCGGCTGGTCATCTGGAGCCCAGGTTGCGTTGCCCCAAACAGCCTCGCCGCCCTTGGGCAGCATGCTAGAGATACCTGGCATTGCGCGGAAGATCTCCGCGCGCTCCTCCTTGGAGAGGAACTTCTCCAGTCCATACACCGCAAAGGCGTTCAACTGTGCCGTATCACGCATCTCGCCCGATAGCACAGCTGTTAGACCCTTGACAGCGCCGAGCATGCAGCCGCTAATGTTGATCCATGAGTCGATGTGTTTATTGACCCAGTCCTTACCACCCTTTCCATGATCATCGCTCTCGACCCACTTGAAGAAGTAGAGAACAACTTGCGACCCCATACTGTGGGATGTCAGAGTAATTTTTTGGCCCTGGACCTCAACAGCGGTCTCGATATAGGATTTAAGTCGGCTGAAATACTTGTCTCGAACTTCCAAATTCGGATATGAGAGCCGCCAGTCATAAGCAGCTGTAAAGGCGTTCGTTGGGTCATACCCGATCGTAGCCAAGTTCTCCAGGATCTTATTCCAGATCCAGTAGCCCGTGATAAAGAAGTCCGTGGCGTCGAAGCCCTGCGCTGCTCGAAGCTTGATTCCAGGTGGATCCAAGCCAGTCTCACGATCGAGCATGATGTGATTCTTCCATTCTGCTTTATCCATAACCAGAGCACGCATCATGCTCCAACTACCCCATAACCTCCGTCGGAAGTATTGGCGGGAGCTGTCTCCTGTCCCCCAGCTCTCAAGTCCGGTGGAAATGACTCCAGGTATCATCACGACTGGGTGCTTAGCCTCAACACCTTGCGATTGTAGGTGGAGACCAACGGAGAATGAATCGTAGTTGACGGCATCGCGTTCGTGTTGCTGTATTTACCACGACTAGTTAGCGCATTGGACAGTAAACACTAGACCGTAAGTTGTAAGGAGAAGAAACAATACCGAGAACTCTCTCGCATCGCGGACAATTCCCTGTGGGATGACATCGATCAAAGATTCAAGGTTCAAGTCCAACAAGGACTCCAAGCTTATGACCTCCTGCTGGTTCGCGAAGAACACAGCAATCAACACGCCGAACAATCCGCCCAACACGAATATAAACCCATTGCGACGTTTACTTCGACGTGGAGCTGGTTGTATAACCAACTGCTTGACCTTGGCGCCATGAAATTCAGCTCGAAGGCGATCCTCCTCCGATTGTGGCTGGGTGCTTGGTTTGTTGCTGTCGTCCCGGGACGAGGCGTCGTCCTTCCCGGTGCGGCGGCGCAACATAGCGACCGCTTAAAAAGACAAGAGGGGCAAGGGCGGAGCCAATTGATCAAAAGCAGGGAGCCCACAGGGCCACAGGGAGAAGAAAAATTATATCAGAACCAAAATCGGACAGCTCAGGATAATCAAAAGAAAGATTAACCTTTGAAAATCAATGGCTGGTTAAACACGGAACGATCGGCGTCACATGGTAATCGGGCAGTTTCCCATTTACACTTGGGTTTCCGCCTTGTGCTTCCTTCTATCTCCATTATCGCTTTCACCCCACTTCCTCTTTTAACTCCAACCACGTCTATCCCAGACCGTCTATCTTCCCTTTTGGATCTTCAATGACTTTGCGGGTATGAGCCAAGATGCTTCACCGCTCCGCTACGTGCGGTATGAGCGCTCGCGCGAGAATGAGTATGTCGCCGCAATGCGCCAACTGATCTCCAAAGATCTCTCCGAGCCCTACAGTATCTACGTCTACCGCTACTTCCTGTACCAATGGGGCGATCTGTGTTTTCTTGCGATGGACGAAAAGGACGAGATGGTTGGTGTCGTGGTGTCAAAGCTAGAGCCGCATCGCGGTGGTCCAATGAGGGGGTATATCGCCATGCTGGCCGTGCGCGAGGAGTACCGGGGTCGAGGTATTGCGACAAAACTGGTGCGCATGGCTATCGATGCAATGACTGAGCGAGATGCAGACGAGGTTTGTGACAAGCTTGTTCCTGATCTCTGTCTTTCCAGTTAATTAATGTGTTGCACCCCACAGATCGTTCTCGAGACCGAAATGACCAATACCCCCGCAATGAAGCTATACGAGCGTCTGGGCTTTATCCGCAGCAAACGACTTCATCGCTACTATTTGAATGGCAGCTCTGCCTATCGCCTTGTCCTTTACCTGAAAGAAGGGATTGGTTCGATTCGAACGGGGTTTGATCCTCTTGCGCCACCACACCCGGGAATGGCAGAACCACCGATTATCCCTGCTGGGGCTACACAAGGCGATAGCTCAGGATAGTCCTAAGACCAGGATTTCCTGGGCATATTACATGATGATGCGACATGACCAGAAGAATAGACTTACCCTTTCACATGGAACCGGCGTTCAGGTATAATATCAATTAAATACCCTTTTGGGTACTCTGGCCTTCAACTTGGAGTTCTTGTACATTCTCTGCTATTTACATAACTTGTATGGGCCGTTTGGTCCATGGTACCTCAGCTATGATGTAGAAATTACGATTGCCCAGGTGATGATATATCTAAACTGGAGGTGCCATGCCTAATTGGGGGTATCCAGGTGAGAAACGTGTGGTCGCGTACACTTTGAGCGCCGACAGCATTACTTTTTTTCTAACTTGAACATTTCAAGTTGAGCACCCAATCTCCTAATCATTACCTCGATTTTATTCCTCAAATATTCTTTTTATTTTGAAATAGGTAATAATAATGCCAGACACACAATACACTAAGCTCTGCAAGCTCGACTACAAGGCCGCGCTGGTCTTTGCAGCAGCTCTCGACTGCAATGAGGGTAAAATAACACCGCAACAACTACAAAGAACAGCCGAAACAACGGCATGGGAGTCAGAACACCTTCTAGATGGTCTGTACTTCCATGCACGAAACCTGAAAGTTCCAGGTGTTGGTATCATCTTCACAAAGAATTCTTCGCCAGGAGCCCGCTTCCTGGCTGAGGTCAAAAAATCATGGATGGAACCTGGAGCACGAATAATCCTCCCACTAGGTTTTTGTGAGCACTGGGACTTGAAGTTATGAAGCTTAAGGAGGTCACGCTAATTGCAAATAGTGAGATACCTTAACAAGCTCCCGCTTCATGAACCCCGTAGCATGATTACTCGCAGAACACGCCTTGATCTTCTTCTCGACCATGTCTTTCTCAGAGCAAACGGTTCCTTCTCGAATGCACTAACCCTGCAAAGTGACCTCGAATGGACCTACAGCGGCTTACCATATCCAGGTGAAGACTATACCTGTGCCTGTTATGGTGTTCCATACTATAGCGTATGGTATGGTCCTCTCGAGGAGCTTGCCACAAATTTTGTTATCGTACATACTGAATTACCAGGATATTTTGACGAGGGGGAAGTTCATGCGTATATGGGTAAGATACCAGGTCATTTATCTTCATAAAACAAGGTTATCTGATATACGATAGGTATGCTCCACTTAGCACGTCTGCGCAGTGGCAAAGCGAACTGTAAAGTGTATGGCCTAGCAACCGACTCAAATGAGTTTTGGTTTTATCAAATTGACAACAAAGGCAAAGTATGACCAGTTCTGGTTCAATAAGGATTCTCTAATTGCCGAGAGACTAATTTTTGCAGTGGAGTCACACTCTCTTGAAGCCAGTGTGCGGATCCTACGAGAAAATCGCCAGCCTTCTAGTCTCTATCTTCCATGAAGTGTATCTGGCATCAATGGATTCGAAGTCTCCAAATAAAACTCCTAAATCCCAGTTGAAGGTCAGGAAGTTACCAATTCAAGGCACACACGAGACCTCATATGAACGTTTATTAGTGATGGATCCACCAGGGTTGGACACTTGGATCAATTAACAACCCACAGCCACGTAGTTGTGGCTAAGATAAACATTAAATTGGAGACACAGGGCATCATACTTCATCATTTTGTTGATTTCTTTGCTACATATCATAGCCTGTTTAGTTGCATTAATGAAGAGTGGGAGGGTCGAGTTAATCTATTTTAACCAGTTTACGTAGCGCCCCCTACGTCATCACCGTATTGAATCGTTGATATAGATCTATGTCGTCAAATCGTAGATTTCACCTTAAAATAAAAAGACATCTCAGCTTTCAAGTGAGTAAATAGCGACCGAAGATCCGACGTGTCTCTTGAAGCTCAAGCTCTTTAGCATCAACAGTAATCATCACCTTAACTCCACCATGTCTCTCGACTCCGTCACCGGCGGTGTCACAAATCGCATCCCAATAAACAAACTCGAATCAACAACAACTCGCAACGTGAAAAACATCCCAAAACTAGACCGACCCGTGAAACAGATCAACAAATCCACCAAAGACCTTACAGACCCCATAGTTCCCGGCGAATTCCCCCGCGATGAAGGCCAACCACGCACACAACACGACCCAGCTCCAGTCGAAGGACTCTGGTCTAGTATGACAGGATGGATGTCCTCTTTATTCCCACAAGCAATGGATCGTTTCGAGAACCTTGTCAAATGGCTCGTGGAATATATCCTCCCACCAGCGAAGCAAGGACAAATGTATGACGCAGCGTTGAAACGACCCATCGCGTCGACGTTTATTGTTTGCCAAATTATCTGCTGTGGAGTCCCGCTGCTTATATTCCTAGCGGGTGTTTTTCTGTTCGCAGCTGTTGCGGTTTTATTGTGGGCTGTGCTTTCGTTGCTGATTCTGGGTCCGGTCTTGGTGGTTGCTAGTATGATGGGTGTTTCGCTTTGGGGATGGGGTTGGATTTTGTATGGGTTGGTGGGATGGGTTGATCAGAAGTTTTTGGGTGGTTTAATTTCTAGGTTTTGGTTGCCTAGGATTCAGCCACAGGGTGATGATGAGGAGGGGGAAGGCGAGGAGTCAACGGGTGAGGATGAGAAGAAGGATACTTGAGCTTCTCTTCCAAAGTTTTCAGAATTCAGTTGATTGTTCCTAATTTGGGGGGGTTTCATAGCTGTGGGCTATTTAATTGTTAGCTGGTGTTTTTCATGGATATTTTCTATCAACTTGAATGGTTTTTGTCGAATTTGTTGTATATAATATTTGGGATGCTAGGGCTTACACAATACACGTGCCAACTGGAGGCCCGGGAAGGATTATAGTAGTTGGTTCAAATCAGATCAATGTGTACGTGGAATGTAGAATTGGAATTGGAGGCAAACCAGACCTCAGATTGCATATTAATGCATATTTGAATCGTTCAAATGTTAAATTTCACTAGTAGAAGAGTATTGAAAGTATGATTGCCGACATAGCATTGAAGCATTTTACCGGTGGTATGTGAGTAGAATTTGGAGCCTACTCCACCCTTGGACCTAGGCAAGCTTATAGTACCGATGGGTATACATAGTCACTTGTATCTCATTCGAGGGAATATTCAGATGTTGAGTGCATGTCCCGCATGTGCAGCTTGAAACATTGTAAATATGCCTGAGCTACTTGGCGGTTTCAAGGAATGACAGGGAACCAATACAGACTGAATAACCGAGTCTAGAGCAACCACATGGTGCCATTGACCAGTCATACCATGGCAATTGATAAGCACTGAGACTTCAAATTCGGCTGCCGGCTGCTGCAACCCAGAAAAAGGCAGCCATACTGAATGCAGATACCGACGAACAGTACCTCGAATGCCTGGTGTGGACTGCACATGTGCAGATCCAATACATTGCGTCAACCAGCAGCTATCCGAACTTATCTCGAAGCGCGTTTCACTGGCGCGAAGATCATATGGAGATTGACAAAAGATGAAAACAAATATGAAAAAAAAGCTCAATGTCCCGCTGCGGAGTACCCCAGCAATGAACCTCAGAAGCTCCAAGCTTTCCTAGGATACATTGCACAGACAACAATGTGGTCAGCCGACTCCCATCATTCCGCATGGACCACCATTCCCCGCTTAAAAAAAGCAGCGAAAGAAAAAGAAAAAGAAAAAAGATATGCAAGGTTCGACGGTGGATAATTACACTTCCATTGAATCAAGATTTGTTCGGACCTAACACCCCAAAGAGGCATGTACATAACTAGTTTCTAAAAGGAATTGGAATTGCGGAGTCATAGATCGGTGATGGCCGGATAAGTAGGATGCTCATCATCATTAGCATGATACACCGCGTACACGAGAAAGGGAGCTGCAATGGGAGCGGGCCGTTGATTTCCCATGTTCCGCGCACCTTTGAGATATATGCATTGCCGATCCTACATCCCTGCACACGCAAAGGTATATACAGCGGAAGAACCGCATAAATGCGCATAACCAAATAGGGGTGGTTACAGCTGCAACGGATCTGTGACGGATCTTGGCGCGTTTCATGACGGACGGGATGGGATGCATGTGGCCCGTGTGGTTGATCGGCCGGGCTGGGATGAGCATGGCGGGTGTGGTGCGGGTAAACTAGTGAATCGAAAATTTAATGAACAAAAAAAATACTAAAAAAGAAGATTTAAATAAAATAAGATAGGTGGAATGTTGATGTTTCTCCTTTTGGAGTCATTAGAGTCATTAGAGTCATTAGAGTCATTAGAGTCATTAGAGTCATTGCTGATTCAAGTTGACTTGCCGCTGCATTCCTTCTTACGCCACACCGGAGTATGTGCATAAAGTGTCTCAGCGACATGACGGATGTGTCACTGATAGAACGGCTTCGTGGTCAGGGGGGTAGGACATATGTACAGCGTGCTGAGAGTTCATGTGGAGGGGGACTTCGAGTCTCCATCCTGCGTCCCACTAGGATCCACTCTTGTGCGCATTTACCCCTGAGCAGCAAAGCACTGACCAGGAATGCAAGTGCACAGTTGCAAGGTAAAGATACAAAGTTCAATGTGAAAGAAAAAAAATAAAAATAAAAATAAAACAGAAGCAAACTTCAATTTGATACGTACCTAATAAAATTGAAATCAAATATCAAGAATGAAAAGGTTGAATAGAAGAAGCAATGAGGACGTGTTCAGTGCACCCCCGCATACTCCGTAGTCGGTAGTCCGTTACTCCAAATGTGCGATTAGAACAGTTTCGGATAGGGTAGAGGAGTTTGAGCTTGGGGCACTAAGAGATCCTGCAGCTTCTCTGTAGCACTTGAGCGATTTGTTAGAAGTCAGAGGGGTCACGCCACGAGACCACCAAGAATGCGTGATCCAAGTTGATTCAAATCAATGTGATGCCATTGCAGATGTTATCTATCCCAAGAGAAGGGAAACAAAGAACTCATATCAAATCAAAACCGGCCCGGTTTTGATTAGTTTTAATTATCCAAAAAACAAGTCCAACATTTATCCATCTCGGCACGATGTCGGAAGAAGTAGCCGGGAGTGCCAATCCGGCTGAGAGATCCGCTAAAGTCCTTGCGTATGAGACAACCGATAGTGTCGAACGATTGATGCACCTGCAGCAGCCAAGACCCCTCAATGGGTTGAGAACAGTGGAGTTCCTGTTCGGACCGGGAATGAGGTCAGTGGGATGCGGAGGAAAGGAACAAGGAGCGATAAGCCTTCCGATGTTAGTGATAGACTTCCTTTTTTGTGTTATACATAAATCCCTAGATTGGAGAGAAGGAATTGAGACAAGGACTTAAACTGAAACTGGAAGGTTTTTTATTATTTTATTTTCTAACCTTCAAGGAATGCAGCGTCCACATGGAGGTCTCGTGGACAAAGTCCGCACCGTCTTACCCAAATTAGGGCGGTTCAATCAGAATCCCCACTTAGGAGTCAGTGCGGCCCGGCTAGGGACCCATTTTCTGTTCGGATGCAGGTACCTGCGAGTAGGATATATGGAATGAGGGGAGGGGCAAAAAGTTCATTGCTTGACGTCAAGACCATTAGAGTGATAGGCAAAGAAGTAAAGGGGATCATCGGCAGTGGCGATAAATATAAGAACCTTGGAATCCATTTCCCATACTTCTTCCATTATGAACCAAGGTTAAGAAGAGAAAAGGGGCGAACCAATATTTGGTCCAGGGGTAAACATTGGAAGAAGAAGAAGAGAAGAAGAGTTGAAGTTGAACAATGATGAAGTTTCAACAATTAAATATAGTAATGAAAGTAGAATCTACAATTTGACAAGGTAAAGAGAACTCATGAACTACTTAATTAAAATCTACTAGTAAATATAATAATGTAAAGGATAGAAATATTTAAGATAAAAATTCCCCTTGCATAAGATTTATCATATAAGAGAAACCTCGGAAATCATCAGCTCCACAATCCCCTTTTCCCCAGAGAGAATTATTCTTCCTTGATCTCTTTGATCTTAACTTGAATCATTCTTAATTCTCCTCTTCTATTCTCATACTTCTCTCCTTTTTTTTTTTTTGTTATCCCTACAGTTTACTTGGATCATTGTCGGATTCTTCCTTGTTCGCCCTTTTCCCCCCCTTTCCATTGGGAACTTTGACCCCTTGTGGGAAGGAAAAAAAAAATTCTAGGTATGATTCTCTTTTCTCACAGATATTTCTCCTACATCCTTTTTTTTTTAAATTTTTCGAAAATACGGAGAGAGAGAGAAATAGGGAGAAATCAAAAGAGACTCAAAATCTCTAACTCACTGGCATTCACTAACTGATTTTGCCTTATCTAGACTGACGCGCAAACATTCATTAGGTGATCGTGCAGTCCAACTGCCCCTCGCAAGATCACCCTGAGATTCCAAAATGTCCGTAGCGACGATGCTTCAACCTGCATCCAGAGTCTCTCGAGCCTCTTCTTCCTCCTCGTCCTCGTTTCAGCCCGTCGCACGACAGAACACAATGTCGTCGCACGATACTCGGTCGCTCCGCCAATCCAAGCGGATGTCGGTCACCGCGTTGTACCTGTCCATGTCCGCCAAGGATAGAGACTTGGAAATTTCAGATGACCTGGCGCGAGGTAGGAATACAATCTCTATAGTAATCGATCAGGAAAAATTGCCGTGCTGACCCCTCACACAGCCCAGAAACACCTTCGAGAACTCAAGTCCAAGATCTCCTCACAGTCCAAGAAGAACTTCGTTCTAGAGAAGGATGTACGCTACTTGGACTCTCGAATTGCATTGCTGATTCAGAATCGCATGGCTTTGGAGGAGGTAAGACAAATTCCAATTAACACTAACCCCCCCTAAATCCCAAAAGAATTCCCTCCACTCACACAAACGCCCTAGCAAAACGAAGTTGCCAGTCACTTAGACGATACTGCCGACCCGCAAGAAGGATTCTTTCCCAACGATGAGCGTACCCAGAAATACGGCAATCTACTTTTCTTGTTGCAATCGGAACCCCGCCACATCGCCCACTTGTGTCGACTAGTCTCTATGGCAGAGATCGATTCGCTCTTGCAAACGGTCATGTTCACCATCTATGGTAACCAATACGAAAGTCGTGAAGAGCACTTGTTGCTCACTATGTTCCAATCCGTCCTTACGTACCAATTTGACAACACTCCCGAATACTCCTCCCTCCTGCGACAAAACACCCCCGTGTCTCGGATGATGACAACCTATACCCGTCGCGGCCCCGGTCAGAGCTACCTGAAACAAGTCCTTGCCGACCGAATCAACTCTTTGATTGAATTGCGGGATGTTGACTTGGAAATCAACCCCCTGAAGGTGTACGAGAGCATGGTGAAACAGATCGAGGAGGAGACGGGCTCTCTGCCTGACTATCTTGCTCGCTCCGTCACGGCAGAGGATGCAGCCGCCAACGAACAAGTGCAGGCCATCATTGCGCCCCGCTTGAAGATGTTGACAGATATTGCCAACGGGTTCCTGACGACCATCATTGATTCGGTGGATGAGGCGCCATACGGAATTCGCTGGATTTGCAAGCAGATTCGGAGCTTGTCTCGCCGCAAGTACCCTGATGCCCAAGACCAGACGATTTGTACTCTGATCGGTGGATTCTTTTTCCTGCGCTTCATTAATCCCGCAATTGTCACTCCCCGCTCCTATATGCTGATTGATGCTACGCCCACCGATAAGCCCCGACGCACCCTGACTCTGATCGCGAAAATGCTACAGAACTTGGCCAACAAGCCCTCATACGCCAAGGAGCCCTATATGGCAAGCCTGCAGCCATTCATTGAGTCTAACAAGGAGCGTGTCAACAAGTTCCTACTCGACCTTTGTGAGGTTCAAGATTTCTATGAGAGTCTGGAAATGGACAACTACGTTGCTCTCTCTAAACGGGACCTCGAGCTTCAAATCACTTTGAACGAAATGTATGCCACCCATGCGCTTCTGGACAAGCACAGCGCAGCTCTTACCCAGGATCACAATTCCCACCTTTCCCTCTTGCTGCAAGAATTGGGAGTATCCCCACCCCAGGTTCCGCGCAAGGAGAATCGAACAATCACGGTTCCCTTGTTCAGTCGATGGGAAACCGCCCTGGATGACCTGACGGCTGCGCTGGATATTACTCAGGAGGAAGTCTTCTTCATGGAAGCCAAGTCTACATTTGTCCAGATCCTCCGATCGCTCCCTCCCAACTCTTCAGTAGCTCGTCGACCTCTGCGGCTGGACCGCATTGCCGAAGCTGCTGCCACTCTGAAGAATGACGCAGTTATGGTACGGAAGGGAATCCGCACAATGGAACTGCTGAGTCAGCTACAGGATATGGGAGTGATCGATCGATCGGATGAATTCAGTCTTCTCCGAGACGAAGTGGAGCAAGAATTGGTCCACCTTGGTTCCTTGAAGGAAAAAGTCCTGGAGGAAACCCGAAAACTGGAAGAGGTCTTTGCCACCATCCGTGACCACAACGCATACCTGGTAGGCCAGTTGGAAACCTACAAATCTTATCTCCACAACGTGCGTAGCCAATCTGAGGGCAAGCAACGGAAGAAGGAGAAGCACCAGGAGCTGGGACCCTACAAGTTCACCCACCAGCAACTTGAGAAAGAAGGTGTTATTCGGCGCAGTAATGTGCCTGAGAACCGCCGAGCAAACATCTACTTTATGTTCAAGAGTCCTCTTCCTGGTACTTTCGTCATCAGTCTGCACTATAAGGGCCGAGCTCGTGGATTGCTTGAGCTTGATCTCAAGCTCGATGATCTTTTGGAAATGCAGAAGGACAACCTGGAGGACCTTGATCTGGAGTATGTCCAGTTCAATGTCACCAAGGTGCTTACTCTGTTGAACAAGCGATTTGCACGCAAGAAGGGGTGGTAAACGCCACACTACATCCCCAACCCCTTTCACTTTTATGATCGATATGAGGTCGAGTAGAGGGGGACCAACAGTACCCCTTTCTCTCTCTTCTCTCTCTACAACTTGAGTTCCACCAAATTCAAGTCAACGGTGACATTCGCCACTTAATCTTTTGATGACCTGATGGATCCGGATCTTTAATCCGATTTATACATGAGCCGTCCATTTGACCATCAATGAACGGAATGAAATTCTCCCCCTGCCATGAATCAGACACTCTCCCCACCTCTATTCCTTGGTGGGGTCATGTGTCTAGTGTGAATGTTGTCGATACACGAACATATCTAAAGGAATATGATCGTCGGTGATCCCGCTGGTTCGGGATTTGCAGGTGGTCCTTCGAATATTCCTTTGGACATTTCTTTTGTTTGATCTCCTTGATTTTCTTGGTTTTCTTTCTGCAAGTTATACCCAGCGCATAGTTTTGTTGTTTTGTTTTGTTTTATGTGGTTTCAGTTCGGGCTTGTACCTTGAGCATGGCCTGTAATCTTGATGTCTGGCAATTGTTCATGCTGCGCTATCACCGCTCCGACCCTTCGAACGTTGGGTCTATCTGCGCTGTGTATAATAATATGTGTTTATGTCTTCTGCGATGTGTGGTTGTTTGGATTGAATACCCGTATGTTATGTATGTTTTTTGTTTATCTTTTTGCCAATGCCCAATATGTACATGAACTCGATCAATATCTAGACTCAGATACTCTTAATAATGAATGGTAGATGCCAGTGATCTACTCTTCCTATACTGTATTAGTAGTACATCATGATGGTGGGGTTCATAGCCACTTCCCAGTTATGAGGTGGAGTAGATGACACCGCCTCATGCCCCTCTTTATACCCCCTGTCCCCTTACTAGTAGTATTTAAGTTCCCCCTTTTATACTCTATGTCTGACAAGCTGTCATGAAAGACAGAAAGTAAGGACGAAAACTTTCAGCTTGAACTTAGGGTTAAAGGGGTTCATCTGAAATTTCAATATCTAGGCCGCATATAGAAATGGCAGAGTTGGGCCGCTTGCGGACACTCCAGATGTCCAGACTGGAGTGCTTTTTTCGTACTCGTATTAGCAATAGGGCAGATAGACATTGGGGATCATTTTATTACCTAAATAGTCATGGCCTTTATCTTCTAGTATTTGATGAATGCAGCCGTATCCAATAGCTCAAACAATCATAGTCAGATCAATAGATGTAAGAGATTTGGGCATCTTTTCCTAGTTGTACACCGATACTTCGGCCCCCTGATCCTCAAATCACTCCTTGAACTTCGATTAAGAATTTCTGTTAACTTTTTACTACTGGATCAATATACCCTACTATTATTCCCGGATAAACATTGAGTTTGTGCCTTAAACAGCGGGCGGTTGTTTACAAACCCAGTGGGCGATCCGGCACTTTTTAGTCTCTTGTGGCCACTTGCGACTCCCTCCGCCTTTCTCTTTCTACACCCAACTTTCTTTCCACCCCACCACCTCTGTCCCCCAAGTATCATCATTCATCATGGCGGCCACCGAGCAGACATTACCTACTGATCCCAAGTACGATCAGTATGAGTTCCCTACCACCGCCCCTGGCCAGGCTGCTGGCTCTGGCCACCCCGGCCACACCACTCCGGAGCAGGACGAGAAGGTCATCAAGCTGCGTCAGGCCCTAGAGAAGGAGGGCTTCACCGAGCGATTGGACACTCTCACCCTGCTGCGTTTCCTCCGTGCCCGCAAGTTCGACATCGAGGCCGCGAAGACTATGTATGTTCCCCGATTCCTCGAGTTGTTGGCACTCTGCACGAAGAACCCTTGCATCTCACATGTGATTTCGTTTTCTTGTTTTCCAATTCCATTCCCTTTTGTTTTTCATCTATAACTTTTCTTTTCTTTTCTTTTTCTAACTTGAATCTTTTCATCCAACAGGTTCGTCAATTGCGAGAAGTGGCGTAAGGAATTCGGCACCGATGCTCTCCCCGCCACTTTCGACTACACGGAGAAGGCCGATGTATTCAAGTACTACCCCCAATACTACCACAAGACCGACAAAGTATGGCCCCTCACTGCTACTTCTAATATAACATGAGATACAGAATTGTTAACGTCTCTTTCTCGTATAGGATGGCCGTCCCGTCTACATTGAGAAGCTCGGCAAGATCGACCTCAACGCCATGTACAAGATCACCACCAGCGAGCGTATGCTCCAGAACCTTGTCACCGAGTACGAGAAGCTGGCCGACCCCCGTCTCCCCGCCTGCTCCCGTAAGGCTGGCAAGCTCCTCGAGACTTGCTGCACCATCATGGATCTGAAGGGTGTTGGTATCACCAGCATTTCTTCCGTCTACACCTACGTTCGCCAGGCCTCCGAGATCTCCCAGAACTACTACCCTGAGCGTCTTGGCAAGTTGTACCTGATCAACGCCCCCTGGGGCTTCAGCACTGCTTTCAGTGCCGTGAAGAGCTTCCTTGACCCCGTCACCGTTGAGAAGATCCACGTTCTTGGCAGCGGTTACCAGAAGGAGCTGCTTGCTCAGGTTCCCAAGGAGAACCTGCCCGTCGAGTTTGGCGGTTCTTGCGCCTGTGAGGGTGGCTGTGAGCTCTCTGACATGGGTCCTTGGCAGGAATCCGAGTGGGCTTCCACTCCTGCTTGGGCTAAGAAGGAGGAGCCCGCTCCTGCTGCTCCTGCTCCTGCTGCTGAGGCTCCCGCTGCTGAGGCTGCCCCCGCTGTTGTTGAGGCCGAGGAGCCCGTCTCCGAGAAGAAGGATGCTGAGACCCAGGAAGGCACTGCTGAGACTAGCGCTTAAGCGTTTTATAGCCCAACCCCCGTCCCCGCCATCATACATCCCCTTTCACCGTGCGAAAACAGAGAAGGAGAGAAGCAAAATTGAAAACAACCTACCTGAAATAGACAGAAAGCAGTTACTCCAGCCGCCAGTGCTCTGGTCCATGTGATAATCTTTCTGGTCGTGAGTTCTACCAGTCTTACTGTGGACTTCTGTTGGTCAAACCAGGTTTTGTCTTGTCTCTTCTGGACACTTTCCACACATATCATCCACGACATCCCCACCCACAATCTTGTGGGCTCCTTGCCCCTTTTTATTTCCTTGTTTACCTTTTCTGATCTAGATATCATCGAGAGTTTTCTTATTTTACATGTCGTTTTATTGCCTGTCGAACAAGCGAGTATACCGCGCTTGATATAGAATGGCAAGTCCGCGGTGGATTTAAAAGCGAGTTGAGGAGTGAGGTTGAAGACTGGCCTTTGCTTATTATTGACAATGGAATGTATACATGGGAGAGCACATAGCGAAAATGCCCCAAGGATCGCCCTTGCAATCAGAATCCAGAAAGTAGTATTTCGTAATCGTAGACAGTACTCGATATAATATGGCCATTTGGCCGAATGCGCACAAGACATGGTATCATGAGTCCCCAGTTAACCCGAGACACCAAAACTCCTCATGCAAAGGAAAAAAAAAGAATAACCCAAAACCCAAGGAGTCCGAAAATAGACACATTCGTCCTCACTCTCACATCTTCTCCACCACATCAGCTGCCCGTCCAGCCCTCTCGGCCTTTCCAACTGTCGTGGCCAACGCATTGCCCTTTGATCCCTCTTCGTCCGCATCCGCCTCGCCTTGCAGGCGCTGCAACGTTCTTAAAGTATTCTCATACACATCCGCCATATCCCCACTCCGCCAACGTTCCGTCTCCTCACGAGTCCCTAGTGGAATCTGCAACTCCCACTCTGGATCCCGTCGAGATCTTCGCGACCGACTAGATCCAGTAGGTTGCTTCCCATCTTTCTGATTCGATGAACCATCACCATTCTCATCCACATCCATCGCCCCATTATCCTTCTCATTTGTATTCTCAGCACCTTCATCCACATCATTATCTTCCTCCTCATCTTCTTCACCCTCTTCTTTAAGGAGTTGCCTTAACTGAGTTGCGTATGACTTTGCAGCTTGTCGTGGTGCATCCCGTCGGAGCTGCGCTACCGTCGTAGTAAGAGACTCAAGCTGTGCATAGAGAGCTGAGACGCGTGAGGCAAGCTCCGAATCAAAGGGCTCATACTCGACTGTTTCAGGTGCGGTGAAGGAAGCTGGGAAGGGGAATTGAGGGTGGGAGGAGTCGATGCCATTAATGCTGATTGAGGAAGATGCGGTTGTGAAGGTACGGGTTATGTACTATTTATTTACATGTCAGTGACAAGCACTGGAATCAATGCATTCATGCAATAGGGAAAATCCAGTGTTAGAATAATGGTATAACTCACGTCATCTACTAATTCCCTTACGCGTTCGCGCATAGGATCTGGAGTGTCATCGTTTGATGCGGATGGGGGTAAATTCAAGTCGAGTTTTTGGCGGGAGAGTGCAACTGTGTTGGCATAGAGGTATGTAAAGTCTGCTGGAGACTGGAGCTCGATCTTGCGGTAGTGGGGGGGCTCCCATTGTAGGTGGTGATAGATGGTTAAATGATGCGGAGACTGTTTTTCACGCGTTGGTGTTGAAGGGCTTGGCGTTGCCGGGTCTCCCCCGCAAACGATGTCATTGCTCCTTGCCCTGGTAAGAACATCTTCCTAGTTTCACTTTCAGACTTTTGAGTTATGATTTCATTCCTTTAGCACCTCTCGTTTGTCCCTTCCTTTAATTTTTTTTCTTCCTATTTCTCTCTCCTTGCATACTCGAGCTTCTGTTCAGCTGGTTCTGGACTACGATAAGGCAGCATTGGAGTAATGCGATCGGTCTTCGGATAATGCAAGTACTCTCGTGAGAGTACTGGAGCTTCTATAGGAGCTGTGGAACAAACACCTACCTTTTGAATATTTTCTATCACACCTACCACACCATAAACCATGACAGACTCACCTACTTCTATATGTCTGGTGGATAACACTATTCCCTCGCAACCCGCAACAAGCAGGGATTCTTCACGCCGACCCTCTACCCACGGACATCGCAGTAGCCTATCGAAGCATATCAGCCGGGCATCTGTATCAGGACAGCTTGCAAAGCGCAAATATGCTAAATGGCAACCCGATAGACTGGGGGTTCCAACAGACTCCGACGCATCACCGAGTAGAGAGTCATCGCGAGTGAGGGGATCGATCTCAGCAGAGAGCTCGGCAGGTCCTCATAATGAAAGACCGGATAACACCACTGAAATAACTCGCGTTGATACGGTGGACTTTGCTCCATCCCAAGTTCAGAGCCATACAAACGAGACCCTTCAATCTCAACCTGCCGATTCGGACGCCAATACAAAATCCATGACAGAACTGGATATCTTATACGAGAATCAGCGTGGCTCTTTCTTCTTTGGAGTACCGCTGTACTCTCATAGCTCACTGCTCAACTTCGATCCTGGCGCCTGGATGACACATGATAACCGTGTCAGTCCAGTTAATATAACCAATGCCCAATTGCCTGATCCCAGCTGGGAGTGGGCGTGGAGGACTTGGTACGTTGACATGTCAAGTGATGTTGATGAGCAAGGATGGGAATACTCCTTCTCTTTCAGCTCTTCACAGTGGCATGGCACGCATCCATGGTTTCACTCCTTTGTAAGAAGGAGAAGATGGGTCCGGTTGCGAGCCAAGATTCCAGAAAGGAGATATCGGGGTCGTTCGGAATTTGAAAAGGCGCATATGTTGACGGAGGATTACTTTACCATCCATTCTTCCAAGACCAAATCTCGAGAACAAAGCATCGCGGGTCTGTCGAAAGTCGAGTCAGGGTTTCTGAGTCGTGCTACCACGACATTCAACGGAGAGACGCCTCTGGAGGAGATTGCGGATATTCCATCTCTCATGCATGCGCTAAAAATGGCCTCGATTGATCGTGAGAGGCTTGATGCGCTGAAGACATTTGTACAAGATGGTGGTGAGGAACTTTATTATCTGAACGACAAGGTAAGCATTTACGAAATGCCAAACACTAGCATTGCGTCTAGACTACAGCTAATCTTTGTTCCTTATTGTAATAGATCCCAGAAATCATGGCGTCTTTCCTATTTCAAGCATCCCGCTGGCAACTCGTGACGTATCTTACCATCGTCATACAAAAGCTCACTCATACTCTGGAGAAATCAGATAATGATGACCCAGACAAACTAAATCGCAAGAAAGATAACTTAATTCGGGCAATGGAGAATGCCAGGCAGCATGTCACTGGCCCAGATATGTTTACTGATATCCACAACGGCTCCGCAGCTGATCTACTTGACTTGACACCTGTTTCTCGACACGACACTTTGTTGTCCAAGCGTGCACAAGCATCTGATAAGCCTCTTCAGGTTATTGAACAGCAGGAAATCAAGGGTATCCCCAAGGCTGCTGAAATCGGCCGGGAAGGACATATCTATTGATCTCCTCGCTGTACAGTCAATGGATGAACGATCGTATACCTTCTATATTTCAATTATTAGTCACAAATATAATCATTCATTCATCATTTCACAGTACTCTAATCTCATCTTGTACACTGCTTAGTCTTAAACTCATAGTTATCCCGATGTTGCCAAGAGCCCGGACACCGCCTTCCGCTCCCGCGTGGTTTTTTCCCGAGTCAAAAGATCGGAACCGCGACATCTTGCGGCATTTACCACTGCTTCGTGCTTGGATGCCACCGGTGCATTAGTCCATATGTTCACGAGTGGCCGCCCGTGTCTTGGAAGACGTCTTTCCGTCGTCTTAGACAGTGCCGCGGCTGGCCCCGAAGATCCTCTGCTATTCCTCTACCCCCGATGGGCCGCCTCTGCTCTACAGCAACGACGATCGATTGTTTCCTGGACGCCGAGAACACTTCCGAGAAGCAAAAATCGAGCGCCTCCCCGTTCATTCCGGTCATCCAATACCCCTTCCTTACCCCTACCGCAATTGTCCCGACAAACGGTTCAATGGAGCTCCTCCGACGCCAGTAGTCGGAATCTCGAAAATCCCGCCTCGGGACCATTTTCACGAGCGAGAGACCAAAATGCGAGGACAGTGGGGGGAAGTAACCGTGTTGAACATTCAAGGCCCAATAATGAGCTCAGAAGCCCCCCCGAGGGAGCCTCACGCGCGCGTCGGAAATGGGAACCAGAAGACCACTCGGCGTACGCCAGGTACCACCAATATGAGTGATAAAGAGAAGCGGCGGAGACGAATTGAAGGTTCAATAAAAGCTCTCGCTCAAAAGAAAGTACCGCAGTCGACACCGGAGTTTACTCCAGCTAGCGACCTTCAGAAGAAGCTATCTGTCAAGGATAGGAGGAAGCTTCGTATCGAAGGCCATTTGAAAAGTATTGGAGATCAAGGATTCACCCCTGTCATCAATGATACCTGGGATGATATGATGATTCTTTTGGAAGCGGTGGAAAATAATACTCGGACGGAACCCACGAGGAGCACCAAGTCAAGGGAGCTCCTCGTTCCCGAAGCAACACTAGCACTTCTTGCTGGTGTTCTTCAATCCAGCCTGCGGGATAATATCTGGTTCGTACATTGGCATCACGGATGTAAGGTGCAAGTTTTGAATGCGGCTGAGGGTGTTAGAGGGGATCGCAAGGTTATATTGACGGGATCAGACCACACCATGGATTTGGTCGAGGCTCAGATCCGGCGCACACAAGCTCTCCAAGAAAAGGGTGATCCACTTATCGATATGGAGAACCCTCCTGTTACTATTGTCTCTTCTTTGCAGTCAGGTGGCCCCAAAATGCGCGGCTATTGGGATTTTGCCATGCAGACGAAGCTCAACAAAGTTCTTTCACTCAAAGAAGTTCGCCTTCCTCACTCGTCTCTGCGGACAGTGAGGGAATTCACTGAATATGTTGAGGATTTGACAAACGCAGGCCTCGCAGCCCGTCGCCCTGGGCGAATCAGTGTGACTCGCAACCCGAGGACCGACGGTGATGAGATTACGCGACGGATTACTAGGCTCTTCCAGGATGAATCTCTTCGTCCGTTCTTATCTACAGCCGCTACAAATCGGGCCTTGGAGTTTCTGTGTAGCCATAACCAAGTGAAAGGTGCTCGAATTGTCTTTTCTCTCGCGAATCACGTTGCGACAACCGATACCTATAATATCTTTCTTCGCCTTGCGGCGCGTCACCGGGATGTTCGACACTTCCGCCGATACCTCCTATTGATGTCCCAAGGCAAGATCCGTCCGAACGCTAAGACATGGCTTGCGTTGTTGGAAGCTTTGATTACTCCCAGCGAGAAGGCTGCTGTGGTCACGCGTATGGTGCAGAATGGCCACATGACCAATTTTGCGGTTATTCGAAGTGCCCTTGCATTGACAATTCAAGATTCGCTTTATGTGCACCTTGAACGAGGACAAAGTGTGGAATCGTTCATCGCTCTGATGAAACAAACTCACGGCGCCGACTGGTTCACCCCTTCATTGCTGGGTCAGATGTTCAGTGTAACTGCTCGATTAAAGAACTTCGCCGCTACGGACGAGTTGCTAGAGATCTGTGCCAGGGAAGCACTTGATGTTGATTGTACCGCCTTCGTTCAAGTTCTGCCAATGTGTCGTTCCAGCCCACGCGATGCACTCCGATATCTATTCATGTTCTCCAAGTTTCGTTCATTCCGTATGTTGCCACAGGCATGGGAGCGTCTGTTTTTGATTGCTTTCAAGAATCGGTTCTACAATATGTGCCGAGTCCTTTGGCGATACGCTTGCATGAATCAATCCGTGAGCTTGAAAATGAGACAAACCGTCCTCTCGTCTATGCTCAGCACCATCCCTGAAGATTCTCCCGCGGATGCCAACCATTTCCGCGTGTACGCCGGAAAAATAATCACTGGTGTTGGCCAGCCCCTTGAGGAAAACCACGTGAAAGAATTCATATTGAATAATATTCCTTCAGAATTCCACGACAACCCTATAACCTACCTTCTGGCTGCTCGCACGCAATCGAAAAAGAAAAACCGCAACCTGCGGTACCTCATGTCAAGGGACCTTGTCTACAGTGACATCTTCAATGGCCCTACCCATTACAAACCCATCAACTCCCTCTACATCATGCTAGAAGCCGCCCTCATTATTGAAGAGGAATTTAGAGCCGCCCCGAGGCCCTTTAACTGGCTGATGCAAAATGCTATCCATGTCCCAGTCGAGCGACTGGTCAAGGCATGAGTCTGATAGAATTAGCACGTCTTCCACATTTCATCTCATCCTCGTGTCACTTCTCCGAACCTTGTGAAATCACCCCTCTCTCTTCTCCATTTCTCTGTCTGGCGCTATTTTGTTGCATGAGATATCCCATTGAGCGGGTTTGCATAGACTTATAGATTTTGAGGTGGGCTTGTATTATACTCATCCGGTGTATTAAAATGTTTCTGTTCTACTTGCCTGTCTATTGCATATACATTGTACTCTACTGTCATACATTACTATACAATACTCATCTCCAAGATGCTTCATTTACATCCTCACTTTCGAACATCGAAATCACTACTAGTAGCCATCCGGCTCCAGGATTTCCAGGCCATGCACTTCATGACATGGCACTGGTTTGGTGATCTCAGGCCAAGATGATGGCAAACAACAGCTTTCATCCAGTCACACTTGCTGTGAAGGTATTGAAAATGAGACTGAAAACATCTTACTAGCTTATACTGTATCCGCTAGCTTTGACAATATTTTCATCCTGAGTAAAGGTACACATGTACACTAGCGACTCATCAAGTGGTTTCTGTAGACCTGACTAGAGCAATAACGGCGGGGCTACTAATAGCTCTAACACCCAGATGACGCGTCGTATGCCCTAAGCCCTCCAAGCTACTGCCGGGGAAAATCGCTTTAAATATACCATTTTATTATTTCCCAAAGAATTCTTTCTGAGTTTCACAGAATTGTACTACGGAGTGCAAATAATTCTCAACTGAAGGCGCAACCCATAACCTTGAAAGGGCCATAACCCCCCATAACCTCACGATGAACCCGTAAGCATCCCTCAAAAGCCAGACAAACATTTGAAACCTCTTTGAATAATTTCCTAGCTTTACATTATTGACCGACATTATCGCTTTGAATCTGAAATTCTTGATTAGCTGCATACTTGCAGGCATGATAGCAATGCTCATCCCACAAACCCGACGCCTAATCATTTGGCTCTCTCGCAGGATAGCCTGGTATCGTCGGACAAATCTGATTATATACTATATTTAAGCACTTCGACCCGGGCCACGGGATCAGGGTTGATACTTCATAGTAATGTTTTCCACCTCTTTAGCTTTTACTCATTTATCTTGAATCATAAGACATTATCTCAGTCTAACCATTGGGAAAGGGAGCTGGTTAGGGCAAGAACCGGCATTGCCACATCTCTTGCAGGATCCCAAGGTCAGGATCAAACTTGAAGATACATCCATATGTCATGATGTATACCTAGGTAAATAGGTAACAACTTCAAACATCAATGATACATGTAGTACTAGGTATTGATGTACTACCAGTATAACTTGAAGCCTTTCCAAGGTTTAGTTTATAATGGACGGCCCGGGGCTGATCAAGGACATCTAGACCATCCGAGTCCTTTCCAAAGTTTACAGTATCTCACCAGTACTTCAACCTTGGAACATGTTCGCATTGGTACTAGATACACCTCAAATGACTAAATATAGGAACACCGCGTCACCTCAAGCTATTCAAACTTAGGTCCCTCAGGCTCCAAGGTTCAAGCAAAAAGAAACCTTGAAAAACAGGTTATGCATCCAAAATCGACATACGGATCTATGCAGGCAGTGCCGGCACCCGGAACCCCTGAGGTCCGCCTGTCAAAATATTGATCGACCAAGTTTAATTTGGTGTGGTGCAGGGTTCCACTTTCAAACGTTTTTACCAGTTATCTGCCTCCCCGTTAAGGTGTTTCCACCGAGATCATCTGGTGCAAACGATTATCACTACCTTCCAGAGTTAGCTAACGGCAGTATTTGGGTTACATCTGAATTCTGCACTCCGAGTGGTTGGTAGTTATTTTCCTAGCGTCTGACGGATAGCTTGCCCGTTCCGATGAGGTCGGGCCCCCCCTGAAGAAGAATATTTGAACTCGAGTGTGATGATGTTTTAGACTTTGTGGAAGTTTAAGCTCCTGGATTGGTGTTGTCTTTACTGCTTTTAGGCTTATTGCCCGAAATCAAGGATTGGTGATCGCCGTTTTAATGTGTAGATTAGCATGTTGTCCTCCTTCATGACATTGAAGGAATTCACTGTCGATACTACTAGGAACACTCTGCCAGTGTAAGCTGGAGCTGTCAGTATTATGGGGATCACGCAATATATCAGGGGAATTTCGTCGCATCTTTGTCTTCCAAGTTTGTAACTCCTGATTTCTAACACTTGAACACTTTGACTCGGACTGCATTCGAAAATGTCTTGGTTGAACTCAGGAGTCTTTTACCGGGTGCCCAGGTGGGCCAGTGAGAATTTAGCTTCGTCACCAAAGAACGTGGACACACAGGCAGTTTACGTATTTCATGAGTTATTCCTTGAATACCTTCAATATTTAAAGTTGAGAAAATCAATAGTAGCATGGTAAAGTGGACTGATGAATTAAGACATTTGTGCATCCTTCAAATGTTTCAAGCCTTGAGATTATGAGATTTCCAGTGTATTCTTAAGAAAAAAAAAATTAAGCGTCCACATAAGCGATATTATTAATTTCTTTTTTTTTACCCCAGAGAGTACCAGAAGTACCTTTGTAATTCCGGAAAATCCGATCTAATGATGCCAGTGGTGGCATACATGCATATCCCCAGAATGAATGCACTCCGGTCCTATTTTTGTGTCAAATAAAATATAATGCATAATCAAGTGCTTACTCGGGACCCGAGGTATTTCGATCTGCCTGTGATGCGTTCTCTGATAGGGAAATCTCTCTCCACCGATTAATGAGCAAAGGATTACCCCTGCCTTAGTAAAAGCGACGGACGCGGGCAAAGTAAATCCCCCCCGAGGTTTCTGAAACCGGAGCCAGGAAACCGAGCAAGTCCATTTAATAGAACTTGTGGAGATCAGGGCGGGCTCGGGCTCCAGCAAAGACGCAAAAGCTTTTTTTTCTTCATTCTCAAGTGCTCCATTCTCGTGTTTTTTTTAAGGGGAGGCGGAAGTCAGTTCATGCGGCGATACGGGCTGGAATCCACTTCTCATGAGATTGGAGTCATTGGACTCCTTGTGCACGGGCATGTGGGTGTGGTCCTGTGGAGATGGTTTTCATGACATTCTCCACAATGATTGCCGAAGAGACGTTCCAACCTTGGTAATGTCGAGGACTATGGATGTGGCTTGCTGGTCCCTGATGGAGTAAAACGGCCAGTAAGCGAGAGGCGTTTTTGATTAGTGAAGCATATACGGAGTAGCGGTTGATGACTCCGTAGCAGGGATTGTACGGTGTGGCTGACTTTTTTTTTTCTTATTTTATTTTATTTTGATTTATCTTTTGGGTTATAGATTTACTTTATAATTATGTTTTGTTTTGACAAGTAAGTTATGCAGGGCTACGGACAACGGAGTACATCAACCTTTATAGTCCGAACGGATTATAATGAACATTTGAACCAATTGATGCAAGCCAAGAACCGAATCCTTTTTCCGATCTTAATCTGTGGTAATAGCGCTGACGGTTATAAGAGCTGAATCGGAGTTATGATCACTAGAGCCGATAAAGTGTGGATCATACTAATAGTACATAGTGGTAAAGAGTAAATAGTGAATAGTGAATAGTGAATAGTAGAATAGTAAGTCCGGTAAATAGTAAAGAGTACTAGGTAAAGAGGACTCCGTAAAGTAATACTCTATGGATAGGGGACTCGTAAAGTCATCAAGGATTCCACCAACGTTTCAGAAATTTCCTTGCGTTGACGATGCGCACAGCCCATGCGGGTTTCAGCATTTTGCTTGCCGATCACTGCAGGATTGCATTCCACCTGGCGCCTTGGCACGCAGCGAAGAACCATCGAACCCACAGAACTTGTATTATATAGAGTCATACGGAGGAGATTATACTGTAGTAGAGTATCTTTTATTTCAGTTGGAATAAATAGTTATATGAACTGCGTAATCTGTGAATCCTCCGAGTATAAATCACTAGTGTATGCAAGGATGGCTGCAGAATCTATTGTTCGAGAAGCATTGACTTGAGTCTGATTGGTTTAGCGTGAGACGACCCGAGGCAATATTCAATAGTGTCGCGATGGATCGGAGGGAGGTCTGTTTTTGTGTATTATTCTATTCTTTATTCTAATTATCTAGTTGTGTCCGGAATATGATTCCAGATACACATTCATATGGAGTAATAGTACATAGTACCTCCATATACTCATAGTTCTATATAGACAAGTCACTATCAAGTATAGATATAGAACATTCATAGAACCTTACAACCACATGTGCACATAATTCCCATTCTTGTTCATATATATGTCGGAGATTCCTGAATTTGTCTCGATTAATCTGTAAATCATAAATCACAAGGGGCAAAAGTTGGCCCCATTCTAGTGGATCAGCCTAGCGTCCCTGGTACGGGTACTCCGTCCACTCTCAAGCGGTTCGTAAGGACTTTTTTATAATGTACATTACAAAACATGATTCAAGTCATGAATAGTCTTCTTAAAAATTAACCCCTATAAGGAGTCAAGAAGATTTGGCATTTTATAATATTGATATGAGCTCTCACATTCCAAAGAATAATATCATTCTATACCAAAAAAAAGTGGGCCAAGGAATCTGCACTCCGCAGGACTCAGTTCTCGGACTCTCTCTCTCTCTCTCTTGAGTAATTGAGTAAACCATCAAGACACGGTCTAGCCGGGTACAATCCTCCCCGCTTGTGGGACGAGTGCTACTGACCCTTCTCAGCTTTGGCTCCTCTTTTCTTCTCTCTCCCCCCCCTTCTCTCTTTAACTTCCCCTTCATCTTTTTCAATACCTTGAATCCTTAGGGTGGAATTCATTAGGTAGTTTCCGGAGATTAGAAAGGATAATCCTGATTTTATTTTGCTTTTCTTCTTCCCCCGCGAAATTCCCAAGTTTGGAATCCCCGTTCGAACTTCAGCCGCGACTTCAACTGCTCTCCCCCTTCGCGATTCCCTTCCTATTTTCGCAATTCACTTCCCAAAAGTCACCAATACCTACCAAGTGGCGTCCTCGGTGTCTCGGAGGATAATCTGGTCCAATTGGAAACTCGTCGGCACAAATTCATAACGGAACGTGGCAGGTCCTGGGGGTGGGGAATCTTGGAAGAATCGATCGAAGCGCACCCCGGGCGTTGACAGGATCTTTCGGCTACGTCCGTTTCTTCGTCGCGTGGGTCGGCTGATACTGTTGGACAAGGGGGTCGTTAACTTGAGAGTATGTTCACCTATCATATTCTCCGGAAAATGCGCCCATAACCCGGGGCGCGTTCTTGTCAAAGAAATCCCATCAGCCTCAATGGAACTTGAAAGGAAGAAAGAGAGGGGAAAGAGCTGCGCGCATATCCCTGAATAAGATCTGCCAGTTCCTCTCCGCCTAGTTCACCCGCTCTATCTAGCACCGTACACCTTTTTTTGTACTCAATCGCTAACGACTTCGGGTTTAGATTTTTAATTCGCATTGTAATCATGGGTTGCATGGTTTCAAAGCCCGCAGAGGCGGATAGAGATGCGCTCCAACGAAATGCTCGTATTGATCGGGTCATCAAAAGTGATAAGAAGACAATGGATCGGACGATCAAGATCTTATTACTCGGTTAGTAATTGCCACATTGCAGAAGCCTCCCACTGCTATTGCGCGCATAATTATGAATCGTGCTCATAATTTCTTTAGGTGCTGGAGAATCTGGAAAATCGACCATTATCAAGCAAATGCGCATTATTCATAGTCGAGGTTTTCCTGAAGAAGAGCGACACCAAACAAGGGCTGTGATCTACTCCAACATTGTCATTGCGTTCAAGGTGCTACTGGATATTATGAATGCGGAGAACATAGATTTTCAAAATGAGAAGACAAGGGTAGAGTTTCATTCCGAATCCTGGTTATTTATGAGATTCTAATCATTCTTAAAGGCTATGGGCGACCTATTAGACAAGACAGAACCGGATGTCGGCTCAGATGATGCATTCTCTGATTTGAAGATTCGTGATGCCATGAGGGCCATGTGGCTCGATACAGGTGTTCAAAAGGCCGTGGCGCGGGGGCACGAGTTTGCGCTACACGACAACCTGAGCTAGTGAGTCTATTACCTCATCCCTCCCTTTAATTCAATCGCTGACGACCCTAGCTTTTATGAGTCCTTAGACCGCATCTTCAGCCCTGGGTGGCTTCCTGATAACCAGGATATGCTACAAGCTCGACTTCGAACCACCGGTATCACAGAAACTTTGTTTGAGCTTGGACAGATGAACTTCCGAATGATGGATGTGGGTGGTCAGCGATCAGAGCGCAAGAAATGGATTCACTGCTTCGAGGGAGTGCAGTGTCTGTTATTCATGGTGGCCCTGTCAGGGTACGACCAATGTTTAGTGGAGGATCAGAATGCGGTAAGCATACGCTATCAATCATACTCTACGAACCAAAGCACTAATTATATTTCTACAGAATCAAATGCACGAAGCTATGATGCTATTTCGAATCACTCGTCAATGGAGAGTGGTTCAAACGAAAGCCTATCATTCTTTTCCTCAACAAAATCGATCTCTTCAAAGCCAAACTCTCCATTTCTGCCATTTCAAAACACTTCCCGGATTACAGCGGCTCCGATACAGATTTCGAGGCTGCTGCGCGATACTTTGCCGATCGATTCCGTGGAATTAATCGAATCCCAGACCGTGAGATCTATATCCACCAAACTAATGCCACCGATACTACGCTATTGAAGGCCACCATGGACTCAGTACAGGATATGATCATTCAAAAGAACCTCCATACCTTGATACTATAAGGCAGCGACATATTACATATCCAGTTGCTTTTATGATGAACGTCAGTGCTTCAAGTTTACCAACAAGTCGATTTTCGTTTCTTGTCGAGCTTTCTAGCCTTCTTTTATTTTCTTCGGTTGCATACCTCGGCGGTTTATTTCCTTTCTGTCCCTTGCAACATTAACCAGCTCTTTTTGCATTCCTTGCCTATTTTTCGACTTTTCTTTTCTTTGATGAGGCGTCTTGATAGAGGAGGAGTCGTTGGCCCTCTGTCGCATCCTTGGGTCTATTACGTTGCATCCAAAAGCTCGTTCCATTTCGCGAACTAATGCCATACGCCAATCTCTGTGATGTTTTCTTTTTGTCTTACCTCTTAATTGAGATTTTCATTTCTTTCTTTTTCTTTATTGGTTTTGATCATGCAGGATGATACCACTTTTTCATTTCTATGTCGCTGCAGATATTTGACTCGACTGTATTATTACAGTTTCTTTGTTTATTTATACATTCTCAACTTCCAACGAGGCCATTTTTCTTTCATGTCCTCCGGGTACCTGGGCACTTGGGCATACTTAGGTTAGCCAAAACAAAGAGAAATGAGACTTTCTACTCCTTTCGACCTGATCATGTGGTGTAACACTCACTACCTAACGAACTAGTGTTGAGTACAAATCCTCCTGCTCCGTAAAATTCAGTCTATCATCTGAACTCCGGAATAAATCCCATTTTTTGGATTAATGAATGAAATAAAATAAGAAACACTATAGATGTCGTAGAAAGTACAGGAATGACTTCTAGGTCTCCAAATTATACATAGACACCATATTTATTAGGCAACAGATTACCTAATCCCGCATGATCAGAGACGCCGAGTTCCGGTCCGATGATTTCGCCTCCGATTCAGACTCATCTTCACCGTCTTCATAGCCGCTGGGTCTCAAGTCAAACCATGCTGTCAACATCTGTACGCCGGGCCGCATGGGCGCCCCTCTCCGGCGTATCTCGCTCTACCCAGAACATCCCCTGTACTGGTCTCCTGGACGCAACCCGCCATGTGCAGCAACGACGATACTCCTCATCTTCCTCCAAACCGCCAGTTCCTCCGAGCGATGGATCGCGCCGCCTGGATACTTCCACCCCGGCCAAGGGAGTGAACTCTTCCAGTGAGAAGGGTAAGACTTCCCGCCGCCGAGGCAAGGATAGCGGTGCCCGCAGCGGATCTTCCAAATCCAGTCAGCAGCATGCAGCATTTTCCAAGCTTCCCAGCGTCCCCTCCACGCAACACCGCCAACCACATGGTGAGTTTCTTCACGCCTAGCGAGAAGTACTTACTTGTTTTAAACATCTAGAGCTTCTTTGACTAATTGAATTTGTCTCATAGACGTTCACGTCGCTTCATTTTTCTCCATCCACCGTCCCATTTCCGTGACCACCACGGTCCCCCCAACCTCGACCCCCGAAGCTTTCGATGCGATCTTCTCCAAGAGACTTCTGAAAAACGAGCCTGAAGATGTTATCTTCACTCTCTCCTCCACAGCCCAGTCTCTGGAGTCCGGCGCCAACGGCATGTTCGAACCCGAAGAACAACTCGGTCAGCTTCACGGCCGCTTCACCAGCGACGCTAACGGCGAGCTCCAAATTCTCGACGGTGCCGACAGCCGTATGTCCGTCGAGGAATACGTCCGTCGTCTTCGTCCCTTCCACCCTCCCCCACCTCCTGTTCCCATGGACATGACCGCTGAGCTCGAGATCGATGCCATGGAATCCCAAGAAGCTCTCTCCCAGCAGGAAACCACCTACTCCACCGTCCTGACTATCCGGGAATCCCGTCACGCCGATGGTCGTAAGACCTACGAGGCTTCCACTGGTCCTTTTGTTCGTGATGAGATGGAGGCTCCTGGTCTGCACGAGGATTTTTCCATTGATGCTCCCAGCTCTTCTTCCGGCATGACTTATGTTGAGCGTTTGCGTCAAAATTCCACCATGCATGCGCTTAGCACTAAGAGACGCCGTAAGGCTAAGATGAAGAAGCACAAGTTTAAGAAGCTGATGCGGAGAACGCGAACTCTGCGCCGGAAGCTTGATAAGGCTTAGACTTGGGGCGTTTTGTTGCGTTTCCATTTCGTTTGGTGTCAATTTTTCTTTTGGTTCGGTTTATTCAATGGATGCATATTTGGCCTGATTCTTGCTTCTTGCATCTGGTTTTGAGGGTTGATGTTGTCTGAGTTGCAGGGCATATATCCTCTTGTCTATTTTCAGTACATTGCAACCTCTTTTTTTTTCCTCTCTGGCCTATGGATTCTTCAATGGCCTAAACTCCTATACATTAAATACTCTCATATCCGTTACTTTTTTTTGCTACTCAATTTTTGAAGTCGATCTTGTTGAACAGTGCATGATTGGTGTTTTTACCTCTCAAGCTTATGCATGGACTAGCCAATAGAATCTTCTTTCTTGATATTGCATAAGATCAGATAAAACAGTTACCAATTAGTAAACGTGCATTTTGCATAAAATAGTGTCCTGGGGTATTACGCCATTGAGCCCAATGTACCTGCAGAAGACCTAGGCAAGATATCTAGATATCTACAGAGCCAGAATGTGACGCGAGAGTCATGAGAATAAGAGCAAACGCAAAATGCACAGGCCAGGTTTATTATATCATACTACCGGATACAAGGACCTAGAGACCAAAAAAAGAAAAGACAAGAAAAGAGCCAAAAAAGTGAAGAAAAAGGTAGGGAAAGAGATGAATCCCGAAGGAGACTCAATATAACATAAAGTACAATATCCAGCGCGCATTCATGCAATGTAAGCCAATATCTACCCACACTTATCCACCCAATTGGGTTCCAATATTCGATTGATAGTGATCCCCGATTCTACATACCACCATGATGAAAAGAGAAGACATTCCAATTCACAAGTTCAAATGAATTTATCGTAGCCGAAAATCTTTTTCCTGCTTGCTCCACAACTCAAACCCCCCTTGATCCGACATAATGGGACGGATGATTCGATGCACTTGTCATGCCGGATCAGAGGTTCACAACTAGACACCTCGGGATACACGGCTCAGTATGCGCTCGGCGCATGGTGTGTCGAGATTCCGAGTGTTAAGAGGTCCAGCCCATCTAGCAGACAGCTTTGGAGCGAGAGTTCATGAGAAGTGCGACAATCAATCCGTAAAGACCTGGGAGGAGACTGTTAGAACAAAAAACGAGTGACTGGGCTGAAGATCGCGGTACTCACCCAAGACTTCAGCGAAAATGAGAATCAAAATCATTCCAACGTAGAGACGAGGTTGCTGAGCAGTTCCACGAACACCAGCATCACCAACAATACCAATAGCAAAACTGTAGCGATAGTTAGTTATCAATGACTCATGTTGATATTTCATGGGTTTGAATTTGAATAAACATACCCAGCAGCCAGACCAGCCAGACCGACAGCAAGACCAGCACCCAGCTGGATAAAACCAGTGTACAGAGGGAGCTGCTGAGTCAGGTCGTTGGCAACCAAGACCGACACGACCAGACCGTAGATACCAATGATACCAGCCATGACAATGGGGACAATGTCTGCGAAAGCATGTTAGTCAATTGTCCGATTATGGGAGCATTCACCGAGTCTCCTCTAAGTGTATATAGCTTGACGTACTCTTAACGATCAGGTCGGGGCGGAGGACGGCCATGCTGCAAACACCGACACCGGCCTTAGCGGTACCGTAGGCAGCACCGAAGCAGGTGAAAACGATAGCTGAGGTGCAACCCAGCGCACCGAAGAAGGGCTGTATAAGTCAGATCAGTCATTGTTCTGTCGAGCTAGTTATGAAACCAAGCATGTGTTGGGAGATGGGAGGGGCGGCTGGTTATGATAGGATCGCCTGAAGATTCGACTCAAGAGGTGGTCGTGGGAGCTAGACTAACCGCATAGACGGGGCTGTTTAAAATCGAGTTAGCGGGGATTCTATCAATGCGTGCAAATTCAAGATGTGCGAAACCGGCCGAGTGCCGGTAGCTTGAGCACCCAGGGGGCGGGTGTCGTCGTAATGACAAGGAATCACAACGTACCAGAGTTCTGTGGCCATTTTGATGATCGAAGGCCCGACGAGGTTGCCGAAGTAAGGTCGGAGCTTAAATTAGATGGGAGAACCCGGGGATTATAGGTGTGAGGCAAAGGAGAGGAGGTTGGCGGTGCTCGGAAAGGATGGAGAGCCAGCTACGAGAGGTCCCGGTCTGTAGCCACGCTGGCGGATCATGTGACCGTTACGTAATATAGATTTGATAGGCCTTAGGTACATCAACAGAATTACCTAGGTATCTATGAGAGTTGATGAGTGCTTTTCTTTTTTGTTGATTATTGTGGATGTCTATTTTACAGATTTAGTTCACATTTTGATGGGATCACTGTCCCCCACACTGCAGGGTCACTCGACATCCCGATACGTCCAACTTGGTGGTAGACTCAGTCGTCTTACCCTCCTGCAATACAGGCTGGGTGTAGGTAATCGCCTTCTCAGACAGAGCTCCAAACGTATTGGGAACCGGTTCGAGGTGCTTTTCTTCAGAACCAATCGCCTGATAATCTGGTTCCTCGGCATTAGACATCACTCCAAAACAATAATGTTTTGACTCGAGTTTCACGTTGTGTGAATATGATGATTCGACCAACACAAAGAACTCAATGAAATCTCCTGCATTTGCAACCTGCGACAGATGCGAGAGATCTTCTCCAATCAATCCGTTCTCAAGGAAAGAAGGCATCTCCAATGGCTCATCTGCACGGGAACTAGGATCAAACACTTGATCCAAGTTGACAGCTTGATCTGTAGGAAGCATAGTTGGGAAAGCAATCTCTGGATCTAATGAGAGAAGTCCCTGCTTCTTGCCCCATCCACCACCACCACTCATCACACGATGTAACTTGCCACCCTGACTCAGTGACTTTGTCAGCCGATCTTGAGTAGATAATGTTTCACCAGCAACTTCAATATCGGGTTTCTCAACCAATGCCCAAACGGAGACTCTCCGATCTGCGATGTTATTCTCTTCGATATATCGTGGGAGTTCCTTCTCAAGCTCAGTTGAGGCAGGCATTGGCTCATTTGAAGACGGGTCAGTAGATTTGGCCAGCTGACGCAAGATGTTTCCCATGCCAGTGATCACCCTGCGGCGCTGAGTGACAGGTTGTAGTGGTAAGGATAATTCAGGCTGGACACTAGCCTCTGAAGACGTAACGACACAGCTTGTAAGGCCCACGGATCTATCCAAAACATAGCCATTAATACCGGCAGTCCAGCGCATTCCTAGGAAGGTTCGTTCTTTCCCATTGGTGAAAACCGTGTTGGCTAGGCGCAAGCCAACCGCATGGGCAGATCCCTCGTCGCGCACTGAGACCACTAGACTAGGCTCTTCGCCAGCCGGGTCTCCAATACGACGAGGAGGCTCAGCCTTCCATTTTAGGTTATCTCCCTCGATCACCAAGAGAGAAACGCCCTCGTATTCCTCTGATGCTCCAATTGCGCTTTCCGATAACGAAGAGTGTGATTGCGCAACATTTGGGATTTTATCAACCACAGCGGCAACAGCGTGACGGGTAGTAATTGTCTCTGGAGACGATTGGTGAAATTTTGTCATAAAATCGCTGAGAAAGGACGACGTAGGATCGAGCCAGTGCGCAAGACTTGGGGTAACGAGTAGGACGGGGACAGCGCTCGACTTGGTCTCGTAAGATGACGGAATAGATGATACCACATCCTCTGGAAGCTAATAGATATGTTAGTCAAAAATTCAAGGCCAATGGTCGCCAGTATTGAGGTAACCCACAATTTTGTGCGGTGTTTTGGTGAGCCAGGTATAGGCGCTATTCCATCGCACGCTAGAGCCAATGCTCCTTGCGATGACTGAAGCTCGTCGTGAGCTGCGCGCAAGGCGCAATGGCACCCGCGAAGAAGCAATCATAGCTGGCATATTTATTAAGCTCGACGAGCCGTAAGTTCATCGATCTCCCCACATTAAGCCTGGAAATATGAAGATATTTGGAGTTGCGGGGAGCACCTGGGCAGCCATTCACATGGGCGCAATTATTCGGACTGGACAGATCCCCGGGCTGTAATACAGTGTATATGTTACATGAATGTAGGCCAAAAAGGCCCGTATGTAATGAAATATGTGACAGTACCACACTAACCGTATAAGACATCATCACCCGCGGACATCCGCGGATTTCGGATCCTTCGACTCCTTCGACTCCAAGTCCAGTCTCAAGAGTTCATGGATTTTATTGATTGCTTCAATTATTTGACGTTTTCCAAACTCTGAGACTAATATTTTTTGCCTATATAAATAAAAGCCCGCGGACTTCCGCGGCCTTGTGGAATTACCCGTCTATACCGTCTATCGATCGATAGTAACCATATATCGTTAGATTATACGAACAATATGAAGAGAGACGCCCAGGGAAATCCAATCACAACAGTGCATCGGTGGAGCCGACCCCCGCTGTCTTGCCATGCTTGTCGTGATAAGAAGCGTCGATGTGACCGTGCCCAGCCATGTTCAAACTGCGTGCTTCGAAATATTCCCTGTGAATACTCAGGACAAAGCCCCGAGGGTAGTTTGAGTGGTCCAGACCAGTCACAGATACCGAATTCAGCTACTAAATCCAGTCAGTCTGCTGTAGTATCAAAGCCTGGCAATGTCCAATCGGACTCGGCGCCTCAGTAAGTCGCCCCATTTAAGGATACAACTCCATCCACCTGGCTAATAATATTCAAGCAATTCCGATGAACTACTTTATCGAATAAGAAGATTGGAGGAAGCCTTTCTTAAAAAGTCCACTGCGCCTCCAAATTATACTGTACCTCAAAAATCACGAACTGAATTCCAGGGTATTCTCACAAACGTGAACTCTTCGCCAGAGCAGGTAAATCTTTGTCCACTACTAGTATTCCCTATCAACAGCAGCTGGGGCGTCAATCATGAATCGTACAGATACTGACTCATTTCCTAGAGTTTTGCTTCCCACTATGTTACCCCATTCAGCATGCATCATATGTCTAGCTCGGATGGGTCGAGCAATTCTCCAAGTATCGTTGAATTGACAAGAAAGCTCCCTCCACTGTGGCAGGCCAAAGAACTTTTCAACCATTTTGCAGAAGTAATACAACCAACAATCGGGGTTCTTCATATTCCTTCAACCCGAAAAATGATGGAAAAGATATATGAAGGTATTTTGGACGGCCAGCAGCCTCCAGCAGCCGACTTGATGTTGACATTTAGCATATTTGCCGGTTCGGTACTAGGCTGGACGCCGGTACTCTTGAGCAAGCTAAATTCAACAAGTGAAGAGGCTCAATCGGCTTTAATATCATACAGTCGTCTTGCATTGGCCATTTTGGATCATCACGAAAACATTTTGCAACCATCAACTACTGCTATTGTAGCCATCGGAACCTTGGGTCACATACTCATGAATACGGACTGCTTCCCAGTACGCGTGCATACTCTTCGGAATCACTGTTTACTGATGGCAAGGGAATTGAACATTCATCGACTGGACACGGCCAAGTCTCGCGAGGAGCGAAGACTTAAAGGGTGTGACATGATTGATATTGAAGTTCAGCGACGAGTTTGGTGGAACTTGGTTGCGTCCGACTGGTAATTATTGCCAACAATAGATCTTTCTTGCTTGTACTAACTGCCATAGGCTTCTCGCATTCGCTGGAGGTCCACAGGATGGAGCCTATGTATTCCAACCCAAGCACATGAATGTGAACATGCCAACCAATACAGATGACGAGTTCATCACTAGTGATGGCATTCAGCAGACATTTCCCCAGTTCATGCCCACGGTCATATCGGGTTTTTATGCTCGAGTCCAATGTGCCGATCTCTGTCGTCAAGTGGTCGATGCTCTTCCATCCATCCTCCTTGACGCAGAAGAACCAGAGTATGCCACAATCATGGATTTGGATACGAGGTTCCATGACCACTTCGCCAGTCTTCCGGTCTTTCTTAAACTTGACCCGGAAAGCATCGAACAAAGCCGGCAAATCTGCAAAGAACGACCTTACATCGCTTGGCAGCGCCTCAGCGTCCACTTCAGCCTTCATACTCGTCTTTGTCGCTTACATCGAGCCTATCATCTCGAGGGTATTACAAATTCCAAATATGCATACTCGCACATGGTCTGTATTCGCTCTGCCCACAAGGTCCTGGAAATCCGTCGTGCGATGGATGATCTAGTTCCGGAAATAGGGCTGCGACCCGCTCGATTCTGGACAGTCATGCATCATGTCTTCTTCGCGGCGTTAATATTAGCCATGGATGTCTCCTTCAACCCGACTGCGCCCGATGCAGCCGCCCGCAAAGCCAAGGTGCTTGCCGCCTACGAGACCCTCGAGCAGTCGAAGCGAGAATCTAATAATTTGATGGAGGGCCTTCAAAAAAACCTACAGACGCTCATGTCGACATTACATAAACAGCGACTGCAGGGATCTATGCTACCAAATGACACGACTGCAGCCCGCGAGGGGCTTGCCGCTGACATCCCAACCAGGAACCAGCTAGGCAACGAGACTGGCCAGGCTAGCAACGTGACATTTACACAAGAGAAAGCCGCCACAACACAGCCATCGTCGTTACTTGTTTCCGATGGTAATAGTCTAATCAACGATATGGACGAAGATGGTTGGGAGAAGCTCTGGTCGGAATTTGTGGCTGTGGCTCCTGTTTTAGATGTGCCACAGTGGAACTCATTGCTGGAAGATGTGGATTTCCCCCCTCATCTAGATATTTATTAAAATCTCATAGGTTTTTGTAAATAAGATGTAGCCTTATGGGCGGCTATGAGTTCCCCATCCTTAAAATAGTAATCCACTCAAGTCCCGAATACGGAGTACATGGTACAGACTGATCGGAGAGAATAGATCGACTTGCGTCAGGGGCTATGGAATTACTCCTTAATTTTTATTTTTCTTGCTTTTTCAGCCACCGCAAATCCCCTGCACGAACTCTGATGATTTGCTTTTTCGAGGAACAGTGAAGTCATGGCCCAATGACGCTTCGGTTGCTTTAGCACGACCTTGGCAAGTCATAAGTGGGGAGGGAATGGTAGGGCTGGCCGTTGGGTTGCGAGGCGCCACAAGTGACGAGTACATGCCGAGCACAATCCTGCAGGAGATCGTCACTATCATGCGACTACTCGCAGGTTCATGAGGCCTTGTGAGTCAAGTATCCTGTACTTCATTTACTCTGTACACCCTCACTATGCCAAGACGTCTCTAGGCAACCAGCAAACAGAGAACAGGGATAGGATAGGAGAAGAGCCAAGAGAGACTCGGTGGATTATCTCTAACTGGAATTTGAATTTCTTTCTACAGGGTAATTCCATAGATTATTACGGAGTAGTCAGGAACGAGGTACAAGGGAAACTGGGCAGTTGACCCCTTATACATCAGCGCGTAATAGTAGGAATCTTCAAAATCTTGGAACACCACGAGCGTCAAAACTAAAATGAATAAAAGAGAAAAAGAGAAAAAGAGAAAAAAAAACCTTGCTTTTCAATTTATCATTCTTAAACCAGCCACAAGCTATAATTTGAACCAATCATTAGTAGTGATAACTAGAATGGAGACATGTGCGCCACAGAAGTGGCGTCCATGATGTAATAGAGGCAGAAGCTCTTGTTCTTCCCTTTAAAAGACTCTCTCTCTTCCGTATTCCCTCCCCTCCAAGTTTTTTCTCTTACCCCCAATCCCTTCAACTTCCATACTCGTCAACATGCCTTTCACTGCTTCGTAAGTTTTATCTCTTCCATCGACTCGGTCTGCTCTCGGCATCCCTGTCGCATGCGGGTACCCTCCCCAAGCTTACCAGCTAAAAAAAAACTGGGGGCCGATCGGGCCCTGGAAAACCGAGAACTGAGAAGATGAACAAAAAAACACCAAAGACCTGAAACTGACATCAAAGCTAGTGATATCTGCAAGATCATCTTCGCCATCATCCTGCCTCCTCTGGGTGTCTTCCTAGAGCGCGGATGTGGTGCTGACCTCCTGATCAACATCTGTCTGACCATCCTGGGTTGGATTCCCGGTGTTATCCACGCCTTGTACGTTGAACGCCCCCAAATCTTAAATTGAAGATCCACATACTAATCGCACTTCCTTTCTTAGCTACATCATATTCAAATATTAATCTCATGGAGATTACAACTCACGCCGTCGCTGCGCCTCGGACCTTTCGACTGCTTTCCTCTCGCGCGAAATCCTTTAAAGGGGAACATCTTTTGGCGCCAAGCTACATCTCCACACACCATTCCCTCTGTGGAGATATAGCGCGGTGACTATCCATCGTCGAGTCCCAGTTGTCAGCGTCAGCGTCGTTCCGCAGAGATCCGAGATTAGCCTGTGTTCCCCACACCAGGTCGCGGTCGACATGACATGATGTTTCATAATTCCTTGATATTGGCGCAATGTGCCATATGAGGTGCAGCCATGAATTATCTTTTTTTTTCCCTTTTTATTCTCTTTCCCTTTGTTATGCCGCCTCGTTTATTCGCGTTTGTCGCTTTTCAAATGATACCACCTCATCCTGTATGACAGGGTTGGTTAGCTTTTACGATTGATGGAATGGCAATTATTTGAGAAATCTCACATTCTTCCTGGACTCGATGTATGAAATAGCTCCGATCGGACCCCGCATTCTAATATTCCGGTGGAACCGATGCAGGATCAATGTGACATGTCATGACTCGTCTTAAACCTTTCAGCTGCCAGTGCTAGTCTAGAGAACATCGAACTTTCAAGGTATACTCGAACTATGTTCATTGCTAATCCTCGAATTCAACCTCAATAACAAAGACTCACAGGATCTAAGTACTCTATTTACATATATACTCGGTTGTTTCGTTACTCTTAACGCTCGTGATCTAAACAAATCAGAACAACCACGGTGGACCTAAATCACAACCAGTCAACCAGTGGCACGTATCTCGCACTTCCCCACAAAACATCTACACTCTGACACGACGACGCAGACCCACCTGCAAGCCAAGTGGCTTACGCAAAAAGCCCTCGCGCGTCTGCATTTCTTCCTCCTGCTCAATCTGGAACTCGAACTGACTAAAGACGGTAGCCACGATAACAAGAAGCTCCATCTCAGCAACGTTCCGACCAACACAAGCACGAGGACCGTGGCTGAAGGGGATGAAAGCGGCTTTTTGACGAGCTGTGAGGTTCTCCCATCTTGCTGGGACGAATTCTTCAGCATCTCTACCCCAAATTTCTTGGGAGCGATGAATTGTGTAGCTTGGGACGGAAAGAATATCACCAGCATAGAAGGTTTGGTCAGCGATTCTGACCGGGTTGCTTCCTTCAGGAATTTCTCGTGCAAGACCCATGGCAGATGTGCTATGAATTCGCATTGTTTCTGAGATAACCCATTGGAGGCTAAAGAATCAGTCAGAAATGCAGAAATAAAAGAGTTGGGAAGAGAGTTCTTACTAGGGAATGTCTTTCACCATGGCATATGTGGGAACATCACAATCTTTAGGAATCGCATCATCCAGAACCTTGTGCAGCTCAGCGACAACACCAGGAGTACGAACACACCAGTACAAGATAGCGCAAGAGGTATTCGAGGTCGTATCAGATCCAGCGATAAGTTGTGTCAAAGCTTCAGCGGTTAATTCCTCCAAACCCAGCTTCTCACCGGACTCATCCCGACCCTCCATCAAATGAGCGAGAAGATCAACTCGAGTGTTCTTCTCCACGACTTCAGGTTTCACGCGCTCGTTAACTCTAGCGATCGCAATTCCAGCAAGATTTTCCACGGCAGCGAGACCCTCAGTGAAGAAGCGATCAGGGATCCACTTAGCATAAGGTTTCAGAGCTGGCAAGCAACCCAGTGTTGCAGAAACCTCGCCACGACGATTAAGAACCTCGACTGCGGCAACATATTGAGGTGGCTCATTAGGTGATTTGCGCATCTCGGCGATATCCTTACCGTTCTTTAGCATACCGAATGGGGCTCCGAAGGCTAGATCACCAATGATATCGAAGGCGAGGTAGTTGAACCAGTTCAACGCATCAATATTAGCATAGCCGGTCTTTGGGTTTGTTTCCAGTTCCGCTAATTTATTCCACTGATCGACAAATAGCTTTACGTTGGCATGAATGTATTGCTCGAACTGGCCAATCGACTTGGCGCTGAAAGTGTGGGAGACGATCTTCCGCTTGCGAGTGTGCTCGGCTCGGTTGCGAGTGTTGAACAATCCTCGACGAATAGACACAAAGGCATCATAGAAGTCACTACAGAGAAGATGTAATTAGTGGTGAGAATTTCTGAGTGGTTCCATAAGCCCCCGCTTACGCTTTCAAGAAACCATTTCCATGACCGTAGATGACCTGGATAGCAGCATCATCGGCGATAGAAACATGATTCGGTGCAATTCGAACCACTTTTCCATATTTCTTGTGTGCCTCATCCACGGACAGGTATCGTTTTCCTTGTCGTGCCTGTAACAAGAGCCAGAGATTAGTAAAAGCCGCAAGACTGGGGCTCGGGATGTTCCTTTTGTGCCCAGATTGCACATAAGGCACTAGATAGTAGGCAACTAGTAGCCCGATGGCAATAAATGGAGCATTATACAAGGAAAAAAGCATATTGAGCTCAGTTTAGAACATTGGAATAATTTTGAGAACTAAGTTTCCAAGTTCATAAAGAAAGATTTAAATTCATGGGTCATGGCTATCGGCTAAGTACCCCAGGACTAAGTGGAGGTAACTCCAACGCACACACAACCATGGGACGACACATGGGACACATGGGAGCTCCGCTTCTTCCCCCGGATTCAAGTTCACCCGCAAATTTGCCGAGCATCGATCATTCGGCAAATTGCCTCCAATGTGGTTTTAATGCTTTCTAATGTCCCCGAATCAACCCCTCAATGATCTCTCAATGACAGACACGTGACAATTTGGGGGCCATTGAGTCTATTGAGGGGCCATTAAAGGTAAAACTTGGATTATTAGAGGACAAACCACGCGTCGAGACTTAATGGAGACTGCATTAGTGTGTTATAGATTATGAGGCGTCCAGCCCGTGCGTATGGTGCAGTAGCCTGTTCATCAATAAGCCTATGCCCATCACGGCTTTCCACCCTTCCCGAAGCCCGCATCAGCCCCGTGGCCGAAGCCTCTTTGGCCTTGATTCGGTGTGTATCCACTCAAAATACGGAGAAGGAACGCCTTCATATCTCCCCGATGAGATGTGGATCTTCAATTGAACAAAATGAGGATTTGCAGGGGTTTTTATTCAAATCATGGAGACAAATACTATTGTGCAGGACACGGAGGTATCCAGCGAGTCGGCTAGCATATCTTCCGAGGCTGTACGGAGTACGCACCGCTAAAGTGTTCGGGTATTCCGTGTCCTTTCTCCGATATGCAAAATACATTGCCTGCGCTTCGGAGTGCATTCATAATTAGGCAAGTGGATCATTGTGCCATGTGTAAATCTGCTTGCGAAGAAGGGGGCCGTACGGCCATACCCGTTACGGATCAATTTCCTGACACTTAGTTTGCTTAACTCAAGCCATGACCAACATTTTGAAGGTGGCAAAGGGGGCAATTGATGCAGATCAGCCATTCAAATGCAACAAAGGTTTAGCTTAATCCTTCAACCCACTTGGTGGCTTGCCCAGTGGATAAATCAACAGAAACTAAGGAAAACAATGCAACCTATGCACTGGCCTTGATTGCGATCTGCTTCATGCATACCAAACCCTCTTCAGAGTTTTACTAGATGAAAGAGAATGAACCGTTCACAATGCTAAAAATCAATAGACAAATAAATTTCCATTAATTCTTGATAATAGTCATTTTAACATCAATGTTCATATCCACCGGGGCGCCGGTTATCACTAATTCCAACTAACTTGGCCAACTTGATGAAGCGGAATCCCTTTTTTCTCATGCAGCGATCATGTAATTGGCCCCCAATTAAGTTCCCTGTCTGCATTGATGTTCCCCTATTCCAGTCATCTGGTATTCCTTTCTGCAAACTGATGAAACTTCCAAGCCTGATCGCCCTCGGGCAACGTATGACTCCACCGATTTCTGCAATGTTGAAAATATGCTCGATGCCCACCTCGGGCCCTGAATATTCAAGTTCCACTTCATACCCACCGTCAACCATCAATTATACATCAAAATGATCTTGGAGGTTCGATCAAACTCGACGCTGTCGCAAGCGTACCTAGATGCGAACATCGGAGACCGCCTAACTGGCGTTGCGGCTGCTATGCTGCCGATCACTCTTTTCTTTTTAGCGTTGCGGTTCTATTCTCGCTCTCTATCAAGAACACCGTGGGGTCTGGATGATGTATTGGCCGGCGCTGGAGGATTTGTTGCAGTGGGATTATCTGCACTTGCCCTCTGTAAGTATTCAAATACAAAGCTTCCAGATATCTCATCTGGGACCCTCATACTAACAATTGACTGCAGGTTTTGTGAAATATGGTGGCGTTGGTCGTCATCTAGAAGCATTGGCAATGCAAACACCCAGCAGAGAGCCGAAATATTTTATCTGGCTGCTGGTAGTCTCGACTTACTACTACTCGACAGTCGCCATCCCCAAGCTAGCCGTTCTGGCACTCTATGGACGTCTCTGGACCGTGAATCCATACAGGTCTATAATCCTGATATTGGCAGCAGTCATTACCCTGACTGCTGTGGTATCTGGTATCATGTGTTTGAATATGTGTCGGCCATTCAAGGCTAATTGGGATACCTCAATTGGCACATGCTATGACAAACAGGCATTTTTCCTGTGGGCATCATTGCCGAATATCATTACGGACGTGGTCATGCTTGCGATGCCTGTCCCCATTGTCTGGAACTTGAATGTTACTATGAAGGTGAAGCTTGGTCTGATCCTGACGTTTGCAACTGGTATCCTGTGAGTTACCTATCCATCCAGACTGATGATGCGCACCTTCCATCGAATCTTAAGCTAACCATTATTTCCCGTATTAGTGGCCTGGTTACCTCAATTATGCGATTCATCATCTTCGCTGAAGGAAACGCTGTGCAGGATGGGTCGTGGAGTTCCACGGATCTAATGGCCTGGAGTGTCGCCGAACCCGACATCTACCTAATTAGCGCTTGTCTTCCTACATTCCGACCTTTATTGACAAGGATATTCGGTCGCGAGGGCTCGACTGCGAATTCGAATTCACGATATGCGGACCGATATGGAGGGTCAGGACCCTCAGCAGGTAATAATTCCAAGGGGAACAATACCGCCTTGGAATCTGCGATGTATGGGGACGAGGTTGGGCTTGTGTCATTTATTGGCAAAGAGTCAAATACGAGTCAGGATGAGCGTATAGGTGATAGTGGCATCTATGTATCACGAGAGGTCAATGTGCAAGTCAGCAATCACTAACAGCGTTGGAAACTTGCCACGACCGAGGGGTTGCATTATCACGAAAAGTCAATGTCATATTTTTTAATAGAAATTCATACCTTGTATACAGCTTCAATGGATTATTCGCTTATTTTGCTTATTATCTCTCCGAGGTCCCGAATTTGGCTGGTCATGTCGGTTAAACCACCTGGGCAGGACCGGCGAAAAGAAATAATGGTTGTATCATAGTTGGGCACAATGTGACAGGCATCTTTGTATTAATAGCCTTGTCATAAACAATTAGAATGTAACCGAGTGCAATTTTCTCACTATCAGACGCAAATTTGGACCCTTGACCTTGAATTTACCGAGATGGTATACCCGTCATGGATGCCCGCCTAGGTGGACAAGGATGCATCCCAACATTTTGGAACCGAGCAACCTCCAAGATCCCAGCGACTCAGAATACAAAGCAGGATCCGTTGAAGTCATATGACCATATTTCGGGAGCGATCATCAAGCTCAAATGACGTGAACAATTTCCAGAAGCCTTCGTAGGCTAAGCCAAGACCGAACCGATTCGAGCCAATCGACATCTAAGTCCACACGCATACAATTCAAGAATGAGATGTATGATTTCAATGGCGATAATTAAATCAGATCAGCAGATCGACAGAGGCTGGGGAATTCTGAAACGCTCAGTCCCGCCGCGTTGTCCTTTCACCCTGCAAGTCAAGCGCCCACCTTGAGCCCCGGCGCGTAAAGTGACGCTAGGACCACAGCCCTCAAATACACCAAACAACACCCGACCAGGGCGCTTCGCAGTCACAATCATTTGCCTGCTTATTATACCCAGGATCGGGTATGTACGATGGTTTCAACATAGCGCTACCTAGGCACCGCCCCATCAGCTGCGTTTCAGGATCTTGCTGGGTGGCATTTGCTTGGCTCGTGAAGTAGCCGGTCAGCGTCATAATGAATACAATGGTCTCGCGCCTGGGATCTCGATGCGCCCACCATTCTATGTTTAATGAGGTCCGAGTCCCTGACCCTTGGTCAGATTCAGATCTATCAATCACTCCTTCTTGAATCTTTCTTGGCTTTTCTTGATCAACGTTCTTTACTTCATAGACCGACGAGTCTTTGGCATACAGCAGTACAGCACACCTGCTGATGATGATACAACCACAAATTACATTCCTTCGAGGGTAGTCACTCTCATGTATCATATGAATAGGTAAGGAGGTTCAGGAGAGCGGAAAGTGGCGTTCGAGCTAACAATTCTCATCTCATGTACAGAGTCATCACAGTATGCTCCTCCATCCTGTGTTCAGGATACTCCTCGTGGTCCTCCCGTTATTCGCATTATGTACGGCCAGCTCAGATGCTCCCAATGAGACAAACGCCGAACTATGGGACATGATCCCAGATTGTGCTCGAAATTGCACCGAAAATTTCATCAAAGCCGATTACTTGTCGTCGAGTTGCGCGGACACCGATTATAAGTGTTTGTGTCGGGCAGAGACCGCCAGTACCCTCACACTGGGGGAGGCTGCAATAGAATGTGCATATGCTTTGTGCTCTGAGTCGATCAGAGAGAGCACCAAGGCCTATCATATTTGTGACTCGGTGTCTGGGGCCCTCTCTGAAACCCATTCCACACTCACAGCTACTACCTTTGCCAGTACATTATCAAGCACTACGACAGATGTATCAGCCACAACAACCGAGAGCTCAACAAGTTCGACAACATCGACAAGTCATCATGCTGAAGCCACTTCCACCTCTGAGTCTTCTCAAACCTCGAGCTCGACAACTGAGAGCTCCCCGACATCGAGTACGACTGCTTTAATTACATCCTTTTATGCTTCTACGATATCGGGGTCTGGGGAATCCCCGCATACTATTAGCTCCTACATGTCCACATCAACATCCACGAATTCTTCAGCTGCTACAGGTGGAAGCAGCGGTAGTAGCGTCAGTGCTGGAACAGTGATCGGGGTTTCTGTCGTATCCGGGGTTGCTGGCTGCTTTATAATAGGAGTTGCTGTCTTCTATGGCGCTAAGAGATGGAGGAAAAATAACCGGATAGAGCAAGACTCGGAGGTTGGGGATGATCGACCTGCTGAATTTCCAGAGGAATCCCTATCCCGGGAGACTTCATTCGATCCGGACCCAGGAGCAGGACCTTCTGCCTCCGGTGCTTTACAACCCAGGCAGGAACTGGAAGTATCTCAAGTACCCCGGCAGCCACCAGTCTTCCACCCAACCTCTCAATATCCACCCAGGTTTGCCACTGGCTCAGGTATTCGTCTGGTGGACAGCCCACACGATGAGAATAATCAGCGGATAGGATTCGCAGTTACATCTGAGTCGGTCTGGGACGGCTCGCCCAGGACGGTAGACTCACAGCACACTCTTGCAGAGCTACCTCCGATCCGAACACCTGGTCTATGTCCCCAGCCATTAAGAGTCAGTCATCGACCATCAAGTGGAGAGACTCTATTCGAAGAAGACGGCACTCAGACCACAATTGAAAAGAAACTACCTGATCTTCCCAGCACGCGTGGTGCGAAATCGAAGCTCCCAAACCCCACGCCTGGTCTACCACCCAACCCTCGAGCCCTAAAACAAGGATTCCGAGCATCCCAGTTTCGACGTCCGGCAAATCAAAGAAAACCAACCCCCACCCAAGCACAATCTCCCCGCGAAGCCCCAGCCGGTCCTCGAGAGAGAAAACTGGGCCCGCCATTCTCTGCCACTTCATCTCGCGTCCGCAGGTCCATCGCATCAAATAGTAGCAGTGGACCCAATTACAGCTCCGAGTCCTCAGATCATACATCTAATACATTCGCTACAACACCACCTTTCAGCACCGCACATGTCCGTTTTGTAACTGATCAACCTCCCACAAATCCTCAACAACCCGCACCCAAACACCCATCAAACCCAACAGCCCAGGCACCTGACATCGTCTCTCGACCTCGTGTCGTCCGTGGAGATGATATCAAACGTATCCAGCCTGGGAGCAGTCCTCGTCCACCCAGCGAAGTCGTCGTTCCATACTGTCCAGAGGACTTCTGGCTTGAACGTGGTCGGAGCAAAAGCCATTCGCGCACAGTCTCAGCAGAATTGCCATATCCTTCTGAGGCATTCCCTGGTCGGGTCTTGTACCCATCTAGTCCGCAGAGACGACCTGGAGATGCTCCGAGAAGGGTCTCACCATCGAGTCGAAACTTGACTCCATCTCGACGAGGAGAAGATTTGATCTTGAGTGTGGACTAAACTTCTATCTTTGTCATCTAATTTCTCTTTTATCTCTTGTGATTTTTTTTGTCAGCGAGTTGCTTTATAATTTTCTCTCCTTTTTTAACTGTAAATTATTAGCGATGCATTGGAGTCAGTGATTTGACTTGATCTTGTTAAGGTTATTGCATCATACATAGGGAATACCAGATGTACAGATAGCGGAATGAAGCTAAATAACAAATGCTTGGAATTGCTGTCCAATAATATTGACTACTAGAGCTGTTCTCCCGCCTACAACCTTGGAAGTCATAGGTAGGTCATATCATAAGGCATCCATATTCAGTGCTCCATGAGGTGGATTTCTTCAAAATACCCAATCAGGAATAGTCCAATAACACATGGCAGAATGGAAAGCGGTCTTCCAAAGTTTTCATACTAGCTAGAAGTCCTGGAGCCTAGAACTCGAATGGTAGCCTAATTGCTTATTCTTACCTATTCGATACATCCATCACTCAACCTAGAGCCCATCAACCTTGGAAGTCTTCTAAGGTCTTCATATACTATCATAACAGAACGGTTCTCTGACAACTCTTTCCACCCAGAGTGATATACTCCGAGTTAAAGATATGGCTCATTTAAGGTCCTCTGAGCCGTTACCCGCGCCTTTATTCCTTGATTTTCGAGTCTCTGATCTCCTTGATATGACTATACGAATGCCAAGATTCGAACCATGGACCTCTCTATATTGCACGGCTATCACTGAAAAACGTTACGGTGATGCATTATGGGCACGATATCATATGAACCCAGGTGCAAAAGATGGCGTCATTACTGGTATTCGTGATACGGGAGACAAATTCGAGACGTATGAAACTCCGGTGTACGATGAGATTATGATGGATGCCAAGGGCTATGCCGAATGCCCGGATTCATATCGGAAGGCGCTGGTTTTTTACAGCAGTACAAGTCCGAGTGATTCGCATCAGGAGATAATCAAGGGGCTTTTTAAAGTTGGTTCTGAATTTGGGATCTCCCTGTAGGTTTTCTTTCAGTTTGGGATTCTTTTTGATTAGCTGTTACTAAAAGGTCTAGTTGAATATCCGCAAGCTCGAAGTGGTCAGTAGATTAGTTCTGCATGTGTGCTATGGGGCTCCTAGGGGGGGCTCCCTTCCAAGAGTTACAGGTGGAAAGGCGGCCGTTTCTGGCGTCAAAGGTTGTCATTTTTGTTCTTGATTTCACAGGTTTCCATATTCTATATGTAAATTATTAGCGATGCATTGGAGTCGGTCATTTGACTCAAGTGCTTGCCCAGGTGATTGTGTTAAGGTTATTACACCATGCACTCAAGGTCGTTCTTGTGCTTTTTGGTACTACTAGACTCTTAGCCACCTGGGTGGAAATAAAGGTATCAGACTAAGGGAGCAGGTCATATGGTCTGAAAGCTCTCTGTAGCTCTCTTAAAGGCACAGTTCCTTCCTTAACCATTGCCTTGTCCGCTCCTTTCTTCCTTCAAATGTTTCAACCAGGTTAGGCCAAACAACAATCACTTGAAGTTTGATACTTTTGACGGCAAACCCCGAAACAAGATGAAGAACATGATGAAGTCAATCAGATTGATCAGATAACACGGATCAGGGGTCCTTATGTGGGTCCATCTCGTGAGCTCATGATATTTCTCGTCAGCACTAAATTTTGGTCTTCTTCAAGCTCCTTGGCGTGAGCTTTGTTGAACTCTTGGCCCTGACTTAGACCCTATCAGATTTCAAATGCCGTGGATCATCATCGGTGATGTCCAAATAGAGAAAAAAAACTCGTGCACTTTCCTCCATACTGACTAGATCAGGTTTCTGATCAAGGTATAGTGAGTCGTGACCAAGGAAAAGTTTTCACTTTGGTTAGTTTCCGCGATGCGCCGGCAATTCCGAATTACCTAGGTGAAATTTGATGCCTATATAATCAAGCTTGGTTCGTTCATAATGCAATTTTCAAATTTTTCGGAGCCATTTTTACTCGGTGGGACCCCTGATACTTTTCTTGACTCGAACTCTTCTGTCAGCAAAATGACAGTTCGGAAACGCTTCATTAATCCTTTTACACATAAGGCGTCTACTAAAGAACAGTCAACAAGTAGTGAGCAGGATGTGGAAGCTCCGGTCAATTCTCAAATTCCTTTGGAGAAATCACACGAGACCAATCAGTCTCTTGCGGAAGATGAAATAGTTGATGAAAAGACCCAGACTGGTACCCAGAAAGCCCAAGCAAGCACACAAGCTTGGACCAAGAAAACCCTGGTAGCAGCGTTTGTTCTATGAGCTGTCCCCTTTCTCTCTCATAATTTCCTTATACAAAGTGTTTAAAGTGTTTTTACTGACTACTATCTCAAGGGTTTGGATCGTCAACTTCCTAGAGTACTTTAGTTCTGGTCTGCTCAGCACACTGTCACCATATATTTACAGTGACTTCGAGCTGCATTCCCTCACCGGCATCACTTCTGTCATTCCTTCGATAGTCGCCGTAATGGTCAAGTTCCCCTATGCCAAGATCATGGATATCTGGGGACGACCTCAGGCCTTCGGGATCGGCGTGGGATTTTTGACTCTCGGACTGATCACGATGGCCGCCTGTAAGAATGTACAGACTTACTGTGCTGCTCAGGTATTCTATCAAACCGGTTTCAGCATGATAGATTTCTCTATGACTATCTTTATCGCTGATACCACTGCTTTGAAGAACCGTGCATTTTGGATTGCATATGCCGCTTCCCCATATCTGATCACCCCTTGGATCTATGGATATGCCGCTGGTCGAATACTCGCTCCAGATGGTATTGGGTATCGATGGGGTTTCGGTGTTTTTGCCATAATCATGCCCATAATCAGTGTCCCACTTTGGGCTCTGTGGTACCATACTCAAAAGAAGGCCGAAAAGTTGAGCCCGGCAGAAAAGAAGAGCAGTGGACGGTCTCTTTGGCAATCAATATTCTATTACTGTGTTGAGTTTGATGTCATTGGTCTGCTCATAATCTCCACTGGTTTCTCGCTTTTTCTCCTGTCCTTCAGTTTGTACTCCTATCAACCCGGGGAATGGCGCTCGCCTATGATCATCTGCTTCGTTATCATTGGATTTATTTTTATCATCGCATTCACCTTGTGGGAGAAATACTTTGCCCCCGTGAAGTTCATGCCATGGGAGCTTATTCAGAACCAAATAGTCTTCTTTACCTTCTCAATGGTCGTGTCTCTGTACTTTGCCTGGTACATCTGGGATGATTATTTCCAGTCCGTCCTTCAAGTCATGTTCAACCAAACTGTCACGCAGGCAACTTATATTGCCAACATCTACACCATAGGCTCTACCTTCTGGTGTCTTGTATTTGGAGCCCTTCTTCGTTACAACGGTCGTCTAAAGCTGTGGGCTTTCTGCTTCGGCGTCCCTCTGACCATTCTGGGTGTTGGGCTCATGATTAAGTTCCGTCAGCCAGATAGTAACATCGGTTTTATTGTGATGTGTCAGATCTTTGTTGCATTTGGTGGTGGCACGGTTGTCACCTGTGAACAGATGACGGTGATAGCAGTATCCGCTCAGAGAAACATTCCTGCTATTCTAGCGATCGAAGGTGTGGTTTCTAGTATTGGCAGTGCCCTTGGTGGCACCGTTGCTGTTGCTATGTGGACTGGCATATTTCCAGTCAGATTGGAAGAGCGTCTGCCAGCCTCTGCTCAGTCTGATTTCTCCAGTATTTATGGCTCCTTGGTGGTTCAAAAGTCCTACCCAAGAGGCTCGGACGTTCGTAATGCTATCGATCATGCGTATGGTGACACTCAACGCCTTATGCTTATCACCGCTACCTGCCTTTATCTCATTACGTGGACGTCTTGTTTCCTCTGGAAGGATATCAATTTGAAGAAGATGAACCAGCAAGTACATGGGGTTCATATGTGAACCCACACTCTAGCATCTATCCTGGGATCTCTTATGGGGTATGCTCCTATCTTAACCCAAGAAACGCCGAGGCAAGTTCCTAGATTTAATCTATCGCTCTAGTTCGATATCATCTCTCATAATATAGAGGTTCACGCTCATTCATGCTTTCAAAATATTTTCCACATTTATTCAAACAAATTCGACCAATTACTCTGGAGAGCCACAGGTGAAAACACCATGCACAGTGCCGGCCTTGTACTTGTTGATCTGTCATATAATTGTTAGCGCTATCCAGAAAATCAACGAAACGACAAGCTTGAAGTGACTCACAATATCGTCAACGCTAGCATATGTTCCTGCGACCAGGATGACAATTCCAATAAGAAAAACACACAGGTTGATCGAACCAAGAATGATGTTCTTAGGCTCCCGCCAGCTCCCCTTCTTCAGAAGAAGCGCCCACATCATAGGGGGGAAGTAGAAGGTAAATCCGGAAATGAAAAGTGACGAGGAGATCGAAAGCAGATCATTGAAGAATGGAATAACTTCGGCGATGATGAATGCAATGACTGTACCAGCAGCAATGACAGCCAACCAAGTGATCCATCCCATTTTCGTATTAATAAATCGAATTTGAGAATTAGCGAAGATGCGGCCATGCACAAGACGGCCAAAAACAACAGTGTTGATAGACCCGCTGATGAAGATAACTGGCAACGCAATACCGAAGGCAACACGCTTAAGAAGGCTACCAGCCGACAAAAGGGCAGGGCTCTGAACGTCTTGTCCGACAAAGGCGTAAATAAGAGCACCTGTTAGGGTATAAATCACAATTTCGATAATACCCAGGGCCCAAATGGATTTGACGTAGTCTCGAGGTGTGTGCATCTCATCCATAAATGAGAATTGGCAAAGTGCAAAGCTGTAAGCAAAGACAATGTTGGTCACAGAGACGAAGGCTTCCGCAAAGGAGAGATTCTCCTTAGGCCATGCAGACCAGTTCACAGCTGCAAGTCCACCAGGGGCGTTACTAGCATCCACACCTGTAGCGATGATGGTTATACCAATTGCGATAATAATGGAGGCAAAATCGATATAACCTAGGACAGCCATCTCAGTGAAGCTAGGTGGGACTGCTAGGAACAGCAGAATAATTGCGGAAACAACACCAAATACCACAGAGCACACATCACTCTTTGTGATATTAATAAAGGCAATAGTTCCAGTCAAACAGTGTGATCCAGTCAGGAAAAGAAGCTGGATAGCAAGCATCGCGTTGATCAACTCAAAACCAAATCGAGGACATCCCAAGCGTGCACCCATTAACCGGCCAGTATCAGCATAATGAGCAACTTCAGGGAACGCAAGCTTGACCTTTCCAATAATCCAACTAGTATAGATTGCGACCAAGCCCAATCCAACTGTGCAGATCACACCGGCAACCATGCCAAGGGTTGCGAAAGTGGAGGGAATCGACAAACTTCCCAAGGCAATGGCTTCAACAATAAGAACAACGGTCAAGCGCTTCCAGCCCAAGCGGCTGAATTTCTGAATGCCGCTTTCATAGATATGCCTATCCGCCTCATTCATGTATCCCACTTTAATATCTCTATCGTGGAATGCCGCCGTAGGCTGCATCTTCTCTTCTTCGTCCCGGGCCCCACTGGGATTTTCATGCGTGGTGGCATTGTCGTCAACATGACCGTGCTGGCCATGGGATATCTCGTCGTGATCCATGCTGGTGAAGGAAGATGCGTAAAGGGAAGAATTGGAAAAGAAGGTGGGCACACAAACAATAGCAATAATTTTCTCGTGTATCACCCCAACGCTTATAAACGGGCAAATTCGGACAGACTCCGAGAAGCTCCAATATGTCTTGGCTTCTTGAAACCTTCTCACCTTATATTGTCGATCGACCGATGATTGAGGACAGAATCGCGTGCCCAGATTTCCAATGAGGCGGGGAAATGCAGGCCTCTTTCGATCTGGAAGAGAATGCTTATTCTACCTTGCGACAATTGAGGGGTCATCATGTAAAAAAAACTGAGGATTCGTTAGAAAAGTGGACCGTCGCCGCATTTGGTGTTGAGAACGGAGGAGAGTCCTAAAACTGAGTTGACCCACTTTGGTACCTTTCTTGCTTCCAAAGGTTTAGGGTTGTAGGGTCCACTGAGTTATCATTCGGTGAAACGTAATCAACCCGAGGTTCCAAGGTTTCTTCCGTCCTCGGTGTCCGTCTCCAAACCGGGACCCGTAAGGTACAGTCCTCCGTTGCCACCTGGTCAAGGTGTGGAGATGGTCAACATGCTTTGATTCATTCGTGAGGCCGATGTTGGGGTAAGTTCTCGGTGGAGAAAGTAGACACAGTCTCTGTCCACAAGGCTTAACACGGCTGGGGATTTCTGGGGAAAGCGCCCATCTGGGGGTTGGAGGGCGGGGAGTCACAGTTTCTTGTACATAAGAGAATCCGACTCTTGCCAATCTGTGGATTTTGACATCATTGTGAGATTTGAGGGGAAATGAAGGCACAGTTTGACTTGGGCAACTCATCATCCTGGCTTCTAACCAGGTGTGACCGAAGTCTTCTCTCTGGATGTAAGTCGTTTGCAAATTGTGAATCCGGGATCGTGAGTCGCTTATCGGTTAATTCCGATAGCAATATTGATGGAATCGGGCCTGGTGAGCATCCTGACTACAGACATCCATAGCGGCCCAAGCCGTGAATCTAAATTCGGAAGTGATCGTTGTCAAGATCCAATGCTCAGTTTATTAGTCGATTAGCCTCAGTGCTTCCCGAGGTCTGAATGCACTGGAAGTATGTAAACGATAATACATTGCTTTCAAGGGCCAAATTGATTTGCTTCCCCAGCTAGCTCTTGAGCACTACTATTTAAATGATGGTGTTTATAGAGAAGTTGTACTGCATGTGGTACTCAAACTCAAGTGCTGACAGCAACGACTATTTGTGCAAATTTGTCGCCAATTCTATACCTAGTTCAAGTTAGTATGGTCTAACTTTCCTCTGTAGAGTCATATTGTTCCTCAGAGTTTGCAAGTTTTTTAAGTTGTACGTGTATGGTGAAAATGCATTCTCCGTATACCTTGAGTATACATACGTCTCAACCCTGAGACTATTCATGGGCAATTTTTTACAACCATTCAAGCACTTGAGGTTTGACATTAACAGGCTTATATCTTAACAGGTCAAACATTGAATGATTTAAATAATTCATTGGGGGTTGGTCCACTCTTCATCACCACAAGCGTATTCGGGCTCAAAAGCAAGATCAGTTGGTGGGTTCAATTAGCCCATGGATTGGAATCAATCATGATAAACTAGTCAAGGTGTTCACACGTCTAAGTCCAAGTTGAGAGCATGTACATTTTCATAGCCTCAGAGCCATGATTGGTCGTTGTTGGTGGCTGGCATTCCAAGGCGAGGCTAGGACTCAAAATGTTCGGTAAGGAAGTGTGTACTCCGTATGTTAATATGGATCAAAGTACTACCACATACCTCTCCAACATATGAATCGCCGCCATCCCAAGCCTCTTGCCGGTTGCGGATTGACTGTGGCAATCTCAACCTTGGAACCTCTTGCGCCCGGTGCGCCACGGCGCTATATGAAAGATGAGTCAGCAATAGAAGATACATATGACGTCATATCCCAAACAGGTCTGATGATGTAATATTTTCTATATTCATCTCAAGTTGTTCTCTTGAATATTTTGAATATTCGGTGACCGAATACTCATAATTTTTGAGGGATTTTTAAGAATAATGCTTAAGTTGAATGAATACTCATTTGTAGCAGAATCCTTCAAATGAGTTGTATCATCATTGAATCATCTTGTGCACATTATAGCGCAGAGCAACCCAGGAAGAACAATTTTACCGGTTCCGATCCTAGAGAGGTTGTACTCTAATTGGATATGGATATGAGATGCCATCATCAGGGATTTGGTAACTTGATCTGCCCAGGTGCATCCTCGAGAGGCTCCATAAAATTCTACTTTCAACATCAATCACCCAGTCATAAGTATTGATGGCGTGCAATACACCCCCACTTAATATGCTTACATTATTTCATATTTATGGATCAATCAATCAACTGGGCAGCAATTCTAGGTTGTAGGTTGGTGACTTCTGACCATGGACTCACTATTGTGAATCCATAAATCCATAAACGCACAGCTTTTTCTTTTTGAACAGCATATCACGAAGTATAGACGGCTCAGCATCTTTTCGCTAAGCAGAGCAGAGGCTTATTCTAGTAAGGACCTCCGACTGTGCAGGGGTTTCAATGTAGACAGTTGGGATTATTACAAGAGGAGCAATGACGAAGATAATAATACTTTAAGGCTTAAGGCTTTAAGCCACACGCAGAAAGTGGGTCTATGGGCGTACAAGCAGCGCCAATTCCTGATATGTACTGAACAGAGCTGACGATGCTATAATAATGGGCAAATCCCCCCCTTTTCCCTCTCTTCCTCTGACTTGTGTGCACAAAGCTCTTGAGTAAATCTCTATCCCAAAAAAACTGACTATTTTCTCCCAATTCAAACCTCTCCTAGTGTGGAAGAAAAGACGTTCTTCTAAGTCTTATCGCGTCTCTTTGGCGATCTGTTACTTGTAGACCCGCTTTCTGACCCACTTCTGAACATCACCCATCATTCACAATGGTGACTACCGAGGATTTGGTAGGCCGGAGAGAGGACAGTCTTTGCAGCCTAGATGCCAGTCGGGCCGATTTTAATGATCCCCACTTCATTGTTTCTTCAAATAACTTGATGAGTTTCAGTGGAGATCATGATCTCATTTCTTCGGCAAACCTCCCCAGGTATAATATGAAAGAGGAGGATTTAGTATTAAAGGAGGAACCTACGCAAACAGTGAATTCTTTATCCAATTTATCAATCATCTTCGGTGAATCTGGTGCACCTGTCCTCAATATGGTTCTTTCTTCAACAAATATCGCTTCATCTAACACAAGAGAAGAAATCATTTCTTCTTCTGATGACTCTCTTCAATCAATCACTCCCTTATCTACTCCATCAATGGATGTCAATACCGACTTTGCGCTCGCCTTTGATATCGATGGTGTTCTTATGCGGGGTGGAAAACCCATCCCCGAGGCTATAGAAGCCATGAAGTACATCAATGGAGAGAACCCATATGGAATTCGAGTGTGCGTTGTCTTTCCATCCATCCTCCATTTGAGAACTATCAATTTATGGGCATCTCATTTCTAACAAACCTGAAAACAGTCCATACATCTTCGTTACCAATGGCGGTGGAAAAACTGAGCAAGAACGATGCCAGGATCTTAGCCAACAATTAGGTGAGTCCACTTCAAGTTCCATATTACAATTTTGACCTTAGCTTATTCGTTTATTTGCCTAGAAATTGACATCTCCCCGGGTCAATTCATTTGCGGTCACACGCCCATGCGTGAGATGGCAGATCAATACGATACTGTTCTTGTCGTCGGTGGTGAGGGCGAGAAATGTCGCATTGTGGCAGAAGGATATGGATTCAAGAATGTCATCACTCCTGGCGATATTATCAAAACCCGACACGACACAACTCCCTTCCGAAAGTTGACCGATGATGAATTTCGCAATTCCCGAATTTTAGATCTCGACATGACACAAATTCAGGCTATTTTTGTCTTCGCTGATAGTCGCGACTGGGCAGGGGATCAACAGATTATTCTGGATTGTCTGGTATCGAAGAATGGGTATCTGAATCAACGATCAGAGACCTTTAATGAGGGTCCCCCACTATTCTTCTCCCACAATGATATCTTGTGGTCAACCTCACATGAGCACTCACGCATTGGTATGGGTGCACTGCGTGCCTCTGTTGAGGCGCTTTACAAGGCTATTGCTGAGAAGGATCTTGGGACCGTCGCTTTTGGCAAGCCGCAGATGGGTACATTTAAGTTTGCCACACGCCTGTTACAAGAATGGTGTCAGAAGTCCCATGGTATCGACAAGCTTCCTTCTACAGTCTATTTCTTTGGTGATACACCGGAATCCGATATTCGCGGAACGAATGACTTCAATAAAATTGCTGAAAACGAATGGTTCTCTGTTCTGGTGAAGACCGGTGTCTATCAAGATGGTACTGATCCTCGATTTGCGCCTAAGAAGATTTGTGATAACGTCCTTGACGGCGTGAAGTTTGCGGTGGAGCGCGAACAGCAGAAGACGTTGCAGTAAACCCCTCTTCTGGTTTTACCGATTTCAAACCGGGGGAGAGACAGAATTGAAGTCAGTTTCTTGCTTCTTTTTCTATTTGACCAGTCATCTATTGGTACTCATTCCTCCTTGCGACCGTCTATTTCCAAGATACCAGCTGGCTCTGGATTCAATATGACATTTAACGCTTGAATATCCATACTCTTTAAAAGAAATCATGGTTATCATATCCGAATCCATTTTGTAGCATGCCTCTTGAGATCTCAAGAAAGACTAGATAGAGAATTCCTAAATGGCACTTACCATGGTATCTATTACCTACGAGTACTAGTAGTAGCTCAGGCTGATGATATTTCAAGTTTGAGATATTCAGATGGGCAATTACTGGTAGTTCAAATATTAAGCTTGAATGCCATATTTTTGCTTGTGTCACATACTGATTGATAATCTAATCTTCAAAAATGTTCGATGTTATGATAGGACCTACTACAGGCTGCAAGAATGGGTTAATCAACATGCCCACCAGGGCATGTGTTTTCAACTGCATGTGAACAGACAATCCACCAATTGACACATATGGCTCCTCAAAACTAGAACATGAAGCAAAGACTTACCTACTATCTTACACTTGTTTCCAGAAAATTCTAGTGCCTGAATATTCCGGCAGTCGGCTCCGCCCTTCATTCGACATATGCCCCACACTAAACCGGCACAGGAACCTGAGTCCGGGAGATCTGGTTTCTGAACACATCTCTTGATAAGAACGTTCAATTGACAAAGAAGGATCTTTAGAGAGTTTCTGTTTAGAGAAATGGTATGGACGTCTGAAATTGAACTACCTTATACCTAAATACAATGGAGTTGCTAAAGAACGAAAACAGGCCCATCCTACAGAAGCAGTTTATCTGCATGACTCCTCTCTGAGAACTCTGACCACAGAGATTGTGTCATATAAACCCATTTCATCCCTTTCAGACGATGAAAAAAGCCTAGCGAAGAATATCGGCCCAGATGACTCTGCCATAACTACGCGCCAGACTATTCTCTACCCCCAGGGTGGTGGTCAGCCCAGCGACACGGGTAGCATCGCCCTGGCAGACCAGGAGCCCAGCTTTGTGGTGTCTCTAGTTCGCAAGACATCAGACGGAAGAATTATTCACTTCGGCAAACTGAATAATGCTGACTCGGGCTCCTTCGTGGAAGGTCAGAGTGTCGTGCAAAGAGTGGATGGTGCCAGACGTGACTACCACTCCCGATTACATACCGGAGGCCATATCCTCGGCGTGGCCATGGATATTCTCATGCCTGATATGAAAGAATGCAAGGCCAATCATGCTCCCAGAGAGGCCTGTCTGGAATATGAGGGCTTGCTCTACAATGAACATAAACCTTCGATTCAGGCTAAGGTTGATGAGCTGGTTCAGCAGGATCTGTCTGTTGCTGTATCTTGGTTGGAGGATGGAGCAGCTGCCAATGATCGTGTTAAGTTTGGAGATGGTCCTGTTCGGATTGTCAGCATTGGCGGACTTGATCAGACTCCTTGTGGCGGTACCCATGTGGAGCGGACTGGGCTAGTTGGTCCGATCACTATTCGCAAAATCACTAGGAAGGGTGCTATCAGTAAGATTTCTTATGAAGTGGCTGAGAAATTCTAGAACTTTTTGTTGAAATATTTCAACAATTATTTATTAGAATAGATGGTGTGGTGGTCTATTATGTTGTGTAGATGTCAAAATGTACAGTTCACAGGTCTCTTTAACTCCTTGAAAGAAAATCCTAGCCACCGCGAAAATGAAACCATGCGCCATGAATTATACCGCAAACCGATTATCCAGCCAGTGCTTCATCACCAGCTTTCCTTCGTTGAAGTCGTCCTTTTGAATTCGAACCACGATAGCTGCGTGGCTGTGTCGGTGATTATGTATGTAAACGGGGTATTTCTTGAATCCCACCTCATTCAGAGAGTCGATAATATCAAATTGATCAGGCGTCAATGCAAGTGTAGGGAATCCGGACATTAAGTTGTGGGTGGCTGAAGACTCTCCTTCATATGGAGGCAATGCTGAATCCGATTCAGTGGACTTCAAAGACCTTGTTGTGGTCTTCTTGAGCGAGTCTCCTGTCTCCAGATCGGAGCTTGAAAGATACTCGGGCTCCTGTCGAGCATTTGCACCCTCAACGGCTTCGTCCATAGCACACTGGACGTCCTGTACTAGTAGAGGCACCTTATATTTACCGAAAAGCTTCCCATTTTTCCCCTCCAGATGTAAGCGAATTCTTTTCTGGCTGCGGAAGGTCTGGACTCCGGAATTCACAATAAATGCCATCACAGCAGGAGGTAGTAGCACCATAACGAGGAGATAGAAAGGAATGTTCTGTGCAGTCGCCTTATACCGAACCCATGTTTCGGAACAGGTCTCGGGCTCTTTTGGTGGGCGTGGTAGCAAGTGCTCATCAGGGTCAATGATCACTTGCTCGTAGCCATCCACATAATTGATGTTGATATTCTCGAGGTCCTGAAAGGGATCCTTTTTCATAAATAATGTCGTGTAAAATGATGTAGTCCGATCGTTCACAATGTTTCCATATACACTTCGATTCTGGAACCTCTTCAGCCCCTGAATGAAAATGCTCTCTGGGTCAGCGAGAATGCTGAGCAGGGGCCGTCCTGTTTGGCGGAAAGAGTCCACCATGAATAGTTGCTGGCCTGACATGGAAACCATTCGGGGTCCTAGACCATTCCAAATGTGCCCACCGAGTCCCTTCGACGGCGTTCTCACCCCGACATGTGGTGAAGCAAAAGTTGTAAAGTTCATAGGCTGCACTTTGTCCAGCCACCCATGGGCATGAAGCAATCCAATGGCATATCGGGCAACAAGACCTCCCAAAGAATAACCAACGATGCTTATTTTGGTGATTTTCTGGCCTTCTTTCTCCAATTTCTCCAGTGTTTCTTCGACCTCGTTCACGACTCGTTCGCCGCCCACCTCAATTCCATCATAAGTGAAGTTGCCGCTATTTGTCTCAGGACAAAGAACATGAAGATGGTCTTCTCCATATCTCTCCTTGAGGACTGCTGCCATGTAATCCAGGTGAGATGGATTGCCCCACAGCCTACCAAAAAAGACCTGATTAGCTTGGATCCATGTCACACGTCATCTGGGAATAAGGAGAAGAGACATACCCGTGCACCAGGACACAAAGGTGGTCAACCTTGGATGGACTCTTGATACCGGCCATAGTTACAGTGAGAAGAGGGTGAAATGATTTCAGAATCAAAATCAGCAGACAGGCAACCTAATAAGAGTCAGCCCCGGCGCTGGCCGGAGTTAAGACAGCTGATGATGCGCCTGTCCCCGATAAGCCCGATAACCCGATAAGGATACGAGATTAGTTAACGTATTCGGTAGTTAAGCGAGCTGCGCATGTAAGCGAGCTGCGCACCCCACCCAAAACGCGTCAATTAATTAGACCATCTCTCTTCATCAGCCCATCATGCCACCAATTCGCTCCCAAACCTCGAAGAATCTAATTGAGCAAGAGGGTAGGATCTCATTAGCTATACAAGCTATAAAGAACCAAGAAATTAGTGCTGTTCGTGAAGCAGCGCGTCGGTTCAGTGTGCCTGAATCGACACTTCGTACGCGCCTCCGTGGTGTTCAAAACCGCGCGAATACACGCGCCAACTCGCATAAATTGACAGAAACCGAAGAAGAAACGCTTCGAAAATGGATCCTCTCGCTTGATGATCGTGGAGCAGCGCCCCGGCCGGCTACTGTACGAGAAACTGCGAATCTTCTTCTCGAGGCCCGTGGAATTACCCCAGCTCAAACAGTTGGCGAAAAATGGGTTTATAACTTCGTGAAAAGACATCCTGAACTATCGAATCGATTTTCAAGACGCTATAATTATGAGCATGCAAAATGTGAAGATCCAAAAATCATTGGTGAATGGTTTAATCTTGTTCAAAAAACCATCTCTCAATACGGCATCGACCCTAACGACATTTACAACTTTGATGAGACTGGTTTTGCGATGGGATTAATAGCGACCGCAAAGGTTGTTACAAGGGCTAAATACTTTGGTCGGAGATCACCATTACAACCTGGAAATCGCGAGTGGGTGACTGCAATTGAATGTATAAATGCTTCGGGATGGGCGCTGCCTCCATGTGTGATTTTCAAAGGCAAAGTTTTTATCGAGTCTTGGTTTGATAACCTCCCAGATGATTGGCGATTTGAAGTAAGTCCAAATGGCTGGACATCTGATGAAATTGGTATTCGTTGGCTTCAAAATCTCTTTATTCCATCAACTTTTTCACGGTTAAAAGGCCAATATCGACTTCTAATTCTTGATGGCCATGGAAGTCATTTAACACCAAAGTTTGATACAATTTGTGAAAACAACAACATTATACCAATTTGTATGCCTGCATATTCATCACACCTTTTACAGCCACTTGATATTGGTTGTTTTGCGGTATCAAAACGCTCATACGGTCGGATGGTTGAAATGAAAATGCGGCTTGGGATCAACCATATCGATAAACTTGATTTCCTTGAAGCATATCCCCTTGCCCGAATTGAGATATTTAAATCGGAGACTATTAAAAATAGCTTCGCAGCTGCTGGTTTAATACCTTTTTGTCCCAATCGGGTTCTATCAAAGCTCAATGTTTGTCTTCATACACCAACACCTCCACCAAGCCAGGATAGTGATTCAAGCCAGAACTTCACACCAAAAACCCCGTTTACCGAAAAACAACTGCGTCGGCAAGCTTCATCAATTAAAGCTTGACTTCGTACAGGATCTCGAAGTCCCCCCAGCCCATCAGATCGTGCGATAAACCAACTTGTTAAAGGCTGTCAACTCGCGTTACAAGGCGCTGCAATCTTAAGAAAGGAAAACAGCGAATTACGCGCCGCCAACGAGAAACAAAAGCAAAAACGAACTCGATCAACTAGACAGATAGCCCACGAAGGGGATCTCTCAGTTCAAGAGGTTCGTGAGCTACGTTCAGAGCCATTCGAGGCCCAAGTAGCACGAATCAATAGCTATCGTGAGCAGGTTTCAGAGGGTTTACAGCCACGTACGCGGGGCCGGCGAGGATGTGGAATATGCAGGCAGCCAGGACATAGAAGAGAAACATGCCCAGACAGAGAAAATAGCTAGTTTGATTAATTTAAAAGCGCGTTGGTTGAGAAAAATATATTTCAAATTAATAAATTAAGTTGGGTGGCCAGCTCGCTTACCGAATACGTTAACGTGATTCCCAAGCGAGCCGCCACCCCACTGTTTTAATTATAATCATTAGAACCGTAACGCCAATTTATTAAAATATCTATCTAAATATCACAGTGATCTGATCTATGTCCTTCTCCACACTTCTTACATGTTGGCAGCTTTCTCCTAGCTAGCTGAGAGGGTAAGACAGGTGCCCTGGGCCGCGGTACGGAAGGGGCAACTGGTGTTTCAACCACCTGTATAGCACGCTGTATAGCTTCCTGGCCCTCTTGAACCGTCATTCCACCCTCATTAGGTATCTGCCTAGTAGACCGTTGGCGCTTCTGCTTCTGCTTCTCGTGGGCGGCACGTAATTTACGTGTTTCAACCTCCAATAAAGCTGTCGAATGCATCTGAATTTCACAGGCCTTAAGAACTTGATCGATTTGCTGTTTGAGTGGACTTGGAGGGCTCTTTGAACGTTGTTTTAGAAGAGCTTTGATTAAACTAGCTTGCCGTTGAAGCTGAATAAGGTTCTGGGGTGTCTTGGGTGAAAATTGGCTTGATCGACTGGTAGGGCGGCTACCTGGGGGTGTAGGTGTTCGAAGAAGAATATTAAGCTTAGAAAGTACTTGATCTGGGTTGAATGGTACTAAACCAGCTGCTGCAAAGCTGTTTTGAATGGTTTGGGTTTGAAAAGCCTCTTTACGAGCGATTGGGTAGGCTTCAAGAAAATCAAATTTATCGATATGGTTAAAACCAAGCCGCATTTGATTCTCAACAAGCCGACCATATGCACGTTTAAGAGGTGCAAAACATCCAACATCAAGTGGCTGATGAAGATGTGAAGAATGGGCTGGCATGCAAATTGGAATAATATTATTCTCTTTGCAAGTCTGGTCAAATTGGGGAGTTAAATGGCTCCCATGACCATCAAGAATCAAAAGTCGATATTTTCCAAGTGTCCGTTCAGTTGTTGCTGGAATAAAGTGTTTTTGAAGCCATCGAAGTCCAATTTCATCAGTTGTCCATCCATTTGGACTAGTTTCGAATCGCCAATCAGATGGAAGATTCTCAAACCATCCTTCAATCAAAACTTTGCCTTTGAAAATAATTACTGGTGGAAGTACCCATCCAGAAACATTAATTGTTTCAATAGCTGTTACCCATTCACGATTTCCAGGCTGTAAAAGTGATCGCCGACCATAATATCGAGAACGAGTAACAACTTTAGCAGTTGCCGTAAGTCCCATTGCAAATCCAGTCTCATCAAAGTTATAGATATCCTCTGATAGAATACCATTCTCTTGAATTGTCTGAAAAACAAGATTAAACCATTCTTGAACCACTTTTGGAACCTCCATTTTCGCACGCTCGTAATCATATCGTCGAGAGAAACGGGTTGTAAGCTCTGAATGTCGTCTTACGAAGTTTGTAACCCAATTCTTGCCAACAGTTTGAGGGGGGGTCTGGCCACGCGCTGTAAGTAGAATATTGGCCATTTCTTGGACGGTAGCCGGACGGGGGGCAGCTCCACGTATATCCATAGAGATCACCCATTGGAGAAGTGAATTCTCTTCAGTTTCATTTAATTTATGGTTATTCGCGCGAGTTTCGGATCGATTAGTATGGCCGGCAAGGCGGCGCCGTAACGTAGAGCGAGGTACATCGAATACACGTGCTGCTGTGGCTATTGCTGTGATATCTTGCTTTTTTATAGCCTCAATAGCAAGTAAGATTCGGCCTTCTTGACTGCCATTTTTTTCGGCCGAGACATTGCGTTTTGGTGGCATGGTGGGTGGTTGAAGATGGTAAGGTATGACGCGGGTGACGCGAACGCGGTCAGGTGGCCGCTCGCTTGGGGTGGCCGCTCGCTTGGGAATCACGTTAGTATTTGTCTAGTTTGCATAACCTTCAGACCTCGGGCCTCACTTTGTTGAATCAAATCAGCTCTGGAGGTCTTTGTTACTTCCAAGTAATAATAAATCCCATTTAATTTTCCTGGGATCTATGAGAAACTTTACGACATTGAATCGTGTAAAAATCCTCGTCTTGGGGAAATCTCCATTAACAGATCACCAATATTTATGATGCCCCTGCTGTCTATGCTGGCATCTTGGTATGATTAGCGGGTCCTTGCTGCTGCAACATTGCTTCTTTTTCACTGGAGCTGCAGCCTGCGCCTACCTGGACCAATAACTCCGCCCGCTCAGATCCTTTCTCTCGCATGTTCCTGTGACTTCACTACTGGGGTCCAACCTCAACATCCACGCCATAGACCAAGACTATCTCATACTATGAACGTCTGGCCCAAAATCTTTCGCTCATCATGTTTACCACACTCGGTCTGTTTAATGATATCCCATGTCCGGAGGGTGGCCAGTGCTCTCTTATGACTTGCATATTTTCGCACAAAACTCAGGATCGCGGCCAACTGAAGGCAGAAGAGAACAGTTCAAATGCAATTGATCATGAGCACCTTCCAAAAAGGCTCAAGGTCGAAAAAACTGCTCCATCGCTAGTCTCAAGATCAAGCTCATCGCAATCCTTGCAAATACAATCTTCTTCACCTTCGTTGAACCAGCAATCTCAAAATGCCGGGCAGGTTGCGCCCAAACTGTCATCTATCTCGCGGAAGGTCTCACCTCCTCCGTCAAGGCACGCAGTTGCTAAGTCGTCGAATCAAGAAGCTACTCCGAAGGCTGTACCCACTACGTCAGCAAGCGCCGTGTCACAACTACCTCCTCGAAAAGTGCCGAAAGAAAGTCTCAATCCTAGAATGATCGCCAAAGCTCCGGCAACTCATGCAGTCCGGACGGCCATTCTGATCAAGCTACATGGAGCAATCGTCTCCCTCAATCAGAAACTTGCCAAGGATAAAGATACTTCGAACAAGTGCTTTGTTCTAAGCAAAGATGAACTAATTACAATGGCTCTGGACGAGGAGGAAAAGGTGGCCAAGAGTAGTCCTGGTGTCTACTCCAATGTCATCAAACTTCGCATTGTAAAGTTAACAAAAATGCCGGTGGTGGAATGGACGAAAGAGGTTATGGACCATCTCAATTCACGATATTATAAGATCCAGCCTATTCAGCCAAAATTGCCAAAATCATCAAAGCCCATCACAACAAATCTTTCGCCAAAGGAAGAGGTTGCTCTCTCAGCTGCACTTCTTACTCCAGTGCTCGGCCTTGAAGAATTTGGTTATGTTACCAAGGCACCCACAGCCACAGAAGTCGAGACGGCCAAGAAGGGAGTCCTTGAGTCCAAGGGTTGGGAGAAGTGCGACCGGTGCGGTGCGCGTTTCCAGGTCTTTCCTGGACGTCGCGAGGATGGCGCTTTGGCTACCGGGGGCCACTGTACCTACCATCCACACAAGCCAATTCAAGCGGCGCGCAAGAAGACTGATGGTATTACCGGATCATCAGAACCTTACTTTCCCTGCTGCAGTGAATCGGTGGGCACATCATCGGGCTGTACTAAGGCCAAGACGCATGTCTTCAAAGTCTCTGAGGCTAAGCGCCTTGCTTCGATTCTTCAGTTTGAAACAACACCGAAGCAGCCACAGAAAGAACACCTGGATCCCGTATGCTTTGACTGTGAGATGGGCTATACTACCTTGGGCTTAGAGCTCATCCGCCTCACTGCTGTGAGCTGGCCGAAGGGCCATGAGCTATTGGATATTTTGGTAAAGCCAATGGGCGAGGTCTTGGATCTCAACTCCCGTTTTTCAGGTGTCCTCCCTGAACATTATGCATCTGCAATTCCTTACAGTCCTTCATCCAATCAACATAAACAACAGGATGTTGGAAAGGATAAAAAGCCTTTGAAGGTTGTCGATTCACCTGCCGCAGCGCGGGCTCTTCTTTTTGAGCTTCTACAACCCGAGACCCCATTAATTGGCCATGCCATCAACAATGATCTTAACGCTTGCCGTATCATTCATCCTACTATCATCGATACTGTCCTCCTTTATCCGCATCCAAGAGGTCGTCTCCCCCTTCGCATGAGTCTGAAAGGGCTGGCACACAGGTTTCTTGAACGGAATATCCAAATGGGAGGAGACGACGGACACGACTCTAAAGAGGATGCCATTGCAACGAGTGATCTTGTGCGGGTAAAAGCCGGCGAGATATGGAAGAGATTGAATGCAAAGGGGTGGAGGTTTGAAAACAATGCCTTGGTCGCGCCGCCTGGTGAAACTTCCCAAGATGTAAGAAAGGCAGCCCGGGAGCTGGGTCTCGCAGGTGGGCCAAAGAGGAAGTATACTACATAACGTAGTTCCCGGTCTCGCCGTACACCCGGCCTCGCCGTACACTCTACCCCACTAGAATTTTTAAATTTCAAATATTTTAACCCAACACCAATAAATTCAGTTATAAATACGATTTTTACATACATTAATTCGATGTCCAACCTCTCGACACCCACTACACCTAGGCTGAGCCCTAGGCGCTGGCTGATTCGGCTGAACAGGCAGTTCAACCTGGGTGTGTGATTCAACCACAGGTGGTTCCACTGGCAAATCCAGCTGTGTAAGTATCTGTAGGCCTTCTTCAACAGTCAAACCCTGTTCACATGGTATCTGTCTAGCGGATCGACTGCGCTTCTGTCGTTTCTTCTCGTTCGCTGCGCGTAAATTGGCGTTTTCTTGAGCTAGTAGCGCAGTGTTATGTAGTGCTATCGAATGCCCTTTGATAATTTGATCTAGCATCAATTTTGACGGGCTTGGAGGGCTGTTTGATCGCTGTTTTAGGAGATCTTTAAGCATTGAAGCTTGCTTCTGAAGCTGAACCACAGTTCTAGGTGTTTTAGGTGAAAATTGACTAGATCTGCTGCTTGGTCGGCTACCTGGCGGTGTAGGTTTTCGAAGAGAAATATTCAATTTGGAGAGAACTCTTTCTGCATCAATTGGAACTAATCCAGTAGCTAAAAAGCTATTTTGGATAGTATTCGGCCGAAATGCCTCAGCCCGTGCACGTTGGAAATCAGCTAAGAAATCAAGCTTGTCGATATGGTTATAGCCTGTACGTGCAAGACCACTTATAAAGCGACCATAGGCAATTTTCAACACAGAAAAACAGCCAACATCTAGGGGCTGTAAAGGATGTGAAGAATGTGGTGGCATACAGAGTGGAATAATATCATTCTCTGAGCAGATTCGGTCAAATTCGGGTGTAAGATGGCTTCCATGGCCATCAAGAATCAATAGCCGAAAACGACCACGGACACGTGAATTTGTTGATGGGATGAATAGCTTTTTTAGCCAACGTAGACCAATCTCATCAGTAGTCCAGCCATTAGCTGAGACTTCAAATCGCCAGTCAAATGGTAGATTATCAAACCAGCTTGCTACTGCAACCTTGCCTTTAAAGATCACACATGGTGGTAATGAATAGCCATCTGCACAGATTGATTCAATTGCAGTAACCCATTCACGGTTTCCAGGCTGTAGAATAGATCGCCGACCGTAGTATTCCTGCCGAGTAACAACTATCTGTGTTGAAATAAGGCCCATTGCAAAGCCTGTCTCATCAAAGTTGTAGATATCTTCGGGTTGGATCCCGTTCTCATCGATAACTTGTTGTACAGTTGTAAACCATGCTTGAATTGATTTAGGGTCTTCGTTTAGGGCACGTTGGTAGTCATATCATCTAGAGACACGTGTTCGAATCTCATCACGTCGATTGATAAAGGTTGATGGCCAATTCTTGCCGACTGTAGGTGGGGGGTGGCTACCACGCGCAGCTAGTAGAATATTGGCCATATCTCGTACAGTAGATGGCCTAGGAGCTGCGCCACGTGTATCCATAGATATTATCCATTCAGTAAGCGAATCCTCCTCAAGCTGTGTCAATTTATAGCTAGGTAGGCGTTGATCAACGCGTGCTTGTACGCCATTTACGCGGTCGGCTAGCGTTGTATGGGGTATATTGTAGAGCTTCGCTGCTGCACGGAGAGTGGTGATACGGCAATTTTTTAAATCTTCCAGTGCCAATAGGATCTTGCCCTCTTGGTTGATTAATTTCTGCCGAGATTCAGAGCGAATTGGTGGCATGGTAGATGTTTGAAGTAGGTAGGTAGGTAGATGGACGTGATTTTTGATGGGGTGTACGGCGAGACCGGGTGTACGGCGAGACCGGGAATTACGTTAGTGCATGAGAAACAAGGAGCCAATGATACCAATTACTAGATCCATATTCTCGCTGATAAACTGGTAGACTATGACCGTTCAATGAATCTGAGATGCATTGATATCCACAGTCTTACAGCTCAGACTACATTTTGATAAAGAAATTCTACGCCAATGGCAGGACCAAAAATGGAAGGGTATAGACTTTTTTTGTATTCATAGCCACAAGGGCTAGTTTATCCCCACGTATCCACGATCCAACCATCCATAGCCCGTGCTCTCGAGACAACTTAATGTCCAAGGCCAAAAGCTAGAACCAGAGACGAGTCCGAATCGATCGACGAGGTCAACATTGAGTCAAAGAGGAAGGAATTTACTCCTCATCCTCCTCAGCCTCGTCGTTGACGACGTTGTAGAAGCGGAGCTCGTAGACACCCTTGGAGGTGGAGACGACACGGAGCCAGTCACGGAGCTGCTGCTTCTTGAGGTACTTCTTGGTGCTATTTGGTAGAAAGACGCAACTGTCAGTCCCGTGTTCTCTTCCGCATTATTTCAAGGAATTGGGTTCTCAGGATCACTCACAGGTACTTCAGGTAGCGTCCGGAGAAGGGGATGTGGGCAACAACCTCAACCTTGCCATCACCGATGGAGTTGATGACAACGTTGTCGCCGAGGTTGCCGACACGGCCCTCGACCTTGATGCGGTCGTGTAGGAACTTCTCGAAGGCAGAGACATCGAAGATCTTGTCGCTAGCGGGCTGGGAAGCGTTGATGATGAACTATAGGCTCTTCGTTAGTCTTTTCTCTCCATTGGGTTGTAAGATTTTGTAAGCGACATACCTTCTGGGTGACCTTCTGGGCCTTGCGACCACGGGCCTAATTTGTGAAATATAACGTTAGCCTACTGCTCCATGATGTCGAAATCCCAATGGTCATCTGAACAGAAGTTGAACAAAGGCTCTGTGACGCTGAATAGATATTCCAATATTCAGGTTTTTTTTTTCAAAGCCAGTGAACAACCATCTGTTGCAGAGCCGGTCGGGTGGAACAGCAAAGCGTTCATCGGAATTCAACGTACAGCAGCGGGAGCCATTTTGAGTGGATGGGTTGGAGTTGGAGATAAACGGGAAAGGTCGCAAAGAGGTGAATATCCTGCGCCGACAAGAGGGATGGTCAGAAGAAGATCTGTTGGACTTCGTAGTGGAGCCCTTAATCGAATCCATAATTCCAAAATTGCCTAACTCGGTCGGTGCGAGGCGCTTATCCTCTTTAGGCAGTATCAGGGCTTAGGGCAACAGTCACGTGTCATGCTCATTCACCCGTCTTGGTCACATGACAAAGGAAACTGTCACGGGGTCTGACTTATCAAGAGGGCCAGCGTTTGCTGGGTTGTGGTTGGCTCGGCTAATTTCCACTAGTGGACTAGCGCGGTTTGGAATTCAATAAATACCTCCTCCCTCTCTCTTCCCTTCCTCTTCTTTTTTTCTTTTCCAGCTCTCTTTGCCAATTGGCTTAGATCAAGTGTAGTATCTGTTCTTTTCAGTTTAATCTCTGAAAGTTTCCTACGGGAAACACATTGATTATTCTCATTTTTGGATCTCGTACCTGGCCTCTGTGCTTGCGCATGCTGGGTGCACAGTGTCATCGGGCTTACACTACCCCCGATCGACGCGAACAACCTTTTTTTCATCAACTGCATCGGCTTGTCCGGTCACTTGGAGAAGAAATGGTTCATCTTACAATTAGTAGAGTACCTAACGTAGACAGAGTAGTTCCTCGGCCTTGCTGTGCATGTGTTGAGGTCAAGTGAGTCGTAACGCGACACCCCAACACACCGCCACGGTACCTGTGGTGGGTTCAGTGGGTCATGTTGAGGTTTTTGTTTTGCTTTTCCTCTATTTGGGATCTGTTGCTGTGGGCTTGAAACTTACGTGCAGATATTATTCCCACAAGGTACTACAGCTTCCCAGGTTCCAGTTTATCAACATGAACCATGACCGTTCATAGAATCTCCCTGGTACTATCTACGAAGATTTCTTGCAGTAATTTATTACTGGCGTTCATTCAAAGGCTTTCATTCATTCATTGTATGCAACTCCATGGATGCGGTGCATTCCTCGTCGCCGAGGAGCACTCTGGGTCATCTCATATGATATGTTGAATGTTTACCAGCGGCCGCTGCGGCCCATACCCTCCTCGAGGCGCTCCTTGGCGTGGTGCTTGGCCTTCTCGCGGTCAACGAAGTCCAGACCCTTGGTCTCAACCTCACGGTCGATGAAAGCACCAGCGAAACCGGCGATGATCTCCTTGGCCTTGGCGTGGTTGTCAACCTTGCCTGTAGCGGGGTCAGTAAATCTGGTCGTACCAATGTCAAGAGTAGCTTTGTGACTGACCGTTGCGGGCCTCGTGGTCCTCGTAGGCCTTCATGGCCTCGTAGGCAGCAGCACCACCGATGAGCTCGTGGGACCACTTGGCCTCGTGGGGGCGGTTGGTGACCTGGTCGTGGTGGCGAGCCTCCTCGCTGTCGTCTGTAAGAAGAGTGTCAGTCAGCGTAGGTCATCTTCAGAAATACATGTACTGCGACATACGATCAAAGAAACCCATGGTGATAGATATGGTAAGGTGATTCTGGTTAGAGAAAAGATGTGTGTTGTGGATAGAGAAGAAGTGAGGGTGGAAAGAAAACAGACCTTATAACCCCTCCACAGCCCCGCGCCACACTCCTTGGACTTCAGATGCCATTTCCAGCGAGTTGTTACGAATTTGCCAAGCCTTAGTGAGCTTTAGCTTCATGGCTTTTCTCCCCATTGCGCCGAATATTCCTATTCACTATACCCGATACAGCTAGTGGACACCCGCAGATCTACGTTATGATTGGGACGGCATCGATGGTTCCGCCTTGTTCCAAACTTTTTCAATTTCTCATACGTAGGGAGGGGCTGAGTTCAGCTCACTGAAAACTGACACGTGTAGGGCGGAGGAGTGCGAGGTGGCTGCTGAAACAAACTGCGTGTGCTACAGGGTGCAAGTGGGCGCCTATCCATGGCTTGACACTTGCCGGCTTGATCCGGTCAGATAACATCGATGTACTACGTGTTAGCGCTACTCCGTACAAAATAGGTACCGGTATATCCAGGTACTAAGTACTCAGTCCAAGCGCAAAGGGGCACTAAGACCCCACTGTACTATCGATTATTTCATGAGTGATATACGCCACCTACAGCATCAATGACTGGTAGTTTCGCATCTATGGATATCCACGCGAGTCAATGTGTAACTAATGCAAATTTTCCCGAGGGCTGAGCAGGAATCATGATCTCCAATGTTCCACCGACATCCAGGAGAATAAGTCAAGTACCCGGGCTGTACTATTCAGATGAGACATGGATCTCAGGTGCTGCCAGAACATCATCGTCGAGACGGTGATCTTCTTGAGATATTCATGGAAAATACAGGGATCCTCTTCTGGCCGTGTTTACTGAGCTTTCTGCGGACAAGAAGCTTGTTTTTGCCTTGACTTTCCGGTCAGATCATACGCCAGTTGTTTAATTAGACTGCACGGGCATTCTGAGTCTTCGAAGATTGCACTCTTGCCTGCGTCCTTCTCAGACGGTTCCTCCACGGCTGTTGAGCTTCTATTTGCCTCGCAAGATGTTGAGGCTCCCAGTCCTCCCCGTACTGTCCTCCCTCCCACCACCGATTCATGGTATCCTGGCCCGTCCAAAGCATAGCGCTGGCATCCTGTAATTCTTCGAAGTTCCATAGCCGGGAGTAACGTAGGACCCGTCCACGGTCGTCGAGGTAAACCAGCAGCACTTTCGACGTATCATTTGCCTCTTTGTCATAAATGAGCACATGGCTCCATTTGGACGCCAGGTGATACATCGCTACAGCATATCCAATCTCGTCTAGGCCAACCCTCATAGCCTCTTGTAAGGCTTCTTGCGTTTGTTCGTCGCAGTGAAGCACATGCCATGCCGTCATTTCAACTATCTGCGGGATACGTATAAGGATGTTGTGCAGTGACAGTAGGCCGTTGTCTGCTCCAGCGTCGTATAGCGCGGCATTGTCGAAGACGGGCTCGTCAAACTCGCTCTGCGAGAGAAGATCTGCAAATCTTGTATCTGAGTCGTCGCTGTAGAAAGTGCGCACGAGACGTGTGTAGCTGATTCTCTGACGGTCTAAATGATTTCGGACACGGGCGAGTAGGTCTTTCTCAGCATCGGTAATATCATCACGGCCACGGGACATCTCCTCTAGCTGGTCCACATAAGGCTTCAGTTTATCATTAGTCATTGCAAATTATTCTAGAGCACATCGCATAAACGAACCAGGCGGCCTTGCCGGCCAATCTCCAGCCACTTTGTGAAAATCTCTGAGAGCTGGGCTTCATCTGAGAGAGTAGAGTCATCATTCCATTGTTCCTAGCAACCATTACATTAGCGTATAGCCCTATTTCCAGGTTTTGGATTTGCAAGGTACGGGGTGATTACCAGGAGATAGAGGTCAGCGGCGTGGATAACCACCTTCTCCTGACCATGGGTACGTCTCGATGCGTATGCACTACTATCGGCCATTTTTATGGGTCACGAAGGGGCATACCAGCACTTGAGCACTTGGAGTGATAGCAATATGCGAATGTTGTCCATCTTAGCAGAATTGTATAATTCGTTTTGCTTCCGAGCGGGGTCGACAAGCTCCAGGCTCCAGCTCACCTGGGCAGGGCCGGGGAAGGATACTCGTTAATGGGGCCCCGGGGGCGGGGGCCGCAGTGATGCTATGTACAATGTACCTATTACCTAGCAATGTACTACCCTGGAGTATGTAGATATAGGACTACTGCTGGTATGTACATGTAATTAATAAAAACTGAAGACAGTGGCGTTCCGAGTCACTTTACGTAGTATGCTTCAAGGAATTAGTAGCGTTGAGTTGAACTGTGAGATACTATTGAGTGTACATACCTCGGTACTGTTGATGATTCCAGTCTTGGAAGGTTTATATATCAATCCATCGTACCTCCAGGGCTAGCACCAAACCCAAACCCAAAAAAAAGGTCGAGTGGCCGATATTTGCATAGGTCTGCAAAAATGATACCAAAATGTTTGAAAAATTATCATGATGGGGTTTGGAATAGGCATCTAGAATTTGGTGAAATAAAAAAAAAAAGTGAGAAAAAAGATATCAAATTCGACGCCTGAGAGATTCGAACTCTCGCTCCCGAAGGAATACAGTTAGCAGCCATACGCGTTAGACCACTCCGCCAAAGCGCCTTTGATGGACTCTTGGGAAACAAACCAACTTATAACGTACATTCTATCGCGGGGTCCAGCGATAAGACGGCTTCTCCAATTTTCACTCCGAGCTTCCTCCTCACCAAGTACAAACACCATGGGTTCCATCGTTCTGCCTCATCTCCAGACAGCCTGGCACGTCGACCAGGCTATTCTCTCCGAGGAGGAGAGACTCGTGGTTATTCGATTCGGCCGCGACCATGACCCAGACTGTGAGCTGCCATTTCCTGCCCCTCTCTTTGTGAAATCGTGACTGACATACGAATCTACCAGGTATCCGTCAAGATGAGCTCCTCTACAAGATCGCCGAACGAGTGAAGAGTAACCCAATCTGATCCCTCACAAGCTCGATTTATCTAACGCTCTCTTGACAGACTTCGCCGTCATCTACCTCTGCGACGTTGACCAGGTCCCCGATTTCAATACCATGTACGAGCTCTACGACCGAATGACGATCATGTTCTTTTACCGCAACAAGCACATGATGTGCGATTTCGGTACTGGTAACAACAACAAGTTGAACTGGGTGCTGGAGGACAAGCAGGAGTTGATCGATATTATCGAGACCATCTACAAGGGTGCAAAGAAGGGCCGCGGTCTGGTCGTTAGTCCCAAGGGTATGTTCTACTTCCCCTGCACTTATTGGCTGAACTCTACTAACGGGTATGGACTTGTGCAGATTACTCGACAAGATACCGGTACTAGGCAAGGCTTATTTGACAACATTGGCGAATATGGCGATGCGCGGCGTGTGCTTACAGACACATCATTCATGAATTTTACGATTACGATTGGTAGAAAAAATGGGGAATGATTACTTGTGCTTGAGACTTTAGCATGAAGAACCCAGAGATACATTTGAAATCATGGCTTCCATATACTCCGTAGATCCAGCTGGTTCAATTTTCAAAGACGGCGTCCTGCTCCAAGAGTTTAAAGTATTCCAACCTTGGAAGGTATATCTCTTGATTGCATGGGCATGAATCCATATTGCAAAATCGGTAATCTGATATGTAAATAAAAAAAAAAACCATTGTAGTCATTGCTCAGCATAACCAAATGAGCTAGATCCGAACTCTGCAGGTAATCCCTCCCATTTGCCACTAAATGGCCTAGTAAAAGCAGCGCAATCCTGAAGGTGAGGAAAAATTAAGAAACAGACATTTAAACATTTATCATCAAATATCAAATCCAATTTGCCATCTCCTTATTTTATTCAACCTTCAATTTTGACGTAAACCGCTCACCTCACATCGTCATTTTAACCATACCAGTGACACCACACACCGCAACCGCGAGGTCTTCACCTCTTCTCATTTCTCCCAAAACCCAACATCAGCACCAAAATGATTGACCAACGAATTTTTGAGGATCTTCAAACGAAGATTGACGAGGAGACCACTGTCCGCGACGTGAGTTCATCATAGAATCCGCGCAGCCGCGCAAATCGAAATTCTTCGCGTCTGCCAAGGCCAGCTCCAGCACGACCGCGGCGCACAGAGTGCCCAACCACACAGGCTGACAGTGAGTTTACGATAGGAACTGCACGATATTGTTCAGACGCTCGCGCGCAAGGGTAAGTTCTACAGATCTGAGGAGTTCTTACTCATTTCGCGGGGTATTGGATTCTGTGGAAATTAAGGAAGCTAATTTAGCCTATAGGACGCTCTACGCAGGCCATTCTCGCAAGGGCCCATTCCACACCATCTGAGCAGAGTACGTTTTGAATTTTGAAATTGGCGATTATTCCCTTCTGCTCGAGAGCCTAGTATTACATATACTATGGTATACCTAAATTCATCGGTTGGCTGATCAAACCGAATAGTCAAGTCTGTCCTCGACGATGCCACTGTCGCGATCATTGCTCAGAAGGAAGAGGTTTTCCGCCTGAAGGCTGTTGCCGATAAGCACCCATTTTACAAGTACAATGGTGTCTGGACCCGGGAGCTTCAGAACTTGGTATATCTCAATCTTTGCCGTTTTTATGTACTGTAAGCTGACTGTCCTGATAGGTTTCTTCTATCGAGCTTTGCGCATGGCTGGGTGGCTTTCAGGAACACAAAGGTCCTGAATCAAAGTCTTTCATGACTATTGAGGATGTTGGCAAATTCCTGGAAGGTATGTGTTAGGCCGTGACGAAGAAAGACGCCACTTATTCTAATATTTACCCCAAACACAGTTCCCTTCAACTTGAAGGAGAAGGATGCCTTCCACTTGACCATTGAGGAGTATCTTCTGGCTTTGATTTCCATGGTTGAAGAACTGGTATGCCATCCAATGTACCTTACTTTTCGTTTCTATCTGACAAACCCTGATTTAGTCTCGCCTGGCCGTCAACTCGGTTACCCTGGGTGACTTTGAACGCCCTGTCCAGATTGGAGCTTTCGTCAAGGAACTGTTCTCTGGATTCCAGTTACTGAACCTGAAGAACGATATCCTCCGAAAGCGAAGCGATGGTATCAAGTACAGTGTAAGTTATGAAATACTCTTTCAACTGCCACCATATGACTGATGATATTCCCACTCAATAGGTCAAGAAGGTCGAGGACGTTGTCTACGATCTCTCCTTGCGCAACCTCATTCCCAAAGGCTCTGAGGCATAATTGAGATATGAGTGATCTATCTTCGACGACATACGAAAAGTCTGCTATCAGAAATGCGATGACGCTGATGACTCAAATGGTGGAAAATGAATATTCCATTTGGTTTAAAGAAATATACTAGCCACTCTCCAATCAATCATACCAGCAAAAAGAATGCCGGAGTTTCAGTTCTTGTAGAAGCTCGTATTTCATATTTCGTACAGGGGATATCTAATTAGATAAGTTTAAAAGACGACAAAAAAGGCAAATCCCTATGGATACAAGTGAAAAGCGCCGAAGGAAAAGAAGAGTGGCGAGAAAGAGCTTCGCCTAACACATATTCTCAAGAGGCTCAGTAAAATCAAGCCTACGCCTCCTCGGTGGCCTTCTGAGAAGCGAGGATACCCGCCTTGCGCGCCTTCTCAATCTGCTCAACGATCGGGGCCTCCAGAGACTCGGGCTTGGTAATGCTGGACCAACGACCGGTAACCTGTCCATCGGCACCAACAAGGAACTTCTCGAAGTTCCACTTAACGCGCTTGAGGCCCAGCATGCCAGGCTGCTTCTCCTTGAGCCAGTTGAAGATAGGAGCGGCATTTTCACCGTTGACGTCCAGCTTGCCCAGAATGGTGAATGTCACACCATAGTTGACCTGGCAGAAAGATTGAATCTCGTCGTTGGAACCGGGGTCTTGGCCGCCGAACTGGTTGCAGGGGAAACCGACGATGGCGACGTCGCCAGGGTATTTGGCCTTCAGGGTCTGCCAGAGCTTCTCCAGACCTTCGAACTGAGGAGTAAAACCGCACTTTGAGGCGGTGTTGACGACAAGAACGACCTTACCCTCGAGGGAGGTGAGAGGGAAGGGGTTACCCTTCTCTGGATGAGAGAGAACTCGTTAGTAGCTAGACTTTTTTTTTTTTGGAGGGGCGGTTTCGTCGCCAGATTGCAAGAGTATCTGCGACCTGGGATGGAAGGTCAGGGGGGTCAGGACCGAACATACTGTCAGCGGGTTCGAACTCGAAGAAAGAGGTAGCGGAGGCCATTGTTCTGTATTGCACGTGGCTAGTTGTTATTGAGAAGTTGTGAGGTCGAAGAGGGGAGCTGTATCGGAGAGGATGGCAGTATGACGTCGTCGAGTAGTATCGGGAGACGCGGGGAGTGGGCCAAGACGTTATATAGGCACGAACGACCGCGCGCATACGATAACTTTGCTTTAATGGCATAGAGAAATGGAGCCTCGGCATTCAAGACTTATTACCAATGACAATAGGTCCAGACACGGAGTCATGAGGGGCCGACGGCAGTCTGAAGGACCCGAGCCGATACCATCAATTCCAAGCTTTTTGATTGGTCGATCTAGAAATCGTTCTACTATTATTCATGATTCAAGTTCAATTTTCTTCTTCTTCTTCTATTGATTCTATGATCCACTTCATTACGCAGCTTAAATATTATCAAGCTTTATGGTCTGGATCTTATGGTGGTTTTTTGGTCCGGAAAAACGACAAGATTTGGAATACTTCCAGTTAAACGATAATGCGAACGAATACGAGACATAAGTTTTTTTTATTCGTTCATCAATTCCACTAAATCGGCTTGGAAGAGTAATAAGGTCTCGAATTAATTCCCGAATCGGTATACGCCCGTGCCAAGTACGCACGTTATGAACAAATTCTTGCACTTGCCATTTGCACCAATTCATGCCATCTGCCGATGATAGATTACTGCATATCCCCAAAACGGAAAATGTGCATTGCGGGACCACGTTAGCCCGAATCCAACGTGCCTCAAATCAAATCAAATACGGAGTACTAGCGTGGTCCGACGGTCGTCGCATACTCCATAGTCTATGTAGATGTGGCGTGATCTATGGCATATCCCTGAGGAGTACGGAGTACTCTGTAGGTGAAATGCCACCACTGCGCCCCACCTGGCAATCGGATAGCTGAGGGGTCTCTTTGAGGACTTGAAGAGCCAGTATGCGGACTTTCTCCTGACGCGTGGCATAAAAGTTGGAGTACTCGAAAGAAGCACACTCGATGACTCTCACTTCATCCTTCCATCTCAGCCTCCAGGACATCCAAATCTAGCTCGGCCATCGCGCCCAGGACAACACCCATGCTTTCCATGAACCCATTGACGGCAACTCGCAGCATACGGTTCGTAGTCGCGTAGTAGTTCACTTGCAAGACCGTTTTGCAATCATCGGAATCTTGCTTCAATTTCTTTTCTTGGGGCTCGGTCACTGGTTCGGCTGGTGTGGTGAGTGTCAATGTGCGACGCACGAACGCAGACAATTCGGCGTCAACTTCGAGGGTTTGGAGGGCTGCTGACGCGAGACGGTTCGTTGGAAGAGGGAAAGACAGTTCCCTAAAAGGCGAATTAGCATCGTTCTCTCAGCTTTGAGGCATTACCATGAGCAGGTATCAAGTTGAAGCTGTGGAAGTGGGGTGATTGTCTTACAGAGAGTAAGGGAAGTCTGCCTTGGGAGGGGGTTCTGTGGACGCCATAATTGATGTGTTGTTGGATGGTAAATGCGCAAAATAGAATGCAAGCAGTATATATGGTACCGGGTTGAAATGGGGTTCAGCTCGATTATCGCATGAGTTGAATTGATCTCAGCGGGTTACGATGCGGATGAATGTGGGTGACTCAGCATTTGATGTCTCCCCGGAGTTTCAATTTGCACAACTTTAACATTTGAACTATGATCGTCTGGAGGATTCGTAGAGGAATCAGATTTAATTTTGGGTTAAAAACAAGATATCAAAGCAAGAAACATTCTGGAGGAAAAGCGGTCCCATAAACAAAGTTATGAGATACGTAGTCGTGGTAATAATAAAGTGTACTCATCAAAATATACTACAAAAGCTTCGTGTGAAAGCCCAAGCATATTATAACACCTGGGGGAGGAAAAAGGAAAAAAAAGAAGGTTCACCGTGTCAATGCCGACCAAATGGAGTCATCACACCTTGAATGCGTCCCATCCAGCCAAAGCAATATTATCAACGAGCATCTAGGGGGTATAGATGAAGGCGACGACGTGCTGGAGCTCAGTGGGGAGGGTAGCAATTTGACCGCTAGTGAGTTTGTTACTAGCCATAGCGGCCTGAACACCACCAAGAGCGCCAATGAGGCCGGCAGGGTCTGTAAAGTGGTTAACGACATGAATGAAAACAAGACACTAAGTGTCACTTACTGCCAGTAAGCATGCTAAAATCGTTGACAAGAGAGGCATCGACGATATTTTTAACGCCGCCGAGTTGACGCTTGGCTAGCAAAAGGTTAGTTTTCACAGAAGGTTTACATGTGGTGCATAGGGAACTTTGGCTTACCAGGGAGAACACCAGCAACTCCCTTCTCAACAGTACCGACAGCACCTGCAGTAGTGCTCTCAGCAGTGCCCGCGACGCTTCCAGCGATGCCAGTCACTCCGTTCAGGGAACTAGTAGTGCCATATACAGCATTGCTCAGCGCATCACCACCATCACGCTTTGCGTGGACCATTCCACCAGCGCTAGCAAGGAGACCCTCGGTGGCACTAGTGGCACCACCGACAACGCCCCCTGCGGGGCCGAGTTGACGTTTGGCTCCTGTTTTCCGTTAGCAGATGTTTTAATTTTCTTCATAGATGTGATGGCAGTGTACATACCAGGAAGAGCGCCAGCAACTCCCTTCTCGACGGTGCCAACAGCACCCGCAGTGGTGCTCTCGCCAGTGCCTGCAACACTGCCAGCAATACCAGTGACTCCATTCAGAGAGCTACTGACACCATAGGCAACACCACTGACGGCATCACCCGCATCACGCTTCACACCAGCGGCGGTGTTCTCAAGGCCGCCAACAGCGTCGCTGCCAGGAAGAGGAGGGAGGGCAGCAGCAGAGACAAGGCCAGCAAGAGCGAAGGAAATGGCAACTCCGGTGAACTTCATTTTTGCAATTTGTTGGTTATGTTGAGAGTTTGTCAAAAGAGCGACTGGGTTAAGTTGACAAGTTGTATAAACAGGCAAAGGACCGAAAGGAGTGGAATGAGTGACTTGAGTGGTAGAGACTCGAATTGGCAGCTTCCTGACCACATTATATACACTTCAATCTCGTTGTTTTGATGAGCTTGAGCGACTACATGTGGGCACTGGACCTCCTCGCATGCGCTGTAACCATGATCATCAGGGGCTCATAGTTCGTTACTGCCTTTTTTGTCGCCCGTTTGGACCACCGTGCATATTGATCGACAGGAAGTTGCTGCCATCAGAGGCTCTGTGCAGGCAAAGGAGTCGACCAGTATATGTCTAACAAGGGAGGTGCCCACATGGACTCCAATGAAATCCCCCGATAGCGCCAAATTAACTCTCTCTGTGGCTCAAATATTAGCGGTGGACTCGATCTGGATAAGGCTTGTGGAGTAGCAGCAAGGATCGAAGAGGTCTCAGAAGGACTTCATGATCTCCGGCGCTCGAGCCTGAAGTTTTCAACACCTTCTCGTGTACTCCGCACATAGTAGGCATTTGGAAGTCTGGAGTCCCGATGGACTTGGTTGTGAGCTATAACATTTTTTAAGGTACTAGTGGACCTTCATGATTCAAGTGGAGTCCAAGGTATGAATACAAGACCACTCAGTAAGAATTGGAATATCAACCTCCTCATGGGCAGGGGAATAGTATCTCAAGATCTTTTCTTGACTGCGCAGATGGCATGCACATGTGCATGAGTTTGTCTCTGAGCATTTCGTAAGGGTTTGAAGCTTACAGTCCTCAGGTGAGCCCTGTGTCCTAAATAGGCTTAACTTGCAGAGTCATGCCTTAGCTTCCTCTGTGCACATACATACTCTGATGTCCGTGATACACAGGGGCTGACAAGCTAAGCGCTGGAGGTGTCCACCTGGCATTCATAATAACAGGGGAGTCCATTTAACAACACTCCCCCAGAATGAGGCATCTCATTTCTCTATGCGAGGGGTGGCTCATCGTGCATGCGCTAGCACCTGTCTGCCGGCTCGATGCGGTAAGGGTGATAGGATTGGCGGAGACGGCTCTGCGGAGTCTTATTAACAACCCCCGAACCCAATTCTCTTATTGGACCTCGGGAAGCTTGGGAGACCGCAAGAGCTTTAACTTGGTAAGAAGTTGGATGTATCAGGCCGTTGCTACCTACTGTGTGTCTCGAGGGTTTGGAACCTTCCAAGGTTGTGCAGAGGGAAAGCCCCGGATCCACTCAAGCGGTTCAATAATAATAATAATAATCAATTGTTGACGCCTAGTGCTATATATATTTCAACCATTCCCAAGGCCAAATCAAATATTCCATCCAATCTCAGCTGGACAATTGCGATCGGAAGTCTTCTTCAAAACGGGGTACATTCAGACTGATGAGGCAGATTGCATCGTCATGAGAGCAACGACCCGGGGAATCAAAGAGTCGAGACCCCTATCCAGGAGACGGGAGCCAATGAGGTTGGGATAGTGGAGAACAACATTGTCACTGTTGACTTTACGGATTGTCAACAAACAAAGTGGCGAACAACATTTGCAACTATGTAGTATTAGTCACAGAGCCTTCCATGGTTCAAATCCGTATTTCGCTTTGGTCTCAATTTTGATATCTCTAATTCCAATTACGGTTATCAAGGGGTGATTGACGCCACCGCAATAGTTTTTTTAGATGGCTCGAGAGGTTAAGATTGGAGGCTCTCTAGTAGTAAAACTCTGCCTAGGTGTAGTGATGATATATACATATATATCCATGTAGCGGAAGCTCGGAACAGGAGGAGGGCCCTCTGAAGGTTAGAAGAACATTTGAATACCTGGGTATTTCACTATCACAACTCGAATCGCAACATGAGAGCTAGTCTAAAGTGCTACAGGATCAAGTGAGCTGTACTCCTGGAGGTACAGCGGAGTTCACAGTGTGAGGCAGTCCGTCTAGATCGGAATTGACACATGCATTGCAGACTATGATCCTCTCACTGGTCATGACCATACTTGGAATGTTCCAATGTTTGCACTTGCACATAATGGGTTGCCCGCTTCAGGCGCCCATATAGTAGTATCACTTGATTATTTGGTCTGATTATCCTAATGTGATAAAAATAGCTCAGATACCCAGGCAACGAAGATGAAGACAAAGTTATCGGATGCAAGACAAGTTGCATTAGACGCAAGTAGGTACAGATAATGTCCAGGTGATAGAGGTTGTTTGTTCTAAGTTTGGGATGTTTGGATGAGGTAATCGGCAACGTTGTTGAATGCCTGAGGCTACCAAAATACCGGTGGTTGTCGAGTCAACGGACCGCACTAATCCCAATTCAGCCCAGCACAACATAACATCGTTAGCGTGGCATGGCAGCTGCCCCAACACCATATGAGATTCTTCTTCCGCTCTTCTATCCTGAACAGTCTCTCTCACCAAGGCACTATCTTTACCTTTTCATTATTCCTCTGGTCAATTCGGATCATGAGCGTTTAGAATTCTTGCAATTTATCATTTGCCGAGCTTTTGTTTCCCACGCCATTGGGCACCGACACCAATCGTGAACATTTTGCGACACCGGCTCACTGAGCATTGTTGACATTCGCTTCATCGAATAAGCTACAGTTGCAACTACGCTGCCGACATCATGTCTGAATCAGGCCAAATGATCGAGTACATCCAAGGTTCGTTCCAATATGAGATTGTTATTGTTCTCATCCTAAGCGCTTGAAATGGTGGGGTCTAACAACAAACAAACATCAAAATATAGACCGCCTGTATTTGGCATCTTATGACTCGGCTCCAAGCTCGAGAACACCATTCCCTTATCCTCTCGACCAGCCTAAGTCCCCGAGCAAGCGGTCTCGCGCTCAACAGCCTACCACGCCGACTAGCAAGCGCCGATCTCCCGTGTACTTCACCGTCGACGATACTCTCCTTTACAATGCATTCCATGCCGACTTTGGTCCCCTTCACATTGGCCACCTGTACCGATTTGCGGTCCTGTTCCACGAAATTCTCGGCGACCCCGCCAACAGCGACCGACCTGTGGTTTTCTACAGCAAGACTGATGCTCGTAGTCGTGCGAACGCTGCCTGTTTGGTCGCATGCTACATGGTTCTGATTCAGTCTTGGCCACCCCATTTGGCCCTTGCGCCAATTGCGCAAGCCGATCCCCCATACATGCCATTCCGTGATGCTGGATACAGCCAGGCGGATTTTATCTTGAACATCCAAGATGTAGTTTACGGAGTCTGGAAAGCTAAGGAGAAGGGTCTGTGTGGTTTGCGGGATTTCAACCTTGAAGAGTAAGCTTTGATCTCAAATATATTGATGAATTATACTAATATGATGGAACAACAGATACGAAAAGTTCGAGCGCGTCGATATGGGTGACTTCAACTGGGTGACACCCAACTTTCTCGCTTTCGCCTCTCCTCAACACCAGCCTATTGCGCCAGTTCCCGCGAACACACCCGAGTACGATGAACTACCCTCTTCAATTTCCGAGGTCTGCTCTTCAAAATTGCCTCTGCCATTCAAAAACGTCCTTGTTCACTTTACTACTCGCAATGTCGGTCTTGTCGTGCGATTGAACTCGGAACTCTACAGCCCATCTTACTTCACAGCTATGGGAATCGCTCATATTGATATGATTTTTGAAGATGGCACTTGTCCTCCTCTGCAGCTCGTGCGCAAGTTCATCAAGATGGCGCACGAGATGATCACAGTCAAGGAAAAGGGAATCGCTGTGCACTGCAAGGCGGGTCTTGGTCGTACAGGATGCTTGATTGGCGCCTACCTTATCTACCGTTACGGATTTACCGCCAATGAAGTAATTGCCTTCATGCGATTCATGCGACCCGGCATGGTTGTCGGTCCTCAGCAACACTGGCTGCACCTTAACCAGGGCTCATTCCGTGAGTGGTGGTTTGAGGACAGCATGCGGGAGAAGCTGGCCCAGTCAGCTCCTGTGACCCCAGCTCGTGTGTCAACCAAGAAGCGCTCTAGCAATGGAGTTGTCTCCACACCCCCCAACAACACTCACTCCAAGCGTGCTGCTCTAGGAGAAATCGATCACAACGAAGGTGCGGCTAGCCAGCAGAATGAGGAAAACCTTCCAGCCCCAACGCCTGGTCAGCCCCGCAAGTCGCACCGAAAGGATTCCCGTCACCACCCCTACGCCCGGACAGCTTCTGGATCTTTGGCTGTGGAGCATGAGCAACGCAGCCAGCGTGGCCACCGTCTAAGCAATGAGAGCAGCGAGAGTGAAGAAGAGGCCCAGCTGCGGATGTTGGCCAAGCGACCATCACGATCACCTGTCGCATCCCCAACTACTCGATCCATCAGCTACTCGGCAACGGTCACAGCAAGCTACACTCTCACTGATGATATCCACGAGGATCGTGAAAACTGGGTCGAGAACTCCGCTCCTAAGACTCCTGTGACTCGTAAGAGTGGTGGTGCTCCAATTTCTGTCAGCAAGGTTCGCTCGAGCCCTCGACGGGCAACGGACAGCTCCAAGAACGAAACACGAGGCGTTCGCAAGCCCAGTGGACGTATTGGAAGCACATCCAGCCCTGCTCGAGCCGTGCGGCCTGTGCAGTAATGAGATTAATGACTCTTCGAATTGTTTGATGTCTCGGTGACCCTGTTCGCCTGTGGCGACACTTTCTCTTCTCCCTGTCCCCTTTGGGAAAATTTTCACATACCCCTTCTTCTCTGCATTTGAGACCTAATGTTCTTCTTCTGATACTTTCTTTTGCTTCCGGTTCGTTCTGGCGTGAAATCATGGTTCTGGGCATGTTCCAAGTGGCGTTCGGTCTTGTGTTTTTGTTTTCGTCAAATGCTTGGGTGACTTCGAGCTTGTTATGACCTGAGTCTTTATTGATCCGAGCGATTCAATTCTCTGCTAGTCTTTCATCCCGATAGCATGGTGTTCTGTTGCGGAGTCTTTTCTTGTACGTGCCTATTTTCACGGTGATATGACAATGAATTTCTGCTCGCGCAAATATTCCATACCTACTCAATAAGCGTAATCTGTACAAGCCAAATTTAGCTGCCTTCGGATGGATGGGGCATCTCATACGTAAATACCCACCTAGGCAGGTACATATAGTCTTCCCGTGCATTTCCCAATAGGATTCGAGTTCATGCTCCTCAAGTGCTGCATCCCATCTGTCCGAGTCTTCCCAAGCATTTGTGGTTCCAGCGCACCGATTTACCTAGAGATCAAGCCCACATGCAGGATCAATTTAAGTCGTAATCACCGAGCTGGTCAGCTGCATACTCCTAGTCCTAATCTGCATGGAAAGACTCAGATAAGTAACTTCCAGTAATTAATAAAGATGCCACTCGCATATGCGGTACATTATCAATTGTTTTCTAAAAACTTGACATCGTATTCACATCTAGAATCTGGGGACCTGTAAAAATATACCACGTCCTCATTAAGCCAGCGCTGCGGTAATCAACCCGTATGTAATAGACTCAAGCTGCAGTTCTTCCTCAGGGTACCGTGGAATAAGAGATAGAACGATCTCATTAAAGTCTGTGAAAAATTGCTGGGCCGATAATGCAGCGCTCTCGAAGGCAGGAGGATATGCACCGGAATGAGCCCAGTCAATCAACCATACTTCTCCGTTCTGACCCAGAATCAAGTTTCGAGGGCTTATATCCTGATGAGTGAGGACAAAGGTGGTGAATTGAAATGGCAGGGTATCTTTGGGGGCTTGGTTCACGTGTTTGCATATAGCAAGCTTGTGGTTAAACCAGCCTTCGAATTCAGCAGTATCATTTAACGGACCAGCGCTATAATCCGTGAAGAAGCGTCCACGACACGGTCCGCCACCAAGGGGACCGGGCTGTGAAATCACTATAGACTGCATTTGGGCGATTATGTCGGCAATTTGTGTGGCGATTTGCCTTTGTTCGTCATGCGGTAGGTTGCTCAACACTCATCCAGGGGCTGGCCTTCGATAAAATCCATCACAATATATCCTTTTGTGCCGAACTACTGCGTCTCATCTCGGATTTGGAATGAGCGGGTAGACTCGTGGGGCTAGGATTCCGGTTTTAGAGGCAACGAGATTTAGCGTCTCTGCTTCACAAGGTAGGACGCTACCGCCACCTTTCATAACCAATTATCGTGAGAGCCGCACAACAGTTGTACCGCCGAGTTTGTAGAGAACGGGGGCAGACTCAAGAAGGGTTGCCAGAATCTTGTCTGTAACTGAGTCAAGGTTCTTCTCGTCCAGCGGAAAGACTCCCTCCGGACCACGGTTTTGGGACTGTACGTGAGGTTGTTAGTAAAGAGTACCTGAACGAGACAGCATCACATACATTGACAACTGGACATATCATTGGCTCCATTTTAAACCCTGGGGATGGATGAGTGGCAATTGTGGGAGTGGGTGAGAATTACGCTGGCATGGAACTGAACTAAAGTTGTAAAACCCTTGAAGTATCCGCATAGGACTACCATAGTAGTGGGCGTATTACGCCTGCGCGGGCAGCTGCTTGTCATGTCTCAAGAGCGCAACTTTCATATTCATCTGAAATAAATGATTCACGCTGAAATATCTCATGCAAATTAACCACAAATATCACATAACAAGGTACTCCTATAATAACAACCTCATCACCTGGGCAGGTTCATCTATAACTTTGGTCTCGGACCATTGTCCAACAAACAACGAAGACTAGCTTCAGTCGGTTTGCCCGTCACCGGATCACACATCAGATTCCGATACTCCTCCAAAGCCTTTTCCTCTGCTAAATAACGAGGCCACCAGCGCGCAAAGTACTCAGCAGCAACATTAGCAGTCCAATCCACATCCTCACAAACAAAATTATGCGAGCCACCCATCAAAACAACCTTCTCCACCTTCCCCGCTTTAACTCCACCACTTCCTCCAAACCCAGAGCCCGTAAGGTTCATCTTCTGATCCTGTGCCTCGGGCCGTGACGCAAAACTCTTTTCTCCAAATGCCCACAGTACATTAGCTCGGACAAACGGTAGCATCTCCATCGCAGCATGGGGCTCCGGCCGACCAATTGATAGTGGAATCGCACGTTCAGGATGCCAATCTGGGAGTAATAGCTTGTCCAGACCTGCTGACTCGGGTATCACGTTTGGAATGGCGTACATCATTGCCTGATCGTATTTAGATGTTGCTAGCGTCACAGCTCCGTCAGGTAATCCGGGCGTTGACTCCTTGTTGTATAGTCGGGTTGGAGTTGGGCGGAGTGTGACATTCACGTGTCGGGCGACAACCTCGGGGTGATAGTGCGCGAATCGCTTACGGATATGCGCTTGTCCCTCTTCGAGAGAGTTGAAGAGATCGGGTCTTTTGAGAGCGAATGCGCCTGGGTGGACGTTGCCACCGAATTTGGTAGGACCTGCAGCGTGAATGGGGGCGCTGTCGAGGATCATGGGCTCGTAGAGAACTAGTGCTGAGAGAAGACGGGGGTGAATTGTGGAAAGATGGACACTGGGAAGTGTTAGCTTGGTTCTAACAGGTCATGGGGTTGAGAACGTACAGTTGAGCACAGCCTAAGCTGTGAGCAACGCCAACTAGTGGACGAGGCATCTCATCGCGGAAGTGGTTGATCATATGAAGCAAATCGCGGGAATGGTCGTTCCAATGCGCTTGAGAAACAATTAACAACAGAGCTTGGGAAAAGTGGGTGAAGTTGAAGTTTCTAAGACATACTGATTTCACCCAGAATAGGCTCATTAATCGCAACAGTAGATTCTTGATTGCATAGATCGGCGATCCATACAGCACGCAATGGGACGCCCAGCTGCTTCATGCGGACACAGAGACGCTCCCATATAGGCTCGAACAGCTCCTGTTTCAATCAGTATCAGTCGATGACATGTTCTTTGGGTGATAACTGACTTTGGCAGCTGTGTTTCCAGGAACTGCGATGACAGTAATCGCATTGTCTGGGACAGGCTCGGGCCGGTCAAGTGGAATGTACTGCTTGATGGAAAGCATCAATTTACCTTCTTGAGGTCCTCTCACGCTATAAGGATGCTCCCGAATGTGCTGGCCGGGAATGACATGTTGGACCACTTTGAAGATTTCCATGTTGAAATTGTGTGAATGTCCTAAGATCTTGGATCCTAAAGACGGAATGATAATGATGGAGAAGGGAGAAGTATACGCGCATAGTCTAAATATAAGTACTAGCTCATTTTGCGCCCCCAACCGAACGCTTCTGACTGAGTGGGGGCGGCCCCAAGGAGACTCTTTAGCGCTGATCTTAAGCCTTGAAGAGAATGGATTTCACCAATATTAGCAACAGCCGAGGCCCCAAGTGATCTATACTTAATTTTGATGAAAATTGTCATTCAAAGCTAGAATCCATACTAGAAAAGTCAAACCAATGATAAACCGAGCACAAACTATGGATTAGGAACATTTCCAAGGTTCAACCTTGTAAGAAGATATGTATTGATCCACGTGTGGATGATAAAATTGATGATCACGAGGGAAGAGATAAAATGCACTAACCTACATAGGAAATCTTCAGATATCTTGGGTTTCCAAATTGGTTCATCCAAAAGTATGGGTATGGGGTAGTGGCGCTCCTACTAATAACAATGGTCAACTGGTCAAAATAACATCGGGAAAACTATTTATCCGCTTCCACGCTTATGCCAAGACTTTAGCCTCTCTCTCCACCACTGATGTACAAGATGAGTGTGATTCGTGATTCGTGAAGCTCGTTAGATGCAATGAGAAATACAGATGATCGCCGCTCCCATTCGCCAGTAACACGGCGTAATGGTGCTTTACAGTCATGTGAGCCCTGCCGGCGTTCAAAACAACGATGTGATCATGAACGACCCGTCTGTCGCCGATGTGCCTCGAAACGCATGAGCGACAAATGTTTCTATCATCCAGCCCCAATGACCAGGCGGCGATCACTTCAAAATACTACTAGCATTTCTCTACCACCGCCAAGTCGCCTGGTCAGCCAACCAAACTCGAAGTAATGACATTCCAATCTCATCTGAGACTGCAAATTACTAATGGTGAGGGTTCAGTGCTTCTAGTCCCGGGTCTCTGGGAGGCGGGCGTATCTTTGCGACTGCAGAGCCTCCATCTGCGTTACCCGGTTATCTAGGATCGACAAGTTTTGCGGCTGTTCTGACAGAGCATCGAAATGAGATCCCTTTTGAGCCTGAAGAGACTACAGATTCATATCCGGTCCTATCAGTGGAGCCGGAGCGGGCCCAATCTGGGGCCGACGTGTTACTGTTCCTCTATAATCTCACCTTCCGCCAAAGCCTGGTTGACAAGTTCTATCTTCGATCATGGAATGCCGTCGTACCCAAAATTGTTCTAGATGCTATACTCACTTCCATACAGGAGATCTTTGGTGGATTAAATGCCAATGATCCAATGCCGCAGCTGCGGAATTTGGCCACTTTGATCTTCCAGAACTCTTCACGGGCAATGACAACTCATCAGGCAATGACCGTTCAAGAGTATTGTGCTTCCTTCACAGGCCGCAATTTACGTTGGGAGGCACTGGCAAATATCTTTTCTGTCTGTGGCCAGCAGCTTGTCATCACACCGGATAATGATCCCGAGGTCTCCCAGGAGAGTGAGGACCCCAGGCGTAAAAGATCGGCTCCTGGAACAGGTTATACAAGCAGGCACTATATGTCTGAATTTCTGTGATCAGGCTTCGTCGGCCAATGAGCTCCTGGCATATCTGCAATATAATGATGTCATGCTTTTAACACAGCAGTATGGCGATTCAAGTACGTGTTTCAAATAACCATTTCATTTGTTCAGATAGTACGGTCATTAATCAAAATCCAGGCTACAAGGCATGGCGTCGACTGGGTGATTTGGTCGCTACAATCTATGCGGCAGGAATCCATCTTGATACGGACAGTTCCGAGAATTGTCCCTTTTTCCTTCGCCAATGGCGCAGAGGATGCTTTATTTCGGCTTTCTATATGGACAAGATGATGGCAACTTTTGTTGGTCGACCACCTCTCATGAACTACCGATATTGCACTCTAGTCCCACCACTTGATCTGAGTGACGAAGATCTAGTTGCGGGCGGAGAGACTCTTGAACGAGCAATTTCCGATCTTGATAGCAATGGCTGGAACACAAAAGGTGTTCGGAATCGACTGAGCACCTCGCGAGTTAGATTTCATCTTGCCGTTTCAAGAGAACAGACCCTTGATATTGCATTAGGGACCCCTGAAAGTCGCAGTCTTGTCCGAAAGTCAAAGTGAGTCCGGATAACCGGTTCCAATCGAATCCCGAGGTAGACCCAAAGTTGAATTAACACGATTCTTTTGCACAGCGAAATCGAAGAGAATATGCGAACGATCTGGGCTGCAACACCGGATTATCTTCGATATGATCGCGAACAAGCCCATGACTTCCATCATGGGTGGTTGACGATCGTTTACCTATATCTTAATTACCTTTACACCTGTTTCCTCCTTCAGAGAGCTCTGATCAAGCATACTAATACCGGAAGAGCTGCGCTTTGTGATGTATCCCGCCGCGTCCTTGCCATTGTCATTACTATCACTTCGCAACGACATCCCATGGTGGATCTTGATCGACATTATTCTTGGATTGTACGATTTCCCTTCACCCTGGTCAAATTTAATATGGAAATTATGCTAATTTCCATGATAGGCTCTCACATATGGCCTTCCAAGTGCCAGTGTTCTTCTCGTAGAGCTTCTGCACCAGTCCCATGAGCCCGGGCCCCATGCCGTTGCTCTCCCCCGCGCAGAACTGATCCGAAATATCAGCGTCTTCATCTCATTACTATCCTGGGTATCACGACCTGGGCATGGAAACTATCATACATGTCGCGAGGCGGAAAAGAAACTATCTCGCATTCTCGATCAATTGTTGGACCCCCAGCCTGTCCAGGCAGATATGGTCCACGATGTTACTTCTGGCCTGTCTAGCTTCTTGGATTGGTCGAACTACAATGCTTGGGACTTTAATACGGAATACTTCCCCAGTGCGGATGGGTTTGCCCCTTGATTCTATGGGATTTATAATGCAGCAATTAATGCCAGGTCTACCATTAGCGCCTACATAGTCTCTATCCAAATTAATCAGTTAATTATCTACCTTCATGGAACTTGAAGTACTAGTACTAGGGTTTTGGTGCATATGAATTTCTGTGGATGGTTTGGAGCAGAACAATCTCGATAATCATGTCACTCTTTACAAGGGTAAATCCTTCCCTCTAACAACAAACCTGATCGATCGAGAAGGTAGAATCGATCACCTTGCCCGCTATAATGTGCCCGCATCGCGATTCTCGCAATAAAATACCTTCACGATGTGATCTCCTCCAATTGGAGGCATCCAATCTTTTGTCTGGCACAACCGATAACCGATGGGGAGAGCTAAACTGACCTGGAAGGCTGGGATTTGACCTTCAAGTTCTCAAGGGTCATACCTTCACCGGCACTCAAGACCGGTTCCCACACATTGACTCAGACTTATGTTGTTCAATTTTGAAAGGTCAACATTAGCCTAAGCCCATAGGAATAATGCTCGAAGTTACGTAGAAGATAATAATCTTTACTCTATGCTTGGTAGTAATAAATTGAAATAGAACATTATTTTCCAAATAATATGGGCAGGTGGGCATGATGGGTGATTAGTCTGAAGCAACGTGGGTGATTATTTTTTATGAATGTGTGGCTGAAAATCTTTTTTTTCTCAGACGACGCTGGTGATTATTGCTGTGGCTCTTCAGGGTTGGGAGCAATATTATTTTTCAGACGACGCTGGTGATTATTGCTATGACTCTGGGGCTGGGATTTTTTCCCCAAAGAACTTCAGAACGCTGGTGGCTATTTCCATAGCTAGGGCTGGGATAAATTTCCAAAGGACCTTGGAACGCTGGTGGTTATTCCTATCTGGGGCGAAGACTATTTTTCAGACGACGCTGGTGGTTATTTTGATGGCTCTAGAGCTGAGAATATTTCCCCAAAGAACCTTGGAACGCTGGTGGTTATTGCTTTGGATGGCTCGGGCTGAGATAATTTCCCAAAGAACATTAAAACGCTGGTGATTATTTCGATGACTCTGGGCTGAGATTATTTTCCGAGGAACTTCAGAACGCTGGTGATTATTGCTATGGCTCTATGGCTGAGATAATTTTCCCAACAACTTTGGAACGCTGGTGGTTATTTCCATGACTCTGGGCTAAGATTATTTTTCAGACGACGCTGGTGGTTATTGCGATGACTCTGGGCTAACATTTATTTTCCCAAACAGCCTAGGAACGCTGCCCAGGTGATGATTATTACTCTAGGTTAGAACCAAAATATCAGCCTGATGTTAAGATAAATTTCCCAACATTGAACAGCACGACCTCGGGAGTAATTATTTTCATCAGCTCAGCTCTTGTAAATTTTTTCTCTGAGTTCTTAGCACAAATACTTTGGAATTTTTCAAGTTCCAGCCACATATGCATATGTGCACTTAAAAAGCAGTATCTACCCTAGTTTAAAATCCAAGAATGCATAGTCGATCTGCGAGAATCATAACCTCGTCTTATAATTATCCTCAAACTTTCAGTCAATTAAAGATTACATGACACCATAGAAGCTTTAAAAAGCCTCCAAGTCAGACCTCCCACTCATAATCATACCATCGGAGGTCTTTTTGGAGGGTCAACAAAAGCCCGTTGGCAGACCGGGCAGTTGTAATGGTCCCTTCGGGACCATTCATCCAGACACTCTCGATGAAAGACGTGTGAGCATGGTAGCTCACGTATCTCTTGGACTGGACTCACATCCTCCAGGCACACGGGGCTAGAAATTACCAGTCAATTAGCCAATATGAAGGTTGAGTGAGAGAAATGAGAGAGTTATTACCAGTTGAACAGCCTATCTAAGGCTTCAAAGCTACCCAGCTTCCTCCCCTTCTTGCTCCACCACTCTTCTAGCTTTAGTACCGGTGATGTGGTGTTGAGTTTTGCCAGCCGCTCTTCAGGGCTTGATTGTTTCCGTTTTCGGTAGACGAGGGCTATCCTGTATACAAAGTTGTCAGTATTATACTCACTTCATCGGACCCGAGTCCGTGTCAATAGGTAGTGAGACACAGTATGCTCTGGAGACCCATAAAAGCCTCACCGTATAAGGCAACAGAATAGAGGATCAAAACTTACAGGCCGATGAAAAGAAACGTGAATACAATGCACGTTCCTAGTGTAGCCCCCAAGGCAATGGCTGTAGTGCCTGCTGCACCACGTGGATGCACCCGATCGCTCGTTCTCTTAGAGTATCTCAGCTTTTTGTATGGTTCGTCCAAGGGCTCGACAACAGCTGTTATGTGAGAAAATTAGTGCCAAGTCACAAGGAAGGATTTAAATAACAGGTTCGAAGTAAAAATATGGGTTTGAAACTTACCGTGAAGAAATGGGTGTGAGATGTCGAAGGGCAGGGTTGGTGAGGATGAGTGAGTTTAAACACCACGCGTTGGGTGTGGATAAAACCCGAGAACTTAAAAATAGGGAACGCAGGACCAGGGCGATCGATAAAGTACGTGTCGATAATTTAAGACTTGAGAGATACCTCCAGGGCTTACACACGCACTATCAGATGACATCTGCGCTAGAACCCTGAAACTGTCCCCGCTTTAAGTGAATATATGCACTGTACTCATTAATTTTTTTTAAGGAGGTACAATATGATCCTGGGTAGTCGCTTTTAAAATTTTGTTATTTTTTCCCTTCTTCTTCAATTTTTAGCCAGTTGTTACGCGAAGTTGTTGGAAAAGATACGCGGCCAAGATGTTAGTGGCTTCAAGTCATGCTCTCGGATCGGCTTGATAGTCTTTTTTTTTCTTTCTCTTTCTTCTCCCGAGGTCCTTCTATTTTTTTGAATTTTTTTTTCTAACTAAGACTTTCTCATATTTGCTGTCTTCTCTATTTATTTATGAACCAATTCAATGCTGACCCAGAGAATTTGTTGTGTATGACAGTGCCTGGATTATGATTGATCAGTGTGACTAGGTAAATGATGTGAGTGAAGTAGAAGTAGTACGGAAGTTGATGATGCATGATGGCACTATTGATTCCCCAGAAAAGCTTTTTTAATTCCAACATATTGAACTTTTTAACAGCTATAAAGCTTACTCTTTGTTAAAAGTTCGAGTTGTAGAGTTTGATATCATTATTTAGTGTCCTTGGAATGTAATATCCTCTATATTGGCTCTCAATACATTTGCATATACCTTTTTGCCCAACTCTGTATCTACATCTACAGAGGATCTATCCGACAATCGTTGATCAAAGAGCAGATCAATCTCTTCCAGACTTTTTTGTTTAGTCTCCCGAAAGAAGAAATATATGACTGGAAAGGTCACACAGAGATCTAAATAGATCGTTAGCAGGGACTTAGGCTCAACCGGAAAACTGAGAATAGTATTTGGACTCACTCCATGCCACAAAAATAAAATAATATCTCCATTGGATCTTCCCAAGAGCAATGGGTGAAACTTCATTCCACAATGCACTGACCGCCCAACTACCAACTCCCACAGCGAATGCACTGCCCTTGCCGCGAATTTGCATTGGCATAACCTCGGCCATATAAACCCTGTGACGGTTAGAAAAACCATGACTGTAATCAAGAAATAGGCCGAAAAGGGGGTATGACATACCAACTACAAGGACCAAATGATAGAGAGAATGTAATCGACACGGCAAATAAGAAAAATATCCCAGCGACACTGCATCCAGTCCGCGTGCCATCTGGATCTTGTGAGTTGATCACACCCTCACATATCAATACAATGGACATAGTGACTGTGCCAAAAAGCAAGGGTTTCCGTCGTCCAACTCGGTCAAGTATAAAAATCACGAAGATGAAGTTGGTGATTGGGCCAACACAGTTGTAAATCCCTACAACGAGTGTGTTGAGATTCCCTGAGATCCCAAGATTTTTAAACATAATTGTCTGATAGTAGGAAATGACGTTAATGCCTGTCATCTGCGTGAATATCTGAACCGCAAGTCCGTGTCTATAATCGTAAGCCTCGAGCTAAATATGGATGTAGAACAGTCCCAGCGAAACGAGAAAAAAAACATACAGCATTCGAATACGCCATTTTGGAACGGTAAACATGGCTATCCAACCTGGCGTTGAAATCGACTTCTCAAACTCAATCGCCTGGCAAATCGCGCGGTACTCAGTCTCGATCCAGTCGTCGTTTGTCCCATCGTGATGGAGTTTATGGAGAACCCGCATTGCCTCGGTGTATTCATTCTTTTCGATGAGATGACGTGGAGATTCCGGCACAAAAATCATACCAATGATCAGGATAATAGCCGGGATGACCTGAACAGCTAATGGAAACCGCCATTGGAATTCACTGGTACTTGGCGCATGAAGCGATCCATAACCAATCCACCTAGAGTATCGTTAATGATCCACATGAAGCTAAAAAAAGAAATGGTTTCCATACGTGCTAACGAGAGATCCAACACCGATCATTTGCTGAGTTAATCCAACAATCAACCCCCGAGATCGAGGATGTGCAAATTCAGCTTGATAAACTGGTATGGCCATGGACATAATTCCCACGCCCCAGCCAGCTATAATACGACCGATGAGAATCATGGCTAAATTCTGAGCCGCTGCTTGAATTGTGGCGCCAATAAGACAGGTCAAAGCGCCCATTTGGATAGTCCGTCTACGCCCAAAACGGTCAACAGTCAAGCCACCTTGTAGGGCACCGATCATTGCTGGATTGTGAAGAAAATGTGAGTAATTGCTAGAATCCACGAACATCCCTTTTCGGGTGAGCTGTTACCTCCACCAGAGTAGACACTGTTGATAGCTCCAACGATAGCTGATGTTTCTGTAGTATGGAAATATTGTAAGAAGTTTGGGGAGTCAATGACATCGGTCATGACACCGTTGTCGTAACCAAATAGAAAGGAGCCCATTGACACCAGAATGGCGATAAAGGTACTGTAGAGACGACCCATCGTGGCCGATTGTCCTTGAACCGCGAATTCGGTCAATGGAAAGAATTGGAAAAGATGATGATAGACCGGAAGAAACACATCACCGCGTTTCAGATTGAAGGGATGGACTAATCTGATCCTTTTAATCCATAGAAAATGTTGGGGATGCGGGGCAGGACCAGATTAATCGATCATACAATCTACCCGAGCGACAAGGTGATGACAGGAATTCGTTACATGGAAATCTGGAATATTTGAAGGATCAGGAACTCAAGAATCCGGGGTATGTACCGGTAGGGGTAAGGAGCCGGTATCTTCCCGTGAACCAACCCATTTCAGTATATGCACTGTGGGGATTCTGGTGAATGGCTCGGATATGCCCGTAATCTGTCCGGTTCACCGGTCTCATCACCCCCGCACTTGAACATTTGAATTGTTTAGAATCAAGCACGGCCCGGTTTAGATTGCCCTGGAGTACTCCGTAGTCACTCGCTTATTGGGATGTGAGTTGGTTTGATTGGTTCCAAACTTTGATTATGGCCGATCGCATTCGGCAATTTGAGTAGTACATCATTGGTGCATGTAGAGTATTCAAAATAATTTCTAGCAGCGTGTTAAGTTGACGATAGGCTAGACGAGGCTCGACAAAAAATTGAATATTGGTCCTATAGAACAAGGAACATGGGTGCACGTTTAGACCTGAACCAGTTGACTGAAACACGGAGATTGGATTTAATCGGTGATAAGAAACATCATGATCTTACTCCTCTATACGGTCAAGCACTTGAGTCATTATATCGGCACTTGAGTCATATATCGGACCGATCCGGACTCTCGGAGTTTGGCAGATCGGGGTTAAATGCTGGGCTTATATCTTCAGTTGACATCCAACATCATGATCTGTTTAGTATCCACATTTGATTCAAACTATTCAATCCATGCGTACTATCACAAAATTTGCAGTGACACAGCCGTTCCAAAATTTGAATCATGATACCCTTAATCACCCTCGAAGAGCACTATGTCTCGCCGCACGTCCGCGCTGCTCAAAAACATGATGAATTTGCTGTTTTCCCACCTGACTTAGTACGAAAACTGAATTCCCTTGACGAGGAACGTATACAAGATCTAGATCGCGGAAACGTATCTCTCCAGATCATCTCTCATGGTCCCGGGGATATGCCTGTCAGTGTCTGCACAGCAGCAAATGACGATCTTGTGTCTGCTATCTCCAAGCATCCAAATCGGCTAGCAGGGTTTGCATTACTCCCAGTGAGTAATCCAACCGCTGCGGCAGACGAGCTCGAGCGCTGCGTGAAAAGCTTGGGATTCGTCGGTGCACTAGTAGACACTCACATCAATGGCGAGTTCTACGATGACGAGAAATTTTGGGTCATGTTTGAAAAGGCCCAGGAATTAGATGTCCCCATCTACATCCATCCTTCTTGGGCCGCTGATAGTCAGATGGACCACTATCGTGGGAATTATCATGAATCTGTTGCCGTGGCTCTTAGTGCATATGGCTGGGGCTGGCACTCGGACTCTGCACTGCATATTCTGAAATTGTATGCCAGTGGACTCTTCGACCGGTTCCCAAAGTTGAAGATTATCATTGGACACATGGGCGAGATGCTTCCCTTTCAGCTGGACAGAGTATTTGGAGTTTCTGCACGGTGGGGGCGGGAGAGATCATTCCAAGAGGTATGGCGGGAGAATATTTGGATCACGACTAGTGGTATGTTCTCCTTGCCTCCGTTGGCTTGCCTGCTGCAGACCACGTCAATCGACCACGTGCTCTACAGTGTCGATTATCCGTTTTCATCGAATGAAAAAGGACTCGAGTTTTTCAAGACGATTGAGAAGAGCGGGTTGATTGGCGGAGAGGATTTGGAGAAATTTGCATATCGCAATGCTGAGCAATTGCTTCGAGTTCAGATCAAATTATCTTGATTATGGGAATCATTGCCGTTGTCTGATAGGTTTCCTCGGAAGGTTGTTCCATCGATATATAAAATGTGACGGAGGTCGCAAAAAGGGATGAATACCGCTGCATGAATCATGATCATTCGAACATAAATCATGACTGTAGTAAATTGTAGTCAACTGTAGTCAACTGTTGTACTCCAGGTCACGTGCCCACGTGTCTTTCGTGTTCGGGGCTTTTTTCCTGTAGATCACATACTTAACATACCAATTTCACCGGGGAATTTGGGTGTTCCTCGGAGGTGTGATGCCATGAATTATGCTAAATACCAGAGCCTCCAAAATTCTTAGAATCTCACGCATTCTCCCTAACGTGACGTGGGACACGCGATGGCCCCATAGGTCCACGTCCGTGGCCGCAGTGGGGAATCCCGACTTACCTCCGACCGCGTCAATCGTGGGAGTAAATAGAGGGAACGAGAGAGGTTAAAAGAGATAGATATTAGAAATGGGATAATTTATAGCTCAAAATGAAGAAAATTAGAGAAAATAGAAACCAAATCAGGGTAAAAAGTAGGCCAAAGTAAGTAACTTGAGAGACAAAGTTGTAAAATATCAAAAAAACTAGCGCGGGCACGGTCTTGCTCCTCCGCGTCCACAATCGCGACGCGATTCCACTACGGTCTTGGTCTGCATACTCTTCTTTGCTCCAGCCTCACTCCCAATTCTCTCCCACTTTCTTTTTGTTTTTGAGTTTTTCATTTTTGTTTTTTCTCTGGTTTTTGGCTCCCATACTTCCTTGGGACAAGAACCATCCATCCTCCTCTCTTTATGCTTTAGTTGGAGACTATGTCTGATCCGGAGCCTTCAGTGGTGGCGGCAGCCTCTTCCTCGCCGTCTCTCCCAGCCACGGATTCCAATGCCCTCAATTACGCCTTCCTCGTTCACTCCCAGAAAACATTGACCCAGAACCTTCCTCCGCGTGTCGATAATAAGCTACTTGCTCGTCAAAAACGCCGCCGGACGAGGTGAGTCTTTAGCCCGGATTGACCTCGGAAAACGCGTATAATCTAACCAATGTGACCAATTTCTACTAGTCCGGAGGACCACGCCATCTTAGAAGCCGAATACCAGAAGAACCCCAAGCCGGATAAAGTTGCTCGAGCGAATATTGTGAATCGCGTCTCGCTCGGCGAGAAAGAGGTCCAAGTACGCGATGCCAAGACCTCAGATTGCAAAATGCCTCCACACCCTAGACCGCATAACTAATTCTTTGCAGATTTGGTTCCAGAATCGCCGCCAAAACGACCGACGGAAATCCAAACCTCTCCAGCCGCACGAACTACTTGCTCCTCGTTCGAGTATGTCCGATCCATTGGGACACCCGTCTAGTGATGATAACGCGTCTGCGGACCCAGGGTCCTCGAGTGGGGCAGAGTTGTCGGTCGACGCCCACACTCCAGCAGAGGGGACAAGGCCAAAATCATGGGGTGGCGATTTGTTGCAGTTATCTGATGAACCGGACCCGGTGACCAGTGAGAGGGATGAGACTGAGCTTGAACCCGAACTGCCACCCCAGAGCACACAAACGAGTGTGGCGACTGAAGCGTTGGATTACACCCCGCCGACCACGCAGGAGGAATTTCATGGAGCGGATTCGAGTCAAAATCTGGACAGCAACATATCAGAAGAGTCGTTATTGCAGGCTCCGAAGCGGAAGCGATCTGTTTCTGATCTCAGAGACGATGGGTTACAAAATCAGTATATGGTAAATGGCATGACGACGCCAGTGAAATCACCTCCTTCGTTGAGGTTGTCGATGTCCTTCGATGGGGAGGCTATGGTACGAAAAGAAGATGAGATGACGCCGTCACCGCCAAAGGGACGGAACTCACTGCGTATTGCAATGTCGTCGGATGGAAAGGCTGTCATCCGTGCTGAAAATGAGCCATCGCCGTCCAAGAACCGGGTGGCTATGTTCTCAGTACGTCGCACCAAGCTCTCAAGTTTGCGGCGTAGCAATAGTGCTATCTTCCCAGCCACACCACGGTCGGGCATGAGTGAAAAGGATCGAACCTTTGGTCGATCTCGTGATCCTCGTAACTGGGAGTCATTCTTTGACACCGACGCCCGAAGTGCCCTGTTCACACCTGCCAGCTCCCAAGCTGCCCCCAACTCCTCACCTGGTCTCTTCCAGTCTCGATCTCAGCGCTCCATCACACGCAGTTCATCAACAAGGCATAGTTTCGTTAATGTTCATGCTGACTCTGCCCGTACCCCGATCTCCCAGTCGATGGGAGAAAAGAGGCGAAAGCTTGCCCGTACAGTTTCTTCTCTGGGACGACTTGAGACAGATCGGAACCGGGCTTCTCCATCTGTCTCGAAGCTTTCCAAATCAATGACCTCTAAGTCCGGCGATGTGGACTTTGAGCTGGATGCTGGTGATTCCGATAAGGAAAATTGGGTTCCAGGAACCCGATCAACTCCTGTTCGTCGTCGTACAACTTCTCACGCTTCCCGCCCCGCTTTGCGTGAAGCCAACCGTAACCAGGGATTAGGGCTGACGAATACGGGGAAACGGAATCGACCATTCGCAGCTGGCACTCAGGGCAAAGTGCCGCCAGATTTGAGTGCAGAGGTATCTGCATTCATGGCTGTTGGGACAAGTGGTAGTCAAGAAGATGATCTGGACTGTGTCCAGGGACTTCTTTCCCTGAGTCAAGGAGCCTGGCGATAGCACTGATCCTCCCGTGCTCCCCCTGTGAATGAAACCAGGAGACTTCCCTTAGACCGCATCATCACTGAAAACCCCCTCTTCTCTGTACCTCACTTTTGAAACTTCCCGTCTCCTTTCACTATGTCTCTTTCTTTCTTTTGTCGTTCCTTCTTGTCATGATTCTGATTCGCGATGTGTGCTTGCAAGCGGTTCTTCGCCACATCGTCACGTGAGACCCATGATTCCTTGTTCCCAAGGTCCATTGTGGCCTTCTTTTCTCTTCGAGTATATCTGCTATCCGTTCGAGTTATATTTGACTCGCTGTGCGGGAATTGGATATTTAGCCCTTATGGCCCTGTCTTTGTCGCTGGTCGCTGTTGTTAGCAGGACCAGGCTGCGGGAGATAGCTCCCGGTATAGATCAACTAATTCTGGGATGACCCCAGTAACGAACAATGATATTGACCGTTGAAAATACTATACATTTGATGAATTACTAGTACCAGTGGCACAAAATGAAATCGCCGAATAACTAGACTCGTCATATTGCCCACTGGCAGGTGATTATGTAGTAACTGGTTAATTTCAATACCTACCGACTCCATATGTCTAGCAGCCATCTAGTATTTTTATGTACAAGTCTATCTCCGACGCTGATCGACAATCAGAAATCTAAGCTCAGTCACCAAGGCCTCAAGTCTAGACTTGAACCTACAGCTTCGTTTTAGCAGAAGGCAGAGAATCATCTCTCCCATGAGACACACCAGCACGCGCCAATCTCCTCCGTTCACAGACCTGTCCAGCAACTCGTTCTCCACTCCAATAAGCACCCGTCGTAGTACCCAGAGCTACGAACGGCGATGTATGCTCGCCAGCAAACCACAATCCACGCTCCGCACCAGTCCCATCACCCGAGCGCATAACCTCGATGTCCACATCACCATGCTCCAACCCAACCTGGAAATTGCAGTAAGATCCGTATCCCGCATATTCATCTGTTTGCCAGCGAGTAGCAAGGACAGTAGTGGGGATGCAGTCTGTCGAGGAGGGATCGTAACCGGGTAACTTGGAGTAAAAGGGTTGGAGCGTAGCGATTAAAGTATCTTTGTATTCCTTTGAAGAGGGATCAAGAGATGCGATGCTCTGAACAATATGTGCACCACCTGGACCGTAGGTGTAGAATAGGAGGGTTGGATGAGCGCATGGTTCTGGGAGAGAGGCGATGGAGAGACATTCTTGATTCCATTCTAAGTGTGATGGGTGCTCATTTGCGTAATTTGGCTCAAGGAATTGGGTGAAGATTGGGGTTGTGGGTAGATTTGAATTGAAGTTTTCAGATTCGACTTTCCAGAATGGGCGAGGGAATTTGACGAAGACTTTTTCGAGGCGTCCATAGGAGATATTGTCAATTGCTTGGAGGAGTCGGCGTGGGAGTTCGGGGGTGAATGCGCTGGTGTTATTTTTGAGCCAGCCAAGTGGGCAGGTTACCACCACATCATCAAATTTGAACTGATCTCCAGAGACTGTGGTTACAGTTACCTGGTTTTCATTGATAGCTGTGTCAGTCTTTCTGGTAGGGGTGTCGATGTTCACAACTGGGTGGTTTAGTTTGATGTCAGCGTGGGATTGAGCTGTTTTGGCAACTTGTTCAAGGATCCGTTTATAGGTTCCCGCAACAAAGTAATTGTCTAGTCCCAGAATGTTAATCATCCGATTTGAGTATCATGAAAAGGGACCAAAGACTTACATCCGTCAATACATTCTTCCAATCGAAAGAATCTTAGACTTTGTCTCTCCGTAGGCTCCCCCACATAGGCTCCCCAAAGCTTGCACGCATCTAGACAGAGCTGTTGCTCCTCCTTGGAGAAACTTGACTGCTGGACTTTCTCTTGGAAGAAATCATAGAGACTTTCCTCAGGACGGATGCTGTCGCGGTGCTCGTTGCTGTACTTGAAAGCCTCCGCAATGGTTTCCCATACAAACTCCGAGACCTTGGTGCCAAGATCTTCACCGATGAAGTTTCCATCGCGCGAGACCATGAAATTGCCGCCTGCAGGATCATAGGTGACAGTTTGCGTTGCCTGGGCAAGCGACATGATGGGATTTTCGCCCTGTCCATGGATCCAGTTCGGGCCACTGCGAGATATTAGCTCATGGTTCATTGTCATTCTTAATTGGCATTTTCAATGTCAGCTAGTTACTTACAGATCCACTTCATGGCCCTCCAGGTCATCCTGATAAATCTATTGAAATTGAACTGCTTAGCTCGGGGTTTCCAATGAAAGAAGATCACCTGGGGAAGCTTGCAAATCACGAATAGACAAAGGGAATTTACTTACTCTTCCACCAATGCGATTCCTAGCCTCTAAGATAGTGACCTTGGCTCCATTCTGGATCAGAATATCGGCACAGCGGAGACCCGCAAGGCCCGCACCGATGATACCAACGTGTGGCCTTGAACTCATGACACGCGATTGGAGATAGGATACCCGATTGAAGGAGGAGGAGGATAGTCGAGACGTGCACTGAATAGCTGATCTGTACATGAAAAGCCAACTATTTGAAGTCGTGGCAAAGTTTTGACTGATATTGCTGATAGGAAGCGGAGACCAGAGTCCGCAAATGATTGGCTACCGTTGAATGTTAAGGGATCTGACCTCGGAGCGTTTTTGGTGGTTAATAATCCAAAACGGTAGGTCCTGCCGAGGTAGTTGGGAAGGTGTGGATCAATTTAGATTCCTTGTTCAATTTTAATTTGGCACAAAGTATACATATCAGTGTGCATAGTGGCGGAACGAAGGTGACTTGAACGATTGGTCGCACTCAAGTGCTGCTAGAGGTACCTCGATAGTCCAGTGATAAGGCTAGGGTGTCTAGTGAATATATAAGCCTAACTTGGATTTTTTAAAATAATTTGAAGCAAGCATAGGTACCTCGGTATCGATCATAATTTTCTGATATTTGATCCAACCCATGACTTGCTGCCTCATATTCCAGGCATATACCAGGTAGTTATCATTTTATGTAGGTTTAAAAGCCCCATTTAGGATATCATGTATGAGCCTGTCGTACCTTTGCCAGAAGCTTTTCGACAAGTGCTCGAACTGAAATCCTCCACTCCACAAGAATCACACAGACCATAAGCAAGGGGACTGAAACGGCCACCCAAATCCAGATATCCAGAGACCCTTGTCCGAACTGCTTGAAGTTCATCCCAAATACTGAGGTCACAAACGAGATTGGCAGGAATATGAAAGTCAATCTGTTGGTCAGTTTGGTAAGCTCTCCCACTAGCCGCGATTCCTCAGCCGTGCGTTTTGACTCCGCAATAGAGAAATTGGTCATTATAGTACTCTTCCCACTATCGCATAATTCTATTAGAACCTGAGCTTCAGCAGAAAGACAGGCAAGATCTCCCCTGGCTAGGGTCAGTAGATCTCGCCGCTTGGTCTGATGAGTTAATGGGGCGATGGGATTCCCAGGAGAGTCGGGATCTAGGGCCTGGCTCAGTCCCCGGAAGTGCGAGGCCCATCGGACCAGGACTGCTTTTGTGTATTCGAAGTTCGCAATATCGTCTATATTTAACGATTCAACATTCATCTTTTGAGTTCGATACATGGCTTGTGTTATGTCATTTCGCAGCATGTTCAGGTATTGCATCGCGGCGGCTGACTGGAAGGCGAATAACTCCTCGAGAACGAGAACTGGGTCATCCTGTAGTGCACTCCAGCTTAGAGTATGTCCATAGTTACTGGACAAAACCGATAAGGCTTGTGCATTGCCCCGACAGCAGCATGTCTGATTTCTGGATTCCACTGGTATGGGAATATGCTTCTCAAAGAACACCGGACAGCATTCTAAGGCACTTCCGAGATTTTTGAAAGCATCGGTGGCGGGAATCGGCAAGTAGTCGGGAACATAATCGTTTCCTGCATCGCTCCAGACGACGACTGTAATCAACTTGTAAGTATCAATTTTAATTTTCATGCTGGGAAGTCATTTTCTTACTCTTGGCTGCTTGGCCTTTCTTGTGTACGCTGATGGTAATCGCATGCTCCAGCACCATCGCCTCACCACTATGAATGTTGACTTGTCGTACAATAGTCTGCCCTGTTGATGCCCCTGCTCCACCAAAAAAGCTCTTTGATTTCTGTCGCAGGAGCTCCGCACATGCAAACCGAGCCTGTTGGAGATCATTCGCGGGGACAAACCGACCCTCATTCCCAGTGAACACGATGCATGGCACCACTAGGCGAATGAACTGCTGCGATCGTGACGGTACACTGGGTGTAGTGAACCAGTCTCTTTGACCGGTCGGTAAAAATTCCAAATGGCGATGGAGAAATCGATGATCAATCCCATATCGCGCAACCACAGTATTCAGCCACTGTGGGGATGGATAGCCGGTTAAAAAGACCATCTCAGTCCCCGAATCTTCCTTTGTAGACTGGAATGCAGAAACATCGCTATATTGCCTGGCCCGTGGCCTCTGAGCACCATTAAGAGAATATGAGTTGAGAAAAACATTGCTATTCGCAGGCAAATTAACAACTCGAGTTGAGGGATATTTTCGTGATGACTTTTGATAAGGCCCGTCAAGATACGATGCAAGATTATTCAAATAAGCAACGGAATGTAATGGGTCGTTATTCAAAGACTGAACTCGTGAGCATAGAAATCGAACTCCATCTGACATTTCTTCATGTTCATGTTCGAAGTCTGGCATATTGTTTATCTCGTGTCCGACCGAAAAAAACCCTGGTTGAATGCTGGCGTATTATGTACAAGGTCAATTCATTGCCATTTGCTCTGGATTATACGAGCGTGGCTCAGATCGTGTCGTGTCAGCTGCGCCTCCTCAAATCCTGCGGACAACCATGCGGGCGCTTAGATACATTGACCAACAGGACGTGCGAACTCACCCACTCTACTGCAGACGGGGCTGCATGAAAGTGTGTTTGATCTTATGTGGGGTTCGTTGTCATTCCACCCTACTGAAGAGGCACGGCCTCAGCCTTCAATGTGAGATCGTGAGGTATCTCATCTTATAATTCTTGCCCCTTTGAGTATGAAGAGGACGCTCTTTCTCTAGAAGTCTTTCTCGTCAAGATGGGACACTTTACAAGGCTCCACGCTGTGGAGGGTGATGATTATCCAAAGACACTGTAAGTTAAGATAATAACAGGCTCTGACCAGGGGAGATGGTGATTACTTGCTTCTGCACACCTTCCAAGGTTGAAACCTTCTGCTGATCAGATCGTCCTCGAAAGAGTCGTCGTTGTCCCAGGTCTCTTTGCAAACTCCCTTGCCGAGCAAACATGCCCGCATTTTATGGAATGGATTCGGAATTGTTGCGCGAAGCTCAAACCTTCACTCGAAGTATGGGTCTACTGGCACGGTATTAAGGTAAAATCTATTCAGTCCTGGGAACTGGTCTGCGAGGCGGGGAAAGAGCTATACCATAAGCTCATAACGCTCTGCACGGATCGAGCCAAGGTATGTCACGGTCTGCATATCTCTTTTATCCAACATAGATGCTCAATACACTGCTTGATCCAAGGACCCCGACTGCAACGTCATTACCATAGGGTATCGGCTCGGTGCGTTCATTCTGAAGAAGGTGAGTGTGTCCATAAGCCCCTATCTCCCTTTTTGCCTTGCAATACTTTAGATTGCTTTATACATTAAGCAATGATGACCAGGTATCTGTGAGACTTACACACTATCATTACAGGCTATCATAGAAGCTCATCCCAAACAACATCATGATGGTGAATCAGCTCTATTTGAGTGCCTCGACACCATGGTCATGGTCGGTGACCCAAAGCTGAAAGATGCTAACCGCGAAGAATGGTCGAGTCTCGTGCGAAAGTTCCTTCTGCTGTCCTCGAATCAACTTCCTCAAGATATATGTAGTCAACAAGCGCTCTGCTGTCTGAAAGCTATTTCCGATCGCTTCGAGGAGATAACACTTTATTCCCGACTATTTCACATCTCGTCCTCATCTGTCAAGTCAAAACCATTCTTCCGTCGCAGTGAAACGAAATACGAGGGCTGCGTGTGTGATGGCAGTGTTACGGTTCGGAAGTGGACGACTGCGGATTTGGACGAGGACCTGTCTGAAGATGAGGGTGAGCAGAAGCAATGTGTCTTCCACTCTCAGAGTAAGTATCGTCGCAAGTTTGACATGATTGCTGCGAATCAATGGGAGCCTCGGCCGAAAATCACGGACACTGGTACTCAGCCATTTAAGAGTCTGGAGGATCACCATTCTCTCAGTGAATCAAAACTTGAAGTAATTCCAAGTGCAGCATTTCCATTGTCGGACGACAAATTGAACTTCGGTTCACCTCTTCCACTGGCAGTAGACCACGAGTCGAACGGTATAATATATAACGACTCGGAGGACAGCATCACTGAGGTCGACATTTCAGTCGGATCAAGCGAGGAGATCAATGGCGAAAATGCAAGGTGCAGCAGTCCGAACAAAGACAAGATGCCAGACGAAATTTTCCGCAGCATTACAGACCCACGGACAGCTGGATTTGAGGCCTCTAATGGACCAAATCATGACACAGATGACAAAGATGATGGAATTGTAGAAGATACGTTGCGAACAGCATCAGGGCGGTCTCTTCCCCTTCAGATTAGATTGCCAGATTCGTTGCCTAATTTTTGCGGACGGGACGGAATTTTGGAATCCCTACGATCATACTTCAGTCATGAGGAGGAAACGGGACAAGAGGTCACGAAACTTCGTGAACAAAAAGCCGCCATTCTGACAGGCACGGCAGGGATTGGTAAGACAGCGGTCGCCCGCGAGTACGTCCACCGACACGGGCTGCAGTTTAGCTCTGTGATGTGGGTACAGGCTAGCCATCGACAGAGTATCGCCCAGTCTTTCCACGAGATTGCTTTTGCTCTCCATTTGATTGAAGGTCGCAAGGAACACAGCCATGCGCAGAGTCGCGCCAGACTTACAACATGGCTGACGGAAACCGAGTCCAACTGGCTGTTGATCTTTGATGATGCCGATGAGATTGATGCTGTAATAACTTATTTCCCGCGCTGTGCCCATGGCAACGTTCTCATCACTAGTCGGTCAGCGGATACTAGTCTTCTCCCGGGCAACCCTTTAACTGAGTTTCAAGTGACGCCCTTCAGCGAGGAGGAAGAGGGTGAATTGGTGCATGCGATCACTGGTCTCCCTCAAGAGGAAATCAAAGATCTCGGTTTAGTTCACCTATTTGGGGGTAATCCACTTTCATTGACCATGATTGCCGGAGCAATACAGACAGGGTCACAACTTCGCAACAGACAAAATGATCTTCGTGATGGCTTTATAAAGAGCCTCCTGAATGATGTCACTGGTATAATCTCTCGGCTGAAACGGCGTGATGTTCCTCCTTTGATGAATGAACTGCTGCTTTCTTGTTGGCAAATGGAACAGCTTCCACCCGAAGCTAGAAGCTTTTGCAGTGTGATGTCCTATCTCGATCCCTATGACACCCCGGAATCAACACTACTCCAAGCGCAACGACTCCGTCCTAAGATCCGAGCATTTCCGATTACAGATGAAAGCTTTGAAAAAGCCAAATTTGAGTGCGTGAGAAACAGAGTCTGCGATGCTGACAGCTCCCGTACTTCCCTACGAATGCATCGAGTGATTCAGTCCGCTGTGCGGGAGTATTTGATCAATGCCCAGCAACAGGAAAATGCATTTACCACAGCAGTACAGTTGCTTCTTGCACAGTGGCCTTCTCAGAGAAAGTTCAAGAATGTTGTGTTTGGCTACTGGCCAGAATTCTCTCGCATTCACACTCAATGCTACCGTCTGTCGGAAGTCGCCGCATCAACCCTAATGACACCTGAGCATTATGCTCCCTTCATCAAACTCATCCTCCAATGTGCCTGGTAGGTTATCAAATAAACCATGCTGTACCAAATACTCATTCTCCATTATTCAGGTATAACTCGCAAGTCCTCAATAATCCGGAAGAGGATGTAGAGCTACTCGAGATGGCTCATGAGTTACTAGCTATTTCGCGTAAGGGAAAAGGGCTGCCCGCATCGAACGATCAGTGGCATCCTAATACTCCTCAACGTCTCGTCCACATCAACAAGCAGACATCCGGATGGAGGGTCATCGATACCGAGGGAAAACCTGCGGACTATATCGCCCTGTGTTACAGCTGGGCCGACCGGGCCGACCAGAACGATCAATCCATCCAGACGAAACTCACCAAGTCCACTCTTGGCCTACGTGGTGATTGGGGACGTGTGGATGATATGCCTCTTCTCTACCGTGATGCGTGCCGCATTGCCAATACTCTTGGGATCCGGTACCTCTGGATTGATAGGCTCTGTGTCATTCAAGACGACCCCGCGGATCGTGAAGCGGAACTCTCGAAGATCGCAGAAATCTACCTCAATGCGTCTGCGACAATCACTCGACAACACGTTCCGGCAATGTCGATAAAATCTCGGTTTACTTCACAGTGTAAGATAGTATTCGAGCCTTACTCAGTCTTGTGCCATCAATGTGCTTCGGTTCGCACGGAAGCGACATCTCCGCGTCTCGCCGTGCTAGCTAAAACAGTACCAGACTTCCTGAAAGATCATAACTCGGGGCTTCTAGGACCGGGATTTGGATCCAAATCATTTAATTTTGAAATAATCTCACTAGCAGTTGCAATGAGTAAAGATCAACAGCCGAGTGAAAACACAGGAGAGCATGACGAGGAGCTAGGAATCACGCAGGTTTCAAGTTTATCAGACTCTGGCGGTCCAGGGTCGACAGACACTGCTCTGCATGGAGCCAAAGAAGTCGCGAAAGAGGATTCTTTGCTTGATGAGGATTTGGAAACGAAGGCCTCCGAATCGGAGGGGTCGACAGTTTGTCATGGCGAGAGAGCGTTTAAAACAGGGCCTGTCAAGCTGAAGAGTGGGCCCGATAATCCTGATGCACCAGCCGCAGACCATCGCATGTCAGTGACTGATACTTCCCTCGATGAAGTCATTGCAACAGAAAATAGAAGAGTTCGGGACGGAATCCAAGTTTATGAACAAGGGAAATCACTCGATGCTATCGCAGAAATCGTTCGCGCACGAGATCGCATCAGTGCTTTTCGTGAAAGATCAACGAAGGCCATGACCAGTTACACTGTGTTCACCGCCTACCTTGCCCTTATATTCATTGAACAAGGATGCGCTCAAGGGGCTATAAATCTTCTTTCCGACTCGAAGAAAATCCACGGCAGTGAGTTCAGACCAGAGCACGACATCGATTGTTGCAGGTGAGTCACATACTTGACAACAGCCAGAGAAAGCCAATTAATGCGGTTGATATCTAGCATTGGTAGACTTCATTTGGTCTTGGGGGACGCGCAGTTTGCCATGTCGAATTACCACGATGCAAAACTTTCTTATACCATCGCACTGACGGTACTGGGTCATGACAAAATTGATCCAGAGCTTCAGACAATCGAGCAGGCCGACATAATAGCCCTCACTCTACTAAAGATGGCCAATTTATACGCCAAGGAAGGTCAATTCAAAGATGCCAAGTCAGTGTCAATTTTGAACACTTCAATTATCTATACTCTTAACTGACTGCTGATTACCTAGTAAAACTCTTAATGAGACAATTTCTCACTTCGAAATGCGAGACTCAAAGGACGGACAGGTTCAATATGCTCGTGCCCTGCATCGACAATCTCTCATATATGGTCTTCAGGGGAACCAACGTTTAAGCAAGGTTAAACTTGCGGCAGCTAAGCAAGCAATGGAAAATATTCTGGAGGAAGAAGATGACCTGGGGTTGTTTTCTTCTAAGGGAGAAGTTGAAGCCGAGGTGTTCGAACGATTTTTGCCATTTGGGATGAGATGAAACGTGTAAGTACTCCGGGCTCCGGGGCTGTACTATGTATTTTTTCAAATGTTGTCCTTCCGAGGTTACGAATACGAATACGAGATCAAACATTTTGAATCTATCTAACTTTGGAAATTCTCCCTGGCATCTACAGTACATACAGGCTACAGAACGATGAACCTATCATAATTCTAGGCTGGTCTCGCATTCGTTTCTCAATTATATCGATTGGCTATCACCGGCACCGACATGCCGAGGGCTCCACACTAGATCCGATGCATCAATTTGTGCACGGAACTCCGTCCGAATAGAGGCTTACGACCGTCATATTTTTCTTAATATAACATTTGAAAAGCTTGAATCCGGAGCTACACGTAGCCGAGACTACTTATGTACGTTGTAAACGCGTTCAAATGTTGATAAATAAGAAAAGCTTTTCTAGAAGCCTAGTTTCTTTTTATAAATCCTACATATACCCTTCTACTACTACCAGTTCAAGACAGTACATATCTAGACGAGGCGCGGAACTAGATAATTCATCTTGAATTGCGCACTTTGCTACTCTACTCACTTCCAGGTTTCAACTTGAAGTCTCGAAGTCCACTTGAATTATACCTCGGCATATTTCCAAATTTGATATTATCTCCTATTCCCCAAGATAAAAGAATACTTGAACCTTGAACCCCCGGAAGAGAATCCCATCTGAGGTTAGTTAACGGTTCCACGCAAGTCTGCTATTTTCCAAGGTTCTGCATCAACACTTAATGACAGGGAGTTGCGAATCATTTGGTTCTCCGAGTGGGTCTTCTGCGGTGAGTGGTGAGAAAGAGCCGCAGCTGAATATTGTGGACTCAGAGGCACAGCAACTCGATATGGAGAGTAGATCTGAAGAGGACTTGAAGGATGTAGAAGCATCGGCCGGTAACCCTCCAGCTTCAAAAGAAGAAGTTAAGGATCCATTTGTGGTCGATTGGGATGGACCTAATGATCCGAACTCTCCAATGACATGGCCTACCATGAAGAAAGTTCGACAACTTGCGGGCATGGGTTTCAATAGTTTTCTCACGTAAGTGCTTTCTAAGTATCAATAAGCCCTGGCATATCTGGACTGTTGCAACACCATTTGAATGATCAATTTCGAGTATTGATGATTCATGTATACTAACTCAACTCAATAGACCCTTATCATCATCCATGTTCGCACCAGGCGAAGCAGATGTCCTAGCAGAATTCAATTCAACAAACAAAATGCTAGGATCATTCGTTGTTACTATCTTCCTACTCGGATACACCGTGGGACCTATCCTGATTGCTCCAGTATCCGAGATATACGGACGTCTGCCATTATATCATGTTTGCAACACCATGTTCGTGATCTTCACAATTGCATGCGCCGTTTCTCAATCTCTCCCTCAACTATTCGTCTTCCGCTTCTTGGCTGGTGTAGCCGGCAGCTGTCCAATGACTCTTGGCTCTGGAACCGCTGCGGATCTAATCACGAAAGAGAAGCGTGCTGGAGTGATGGCTCTATGGGCTATGGGACCAATTCTGGGACCAGTCATCGGTCCCGTCGCGGGTTCATTTGTCTGTGCTAATATAGGATGGCGTTGGGTCTTCTGGATTCTTGCTATTGCCGTGAGTCCTTCCTATTCAAATTATCTCATCTCATACTGATTTCTTCTAGGGAGGTGTCATGCTAATCGCCACAATATTCTGTTACCGCGAAACATACGCCCCCGTCCTTCTAGAACGTAAAGCCGCAGCCTTTCGCAAAGAAACAGGAAACAATCAATACCGCTCAAAATTCGACCGCGGTCTCACCCGTAAACAACTCTTCTACATGGCCGGCGTTCGTCCCTTGAAACTTCTCTTCCGCTCTCCCATAGTCCTCTGCATGACCATGTTCGGTGCCGTCTCATACGGTTACCTCTATCTTATGTTCACTACCATCTCTTCTATCTTCGAAGATGTATATGGCTGGCCTAGTGAAATGACCGGTCTTGCATACCTGGGTTTTGGAGTTGGGTGTATGCTCGGTCTCTCTGTTACTGGTCGAGTTGCGAATCGGATTGCCGCGAAGCATTCAGCCCAGGGTCGCTTTACGCCTGAGTCTAGACTTGGTCCTATGCTTGTTGGGTGTTGGTTTTTGCCTATTGGACTTTTCTGGTATGGATGGTCTGCTGAGGCTCATGTGCAGTGGGTTATGCCTATTGTTGGCACTGGTATCTTTGGGTGTGGGTTGATGTGTGTCTTTGTGAGTTTTCTCTTGATGATTTGGATGAATCTTGTCTTGTAGCTTTCGTTTTTGCTAACCTACTTTTTAGTTGTGCATTAATACCTACTTGGTTGACTCTTATATCCAATTCGCTGCCTCGGTTACAGCTGCTAATGCTGTGACGCGGTCTCTTGTTGGTTGCTTTCTTCCTCTTGCTGGACCCTCGATGTATGATACCCTAGGACTTGGTTGGGGGAATTCCTTGCTTGCATTTATTGCGCTTGCGTTTTGTGCATTCCCAGTTTTCCTGAGCCGGTATGGTGCCAGGATTCGTACTCATCCACGATTCCAGTTGGATCTGTGATGGGGAAAAGGACAGAGCTTCAGCATGGCATGACTCACTTGAATGATTAGCATAGACACACTGATCGTGTCTACGAATTACGATAGACCTCTAATCTTAATTAAACTTGAATGCATACATCATCTGATAATCTCGAATCATCTCTCTACAACAGAGCGCTAGCAGAATCTAGACAAAGCTGGTTTATTGTAGTGTTTCGGCTTAATGCCATGTCATTCAATTCTGAGCCTAAAGGCTAACGTTAACAAAATAAGACCCCGAGTAAGATGCACCGGGACCATGGTATTGAGCATAAGAGACAAAAGCAAATGGCACACCCAGGCACAAAGATGAAAGTATGCTCAGCATAGTAAATGAAAACCAAACGCCTGAAAGTTCATACGAATGCCAACGGGATAAAACGCGCAAAGATAAACGCAGACCGAAGAGAGGAAAAGAGAAGCACACCGCCACTAGAAAACTCCTTTTGGTGTGATGAGATGGCGCCTGGAACATGGTTCAATGACGGTAAAATATGTATGTGTCGGGTACAGAATGAAAGGGTATCAAGTAATGTCAAGGATGGCGGAGCAGGAAATAACCCAGCGACTAGACTGCTCCGGTCCCATGGAGATCAACTCCGGGAAGGTGAGACAGCTTGGTCGTATGGGATGAATGGTGTGGCCTCAAGAGCTTGAGATCACTGCGTAGTTGTGGATGTGTTGTTCGTGCGCATATGATGCGACAGAGGTTGAGAAGTAGGTCTCACGTTGAATGGGGTGGGGGATACGGGATCGATATTCAGTCTTCCCAGATAGTCTCCAGGTCAAGATCCTGTCGACGCTCTGCGCCACAGACACTCCATCGCTTGCGACCGCCACGCACGGTACTGAAAGAGCTGGATAGACTAGCTGCGTCGGGTGCACCGCGTCGTCGGTTGTTATTGCTCGCCGCGTCAGCCGCATCTGCAGCGGCCTTCAACTGTGCAATGCGATCATCCTCCTCAACTGCTTCGGCTTCAGCATCCGGGATGTCGGGAATAGTTTCCAGCGACGAAATACTTGGACTCCGAGATCGCAGACTAGTTGGCGTAGATGGGACAGATGAAGTAGATGAAGCGGACTGGCCGGGATAAGACTCATTGTATTTGCCGCCGAGGGTGGGGGAGGTATGGGCGGAAGGCGGGCTCCCCATGGGTTGTTGGAAATGCAGGGGGGAAGTGGAGCGCAGGCGACCGATGCGAGGGAATGTTTGAGGCATCAATATTGGCGATGACCCCGGCTGAGAAGAAGGTGACTTGGGTACTGTCTCGAGTTCGGCGTTCTCCGAGATGGTCTCGGAGATGTTGAGTGACCCCATTCGGGTCTCGATGTGATCGTCCGCGCGCATCTGCAAGGGCAAGGTTCGCTTTGCGCCATCAACAGGCGATGCAGCCACCCCGCGGCCGTTGACGAAGATATATCTTCCGCGAGAGTCCAGCCCTGGGGAAGAATATGCGCGCGTCATCGATGGCATGCCGGGGATTCCCACCAGTGATCGAGAGCGTAGGTGCGATCGGGCCAAAGGGGATCGGGTCCGTGGGGGAGCCGTTGTTTCGGGAGAGATAGACAAAGTGATCATGACGTCTTCTTTTCGCACTCGATCCGGGGAAAGAGTAGGTCTCGCGAGATCGCTGGAGTCGGAGTGAGAGGAGCGCATAGTCTCGGGTCGTTGCGACCTGGTATCCATGATGACCAAAAGAGTAGGAGAGAGAATAAGGGGGAAGAAAAGGAAAGAAAAAAAGGGAAGGGCTGAACAGGGGGAAATCACGGGCGCATCCTGTCAATACTTCGATGAAAAGAGAAATCTTGGACCGGCCAAGCTTCCAGAAAGATTGGAACAGGGAGGGTCGGAGTGGGGGGGGAAAGAGAGAGAAGTTGAAAAAGGATGGTTGAGGCAAAAAAAGAGAGAGCGCGGCAGGTCCAGACTCGCGGGACCCTGCGGCTTTGATACTCGACTTTTTCATATTGAAAGACTTGATGATAGTAGAATTCTATTAATTAGTATAATCCTATAGATTTTATGTAAATCACTTAAATGATATCATAAAAGAGATATGAGCTCTTTCTTTCTCTCTTTCAATCTGACATCTAAATCTGCATTGGAGGTTTCATCCATGGATCGGTTTACAACGGAGATAGGATCCATTGCTCCACCAATAATAAGTATGCGTGGCCGCAGTTTATTCGAACGTCGTGGGTATCCGATTGAAGTCATCCATGGTACTAAAGATGTTAATCTATATGAATTAATTGGAGTTTGAAAACGTGGGTAGAGTTGATCTATTTAGTGGTTGATAGTAGTGTTTTCTCTAATTATCTCATTTGATAACTACTAGTAGTGCCCCGAGTGTATAAACTGAATGAATACATACTAATGTATAACATGATATTATATTACTCTTATACTTCTTAATAGCTGAGGCCTAGAATCGCAGTACTTGAGTCTAGGCATGATCAGAACCACGGAATATCTGGTCTCCATATGTGTCCAGACTCTACACCAAGACTGATATCGATTATCTTACGACTCTACTGCCCATGTGTATTTACTAGTTGATAAATACTACCAGATAGCCTCTCCAACTAGTATCTATGGAAATAGTATCCGATGAATCCTCATCAATGTAAGGGCCCGGGTTACAATGTGCTTCTAGTAGCCATGAACAGCTCTGGAGATCGGAAACCCCGAACTTGAACTTCACATGAACTCCGAGTCTGAAGAGATTTAAATTGTGATCATCTGAGTCAAGTGGACGAATTTCTGAAAATAAGTAGACTGACTCACTCTCAAACGCCCGCTTATGGCTCTATGGTGTTATAGGGTTACATGTCTCAGTACTCCGTATAGGGGTTCTGTACTCCAACTCGCCAGCACACCTTCGATGATCATAACTCCGAAGACCCGCATCATCATCTCAGGACTAGTGCCCGTAGTGTCCGTAGTGGGTTTCGAATCGAGGTCACCACAAGGTGCCGAGGTGGGCCTTGGATGGTTTCACAGTGGAATTCATCCCGTCTTGCTCTAAGCCAGCAAATTTTCTAGTTCAGATGAATCGATTGCTCAATTCATAGGTATTATTAGACATAGGACACAGTTCCACCAAGCGTATGTACTCTACATCATATCTAAATACTACTACTGGTACCAGGTGAATTTTAATTCGGGCTACATTGGCAGGAATCTAGATGGCTCCAGATGGCTCGAGATTGTTAGATCAATTTGTGAAATGCCTGATTACAGCAGATAGCAGTGACTATGTATTAAAATAATAAAAGTAGAATATTGGATATCAAGGTTTATAAGAATCATCAAAGAATCATCAGTGGAGGCAATGAGGATGTGACAGAGCCTCTTTGCACTTTGTGGCCTGGTCCTTCCGCACATACGTCTCACGAACATCATCTCCCTCATTCTTGAGAACAACCCATTCACCCATACCAAGTTCCTCGGGTGCTAGGCGTACACCACGACCACCACCACCAACAATAATATTTCCAGGTCGGTAGGTAGGATCTGCTTGCATGCGGCGGATAGCTGATACATGAATCTCCGCATCCAGAGGCACATCGCGAACCTCACCACGTGGCAGAGGCCAGCGGATAGGTTTCCAGGTACCATCGGACTTGAGATCCATACGTCGGAATGGCAACCACTCCATCACTCGCCAAGAGATTACAGAGAGGGATGGCAGACCCTGGTCGAATTCCAGACAGTCATGCTTCAGACCCTTCGTGCTAGATGCTCGTAGCGCATGCCAGAAATCTCGACTGGCTGCAGATTGCTGCTTCTCGTCTGGACTGTTACGGTAAATATTGGGGTCCTCCTGTCCGTCGGGGCATTGACTGATTCGGCTGCCACGGCGCTTGCCCAAGGTCTCCTGGATTGGGGTATAGTCACCGTCAAACTCCTCGAGACACTGGAACTGCTTCATCTTGCGCTCGTCGAGCTCCAGACCAGCCTTCTGGGCTTCCTGGACCATCCATACCAGCGGAGCGTGGCTCAGAGCCCACATCTCTTTATCTGCCAGCTTCCATCCACCACCAATATCGGCGTGGCAACCTGGGAACCAAACTTCGTGAATGTCTTGCTCCTCCTCGTCACTATCATACTCCTCGTCATCTTGACCGGGGATTTGAAGCGATATCGTGCCGGATTGACCACTTCGAATGGATGTGCAGTCATCGAATGATGGCTTTCCATTGGGAACAACGAGACTGTTGCGTCGAGGAGAAGGGTTGCGTCGAGGAGAAGGGTTGCGTCGAGGAGAAGGGTTGCGTCGAGGAGAAGGCGCGCGGTATCGGGGAGCCCCGGGAGCCTGAGCCTTGTCGCTGGTTCCTGCCGGTGACGTGGGGCGCTGACCATGGAGATGAGAGTGGTAGTATGACTCGCCTTCCTTGGGACCCCAGCCAGGATCCTCGAACTCAGGTTTGTCTCCAGCGGGCGGTGTCTCGAGCTGTGGACCATCAGAGTCATCGTTCAAGCGAATAGCAGGAACTTGGTCGGCCTGTGACTCGTGCTGTTGCTTCTCTTTCTGCAGTTTCTCCTGTTGCAGTTTTTCCTGTTGTTTGCGCTGGGTATCCTGGTGGCGAATATGCAAATGGTGCTCAGCATCTTGATGACGTGCCAGGTGGCCTTCAAAAATGGGAGGTGCAGGGAGATGAGGAGCAGGAATGTGAGGCATAGCAGGGAGGTGGTGACGATGACGCTTCATCTTCTTCTCATGTGGGCGCTTGCCAGAAATCAGATCTTGACGGAATTTGGCACGGCGCTCATCAATACCAACGGCATGGCGAATCACCCGAGCTGAACTACGTGCAGTATAGGGAAACTTGCTGCGCTGCATCCAAGCATTCTCAAAACGTGGCACACTGTTCACAGTATCGAATAGACCCATAAACTTGATACGAGTGATTGGACGACTGAAGGTTTCACGGAACGCCTTCATATATTCGAACAGCTTTGTTGTTTCCTCTTCGTCTTCCTCTGTGACAGCCCCCTGGCGTTGTTGCCATTTGGCGAAGGTCTTCCAGGCAAAGCGAATCAGCTCTTCGTTACCGGCTTCGAGCAGACCAATATAGTCCAGCATTTCAGCCAAGAAACGCGCAATATATGAACCACGACTGAATCCAATGAAAAAGATCTCATCGCCGGGAGAATAGTATCGCATCAAAAACTTATACCCACCCATCACATGCTCATCGAAGGAGGATCCAACAGCCGAATCTTTGGCTTTTTCGTACCAGGATCGGATGCGCTGAATGCGCCCATGGCTTGTGAGTGATTTTGTTGTCACATAAGTACCGATACCAGGTTGATAGTAGTGGTATTGGTGGCTTTTGCTGCGATCCAACATCTATGAAGGTATAATTAGCTAAGACATTCACAGATCCGACCATCGGAGCAGCACCAAACTCACGCGAAAGATTTTTAATACATTGCTATCAGATTCATCACCGGCGAACTTATTACCCGTACCATCAAAACAGAGCACAAACTGTTTTGGGGCCGGTGCAGGGCCTGCGTGGTGAGCCATAGTCGCGAAAGTTTCCTATGATCCCTCCGGTGGCCCTTGAGAAGATTATAAACGAAAAAAAGAATTGGGGGTTTTGCGAAGACAATCTGCAGCTCTCTTGAGGGGCGCCGAGACTGCGAATCAGAGACCGCCGAGCCAGAAGCCCCAGGAGGGGGTTGGATAAGAATGCTCCAGGCGTGTCACGCCGGAGACGATCGCTGCAATCCCGAATACGTCAAGCTCCAGTGAGTTGTGGAGCTGGTACGGGATAGTTTACATTCCAATTACAACATAAGAAAAGACTATCTTCATCTTGGCTAAGCTAAGTATGAATTTATGGGGATTTCTTAGTTTGTACTTTTTTTTTCATTCGAATCAAGTTTCTAGGTGAAGTATTTGAGTAGATATTGACTTTTGCTTCTCCCCTCCCCCCCTGTGATCAGAACCCTATGCGTCTCCTTAAAAAAAGAAAAGAGGAGAACAAAGTACCCCAAAACAAAAAACCTGGGCCTTATTTCCTTGTCTTTTCTTCCGATATTGACCAAAATGCAGGGCTGACCTTACATATCGGTACTGCTCATGTTGTACATGACAAACATTTTGCATCTAAACCGGAGCGCTTTCCATCCAATCTCCATCAAGGATCGGATCGCTTTGCTCTCCTTTTTCTACTTCCGATATGGACTAAACCACCCAAAAGGATATCCCCAGTGGGGCTTTTGACGGGATGAAGCGTGCTGAAAAAAGTGAAAATAATAATAAAAAAAATTCTGCAAACCGTGCAATCTAAAAAACTCGATCACAGGGGGACTGGGCCTATGAGACAATCTCTACCAGAAAAGACCCAGATGAGATGTATGGTTCGGGATATTAATGTCGATCTTGTCTCCTCCCCGCCACCGCAAGAATCCCATAAAGATAGGGGGATTCAGAAAAAAGAGAGGGGGCGTTCGTCAGTGCCCAGCTGTCTGGTTCTTCTCCGGAGTAACTTCTTCCTCAGGCCCATGTTACTGGATCTCCCAATCGAAACTACGCCGTCACTACGCCCAATGTGTCAATTTTTCCACATCGTGGCCCGCCGGGACCCACCTGTCTGTTCCGTCATTTGAAGATGTAAAGGCTGAAAGAAGAGAATGACGCGGATTGAAAGTTACGAGCTTACGGTCTGAATTTTCCTGTGGACCCCATTTTTTTTTTTAAATCGCCTCCTAGCGCTTTGAATCTTCAGCTGAGAAACACAATATCACATGGAATTATTCTGACAATGAATATACGGAATATCAATGATGAATTGGCCTCTTGTGAATGGATGACCTTGCATTGTTTGCTTCTTGTCGGCTTGTGCTTGTGCTTGTGCTTGTCCGTGCCAAAGCCTCCACGGGAGTGGCCGCGTTCCCCGGACATGCCATACTTGCCTGACCCGTGGTTTTAAGTTGTACCCTTCTCGAGTCATGCAGAGAGTCTTACAAGGGTCTGAAACAGAACAGAAGATCCCCCTGATGGTCAAGATTTTCCATGATCCCTGACGTTCTTGAATGCATAGGTGCATACCTATCCTTGATGCACCTCCCACGAGGAATAATGGGTTAGGGACCCTGAGAGAGGTGGGGAGTGATAGATCAGATTCTGATTAATTTCAGATGATGACTAGCAGGGTCATCTGCCAATGATCAGAGCCATAATGCGGTTCGTGCTCCTGAGCGGCCCGTTCGTTTCTCTTGGCAGTCAACTAGAGTCCATAGGAGTCCATAGTAAGTGGGCGAACAGGTGGGTCATATTGCCGATCTATCTCTCTCTAGGACTGGATGAGATGCAAGAGAAAAAAGGAAAATTATGCTTCCAAGCTGGTTACGAAAAACTTGAAGCTCACTGCAGTTACATTTCTTCCTTGCGTCGAACGTCTAAACTTAATATGGGGCAAGACCAACCTCTCCTTCTCATGACTTGAGGTAGAACAACTTTGAATTGAATCTACTAAAAAAAATAAAAAAATAAAAAGGAAACAGGTTATCAGGGGATCAGCCCCTCCCCAGCCAGCCACCAAGAATGTAAAATTTTCTTTTTTCCCTGATCGTTCCGTGTCAACTTAATCCCCACTTAGCGCAATCATGGATCCATCTGGCTGAACATCGAGATCCTAGTGCATTATGACTCCATTCGAGATTTGGTTCCTCGTACACACCGCTACTGCACATTGACATCAGCCCCTATTGGTCTCTTTGACCCTGGGAGAGAAAAAAAAAATACAAAAAAAAATAAAATAAAATAAAAAAACAACTCACCCAAATTATCAGGCATTACCATGCACAAAGATTCAATGCACTGACATTAACATTATAGGAATACAACATTGTTCCTCCAGTGATGAACTCTCAATGAAGTCTTTTACCCGAAGCTTTTACCAACTTGAATGGAATATTCTCTGCCGCGTTCAATTGCCTGGTCCACCCCTTTCCACAAATTCGAAGCTCTCCACCTGGAGTCTGTGAAAGAAGATCAATTACTTGATTCAGCCATTCGTCATCGTAAAAAAAAGGGAGAGGCTATGATGAAGTGGGGTCGAATCAGCACCAGCTGGACCTCCTCGAGCTTGTCCCACGCGGGGCTTCCGAGCTGATGGTGAATTTTTGTCTCTGAGCCACAGACTCTAAGCAGATCGAGGCTAGTACGCACCGAACTTGTCCATCCCCAATCAGATCTAGCCAAATCACTGTCCTGGAGTCAATCAACTATTGGCGATAACAAATCCGCCACTTATGCTTGCTCCACAGTCCTGCAGCTGTGGTGACCTGGGTTGCCCACACAGCTCGTTTTTAAATCCGAGGGTCGTGTACTTTTCTTATTCTTCTTCCCCCTGATCTGTCAATTTAAAGCCATTGTTTTTTTATTCTTTTATTATTTTCCTCCTCCTAATTTTCTGTTTTTGTATTTCCTTTCGAGTGACATTGTCTGTGTGAGCCTCAGACTACAGTTCGTCACCATGTTGCGGAGATTCTCTACACAGTTCAAGAAGAACAAGGACGGCGCCAATGGCGAGGTCGAGGTGAAGGCCGAGAAGGCCGAGAAGCAGAGCAAGCGCTTTTCTAAGGCTTCCCCTCCTCGCAAAGCTTCTCCCAAGGTCGTTGAGGACAACCACCAGGTGAAGCGTGCCGAGGTTGTTGCTGTTTTTGAGAAGTACGCGCAAGCCATTCATGCTTCGCGCGAGCCTCTGCCCAACCAGACCGGCGATGGCACCTACCTTAAGCACGACCAGTCCACTGGTCTGATTGACGACATTAAGACCCTCAATCTCGGGGATCTCAGCACAGTCAAGGATCTCGTCCAGAACAAGCTTTCTGGTGAGCTGATTAATGACAAGACCTACCTCATGGAGCGCATTATTCAGGTACGAGCAGTCTCAATTGGAATTAGATTTGACAGCAATTGGGCTATGAAACTAATCTGAATACTGATATATAGCTTGTCGCCGATATGCCCGGTCACTCTAAGAACCGTGTCGAGCTCACCAACCAATTCCTTGACGAGCTGTGGAACTCAATTCCTCACCCTCCTCTCTCGTAAGAGATCCCTTTCATAGCTATGCGCCAGAGCTACAGAGAAAAAAAAAATTAACATGATGACAGTTACATGGGCGATGAATACCAGTACCGTTCTGCCGATGGTTCCAACAACAACCCCACCCTTCCTTGGTTGGGTGCTGCTAACACCGCATACTGCCGCACAATTCCCCCTCTCACAATCCAGCCCAGTGGTCTGCCTGATCCTGGTCTGATCTTTGACAGCTTGTTCGCTCGTCAGGAATTCACTCCTCACCCTAACAAGGTGTCTAGTGTTTTCTTCGACTGGGCCTCTCTGATTATTCACGGTTGGTTCCTCTGGAATATTTGGAAATTATAGTACAGGCGCTGATTTTTCATCTATAGACATCTTCCAGACCGATTACCGCCAGCAGCACTTGAACAAGACCTCTGCCTACTTGGATCTCTCCATTCTGTACGGTGATGTCAAGGAGCAGCAGGATCTTATCCGTTCCCACAAGGACGGTAAGCTGAAGCCCGATTGTTTCTCTGAAGGTCGTCTGAATGCTCTCCCCCCTGCCTGTGGTGTTCTACTTGTTATGCTTAACCGTTTCCACAACCACGTTGTTGAGCAGATTGCTGAGATCAACGAGAATGGCCGCTTCTCCATCCCTAAGCCTAGACCCGGTCTGTCTGACGCAGACATTGAGAAGGCCTGGGTCAAGCGTGACGAGGATCTGTTCCAGACTGCTCGTCTGATCACTTGTGGTCTGTACATTAACATCACTCTGTACGATTACTTGCGTACTATTGTCAACCTGAACCGCAGCAACTCTACTTGGTGCCTGGACCCCCGTGCCCAGATGGAGAAGGCTGGTGCTACTCCCTCCGGTCTCGGTAACCAGTGTTCCGTTGAGTTCAACCTGGCCTACCGTTGGCACTCTACCATCGCCGAGGGCGATGAGAAGTGGATTGACCAGCTTTACCATGATCTCATGGGCAAGCCTGCTGAGGAGGTCACCATGCATGAGTTGCTGGTTGGTATGAAGAAGGTTGAGAGTATGCTGGACCCCGATCCTTCCAAGCGTGAATTCGGCCACCTGAAGCGTCAGGAGGACGGTACCTTCAAGGATGAGGAACTTGTTGCTATCCTTAAGAACGCTACCGAGGACGTTGCCAGTGCTTTCGGTCCCCGTAACGTCCCCAAGGCTCTCCGTTCCATCGAGATTCTCGGTATGGAGGCTGCCCGTAGATGGCACGTTGGTTCCCTCAATGAGTTCCGTAAGCACTTCGGCTTGAAGACTTACGATACCTTTGAGGAGATCAACTCTGACCCTGAGATTGCCAACACTCTCCGTCACCTGTACGAGCACCCTGACTACGTTGAGCTGTACCCCGGTATTGTCTCCGAGGAAGCTAAGGAGCCCAAGATCCCCGGTGTTGGTATCTGCCCTACCTACACCATCTCTCGTGCCGTTCTGTCCGATGCCGTGGCTCTGGTCCGTGGTGACCGTCACTACACCATTGACTATAACGCTCGTAACTTGACCAACTGGGGTTACAACGAGTGCCGCTACGACCTAAACATCAACCAGGGTTGTGTCTTCTACAAGCTGGCTACTCGTGCCTTCCCCAACTACTACGCGCCTGACTCGATCTACGCTCACTACCCCATGACCATCCCCACCGAGAACCGTAACATCATGAAGATGCTCGGCCGTGAGCAGGACTACTCTTACGAGGCTCCTTCCTTCACTGCTTCGCGTGTCAACCTCACCTCTCACCAGGCTGCTAAGCAGGTTCTGGAGAACCCCAAGGACTTCAAGGCTTCCTGGAGCACCGCTCTTGAGGAGCTCTTTGGCAAGGGCGAGTTTGACACCAAGCAGCAGGAGGCTATGAGCAAGGCCTTCGGCACTGAGGACCTCCCCAAGCTCATCAAGAAGTTCTACGAGGAGACCACCTTGCACCTCCTTCAGCAGAATGGTGGCAAGATTGCTAAGATCAACCAGATTGATATTACTCGTGATGTCGGCAATGCCGCTCACGTTTACTTCGCCGCTGCTCTCTTCGGTCTGCCATTGAAGACCGAGGAGAACCCCTCCGGTCTCTTCACTGAGCACGAGATGTACATGATCCTCACCACCATCTTCTCTGCGCTCTTCTTCGACGTGGACGCTACCAAGTCGTACTCCCTTAACCGTGCTGCCACTGTTGTTGCTCAGCAGCTCGGCTCCGTCGTTGAGGCCACCGTCAAGGCTGACACTAACAGCGGTCTCTTCTCTGGTCTGATGAACAGCTTCCGCCCCCACGACAATGCTCTCCGTGAGTACGGTACCGCTGCTCTGCGCCGTCTCCAGGAATCCGGTCTCAGCTCTTCCGAGATCACCTGGTCTCAGATCATCCCGACCATCGTCTCCCTGGTCCCCACCCAGGGCCAGGTCTTCACTCAGGTCATCGAGTACTACACCGGCGAGGGCAAGCAGTACCTGCCTGAGATCAACCGTCTCGCCAAGGAAGACTCCCCCCGAGAACGACGAGCAGCTGTACCGCTACTGCCTGGAGGCCATCCGTATCAACGGCACCTTCGGCGCTTACCGCGAGGCTCAGGCTAACGTCACCGTGGAGGACAACGGCAAGACCGTCGAGATCCAGCCCGGTAACAAGGTCTTCGCTTCTTTCGTCCAGGCCAACCACGACGCTAGCGTCTTCCCTGACCCCACTGAGGTCAAGCTCGACCGTCCTCTCGACTCCTACATTACCATCGGCCAGGGCGCCAACACTGGCTTCGGTCAGGAGATTACCAAGATTGCTCTGGTTTCTATGCTCCGTGTCGTCGGTGGTCTGCAGAACCTGCGCCGCGCCCCAGGTGCTCAGGGTCAGCTTCCTAAGATTAAGCAGGATGGTGGTTACTTCGTCTACCTGCGCCAGGATGGCACCTCTTACTTCCCCTTCCCTATGTGTAAGTTTTTCTTTCCTCCAAATACGTTTGTGAATGGTATACTAATAAAAATTTTACTACAGGTCTCAAGCTTCACTGGGATGGAGACTTCGAGTTCACGCAGAAGAAATAAGCGATTTTCTCTGCAACGCTATCAAAACCAAGCCTGTTTAGTACTGGACTCTTACCGTCCCAGGCTTGGAATAATGTGCGGTCTCCCAAATGGGAGATCACGTCTTACGTTTTGATTTTATTGTTTTCGGAGACATTTCGTTCTCCAGGATATCCCGAAATTATGCTTCTAGTTGTGGGAAGTTTTGTTCTTGTAGTGTATATTCACGGTTCAATGACCACAAAGTTATACCATATATTTTCATTTTTTCATCCATCATTTCTTCTAAAACTACATTGGTATCATAATACTTAAATCAAAAAATCCGGCTGAACATAGTCGCTGTGCCGGGGAACAAAGCTGTAAGATCGCGACTGCTAACTCCGTCTCTTGACCCGTTCCTCCATTCCATAAGGTCGAGCTTGGGACTTCCACATAATTCCATTCCAGGTCTGCTTCTTCTTCTTTCAGATTCCACATCCCAGTTCCTTTGTGCGTCCAGCGATAGAGATAGAGTTTCTCGCATGAGAAACTAAATTCATCGATCATGTCACCACTTACTATCTCTAGACAAGAGGTGAGAAGATTGAGCGATTCGCTAATCAATAGTGACGTTTGACGAGAGGAATTTTGGAGAACTCTCAGGATCTCTATATGGCTTTGGGCTGCGACGAGGAGGGTTGATGGGGAAGTAAGACGTTCGAAGGAGGATTGAAAGGTGAATTGGCGAAGAGCGAGACTTTGGACTGCGGAGGAGAGACAGATGAAGTATATTGTTGTTGGGGAGAGGTTTTCCACGTTGGGATCGATGGATAGTAGGGGCTGCAGAACCTAAATTTGTCTGTGTTAGTTAGATATCCTGGGGTAAGTGATTGAGTACATACCTCGCTTAGGAGAAGTGAATGTTCAAGAATGTGACAGAATCTCTCAACTTGGAGGTATGATCGGTCCTTGAGTAAATTTATGATGTCTCTGGTAGAGTCTGGGGGCGGGTTAATTTTGATATTCCCTTGTGATCATCCATGAGTGGTATTGGATCTCTCACATAGTACAATGAAGAAGCCGTGCATCCATATCATAGCTTCAAATTGATAAGCATGTTCTAGCTTGCTGAATTGAAGTAGATCTTCGGGGAATTGGAAAAAGTAATCGTCCAGTTGTGCTTTTGTCTCAATCCATGATGGTGATCCGATTGAATCCTCTTCAACAATTCCCTTGACAATGCTGCGAGAAAAAAGTCAGTTACCTAATAATGTTCGTATGACTCAGTTGAATTTGGTCCAAACCATACCTTCTAAATGGGTTGAATAAATTGAAAGAAGAATGATCCCCAGATGGAATACTTCTAGCCAAATCCAATGAATGACCCATACAATGCCATTCCTCATCTGTCACGAATTGTATTGAATCATTCGACTTCGACTGTGGAGGGAGCATATCCACACGGTTATGACTTAGTGCGAGGACACTTTCGAGAAGATTGTTAGTGATTTTTAGGCCATTGAGCTATGAATCCAGGCCAAATTTACCACTCCTGGAAGTTGATTCCAATATCTATCCTGGAGATGTGAGATTCATGTCAGAAAAGAATCTTGAAATCTTGCGGTCACAATAAGATTAATTCTCTTACCGGCGTATCAACTCCCTAGAGTATAGAGATCTGCTCTCATATTCCCGCTGAGCATGATCAAAAGCGAATCGTGCAAGAGAGCACCATTGGATTGCCGTTTCCGAGAATTGCTCTACTCTACACCAAGTATGGCTGAGTAGTAGAAGACAAAGGACATTGGGTAAGGTGAGGTGGTTGTCCTTTGATGGGATCTTCTGAATGAATGAAAGGGTAGCGATATGAAGTGAATCTCGATCCGCCTTGACCTTCTCCTGCTGATAGCCAGAAACCTGGGATCCATATAGCTTCAAGGCGATTGCAACTAATGTGCAACGGAACTCGGGTTGAAGAATCACATCCTCCAAGGTCTGTTTTAGAGGATGATCGTAGCTTAATTCCAGGGTTGTACAGGCAGGGATAATGCTGTATAGGCCCATGCGTGGGGTTGAGGATAGGAATTGTTGAATAAGAGATAAGATTACCTCATAGGATAAGGATAGTTCCGGTAAACCTCGAAGAAAAGGTGAGATCTCGGTAGGTGGCGATGCACTTTGCGATGACTGGAGAGCCGTGTCTTCTGGGGAATGCTGGCAAGAAGTATAAGTTTGCTGCTAAAAGTGATATAACTTGATCCGTTAAACAGAACTTGAAGGTTCTTGACATACACGAGATCGAGAGGCACCCTTTGGAGGGCGGCCACGCGCACGCTGTGGTCGGTCGTTGGTACACGTAAGACCAAGACGCTCACATCTTCCACAAGGATTGCCAAATGGACATTGTGTTTTCTAATGAGAGTAAGTTGCTGAAACGTCAAATACTCGGACCCTGACGAACTGACTAGGGAGTGGCACCGATCGCAAGCCCTTGGCGCGGCCTCAAAGGGCGAATCAATGTCCATGGCCCAAGACTTGACGCCTTATCTAGTAATAATTCGAATATCATTGAGTGTGACCCTGTGTTATGCCAAGGGGAAAATGCTTGTAGTTTTGTAGATTTGTGGGCACTACTACCCCATTGAGTTGAACTAGGGTACGCACTATCCATGGAACCAGTATTCCTTGGCTTTTCCCTTATCCCAAATTAAACCAATAAGATGTAGGTTAAGACTACGATCTATGAAAGAATTTAGGTGCCTAATCAGCCCATAGATCCGTCAATTGGTGGATTATTTATAGTTTAAGAGATCGACAGTTTCCCTGACTGCTCTGTCTGGAGTGGTGAACTTTATGCTTATTTTGTTGACGTGAGCTACTAGTAGTGTTTCAAATATGATCTAAAGTTTTCTGTCTTAAAGCCCGTATCATCTCTAGGTCTCATGATATCTTTGGGGCTGGGACATACGTACACTTAATAGTTCTTTGAATAAAGTGCGAGTGGCTATGCAAAACGATGCCGAAGCCGATTCGGGGTTGAAAAAAATTCCCCACATTGCGCACCACATAAGAAAATTCTTCATGATTATAAACCCGGAGTTATAGGAACTTGAACCTACCTAGGTAGAGATTGACCTCGGGACTCGGATCTCGGAGGTATTAACTACTAGGTATTATGTAGCCGACACGGATCTTCCAATGTGGAGATGAATAATACACGTGGTGTAGATATTCCGTTTAAAAATGCTTGGCAGCAAGACATTGATGTGAAACATTTACCATCCATGGTCAGAATGCATAAACTATTGAGAATAACTTACCTTGACCTTCCTTTCTCAGACTCGGACCAGGTTTCTTTATCTGGAGAGAAACGTCTGTTCACATGTGCACAGGTCTATGTTAGACCATGTGCCGTTGCCGCAGCCGAACATTTCTAGAAGACCCACATTCCCAGTTTTTTTCAATGCTTCCAGGAATTCCCCCCCAGATGTGCATGGAATTCTAGTCAATGAGAATATTGGAATGTGAGTTACTAAGCCTAATGCACATAAAAAATAGGTCTGCACTAAGATTCCCGGGCCCGGCGAGTTAATCTGATGTAATGAGCCGATCTTTATCTCCCCGAGTCGGCAATTTGGAAGATTTGAAGATCAATGAGATTCAATATTCTTTGAGCGTGCCTCAAGGAACAACTGTTTGAGGTACTAAGAGTAAAAGACTTGAGAATTCCACTTGCCTACTACCCACCTGTTCCTGCCGTTTAGCCATTGAAGGGAAAAAAATCTCAATCATATCACACAAAAATAGAAAGCCGGCCAAGTCATTGGCTGCAGTGGTGAAGATCACTTGCATACTACATAGTACCTTTGTTAAAATCACTTCATTTCAAACGGGGCGGTCTTAGACGAGGCTGATTTGGACTATGATAATCAGGGCTTAGGATAAAAGCAGATATCGCACTAGGCAGCATGTAAACCCAGCTAATCCAGCTAATTTAGCTATCTACAAAAAACCTAATATTAGGCATGTGACCTTCATAAAGAGATAATGAGGCATTTCCCCTTAAGATAGGGAGGATTGAATTGAATGGCTCGTGCACAAATGTGGGGATCAAGGGAAAAATGGGCTTTCAAGTTGGGGGTCTATGCTTTAAGTTAAAGAGGCTGATACGAAGTGCCGCGTAAGATGTTGTGCCCCAGAGGCAAAGACTAGGGGTCGCTCGTATCCACTAGGCAGTATCAATCTTAACTCCGCGGGCTTTTGAAAGTCGAGTCATCAAACACCGGCATTCAGAGATTTCATGATAAAAAATTTCAATATACTAACGCAAATTGGAAAGGAACCCTTGATCACCCGTCATTAGGAACCCACATAGTGTGAAATTAAGGTGAAATGCAGTTGGTGCTAAGCACTTATCAGATTCCTGAATTGGGGCATTGATATGTCTTATTCGTTAATTTCATCCTAATCTACTCCACATTTCCACCTTTAAGCCCCACCATTGAACCAGAGAAACTAACCGACGGTAAATTACTTTCTATGGTCCCATCATATTCTCAAACCAATAGTCACCTCGTATTCATGCACGTTCAAAAGCAAGTCCGGTTCCTGAATTTAATCATTGCTTTTTTCTAAATGGTACTGAATTACGCACAGACCCATAGAAAATAGATCGTTGCCTAGCACCCTGAAGAAGAACTATAGGAGCTGCTATGAAGCTTGAAATCTACCGTCGGTGTCCTGCTTTATATCGATTTTGAGAAGTCATATTCTCTGTATCAATTTCATCATTCTTTGTGGGGATGTGCTATACGAATTGCATTGATGCCGAAAATGCTCCAAGATGAGCTATTTCGATGTCACGGCATGGAATTTGAAACTCAGTGGCGCCGATAATCAAAATATCCGATTCCGTGCGTGCATCATTGGATTCTGCAATTGGCTTTTTTGGACTTGCATTGATCGCTAATAAAGTTCTATGATCAGTGATTCGACGGTGTCAACGAACTCTCGTGGCCATTCCGGGATACGGGGTTCCGATCTTACAATGTTTGATGCCACTTGCAGCACGTCACGCGACCAGTCTTGCTGCATTGTTATCGCTAGCTCTTAGGTTCCGCTCATTGGAATCCTTAAGTGATGGCATCAATGACTCGGCTCCTGTCAAAAATAGCTCGAATAGGTCGAGTCCGACTCTTGTAATGGATAGTTATCAGCAAGTTATCTCAAATCTCCGATCCAACCTATTTCGTCTGCAGTCTGGACAGGGAGATATTGAGGAAGCGATCGCCGTTTCTATGATTCTGTGGATTTTCGGCTTACCCGGACACGAGATTTGGTCGATTCATCTGAATGGACTTATTGCTTTACTCGAGTCTACACCAATTCCCGCCTCTGGTACTCAAATTCAATCAAATCTTCACCAATTTGCGACAATGACAGCAGCTCATCTCGATATCAGGGCGATGTCGGTTGGAAGACGTGAGTCTAGTCAGAGACTTTGGCTTCGTTGGCGATTATGTTCCCCGGATGAGATCCTGAGCCTTTCTGTCGAGGAGAAGGCATTCTCCGGGTGGGAAATCAGCTCCGGATACCCCGAAAGTCTGATGACGATAATTGCCTTGGTATCTGCCATTGTGGAAGACGATTTCTCGGGAAAGGAGATGGACTCTGTTTATAGAGAATATCTTGAGCAACTCGCATTTCAAACATCCCATGCAGGCTCTGGGGTCAGTCCCATCTATGGGTCTCCTATGATGGCTAACACAAGAAACGCTAAACTGATTGCATTCATGGAGTCGATCATCACTCAATGGAAACCGCCCTCAATCCCCGACTCAATGCCCTTGGAAACAAGCATAACTCTCACTGGAATGTGGGAGCTCATGCGAAAGACGGCATTGATCTACCTATGGCGTGGTGGTTTCGAAGCCGACATCACGGTTCCTTTACCGAGGGAACAAGAAATTTCTGTCAACCGATTTACCCGGGAGATATGTGGAGGGATTGAGCAGGTTATTCAAGCTGCGGAAAAGTTTCATATACCCATGGCTAATTCCCTGATATGGCCGCTGGCGGTTATTGGGAATGAAGCATCAAGATCTCCAGCTTTGCAGGCCAAAGTTCGAGAATATCTTGAGCGCATTTATACTTATTTTCAGATACCCCATCATAAAATGATGGCTACTTTACTTCAGCAATTGTGGGACAGGGCGTTAAAGAAGGGTTCTGGCGCTGGTTCTGGTGCTCCCTTGTGTTTGCATCTTATCTGTTTAGAAGAAAATATACGATTGCCTCTACTTTAGACCAATCTAAAAGAACATTTTGAATCAGAATGGCATTTTACTATAGTGCTCGTAGATATTTTCCAGGAAATGTGAAGTGTAGGAGTACTGACATGGAGTCTTTCCACGGCAGGGAGTATAGAGGTCTATAGGTCTAATCACAAATCCTGAGAGGAGCGAAGTATGTACTAGGGGCTGCAGCTGCGCATGTGCAATCATCTACATGGATATAACCCTGGAGCCTGGAGATAAAAGCTGTTTACATAATCTTAGGGGTCCTATTGCCCAGGTGCTGCCACGCGTACCTATGGTACTATTCAAAGCCTTCAACTCCTTTTTAGGAACGAGGCAGTGGGGTGTTATTATGACATCCACATCCCAACTTGAACTTTAAGGAAGCAGGTTCAAATTCTACCAAATCCCTTCAAATTCTCATCAGCATCATAATCATCGCTTTTTACTCTTCCTCCTCAATGCCAGCACAACTTCTACAATTCAACATGACGTCCATCACCGGCGAAGACCTTTACACGAACGCCCTCACCACTCTTTTGCTCACCTCTTTGGCACCACTGAGCTCAATAATAGGAGCAAAGCTCCTGAATATGCTGATGCGTCACACAAGTCCAGACCGGACAAATATCTACGAGCGGCTACTGTTTGCAGTGATTGGAATATACCTGCTCCTTTTATGTATCCTTTTATGGTTTGGTAACATTCGGCCCATGATACGGATGCTGGATGTCCTGAAAAGCAGGTATTATGCTTCTCAAACTGATGATGGGTTTTGAGCGTTACTTGGAAAATACCGTAATTAGTTGGGCTGAAATATGGCGTTTTTCAGGTGGTGCTGATGATCGGGGTGCTATGGCTTTTACAAGGTGATATCATCATCACTCTATCTCCTAACATTACATTTACCTGCACCTGTGCTGACATCTCCTCATACTAAAGCCTGAGATTGGTTTGAGATATCTATTCAAATGGAAAATGTTTAATGGTCGCTTTATTTATCTCGAAGGGGAATTGGAATACTCGAATGGGCCGCTGGCATAATATACTCTGATTCTTACTGGTCAAACATTTAAAGCGATCGACTCCTTTTTAAGAACGGAGTGGGTGTTATTATGAGGCCCCCACATCACAACTCGAAATTTAAGGAATTGCAGATTCAAATTCTACTAGATCCCTTTCAACCTCCATCCAGATGTCCATCAGAGTTATTAGATTATACTCTTCTTCTTCAGTGCACCTCCCACAAATCAACATGGCACCCGTCAATTTCATCGACCTGTACATGAGCGCATTCGGGAGTCTTAGTCTCATGTTTTTGGCATCACTGAGCTCAGTAGGAGGGGCATTGCTCCTGAAAATGACGGTACCTCACGAGGGGACAGATATCTTCGACCAGCTACTTTTTGCAGTGCTCGGAATATTCATGCTCCTTTTGAGTGCCCTTTTATGGGTTGGTAACACTCGGCTCATGATAACTGTTCTGGATGACTGGAGGAGCTATTGTGCTTCTCAAATGAGGAATAATGGGCGTTGAGCGTTACCTGGAAAACTTACTTGACAAAAGCTTTATAATTTTTTGGACTGAAATATACCTGTTATTGTCAGGTAGTGTTGGTGATTGGGGGTGCTACTAATGGCTTTTACATGGTGATATTATCAACACACTATCTCCTACTACTGCCGTTGAGTTTAGCTTGAAATTTCTCATAGAGCCTGGCTACTGGAACCAAAGAACTAGTATCGATTCGAACTATCTGTTTAATGGTCGCTTTATCCATCTCGAACGGGGAAATGGAATACAATGGGCACAATGTGGGATGGGAAGGGGTTTCGAAGCCGCTGGACTTGAACTGTGTTAAATCGAAATCTTCAATGAAGATAATTGCTTCTGGACCGTATCTCATCCAGCATAAATTAAATCATCACGAACTATTTTCTGTCTTGATTCCTCTCAGACTATCCAAGAAGCCTGTATACCCCCATCACACCGCCTTCCTGGACCCGCATCTATCACCATCACCATAACATCCAAGACCAAACAAATAACCAAGCTCCTCCAAAATGCCTCCCAAAGTCGCAAAGGGCGAGTACATCGAGACAGTATGTGAACAATTTCTCCCTATCTACCTTCAATTGATTCCCACGGCCTCCCCAACCCAATAGAAATCTAGCTAATTCCCACCAGGACACGGGTAACAAGATCTCGCGCCGCTCCCAAATCCACGGCACACAACATATCATTCTAGGCGGCAAAACAGTCATTCAAGCCGAAGCCGTTATCCGTGGCGACTTATACCGAATCCCATCTTCTGCCGCTTCCACAGACCCTAGTAACCCCCCACCATCCAATGCTCCCAGTGTCGCCATCACAGTCGGTCGATACAGCTACATCTCCAAGAGTGCGATCCTACGTCCACCGAGCAGATTACATCGTGGTGTGCACTCCTTTTACCCGCTGAAGATTGGTGACCACGTTTTCGTTGGAGAGTCGGCTGTTGTTGAGGCTGCTTCGCTTGGGAATCATGTTCATGTTGGTGCAGGCGCGACGGTTGGCAGTATGGCTATCATAAAGGATTTTTCGGTCGTCTTGGAAGGAGCGGTTGTTCCGCCTGGTATGGTTGTGCCGAGTTGGTGTGTTGTTGGGGGTAGGCCTGCTCGTATTGTTGGGGAGGTTGGTGAGGGATATGGGGTTGAAGGTGCGGAGGGTGGTTTGGCGAGGGAGCGATATAGGGTTGTTGGAAGGCCCTAGAGTGGTTTGGTTGGATTTACATTTTCTTGTTTGTTTATTTGAGCTCCAATGATACCCTCTCGCAGTTTTTTTAACGTTTTTAAACGAAGTTTGATTGTGATGAATATTGACTATCGCTATGACTATTGACTGTTAATTGGGATTTGTTTGATAACGCTATGTTCGGAGACAATTTGGGTGAGGCCATGATATCGGGAGCACAACTTGAAACGAACGGAGGGGAAACAATTTGGCGGGAATGAAAAAGAAGAACTCGGGGACTGATTCCTATCCCATGTTCTCGACCTCGACTGCACGCTTCAGATGGGGGACATCCCCTGTCGCTGGAAGATTAAGTTCCTCAAAGGCCATGTCATTAATCCAACGCCTATTTGGACGTACTAGCTCGCCCTTGGAAAATTTCGAGGCAAGATACAACCAAACCAAAGCATTTCCCACGGTACTCACTTCGTCATAGACGTGGCTAATTGCATATTGCGACATACGACGATACAGATCCTCGTCGGTCCACAGGTTGAATAGGTGATGTGCCACAGTATCGGTGTCGCCTATGTCCACCAGAAACCCATTTTTGTTGTGTTCAACCTGCAACGGGATGCCACCAGCGCGTGTGGCTATGACCGGCTTTCCTTTGTGGATGGCCTCTGACACTTTGACCTCAAACCCTTCACGAGTGGACAACTGCAGTGAAATAGTGGCCTTGGAGAGAAGAGCGTTCAAAACCTGATCAGAGGGCCGTAGTCGCATGACGCAGATCATATGTCGGAGCTCAGGGATCTTGGTCTCAATATGCTCTAGTACTTCGTCATAGATCATCGCTCCGTCTGGGTCATCCACCGAGCCGTGGCCGCATATTAAAAGCTTTGGAGGTGCCAAATCAGGCCGAGCGTTGACGAGGCGGTCATAGAACTTCTCGTACGAGTGTAGCACATCAAAGATGCCTTTCGACGGATCAAATCGCGCTATCTGTATCACGTATTGGTCTAATGCGGAGGGTTATTATCTATCTTATCTCATGAATAACGATCATAGAAAAGCTCCTCCGACATACCTTCAGGATAACGAATAGTCGTCATATCGGCATTCCTGCAAGCTGCATTGAAAATGCGTCCATAATGCGCCACATCCCAGTCGCGCATGTTCTTATTCAGCCCATCCAACCTGGACACGTCAGCATGCTAATGCATATGCTTCGGATCACTTACCAATCAGTCGAAGCCGGCATGTAGCCCACAATTTCAGATGGCACATCGCTAGGCACAAAGGCACTTACTGGGTGACTGATGAAGCAGTCGGCAAGCTTCATCTGGCTCCATAGAAAATCCCATGCCTCGGCCTGGGGCGTTCCAGGCTGCTCGATGAGGTCACTACGAATTTGAATATGGCTTCTGAAAAAAACCGGCCGATCGGGAGCCTTCTCTTTCGCAATGGGTATGATACCTGGCATCTGAGGGTCGTCCACTATTATGATATCGGCACCTCCCTCCGAAGGAGGAAGGAGGGGCCCATCAGGGCCAGTCCAGTATCTCCTGGCGTTTTCTTCAATCCAGCATTGTAGTAATTCTTTGTTTTGCTGACTGAGGCGCTCCCCAGGGCGGGCAACACCTTGTAGAATGTTGTGATTGTCCTTGGTCACCCGGAATACTCCTGGTCGAGGCTTGGGAACGTACCTGTTATTCTTGCAAATCAATATTTTTGGTCATATAATCAATATACTGCAAGGAGGGCCACATACCATCTAATATCCGTGCCTAAGGAGTAAGAGAGCCGTACTAAAGCATGACGCATCAAAGCCACTCCCCCACCCTGAGGAGTCGCGCTGAAGCAGGCAATTCGAACATTTCTTTTCTTCAGATCCTCAGCATAATGATCGACCGCAAACCATGTCTTAGCCGAAACCGTTTTCTTAAAATCATCAAGGTTTGTGAGTCGCACGTGGAAGTCCGTATCAACTTCCACGAGGCCCATAAAACCCACTTGCAGCAGGGGAATATTCTCCGGTCCGAACAATCTGAATTAAGTTCAGCAGTGGGTTTCTCCACAGGTTTGTCGATCTTAACCTACCGCACGCATTTTCGCGACATGGACTCCGCTTCTTCGTCAATCGTTTTAGGATCCCCATCAGGAGCCATCTTACGTTGACGTGATGTGTACCAGTCTGTGACACTGGATTCTGGAAGTACCAGAGGAAGGATGTCGAGTTCGGCCCATAAGCGTGAACAAAGCCTGGAACATCGCTCTGCGACATGTTTGGGCATAGCTACACCGACGATCTTTTCCAAATGTTTCTCCCCATACTCTTTCAGCTCTGCGATAATAAAGTCGGTTGCTTCATCCGCATCGGGCTCGTGTTCAGCGGGATCAAATACTTTCTCGATAAAGTCTAGAAGGTATGTGGTATCGCGGAAGGCAATGGCAATTGTCGAAGCTTGCTGGGTTGAGAAGAACGTCGAAATGCCTGCATAAATGGTCTTTTGGCCATGTGAGCTTTCTGGAAGTAGGCATCGGATATCTCTAGCACGCATACCGCTGAAGGAGGAGCTAGCCATGCATGTCTCCTGAATTGTTGTGAGAGGCGACGCTGCTGCGCTACAGAAGCGCGGCGCTCAAATTCATGCCCAGGGGCAGCCATAGTGCTGAGTATGAAAAGAAGAGATATTGGACGATGTCTAGATGTTTGGTGTAATGTTTCGTAGGTGACACTGGATCATGACGCAACTATCATCATGATGCAACCACGGCTCCTTCCTTGATACATCTGAGTTATCAATATCAAAGACAAACACTCCAAGTTGAAACTATCTTGAGTATTTCGTCGTGCATTGCCTATAATTAATAAATTCTTTTGGCTGTGTTCGTAGCTAAACCGGCACATCTAACCACTGTCCAGATTGAGAATCCAACAACTGGGCAATTCTAGACTAATTTACCTAACAGAACTCGTGGTATACCTAAATTTTATCTTATCAGAAAAATCACATCCCAACCATGGAAGTCAATGTAGATTTCTGATTTCTATATAGCCCAGGGCTCCTATACATGTACTATACTACCTCTGGTGAGGTCTTAGTATCACGCTTGAAACATTGAAATAGCTTAGCTTGCAACCTTGGAACATGTCAATGGAATGAGGAAACAGTCTATATAATGAGAAAAAAATGAGTAGATCATGTTGGCAGGCTTCCTTGAACACATTTGTAATTCAAAAAATTCCAAATGTTTACCAACTAATCGAGATCGATATCCCTTCTGTTTCAAGTGTTGTTTCAGCTGGCCCTGGCGTCGGACGGACTACTAGTGGCTTGAATTTTTTTTTTACCGATGCCCTGGCCGAAAAGCAGAATTTTGGATGTGCACACGATCTCAGGATTATAATTTCACCATAGAAACGACCTTTTAATACTCTTCAATCGAGATAATGCATCTATCATCTTCTCCGACAGAAAGAGTACAATTTGATGTTAAAGTGATTGTAGTCGCAATAAGTAAATTAGCATGGTGGGTCTACGGGTCCATGCTGAGTCAGCCATTTCCTGCCCCTTTTCCCCCGCCTCATCTCGTTCTCTGTCTTGTTTTCCCAGGTTCATAACTTCTACGGCTGTAAGAAAGCCACAATCTCTCTAAAACTTGCTCTGTTGGCACAGGGCGGCCTCATACTTCTTCAAGTTCAAACAATTGATTCGCCAAGATGGGTGGCTCAGTTTCCAAGATGATGGGGAAGATCTTCGGCACGAAGGAAATGCGCATTCTTATGCTGGGTCTCGATGCTGCTGGAAAGACAAGTATGAGCTACCCCTGGATTGAAGCTAGATGCGACCAGCTTATGAAGTCGAATACTAATGACTTCCAGCAATTCTTTACAAGTTGAAACTCAGCAACCAAGATGTGACCACAATCCCCACTGTGGGCTTCAACGTCGAAAGCGTGACTTATAAGAACGTGAAGTTCAATGTCTGGGATGTCGGTGGTCAAGACAAGATTCGTCCCCTCTGGCGACACTACTACTCCGGTACACAAGGCTTGATTTTCGTGGTGGATTCTAGCGACACAGCCCGTCTCGAGGAGGCTCGCTCGGAGCTGCACAAGATCATCAACGATCGCGAAATGAAGGATGCCCTCCTGCTCGTGTTTGCCAACAAGCAGGATATCTCTGGTCGTACGTCTCCCATATTTCACGATGATTTATTATGCCCCCATTTGGCCACGTGCTAACAATTGTACTTCAGACTTGAGCCCTGAGGAAATTACCAACCAGCTCCAATTGAACAAGCTTAAGGATAAGCTATGGTATGTTGCGCCTAGTGTGGCAACTGATGGTACTGGTATCTTTGAGGGTCTTGTAAGTGCAAATTACCCTGTTCGTCCGGACCAAAACAAAAACAGCACTGACCCGCATTTGCTCCACTTCCCAGGCCTGGCTCTCCAACAACGTCAAAACCCAACCCGCTAAATAAACATGTCTCGCCATCGAATCGAATGCCAAGGATTGATTCCCCGTTGGAGCTTTCCAGACTTGCGCCCATCCAGGCATACAGCGCCGTCGATAACACCTTTACCAATCTACCCTGGGACCTGGATTTTCTCGGCTATGATCCTGAGAGGCACCCCCTGTCGCCTTGTGTATAACACCTCGCACTGTCCTACAAAGTATTCATCTTTTTCGTTTCATCTCCGTGTTTGATGACGATATGATGCAGCATTTGGGCCCTGTTTTCCTTTTATTCCTTGGGGATATTTTCCCCCAAGATGATTTCCTTTGTATGCGGGTTCCTCCTTTCGACTTACCTTCCCGATTTCTTTCTATGATATCCCCTCTGTTCTTACCCATGGGCTCTTCCGGAGCTTCATCTTAATTACTTAATTCTTTTACCCTGGATCATATCATCAGCGTTGCCAGTGTTCAATATTTCTGTGATTTTCTGTTTGCATCCCCAATGTGTATAGAGTTGACTAGTTTCATAGAGATGAATGACTGAAAATAGCGTTGGGATAGAGACCATCTGAATCAAATTGAATATGACATACGTCTGACAAGTCCCAATCCATTACCCGGTATACTCTGCCTGGCTGTCTCGGAACTTGAACCCGGTGTCCGAGATGGCGAACAAGACGTAATGCACCACAGCTGCTCTGGTCTGATTATCTTAACGACTGTAAAAGTGACGTGAACCTCGGGAGTCGGGTCCTGTTCCTTATTGCTAGTATCCTGCGTGCCATAAATAGAGCCCCAGTGCAAGTCTGAGTAAAGGAAATATTCAATCTAGTCCCAGTCTTAACATTGGAAGCTTGGGTTTGGAACAATTGCCCAAAACGCACAAGTCTCAGCCAGTTCATAAATCCCCACACAACGAGTTCGTCCTACCAAAACCATACTCGGAAACCATGCCGGCCTACCAGACAGGACAAAGAGTCAATTACAAGCCAGTAGGAGGTATGAATGCTTGGTGATATGCTGAGAATGTGAAAATAAGGACTAATAAGTGTTTTTCTTCTTCCAGGGCCAAACTCCAACACTAGTCAAAGCACTGGTGTCATTCGTGAGGTTGCTACTGAGTCGACTTCGTTGACTGGTCGAAGTGTTGAGGCTTCAGAGGCGATGCCTCGTTACCAGGTATGTACTCAGATCAAGATACAGATACAGGATTGATGACTGATTCTTTGGTATAGATTGAAAATTTGAAGACTCATAAGAGCTCTGCTGTCAAGGAGTGTAATATTCTCGGTCCTGCTGAGTAGTAGAGAATGCAGAAAATTGTATCTTTGGCCTTAGGATTACTTGTCTATCAGTAGAATGTGCCTATACCAACCTTGGAAGGCTATAGACTCGAATTGAGATCCTCATATGACATCAATCTCATAAACTAGATGTACTAGTACTGTGGACTATTCAAACATCGGGGTCCATTACTCCGAGTTCGTACATGCCACGCCAACTCAGGTGCACTATGAGGACCTTGGTGTTAATGCATCGTACTAAATAAGAGCCATTACCCCACGCCATGGTCCTCTACTGATTCATTTTCTTACATACTCTCAACATAGACGCCACAACTACAAATAATAGGTAAAATTTTGTTTATGAACGGGTTCTCTGTTCATTAACTATATCCAAGAATCATACGTTAAGTTGGTATTCCAAAAATAGGTCATGATGTTCGTCCCAAGCATCCCACCAGCGCGCTGTACACAAAAGAAAATCCCAACTCCGTTGCATTGTTGAAAGAGCAACTAGAGAATGGCGCATCCAGGCCGTGACAAAAATTTACAGATGGGGTATTCGTTGCAGTCGTTTTAATTTTTTTTTTCGCTCTCCAATTAGAGCTGGCCGGGCCAGACATCGTTGGCAATCTCACGGACCAACTGGAGCTTGTTCATCATGCCATCCCAGTCAATAGCGTTACCCTCACGGTGGGAAGCAAATCCACACTGTGGGCTAACACCAACCTGGTTAAGAGCGGCCTCGAGGCTGATGTTGTTACCCTCGGCAATGATCTTAGCGGCGTTGATGACACGCTGCTTCATCTCCTCCTTGTCTTCCATGGTGGCGAACTTGGAGGTGACAACACCCAGAATGACGTTCTTGTGAGTGGGGAGGTGCTTGAGGGGCTCGAAACCACCGGCACGCTCGGTGTCGTACTCAAGGTAGTAAGTGTGAACGTTAAGCTCCTGGAACAGCTTAATGGCGATACGGTCGTAGCCACCCTCGGAGAAGTGACGGCTGCCGACGAAGTTACCACGGCAGAGGTGGACACCGACGTGCATGTCCTCAGCAAGACCGATGAAGCAGTCGTTGTACAGCTTGATGTACTTCTCGAACATGTCGTCGGCGGTGTAAACGTTCAGAGGGTCGGCCTTGAAACCGCCAAGGAACTTCTCAGAGCAGAAGTCTATTCAAAGGTCAGCAATTGTCTCTTTATTATGTTTTGCATGAGAGTGTGTTTCTTACAGGCCAGGTTAGGGTCGTCAAACTGCACGTTGCGGCAGCCAGCATCATACAGAATCTTCAGCTCGGCCTGGTAGGCCTTGGCGATGTCACCGAAGTACTCCTCATCGGAGCTGTAAACCTCCTTAGGGTAAGCCTTGCCCTCACGGTAGCGCAGGTGGTACCAGTTAGGAGCAGCAAGGGTGATCTTCAGGTTCTTGACCTGGTCGGCAGGCACTTGGCTAGCGAGGTACTTGAATTGGTCGATGTAGGTGCTGCCAACGTGCTTAATCTTGCCGGTGCAGAGAACGGTCTCACCGGGCTTGTGGCCAGCCTCCAGGAATGCGGCGATATCGGGAGCGTAGGATCGGAAGATATCAGTCTCGAACTCAGTGACCTCATCGAAACCATCCAGGCCAGGGAAGAATGTGCCCCAGAACACTAAATGATTTATTAGCACAGGTGCACATGACACGTTCGCCTAGTTAATATGATTCTTACTGTGACGGCGGTACTCTCCGTCCGAAGCAGCAGGGTAACCCATCTTGATCTGGGTCTCAACAATGTTGGTGATCTCCTTGTCCTCGATAGCGATAAGCTCGGCCTCAGAAGCCTTGCCAGCTTCCTGGGCAAGCTTGATGTCCAGCAGGTTCTGGGGGCGAAGGAGGGAGCCCAAGTGCTCCGCACGGAAAGGGGGTCTCTGGTGCAGTTGAGGAGCCATGATGAAGTGATCTAAAGGGTTGCAAGTGTTAGTTCTGAGCTGCCCTTTTGTATAATGCTTGACACGTTTGCACTCACGATAAAACAGCTATGTACAAAAGCAAGTTCAATCTAGGGAAAGGGAAGAAGAAAAAGGAAAATCATGAATGAGGGCCCGAGATTATGAAAAAGAGGGGCACGGAACCAGGCTCATCTCTACTCTGTCTTTGCCTTCGCATCCGGAGCTTGTGGGGCTTTGATCACAAAGATGAGCATCTCCACATCGGGGCCGCCTATCGGATTCATTTGATTGAGCATTCTGAATGGATGCCCATTTGAATTATCGAGACGCTATAAAGAATTGGATTGTCGAAATAATTAATACCATTTGAATGACAGTTTATCAAGGAAGATATTGAATTGCTGGCATTCTAGCATTTGAAGGCTCAACTGACGTCAAGATTTAGGGTTTCTTAAACGGAGTATACGGAGCAATAATCCTAGTTTCATCCTTGCATATGTACTCCGGACATAGCACCAATGCGGGGCGTTCCTTGGCGTATAAAGTACTGGGGTAAACAATTCAGTAGAATATTTGATCATTTGACAATGTTTGAGACTATACGTGTAAGAGTTATACATTAGGATAGAAATGTTTCGGATCATGTTGCTTGGTATGCTACAAATAGGTAACACTAGAAGTGGCAAACTCCGAAAAAAAAAGTAATAATTCATCATAAATTTGACAGTGGAGTGTTCAAGTGGGCTCCACAATTTTTTTTTCTTTTTTCTTTAATTTCTTGACGGGGGGATTTCCGAATTTGTCCATCCCCAGGTTTCTTGATGTCTACCTATTGTTGCGATGTACAATGGTCTTATAACCCTTTGAGGATACTTCCGTCAGACAACATCTTTCATTTCTCTCTACATCCCCTCAATCTTTCTCTTCGCTCATAGCACAGACACAGGCTGAGTAAAATCTGACAAAGTGCCAAGTGGAGGAATTGCGTCCGGACAAGTGGGGAACCGGCACTTCAACGTCGATGCTGTTCCCGAGATCAACCTCACCTCAGTACATACTCAGTACTCAGTACCCAGCACTCTGTAACCGCAACCAGTTGACGACAAGAGCACTACCTCCTGTGAAATTTGAGAGGAATCACGTCATGTAGAGCTAGGGGTATTATCCCTTCGAGAAACGTCATGTCGTGCGCCTTGGAATTACTCCCAAATGAACTACTGGACCAGATCATCTTTTATTTGAATTCAGAACCACCTTCGATAGAACGAATCCATCAAGTCCCATGTCGTCAAATTACCCAGTCAGAGAAGAAAGATCTTAAGCATCTTGCGCAATGCTCGTACCACCTACTGGATCTTGTGCGACCTCGGCTATTCGTCCATGCCTGTCTGGACTTGAACGATGAGTTAGCCTTCCAAGCCTTTATTCTGGGCTCGGATCTGGCTCGCTATGTAACCTCTCTCGTGGCGATCATAGAACATGCATCACTTGATCCGGTCGATCATCGTTGGTGGCGTCGGATTCTCCGTTATCTAAACCCGACTCGTGTTACCGTGCTAGCGCCACCAACCTTTATTGGAAACATGCTTAATACTCGTATAATGGATGGCCATAGTTGGGCATTCGATATCAAGCTGCAGTTACTACAATTAGAACAACAAAGCGCATCCGATATAGCTTCTCTACCCGATTTGGACGACTCGGATAGCCTGCTTTTGGCCCGCCCGTGGACATCCATGAGCTTTAACGAATCATCATCCCTAAGAGCATATAATCATTATGAATATTTCCTCTCTCGGGTGCCTTCTGTTCTCGGTGAATGGGGATCCCAGCTAAAACCACCAGAATTCCCACCGCAACATCTGTCGGCCATGTTGGGCGGGCTTACGTCTTTTTCATATACCGCAGTTTTCCCCTTCTACAACCATGTGAAGCTGGTTCTGGATATTCTTCCCCTTATGCCGGAACTTGAAGTGTTCAGCGTACAGCTGGCACCAAATGCCGATAATCATGTCCTGGAAATGGAGCAGCGTGGATCTTTGGACCCCTATGACCCATGGACAGAGCTGTCAACTTCTTACTCATTGATTGGGTTTGGGGTCCGCAACAAACAGTCTTTAATTGAATTCAGCAGTCGAGACTTAGCTCTTGATGCATTGCGAGAGGAGCTTGCTCTTGGGCTAGAAACTGACTTGGGAAATACGAGTTGGACTCCTGAGGGTAATGGGGTTTGGAGACGGCGGGAGGGATAACTTTGATGTACTAATACATACTGCATTATACTCTTCTATCCATACGCGCTTTTCGATATTTATTTGGTCTTAAGAAAAAATTAATCAAGTCCACACATCCTCTCTCTCTCTCTTTCCCTCTTAATAGACATGTTGTGTTTATATGCAATATAAACAGCTCGTGGGTCTCGGGAACGCTAGAATCTCACAGAGCGGTGGATCTCTTCCTCAACACCCCACCTAGCATCCAAATGATGAACCTACTTTCCACACTACACAGGCCCTCAATAAATACGAGATTATCAGTCTATATGATAATTGCCGATCATGACTTTAAGTTCCAGCATTTACGCTTCAGAGCCCGCTCAACCTATCCTTGCTCACTCTCTGCTCCCTCACACAACACCCATGGTAGTTAACTCCGAACACTCTGTTCAGGAATCAACAAAAAATGATTGGAAGCTCGATGAGGACTGGAATAAAGGAATTCAATTGTTTGATTCCGGGGTGTTCCGCTGTGGATCTGTTATTGGATTCTCACGACTAAGAGCGAGAAGCGGTGATAGTGATGATTACATCGGACAGGCAAGAATTTTTTCTAATGCATTACACTCTTCCACTTTACATTCTTCTTATATGAAGTTAGATCCCTCGTTCGCTTATGACCACACATCTCCGGAGAAACTCTCCGTCAGCAGAGACAAACACGTTCATCATATATCCCACCAACTTTGATGCTTTTGCCGCCAGAAACTTGTTCAATGATTTGCACTCTGGCCCATCTGGCCTCTCCAAAGACGATGCAATCAAGCGTCTAGATTCCGTTCAACTCCTCCCAGTGCATAACCTGCTTCAAGCTGCTCAGGCTGTCAAGCAGGTATCCGGATCGCTGCAGCAAATTCAAGAAAAATATCAACAAGGCCAATCTGAGCCAGTCCAAAGCACATCTATCGTCCTTCTTGCTGTAGTCGGCTTGGATACATTAGCTGAAGGCGTTGTTCGAGCTTCAAATCCGGCTAGAGGAGCAGCTGTGTTGGCTAGTACTTTACGTCTCTTGACACGCTTGTCCCGCACACATTCCGACTTCCTTTCAGTCATGCTTGTCAACACTCATGGGCTTGGTTCTGCTTATGTCCAAGTTGATCAAGAGGGATCAAATAGACAGAATATTGCGGCTAGTGAAGATACGAGATCCGCGCGCGACGATGGAATTCATTCTATTTTTCAGAAACCGGGAACTCCTCTCCTGTCAAACCTGGCGATGAGGACACTAGATCAAGGAATCGATACGCATATTTTGCTTTCCGATGTGAAATACACCCATGTGGCAGAAGTCATCAAAGATCGCATGGGGACGGGCTTGGGAAAATGGGGAATCTGGTCACCCCAAAGATGAGGGAGCCTATGTGACTGTGAAATGGGGATTTGAATGGGTATTCAAAGTTCGTTCGGATTGCTCTATTGCGATACAATCACTACTAATAGTACAAGTTGAAATACATGACTAGGTCCACCTGAGGCGCCTGAATAAATGCTATGGGGTCATGAATGCTCCTCCCAGCTCACTCTCCGAGTATCGCGGGATCAAAAAAACACCAACTCCGATCCATGGCCCAGCTATTTGTCTTCGAAGATAGAAAAAAAGGGGTATCAATATTTCTTATTTGTTGCTCAGTCCTTATACTGACTTTGCGCAGCAAGCCACTGGCAACAAAGAAAGAGAAAAAAAGGGGGTATTTTCTCCCCCAGAATTAGAAGGCAACTTCACCGGCCCACTTCCTCAGAACAGCCCTCTCAGTGACAGAACGTGCGTCTTGCTCATATCTTGCAAGATCTTGATCTGCTGTGTTCTCCTCAAACACAATATCCTGCTGCTCCACCTTCATCCATTGCTTGTGTCTCTCGCAACGCTTCTTCGTGCAAATACCGCGACTCAAAAAGGCTAGTTCGTCTCCTTCCTCGCCGTCCATGGATGTGTCGCCATCTGGATCGGTGGTGGTGGGATAGCTGCCTGCAAGCGCTTGGGCTGTACCTTCCACGAGCGCCTTTTTACCTGCTTCGGACAGTCGCCATTTATCGAATTCTCCATCAGACCAGGCAAGTCTCCAGTCAAACCCGCAGATATCCTTCCATCCGCCCTTGGGTTCCTTCTGCTTCAACTTCTCTACAACCGCTTTCGCTCGCTGGCGCACAAGCGCGATGAATGCCGTACGAGTTGCAAGCATTTCTTTGCGATGCAAAAGCTCGTCGCGACACTTTCCGATCTTTTCGAGGTTGGCTGTTTCCTCGAGGGAATATTCAACTTCTGTTGTTGGGTGGATATCTCCATTTGTCTTTGTGTCCGATGGTGTTTCGCCTTCCTTCTTCATATTGTTATTGGGGATACCGTGGTAATCCATGGACTCTGGTGGCGGGGTAATGATTTCATTACCCAGTTTCCGGAATCCATCCGCAGAGTTTCCACCTGTGATTATCGTTCTGAGATTTCCAGGTGTGAGAATGCTGCCCATACTCCCCAAATCATCTTGACCCTTTTGTTCGGGTCCTAACTCGAGGAAGCGGATTTGACGACGCATGTACTCCTGACCGTGTCCGTCGGAGCAATATTTGCTCTGGCTCTTCTGAGCAAAGCGTGCTGGTTTACGACATTCGGTGAGACGGCACATCGGTTTCCATGTGGTGCAACCCTTGCCACTTTGGCTACAATTGGGGCCTGGTTTCATCCTGTCAGCTTTGAAAAATTTGGAGGTTGGATGGAAAACACATGGATGAATGAGACTTACAGATATATTTCTCGATCAACTCTGCATCTCGAGGATCGATGTGGACACATTTCCCGTGGAACCAATCCTCACACCCACCATCGCACCCAATCATCCATGTATGGTTATCAGGTCGTCGGCAAATACAAAATATGGCGTTTTCGTCCTCCTCGTCATCGTCGTCGTCAGCAGCACGTCCCTTTGGGCGCTTTCTACTCCTTTTCTTCGGTTCGGGTACGGGCGAGCCGGCATTGGATACCGAGTCCTGTTTCTGGCCCGGGGCTTTGCTGGCACGAGATGCAGGGGTATTGGACCGACGCTCGTCAATAATATCCGTATCAAGATCATTGGCCTTTCGCTTCTTGGTTGCTGGCTTCTTTGCGGTACCTTTCTTGGTAGCTGCAGATGCGGATTTTTTGGAGGTTGAAGGATTAACGGAGACCGCGGGGGAGGAACGTTCAGAGGAGGCTCCACGGAAAGGCAGTGAGTTTTTGCGACTGGCAAGTGTTTTTGACGAGCGACTATCATTGGTGCCATCAAAGCCCAAAGATCTTGTTTCGAAGTCGTCACCAGCAGGTTCGGTCTTGATGGAAGGAAGAGGGGTGTCTTTGTTTGCGAATTGCGATATACTCTTGCTAGGGTCATAGACTTCGCTGTAAACGTCAGCCCAGTTTGCGCCCTTTCCGCTTTTCGGTGTATCCGCGTTTGCTTCGTAAGGGATTGTATTCGTCTTGGAGGTCTCTTTGTTCTCGGAGGACCCGTTCACATGATTTGCGCCGGCGGCGAGCTCCGGGTCCGGCGCCATAGCGAAATGGAAGACGAGAAAGCCCAACAGGCAATCAAACTAGTTTGTGGAGAGCTTGGGTGGCGAATAGAAATTTTGAATCCAGGTGCAAGAGGATCGACCTCGTTCAAGTTGTATCGGGGAGCACAGGGCGCGCGGGATGAGTTAAATCCGCACAGATACAAGCAAGAGCCACGGAGGCATCATGGGGCTCGTATCTATTTGCTCGGAGTGCGAAATCCTCCTCCGAACTGTTTGGTGACCTTGCGACCGCAGATATGTGATCGAGGTAATCCTCACTACCAGCTCAGAGATAGTCCTGACAATTTCTCTCACGAGATCGGGTCTCCACCGGTCGCGATGAGGTGGGGGAACAGGGATGATCCAATTCGCCTTCGAAGGGTATGTTTGTGGTGCGATATTGAAAAAGAGAAACCCAGAAAGACGTCTGGAACATGTAAAACCTCACGAACCCGAAACAGATTGACACTGACAGGTCCCTTGAATCTTGAGATCGGGGATCTCAGACGGGGTTTTGGCGGACTACCAAGGCGGTGAGCCATAAGGCGGTGAGGCACCAGCAGTCGAGTGAAGCCTGGGGCAATTGAAGCTTGTCAGCATCAACACCTTCCTCTATCTGATATGATCTCATTGAATAATACAAATTTAAGCTTCTACTGACGCTTCAATCCTCATATTATTCAATTCTGCTTATTGTAGCTCCCAAATTCCACTTGAAGTCTTATTACCACTCTTCTGAGTGTTCTGCTGAACTACCTTGCAGTTAAGATATTTGGTGAATTCCAAGGTTGCGATATCGCATACATTACGATACAATCTGCGCTGTAATTGTTCCTGCCTGTAGGCAAATAAAAACGGGCGGAAATAAGATACAGTACGGTGCAGCAATCAGGCAACAAGGGACTAATTGTGCTTCAATAAATTCTCCTATGTCAGTAGAGCATTTATCTCCATTTATCGCAACATTTGAAGGCTTGCCAGTTAAATCACCTACTACCTAGTATTGCTCACTTGAGATGGCCTTCTGCCTGCTGTGAATGAGGATAATCTAAAGACATAATCATAGTGACTAAGATAAATTGTCATTAGCTTGCCTTCTTCTATCTTTCACTCCTTTCTTACTCAAAGTAAAGAGAATCTTATTACCTCATGTAAGGACTTCGGGACGGCGTTTACTAAATAAGTTGCAGGCTTTAGGAAAGAGGGTCCTGGGACTCATGTATCAACGAAGACAGAACACTCAAGTGCTGGTACCAGTTGAAGTTGGGAACTTGAAATACCCTTGGTTTAATTGAACACATCTTCTTCATGAGATTATCAAACCAGGCAACATTCACCCTTATAGGCCCCTGAGTAATTTACATAGATTGATAATAACAGACTTAGAGCTTTCAATATTGAACATCTGAAGGTTCTGTCTGCTACTAGTACATTCTTCCAAGGTTTACTTCAAACTTGAAATTTTCATTATCTTACAGACGTTCCTTGTCAAGTATTTTTATTTAGTTGATCTGGGACTCGATGCGCAGATGGTAACCAAACATACTCATAAGACCCTTTGCTAATTTTTCTTAAGCAAAGATTCGAATTTGGTGGTTTGGTAGGTAATACCCAGGGTCATTGAAGCGCAATCCTTTATCCAGGGCAGAGATAGATCCAATTTCCTCAGAAGTCATATCGAAGCCAAGAATATCCAGATTTTCAGCAAGTCGGGCTTGATTGTTTGACTTGGGAATGACTGCAACATTTCTGCCAGACTCATTAGCATCGAACAATTAAGACATGCTCAAAAGACACTCACCGTTGAGTGGCCCAGCGCAGAAGCACCTGGGCAGGTGTCACATTGTACTTCTTTGCAATGACTCTGACACACTCGGTATCAAACAGCAGTTGAATATCCTTGGCTTTTGCAGAGAATTGAGCCGGCAGCTCAACAAAAGACTGGGGCCCGAAACTGGAGTACGCAGTGACGGCAATCCGATTCTCTTGTGCTACCTTAACGAGCTCAGACTGAACCAAATATGGGTGGTGCTCAATTTGCAGCGATGAGAGTGGGTGTCGAGCATAGGTCAAAATGTCGTAAATTGACTGGGCCTGGAAGTTGCTAACACCAATGCTGCGGGCAATGCCGTTGTCGACGACCTCTTCCATGGCTTCCCATGTCTCGCGAATAGGGACCTTATCGGTTTGAACTGTGCCGGCATCATCCATCCACCATGCCTACCGCATTATCAGTTAGTGCAAATTCCATGTTGTATGGATATTTTAGTCTTGACTTACCGGGTATTGGCGAATTGCAGGATCGATATACTTCAACGCGCACGGGAAATGCATGAGGAAGAGGTCAATGTAGCCAAGTCCCCACGACTCATTCTGTCTCCTGGCCATCTCCAGTACGTGGCCTCGACGGTGATAGTTGTTCCAGAGCTTTGTTGTGATGAATATCTCTTCACGAGTAACCAAGCCATCGGCAATAGCACGACGGATACCCTCGCCGGCTTCCTTCTCATTCTGATAGTCGTATGCGCCATCAAAGAGCCTGTATCCGGATTTGATTGCCTGTTGCAAGTCAGATACCATAAGTTGCGTATCAATTATTCAGCAGACTAACGTTATAGACAGTGTAAGCCGCAGTTTCTTTGGGAACCTTCCACAGACCGAAGCCTACAAGAGGCATTTCTTTGCCAGAGGGAAGAGTTACGGTGGACTTCGACATTTTTGCAGTAGATCTCCAGACAGAATTATTGAATCTCAGACTGAATATAGGTTGAGATGCTATGATAAATACCATTTGATGAGATAATATTTTACAAAGCTTCTATGAGAACAGAGACAGCGGCGGTTCCAATTGCCAATTCCAACACGACTAGTTACTGATTCAACAAAATATCTTCAAATACTAGTTGCGGTGGAATAGGACATTGTCTCAGCTGACAGAATGAGTGAATCTTGTCTCATTTCTCGTCATCTCAAATATTGATGCCTCATGTTCTATGATATAAGATGAATATGGAAAAAAGTGGCTAGAGTTACCTATTTGGGACGCCATCCGGTCCGAATATGGGGTAAAAAGAACGAGCCGAACATCGGGACTTGAAAGTTGATTGCTTAGCAGGTGAGTTCTCCGAAGATTACCCCACTCCTTAGACATTAAGTATCCCGGCTCGGTCTTCGGCAATAGGGGTCCGGAGTAGGTCCCCGAAGCAGGGCAGCCTTTTGGCATCGACGTCAGACTAGGTCTCTGCGCATCATCTTCTCGAGTACCAAGTCAACGGTATCTCGACCGCCAAGGAATAAGGACAGAAGGGCACATCCCCAGCCGTGGAACTTTATGACAGGGTGTCCTAATAATGGGACGGTCATTCCTCCCTAGGTGACCGAACTCCCGTGCGTTGCAATGATCGAACGCTGGGTATCTGCAATACCTGCGACAATTTCTGACATGAGAATTTCATTCCAGCCTTTGAAATCAAAATCGCCTTCTTTGTTTGACTATTTGTCTGGATTGATGGAATTGGTCTGGTGATCAGTAGAATTATTCGCATGAGGAAAGCGATTATAAGCTTCCTTGCATACATTCTGGGACGGCCGACTGGGCATCAATGGCGAGTCAGAACATGATAATAGTATTTTCATCTACTAGTATGCCCAGATTTTCCTTCGGCCTACTGATATTTGGATACAAGACTCGGAAAATCTGAGTTACTGGGACTCGGAGTCTTAGCTCATTACATCGTCGTATCGTTCATCTTAAGTCAAAATTATATATAGTGTAAACATTGAAGCTCTTAGCGTAGCACTAGTTTTGTCTGGTGTATTTGGTCTTCAAATCAATGTATAATAGTTTGTTACTGATATGGGGTAGCGCTCAAAAAGCAGCTTCCACATGCTCAATCTCATTGGTCTTGCTCTTGAACTCTGCTTCGTCTTCCTTGTTCTCCACTTGTCTGATCTGAGCGCCAAGACCAGTGCAGATATAGCTCTTGAACTTGCGAGTAGAAATTTTCTGCTGGAACATTTCATCAAGCTCCTCCAAGGATCGATCCTTGGTCTCAGGAAGGAGGAAATAGATGAAGGCCATGGAGGCAACAGAGAAGCTGCCGTAAATAATCGCAGTCCGACCTCCAATCTCAGCCTGAACATATGGATTGACAAAGTTGATAGGCACAGACGTGACAAAGCTACCCAGCGAGGCCAAAAGTAGAGTTCGCTCACGCAGTTGACCAGTTCCAATCTCGCCACTGAGAATCCATGCGCCAGGACCCCATGATAGACAGTAGAAGAAGTACCAAAGAATGAGCATAGCAATGCAGCCGTTTTGCGTCATTGTTGATAAAATATTGTAACCATTAGCGGTAGTACCACCAACGCCAATCATCATAGCACCCATGACGAAGGCACCCCAGAACATAATCATGCGTCGGCCGAGCTTGTCAAATGTATAGAAGGAGATGCAATTTCCCACAATACCACAGGCTGTGAGAATGACATTGTATTTCAGTGGATCAGAAAATCCTAGTTGCTCCATGAATGTCACGAGGAAGTTGTTGACGAAGGAGATTCCTTGAGCCTGCTGCAGGATCTGAGTACCAGCAGCAATCACAGTTCGTCGGAAATTTGTGCCTTTGAAACAGTCTAGCACACTTGTAGCCTTATGAAGCTCCCTTTGTTCTTCAACCTGAAGCTGTAAAAGTTGCACTTCCTCCAGGGCATTATAAGTTGGACCGTACAGGGCTTTTATAGCGGCCTCAGCCTCTTGGAATCGACCTCGGTAGACTAGGAAACGTGGAGTCTCGGGTAGAAACGAATAAGATAGCACGATACCGAAAGGAACCAGAAGCTGGCATAGGACGGGAGCTCTGGAATGGTTGTCAGAATGTGCCATGATAAAATGTAAAATTCCGCTACTCACAAGTAGGCCCATTTGGTAGTCAAGTTCTGGCATAGAAATACTACAAGGTTGGCTAAGAAGCCACCAAATGTATTCCAGAAAGAGTATGCGGTCAGGAAAGCACCTATTGAGGGTCAAATTAGTATGAGATACACTTCACCTCGTATGATCAATACTCAACATACCGCGAATTCTTGGAGGCGCACACTCCGACTGGTACATAGGCACCACGTTAGATGCCAACCCGATACCCGAATAGACAACAATACGACCAACAACCAGCTGCCAGAACGAGATTACTGCCGTAGCTTCTAACAGGCAGCCCGCAGTCAGCATACTTGCCATAGCCAACAATGTTGGTTTGCGGCCCAAGTTTTGACACAGCCAAGGTGCAACAAGACAGCCGATAATAATGCCAGCAGAGCCAGTACCAGTACCTGCAGATTGTTTCACAGAAGGAATGGACCAGGAATTATCAGCGGCATCCCAGCTTCCATACTTCTCCCCAAATGGTTGAAGATCCAGAGCACCTCCCCACCAACCATTATCGTAGCCAAATCCCATGGCTCCCAATGAGACAAAGGATCCAATGAAGAATAAGCGGGGACTCATCTCCTGGTAAAGAGCAGACTGCTTAATTGAGGCGAACATTTTTGGAAAGTGGAACTTGATGTCTCCAAGTTCACACGATAATATCAACAATAAACACCTACCCTTGTCATCATCCAATCCGGGGATAATGTATATCCTTATATAGGAAGTGCGGAGAAAAGAGCGGCGATTGCGTATACATGTTCTCCCCATATTCTTTTCCCTGAATCGGGATCTGGGGGAATAGACTAACCCTTTTGTTGTCAACCCTCAGTGGGGCCCCGCAACCCGGCATATGGGCTGACTCCCTCCAGCCACTCCCGATGCTCGACAACGGCAATGTCTTAAGCCGTCTCAAGATCAATTAGATACCGAAGTGGATCTCCACTTACGTCGGCGGTGTACATGCCATTCGCTTAGTCGGTTCCTGGCGGTTACAATTGCTCATTTTGAGAGACTCGGCTGAACTCCGGGATCTCCTCATTTCCCCGGGTTCTACATCAGTTCCCCGCTCCTCAATCTGGGGATGTGTGGCTCAAGTTGCGATTTTGGGAATCCACTACTTATTATATGGGTTCAAATAGGATCCTTTTTTGTCGAACTTTTTTATTTGGTCTAAACTTCTAATCAGTCTTTTCAAGTTTTCCTCTTTTTGTGGTCGTATCATCATGGCGTCTCCCGACCGATTTCAAACTTTCCCTTCTAAGCCACGAGTGTTTATTCTCAGTGATATTTCCAATGAACCTGACGATGCAGAGTCATTGGTGCGTTATCTTCTGTACTCCAATCAGTTTCAAACTGAAGGTCTCGTCGCGTGTACATCGACATGGATGAAGAACAAGGTCTGTCCACAGGACATGCACAAGATCGTGGATGGATATGAGAAAGTAGTCGATAACCTCAACGCTCACGCAAACCCAAAAGATCCTTACCCCACGGCCAACTCGCTGAGATCCTTGATTAAGAAAGGAACAGAGGTAAATTACCCCAAAACAACACCCATGCATACAGATATCGTGGACTCTAACGCGACCACATAGTCGTACGGCATGACAGCAGTAGGAAACGATATTCCCCTTAGTGAAGGTGGCGAACTCCTGCTAGAGCGAATCCTGGCACCAATCGACCAACCCCTCTGGATCCTTTGTTGGGGCGGAACGAACGTACTTGCATCCGTCCTACTCAATATCCAAAACACACATTCCGCCTCCGAGGCTCTCAAATTGCGCTCCAAGCTACGCGTCTACACAATCTCGGATCAAGATGACACTGGCGTCTGGATTCGATACAACTACCCCGACCTTTTCTACATCTGCTCCGTGCACGGCTGGAATCAGTATGGCATGGCAACTTGGGCCGGTATTTCCGGCGACGCATGGTACGGTTTTGACAAGGGCGGACCGGACCCCAGCAAGATTAGCAAGGAGTGGATCAAAGATAATATCCAGATCGGACCGTTGGGTTCCACGTATCCAGACTATATGTTTATTCCCGAGGGCGATACCCCGACATTCCTGTATCTTATTCAGAACGGACTTGGTGTACCTGAGCGACCGGAATATGGATCGTGGGGTGGTCGATACATCGCGACTGATATTAGCGGCAAGGGAACTGTCAATGGCCATTTCAGTGATACCTCTGATGAAGTTGTCGGTTTAGATGGGCAGAAACACAAGTCTAACCATGCGACGATTTGGCGATGGCGCGATGCGTTCCAGACGGATTTCGCTGCGCGGATGCAGTGGTCGCTGTCGTCTGATACAAGCAAGGCCAATCATCACCCAGTCATTGTTGTTAGTGGCAGTGCGGGTCTGGAGCCGATGCATTTTGAGCTCGAGGCGGGCTCTACCTTCAAGCTAGATGCGTCGGCTTCATATGATCCTGACCCTAATGATCAGATTACCTTCACGTGGTATCAATACCGGGATCCGAGTGCGACTCAATGGTCTGTTCAATATGAGGTTGGTGTTTTGGATATCAAGCCACTTAATGAGACTGGTAGTGTCGTGGATGTCGCGCTTCCGCCACCGGAGAAGTGCTGTGTTGAACTTATCAGTCGGGCTGCAGTGCCGAAGGGACAGGTACTGCACTTGATACTCGAGGTTCGAGATAATGGGTCTCCTGCATTAATCAGTTACCGCCGCTTCATCATTCAGACCACGAATGAGATGTTATTGGGAAGTGGCAGTGGTGGTGAAGCAATCGGCGACACTATGAGAGATGTGATCCCAAGCCATTAGGGGTCAGAGCATTTCACAACTTGAAGCCACTATAACTGTATATAACCGAAATGATAGAAATTTTTCTAGTTTACATTGAAGTAATGAATTCGTGAAACATGATATCGTGCGTATTCTCTCCCATGCCCATGTGTTATACTTCACCTGACTTCTTACACCATAATCGAGGCGATGTGGTGCTTCGGCTACTCCAACTACCATTCGCTGGATGCATCGACAATGGATCCATTCCTTTGTGCTTCATTTGGGAGTGAGGTCGCAAATTCCCTGGAGAAGATGATGCAATTATAATCTCCGGCTGTGGAACAGTGGATTGGATTGTAAAGACTTCTTCAACTCCCTCAAGGGTCCGGCGCACAGTCTCCGGGTACCAGAGCCAAACAATGAATACAGCAGCCCAGTTGAACGCGGCAAAGCAGTAGAGGTATTTGGATCCAATATTCCTAAATGCGACAGGTGACGATTGCGTGAAGAGGAGATTCATACTCCAACTGGTTGCAGTCGCAGCCGATGATCCTCGGGCTCGAAGAGCTGTAGGGAAGATCTCAGTTTGGTAGACCCAGGAAATGAGTCCAAGCCCAGTGAAGAAAAGAGAAAACACAAAGAAAATTGCAATCGCACTGCGAAGTGCATTCGGATTGGCGTTAAAATTGTTGAAATCGACATAGTGTGCGAGAGCGGCCTCAACACACAGGGAAGCACCCATACCTAGCAGAGATGGTATAAGCAGCTTTCGCCGTCCGACTTTGTCAATGAAAAGCATGAATAAGGTGTTCCAAAGTTGCGCCAGCGCACCCAAGATGCCGATGAGCATAAGTGAACTCGAGGTGGAGAGACCAAGGGACTTATAAAGCTGAGGCCCATAGTTCTGAATCACGTTTGCTCCAGAGCATTGCGTGAAAAGCTGCAGGCCACAGGCGAGCAGGAGTCGGTAGCGCCATCGCTTGGATTTTAAAAACTGGCTCCAGGAAACAACCGCATGGTCCTCGGGGGCGACACCCTCGCAAATATGGGCGAGTTCATACTCGACAAGCTGACTATTTGTTCCGCTTCGATTCAAATGCAGGCGTGTGAGCGCCGAGCGCGCGGCTCCATCCTTTCCGTGTTGGAGAAGCCAACGGGGTGACTCAGGGAGAAACAAGACACCGCATGTAAGAATAATAGCGGGTGCTGTCTGGAGGGAAAGCGGAAATCTCCAGACGAAGTCATCAGAGTATCGCGAGCATCCATAACCGACCCATTGCTAAGGCAGGTTAGAGTTGATTATCTTGTGACCTGAGAAAGGAGAGGGTTTCTAGTGTCTGAAAATGGGTACTCACAGCAATTATGATACCCAGGCAAATCATCCATTGTTGCATGCTTGCCAGCAAGCCGCGAATACTCGCTGGTGCAATTTCGCTCTGTGGACAAAATTAGCGGATGGTCGCCAGCGAAACATCTCTCGGATGTTATAGCTAAACATACGCAATATACAGGAACTGTTGCCGACATCAGACCAATTGCAAGACCAGCGATGAATCGTCCGGCGATGAGCATCGAAATAGTAACGGCCCCTCCTTGAAGGGCAGCACCAAGAACTGCCAGCAGTCCTCCAATGAAAATTGCTATTCTCCGACCTGCAGAATCGGAAATGTATGATGCCAGCAAGGCCCCCAGAATGGCACTGCCTGGTCATGCACACTCAACGTTAGATGCTGCAGTTGACGATATCACATTCCATGTTTGGGATGAACGATACCTGTGTATGATGCGATTATACCACCACTAGCCGCATCTGATAGATCAGGAGATCCAAATTTCTCCAGGAAAGTGTCTTGTTCGATGATATATGAAATGACTCCAGAGTCATAGCCAAATAAAAACGAGCCCAGTGATACAAAAACGCAACAGAGAGTGACGAGAACGTAAGCCATGATTCAATCAATGCAGCGCAGCTGCCACTGGTATAACCGCACATGTGCAGAAAGTAACTTGAAATAAGATGATGCATGAGAGAGCTCCAGGCTGTCAGCTTCTATAAGAGGGGCTCAAGTATCAACAAATTAAAGGCGCGCGTTGGTGTAGAATGTGGCGATCACCAATCATTGGGGAAGTGGGACGTGCCCAAGGGGCGATCGAACCCATTAGCCAAGAGGGAATGCGATGCGGGATGTGAGGAGTAAACCCAGTCATTCACTAATGACAGGGGAAACTAGTTGATGTACTATAGATTGTTGGAGCATATTCCAATATATTAGCTCCTGGTTGAGATAATGAATCATATTACGGAGTAGTATTTCCCAACATCTTGATTCCATGCAGGGCGAGCTTCATAGCTTAATCGATACCCTGACCAGGGTTGTCACGTCCAACCCAATGGGTTTCAATGCCGAGAACAACGGACTAGGAGACTAATGCTTCACTACTGTAGGGTTGTCCCCACTCATGAATAGCTCCCCCGTTTCAAATAGTGGCTCCTCTGAGCATTGCTTATCCTCGCGTGGGCATTCCCGGTCGCGTCACAGGGCTTTGTCATGCTCCTTGGTGCCCACGGGCATGCCCAGGTAGTTGATCCCTTCGTGACGATGCCTATCGGGCTAGGCCAAAAGATATCTCTCCCACGATAAGGAGTATTCATCTTCAAATGTTGTTTTGATCTAGGTGCTTATGTGTCAAAGCAGGATTTTGTGCATGAACTAAGGTGATCGCCAATTACTCCGTACATGCAGATTCGATAATAGGATCTGAAACAAGGGGGATTCGAGTCAGTTAAGTACCGAGTTCGAGACCCGTGCTCCGCAGTTTGTTGATCATTATCGTAAAGAATCAAGACGCGACGATACATGGTGTGATTATTTGGAGTCCTGAGGCACAGGCCATCATCTGACCTCACCTGACATCTGGACATCAACCTTGGAAGCAATTTATGCAAGTACTAATGCACCTCCAAATGACATACCCACCCCCATACTCTTAGGCATAACCTTGAAATCTTAGGTACAAACATTTAAACCCCTATTCCATATGGAGTACGGAGTACTAGCGGCGTGAATCTCTATTTCCAGCCTCTCATGGCCCCCTTTATCCTTGGAAGGCATACGGTAGATTTAAGCACAATTTTATGCGCATATTCCCAACGCCTCACCCGCGGACACTATTCCATAACACACAAGGCTTGGGGGCACGAACCCCGGAGTGGTCCACGGGTTCAAAAGAAAGAAAATGCCGATTATGGCTGATTGGACAAAGCACCAGGGCCTATAGGCACCTGCATGGATACGGACACGAGCACCAATCAAGCCACGGTGGACTCACATATATGCCCCAGACATCTCGAATACGATGACTCTACTGTTACTGAGACAGGAATCCCGCTCGGCGATTGATTAAAATTCGCCGAATTCAGACCCCGAGGAAATTAAATCTCAAACCCTTGGAAGTTGTAAGGATTGGAGCTCGTATTTTTTTTTCTCACGCGGTTCGATTTTAAATTTATTATGTGGAGTACTGGTAACCCCTAGTTGTTAAATCCGAGGCAACTACCGAGGTGTATACTAATCAAGATTCCGACGGGTCAAACGGTTGGTTAAATTGATCTAAATTATCGGCATGATCTCCAAGCAAGACCGAGAGCTCTTTAGAACCGATTCCAACCGAATTAAAAGAGGGTGGAGACGGAAAAACTCTACCATCGGAGAAGAAGCCGAAGGAAAATGCCTCAATAGAAGAACCCTGAATGACCATGCGCCCTGTCGGGCTGGCGCACACCGGACGTCCGATAACTAAAAAAAAAGCCAATCTAACTCTTTTCACGGACATATAGAAATGTCCGTAGAATAGGGAAAAGCTAGTATTTATCTCCACCAAAGACCGTATGATATTTTGATTTGTTTTCTCTTATATTAAACTTGGAATGATGTATATGTAATTTGTAAGAAAAAAAGCCAAGCTTTTCGAACATTCTATCCCCCACCGCTTTCAGTCTGTGGTCACTGCGCATTTCATCATCATCTTTCCCCTCGACGATCTCTCTGCAGAAACGTACTACTCGAAACTGACTCCGCTTTTTTAATATTTTTTTTTTCTTTTACACCATTCGTGATTTCAATTTTTTTCTCTTACCTTTCTCTACCTTGGTTTTAGTCTTGTTCAAATGTTTCCGTAAGGAGGGCAATCAAGAAAAGTTGCGAAAAAAGCGATCGCCCAGCCCTCCTTACATGAATCACTACCTTCTCAACCTCAACAATTATGGCAGCCAACGCGGGCCCCCATTCTGGTGAGAATGAGGAGGACCCCGCTTTGGGTGATATCTATTCGCACGACGATGACATGTCCATTCAGGAAGCTTCCCCTGATCCCAAACTAAACCAGTCCTTGCCTATGCAGAAGAGGCGGCGAGTTGGACGCGCCTGTGATGAATGTCGTAGAAAGAAGATCAAATGTGATGGGAAACAGCCTTGCACCCACTGCACGGTCTATAGTTATGGTGCGATTCACCGAAATCCCATCTGGCCTTCGTACCACACGTGGCTAACATTCCACAGAATGCACGTATGACCAACCTTCTAACCGTCGCCGCAATCCTGCCCCGCAGTATGTTGAAGCCCTCGAGGCTCGTATGCATAAGGCCGAGGCCCTTCTTCGTTCTATTCTTCCGGACATCAATCTCGACGACCCCCAACTAGATGTACAAGCTACCGAGCAGCGCCTTGTCGCAGCACACAAGGCTAAGCAGGCGACCGGAGCGCAAGCGCCAAAGCCTACCCAAAAGCCAACTGAACCGAGCCCTGAGGGTGGAGATGAATCTTTACTAGAGACCATGGTCGATAACTCTGGCTGTTTAGATCGAGATGATCAGGGCCACTGGGATTATCATGGCCATACTTCAGGTATCATCTTTATTCGGCGACTGCGAAAGCAGTTAGGTGCTGCTGACCTGCCGATAATGAGACCCGGGGGTCTTACACATTCGCTTGAAAGCCCCAAATCTGCATCAGATTCACCTCAAGACTCGTCTCTACCGCCCACACATGATTTGCCGCCTCGGGCGGTCGCACGACGTTTGTGTCACAATGCGCTGGATGATGCCTGCAGCCTGATGCGCTTCGTGCATGAACCGTCGTTCTTTGCGAGTCTGGAAGATATCTACGATAAATCACCTGATCAATTCACCAATGAGGAGAACTCGTTTCTTCCACTTTTGTATATTGTGATGGCAGTCGGATGTCTTTTCTCAGATGATGGAGTTGGTACTTTGGATGTAGCTGGTTATGAAGGTGCGATCGGTCAAGGGTAAGTTGACAATTTTTTTTTGCTGTGAGTCGATATGGAAAAGAAAACCTAGGAAGCTAATTATGCCAAATTTCAGATTTCAATTCTTCAAAGCCGGGCGCCAGCTATTGGAGGTTACGGACTGCCGAGATTTGACTTCCTTACAAGCCATTTGCTTCATGGTTCTCTTCTTGCAATCTTCCGCCAAGCTTAGTACGTGCTATTCTTATGTAGGAATCGGTCTTCGCTCAGCTTTACGACTGGGCCTTCATCGAAATGTGGCAACGGATTTTAATCCAATCGAGCGAGAGCTACGGAAACGCATCTTTTGGGTTATTCGCAAGATGGATGTCTATGTCAGCACGCTACTGGGTCTTCCCCAGATGTTAAGCGAAGACGACATCGACCAAGAATACCCGTTGGAAATTGATGGAGATTTCATTACTGCGCAGGGCATCGCATCAATGCCCTCGGACTATACCCCGTTAATGGCTGGACCAAACGCGCATACCCGTCTTGCAACTATCCTTTTGAAGGTGGTTAAATACATATACCCGGTCAAGAATGCCCGATACCGTTCCAAATTCGATCAGAGGTACATGGTCAGCCACTCCAAGATCCGTGAGATTGAGCGGGATCTCCAAAACTGGATGGAGGAACTGCCTGCAGCTTTGCGCCCGGGTACAGAGGTCTCTCCACAGCTAGAAAGGTAACCGAGAAACCCATCCGCATGATCACTTACCTAGTCAAATTTAGCTAACTCCTCCTCTAGGATTCGTCAGTTACTGCGTATCAGCTATGCGCACGTGCAGATGGTGATGTATCGACCGTTCTTACACTACGTATCAGGAGGGTCCCAAGCGCGGGGCGTCGATAAGCGTTCTTATGCCTGTGCAGCAGCTTGCGTCAGCGTTTCCCGAAACATCGTTCACATTACGACAGGAATGCACAAACGGGGTCTTCTCAATGGATCCTTTTGGTTTACCATGTACACGACGTATTTTGCTATCCTGTCGTTGATTTTCTTCGTTGTCGAGAATCCCGACTCCCCCACCGCCAAAGATGGCGTTCTCAAAGACGCGATGGAGGGTAAAGCCACATTGGCCGGGTTAGCCAAGAAGAGTATGGCGGCTGACCGATGCTCTCAGAGCTTGACTGTATGTTTCATCCTTCTCGTTTTATCTGGTTCCCGGCTAATTCCATTCACCAGTGTTTGTTCAAGACTTTGCCCGAAATGCTGAAGAATCGCCAAGGTTCTAAAGTTCAGGTAAACCTGAAGCGACCTGCGCCCTTTAGTGTTTCGGAGCCAGAAAATATTCCAATGTCAGCATCGGACCAATTCTCTTTACCCCATCGTTCAACCACCTTCCCCACGCATATGATGCAACAGAACCAGGTTTTGGACACCTCGACTCGCCGCCAAAGAAGCTTGGACAATTCCCAAAGTAACCGTCCCACCGATAGCGGTACCCAGTCCACCTGGTTGGCCTCGACACCGGAATTCCTGACAGAGGCCATGGCCACTCCAGAGCCCATGTCGTCCAGCTCAATGAACCCTTCTCTCGCCAACCAAGAACAACCAAGTTTGGCCTGGTCGCAGCAGTTTACTAACCCCAGTAATCTGCCAGATCTCATGCCAATGATGTTCCCATCTGATGATCCTTTTGCGTACCCCACGCAACCTATGTCCACCTTAGAAGATGACCACTTCCGCCATGATCGCCCGGGCATGGCAAACAAGCACTTCGCATTTGATTCGAACTCACATACTGGAATAAACTCACCAATCGATCCCGGCGTAGCAACCCCTGGATTCGACTTCGCCAACATCTCCAACTTCGGGGCATCGACCGGAGTAAAGTCATCAGTGCCGAGCCGGCTACAACCAATGAGCTCCCCGCGTATCCACTCGCCAATCTCCAACACCCCAAGTGAGGCTCTGAGCAGCCCCGACCTCGTTTCCATCCCCAACCAAAATTTCGTGTGGCAAGGCTACAACTTCCAACCGACCAACATCCCAGCCGATCAAAATGTACAGCAGGAACAGACGACGGCCCCTACTAGTAATGGAGTTCCGGACTTCGCGATGGGTTTTGACGAGAACTCATTGGGAATGAAAATGGACCTGGGAATCTCTTTCGATGACTTGTTCGGGAATGATGCCCCCTACAGACCTGGCAACGGGGTATCCAATGATGACTGGACCCAGTGGATGAATGCTGGGGTCTGAACATGTACCTTGCACATTTATTCTACGACGATATGCACTTATGAAGGAAAGCAAAAAAGAAAATTTAGTTATACCTGGCTGGCGTTGCGTAGTTGGTATTGGCGTGTTCCTTTTACCAGTCTTTTTTCATGGAAATACAAAACTAAATCGTTGCCTATTAGTAATAGCAGTCAATGAATATCTGTAATGTCTTCAATATTCAACTATTTTCAGTCGAATTGATACTATTCAGATTTAGTCAACTGGTATGTACTGGCCCTGGAAATCGGTACGAAGGCTTCTCTTCGCGCGATGCCAGTTATATAGACAGTAAGGCAGATTCCATTAGTTAACACAAAATCTTCTGCGTCCACGAGTTATCACCAACATAATGACAAAGGTTAACTTAATAACCCATTCATTTTCATACACGTGGGTGGAGAAACATTAGGCTTCAACCTTCCGTGTATGGTACGATCGGACTGCCAGATAGAGACCCACATGAATGACTCCAACCTGAAGGGTCATTTCCCCATCATTTCAATCGATATGGCTCCTTTTACACCTACAACTACCTAGAAGGTATCACTCGGCCATCAGCTTTGTATCTGACACATATTGAATACGGACAATAACCCTCAACACTCAATTAGAGTCTTTCGCAAGCCGCAAGACTCCGCAAGGTCCAATCGCATGGCCTAAATCCTCGTCACACTTTGCCTCGTGCTTTACCTGCACATTCTTATTATTTAATCATTTGCATACTCCGTACTTGATCCCGACTCGGATCCGACAACGCCTCGATGGCGTCAATCCCGAACATATCAACCCTTTTCACGTGGGCGCTCTATTTCATCCCGATCTACATTTTCATTCTCGAACCGCTTCTCCGCCCCTTTGTTTCTCAATCCACGACCCCCTCCTCCGATTTTAATGATGTTAACGACATTTGGGCTACTTCGGATTCAGCTCCAGAATTGAACCTCGTGGATGATACCTTGCTCAGTCCGGAAGATGCCGTACCATTTAACTGTCCCGGCGAGCCCGCGGGCTACAAAGTGCATTTGCTTTCGCGCACACCACTTATCTTGTACCTGGAGAACTTTCTCGGTGACGAAGAAGCCGACCATTTAGTTGATATCAGGTAAGTTCGGTCTATTCAAGCATTTGGGTTCAAGTTATTTTAACGCATGTCAATCCTTCCAGTTTGAATAAATATACTCCCTCAATTATCTACGATGGCGTCACCCAAAAAGTCGATCCCTCAGAACGTCTCTCCGATCGCGCACTGCTCGAACGCGATGATACAGTCCGTTGTCTAGAAGACCGTGCGCGCGCCTTCCAGGGATGGCGACCTCACCTCTATATCGAGCGCATGTGGGCGCAACGCTACAATGTCTCGGGACACTACCGACACCACTACGATTGGACAGGCTCCTTAGCGCTGGGCGGGGACCGACTGAGTACATTCATGGTATACCTTGGCGCGGATTGTGAAGGTGGAGGGACGAATTTCCCACGATTGAAGATGCCACCCGGCAAGCAGTGGTGTCAGTTTTTGGAATGCGAGGATGAGGAAGACTCGAGCTCAGAGAAGGTGTATGAGAGTATTGATGGGGTGATTCCGAAGCACAAACCTGGGATCACATTCAAGCCTATCAAGGGGAATGCGATCTTTTGGGAGAATCTACGTCCGGATGGGTCGGGGTATGAGGAGACTTGGCATGCCTCGTACCCCGTTACTTCAGGGACGAAGGTCGGATTGAATATTTGGAGTTGGTATCAACCGCCGAAGCGAACGAGGAGAGGTTGATCGTACTGTAGGTATATCTTCCGGGCAACCCATAGATCTAGGAACAAGATGGGGCTTTTGCATTTAAGCTAAGCCGTACCCTTTCCTCCCGTGATTTATGTCTATGGAGGTATGTGGAATGCTTAAAAGCCCTCGTCCGTTACACTGGTGCAACTTGCACAGCCTCAGCAGCTGCTTATTTCAAAGTTCTATCACCAGGTGTGTCCCTCTTGTGCCAGTGTTTGTCTGACTGAGATGACAGTTGTATATAACGCTCATGGATTGTCAAATAAATATAAAAATAGATGAATACGGGCAATATGTACGGCCCCTTAACTATGACAACCTTGGAACACGGATCTCTCCGGGGTCCCCCCCCTTTCTCCATGTCACCCGTTCACCCATGGGGTAATTCTAGAAATACCAAAGCCAAGACAAGATACATCACTGGGGGCTAAATAGGCATCAAAGTTATTGGGGCCAGAAACATTTTCAAGAGTAGTGCCAAGTTTGAAGAGCGCCGAGACACCAAGACAGGTCCCCCTCGGAGCGGGATTTGGCAAAGAGGAAAAACCTTGGCTGCCAAGAATGCATCGCCATGGCTAAGGATGCTTGGCGAGGGGTACGGATTATGTTGGCCCCAAAAATCTCATTGCCACTTCATCCATATGAATTACATACATTGTCTTTCATTTCCAAGGTTCCTCCATGGTTGAGTTGGGGAGTATGGGAACACCACATGTGTTTCATTCGAGATGTCGGCATAAGCCTAATGTAGGTATTGATAGCCTGGAAATCCTGTGGTAAAAATTGGTATTTATCTTGACGCTTAACCTGATTGAGCATATCTCCGGCGCATTTGATAGGAGAACAAGAGTATATTACAATACCTGAATACTGGCAATACGCTAGCCGTGGACTAAACAACGCCTCCAGAAGCTTTCTCAAGGTTTGATCATATGTACTTGGGTTATTCTGTACAGAGAACTTTTGTTCGGAAACTAAAAAAAAGGACACGTGAAAATTTTGAGGACGAAAATGAGAATAGTATAGAACTCCTAGCTTGTCCACATTAAAATAATATGGTACTTACTCCGTATAAGAAAAACTCTCTTACATAAAAGTGTGTGTATGAGCACAGCCTAGACCCACTGAGTGGAATAATTTCTTGGCCCGGTCTTGTCCGTGTGTCCCTTTTTGGCTGTTGTCTTGTCCCTCCGCCCCGGTAAAAGGACTTTTCTGGGCAAAGTCTCGGCTTATTATTTCCCTGCGGAGTCTTCCCCCTTCTTCTTACTCTTCTTACTTTCCCCCCCCTCCACCTTTCTCTCTTATTCCCTCTTTCCCCCCTCCCCCCCTTTGGACGTGTCTTTTTTCTGATTCTAAAAATTACACGTTTTCACAATCATATCAAAAGATATCAGCGAATCACGAGTTTCCGGTATCGTCTAAACTTCACTGGTTTCTTTGTTTCTGGTGCTTTTTTGTGGTTCTTGTTGAGAACGCTGTGCCTAGCCATCCCGCGCTCACCTACCCATCCCGCGCTTGGCATCATGACGGAGAACAACATCCCAACTTCAACACCTCAAACGGTGGCTGCTTCAGCTCCGATTGATCAAAATCATGCTGTTCAAGTTACCTCAACTCCAACTGCCTCGGTGACGGCGACAGCCGCTGCCGCCACCGCCGCCATCAACAACTCAATGAACGCTGGCCAGCAGCTCCCCTGTCAATGGGTTGGCTGCACTGAGACAAGTCCTACTGCCGAAGCCCTCTATGTAAGCCAATTCATTCATGGTGTCGCATCGCATCGCATCATACTAATAACCTATCGCTTCCAAACAGGAACACGTCTGTGAGCGCCATGTCGGTCGCAAAAGCACCAACAACCTAAATCTGACGTGTCAATGGGGAACTTGCAACACCACAACAGTCAAGCGTGATCATATCACTTCTCATATCCGGGTTCATGTTCCCTTGAAGCCTCATAAGTGTGAGTTCTGTGGCAAGGCTTTCAAGCGCCCTCAAGATCTGAAGAAACACGTCAAGACTCACGCAGATGACTCTGAGATCCGGTCTCCTGAGCCTGGCCTGAAGCACCACCCGGATATGATGTTTCCCCAGAATCCCAAGGGCTACGCAGCTGCTACCCACTACTTCGAGGGTCCCATCAACGGCGTCTCCCAAGCCTACACTCATGGTCCCCCTCAGTACTACCAAACTCATGCACCGCCTCCCCCTCCGGCCAATCCTCCCACTTACGGGAATGTCTACTATGCACTCAGCCAGGGCCATGATGGAGGCCAGTCTTATGACCGGAAGCGCGGGTACGATGTTCTGAACGAATTCTTCGGAGACCTGAAGCGTCGACAGTTCGATCCTAACTCCTACGCGGCTGTTGGCCAACGTCTGCTGGGTCTTCAGGCCCTGCAGCTTCCTATTCTTAACGGCCCGGTTCCTGAGTATCAGCCCATGCCCGCTGGCGTAGCTGTTGGCGGCGGTGGTGGTGGTTACAGCCCTAGCGGCGCTCAGGCTCCTGCCTACCATTTACCTCCGATGTCGAATGTCCGCACCAAGAATGATCTCATTAACATTGATCAATTCTTGGAGCAGATGCAGAACACCATCTACGAGAGCGATGAGAATGTCGCTGCTGCCGGCGTCGCCCAGCCCGGCGCTCACTACGTGCAGCCTGGTATGCACTACCGAGCCACCAACTCTCCCCCCCTCCCAGCTTCCTCCAAGCCATGTGACTGCCACAGCCCCAGGCCCCATGATGTCCAACGCTGCTCACTCCCCATCCGTGGGCACTCCCGCCTTGACCCCTCCCTCTAGCGCCCAGTCTTACACTTCCAACCGTTCCCCGATCTCTATGCCTCTTCACCACCGTGTTTCTCCGCCACATGAGAGTGGCGCTAGCATGTACCCTCGCCTGCCATCCACTACCATGGCTGATAATATGACTGCTGGCTACCCGACTTCATCTGGCGCCGCCCCTCCTTCAACTCTCGGAGCTTATGACCACCACGATGACCGCCGTCGCTACACCGGAGGCACTTTGCAGCGTGCACGCCCTGCTGAGCGTGAACTAGAGGATGTCCAAATGGATACATCCCTTGATGGCAAGCAGGAAGGGGCACGCACACCCACCAACGAGCACCATGTCAACATTTCAGAGAGTTTGATTGACCCAGCTCTATCTGGACCTTCTCCCGACCACGAAGCTGCACAGCGTACTGCCCAGGCCGCGACCGAGGTTGCAGAGCGTGATGTAAATGTAGCTTGGGTTGAAAAGGTTCGCTTGCTAGAGAACTTGCGACGAATTGTTTCAGAGCTTTTGGAGGCTGGTCACTTTGATTCTGGCTCTGTTGGAGAGAGTCTTAGGTCCATTTCGTCCGTAGATGGTGCTATGGAGGGAATTGAGACGCAAAGTGCACATGGCTCCAGTGCTCATGCCTCTCCCGAATCGTCCCATGAAGACATTATTCTCAAGTCTGATCCCATTACCGAGTCTGTCTCATACCCAACCCTTCGTGGACTGGATGATGATGGAGATTCCAAGATGCCCGGTGATGAGTAGATGCTTCAGCATCATTCCCATTGCATTTAACGCTGTTATGACCATATCTGATTCAAGGTTTCTTTTCCGTCCATTGCCAGAATTTCTACCCATCTTGTCGTCCTTTCAAGGTTACTTTTTCCGTTTCAGTCAGGTTTCTTCCCCTTCAGGCTTCAGGGCTTTCTTATTCTTTTTCCCTTTGTTGAAAACCCCGACCTAAAAGTGGGTCATGTACGGAGTATTCCCCTCTTGTGGATTTTATTCTTACTTGTCGTTATTCTTACTATTCTATTGGTTACTATTGATATCTTTCCTTCTGGTTTCTTTTTTATTAAGCCTCTACCAGCATTAACTTCCACTGAGTAATTCTGGGGGTTAAGTTCTCCCCTGTAGCAATAAAACTACATACGCTTTGTTTATTTACTGCGACCCACTGTTGTTTGCGTCCGATGGACCCTCTTCCAAGATAAATAGTACTTTATGTAACTTAACATAAATAAGATCCATCTTCACGATAATGTTACATGGTGCACATGTGGTGAGGTTCTTGTTAAAAATCATAGAATCCTACTTGCGCCGGATTTAGTGATGTTCAACGCCTGATCGACATGTCAAAGCCCAAGAAGGAAAAGCAACATTCCAACGGGCGAAACTAAACTGCATCCGGGAGCAGTGACGCAAACGACCGGGGTGTTGTATAGATGGGACTATCTTCAGGTTTGATCAGGTCAGTAGACTTTTGAATGTTATGCTGAATGTTCTTTTATAATTGGTGTTAGTAGGGGGTATATGCATGTGTACCTGTGTTAGTAGATTTTATTGGCATCTAGGGTTCCGTTCAAATTATTCCTTGCATATGTGTATAGAGTACACTTTAACCCTAAGTGTATAGAATACCATTAAGAATGTCAAATGAATGATGACACTAATAGATCATATTCTGATATCCACTATATGAACCTGATTCTCTTGAATTTAAGGTAGGATCTCATAGATCTGACTGCACTCGGAAGCATCGTGGATCCCACGTTGAGCACGTAATAGAGATTGTAATGGTATTACTAAATAAATTACTTGATCCACCCCCATTTCAGGGCCCTGTCCCCCACTATCCCGTTCGTATCATACAATGTTGTGACCAAAAAGCCTCCATCTGTTTACGGCCAAACGCACTAGAATTTGTTTCTTCTATGATTTTTTTGTCTTCTTTATTTGTTTCTTATTTCGTCTTTCTCTTTTCTTCTTCTGTTCTTCTTCCTCTTCCTCCTCCTCTTCCTTTTTTTTTATATTCTCCGGTTACTCTTTATAAAAGAAGAAAAAACACAGAATACATCACACGCTCCCCACGCGACAAGGCGGTCACCCCAAACAGACGCCATCGCGCGTCGATTGTAGGGATTATCGATAATCAAAACCTCCAGCCACACAGGTTCCCACTTCTTGAAACCTCTATTTGTTGGTGCGCTTCGTTGGGGGGAAAATTGTCTGATCATATTTGATTATTGTTCAACTACTTCAGCATTCCTTTCTTTTTTATTCCGGTGGCAAAATCCGCCTCAATCGACTGGTTCTTGGTTCTCATTCTCTGGTTCTACCTCTCTCCGAAACTGGGGCGACCGCTCAAATCCGGATCCAGAGTTGATCTGTTGTGTTTTTTTCTTCATCTTATACTGGGGAGAATTTTGTCTCTCTTGTTCTTTCAAATCCCTTATCCTGGTGCCCCGCGCTGCAAATATTTTGCAGAGTATTCAACTTCAACGGCTACATTGCCCACATTCTTGAAAAATCCGAATCCTGAAACCTGTGCGGCCACTATCTCCGGTTATTTTGACGCAGATCTTCTTGATCATAAAAACTCCGGATTCTTTGGTCTAAAGCAAAAGAAAGATATGCCGCTCTCCAATCGTCGGCGTGCGCGCCGAAAGGAACAGCAGTTGCAGGAAACCTCCGATGCTGAGGCACCAGACTCGTCGCCTAGTCGCCCATCTGCAAAGAAGCGCAAGGTAAGTCTGACAGTGGCGAGATGGCTGGTCCGAGACCAAATTTTCTTGGACAAATCAAGAAATACAGAAAGAAGAAAAAGCAAAGTGAGGAGCATCCCGACTGACTCAGATTACTTACTTCAGGTTGAACGTCGCACCTCACCTACTCGGACTATTATCAAAGCGGCACCAGAATCCGACGATGACGAGGAGTCAGCCGGCGAACATGATCAGTCAACACATCAAGATACGGTGGATTTGGTGATTTCATACCTCAATATCCCGCGCGAAGAACTGCGCGTCACGCGCGACCACTCGAACAGCAAGACCGAGAACGAACAGAGTATCCAAGCATATGCGAAAATCGCCGGCCGCGACTGGACCTATTACGTCAAGTCGCTCCATGTCAACATCGGTCGCGAACCAGACCGCGAGCAGCGCTCCGTTGAGCAGTCCAGTCCGGTGACCATTGCCGCCCGATCGCTTCCAGATGTCGATGTGGATTTAGGTCCGAGCAAGTTTGTTTCTCGACTGCATGCAGAAATCTTCTATGATGGGACACAGGCACCAGCCTGGCACATCCGTGTGAACGGGCGCAATGGAGTTCGTCTGAACAACACAATTATCAAGCGAGGTGTCGATGCGATTCTGTCTTGTGGAGATATTATTGAGATCGCCAATTCTCAGATGATGTTTGTCACTCCCGGTGACGTCCCTAATATCCACCCTAGCTTTGTTGAGCGCGCTCAGCGCATCGCCAATGGTCAAGAGCCGGACCCAACTTCCGTGGCTTGGGATGCGTCGCACCATGCTCACCCACAAGCCTCGCAAGCTACAGAGTCGGCGCGGCCTTCTTCCTCTGGTGGTCCCTCGTTGGCGCCAGCTCCGAGCTTCTTGAAGCGCACTGTCACGCCGCCTCCTCGATCGCCGGATACTACAGTTGGCGCGCGCACGGCGAAGCAGTCTCCGCTTTACAACCGGGGTATGATGATGGAAAGCACAGAGGAAATCGACTATAGCCAAGATTCATCCAAGGATCTGAAGCCGCCTTATAGCTACGCCACATTGATTGCGCAGGCCATTTTCTCTAGTGAGGAGGAGAAACTTACTCTGAACAGTATTTACAACTGGATCATGGACCGCTATGCTTTCTATCGACACTCGCAGAGCGGTTGGCAAAACTCAATTCGACACAACCTTTCTCTGAACAAGGCTTTCCAGAAGGTGCCCCGTCGCACTGATGAACCGGGCAAGGGAATGAAGTGGCAGATTGCTGTGGAGTATCGTGAGGAATACCGCAAGAAACAGATGCGAAAGGGAAATCAGTCTTCAGCTCCATCATCTCCGGCAACCAAGGAGCCGCCATCTTCGGTGACTCGTGATCGCCATGTCGCCTCGATCAATACATCCTTTCCCGTGACCTCTAAGAAATCACCACCAGTCTCTTCCCCGGGCTTCAGTTCGTTTCCCGTTGCACCCGTAGAGGCCTTTACCCCAGAGCGTGGCTCGCGCGCTGGTCGCGGCGTTGGCTCCGACCACCCACTTCGACATATGAACCCGCGCACATACGAGGAACCATCTCCGCTCCCAGCCCGTACCCGCAACAGTGCCAGTTCCACCCAGGCACAGAATGGCAGTAGCAACAATCTCAGCCACGCCTACGGACTATCGGATAATGTTGCCGGGTCCCCACCAGTGCTTTCCTCCTCTTATTACGACGATGGCCCTTCATCAATGATTACCCCCGCTCCTCAACGCCAACAGCCCCGTCTGCCACCTCCCAGCACAGCTCAGATCCCATCAAAGTTTATGCCCATGAGCTCCCCGGCCCAGTTCTGGAAATTTGCCGATATTGGCAGTACCCCGGCGCGCCCGGTGCCAGATTTGAGTCCAATTAAGGGTGAGCCTGATGAGCGGATTATCGGCGGTTTCCCGAGTAGTAGTCCGCCACCGCCGAACTTGGTTAGCCCTAGCAAACCGGGAACCTCCAACGGTCTTCCTTCCAGCAGGACTTTACCTCCGCTACAATCTGATGGCGGGGATATCGGTCCGAGCAGCTCGCGAAAGGAGGAAGAGGAGGAGGAAGAAGATGGTGGTGGCTTTGACCTTGCTCGGTAAGTTTTCCATTTTAAATCCATCGTCGTCATCTTCAATTAAATACTAATTTGTCTTATAGTGGTTTCCAACCCATTGGCTCGTACCATCGACAGCTGAGCAATGCTGCTCGTGCGACAGCTACCTAGGCGTGCTTTTTTGCCGTCTTTTTCTCATGATGTACAACATGTTGACCTAGATTGAATGCCTCTTGTTTTTGAAATGCTTCCAATGTTGTTTTATTTTATTTTTTTCCGTGTCTGGTGGTTCTTTTCTCGTTCCGCATACACCGGTGTTGGTGGAACCTGGGAATTGATCGGTTTTGTATCTTTTATACGTGTTACTTCTTTTTCTTGATGTCAAGGAGTGAAGAATCGGTGTTTTGGCTTTATTTGAATGGTTAGGAGTTTGATTCATTTCGGTTTGGGACTGTTACTGCTTATCTTGTTTATGCCATTCAAGCCTCGGTGGCTCTGTATGTACGGGGCCCGCACTCCATCAACGTATGTATCCATACAATGTGAAAAAAAAAGCTCAAAAGACGATGCAAGTCTCCAAAAAACAGTAGACAAGAAACTGGATATGTCCACGTAGTACAATTTCAACATAAGATGCAGAGTTGTGTATCTTATTCCACCGGCATGATGGGCCAAAATCTCTCCTCCAACCAAACAACTTGCCTCCAACACTCCAAGCATCTCCCACGCATCAACTCTCCCTCCTCGACCCCCTTAATCTCAGTCGACATCAGATCCAAAACCTCTCCAATCCGATTCACGAAGCCTTCAAACTCCTCACTCGACCAATTAGGGATAAACTTCTCCTTCAATGCTCCGCCATCTGCGTCCTCCTTCCCCTTGTCATCACCAGCCCTCGCCTTCAAAAACGCAGCCGCATATTTCCAAGACCGCAGGTAACAAACCTCGGTAGCCCAAAGCACCGCCAGTCCCTCAATAACAGGAACGCCCGCACTTCCCGCCGACATGAACAAATCAATATACGCACGTGTAATCCTAGTCGCGGAGAAATAAACCGGACCACCACGTTCCAACGGCTCAGCAGACGCAAGATTTCCCCCAGATCCAGGTTGAATACAGGGTTCACAATCCGTGACGATCTTCTTACGAAGACCGGCAGTTTCAAGTGGAGGGGAACAAATTTCACTACCAGCTTGCATTTGACATTCACCCTGCGCATTACAGAGTCGATGGAGAACACTTTTATCGGAATTCAAATCTCCCTGTAAATCCGACACAGGAGGGTCTTGGTGACAGGTTGATCCTGTATATCCAGGACAAGAAGTCGAGCCCGTAGTCGAGATCCTAGCAGATGTGGTAATGATACTTCCATGATCATTACTAGCTAGTGCGGATCCACCTTCATCGGCACTGATAGCAGCAAGGTCGAGACCGTATTCTGCGGCTGTGGACTCGAAGAAGCGTAGCTCGGTACGGATGTTTACCAGGGCGTCAATTAGGACGTCTACGGCTTGGTGCTCGGGTGAAAAGGCGAGGTGAGTTTGTGGGTTTGCGGCGCGGGAGTCCAGACGGATTTTGGCGAGGAGTTGGCCGATGAATCGGATGTAGGATTGAGCATAAAGTCGGTCTTGCGAGAGCCATTGGGAGAGAATGCTTTTTGGCAGGGTGCCTTGGCCGGCTGCGGCAAGGAAGGGGTGGGTTGTTGCACGCTTCAAGGATTGAGGGGTGCTTTGGAGGAGCCAAGTTGTTAAGGGGCCTTGGGTTGTCATTTTGGCAATGGATCAACAGGTTTTAGGCTTTTTGGGGGGTTTGCAACGAGTGGTCTTAAGAAGAGATTGCACTTTCTCGGATCTTTAAGTTTTGGAGGGGCTAATTAATGGGGATGGAGCTGGAGTGGGGCTGATGTGGTTATGGCGTCAGATCCAGCCCTAACTTAGGCTTATCGTAGATAGTCTGTCTATGCGATACCTGGGGGTTATAATCTGATAGAAACTTGGGGCATAACAATTTTCATTCTTTTTTGGTTTTTATCTTTTTTGGTCAATCGTTGGAACTAGTGTACATTTCAGGGGAATCCAGGAACCCAGAAACTCAGGGACCTAAATCCCATAACGCGGTCAATCCACAACTTCCATCTCACTCTCTTGCTTCTCACCAGCGGCCTCCATTGCGATCCGAACAAGTGCATGCATGGTGTATCGAGCATCATTGCCTGCATTGTGAAGCCACTCTGAATGGAGTTCATTCAGCTCGCCCAAAAGGCGCGCCATTCCGTGGTGCACGTCGATGTTGCGTAGAGCGCGGAACAAGTATGCAACGTCGAGACGATCGTTAAACATAGCCCCCTCCGGCTGAGAGAAGTACACACTTCCAGTTCGTCGCAAAATTTGAAGGTCATGGTCCATGGCCAGACCCACCAGAATCAGATTGCGACCTGCGCCATGCGAACTCAAGTAATGGTCGATAGTCACACCCATGTGGTCATGATCAATCAGATAGCTTTGGCCCCACTCGAACTTGTCCGGGCATCCCAGGCAGAATTCCTGATTGATATGGGATTCATGCTCGGAGACCCGGAGATGGTATGAACGAATTCTCTTCTTCCAGTTCTCGCCATAATCACCGGGCGGCAGGTTGACGAGGTCGTGGGTATCCAGGATAGAGATACCAACTTCTGTCAGTGCCCATGACGATCGTTCCATCCACTCACAGTCAATGCTAACGAAAACAGGATTGTTGTGAAAATCCCATTCAGGAGCCATAAGGACGTTCACAGGAGCCAAGACGGATTGCTGGTCTCCATTCGGAGAAGATTCGGAAGCAGGAGGAGGGCGCAGACCAAGACAGCTTAGCAGCCAGTTTAGCTGGCTGGTCCATTTGGCCATCTTAGCCATCTTAGCTCGACGCTTTGAATTCCACCTCGCTTTTTTGCAGTTCATTGTTGGCAGGATGACATTTTTCAGGTACTGTGTGAACGCTCTAAATATCAGGGAATTGTTGTCCTTTGCAAGGTCATCCCATTCTGCGAAGTTCTCCATGCGTTGGATATTTCCCTGAAGAAATTTTTTCTCCTCTGCGTCATTGGATCTTCCCAGGTAAAGCGGCTTTGGAATTGGAAGATTGACAAAGTCAAGTACCAGTCGATCCTGCTTCATCCCATCGAGAGTTAGCTTCAGGGAAACCACAGCGTTGATGTGAGAGAGCATGTTCTCAGCCTGAGACTGCGGCACGAGGATAAGTGATTGATGAGCTTGTCTCTCAGGGAGGGGCAGATAAAACCTGGGGGTGAAATAGGTAATATGTTAGTGGAGTCTGTCATGTCTATATGCTTATAACGCGACTTACAGATCCCAACTCCGGTTCCAGATATCCTTGAAGAAGTGTTCGATAATGTAGTCTTGTTGAGAAGCATTGCTGATGTACTTCTGAGGGAACTTAGCGAAAATGTGTGCAGGGACGAAGGACAATACATTCTCGATTTCTGTTTCCAAAAGTGCACTGGAGGCCATTGGTGGCTGTATGACGGGGTTATCGGAGATTCTTGGCACAGAACCAACAACGCGACTCCGGACATAAGAAACAGGGTAGAGAGCACGAGTATCATGAACCCGGAGTTTACCGTCAAGTTGCGGAAAAATAGAGCCACTTACTGTGGGGGCAGAGGAATCATGAGGTTCAGCAACTGGCGTCTCATGTTGTGCCTCGGCATCAACAACATCCTCCAGCTCCCTACCAACGATGGCAAGGCGCATTTCCAAATCGTAGTTATCAGTCATTTTGAATTTCGCTGACACGCAGTGACACGTGGTTGGATTTGAGGATCACGTTAATATTAGTGTCGGGAGAACACCGTGAGAGAACGGGAGCGCTCTCCCGTGAGAGAAGACGGCGGCAGGAACGTGTTCGTAGTGACCCGTGGACGTGTTGGTGGTGACGAGAAGATAGCAGGAACGTGTTGGTAGGAACGTAACTTTACGTGTGCGTAGTAACGCGTTTGTCAACTGAGGGGACGAGGACGTGACAAGCGAGCGGGTTGAGGGGCTCTTAATCTGCTCTCATAGGTATTGGAGTGAATTTTTCAGATAGATTTTCAATCCATCAACAATTTTCAGTGAAAGTCTCTAGGCAGCCTTTGTAAATTGTGATATCGTAGCCTGGAGATGACAGTCAACACCGGGACTCAAGAACTGGGATTTAATTTTGATTGATTCAATATCTATGAATACTACATAGTAGATCTTCCAAGTCCTTTTCATCCAGATGTCAGTATTATTATGGGCATCATCGTACTACTAGTAGTAGTATCAAGCTCTCAAGTGCTCGAGTCACCGCCAAGGGGACTTCAAGTTCCAACATTTGAAGGTTGGACACCTGGGCACTGGCAAGAGTACTAGTACTACCTAGGTAGTACCTAGTATATAATGGATATTCTGGAAGACCTGAGTACTAGTAGTACTGTAGTACTATGATGTATGTATATATCTCCGAGTCCGAGTCTTAAATTTTTCGAAATTCTACACACTCATTAATCCCCCAAGTTGGAACTTGGAATAACATAAAATTCAAATGTTTAAACTAGGATCAATTTGAAAAACATCTTCAATGAAATAAATATGTAAAGTAATAATGTTCAACTTGAAGAGATACTGTGACCCCAATAAATGTATATAGCGGGTCTTTGATATTGGAGATGGCCCAGCCCCATGACTAAGCAACAAACACCTGAGGCTCCAGGAACCCCATTGTTTAGCACTCGCAGCCTAGAGCTGATACTGGCTGACCTCTTATGAAACCGATATCGCGCACCTAATCATTGGACTGACCTCATTTAAAAGTATCATCGTCCTGGTCGACTCTTATTGTGTTTCAAATACGCTCCTCCTTATTCTTGTGGTTACCAAACGCGTCCTTTGACCGGCAAGGATGCCGATGACCGATGAAACCGATCACAGCGGCGGGGTCATTCTCGATGGCCCCTTCGATCCTGACGCGCAGGCGACCGTAACTGATTTCATCGACTATACGGAATACCTCCCAGCCGATCTTATCCGTTCCCTCACCCTTATCCGTGGTCTTGACGACCGCTATCTCGACTCCGCGCAAGACATCCATGAGCTCACCAAGACCTACGGACAACTTCCTGAACTCGCATCCGATGAGCGCCCCAGCGCGATTGCCCTTCGCCGCGATATCTCACACCAGCTGGATCGCGCGATTAATTCCCGGGAATCTGCCTACGCAGAGGCTTGCCGCATCTATGATGTTGTGGATCGCCACTTTGATCGCTTGAGCTGCATTCGCCAGAAACTGGAGACCCTACCGAGACCCCCTTCTATTGAGCCATCGCCTCCACCTGAGTCTAATGCGAAGCGTTCGCGCAAGGACAAGAAATCGGGTGCACCCACGCCGCGTATCACCTTGCGCCTGGATGGCAAACCCGGAAGTTCGCAGAAGTCCAGATCTCGACGCGCCGGTGTCGCAGACCACCTAGTCGGCTTTAACCCGGACTCTCCGATTGCCAGCACCGAGCAGTCAGATGCCGAGGCTGATCTTGACATAGTTGCACCCAAGCCTGCTAAACCCTCAAAGAAGGAGAAACATGCCCGACGACCTAGCTCGGGTACCCAAGCTTTGACAAGTGCTGCGCTTGCTCTGTTAAAGCCCCCGCCTCCAGACGCGAAAATTGGTAGCGAGGATTTGCCATGGCTGCGACTGACCGAGTGGGAGATGACTAGGCTGCGGAAGAAGATGAAGAAGAATGCAGTCTGGCAGCCAAGCGAAGTGATGATCCATCGTGAACTATCCCTCTCTGGTCGTGGCTGGGAGGCCTACCGCGCTGCCAAGGCTCTGGCTGAAGAGGCTGGAGATGATTTGATTGATTGTGACAATATTGAGCTGACCCACCGAGGCGAGAAGCCAAAGGAATTGGATCAGACAAAGCTAAGCAACCGAGGCATGAAGTTGAATGAGGCTAAGAAGCTAAAGCGAGAGTTGCTCGCACGAGAAGCGGCAGCTAATGGAGAGATAGATTTGACTGTGAAGCTTCCAGCTGTTCAAGAGACACCTGTTAGCCGATCATCACGTAAAAGAAAGCGGGAGGTCGCCGAAGATGATATTGAGGAATTCCTGTTTGATCCGACATCTGCGCCGGTGCCTCCTGTACTGGCACCCCCTGTACTGGCACAAGCAACATCAAAATCACGTCGACGATCCAGTCGAGGAACAGGTCCCAATGGCCTAGGGGATGCGCCCCTCCCTGTTCCCACGATTTCGACCAAAGTAGCCCCCCAAAACAAAGATCTCGCCTCCATTACCTTCTCCCAATGGTTCAAAACGCTCCACACGATCTGTTGCCCAGCCTACCAACACACCTACCCCACCTGTGACGCGACCTTCATCTCGACGCTCTGCGGCCGCAGCGGCCGAGCTTGGCGGCTTGGCTAGTGGTGCCTCCATAAATGCAGCTGGTGCACGAGACCTGCGTATCAAGAGCGCTACGCCGGCCCGTAAGACTCCAATTCGGGAGACTTCTCACGCACCCAGTGTTCCAGGCCCAGCTCGTCGACGAAAGCGTCCCGCACCTGGTCCTGTTTCCTCTGGTCAGGATGGTGGTGCCGCTGTGAGCTATGGCCGTCGTAAGGCCAAGCCAGGAAAGAAGCGTCTTAGCATTCTGGACGATGTTCGTGTTGACGAAGACGGGGTTGTTGAGAAGATTGATGCAAATGAACCGCGATACTGTCTCTGTGGAGACGTGAGCTTTGGAACGATGATCTGCTGTGAGAATCAAGATGTGAGTTATGTCCTTCGTTTTTGGTTCTTTTGAGCCTTGCTAATAATTATCATTTCAGTGCGATCGCGAATGGTTCCACCTCGACTGTGTTGGCCTGTCTGAGGTCCCTTCGCGTACAGCTAAATGGTACTGCCCTGAGTGTCGCGTGAAGTTGAGTAAGGGCATTGATGGGATCGTCAAAGGCGGGTCTCGGCGATAAAGGCTTTCTATTTTTTATTTTTTTTCCAACTGAGATTCTTGCATGATACCACGAGATGTTGCTTCTAAGGGATTCTTTTTTTGTTTCTGCAGGGATGGCGTCAGGTTGATTTCGGAGTTCCGCATTATGTCGTTCAGCTCCTTTTGATTCTTAGCTAGTAAATCTACTTCTAGCGGTATCTGCTAATACCCCACAGCTTTTTCTATATTGTCCACTCATTCTTAAAAAAGACGATTTTATGCACATGTAACAATTTCATTCATCATATAAACAGAACTATACAGTTTATCATAGTCTATTTACTTAAGCTCCCACTTATCACCCTCTGAAACAATCTCAATGGGGCGACGCTCATCCAAAGACCGACGACCAGCATCGAGGATAGCTGTGGTGGCAATTGTGTTCTTCAAAGTAGGGAGAGGACGAGCATCCAGCTGGTCAAGTGTCACACGACCCTCATTGAGGGCTGTGACAGCATCAATAAACTTCTCAAAGCTGACATAGCCGTATCCGGTCTGGCCACCAAAGTTACCCTCCTCATCAGGGGCATAGCGCATGTAGAATCTAAACAGAACGTATGAGTAAAATCCAAAGAAACAACACTGCTATTCAACTTACGGGTTCACCCAGATTAGGCCCTGCTCATCAGTAGTAACATCGTAACTACGCTTCGCCTGGTTTACACGAATCTCACCATTGGCGGCCATATCTGTAAAAATCAGTAAACATGATCTCTCGCGAGGTCAGAAGGAAATGACTTACAGTGGAAGTACTGATTAGAGTGAACACCCGCATTCTGAGGAGCCGTCCAGCTAGCAGTGTAGACACCCGTCGCAATTTTGGCAGGGTTATCGCGACGACGCCACTCAACCAGCAAGGTAATTGTATCCTCTGTCTCAGGAACACATCCGAGGGCCGCAGCTGTACCCTGTGAGGCGGTAGCGGTTACACGAACAGGCTTGTAATCCGGAACCATGCTCTCGTTGATATCGATATGGTGCGAGTTGAGATAGTACGAGATATCGGACTCGCGACCCGCCCACGCCTTGAAAGTCTCAAGCTGGCTCTTAGGCTGACTCATGTAGCTGTAGAAGTAGTTAAAGTCGCCGAGGGTACGGGCCTTTGCGCGTGCGTCGGAGTATGCGGGGTCGAAGCGTTTGTGGTGCTCGATGAAAACGAAGACGCCGTTTTTGCGGGCTGCTTCCACAAGGGCGAGGTGGTCTTCTAGGCGTTGGGTTGCGGGCTTGGTGATCATGACGTGAATGCCGCGCTCGATGGCGTACAGCGCAATTGGAAAGTGGGTTGGGTCGGGAGTGAAGATGGTGATGGCGGAGCCCTTGGGGAGGGCGTCAATAGCCGTCTTGTAGGCGTCTGGGTCGGTTTGGTCGTCTGCTGGGAAGGAGGCGAAGGATGTGTCGAGGCCATTGTAGACTTGGCAGATGTTCTTGTGCAGATGATCACCTTAAGATAGTCAGAATTGGCTCATAGGCTGTGTTGGGTAATGGCTGTTTTTACGTACGGATTCCTGGGAACTTCTTGCCCGATACGCCGACCATGCTCAGTTCGCTGACCTTGCCTCGTCGGCGCAGATCGAAGAGAGACAATCCGACGACACCGACCTTCTTATCTGATCCGGATGCACCACCGCCGACGAAGCCGGTGGTGTACTCGCCAGTACCGACCTGGATTCTGGTTAGCTGAAGCTAGATTGCGACAGGCGGATCATTCTTACCATCAAAACGCTAGGAGGGGCCATGGTGGGTTGTGTGGAATAGAGGGATGTGAGAAATCAGTGATTGAGGAGTAGAAAAGTGGAATTGGCTCAAGAGAAAGAGAAAAGGCAGGGATCTTGTGTCGATGGAGCTGGACATAATTCTTCCGGCGTTTGAAAAACGTCAATAGCCGATGTCATCGCGGGGCACGGCACTTGCTGTTTTACTATATAGCTACACTTGGATTTCCTAAATGGATAATTTTGAAGCTGTAAATCGCATCAGAGTGAATCAATTGATTTGATATCGATCTACTTTTTTTCTATCTATTTATTCTCTTCGATGTAATTGATATGTAGTATAGATGTCAAGTACTTGAGTGCATCAACCCCTCCCCCACATTTACCTAACTCTATCATGATTGGTGGAATTTGATTCTCCGCCATTCAGAGTATTTGCCGACGTGGGGGACATTTTAGTATATTTGAAGATGATATGGATTAAATATCTAAACTTGAAGGTACCTATGGTGGGAAAGAAATTTAATGTAGCTCGACAAGAGAAAAAGAAAAAAAGAAAACCAGCCGGGTCAGGGATCGAACCCAGGAGCTTCAAAATCAGAAATGCGTGAATAGCCTCAACAGCCTCACTTGATACATTCATCTCCATCACAGAATCCTTTCTATCTCGCTCAATTGTTTTTATTTCGAAGATCTGAAAGGTGCAATAGAAAGAGAAAAGCTAGAATTATAATGGGTAAAAGAAATGAAAAAAGTCATTATCCCTAGCCGTAGCTAGATGCCCTCCCACCCGCAGGTATTTTCTCTGCCACTGAAACTAGGCCCGGCATACCTAATTTCAGTACCTTTGTCCCCGTTGAGTCTGGGTCGCCGACCGCCACAAGCCGCTAGGCCAAGCAGGGCAGAGATGTTACTGGGGGAGCCTTTAACTGAAATTTATGGGAGCTCTGGTTCCTTGAATGTTTACTATTTACTGCCAGTGTAATCCTTGCATTTAGATATCAAAAAAACCTCCCCCTTCAAGTTCTAAATAATCAATCCATTCCAAAGGATTTTGATATGAGTACTTCCACCTTAAGGTGCTATTCATGGTTACCTATACTACTCCGTATCCTTGTACCTACTATACAGCCCTGGAGTATAGGTACCTACCTCCCAAGAATTATATACTCTTTGGCCTCTGGATTTTAAATCTATTGATCAATCCTAAATTCTATCATTTGAATTGAAACTACCCGCACAGCCAAAAATTTTATTGATGGAGAATTCTAGTTGAATATACGAGCCATAAGTGACTCTTATCGTCCCGAGGTTTCTGATGGAGTCAAATACTATACATACCACGCCCCACGGCTCCAAAATAACCACACCACCCCACGTTCAACAAGCCCAATTTACTCAAGTCGGGATAATTGAGTTTTTCTCGGGCGAGAAGGACCTCTGATTCTTGGATCTGGCGGTGGAGCCTGGGGAACTAATGCCGAGATAGGTGGCACATGATAGTGACATGATGGAGCAAAACTATATGCCGCACTCTAGATACTCAGTTGAAAAATTTCGTCTCGAGTGCTTCCTTGGCTCATTGATATAGCTCCTCCTCTCCCATTTCTAACTCGAACTCATCCAAATTATCACCCTCTACTCTACACGTTTCTCTCTGATCCCATCTCTACTACTCCACATTTCTTTCACTTAAATCATCTGAGTCATTCTGACAAAATGCCGTACCCTGAAGAAGCTGAGGGTTTCCAAGTTGATGGTCCTGATACCTACACTCACTTCCACAAGCGATTCGTGAGTTACCTACTCCAATGCACCCTGTAACTGACCATATAGCTGACCATCTCACTATGACAGTTCAAGCTGAAGCCATTCGGTGACTACGGTGAGCTGTTAAATGATCTATCCTACAAAAATCTCCATCTAACTCAGGACAGACGTTGACATCAAAATCGAGGCATGTGGTGTATGCGGCAGTGACGTCCACACCATCAGCGGTATGTCCCACTTCGCGATTTACACCTTACAGACCCACTAACTCAAATATCAGGTGGATGGGGAGATCAGAAATTCCCTCTCTGCGTGGGACACGGTATGTCTTCCAGATCGAGAATCCCATTTCTAGAACCACGAAACTAACCATATCTAGAAATCATCGGCCGCGCTATTCGAGTCGGACCAAAAGTCACGCTCATCAAAGAAGGCCAACGCGTCGGCGTAGGCGCACAGTCCTACTCTTGCGGCGAATGCAAGCAATGTCGAAACGACAACGAAACATACTGTCCCGTACAGATGATGGATACGTACGGCTCTGTGTGGCCTGAAACCGGTATCACCAGTCAGGGTGGATATTCCTCTCACGTACGAATTCACGAGCACTGGGTGTTTCCTATCCCGGATGCACTTCCAACAAACACCGTAGCTCCCATGCTCTGTGCTGGACTGACGGCGTACTCGCCGTTAGTACGGAATGGTGCGGGACCGGGCAAAAAGGTAGGTATTGTGGGACTGGGAGGAATTGGTCATTTCGGAATTATGTTTGCCAAGGCACTCGGAGCGGAGGTTTGGGCTATTTCGCGATCGAGAGCGAAGGAGGCTGATGCAAGGGAACTTGGCGCGGATGGGTACATTGCTACCGCTGAAGATGGATGGGAGATTCCGCATCGGTTCTCGTTTGATTTGATTATCAACTGTGCGAATTCGTCGGAGGGGTTTGATCTTGCGAGATACCTTTCTATGATGGATGTTCATGGGCGTTGGATTAGTGTTGGATTGCCAGAGGAAGAGGGTCAGGTTATTAAGGCGCAGAATTTGATTGGGAATGGAGTGCTGATTGGGGCTAGCCATTTGGGTAGCAGGAAGGAAATGTTGAATATGCTTCAGTTGGCGGCGGAGAAGGGACTTCAAGGTTGGGTTGAGGAGATTGCGATTGGTGAGGAGGGTTTGAAGGAGGCTATGCTGTGGATGAAGAAGGGGGATGTTCGTTATCGGTTTACTTTGACTGGCTACGATAAAGTCTTTAGATAGTTGGAAGAGAGGCGTTAAGAAGCTATGGAGACTCGGAGGGACATAGAACCGCGGATACCTTTAATAACAGAACAGACTTGAAGCCTTCAATATTCAATTCAATTCATCTTAGATATATGAGCACACATATGACACCAGAAGTAAGATTTATTATTATACAGAAAGTGGAGATAGGACCCTCATTTTCGAGTCATTTCGTTAGCTCAGAAATCAGGTGCAGGTGCGGTTCAGCTTAAGAAATGGATGCTCCGCCAGATCGCCTGCCGTTTTTGTAAATTGAGAATGCCATACAAGCATTCCTCTAGCAAGATCCAGAAACAATTCCTTCTCTTCTCCCTCAAGGAAGGGAACCGCATCATCTAGCTTCCGGTCAGGAATCAGATGCTCGTGAAGCGAACGAGTTAGAATATTTCATGAGCCTGATGAGAACTTAATCAAGAGAAGGGGGCCCAGCCATACCATTACTATCAAAGAACGGCCCGCAGAAAACCTCTTCCGCAGTCTCGCATACTGTGCCATCTTCTCGTGTGACAGGGTGTGGCCAAGGGTACTCTCGCATGACATGATACCTTTTTCTGATCTCGGGAGGAGGGTTTCCAAGTAAGGCTATCATTTCAGCAATGTGCAGTTTAGGATCGTAGCGACCTTCTTGATCATAAAAATGCTGAAAGAGCTCCTTGCCTGCTATCATATCCCACATCTACTCAGATATTAGTGGATGCAATCATATCGGGGGAGTGACACTCACCAGAACACCAAAATTCCAAATATCCGCTTCCATTTGCCATCTATTGCCCAGTATCACCTCTGGTGCCCGATAAGGATCTGGCTGAATAGGCCAGACACCCCAGTCGTCGTTTTCTGGGAGTCTGGTCGCCAGGCCAAAATCCACGAGCTTTGGTATGCTTTGAAGCCCTTTGAGAGGTCCAAAATCACTACGGGATTGATAGACTGATCGTCCTGTTAAATCAGTCTTTTTCAAGTTCAAGATCCATGAAATCAGAAAGCGCGGCTGAATCTTCGAATGAGACCATCATGTTGTCAAATTTGAGATCTAACGGTCTGGGATCAGTATGATACAAATATAATCACTGGCAGGCTGGGTATATAATTACCCATATGAGCTTTTCTACATTCTTTGTGTAGATAGTCCAGCCCTGTAAGAAGAGTACGAATGTAGGTTTTAGCGAGGGGCAATGGCATTTTTCTATCGTCAAAGCGGCGCTGATACATCGACAATGTCTCTCTCATTGGTGGATACACAAGACATGAATAAGAACCTTCCTTTTATTGGATTTCAAATGTGTCTATAAATGTTCGCATAAGTGAGCGACCGCGATGTGATGGGTCTGCTGTAGAAATGTGCTCTTCAACATCGCGCTCATGACCAGTAAGATTTGCATTTTTATTGGCGATTTTTATTGTCACAATATTCTCTGGCTCTTCGATATGCCTACTTCTTTGTTAGAAACAGGTGTAGCATCGAATTGAATTCAAGTTATTCAAAGGCTACACTTGCAAGTCACGCGCCAGCCATACTGTTGAGGATACGCCCCAGCCAACCTTGATCAGGGTTTGGTAGCGATCGGCGAGAACCTCTCCTGGCTTCACTGGATAGAAGTGCTTGGAATTGTATACGGGCGAGATCTCTTCATCAATGAGTATGTCGGGCGGTAAATGTGGGCCAGGAGAAGGGATGGGGAACGGTTTCTTGCGAAGTAAAGCGGAGATCCGGGGAATTGACCCCCTGAAAGAATTCATCGGAGTGCCCGTAACACAAGGAGTATAATATCAATAGTTGTCGAGGAAGATTCAGGGGCCTGAAACCTCAGGTGCTGTGCCAGTAATAGTTAACGTTAATAGTTAGTTAGTTAACAGAGACACCTCCAGGGCTGATACGTAACATGCATCGTGGACTAACCCCAAACATTCCCCATAGTGGATCCGGGCCGAACAGGATCGACGGGTATACCGGCATGGATTCATGGAAAAAGATTTTGTTCCACCTTAATTCAGTCAAGTTCAGTCAAACCCTACTTTTCCCGATTCTAAGCAAAGTTGTTACTAACCTTGGATCAGGTCGCCACCCTAAAACCCAATGGGTCAGACTGAACGGATGTACTCTGTACTTGGGCTATAAGGCATAATTAGTGGATTAGCTTAGTTGCGGTACTCCAAGTTTTTGCCCCCATGATTTGCCCCCCAGATCCTTACAGTAAGAAAGAAAAAAAAATCTATTCAGGTGCAGGTAGTGAAGTAAGTAGAGAGTACAATGACGTTGTAAGGGCTTAGAATATAAGCGGGAGGTAACTCATACATACTTGATACTTAAGAGTTAAACCCAATCAATCCATCCCGATTCACCGCCCGACTCTCAGACCCCCAGTTGTAGGGCCCTTAATTCTGGAATTTCCCTACCTCCTTTCTCCTTGCGCCCTTTTTCTTTTACATTCATTCTCTTCGTCTTTCTTTTTAGTCGTTCCTGGGGGCTCCATTGTTGAACAGTCTTTCTTATCATTTCATTATTTCATTTGCCCCTACGCCTCAAAACCCCCCTCCATATATTGCATTTCGACATACAAGTACTATACAACTAGACTGGGATTGGGGAAAAAGTTACAGTCGTTTTTTGAACCATATAATATACAGGAGATCGAGATCGATCGTGGTCTTTAACGCCAGGATCATTCCTTGTTGATTCGCCTTTTTCACTATTCGCGCGACAACGGAAGCCATGTCGCCACGAGATACCACCTTTACCTCAACCTCCACGAGGCGACGACCCTCAGTATCGCTTCGTCCACGAGCCCGAACCGCGGTGCAATCCATTCCCCTTCCCAAAGATTTCACATTCGATCAGTGGAGAGAGACCTCCCCGGCGGAGGCGTATTGTGATCAGGATGCCTCGGCTGTCGAGGAGATTGAGCCTTTTCAACAGGCAGTGCCTCGACGCCGTGCGGCCAAGAGCTTTTCAAGCTTGCGTCATCCAGTGGATGGGTTAGTGGCTCTGGGCCGCCGGCTTTCCGTCACACTACGCAGCAAGTCCTCCAAGCACAACATGCGTGTGTCCGGGGAGGAGGAGAATGATGATGGTCGCCACTATAAGGTCTCGGGTCATGCCGGCCACAAGCGCAATGCTGCGTCTGGTAATTGGGATGTGCGTCCCCAGGCATGGACTATGGCCTGCAGTGTCAACCGCCGTCCCTCTCTCCACAGTGTCTCCGCACTCCACGATTTCTATGCGCCAACCGCGGCAGTTCCGGCTCCAATTCCGGGTCATGGGTCGGAACCACCTATCATCCCAAATGATAAGTTCTTCGGTGCAGCTGCTCGTGCTGCAGCGGCTGCGCAGAATGAACAGATGGATCTGGCTAGACAGTTGGCTCGAATCGAGCGGGAGAAGGCTCTCGATATGAGAGTGACGCAGGATACTGAGAGTGGGATTGGCATTGACTTGCGCGATCCCTCGGACTCAGACACTCAGTTGGGTGTCATGCGTATTGGTAAGACATGTGAAATCGATTTTATCCCAACAGAAGATGTATAGCTAACTGATTGTTAGATCCTGCTACTTACTTGCCTTCCGAGATCATGACTCACATTCTTTCCTACTTGGACCCTGCATCTTTGTTGAATTCTGAACTGGTGTCAAATATTTGGCATCACCACGCATCATCACCCCATGTCTGGAAGCCTGTGTTTCGTGGTGCCTACCCCCGCCGTCCGGCAAATTCCACTGCGACCAAGAAGAAGCAGCCGGCTGGGCTGGGTAAGAATAGGCCTAACCAGGACTGGAAGCGGATGTTTCTGGTTAAGAGAGCTCTTGAACAGCGCTGGAAGGAGGGCAAGGCTGCCGCGATTTACTTGCACGGGCACAAGGATAGTGTATACTGTGCACAGTTTGATGAGTAAGGTTCTTGTTACCTTTTAAATCTGGTGACTTGTTGCTAATGACTTATTTTCAGAAATAAAATTATAACCGGATCTCGCGATCGTACAATTCGTATTTGGGATGCTCATTACCCTTGGCCTTGCCTCAAGGTCATCGGTCCTCCTCCTGACGAGGTCCCTGGAATCGGACAAGTGAACAATCCATCGCAGCAAGCAACTGGAAAGTCTCCCTTTCTAACCATCTGCCCTCCATCGACTCCCCTGGAGGGTATTGTTACACCGATGGAGAAGTCGCTGGATTACCACAGTGCCTCGATCCTTTGCCTCCGTTTCGACGAAGAGATTATGGTCACTGGGTCTTCAGATTATACCTGCATCGTGTGGGATATTAAGAATGACTATAAGCCAATTCGCCGTCTCTCTGGTCATCGCGCCGGTGTACTGGATGTCTGTTTTGATGACCGTTACATCATCTCCTGCTCCAAGGACTGTACCATCTGCGTGTGGGACCGGAATACCGGCGAACTCCTGAAGACGCTTGTGGGCCACCGCGGGCCGGTGAATGCAGTGCAACTGCGGGGTGATCTCGTGGTCTCGGCCAGTGGCGATGGCGTGGTTAAGTTGTGGAACGTCACATCCGGTCACTGTGTTCGGGAGTTCCCTAGCAAAGATCGGGGTCTAGCCTGTGTTGAGTTCAGCGATGATGGTCGGACCATCTTGACTGGTGGTAATGACAAGACTATTTATCAGTTTGATGCCAACACAGGCGAGCTGGTCAATGCCCTTCAGGGGCACACTGGTCTGATTCGATCACTACACTTGGACAGCATGGGAAAGCGTATTGTCAGTGGCAGTTACGACATGAGTGTCAAGGTGTTCGATGCCGACTCTGGTGAACTCTCCATTGATCTGCCAGGGTGGACTACTAGCTGGATGCTCAATGTCCAATCGGACTATCGACGAATTGTGGCCACAAGTCAAGACTCTCGAGCTGTGATCATGGATTTTGGCTACGGACTTGACGGTATTGAACTATTGGAAGAGTGATTCCAAGTATAAATTTCTTATAATTTCTTGTTTGTTTCTCATGAGCGTGTTTATTTCGTTTCAACATTGAACTTATGTTGGCTCAAATTGGTTGGCATTACATTATGGATGGAACTGGAGTTGGATATTGAAAATACAGTCTTTTGGGGGCCTGGGATACTTGGGACTAAGAATTGGGGCATAGATTCACATTCGCTAGAGTTTAAAATTGGCAATGGAGTAAATATTGGGATCGACGATACGATCTTTGGATTCATCTCACGTCCTCCTTTTTTCTCAGGTTTATAATATCGTAAAATTAAGATGAATCTGACATTCTGCTATGTAATGTCAAGGTCCCCTATACTTACTTTGATGTGGTTCATTGCTCATGTGTGCACAGTTCATGTCGTTGTGGACTGAAAATTCAGGCATAAGGCTAGGATGACGTAAGACCACTGTGATTGGCTGGAAGAATGACTAGCGCCGTCATGATCCGTGGATTTTGGCATCAAAACAATCCCGTCGTTGTTTTGCATCAACACAGACAGGCAAACCCCGGCAAAGGACTCTTGATCCTGCAGATTGATCTCCCTGATCCGCGCTTTCTTTAGCTTCCCATTTCCCTTTTTCTCTATCCCTTTTAATCTTGCAATTCCAACTACAACTATTATTACCCCACCATGGGTGAATCCAGGTCCGTGTTCCTTCCCCCCTATCGACGATCATCTCCAGTCTGGCATCCATTCAGTGGACTAACTAGTCTCAATATAGACAAGAGCTCCTGGCTTGGTTGAACAACCTCCTCCAGTTGAACATCACCAAGATTGAGCAATGCGGAACCGGGTATGATGGATCGACAACCTCCCCCCTCCTCGACGACACGCGCAGGACGATGGACGATAAGAATACAAGGCTGACGCGTGATGTGAACGGTTTCATATAGTGCTGCACTATGCCAGATCTTTGACTCGATATTCAGTGAGTTGAATCCCAGCCGCAAGATTCATCGACTGGCGGTCAAGCGCGAAGCCCTGAACGGAAGAAAAAAAAAGTTGGCGTATACTAATGCGGGGATTTTTTTTCTCTAGTGGATGTGCCCATGTCCCGGGTCAAGTTCAACGTCAACACTGAATATGCCTACCTGCAAAACTTCAAGGTTCTCCAGAGTACGTGCCTACGACTTCCTCAGCCCGGTCTCAGCCTCATCAACGAATCCCTCTACTAACGTGTCTCATTTTCATCCAGACGTCTTCGGCCGCCACGCTGTAGACAAGCCTATTCCCGTCCAGTCCCTTACCAAATGCCGCATGCAGGATAACTTGGAATTCCTTCAGTGGACCAAGCGTTACTGGGACCAGCACTACCCCGGAGGTGATTACGATGCCGTTAGCCGACGAAAGGCCTCTGGTGGCCCAGCTAGTGCTCCGGCTGCCGCGGGCTCCCGCGCTCCCTCAGCGGGCTCACGACGCGGTGTCACCCCGACCACGGCTGGTGTCCGTCCCCGGGTTGCTACTGCAGGCGGTGCTCCCACTGCAGCTCTGCAGCAGGAGATTGCGACCCAGAAGGAGGCGATTGCGGGATTGGAGAAGGAGCGTGACTTTTACTTTGCGAAGCTTCGTGATATTGAACTGCTGCTTCAAAGTGCCATCGAGGCTGACCCCGAGCTGGAGAAGGAGGAGGATACTTTGGTGACGCGCATTCAGGGCATTCTTTACTCTACTGAGGTACGTTCCAAGTCTGGGCATGATTGCTTACTTCCGGGTATACTTCCATGCTTCCATACTTCCATATTTGCCCCTTTGCCCCGCCTATCACCCCCTCCCCCCTTGATATGAGGCTCTAAGATCTAACATTTTCTTTCTTTGTAGGATGGATTTGAGATCCCTGCTGAGGCTGAGGAGGGTGCGGCCGAAGAGTTGGAGACATTCTAAGCGGTCACTAGCATTGGGCCAATATGGAGAGCAAGCGTCCCATTTTACTAAATACCCCCCCTTCACTGTGGTTCAAGTTGATTCTCTTTTAAGTAGATAGCGGAATGTACCAGTGATTTGAGAATAAGGATTGATAATATTCATAAGTCTTCTTCATGATACGGCGTGGACTGAAGGTTTCACAGTATAAAGCCCTGTAGTAAAGGAGAGTACGGGTTACTCTGTATGAGTGCAGTATATTGCTCCTTGCTTACTTACAGGGATCATGTGATATTAATAAATCACTAATTAAACCTGCGTGGTAGACTAAACTAAATTAGGTATAGTTAAAGTGACAGTGGCTGGCCAGAACCCTCGATAATCTCCACTAACTCTCTCTTCATTGGTTAATGTCTCTTCTGTACCTGCGTCCTTTTTTCGAATCATTTATTCTCCTCACTGCAAGAGACAAATTTTAACAGGTTTCTTTTACTCAAAACAAATAAACAAATGTTTAGGAAAGTCATTGCATAATTTTGACAGTTCTTCAACCATGTTCACAATTGTGCAATCCTAAAATCACAGAGGAAATTGACACAAAGACCACTCGGCCCCGTCGGGTTAGTTCGTCATCCACGCGGGTCGGGACTTAGTGTCGATAGGGGAGAAGTGTTTGGGTCTGGCCGTTCCACTCATTTCGCCTTTTCCCTCTTTTTCTTTCTTTTCCCCCACCCAAGTCATACTCAACAGAGTAGCTGCTTGAGCAGTTCAGGGGATTAAAAAGGCTTGAACAATCAAGCTCAAGTCTTACAAACACCTAGTGCGTCTCTTGTCATCGCGTCTGACCTGTATCACTCCGGGGGAGACGGTGAGACTACTAACTTCGCCTTTTCTGATTTTTGAAGGGAGAAGATATTTTGGAATATTCAATATGGACTAGGACGCGCGGTCTATCCTTCATTTTTTGTATTCATTTTTTGTCCCTACACTCTTTTTTTGATTACGGTACGTGGAGACAGTGAAATATCCATGAATAGGGTTGAATAACCTCATGATATCCATAAACAACACGATGATCACCATGAAAAACATTCAATACTGACAACATAATCACTTCTAGGCTATTCAATGCCATTCACTCATTACTGAAATCTGATCATCGTTGGTGGTAGATTCACTCCCCTCCAGCATCCGCTCATTACTCCTTTCGATCCAATTCTGTTTCTCGTTTTGGCATTTTTGGAATTCTTGGACAATATTGATCCTGAACTTTTGTCAAAACTCACGGGCAAGACCCTACTACTTGATCAATTCGCTCTCTCAAAAAAGAAAGTTATCATTCTATTCGTTCTTGTGCTGGTCGATCCAGCCATAAACCTCTGTGAGGATTTACGAGAAGACATTTGTTTATCCTCTTTCTCTGCACAAATACCAACAAAATGGCTCGCCATGGACATCGCCATTCTAGGGTTGACAGGATGATTAGTGCGAAGCATCATATGGAAGCAATTCAAGATGATGAAGAACTGGGTGAGAACTCAGCGGACATATCGGCACCCAATATCCACACAGTGGGCACAATTCAAAATCCTCTCTCACCACCGGACTCCCTTTCATCTGATGATTTGTGTAGTCCATCATCAAAAATCACTTGTCTGAAGGATCTGACTGATATCACGGAAGATCTACTTGCTAGACGGCAAGCAGAGACTACTTCAGCCTCAGCCGCGCCAGTGCAAACGGTAGTCCAGGTTGTTGATACTGATTCCCAGACTTTATGGCAATCATCGGGAACAGAATTCCCCATGACAGTGTCAAACTCAGCTTTTGGCGAAATCACATTCTCAGGAAGCTCTGTTTCCACCCTGACAAACTCCACTATGGCAACTCCAACGGCTAGTTTGACTTCAACCCCATCCAACAACTCGACTTCCACGCAGTCTACAGCTACCAGCAAACAGCGTATTCCTGCTTCCTCCCCTCGCGTGTTTCCTGTCACTGGCGCGCAAGCTTCTTCGACCCCTCTGATTTCAGTTGCAAGTACAACTACTACATCATCCACCACTAGTTCTCTTCCTCCGAATGACTACTACTATCCTTCATCTACCTCAACTACTTTTACCTTTACTTTTACTGGCGCGCCTACCAGCTCTTCCATCGACTCGTACTGGTCAAGTACTATCCAGTCATCTTCATCATCCACGAATGTGTACGGTGGCGCAGCGCAAACAGGCACCAGTTCTAGCTCTGGAAATGGAGATGGTTCGGGCTCATCCACAAACTCCGGGTCCTCGGGCTCAGGGTCATCCATCAGCCCAACTACATCTAAGATTGTCGGTGGTGTTGTGGGTAGTGTCGCGGGTCTTGCACTTCTTGTTTTCTGTGTACTCTACTTCCTCCGTCGCAAAGGATATCTTCAAAACTTTATGAAGGGTAAGGGCACACAGACCCTTCCGTCGAGTGATATGGGAGCTGCCGGTAGTATGGAGACCGCTGAACGAGACGGACACTCGAATCCTTTCAACGCAGCTTATCTTGCTCCTGCATTCATGAAACGCTGGCGTCAGTCGACGATGACAACCGCAACTGAAAGCACCATCGACTCCGGGTCAAGTGAACGCGGATTTCAGAAGATCTCTGGTCGCAAAATCCCTCCCGTTCTCACTCACGGAGGAGATGGCTACGGCGGTGGATTAGGTGGTGATTCTCCTACTATTCCGGACTGTCTGATTGGCATATCACCTACATCCCCAACCGGAGGACCATTATCATCTCTTACCACCCACGGTCCCCCTCCAACCTCCCCATTCGGCTCTCCGTTAGATGCAACCTACACTCGAGAGGCGGAAGAGACCCTTGCACCGCTACGACCTTCAAGGGTCCATCTCCCGGTGTCCAGTTCAGTTAACTTTGGCATTGCCACCACGGTCACCCCATCCCACCCTATTGCACAGCCACAAAGTGCAATCCCTCTTCCCCGGCCAGATGCGCTGGGCAGGAGTCACCTGGATGGCAGTCGAGGGAGCCGTTTCACGGAGAGTCTGTGATCTGCGATCCGGGATTCTGTTATTGTTACCTTCGGGCTATGGGATACGCGACATGAACAAAAATCAGTCGATAGGACATCGGGGGCTCAGAGTCCCCGTATTCTTCGACCAAGCCGGAAGGCCACGACCTATTGCTAGCGATGTGATTTGAGTTCTGTGATTCTTACTTGTCACTTGACCTCATTTCACTTTCTTCTTACCTTTTTTGATTCTGCCTCCATTTCTCATTGCATTCTTCCTGTCTTTGAATATCTTGTTATTGTTATTATTTTTCACCCCCTACTGTTAATTTACATAGATACCCACTCCTTGATCCTCTTACTATTTTTTTCTAGTTGATAGCTTATTTTCATTTTATGCTCACTCTATTTCCATTTCCTCTCCTCATTTTTCTCTCGCTGCCGGTGCTTCTGAATATTTTGAATGTTAATTTGGTTATGAACCTTGGTTAATACTGCTAATGTGTAGATAGATCCAGGAGAATTGAAAATATGAATTGTCTGACCCAAGTGCCAAAGGTTCAATACATTCAGCACTTGAGTGTCTTGGAATGTGTCCTGCTTGAAATAGGAGCCTAGAAGGGGGCTGTGAAGTATACGAATGTCTCGAAACTGCCTTGAGTCTGATCATCTCTCAAGTATAGCCTCTTGCCACGCTTTAATTAAGTACTGGCATAGCCCTCTTTGGCCACTGCCTATCACCTGAAAATGTGTTTACCTGGGTGTGTGAATGTTTTAAATACTTCTATAGGCATCAAGCCTTGGAATGAGCTGAAGGCAATACATCAGGTACCCGCACCGCCACAAGGTTAATTTGCCATGTGTCTAAGCCACTTATGACATTATACTACTGTGGCGTAGACGTCTTATATCCAATTAGATTGTCTTATTAATTTCTTATCTGCGATGAACATAATGTACTTGTGTACATAACTTGCCCCACACGTGATCCACTCTGATTTTTCACTCATCATCACAAGCTTACACAAAGCTTACGCCTATTGATCTATGTCAGGTTCATGTCAGATTGTATTGACTGGAGCATCCCTGTCCATTGAGGCGCATTTTACGATTATGGACTCATGCAGATCTCGGAGTTAACTTGAGATACCGTGACGGGTTACATCTTAGCAGCACTCTAAAGATCCCCCTTGCAACCACTAAGTGTATTAGCTTGGCTAGTACGGAGTAGATAGTATGCCTTCAATCTTCTCTTACCCCTCCCACGAATCTTTAGTCTCGCTTATTAAATATCTCAAATTGATATCCCGAAACTTGTAGCGGTCAGCCCAGACCAGACCCTCTTCAATCCCAACTTTAACCGCTATGACGCTCTCAACCGTGACTTCATGAAATTGCCGCCTCCTTGCTCCAGATGATCCCAACCTGAAACTCTCCCCAAAAAATGCCAGTATATGTGCCTGTGACTTGATGAATGCCATTTATCTGACGCATAGACTTCGAGCGGGGTCTATCAATCATGTTCGTTCCGTTCCATCATTGGTTTAGGGATTGAGGCGCAGCAACCCAGTCTCTCCACTTCCGTGGAGGCCGGCGCCAACCCAACTCTGTCATGCTGCACTCGTATTGGACCATCATCGGGACTGAATACTTCCACAATATCTGAGTCTGGACGGCCTCGTCAGGCCCGGCGCCACGGGATCGCAAAATGCAGAAGCAAGCTAGAGTTTTGAGAAGTTCCCAGCTCGGCGCCTATCTTCTTCAGCAGAATAGCTTGCATTGTAGATCTACTGTACCCATTTCGTGGGCTGTGTTTGTTGAATGACTTCTGGCAATGAATGATCAAATCGCCCCTTCGCCCCTCGCTCGCACTTAGCTCTTTGTCACTTCAAGTCCTGTTTACGAGATCGCTAGACTGAGGAATCCTTGGACTGCCTAGTGAGAGTCTTAGAGGCTCAGCCTCCCGGGTGATAGGCTTTTTCCTCGTCTCCTCTTTCATACCTCCCGCTTTTCTCTCTTGTTGATAAAAGTTGTGGATCACAAAATCCACTCATTCACCTTGGCATCTGCTTCAAGGTTAACCCTTAGCGAGCTCTCCACGTCCTGTCCATGTTCGGTTCTATCTGTTCTGGGCGGTCTAGGCATAATACTACTACACAGCCACCTTACCAAGCCTGAGAAGATAATCGGAGGTTGGAGGGTATCATAACAGGATCATCAATCCCGGGATTCGAAACGAACTTTTTTTTTTCTCAAACATAACTGAGGAACCGTTTCATTAAACTTGCATAATTGCAGGGCGCCCAGTTACAGACCATGTCTCCTCCAAATGATAACTCGGCACATCAAGGCGCATTCCTGAGCCCAATTGTGGTAACCAGTACATCGGGCAGAGAGGTACGTTTCTCGACCTATTCAAAATCCGAAACCTGTTCGGCGGCAAGCAAGAAACTATACTAACATTTATCTCTTCTCCATGATTCAGCGCTCGCTATCTATCTCATCAGCAACTGCATCTTCATCATGGTCCAGTCCAACAGATCTAAACCATAGCCCATCTTCTTCTCTATCCCCAGATATGGCTTGGAACCTAGACCCAACCCGTTTAGGTGTTCACCATATGTCACATAGACCATCCCAGTCTATCGATGGAGAGACTCTGCGTCCTCGCTCGGATTCCTTTGCTTCAAATACGGATACAGCAGTCCGGTCTCGAGCAAACTCCGATGTCCACTCATCAACCCTCCACTCAACCTTACAATATGATGATGTCCCATTGTCTGAGGCACTATCACCAGATCCTCGTGATAAAGCAGATTTCGATGTCCTCGATAACCGCTTTGCGTTCTCGCCTGGTCAACTGAATAAATTACAAAATCCAAAGTCCCTAGCTGCGTTTCATGCTCTAGGTGGCTTACAAGGCCTTGAACGCGGTTTACGAACTGACCTCCAAGCTGGATTATCTGTTGATGAGGGTCGACTTGCTGGCACTGTTACTTTCCAGCAAGTAACCCCTCCTCTACCTAGACGGCTTTCAACGGCTAAGCCACCGCTTGAAGAGTTAGAGGAATCTAGTACAACACAGCTACCTGTCCCGGTATCTACTGGTGAAGGTACGCAATTTGAAGATCGGTTTCGAGTCTTCGGGCAGAATAAACTACCCGCGAGGAAATCCACAGGGTTCTTGAAACTGTTCTGGATTGCGTATAATGATAAAATTATTATTCTGTTGACTATTGCGGCTATTGTGTCTTTGTCTTTGGGTATCTATGAGACAGTCGATGATGGCACAGGTGTGGAGTGGGTGGAAGGTGTTGCTATCTGTGTGGCTATTTTGATTGTTACAGTTGTCACCGCTGTGAATGACTGGCAAAAGGAACGACAGTTTACTAAGTTGAATAAACGGGTAAATATACTTACAACCTTATGAGTTTCGTCTGCTAACATTTGTGTTAGAATAATGATCGTAAGGTCAAAGTCATTCGCTCGGGCAAGTCTATGATGATATCTGTCTACGATATTACTGTCGGTGATGTCCTTCACCTAGAACCCGGTGACTCCATTCCTGCCGATGGAATTCTAATCTCAGGACATGGTATCAAATGTGATGAATCATCTGCTACTGGCGAGTCAGACCAGATGAAGAAGACAGATGGACATGAAGTCTGGCAGCAGATCATTGAAGGAAGAGCTACTAAGAAGCTTGATCCTTTCATGATCTCTGGAAGTAAGGTTCTTGAGGGTGTTGGCACCTACCTGGTTACCAGTGTTGGCCCATACTCCACCTACGGTCGAATCATGCTCTCTTTACAGACTTCAAATGACCAGACTCCGCTTCAAGTGAAGCTTGGTCGATTGGCTGACTGGATTGGATATTTGGGTTCAGCGTAAGTTTATAAATCCTGTTATGAAGGTCAAGTTTTACTAATGATGTATAGTGCTGCGATAATTCTTTTTCTTATCTTGTTATTCCGCTTCATCGCCGACCTTCCGAACAATACGGGAAACTCTGCTGCAAAGGGCAAGGAATTTGTGGATATTCTAATTGTCGCCGTAACAGTCATTGTGGTCGCTATTCCGGGTAAGTAGTGCTCTCTGAACACGTTCTTCTCAATCTTGAACTCGAGACTAACATCTACTTAAGAGGGTCTTCCACTGGCCGTGACACTTGCTTTGGCATTTGCTACTACTCGAATGGTCAAGGAGAATAACCTCGTGCGTGTTCTTCGAGCCTGTGAGACTATGGGAAATGCCACTGTAATTTGTTCCGATAAAACGGGAACTTTGACGCAAAACAAAATGACAGTGGTTGCTGGCACTTGGAGCTCAACTGAAAAATTCAGCCAACCCACTGAGATCGAAAATGAGACCACTGGTAATAACCCATTGAGTATCTCGGAACTATTTCAGAAGTTCTCCACCTCGATGCGAGATCTCATTATAAAAAGTGTTGCTTTAAACTCTACCGCTTTTGAAGAGGAAAAAGATGGTCAAAAGGAGTTCGTGGGAAGTAAAACCGAAGTTGCCCTTCTCCAAATGGCTCGTGACTATTTAGGTATGGATCTCGCTTCCGAGCGTGGATCTGCGGAAATTGTTCAGTTGATTCCATTTGATTCTGCTCGGAAATGTATGGGTGTGGTTTACCGTCATCCGTCCGTGGGCTACCGTTTACTTGTTAAAGGTGCCTCCGAGTTGATGGTCCACGCTTGTACTACTCAGATCACCGATCTTGACGTGTGCAAGGAATCACTCTACACGGAATTTATTTCCAATGATCAGAGAGAATCTATCTTGGCGGCTATTGATCAATATGCCAAAGGATCACTTCGAACGATTGGAATTGTTTACAAGGATTTTGCATCTTGGCCTCCTACCAAGACTAAGAGACTAGAAGATAATCCCTCTTCTGCGGACTTTGACGATGTATTCCACGATATGACTTGGGTTGGTGTTGTGGGAATTAAAGACCCTCTCCGTCCTGAAGTCCCAGCTGCTATTCGCAAGTGTCATTCCGCTGGAGTCCAAGTCAAGATGGTGACAGGAGACAACGTCGCCACAGCTACAGCCATCGCAATATCCTGTGGTATTAAAACCGAAGATGGTCTTGTTATGGAAGGCCCCAAGTTCCGTCAATTATCCGACGGAGAAATGGATCAGGTCGTTCCCCGTCTTCAAGTCCTGGCACGTTCTTCACCCGAAGATAAGCGTATTCTAGTTGAAAGACTCAAGGCACTCGGTGAAACCGTTGCTGTCACTGGTGATGGTACCAACGATGGACCAGCTCTGCGAACTGCAGATGTTGGATTCTCCATGGGTATTGCCGGGACAGAGGTTGCCAAGGAGGCTAGCTCGATTATTCTTCTAGACGATAACTTCCGGTCCATTGTTACGGCTATTTCCTGGGGACGAGCTGTTAATGATGCTGTGGCGAAGTTCCTGCAATTTCAGATTACGGTCAACATCACTGCTGTGGCCTTGACTTTTGTGTCATCTGTGTATAGCAGCTCAAACACTAGTGTTTTGACTGCGGTTCAGCTTCTCTGGGTTAACCTCATCATGGATACTTTTGCAGCTTTGGCTCTGTGAGTATAATTTTCTTTTTACTATAGGAATATTCTCGCTAATTTGAAACAGTGCCACGGATGCTCCGACAGAGAAGATCTTGGATAGAAAACCAGTCCCGAAGAGCGCCTCTCTCTTTACTCTAACAATGTGGAAAATGATTCTGGGCCAAGCAATCTACCAACTAGCCATTACATTTATGCTCTATTTCGCTGGTGATAAGCTTCTAAGCGCACACCTCGTGACAGACGACCCCGATCACCGCGCAAAGCAACTTTCAACAGTGGTCTTCAACACATTCGTATGGATGCAGATCTTCAACGAATTCAACAACCGTCGCCTGGATAATAAGTTTAATATCTTTGAAGGCATGTTCAAAAACTATTGGTTCCTCGGTATCAACGCCATCATGATCGGTGGACAAATCATGATCGTATACATTGGAGGCGAGGCCTTTGGTGTAACCCGGCTCAGTGGCATTCTCTGGGCAGTTTGTCTGATCTGTGCACTTGGATGCTTACCATGGGCTGTTGTTCTACGTCTTATTCCTGATCGTCATTTTGGAACCGTGTTCCATGCGATTGTTGGAGCCTTCGCTTTTATTTTGAAGCCTTTCGTGAAGCTTTGGAACGTCTTTGTTCGCGGTGTAAAAGTTTACTTCCAGCCTGTTGTCCGATTTACTCAGAGAGCCTTCTCAAAAAGGAATACTGAGTCGGATGAGTCTCCTGAGGTTCCCTTGGATGCTCCGACTACAGACGAGGAAAATGTCCCTACAAAATCCGTTTCTCAGGATATCCCTGAGCGTCCTCGCACCCCGCCGGCGATTGTGGTGCCTCCTATTACAGTTACTATTTCCCCTTGAACAGGGGGTTTTGTAAATGATATACGATACACGATACACGGTGGATGTTTGATATTTAAATGTTTTTGTTGGTTTTTTCTTATGTTGCACATGTGCTATTTTGATAGCGTTCTAGCGACTGTTTTATTATTTTGCTATATGTACATTTTGTATGATACCACAATATATGAACACTCAGCTCTTTAAGTTCGATCCGTCGCTTCAATTCTCTTCAAATTTTGCAAGATGACCTCGGGAGAGTTCGAATCTTTCAAGGTTACAGGCTCGGGGATACCCGAATAGGAAAGAAGACCGCGATCCAACAATCCTGACACTTTTATAGTAACTATAGGTCTGCTATATGCACTTGTGCCCAATTAAATGGCCGGGAAGTGAAATTAGATCAATATTTCGATAGTTCAACTTGTGGACGTGAAATCGTGTCATGCCACCTCCGAGTCGTGATCAAATTTCCCATATCTCTTATCGAATCCTGTGATATACTGGTATATCACTCTCTACCCCAGATGTTCGTAGCTTCACGTGGGTCTAGAATTACCCTTCCCATTACTATGAGACATCGATGTGGTCCGTAATCTCCGGGGAGGCTTTCAACTATGAATGTCTATGGCTCATATTGTCCGAGTCTTGTATAAGAGACCCACTGTCGCACTAGTGACCAGTTCAAGCTTAACTGCATAGATCGAACTCCGTGTACTCCGATATTCTTGAATCCTCCAATATTCTATTGTATAATCTTCCAATGTTACCATCTTTCGAGTATTTCATTCCTCTCTGGGTAATATTAAGACAAATGACGTAAACAAGACATTGTTCGTGTTTGAATGCTATTCTTATCACTCTCAATTGCTTAGCACACCTAATATCTCTGAAGAATCAGATCAGAGACCATGGTTCAAAATCTCATTGGTCTTTTCAAACCAACAGTTGGGTCTATTAATGGTCTATTAATAAAAGGGGGGGGGTTCTATTGACTCGATCAGGCCTCCGGAGTCGATTAATAGCGTATCGCTTCGCCCCCACTCACAGCCCGTCAACAAAGCGGCTGGAAGCGCCAAGCCCAAGTCAAAGGATCGTACTAAATGACTAAAGCTGCGTCACCCCTCTCCTGAGAAACGTGGAGCTTCTATCAAATTATCTTTCCTATCCAGCTGGGTCTGATATTGCACATGAAGCAATGCCGAGTAAAGAGGATATAGCGGGCACGAGGAACCCGACCCATAATCCGAATTCCTCCAACTTCTGTGAGTAAACAAGGACCCAGGAAAACATGTTCATGTTCTTCAGAATCCCGTGAAGGAATCCTGGCGCTAATCAACCGTGTGCAGCCGAGTGCGAAAAAGCAGCCAATATTCTAGATTCCTTCATCAACCCCAAAGTCGACGATGGCGGTATTCCTCGCAAGATTCTAACACGCGCCAAGGTAGGCGATAAACAACACTGTAGAATTATCAGTGTGGTTTTATTATGTTCTTTGACAAAAACTAACAACATACCACCTTAGGCGCTTATTATCTGCAGTTTAACCCGATGGGGATTCATTGGGTCTGGACGTTTCGGCTCAGGTGTTATTGTCCTTCGTCTTCCTAATGGTAACTGGTCCGCACCATCAGCTGTTAGTCTCGCAGGCCTAGGCCTCGGTCCACTTCTCGGCGTCGAGTCCACGGATTTCGTCTTCGTGCTGAGTACCGATGAAGCAGTGGAGAAGTTCATCCAATCTGGCTACATCCATCTAGGACTGAACCTATCACTCGCCCTGGGTTCCGGCCGAAGTACCGAGTCCGGGGGTATCGCAGGATCGAAGGGAATATCAGGATTCTACTCATATTCGAAGACGCGAGGTGTATACGCGGGAATCTCCGCCGAATTCGGACTCGTGCTTGAGCGATCGAGCGCAAATAAGAGGATATATGACCGGAAACTCAAAGCGGCGCATTTGGCTACGGGTCAAGTTCCCGTTCCTCGAGCAGCTGAGCGTCTTATGAGCATTTTGAACTCGGATGGTGTTCGGATTACGTCGATTACGTCCAAGATTGCGGCAGATAACCCTGATGCGAGCGGTTTACAATCTCTAGGTAGAGAGATGCCTCACCCGCATGAACTGGCGGATTTGTCTAATCTGGGTCCGGGACTCTCTGAAAATGATACCTCCGAAGCTCACTGGAGTGGGTTATCTTCACCGGGTCTTACTAAACCTAGACATTTGAATCGGGTCCCCAGAGAACTTCAGGGTGATACATACCCAAGACCTGACTCCGCTGATACGGGTAAACCCGCTGAGCCTTCTCCGGTTTTTGAGCTGGATCCACAACATACTTCTATGATCGCGGCTAGTGAGGATTTCTCGCGTGATGAGTCTATGCGGTCTTCTACGGTCGCTAGCTCACATCATATGTCTCTTCAGTCATCTGTTGGGAATCCGTTAGAACGGGAAGCTTCTTTGTTGACGACACCTGGTATCCCTGAGAGTCCGACCAAGGAAGAGCATCATACTCAAGAGAGTACTGGGCAGGTAGAGACAGCCTAGATGGCTCATACTTGCCCAAGTGATTGACGTTCATGGCTCTCGCCTCGATCGAGTATCATTTTGTTGAACATTTATTTCCTATGTTCTTTTCTTTTGTTCGGAATCTCTTTTTTTGTTCTCTTACGCTTGACATGGTAGATTTATGGCTGGAAAGTTTGATTTTAATCTCTTTCATGATATCCTTCAGTTGCGCGTCTTTTGTCATTGATTTCTTGTACTTTTACCCTACAGAATCTTGTCATGGCTTGACTCAGGCCCAGTTTCCCTACTTTGCCCATTTTGATATTTACAAGTTACGATATACACGTTGAGCTAGTGGTTTTTACTGCACTATGAGTACATATTCTCGATTCTTTTCAACCAGGTGACTCATAATCAATAGCGTTTATACTATTAACTCCTGAAATTTCTATACGGGCAGACGAAGTAGGTTCTCCCACGCCAGTGCAATAAACTACATAAAATTCATTATTCCTAGAAATAATTCGTTGATAAGTGATAACACGCTAGACAAAAACATCAAGTCCAAAAACCCAGCACCAACAAAAAGAATCATCAGGTCTTTAGCACGCCTACTCCTGGAACACCTCGTACACTCATTGTATCATGTGAGAATCATAGTCCCTCCACGGCCTCAATCCACCCAAACAAAGCACCAACAGCCAGCGTCGCAACCGACCAGACAGCACCCCAGAGAGACGCACCCTCGACAGAGACTTCTCTAATGGTACCTGCAACTTGCACAACGGTATTGAGCAATACACCAGCAGCGAGGATCAGAGTCCGAGAAGCGAGAATTCTAGTCTTTGCCGACAACTGGCCCACAGTCCTGCAATATACACTGATGACGATGTATTGACTATCATGATCCGTAGGCTGTGATTCTTCGACAGCCGGGCCTATGTCATGTCCTGTAGAGCTGACGAAAAGAAAGTCGCGCACGGCATAACCAGCAGGGATCAATGTCAAAAAGAGAATCGGAAACCCCGCTGGACCTGCATGCGCGGCGCTAATGTCGGGAATACTCTCGAAGTGCACAACCAGCATGGTGGGAAGCCAGGAGGCATAGCTAGCGTATAGAACAACTGTAAAGATAGAAGTTGCCGCGAGGGTGGTGTAAATGGCTGTGGGGCGGTCTTGCAGGATAGATCGGTTGGCAACTGCGCCCGAGGGAGCGTGCGAAAGATTATGGACGGACGCGGGACTGCGCAGGAAGAAGAATGGGATCACAATTGAAGAGACCGTAATTGTGTAGGATATGAGCGCAGATGTTGGTCTGACATTGTAGAAGAATGTCAAGAGCGAGTAGGTAGGCAGGTGGGTGAGGTAGAGAAACGATAAAACATCCCAGCCTGATGTGATGTTTTTTGTTAGCTTTCCAATTTGCGATTGCAACGCTGAATAATCTTTCGATTCCTCAATAGCAAGGATGTTCACTCACTGTCGAATCCCAGAACCCAAACAAGTCCAACCTCCACAGCTCTCCAGCTCATTAGCCCTGCAACTTCCCACCATTCCTCCAGATGCTTGCTGATCAAACCAAGGTCTCCAACTGTCAGTCCAGAAGTTAGGGTGAATAGCACAGAGCTCAGAGCCAGACTGCTCAGAACCACCAGGAGAAAGCGAGCTGGTGTGGGGATGCGCGCCAGATGTGGAACCACGGGCGCCAGAGCTTCGGTGAAGTCCTGCTTGGGCGATTCGTTGACCGATACTGATTTCTTTCGTGGCGCCATGCTGAGGCTCTGTGATATTTCACACGGGACAGAATAGGGATCAAAGGGTCATCTAGGAGTTAGAGGAAGCTCGAAAGTTCAAGTTGGAAGGAAGAATGATGTTGGCGGTGAGTGGGCGGATGATGTCACTACTAGCAGCTTTTGGTTCTATAAGGTCATAAAACTCATAACCTTGGAAGGAGCACGTCAAACTTGCAAATCTCTTGGTATATTACACATAATAAAATACATAATCAACATCCAAGAACCTTGGAAGTATCTATTCTTCTTTTTCCGCAACGGAGAATTCAATAGACCCCTTTTCCATACCTGTTGTATCCTTCATGACCATTTGGTATTTACCTTGGTTCCAGAGGTCCTTGATGGTCAGCTCACGTGTACGGCCAAGAGACTCGATATCACCAATGCGCTGTAGAGTTCCTTCAAGATGACTATCGAATCCTTCAATGGCACAAATCTCGCGGAATGCACGTTGCATTGGCACGGAGTCAGCGCGCACCATGGCTCGGGAGTCGATGGTGAAGATATTATCATGATCGTAGGACTGGACAAAATCTGCGCGGGTCATGATCTCGCGTGCCTTGTGAAGCGGAATCTCGGGAAGCACATGTCCTAGTTCGGGGTGATAGATATCCATCTCTTCTTCAGCATCAACCAAGGCCTTGGCCAGGACCATTGCAGCGGACTGGGCGTTCATCAGTTATTGTACGCAAATAGACTCTCATAGCTCTCATATAGAAGGGAACTTACAGAATACTTCTGCTCGTCCATGACATCGTCATCCATCTCCATACCCAAGATCCAGCATTTGTTAAGGAACCATGTTTTCTCGGCACGACAAATTTCCGCGCAAGTCTGCATGATGTCCCGGGACTTGGCCACCCGGTTCAAGAACGATAGTCGGCCTCCCACCTGTTTGTAGACCTCTTCGAGGACTTCAGATGGCAATTCTTGCTGGTGGAATTGGTGTCGGTATTTCTTCAGCGCAGACATAGCCTTATCCTTGGGTAAATCCTTGACGGGAATGACCTCCATGCGAGTTGCATATCGCTTTAGGCGCTCGTAAACCCAGTAGTCGTCGCTGTTCAGGACTGATTACAATTTCATAAGCCCATGATTTTTTTTTAGTAGAACATGGCTGTGGAGAAAGGACTTACTGGTTGTCACGAGACCACTGGCAGCCCATTGTTCCGCACGTTGCTGGATCATCTCAAGTAAATCCTGTCCATCGTGATCATCACGAACCAAGTGAGTGCTATTGATAATGAGAATCAGAGGTCGTCCATGGTCGCGTCTTCTGTTGAGCGCAACCTTTTCCAACTTGTTGAAAGCCCGCTCGATATCCAATAAAGCTGTGGTATCTCGTGGACCCCGAATGCTGAACAGACTGCCAATGTAACTTTTGTATCTTTGTCAGTCACAGATCAGGGACAGTGGATTTTAGTAAGACTTACTCCTCATGGAATTCGTAATCCAGTGCCTTTCCCAGGCGAATGCGGAAGATTTCTAGATCGGCATGCGCCTCGAACATAGCAACACCAGTACCATTAATCTTGCGCATGGCCTCGAGAAGCATCGAGGTCTTTCCAGTACCCTTCTCACCAACCATTAGATAATAGTGGCCCCCATTCCGGCCAGCCACGATATCATCGATCCGGGGTTGCTCGTCTCGAGTGACCCAATGCTCCTCGTGGTTATACTGGTGCTTACCAGAAACAACACCGGCTACCTCGAGAGCTGGATCACCTGGGTTGAACGCATTGTCCATTTTGTCCAGGATGAGGTACTTGTAGTACCTATGGTATGAGTAACCCGCGACACTAAGTAAAGATTAGTCGGGCCGGTTCCTCTGAAATCATTTTGAGGAATCTTACCCTAGGATGAAAATAGATGCCGCAGTAGTTGCAGCAGTCTCAAGCATTTTCAAGATGGTGGATTTCAGGGTTGGGTCATCATTTCTGCTGCCCCGGCCCCGGTCTTCTCCCCCATCATTCTGGTCGGTGGGATCAGGAGCATATTGGCCAGTGCTTTGAGGGTTTGAGTTGAACCTCTTGCATGCGTATTGTACGATGCGTCCCTGAGCTCTGGCTGGTCTCACTAGACCCTGTCGAGCGAATGATGATAAAGGTGGTGCAAGTCGTTTCCATAACATTGTGGCTGTGGAGGCCCGATAAGGCTTGATCTGACTGTGTCACCTTGGGTCTTTTTTTTTCCTTTTTCTTTTATCAGAGAAACAGATGTTAAGGAATAGTTGATATTGGATGACAGGGACAATGCACGTCGATCTGTGGATCTGGTTGATCTAATGCACAGTCGTAAATGGTAAGAGTTATAGAGCTGTCTCCGGGGAAGGCGCCACACCAGGGGAAGCTTGGTCAAGATAAGAGAGCGCCTGAGACCAAAAGGGCCCCAAAAATGGTATTGAAAAAATCCACAAAATCCGAAAAGAGACACGTCAAGATCCCCCCCAATTGAAAAGAGTGACAATGGGTGGAAAATGGGTCGAAAAAGAAGGTCAGAAAAGTGCGAGAAGGAGTTGTGGCTTAGACAAAGTGGAGTCTTTGTACCATAAAATATGCCAGGTGATATTATTGGACTTGGCAGATCAGTTTCCATGTTAAGATCGGACTACCCAGTCTTCAGCTACCCCTCAGATCACAACATGGGTCTACAGGAGACTTATAACGGCCATCTGGCCATAACCCCTATATCGCTGGCAGAAAAGAAAAAAAAACTATAATACCATAACAGGCGTCATAGCCCTGGAGCCCTGGAGGTAGGTAGGTACCATTTTACCCATATTTTCCAAACTGAGAATTCTTTTGCATGGAGCCTTAGGCCCCCCCCTAACCTTCTTACTTCTACCAGATACTCACTCTTTTTCATACTATACTAGGGTTGTGGACTATATACCGTAATTCTGACGGATTTCTCAACCAGTGGCTGGTTAGCTCAGTTGGTAAAGCGTGAGATTCCAACGGTTTCAATGGTTTCATCTTGAACTTGAACTTGAACTGTTAAGGTCTATATATCTCAAGGTCGTTGTCAAGCCCTGCATCGGTCAAGCATTTTTCATTTTTTTCATCCCATTTTTTTATCCTTCTTTTTTCTATTCTCTCCCTAGTATTATTACTTTTTCTCCTTCTTTTTTTTACTCATTGCTATTCTAATCGGTAATAATCAGGTTTTAGGCTTATTCTTGTACCTACATACCAATAAGCATTTCTCTTAAGAACCCAAGGGAATGTAAACCAATATCTATTTAAACACCCCTGTTCGAGAACAAATACCCAGTAATGTTATTCCTCCGCTCCGGGTGGCCCGCATCTTTTAACTTGACCAATAATGAAAGAGACAGTTCGTACAAAATCTACAAACTGCCGATCCTCCCTGTGAGAAGGCTACGGCCGTCATGGGAGATTGGGCTGGCAGAAATCAACACATTTGCTCGTGGGGAAGGATATGCTGTGGTCAAGGCGCGATCGAAGCCATCGAAGAAGGGTGAATTAATGTTAATTTCCTTACTATATACGGACTTGGAGTTGAATTAAGATATATTCTAAGATTATATTAAATATTATCTTTAATTCATCTGGATTATAATATTCCACGGAATAAAGATTAAAGGCATTTCCTATACCTTTTATCTATATAACTACTTTAACAGGGTAGTCAACTAGTATAGGAGTCCCCCTAATATTCAAGTTATATCACTTAAATAGTATAATATACTTCTGACCACAAGAATAGCCACATTCATACAAGTCGCATTCAAAATATCTGAATAAACCTTTGAATTTTACTAAGTTACATATGTAATAGACTTTTATCAATTAATTTATTGATTCTACTGATCTTCTCTCGTTATAGACAAAGAAATATTCCGCGGAGAAGCCTGAGGCACCAAAATCTTCCCATTCATACAATGATCTATATAATGACCATTTTCACATGCCCAGGTGCTTTTCCCTTCTTTCAGAACTGGGTTCTCACAATTATTCAGGTACATAGATATATCTAGGGTACCTAGAAAAACAATCTGTCATCATGATTCAGTCTCTCCATTGTGTGGAGAAGAACAAGGACTCCACGGTGCCTTCCCCGAACCCACCGCCCGAGCACTTCCGAGGGTATGCCGCATCCGCGAAATTTTCTCCTACTCCGTTCCACCTTTTCTACTCTACTAGACCCTTTCCTTTTTGCATCGATCTTCTGGGGTACGGGGTGTTTGGCTTATCTGCTTCAATTACCCCATTTTTGTATCATAGCGACTTTTTTTTCTTCCTGCTTCCCCGCAGGTCCTCGATTTTTTTCACTTCGATCCGTCACTTCGACACGACCTTTTCTACTCCGCTCGCCCGCGAAGTAGCTGTTCATCGCAAATTGATTTTGCTAGAGCTTTTCCATTCACCAATTCGACATAATGGCACACACTAATGGGGAATTGGAGCCCTCCAAAGGTTGGTCTGCCTTCCAGGTCCCGGCAATCGGTCACACGACACATCGAATTGCAATTTGAAACGGGCCACCTATGACTTGAAACAGTTGGTCTAATGCCTTGATAGAGGTTCCTCAGGAGAATGGCATCCACGTAGATGATATTGCAGAAGATGAGAATGCTGGTGGTAGGTGCAATGGTTTCCGTAACAGATCGAACTTCTTATTCTGATTTTGGGTGTCAAGGCCTTTTCCAGATCTCCGTCAAGCTTCCTCATGCTCCTCACAAGATTCAGGTGATGGTGGGTATATGATTTGTGCCAAATTTCTAGATCATTGTTCTGATCCTCGTTCTCCTCCGATAGGTCTCAAGCCAAGAACAGGTCCAAGACGTCCGCCAATCCATTGTTGAGCTGCCCGGTACCTTCCAGTACACCTGCTTCCACCTCGAGCACAATGGAGCCCGCATCAACGATTTTGTCGAGTTGTCCGAGGTGCCTGACCTGAAGGCTGATTCCGAAATTGTGCTTATTGAGGACCCCTACACTGAGAAGGAGGCTCGCATGCATGTTGTGCGCATGCGTGAGTTGGTTGGTGCTGCTGGTGACCGCGTGGACACTCTCCAGGGTATTTCGGCCGGTCTGTCCCTGCACGATGCCATTTCCGCTGAGGCAGCTCAGGCTGGTGAATCCGACAAGGACCACTCGTTGGCTCAGTACAACCTGACTGGGCCCTCCTCCCTGCAGACCATCCTCCCCCGGTCTGAGGAGCCCCTCCCCAAGACTGTGAAGTCAATTTCACTCTCAGCATGGAACCCCGTTCCTTACCACCTCCGCCAGAAGGGTCACCTGCTGTACATCCAGGTTAACACCAACGAGAATGAGCAGTTTCAGATCACCGCTCACGTCTCGGGTTTCTTCGTGAACAAGAGCTCGAACTCTCGTTTTGATCCTTTCCCCAGGACAATTCCCAAGAAGGCCAGCGCCCACTCGCTCCTGACTCTCATCTCCCAGCTGTCTCCTTCATTCACTACATCATTCGAGGCTCTGCAGGAGGCCAACAACCAGAAGGATCTCCTGACCACATTCCCCTTCCAGAATGCCATTCCTAACAGCCCGTGGTTGGTTGCTCCCACTTCCTCCACCCTGACCGCTCACCAGTCCGACATCACCCGCTCACAGGAGAGCTTCTTGATCTCCGGTGCTGACAATGCCGAGACTCTGCGTGATTGGAATGAGGAATTCCAGACCACCCGTGAACTTCCTCGCGACACTGTTCAGGACCGTGTGTTCCGTGAGCGTCTGACCTCTAAGCTGTTTGCTGATTACAACGAGGCTGCTGCTCGTGGTGCTGTCCTGGTCGCCCGTGGCGAGATTGCTCCTTTGAACCCTACTGAGGCTCGCGATGCCCAGATTTTTGTCTACAACAACATCTTCTACTCCTTCGGTGCCGATGGTGTTGGTACCTTCACTTCCGAGGGTGGTGATGAGGCTGCTCGTGTTGCCGTTGGCAAGGATGTTCTGGGTATCAAGGCTGTGAACCAGCTGGATATTCAGGGTCTGTTTACTCCTGGTACCGTCGTTGTTGACTACCTCGGTAAGCGTATTGTGGGTCAAAGCATTGTCCCCGGTATCTTCAAGCAGCGCGAGCCCGGTGAGCACCAGATCGACTACGGTGGTGTTGAGGGCAAGGAGGTCGTGGCTACCCACGAGGACTTTGTCCCTGTCTTCGAGAAGCTCTCCAAGGCCCTCCGTGTCAAGCAGCACCCCGTTTGGGACAAGGATGGCAAGCGCCACGACCTTGAGGGCAGTGTTGAGACCAAGGGTCTTCTGGGCACCGATGGTCGCAAGTACGTTCTGGACCTCTACCGCATCGCCCCTCTCGATTGTGAATGGCAGGAGGAGGCTGGCAGCGATGTCTACCCTCACCGTATGTCCGTCCTCAGACTGGAGCTTGTTGAGTCATACTGGCGATCCAAGATGAGCCAGTACGTCAAGGGCGAGGTCGAGAAGCGCAAGGCCGCCAAGGCCGCCGAGGAGCCTAAGGAGAAGACCGAGGGCGAGTCTGAGGAGAAGACTGAGGATGCTGGGGACCAAGAGCGTGTTGACATCTCCGGATTCAACCTGTCTCTTAACCCTGATGTCTTCAGCGGTCAGGTTCCCCAGACTCAGGAAGAGAAGGAGCAGTGGGCTCAAGATGAGAAGGAAGTCCGGGATGCTTGCGACCACCTGCGCTCTAAGGTTATGCCCGAGCTGATCCAGGACCTTCACGATGGCGATGTTGGCTTCCCTATGGATGGCAACTCATTGACTCAGCTGTTGCACAAGCGTGGTATCAACGTCCGCTACCTGGGTAAGTTGGCTCAGCTGTCCACTGATAAGGGTGCCCGTCTCCAGGCTCTGTCTACTCTCCTGGTCCAGGAGATGATTGCTCGTGGCTTCAAGCACGTTGCCAATGGCTACTTGCGCAACGTCCCTGCTCCTTTCGCGGCCCCTTGCATTGCTCACCTGCTGAACTGCCTCCTGGGTACTGATGTCAACGCTGCTCCTCGTCCCGAGATTGATCAGTCTCTGCGTGAGGTCTACCCCGAGGGCGATTTCTCCTTTGAGAAGGTCACCCCTGAGTCCCTCCGCGCCGATATTCAGAAGCAGGTCACCATCCGCTACCGTTACACATTGGAGAACGGATGGGTCAACTCTCTTCGCCACCTGCAGCTCCTGCGTGACATCTCTATTAAGTTGGGTCTTCAGCTTGGTTCCCGCGACTATGCCTTCAACAAGGCCGATGTTAAGGAGCCTGTCCCAGTCGCCACCAACGGTGCCAACAAGAATGGACAGGATGAGAGCAACAGCAACAAGAAGGGCAAGAAGGGCAAGAAGAGTTCCGCCGAGAAGTCCCCAAGCCGTGCTGTCGTCGAGCCCAAGCCTGCTGTTTCCATCCTTGCCGACGACATTCTCAACATTGTCCCCCTTGTCCGCGATGCGTCTCCCCGTAGCGCCCTTGCTGAGGAGGCTCTGGAAGCCGGTCGTATCTCGCTTATGCAGAACCAGAAGCAACTGGGCCAGGAGCTCATTCTGGAGTCTCTGTCCCTGCACGAGCAGATCTACGGTATCCTGCACCCTGAGGTTGCCAAGCTTTATCACCAGTTGTCCATGCTCTACTACCAGACCGATGAGAAGGATGCCGCCGTGGAGCTGGCCCGCAAGGCTGTCATCGTTACTGAGCGCACCCTGGGTGTTGACTCTGCTGACACTATTCTGGCTTACCTGAACTTGAGCTTGTTTGAGCACGCTTCTGGCAACACTAAGACTGCTCTGGTCTACATTAAGCACGCCATGGATCTCTGGAAGATCATCTACGGTCCCAACCACCCTGACTCCATCACCACCATGAACAACGCCGCCGTCATGCTGCAGCACCTGAAGCAGTACGGTGACTCTCGCAAGTGGTTCGAGGCCTCCCTCGCCGTCTGTGAGAACCTGTTTGGCAAGGAGTCTATCAACACCGCCACCATCCTCTTCCAGCTGGCCCAGGCTCTGGCTCTGGACCAGGACTCTAAGGCTGCCGTTTCCAAGATGCGTGATGCCTACAACATCTTCCTTGCCCAGTTGGGTCCCGAGGACCGCAACACCAAGGAGGCTGAGAGCTGGTTGGAGCAGCTGACTCAGAACGCTGTCTCCATTGCTAAGCACGCCAAGGATATTCAGGCTCGTCGCCTGCGCCGCATCAACATCAACCCGCGCACCTCTTCCATGGGTACTCGCGTCCAGCCCCAGGTTGGCCAGACTGCGCCTGAGACCGCTGGTACGGCTGCTTCCTCTGGTTCCCTGGACTCCCGCAGCATCGATGAATTGCTGAAGTTCATTGAGGGCGGTGATGCCAACAGCTCTGGCTCTAAGCAAAAGAAGCGCACTGCTGCCAACCCCAAGCTTCGGGGCTCCAAGCAGTCCAAGGCATAGATTCTTTTATGCTGTCATTAATTTAAACTTCTTCTTCATTAGTTCTGTTTGGTTCCAGGTTACAATTTCCTTTCTTGGTCAACTCGTGTCTTAACAACAAAATATACTCCATGATTGTTTTCGGAAGGGATTTCGGTTCAAGGTTGATGAGCGGAAACATGCTGTACTTTCTTTCTATTAGATTCATCTCCTCTCTTCTTTTTTTTTCTTTTGGTTCATTACGATTTTTAATCTTTTGATCTTGTCCTGGGCATGGGAGGGTTCATTGATTTGGTTGTACCATATGACCATATATCACGATGTCACGATGTGCGCTGATGCGACGGTCTTTTGTATCTAAAATTGTATTCCAATTCATTTTGGGTTATGAACAGAGTCTATTCCATCTACCATTATTTGAACATTATTAGTAACCCCATAGAGTCGAACTTGTAGGACTTCCCAGGTTGGAGTTGGAACCAATTACTTACCTATGTATGTACAGGTACATTTGAGCTTACCACCCACGTAAATTGCCAGTGAGGCTTAGAATGAGGCTATGATGTCTTGGAATCAGGTTTTGTAAACAAAGAATATCATATTAAGAGATCCATGTCACCACAAAATTCAATGTGTCCACTTACCTTAAACATCATCTCAGTATTAGCACATCCTTGCGGTTGACTTTGTGAGATTTCAAGTTACATTTCAGTCCGAGTCTTGCATTACACCATCTCGACTCAACCATGACAGCCAATACTGCGGGGTTTGTCTATACAACCCCACTGGCCACCGATGAACACTACATCCGACTTCTCAAATTCGATTCTACTGTCTCAGAAGAACCTCTCAGATTTTCTCTGAAGGTATGCAAATTCTTAGAGAAACCCACTTATAACAGTCTCTCCTATGAATGGGGAGACACCGTAGCCGACCGACTGATCTTCATCAACGATCGTCTCTTCTTCATCCGGGAGAATCTGCACAGCTTCCTGAAAGTGTTAGCTAGTAGTGCTTATAGAGACGATTATGTCTTCGTGGACGCAATCTGTATCAATCAGGATGACATTGCCGAGCGAAACGCCCAGGTCCGGCGGGTAGGCGATCTTTATGCACAGGCAGAAAACGTGCTCGTCTGGCTTGGGTCCGGCACAGCCGAGAGCGATTTCGTCTTTGACATATGCTCTGATTCGGTAGCGAGCAGCACTATAGTCAGAACCAAGCTGGGGGAGGAAAAGACCAGGATCGAGGCCCTTGATTTCAACGCGCCCGACGGAGAGGCCCTGGATACGGTATACCAACGGTCATACTGGACGAGACTGTGGATTATTCAGGAGCTATTCCTTGCGCAAAACATTATTCTGTTTTGTGGCTTAAAGTCGACACCATGGTCTGTTTTTAGACAACTCCCCAGATGGAACAAGGGCGTTTTTGTCCCCGGAGGCTTCACGGGAGTTGATATGGTTCTTGGAAGCACACCGGCCGGACGACATGCAAGGGATATTCTGAATGAGCTGGATAAGATGGAACAGGGAAGAAGCGCATTTATAGACAAAGGACTTGTCACGCTGGTTCTGAAATTTGGTCTGGCACAGTGTTTCGATGTTCGCGATCGTGTCTATGGCCTGCTTGGTCTCGCTAGCGCATCCGACAAACACAAAGAAGACCGAGGCCTTGAGGTCGTCGTGGACTATTCAGCAAGTCCAATGTCTCTATTCGTGCGCCTTTTAAGCACTTTGCCACATGAGCTTCGTATTAGAACCGCGCTGGATCTCTTCAACATTCTGAAGCTACACCATGCTCAAGAAAGTGCAATTCTTGCCAGCATTCCAGACACCAACTTGAGTCTGTCTTTTAAGATCGAATTCACTCATGTAGGACATCTCAGGCATGTGACTCAACCCTCTCCATCTTCCTGTAGAGCTTGCCGCAGCCGGGCAAGGAACTCTTCCCCATTTGCGTTGAACGAGACCCAGCGCCAACAGCTGGCAGGAAAGACCTTTTCTCTGATAATAACAGGTGCACAACAAAACGTCATGGCCAGACATGGCGGTGGGCCTCTGTATGAGATGATGTCGTCTGACAGCTGCCTGACTGCATCCGGCGCTTGTGAAGGAGATGATGTTTTCCTTCTGGAAGGTACCAACGCCGTCCTAATCCGACAACAGGATGATTCGGGTTCTACGATGCTTTACAGGCGGGGTATTCTCTGCAGCACGAAAAGCGAGCAAAGTATCCCGAAAGCAGCAGAATTGCTTGATAGTTGCCTCTTGTATTTACCGTCTATCGAAGGGTGTTGTCTCAGGACTGACAAGCATCAAATATGGTCTCTAGTGGGACCGGTTGAGTTTGTGTATGAGGAGCTGAGTCTGCAGCAGATTATATTGCTTCTGATATATGCTGGCCAACACCGTGATCATTGGAATCGGCAGTTGAGAAATACTTCTAGTGACTAATAACCAGAAAAATAGGCGAAATCGTGGTCCATATATACAAGTCATCATTTGCAACTATGTATCCAAGTCGTGCCAGTGAGCCAGCCACATGTGCAAGACCTTCAAGTTGGACGGCGCTTTTTTTTTTCCAAGACTGCCTGATATGCTATCAGACTCAATGGTGGTATTCTACTTTTGACGGCTCCTCCATAATTTCTGCTTTGCCTGAATAGACAAAATGTAGCAGAAGCGCTTTTAGCCACCATTAATCCCTTCGATACCTAGATTCCACAATTTTAGATAGAGTATTCTGCCGTTAAATCTACTGAGTATAGCTGAAAAAGCCCATGGCGCTGAGCCTGGGCCTGAGCGCCCCCATTGAAGCGGCAGCAGCGGAAATAACAAAGCCCTAACGTAATTCCCGCCCGAGCTGCGCACCCCATCTAAAATCGCGTATTCCTACCAACCTATCTTCTTTAATCACGTACCATGCCACCAATTCGCAATATTTCTCGCAATATTTCGGCCGAAAAAATGCCGAACAAGAGGGCAAGGTTTGATTAGCCTTACAGGCTATTCAAAAGGGCCAAATCAAGTCTCTTCGCGCAGCGGCCAGGCTATTTAGCGTGCCTGGGTCCACACTACGCAGTCGCGCGCACGGTGTTCAATCTCGCGTCGATATACGCCCAAATGGCCATAAATTGACTCAGTTGGAAGAGGATTCACTTACTAAATGGATCATCTCTATGGATACACGCGGTGCAGCGCCTAGGCCATCTAATGTACGAGATATGGCCAATATTCTACTAGCTGCACGCGGTAGCCACCCCCAACCCACAGTTGGCAAGAACTGGCCGTCAACCTTCATTAATCGACGTGATGAGATTCGAACACATTTTCCTAGGCGATATTACTATCAACGTGCCCAAAACGAAGATCCTAAATCCCACGAGAGTGGTTTACAACCGTATAACGTGTTATTGATGAGAATGGTATCCAGCCTAAGGATATTTACAACTTTGATAAGACAGGCTTTGCAATGGGTCTTATTTCCACACAGAAGGTTGTAACACGAAAAGAATACTACGGTCGGCGATCTATTTTACAGCCTGGAAACCGTGAATAGGTAACTGTAATTGAACCGACCTGTGCGGATGACTATTCATTACCACCATGTGTGATTTTTAAGGGAAAGGTTGCTGTTACTAGCTGGTTCGATAACCTACCAAAAGATTGGCGATTTGAGGTCTCAGCTAATGGCTGGACTACTGATGAGATTGGCTTACGATGGCTAGAAAAGCTATTTATCCCATCTACAAATTCACGTGTCCATGGTCGATTTCGGCTATTGATTCTCGATGGCCATGGAAGCTATCTTACACCCCAATTTGACCAAATCTACAATGAAAAAAACACTATCCCACTCTGTATGCCTACGCATTCATCACATCTATTACAGCCACTAGATGTTAGTTGTTTTGCAGTGTTGAAACGTACATATGGTTGTTTTATAAGCGACCTTACACGTATAGGCTATAACCATATTGACAAGCTTGATTTCTTAGCTGATTACCAACGTGCCCGGCAAGAAGCTTTTCAACCAACTACTATTCAAAAATTTTTTTAGCTATTGGTTTAGTACCAATCAAGGCTAAAAGGATACTTTCTAAGCTTAATATTTCTCTACGAACACCTATACCACCAAATAGCAGACCAGGCAGCAGGTCTAGTCAATCTATACCTAAAACACCTAGAACTATGGTTCAGCTACAGAAGCAAGCTTCAATGCTAAAAGACCTTCTAAAACAATGATCAAACAGCCCTCCCAGCCCATCAAAATTGATGCTAGATCAAATCATCAAGGGCCACTGTATATCGCTGTATAACACAGCGTTACTAGCACAAGAAAACGCCAATTTACGTGCAGCGAACGAGAAGAAACGACAAAAGCGTACTCGATCAGCTAGGCAGATACAATGCGAAGAGGGGTCGACTGTTGAAGAAGGCCTACAGCTAGTTACGCATCTGGATTTACCAGTGGAAGCACCTATGGTCGAATCACACACCCAGGTTGAATTGCCTATTCAGCCGAGTCAGCCGAGTCAGCCAGCCAAAAAGGCTCCACCTAGGTGTAGTGGATGTCGAGAGGTTGGCCATCGGATTAATGTATGTGAAAATCGTATTTATAACTGAATTTATTGGTGTTGGGTTAAATTGTTTGAATTTGAATTTGTCTAATGGTGGTGGGTGCGCAGCTCGGCCGGGAATTACGTTACCTGTCGCCATGTGGGAGCATTTTGCCAGCTTTCACCGTCTGCAGTTTTGGTCCGCAATACACCTGAGCAGTCGCAACCTTGGAACGCGCACGCGTCCCAAGTGATTCGGACCCAACACATTTAACCGAATTGGTGAAGGTAATTCCGAGTCTCTAGGACTATATAGACCATTATTAACTCAAATCAAAGAGATGCCTCCGAAAAGGAAATCAACAGAATCACTCTCAGCCATCAAAGGCTCCAAGTCCAAGCGACCTAGATCTGATGAAAGTCCGGACGCGTCTGACATCTTACCAAACCCACGCTATACCAAGGGCTCAATAACTTCATTCTACGATGTCCTGTACAAGGAGATACTCGTCGATACCAAGAAAGCATTCGGACTGGTTTCTCTATGCGAATGGAACTTTGTTGGATCTCCTGATAACGACGAGACTGAAGATACTGAAGAGGACCAGAGTGAGACTGAGGAGGACCAAAGTGAGACTAAGAAGGACTCAGTATGCTACATCCCCTTTTCCGCCAGATATACATTGAGCCTAATGACAACTATAATTGGAAAGAAATTTTGCCAGGACCCTTGTGTCTGTCGCAAGCCTACCCTAGATAATCCAAACCACCCCTGGGTTGTGAGCTATGCCGGATTACTGAGAGCGTCGATAGTTGAGTTATTGGCGAATGTCCGCGAGCCGTGGGTTTTTTCCCTCCATACATTCAAGTATCACCAAAGCTACGGCTTGATAGAGCTTCTCGAGAATCTGTTGTTAGATTTTGATGAAGAGGAAGGGAATTGGAAGAATCAATGGGCTATTTGTGAGGCGATAGGTCTAATATTCACGCGTGGCACTATGGAGCTGATAGACCAGTGAGTCTACACCGAACCAGCGCTATTTTCTTCACTTTTCGGATCAGAGTTAACAATCAAATAGTGTCGATGATCCCAACTGTCTTTTTGAGCTTTGCCGTCTTGTACAGATCATGTTCCTGACTATGCTTGCTACTCTGGAACGGCAAAATCTATTGGGCCCTGATTCTGAAGTGAAAAATCTGGGAGTTGTTATGGGGATGTATGTTCTGGTTGCGGCTGAAATTGGAAGCAAGAAAAGAAACGTTCTCGTGGGTGGGGGCATCATCACGCTCGGGTCGTCCAACCTTGTGATGATGGACACAAAGCTTAGCAAAACCCGTCACACATCTAACGTTATCATGGGCTATGCCGACAAGTACGGTTTTAAGCCCCAGTCTCCTCGCGACTTGGTGAATGAGCTGGCTCGCCGCAAGATCAAGTCACCCAGACTTACGATCCCATTGCCCACAGCCAAAAAGAATGATCCTTGGAATTGGAAGAAGACTCTGGAAGAGTACAAGGTGCGTTGCCGGAGACCGGCATACGCGTTTAAAGGGGGGGCCAGTCGGCGGTGACCGGTTGGACATGACCAGTTGGAAACCTGAGGAACGTGCGAAGCATTGTTTTGACAAAAGTGAAGATCCACTTACCCAGAGTGCGTTAGATGCTTTCAAAAGGGGAGAGTTGCTATTCATGTGATATACCCCCGGCCCGTCCCAGAAATTGAGGACTAATAAGGGCTCCTCCAAGAACATTGTAACCTTGGAAGAGAAATGAAACGCGGCTGCTCGCGGCTGAGATCGAATTTGGCATGACCGAACTTGAATATGACTCCACTGGCTAAAAATCAACACCTGAACTGATTTTTCAATAAACGGTCTGAACCATGGCACTTGAATTGATAGTCGCACAATCTGTGAACGGATCAGGGATGCCAACGATTTTCAGAAGCTCCAACTGGCCCCGAAAACACAGGGAACAAAATCCAGTTCCGATGAAAAAGGAGAAGAGCAGAACAGGCCGACAGATGAATCTGTATCTCAACCCTAGAAGTATCTCTCAAGTAGTGAAAATGATGAAAAGTCGACCCTGCAGAAACCTTGGAATGAAGGGCTGTCAAAAATTCATGGAAAAATTACCAGTTTTGTGGAGAGCTAAGAACTATTTTTGTTATGGGCGTGAAGTAGACCAATATACTCTTGATAGGTTAAGGTCAACTGGTGACAGGGTTAATGGCGCTAGACCGCCTTGGACCCACTATTATTTACTTTGTTTTGGTCCGAGGTCTTCTCCGACTCCGATCTCTTGGAGCATTCCATTTGAACGCGCCTTATCGTTGTATTCCAATAATTATCTTATTTTCTTTTATTGTTCACTTCCTTTTCACGCGCGCATGGTTCAGGACTGGGCGTGGTAACTGCCATGCTATGTCGCAAACTTGATTGTGAACATTTTCCTACTGCTGTGCGGACAACTCCCTCGATATCCCTCTCGCTGATGATACTAATGGCTTACTTCACAGTTGTATGATCTTTAACGATAGATTAATTCCCAGCGAGGCCTAATGGACGACGTCCCATCCACCGCAAAATGGGCAAACCGCATGCTGCGCCCACTGACATCCATCTATCGTCGACTCGAGAAGCATCACGAAACCTTGGCGATTATCGCGGCGGAATCCAGGATAGCCGATCAAGAAGACAATTCCGACGAGAAAGAGTTGGACCTGCTCAAGGCGACGAGTGCCCCGGAAGCTTACTCAGGGTCAGACGCCGACGAAGATGATCCAGTCTGGATTCCAGGGAAGAGGCCCGCTCAGCGCCGAGTTCGACATAGATATTATGGGCGAGAAGAAAGTAAGGCTGGGAAAAAGCGCGCAAGGGTGTTAGTGCACAGCCCGGAAACATCTCGTGTTCTCCCCGGCGCAATTGAGGTCGCAACGCCGTTGATCACTGGAAGACGATGGGAAATACCGTCCAGCGCTCGTTCACAGCCACCGGTACGACAGAATCGATCGGCGCAGAACCAGGAACAGCAGGCGTTTCGTGATCGGTACTCTCTACATAAGAGTCCATGGCAGGAACTGCTCGATCAGTCTGGTGATACCGGGTTTGCCGATATTGCACATAATCTTGATCGAATCCTTCAGAACTTCTTATCCAATACTCGACTATCCGGGCGTGAAAATAAAGATGCATCTGTTAAACCCAGGATGGGCGCACGTTCCCTGCTATCCACGGTGTTAAGACGCCTGCCGAAGTTCATCGAAAAGGAACAGGAAGAGCAGGATGAACTTGATAAGGACGCGCACGAGGACATGTGTGATGCGTATCTCACCGAGCTCGAGACTTTCTACGCATCGCATGGGAGGGGATGGAGGCCATTGAGGGAGGCAGTCCGCGCGCAAGGAATCCATCTGGTTTCAACAATGATAGAAAACAAATGGTTGACGGACCCAATTGCATGTGCACTGATTGAAAAGTGTCGGTATAGCGAGTTGGACGCATTTGAGTCGCTTCTTTCAACACTTCTTTCCGAGCGCTCGACTCATCCCTTTCCTCAAGCACTAAACCCGTCCTCCGACCATAGCTCTCTCGGTGAGCCCTTGCGACTTTTACACAGATATGCTTCCCACGATCCATCCCACCGGTCATATGTTTTCCACGAACTTGCAAAACTTCTTAGTCGTGGCGTGCTACATCCGGAGTGGATGGCAACTAAGCCATGGACTCACTGGATGACCCGGGCAACGATATCATTCTCCAGGGAGGATGGTGATAGCACCGCAGCCTCGATTCTCATCGAGACTGTGCTCGTCTCTGCATGCGACATCCTCTTTGCCGATACTTCTGAACGCCTTGGACAAAAGCGTGCGACCAAACATCACGATGGCAGATCTGCACGAACCTCGTCAGCAGTACATACAAACTCCGCAGGCATAGAGCGGAGATGTCCCTTGCCAGTGGAAGATGCGTTAAGCAACCAGGTAACAAGTCTTCTTGCGGCACTTTGTGGCATGCACATATCACGGTCTCGAGAGTTTGACAATATCAAGGATTCAGATGGCACTCAAGCCGGCCACACTATTAATCGGGTTCTATCTGCTGTGAAGAGAGAAATGAACGCCTGCCCACTATCCGATGCTTTTATTCTTTCATCACATCACCTGTTAAGGCGCGGTTGCATTCTGTTAGCTGGTTCGCTTTTGCAGTGTAACGATACAGTGTTAGCAGGCCATACTGAGCCTGTGGTCAAATCATCCGCGAGAGTTGAAGAATATTCAAATCTTTTGGCATCACGCTCTGACCTGATCAAAGAGCTCGCATTATTCGTACGACAATCATTCCGTTGTTTTGGCAGTACATCGAGTGAGGAGGAAAATACGTTAATGGCCAGTGAAACTCGACGCATCGTGTCAAGACTTCCATACTTGACAGAGGGCTCGGGTTTGGCCATGTTTTTAAGCCGGGTTGCCGTTGAGGCTGCCATGGAATTTGCCGAGGCGACTGGGGAGCCGGACGATCATCTTTGGGCCGTTGAGATTCAAGAGACAGCTATGACTCTTCGGAAACAAAGGGAGACAAGCTCTGGGTCGGCCAGTGAAGCAGATATCCCAAGTAAGCCAAGTGGCTTGTTTCGTTGGGAAGATAGTATTGGTGAGTGGGTTGCTCGCACACCTGCTGTCAAGCCGACGAACGCAACTATTGGAAGGAAGCGACGAGCCACCGAGTTATCTCCACAAGTGCCGTGCATTCCTTGTTCAACCGATAGCAGTTGCCTTGAGTCAGACTCTTTCGAAAAATTACCCTCGAGCGTTACTTCGTCTCCATCGTCTCTTGGCACAGAGCGGAACTTGGAGGTCGTTGATACCTCACCCATTCGACCGGCCAAACGACGACGTACCGCTCCAATGGTTGTCGTGGATCAGGCTGAGGTCTGCATAAGCGATTCAAGCTCTGAGAGATGTGCATCGAGGTCCCCATCTTTAGAGCCATTTATGTCGCATCGCCGCATTCTACGAGACATGCCAAATCGCATGCCGGATAGGACATCTCCTATCAAATCCAAGCCCGCGTCCAAAATTGAGGTTGTCATTCTTAATAACCGACTCTCTCGTCCTGCCCCTGTGCGACCATCGGTGACAATTGGAAAAAGGGTACATCGACCAATGGATCAACGGCGACAATCTACGCGAAAGTTGGTTTCTCGAGCTACCCCAATCATAGCCACTCGGCGAAAGTCTGTCATCCCTTGCTCCCAGGAGGATAGCGAGGACGAGCTTAGTTTCATGTAAACTATCTCACACGGTTCTTCTGGCACTCGGCTTATTACATTTTGCATTTCCGGGATCTCTGGAATAATCCTGATGTTTCTGTTTTTTTAATCATGGTGTTTTGGTTTATTCATTGTTCGATACCCCGGCTCTTCTCCTGTTTTCCCCTTGCTTGTGATGTTTTCAATACCATTCGCCTATTTTTGTTCCCTTTGGCTCACCGTTTGTTTCATACCCAAAGTCTGGGTAATACCTGGCCTGCTCTATAGACTTGATTGAACGCAACCTGAGAATTTGAATAAAATAAATGATTCGGATTATTTCAACACATAATCATATGGTATTCCGACATATTAGCACTCCACGTCTATACTTTTTATTCCTGGAAGACGAAGGTCTCAAGCTCCCTGTAAGCAGTCTCCAGATCATCATTAACAATAATCTTATCCCCAACCTGGGCATTCGCGAACTCCAACTCCGCAGAGGCCTGACCCAGTCGGCGCTGAATATCCTCCTCATTCTCGGTACCCCGACCCCTCAATCGAGACTCCAAAGCCTGCATGCTAGGAGGCTGGATAAAGACATAGCGCGGCTCGATATTGGGGTTCTCCTTGATCTGTCTCACGCCGTTCATCTCGATATCCAGCACAACGATCTGGCCCTTGGCGGTTTGTTCAGCGATAGTGCGGTGGCTAGTTCCGTAACTGTTGGAGCCGAACTTGGCGCTCTCGACAAAGCCTCCCTCTGACTTCAGGCTCTCGAATTCCTCCTGGGAGACGAAGAAGTAGCTCTTTCCGTCGACTTCGCCGGCTCGGGGCTGTCGTGTGGTGTGGGAGACAGAGAATGTGAAGGTATTGGGGTGCGCGTTGAAGAGCTTTTCGATTAAAGAGCCCTTGCCGACACCGCTAGGGCCGGAGATAACGAGAGTCTTGTTGCCTTTAGTGTAATGTGAGTCATGGATCTGTGTTTTTGGGCTGGTTGCGGTGTCCGGTTCAACGTACTGGGTACCATTGTGTGCAAATGAAGTCTATGCAGAGGACTGAGTCTGTTCAAGAAGATGAAGGTCCGGGAAATGCGAGTTGTAATGTTCATTCGTAAAATTGAAGGAGCTTGAGGGGTATGTAGAATTCGAGGCTGTCGCAAAGTGGGATATATTTTGCCTGACGCACGTGATATTGGTGCCTGGATTTGAGCCCCATCATATAACTAGTTAACTAGTATATCACCCACTTCGGATTTCATACAGATAAAACCCCAAATTCGAGGACATTTTGAATTAATTTGGAGAAGGTCACTCTGACTATATGAAAAGCAATTAACCTAGCATTACAGGGGTAAAAATTCTAGTATAGCATTTGAGTTTGAATATCTAGATTTTTGCAGTGGGCCTGAAAACACCTGTAGGTCTTCCAAGATTGTTGAGTTGATATTGGGTACAGCAAATAGAAACAAAAAAATTGAATACTCTCTTCAATACCCCATTAAAAAACATCAAATGTTAGTATACCTTTGAGATCCAGATCATTTTTGTGATCTGGGGTTGGAATTGATCTAGATCCTTATGAACTATACGGCAACCTCCTCATTGGCAGATCAAAATAGCTTCGCATCAAGATAGTATACTAGATTAGAATAATTAGATCACGAAATATTTTGCTTATAGGAGCAAGATCATTTATTGTTTTGATTCTCAACGCGCCTCTCTGCGTGATCTGGTAAGTAAGAGAAGCGAGTGGTGTCTCTGCATCTCTGGCGGTCAATTTAATATGGAACACGATACAGATCGACAATTCTCAACTCTCACTTCGTTGGAAATGTTTGCCTGGCCCAGGGTATAAATACCCCCAACTTTTCTGATTTCGAACTTCTTCCTCTTTCCAACTCTCCCACACTCCATCATCGACCATCAACCATCATCATCATCCTTCATCATTTATCATGATGATCCTTTATCATTATCATCATCATCCATCATCCACTGGACCACACCCCACCTTTCTTGGGCCTTGATGACTTTGACGTTCAACTCCAACGCGTTTTCTGTTTACCAACGCGTCTGAGGACCTGACTACCACACACATCATTTTCTTTTTCTGAGCTGTGTTGACACTACTTCTTCGCGACATGATCATACCTTGTTGACATCCTGTGGATACAACCTTCTATATCCATGGCCTTCACTATGATTTCCATCATGACTTCGCCTCCTTCACATGTCCTCATCTTATTGACATGACCTTCCACACATATCATGTCTCGACATCATTCATTCACATGTCCTTCTCTTGTTGACATGACCCTTCATGCATATCATGTCTTGCATCCTTCATCCATGTCATCCACACACATGTCTCAGCACTGTCTCGTCAATGGTCCTCTCCTTCCTTGGGCTATGTGGAAACATGTGAGTCTCCATATTCAACCAAATACATACATTGAAATCTGACCATCTCCCATAGCCACCTCCAGGCTCCACTTGCCCATGATCAATCAACGCCCTCCTTCTTTCACCAATCCAGGTGGTAGCACAGCCTGCATTGACACATAGGGGACTGGCACCTTCTGTGCTTATCTTCTGTGACCGTGGCAGGTTTCGCGAGAACCTCAGGACAATCGGCGCAGAGAGCTAAGAGAGGAAGCAGCTATGACCGTGGCGGGTCCCGCGAGACCTCAGGACAATCGGCATAGTGGGCTTCAGGACACGACCTTCCACTTCCACTTTCCACTGCTTGGCTACTATGCCATCTCAGGCTCACCGGAGTCTCGACAATGCAGGTAGTAGCACAACCTGCAGCGCATTTACGCCGCTGGTGCTTATCTTCTGTGGCCGTGGCGGGTCTCGCGAGGCCTCAGGACAATCGGCACAGAGAGCTAAGAGAGGAAGCAGCTATGACCGTGGCGGGTTTCGCGGAACCTCAGGACAATCGGCATAGTGGGCTTTATGGGAATCCACTCCACAGACAAGACGATGCAACACAACACAACACAACACACACTCTCTCTCACATCCATCCATCCATCACGTCAACATGAACTATCCACTACAACCTGGTCATTGAAGTTGGCAACATCTGCCAGGTATCTTTACACCTTTTCATTGCACGTGCTCGGCGCGTCAAGATGTTTGTTGTTACATCTCTGTCTGTTCTTCTTACTGAAGTCTTCCTCGGGGATCACTGGGCGTAAGTCACCTCTTCCCTTCAACGAAAGCTGGCGGGTACTGAATGTTAACATGTACACAGACATTCCTCTCTCCATTCTTGTGGTTAACCCATATCCCCATTACCCAGTTCTATCCTCGGCGACTCGTCACCTCCTCTCTTTCTCCTGTTTCTGTCTCTGTTTTCTTTGTTACGGGGTTCAATACTTGAAATAAAATCCTGCTCTTCCCAACATAAACTTCCTCATATGTAGCGTACTAGTAGCATGTACCTCAACAACTCCTAGTAGCTGTAGCTGTAACTATTTTAGGCACCAGTAGTCATCCTATGGGATATACAATGGAGTTTGGTTTGAAGTATCTGATATTGAATATGATAGATTACTATGCGTGTAGTCTTCCAATTATGGCTCTTCAAAACTCGAGATATCTATCTGCAGCAAAATAAAAAAGATCATAAATGAGAAGAGACAGATGAGAAGACATAAGTAAGTAAAAAAAAAATCTAAGAGCTTGAGGGAACATTCATCTCGATCTCATCACTGGAATAGGTTTCCCGCTTACGACCACCAGTCTGCGGCAAGAACCAACCAGGGTTGATGAAGTTGAAAACTCCAACAGCAGAAATCATCATCGCACCATCCAGCGCAATGAAGTATCGCTCATGAGTAATGAGGTATCCAGACCAACCCTGAGACAGTTCGATAGTACGGTAGATACTCCGAATATAGATGCAGATAACGGAGAAGATCATGGCATACAGCAGCGGAAGGATAGTTCCCTTCATGGGCTGCAGAAGATTATAGCGCAAGGAACGGCGGATAAAGTCGATGGCACAGAAGACGAAGATTGTGACAGAGAATAGTTGGAATACAATACCCGCAACCATGGTGTGTGTTCCAGGTGCGGTGTTTCCGTTCACGGAGTTGACTGCAGCGGAGGCCATACCACCACCGGCGGCCTGGATGACGAGTGAAAGGATGTCGCAAGTACAAAAGATCCAGAGATAGGTTTTTGGCTTGAGGATTGAAGATTCGGGTCCGAGAAGTTGAATAAATCGACCCAGGATAATGTAAATACCAGCAGTGAAGAAAGTTGGTGCTGAGTATGAGGTTAGTATAGGGTTCTGAGTCTTGATGTTCATGTAAGTGTCCACATACCGATAATTAGGGTCGAAATCTGCATCAAGAATGCATCACCGTTGTATGGACATTGACTTGACCATAATCGAGCAGCCCATCCGAGAACCTCCACTATAAGATAGTTAGGGATATTCGTAGAGAATTGATGTGTAGTAGTTTAGAACTTACCCATGCACCCGAGACTAAACACCACACCCCACCATACTCGCTTCCAGCAAAATTGAATGGTATGAACGATCATAGAAATTGAAAATAGGACAACGAAAACGACACCAACTGAAAGGTGTGGTACATATCCATAAGAGGTGCCAACGCCCTCCATATAGGCAACGCAGCCAATTGTTTCTGAAGATACAACCATGATGCCGAGTCCCACTGGCAGTATTATGTGATGAACTTAAGAGAAAAGAATGCAAGGGTGTGCGAACCCTGGGGAATAAATCGGGATGTAAACGATGCTAAGCTTGCCCCGGAGTTTAAAGAGAGAACAAGGGTAACAAACGGATATAAATGAAAGGACAAAAAAGAAAGAAAAAATCAGATAAATCAGCAAAGTACTACTTAATGAATGACACGAAGTATAAAAAACTCGAGTAAGGCTGAGCACCTGTACTATCCCTAAACGAGAATGCTTGCGAGTCCAGATATCTGGAACGAGGGGAGCCACGAGTTATTATAATATTATTATCATTTATGCCGGTTGAAACCGTTTCCGGGCTCCATCGGAGGAACCAATCCCGACTAAAATATTGAATTCACTCTCTACTAGTGAAGGAGATCTTCAATCGCTTATAGGACTAGAGAAACGTTCTTTCTGGATCATTATGGATCTAGTACACGACAAGGTGGGGTCATATATGTCGTTAGGTTATAAAGTCCTACGGATTACGGGCACGGAGTTTGTATAGAAGAGAAAAAAAAATTGAGATTGAACCAGGAACAATACAAGATTGGTCCAGACTGATATTATATTCGGGCCGACTCACAGGATTAATCTGGCTTTCACCTCCAGGGCTCGCAAGCTCCTCTGTTCTTGGTTTAGTGTGGATGGATATAGTGGATTCTGAACCACTCGGGATACCTCGTTAAATCCGATCCGACACTCCCGGGCGGCTAATTCAAGGTCTTTTCAGTGGCAACTTGGTATGGCAGTTCAATATTTCATTTCACACATCTAAAGAAAATTCTAAAGATCAAATGGGATACTGGGATGTGTTTGGACTATATGCAGTAGATCGGGTTCTGACATGGGTAGGTCACACCGCTAGTACTTATACTGATATTCTAAATTCGCCGAGAAGAATTGGAATCCGAGCCTTGCAATTGAGGGGCTCGTTATTTCTTATGTATTTGTAATATATTCTGAAATGCATGTGATAGCAGGGACCTTCTTTGACAGGTATCGAGGCCCATATTTCTTTAAGACAGTGGGTCATTCCCATCAATGCTGCCGATGACTCTTAAACTTGAACTTATGATGCCATTGTCTCTTAGTTCATAGGAGATTTATGCATCTTCCTCTGATAATCAATGCTAACAGCATTCTGATAACGCTGAAGTGCATTGCAAAGTTCAAGTTGCTGACAACACTGTGAAGTGTGACATCAGTCTCTCCCAAAATCGACTCCATACCTCCCCTGAACTCCAGAGGATCATTTAACTCCCCAGTATCTACAACCCAAATCAGCAAACGGAAACCAAGTTGCATAGAGAACTCATTCATGGTTCTCCAGAGCTGTGAGATAATGAAAAAGACCAAGATTGGTCCAGATTCAGACTGTGCTTACTCTCATGATTCGAATAATTAATCTCCTCGATCCAACAATATTATGACGCATCTACAGCTCTCAGTGTCTATTTTGAATCTTCTCTTTAGAATACGCTCCCCTTGAACAGCAGATTATGCCACATGATACCACGCAAATTCCGTTTTAACGAGCACCATACCGAATGGCGTCGTCGTGTCTTCATATATCCAGCAGTCGAACCCAGCTCAAGGCGCGAACGATCAAAAAGCCGTTCGGAAACTCTGTCAGTTGTCCGTGATGGTGAAATGAATACATGTATCCGTGGTGAAGAGGTTATCAAATGCCTTGGTCTACAATGAGCGTGGATGTGCTCCTGCTTTATCCGGAATCATCAAGTCCGACACGTTGAGAACACGAACGCACAGTTTCGGTGCTCGCTCTCGTATGAGTACCACAGTTGCAGTGAATTTGAACACAAGTGCCAATACATACGGGCACAATGTCGGTATCAAGGCCATCATCTGTACAACAACACCGCCCCGCGTGACAATGGTTCTCGGCTTCCTCTGGCGTGGGGTAAATATTTGAATGGGAGTCGCTGCTTCAAGCCCACTATCAGGTTAATATGATTTGACAATCTCAAGCAACGATGCACGGTTGCTAGAAATTTATTGGCCTCCGGGGGTAAGTATACACGACCTCTACGACATCCTGCATCGGACTGTGCCGCTTGGGGTCTTCAACCTTTGAACTATCCATAGCCTTGGATCAGTATTAGGATCAGTATTAAAGTGCGAGACGGAGGCTGACCATTATGATGAATTTGGCGTGATGTATCATCATCTTGTGATACCAAGAAAACTCTCCAAATATCCACATGTGACCTGACAAGGTGTATCCTTGTATGAAACCCTGACACATGTGCTCACTTGGCACCTCAATGACACGTCCTCCACACATTTGACAATGATCCCATTGGGAAATTTTATCCGTCACCTTGAATACTGCATCAAGGTTATTACGCTCCAGTTCATTCAGTGAAGTAGCCTTGCGCTATTTGGGGTTTGAACAAATGATTGATTGGTGGGTTTGCGTGCTGCCTTCATGGCACTTTCTTACGATTGCCGTCATTTGTGAAAAGCTCAATGGGGTTGTAGTCTAAGCCACTTCTGCATGATGTCTAGCTCGTCTTTATCAGAGTTCACCTTGATCAATGGGATTTGATGCGAATGAAATGAACCTTCGCTGAAATGCCCACGACAGATTTTACACCCTGGATAACCCTAAAAAAGACTCAGTGACTCAAATTGTATGAAGAAATGACACAACTGGAGAATAAGTCTACCTCGGGCATTCTCGGGATCAGAATCGGCCAGCGCCACTTCAGAATCGGGGTTTCGGCACGCATAGCTGTCTGAATCCTTGGATGTCTCTCACAGTCCATGTTATAGAACAGTGGAAATTTGTATCAATGTCATCCATGTCCTCCACGAACCGAACTTGGTACCCATATCCACTGAACAAGGCCAGGGATCTTGATGATCTATAATGCGAAGGGGTTGCACTCACTAAGCTTGATTCCGTTGATATGAAGGCTCAACAGTACAGTTCCAGATTCCTGGGTTGATGTATACGATCGCATGCATGATCTACCTAGATGCCGGTTAGCATTTTGTCGCCCAACATGGCTGGTGATACTTACACTGTTATTGGGCCAGACTCAGCCTCTCCATATCCCATCTTGCAGGTCACAATAAGATTGGGATGATCCATGACTGCACCGAATGAAACAGCAAAAGTGCATCCCAATTTTCACCCTCGTGAATTGGACACGGAGTCTCAGCATTGATGTGACTAAGAAAGGGAAAATGTCAGGCTATCGTAAATTCAACTCCAGTCTCCGCCTCGCTCATATTTGCAGTCATACTGAACGTGGAGATAAGATTGTGAAGATCTTGCACGTCTTTAGGACTCTGGGGTTAGATTTTTTTTCAATGATCTTTCTAGCCATAACGCGGCTAGGATCCCTGTCGCTTGTCCTGGGCCGACCATGTAAAGCATATAGAGGTCAATCGCTTTCATATTCGAATTATTCAAATGTTAGTGAATGCTTGAAAATTTCATGAACGTCCACACATGTGACAATCGAGATCTGTTGAGGTAGTACATACAAGCTGCAATGTAAGACGCGGCTCTGCGAAAGTTGAGTAACGCATGGCACGCTTTTTGATCCAATAATATCTAAGACAGAGTAACATCATGATTCAACTTCTCAAAATAACCTGAAAGATATGATGGCATTCGTTGTGGATTCGGCCGATCAAGACTTCGCCTGGCATTGCGGCGTCGGGTTCGTCAGGTTAAGTGTGAGATAATAGGCAGGGATTGACGACATCTAGATTCAAGTTTGAGCGAAAGTGAATGAATACAAAAGAATAATTACAAGAAACATACAAACCACTTTCAAAAGCCAGGCTTAAATTCAAGTTCAACATTCAAGTTTTAAGCGATCTAATAGATTGCCAATTCACGGATCATGCCATGGATGCATTCAAGTTGGGTATATTATCCGGGTTCTCCCATCAGCGACGTCACAACTCTGATACCACTTTGACATCACCTCCATCTCTCCAACTCCACAAACTAGCCATTCATACAGACGCAGGTGACCTGATTCCAAAAGAAACATACACAAGGAATATCTATTTTCCTCGCAGTCATGGTAAAATACATTCTTGCCGTGAACGCCGGCTCATCTTCGGTTAAAGTCACATTCTATACATACGAAAACCCACCAAAAGCCATCGCAGATGCCCAAGTCTCAGGAATCACAGCACCACCACCTGCTCTAAAGTACCAGCGCGGAGCTGTCAAGATCAAAGAGAAGCTGGAGGAAAAGCTGGACACACCCCAGGATGCATTCAAGTACATCCTCAAGCGCTGCTTCGATGACCCCGAGCTCTCGGAGGTTGCCAGTGATGCTGATCTCGCGTATATCTGTCACCGAGTAGTTCATGGTGGTGATTATATGGACTCGGTTAAGATTACTGATGAAACTTTGCACCATCTTGAAGCCTTGGAGGATCTTGCTCCACTGTACGTGATTTTAGACGTGAAGTTCCGGGCTATGCAAGCCAACGTAGGAGCTATTACTGATGCGAAATATAGGCATAATTTTTCTGCGCTTGAAATCATTCGGCTTTGTAGGAAAGAACTTCCTAGTGTACCGAGTATCACTTTCTTTGACTCGGCCTTCCACCAGACTATGCCGCTTCACGTGAAGACTTATCCTATAAATCAGAGGATTGCACAAGCAAACGGGTTACGGAAGTATGGATTTCATGGAATCAGTTACTCGTTTATTTTACGCTCTGTTGCTCATTTCCTGGGTAAACCGGCTGAGCAGACTAATCTTATTGCGATGCATATTGGGAGTGGAGCTTCGATATGTGCTATCAAAGATGGGAAATCGATTGATACTTCGTGAGTACCTCTAGTCTGAGGGCGGACTGTAGCAGTACGCTGCTGTTTTTATATATTCCTACGGAATTCCACTAACTATTGTCTTATAGGATGGGTTTGACACCACTTGCCGGATTACCTGGTGCAACAAGAAGCGGCTCTATCGATCCATCGTGAGCTCCTTTCCCCATAAGTGAACCTCCAGCTAGTAGAAACATCATGCTAATTAACCTCGTGATACTAGCTTAGTCTTCCATTATACTAACGAAGCGGGGAAACTGAGCCCCGCAAGTACGACAGAGATGCATATTAGCACAGTAAGACCAAGCTACTCTATTATTCACATGAGCGAGCGAATACGATCTAACTCGTGTACCCACTTAATAGGCAGAAGAGATCCTCAACAAGCAATCTGGGTGGAAAGCTTTGACAGGTACCACCGATTTTGCGGAGATTGCAGTGGAGAACCCACCAACAGAAGCGCACAAGCTTGCATTCGAGATTCTAGTAGATCGGATACTGGGCTACATTGGTAGTTACTACGTAAAGCTGAACGGACAAGTCGACGCCCTTGTCTTTGCTGGGGGCATTGGAGAGAAGAGTGCACTTTTACGCCGTACCTTGACTGAGAAGTGTCGGAGTCTAGGCGTGGCGATCGATCCGGAAGCTAATGAGGAGGGACCTGGTGATGAGACGGTCAAAGATGTCTCCCAGGTCACCGGCAAGGGGCCTCGGGTAGTAATTTGCCAGACCAATGAACAGGTGAGATATAAAGAAAATCTATTTTGAATATTTTATTTGTTGCATTGAGATTTGTTTGCTAATTGACTTCATTCGCTGCAGTTTGAAATGGCGTACCACACTGTTTGTTCTCGGGGCTGAGGGGAGTCACTCCGTAAATGATGTGGCAACTCTGGAATGTAAATGATTAAATGATTTATTCCAAATTAAATGTGACAGGTTGACGATATGATGACATCTTAACGGATGGAGAAAGTTCTCGATTCAGTTCACCCCGTATTGTTTATGGATAGGTATCCTGTACCTTTCTTTTCTTTTCTTTTTTTGTCATTCTTATTCTGAAGGAAGGGGAGAGAGAAGACAGGTCCCTGCATTCCAATGCAGTGCTTTGAGTCTAATCTACTGAAGATCGAGACGAATCCGTGAATCCGGTTCATTGGGTGGCACTGGCACCGAGGAATGAATATGATGCATCGAATGAACCTGGTGGTCGGATTCGACAGCTTGCATCGGATTTCCCGTTCCGCGAGACATCCCCAAGGTTGATCCTCTAGTGTAATGCAAGAAGCGGGAAGGGGCGCAATCTTCAATCTTAGCATCGCGATCGGGGAGAATGGGGACGATCTGTAAGAGTCTGGATCGAGACGAGATAGATGAAGGAATCCTAAGGCGCTAATACGGTTTTAAGTCGTGATCTACAAGAAATAAGGTACAAACTTTTTTGGGGATCTGAATAGAAATGGAGCTCGTGAGACAGATAGGTACGAACATTGAATATAGTAGAATAGTAGTTCTGCTTACTCCGTAGTATGTACTTTAGGGATGGGATTCCATATCGAGGTTTCTCCGTACTTCGTTCTCCGTATTTCCCACCATGTATCTTCTCAAACCCACTAGTGAAATTGGTCTTGATCGCTTCTGCATGGAGTAGTGATCGATCGGTGAAATCCAAAGAGAGAGAGAGAGGTTAGGTCATAGCGGTCTGCAAGATAATTGTAACTGTAAGTTGCAGTGCAAGTTATGCTGCTCATGAATGTACTCCATATGTACTCCGTACTCCGTTCTCCGCCCTCTCTGTACGCCGCATATGTAGCGAAGCGAGTGTCAACCTGCAGCCCAAGTGCCATGTACGACGCCGATCCGATGAACCCAGGGGTGTTCCAACCTCCCAAAAACCCGCGTCGGAGGCGCACATTTGAAAAGCTGATTTTCTCCACTGGTGGACATTAATGTGGATGGAAACATCAACCGTCAATCAATGAGTGGCTGCGGAAAGACGGGAATGTGAAGCCGGCCGCTAGGAATGTTCCAGTGGGTCACTGCAAGTGTGTTCGATTGATCTGAAAATCTGATTTCTGAAATGGAATACTATTACAGTATGTCCCTCCTGCGTCACGATCTCACTGGGGAAAAAAGCATCTCGAGTCAGGGGCGATAGACCCGGTAGGGGGGAAAAGGAGGCGATCCAAACCCGACACGATGGATGTTGGGGCCGTGGAGTCGATCGTCATCTTTTTGATTTTCATCCCATTTTTAATTTGAGTATTTTTTTTTCTCCTGGCACCTGCGAGTTAATTTGAGTCGGGTCAAGGGCAATCCCTAGATATCCACATTCTTTCTGGATGCTTTCCGGGTGGTTGAAGATTATCACGGAAGTCGCCGCAGGTTTCCGACGATCTTACTAGTAGTGAGAACTTGAAAGTGATAGAGAGAAATGTTTGAATTTGAATATTTTAGCAAGAACTTGAACTTGAAAATGATGCAAGTTTTGTTTATTTTGATTAATCAAATTATGTTGAATCCAGTTGAATCCAGATGGATTCAACGGGATCCCAAAAAAGAGAATGATTGCGTACTTTGGTTATTTCTTTTACACACAACCTGGGAAGATGTCTAGACTCGAGTCCATTATTTCTTTTTCGACTCAGAAAAAAAATGAAGAAAAATGCATCGTGGATCATTGGACTCGGGGATCCAAATTGTCGGGTAACTGCAGTCAACTTTTTCCCATTATAACTTATAAATTATAAGTTTTGTTGCGGAGTACGGAGTACGGCGGAATACCATACCTTAGATAAACACGTTCCAGAAGCTTTCTGTTTGTGGGTTCTCAATTTTTTTGATTTCTTTATTTTCTTTTTACCTCTTTGGGTAGAGAGAGGATCGACCGGCTTCACTTCCGCGAAGCCCTAGTGATGTTGGGGAATTTGACCTTGCACTATCGAATTAATTACAATGACCTACCTGATAATCTACATGATAATCTACGAGGTATGGAGTGTACTCCATATTTGCATCTAGAACATTCAATGAAATTCATTAGACTTGAAGCACTTAAGTCCAGTATGTACATATGCACATGCGTTCTAGAGCATATCCCCAAAAAGTGGGCATAGGTGTCATCAAAAATGGATTACGCCACAAGTAGAAACTCCGCAGTCAAGCAGATCAAAATGTTGTCAAGTGGACCAAATACCAATGAAAATGAATTCTCTAACGGCCGCCACAATTGTCTACTTTTTGGGATATGCAACTTGACATATCGAGATCGAACAAAGAAACGGTGTACCATGTACCGAGTCTTGACCTTGACCACCCCCTGCTTGTATCAAGCTGTAAGGCGGTTAACCAAGTCCAAGTTATGGGGCTTTCCCACCCCCTGATCCCTGAAAGCGCCACTATGCATGTGCGTAATGTTGTGACCGGCGATATACCGATCGGAGTATTTCCATAGGGCGCTCGGAGTAATGTACGGAGTACGGAAAATTGGGATCACTCTATCTATACTTCTTGATTTTACTTTCAAGTTACTTTTTTTCACCTATTTGATTAAGAGTCACGGTACGGAGTACACGAGACTACGTAACAGATCCTCCCGAAAAGAGCCCAAGTAGTTCATGCCAGTTAAACCTTGTTCCGAGACTAATGCATCGAGCCGAAGTCTGGAGACGCGTTTTTCTCAGGAACCCGCTGTGGCAAGCCTGTGACTGGATCAGCGTCACGGTTGAGGGCCTTGGATCGAAGCCGTTATACCCTAATCGAAAACCCTGAAAGAGGAAAGAAAAAAAATAATCCGAAAAAATAATAATAAATGAAAAAAGAAAGGGGGATTAATCAACAAAAATCTAGATTGAAAATCCTTCAAATACTAGTAGTATTCATCGGGGAGCACGGAGAAAATATTCCCGACATTTATCCTTGGGGACCCAGTAACTAAAGTAAATAGAGCGTCCACAAAGTTCTGGAAGACATCAATCCCAACCTTCTCTTCTTTCTCCCGTTTCTAGCGTTATTCTAGCTGTAATAGAAACGGGGTCTTCCCGAGCCTGTTGATGGGGAAATAACTTGCCGGATCCACCAAAGAGAACATTTTGAAAGAAAAAGGAAGCTGGTCAACTCCGTTCTCTCCACTTTCAGGACTCCGTTCAGTATCCATAATTTTCTCTTTCAGTCTGAAATTGTGGATGAAAATCAGAAAAACCCCGAGTTCATTTCCCGATCGGATCAGTCTACTGCAACGTAAATACTATGAGGCCCATATTTGGGGCCATATTGGGAGGGTTTTCTACCGCGTGCGACCCACTGAGGATCATCGCCAATTCCCATCTTGGAGCCTGAGCACCACGAATAAGGATGCGTTCTGGACGAAGGTGGCTTGAAGAGGCGGCATTCACATTAGCAACTGTTAGATAGAACAGAAAGGACACCTATGTTATGTCAACATTGGTCACTAGTAAGCGCTTTTCATTGACTGCTTCGCCACAACTGGAGCACTTGAGATATACTAGGAAGTTTCACTTGCCGTGTCATTTTTTTCTTTTCTTCTTTCTTCGATCTCGCTAACGGCTTCGGACTACAATTCCGCGGTAGATCTTTAGGCCCGATTGAAATGGGTGATTTAATTCCGACAAGCCACTAGGGTACAGCATATAAATAGTTCTAGACTTGGATGGAGTTGAGCTGTGATCTATTCATCCAGAACCCTTATTACACATGTGTATGGACGAATGAGTCGCCTAGGATAGGCTGAAACAAGGTGACGAACTAATTGACGCGGAAGGGGGTGGGAAATAGGAATAAGACGTGACCAAGACCTATAATTTCCACTACGGGATCATGAAGTCACCATACGCGGATTACCATCGAGGAGCTTCTATGGAGTCATTTAGAAGGGCTCCAGAGTGGCGAGGTAGAAAATAACAGCTGACGCATGGGATTTGAAGCCAGCTATGTAATAGGGGAAGCTCAGCGGATATGGGGGTGGGTCCCCTTAACTGTTTTCTGCACCAGGGAATCCAAAAAATTCCTATGGAGAACAATTACCATACCGCGATGTGGGCGATGTGGGCGATGGACCCAAGTCCCCGGGGAGACTAGAAAGGCTAGAAGGTGAAAAGAATGTTCATACGTAACCGAGGAGTGGGTTTATTCGAGCTTCTGATTTGACTATGAGAAATCGACGCGCCGTAACGAGTTTTCGGGGCTTCGTAGCGCGCCCCGTCCCACCCCCTATGATGGGTCTGTTGTTTTTTTCATCCCAACAGGAACGAATTATCTCGATCTGTGTTGGTTAAAAAAAAAATCACTACGTAGATAGAGAAAAATCCATTCAAAAAAAAACAAATACCTATCATGAGACGACCGGGCGATATTGGGCGCGAAACCAAAACTTCGGAAAGCAAAAAGAAAGGTGATAAACCGAATGACTGGCTTTGTTTGAATCGTGATTGTAACAGATTGTAACAGATTGCGGGACAAGATAAAGCGATTGGTCGATTAAGATTCCCGAGACTTACTCCGTAGTTATCACTAGAATGAGGCTATTGGTTTGAGATTTCCCCGAGTAATAAGACAAGTTGAACCTATAACCTTAGGACTTATAACTATTTATTACCTAGTAGTGATAGTTTAAGATGAATGTCTGAACTTGATCACACCAAGTGCTTTTAATGTGAAATGACACTTATTTAAGTTCAAATATTGACTCCCCCCTAGGTAATAGTTACCTACCTAGATAGAGAACATTTGAATACAGCTATGAAACATTGTCCTTCGGTACCTAGGCATCATATGTCAGAGTCTACCCAAGGACCCCTGGGATTGAGCATTTGAATGGTTGAAGCGGGTTAGTTCCCAAGTTTCCGAACTGATCTAGTACTAAGATAGTTAGAAAATGATCCATCTGTCCGATGGAGCTCGAACCACGCGAGAACATTTGAAGAAAGAGAGTCTCCAGATGTCCCAGAGGTCCCATGTCCAACTCGAAGCTGTCTTATTTCGGATGGATCCGTTTTTTCCCTTCTGTTCCTGCGGCTGTTTCCTCCCCTACTCCACTTATGCAAAAGGCTCCCCGAGGATTTGGTTCCTAGCTATTTTTCATTATTTCCTGGGTCATCCTTTTCCCCCTAAGTGGATGGAAGGAATGAGAGCTCTCATCGGGGGAATCAGAATCATATGCATGGTACTTGTGTGATTAGGTATGGGAGTAAGGTACGATTGAAATTATGATATAGATAAAAAATCTACCCGTATATCAAGCCCCGAAAAAAAAAGAAAACAAGTGTGGCTGGGGTGATGATGTATCGATAGAACCTTGGAAATTGTGATGAATCATGGGGTTTTGATTGATAGCACCTGGGCAGAAAAGGACAAAAAAAAGCAGGCTTAGATCGTCCTGGTACTCCGTATGTATTTTGTACCGAGTACCAGAACGTTATAAGAACGCAGGAAAGGGGGTTGCGTTCCTGTTCCCCGGACAAGGGGACGGGAGAGCCGCTCGGTGCTAAACAAAGAAAAATATGGAGCCTATGAGCTTGTGATTTGCAAAATAAAAATATTTATTTAGTAATTTTGGGATTTTGGGATTTTCTTTTTTAGGTATTTTCTATTGATCATTTTTGGTATTTTTTTTTCTTCTCTAATTATTCTACTCCTTGTAATTTCGATTTATTGCTTTTCATCTTTTATTTTATTTTATTTCTTTTCTAAGGCGCTTTTTTTTTCCCTTTTATTTTATTTTGATTTATTATTATTATTTTCATCTTTTAATTTATCCTTTTCTCATACGTCTTTTCTGGAATTGCATTTTGGATTTTCTGATTTAATATTTTTTTTTATAATACTAATAATAAAAAAAAAAGAAAAAAAAAGAGAAGATCGTCCTACACACTCTTTCACTGATATCCTATATCTACGCAATCACTCCCTCCCCTAAAGTTGAAATTTATTTATTCTCGAACTTCCTTAAGGGACCAAACATCATTATCTTGGACATACCCATCCATAAACGCCTCCCCCTACTTCAAAGTCCCTGTCCTCCCTTGCGATACTTAGTTTTTTTTTCAACCCGGATCTACCGGACCACCCTTCCGCGGCACTTCTCCTTCCAAGGGCCCCCCTAGCTATCCCTTCTGGCCGTTTTTCTTGGTTCAGATCGCGATTTTATGAACTTGATTCTGCAGCCACCCTCGCGCTTATCATTTTGAATCTCCTGGCCAAATCCGACTTTACGATCTTCCCGTGGTACAAACCCATAAAAAGCAACGAGCGACGACCTGTCGAGCCTCTTGTCCAACAACTTACAACCTATTACTCTTATTTGTTGGGGTTTCTGTGTCGTCACATTCCTGCCCTACAATCTGCTGTTGCCCGCATCGTCCTAGTGGTCACCTTTAAAAAGGATCAACCTTTCCGATCTCGACCGCATTACACATCCATCATTGCCGCCTACCCTTGTCTAGAACCTAGTCGTCCGTCTTTTTCTTTTTTCTTTTTTCGGGGGTGGGATAGGGAGTTCGTTTGCCTGGTTGTTCGAAGCTCCGGCCGAAAACGACTATATAAGATCCGTTCGTGGTCATTTTTGGTAAGTTCTTCATCTCATTCCTCATTTCAAGTTGCAAAGTCGCATTCAGATTTCTATCTACTTGCAACTACCATACTTTGCAAAATCCACCTTTTTCACCTTCAATCTTGACCTAACAATGATTGCCTCCGCAGACCTTAATATGATTCTTCGGGACCTGTCGGCCTTCAACATGGGACGCGGTGCTTACGATACTACTGGTGTGAAGAAGCCTGGTGCTCCTCCTCCACCTCCCAAATAAATTCGCAAATTGATTTGGGATTGTTATTTCATTGCGCGGTATTTTGGGAATTTTATTTTATTGTTGCCTGGCACTATCTGCTAGCAATTGACGCTTCTACGCCTTGGAGTTGGCACTCTTTTTTGGTGAGTCCCGAAACCGAACGCCTTATTTTGGGCACCAACTGAACAATAACTAACTTCGGTACTAGACAACTGTAACACTATTCATTTTGGATTTTATGGTGTTCCTGTTCTTTTTTTCCTTTCGGTCATATCCTTGCAACTTTTCGCCACCGGATTTGCGCGACCAACTTTATACCCTTTTAATTATTCTTTCGCATCGGTTTCGGATTCCCCTCAGCGTCGACGCTCTATTATTTCTTGATTTTCGACTTTCTATTCGAGTCATGCACGCTTTGAACCTCATCTCGGAACCCGCTCTTCTATCCGCCACCTTATCTTTTACACCTTCTACCGACGACATGACTTCCCCGGGGTTACCTTTTCCTTGATCTCTCAAAAGTTGTTTCATGTGTTTTTTGTTTTCCTATCTCTCTTATGTGGTTCTCTGCTTTTTTGATTTGTTTCTTTTCGACGGCGTTTTGGTATAGACGGGTCGGATTTTGTTGCATGGGATGCATGGGTTGATACCAGAAGAACCTAGACCTTCGACCACACGGTCAATAGCACGTTTTTGCTGATATTCTATTTTTGGAATCATTTTCTTTTTGACTATATCGGGAATTTGTATTTAGATTTCTATGTCAACTTGACAGCTTTGATGTGTGTATCATAACCTCCGCGCGCGCGAAATGTAAAAGCGCCTATCGGCTTTTTCTATCTTAGCTCCCGGTCCCCTCAGTCTAGCCCACGGTCCAATCCATACTTCAAGACAAATCGTAAAAAAGATCTTCTACTGTTTGACAGATGCCAAATGTCGTGTCCCTCGGGTTTGGCAGATGCAGGCCGAATTGTGTCGATGCGTCGGGCAGATTTGCTTGGGGACTACCGAGTCCAGGAACCGCCGGCCTGATTTTGGATGTGCGCTTTGTTCAATGCATCGGCAGAGACATCCCGACCAGTCGCCGCTACCCGACATCATCTTGCATATACCCGTTGGGCACTAGCCTGGCCCAGGAACGAGGTTTCGTGTTCACGAGTTATCGGAGAATCTTGTTCTACAACTGCCAGATGCATTCTCTGCAGTCATGGTGGGCATTTTCTGGTCAAGTCCTTAGCTACTCCAGATAATTCGTACCGTGATCACTTACAGGCTCAGATCCTTTTGGGCCCAATGAAGGATGAGTAGTGCATACTTGGTACCTTCAAGTTGATCATAATTTTTTTTTAGGGAACGGGGTACAAGGTTTCTTCCCAAGGTTGACAGCAAGCTTCTCGTCGACCGTACTTGCAAAAGTACCATTCCTCCGCTGGTAACTCTTATCTCCGAATAGTTAAGTTTAATTCGGTGCTTCATTCTTCTAGAATGCATTCTGTGGTTCAAATGCCCTTTTCTGGAAGCCTGAGTGAGTTCATTGTTGTTCCTGATATTGATCTTAGCTCTTTCCACTCCTTAAGACACATGTTACTAAGAACCGGGAATCACATCGCCCCACCTTGGATAAAACTTCATTGACTCAAATTAAGCTTACAGTCAGATCAATTTGCAGATAATCCCTGTGATCGTCATATACTTTCCAAAGGTTCCAAGGTTCTACGCATTGGTATATGCACCCTGCTCTATATGGCTATACGGGGATACCACGTGACTTCGGAGTATGGTGTTTGCGCTAAGCCATATTTGGGAAGTGCATCATCATTGACCTCCGCCTTAACAAGTGATATCCTCATCTCTCTCAGATTACCGGTGCGTTTTGCGACATCTCCCCGAGATCCTCCCTGAATTCTGATTCAGCCCTTAAGAGAATCACATATCCTTCAATCTATCCCTGTCTTACATTCCCGGCAGCTGACCTAAAGACGAGGTTTCAGCTGAATATCGCCAGCTCAGCCTTCTGCCTGATCGCCGATTGTTTGACAGGCGTTGCTTCCTGCACGACGGCCTAACTGATTCTATCGTTCCCGTTCCCTGTGTTCTCCGAATTCTCTTACAGCCATGTCCGAATCAGCCGGTGCAAATGGTCCCAAGCCTAGCAGCAGCGTCAAGCTTGTCCTGCTGGGAGAGGCGGCCGTAGGAAAGGTACAAATCGTCCTTGCCACGTTACACAGGGAGCCAATCACTAATCAGATGATTCCGCTACATAGTCTTCCCTTGTACTTCGGTTTGTCAACAATGATTTCCAGGAGAACAAAGAGCCAACAATCGGCGGTAAGCAGGCCTCCATTCCTCAGCCCTTCTCCCCAAAGATCAGCAAAGGATGAAACAGACCCCAGACGGGGATCTTCCATTATGTACGGGATTACGTCCCATTCAAATGGGGCCTTGCATGGTGTTACATGTTACATCTGGGGCAAACCATTCAAATGACCCAGCAACTCATCTTTAACCCTCGAGACTTGACCTCGTGCAAATGTGCTAACGTCATAATCCAGCTGCTTTCCTCACACAGAAATGCGCCCTTCCTACACGTACAATCAAATTCGAGATCTGGGATACCGCAGGTCAAGAACGCTTCGCCTCACTCGCCCCAATGTACTACCGCAACGCCCAAGCTGCCCTCGTGGTCTACGATGTTACCAAACCCTCTTCGCTGACCAAGGCAAAACACTGGGTGGCTGAGCTTCAGCGCCAGGCTAGCCCCGGTATTGTCATTGCCCTTGTCGGTAACAAGCTGGACTTAACCAATGACGGTGGTGACACATCTGCTGCTCCCGAGACCGAGTCTGAGTCGGCTGGACCCGACGGTGATGAGGCAACTGGTGAAGAGGGTGAGGAACAGGATGCGACACCGGGTGATGCTCGAAAGGTTTCTACACGTGAGGCGAGTGGTTATGCTGATGAAGAGGGTCTATTGTTCTTCGAGACCAGTGCAAAGACCGGGACGAATGTAGTAGATGTCTTTACAGCCATCGCTAATGCTATTCCTGAGAGTAGTTTGAAGACTGGCCGGGGTGCCGCTGGTGCTGGTGGACAGAATACTCTTGGTGGTCGCTCTGGAGATGACTCTCGAGTCAATCTGGGTGATCGAAATGCTGCCACAGCTAAAGAAGGCTGTGCTTGTTAATGTGTTCCCTGGCCTTGCCCTGTTTTTCGATTCCATGTCTCCTTGCAAACTTTTTCTTCATGTGTGTAGGCGTGTGTCCTTTTTCACCATACCTTTTTGACGCCTTTATTTCGTTTCTTCCTGCCTTTTCTCCAAGATCATTCGTGTTTGTTTCAACACTAGAGGCATGAATGGATGTCTCTATTGTACATCTAGTATACCACCTGGTCTTTTTTTTCTTCATCTTCTTTCTCAGTGAATGATACAGTTCTTGCCTAGAATGTATAGACCATGACACTCTTGAATAGACTCTTAATAGTATACTCTTGTTAAATAAAAAAAAAATATTAAAATCAATATGGAACGAGTAGCCAATCAGAAGCAGCCGAGGGCAGGGTAGTCACGGGACCACCAATCCCCTAAGGGGGAAACGCACTAACCCCAAATAGGAACGGGCGCACCCTAAGCGAATATGCCGATCCCACAGCAAATTCCCATTTGGCTTCTTGATGCGAGAACACCTCCCCTCCGCCGACATCTCAACCAGCACAACCCGCAGCACCCCGTTGCTCAAAATGGCCGCTGTCAACAAGATTGCCCTCAACTCGCCCTCCCGGCAGAGCCCCTCCGAGCTCGAGACCGCCATCGCCGGCGCTCTGTTCGACCTCGAGAGCAACACACAGGACCTGAAGGCCACCCTTCGTCCTCTGCAGTTCACCTCTGCCCGCGAGGTAAGAAATGCGCCTTCGCCTTCGCCCAACAGAAACCATTGGAATTGCGTCGACGGATTGTTATTTGTGTGAAAGAGGTGGATTTGATTTGTGGATACTATGGGAATGTGTCGAATTGCCTCTCAATTCTTTCTACAACACTCGACAAGGCATTATCGACATGGATGGAATTTTCAACGATCATGGATAATATGGACACACACCGACAACACAAAACTTCGTCGACGCTGATTTCTGTGGAGATCTGGAATTTTTAATTTTTGTTGTGCGCGTGCGGCACATTGGACAACCCAGTATTCTAACATGCTATATTAGGTTGAGGTCGGCCACGGCAAGAAGGCTATTGTCATCTTCGTCCCTGTCCCTCTCCTCCAGGGATTCCACAAGATCCAGCAGCGGTAAGACTCCGATTGAAATCCGACATCGAATAACCACCATCTACGACACGCGGAGGGCTACCATGTTCTCCGTGGGTGGAATTTCTTATCAGAACTCAAAACTAACGAAATCCCATCAGCCTGACCCGTGAGCTGGAGAAGAAGTTCTCTGACCGCCACGTCCTCTTCGTTGCTCAGCGCCGCATCCTGCCCCGCCCCAAGCGCTCCGTCAACTCTCGCTCCAACCAGACCCAGAAGCGTCCCCGTTCCCGCACTCTGACCGCCGTCCACGACTCCATCCTCACCGACCTGGTCTACCCCGTTGAGATCGTCGGCAAGCGCATCCGCACCAAGGAGGACGGCTCCAAGACCCTCAAGGTCGTTCTGGACGAGAAGGAGCGTGGTGGTGTTGACCACCGCCTCGATGCTTACGGCGAGGTCTACCGCCGTTTGACCGGCCGCAACGTTGTGTTCGAGTTCCCCCAGAGCGGCGCTGAGTACTAAGCTTGCTTTGCTTCTGTGTTGTTATGAAAGGGAGGGAAAGGAAACGGAAAGGATGTCGGTGTATGGGATTACTTGTTTCTAGGTCTTGAAACTCAACTAGATTCAAGGAAAGCATGACAGGGTGAAAAGACCAAAAAATGCATTCACGGGTTTTTCTTTGATTTATGTGCCCCCCTTCTTCCATTTGACTTGGTGCATGGTTTCGCTCTCGGGATTTCCCTCAAAAGTGCTGTTTCTTTTCCTTTTTTTTGTTCTTAATGAATTGAGGCCTTTTGAGGGGACCAGAGGGTAAGCCGACGGAGCTAAGTTTTCCATCCGGACCCGTGTTTTCTTCTTTAATGAGGATGGGATGGGATATGTGATAACTATTCCAATTGAGCATTTCCGAATTTCAATTCGTGTCGTAGGTCTAGTTGCTCTGCTCTACCTCCAGGGCTATCATATGGGTGACACGGGGAGGCTGCATGCCTTCCCTATCTAAGATCTAGACTATATTCGCCCTAGGCTGTTATAGTTAGTAGTAACCTTATGCGCTGGGGCACCTCCCCGCATTATACAATCTGAGTAGCCCCATCCTCAACTCCTTCTCAACAGTCATTTTGAAAGAACCGATTGTACCAAAATGGCTTGATATGCTATGTATAAAGGCTAAATACAGGGTATGAACAAAGGAAAACAACATCTCTATGAGGAACCTGCACACTTAAAAGGAATCCTGAATCCTTCCAACACCCAGTACCATCCAGTAAGCCAATTCCCTCGCAACCAGATCATCAGGCTTCGAAGCCTTACCCACATTCTGCTGCTCAAGCTGTGCCTCCGCATCCCACTCCATATGCACAAAGACCGGAATCTCCAGTACATCCTCATCCTGGTTTGAACCATTCACCACACCCTCATCCCCCTCATTACCTCCAACAGTAGAAGTCTCAGCCTCGGAACCAGGCAATGTCCCCGGAATAACTTCTAGTACAACGGTTGTCCAGTTTCGACCCTTATCCCAAACTTTACCTGCCTCGGGCACTTTCTCATGAGCTCGTAGACTCGTCATCCGCGAATCACCCGTAACAGGAGCCGAAGCACCCTGCAACGCCTCATCCCATACATCGCTGTTTGCGCCAATATCGAACTGAGGACAAAGCACGGTGACTCTGCTCGCGACACGACCTGGTGTTACAGAGGGCGTAGCGAGCGTGATGCGAACAGGATCGAACATGTGATTCTTTAGTGTGAGTAACACATGAACTGGTCTTAGTGGAGGCAAGGCATTAAGATCTTGAGGCGGTGGTGGAGGAGCAGTCATGGAAGCAGGCAGAGCAAGTGGACGGAGAGTCGGGAGGGGGATGTAACTAAGTGCAATGAGACGAATACGGAACCGTGTAGACTGGGGCTTCGTCTCTGGTTTCACGAGAATATGCTTGCAGGATTTGCAGCGCTTGGATCGCTTGGTACGGAGGAGTGCTGGTAGTGGGAGGAGCTCGTCGACGAAACGCACATCTGGGGATTGTTGCGAGCGTTGCTCGATTGATGCGACGCTGTCCCAGCCGCCATCTGCAGAAGCGAGTCGCTGAATTATGGCACTTTCTTCGGTTTCGGATGCGATGCGTAGACCCTCGCTTGCGGTAAGCGCCTCTCGCATTACTGGTGGCTTTGATTTGGTTTTCTTGTTACCGCCGTAGAGTCCGCTTAGGCGAGATGAGGAGGCGTAGAGAGACATGAGCCGGTTCAGAGCGCCTGGTGATGAGAACCCGAAGTCTGAGCCTAGAGGGTCGCTGGGAGAAGTCGATGTCTCTGAGATTTGGGTACGATAGAAGGACTTCAAGGCTGCGAAGCGAGCATCTGTGTTTGAAGGACCAGTCTCCGATGGTTCCTCCTTTGATGCGGGTGTATCTTCGCCTCCCTCTTTAGGAGCAGGCTGTCCATCCGCAATAGAAGTCAAAGTCGACAAAGGAGATTTCAAATCCCCAAAGGCGCGAGAGCCTTGTCTTGATCGGGTATCAAATGCAGGTGCTGCCGTGGCATCGGTCATCTTTTGCAGTTGGTTGCGAATATTGGTTGGTTTGTCAAACTTGATGCCGATGTCGAGCGTCGTCCACATGCAGTAGCCGCAAGACAATACCCACGGACCTTGTTGAGTACCATTGCCTGTCACGTTTTCAAGGGTGCTGACAGCCAATGGAGATGTACAGACAGGGCAATTGAAGCAGTTGCGACCACATCTGATGAAATATTGTTAGCAAGAGGGTCATTGCAGTCGTGGTGGTCGAGTCATACCGATTTCCATCACTTTTCACCATGCTACTTGGTGTCTCAAATAGACAGCTCGGACAATACCAGCTTACAATTTCCTCTGTTATGCATCGAGAGCACTTGATCTGGTGACAATCCTCACAATACAGCAGCTGCTCCGGTGGGTATAGTGAGAAATTGGACCTTGGGGATCTGGGATTGAATGTCTGTTCTTCATCCTCATCCTGTGCCGTTTGAATCTCCTCCTTCTTAGTTTTCTCCGAGTCTTCTGGCTGGGAAGTCTCCGGTCGTTCTGGGGTCGGTTTTCGCGGGGACTCCCTGGACCTCCGCTTCCTTTCCGGGTCAGGGACCCGGGTATCGGCACAGGGGCACGAGATATAGGTGTATGGAAATGGGCGCGACATTGTGTTATGGTCTGCGAGTAGAAAGATATGTACGATCGGGTAATGCGTTTCAGAGACAAGGTGGTTCGTTAGGTCAATTCATGCTTCGCGTTAAAGGAGTCGAGACAGTGATCTGGAGAGGATAGATTGCGACGCATAGAATGACAGCTTAAGATTCAGTGCTGCCCAAGGTACTGTTAGGATCAGTACATGTTCGTCAAGTATCGGACTCCATATGGATGATTGTCCCGCGCGCCATTTCGTCGCGGGGGTAAGGAGTTCCTTTGATGCGCGAGCACATACCGTGAAAACGTAGCCCAAAGTAGGTGCAAGTATGTTATTAACTTGCTGTGCAGTATGTCGAAATGGAAGTCCCGGTCATATGACTCGTATTTTGCGGGGTGGATTCCTGCAATGGCGGACTCAAGAAAATGCAAGTGTCGCGGAGATTGAGCTGCGGAGTTGGGCTATCAACAATCGACGTCAGAACAAAATTTAGAGGTTTCTCCACCTTCAACTTTCCACTCCTTTAACACCACCGCTACCACAGAACATATAAGATGGACTAGGATTCTTGGTCTTGATATTACTGCTCAAAAATACTCGAAATCCAGCTATAATGATATCCCCTCACATTATGCGCCCCGGCCTTCCGCGACGATGTCTGTTCGCAGCATCAAGCGTCCGATCCTACGCTAGTCAAACACCAGGCAACCCCATGCTTGAGATATTCAATCGCAAGACAAAGCATTTACAGAAGGACCGAGCTGCGCGGAACGTTGAGGAGAGCCGAAAAGTCGATTACTTGAAAGATGAGGTGGCAATGCGCTTATGCGAACGGTTGCTGGTAAGGATGTCTGTGCGGATCGAAGCTAGGAAAGCTATAAAGGCTCAGCAAACAGTGACTAACTCGCAATTACATTCGTGGTTGCTTAGGACATCAAGCGTGATTTTCCAAATGTCCTTGATCTTGGCGCAAACAGCTGCAACATTGCGCGGATGTTGACGACACCCTACATCGACGAAGGGACACCCGAGGGTATAATTACACCACCCCTGTCATCAAAAATCTCCAAACTCACATGCGCGGATACATCACGAGCGTTACTTCACCGAGATGAGGATATGGACTTCAATAAGGAGATCGACATCCACCGCGACGTGATTCCGGACTTGGAGACATTGCCATACCAGCCAAACACATTCGATGCAGTACTGTCCTCGCTATCAATTCACTGGATCAATGATCTGCCAGGACTGCTTAACCAAGTGAACACTATACTCAAGCCGGATGCTCCTTTTATTTGTGCTATGTTTGGCGGTGACACCCTGTTCGAGCTTCGGGGATCGATGCAGCTTGCTGATCTCGAACGACGCGGTGGTGTGAGTCCCCATGTGTCTCCACTTGCAGATGTGAAGGATGTTGGAAGTTTGTTGAACCGCGCTGGTTTCAAGATGCTTACGGTGGATGTTGAGGATATCGTGGTGGAGTTCCCGGATACATTTGCTCTCATGCAAGATCTCCAGGCTATGGGTGAAAGCAATGCTATTATGCACCGTGAGGCTGGTCCCATCTCCCGGGATGTCTTGTTGGCTAATGAGGCTATCTACCGTACCTTGCATATGGATGAGGATGCTCCCGGTATCCCTGCTACTTTCCGAATGATCTATATGATTGGCTGGAAAGAGGGTAAGAACCAACCGCAGCCATTGCAGCGCGGTAGTGGTGATGTCAATCTCAAAGATATCCTTGGAGGAGGTGATTTTTCAAAGCCTTGAGATCTCACAGCATATAGTGTACAAGGGGGAAAAAGTCAGGCCGAGGGTGGATTCCAACATAATGTTTTAGTAAACCAATGTAAAACAGTCACGCTGAAAGCTCCATGAAAGACAGAAATGAAAAAGAGAAAAGGAAATTGTATGGAATGCAATCAAGCCTCTACAAGGGAATAGCAAAATGAAAACACAAAAGTCGACTCGGTGATTTCACTCAAACCGTCCGGCGGTCCGTCATAACTCGGACAATTGAACCAGTCCCTGTCAATTCCACCAACTTCTCATGCCAGTTGAGCAAAACGCTCATCTGCTGACCACCACCGCCCTCTCCAACATTTCGGGCCTGAACCTGGGAGAATCCGGTCTCCTGCGGCGAAACGGTCTTTCGTGGGGGTTGAGCACCATTGCTAGGAGCAGGCGCAGACATACCCTTGTACCTGTATAAAGTTAGCTCTTCATCCTCAATCCCATCGTGGTGTTCCGAAAACGTGAATAGGATGCGTAATGAATGGAATCCCATCAGTCCAAAACATACAGGTACTTCATCAAACAATCCGCCCGTTCAGCCCCACCATCAGAACCACAGACACCCTCCAGCACGCGAGTCATCTCAGCCTGTCGAATACCCTGCAGCACCTCAATCACAGTTGCGAGGTGTACCTCCTTGGCGCGGTCGTCGCCGCCCAGCGGCGCAGTGTCTAGAACGTGGCGGAGAGCACCCTCGGTATCACCGCCGCGCAGCAGCTGGCGCACCTGGGTTGCGACGTTTGCGGCATCAGTGGAGGTTTCAGGTTGAGGGAGGGTGGCAGGAAGGAGGGTTTCCATAGGAAAGTTGGCCGACGACTCGGGGTCGAGCTGGTCGATGTTGATGGTGCGGTAGTTGATTTGCGACATTGTGGCGGTGGTTCTCGTGGTTTGATTCTTTTTATTATATCGGGGAAGACTTGAGGACTGAAGGAGATGATTAAATTGTGGGTAGTCCCAATGGCGAGGGAATGCAAGCGCGAGGTTGAACTGGAGTGTTGAGTTGAAGCGTTGCCTGGGTATATCGGGCGGTGGAAAGCGGGGGAGGTTCGGCGGGTTTGGGGCGGTGCTAGTTATTGGTCAAGGAAGGAGAGAACAGTATTTATTAGAACAAACTTGAAGCTCTAGTGAGATGAATTGGTTATATAGCTTCAAAGAGACAAATAGAAATTGAGGTTGAAAGCCTGGGAGTAATTGGAAAAACCACGTAAGCATTGACAAATTGCCTTTTTTGGCGAAGTTGGAGGCCACAATGTAACTTAACTACGTAATATCCTCGAGCATACATATGATCAATATTTTAATTTGAAATGGATTCAAGTTATTTGAATGATATTGATACTATGCAGTTCACACGCTCCACGATTTTTCTCTTTTATGTAGGTCTTAGCCAGCACCGAATTTCGATCAAAAAGATATCAACTCGAGGGTTGTCCACACTACATAGTATACCAGTTGACCTTGGCTCAGAACAGGATCACCAGGAGAATTATCTTATACTATAAGCAGCTGAATTGATTATTTGTAACAACCCCTGACATGCATCGTGGAGACTCGGAGTTCGTGACTTCCAGTTTGTTCTCTAATATTTTATGCGCATCATTGGTGTTGATAAAACGGAACCCCTGGGTTTTTATAGCAAAAGGTTTAATGTGTTAACGCTTAGGTCTCCAGGCTATTAAGTCACAAAAAGAAATGAGCAAGAAATATGATCACACCAGGGATCGAACCAAGAAAATTGAAAACCAGGAGCATCGGAGTGCGAGAATGAGATGCTGCGATTTTGCGAATAGCCTCACTTGATACATCCATCACCACCACATAATCCCTGATATCTCACCCATTCTTGATTATTTTCGATTTCTGAAAAGACAGAAAGAAAGAGCGAGCCTGAAAGTATTTTATATAAAAATATCAAAAATTTAAAAAAAAAATAATTGCCCGCGGCCGAAGCCGCTGCCCCAACCACCCCCTGGTTACAACTCAGCCATTTTAGGGACCCAGACCATCCCGTCCAATACCTCCGTCCTCGTCGAGTAGAGTCGGAGACCGTTATTCCATTAGGCCAACAGGGCTGACTTGTTACTATTCTCCCCCTCGACTAAACTATATGGGATCTCTCGCTTCACCAGCCCTATTAAGTTAATGAGAGACTCAGACAGCACAACAACACAATCACATCTACATGTGCATGCCAACACTGTAATTAAATTACAGCAACAATCAGTTGATCACCAGTTCCATCTTTGATTGACAGGCTGCCCAGGTGAAGTTTTGATTATGACTAAAGTTTGGGGACCTGATGTCTTCCTACTCTTTAGGCCGTGCTTTGAATTATGTACGGCCTTTCCTAGTTTTAACCTGCTACACTAGTCCTCAAGTGCTGGGTCTTATTATGTACTGGCTAGCTGACCTCTAGTAAAATTGACTGTCTCTTCACCCCTCTAAGCGAGCAACATATTGATTCCGGAAAGCTGTACATTTCATGAGCCTACACAATAGTCCCTGGAGTACACAGATACAGAATGCATGACTAGTCCGATATATCATCGGCGTTATTTCAAGCTACCATGAACACCCTCTTGTCACTCTCTGTACCCATAAAAACCAGAAGACTCGCAGCTTCTCTACAGCTCCGCATCTGCACCGTGATGCTGCTTCCAAGTAGTAGCAAGTTCGGCCGCTGCAGTCTCAGCATTGATCGACCAAGTCTTCATAGTCTCGTCATCCACCTCATCCAAGAACGATAATCCGGTCATAGCTCGACCCCCACATGCACGCTCTAGAGCCAAGAACGCGAAATGGCCTCCAATAACAGGCCGAGCAAAGAAGTGAGGACCAGGGAAGTTGCCATCTCCCTCTGTCTGATGAAGATCCGTGAACGGACGATCCGTAACAGTCTCGTTGATCCAACGGGCAACAGATTCCAAAATCTCGGAGCGAACAGGCTTTGAAGCTACTGCCATTGAGAAGAACTCCCAGTCGGTCTTCGTGTACAAGTGTCGACTGTCAAGAGGGAGTCCATATTTCTGTCGAACGTAGTGGTACCACAGTGACTGCTTCTGGTAAATGTGGCGAGGGACAAAACCAGATGATTTGCTCGATGGATCGTCAGTTCCGTCCAAGTGGAAGCAAAGCTGGGCGTCTGCGTAGAGATTGTATATCGTGGTCCAAGAACCGTACCAGTCGTAGGCTACCTTCGCATGTGTGCCGTCGCGAGACATCCCGAGTTCTTCCCACTTGGCAATGTATTTATCGGCGATACCCTACGTGACAATGTTAGCAACCTTAGGCTGTAAGTATAGGAATATTCATGCATACCTTGAAGTGTGACGCATCAGATTTGTGTCCAGTGAGCTCAGCAAGCTTGCTCATCGCGTTAATACCAACGATGCCCTTCAAGGCGAGATTGGTTTGCAGCGCTAGCCAGCCTGCAAAGTCGTCGGTAGAAACTATATCTATGCGTTAGTTTCACTCTGGGGATTCTGGATGTGTGATGGGTACATACGCTGATTGGCAGGCTCCAAGGAAAATTCCACCAGATACCCAGTCCATTGCTTCCAAAGAGTGTAACTTCTCTCGACCCATCTCTCGGCAAGCTTCTTACCCTCGCGGCCACCGCCCCATTTACCATCCTGGTGCGCAATACCAGAAAGTACCTGGAGGTCGTTCAGAGGGAAAATACCGGCGTCTTCGGTATCGTAGCCCGAAGAGGTGTAGCCTTGGGTAGACCACATGGACGCAGCCTCAGACGCCTCCTCGTATTGAAGCGAGTTTGCAATCGCGAGACCCATGATCAGGATGTTACCGCACTCTTCCACAGGCATGTACTCATCTCTGCCATCCGGATGACCGGTAGCATTAGGGAAGTGTGCACCCAAGTCATGCATAGCATAGCTGTTAGGGTATTGACCACTCAACATATGTTCGATTAATGGCTCCAAAAGGTATGCCAACCAGCGCGGGTTGGTGTATAAGAAGAAAGGGAATGCCGGGAAGATGACATCAATGGTTTGGAAATTTCCATTAGATGAAATCTCCTTCAAGAATAGGATGGGATTATCCGGTGTGCCAGAGAAAGTGGTAGCACCCATGACTTGTCGCGCGCTGAGAGCAACAATTTCAACGTAGTCATCAGCACCAGATAGATATGCATCATCGGCCACTTGCTGGGAATAGTTAGCTGCTAGGGAGCCAGCTGCAGCGTGATCATTATAATGGAAACTTAGTAGCTCCTCGGTAGTTGGGAACCAGGACTCCCAAAGGGGTCGCATGAGAGTCAATCCGCGAGCTGATGCATATTGAACAACGGGGATTTGAATCAGAGCGATCGTAAATGTGACGCTATCAAATGTCTGCTTCGATGACCGACCGAGACTGAATGACTTGGAAAAGGCAAAGACGGGGGAGCGGTCCCGAATGGCTCGGAAGTCCTTATCATTCTCGTTCCCTAGTACACCATTGCTGGCGAATCTTTGTCGTACTTGTCCGGCCTCTCCAGACTCGTAGTTGGTATTCTATGGAAATCGTTAAAATAGATCTAAGATTATCAGTATGGAATTTTTCAACTTACGGTCGGGCCAGTGAAATGAAGGGTGCCCCATTCAGCACGATCGCGAATCTCAGATAGCAACAGCTCATTCTCTCTCCCGGATCTGCCATCTCTGAAGACTAGGCTTCTTTTTCTTGGTGCCTTCGACATTTACAGTGTCCCATTCCCAATTAATTCTCGACTCGGTATCTCCACTCACCCAGCGTCCATCAATATCTATGTAGATATTCACGTCTACATCGCCCTTTACATCTACCGTGATGTAGGAAGCCGGAATGGACTGCCGCAGAGTCGATGTCGGCGTGATGGGAGACAGGAAAGAAACTGTAATATCGAGAGGTAGAGAGGCTTCGGTTTCAATACGGTAGGTTAAGTTGGTAGTGGAAGCGTCATAGTTATGTCCGAGATACTCAGGGTATTCTACTTTATAGCTGCAGTCAACTCAGAATTTAGTACATTTGAAGGATTTTGTCTCCGGGGCTGTTCATTTTCTTACTTCTTCTTTGATTGCAGGGAATCTTGAGGTTTGCCCACCAGGGGATAAACCGAACCCTGACTTGGGACCTGGGCCATCACTGAGAGGCCTACTTCCTCTCCGGTATAGAACATCGGCCATTTGGACCAAGGTGTGTCCCGGGCATTTCCCAGCCATGTGCTGAGGTATGGGTTCCGAACAATCAACGGCAGTACCGGAGGAGTAAGGGAGGATGCCGTCGTCACGACCGCCTGACTGAGGGCAGCAGCCACAAGGGCAAGTGACAACTGCATCGTGGCTGCTTAAGGAATGACAAGATAGGTACAGGAAAGATAATATCCTTGTGTGTGTGACCAGAGATGAAACCACTCAAGGGGTGCAGGAATGTAAAATGCGGGGAAAGGAACCTTGGTCACACAGGTGAGATCGACTTGGTCCGAACTCAGCCTCACTTCAGGGCTACTTTGAGACTGGGATGAATCTTCTATTGCTGGATTTTCTTCTTCTTTTATTGTAGATAGTATTGATTCTCGTTCTTTTAGTGACTGGGAGTATATGTAACTTGGAGTTATCATAAGTTCAATTTGTAGTACAACTTGAAATGAGATGAATGTTCTCCGATGATGTCATGCCATGCGGAGATACCATAAAGGGATAAGTATATGTAGTCTTGACTTCAATAGATCCATGGACGTATACATATGTACCTGGGCATAATAAAGATCATTTTGAATTAATTGAAACATATATCTTGCTATCGTGAAAATATTAGGTGCAACATTTGAACCAGTTGACCTCGGAAGTTTGAAGATCTATATCCGAGTTCATCTGGGCATATCCTTGATGATACTACTAGTAGTACTTCAGTATTTTGAATATCTAAGGATCAAATATTGAGACAAATGGATTTGATTCATAGTTCTCATACTATTTGCATATTAATACCTTATTCAAGTGTTTGAATTATTCAGGTTTGACAATCATGATGCGAGCCAGTGTCAGGTACGAGTTACATACTAGTACTAGTCGACTGAATATAGAATTGAGCTGGAACTTGCCAGTGGTACATATCAACACTTTTAATCGCTAATAGTATGGACCAGTTTTGCTTAATTATAAACTAAATTACAACCAACCTATTGGCATCATTAATTAGTACCAGTTGACTACTATTGTTGTTGTTTTCGTTCTTTGAAAAAATCAAATCAAGTGGCGCAAGTTTTGAAGCGTGTCCCGCTAGTTTCAGTGTCGCGTGTGGGCGCCGCGACGTGTACTCCGTACTTGCATAACACTTGCATGCTACGGTATTTTGAGGGTCACGCGATTATTAAAGCATTTAAGCGAGTACCCGTGAGCATACATGTACGGAGTACACATGCTCTGATCAGATACCTCAAAAAGAATAGAATCTGAACCAATTGTGGTACTCTATCCTGGTTATAATAGATTGATCCTAGTGTACTATGAAAAAAAAAATCACTATGTTGTTAAATCAGATATAATTAACATCTACTATATAAGGTCATAGAATCATTAATAAAAGTATTTACCAAACTGATTTAAATCAACTGGAGTGAATTCTCCAAGTGTTATCAGACGCGTGCAACACGATCGCGGTCTCTAGTGGAGCCAATGTCCGTGCTCTATACAAGACTAGTAAGGTATCAGGATCTTAGTACTATACGCGATTGACGCGACCGTTTTTTCTTCTTCACTTATTCTCGTGAAGCTTCCTTCTTTTATATTCTTTCTATTCTTCAAGTTCCCAATTCCTGGTATATCTTGTCACGCACTATACTACATAGACCGCCATCCAATTTCCTTTACCACGAACCTCTCTGAAAACCCACTTCCCCGCCACGGTATCTATCGTGGACCTCAACTTTGCTCTTGTAACTTGAATTTCTCCAACACCTCACAATGGCAACCAGCATCCACGAATCAAGAATGCAGGTCCCCTCAATTCCATTCAGTCCAGTTAAAGACGGACGTCGGATACTCGGGGACAAGGACATCAACGCGTGTCTGTCACCAGTCCACCGAAACAAACAGCCTCTCTCGGTCACCAGCACACCAGTCAAACGGACTCTCTTCTCAACAACATCACCTAAGAAACTGCTTCCCTCACCAATCTTTGCTGGCCAAAAAAGGACAAGGGATCAGGTTGACGAGGTTGGAGACAATGGTCAACAACGGCCAACATCGCGGGGCTTCAACGAAAGCTCACAATCCCCAGTAAACACCTCAAACCAACAGGTAAACACATGAAAATCTGGCTTGACTCTCGGTGTCAGCTTCCAATTGAGTATTAAGCTAACATAGTTGGAATGCTACAGCCATTAAATGAAAAAATGGACGCGCAAAATACTCGTGTCGTTTCACCTACACGCTCGCCACGCGACGGGAATCAACACATGAATACCCCACACACGCCCACCACGGAGGACTCGAAAGAAGAAAAGAAGACAATTCCAGAGGACCCGATTGCACGAAAGGCATTCATTGAAGAGGTAAGCGGGGCTCTCATACCAGACAAACGGATATATTTTCCCTTGAGGCATGTAGCTAACTATATCGCCAACAGAAAGCCGCCCGCTTGCGAAGAACCTTACAAACGGCTATGCGCAACATCCCCAACAACGAAATTGACCGCCGAGTCGCCAGTCTAGAAGAGCACAGTCGCAAGATCTCGCGTATCAGCCTATCAACCTTCTCTTCCTCTCCTCTGCCTACATTGTCATTCAAAAACACCACAACCCCAAAGTTTACCACTCCGCGGATCGGCTTCATGCCTGATATGAGTTCCACACCTTGCCAACCAACATCTGATCTTCCTGTTCATCCCTCCCCATTGGCCTACACTACCGAACGCGTCGAACGTGGCAAGGCTTCACAGCGAACTCCACCACCCACTTTGGGTTCTCCCATGCAGCTCAGCAGTCCCCCTGCTACAGCAATCCGCACATGTCGCACCCGAGATTTGCCTGAGGAGGAATCAGGTGAAGTTACTCGGGAGAATATGTCGCCATCTCAACGTGGTGACGCGGTTGACGGGTTACTCAAATTGATGAGCACTGTAGATCAAAATGATCGAGAAGATGCCTGGTCTGGGTGAGATGACGGCATTAACGAAGTTTTGAACGCTTTCTTCATTTTTTCTCAACAACTCGATTTGCTTTTCACGAATGTATTAAAGTTTATTTGTCACAGTGTTCTCGGGATGGAATTAGGCGTTCTCACATCGGGAATGCAAGGCGTTTTGACTCTGGGAATCTTTATCCTCCTGCATGCAATCAATAATACCATTTACCGCCCCTCCAACTGTATAAATTTTCATGATAAGAAAAATTGTTGCATAACCATGACATGCTTGTACTCCCGGAACAGAAATCGGGTTTGAAATGATGGCAAATTTTACACTATCAGGGAGGCTCTTCAGTCCTATGGCCTTGAATTTGAGTCTATGGAATTGTCACAAACGCCACCTGGATCGTCCAAGTTTCAGACCAATATGTAAATAATACGGGCTAACTTCGGTCTCGTTCAACTTATGCATATGTACTAATATTGGCACTGGCAGACACCCTTCTCACTCGGAACGCTTTTCCATGCCCTACAAACCTACATTTGCACAGTAGTTCAATGGATCGACGGCCCCGGGGTTACACCGACACTTAATCGTACTCTCTGAATTGCTGGTAAATTGCTGATTCATTGATCATTGGATCATCGAAAGCAATCAGCGATCATCGAGATCGAGATTGATCATAGATGGAAGTGTAGCGTGTTTTTTTCCAAGTCCAATCCTTCGTCGACAGTGAACCCAGGAATGTGGAATCTCGTTGCACCCAATTGAACGTGGCGAACCCAATCATGATGATCTTCGAGAGAATTGTCGAATTACCGAATTTACTACGAGTGAATTCCGACACCTATGGTAGAGGGTTCCAAGGTTAGTTTGAAACGGTGCACATGTGTTGTCAGTGATAAAGGATCCATATAAAATAAAGAATGCCAGTGGTCAATCCTCCTTGCTTCTTTGTCCGGTTATACTACCTATGATTCTAAAAACTATAACTTTTGCAATGATATTTGAGTCGAGGTCCTGCTGAATTGCTTGTTTTCTTAATCAATCCAATCTATCACTACAATATGATCTACAACCATGCCTGCAGTCATTGCAGGAAGAAAGTAAGTTAGTCGGATTGAGAAAACTTGAGGGAATCAGTTTAACAGCCCTGACCATCTGTCTTCTAGTTGAGAAAGGGTCTCAGAAACGCCTACCTGGCCAACTCCCCGATTAAACAAAGGAAGGATAGTCACTTTTCATCCACAAGCAGTGTGACATCCAACATGTCTCAGCCTCAGCCCTGGCTAAACGAAAGACTCCTGAGAGCCTTCGATGAACCGCATCTACCTGACCTATTTCCTTCCTCTTTAAATCCGTCCCCAATAGCGAACTTATACAATCCTGGTGGAACAGGATACTTTGATTGCATGGTCAATATGCAAAATCCCAATATCGCCTTCGACCAGATGCTGCAGAATCTGGAGCATACATTGGATATTGGGGGATTCGAAACAGGATTACCTAGCCCTTGTCATGGACCACGGCATCAGACTGAGGCATTGGAAACTGATATTCTTTCACCCGAAGCAAGAGCTCAACTACAGATTGCGAGTGAGCTAGACAAGTTCCCATCCGAGATTTGGTGGGAGTCCTGGCCTTCTGTTCTTGTACCTGGTGATCTCACGATGCCATGTTCTCCTATGTCGCACGTTCCATCTTTTTGGGGGTTGGGAAACACAGATCTCCTTTCACCCTGTTCAACTTTGTTTGAAGATCCATTTCTTTCAACGCCGGATTCGTGTTTGTTGGATTCGGTGTTTGGTCCCTCACCGAGACCAGACTTTCAGCAGACTCGGAGCAGTACTATGGAACGAGGTGCCCATACTTCAGAAAGGAAATCGGAGAGAAAGTTCACATTTATATATGAACATCCCGGCGCACACATCCAGCGTTGATTCCACAACCCTAGATAGAAAGATAGAGGGAATAAATCAACGCTTGAAATCTTATTCGTATCTAATAAATGGTATCAAACAATCCAAGTGCTTGAACAAACTAACACTGGTCCATATATACTAGTTTTAAACATCAAGATAGAAGACTCGAGTACCCATCTACCGGAGCTTCTTCAACTTGTTCCGCTTTCTGCCCAGTACATCACGGTCCTCTTCAATCTCATTCATAGCCTCACGCTTCGCCGCACCAACATCCTTCAAGACAGACGTCCGGACAACACGACTCTCAATATTAACACCCTCCTCCTCGAACTCCTCCATCTGTCGACCAATCCGAGTCTCGATAGCAAGAATGAGCTCGACATCTCGCTGTCCAACCAGCGTGACCGCCTCACCGGATCGTCCAGCACGAGCTGTACGACCAACACGGTGAACATAGTCATCAGGGTTACGGGGAACATCGAAGTTAACGACCAGCTCAACGGACGGAATATCAAGACCACGAGATGCGACATCCGTAGCGACGAGGACCCGAGCAGCCGCCGCACGGAAACGAGCAAGATTCGATGTACGCTCAGATTGTGGGAGCAGACTGTGCAGGGAAGTAGCGCGGTGACCGAGTCGACGCAGAGTACGCTCTAGCAGATCGGTTGTTCTGGTATGATTGCAGAAGATGATGACTGGCTTGGTGATATTCTCCTCGGTGGAGAGCAAAGCGTGTAGGAAGGCTTCGCGATGCGTCATGGGGACTTTCAGGTATGTTACTTTTAGAGTTGGGGGGATATTGCCTTGGTTTTCGGTGGAAATCTCGGTCACGAAGATAGGAGGCTTGTTCTCTGGGCGGGGCATTTCTTTCAGAGCTCGTACTTCGGGGGTTAATGTGGCTGTGAATAGGAGTGTTTGACGCTCGGCTGAGGATGGGAGCGCTGATAGACAGGTTTCGACATCCGGAAGCATGCTTCCCGGTCCACTGGCGAGGAGTCGGTCTGCTTCATCCATTACCACCATTCGGACACGTCCTAATCCGGCAATGGTTTCTTTGCCGGAGGTTTTGACGTGGTCTGCGAGACGACCTGGGGTTGCGATAACGACGTGAGGGCGCGAGGCGAGAGCAACTGCTTGTTGCCGCATGTCTGTGCCGCCGGTGATAAGTATAGGCTTCATGCTCTGAGGCGCGGAGATAGCCTTGAACTGCTCAAAGATTTGCAGCGCAAGCTCACTATACAAGCAGAGAAAATTCCGTTAGTAACAGGACGCTATCGCTATATCGTTAGAACCAAAGGAGGACATACCGAGTTGGAGTCAAAACCAAAGCAAAGATTCCAAAAGGATCTTGAGCCCATTTCTGCATAATTGGAACTGCAAATGCAATGGTCTTTCCGGAACCTGTCCGACTACCACCAATACAGTCCCTTCCTTTCAGAATCTCAGGAATACAAGCCTTCTGAATAGCCGTGGGTCGGCGAACAGCCATGGTAGTCAAAGAGCCGATCAGCCATGGGGACACATTAAGCGCTCCAAAGGTCGATGCCTCGGCCTGCAGACCAATTTCAAGAGCATCCTTGATTAAAACCGGCTCCTCCTCATCTTTCGCATCGGTGCTCTTCGCAGTATCGTCCTTCTTCTTAATACGTGAGAGAGTGGGGAGCGGTGTTGGCGCAACATAGGAATCGTCCGAAGACTCGGAGAGGCGTCGGCGCTTGGGGGCACGGTCTTGAGCCTCTACTTGCTCCTCATCTGAGACATCAGATACGTAGGAGTCATCAGACTTCGGATCGTCTTGTAAGGGCGCCATTGTGATTGCGATTTTGTCTTGACCTTCGATCAGAGAAATAATTTTGCGGCAGAAAATGGGATCTGGACCAGGCGGTGCGGATACTTGGTGCCTGATATAAAAGGTTTATTTGTCCCAATTTTGCACTAGAAAAATTGAGATGAATATCACGTCTGAATTTACCCCCCTAAGATATCGATTGGCAAGATGGCCGAGTTGGTCTAAGGCGTCAGGTTAAGGTCCACCTTGACTCTTACGGTAATCCCGTTTCCTGATCTACGTTTGTAGGCGTGGGTTCAAATCCCACTCTTGTCATTTCTTTTTTTCTTTTTCAAAAATCATCAAATTGACTAATCCGTTTGGTTTTTAATGATGTTTTTTTTTCTCCGATGTAGATTTGGAACAAAATTTACTGCAAATTTAGATCAATGTTCGAAAAATGTGAGGCTTCAATTTGAGCCAATATCTCTTCTACTACTTCTCAGGAACTCAATTATGACGGTGAAACTTTTAAATCAGAACTTGAATCTAGATAGTATGGATTTTGTGCATGTTGCCAGTGCTACATCAATATATATGTATGCACCGGTGCCAGTGGACTAGGTAGTATTAGAAATACTGCATCATGATGGTACTAGTATGTATCATCCATCTATGTAAACCTCAAGTGCTTGGAATACTGCCAGTGCATGTGGACATGGATGGTGCAACTTCAAGTTACATCTAGTCAACTCGACTCGCCGTACTTCTTCTTCGTACAGATGAGCGAACTTGAAGTTCATATGCCTCACCCCTCTCCAAATCGTTATCCTCAACAGCAGAATCCGAAGACGGGGAGTTACGCCCCTGTAGAATGCCACCTTCATTCGACTGTACTCCCCTGGCATCAATCTCATCGTCTTCATCGTCGTCTAGACCGTGTGTTCCACCAACACTTTCCATAGTAAAAGGGCTTGCAGTGGGTGCATCCAAGACACTCAGTTCCTCACGGGTGAACCAAAGCGGGAACAGGAATGACCGAACAGGGATTAACAGGAGAATGATAACAGGGAATCCAATCGCAGCAATAGTCTGAGTGATTGCGAAAGTAGCACCGAATCCAATTAATTCGATGATCACAAAGACCCAGATCGCAGACCGACGCTTCACTCGCTTAAGAGGATTAGAGGCTGGAGTCAACTCCTTGTCCTGGGCTAGGAAGATCAGTTTCTGGGTAATACCGTTACCCTGGAGAGCCTGGACACCCATGATGAAGAAAAGACCTGCCATGACTCCCTGGGGAATCAAGTGGAGGACGATCAAGAGCGGACCAGTCATCGTTCCGAGGGTGAGAAGACCTTGAGCGAAATTGCTGACTCTTTGCTCCACAACGTGGTCTGTGACTCGGATGGCTTTGCCCTTGTTGGTATCATCCTCATCGGCTACCTGGCGAGTAACACAAAGTGCAGCAGTGTGGAAAGGCGCTTGTGGGATGAGTCCATTGGGGAATGGAATGCCAAGTATTCCAGCCACAAAAGTTGTGAGGCCCAGCAGCCAAAGGTCCCAGTGGAAACCTGCTGGCTTGCGTAGAGGAAATTCAGTACCTTGAGCAATGAGTGAAGAGACTAGAAATCATTAACCAGAGTAAATTTATGGGAAAAGGGAACACTTACCATTGTGGTCAAAGTAGAAAAGAATTGTCAAGAGAATGGCGAATGGGATAGCTAGGAAAATATCACCAACGTCGATATTCCAGAAATGCACTAACCATCCTCGATCAAGTGTAGGGAAGAAAGCCTTGCTGGTCGGCAGGGTCGAGACATCAACATCACGCATATGGCCAAAGTGCACAAATCCGGTGAAAAAGATAATGACCAAAGGTGTGCCATAATCCTCGAGAAACTTTCGAACATATCTTTGAAAGAGATTACTGTTACCCAGCTCCGCGATGATCCAGGCAGCCATCAAGACGAGTAGAGCTACCATGATGGCGAGGTACGCTGAAGTCTCGCCAGCCTGTCCCCATTGTCGAGTGAGAACCTGAATACCCTTCTGGAGATAGATGCAGGCAACATAGAAGCCGAAGATATCACATGAGAATCGTGTGACATAGGTCAATCCATTGCATGCATTTGTGATAGCGAGTATCCAGTGCATAATTAGCGACCAACTATAATATACGTTAGTATGTACCACCATATGATGTGTCACTTGTAATAGAGAACGCACATTCCAATCCAGCACATGAATGCCAGGTACGGGGTTCCCCGGGGACTGATAATATCGTATACAGTGTAATTGAACACGGTGATTGGACCTGTTTGAAGTATATGGTATTAGTTCCCATCATTTTCATTGTATTGAATCAAAGGTCAAGTCATACCAGTGACACCAACAATAACCAATGGCTGAGCCGCAAAGACAGAAAACACAACCGCCCCAAGAACAGAAGCAAGTAGAACTTCGTTGACTCCATAACTCTGATTGGTCTTCTCAAACATATCCAACGAGAAAGCTAAAGCAGGCAGAATACTAATCATGTCAGTATTTGGTAGTCCAATTTGAAATTGATACTTAGAACAATCTTACTTCGCAAAATACATATACACTGTCGCAGGAACAATTCGATAGTCCCACGCATCAGTCCAATCACTCCAATAATAAGGAGCTCTGCGCTTCACATCCTTAATCATGCCTCGAAATAGACGCACTCGCCACCATTTTGGCTGTGAAGACTGTGAAGTCGCCGTCGATGCACGGCGCGCAGGGTCACGGTCTTCAGGGACAGCCTCTTGAGGGCTTGTTGAGTGATATGAAGAAGCAGCATGGCTTGATCTAGCTGAGCGCAAGGAAGATTTGCGCTGAGATTGCCAAGGTTTCCGCTGAGCGGACGCGGAAGCTTGCATATTGGTTCCGGCCGGCAGGGCAAAATCTCCGACTGACGAAGCTTGCTTGCATACAAATTGTGGGGTAATTTGAGACAGCAGAGACCTAGTTTCTCGGTAACCGTGTGATATGTAGCTTCTCCAAGGTTATATCCACACACCAAAAGGCCAAGGGTAGAAATAAAGCTGGGGCAGTTTGCGGGGATGAAAAAGTTGGAGAGCTCCATGAAGCCAAGGCTTGGAGAATTGGAGCCTGAGGCACCAATCCAGGGACCTAGTCTCGTCTCATTTGTACTACTGGCACTACTGGAGCTCATATCTACGACTGACCGAGGGAGAACACAAAACTAAATTCGATTCATCATATTCGCAGCCGAAACAGATTACATCACATTAAGCATAGAGGCAAAACAGACAGCCTATCTTCGGTATCACTGATTACGGAAAGCAAACGCAGAAAGAAGCCCCCATTGATTTTTTGTTAAAATGAAGTGATGGCATAAAGAAATCTTTAAGCGGGAGGAGGAGGTGGAGGGGGCTGGTCGCTAGGAGGAGGGGGGTGGGGGCCCATCACCAGGTGGAGGCGGAGGAGGAGGGCTGCCAGCTCCAGGAGGAGCACCAGGGGGAGCGCCAGGAGCGGCACCAGGAGCAGCAGCTCCATAGGACCAAGGAGCCATGCCGGGCGCAGCAGCAGCCATACCAGGAGCAGCATAACCATAACCGCCATAGCCGTAAGCGGGTTGCTGTTGCTGAACAGCATGACCGCCAGGGGCAGCCTGTTGTTGCCAAGGAGCAGCACCAGCCGCAGCATATCCACTGTGAGAGCCACCGTGAGAGCCACCGTGAGAACCGCCGTGAGAGCCGCCGTGAGATCCATAACCGCCGCCACCGTATCCAGAATTATCGTGACCGCGGCTTTGAGCCCAGGGCGCGGGGCCATTGTCGCGAGATCCGTAATTGTCGCGAGGTTGGTAATCATCGCGAGGACGGTGCTCACGTCGTTGTTGCCAAGGGGCGACATCACTAGTAGCTGAGGGTGCCGGTGGGGGACCACGCTGTTGCCAGGGCTTCACATCACTGTCGTCAGCAGGAGGATAGCCGCCTTGGTTACCCTGTTCGGGGCCGGCTTCAATGCGACGAGGCGGGTACTCGCCAGGGGCGCCACCCGAAAGTTCGTTCATGAGTTGCTAAGAATTGATCAGTCAATATGCTCGCTATGGTTTATCAAGAAAATAAAGTTGGAACTCACCTCCATCTCGCGGTCGACAGCATCTCCAGCGCCAACAGCACGAGGACCACGACCACCGGGACCAGTATTGTTGTTGCGCCAGTCGCTGCCTCTCTGGCGGTCGGGACAATCACGGGCCATGTGGCCAGCGTTGCCACAGACGCGACAGATGATGTTTGCGGTGAAGTTGCGTTGCTCAGGGCAGTCGTACTTGCGATGTCCAATTTGACCACCTGTGAAATCGTCAATAATTTATTCCACAATTAAAATAGGATTCATATAAACTTACAGTTCTGGCAAGCCTGGTTCTCATCGTCACGAAGAGTACCGTTAAGAGCAGCCAGCTCTCTGAGCTGGTTGCGCTTGAGCTCATTTTGGCCTTCGGGGATGGAAGCGGCCTGAAAGAAACCAGTTAATTAGATGAACCATAAAAACAAAGGGATGGATTCGGTCTTACAGTCTCAATGACGTTGTGAACCAGCTTCTTGGCTTTGTTCACCTTCTCTTCGGTGTCCGCCATGATCAGACAGTGAAGATCTTCCTCCTGGTTGCTAGCGTGAGCGGCATCAGATCGACCCTTTCCTTCCTTGACGGAGCCCTTGCCACGAATAGCAATCTTAGCACCAGATTCGGTCTCCATCTTCTTCAAGGTGTTTCCACGAGGTCCTATGAGTAAGCCAACTTTAAAAAAGATAGCAAAGAGCTAAGTGTTAGTGATCCGGCAATTTTTATAAGAGCATAAAGCATGTGTGCAACATCAAGCACCAAGGGTTAGCAAGAAACGGGCCGAGGACATCCAAGGAAATGTCTCGTCAGCTCGAGTCGAGCAGGGAGTCATGGCAGACACAGCATAGGGATAGTTAGGAGTTAGAGGGTTAGTTATCATACTGAAGTTAATCTCTGGGTAGTCGTTCACTGGGACGTAGACCTTCTCCTGGGTCTTTGTGGGACGTCTGTAGTCAGAAGGTGGGTGGTAGTTAGGAATGGTCTTCATGGCCTTCTCGATCAGCTTGTGACGCTCATCCTCGAGACGCTTGCGGTAACGGTACTCGCGGGTGTTCACACGTCTACCGAAGTTGTCGTACTGCGGTGGTGGCGAAGGAGATCTAAATTTTGCGTGAGCGGGAGGCCATCAAAAGAAAGAGATCCAAAAAATCGATCAAGGAGTGAATAATAGTACTTACCTGTCACCATCAGCAGGGACCACATCGTTGATCCGAAGCTTCTGGCTGATCTCCTCGATACGCAGGTGCAGAGTGTAAGCTTCCAGCTGCTCGCTGGTAAAGTTCGCCATAATCATTGTAGGCAGACCCATCAAACCAGCCGCCTTGTTCTCTTGCTGATCTCCCCAACGGTTGCGCTTCTTACGTCGTTTAACGCCATCTTCAGCAGGAGCTTCGGCTAAGGAAAAGAACATTAGAAATTGCTTTTTTTTTTTTTGAAACGTAGTATATGGGGGTCTCATACCTCGAACGGGGCTGCGACCACGCTTGGGGCCATCGGGCATGGAAGAAGGAGTCGCATCGCGGCTATCCTCTTCTTCCTCGCCGTTGAATCGACGGCGACCCAGCGGGATGTTGTTGGAGCCCGTAATTCCTTGATTTCGCCAAGCCATGACTTCTTTGGAGTCAAAAGAAGGCTATGTTAGTTGTTACAAGAAAAGATGTGAAGAAATTACTTTAGACTGGCGAAGCTCTTCCAAATGAAAAGTGGCCACCGATCACGTGGAGGGGCAAATTAAGGCGGTAAGAGTATTCGAGTCAAAGATGTTTTAGTTGTCAACCAAGGAACTCGATAACATGTTTTATTTTTTTCTGATACATATATCCATTTGAATTGTCTCACTAATAATTCATTATTTTAGTTAGACCTTGCTCTTTGCGTCATCCTTCATTCCCTGCTGAACCCATGCTCGGCTCTCAGCTGCGTATTTCTCCTGGGCCTCCTTGTCCTTAATGAGTTCTTTAATGGTATGCGGAGAAGGAACATGACGGCCCTTTTCAACTCCCTCGCGCTGCGCCATACGCTCCTCCCACGCCTTCAAGTTAGGAAATTCATCAATGTCAATACCAGGCCATCCTGCAGCGGCAACCCATCCCCAGTGTGAGATATCAGCGATGGAAATGTGGTCGCCAACCAAATATCCAGACTTGGACTGAGCAAGGTGTTTATCAAGTACACCGTAGAGTCGGCGAGTCTCATTGACGTATCGGTTGACACCATATTCAATTCGCTCCGGTGCGTATCTTGTAAAGTGGTTGGCTTGGCCTTGCATGGGACCCACACCCGCATTTTGGAAGTAGAGCCAGTTTGTCATTTGATAGTGCTCACGGGTGCCCTTGGGGAAAGAGATCTTGTAATCGGTGTCATATTGTTCCACGAGGTATTCTAAGATGCCGCCAGATTCAAATAGGTGAATCTTTTGGCCATCGGTGAACTCATCGGTCAGGGCCGGAATGCGACCATTGGGGTTGATTTCGAGGAACCAGCTGGAGATCTGTTAGTTACTGATTCAATTTACTGCAGGTGAAGGTGTACGCACTCTTCCTTCTGTTCATTCTTGGAGAAATCAAGATTCTTGACCTTGTAGGGAAGGCTGCCAATTGTCAGTAACCTTGGAAATGCACCTCGGTAAAAAGAGGACCTACCCAAGCTCCTCCAATGCGATAGAGATCTTGATCCCGTTGGGGGTTTGGGCTGTGTAGAGGGTGATGTCTGGGTGAGGCATAATGGTGGAGCAAGTTCAATATAATCTTGGGGTGTGAGCAGATGAAAAAAAAAGTTGTAGATGGAGAGCTTTTTAAACGATTCATGGATGTCATCGGAGTCCTCAAGCTTCCAAAGGACCCCACTTTCAAGGTTGGATTTCTAAGCTTATCGGACACTTTCTTCAGCGAGGGGTCAGCATCCTGAATAATCCAGAACAATCCACCTGGGCACTCGGATAGTTTGACTAATTATCCGTTTGGGAATAACCTTGAGTTTCAAGTTGCTGGACACTTGAAGCTATGTATTTGATTGGGGATCTCTGTTAAAGGACCTCTATGCAGGTAACATTTTGAAGTACCTAAAGGGATCAACGGGTAAGCTATATGAATAAGGGAGAAAATAGAAGCATCGATGGGCTGTGACCCTGAAGAGGTCAACTGGAGGGGTTGAATAACCTGCCAACCTCCATCCGAGTAATAAAAGAGGTCCACTATGTCAGATCCCGCAAATTAAGGTATGTCAGATCATAAATGCATAGTACATTTGTCGACAGCTTCTGGCACTGTTACTACTTACAGATTATAATTTATGATAGTAGTAGAAAACACCTCCAGACATCTATCTATCTAATATTATTTACAGCCATCTCAATAACTCTCTGAACTTCCTCCGGTCTGCTCAAGAAAGGACAATGACCCGAATTAATCATCTCCGTGACGATCCCCACACCCCCACCAGGGCCACCACTGGTAAAATCCACCGCCTCCTGAACCATAGCCTGCTGTAAAGGAAGGAGGATAGCCAAATCCCGCGAACAAAACACATAGATCATGGGAAGTTCCATCCAAGGAGCATGTGTCATTTTCCCGGTAGCCGCCATCCAATTATGGGTGACATTTCCCCTCGACAACTCCTCCGCTTCTGCACGATCAATATCATTATAGAATGAATCGGCCGCATTTTTGGGGAAACATCACGCCATCGCCATGCGTGCCCAGATCAACCTTGCTCTGCATGCCGTGTTTCGCAACCACGTCGTCGAGTCCCTGGCCCGGGACTAGGAGCCAGGCTGCTAGGTAAATCAGTGAGACGACCCCACTACTTCCATTTATGGAATATAGATCGGATGTTATTGCTTCTGAAGCAACACTTCCTCCATATGAGTGGGCGAGGACGATTATCTTGTGATTTGTGGCGATGAGCTCTTTCGCGGCTTCCTGTACGGCGTTGACATCATGCTTGAGGAGAGCGGTTGGTGGGATGGTATCACCGCAACTTGGGAGACGCGGACAGCGGACTGTTAGACCAGCCTCAGTGATGCGGTTACTGAATGCTTCATAGGCAGCTGGAAGGAAATAGGCGCCATGGATGATTAGAATGGCTGTGGGTGATTGAGGGGCCATTTCGACTCGGATGTCTGAGGATCTCTATCTCTAAGGCAACATTGGAACGTAGAACGTAGCCCTGGAGATGGGGGATGGACCTGTGAATTACGGAATGCGGTTAGTTTTACCGATTTGAGTTGGGCGCCCCATTACTCTCATTGTTTGAGCATCTTCTTGGGGGCCAATTGAGGTTCTGGAATTGTAGTTCTGTTGGGGATTGCTACTTTCGCACTTTCCAAGGTTCAAAATGACAGATTTTATTTAATGGAGCAGGTTCTAGGATAAACGATAATAGAAAGAACCAAGATTCTCTAACTAATCATTCAGCCATGGATCCTGAAGTAGCTCCTTTGCTGTCTTCCTGTCTTCAGGTCGCCACTGAAGCATCCCTCTCATGAAAGCTATAAACATCTCCTTATTTTTTCCATCGAGGAACTCTTCCGACAGCTCCAGACTGACCCCCGCCGGGATTTCTATGTCCTGTTTCCATTTCCCTGTAAGAATTCTTCGTAAGCCTTTGTCAAGTGCACTGAGCGGGGAGATAATACTCACCATCGCTTGTAAAGAATTCATGGCTTCGTTTCCCACGTTGGAGCATATCTAAAGGAGGTGGCCCTAGAAAACCCATAACTTCTGCAAGTGCGCCCGTGTCGAATACCCTTTGCCATCAGGGTCATTTCCGTAGAAAAGATGTCTACCCTCAAACAAATCCCACACCTGTCATCCCACAGGGTTAGTACTGATGACGAGAGAGAGGAGTGATAGGCAGAGCATACCATGACACCAACATTCCATATATCAACCGGGTAGCTCCAATCAGTCTTCAGCATTACCTCCGGTGATCTATAAACATTTGGCTGTGCATCGTGGTTCCTTTTCTCATCTCCTTTTACAGCAGATCCAAAATCACTTAAAATTGCTCGGCCAAATACCTTCGGTAAGTCAAAACATCGCGAGTTGTAGATCGGTAAATCATTGACGATTTTGCGGGGTGAAGGGCTCTTCAGCTCAGCTTGGGTAAAACTTTCAAGGATGAACTGGTCTTCTATTTCCAGGAGAATATTATCGCTTTTTATGTCTATAGGAATATAGGTTAGGGTAACGCGTTTTCAAAAGCCCTATGGATATGTATTACCTGTATGGACAAGCTTGCATTCAGTGTGTAGGTAGTCAAGTGCAAGAAGTATTTGCATAAGGCCAGATTTGAGGAGGTCTTCAGTGAATCGATGGTAAGGATTACGATAAAGAAGATCCCGAAAGCTCTCCCACATCGGGATCTGAACAAGACACGAATGGTTACCCCCGAAGAGGGGAGTGTGAAGATATTCAGTGCTTTCCTTATATGAGCATGACGAGGGTGCCATGAGCTCCCTTGGTTTAGTTGCTTATAGATCTGAAACTCTTCCGTTATCTTCGTTGTGAGTGGAGATTTTGAGTGTCACATATCGATGGCTCCTGATTATTTTAGTGGATCAGCGTTTAATTGATCAGTAGATTTGCCATGACTTACTCAAGATCGCGAGCTAGCCATACGGTCGAAATTGTCCCAAAACCAAGTTTACCGATGACCTGATATTTGGAAGTGAGAACTTCGCCGATATTAGCAGGATAATATTGTCCCTGTTTGAATTGCTCAAATCGTTCCTCCTCAAGTACCTCCGAGGGAGGAACGGTCTGGTAACCACCGGTGGGAAATATAAGGGGAGGGAAGGGAGGCTTTCGAAGCGCCTTTGTGACCCATCTCATGATATTAGCCATGTTGGGCATGTAGAAGGAAAAGAGGCTGGTTTTAGTGAGGTAGGGAGAATGTACAATAAAGGTGATGTGAGGTTAACAACCTTGAAGTTAACCATCCTAGCGCTGGGGGTAATGATGGTGTTGGTCAGCGGGCGGAGCGGCCCGCTCGCCCTCCAAAGTTACGGGTGGAAAGGCGCCCCTGGGGTCGATTTCACAGGTCCTAAATTTTAGTTGTAATACTATGGGTATATGGGAGATATTAGATAATATCTTGATATGATTAATATCCTAGGCCCGCTCTCATAGTAGTATCTTCTTGCTTTGCTCCTCTGCTTCTGTAACTTTGCCTGCAAGTAATACTAGCAATAAGATAATTTGGTTGAATAGAGAAGAAAGTAAGGACTCTTAGTCTTATAATCCATAGTCTTTACTATTAATCTAGTCCTAAAGCTAGGTAATTCCCAACCCAGAATAACTTGTTTAAGATATGGCTTTTGGATTTCTGAAGCCTACTATAGGTACATAAGTATATACTATACTAAATTATATAATAACTATCAAGGCTAACAGCACCATAAACCCAGTACTATGTAGTAAGCGTAAAAGGCTATACCCTTATCATTTTCCAATTTCTCATTTCACTTCTTTATCTTATATTCCGAGTCTTCCTTTCCAAGGTTCTTTTTCTTCCACTCCTTCCACTCCTTCCTCTCTCTCCATCCCTCACAGTCAACTATATTTCTCTCCCCAACCTTGGAAATCTCCAGCCACTGGTATAAACCCTAAGGGCCAGCAAACATTATATTTTTCAAGTCTTTACTCCACATCTCCATCTAATAGCCCTCTTTGAGTTTACTTCCAAGGCTGAATCCCTTCTCCTCTTTCATTTAAGTCATATTGAGGCCTGATAGTTTATATCTCTCTTTCGACCCATGGAAAAGTTCCGAGTCCATTCAAGTTTCTCATTTCCCCCCTTCCTTACTGGCAACTTGAAAGCTTCTTAGCTTGCATTCCCCTCCCGCGAGGTTATTTACAGGCGATCTGAATCTTCCCATTGCTTCCCATCTCTTCTTACCCCAAACCACCGCAATTTCAGCAAGACACGAGCAAGTTCGCCGTTTCCGACTTATACATCTCATCCGCAAGTGAGTTATGAGTCTCATCGACGCTTGATAATTCACGTTAGATAACATCTGGATCAAAATAACAGGATGTCGGAGATGGTGTTTGACTGGCTTTGGGCCAACCACCTTACATGAGGCTGAACCTGGAAGCGAGACAGGTATGGGAGCAATCACAATTTCACAAGTGCCTAGGCCACCAAGGTCATTGAAGATAGCTGACTTAGAATCATAGGACATGTAGAAATTCTGGCCCTGCCACAGCCAGGTCCTCCAGAGTCAGGTTTATAGGAGCACCCAAAAGAACAATCGGCTATATCCAATTTCTCAGACTTCCAGAGCATCGAGGTCTCTGAGACACCGGCCCTGCCACAGCTGGAGCAAGAAGAAGCAGAATCCATCATTTCTGATGTGTTGGACTTTCCACGTGGAATTGAGGGATCGCAAGCTCCATTTCTTTTCGACGATCAGTTACGAGGCAGCCAGCAAGTATGGCTAAAAGAGCCTTCAGTTCGCAAGAGCATGCAAACCAATCATACGAACACGTTTGGTGTTCTCATTGTTGACGAGGCCCACCGCGTGAAAAGCTTTCGACATATCAAAATGACACCCAATACTACCATAGCACAATCCAGCTCCCGCAACTCAGACTTTGAACTCGCATATGCTTCTCCTGTGGTGCTTTCTCTCAAAGGGGCTATCCTGGAGAGTCTCCGGCAACACAATAGCAACAAAGGGCAACCTCGTGGCTCAAATGATGAGTCTGGAAAGCTGTCCACTGACGGGCGAAAAAGGCGATCCCATGGATCTAGTAGCGATGAGGACTGCATGACCCCAGATGGGTTTCTGAACGAGGACCTACGAGTTGGTGGCCCATATATTTGTTCATTCCCGGTCGAGATGACTCTCATACCCCAGAACATCACTTGAAAGCCCAGATTATTTGATCTAGTTTTCAGATCAAAAACATTATTAAAAAGGAGGCGATAGACTGGTTAAGTGATAATGGAGTGGGAAGACAATCTTTGATCGACCCTGAGACTAATATCACGCCTAATTTCTTGATCCAAGCAATACGTGGGCCACCAGAGCCATTTAGTGACTTGGCGAAGGATTCGGAAACAGCTCGTCATTTTCGGACTTGAGGATTCATTAAGCTACTACTTCTCAAAACCCTAAGAGACGGAAAGCTCAGCCAAGCATGAATCAAATCATTGAACACCCAGCATATATCCAGCTGGCAAAGTCTGTCTATGACCGTGTCAAAGATATGGGCATGCTTGGTGACTGACAGGAGCTTTATTCATCCGCCGAGCAGGATGAATGGGAAATAAGCTACCAACCCTCGTATTGGGCTCCCATTGGTGAGCTACAAAGAAAAGTGGAAGCTCTGGAAAAAATACCACCATCCTCTACAACTCCAACAGAGCAAGGGTTATCAGGTTCAGGTACAATAAACTGCTCTATTAGACGCTTACAATACCTTGCCAAAGAATACCCCACCTTATTGCCTGGTTCTGACAACGGCAGTGCAAATGTTGCATTACATGCGGGTCTCCGAAGTGCCTTAAATGGTGAAAGCTTCACAAAGGGAAAAGTTCTTCAGCTTATTGAGATCACTACATACCGACTAGGCGCAGTACATGAGGCTAATTACCTCAGACAACAGGCAAAGATTGACTGTTCCTTTTCGAAGGTGATGCGAACTTTTTCCTGGTGAAAAAAAGCACCAATGATGTTCAGCTCAGAGGCAAGACGTGGGATCTTTTGCTTGAAAATGGTATCTGCACTACCCCGATTGGTATCAAGATACCATGGGGTAAACCTTTACAGTACCTGAATCTGGCATGAGTTGAGTCATTGGGGACTTGGGAAGCCATCCAACAGCACATTAATGTTATGGCTGCAAAAAAAGAAAAACTGGTATGACTATCTTTCGGGCATGCCAGGGTCACCCAGTTTCTCATGATGAAAAGGTGGTTCACAGGCAGCTTGCATTATTCGAGGCTTTGGAGGAGATTGGACAGTGATAACTAACACCGATAGCATCAAATTCAAGGTTCCAATGTTATCCATGTAAAAGAATCCCTATTACAGGCAGTTTATTCTAAACTCTGCTTCAAATGTTCTTCCGCTACTAGGTAGTTCCATCGGCTGACTTGGTCCGGTTATCAGATAGAAAGTTGTCTAGGCCTGTAAGGTTTGTGAACATGGGTCGGAGTGAAAAGCCCAACTTGAAGTAGGCCCACAGTTATTATGGATCATAAAAGGTAGAGGATTCTGTGTCCATAAGGCTTATTTCCCCAGGGGGTTCACGCTACCAGTCACATATAGGCTGAATCCGATGTCAATTTGAAAACCATATTTGATATTATACGCGCTGCATGTGCGGCTACATACAGCTTCAAGTTTATCCATATCTGCTGCCCAGGTGCCACTCTTGGTTGAAATGTCAGCGTCCGTGTATCTACTATCATGATATTCAAGTTCCCCAGGCAGACTCATAGGCTTCCAAAATTCAAGTTGTAGTGTATCTCTCTTCTGGAATTTTAAAGTATTCAATTTGACAACCATTTTCTTTGAGTCCGCCTTGGTGCTGTTGTGTTGTTGTTGATGAGAATCCGTAGGTCTATGCTAACTTGAAGTGAAACAACTTGAAAGGATTTGGGGTTATGCGACTTCTTATTATGACTCTCAACATATAACCCTGAACAGTGTATTCAGACCTATGTAACAGGGAATGAAAGGCTATTTTGAAGACAGCACTTGAGTATTCAACCTTGGCGAATTGTTAGTAGTACTCAAGTGCTACTAGCTGTGGGTAGATTCTCCCCAATCAGACTCGGAGGTACTACGTAGTATGTCCATGTCCATGATATCACAGGAATTGTACTAGATACATGTAGTTTCATAGTACCTGGACTACTCAGGTGAGATAATTAAAAAAATCAGTATTGAAATGTGAACTGTTTTCTGAAACTTCCCGATATTGGTCAAAATTCTCGATATCTGCTATTCTATCAACGCCTTCTCAGTTTGCCTAAACTTCCAACAAGTATGCAATTGTGAAACCTCCTACGAATAAAAAGTATCCAATAACCACATGGGTCTGGATCTCCCAGGCTTCGAAGAAAGTCGTTGTCCAAAAAACGGTTATTGCCGTAGCTGCGAATGCTATATCCAAGAGTGTAAGAAGAACCTCAGTGGCTTCGATGCAGTTCAGATCATCCACAAATATCTTCAACAACTCAGCGATTAGGCTTTGGACACCATTCAACAGAATGTATCGGATTATTTGAAGGCCATATTATGTGGGCTTTTTCCACCAGAGAGAGGCTAAAGAATCATTAGCTAAAATGTCATTTGTCTTATCACAGCAAGTACATACTGTCTTTGTTGACAAGGACCAAGCGTCTTTTTGAAAAAGGCCCGTGCTAGAACAGGAACTAATAGTAATTATTAGTAAAAGACAGTCAATAATAGTAGAATCTAGATATACCTCGATCCAACGTTGGCTCCTTGGTAACAAATACCACTTCACGGATCTCTCCAGCGATACGTTTCCACAGGTCATATCAACCTGGAAAAACTCAGACTTTGTAAAAAGCTCTGCTTGTGTCTGGGCAAAACATAGTGCTCGTAGGTTTACCCCATCGTTATGGATATCTTGGATCAACACTTGATTATGATCAGTCCCATCCATATGCCGTTGAAGGTACTCAAGGGTCATTCCTAGTAAATAATAATAAGTAGATGAAAATAGCCATATCCAGTTACTACCAGGCCTTACCAGTCCAGTTCTGAAAGCAGACTCATTTCCTTCCAGAGATTTGTTCAGCTTGTCCTGCGGTGAGAGATCAAAAGGCGCTTCATATAGTCCGACCGAATTGAGATTCTGGGCCATTTGAATTTCGGTAGGTACCCCAAGATCCTGGTTCCCTTGGGTCAAACATTTGAAGATATCTTGGAGCTTGTGGTCGGGTCCTAAGTGAGGAACACCAAGCAAGCTACTACCAGGATCATAATGAAAACCAGCTTGGAAATGCACTGGCAAACTGCGTGATTCTGCTCATCAAATATCATCAGCGACGGTTGAATAGTAGGTTGGAAATAGGAGGAACTCACTTGGTAGTTTTGCGTTTTCTAGAAATGGGGATATGAAGAAGAAGTAAAAGAGAGGAAGTGAAGAAAACTCTTAACATCTCACTTATACCACTACCTTGGCGGTGAAAAGTACATATACCAAAATATTTATCAGATTAATTTATATATAGTTAAAGCCTAGTTCTATCTCTTACTCTCTCCCCTATATAGAGGTTTCTCCCCTTTCCCTGCTCTATAAGCCTCACTACTTCAGGTAGGATTTAAAGAGAATATGCCTTTACTTGGCAATCGGAGCTGATTAGGAGCTAAAAACAAAAAGAGAAAAAGTCAGTTTATAGTAACCTTAGAAGTAATAAGAGATAAAGACCTCTGACTTATAGATATATATTAGAAAAACTATATAAGATAAATAAGAGGTAAGTAAGAAGTGAGAGATAGATAAGAGATATAGTTTTCTTTTTCTACTAGCAATATAGCTGTTATAGCCTGATGGGCCCTTATACCCTGAGTCATGGCATTTGGCCAAGAAAAAGTATCAGTCGAAACAGGTCAAACAACTTGGAAGATATGGTTCAAGAAGAGGTTTATACCTATTACAAGTCAGATGTCAAAAGCTTAATCTTTTTTCAGGTCCTGGGGATACAGTGAGATACAACATGGCGCCTCTACCTATATCTCTTTCTTGGTCTGTTAGTTACCTAACTCTTTCATATGTCCTTCAGCAACTGTCCTCCATGCTAAGCTTAGGAGGCCTGTTGAAAAAGCGGCGCACAAAGGACTCGCAGACTTTGTCCAAGGAACTGCCCACAATCACCGACTGTTCCGATCAATCATCCTCCAACCCGGACAAAGAGATCAAAGCTGCGCACATTATTCTTACCACTGGCACCTACACCTACAATTTTCATTATGGCATCAAATTGTCAAAGTCAAGATTCGCTAGACACACTCCCAGATACCAGCACGGAGGATATTATTGTTCTAAAAAAGCGAAAGGTCTGCCTCAACCACGAGATTGAGCATGCATGGAATGCATGGAGGCCTTCTGGCCAGTTTGACTCTGTAGACTGGTCCAAAGCCACAGAAATAGAGAACTTCGCCATCCAGCAAGCTGTCACAGAGGGCCAAATCATCTCACGAGGAAGTTACTCCGGTAAAGATATTGACTAGGAGGCCATCGAGGAAGCTAAGGCCCTACTGGAGAGCATAAATACTCAGAAACAGGCCCAAAAAATTTATTGTGACCGGGTATCGCATCTTGGGGAAAAACAGCCAGCAAGAACACTAAAAGCCGTTTTCATAAGGCTATTTACCACCTCTAGAATGGGCATCAACATCAACTGGACTGGGGCCGGAAAAAGGAAAAGGGCTGAGCAGTCTAACTGGCGAGCTGAATTAATCAAGGCTTACAATGCGAAACACCCTATTGAAGACCAGCTGTGGTGTCCAGTTGCCCATATATATGAATCAAAGGATATTGTTATCGCTGCGCATCTATTTGTATGCATGCATGGACAAGGCACCATGGATGCAATATTTGGCAAGGGTGGTGATATTTTTGAACCTTGGAACCCCAGAATGGCATCTTGGTCAGCAAGGAATTTGAACGGTATTTTGATGCGGGAAAGCTGGCTATTGTCCCTGATATTGGAAATGGTGCGCTGGCTGTTTAAACTTTAGATCTAGGCCCAGAGAGTTCAAGATCAAAATCCTGGACTGGAAGTGGGATCAGTTGGATCTTCAAGTTGGGGACCATTTAAATCTCCGTTTCAAGGACCTACACAACAGACCAGTGGTATTCAAGTCCAGATTCCACCTACGGGCCCGATACCTGATCCGACGTCAGCTTTTCCTACAAGTAGTAAGCGCCCACAAATCCTCCCACAAATGCAAGGCTTCCAAGGTTGAGTCTGGCAGATATACAGCTTTCTTTTGCCACAACCCGGCCTCCTCCTCCTCCTTTTTCCATCTGAAAAGTCAGCTATACCATTTTGTTTTGCCCCAACTTATGGACGCTCAGTATTGACCCTCTTGTTTCCCAGGAGATTTGAATCTGACCTCGGTGGTGCATCGCAAACCTCACCTCCTTCTTTCACCGCACATTCTCACAACCCTTATTCAAGTCCTATTTACTTGAATCCATTTCTCTCTTATAAGTCAGTCTCATCTTAGCTTGATTAATTACTGTTTCTAACATCTGGATCAATAGAGCAGAATGCCAGCTACTTGGGTCTTGAAGTGGCTTCACTCCACGGAGAATGAAGCCGAGTCTCAAACTCCACGTGAGAGAGGTATGAGAGCAATCGCAACTTCACAAATGCCTAGCCCGCAGGCGTTTTCAATAAAAAAATTGAAATAAAGAAAGTTTTCTTATACCAGCCCGGGGTTCCCCAGTAAAACTTTCAACACATGGGAGCGTGCTAGATATAAAAAGAAGAACTCTGGGCATGTTGAAGTGTGGTGAATATAAAGAGACTCTGTGCACGTTCAAGTGTACTGACTCGGAATATAAAAAGAAAATCGGCTATGTACTAGTCTCTTCTGCCTGCACCGACTCGGTACCGATGGGGATGTTGAAGAGAATTATACCGATGTCGAAAAGATGCTCTGAGCTTAATTCAGCTCCAGCCTGCTGCAGGTCCTGAATAATGCCCGGGAGGAGATTGACGTGTGATTGAGCTTCGACAATATTTCTGTTGCTCTCTTGTCGAAGGGTGGACAACCGGGCACTATGAGTGCCGAGAAGGGTCGTATATGCCTCTCTCCATCTGTCAACATCCCAATCTGCATGATCATTCGGATCATGATCAGGATTTTGTCGATACAGAAGTGAGGATTGATTTAATTCTTCACGCTGGTTAATAAGCGCAAGCGCAACCAGTTGCTCTCTAGAAGATGCTTCAAGGATATCCTCGATACAATTTTTGAAAGATACCATTGGATGTCTGATGTCTTCGAAAAACTGCATTCGCTGTGGTCCTTGTTTCGCCTGAGGAATTATATATATGAGGCTCATGGAACCGAGACGCTGCAGCTGCCCTATTCGTGCCCGCGTTTCCTCGCAGGACTTCTTCTCGGTGCCGGAATCGCCACCCCGACTCGGAGGTTGCTCTTCTTTTCTCGAAGAGTATGTGGTAGTATGAGGTTCTGAGGAGATTGTCTCCTCGCCACTATCTTCTTTCTGGGCCAATCAGTCTTTTAGACGCTTTTGAGAAGTATAGCGCCACGCGAAGCTGCTCTTCAGTAAGAGTCAGTGCAGGCCCACGGGGAAATCCCGGTGGGATTGGCACGGGGTAGTCCAAAACATCTGACTTCCTTCCAAGGTTAGTTCAGTGTCTGAATTTTCAGCGATGTCCTCTTCGGTCGCAGGTGGGAGAGTAACTAGCTGAGCCTCGATCTCTTGGCTATCAGGGGTCAGAAATGTTAGCTGAACATATTTCACATCTGTTGGATGAAAGCTTCGCTGGATTACAGAGTAATCATCAAAAAGAAATAGAGACTTGAGAAGGACCAATCACTTACCTTGAAGGGAACAAACGATGAAGGTTTGTAGAAAAGATATGGGTATAAAAGATGAGGTTTGTGGGTGTTGAAGATGAGAAGGTTGAATTGCAAGTGAGGAATTTAGAACGGATCAAAATAGCAAGGGCTTGGTATTAGGGACAGTGGATATATGTGTTAAAGGTAGGAAGTTTGGATTACAAGGGAGGGAGGGATGTGAAACGAAAGTGAGAGAACTCCAGGGCTTGAATAGCTAGGTATCTTGTTGGGATTTAGGTTGAATGGACCATATTAAACATCATATATATAGCTTACCTCTAGTAGATATACTTTTATGTATTGACTTGCCTAAATCATCAAAGAGAAGCCCCTCTAGACCTATGAAAGACTTGATTTGCCCTATTCCCTATGGACTGATTGATACTAAGTTACTAAGTATTATAGATATATAAGGCTAAAGTGAGAGATAGTTAAAGTACTATATAAGAGGTAAGTGAGAGATAACTGAATTAAGAGACTTGATATAGGTAGATATTTTTCTTTTCTTTTTTCTGTCCGCTATATAGGGGTTTCGCCTAGGTACATTGTGTCCAAAAAGTCCTTACCCACTTTTTCACCGCCCCTCTTTAACCCTACCACTCTTTGTTTACAATGGCGCGCTACACCTAGTATACATGAATTTGGCCAGATAATGCGCGATAGTCGACCTCAAAATGCACCATTATCAGAATCTACGCGTTCGGCTATTATTTCTATGTGCGTTGCGGGACAGACTCAAACTGCTGTCGCAGAGGCATTTGGAGTCACCCGTAAGACAGTATTCAACACGTTACAACGCTTCCATCAACAACAGAACTTTACTTCGAGAGCTCGGTCAGGGCGCCCTGGAAAATATAGCCCTAGGACTCGTCGATATATATATTTACTTGTGCGTCGAAGGCCCCAACTCAGCTGGGCAGCACTTCAAAGTCTTACTCCTGGTGGATTATCAAAAAATACTATTCGACATATCTTATACACATATAAGATTAAAAAATGGAAGTCAGGGAAGAGGATACCTTTAAAAAGGTATGATGCACTTCGACGACGTTAATCTGTGAGGAAGTGGCGAGGTTTTCAAGATTTACAAAAAATCATTTTTTCCGACGAGTGCTCCATACAGCGCCGCTCTAATAGTCAACTCCAGTGGGTTTTCCGACTCTGTTCAGAGGCATTTGAGCCTCAAATGATTAATTTTGGATCCCATGGAAAGGACACTGCTCAAATGGTATAGGGTGCTATTTGGCTAGGGAGTCGTTCTGACTTAGTCATTATGGAGCGGGATTTAAGTCCTGGAAAACGAGGTTATACGGCATTATCCTACATCAATACCCTTAACGAAGGTTTAATCGATCATTGTCAACCTGGTATACTATTTCAACAAGATAATGCAAAGATTCATACTGCTCAACGTACTCAAACCTGGTTTGAGACTCACGGAATTGAGGTTATGGTGTGGCCTCCACACTCCCCTGATCTTGCACCAATTGAACCAATGTGGGCATTATTAAAACGCCAAGTATTCCGTATACGACCTGATTTACGTTATGAGAATCGTTCAAAGCTTGCCTGGTGTGAGTTTCAAAATCTTTTAAAAACTGCTTGGTGGTCAATTCCACAGAGTACTATTGATAGTTTGATCATGTCTTTTCCGCGGAGACTGGAGGCTGTAGGTGCAGTCCGTGGATATTATACTAAATATTAAAGACCCTAAGTCTAGTCAGTCAATTATATATATATATAATTGAATTCAATCAAAAATATTATAATTGAATTCAATCAAAAATATTATAATTTAATTATTTAAATTGATAATTTTAATTCGGTATTTTTGGTAATAAACAGGGTGGGTAAGGACTTTTTGGACACAATGTAACTCTGCCTAGAAGTTCTTCTTGAACCTGAGAACGCTTCAAGTTTGGTCTTCCAAGGTTCCAAAACTTATATACCAACCTTTGGAAGGTCAAGAGCACTAGGTCTAGATACATGAACCTAGGTTGACATGGAACATATTGGGTCTAAGGCTATCTTATCTTAGCCCATAAACCTTCCAGTATTTTTCGGGTCACAGACTCCAACTCATTGACCCACATCGGCTCTTGAACTAATCGTCGAGTTTAAAGCATCACGATTCACAATCAAAGCGCTACCTACTCCTGCTTTAAAAGCACACAAATGGAGCCCGCTCTGGAGCCCGCTTTGACACAGCTTTCACGAATTCTACCACCCCTAAGCCGCAACCATGGCACCTCTCATCCGTCCATCCATCAAGATCGCCTGTCGGTCAACTACATGTCCATCTGGGATTCTTTTCTCAATGATGTGCAAGTGACTTTTGAGGCATTCCAATCTCACCTTGATCATCCAATCCCAATTCACCAGAGAATGAAACTGACACGGTCGGAAACGAGCTTGAGCTGTCGGGTCGATTTGTCCGTAACCTTTGCGACCCGGTTACATTCAGGCCCTCGCTCTAGCAGATTGTGTTTTCCTCGATGTCAGCTTTGGCGTTACCGACTCCGATTATCCCGATAATACCAATGTCTACCTTGTTGGCGAGTTGAAGACACCTTGGACAATCTTCCCATCCCACCTGGATAGAACTTTATCGCCAACATCTGCATACTTGGAATCCCTTATTGGTTTGTTTTCCTTTAAAGAACTTCATCTCCATCTAGAACTCAACTAACCCTTTATTTATCTTAATCTAGGCCAAGTCGTTGCTCAGATGAGGAAGTACTCTCTTCGGTTTGGCTTCCTATCAACCTATGAGTTTACCGTTTTTATAAAGTGAGCTACAGACGCTTTCTTCCTTTCAACCAAGCCATCCAAGCGTTATCGGGGACAGCCAACAATCTGCCAAATGTTTACTTTCACGACCCAGGAAGGCATAATATCCTGTACTGCCGAAGAAGCGGGGTTTCAACCTTACTGCATTTTGAGGGAGTGTCAGAGATCAACATTGGCGATACTACTCCTGTGCTGCGTGAGCTGTGAGCCATCTTTCTGTTGGAGGACAATGAAAGCATTCCAAGATGACTTTGACCTGGACCATAAAGTTTATGGGCCCAATGCTTGCTGTGTATCTTATTTTGACTTATAACCTTGGAAGCCTTATGAAGTCAGTACATTCTACCCTAACCAAGGTCTATAAGCGTTATGGACCAAGCATATTCTAGAAATCCATATCTTGTTATATAATATACTGATATATGGAGCCAAATTCGACGTCAAGTTTAGTAACACTATATACTATGCCACCACATACTGACATCTTGGGTCGAATCCAAAATTAGTTTCAACCCCAAATTTGATACTACACACGTTACTACTACCAGTTGACTCAATAGGAGCCCTGGAGAAATAGGCAGACTACCATAGATTGAAGCATTGAGTCCATAAGGCTTATAGGCTAGAACAAGATAGAAACCATCCATTCCATAAGGGATATGGGCTTAGATAAAATAGAAAGCATCCAGTACATAAGGCTTATGCGCTAAGATAGAACGTGTCGGGCCCATAACATAAGCCTTATGGAGCTGGGTTAGTGTAACTTAGAGAACTCATACTAACCTGGACCCTTAAGGCTTGTGGACCAGTTTCCTCACATGCAGAGATACTAGAGATCCTTCAGTAACTGCATCACTGATCTCCAGACCTTGCTGTTCTCACCGATGAGAGTTATCCATAAAGCTTGCAGTGAGATCTTGGAAGCGGAGATAACATCACTTTCCCACATCAAATCAATATGGAGCTGTGTCAATGGAATGTAGATTCCGTACTTTTGTGCTGACTGATTCCAAGGGTCTCAATACTAAAATTCCACGATCGCCCCACGGACCGTACCATATGATAAAGCCGCTTATGCCGAGTCCGGTGCTTAAAGACCGGAGTCCGAGAACTGGCTAATTTGTTTGGTTTGTCTGATTTGCAACGTTTGCACTTAATTTACCTTCGATGATTTTATTCGCTGCTTATCCATGACGCTCTCTAACATCCGTACTCCGTAGTCGATGCAAACATCTGGGATAAATCCGGGGCATGTCCGGGGTTAAGACCATGGGCTACGGACACCTTTATACTATATCCATATGGACATGAGATCATGATGAGGATATAAAAGAGTCCATGGACTTCTACACAAAATGTATTCATCACAAACAAATCTTCAAGTTATCAATCCATCTATACGATTAATCAACCTTACAATCCAGTTCACTACAAAACATCTACAATGTCTCTATCCGGAAAAGTAGCAATCATCACCGGCTCCTCCCAAGGGATCGGCAAAGCAACCGCCCTCCGACTAGCCAGCGAAGGCGCCAACGTTATAATCAACTACCGATCTAGCGCAAAGGCAGCGAATGATCTCGTGGAAAAAATCGGCTCTGATCGCGCTCTAGCCGTGCAAGCCGATGTATCCAAACTCCCAGATCTGGACCACTTAGTCCAAGAGACGGTTACTCGCTTTGGCAAGATTGATATCCTCATCTTGAATGCTGGAATTCTTCCTATGAGAGATTTGGAAAATACTACCGAAGAAGACTTTGATTCTACGTATAACCTCATGGTTAAGGGACCATATTTCCTTGCTCAGGTACGTTTTATGATAATCCGAGTCCTTGAAAACATGAGCTGAACTAACTATGATTCTATAGAAAACTGCAAAGCATATGTCACCAGGAGCACGCATTATCTTCGTCTCTAGTAGCGTAACCTCTGTTTCTGCCATCGCACCTACATACCTCCTCTACGCCTCTGCGAAGGGTGCTATCGAGCAACTTGCGCGTGTTGCGGCGAAAGACCTGGGGAGGAGGGGTATCTTGGTTAATACTGTTGCGCCCGGGCCGACTACCACTGAGTTATTTCTCGAGGGCAAGTCGGAACAGTTGATTAAGACACTGGCGGGGACGAATCCGTTTAATCGGATTGGAGAGCCCGAGGAAATTGCAGCGGTGATGGCTTTCTTATCTGGGAAGGAAAGTAGTTGGATGTCTGGTCAGATATTGAAGGTTAATGGTGCGATGGCATAGATCTAAAGAAGTTAAGGTTGTCAATTTGAGCGATGTACGGAGTATAGTCGCATCATTTACGGATTATAATGGAAGTTATTTTTGAATTTCAGTTTCATCCAATTCACGTTGGTTTGCATACATGTCAAAAGAGCAGTAGACACAAAGGCACAACCAGGACACTCCTTTCCGACCTTGAGAGACGAAAAGGATAAATCAAATGTCCAAAGTTATGACCATATTTTTTAATCGCAGCCCAGAACAAAAAAAGATTAAAAAAACAAACCGATTTCTTTCATTTCATTTCAACGACCTTGAATAAGTCTGCCACGTCCAGAATCCCTTCTCTCTCTCATTCTTTCTCCATCCCCGCCTCAAAACACACAAAACACGTACTTTAGTCCCACATAAAAAATCAAGATAGGGAAGGAGATCCACACATAAAGCATCAGTTGGATTCCATGGACCAGAATAAAGACGGGGTTTCATCAGAGAGAGCATTTAGAAAAAAAGAAGAGTTGGAAGCGGAACAGAAACCAAGGACGGTTCTGGGCAGCCCTTTCATTTCCCCATTAAGATAGCACCGGTGGGCAAAATGAGAGGGTGGAAGGGCAACACGAGAGAAGACGTTTAGTTGCCGCCCAGGCTGGGGAAGTTCTTCTCATCGACGGTAGGACCGGCGGCGGCGGCGCGAGGAGCACCACGGGCAGCGGGGGCACCGCGGGGAGCACCACCACGGGGACCACCACGAGCGGGACGGTCACCACGGGGAGCACGGTCACCGCGAGGAGCACGGTCACCACGGGGGGGCACGGTCGCCACCACGGCCACCGCGGGGTCCGGAGGAAGGACCGGAGCGAGGCTGCTCAACGAAGCGCATGTCGACGTCAAGGACGTTCTTCTCCTTGCGCTGCTTCTGGCGCTGAGTCTTCTCGGAGGTAGGAGCCATGTAGCTCTCCTGCTCATCAACACGCTTCAGAGCGGTAGCGGCGGCCCACTTCTTGTCCTCCTTGGTGCCCTCGTTGGCGGCACGGACGGGCTTAGCAGCAAGGCTGTCACGAGCGGCCTTCTCGGCCAGGTAGTCGGTGTAAGACTTGGACTTGTCGGCCTCCTCAGCCTCCTCGACGGGGGTCTGGGGCTCCTTCTCGTCCTCCTTGGCGATGTTCTCGCCAACGCGCTCATCGTCGAGGGTCTTCTCGCCGGACTCGCCGCCCCAGCCCTGCTGGACCTGCTTGCGAGTGTCGCTGTAATAGAAATGTTAGTTTCGATAGTTTAAACAAAAATTGACCACCACATTCATCGAGGGCGCTCTGAAACTTCTTTTTGCTTTCTTTCCAGTAGTTCCTCGATTTTCGTGTGGCTGATCGTAGATCTCTTCATTTTTCGTTCAAGAAAAAAAAATGAAGATTGGAAGATGGTCGCTTACGTCTGACCAGTGCGGGACTGGCGGTCACCGCGGGGACCACGGTTGCCACGAGGGCGAGAAGGCTGCTCACCCTCCTCAGTGGGCTTGGAGCGGTTGTTGGTGCGGCCGGCGTTGCGGTCACGGAAGGCTAAAAAAGAAGCTCCGTCAGCTTCCAGGTTCATCCATCTCAAGCTTTCCCCACACTTTTCATCACTCCCCGCCATCAAATTTCACAAGATTCCATTAACGTACCAGCGTCGTTGCCAGTGTTCACACGGCCACCACGGCGGCCATTGTTCTCTGAGCGAGGGGCGGAAGCAGAGGCAGCAGGAGCCTCCTTGGGGGCATCACGCTTGCCAACGCGGGGAGCGGGTCGGTCGACGGCCCGGGCGGGAGGGGCAGGGGGTCTGCTAGGGTCGAGCTCGGGGTCATTGCCTGAAAAGCAGAGAGGTTAGTCGCTGAGGATGAATTTGAAGCTTGGAGATGCTTTGAGGATGAAGGGGAACCAAATTCCGAAGATGCATGTTCCCATGAATTCGCGGAATGATTTGGATAAAGCAAGTTTTTGGGGAAAGCTCGAATCGAAATCACATACCAAGAAGCTCGTAGAGGTTCTATTTGAACGGAAAAAAGACACAGATTGAAGTTAGCCACAGCGCCCGCAACAAAACCCAATTATGTCGAAATCCAGAGCTGCGCTTCATGATTTCGACCACTTTCAGCGTACCTTGGACCGAACGTCCACCATGACGCCTGGTGTTGCGGAGTCCTTCCGTCGGGGAAGGCGCTCAACGATCAACGAGGGTTGTTATAGGGTAGGCACAAGGCAGAACCTCAGCAGATCCAGCCTCTTAGAATGATGGTGATTGAAGGGGTGTTGTCGTAGGAAGGGAAGGTTGAGGGTTTGTGGTGCAGCACGAATCCGGTTAGGCGCCATTTACTAAGCGAATCAGGCTAGGGCTTAGGGTATCATGGCGTCACTAGATGGCATCATAGATTCTATATACTAGAATTCGAACTCGAGAGATTCGATTGAGTCTGATCTTCTTTTTTTAATCAGTGTTCTTTTTTACAAGTGTTGAATAGGAGTTTATTTTCCAAATGTACCAACTACCATGTACAACCCGATGGTATCAAAATATCAAAAACCATTCAAAATATTCACAAAACCCTCAACTCAACGCCAGGCAATGCTCGCATAAAAAACTTTTGGAGGAGCCAATGTAACCCAACCAGATGCCTCGACAACTTTTTTTTTCTCTCTCTCGTCTTTCCTTTACAATGCGGGAAAATGCAACGAAAGTTTTTCGCTCGGAGCTCATAAAAATAACAGAAGTAAGCACCACCAGAAATGCATCGCTTAATTGCGAGTATTGTTCTGTTCGTAGTTGAATGGCGTAGGGAAATGCATACTTGCACTGAGTCCAAACGGATCAGTATCCAGCATAGGTTCATATTGTCCCATCAACTGGTTTGCATTTCCGAAGTCTCCGGGAGCTCCGTCGCCGCCGGAAGGAGCATTGAACCCGGACAAATTATGCGAGCCGGAAGCAACCGATTGAGGTGTGAACCCGGGTACCCCGTAAGTATTTACTGAGCCATCGTGGTCCTCGTCCACCAAGTCAGCTTGTGCATCATACTCTTGTTCTGCATGAACCAGTTAGAATTTTGCTCATTGTTATATATATTTTTTTTTTTCTCTTTTCATATAATCTGTCCGAGAATTACTCACCCAGTTGATCATAATGTTTCTGGAATGGAGAAGGATAGTACGCAGCTGCGACCCGCTGCTGTTGACCACGCGGCAGTCGTGGCTTGGAGTCATTGGGATCTGTCTGCGGCATGCTGATCGCTGATGGTGACGTCTGGTTATTGAATGTCCGGGGTTGAGGCAGCAATTGTGGACGTGCAGTCCCTTGCTGATCAACACCGATGGGGGACATTCCACCTTGGAAACCAAAGCCAGGTGACTTGGCATGCGACGGAGAAGAGACATGCGAGGTAGGTGTCGCCTGGAACTGAGGTGACGGCACAGCATATGCACCATCACGCTGAGACATGGCAAAAGCATCAGACTTGGAAGCAAGACCGGGATGTCTCTGCGTGGGCCGGGGTCCTGCAGGGCCTGGTGCCGGCTTGGGAGGCATCGGGGTAGTCTTCGGTTGAACCCCCGGAGCTCCGGTCTTCAGCCGTAGCTCAGCTTGAACATCGATACCTTAGCGAAATGGTCAGCGAGGAGTTTCTTGACCGATGGGTATAACATGTATGCATGTCAAAACGCAAGGGTAATTTTGTTTCTTGTTTTTTTGCATGTCATTTCTTACCTTTTTCTAACAAGATTCGCTCCAGTAAGGAGTTCTTGTATCGTAGCATCAGACATTCATCAGCGGCACTCCGGTGGCTCTGCTGTAGGCTTTGCAGGGACTCCTCATTGCGCTTGATAGTAGTTTCCAACTGACGGATATACTCGGTGCGACGTTCCCGAAAGGCCGCCTGGGCCTGTCTATTACGCTGCTTCCTTTCTTCAGAGGTGGCGTAAATCTAGAATAAGGGGTAAGGTGGGTTAATGTGGGAAGATAAGAAAAAGGACCGAGCTGATGCATGGCCCCGGGGAAGGCAGAGATAAGGGGAAGATCGCATAAATCAGAACAAGCCAAAACAAAAATAAAGATAAAAGGAATGCGGGGCCCCGGATTATTGCATCAGCGGTCAAAAAAAAAGAAAAAGCTTTTTTTTTACGTACAGGTTTTCTTCCTCCCTTTCGTTTTTGAGTCTGAGCCGGATCTTGGGTTAAGGCTTCAACTTCGGGATCGGGGGTTGACACGGTCGAGCTGATCGAACCATCCGGTAAGGGTTCGGACTTGGGCACGACGGGGTCCATGACCGTGTCATTGTGATCGGGATGGGAAGTCTCGACCATAGAGACTATTGAATTTTCGACCCCGGGCGCCCTTTAGAGTGAAAGTCTTACTTAACAGAAATCACGATCACGTCTTTTCCCACCGTGCTTGTCCTCCGCAACACGGACCAACTGCACAGGGATATTCGTTTCTCCCGCCGAACCACGGGCTTTTTGGGAGGATCGGCTAAAGGAAAAGATTAATCAAGTTTTGGATATTATCAACAGACGCGAAACCCGCGCGGCTCGGCGGGAAATAGGGAATGGACGAGTAAGAGACAAGGGAGTGACATAAAAGAAATTGAATTATGAGAAAGGAAGAGTCAGAGAATTGAGATAAACGGGGCGGGGAGGAGAAGAAATGTGAGTAAAACTATTGACTAAACGAATAATATTATTGTTTCCCAAGGGTCAGATGAGAGGGGCTTTTTTTTCGCCTAGTTTGAGTTTTTATTATTATTTATTATTATTTTCCCTCTCAGTTTTTTTTTTCTCTGTAGGAAAATTTTTTTTCTTTTCGCCTTCGTAACCATGAATGGCTATGATGGGGACGGGTCCACCTGGGCACTATGTTGGGAGTTAGTGGTACGAGAGTGGATTTGCCTTGTGGAGAGAAAATGCGAGGGAAAGGACAAAAGGACAGAAAAGGGTGAGAAAAAAAAAGCAAAAAAAAGGGAGAAATAAAACGACGAATCCTGTTCCAGATGTCCGCGGAGAATGTTATGTACACTACATCAGTTATACCAATTGACTACTTATTACCTGGGTACTTTCACTATATACGGAGTACCAGACTTGGAAGGTCACTTAAGCCGAATAGCCGATACCGGGGCCAACCGTGGGTTCTAACTTCTAACATCGGTGCTCTCCGCTCACTCTCAATTCAGTTCACCGTGGAGTTTCAGGGGCAAAAAAAAAAAAAAACGAAAAATTCTAAAACTAGTGTGCATTAAAGACATGACACTATAGGCTTTGAGGCTAAGTTAGCTCCGATCTAGGCAGGTCAATAGAGAAGAAATAGTGCCTTGACCCTTTGACTCTTCCAGGTCAATTCCAAGGCTTCCAAGCCGCGGAGATCATGTGGTCCTTTTTTTGACCATTTTTGGCCCCCTTGAACAAGAAAATCACTGGGACATGATGCAATCTTGGCCGCGTTGCAGATTCCCCTCGTTAAGTTGGACTAATTGGTACAAGTAGAGAACCGTATACATTTTAGACCATTGGGAATCTTCGGATCAAGATATCCTGATCACGTTCATCATATATAGTTTTTTGATCAGATCAGATCTGAATGTCAATATTATCAGATCTCATGTCATTATACCCCAGACTCCCTTGAAAAGATCAATTGATCAAAGTAAGGACTTGACGGTCCATATGATGTACATGTATGCAAAACAGCTCGGCGATCGGCATTCGGTTCCCCGCCAAACCCAAGTCACATGCCATTATCCATCCCCAGCTGTCATCAAGCCCTTTCTCCATCTTAGTACACCGGAACAAAGCAAAGAAAGAGAAAAGGATTGAAAGAAAACGGGGAAATAAAGAATAAGCGACCATGACATCTCCCTCTGGCGACCAACAGGAAAACGTGGTCACTTCTGTGGCCCCAACCCCCGCCTCGGCTGAACAACAACAGCCCAGTGCGCAAGCACCATCTGCAGAGCCCCCCACAGAAGCAACAAGACGATCAGCCGATACCTTCAACCCGTAACGATGATGATGACGAGGACTCCGATCTGGACGATTTAGACGGTATGAGACACCCCCTGCATGATCCTGATTTCCCCTCATCTTCCCCCCACTCGCGAAAAATATACCGAGGAGCATCCAAACTAATTCGATACGTCCCGGATGAACAGATGTCCTAGATGATTTCTCTAAACCAAAGCCTACTGCACAACCCGCTGCGCCTGTCCCGACGCAAGATCCCTCAACTGAGGACTTCGACGAAGATGCCTTCCTGAAACAGTTGGAACAAGATATGGCCAATATGATAGGGAATCCGGGTGGATTCCCCGGTGCAGCGGGAGATCCTACTCTTCAATCATCAGTGGAACAGGGTGCAGATGAATTTGCGAAGCAGTTAGAGCAAAGTGGGATCCCCCCCCCGGTGACTTCTTGAAACAGTTACTCGCCGATGTTATGGCCGAGGAAGGCGGAGATCCTGCTGCGGCGGCGGCAGCATTGGGTGGAAAAGCTTCATCTAGTACTGCTGCTCCTGTGCCAGCTCCTGCTACTTCTACTGGAGCTAGTGCATCTGATGAACAGACGAATGAATCCTTTAGTGATGCGATCCAGCGCACGATGGAGCGGATGAAAGAATCTGGTGATCGCGCGACGGAGGCAGCTACGGAGGATGATGGAGTATCAGATGATATGCTCGCACAGCTGCTAAAGGCTATGGAGGCTGGTGCAGCGGGTGCAGGTGATGAGGGAGACCTGACGAAGATGTTTATGGGAATGATGGAGCAGCTCTCGAATAAGGAGATGCTGTATGAGCCCATGAAGGAGCTAGATGGGAAGTTTGAGCCCTGGATTGAGAAGAATAAGGCTGAGGGCAAGGTCCCCAAGGATGATATGCAGCGCTATGAGGCCCAGGCGAAGGTGGTTAAGCAGATTGTGCAGAAGTTTGAGAAATCGACATACTCGGATGATGATCCCAAGTGTCGGGAGTATGTATGGGAGCGCATGCAGGAGGTATGTTGATTACTGGACTCCGTGCCATTGAGATTGAAACTGATTTACTTTTATAGATGCAAGCTGCTGGCAGCCCACCTGAAGAGCTGGTTTCGAACCCACTCATGGAAGAGACTCTAGGCGCAGCTGCTGCTGGAGGACCTGGAGGACCTGGAGGTGTCCCTGATTGTCCCCAGCAATAAGGGTAATACGAACATGAGGAAGATTTGGGAAGTTAAAGATTTATGACGATACAGATATTTCATCGGGTTGCTTTGTACTGTACATATACACACGTCCGATACCCTGATTATTTACTCCGAGGTATCCCCCTTGATAATAAGACCCAGTCCCACCGTTCCCATGAGATAACGCCGACTAAATGCAATGAAAATAGACGCTCAAAAGTCAAACCAACATATCCCACACATATCAATATCATGGCAGACAAACCACTCATGACATATCCATATCCGGACTCTGATGCGCTAGCGCAGGGCCGGGCATCGTCATGAAGATATCATCATACTCAGCATCACTGAAAGACGTATCCTGCTGAGACATACTCTCATACATTGCCATCTCTATCGCCTCTTCCTGGGAGATAAATTCATCCAGCGCACGAATCTCAGACTCGTCTACGACCACACTGTTAGCATATATTTCCACAAACAGAAGGATACGAAACACTTACCAGGAAGCATATCATCCTCCAGCATCTCATTCGATCCCTGAACTCGATCCATATCCCTAGCCATGGATTGCTCCCACCGCCGCTTCTCAGCCATGTAATCAGCCCTCATCATCTGTTCCCCTCTTGCCTCGAATCGACCCTCATCACGCTCATTGCGCACGCGATTCAGGAACATTTTCCGCGTCTTCGAGCGAGCAAGCGATGCAGAGCTCTTCATCGGATTAGCTACCTGCGCCGCATACCGATCCGCGAATTTGCTACCCCGAGTTGCTGGTGACGGAGAAGCCGGTGAGAAGGGGTTCGAGTTCGAGGTTGATGGCAAATTCGGCGAGAAGAATAAAGGTGTAGCAGGGGCAGCGGCAGTATTGAAGATAGGGGAAGAGAAATGTTGGCGAGTAGCCTGTTGAGGCTGGGAATTATTATTTAGCGAGAATGAGACCGGAGATGGAGAGAAGGATGTGTCTGCGTTAAGACCGGATGGCTTTTGCGCTTGGCTTTGCGGACATCCGAAGGTAGGAGAGTCCATTGTCCAGGGAGGAGTGGAGATGTTTGTGCTGCGCGGCCCTAGAGGGGATGGGCGCGCAGGACTGTAGTGGCGTGTTTGGCGGAATGGGGTTGAGGGGGGGTTGTGTTGCGAACATGATGGAGGTTGAGTTCGGGTTTCGCGGCTTGGTAGAGAAGTGGGTTTTCCGTGGTTCGCGGGTCGGATATGGAAATGTGTTGTTGTTTAGCCTAGTGCGTTTCTTGTATGGAGTAGATGAATTGGAGAAGGTTCCACTTTGGGTCAACAATAGACCTAGAGAAGAATCATTGTGTCTGGGGGGAGTTTTGTATGGGGTGGGAGGCTGGGGGGGATGCGTCGCGATCGCGATCCGACGCGCATCTCACACCACGTGCAGTGGCGCGTTGGCACGTCAGTCAACTGGAATGTGGACTTCGATCCGGACGAGATCTAGCTTTCACCTAATCTATACTTATAAATTACTATTGTCCATTTGTACATAGACTACTGGATAACTTGCATACATTGGCGCCTACGATATTACATGCTCTTTCAACCCTGAAGTACACTAGATGCTCGATGAGTCTGACATTCCAAAGTCCTGGCATTCGTGATATCGAATGCAAGTGCTCTCTTCTCAGAAATGCCAGTCAAGGCTCGCTTACGACTAGGTCTAGAGATATTAAAGGTAGTTTCAGGAAACTTTTGACATTTTCAAAACGTAGTAAAACATAGACACTCCTTAGGTAGGAAAAAGCTGAATTAAGTAACAGGATATATCGAGCCAAAAGTGAATAACTTTGTCATGGGGAATCAAAAGAAGCCGAGTTGAGATATAATGCAGCCGAAGCGTGCCGCAACTGGCACAAGGGTCCAATTGGAGAGGTGCGATCACCGGAAAAAAGACTGTTCAGGGTGCTGAAAGGATAACGCTCAAAGGAGTGGAAACACAGTCAAATCTATGACGCCATAAAAGAGTGAAAGGGTAGATGAACCCAAAAATATATGAATGAAATCCCGCAACCCGTAATAAATAAAAACAATCGTGATCTTCGCCTGACCTGCCCATTGCGCCTGAAAATTGCATGATGATCGTACAGACAAGGTGTACACTGGATGTGAACCGCCCGCTAGATTCTGCCCCGCTTTGGTGGGGTCAGAAATAAAATCTAAAAGCAAAAGGATTACCCTTTACTTTAGAAGTTTGATGCAGCGTTGACGGGACCAGGGTTATGGTACTGGTCCAGTGTATTCTTGAAGGGAGTGTTGGCAGACGGGCTAGGGGCCTTTTCACGGGGACCGGAGCCAACGGCGGTGCCGCCCATCAAGTCGGTATCTTCATCACCATACTGCTCACTGCGCTTCTTCTGGATGCGCCAGATAACAACGGCCAGAACACCCAGCACGATAGCACCACCGACACCAACGACAACACCGATGATGATCTTCTTGTCCGAAGACGAGAGGCCACTGCTAGAGGAACCGCTGTTGCCGGTGTTCAAGCTAGCAGATCCAGTATTGGTCGCAGCAGAGGTAGTAGTCACCACATTCGCCTTGGTGGTTCCGCTCACAACCTCGTATGAAGTGTAAGTTCTCACAACGGCAGACTCGGTGGTGGAGGCAGAGGAGACGGTGGCAGCAGCAGTAGTCTTCTGGTCATTTTCTGAAGTCGTCGATGATGTACTGGTAGCTTGGTTGTTGTTGTTGTTGTTGTTGTTGTTGTTGCTGTTGTTATCGCTGGTCTTGGTGGCTTCCGTAGTAGTTTTGGCGGCTTGTTCGGAAGTGGTGGTGGTTGTGGGCTCCTCGCTAGTGGTGGTAGTGCTAGTACTGGTACTGGTGCTAGAGGTACTAGTCGAGGTAGATGTTTCTTCTGTGGTAGAAGTGGTGGAAGTAGAAGTGGGTTCGGCTGAAGTAGTGGCCGCTTCGGCAGCAGAGCTGGATGAATCGTTGTTGGTGACATCGGAGATCAGATCACTGGCGTCCCGCTTCAGATCCTGAGCCGCAACGGCGGTCAGGAGCAGAGCGTGGACTAGAAACGAGAGTTTGGAGAGACGCATTTTGTCTTCTTTCAACCAGTGAATCGAAGACAAGAATGCGGTATATTTTAAACGAAGGTGGGAAAATAGAGAGCGAATGACTTAGGGGAGTAGAAGGGGAGAAAAAGGGAAAGGGAGAAAGGAACACAAGACACGAGTCAAGTGCCGCTAACTCGATCGGGTCCACTAGTCCGGCCCTAGTTTCATCTTCTCGTACCTGTAATTTTCATTTCATCCACTTTGGAATCTAGCAATTTGCGGAGTTCCCGGTAGTAAACTAGCACATTCTTTAATGTATTCAATGTATTTTATGTATTTATTGTCTTGCATATGTATTTAGGCAGCCAACTGCATCATAAAGTTCCTAGAAGGTTACAGTAGCAAAAAAAAATAAACGCCATAAATAACTTATGGATACGGCGCTTCCGGGTCATTGCATGTGGCATTAGATCTGATTGATTCTATTTATTCCATTCAGATTCCTTTTTTATGTTGAAATTTCTAGTTTGAAATCTCTTTCGTCTTGCGCGTCCAATAGTCACCCATCCCTTATGAATATCACAATCCGTACTCCATACGATTCGCGGCCTCCCCCAAATTCAATACCGGATCATTGGCCCACAAAGATCCACCCCTCACGCCAACCCATAATTAGTAACGTCTCAACATGTCACCTCATCGACTTAAATCCTACACTGTTCTGTCGATCAAGGCTGTGTTGTCTTCAGCTGAAAGAGAATTTCATCTCTAAAGAATACTGAATATAGGATGCCAGAACGCCTGAAACCCTTGGCGATGGGGGCTATTGAGGATTTGTTTGTTCACTCCTGATGCTTTGTTTATCTACCAGACCCATTGTCCCGAAGTATCGAAGCCGGTACAGCCGGTCAGGGAGTCAGGGAGTAATCTCACGTCGGCCATTAAAGGCAATGTGGCGCTGAAGAGTCAAACGACTAGGGCCTGAACGGGACTCTCTAGGCAATGCAGGGCGACAAGCCCACCCCACCTAGAGACGGCAAGAGACTTCTAACACTGTGGGAGTCTAGACCTCTGCCCAGCATGGTTGTCGTACGAGGCTTGCTTCGAGACCCTCTTAATGGATCGTTTAATGACCAAAAATTGGTCCCTGAAATCGCTGGTTTTTAAGGTATTTTAATGAAAGAAAAATAGTAGTGGCATAACCTGTCCAACGGGTTCATCCATGTAGGTCATTTGTATGTACTCCATGTCCGAACTTCTCCATACTCCGTAGCGAGGGACTTATTGACAAATACAGTATGGTATATTCCATACGCGCTGGCATAATGGCATAATGCGGCTTTTAATATGATTCGTTCAACTCGAAGTAACTGCGCCCTTAACTGGGCCAATCTTCAATACTCGTTGATATTCCTAGGCGCTCAGGTTTACGTGTATAGTCTGCATGATCCCAATTTCAAATCCAGTGGCACAAAACCAAAACAATTGAAAGCACACATGGTGAGAAAAGAGTGGTGTATTGCCCATGCATTTTTTGAACGACATGAAACAAAGACAAAAAGTTGGCAAAAAAGTCATATGCATGGGTATCATCTAGGACTGAAACAAAATGAGTAACATAACGCCAGATCCAAACATCACAGCTTGTTCGGAGGCTTCCCCTTTGCTTGGTCTTGCAATTCCTCCTTGAAATACTTCAGGAACCGGTTGAACTGGCCTAAACGTTCTATCAGTTATGAACCGATGATATGGAGGAGTTACCCGTGAAGACAATTACCGTCGGATAGCGTTGTTCGGCTTTCTTCCATCGGCACACCATGGCGATGATATTGAACACGTTGATAGACCCGACCGACCATTTTATGCCAGACTTGACTTTGCAAGAGCTGAGGACGAGGTTAGAAATGCTTGGTCATCTAACCAAGGGACGGGTGACATACACGGCTGATCATTGCGCGCTAAGACGGTCAGCTATCATCAAACCTGTAGGGGGAGAAAATGAAGCCTACCTCCAATTCTGCGAGCCAGAGCGCCTTCCAGACCATTTTGATAGGTTGTGAACCAGACACGGAAATGAAAGCAAGCGGTTTCACGCGGTTTACGAATGATGAGGGGATCTGGAGAAATATCCATCTCCAGTTAATCCTTAGTAAGCCCGGGTCCGGCACCCCAACTTTCGATGACACATGCCTTCCTCCTCCCCCATACTTTTTCTGGAGACGACTCCGGTGATACTCTGGAACGGAAATTCCGATCCTTACGACGCTCCTCCCACCTAGCGATGACCAAGTGGTCCTGTCTACCGATCGCCGATTCTTGATCACGCGATGGCGAGTGGCCAAGCACACCCGCAAGTGGCTAGCCTGATTCTATACGGATTTTACAATTCAAATCTCCATCGATCATGACAAAAGGGTGCTATACATGTCGACGCCGTCGCATTATCTGCGACAATGGCCAGCCCACCTGTCGAAAATGCCGAGATGCGGGGAAAGAATGTCTGGGCTACCAAAAACCATTGGTATGGGTCAAGGGTGGGGTTGCTAGTCGAGGCAAAATGATGGGTCGCAGTTTCGATGAGATGAAGAAGTCCTCTGGGAAGGATAAACACCAGAATCAAGCAGTAGCAATGGCACAAACATTCGAACCAGATGTATCCCATATCAACTCGGGATTCTTTCCTATACCTGAATCCTCGTCTGATACAGATTCATCTCCAAATTCGGGGCCCCAGGCCAGTGCGGAGACATATTGGACACAGGAGGTTCTAGATACAAGAGACTTTGAGGAATATTTTGGTTCTTTTGACGAGGCAGACTTTATTGCTTCAAATTTACTAAATGAGCGGGAAAATGCCATGGTTCATGTCCCACGAAGTACACCGATGGAGTATATTCCAGCGCCATGGGGATTGGTTGATCCATTGCTGAAAGATTTTAATCACACTTCAAGATTCTATCTTAACCACTGTATGCATATTCTGCTACTATATTTTACATTTTCTTTTTATACACGCCCAGTCCATCGCTAACCTCGCCTACTTTCAGATAACGAGTACATGACGAACGATTTCCTGATTTACCCCCAGCTCAAGAACCCATGGCGAGATATTATCTCGCTAGTTGGTCACTCGCCGCTTCTAGCGCACGCAATATTGGCTATAGGAGCCTTGCACTACTCGCTCGTATCGAATTCCGACTCCTCGATGATGCCTTGGTCATCCCATAATCCCTTGAGTATCGACGCTCCTTTGGCACCCGAGGATATCGAAAACATGATCACCCCAACAAGTTCTCGCCAAACGACTTCAAAAGCCTACCACCATTTCTTGGAATTCAAGCAGCGTACACTCCATCAGCTATCCAAGGCCCTATCGAACCCTGCTACGCAAAAAGACGATATTACTTTGGCAGCTATTGTCGTCCTTGCTCTTTTGGATTTATTCGAGTCTGGCAGCGGGGCATGGAGCTATCATATTGAAGGCGCGAAGAAACTATTACGAAGTCGACCCGAGAACACCCTCGGTCAAGGCATTGTCCAGGGACTTGAGGCAGTTGCCATAGATGGGTGCTTAATCATGGAGATCATGGGATCCACGCTCGCACGTCCTGGGGCTCTCTCCAAGCCATTTTACCCTCAAACCATGGGACCAGCTATGCTCAAACGTCTCGAGGAAACGTCCTGGGTTGGCTGTCCGGCCTACCTTCTCGAAGTGATTTTCTTCGTCCACACACTATGGTATCCTGACTCTGAGCTCGCAGCCGCAGCTCCTAGACCCACAACTTTGGGAATCTCCATGCAACAAGGCCAACCACTCTCCCGAGAATCATATGCTCAACTTCTCCAAGGAATCCGAAGTTTCGACCCTGTCTCCTGGGCTCGAGAAATGCAAACATATTTCTTCCTTGATGATCTCTCCCCACGCATCGCCCTAGCTAGTGCTTACCAAGCCGCCGTTTACCTCTATACTAGTCGTGTCCTCTCAAGAGCCCGAGAAGGATACTCACCTCCGTGGACCGACACTAATCTTCCCTCAGACCACTCCCAGGCCTCTCACGATCTTATAACCCGTATTTGCTCTGTTCCTACCTCAGACCCCCATTTCAAGTGTCTCATATGGCCGACTTTCATTGCCGGTGCCGAATGTCGACGTTTAGAGCAGCGTTCGCTTGTTCTTGAGAAGCTCGGCTTCCTCTATCAAGCCGTTGCGAGTGTCAATGTCCGCAATGCGGCATGGGTTCTTCGACTTATGTGGCAGAAACAGGATCTAAAGCGCCGAGAACGTGAAAATGTGCCTATTGGCCTTGTCGATGGACTTCTACCGAGGGGAGCTTTCGATCAAGAGCTTAATGATGACGATACGTTTGATTCCTCTTTTGATTGGGTGGATGAGCTGGACGCATCTCGCCTTGACTGGCTATTCATTTGATTTGCGCACTGCCCGTGCGTTTGATGTATAAAAATGGGGATACCAGTTCCTCTATTCTTCAACCTACATATTGGCTGTACATAATTTGAACTTGATGATGTATATGATTCAATTGACGATTTTCAAGGTTACTACTAGTACACGCAGGATTGGACAGTTAATACTTCGATTAATAATGCGAGCTGTTCATATTACTCAGAAAGAAAAATGTGATGAGAATCGGGTATATCAATTTTTGAATCCGGGCACAATGGAAATAAGAGACAAGGTCTGCCATGAGACATGAGAGATGAAAAACAAGTGTGTATAAGAAGAGGGTAGAGAAAATAAAAAGAATTGTCACAAAGAAGTAAGCATCAGTCCAAGGAATTACTGGTGCTTAGGGGAAGGAAATGGTATATGAGAGCAATCCACAAAACAAGGATTCCGAAGAGACAAAGCAAATATCCAGAGGAATGGAGAATAACCGAGAACCGTCCTGATCCAACTTTTTGAGGACAATAGGAGAGATAGAGATAAAGAGAGAGAGAGAATAAGAGAATTCTTCGGCAATAACAATGAAACAACCGCACAGTAACAAATTTCTTCACTGTAGCTGAGAACGCTAGACAGTAATCGACATCTCAGAAAAGAAGTCTTCAATAAAGATCGCCAGACGTAGAAGAAAAGAGTATGCATCAGATCGGAGCAGAAGCAGGGATATATAACAGGCAAGAAAATGAGGGTCAGGGAAGAAAGAAAAACACAAAAGTGAACTATTCAACAGGCGACGCAATGATGAGAGGGGGAAAATAAGCATGCTCCCTCTCCAGTTCTAAATGCAAAACATGTCCCTATACGAACAAAGCACGCTTGTCATTGTAATATGCAAAACAGAAGAAATAACCAGTATGTAAAGGAGACATCTGTCATCCTTGTGGGAGACCTTGACTTCTCGGGTCGATATCCAAGTTGAATGGCTAACAGCTCAGAGACTAAGCTGATAAAGCAAAAAGCTAACCAATTGCAAGAGCCATATTCAGGATTGGATGTCATCGGAAGAGAGTCCGGGCGCCCGGGGGAAGTAAGGCAAGAAAAGGGGGAGTCTCTCGAGAGTGGAGCTCGGCGGTCTTAGAACACGGCAGCGAGACCATTCTTAGAGTGACGCCGACTGAACCTTTTCTTTCCCTTCACGGATTCCGTATCGGCTTGTTGTTTGACCAAAGTGTTGCGTACCGGTGGTTGGGGCACGTTGTTCTCATTCTGGAGGTCTGAAGCGCGGTCAAGAGTGTTGGCATGGCTGGAGAACCCGGAGGAAATTTCTCGGAAAGCATCTTCGGCGGAGTAAGGCCCGGAGCTTTGTTGCGTCAAAGCCATCTCACGCGCCCGATCAAGTGCATCTAACCATTCCTGTGCTGATAACGCCGTAGCCCCGATGTTGCTCGATGATGGCTTAGGGTCCTCAAAAACGAAATGCTTATCCCTCTGGAATTGAAGTTAGTAACAAAAACACATATAAGATGTATTTAACAAGATATTCACTTACTGTATCCACGATCCATGATGAGTGACCCTTGGAATCGGTTGTGCTCCTCCAATGCGTGCCAGATGTAAGAAGAGGGATTTCGAGTTTCGCCTTCTTTTCATCGCCACCTGGAGCTGCTAGAATAATTCTTGCAGAGGATGTGACCATAACCAGCCGTTGGCGTTTCTTAGTTGCTGTGCTCGAGAAGAAACGTGAGAACTTCTTTGGGGCTTCCGGTTCACTGCCGCCATTTCTAGAAGTTGGGCTGTGTGATGCAGGAGATGAAAGCACAACCATATTCCCCAATTTCAGAATGCGCTCATTGGATCTACTCAGCACTGGCGACCATTCGATATCCAGCTGGCTTGGCGGAGGCAGCTCTGTGACTACCCTAGGAAGAGCGCGGGAGCTGGAATTGGGCGCATTAGAAGGAGCCGTCGAGATCGTGGGAGGAAAGCTTTCGCTGCTGTCGCCATTGAGTTTGATGGGCTCACGAGGAGGTGGCTGATAAGCCTTAAGACGAGGAGCCTTCTGCTTCCACAGCTCAGGTCCCCAGGTAATGCCGGCAAAGAATTCGTGGTTTTTGATGTGCTCGATTTGCAACCGTCGGGCGGGCTCAAGTACAAGAAGACGCTCGACCAGGTCACGAGCAACAGAAGGGAATCCGATGGGAAATTCATAGTCCAAGGCCACAATTTTTTGGAATGTTAGGTATTCATTTGCGGCTTTGAAAGGTGGGCGGCCGACCAATAACTGGTAAATGATGCAGCCGAATGCCCACAGGTCACTTGCCTTGCAGGCATTCTTTTCCGTCAGCAATTCAGGGCTGACATACTCTGCTGTGCCAACAAAAGAGCTAGCTCGCTCTTCCTCTGGGAAGTCTGGGGAATCAAGGGGCGGGATTGAGCTGGTGCTATCGGTTGGCCGTGGTGAGGATTTGAGTATCTTTGCTGTACCGAAATCGGTAATCTTGACGTGCATCTGATGGTCAAGTAAGACGTTCTCGGGTTTCAGATCTCGATGGATCACACCGCGCTTGTGCATATAATCTATTGTGTCCAAGATCTGCGCACCGTAGAACTTGGTGCACTCTTCATCGAAGGTGGTCATCCGCTTGAGAACACCTAGAAGCTCACCACCCTTGCACAGATCCAGAACAAAATATAAAGAGCGCTCATCCTGGAAAGTATAGTAGAGTCGCACGATACCCGGATGGTCGGTCAGACGGTTCAATGTGTCCTTCTCAATATTGACGTATTTCACCTTCTTCTCCTTGATGATGTGTCGCTTGTCCAGTATCTTGATCGCATACTCTTTCAATGTCTGTCGATCTGTCGCAAATGCCACTGTACTGTATGATCCTTCTCCTAAAGTGTTTCCAAACGAGAAATCCCGGACACCTTTCTTGACGTATCGCGAGACAGTCTTCCCGTTGGCGTCCACTTCCTGTCTTACTGAGACCGCAGCACCGCGCTCCTGCCAATCCTCGCTATTATGTGGTGGGCCGTTCTCCATACCGTAGGGACCTCGAGACATTGGTGGTTGGCCGGTTCCTCGGGCGTGTGCTCTGGACGACTGACGCATTACAGCCGGTCCATTGGCCGGAATGTGAGTTGTTCGATAGGAACGGTCGCTATGAGAGTTATCCCGGACAGGTACACCTGCTTGTAGGGCTGCGGCAACACCCCGAGCGTCCTTTCGTGAGTGCGACGTTGATGTGGATGAAGCCCCAGAGTCTGTTCGCATGCGATATGAGTTATCTCGGGGCAAAACGGAGGAAGATCCGTTGACGTAGACAGAGGAAAGGGGGCGGGATGGATTCGGCGGAGTAGAGTGTGGATGAGTCGAGTAGGGCTGATAGGGACCCGATGGCTGTGGGAGATCAGGAAATGAATAGATGACGGACGAGCGATTGTCGGGTACAGGTGCATCGACAGGTGCAGGAGGAAATGCCGTAGGAGCTTCCTCAATCGGCGCGGGAATCTGTGGATGTGTTGATACCGAACCGTCCGGTTGGCCGGATGGACCAGATTCCATCGAACCAGCGGTCGCGTCCTCTGATGGAAGCGGCGAATCGTCTGGATTTGCTATCCGAAGTCCTCCCAAGGACTGGGATAGACTAAGATCCCCATTCATGATGGGCGACCGAAGCTAGATTTTTGGGGGAGGAGTTGTTGACCTCGAGAGGGGAAGAGGAAGAAGGGCGGGAAAGGGGGTGGATCAAATTGAAAAAGGCCAACGAATTATGGCGGGGATGGCAAACGCAACGGAGGCATGATCCGATCAGGTTAAGAAGAAGCAGAGAAGTCAAGGATTCAAGTAATTAGAAGGAGAAAGTAGAAGAAGCAGGAAAAAAAGGATAAGAGGGGCGGAGTCCCAGATACTATTAGTATGGGTTAGTACTATTTACTATTAGTGTCCCGACTAGATTGCTATTAATACTTCAACTTCTTCAGATTTCAATTTGTTCTATCAATTTCATCTGGAAAAATTACATATATATTAATATATCTAGAAGAATGTCTCTTTTTAGAGTAATACTCTTATCTGATAATGTAACGACTCAGCGAAGTGAGGTGTGACTGCCTCTCTCCACGACTCTCTTTACCCTCCTCTGTGCTTTCTACATACTTCGACATCACCCTCCGGTCTGATATGCCCCCTCTAACCTCAAAATGATCCGATTCCCGCCCACAATGATCATGCTGGGGGAGGAGGAGGTTTTGGCTGCTCTGGCTGCTATCGATCAACGTAGACTTGCCAACAATCGCAACGATTTGGACGTGAAAGATGAAGCAAAAGCTGAACCAGGCTACGATCGAACCGCATCAAACTCTACAGCACCTCCTAACAGTTCAGGAGGAGACGGATGTATCAAAACCGAGCACGACAATATCAAAACCGAACGTGATGATGAAGCTCACGGCTCATCCTACGCGGCAAATCACTCTACGGGACGCACCTTCGTCATGGACCCAAGCCCAATGGGAGAAAATCCTTCTTTGACAACCGAGTTGGCCCACCTAACAGTGGACACCGTCAATGACTCCGCTACAGCTCGGGATTCATCTACTGTGGCTCGAAAGCCGAATGGCGAGTATCAGTATTGGTGGGACGAGCCAGCGTGGTCCCCGGCAGCGGGATATCAGAAAGAGAACAATGACATGCGTCACTCACCCGGGAATGAAGGTCTGTGCAATTTCAACAGGATGATCATCAGTTTCAGACCGATGATCGAACGATTCACTAACATATAGCAGAGAACTACCGTCCCCCGAACCCTTCCCTGGCTGCATGGGCCCCAACTAATGCTGAGCATTCGTGGCTTCTTCGCACTGATCAGGTTTCCCGTGAACCGTGCCGCCGTGTCGGACATAACTTTCGCCGCCGTTCCATTTAGACACAGTTTGACAAGTCCGGTTTAGCTACATCTGCGGTCTCGCCTGCCAATGTGGTGGATCCCGGTCTATCGCACTAACAGGCCCCATATGGATCGGGAATTGCGTCGCGCTTCTGTCAGGTGGTGTTCATGAGAAAAATGTATGGAGTACACTCTGGATGAATGTTTGAATCAATGCTCCAAAATGTGTGCAGATGATTATGATTGATGCTTAAAAGCTGTTGAATTTGAGAAGCCGCGCGTGCTGTCTGGCGGTCACTACCAGCTTATTCTTATTTCTAATGAAAAATGTTATCTTTTCAAGTCAACTTGCCTACAACGTCATTTTTCAAGAGATAAAAATAATCACACTTCTTATTTGCTAGTCCCATAGGATTGGACGCCATCTTTCAGTTTTGTGCGATAGATGAATCGTACAACGTGTACATTCACAGAGGTTGGGCTGAAACCATGATTCTTAGAGCTATGTATAGTTCGGATGTGCGCCGGTGGGGGAGCTCCGATCCAGAATTCGTCTCCCTTTGGATGACCCAGTAACTGACGCGTCCTCCCGCTAGTATAATTTAGTTGAATTTGGAAAAATTACTCCTCATTTTATTTAGCAGGAATATGATTTGTTTTTTCCTTGTTTCTATACCTGTCTCATTGTATGTGGTGGTTATCATATTCATCACTGAGATATTCACATATTCACAATTTCACGTCAACTGGTTTAGAATCAGCTTATCAATGTCTCAGATTTCAAAATGCTGCAGCCTTTAGCTCGTAACTAGTAGGTTTTAACCGACATTTTTGAAGCTCTAGGCCTTCGTTTACTCGTTTATCTAATTCCACAAATTATATTAATAGAAAGAAGCGACGTGGAACAAGGCTAGAAAAACCCGATCAATGATTCGCTTCAACCCCGCACACTACGTACTTGACTCATTCTGGGAAATGTATACGAGTCAACAGAGAATTTTGCTAGGAGTAGGAGGTTCAAATATTTGAATGTCTTATAAAATATAGAAACATGCATATGCAGTGTATATTGTGAATCTGACTTGGTCCATTTGGAAATTCGCGGCTTGGGGCTGAGTTTGTCCAGTGTTACAGCCTCGCCGGAAGGACCCCTTGATTACTTCCAAGGTTGAGCCTTATAACTTGAAAACTGGAAATTTGGAAGCCTTCAGATGTTCAGATTTCAAGTTAAAGGATTCAGGAATTCCCAAGGCTGTGCTCCTGCAGGACTGTCGTCTATGTTTCACCCTCCAGGGCGTATCAACTGATAGGTCAAGGAGGAACCTTGGAATAAGATCCGATCAATACCTGAAGTTGATATTCATTCAAGCCCTGTTGAACAAAGCCTTGTATCGTCGGATTGTCCTGGATAGCAAGCAAAGAAGTAAAGAATACTTATTCGCTCTTGGACAACTGCTTCAATCTCTCCTGTCGAGACTTCATCAATTCACTGAGAAATTCAATCTCAATCTCCACGCGTTTCTTCTCATCCACATCGCTTGATGAGGGCTTTGATATCGATGAGGATTGTGTAGGCTTTGATGGTATTTTTTTGGGTCTCAGAGCAGTGAAAAGGTTCACAATGAAGAGCACAATGAGGACGATGATCGCAAAGGCAGCCAAAACAGCTAGCATAATTGGGCCAATGGTTGTGAAGAAAACCTCAAGGGTTGTGGCAAATATCAGGAAGGCACGGCGGAAGACGGGCTCATCGTCGCGGGGGAACTCATTGTAGTACATTTTTATATATTTCGAAATCCGAGAGATCTCGGAGTGAGTGTGTGTGAATGATGTGGGAAATAGTGGAAGATGACAAGCACTTAAATATCCCAATGGTGTATTTGAATGACCTCATCGGCCACCTGCAGTGGGCAGTGCCTCCAAGATGTCGGGAGACTACGGAAGGTGTCACGCTAGCGACAGGAAGATTGCCCGGTGTACATCCATAATATAGCAGGAAAAAAGGCGCAAAAATGCAATAAAAAAGAGCCTTTGTCAATTCCAAAGCTCTGCTCCAAACTTTTTGGTGAGTCGCAGGACTAACTAAGATTCCAAGGTTAAGCTTGGTATCAAGATGGGCATTTCGTGCCTTGAATATAACCCATGAAACGATTTTGTCTCAGGTAATTACTCCAAAGGTTACATTATCACTTCAAAAATTTGATATTCAAGATAAATGTCCGCAGATCAGACCACCATTCTAACTACATATGCTCTTTTTTTGAGAGAGAAACAGCACATCAGATTCAACCACGTCAAGTTCAGATAACATGTAAAGGCGGTGTTGAAAGCGGTCTCAGAATTAGCCCCAAACATGGGTCCATGAACGCCCTACGGGCACCAGGGCAAAATGGCATAGCCGCATGACGGCATTGACGGGGCAACAACTTCGAGGCTCGAGTTGTTCGTTCTCTGATTTTTAGTCGGGCCCCTAAAATCTGCGCCCCGTTTCCATTTACCAGGCAGCAAGACCCTCCCGTTCCAGTGGGGGCGAAAGCTACTTCAGCCCTTCGAGTTTCTCACGACGAGTACGTAACATCTCTTCAAGGAACTCAATCTCGAGCTCTGTGCGAATTCTTTCATTCAAATCATCGGCAGATTCCTTGGTTCTCGCACGATGTAAGCGAGAGATATCTGCATCGCTCACGAATTTCCTTGATTCATGTTCCTGGTTGAAGAAAAACGCGCCCACGAAAAACCAAAATACTGCAAAGCCGAGGACTAGAAGGGCTACAGTTGGTGGATTGCCAAAGTCGACTTCGACGATATACCCGTGACTGAAAAACGCAAGGTTTATGAGTAGGAGTAGGAGACCAAGACCACTGAAAAGGCCGATGCGATAGTAGTATTTGATTCGAGACTCTGACGTGCCGTTGATTCGGGCACAAATGTAGAGAGTGAATATTGCGAGGGACCCTGCCAACACTTGCATGATGGGGAGGTAGGAAATCGAGTCTAGCACGTATTCAATGACCTCGTCCATCATTCTGGTCGAGTCGGGACACATGTACGTACACATATGCATGCACTGGTGTATATCCATGAGTTCCGAGTCGTCCATCATTGCGGTTGAAACAGTGCACTGGCATATATCCACGAGTTAAACAGTTTGAGTGAAAAGAAATTTTACAATTGTCGATTCCTACGAACTTGAAGTTCGTTGGCGGCTTTGTTGACTGCATGTGGGTATACGTAATCGCGATGCTGCCTAAACTAGTTTTATTAGCTGCCAGTGACTAGAACAAATCGGGAAGCATTTTAAGATAAGAGAGCATTCAAACTGAGGCCTTTGCATTCACATATCAGCCTAAGGAAACTTATACCTAGGACTTGGAGTGATGTTTGGCGATGGGACGGAGTCGTAGGAAATGAAGACTGCCGAACAATCATACGCCGATATTCTTGCGTATGTGTATCATCTTAAAGTGACAGGGATTCCGTTTCCACACATTTTGTAATGATCTGGGGCTGTATATAGCTGCTTGATCAAAGATGGACAGTCGTGTTAGGATGATGGTATGCATAGGGCAGGCACCTGGACATGTTATTTTTGGATCAATGATAGGTACTTTAATTGGGCGCCTTGTCCGTGCCAGACCCAGACTTCAAACGGAAAAGATAAGATCAAAGATCTAAAGTTCCTATCATATTGGATTGGTCTATACGGAGTAAATGACAGAAGATCACGATGTTCAATGTTCAATGCTCGAATTTTGAATGCATGCACTTGGGCTATGAATGGGGATATCTATCCTCTAGTCTATCGGAGATCTCTAAATATACAAAAAAGCAAATCGTACAACAAGGCAAGTCTATCAGGTCTGTAAAGTGACCTAGTTGCTCTTCTTCTCCGCCTTCTGCGAAAGCTTCCAGTGCAGAGCACCCTCGGAATCAGGGTCATGCACAACCTTGCAGGTGTTGAAGGTATCCACCAATGACTTCAGGAACATCTCCTCCTCAAGACGGTATTGGTCGCCGAGGTAAGGAACAATGGCGTTGGTGGCCTCCTCAGCGTGGTAGAAGGGAATTCTGGGGAAGAGGTGGTGGATGACATGGTAGTCGATAATCTCGTGGAAGAAGTGGCGTCCAATGAAGCCAAAGCGTCTGTCGACAGTGCAAAGAGCTCCCTTGACGAAGGTCCAGGCCTTGTCGTCGTAGTGAGGGACGGTGGGGTGAGTGTGGTGCAGGTAGGTAATAGCCACCAACCAGTGGTGAACCCAGAAGTAGGGCACGACGTAGAGCAGAGCAACCTTCCAGAAACCAATCTGAGTACCGAAGTAGTAAAGAGCACCTGCAACCATCAAGAGACCCAGGTCGGTAATGGCGATCAGATGCGCTTGCGCACCAGTGAACAGGGAGCCCAGAGGGTCGAAATGGCTGTTACGGAACATCTTGGCGGGGGTTCCCTTCTCGGGAAGACTCTTGGGTCCAGCGCTGACATTGAAGAACATGTACAATTGCCATCCGAGAACTTGGTGTCCGAGCAGGGTGACGGCGTGGTAGAGAGGGGTTTCCTCAACCAGCTCCTGGAACTTGCTGAGCAAAGTAGGCTCTTTCTTCGCAAGTTCAGATTCAGTAAATGGGACGAAAACCACATCCTTGTCCATGTGGCCGTGGTAACGGTGATGTCTGGCATGGGTAATCTTCCATGAGAAGAAGGGAACCATCAAGAGCGAATGAATGGCCCATCCGACAACATCGTTGAGCTTAGAGTATTGCGAGAAAGCTCCGTGACCACACTCGTGACCAATGATCCACATGCCGGTACCAACACATCCTTGGAAGAATGTATAGAGAACCCAAGCAGTAGCCCGGAGGGCGGGTGTAGGCAGGAGATCAATCTTGAGAGCAAGCCATACCAAGATACCAGCATAGACAAAATCACGGAATAGATAGGCAAATGACTTAAGAGCCGAACGCTCAAAGCAATGAGCTGGGACCTTGTCTCTCAAGAAGCCATAAGTGATATCCTTTGCCTTTGTTTGAAGTTAGTATTATATAAATCATTGAGGGTTATACTAGAAGAATGAATTACCTTAGTGTCTCCCTTCAATTGAATGACAGGGTCCACGGTCTGGATTGTAGAAGAAGCCATAACTTGATTTTTCTTGTTCTATGAAGAACAGTAAGATCTAAGTCAGTTGTTCAAAATACAAGAATTTGAGAAAAAAGCAGGCCCCTTTTTCATAATAAAGAAAAAATTTAAATTTTTTAAAAATTATTTATTTTTTTTAATTGACAGAAAAACTGCATGAGGAATTGATTGGCCCCCTGGAGTACCTCTAACCTTCTAGACGTGGATGGCCCCCTATCCATGGGTTTGAGTCTAATGGTGGGCCAATGTAAGAAAGGTATTTGCGGACTCCTGAGTCGGAGCCCTGGAGTTTCTGGAACTCGCTTAATAACTCAACGAAACCGTTGAGAAGACGTTGATTTTCGGAAGCATCCTCATGGAGCTTTTTTCTATTTCGGAATTTAGCGCTGAATTTTCATTTTCCGAAGAGACATGATAGGTTGTTTTGCCACTACTAGGTTTAAGTCTAATCATTAGTTCTCATTGAGCCCCTGATATTACTCTCTCTGGTTGTCAATGCATCTTTTTTTCTCTTATCCCCAGTTGACTCCGTATTCCGGAGTAGAAATTTTCCAATGTCCCTTTTACTAGATGAAGTTAGTATCTCGTAAGGCAAATTTTTGCCCCCCCCCCCACGGAAGAATGTGAGGCATTTGCATTATCACAATGCCGGGGCTGCCAGGGTCCAGGAATCGGTGGCGAGGTCTCTAGCACGTGAAAAGTCTAGATTAACTGCCCGAGATACAGACTCGGAGTAAGGAGTTGATCCATGTCTTAAGTTCCAAGGAGTCGATCTCACATGGGAGTCGGAGATCTGGAAATGTTGAGTTGCACTGGAAAGTGGATACCGATATGTAGAAACTAGCCTCCAAGCTAACCACCAAGGGGGACTAGTGGTTAAGCTTGACACCTCAACAAACGATTTTGATATTTGATAATGTAAGGGAATTTGGAATCAATTTTATTTCTAGAACAATTGAATTTTCTCCGTATTAATTGAGATCTAAAGGGGGAAAAGTACTGGTAAGAGGAAATTTCATGTAGAATCTCAATACCCTTTTTTTTTTTTATCTGATTCTAATATACTTTAGGGATCCTATGTTTTTCCATTGATTCCCACCTGGAAAGTGAAATATTCAATCCTTCGAAACTTTGTCCAGGTCAAATCCTAACGCTACAAGGCTGTGCCCCCCCCCCCCCCGGGGCCATCCACTTCCCTTGTGCGGAGTCAAGTAGGAAACCCCATGTGGACACCGTCTGAAATGGATTGATCCAATTTTTTTTTGGCACAACAAACCATTGAATCAATATCGGCCCCTGTATTGGACCGCGGGTATATGAGCCGCGATGATTTCCGCGCACTTTCAAATGTTGTAAAGCATCCCTAGGACGAAGCACGGAGTACACGGCAAGGCTATACGGAGTTCCTACGGAGTACTCACGCTGGAGACGCGGTTTCAAATTAATTGAACCTTAGTCATCCTTTGTCCTCCAGGGGCCTTACATACTCGGCCTTACGGAGACTCACTCCCGAGGTCTATTCCGCCCCTGAAGAGACGCGTGTATTGTCGTTAGATTCACGCGCGAAAGCGGAGGTCGTGGATGTTGGGTCCATTGAGTCTCTTGAATGATCCGAATACGAGTATTCCGATCTCAAATGCCTGGGTCTTTTCGTGAGACGTGTTTGGAAGGAGAACACCAGTTGGCATTAATCTCTACGTAGACCAGTGGACCCAGGCCAGTTGAGAAGCACCGAGCGGTAGACTCCTGCCCAATATCAATAGTTCTATACGCAGGGATCCTTCGCTCTCCGTACGATCAATCACTATACTCACAAGGTTCCAATGTTGATGTACTAGATTATGTACGAAGTACGGAGTACTGATTCATGCATTACGGATAATAACGAGCACTTGAGCTCATCATGATTTGATAAATCTTCCGCACTGACAGTTAGTGTGATAGGTTTGCTTACGTCGCTCGAGTTTTATTCGAGTTTTATCATACCGTGACGCCACGTTCGTATACTTTGCACTAGCCGATGCACTCGAATCCCAGTCAATCAAATGCTAAAGGATTATCGAGTAAATAATATTGCCATGGCCATGCACGTGTCGGAATTAATTCACGGACTCTTCCCAACACTTTTATCATTCCGGGGCTACCCTTTCTTTGGAATCTCACATCTGAGCAGCACTTGAGCGTGCTTATGTATTTCTAGGAATGTTTCTGACATAATGCTATTTAGTATGGATACAATGACTGGGAAGCAAGACTCCTATAAATAGTCTATATGCCCAGGTGGACTTGGTAGCCGAATAGCTTCCCGGAGGATAATAACATAATTTGAACCGGCACCAGAAAACAAACTTATGATCAATAATTCAAGTCGCTCCAGCCAAGAGCGCTAAGAGACTGGTTGGTGTGAGATCGTCAAGCAGGTATAACTTGAATGCCGTCAGCTGTGAGCTGAGAAACTACGCTGAGTGCTTAGAGATATTTGGTCGATAACCAGATTTTACATATGATCGACCAAACAAGTTCCAAGGTTTGATATCGATGATTCAGGTAAGAGATGATTGACATTGATGTCGAATCATAGTGCATAGCATGAACAACATTTAAAAGCACAAATTCTCCATAATTGAAACAAACTTGACTTGTCCAATGATGGCACAAACATACATGCTAGTGGATCCATTGATTGATAAAGCAAACGTGCATTGATCCATGGATATCATCATCCTTAATAATAGTATTGATCACCTGCATGATACTTGGACACCCCTTCCCACTTCAAGTTTCCTTCGGGTGTGACCTTCATCAAAAGGTAAAAGAAAAGGAATCAGAGTCCATTTTTGTTGACAGCACCAAAAAAAGCCTAATTGCTGCTTTTAAGACAAAATTGGCAAAGTCATCTTGGAGGTCAAGCTGGGAACTTGAGCTCAGAAGCTTCAAATGTTCGATATCCGGATACTTTGAAACAATATTCTATTCTTAATCCATCTAGACGGCTGGAGGCCATCTAAAACTCTCGAAAGGGTATCGCGCGACTCATAATATGGCTCCGTAGCATAGTGAGCTTCACCTAGGGTTCATGAAGTGTTACACCTTATGCGCCACGGAAACCTTCTATGTACTCACTGTGGGCGCAAGTGCTTGTCAGAGCTTGTCACAATGAGAGACTCCACCGGGAGCCCCCACAGAGCTGGCGATCACCATAGTTGGACTAACATATTGACCCGAATTGTTGAGATTGATGAAATTCCAGATTAGACTAATGGTATTGAATTTGAATATTCGATCGAAACTCGAAGCACTTCAGATGTCTCCCATTCACCCAGAAAGATCAGCAAAGCGGGTCAGATTACATCCAAGTCATCAGCTTCCTTCAAACCTTACTGGCACTTGAAAGCGGCTAGTCTCAGCCCTGAAGGACCCTGATTTTCCTTGCAAGGCCTCCAAGCGGTAAAACCCGCATCCCCCATCGTATATGTCTCAGACAGAATGAGATGATATAAACCAATTTTGCGCACTCGGGTTCAAGTTTTCAGTCAGTATCAATCTCAACCCATCCTCCTTAATCTCACCTCTTTCCACTACCCATTGATCGCAATGGCCCTCTCAGCGTGCAATGCCATCGTGAACCCAGGCTTCGAATCTGGCGTTTTATTCCCATGGCGTACCTCTGCCGTGAACGTCGCCACAGTGAGCAGTGGAACAAGCGCATATAGCGGTGACTATTACTTGTGAGATATACCACCCTTTCCCCCATTAGACACTATTCTCCTGAACAAAACATTTTTGAGGCACAAGCCGATATCAAGACACATACAGGAGCTTAGAAACCGCCATCGACAACGGCTCCAACACCATCTCGCAAGTCCTGAAGAACCTCAAGCCGGGAAAGAATTATACCTTCAGCGCGGAAGCCCAGGTTCCCTACGATAGCTCGGAGTATTGTGGGATCTATGTATCCTCGGGTCACAACACTACGAAGGGTCTCATCACATACCAAAGTCTGGATTTGGATACTTTTGGTTCGTGGGTAACTGTTACTGGTAGCTTTGTGCCGAAGAAATCCACCGAGACGATACATGTTGCGGCTGGTTGTGACTCTGAGGATAGCTCGGTGACTGGGTTAGTGTGGCTTGATGCTATTAGTCTTGTGCCTGAGAGTGGATGCGGGTCGCGGTCTGATTAGATCTCTGCTGCGAATACTAGGAAGATTGATGATGTGAGATCACTCGGACATCCGAGTCTGGGGGCATATTTGATGTTGGTGTTGTATATAGTTCAATAGTATAACCTGTGGAACAAGTTGCTCTTTTGGTTTTAAGTTTTAAGTAAATTGGGAGGAATTAATATCTATCTGAAATATTCAGACTAATTATATACCTGCGGAGATCCTTGTTCTTAGTATCACCGTACTATGCCTCAGAATTCCTCTTCAGACCAATATCAGGCTCATTTACCCTTCCACCAACTCCAGCACATAAACCCCAAAATTAAAGCTTGCAGTCCAGACCCATATTCAATTCCACAAAAGCCTCACCAACCCTGGAACATAAAAAACAAAAAATATTTTTATCCCTCGTCCTTCGTGTTAGTAAATGCTTGGCTCCAGGCACGACCCACATAAACCGCCACTGAAATAACCTCGCCGCGGTATCCAACCAGCACTGAGAACCAAATTCCTATCGACTTTGGTTCCGACGGTTATTTTGTTAACCTTGGAAGAGGCTTATGTTTCTATTTTCAATCTTTTTTTTGCCCTGGATTCCATCCACGGGTCACGGTGTTTGTGGGTACTGACCTACCCATGAGATATCTGGAGAGAGAAACGTTGGTAAGTGGCTGCACGTGTCAGTGATGGTCAACCGGTAAAAGATTTCGGGGGCTTGAAGATGTGGAGATTGGAGATCCCCAGGCACATTACGGAGTACCTACTCCGTACTAAATCCATGAGTACGTAGCGTTCATTAATGCGGAGATCTTGGCGTGGCAATGACGGTGGCGATTGGGGCAGATCAGGAGATTTGTTCCACTTGATGTACGTAGGACAGCGGTGTATCATGCTAAGTGGGCTTACAAGGATCATGGTGGAACAGGTGCATTCGTCAACAGGGGGATTCGATTAGAATAAGCAATCTTCGTATGTCTAAAAAGTGTGTATCACGAAATTGAAACAAGACCACAAGCAAATCCGGCTCTAGGTGACAAGCAGAAGTTAAACAAAAGTGATGATGGGAAGTTATTCACATGAAACGCCAACAAGATTGTCTCCCAGATGCCGCTTCAAATGCTCCCTTGGACATGTATATTTTTCCATAATGGTGTAAGACCTCGTTTCAAGTGTATCCAGAAGAAAGCCTCGGCTTCAAAGAGGCGAGAACATAAAATAAAAAAGGGGGAAATAAAAGGGTGAATAAAGGTGGAAAAAGAAAAAGAAAAGAAATTATCTACTGCTTGTTCTTGGCGAAGACCTGGGCACCATCGACCAGACGACGCTCGGTGTTCTGGCGACCGTTGACGAAGTCGGGGTAGTTCAGGGTCAGCTCAACAGCACCGTTGACAATGTTGTCAACAGCCTCGACACCCAGCATGAAAGAGTGGTCCTGGTTACCGACCTCGTAGCGCCAGCTACCGAAGCGACCACGAGACCAGATACCCTTCTCCTGGAGCTTGGGCAGAATCTGAGTGAGGGCACCCTCACGCTCCAGGCTGGGGGTGGGGTAACCGTGGTCGAAGCGACGGTGGTAGGTAGAGACAATCTCATCACCGGGCTGGAGCATATCGGTGTTAACGAGACCCTGGATGGAATCAGCCAGGAGAGTCTCGTGGTTAACGGCCTTCATGGAAGACTCGGAAACCTCCAGCATAATAGACCAGTAAGGACCCTCCTTAGCCTCGGAGGAAGAGGGCTTGGAGCCATCAGCGAGCTGGAGGGTGGGCAGCTTCTTGGACTCATCGGGCTGGTTGTAGGGGGAGTAGTTGGAGAAGATGGTGGCACGGTAGAAGGGGCAGTTGTCCTCGGGGAAGTAGAGCCAGCACTTGTCACCGATGCGGTCGGGACGAGCACCACGGATACCAACACCGATAACGTGGGTGGAGGAGTAGAAGAGCTGCTTGGTGAGAGGCATCAACTCCTGGTCGTTCATAGCCTCAGCGAGGAAGTCAACAGCCATGGTGGAGACGAGCTTGGAGTAACCAATGGTGGTACCGTCAGCCAGGGTAACGGTCTTGTTGTTGGCGTTAACCTTGGTGACCTTGCCCTTCTCACCGAAGCGAGTGTTCTCCTTGGGGATGGTGTTGGCAACAGCAATCCAGATACCACCGGTACCGTCGCGGGCGGGGAAACGGAAAGTAGCGTTGGGACCCCAGTTACCGGCGGTCTTGTTGAGGATGACATTGGTGGTCACAGCCTTGAGGTTGGGGGCAGCGACACGCTCACCGAGCCAAGCACATTGCATCTGTCGTTCAAAATGCGTTAGACACAGGGATTATTTGGAAATTTGCGACTGAAGAAGACAATCAAGTATCATACCTTAGTGGTAGGCACAGCCCAGACCTTGTAGTTGTAAGGACGCATAAACAGGTCGGCAATACCAGTACCCATCATGCGAACAATCCACTCGTCGAAGTTCTTGGGCTTGGTGCTGGCAACACGAGCCTCCATAGCGGCATCGATCATACCATCAATGCACTTAACCTGCTCCTCCTTGGGCAGCATGGAGATGTTGTTCTGGAAGGGGTAGGGAACCCATTCGTTCTGGCAACGAACGTAGGAGATACGCTCGTGGGTGTACCAGTCCTCATCCTTGGGGAGGGCCTCGTCAATGCAGTCATCGAAGTACTTATAGTGGGAGAAGATAACGTGGCCACCGACGTCGTACAACTGTCATGAGCGCGTCAGCTGTGTTTGTTCCCCCCAATTTTTATCTGCCCCGCAAAATGAGAGGATGGAGAAAAACGTACGAAGCCTTCAGGAGTCACGTCGGTGGAAGCCAGACCACCGGGGGTCTCGTTGGAGTCAATAATCAACCATGAGGGGCCGTTCTAGAGATAATTGAGTTAGTTGAGTTAGTTGAGATCAAATTCATCCGTACTACCCCTCCAATCTTAACCCCCCTATTTTTCTTTCTCTGTCTTCGCGCCTGTTACGGCCGCATCTTTTAAACTCAGAAGTTGGGACTTACGATCTGGTTGAGACGCTTAGCAGCACCGAGACCAGTAGGGCCGGCACCAATGACGAGAACGTCAACAGTACTAACATGAGGTTAGTTGTTTTGACCGAATTGCGGTGAGGGGGATTTAAATCCATACATATCGGGGTGGGTCATTCTGCCTTGTAGGAGGTCCTGGAAGCTAGGCACTCGTTTGAAAGTCTTGCGAGCGATGTTCAGCATAGAAGATGAACGAGCAGCTAGGAAGACTGCGAGAAAGCGATTGGGATGAAGGGGATAATAAGGAAGTTGGAGAGAGGAAAGTGGGAGGACTCACAAAACCGTGGGTAGGGGTAAAACGGACCCGGCACTTTCAGCGGTGTCGCAGAGTGGAGTGTCCTGTGCCTGTTTCAGGTTTCCACCCACCACAAACATACGCTAATTTGCTTTTCTTTACATTACTGGTCTATTTCTCTTCTACTGGGTTTAACTGTGGCTGCTGGAGACTGAAGGAAGATCCAAGGTCCAGACCCATATCACATTGGCCCAAAAACCCTTCTCAATGGCTGCATTAGGGAGACTTGTTTCCCTTTCTCAGGGGTGGCGTCTGTTCTACATCCCGAACACGTACGCTCCATTTTGCCTCCATTAAGGAGTATTGAACATGAACATGGATTAGTGATGATCTGATTGGTACAGAAATATAACCTTCAAGTGTGATCTGATTTGATTTGATTTTTTTTTCTTTTTATTTCAACCATTTATTATTATGATTATTATTTTTTTTTTCTGAGGGAGATTTGACCCTCCGAAGAGTCAGAGCTATCTCTTTGCCCATTCGTCCTCCTCCGCCCACTGGACCCTGGCGTTTAAACTATCGAATCGATCACAATGCACGAACGACCGTTATTGGTCTGGGGTCTTATCGTATCAAATATGGGACGCGTATGGAGTTCCTACGGGATCTAGCAGTTTGCGGAAATCCTAGTATGCCCAGGATGAATCAGGAATGTTGTTATCTTAATCGGAGTATTTGGCGTCTGACTCGACTTTCTCGACTTCATAATCATTATCATCACAATTTATTCTCCTTTTTCTATTTTTTTTTAATTCAAATTCAATAAATCCCCATCGGGACTTAAATGGAACTAAAAAACGCCACCGATGTCGTTTGGCACGTTGTGGGCAATCTCTGGTCATAATTTTAAACTAATCTATATCAAATTTCTAGATACATCGTGTCTGGTATAGAGTGGATTCATTCAAAGCTACAAGATTTACAGGGTCTACAGAGTTTCAACGTTCCACCCAAGATTGTCATGATACGAGCACTTGAGTAGAACTCACCATTGTATTAAAATTGGGAGATGAGCTCCGGAAGTCCGCAGATGATCATCTTGTGTTGAGTTCAGGGTACAACCAAGTGTGCACAGGCGGGATCCACTGATTGTCCCTCCCTAAATAGGGAAGAGACAAGGAGGATCTTAACGATCATCTCTCCCTGGATCTCAATTGATTGAGTAAACACGTATTAAAAGGACCACAGCGACAAAAATAAATCAAGTGGTTCCAACCTCTCAGGGCTGGGCAAAAAAATAAGATCGTCAAGTTCAGTTGATTTGATACTCATATATTATGAAGAACGTCTAGAACGAGTGAAACCAAAAGCTTCTTTAGGAACTATCCACCATTAGATCCAACTGTGTTTGTTCTGGGGCCCCTGCTTTTTCAGTTTCAACTTTTTTTTTACTTTTTCTTTCTCCTTTTCCTCCCCCTGTTCCTTAACCCAGGTGGACCATACACGGTCCCTGAACGGGGCGATGGCGTCAGACACAGCCTCCTCAAGGCGATCGCCGCATTCTCCACCCGTAAGGGACCAGGACCGCGCGCTGGTCCAGCGGGCGACTGAACGCGGGTCACAGTGGGTCAGACGCACAGTTGCTTGCGTAATGTGGTCTCTGTCAACTGATGGTTAATTTGGATCAGCGTGGCTCTGTGACGAAGCAGTTTTTAATCTCAAACCGAAAGAGGGGAGTTATCACAAGAAAATACGTTACATTCCATCAAGTCCGGATTGGGAGGAATAGAATCACACCAGGATCTCAAAAAACACCGTTCTAATTATAGTACAAAAAATCATCCATAGAGATAAACATAAAAGTTCATTTGCGGCTCGACAAAAAAGACCACGAGAAGAGAGTGGAGAGAGGAGTTGTGGACACCTGGTGGCCTGGTTTGGTTTGAACAATTCTGTATTGTAATTTATTGTAATATATTCAAATGTTCTCTTCCATATTCTCCACTTTATTGAGTCTGATCTATCCTGAAAAGTACAAGTGGCCTTATCAAACTCGTGTTTGATACAGTATTGGTATGATAATAAACGGTAAATATGAAATAATCCACCTGGGCAGTCCTCAACATCTGGACTTAACCTTGGAATTAATACAATGACCTATGAATATAATAATAAAAATTCAAGTGGACACTTGATTTAGCATTGGATCTGTTCAGCCTGTTCAGCCCGGCCAGCCCCGTTTTTTCTCTCTCTCTCAAGCTGTTTCAAGCTGGTTGCAGTTCTCGAGGCTCCGCTTAGCCATTTTGCCTTTTACTTCGGTCAATTCCTCTCGAAGTACGTACTCCATTCCAATTCCAATCCTCCTGTTTGCGCTTCTCCGGTTTTGTACTTTTCTCTTTTTTTTGGGTCCAACTCCAATCACACTCATTAATCTTTGAAACCTTGGTGTTTTTCCAGTGTTCTTGTAATTCTACTTCTTCTCCTCACCCCCCGTGGCTTCCTCCGCTTTTGGCCAAGGAAGCCTTTCGCGCCCCCGGCCCTTTGAACTACGACAATTCTTCTCCGACCAAACTCGATCTTTCATTATGAGCTCCGACGGCGAGAAGGTCCGTACCTCCGGTGAGGTCGTGCGCGAGCAGACTCTCCCCACGGTCAATCCAGCTGCTCAGCAGTCTGAACCCAAGGCCGCTCTCCACCCCGCAGTCTACGTGAGGTGAGCTACCATCCCCTACACCTCAAGAGGAACACCAGGAGACTAATATCGGGGGGGATTATAGTGTCTGGATCACTCTCAGTTCCAGTGTCATCTTGTTCAACAAGTACCTCCTTGACTATGCCAACTTCCGTGAGTCTCATCTTTCCCCGCTTATCACTGATCAGAAAGGAATCAAGTACGCTAACAGATCTGGATACATAGGTTACCGTATGTCCCTAGATGCCCCTCATACCTCCTGTTGCGCCATTATCCAAATATTCTGACTTTGCTTTCTTCAGCGATTATCCTCACAACATGGCACTTGACCTTCGCGACTATTATGACCCAGATCCTGGCTCGGACTACTACTGTCCTCGATGGCCGTAAGACTGTCAAGATGACCGGCCGTGTCTACCTCCGCGCGATCGTTCCCATCGGACTGATGTTCAGTTTGTCCTTGATCTGTGGTAACATGACATATCTATACTTGAGTGTTGCTTTCATTCAAATGCTGAAGGTGCGTTTTGAACCCAGCCCATTGTGGATGCAAGTCAGGAAGGCCGAACTAATTCATGCTTTATCCAGGCTACTACTCCCGTCGCTGTCCTCCTGGCTACTTGGGGTATGGGTATGGCTCCCGTCAACTACAAGACCCTCGCGAACGTCTCAATCATCGTTGTTGGTGTGGTCATCGCTTCGTTCGGTGAGATTAAGTTCGTCATGGTCGGTTTCCTCTTCCAGCTGGGTGGTATTGTCTTCGAGGCCACTCGTCTGGTCATGGTGCAGCGTCTTCTGAGCTCCGCCGAGTTCAAGATGGACCCTATGGTTTCTCTGTACTACTTTGCTCCCATTTGCGCCGTCATGAACGGTTCAGTTGCTCTGTTCCTGGAGGTTCCCCGTGTGACCATGGAGCAGATCTATGGCGTCGGTATCTGGATCCTGATCGCCAACGCTATGATCGCTTTCTTGCTGAACGTCTCGGTTGTCTTCTTGGTACGTCATCACTTATCTCTAAAATAACACTATTGGCTGGCTTGCTAACTTGTGTCTACAGATTGGCAAGACTTCTTCTCTGGTCATGACCCTGTGTGGTGTCTTGAAGGATATTCTCCTCGTAGCCGCCTCAATGATGCTCTGGAACACCCCGGTCACTCCTCTCCAGTTCTTCGGTTACTCCATTGCTCTCATTGGTCTTGTCTACTACAAGCTTGGTGGTGACAAGATCCGCGAGTACACTGGCCAGGCCAACCGTGCCTGGGCTGAGTATGGCAACACCCACCCCGCCCAGCGCAAGTTCATCATCTTTGGTGCCGCGGCCCTGATCCTCTTCCTCTTCATTGGTTCTATCGCCCCCAGCTACGCCCCTGAGTCCGTTGATCGTGTGAAGGGCATGCTTGGCGGTGCTACACCTGCCAACTAAACTTCATGATCTCTCTTTTTCGAATACTCGAAGATGACCCGTGAAACAGATATCCGTGGTATTCCCAATGGATTTTTATGAGCAGGAGCCCACGAGTCACATTGCTACATACACATGAAAACGGAGAATCCGACCCGTGACTCGTGGGCTGTGATGTGGCGCAATTAGCTAGCTGTTGTGGATAGCCGTTGGGGATGCAGACAAACAACAAACGGCTTTTAACATTCCTTTGCCTCTCCTTTTATTTCCCCTTTTCTAATCCTTCTTGAGCCAGACACGGCGACATGCAGGAAATCCCGCTTGTGTCCGGTCCTTACCCTATACATTCTCGCGATGTGATAAGAAATGGATGGCTACTTCTGTTTCTTACTGCTTAGCCGCATTTTTGACCTTCTCGCAACCTGTCGTTGCTTTCCTTTCCACGAATATTGATTTCAAGTTAGACTTGCACGAGCTTTGGTGTCGGATTGCTTTTGAATTTTTTTCTTCTTTTTTTCCCTTTTCTTTCTACTCATTCGGGTGTTTTCTTCCCTTCATGTCATCATAGTACTTCCAATAGACTTTTTGAGAGTTTTAATATTTTGGTTGAAAATTTTTTTCTTCTGCTCAGTACTGGTAGCTCTACTAGAAATGAGCATTTGAGGCAACCCCAGGCTGAAAGTAAGCTAGAGCCCCAAAAAATGATCCTGACTTGCACAAATGACAGAGGTTCCAGATGACGACGGCCGATATTTCTGCCTAAGGTGTCCGTTATCAGACGCATAATCCATTGAGACTTAAACTGGTCTCCACGATCAGACTTGAATTGTCTGTAGCGAGCGTGGCCGAGTGGTTAAGGCGTCAGATTTAAGTAATTACATGAATCCTGATGGATAATTCCGCGTGAGTTCGATCCTCACCGCTCGCAGCTTTTTTTTTTTTCGCCTGGCTTGAGGGACGGCTGTAAGGCTATATACGTGTTGCCAGGAAACTCTACCTCGGAACACTAGTCTCATGGCGCTCTCAAGGAAGGTGCCAGCCTGGCATCATAGGCTGATATTACTTCGATCTACAAGTGCGACGTCTTACCACGGTGGTCTTACGGGTTGTTCCTCCGGTTAAACATACACCCTTACCCAGGGAAAACTTGAAAGGTGCTAGCATTCGAAGATTTCCAGTGACGGTGGATGCCTCCCTGGATTCGCGTAGATTTTACACCGTGATAATTCTATGCTTAAGCTCACCTTGGAACCTTAATGATTGAAAGTAGGAGTATTTGATACTTGATTGTTTTGTGACTCGTCGAATTCCTGATAATTTAAAGTTGATTTGGTTTAATAGTGTTGGCAAGGTTGATATGATGCATATGTAAGGTTATTATCGAGTATACGAGGCAGTTTTTGTTCTTCCATCTGAACACGGATCGATGACCATTTAGGCGAAATAACCGGAATCTAACTGTTGACATTATATGTAGCCTTTCGCATTTCAAGTTCATATGATGATTCTTCACCTGGGCTCCCGGGCTAGATTTCAGGGCTGCTCCGTAAGGAGTATAGTGGTATGCGTACTCTGGTGTTCGGCAAACGGCACTAAACAGCCCTGGGAAGGCTTCAAATGACCAGCTGAGATGAGTAATTGTAGAGACGGGATTCTCTAGGGGAGTATTCCGTAATTCGTACAGCCGACAGGAGCTGGGCCTCATGCGCCTCGCACGCACATCAATGCATCTCATCGGCCTGGAACCCATATCTGCATGCCTTCATTGGTCAATCGCGTGCAGATGAGGGTCTCCCCACAGCCAAACAGCGTAGTCCGCTTGCGCCGACTTAGAGTGGATCCTACTCTTGAATTATTACAGTAACGGCCGATCGGATCCTCCATACAACCCGTGGTATTTTAGTATGGTATGGTACCCTCCGCATTGAAGATACAAGTAGGATCGCCTCAGATCCTCTCACTGGCGCATTTCTCTTCCCTTTCTTCCTACCTACTTTCCCACCTTCTACACCTTATCTTTGGTCCATTTTATCTTTTTCCCCCCTCATCTCGTCATATTTTGTCTATCATTCTTACTTTTTTCTTCTCATTCTTTATATTATCTCTTGACCTACCTCTCTCTTTCCTTCCCATCCTTGCGACATCATCCCGGCTTCTGATCTATAGGTGGTTGTAGCTTATGGTGTGCTGCTTGCTCACTTAACAAAACAGAACAGTTTTCTTTTTGATCCTCAATTCGATATAAGATGTATCCAATGGTTCTTGAACGCCTTTCCGACGGTCCCGCCATGGCTCTTTCTCCTACCCAGGAACACGCCTTCGCTCAGTTTCCCTCCCAGTCCCTGCTGAGAGCACCTACTAGCTTTCATGGTTTCCCTGCTAGCCCCGGCTCTGTCTTTGCTGGGGTAGGCCCAGTCCATCCTATCTCTAGCTCCGGGCCTACGCCCGCTGCTACCGCGCCAAAGCCATCTCGCAAGAGGTCGCGTGATGAAGCTTCATTTGAAGAGGCCCTCGCCGTACCTCCAATTCCGAAGCCTGCCCCAGCTGCCAAGGTAGAGCCCATCTATGGTGAAGGAATGGTTCTCCTCAATCCTCAAACTGGTCTCGCCATATCCGCCGAGAGTCAAACCGGCACATGGTATGAAGAGACAGCCGAATCCCAAGCCGCCGCAGTGGCTCCAGTCTCGTCGCGGTCGAATGCGCAGCAAGCTGATGCCGCCGATATCAGCCGTAAAGCCCAGCGTCTCGACACTTCCGCCCCGGGCCTTGACGACATTGCCCTTTCCTCGATCCAGCATCGCCTCAATGGTTCTCAAGCTGACCAGCACCGTATCCTCCCTGGTGGATCTACGCCACCTGCCGAACCTCACATCGACGATGCCACCCGTCTTCTCGGCATCAGCTGGCAACGCATTGGTATCGACGATGACATGGCTCCTGCTGTCCGCGGTTGGACTAAATACATCGACAACCAATACGCCGCTTACCTACGTGGCTCGCAAATGCTCATGAAAAGCCGCGCTCTCAACGCCTACCTCGTGGGTGCCTCTTCCACCACTACTCTGGCACCTGTTTTCTACCTCTTCAATGAAGACCTCACCCAGGCCCAGCTTGTGGCCTCCTCCTGGGATGCTTGCCTGCAAAATCTACGCAACACGCCCATCATTTTCGAAGGCACTGCTCCTATTACTGCCTCCAGCCGATCAAATAACGCCCCTTCAATCAAGCCTTTCACCGCCAACGGGGATACTGGGATACCACTTCTGCAACAAGCTCTTTCGAATGCGCCTTCCAGCCTCAACATGGGAGCGGGGCTGAGCGGGGGTGTAGAAATGGGTATGGAGATCGACTCGTAAATTCGATCTATTTTATTTTCTTATTCTTTTTTTACCTCCTTCGAAAAAAACCGAACGATATCGAAAAAAAGAGGAACAAAATCTTGCGTGCACCCTCTCGACTTGGCACTCGACAAAGCGACCACGCCCTTCCTCGACCGCCAACTCTTTGTTCTTCTTGTTCTTTTTAATCTTTACTGGATTTAGTGTTCTCTTCCACTCACTTGCGCCCGACTGACCCAGTTCGCGCAGCCCGGGTTCATTCACGCCCCTGGAGGGTGTGTTGGAATGGTGTTTTACTATGGATTATACCGGCGGGGTTTCGGTTTCCTGGCGTAATTGTGGAGTTCCCTGTACCTTTCAAATATTCAGTTTTATTTATGACACCAAATGAGAACATGAAATGTTTAATATATGGTTTCCAAGGGTTTTAACTACCTCGTAGCCTGACAGGGCTGAGGTGTAGACTGTAGAACCTCAGTAGCTTCCGAGTTATTAACATTCCAATTACCAGTTGATTAAGGACAAGGCTACGGCTGTGGAACTGGTCAACCTTGGAACAGTAATGGATCCTGGTCAGGTGTTTTTGAGGTCACGTGCCTAGCTGTTTACCTCTTATATGGGTCTGTTGATTCTGCTAAGATCAAAGAACACATCTTCAAACCCATACTTTGCCTCTCAGATGCTAAACAAGCTCATCTGTGCTTTCTCCTCGAATCATTGAATCAAATTGATACTTGTGTTCGAATATGCCTTCTAAACGGCAGCCCAGCTCCGCGGACCCAAAAAAGAAGGCAAATGTGGAGTCAGTGGAGACATCCCGAGGGCGCAAGAGGAAGGCCGAAAAGAAAGACACCAGCACAATCGACTCCTTCAAGAAAAGCCATAAACGCCAGAAAGGTATACTGGCCTGCAATTAATTCAAAAACGCGTTAACTAATTTACTAACGAACAAATGTGTACGGAATCTAGATCATCAATTTAAAAATAACGTACCCACTAAAGTACTGGATGTCTACGTGTTTGGAACCAATTGTTACGGCGAACTTGGCCTGGGAGACCTCACCAAGAAGTCAGAAATACTTCGTCCCGTGCTAAACCAGAAACTGGCCGCTCATACTGTTGGTGTTGTACATGTCGCTGTGGGAGGAGTTCACTCCGTCGCGCTGACTCACGATAATCAAATTTTGACCTGGGGCGTCAATGACGAGGGCACCTTGGCTCGCGATACTAAGGCGGACAAAGATACAGACAATGCGCAGAATGCGAATGGGGACGCTGGGTCGAGTGAGGACAGCGATGATGATGACGTGTTAATCAACCTGAAAGAGGCGACCCCGATGCCTGTGGACTCCTCATACTTCCCGCAGGGCACTGTTTTCGCCCAATTAGCCGCGTCAGACAGTGCGACTTTTGCCCTGACAGTGGATGGATTAGTTTACGGCTGGGGAAATTTCAGAGTATGTTTATAGAAAGAAAAAAAAGTATTTGTTATTTTTATGTGACTAACAACTTGTATCCCAGGGCTCAAGTGGTAGTGTCGGATTCTCGCTGGAGAGTAAAAAGGAACAGCGAATCCCTACCCTCATCCTGGGTCTTGAGAACGTTACAAAAATTGTCGCTGGGGCACAACACATCCTAGCACTAACCTCAAAAGGTACTGTCTTCAGCTGGGGCTGTGACGAGCAACATCAACTTGGTCGTCGACGGGCAAGCCCACGACAGCGACCACCACACCCGCGTACACCGTATCAATGTGCTCTTCCTCCAGGAATTTGCGACATCGGTGTTGGTCTATACCATTCATTCGCTGTACATACTCACGGCGTGGTATATGGATGGGGATCGAATAACTTCGGACAAACAGGGATTTCGACGACTGCTGGCCAGAATGATGCAATGATTCCCTTTCCATCAGAAATCCGCGCCTTTAGAAACCATGGAGCCCTGGTCTCAATATTCGGCGGCAAGGACCACAGCATAGCTGTTACTGAATCTGGGAAGTGCTTGGCATGGGGCCGTATTGACAACAAGGCACTTGGTTTGGGACTCAAAGATATGGCACCATCCGATGTGATTCATGATGAATATGACAGGCCGCGCATACTAACGCAACCGACTTTGCTCAGGGGAATTGATGGTCGGGTCGTATTCGCAGCTTCAGGTACTGATCACTCCTTTGCTGTCACGGACTCTGGGAAGGGTTATAGTTGGGGCTTTAATGCTCAAAGCCAAGCCGGTCAGGTTGGTCTTGATGAAGTGGAAACACCTACCCTTCTTCAGAGCAAGTCTCTTGAGGGTAAGAAACTGGCATCAGCCGCTGCTGGTGGTCAGTTTAGTATGGTTGTCGGACTGGCAAATTGGTAATGATTTCATTGAGATCTGGGTCCACACTGGGCATCGCATACCAGCAGGCGTGCTTTACGAAGTCCACTCGTTTTTTGTCATAAAGGGTGTGACCTGGTGGTTCGGAGCTACATTCAATATATAGAGTCGGGAATGATTCAAATTTATCTCACGCTATGTACGGGCTGCACGCGTGCTTCAGTAATTTAGAGCACTCAGTGCAGTATGCCAGTGATTTCAAGATTACTTGTATGCAATTTCTTTTTTGTATATTTGGAGAGACACATTCTATCATAGGTAGCGAACACAGAGCTCCCGACAAGTCTATTATGAAAATTTGCATGTAGTAACACAGGAAAGTAAAAAAGTTATAACAAAAATATGGGTATCTCAGATTCTTCGACATTGATCATTGTAGAACGGATGAGCATCCGCATATGGCCTTCATTTCTTCCAGCCAAAGATTTTCTTGATCTTTCCAAGATCAATTCTCAAAGCCAGGCTGCTCGAGACAACAGAAATGCTACTCAACGCCATCGCCAACGCAGCCCACACCGGGCTCAGTCTCCAATGTTCATCCACATTGACCATCTCACCACCGACAGACTTCTGATGGCGACCACTAATAATAGGATAGAAGACACCCGCAGCAACAGGAACGAGACACACATTGTAAACCAGCGCCCATCCAAAATTTAGTCGCACGCGGTTGAATACCCGTCGACTGAGAAGAACCAGCTGAAGAATCGTACTGAGATCTGAATTAAGCAGAATGAAGCTGGCGGAATTGATCGCAACATCTGATCCAGAAGCCATAGCGATACTCACATCGGCAGCTGCAAGTGCCGGAGAATCATTCACTCCATCACCGACGAATGCGACAATTGGACGAGTGATTCGTTGCTCGTGTGGACCTTTCGCTGAGCCATCTTGAACTCGACGGACAAAAGCAGCTTTCTCTGAGGGAAGTACATCAGCCATTACATTGGATCTGGAGATTCCAAGCATGTCCGCGACGGTGTGCGCTGTTCTTTGGTTGTCACCGGTACACATGAAGACTTCAACGTGTCGCTTATGAAGCTCGGAAATTACTTCGATTGCTTCAGGTCGGATGGTATCTGAGGTCGCGAAAACAATCGCGGGGATGAATTGGGACTCCGTGGGAGCTTCAGGGTTGAGAAGACGAAGCGAGAGTATCGCAGTTGATTTGCCGGCTGTTTGGAACTGCGAAAGCAAATTCGACACAAAATAGGAGTCTGTGCCGGAGGGTAGAATGCTGTCAAGTAGGCGTTCATTTCCAATAGCAGCTTCGTATTGCTGTTCGGTTGCCTCATTAGACACAGTGAAAGTTCCTTTCATTCCTTGGCCACTGATCTCATGAATATCAGAGGACAAGATATCGGCGCGAGGTTGTGATGCACAGAAAGCGGTTATAGCCTGTGCGATGGGGTGGTTGCTACTCTCTTCAAGTCTGCGAGCTAGAGCCCAGGCAATCTTCAAAAGACCTTCATCTTTCGTCAAGACCTCATGATCAGAGACCTTAAGACTCCCACCTTCAGTCAGCGTTCCAGTCTTGTCAAAAATGATAGCATCAAGCCGACTGGCTTCTTGGAATGCTTCACCGCCACCCTTGACCAAGATTCCATGTTTCGCTGCGAGGCCACCTCCGACAAAGAGAGCAGTGGGCGCAGCCAAAGCCAATCCACATGGACAAGCGACCACAAAGACTGCGATCGCGAATTCCAAGCTCCAGAACGTCCATCCACCCTCCGCCACATCGAGATAATCAGAAGGCAACACACCAGAATGTCCCAGTGCAAGCCAGATGATGAAGGTGAGGATAGCAATAAGAGTGATGACCGGTACAAAGTGCGATGTAAGTAGATCTGCTACTCTTTCGAGAGGAGCACGTTTACTTTGACCTTCGCGAACCACTGAAATGATTTGATCCAGCATGGATGAGCCTCCGAGCGCAGTGACCTTAATTTGCATGGGCTGACCAACATTTACGGAGCCTGTGTAGACCTGATCACCAGTGTTCTTTTTGATGGGACGCGACTCTCCAGTGAGAGAGCTTTCGTCGAATTGGAAATTTCCCTCTTCAACTACGATACCATCCGCTGGTGGAGATGCACCATGAGGAATGCGAACGATATCGCCAATTTCCAAGAGATCAACGTTAATGCGTGTGGTCATATCGGAATCTGATGTATTTGACGAATCCACGCCACGAGAATGGATCAGTAGAGCCTCGGAAGGACGAAGGTTTCCCAGAGAAGAAACCGCATCTCCAGTTTTTGCTTTGCTGTATGCTTCCAGAAATCGACCAGCGAGAATGAAAAGGGTCAAGAACACAACAGAGTCGAAATAAGTTGTGCTCGAGGCGCTTGATTTGGTTCCAACTACCGCGTCGACTATGAGCACAGCGAGAGACGCGAAGTAGGCGACTGCAGTTCCTGCAGATATCAAGAGATTCATACTACCGAACCGATAGAATCTCCGCAGAATCGGCACACGACTTCCGGGACGCCACAGGGCATGAATCTCTTTCATGGCTCGAACGTGGAACACATCAGTGCCGTAGACCATGACGGGTGTCGACATGATGAAAAGCGCCCACTCTGTGCGTGTCACACTCCCGGACCAGATCTTCCGCTCGAGATATTGACGAATCGGATTTTGCGAGGACACAAGAGACATGAAAACAATACCAACAATGAAGGTTGGTATGGCCACGGCGAATACGAAAATCAAACGAAGTAATAATCTACTCCGTTCATGTAATTGCATGGCACGGGAGCGATCCTCGATACTTGGTGGATGATAGATACTTGCACTGAAAGCTCCATTAGCTTCATCGATTGTGGCAAGAATATTCCGGATAGTCAAAGACGGTGGCTCCGGCGTATAGGTGACCCTGAGAATAGGATTCTTTTCTGACGGGTTTTCCTCGACCGTGACATTTGGAAGAGACTCCAAGCAGGCCACAACCTTCTCGGGGCAGTGATGGCAGAACATTCCGTCAATACGAATAGCGATTGTTCTTTTTTGCACAGTAGGAATATCATCACGGTTTTCGGCCACAGGATGAACACTGTTGACCGCGGCATCATAACCCAGATCCTCAATTCTCTCTACGATATTATCCAAGTTATCTCGTCCGTGGAATTCCACCTTGCCGCTATGAGACAGCAAGTTAACCGAGACATTTCGAACAAAGGAAAGTTCTTCGAGTCCTCGAGTCACTGAACCAACACATGATCCGCAGGTCATGCCGGTAATCGCGATTTCGGTGACGTATTCTTCGGTAGTCTGGGTGGGGTTTGAGGCGGTAGATACTGATATCACTTCGTCAAGGAACGCTTCGAATCCGATATCCTCTATTTGGTCAATGATTTTATCCACGTTATCCTGAGGACCAACGAATACGACCGTGGCACTGTTTGTGAGCAGGTTGACGGTAACATGATTAACACAGTCAAGATCCTCAATGGCAGCTGTAACACTATTCACACACGATGCGCAGCTCATTCCACCAACGCTGATACGTGCAGTGTATTCTTCAATTGGCTCCGGTGATGGCAATTGAGGCGTTTCAGGGATTGGCGAAGGAATTCGAGGGGAATGATATGTGGAGGCATTTTGAGTAAGAGCTGGTGATTTATTATGAAACTGTGAGGACTCGATATATTTTTCATTCCAGCCTTGACCTGCTTCAAGATCGGCACTCCAAGCATCCTTCGGTGTGACTTTCTCACGTGGTGTGCTAGTAGAGTCGGTCAAGGGAGAAGAACAGGATATACTGATGGCTTCTTCTTTTTTGCAAGCGTCGCAGTTGGCAATGTGTCGTTTATCTCTGTTCGTGTGCAATTTATCTTTCAAATTCGAGGAGATGCTGGAATATGATGTTCTGGGAGTTGCGAATAGAATCGAGTTGCGGGGATTCCAAGTGGTGGTATCAAGCTCTGATATTGTCACCCCTCGGTCATCATATGTCGAGACATGGTGTACCTCGAATGCAGCCTGAATTAGAGCAGAAACAAGATCTGCTGGCTGTACAGAAATACCATGGGTAACGCGCACTTCATGAGTAAGGATCGAGACATCAATGTCCTTGACAGATGGAATCTCCGACAGGACCTCAGTAACATAAGCAACGCATGAAGCACAATGCACATTGCCAACCCAAAACACACTGCGTCTTGTTTCGGACTCTGGATCTTGCGACTGCATCTTCGGCGTGCGAGGTGGGCTCCTTGGCGCTGACGACATCATGAATGAGACTGGGGAGATCTTCAAGATCGTCACAAGGGCACCACGCGACAAAATTTATCGAGCGATTGGTATTGTGCACCAAGTTTGAGATCAAGTAGGCCTTTATGTAGGGTATTGGTCGTCTTTAAGGCTTTGTTAGAACCGATGCGGGTAGTGTGGGTCAATATCAAGGATCGCGCCACTCAAGTCAAGACCGGAGACTACGAGACAGCAAGTTCAAGTTTTGCATCATCGATAAGGACGGGGGACCAGTTATATGTAAGATCATATATGGCATCACTGGAAAAGAAAGAAAAAGAAATATCCAGGAACGGGGTGGAGTGTAAGAGGACGGCACGGACGAGCCATTTGTGCGCGATCCACGTCCAAACCACGCACAAATGCCGCAACTACATTCCAATGATCGTTAGCCACGATTTTCGTGTAGTATGCTGCTAGCAAACAATTGAAGTATCGGCCAAGAATGCATGAAGAAGAGAACTCATAAACCTTGAAGGACTTGATCATGTGCATGCTTCTATAGGTCTAAGGGCGTCAGCGTCAAGGGCATCTTGACAAGACTGCGCCGCGTATGCGTATAAGCCTAGTCGTCAACTGGCTGGTAGGAGATTGGGATATTTTTTCGATTTTCAAATCTAATCAATAGAAAACTGAGCGCCCTAATTTCCAGTCTACATGAAAACTATAGATCCAGTGCATATACGAACACGTAGCACATAGATCTAGGCAAAGTAAGTGATACACACCGGCAGTTTGTATGTAGAGAGAAAAATGATTTCGTTCGTGCCTGATAATTAAGGCGTAAAGGGAGAAATCTCAGGCATGAAGTGATTACTTCCTATTTAGGACTAGTTCAATTATCAAGTGCATCGAGGTCACTTTAGAGAACTCTCACAGCAAGCAGTTTATTTCGAATGTTCAACTTCACTCTCGACTCAGAAAATAAAAATAAGCAAGGAGACTCCAAAAGAACCTTTATTTGCTGCTATTTTGTTCATTTGAAGACTTTTCAAAACATATTTTACAACATCTCCATCTGGGCTCGAACACTGATAATGCTCAAGTGACTCATTTGAGGAGGCGTTTCCCGACCACGTGACTCAACCACTAAGCCACCTGCGCGGTGGGCCGGAAGTTGGAAAAAAAACTTCACTCGGCCCATCGCCCGCACGCGCTTCACTCATCGCGTCCTTATCACTTATCTTTTTTTGACGTGAAGCAAGGGGAAAAAACGGACTTTGATCAGGAAGAAGAACTGCATACATTGGAGGAGATATCTTCAATTCGACAGTATTCAGTGAATGACTTGGGCCAGCTACTCAATACCCACATCAATTCCCTTGCTCCCACTCTGATCTCTACATTTTTTTCTTCATTTTATTCCCTCCCGCCTCCTTCATCCATCTTATCGCGACGCGAAATGCAGATATCCCCAATTTAGTCCTACTGGAAAGGCACTTTGATCTGTCAAGACATCTTGACATTCGATCTCCTTCGTCTCATCTACATACGACAATCCTCTTCTCAATTGCCGTCCTCACTTCTTTTCCATCTTCATCGTCCTCCCGCCACAATGTCGGTAGCAAAGCCTACACGCATCACCGTGGGTTCTCGTGGTCCCCGGGCTCCAATTGGACGCCTCGCCACCCTCAAAACCTCAAATTCGACACCTATCAAGCGTCCTGGATCAATTGGACGCCCCCAGTCAGCACGACCCACGACACACCCAAAGACATCAAGCTGTCCCAACCCGGGCTGTCCTGCGCCGCATATCGTCGACGATGACGGATCAAAAGTTTGTACCGGCTGTGGTACAGTTATTAGCGAATCCAACATTGTCTCGGAGGTGACATTCGGTGAATCCTCTTCCGGTGCTGCTGTAGTGCAGGGTACTTTTGTTGGAGAGGGCCAGACTCATACTCGGAGCTTTGGTCCGGGCTTTCAGCGAGGTGGTGGCATGGAAAGCCGTGAAATAACCGAAGCAAGTGGTAAGTAATCTGGTATATGCAGCCTTCTCTGGTGATAAAAAAACTAATGAATACCAGGAAATCAATACATCTTCCAGTGCACACGACGACTGAACATTCCCGAGAGTGCTTCCAAAGCTGCTGGTCAAGTATTCAAGCTTGCTGCCGGGTTGAACTTCATTCAAGGTCGTCGAATTAAGACTGTCGCTGCTGTTTGTCTTTATATTGCCTGCCGTCGCCAAGCCGGAAATACCGTTATGCTGATCGACTTCGCTGATGTTCTAATGGTAAGTTTGAGCTCTGCTTTTTTTCCACGCTTTTGAGAAATATGACTAACTTAACTTCTCGTTATCCAGATTAATGTCTTCAAACTTGGTCGAACCTATAAGGCGCTTCTCGATGAGCTCCGGATAGGTGGAAATGTCTTCCTAATGAACCCCATTGATCCGGAAAGCTTGATCTACCGTTTTGCCAAGCAATTAGAATTCGGTTCGTCCACCATGTCGGTTGCTGGTGAGGCGGTACGCATTGTGCAGCGAATGAATCGTGACTGGATGACCACCGGTCGACGACCGGCTGGTATTTGCGGTGCCGCGCTTATCCTCGCAGCGCGCATGAACAATTTCCGCCGAACCGTTCGCGAGGTGGTGTACGTTGTGAAAGTCACTGAGATTACAATCAGTCAACGTCTGCTGGAGTTCGGTTCGACAGAGAGCGGAGAACTCACTGTGGACCAATTCCGATCCGTGCAACTAGAAAATGCACATGACCCCCCTTCTTTCACTCGAGCAAGAGAAGGCCGAAGGCTAAGCCAGGCAGTGCCCAGGCTACCAGAGGCAACACCCGAAATCGAAGATGATTTGGTAAGCGAGGCAGACTCTACTCAACCTCGTCGTGTCGACGCAGATGGCTTTGCGATTCCTGACATCCCAATTGATCCCGCCTTATTTGAGACCACCCACCGACGCTCGTCCATCACGAATGCTGTCAGCGGAGTTATCGAAGATAGCAAGCAAGAAGCGGCCGAACACAAGGACAAAGGCAAGGGTCAACGTCGAGTTTCACTGCCGACTCCGACTAAGGAGCAGCAGGAATCCGAGGAGTCTCTAGAAAGCGAGATGCATCTGATGCTTTCAAAGGGGTCCTCCATGATTGACAGTGTGATCGACAAAGAAACCAAGAAGCCGGTCTCAGACGACAAAGAGATTGATTCTGCTGAGTTCGAAGATGACCCCGAAGTTGCTCATTGTCTCCTCACCCCCGCAGAGGTGGAAATGAAAGAGCGCATTTGGGTGACAGACAACAAGGACTACCTTCGCACACAACAATCAAAGGCCTTGAAACGTGCACTCGACGAGGCTATGGGAAATGAAACAAATCGCAAGCCACGCAAGCGTCGAAAGGGACGCCTTGGTGACGTGGGCTATCTTGAGGGCCAAGACGCTGAAGGTCGTAGCTCTCGTGCGTCAACTCCAGCAGAAGCCACACGACGCATGCTGGAGGTGCGTGGATTCAGTAAGAAGATCAATTATTCTTTACTGGACACATTATATGGCGGCGAAAATCCCGGAGATACTCCTGAAGCCAAGGATGAGAAGAATCTCCGAAGCCGAAGTCGCAGTATGAGTGTCACATCGCGCCATAGTCTTCCTCCTGCAGCAGCACCTGCTCGTCGCAAACGCAAGTCTCATGCTCCCAGTACTGTCGCCAAACCTCATGAAGCTACTCCTCCCCCTCGTTCTAGTCGTTCACCTTCTGCACCAGTGACCAAACCAACGGAGGATGCAGCTTCGGAAACGGTAGCCGAGGGCAAACTGCCAGAGAATAACCTTGACAACGATACTCTCGCTCCGGGCGATGAGGCCCCTACAGGTACTCAGGATCCCGACGAGATTGATGACAACTATGGTTATGAGGATGATGATGATGATCACATTGAGCAAGCGTTTGCAGGCCAGTATGAGGATGATTATTATGATGTCGGCAGTGATGATGATTGAGATATGAGGCTTGAGATGAGATGGGAAGATTTTTCTGCGTTTGTGTTTTTCAGCCTAATATCCACTAGCTTGAGCGTAGAGCTCAATTTGCTTTTCCTTCTAGTCACCTTCCCTCTCATGATTGCTCTTAGCTTACCCTCTATCGATAGCAGACTAAATTTCAATATAATGAATAAAACATTCTGCCTTTTTCTCAATTCTTCTGTAGATTAAATGATTTCAAGTTTGCTGCTCGCTTCCTGGATTTATCACGTATTCACCAACGTGAATTCGGAGTATGCGACTCAAAATCTAAAACCAAGTAATAATAAGACGGGGAGGGATGGACTTGAGACCGGGGGCTTCTATGCAAGACTGTGAAAGATATTGCAAATTTCCCACTTAACAATTGAAGCGATTGTATAATAAGTTGAATGTTGGAGCAGTGGAACTGTAGAAGTCAACCGGTAATTCCGATGTGCAGCCATACATTTCACGCAGCAAGTCACGACTTATCAAACGGCTCACTTTCTATCTCTCACATAAAAGTTATGAAATAAACATTTCCTATGTTGACTTCTGTTCTATTTCCATACCATTTTCACTGTGGCTTGTACCTAGCGTTCGTGATGCTTTCACTGATTGCAAACATTTGAATCTTTTATCAAGCCTCACTTCAAGTTTTCTCGTCCTCCATCTCTCCACTCCTTAGCTGGATAGCCCCTCCAAAAACATCCCCCAAAATATTCCCAAAAAAGCCAATCGACAATGGATCCCCCAGGTACATACGTGCAACCAGCATTCCTGCTCCAAGCCCCCGTTCAACCGAAAAAAGTCTTACCTTGGGGATGTGCGATCTGTGATAAGAAAGAAGACCTGAAAACCTGCACTGACTGTGGTGTGCTATCTTACTGCAGTAGAGAGCACCAGGCCCAGCATCGACGTGAAAACAAAGAGATCTGCAATGATGTGAAACAGACTCAAGCGACCGTGGCAGTCATCGATGCTCAGTTGGGTCCTCATCCCAGCGACCCCTCACTTCCCAATCTGTCGCGACTTGGCACTGTTCGCAGAGATGAGCGCTTTCCAGCTGACGCAAAAACTTATTTCCCTGCAATTTTCAATTTGACTGACTGCATGGAGCGCTTGTACACCAAGAAATCCGTGAGAGAAGGAATTGCTCTCTCGAAGCTGATGATGCCCTACTACCACGATAAATTACTTTCGGGCGGTCTGGTTTCAACTCTTTGGATTCGACTTGATGAAGATCAAGAGGTCTATGGATTCATCAAGGCGTGGACCATCTGGGAGGAATCTGAAAATCACTCACCTGGACAAATCGCACCAACCCCAATTAAGAATGCCGATATTCTTGAGGATGTTGATCTCTGGTTGAACATAGAGGTGAGATTTATGGACATGACAGACAGCATCACCTTCCTTTTAACTTTGACTCTGTTGAAGATCAAGATTCTGCTGGATCTGAAGGACCTTCACAATGCCCGTCAAGCCGCTGGGCCGAATGTCCCCGAGGAGGTGCTAAAAAATATCATGGCCAATATTCCTCGCAGCTCAGCAATCAAGGCCAATCGCCGCATCATGAGTGCCCGCGATCTGTCCCCTGTAATCGCAGAGCTTGATTCCCAGGTCGACGCCCTTTACAAGAAAATTTACCAGACCAACCTCTACTGGTGGAGGCTGTTGGCAAACCCACCACTCGACATTATTCAGTCTGTCGTAGGTCGATACAATACCGACCCCATGTCCGCTGGATGTGGGAGTCCCATTGAGGCGGCCTCTTGGATCACGCGGAGAGGTCAACGGTTTTGTTGGATTGAAACCCCAGGAGCCTTGGATTTCATTAGAGAGAAAAATGCCAACTTTCCCCTCCCGGCCTTGGAGTCGACTTATCGAGCCTATGGAAAGCGTGCAGAAGATTTACTTGCAGTATTTTACGCCTCTCAGTAACTGAATCTCTTCAGTGCTCTACCCGGTGAATACTATGCAAGTTTAGTACTATGGTAGTCAGAATAACATCCTCATTTCGAAGCATACCAATTATCGAAATTTGCTCGCCAAAGTTTAGTCAGTCTTAAGTTCGGCTACTACACACCGATGTCTTCATTTTTATTGTACAATATCCATACTCCCAGTTTCCTAAACTTAGATGTCGCTCCAACTTGGAATAATCCATCTCCTGCTCTTCTAGGGTTGATGCATAAGTTTCTCCTTAAGAAACTCTATCGCTCCAGGAGTCATGAGCCAGTAGGGAGCGTTGCGTCCAAGCGGAATTTTCGTTTGCTGCACGTATGTGTTGTTCTCTTCCTTGGTAGGCTCGTCGAGAACGGAATCACCAGCACAGGTTGCTAACATCATCCAGAAGTATGGATTTAATTTATCGTTGAAGGTCTAATTTCGCAATTTCCAAAGCGAGATCTGTTTTGCAGCGCATGATATTCGGAATTTCCGTGACAAGTGGACTTTCCGGAATTTGTTGGAGAATCAGATCCACAATCTCAACTGGAACCCTAGGTCTCAGGGCCAATTTTGCTGCTTCCAAGCGCATCAAATCCAGCAACTTTTTCACATGGAGGAACGTCATTTTTACGGATAAGTCGATCATGAGCCATATGAAATGCTTTGAGACCTCGGGGACTTCCATGGGCTCAAGCGCTTCCGCATCATAGACAATTCGGAACAGTGTGAAAAGCCAATACTTTGTGGACTCGAAAAGCTCTCGGTCTTCAAGATGAATGCTCTCGGCCACGTCTAAGCCTGAAAGCGCCGTGGGGTTCTCCGGGCGAGACATGTTTTTTTGTGATGTTCAAGCTGAGCTTGAAAGGACTGAGCTGTGTTGATTCGTTTCAAGCGAAGGATGAAAGAGAGTTGATACAAAATGTTGAAGGAATCACGAAGGTCTGTGTTCATAAACGATGCAACACGCTGAAGGAATCAAGTTAGTCTTTGTTCATAAATAGAGAGAAGCTAAACAAACTTATCTCTCGTCCAGTGTAATACACTGAAAAGCAGTCAGTGACCAGTATTTCTTTGTTCAAAGTATTTGGACTTGATGGGCTTGAGAATGATGCTGATAGCGATTGAGACTGCAATAAATGAGGGAATGTGAAGCGGAGCAAGACAGACACTCTTACATGTCTATTCCGATGAACCAGGATTCTTGGAGAGTGAAGAGCTGCGTATTGAGCAAATGCGCTGAGGAAGTGTGGAGGAGGAAGATTCAAGCTCTACGTGACTGGAGCGCTATTGAACCAAATAATGGTGGCCCAAACTTCAACAGTATACTTGTGGGCCCAAATGTTTGAAGAGTATAATATCATTGATTATTTGGGTCTAATAGGAGGGCCAGGTCGTCTCAATTCAAATCTAAGAGGTATTGGCTAATTCATGAAAATTTCCCTGGAGGTTATAGCGTCAGAAGTCAAGTCGATCCTAATAGTCCCAGTAGCATTCATCGCTGTTCAAGTCACCATAATCCTCATAGCTGTAGTCACCAGCGTAATCATCAACAGCTGTCTCAGTTTCATGATCGTAGCTGTCAGAATCATCTTCATGATTGGTATTGTGAGTGCCATCATGATTGAAGCTATCGTTATGGTCATTGCTGTCCTCATCATGGTAGCTGCAATCATCAATATAGCCATGGTGATTTTCTTCAAGCTCATTATGCTCGGCTTCCTTATCATGCTGGATCATTGCCTCTAGGATTGCCTTGCCCTCCTCAGCATCATCGTCATTCCAGGGCTTTAGACAGTACGAGAACATGTAGTTGGTCCAGCCATTGTAATACTTGACAATCTCCCTCTCTTCTGGCTCCAGAGGAGGCTCTTCTTAGGTTAGATTGATACGTTTTCAAATTTCTGACAGAGAGATTCACGTACGATGACTGTCAGTTAAGGGCATGCTGTTCTGGATCCCTGTATGATTCTTGTCTGGAGTTTTGGTAAATCCATTTCAGGAGTATGATAGAGGTGCTCAAATAGTGAATTTGTGAAGGCCAGATCACATTTGTGTGACCTGGATGTTTGAGGTTGTGAATGGCTTTCCAATGTTGATATAGTGGTGCAAGAGAGTATAGATCAAAGTGGAGTAGGTGCTCCGCGAATCAGTATGTTGAAATCACGTGTGGACCATCTTAGCCATTGTAGTGCCTGAGATAGATCATCTACGGTGAACTAGTGGTCGACAGATACGGAGTACATGTGGATCACTACACTCCAGATCGAAATCAGTTTCACCACTTACACACAGAGATTCTTTCTTAAACCCTTTTTTGAAACACGCTAGTCTGGCTTCAGACTAGTGTTAGTTTCAATTTGTGTATTGTATTGAAAGATACTACCAGGTGGTTATTTTGATATATTACGTGAGATGTGTTTATACCGACTCTCCGTAGTTCATTGCTTGAGGCGTGCTCTAAGGTAGCACAAATTATAACAGAATTAGATTTATCAAATATTCAGGTGGATGTAAATCTAGTCTTCAAATTTCAATTCCAGACCGCCTACTACGAAAAGATCGAGTGTCACGTGACAAACACGGTAGTATCCAACTCCGGAACCTAGGGGAGTCAATTATCAGTCTGCCTCCTTTCACGACGGTAGAACTTTTCTTCTGTCGCTGACATTGCTTCTGCATCCTGATATACCTTGAAACTGTGACCGCCGATAAAAATGGATTTTGATCATCTTGCTCAACAAAAACAGGAACAGAAAGCCGCTGCCTGGCTGAATCTTTGGTCGAGCCGAAACCCAGAAATTTCGTCCATGCAACTCGCTGAGAGACATCGACCAGGGAAAGCTGTATCTGCATGTCTATGGAGAAGCGGCGCTTTCAATATTTGCTATCGGGTTCGATATGATGAGGGACCAGATGTCATTGTCCGTTTCGCTGCTCTTGGACGCGCTATTTGCCGCAGAGAGAAAGTCCAGATTGAAGTTGCTACCATGAGGTGGATACGCCATACCACTTCTATTCCTGTTCCTGAAGTTTTTGGCTCCGGGGTCTGCTGGGCAGGTCCGTATATTGTTATGGCATTTCTTGATGGAGTGCCATTGTCACAGATCCTTCGGGATCCTTCTTTGGCGGGACGACCGGTCCTGAACCCGCAAATAAATAACCGGGATTTTAAGAGGGCCTACCGCGAAATGGCTTCATACATACTCGAGCTTTCTCAATATGAATTTGATTCCATTGGTGCACTTGAGGGAAATGAAGGCAGTTTTGCTATCACTCAGCGACCACTCACCTTCAACATGAACGAATTGATGGTGTCTGCCAATCTACCAGGAGAAGTTTTCCCTTCACACAGCTTTAAATCAGCGACAGAATATTTTGAAACGCTTGCTATGCAACATCTTTCCCAACTCCGGTTGCAACAACACGATGCTGTTAGCAGCAAGGAAGACTGCCAGAGGAAATTTGTTGCTCGCTGTCTTTTTTTAGAGATTACAAAGAACCTTTGCACTGAGCATCGTCAAAGGCCATTCCGGTTATATTGTGATGACTTCCGTCCTTCAAATGTGCTTGTAGATATCGCTACAGCGCATGTTTCAGGTGTTATTGATTGGGAGTTTACATATACCGCACCTGCTGAGTTTACATGGGTAGCTCCTTGGTGGCTCTTATTGCAAAGTCCGGAGGACTGGGAGGACGATCTCGATCACTTTCTGGCTCGCTATTTGCCTAGACTTGATGCCTTCCTGGAAGTTCTTTGCGACCATGAAAACAGACTGATTGAACAACAACTTCTATTTGAGCCACAGCGTCTTTCTCTCCGTATGAAAGATTCCATGGAGACTGGGTTATTTTGGACCTGCTTAGCAGCAAGGTACAGTTCCATGTTCGACGAAATTTATTGGAAATTTATTGATCCACAGTGCTATGGAACCTTTACCACGTTGGATGACCGTATTCAACTTTTGAGCGAAGAACAGCGACAAGAAATGAGAGAACTCGTGAAGCTCAAGACTGACAAGTGCGCAGGTGATCAAGAAAACTTTCGCGATCACTATCCAATTGATGAGCTGCTTGAATTATGATCTCGGAAGATTTGGTTCTGCTTCGAGTGAATAAATAGTGAAATCTACGAAATATTGATTCGAAGGTTGAAACCTAAGAGACTAGGAAATATAGCCCGTGCTTAAGTAATGTAAAGGGCTTATTGGTTGGAAGATCTTTCTGGCTAGTCACTAGTAAGCCTTTCAAATGCAACATTTGAAGTGTAAGGGTACTTATGCTGACTGTCAGCTAGGCTCCTCAATAGCGACATACTTAACCCCTCTTTTACCCCGCTTAACCATGTATTCTTCTTCCGTAAGCCAACAAAACATTAACTGAGGTAAGGTGAGTAATCTTAAACCTGAATATATATCTCCTCACATGAAATATATATAGTGAAAAAGTTTTGCGGAAGAAGAAGCATTCTGTCTTCATATTTATCCACACAGTTGTGACCATGAGTGATAAAAAGGCCCGCGAGAGCTTCGCATCCATTCTCAGTTACTACAAACAAAATCGCGAGTCCTTGGACAAGATCCCAAATTGGGTCGATAACCCCAAGAGCCAGGAAATTATTATCGGCCTTATCAGAAACAGTGCTCCAACAGACGATCAAGTCGAAAAAACGAAGGAAGATCTCAAGGCCGCCATGGCCATGGAAGAGACCAAGGAGAAACTTTCTGAAGCGGACCAGGCTCTCTTAATGGCGGCAGCTCAATCAAGCCGTGCAAAACGCTTAAAAAACAAGAAGGAAAAATAATTCTGTGCCAGCTCTCCAAGTTCATTTGTTCAACGCTTGGATTGGGATATGTAGATAAGTAACGTAGCTCCCGGTTGACCTGGCCACCCGGTTGATCTGGCCACCCCAAAACACATACAAAATGCGACAAATCATAACTTCATATCTCAACAAATATATTTATTTAAGATAATATATTGCATATATAGAATAAAGTTATCGTTTCTAACATAATGGTGTAGTCTAGGGAAATTCCTTCAAGAACTAGTAGAGATATATACGTTCAAATCTAAAACGTCAAAATTACGCTGTATTTTATGGTAAAGCATTGAAATAATACTCTGAAAGGTCTAAAATCTAGATGTGCTCTTTATACAGCCTGGGAATTGTAGATGCTAATGCTTTAATAGAAATAAATCTCTGGTGGTTGAGATATAGAGGAATCAATATCCAATATTTTGTATGTGTTTTGGGGTGGCCAGGTCAACCGGGAGCTACGTTATGCATATACTTTGCTTCATAAGCAGCTCCTATTAACGAGTTAACTAGTGAGCTGTTGGCTTTGCAATATCATTTCAACCACATCGCCTGTTCACGCTATTTCTGGGTATCGACATACGAAGTTCCTGGCGTATGTGCTGCTATATACTTCGTAGAAAATCATTGCACATTCTGGAAGCTGCCAAAGCCATACGTTACGAGTGTAATATAGAATCTGTTTCTATGCTGTTATTTATATATGTATGAAAATTACGCCAAGACAGGTGATCAGAGGTAGAGTAACCGCAATAGGTATGGTGGGTTTCAAAGTAGGGTTAGAGAAATAACTTCTTAGTGCAAGTGGTGAAACTGATTTCGATCCATGGTGTACCTGGATTGATTTGAACCAATGATCAATCAATCATAATGGAAGCCCTAATATAAGAGCCCTGATTTCCTGTTATGGTACATGCAGGCATCCCGCGTTGGACACGTCCAACACGTCCAGGACTCAACACTCGACACGTCTCAAGGTCATATTCCCCTGGATTCTTTTTTTCAATTTCTTCTATTCCGGCATCTGCGTTGAGCTCTTCTGAGTTTTCCAAACCAAAAATGCCTAATCTGCAAGAACTTCCAGATGAGCTTGTCAGGCATATTCTGTCCTCCTCTATCCCCGGTCGGGCCCCCCAATGGGAGGTAACACAGTTTAAGAATTGGGGCACCAAGAAAAAGAACAACGGCAAGCAAGATGACTAAGATGGCTACATGAGTCTATACAATATGTGCCTAGTTTCAAAGAGGTTCCGTGATATCGCCCAATCTCTGCTCTGTTTTGAATTCGTCGATGACGGCATACTTGGCAATGTCCAGGACACGGTCCGCTTTGCAAGGACCCTCTATACTCATCCCTACCTCGGTCAATTTGTTCACAATATTACCATTGAGGGGGCCGTTAATGTTCGACCAACCTGAAAATGACGATGATGATATTGCCGACATTGCCTCCAGCGACATCGAGCTTTTTACGAAAGCAATCAAAGACCTCAAGCTCGGCGATAAAGAGGACGACTGGATTTCTCATATGAGGAAAGGCGACCTCAGTGTATTCGCTGCATTGGTCATCAACATAACTCCCAATGTTCGTCGCCTCATCCTCCCTGGCGGCCTTTTTCCATGAGCGCCTTTTCGGACCTTTTCCCCCGGAACCCTACTTTTGGGAAAGCTTGAAGCCATTTGTCTGGTAGGTAAGGCTGAAAATAGTGGTTACGACATTGCGTCCTACCACGAGCTTCTGTCTTTGCCTAGCCTAAAACTTTCCATTGTAGAGTACGGTGATCTCCAAAGCACAACATTTCCATCCACATGGGAATCAGGAACACTGCATATGGAAGAGCTAGTTTTCCGGGGTTGCGGTATCGATGCTGCGTTCTTGAAGAAACTCACACACGCATGCAAGAAACTGAGGGCATTTGCGTTTGATAACTTTGATGATAACCCTCGGACAACGTGAGCCTGATACCTACATGGGATCGCAGTTCAATGCGGCCCATGCACGCGAAGCCCTCATGACACATAAAGACACTCTCGAGTATTTGCATCTAGGCTTCATCAGGGAGCCTAGCGATCTCAGGGATTGGCAGCGATTCCTTTCTAGCCGCATCAAAATGGGGCCTCTACGCGATTTCACGGCTCTTCAAGAGCTTCACCTTCATCAAGCAATCGTCTCAGTCAACCCTCAACTTGCCCCTGCACTTAGGAGTTTGACTGTTGGCGACTGCAACTCTCCCGTCATCAATTTGGTGAAAAATATTGCGAAAGAATGCAGGAAGGGCTCATATCCGGACCTTGTCAACTTTAGAATGATTTCGGTCGATATCACGCAGCCCATTCAGCTCCCTGGTCAGATCATTCCAAAAGGCAAAACCCCAGAGCAAGCACATCAGACTCTTGTGGACCTATTCAAGGGTACCAAGGTTAATTTCCTTCTTGGACCGTATGCAAAGACCGGAAGGGGTGGGTTAATGGGTGATGACGATGATGACGACGATGATGAATATGACTATGATGATGACAAATTTGCCTATGATTATGAGGGCTATGAAATAGAAGACCCATTTATGCATGCAATGAGGGCTACACGTGCAGGTGGTGTTGGTGTTGGTGGTCGAGGGAGAGGTGGAGGTAATGGCCCTATGCCCGCAGGATTTCTTGAATATTTCATGCAACGCGCTATGCAAGACCCTGATTTTGCACATTTACACCCATCTGCAGCAGGACGTCGGCGAGCACCGGGAAGCTGAAGATAAAGGCGGTGATGTGTAAGAAACTGATGACAGTGATTGAAAGAGTCAACAAATTCTCTGCTATAACTCTGACTTACTAGTCTCTGACCCTGGTCCTTTGTTTAATTTCGGAAGATATACATCTATTTACAAATTTTGAATAACAAAGGCGTATGTACAAGCTGATCTCATTCCTATCAATATTGTTGCTCCATGATGCGCATTCCTTGACCCCCCAGCAATGTTACATTAGCTGCAGATCAGGGGAGTAGGCTGAGAGTCACCTTGAGATTGCTGAGTTTTCTATCTGAGTGATCAAATTTGATGACTCTGTAGGAACTTGATTGTGTCGACAACAGAGTTCTCCAGTGACAGATATTCTAGCCCAAGAATTTCCTTCGAGCGGCTGTTGTCGAAGCCATAAAGACGGCTGGGCTTGTCCGACGCCAACTCAGTCGGAAGTTTGTCGGCATACTCAGGGAATCTCTTCTTGGCAATTTCTGCAACTTCTTTCATATCAAAGTGGCCAGCAGTAGTAAAGAACCGCTTTCCAGCTGCCTCGGGAACTTCCATAGCTCTGACGTGAGCAAGAGCGATGTCTCGCACATCAACCCAGAGCCAGGTGCCAGTTGGAGGCAACTTTTCCTTCCATCCTCCATGCATCAACATCAAAAAATAAGCGTTTGATGTATTCAGTGCTGCCTGGGACTCAGGGGCATGAATTGGAGGTCCAAAGACCCACGGAGGGCATATGGTTGCAAGAGAAAATCCGGGCTTCTCTTCTTCCATGAAAGACCATGCAGCTCGCTCAGCGAGTGCCTTGCTTGCACGGTAGGTTTTTTCACGATATTCAATGCCTTCCTCGTAGGTGACTGTGTTCCATTGGCTCTCGCTGTACACGTCGGGATGTTCGCCTGGGCTAACGATAGCAGCAAAGGAAGAGGTAATGACTACTCGCTTCACTGAAGGGGCTTTGTCCTTGATTGCGCGTAAAATTCCCTTCGTGCCATTGATTGCAGGGTCAAGTAGCTCCTTGGGTTCCTGGAAGTTGAAATGAAATGGGCTTGCGGTGTGAAGAATAGCATCAAATGGGGGGTCCGAAATGATGGCTTGGTCAAACGCGTGTTCTTGGGCAATGTCAGGAACAACCACGTAGGAAAGCTGGCCCTTGGAAGATTCCGGATAAGCAGCGATGATCTTTTCACCTTTTTCGGCGCTCCGAACAGTAGTAACCACAGTATGGTTTCTAGCAAGTAAAGTCTAGGCGTCGTGTCAGTACTGTTGAGAACTTGTATGCTTGAACATTGCAGATCAATACCTTTAAGCAGTGAGAGGCAATGAAGCCAGAGCCCCCCTAAATCCAAGGATTAGCTACTTCTAGCTGTGAGAAGAGACGTTCGAGGGATCTTACCTGTCACGAGAACCTTCATTCTTTTGGTTTGGTCTCAAGGAATAATGATGTATTTTAATTTTGGTGTCACAACGATTGATGGTTTCAGATTGAGGACCGATTTCTCCATACTTATATACGGCACAGCTTTCTATTCTCTGTCTAAATTGGTCGGCGATGTGTCTAACTCCGAGTCGAACCCAACTTGAGATGACGCTCATCGCCTCATCGGCCGATATTGGCAATCTGATCCACACTGGGTGGATCATCGGCCGAAAGGTTGTTATTGGTTTATTTTCAAGGAAATATCATCCTTAACAATATTCTCCAATCAGCGATCCGTATTTCCTTTAAAATTGAGCATATCAAATCTGCAGTATATGCCAGCAAATTTACTAATGAATGAAGTGACGGATTTAAGGTCCCTACATGTCCGATCTAATGACATCTCGGTTTTTTGCATTGAAAATCTAACGACCCCTCCTCCCCACCAGTGCCACCACTATTTATTACTCACCTGTGCACTCCCGAGTCCCTTGACAACTTGAACTCTTCCAATTATCACTTCAAGCTTACACTTCACCATTGTCACTTGCAAGGTTATCTGAATTCTAGCAAATATGACAACCTCACCGACAGCCGGCAGTGCTGGAGTTAAGGTCATTTTTGGAGCTATGACCCTTGGAAAGCCAGGTATGTTGTTCGAAATCAGTCAAGGCGTTTACCACGGCACTAACTATTATCATCTGTAGGCGTGGAAATGACCCGGATTCACACCATTGACGAAACGAAGGCCGTCCTCGACATGTTTCAAAAGTATGGTCATGACACAGTTGATACTGCCCGAGTCTACGGTGGAGGTTCATCGGAGGAGTACCTTGGAGCTTTGGACTGCCCAAGCCGTGGGATCAAAATTGATACCAAACTCTACCCAACCGCCATTCGACCAGCTCTGTCGCCAGATGAGCTTTACCACCACTCTTCCGAGGGCCTCCGTAAAGGTCTGCTTCGAAGTCTGAAGGCACTGGGGGTCGATAAGGTCACAACCTGGTATCTTCATGGACCGGATCGAACCGTGCCATTTGCGGAGACTCTTCGTGCAGTCAACGAACTATACGAGGAGGGACTTTTTGAGAAGTATGGTATTAGCAATTACCAGGCGTGGGAAGTCGCACAGATCTGTGAACTCTGTGAGAAGAATGGATGGGTCAAACCCTCCGTCTACCAGGGTCTCTACAATTCTTTCCACCGCGCGGTCGAAGCTGAGCTGTTCCCATGTCTGCGCTACTACGGTCTATCTTTTTATTGCTTCAATCCCCTAGCTGGAGGTTTTTTGACTAGTCGTTATACCCGCGACATGACTGAGTTCGAGGAAGGCTCTCGGTTTGACCCGAAGCGCGACCAGGGTAAACTGTCTCGCAACCGTTACTTCGACGACTGCTACTTTGATGCGTTGGAGACTCTGCGGCCAGTTGCCAAGAAAAATGGGCTTTCCGAGGCTGAGTGTGCACTTCGTTGGTTGTCTCATCACTCTCAGCTGAAGGCAGAAAAGGGTGATGGCATCATTATTGGCGCTAGCAGCCTGAAGCACTCGGAGGAGAACTTGGTGGCTCTTTCTCATGGACCCTTGCCTGGGGATGTGGTCGAGGCTATGAACCAGGGATGGGAAATAGTCCGGGGTAAAGAGCTCAAGTTCTGGCACTGAACGGGCTATGTTTCTCATCTATAGTGGTGATAAAAGAGCCGCACAATCTTGAAAAATCGCAACCCTGTTCCAGATGTTCACTAGACAAAAGAAATAGATATTGAATCCTATAGATTCTCGCTTTTTGACTTTCCGCAGAAGGGCGCCATAGCTTACATTTTCCCCTCTCTTATAAATTTCGAGTAGCACATGTGCAACACATGCTTAATTTCTCTTTTTTGAGGTGAAAAGTAGTATCTTCCCAGGATAATTTGTTGTCAGTAAATGACACTGATCATTCAAATGTTGGAGAACAGCATCTACATATGTAAACCATCTAAGCACTCATTTATGTAATAGACATCTGGACCTCAGGCTCTTCTACTACTCGAGTACTGGAAGTTTTTTGACCGCCTAGCATTGTTCGAGTTGACTTCTTCAAGTTTACAGTCATCCCATTGATAATTCTTTTTCTTCGTAATTCACATGTGCAAATTATACAGCAGCTGGCCTGCCCGTTGGCTGTTGAAAATCGATTTGAGTAAATAGTGTCTGAGATTAAGCTAGGATGAATCGTTTGAGATGTATATCAATAATCGTCCAGATCATTCATCAGTCCCATCTGTTGCACCCACGACTCAACGTCAAAATCCGACATGATGAAATCGTCAAACATAACCGCACTGTCAATTTGGCTAGGCTCAAAATTTGACATGGTACTGGGCATATGGACTTGTACAGGACTTATTGGCGCGGGATCTGATGTGCCATCAATCCTCATCGCGCCCGAAGCAGCAGTTTCTCCTATTTGGGTGGATTGAGGAACCGCAAACGTGGGGGCATAAAACTGGAGTTGTGACAGGGACTGTTTTTTGAGGTGACAAAGTTTTAGAATCTGTAACGCTGAATTTGATAAGGAAACTCTTTCCTTCATAAATTCAAGACGACTTCTAGCCTTCTCAATTGCACGATCAATTATCTCTGCTAGAGCAGGATCCGAGGGTGGGTATTGAAGGGTGGTGACGGAAAGAAAGATAGAGGCATCGACGGTATAGACGGAGAGAGCGTAGATATTAGAGTACTGATTTGCCATAAGAGCGAAGAGACGTTCTTGTGCATCGAGTATAGAAAGCGCTGAATGAGTTGCGGCATCACGACTAGCCGCATGGGTTTTCGAATGCGGTCTGTGCAGGGCCACGAGGAATGAATGCGCCGCTGTTGCTATTTGTTGACGCTGCTTAGGGATATGTGTATGGGTTGAATCCCAGGACGTATCGGGGTTTGCCAACCTGTGCACAGGAGGCAAGTTGTTCAGTAAAGAAATTATGCGGTCATGAATAATCTCGACCCGACTATAATCTTCAATGTGGCTTCTATGAAGACCTAGCGACATGGCTTCATGCATCTGCTGACAGACGGCGTATTGAAAGAGATGGGGCGTGAAGGATGATGGAGGCTCATGGGAGAATAAAGCCGTCGGAATCGTTTTCGAGGGATCTGCAGGGATATCGCGATCTAATGGCGGCAGTATTATACAGTCGCTGCTGTTGATTGCTCGAGGTCTGCCAAGAGTGAAAGCCATATGACTATTTTTATGAGTATCATGATAGGCCGCAGATGAGGGCAAGAGAGTCCTACCTATCCCAGGAATATAACTTGACCCATAACCTTCGTTTATACTCATCATACCACAAGAGATCAAGAGTTTCTTCTAGTGGAGATTGCACTTTTTGAATGACCTTAGCCTGTCGGTGGAGTCCTAGATCTTGAGCCATCCTATTCAGAGATGGTTAGAAATTTCCTCAATTAGACGGTGATGTGAAAACTGACCTGATTGCACCGCCTAAGACTTGCCATGCTTCCCTCCCACGACTGGAGTTCTTCAGCCACAATGACCTCATGAGATCGCTCTGGACAGCAGTAATTGTGGGGTCATGTCTTCCCACAAGGCTCGAGATTTCCATCCCTCTAGTGGAGAAATTATTCGAGAGAAAGTCACGTTGAGTAAAACTGTCTATCCCTAAAGCCTGAATACAGGGCATGTTGGGAGCGGTAAATTGCAAAGCAACAGCCAGGACCTGAAATATCAGAGCTGGAAAATGGAGAAGATCGCTAGAAACCCCCTCGAAATGGGAAATTTCTCTAGGCTGGTCGCTGATAGCACACCAAGAGCTGAAGAGCTTTTCAAAGTAATGCTTTTCTAGTAGTGCAAGATACCAATTGGCCTCTGAGAAATAGATCTCGATGAGTTCTCGTGTAACTGCACGGGAAGGCATCATTGCACAAAGATGGGAAAAGTTTCGCATCATCTGTGAGGTCAAAGGCATGCTGCTGGATGTGGAATGGAGCGGAGGTAGCTGGCTATTATCTCCGATAAGCTATCTCATCTCCGTCAGTTTTGTAATAATCAACAAGAAAGAGGATCTTAAACCGACTTCATATAGTTCCGAGAGAGAGTTCGCCTCATTGGGCCCACCATATCCAACTTGATTCCGGATTGACTGGTCTGTAAGCATCTCTGAAGAATTACTTCCATTGATTGTCAAGGGAGGACTTTGCAGAGGTATTTGGTCTGCTCTGGAAGTCGATCCATCATCGGGGCTGTGATCAGAAGTACTAGTTAGAAGATCGATGTTTCTTGTGTAAATAACAAGAGATCATTTCAAGCGACTACATTGATCAGGCCTTACCTTGTTGAATATTCATATGTGCACCTATCCGGGACACCCCTCCCGGTGCACATATTGCATGGCCTTTCACGGTCGCACTACCAATAATTTAGTACTCATAAATGTCCCTTAAATACGGAGCTGATTGCAGGACACCTTTTGTTTCCTTCGGCGACATTCTGTGCATGCCGTTACAGGACGTTTGCGACTGATATGTATTGATGTCTGCATGGTATGAGTGACTCTTAAGAGGGCTCAAAAAGAGAAATCCATAGTCGAAGATACACGACAAGGGAGTGCGGCGCGGTGCGGCGTGGCGCGGCGGGCTGCAGGTTGTGACTTAGTCATCCTACATCCCTGCCCAGGTGCCCTCCAGGGCTGGAGCCTGCCAGGTGGAGTGCCCAGGTGGAGTGCCCAGGTCCAAAGAGCTTCTTGGCTCTCGTCAAACAATTGTGAGTCTATGATTGACACAGCCTACTTGGTATTTGAAGTTTTGTCTCAAATTTGATAAGGTCAAGCCTTGGGTGTAACTGGCTTCACATTTATTGATGACATCTGCCAATGAATTTTTGTTTTAAAAAACAAAACTCCTAGTTATCTCTTGCGCCCGTATGTAAGTTTAATAATATACAATAGACAAAATACAAAAGCTGAGAAGAAGAACAACTTGAAAAGACCCCCATTGGCACTACCAGTGGCAGCCTGAGGATAATGAAATCCCACAGACTCGGAATGCACACTTTTGAGCGGACCTGTTTCCAAACCATACATAATATCTGAGCAGCACCGCTCCGCCACTTGGTCTAAAATTGAAGGTTCGAATTGGCTGGTCTTTTTCCAAGGTATTTGTTTGCCCTCCTCAGAACAAAGGGTAAGGATGGTGTTTTCGAATCGAGAACCGTAGGCACCATCAAAAATAGTATTATAGTCGACTTCTTTGAGGTCGACCATGTCAAGGGAGCAGCTCAGTGAAGAAGAGGACTCGGAATCTGGATTTCTCGACTCTTCACCCACTGCTGCCGGTGATTCATCGCCCGAGGATCGATCTCTCGAGGGGGTTTGTAGTGTTGCAGCAAGCACAAGGAGTTGTTGAAATGAAAGCAGACTCAACTGCCATTTGAGAAACATGGCAGTGGACTGAGAGTGTATGATTTTCCCGATTTTTTTCAAAGGTAGTATGAAGATATAGTAGTGAGTGTCTATTTCGTCGCGTAAGGTCTTTCTTGAGCAACACAGTGTCGGAAGCAACTTGAATACAGAATAAAGGATATTCGATAGTACCAATAGGTTTAAGAGCTGTCGATACCCCTACCTTGTATTTAACATCCAGATATCCTGCATAGAACTAAGCAAAGATAACCAAGATGCCAAGAGGGTGCCCTTGGCAAGACAATACATCGGCCGATAAGGCCCCACAATAATGCATGGCGAGAATACAAACAGTGTCAAACAGTGTCAGCGAGCCAAGAGTTTTCGGTGGGGGCTTGACCCTATACATCGGCCGAAAATAATTAATTCCATGGCACCTTTGCCTAGGGAGCCTTTGAAAGAGGATCCATATGGCTAAATAAAAAAAAATCTTCCTTGCAAAAATTACACTTAGTTCTTTGGATAATTCTATCAATTGAATATTTTAACAGAATAGAAAAATAATGACATTATCCATGTCCACGGGTTCCTCTAAAAAACCGCGTGGGTACACGTGTTGTTGGTGCCTCAATAAACTACTAGTAAATTCTATTTCCACCTGAGCTACATGTACGTGTCATCATAGGCACCTGCGAACCATGACTTGGAGAAACAATAGAGATTTATGCATATCAGGGTGGGGACAGACAGTTGCACCCAGTACCAAATTGCTGCTGTATAAAGAGCTGACTTCGTAAGGCAGATGTTATCGGAGTTATACAATAAAACCCGAGATTTAGCCTGAAGGATGCTGTCAGCTGATTCAGTCTAACTTTATCGGGTAATACTACTAATGGGACTGAACTCATTGATCCCTGAATCTTGACCATCAGCCTAACAGTGAGAAAAACTGGTTTATCTGTGGTTCTAAATAAATATGTCCGACCAAACAACATCGCTCCCCAATGGGTCCACGCTGGCGGGAAAAACAATCATAATTACCGGAGGTAACAAAGGGCTTGGCTTCGAGGTTGCGCGCCAAGCGATTCTCCTGTCAGCATCGAGGGTGATTATCACCACTCGCTCTGAAGTCAGGGGTAGAAATGCCATTGCAGCATTGCGTGAAAATGCAGAAATCCAACACGTGAACCCAAAATGCCAACTCGAATTTTTCGACCTAGATCTGGAGGACTACCAATCAGCTCTGCGATTCTGTCAGCAAGTGAAAGAGCAAGTTCCTGAGCTAGATCTTCTGCTTTGCAATGGGGGCATCACGCTATACGATTTCGAAGATACCAAGGGTGGCCACGAAAAGAACATGCAAGTCAATTGCTACACTCACTTCTTCATTGTGTTTGAGCTTCTGGGCCTGCTCCGAGCCACAGCTGCTCGACGAAGCACTCCCACGCGCGTGACGTTTCTAGGCTCATTCAACCACTTCAAAAGCGATCTTGAGAAAGTCCCGATTCCACCCAATTGTACGGTGCTTGAATATTTCGACAACAAGAAACTCATCACGCCATCTAAACGATACTTCAACAGTAAGCTAGCGATCATTGGCCTCGCGCAGAAGCTTGCTTCGCTGGTGCCTGCTTCCGAAGTCATTGTCAACAGCGTCTGTCCCGGGTAGTGAACACAGGGATCACGTCGCAGCTTTCAATGTGGATCCAACCGATTATCTGGATCTTTCTGAAGCTGAAAGCTATACCGATACAACAGGGTGGTCGTTCTATTATACATGCTGCGGTAGAAGCTGGTGCTGAGAGCCATGGGAAATTTCTGCCGATGGGTGGGCAGGTGGTGGGACACACTCCTTTTCTTGATGGAGATAGAGGAAAAATGTTCAAGGAGCAGCTATGGAAAGAGCTTTTGGAGGAAGGGAGATCAGTGGACCCTGCTCTGGAGCCATTTTAGTGGCATTTAGGTTCTCGTGGCTCTCCAAGATTACTTGTCATTGTCATTATATCGCTATCGGGGGTTTCAAGTTCATATTGATGGGAAACCTCCCTCCAGATGGCATGTTTATACCGAGTGAAGGTGTCATGGACATTCTATTTTCAAATTCTGTTCAATAACCTTCAGGTTTATTCTACCCCTTGAACGCCTGTACAAATCATCATAAATTCATTCATATTTACAACCCTGAGAACTGTGAAATTCCAGAACCGACCTTCGTATGCTCGGTGGTTCAAACAGCTCAGGATTACAGACCGAGTTTTGCACACCTAATTTTTGGTACCAACGACCCGTTGAGGTTGGAAGAGTAAATCATCATCTTTCCACAGATTGCCACTGGCAGCCAAACCCCTCTTAGGAGGGGGTCTTCATTCAAACTGAATGGCCGGCACCAGGAAACAGACTTTCTATCGCCACATCCGGGGGGTCCATCCAAGGGAAACCATAACCAGTCAGTGGTACTTCGTATACACTGCTTCCAGGAACCCAATTTGTTCCAACACTTGGAGCTGAGGACGGGCCTCTATGCTCACCTGCACCATTCAGTCGCGCAAGGTAATATTTATTTTGAAACCAATCGGATATTTGGCGAGTCCAAGTGTGGTAGTGGAAAGTCTCGGGTCCATCTGAGATTCCGCCTTTGCAATCCTTGTCAAGCGTTTCCAAACGCAAAAGTATGTTTTCTAGCTGCATACGCATGTTTAATGACTCTCTGAGTGCTCGAACTTGATCATGATCCCGGATCGAAGGCTCCATAGCGGCTAAAGCAAGCTTGCATGAAGCCATAATGCCAAAGCCGTTGGTTATCCACTGGAGATAGCTCCATCTCTTTTCGATTCCGAGCGGAAGACTAAAGTAGAAGCTCATGCATCGCTGCGCGGCCGCCAGTCCCTGACAGAGAGCGTGGATTCGTTGGAGAGCTACCAGTGGTTCGATAGACTCAACAGCACTTGCGGATGGGTATACGTCGAAAAAGACTGTTTGGTAGAGATGGACATCGAAAATGCTAGAATCTGCCCCGAGGAAAACTGATCGAGTGTTACGATTTGAATTATAAAAAGGAAGAAGTCAAGTTAACTTACTGTCATGGTGATAATGGACGGGAAACTGGGATTTGTATCCTTCCATCTGGCTTCGAAGGGTGCAAACAATGCTTTCTATGTCTGCAAGTGGAGGGTTGGTGTGATCCAATCCCCGAGCCACTAGTTCATCAACTTGCCCAAGCATGTGTTGGAAGTGGACTTGGCCTAGTAGAAACTGATCCGTGGGATATTCACATTCGTGCGACAACTTTGCCGCACACGACTGTATGAAAGGTGTCAAGGGCATTTTGTTTGTTCTTTGCAACATGGTCGAGCGACTAGAAGGGAAAAAAATCATGTCAGTGAACCTAAAAATAGACTTTTGTTTCGCAAAAGACAATACTCACCATTTATCAAGGATGAAATATCCCACCAGTGCCCGCATTTCTTCATTTTGCACCGATATCGATTTTTCTGGGACATCTGCGTCTACCATAACACTAAGTCTTTTTCTTGCCATACGAACCTTGGCTGGGTAATCGAGTCTGATATCATTGATGATGCCTTGTGCCAGATGAAGATACCCAGAAAGTCGAATCAAATGGTGGCTTTTTTTGGCTCTATTGCTATGGTCAACGATTGTGGATATAGATAGCACAGACTTTTTCATGCACATACCCGCCTATAGTAACAAGCAAGCCCTGTAGGGTGTCCAATGGGTGAACACCATTTCCCTGTAAGACTTGGCCCCCAAGATATGCGGTTGAAATTTTCTCGAGTGCGAGATGAAGTGGGACGTTCTGAAACGAGGAGACAAACAAGATGGATAGCAGCAGGAAAGGTTTCTCTGATCTGAGACTCTCAATAGTCGAATCCTTCGGGAGCTGCACATATGGAAAACAGGGGATCATCTCGCGATAGCTCTCCAGGAGACGGGACGCATCCTCCTGTGTGACCAGTCCATCGCCGATCACATCACAGGGGTTTCGGGTGCTGGGTTCGCTGATTTGACTGGTTTGGGATGACGATGAAGTTGATGGACCCGATTGTGGGTTGTTGGTTAATTGACCCAGAATCCTATCAACCTTGTCTTCGAGCTCCTCTATACGCCTTCATATAACCGGAGTTAGCATGATCTGCATGATCATGATCAAGATGGGTAAAAAATGGATACATACGCTGCTCTCTTTTTGGGGTCTCGAGCCTTTGACAGACGATAATAACAGTCCAAGCCTAAGCGGATGCACCTATGAAGCTTTATTAGTTTCGAATAACCGTAAAAGGGGGAGAAAGTGGGGTATCTCTGCCCTACCGATCGCACTTCTGTGCGGAAGAGGCGCGAGAACATCTAATTTTAGAGCGAACGCATCCTTCACAGGTTTTGACCCGCCCTTGGCTCGGAGCGGACATTGTATGGGGCAGGCAAAGAGCGGCGGAATATGATCTAGAATGCAGGTCGGACAGGGGGACTTTTAAGAGTCCGAAGTGAGGCTGAGCGGGGCGGTCCGCGGAGTGGGAATATGAGCTGAATCCCGTTCTCTCCCGGTCTTTTGGCCCCCATTTTGATACCCCTTCGTACTCTCTTCGTACCCCGGTAGTTGCGAAGTGCGAAGTGTGGAGTATCAACGGGATATAGAACTTCCAATCGCAGTTCAGAAAGCTAATCTTGACCCCCAATCTAGCCCCCAACTCGTAGGGTCTTTGTATAAACATTATTTTAGGATATGGTATAGACTCATAGGGCATAGACTCCGAGTCCTGGATGGGTAATAGGTAGGCCTGACAAGTTGTCACGATGGTATAAAGATGGCATTGAATGCAATGAAAATGAAGAATATCAAGCAACTCATCACAGTTCCGATTCAATCATCCTATTCATCTAATATCTTTGCCGATTTCTCTATCTTTCCTTGTGAATATCAAAAAAAAATCAGGACTCAATCAACCTATACCTCTATACAAGATGTCAGACTACTACAATGGAATCCTCATTGACGACTGTACCTTGGCAACCTGTCCAATTAGTTTGGCGCATGTCACCTACCAGCCAAACCTTGCAGCAAACATTCTATTCGTCCTGATTTTCAGCGTTATTATGGCTGCACAAGCTTACCTGGGAACGAGATTCCGCATATGGACATACATGGGAGCGATGCTCCCGGGTCTTATTCTTGAAGTATTGGGATACGCTGGTCGTATCATGATGCATCACAACCCATTCAACTTCAGCGGATTCCTCTTGTATGTGCCTTTGTTTTCCCCAAGTCAATAAATCAAACCAGCTAACCAAGAATCCCGCATCTAGGTATCTTATTCCTCTCACTATTGGACCTGCTTTCTTCACCGCTGCCATCTACATTTGCCTTGGAAAAATCGTCATTGTGTACGGAGAGGATATCTCCCGACTTCGCCCGAAGACATACAGTTACATTTTCATGACTTGTGATTTGATCGCTTTGATCCTTCAAGCTGCCGGTGGTGCTGTGAGCTCTATTGCGAAGTCTGACCAACAAAGCCTGAGCAATGCTGGTGTTAACACCATGATTGCTGGTTTGGCTTTCCAGGTTGGATCGCTGACCTTGTTCGTCGCACTCGCTTTGGACTTTGCTTTGAGGGTGCGTCGTAGCGCAGAGATCATGAAGAACGAGGCCACTGACTCTCTTCGTGCCAGTCGCAAGTGGACGATGTTCCTTATGGGTAAGTACTGCGAAATTATCTTACCTCCTGTTGGGCTCAGTCTAACTTTATTACGAAACCAGGTCTTGGAGTTGCCGTCCTCACTATCTACATTCGATCCTGCTTCCGTGTTGCCGAGCTACAGGGCGGATTCAGCAGTGCTCTCGCCAACAACGAAGTTGCTCTGATGATTCTGGAGAGTGCTATGGTTACCATTGCCTGTGTGGCCATGACTGTCGCCCACCCAGGAAGAATTATGGGTGACCAGTGGAGAATGCTCTCGGCCAAGGCTCAGGGGCACTACAGTAACGCCACCTTGTCTAAGCAGCCAATGGTTTCTTCTGGAGAGGAGCTCCAGAGTGTTTAAAAGCTAGCTTTGGCATAATCTCATGAAGCATAGGGCCAACCAGTGTGGATCACTCTAATGCTACGATGTGGCTTTGTGGAAATTGTTCGTCCTCTCTCAAGCGTCGATTCATCTATTCCTGGGTTTGTTTATACACAAGGGTTGTTCAAATGTTTGTTTCTAATGCTTGATGTTTCTTTTTTCTGTCATTTCTGCTTTTTTTTCTCGAGTTCGCAACTGCATTTTCCATTCAGGCCAACAGCGGCTTAATAGGCGGAAATTGCAATGGACATTTATCTCATTTCATTTATTTTCTCCTTATCTGACTTCTCCTGCCATAGTTTGGAGGTACTAGTATGGTATTAGAGGCCTTGCATCGTATCTTTGGCTTAAATATCACGAATCTGCAAACTCATCAGCATTTACAACGTGAGAAGCCGGTCAATATTCACTCAACCGTGTAGCTTCACGGTATGGAGAGCTTCTGAGTACTCAGATCGACAATTTGATTTTTGTTCATATTGAGTATCACGGTTAATTTTGCAATCAACTAGGTGCAGTTTGATAATAATTTCAAGTTTGTAAAGCTAGGTCCGCTTTCATGCGATTGCGCCATCTTTGCTGCTGAGGCGTAAGGACTATGCGGGGTATGTTGGTTGGGCACTCAAAAATCCTCACTTGACAAATAATCTCTCAGTGCTGAATGAATTGATGGCCGACCCAGTTTAATTGCTTAATATTGGAGATAGAAATACTGGGACCAATCGGTTGTACACAAGCTCATTTTCTTCACCTCCTCCGCGACGATGAATGAATTCAGTCCCATTTCCCTCGGACCACCAACGTTTGACAATCGCGTGGACGGTTTCGGAATACAGAACACCACGCCTGACATTTCATGGCAGTTTGTCTGCAGTGACCGAGAGAGCAGAGGGTGGAAACAGCACGCCTATGAGATAGAAATTCAGCGAAATGGATTACCAGAACATTATCGAGTGGACTCTCCTCAGTCCGTCCGGGTGCCTTGGCCAAGCTCTCCTTTACACTCCAGAGAAGGGGTCTTAGTTCGGGTGAGATCTATCGGTAGCTCACAAGATCGTCAGCAGCCTACTCCAACAGAATGGTCTGCATGGTCATCAGTCGAGGTGGGCCTGCTGGATCAAAGTGAATGGCAGGCCCGGTTAATTACTGGACAACAAGAAACCTCTCCTGATAAACCTATTCGTCCACTTCTACTCAGAAGGTCATTTGAAGCATCTTCAAATAACGGCAAGATTCGACGTGCAAGACTTTATGTTACCGCTCAAGGTGTTTATCACATCTATCTCAATGGAACGCGCGTGGGCGATTATTTTATGGCTCCTGGATTTACCTCATACCGCTTTCGATACAACTATCATATTTTTGATGTGACCGATCTCATTCTCTTCGATAAAGTGAATATGCTGGCAGCAGAGATCGGTGAAGGCTGGTTCGCGTCTCAACTGTGGAGGGAGGGTCGGCAGATCTACGGCAAGGATATCGGTCTAATCGCACAGCTGGAAATCACATTCGAAGATGAGAGCCCACCTCTATTGATTACAAGCGACAAGGAATGGGAATGGAACGTGGGACCCATGCTGAGCAGTGAGATATACGATGGTGAGGTTTTTGATATGTTGTCGGAGCAGCCTGGTTGGAAGACAGGCTCTCCTGCCCAACCTGGCACACAATGGACTCCAGTGACTGTTCTTCCTCTTCCCTCGGCCACACTCACTTTGCCTGAGGGACCGCCAGCTCGAGCCACAGAAACCATACCACCACAGAAGATTTTTCGATCTCCGTCTAGAAAGTTACTGTTGGACTTTGGTCAGAATTTGGTGGGCACACTACAAATTCGATCATTGACGAAGCCGGTTGGCCATCGTGTGGCATTTAGACATGCCGAAGTTCTGGAACGTGGTGAAATCGGAATGCGTCCCCTCCGAGCTGCCAAATGCACCGATACCATCATCTGCTCTGGTAAAGAGCTCAAAGAATGGTCGCCAAGCTTTACATTTCATGGATTCCGGTTCGTCGAAGTGACCGGGTGGTCTCCAGAAGATGACTCGTGTCCATTGACAGCCGATAAGGTATGCGCAGTAGTCATTCATAGTGATATGCCTCGCATAGGCTGGTTTTCATGTTCTGATAGTCAAATCAACCGACTTCACGAGAATTCTGTGTGGAGTATGCGAGGTAATTTTCTCTGGATTCCGACAGACTGTCCTCAGCGGGACGAGCGTCTGGGTTGGACGGGTGATATTCAAGTATTCAGCCCGACAGCTAATTTCCTCTACAATACAAATGGAATGCTGGCCGATTGGCTAGCTGATCTGGTCTTGGAGCAAGACGATGATAATGGTGTTCCGCCAATGATCATACCCAATGTTCAATTCGCAAAGGAGTCTCGTCCACCCCAGGCTGTGTGGGGAGATGCTTCTATCTTAGTTCCGTGGGCCCTTTATAAGTGGTTTGGAGATCCAACAATTTTAAAGAGACAATACAAGAGCATGAAATCTTGGCTGGATCGTGGCTGCTCACGAGGTGAAGATGGATTGTGGACTACATCGCTTTGGCAGCATGGAGACTGGCTAGACCCATCTGCTCCCCCAGAGGATCCTGGAAACGGCCAAACCGACGGAGTCTTTGTCGCAGATGCCTACCTTGTTTATGTGACTGGTGTTTTGAGCGAGATATCCGGCATTTTGAGCGAACCGGACGATCAGGAACGATATAGCGCAGATCATGCTCGCCTGAAACAAGCTTTCCAGCAGAAATATATCACACCAAAAGGTATGGTGATGTGCGACACGCAAACATCCCTTTCTCTTGCCTTGAAGTTCTGCCTTTTTGAAACGCAAGCCCAAGTCGCAGCTGCTGGGGATCGATTAGCTCGGAAAGTCCGCTTTGCCAAATTTCGAGTTGCGACTGGATTTGCGGGTACGCCAATTGTTACCCACGCACTAAGCAAAACAGGCTGGCATCAAATCGCCTACCGCATGCTTTTGGAAACAAGTTGTCCGTCATGGCTTTACCCAGTCACCATGGGGGCTACCTCAACTTGGGAGAGATGGAATAGTATGTTGCCTGATGGAACAATCAACCCAGGACAGATGACTAGCTTCAATCATTATGCTCTCGGTTCCGTTGCCAATTGGCTACATGAGAAAATCGGTGGGCTAAGCATACTTGAGCCAGGTTGGAAGGTTTTCAAAATCAGACCTATTCCAGGAGGAACTATCACCAGCGCACAGATTCAGTACGAAAGTCCATATGGGCGAATTAAATGCTCCTGGACTTTGGAAGGCTCAGCCTTTTCAATGGCTATTTTAATTCCTGTAAATTCTTCTGCGTGGGTCTTTTTGCCAGACCAGGACGATGAGAAGCTTGAGAATGGAGTTCTTTTGGATTCTGGTCAATATGAAATTGGTTGTATTTTTGACAGCGGACCTTGGCCTCCTCAGCCTTTGGAGACTTTATTCAAACCACCAGCGAGGAAGATAATTGAATGAGTAAGGGTTTTTTTATACTAAAATCTCTGCAATGGTCAATAGGCACATACAATAACTTGAAGCTTCTTGGAAAATCGCATAAGGAGAGGTCTTCGCGTCCGCTCAGCCGTACTCAAACAGCCTGTGCTATTCCAAGGTTCTGGCATCATGAATTATTGGCAAAGGCTTATTCGACTAAAATACAAGGGTGGAAATTTTACATAACAATCACATATTTCAAGCCCCTGTGCATCAGCTGCCCAGGTGGCAGCCATCAGGGCTGATAGTCCAGTATAACTTATGACAAAGATTACTAGTTACTACTCGACAAAACATGTTTTCCAAATTGATATGACAAGAGGAACAAGACATGATACTACTAGTACATGTGAGATGAGAAGTCTTCTAACTTGAAGCAAGCGAGGATAAAAGAACTTGAAGAGAATTTGGCTTCTATAGAAAAGGCAGAAATAAACCCACTGGCAGTAACTGAACTTTGAAATTCGAGAAAACAGAAAACATTTGTAGGGACAACTTCAATGTCACTGCTGAAGTAAGCTAATACTTGAAATGTGGAGTGAGTAATTGAGGCTCTGAGCTTGAAGCAATTTGAAGTCAGAACCTTAACAACTACTGTGCTATTGTACTCGTTAAGGGACTTAGGAAGTCACCGTCCAATCCTCTCTCAAGGTAATCGTCCATATCGGCGCCATTTACCTGATCTGGCAATATTGCATCTAAGTTGTTAACGTCGGGGATCGCCTCCCTTAATCCTTTGTGACTTTCATTGACATATAGTGCTCCTTGGTTATCGGGAGCTCTCGCAGTATAAAATAGACGATGCACCCAAAGTCCACTCAATCTTTGCACGCTATCAATTCTTTTTGTCCCAAATACAGTCACTGCGAGGGGATACCAATGCTCGAATGCGTATAAATAAGATTTGGCAGCCATTCTCCGCCCTACAAGTAGCTCAGGTTGATTAGGCGGCCATTTTATGTTAAATTCGAGCATGACCACTGGAGTTAGGACTGTTCCTTGAGAAGTCTGTGCATGGGCCCAAGTCAAAAATGGAGCCCCTTGGCCAAAATGTTCTATATCCATTAGATCTCTCATGAGAAGGTGTGGGAAGGTAGCCCCTGTATCATCAAGAAAATCTCGGGTACATGCAGTCGATGGGGGTAAAAATGGCGATTTGAAGCTGAGTTCCCACTAAAACATTTATTAATCAGAAGTTCGGCATAGAATCATGTTCAATGTTGAACATTTGAAAGACGCATTTGGGATCTTATGCCAGTGTATGAGATCCAGTGCGGTAGGAGGAAAAACGTACATGATTATGTGGTGTATATCTGAACTTATTTTCAACATATGGGTTTTTTTCGAGCTTCATGTTTAGTTCAGGATTACAATGCGCCATGCTGTTGTTCAAAGTGAACATATCAATCTAATGAGTAACAAGTCAAGTCAGTCTAAAGCTCGTATATATGCGTGGATTTGGCTATAGCATTAGAACCTTGGAAGATTTGAAGTCAAAGGTCAAATTTTCATACGCATCGAGGATTATACTTACTCCTTCAACACAAAACTCCTTCCCGTTATGATCTGGACTATTATAATAGCTCAAATAACGGCTCCACTCGAAATTTTCAGGGCCCGCAACCTGCCTTCCTCTATACCAATAAGTCACTCGACCTGGATAATACCACAAATCAAAAGACCTGTAAGCTTTCATGATACCCTCAATGTTTCTCTTTTGTTGGAAAACGTCTCCCCATTCGTCAATATGTTTGAGAGCTGCTTTAAGAGTCTGCAGACGCGCCAGAACGGGCACTCCAAAAGCTGCATCTGGTCCAGCCTGAAGAGCCTCCCTATTGGCTTTCATCTGTTGGTATTGCTCTAGTCTGTCTACCCATAGCTGCGGCAGGACTGCATCATCGATTCTTTGCTCGCATCGTTCTATCATAGCATCGATGTCACTGTGAGGAACTGAAGTCAACAAATGATTCTCATTAGAAGAATTAAATTTTCGAGTCCTTACTATTCATCAATGTCCGTATCCTCATGATGCCAGTCCGCCGGAACTTCCTCTGGGTATATAATGGGCCTTGCTTCAAAGTTATATCTTTTGAAAAGGGGTCTTCTGGGTCTTGGGGTGTATTTTGGATCACGGTTGGCTTCTTCCTCTTCTTTCTCTAGAATATGATCCCGCTTCTCAAGTAAAGACAGCATCTCAAGCAAATCTTTGTGCTTCTTTCTACGCACCCGGGTTGAATCGGATAAATTAGCTTCCTCTTCCGCGGACTCAAATAATTGTTCTGAACTATCCTCGGACTTAGACCGCTTGGAGTCATGTTCATCATCTGTCAGGTTGGAAGGTCCTTGTTCGTGCTTCCTTCCACTTGAGCTCCTGGGATTCGAACCCCTCTGCTTTCCTCTAGGCCTCTTTGAACTATTCTTCCCCGAGTCATCCAGTTTCGTGCCAGTACGGGTGGACATGTTGGTACTTTTGAGCAGGATTATAGCTTCTTGCTATAAGATTGAACTGTTTAAGAGGTATTTGGAGTTCCGTAGATTAGGAAAAGGTTTAGTTGATGGTTGGTTTGGACCGAGTATTAAGTATAAAGATAGACTCGCCATCAGTTAAAGCCCATAAGTTATATTTAGAACATCAAATTATTGAAAGAGCCTGTGTGACTTACTGGCAGCATCTTGAAAGCAAATTGATGAAAGCAGTGATAGACTCCAGACTTGAAAGGAAACTTCAAAATTCCGGAACATTGTCTTATGATTTCGAGGTTGGCTGGTGAATGAAAGAACTGAGAGGAATTTTCATCAATATGCCATGGCAAAGGTCTTTGAGACTGATTTTTCACATCCCTTGGAATCAATAAATCAAAGCGCTTGACAATAAATCCGGGCAGAAAGATCACTTCCAGCGGTGCAGGTGTGCATATGAAAGAAAATATCTGGTACAATGAAAGAAAGCAGTCAACTTCGTTCCAGGACAGCTATCCCCCAGGTCAATCTGGCGCTATCTTAATCAACTCTTCCACTTACTTGAGATGCAAACACATGTGCTCCACAGCACTCTTAAGGGATAGAGGCATGTTGAGCTCCAGATGTCTCTATGTCATTCAGCCCTTATTTGGAGTGGATCACGTACATTATTGGATTGAGATAGGTCTCCAGGTAGAATATCTCTTCCACATGTGGGGCGTCATCAATCGAATATGAGAAGAAGGATTTCTTCCGAAGATCAGAAGGACCATGAAGAGAAAAAATTTTGGCATCAGCACGGTAGCGATAAATGATGGTTGGAAGTGGAGCTTTGGAGAGCTTTTCTTTCACGATGTTAACTTGAAAGAAAAAAAGAAGAATTGTGGTTCATTCCAGCGCCAGTTCCAACATCTCCGCCTATTTTTAGTTTATTCCATCTTTCCCAATCTCATATCACAACCTTGGAATCATGAATTTACTACTAGTCTAATTTGGGTCTAACCACCACAAACTTGGAAACGGCAGATGTCCCATGGATGAACAACCTACGACCCCTGGAAGGTTTCTCTGATCCACCTACTCTTCACTTCTCCCGTATTCCTTTTCTGCGATCTTTGAGAATCGTGTTAAATCGGATGTTCAACGTTCTGGCCACAAAAAACGGCCACTTCACATAGAATGGCTAGTTCATGCAAGACGATCAGCTCTTATCCTACGCTTAGCCCTACAACATTTGCTGGGCTCCCTCCTAAACTAATATTGTCAATATGCGACTTTCTTCCGTCGGCCGATCTTATCTGCTTTTCCCTATGCAATCATCGAATCTCCGAGCTGTCTCAGAGACAAATAGCCAAGTTGCCTCGTACACAAAACAATAAAGTCTCGATCTTAACTCGGCTGGAATGGGATCTCCCACAATACTTGATGTGCGGTAGTTGCACCCTTCTTCATTATTATAATGGGTAGAAAGCTTTGCGCTCACTGGACCGGAACTTGGAGGAACTTGCTAGCTCCTGTGTGTTAAGAGTTGAGAGTGGTTTTGCCCACCATGATCAGGAGAATACATTGTTTCTGGCCTTACTTGTTTAATGGGGGAGGTTATATGAAGGTTGTTCAAGCTTTAGGATTAATACTGACTATTTATTCTTTACACAAATCCATAGCTACTCTAGATGTCTGTTATCCAACTGGGGATCAGGTATCTCTCTATTCTTAACAGAGGTACGAGTGCACATATGTGCCAACTTCTTGGCCTTTAGATTAGGATGTAGGTATTGGTGGAATAGCATTGAAATAATAAGGACATATTTTGTGGAAGAATCCTGGATCGCTTCAATACGATTACATATGAGACAGCTCCCAATCACAATCACCTTATAGGTACGAATCCCCGCTTGTATTTTGAAGATATAGCACCTGGATCATTTGAGGTTACGGTATCAAACCCTCTCCGGAGCAGGCGATTTCATAGTAACCAGCGATATCAAACAGTCTTCCAGATGACTGATGCACATGTGGAGGAACGATTTGCCGCCCAGATCTAGAATCCCACCGTGGACGCTACTCCACCTGGGCAAATTAGGAATGTAATTAACGAACCATTGAATTACAGCCTTGAAGCCATCCTTGGAACTGCCCAGGTGAACCCTGGGGATTTCGGGAAAAAGAACGAAAATTGAAGAATTATCACATGTGCATGCCCGACATCGAGAGTGTCCTTCAACCGGAACCTGAGGGCTCCAGGAGTAGTTGAGCTCCCACTTCACTTAGTAGAGGTATATTACTGCAGCTTAATGGTCACTTTAGGGCCAAACTAAGTTCAGCGGAGGTGGAGACAGGATGATCTGGCACAGACCCACAGCCCTGGAAGGCGCTGTAAACAATTTCTCGTTGGAGAGCATGATCTGAGTTCAGATGTTGCAATCCATGAGGGGGCCTTGCGATAAGTGCTTTGTGGAGGCTTGCATGAAATCCCTAAAAAGGATTGATCAACGGTTCTAATTCTTCTTTGGGTATCGTTACGCCACACGGATGAAGATGCTACATTTCCGGGTGGGAGAACTTGAACGGATCAATTGCAGGGATTATTGAGGACACGCATTCTTTTCAGACCTTGACGAGGATTATACAGGCTTTGAACCACCTGACGTTGCGAAAGGCGACACCGTCTTCGGTCTTCTTGAAAGTTTCATATTCTTCGGTCGAGTCTGTGACGCTGGTTCGTTCGGCGTCCGATGTGAAGCCCTGCTCCTTGAGAGCCATGATGAGATGTGTAGGAGTTGAGTTTGGAAGGAGTGAATGTTCAAAAGTTCTCAACAGTTCTTTTTTGATTTTTTGAAGTGCTAGAGTTTAGTAGTTTAAGTGGGTGGCACGGCTGGGGGCTAGTACAGCTAGTATACACTTGTATCAATCTAGGTCTTAGCTACATACAGTTCCCCACAATTATCTTGAAAAACTAATAATTGAGCGCAGTTCGTTCCCTCTCTGCATTGAGCGGACCCTTTGGATGTCCCGATTAGACTGTACATAATCTTTACAGCATCGGTGTTTTCAAACACTTGTTGCCGATCCTCACCTGGGTCCGCGGGCAGTACCCGCTCGGGATCCACCTCAAGCCACCCGTGGACCTGGACCCTCACGTTACGAAGTTTTCGAAACCGCAGCCTTGACTATCTGCGAGAGATGTCATACTTGTGTTCCAACCTATGTACCCACTCGCAATGTGTCGCTACCCCTCTATCCCGCCGGCTCACATTGATCTCCTGCATGCTGCTTTGTGGCACGCTCGTATTCCCATCAACGAAAGAACGCCATGAATCAAGGATATCAACTCGGAGTTGATGTCGGTGGTACCTTCACCGACGTATATGTTTTCACACCTGACGGTCAGGCCGTACGGACCAAGGTTCCTACCACAATCCCCGACCAAAGCATCGGTATTCAAAACGGCATCAAGCAAGCCCGCGAAATCCTCAAATCCCAATTCGACTGGGAGGGAAAGTTCCAGTTCATTCACCATGGAACGACAACGGGAACCAACGCAGTCCTAGAAGGCAAGGGCGCGAAGACTGCTCTCGTGCTCACAGCTGGCCACAAAGACATTCTGGCTTTGCGTCGATCCCAGATCCCGGGCGGATTGGGTGCTTGGCTGAACTTTGTACCGCCAGAGCCAATTGTCCCCTTGGAACGGGTGGTGCAATGCAAAGAGCGCATGTCAGTGCATGGAGAGCCGGTCACAGCTGTAGATGTTGAGGATCTGCGGCGGAGCCTGCGATCGCTGAGCAAGGAAAATCCCGAAGCTGTGGCCATCTCCTTGTTGAACTCTCATAGTAGCAATGCCCACGAAAGGGTAGTCGAGAAAGTCATTCGCGAAGAGCTCGGTCCTGATGTCACTGTTATCTGTTCGGCCGATGTTCTGCCAGAATTGGGTGAATTCGAGCGCACGGTGACCACATGCACGAGCGCCTTCCTCAAGCCGGTGGTGAGTTGGTCTTGCCGTTTACATTGCATGGTCCGCAACTGAGAACTCACCCCTGCAGGTCCAAAAATATCTCTCGAACCTTGTCGACACGCTCGCCGCCGAAAGCGATATCATTCGGGTGCTTAAGAGTGATGGTGGCTTGACCAGCTTGGCCCTAGCTGGGGAGTTGCCTGTTAACATTCTCATGTCTGGTCCAGCTGGAGGTGTTACAGGAGTGGCAGACGTCGTGGCCCGAAGTACTCCATATAAGAACCTCATCACATTGGATATGGGTGGTACTTCCACCGATTGTGCTCTTATATACAACGGCCAGCCTCAGCTTCGACGACATACAACAATCGGAAACCTGTCTGTTCGCTCCCCGGCCGTGGATATCCATACTGTCGGAGCAGGGGGCGGGTCAATTGCAGAATATATGGAGCTCACCAGCACTCTCAGGGTAGGCCCTGAAAGTGCTGGCGCATCACCGGGACCTGCATGCTACGGACACGGTGGCACTCAGGCAACAGTCACGGATGCAAACTTGGTTCTGGGTTATTTGCCCCAGGCCCTGCTGGGAGGTGACTTTTTGTTGGACATGAAGGCGGCAGTCAAATCTGTCGAGGAAATGTCATCGCAGATGGGCCTTCCTGTCTCTCAGGTGGCAGAGGATATCATCGCTCTTACAAATGAGACAATTTATGGAGCCTTGCGTCAGGTTTCCATGGAGCAGGGCTACGATCCTCGAGAATTTGCCCTGGTGGCCTTCGGTGGTGCAGGTCCTCTGCATGCGAACGCTGTTGGCCAGCTACTTGGAGTGTCGGTGATCATCATTCCTCCCGCGCCTGGAATGTTATGCGCGCAGGGAGATTCTTTCACGAAGATCAGCCATGAGAAGTCCGCGACTTTCATCCGACTAGTGTCCGAAATTACATCTGCAGTTGTCAGAGACCAGTACGCCACATTGGAGAAGCAGGGTCGAGATACCCTAAGTAAGTCCATCGGCTCCTCATGGCCCATCACCTGGAAAGCGCAGTATCAGGCCGATCTGCGGTACAAGGGCCAAGCATTGACAATCACCGTCGACCTCGAAGCGGACGAGCTGGCCCTCGATACTGAGGACTGGCAGCACGTGATTCGCCAAAAATTCGACAGCCAGCATCAACAGCTTTTTACCTACTGTCTGCCGAACTTTGAATTGGAGTTGATTCGTCTGGGTGTTATTCTAGTGGATGACTCGCCTATAGTTGACATCCCACGAATTGAAAAGGCCGCGTCCAAGGAGCCTGCGCCAGGATCCAAGGTGGGCGAGCAAACAATTACGGTGCAGGGCAGCCAGCAAAAGGCTACCGTGTGGGATCGCACAAAGATCAGCCAGGAGGGTGTCCAGCTAAATGGGCCATGTATCATCACGGAGATGGGCAGTAACACCTTGATTTTGCCTGGTCACTACGGAGAGATTGATAGCATAGGTAACATCCTGATCAATCCACTCGCCAAGTCCTCTGATGCAGTCAGCCACACAGTTCAATCTGCGGCCGACGTTGTCAAGAACACTCCTCTCATTCCCACGCTGATCTCCGCAGCCCTCGCTTCTATCCGAGGCGAGATGGACAAGATGATGTTGCGGTGCAGTATGTCTCCGGCTATTCGGGAACAGCAAGACGAGTTCAATGTTATCACGAACAGCAAGGGACAGATGCTTGTTGGCCAATTTGGCAGCTTTATTCCTCAGTTTCTTGAGGCTTGGCATGGTACTATCGAAGAAGGTGACATCTTTATCACCAACGACACCTACCAGGTCCAAGGAGCAGTCAGCCATCTGAACGATATTATCGTTCTCTTACCAATCTTCTACGAGCATAGAATCATTGGATGGGCCTCGCAATTTGGTCATCTCACAGATGTCGGCGGCAGGGTTCCCGGAAGTATGTCCATCAACTCCACTTCAGTATTCGAGGATGGTGTCCAGATTCCCTGCCTGAAACTCTACAGCCGCGGCGTCATGAGCTCGGATCTGGTAGATCTGTTGTGCAGAAACTCCCGCCAACCTGACTGGTACCGCTCTGATCTGATTGCCATCGTGGCGGCATGCTCCATGGCCTCTAACCGGGTCTCCGAGTTGGCCACGCGCTTCGGAGTCGAGGTCTACCTAGCCGCCTCTGAGGAGTTACTGCAGCGAAACCGCGCCGGACTAGCAAAGATTATTGAACGCGAGTTTGACGACAAAGAATGCACCTTCACTGACTTTGTGGACGATGATGGCCACGGCGTCGGACCCTGGGCACTGACCTGCTCCATGCAAAAGGTTGACGGTCATCGAATTTCCTTTGACTGGACTGGCACAAGCCCGCAAGCTCAATCCTCCGTCAATTTCTTTCTTTCAGAGACGATGTTTAAGCTTTTTATCGGCTTTTATCTGATTTATGTGAGTAATTTCTACAGTTTCCTCCATGACTCTTGCTAACTAGGTGTTCTCCAAAGGCCGCTGCACCAGGCACCGTAATCAACGACGGCTTCCACGACCTGATCGACGTCCACATTCCTGAAGGCAGCGTGTTAAAACCTGTACGGCCAGCCCCCATTTCATGCCGCACACACTTGATGGGTCGTACACTAGATATCATCCAGGCCCTCATCGGCCAAAAGAACGACGCGTACCAAGCCGCTGCCGGATTCAGCGACTCGCCGCACTTGTTCTACTCGGGCTTCAAGCCCAACGGCGAATGGTTCCAGCTCTACCAGATCGGATTCGGAGGCGTCCCCGCGCGACAAGCAGGTGACGGACCGGATTGCCACTGTTTATTTCCTGCAATTAAAAATCAACCAGCCGAATTTCTGGAGCTCAACTACCCCCTCCGCATCGAGTCCAACGAAAGCGTCGCCGACAGTGGTGGTCCGGGGTTCTACCGCGGCGGTAACGCGCAGGGCACGAAGTACAGGTTTCTGTGTCGTGGTGAAGTCAGGTACGGTTCAGAAATATGAAGATTACATACATAGACTAATACTTAAGCTAGCATCCATGATGATAGATGGTTCACCCCGCCCTGGGGAATCAAGCTTGGTAAGCCAGGTCAGCGATCCCGCAAAATCCTCTACCGCTACTCCATCTCCGCTGAGAACCCACCTGTCGAGATTCTTCCTTCGAAATGCGACCATATCCGCGTGGACGTTGGCGATCTGCTCGAATGGGTGACCTGGGGCGGAGGTGGCTTAGGCGATCCACTGACGCGGCCAGCCGAAAGGGTTGCTCTTGAGGCCCACCGCAAGCTTGTTACCTTCGACGGAGCCCGGAATGGGTACGGTGTTGTTGTGAACGACGACTTTACAGTTGATAATGCGTCTACTGAGGAGCTGCGGGCAAAGATGCATTTGGAGCGTGCTTCGCTGGGCGAGGTCTCTATTTATGATCGTGGCGGAAGTATTGAGGAGCTGCGGAAGACCTGTCTTGAAGAAACCGGCCTTCGTCCTCCTACGCCTCAGTGGGAAACTGAGCTTTATGGGCCTCATATTGGAAAGGGGTATGTCAAGGAATGGTATGCGAAGATGAAGGTTCAGAAGGGATGGAAGCTGGAGTGAATGATGTACATGTATGTACTATGTTAGATGAGAACCATGTCTTGATAAGTTACGATGTGCAATGCTACATGTGATCTTGGATTCCATGTTGATTTTAAGCAATCAAACAAAGTTGATTGAATCTGGAGAATGGCTAGAAACAACCCCCAAAATGCCAGAAACACCCACATTGAGAACAAAGAAAGTTCCATGTCGCGTAGAGCTTTGTCCATAATGCAAGTAAATGCGAACGGTGATGACACCAGCCCCTGTGGCGCAATGTCTGCGCACCTTGACCCAGAATTTGAAGATTCAAACGCTGTGCCTCTCGAGGAGTCTTCACCGCGAGGGACAGAGGGACACATTGAAACGGAATTTTCTCAAAACTTGGATTCTTCCCTGGGTGAAGATATGGGTGACAATCAGCCAGGTGAAGGTTTTGAAAGCCCCGACACTTCCAATGCCCTTCTTCACCGAACTGGAGGCACTGCTATATGGTGTTGCTGCTCGTGCAATTGTATAAATAATTACAACCTTGCCGGTGTGCATAGATTGCGAGCACACACGATGTTCATCCTGTCAAGTCCAAAGAACTTAAATGGAATGCCCTGTGTGATGAAACGCAAACCAGGTACCTGCAAATTCGAGTACTATCACTCCAAACAGATGAATTGAATGACGACCGAAAGCAACAGAGAGGTTAAGTCTTGGGTTTCTGTTTCAACGGCTCTTTTCAAATGGAAATCACCAAGTAGTAGAGTGGAAAATTACAGGACGGCGCGCTATTCCAAAATCCCCTTTTCTGCTGAAGGGGACGAAAACGCAGAGAAAAAAGGGCACGAAGAAGGAAGAAGGAAAGGGAGGGCTGCGGGGATCTACGCCAGGCCAGAAAACCTTGGAATGTCAACAGGTAAAATGATGTTCCGAATATGTACATCGAAAAGGAATAGGCGGTCGGTGATTTACACGGCAGAATTGGAGGTAGAATATGGCGGTAAAGACGGATCCACATATATAGCCAAACGAAATCCATTTTTTCCCCAAGAAGTTTATTTCTCCAAAGACGAAAAAAAAAAAAGATGTGACCAGACCCGGGCTCGATCCGAGGACCTTATCGGTTTACAGTCCAATGGAGTGTTAACGATACGTGATAACCATAGGGTGATAGCGGGAAGACCACGATTCTGGTGTGGCACTCTTGTAAATCATCGTGGCATTTACTCGGAAAACCATAGCCTTCCCGCACAGCATAAGGTCCCTAGACCCTAGAGACCATATAAAAACAGATACGCTAGGCATGATTGTTATTGATCCCAGAAAAAAAATGAGAATGCTCTATGCACCGTTAATTATTAATTACCGAGCCCTAGATCCTGATTAACGCAACATGACAGCCCCACGATGCACTTACATATAGGACCTACTGTCACCATAGGCCACAGAGAGATATAGCCAAAATATCCCCAAAAGGCTGTCGGGGACGGATATTTATGGAACCTTAGAAGGTTCCAAGGTTCCAAGGTTCCCAGTGCCGGAAGCCATGCCTAAACCAGGTAGAGACCTGCCAGAATGACACCCGGGCTGCCGTAGTGAATAGCGGTCTGTCCGCGGGCCGCTATTCACTGCGGTAAATGATCTACCCTTCCAAGGTGTGGTGGAATGCACTAAGCCTTTTAGATTCACTATACCTCAAAATTCCAGCTCCGACAACCTATTTAAGTATGTCTGCTCCTCCTCTTATTTTCTCTTCGTCATCATTCTCTCAACGCCTTGGCTCCGACGCTATCTGCCTCAATCGATCCGAGCACACTGCAAAAACAACTATCGACATCGATAGATCTCAATCTCGCAACCGGCGCCGCCATCCTTTCACCTCCATCAAAACTCTCGGCAAGAAATCAACATGGTTTCTCCAATAAAGCGCAGCAAACAGAAGCGTGCGAGTCTGGAGTCTGCGTTTGAAGGCCTGAATATCTCCTCGACCCCATCGACACATGTAGCCGCTCCCAAAGGTCACATTGGGAAATCACTGGCCAAGATGATGAAGTCGACTTTGCGTCTCGCCCATGGAACGTTGTCCCGCTCCGTTCGTGGGATTGAGACAAAATTTACCATCATCCAGGATGAAGTTTACAATTACAAGATTGCCCACCAAGATTTTGATCCTGATGCTGTTTTCCCAGAGATGATGGAGCTTGAGAGCGAAGTACAACGCCTCCTCCAAAGCACTCTGGATCCAAAGCAGCAAGCCAACTTGGAGGATCATATCTTGGAGTGTCTTACAAAAATGGTCTATGGGTCGAACATGATCGAAAAAGCGGGCTGTGGACTTGATATTACCTGGAATCTCTGTATGATGATTTTCCGTGGAGAAAATGTGTCCGAAGACATTCAAGAACGGGACGAGGAGTACCAGAAAATCAAGGCAGAGCGCATGAAAGCAAAGCTTTCCACGAGCTCTTCAGCCATCCTGCGCAGTCGTCGCGAGATAGTGCAGCACGCCAAGGCTGCTGCGTATATCATAACGCAACTCTGCCTCCATGACCAGGACCTGTCTGAGGAACTTATTTTGGAAACGCATCGCATTCTTACTTACAAAGTTGATGCCGAAACTGCACCCTGGACTGAATATAGTGGTGTTTATCGTTCCGTTGACGTTAGTGCTGGGTTTAACACTTTCACCGCTCCAACGGCTCTTCCAATCAAGATGAAAGAGATGATCCGCCAACTGGACAGCGATATGAGCGAGGCCATCAAGTCTGGATCTATTGATCCAATCAGTCTTGCGGCGAAGTATACGCATATTTTTGTGAACATTCACCCTTTTCTTGATGGAAATGGCCGTATGTGCCGTCTTATCTTGAACTCAATGCTCCTTAAGTTTGGAAGTTTCATAGTTTGTCTCGGAGAACTTGGTCCCGAGCGCAGCCTTTATCTTGAGGTGGCCTCGTCTGCTTCACAGCTCGAGACGACATACGATGGACGCGAGGAGGAAGAAAAGCCAGTTATGTACAAGGAGCTGGCGAGTTTTGTGTTGAGTTACGCCAAGACTAGTTTGGGAAAGTTGGTCAACGCCATTGCAAAATAGTTGGAAACTTTTGAAGCACGGAGCACTCGGGGTTTTTTGTTATGCTAAATTGATTTTTCTGTTTTTGAAACCTTGGATGCACTCATGTATTTAAAACGATCAAGAAAATATCACTTGGATGTCAAACTGTATTCCATTACTAGTATCAGAACAAGCTTATGTGTAGTTATGGTAGAGGTTTACGCGAGAAATCCGACTATTGACTCTTTTTAAACGAGGATCTCTTAATTACTACCCTTGAAACTAATCGTATTTACTTTCACTGTGAGGAATCGAAAGCTCAGGTCCATACTTTTCTTGACTCTGAGCTTAGTGAACCTCATAAAGCTAAGTATAAAGAGCATTTAATGGCACTATTGAGCCTGACTACATATTGCGTAAGCCCGGGCTAGACTTCCAAGCTTTCTTCGTCCAAATTTCTTATTTTCTATTGCATAGATTCTATCCCAACCGCAGCGAGAGACTCGGTGTTACCTAGTCAATATTAAGTACTTGATCCGCCTAAGAGCACTGGACTCGGTAACCATTTGAATAGGTAGGATATTGATCTCAATTTCATACACGATAGCGAGAAGGGGAAGGGAAAAAAGGAAAGACATATACACCAGTGAGGGTTCCCATAGGGGCTTCGGGGAATCCTAGGGGGCAACATCTCCTATTTTTACGGGGTGTGGGTGCGGCTCCCAACTATAGCAGATAGCAACGGGAGATATAGGTGACGTGGTAGTTTTCAAGTTGTGTTCCTCTCACGATTTTAGAACTTGATTAAGATATCCATTTCTTAGTCAAAAATAAGAAAGAAAAAAAAGGAAATGAGGGGGAAATTGGGACGAAAAATGATTTAAAAAAAGAAGTGACCAGACCCGGGCTCGATCCGAGGACCTTATCGGAATAAGAAGTCAAGTGACTTGTTAACGATACGTGATAACCTGGGGGTGGTAGCGGAAAAACCACGGTTGTGCGTGACACTTTTTGGAAAAATCGTGGCATTCCCACCTAGTATCTTGTAAACCGAGAAGCTGTTTAAAAAACAAACACGCTAAGTTTTGGCCCTCCCCAAGCCGACAACCTAGCCCCACCTGGGCGATTTGCCATAGAGGCAGGAGATAGGCTTGGAATCACAACAAGATCCTGATAAATAATTATTATTTTCTAGCCGCTTGGAGCGCCTATATTATTTGGAAGTGGGTCTACCCTCACTATGATCCGCTGAAACCATTGGTACGTAGCTACTAAAGAGGGGAACCGTGAGGCAGTGTATTCGAGATACACGGGTCGATCCAGCTAGACTGAAAGAACAACACCAACCAACAAAGACAATGTGTCCGGACTACCCGTAGGGGTCAGATCAGAGATGTGTAGGAGTGTGTATTGTCTTCTAGTATCGAACGCCAATCTTGTACGTACAATAACACAACATAACATAACGTAAGGAATGAACAGTACCGAAATATCATACCCGTACGGTACGCGTAGTAGGGGACAGGGTACCCCACTAAACTACGTAGTTCACGGCGGACAGATATTTAAAGGGCTAATTTTCCCCGGAGGGAGGCGCGGGGGCAGAGTAAAAAAATGTGGGATTGATTTCAATTACTTTATTGAGAACTATGGAAAAGGTATCACCACCTGGCATTTGATTGAGTCAAAAAAGCGGACGGAATGGTATACCAAAATATCTAGGTCACGATTCTATTAAGGCTTAGCCCGCTACGGAGGTCGGTCCGGAAAGTTCTCGCCAGAAATTATAATTTCTTTTTCTCACACTAGGCTATATACAGTAAATATTGAAATATATCGCGTAATCAAGATGTATATAAAACGGAAATATATAGTACTGAAATATAATAACAGCTTGAAACAGTAAATATTCACATATCTTCCCATATATCGCTGTCGCTGTCGCTGTCGCTGTCGCTGTCGCTGTCGTTGCCGCTGCCGCTGTTATAGGCGTTATCACCTAACCCGCTAGGGGCTACTTCACCTAATTTATCACGCCCCTCACCGTATTCGTTGCCCCCTTCTAGTCTAATGACTTGCTGTATATGCCATGGTATACGTTCAATCCAAGCTTGAATTTGCGCCTGTGGTAGATCACGCCACGCAGCCTCCCATACTTTAATCCCTTCTTTACGCGATTTAGGTGCTCCTTTTCGCGTAGTGTATCTCTTCATCCAAGGCCATGCAGGTTCAATCATATTTAGATCAGGCGAATTTCCAGGCCAGATCATTCGTTGGACCCCCATTATATCAAATATTCGCTGTTGGTAGTGATGTGAATGGGCTGGTGCTTTATCCTCTTGAACTATTGTTTTCGTTCGAATTCGAGCACATTCTTGGGCGAATGGAAGTAGTTTTGGGGCTAAAATCACGGTGTTGTATCGGTACCAATCGATTCCACCTTTCGAATTGCGTGCAAGCTTTCCATTCTTCTGAGTCCATCTCCACTGAGGTTGTCTTCCAGGCTTATTGCGTAGCCCTAATCGCTGTATACCTGAATTAAGCTCCCATTCTGCACGCATAATAGGCTCTAATTCAGTATTCCATTCGGCGATTTGGTGTTCTGCTTCACGCTTTTGGGCTGTAGTTTCAGGTACCCAACAATGACAGGGGCCCTTCTGATCATAAGAAAAAGCACCCCAAAACATGAACTCAGAGGCCCCCTTCCAACGTTCTCGAATACAGCTTCGGACGAACCGCTCACTAGAAGTACGCCATACACGATATCCACCCCGACGGTGTAATAAAACAACCGCAGTTTCATCAGTCCAAATCACATTCTTCCAGTCTTCTATAGTCCAATGGGCGTGTTTTAAACACCATTCAAGACGTTGTTTTTTCTGCTCAGCGGCAAGCCCAGGCTTACGTGTAGGCTTTGTTTTTCGTAGGCCAATTTTTCGTAGTACATGCCAAACTGTTGTTTTTGATATATTAATCCCTAATTATAGAAGAAATATTAGAGGAAATAACATATCAAGTAACATATGAGATAACATATCAAATAACACACCAAGTAACACATCAAATATTATACTAAATAACATATTAAATAACACACTAAATAAAATATCAAATCTTAGAATAACTAACCTGATTCACTGCGTAGCTCTGCAGCTAGCTGTTCACATGTTTTCTCACGCCCATAGCGGTCTACACGGATTTTCGCCCCAAGTGTGGTTTTAAGCTCATCTGTTTGCTTAGATGGACGCCCAGAACGTGCTTTATCAGCTAACATTTCATCTGATATATTGAATGGTCGCTGATTCGGCTGAAAACCTCGTTCGAGTGCACGGTTCCATATGTCTCCTATAGTACGCCGTGGAATATTCATAAATTCACTGATCTCCTTAGGGGCATGTCCTTGGGCCCTTAGGTATACAATGACAGCACGTTGCGCAATATTGGTCTTCATTGTAGCTGTATAGGTGGGACAAAAGTGTAGCTGTGTAGGTGGGATAAAAGTGTGAAGGGGTGTACGGACTGTAGGCGGGGTAAAAGATAAAGATCTACGTGTCCACGGGTGTTATAAGCAATATTTAGCCTAGTACGTAACACGGCAATACATCCAATATACAGCAGGCTATACACCTGACATACAGGGCCGGTAATATATCAAGAAAAAGAAATTATAATTTCTGGCGAGAACTTTCCGGACCGACCTCCGTAGTCAACAAGTATATAAGGCGGTCGTTTCGCCGTAGAAATAGGGGTTCTTTTCCCCTTGCAGTCGCTTTCTATATACTTCATTACGGGGCTGAAAGATATATACCTCTCCATCACTCTCGCCACATGCGCGTCGTATTTGTAATTCAGGCCACCAAGGTTACAGTAACGTAATCGGTAAGCGAATGGCCCATGCAAGCGAGCGGCCCAGTCCAAACACATAGTAAAAGTGGTAAATTACAACTTCATTTCTCAACCAGAATAAATTAGAATGGATTTATATGATAGGACGGTATTGAATATATGTCTCTGAATGGATTGGAACAGTTTTAGGAAGAACCAAGGCGTGATAGTTCAGATATATATCTTGTGATGAAGTTCATGAAAAATACGTGGTATTTTTGGTAAACGCAACGAATACTCATTTAAAGGGTTCCTCAGTTCGAGATCTGACTAGAAATATAGTAAGTAGCTTACTTTTTAAGCTGTGACTAAATTTAATTTGTTGTGGCTGAGAAATGAAGTTGTAATTTACCACTTTTACTATGTGTTTTGGACTGGGCCGCTCGCTTGCATGGGCCACTCGCTTACCGATTACGTTATGTGCAGATGCTTAGACGCAGATAGGGCATCGTGGTCTAGTAATATTACACTCTTTTTCAGCTTGGAGGGTCAGTAGGGTCATAAAAAATCACTGGTGCATCCCCGAAAAAAGTCGGCTAAACCTTGAAGACTGTACCGATACATAGTGGCTGCGGGCTCAGGGGTCGCAAAATTAAGAACTTTCCAATGTTGGCATGTGGCTATAGTGGATAGATCGTGCCGATACTGTATAGCTCATATTCGGTATGCAGTGTTGTCCACGGGTAGAAATGCATTTAGCCAATCCTAGCTATGTATAAATCTTAAAAAATATTTAGATTTTGTAATAAAAATTTTATTGTATGAATTTTAGAGAATTATTTTATCTAAATGTTAATTCATTTTTAAGATATCTAATAAGGAAGGGGTTATTTACTAATAAATAAAGATGTTATATCTCTTTCTGGGATCACTTTACATTCACCTGAATCACCTCTTAGAAAAGACTGCTGGGCAAATCGCTTTTGTTTACACTTCAGGAAATACCTCAGGATATGAGAGAAGATGATATAGAGTTGGGGGATGAGATTCCAGTGGTCAGGATTTGGGATTTTGATACTGGCACACTTCTTCACACTCTCTATGGTCTGATTGAAAAACCCATTGAGTTGAAGTTTTCTCCCGATGGGCAGTTCCTGGCCTTAAAATGCCGTTCAAAAAACATGATCGAGGTTTTGATTTCTTTTGGTCGCCGGATGGAGCAATGATGGGTGTTTTATCCAGGAAAACATATCCAGACGACATCAAGAAGACTTGTCAGTTTGATATCTGGGATGTGAACTCCGGGGAATCAGTGACCCTTTTTGCGCAAACATTCGAGTTGGGTCCAGAAGAAGATCCAGACATGCATCTGCCTATGTATTCAGCCTTCTCTAGAGAAGAAAAGCTAGCTATTGCTAATGTTTCCGAGTCTTACATCCAACTCTGGAACATAAAAACAGGTCAAATGATTGGGCAACGTCACTTCAAGGCACTGGAGCTCCTGTACTCTATGAGTGAGGATATGCCGATTTCTTTTCCGAGGATAGCCAAATGCTTACAACTAGGCATGGTCGACTAGACGTTCGATCATTCGATCCTAATTGGGATGAAGTGGGAAGCCGAGATTTCTTTGTAGATGATGGTTGGGTCTTTCAAGGACCCCCAAAAATAATATTGCTTCCTCATGACTATCGGTCAACGTGTACCGTGACCGTGGATGATACCCTGGTTATTGGACATGCGTCAGGCCATGTCACATTTCTCACACTGACTCCACAGCATTTCACTGGCAGTACATAATCAAACTTGCGTAGTTAATAGAGACCAATGGCAGGATCGAAAGACCAAAAATAAAGATTAACCACTTTCAAGCCGTGCTAGTGTAGGATATATGGAAAACACAGAGTGTAAAATGGGCTAAGTTGCTAGTGAATAATAGCAAACACTTACCTATCTCGCCGCTTTAATCCACCCTCTGCTGGGAATTTGGGGTTAATCTCTACCTATATGAATACTTATTGGGACTGTAATCAAATCCATTCGAAAAAGTATTTTCAAGTTTGACATATGAGCAGACAGGCGGGATTAAATCAAAGCCAATCCATTAAAAGAAGAAGCAAAAAGTCTGGACAATGGCAGGAAAAGCAGGAAAACGCCTATGATACTGCCATAAGGGAAGTCCCATCAAGAAAGTAGACGAGATTCATAGAGTGTTGCGGCCTAACCAAATCCTTCGAGCACGAGCCTGAAATTAAGTCGTATTAGCAGGTGTTTATCGGACTTCTACAAGCTCATCGCTCCCTTACATTAGTTGGGGGATAAATAAGGATTCTGGGTCGTGCCGACAACATCTGCAAATTGCGGCTCTCTGGAACTGGGACGCAGTTTAATAGAGGTAGGAACGGACTTTGCCAAATGGCTTATAGAGACAAGGCACTCAGCTCCAAAGCGGAGCCGAGGTTGTGATCGTCACTTATACCAGCAATGGATGGTGACCTTTTGCCGCGCGCTGGAGGTGCCGGGATATCATCGTCATTCGAAGATGACACTGCAATTTCCTTACCCAAGGCACGTACCGCGATTGGCAAAATAGCGTTCATTACCTTCGGGGCGGCCTCGGACACGGCATCACCAATGACCTGGGCCATAGATTTGATGCTGTCAAAAAACCCTTGAGCGCCGAACTGGGATTCCTTCTGGGAATTAGAAACGCGGGCAACGTCATTCGTTTCAAGTTTGATGACAGCACAAAGGGCTGCCTCTGCCATAACGGCTCTCTGGGTGAGCAGGACAGCAGTATTTAGGTCAGAATTATTCTCGGTTTGGGCTAGGGACACACTTTGCTCTCTCCAAGTTGGCCATCCCTTTTTCACAACCTCATAAGAGGCCTTGCGAGTCAATGGTTCCATAGTTTTCACCGACTTGTGAATGAAAGAGAGCAGTTCATCAGAGAAGCTTGTCTCGCTATTGCTAATTGCGGTCGGTCCCAACACACCCTCCACAACTGGGGCTTGAATCGCATCATCACTGAGGACAGAACTTTCGTCATTTTTTAGGTCGGAATTGTGTGCGATTTGGGCTTGGGATATACGTCCCTCTCCGGATGGTGCCCATGCTTCGTTCAGAATCTCCAACTGTATATGAGGAGTAGGGCCCGCCATGAATGGTCCCCCTACCTCCAAGCCCTTGCGAAAGACAGTGACCAGTTTGTCAAAGAAGCCTCCCTCGCTATTGCTAATTGTAGCGGGTCCCAGCACACCCTCCACAGATGGAGCTTGAATTGCATTAATGCCGGGCACAGACTCTGCGTCGTTTGAAATGCCTCCACGCTCACCGATTTTCAAGTTGTCGCTCTTCCTCACAGAGTCCTGGGTGGCGGCGATAGTCAGTGCAGAATCCTTCAGAAGATGTGTCATTTTGGCGGCAATGTTGGTGACATGCGGGGCCAGCTCAGAGTAAGTAATTCGCATGTTGTGCATGAGTTTCTCCATCAGCTCGGTGTCTTCGATTCTGAGGACGGACTGCAGTATTGACTCGGCGAGGACAGCACGCTCTGTTGCCCCATGAGTTGCTTGGGTAGTGCTCACGAAATCAGACTCAGTGCCAGCGGCTTGGATAATGGCTGCGAGGGCAGAACCGGCTACAGCTGACAGCGGCCCATCAAGCGGCCCATCAAGCGGCTCAAGCAGGGGAGACATGGAGGTAATTGATTTATTAACCTCTCCTACCCAAGCATTAACACCAATAACAGACTGGAGAGCATTGAGGAAGTCCCCCTTACTCATAAGGTCTGGGGACAGGGTGTTATGAGAGGGGAGATTGGGAACTTTGGTGGTAGTAGCCAGATTGCTGGGCTTAACAAAGTTGATACAATCAATAGATTTGATTATTGGATAGCATGTGGTTAAGGCCGAGATATAGGCATCATAGTCAATCCCATATTGACCTCTGATAGTACTGGCAGAATTCTTATCACCTAAAATGGAACAGTGGGTACCAATAGATACTTGAGTCCTCTTACAGAGGATAGGAGATCCAGACTGGCCTATATTTACCCATAAAGGTTTGTTAGTTATATATCCTTACTAAAGGGGTTATAGCATCACAACATTAAATCATAGAACTTACCACTGTATGCAGACACACGGTGCTGTAGTATATGGGAGGGATGATCTTCTAGGTCGAACCTGATATCATGGAATAACTCATACATCTGAGCGCCAATCTCATCAACCCACTCTTCATCCGTAAGGTGCTCATCACCCGGATATCCAACAATACCGATTAACTCAGTTCTTTTCATCGGAGTTTCAGCATATGAAAAATTGCACAGGTTGCCTGTGAATGGCACATCAAGCTTCACAAAGGCAACATCGCGATTAATATTGTCTCGACTGTCGATCCACTCGCCAGTGGTCACAATCTTCTTCGCATATCGACTCTGCACAGACGGACCTTTCAGAGAGTCGCGACCATTGTACCCAATGTGGCAGTGCATGGTGCTAACCCGGCCATATCCCTGACCATCGTTTCCGTCGTGGTCGTAGACACACTGTCCAGAAGTCACAAGAATATCCGGGCGAATTAGCCAGCCGGTACCCATGGTTGCCATTTTGGGAGGCATACCCTCGAAAGTCATTTGTAATTTGACGATGGCTAATGGGAGAACATTAGCCGTCATGTTGATTGATATTCATGGCGTGATATAATACTCACAGCGATACTTCCCGCCGTCCTTGTAATCAACCGGATCCACTATGCAACGGTCGTCTGGCATAAAGACACCATCGGCTAGGGATTCGGAGCTTCGTCCATTCTGGAGTAAGGCAATCCACTCAGTTGGGGGAGGGTTTCCGGTTTGTAAGGTCCAGGTGGCGGCTAGGCCAGTATGTTGAGAAGGGTCTGCCATTTAATGTCAGTGACTCTTGAGCTTGGATGAAGTTATTTAATAGAATATCGAGTGGCTTGAGTTCAAATGTTTTTTTGAAAGCTGATTTTCATATATATATATATATAGAACCAGATATGAAGAAAGAGGGGGTTAAGATTAATTATCTCAGGCTGTTTTATCCTAAGAATCCCTGTCTTCGTCAGGTTTTACCTTGATTCTTTTGCTCGGCTAGACTAGCCACCTGGCAGTACATGTTTGTCTTTTTAAGTTCTCAGTCAAGTTCATTGACAAGATATTAATACGCCCAGCTCCTGTCATTCAGCCACATTGCGTCAGCTCGGTGACATCGTATGGATATATTAGATTACAGGCAAAAATAACCTGCTAATCCAAAGAATTCTCCGGCTCGGGCCGAATTGGTGAAATGCAGGAACTTGAAGTCTGGGTATGAAATATAACTTGAAAGCTGGAGGGGCAAGTGGCAAGTGGAGGTCATAAGACACTTCCAAAGTTGTCGGCTATAGTGACTTACATGAGCCGGCTCGAGACGCAACTAGTGACGGGCAGTGTCTCTTCAGCTGAAGATGGGGCAAGCTGATGTCAAATCACAAATTGAATAATGTTAGTCGCAACATACATGTATTCTATCGGCAAAAAAAGACCGAAAGATGAATTACCTCAAGAGGTCACTCACTATGCCGATGAAGCATCCGCAGCAGCAACTATCAAGGATAAAAGAACATCGTTGAGTGATTTTTTATATTTCCTGTCATCTTGCAAGCTCCTGTCTTGTTTATTTTCTATTGCATCTCCATTTTAATATTGCTGCAAGCTAAGGAGAAACTTCATACTGGGCTCACGCGAGTCGCGACCGCTGGAAAGTGACCCACTTTTCTCAGCTGAGTCCGTGAGACACTTTCTGAATTGTGCCTTAGCACAACCACGCTCCTTTGGACCACCACTCTCCCAAGCCTTTCTGTCCTAGAAGTCCACAGGCAATGGCCTACTTTTGCTCTCTCTGGGGCTGTCGTTCTTTCACATATAGAACTTGAGCCTTGTGGGGTTAGTCTTCAATTTGGTAGTCGCTCCTTAGCACTGATAAGATCCTTCAACATTGAAACATCTTTACAATATGCATTTTCTACAGTAACATATGCACAAACTTGAACCCTAGAATTTCTAACGCTATATTTTTTAATCCATCCAGGCTGTAAAATGCCCTGAATACATAGTGAAGAGGGGAACCGTTAGGCAGTGTATTCTAGATACACGGGTCGATCCAGCTAGCATGAATGGATAACACCAACCAACATGTACGTTGTGGCCGGACTACCCCGTAGGGGTGGGATGAGAGATGTGTAGGAGTGTGTATTCTAGACTATAACGACGGGCATTCTTGTACTTACAATGACGGGACTGAAAACATGACAAAACAGAGATGTAACCAAACGGTAATTCTTAGCACGGTACGTGTAGTAGGGGACAGGGTACCCCACTACAATAGGTAGAATAGAGACTTCCAAGGTTGATGGAATTCATACACACCAGAGGCACTGGCAGGATCCACGAGCGCATTTTCCCGCTTCCGCCAAAGTCTGAACAAAGAACACATATTTACGCGCCCGGCGAGATGGAGGTCGAGTTTCTTTCTCGGCCAGTAGTGAAATAGGAACTTCAAGTTATGACTCGACTAGACGCTCAAGTTCGTTGACCCCTTTCAATGTTCTTCCTCACAGTCCAGATAACTCGACGTTTCAGCCGATTTGCACTAGAAATGTTTTCATTTATTTCTTCGAGCTAGTTCTTAGTGTAGCGAGAAATCGACCCACTACTACCTAGTATATGTATGTATTATTCAAATATATTCTTTCGCATGCCGAGCTACTCTCCAGTCGATCGAAATCCTTCGCCGCATTTGTAACCTTTTTCTATTTTCATCTGGACTTTTCTATTTAGTTTCTGTTTTTGACTTATTTGCCTTTGAGAAAGGAATAATTGATCCAAATAAGGTCAGATATCCTCACTGGCAGGTATCTACTAGTAAAAGCTTCAAAGAAAACATTGGAATTTTATTGCAAAAAGAGTCGTAAATAGTAGCGTTCCTTCCCAACATTCAGATAGTTGCCTTCAAATACTGCTCTCCTTCCATTATCATCTCGATATCATCTATCCTTAGTGCTATTGTCACCCCGAGCTTCAGTGCTCACCAAGCCTGGAGAGGACTTAGATGAAGTCTGAGATGAAGGACATGTAGTTCCAAACCCCAATGCCCCCTGAGATATATTATCAAAAGAAGGTTTGGGTTTAGCAGGTAGTGGAGCACTGCTGAAGCCATTATTGCCTTGAGAAACCGGTAATGGATTATCGTCAAGAGAGGATTCAGGGGCTCCAAACCCTGCTTTTGAAGACACGTTGTCGAAGGCATGCGGTCGTGGAGGAGAAACCTTGGCTGGAGCTAGCAAAACCACGTTGGCAAAGGCACCCGGTGGTGGAGAGGGCCCAGGGTCTCTAAGCCCTGGTGGTATACAGGGATCGCCGAAGCTACTCTGGGGGGAAAGAAACCGGGGCTCCAAACCCTGCTGGAGTAGACAGTGGAAGACCGAAGCCATTATTGAAACCTGAAACTGGGGGGACAGCGGTATTCATGGAAACTGGTAAGAATATTGACTTTGAGCAGTGAGGGCACCTGAAGACCCGGGCTGTGTAACCTCTTCCATTTTGCAAATGTTTTGTCACTATCTGCTATCTGATGCTAGGTAGAGATCACTTTAAAGCATTGAAGATTGGAATGAGGGTCCACCTTATCCAGAGGATCGCAGCTTTTCCATTGGGGGCCATGGTTTATCCCTCTAATGGCCACGGTTTTCCCTAAGAGATCCTCCTCCTTGGCGGCGCAGACAGTGCTGATTCAAGCGGCAACTCCAGATCGCGAAGTAGGCTAATGTTGTGACTCAATAGGTAGGATAGGATTTGGTTTGGAGCAACATGTTTGGCGGTATCACGCGTGACCAAAGGTAAAGAGATGGTAAAAGTCGATCAGGATGTCTGACAAGTCCTGGTAGGAGTTAGCCTCAGCCCATGGACTATGAATAGTTTTCCTTTTCTACTGGCGGAACCTCGAATGGTAGGTGATTTAGCTAAAATATAAAAACTTGACGAAGAAAAAGAAAGTGACCAGACCCGGGCTCGATCCGAGGACCTTATCGGTTTACAGTCCAATTGGAGTGTTAACGATACGTGATAACCAACTACACCATCCGGCCAATTCATATCTGCTTCGTTAACAATATAGATTACATCAAAATAAAGACTGTGCAAGAAATCCTGAACACTTCCACCCAAACAACTCGTGATCAACCGATAACAATATACCCTGCGGCCTCCAAAGGTGATAATAAATCCATTAATACACACCCGCATATTTCAACAATATCTCCATGGAATAAAGTAACCATGGACTTGGAGATGCACTTGCATGACATTAAATACTGAGATAAGGAAGAGTGTCGCGTGGTTGCATAAGATACTCCATCTCCTTCATTGCATCACCAATACAAGCGATGATTGTGCCTGGTTTTGCTTGTAGCTCTCTTCCCATGAAATATCGACAGGAATGAATGGCCCCTCTCAAACCTGGCTCTTCGAACGATTTATACCATACCAACAGATTGCGATGAAAAACTTTCAAGTATCTTTGATCTTGAAGATAGGAGGCATTGCGTGACTGTAAGTCCTGAAATGATCCAGAAGCCAATTTTTCAAGACAGGAGCGCGGGTCTGGAAGGAGATTCCCTGGCTTGTTTTTACCAATTTCCCAGGACGCGGAGCGGGAGCATGAAACTAATTTTGGAACCAGGTGTCGAGGTATCCCACGATACTTCCAGAAAAGGGATTCTGAAATAACCCCAGGGCCCAAGTAGACCCATCTTGTCATGATGAGAGCTGCTTTTGAACCAAGCATACAGACATCAATTTGAGAATCTGTTTTGTACTTATCACAAGTATGAGAAGTTGACACCTTGCTTCCCTTGCCATTAATGAAGGACTTCACAACCGGAATTATCAATTCTTTGAACCCAATGTGTTGGCATAGCTCGAGCGCATTTGGAGGGAAAAGAGGACTTTCAGTTGGAGTTCCATACGGTGGATAAATCAAACCATGTGGTTTTTCCGCAAGCACTATGTCTTGCATCCTGATATAAACACCTCGACCAGGAACTCCAGGATATATCTGTGCTTCTATTGAAAAAAAAGCGATGTAATTTCCGGGTTGACCGTCTCCTCGGGGGGATAGTGGTGGACTTGTGTATAGCGTAAAGAATCAATATTGATCCCTGCCTTTGGACCATAGTCAAATCGTCTCATAGCGAGCTTGACTTGAAGAAAAGAGATCTTTCTGGCCGAAAAGACATCTTGACCATGGGCTCTCACGACACCATGACCTTGATTCCAGCAATTTCTCTGGACACATGGGTATCGACTAGGTTCTTCGGGCACATTACATTCATTCCAAAGGCCTCGGATCCATCATACTTGTGAAGAAGCCGACAAAAGTCGCAGAAGAAATACTCTGGGAGGTCTCGTTCCGATCGTGTTGCAATTATGCCCGGAGTTTCCAGATTATATGAGCGAGAATCTCGATGCATTCCACGTTTTCGAGATAGGTAGGCAAGTCGATGATTGCACAGTGAAATACAGATCTGATCTTCCAACGAGACCATGTCGTATATTGCGAAAAATAACTCTTCGGGCAGTCCACATAATGTATTCACGCCAACTTTGGTCTTGGGTGTACATGCGGAGAGTAAGAGATGCCCAGTCCGAGAGGCATGATAATGTGTGTTTCTGGCGAGAGCTCTCAGAGGTCCCGCGCTGGGTTGTGGAACCTCGGTATAATACCAGTACATAATGCTTTTGGTGATTCGAGTTCGAGTGTCTTCGAAATTTTTGAAGGAAATTCAAGTTTGAAAAAGGGTAAGTGCTGGAGGGGTATAAAAGAAGAAAGAAAAGGAAAAAAAAAAAGTTGTTTGGAGAATTCAAGTTGCCTATATATAATTCAAATTTGGTCCTGGAGCCGACAACGTTTCAGGAAGATTCACCCATGGCACATGGACAGAAAAGTCGTTTATGTCTTAGTTCCGCCAGGAAAATTATTTTTTCTGCTACGGAGAATATGAACTAGACTAGATCAAGATAGACCTTGGTCACTATTCAAAATGTTCTTTAAGATTTCCAAGTTCTCTTTTCAGCTTTTAGAAGCAAACATGTGAAAGTCATAAGGAGTGGAAATAGAAAAGACCCCACTATTCCACAAATCCCTCGTCTCCCCTCATATAGCCAAAAATTGATTTTTTCTCAACGGTTCCATAACTCAGTTGGTTAGAGTGTCATGCTAATAACGTGAAAGTCGAGGGTTCGACCCCCTCTGGGACCATCTCTTTTTGCCTTGATCTTTTCTTTTCTTTTCTTTTCTTTTTTCTTTTGATTGATCTATATTTTTGAATAAATATTTTGTGTGTCAAAGTCAAGAGAATCCAAATTATAAAATGTCAATCAATGAAGCATTGGGCACTTTGATCACCTCGCGTCTCAAACTTGCCCAGTGAACCAATCTTGGAACATTTCAAGTCGAATACGAGTATGGTGACTCAGGGTGGCTGAGCAACTGGGCAACTTATGAGTCAACAGACATTTCGTTATAGTAAAGCCTTCATTAATATAAAGGTAATCAATGAAATTGACTCGTCCTGTTTTTCTTCCCAAAGAATATGCAAACCCTCCAATTGTATGTATGCGAAACCATTGAACAGAACGCCAATTGCATCCACCCTGATTCCTGCCCCAAAGTAATTAAACGATCGCAATCTTCAAGTTGGAACATAATGCCAGATCAAGTTCCTGATCCCCACAGCTACCGAGCTATTCGCGCAGTCTATACTCCGAAAACTATAACGGTCTACCAAGCCTATTCATCCGAAATTGCCAACCCAGCACTCGAGGCACAGAAATTCAAGCTACCCTTCACCCGGGTCCGGATGACATGGATCAAACCATCTTTCTTATGGATGGCATACCGCAGCGGATGGGCAACAAAACAGCGCCAAGAGCGTGTGTTAGCTATTGAGATTACCCGTGAAGGATTTGAATGGGCTCTCAAAAATTCATGTCTAAGCCATTGGGGCGCTAGCGGGCACAATAGCACGTTGACCAAGGAACAATGGCAGAAGCAACTACATGCCAGCCCAGTTCGCATACAATGGGACCCGGAGCGGAACTTTGAATTCCGGCCCTTGAATTATCGGTCTATTCAGATTGGACTTGGTCCCGAAGCTGTAGAGAGATATGTTGATGAATGGATTGTTTCCATTGTGGATGTTACCGATATGATGCACGAGATTAGGGATCGTGTCGAAATGGGTTCTCTCAAGGCCGCAAGAAAGCTTTTACCGGATGAGCAAGTTTATCCATTGTCGGATGAATTAAGGGAAACATTGCATGCCTCTTGATAGCCTGCCATCGCTGAGAATCGGGAGCATTTGAAGAGTCATTATTTAACCGACGGATACTTCCTTCATGAATTGTAATGAGTAACAAAATCACACGACATGTTATTCCGATGAGGTCCTCGGATTGATTGAGCTCGGGCCTGGTCACTTCTTTTTTGCTTTTCTTCTTTTTTGTCTGTTTTATTCAATTTACGACATGTCAGCCTTCGATGTGGTTGAATTTTTTTTAGCGTGGCATCTGATTTCTTAACCTCTACCATTAGAATTCGATACATGTGCTACTTCCTCCGGATTTCAAGATGGTATATACGATGTAAATGTGCAGTTATTGATGATATTTCATCCGATTCAAACATAGAAAAGACAAGAATCAAGCTCGCATGACGCTAGGCCGCAATTGTACTAGCTTCAAATGTTTGATATTGCATAGCTCTATCTAAATCTTCAAACTTGGTATCTATACTAGTAGATGAATCCGCTGGTATGGGGATAATTTAGCCTTTATTTTCCAAGTGCCTATTTGTCACATAGAAAAGTCCAAATTTACGTGCATACTCGTTAAATAGCATGGAGTTGTGCCGGTGCTTGATATCTCGGGAATGTTCACTTCAGATTGATGCCTTGGCACCCAGGCATCATTTACTAGTATGTCTTGATTTTCATCACTGGGAGCCTGAGTTAAATAGTAAATCTTGCATTAAGCTGGAAACTTGAAAGTTATCTACCTTTCTAGTGGAACAGAAAATGTTGATTGATGGCGGTTAATAGAGCATCGTTGAAGAATGCCTCCAAACTGCAGTGTTCATACAATGCCAAGAAGTCAATCCGAGAACCGAGCCACCAAATCCGAAAATTTCCACTATACTCTCTCAGTACCGTAGCATCCTACTGGGACAGAGTTCCTAATAACAGACAAAGAGTGAAAATGAGATCAAGTGTCTCCTGTGCATCATGCCGGTACGGCTCCTCTCATCATACCCTACTTACTGGATATCCAATTGACCCAGCTGCAGAAAAGCGAAGATTAAATGTGTGCATTCAGGAACTGCACCATGTGAAAAGTGTCGGAAGTCTGGTATTACAGGCTGTACTCTCACGAGGCCCAATCAGCGATCAAGCCGAAGAGAGATATTAAAAGCATCAAATATCTCTCACTCGCCTACGGCAAATGACGATGCAAGAAGACCAGTACACCCGTCCAATCCTACTGTCACTTCAAGTTACGTGGGCAGACGGACGGACCAAAATGCCTCGATTGCCATGATAGACCAGCATCTGGACAATTTGAGCGCCGGTACTATCCTCAAGGGACTAAATGTCTTCACTAATAAATTTCCTGAACTGGGAATATTACACATTCCCGCCTTTCAAAAAGACCTACAGTCTAATTCCCAGTCCACAAGAACGCTCCTGGCGGCTATGCTGGCGGTTGTGAAAGTGCAGCCAGTATTGGTGAATCAAGACTGGGCGGTCCATTTACTCTCCAGTGAGGCTTATTTGGATTACACCAAAGCCAAACTAGCCGATGAAATACTACGACCGCCTCGCATCCACACCGTGCAATCCCTGCTAATTATGACACTACACGAATGGGGCTCTTGTGGCTTTCATCAGGCATGGATCTATTGTGGTACGTTGTGAAATGACCCTATTGATCACAATGATAGATGCAAAAGTCAAATTTCATATGGTATTCAGACCAAAGACTGACATAAAGAAACAGGAATAGCAACTCGAGTGATGCAAGCGATTCACAGCCAACGAGTAGCACCCTACCCACTAGAACCAACAGCTGACGGGTCAAAAGACGCAGTATCCTTGGCTATTGAAAATCGAGCATTCTGGGCATGTTTCATCATGGATCGAATGATCAGCTCTGGCACATACAACCCACCCATGCTACCAATGTCCGAGATGGTCAAGCTGAAGGTTATGCGTCCATTGAGCACGGTAGAATTTGCCTTTGGCCCTGATGCTAACCTAATCACCATGGGCTTTGAGCGAAGCACACCGCTCCTTGATCAACAACCCGAGGAGCCTTTAATCATCGCCCACGGGTTTGAGATCCTAGTATCCGGATTCGATATCTGGGCACAAGTCATGACGTTCATTTTTAATGATGGTCGACGGGCTCCAGGGATGTGCGCACCAGAGAATTGTCCGTGGGTGAGCGGGTCACCCTGGTATCGCACACAAAGTCAACTTAGGGCGTGGCGAGCAGGACAGCATCATCGACTTCATTATCCCAGCAACTCAGTGGCTATTCACATGAGCCTTGGTTATGGAGAATCTTTCACATACATTAACCTGCTATACTATGTCTGCACTCTTATGCTACATCGGGAATACTTCCCGTTCTTACCGACCACGGTATCAGCGCCGAGAGGACCAGTCGATCACCCAACCCTGGAGGCGGAGGCACCCTTGGGATGGTGGGAAGAGAGTGCGCGCGAGCTATTCGAAGCGGCAGAGCGCATTGCCGATCTCCTTCACGAGGCGGGAGAATGTGGAATTGCTCTTGCGACGCCCTTTGTCGGATTCTGCGCATTTTCCGCCGCTTACATGAACCTCTACATTTTTCGGTTTCCACAGATGAATATTGGTCGTAGCATTCGTGCAGATGAATTGATGAAGATGTGTCTAGACTATCTAGAAGAATTCCGTGGGGTTTGGAAGCTTGGTGATGCCTGGGTATGTTCCACCCTAGCTATGGGCAATCTTTCTCAGATTATGTTGTCCACCCCGTGTTCCTGGTTTTAACTCATGTCCCGCAGATTAAAACCCTTAAATATGCTTCTCTCTTATACGAAAGAGCTGCTGACGACCGCGGTCGGTACTTTGGCAAAACTCGAGACGATTTCGATATTCTTCACCAATCCATTCACGAATTCCGCGTTCTCGATCGATCAGACCAGCATATCCAGGAGATTGAAGGGGCCGAGGGGCGAGATGATGGCAGACCAGTGGAGCCATTAAACTTCGAGGGCGACTCGATGCATTTGGATATGCCATTAACAGATATCCTGACCGATTTGACCAACAGCGCTTGTGAACAAGGCGCATGGTCGCAGTGGTGGCCTGCAGAGTTCGGTCTCATTTTGGACCAAGGAGGTGGAGGTGGAGGTGGAGGTGGAGATGTTGACGCTGCAACGAGGCAAAATAATACTTCTGGGGTCTCAGACGCGGGTCATCAACTTCCCACAGTACATCCAGCGGACGCATACAATGATTAACATGCCCACGATGGACATTGCGCCCGTATAATAAGCGGCTGGTCGGTATGCAGAAATTCCGGAGTTTTTGTCGGCCATGGCATAGAGTCCGGCTGCGATGGGTGATCCCTGGAATAACTTGTTAGAATTGCGCAGTCAAGATAGAGAAAAAAAGTCCATGTCTTACAAAGAAATAACCAAAGAACCATCCGAGCCAGAGAAGTGGAAGGATACCAAGGGCATTCCGAGCACCAAACATTGACCCAACTGTTGTGGGAATGAGACTAAAGAATGCACCACAGCCCATACCATTGATCACAATGAAGACGGACAATACCGCGATGGAGCTTGAAAAGGGCCAAATCACTAGAGAGCTGACACCGGCCAAAAACAAAGATAGAACGAGACTGTTCAGCGGTCCCAAGACCGAGTCAGCTAGGAATCCAGCTCCTACCCGCCCGATGGTCGAGGCGACATTCCAAAATGCCAGGATAATGATAGCAACTTTTTGTGAAGCAACCGCGCGCGCGAAAATGGGAATGAAATATGATGGAACGAATAATGGGAAACAGCCCAGTCCACTACCGATGAACAGAACAAGGAATTTTCGTTCTTTGAACCGGTACCTGTAGAGATTCCTGGTGATTAGTCTCTGGTCTTTCTCAAATCATTGAACTTCGCATTTCAACTTGAAAACATACCACTGGAGCTCTGGGACGGTTATGTTGGCATTCTTTGGTTTCCGAATGAAGAGTCCTGCTGGTATACAGACAGCCCATAAGAGGAGACCGAATATCCGAAAGGTCCATGCAGCGCCGACCTCATCGACAAGTAGATTTGTAGCGACACTCATGATCGCTGCTCCAAGACTTCCTCCTCCAAAAACCACACCAGTTGCCAGACCACGGTGCTTGCGGAACCACCGAAGAGGCACAGTTGAACAGGGCTAGATACCACAGTTAGGAAACGGGTCATCTTATACCGGGGTATAGGCATGCATCGATGTCTAAAGGACACGCATTTATTTCACAAACAAGAATCACATACCAGGATAGTCAAGCCACCTCCAATGCCAAATACCACACCGTGACAAATAAACAAACCAGGTAGACTTTTGGTCGCCCAGCTAGCCATGAATTCTCCAAGTCCCATCAAGAGAGCACCAAGACACGCAGTTCGTCGATATCCAACTCGTCGAATGAACATGCCGACTAAGAATCCGATCGAAACCATAAATGAGGTAGCCAAGGAACCGACAAAGGTCATTGTTGTTAATGAGAAAGACATTGTATCAACAAGCTCTGTCTCCAGCACGCCCCATGAATAGATAATTCCGAGGTAGATGAAAAGAATACATGAGGAAGCTGCTACCACTGCCCATCCTTTCCAGCTATCGAATTCTTCTGAGTCGTCAAACTCCAATTTGGTTAATGAGCTGCTAGTGGAATCCGAATCATAATCCTGTGACCTCGTCACAGGTCTATCGCACTTTTCTTCCTGCATTTTGGGGTGTTGAATCCCTTGGAAGCATCAAATATTGAGGTTGAAATAGTTTAAAAGGAAAATATTCAATCTTCGCGACCATTGACGCAGATTTGAAGATTCCGGTGGAGATGAACTACGCATCTCGGTTTTCAAAATTGTTAGCTATAGAATCAAATCCGAAGAGTTTTAACCTTTTTCCCTACTAGAATTTCCATAAAAAGACCCACTGTGGCTTGAGTTTGATCTAGATCTTTTTTTTCATCGCCGTGTTAGGCTGAGATTGTTCGGGTTTGTCATAGCTTTGGTCTTCGGGTATGGATTTTCAAAGCCGAAACGAAACCCGAAGTGCGACGGAAGTGGATGATCCGAGTCAATGTATCAAGAAGTGGACTGTAATGGATAATTAGTAGTATCTAGTCCAGTCTAGATTATTGCCATTGTTAAAAGATAATGCTTAATTCGTTTTCATCTTGATCTATTTCAAATTTCATGTTAAGAAATGCGTAACATCGATATTCGTTTGTTCTAACCGCTCTGGCCCCATATCTCTGAAATCCGCTTGCTCACGGCTTTGGGAATCTTTTTCCTGCCCACCAAAGATTGTAGCCGGTTGGACACCATTGCTTCCCGATCTTTGGGCTCTAGAGCCATGTAAGCTTCCACCAGACCACGAGGTGTTTGCCAATGTCGTTGTAGCTCAAGCGCCTTTTCGCCTGTCACACCGCGGGTACACATGAGCATCTTCAGAAAGATGTCTCGGAGAGTAAGCACATCTGATTTCGAGGACAGGGCAGAGAAAGTGGAAAAGGTCACGCCATATGTGAGGGAATCATCCTGGGCACGAAGACTATCCAGGAGTGTCAAATAAGACTGAGTAGAGGAAATGCAGCGACTGGGAATAAGAGAGACTTTTGATGATGCCGCAGGCTGGCTGGAACTAGGTTCTTCATTAGGCGTGTCATAGGCTCCATACATCTTTCGGAGAAGCAGGGTCATGCGTGCCAGGTATCGGATCGAGTCGTCCAGATTTTTAGTTTTTTTGATGAAATAGCCATTGACAACTTGCGTGGATGCAATAGCCGATGCGACCATATCCTGGTATTTCTGCGCGCCGCCCGCAGCATCGGGGTGCGTCACTGAGAATTCTTCAATCAGGTAGATGACATGTTTGATGCCAGAGCGACGGAGACGAAACTTCTGTTCGTGGAATCGACCATCTTTGATTGACCCTATCAGATCATCCAGACGTTTTCTTTCAACAATCCAGTCTAGCATCACCTCGTCGCCTTCTTCGCCGTAGCGGGAGAGGTAAGCTGGATCACGGCATTTGGCTACCCACATCGCGTCGCCTAGTTCTAGAGCACGGACCTGTGGAGTGATGCCTTGTTTGATGAGCTCATTCGCAATGTAGTCTCTGTCTGTTGATGTACGGACTTCACGGGTATCTAACACAAGCTGGATGGTGAAGCTTCCAGGAGGGAGCGAGATTGGGTCGGTCGGGCCGTCAGTATTTGAGGCTGGGAATCGCGGAATAGTTGACTGAGATTCATATTCAAGTTGCACTTCGTCATCATCATCGATCGAAAGAGCGCCAGTAGCCGAAGCACCTTGTGAAGTTTGACCCTGGAAGTCACTTCCTGTGAAGGCCATCATGTTCTGGGCTGACTCAGGAAGTGTCTTCTGGATTCTTTTAGCGACTTCCCAGCCGTCTTCAGAGAGTGCATATTTTCGAAGTGGCCGACCATGCTCATAGACCAAATCTTTCCGAACGAGGGTTTTCATAGAGTTCCATGCTGTGTAGAATTTCGTTGGGTCAGTTGGCGCCGTGAAAGAACTGTCGCACCACGGCTGGGCCACTTCAATGAGGTGAGCCTTGGTCATGCCCTGTGCCGCATTTTCTCCTATCGTTGCTAGGCCTAGCAAAAGAGCATAAGCACCAGACCGTAGAGCTGGAACATAAGGCTTAGTTTTTCGGGGCTTTTTGGCAGGCTGATCAGCAACGCCAATATCAGATGTTCTTTTATTTCCTAAAATAAAACTTGTAAGATTTCACCTTTTTTCACTTTTTTTTTTTTGGGGGGGGGGGGGGGTTGTAGTTTGTTTATAGGGTGCTCTCACCTTGACCAGGAGGCTCCGGCATGGGAAGGCCGTGCTCCGCACAGTGTGCCTTGAGTTTCTCCGTTAAACGATCGCATAGTTTCGGCCCTAGTCCGCTCAGTTGTTGAGCCTGCGATGGGTGCTCAAATTCCAAGGGACATGCTTTCATCGACTCGTAGGCCTTCTTGTAGCTAGAATGACATCAGTACCGAGGGATCACGAAAAGGACGCGAAAAGGACGCGAGATACCCACACTGTCACACCCTTGCTGTTGCGCTCACGGGCTTGATCCAGCCATTCTTTGATCCATCCCAGCAACAAAGGATTAGCACACTGCTCGCTCATGGTGGTCTCTCTGCCATCAGGTTAAGTTGAGAATTTTTGAAGTGTTGGTTGAACGACGCGACATTTTGGATTCCATTTTTGGAGCGCGTATGTCATGTGACATCATTGTTTGACGACAGCGAACACACTATGTTGATATGTATGGTACAGTAGAGAAAGTAATGGTCTCATTTGAGTCAAACATATGAACATTATCTTTTCATTCGACCATCAGCCTGAAATCTTTCGATCTCGAGTTGACATTGAGGTCAGAGGTCATCAACTGGTCAGTATTCAGGATGACGTCACTAACCCGAGTACAGGTTGAAGTACAAGGAAGAACAAAAGAGAGACTTTGTAACCCATGTCTCATAAGTGAAATCAGGTCCATTCCTTCTATTTAACTCTCTCTTAACTCACTATCGATCTATGAATGGCTGCTTTACCCGGGTATTACAGCCTACCTACAAAACTTGTTACTATCTTCAATAATGACAGGACCATCGCCTCCATCAGACGCAGGCTTCAGCCGTGGTGTTAACACGAATGGAATTACAGAGAGGCCTCCGACTCTTGAGGGGCCAACTGATAGCCATGTATTGTCTCAAATTGAACAGGATGAGAAAGGCCTATCACAGCAAACAGACAATACTACCGAAGTGACAGATTTAGGATGGAATAAGCCCTCTGAGCATTTTGACGAGGCCTTGGTAGCTGGATTGTCAAATGAAGACTTATGGATGCTTCTGAGGAGATTTGATAAGGTCTGACATCGGCTTGGATTATATTTCCCTGAGACTCTATGCCTGACCATCAATAGCAAGTCTACAATGTCAAAGCAATACCAACCGCTCCTCTTCAGAATCTTGACCTCACTCGATCCGACGATGATGAGTTTTCGCCAGATAAGCTGAGGGCGACTCTTGAAAGGTTCTATACCACAGTTGTGATTGGCCTAACAGGGTTCATCAAGCATGTCGCTCGCCTACGGTCCTGGAAAGAACCTCGTCGAACGGCTATTTTCTGTAGTGCGTACACTATGGCCTGGCTGCTTGATTCTCTAATGCCAGCATTCTTCGCCACTTTACTCGCAATCATCTTGGTTCCTCCATGTCGGCTATTGCTGTTTCCTCCAGCCCCACTTGCTCTCGTGGACAAGAGTACGGGTGGCGTTCAGAAACCCAAAGCCGGCGTACTTGGATCCGATCATAGTATTACTGGTGCGCCGGAAAACTTCAAAGGTGAAGCTGCTGAAAAGGAGGCTAGTAACCTGGTAGCTGGAATTGCTACTGTTGCTGTCGGGAGTGCTGTCGGGAAGAACGACCAAGCTGTTCCTGAGGATGCACCTTTCGAAGCGAGTGTTCCAGATGCGATGGATATTGTTTCCAATTCTGCCGATGCGCAGAGCGCTGCGAGTGGGGGGATTCCAGTTGATACGCATGACAAAACTCGACAACCCATGAAACAATCCGTTTTGGAGGCTGCCAATATCTCGATGCAAGTAATTAACGATATTACTGATATGTATGAGAAATTTGGAAAGTCCGTTTCGCACCAATCTCCATGATTTCTGTCTGTATAAGGCTAACTAGGCTTTCAAGTGCTCTGTCTGGCACGCCACCCTTCCCACGACTTTTTCCTCAGCTGCGCCTCGCCTCGGTTATAGCGCCGCTGTGGCTCCTGTCGAGGTTTACATCGAGCTATGCTCTTGTAAAGTCCACTAGTTTCTTCATTGGGTTCGCATTCTTTGGAGATCCAATCATCTGGCGCGGGATCCAATGTTTGAACCGGAAATATCCTCGATGGGAAAAGCTCTTGGAGTTACAGAAGTATGTTGACAATCACACAGATAATTCTCTGCTAATCATTTGCCTCTGCAGCTCACTACTCAAAGGTGTTCCGACAAACGCACAACTAACTCTCACCCTTCTTCGAATTGGCGAGGCCAATGCATCACCATTACCACCACCGCCAAGCTCACTGGATAGACCGCCATCTAGACCAATCTCACTCCATCATGAAGAGCTTACTCTTGGTGCTACACCAGAAGATATCCACAAGGCCGCCTCCGATGATGCGCAACAAATGAGGACGCATGATACGGCTCCTCAGAGTCACGCGATAGGTCGGAATACCTGGTCATCCAGAGTAATCGGCCTCTTCAAGAGCACTACAGCAACTGGAGTCGAAAGCAAAAGAGGGCTAGACAAGGTTCGGGCAATGATCGGCTCTGTTCCTGCCGCGAATCGGGTTGGCGTATTACGTTCAAAGGGCAAACAGAGTGTACCAATTGGCCCTGTGGAGTTCGAAGCCAGGTATAAAGGTAAGCGTGGAGCGGCTGTTATTGACTCAACAAAGGAGCCTCCGCTATTGTACTTCACCACGGATATCCAGCATGGAGATATCCAAATTGAAAGCCGAAAGAGCAGCTCGGTACTGTTCAAAATTCCTATCTCGGATGTCCAAGAGATGAAGAAGCAAGGTGGAATGGGGTGGAAGGGAAAGTTAGTTGTTGGATGGGCGATGGGAGGGAAAGAGGTTGTTGATGGCCTGCTTATTGTCGGCAAGGAGCCGCGTCAATCTTACCAATTGACAGCTATGGGAATGAGAAACCAGCTGTTCAATAGGCTGATTTCTATTGATGGACAGGTTTGGGAGCGCTTTTGATTTTTAATACCCGAATGCATGCTAAGAGATCTCAGGTTTGGAGATGAAGTCACGGCGTCAATACGGTCTTGAGAATGAGAAAATCTTGACACTGATAGTTTTATCGACATATGTGGACATGTTTGAAGCCCGAGCCTGCATATTTTGATGAATTAGGTAGTGGATGTATTTGATTATTTTCATGAACTCGCAAATTGAACTTGAAGTGTATCTCAGACGCGGAAAGTAACCAGAAACTCAAGTTGAACAGTGACTGGGAAATCCAGTTGTTCTAAAAGTAGTACCTATTGAATAGTCAGACTAGGAACGAAAATATAAAGTAGTCATGAGAGAACTCACATACCTGAGACTCATTCCTCTTCAGCTTCCAGACAAACATCCAACATTCTCCCTAGCGCAGTTGATCTTTGCTCCTTGGTTACACAGCCAATCGAAACCAGACCCGTTAGTGCTTCTCCCACCCAATTCTGGCAGTTCCAATCTTTATTATGAGGATCATTTCGAACTGGTGTTTGCGCGCACGAATTCTCGATCATTTCTTTCGTGAAGGAATCCCCAGGGCTCGATACCGGGATTAGCGCCTCCACCTTCAAGCCGATATTCGTTGGGTCTTCGGGTTGCGGTGTGTATTCGAAAAACGGGTGTGCGCCGGTTACATGCAGAAGATGATCTTCTCCATCTGCGTATCGAACGTGAATCGCTGTGTGTCGATACATAGCCCAGTCGATCGGGTCCCCACGAAAAACAGCCACCATAATGGTAGGCATAATGTTCAAGTTTTCAAGGTCGACAAGGTGATAAGGTGAGAAAGAGAAAAAAACTTGAGAGATGTCGTGTTGAGAAAAAAACACAGAGAGGGGAAACTTCAGCCCGACAACCAGATATACTAGCTGGGCACGAAGCTGCCTGAGATCATCGTCATTCTTTTAGTTATATCGAGAAGGTGATATTGATGTGTGACCTGCTCAGGTGAGTGAAGTTCGGCCGAACGGGTTTCAAGGGGGAAAAAGACACAGTGCGGGGTGTAAAGAACCCCTTTGATTATACGGCAAAAGCAATAACGAGAAGATAAATAACACGAAGCTTGTCAATAGATATTTCATTCATGATTTGATCACTTGAGATCAAAGCTGGATCTGCCTTTACATAGCCAACATACCACCATCGACCACAATACTGGTCCCTGTTACAAAATCACTGGCGGGGCTCGCTAAGAAGATGAGTGCTCCTCGTAAATCTTTGGGTTCACCCCAACGCCGAGCTGGAGTACGTGTCATGATATATGAGCTGTATTCGGGATCGTCCACGATCTTCTTCGTCATAGGTGTTTTTAAATACCTCAAGGTTTATGTTAGTATGAGTGGATCTGCCAATATGAAGGTGACAAACTTACCCGGGACAAATACAATTGACCTGAATACCTTTCGAGGCCCATTCATTGCTAAAAGCCTTTGTCATTTGCAAGACGCCTCCTTTAGAGGCGGCATATGCAGAAACATTATACATTCCTAGGAAACAGAGCATCGAACCAATGTTCACGATCTTCCCAGGGCGCTCAAGTGCTATTAATTGTCGCCCAAATTCTTGGGCCGCAACGTAGCTTGCTTTGAGGTTTGTTCCGAGGACCTGAATAGAGTCATTAATATAAGCGCTTCGATTAGAAGAGGGGGACGTCTGATATCTCAGATGTTGTCACTCACAACATCAATGTCCTCATCGGTCAAATCTTCGACCTTTCCCCTTCGATTCACTCCTGCACAATTCAGCAAAATATCAGGCTGAATCTCATTCCTCCAAATTTTGCCAAATGTTTCTCGTAGAGCCTTTGAGTCACAAATATCACACTCAAATGCACTGAAGGATCGTCCCAGTGCTTCGACAGCGGCACGGAGTTTAGGGCCATTTGGGTCGTCCACTAATTGTATAGAAACAATATTGGCACCGGCCTGGGCTAGAGTAAGACACAACTCTTGGCCTATTCCACCCGTAACACCAGTACATATGGCTGTCTTGTCCCGGATGGAGAAGAGGTCATTCAGAGGTGGGTGGCAGTCGATAGTAGATCCCATCTTGATTCAGAAATGTAGAAAGTAGGAAGCCCGAGTCTGCATAGACACGCATAAGTTCAAAAGCGTGCAGCTTGGTGTTCTCTTTGCCATCATTTTTGTAAGCTTGATATTTACAAGTTGGCAATGATGATCGATTGAAATCCGATCTCCGACCCGTTGGATGTCTTCTTAACGTGGGAGTTTCCACCGGAAGCTATCAATTTAACCGTCTGCTCTTCCGATCGTGTACAACAACAGTTGAACGGTGTTCTAGATGTCACAAGTCCTTTCATGATCCCTGTCATAGATTAAATCTCTTTCATTTGTAATTCTTCAAAATTTATTTGCTCGTTTTACTTGAAGCGGGGTATTCAGTTGCATAGGCTATTTATTGATGGTAGATTTAGCTGCTAGGAGAGAAGTTCCCAGGATTTCCAACATTTTAATCCAAACATAATAACCATAATAATCAAACTCTGATATTTTGATTCTTTCTCCTCGTTTTGCCTCACATAATGCCGCCTCCATCCGAGCGCCCTCTCGCAGAAGCAGTCCCCTACAGCGGACCTCTCCTCACAGGCGTTGCCAACGACCTCGTCATTCCATCCGTTCTCAATCTCGAAGAAGAGGAAAAATACTGGGTCCCCCAACAACCAAATGTTTGGTTCCGACCTCTTCTGTTCTCCTTGTCTCAAGGGTACTGGGTGAATATCCTTCGCGTGCGCAAATCCGGCATCCTATCGCGACACCGGCATTCCGGCCCTGTCCATGCTGCGACACTCAAAGGACGCTGGCATTACCTCGAGCACGATTGGTGGGCTACCCCTGGAAGTTATTCCTATGAGCCACCTGGTGATATCCACACGTTGGAAGTTCCTGAGGGGGTTGAGGAAATGGTTACTCTGTTTCATGTGACTGGCTCATACACATACGTTGAGCCTGATGGAACCCCCGTCGGGGTTGAGGATGTGTTCACTCAACTTGAGACAGCCAAGGCTCATTATGAGAGTGTTGGAATTGGAGCTGACTATGTGATGTCACTTGTTAGATAAATAGAGGAAATAAGATGGTGAGACCACCATCATGGTCAATAGAACTTGGTTCTTGCAGTGAAACTTGAACATGGAAAGTATTGTACAATAGTCAATGTATACAGTTAGCCCCTATAGGACTCAGAGAACGGGTTCCATAGCCATGTTTGTCCAATAGAGTTGGTAATGTCAAAATCCGGATTCATAATTCTTTCGCCTGGCTGGAATGGGGCGCTTGAAACACCCATCTCGGATGGAAAATTCCATGAGCCTTGGGTGTTGATGGTAGGAAACATGGCTACAATTTATGTGCTGTTAGCTTGAGTCTCTTAGTCTACAGTTCGAGGATATTACTCAAGCAAATCAACATACCTTCTTGGAGAGTGGCGATGCCGTCATCAAAATCCAAATTTGCGAAGTCCGGAATGTCATGAATCTGGCCCGTGACATTTGCAAGTAGAGAGGCAGAAAATGGTGCATTAGGATCCTCAAATGGAGACTGAGACAGCGACCTATACTCTTGTGGTTCTTCAAAAGCCTCAGATGGCATAGGCGATAATGTATTCATGGGGATTGTTTCCTTGCTGGCGACTCCCATCTGGTTATAGTTGGGCCGTGAAGTGAGAGGCTCCTTATCGGCGAAAAGCATAACTTTTCTTTCCTTTTCAAGAATCAGGTTCACCAAGTCTCGAAGAACTAAGTTAGTCTGACCGGATAGAATAGATCGGTTGGCAAGAAATCGAGACAGAGACATGACTCGGGTCACAGCCTGCTTAGCAAGCTGTGCCTGGGTAGATATCGGATTTGACAATGCAAACACGCAAAGGACCATGCTCGCAGTGAATAAATTTATACCCAAAAATGCTGCTGCGTGGGTTTCGCGTGCGTATTCAAGACATTGCCCGTATATCCCTAATCTGGATGATTGGATCGCAGATTCCCAGCAATTATCTCTGCTTGTAAGAAGCGCACCTTGGGCTTCGCGGGTGTAAGTGAAGGACTGTCCGTCTCTGTTTTGTGGGGAATTTTCCTCAGCAGGCCCAGGGGTCATATTGAGAATGTTCTGCGATAGTGACGGTCGGTGGAGGAGTATCTTCACATTATCGTATGCAAGCTGCAAAGCAAGGGCTTGCAGCATAAATATCCGAGCATTTTGTGGAGTCTCTTTCATACCTTGGCGGCACAGCTCCTGCAGCTTCAGTTCCGGAGGCAAACTCGTGAACCAGGTCCGTAATTGGCGATCAATTTTCATCACCCTTGCTGCAAGAATACTAGGATCTGAGTTACGGTGGAAGTAAACATCAGCAACAATGGGGGACGCAAGTTGGTAAAGCTGAATTTTGAACTTGACGTAGGTAAAGCTTGTGACAGATTCCGTTGTGCCGTCGGGCATAGAAGCCACACTGTGAAAATGTGGATGCTGTATCGTGGTGTCTCCGAGGTTTTGGGGCATCTTCACGTCAATTCCTTCTCTTTGAATAGAGCAGGGCTTCCCGTAAACAATCGAAGCAAATCTGTCGCGCCATGTTAGTATGATGAGGCAAGATGCTGAACCAAAGATCAGACTACTCACCTATCAAACACAAATAGCGCCCAAAACGTTCTTCGCCGTTCCTCTTTTTCCATCTCTGACACCCTTCGCCACGATGACTCTTTATCCAAGCCCATAATTTGACTGCATCGGATACCGGCCCCAAGGACCACATATGCTAGGTTTGGGCGACCGTGATACAAATAGAATGAGCCAAGCAAGACACAAACCTGCACAGACTCGACATCTGAATCGTCAAGCAAGTCCCATAAACGCTCTTTAACCTTCGCTAGTGATTTTTCGCGAAATTTTTCCAAATCAAATGTTGGACTGTGGGCTTTCACTCGGTCATCTGTGGTATAATGTGCTCCCAGTGAGAGTACGAGGATGATCAAAAGTAGCTTGGAGTTTGATTTGGGAGATGAGTGATCATCCAAGATACTCTCATATTGGTTTCGGAATGTGGGCTCATGAAACACCATCATAAACCAGTGGACGGCTCCAAGATACGTTTCCAAGAGGAAGTCCGCAACAGGTCTGAGAGGGAATTCAAAATCAAACGTCTCGATCAACCTCGACTTCTCGGCGTGGTTACCAAGCACATCATCTGATCTTGAGCCTCCTGGCAATGCAGAGGTTGAGCTAGCCAGTATCGTCTTTGGGCTAAACTGGTCAATGATCTGCGACGCATTGGTTAATACGCATACAGTTGTTTACACTTCGAGTCCACTCACCTCCTGTGTCATTCCCGCAGACGAGGTTCGAGCATTAGGACCAAACCAGCCGGAGACATTATCTCCAGAGCTTTGATATTTAAGAGCATCATTACTCAGCTCCTCGGAGCTGATCAGATCGCGCTCCGGTGTTATAATTGCACTACCAAGTGTCGTCACGACGTTGCCATCCAAAGGATCTACAGGTACCGATACCTCTCGCGGAGTTCGAGCTGCATTATTTGCTGCATTTCGATTACCGCCCCTGCGCCTTCTCTGCGTGGGACGATTTTCGGAGATGCAGATTACCCCAGACCGAGTACAGAGCGCGCAGGGTCGCTCCCGATCGCATTTTAGCTTCTGCCGACGGCATCGCTGGCACGCTGAGGACACCCGAGGTGCACGTTTTGCCCTGCCATACTCAACGGGACGTTCGCGGTCCATCTTGCTTGTCAATTGGGGAGTGATGATGACGACAGAGTTGAAGTTGGCGGGAAGTTGTCTATTTACCCCACACTTCACTAAAAGCTTGGTCGCCGTGTGGGGGTTGTTACTTTTCTTCTTATTGGCTCATTCAAGGTTCTACTAAACAGGGACCATGACTTGGACTTTGGATAACATATCAAGACTCATGATTCATTGAGGAGAACCCTGTCCAGGTGGTCTCCCCTCTTTGTCTGATCCTGAACTCTATCAGTTTGATCCTCCTCAGCCGCTTAGCCGGATTTACCGAGCTTCACCCACTCGCTGCACGAGTACAGTGAAACTCTATCTAAAAAAATTGCTATGAGATGGAGAAAACGAAATTCCTAGGGAGAACTAATTTCTCATCTTAAAACAGATTGCCAAGACAGTGAGTATCATCCTCTTTTCTTCCACCGGAAGCATGAGTAAGGGGGTAAGAGGTAGGTAGGCTGCATTGGAAAGCTGACCTTTTGGAATCAGAATATTTTGAAAAGGATAATTGAACTCCTTTCATATAATGAGTTTGAAATATGAGACTAAGATCTCATTAATTGTGCTCGCATTGAACTTGAATAAAAGATTCAAATGATGGAATGCTTCCATATGCCTGATCTCAAGATTATTTGGAATAGCTACTGAGATTAGAGTAGTCTCATCTACCGAGAACTTGACAAGGATTCTGAAAAAAGAAGAATGTGTAGCCACCGACGCATATCCAGATTGCCTATTTTACCACTCCCCGCATCCAGGAAAGTTCCGGGACTGGGTTATAGCTTTGCGGGGCCCCGGAACTCGTTATGGGGAGTTGCTAGCCATCCTTGTCTATCAACGCAATATGTGGACACTTTCCATGTGAATAAATAGTTAACGACTAATCGATAAATCATGATTAAGGATTTCTCTTCTCATTGCTGTAGCACTTGCTTATCTTTACCTTCATTTTAACTTCAAAATGTTTCAACCCAGGAGTAGAACGTTGGACATGAATATCAGTGCTGCCACTAGCATGGGCTTTTTGCTTTTTGGCTGTAATAACTCCCGACCTTGAATGATCTGTTTCAATGGGCATGTTCTGACGCTTGACAGATGATCAAGGAGTGATGGGCGACATTATCGATTCAACTTCGTTTGTGAACCAATTCAACAACCCTTCGGTAAATCAACCAATTGATATAAATTCATCAGAATAATAAAAAATAATGCTGACAAAGACTCTGCAGGCATTACAACAAGGACTTATCACTGGCCTCTATGATATTGGCTGTTTGATTGGATCCCTTCTCACTCTAATAATTGGCGAGAAGCTAGGGAGAAGAAAGTCCATTGTAAGATCAAAACTTCGATGGTTAGCAGATTTTAGCTGTGGCTGACTATCGCAGTATATTGGCTGCGTCTTCGTCATTGTCGGGACAATCCTCCAAGCTACCGCCAGGGTGATCCCACACCTGATGGTCGGTCGAGTTGTGACAGGAATGGGCGTGGGTGTAATGACATCAATTGTTCCCACGGTATGTGAAGACTCTGCGAACTCCCTATAGACCTGAATTACTAACACGAATTTTCTCCAGTGGCAATCCGAAGTCCCAGGGGCAGATAATCGCGGTGTTTACCTCACAATTCAAAGTGCCAACATCAACACCGGCTTTCTCTTATCGAACTGGATAACATTAGGAGCCTCGTATGCCGCGTCACAATTCCAGTGGATTTTCCCTATTTGTGTGCAGCTGATATTAGCAAGTTACCTTCTTGTAAGCGTCCCGTTCCTCGTCGAATCTCCAAGATGGGTCGCGAATCACAAGTCGATTGAGGAAGCGACGCGAATCATTGCTCGTCTCCAGGACCGTGACGAAAATGACCCAGAAGTGCTTCGAGTCCGCGATGAGATTAGTGCGGCACTGGAAGAAGAGGGACAGAGTTCATGGAGTGATCTTTTCAAAAACGGAGGCCAGCAAAATTTCCGCCGTATGCTCTTGGGATTTGGTGTTCTCTATATGCAGCAACTGACTGGTATCAAGTAAGTCATCATACTTACCCTCATTACGAAGCTTTAAGGCTGACACCGGGAAATCATAGCTCGATCGCATACTACTTACCCATCGTTCTCGTTGAATACCTTCCTGTTAAAGAGAATATGGGTCACATAATTGCTGCAGTGGCTGCAACTCAATATGCAGTGTTCTCATTCATGCCAGTCTTATTCATTGAGAAGATTGGTAGACGGACCATCATGCTGTGGGGTGCAGTGGCTATGATGATCTTGTCGGCATTGATTGCGGTCGGCTTCAATGTTCCAGGCCAAGGCGGTGCCATCATGACAGTTGTGATGTATTGTTTATTCTATGATGCCTTTGGAATGAGGTATGAGAACGAACTGAATCTCGGGGCTTCGATTGAACAAGAGACTAATATGCTTGGCTAGCTATCTGAATGTTCCATGGATGTATGCACCGGTAACCACTCGGGCGTTATTTTCATCGCTTCGGCTGGCAATATCTAATAGCGATATTCTTCTTAGGAAATCAATTCCTTAAAAATGCGTTCAAAGGGCGGTGCAGTTGCTTCGGCGTCAAACTGGCTGTGTTAGTCAATCCTTCCTCTCGCAGTTGTTCATATCTAACGTCTGAGCAGTTAATGGTATCGTGGTCACCGTAACACCTTCAAGCCTTGCAGCCATTGGCTGGAAATATTATGTCGTCTGTATGTTCCCTGAACCTAGTCTTATCTGCTATTATGGAAATTCTACCTTATTCTGACATTGATCTAGGGGCTGTTTTTAACGCATCGTTCATACCGATGGTTTATTTCCTATATCCAGAAACCAAAGGTCTATCCCTGGAGCAAATTGATTATATCTTTGAAGGCAAAGGGCATGGATGGAGTTGCTTTACTCAAGGTGTTCAAGAAAGTGTGAAAGGAGTGGCAGTGATTGAAGCCAGTCGAGTGGATCGTCGGCGACATGATATTGAGAACGCACGATATGATGATTCAGATTCAACTAATGAGAAGGAGGCTCCGACTTCTGTCGGTCTTGAGCATGTCAACTCTGATTAGTTCAAGAGAGTGTCAGGCTATTGGGTGGAATAGTTGTGGAGACTGGAAACACATGCATTCAGTATTTTCTATTCCATCTCCACTTCGTTCGGATCCCGACATGAGCAGACGTATAGTTCAATCAAAAATTTTCATTCTAACAATGTAACACCGTGACAAATCCCGTGAATCTCCTTGGACAAGAGTCCAAACTATTCCATTATTCTGAAGTGATCAACATCCCCCGCATTTTTATCTCGGCGCGAACACCGAGGGATGTCATTAGGCCTGGGGTATTCAAATGTTAGTTCCGGCGGCATCCAAGGGCTCCCGACCTCGGAGGCTATTGCCGGTGGAAGTAAGCAAGCCCCCACTCATTCCATATCGGATCTTCACACTTGAGGAACATGACAACATGAATTTATTGTTTCATGAGGAATACCAGTACTTCTGCAATCGCTATAATAGTGATGTGAATCGCTTCGGGAATTTACCTGTCAGCTCAGTCAATTATTAATTGTCATCCGCTGATTTGATATAAACCGATTGGCTCTACACAACTCCTTCAAGTTCATACTCCGATACCACTCAACTCAGACCATAATGGGCTCTATACAAGACTCCAAATCGGACAACCAGCGTCCTACCGCTGAAGCGATACCCTACCGAGGCGAGCCTCTTCCCAATGTGGTAGAAGATCTCGTTGTACCCAAGATCCTGAATTTCGGCAATCCAGTCGACGATGACGAAAAATATTGGGTGCCCCAAGCCCCGGATATTTGGTTCCGACCGCTTCTATTTTCCGTTTCTCAGGGCTATTTTGTGAATTTGCTCCGTGTGCGACGATCCGGTATTCTTAGTCGCCACCGTCATACTGGCCCCGTGCATGCGACAACTTTGAAGGGAAGATGGCATTACCTGGAGCATGATTGGTGGGCCAACGAGGGAGGATACAGTTATGAACCATCGGGTGATATCCATACACTTGAGGTACCAGAGGGTGTGGAGGAGATGATTACTATGTTCCATGTGACTGGAGCTTACATCTATGTTGATCCGGAAGGGAATGCGATTGGAATTGAGGATGTTTTTTCCAAGTTGAAGAGTGCACGAGAGCATTACAAGAAGATCGGACTCGGGGAGGACTTTGCAGACCAATTTATTCGATAATCAATGCATAGTATAATTGAATAAATTTGAAATAAGTCAATGCATGCACTCATGCTCAAAATTGATGCCTCTATTGTCTATAAACAGCGCTAGATCCCAAGGTTATTCCACAAGTAGCAGATAAATTTACCGGTAGAGATATTATAAAGCCTTCAGTCTCAATATTTGAACACACTCTTACGACAGATGCCGCATTAGTAATTTGAAATAATAACTTAAGACGCATTTGAAGTATGAATTAGAGATTATTGAAGGTGATTGAAGACCAAGATAGCCATCGAAATGCATGTATGGAATGGTATTTCTATTCCGAGTCTATGCAGTATATGAATTTACTCCTTCAGCTTTGTAACCAGCTTGCCAGTGTTTCCTCCGGAATAAAGCATCATCCAAGTACGGGGAATATCTTCAAACTCAGTTTCGATGACCATTTCACTCTCATATCCAATGAGGAGAGTTCCCTTTTTCCACTCATCAACCAGAATGGCTCGGACTTCGGACAAATTATCAATCCAATCAGTATTGATGAAGCCGAGAATCTGGAGACGCATTGTCACGACTTCCTATAATGAGGTCAATTTACAGGGTCTTTTAACATCATGGAAGGGGAATATTGACAGAGCAACTTACATAGAAGTTCTTGAGACCAGTTATATCCGAGTCCTTGTTATAGTTCGAAATGGTGCCACTGTCAAAGTCAGTATTTCCTGGACGTGTTAATATCAGGGTATTCTGAGACTCATACCTAGCTGCGACTCGACCAAACTTGGCTAATCTGGTCAACATGAAGTCGAGAATATCACCACCAACATTGTCTGATTCAAGACTATAATTAGTTTCCAATACTCCGATTTCCGATAGATGAGTCACCCACCGAAATAGATCTCGACGAATCCTTCCGTCTCTTTGGTGAGCTCTTCCTTGAAAGATGGCGACTTATAGTTCACGCAAACATCGGCGCCGAGCTTCTCCACCCACCGACACTTTTCATCCGTACCAGCAATGCCGATAACCTAAAAATTCAATTAGATCAAAGAAACTGCAAGTATTTTCACGCCATTGGCGAAACGAGAAGAGGATGTACCTTTCGACATCCAATCATTTTCTTGGCAATCTGGACAACCATAGTGCCAACAGCACCAGCCGCACCACTAACAACAATGGCGTCCTTACTTGTCGCCTTGACAATTTGCGTCAGGGCATAGTATGCTGTAAATCCTGGCAATCCAAGAGCGCCCAGGAAATGAGTTTCAGGCAAACCAGGCTGGGGAGTGATCACAGCGACACTTTCTGCATCTTGTGCCGCGTATTCGCTCCATCCAGGTGCACCTGTAACCAAAGAACCAACAGCAACTTTGGGACTGCGAGATTCCACGACACGGGCAATTCCCATAGAACTCATTGGGTTACCCACTTGAACTGGTGGCACGTAAAGTCTTTCTTTCTGAGCTAGTGGCGAGATCCATGAGCGTTGTGCAGGATCATTACTCAAGTACAGTGTTTTCAACAGGACTTGTCCATCCCTGATGGTCGGGATATCAGCGGTCTCTAGTTTAAAGGTTGGCTTGTCACCGCCGAGTACAGGTTCGCCATAGGGCTTTTCACGGAGCACCCAGCGCTGCGATTTGGTCGGCAATGTCATGGTTGATTGGAAGCGATTTGTAAAATTGGATGGGTTGATTTTTGTAGAGGTCACAGGTATTTGACAGATGTGATGAAACAAGATCGACTCATGCGGCTAAGCATGATTCCGGTCTTTTGAACTAATCCACAATTATTAATCAACTTATTAATCTAGGATCCAGCAAGCTGGTGACCGCTTCTTTCTTATTAAGATCAAATTCATTTGTTCTCTTAAGTGATTCGATAATTTTAATTTTTTTTTCTAACATCGAACCCACCTAAAATTGAAGAATCGGAAACTATAGCTTCCGCCGGAATCCCCTTATCGGGTACCGGCTGCCGGCTGCGGGGTTCCCCACAGCACCCGTAGACTATCCCCCACTACGTCCGGTGACCTTCAAGGATGCCGAGATCTAGATTCTCGAATGCATTCATCTCATGCATTCATCCCACTGAACCCCAAGACCGAAGAAAATACTGAGTAAAATTGAATTGGTGATTGGTCCTACAACTGCCTATTTCTGCCTAAATGTAGTAGCTGTTAAGAGTAAATACCATTCTTTAGATGACTCAATAGACCCCCAGAAAAATAGATTATATTATATCCCAGACCAGAGGCAAAATGGCTTCAATAATCCAACGAAAGACGAGGTTCTACTGTCCTCTGGCTCGACTATCACTATCAGCCATACAGCCAGTTCGAGCCCAGTCATCATTGTCCAAGTTTGCCCGTGCGAAAGCATTCCCTGTGGAAGAGAGCGAGAAGAAAGAACCCACGCTCTTGACTGACTTATTCTCTGTTCGAGGAAAGAAAGCGATATGGACTGGGATAACAGGGGGTCTAGGGAAGTCTCTTGGGATCGCACTAGCCGAAGCAGGAGCAAATGTCGTCTCAATCCAATTGCCAGGCGATTCTGCGGTCGGGACTTTGGAGAAGGAGGTGCGCTCTTTTGGCGCTGAATTTCATCGATTTGACTGCAATCTTGGAGACTCTGTATCAGTTCCCAAGTGCTTCACTGACATATGGATGTCGGGCATTGTGCCTGATATCCTCGTCAACTGCGCTGGCATAAATCGACATGGACCATTGGAAACTCTGACGGATGAAGATATCAGCCTTGTAAGTAGTAGGAGTGGTCTCTTCTTATTTTCTCAATGAAATGCTAATTTTGACTCATAGGTGCTAGATGTCAACCTTAAAGGTAGCTTTGTTGCTGCCCAAGAAATGGCCAACAACTCCTCCGACTTCGATGCCCCGGGGAGATCATCAATATCGGGTCCATGACAGCATACCAGGCTGCCTGGAACACTTCCGAATATGCTGCTTCTAAGGCGAGTGCTGTTCGGTTTACAAAAGCATTCAGCAATGAGCTCGCAGGTCGAAATATTCAAGTCAATTGTATTTGTCCAGGGTATGTATCGCGTGGCACAACGAAGACCTCCAGGGCTGGCAAAATCATGATGAATCAAAATGCTAACTCCAAGCTTCAAAATATATTTCACCACCCCAATGACGGCCGCCCTAGCCAAGCATCAGGAATACAATGATTGCGTTATTCAGCGAACCCCGGCAGGGCGATGGGGTGATCCGAGCGATCTAAGGGGAGCCTTGATATTTCTGTCTAGCCCCGCGAGTGATTTCGTTACTGGAGCGAGTGTCGGAGTAGATGGTGGCATGCTTGGAATTTAGTGATTAATTAATGTCAATCATAAGGAAATGAGCTGAAGTATACCTGAAAATATACAAGATACATCCATGTGAGGGCAAACTTCTACCTGGGGTTGGAAGACCGGGAATCCCTCTTATTAGCAAACTAAACCTTATTAGCAACAATCTGGTTCATTAGTCTAGTGGTTAGGACGTCAGATTTTGACATACACACACAGCTTCTGAAATCCCCGGTTCGAGCCCGGGATGGACCTTTCTTTTTTTCAATTTTTTTTTCTTTTTCTTTCCTTCTTTCTTACTCCTTTTCTTTTCCTTCCTTTTGTCTCCTCTATTGTCGACCATAATATTTTATACAATATTAGATTTACTAACAGCTTCCAAGGTTGAGTTGAGTGGATAGTTTTCCTGCCTAGGTGCCTGTGTTGCTTGACTGCCACGTTACACCACTTGGTCTACAACCTCCAGGGCTTGGAATATTGTTAAAAAAGTTTCTGTCACGATTTTTACCGCCTAGATTCTGCCACTAATTCTGCCAAAAAAAAAACTCACTAAATTCAACTAAGCCTACGCAATAGCTAGTACTTATGGTCTGCTCCGTTCTGCCGTTCTCGTCTTACCCCCTATGTCTTAGTATAAGACATCCAGCTTGATTCTAGCTACAATGTCCTTGTCTTCCCTTTCTTCTTAATGGGACCTTTGGGTTCGCCTTTGGTCTTATGCATTAGCATTGGTGTGGGGGTTTGTTGTGCTGGAACGACCCGTGTATTCCGACTACCTCACTGCGTTCCCCTCTTCAATACATAGTACTATAATATAGTTATCTTTTCTATTGATTTACTCAAAAAGATGTGATAATTTATATAAACACTTCTTATAACATATGTGGTAAAAAAAATCATATCCCTACCAAATGTCGTTGAAAAAATTCAACTTTAGTGTTTTATGTACTCCGTACCTTTTCCATGGTGAGCCCAGATAAAAATACTACCCCCCAAAAAAGTGGGTGCACTCTGTCGCTGGCCTAACCTGACAGGGGTGGCCAAAGCAAAGTGAACAGTGTTAAACAAACTTGGGTATACTCAAACATAGATGACATAAGCACTATCTGGTTCATTAGTCTAGTGGTTAGGTACGGCTTTCCCATGATTCTTATCACCAGATTCAAATCTAACAGACCCAAAATAGGACGTCAGATTTTGAGACACACTTTCTGAAATCCCCGGTTCGAGCCCGGGATGGACCTTGTCTTTTTTTCTTTTTTTTTCTCTTTTTTTTTTCAGAAAAATTTCCAGTAGGTGAACTGAACGGTCTAAGAAGGGCCTTCCTTTTTTGCCTAGCGCTGCGATTAATTTTGTCATGGAGTCAGCCCTCGAGTACTGAAATGGATAGCAGCATACTTGGAGTATAATCAATGCACAACAAGGAAATAGGTTTAGTCTATTGGACTTTACGATGTCTGGGTTCTATCTATACACATGATTTGTAATTGTTTCATAGGGCCTCTTTGTAATCTTTGACTGCCTGCTCGAAGGACTCATCGCGCTTGAAGCCCAGGGATATAGCCTGTGCGTTATCAAACTGAGTGGGCCAGGACTTCAGGATTGGAATAAGAGCTGGATCTTCTTTCTCTTTAAGAAGACCGAGCTTATCTTTACCGCCGACATTCTCCAGGGCATCCATCATGCCTTGGACAGTCACACAGATACCAGGCACATTAATCTGGCGGATATGAGGGGGTACAGCGTCCCCAGGAAGGTTGAGTGTGAGGAGAAGGTTATGCACCAGGGTCTTTGGCGAGCACAGCCATGATTTGAACGACCGATCCTCGATAGGAATAACACATTCCTGGCCAGCTAGTGGTTCACGAATCATTCCCGAGAGGAAGGAAGAGGCGGCGGCAGTTGGTGCGCCGGGGCGAACAGAGATGGTGGGAAATCGCAGAGTAAATCCATTGATGAACTTCCGCCGAGTGTACTCATTTATCAAGGTCTCGCAAACAACTTTCTCGGCACCGTATGATGATTCAGGCGTCGGGATCACGTTGTCGGTCACGATCTCTGGCAGGGGCTGCCCATACACAGCTTGGCTTGAGGAGTAAATAACTCGAACGCCAGGGCAGTTGTGTCGCAATGCATCCAATAGATTCCGGGTGGCGTCAATGTTGACGCTCATGCCCAGGTCAAAGTTGGCCTCTGATCCAGAGGACATGATCCCATGGAAGGCGTAGACCGCATCCAGAGAAGCGTCAACGACCTCCTTCGCCGCTGTTAGAAGATCTGCCTTGACGGCGGTCGCATTTTGTGGGTATTTGACACCGTTGGGAATTGGAGGTTGGTGAATGTCTGTCAGTGTGACGCGATATGTGGGGTCGTTTAGCAGCTCTTTGGCAAGCAATTGACCGATGAAACCGGCCGCGCCAGTGATGAGAATGTGCATGATGATAAGGGAGACTTCGTTTCTCAATTTTCGAGTATGCGGAATTCTTGTTTTCTTCTTCGGAATTTGTTGTCGTTGCCAGAGTTTATGGGGATTGCTCTACTCTCCGCGTTCGCATCAAGTCCGAGGGGGGTCCGTTGTTAGTCCTCCGCACCGGACTTTGCCCGGTTGGAATGTGGTTGGGTGGATCTGCTACCACGAATTGGCTTCGCAGGCAGCTTGAGGTGCTTTTCAATTCGGTCCTATATTCAAGTTGTGTCCAGTTCAGGTACATTCTGACATCCCCGGAGTAGAGACTGATGTGATGGAAGTATAAATGAAATCATGTTTGGCCAGTTCAAGTTGACGTATATGAAGATCATTGAAGTCAAAAATCAACCTGGACTCCTGGAGAGCTAGCATGCTATATAGGGTCAGCAAATTGATTAGTGTAGGCCTGCACTCAGGGGTAGAAGAAGGGCCCTGGTAGAATAGAAGAAAGTCGGAGAAGTGGCCTCGGCCAGCATCGGGAATCCACCTCCGCTTCCCCGCCAAAATGGATTTTCCCCTAAACCCCGGAGCATCACCGACTACATCTTCCATCCCAGCATGGATGCTTCGACCCCACTCAAACGGTCCTCAACAGAAGCTGGATTGGACTCTCCAAAGGAATCCGTTCGCTCCGGAGAGTCACGGCCAGCACCTAAGATTTCCAAAGCCCGCGCCTGTAAGTCTGAAGACTTCCCCACATCATGCATCGCTAATCAGCGCCACCAGGTGCGGAGTGTAAACGACACAAGATTCGATGCGAATTCCGACCAGGCGAGTCGAATTGCACAAAATGTGTTCGAAGTCGAATCAAATGTGTCGTGAATGATTTTTCGCAAAAATTTGTCGACGACGATGGGATGTGCGTGCACTCAATGACCCCTACTCTCTCCAGATGGAGAGTGCATTGTGAAAACTACACAATTCTAACATGATTTTTTATTCCATATCTTAGATGGAAGTCGCAAGCATCTTCTTCAATGCAACAATTACAAGCCGCTGTATCGCAGCTATTGCGACAAGCAGGACTTCCCGATCTCTCGACTTATACCGCTGGAGACTCTCTCATTGGTTCCAGTCCAGCTGCCTCACACCATGCATACCGGCCATCCATTGATATCTCTCAACCGCTTACCAGTCACCATGATGGGCCAGGGGTAGTGATGGACGTCACTCGAGAGCATTCGCAAGAACCTGATCTCCAAGATCCGGAGTTGGTACCAGCACCCATGCGCAGTTTGTACGAAGTCACCAAGTTGCGCAATCTACGAAACAATCATATCGAAGCACCAAAGAAGACCTTATTAGAAGAGGATTTTATTACCCGTGGTCTAATATCGATCCATGAGGCCGAAGAGCTCTTTGCATACTTCAGCCGCACAATGAACCAGCTCCTTTGGGGCGGAATCATTCTGGTACATCGTGATCTGACATCCGTTCGTCGCGCATCTACTCTGCTTTCAGCTGCAGTCTTGACGGTGGCGGCACTTCACATACCAAATCGCACTGAGACATTGAACCGATGTTATAATGAGTACGTGTCTTTAGTATCGAGTATGGCCCTTACCCGGGCACATACGCTAGACGATGTTCGAGGCCTTTGTGTTGGTGCTTTCTGGTTGTCGGAGTTAAGTTGGAAGCTCTCAGGACATGCGGTTCGTATTGCAACCGAGTTGGGTCTGCATCAGAGCTACCAACGCCTCACGCGGGGTCACACCGATCAATACGAACGGGCGCAATTGTGGTATCTGCTTTATGTGTGCGATCACCACTTTAGTATTGCTTACGGGCGGCCACCTGTGATTCACGAGGACACTGCGATTCGAAATTACGAGGTTTTTCTGGAACTACCGATGGTAGTACCAGGCGATATTCGCCTCCTCGCGCAGGTTGCTTTATTTATGATTTTGACCGAGGCCTACCGCATGTTTGGCAGTGATACAGAGCAAGCCCTCACTGAAGCGGACTTTGGCCAGCTTCGTGTATATAATGTTGCAGTGGATCAATGGCGACTTCTCTGGCAACCTCGATCAGGTGAGCTACTACTATTACTTCTGCTTCTTCAATTAGAACTATCTTGACTAACTCTACAATAGGCGACAGTTCATATGTACGCACATACCCTTCTAAGGGCGTTGTCTTACACTACCATTTCGCCAAGTTCCAACTTAACTCGCTATCTCTGCGCGCTCTTTCACCCTCTAATACACCTGTTTTCTCTATGGATCGCAAGGAATCGGCTAATATCGCCATTTCATCCGCCATGGCTTGTCTGAACATGGTACTGGAGGAGCCTGACATACGAGATGCCATCGTAGGAGTTCCTATTTTTACTCATACCATGGTCACTTTCTCGGCAGTTTTCCTACTGAAAGTAGCTATCAACTGGAATTCAGCCTACCTCAGCATCAATGCGCGCCAGGTGCGTCGGCTTGTTGAGCGAGTGATTGACTTGATGAACTGTGTCTCAGCTGGTGAGCGTCATTTGACGCGACACATTGCACGTGGACTAGGCAAAATGCTAGAGCGTTTTGACTCCTGGGAGGCTGCATGGCAGGTGGGTACTAGTAATGGGGAGACTGTGGACGGCCGCGACGTGCCAGGGGGCGCGAATGCGATGGCTCAAGGTTTCCCGCCACCAGATCTGATCTATGATATGGTTGGAACATATGGATTTGGGCTTGATGAGAATCTGTTAGATCCCAGTATGGCGAATTTTGAATTCTTGGCACAGTAAATGATTAAAAGGGGTTGATTAAACTACTACATTGAGGGATTATTTTGGGGGGAAGAGGGGGAAGGAAAGAAAAGCCGGGAAAGTGGAAATGGGGAAATGGAGGGATCAAGTCCCTCTCACATCTAGGGGTCTGAGCAACAACCAGCAACCAGGGTGGAATGTAAATAGAACAGGGGAAAAAAGAAAAGAAAAAAGAGAAAAAAAAAAGGTCCAGCCTCTCTGATTCATGCTCTATCTATCTACCACGCACAGGATTCAGTGCCACGCACTTCCGTCTCCACACCCTCCCAGCTTAAAGCTATCAAATCCATATGTCGTCACCTCAGCTTATGCGCCCCCTCTCCCTTGGTTCCGTTTCCCCCTTCCCCAGTGGTAACTGCCACTCTCTACCACTCTTTTCCCCCTTCTCGCTCTTATAACTACTGCGCGAGGCTGAGAATTGATTCCTTCCTCTTTCTCCCTACTTCCTCCCTCCCCCTTATAAACTATATACTTCCTCCTTGGTCTCAATTTGGGAGTCCATTCATTATAATTCCTTATTTTTCGCACAATGTCCACTCGCAAGAGAAAGAATGACCCCGAGGAGGAGCTCCAGGCGCTTCCGAGTGATGATAGTGAGGAGGAAGAGGAGTAAGTGTTACGTGTTGGCGATGATGTTCCCCTACCCAATTTCAACCAACCTGCGCCGAACTACATATAAGCCTCGGCTTATGCGCGATTTATTGCGCATTGGTCGCAATGCTTCCCCAACCATCCAATGCATCGATGGAGACCCCATGAGTACTAGAACAACCTCTAACTCGATGCGCGCATTGATAGGTACGAGGACTCCGAGGTCGAAGTCGATGATGTAAGCGATGAAGAGGACGAGGAAGGCGAGGAGGGGGAATACTCCGACGAAGAAGAAGAGCCAGAAGCTGAAGGTATGCTTTTCATCTCACTATCATATTTGCTATCGTCGCAATTATGTATGATCCGATTGCTCACTACCCAATTCTCCGTCTAGGCCCTCCAGCTGCCAAGAAGCAAAAGACTAAGTCCGTTGAAGCCGATGAGAAAGCTGCCAATGGCGATGAGGAAGATGCGGAGGATGAAGAAGCTGAGGCAGAGGGTGAGGACGATGAGGATGCCGATGAGACGGCAGAGACTAGTGGTCCAGCTCAAGCTGCAGCTAAGGCTAAGGGCGGCGTTGTTCCTAAAGAAGCGGATCTGGTAGAGATCGATGACGAAGAGGAGGATGATGAATAAATTATGTGTGGAGTACACTGGCTTTTTGTCTCCAGAACTTCTTGAAAATGGCTTTATATTTCGATAGTTCGATGTATCATCTATCTTTGATATAAGATACTACTATCTAGGTGGTCCTGGCTTATGGACATCTGGAGGTATAGCAGTCATAGATGTTATCCATTTCAAACCGGGCTTCAAGAGTTCCTTGCAGTACTTGACTGGAGAGTACATATAGACTGGCCCGGGGATACTAGTAGATATTTCATATCAATCGGTGCAAATTCTAGCACTTTGAAGGTAGTATGAACTACTAGTATACATGCTGCTCAATTTAATCTATAGATGAATGCTTTCTATACTCCCTATGTTACTAGGACACATAGGTATGCATTGACTGTTGAATCATTGGGCTACTATTTGTACTGCCTATGCGGTATATAGGTATTGATGGTTAGGTACTTCGGAATTCACATCAAGTTGCTCCAATATTCTAGGTTGAAAGTGACTTCCAGGGCTCTTAACCTGGAACCATGCCAAGTAGACGAGGAGAATATTCTATGGTTTGTACCGAATTCTGGTCGCTGACTAACACAGATCGCGCTGGTGGTCTAGTGGTTAGGTGAGAATTTCCGACTTCAGCATATTACAAGAATTTCAGCTAATAAATTATTCAGGATTGCTCTCTTCCAAGTGATGTTAAGAGCAGGGGGGGGTTCGATTCCCTCCCAGCGCATCTTTTTTTTGTCCTCTTTTTTTTTGAAAAAAAAAACTTTCTACAATATGATTCTTTTACACACTATTTTTGAAATGATTTCGAACTCTCGGATTTTGGAGTCATTCAATGTTGCGAAAGCTGGGAATCGAGGTACATTTGGGCCTCTGGATGCTCATGATTGTAGCTTGATAAGTACTTGTTATGATCCTTTCCGCATTAAGCCGCGCTGGTGGTCTAGTGGTTAGGTAAGAATTTATCCGCTTCCGAGTTCAAATCAACGGAACACTAACAATTTAAACAGGATTGCTCTCTTCCAAGTGATGTCAAGAGCAGGGGGGGGGTTCGATTCCCTCCCAGCGCAACTTCTTTTTTGTCTATTATTTTTTGGGCTTTTGTCTCAACTTTGATCTACGTCTTTAATTAATTAAGGGAAATCCGTGTTTTTTTTCCTGTTTAATTTCATTTGTATTTACCTACTACTACTAGTAATCCCCAGGTGAAATTAGGTATCAACATTAAAATGGCGATGATTTCCAAGTTACATGAAGAATATATATACTACTACTAGTTACTGCCAGTGGGTAGGTCACCCGTGGACTCTACCTGCACATGTTGACAAGAAATACATACATAGTATGTACTACATATCCATCGCAGGTGCATCATGATATTGGGACTTTAAGTTCCACCTGGGCAACTTCCAAGGTTGAAGGTTACTATGGTTAAACAGCACGTTGACCTCGGGAAGCTTCAAATGTTGAATTATCGAGGGAAAAGAGCCTTGGAGTTGATACTATGTATGAGGCTTTGAGTATATTTCCCTATCTCTCTGACTCGCCCGGTGGGGACCCATGTGCAGAAGATCGGATCGTCACGGTGGATGATGGATGTTTGATTGAGACTGGTACTAGTCGAAAACCTTGGAAGAACCATAGAAAAAAAAACTGTCATTTAAACCCTCAATTCCAAGGTTAGAATACCGAGGATCCGTGGAAATCTGGAGGGAATGATGATGGAGTGCCTACTAGTAAGTGCCAGTGTGTGGGGCGAGGAGTGAGGAAGACTTGAAGGTTCCAAGGTTGTGTCCAGATTGAGAATGAAGTCTTACATAAAGCTGAATACAAGACCACATGCAAGTGCGACTCCCAAACCCTTGAATAGGTAACATTTGAAGTTAAAGCTACGCGGTGTGAATTGGTTCTACTTTCACAATGTGATATGATCAAAACATAGATAAAAGATAAAAAAGATGCTTTATTCAATCCAGGCTATAAACAAAGAAACTAGCACATTCACTCATATAAAAATTGCACAGAGGACAATTGATAAGGTTGTGTCATCTAGTAGAGGATGACAGCATCGACACCAGGGGCAGCAGCGGCGAGACCACCCTTGAGGCGGGCCATGACCTCAGCACCACCCTCGGGGGTGATGGCAGGAGCAGGCTTGCTGATGTCGAACTTGAGCCAGGGAACGGCAGAGACAGAGGCGGAGGCAGCGCGGACAGTCTCGAAGTCAGCATCGCTGAAGGGACCGGCAACGATGACGGCGGCAACACCGTTACCGTAGTTCTTGGAGCCCAGAGCGCTGGGAGGAACGGGAGCACCGCTCAGAAGGGCGGGGATTTCAGCAACGGCGGACTCGACGTTGTCAACAACGTGGATGACTGTATCTCAATTAGTTGCTGGGTTATCATAAGGATCTGCAATGTTGAACTACTTACCATCCCACTCAGGCTGGAGGTGGACAACAGCAGCGGCGGCGAGTTCCTCGCGGGGGCCAATGACAATAACAGGAGCAGACATTTTGTATAGATTGGAGGAATGAAAACCGAAAAGTTTTTTGTGGATTGATTGATTGTTTGTGAGGAAGATTGGATTGATGGTGGATGATGAAGAGAGATTTGCTGGTCGATGAGCCTGGCTTTATAGTTTTTCTTGAAGTCTTGCAAGGTTCCAAGATACTATTGATCACTTGTCTATATCTGGAATATCAAAAATGGTATCCTCCATTGATCCTTCACTAATCCGTTTCTGCAAGTCATCTCGGGGGCCAACCTCAATGTTCGATTTCTGGCCCCGTCCTCCAAGGCTCTAAGCCAGCTTATGGTTTTGAAGTGGTTGCTAGTTGCTAGGCGGCTTACCAGAGCCAATTGAGTAGAAAACTAATGAAATTTAATTTTTTATTTATGAACGCACAATCCTACTATGTATTGACCTCAGTTTTCTAGTTACTAGAAGACTACCATCTAGGTACTAAGTTTTGTTGGTTCATTATACATGGATGCTGTTTAGTTAGCATTTGAAGTAAATAAACATGCGCAGAATATCCCCACAGCCCTGGAGATTATATCCGTATTGCGTGATTAATGGACCCAACTGGCTCCATTCTAGTTAATTCCTTTCTAAATGCTTCTTTCATCTGCCTGCAGATGTCGCATTTCATCGCATAACTTGTCTTGGCACGCTAAAGCTGCAGAAACATGCCGCTTAATGGCCAAGCTGCTAGCACTAGCATATGTGCAGTAAGAAATGGGGGCCATATTACTGAAGCAAAGAGGATCCTGAAAGGCCAAGTAAGCCATAAGCTCATCAGATGTTGACACTTACAATCACTGATATGCTGAATCTCATATGAGATGAGCTAAAGAGGTTAAAACTTACACTGACATCATGGCCCCCAATGCCAACTTTGGTCATGTTTCTCTTTCTATACACATTCGCCGGATATCGCCCCCAGAAGAACCCCATAAGCCAGCCCCCTCACTAAACCCCACTTGTCCCATTTCTTGTCATTCTACACTATCCTCAGGCCGTCTTTGGTATGGTTCTATTGATTCTATCGCCATGTAACTTTCCTTTTACGTAAATTAGAGCTGCATAGTGGATTGTCACATTTGATCTAGCCTATTTAATCACATACTTAATTGGGTAGTTTCTTTCGTCTGCAGAATTCGTATAGCCTCATTGAGATTACGTTGGAATCAGCCCGGGTGAGCTTGATGAGATCCTTCTTAATTCAGACTAGTAAGTTGTATCCTTCGAGGGATTCATAGCATGATTCCCCTCAAGTGCTCCTTCTAACTGACCTTGGGGGCCTCCTGTACGGACGTTGTGACCTGAGGATTCAGACGTTACCTCCGAGTTCATGCACCTCGAGGAACTATTTCTTTTTGTGGCAGTTGACGTGCTCAGCGCCTGTGACACCATCCTTGTCATGTAATCTCAATGGTGAACTCAGGTTGTCACCTGAGCTATTTGCAATAAAATGAACAAATTGTGAGAAAATAATACCCTATTTACCATCTAAGATACACCGCGGCAGTTTAATTGACAGGAAAAAAAATGGGAAGGAAAATGAGATAAATTACCTAGGCATCAAGAAACAGGCCTCATGAATGATAATCATTACCGCTGCAAGCGTCCCTTTATCTTACCCCCCCCCCACAGAAATATGGCTTCAGAAAAGCCTCGGCCCAGCCTAATCGGATAAACAATATTTGCTAACAAAACCTTTAAGTATCACTACCGCTGCTGCGGAATGTGGCACACAGCTGACAGTACTGGTGTGTAAGATCCAGGACGGGCTGGGGCAAGTTGGTGGCTTGCACGATGCTGCGAACCTTGACGGCGCCCTCGTCCTCAATCAGCTTACGCACTAAGAACAACAGCTCCGGAGAGAACTATTCAGGTTAGCATGTGAAAACAAGGTTGGTGGATTTTGGGGATAGGATTCTTACCTCGGAGTACCAGCGGTATTGCCATGCGATGAGACGGATCAGTGCACCCAACATCCCCCGAGTGTCATTCCGCTTCTCGTACAGCTTCAGCAGACCACGCATGGCCTTGGGTGAGAATCGAGTTGCCAGACAGTTCTGGTACGCTTCGATGCCCTCGTCGAAGTGGTGAAGTCTTTCCGCCAGCTCACCAAGAATCTCCCACTCAGTGGGGGACTTTTTGTACTCCATTGCCTGTTGACGGAACTGAGCCATCTCTGTGCGCCAGATAGTATAGATGCGAAGGTCCTCGTACAGGACCATGAAAAGGTTGTCTAGCCATCGCTCACAAAGGCGCTTGTTGCGGAATTGGGTGTATGCGGTGTGTGATGGGTCAGACTGTACAGTGAAAAAAGAATTAGCACACGCATGGTCATTTTTCTTATGTGGATGGGGAAGCATACATCTTCATTGCCGGACTTAACCACCTCCGACGCAACTGTTTGTTCGGGTCGCTCAATAGAGCTCTCGGCATCTGCAGCGTTGGAGTCGCCATTGACAGCAGCTGAATTTGCGGAATTTTCTGGACCAGGACCAGTGACAGAGCCTGAGTCCTCTTCCTCGTCCTCTCCGGTGCTACTGGAACCGTGACCGTTCAACTCTGCCTCAAGTGACTGTGCAGGTTTCGGCACATGATGACGCTCGACGCGGTACTCCTCCTCCATGACGAAAACCTCACTTCGTACCCTCAACAGTTGATCCCATCCAATTGCAGCAGCAATCTTTGTTAAAAGGTTGTAGGCTTTCAAGAATGTTCCCTGATAACCGGCAGCGTGCAATTTTCGTAGAGATGGATGTATGAAGTCATGGGGGTCGCCCTGCTTGGGCTGGCCTTCATCGATTTCGTCGAGTATGCTCTCCGAGAGGATTGGAAGCATAATGCGGGATGGCTGTGGCATGCGTGGGGTATCCTTATCTTGGTATGTAAACATGGGGCAAGAGTTGAGAGTGAGAAGGGCTAAGTCCCATCGTTCCAGTCCGACATATACTTCAGCAAGACGGGCCCAGGTGGTGAACTCGCTCGGCGCAGCAGTCACTGCCCGCTTAGCACACTCCAAGGCCATTTCTCCTTCGCCCTTAGTCTGACAGAATGAAGCCTGGCAATCAAGCAGAGCATAGTCCATTGGGACATCCTGCAAAGCGTCGTACATCAACCGTACAGCCTGAACTTCCTCATCGGCCATCAATTGTACTCGGGCCAACAGGGATGAAACCTCCACATCTCGTGTGCGCAGCTTCTCGAAAAGATTGATACCAGATGTGTAGCGGCCGGTTGTGTGAATGTACTTGAGGATTCCGGAAGTGAGATGATTGCTCACAGTGTTTGGAACTTGGGTTTCGGGATCGGAGCTGAGTTGGCGTCCTGTCGCATTGTTAGTAACTAGCACAGTTTCTGATAGTGTGAATTATAAGCATACCCAAGAAAAACAATCTCTCAGCAGCATCCAAGAACTTATGCTCCATTTCTGTGTTGGTAATTGGGTTGAAGCGTCGAACACCGACAATCTTCTTGATTTGGTCTCCACATCCATCATCAGCGTACAGATAAGCTCTAAGAACAGCGCAGAGGAAAGTCTCCAGCCATAAAGCTTCCGTAGCAACGCGCTTGTCTCCGCGCTCATCGATACAGTAAGCCTCTAAGCTTCCAGGAATCTTAACTTCGACTCGCATGTCCAGGTGAGAGAACGCATTGTAGCAACTATGTGAGCTGTCAGGGTCACGATCGGAAACACTAGAGATTATTGTTTCTCACCAGTAGATTCCTGAAACCACCTTGTGCGTCTTATCGAGGGGAGAGAACGTGAGGGTGTTGACATAGGCGGCAAGACTGGCTGACGAAGAGGCATCGATACCAGTAACGTGGTGATATACACCAGTCTAGAAAGCAAATAAGTGGATTATCAGCTAGGTTCTGGTTCCAATTGTGCAGCATATATGAAATCTTTATACTAACCTGGCGAGTGGAGTTGGCCTTTGGCTGCTTCACCAAATATACCAAGTCTGGAGGCCCCAGCTCCCGCAAGTTCTGCAATGACTCGGTACGCGCATCAACGGCAATATAGATCTCCTCCTCCTCGTGAATCCTATTGCAAGTTCTTTCGTATTAGCCACACATTCAAAAACTTGCGCAGCATCCCATCCCTTGCCGTTCAGAGACAATGGCTATGCGCATGCGATGCGATCCCCGGAAACTCGGAACACGTAAACCGGGGGAACAGGAGCATACTCAGGGACAGCGGGCGCAACCATCGCGCCGGCCAAAAAGACGCAGCAGTCTCAACTATGAGTTTCGTAAAGAGAGCTAGGAGAATTGAGCGACGTTTTTTTTTTAAAAAAAGTAGAGGCCAAATGAATAATGTATTCGAGGATGGAGAGGGGTGATTGACTACACAAACAGTCCGAAAGAGATTCAGGCCATAAGGCACTAAAGGCGGAGAGAGCGCTATTGCCTGATATGGAATCACGCGTGGAACTCGTGTTTGGCGTCGGCGATTCTTATCAGTTTCATTTCCTCCTACTTTGATAACTTACCTCGAGAGATGTGGATAAAGTACGGCAATGCTATCCTTGCTACTTGACCTTTCTTCATTCTCTCCCTGATCACCCTGCGTGGAAAGCTACAACCATGGCAAGCTGGGTCTCATTGAATGTGGAGCCAGACGATATCATTGAGGATGAGGTTGACGATACCAAGGAGCTTCAAATCGAAGAAGCGCTGAAGCTCTACCAAACCGCCCTTAAGCTTCATTCGCAAGGTCCTGAGTTCTATACCCAAGCAGCAGAAGCCTACGAATCTCTTCTTAGCTCGGAGATCTTCAAATACCCCGAATCGATTTCGGACTTCAAACGAGCTGCGGAATCAGATGCGCAAGTAGCGAACGTTGCTGATGAAGAATCTGCCGATACAAGTACGGAATTCAACGTCAACGACTCCACCTCCAGCCTTTTTCAGACTCTCTACCTATCCTACAAGAACTACGGAAAATACCTCCTCGATTCAGTACACGAAACGATCCGAACCGCTGCGCAAGACCCCGAGACAGTACAGAAAACATTTCAGGCTTCTAGACAAGCTTTGGGATCGTTTGCAGATGCTTTGGAACGAGATGACACGGATCTCAATCTATGGAGACAAAGCGCGAGGCTTAGCAGTGCTCTGAAAAGTTATCGGTTGAATCGATTCTGTCTCGAGAGTGTACTTGCCGACGATGACAATCGCCTTGAGATACGACCGGAACTGCTTGGATTGGAAGAGATCTTTTCGGAGGACCGTTTGCGAGCCACCCTGACTTCGCTATTTGACGGTCTGTCTGCGTCACAAGTGCCCGTCAAGAAGACAAAAAAAGCTCTTGCCAAATATCTCAAGCAGCATGAAGATCCGTACCCATATCTCCCAGATCTTCCGACTGAGATTGGCTCATTGAGTTCCTCTAAAGGTCCTCTTGCTTTGTCCACCTCTCGCCGCCGGGAGATCGCGCCCTCTGACGCTACCTGGGATTTAATAGGAAAAGCCATTCTCCAAGCGCTGGATGATGAGGAAGCAGCTCCTATGGGTGATGCCCCAAGTCGATCGTTCTATGTAACTCTTCCAACCAGGGAATCTGAGCTACTAGATACTGTATCTGTCAAAATGGAGGGCATTGAAGATGACCCCAAGAACAAAACTGAGGAAAGCAAGACAGAGAATGGCGATATCGATATGTTGGATGAGGCCGAGTCGCTCAAAGAGGCCAATCAAGTCGATGAGCCCAAAGAACTACCTGAAGACGCGCCCCAAGAGCCGGCAGAAACCACAGAAATAACAGAACCTACAGAGGAACAGTCTTCTTTTGACCAAAACGCAGAAAAACAACTCATGGAGTCATTGGAAGGTCATTCTGTTCCAGCTGAGCAACAACTTGGTGAAGAAGAGCCAGAAAAAGAACATTCAGAGCCCAAATCACCAATCGGCGCACGCAAGAGATCATCTGCATCAGCGGCAAATGATGATCCTCCAGAAGGAGGACGCATGAAGAGCCGAAGAACACGGGCCCGTGAATCCAATGCCGATGCGCTTGTGCAGCCTGAAGAAGTTGCCTTTGATCAAGAGAAATACTACGAGGATCGTCTTGAAATTTTCGTCAATGCAGATCAATGGATGTTCAATACTCTCGGATCCTCGTTCAGCAAAGCTGGCGTTCCTGTTCTTGGAACCATCGAAGATCTCAGGGAAAAAGTGGCTACTTTAAACGAACTTGACGAGGTACCGCAGGACCCCAAGACTAGATTGTTCCAGGATATGCGTGGCATTATCAAACATTGGAATGATGAAAAATCTCGATTGATGCAACAAAAAGATGATCCTTCGTTGAAGGGCTTATCAGGATCGAACAAGTCTGGATTAGCCGTGTTTCTTGAACATTCCAGGAAGACAGCCCGAAGACAACCCGTTCACGAGCAGCTGCCATCCGGAGAGGAGATTTACAGCTTTGCGGAAACTATCAACAACGCCAATTACATGCATCCCCATGATGTGTCGTTCGAATGGCTCAGACGTCTGCTCATGCCACAGTTTGGTGAACACGTCTCGGAATTCATGGCAATGAAATCTGCGTATACAAGTTTTTTGTGGCCCCAGGAAGTCAAGAAGGTCGCTGTAGATCTTTTACTCCGTGAGGATGCATACGTGCTTGCCAGATTATGTGAAAATGTGACAGGTCTGGAGCGTCGAGTCCTTGGATCAGACTCTGAAAATGAATTCAAATATGATACCAAGGACTTTGCGGATGTGGAAATGATTCAAGCCATCTACGAGATACAGTTGGATATATTTTCCTCTGTTGAGAGTCTTAGCAATGAGGCAGGCCAACAAAACACACTTTCGCAGCGTGACCGATTGACGCGATGGGCTATGCTAGCCCGGACCTCTTTGGAACTCTGCATAGCGTACTGTCCGTCCGAGAAGTGCCGACAGAATATCGCATTTCGTCATTTGTGGACATCGACATTTCATCTCAATCTTGCCGGAGAAGCTGATCGTGATCACATCCTGTTGTGTCTTCAGGATTTGAAGCAAACGTTTCAATCTATCAACGACCCTATAATCAGACTCATCAATAATTCTATCATGGCCGAACTCTCTATTGCCACCATTGATCAAGAAGCGCTCAAACTCAAATGCATGGATTTCTTCGCCCAGGTATTCAAGGCAGACGACGAAGATCCAATCTCAATGATAGAAGCTATTGAGCCAATCCTTGAGCCTTCATCAGCGCAGTATGTGGGAGATTCCGAGAATGATGTAGTAGTGACTCCATCAAATTCGAGCGAGATGGCATCTTTCCTTGACCGAGGAGATGCCACATTACGACTCTTCCTCTGGCGAAAACTTCAAGATGCGTATCAGAGCATCGATTACCCCCCCGAAGGTGGTTTCATGTCATTTGCGAAGTATCGAGACGGTCATGCGTGAGCTTGAAGACGTGAAGCACCTGCAGGAGGCGAGTGGTATTCGTGAAGTTTCTTTGCTGGGTTGTCTTAAAACTCTGGATGGAATTATGGGCAAACTTATCCCCCTGGTGCTGCAACAACCTGACAATGATAAATCTTACGAATGCTTAGATATGGATCATTTGCAATCGTCCATATCTGCCGTCGCTAGGTTAACTCGGATTCTGCACAGTTTCGTCCTTTACGAGGATGCGGTCCGGGTCGGTCAAATTTCTGGACGTGATCTTCGTGGAGGCCTGGCAAAAACTCTTGAGAACTTCAAAGACAGAATGCGAGAAATGTATGTACGGTGCTGGATTTTGCTCTATACCCTTTTCAACGAAGCAGTATCCCAGAACAAAGCCGCTTCGAATACCTCAAACATCTCCAATAAGCCATCGGAAGATCATATCCATATTCTTCGCTCTGTGCATCATGCGCTGGGGGTTCGGTCCATGTGCCGCTATTCACAAAAACGATTCTTGAAGCTCCTGAAGTCCGAGTTACTTGATCTTGAGACTAAGGGTGATTACGAATTCGATATCTGCCAAGTGCTCTTCGATCTTTATGGTATCAAGTTCTCCACTTCCTCTGTTGACGGCACTACTGATCATGGATGTTCTCCTGAGAAACTGGATCGTCATACAGCTACCATGATGATCGACTTTGTTATGAGACAAGCAAACAAAATGAACATGAAAGACCTGTCCAAATCAGAGCTTAAGATGACCATTGAAAAAATGCAGCTTGCAATCGGTCCAGTGAAACCTCCTGCGCCACTTGGCTCAGTGAAAGCTTCTTCGCAATCACCGCAACTAAGCCTCAACAGGCGCGTTTTCAGCGCATACATCAAGGCCCCGATCAACCCCTCCCACCTTCTTCGAGCCATACAGGGAGTAACAGAACTTTCTATGCATCCAGTACCTGGAGAGAACGCCAAGATTGCCGCCAAGGGGTGGTATTTCCTCCTTGGTCATGCTACTCTGACGAAGTTCCGAGCTCAAAAACGCCTAAGTCCTGGATCGATCTCAGAGCTAGAAGATGCCATAACCTTCTTTCGACAAGATTTGGATAATGGAACTGGTAGATGGGAGACTTGGTACCGGCTAGCACAGGCCTATGACACAAAACTGGAGGAAGAGATTACATGGGGTGCAGACAAGATTAACAACAGCCGTACGGAACAGGAACTGGCTGCGACACAGAGATATGCAATCCATTGTTATGCAATGGCCGTTTCGGTGGCTGCCAACACTGCTGAGCCTACAGTAGAGACACGAAGTTTACTGTCTGATCTCTATACGGACTTTGGAATTCGCCTCTATGCTTCTTCTCGGGATCCACTCTCAATGGCTGCCTTCTCGTTGGAAGATTTCTCTCGACATTTCAGCAGCCAGGAAAGTCAACAGATGTATAAGGCACAGCCTTTCAAAGAAATGTCACGCTACTCTGTTTGGAATTTTGCCAGCAATCTTCTCAGGAAAGCAACCAATGAGAAGCCAAAGCATTGGATGTCAGTACTCAATTTCTATGAATTAGTGTGTTACCCGTGCTAATTGTGAACTAGAACCCACTACTTCCTCGGGAAGAGCTTGTGGAAGATGTTTAACTGCGATGACTCATTGCGTACAACCTCGAAACCTGTTGAAGTCCAAGATGTGCTAGATGCATTCCGTAACGCCATTTCAGCCCTTCCGCAACGCAGGGATTCGCGGGCTGATCCCATTTTCGAGCCTCACTTCAAGCTCTTGTCGATCGTTCACAGATTAGTTCTTGGAGAACATTTGACAGTAAGTATCATCCTCTCCTTTCTATGTGTTCTTTTCACTAAAATAATTAGCCTTCGGAGGGAAGTAAAATCCTCACCATCACTCCTTGGGCCCGCAAGGTGGATACGCCCGAAAATATGGACGCTTGGAAGCCTTACATCCTTGAAGTCATCAAGAAATTCAAGAGCGCCGATAAGTCGAACTGGCATCATCGGATGAGCGCCAAGGCTGCACATATTATCTATGATGATGACAAGAACGCGACGACAGCTGCAGCTGCAAAACATGAAATGTCCCAGATCTTCACAAAAACACTCACGATTCAAGTATGGCGGCCTGAATTCGAAAGGCCCGGTAGACATTTTGTGTACACGACGCGCTACGTCTATTTCTTTGTCAATTTGCTTGACCAGCTGGATGATCGTGCTAGCTTGGACCAATTGCTCCGCCGCGTCAGAAAGAAGCAAGGCGATTTCATCAACCATTCAAAGCTTTGGGAAGATGTTTGCTTGACCTTCGCCAAGATGATTCGGAGAGCTGCTCAAATCAACGAAGGCCACGAAGAAACTGTGTTCAAACCAATTGGCTGGGAAGAATTCTCTTCGAAGACAGCCCGACTGGAAAGCTTGAATGCTTTAGTACCAGAAAGCCAGGCTATTCTGGAGCTGATCCGGGACGCTCTGGAGTTGAAGAAACTCAACAACAACTTGATGAAGGTTACCATGTTTGAAGATCTCATCGCAGATCTCTACTCTCGGGTTTATGAGGTTAACATGCCTCTGCTTGTGGAGCAAGTGACTGAGGAGAACAAAGAAAAGATGAAGGTTGATCACCTTCTCATGACAGGCGACACAAACACCGAGGCCTCGACACCCGCTGCCTCGCTCCCAGCATCAGACACCCCTGCTCCCCGCGGTCGTACCAAGGGTATCGCTCGCCGGGACATTCAAAAGCGAGCCGATACTATTGTGAATCTGAAATTGGCACCCCGAACTGCGACGAGCAAGCTGACGTCTACCGGGGATGGTGAACAAGCAACGCCAACCCGACGGGGCTCCAATGCGGCAGCTTCTTCAGGCCCTACTTCTATTGCTGGAAAGCACGAGGCTGCGGCAGGACTTGACAGTGGAGCTCATGGTGCAGACCTCAATGCTCATCGTGATAGTGGTGATGAAACCGAGATGACCGATATTGATGAATCGAGACTCGATATCACCTCCTCCGAACGCAAGCCAAAGCTTTTCTCTAAACTGCGTGAGGAAGTGGGTGATACCGAAGATGATGGTGGAAGTGGAGATGAAGAGAATGAGGAAAATGAGGAGAATGAAGAAGTGGAGGGGGACGAGGATGAAGAAATCAATGAAAATGAGGGCGAAGGCGAGGACGAGGAGGAGGGTGAAGGAGATGCCGATGCCACTGAAGTTGAGACCGGTATCGAGGATACTCTAGATATCGACGATGCTGGAAATGACGACGAAGAGATGCAGGACGACGAGGGCGATGAAACAGTCATTGAGGATAGCAGGCTGGATGACCAAGATGATGAACATGAGGCTAAGGTCGATGAAGAGGATGACCCTGACAGGGCTACCCCCGGTGAGGACACTGAAAGACTGGACGCCATGGACACCATACCAGCTTAGCCTACTTGATCTTTCTTATTCTGCTTTATTTTTCTTGCGAGGGAAACTTTTTGGGGGCTTGGAGTTATGTCCTGCAAATGAGCACAGACCGGCGTTATGGAGATTTTATGGCTACATTTACATTGATACCAGCAATTGCTTTTGAGATTGCGTAATACTAGCATTTCCAATCCACGTTGACTCGAAAAATGATAAAATCTTGTCCCAGTATCGCACTGTAGCTAGACTCGGACTGTCCCTAGAAACTTTGAACTGGTATCATGAAGCAGCGGTTGTCTCTGTTCTAACGGCATAAACATTACTACTTTTAAGAAATAGTGCAGCATAAGATTCAGGATTAAAAGTCCGAGTCAGAAAATAACTAAAATTATTATGTTCAAACTTCAAATTAAAATAAACAAGTAGAAACCCAGAAGATATTATGCCCTGTTCCGCCAAATTTAGGAATTCAAAACGCCGAAGCCAAGTCTCCTTGCCCATGGGGTGTATCAAACAAATCCAGCAGTCCATAAAAAACAATTCATAACGGTCATGACAGGCGAAGCGAGCTCGCATTCTTCAAATATCCATTTCAGGACCCAAGTCCATCTTTCTGGTGCCCAGTTTTCTCATCTTTTTGCCTGGCGAGGATGGAGGAGGCGCAGGAGAGAACATGGTGTCTGTGAGGTTAAGTTGATTCATGCGCTGCAGAGCATTCTCGATGTCGCTTTCTCGGCCGAGGAGGTTGGATGACTGGCTGGGTGCAGCATTTTTGGCCCTAGGCTTCCGGGTGGGAGAATGCGAATGCATTTCACGCTCAAGAGCGGCGATACGGCGGCGAAGCTGCTCGTTTTCATTCTCAAGCTCTTCAGCTCTTTCATTTAAGGATGGTTCCGGGTCTTCGTAAACTAGCATGGATGATCAGTCCCGAACATGATGATTTGATTTGAAGTGAACAATATCAACTTACTGTTGAACCCACGAGAGACCAACTCAATTTTTCGATCAACGTGCTCATCATTGCGACCAGTCTGCATATCATTAGCATTGATGCTTGAGCATCTCCTCGATGTTGGTAGAAACTGACCTGGTCATCCCATGCACTTTGCCAGCGTCTACGTTCTGCCTCCATCATCTCATCCATCTCAGCCCAGCATTCCTCACGAACCTCTTGTTCGATATCAACACATCGCTCCTCGGCAGCTCTCAGTCTGATTTCCATTTCGGAGCGCATAATTTCTTCTTCGGCCAAACGGATAGCAAGGCCATGGCAATCACTCGTGAGCCGTGCAATCTCTGTGGTCGCCTGTTCCAGCTCTTCTGCAGATGCGTCATTGGGTGAAGTACGCCCACTAGTTGTTCGGTCTCGACCAGACGTGAAAGAATGAATAGACTCCGTAAGCGAAGGCATGCGCGGTACTGTGACTTCACGCGCTAATGCAGAGTACCGCAAGATCTGGGAGGTTGCATTGAAGTCACCGAGAGGATCGGCAGTGACAACCATGACAGCCTTCTGTGGATAATGACCTCGCGACATTTGGTTGGATGATGGGAAGGAGTTGGAAAATAGTAGTTCAGTGAGCTTGCACTGGCGGTAAGGAACAAGCGCAGTCTATATAATGTGAGTTGCGCACATATTTAAATATTGATTGGAGAAGCCCTACCTTGATGCCGTCTTGTAAGTTACTCTGCATTTGCAGACACTGACCCAGGTACATCAAACTTTCATTGATCTTTCCAGCCTCTACGAGAGTGGCACCAGCTGTCTTCGCGGTTCTTGCTCGTTCCGATCCTGCATTTATTAGCCAATAATCTTACATTCTTTCTCGAAAAACTCACCAGCTAAATCCACAACTGTGAGTGCGTTTCCCACCCAAGTGGTTTCTCCATATCGTTTGTTATGTGTGAGCTTCTTCACTTCGAGAGAGAAGAAGCCATGGCTTCGTGAGCTAACGCTGTTCGCTCCTGTGCCTGTAACTTTGCGCTCTGTCAACCCAACATCGAGAATAGACAGAGCTTCTTCATAAGTGCCACAGGCAATCTTACGGAGCCCCGCAACTACCTTCCGGTCAGGCGAGCCCTCAGTAGATTTGAACAATAATGGGCGTCGACGATCTTTCTGGTTATTTCCTCGAGACATCGTGTTGCCTGGGTTTATGGCGGGCGATAGAAGGTCGAAGATTCGGTCATTATAGACCTCGTACATAGAAACAAGCACCACATAATCGGCATCGGAATTGAGGTCAATAGCTAAGTGGCTCACGTCGGGAACTCGAGGCAGTGCGGTGGGACGGTCACGCGGTTGACGGCGAGGGAAGATCAATGCAGGGGTCGGCTCCTTAAAGACAATAAGTCGAGATTTAGCTAAACGAACTTCATGGGGATTGGGACGTGTGTAAGGAAGGGGATTGAAGGGGCCTGGATTCCTCTCCGGATGATCGGTCACTGAAGTGAGTCCGCTGGGCCAATCCGTGCGATTTTGAGTCGACGTTGGAATTGAGTCCGCCTTTGGTGGGCTTCCAGGGTTGATACAAGGTCTTGGAAGACCAGATCCAGGGGTAGTTGGACGCTTTACTGGCGATCCTGGGACATTGAGGATTATGGGGCTCCGTACCGTCAGTGGGGTTTGTGCGCGAGAGGGGCTCATAGGGGTTTGCGCTCTTGAATTGCGGCCGCCGTTCCCATTGGGTTCGCCATATACGGCCTCCAGAAACGTTTGGGCGGAAAATATTTGCGCTTCGGATGTATCAGACCCGGCGAGCGAGGCGAGCATCATGGGACTAATGCTGCCATCCTCCGTTTTCAGAGTTGGTCGCAGTGATCGGAAAATGACATCTAATGCCATTTGGGTCATTCCTCGTTGTGACTTGGATCCCAAAATGGTATGACTCTGCAACTATAAGTCTCAAATTGATCGACCCAAATGGGGGGGGGGATGCTCAAACCTTTCCGCTACCTGTCACTCCCAGTGTGGCCACCAATCCATCGCGACCTTCCTTGAGAACGCCTCGAATTAGGGATTCCATACCCGTGTCGTGGAATAAGTCCAACTGAGATGCGCTTTCCTCGAAAACTTTTGTAAAACCAAATCTCTCGATCGCACGCTTCCGCGAATCATTGGGAGGCTGTAGAGTGACATGAGTCGAGACAGGCGCGATAATCTCGGCGTCGTCCTGTGCCTCAGGAGGCTCGACAGCGAGGAAACGGTCGGATTCATTGTGTTTCTCGGCGAATGGGGGGCGAAGGCGGAGATAGACTTGAAATAATGACGGTTGGGGCTGTTTAGATGCCATATTGACGGTGTTCTGCAAGGTACCAGAACGTTGAGTTGTGGAGATGTGCAAAGAAATCGAGATCACATTCGATGTCCACAGATCTCCACCCGCGCTTTCCCGATGTGGAGGTGATGTGCGTTGTCACGGCAACCGTCTAAATTGTCATGTGATATTCACATCTCATTTTGAGCTTTTCAATATTTTATAGAATTTTATAGAATTATCGATAATCTACCTAGAGAAGGAAACTAGTAACTCATTCAAGGCTTATCATTAGAATCAAACACAGCCAGTACCTAGTGTAGTGGGGTACCCTGTCCCCTACTACACGTACCGTGCTAAGAATTACCGTTTGGTTACATCTCTGTTTTGTCATGTTTTCAGTCCCGTCTTTGTACGTACAAGAATGCCCGTCGTTATAGTCTAGAATACACACTCCTACACAACGTACATGTTGGTTGGTGTTATCCATTCATGCTAGCTGGATCGACCCGTGTATCTAGAATACACTGCCTAACGGTTCCCCTCTTCACTAGGTAGTACTTGACTATAAATTTTGAAATATTTCCTCTAGCCATCTCATATCCCGATTCCCAACAACACCATCAATTACTCGTGTCTACTTCCCTGAGTTTAGGGACCCCAAGGAGTATATTTATAAGTACTGATGCCGCGCTTCGCACAGCACTGTAGCAATGAAATTGGGAAAAGGTATCTACTCAGCACTTAACATTTGAGTCAGTGCTTGACCAGAAATCTCGGTCAAGTACATATGTGGACACTGTGAGTCTGTGACACTACAGCCAGGCTCACATACTTTAGTGCTTAGTCAGTAGTATGTATAGGTGACTGTACAGGTGGTGACATGCCCCTCTTTGAATATAAGTACCTACAGGGTTTCATACTCAGTTACCTACATGATTACCTAGAAGGGAAGGCTAGCTGCTATACAGTTAGATATAGACAGATATCTAAAGTGAGAGATAACTGAAGTAAGAGATATCCTAAAGTGAGAGGTAGCTGAATTAAGAGAGATATACTCATGTTTAGATGGAATAAACAAAAGAAAAAAAATCCAGGGGGTCTGCCTGCCTGCAGGGCTGTAGATAACACACACCTTGGTGGACTTCCTTCCTTCCTCATGCGACCGCCGCACACAGTTCGTTCCCCCTCCCACTAGAAAATCGACGGCCTGCCCCTCTGGGTATTCTTCCAGATGGCGAGCAAATCGAAAAACCACTGCTACCCAAGTAGGAAAAGAGCCTTGAGGTCTACTAACTTGAACAAAATTAGTATCAATCCCCTGTATCCATCCCCTACATCCCACAATGCCTCTCATCAACCAACTTGAGACAAAAGAATCCCCCACCGATACAATCAAAGGCCTGGAGGAACTTTTGAAATCCCCAACACCCATCATGAAGTCTCTCAACAGTGCCGGCCGGTATGAGTTGCTTGGTCTGGGTGTGACCTTCCTGACCATAATGTTCACTATGTCTATTGCTCGAAATGAGTACTACAGGTATATCCTGAGCCTATCTACCTCGGTGCGGGGAGCTTTGTTAGCTAACAATGAATTTTATAGGCAGAGAGGGGCATGGGATCCAACCCTGCCGGCCCATTTCAGAGGATTCCATAAGGAGACTACTGCCAGCAACCTAAAGGCTGATAAGGCCAAGGCTGAGCAAGAGGAGGTTGAGAAGAAGAAGGCTGAGAAGGAGAATGGTGAGAAGCCCACCCAAGAGACTAAAGTAAATTCTCCTGAGTCCTGATGCATCAAATAATTTGACATTTATTATGGTAAGTAGACCATGTATTACATGATTTACGATGGAGTGACCTCGGGAATGATGGATATAGCGTGTCACGGTGCTGCTGACATCTGGAGTCATGGATAGTCTTGCTAACTTCTGTCAGTGATCCACCTATGATGAATTTTTGGTGGCCGCACAAATTCAAATGTTGGTTTGGTTGTTTGCCCAGGTGGTTTCAACTTGGAAGTTTTAAGAATTTATAAAGTCTACACTAGACTTGAGGGCAAGTTGTATATATATTTTTCAAAGTCCTTGCATGTATCATTATTATCAACTTACATGATGGATTGATATCACATTTGAAAAATCAATTGACCCATTTGATGTCTCTTTTTGCCCATTTGGTTGGCTTTCTTCTAGCTTAAAATTATCTTTTTGCATCATACATACGCTGAGGCTCCGCAAGGCTCCACAAGGCTCCGCTTCCCGAGTACGAGATTACCATTTTGAGCAAGGTCGTGTACTCCAAGTCATTACATCCAAATCACCAGCGTGGAGTACGTGATCACAACCTTGGAAGAACTTGGAGCTTTTGAGCGGGGATTTTTCAATGGGACCACAAGACCCTTGAAATGACGCATGGGCCCGCTGTCTCGTATTGGGGCCATCATCTACGCCTTCTATGCGGATCTCGTGTTCGGAGACTCTGAACCATGGCTACTGATTTGCTGCCGTCAGCCCTGGAAAGATTCTCCATATGACAGCATACTGGATATGATTTGTGGTTCAATATATCCCAACTGGGTAACTCGTTTTCGCTTGAGACTAAATGTATCGAACTCAGAAGCACTTGAGTGTTTCCAATTCAACTTGGACATATATACGCAGGCCTTCCGCTAAAGCTGAAACCTTGAGTGCTTGAAAAGCATCAACAGATTCAACATTTGAATCCCTACCACTGGCAGCACTGCCTACCTACCTAGGTACTACTACTACCATCCGCTACTCAAAGTTTGAATACAGACTCGGACGAAACATTTTGAAGCATCTCCTCAGTGCCCAGGCAAGCTTTCAAATGTTCATTCGCATTTCATACAAATATTCATGGATGGATGCATTCTAATGCATACACAGCCTGATATCAAACCAATCTCGCTCCGAGTCTGAAGCCTTTACTTCAATAATGCTCGACCCAAGATCATACCGTGAGTTCCATTTTTGCAAACTATCATGCATAACGCTACAACCTTCAGGGCTTGGAAGCCGGAATTCTAATGACTAGTAGAAGAGGGAAGCCTCTGGTTCTATGCACCAAATAAAGGTGCCCCCATTGCCTTTGCGATTCTTTTCGCAATTTCAGGAGCTGTTCATCTATACCAAACTATGTATGAACCTATTCACTCAAAGAATATTGCCGTATATACCGAGTCAGTCTAACGTGCTCTATCCCTTACAGAAAGCACAAGTCCTGGAAAGTCACTGGCCTCTTGCCATGGTCCGCTCTACTTTTCACGGGAGGATTCATCACTCGCACTGTCGCTGCCTTTGGTGAATGGGATAATGTGAATATTTACATCGCAAGTAGCGTTCTGCTACTTGCTGGACCGTTAGTCCCCTTTTGCCTCCAAGACCTTACTTAACTCCTCAATCTCCAGGGCTTGACCCAATGACTTTCCCCCTCCTAGGCCCGTTCACGAAGGAGCCAATTATTTCATCCTAGGTCGAATCCTCTATTACATTCCATACCACTCACCCATTCATCCCGGTCGCGTGTACTCGACGTTCATTGCCCTTGGAGTTATCATTGAAGTTATAACTGCCAATGGTGCCGTTCAGCTTGCCAGCGCCAACTCTACACAGCAACAACAAAATGTCGGAAAGGCACTGCTCAAGGCAGCTTTGATCCTCCAGCTCATATTGATGGCTGCATTTGTCGCACTTGCCACACGATTCCACTTCAATTGCATAAAAGGAAGTGTGCTCAATAATAAGATTAAGCGTTGTCTCATTGTGCTATACATTAGTTGCGCGCTGATTACTGTTCGAACAATTTACCGCACAGTCGAGTACTTCACCGCGGCCAGCTTGAACACCTATTCCGATATCCAGCACATTAGCCCTGTTCTGAAACAGGAGTGGTTCTTCTGGTTCTTTGAGGTGGTATTTATGTACAGTAATACCACCATGCTAAACATCTTCCATCCTATGCACAAGCTGCCACGCTCAAACAAAATTTACCTCGCCCAGGATGGTGTGACGGAAATCGAAGGTCCAGGGTATGATGATCCTCGCCACTGGATCCAGAAGTTCATCGATCCGTTCGATGTATATGGATTGATTACACGACATGGCAAGCAACATGTGTATTGGGAGGCAGATCAATCACAGAACAAATCAGATGCAACCCCTCAGATGGTTTAGATATGGGGCTTCTATCATGTCATAGACGCTAGCATGTTGTTCGAATGTTAAGATATTTCTTGCTATTGATTCGTCTACCTGTCAATTTGAATTGTGAGATTTTGAAAGAGAATAGAAAGCATGTCCCCAGATAGCGGAAAGTTGCGAACAGTCAACTGGTAGTTTAGTTATATTTGATTGTCCAAAAATTTATGATTTCAACTGGTAGACTGTATAAGTACACTATTAAATGACCATTGGCATAGGTACAAACATTTGAACGTCATGACTTGAGGGTATAATGGGCTTCAACCGGTCTAGCATCGGCATCCCCGGGGCCAGATGAAGAACTGTGTCAATTTGAATGCCTCAGGGCTCAATTGCCACACGGTTTTCCCATGTGCCCCAAGATCTCGCTATGTACTGAAGCACAAAGAAGCTAAATTTCATCCTCTTTTCCCATCTCCTCTTGAATTTCCCAACTGTACCTTGCAAAACGACTCTTCTTTCGAATTCTCTCACCATAGCAAATGAACAAGGGTGGAACAACGCAGAATACCGTTGCAACAGCGGCCAGTATTGAAACGGCGATATTGGCACCTAACCCATCGAACATCTGATTTGTGAAAAGTGGAAATGTTGCAGATAGCATACCTCTCATGAATGCAACAGCCGCGGTCGCACTCGCTGAGTAACTCAAATAACTGTCCGATATATACCCATATAAAACCGAGTCTAACTCTGTCAATGCATAGCCAACAAGAACTAGTGCGACGGTGGGCACTACCCAGTGTCCACCTAGTGCCGGTACCTTAGGCGGGATGGTCCATCCGAACCACCATAGCCCAACTGCCAGGAAGGGCACACCGATTGCCAGACCTGCTAGCTTGTGCTCTGGCTTGATCGGAAGACCTTGATCGCGTCGACGGTTGAAGATATAGCAATCGAGGATACGGGTCAGAGTGCTAAAACAAGTCCCTAGACCAATCGCCATAAAGATCAATGAGGCTTGTGATGCGGAGAAGCCCATAGATTGATAGATGGGTTGCAGAGCTTCGGTGAAAATGTAAATAATAGACATTGCAACAGAGATCATCATAGAAATTGTAAAAATGATTGGCTCTTGGAAAAATAATTGAACTGGTCTGAAGAGGGCTTCCTTCGCGAACGTTTGCATATCCGGAGAGTGATCGTGATTCAGGGCCGATGGAATTGTGGGAAGTATGTGCCGCAGCTTATTAACCTCACATGTCAAGACGCAAGACGATCGGGATTCTTTGATGAACATTAATAGGATTGTGAGAGCCGCGAGAATCATTGCGTAGGTAAAAAATACCCATCGCCTAGAAGATGTTGAAGCTTAGCATCAGTCTTGTCTTCAACAATGAGAAAGTAGTAGACCATACCAATCTAGAGCCTCAATGATATAACTGCTCATGATAGGCCCAAGTATCAAGCCAATATTGGAAGCGGCAGTCCAGAAAAACACGACCCAGATTCGGGCCTGACTATTGAACAAATCTTCAATACTTCCTCCCAGAATGGTTCCAGGAACCGCCGCAAGAGTGCCAGCAATAATGCGCATAATAATAGCTGTGGGTAGAGAATGAACAAGTCCGATGACTGCACAGCAGATACTGCTCAGACCACTGCTGAGAAGGTACATCCTCTTCCGCCCAAAGCACTCAGACCATGGAGGTAAAACAATGTTACCTAGACACTGACCAAGGAGGAATCTAAATAATTGTTAGGATATCAAAGCTCAAGATCCGTACTGATACTCATACAAAGAGACAAAGCAAAAAGTTGCCAAGGTTGGATCTAGATGATATTCGTGTTTTGCTTCTGCTGCTGCGGCCGCCTATATCTGTACTTCAGCTATGTCCTTGTGATGACCAGGCCGACGACTTACACCTGCTGTACTGCTTGCAGTTCTGAGAATATGATGTTAGCAACTCGGAAAACCATAAACCTTGGTCATCAAGACGGAACACACACATAAAGAGATCCAACAAACAGATAACCCCTGTATCGTAAAATTTCCGAAGCCCCGTCCAATTCCTCGGATATTTAGGATTGTCACGTCTCCATCGTAGAGCGCTTCCATCCGGAGTGAGTTCGAGATGTCGCTCTCGAAGCTCCTTCTCTAATGAGATCTTGGACTCATCCGACTCGAAGTCTGTCATATGAAGCAAACTAGACTTCATACTGAATCATTTGTTGACTGTCTTCTCTTCTGAAGATCCATAGAAACCTTCAAGTTAGAATCAATCTTATATAGAGCACAGTACAGTTCCGAAGTCGGGATGGGATACAGCTCGGAAAATTTCTTATTTCCATGCACTTGATATTTGATTCCATGTACACATGTGTCACATGTACATTATTGGCGCGTAGCACACAGGGGGGATTTGATTAGCTTCTTTTTATTACTCCGAAGAATGAGAGGCTGCCTCTATGGTATGTAAAGGCTCCGCTCTTTTCTTGGGCTGAGAATATTTGATCTGCAACTATAATCCCGAGGAATAAGACCTCACACATATATTATATGAGATAAGAGGTCAATATAATGGACTGATACCTGGATTACTATGTATGGATTAAAGTGATCAATCAATTAAATCGGTTTATATCTGGTTCAACTTCCAAGGTTAAGTGTGACCCCATACTCCAAGGGATGAACACGACGGCTATCTGCATTCCTTGGGTTACGAGGGGGGGACCTTTCTGAACTGATCCAAGTTAATATTGATGATCCAGCATATAATATTCATCAATGAGTTCTTGAAAATATGACAAATGATGTCAAAATCCAAAATAAGATTCCATAAGATTCCGGGATAAGATTCTTTTGCTTTATGCCGCAAAATGGACAGTGCATGACGTGGCCTAACTTATCGCATCATTGAGTGTCTCATATGAAGTGAAGAATTAATCTACAAGAGATATATGTGCATATGTGGTATATCGTAGTACCTCGGAGGGGAAATTCAAATATTGGAAACATTGATGTGAAGTGCATTGATGTGCCCAGGTAGCATGGTAAGCATAAGAGCGCAAGTCCAATTGATCGGTATCGTACAGCTTAAGTGCAGGTCTTAATGCATGTGTACAAAGCCCCGGGTCTTGATCAACTATGATTCACCTGTCAGTGGGTAAGGCTGGCTATTCAACCCAAAAAGGAGGACTCTTAAACATTGTCTAATTGGGACAATTGATGTATGGCTGACTATGATACTTGATTAGCTAGAAGTTGATGCATTATCTCTCCAACTGTTGCAAAAACCAAGAACTTTTTATTAATGGAGATTTTTTGTTCCCAAGTTCTAAAGCTCTATTCAGCCCAAAGTGATAGTTAAGTTAGGGATGACTGCGGGTATAGTAAGAGGGCAATTGTGAAGGCGGCGAGACGCGGCGAGACGGAGGCCACCTCTCCGCATTCAAGATAATCAGCTCCGCAACAACAACATTTGAACTCGGCACTGCTGGGACCAGTGAGCTTCTACCCTGATCTTATGAGATCCCTGACCTACCGCTAATACAATCTATCTTTATAGTTCTTAACAACTACCTGAAGTCCTCATTCTTTATCCCACCGTATCGTGACGACCTCTGCGAAGCTCCCTTCTTAATCTTACCTTCCACGAGAGTCGCCTGCCATGCTATCCTCACTATCCTCCGGTGCCACAAATGTCCGACAGACAATAGGACAGGTGCTGAACTTTGCACTGTAAATATCCGCCACTTTGCGATTCCTTGGCCTAGTGTCCCGCTGACAATGCGTAGCGTTCTATCAACAGCTTTCATGCTCTGGAAGGGTCTTTCTATCTTTTCGGCAAGCAGCAGCCCAATCGTTGTTGTTCTTTCCGGCTCGATGGAACCTGCTTTCCAACGCGGAGACTTACTTTTCGTGAGTTGATCCACGTTCTTCACCAATTCACACTTGGAACTCTAGACTGATATGGTGGGCCTTAGCTTTGGAATCGCAGTCCTAGAGCAGAGGTTGGCGAGGTGGTAGTGTGAGTATCCGCAATCATAAGGATTACATTTTCATGTGAGGTTAATACTGACTGGGAATAGGTATAATGTGCGAGGAAAGGATATCCCGTAAGGAAGCCCGCGTCGCCCGAGTCTTCCTCCCACTGACAGTTCCTAGCATCGTGCACCGTGTTGTCCGGACATTTCCCGAAGTTGACGCCAAGAATAAAGTCAAAGAAATCACAGTGTATGTGGACTTTCGTGCTCTGAGACCTCTGGAGAAACCCTCATTTTGCGATTGTCTAACTAACTGTTGTTTAATATAGTGATATGACGCCCAGTACCCACATGCTGCTAACCAAGGTATGACAATAGAGTTTGAATTGTGATGGTTTTTTTTATAGTAACTGACAATCGCTATTTGTTATTTAGGGTGATAACAATCTTGCCGATGACACTGAACGTTTGTGCAACCCTGTCTAGTTTATTTTTATTGCTCTGAGACTAATGATCGATCTCCCAGTTTATGCGAAAGGCCAGGATCACCTTGACCGAGAGGCCGATATTGTTGGATCTGTTCGGGGATATATCCCCATGGTCGGCTATGTGACCATCATGCTATCTGAGCACCCCTGGCTAAAGACCGTTCTGTTAGGTCTGATGGGACTGATGGTTATGTTGCAGCGGGAATAATCTATAGAGTGTATTAAAAAGCGGATTTAAGTAACTGCTCCCAAATACGAAGATTTCATAAATATCTAAAGTACAAATTAAGAAGAAAAAAAGCTGTGTCCTGTATCTATAATTATCTAGTAAAGTACATAGTTTGTAGGAAAGATGTTTTGTTTTGGGGCTCTGGAGCTGGAGCTATTCTGACCCTGCGGGCCGATATTGACGTCTTCGCGCACCCCCACTTCCCACTCCTCGGAGCTTTGAGCTTTACGACCTCGGAGCTACCACACTTCATTCGTGACTCACACGGTGCAAGTATTTTGACGGCCTTTCATTAAATCCATGATTAGATCACTAAAGCTGATCTTCTAGACTTCGCCTTTCAGACAAAAGGCACGTCTCTGCCATCAACGCGCACCCCGCAGTCATCACGCGCCCCGCTACAAGGTGATCAGAAGTGACAATATGGGTAGTCTGAAGCGCATTTCAAAGGTAAGCTAATCATCTTCTGATCACAATCTTCTTTGTATCTTGTGGTGCGCTTTCGGGTGCGGTTACTGATTCTCATTTCTCTTATCACAGGAGCTGGCTGAGCTCACAGAGTCGCCCCCGGAAGGTATCACTGTTGAGCTGGCCGATGAGTCCAACCTTTATGAGTGGAAGGTGTACATGGAAGGTCCTGAAGGTTCCCCTTATGAGGTAAGGCGTTCTACTATACTTATTCTCCGATGGCCCGGGATGTTCCCCTGCCAACCCAGTCAGGCAGGGGGCAGTCAAGCCCGGACAACGGCTACAAGGGGGAGGAAACAAACCCCGAATTATATTCCTATTTAAAAAAGACTTATTACTGATCTATTTGTTCACACAGAAAGGTCGATTCCTAGTCAAACTTTCCCTGCCAACCGGGTACCCCTTCAAGCCTCCTACGGTCTCGTTCGCAACAAAGATCTACCACCCCAACGTGACAAATGATGAAAAGGGGAGCATGTGTCTTGGTATGCTGAGAGCGGATGAATGGAAGCCCAGCTCAAAGATCAGTGCTGTGCTGCAGTTTGCTCGTCAACTGCTCGCCGAGCCCATGCCCGATGATGCGGTCGAGGGTCGGATTGCTGAGCAATACAAGAACGACAAGAAGCGATATGAGGAGATTGCGCGCGAGTGGACTCACAAGCATGCAAATGCTGATGCTAAAGCTTAATAATCGGGACAAGGACCCATGAGCCACGCCTAATGACTTCGACGCTGCCAAATTCCTGCATCTCTTTCTCTGCAATAGCCCTTTGGCCTGTGTAATGACTCGGACAAGCTGAGACCTGTTCCCAAGACTTGTGCCTGAACATATCAAAAATAAAATGAATCAATCTCGTTGATCCCATGCACTTATTCTTTTTACTTGATGAAATTCTGTAGCATTTCAAGCTCCTCAGTAACAATCGTAGACATGTTTGAAATCAACCATCGGGAGGTTGTCAAGAGCTTGATTCAGCGTGGATCAGTTGAAAGCCAGGATATGCCAGTGTCCTGTATATTGGGTGGCGACTATAGGCTGCCGTACATGACTGCTGCAGATGTCTCTGATCCTCTCAATCTTTGAATTTCCCCAGGCCGCAACAACTGTTCGCACGATTTAACGAAAAACAATTATATCTACTGGGCCAGTCTCCCGTAGCAACTACCTGTTAGTAAAATGAGACAAATTTGCCTCCAGAGCTGAGGCTTGAGTACCCTCTCCTTATCTCCGGGGCTGAAAAGTGCTCTAAAGTAGTAGGTGCAGGATGCATACATATGTGAGCCGCTGTTTACCGCACACTTTCGTGTTGATTCATCAAATTTCAATCATCCGAATGCTTCTGGAAATTGAGCAATTTGAGAGTAATTTAGGTGTGGAGCTTTAACTTGAATGTTGCCTTGAGCTGATACTCTGAAATATGACAAGGATATCTGGAGATGCTGGTCCATACCTTGTCCACGTCACTCAAAGATTGAAGTAGCGCTAATTGATGCAGTAGCAATTCGAAAGAAATCCGAGCTGTCACTTTCTTTTGTAATGATTGCATGTGCCGCATCTTCCCCATACAGAGGGAACAAGTTCCCCGGTAGTTACTTCCAAGGTTTCTTATAGATGGCCCAGCCCCACCCGTGAGGTTTTTTGACTCTGACACGGAGTATATCTATCGTGTATGGTTCGAAACCTTGAAATTTGAAATGATGAACATGTCCACGGGTGTAGACACGTGTTTTCGCAACATATTTCAATTCAGTGCTGTCAATACCGAGACTTGATAGATGTCACGATGTTTCGTCCGCCGTGTCTTAGCAGGATCATGCACCTGGGCATCATCGTGATCTTAATTTTGTCACCGTAGCCGGTGAGCATGTCCACTTGCATGCAGACTTCGGATTCTGTATACCAGGCATCTGGGCCTAATTGGTAGTCGCGGTTATGGGACTGAAGTGTCTCACCGGGCCAGATGCAGTTCAAGTTTTCAATATCGGGACATTGGTCACAAGATCATGATATGAATATACCTGCATATACTGGGGACTCGGACTTCAACTTCAACTTCCTCTACTATGTTCAGAGCTTGACAATGCTGATAAAATGAAGATAAAGATTGTGGGTAAGAGGAGTCTATTCTGAGCAACTATGATAGATCATTCTTTGATAACGAGGGACGAACGACAGTTAAGCGAAAACACATGGCTGCAAGGTTTCTTCCCTGGTTGACTTATCACAAACCGCTAGATTTGATCCGCATTAGACAGTTTCATCCTTCCCCGGGCCCCTTTTACAGCTTGTTTTTGGTATGATATGATTGGATGATTATTAAATTAAGGCCTCTTATTGGTCCTATCAGCAGTACTGATCCACTTTAAACCAAGGTTGAGTCCTATAAACGTGAAAGTTAATCTACTTGAACCAGCTAGAATGATAGATGTCATGAATATAGGTATGAACCTTTAACTTCCAAGAAGAGTGAGGAGACCTGTTGACTACCACTATGTACTAGTATTAGTGCAGTGAGGAGTTGCATCTGAGCAGTACCGGACTATTACAGGAAACTTGAATACAATCAATAGAGTCCTGGAGTATTTCCGACTCCTGGATAGTGGATTCGTGGATCTAGGCGTAATTTGTGATTCTTAAACGAGGCCATTCAAGAACATTTTGAATACGTCTCAAAAAGGTAATATAGCTTCCAAGGTTCAGTTTTAGGAGAAATACAGTCGTGCGGACTCTGTACTCCGCACTACTCCGCACAGGGAATGTATTCGGTTGTTATGAATTTGAACAATGATGCATTCATTGACGATAGATCTATTTTCGGGACTATTTGCCCTACTTGAAAATGTGGAGAGTTGGTACCTAGGTATGTAACATTTGAAACATACGGAGTTCTCCGTACTCCCCCTGTAATGGAATGGGCTTCGAGAACATTGCACAGACACATTCCTAGAATCGTGATCATTCAATGGTGTTGTGGATCCTACCGAGATGCCCATCAGGGCCTAGATAGACATCGTTATCCACCCGGCCGCGACCTCCGGAGGACTTGGTACTCTTAATTTGCACCAGTGAATGCCCCTGGGATATTCTAATGAACACATGAACTGGTGTCAACATAGATGTTTTCCTTTGATCTGACTTTTAATCACAAGGATAAGATGAAGAGTATCAAAGGGGTGTATGTATAAATTCATCACCAGGGCAATAGTGTTGGGGTAAAAAGCAAAGCCCAACATTCTCATCTCGGCATTTGGGCCTAAGCCTAAGCCTAAGCCCTGAAGGATCTATGCGTAAATAGTCCCTACTTAGCACTATTATTGATTTTAAGATGCTCAATGGCAAAAAAACCAAATAAAAAAAGAATCTAATAGGAGAATTGAATAGTTGCAAGGTCTTTTACCGTCTCCAACTTGTCAGGGTAACCGGATGTATGCCCAGATGCTCCAGACTGTACTCCGTAAACAAAGTCCCTGATCGGCGATGCATCCGTGGTCCCTCCCGTTGCGCATACATAGGACATTGTACAGCTCGTATCCCCAGAAACACCTTAATTTATTCCAAAATTCTTATTAGACAAGTCAGATTTTTAGAAATAAAAAAGAGGAGTAAATTACTTACCAGTAAAATTGACTTTTTTCTTGTATTTATGAAATTATGAAATTATGAAACGCCCTTGCCAGTCTACGTCATGTGACGCTAAACCAGATCAGGGTTCTGTTGATTTTTGTCTCAAAATCATCTTCTTTTCCCTCATTCCAGTCCTCTGGCAGGCTGTCCTTTCTTTTCGTCTTCCTTTCTGGTTAGAGAGATTCAATTCCCTTTGACCACTCCCAAGAGCAAGGTTTTGCTCAGCCTTTCGTTCGATTTTTCATTGCCTCTGGTTCTCTTTTTCTCTCCTTCTCGGCCGCGATAACCATAAAGCCTGCCCTGAAACGGAGTACAATATACACCACGCCATACACACGCGACTATTTTCCTATTCGCCAATTTCAATTTGACCACTTTCCGGCTCGAGATAGCCATCAAATTTGATTTCTTCCCGTCGCAAAAAACAAATGTCCAGCGGGATCTGGTTGCTAGCTCGTGGCCATGGTCACAGAAAATGGAAGCTCGAGATACCCGCCTCCCTTGGTTGAATCGGAATTACGAGGTCGTCGCAAAATTGCCAATGGACCCCGATTAGATCCCCTGCGGATTGATCCACGTGTGCCACTGACCAACATACCTTCCCCGAGAGCGTCGCCGCGTTCCCTCAACCAGCCGTATCGCACGCGTTCGCGCTCACCCATTCCCCCGGGAAGCCAACCTGTCTCAGATGATCGACCATGGCTTCCTGAATCCTTGCGGGCAGGTTCCCCGCAGGACAATGGAGAAGAATGGAGAGCAAAGAGATCTGTCTACCCACCTTTACCATCCCCCGAACACCATCCTCCAAGATTCTACCCGCGCGATAACGAACCGGACCGACCACCCCCTCGCAAGGCCCCGCCAGCTAGAGGTGGGCTGCGCATATCCATGTCCACATCTAGACTACACGGGAGGCGGCCCAGATTGCAAGAATCCCCAGACCGCCGCCAAGAGCTAACGCCTCATGGTTTGCCAATACCGCGCTTTCCTTCCAACGGACCCGCGGACGATAATAGCCTTCGAACCAGTGTCAATTCTGCGATGACCTCTCGATCTAGCATTGAGCAGCACAGTGGTACAGAGCGCAGCAGCGTTCTCACCAAGAGTAGCTCAATTACTGATATGTCTCCAGATACGCCCGATGCTCCTTACAGCATGGATGGGGGTATGAGTGTTGAAGATGCAATCTCTATGTACTTGGATGGATTCAGTGATGTAACAGAGGAGCCTGGTTCTCCAAGATCCCGAGCAGATAGCAAAGCGCCGTCAATAACACCGCCTCCTTCTCGGGATATGCACCTGGAAGGTATACCACCTCCGAAGCCTCTCATGGAGGAGGTTCCTCCCGTTCCTCCACTTCCAGCATCAGCATGGGTTGAACCTGTGCACGTGGATTCTACAATACCGCTACCACCTTCTGAAGCTCCTTTACCTGAAACTGCTCCATCGGAACCTCTACCACCTGTGATCTCTACACCTCCACAACCGGAGGCCTCATCCTCCGACCACACCTCTAGCATTCAGTCTGTTCACAAACGAGCACAATCCAAAATCTTCATTCCAGGCCCTGTACCTCCTCCATTCAATTCGGGAAATGAAACGAGAGATGATTATGGGTTTCGTAAAGCAACTCAATACGTGACCCGTGAGCAGTATGACGGGTGGAAGGGCCCGTATTCAAATTACACAGCTCAACGAAGAATGAAGTGGCATGCTATGTTACAAGAACATGGTCTTCCGATCACAAACCCCTCCACATTTCCACCCCAGTCGACCAAGCTCAAACGATTTGTGCGAAAAGGAATTCCATCTGAGTACAGAGGTGCTGCGTGGTTCTGGTACGCTGGTGGGTATGAGCTCCTGAACAACAACACTGGCCTTTACGATAAGCTTGTGGCGGAGGTCATGGCTTCACCTAGCAATGATGACAAAGAGCACATTGAGCGTGATCTTCACCGAACCTTCCCCGACAACCTTCATTTTAAACCGGAATCTGTTGATGCTGCAGAGAAATCGGGCGGCAACCCCCAGAGTTCCGGGGTAACGGAGACGCAGATGATTCAATCTCTTCGTCGAGTTCTGTATGCCTTTGCCCTCTACAATCCTAAAGTGGGATACACTCAGTCGCTCAACTTTATCACTGGCATGCTTCTCCTTTTCCTCCCCGAGGAGAAAGCCTTTTGGATGTTGCATATTATCACCTCGGTCTACTTACCTGGCACACATGAAATCAGCCTGGAAGGTGCAAACATCGATCTTTGGATTCTAATGGTTCTCCTACGGGATACCACGCCCGCAATCTACGCCAAAATAGCCAGCATGGGAGGCACTCCCACTGGCCGTGGCAAACCTCCTCCCCTGAACGTCAATTCACGTTTGCCTGACATCACTCTGGGTCTGACGAATTGGCTCATGTCTGTCTTCATCGGCACTCTCCCTCTAGAAACCACTCTGCGTGTCTGGGACATCTTCTTCTACGAGGGATCCAAAACATTCTTCCGTGTCTCATTAGCTATATTTAAAGCTTGTGAGCGCGATATCCTAGCGGTCTCCGATCCAATGGAAGTCTTCCAAGTTGTGCAAACCGTGCCCAAGAAAATACTTGATGCCAATGCTTTACTAGAAGACTGTTTCTTGCGAAAACATCGAGTTGGACAAGGCCGCATCGATGAATTGCGTGCTGCTCGCCGTACAGCTGTCCGTCAAGAGAAGATGCGTCGATCAATTGCTTTCAGCAAGGGTGAACTAAAGCCTGCGACAGATGATTTTCCCGTTCGTCGGCGGAACGCCCATCCTGGTATTGAAACTCGAGTGGCTGACTCCTGGCGCCATCTAAAGCACCATGCATTTCGATAAAGCTGCATTTGAGTTCCCTTGATCCGTTGTTCGGGGAAATCGAGCCTGATATAGACCTGAAAGTGGGACACTCGGATCCTTGCTGGCTGGCCAAGAAATGGACAGTTGTACAACCTGCAGGGCTCGACCACTTTGGACCAATTGGGAGCTCTGTACTAATTTTCCTAATCATAATTATGTCAAGTTCAACAGAGCACTGCAGGCATCCGAACAGACCTGGATGAAACCTCCTTGCATTTACTTTTTCTGGCTACTTTCTGGGCGTTGTCATGGAAAAAAAACGATCGCATCATACACTGGATCACGCATGGCATTCATATCTTTTTTTCTTTATTCTTGTATATAGAACATATTATCATATTCCCCCCAAATACAGGTCTTTTGGCCCTTAAATCTAACTTTTTTTTTCTGAGATTCAAGGGTCCAGCGATCCCCGATGAACATGAAGATAATTGAAGATCATTGGAGATTGGACCGTGTTACTTCCCGTCTTGATGTTGCATGTCGTCATGGATTTCCAATGCGGAAATAAAAACCTCCTTACTTCCTGCCCAAAATGTTCCTTGATTTCTTCTTCTCTTATTGATTCATGCGTTTATTCTAGATGATGCAGTCATGAGTGGTCAAGCAGCGAGTTATTACAATCCCAACCAAGGGTTCGACCAGCAGGGTCAACCCATCAACTATACCAATGGCTATAATCAACAGAATGGGAACTACCAGCCGCCTGTCGCAGAGCCAAAACCCCCACCTCCATACCCAGAGAATGCGCCGCCTCAATCTGGTCAGACTTTCAAGGAAGCCTTCAAGATCGACCAGCCGAAGTATAACGATATATGGGCAGGGCTCTTGGTAAGTGATACCTTTGGGTAGCATTTGCATACTATATCAAGGTGCACACGAGATGGAAGCTAAATGAAAAACTTCCACAGCTGATCGCGGTCTTCCTGGGCTATGTAGCAGTCTCGGGCTTAACAATCCACTCGTACGCGACGAACAAAGGATTCAGTGGAGGAGGCATCTATGACTCAGGGAATGATTTCTCATTGAACACCAACACGCTTGTCTTATTCATCTTCGTCCTGTGTGTCGCGCTGGTCTTCTCATGGGGATATTTCATGGCCGCGCGCTATTTCACCAAAACCTTCATTTGGATCACGGGTATCTTAAATATCGTCTTCGCTCTTGCAACAGGCATTTACTATATCGCGCGCAAGCAGTATGGAGGAGGAATAGTGTTCCTTCTATTTGGTGTCTTCGCGATTATCTGTTTCATTAGTTGGATCCCGCGTATCCCGTTTACTGCATTCATGCTACAGACCACTATGGATATTGCTCGAAAGCATGGGAATGTCTTCCTCGTCAGCGCGTTGGGCGGTCTCGTGACTGTTGCGTTTTCGGCATGGTTCTCAGTCACTCTTGTCGCGATTTATGTTGCATACGAGCCTGATTCTACTGGTACGAATCCAGCATGCGCAAATGGCGGGTGCAGCAACGCGAAGGTTATCGGTTTAGTGGTTTATGCTACTTTTGCCATGTATTGGCTCAGCGAGTGGGTCAAGAACACGGTTCACACCACAATCGCGGGTGTATACGGGTCTTGGTATTTCTGGAGTCGGTCAGCAGGTGGAATGCCAAAGGGTGCTACTCGCGGAGCGTTTCGTCGTGCGACGACTTATTCCTTTGGCAGTATCAGTTTTGGCAGTTTGATCATTGCCATCATCAACATGATGCGCCAAGCATGCTCTGTTGCTCAACGACAGGAAGCCGCACAGGGAAATATCGTGGGTTCGATATTCATCTGGATTCTGGGTTGCTTTATCTCTTTGCTTGACTGGCTAGTCACGTTGTTCAATCGCTATGCCTTCTGCCATATCGCACTATACGGAAAGGCTTATATCCCTGCTGCAAAGGATACATGGACGATGATGCGCGACCGTGGAATTGATGCCTTGGTGCAGGATTGTCTGATGGGCCCTGTCTTGACTATGGGTTCTACCTTTGTGGCCTATGTCTGTTCCTTGCTGGCTTACTTGTACTTGCAATTCACCAAACCGGCTTACAACTCAGGTGGTGATTTCACTGCTGTTATCATGGCTTTCTCGTTTGTGATTGGTCTTCAGATTTGCCAGATCTTCATGACTCCTATCGGAAGTGGTGTTGAGACTATCTTTGTGGCGATGGGTTGGGATCCTCAGGTTATGATTAATGATCATCCGGATATCTATTATAAGCTTGTTGAGCTTTACCCGCGTGTTCAGCAGGCGGTTCATGCTTGAGTGGAGAGCTTTATGCTGTGATGAGTTTGATGATGGGCTGGTTTATTCGATGGCTATGAGTATATGATTATGCCTTGCTTTCCTAGATACTCTGTTATTTTGTAGGTACTCGTGGGCACTTCTATAGTAAATTAATGAATTGATATCTTCCAAGGTTTAACCTTGGAAGTTCAAATGTTTGAATACTAGCACTTGAGGGCGCAATTACCACTACGACGACGAATATCATTTACTAAGGGTAAACTCAAATTTGCTCAGGTGGCTCCAATAACCTTGGAATTCTCCTTAGTAATTTCCTATATTACTAAGAAAACAAATAATAAGACCTTGGAAGTGCTACTAAGCTCAACTTGGACGTTGAAACGCTCCGCTTCCCAAACAGGCCAGAGATGATATACATCAAGATCAAAATCCTTTGATTTCAACTTTTCTCTCCCAAATCCCTGCAACATACCGAGCACCGAGCAACCCTGCTAGTTAATAATACCAGGCTCGACCTCAGACCTCAGCGTTGTATGAGTCCTTCATCTACCACCACCATAGCCCGCTTCCTTCAAGTTGGCATATTCAAGGGCAAGAAGCTTCAAAAGGTTGAAGTTGAAATGGAATCAGAGCGAGAAGATAACATATATAAGCTCCAGCACAATCGTGAAAAAAAGGCCCGGCGTCACGGTTGGGACAAGGGTAAACGTGAACTAATTGATGGGTTTCTCCGACTTGAGCGCCGACTTCGAGAAATTACTCAAAGAGAGATTCTTTTACAAGAGAAAATGAATCAAAACGACTTCAAGTCAGATGTCAAAGAAGTGGAAGAAATAGGAAAAGAGCTCGAAGAACTTCCAGCAGAGTTCTTCATGACTGAACAAGAAAGAAAAAGTCTATGGCCAAAATTGAGCACCTCGACAAAAAAGGGACTTAACCTATGGCGACCACAGCCTGAATGGTATCTCCATAAAACACTTGTCCAGGATTGTGTTGATAGAGGCGGATGTTGTGGTCGAGCTTGTGGATGCTGTCAAAAGCGCAAGCACCAACTTGAACCTAACCGCCGGTTAGGAGTTGGTCATTGTACAGTTGAATGTGGCTGTTGCGAAGCAGCTCATGGCTTTGCCTTTACGGATAAACAAAAGGAGACCATGAAATTGTATTATCCACTGAACCCCGATAGTGATTCTAAATACTTTCGGAAGATTATGCTGGCTTCGAAGTATGGTCTTATTGATGACTGTACTCAGCGCCCATTTGATCTCATTGATAAACCGCCAAAACATGAGGAGATTCAATGGGTTTGAGAAGAGGATAGCTGGGACTATGACCACGATATGAGAGAAATGAAGTTTGGTTATACATGGGGACTTGCGGTGTATTTTACATCTTCTATTGCTTCAAAAGAAGCTCACTTGGAAATGTTGCTAACTAGTATTTTTACTTTTGCTCCAATCCTCGGTGCTTCTGTCAAAATTCAGGTTTTATCATATTGATTAATCCAATATTTGAAGCTTGAAGATTCAAAATGGATGTTCTAATAGTCCAATTTACTATTACAACCTTTTCCACTCCCATCATCAATGCCACATACTGTTGACATCGCCGCAGCGGGAGATAGAAGGAGGGTTACGAATAATGTGCGCAAGACAAGATTTGAATGTAGCCTTGATTTTCTCTAAACTTGAATCTCAATGAAGATCACACACACTGGCAAGCACTTGAGTCTATAACCTTCCAAGGTTGGAAGTAGGATATCTTGACTATAAACAGACGACGTCATTTGATATTGAGCTCAGCTGCACCTGACTTCAGGTACCACATATAACTAGAAAATAGGGTGCCAACAAGCTATAGTAAACCTGAAGTCACTTCAAGTTCTCTTTGCCACATACGGCATAACCGCACCGTGAAGAAGCCTCCATCACCCGCACTCCGCTGTTATCTTTCCTCACCTAGCACATGTGCATGAACTAGAAGGCTCTTTTTACCTGGCAGTGACTCGTGGTATAAAGCAGGTGACCCTTACCCCCAATGATATGCTTATGTACTTTCACGTTGTCGGAAATGGTAAATCGTTACCAACCCGACACCTGGGTATCATTGAGAAGGGATTTTACCCAGTGGATCAGGAAGACAAGGGCTCCTTGGAGATTCATTCAAAATGCGAGGGGAGTTAAACTCGTTGCATCTAGCGTATGACTTCAAGCTTATCAAGAAATCGAAGTGTTCGGGGAAGCTTGTTGAGGTATCAACACGATCGCTGAGAATATTGCGGTCCATGAAGGCCTAAAATGAATGGCAATGCATGCACAGCTTGGAGAAGATAATTTGAGTTCACGGCCGCCTTTCCCAGTAAAGAATGGTTTGCTTTTTTTTCTAGTGTGGCACTGGGACAATTCTATGAGCCTGCTTGAGGTTTCGCAAATCCAGCAGCGTCTACATGTTTGTTCGAGTACTTCTTCGCTTACCTGTTCACCTACCTGTCAGCCTACCCGGTGAAATAGTCGCGCACCTAATAAGTCGTCTGTATACTTTCAGATATATTCAATGTGAACTTTAAGGTGTCGCTCAAATGTGTTGGACCATTGTATTCACAAGCTGAGGACCTACACTACGACTTCTGTATTATCTAGCCCGCTACAGGAGCAAGAATGATAGTAGAATAAATCATACTTCATTGATCATTATAGTTTCAATATCCATAGTACTACCCAGTCAATCGGCTCTCCAAGGAACAGATAAAAAAAAATATAAACTCCCAAGACCCATAAAAGGAAAAATAAATCATATCAAAACAGTCCAAGAAATGATACACCACCTGATCCAGTGCCCTTGATCATAGAGAATCCATCACACAAAAAGGAATCTTTGCACCTTCATCTTACAGAGCGATCATCAATCCCATGACAGCAGCGACGCCGAGGGCAGCGATACCGCCACGGGCAGCGCTAACCTGAGGTGCGGCACCCTGGAAGGTGTTGAAACGGTTTGCAGAGGCACCAGATGGGGTGGGGGTAGCAGCCATCTGGGAGCCAAATGCACGAGAAGAAGAAGCAGCACCGACCAAGATACCATTCGAGTAGACAGGGGTAGAGGCAGCGCCCATGGGAGCCATGCTGCTGCTAGCAGGAACATCAACAGGGATCTGGGACAGGTGCGAGGGGTCAAAGGCAGATGGAGTAGCCCGGCAACCGCACTCGGTCTTGGTCTCGGTCACGTAGATAACGCGAGGAGCGGCAGCCTCGGCAGGCGCAGGAGGAGCGTAGGCACGCTTTCCATCAGCCATGTGCATGTTCATGTGCATGTTGCTAGCTGGCTCCATGGGGTTGCTAGCATGGCGAGCTGGGGCAGCCTCACGATCGCTGGAGCACAGGGAGCTCTGCAAATTCTTCAGGTCTGTTTATTCGTTAGTTACCCTGTTTCGGGATTTTGCGGTGAGGGAAAGGATACGTACCAACACCGGCGTCGCTGCAGACTTTGGCAGCGGAGTCGGAGATCTTGCTCAGAGCATCACTGTTGGAGCAGAAGCAATCAGTGCTGCTCTTGTCGGAGCACTCCTGCAAAGTGGAGAGGTCGATGCCATCGAAGGCAGCGTCCTATATGAATGTTAGTGCGTCTTCCTTATCGGTACTAAGCGATCGAATACTCACAGCACACTTGAGGTAGTCACTGGTAGTCTGGGCAGTGACACCAGCAATGAGAACAGCGGTAGTGATGAAGGAACGCATTTTGAAAGATTATATGATTGTTTTGTGTGATGGGTATAGAGGAATCAAATCAAGAGCTGATGCAGGAAAATCAAAAGCACGTAGCCGCCCACGGCACTGAGAAGTTCTCGCCATATAAGTAGTATCTGAAAATCATAGTAAACAAGATACATAATTTGCCCTTTTGTGCATCCCTTGATCCCTGGTGCCGTCGTTGGCGGGCATGACGTGAAGGTATGTCGTTCCATCTCCACATTAGGAAGTGGACGCCCTTCCAAACTGTGTATCTAGGCTTCTGTCGGCATCCAATTTCGCCTCAGTTGCTGTGGATACCGAGAGAAATCCCCTGTTGATCGCTTTGGAATGACAAAAGAATGTGCCAGTTGCCATGTCTCCGCTGCTGTGCTCGCTTCTATCCCTGGCCACCCTTCCCTCCGAAGAATGTTCAGGATCAGGAAATTCAGGGTTCAGGGGGCTTTCGAGTTATTTTATCCTTAGAGGTTCCAAGTCAAAGATAAGTAGGAAAATTCATCCATCTGATTCATCGAATTCAATTTGGGGAGAGGGCGCTGTACAGATGCCCGCTGCCAATAGCCTCAGTCACGGACCGTGACACTGCATACTCTCCGTATTCCAAGGTTCTTGAGCTCTCGTGTTACTGAGTGAGTTATCAGGTACTATTTAGTATCAAAAAATAGCTGAGATTGAGTGCTATTCTTCTAGCATTCTCAATCTTTTGAAAGGACTCGAGTGCATTCACTAATGGCGACTCCAAGTCGTGCTATGAACATTTGAACTAATATGTTGTCAAAAAGAATTATATACATAAACACTGGGTATAATGTCCCATAAGCTTTCAAAGAAGCTCACAGGTATCAAAAAGGATATACTGTAGAAATATGCAATAAAAACCGTCGAAACTTGAGCCCATACACATGCATAACAGCCCTATCGACGTTGGGGTGAACTTGGCCGCGACGTGTCACCAGAGAGGGGACGTTGTTCATCCTGATGAGCAGGCAATTCTGCAACAAAGCTCTTTGAATCCATCGCTTGAGCCTTGTTATCCAAAGAATCTAGAGCTGCAGCTGAGCTCGGGAATTTCTGGGCTGCGGAATATCCGTCTACTTCAGCATATTGCTGATATGTGCTGCCCTCGACCTCCTGAGGGGGTACAAGGATACTCGTAGGATATTGAGGCATGTTCTCAGTTGGACCTGAGCCACCGAATGCAGGTTGTGAGGCTTCAGCGATCGTGTTTGTATTTTTATGCTTTCTCTTCTTTTGCAGGAGCCAAAACATAAAAATCGCTGCACCGATACCAGCTGCGCCGACTACTCCACCAACAACACCTCCAGCAATAGCTGCAGTATTTTTAGATGAGCTTTTCTTCGATGAGTGACTGGGTACTGATGAGGGACTGTTTGTTGTTGACTGAGAGGTAGTTGAAGTGGTCAGGCCCGGTGTTACTTCAGCCGACATTGCCGTCGTGGCTGTAGCGGCGGTGCCAGACACATAGATATCAATCCACTGATCATCGACAATTGAAGGACTGACAGCGGCAACGGTGGGGTACCCATCGTAATAACTGGTATCGGTGGTAGATGTCAATGTAGCTACCAAGTATAAGGTCTCGAAATCAGCAGTATAGCCACACCCGTAACCCATAACGCCGAGGTCGGGATATGTCCATGTCTGACAGGCTGGAGCGCCAGTGGCTGTGCAGTAAACACCGAAAATATCATAATGCTCTGTCAGACTGGGCGTGGCAGAGATATCATTATTATCGTAGCACGTCGTCTCGTATGCGCAGGCGTTGGGGTCGTTGCCAGCACAGCAGCCTACCATGCCAGGATAGCTGCTGTCTGATGTATGAAATACGCATTGATTCCCACTTCCGCAATAAACCATACTATCTGAGATGAAAGTTAGTGTTGGAGTCTCTTAACAAGCTCATGATGCAAAGAGAGCACATACCATCCTCCCACATGCCGTCCACATAACCGCATACACTGGCGGGAACCCATGATGTGTATGTTGTTACTGGGTAACATGAGCTACTTGTAGCATATGCAGTATCAACAGAATCTCGCTTGTTCAGGGCACTATCTGCTGGCCCTGGCGCATTGGTTGGAGCGGGAATATTGCGCTGAAAGCCAGCATGAGCAACAGGTTTGGAATCAGCATTTGGGAATGCAGACACAAGTTTCGCCAAAAAAGAAGGAAAGGCCGTACAGCCCACAAGATTGTAATTGAGGCATGGTCAACAAATGAATAGAAGTGAATTTATTAGATGATCGCACGCGATGCGACGGGACTACTCCGTATATACCTGAAGTTAACTTGTGGCCCCCAAAACCCCTAATTTCGGGTCTTGATCACTGTTTAATTTTCCTCTTGCACCATATCTGCCAGCCTCGCAGGCCTCTTCTCAATTGGATTAAGCTTGAATGTTTATCCTCCATGAGACTCTTTCTCTCTCTCCACTATCTGAACTCCACGCATCTCTGACTGGTGCGCGGAATGAAGATTGTTCTTGGCAAAGTGTAGTGGCTGAGACATTGAATACGAGATTGATGCACTCCGTGAATGGCGGGAAAAGGGAGCCATACGGATAGGTTTTCTGTCCGTTAAGAGATCCTTGGATGGAGTATTCTCGCTTTTCAAGGTTCTGGCTTCTGTCTAGAATCTGTTGGCGCTGGTTAATCAAGGAATATCGATCTTCATACTGTATAACAAACAGATTCAGGGTCCTGCCCTGCCCCACTTGGAGCCTCCGTGCCGAGTCAGAACCCTGTTCACTAACTTGAACCGGTCAAAGGATTGAAGATCAAGATAATCAAAACGTGCTTGGACCCCAACGGCAGTATCCTCTCCCTCATCCGGTTTTCCAAGACTAAAATTAGAGTCGCGGGATTTCTCCGGAGATTAGGAAACTGACGTCGAGTCATGAATGGAAAAGAATACTCCGGAGTTTGAAGTCAATTGAGATGTTATTTTCCTGTAGGGGGGGTCATTCACTTGAAGAGAGCACTTGATCGCTAGCACCCTGAGTCAGGGCTCTTAAAAAGATCGTCCAGTAAGTGACTCAGTAGATATCCAGAGGTGTATACCTGCCATTGCCTGAAGTACTCATCGGGAAGAGTACTGAGATTGGCTATGGGAGAATTTGGTCGTCAGGAACGTGAGAGTAATAGTCCGACATAAGTAAACGACTCGGAGACCGACCACTCCTTCAGGTCCTTGCCGGGGTAGGGGCGAGATCCTTATCGCTGCCAGTGTGTTCAAAATTCGTTCTTCAAGAGTGAAGGAGTGTTGTATATGAGATAGTCGATGCTCAAACATTAAATTTGGAATTTGTTTGACTTACAGGGCTCAGTGCATAAATGAACGATCCCCAGTGCATAATTAGAATCTATAGCCCAGTTTAAATCTAGAATTGAAAATCACAGGAAAATCACCAACCATTAAGTATTCAATCAAAGCCTCGAATCTCTTCTGGGCGTATCCCCTTCCATCATCTTCTGCAACTCAGGAATCCAGCCCGACATGCCTTTCAATCTCTCATCCAAAGGCTGACGAGCCCACCCTTCAGCAACTCGCACCTCATCCTCCTCCCAAATCCGAATAGACTTGCTGATCCAAGGACCAACAGCACTAGCTGTCTCAGTTGCCTGCTCCAAAGGTAGCTGATGAGAGCCCTTAATGATTTTCTGTTCCACCCGTCCAGCGCGAACTCCGCCACTTCCACCAATTCCCCTTCCTGTGCGCTCAACCATCTTTGTACGATTCTCCGTTGAGAAAATGGGACTGCTCTTTCCCAATACGTACTGTACAGGTGGACGCACATGCTTTAACATTTTCCATGCGAAGATTGGCTCAAAGCGATAGAATCGATTTGTGGTTTCGGGGTCCCCGATGATATCGGGATAGAGAAGAGGATCATGGGGAGGAGTATCCGGTGTTTCTTGTGGTTCCTCGCCCAGGGTTAAATGACTGGATGGGTTTGGTCGCAGGTACTGCAGTACCTCTTGGTATTTTGAGCTGGTAAGCGTGACGGGATTATCGGTTGGGATTGCTTCGGAGTTGGTCGATTGAGTTGATGTGGATGTTGGGAGATCACGGTATGCATGAAGAATCCATCTGTCGAGAACACGCTTGTCCCATTTTTTGTGCGCTTTCTGCGCGGCTTCGATGGCTGCAGATCGGGATTTCCATGTGTCGCGGCGCTTTAGTGAAACGATGGACAAGAGGGGACCTTTACCCGTTATTATGTCTGGTGCGATGACAGGTTCGACGAGGCTTAAGGATGTGAAGAGACGGGGATGAAGAAGTGATAGAAGAACACTGCATACAATGTCAGTAAGGGATATCTCGAGTTTTTAGGTTGGGTGAAGTGTCGTACAGTTGTCCTGCACCCATGCTATGTCCCACACCTACAATAGGCTGTGGCATCTCATCGCGGAATTTGTTGATCATGTGGAGTAGATCGCGACTGTGGTCCAGCCATGATGCTTGATATAGTTAGCTTGGGCATCTTCAATGTGGATATGGAATATTGTGTTCTTACGATCATTTCCGAGAACTTTCTCATTTTGAATGCTGCTAGCACCAAGGTTCGAGACATCGGCTATCCATATAGATCGGATTCTGTAACCGTCTTGTTCGCTCCGGGAGAGTATGTCTTCCCATAGTGGCTCATATAGCTCCTATGTAGGTGACTCGTCAGCTAATCCACTTCGCAAGCTACCATGATATCTGGCGCTAAGATCGTAGCTACTCACCTTTGGAAATCCACATCCATGAGCCCCAATTATTGTTACGTCACCGGGCTGGGGATTGGGGTTATTGACAGGGGTGTATTTCTTCAAGACAAGCTTCAGGGATGAGCTTCCGTCAACGGTAGCATCCGGATACTCCCGAATATGCTGTCCATCGATAACATGTTCCGTTATCGTGAACGGGAATGTAGAATTGTCCGCCATTGCAGCTAGGGAAGTGGGAATTGAGAGCTTGGAGAAGCTTCAATGGATCGCGTTCAACAGAATTGAATCATGATTCCACCCCTAGTGGACTCAAAAAGATTTTAAATCATCTCTAGGGCTAAGAACTTGAATCATCAGGGTGCCCGTGTAACAAACGGCCGGAGATGCCGAGTTGGGTATTCTATTTGGGCGCTAGAAGGAATTCAATGTTAATCATTGGACGATATGACGAACTATTGACGGGAGATCCACCACGTCATATTCATGGCGAGCTGAAATCCACATTGAGATCCACGTTGAAAATCGTAGTTCCTATCAAGTGGGTGGGTTCTCGGCATATCTTGCCATTGAATGGATAACTGGATAAAAGATCAGTCTAGTTCATAGCGTGCGGGTTAGTATTGTAGCCAGTAAAAACTTAAACTTGGACCAGATCAAGATCAGGTTTATCATGAACTTGAACACGTTGGTTTATCTGATGTATGATATGTAGGAGATAATGCAGATGCGGATATCATAAATATGCAGAAGTCACCTGTGCATGCACATGTGGTTTCCAAGGTTGTGTTCGTAGTAAAGATCGTTGATTGGGTATAACTAGCGGTGAACATGATTCATGTCACTTAAAAAAAAACCTTTGAAGACATTAAACAAGATTTAAAAAGAGATAACAAAAAGAATACAAATAAAAAATAAGAAGAGGAACAGAAATGAGTTGTCAGAAGTGAAGTGGCAGAAATCAAAAAAGAATCCACATTATATCCAAGTCCAGCTTAGAACTTCTCACTGGTCACACAACGAGTCATATTTACCAATAGCCATGCCAACACTTTAACAAAAGCAGTCAATGTTTTGACTATTAGATCCAAAGCAAAAAAGAGAATTCTCAAAATCCCTCGGACTATTCCGGGGAGTTTCTCCCCCTCGCGTGAGGAGGTCCGACCGTAGCGACCATATTTCTCAAGGTCGAATTCTTCGACCACGATTTGCTTATTTTTGGATTTCTTGGACTTCGATGACTCCTTGACGTCCTGCGGTGTGACATTCTTCTGGCTCCAGAATTTCAAATAGTTACTTTTCGGATGAGCAGCAGATTTGGCAGCTGCTGACTCGATTTGAGAGGCCAGCTCGATACTCTCAGCATAGTCTTCGCGCTCTGCGAGAGTTGTAATGAGCTTTCCACGGAATGGCTGACCCTGTCGCGACATTGACTTTACGCTTGGCGCTATTGACTTGGGAGAGCCGAGCTCCATATCTGCGAGGATGGGGTTGGTGGATTCATCTGATACAGCCACTGCCAGAATGGCTGCAATCAAGGAATCGACTGCATATAATGATGGAATTGTGGCAATAACAGCTGCAGGACAGATAGAGAATGTTCGAGTGGCAAAGTCTAGAGTTGCGAGGGGCTCGTCCAAGTCTGGAGCAGGTAAGGTCGATGTGCGAGGATTGGCAGCTTGTTGCGCGGCTTCGAATGCAGTAGAAGACACGGGACCAGTGACGATAATTGTTGGAGGCTGCTTAGGGCTCGTATCGCTCGATGGAGTAGAGACAGTGATGTAAAGAACCCCGGATGACTGTGCCTGCACAGGCGAAAGCGGTATACCTGCAGCTCCCAAAAGGGCAGGAGGATTTCGTTTAGATAATGAGGGATGACGAAGCTCGTAAAGTCTTAGATTCCGATTCCAAGATAGTCGACATGACTCCTGAGCTGCGGCTCGCTTGAGGGCGTTCCTCTCGACTTCCGAGGCCTCGGATCCAGCGAGGTTGTGTTTTTTGCTGAGTTCGGCGGCCTGATCGATCGCAAGCATAGCAGCAAGCCGCGAAAAGAGGAGTGCAATAAGTCCGTCATTGGGGTGGTCGCGACGACTGCGGTCCTCAAGACTGAATGTCATGATTGGAACATCATTATCAGGGTTTGATGGCGCTGCCCGAGAGATCGATATTTCGTTATTCGAATACGTCTGCAACGTATAAAATGGTTGTTGGGAGTTTCCAAATGCGAAGGTTGCAGGACCGGTTCTTGAATCAAGTCAGAAAGACAGATCTTATGACTGGTTGAAATTATCAAAAATCAAACTCACTTTGTCAGTCGCAGATTAAATGTGCCATATAGTTGCTGTGGTCGCTGTCCATTTGCAGCCTCCCATAACATCTCCAATTCATGCGGTGAAGAAAATCGAACCTCGTCAGATTCCAGAACCCCAGTCGGAAAGTTCAGTACACTCGCAGGCACAGTCTTTGGGCCGAGAAACTGGTCAATTTCAGAAGTTGAAGCCAGCGTCAACTTAGGCCTCCGAGCCTTCCTTATCGCCTCAGGTGTATCGCTCGACATGGGTGGCGAGCCCTGCTGATCAAGTGGAAGCTTGGGGTCAAATTGAGGAAACATTGATCTCATTGGAACTGGCGAAACAGACGATTGAGAAGACTGAGGCGATACGGCTGAATTAACTGTGCGAAAACTACCGCTGCTATTGCTCATACTACTTTGCGACGGTAAGGCTCGATGATTTGGTCGACTCTCTTGTCGACTTCGGCTACGGGACGATTGAGGAGAAAAGGACTCATAAGATGAGACCGATTTGGAAGGAGATTTTGATCGCGCAAGATGTGCTGGTAAAGGAGGAGGGGAGGAAGAGTCTGAGTATCTTGGATAATTTGTAGTAGCACTGACTCGCTTGTTTTGGAGGAATCCTGGAGATCATCGAGAGGGATTGAGGCCTCTAACTCAACAGTCGAGACTGGCTTCTTGATACCCTTACGAAACGGGTTCTTGGGCACCTTTGGCTCCGGCGATGTCGATGGAAATAGTTGAAATTGACTCATGACTACCAGTGGTCATGAATTTGAAGGCAGTTGTATATAGATCCAGACTAGTACTAGACCACACCACGACAGATTGATAGGCTCGTGGGTCTCCTTGAAGAAAAACTTGATACATTGTCCAGGACCCCGAACAGGGGGATGTTTTAACTGACATATACCCCATTTGTGTCGGTGGGAATCGGTTCCTTCACACCGTGCAGGATGGGATAAGTATGTGACAAGCCTATTTTTGGGGCCGGGCGCTTAATTGTTAATGGGTGTGATTGGTTGAGTCCGTGCGACGGGGATAGTGACTGCAGGGAAAGGCGCGTCACGAACTCCATGATTGGTGGTTTTAGCACCCAATTCATTAATTTCTCGCTCTTCAAGTTGCCGATTGGTTGTATTGTCAGTGTAAATCTCACCGTAAAGTTCAGTGATCTTGAAGATTCGGCGCATGCGGAGATGCAACTCACCGGGGCTTGCACCACAAAAGACGAGCGGGATTGGATGAAGAGAGTCTGCAGAAACTGCAGAAAATGCGGGACAAAGATAACAGGATTTCTTCTATATTGTACATTTTGCTGGGGAATATTTACATCATACAGTCAGATCCACAGTTATTCACTGAGGGCCGTTGTGTTCCATTGCTTCATCATGCACCGAATAGGTAAGTCCCTCGGCCATAGCAATCGCGCCCTCCATATCGCCCTTGTTATACAAGAAGAGACCTTGCAGAGATGCCGCACTAGTGTTTCGAGAGCGATCGGCCTTATAACCATTCTCATCCTCGATCAAGCCAAAGTCTTGAAGCCGGTCGAGGAAAATCTTTCGGTGCGACCCATTGGTGTCAATGTCTTCATAGAATCGATCCCAGAGACGGCCGACTTGATAACGTGATACCTCGCCAAGACGGACAGTCATATCTACGCGCCCTGGTCGAACCAAGGCTTCGTCAAGCCGCTCAACATGATTGGTAGTGAGGAAGATAATTCGTTCCTCGGCGCTAGCCACTCCGTCCATCGCATTCAGTAACCCAGAGAACGTGACGTTGGCTCCCCGATATCCGTCTGCATCAGATTGCGTACGGCGATTCGAGAAAGCGGCATCTACATCCTCCAGTAAAACCAATGTCCGATTAGGAACAATAGTCAGGAGATGATTTAGCCGGTCATCGGTCAGTCCACGCTCACTAAGATTCAGGATCGCAATATCGTAATCGAGTTCACCAGCTAGCGCTTGAATAAAAGAACTCTTGCCAGTTCCGGGAGGTCCATACAACAGATAACCTCGTCGATAAGGAATACCTCGGTCGTTATACCAGGAGGCACTCGAGATGAAATCTTGCACATCCTTCACAATCCGCTCCTTGACACCCTCAGCAAGAACCACTGACTCGAGTGGACGCTTCCGTCGGGGGTTGCCAAATGGTTTCCACTCCGTACCCCAAGAATTATAGATTGTTGTTTTCCCTTCATGTGACTTGGCAGCGTAAGCGTGAGCTTCGGTGAAAAGATCCTCGAAGATATGGCGATGAGAGTAAAGAGTCGTTAAAGTGATCGTCTCCCATGGTTTTCCGGTCTGGATATCGCGGGACTTGGATTCACGGACGCGATTGACGAAGATAAATGCATTTTTATAGCGAAGGACATGCTTTCCAGGTCCAGGAACGAGGGAAAAGTGGGTATGAATCGCGCCGTTGGAGTGTTCGACTTTCTGGGTTTGGATTGAGAGATGGCGCATTCCGGGTGTCATTTTTTGGAGCATGCGATCGATGAAGCCAGAGTTCGTGGCGGTCGCACGGGCTGCACCAACTTGCGATTGCTGATAGAGGGTCATCCAGTGTAGGAACCATGGGTATGAATCATCTTTGATGCTGATCTCGACATCAACCAGCATGCGCCGGCGTAATAAAGCTGCACCCTGGCGGACTCCTTTTTGGGCGAAGGTGAGACCTGCTCCTAGACCCGCAAGGCCAAATCCCTACATTTAATCAATTTCATTAGCCAATACCGAAGCTAGCGCTGCAAAGAGACACATACTGCTGTGAATAAGGGATTGCTTGTAAGTTGAGAGAAAATACCACCGTCGCCATTTTGAGCCGACTGTTGGGCATTTTGGATAGCCTGTGTTTTTTGCTGCAGGATTAAATCTCCTGCAGATGGTGCAGTCACCACATTGGGAGTGCCACTTGACTCCATACCCAGACTTGAGACTCAATGAAGCCAAAAGATCTGTAGCTCACGATAAGAAGTGATATCGGAGTTACAACGGGCCGATCTAGTTTGATCTGCCCGGTTACACTATACATTATACTGTTCATGACAATGATTGAAATTTGGATAAATTCATTAGATTAATATTCAATTCAACTTGAAACTATGTTCTGCTCTATCAAAAAATTTCTGATCCCATGATATCCCATATCATAATCGGAGTCGGCAAGACCATGTACGCCGGGCAATTCAAGTTAGGCGGAGATACTCGGATTTAGGAGTGATGAGTGGCTCTCCCGTCAATTTGTCCCAATCACATCACAGAAATCTACTCAGGCCCCCAAGAGCGATGAATTGATGATTTTTTGACTTTTGATGTCCTTCTAATACTCCGTGGTAGCATTTAAAAAAAGGCTCTTTTCCCCATGCGTGGTTTTCTGCATCGTCCCCGCCATTTTAGGCCGAGTCTATACAGGCCCTACACCTCGATTCGCAAAATGGGTGCAACTACAACAGAAATTCTCTACGCGTTGACAGTAGCCACCGCTTCAACTAGACCAGCACCTGAAGATGCTGCCCAAAAGAGTCATCATGGTAAATCGGGATTTAGAAATCCCTGGGAGTGAGTGATCCATGTTGTCACCTTGTGTATGGCATGACACTGACTCGAAATTTCTACCAGCTCATGGCGAGATGTCGGGCTTAAAAATGTTGCAGAGGTTATGAAGTAAGTCTAATATGCGCTTGGAAGTGTTCGCGCGAATTTTAACATTGTTTTCCTAGGCGTCGCTTCAATGGAAAAGGCAATATTCCCGATACCAGTGGTCCCACGGTTCCTGTTCGCAAACCCGAATTCCTTCCTACCCGCGAAACTCCCCAATTACGAGCAACTTGGCTGGGCCATGCTGCATACTATGTTGAATTTCCCGGCGGCCTACGCGTCCTCTTCGACCCGGTTCTCGAGGAACACTGTGGACCATACAACTTACTAGGACCCAAACGCTTTACAGACGCGCCATGTCAACCAAAAGATTTCCCGTTTATCGATGCTGTTTTCATTTCTCACAACCACTACGATCACCTGTCCTACCATACCGTTAGCGCAATTGCCAAGTTACATCCCAACTGCCATTTCTTCGTCCCGCTTGGGAATAAATCCTGGTTTGAAAAATGTGGATTTCACAAGGTTACCGAATTGGACTGGTGGGAGGAGCGCGATATCACATTATCACCGTCAACCCAGACGGAAGCGAAGGTTGAGGCCGTGGGTGAAGGAGATATGAAGAGCGCGGATATTACAGCCCGCATTGGCTCTTTACCTTGTCAGCATGTCAGCGCGCGGGGTATTCATGACCGAAATAAAACATTGTGGTGCTCGTGGGCACTCGAATCGGGAGGGAAGAAAGTATACTTCGCAGGGTAAGCCCTCATTCATAATCCAACACCCAAAGAACTGTTCGGCTGACGAAGTTTGTTTACACAGAGACACCGGATACCGTCCAGTTACTGAAGTCCCCGAAGGAGAGGATGACCATGATCCCAAATATGATTTCCCTGTTTGCCCTGCTTTCAAGCAGGTGGGCGAGTTCCGGGGTCCCTTCGACCTTGGATTGATCCCAATTGGTGCATACGCCCCTCGTCATGTATGGAGTCCTGTTCATGGTGACCCTCACGATGCTGTCTCGATGTTTCAAGATACTAAATGCAAGAATGCATTGGGAATTCACTGGGGCACTTGGGTTCTGACCGAGGAAGATGTACTTGAGCCCCCAGAGAAGTTGAAGACCGCTCTGAAGAAGTTTGGCCTTCCTGAAACAGGAGTTTTTGATGTGGTCGAGATTGGAGAAAGCCGGGTATACTAATAATGACTTGGAATGCCGCCTTGGTAGAGTCAAAACGAGCATGGGGATGTTTCTGAGTAATGAGGGGTGGGGCCGGCGGAAAACAATCAGGGACACTTGTACGAATATTCTGGAGATGTATGTAGTATTTGTTGATGTGTAATCATTTGACAAGTAAATAGAAATGCTACTGTGTACACTATCGATCAAATCTTTCAATTTATTGATCATAAGTAGTTGTTATAAGTAACTGTTGAGTGTGATATAATGATCGGTCAATGTAGTCCCTGTTTGCTTAGTTTGTCCCTACCCGTTTGGGTTTAGTGCCAAGGAGCTCCCACTTTGGAAATTTGGGATGCGGGCGACCTCAACGCGGCGCCGAGTTGACCTCTTTATCCATCAGGAGTCTTTTGTTGCATCTGGACTAGAGTCTACTTCGTTCCCTTTTTCTTTGATTTCCCATATTGAATTACCGCCAAAATGCAGGCTCCGGTGGTGGTGATGAGTGCGTACCCCTCCGATTCCTCCCCTAAGGCGGCATTTACTAACCTACGGCCTCCTGAATAGACACCAATGCCGGTGATCGCCAAGTTGGTCGCCGAGCACAGCTGTCCAACATTACTGCTGCTAAGACGTACGATTCTCTCCCGCATTCCCCGGTCTCTGCTGTTCCTTCCTCCGCCCCGATACTAATATGATATACCCCCCACTAGTGTGGCCGACATCATTCGGTCATGTCTCGGTCCCAAGGCCATGTTGAAGATGCTTCTCGACCCAATGGGTGGTATTGTTCTCACCAACGACGGTCACGCTATTCTGCGTGAAATCGAGGTCTCCCATCCCGCAGCCAAGAGCATGATCGAGCTCAGCCGTACCCAGGACGAGGAGGTCGGTGATGGTACTACATCCGTCATCATCTTGGGTATGTTTCTTATGAATGGGTAAATGAGAGTGCGGGGAAAGAAATCACTAACACCATTCCAGCTGGTGAGATGCTTGCTCAGTCTCTCCCTCAACTTGAACGTAACATTCACCCCGTCGTCATTATCTCCGCCTTCAAGCGCGCCCTCGCCGATGCCCTCCAGATCATCGAAGAGGTTTCCGTACCCGTCGATATCACTGATGATAAGGCTATGGCCTCTCTTATCCAGTCTTCCATTGGTACCAAGTTCGTTTCTCGGTGGTCCGATCTCATGTGCAACCTGGCATTGACCGCCGTGCGAACGGTTTCCTTTGATGTGGGTGGTGGAAAGCAGGAGGTGGATATCAAGCGTTACGCTCGTATTGAGAAGATCCCTGGTGGTCAAATCGAAGACTCCGAGGTCATTGATGGTGTCATGGTCAACAAGGATATCACCCACCCCAAGATGCGGAGGAGAATTGAGAACCCCCGTATTCTTTTGCTCGACTGCCCTCTCGAGTACAAGAAGGGAGAGTCTCAGACAAACATTGAGGTCTCAAAGGAAGATGACTGGAACCGTATTCTGCAGATTGAGGAGGAGCAGGTCAAGCACATGTGCGACGCCATCGTGGCGTTCAAGCCCGATATTGTCATCACCGAGAAGGGTGTTTCTGGTAAGAATTACTCTTTATGTTCATTCTGTGCATTAGGTCACTTATCTAACCGCTTCTTTCCTCTCAGACCTTGCACAGCACTTCTTCATGAAGGCCAACATTACTGCCCTCCGCCGTGTCCGTAAGACCGACAACAACCGTATCGCCCGTGCCACCGGAGCTACCATTGTCAACCGTGTCGACGACATCCAAGAGTCCGACATCGGTACCCGCTGCGGACTGTTCGAGATTGAGAAGATTGGTGACGAATACTTCACATTTATGCGCAAGTGCCAGTCCCCCAAGGCCTGTACCATTCTGCTGCGCGGTCCTTCCAAGGATATCCTGAACGAGATCGAGCGTAACCTCCACGACGCTATGGGCGTTGCCCGTAACGTCATCTTCCACCCTCGTCTGTCCCCCGGTGGTGGTGCTATTGAGATGGCTGTCTCTGTCAAGCTCAGCCAATTGGCTCGCTCCATCGAGGGCGTGCAGCAGTGGCCTTACAAGGCTGTTGCTGATGCCATGGAGGTTATTCCTCGCACACTCGCTCAGAACGCTGGTGCTAGCCCCATTCGTGTTTTGACCCGCCTGCGTGCCAAGCACGTTGAGGGCCACAACTCTTGGGGTCTGGATGGCGAGACTGGTAACCTGGTCGATATGAAGGAGTACGGTGTTTGGGAGCCTGAGGCTGTTAAGCTCCAGAGTATTAAGACTGCTGTCGAGGTAAGCCTAAGAAGCTTTTGTCTTCTCCTATCAAATCTACGGTCAGCTAACTACTATTCTAGTCCGCATGCTTGCTTCTTCGTGTCGACGATATCTGCAGTGGTAAGTCGGCTCAACAAGCCGGCGGCGTTGGTGGTGGCGAGGAGTAAGTAATAGATATGAGCAAGAACCAAAAAACAAAAAGATGATTCAGGACCTGAGGTCCGTACATAATGCTATACGAATACCTCCGGTTTTCTTTCTTGTATGAACATTCTAGACCAAAATGAATTGTCACATGGGTATATTCGCATGGTATGGATATATGCTCTTTGTCCGTCATATGACGAGACCTCAAATTGACGTAGTACATGCAAGGTGAGGCGTTAAAAATAACCATTCGAGCTTGAAACCACCTTTAGGTTCGTAGTTCTCAAGGCCCCAGGTTCGACCATTGTGCTTTTCAAATCAAGTCAATGATATTAGCTCTCCTGGCTGCTCTGGCGCTTGCGGGTCTTGGGAGGCTCTGGGAGATACTTGGTAGCAAGTAGCAGCCCAGAAGCAAACAAGGCTAGGAACAACCAGATAGCGTGGCCAGCAAGTAGCTGAGACCTCGCGCCCAGCGCGAAGAGAGTGGTAGAAAGAGCCGGTGTGAAAGCCCTCAGCACACTAGTGCTAGTCAAGGACACGGCGTTGAGAGTACCCAGGACCCTGGGGGAAGGTGATACGTCGTTGATAGCCAGCTGAGCTGCCGTGAAACTCATACTCACACCACATCCAATAATCAGAGACAAGGGCACGAAGACCCAGAAAGTATTGATAGCGGCCTTGGTTCCAATACGTAGCAGGACGTTTCCAAAAGGACAGGCTAGTAAGAAGCATGGGTAGGCAGCTGCGCATAGACGTATCACACCCTTTGTTCCAATGCGCTTCTGTAGTGGAGGGAAGACCAAGAGAAGCCAAGCAGCCTGCGCAGCGCCGTTCATACCCATCAGAAGAGAAATCTGCATAGGTGTAAAGCCATATCCACCGAGGGAAACAGGCGTGAACCAGAAGACGGGAATGATAGCTGTGTAGGCAAAGGCAAGAACCATCAGATGACCGTAGACGTAAATCACTGTAGCTACACCGGGCGCTTTAAGAAGCTCCCATGTTGTCATGTCACGGTTTTGATGGCGGACAGAGATGTTGTCCAACGCCTCATTATCATCAACACCTGCGGCTGCAGGCTCCTTCTTCAATGTTTCTTCAACAAAGAAGGCAGTCGACATAGCGGCAGTGGCTCCAATAATCGCCACGACGAAGCTGGATAGCGCGTAGGGGTAGTCCTCGAAGAAACGCATTCCTCCAAAGAGACCGGGGTATTGACGGACCGGGTCAGCAAGTGCACCACCCAGTAGAGGACCGAGGAAAATGCCCAGGTTGCCGCTAAAAGCGAACCAGCTGAATGCGCGGGCCTGAGTTGCAGGCGTGCTATGCTCAGCTACCATGGTGCGGATTGTGACGATCGTTCCAGCAAAGACACCAGCAATACATCTGAACAAAATCATCTGCCCGATAGATCTGGCGGTTCCAAAGAGACTAGTTGCAACAGTCACACCTAGCAAAGAGAAGACCAGAACAGGCTTACGTCCAATGCGATCGGCCAAACGGCCCCAGAAGAGCATAACCATAGCCTGAGTCAAGGAGAACATGGACTCAATAAGTCCACTATAAAACCCAATATCCGAGTCCGGAACATTCCCATTATCCTGAACCATCTGACTAACATATGGAAAGATAGAAAAGAACGCCAGGGGCTCTATCGCCCGGGCATAGCAGAGAAAGAGGATCTGAGCCAAGGGCAAAGGTTTCTCGTCCTGACTATCCACCTCAGAAACGACATCACCGTTTGCTTCTGTCGTCGCTCCATACTGTTGGCCTGGTAGACGCACATCTGCAGGCTCAGCTTTGGCAGATTTCAGCAGGGATGTAGTCTCGTTTACATCGATATCCTCGCCAAGCCGGGTAGCTGATTCTCGGCCTGGTTGCTGAGTGGTTGTTCCCTCAGTTGTGGCGGCCATGATCAAAATTTGAATTTAGGCACCGCGCAACCTTTGTAAAATGGGAAATCAGCACAGGGGAAGAATCACTGCCTTTCTCTGACTACCTGGGATCGAGGGGAAAACTCCGTTCGAGTCTGACTCAGGCCGGCAAGGAGTCCGCGGTTCCTCGGGTTATGTAAAACCCCACTCGTATCTTTTACCGTAATCGGAGGGATGTAACCTCCAGGGCTGGGTTATACCAAGAAGAATTTGGTTAAATGTGTGCGTAGATATTAAGTTGTTGGAGTCGAAGTGCTTGGGAGTCAAGACTCAAGTCTGAGTCAAGTCTGAGTCCTCACCTGGGCAAGTTGGAGGAGTGTGAGCCAGGAAAGCAGGTGCTTCAGGATACGGGGTGTACTAGTATAGCAAACTTCAAGTACCAGAGTATGACTCAAAGTCTTGAACACCATGAAGTGCATACTATGCAAGTTCTAGGTGAAGGAAGGGCTACTACACTATACTATAAAAATGCCATGGTCTGTCAAATATCGAAAATTGAACAGAAAGACGCTTCAAGTTTCTCAATTAGCATAAAATGGGTATCAGTATCATACAGCATCCACCATGATTCGCCATTCAATCATCGTCGTGGATAATCACACCAGGAGCCTCCTCTGCATACTGTTCTCCAGCACCATCAGTCTGGCCACCAAGAGACACACCAGGGACATTGGGATTCTTCTTCATGCCCGGCGCAGGACCATCAACATCCATATCCGCACCACCACCATTCTTCTGCTTTCCCCTCGCAGCCTTCTTCTTATCTCTCCTCCGTCGATTCTTATCCGTCTTCGCATCATCCTTCTTCTTTGCCTCTTCCCGCTCTTTCTCCCAATCTTCATCATTCTTCTCCTTATCTACCTCCGCCTGCATACTCCGTAATCGCTCATATTCGCGTCGTCGGCTGGCCTTGTAGACGTGGAACTCGCCAGATCCAGCACCAGCAGATGAACCCTGGACATTGGTGACAATCTCCGGTGGCGCGGAAAGCGACGCGACGGTGCGATCTTTCGCGGCAGTTGGGAGGCGAACCTCTTTCGATGGGTCTTTAAACAGGGTTTTGATCTCCGTTGCTTGTTCGGAGTGTGGTGTAATGGCGCGGCGCTTAGTGGGCCGTTTGCTGCGCGGATCGGCGCTGGTAGGAAGGGAATCGGGGCCAGGTTCAGACATGGTTGCTTGCGACCTCGGTCTTTTTTTTTTCGTTGCCCGGTATTTTACCGAGTATTGATGTAGTATTTGCTCCCAGAAAATTGTTTTGCGTGTTTGGAATTTGGAGATACCCTTGCGACAAGGAGAAAGGCGCTAAGTGGCAAATGGAGAAGTAGACGTGGGTTGAACATGAAGTTGAAGATGCGAAGAACATTTGAAGCTCCGCGGAACACACTAACCGCTTTCGGTTTGGGAGCACTTGAGAGGTCTACAGAGTATAAATCATCCTGATGTCTAATTTTTGATAATAATATAGAATTCTTATAAAATAGTTGTATTATTATTCGAGAATCAATTTTTCTTTTTCTATTTTTATGGTTTATTTGGGTACTTATATCTTATCTACACATGCTATGGGCATGGTGCTGAATGAATTAAAGGATAGGACTCCGAGTCCATACTAGTAGATTCTGATAAATCAAAGATGATACTAACTACTGATGCATAGTATAGAGATTGGAGACTGGATATAATATATCGCCCTTGATAGACTTGCTATTGTACATTTTAGGCAACTTGTATTTAGGCACATGCATCTTTGACATCGGCGCCCAATTAGTGTGGTATGTATAGCCCATTGCATGAATCACAAAAGATCATCAATTTCACACCAATAGATTTTTAATATTCTCAATATAAATCCAGCAAATATGCATTTAGGAGAAGAGTAATTGATACTTAATCTTGGGGACAAAAAAGACCCATTGTACACCCATTTTGCTGATAGAGCATAGTGCCTGCTACTGGACGGTCGCTGGTAACAGTACATGATCTCTTTGATCAATGATAAGTGGACTAATTAGGATATTTAACAGGGATATTATCATAATAATAAATTCAAAATCTTGAATCAATTAGTAAATCCCGAGCCGCATAATAATTAGTCCAGAAATATGGTTAGAGGTTGAAAAGATTGTGTCCCCAAAGTATCAGTTTGATTTGCACCTCAGCCTGGAGTCACGTCACCCTCTCCTCTTAAACTCCCCTCAACCCCCAACTTTTCTCCTTTCCCCCAGTTCCCTCTACTTCAGACTGGCGGTTTCTGGAAATCATCAGTTTGAACTGCCGTTTTATTTTCCCTCTGCTTCTCTTTTCTGAAACTTTTTTTTTGTGTAAGGTTCACTGGCGCGTCGCCTGTAATCATGCCTCACCGTGTCGGTAAGTTTGACTTCAAGATTGATGATTTTTCAATCAAAAGGAAAACTTATCAACCCATCCTTCTTTGCCTGCACTGTATCAATGTTTCTTAAATCTATTGACGCGTGGATGTGCGCGGCGAACGCTTGATTTTGAGATGATATCGTGCGGTGCGGTTGGCCCTCGCACTGACCAAGCATCTCCATCATCTCCATCGCTAAATCTCACCACATAATTTATTCAACACTGACACTTGTTTGCAGAACTCAGTCCCTCTAATCGTGCTGGCTGTCAGAACAAAGAATGTAAGGATGCCAAGGTGAAGATCCCGAAAGGCGCCCTGCGCGTGGGCACTTGGATTGATACCGAGAGAATCCAGGCCTGGATGTGGCGCCACTGGTAAGCAAAGAAAAGCATCCTGTTTCTAAACACGCTTCATTTTCAGGAGAACTAATGATTCAAAGGGGCTGTACCTCTCCTACTGTGATTCAGAACATCAAGAATGATCTGCAGGAGGGAGACGAGTCTGAGGAAGTCGACCCGACTCTTTTGGATGGCTTCGATGAGATCCCCGAGGAACTTCAGGACAAGGTCCGTCGTGCATTTGAGCAGGGTCATGTCAATGATGATGAATGGAATGGCGTAAGTGATCCCGATATGGTACAATTTGATACCATTGTGAGGAAATTAACCAAATTGGCCCATTCTAGGACGTTGAAATGAATCGCCCTGGCTGCCGCTTTTTCCGTGTCCCAAAGCCCCGTGGAAAAAAGGCTAATGCAACTGTATGATATTCACTCCTTTATAAATATTGATACATGACTAACACCGTTACAGGATGACGAACTGAACGATGACTCAAAGAGCCCCAAGAAGGCTGGAAAGCCTAAGGCTACCAATGAAGATGATGAGAACGTTGATGAGAAGCCCAAGAAGGGTCGCGCCAAGAAGGCTGCTCCTAAGGCAAAGGACAACGATACCGAGGACGATGGCGATGATGAGCCAAAGAAGCCTGCTCGGGGTCGCAAGAAGACCGTCAAGGCTGATGATGCCATCAAGGATGCCACCGAGGAGAACGAAAATGATGAGCCAAAGAAGCCTGCCCGCGGTCGCAAGAAGGTTGTCAAGGCCGATGCCGAAAATGTGGAGAATGGCGATGCTGAGGTGAAGAAGCCCGCTCGAGGCCGCAAGAAGGCCGTTAAGGCCGATGCCGACAAGGAGGAGAACGACAATGATGAGCCCAATAAGCCTGCCCGTGGTCGCAAGAAGGCCGTCAAGGCCGATACTGCAAATGGGGAAAACGGTGATGCTGAGGTGAAGAAGCCTGCCCGAGGTCGCAAGAAGGCCACCAAAGTTGATACTGAAGAGGAGAAGCCTGTCGAAAACGCCGAGGACACCGAGGCTACCAAGGAGACAACTACCGAGACAGGCAATATCGATGCTGGCGCCGAGGCTGACGTTGAGCCCCAGAAGACTGAGCCCAAGAAGCGTGCTCGCGCTCCTAAGGGCACTAAGCGCAAGGCTGCTGATGCCGACAAGGAGGGCGAGGAAGCTGCCGCTGAGGACAAGCCCAAGCCCAAGCGTCGTCGCGGAAAGGCTGCCGCCACTACCAATGCCGAGGGTGATGAGGGAGAAGATACCCAGTGGACTCCTGCTCAGAAGCCCAACTCCAAGCGCGATGCACGCAAGGCCGATACCTTTGCCGATACCCCTGCGGACATCCCTGACGGTGACCTTGTGGACACCTCTGCTGACGACTAATCAATAATACCACGTCAGCTATCAATTTCTTCCTGAAGCTTGCGCGTCCTCTTCCTTGATATGCGGACATGGTTTATGTGCGATGGAGTCAGGTCGGGCAGTCTTTTTTTGTCATATGCTCTTTTTTCTTCCTTTTGTTTTGCGGCTGCGCCCATTTTGTCAGAAATTTATTTTTTTCGGCCAGTCTGCAGTAGTTTTTAGCGGAGCAGTTCATTATCTTGTTCAGGTCTTCCCGGTGTCTGGCGTGGAAGCTCCTGTTACTATCATTCGAGACTCCGAAATAATCATCGAGCAATATGACTTTTACTTCCAACACATTCGACCTTGCGAATTCAAGGCCTGCCAGTGCTCATAACGTGACAGCCTTGGAAATAAACCTCACATATATCTGATATTTTCATTCTCAATACCATTGAAGGGCCCTACAGGCTCGGAGTATGTAGACCCAAGCACTGGCATGTATCTTACCACTAGAGAACTAATGAGATTATGGGCAATTGGACTAGCCAGAAGGTTATTCAGCGCTAGCTGCATCTCTGTTACCTGTGGGCATCAGAAGAAATACATTCAATACTTGTAATTTTGCTTACACCTTCATAGGGACACCGCGAAGTCCCGGCTTATCCCAGAAGCTAGCCGGTGTCTCTGGGCAGGCGTGCATGCTGGTCCGCAAACTTTTATTGGATTCTCCATTAGTACTAGACTTGAGTTGAACTTTGGAGAGATTTCTATACTCACATTAATTGCCATCGCATCACCGGACGCAAGTTCGTTTTGGATTTCATCCGCCTTGTCCATCTATTCCCTTGGAATAACTTCATCCTCTTCCATACCGGAGATCTAAAGAAGAGCGTCAAGACTAGTCAAGATAATTGGGTAGGGGCACTTTTCGAGTAGGCTGCATGCGAATACCAGCCACACGGTGAGTAATGTTCAGTCCACCGGTCTCAGTCCATTCCCAGTCAAATCCTCGCCAAGGGGCATCCATGGTTTCCCGACTCCAACCATCCATCTCATCAATGTCTCAATGCGAGCCTCTACAGGTTGGCGTTGCTACTTCCCTTGCAAGTTCTCGTCTACAGGCCCAAATGCAGCAGAAGAGAACACACCATTTCCACCCACAAGACCGTGAGTCTGCACAGCTTTATGGTGAAACCCGTGGACTTGTACATGTATCTTGGCAGACTGCTCCAGTAACTCCGGACACTCCTTCTTCAGTCTGTTGTATACTGCCAACAAGGACGTAAAATGTGTTTCTCCCCCGGATGATGCGGGCTTCTCACAGAAAGACGCAACATGGTGAGGATGAGATGAGGATACATTGTACTCATTATGCCAGGTAATGATGGATGTCAGTTGGTGGACCATCGTCCGTAGCAACGATGTGCTTTGCGTGCTCTCGTCTGAGAATCTGTCTACTGAAATACTTGTGCGGAACCCAGCCGTGGGAGCCGCTGCCTTCGAGCGCAGTGACGAATTTTGAAAAGTCGGCTGCTGATATCAGGGGCATCCATGTTTTTGAAGTTGATGACTCCGCCATTGACATCCATCACAGCCCGCAGTCCTCTTGGGCTGTCACCATCTGTGGTGTTAGCGCCCAGATCTGTTGCAGCCCGAAGCACCTGGTCTAGGGACTTTTCTTTCGGAGCTAAGGCTCAGCGATGGCCGGGACTCAGTATCTTTATCAGACAATTTTTCCCATCTGATTTCACTATTTCACTTTCAATATTCATTTGTATATTATATATGAACTAACCTGTGGACTCAGGCTGCTCCACTGGTCATCTCGATTCCGTTGACTGGAATGAGGACAGTTAATACCTGCTCTCCTCCCTTCATACGAGCACAATGTACAAGATACCTGGCGCGGATGGCACTATCACCTGGAGTTTGGGAGAGAATTGTTCCAACTTCACCTTTGATGAAGGACTAAACTTTAGCTCGCTGCATCACATGTGCATCACCTGGGCACCTGCCAGTGGGCATCATGATGATCATGCCAGTGCAAATGTGATGCACAATGTTGGTAATATAAATCCATTCAATGACTCACTGTGACTGGCAGTTGTCATCATTCTTCTCTTAACCAACTTCAAGTTGAAGACTTTCAACGATCTTTGTGATAGTGAAGGCCTTCATTCAATATTCAAAATTATACCTGCCGTTTGCTTTTTGAGTTGGAGTTCGAAATTTTTTTTCGCGAGGACATACAGAGTCTTCAAAGCGAATTTTACTACTCTTCTCTTTCAGAATGCTGTTTGGAATACCAGTCAAACATTATTCTAATATACAGGGCCATCCATTAGTGATATTTGAAGATATAATTGGGGCATTTCCCAGGGCTCAGCACCTAGGACGACCGCTGAATTGAAAATAGATTGAGATTTATGACTACACTGAACAGGGAGCAGTAGGGCCAACAAAAAAAGATTCACAACCAGAGCAGATTAAGATAAAAACAAAAAGAATGGTCCCAGAGGGGGTCGAACCCTCGACTTTCACGTTATTAGCATGACACTCTAACCAACTGAGTTATGGAACCGTTGAGCAAAACTTCATTTTTGGTTATATGAGGGGAGACAAGGGATTTGTGGAATAACTAACTAGTGGGATATTTCCTCGCGCTTATTAAATTTATGTGGGTCATGTATATTACAGCACTGGCAACCAATCAAATCATTCAAATATTCCATAAAATCCAGTACATGAATCATGGAATCATGGAATTGTTCAAATGTTGAAACTTGAATCTTGTGGGATCCACTTTTATAACTTGAAACGGAAAGGCGCAGGCGCTAGCTGAGCCTCATTCATATGTGTAGTCTTCAGTTCATTCTCGCATAAAACCTCGAATATCATAATCATAATAAATGGCACTCGTATTGGATATTGTGTGATATTCCAGAAGTTTGGCCTGCTACTGTAGTACTATCCTGGCATATAGATTAATAACAAAGCAGAGTGTTTTTAACCTTGGAACGTAGTTAAGCAAAAACTTGAAACCAAGCATTAGATCTGACCGCCAATTATGTACGTGAACGCCACAGAAGCATATTCCCACGTGGTGATCTCTTAGTAATAACTTTATTCAGTCAGATTTTGTGTCAGTGGCAACAGAAAAGTCGCCGAATTTTCCCTGTTCTCGGGTGAATAGGTTTGGCCGACGGGTTGGAGTTTGGTTATGGTGGATACTATATCAACAGAGTATCCACGGCTTTTCCTAAACAGGTAGACTGAGCGAAGATTATTCGAAGAATCTTCTTCCTCGGATGCTTCGGATTGCGGCTATACGGAGCTTTTATCTATTTGGGATCAGGTCCCCTCTTGCAGGACCATGGATCATAGTAGTTTCCGCAGGATAACCCTAATTTTGAAGATTTGCCTCAAAATTCCATAGAAAATTCCTTGGAGGGACCTCGGCATATGGAAAAAATTGGTTTGATATGTCATAATTCTGAGAAATCAAGTTGGATTAGAGAACCTGTTCGTAGACAACGGGTTCTGACCCACCAAATGTATTTAAGTATTAGACTTGTTCCTGGATTCGATCCGCAAATCTTTATTCACATTTCAATACCTCTATTCCTCAACTTCAACTCAAAATCCAACCAGAATGAGTGTCACTTTCGATGTTTTCCGTGGATCGCAGGAGGGAAAGATCGTTGAAGATACAACAACCCGAACCTTAGGCTTTAATGAAGTTTATATCGAGACCACACATTCTGGTCTGTGTGGAACGGACGAGCACTTCTTGAAGTCCGGGCAGGTCCTTGGCCACGAGGGTGTTGGAATTGTGCGTCAGATCGGCCAGAACGTCAACAATGTCAAGGTCGGCGAATATGTTGGATTCGGATTCACCCACTACGTTTGCGGAACCTGTGAAAAATGTCTGAATGGTAGGTTCTGAATGGGGCCCTAATAACCGTCATGCCATGGAGGCTAACTCACCAAATAGGCTGGGATCAATACTGTGAGAACAAGAAAGAATACGGCTCCCATGATCATGACCTGGGATCCTTCAGTCGTGGTGTTGTCTGGGATGCCGGCTGTGTAGTTCCTATTCCCCAGGGCTATGACCCTGCTGATGCGGCACCTCTTATGTGTGCTGGTGCAACTGTCTGGACTATCCTGAGTGAATATGGTGTCCGCTCGACTGATAGAATTGGAATCATGGGCATCGGTGGTCTGGGCCATCTGGCGATTAAGCTGGCAGCTGCTATGGGCTGCCATGTCGTGGTCTTCTCCAGTTCCGAGGCCAAGCGAGAAGAAGCCTTTAGCTTTGGTGCTTCCGAGTACCATGTATTCAAAGCTGGCCAGAAGCTGGAAGATTGCAAGCCAGTTAAGCACCTTCTGCTGTGTGGTAGTGCTAATGTTGATTATTCCTCGTATGTTCAAACCCCAGTCCCATGATTAAGACTCCTGCTAACCTGGCTTCAGCCTCATCCCCTTGATGGATACCATGGGATCAATTTACCCATTGACAGTCGACTTTGCGCCATCTCCAGTTCCAATGCTGTCCCTGAATATGAGGGGAATCCGTGTGCAGGGGTCCCTTGTTGCCTCTCGGCAAAGCCTCCGGTCCCTGGTGCAATTCGCTGCGGACAAAAAAATTGTGCCGACCACAATGAAGTTCCCCTTGAACAAGGAAGGAATCGAAGAAGCTATGGAGACTCTCCGCCAAGGTCGCATGCGCTATAGAGGTGTGTTAGTACGTCAATAGACGCAGTCCGGATATAGCACAGCGGTGACAAAAATTGAATCACATACCATTATACATTTTTCAAAGTTATCCTGTTAGTGAACAGACATTCAGAAACCCTAAGAGGACTCAGAATCCGATGTGATATTAGCTCTATTGAAAACGCTTTATGACAGACTGATGAATGTTTTTTTTTCATGGGAAAGTAGGGCGTGGGAGAAAAAAAAAGGCTTGGCCCGCATCAGTCATAAGTATTAAAGAGAATGCTCACAATTTTATTGAATTCTACTATTATCAGACGGTCGTAGGCAGAAAAAGCACGCCCGCCTAGCTAAAATTTTTAAGACGCGGTGGTTGTTTAGCTCCAGACGCGAGCTCTTCGCCGTCGACCCGTCACTTCGATCCGTCACTTCGCCCGCACCCTCCATCTCCCTTCTTCTTTATCACCACCGTACACCAAAATTTCTTCGTTCCCATACGCTTTTTTTCCCCATTATTGAACCTCTTCGTTCACATCGCAAATTCACTCGTAGCCAACATGTCGGCCGCTTCTCAGGACAGGGACTGGTCTATCCTACCTAAGGATGAACCGGATGACCAGGATGACCAGGCTACTAACCTTCCGTTGAGTTTCAACCTGGATATCACTAGCGTCCATTACTTTCTCAAGAATCCAGGGGATTTCGATATCTGGCTTCGCAACATCACCTGGTACCTAAAGACGCTCGGACTCGATAAGCTTCTGGACATTAAAGTCCCCCGACCCCGTCGCGAGAGTCCTGAATCAAGCCGCTGGCTTGATTTCTCGCGCAAGGTTTCCAAGTGGCTTGCCCATAACATTTCCGATGACCTGCTGAAAAAGATCTTGGCCCATGGAAAGCGTACTGAGCTGGCAGACGAGCTTATTGCTGAAGCAAAAGCCGAGTTCGAAACCGCCGCAATATATGCAGATATCTCTTGTGTTCAGAAGTTCATGTGGATAATCCCTGATACTTACGCCACCACAAAGGAATTTGTCTTGCAGTTCATGGAAATGCTGCTCGACATTTGGGCAACTCAGCCTGTCCGAATCCACCCATACTTTGCACTTTGCCAACTCTTGGTCAAGCTGCACATATTCGACAACAAGAGCATTTTCGCCCCCATAATCGCGGACCTAAACAAAAAGGCCGATGATTATCATCTTCAGAGTGATTTCAGTATCGTGGACTTTCAAGACACTTGCCATAATATCGTCGAACGCCTGGAAACAGCCCAAGCTGTCCTCAGACTGCAAAATCGAAAGTACTGGCCCCCTCCCGGTGCGAATCACCACGAACACGCAAAGATGCTACGTGAAACACTGCCGCAATACACCGAGGACAAGAAATGCGCATATTGTGGAGGTTTATTCCACTTGGCCTCCAAGTGCTACTGGCTGAATCCGGATGCACGCCCTCCGAACTGGCAACCGAAAGGTGGCATTTGGATGTACGAACCGGAGAAATTTGATGCTCAGACCCTTGATAGCCCGACTCCTGCTGCTCAGACCCTTGGTGGTTCCACAGGAGATAGCTCCTCTGTTGATGACTCCTCTTCCAGTGGTCTGACTCTTGGTGGCATCACTATCGGTAGCCCCTCTGTTGGTCGTCCGGTTGTTGGTGATAAGACGGCAGTGAAACAGCGTCAGCTTTCGATTAATGAAGAGGAGAAGGCACCAGCAGCAGATGAAAATCGACAGGACGCTCCGAAGTTTGGGTCGATTGAAGCGAGAATATTTGGCAAGCGCAGCACCGAGCCAACAGGACCGGCCGAACCCCTCATCAAACTCTCAGATAACGGAAAGGTCAAGCCTTGGGTGATTGTTGATGAGGACGCCCCTCACGCATGCGGGTGATAAGTCAGTCATGACTGATTATCAGGAGTATGACCGGGATGATAAGCCCGTCTGTAAGGTGCTTCAGCGGATCCCTGAGATGGCGAAGACTCGGGCTTCGGGATGGGGTAAGGTAAAGATCGAGGTGCTCTTGACAGACGGTACCTCCGATGAGATCACAGTCGATTGCCGCTACTATGAAGGCCTTCGACTCAATATTTTCTTCATGGGTCAGGCCCAGCGGGACCTCGCCATAACCTTCGATGCGAAGGATTCAACCCTCCGTGATGGCGAGGGTAATCAGGTTGCTTGTGCCGTGAAGGTAGATGGGCGGAACTACCTCCGCACACCCACCTTCAACGAAATGGTCCAGTAGGCCGCTTCTCCGCGATATCTATTGTTGTGTGAGGTTCGTGCTTGTCACTTGGGTGCGAGAAAGTGAGCTGGATGGTTGATAGATCCATGCTTCACATTATTCCCACCGAGTGACGGGTACGAGCCTCACATGACATGGCTTCGTGGATAGGTTGAGGGTTGAGGGGATGTGTTTCGGTTTTCTTTTTTTTCTCTCAGAAAACAACAAAACAACAAAAAAAATTGAAAAGAAAAAACCTTGAAAAAAAAGCTGCCCACTGAGAAAGACAAAAAAAAAGAACGTGGAAAATTAAAAAAAGTCCAAAAAAACAACGAATCTCATGTATTCTAGAAAACACAAACACCAAAAAAAGTGAATGAAATGCCAGCCCATTTTATTCCAACACATGTCCCACTCCGTACTTCATATCTCTCGTAGCTTGAAACACGGCACAAGTCTTCCTGTTACAATTCCCACCGTGTTCCTAATCTCTGGTGAATGAAATCTAGCAACCTCTTGACGCATATCAGGATTTCCTATCTGACGCTGCTCCAAGACCTCCGCTACAGCCGAATACAAAACATCTATATTGCCATCCTCAATCTTGATGGCGATGCCGATTGACCCATTACCACCAAGTCGTGTCGTCTCCTCGGACTCCTGGATCCCGATACCATAACAACCATCTGCGCCAATTTTCCCAATAAGTAGACCTTGGAATGCACGCATGAGAATCGTGCAAAACCGATCTTCGCCCGCAACATACTCTGAGTTCTGGGACATACCTTTGAAGACACGAGACTGTGCTAGGGTTCGAGGAGAACGTGTAGTTGTAGCATGGTTCCCAGAGGCAGCAGCAGCAAATGATGCATACATTCTAGCCAAGTAAAGCAAAGGAAATGCCGGAGCAGGTAGATTGCATCCATCCAACCCCCATGTTGAACCTTGTTCATCAAGGCCACATATCTCGTTCACGGTATTCTTGACCCGGACCTGCATTGGATGGGTGGGCAAATGGTACGTGTCGACATCGGCACCAAGTGCTATCGTCGCAGCAATCATGCCAGCATGTTTCCCAGAACAGTTACTACAAACTGCCGTTGGAGTAAAGTCTTTCTTGATCCATGCTCGGTTTACAGCATTGGATATAGAGGTATGACCACCGCATTGAAGATTTCCTTCGTTGGCCCCGATCTTTTCCAATATATTGCGTGCGCGAGCTATATGTCGCTCTTCGCTGCTGTGCGATGCACACATAAGGGCAAGGTCCGCGTCATCGAAATCGAATCTGTCGAATGCGCCTGTTTCAAGGATTGCGACAGCTTGGGCTGGCTTTGCGGCGGATCTTGCGAGGGTTATTCGTGATGGGTCGCCTAGGGAGTATAGAAGACGGCCAGTGCTATCCACGATCGCTGCATGGACTGCATGTCGATTTTCGATGACACCGCCTCGGTCTGAGATGAGATAGTCGTTTGAGAGGACTGTTCTCATTGTGATGCTAGTGGAGCTGCCAGTAGCCGGTTATCTGTATAAGAATTTTCAGTGGTTTTCAAGGTGGGGGGGCTTAAGCCCTCTATAAATATTCTCTTTCCATGTGACTCTTCAAGCCTCAGACTGTGTTTTGTGGTCATTGTGATCGGCAAGGTCCGGGAAAAGTTTATCATACTCCACCCTCGGTTGCGCGAACCTCATCAGGGTAGCGAGGAAGATGGAATTAGTCAAATGATAGATCACTGGTAGATTGTCAAGTGTCATCTCCATTAGATTGTGCAAATATACTTGAAATCAACCAATGATTGTGTAGGTTGGTTGATCCGTAGTGATAATGCGCTAACCCTAATCGGGTGCACGATAGCGACGCTAATCCGAATTAGTCAATTTGCATATACACCTCACTGCAGAGAGTTGGGGCTTTGACAAGATACACATGTTATTATGTGTCATAAATATCCTATGTTGTGGACGGATAGCTCAGGTCATGAGAAGTGGAATGAGCTTGCTCAATGAAGCGTGACTCGGTATCTATAGCATTGATTCACTGGTATGTATGGGCCGCAGGCCTGCCTCACAAGTATAGTATCCAGCACATCAGGAATGCCACAGGCAAAGGTTCATGAACATTCAAGTTAAGTTTTCAAGTAATTCAAAGAGCGCTCTTTCCAACTTGTCTTATGAAACGATAGATTCTCTCGGTACTGAATTGGAAACATTCTGGGAGACCAGTATCTTGCCAAGAAAGACCAGACATCAACTTGACCAATCCAGGGGCACAAGTAAAAATCCCAGCCATTCCTGTCCATAGTCAGAGAGGAGATCTTGGATAAAGAATTTGTCCAGATAAACTTACCATGGCCATTAAATCCGGCGCAAATCCATTGACCCTCAAGACCTTCGATGGGTCCGATCAACGGTACACGGTCCGCCGTCATACCAATGATCCCAGTCCATGCGTGATCCAGTCCTTCCCCATGTCGGAGTGTTGTGGCTTCAAACTCTGGACAGAGGCTCAAAAACTCCCTCGTGCTATTCTCTGCCAGGCGATCGCTGTATTTCGAATCATCAAGCGAGGCCAAATCTTCGGATGTCATATCTGAGCTATTCTTAGTCCCTGTACCGCCGAGTAAGACCATGCCATTAGTCAAAGAATTGACGGAGAAGAAGTGATCTGCTTTATATCTTAATGCCATTGTATGCTTGAGAGTATATTCACCAGAAAGCGAAAGGGGTGGGACAAATGAATTGACCTGCGATCGACGAGGCGAAATGAACTTGGTCAATTCGGGTAACAGGTACGAAGCATAAGCATTGGTGCAATGAACAACAGTCTCGGCAGCCACAATCCCACGGGGAGTAGAGACTTTCCATCTCAAGCCAGCTGTAGAGCCCTCGGCGCGAGTGATCTTGGTTGCTGGACAGTGAGTCCATAACTTACCCTCTTTGCTGATGAAATCATTCAAAATCCACTGTACTAGCTTTCCTGGATGATTCGATGCCGCGGGAGACTCGTAAGCACAAAGTGCATTGGGAACTCTGGTCTCTCGTTTCGCCTCTTCCCCTTCGTAGAACTTGATGTGGGAAGTATCGCCACCAGCAGCTTTGAACTCCTCCAGGGCTTTAGCTAGAAGAGCGACGAACTCTTCCGTCAGGGCAACTTCAAATGTTCTCATGTAATTGAAATCACTATCAATATTGTGCGCCTTGACAAATTTGCGAACACTCTCCAGAACAGCCCTTTCATTCTCCAAGACTTTCTTGGCTTGATCGGGTCCATGAAATGCAGCATAATCAGGAAACCCACGAAAAGAGTCTAAGTAGAAGTTAGGGCTGAAACGATATGAATCTGTGACGGGGAAGTGAAGACAGAGCACTCACCAGGTCGAATATGTCCAGCATTCCTCCCACTAGCACCGGAGACTGCTTCTCGAGCCTCGATGATCAAAACGTCCTCACCCTTAACTCCACTCTCAACTAACTTCCACGCAGTCAGCGCCCCAGAAAGTCCCGAGCCTATGATCAGATATTTTGTTGATGCGGGCACTGGGATGAGTCGATTTGCATGCAGGTGCGGGAATGAGCGCGTTGTCCGATGCCATATCGAAAGGGTTGAATCTGGGTGTGGCAGAGCTGGCAACACTGTTTTCGTCATTATTTCGGTTCTCGGTATGATGTTGGATTTGAAGAATCAACGTTGTATCACTCTCACATTGAAAAGTAATTGAACAGGAAATTGACCAGTTTATCAATTGAAAGGTGGAGTTGGTGCTATCGGAGCGGGGAATCGTGATCCTGATGGATCGTGAGGGGCTTATCAAGCGAGCTACAGTGACAGCTGCCCACAACCACACCATGTCACCCTAGAGAGAAACCCGATTCGTCATTTGTCTCCCCGTATCACGCTATCATGTATGTATAATATCGCTTTTTGGAGTAGTTATAGAAGATAGAATATTCACTTCGCTCCCTGCTCGTGGAAATGTCAAGCAACCTTATCAGCGAGTGACCTTACAAAGTAGTTCGGAACACACTGTTTGTCTAGATAGCTCTCCGGCCAACTAGAACTTCTCTCCATACTCTCCCAAATACACGGCTCCCAAGAATCCCAACACGTACTTTCTCCATTCACCAAAAAACTCAACCCATAAGGATCGCAGCCATCAAGCTAAGTGACAATGGCTCTCATACCGTGCCAACTGTCACAAATATGAAGCCCTGAACTGACACGATACATAAAGATTCAAGGCTATGCCTTCCAGATACGCAAATGCGCCAACAACATTCCAAAGATAATGCGCGCTAAGCTCCTCCTGCTTCGACTTCCTCCTCATCGAGCTAGTCCCAATGGCTGAGAGTCCAACCAAAGAACTATCGACAAATCATTTAATGCACAATATTTGATCTATCGCAACAATATGAATACATGTTTACTTCTGATCCCCCTCGGAAAATTATGAAAATATGATTATGCCTTGGGAAAGATCTTGGAACTTTGGAAGTCGTCCACAGCCCTGGAGGTCAACGGATTCGATATGGTATTATATACCTCCAGCGCTGTGCAGTATCTACAGCCCTGGAGACATCTGGACCTCAGCACCAACTCCGAGTCCAATTTCTTCAAATTATATCATCTATGATGTTTTTGAATGTTCGGTGCTTTTGCCTTATACCTACAAGCCCGAGACTATGGAAAGGAACTCCAGGGCCCCCACCTATAACTGAAGTGCTCTCTGGCCATATCTATGCCTTAGGGTGTCCCTCGCTAGTATTGTGCTTGTGCCGGTGCCCAGGTGAGTGTGTCAACTTGTTCTTACTAGTATTATTATGACTTCGCACATCGATTGATGTATTTATTTTGAATTTACCATATAATACTCGGTCAACACCAAATGTATTGCTTTGGGGATATTATTTTGGCCCTTGAAATGTTGGCATAGCATTTCTCTTCTGCTATACTCAGAGCCAAGACTTTAAAGGGCGAGGACACCAAAATGTAGAGTTAGAGGCACAGGAAAAACCCCTCTGAATGCCTGTCTTTCCCTCATAGGGATAAAAAGTAATCCACTATAATGACCAGGTCAAGTGGTCTAGGGGGGAGGGGGAGGGGGAGGGGGTGGAGGCTCTGAGCCCATCTGACCTGGTCAAATTGCTCTGTTTGCTTGTTCTTTTTTTTTTCTTTTTTTGCCTCACCGAAAGTTCATCGGTTCAATTCGCACAGTCGCAAATGATTTCTTTTTTTATATTTTCGGTAAATATGCTCCTCAACCGCGGCTTTCATTTGGTTCACGTTTGAAAAAAGACGGGTGGTGGGGTGGTGAGATATGTGGGAGGATAGTTGTGTGCGGCGACATATCATGATGGACAGAGTCCAATATACCCCTTGGGAGTGAGGATTGTACATGATATGAAGAAAACAAGACTCTTGTGCCTGCACACATGGGTACAATATAACAGGCTATTAGCACATGAACCTGAAGCCGGTCTTACCAGAATATTATTTCTTATTTTCACAGCTCTCGACACATTTTCTTTAGCCCTTAGTATGCTGGCATGAAGTTTCCCTTTCGCTGTGCGGAGTCTGGATACTTCAAAGGGCTTAGACACCAAAATGTGGAGCTGGATGCATCACTCAGATCTGTCAGAATGCCTTTGTTCCCTCATAGGGATAAAACGGATTTTGGTATGCTGACCAGGTCGGGTGGCCTAGCTACCTGGCCTGGTCATATTGGTTTGAGTACTGTCCGATTACTGTTCTTTTTTATTCTTGTCTCGTTTCCACGGCGGAAGTCATCAGTTTAATTCGCACGCTCGCCGTTGAACTTTTTTCTTATCTTTTTGGTACGCGCTCTTCGCGATATTCTCTTTCATTTGATCTTCGTTTTGGTGCATTTGGAGGCCGTACGGCGTGAAAATGGCGAAAACAGTAGTTTTTGCTGGTGCGGCTGTCTATCTGTGTGCCTTCTTGATATTCATGGATGCGACACAAATGGCTGGAATGGGTGTGCGCCAGCGTTCAAGTTATGATATCCCCACAAAGGATATAAAGATATGCTTGATAAGGAATAAGGCATTGGCGTTGTTATTCTGTGTGAGACTCGGAATTCCAAAATGCTTTTCTTGGATTCATCGGGGATCATGATGTTCTAGATCGACTTGTTTGTCTTCGTAGTCCTTATCAAAAGTGCCTGTCTGTAAATAACAACACTCATATATCTCCACAATGATGTAGTGATGTACGGAAGATATGACGTTGCTTGTTTCACGAGGCCCAGGTCTAGACTTCAATGGCAAATCCGGATAGAATAAAGTTATACAATGGCTGGAATGTGCATGATATCCATGGTTGATGAATGAGCGGGACTCGATTCAGATGGCACATCTAAATTTGGATCGAGGCTCCACTAATCCACTCAATTATCCAATGTGATTGGCTCGGATAATTATTTTAGAGTGGGCCACTCAAGAGCTGTCGTGAATACTCGTGGACAATGGAGCAGTGGGAAACGCAATGTGTTTCAAGATGTCTAGAGATGGTGCAATGTAGAATATGCAGAATATTAGGATGGTTTGGATAACTTGTTTGATTCGAGGTTCCGAACAAGCCACGGCGCTTACCGGTCCATGCAAGTAACGTTTAGAACGTTCCAGAGTAACTCAAGCAGAAAAGTTATTTCAAACCAATAGTTCATACCAAAAAAATTACCGCTGAACCATGTAATAGAGTTTCGAGTCATCGAATCAGAACTCGAAGTCATAGGGCTGATCTCATCGGATAATTAATGGGTCGGAGATATACGATGTCCATAGTAGAAATAGTAGAAACACTTCGGGTACCGCGGAAATGATCAAAATTCGAGTAGTAGCAAACCGGTCAATTTTGGAATCGAGATTGATTGCAAATGATTTCATTTCTTATCTCATATTGCAGGTTGCTGTACAGGTCCAAGTCAGTGGCAATTTGAGCATGTGAATCTTGGAAGCTCTCTTGCAGATCATCTTACCCACCTGTCACGACCGAAGAGCTCAGTTGATCACTACCTTTTCAGGATAGTGACCGTGCGAGCATCATTAGCTATCCTGACCCATTAGAATGGTTCGGAATAAGCTCCCTGTCTAGTTCTGCGTACTAATGAAGCCGAAAATTTAGCGCCGAGGGCACTCAAGGGGTTATCCCGGTCTTGTCAAGTTGATCTCAGGCTCATGGGACCGCCTGAAGATGCAATTGGCGAAACTCGCATTGTTTATTATCTATCTTTCAAGTTGCCCATGCATATGATGTTTGTGGCTAATTGGTAGTGTTTCCTCTCCACATCGAGAGGCCCCATATGACCCCTTTACGGTGTACGAGATCTCAACGGCCTAAGCTTTGTGATATCCCCGTTGGGCAGCAAAGGGGATTCTCATTCACCAAGTATCACCTGGCGATAGAAAGCCCCGCTAAAGGAGGCGTCTTGAAATTTCCGTCGCATTGACCAACGCATACAGGGGAAAGTGGAAGGCGGATTTCGCGCAGAATCCTGCACCGACTATGCATCATGCACAATGCGACAACATGCACCATAATGTATCTGGGATAGAGTTGACCTCATCCAAGTATTTGTCACGTCTTAGGAGAATATTAGAATATTGACCTTGCTGGTTGGCTGGAGTCAATAACCAAGCTCTCGAGTTACCAGTGACGTAGTTGAATGTGAAAGCCACCAGATCGCGATCGATGGTTTCAATTCCCCTTTCGCGCGCGCATTTAGAACTTCACTGTTTGTTGAATCACAAATCACACCATAATAAATAAATCAGCTATCAGATTGTCCACATCATGCCTTGGTCTTTTGCTCTGCCACAGGGAGTTTTCTCATCACCCCTACTCTCGATCGCCACGCCAATCATCGGCGGGACCGCCACAGCCCTCCTTGTGAACCGTGAGTACCTGGAAAAAAAAAAAAAATAGTCTCAGGATTCCGAAAATCCCGAAAATCCCTCATCTATCAAATGACGAGACGCTAATGTATCACATCTTTAGGAAACAAAACCCAAAGTACCTACAAGGATCTTCGGCAACCGCCCTTCAGTCCGCCGGGCTGGCTCTTCGGACCGGCCTGGACGGTACTCTATGGACTAATGGGATATGCGTCTCACCATGCGACCGTTACAGCGTCTCGATCACTCTCACTAGCGGCTCATGACGCTAACAATAGCGCCCAGACCCTTTACACGAGTCAACTGGCTTTGAACTTCCTCTGGATGCCACTTTTCTTTGGAGTGGGGCGACCAGCCGCGGCCCTTGGCGATATGGCGTTTTTGGTGGGCAATGTGGCCTTGTTGATGATCAACTGGTGGGATGCGGACCGTACAGCTTTCTGGTTAATGACTCCGTATGCCGCGTGGTTAGGATATGCGACGTATCTCAACGCCGGTGTAGGATACTTGAATGGGTGGGCTCTTCCGGATAAAAAGCGCTTGGAGTAGATGTGTCCAGGTGTGTACCGAGTGCTATGAGAGTGTGATACACGTTGCAGATTGGGACAAGGTGGGATGGTGGAGACACTATACGGCTGGACCTTTTTTTCTTTCTATTTTGTCTAGATAACCCTGAAATGCACTCTTTTACAGCTAAAAGCTTGGATTTGAGTTCTTAGTGAGTTCTTAGTGTGTATTTTCGTGGCAGCCTCAGGGAGCACTAAGGGGATTCGAGAACATGGACTCTGCGCTAAATGATCAGGTGGTGTGAAAATGACCCACTTGGTGGCGCTTTGTGTTTAGTTTGATATGAACTTCTGGACAATTATTCGCCAATGAATTCGTAATGTGTTTCGACATCTTTTGTTTTATGTTCAAGTTTGCCATGGTGGAGCTTCGAAAGCTGTTTCTATGTATAACCGAGATCTTGGCTTGAGCTCAAGTGCTCCATTTACTGTTGGAGTCCCCCCCACTATGCTATGTGTTTTACCCCCCCTTGCTATTGACTCCATAGCTGTGCAATATTTGACGATCTCTGATGTAATCCCAGTTCCCCCATTGACCATCATATTCAAAACTTGAATCTTATATAGGTTAACTCGGGATCAAAGCTCAGGAGGTGGCTATACGGCACCGGCACCATAATATGGACCGGCATCCCGGGATCGTCAGCTCGGGAAGACCGAATGCGAACCTAATTGTGGATATTATCATGAGATGATAAGGGAAATTTTTCTTCTTTGCTAAGATCAGTTCAGGGCTGGCAATTCTCACCACGCTAGATTCCACTATTTTTTCTTTTCCATGGAAGCCTTGGAAAGTAGAGAGCGGGTAGGTTCGCTCGGCCCCCGGTGCCACTGTCATTGTGAATTGCCACCGACCCACCATGATGTGCGGGTGGTACGTGTTCGGTTCTAGAATTCTGAGGAAAGAAATCCAGGAATTTACCGAAAGTTAGGCAGTTTGAGTAGGCATAATCACGGAGATGAAGGGGGGAAGAGGTCATGATGATACCCGATAGTATCAAGGTCCTATTAGAGGATAAGGCGAATTTTAGTATAAAAAGACAAAGCTAGAAATCTCTGCAAGTCAGTTTATAATAGCGAATCACCTCTTAGCTGTCATGCATGTCCCTTATCGATGGGAATTTATGCGGATCCGACGATCCCTGATCTAGGTGGATGAATACTAAAAAAGTGTGAAAAAAAAATCAGGAAAAAGTTAAGATTGTCAGAAAAATAATAAAATAAATCTAATATGGAATTCTATATAAAATACACAAACACATAGGAAAAATAAAGACCCTAAGTTCAAACTCCCCCATGTTACAAGCCCGAATTCCTTATACTGGATCCGTGGTTCAGAGCATTGATACTCCCCGAACTCCAGTCTAGACTCTGTGACTCTTAATTTTTTTTAATAAAAATATTTATATACTATACTGCCTGTCATTCCCTCACTCTCTTTTTCCTCATCCATCATCCATCACCTTCGTTTCATTGTCCTTCGTTCACACATAGAGTCACTCCCGGCTTGACCGGTCCTCTACTCATGTCCGACTCAATTCCTTTTCCACACCCTAGTCCGAACGATGATTACGCCGAATATCCATTCCCCTCTACAAACCCAAGCACCCGTCCAAGTTTTGAACGTCAACCAACTGAAGAGAGTATTCAATTTGTCTCCGGATTACAAACACCTTCGCCGCCTTCGCCGCCCACGTTACCCGAACCCGCTGCAGAGGAACCTCAAATAGAATCTCGCACCCGATCGCCTCGTGTGCGCTTTCGCTCAATCAGTCGTCTCAGTGAACGATACTTACACCCATCCGACACTCTACGAGTCGTTTCAGACCAATCTGACGCGTCCCAACGTCCTCTACTGCCGCCAGCAGAGCTGAGCGATATCCCGTTATCCGGAAGCGTCACCCCGCCGGTCCCCGCACATTCCCGCCACGGTAGCGGTCGCACCCGCAAGGATTCATACAATGGTTTCTCAGAGAAGAATGAGCCGGATTCCGTGCAAAGACAACAATCTGTTGGTGAGCGATTCCGCGCGGCTCGTCAATTAGTTCGACAGAAGACTGTCAAATGGAGTGAACGTCTCGGTCGTCCTACGGATGAGGGCGAGGCCCTGAATGCATCCCTTCTTCCCGATGACTTTGACTCTAGCATTCCGCTGGAAGAAATCCAAGCTCGTCGCGCTCGTCGTGATGCAGATGGATTGCGCGCTCTGGAAGCTGGCGATGAACCCATTGAGGCTGCGCCAAGCGCCGAGGCGCATCGTCTCGTGCGCAGTATGACATCGGTCGGAGACCGTTTGAAGCGCAAGCCACGTGGTGCTTACCAACGCTCGGGCCAAACTACCCCTGAGGGCTTGCTGCGAGATTATACTGCTGCTGCGCGTCGTCGATCAAGTGGATTCGGTGGCGGTAGTAGTGGTATCTTGTCGCAGCTTCTGAGACTTCAGGCGGTTCAAAATGGTGGCTCCTCGCGCCCGGAGAGTGTCATTAGTGATGACTCGGATAGTGAGACTCAGGTCTCGTCTGGTGTGACGACCCCGAAGAAGATCGGGTCTGTTTCGCCATCTCTGGGTCCGTCTATGCCTACTTCTGGAGCTGCTACCCCTCGAAAGGAGAAGCTCAAGTGGTACAAGAAGTCTAACCATCGATCAACCTCTTCGCTGATCAATGCTTCTATGAACTTCAGTTCTGCTAGCTTGCCGGCGGCTGCTGAGGCATTCCAACCTGGTAAGCGACACAAGAAGAGCAAGCGCAAGACTCGTCTCGAGGATGAAATCCGTGTTACCGTGCATATTGCCGAGATCATCTCCCGTCAGCGATACATCATGCAATTGTGCCGTGCTCTGATGCGCTATGGCGCTCCTACCCACCGTTTGGAAGAGTACATGCAGATGACTGCGCGAGTTCTGGAGGTTTCAGGACAGTTCCTCTACCTTCCCGGTTGTATGATCATGTCTTTCGATGATCCGGCAACTCGTACCGCCGAGGTCAAGCTCGTGAGAATGGTGCAAGGTGTCGACCTGGGCCGACTTGCTGATACCCACAATGTGTACAAGAACGTCGTCCACGACCTGATTGGTGTCGAGGAAGCCAGCCAAGAGTTGGACGATATCATGCAGCGCAAGTCACGATACAACAAGTGGCTCACGGTTCTTTGCTACGGTTTAGCCAGTGCCGCGGTCGGTCCATTTGCTTTCGAAGCCCGTCCAATCGATATGCCTATTATCTTCATTCTCGGCTGCCTCGTTGGGTTCATGCAACACGTTATCGCTCCCCGCTCAGTCCTCTACTCCAACGTCTTCGAAGTCACCGCTGCCATCTTAACCTCATTCCTGGCGCGTGCTTTCGGTAGCATTACGCACAATGGGGAACCCCTATTCTGCCTCTCTGCTCTTGCTCAATCCTCCGTCGCTCTTATCCTCCCCGGTTTCACAGTCCTCTGCAGCAGTCTGGAACTGCAATCCCACCAAATGATCGCTGGCTCGATTCGCATGGTGTACGCTATCATCTATTCTCTCTTCCTCGGCTACGGTATCACAGTTGGTCTTACAATCTACGGTCTAATGGACCACAACGCATCCTCCCAAACCACATGTCCCAATCTCGACGTATACGGATCAGTCTACGTGCGCAAGTTTCCCTTCGTTGCCATTTATGCCGTATTCCTCGCACTCGTCAATCAGGCCAAGTGGAAGCAGATGCCAGTTATGGTCTTCATCGCTACTGCCGGATACATTGCCAACTACTTCAGCACACTGAAATTCGGCTCTTCATCTGAAGTCGCGAATACCGTTGGTGCATTTACTGTTGGTCTTCTGGGTAACTTATACAGTCGTCTGTGGCATGGTCATGCCGCAACTGCTATTTTACCTGGTATCTTCGTGCTTGTTCCATCTGGTCTTGCATCCAGTGGTTCCTTACTATCTGGTCTGAGCTACGCCAACGAGGTTATCTCTGGTAACACATCATCAACTGATGATTCCAGTACATCTGTTTCCAGTCTTGGATACGGAATGATTCAGGTTGCTATTGGTATTACCGTTGGTCTTTTCATGTCCGCTCTCATAATTTATCCTTTCGGGAAGAAGCGCACTGGTCTTTTCAGCTTCTAGATTTTTTTGGTTCTTTTTTCTTGCATATACACGATAAAGATTTCATCGGTTCTTTGTGGAGTTTGGTTTAGAGGGATTCATCTTGTTTTTTTAGCGATTGCGATTTATTTGATCTTTTAGCGTTGATAGATCCGGTGTTGGTTCATGTATCTAGACTTTTCTTTCTGCTGGGCAGCATCATATGATATGACCTCATATTATCATTACTTCTTAATATCCTTCAAGTTCAAGTTTATCGTAAATTCTGCCATAGCTACATGAGATAACTTGAGTGAAATTGGAACTTGTCCATGAATCTATCCAAGTTACTCTATGATGGTTCATGGCTAATGTATGAATAGAGAATGGAGTTGAATTGAATAATTAATGAACATGAAATTATTATTTTGTGCGATATGAAAATCGCATGAATGTCAAATGCTAGAATGCAGTCTATCTTGTCTATCTCATCGAAATCCGAAAATTCGTTGGAATATAGTAATAAAAAAAAAGAAAAGGAAAGGAAAGGAAAAGAGTGTTCACTCAGCCTTCTTAGAGGCCTTGGTCCGCAGCTTCATCAGCAGGTAGACCAAAGCATACGAACTGAGCGCAAATATGGCGACAATACCAATATCACGCCATCCGTAGTAGTACTCCAGAAGATTGAGATCATTGAGATAGTCCGAGCCCTTGGTATACTCGCAAACCTTGCAACCAGAGGTAGCATTCGGGTTAACAAGGTTCATACTCTTGCCAATGGTCTCCAGGTAGGTAGAGAGGTAATCAGCGCATGTAGAGTTATTCGGGGTATTGAAAACAGCGAATTCGCTCTCCTTGCACTTCACATTCACATCCCAAGCATCGAAGACAAGCATACCACCCATGAGATAATTGAATGGATTCATCCAGTAAATCCAGTATCGCCAGAACGCAGTAATCTCTCCATATGGTACCAGGACACCACAGAAGGAAACCAGGATACCGATGATAACGGGGTTAACGAGAGCGGCGAAGGTAGCGTTGGGAGCGTAGGCTGCAACGAATTGACCAATACCAGTGTACACGAACTCGTACAGAAGCATCATAAGGAATGTTGCGCCGGCTTTGTTGGAATCACTAGGGAATCCAACGGTGTAGTACCAGCAGACGAAGTAGAGAACAGCGCAGATGCAGAGGTAGGGGATTTCGGAGACGACTAGGGCAGTGACGAAGGCCTTCCAGGAGTACATCTTGGATTTCTTCTCTCGCTGCTCGTAGATGGATCGGCGTTCGATGAAAAGTGGTTGTAATTGATTGATGACACCGGGGGCGACGAAAATGAAATTGAAAATTGTGAAAAGACGGAGTTGCATGCTGGCGACGCTGTCGCCAATCATCCAGAATGAGAATCCGTTGAAAAGAGCGGAACCGATGTGCAGGGCCAGCTTGTTGTCGATATAGTCGGTGTTACGGAAAAGCGCGGTGCTCATGCGGGTGGTGACCAACTTGGTCTGTTCCCAGAGAGATGTAGCGAATTCCTGGCCATCATCGAAGGTACCAGGAGGGGCAGCTGCGGCGGTTTCAATGATGTTGTTGAGTTCCTTGAAAGATTTCTCGTGCTCAGGGGATTCAAGCCAGATCTGGTTCCAGTCGCGGCCTTGGCTAAGTTGACCAGATACGACATCAATCATGTGCTCAGCAGGGTTGGTGTTGGGAGGGCAGGGAGCGTCGTAACGTCCGAAGTAATCCTTAATCGTCTGACCATTGTCACCAATTTCTCCGAAATAGACAGTCTTTCCACCCTTGGCAAGAAGTAGCAAGGTGTCGAATTCGGCAAACAACTGGGCGGAGGGCTGGTGAATAGTGACCAGAACAGCCTGGCCAACATCGGCCAACTTGCGAAGGAAACGCACGGTGTTGTAGGCAGATTGACCGTCCAGTCCGGAGGTGGGTTCATCAAGGAAAATCAGAATGCTAGGCTTGGACACAAGCTCAACACCAATGGTGACACGCTTGCGCTGTTCAACGCTCAGACCAGCACCAACGCGACCGACGAGGGTATCGGCGAGGTCATGAAGTTCCAGAAGATCAATAATGGTGTCAACGTACTTCAGCTTCTCTTCACGCGGAGTATCTCTGGACTGACGCAGCAAGGCAGAGAATTCAAGAGATTCACGAACGGTGGCGAAAGGCTCCAGGACGTCCAGTTGCTCACAGTATCCAGCGGAGCGCTGGAAGGAGATAGGTAGGTCACGTCCATCAACCATAATCGAACCCTGGATAGTACCCTCTGTCTTACGTTGGGCAAGAACATCAAGCAGTGTAGTCTTACCGGCACCGGAAGAACCCATAAGAGCTCCCAGCATACCGGGCTTGACCCAACCATAAATGTTATTCAACAAGACCCGATCGCCAGTAGGAGTCTTAACAGTGTAGCTCAAATCCTTCCAGGTAAACACGGATGTATTCCGAACAAGTTGGTTATCGATATCCTTAGAAGAAGCCTCGGAGTCATGCGCATCATTCTCAGAAGGCTTGGACTTCTCCTGGACCCCGGACTCTTCATCAAACTTGGAGTTTTGACGGTGAGCATCGAGACGTTCACGAGGAATGACAAGACAGCTTCCATTCTCAGCGGCCGATTTCCACTTGGAGGTAGCAATGACAGTGACAGCAACGAACAAAGCCCACCAAGCCCAGTTGATACCGAAGTTTCGCCACAAATGGGAGCGGTCATAGGAAAGCGAGGCAAGATAATCCACTCCGCTAACGGATGTGGCACCTTGCTTAGCGCCGCCAACACCAGCACAAGCCTGGTATAGGGAGTCGGTGTAGCCAGGACCATTGGGAATGAGATTGGAACCAACGCAAGGGATGGTCTTTCCGTAAAACTCGTTTGAAAGAAGGGCCTCAAAGCCGTATGAAAGTGGGTCAATCCAAAAGATCCACTCAAGCCAGGGGTGCATTTCGGGCTTCTCAATCATATAACCAGTGTACATGATGAGCGCAGCAATCAAGAAACCTGACACCTTGGAAGCTCCGTCAAATGTTGTGAACAAAGCTCCAATGGCGCGGAACAAGGCAGTCATAGTCTATTGTGAAAGTCAGCTAATACTCTTTAGAAAAGGGAATCATATCGATCTTACCATGGTAGCTCCAAACACAACAACCCAGTAGGTGAAGAAAATACCAGCAGACATAGTCAAACCAACCATGAAGTAAACAATGACGGCAAACATGCTGACTTGGAACAGTAGAACAGGGATATCAGCGGTGATCTGAGCGATACAGAACGCAGCTGGGTGGAAGTATGCGAAGTCCTTGTGTTTAACAAGTACGGGACGTCCACTGAAGGAGTCTGTAACCTCGGACATCGCAAGCAGACTGTGGTATAACAGCGAGAAGAAAAGTGCACCAGATTTGATGAACAGACCACTGGAGTTATCAGCGGCGTTGTAGAAAAGCGATCCTGCAATCAAGGCCTGGACCAACGTGGCAACCTGCTTGATGATAAAGGTTGCCTTGTCTCCCCAGAGAATCTGGTACTGTCGCACAATACAGGCCTTGACCTGGTCAGTGAAGCTGACAGTAAGAGCACTATTCTTGGGCAACTGCTTGGAGGTTTCGAAAACCACACCCTCTTTAAAGTCTTGGGTGCGCTCACGAGCAACATCTGAATCGGGATAGTTATATTCGGAGATCATCTGTGTATGAATAGATGACTTTTCATAGACCTCTCGAAGGGCATCCTTGTTGCGAGGGAAGCGGTGTTCGTAGTTTTCGCGAATGCGGCGCTCAGTAGGAACGGTGATACCAGTGAGGAAATCAGCAACATTGGAACCCTCACGGCAGATGAAACCCGCCTCCTCCATAAAGGGACGAGCCTCTGTGCGGGGACCATAGTAGATTTGCTCGCCCTCGTCGAGAACGAGAACCTTGTCGAAAAGGTCGTAGATTCCGTTACCAGCTTGGTACAAGGTGACAATAGTGGACAATCCAAGAGTATCTGTCATAGCACGGATAGCCTTTGTCCATTCAAGAGCACTGCTTGCATCGAGACCACGAGTACTGTTATCCCAACAGAAAATGGATCCTCGAGTGGCCATAGTTTCAATGATGGAGACACGCTTGCGCTCACCACCAGAGACACCACGGACATATTCATCACCAACCTTGGTATCATGTGTGTGTGAGATTCCCAAAGTTTCCATCAAGAATTCCTTTGACTGTTTACTGTATTCCTCGGCAGACTCGACACCATTGGGCAACTTGAAAGGAACCTTGAGACGAGTTGCGAAATCCATGGTCTGGCCCACCGTCAAGGTAGGAAAGAACAACTCTTCCTCAGTGTTCATGACGATTTGGCCACGGAAATTCTCCGCCTCATCGGCAGTCAATGAACCAAATCGAACATCTCCTTGCACGGACTGGTATCCACCTCGTCGATTCGCCAGCATCTTCAAAAGTGTGGTGCAGCCGGATCCTGGACGACCCAGAACGAGCAACATCTCGCCAGGCTTGACGCAACCATGACTGTTATGCAAGATGGTACGGAGGGGAGCTTTGCTGCGAGACTCCTTGATGTGTTGGGGGATGTTGAATTGGGAAAAGAAATTCTCTTGCACGGCGGAGTCGGCACTGATCACGTCGACGTTGACATTTTGCCAGGTAACACCCAGCTCCTGTCGCTTGAACCCGGATGCTAGGTCTCGCTCATTCTGTTGTTGAATCTGTAACAACAAAGACGACTCGGGTTTGTATTCGCTTTGAGCAGGGCTGCTGTTGATGCTCTTCTTGATAGGAGTTTCTTCTCCAAGCACAGTGCCTGTACTCTCAGTCTCATACCTGATATCCAATGACACCTTCTCAGATGGAGGTGGGTTAGATTCCTCCATGATGGCACCGAAATTTGCGTTTAACGTTTTTTCGTCATATGTGGGCTATCAGACTCTTTATGTGTATTATTGGAAACGCAAGTCACAGCGCATATGTGGGTCCCATTTTGAAGTATGTGAACAGACGGCTTTTGAGTCACTCCGAGAGTCCCTCCGAGACAAAGATTTCCAATCATAGCTCGCATTTGCTCGCATTTAGGAGATTTAGGCCCCATTCGGCTCATGGCATCAGCATTTCCACGCGGCTGACCCATGGCTAAGGAGAGATCATTTTGTTTTAGCATGGGAACAATGAATCCTTATTTGTTCGGGCTGAGGGACCCACGCCATAATGGATCAAAATTTCTGCTCTCAAGCCAATGTGGATCTCACCAGGGGGAGGCCCGATGTAAAGAAAACCCGGAACTTGGCATCTTCCGCTGACACATCCATTGTTTGTTCACCTGGGCACCTGGGCACCTGGGCAGCTTCATTGACCATATTTGGTAGACCGGGACACCGTATATGCATATTCAATTCGGATTGACTTGTTTCGTGCAGTCATGAGCATGTTGGAAGCTTGAAATAACCTGAAATAGATCAGAATTGATAACCGGATGGTTCATTTGATCAATATCGGGTGTTCTAAACACCGATCAAGCCGATAAATAAACAGGGTTTTCCCGGGTGAGATCGGTTTTTGGAGTGCGCTGACTCAGCGGCATTAATCCTCACAGCATCCATCAGCTCCACTTGGGTAGGCTTCCAGAATTAAGACCTCTCTCATCTCCGAGGTTTTTTTATATCCGTGAGCAATTAAGTCTACTTCTAAACTCCGTGATAGATCCTAATCAGGATCAGTCGGAGGTTCAATCCTTCCGACCTATCTTCTCATTTATTCTCTATCGTTGATGCCTACCGTCGACATCAATGTAACCTAACTTAAAAATCATTCAGCTGTGCCCGGTTACGTACTAATGAGTTAATTATAATTGAGTGAACAGCGAGTCAGAGCTGACTATGTACGTTTTTCTTTATTAGACTAGATGCTTATAATTCGAAATCATTGCGTTAGTAGGCACACATGTGCAGTTCAACAATGCCGTTTTCATCTAGTAGTCAGGCGCTGCTGCTGCTACTAGTACTCCATACCCGTGGACTAGTGTTTTGAAATTGATAGTTCTAAAGGATTTACCCATATCGCGAGGAAGATCTACTTAGTGCCAGTGTGGAGCGGTCAGCTCATCGCCCCATTGTTACTACTAGTAGATGCCAGTGTGCGTAATTCAATGGAGACTCGCCTTGAATCATGTATTGACTCGGAATAATCTTGAAAGATCAAACATTATAAAGCCTCAACTTGAACTTGAACTTGAATTCCGAGTCTGTATCCCTTTCCAGTTTAGGGGCGTTGGACCCTGAAAGTTAAATCCAATCCTCTTTATCTGGGCAGACGTCACAGATCCCGAGTCGTGTTCTTCCAGATGTCAAGTCCTGTCATACTCTAGCTTGAAACAGCCAGCTTTCCGTACTACTCCTAGTACTACTGGTACTTCAACTTGAATGCAATATCCACGAATGTCGCGGTCGGCTAGGAGTGAGTACTAGTACTACAAGTTCTCACGCCACACGAAGCGTCAACTGGTGGCGCTGTAACAGCGAAATTGGGAAAGGTTCATATGTGACCGTATGTCTCAGCACTCAAGTGCTTGGCTAGCACTTCAAGTTGAGGTGCGTTCAAATCCGCTCAGACAGGGATTCGGATGCTCACATACTTAAGTACAGGACTCAGTCAGTAGCAACTACAGGTGACTGACTCGGAAGACCTACACTTCTTTCAAATGTTGTACATATGTAAGTACCTATGGGGTTACCTACGGGGTTACTGTTAGACATGGGACCATAGGCCCCGTCCCTTGTAGATATCACCGTCCACGGAACCTTCTTTCTCTTCCCCCAAGCACCTAGGTACCGTTGACAGTTACCTACGGGGTTAACTGAAGGGGAAGGAAGCCTGAGGCTAGGTAGCTGCTACATATCTAGGTATACACCACATGTGCATGGATATTAGTTGGATATAGGCAACTGCCTAGGTAGTACTACCAGTAGTATGTAGTAATTGAATCAATGATCTCCGGGCTTTTACTCCAAACTTCAAGTTCAAGTTGAAGACTACTAGTATCTCCAGGACTATGTACGTACTAGTATGTACTACTAGAAACATCATTGAAATCCGGAGATCCCATTCATATATACTTCCCTAAATTAGTCTGCACACATTGAACTTCTGGCAGATTCAACATTTTGAACCTTCAAGTTCAAGTTCGAACCTTGCATTTGAATGTTGGATATCGACCTTGAGAGCTTCGAATTTCCCTTTCCTAGGCACCTAGGCAAGAAAACTTGAAATTTGGATGTTTAATATTTATACTGACCTTGAAAGGGATCCATCTCATCCTTGTACCCTTTTCAATGTTCTGCGCTGGTACAAGTTTCTGGTCAACTGGTGAATCTGCCAGTCTGAACCCGCTCCGATTCCGAGTCCGAGAACCTCCAGTCAAGATTTCGAATCATTTCCAAAATCTAGCAAAATTCAGCTCCAGATACAGAGTCAAGTATTCAATTTTCACATTCCTTTTGATTGGAGTTCAAATGTTTGTTATGATTCGCTTTCAGACCGGGATGTATGGGCGGGGTAAAAGGAGATCATTCCATGGGCCGACCGGGGGAACAAAGTGATTGGCAAGATAAGATGATCATTTCGAATATTGGCTCCCCGATACATTATTTATCCGTGATCTCCGGGGCTCTGAAGCCTACACAGACTTAGATCCGTGAAGATTGATGGTATATGCCGAAATCATTGCCATGATCGCAAAAGGCCTGGCCAGGGATCCTATCAAGTTGTTATATTTGGCAATCGCTGATCTTTGATTGTTCATGGAAGCAATCAATCACGAGGATCGACAAATCATGAGAAATTCCGCATTTTGATAGGCTATTGTGGTTGGTGATTCGGCAGTGGCATGATGCAGTGGCGACATATGGGTGAAAACAGTCCAACTCTTTACTGATGGGAAATGTGGTATGACCCTCTTAGGTTGCTCATGAGCTCACCATGAGTCGATTATATCAAGCTTTCCCTGTCTATAATATCCATTTCAACTGACTCTGACTACTTTCTTAAGAAACAACCTTGTGGAAATCCTCATCACCACCATAAACAAGTATATACACGACTCTCAAAATGCAGGCCAGCAGAGTTATCACTCGCAACTTCTCGCCAAGTTTGAATCGGGGCCGAAAACAACTCCGTGTTGTTAATGCTACACCTCCTCACCCAGCCTTTGCTACACACAATCCATCTACTGATTCCGACCAACTTGCCTACCGGCTGTGTGAACTCTCCCTACAAAAGATACAGAAGCAGGCGCGGGCGGGCGAGCCTGATATCAGACATGTACTCGCATGTACGTCTATGCAGCGACTTGCACAACAAGACCTTCTCCATCGCCTCGACACACTACAAAGTGCAATGGATATACCGCTTATGCCTTTGCTCCCGGGCGCAGATGAACCCTTGATCGACGACGACGACGAGTTAGACCTCAAATCACTTCAAATTGCTGTCTCCGAACTGGAGACAGCAAGCAGAAGAGGTGAGCTAGCTCGGTATATTTGCTTTCAACAAATAAAAGATATGTGAGGAGCAAATGAGGGATAAGTGAGGAACAAGTCAAAGATAAGTGAGACTATGTAAGCACTTCAATGTCACCATATATGTAGCAGTTTACTAGTATAGCCCCTGCTAATTACTTATGGTCAGGTTATATCAAAAGTCGATGATTCTTAACGAATAATGAAGATATTGAATACTGGCGTATTAGGAATGATTGGAGTTGGAAGACGAATTGTCATTATAAACAGCTGAACAGAACAAGATTCAACGAATAAGCTACAGGCTTAGCATATCTACCCACGTTGCTTTAATCCTCCTTGTTGTATATCTATTCTTAGTGTATACCTTCGTCTAAGTTTATGATCATATTGTTTTCCTCCTGCTCTTTCGACTGTTTGACTTCTGACTCTTCTAACCTTGGAAGTTTTAGTCCCCTTGATATTTTTACTTTCCTCCTGATCAACCTACTCACTGTGGCAGTTCCAACTTGAAGGCCTGAGGTTAACACTACACCCAACAGACATTAACCAGCCTATATTTTAACACTGCTCTATAGGTGCTCTTTTCCCTTTCTATCTCTCCAACTTGACCATATCAACACTCTGCTTGGAAACTCAAGCAGCCTATTTCAACACTCCTCTGTAGGTACTTTTCTTTTCTTTTCTTATCTCTCTGGCTTGACTATATCGACACAACGATAGTTTTGTGATAAGTCGCCTAACCATCGTCATTTTGCTTGAAACATTACAAGCAATTTTCTCATTCTTGTCTATTTCTTCCCCCTTCTTTCCATGTTCTCCATCTCTTCTCATTTCCATCTTTCTAACCTGACCATATCAACAGAACGACAGTCCCGTTGTAAGTCTCCCAAAATTCGTCGTTCTGCGCAAAACCTTACAAGCGATTTTCCCTTCCTTTTCTATCTTCTTTTCCTTTATTTTCCATCTCTTTTCCTTTCCAACACACTTCCACCCTTTGAAGTCAATTTCCTACCCCAAGCCAGCTACATACACCTCTTGATCTCACTGACGCGTGAAGACTTGACTTGTTTTTTTCCCTTAATCTTTTGTTTTCCTTAGTACTTTTCTTTTCTTTTCTTTTTCTTTTCTTTGCTTCATCCTGATCAACAAGCTGAGTTACAACCACAGGTCAACCCTATACCAAACCGAAAATCGGTTGGTACTCAACATCTTTTCTTCCTCCTGAGGTCAATCCTCTATCAATTTTCTTCCATCTCCCACATTCGACCTTCATTTTCCTCCAGCGCAGCCTCAAAAGGTGCTTTTCAAACCTTTCCTCGTATCTCCATATCCTATTGTCCGGCTTCTTTCGAGATCACCATCTTCCAGATATTCAACATGAATGCTTGGGAGCAAGCGTCCGCAGAAGGTCTTAACATTCGAACCTGCATCAAGTGCAAGGACAACTTTGGTATCACGGAATTCATCTCACTAAACGGACTTCAATTGTGCAAGATGTGCAGTCGTTGCCGAAAGATTCACAGAGATGTATTTGATCCAATATCCTTTTTCTTTGGTTTGATAAGCACAGAACTCAGGCTAACTTAGAGATAGAATGACCGAGAGTACAAAAGGAAAAGAAGAGAGAAGCAGCTTGAGGAAGAGCGCAGAAGGGCTCGGGAACTCCTGGCAGGTCCAAGCCGGCCATCTGGATCTAACGCGAGACCCACCCCAAGACCCATCCCAAGACCCATCCCAAGACCCATCCCAAGACCCATCCCAAGACCTGCTCCAGCGCCAGCTCCCATCATGCAATCTACTCCTGCTCCTGTTCCTACTCCGACCCCGGCTTCCATTCCTCAGGCACGCCAGATGCCAAGACCAATGCCTTTCCAGTATTCAATGTCCTTCCAGCAGCAGATGCCAATGGCTCATTATATGCCCTTTCCCCAACCCATAACAATGCAGCCCATGCCAATGCCACCATGGAACTATTTCCCGGCAAACTTCTCAAGTGGCTATGAGGGAACTCCCGAATACATTGGCTCACCAGTCTCTGTCCCAGGATCTTCTTTGCTCTCATACTATTTCTGTCTTCACTGTGGTATCCCTCGCAGTACCAAACTGATCTACGAAGGTATCTGCGTTTATTGCCTCGAGTATGAACAGAAATACTGTATCTTCGGTGAACATGAAGAGAACAGACGCAACTTTATCGATCGCCACGGCGTGGAAAAAGTACGCTGCAACAACTGCCGAGATGATGATGAAGATGTGGACTTGACTGAGAAAAAGGAAGAAAACGATGCTGAAAGCTCTGATGAAGAAGAAACTGACAGTGAACTGAGTGATGTCTCGAATGATGTTATTGAGCTTGATGCTCCAGCTGAGGCTCAAAATGAGCCTCAAGTAGCTGTTCAGGCAATTAATCAGCCAGATACCATCATCGTTGATGCCCCAGAGGACATGCAAAAGGATCCTCAAGGAGTGGCTCAGACTAACACCAAGACAGACAATGCCCCGGCAAATACTCCCAAAGATGCACAGAATGATGCTCAGGGAGTCACTCAGGAGAACCAGGCTGATCTTGTCCTAGTTGACCTTCAGGGTGATGCCATTGTGGTACTTGATGTCCCCGGGGATGTCCAGGATAATACCAAGGGTGATTTCCAAGCTGATCTGCAGGAAAATATTCAGGAAAATTCTCAAGTCGGTGCTCAGGACGATACTCCAAAGACCATTGAAGAGAAGACTCCTCCGAAGAAGTCCCCAGAGCCAAAAGCCTTGGAAGAATCTGTCAAGATCAAGACTGAGAACGATGACTCTATTCAGATTGCTTTAAATCGCATTCCAGTTGTGATGACCGGTGGTGATGATTCCTCGGATCCTATTATTCTTGATTGATATTACAAACAGTGTTTCTAGTGTTTCTGAGTTATTGCATTTTTCTTTTGTAATTTTCGAAGGTTCAACCCATTGATTGATATTTCAAGCAGTCCTTTCGCGTTATGATGGTTTCTTTTTTGAATTGTTGAAGGTGCAATTTATTGAATGAGATTGAAATAGTTGAAGTTCAGATCAAGTGCATTCAATGTTCTTAGCTAGGTCATCTTTTGCGTCTTCAGAATGAAAAATTTTAATATGTCCTTTGTCGACTCATAACTTCAGTGTTGAGTATCTCCAATTCATTCGATATAGCCCAAATCACGAAATGCTCTTCCTAAAATCTCCTGAATCACCTTATCCTTCCTAAGAGTATAATCCATAACTGATTCCTCATCCGAAGTCTGTTCCGCCGCTTCATATTTCACCTTTGCATAAAGATCCCGGTCCGCCGGCGATTTAAGTAACCAGTCACGAAAGATAAGGTGACGAGCAGCCTCAGGTGAGTCAGGGCCCCACACATGGAGATTAACATGGTAGGCGTTAGGCCAATCCTCAACAAAGAACCGGTGCTCATGCCATCGGGGCTCGCGTAAGAGAAACTTGAACCCTGCCTCTTCCAGTGGCTTCACATATGATACTTCATCCGTGGCATCTTTCAGAGTCAAATCGATGTCAATAATGTCTTTTGCGGGTAGACCGGGAACACTGGTTGAGCCGGTATGAGTGATCACCGCAATGAAGGACCCAAGGGCTTTTTCAATTCGCGTTTTGACTTCTTCGAATCGTTGTGGCCATTCTGGATTGGGTTTGGTTATGGTGATAGGGGGTTTGACTGTCCGTGAGGCTATGCGCTCCACGAGCTCGGGTTTGTATTCATATGGTGCGAGGATCTGTTCAACTGGAATAGGCATTTTAGGAATATCAGGGTGTTTGATCTCAAAGATCAGTTCTGGGTGAAGTTCAAGTTGAAGAGAGGTTAAACCGTGACTTGAATAGGCGGGGACCCAAAGAGGTAAGACTCGAATGAATTTACGGCCCCCACATAGGTACTAGTACACAAGTACTCACGCCGCGCGCAGCACTGCCAGTGTACATAGTAGCAGCGAGCATTTGTAATCGGGAAAGATATGTCCTCAGGACTCAAGTGCTTGGCCAGGTGTGTTCACATACTTAAGTACATGGCTCCGTCCGAGTCAGAGCATCTACAGGTGACCGAGTACCTACAGGGTTAGCTGGAGGGGTATCTGGAAGGGAAGGTTAACTGTTATGTATATTGTTCCAAGGTTGGATATAGGCAATTGGTAGCCCTAGGGAATCAAGCTGTAGTCTCTCCTCCGAGTCGGGTATCAAGACAGGCGTCCGGCGGTGAATAAAACCACTGTGACCCAAGTAGAAAAAGAGGTCTATAGTAGACATTGATGAATGAGAATCACTGGCATGATCAGGGATTCAGGATCAACTTGCATTACTAGTAATACTCAAGTGCTATCTAATATATCTGAGCTCTTACTACTATGTAGTAGCTTATCGGCTGAATTTTTCTGTAAACTTCATAGATTGGTGATCTGCGCATGTAATTAGCATTTACAGGCGATTCATCTGAACTTCATGACTAAAGCCATCCATCCAAGATTCGAGAATATTATGAGAATCGACTATGCAGAATTTGATAAGCTAGAACGAAGATCGGATTCTCCAGCGATAGGATAAACTACACTTATCACCTGGGCAGTGTTATCACACAAGATGGGCCATCCAGATTCCAGACCCACAAAGCCTTCCCCGATTGTGACCCCGACACTTCAGACCCAATTTTCCCCGGCTAGAATCCCGAAACCACCAATCTTCTCTGTTGAAGCAATGCATGTCGCGTTCAATCACCGAAATCGGGAACGGCACCCGATGATTGATAAATGTCAATTTGCGCCCTTCCAACCCTGCACCATTCTCTTCCCACTATAACCACTCCGCCCAGATAAAGATGGCTACACAGCTCAAATCTGGTATCACAGTCACCGATAAACCATTATTCTCAAGAGAAAGAGGTCTCGAGGAACCCTCGGCATCAAGTAGCAGACATGATGACCCTAGGTACCCGAGTGTACATGACGATGAAGCCCCACAATCAGCATTCACGATAATTGAACCACCAGCACAACAATCCTCAGTAACAACTCATATCCTTGAGCCAGTTCCAGATGACCAATTCCCAGATGGAGGACTCCGCTCTTGGAGTGTTATCGCAGGGTCATTCTTTCTGCTCATGAGTACTTACGGATTAATGAACTCAACCGGTGTTCTCCAAAGTTATTTCGTCACGCACCAATTATCGAATTACTCCACCAGTGTCGTGGGTTGGATCCCTGGTCTATTCCTTTTCTTTGGTCTAGGATTAAGTGCGCAGGTTGGTTCAATGTTCGATAGGTACGGACCGACGGGCATTCTTATCGCAGGTACAATCTGTTATGTTGCTGGACTCTTGATCCTAGCAGAGTGTCGATTGTATTGGCATTTTCTGTTAACCATGGGTGTCGTTACGGGTACAGGCGCTGCGCTGTTGAGTACTGTTGCTTTGGCTGCTGTGCCACATTGGTTTAATCAGAAAGTTGGCATGGCGATGGGTACTGCGATGGCTGGAGCTGGGCTTGGTGGTGTGGCTTTTCCGTTGATGCTTCGGTCGGCATTTACTAGTATTGGATATAAATGGTCGATTCGATTGTTGGCGCTGATTGTGGGTATTCTGTGTGGATTTGGGATTTTGTTGGTGAGATCTCGTCTGCCGAAGGGGAGAAGCAAGTCGACTATCAATTTGCGGGCGTTTAAGGATGCGCGGTTTACTTGGTTGACTCTAGGGACTTTCAGTAAGTGGCAACCGATTCTCCAGGATCCAGTCTGTGCAATTGGGAGCTAACTGGCATTGCAGGCTTGGAATTGGAGGTCTTCGCTGGCATTGGTCTTTATCCGACCTATGTCGTGATGCAGGGATTCAGCACTTCTACCAGTGTGATCCTGCTGGCTGTACTTAACGTGTATGAATATCCCTTTTCTTGGGACTCGCTGTGGTTATTTGTTAAAACTAACTCACAATCTTTTAGCTTCTCAACGGTAGGCCGGCTCATTGCTGGTAGGGTCGCCGATAAATATGGTCGGATCAACACACAAGCAGCACTCATCACGCTCGGAGCTCTCGCTGTATTCGTGATCTGGCTACCCTTCGGTGGCACTTTAGTTGGTTTATACATGTTCAGCATAGTCTTCGGACTAGCGTCGGGGTCATTCCTAAGTCTGGCGCCCGCGTGTATTGGACAGATATCCAAAGCGAGCGAGGTTGGGGGAAGATTTGGCGCTTGTTACTCCATTGTGAGCATTGCGTAAGTGGTTCCTATCTTCTAATCCTGGTTGTTGTAATCAGTTAACTGACAGTCTATACACCCAGTACCCTCATTTGTATCCCAATCGGTGGTGAGATGCTGCAGGCAGTTGGATCAAGAGCAATGGTCGCGTATCTGGGTAGCGTGCTCATAGTTGCACTGGGAATGTTCGTGATGGCTCGGTGGGCCTGTCTTAGCTACCGGTGGAGATGGCAAGCAAAAATCTAAGCAGAGGCTGATTTTGCTGAAGCTAGCGAAAGCATAATTTATGCCATTGAAACAAGCCTAGGATATAAAAGCAGTGAAAGGGTCGATAATAAAAGATTGCATATGTGTAATTGCTACGGAGAGGCACTCATATCCTCGATCAATTTTCTCAGTCGTAGTAGGACCATAGGTACAAAACCTAGTTCTTCTCACCACCTTGATCTGCAAGCAGTTCCTCACTAAAAACTGTTAGCATATTCTCAATCCCGCAGATAGACCAATTCCTAGGAGAAACACGTACAGATATTTGTCCAACTCATCCGTATGCTTCTTTTGCTCCTTCAGCTTCTTTCGAAGCAACTCAAGCCTGCACCTGGGTTAACAAAGTTGCGAAATAAAAAAAATTTCATAAGTTGACCACATACTTTTCTCTCTCATGTTCCCGAACGTACATGGCCTCACTTGCAGCCTCTCGACGAACAAATGCATCATTTCTGTTCAAGTCAGAATTACCTTGGTAGTGACGTCACCGACTCCCTTGGTCACTTACTCCGCCAAAAAGCCCCGTGGTTTGGGAGAACCAGTATCTCCAGCTCCCAGGATTGATGGTGCTGCCGAGAAGGATCGAGTGATTGCGGGGTTACGAGCTAGCGAAAGAACCGGACGATAAAGTGCAGACTGCATCATGTCTGATAGAGTCGAGTGGAGCGACAGTGGAACAGAGGAAGTGGAGAGAAAGGGACGGTATGTCGATCACTCTGGAATGAGACACGAAGACACTTGATTTGGTTATTTCTGATCAGGTTACCTGGTAGGTAGAACAAAGAGTCTTCTGAAAGTTAAGAGTAAAAGAAAAGCTTTTGATCTGTTGGGTGGATGGAAGTTTTAAAAGTAGCTGGGGCCCAGGTGATCTCCGTGAGAGCCGTTTCTGTCAAGAATTACTCCGCATTCGAGTGGATTCTAGTGGGGCAGGAATTGGCACCACTCGTACGACCTACACTGGGACTTTGGCTCATTCCTGGATTAAAGATCTACTGTTGATCTCAAGATTGGTTTTAGCAGTTGTGGGCTCACAACTGGTATCAAATCGCTTCATTGAATTAAAGAAAAGAGAAAAGAGTACCATCATCTATCATCTCACTACAGCGTGTATCGGAACCCCTTCTGCAATTGCCGCGCAGCAGCAATATCAATGTCTTCAAGATCTGCAGTCACTTGCAGTCGGCGAAGTTCTTTCTCGCTCAGCTGGTAGTCCTCATTCTCCAATCGCTCTTGTCGCTTGTTGAGCATGCGAAGATTGAAATACATGAACATTCCGCAAAGCCCGCCGAGCACTTGAAGACCGACACATACCGACAGCGCAGTTCTGTAATATGGCTTCTCATTTGCAAGGTAGGTATATGGTGTCCAGATACTGGCCGAGTTACCCAGCGCGTTGATAAAAGCATAGGCTGCTGCACGCTTGGCTGGGGGACGTGGAATGGCATTCGCAATCCAGGAATAAAGCGAGCCATTCTGGGCGAAAACGAAGATCATTAAGAACATCGAGAAGTATCGTGGACCAAATTCGCCCACTGTCATGAATACCACAAAGCCCACGATTGTGATAGGGATCGGGTAAACGAAGAACCAGAATCGCTTCTCAAACCTGTCCGAGAGCCATGAATGTGCGAGACTGTAGAAGACCATGAAGACATATGGAGGTGCTACGAGTAGCAGCGAAATTGTGTTGTTATAACCGAGGGTCTCAGCGAGTGTTGGGAAGAAGTTTTGGAATCCAGCAGCTCCAGTGATACACATATAGCCAAGAGCAAGTACGTAGGTCTTGATATCTGTCATTGCCAGCTTGAATCCTTTGATCTGACTCATGCCACCCTCCTCATCCACGTCGGCTTCGGCGGCTTCCACTGCAAGACGTCGCTCAGCGACACGGCGCATTTCTGGAGATAGTAGTTTCCATGTTTCCGGAAAATCGGGAAGAAGGAAGCAGATCACGATTCCCACGAGCATCGTAATTGATCCCTCAATGATATATAGCCATTGCCATGCGGATAATCCGCGTTTTCCCTTCAAGCCGCTAAGAATTCCAGCGGCGATGAGGTTTCCGAAAGCACCGCTAATCAGGGATCCGGAGTAGAAGAGACTCATTCGGAATGCGAGTTCTTTCTTTGTGTACCACTTGGAGAGATAAAAGAGCACACCAGCAAAGAAAGGAGCCTCTGGAAGATAATCAGTAAATATGGAATTTATAGGGAGGATTTCATTTCGTACTTACCAACCAGTCCTAGAATAAAGCGACACGCAGCCATGCCTCCGTAACCACTGACTTGGCTTGTCAAGGCGGATACAAGACCCCATGCTGTAGTGAAGAACCCCAAATAAATCGAAGGCCGACCCATATAATTGAGAAGTAAGTTACTCGGGATTTGCATCAGAATATAGGCGACGAAAAGGATTGACAAGCAGGTTTGGTATTGTGTATCAGTCAAATGAAGCTCTTCGGTAAGACCTTGAAGCTTAGCGGCAGCGTAATTATTACTATCCGAGGGTTCCCGCATTAGCAATTATCAACTAGCATAGGGCCCGCGCGCCGAAATCTCACCGATCGATATAATTCAAAAGATAAACCAATACCACCAGGGGCATAATCAAAGAATCGATGCGACGAAGCAGTTGGCGCTCGACGATCTTCTCCTCTTCCGAAAGTGAAGCTCTGTATACTGCTTCTTCATGGGATACCTCGCCCTTCTCCTGGACCACATCAGGGTCGGGGAGACCAAGCTCCTTGCTGGCCATTTTGAAATAATAGCACTGGCTTCGATGATATCGGGTAAAATTCAGAGATGATAGTAAAAAAACTGCTGGAGGTCAGCTGTGCGGGGTGGTCGCTTTATATTCTCCATTCTAAAGAGGGGAATCTCAGACAGAGAAGACAGCTTGACTCGGAAGTTTTCCAGGGGTGCCTTTGCTCATCTTTACGCAGTCCAATAAGACAGCCTCCGGATTCTTGTATCTCCGACGATCTCAAGTAACCCCAGACGTATTATGTGAGTCTGGGGAAAAACATGGGGGGGGGGGGGGACTAGCCACCTCCACTCCTAACGGGGTATAAAAAGTGCGGATTGCGGAGAAAGACAAGAGATACACGAAGTGCCAAGGTGGTGTGAGATGCATATGACGAGAATGATAGGCCCAAAAGGACCATGGAGGTGAGTTACCCCACGATTCAAAGCCACTCAAATCCGGGTTTCAACCACGCCAAGCCTCTTATGGTGTAAAGCTTCGTGTACACGGTTCCCCAGATGGACCGTGCTAGGCCTTGGACCTCCAGACTCAAGAGTTCAACTTGTATTTCTCGGACCAAATCCGCGTGCTTTGGACCAGATGGTGAGATCATGGGTATCTTTTGTGGAATTCTTTGAGTTTCAGATTAGTCTTTTGACTTTGTTCCGTGTATTATCTTCTCTGTGTAGCTTGTTGCTCCGCTGATCTTGGAGACTATAACCAAAGGGAAAGCATTTCCCGATACCACTATTTTCAGTGGCGCTTATGTTCAAGATTGGGGGTTTGCCCAGCTTTATTTTTATATTTTACCGAGGTTTAAGTTGCCACAGTGCTATACGCCACGCGCTACTACCATAGTACTCTTATCATGGTAAAAATAATAGCCTCGCAGTTTCTCCGCTTTCAAGTTGTTCAAGTTGTTCAAACTGTTCTTCCTTTTCATCTTATTCAATAATTCCTTATGTCTGAAATAATGGCTGACATCATTTGGAATTACAGTATATTAGTATGTTATAGACCTCTTTTCCTACTTGGGTTGCAGTGGTTTTTCGAGTTTCCTCCCCGCCTGGCAGAGCAGAGAGGCAGAATTAACCGATGTATAGCTCATCCCTATGGCTACCAGTTGCCTATATCCAACTAAACACCTGGCATATAGCAGCTAGCCTTCCCTTCCAGGTAATCATGTAGGTGACCCCGTAGGTAACCGTGTAGGTACTTACATGCAAAGAGGGGTATGTCACCAGATACCTGTACTTACTACATACTGACTGGGTACTTAAGTATGTGAACATGGCTGTAGTGTCACTGTGTCTACTTGACTGAGATTCCTGGCCAAGCACTTCAAATGTTGAGTGCCGAGTAGATACTTTGCCCTTTTTCTGAGGACTTGTAATATGCCGACGGGGATTTCAGTATTGATATGATAAAAGCTCCAGGAGCTTTGAGAGTAAACTGCCAGGATATTATCACACTAGGTAGCACATATACTAATCAGATGGAATGCAAATTCATCTACAGAAATGCAACCTGCCAAATACGGGACTGAAGAGTGAGTATGTAGTTGAATAATGTCAAAAGGAAAATCTCGCATTTAGATATCGAGCCCAGCTTGAACTTCCGGGTCTTTTGACCTCTCTTTAATTTCCAGTTATAAATGCAGGAGATCATGATCATGATACTTCAAGTGTTTGTACATACTATATGTAAGTGGAACCAGAAATATTTCTTAGACTTCTAGGACTAGTCAACTGGTTGTACTACTAGTAGTAGACTCACCCAGGGACACTTCAGGCGCAGTTTGCTACTATGACTTCAAAAGAACCTTGGAATAAGGAGTTGTAGTAGGTAAATTACTTATTCAACATGGACTACTCCGAGTCCATTTTGGCCTCAATTATGATAAGATGCTAAGCCGGTACTAGTAGGTACTAGGTAGTAGTAACATAGCTTAGGAATCTGAGAATTCTATGAAAATTAAAGGGGAAACCCCGCATTTTGATTATGATTTTTGAAATTGGAACCTTGGAATATAACAAATAAATGTTTGGTACTCTGTACTAATAGAGGAGATTGACGTCTTGGCTCATTTTTCAAGGGCGAGTATTTCGTCCCTGTCCAGGTGAGTCCCTGCCTCTCCTGGCTTGGGTAGCTTATGATCTTGGAAACTGCTTCAAGTGAATTCTTCAGTATCTTGATCCCCCGAGAAACTTGACCTTGAATGTACATTCACATAGTGCATGGTGGGGATGAATTCCCATACCCATACTCCAGATAGGGAGTTGGAATCTTCAAGCAATCTAGGCCGATTGGCTTATGTTGAGCTACAACATCATTCCATCCAATTCCGATAGGTCATTTTACAGGTCCCCAATCCCAACGACCGGCCCCTCATTACCAATTCAAGCCAGTGACAGTGTTTGCGCGGCCTCATCATCTTGCATTCCGCCAATGGGGCCACTGAATAGTGGATTCGGCCGCAACGTGCGGAGCAGGATCCGCAGCTCCACCATCCTATCAGAGCTATCAGAGTCCCTGAGAACCCCAGTTACTAGAGCTATCGGTGGTCCAAAATTGGGCCCTTGTGAGACGCCCCCCACCGCCCCGAGAAGGAGATCTCGGACGAAATCTCACTCGTTCAAATCCCGCCGTGCCGTTGGTCGCAGCATGATTCTCTCCTCCCCCTTCGCTCCATTGCCGCGTCCCCATGGTCGGTGAATTGCGACCATCCGCCCCCGACTCACGAGTCAGGAAGGCGCCTAATCGCCAGTCGCGCTCCTGTAAGGTCTGCAGAATTCGTAAAGTCAAGGTACTGTCCGCTCAGATCCCCTGCGACGGGAGGGACCGTTATTCCCGTACCCGAAGCGCCCCCCTGTCTACACTGCCACCCCACTGAAAGACATTCTACGTACACAATTCAAACGGAGCAAACAGAGCTAACATCGCTCCGTTCTAGTGTGATCGTGTTAAGCCTTGTCATGCATGCTGCGCTCACGGGTACCCATCGAAATGCGTCTACGAAAACATTCCCGACGAGGAAGCTCGTCCTATTACTCAAGCGGAGGAAATTAGGAATTTGCGGGCGGAGATCCGAGAATTGAGGACAAAAGTTGATGAAAGACGAGATGGTATGTGGAGGCATCCCCTAGTTCCTTTATACTTCAGCGGGGCTCCGGGTCTCATTTCCATTGAAATCGCCCAATCGTGGCTCTAGCATCTGCCACTAACGCTGTCTCGCTGCAGGGTCTGGAGATCAAGAACTCGAGCGGCTGGACCAGCTTGAGGGCTTATTTGACTCTATTCGATCCGCCCCGTCTAGTGTAGTTGACCAGCTCGTGCGTGAGATTCGATCCGCACATGGTGGAGTAAAGAGAAGTCTGGTGAAAGTAGGACCGTGGGAGGGACATGAAGGTAGGTTGGGATCAGCGCTGCTATTATTATGATTGCACGAGCTGAACCTTTTTTATTTCTTGCAGCATACGAAGGTTACGATTATACGGGCGGTTTGCGACGATCTGTCATTCCAATCCGACGATCTACTCGAGATTCGAGCTGGGAGGTCAACTTCAATGATCCGCTCGAAGATGAGGAGGATGAAAATGGTGAACTTTCTGAACGAATGTCCTTGTCCAGTGGTTCCGAATCAGGATCGTCCGGAACGATCTCTGTGATGAGCATGCAAAGACCCGCCGTGGATATATTCGTGGAACGGTTTGTCGATGCGTTTAGTCCAGAGGTCGATTCTAAGTCTGGTCGAGCAGGAGCTCTGCGCGCAGCTGCAGAGATTCGAATGTTTTCACCGTTGATCTCTGACGCATTCGAGGCAGTCTCCGTCGCTTTCTTTGGTAGATCGGTGCAAAATAAAGAAATTGAGGCGTCGGGCTTTCGTTTGTACCCACGAGTATTGCGTGGACTGCAGGACGCATTGATTGACCCTGAGCGATCTAAATCAGAAGCAACGCTAGTGACAGTCACCCTGTTACTTGCTTTTGAGAGTGTGGAAAGGACGACACATAGTGGTGTCCCAGCTCATGTCAGAGGTGCTGTGCGATTAATTGAACATCGAGGACCAGAAAATCACATGTATGGAGTGGAGCATCTTCTCTTCACTGAGCTACGACCTTACTGGATCGGTGGTGCGATGGCAACACGACAGCCATCCTTCCTTGCTCGCGAAGAGTGGAAAACAATCCCGTGGTCGGCCGGAACGACTACTAAGGATATCCTACACCACCTGCTTGACCTGGCAGCCGAAGTTCCTGCATTACTAGCGCAATCAGATCAATTCCAGGAGGCACAAGAGTCATCCGTGATGGGAGCACAAGAAATGACAGTGAAGCAAACTGCTATTTGGAATGGAATTACTGATCTCACAGGTCGTTTCTACCAATGGCATCAAGATTGGGTTGAGTGCTACCCAGATGGTCCCCCACAAGAAGCAGAGCAAAAAGGCGAGCAGGGATTCCCGATATTTAGAAGACGAGACTTGCGGACTGGCGCTGTCTATGCCGCAACCAAACTTACATATCCAAACCTTCTCCTTGCACAAACCATGTGTGTATACTATGCTGTTCGCTTGATCCTCTCGTCTATTGATACCCGCCCGGTGGATCGAGTCTCTCTGATGGAGAAGTATGAGCTTGGATGCGGCATTTGTCGCACATATGAATATTATATTCTCACGGCACCCGGAAACATGATCAATCGCCTGGCGTTTCCTACACGTGTGGCATGGGAAGCCTTCCCTGATGGCGGTCCCGAGCGAGCTTTTATGGCTGAAGTTTTGAGTCTAGTTGAGAAGCGCCATTCCTTGGGCCTTTGGGGTGGCAATATGTCCGAGCTCTCCACTCATAAGGACTCACCACTCAACACGGATCAAACTTGAAGTCACATAATGAGGCAGATCCTTTTTTTTGTTATTAAACGAGATCACGATACGGCGTACTCAGGATTCCATAACAAAAGTCTTTTCTCTCCAATTAGAATACCTTCGAATCTTCAAGTTGGATACTTCACATTACTCCAGTGCCACTATACATGTAAATGGAAATTGACGTATCACAACTCTGACCTCAATCTGACAACCTTCGATCCTTTGATCCCGTCAATATTTTTTTCATTGGGTAAGTTCCAAGTCTGCAAGATTAAAAGACTCCACATTGAGCCCACTAAGACGGAACAGAACTTGAGGGTCCACTACCCTGACCACTCAATATCCTCAATTTCTCGATCGACATCAATAGTTCCAGGCACGGATGGATCCGACACGCGATTTGGGAAATAAGCTGAAAAGGAGACCATGGGTGGAAGCTGCCATGAGCTGTCAATTAAAACTCAGCTTCTGCAGCTTTGTTTTTCTTTTGTGACACCCCAGCCTTGCATCTATTGACTCTCAATGACTTCTATTCGCAAAATCTTCACCTCGGCCTTGGTGGCTGCAGCTACAGTCAAAGCGACAGGGATTAACGATTTCTCTTGCGAAAGCTCATCCAATCCCGTGGTTTTGCTACATGGTCTAGGTGCTACATACTATGAAGATCTAAACTATCTCCAATACTGGCTGCAGAGCGAAGGTTACTGCACCTACTCCTTGACCTATGGAGCTTACGAAGGGTTCCCATTTCTCGGTGGACTCAAGGCCGTCGATGAGTCTGCACCTGAGATCGCTGCGTACATTAAGGAAGTTGTTGAGAAGACCGGCAAGAGCAAGGTGAACCTCGTCGGCCATTCTGAAGGTGCCTTCCAATCCCTCTATGTACCGAAGTTCGAAGGTGTCTCCCACCTGATTGATCGTATTGCCGCCATCGCACCACCCACACACTCAACCACATTTGCGGGTATTTACGAGCTTGCTTATGTTCTGGGTAATCTCACTCGGGAAGTCGTCGGCGATGTCCTAGACACAGTCGGATGTGCGGCGTGCAATGACCTTGGCCCTGATGGACCTGCTGTGGAACGATTGAATGACGGAACTCCCATCGCGCAACCGGGTAACAACATCACGATCATTGCGTCCAAGTACGACGAACTGGTCACCCCGCCCACCACTGCATTTATTCATGAAGATGGTGTTCAGAATGTCTGGGTTCAGACCTACTGCCCACTGGATCCAGTTGGACATATTGGCGAGGCGTACGATTTGAATGTGTGGAATCTGGTGAAGAATGCCCTGGATGATACACCCAATCGCAAGTTTACCTGCCTGATCGGGTCACCTGGAAAATAAAGGTCAACTGAGTGATATTCATAACTGGACATACTGTACGGAGTATATGCTGTATATATAATATTTAATTTATTTCTGAATACCTGCTTCATTTCACGCGTGTTACCATTCGTTCTCCACTTTGCAGCCCAATTTTCTCTATTCACTTTAGCGTATAGACGTGTCAATCAGAGAAAGTGATCAGTCACGTATACTTAACGCGTTTACGGGTCTACTTCCACACCGCTTTCATTTTTACCCAATTATAGATGTATACTACTTCACCGCTATTTCCAATATCTTACATTATTGGTTAACTTGATCAGCGATTAGCAGAATATCCATGTTCCTAAGGAAAGTCACGGTTGACTGACAGCTGGAGAGACATGATTTTGAGATCCCCGCGAGATTGTGGACTTCCCTTAAATTTTTTACTTGCCCAAGCTTGGATTTTAAAACAATTCTTTTTTGTGACTTCCCCGAATACCATATCTCGAACCCAAGAAGTGGGGTTCCTACCCCTCACGACCTACACACCCTTCATCCACACAACAGTTCCCTTTGCCGTGAGGAAACACCGGATATCATGGCAGCGGGCGACGAGGTATCCGAGATGGATGCCCAGATGGCCCGCTTACGGGCTCAAATAGGAGGCTTGCGTAAACGACGCCAGCTTATTGAGCTGCAATCCCAGGTTGCGGAGGAGGAGAGGTTGCTACAAGAAGCAGAAGACAAGCTTAATGCAGCTCGTACTCAGAGTTGCGAGGGCACCCCGGTCCCCTCAGTGACCCCTCTCCCGGATACTAGCAGCATGGTGGCTGCTTTTATCGAGTCAGTTGTGAGCCCTCAATCCGAGCAGGCGTCCCCTGTTCAGAAGGGCCATATCACAAATGGTGGGGTTACTAACTCTCAGGGAGTCCATCCGGCACGCACTGGCCTTCTGGCATCTGGGTCCACCAAGCCAGTCTCTCAACCTGTGGTGACGTCAAAACAGGCTGGACAGCTCAAGACACCACCGGCTACAGTCCAGAGCGCCAAGCGTCCTGCTGTTTCCGCTGCGAATGACGTTAGCCCTACCCCGGCAGTCCGCCCATCTGCAGCAAGTCCCCGTGGAGACAACGAAGTGCCGCCAGCTAAAATCCAGAAAATCAATCCCATTCCCTCTCCCGCAAAGATACAACCACCTCGCAAAGCGCCGACACTCACCGTCAAGCTCCCTGCTCAGCTATCTGCTCCGATCACAAAGCCAGCAGTACCTGTTCCAGTGGCTCCTAATGTGGCCGCTGAGCCACCAGAACCAAAGATGAATGCAGTCCCGAAGTCGATTCCCACTATAACACTGAGGGATGCCCAGTTTAGCAAGCCGACGGTACAGTCGCCCCCGAAGCCGATGCTGATTCCCACTATCACACTCAGGGACAACAAGCTTGGACTACCGCCGCTGCAGCCGCTGCCGACTGGCGCACCAACGGGACCAGCCATGCCGGTAAAGCAGGTACTAAGTTCGCCTGCGGTGAAACAGAACAACACGCCCAGTGTGCAGACCAATGGACATGTTGTCAAGCCAACCAATAATGTGCCTGTGTCACCTGCGTCGGATGCTGCCTTTGTGAAAGAAGGCCCACGTGCAAACAAGCCAGTAGATCATGACCCAGCACTGCAAGTGAACAAGGCATACACTTTCCCACCCCCGCCCCCTAAACTTGGCGTTTATCAAGCCTCCAAATGGGATGAGTGTCAACGGTTTCTGGCGGGGCTTGACGAGTATTTCCTTAAGTTCCCCACACACTACGCCGAGGATGAACCTAGACTCGAGCTCGGCGCCCGCTTACTTGCACCACAGTTTCGCAATCCTTGGATTGCATTCGCTCACAAACGTGGGAGGTCATGGAAATCCTACCTTACTTTCCTGGCGCATGCCCTCGCTCGCAACAGCAATGAGAGAACAGCTACCATGTTGTTCTCAAATGGTGCTCAGTTCGCCAACCAGCCTGTTAGACATTTCGCCCTTTGGCTGATCCAGTGGGAGCCCCATCTTCCAACTTTCACCGTTCATGATCACAAGTTGCGTCTTTTGGACGGAATTCTCCCATCTGTTCGAGCAAAGGCCAGCAAGCCTCATACGGAATTTGATGACTACATATCGTACACGGTGTATCTTCAAGTCATTGAAAATTCTATCCCCGAACGTGTGAGGATGCTGAGTGGCTTGAGAGGCAATCTGTTCCCTGCTGAATTGGAGGATTATGGTATTATCCAGCAAGAGTCAAAGCCAGTTATTAAGGAGCAGCCTACGCAACTGCCTCAGGTGAGACCTGCAGAGCAACCCATAATGGTGCAACCCGTACCGCAACTCGCACCGCAACCTATTCAACAAGAGGCCTTTCCACCTACCGGTCCAAGACAACGATCGCCCCCAAAACAACCTAAAGCTCGCTCTCCATCCCGACCCAGGCTTCGTTCTCCTCCCCGAGCTCGGTCACCTTCCAGATATCCCAGAGATTGCTCTCCTTCTAGACACCAAAGAGATCGTTCTCGTTCCAGAAATAGAGGTCGTTCGCCACCTGCCAGGTCAGTTCGACCTCGCTCGCCGTCCAGACCAGCAACATCTAGAAGATACAGGACTCCCTCTCCTGCAGCGCGGCCATCATATGGAAACCGGTCGCCAGTGAGAAGAGACCGGACCCGCTCACCAAGACGGCGCAGATCTCGTTCTCCATCAAGGACACGATACCGTTCCCGGGAACGCCCTCCAGAAGCACCAAGGGCACGTACTCCACCAAGAGCGCGTACTCCTACGGGTCCTCATCAATACACAGTAGCTGCAGGCAGACAGACTCCGGGACCTCATGCACGTCGCATGTCACCTGCGCCGCCACACCCCCATGTCCCAACTTACAGCGCGGGTTCTTGGTGGGAATTCAGAAACTTCACAGGCAATATTGAAGTCCATTTCAAAAAGTACTCAAATTACTATGATGACGAGCACAAGATCGAAGCCGGCAAACGTTGTCTTCATGAACCGCTACTGGCTCGGTGGAACGCGTATGCCAATCGACTTCCTAAAGTGTCTTGGCTAACATTCTGCACGTTCCTCGTTCAGCTACTTCCACCCGATGGAACTGAGCAGGAGTCTCGAAAGTTGTACTGCAATGTTAAGCAAGGAAATGGACAGTCGCTTCGTGACTTTGTCTTCCTTATGCTACGATATGCGAAATGCTGGAACACCAAGGATCACAATCGCCTTCTTCACCTATGGGAGCGAATTAACCCCTCTATCAAAGACCAGTGTTCACGCACTTGGCGCGACTTCGAAGACTTCCATGACTTCGTCACATATCTGCAGAGTGTCGAATCCGGTGTTGCCGATTCTGACGCTACTATAACTCCAGCTATTGTGGCTTCCTCCTCGCCTCGCTCTAAGCGTCCTCCTGCACGACCTGCTCCTCGCGCACCTTCCCGTCCACCTCCTCGTGGACTTTCTCGGCCGCCTCCCCGAGCTCCTTTTCGAGCACCCCGAGGAGGTCGAGAGGCTCCTCGAGGACCGCCTGGACCTCCTGGGTCACATGGATCATCTAAAAAGAGACCGCCACCGAAGAAAGGCCGAGGTGGTGGTGCTAGACGTGGTGGCCGTCGTTGAAAAGTTTGCTTTTATTTTTTGAGCCCTCTACATCAAATTGGTCTTATCATTTCCCCATCAAGGTACTGGTCAATGCTTTTTGGCCTTCTTTTAACAAGACATGCAGTAAGTTGGCCACCATTTTAACATCCTCATTTCAATATTTTCATTATCATTCTCGTTATTTTTGGGGGTTCAGTATCAGTTTCTGTCCCGGAATATTCTTTTATCCTTCATCAAGAGATCAAATTTATATCCCACTCAATCCTCTTTGGAAGTAAAATATTCCCTATTGCCTAATGAAAGGCTGTAAATAACTACAGTCTGCTAGCCACGGGAGCCTCAGCCTCGGCCCGCGCCAACGCCTCCTCAACCTGTTCCTTTGAAGCCATCAAATGCGACACACGTCTCCCCTCATCATAATAAGTGGATGATCCACGTTCACTCTGGTCTCCCCAAATACCCCGGTACTCTTCTTCGGGATAATAGAAAGCATTACCATCATGAAATCCTGAGAGTATCGTTGCGTCGGGGTCGCCACGGCAGCAGGCACAACCCTCTTCGGTGCTCGGTTCCTGCACAATCGTCCCATTAAGCACCCCCTCTTTGGCCTCTTTATACAGTTCTCTGTAAAGATTTTCAAAGGGGTCATCGAGGGAGTGGTGCAGCAAACGAATCTGGAATGAGGCGTGCTCGTTCTTGCACTGTTCGGCACAGTTGAGGAAGAGCTTGCCCAGATCGTTGAGAAGCGCTTCCCCTGAGTAGTCGGGGTGTGTGATGAGGTATTTGCATTTGGGTGAGACGCTTCCTTTAAGACCTGGGAAGAGCTCGGCGATTGCGTGGATGGTGTCAGTTAAGGGACGATCGGTGATCTCGCTGATGTAGGTCTCAAGTAAGAGTGTCATTTTGATTTGATGCTTGATGATTGTGGATATGAGAGCGAAAGAGAGTGCAATTTTGAGAGAGTGGTGATGCAAGAGGAAATGAGTATGGTTATATAGGCCAGTTTTGCGGCTCTGCGGCCCCCATGTCAGACCTGGCAGCCTTGTGCCACAGCATCGACCCGATGATGACGACGCACCTGGCGTTATTACAATGATTTTTGTGCCACAGCCCACTTTATTCGTAAGTATATGTGTTTTGAGGTATAAAACCGGACGATTTCCCAATTTTTCTCCCTGTATGGATGCATCTCTCCGGTTTAGACCGCCAATCCACGATCATATGTGAAGCTAATAGCTATGCTCTATGGTGCCACGAAACTTATCGAAATGAATTCCTCAATTGTGAGGCGTCCAAAGTCTGACTTATTGGTCAAAATACCTGAGTCAACCAGGCTGCCATATGGAAATGCAAATGCTCAGTGAGTCAGTCACTGTGGTGGGAGAACAGCGCCCCACTCAGCCCAACACCAAATGAACATGCAGCGGTTTCAGCAAACCAGAATCCCTCTCCACAACCAGAAAGATGAGTGGCCAGCTACGCCAAGTCTACATTCGTATATGTAGGTAGGAGTTTAGCCTATCTCAGCATGTCACTAACTCTTATCAGGCATTATTGGGTTGATGGTTCCCCGCCATAACCCGGCATTTACTCCTCACATGGACTTGATAGGATTTCCCAGCCCGTCAGCCCATCAGAATGCAGCGATTTCTCAGCCGATCAATTTTTACTTTTTTCTTCTTCTCGTGCAGCTACATCCCTCTCTCTATCTAAACCAATGAATGAATACAGGGAGAAACTATGGGCAATGATCCACAGCCCGACCGCTTCATTCGGGATCATTGATAGGCTTTGTCTCCATTATTCCCCACTCTGTGGACCTCTGTGGACCCTGCGATCGTTGAGCCATGGCTCAGCTGGGTTTTCCCTAGTTCTTTTTGTTGTGCTTATCTGACTTACCAGATTTTGGTTTCTTTTGCGGGCAGAAAGTGTCAGGAAATTATCTTCTTTGTTTTCTGGATTTAGTGGTCGACCCTTGGTCCCTAGAGTTGTCAGGATTCGATTCAAAAGGGCTGTTAGAGCCCCTTGCGCTCAACGCTCGTATTCGGATTATGAGCAATGGAGGACTGGAAATCTACCGAATCCCGCCCGCTTTTACAACTTCAACCGGTATTATGGAGGGAAAGGGGGAGGAGGGTGATGCTCTGGGCGGAGTTAATTTTGGCCACAGTGATTATTGTTAAAACTTGTACGGATTTCACGTTTCTGGAGAAATTCAAGACTCGACCTTCGGTTATTCCATCCACGGCACCGTTGACCTGGGACCAGATTTCACCGAGAGAGATATTGGAGTATCATAATTGTGGAGATGATTTTCAGTGTGCTCGTCTGGAAGTGCCAATGGACTATGAAGATCCGGATCCTGAAGGTCGGAAATTCGTGTTGGCGGTTGTTAAGCTCCCTGCAAAGGTACCGATTAGCGATCCTCGCTATGGAGGTGCTGTTCTAATTAATCCCGGTGAGTTGAAATTGTTAGATTATGCACAAGCGCTCATGAGCTAATGAGGATTCAGGTGGCCCTGGTGGCCCTGGAACATTACAAGCGGTTCTTTCGGGCCGAAGTCTCCAGACAATTGTTGATGCGGAAAATGACCCAGATGCTGGTTCAATGAACTCCGATGACAAGTATTTTGACATCATTGGTTTTGATCCGCGTGGTGTAGGATCCACTGACCCAGCTTTAACATGTTTTCCTGATCCTGTTTCTCAGCGGAATTGGGAGCTACAGGTTGAGGCGGAGGGCATGCTTGGCAGCAGTCCCGGTGCGCTCCTGAAGAGTTGGCAGCGTACGCAGGCGCTGAATCTTGGGTGCTCGGCCTATGAGATGAACGGGGTATATAACAATGATAAAGATGCTTCGATGATGTCCTATGTTAATACTCCACTTGTGGCCCGAGACATGCTAACTATTGTGGAACGCCATGGAGAGTGGCGCGAGAAAGAGGGTTTGAAGGCACAGAAGGCAGATGATAAGCTTCATGGTTATGATGCTATGGGTGCCATTGCAAAGCGCACGGAGTGGCATCGAGACGAAGAGCCACTCTTGTATTGGGGTCGTTCATATGGAACGGTCTTAGGAGCGACGTTTGCAGCTCTTTACCCAGATCGAGTATCCCGAGCTGTCCTTGATGGTGTGGTTAATATGGATATGTACTACACTGGCAAAGGGAAAAATGTCATAGTTGATGCTGATGCTATCTTCGATCGCTTCGGTCTTTACTGTGACGCTGTTGGACCAACTGGATGCCCATTTTATGCGGACGGAGGCCCCGACGCAATCAAGTCGGCTTATTGGGCGCTCGAGGACCAACTACTTAATGCTTCTATTCCGGTTATGGCCTCTTCAAATCGAGGTCCGGAGGTTATTACTTGGACAGACCTCAAGGCCATTCTCCGAGTTGCGGTTTACCAACCGCTGCTTGCATTCCCCGTATTAGCGGAGATGGTTGGTGCTCTTGCCGAGGGGAATGCGATCCCTATGGCCGATTTCAAACATGAACGACACTTCAGCTCATGCCCATCAAGTGAATGCAGTATTGCGGGTCCGTGGTCCTCCCAGTGCACGCAAGGCCTGGATAATTCTCTCTATGCGATGTCTGCTATTCTCTGCACAGATGCCGAGTTTCTGGCGGATCACAATATTGATAGTTTTACGGAGATGTGGCGTGGTATGAAGGAGGATAGTAAGACCTTGGGGGATTACTGGGCTCAGATGGAGCTCGCTTGTGCGGGGTGGAAAGCACGAGCAAAGTATCCATTCAAAGGTATGGTGACGAATAGGTACTATTCTGAAGTTCTTTTACTGACCAATATCAAGGTCCAATGGGAGGTATCACCTCACATCCAATGCTATTTGTATCAAATACCCTCGATCCAGTTACACCGCTGCACAGGTACGGCTTTTCCACATCTCTGCTAGAGACATTTCTAATATGGAACAGTGCACAACATATGACGTGGCGATTTCCGGGATCAGTATTGCTTGAACAAGATTCAGAAGGGGTAGGTAAAAATCCGGTCCTACTCATTAATCTTCATATAAAATTAACTTTCCTGTAGCATACCACGTTAGCCGCGCCATCAGTATGCATAGCCAAAAGAATTCGTACTTATTTCCAGACTGGGGCTCTTCCAGAGGTGGGGACTCTTTGTCAGGCTGATTTAAAACCGCTGGTCGGTAGAGTGGGTCAAATGCCTATTACGACTCAATTTGCGAGTGAAGCTATGAACGCAGCCGATCAGGATCTGCTGAAAGTCCTGATGAGAGAAGTTGAAGAGGGATATTTCCCCCTTCCATGATGATTTACGACTATTTCGGGCATTTTCTAATTTTTATGCATTTTTTCTTGGTGATACAGCGTCTGGTTTTGATCATATCCAAATCTTGTCTTGGGAAGGAATTGTATACTTTTTCGTACACATGCAGACCACAATACATAATTTTTCCCCAATGGGATGAAAATTGAAGCTCTAAATTCAGGTTCATGCACATGTGTAGTCAGCATTACACGACAGTCATTTTTGCTTTATCCGTCTTACAAATTCGTCAAATCCGAGCTCCATGGTATGCTACCGAGGCTGTGAGATGCGGGGAACTGGCCGCTTGGACTCATCCAGCCTGATCCAAGAATGGAGAAACTGATTTAGTATCACTTCATCCAATCAGACTTACATCTCAAATGGACTGCCGATAAGTGTTTGCCCCTGGGAGGGGTACTTATAAGAGGTGCGGCCCAATTCTCGGGTTGGTTTCTCTGCACTCATTCCATTTACCAATTCATATTCACCATGGCACCCCCAGCAGCTATCGATACAGTCACCGAAAATGTGCTTCCTAAGTCAGCCGACGGCAAGAAAGCCGTGCTGCCAATCCCGACTATGCCAGTCGAGGAGGACAAGCTCAAACAGCGTGAACAATTAAAGGGCCAGCTGGCAGCTGCGTTTCGCATCTTTGGAAAGTTTGGCTATGATGAAGGTACGCTATTGAAGGCGCATACTCAAATTCCTATAGAACTTGTCAGTCTTCTATTATTAGACTCGAACTAATACTTTTTTCAATAGGTGTTGCCGGACATATCACTATTCGAGATCCCGTCGACCCAACCACATTCTGGGTAAACCCATTCGGTACAGCCTTTTCATTGATCAAGGCCTCGGACTTGATCCAGGTTGACCACTCAGGCCAAGTTATTGCTGGTGGTGCGAATCGCATGCTTAACTCGGCGGCTTTCATGATTCATGCAGCGATCCATACAGCTCGTCCCGATGTGATCTGTGCAGCTCATAGCCACAGTATCTATGGGAAGGCATTTGCTTCGCTGGGTCGACCACTTGATATTATCACGCAGGATTCCTGTGCCTTTTATAATGTGAGCTTCACCATTGAAACTTGAATTGTTTTTTTCAGGACTGACCTCTGATTTTCCTTGAACTCTTAGGACCACGCAGTGTATAAACAATTCAGAGGTGTTGTTCTGGCAGAGGAAGAAGGCCACGCTATCGCAGAGACGTTGGGCGGTAAGAAAGCAGCAATCTTACAGAACCACGGTCTGCTCACGGTCGGTCAGACTGTTGAAGAAGCCGTCTACTGGTTTGTTTGTCTGGAGAAGTGTTGCTACGCTCAGCTCTTAGCAGATGCCGCTGCTGCAGGTCGGGGCGGGGCTACCATCAAGATCGACGATGCCGACGCTGCCGAAACATATAAAACAGTGGGAACTCACGGAGCTGGGTGGTTTAGTGCAAAGCCAATGTTTGATATAATCCACCGAGAGACAAATGGGGAATATCTGGAGTAATTCAATATATCCCAGATTGCCACGGGCGCATGTCTCCAGTCTCCATTTGTTCATGCAGTCAGTGGGTTGTTTCACGTACAGAGGCAACCATACTATTATTATTCCCTTCTCCACTGCGATTGTTAGCTACGGCTGTATATCTGAATGGAGTATTCGGCTTTTTATCCTTTTCTAAATTGTATCTCCACTTCGCGGATCATGTTCGGACCCTGTCCGTTCCTGGGTAGTCCGGATTAATGCATCAATCAGCATGCTGTAGGGTGGAACTACCGCCGTTTCAACCCACTAGCCTGTCATCTTAATTCGTTTTGGGTTAAAACATCACTTCTTGGCTTATAATTAAATGGATAAATTGACCCTGAATTTACCCTGCATCTTCCAGTGCTAACTTGGGTATAAATAGTAGACCCTTATTCTTCAACTTGGCATCAATCCAAGATCAAAATTGGCATTCTCCAAAAGTCTCGCAAAAATGCAAATCATTCTTCCTCTCCTCGCTGGTGCTGGCCTTGCCACTGCCGGATTAATCCCAAGAGGTTCCCCGACTGTCAAGAGAGACAGCTGGGGTGGTGCCGTCTCACTCGGTCCATCAAAGGCAAACATCGTCAACGCCGTCACGACCATCATTCCGGGTACAGCTCCCTCCACACAGAATGGAGAGCTTTTCCTGTGGCCTGGTATGTCAAATGGTACAGGTGATCTGATCCAAACCACCCTGGAGAGCTGGCCCGATAACTCGTGGTGCGGCGCGACAACTGGACAGTGGTGTGTGCGTGCCAGTGTCTTCGGGTCCTTTGGACAGTACAGTGGCGATGGCAGCCCTGTTAGTGGAACTGATCATGTGCGAATTGAGTATAACCTCGAGAGTGATGGACAGACCTGGATTCAGTGAGTATAGGACTTCTTCGCAAATGAACCACGTACGATGTACTAACCCTTGCAGAACTGTGACCAATGATGTGACTGGAGCTCTTCTGTCCACCTACTCTATTGCTGCTGGACCTTACATGGATGGGTAAGAATGAGTTCCATTTTTTAAGTGCACTTGAATCCTGCTAATAAGAATAGTTACGGTACCGGAACCGAGTGTGATGATGATTGCACCGGTACTATCGCTGCCCAGCAGTACCTCAACACGACCATCACCCTCGATGCTGGTGATGCCACCTTCGGAGACACTATTGTCACCAGCTCTGGTGCCAGTTATACTGGACTCGCCTCAAGCCAAAGTGGCAAGGTCTGGACTATCAAGGCTATGAACATTCCGGCCATGTCCTAAGCATAATGTCTGGTCGCGAACATTTTGATCTGCGCGATTGTGATTATAAAACTTGGAAAGTCGTGTTCATCTCAATTTTGAATTTTTGTGTATTGTAGTACTTTCACTGGTGTTTTTGTTCAGGTTATTTGAAGTCATTGAATTCTCAAGATACTGCGTTCAATATGAATGCAAAAACAATGCCGCCTTGCACTTCCAAAGCATCCTAACACCTTGCTCTTATTTACATGCAAATTAAACATTAAAATTATCCTTGATAATCAAGATCCACCACAAGTCTAACAGGCCCAGGAGCCGCAGCTCCACCAATCCCATCATGATGCTTCATCGACTCAGTATAAGCATTAACCACCTTCTTAGCACCAGGTGTGATAATCGAGCAACCCTTCCCATCAGCCTGACATATCCGCATCCCTTGCACAGTATCATGAGCAATCTGCGCCTGAATAGCCGAGACATCCCAGCCAGACCATCCATTATTCTCCACATCACCAAAAGTAAATTCTCCCCAAGTAGAAGTATATCCACCCCAGGGGTCAATCGGAAGGCCCTTCGTTCCGGGCGCAGCACCCCAAGCCCCTTCTGAATCTTCATCAAAGGCTAAATAACGCGTCTCGCCAGGTGCAAGAACAAACGTCAATGCGGAATTCCCATACCATCCATCCATCTTCCCATCTGGTCCAACTTTATTCCAAACGGTCACCGTCCATGGCTCGGTATTTGAGCCTTGGAATTTCACAACGTATTTATACTCGTGTGCTGTGAATGGACTCACGAGATTGATGTTGCTCCCCCAGGGAATCCCGATATTCCCGCGATATTTCACATTCGTCCCCTTGGGAGCACTGCGTCCCCCGAATCCTTTGGTAGAAAATTTACCGTCCTTTGGAAGGGAGGTCCACTCGATATCGGATGGAAGAGGTTGTCCGTGTGGATCGAGAGCGTGTGTCAATTGTGACAGGTCAGGCACTGCTGTCGCGGGAAGTAATTGTGGTAAGACCGGTAGTTTTGGTAAGAGCCCAGGCGCAGGATCGGTTGGTGTAGGAATTGCGTTTGGTTTTTCATCGACTAATGCCTCTCTGAGTGGCTCTGTATCATCTGAGACAACGCGTGAGGCTTCGTTTTCGGTACCATGTACTGAATCTGGGATCTTTGGCGAAAAGTGGGTTTCGGTGGGGGTTTCCTCTGACGCTGCTCGGGATGGTGTGTTGATATCCAGTCCTACAGTGACTGTCGCATTGCCGTATCCAGGAATAGAGCGCACAATTGTTTTGGTGGAATGCAGGTCCTCCCTCATGATATCCATAACGGTTTTTGTCATGTGGATTGTGGTCGTAGCTTCAGATTCAGCTACTTGAGGCTGTTGGATCGCGAAGTTGGTAGGCTCGGGGTGAGAATAAGTTGGCTCTACTAATAGATCTTCGATAACGGTGGTTGTAACAAAGATTGTGTTGGTAGGTCTACAATCTTGGTATACAGTAGTGGTGAGGGTGCGAAACTCGATTAACATGTCAGCCGGGATTCTATCAGCCCAGGCTATGTCTCGAGGCTCTAGGGACTCAGCGTGGGGCATGAGATGCCCATGCGCATGACGATAGCTTTTGAAGCCCGAAGCATACTGAGTGCCGGTGAGCAAGAGTAGAAGTTTAGATTTTGTCCACGCCATGATGCTGGATTATGGAAGTAGTCGATATCGCGAGGTTGTCGTACTCAAGGAAAGAGGAAAGAAGAATAATAATCAAGACTGAATTTCAGGAATACTATGACAGATCTGCTGTGGATGGTGTTAGTATGATCGTCTCAATTGTCGGTCGCTTGCATGCTTATAGGAACATGGTGGTTGATGTGGTCGGCTTCGTGGGTTTCAGTCAAGCACGCGACGAGGGACGTGACAAGGCTTTATACTAGTTCTACGCGATAGTCTGGACCATGGAGATCTGGAATGTCAAAAGTCGCGTCAGATCTGGAAATCCGATCTGATATGGAGTGTAGCAGCCCCGAATTCCGACCCATTTTGGCTCGCAAATGGTCCGATATCCCCCCGAAATTGAGCTCAATTGTGGCTATTGTTATTTATTTTTCATTGTGTCTATAAGAAAGCTATGAGCTATCAATAAATTGAAACTAGATAAATTGAAGATTCTAATTAACGAAATCAATTGGGGTCGATTCGACTACTATGCCCCTTGTCCCTTGTATACACCCCTGCGGGACATTCCCAGCCCTGGATTACAACCAGCTCGCGTTTTACACGTGGAGTTCCTCCTCATTTTGTCCTCATTTTGGAATGAAAAATAGTTTGGCTGAAATGGCGTAGGTGACATTTATTCAGAGCACCTCGTCTCATGCATCCAAGTTCCAATTCCAAGGTTTTGTTGAGCAATGTACTATTAGTCGTCTTCCAAACTGGTTAGTTTGACAGGAGACTATAACAGCCATCTGGCCATGACCCATTTTTCCCATAGTAAAAGTTTACCGCCTACCTCACCGCCGGATACTGAGTCAGTAGGCTGTAAAAATCTCAATAATACATACCTGATTACCTCTCAAGCCTTAGTAGGGGCCTACTGTAGGCCGTGGAAAAGTTGATTCTAGCTATAATAAAAATCAGCAATGTGATTTATTATGACCAATGGTCTATTCTGATTGGTAAGAAGTGACTTTGTCTTTTTTAAGAGAAATGTGAATTATGGCGAAGTGAGAGATAGCTAAAGTGAGAGAGGCCAAAATTATAATTGTATAAATGCTAGTAGTTTCTAAAGTAAGATAGTATAAATAATAATGAAAAAATATTAGTAATAATATGAAAATATCTATAGGTTAAAGATTGGTATATTATAAATAAAGGGTAATTAGGTTAGAATACTTACTGTCCATAGTTTTATAGAAATTTGGCTTTAAGGATAGGGGTGTTAAATTGAACCTTACCTAGGTGAGTATTCAGTATGGAGTACTCCGTAGAAATAAGAAGGTTAGGTAGGCCCAGGCCACAAGGCCTGTTATGGTATGTATTATAGTTTTCTTTTTTTTTCTGCCAGTGATATAGGGGTTATGGCCAGATTGCCGTTATAGTCTCCCGTATTAGTTTGAATGTTTGGCTCCAAGGTACGGATGAAATCCATGGATCCAACATTTGAATGTTCAACTTTAATTTGAAACGATTTCGGATTCATGTGCCCAGGTGAAGATCAATGGCAATGATATTAATAATTGAAGCTTTGAATCCACCTGGTCCCTCCAGTGCTATCGCGTATGACACACCATATAGTCTTCTCTTCATCGCCAACATTGAACCCTTAAATGTCTCCAGTTCTCCACCAAGATCCAACCAATCACACCAAATATCAGTTATCAGTCTCTTCTGGCGCTAAACCGTAAAATGGTAAGGATGCGCCGGTGGATTCGACTCGACGAATCACATTTGAACCCCCGCTTGTCGAAAGATTTACCCAAAATGGTTTGGGTCAAAAGATATAAAAGACCAAGAAGTTCGCTGTTTACTTCTGGATCTGTATCATATCACAAGAATACTCCATTCAGAACTTGAGCATGGCGAGTCTTCACCCCTTTGACCCCATCACTCCAGGGGAGATTCAATTGGCAGTGACAATCTTGGAATCCGCTTTCCCCGGTGTCAAATTGCGCTACAAGCGCATTGACCTTCAGGAGCCTATCAAGCAAGATGTCATTCCGTATATTGAGGCCGAAAGATTGGGAAAACCCCGTCCGAAGAAGCCTGCACGATTGTTGATGGCATTGTTTCATCGCCTTGACAATGGATCCTTCTATAAGGCCCTGCTGAACGCCGACACCAAGTCCATTGTCTCGGCCAAGGAGTTGCCGAAAGATGTACAGGTATGTACTGTTCATAAAGATCGTCATTATAAATAGTAACAGAAGCCATAGGGCCCCCTCGATGTGGACGAAATGCTCGAGATCGAGCAAGTCTGTCTGAGTCACCCCGCTGTCAAAGCGGAGATTGAGAAGTTGAAGCTCCCCTCTGGCATGACCGTTTGTCTGGATCCGTGGATTTACGGAACTGATGACTCCAAGGAGAATCGGCGCCTGTTCCAGTGCTACATGTACATTGTGGCAACAGACCACCCGGGGAATAATCAGTACTCTCTTCCTTGCAAGTTTTCGCCGGTCTTTGATGGCATCACTCACCAGCTGGTCCGCATGGACTACCTCCCCGGGGGGCCTGATTTCCAGACCACCGATACCCAGCCATGGAAGCCCGTTCCTACCGTCCAGTACGCACATGAGTTGCTGGATGAACCTTTGCGTACTGATCTGAAACCATATGTCGTTCAACAGCCTGAAGGTGCCTCCTTTAATGTGATCGGGAATGCTGTCTCATGGCAGAAGTGGCGCTTCCGTGTTGGATTCAACAATCGTGAGGGACTGGTGTTGCATAACGTGACCTATGATGGTCGCAACACATTCTATCGTCTATCTTTCTCGGAGATGACGGTTCCATATGGAGGTATGTGATAATCTTATAATAACGATATTAATTATTGTATTATTTTGATCTATTGCTGACCAAGCTAGACCCTCGTGGTCCCTACCACCGCAAGCAAGCATTCGATGTTGGCGATGTTGGTTTTGGAATCACAGCCAACCAACTTGCCCTGGGCTGTGATTGTCTAGGCCACATTAAATACTTCGATGGATACCGCACAGATGCCCAGGGTGTTCCCATCCAACTTCAGAATGTTATCTGCATGCACGAGCAGGACAACGGTCTCCAGCACAAACACACCAATTACCGCAGCGGGGCTGCGACAGTCGTTCGAAACAGACAACTCGTCGTCCAGATGATCTGCACGGTCGCAAACTACGAGTACATCTTCGCTTTTATTCTCGATCAAGCCGCCAACATTGAACTCGAGGTTCGTGCAACTGGTATCCTGTCAACGGTACCCTTCGATAATGAGAATGGCCAAACGGTACCATGGGGTACTAATGTTGGACCTGGCGTGATGGCTCCGTTCCATCAGCATCTGTTCTCTCTACGCGTGGATCCTGCAGTGGATGGATTTAAAAATACCATCTATTACGAGGATAGTGTCCCCATGCCAGAGGATGACTCAAACCCTTGGTCTGTCGGGTACACAACCGAGAAGAATATAATCAAGCAAAGCGGTAGCGCATGGACAAGCGTGGATCGTCATCGGGTGTTTAAGATCCGCAATGATAACATTATTAACCCTGTTACACACCACCCCATTGCTTATAAGCTGCAGACTTCACCAAGTCAGATGATGCTGGCTTCTCCCAAGTCCTTTGGAACCAAACGTGCTCAGTTCGCAACTCGTCCTATTTGGGTGACCAAGTATCAAGATGATGAGATATTCGCCGCAGGCGAGTTCACGAACCAAAGCAAGAGTTCCGAGGGTGTGGAGGTCTGGGCTGGCAGAAATGATGCGGTTGAAGATGAGGATGTCGTTCTTTGGCACAGTAAGTTACTTTCGACGCTCAAAGTAATGTATTATACTTACTCTCTTTTAGCTTTCGGTCTCACCCACAACCCTCGTCCTGAAGATTTCCCTGTGATGCCGGTCGAACGCGTTAGTGTGATGCTGAAGCCAGATGGATTCTTCAACAAGAACCCTGCGCTGGATGTTCCGCAGTCTGCGCAGTCTTTTAACAAGTCCACCCTGCATCCAGAGCCAACATGTTGCTCTGGTTCACAGGATCGAAACCAGGTGAAGCTTTAGATTTAGATGAAGATTTCACGATTCACGATTCAATCTGTTAGCTACATTGCCTAGCAAGAGATCAACAGCTAGACAGCGACAAATGAATGATTTAAGGACAATCAATGATGTAGTTCATTCATGCTGTATACGTATACACCTTTTAGAGAAATGCTGCTGTCTCTCCAATAACCCATATGCAGCCTTGACATCCTCGAACTCGAAGACTCGGTCGTCAATGACAGGTTCGATCTCATGGGCGTCTATGAATCGATTCATCTCACGAAACTGATCTCGGGTCCCCAGGAAAAACCCACGCGCTGTACACACACGCATCTGACAATCCATGATAGAAGGAGTCGATGCCCCCGTCTTCCAATTTACCCAAAACAACTGCTAGGACAAGTAGTCCACCAACACTAATTGCTTTGAGAGATTGTGCAAGTGTGGAAAGACCACCAACATCGACAACAATATGCACACCTTCGCCCTCTGGAGTCAAGTTCTTGGCTGTTTCACCTCAATCGAGATCCCTTCGATAATTGATCACATGGTGAGCACCGAGAGATTTTAGTTTTTCTGCTTTTTCATCTGTACTTGTTATTGCGATTACCGTAGCTCCGATTGCAATAGCAAAATATCTCAAAATCAGCAATCTGAGAATCTACAGAGGCGAGATGAAAGGCTACCTGTAAAGCAGCAATTGAGACACCTCCAGTACCTTGTACGAGGACCCAGTCTCCTTTCCTGGGCTTATATCCTTCAACTCCGAACAAGGCATTCCAGGCCGTCAATCCGGAGCATGTCAGTGTGCTCGCTTGAAGGAAGTCAAGCTTTGCTGGCATACGCACAAGCGCAGTCTCATGAAAGACTCCATGGTGTCACAAAGTACCGTCAACCGCTTGACCAAGCCCATGACAAGTATCTATTAAACACAATTGCTTGGATTCAGGCATATGAGGGATAATATAGGTACAGACTCGATCGCCTGGTCGGAATTCTTGGACCTTGATGCCTACTTTTTCAACCACTCCGGCTCCATCTGAGGCTGGAATAACTCCTGGGCGGAAGAATGGAAGTGGGACAGTACTCTGAGAAATTTGAGGTCAGCGTAGAATACTACTAGAGCTCTACGTGAATTGTTTCTACACTTTATGTACCTTGGCTATTAAGATATCGCGATAATTGAGAGACGCTGCATGTAGCCTCACTAGTACATCTTGATCTCCTATTTCGGGGATTGGGTGATCGTGAATCAACTTGAAACCATAAATGCCAGATTAGGTCTCAAGGACCCATGAGAGGCCAGACTTTTGGGACATATGGACTGATGAGATGCCAGTGGGAGTTTAAGATGAATATTGTGAAGTACACATCAGATAAAAACATGGCACTGTACTAGCAGAATTTATCATTATATTCGACCTACTGCATGATGTGATTTATAATGATTAAAAATCAACTCTATCATTGAGAGTAACTTGAAAGGGTTTAAAGAATTAAGCTTGGCCCTGGGTACGTACTTTCAAGGTAGGTCAATTGTTGTCGATCACCTGCATTTCTGTTTCCGCGCTGACTATCAACTGTGGCTCTTTGGTAGGTGATCTTTTGAACTTGAAATCAAATCACAGCGAAGTTCTTCCAAAAAAAAAAGAACAAATACAGCTTTGCATAGTCATGCTTTGGAGAAAAATAGAATCTCCTGTAGTAATTTTCTCTCAGGTCGTTTCCAACTTCAACTTGAAGTTGAATTAATTAAGGTGTACTAGTAATATATTTAGTATTTATACGATTGAACATCAAACTAGAGGGGCAAGATTCCAAGCTTTAGCAGCACTTGAGATTGATCATGGTCTCGGAAGTATTACTTCAGATAAATGAGTATCAACGGGTTGAGAGTTTCTACTTTTCTCTACCCATACCCCGGATCCGACTATGAATTCTTCATGCAATGATCAGCAGTGCTTATGAAATGACTACAAAGCACTTAAAACGCATTTTGAAATTCCATTGCAAATAGACCTAGCTAGGCTGCAGCATTGACTTGAGTGATCCATTCCTGCGCAGAAATAACCATAGTTTTCCTCTGGAACACCTTATCCATCAAGACTCGGTGTACCTCCTCATCACGATCCATACATAAATCCCGTAGCACTGTGATACGGTAATCGAGGTCCATAGCTTGTCGAACAGTGGATAAAACGGCACCACTAGTAATAAGACCCGCCACAACAAGATGATCGGTATTCGAGCACCGGAGAATCATGTCAAGCTCAGTTCCAAAGAAGGCTGAGACACGGCGTTTTGTAATGATGGGTTCTTCGGGAGTTGGAGCCACCTTTGAATGAACTTGGACTGAGAAATCGCCTTCTTTGTATTGACCACGCGCTGCAACGGCAGGCACTGAAGAGTTGTTGGGGTTGTTTTCGGGGTATCCATTTCGAAAGGCTGTGATAACGTGGATGACTTTGATAGAGTTATTGCGAGCTGTAGATAGGGCCTCGGCTAGGCCTGAGAGGTAGGAATCGGTGTTTTCGAGTTGATCAATGACACCATTTTGTATGTCCAGAATAAGAAGAGTTGTATTACCCATTTTGACGGTGGGTTTAGGGATATTTTGGTAGATGGGAGGCTCTTTGGAAAAGAAAAGGTTGTATTTAGAGCCAGGACTGCATCGGCAGGAGAGAAATGAGGAATGCCGGTACCGGGTTATGCAAATTATGCCAGAGGGAGAATTCCATCCCGGTTCCGGTCACCAGTTCCCCACTTAAACCCCCACACCACGATACCAATAGTTTGCTCACCTCCCTCAATGATAGCCATAATGCGGAAATAAAAGGCTGGAACGGTAAATTTCATCATTTCTTTGAGGTAAGAGAACAGGGTAGTCCGAACAAACTGAAAGGCTGGATTAAGGACATTGAACTTCTGACCCAAGCCAAACAAGGCATTCAGGATAGACTGAAAAATGGCCATTGTGGTGCAACAAGAGCGGCACATGTGGGGGAGAAAAGCGCAGTGTAAGTGCATAAACTCATAATGGAGTCCTTTTATATTCGAGTTGAAGCCATGCCTAGCCCCAGCGTGAATGATATCATTCACACGATGCTGTTTACTACCCAAGTGGATTTGCGTGAATGACGGGAACCTACCTCAGGTTTTTGGCATTGAATGATCCGTTGAAGCCATATCGATAAGCAAAAACTCCTGTACCCGAAGCTAGCCTTTCCTCTCTGGTGGAAAAGATTATTATCACGGAGAATCAACCTGGACGGTCTTCAAGTTCGCTAGTCTACAAAAACTGATTTTCCCTGTCCATATTGTCATTAGCCTCAGGCTGACAGCACTTGTGTACTAATTAATAGCTTCAAGTTAAAATGAAATCCCTTTATACTAGTAGTGGTCAATTGTAGATTTGATCTGATATTCAGGGGTTCGTTTTGTTACTTCGGTGTTGCACACCGAGTCTCCAGTGGAGATAGGCCCCACTATATTTCAAGGTTAATCCATTGAAGTACTGCTAGTAGTAGATAAAATCAGACTCTCCAGGGCTCTGACATCAATACTACTACTAAAAAGATCAAGCTATGGTCAAAAAACATGGGTTCATACAACTGTATCAAGGTAAAAATGCCATGAACCATGCCCAAATGAGAAATATTTAGCTTACATAACAAATTACGTCGTCTCAAACATGAGACATCCATCCATGACTACAGTTGTTCTTGAGTCTTCAACTCACATGTGCACCTTGATCAACATGTCTGTCGGCCTGGAAATGCACATAAATTATTCATTATTCATATGGGAGTCTCCAGTCTAGACTGTATTCCTAACCATGTCGAAGACGCCCATCCCACTCACTCATGGCAAAGACAGTGAGTTCCCTCCGGAGCTAACCAGACCGTACCTTGACTTGACTAAGAAGACCAGCGCTCCTAGAACCCGTTGCCCGTTTAAATGGTCACGTTTTCGATACCGACCCAGTTGTTACATACATGTTACTCGAAATGTCGGAAGAGGAACGCCTGGCATATCTACCCACCTACTGGTCTACACTAGTCAAGTCGGCATTACTGAATGACGCGATCATTACCGAGGCAGATGGCTGGAAAGCGGCATCTGTGCTTGTACCCCCGGGGAAATACATTGATAATGCGTGGAAGCTACTGTATGCTGGGTTTCTCAGTGTTCTGTGGAGGATTGGTTTCTCGGGTCTCAAGGTAGGATTGATCCCTTGAAGGAAAGGGGCATCAGAGAGAAAGCTAAGTGTAGGAGCGTCTTTGGACAGAGTTCTCTGGTATGACAGACAATGCGAAAAAGAAAGGTCTGCATGGTCAGAAGCTATACTACTATATTTTCAGCATTGGGACTGAGCATGAACATCGAGGAAAAGGTGGGTCTATGATAATCATTGCATCTTGATAAATTACTCACTCCACTGCCAGGCCTTGCAAAGGCTATCATGAGACAGCATCAGAAGACGGCTCGAGCTGAGGATGTCCCCATCTGGCTTGAAGCGACGAGTCCAAGCTCCCGCGATTTATATCTCTCGTTGGGATTCCAGGAAATTGAAGAAATCATTCTTGGGAAAGGAAAAGTCAATGCAGATGCAACTAGACAGTCAGGTGGGTCTGGGGTACCTCTTTATGCGATGGTTTGGTGGCCAAAAGGGACTAATGCTGCATTGTGACACTCGCTTCATGTGTATTTCTATTGTAAACGAACATTCGCTCCTGAGCCTTACTAGCCTATAGGAGAGCCAGGATATCCAGGAAGCATTTACCTATTCCTGCGAAGGTGGTGGAGACAGAATATCTTTCTCCAGAGTTCTCTTGCTATAGTAGACTGCCATCATTCTAGGTACATACCCTTCAGTCTGCAAACTCCACGAAAAAGTGGTGATTGATTACGCGAACCCAAGCACTCAGATTCCTATCGCGGCATTTGTTACGCCGCGTGGACCGAGCCGAGCCGAGCTAAGCTCAGGCTCACGCACGGGTTCCGAACGGTTGGATCATGCACATGTGGAGATTATTGGGAACACCGAACACAAAGCCTAGCTCTCCGAAGTTCTCCACTAAATGCCTTCTAAGCACGGTGAGGCCACGTCACTGCGATATAATCTAGCACAGATTGATACATTAATTATCTCCTGAGCTGAATTACGACTTCGGAGTGTCTAGGTAGCCATATGAGTATCGGCTGCTCTCTCATCATCGAAGTTTTGGACTGGTAGAAGAATATTTTATTCCCCTGTCTCCTTCAGGCTGATTCCATCCTTTCTCCAGCTCCTCATCATTACATATTATTTACTACTATCACTCCGATTGATCCTTCTCCACACACTTGTAAGAAAGCAGCTGGTCATGATCCTGATATCAAAAATTTGCTTGATGTCGCTAACCTTGCAACTTTGTAGAACTCTTAAACTCTATAGATCTACTCCAGCTTGCTTCCAAGGTTGCGTTCTCCTCATCGGCCTCTGCGCCCTATACCACCGCTACACTGACGGACATTGGTCAAGATCAGCACTCTCCTGTGTGGCGTTCACGCATGTCGGTTTATTGATCCATGTCTTGCTGGAGACGTTGAAACAACATACGAGGTGATAACCATACTGGTTCATCAGCAATGAGATGACTCTTGTCTAATAAATACAGATGAAAGGCTTGTATGCCACACTATTAATTCTAATTTAGAGCTCTTATAACATATAAGTAAATCAACCTTCAAGTTCATTTGAACACAGCACTAGTATGCAACATGGCATGTATATGGGAGTGCCACAGAGAATATTCCACATCCATGACTTAATTGTTACTATCCAGCATACTTCGCAAAACATCGCGCAACATCTTGGTGCAGCTCCGGATGACAGAGGATAAGCACGTATGTGAGCACAATGAACCCTAAACATACTTCTGTCACCAGGACATTGGCAAGCATTTTAAAGAAACCAATTCGAGCTGACCACGAGAAGCTTTGCCATGCCATGTGGATACTTAGTTTTGTGTCCACTTTATGTCTTGCACCAATTTGCAATGGCAAAGTGGAGGCAGCCACCCGTATGAAGACAGCATATGAGGGTATCACAAGCCCAAAATAAAGGACTGAAGTCAAAAGAATAAGCAATATGATTTTCAGGTTCTTGTGAGACATAAAGTCACCAACTTCAAAGAATATCGAACGGCCCACGTAGAGGGGAAGGTAAAAGCACAAGCTTGAGCATATGCTGTAAAGGAGTGCAGCTGAAAAGCTTTGATGCCATAAGGATAGACTAAAGATGCGCTGAAAGGTCGATAGTATCATCTTTTGATCTTTTGAGTGTTCCGAAATGATATTATGTACGTTAGCTACTTTCAGCGTCGAAAGTAACCTTTCTGCCATAACATTCAAAAGAAAGGAGCTAAGCAGACTTGATCCTTTTACCGAGAATTGAGAAAGAATGACAACCTTTGCCAAGCGATGAAAGATAAAGATTGGAAGGCCGTGGAATCTTTGTCGTAGGGGAAGTCGAATGGCACTCCCATCTTCTCTTAAAGTGGCGGAAAGTGTTGCAGTGATGTTACCATCTGTATTCACAACCTGAAGTTTATTAGTCTAAAGAGGACAAGCGATCAAAATCCCCGGATGAACTTACAAGAGCTCCACCCTCAAATATTGCTGACGGAATCAGAAAAAAAGGCAAGTCCAGTGGTGGTCGTTCCGAAATCCAATCATTATTTGGAAAAGAGCCATTTTGAACCTCCAATGATATCTCTGAAGGCATGGATAGCGACTGGATAAGTGTGGATCAGTAATTGAATATTTCCCTAGCTGGGTTGAAAGTAGGAAGCACAGCACTGGAAGGGGGTTGAGGATAATAGCCTAGCTAGTAAGCGAGAAAACAACAAGAGAAACTAGTCTTGTCTTGGTCAAAATCATAGGTTCAAGTTGCCTATCATTTGTCTGTGATAACTAGTTGGCACTAGTTGGCAATGAACTAACAGTTCGCATGTGGGGTATAGCTGCGTCATCTCATTAGGTGTTTTCAAATGTTCCAATTTGAAGTTTATATTTCAAAAATTATGCCTAATATAGTGTGTTTACTATGGTTTCTTTCTCATACTAGTAGGTACTTAGTAGTGCCCAATAAGTATGCTCACGTGGTATGGCAGAAGGATCTCCTGTTCAAGTTTGTGATTCTCTATATCCATGTTCTCGCCGGCGGTTCATTTGCATCTGAATTTCCACACCTAGTATTATTCCCCACTGGGTCTAGATCAATAGTAATATTCCAATTGATTAGTCCTTGTCCTAGCGCATTTCAGATGTACCATGCTCTATTTGGACCCGCCAAGACGTCAAGGGACCAAAATCCGGACTCTTCCAAGGTTCCCCACGGGTCCAAGAAAGTTATGCCAGTGCATGCATGCATATATAGCCCACTCTAAAGAGGAGACCACCTGGAAATATGAGGACATTTAGAGAGGGGAAAGATGGAGTTTATTACATGTATAACTTGAAGCGCCTGACTGGATAGGGTGATGAGAGAGGACGCTTAGATGGCACTGCAGAATGGAGCCATTTTTGGCGTCGTTTTGGTCGTAAGTGGAATGAATCTATTGGGAATATCAAACCTTAAAAGTGATGTTGTTGGACGAAAAGAGGTCCTTTTGGAATCAAAAGCTGTCATTTTTGGCATTTATTTCACAGCCTGAGGTCCCCATATTCTAGATATAAAACTTCTCATCCCTATGTACCATCTTTACTGCCCAAGACCTGCCCAGGTGCAAGCTGGAACTCAAACTTAAATCGTACATACATAATGGAAGAGAAAAGTAAGTCTCGAAATATTCGATGTATTGCTTATTTATCAAACAACCTAGAGCTTGAAAACTTGTAGTACTAGTAATTCATTGCCAGAGTCATCAGAGGCGGGAAATGATTTACATCAAATCACTCTTGCAATAACCCTAGAAGCACTTGAGTATCATCAACCCCTCTTTCGATCTGGCAGAGGGAATTAAAAGTGATACATCTATTCCTTCTGGACCACTGCGGTCCCCTGCATCATATACGGAGTAGCACCTCAAGTGCTGGCATGAAATCTCACCGCTACTTTGGCCAGACTTGATGCGGCTCAAAACATTTGAATGATCCCCACTGACACTGGCTTTATTATAAAACCACCAGCTCCATCCAGCATTTACAGCATTCAATACCCACCTCTTCAATTCTATCTCATTCAAAATGGAACCCTCTGACCCGAAAGATCAGATCCCCTGTCTCGCATGTACCTGGACACCAGAACGATAGAGGTATTGCAGCTACAAGAGCAATCTAAAACTATTCTACGAAGCCGGCGATCGAGGAGCATGGTCTCTAGGATCGAAGTTCATCCTTAAAGATCGAAACTCGAACCCACCAGTCCATGAGGCAGCGACTACAACCTTCGTCAAAGAAAACACCATAATCCCAGTACCTGGTATAGCGAAAGAATGGACAGACGGTACTCGGCATTTTATACTCGCAGAGCGAGTTCCTGGTGAAACTCTCGAGAAAGTATGGTCAAAGATAACAGAGGAAAAGAGAGAAGAACTTGCTAAGGAGACTGCGGAATACATTTCTCAACTGAGACAGTTTCACTCGCCGAAGATACAGAGCGTTAATCGCCAGCCGCTACATAATGCGTTCCTTCTTGGCGGGGATTCATATACAGTTCATGGTCCCTTCTCGACGCAGGATGAGCTGTGGGATACGATGGTTGCGAATTTCAAGGATGTACCAGATGAGGTTGCTGCGCTTTGGAAGGAGAGGATGCCCTCCCCTTTACCCTGGACACTTGCGCACGCCGATCTCACGAATTGCAATATTATGGTTGATCCGGAGACGTTCAAGCTTACTGGGATTATTGATTGGGAGACGTCTGGTTATTTTCCTGTTTGGTGGGAGTATGTTGGTGCGATGTTTGGGTTCGGCTCGAATGATGCAGAGTGGAAAGGTCTGTTGCGGAAATATATGCCGGATTATTCTGGAGCTTTGGGTTGGTTTCGCGATATTTATCATCTCAGCCACGGTTTTTGATGAGGATGATGGGGAGTCCGTACAGGAAAGGCGGAAAATTGTATGGAAAGAAGCTGGTCTTGACTTATAGGGATGAGTGGTTTTCACTGCCAGTGCTCATCTTAAGGGATCAACCACTTGACATCAATGAATTGTAGGAATGCTACCTATAGTCAGATCAAAATAATCACGTTTGAGGACAATTCATGCCCAGAAATCTCATCCAGCTCGGCCTATTCAGGATAGAAATTGAGATCTTCATCAGCCTTGGCTAAAACGTGCATGGGAATCTTCATTCCGAGACCCTCGGCCGGAAGACACGATAAAAATAAGATATAGGTTAACCAGGACCAACTCGTACTAGTGATCCGGGTCTCCATCCAAAAAAAGGCATTCTTAGGCGATCGCTAGCCTAAAGGATTGTGGGTCTGGCCCACAGGCCATAAGCAGGACACTTTCCCAAGGACCGCGGCGCACCCTAACTTGGTCCTCTTTATCCCATTGGTAGCTCACATACCTATAAAAGGGTCAATCTTGCAGCTTCCCCAGATGGATACCATCACGAGACTCAAGTGCCGAAGGACCTCGTTAACGCGGCAGAGCACCAGCATAAGGTTCGGAGCTCATAAGCAAAGGACCCATGTGGATAGGAAAAATGGGTCAGACGGCAATCTGAAGATTGATATTGCATCATTGAAGATACCGGGAAGAATCTCCACATATATGACAAGATACGAGTAGGATAGGCCGTCATAGAACCTTGGAAACCTTGGAAACCTTGGAAAAAGCTGACATCGTTGGGCTGAATCGAGGGTTAGGTTAAACCCCCCGAGGGTCGTGGAGAGAAGCACGGTCGATCAGACGATCCTATCTCAACGGGCCGCGGCGATTTCTCGGCCGGCCGAACGGCGGGGGTAGAAAGGTGCCCGACTGAATTAGAGTGTCCACTCGCTATCTCCACACTGTTGGCTAGGTCATAATGTGTGGGATCGAGCGCCGACTTTACCGAATGATGTAGGGATTTAAATAGAGCGAGTCAGACCCAACGGAGGCGGATGCCCCCGGATCCGAGGGGAATGCTCACCAAGTGACGCTTGTGACGCTGCGTATGGGCTGACGGTGATATTTATTGAAGGGGCTTGCTCATTTCCTGCTTCGCAGTTTGGTTGCAAGAGAATGGATGGCTGTTTTATTTGAAACATCCGAGTTTCGGAGACTCGACTGTGGTTGTATTGTCGGTGACGATGATATCACAGCGCTCTAAGTACTAGCAATGTGCGAGGTATGTGCATGGGGGGAAAAGAAATGACAAAAAAAAACTTCCTCCAAAAAAAATCCCGTCCAAAAAAAATTCGTGTCAGTGTGTTGACCATAACAAGTGGCTGATTAGGTCGAAAATATTGACCAAACTGACAATGCAGTCATGCAGGGGTATATCGATATCCAAACTTCCAGTGTATGGCCCCAATCTCCTCCTTTCCGAATAAAACGCCTGGAAACGCCATAATGCAAGACCTAAACCGCTGGACTCTGTCCACTCATACTCGGGAACAACATGACATCAGAAACACGGCCTAAAATATTGCGCATACTCCAATCGTCCATAGGAAGTGCGGAACCAGAAAGTGCGAAGTTGGTGGGCAATTCGGGGGTGGTATCAACCGACGGAGGAGATGGCATGATAAGTGGGGAGAAGGACTGAGGTTGACGCGATGTCGCGGTCGACGGCGCAGGTTTGCGCGCACGGAACGCTTCCCGAATTTCACGCAAAGCACGAAGAGAAGAGGCAAGATGTTTCGCAGAGTCGGTGCGATTATTAAGGTCCGCGTCCCCGTCTGCGTATACATGTGCGACTAGAACTTTTTCCAGTCGATCAATGAGCTCCCACGTTCGCGGGCCATCGTCATTCGTGACTAGCAAGAAAGCCGAAGCAATTGATCTTTGCAAACTAATCCAAGATCGAGAGCAGTGCGAGTTGATTTCATGCAATTCCACAAATGCGTCAACCGTCTCAATCAAACTGCTAATACAATCCTCCCGAATCAAAGCTCGACGATGGTGATCTAAATGCGCATGGGAGTCTAGTGAGACACGACATAACACTGAAAGGAGGTATGAAGAGTGTAGACGGAGCTCTGTTCGTTCGATATGCTCTGACAAGGAGACGCAGTTTTCTCGATGTCGCAGATGTGGTGTGGCCTCTGCAAGCATACGCTGGATTCGATGCTTGTACTCTTGAATCTCGTGAAATGGCGGCTGAGAGGAGTTCGGATGCATTCGTGATCGTAACACTTCCAATGCAAGAGACACCACGCGGCACAAGGTTTCAAAGTAGGTACGATGTCCTGGCATCGATTTACGATCAAAGGGAATCTCTGGTTGGCTGACCATAGTAATAGAAGGTCGATCATAAGCAAGTGAAAAGTGGCTATTCTGGAATGCCATTGCCCACCTAAAACATGGCAAGGATTTTGGTCAATAAAGCAACAACGAAAAGAGAGACTGGTCCAAACTCACCATACGCGCCTTCGCAAAGCTTGTTCCTCAAGTGAAAACCCTGTGGTTTCCACGTGGAGTCCAAGAACCAGACACATTCGCTCCGTCATTCCTAAGCAAAGATTGTTAGGAGGTATTCGCCAAATGTATTCGGAATCAAGTGGAAATTACCCAGTAAGGTGTAGGATGCGCCAGCATTCATGTTGTATGACAAAACATTGCTGATAATGAGGAGAATCTGTATAACCTCTACTGTAGGTTGCGAGACGTAATTCAACATTCGCAGACACTGGTACGCGCAAGATACTGCATCGAAAGTCAGTATCCTCTTCGGGGAGATTGAGTCATCGACACGGTGAACGTGTGAACGTGGGAACTTGGGGGGGTCGCACCATATACCCATGATGTCAGCTCACGATCCCGCTCCGGGAGATCTGACAATTGGCACCCAGAGGCAAGTATCGCAAAAAGCAAGCTGAGGAAGTGCAAATCCATCCCAAACGGCTTGACTAATCCGTTGGCATCCGGCTTATAGATACCACCGGCCCGCTGTCTTCCCAGAAGTAACCGGTCTGTTTTTCGGTCAAGTTCGTTGAGATCAGGTAGTACAGGGTACAACACCGCACCGATATCTTTATAGAATTGCACGAATCTGGAGACTCACACCGTTAGCATGGTTCCCCAACTCGTCTTCGACTCTTGAGCCATCTCACCTTCGACATTGTGCATCATCTGGAAGAACCGCACACACTCCCGCAATATTGAAAGTATAGGGATCGGATGACCAAAGATCCACAAAGGGATATGCAACAGACTCATTGCCCAGTGCTAATTCGGCCAGAAGATCCTCCTGTGGCAGCGCCTGCGCTGCATCCTCCGAACCCTTGGATTTGTCCAAAATATCCACCAAGGCGGAACGAGAACCGAGATGGACGGCACCAGTCTTCAGCACGTTCGATCCGTAAACACCTTCCGACCGGATAGAATCCTTGCGATCCATTCCCTGATCCTCGCTTCGTTTACGGGACGAATGAGAATTGAAAAGCGACGAGAGACTACCGAGGATACCTTCCATGGCCACCATCTTATTGTTTATCTCATCCCACTCAGCCTGGGAGATATCTATTATCTCCGGTAGGTCTGAGTCAGGCTCATCACTCATTCCGGAGGGGTGATCGACAGCGGAAGAGGCATGCTGTGTGGGGTATGGGAACGATGACGTGCCGGCGGGCGAGACGAAGGAAGGCTGTGACGGCGCAGATGGTGGATTATTGAGAGAGATCGTCGGGATCGAATACTTGTTGGATGACGGGCGACCGTATGAACAGGTAAAGTTTCGTTTAACGCAATTCCCACAGGAACGTTGCGGTCGCAACGGACTTTGCTGGCACGACATGGCAGGCAGGTCTTGCACTCGCGCGGTCGGCGGCGAATAGGATACGTCGGCATTTTTTCAGAGCCCCGCGGTATAGAATCACTCTCTTACTCCTTCACTCGGAAAGAGTAAGGGTGGGGAGAAGGAGCTTGGTCAGGCTGCCTGCAGCGAGCGGAAGGCCAAAAAGAGCAGCATAGGCAAATCGAGGAATGGGGATGGACGTGGGACGTAGAGCAAGATAGCGAGAAAGATAGATAGTAGGCGGCGCGCGAGATGTATCGAATCTCGGTTAAACCACTAACCAGTAACAGGGATTGTGGCGGCGGTATTGTGGTAGGTCCGTGAGCTTGCCCCAGATCAAGTTGTTCTGGGGAAAAGAAGAAAAGAAACTGTGATCTTCGGGGGGCCGTGATGATGGAAGTTTCCGAGATGCCGAAACTGGCGTGGATGAAGTGTCGATCGCGAAGTCAATTAGAAGATTGACAGCGCTAACAAGGGTTACTTGGACGTCGGAAGAAAAATCGATGATTTCATAACGCGGCCGCGTTCCTTGGTTGGCGGCTTAAGCGGACCGTCGGAGTTGTTGAGGATGCAAAGTTGGGGAGCGTACTGTGTGTAGTACTTGGAATCCAACTTGCATTTCTCCCCCACTTTATCGGAAGAAAAACCAAAAAACCAATCAACAAGAGAATAATGTCAAAATCAACAAAAAGTGCTCAAAAGCTGCATGAAGAGACGGGAAGATGTGGGGAAGAGAAAGTGACTTGTAGAAGAGTTTGTTGGGTTTGTTAGGTTTGTTTTGTTTTCTTCTAGTACACACTACATAGTCCCCAATATATCTAGTTAGAGTACAGAGTATGGGCTTGAACTTGATATACACATCTGCACTATTCATGAATATGAATATCTTGAATATGATGTTTTTTTTTCTTCGATCTAAGAGATCGCTCAAAATGCTAAACTACCTAAAAATGAGGCTAACTTTGCACTAAGACTCTGACTGCTGCGAAACTTGCGGCACGCTCCACCAATCATGCCATCGGCTCTTGCTCCCGACCTCGGGGATATTGACCTGCAATTTCACCGGCCTTTCATCACTATAAAGTGCTTTCTTAACCGTCTCAATGGCAATGCTAGCTCCGATACAAGCACGCATAGTATCCTTCACATTGCGTTGCCAATCTTCCTCAATGGCAATGGGTGGAGTCTTCTTCGCCGAGACAGCCTCAACAAAAGCGCCATGGGCAAGTGTCGCTTCCCAGGCCTTTCTAGCCTCCGTGATGGCTTTGGAGGCACGTTCTAAAATGGTCACGTCTGTATCACCTTGTAGAGTAGCCTCGCGGTGATATTCTTCATACGGAACTAATTCAGGTAGAGATATGGGGAGGAAGGGCTTCATGCGAATCTCATAGCGTAACTTGTCCGTTGAGTACGCATCAGACCCGGCAGCAGATGGTAGTACCTTGTGTCGTGCCAGAAGAACGTATAATGCGTGGAGGGCAATCGCGAAAGCATCCACAGCAATGAGCTGCGTGGTCAGTCTTTCCAGGCACCGGTAACATCTGTGAAATGCGGCAGCTGCCCGACTGGTGCTTGCTGCATGGATGTTTGAAGCGGACAAGTCTCTTTTTCGAGCTGCGACAATAAAAGTGCGTATCCGATCAAGATGGCCAAGGTGAGTGGAACAGATGTGCGAAAGATACCAGTACATCCCTGGGAGCTCCTCTGGTGAGTAGATGGAAAGCTCAAAGCCCATCTGAAGGATCATTCGAAGCTGTGTTAATTTCTGATGGTATGCCCAGCTGCTGAGTGGATATGAGTAGGTTGGTTCGCCACCATGAAGCTGCAGCGGAGGCTCCTTGCTGAGGGATTGGAGTTGTAAATCGAGTTCTTCGGCCTGTATTAAGATGAGAATGACATCCATTTCAAAAAGCAGGTGGAAATACTGACTTCCATCTGAAGATTATCCCAGTCCACAACAGTATGGCAAACTGTCCGACGAACACGACACCGGTTCAAGCAAGCACATCGCACTGAATCTACAAAAGGCTAAGAGGGGTCAGTTTCATGGTTCAAATAGTTGAGACCGGCTGCACATACCTGGGCAAATCGTTTCACAAATCCGTCCATGAGTCGAGCTATTTGGAATCGAGGATCGGATGGAACTTCCACCTCATCCATATTTGATTGGAGAAGAATGCTTGATGGCAGTACCAGCTCGACAAGATCATCATAAAGGAATTTCCTGACGGATACTGCCCCTAGAATAGTCATGTCGCTCACGATCAAAGCTTGCATCAGACAGCGAATATAAACGGAGGGCTGGGGCTTTCGAGAAAGAAGCGTCCATATAGCAGTCTAGGATAAAATATTAACAAGGGGAAAGTCACGGTAAGAAACGGTAAGAAAGGTCAGTAGTCTTACCTTGATGTTGGTAGGTCCCCAATATTCAAGAATTTGCTGCATGTCAATAGCGTCTTTGCAGAGACGCTTGAGATGATCAAGTGCATCTTCATGATTGATATGCACGATTGGACGAGGTGGCACAGTGCTGGCAAGTTTGCGTTGAATCTTCAAACTGAAAGCTTCTGGCACTGGTTTGCCAAGGGGGTAAGACTCCTTCAGAGCATCGAGGTGTGCTAAACATGATTTGAAGTTTTCTGTGGACCTTGTATCCAAAACCTCAAGATCCTGATCAAGAGCAGTCATGAATTCATACCGAAACATCAATCGAGTCCGAATTGCATCTCGAAGCTTTTGGTCCATTTCATTCTGTGCATCCACCCACGCAACCGCCTGGTCCAGCAGGCGGTAAAAGTGGGAGGGGTCAAAGGGAGATAACAGGTTACGATGGTAAAGCTGAGCGACAAAGTCCTCTTCCTAAAAGCGTAATGACAACGGTCAGAGACTATATCAGAGTTGCTTGCAGCTTCTACTTACTTCGTAGTAATACTCGCCCGCCACTCGGCTATGAACAAGGTCGCAGGCCTTGATCAGTGCAAGGCAATATGAGCGAAGCACAAGGCTGATGAGGGGTGAGTCGCTAGGCACACGGTCAAATCGGGCATCCTCCATGGTCCTGGGTACTGGCCACAGTAGCTTGTCGAGATAGATGGATGTAAACAACGTCTGGGAAAGAGGATGACCCATATGCCATGCCATCTAATTTATCATTAAAACCACTGAATCTGACTGTGCATCTCAATTCCAAATGTGAACACACCTCATAACAAAGCAACTGGTCCATCAAACCCACGACCTGCTCCGGTGACAACTCTTGTCGCACATCGTAATTGTCCTCCAGCGCCTGCGCTTGGTTCTCCCCTGAGGCAATGTATCCGCTGTCCATTTTCGAGTCCATAATCTGCATTAATGGCAAAATCCGTCAGCACAGTGTCCTCTCGCCGATTTATCGCTCCGTGTAACAAAGATGTACCTCCAATGCGCCAACAGCTTCGAAGAGTGTGAATGCCTCATCTTTTACGAGTTCGCCGATCTGTAGCTCTGCAATGAAGTGAAATCGTCAGACCTGCAATACTACCAGCTGGATAGGACTCGGAGTAACTTACTTGAGGCCGCTTCTGTGAACTCGGCCGTAATGTCGCGCCGAGGAGCGGACGGCGTAAGTGGCCGCGGGGGCACACGAACCTCATTATTCGGCAGCATCGCAGAGGAAATTGGGGCTCTGCAGTCCGCTGCCGATCCAGATCATGGAAAATCAAAGCTTGCAACGGCCGTGAAGAAATGAGGTTGAGAGAGAACGAACGGATCGAGGGGTGAGTGGGGGAAAGAGCGTGGGCGGGAAAAAGCGATTCGGGCAGGCAGACCGGTACCTGTGACGCAGTCACGCAGGTGCGGCCGGCTCAACAGATCACTTTTTATAAAGATTTCTCTTACAATATATACCAAGGGAAAAAAATATCCACAAGTTCAATGGCAATCAAATACGAGTTCATGGAATAAAAAGAAAAGAAAAGCAGAGTGCGATTTCTAGGCTCTGTCAAACCCAGACAGGCCTGTATTGCTACACATGTACAAGTTCAATGCTTCCCCGGAGTCTATCTTCTCCTCCCCAGGCCTTCCAAGCCTAGGTCCGACATTTTCCCAATCAAATTCTCGCGGTTGAAGAGTGCATTGTTGCGAATTTGGTCGTTTATTTCTCAGCAGCCTGAGCAACGGCCTCATCGTTGGCCTGGGCGAGAGAGCGGACGTTGCCTTGCTTGCCGTTCTGTGTAGCCGGAATCTTGTCAGTTTCTGGCTCGAAGCTTCGGGAATTTCTGGTTTATATCAACTAACCTCCCACTTGGCGAAACGGAGGTCCATCTGGCCGCGGCGCTCAGAGGCGAGACGAGGACCGTCCTTCAGAGACCGGCGCACCGTGCGGGCGGCAATGGCCAGGTAACGGTTGTAACTGTCACGGCGTTAGTAAATCAATAATTCCGAATGATTATGAAGAGAAACGCACGTAAGGCCAGCGGCTTTCCAGACGGCAGTCATTTTGAATGGAGTGGAATGAGGAGGTGTTTCGATTGAAGGGGGTGAAAACGGCTTCGGGTGAGTTTGGAAGCGTTCGACTTCGGAGGATCGGGAGTGGTGATCACGTGGACGTGTTGAAGCTCTGTCACGTGGATAAATCGGCAACCTCAATGCAAATTTGTACGTTAAACCATCATTTTCCCCCGCAACGTTCACGCACTTGTAGACCGTATATGATATTTGAATTACAGCAAACAGGTTAACTGACTCTGATAAATATAATCCGTAGTATTTTTTCGAATTTTACGACGTTGTTGTGGCTTACGTTCTATCCCCGTTTTCAACCGGTTGAAGCTCTCTGCACCGGATCTATAACCCTTTTGCATTTGTCGTAGACCCAATCCACCATTGCTTATCCGTGCGGTTAAATGTTTTGGACACTTTTTGAAGGAACTTGTATTTATTATCAATCGTAATCTAACCTTTAAGGTTCTGATCTAGGAATTAGGCGGCATGAACGGTAGATGTTTGCACTCCTTCAAGTTTGCGATGGTTGCCTCGATAGCCAACCACTAAGCAACATATTGGATGTCCACAACACAATTTGCGGGGAGCTAAATTCCTTCGAATGTTCTCTTTTGAAGGACTCAACTTCATTGGTTCGAACATCTTAAGCCACGGCCATGTGTTTTGGAGACTTGGCAAAGGTGTATGCTTTTTGCAAAGAATAGGAGCAATACCAAATCACACTATAATAAAACAAATACCTCTTGATAGCCTCTAGTATGTGTGCAAATATTCAACATAGCATCTTTAGCTTCAGGCGTCATTTTTCAAGAGCCAGGATGCAGGAGGTTTGAGCAAAGACTAGAGTCTCAACAACTCTAGCAATACCACAGGGCGGCCTTGGGTGGCTCCATGGAGATATCGTCTGAATAGCCGTTCCCTTACCTTATGGACTCCAAGGCGATCTGATAATCTTGCTATTGGCGCCTGGAGAAAGCTTTAAGACACCCATTCATTCTCTCACTTTTCCACCTTCTCTTCTCTCCCCTCCATCCACTATTCTTACACTCACCTCAAATCCAATTCTTAACCAACATCACTCCGAATTCATCAATCAAGGTCAGTTTCACTCCTTCAAGATAGCTGCTCCCATCAGGAGAGTTTGGTGGTTTCTCTGTCCTCGCTGTATCCCCGCAGGTAACGCGATATCGACGCGTTATATCATCTTGGAAGAGTCGAGATTGAGCGTCCATTGTTTCGGTCCACCCTCGCCTGCCTGTTGTGTCTTTCTTCAATATTTCAACAGAGACTCCTCAAGTATTCTTGTTTTGGGAACTCTTGTGAGATTTCGCCTAGGATCATATCGATAACCTGGGCTGGGAGATCTGCGGGAGCTGGGGTTCCACGCGTTTCTCTCTCATGAGGCGCCTGTGCAGCTTCATAGTCATCCTAACTAACATTCTTTGTTAACAGACTTGGTTGAATTCATCATGAGTTCGCCTACTCCGGGCGCTAAAACGCCTGGAAAAAGGCACCGGCCTCCAAAGCTCCGCGGCGATGGCCGAGAGCCGCGACAGCTAGTTCGCTGGGATAGTAAGTTGAGTGCCCTGTGCTAGATTCATTTTGATTCGGCAACCTCTTTGTTTTTTCCTTCTTTGCTCTTTTGTCTGTTCCTCGGGCTTCCCTTGTTTGTTTAACACCTTGCACCACTCGGACTTTGTTCGTGATATCATGAATGTGATCGACTATTCTGCAGTCATCTTGTGTCCAATATATTTTTGAAAGAATGAATCACATGGCCAGCTATACTGACAGAGATAGATGACCTGGACATTCAGCTGCTGTTAACTGTTCAGCAATCTTGCAATGCAACGGGCGTTAAGATCCCATGGTCGCTGTGTGCCGAGACAATGGGCACCAAATTCACCGAAGGCGCTATCATTCAGCACCTGTCAAAGCTGCGCACCCGCCGTGAGGCCGAGAACAAGCCTGTGCCCCCTCCACTTCGCCGATCCATTCCAGCTGCAGCAAATGCCACTGGCAAGACAAGCCGCAAGAAGTCAACTTCCAAGAGGGATAATGAGCAGGCGCCAAGCTCCGATGGTGATCTGACTGACGATGAGCCTATTGACTGGACTAGCGAGGAGGAGAACCAGAACCCCAAGCGTCGACGCAAGAGCAAGAAAAACTCTGACCCAGCTTGGAAGCGTTCTCATCTTCCCCGTAAAGAAAGTCATCGCTTGAAGGGGCGCGACCGTCGTGTCAGCGCTACTTCACAGAAGCGCAAGGACCATGATGTCAGCGACGCCCACGATGAGGGTTCTGACGAAGATGCCCTCATGTGTGTTGGAGCCCCTTTCCTCAACTTTGGTAACAATTCTGATGAAGATCCTGATTATGACAGCGGTGATGAAAGTATCTCAGTCAGCAACTTCAATGGTGAAAGCGAGAATTATGAGGGATCCAAGATTGTCTGCTTGCCTATCGATGCCAACGCTCTTTACAACCTTTCAGTTTCCGGTCATGTTGGAGGGGCTCCCATGGAAATGACTCCTGATCAATCCACCCCAGGAACGGGCAGCCAGCAGATCCACTCCTCTCCTTCCAACCTTGGAGGACATGGATCCCAGCTTATGTCTCCAGTTTCCTATCGCTCCCACGCCGTTTACCTGGGTAATGGCCCCAATCCGTTCAACATCTACTCGAACCCAACTCTTTCTCAAGTCGCCTACCCCACTGAACAGCAGTCCCCTGTAGTTACAGGTGGTTTTGGCCACGGCAATCCTAATGGGCCGCCATTCCAGGCTATCGCTAGAGGATCTCGCCCAATGAGCCCTTATGAGGAATCTGTCGCCCCGCAGTTCATGGGGGCCCCGACTGGGTTTGTCCAGCAGCCATCCTATCTTCATCCTGCCGGAATGCATGCCAACGTGAACCCGCCCGTTTTGGGGGGAAACACCGGAAATGGTGCGGAGAATTGGAATCAATACCTCAATTGGGATGAATCCGCCGATTCTTCCTCCTATGCGCCTGCCTCTATGTTCGCTGAGTACAATGAAGGGACCGCTGCCGAAGATGATATGATGGGATCGATTGAGAAAACCGACGCGATAGATCCCACCTTGCGTGACGACGATGATTTCAATTTCTATGAATCAAAGAACATCTACTAGATAGATGTTCTGTCTTCAGCGCTGAGACTGCACGCTACCTCAAATCGGTCTGTTTTTGAGGGTCAACTGGCTGTCAGTTGTCTCGAATGAATGGACGGATGATATGAGAATGGAGTTGCAGCATTGGCATTCGCTTTTTGCGGTCTTTTGTTTGTTTGCTTTTCTGCCATGATGGCTTTTTTTTCGCTCAGGAGTCATAGGAGCTTGGTTTTTTTTTTCACGTCCGATCGACGTGTACCTTGAATGTCGAAGGTGTTTCGCTTTTTCTAAGTTCTGCAGCAGGATCTCAAGGTTGCAAGGATCTTTTCAAGTGATAAGAAGTGATTTACTAGCCCTTCACAATCAAGGTTAATTTATTCAAGTTTAAATTCAAATTTCTAGTGCCATTAATTCAAAATGTTGTAGTGGGAACATCAATTCAAGTCTTGACCCAGATGAGGTAGTTGTTATGCACATCATGGACGTGGTCAAAGTTCGAACAACGTCAACATCCAACTTGAAGGTTCAAATGTTGAAGTAGATTCCTCGGCTGATACTTTGCCCGTCCCGCACAACATTTGCAGCCTTGAAGTTGAGGCTCATGCAGCACCACTTCAACAAACGCCATAATTTGAAATCTCAAGTGCTAGTATAGTCAACATTTGAATGAAGAGCTACTAAAACCTTGGAAATTGAAATATAAAATTAGTTGCGCTTGAGACTTTATTTTCAAATTGCACCATCCACTCAACATTTGAAGTGCTATGACATGAAATGAATATTGATTGATTTCAAGTTGCTGGATCATCTGGATGCTCAGGTTCAACTTCATGTTCCTACTAGTACTAGTAGTAGTATGTAGGTACTAGTGATATATACTACCGTGCCGAAGCCGAACATAGCCGGACCGTGACTCGGAGTTCCATCGGGTTGTTTTTCCGATTCGCTCAAGTTTGCCAACTTGAAGTGAGATACAAGATGTAGACCAACTTGAATCGATAGATAATTAACGGACCTTAATAATCACCAAGAAATGTAATCCCGGCCATAATTCCAAGGTTAATAGATGATTTTATTCAATCAATTGATGTTGTTGATACTTGTAAGTCGTAACTTGATAGTCCCGTTGATCCGGAGACCCGTGATCATGTGATCTTCTAGCTCCTTCTGCCGCCAAGCTTCCCGGGGTTGGGGAGAAGGAAAGGGAAAATTTTCGAGACTTTGGCTTCATCTCCAGCTCTCTATCTCTCCCCATCTTCCTCCATCATCAACCCTCCTTATCGGGTTGCCTTTCTCATTTCTCTATAAACCCTTTTTAATTCCTTTTGAGCTTTTCCTTTTTATTGTTTATTCTTGAACCATGCAGCGCGCTCTCTCTTCCCGGGCTTCGGTCCTGTCCGCCGCCTCCAAGCGTGCCCCTTTCTCCCGCTCCACTCTGAGCGTCCAGCAGCAGCGTTTTGCCCACAAGGTGCGTAGAGCCTTCAATCCCTTATGCTGAAGCACTGGGAATCATATCACCTCAATTCCGAAGATCCTCGGCTAACCCAACAAACAGGAGCTCAAGTTTGGCGTTGACGCTCGTGCCAGCCTTCTCAAGGGTGTTGACACTCTGGCCAAGGCTGTTACTTCTACTCTGGGACCCAAGGGTCGCAATGTTCTCATTGACTCTCCTTACGGTTCCCCCAAGATCACTAAGGGTACGTGTCAATTCTTCGATACCATTGGAAGTAGCGAGAGAGGCGAAGAAAGAGGAAACCCCCAATACTAAACGTCCTCTTGTATAGATGGTGTCACTGTTGCCAAGGCTATCCAGCTACAGGACAAGTTCGAGAACCTCGGTGCCCGCCTTCTCCAGGATGTCGCCTCCAAGACCAACGAGCTTGCCGGTGACGGTACCACCACCGCTACCTGCCTTGCCCGTGCTATCTTCTCCGAGACCGTGAAGAACGTTGCGGCTGGCTGCAACCCCATGGATCTGCGCCGCGGTATCCAGGCTGCTGTTGATGCTGTTGTCAAGTACCTGCAGGAGAACAAGCGCGACATCACCACTGGTGAGGAGATCGCCCAGGTTGCTACCATCTCCGGTAACGGCGACATCCACGTCGGTAAGCTCATCTCCACTGCCATGGAGCGTGTCGGCAAGGAGGGTGTTATCACTGTCAAGGAGGGTAAGACCCTTGAGGATGAGCTCGAGGTCACTGAGGGTATGCGCTTCGACCGCGGTTACACCTCCCCCTACTTCATCACCGACCCCAAGTCCCAGAAGGTTGAGTTCGAGAAGCCTCTGATCCTGCTCTCCGAGAAGAAGATCTCCGCCGTCCAGGACATCATCCCCGCTCTCGAGGCCTCCACTACCCTCCGCCGCCCTCTGGTCATCATCGCTGAGGACATCGAGGGTGAGGCTCTCGCTGTCTGCATCCTGAACAAGCTCCGTGGCCAGCTCCAGGTCGCTGCTGTCAAGGCTCCTGGCTTCGGTGACAACCGCAAGAGCATCCTTGGTGACCTTGCTGTCCTCACCAACGGTACCGTCTTCACCGATGAGCTGGACATCAAGCTCGAGAAGCTCACCCCCGAGATGCTCGGCTCCACTGGCTCCATCACCATCACCAAGGAGGACACCATCATCCTCAACGGTGAGGGATCCAAGGACAACATCTCTCAGCGTTGCGAGCAGATCCGTGGCTTCATTGCTGACCCCACCACCTCTGAGTACGAGAAGGAGAAGCTGCAGGAGCGTCTTGCTAAGCTCTCCGGCGGTGTTGCCGTCATCAAGGTTGGCGGTGCCTCCGAGGTTGAGGTCGGTGAGAAGAAGGACCGTGTTGTTGACGCCCTGAACGCCACCCGCGCTGCCGTTGAGCAGGGTATCCTGCCCGGTGGTGGTACCGCTCTGCTCAAGGCCTCTGCCAACGCCCTGGACTCCGTCAAGCCCGCCAACTTCGACCAGCAGCTCGGTGTTAGCATCATCAAGAGCGCTATCACCCGCCCCGCCCGCACCATTGTCGAGAACGCCGGTCTGGAGGGCAGCGTTATTGTTGGCAAGCTGACCGACGAGTACGCCAAGGACTTCAACAAGGGTTTTGACAGCTCCAAGGGTGAATACATTGACATGATCGCCGGCGGTATCGTTGACCCTCTCAAGGTCGTTCGCACCGCTCTGGTTGATGCTTCCGGTGTTGCTTCCCTGCTGGGTACCACCGAGGTCGCCATCGTTGACGCTCCCGAGGAGAAGGGACCTGCCGGTCCCCCTGGTGGTGGTATGGGCGGTATGGGTGGCATGGGCGGCGGTATGTTCTAAGCGCCCCCAGCTCCATGTTTTCCTTCAACCCTTGTACCCTAGTGCTCTCTTGATGACTTCCCCGCGCATCTCTTTGCATCGCTGTGTCTTTCCCAGCGGCCCTGGATCTTTGTAACGGTTTGGTGTTCCTTTCCTATACCTGTATTTTTGCCTGTTTTTTTCATTACCATGTATTCCAATTTTTTTTTTCTCATTTTTTTAACATCTCCACTCTCTGGGGCTCGAAAAAGGTTCCGGCGCAATACTGTAACATATTCCCTCTCCATGTGGTGCTAATGCATTCTATTTGATGCTATAAACTATTCTTTTTTTTGTTTCAACTTAAATTTCGAGTATATTCCACCTGGATAAGATCGTCTCTCCAAGTAACATTCAAGTTGCATGTAGTATGATAAGGTGCCCAGGTGGTCATGCACATATGCTCAGGTGCTTTCCACTGAGGTTCAACCTTTGAAGTTGTGAGCACTATTGGATGGGGAGTATTTAACCGTTATAATCTATCAAGATCGACAGATGGACAAGACCTGTAGAGGTGGACCAAGTTAATTAAGGATCGTCCCGCATTGACACCTGGGCAGCCTTGCTGATCTGCATCTAGATATAACTCTGCAGACCTTAAGATCAAGTTCGTATATCTCCACATATTTCTTATGATAGTTCATACCAGCTGAGCAATATATGCATATCCCTTTTCCAGCGCGTGGCGATAAAACTAAGTAATTGGATCATACGTCGGGTATTTTGTTCATTTTGTTCGTTTTGCACCTTTTGCACCAATAGGCGTAAGCTATCGGCGGTCTAGACTACAATTATATTGACAGCATTTTCATCCCGTGTTTCGTCCCTCTTAACTTACTCTCACACTTCCAAGGTTTACCAGTACATGACCTTTCCCCCCTTAGACTGTGAACCTTTTTTTCTCTTTCCCTCTCCCCTCTTCTCTTTAATACCTTCGAGGTCGGTTATGCATACAAGAGCGCCTACTCTACTCAAGCCCCGCTGCTTTTCTCATCTCCGACCAGGGGGAATTCCCTCACCTCGGCAAACCCCGGACCTTTGGGGAAAATTACCCAAATAATATTACACCCCCGGTATTACGCCCCCTCTACTTTGATCTGACTTTCGAGTCTAAAGAAAGTGGAGCATTGCTGCTTATTATACCCACCTTCGTTTTACCATCTGGCCTACGATTCCGGGTTCTTACCCCAAGTTTCTCTACTGTCAACCCATCATGGCAGTGGAGATGAGTCGGGCTGCCGATGTCGACCTCTTTCAGGCTCGAGCCGCCTTACAGCACCAACAGAGTCCGGAGGTTTCGGTACCACGGGAATTCATTTCGCAGATCGTGGAGGAGCTGATTCAATGTCGTGAGGCTCACTCATCTATCGCCGAGATCGAGCGCGAATGCTCCCATCTTCGTAAAGAACTACGAAAACACACTCACATCAATGAGGCATTTCAGAAGGAGCTAAGAGAGATCGGGGAGATCATCACCCAAGTCGCTCATGGCGATCTATCCCAAAGAGCACGAATGCACCCCCTGGAGATTTCACCCGACATCGCAACTTTCAAGCAGACTATCAATACAATGATGGATCAGTTGCAGGTGTTTAGTCAAGAAGTCTCCAAAGTGGCTCGCGAGGTCGGCACGGAAGGAGTGTTGGGAGGCCAAGCCAAGATCGAGGGCATCCAGGGTATCTGGGAAGAATTGACAGTCAACGTGAACGCCATGGCGAACAATCTTACGACTCAAGTCCGTGATATTACGACTGTGACCACCGCCGTGGCAAAGGGTGATCTTACTAGCAAAGTGCAAGCAGACTGCAAGGGAGAGATCTTGTTGTTGAAGAATATTATCAACAATATGGTGGACCAATTGCGAGAGTTTGCCTTCGAGGTCAGCCGTGTGGCTCGAGAAGTTGGATCGGACGGTACCCTTGGTGGCCAGGCGGTTGTTCATGGTGTGGAGGGAACGTGGAAGAACCTGACCGATAACGTGAACCGTATGGCCTCGAATCTGACACAACAAGTCCGCGAAATTGCCAAAGTAACAACTGCTGTGGCGCGTGGAGACTTGACAATGAAAGTGACTGCGGATGTGAAGGGAGAAATCTTGGATCTGAAGCTTACGATTAACGCAATGGTCGACCGGCTCAATCAATTCGCATTCGAAGTCAGCCGAGTAGCCCGCGAGGTCGGAACCGATGGTACACTGGGTGGTCAAGCACAGGTTGAGAATGTCGAGGGACAGTGGCGGAATCTTACCGACAATGTCAACACGATGGCCCAGAACCTAACGATGCAAGTCCGGCAAATTTCCAACGTTACTCAGGCGATCGCTCGTGGCGATCTGAGCACCAAAATCGAAGTCCATGCCCAAGGCGAGATCCTCACCCTCAAAGAAACAATCAACAGTATGGTGGATGGGTTGGGACAATTTGCACGAGAGCTAAAAGGGGTAGCGAGGGATGTGGGAGTGCGTGGTCAGCTTGGTGGACAGGCAAATGTGGAGGGCTCACATGGTATTTGGAGGTCGATCAGTGAAGATGTCAATACGATGGCAGACAACCTCACGTCGCAGGTTCGCGCGTTTGGAGAAATTACAGAAGCGGCCATGAGTGGTGACTTCACGTCCCTGATCACCGTGTCGGCATCAGGTGAAATGGATGATCTAAAGCAGAAGATCAATAAGATGATCTCAAGTTTACGAGATAGTATCCAGCGCAATACGGCTGCCCGTGAAGCTGCTGAGTTGGCGAATCGCAGTAAATCAGAGTTTCTTGCAAACACAAGGTATGGTCTTCAGTTTCGACTGTGGAAGCTGGTCACACAAACTAACAAAATCCTCCTAGTCACGAAATCCGTACTCCGATGAATGGTATCATCGGGTTGACCAGCTTAGCACTCGATACAGACGACCTACCAGCGACTATTCGTGAAACCCTAAGCATGGTTCATAGCCTTGCCATTAGCCTCTTGACCATCATTGACGACATTCTTGATATCTCCAAGATCGAGGCGAATCATATGAAAATCGAAAAGACTGCATTCAGTCTGAGCACTACCGTATGGCGCGTCCTGAAAGCATTCGACGTGCAAACTGTCGAGAAAGCATTGAGCTTAATATACTCTGTTGATGGAAATGTACCCGATTACCTGATTGGCGATGCTTATCGTATTCGACAAGTCATGATTAATTTGGTGGGCAACGCAGTGAAGTTCACTGATCACGGCGAAATCCACGTCTTGGTCAAACGCATCCAGGACATCACCTGTGCTCCAGATGAAACCACCTTTGAGTTCTCAGTCTCAGATTCTGGAATCGGGATCGAACAAAGCAAACTTGGTCTCATATTCGACAATTTCCAACAGGCGGATGGCTCCATGACACGTCGTTTTGGAGGCACAGGTCTGGGACTTGCCATCTCCAAGAGGCTCATTTCTCTCATGGGTGGTGATATTTGGGTCAAATCAAACCTAGGGAAGGGCAGTACCTTTGGTTTCACCTGCAAGTTGAAAGTCAGTGAGCCTCCGGTCGCCCTCGCCGAGCAGCTCATTTCTCATAGAGGCCGCCGGTTCCTCGTGATCAGCGATCAGAAGGAAACTGGAACCCTAGCGGTCCGCATGTTGCATGAACTTGGGCTTCAGTCAGTAGTAATGACGCAAAAGCAGCTTGCCTCAGGTCGATGCAACGGCGAGGAAAGCTCTTTCAGTGCAATCATTGCCTCGACAATGGAGGAGGTTCTCACATTGCGCACTTGTGACCATTTCTCCACCGTCCCTGTCGTGATCATGGCCACGGACCTATCCCTGACAATCAAAACCACTAGTTCTTTGGGAATAACAGCCTATATTACTACACCTTGCCGTCCGATCGACCTTTGGAATGCGATTATTCTGTCCCTTGGAGATCGCACAAATCACGCACAACCTGGACACAGTCGTCCTCTTTCCATCCTGCTTGCGGAAGATAACGACGTCAATGTCAAGGTGGCTGTCCGCATCCTTGAAAAAGCCAAACACCATGTCACCGTTGTTGGGAATGGGTTGCAAGCTGTGCAAGAGGTTCAATGTCGACGATATGATGTGGTCCTCATGGATATTCAGATGCCTGTGATGGGTGGGTTTGAGGCAACAGCTACAATCAGACAATATGAGAAGGCCCAGAGTCTACCTCGTACACCCATTGTTGCGCTTACTGCACATGCCATGCTGGGAGACCGCGAAAAGTGCCTTGAATCTGGCATGGATGATTATGTGTCAAAGCCCTTACAACCTAGTCAAATGATGGAGACTATTTTGAAATATTCTGCAATGAATATCTCATCAACAATAGTATCTACGAATGGGAAGGCTTGAGAGGGAGTTTGTCATGGTGGCAGTGGGAAATACCAGTAATGATAACTGGTTGATTCTCATTGCCCTCGATCGTGAGACACTCAGACTCTTGCATTCCAAGGTTATTTGCATTTCCCATGCTGTACATCACAGGCGCCCCGATCAGTGACGGTTATTTCATTTTTCTTTGCATCGAACGTGTTCAGAAGGGAGTTCAGCACTGGGAGTTCGTTCTTTTACCTCTTATACTCGAATATCTTTTCAAATGTTTCTTTGAAGTTTTGAGTCTCAGATGACCGCCCAGGTGTCATTTGTGGTATTCTCAATTCAAAGACTTTTCTATTTTATTTATCCAGACCCTGCATTCAAAAGCTGGCGTCGTGGTTTCGGATCAATTCTATGTAGATACCACTGAGTGATCCATGGATGTTTGTGGCGCATACTATCTTTCATCTTTTTACAGATTTTCTTACAGAATACGATATCCATTACTACAATACAGCTATGAGTTCATCTAGGGCTACTTCCCAGGTCTGCCACATGTGCAAGTCTGTATGGGTGCTTACAAGTAAAACCTGGCTAAAACATAGGATGTCTTTTTGACAGTACTTCTCAGCCAAACTCAAGCCTGGAGTGGTTAAACATTCTATCACTGTTCAAATATGAAATATAATACAATAATCAAACAGGTAATCTAGCCTCACCTCCATGTGTAGGCTTAGGCTTCTCCAAAATAACCTCCTTAGTCGCAGTCGGAGGATGCGCAATCTTGGAATTCTTCCACTCAACCTCCAAAACAGGCTTTTTAGCTTCTTTCCTTCTTTGCCAAAAATCCTCATCAAACTTAACCCGGTGCTGTTCATACCCAAGGTACTGATCGAACCTTTTGCGCATCCGCGAGTCTTCAGAAGCAAGCGGAGGAATTTGATTCTTGATGGAGCGCCAATGTAGAAAGTCTTTGATAGGACCGGAAATAAAGTCGCCCCAAAGCCCGAATCCAATCTTGTGGGATTTTGTTACTGCTTCTCGTAGTTTCTCGCTAAATGCCATTAAAAGAGCAAAGGCGATTATCGCGAATGAGGCTGGTGCTTTTTTAAGAGTCAGATTAGATGTGAACAATCTCAAATGTAGTTCAATCAAGTGGCTAATTCATACCTGCGATTTCGAACATCTCGGCTAGAGGCATGTTCTCTGATACTCCGCTCCATTCTCGAGCGTTCATACCGAAGAGGGAGGTGAAGAATGATAAGGGTAAGAAACTTTCTTTATTAGTTTTGAATATGCCACTTTGGGAAGAATGCTTCATACATTACGGTGAAAATGGTGAAGACCATCAAGGATCGAGACTGGTTTTGGGTTTCTTCTGCTTGCCAGCGCGCCATTTTGGCTTCATCCACATTTGCCTGTTTCTGTTTCAGATCCAGGAGTGTTTCAACCTAATCATAGTTAGCTGATACTCATAAAATACATATACCTGTGGAGTCTGATTTCATACCGCTTTCTGAGCAAGATGACTATTCTCTTTCATATCCCCCATCTGGGCTCGATACTCATTAATCCGAACCTGTGCGGCATCAAGGAACACCTTTCCACAGCTTCCGTCCTTTAAATTGAAATACTTCATCATAGTCTTTATCACTCCATCTTGCTGATCAAGAAGTTTAATAATGGTTGATAGCTCGTCTTCAATGTCTCGTAGTTCTAACAGGACGGATAGGTCATCGCGGTTGCGTCGTGCTACCTGGCGATCTCGTTGATCTCGCTGCGTAGAAGTCATGATCTTGCCTTCAGCAGTACGATTATGATCGGCGGGTCTATCGGCGAAGCCACGATTACGGAATCTTTTGAAGGATTTCGTCACCGATTCAGTCTGAATAAATGGTTAAAATTGATAGTTCACCAGCTAAGACAAGGGTGGGAACGATACCAATATGCTTATAGATTCTTCAAATATTCTCAAAACCTGAAGATCATGGTGAAGAGTTCGATCCAAGAGAACAGTCACAGCATGCAACATGATTAGGGCGGCAAGGTCGCCCGCTGTTTCAAACCGTCTCGCTAAATCCCCATTCAATTCATTATATAGACTGCTGTGAAGATTAGATTGTTCAAAAAGTTTTCCCTCAGATGTCGTAGCCTCCTGGTTCGGGAAGAATGTCACGATGGTCTTTTGATCGACAATCCAGAGCCAAAGTTGATCAACCATTAGTACATTACCATCCATGAACTCCGTTGGCTCTGTATCGGGCTCGTCGCTCGCCGCATCTAGATACTCTCGGAGTTGATCATCAATGCGAGCTGGCCTGCGAGTACGCTTCCAGAGCATTTGATCATCGTCTCGAGCTATTGTTGACCGTAGATTCGGGTATCCGAATTGGTCGAGTGTACGTCTGAAATGAATAGGTGGTTCACAACCCAAGTATTGCCATATGAGCTGGGCCTCGAGGCTGGCATTAGCGATTCGGGGTGGTACCGGGCGTGAACGACCTTGTCGAAGTCGATCTTGAACTACCTTGCGTCGCTGGATGAGATTCCGGTACGTATCCCAATGAAGCTGTGATAATTAGCATACATCAGGACAAAGGCCTGGCATTAGTGACTTACATATGGTGTCTGCCAGAGTGAGTATTAGCGAAAAGATTAAGCTGGTTGATAAGATAGACTTACATAGAGAGCTAATTGAGGATCATGCGAATCATCTGCTTTGATTCCTTGGGATACATCCATCTGACGGGAATGGATGCATCGAGGTCTCACAAATCGAGCATGAGGCTCCGAATGCCGCGCTCGGTTGAGGTTTGAATACCAGTTCTCGTCATTGATAAACTTCCTCAGACTACAATGCAAGTTAGTACATAACATCATGGGAGAAATACTGACTACCTACAAACTTGGTTCTTCAAGTTGACGATCTTGACAGGCACGACGAATTACCTGGGATACCCATCCAGTATGTGTATATGGAACGTGGATCCAGAGTAGTTTCTCAGTATCGGGGTCAGGTCTATCGAACCGAGGCACTGAGCGAGGGATGTCCGGTGCATCGCCGTGTTGATTGATGCGGTCTCGTGTTGATGGAGGGATTACTAGGAACCCGGTACTTCGTGGCGACGAGTTAGATCCCCTGTTTTTGTTAGTATATGGAGTATAATTTTCAAATTGATGGGTGGTCCTTACGATGCGGGTCGTGAGCTACTTCCTTGAGAACTTGTATCCGAAGTACTTCGTCTATGAGCCCGAAGATGGGATATACCAAACACTTTGGCTATAGAGGATTTCCGTTTTCGCTCCACCGGTGGCGGTGGACTTTCACTTGAGGGACGCTCTCTACCAAAATAGCCATCCATGGAAGCTTCTGTGATATGGATTGTGGGAGAAAGTTGATTTTCTGGTGAGATGAAGCTTCGACTTTCTCGTATAGTGGGTCTGGAGGGCCTGGTTTCTTGATGCTCCTGGCGAGTTTCTTGCTGGGTCTCATTATGTTCATTGTGATCGAGGTGGTCCTGTGGAGGGACGATAGGTGGAACGGGATGACTGTCAAAGCTGCTTATAGAGGAGTCGTCAAATCCACCCGGGTGGATACGCTTCAAGCGATCCCGAAGACATGCTCCAGGTCCACGAGCGAGATACTCCTCCAAGGAGACATGCGTTGACCATAGTTTGAGAGGACTCTCATCGCTGACACCCAATGCAGGGTCCTCGAAAAATCCATTGATCTGAACCTTCACCTCTTGTTCCACGTTCAACTCGGTATCTATATGACTAGAGAGCTCCACCGCCGTGTTGACTGCATCGGCTAACTCAACCAGAAACGTATTGCGTACTCCTTCCTGGCCTTGGAAACTGGCTGCTCCGATGTGGTCCGTTGCCATTGGGATTTCATTCTCATGCTCAATATCCAATAACCCAGAACGAATCGATGTAATGGGCGCATGAAACTCCACGGTGGTCCCAAAATCCACATCCAATACAGTCAAGGTGGAGTCAATAGTTTCAAGAAACGACCAGACTTTCATATCAGCTGATAGTGCTTTGAACTGGTTCGAAAGATGCCAGAGTGTATCCTGACGAGGCCGAAATTGTTCCCTGAGAGATGCAGGAAGATCCTGCTCAAGATGAAGTATGCGATGAATACTTGGCATATATTCCTCCGCCGATAGATAACTCGAGCCTTGGTGAGGAGTTGCTAGGAAAGCGATGCCATAGCAGCTGGTTAGTATAGCCTGGGCCGGCTCGGCCCGTGAAGCTAAAGCCAGACATGACTTTGCCACGAGGCCTCCTGTGCTATGGCAGATAAAGAATAATGGTCGCCGACTGCTGTGTTTTCTGCGTTCATCTAATAATATGTTTAACAGGCGTTGACCTAGATTTTCAATCTTGTCGTGCTCGTGGACATGTCCATGATGGTATAACAAGACCCGTGCTCTAGGTACTTGTTGAAGCAACTCGTTTTTAAGCCAGGGTATGTTGTTATTATGTGCAGTCCATGGCTTTTGATGATGTGCTCCAATAGGCGGCACAGCAACAATACTGCAGACCAGTTAGCTGATTTCCTCGTATGAGCGGGGAATTTGGAGTCCACCTACTCCACGTTCGTCTTGGACACGTTCTGGATATGCTCAAACCAGGGCGGGCGCCTTAATCCAGAAACTGAGGACGACGGCATGGTTCACAGTGCTGTCAACTGGACCTATATTGCACGGATAGCGCGAACCATGGGAAGGGATCATTTAAATGGAAGATAATACGAGATTTGGGGGCCGGACTTCAGGGGATTCAGCCTCAAGCGCGATCAGATGAACACGCCTGGCGGGCATCCTGGTTCGCCCTAAGCCAACTATGGCTGCCAGTGCCGATCGATGAGTCAAAGCACCCGGGTAAAAGGAGGCGCTGAACAGACCCCATGCACCTCAAACCCCTGCTTATTTGCACATTAGTGCCCTGGCTTTGTTAGCGTATTGCCTGCATTAGCCTGGGTGCAGGACCGAGGCTGAAAGTATGATCAGTAGAGGGTAATACTAGTAAAAAAGTAGTTAAGTTAGCCTCAAGCGATACTACTCAAGTCATCGGTTTGAACATCCATAAGAAGTCGAGTAGTTGTATTAGACAACATATCTACATCGAGAGGGCGATCTAAGACATGAATATGCCCAGGTGAATCACGAGGTACTTCGAAGGTTTTTCCAAGATTCCAAGATTATTTGCCAAGGTGAGATTGTTGAGAACGTATAATACAAGAATAGGGGTACTTTTGATCCCAGAAACCCACTCCGAACATGCTTTGAGACAAAGAAAGAAACCGATACATACATGTCTATAGTTCGGCTGATGCGGTATCAAAACAGAACGCCTGAACCCAGGGGAAAAGGTGGCAAAAACGACGCGAAAACAGGAGTAGAGGAGAGGCGATCAAACAATGATCGCATGCATTAAAAGTACAGAATAAAGGAGAGGAGGTATTTTCAAGCCTCGTGTCGTCGTTCATTAACCTCTCGGGCCATACGCTTGCCAAGTTCGTATGTTGAAATCATGATCGCGCAGGCTGGCGCAACCTTAAGACATCGTGCTGACCAGCCGCGGAAGAGTCCAGCAGTGCCTTCCTCTCGGAAAATGTGCATGAGGAACTTGGGGAGTGATAGTTGCTCAGGAATAACGGCCTTGGGAATATTAGCAGATCGCTGACCATTACTAGGCACATGGTCCATGTGCAAATAGACTTGCTGTCGCGTCTTGCCAACATCAAATGGTGTAGTTACTAAAGCAGCCACAGACCCCGAGGCGGCACCAGCAATAAAGCTATCCAGGAATGCGGTCGCAGAAGAGGGAACTTCAGCCTCGATCGCTGTGACAGTTGTGTGTTGGCGTGCTGACTCCAGGCTGAGCTTTATCTTTTCATATCCCCACCAGTAGAGACCAGAAAACGGAACGTCACGCCACATCGTCAGCGACAGTCCACGCCAGAGAGACGCGTATCCGTTGACTTTAGTCATTTGGTGTAATCCCTGCAGAGTCGCTTTGAAATGTCCTGCGCCCGTTCCTGGGGTAGCCTGGAGGCGGGTGCGGAACATCTCGACAGGACTGGTAGCTGCTGCTGCCGTTGTCCGCGCGATGGCGCCTCCGACAAATGGCACATAAACATCTGGAATTGTTTTTCGCACGGGACTGTTCTCATCAAATCGTAACCAGTCATATCCGGCGAAATAAATAATGTTCGCGGGAATACCCATCATTAACGTCGGGCTAAGGCCTCGCCATAATGTGGACACTCCTTCATTCCTAGCAATCTTCCGTAACCCATCCAATGTTGATGTAAATGTCCGTCGCTGTGTCTCCTCAACCGCGCAGTCTATAGCTGGATGTGCCTGACTTCCAATAGAACTGCCTTGAGGGCCCAGCATACACATTTGCGCATTATCTCCAACCCAGAATACTTCCCGACAACAGGCGGTGATTCCAATATTCGGAGGGAGGTTCTTTAAGGATCGAGTAGTATGGGTGGTGTATTGTGAGGCCGCAGAAGGTTGTGGTTGAGATTGAGATTGTAGACGAACGCGCACGACATCGAGAGGTGTAACTGTGATCGTGGATTAGCTATGACTTCATTTCGAGGGTACTTGCCATCGGTCTCTCTAACTTACCGAGGAGCCCGGTCAAGATATTACCAGCCGAGGCAGAAATCATTCGCTGCCCGAGTGAAATATCGGTACTTGTAGTATGATTATTCCCAACCGAAGGAGTTGCAACGGCCCCTGTTGAAGTGGCCATCGTGGAAGTCTCCTCAAAACTGGACGTCCATGACGTCCCCGAGGAATCGATATCGGCAACGAATTCGCTCCCGGGAGTACCTGGAGGCTTGAAGGAGGAGCTCAAATTTAACTCGGTCGGCATTCAATTAGTAGGCACAGCCTAAGTAGACAAAATGTGTGATAAAAAGAGGGATGCGGCGCGAGATTGTTAAGAAAGATGCGTCACTCTCGGTCTAGAAGTTTTTCGGGGTTTTGCGGGAGGTGGCGGGCGGAGATAAGCTTCCCGGCTCTCTCTCTCTGTTACTTGATATTCACCGAGTTTTGAGGTTTCAAGCTTGAAAGAGGTCAACAAGTTCTAAAATCAATGGCGCATGTTATATTTATTGTATAGATTTCTTCTATTTCCCCCTCTTTTCTGTCTATCTGTCTTTCTGCCCCAGTGGACCCTCCAGGTGGGCTTATCAATCGCAATCGATCTCCGACACCGGACGCCCCTCATACCATGACAGACAATCCGGAGCTTGAATCGTTCCGTCGCCAGTGGCGCGAAGAGGTTTCTGGTCGATCTGAACCTAGAGGTACCCCTCAATCTGAGACTCGGGACCCGCACCCGACTCGATTCCTTCCAAGTCAACATGCGGCGTCTCACCGCAAGGACCTTGAAGAAGAGGGAGCCCCGCCGGCATCCTTTGATACCGAGGACCTTGCCCAACAGGTCGGGCAACTGAGTGTGGAACCAGAGAAGGCTCATGAAGAGGATGTGTTTACTCGAAAGGATCGTCATGAACCTAGCTCCGCCTTGGAACATTTTGAGCGGGCAGTGGAGAAGGAAGCAGCGGGCAAACTTGGTGATAGTCTACAGGACTACCGGAAAGCTTACCGGGTGAGTGTTTGTAGCATAAACCATCTTTTATCATATTTTGCTAACTGTTTTCCAGCTTGATGCTAGTGTAGACCAGACTTATCGCAACAAGCACTTTGCGCATGTGTGGAAGAAGCCTGCGCAGCCGGCGCCAAGCGGATCAGAGACAGTGCCTGTGCCGGTGCCAGCCCCTTCTCAAGTCGAGTTGTTGCCCATAAACGAATTGATCGAATCATTCGCCAATTCTCCTATCCCACAAGCGGAACCTGCTATTGAGAATACTCCACCACCGCCGTGCCCTATCGCGAATTTGCCGTCCGAGGTTATAGTGGAACTCCTACGACATATGAGCTTGCGCGACCCTGCCACTTTTGGTCGGATGGCCCTGGTTTGCAAGAGATTTGCATACTATTTTTTGCGGGAACAACACATTTGGAAAGGAATTTGTCAAAATCCCGAGTTTGGCTTTGCCGGGATGCACTATACATACGCCTGTGATCTCTATGGAAATCCTATCTATACCCTCAACTGCACAAGATACACACCATTTCCAAAGGGAGTCTCTTTGGAGATCCCCAAGCCGCTGGCTTCGTGGAGTCAAGTATTCCAGTCTTATCCACGAATCCGGTTTACTGGAATCTATATAAGCACAGTCAACTACACCAGGCCGGGTGCCCAGTCAACATATCAAACTGTGTCTTGGAACACCCCCATTCATATTGTGACTTATTATCGCTACTTGCGATTCTACCCCGATGGAACTGTGGTTTCTTTGCTCTCAACAACCGAGCCAGTAGATGTGGTGCCCCACATCAGCAAGGAAAACATTAAGACTGCTCGGGCTACCTCACACAAACAGCATCAGCGCCGGCTTTCCGAGCAAGGCCAGTCTTTGTCTGGTGCAGCTGATCCTATACCGCCTGTTGCGATGAACGCCCTTAAACATGGGCATCGTGGACGCTGGCGCCTGACATCCCCCGTGCCTCTTCCCGATGAGGAAAATCAAACTGCCGAAGGTCTTAACCAGACCCCGGAGTCTTCAGACCCACGGGATATTTTCATTGAAACCGAGGGCGTAGAATCGAAGTACACTTACCTTATGCACTTGTCCTTACGATCGACATCGGCATCCAAGTCTCAGTCGAACCAGTCCAAAAATACAAAATTGATTTGGAGAGGTTTTTGGAACTACAACAAGCTCACTGATGACCTGGGTGAGTTTGGTCTTCGCAATGACCGTGCCTATGTCTTTAGCCGTGTGCGAGGCTGGGGCCTTGAGAGCAAGTGATGATTTATGATCGATGCATATAACAACGCCAAATTAAAGAAATTTATGACTTAGAAATTTATATATGCAGGACCTGTCCAATATCAATTCAGTTTCATATTCACATCTCTCAAGTTAATTACATCATTTTGGTCCTAAGACTATTATATTCAAATCTTGTTCATATTTGTCCACCAGGATGTACTGTTATACCTAGAAAATGAGTATCAAAAGAACTAAGCACCACGCTCAGATAATACTCTCCGCAAAATCAAGGCCAAAGAATTCACAAACTCCAGTCCTAGCATATCAGCATGGCGACCTTCGCAAGAATGCACCGTCATGCCTTCCTTAGTCAATGCTTGCCACTTCCCAAGATAATGTCTAATCCAAACATCCTTCTTATCCGTGACTGTCAATAAAGGCTCTACTGCAAAGACATCCACAGGAGACTGCACTGTTCCAGCAGGCATCCACTTTCCAGCCGAACTACAAAAGCCATGCGTGATATCGGTAACATGGATCAGTTCAGCTCTCTCCAAGCCCAAAACCTTCACCCGCTGTGGATTCGCTTCACGAAGAACATAATCCAAAGCATAATCGGCAGGCTCATCTTTCAGCTCTGGCATCAACTCGATACATCTCCTCTCTGAGATCAACTCATAGAAATAGCCAATCATTACCAAGGCTTCGGTCCAAGTAAGATCGCCTACTAGCGGTGCAATATCCGGTGGACCGTCTAAGGCACCCAAAAAACGAACTTCAGCACCGGTACTTTCGAGTCGCTTGGCGATCTCGAATGCGATGCTACTTCCAAGTGAGTACCCAGCTATAGCGTAAGGACCCTCGGGCTGACTCTTCAGGAGTGCAGCAGTGTATTCATCCGCCATCTCGGTAAAACTGGTGAATAATGGTTCGCCAGGCTGAGTGCCACGAGCGCGGAATGCATATACGGGGCGGTCGTGGAATGCTCGTGCGAGGGCCGTGAAGATGAGAACATTTCCTGAAGCTGGATGAACGAGCCACAGCGGAGTCTTTGAGCCGTGTGGTTGGAGACAGACGACTGGGTTATATTCTGTATTGGTATCGCTCATCGAGGCGGAGATGCGTTGAGAGAGGCCAGAGATAGAGGGATCGGCAAGAAGTTCGGGAAGAGTAACGCGGGCGTTGAATGTATGGTGGAGGTCTTGAGTGACCGTGTAAAAGTCCAGGGAGGAGAGACCAAGCTGGAACAGATTGGTTGTAACGCTGACCTCGTTGGGGTCTACAGAGAGACGCTTGCAGACGATATCGAGAATGGTTTGCTCAATTTCAGAGGAGGGTGGTTGGCGATGAGCCTGACGGTATGCCTGAAGACGCGATACATGGAATTCGCGTTCTGGATCAAGTGTACCATTTTCAAAGAGACGTCTGAAATGAGCACGAGATAGTTTTCCCAAGGAAGTTTTCTCGAAGTGGCTGCGAGCAATGGGAAGAATCGCGGCAGGCTTGACGTGAACAACCAGACTGGCAATGCGCTCAATGGCATCATTGGCCTGTACCCTGGCATCGTCGTCATCATGGTCGTAGCTGGCGAGATACAGAACACAGTATGACTCGGTCACGGCTCCTGCAGGTCGGTGGGCGAAGACTAGCGTATAACTCGGTGTCACACCTGGAATAAGTGCTTGTTCGATGCTATGCTCAACCTCCACGGCGAATATGGTAAGACCATTGATTAGTAAAGTATCTTTGGTTCGCCCGGTAATGTACAACTGGCCACGTTCGTCTAGATAGGAGTTATCTCCTGTGATGAACCAGCCATCATCAGTGAAAGCTGAACGGGTAGCTACTGGGTCACGGTAGTATTCCCTGAACATAACGGCACCATACAGCTGTAGAGTACCTTCTTCGCCTGCCTTCGCCTCCTTTCCAGTGATATCGGAAATCACACGCATCTTCACCCCAGGGATGGGTAAACCACAAGTAAGAAATTCGCCGGGGGCATTATAAAGGTCATCGACGGTATGATCAATCACATCCCAAATCATACCGGCACAAGACTCGGTCAGTCCATAGCCAGCGCGGATGAAAGGTTGAGCTCCAAAAGGTTGGAGTGCGCGAGAGAGGTTTGCTGCCATCTGCCGCACTGTGGCTTCTCCACCAGAGAACACACAGCGGAGAGATGAGAGATCCCAGGATACTGACTCCTTGTCAAAATCTGCACAAGATACACGTTCGGATAATAGTGCCAGAAAGAAGTTGGGAGCAAAGCTCAGTGATACACGGTGCTGGTCAACCAAATCAAGGAAGCGAAGCGGATTCTTCAGTATCTCTTCGGTAGATACCTGGATTTGCTCTGCCCCCAGTCGCATGGCATGTAAATGCATCTCAACAAGATTGACCACATGGTCGAACGCAATCCAGCTCATAAACACATCCTGAGGTGTGGCACCACAATGTGCCGCCTTACCAGCCGCTGAAGCCAGCATTTGCGGTTGACGCAGACACACAGCCTTGGAGAAGCCCGTGCTGCCAGATGTCAGCATTAGAGCCCCGAGGTCATCTTCGCGCTGATTGCGTGTCAATGGTGGAATGGCCGAGTTTAAGGATGTGGCTTTATGCACAACATCGTCCATGCGATGCAATGCCTTGACTTCCACATCTTTAAAGGCGCATGCCATACGACCACTGGTAAGAATGATTGGTCCGTCAAGTAAGCGCAGAATATGTTCTGCTTGGGCAATTCGTCGCTCGTCGGATGAGGCAAACTTGGGCACAATGCAAGGCAAGTATCCCGCTGCTGTCACAGCCCAGAACCAGCGAATGTTCTCCTCATGCGTGTCAAAGTGTAATAAGAAAACACTATCCCGTTCTAGGTTATCACTCAGCCTTTGGATAATTCCTGCATCATTCAAAGCTTGATCCAGGAGGTCTTGGTAAGTTAGACGCTTCGATGTGACTTCAGAACCATTTGATTGATAAAATGTGATGCCAGCCGAGCTTTCTGCGGCTCTATAGAAAACCTCTAGCAGCGAGGTGGCCTCCGATGAGAGGTTTCCTATTTTATCAAGCTTCTCCAGGCCCTCAACGAGGCTTTGCCTTAGTTGGGGTTTCTCTAGGGAGGAAAAAGCGATAGTAGGAGAAGGAACAACCGGAGCAAGCATAATGGAGTGCTAATTGTTTCTGATCTGCAGAGAGAGGCAAATGAGAAGTTGAAACGACCTCTTGAATTCTTCCTAAATTTATGTTTTCTAAATAATTTCCATTTTCTTTCACTTGTTCAACACGCGGAACGATTGAACCGAGTCCTGACCCGTGAAGTGTTCCAATGGCACATGTGCATCACTAGGCCAGGGCTGGACTCAACACTAGTACGATATTTGTGTTTGTCGCTGCAACCTACCTTCTTCCGGCGCTGCGATCAACATATTCAATGTAATGGATTCAGCATATGGGGCCAGAAAATAAGCACCATAGTCTTTTAGCCCCCAATGCTTATCCTTTACCGAACCAACCAACTATTTTCGCCCCCAAATCTACTTCTCGGTATTTCATTAGTGGCGGATTTTGATCCCATTGTGGATAGTCTCTCCGTGAAGAACCCATATACAAAGTGTGTATATGGAATTGTGCTAGGATGAGTTATCACGATGGGTACATAACGGATGAGGCATTTCCCGGCTCACGCCCATGGAGCCATGATCAAATTTCATTTGTCAACTGTTGCAGCATAAAACCAGTCTATATCCAAGGGATTTGGATAGCTTTTAGCAAAACAAGATGGCCTCATCACAAATTGACCATCTAGTGAGCACTATCACCAAATCGGCTCAAGAGTTGCGCACTCTTTTGGCTCAACATGAACTCAAGGAACCCTCATTTTTGTCGGACTGCCCGACGTCAATTGATTTCCCTCCAGCAGCAGATGATGCTCGAAATAATCTACTGAATGCAGTCTGTGAGATTCAAGATCTTCTTCTTGAGCCAGCAGATCTTCTCCGATCATATGCCGCGGTAGGTCGACTTGTCAACTCTCTAATTGACCCCGGAGACCATCTAATTTCTCAGTAGCATGCGAATCTCGTATCACTGCATTTTATTCAGCAGTTTAACATTGCCAAACTTGTGCCCACCTCCGGCGAGCCCGTCACCTTTGCAGGACTGGCTGAACAATGTGGACTACCTGAAGGGGATGTCCGGCGCCTGCTGCGCCATGCAATGACGATTCGCGTATTTGACGAGCCCAATGAAAATGAGGTGGTTCACACTAGAGCCAGCATGCTTCTCCGCCAAGAAGGTATTCATGGTTGGATTGGATCAACTTGCGAAAATAGTTGGCCTGGCGCAACTAGGGTGAGTCACTGAGTGTAACTTCCAGGGCTGTCAAACGCCTCACAAACAACAAACCACAAACTCATAATTTCCCCCCCAATCTATAGACAATTGAATCTTTGAAACGATTTCCAGGTTCCTCGGATCCGACAAAATCAGTGAGTTCTGAAACCGAATCCTTCTGCCCCTTCAGCCACTAATTCACTCATCAAAATGAACAGGGGTTCGCTCTCGCAAACAACAACCTCACTCTCTATAGCGCCCTTTCTCAATCCCCCGAGAGAGCAGCTACTTTTGCCGCTAGCAAAAGGGGTTATTCCTCCGGCTCCGGCTTCAGCCCCTCCTCTTTCCTTGAAGCGTCCCGGCCAATCCTCCAGCCTCTCCCGTCGGGCTCCGTCTTTGTGGATGTTGGTGGCGCGCATGGGGCAATTTCCTTGGCGGCGGCCGAAATTTATCCACATTTGCACTATGTCGTCCAGGAGCTGCCTGAAGTGATTGAGAAAGCATCACAAAATGCAATGAAGAATGTAGAATTCCAGGTTCACGATTTCTTCGCTCTGCAGCCACTTCGTGATGTCGCCGTGTTCTATCTACGACATGTACTACATAACTGGGGTGATGTCCATGCGATCAATATTCTGAAGTGCTTGGTACCTGGGATGCGACAGGGCACGCGCGTGCTGATTCATGATCATGTTCTGGATCACAAAAACAAGCCGATGTGGAAGAGAAGACAGGATACGGCAATGGATATTAATATGTTGGTTTTGTTGAATGCTCGGGAAAGGGATGAGGCTATGTGGCGGGCGTTGCTGCAGAGCGCAGATCCGCGCTTCAAATGGGTTGGAATAGAGAGACCAGCTGGAGATACACTGTCAGTGGTGCAGGCTATTTGGGATGATTCAAATGTCTGAAATACTACTGGTAGTGGAAGGAGTCTTAGAATGAGCATATTCAAACGTCTATAGAAATATTCTAGTAATTTTAATCTTTAAATTTGAGCGTCTACCTATTCCAACTTCACACTGGCAGTGAATAACCCTGAAAAGCTCAGGACAATCTCCTAATCTGGAAGCGTAGCCGAATGAATTCCAGCTCTTCGGGCCATCCATGTAAATCATGACTAGGGAAATAAGACTCAGTCGCCTGGACGTCGACTTGAATGCCCATTTCCTCAGCGGCGATAACCCAAAGCTTCTTCCAAGTTCCTGGGGTATGGAAAAAAGCAGTCTTATTTACATGGGGAAAAGCGACGTTTTTGGCTCTCTTAGTACCAACCTGAGTGCCTAAAATAGTAGATCCAGGTTGATCACTGAGCAATCCGAGGGTGATTTTAGCAACTTCAATAGTTTTCGCCCATGGAAAAACGTGAAAGAAGTTGCTGGCATGAATCACACTGAATCGACCTTTGAACTCTGACCTAAGGGTTGATTGGCTGTCAAAAATATCACTTGTAATGAATCTGACACCGAGCTTTTCCTCATCCAGGAATAGCTTATATCCCATGTTCATGAGATCGATAGATAGGTCGGCACCGAAGACATTTTCTGCTGGTGCTCCATCAAGGACCTAAGTCCATATTTGTCAGTAATGAATTAGGAATTTGTCTTTTTTCTTTAACTCATTTTAGAAAAGATCATCGTTTCACTAACCAGCTGCCGAATCTCTTGTGCGAAACAGCACCCTAGGTCCAAAAATAGGCCTCCTTCCTTGATCGACTGAAGGATTTCAGGATAAGAGTCGAACCCCAACATGTGGATGTCAAGAAATTGATAGAGACCAATTGATGGCCATGGATACTATAACAACTCCATTAACATCTCGCACATATTCTTCAGGAAATCGATCGACCACTTACCACTTCATACGCGCGGTCCCTCTAAATTCACAGTCAGCAATGAACCCCACTGGGAACTTAGAAAACAGGCTGGAAGAGACCTACCACATCATTCACATGCTGAACTACATCAGCGGAAGGAATCTGACTCCATTTCTCCAGGACTTCCCGAGCAGGATCCGGGATCTCAGAGAGGGGTTCGCAAATTGTCTTAGCATTCATGACTCCTGGTGGCGCCTCAACGGGGCCATCCTCCTGAGAGTATCCTTGAGCCATATTCAATGTTGTTAGTAGTGTATAGTTCTGCTGGAAGATTGAGGGGGCCACTGTATGATCCAAATAAGGGGGCCGTTGTTTCAATAAATGTTTATTGAACAGGCTATTCGACCATGTAACAGTTCAACTTGTTTCCATGTTTCTTTGTTTCTTTGTGGGGGCTTTGGAGTGGAGTCGATGTGCAAGTGCTAGTCAAAATAGCGGGTGTGGCTGGCTTGGCTGATTGGTGCTGATAACAAGCACTAAGTGAGAATTGAGACCATGGACCACGCCACGATGAAATTAGTCTGGCTTACTTGCATGAAAAGCAGCGCTAAGCATTGGAGTGGAAAGCTTTTACGCGAATTCCGCGACCTGGATTTTGCCTAAACGACTAAAGGCAAGAGAAAACTTGGAATTTGGCCCCGTCAGGATATTAGTCTGTGGACACTTTCTATAAAGGGGATTAATCTCGAAATGAAGCTTTATCCCGTGCTCTATTCATGCATTTATCATTTAATGCATGTTTTCTTCAGAAATTATGGATTATAGCCCCCAAGGTCAATATGCGAGGTTGCATGTGGGGCCCAAGAGCCAATTTCATTGCAATTTGCAGAAATTTGTGCAAATCCTTCGCATTAAAGTAGCCTGTAAGCTTCATCAAATATGATCCTTCAGGAGTTAGTGCTATACGTGTTGTTTACTAAGTAAATACGGAGTGGTCCTCAGAAGACTGACTCGGCGTCATGCGATGGAAACTTTTAGCTTTGAATATCAATGAGCCCCTGGCCCCCAACTTGGAGAGGCAACATCCTAATATAGAGAAGAAGGATGTAGAGTTTGATTCCAGTGGAACTGCAGAAAGAGATGTAGAATTGGCCCCAGTGATTATCAGAATACTTACAGCTAAATGCCGCAATCACCTTCGAAATTGAATTTCAATTTCCCTTACCCTTGTCGTGCACGACAATCATGACTTCTCTTACCTCAACAGAACTGGAAGAATGGCCGCAGAGCAGACAGTCAGCAATCTATGGCGTCTGCGGTGTGATGATGCTGCTTGGAAATGTATCTGTCCCGATGCGCATCTGGGCCCAGTGGAAAGTTCATAGGAAGACTTTCATGGAGGATTATTTTCTCGTTGCAGCGTTGGTATGCTATAAGTCCCTTCAATTTATGCTCATCCTTGCTACTCATCAGCCATACTAATATGATGTCACTAGTTGTTTGCCAATGTTGGAACCATCGCAACAATAATTGCAGGGACTAAAGGCTTAGGTATTCATACCTTCCGCATAGTAGCCCAAGACCCGTCATATAAGGACCTCGTCTCAGTATTTGCTGTGAGTGAAACGAATTGAAATAACAACTTCCACCCTCCACTCTCCTTATTCCATGATGCTAATGAATCGCGGCTTCTCAGAGTGTCTGGGTAACTGCTCTCTTCAACGGACCATCGATCTTCGCAACAAAAGTCGCCCTTTTGACTTATTATCGTCGCCTATTTATCGTGAATCAGACATGGCTTAAAGTCACTTGGTGGATCAACCTGGTCTTTGCCACACTTTTGTGTCTAGGTACCATCCTGTTCTATATCCTGCAATGCTCGCCTGTCAACTGGTACTGGGAAAGAGTCAATGCGTATACCAATGAGACCGGTACTTGCGTCCAACCTTTAGGCGACATTGGTGCTCCCTTGGTCTTGAGTATGGTTTCAGACCTTGCTATTCTGCTCTTGCCGATCATAACGGTCATCACCCTGCAAATGGATATAAAGCGCAAGCTTGGACTCACAGCAGTCTTCTCAGTGGGTTTCGTGTAAGTCATATCTTGAAGACAGACATTCACACAGCCTGCTAAGGATTCACATGTGAGACTAACAAACTTCTTAGGTCCTTCGGATGTTCTTTGGCTCGAGTCACCGTCTTATTGGCGGGAACGGAAATGGCAGACGATGACACATGGACTCTCACAGCATTTGAGATACTGAGTGTAGTCGAGCTCACCTGTGCCATCCTCTGTGCCTCTGCCGTCCCGATCTTCTCATATTTCCGGCTGCTTCTACGTGGAAGAAGGGAGGAAAGTACTGGTAGCCATGACGGATACGGCTTTAAAGACATATCCGCCTCACGCCTGAAGAAAGATCGTGGAAGCTGGTTGGCCTCGTCAAGTTCTGAGCATCTTCGTGAGGAATATGCTTCAAACTCGAAGGATCCTGCAATTCCATGATCCGAATGTATACTTTTTCATACTATCTGGGCGAGGGGCGTTCTCTATCTATTTTATAACATGATGTTGTCCATGAATTGGGGATTGGATTACTTCATGATGATTTATGCCACAGGAAATAAACACAGGCAGGTACTTTGGACTTATGTACGATCGGACTTTTAATTAATTGATGCTATTTAAATCTATCATGTCATTCCAATAAGATCAATAAATACAAATATTTCTTAAACAATTATCATCATGATTGATGTCCAACCGCAAGGCTGCCCAGGTGGGAAAGGGAACCCGATTTCCTCCTCAAAATACTATTTCCTGCTGCTGAGAACCAATTCTTCTCATGAGATCCAACCAAGTAACACTCTGTCCATAGGTCACACACTTCTCTTCCCATATTTCCTCAACTGAACCAAGTGTCTGACTAAAACAAGAAAGACCACTCCGCCTCGCTGAGGTCTCAAACCAGGTAGCGAAAGACTTCTGCACCTCGGGATCCTCCGCTTCACATGCCGCAATGAACGCAGGCCATATAAAGCTTGCGGATCCATGGACAACGCTTGAATCAACGCACTGACACTGCAGCAGGCAATCGCGAACCTTAACCACCTTTTCTTGCAGCATAGACGCACTTAGGTTATAGATGCGTCGGTAAAAGTAAATGGCTAGTGCATGTCGCATCGCCTCAAGCATGTTCTCCAAAATATGCCGATCAATCGAGGACTGCTGAGTTGTAGAAGAGAAGGCCATTTCACTCGGTCGTTGGAGTTGATTGATATAATCCTCCAGCGCCTTCGCCCGACTGATATAGTCTCTTAGATTCAGGCCGCTGCCGTTCGGGTCTTGCTCGGCACCATCCTTTTCGACTGCAAGTCGTATCACTAGAGAAAGAAGCAGAATCCAAGGCTCGGGAACTCCGAAAATCTCTGGGTAAAGGGTAGCTGAAAATAATCCTGGCCGTTCAAGGTGCAGATCATTCTCTCCTTCTTCCCGATCTCGTACTCGTAGCATCTCCTGTTGTAGATTTTGCCATTTGTATAGACGGAAAGAAAGACCATCGACGCTACACCGAGAAAGACCACTGGACTCAATCGCTCGACGGACATGACGACGCTGAATTGAGTTGGCACCACATACGAAGATGCTCTCGTGGAACATACGCTCGAAGACATAACAGTGATGTAGAAGACGGACTTTGCGAGATTTCTTTCGCTTCAACCCTCTTAAGCGGATGAATTTCTCAGCTTCTAGGAAATATTCCTCTGCTTGGTGTCGGTTTCCCGAAAAGTTAGACACTTGTACCATCGTCAGGATTGCCATCAATATTGACTTGTATTTTGCTGGTTTTGGAATATCATAGGCGGTTATAAGCATTGACCTTGCGTGGCTGTGAGCACGTTGGAGATATGTCTGCCCTTGGTCCAGCCAATTTTCAGATTGAGACATTCCGCCCAAACTGAAAGCACTGATAGCTAAGGTACCGAAGAAAGCACACAGACTCGCGTGGCTCAGGTCTTCACCAAGTGCTAGGGCTGCGAGACAGTCCTTAATATGTGGAATAAATAGGATATGCCAGGGTGTCTTCTTGTGCCGTACTGGGGTCATGAGACTTATGACTGTTGACGAGTAATGTTTTAGAAGGAAAACGGCATCCTGGGGAATGGACTTGGTAATGTTAGAGGAGGTTAAGGAGGAAACTGGAGAATATGTGGTCGGGATAAATGTAGTGAGCTGATAGTCGTGTGGCGGCATTGTCATACTAGGAGTTTCCAAATGACTTTGATCCATTATCATGTCAAGCAAGTTTGGAGTTGTTGGACTGAGATCTTGATCAGGCTGTTCAAGAAGTGATTGCATGAACTCGGGAGACCACTGAGCAAAGTTCGAAGCTATCGGAATTGTTTCCAAAATTTGGGAGATGTTTTGCGGAGGGCTACTTGTAGTAGTATCTTCAGATTCCTCTACCGGTGGGAGGGATTCACTTGCCAGGGGTGATGAACACTCATCTTGACCTTGCCGCACTTTGAAAACTCCAAAGGGACCAAATACAAGTCCCATTTCATCTGATCCCGAGGAACGTTTTTCACTCTCTTCATCGATGAGCGAGAGTAATCTGGCTGTTGACTTTGGTGGGGCAGTTGATACCAGCCATTCACTCATTCGTTGTCGCTCTTCCTCAGTCAAAAGAGGTCGGCGAAAGCGAATTTGACTGTCTGGATTTTTACTGTCAAAGAATACATCCTTCTTGTATCCAGCGCATGGCAGATCGAAGTATGCACACATGGAACATGTTGGGCGTCCCTCGTCGCATTTGACGTGACGACTCCGACACTGCTCAGATCAGTCAAGTCATGCGTTCAGAGCAAAGAAGTACATACTGTTGCACATCCTGTGGAAGATCGTGTATGCGCGCCGGTGTCTCTGCGTGCAGAGGTACGTGTCACCATAATGAGTGCAGACAGCTCACATTGAGAGAGTTGGTTATAGGTCGGGTGAAGTCCGATGATTTGCCGGGAATGATAATGAAGGTGGAGTCAGATAGCGAACACTTGCCCGTTCAAGTTGGAGCCGCGGATACCTTCCTATCTGATTTATGCTTATCAAAATGTTAGTATTCATCGATTTCCTCATCCATTTCATCGATTTCTACGTAATGGGGAAAATCTATTTAATAATCATGGATGTCTACAAGATTATGGGATTTCCTATCTCTCCTCTCGTCACATAACCGCAAATTGAAGATTTTCAGCTTTCAAATCCGATAAAAATGGCATCTTTTGAGGGCAAAGTGGTAAGTATGAATAATTATGTATGAGAGTATATCTTGCTGAATATTCGATCTTTCAGATTGCTATCACCGGTGCAGCCTCAGGCATGGGGCTTGCTACTGCAAAATTACTAGCTTCTCGTGGTGCAATCATATCCTTGGCGGATATTAACGAAGCCGCTGTCAAGAACGCCCAAGAATCTTTGCCTGGACAAAATCACATTTACACTGTTGTTGATATACGACACAGCCAGAATGTTGATGCATGGATCGACTCTACTGTTGAGAAGCTGGGCAAACTCGATGGCGCAGTGAACATGGCAGGAATTATTAGCCCAGCCCAGCCTATCACCGAGATTAGTGATGAAACTTGGGATTTCATCTTCGCAGTTAACACGCGGGGTGTGTTTTTCTGTCTGAGAGCACAGCTTAGAGCCATGAAAGCAGGTGCTAGTATTGTAAGTATCTCAGCTCAAACTTCAAGAATACTGTTAAACATCACCAGGTTTCTGCTGCAAGCACCTTTGGACAGATGGGAGCACCCGGTGTCTCGCCATATTGTGCTAGCAAAGCTGCCGTCATTGGGTTATCTAGGACTGCAGCAAAAGAAAACCAGAAAATTCGAGTGAATTGCGTTGCACCAGGTGAGATCAAGATAGCATCTGCATCGTGTTTCCCGACTCAAGACACAGGCTGATTGAAATATACAGGCTCTGTCAATACACCCATGTCCCAGGGGAGGATGCCGAGGATGTTAAGCGTGGTCTTCAAGCCACTGCCCAGAAGCGACATGCGGAGCCAATCGAAGTGGCCAATGTAATTGCCTTTTTACTGAGCGATGAAGCATCATTTGTGACTGGGGCAGTTTACAATGTGGACGGAGGATGGATCTGCTAGATATAGTATTTTGTATTCCGGGGTCTATGGAATTTGAATCTCTCTATAAATACTACTTGAGATGTCAGGTACCATCCCGGAGGTTCCCAAATGATAGATTAGACAAAGAGCGAATTCCTCCAGATCATGATGTCGATTAGATGCTAAAATATAGAGAGCTTTTCTTGAAATTATTTTGGCCTATCACATGTGCAAATATGATTTATCAGACTATTGATTGCTCGGAACGACCTTCCACATATGCATCTTGCAAACTTGAAGAACTTGACCGAACTAAAAAAAAGTAAAGAATTTCGAATAGTTGACATGGACGTGCACATGTGCCACCAGATATGCCCAGGTCTATGATAGAGAGCTCATCACATAATGACTCGGAGTCTCCAGTCTATCTACCAGTTGACGAGTAGGTAGGGAATATAATAATATTGAAATGCAGCACCCACATCTCTCTTCAAGTTTGAGTATCATCATGATGGCGTGTTTGGTGTGTTTGGTTTGGTAGGTGATACTAGTACTAGTACATCGACACCATGCATCTTGCTTGCATGACCAAGTCATTGAATTTGGGATTTCCCCTCACCTTCTGGCCTGCTGATACTACTGGTTCTGCATGCATATGCAAACTGCCTCTTTTGATAATTGTGTTGACACATTGCTGAGTGTAAGATAAGAAGGTTGTTTTGTTTAGGCAAGCCTCCGCGACAGCCCCACTGCGGAGAGTGTATAGAGTCACGGACTCACGGTGTTGTACAGTCTACTTATTCCCAGACAAGTCCTCTAGAACCAAAGAACACATCCAAAATCATTTTTCTATTTGAAAATATCAAAACCTCAATTACTCTCAACCCTTCTCCTGAGAAATATCTGCAATGGACGTCCCCGGCATCGCGTTGATCACAGGTGCCGCATCGGGTATTGGGCGAGCATGCGCTCTTGCATTCGCCAGCGAAGGAGCTTCGGGTCTTGCTCTCCTCGATTTGAATCAAGAAGCTCTGGATGCCATTAAATCCGAGATCGAAGCAAGCCAAAAGCAAAAGGGCTTGGCCACTCCCACACGTATCGAACTCTTCCCTTCCAACATCGCCGATGAATCTCGAGTCAACGAAGTTGTCGAAACAGTCGCGAAAACTTTCGGTCGACTTGACTATGTCGTCAATGCTGCTGGCATTGCCATGAAGCACCCCGGCGGAGCTGCTTTCTGTGAAACCAGTGACTGGGAGCGGATTTTGAACATCAATCTTACAGGGACGTTCTTCGTCCTCCGCGCTGCAGCCAGGATTATGCTCGAGCAAGAGCCTATAAAGTCTAGTATTGATGGGAGACCCTTGCAACGCGGCTCTATTATCAACTTTTCTTCAATTCAAGGAGTCGTTGGCATTCCCCTTTCCACGGCCTACACTGCGAGTAAACACGCGGTCATTGGTCTGACGAAGACTGCTTCGGATGATTATGCAAGCAAGGGATTGCGCATCAATGCTATTTGTCCCGGATACACGGAGACACCACTCACCACCAAATCCCCGCAGATTCTGCAGGCTATGATGGAGCGAATTGGCACCGCGGTGCCCATGGAGAGGATGGGGAGACCAGAGGAAATTGCGGATGGAGTACTATATCTCGCAGGCGGACGCAGCTCTTTTGTTACAGGGTCTTCATTGATGGTGGACGGTGGCTATACTGCGCGTTAGGCTTTAAATTCTCAGTTGTTAAATTATTCAGAATTATTCAGTTTCTATGATTCATTTAAATACTGAAACTCCGAGTCTGTAATAGATGTGATCTTTTGTATGACATCATGAGAGATAAATCATCTCATCTTCCTTTCGATGCCGAACCAATCATCTTATTTCTATAGAACATCAGATAAGTTGACTCCTCCTTATCTTGTGCTTTAATAAGTACATTCCCACCTTCTCTCGTAGCTTGGGACCAAATATGAGCAGGCCACTAGTGGGTAGTTTCACATCCTACTACTTTAACCACATTCTTCGCGCCCGAGGATCCTCTAAAGCACGACATTTTACCCTCATTTTCACCAGAGGCCATAGAAAATACTTATCACATAAAGCCTTAAGGCTTCCAAGACACGACATACCTCAGTTATCTCCCCGCACCAGAATATTTCCCCATCTGAACAAAGCAACCATGAGCAGTCAACGCACACCCATTGAACCACAGCGTGTCGACGCTCCATTAACGCAATCCGCAACATTCCTTGTTGTAACAGCAACCAAGAAGCCCGATTCAATTCAAACTATCAGATCCACACTCGCAGGGTTAGACAGTCTCGCCAAAAACGTCTCTATTCGCGACTTGAGTGCCCAATTCGCCTGTACAGTCGGCATCGGCAGCGATATATGGGATAATCTAACCAAACTTCCTCGACCAGCCGAGCTGCATCCTTTCCGCGAAGTCAAAGGTGCCAAACACACAGCCGTTTCAACACCAGGCGACCTACTCTTTCATATTCGCGCCGAGCGCCGCGATATCTGCTTTGAGTTTGAGCGTCAGCTCATGGACCAACTAGGCGATTCTGTGTCAGTCATCGATGAGACGATTGGATTCCGCTACTTTGATGTTCGCGATCTTCTTGGTTTCGTAGATGGTACCGCCAACCCGGTTGGACCGTCTGTACCCTCTTCCGTGCTTGTAGCGGAGGAGGACACGGCTGCGTCGGGTGGAAGCTATATCGTTGTTCAGAAATATGCGCATGATATTGCGGCTTGGAAAGGTCTACCTGTGGAACAACAGGAGAAGATTATCGGACGCACGAAGTTTGATAATGTTGAACTTGATGATGCTGTTTCTGGACAGCGGTCTCACAAGACCCTTAATACTATCGAGGATGAGCAGGGTGATGAGCATGATATTCTGCGCGACAATATGCCATTTGGGTCTCCTGGATCTGGAGAGTTCGGAACCTATTTCATTGGATATACTCGTCGATTGTGGGTCATTGAAAAGATGCTAGAGCGGATGTTTCTTGGGGATCCCCCGGGACTGCATGATCGGTTGCTGGATTTCTCGACTCCTTTGACAGGGACGACGTTCTTTGCTCCATCTGCTAGTCTGCTCGCAAGTCTAGACTCCGATTGAGATATGGAGGTTCGAGTTTGAATGATTCACCTATCATATAGCCCTTCAATAACTCCAAAATCAGTATATATGGCAAAAGCTGTTACCAGCTGAGCGAGATATTTGCCAGTGGACTCAGATGTATAAAATTATGATTGAATTTCAAGGCAAGATGCAAGTTTGTTCTTCCAGATGTCTGCTATGATGTTCCGCAATATGTAAACGTATAATATGATATGATATAACAAGGCCACCAAATAACTCCAAGGTTCAATGAATAATGCACAAAATTATGTCTCGCCCCAGGCACCGAGTCCAGCTCCGACGCCAATGACGCTGCTACTATCAACACTGCCGCCAAGGTCCCAGTAGTTGCGGCTCGATCCAGTAAGAGTTCGACGACTAGAGATAGCCGAGAGCTTAGCACTTTGGCTTGCGCAGCTCGAACTAGGTCGACGAAGATGGGGACGAAGTAAAGGTGATGAAACGCCCACAGGACCTGTAACTCCAGAGAGCTGAGACGCACGGCGAGCCTGAGCCTGGGATCTGGAGTGAGCTCGAGCAACAAGGGGGTGGTGCTGGCGGATCATAGCAGCTCGACGGGAAGCATCTTGTGTGTGGCGGGGAGAAGGGGTTGAGGAATGCTTGTCAGCTGGCATGCACCCTCGGCGACCGAAACGGGTGCGAAGATAACGGAAAACCATCATAACATCCAGTCCGCGTTCCCAGTATTCTTGTTCGGACTGCAGCCGGGCGGATTCAGAGACTGGGTCTCCTCCACTGGCAGTAGGTTCATCCTCTTCAATGCCCCATTGAGCTTCATGCTCTCGATTCGCGTCTTGGAGGGTTGGTTTAAATTGTGGTGATGGTATGGAATCGTCAATCGTAGTATTTACAGACGTTGAGTCCGTGTTCTCGGTCTCTTTTTGAGTAATATTACTCTCCGCTAGGAGATTTAAAGACATACCCGCATATTCACCGGATATATCCTTGGTCATTTGATAGTAAGTCGTGAAAGCGCCCGGGTGCTCACAGAATTGATGCACCAAGATTCCAAGCTCGTGAGCGATCCGTTGAAGGACGCGGCTCTGCCAAATGGGCGGATCTGAGTGCTCCGGCTCCAGCGCTCGGGCTAGAACGGTTTCCATATCAAGGTCTTCAAAATTCTTTGGTGTGGATGGCTCGTCCAGCAAGGATTCACCAAATATAACAGAGAGTAAGGAATCGTCAATTCCAATCAAATCTCGAATCACCTTCCGAGTAATACGTTGCCAGAACGACTCATCAGTCTCTGGATCTTCCTCAGATTTGATCGCTGGCTCAGGTAGTGTTCCAGTGATGCGAGCGGGAGAAATCTGATCAATCGCATCAGAGTCAGAGACACCAGAACGACTAATACGACTACCGCGTCGCCGTCGAGTCTGACGCTCGATATCTTGTAAAAGCGCTCGACTTTGATCCATCCTCCACTCTTCGATCCGCTGCCAGCGATCCCGTTCGACATCTGCCTCGCCTTCATTCACTGTATCCAAATGATGCAGGACGCTTGAGCGTCGGCGGTGTTGGGTCGAAGCATAGGGTCGCCGTTGCGGGTTATATTGCTCGTGCTGCCAGATCTGCTCCTGCGCCAGCTGGCTGGATGCTTGAAAGCTACCTAAGCCATCATGGGCGGGTAGTATAGCAGCAGTTTCCTGATCGAGACGTGCAGGTGGAGCGGAGGGCAGTGATGGGGCGCGAAAAGCATGCAGCCCATCATCTAAGCTATCTAGCTCAGTGCCATCATCGTCCAACTGGTCCTCTAGTACATCCTCATCCACAGCCTGACCTTCAGGACCGGCTGTAGATCGGATCGCAGTACCAAAGGAACCAAAGTCACTTAGTCGAGAGGCTCCGGCTGTACGAGTACGATCGGTAGAGCTTGTGTGGGTATCGGCGGTCGGAGAAAACAGTACCCATTGTGTTGTATCGTCGGTTTGCTGTTCTGGAGTGGGAGTAGGGATATCGAGGGGAGGAGGGGCTTGTGGGGAGGAGTACGAGGTTCTTCTCCGTGGAACCTGGGCTGGGACACGGAAGGCCATGGTAATGACTGGGGTAGTAGATCGGGCAGCTGGACTAGATAAGCCTTCCTAGGCTATGGATAAATAGGACTGGATCTTCTCCGCAACGAAAAGACCGCTTTTGCGGTCGGAAGCGGAGATTCCGTTTAAATATGAAAAGAAATTCCGAAAATTTTGAGGGGTTTAGAAGGTAGAAACAAAGAATAAAGCGTAGTAAACGTGGCAGGCGTGATGTTGGGGGATGATGATGCGTTGATAACGATAAGGCGGTGGGGATGATCCAAGTAGCGGTATCGGACTAGTATACTTCGAGTCAAGAGGGAAGATCAGACGTGTAAACAGTACAAAGTGTTTGATATCTTCTTAATGAGAGAAATAATGAGAGGTATAAAAATAAACATCCAGAGAGGTGGATAAAGTGAGATTCTCAGCTCAGACGACTCGATAGCTCGCGTGTGATTGCCCGAGTCTAGTGCATAACATGAGTGCTCAGATTTCCCCCTGGCTACATGTGCTGTGTACACCGAAAAGATAGATTACCAGGCCTAAGAGTACGGAATACGGAGGAAAACACCGTGGCATAGGTCACCAAGCGTTTAATGTGGAGTTTGTGGCAAAACATGTCCAGTGGCTCGACCAACGGGGTAAATGCAAGGATGCGCTGATCGCCCACCTGTAAACCGGATCACCGATGCATGTTTGAAGTGCGCTGCAACCTGTACAAAGTTTTGAACAGGAAAACTTGACATGTATGATCTTCGCTGAATTTTTGAAGGGTATATACGAGACATAATATGGCATGACGTCTTCTGGCATCTAAGGAAACCAACCAAACACACTCATTGTCCAGCAAGGGCCTCACCAACCCAGTCCATCTGTACTGCGCTTACACCCCGCGCATAGCTCCGGTTGGTGAAAACAAACTCATTATACATGATAGCTTCGACCTTCTTGCCGAATAAAACGCTGGAGGGGTGAATCGCAACGGTCTGGTTACCAACCACCGTACGGTAGCTACCATCGGGGACCAGTCGAGCAGTGTTAGTCGCAAAGCCACGTAAGAAGCTCTGCAAGATGGGCACAGGTGCAGGATCATGATATTGGTCCTGTCGGTCATCACGGGGCAAGAGTTTTGATTGGCGACACTGAGTGCGCAGTTGTTTCCGAACATCCTAAAAAAAAAGAAGAAAAAGAGAGTCACAATTAGTGTTGGTGCACTATGCATGTCATCGAGATCGGAAACTTACCATCACTGACTGCATCGCCCGATGAGACACCAAGTGCCGCTCAGCCCACACTTTTCGATCGGCATTCTCACCGGCGTAGGCCCGCACTGTCATCAACAATGTCAGATGATCGCCCTCGCGGCGGTAAAGCTCCCGCCGGGCCGCCTCTGCAGCTTCCTTCTTCTCCTCAGATGAGGTGTTAAGGAAGATATTCTCCACGCTAAAACAGGAGATGATGTCGATCACATCAATCAAACATTCCTTTCCATGTTCAGAAGCTGCCAACAGAACTCGTCCAAGTGTGGGTGTCAATGGCAGCTTGGCAATATGTAGGCCGACATCGCTGATGCCTCCATCGTCTCCAAGCGCATCTATGTTCAATAGTTGAAGCAAAGCTTTTTCTAACGCCTCACGAGGAGGACGGGTCAAGAATGGGAATCGCACAATATCATCAACACCGCGAGCCTTCATGTTGAGGAGTGCCTGACTCAAATCACATCGTAAAATCTCAGGAGTGTTGGTTTCGTCGAGAGTCAGATAATCCTGTTCGGTATATAGACGGTAGCATTGACCAGGGGCTTCACGACCAGCACGACCCTTTCGCTGAATGGCCGCTGACTTTGAAATAGGCTTCACAAGCAAGGAGTCCAGACCAAGTCGTGTACGGAACTGCTTGATTTTGGCCTTACCACAATCCACCACGTGGCGTACTCCGGCGACTGTCACTGATGTTTCAGCAATATTAGTCGACAGAATCACCTTGCGAGTGCGAAATGGTGCTGGTGCAAACACGCGCTGCTGGGCAGCCTGGGGAAGAGCAGCAAACAGCGGGAGGACTTGAATCCGGGGTAAAGAGGGATCCATCCCAACGGCGTACTCATTAACCAGGTTTTCCAAGGCCTCTACTGTTTCCTGACCAGTCAAGAAGACGAGAATATCACCAGGCAATGGCTCCTTGTAGTGAATTTGGAAAATGATCTTGAGAGCGGCATCCACAAAGTCATGCACGGGCTCCGGCGCGTAGATAGTTTTGACAGGGAACTGTCGGCCCTTGATATGACAGACTGAGATATCTTTGGTGACATCTTTACTCTCGGTCGCCCCATTTGTGTCGCCGTTTTGGATTTGAGGCTGGGCTTTAAAACCCTCTTGGAAAAATCCAAGCAGACTCTCCATATCCGCTGTAGCACTCATGACTACAACTTTCAATGGGATACCTCCTCGTCCCTCGCGCTTGCCAGAGACTAGATTCCGTAGAAATCCAGTAACCAAGTCAACGTTGATACCTCGTTCGTGCACCTCATCTACCACAATGGCACTGTACTTTGTGAGCCATGGGTCGTGCAACATCTCCTGTAACAACATTCCTTCAGTCAAGAATTTGACTCTTGTACTCGGCGAGGTCGATGTATCGAATCGAACCGAATAACCAACTTTGCTAGCTGGCGACGATGATCCAAGGGGTGTTCCCATCTCTTCGGCGACACGACGGGCAAGGGAAATGGCAGCCACTCGTCGAGGCTGGGTAATCGCGATGCAGCCGCCCACATTGATGGACTTGGATGAGCCGTCTTTCTGGGGAATCTTGGCTTGGGTCGGGCGACACCAGAACTCATTCACCAGAAACTGCGGGATTTGAGTACTCTTTCCGCTACCAGTTTCACCTACTAGAAGCATAACATCTTGCTCTCGGAGGTTCTTTCTGATCTCATCTGCGTGTCCAAAAATAGGCAATTTCTTGCGCAACTCGTAAAGCTTGGCGGCCTTGTCTCGGAGGGAGGTGAAGTTCGTCTTGGTATCGGTCAAAGGTTTGGATTTTGTCTTCGGCTTCGATTTGGGCGCATTGTTGGCCAATTGTGGTTGAGGAGCGTCTGCCACTTCCGCTTCAGCAGGGACTTCAGTCTGAATTTCCACTATCGACTCTTCCTTTTGCGCAGGCAATATGGGCAGTGTCTTTTCTGTCTGAGGAGGTTCTTGATCGCGTGGCTTAGGTTGGGACTCGTCATTGGACTCATCGCGCTTGCGCTTCTTAGCCCGCTTCTTCTTGCGGCCAGCATCCTGGGGTTCTGTAGACTCGGGCAAGGCCTGCAGAGTCTGCTTCGGAGCAGACTCCTGTTCGTCACCAAAATGGGTATGGACCTTCTCGGGCATTTTGAATAGACGTCAACATTGAAGTACCTCGGAGATGAAGCTTATCGAATCCGAAAATTTTCGCTTATCGATAAGGCCCGGGGGTTCTTATCTTATCGCGATATCGCCCTTACCTTGACGCTAGGATATATCTACTTCAAGTCCGCACTTTGTACATATGGTTCGCTTCAATTTTGAGAACAGGTTATTATTTCAAATATGCTGCAGGCTGACATTATTCAATTGCCCACATCTTCAAATATATTTATTATTTCTTTTTATTGTTGCAGAGCGATAACCACCTCGGCAGAATCACAAAGTACATATTTGCAAGTTGGAATACGGGCATTGGCTCCACTCACGGCAGATCGCTGGCTCTTCTGGTGGAGAATGGAGCGAACAGCCGACAAGTCCAGCGTACCACGGAGCACGGACTATAGGATTGTCGCGAAGTCCTCCTATTGTTGTTTCGTACTTCGTACTGACTATCGACTCCATCTACTAGGAAACCCAAAGTGTCGGGTCAACATCTCCAGCCGCAATCTAGACCCCATTGTACCTATCCACGAAGGCGCTCTGACCTCGTACTTTTGACGAATAAGGCAGATCTCCAGGGAAGCAAGAGTAGGGGGAAAACCTTCCTGCAAGTTGAAACACGGATCAATTCACCCCGGATATGCTTAAACATCCTACCGTGACCAAATCCCGCAAAACGGATATCTCAATGCAAGTGATAAAGGAATTTCAAATGGAGAATAACAAATTCACCTCAGATTCTCCACTTACGGAGTACAACGAACCCATATGGCAATGTAACCGCATGCCTAACGGTTCGATCTATCCAAAATCCTGCAAAGCCAATCAACACGGAGTAGGCTCCCTGTCAAGGTCTTGCCGCGGAACGCAAAAATCGATAGACTCAACAGAACCGCAGATCACCGAATGTTCTTCGCATCGGAAATGTCTTACTCGAACCCTTTGCTGCACTATTGCATCACTGCTTGAAAAATCACACCGATCTCGTGGAGTTCGGCGGCCGCACACCGATCGATCGTTCACTTTCCAATTGTGACCTGGCACATTGTGCTCGTAATTGTCGTCTTGACCCCCCTGTTAAGATCTTGTGTTCGCATGCTTCTTCTGCAAATTCCACTTGTGGATATAGTCGATCAATTGATGCATAAGATGCACACTCATTTGGCACAGTTGGGGGTTAGGTATTAAAGACAAGGTAGATTCCCCGGTTTTTGCAAGGGTCGCGCAGAAGAAGAAAAACCGCGAAAAAAAAAAGGAAAGAAACAAGCTTCACATTGGCCTAATCATGTTTCGTACAGATCTTAATACCGGGATCGCCAGTCCTGACGCCGAGTCTCTGCGCTCGTTTACAGAGACGTTGCCAGATGAGTACCATGAGTGGGTTACGGAATCTGGGAGAACATCCAGGTGCGATCAATACGCCCAGGATGCGCGCTGCTCATTACTGACGAATAATGTAGGAGTGATCAAATCCTGGATGATTTTCCTTATCCGCCTACTCGACCCAAGAATCTAGATGCGATAGACGAAGAGACGGTTTTCCCCCCCACCTCAGGCATCCATCAAGAACATCCGACGCAATGTCGCAGCAGCAGATCTTGTGACAACGAGTGATCTGCCCCTGCTGCAGGAGATGAACCCAAATGAGGACCGAGAAGAGTTTCATCCTTTTAATGATGACGGCGCTTCCTATGATCTTATTGCGCCCTTCGAGGGTAGTGAGGCGCCTCTGCATAAACTGGAGCGTCTTTCCGATGTCATGTTCGGAACTGAACATATGTTAACAATTCTCAACACTCCGCGCTGGCTAGTTCGGTTTCGCGACTTTCTTCTGGAAGAACGGCCGCGCTCAATCTCCACTCTTACCTACTACCTCAACGCTGTTAAAGCTCTCAAAGCGATTGAGTATGCGAACGCGCTGGTCCGATTATCCACAGATGTGCCACCTCCAGCTGTCCAAATTGTTCAAACAGGAACACAGGCTGTCGGAATCACTACCAACCAGGTCCTGGAGCAGCGCGTCATAGATGGCTTGCATGCCTTGACAGCTGAAGAGCTGCCCGCCTTTATCGCAGCAAGGTGCATCAGCATTACTAGCAAGATTGTGGAAGAGCGCATTCGCGGCACACTACCACTAAAGTTCCGAGATACATCCAATGCGCTAGCTGAGGTTTTTTGTCTCACAGACCCAACGCGCCCTGATAACCCAATCATTTTTGCATCTGAAGGTTTGTCTGCCGCCAATCATTTCAACGTGCATTTCTAACGGGAACAGAATTTCATCGAACAACGCAGTACGGCATGGACTATGTGCTTGGACGCAACTGCCGATTCTTGCAAGGGCCCAAGACGAACAAAAACAGTGTTCGGCGTATCCGAGAAGGCATTGAAGAATGCCGGCATCACTCCGAGCTCTTCCTAAACTAGTAAGATATTTGTCGCATACTCAAAATACACGAAGAAACCCAACTAACCTATGAATTCACATCGTCTAGTCGCCGCGACGGATCCCCATTCATGAACCTCCTCCAATGCTCCCCTCTTTGTGATAGCCAAGGCCGTGTCAAGTACTTCATCGGTGCGCAAATCGATGTGTCAGGATTCACCCTTGGTGGCGCACAAATGGAATCTCTGATTGAACTACAATCCCGATACCGCGACCCTGATGAGGAAAGCATTGCTGAGATGCCCGAACCCCCACACAAGGACGAGTTTCAACAGCTCGCAGAGCTGTTTAGCCCTAAGGAGTTGACGGCTGCACAAGAGTACGGCGGTGATCTCTTCCAGCCACCGAACGGCAGAGCATCTAGTCGGGGTAATCGAACCTGGTTACAGCGTGGAGGCTCTGTCGACAGCGAAACAGAGGCAATTCGACTGCGAGACATGAAGTCACCATTACTGCGTGGATCCTTGGCCGGTGTTTATGAGAATGTAAGTTATTGCTTCCGTTATCATTGCAGATCCCTGCGACAGACAATGATATTTTCTTATAGTATTTGCTTGTCCGACCATACCCATCACTTAAAGTTATTTTCACATCACCCTCACTTCAGATCCCTGGCATGCTTCAGTCGTCTTTTATGTCCCGTATCGGTAGCTCGTCTGCCGTAAAGGATGAGCTCACACAAGCAATGATGAATGGACGCAGTGTCACTGCTCGAATCAAGTGGGTCACTCGATTTAACACCGACGGTCGTAACCGTTGGGTTCACTGCACTCCTCTCTATGCCAGTAACGGAGAGGTAGGAGTCTGGATGGTTGTGATCGTGGACGATGATGAAGAAACAATGCCTAATTGGAGGGGCTAGGAATACCCGGGTTCTAAAAATACTGTCTTTCTATGTATAGTTCATTGTTATATTTTATAATTCGCGCATACCACATGTCTATTGAGAAGTTTCAAGGTCGTTTCACTCCATCGAAATTTCCCTTTCTACTTTGATGCCCACCCTTGCCGCTTTTAGTAATAGATCAGTTGATACTATCTTTAATATCTAGCTGAGCACGTAAATACATAATGAGGTTTGCATGTGTGCTTAGTCAAATATTATTGGGGTAACGTAAGCCACGGCCGTTCCGATCACCCACCCCACTAGAAATTTTTTAAATTCGATCATCTCAACCAACACTAATAAATTCAGCTAAATATAGCGATTTTTACATACATTAACGCGATGGCCAATCTCTCGACACCCACTACACCTAGGTGGAGCCTTTTTGGCTGGCTGATTCGGCTGAATAGGCAGTTCAACCTGGGTGTGTGATTCGACTATAGGTGTTTCAACAGGCGTTTCCACCTGCGCAAGTAGCTGTAGGCCTTCTTCAACTGTCAAAGCCTGATCGCATGGTATCTGCCTAGTTGATCGACTGCGCTTCTGCCGTTTCTTCTCATTTGCTGCACGTAAATTGGCGTTTTCTTGTGCCAGTAGTGCTGTGTTGTGTAGTGCTATCGAGTGGCCTTTGATGATCTGATCTAAGATCAATTTTGACGGGCTTGGAGGGCTGTTTGATCGCTGTTTTAAAAGATCTTTCAGTATTGAAGCTTGCTTTTGAAGCTGAACCACAGTCCTAGGTGTCTTAGGTGAAAATTGACTGCTTCGGCTGCCTGGTCGACTACCTGGTGGTGTAGGTGTTCGTAGCGAAATATTCAATTTAGAAAGAACTTTTTCAGCATCAATTGGTACTAATCCTGTAGCTATAAAGCTATTCTGGATAGTAGCTGGTTTCAAAGCTTCAAACCGGGCGCGTTGAAAATCAACTAAGAAATCAAGCTTATCGATATGGTTATAGCCTGTACGTGCAAGATCACTTATAAAGCGACCATAGGCACGTTTTAATACCGCAAAACAGCCAACATCCAATGGCTGTAATAAATGTGATGAATGCGCAGGCATACATAGTGGAATGATATTATTCTCTGAGCAGATTCGGTCAAATTGGGGCGTAAGGTGGCTTCCATGGCCATCAAGAATCAATAACCGAAATCGACCACGGACACGTGAATTTGTTAATGGGATAAATAGCCTTTCTAGCCAACGTAGGCCAATCTCATCGGTAGTCCAGCCATTAGCTGAGACCTCGAATCGCCAGTCTTTTGGTAGATTATCGAACCAGCTAGCGATAGCAACCTTTCCCTTAAAAATCACACATGGTGGTAATGAATAGCCATCTGCACAGATAGCTTCAATTGCTGTCACCCATTCACGATTTCCAGGCTGTAGAATCGATCGCCGACCGGAGTATTCTTGCCGTGTTACAACTGTCTGTGTTGAAATTAGGCCCATTGCAAAGCCTGTCTCATCAAAGTTGTAGATATCCTCAGGTTGGATACCATTCTCATTAATCACACGTTGGACAGTGGTGAACCACTCTCGTAGTATCTTTGGATCTTCATTCAAAGCACGTTGGTAGTTATAGCGTCTTGAGATACGTGTACGGAGCTCATTTCGACGCGTGATAAAGCTTGACGGCCAATTAACACCAACGGTAGAAGAAGAGGTTGATCCACGTGCAGCAAGAAGGATATTAGCCATTTCTCCTACAGTAGATAGCCTAGGTGCTGCTCCACGTGTATTCATAGAGATTATCCACTCAGCAAGTGAATCTTCTTCTAGTTGAGTCAATTCATGGCCAGATGGACGCTTATCATGCCATGAAGATAGGCCATGCGCGCGCACATGGAGTGTAGTGTAGGGTATCTCATAGAGCTTTGCTGCAGCGCGAAGAGACGTGGTACGGCCATTTTGATATCGTCAAGGGCTAATAAGACCTTGCCCTCTTGGTTGGCTAATTTCTGCCGAGATTCAGAACGAACTGGTGGCATCGCAGGGGTTTGAAGTAAATGTTTTGGCTGAAAGACGCGATTTTTGATGGAGTGATCGGAACGGCCGTGTGATCGGAACGGCCGTGGCTTACGTTATAGCACTTGAGTAACTATGTAGAGTGTTGCTTGTGTGAAGCGACCTCGGGGACGTGCAGTACATTCCAGATATTACAAAACCTCCGGGCTCAAACTTTCGAGGCTACTTGGGCAAAACACCCTTAGCTCCCGTCAATGCGAATGAAGGTACGGTATTCACCATCCTCCAAAGCATCTCCAGTCTGAGGATCCGCACTACCTGGACCCAGTAAACGAATCATCCACCACGGCTTTCCACCACTCCCAGCCACACCATCCTGGAGCGAGATACCCCAGGTGGTAACATTGTGGGAACCAAGGAAGATACCATCCTGTTTCACGCCACTCAAGTAGTGGTAGTAAGCCTGGATAGGCTCACTGTAAGACCCAAGATTCCACATAAGCTCAGCGCTGTACGGCATGTCTGTGATGTTGACTGCCCGGTACTCTGCAGAGTCGCCGACGGGGACCCAAGCTTGAAAGCCGATGCCATCCATACAGCGAAGTGGGGACTTGGCCAGATCGTTCTCCTCAACGATACCAATCTATCATATTATTAGCATAATCAACTCAACTGTGGGCTCTGCTCATCTTACATATCCCCTTTCAACAATGGTATTTCCCTCTTCCTGCTCCCAAGCCACAGGTTGGCTACCGAATCCTTCCATGCTGCACGCGTTGTCAGGGGCGGTCGTGTTCACGCATTGATCAGCATAGACAACCCAGGGACCGGCGAACCCGGCATTATCAGGGCTGGCAGACTCATAGTCAGGTAGATTGTAGCATCCACCAGGGACAACAACCGAAGTAAGTTTAGCTGCTTGAGTAGCTGCTAACAATGAAAGACCAGCGAAAAGGAGAGCCATCGTGAATGCCAGTCAGTCGGTATGGTTGAGAATGGAGGTAGAGAATCCGTCTCGATCATGCTTTTTATAATTTCAAGTCAGAAGAGCCGCAACGCAGAATTCTCCATGCAAACCGCGGGTTAATTTCTGAAATTCTTGATTTAATCAAGTTAAATCGTTTAGTTACTTCTTGGCGGGGGCCATAAGCACTATGTTGCACTCGGTAGGCTACAATTCACACTAAAATGAAGCCTTTCAGGGTCCGAATGCTCCCCCAAAGGATTAAGGACCCGCAATTAATGGGGTCTGGCTCCACAGTTGATCAGGCACCGGAAGTTCTTGTTAACAGCCTGGAGTTGAACGGATGACACGGCAGACAATCAGGCTACCGTTCCCTTATTGATTAGTGGAAGAATCTGCACATGTGGGCAATACACCTCTCGTGTGGGCACCACGTACTTTAATCCCCCGTGTTTAGCTCCCAAGGTTGATTCCGGGTAATATCAAATCCCTGGAATCTTGATCATATAAAGACGGAGTAGAGCCTTGAAAGGAAAATGCACGTGTTGCCCAGATGCCAACTTGAAGTACCTCTTACCAGCTTTGTAGTTCAAGTTACATTGATTCGAGGAACTTGAAATTATCAGGAATGCGGTTGCAAATGGCAAGTTGTGGGTTGGCCATAAAAAGCAGCATTTGAGTGTACTAGTAATAAAGACAATATTCCAATAGATGAAAAAGAAAATTAAATGTTGATCCGAGGGAGTCAAACCGGGGACTTTTGAAATCCAGTGCGCATCGAGGTGTGAGGTGAGATTCTGCGAATAGCCTCACTTGATACATCCATCACTACATCATCATCCTTGATATCTCATTCATTCTTGATCATTTTTGCTTTTTGAAAACACAGATAGAAATAGCGGATCAGAAAATTTTTAAAAATATTTGCCCGTAAGGCCCTCCCGCCCTCTGGAGCCACCTCAACCATCGATCAAGGCCAGACCATCCTGATAATGCCTCTGTCCTCCACCTGGGCAGTCAGAGACCGCTAACCTTGGGCCAGCTGGGCCGAGTTGTTTCTTTTCTCCCCTTCATTAAACTACATAGGAGCCATGTTGTTTCTTCTTATGTACTTGGCTATCCAGGCTGGTAAAATACTAGCACCTGATTAATTTGCTACACATCCACTTCCAAGGTTATTTCAAATTTACATGATAGATGAATTTGTTGCGGATATGGTGACTCTACTTCCCGCCACAGTGAACAGGCTCTCCATACGAGAAGCATGGAAGGAGTCCCATCCTCCTGGAACGTCTGATGATCTGGATGAATATTTGGTCGACACAGTAGCACAGATGTATCACTACACGTATTATCATGCATTTGACGGGTTTCGTGAGGGATATGCCATTAAACATGATGGCAAGCCGCTATATGTTCTTCCATTCGTGGAGCAAAGATGGGAGAAAGGTGCCGCCATTTCGAAGGCTGAACATGAAGATGGAACCAAGAAAATGGAAATATACAGAGATTGGCTACTAGAAACCATGCTAATTGGACAAGCCGATGGAATTGAGCCTCTTGTAGTTCTCCCGGTCGCGAATGCCGCTCCAAACTACCGCGATGAGCATACTGAATCCCCTCTTTGGAAATCTGCATTGGACCAGATTTTTCTACCTCCTATTCTTCAAAATGTTGGGGCTCCCGATATTATGATTCCTATTGGGGATGTACTAGTACCGTACATCTCGAAAGTTACTAAGAGGACTGAGTATCTACCAGTTGTGATTGATATTATGGGAACACCAAAGAGAGATCTGCAGCTTCTGCAGGCCGTTGAAAAAGTGTTGGATTCTTCCGGGCGACGTTCTACTGCCGCAGTGTCTCAACGGGATCAAGAATTTTTCCATAGTGCAGAAGTTGTAAGGTCGGAAGTCTCTACAGCTATTGGGAAGTCTGAGTAATCAATAGAGAAGTTAAATTCAAGTTTATCCAAATCATGCAAATGTCAGACCTTCCCAACCAGATTCTTTACACTCGGAACACCGCCGCCGATATTCAACAGCACTACCAGAGTATCTGGCACTACTACGAACAGACTTGCCCTTCACATTCTTGTTCACTCCTGTCATCCAGCCATCCACCTCGTTAGCAAGGTGACCTTTGCTACATTCAACAACATGCTCAGTCCATTTCTCCACGGCTTCAGGGGTTGGCTCAACATAATTATAATTATTATCTTTGCAGTACTGTAGCAGGTCCGAGACGACAGTAACAGCATGCTCAATTGTGCGTGGTGCGTTGCCGAATGGTTGATGAGGTCCGAGAACCATAAACATGTTTGGCATCGAGCAGGCTGTTAGACCGAGATAGGTCTGTGGTCGGTGATCCACCCATATTGCTTGTCCTCCTTCCTTGGTATCACTGCTTCCCAGCAACGGGCGGCCGTCCTTAGCATGCCACTCAATAGAGCTGAAAGAACCAGTGATTGCATCGAAGCCAGTTGCGTAAATCAAAACATCAAGTTCGTGATGCGCCCCATTTGTTGTTGTGATTCCAGTCTCAGTGATCTTCTCCACGGGAGTCTTTTGCATATCGACAAGATAAACGTTGGGCTTATTATAAGTTTCCAAAGTAGCCACTTTCGAGCGGAACGCGTCGGGTTCCGAAGCCATGGTTCTTGGGAATAAGACTATCGGCCACCTCTGGATCGTTGATTCTTTCACGGATCTTGCTGGCCATGAAATCTGAGTATAGTTTGTTGGCCTCGCGGTTAGTGTATGTGTCGCTGAAAACACCAAGCCACTTTGCAAAGCCCGGCTTTGCGTAGACTTCTTCCCACAGCGCCCGGCGTTCTTCCTCTGTCACTTCCAAAGATTTCCGGGCATCTGCTTGATGCATGAAACAGCCTTGAGTGGAAGCACAAAGTTGGAAGATACTATCGTACTTTTCCTGATGCTCTTTCATTGTTCAAGGGTGATCTCTTCATTGCGCAGTGGTGCTGACCAGTTCGCGGTCCTTTGGAAGACTGACAGAGTTGACAGATGGCTCTTTTGCAACAGCCGTAATAGTTTGAATACCTGTTGCGCCTGTTCCGATAACACCGATGCGCTTATTGGCGAAATCTCGATTGATATTAAGGTCCCGCGGCTACCGAGAAGTGTGGAATGCTTCACCCTTGAAAGACTCGATGCCTGGAATAGCAGGTAAGCTGGGAGTTGATAAGAAGCCCATACAACTGATAAAGAAGGTCATCTGATATTGCTGGCCACGTTCGCCTGAAAATAGCCAAGTCCCATCATAATCTTGCCAGCGGGCTGATTTGATCCTGTTCTGAAACCGGATGTCCTTGTTGAGATCGTGCTTCTCCGCAATTCGCTCGATGTACCGAAGAATTTCCGATTGTGGTGCGAATGACTCCTTCCAATGCCATTCATTCATGAGTTCCTCATCAAAGGAGAAAGCATAAGATAGAGATTCGGAGTCGACTCGTGCACCTGGATAGCGATTCCAATTCCAGGTACCACCCACACTTTCGGCAGCCTCTAGGACACGAATACGCCAGGAGGGAAATCGTTTCCTTAGGCGTTAAAGGCTGTAAACACCGGATAATCCAGCGCCAATGATGAGGACACCATATCTCGATTTGGACAGATCCCATTTTGCTTGATTTCATGAACGGATGGTCGAATGTTCAACTTCACCCGGGTCCTCGACCAGCAGGGCTTTTTATAGTTCCCATCTTCATGTCATCATGCTGAGTATCCGACCTCATGATATGGCAAGACCTGGGGTAAAAACTGGAGTGATTGAGAGAGGTTGATAGTGTCGGCGTCACATTCCTTTTTCAAGTTGAATTATGCTTATCGCGTGGTCTTCCCCGCATCTACACGTGACGGTTATACTTTCCTAAATAGAGCAGAGTAGATAGTACTACATATTCAAAATGAACGTTAGTGTAGATAGTGTCTCCAGATAATCCAAAGCTCAATTATCTTCTCAGGTGATCTAAGTTCATAAATGTCTCCAGACCTGATATTCTCCATTCATCCGGAGATGGAATGCCATGGGGCCATGACGGGTCTGAGATTAGGTATGAGACTATGTATATGCCTAGGTGGATCTAATGGTATTGGGAAAAAAAATAAAGTTAGGATCAATGATAGCACTTGATAGGAAGAGGAATTCAAGTTCTAATTTTCTTATCGTTTGAATAAGGAAGCTCCGAGTCTGAAATCCACCTATATTCTTCCGAGTCTTTGCAGCTCGAACGCCCAGGAACAGTACCGCTATTACATGGATTTTGTCTTAATATCCGAAGATTTGTTCATCATGATACGGGAAGAATGATCTTATGTGGAAGTATTTTTCAAATGTTACTGGTTATTCTTTCGTCCGTCATTCAAATATTAACATGTCATTAAGCTCCATACAAAGAGCTAGTAGAAAAGAATCCGACCATGCTGCCAGTATTTCAACATGGCCATGGTAGTTTCATCTCAGGCTCAGCTATCAACAGGAAGGGGATTCGGGATATCTTTATATTGCCCAAAAAGGGACGGATATGAAGATTTGATGAAATCAGCGCCCTACAATCAAATTAGACTCAAGTGCCACCGGTTCTCCTAGTTTATCTTACCTTTTCTGCTATCATATAGACAGCATTCTGGATTCTGCAGTCTGGGATGACGGGAATGATAGATGCATCGACTACACGCAAATTCCTTACTCCATGCACTCGCAGCTCAGGATCAACAACGCCTTGTTCAACATTCATCGACAGTCTGGCGGTCCCGCACGGGTCTAGATACACCAAGTTAGTTAAAATCATCTGCGCATATATGTGAGACTGAATTGAGGAAAGCTCACTGAATCCAGTTTGAGCTCGATCAAGAATCATTGAATCCATCTCCTTGTCTGATGTACGTTGGATTGGCCATGGATAATCCTCGTGAATGATATCCTTCATGCCATCGCCTGTCATTAAGACGTCATCAACAAAACGGACACCTTCACGAAGGGCAAGAATATCCAGTTTATTGGAAAAGAAGTTGAGATTAATTTCCGGCTGCTCATGTGGGTCTAGTGAAGTCAGTCTCACGAAGCCATTTCTGGACTGTGGACGGACTAGATTGACTATGACAGTCATCCAATCCTCCTCCTCGGGAACGGAAAAGTCTCGTTGAAACGGTGGAGCAAATATTGGCTTTAAATGTTAGTTCATAATAGTCTGTCTGGTGGAAATCGTTTGACTTGCCATAAAGTCTATCTCGAAATGTGGTTGGCCCTCTGGTCCATATGGATCTGTCCCTCCATTCATCTCTTTGGCATCACGATACTCTTCATACACATCGAGTCGGTCATCAATGCGACAGAATGCGATTAACTCCAGAATCCCACTGGCTAGGGGACCTGTGTTGTGCTCATCGTATTGTCTTTTTGCATCATTCTGTAGCGGCCCATACTGATGCAGAATGCTATCCAGTCCCATACCATCCTTCAGTCGGAAAACATGAGGTAAGATTGGATGATCCATTAGGTTTTTTCCAACATTCTCTGAAACGACCACTGGATCAATTGCATGATGAGCAAGCTCAGTTCTTGGTCCAATTCCGGATAAGAGGAGGAGTTTGGGTGTTTCGAAAACGCCCCCAGATAAGATAATTTCTTTCTTTGCTTTGAATGTGCTCTCTAAGCCATCCTTATCTGTCACAGTAACACTGACTGCTGAATTTCCGTCAAATTTTATTTCCCTAGCAATTGTAGATGCCATGACATCCACATTGGGCTTGTTTGTTATAAACACAGAACTCTCCGATCGAACGCCGTTGTGAATAGTAGTTACGCAATGCGTAAGGCCTTCCATTTTCCCAGAGTATACATCACTCGTTAATTGCAGGCGCTTACTTTCCCAGGCTTTTATCAGTGCTTCTCGGAAGGCTGCTGTCTCTGGAAGGAGGTCTGCGTGAGAGATATTCAATGGTCCATCTCGACCAAGTCTTGAGAACTCAGGGTCATGTTTCTGGTCATCATCATGGTATCTCGTAGCCTAAGATTTTCTATGATTTTAGCAAAAGGTATTCTCAACTAATTGATAGTCTCACCTTCGTGAAATATTCCTTGCAGTTTTCCCATGTCCAATCATCTCCACCATATTCAGCCCAGGAATCAAATGTTTCTTTACTTCCTGGAACCCATGTAAAGCAATTCAGGCTACTGCTTCCCCCGAGTATCTTGCCACGCGTATTTGGTGTCTCAACACGTCGATAGCTCTGTGTATCAACAAATGTTGTCCTGTAGCACCAGTCATGTTTGTCTCCATGCGATTGAAACGTGTGGGCCGGAGTAGTGATTTCTGGAAGTTCCCTCGGATTTCTTGGAATAATTTAGCACAGACTCAAAGTTTTCATGACGGATTGACTAACCCAACACCAGCTTCAATGATTAGTATCTTCAAACTTGGGTTTTCTGCTAATCTGCCAGCAACGACATTGCCAGCAGTCCCTCCTAGGAGCTGTTAGTAGCGGGTAGATCACTTTAATATGGATCAGCTTACCGCCAATCACAATGAAATCATAGTGATCTTTCCATACGTCCGCCATGGCAGATTCCCAAGTCGATGGATTGTGCTTTATTTTGAAACCCAGATCGAAAACTTACTGTGGAGGAAAAGAAGCAAAATAAAAGTTCAATGTGTCAAGCGCGCGGGAGATGCAGAGAAGAGATGGAAAAGGAATCGACTTTTGCCACTCAACGGTTTCCAAGATCATTTGAAAATGATCCGAGTCTCAACTTTGAGGATTATTGTGAATGGTTACTCATATTAATGCTGTGCACATCTATAACCGGGACTCGGAAGACCCATTTACCAATGAACATGATAGCTACCCGAATAATGCAGCTCAAACAAGGCAGGATGTCGGTAGGACAATCGCCTGTCAGACTTGACCTGCTATCACCCTCTCTTAATTCCAGTTGATTGGAGTGGTTATATGCATGCTTTTTTCAATGACGGGCGATCTCATTGATCCCGACTGTGGGTCATTGAAGCACTAGATCTGTAGACTTGACTCTTGAGTTGCGCCTTGCGTAAGATGGATTTCTTGTGAATCACGATTTTGCCTATCACTCTTTGAATATTCCTTCTGCGCTCACCATGCCAATCATAGCTTAAATTCCAGATATTGCCTGATCCTCCGTTAGAAAGGAAAGAGAAAAGGGTCAATACCAGACTGTCCATCTGTCAGGTAGTCCGCTGTCCATGTGGTCATGCCCCCATCCAGCATATCCAGAAGCGCTGAATCTGCCGGATCCCAGATGTCGCCAAAGGGTGGTTGTGATATGGATGTGATGATATTGGGTGTCATAGATGGAGATTCCCTATCTCTTTGAGTAGTTGCATAGACTTGGTCAAGGGTTGAAATTCCGCCTGCATCATGGAAGGGCCATTGGTGGCTCTGCTGAGGAATATGCAATGAATTCTTCAAGTCGATGTCAGAGGCTTGTACAGCTGATATGTTTTTTGACCTATTTGTGGAATTTGGCGATGAGGATTCGTTGTTTTCTGGTGTTTGACATGACGAGGGGGGATTTGATTCGCTTTCCGTGTAAGGCTGTCCGAGCCATACGATAGATTGCGAGGGGGTTAAGAATGTTCTCTGGTGACTCCTGGGCTGGTGATTCGGGTGATGGGGGGCTATTTTTGTTAAATCTCATCAGTATTCATTTTCGTATGAGTGATTAATGTTTCACATACGTATCTTCCGACGTTTCTGTGGAGCTTTCATTTAGAAGAGGGGCGAAAGGAATATCAGGTTTTATCTCCGCTGCTGCCATGATTTTCAAAACTGAGAGTGACTGAAAACACATAAGTATGGGTCTGAATGTGAGATGAGGTCAGGAATAAAAGCAAATTCAGAGAGACACTTACACAATGCTCGGCCGTTTTTACCATAGACCTCATTTGCAGCAATACCTGAAGATTACTTTGAACCAATGCAATTGCCTCATTCCTTTCTCTCTGGTCCATGCTACTCGAAGATGCAGCTTCTTGTAGTTTCAGGTAATACAAAATTACTTTTGTGCCATCATGTGCAATGATACATAACCAAGTGTCTGCAAGATTCTTGAGACCATGCCGCAGCGCCTCAGATAGTATGGTAGATGCCTCGCGAGCATTATCAAAGCAGACCTTTTGACAGTGCTCCAGAAACTCCTTTTGCTCTGGAGGAAAGATAAAGTGTTTTTGTATACGGAATAAAACCGGCATTCCGATGCGATAGAGGTCGACTAATGTCTGATAGAACGTACACCACAGTAAGGTGAGTGCACCGAGTTGAGAGGACTCTTTCCGCGCATATATTGAGCTTGGGTTCCAAAGCAAGCTTTGAGGAAGAGAGAGACGCCACGAGTGAAGCTCGGAACATAGTAAACTGAATTCAGAATCGGCTTGCCATGGAGGTTTTCCTGTATCTAAATGCTTGACATATCTGGGTGTACTTTGTCAGTTGAATGCTGAGAGTGACTGAATTGGATAATCGCACAAACCGTAACACTTTCTTCCGGATGCTAACAAGGCGAATGAAATATGCCTCAATTCCCATATTCTGAGAAGGATCGGGAGGTACTTGGTCATTTGGGATGAAGCTTAACACTTTTTCATTTTTCATAGTCTCTGTTATACACGAGATTCCCAGCGAAAAGTTGTGACTATGGCACGGAAGCTGGATTTTCAAGTCTCGATCCTCAAGTAAGGTAAGTTGGTTGACACCACTACCGACCCAGCTATCGAGCAAGTAACAGCTCCACATGAGCCGCCGCCTGGTCTCAGTATTAATCGAAGATGATTCTGGTTTTGTACATAACACATCAGCAGAAATCTCCAAATTCAATTGCAGTGCCTGTGACATCCGCGCCGTCATGCTGCTCAGCATGAACGCACTTGCGTAGCTTCCGATCCGAAGATCATGCTCATACAGCAGAATTGTGGTCTGGATGGTATAGAACTGTTAACAAATTGAACTAGAGAATTATACGGGGAGGACTAACCATCAGCTTCTCCAACGACAAATCATCCATATCCACGAAAATACGTGCTTTCGCAATCCTAGCCCATCGGTTGCCTGCCTTGAGTACTGTCTCTGAAGACAACTGTGAGTTATTATTAAGTGCAAAGAATCTGAATTATGTTATTTAGGGCCTTTCCATTTGAGAAAACTAAGTGAATGGACTCACTTTGCACCTAACGCGCAGATGACATGAAGCAAAGATTCACTCTGGCGACATGATTCGGGATCTTCATCTAGTTGCTGCATAAATGAAGGCTTATGCACGAAGCCATTACATCTCAGTGGATGGATATGAGCAAAATATTCCTCAACCAAAATGTATAGCCTCTCGCCTCTGGGAATCTCCGAAGTATACAGCCTCACCAAGTCAGCTTTAAAGATGTTGCGGTAAATAACGGCAGAGACCTACCATTCAAAAGAGTTCGGTAGTTCACCTAAAGTTGATTTGGACGTAAGAGACGTTTGAATCGTCGTATGGAGCCCGCTTGCCGAATTGATATCTGTGGGTGTACTACGACGCACTTGGAAATGTTGGGATGACAGACCTCTGTCATTTTTGGTCCGACGCGAACTGGCTGCAGAGGTGCAATCAAGCCCCTTGCTAGCACATCGCCCACATATAGACCCACCAGAACATCTTGTCTTTGCAACGCGACATGGGTGACAGGATTTGGCGACTCGTTGTCGAAGTGTGCCTGCTTGGGTAAGGGTGTCGTGGTCGCCTTGCCTTTGTGGTCTGGAACGGGTAATAGCACCCGGAGCAGGTGGTCCAGGACAATCAAGCTGAAGGCGTTCACAATTCAGACAATTCGGCCATTTCTCATCACATTTGACTTTACGAGCTCGGCACAATGTACAGCCTGTTTCAAGTATCAGCTCATGTGTACTTCAAATAAGCATGAATCGCTGACGCTAATCTGACCTGACTTAGATCGTCGCGTTCCAGACACATTCTCCTGCATTGAACCAAGCTCAATATCCCCACTCCACGACATGGCGAATTCCGAGGGATGCAAGGAGAAAGATCGGCTCTCGCATGGCACTCGGCTATACACGGCTTTAGGTGCGGTGGCCCATGGCAGAATAGTCGTAGAGAATTACGTTTCCCATGTCTGAGTGTATTAATCAAGAGGTGATTTCATTCGCTTGAATCCCCTGATTATTGCCCATGTTGGATCACTGGTGCGGATGGCACCATCATAGCGTTGGTTGACGAACTACCATCCAACGGATCTGACTCCACGGCTCCCGGACCTTCAACGGATGTCGGCTAAACCGTTTGTGTCATTGGCGCGCGATTCTAGAGCTTTTTGATGGAGTGGAGTAGATAAAAATCCGGGGCCCCAGAGCTGGGAATTAGAGCTACTCATAGCTCTTCGTTTTTGATTCCAAGTTATCCTACAGTCATGGGAAAGGCTTCAGGTCTGAGCAATGTGTACGTGATCAGTGGGATGACGACCATCGGAGGTCTTATTCAAGGCTTCGATGTGTCTAGTATGTCTGCTATCATCGGTACAAATGAGTACAAGATATACTTTAACCATCCTGATTCGGTAGTTCAGGGTGGTATTACGGCCAGCATGGCTGGGGGATCTTTGTTAGGATCTCTCTTCTCATCATGGACCAGTGATCGGTTTGGTCGTCGTGATTTTCTTTTCATCGCATGTATTATATGGCTTGTTGGATCAACCTTGATGTGTGCTGTGCAGAACGTTGCCATGCTGATCGTCTCCCGTATTATCAACGGATTCGCAGTAGGTATGTTGACTAGCCAAGGACCGATTCTCATCGCTGAGATCAGTTTGCCTCATCAACGTGGTCGACTACTTTCTTTGCAACAATGGATGATTACTTGGGGTGTAAGTTCAGTCTTCCGTCTATATTACTCATATCTCCACTGACTCGCATGTTAGATCCTGATAATGTACTTCATCAGCTACGGTGCTTCCTTTATGGGGAATAACGGCGTGTTCCGACTTCCATGGGGCATACAAAGGATTCCAGCTATCGCACTACTGAGCTGCCTTCCGATGATTCCTCGCTCGCCCCGCTGGCTGGCATCACAAGACAGATGGGAAGAAGCTACAGAGGTTCTTTCACAGTTACATGGTCAAGGCAATGCACTAGATCCCATTGTTGTTGCACAAATCCGTGAGATGCAAGAAAAGATAGAGTAAGTCATCTTTTACGTTTTCAGTATTGGTCTGATGAGCTGACAAGGGGTTTGAAGAATTGAGAAACAGTACCAGAGCACATCCTGGCTCGAACTTTTCAACTCGCGCAACTTGATTCGAGTTCACTGTGGCATCTTCACTCACATATGGGCTCAGTTGACGGGAACAAATGCAATGATGTATTACATTGTCTACATATTCGAAGTGGGTTTTAAACGACCTCTCATTCATATTCCTGGCTAAGGCTGATCAAAACTTTAGATGGCTGGTTTGACTGGCAATAACACACTGCTCTCGGCATCTATACAGTATGTTATTAACGTGATTATGACATTACCTGCCCTCATCTTCATCGACCGACTTCCACGACGACACCTCTTTATTTTTGGGGCTCTCGCAATGGGTGTTCTTCAGTTCACACAAGCAGGACTCATGGCTTCATATGGTCACTATGTGCCAGGTGGACTAAATGGTTCACCCACTGTGCGCTGGAAAGTTACGAACTCGAAGGCCTCTAAGGCTATAATTGCGTGCTCATATCTTTTTATTGCATGCTACGCACCCACATGGGGGTATGTACAAAATCATCGTACTAAGATTGGAAATGTTTGCTAACAAATGTGTTTTTTAGTCCTCTTGGATGGTCAGTCTATCGGTGAACAAAACTAATAAGGTGATGGCTACTGATTCGACTCATAGGGCATACCCACCCGAGATTATTCCCCTTTACATCCGTAGCAAAGCTGTGTCTCTAGCGACCTTTTTCAACTGGGGCTGTAACTTTGCTTTAACATTCTTCACACCTCCAGCATTTCAAAACATCCAGTGGAAGGTAAGTAGCAACTTTATCGCTGTATAACCATTTGAACATTAATAGAGGTCACGCACTAATTCTGATAGACCTACTGTATTTTCGGGACTTTCTGCATCGTTGCCGCAATCCACGTCTTTTTCTTGTTCCAGGAGACATGCGGCAAATCTCTGGAAGAGATCGATGAGATCTTCGAAAACCAAAGCATTTGGGCTTTCAAGGCCACCACAGAACCTAGTCGACTTACTGTCGATATTGAGCGAGCTAAAGACGATTTGGATGTGGACAAGACGAGCGTCAGTTACGTCAAACAGCCTGAGCTATGACAAATCTTCCAATGTTGAATAGTCCTAAGGCACTGGCAGCTGGGTTGATTCTGAATGAAGCCTCTATTTAATTCTGGGTGCAAAGAAAATTCAAACCAAACAAGCTAATCTACAAATTATGAATGTCTAGGATTCATATCAACCATAATGACCAGTTGACCAAAAGAGCCTTAGCCCATTAATTTGAGATCAATTATTCCTAAATGTATTCTTAGAACTCAAACCCCCATGATCACTCAGTTCCCAACAGATGTCCAATTAACACCAACCGCACTTTGGACCTCTTTCGCAGGCAATCCAACCATCCCTTTCCAAAACTCCGAAGTTCCAGGTGGAACCAGCTCCTCAACTTCCAAGGAAATCAATGTACTAAAGATCCAATCCTGACATTTTCTCCTTCCATCTCTCGGGGCAGGCTCTTGGCTAATAACTTCAATAGCCTGTCTTCGTTGTGAAGAGCTCAAAGTGGAGATTTGGCACAGACCAAGTGCCTGCATAATATTGAGCTCGGTACCGAAACGTGGCTCAAAGTCATACCAAAGTTTCTCGATGTCGATAGGCCAGACGTGGAGGAGATCGCCGAATGTGCGTGGCGGTTGATGAATTACGAAGCCCCAGTGAGAACGATGTTTGGGGTCTTCGCCTGTGCCGAAGATTTCAATTGAGAGGTTGTATTCCATTTGGTTTGATATCGAGGCTTACTGTTTGCTTGAGCTTGGACCTTGGTAGTTCAAGTGTGATTGTTGTCTTTGTTGTGGTGAAGGCTTGAGCACTTGATTTTTTTTTCGTAATTGATTTTTTTCGACAGCAATTTTTTGGTTTGAGGATTTCTTTGGATATTCAATGGAATTGGAAGCCTCCACTCAGGTCTTATCTTTTTCTCCTGGATGATGTATCCATGTCGAAGAGGAGTCAGATGTAAAGTGGGGGAGCGGGTTAGTGCTTAAAGACAAACACCACAACAGAAGCTCCACGTCTCTCGCAGAACGCCACGTCCAGAGTAGATGTCGCACAAAAACAAATATAGACGCACATGTCGTTCGACGGTCGAAATCATTATCAAGTTTATTTGGATCCTGACGTCACAGTGGTAGCTTACCGGGGAAGAACCAGGTGCTACCATGAGCTAGAACTGAGAGCTCGAGCTCGAGAAAATAATGATTTGGCCCGCATTTCAACAAGGTATATTGGTAGCTATTTACGAGGGATCTTAAGACACAGGGAAGAACCACGCTAAAAGAGAAGAAAAAGAGGGTATTGCATAATAGAAAGTCGATCCGATCCCAGCCCCTCCATGAAATTCCTATTGGAGCAGTCATCATAACACAAAAAAAGTAAATATCATCAGACCAACAGACTACAGAGCCCACTCATCTGTCTCGGAAGCGGCAATGAATGGCTTGTCGATCTGTTTGATAGCATGGTCACCGCAAAGGATACTAGGTCAACGTTAGTGAAAGTTACAGGGGGACAAGGATCAGGCGGGCAGAGACAACTCACCAAGCTTCAGCAACAAGACCATCCAGTTCCTTCACGATCTCTTCTCGTCGGGAGGCAGAAAGATCTCTTTTGCTCAATTGTGTCTGTAGATCTCGGATGTACTTCTTCTTGCCGCCTGCACCCTCCAAGACCTCTTTGCCCAGACAGTCACTATGGAAGGCATGTTGACAAGGGAAGACAAAAAATTGGCGACTGAGAAGAGGCAAGGAACAGATCCAACACTTCTCGCCGGGCTCAACGATAGCATAACGGGTATCCAGACCAGTAATCTCATTGCGGATCTGGCGGGCAGTATGCGCTGAATTATCCATTTCCTGACGCAAATTATCAATGAGACGGGAGTACTCCTCCAAAGCGCTACATATTTCATCTTTGAAGTCGTCTATAACAACGAAGTCGGGGAAGAAAGGGATGAGATCTTCAATGCGAAGGAGTTCGCAGCGGCGCAAGAATTCAATCGCATCTTTGATACCAGTACCTGGCTGACGAATCTTTTTCTCGGCAACTAGGAGCCAGAGTTTCTTACGAAGCTTGTCATTGCCCTCCGGTCGGTCTGCAACGATTGCGGCCAACTCGATATCGTCATGCTCCAGGGAAAGCTCGACTGCTTGCAGGTATTGGCCCATGGCACTGTAGATGTGGATGCATGACTGGACGCGTTTATGTTGAATACAAAGTCGAAGGGCAAAATCCGCGTCATACGGAGGTGGTGAGGATGACTGCGACTGAAGATAGGTAAGAAGTCCAGCTTCTGAGGCTGACTGACTTGAAGCGTGAATGGAGATAAGAGTGTTGTGGACAGCTGCAGAAGGGTGAGGGTGGTTGACGATGATGAAGTTCAAGTATCGGACAGCCTGGTTGTTGTTCAATGAAACACTCGTAGTCTTGTTGTAATTAAGCAGCGCAGGAATAAGGCGCTCAGGATCAAGATTTGTCTGCCGCATCAAAATCTCGATTAGACTTGTAGCAGCATGTGTCATGAGCACACTACTGTATTTGTAAAAGACATCCGGTTCGCTCTGTCTTTGGAGAACATTGAGCGCTTCAGTCCATTTCTCTCGCTGAATCCAGTAGGAGAGGACATAGTTGAAGTCATTGGCAACAGTAGCAAAGAATAACAATTCTTCTTCCCGGCCGTGGCTGCTGATGATTCCGTAGACCGTCTTCTTATCCAGGTCCGCTTTATGCTTGTTGACGAATTCTTGAAATTCTGCTCGGACGCTACCCAGCTCATCCTTGATATCTCCAGTAGTGGCACCCTCTGTCAACTCCGCTTTTGTTGCGATGTTGTCATCCAATGAATTAAGCTTCGACATGAAAATTTCTATCAGCCAACTTGCAACCATAAGTCTTTGCATAACAGACGACTTCTTGTATGTGGACAACTGCGAGATGAGGTATTTCCGCAGAGCATCGTACTCCTTGTTATCAATCAAGGTCAAACAGACCTCCTCAAAGCCCTTGCTACTTTTGCCCCATACCTTCGCTGCTTCAAAATAACGGCCTTGCTTGGCCAAGGAGTCACCCGAAGCAGTCAAAACGGCATCTCGCTGTGCAGGGCTTCGGGCATATTCTAAAGCGTCATCAAACTTCTGTTCAGCAAGGAAAACTTTCCAAACATCTCTATCTTCGTCGTTGGCAACGACTTCATAGATTTCCTGATTTGTGAAGAGCCAGTAGGTATTTTGAGTTAGATCTGTTAAAAGACCCAAGACGCTTTGTCTAGGCTCCAACACAGCTTGATCGTACACGGTTTCTTCGCTTAAACGGTTGACCGCAACGACTCGCCCTTCAACGAGCGCCAAAACGTGCCATTGGGATAATGTCATTGCGGTGATCGGATCTTGTATCATCTTTCGTCCGCCCCGAGCAGATTCGGTGGCTGGGAACTTCGACCGGGGAAGCATGTTTGCGGTCTCAAATGGAGAGCCGGAGGAGAGTTTGCCATGGTAAATTCCTTGCGAGCTGAGCCACGCAAACGCCTTCTCAGTAGTGTTATCGATTTGATACCCACTGCCGGAATCGGTCGCAGATGATGAGGTTATCAAGGCCGACGGTGCCGTACCCGTTGGATGTGCTACCTCATGGATCAGGGGCGTCTCACGCTGGAAAAGATCCGCATATAAAGATCCACCACCTTCTCTTCCTTGTTTCGCAGGTCCAACGCGACCCAGGAAGTGAACCAACTTTCCATAAGTTGCCACAATCACCCTTCGTTGATCGGCGGATCTCGATGGAACTGTCTCCGCACAGATCCCGATAACGGGCGAGGCGTCAGGCACCTTGTATACCGCAGTAACATATTTCTCTTCTCGTCGATAGAACTCCGTTGACGGCTCGATGTATGTTTCATAGACATTACCATCTGTTGTGCCCAGAAGAATCTCGCGTGTTGAGGCAGTTGGCAGCGAAGGGTTCCAAGCAATACTTTCGACGGATACGCCTTTTAAGCGGGACAAGGCCTTGGGTTGACGCGATTGGGTATGGAGGTAGTAATTCTCGCCGAGTGTAGTGCAGATAATCAAATGGGAAGCCGAGGGATCAAGGAACATGCGACGGATTAAGCCAATCTCGGAGGACTTTTTGGGTAGGTCGATGTCTGTAACGAATAAACACAATTAGGCTCCGGTCACCCCAGTAAACATTGAGCAAAGGGATAGTAAGAGAATAGTGAAATATATCATACCATCAATATCTTCGGGTGAGTCGAGATCAATCCGTAGAATACGGTTAGTCGATAGAGCCAGTATTAGCACATTGTTGGCGACCTGCGCCGCCACGAAGTCGGCCGCAATGGGGAATTGGAGCTGCACCCGCTGCACATCGAAAATAGGCAGGGAGTCTGCAGGCTCGATTAGGCCGTTGGGAGCAATATAACTGCCGGGTCCATCCAGCGCCATGACAACTTTAAGAAGCTATCTCACCCGGCGACTTCGGGCAAGCTGCATGTAAGTTAGCTTAGTTAGAGGGGGATTTGGCAAGACAAGGTGGAATGCGGAGGGCGAGTTGGTGCCTGAGGCTTCAACATGAGGCTGGGAAAATGACGTCCATACTAATCTGAGTCGCCAAATTCATAGATAATAACTCTAGCTAGTAGCAATTTTCAACACACACTTCGTGCGTTAAATGCTGCTCAGATAGTAGTATCTTCAGGACACTGGTTACCTACTCTAGGTATGTAAGGAGTACTGCCTCAACTACCACCGTAGTATAAAGGCGTACCTGAAGAGGGCTACCCGGGCCGCTATACATCTAGTTGGATAAGGAAGAACTTGTTGAATAAGTCAACTGGTTGAACTGGAAGAATGGATCACCCAATTTTATCTTATATTTCTTGACTGAAGAATTCCAAGTTTTTGAGACTACTTGTACTAGTAGTCCACAGGTACTGCTAGTAGGTGCTATTTTGAATTATCATAGGCTATTGATGGAAAAAAAAGATCGTCGATGAGGTTAAAAATGTTCCACTAGTAGCTAGTGGACTTCTCGAGTTGATCGCATTCTCTTGCGTCGATACTAATATATCTCTAAAATACATGTCTGTTATATGCATCGGGTATCAATAGTTTAAATATGCAAAACAAACAGAAATATCGAGGAACAACACAATATGAGGTGTGGGGTATCATAAATCCGCTGGAATAAAAAGCCCATGAGTTCCTCCCTCGTTCACATCACCACGCATTCCCGGTCTGGATTCCGGGTCTTCTCCTTCGATTTCTCTTTGTTTTTGCCCTTCAGGACACGATCCTTGGTTCGGCCTCTGCCGAATTTATTATCTCGGCTCTCAACAGGTGGTTCCAGCTTGCCGTCTTCGTGCATGGCATTTTCCATGTCGACGGTAGTAGATTCATCATCGCTATCAATGGTGAATCTGTCTTTGCTCAGCCTTCCGGCGAATCGTGAGAAAGTAGCACCGATTCTGTTTTCTCCGGACTGGCTACCAGCACGGCTTCCTGTGCTGCTTTTTGTAGTGCGTGATCCACGACGTCCGAAAGGGAATCCTTTGCCGCCATCTTCGTCCATGGGTGTTAATCGAGGCGACGATGATGGCATGGATCGAGCCGTTGGAGGTGGAGGTAGATTGATCTCTGAAAATAGCACGCTACTTGGTCTTTCGCTATTTCGTGAAGCCGGGGCGCCATTATCTGGTCCGGTGATTTCAACGCTGGGACGAGCAGAGGAGATATCCTCAAAGAGGCCGGTGTCCAATTTATCTTCAGCTGACAAGTTGGAGAGCTTTCGAGCAAATTCGGTCATGTCGCCATCCAAAGTACTGCCAGATGCGTCTGAGGACGATGGCTTGTGTTGGTAGTTAGCCATGGAAGCGTCTTGGTCAATTGGAAGAATCTGATAAAACAATAGGTATGGTGACTCGGTTTTCAAAGCCTGCTCGATATCGATAAGAGTCACCCGTTCCTTTGCTAGATCATCAAACCTCATCCAGTGTTTAGGTGCCTCGCAAGAAATGGGACCTGTTCCATCACTCGATCCTGGTGGAACAGGGCTTGTACCTCTGACGATGGCGATGTAATGACCTGAGTCAACCGAGTTGCCTCTGTGGCAGACTATCGACTGTAGAGATAGCTTAAAGTTCCCATAGATCGGAGCGTTCGAATCCATGTTGTCATCCTGGATGAAATGTGGCAGTCCAATTTCGGTTGGAATGTCAACAAACGTATTCAGTCGGACGGATGTTCCATTCGGAAGGAAAGAGTAGCGCTTCAGGCATATTCCCAGAATAGGCCTTTTGGAAGAAAAGTGTGCTGCAACTTGAGCATCACTGGTTGGTGTATTGTCAGTGTACCATGCTGTCCAAGTTAGCTTTATTAGCCGAGATTCAATTTTGACTCAAAGGGAGGGTCGACATACGTATCAAACTGAAGAATTGCCACGCCGGCATCATCACTTCTTTCCGATAATTGCCCCTTTGAGAATTATCTGACGTAAACGGATCCTGATCACTAGATGATGGACTGTCTGAGGAGTTGGGAACAAATCGCTCTCTAACCAGGCTATCCTTTCGACTGAGTCTTCGTCCTGACGACAGAGATTCGTTGAACTCCGAAAAGGACGACCAAGAGCCTAATCTGCCAATTCGAGGCGAATTGGATTGAACGGATTGGACTGGTGAAAGTCTTGGAGTGGAGCCAACCTCCTCGACGTGAGAAGCGAAGCCTTTGGTCGTGGACAGCGATTCAAATGATCTGGTAGATCCCAGGGTGTTTCGTCGCTCAAGATACCGTTTCACTTCAATTCTGTTGTTGAAGTAGGCCTCAAGGCAATCTTCGAGGGTGATTGTTCGACCATCTGTAGGTTCAGGCGGAATGGCAACTTCCAACAAACGTTCATTGATGAACTTGTGATCACCACTTGCGTCTTCCTTCCCAAAATGGTAGATATCCATCTTGAGCGTGAGTAGGGGAAGTTCTAGCTTTTCCGTTATAAAGGTAAAAGCTTCGGAGGTGTCCTGCTGTTGCAGCTTAGCGGCATCTTCCCAGCCACACTCAGCAAGGGCATCTTGGATGTGTTTCGTCTTCCAAATGTCAGGTTCAAGATCTTCAAAGGGGCAAAGGTAAATTGAAATTAAAGTTTAGAATTGACATACCATATCAGCTGTGATCAATTTACCTGATCGCAGCAGATTGACCCACAACCTCAGCAAAGTGACCAACTTCCGACGGGGCTCATCGTTGAATGATTTGTATAAAATCGCTTCAAAGCAGTCGAGCCGAGCAAACATGGCGAAAAGCAAGGCGTCCAAGTAACAGGTCACACCTTGTCGATTCTCTGCACCCAGAAGCTTCGTGGATGGTTTGTAGGTTCTGATGATACCCTCAATCGAGTCCTCTAGTAGCAACAGCAGGGTGACCGCCTGGTCGGTATCCTCCTTGGTGGCATGCAAAGCATAATTGAAATGACGCTCTTCAAGGCCACTGATACCCATTCCTCGGATCTTGGCTTCGATCAATCGCGTCTATGTATGAGTTCTGGTTAATGCATGAACATCAATGGAGAGATTGAGAGTGGAACCTTTCGCTGATGCTCTTGGTTCTCCTCGGCTGTGGCTTGTTTTTCAAAAAGGCCACGAAAAATAGGCAAGGAAACATTAGGAGAATTCTATGAATAAGATAAAATATATAAGCGACTGGTTCATGTATCCTGGGAAAGGCTGAAAGATTGTTCGGATTTGAAAGAAAGTTGTGACAGTACCTCTTCTTTGCCTTGTCGGCGCCGGTCACGACGAGTAAGAAACTTGTGAATCCCGCTCATAGTGGCTGTGCGTATTTGAAATGATATGTCGGGTTTCAGGAACTCCCTGGTTAACAGGGAAATCGGAAAGGTAGGTTGATGAGATCACTGAGCGGGCGACATGCGGAGAAGCCTCCAGGCTACGTAGTCAGGAAGCTAGACTAACGGCAGGTGGACTCGAGGCTGCAGGATTTCCATAGAACTCTTAGAAAGCACATCATATGCCACGGTAGCTTCTGATATGCGGCACGGGATAACTCAAGAGAGCCACTCCGGTCGTCAAAAGAGATGGATGCAAGATGATTCGATAAGACAGGTGCGGGCTGATCGAATGAAGCTCGGACGTGTTGATCACTTTCGCGGGGCACGAGCGTCTGATCACAATGCAATCTGCCGGGCGGTAGGTTAGGCGGTCTGTTCCGAGTCGGTGATCTCGAATGGCATCTCAAAGAGGAACATTTGAAGCTGTACTCCATACCCGCCTTGCAGATCTGGATTTTCAATTTCGAATTCAAATATGCAGTATATGGGGATATTTCTTCTTCAGTGACTTGAATAGAACTATCACATCATGCGCGTTTGCCTAGGCTGAATCTCCATTCTCATGTTGCCTGGTATCCAAAAGTTAGTCGTAGTTTGCCAGCCCAAATCGATATCTTCGATATTGCAATTTTCTTACTGTTTGCTCTCCTCTTTCTGGTACCATATGTCCCGAGCAAGTAATGAATGATTCCAGGATCGTATGAATCCCAAAATAATAACTTATTCATACATATGAGTTGATTTTATATTCCATTCCAGATGTCAGGCTGGTCAAACTGAGTCCTCCTAGCAAGGCTTCCAATATTTCGGTCTAAGTGCCTATTTAACATTCAAGTTTGAACATTCAGATCGTGTTAAAGTAGTGCTGGCAGCAGTTCTTCAAGTTAGGTCCATATAAGCAAGGTTCATTTAGCCCTTGGAATGCTGCTGCGGCTAGCGCTGTTACGTCCACGGTAGTTAGAATTCATGGGTGGTGATTCGAAACACATTCAAAATGTCATTTCAAGCTTGAAGAACTCCAGCAAATGTTTGAGTTCATACAACAGTACTATGACCTTGAGCTAAATTGACTTGAAGGTACTATTGTTCCCTAAAATTGAGGTTACCGTTTTCGCCTGGAACTATATGAACCAGTTGGTCGTCGACACTAACACCTCGTATATCAGGCATCAAATATTTAGCCACGTGACTTGATCCCCGAAGTGCAAACAATTTTCCCGCAGGTCCCTGGGCTCCATAGAACCTCGAGTTCAACAATACCATATATCTCCCCACACAATGGCTGCCAGAGAGCCATCCAGATACCTGGCAAGGGCACTTCCCAGGGCATTCGCCCCTTCTGCCCGCCCCCAGGCCTTTTTGGGCCGACGCAATGTCTCCGATGAAGCCCCGGGTCGACGTCTATCAGACCAGCTCGAGGACTTAGAGACCTCGTCTTCATTGTCGGCGCAAGTTTCCGATGCCGACGCAAAGTCATTTGACCCCGTTGCGCGAAGCAAAGCTCGCAAAACCCAACTTCCCCGGAGTCGGTATGTATCCTCCATTCGCAGTGCTCTCTTTTTCCCAACGGGACAAGGACGGAGAAGCTTCTTGAAACAGTCCCAAAAAAAGATTTATCCTAACTCGAAACGTCCAGATACCAATTCCGCTCTCCTAAATATGATCGCGGTCCTCTTCACCCTCACCAACCCCCTGCTCCCTCCGATCCCTCCTCCCGTCTCTTCGTCCCCGGTCCTTTCGCTCTTCCCCGTGCCGAGCAGACCTACAACTCAACCGTCGCATCTGACATCCTCACCCTCTGCTACGTGCACACTCCACCAGGCTTCAAGCCTCCAGTCAAGGCATCCCGTCTCCGTGAATGGGATGACAGCTCCCCGTACCACAAGAACCGTCCTCTCCGCGGACCGCGTGGTGGAGATGTATTGCGTTTACTCCGCAAGCCAATCAAATTCAACAACGTCCCCAAGGTTGAGCGCATCACTATACACAGTTACGTGAAGTCCGCCGCTTCAGACCACTCCGGTTGGTTGCATGTTGCTGGTATCGCCGTGCAGGCTATCTCCAACGTCCGAGTTGAGACCTTCAAGTCCAAGTCTAGTGTTGCTAACTGGAGCATTGTCCCTGGTCGTGATACTGTGGCTGTGAAGGCTGAGCTGCACGGTGAAAACATGTATCACTTCCTTGGAAAGCTGATTGATGTTGTTCTCCCTCGCATTAAAGATTGGCCTGGTGTTAAGGGAAGCAGTGGTGATAGCAGTGGAAACATTACCTTCGGTCTGGAACCGGAGCAAGTTGCTCTTTTCCCTGAGATTGAGGTCAACTATGATATGTAAGTCTTCTTTTCCCAGGGTTCCATTTGTCATTGGCTTTGTTGCTTTCGTTCTGATACTAATCTGCTTGTTTTTTAGGTACCCCCCCTAAGATGATTCCTGGTTGCCATATCACCCTCCACACCACCGCCAAGGCGGACAAGGACGCCCGTCTGCTCCTCAGCGCTATGGGTATTCCTTTCTACGGAAAGATCATCCACTGAGGCACTAAACTAATCACTTAACTCTACTGGTGTTGTGATTTCGTTCCTCTCATCCCCTTCGGCACATTGTGTTCCTACAAAACCTGTAACTTTAGAAGTGACCTGCATAGTGGTCATTGCGATTCACCCAACATTTTGTATTATCTCTTCATTTTTTTACCAATTTTATCAAGCGAAAGACATTAGAAAAGAACTATGGCAGTAGCTATCCTCAAATAGAATTGTAATAATAATGATCATGGGATTCGCTGTGCTTAAATCAAAGCTAAAGCTCGAGGAGACCACTAAGTGTACACGCAAAGTACTCCATGACCAACGAGACCCAGATCCCGAACAAGAATAACCCATCAAATCAGAACCATCATGCATGGATATCATTGTGCTGAATGAAAAATAGAAAGAAAAGAAAAGCATCAATCATCCCAGTTTCGGCATAGCCAGGAACTTGCATTTTAGAAGCTCATCTGCACTGGGCCGCTTCTCATAATCAATCTGGAAGGTCATATCAAGGAAATCCTTAGCCTCCTGACTCACATGCTCTGGAGCCGGGGGGCGAGCCTTATTACTTCCAATGGCAAAGATCGCTTGAAGCTGACTGCAGTCAGGGAATGGGTGAGCACCGATAAACATCTCAACAACCAGACAGCCCAGACCCCAGATATCGGCCTTCTTGGTGTGCGCGGTTTGTCGCACAACTTCAGGTGCCATCCAGTACACACTTCCCTGGAGAGAGGGGCGATTGATGTGGCCACCTCCACCACTGCTAGCGCGGGATCCCAGGACGTGAGATGCCTCCACACGCTTCGAGATACCGAAATCGGAAATCTTGACACCACCCTTGTTGTCTACAAGAATGTTTGCGCCCTTAATATCTCGGTGGATAATATCTTTACTGTGCAGGTAGGATAGACCCGCGAGAATCTGTCGAACAAAGTTTTTGACAAGGGGTTCCTGGAAGGTGTTGTATTGTTTCAGCATGGTAGCGATGGAACCACCAGGCACATACTCCAGGAAAATGTTCAGATGTTCCTCATCAGCGGATGTGCCCAGGTACTGTACGATATTTGGATGATGCATGCCCTGGAGAAGCTCGATCTCGTGCTTGAGCGCAGTGACCATGGTGTTCTTGCGTTGATCGAAGTCCGTGCCCTTGGTAGCAGAGGGGATCTCAACTTGTTTCACAGCCATGAGTTCACCGGTAATGGCATGCAGAGCCAGGAAGACACTTCCAAAGGAACCTTCGCCGATAAGTGAGCCCTTCATCCAGTTCGCCGGTGCGAAGTTGTTGCCAGCCAAGAAATCGTTCAGGCCGGGGTCCTCCTCGTCATCGTCTTCTGCAACAATCACGCTCATCTGATCGTTGAATGCATCGCCTTCAAGGGTAGCAACACTCATAGTCTCACCGACCGTACTCTGGGGCGAGGGAATAGCGTCATCGGAGCCACTATCAAGAGAAATGTAGGACTTCCGGTTCGGTTCTGTTGATGTTGGTGATTCTTCCTGGAGTGGTTGAAGGGTGGTTGATGCAATAGAGTCCCGGTATGAAGCCTGGGGGAGATTAAATTTGGAAATTGAGATAGGTCGTGCACGAGCGGCCGGTGCCACGCCTTGGTTCTGCAGCCAGGCATCGGCAATGTTGGGCATTGGGGGTATGGGAGGGATAGAAGGTAGGGGTGGAAGTGGCGGCGCATCCTTCAAGCTTGATGCGATACTGTAATTGCTGACAACACTGAGGCGACTGGCTGCACGACTGAGACGTTGTGATCTCCGCATTGTCTTCTCAATATCTTGCTTATCATGACTCGGGAAGAAGGACGGAAGCTCGTGGATAATCATCTCACTTGGAGGTCTCTGGCCGAAGAATGAACGAAGCTTAGCCACCGGATTGCGCTGGTCATTAGGCGACATTTGCTCTGGATCATTAGACGGAGAAGGACGATGCCGGGGGCCCATTGGTGAGACTGGCTGTTTAGTATTGATAACCTGCCAGGATTCACCTGTGAGCTGTTGAATCTTGTTCTGCTGGCGACGACTGGATTTGTTCAACGCGATTTGGTGTGTGACAGAACTCTCATCCACAGCCAGCTGCGATGCACGACGAAGTTCGTCATCATCCGGCTCTCCAGCATGAATCTTTCGCAAGATCAAACGGCCACGTTCAGACTTGGAGACGCCCTCGCAGATTTCCATAAGCTCACTCTCAGTCAGTCGTCGGCAATTTGCCAGATCTGGATCTAGTCCATCTAAGACATAGAAGCAATAGTTTCTGTATTGATGCTCTGGAAGCTGAAGTTTCTTGAGCACGCCGACCATGACCTCATCGGGTGTTTTGCAATGCCGAATATCCAAGACCTTGGTCTGTCCTCCGGTGTAGATCACGCGAATGACTGGCGAATTGGGTGGTAGAGGACCCATGGTCAACCCGTCGAGACTAGGGTTTCGTGGGTGCGAACTTCCTCGGCTCGATCCGTCATTGCGACCATTCCCTGAGCTGCCCGATGATGGCTGGTTCATGTAATCCTTGCGCCATCGATCTGAATCCCCGGCCGGAGATGTCGCAATAGATGGTCTTCCAAACTCCTCCGCCAGTTGAGACATGCGTCGATTACCCAATGTTGGGAAGCCCGAGAAGCGCGAGGGTTCGGTGGATAAGGCGGCGGTTTCTAAAGCAGCTAGTTTGTTCTATAGAAGGTCAGTGCACATATCGCAGGAAGTGATGAGTAATGAATGTCTTACAATATTCTTCTGTCGGGGGTGACGACGACGGCCTTGCTCCGAAGGTTCTTAATTGCGACGAAGATCCGCACTCGATCTCCGACCTTCTTGATTCCCATCTCCTGTAGTATCTTATGGTCGCAATCGATCAGGTTATCGCCGGTGAAATGATTTGCTGCAATGAGGTCAATGGCCATTCATCTTCAGACCGCTTGGTAAGAGCAAATACCTCTGAATAGTTGCTCGTACTGTCCACATTTGATGCTGTGGAGCCAGACCACCACTCTCTTCTCATCCCACACCCTATATCAAGTCAGTACGCGTCGCCAGTGGATGATATACTGACAATCTGTAGTCTCACCGAATATTCGCCAGCTCATCTTGCCCCTCTGAAAAATCCGACTTGGTTGGGCTTGTGAAACCAAATCCATCCAGTCGAGTGGCCGTTCCAGGTCGAGTGGTGGTTGTGGGGTGAGCCGTAACTGGAGTTGGTACCCCCAAGGGGCCATTAGCATACTGCGTCTTCGCCAGCATGATGCCTTTGTGCCCGTGGATGCCACGAGGTATCCTTATCTCGCCCTTGATGTTCGGCGGCTAAATCACACGCCCTTGCCTCCGCGGACAAGGGCCGTTTGAGCCGGGCTCGATTCGTAGTCGGAGGTTTCGAGGAGTAGTATCAACACATAATCATGGAACACTGTTGAAAGGGTCAGTCGTTGTTTATGGGGATATGGTTGAACTGGGTTGTCAAATGATGATGGGGTCTGGGGACCAGGAGGGGCGATGATATGCGGCCCAGGCCCGACCACCAGACCACCGCCTATTGGGCCCCGGACATTAGGTGCGACAGAAATGAATACTGACCTGTGTTGCACAATGGAACAAAGAGGACAAAGGGTCCCTGGCGGGCTGGATTGGAATTGGAAAGGACAACGGACTGAAGATGTCTGAGCTTTTTTGGGGTGGGAAGATCGGTGGAAGAACCACTTAGTGTGAGAGATCGGGCGTTTATCCCGATTAGCTCTCCACTTGACAGCCAAGACACAGATGATCTGAAAAACTCTTCGTAGTACGGATTAAAGAAATTTAGATGAACTACTTAATTAATTTTATCTGACGTTTCAGGGGGGATTTTCGGGGAAAAATTGTGGTGTAGCAGGATCAAAGTGAGACAACGGTCCATGGATGTATCAAGGGGCATCCCCATATCGTGATGTTTCAAGTCTTCAAAATTTGGTGGAAAAAGGAAAAAGAATCTTAGTAAAACTGAGCTATATAAGAAACATCCGGATCAAGGATAAGATATAGGCTCATTATAAAAGTAAGTTTTAATAGGTATACTAGCAGAAAGATACTAAGTCTCTCACATTCACTAGGTATTATTTATATCTCTTACTTCTACTTTAGATATATCTTACTTCGAAGGGTTGGCTAGTATCTCTCACTGGTACTTTGTCTACCTCTTACTTCAGGATTTAGGTTCTCCAGAGCCGTGTCTTCAAATTGACTCAGAGTTGTCAGAAGTCACTTCAATGTTTTAGTAAGGACTACTCGGTACTATATGACTCGGACTCGGACGGGTCCTAAGAGACCACTTGCTGCATGGATCCAATGGATACTGGTATAGATTATTAAGACATAAAGTGAAAATGTACTGATACACCAATCAGGATATAAGTAGACGGGGATTACCAATGCCCTTCTCATCATCTATGATGCTAACTACTTATGATCAAGGTATATCTCATCAATTAGATGCCTCCGGCTGTACCTGCGTATGTTTTCAACTTGAACCTTGAAAGCCTGAGTTGACACGGCACTTGAGCATAGTCTCGGATGATTGGTAGTACTAACCAATAATTATTAACCTACTATCATATTTTAAACTTATCATGTCTCAGCTGGAGCACCTTCTATTACCTACTACTAGTATGCCTAAGTACCTTTTTGGAACTGCTATATGAGAAGATATTAGAAGTGACCTGTCAGTGCTACTACTTTCTATTACGTAGGAACCTTAGGCTCCAAGAATCCAATCTACTTCATCTAGATGTCCCATATTTAAGCTTAATTATATCAAATTATTCTGAATAAGTCTTGGCATCCAATTTCTATTTAGATCACCTCAAGTAACGTAACCTGGCCACTAGATACAGCTCGCTAATTTTATCCTTAATACATGAGAACAAATCCTATATTCGAGCTGTATGCTTAAACACACCTTATCGAATCATTCATATCCAACCAATAATTGTGATACATTATATGCATGTTGTTATTAACCTAGCATGTACTCCGTATGGCTTGTAGGTAGTATCAGCTCCACATATTTACCAGTAGATACCTCAGAACTCTACATCGTTTCCAAGGTTGAATTCAACTAAATAGATATATGATACTCCATAATTCAGCTATAGAGTATATGTAATATCAGGTATCAAGTACTTTATACATGCTCCAACTTGACCAGTTGGGCATCGGCTCTCCGCACTTCAAGTTGGTGGAGACCATGCAGAACAACCTGTTATGCGGCCACACTACAAACTCGGAGTAGAATTCCCCCCTACCAATTTCTCTCCAACTTGAATCTATGCATAAATTGTTTTTTAATGAATTTCATGGCATGACTATAGTATATCCCACGTGACCCTCACGCTTTTTTCCCCCCCTCACCCGCGTCCAACCCCACAGTCCATTTTTTTCCCCGCTCAAAGAAGTTCCCAAGTTTCCCAAAAGCCTCAAATTCTTTTCCCCTCTCTGGTAAAAAATAACCCCAACTCCCTCGGAAATTTTTACCCCCCACCATGGAGGACGATAAAGCTGCCAAAGTCAAGAAGAAGGCTACCGCTCATCGCAAGTCTCTTTCTTGTGAATATTGCAGCCGATCTTTCGCCCGCCTGGAGCATCTCCAACGCCATCTCCGCACTCGTTGAGTAACCCCAAAAACATGGGAGTGACCTCTGGACTAATGTAGGACAAATTAGATACCAAGGAGAAGCCCTTCTCATGTGACATTTGCTCCAAATCTTTTGCGCGAAGGTAATTTCTATCCGAATGGTCAACTTATAACCGTCCAATCGCTTACACGCATGCAACCAGTGACTTATTAGTGCGACATGAGCGCTTGGTCCATCCCGCTGAGACTGCAGCTGGTCGAGAACATCGTACACAGAATGGAAACGAGAACAGTCACCATGAAATTCCAATTCAGTCGTCCATTACCCAACCTGCCCACCACGAGTCGCGCATGCTAGAGTTGGCCGACGCTATTCCCGTCCATACCCAAGTCCCTCCTCCTCCACCTCCCGAGGTGCAGATCCAACCACCGTCGATAGTAGACACCCCACATTTCAATCCCTCTTGGGGTTATGACTTGAATTTATTGTCGCATGCTGCGAGCCATGTTGCATTGGAAGGACAACAGGAGAGTCTGGAGTCGATCAGGAAAACATCGCATTCGGTCGGCACGCCATCCCATTCCCTTCCTCATGTTCCAGAGAGAGCGATCACCGATAATTATGGTCTAGAGCCCTCTATATTGGATCTCACAGATTTGGGTGACCCGGTCCAAGATTTTACTGTCTTCTTAGAAAGTGTTGGCCTCTCCTCAGACTGGGATTCGGGAGTATTCTCCTCTGTTGAAGAACCAATGCTACCCCCAGGTTTATCCATGGACTCGAAACAACAAGTAACTTCATCAGGAAGGCTGGGTGGAGATTTGATGAGTGATCCTCGAATGCAAGTGGATGAACACCCATCATTTTCCAACTTTGGATCCCGATTACCATCGCTGCAGCCCGAATCACATGAGATTGAAGATCGCATTGGCCTTCAGGATGAAGGATCTCGACCGGCTTGGGATATTTCAAATGCTGATCGTCAAATATTCGTCTCAAAACTTGAGGAATTCTCATTTGTTCTGCCAAAAGGATTCGTGCCACCGTCTCGACATGCCCTATCCCGGTTTTTCGCTGGATATATTAATGGGTTAAATGAACATCTACCGTTTGTGCATGTTCCCACTCTGTCTATTGCCAAATGCTCACCAGAGCTCACATTGGCCACGGCCGCTGCTGGATCGCATTACCGATTCGAAAATGGTCGGGGAATCGACTTGTTCCATGCGGCAAAGGCTATCTTGCTAGAACGCCTTCGTCGGCGGGATAGTCGGCAAGTACCTCATCCATCTTGGAATTACATATCTCCTCCTTCTGGGCATTATAATTCACGTGGCTCTTCTATGATCTCAAATACAACCAGCAGCCCCTTTCAAACACACCATCATCTGCCAAATCCTCCTGTCAACGCGTCTATCTATACACCTGACGATTCGGATGCCCATATGGAAGTGATCCGAACCTTCTTACTACTTACAGTGTTTGCCTCCTGGGAAAGACACCCAGAATTGCTACGAGAAATCCTCTCACTCCAAAGTACCCTGGCCAGGCTCGTTCGTGAACATGGCCTGACGGAACCACCTCCCACTCCAGATCCCATCAGCTGGGAAGAATGGGTGCGACGAGAAGGTAACAGACGAACAAAGATGATTGTCTACTGTTTCTTCAACCTGCACTCCATCATGTACAACATTCCCCCGTTGATTTTAAATGGGGAGCTGAAGCTGAATATGCCCTGCTCCCATGACTTATGGAAAGCCAACAACGCCATTCAATGGCGTCGAGCGTACCGCACGCGGCAAGGCACCGATGTCTCTTTCCAAGATGCGTTTGCGCGGCTTTTCTTAAAATCCTCTATCTCGCACCCATCAGCCCCAATCTCTCCCCTGGGCAACTACATCCTCATTCATGCCGTAATTCAGCAAATTTTCTTCGCCCGCCAGCTTTGTCTCTCTGCGCCGAATATGCAGGGCACCAGTTTAAGGCAAGAAGATCTCAATGTGCTGGATAATTCCTTGAGTGCCTGGAAAGCATTGTGGAAACGAACCCCCGAATCTAGCATCGATCCTCAAAACCCAGCGGGTCCTATCGCATTCACATCAACTGCGCTCCTCGGCCTTGCTTATATTAGATTGCACGTTGATTTAGGCCCCTGTCGACACCTCATCACCCAGGATCCCATGCAAATCGCAGGGGCTCTAGCTGAATCACCCCCGATTGTTCGCAGTCCACGCCTAATCATGGCGCTGCTTCACTCTGCTCATGCTCTCTCCATTCCAGTCCGCCTGGGTATCGACTTCGTGGCTCGCACACACTCCTTTTTCTGGAGTATCCAACACTCTCTTTGCAGTCTTGAGTGTGCATTCCTTCTAAGTCGCTGGTTACTCGCTATTCCAGCAACGCAACCCGAACAGCGGCTTTCGGAACATGAACGAAAACTTCTTTTGTGGATTAAGAGCATGATGGATGAAACTGACATGGCTGTTGATCCACCTGGTGCACCGGACTTGGAGTTCATGGCTAATCCTTTTAAGGTGCGCCAGCTGAGCGTGGCTATTGTCCGCGTTTGGGCTCGCACTTTCAAGGGAAATACCAGCTGGGCGATTGTCGACCTGGTTGGATCAAGCTTGGATGCTTATGCAGATCTCTTAGAGAGCTAAGAGAGGAACTTCTGGGGTCCGTATATCTGAACGCCATTTCTGATACCCATGAAGTTGCTATGACACAGTGGCTTGGCCACCTTAATGACGTTATTGCTCGACGTTTTTCTTTAATTCCTTTGATTCATTTTTGTCTCATTGTTTACCTTCTTTGTGAATGTTCTTTTTCTTTCTTCTTTCTTTATTTCTTTATTTCTTTTGGTGGATATCTATTGGAGTTCTGTACATGTGGATTGGAAACGTTGGAAGGAACTGGGAGAATTCTTACTTTTCTGTATGTATTATGACTCGTCATCTGCAATTGCTGTCTATACCCGATCCTGCGTGGTTTTCAGAAGCAGTGATGTGTTTGGCATTTCATTCTGATTTCAATCAAGCTTGAACCTTGAAAACAATTATTCGGGATAATTTCCTTTTACTGCGGTCATATAAAGAACTAAATGGGATTGATGCATTTCAAGGTTGTCATGATTGAATTGGACCATAAGTAATTTATGGAATTAAGGGTATCTTCAAGAATTTACCGAGACGCCTTAACCTTGTTTCTTGTTACACTGGCAGGCACAAACCGAAGTGCCGACATGGACCGTTCCAAGTTATCGATCTCCATATCATCTGTGACTGGTTTAGTCTGAGTTGCTGATGCCTGAGGAGTAGTTGTTGCAGTATTTGGTTGGGATGCCGAACTCCGACGTCGTAGTCGTCCTTCGTTGATGGAGGAGATAGATGCCGTAGAAATGCGCCGACGGTTTCGATCGCTATTCATGGGCCTCAATAGAGAAGTGTGTTTGTCGATCCCATCATTAATAATGTAGAAATTGTAGCTCTGCAATTGGGACTAGTTAGCAATGTCTTTGGAAGCGAATTGCTACTCTGAACTTACCCTGGGAAACATATGCTTGTCTATCAGGTGCATTCGTCGTTTCTGGGGGGTCGAGCATTGTCGCTCGCATGTTTCAACAAAACAGCTGTACTACTCATTCAGACATGAATTAGGAAAAGTCCCATCTTCAAGCCTCGTATATGCAGTCATATCACATACCGTTTTATCACCTCGTTCTTTTCGGGCTGCTACAAGAGGATCATGGTTTTCCTCGATATGCAGGTTCAAGAAATGTCCAGTGGGGAAATTCTTGCCACACTGTGAACAGCGGTTGACATGAGTTTGCTGATAGTGAACTTCGTAGTCCTCATAAGAAGCAAAGGAGAGAGTCTCTCTATGGGGTGGTAGTGCACAGTGCATAACCTCAGAGACGGAAATAGAGTCCCGCGCGATCTTCGTTCTCTCTGGTGGAGGTGTGGAGTGATCTGTTGTATCCGGGGACCTTGGATGCGAGTCCAGGTCTGAGGAGGAGCCAGAGTGGCTCCGAGAGCGTTTAGACATATTTACCAGCTCTGACTTTGCGGTGTCGGGCCTGCTTAATGTGATCGGTCACGGTCCACTTTGGCGGGGCTTTATGCAGTAGGGTGTGGCGACAAGATAGATAGTCATAAGGGGTTATTCCATGATGAAATGAATTGATAAGGTTATAAAAGAAATAAAAGAAGACTCAATATTCTCACATCATTGAAAGATACTAGTATAATTGAAGGTCAAAGTGATCAAGTTCAATGTAGATGAGAAAATCCCCACTCGCTTCTATCGTATCCAATCACCGCTGTCCAAGGGGGAGTTGCCGCGCTTGTGCCTTTTACTCCACGCTTTTTCTTGATATCGGATCTTAAGATCTTCTCTCCTCTCACCTCCCCCCATCAGGCCTGATGGCTTTTCTACTGTGTTTTAAGTCCGACGTCTTTCTAGGACTCATCTGACGCACACCTGGAGTCAGCGGGTTTCCCGACTATGGCGTCCTCGTTCCAGGATGCGTGGCAGTGAGTGCTCCGACCACCCCTCCGTGCTTGACACAGTGAAAAAGACAAGATATCAAAAATTGAATACAGCTTCTTACAATGATGGTTTTTAGGATTGCGCTTGATGCTGAAAGGGAGCTCTTGCGATGCCTCGCTGAGAAGGAACCAACCTACGTGGAGTTTACGCACTATCTAGCCGAGTCAGTCTTACATTAATACCTGTGCGCCCCCCCTCGGTTCACACTGACCATGATATGATCATGTCGTTAGGCTCCGCTCCGCATCCCAGAATGCTATCCTCCTCGATTTCGATGCCGCTCGAGAATACGACATTGAAGGTCGCCTATGGGAAGCACACTTGAAAGTCAATACCCGCTTTCGCAAGAAGCTCTCTCGCGTGAGTGCCGGTCATTTGGGAAGAAGGCATATAGATATTCTGGTCGCTGACTCGTGCGAATCTGGATAGCACAAAGAGGAGAACGTTAAAAAGAAGCCCGTCGAGAAACGGAAGCTCGAAAAGCATTATCTGGACTTCATCAAATCAAGTCAGCGTTTCTACCGCGGATACATCCAGCATCTTTCTTCGCACTTCGGCGGCATTCTGGAATTGGAGAAAGTTGCGCGCAAGTTCAATTTTGAAAGTGCGACATATTCTACATAATAACCTCTCAGTCGGTCTGACGGTTAGAAAGAAAATGCTAATCATTTCGTCTCTTTTCCAGACCTCGCCGCGCAGCCCCCAATCAAAGTTACGCCGGACTTACGGAAGCGCATTCTTCAATCTTGCCACGCAACGCTTATTCGACTCGGTGACCTCTCTCGGTATCGGGAAACGGAATTAGTGAACAAGGATCGTAACTGGGGCCCGGCCATCGGCTATTATGATTTGGCTTCGGTCATCTACCCTACCTCGGGCGCGTCACACAATCAATTGGCGGTTATTGCGCTCGCTGATGGCAATCACTTCCGTGCTACCTATCACCTCTACAGGGCATTGTCAGCTCGGGATCCCCATCCATCGGCTAAGGGAAACCTGGAGATTGAATTTAGAAAGGTTATGAATGCGTGGGCCAAGCGAGAGTTGATTCGTCCAGAAGATGCCGGTATCCCAGGCCGAGCTTTGGCTCCTTGGTTTGTCTATCTTCATGCGCAGTGCTATAAGGGCAATGATTTCTCAGAGCACGATGAATTAGAGAGTGAGGTTATGAGCCAGCTGGCTGTGGATGTCAGAGAACAGAGATCCCTGGAGGGTACGCTCCAAAAATTCTGCCTTGTCAATATTGCCGCCGAGGATTTTGCTCGAGCACGAGCTACCGAAGAGTCGGCGAATGCGCGCATCTTCTTCGAGCGTATCAACGTGAAGACATTTTTCACATTGCTACAAATCTTGCTGGTTGAGCTGGAACGGTTCGCAGTGGAAGAATCCAATAGCAAGCCTGCTGATAATGGACCAGACAAGATGACTGTGGTTGCGCGTCGAATCCTACCTGCTCTGCGCCATTACAGTTCCTGGCTTCTCGCTACTAGCGACTTCCTTATCGCGCAGAAGGAAGAAAAGGACTCGGCTCTCTCGATCCAGATCAAGGAATTCTGGAAGATTTATGCTGGAACCCTGACTCTTCTTGCGTCTACCTTTGATGTTGTGCATCTCCCAGAGATTGACTACCTTCTAGAGGAAGACGAAGAAAGTCTCGGATTTGCACCTCTAGATCAGAAAGCCAATACTCGCCGATACTATGCTACGGAGGACCAGCTTAAACCTCGTGTGACCGATCCCGGTGTTGAAAGAAGTCATCCGAATATGGAAATGCTTTATCGGGTTCGCGAATTTGTTATCGATGGTCTTGACCTGGTCGTTGGAAACAGAATTCCTATTGCTCTGGTGGACGATGAAGATAAGAAGACCTTCATCTATCAAGAGGATGGTCTGTCTTCTCAAATCTTCTCCAGCCCGATGGGTCGTCCGGATACTCTTCCAAATGCCAACATTGAGCGCGAGGATATTCCACCGCCAACTCAAGACTCAAATTCGGTCGCCGAGGCTCGCAGCATGTTTGGAGGCTCTCAGTCAGCCACTGCATCGATGTCTGCCAATATGCATCGCATTGTGGAAGGCGTTGAACGTCTGGTCGAGTCGGACACTTATGAGAATGCACCTGGCATTCCCGATCAGTTTGCATCATTTCTAAATGACAATGAGGATATGATCACGCCGCCCGGTCATATCAGGCCCAGTTCACATGGCTTTCCTTTCACTGAACCAGGCGTGCAGCCGCTTGGGACCCCTAGGGCTCCTCCGGGCCTGGGCCCGCCGGCTGTCAATGCTGCTGCAGCTCTTCATACGTCCTTGTCTCAGTCATACACGCCGCTGCCCGCTCTGCCCAGTATTCCAAGTATCTGGAACACTTCATCTTCGGGCCCGCTAAGAGACGGCACATCTCCACGTACTCCACCAGGTCTTGGCCCGCAGGCCCCAATGCAGCAAATGTCTCCGGTCAATCCCATGTCCGAGCGGTCCCCCTCTCAAGGCCAGATCGCCAACGAACTACTCCGCCACGGCATGATGGGTCAAACTCAGTTTTCGAATTCAATGGATGCATCGCCGTCTGTTCCTTCATGGATGGCAGCCTCCAACATGTCTGCAGCCCAGGCTCAGCCTCAGGTCCCAACTCGGCCCTATCCAGCAAATACTTGGGAACGAGAATCACTCGGTCGAATGACCTTTGGCTCTTACGAGTTGCCCAGCCAAGCTATGTCGAGTATGCCTGCACCATCATGGGCGAATGATGCATTCATCGCCAGTAGCCTTGCATCTAGCACGAGTCAATTCCCCCCTGGCTTGGGCGGCCACCGAAAATCGGCTTCTCAACTTGGTGCTATTGGACAGACACCACGATGCGGTCAAGGAGGCTGATCATATTCCCGGCTTTTGTTTTTAGTACGGTAAGTATGAAAATATGGCATTATGTGCTCTGCAGCACATTCTTAACTCACCCCGTATCAGCTATACGAGAAGGTGATGTCAAATTATCTCAAATCCTGCGCAACTGGATTCTCTTTACGTATTCTGGTATCGGTGTGCTCTATTCCCGTTTCACATGGTCAAGAACTATCCAGCACAGATCAGACATTCATATGTCATGGTTAATGAGATCTGATCGATGTCCATGCTCGTTTTGATATTTCCTTTCTGATGGATGCAACTGCATTTCAGCGTCGAGTTTCAGCATCGTGGTCTACGAGCCCTTGACTCTCAACCCGATCTGTTCTCATAACCTGAATTGTCTCCCCTCTCAAGTTAGGATTTCATGGTTTTCTACGCTCTGCATTGAGATGTATGGATCCATTCTCGATAATTCCTATCACTCCTTGTTTCCTTTCTGTGGCATTCCCTTTCACTTTCTTTTCGTGTTATGAAAAGATAGATAAGTGGTCTGCACTGCGCGTTCAACACTCGACACAGCTGAGAATGATGTTGGAACTGAGACATTAGAATGACTGTCGATGTGTTGATGTTTCCATTTCTCCCTTTTCATTTTCTCTTCTTTGTTCTTTTCTCTGTTTCATGCGAGATGAAGTCCAGTCATGACCAAAATAGTCTTCTGTCTTTGTGTCACCCCTTTCTTTATTCCTCTTGCAATGTCTTAGCGTGTGGATGTGACATGATGGATGCACATTCAAGATACGACTCTTTGGAAAGGGCTTTGGTTTCGGGAATGGGTTAGGTAGTATTATGCAGAAAGTGGTGGGGGTCTAGTGTTGATGATAGGGTCAATGAATATTCAAATTAGCATCATCTTGTTACCGTTTAAATCTGCCCAGGTGTGGATGGATCATACCTACATGTAGGTACCTAGGTAGTAACCTTGGAAGACTACCTACCAGTACTAAGTATTCTTGTAAAGAGCAGCCCTGGAGGTCCATATGAACATTCAATGTTGCAATTAAAACCCAAAGTTTCGATCTCATCGTTTCATTTCATTTAAATTTTCAAGTTCTTTCAAAAATGTTCATTCCATTGGTAATGGGTTGGTTGTTGTTGTTGTTGAAAACAGGGCCTGCCCCGGTTTATCCCGTTGAACTTTGGAAGTTGATACCTATCTGTGGATATATCTCCACTGAGTTCGAGTTTCCGACTTCCAGTTTTTTTTTCTATCCATATCGCACAACAATGCAAACTTGAAGACGCCATGTTAGACGTGAGATGTCCAGCGCAACAGTCCTTCGAATACATGTGTACCCATTTTGTCTTGATTGAAACGACCTCGGGAGTAAAAAGAAAGAGATATCACCCAAGGGACAAGTGCCTTTGCGTTCGATTCTTCGACGTTAAGTCGGAAATATAATAAGAAATAGAAAAATATAATAAGAAAATAATTGGGTATAGAGGGTTGAATCATCCAAAGGTTGGTGGTGCAAGTTCAGTCAAGTGGCATTGAGTTGCACCGAGATCTTCCAAAGTGGAAAATCTTGTGTTGAAAAGTCATCATATCTAATTTTGAGCGGTACTGATTTATGACCGGGAGTAGGTCTGCTTGGGGTAGGGGAAGCTATAAAATCGCTCAACGTTAGTATGTGGTTACAGAGATTAGGGCATTACGGGCAAACTTACGAAGGTCCAAGCTCCTGGATGCTCTTGGCGGCGAGCCACTGGCCCATGTCGACGGAGTCCTCCAGGGACTTGCCACCGACAAGACCGGCGAGGAAACCACCAGCGAAGGCATCACTACGGTATATATTAGCATTCCGCATATTTCAATCAACTCGGAGGGACTTGTTAACTCACCCGGCACCGTTGGTGTCGTTGATGGCCTCCTTGGGGAGCTCGTGGACGTTGAAGGTCTTGATCTCAACCTCGCCGCTGAGGGAAGCGACGGCAACAATGGTAGCTTCAGTGCCCTGAGTGACGATGGAGACACGAGCACGCTTGTTGTTCTTCTTGGGCAGGAGGGCGAGCTTCTTGGCGATCTCAACCACATTCTCGGTACCCCACTGGTGACTCTCAGAGTAGGCAACAGCCTCAGTCTCGTTACAGACAGTGTAGTCAGTGTAGGGGAGAACACTGTCCAACTGGTCCTTGAAGAACTGGGCGATGAAAGGAGCGGACAGAGAGAGCATGAAGGGCTGAAGGTTTCCATGTATGTGAGCAGACGATCTATAAATTAGGGCAAGGATTCAACCATACCTTGTTCTTGGCAGCGGCCTCCTCAGCGAGGGCCAGGATAGCAGGAACACAGACAGTCAGGGTGGAAACCACCGACAAAGTAGAACTGGGCCTTCTCGACGAGGTCCCAGATGTGGGCCTGCTTCAGGTGCTCGAGCTTGTACTCGTTGGCAGCAGCGAGGTGGGTGCACAGGCTGCGGTTGTGGCCAGTGATGACAGCACCGCACTTGCCAGTGGGCTGGGTCTCGTCCACACGGTACTCAGTGTGGACACCGGCCTCCTCGCAGGTCTTCTTGAGGATCTCACCGTAGTTGTCCTTACCAACACAACCGATGTAGAGGACAGAGTTATCGGGCAGCAGGTACTGAGCACCCCGGGCAGTGTTCTGAGCAGCACCACCGGGGATAAGTTTAGCATCAAGCTTCATGAGGTCATCGTAGAGACCCATGTGCTGCTCCTCAGCGAGGATAGCATCATTGGCCTTCAGGCCATACTTCTCGAGGAGGGCATCGTCAGCACGAGCCTGGATATCGAGGAGAGGGTTCTCCAAGCACAGAAGAGGGTAACCTTGAGGGGCAGCCATTTTGAGATGAAAATGAAGACAAAAAGGGAAGTATTAGATAACGGGGGAAATGAATTGAACAAAATAAAAAGAGGAGCAGGAGGAGAACCTGAAGGTGGGAGAGGATGGAGGGGCCCGGCAGAAAAGAGTCCGGGCACCGGGCGGAAAGCGGCTCCACTTGATGTGATATGTTCCATCAGTTTAACCGTGACAAGTCTATTTGCTTTTATTTCCAAAGGGACAAAATACTATTTCCCCAATCATTTAATCTCAAAATACTTCACCATGGCCGACCATACACTGGAGATCCCTGAGATCATTCAAACCGCCTCAATTCAGTCCCATCCCTCCGCTGCTCATGACATCAACCCGTCCACTGCGGCCTCCGAGAAACGCCCCGTGGTTGCTGCTCCAGCTTCGGACGCCGGCAGCTTGTCCTCGGATATCGTCGATGAGAGCCGGGTAATTCGGCCCTTGCGCCGGCATCAGACACTCCCTCCACTCCCCGACCTTCGCTTCGAACAAAGTTATCTAGCTAGTCTGAAGGATGCGGATACCTGGGGACGGGTGGCATGGATCACCATAAGGGACCAAGTAAGTACCTGTGAGATGTCATGTTTTGTTTAAGCACTTTCTAATAACTGGTGGTAATTCCATAGGTCCTCCTCCCACTTATTCAAGGCACAGTCTGGACACTTGCACTTTCTGGTTGGAAGTTCTGGAACCGCAGTGCCTCCCTTGGTGGACAAACGCTGGGCAGCAAAGTTCGTCGTTGGTGGTACGAGGTCAATAACTGGAAGCTTCCACCCAAGTGGACTAAGAGCCCGAAGTTGGCATCGCAAGTTGAAGAAGTGAGTAGACATCGTTATGGACTCTCTACCTCGCTCTTCGAATAGGGGCAATGCGACTGATGCTATTGGAGTTTTTGCAGTTCTATGAAGCCCAGTTTTCTAACGCTGGGTCGGATTGATATCTTGTGATTAAAAATACTATGACTGGGTTTCAAGTCCTTAAACTTGGATGCCAGCTACGTCTTGTCTGATTAGCACTTTTTTGGCGTTGGGGTTATGGTTTCGAATATTTGTTTTGTTCAAGTTCTACTGTACTATCCATATTGTCTGTTATATATCCCAATATCTAGATTATTACGCCACATTTCCTACATTTGATACGAGTATATTCCTCTCTTTCAACTGATTATCTTATTTCGATCCCTATCGTATCGCTCTATTGTACAGAAATAATACATTTCAAGCAAAGGTTCCCCTCTGGAGCGAAACAGTACACATAAATGACTTCTTGACTTCTCTATCCAAAAACGGGCATCTCAAAGGCTTAATTTTGCGGGTTCAATCATGGGGTAAGAGGAGCTTGAGGGGCTCCAGCGACAGAATGACTTTCGGCATGAGGAATTGGTCCAGACCATCCATTGGCTTCGGTTGGGTGACTGCTCTTTGGGGCTTCAGTGATGGCACCAATTGACATGGGCGATGCAGCTACCACTGCCGCTGGAGCTGCAGGCGTAGTGATCGGCTGTGAAGTCTGCGGTGCGGGAGTAGGGTAAACTGTAGAGGCCCCATCTTGACTAACAGGTTTCACCAGAGGATCCTGCCCAGGAGGCGGCTCCTCGGCAGATGTTTTGAGTTCACTTGGTACATTTCCTTTCCCATATCGAAGCTGGACAACAAGGCTAGGGGGGTTCGCCATCGATGATTGACTCATCGCCACTTGCATTTTCTCCTTCGTCGTCGCCCTCAAAATCGTTTTCATCATCTCCACTGCACCATTCATGGCCACTTTCATTTCCAGAATCTCGAGCCTCCGACTCATCATCAAGGTCATCAGCCGCATACCCAGAATAGCCATTAGGATTAGTAGATGTTCTAGATCTCTGTGGTCGTGTAGTATCTTCTTCCTCTTCATCCGAATCTTCTCGCTGTCCACTAAGCAGGGCCTCTCCGTATAGGCCTCCAGCGCGAGATCGGACCTGTCTTCCGCTAGCAGTAAATCGTGTACGAGACTCAGCAGGTGCCACATTAGATGAGGCATTGCGAGCAGACCGCCTGGTAGATTGGTCGTCGGAGAACATGTCCTCATCCTCAGAGTACGTGTACTTCAACCGTTTGCCACGAGTGCGGCCTTCGTACATTGAAAAGCCAGGCTCAGGTCGAGAGAACGCAGCCTTGCGTGCAAGACGATAATCACGACGGCGCCGTTTCTAGGCTTTCTGTCAGCTCTATACCTTGATTATTTTCATACAAAACTGACCTCTTCTGATGCTTCGAATCGTGGAATAGCTGCCATAATCCGCTCACTAAGTTTCTTGGCATTTGTTCCCTTCTCTTGCTGAAGCTTCTCGGCAATGATTTGTATCTCAGGAATACTTCCAGCGACACTCCGCCAGCTGATATTCTTCAGAGAGGGGTTACTTTCTCGGTACAGGCGGAAATGGGTGTCATCTTGCCCTTCAATGAGCCAGTATCGCCTTTTCAAACTATCTCGGCCCCAGGCTTGGACAGACAGCGGTTGGTTGAGATCATCGTCGTGGCGCGCTTGTTTGTACGATTCCTTGATTTTGGCCTGAATGGCATCAGATGAGGAAAGAGACCAGAGAACCAATGCTCTTAATAGTTCGAGCTAGAAAAGATGAGAAAAATAAAAGTCAGAAGAAAATCTCGGCATAACCAAAAAGAAAGCTCTGGTGCATACACGTTCTTCCGGCGACATGGTCGCAAAGCTGCGACCCCCATGAAGGGGATTCTTGCCCTCCCATGCTTTGGGCCATTGCGACTGATGCGTCGAAATTGCCTCTTCCAGTGGTCGCGTGTAGTGATTCCGTCTAGAAATTATATATTGTCAGTTCCTTTGATCCTGATGTCTTTTGGCCTGTAATAGCTCAGAGCGATCGGGTATTGGTAGCTCTGCGCCGGATTGCGGGATGGCGATCGGGTGGCGACCATACTCAACGTCCTTCTTGCGGTTCAAAACAAGGCCAAGTAATGCGCATAGTAATCTCTCTACATATTCACCAGGCGGTGACTCTTCTAACCCTCTCTCAATATCCTGTGGTCCAAAATGAGGCATGCTTCGAGGAAAGGCTTCGTGGAAGCGCGCGCGGAACGTGACAAGGAACTAAACAATGCGATCACTCAGCAAACGTGTTTTTGATTATAACAAACGCGTCATATGTATATGACAGAATCTAGTAATCCATTGAACATATCAGCGACAGGAAAACTCACAGGAATCTTGGGATTATCGGCCAGGACATATTCATGCGGTGGTGATGGCTCCCGCTTTGGCGGCGGAGTTTCCGACTCCTTCTTAAAGTACTTTGCAATACCAACTGGAGCTTCATCGACCTCCATAGCTTCATCATCTGTCGGAGGTGCTGATGACAGCGAAGAAATATCTGAATCTGAATGTGCCATGTTCAGAGGTGGGGTTGTTGGGGGTGGTTAAGATAGATGCTAAGAACAGAGTTGAAGTGCGCGAAGGAAACGTCACGTCGGGTCCTTGGGAACTGCGCCCGCAAAGGTGATTATTTAATGGATTCCTTACGCGCCTATTCTTCTACGCAATGAGCTTGTGTAGTATGGTTATGAGTTGAAAATTAAATAGGAGAGCTTTTCTATTATGATCTATACAGGGCTTCCTACATGAAATCGATTCTAAGTGCATAGGTTTTGCCTAAACTAGGTACCAAGGCGAGATTTTGAATGTGGGTGATCTCTGAGGACTGAGATCTCATTTACAAGGCAATTATTCAGCTCGGAATTGAATCAAAACATTCAAAACGGTCTTGCTGTTAAAAAGTTGAACCCCCTGGAGCTTGGTAGTATAAACCTTGTTAGAGAAGTACCATTGAATGTCTCTCAGGCTTATCATATTCAATTACATGTCTCCTGGCGACTGTTGAGAAAATGACCTGAATTGTTTTAAGTTAAATGTATGAGATCAAATATTCGATGGTTTATGCCCAGGTACTCAAGATGAATCAACTTATCCAGCACGGTCGGGGTGATGATACCAAGTGCAGGACCGAGTTATGGGCCTCAGGGTTATCGATAGGGTCACGTGAGGGCACTAGGTCATCGGCAGAGCAGCCTGGACATCGGCTACCATGACCACTGAAAAGATGAGAATAGTCTACTAGTGACCCATTTGGTGTAAATGCTCTTTGAGAGGGGTCAGACTCTCTAATTGCGATAATATTCCTATTATGGTCTAATTTTTTTTTTCCTGATAGCTGATTGAAAATTATTTGTCTTGTGGGGAATTGCGAAGTAGAGACTGTCAACTGGTCTAGTGAATCCATGGATCGAAAGTCAGGTGATCTAATTATATAATCCACATACCACTAACCCCAATTGGGTTTGATTAGCGACTGCGCCCTAAAGCCCACACAGTCCCGGTCTCCAACGATTTCTCATCCTCCCAACGACAAGCCTATCTTCAATTCGAGGTACGACCTTTCCTTCTCGACCGTCCCCGACCTCGTCTGTCCTCCTCAGTTATACTAACAACAGGTTCTTCTTTCCCTACAGACAGTCGCCATGGGTCGTGTGATCCGCAACCAGAGGAAGGGCCGTGGCTCCATTTTCAGTGAGTGCGACCGCATCCAAAAATCCCACAAACACATCCTGGATTGAAATTTCGGACGACGCTGCATTCGCGAGCAGGCAAGAGAATGGAATTACACTGGAATACACCACACCATTTTACACCACAATCGCAAAGGGAATTTGGAATGGATTGCTGATGTCGATTTTTTTTTCTGTCTATAGCGGCCAACACCCGTCTCAACAAGGCCCCCGCTCAGTTCCGTACCCTCGATTACGCTGAGCGCCACGGATACACCCGTGGTGTTGTCAAGGAGATCATCCACGATGCCGGTCGTGGTGCTCCCCTCGCCAAGGTCCAGTTCCGTCACCCTTACAAGTTCAAGATGATCACCGAGACCTTCATCGCCAACGAGGGCATGTACACCGGCCAGTTCATCTACGCCGGTAAGAACGCTCAGCTGACCGTCGGCAACGTTCTTCCTCTCGCCTCCATGCCCGAGGGTACCGTCATCACCAACGTCGAGGAGAAGGCTGGTGACCGTGGTGCGCTTGGTCGTACCTCCGGTAACTACGTTACCGTCATCGGCCACAACCCCGATGAGGGCAAGACCCGCATCAAGCTCCCCTCCGGTGCTAAGAAGGTCGTCAAGAACACCGCCCGTGGTATGGTTGGTATCGTCGCCGGTGGTGGCCGTACCGACAAGCCCCTCCTGAAGGCTTCTCGCGCCAAGCACAAGTTCGCCGTCAAGCGCAACTCTTGGCCCAAGACTCGTGGTGTTGCCATGAACCCCGTCGATCACGTAAGTTTTGACTGCTTTTATCCCCCAAATCTATGGATTCCAGGATCCGTTTTTTCTAACGTGGTTTTTTTCTATCTCTACAGCCTCACGGTGGTGGTAACCACCAGCACATTGGTAAGGCTTCTACCATCTCTCGCTACGCCGCCCAGGGTCAAAAGGCTGGTCTCATTGCTGCCCGCCGTACTGGTCTGCTCCGTGGTACCCAGAAGACCAAGGATTAAGGGTAGTGATGATGATTTGTGGAGTTATTCTTGTGACGGGTTGAAAATGGACTTCTGCTACGAGACATATGTACTTAGGCGGCTGCGGATAAGCGTCCCATGCGCCCTTAGCGAATTAAGGTTGTGGCCACCATCCTTTTTCTGAACAAACCAACAAAAAAGGGTGATGGAATGGGGTCCGGGGTTGGCCTCTGTCGAGGGCAGGATGGAAAATCAAAAATGGCCCAGTGGGGCTCAATGATACACCTTCGAAACTTCAAACTGTCCTGGTGCCTGCCCTTGTAGATTGTAGACCAGTACATTAATTCAATCAATCTTAGATAGGATTGATATCTACTGAGTACATAAGATTTAGTTAGGTGGATTTTTAAGGTTGATCCTAATATCTTGATGTTCAAGTGAGTCCGATCTATATGGACTTCAGTCATCGGTGTCTCAGGCTGGCCCAGTCCACATGCCCGCTGGCCAATGCAAACCTTCCATGTTCCAATGTTCTTCCGCGTGTACATAATACAGGTGTCCCCACCTATTAATCTATATGTATAGGTACGACTTCTAGATGTCGAGAATATTTGAAGGTTGAAGATACCTTTCCCAGGTATCGAGACAGGAATTGGTACTTATTACTACCTACATATGTGGACTTGTCTCAACCTTGGAAACTTGAAGTCACGGTGCCAGTACTCGACCTTCAGGACTCGGAGTCAACGTATTACTCATGTGCATAGAATTGCTGCCAGTGCCAGTGATCCCGACTCGGAAATTTCAATCAATCATATGTACATAGGTAGTACTAGTAGTAGTACATATGTAGCACTCCAAGTTCAAATGTTCCAAGCCTGAGGTTCAATGGATGCCAGTGTTGAGCGCTTGAGTACAATGGAACCCTCAATTGTATCCATCATGACTCGGATCATGTACATTGCTTGATCTGAGTCCATACAAATCGCCGGTTGATTTCCAAGGTTCCAACCTTGGAAGGTTGGATTATGATGGATCACCTGGGCAATCCACCTGGGCATTGATCCAGCCGGATTGATGTATCACCTCAGCCCTGGAGCAGTGGCACTGTGGTGCCAGTATATTAGGCAAGATTTCGAGTCAAGTCACCCGAGGACAGTTCAAATGTTGTATTAGTAGTAGGTAGTATGCTCAATCCGAGTCCTGGACTCGGACCTTGGGAGGTCTACTAGTAAAATCACGGTGCTTCAAGTTTTGTCGATGATTATATATACATAAACCTCGGGCCGTAACCGGCGCTTTCAAATGTACATACTAGTACGAAATCTCGGAACTGATGCCTACCTGTTAAGCGCCAGTGACACCTAAGGGTTAAAGATAAACATGGATCATGATCAAGCTATTGAGACCTCCAGGGCTCAATTCCATCCATGTAAACAATATTATTTATGGTCGCATTTCCTAGTACAATGATCGGATTAAACCCGTTGCTCTCAAATTGACCAATCAGCGGATGATCAGAACATTTGAAAGCCCATTTAATATTCAGGACGCTTCAAGTTTCTTTTCTCACTCATTGTACCCACAAATTCCGAGTTATACAGTATATTCGTAACTTGAAGTGCAACTCGAGATAATATTGCTTACGATTTCTCATGATGATTGCAAATCCCACACAAAAAATCCCTCGACTCAGTCAGACTACGGAAACCCTCACCTCCGCTGAGCGGTGGCAAGCCATAACCAAGCGTGATACCACAGTGAACAGCTTCGTCTACGGTGTCATCACCACAAAAATCTACTGCCGACCATCTTGTGGTGCCCGTCTTGCTCGCCGAACCAATGTCAAATTCTACAACACTCCTTCCCAAGCCGAGAATGCAGGTTTCCGGCCCTGTAAGCGCTGCCGGCCACAGTTGGACGGTACCGCAGTGCAGAGTAATCCCCAAACAGCAATGGTCAAGAAAGCATGCAAGGAAATCCGGGAAAAAACTGCTGCAGGACAAAAACCCCGATTGAATGAACTGGCGGCTCAGGCAGGGCTGACACCAAGCCACTTCCATCGGGTGTTTAAAAAGTTACTCGGCGTTACGCCGGGTCAGTATGCTATTAGTGTGACTCGGAATGGAAGCTGTGCTTCAGGCTCTTTATCACCAGAGACTTTGTCTGAGTTTGAAACACCACCCCAACAACCATCGCCATTGAGGGTAAGGGGATTGGGGACGAAGAGGGATTGGGATTTTGATGTGGATTTAGTGCGAGGCAGCGCGCTTCCTGAGGGAGCGGCTCCGCTGGATTCCCCTGTCATCATGGACTATTCATGGAATGAGTTTGATCTTTTGTTGGCGGCTGAGGAACAAGGGCGGCTAGAGCCTTGGGAAGCTTGCTCTATTGATCCCCGGATTCTTTGAGCGCCCAGGTGAGACGGTCGCGAACCGGTTCTTTCTAGGCAAAAGAGGGGGCGGGGGTGGGTCTTTTAGGCTTCTGATTTCTTTTATTTTCTAATCACATTATATGATGCATATGACGGCAATGAGACATGAGTTTACATTATGACTTGATAACTCCGAACAAGCAATGGGTCTGTTACACCATAGTGGGGAGTACACCTGGCAGGATACATGATACATATCGCAACTCCGTATCTATCAGGAGTAAAGATAAGCATATTACAGGTCTTCAGGAAGCCAGGCGACCCTGCATAGAAGGCTGTGAAGGATAAGAAATAGATTAAGTCACATTTCAGATTCAACGATGATTTGACGTGGCTAATATTCATCGCCACCACCATGCACGCTTGGCATTAAATCGGTAAGGATAAACTGAAACATGGACGAAACCCAGAACTCCAGACTTTTGTGGTGCCCAATGCACCATGCACCGTGCACTCTCGTAGTCGTTACAGCGATTTGCATGGAGTGCGATCGGCAGGCGACACGCATCCCGTTGGGATCACCGCAGTCAAGTAGTCAAGTATGATGATTCAATTGGCGCCTTATGGAACTTATCCACAAGACCCTGTTCCCTCTTGTACCGAGTACATTGTGAAATCCAAAGGGTGGCGTGTCAAGAAGATAATTATAGCCTAAGACGATCCGGGACGAAGTTCCTGGTCTTCCAATTGGAATTGAACTTATTGTCGTTTCCCCACCGACGGCCCACTAACGCGTGTCACCTTTAACCGCCATCGAGATTATCGAGCCTAGATGAAACACTTTCAATTTCCCAGATCTTGGGAGAGAAAAAGGGGGGATTTTCTGGTTTACTTCCAGTTTAAGGATCTAGATCATAGAAACTTGAAATTATAAGACAAGAAAAAAAGAAAGGAATAAAAAGAAAGCTGAAGCGCATTCTCCACCGATCGACATTTGTATCTGGGATGCAAGCAGTGAAACGCTTTAGGGGGTTCCAGAATTTCTGAATTAGTTGATACATTCTGATTGCTTTGTTACTTTCTTTTTAATACTATTTTTTCTGTATTTTCCTTTTTTATCTAAAATAAATTATCAATAGCGTGAATGATTAATTGAATTTGCCATCTTAAGTCTTGAGTGGGAGTTACTCCGGATCTTTATTATCAACAAGTCTCTCTCTCCCCTTCGCTTCCTTCCCCAACCTCCCCTTTCTTTTCTTTCCCCCACCTCTCCCCCCTTCTCAACTTCCACTCTTTTCTGTTTGTTCCTTCGAACTCGTACTTCCAAGGCAAATTTACAATCGTTTCACAAAACAATTACACATTTACTCCAATCGCTGCCGGCCTGCGACAAGAGGGGTTTTCTATTTCGAAGATTTTCAACACTAGTTCTGCCACCTACCAACTTTCTCACACTCCAGAGAATAATCCAACTTCATCATGCACGTGAACAAGAGAATCGGACGCTTTAAGCAGTGGGCTGGAGAGCGGATGGGTGGTGAGGCCAAGACCAACCAATCAGATGATTTCAAGGCTCTGGAGACAGAGATGGGAGTGCGACATGAAGGTAAACAAAACAGAACTCGAATTAACTGAGAGATCGACTCCTCATACTAATGTGGTTGGTTTACAGGCGTCGACCGCATTCATAAGTCCATGACTGCTTACGTCAAGGCCATCTCCAAGCGTACCGAGGGCGACGATAAGGAGAAGACCTTGCCTGTCGCTCATCTGGGAGGCAGCATGGTCAGCCATGGAGAGGACTTTGATGTCAACTCAGAATACGGGCAGTGCCTACTTAGTAAGTGAATATCACTAAAGTCGCTTGAACCACATCTCTAACGGCTATATTTAGTGCTTGGACGCACCGAAGAGCGCATTGCTCGTGTTCAAGAAAGTTACATTACACAAGCGAATTCAAGCTGGCTTGAATCCCTAGAGCGATCTCTGACCCAGATGAAAGAGTATCAGCAGGCTCGCAAGAAGCTAGACAGTCGACGACTGGCATATGATACTTCTCTTTCCAAGATGGAAAAAGCGAAGAAAGAGGACTTCCGGGTCGAAGAGGAGCTTCGGACGCAAAAAGTCAAATATGAAGAAGCTAATGACGATGTTCTTCGCCGCATGCAGGACATTAAGGACGCCGAAGTTGACAGCGTGATGGATCTGACCTCATTCCTGGACGCCCAGCTGGAATACCATGACAGGTGCCGGGAGGCCCTTCTGCAACTGAGGAACGAGTGGCCTGGCGGGTAAGTTCCCTCAAATTCACTCACTCTAGTTCTGTCATATTAACATGTAATTATAGAGCCGCACCTGCTCCGGCACCCGGACGCCGTCACCCTGGACGAGCTCGTTCCAACACAGCTCACTCGTACCAAGAGAGGTATGAGCCCGTGCAGGAGGAGCTGACGAACGCTGTGGAGGCCCGACCCGTAATTCGGCCGACTCGGACAGTATCGTCTAATCACGCGGATGCTTCCCCGAGAGATGCGTATCCCACCAACAACTCTTATTCGCGGCCTGTCTTGAGTCGAACCCCCACTTTTGAGGGCCCGACCCAGCTTCGACAAGAGCAATCTCCGGTGGCATCTCAATGGATCCAACGAACCGCAAGTGACACTCTCTCGACCCGTCGAAGCAGCACCTACCTGAATGCTCGATCCACTGTGGATCCATATGCCGATTCAGAGGTTAGCTCCTATGGCTCCTATGGTCGTTCCAGCCCAGAGCGGATGTACGGTGATCGATCATGCTCTCCAGCTACATCTCATGGTAGCGTGCCATCACGCCGACCTAGCTCTACAGCTTTGAATGCATCTGGATTGTCGAAGAAAGCCCCTCCACCACCTCCCCCATCTCGTGCAAAGAAGCCACCTCCACCTCCACCCGTCAAGCGCACCTTGACCACTGCATAGGAAGCAGATGAGGTGTATTCAACCCGGGATGGTGGACCGGGGGCGTTTGGCATTGCGATTTAAAACGAGTGTTTGGCTTTACTTTGTTTTCTTTTCTTATTATTATCTCTTCTAGCGCTGGATCTTATTAGTGCTTGCTACTTAGGTAGCATTTTTTTCCGTTCGTTTTACCCATATTTCCCTTTATGTCATTGTGAGACTCTCCTTTTTGCATTGTTTTCTTGAGTTGGACACTGGGATTATTTGTTCCTTTGACTCTGAGCTGCATTGGTTCGTGCATGAGTTGATCCTGAGTATAGCACTAGTGAAACTACAATTATATGGAACTATGGCGTCACTGGCATATACAATCCACATTTTTTTTCTATCATAGTAAGTAGTGATGTAAGTTGCCAGTGTAATGGAGATATCTCCTGGTGGCTAAGATGAATATAGATCGGCTAACTGACATAAATACTCCCTATATGTATGAAAGATGCACATATGCATTAATCCATGTAAACAGTGGCCTGGACGCCTAAAATCATGTTAACTATGATTGGTTCTGAAGACTACACTGTAGGTGGATCCTTCAGCGCGTTCAGCACAGACCAGTTTTGACTCAGCAGACATCACGTGATACCCACGAAATCTCCTCCCTTTCCTGTTGTTACGAACTTGGAGAGCACCCAGGTTTCCCCGAGTGAGAGCGTCGCGCAACTCGGTCCCCTCCATCTCCATTCTCATCCACGGCCACGCGCCATCCTCCCCGCATTTACTCTATTCCCTTTTTTTGAGCCCTGCACCGCGCAACAGGCTCGCCCCCGTATTAATATCATTTCTCCCCTTTTGTTCCAAGTACCCGCCCCCTCTCCATAATCTCCATCGATCGCATCCCCGATCCGCCGACCACGCGCCTAATCATCGCGTCTCTCATCGCCAAGAGTCTCTTACTGGTCGTGAACGACCACCACGACCATCCCGGACTATTAAACCTTACCCTAACCATCACGTCTTTACCCTCTCATCAATATTCTACCCCCTTCCGTGTTCGGTCGCGTCAGGCCAAAGGCAATAAGTGGAGTCTGCGACATTCACCATAAAAGTAATTGTCTTCATTGATCATAGACTGGCAAGCAGCCCACTCTATCGCGACTTATGAATTAAACAAGAAAGAGACAAATACTATGGCATCCACACAATCGGCGCCAATGATGGCGCCAACCAATGGCGCGACCTCAGCCCAGGTCGCGAATCCATTGCAAAACTTGAATGCCGATCAAGTGAAGGAGATTCTCCAAGTGAGTAACCAATACCAAGATATTGTCATGTCAAACATTCAATGATTTTTTGCCCTTCCACTTCACTCCGGCTGTCATTCACTGCCGCCACCTCCAAGGCTCATTCACTGTTGACCAGAGCTAATATTATAAATTTAGAAACTTCGCCAAATGAAAGCCCAGATGGATGCTAAAGGCATACGTGTTGATGATCTTCCCAATGACAAGAAAGAAACCTACAAATATTTTCTCTCCGTTTATGTGCAAGTCATGGCTTTCCAACAGAAGAAGGCTGCTGCGGCTCACGTCGCTCAGGGTTAGTATCAGTCAAATTCTTTCTTGCATATAGATATGTTTTGTGTCTGACAGAATCCCCTCAGGTCAAAATGTCTCTACTCCGTCCGCTCCAGGAATCGGCCAAGGACCAAGCCAACCCCAAAGCCAACCCCAGCCTCAAGCCGAAAGACCTGCAGTAGCCGGAAGTGGACCATGGACCAAGGCTCAATACAGCCTGTACCGACAGCAACAGCTTTTGTACGAGAAGGCGAAGAGCAGCACTGTTATCACCAACCACGATTTTCAAACTCTGAGCGATTTAACTGCAGCAGCTATCCCGTCGCGCGCCAAGGCTACTGTCGCGGAAGCAGAGAGGATCATTGACAATGCTGAAGGCAATGAAGATGTTACCCCCCCAAGCAGACTGGTACAGTGGTCTCGAGGCTCCCGCAGCATTGCATTCCCAGATAAACTACCACAAGTACCGCATCAGTAAAAACCGTCCCTCTATCCCTGCTGTCTGGCCTTATGGTCTGGATTTGCAGGAGATTCGTGCACGCCGACAAGAAGTTTTGATGCACACGATGGCTCGCCGTCGGGAAGTTCTTGCCGAGCAATCTGCCTCAGTTGATGTTTGGGATACTGAGACGAGCGACGCCCCGACTCGTGACGACTCATTGAAGGTTCGAGTCTACAACGAGCTCGCAGCCATCGACAAATATGCCAAGCAGCAGCGACTTCGCGACATTATCTCTCGCGAGATGTTTCAATACAGCCAAGGAATGACTGCAAACCGCTACGTTCATCGCAAGATTAAGACGCCCAATCTGCGTGAGGCTCGACTCACTGAGACCCTTGAGAAGCAACAACGGGATGCTCGTGAGACCAGGGAGAAGAAGAAGCAGTACGACCAGCTCCAGGCTATTCTCAACCATGGCGCCGAGCTTGCTAATATCTCCACTGGAGTTCGCACACGTTCCCAGAAACTGGGTCGCATGATGGTACAGCACCACCAGCATATGGAGCGAGAGGAGCAGCGTCGCGTGGAGCGAACAGCCAAGCAACGTCTCCAGGCCCTGAAGGCCAACGATGAGGAAACCTACATGAAGCTGCTTGGCCAGGCCAAGGATTCCCGTATTTCCCATCTGCTCAACCAGACCGACAAGTTCTTGAAGGAGCTTGCTGCCTCAGTCAGGCGGCAGCAGCGCAACCAAGCCGAACGCTATGGTGAAGATGAGGAACTAGACGAAGAAGAAGAGGAGGAGATTGCTGACAGTGACGATGATGAGACCGAGCAAGATCCTAACAAGAAAAAGATCGATTACTATGCCGTGGCTCATCGTATCCGGGAGCAGGTCACCGAACAGCCTAGCATCCTGGTTGGTGGTTCTCTGAAGGAGTACCAATTGAAGGGTCTGCAGTGGATGATCTCGTTGTACAACAACAACTTGAACGGTATCTTGGCCGATGAAATGGGTCTCGGAAAGACTATCCAGACCATCAGTCTGATCACCCACATCATCGAGAAGAAGCGGAATAACGGTCCTTTCCTGGTCATTGTGCCTCTGAGTACACTGACTAACTGGAACATCGAGTTTGACAAATGGGCGCCCTCTGTCACCAAGGTCGTGTACAAGGGACCTCCAAATGCGCGAAAGCAGCAGCAACAGCAGATTCGATGGGGCAACTTCCAGGTTCTCCTGACGACTTACGAATACATCATTAAGGATCGCCCTATTTTGAGCAAGATCAAGTGGACTCACATGATTGTCGACGAAGGTCACCGTATGAAGAACGCGAACTCCAAGTTGAGCAGCACTTTGTCGACCTACTACGTCAGCCGATACCGTTTGATTTTGACTGGTACTCCCTTGCAAAACAACCTTCCTGAACTGTGGGCTCTTCTCAACTTCGTTCTGCCGAACATCTTCAAGTCGGTGAAGTCGTTCGATGAGTGGTTCAACACTCCATTCGCCAATACTGGTGGCCAGGACCGAATGGATCTGAGCGAAGAAGAGCAGTTGCTTGTAATTCGTCGTCTGCACAAGGTGCTTCGTCCATTCCTGCTCCGTCGTCTCAAGAAGGACGTGGAGAAGGACTTGCCCGACAAGCAGGAGCGTGTTGTCAAGTGTCGATTCTCTGCCTTGCAAGCAAAGCTTTACAAGCAACTTGTCACACACAACAAGATTGCCGTTGGCGATGGCAAGGGTGGAAAGACTGGAATGCGTGGTTTGAGTAACATGCTTATGCAGCTGCGTAAGCTTTGCAACCATCCTTTTGTCTTTGAACCCGTTGAGGACCAGATGAATCCTACTCGCATGACCAACGATCTTCTTTGGCGAACTGCTGGTAAATTCGAACTTCTTGATCGCATCCTGCCCAAGTTCCGTGTCACTGGTCACCGTGTCTTGATGTTCTTCCAAATGACTCAGATCATGAACATCATGGAGGATTTCCTTCGTATGCGTGGCCTTAAATACCTTCGATTAGATGGTTCCACCAAGTCCGATGATCGATCAGATCTCTTGAAGGTCTTCAATGACCCCAACTCGGAGTACTTCTGCTTTTTACTTTCCACACGTGCTGGTGGTCTTGGTTTGAATTTGCAGACTGCTGATACCGTCATCATCTACGACTCGGATTGGAACCCTCACCAGGATTTGCAAGCCCAGGATCGTGCTCACCGTATCGGTCAGAAGAACGAAGTTCGAATCTTGCGACTCATCAGTTCCAACTCTGTTGAAGAGAAGATTCTGGAGCGTGCGCAGTTTAAGCTTGATATGGATGGAAAGGTCATTCAGGCCGGAAAATTCGATAACAAGTCAACCAACGAGGAACGTGATGCTCTTCTTCGAACCCTTCTCGATACCGCAGAAGCTGCTGATCAAATCAGCGAGCAAGATGAAATGGATGATGATGACCTTAACGAAATCATGGCTCGTTCCGAGGAGGAGATCAAAATCTTCCAGGAAATGGACAAGGAGCGCGCGCTCAATTCTCAATATGGCCCCGGCAAAAAACTCCCCCGTCTCATGTGCGACCAAGAACTTCCCGATATTTATCTGCAGGAAGACAACCCTGTCACTGAGGATGCCGATCCCGAGGTTTATGGACGTGGTGCTCGTGAGCGCAAGGTGACAAGATATGATGATGGCTTGTCTGAGCAGCAATTCTTGGATGCCATGGAAGGCCTCGAGGAGGGTCGACTCACCCTGGATCAAGTTATCGAGAAGAACGAACGCCGTGCCGCTGAGCGTGCTGCTCGCAAGGAGAAGAAGAGTAAAAAGGCACAGGGCATGGAGTCTTCACCCGAGCCCTCCATTGTCGATGAGTCTGAAACTCCTCAGCGAAAGCAAGGTCGCCGTCGCGGTCCGGCCCCCAAGCGCAAGGCCGAGGAACCCATTGAGGAGACTCCGCAGCCGAAGAAGAAGCGTGGTCGCCAGCCAAAGATTCCTGACACTCTGAGCAGCGCGGACCGCGCTATTTTGACTCGTATTGTGTCAACTACTCTTCAGTCTCTGAAGGAAATGGAGCAGGAGTTCCCAGCTGAAGGGTCCGACAGCGAGGAAGGTCCCCTTCTTCGTGCTATTATTGAGCCATTCATGAAGCCCCCGCCCCGATCGCAGTATCCTGATTACTACATGATTATCAAGAACCCGATTGCGATGGACGCGATTGAAAAGAAGTTGAAGCGCGATGACTATCAGAGCTTGAAGGAGTTCCGAGATGATATTCATCTCCTTTGCCAGAATGCCAGAACCTACAATGAGGATGGCAGTATCCTGTTCCAGGATGCAAATGACATTGAGGTAAGTTTTTACTAGTTTGTGATATTTGTTTTTAACAGGGTGATACTAACCATGTCTACTAGGCTAAATGCTTGATGGAGTTGAAGAGGCAGACTCTTGATCACCCTCAATTTGCCAATTTTGATGATCTCGGCTCTACTGTCGGCGACGGTCAGTCGACTGGTGCCGCCTCTGGCACTGATACCCCGTTGACTGCAGGTACACCGAGCACCCAGCCAAAGTTGAAGCTCACATTCAACAACTCCAACTTCGACAGCGCCAGCAACAACGCTGCCGATCTCAGTGTGGATGAGGATTGATGCCTCGACCTTGTCATGCCCCCTTGACGACAAGAAAAACAAAAACAACATCCTACATACTTTTTTCTTCCCTTCATTTCTTCCTGTGTTACTGCCATATGTACTCTGCCAGCTTCTTTACACCTTTTTTTTTCTTTCATCCTCTCTGATGCAGTCTCGGAAAGGCGTTTACCGTGCTTTGATTTGGGCGAACTTGGAGATGTGGGATTTTTGATTTGCCCGCTGGATGAACGATCTATCTAATGAGGGCTCTCTTTGACACCATGTAACCGATCTTTAGATCCGTTGAGGACCCTCTTTGTATGCTGTCAGTATGGCTAGTCAAGTTGTGAGGACGGTTAACAATTGAATCGTTCATATGACTTCAAGTTTCTCTCCTCAGTATGTCTTTGCTTTTCCAGGCTCGTATTTAGAAGAATGCCTGGCCATAGCGTAAGTCTGTAGCCCTAGAGCTAAAAAAAAAACGCTCATGGTGACTGTAAATCCTCGACCCGCCTACATGAGTATTGAGCATTGGGTCAATATGCTAAACCTTTGGAACTTGATTTCCCCCCTAAACTAGCATGACTGCTTTTTTGCAGAGTGATAATAGCCTCAACATCTTGCTAGAACATGCATAGAAGCATTGCCCCGCCACGTGATTTGAGCGTGGCGATGCTTAACTTTATTTCCAACTGCGATAATTATCTTAAGAAGATCTGCCTATTGCTCCATGTTGTTATTTTCATCCTGATCTTTATGTTCTATTTTTTCCGGCACAATTATTCAGTACAGCCATGTTAGTTCCTGTGGATGGCAAACGAGTAGAGCACACATACTCGGATAGCAGTGGCACCTCCAACAAGCCCCCCAGTCCTCAAGGTCTCCAGACCGTATTTCGGGTATCTCCGCCAGGGCAGAGAAAACAAGAATTTCACTCCCGAAGAGCTCACAAAAAGTCCCGGGCTGGCTGTCTTACGTGCAAAAAACGAAAAGTCAAGGTGTGCCGTACCAGAAAGCTCAAGATGAAACATGACTAAGTTGTATAGTGTGACGAAGGGAAACCAGAATGTCAACGATGCAATACTCGAGGTATTCAATGCAACTATTCATCAGAGTCCGAGTTAGCTGTTTCTCGCCGTGAGGAAAATTCTCCTGAATGGATGTCTGTCTCTCCACCGACTTCTCTCTTTGCTTCTCTTTCCCTTGAAGATATCACAAAAAGTATCGAGGTCACATTAAGTCATGATCAGAGATGGAATCCTTATTCATTGACGAGCAAGAATTCCGATACACCGATAAGCACAGTCGCGTTTCATCATTTCGTCAATTGTTCAACTGGTACAATCGCTGCCCCTGCAATTCGGAATGTCATGAAGACAGATATGATTCGCGTCGCATTTTCAGTGCGTATTCCCAAAACAATGCAATGCATTATCCTTCTCTACCCTCAATGAATCCTCTAATTCAAATCTAAAGAGCCCTCATTTAATGTACACCATCCTAGGAGTCGGCATGCTCCACTTCAATCGTTTCTCCCCAAACAAAGAACGAGCCATTGCAGAATCATATTTCTGGCAACACGCCATAAACCTTTACCAAAAAGCCTTATCATCCAAAATCGACGAAGAAAATGTTGACGCTCTCTTATCAACCTGCATGCTCATGGGTGTCATGACAATCTGCCCCGAGAAATTCGAGCCAATAGACTCTTGGGTCCTAACAAACAAGCCCGAATCCATGAACTGGCTCGCTCTCCAAAGCGGCCTACGTTGCATTTTAACCCTGACATCATCATATCTCCCCAAAAGCATATGGTGTGAAGCATTCAAGGAAGTTGACAGAACAGGAGACAAGATATTCAAACAGGAGGAAACAAAAGGTCGAGAAGGTCTTAGTCCAGACCTAGCAGATCTTTGTGAGATCGACGAAGAAACTACTGAGGACTCGAATATTTACTATACACCCCTGAAATATCTTTCTGAGTTAATGGTGCTGGAACCCAGCGGTCCTAATGTAGCACATGTTGCTTCGTTCATGGGGAGGTTGGAGTGTGAGTTTCTGGCTCTTTTACGGAAGAGGGATCCACGTGCGCTCATTATTTTGGCGCATTGGATGGGCCTTATGTGCTCTCTTTATGAGTGGCAGCCTTGGGTTGAGGCAAGGATCAGGAAGGAGTGTATAGCCATTTGTATGTTTTTGGAGTCTAGTTCGGACCAAAGGATATTGTCGTTGTTGCGATTCCCAGCGGAGGCGTGTGGGTATCGTGTTACTATTCACGAGTATTTATGATAGAAAGCAAGTGCTGCCAGTGGCAATTGATTCTATTTTGCCCAGGTTACTGCCAGTGTCCAGGAAGATCTTAGATGGAGCTCGAAGTATAGTTCGTTTCTGTTGATTGAGGTCAACTGGTACTCTCCTATTCCACTTTTCATATAATGTTCATCCGATTTGTACGCGGAGTTTTGATCTGGTAGTTTATACAAATTCTGACTCAATGTGTTTTTCTATGCTATGATTGCTAAGTTGAAAGAACTTTCCACCTCCATACTGCAAGGGGATAATTCCATGCATATGCGCCGCTCGATTTATCATTTTGTCTAACACATCCCAGCAAATGTGCATTCAATATGAGTCATTCAATACGGATTTCTTGCACAAATATTAAATTTGCTTTTTACAAATACAAATCTCAGCTCTTTGCATTTTACTAGTAGTCTGAGTCACTGAGTTGAAGCACTTGAGTCTTCCCGAGGTCCAATAATACTAAGAGTCAAGACCCACTAACCGGCAAGCGATATCTCATCTTGAAAGGGGATAATAACCCCAACTTAACCCCAACTTACGTATTATTAATGTCTAGCCCCACATAAGATGAGATTGACATGATAAGAATTTATGGGATGCTGGGGTATTCCAGGTGTGATTTGTTACTTCTTCTCCTACCATAGAGATCATAAAAATTTGCAAGAGAAAACCATTCTCATAAGTGTGATTTTGCCTACACTCAGTCGACAATCGCACCTCTAAAATGACAGGGGAAGAATCCCCGCTTCTTCAGAAGCCAAACACCGCTCATCAGGATTTGGAAAATGGATCAACTAAACCTAAAATCGCCAGGAGTTTCCTGACTGTGATGTTGATATGTATGCTCAGCTCTTTCTTACTGAGGAAACGAAAAAAACATCTAATAATGCTAATCAATTGACAGCATCTTTCCTTGCATCATCGGATGACTCCTTTGTTCTTTCAACTGCTTCAGATATTGCGGCGAATTTTGATGCCACGAATGCTAGCACATGGCTTATCACTGGATTTAATCTTGGATACATGATATCACTTCCAATTGTAAGTTGATTTGAACTTCCACGGCAGTGAACAGATGCTTGTTTTTCAAAATATTAACCCTAGCTATGAGTAGTATGGTCAGCTCTGCGATGCCTGGGGGAGGAAGCATACCTATTTGTTCTCATACATTGTGTATGCTGTGGGTTGCTTTACTATGTATGCCAAACCTATATCCTTCTACTTTTGATCTCAATTACTGATCTTAGATTTGCAGGGAATGTCGATGAACATTTACATCGCTATCCTTGGCAGAGTCATCACCGGATTTGGCAGCTCGGGCATGTTGGATTTGTCTTCTATCCTTCTGAATGGTAAGTCAAAAGAGATGAGACGATTATCAACATATTGTTAACAAAGGGTTTGCGCCTAGATATTGGAGGTCCCACTGGAGTCGCAGTGTTGCGAAGCTACTTCATGACTGTTACCATGATTGGATATAGTAGTGGAGGAGCTATAGGTGGGCTGTTAGCCACTTTAATCGGATGGAGATGGTAAAAATCCAGAAGAAAGGGGACACTTCCAGTATTGATGCTGACACGTCTAGGTCGTTCCTCGTTCACGTACCGATCGTTATCATCTGTACACTGATGGCGATTCTCCAACTTCCAAAAGACTCACCTACAGAGACAAAATCTACCACGCTAGAAAGTCAAGACCAAAGCAAAGATGACTCGAGTAGAACGGAACTCGATTACTCTGGTATGACGTTGCTCGTGTGTACCATTCTATCCGGCTTGATGATGGTCCAAGTTTTACAAGCCGAGACAGTCCCTGGAAATAAACTATACCTTAGCATTGGGCTTGGGTCTGCAAGTCTATTACTTGGGCTGATATTCTGTACACACGAGATGCGTTGGGCCAAAAGACCACTCATCCCATTGTCTTTTATGTTGTCAAGCAGAACTGGCGTTGTTTGTGTTGTGCAGATATTGATTATGATTTCTGATCTAGCTGTGAGTGAATCCGTCTCGTGTTTAATTACTGTCCAACATTTGAATGTGTCTTACTTGAATCTGATTGTCATATGTAGCTGTCTTCGGTTCTCAGCGAATTCTTTGTTCGCATGAAAGGGTTTTCGATGGTTGCAGCATCTGCCAGTTTAGCTCCTCCAGCGCTTGGAGGTGCAGTGGGTGGATACATAGCTGGAAGGAAAATCCAAAGGTTAGTACCATATCTTACTGTTTAACTATGGATGAGTCAATGCGGGTGCTAATATGGAGCTACAGCACCGGCAAATATCATGGATTGACCCAGGCTGGTCTCGTTATAACTATCTTGAGCGGCGTTCTTATTACGATTCGTTGGTGTTTCTTCACAATATACACCTGGGAATTGATTTATTCCTTTCCTTACGGCATTGGATTGGGTATATTGTTTTCAACCCAATTTGTGGAATTATCCGCCTATTCACCGGAAGATTATTCTGCGAGATTGATCACCACATATTATCTGATGCAACAAATTGGTTCAGTTGTGGGTGTATCTGTTACCGCAGGAGCCATTCGGAGTGCCTTCGCAAGTGGTTTGAAATCGGTATTCGGTGGAGGTGTTGAAGGCATGAGGGTAAGATTGATGCTTTGCATAAGCTAATTTCCTCGACTTATTTGATTTATTGACTAACATGAGAACTTGAAAGATGGTGAATGAGATATTGAAACACAGTCGATTGGCTGCCTCCCTTCCAACCGATGCCAGACTCTCTGTCGAAGCCAGTTTCCGAAAGAGCTTTCTTGCTGCACCATGTAAGTTACTACTGTCGATATTATATTATTTCATGAGATAGGAGCATAACTAATCTGATTTCACCAGTGTTTGGAACTGCGGCACTGGTTGTCACTTTCTACCTCGTGGGTAGGAAGCCCGCGGAAGAAAAGAGTGAGATTGACTGTGATGAGTAAACAAAAGGATAGAGATCAGTTTCAAGCTTTCCTGGTTATGAGAAACGGTGGGCTTGTATACAAAAATTGCCACTAGAGTCTGGATTATCACTTGGCATAGTCTAGCGAGGAGAGGTTCTTTTTTATGATGTTGAATTAAAAGTTTTGGAGCGTTTTCTTTTTTTGCTGAATTCAGATAAGGTTCAAGTTTATAGGAGACCGGAATTGATTCATAACCCACGATGGATTTGCTCAATATGACTTGGAAATTTGAATACATCATGGTCTCTTGCTCTCTCGGCTTCAAAGCCTCTCTTTTGGATGCAAGGTTTAATGGGATTTATCAAGGGAGAGTTTACGGCTGAGACTGCATGATGAAATATGCAAGATGTTCCTCCAAGAGTCTTACTACATAAAGAAGAGGCCAAAGTACTGCTTTGAGACCCTCAAACATTGAAATTGTGCTTCACCATGGTACTAATACTGCAGGTCAATACCCCAAAAGGAATAGATCATGCCTGCACGCTCACATGTGCAGCTGAACACCACGATGCGGGGCAGACCGCTCCGATGCGTGCTCAACCCTACAAAAAAGACACCTGGAGCTATTGATTGGTTAATCACCATAATAATCTGACGAAATAGATATAAGTATAAAAGGATATTAAGATGGCGAGTCCCTTGCAACCCCCACTAATCGCCACCACAATCGATCTACCACACTCTCTAGAAATGACCGTCAACAAGCACCTAACGGGAAAAGTGGCAATTGGCATGTATCCATCAAAATTGATACCAAATACGCAGACTAACACTTTAAAATATAGTCACTGGCGGAAGCCGTGGTATCGGAGCTGCTATCGCCATCAAGCTCGCTGAACTCGGAGCCAACGTCGCAATTAACTATGTTTCATCCGCAAGTGGAGCAGAAGAAGTAGCCAAGCAAGTCCGCGCACTTGGTGTCCAAGCAATAACGATCCAAGCCGATGTCTCTCAGGAGAAAGAAGTCAGCGCCATGTTCGAGACGCTGATGCGTGAGTTTGGGAGGTTGGATATCGCTGTGAGCAACTCGGGGATTGAGTATTTTGCGGATCACTCGGAGGTGACGGGGGCAGATATCGATCGTGTCTTTGGGGTGAATGTCAAGGGCCAGTATTTTGTTGCGCAACAGGCCTATAAGTACATGGCGGATCATGGACGTGTTATGCTCACTTCGTCTATTTCGGCTGTGAAGGTAAGTTAAGAAATTGGGGTCTTATGTTTTTTTGAATAATTTACTGATTTTATTATCTCAGGGTGTTCCTCGCCATGCAGTTTATGCTGCCTCGAAATCTGCTGTTCAAGGCATGACCAAGTGTCTTGCCGTTGACTTTGGTTCTCGCAATATCACGGTTAATTGTATCGCTGCGGGTGGTGTGAAGACCGATATGTACGATGAAAACTCGGCGGAGTACATCCCTGGTGGTGATAAAATGACGCCGGAGCAGATTGAGACCATGCTATCAAAGTGGTCGCCGCTGGGCCGGGTTGGGCTTCCTGAGGATGTCTCGAACATTGCTGCGTTGATTGCAAGCCCAGAGTCCCAGTGGTTGACTGGCCAGACATTCCAGGCTTGTGGAGGAGCGTATATGATCTAGTATCATGTTGCTAGTGAGCCAAGACACTAATTTATTTTGAATACTAGTTACTAAAATATTTTTTTCTTTAGTTGGCTCTAGACATAGTCGTGTGTATTGCTTTCTAGGTTTAGATTGAATAAAAAAAACAAATAAAATTCCATGGGGATTCATGATATGGGGTATGGGGATGTTGCAAAGCTGTGAATGTACAAGACGCAAGAAATGAACACGTAGGAAGAAGGGAAAAGCCCAGCTATGGCGCAGCGTTATGAACGGTATCACTGGGAATATGAACATGATGTCTCGGATGAGAGCTGTTCGAAGTGTGACTTGTAATGGGAGGTCGGTCCAGTCGTGAATGACTTGAAGCGGATATATCGATTCCATTGACTTCGTTAACGCCATTGGCCACGCTGATCCCATTCACCCCTTTTGGGCTGTGGGTTTCAAGAGCATCGAAAACATGGTGGAAGACCTGTTTGTCCACGTCGGCTGCCCATAAGAAGTCCAGATGTTCGTATGTATGAATGGGTTTGGCTACAGTGCCGCGTGGTAATCCCTGAAGCATGACATTGATATCGACGAGACTGTCGCTATCGCCATAGAGTAGAACGATAGGTGTTTTGATATTGCGAGTCGGGTACTTGACAGGTTTGTAGAAACGCTCGCTGGCAACAAGGCTGAAAGGAGTCTGGAGTTCGTCGTCATAGAATTGGAAATTCTTGTTGCGAATAATCTGGAACCAGTGAACTACTGACTTGGTACTGGTGAAGGAGTAAAGGTGGAGGTAGGCGGCAAGTTTTTGGGTATGAGTAATATTGCGACACTGCCAGTTGAACAGAAGTGATAAGGCCGAGTCGATAATGCGAACATAGATCGGCGGGTACAATATTGTCTGCCACATAGTCGTAGAGGAGAGAATACTTCTTCTGCCAAAGAGTAAGAATAAAAAATTTGGAGAAGCCTTCATGAGTGAGTCGACAATGCGGTTGCGAAGACCCGATGGTGCCATGGCCGGAGCCAGGGCCACGAACACATCGACCTTTTGGTTCAATAGGGGGTGAATCGATAAGGTAGCAAAAGCTTGAGCCGTTCCCTGTGAGAAACCAATGTATGATAAGGATGGTTGACTCGTCACATCCAGAATGTACTCGATGCTATTTGGGATATCGTGGAAGGCGAATTGGTCGATAGAGAAGTCCCAGAATTCGTTTGAGCCAGGGGAAAACCGGACTGATTTCTTCGCATACTTGTTGCCCCGGTTGTTGCCCAGCCAAACGTCATACCCCTTTTCAACCAGCTGGAAGGGAAGACAACGCTGCTCGTCAGTCAAGGCAACCCACACCTCACTAGACATGAGAAGGCCATGGTGAAGATAGACAACTTTCTTGGTGATTGAACTGGGACCCTGATTGACGCGCATATCTTCTTCTCCTTTTCGATAGGCCAATCGGTGTAATCCAAGCAGGTATCCATCGCGAGTCTGTACAATGTGCTCCTCCGCCTCGTATCCAAACAGCGAGCAGATCTCGGTAAAGTCTGATGCCTCGGCGATTGAAGCGGCGAGTATTTCTTCCTTCGTACGTTTATCCCGTGCTTCAGGAATAACCAGATTGAATATTTTCTTCGATTGATCGTAACAGAACCGAATGATTGGTGATGCTAATCGCGAGTTGGTCAGCGACGCGTACTTGATAAGAAAGATATGAAGCAACTCACGAAGACAGAACGTAATAAGGTGAATGACAGTTTCTAGAAAGACTAGGATCAAGGATCCTAGCAGTGCTAGGTATTCGAACCTAGAATGGTACCACATGAGTTGTTGTTGTTACTATGGGTTTGGAAGGTACCTTGTAGTGGTTACCTGCCACATGTGGTGTTTTCAGGTTCATTCATGAACTTACCAGAACAATCTCCCGATAAATGGAACTCGCGACATAATGCTAAACATACACGCATATGTTCAATATAAATACTGCCATCAATGTATAATAAGGAAGAAGAAGTGTTAAAGACGAAAGGCGACCGAATTGGTTCTGGCGACGTCATCTCGGACATGTGAACGCTGTGCTTACTCATCCGGGGTAGACCAATCAGCAATAAGTCGAATGATGCCGAATTTGTCCTTTGACTTAAGCGTGTTGCATATCCTCGATCACAATGCCGAGTTCATGCGCAGATATCAGTGAGTGAAGCCGATTATTCTATTGACAGGGCCCGCTTTTACTCTTTGACCCGCTATGTTACCCTCCCAGATCATTCCGCTAACTACCAAATCACAGGAGAGGCACTGGCCCAATGTCTACAGGAATCGGACTGCATTATGGTCCAGCGGCACACGCCGCGTGAGTGCTTGAGCTCTCCGTTGGCTGAGGAGCTACCTATGAAATGCCAACAGTTGAAGAAGGGATTCAGCGAGTGCAAGTGAGTCAATCATCATTTCGAACCCCGGACCGGATCGACAACGACAACAACTTAGCAACAGATGGAAAACAGAGAATATTATGGCTAATTACTATCTCCTCTATCTCAATAGGCGTGGCATGATCGATATGCGAAAACGCTTCCGCGGAAACCACCCAATCTCTGTTGCGAAAGAAATGGACGGCAAACCATCACAGTCTGATCAGCTCTACGCTGGAAAGCCGGCTTACACAACTGTCAAGGAGATCAGTGGAGATGAGGTGCAGATGGACCCAGAGAAGACTCGAGGTCTGTAAGGAAAGCAATATTTCCTTGAGGGACATACATGGGAGGAAGCATCCCAATCAGTGTCTGGGCCCACCCGAGCAATGCTTGGGTGACTCGGCGCGTGCTGTATTTTACATGGACTAGAGATTCTGATCCATGCTGGCATGGTCTGGAGTTCTGATTTTATTTTATCGTTTACCTTGGACATCGCCGAAGCATAATCCAATTTGCAATTCGACAGAACGTAAATGAACTGTTCAAATTCCATATTTCTCGTAGAATGGAAAGCTTGGGTCGACATGATGATTTGAACTTCAGCCTGAGACTCGGAATATGCAATCATATGAAAAGAAATGTAATATATTTCACATCATCATTGACGGTACAATTTAATACAAAATTTACTGGGTCTTCTTGACCTTGTTGGCTGTAGGAGCTGAGTAAAGCCAGACAATGACGAAGGCTAGGAAACCGCCAATGACTGACCAAAGGCCAGCAATCCACACCCAGCCGCCGCTGATGGCCCAGCTGCGTGGGTATTCGTCGTGCGCAAAGTGACGCACGGTCACCTCATGCTTCTCCTCAATGTTAGTGAAGAACGGACGCTTGTAGTTCACACGGAAAGAGAAGATGCCATGCTGGTCTGGAGTGATAAACTGGGTGCTGTACACAGCGCTAGTCTCGGTACGGCTGGTGGGCTGGAGAGCCAGGCGGTGGAAAGGCGAGAGCATGGTGAATTCCAGTTGGAGCTCATCATCACCGGGGACCTCGAAGGGAACCCACTTGTCATAAACGTACTCAGAGACCTCAATGTTGAAAACCTGTATAGATAAGAGGCGTTAGTTTGATGAGATAAAGAAGAAGGCTTTAATATATAAGGTTCACGCACGGTCTCATTCTTGATACGGTAGATCTTGGGGTTCAGATCCTCCGCAGCCACCTCACCATCAGTAGCCAGGTGGTGCTCAATCTTTCCAACCTTCAGAACACCAGTCTCCTTGAAGGTCCAAGCAGTCAATTGCTTGGCAAACTCACGGTTCACAGTGGGGACCTTCTTGCCATTAGGAGCCTTGACAGAGGCGGAGAACCACTTGTCCTCAAGAGCCTCGACGGAACCCAGAATAGTGAAGCGAGCGGAGTTACGGGCTTGAACAGCCGAAACCACATTCAATTGGGAGCCGGTCGACTCAATGTCGTCGGGCGAAGACATCTCCTCCTTAGGGTTGTACGCGTAAGCAGTGCTAGGAGCTTTCAGAATCGGCGCAAGAAGCTGGCTGTCGCTACCCAGGGTCTGAGGAGCAACACGAGGGAGTGCAAGCACACCCTCACCATCAAAGAAGGCCTTAACATCGGGACGTAGAGCACCAGGGCGCTGGAGGAGGAGGACATCGTGCTTCTCGGCGGCCGACAGGGTATCGTAGTTGAAGTGGTCAATGACAACGGCGGAGCGATCATTGGAGAGGTGAATATCGACTTCCAAGAGGAGGGAGCTAATAGCGCTGGAGGTGGAAGATTTGCCAGAAAGAGCAAGGACAATGTTGCCGTCCTTGTTCAGGAAATCCAGAATGTTCTTGGGGCTCAGTGCAGGTCCGAGGCCTAATTAGAAGAGTCAATTGAGATGTTTAAGGCTTCAAATAGTGATATCATCTTACCCTTTGACTTGGGAGGGAGGATCAGAAGGTGGTCATAAGCTCTCTCGCCATGAGCGAAGAGGGATAGCTGATCACTCTTGGGAGACTCGAAAGACAGGTCATATCCTCGTTCTATTGTATAAAAGTCAGCAATGATATTCAATCAGCATGGTACGTTAGATCACCTTCAAGATCCGACCACAATGTCGAGAAACTGCTCTTCTCGGTGGTATCATCCAACACCACCAGCAGGCGGCTTCCAGAGCTACTAAGAGCGTTTACTGCAGCCACAAGGGCACAGATAAGTAACGCAAGGCACCACCGCATTTTAATAAATAATTCCGCACAGCGGAGCGGGACACCTTGTGAAAAATAAAGAAAAAAGGAGGGATAGGTTGGTTGGTGAGGGGAGAAGTTCGGAGTTGTATAGATAGAAAGGGCGACGTGTTAATCGGGCGGATGCCAAGACTCTGGGACCTGCGCATCTCCGGTCGAACCTCACCTCTTCCCCACGACCTCCCGATTTTGATCTCGTTCAACGGTCCCACGTCCTCTACACCACAGTTTTTCACTGGGTGATTTCCATTTATACTCAATTCCTTGTTCATAGTGCTGTGGTCTTGAGTTTTTTGGTCCTTCGTACCGCTACGTCAGCAAATTTTCTCCCTCAAGTCTCGTCAGTCGACTTCGTTCATTCACCATGTCTACCCCTCAATTCTGGTCGACTCCTCTTCGCTACATTCGCTGGGCCGCTCATGAGAAGCCTGCTATCTTCTTCTCCCTCGTGATCGGTTCCATGGGCCCCGTTGCTCTGGTCACCCTGCCTCCCATCCGTCGTGCACTTGGTGACGTTGACCCGGAGCCCATTCCCCTCTCATATCCCGGTAAGAATTCGAACTCTTCTTACTGTTTCAAAGCGACGAAAACTGATAATTATGCTTGATTTATACAGTCCCGAAGGGCCCGCGATCAATCCCCAAGGGCTTCGATGACGAGTAAAGAATGACCAAAGTCAACGAAAACGGAGCTGCCGGATAGCATAAGAACCCGTGTCGGGCAATTCTTGGTCATGGAATGGATGCGCATTAATTGAGCAAAATGGAGAGATCTGGGTGGAGTTACTGTCATAACCGGGGATTCATATCGACGACCCCGGCTATGAGCCAGCAAGAAACGAACCTATCCCTGGTTGTTACTCCCCACAAAGAGGCGTTTTGATACCAATCTCGTTCGCGTATATGGTCTTGGGATAGTCGAGTCTCGAGAGTATCGCGCTGCAGTGTATGTACTATGTTTAAGAGTGATCATATAAACGACATCAAGTCGATTTCTTGTGTTCAATTATGTCTTTGATTGGGATCAAAGTCAAATGTAGATAGTAGTCTTAGACCGAGAGATATGGCACTAGAATCTGGCCAAATCTTAATCTTTGTTCAAATGGTGGTAATCGGTAATCGATCAACTCTCATTTGCTGGAATCCTGGGCATTAGTGGACATTTGCATGTCCAGGTGAGTATGTGAGCACTGGCATGTAGCATTGACATCTGGGATCAATCATCTAGCACTGGCATTAGCACATGCATCTATGGATATGCTATATGAAGCAGACACACCTGGGCATGTCCTTTCAAAACTCGGACATCTTATACTAGTATGATGTAATATCTACAAACATTTGAATGGCCCAGCAGATCTTATATCAAATATTCACGCTGGGGTAACCACTTTCATTATACAGCATTTGAATACTATATAGTATCAAGATCATGGAGGCTATTACCTATGAATGCTGCAACCTTGGAAGTATCGCCATGGTATTCAAATGTTCCAATAGGGATCAGGCACTGCCAGTGATGCAAGGCTGGCTCCAGGGCTTAGGCTTCAAGTACCAGCCTGAGACTCCATCGACTTATACATGCACAAATTTACATATACACATGTGCAGTCGTACTCAAGGGCTAATATTGATAGCACTCGAGTGCTGGTACTAGTAGCTGCATACCCTGTATGTATTAGCATCACTGGCATGTACATGTAGTAGTAGTAGTAGTAGTAGTGGTAGTGAAGTCGACACCAAAGGTTCCAACTTGAAGGTTCAACTTAGTATGTTGACTGCCCAGGTGGGTGAAGGTACCCGACGCGGGACTCCAAGGTTCCTGACTCCTGACTTCAAGTTCAAATCATCAGTACCTGAACATCAAGATACATCAATTGCTAGTGATGGACCCTTTTTTCTCCAATTTAGACACGGAATTAAGCCCGACAGTACTCCGTACGCAATCAAAGTTTACAAGAAGGAAGTTTAAACGTATGATGAGATGTTTCAAGAGGTCATGATGCCTGGTGTTTCATTGTGGTAGGAGACGAAAGGCTTTATTAATATGATAGAACCGATCAAAACCAAAGCACCAACCACAAAGGCAGATAACGCCGTATATGCTCATATCTACATGTAGTTCAATCATCAGCACGCTTTATGAAAGCAGTCTCTCCCAATAACCAGTGGAAGACCCCCAGAAAAAAGCAAACATGCGAGGCATGAGCCGTATGTCCCACGAAGGGGAGACCAATTCAAATCTGAAAAGGTTAAACGAGAAAAAAAAAAATAAATGGAACAAACATTGCTAAAAGCACAAACACAAACCCTGTACACCATCGAATCAACATCCAAGGAAGAAAAAAGAAAGAAAAAGAAAAGAAGAAAGTCCACAAAATCCCAGAGTGGCTGGTGGATATCCGGCAGGTCATTAAGCAAAAGCAAGAAATCCCAAACAGCTCCAAAGCTGAGAAGAGCCTCCGTTTTCATAAAACCATCGTTCAACGCATAATGCTCCTACTCCCAACGAGCCAACTGCACGATAGCGCAGACTAATTAAATATGGAGAACCCTCCTGGGGGACCATGTTCGAGTCTCAGACCCGAGCGGCCAATGGTATCCAGTGTGGAATCAATCCATGGAGAAAAAAGAAATGGCATTCATATCCGACGAATGGTGAAGTGGAGAACCTGATTGGATCAATGCAACAGAAGAGATCTGTTCCTAGGGGGTGATCCCGGAATTCCAAGAGAAGAGGTGTATTCTCTATTTCGAAGGAATGGAAAGGTAAGACCGATGAATGAGAGGAGAGCGGAGGAGGTCCAAGGAATAATTTTTTGAGAATTTTTGTGTTTCATCGGAGAGATCATTAGGTTCCAGGAATTTCGACCCAGTCCAGAGCGGCAAAGGAAAAAAGAGATTTTTCATCCATCCAGTGGACCATAATGGAGAAGAAGCAATTTATGTAATGCACAAGACAGAAACTAGATACCAGTCTGGTATCTGGGATTTACCGCCGACGATGCGGGTCTCGTTCTCTGGTGGGTTGCGGTCTACTGCGCTCGTATTCCGGAGTGTATCTCGGCTCCATTCCTATCCGGGGATCTGGGGCAGTAGTGGTAGGGTATGCCATCCCGGTTGTTTGGGGAGAATAATCCGACTGGTCATCATAGCCGGGTCCTGGGTATCTCAGGGGCATTTCGGCCGCCCTCATAACCATAGCCGGCCGCGTAGGTGTAGGAAGAAGGGTGCATATCCGCAGCTGTCACGACAGGCTGCGTGGAGCCAGGGTAGGTGACTTGAGGGGGAGGATACGGAGCTTGGCCTGATCCGTAAGGTGAATGTGTGGAGCTGTAGGAAGAAGGGGGTTGGTTGTAGGGAGCATTTTGGGTTCCGGCATATGAGCCTTGGGAATAAGGGTCCATATATGTCTGCGCAGGAGCAGCACTGAATGTTGTAGGGGATGGCCCCTGTTGTTGACGAACCTCATGGACAGCTGAAGTGGAATAGCTCGCTGGTCCAGTGTTAGGGGGGTGTGACATGTTCACATCCTGAATGTAACTACCTCGTGGATAGCCTAGATCAGCTCGACGTGAGACGTCCGCTTCCCAACGAGCAGAGTCAGCCTTCAGATCAGCAATCATTTCCTGTTAAATCCAGATGGTCCTTGGTCAGATGGTTTCCTCGTCGCTGGTTTTTTTGGGTTGTATTTTCAATTGGATTCATCGCGGTATATCAACTTACTGATGTCAAATTCCGATAGGCACGAATAAAAAATCCCTGGCGGCCCTGTACGGCGGAAGTCAGTCATTACGCTCGGGTTTCATCAAAATAACAGCAAAGAAAAAGGGCAACGGACACCATGGCTGCCCGGTCGCACAAGGGCGTCATTTCCAAGGTACCGACAGATATCTGCTTGGATCACCTCGCGGCTGATTCCTTCACCCGGAATAAAGTATTCATTTTGACGGCCTGTCATAATGTGTCCTGAGGCAATAAGATGTATCCGGAGTTTTTTTTTCAACGGGTCCTCAGGTCCGACGGGCCAAAAAGAAGAAAAAGAAAAGAAAGTCCGGGTAGATGTGAAATCCTTGGGGTTGTTGTGTCCGCTATATTGGCAAAAAATGTACAGATTTGGTTCTCTTTTTTTTGGAGTTCTATGGAGCGATCGGTGCAAAGATATCCACAAATGTCACCACTTCAAATGACAATGAGTCGAATCCTTGGGTAGAGATCAAATAGATATTCAGGCGAAAGTCCACGGGAGAGATGGCCACAAGAGATCCTATGGTCGGAAGAGCAAAACAGTCCTTTGTATCCAGGGAAGGTAAAATATCCAGGGGGTATCCTTAGGGTCCAGTGGTGGTTGTTCCGGGCTTAAAAGAAATTTTCAAATCAAAATCCTTGGAATTTTGCTGAGAGAAAATAGGGATCGACCTAATCAAGTCGAAGTCGGGAGATGAGAAAGAGAGAAACACCGAGGCGGGGTTGGAAAGAGATCCTCTGGAAGTTTGGGAGTGCCACACTTCCTCACAAGTGTATCCGGGAATCTTTTTTTTTGGCCTTTTATAATTAAGTGAGTCCCTTTTTTTTTCCAATGGACCAGGTGTAAAGGATAGGGGGGGAGGTAGTAAGAGAAATGGGAAAGATGGAAAAGAAGGAAGAAGAAGGGGCGAACTAAAGTGGGCAGGGCGGTTGGGCCGTTCTTCTTGGGCTGGTGCCACGACTCCCCCACTTATCAAGTCAAAAGCATGCATGGTCCAAAATGGTTTAGAGTCATGAGAAAATAATACTAATAAAATAATAAAATAATAAAAAAAAAAAGAAATCTGGAAAATTCTGCAATATTCTGCAAATTCTGCGTACTACGGTACTCCCCGTACATCAATGGACAGAGTACTTTGTACCACACTGTCTCTAACCGAATATGTTCCTTAGCCCTGAACTTATTCCACTAAAGACCCTTATAATGAAGAAACCAGGGGATTTGAAGAGTCAATCCTGGTCCTAGTCTTGGTCCAGACTACGTAAACTTTCACAAAGGCTGACTTCTAGGGCCGATCCCCCATATTATTTAGATACAACTTGAAGGGTCCGAGTGTCTTTGGTAGGGCCACTTGGGCATCATATTGGATCTCGTGAGAGGGGCGTTTTTTTCTTTGCTTTTTTTTCATCATTGCTTACCTAGTGTATGTCATGGGGGGTTGGGGAGCAAGGAAGCGGTCAACCTATGTTAGTACATAGAAGTGACTAAAAAGCGTTATAGGATGACTCCCTCCGTGGCAAAAGACGGGAATCTTAGACCCGGACTCGTGAGCATGACAAGGTTGGACAAATCGGGACCTATGAGGGCCACAAGGGATGATCCTCACCCTCCTCTGCAACGAATACTGCAGTAAGGGGGCCAATCTGCGACCAGATCGGTGGAATAGTGACAGACCGTTGCCACCAAACTGCATGAAGTTGCGTTGGGCATGAATGCGTGTTGGGCAGGACTCCGATCGCCCGTGAGCCACTCAGCGTACGGCTATGTCAGCACAAGGCAGGAGATCACACAGCGCGTTTTGGTTGGTCTGGACCAACACGAATTGGTGGGCGCAAAAGTGAAATGAAAGGATAAGAAAAAAAGAAATATGTTTTGATGCTGACGACATTGGAAATTGAACGAGGTCAGATGTTGAGGCGTCACAGTGCTTCCAATACTCTGTACTTTGACCTCGGTGAGCTGAGTCCATGCCAAGGTATATGTAGCCGCCCACGGAATATTCCGTATGTTCTCGGGTGTTCAATAAACAATTGAGTGGGAAGAAGAAAAAAAAAGCAAACCATCCCCATAATCCTTGAAAAGTTCTCAACCTGACTAGATATGAAAATACTACTAGTATCAAGCCACCTGAGCACAGACTTAGGAATGTAATATCAATTTAATATTATATGGAATACTTCCAAGGGTGTTTGTTATGATCTGGATTGTGTAGTTAATATCCGATGTTTGTGTGGTTTGTCTAGTTTGGATGGTTTGTTTTGGCAACCTGAGGCTCTAAGCCAAACACGTGCAGACGCTAATCCACATTGGGACATCCATCCCAAGGGTCACCAAAGCTTTCCAAACCTCAACGAAGCTTCTCTAAGAGCTCACTCTCTTTCTCAAAGAGCTTTCGCTTTCCATCTGACCATGACGCATCTTATATTATGTCGTCTGCAGACCCGCTCAACACGCCTCCCGATGCCGTAAAACGCTCCCGGTATACCCATCGCCACTTCCAACTCCTGCGCCAAGGCTCTACTGCAACACCTCTACGCGCGATTGCACACATCGATCTCGATGCCTTTTATGCACAATGTGAGATGGTGCGATTGGGCACACCGCGTGATACCCCACTTGCTGTCCGTCAGTGGGAATCCTTGATTGCGGTGAACTATCCGGCGAGACCATTCGGTATCAACCGCATGATTACAGCTGGGGAAGCCAGAAAAATATGCCCCAATATCATCTTACAACACGTTGCAACGTTTCGAGAGGGTGAGGGTGGTCGATGGGCTTATCGGGATGATTCGTTTCGGAATATCAAGACTGATAAGGTGTCCTTGGATCCTTATCGGGCGGAGTCGCGGAAGATTCTCAAAACTATGAAGGATGAGGTAGAGAGATGGTGCACGGACGATTCAGATGACGATGAAACTGTTGGTCTCATACAGGGACTGTCAGCGAGTCTGGAAAAGGCCAGTATCGATGAAGTCTTCATTGATCTATCTCCTCTCATCTATTGTGTCTTGCTACGGAGGTATCCGGAACTCCGGGCGATTGCAAAAAATGACAAGAAGGACGTTGAATTGCCTTGTCCTCCTACAACGGCGCTCCAATGGGACCAGGATTGCCTCATAGATTTGGACCTCCAGGAAAGCGAGGAAGATGACCCGGATTGGGATGATGTGGTCATGCTGGTGGCCGCAGAGATTACAAGATCAGTCAGAAAGGCTGTGTGGGATAATCTCCACTACACATGCTCTGCGGGAGTTGCACGTAATAAGATGCTTGCCAAACTAGGCAGTGCTTGCAACAAGCCAGATAAACAAACCGTCGTGCGAAATCGCGCTGTTCAAAACTTTCTGGCTGGGTATAAATTTACTCAGATCCGGATGTTGGGTGGCAAGCTCGGAGACCAGATCACATCCGATTTTGGCACCGATCAAGTAAGTGGTCTTCTTGACGTGTCGTTGGATCAGCTTCGTGCCAAACTGGATGACCACACAGCTACTTGGCTATATGGTACTATCCGCGGAGATGATCGCAGCGAGGTCAACCCCCGAACTCAGATCAAATCTATGTTATCTGCAAAGTCATTCCGCCCAAGCATCAATTCAGTCGAACAAGCAGAGAAGTGGCTGCACATCTTTGCAGCTGATATCTACGGACGACTAGTCGAGGATGGTGTACTTGAAAACAGACGCCGTCCTCGAGTCATCACTCTACACCATCGGCTTGTAGCGACTCGATCTCGCCAGATTCCTATTCCGGGTTCTAATACTATTGATGAGAATTTACTTTTTGAGCTGGCTCAGACTTTGCTGTGCCAAGTCCTTGCTGATGGACAAGCATGGCCATGTGCAAACTTGTCTTTGAGCGTGAGCAATTTTGAGGATGGTGTGTCCAAGAACAGGGCCATTGAAGGCTTCTTGGTTCGCGGTGATCAGGCCAAGTCTTTGACCCATGCATCTAGATCTCGTGATATGGACACTGCATTTAGTGAACAGCCGCCAGCGGAGAAGAAGAGGAAGCTCGACGAAAAAAGCATTAAACGCTTTTTCAACCAGCCGCCTGTTAGTGGCTCTGCCCCATCCGAGGAAGGATGTCCCCAGTCCCAACTAGATGGAGCCTCGGCATCATTCACCATAGAGGGCGTGGCTTCTCCGGAAGAGAACTTCGATATCCCACAGTTTACTTGTCCACGCTGTTCCAAGTCCATTCTTGAATATGAAAAAGAAGAACATGAGGATTGGCATTTTGCCAAAGACTTGGAGAATGAGGAACGACAGGCCGCACGGAATGCTCAACCACAAGAACGCTCCGTAAATTCTTCTCGACCGACAAGTCGTGGCCGAGGAGGTCGAAGCACCCGTGGAAAGTCCGAAAAGGGACAGATGCGCCTTGCCTTTTGATGGGTTCAAATGTTGTCAGCTAACCTCAGTATTCAAATGTTAGTGCATGCCCAGGTGATGATGGACATGGATGAGTCACGGCGTTTGGACTTGCATATTATTTGAGTGGCAACCTTATGAACTCTGTGATTGACGAGTAGTTCAAGTTTATCCTTTGAACAATATACTCCTGCTATATACCCCTGTCAACTATGAGCCTTTAACGTCATCCCGGTTTTTATTACTACGGTTGACCCAGTCAAAAGCCCACTTTGAACCATGGATCGTGCCACTTGATCTATATACATTAAATAAACAAATAAAACTGCTCATTATAGCTTACATTAGCCTTCAGTTTCTACTCACCTGTAGCCATGTCATAGCAAATCCCATAGTCCCACAATGTATGTGTGACATCAGCGGGTAGCGGGGTCACCGGATTCTCTAGCGATAGTGCTGCGCCCCCAACAGATGTGCCTTGACATACTAAGACGGTGCTAAGGCGGTTTCCAAGATTTGGGTAATTCAGTGAATGAGGGTACTTTCCTTGCACCCTGAATTCAACCTCGTGACCAGGAGGTTGATCTTCACTGTGCCAATTCTTGTTTCCCCAAGCAACGGAGCAACATTGGTAAGGCTGAATTTCGGCACGCGCCCTGACAATTGCTCGTACCCCGCGATACCTTGAACCCTTGAACCTTTGAACCCACACCTCTGCCTTCGCTATGAGCCATAGCAGTGACGCCTAGTTTCATGATTCAGTCTGCCTGATGCTGCATCACGTGTGAGAGACTGAGCACCTTGCAGTCCTTGTGCTTCTTCATCACCCAGACCATCCAAAACAATCAACCCTTCTTCACCATCCGTGACTTGAGCTCTCCAAAAAAAACAAGACGTCAGTTGCACCGTAATTGACCATTTGCCTAACTTTAGGCTGAATTTGATCAAAGATCTAACCTTCATACATCTGCAGGTCTGCCCCGGCTCACGTCACCAAGCTGATCTCATTCACACATTCCGTTGGGCGTCACATTCGGGTGACGACGTATCAACTTGTGCCAACTCATGAATGATTAGGCACTGAGTGGATGATACCCAATGACCCATTTCACCAACCTCGACGAATGACCCGGTACTCTTCTCAACCATAATCATGTCTCGTCGAACCTCAACCACAAAATACTACTATGAAGTAGATGATGTCGAAGCTGATCGCAAAAGATACCCACGCTCACGCCGGACTGGACGTGGATATGAAGATGATATTGAGTACGGTCGGCCAAGGATTTCGCCGCCTATTGAGGAGATGGAACGCATGCGGCTCAGGGATCGCATTCCACGAGAATTTGTACGGGAGCCTTTCGCTCCCCCTCGACGCAGACCTGAACCACCCATCCCTGTTCCTGTCCCTGATCCACCTATCCGCATGAGAAGATCCAGTGAAGAAGTAATGTTCGCAGAAGATGCTTTTTCACATCCCCGACCACGACCTGCACCAACTCGTGCTTTCGATGAAAAAGAGCTCATTGTGGAGGAAAGAGAGACACGCAGTGGCAGAAGACGACGTCCTCGCGAATTAGAGGAAGAAATCATAATTGACAGACGAGAGCGACGTGGTAGCTACCAACGACCCCACGCTGAGTTTGACCGGGAAGAAGAGGAGGTGATTCGTCGCCGGGGACGTGTGCCACCATTCGAGATTCGTGTACCCGAATCACGACGCCGAGAAAGATCGTTTTCTGAGGTCCGTGATGAGCTACTTGCTCAGTCTTATGGCCCAGGCCGAAAGTATCGTACCCGTGATGAGGCAATGGGAATTGTCGATCGTTCAGAAAGGCCGTGCTCAAAACATCCCAAACCCTTACGTTCCACCAGTTTGTCGCGAGAAGATGAGATGATCATGCAGTGGAAGGACAGACCTACACCCCAAGAAGAGAGCGAGGATGAGGAGGACATGTTCTCGCCGGGTCACCGTCGTCAAAGTGGCTCTAAATATGACCAAGGACCACCCAGAGCCTGGCCATCTGATGAAAATTTTGAGCCGTACTTCAATAAGTTTTACCGAGAGCGACAGAAGGAAGAAGAGCAAAAGGAGATCCTGCGGGATAAAAGAGAGCGCCGACGACTAAGCATAGGAAGTGATGAACTTAAGGTTCGCCGAGACCAACGACGTCGCTCCTCACTCAAAGAGCGAGATTCATCCCCTGACCCAGCGCGGGAATCTCCAGTTGTTGAAGAAATTGTCATGCGCTATCGTCAAACCGATCATGGTCGGTTCACTAAACATCGGTTTACTGCCTATGTATTCAGGGCTAATTGAAACCTAACTTACAGGATATGACACGGCCCGGCCTCCTCGTGCACCCAGCCCAGAAAATGCAGCCTCACGTCACAGCATTGATGAAACTCATGTCCGTCGCCGGTGCGTGAAATTTGCTTAGATAATATGTAGCTTTGAATTTGTGAGCCTTTCATCTGATCCATACATTTAGGAGCCAAAGAAGAGGACGTCGACTGGAAGAAAATATTGATTTCAATCATCTCGATGAAGAACAATCTACTCTTGGCGGTCAAACCGCTGAATTCATAAATTCCTTGGAAACTGATGGGCGACGCCGAGCACAAATGCCCCCTTATCTAAACGGTGAGAGAGAATTAGAAGGCTTTACCCGTAGTCGGGGATTGCAATATCGTGATTCTGAGGAGGATGAGATAGACATCCGCGAGACAACCTCCACTCCGCGATCCTTTGCCGAGGAGTTGAAGCTGGAGAGTACAGACGAGTGGTCTGTAGTTCAAACTCCCTCAAAAGAGGAAGTGGTTGAAATGACTGGAGCCCTCCAAATTGTTGAAGTTGCCCCTAAGGATGCATCCTCTGACGAGTCCGAAGCAGAAGCAGAAACTGAGGTTGAAACTGAACGTGGCCATCGAGTGGAACCGGAGCCCGAGCCCCCCTAAGCCAGAGGTCAACTTGAATGAACGTTGGACGGAAATCACCAAAGACTTGGTGGTTCGTGATGCAATCGAACGATTGGGATATGAGTTTGAAGAGACCAGGGCCTACTACTACATTTTTTCCGACCTGGAACCGGTAATGTCCCTTGTTCCACTTGTGAATTGAACTTATTCTAACATTATTATTTTACAGAACCAGCTTGATGAACTGATTCAGTTGTCCGATGAGATCCGTCAGGCTCGACGACGACGTATCCAGCAAATTAATAACGAGCGTGAATCTCGACCTGCTCGTTCGGCTTCGCTGGTGGATAGAAGATCTCCGCGTCCTCGATGGACTGGTGAACGAAGAGTTAAGGAGCGAGAGTGGATTATTGATAGCCGTCGATGAACTTGTTCAAGAAATTTCAGTTACTCAAAGTTAGCATGCAGGGTTAGTTAGCGTTATGGGTTAGCGTTATGAGCCATATGATACGAATCATACGATATTATGACTATATTGACCTCGCCCGATATAAACATCATGATACATGTGACTTGTAGTATATTTCAAATGTTCAAGTTTGTAAGGGGACTGCGGACACCGAGAGTTCCACTACCAGTGCCTACCTCAGGAGTAGGGAGACATTGAAACCCCACAACCTTGGAAGTTGTGTATCAGGATCCGAGCCGATGGCGACAAAAGAAAAGGGTAAAACGGAGGTGTTTTTCTTGGCACGGAATTTTAGATAATGTCCATTCAAATGTTCCGAAAAGTAATATCCACCACTCGTCAACCGGTACCTCCAGGGCTGGAAAATGAAGCCGTATACGCAAAATTACAAAATGGAAGTTGAAATGTTCCGTTCAATTTGTGCCGTTGGGAAAAAAAAGTAGAAGCCGCTCGGCTAGTGGGAGAGAAATACAGAGGAGCAGAGAAAAAAGTTGAACCAGGAATAAGAACATGTCCATAGGACTATAAATGATTTGACCTTGCGCTTTTTCTAGGAGCTATTACCATATCACCATCGATTATTCCTTGTGCCCATCAAAACTTATCAACAATCGCCAAAGATCTTATCAGTATGGGTGACAACGAGGTGCCGAGGAAGAGACGATATGCCCTCGTTGGCACTGGGGGAAGGTCCCGTCTCTTTTACACGAATATTGCGAAGAATTTCACTGAGACGAGTATCTTGGTTGCCATTTGCGATAATAATCGTACCCGTCTTGCCTATGCCAAGTCAAACATCGACAGTATTACTGGTGGTCAAATCGCGACCTATCATAGTGATGACTTTGACTCCATGATCAAAGAAACAAAGCCAGACGAGATTATTGTGACATCTATCGACCGTACACATCACACCTACATTGTGAGAGCGTTGGATTCTGGTTGTGATGTCATTACTGAGAAGCCAATGACCATCGATGCTCCACAATGTAGCGCGATCTTCTCCGCCGTTGAACGTACCCAGCGAAAGGTGAGGGTGACGTTCAACTACCGATACGCGCCTCATAATACCAAAATATTCGAAATCATACAGTCAGGAGCTATCGGCACGGTGACCAGTATTCATTTCGAATGGATGCTAAATACCAGTCACGGCGCTGACTATTTCCGACGCTGGCATCGTGATGCGAGAAACAGTGGTGGGCTCTTAGTCCATAAGTCCACTCATCACTTTGATCTAGTCAACTTCTGGCTTCAGTCTCGCCCTAAAACCGTGTATGCACAAGGCGATCTCAAATTTTACGGCAAGAAGAATGCCGAGGATCGTGGTGTAAGCAAGTTTTACTCAAGAGCTCACGGCAGTGAAAGTGCGAAAGATGATCCGTTTGCTTTACATCTTGAAGAAAATGGTATGCTTAAGGCCCTGTATCTTGACGCCGAGCATGAAGATGGGTACTATCGTGACCAAAGCGTCTTTGGAGATGGCATCAATATCGAAGACACAATGAATGTGCTTGTTCGATATGAGAATGATGTTGTTCTCACTTACTCGCTCACGGCCTATGCTCCATGGGAAGGATTTCGCATTAGTTTCAATGGAACTGCAGGCAGACTAGAAGCGGAGATTGTTGAGAGTAGCTATGTCAATTCTGGTGGGGAGCAATCTCTTGAAGGTGCTGCCGAGAGCATCACCCTTACTCTGCGACAGTTATTCAAAGAGCCACGTGTCATAGCTGTTGAAGAAGCCGAAGGAGGCCATGGAGGTGGTGACAACCTGTTGCTAAATGATCTCTTTGGAATAAGGGAGCCGAATGAGAATATGAGAGCCGCGAGCCACATTGATGGCGCAGCTTCGATCTTGACTGGTCTCGCTGCAAACCGCTCTATTCGTACGGGACAGGCTGTGCAAGTCAGAGACATAATAAATCTTCCTTGAGGGGCTTTTGTTGGCGCAGCGATCCGCCGGGTGCAACATTCACCTAGATCATCCAGCCATTTTCTTTGACTATTGTTTGCAAATTGATTATACTTCGGAAAGTAAACATGGACTCCATGTTTGTTGGGACAATATCTGTTGAACCACAGACAAAAATGCCTTCCAAGGTTTCTTTAGAAAAAAAAGACAGATATAGCAGCACATTACCATTTGATCGTTATGAATATCATGTCGTGTCTACCGAACTACACAGTTGACAGCCTCCCTGTAAAAGGATTACAAGCGTTCAAATGTTGGGCACCAGTGGATCACTTCACCAGTCCTGACTTGTATTCGTAGAATATTTGTTTTCCTGTCTGAAAATTCCACGTCGCATACTCTACATTGACTGAAGCAGGTATTTCCCGGTGTTCTATATCCTGAATGAAGTAGATCAATGCTACTCGGAACAACATTTTCACTAAGAGTGAGCAATAAGCATGAGACAGAGTCCATACTTCAAGTTTTAGCCAGGATAAAGTGGAATGGTGAGAATGCCAAGCTAATATGTACTAATAAAAGTATTATGAGGTCGGAGAAACACCCTCATCTATCCATCTTGAAATAGTTATCACCCTGACGGAGAATCAAAAAAATAGGAAGACATAGCTGATGTTGAAACCGCTTGATGACAACTGAATCCCGGCTTCCAAGGTTCAGCCCTAAAGGAAAATGAACGGATAATAGGAACGGATAAAAGTAGTATTCACGGGCCTAGGAACGGAGAATTGCCGGCACCACAAGAAAGGATTAGCGTCGGTTGATACTTCCCACGAAATCTTTTGTCATTGTCATATTGAATTCTCGCATGTGGATCACTTGACATCGATTTCCCCGCCTTCTACGCCACTTTGTGGCATGCTCACCCATTTGAAGTGAACTTTGGGGGACAATGCAGCCCCCTTCCAAGGTTTGGCTGAAATGCCAATGTATCATTGGTGCAAAGACTACTCCATGGGTTCTTCTCCCGAATCCGGGGTCCAAAGGTTTAGATTGATGTATGGGTGTTTGAGCGGATATATCAAATATCTTACAATTCATCTCTTCAAGTTTTAAATAAATACTGAAGGTCCACCCTAGATAAGACTGAATTGAAATTCCAGTTTTGTATCGAAAAAAGAAACCCAGCAGTAGCAATACTTCAACAACAGCACTAGGATCCAAGGAATCCGAGTCACAGACAGAAACACTTCGCAACTTGAACTTGCCTCAGGCTGGACTTTTGCACTCAATATGGACAATAAAGACAAAGATGAAGTTTGTGTCGCCCCTTCCAAAAACGAACCCACCCAAGTTCCTGTATCGCATTCCAAGGCCATCGAGTTTCTAGCCAACCATTCGGCCGAGGCAATTAGTTTCACATACGAAGAGGAGAAAGCTGTTGTCCGACGTATCGACAAACGTGTCCTAGTTTTGGTGCTGTGGGCATACTTTTTCCAGCAACTGGATAAAAGTTCATTGAGGTATGCACTCCTTCAAAAATGTTTTTATTTCGATAGAGTAATATGGCAAGAATAGCCATTCTCACATCACAATTTTATAGCTATGTATCTATCTTCGGTCTCAGTGATGATGCTCACTTGGTCGGCCTTCAATACTCGTGGCTTGGATCTATTCTCTACCTCGCTCAACTTGTCATGCAGCCTCTCGTGGCTTTGATCCTCGTGAAGCTTCCAGCAGGCAAGGTTTTGGGATCGGCCGTGCTTCTCTGGGGCTCTGCGCTATCAATAATGGCGGCTTGTACAAATTTCCCATCATTACTCGGCATGCGGTTTGTTCTCGGCTCCTTCGAGGCATTCATCGCTCCCTGTTGCGTTGCCATCACACAGATGTGGTGGCGTCGGAGCGAACAAACTATGCGTGTTAGCTATTGGAATGCGATGAACGGTGTTACCTCTATCATTGGTAGCTTGGTAACTTATGGTCTTGGACATATCAGCAGCACCACTATTTACCGATATCAAACTATCTTTCTGTTCTGTGGGTTACTCACAGTACTATACGCTTTTTTGATCTTTTGGTTTATGCCCGACTCGCCAATTGAAGCCAAGTGCTTGAATGAGAGGGAAAGAATTATTGCCACAGAGCGACTACGGGCCAACCAAATGGGTATTTCTGACCATGAATGGCGCTGGGACCATGTTTTGGAGACATTCTTGGATTTGAAGACATGGTGCTGGTTCTTCGCTATTATTGCTATCTCGTAAGTCTCCTCAAAATGCCAACACAGAAATAGTACAGAAAAGGAATCATTCAACTGACGGAGAGGACACTGGAAGTATTGCGAGTGGAGGTATTGGAACATTTGGCTCCCTCATCGTCAAGTCCTTTGGTTTCAACAGCTTTCAGACTATTCTGTTCAATATCCCATTTGGAGTTGTTCAGGTCATCTCCATTATTGGTGCTGCATGGATAGCTACCAAGACCCAACGTAAAGGCCTTGTTATTGCTGGCCTTAGCGTTCTACCTACAATTGGAGCTATTCTGATGCTTACCGTTCCACGGTCCCAAAAGGGAGTTCTACTGTTTGGATATTATCTGGTATGGCCTATGTGTCTAAACTCAGAGTCTTACGTTTAAAAAATTAGCTGACACCTGGGCACGCTTTTCATAGGTATCCTGTCTGGCAGGAATCACTCCCATGCTATACGCATGGCAAGCGCAGAACACTGCAGGTGATACAAAGAAAAAGTGCACGTCCGGCATTGTTTTTGTTGGCATGTGCACTGGTAATGTGATTGGACCACTTCTTTACTCTACCGATGAGGCGCCTCTGTACCGAACAGGCCTCATCGCAGATCTTGCTATGTTTGTCACTGTTGGGGTGATTTGCGGGTAGGTCACTCCATTTTTGACGCCTTTTCAGCAGTTAGGTTATCTTGCGGAACTAATGAGATGAATCTAGACTAACCCCATTTTATCTCGCTTACCTCAACAAGAAGCATGAGAAGAAACGTATTGAACTGGGAAAATCAGGTCGTCTGCCCGATATGTCTATGATTAATAAGGAAAAGCTCTGGGAAAGTAAAGCAGTGGAAGTTGAGGATGTTCAGGACCAACGCGCTGCGGTTGAGAACGACAAGGGACTCCTTGACGTCACTGACTTGAAGAATGAGGATTTCATATACGTATACTAGTTCATGGGCGTGCGTGTTCCAACTAAGACAGTTCCGAGTCAATATCTTCAATCATTAAAACACCACAATTAACTTGTCCAGTGTCGTGATTTCCAGTAGATTGAAGACTATTTGCAACGTATCCATTGCCCAGAATAGATGCTGAATTTGGGACTGGAACATTGGGATCAATTGAATACTATCTGAGTCCCATAGTCATCATGAGTTCTCATATCATTGAAGGTTTTCGACATAGCTCCCAAGGTCCCCAGGTCTTTTGTGCGATCATGAATTTTACACAGTCTAGAAGGTACAGGATACATGTACCTAAAAGTAGAAGAAAAATAAATTGGCCATTTACAGTCCCTCAATGCTATTTCCACATGCTTCAGTTTACCACGGAGTGAAATGAAATCCCATTAATACTACCACCTACTCAAAATTCCCTCCAGGTCATTTCACAGCGAAAAAGGCATCCTTGGTTTGAATATGTACAAGCAGGCCTTGGGCAACATCAACGGAGATGCCAGTAGCATTAGCGATATATGATTGAGTGCCATTAGCCACAAAGTTACCCGCCGCTGTGTAGTAGCCATACTCCACAGCTTCAATGCCATAGTCGACAATGCCAGAAATACTGAATGTTGAGTCGCGAGTACTAGCCAACAAAATAGTGTGGTCACTTCGAACAATTGCAAGTCCAACAGTACCGGTAGAGTTACCGGTGAATGAAGTTGCAAAGGTCAAAATTCTGCCTTGAGTTGAGGTACTGTTGCTGAAAGGGTTGAAATATACCAGCCTAGTTCCATTGGCGCCACTAGGCCTTTTGGTGGATAGATCGAGAGCCAAGCTCTTGAGTAGTTTGTTGGTCTTGACGACATCAGCAACGTATGTGCCGCGTGCCACCGGAGTGAAGTCATCGGTGGATGTATCTTTCGGATAATACAAGCCAAAATTATCAGGGCCCATGTACTCATAGACATTGTAGAAGGCTCCACCGGCCAGTGAAGCAAGAAGCAATGATTCAGCGCTTGAAACGGCACCAGAGTTCTCCATGACCATAGGTAGATTAGAGCCCTCAGCCCAATTTTCATCCGAGGTACCAACAACAGTCTGTTGATGACCATAGCTATAAAGGGTGCTTGTGGATGTGGAATAAGGATCGAGTCCCACGAAATCCAAACTCGTACCACCGGATACTCTCATTTCCTCATTGTAGTCAATCGACTTTTCCTCCGCAGTCGTGAATGTATTCAATCGCGTCCAGACAGGATAATTAGACTCCTTAATTCCATTGGCCAAATTCACGGTATACTCCCACTCGGTACGGGCGACAAAAGCGGCTTGCGAGGAAAAGTTGACGTATGCACCCCAGGTGGCAGGATTGTGGTAAACAGTATCGCCTACTCCGTGGATATGCGTGACCGAGTTCTCATTGGCGACATCGACTCCGACTAGTGTTTTAATATCTCCATTGGCGCTGTTAAAGCTAGCCACATGATTCATCAAAGTTTTCAGTGCCTTCTTTTCGAGAGCTCGAAGCTCAAGGTCATTCTTATCCGAAAGATACCAGTATACTCCATAACCATAGCCTTGGTTTTTGAGCATGACGGGAACAACGGTTCCATCATTTTGGATTTTCTCCACCAATTCATGCCGAAAGACGAAATACGGAACCCGAAAGTCTTCTGTGGAGCTAGTGCTATCCGAGCCAAACCAGATGAATTCAAGCTTGATCCCAGCAGCACCAGCCCATTCCAGTAATTTATCAACATGGGAAAAGTCCCAGCTTTCTGTACTGGATTACCAAAGTTGTGGGGGCAAAGGGCCTTTGGCGCCGTATAGAGTAGCACCGTTGGCTAGGTCGGTATTGTTGATCTGGGGCTGGAAGATGAAGCTGGCGATACCGTTCGAAGTATGGTTTCTGATGAAGGATGATGCGTCAAAATCGTAGTAACTGGCTTGGTTGATTGGGTCCCAGGAAGGGTTGGAATCAGTGAACCAATAATCCGTATCTTTTGTTCCGGAAATGTTGACTCCATCGTGAGAAGGTGCATTCGCCCAGGTGAGGTCAGATGCAGACCAAGTGTCATTGGCAATGCCGTAAAGGTTCGCAGAGAATGCCACATCATTATCAGGGGCTGAATTTACATAGATGCGTACTTTCGCCGCGTCGATCTGAGCGAGTGAATAGTCACTATAATCGAATTTGATGTACGATAGCTCCTGGTTGGCCTCGTCTCCAGCTTCGTAACCAATGCGATGTGAGACATTCGCTACATAATTGTAGTTTTCATATCTACCACCTCGGATATAGGTTGACTCTGAAGCGTTGTAGAATGTATCCGGCTGAATATCAGCCCAGGTAAGTTGACAATTGACCACTGTAAAGCCATCATTGGCTATGAGTTGGAAGAATGGCTCAATTTCAACATCCGTCATGTTCCAGATACCAGCCATCTTGTCAACTCTAAGTTGTACTCCATTGTAGAAGAAGGGCTCATCATCGACTAGGAGCACGATGCGATCATACTCTGAAAGGCTATAATCAACTCTTGAAACATTGGCCACCGTTGAAAATGAAGGCTTGAGTGATGGATCAATGACAGCCGTTGCAGCAACGGCTACACCGGCTATCAAACCCCCAAGCATCCATAAATTGGAGTTCATTTTCTGGCTTTCGTCGTTATTTCTGGGTACGTCAAATTGAAGACAGGTCACAATATCACTCAGAATCGGGGAAGGTAAGATTCTGGCGAGGAGCTGATGTATTTTAAATAACAAAAACGAGATGGAGCCTTGATAAATAATAATATTTGAATGGGTTTTATCACTACAACTTGAATTTTCCACTACGGTTCAATTTCTTTCAACCGCTTCCACCTGGGCAAGGTTGTTGATGGTCGACGGCAATACCGGCTTCCCCGCGTTCCCCACACAACTGGGGAAGCGTCATGAGCCCCCCTGAATATTTGACCATGTGGTAACCGAGTCTTGATGGCCTGCTGCATCCCATCCATCACCTATCAGGATCTTTAAAAGAAAGAAAGAAAGGGAACAAAAACCCCGAATTCCCGATTGGTTTGTGGATAAACGTGAAATATACGTTGGAAATTCAAAATTGTTCAAATTGACTAGAATTTCCACCTATGAAGTTCAACTTGGAAGGTCTTTATTTTTCTATTCTAGTACTTCTGCCAATGAAATGCTCGGGTATGTTCGTATTGATAACAACACTAGGTACATTCCAAGGTTTTCCCCCACAAAGTGCAACTCCCAACTGCACATGTGGCTCACCAACACGATCACGGGTGATTTCACCCCGGTTATCCAATCATTTCTTCTTAGATTGGACCAGCAGCAGAAGACTCCCGAGGTCCATCTATCTAATTACCCATATTTCCGAAGTTGCTTATCCAAGTTTGTTGAGAAGCAGTTCAATTGAGCCGTTCGCATACCCGCATCCGTCTCGTTATCAACCGTCTTTTAATCCGTGTACACTTCTTTTCATTGGCTCTATCGGACAGAATGGAGAATTTCGGCAATATAGAGAGTGGCGAGCCATGGGTGAACGATTCAAGCAGGTTTAGCATCGTCCAAGCTTCTCCCGAATCCGCTGAGAGGGTCAAGCGAGTCCGTATCCGCGTTTCCCATGCATGCGACCGCTGCAAAAGGTAAGCCATTGACCATTGCAAAATACTACGTGATAAAGGTGACTGAAACTTTCTATAGGAGAAAAATCCGCTGCACAGGTAATCGGCCTTGTAGCTTCTGTGCCAGGGAGGCGACAAGGTGCATTTACACCGTTCCGAATAAGCGTGGGCGGAAGTCTCGCGCGGGTAATTCCGATAATCAAGAACTAAACAGCTCCAACAACTCGCGTAGGGCAGTGCCCCTGGAATCTAACGCGCGAACCGAGGAAGAAAACTCGCATTCAGCATCGGGGACTGATCTCGACGACTTTGAGGTGAACAACACGCTGATCGAAAGAAGCCCCCTAGGCGCGTCGCCGGATGCAACTACTGACCATGAAGGTCAATATGTCGGTCCAGCATCTGGCTTGTCTTTCTTGGCGCGTGTGCAAAAGCGTCTTCATAATACCCAACCCACATCATCTAGTTTCACCTTTGGCGACGCGCCGATGGCTGAATACGACCCTGTTCCTTCAATCATGATCTCGCCAGAAGAGTCGTCGCGGCTGGTCAAGACATTCTTTGAATTCACAATACCTATAGATCGAATTATTCATCGACGGACAATAGAGGAGTGGCTTGAGCAATTCCAGCAAACTCTAGGAGCCATGAGAGATGTTGAGAATGCGCCTGCTCAGCGCGCGATGCTCTGGATGATCTTTGCCATGGCTCAGGAGCACAAAACTGAATTTGAAGCTGAGAAAGCTGAAGATAAAAGGTCAGTTATTATACAATGGAACTCTCTTTCTGTTCCCCATCCGCAGTACGACCAGGATAACCGCTGATATAGGATGGTTAGTGTTCGCTACTTCTTAGCAGCCGACTACCAACTCTCTAAAGAGCGAAGTTTTGTGGGACTTAGTAGCGTGCAGGCAAGGCTATTCCAATGCTTTTGGCTCCTCTCAAGGTCGCGAGTGAATCATTGCTGGAGCTTATTTGGAACGGTAGCCCGTCTCGCTCTGGCTTTGGGCTTGCATCGGCAGCACCCTTCGAGCCGAGTAAAGTGTTCTAACTGCATTGACTCAGACTGTAGCCGCAGAACCTTCTGGAGTGCTTATTGCCTTGATACGCATCTCAGCCTAACGCTCGGCCGTCCAAAGATATTTCACGACGAAGACATTGACCAAGAACTACCATCCGGAATCGATGACTTGAGCGTTCACATGGATATTCTAGCGCCAGCGAGAAGCTCCGAGTACTCCACAATGATTGCCCCCGTTGCGTACTATAAGTAATTCTATCCACACCCTGTGTGACGCTGTCCCATTCTTGGTTATTTAACAAGGCATCTTGTCAAGTTTAGGCTTCATCGTATCTTAACCAAGATCCTCCGAAAGTTATATTCTATTCGCGCAGTGTCGATCGAAGACCAATGTACCCTCGCGGCAAAATATACGACTCTTTTGCAACAGTGGTGTGCCGAGCTGCCCATCTTCTTGCAAATGGATCCTTCAAGGCGTACACCTCTTATTCCTATATTTCATCGGCAACGAGATGTTCTGCACTATACATATTGGCATGCAGTAATCCTCGCAAACAGGCCCCTTTTGCTAAGGGGATTTAGCAAACAGCACAGGATCAGCTCCAGAGATGAGCTTGATCAATATAGGATGATAGTCAACGATGGAGTTAAGGAGTGCTTGGGCGCCGCTATAAATGTTGTCAATAGGGTGTGCCAAATGTTTCAAGACGGTGTGATGTTTCGATCATTTTGGGTAAGGTTCCGGAGCCCTGTTTTTAGACAGTAGGAGGGCTTTGAGTGTGAACTGATTAGCTATTCATAGGGTGCCTGCTATTATGGCTTCTCAGCTGCCGCCGTTCTGTTCGTATACACAATCCAACAAGCATCTTCACCTGCAGACGTGTATCAACAGTATTTGAATTCTGCAACTCGCTTGGAGAATCATCTTGCTACCTTTGCAACAGATAACGCCCTTGTTGCGCGATATGCTCTTGTCCTACAAGAGCTGCAGCTGGAAGCGCTCAAACAAATCCAGTGCCATTCCAGCCCATCGGGGTGCAGTATGACAGCCAGCCAGATGGATGCAATGGCATTGCAATATGCCGATATTTTGGGTGTTCGAATGCCACTTTCAACTGTAGTAGACGAAGGATTAGTTCACGCTCCTGCTGATATTGCCACATGGTCGCAATTGGAATTACTGGTAAGCCCTCAATCCTTGACTGCGGACTTGTCATTTACATTTCTAACAGCATGCATATTAGCTCATTCCTAGCTTTACAGGCCATGCCCCAGTATTAAGATATTAAGTCCACTATCCACTTGCTAGTACTCCAACTACTAGATAGTTAACATTAATCTGTCGCATTTTGATTAGTATCTCTCACATACTATACAGGTCAACACGTCCATTTTACTTAGGTAAGGGCTTGAATAAGATTCTTTCTTTGATATCAACTCACATTCATCATGACCTCAGGAGTACCTAGGTACCAACTTGGAAGGATACCCATTGGCACAGGGACGCCCCCGCCTGGGCGATGACTCGATGCTAGTAGTACTGGTCTTTCAGGGACTAAACCACTGTACTACACATGATTCAAGTTGTCGTCTGAGTTTAATTAATGAACACTGCCTCACTCTTATAATTATGATGTCACTACATATAAATTTAAGTTAGAAAGCAGAAATATACTCTATCCAAGTGAGACTTGTTTGAGATTGACTTTCTCGGTTAAGAAACATTTGAATATCCTTGTCAAGTTTGAAGGCCTCTGATACGTGAACGTAGAGCAAACACCCTAAAGAACTTGATGAAAGAGCACATGTGCATAAACATTAAATGAAAACTCTTCACTGGTATTCTTAGCAACATATATTCTTAGCAGCAAGCCACACTGGCATTGTCGACGTCAATGTTCCGCTTATTGGAAATCTTTACCGCGGCAACAAATCATCATCAACTACACCTGTAGCCAAGAGTCAATCCGCAAGCCACCAAATGCATATTGGCATGTTACGTATGGTTCCTGTAAAACATACCAAACCAGATATCCGGATACATCCACACCTGATCATCAAGAAAGTGAAATTTAAATTCAAGTTGCTTATCAGGTGCCTACGTGACTTTCAAGTTGCCAAATCGAACTTCCCAAGTCTGGTCTCATGGAATCTCGTGGATATGCTGGAGGAATCGCCCCCAAACATAAGCCTACGTGGACATCTGGATAGCAAAGCTTTTTTAAAAATTGACCGGCGATCATTCATCCTGAGGCGTCTAGATCCATGCATCCCCTTTTCCTTGATGCAACCCAGCCCACATGATTACACATATCCCTGCCGCCACCCGAGTATATTGTGGACTTGTCTCAGGCATATTAATGGATCATTCATGGGCTTTGTGGAGAGGGCCGTGGAGAGGTCAGGTACCACTTGCAAGTGAATGGGTGAATTTTGTACATCCAGATGCATCTGTGGATAAAGCTGCCAAGTACGGAGGTCGGTCCGGAAAGTTCTCGCCAGAAATTATAATTTCTTTTTCTTGATATATTACCGGCCCTGTATGTCAGGTGTATAGCCTGCTGTATATTGGATGTATTGCCGTGTTACGTACTAGGCTAAATATTGCTTATAACACCCGTGGACACGTAGATCTTTATCTTTTACCCCGCCTACAGTCCGTACACCCCTTCACACTTTTATCCCACCTACACAGCTACACTTTTGTCCCACCTATACAGCTACAATGAAGACCAATATTGCGCAACGTGCTGTCATTGTATACCTAAGGGCCCAAGGACATGCCCCTAAGGAGATCAGTGAATTTATGAATATTCCACGGCGTACTATAGGAGACATATGGAACCGTGCACTCGAACGAGGTTTTCAGCCGAATCAGCGACCATTCAATATATCAGATGAAATGTTAGCTGATAAAGCACGTTCTGGGCGTCCATCTAAGCAAACAGATGAGCTTAAAACCACACTTGGGGCGAAAATCCGTGTAGACCGCTATGGGCGTGAGAAAACATGTGAACAGCTAGCTGCAGAGCTACGCAGTGAATCAGGTTAGTTATTCTAAGATTTGATATTTTATTTAGTGTGTTATTTAATATGTTATTTAGTATAATATTTGATGTGTTACTTGGTGTGTTATTTGATATGTTATCTCATATGTTACTTGATATGTTATTTCCTCTAATATTTCTTCTATAATTAGGGATTAATATATCAAAAACAACAGTTTGGCATGTACTACGAAAAATTGGCCTACGAAAAACAAAGCCTACACGTAAGCCTGGGCTTGCCGCTGAGCAGAAAAAACAACGTCTTGAATGGTGTTTAAAACACGCCCATTGGACTATAGAAGACTGGAAGAATGTGATTTGGACTGATGAAACTGCGGTTGTTTTATTACACCGTCGGGGTGGATATCGTGTATGGCGTACTTCTAGTGAGCGGTTCGTCCGAAGCTGTATTCGAGAACGTTGGAAGGGGGCCTCTGAGTTCATGTTTTGGGGTGCTTTTTCTTATGATCAGAAGGGCCCCTGTCATTGTTGGGTACCTGAAACTACAGCCCAAAAGCGTGAAGCAGAACACCAAATCGCCGAATGGAATACTGAATTAGAGCCTATTATGCGTGCAGAATGGGAGCTTAATTCAGGTATACAGCGATTAGGGCTACGCAATAAGCCTGGAAGACAACCTCAGTGGAGATGGACTCAGAAGAATGGAAAGCTTGCACGCAATTCGAAAGGTGGAATCGATTGGTACCGATACAACACCGTGATTTTAGCCCCAAAACTACTTCCATTCGCCCAAGAATGTGCTCGAATTCGAACGAAAACAATAGTTCAAGAGGATAAAGCACCAGCCCATTCACATCACTACCAACAGCGAATATTTGATATAATGGGGGTCCAACGAATGATCTGGCCTGGAAATTCGCCTGATCTAAATATGATTGAACCTGCATGGCCTTGGATGAAGAGATACACTACGCGAAAAGGAGCACCTAAATCGCGTAAAGAAGGGATTAAAGTATGGGAGGCTGCGTGGCGTGATCTACCACAGGCGCAAATTCAAGCTTGGATTGAACGTATACCATGGCATATACAGCAAGTCATTAGACTAGAAGGGGGCAACGAATACGGTGAGGGGCGTGATAAATTAGGTGAAGTAGCCCCTAGCGGGTTAGGTGATAACGCCTATAACAGCGGCAGCGGCAACGACAGCGACAGCGACAGCGACAGCGACAGCGATATATGGGAAGATATGTGAATATTTACTGTTTCAAGCTGTTATTATATTTCAGTACTATATATTTCCGTTTTATATACATCTTGATTACGCGATATATTTCAATATTTACTGTATATAGCCTAGTGTGAGAAAAAGAAATTATAATTTCTGGCGAGAACTTTCCGGACCGACCTCCGTACATAGTGGAACACTCAGGCTGGTTCGAGTCTTGTGATATGATTGTATTGGTGTTGTAACTTTGAAGTTCTTCCCGATGTCAGTAATCTCAATGTTGATTTCGAGGCTTAGAATCATTAACGCCGATTACATGATCTCTTCGGGAAGCTTCGTGATCACCAGGGTGGATTGTATACCCGTTAATCCGTCCTAGTACGGAGTACGGAGGATTATTCAACGGATTCGATCGGCAGAGAGTAAGGGGGGGGGGGCGAGATCTGAAATCCGAAGTCTTTCATAACATGACTCAAGAAAAGAAAAACATTTGAAGATGACATGTCTAATATTACCTACTCAAGTAGGTACTGCGAAGTGCACATGTGTCGGCTACAAAGTGTGTAGGAATACAGGGTTATAGAGGGGATCTATCCAGAATAATTGTGGAATAGTCTGAGAGGTCATAAAAGAATCGACCAGACCGATCACGATCGATGCAGCATCATATCATTCAAATTCCGTCAACGTCCTGGCCAATTTACAGTGTGGAGCCACACTGATCCACTTTGACCAAGATTCTTCGTCAGTCTGGATCCGACCCCCATAGTTAAGATGAGTACAGCTGTCCATACAGACAGCTATTGTATGGTACAGCAGATACCCTTCATACCCACTCATATGATATCAGAATATAAGGGTAGGGAGGACTGTCCTGTATTTTATTTACAATTTACGCCCCAGAATGGGTTCAGGGGGAGGAAGAAAAAAAAACAAAAAAAAAAAAACCATCCACAAGCAGAACAACTAGGCCCGCCCCGGGGGCAAATAATAAGCAAGTCCCTTACCAGAACAAGACTAATCGGTCTTCAAATGTCCAATAAACTTGAGGGAGTCCTGCTGGTTGAGGGGCAACCGGAAACTGCGGCATCAGTCTGTACAGGCATACACATGTGCAGGCACCAAAGAGGGGTTCTTTATGATTTGAGGACTGTATGCAAGTGCCGTCACACTCGGATGTCCATGGATAGACTGGGATCTGCTGGGATTTCACAAATTGATCGTCGCCTCTGGCGTCTATGCCCAGTTTTTTTGATCAATCAGGATGATTATGGATATCGTCGAATCGGATAGACCAATCCACAGCACCAGTTGACTGGAAAAAAGCTCCAACCCTTGTCAAATTAGGCCAGGAGCCAAGTGTGATTAGAATATTCAAATATTCATTTGCGATCGGGTTCATGAGTTCTGGTTGAGATGAGTATATTAACCTGTACTCTATGCTCTGTACTCCAGACTGGAAAACAACAGTTGATTATATGGACTATACTCCATAGTCCAGCTCAGTAAGTGTCATCTTTCATATGTAGCTGTAATATCGGGACACGGAATAGGATACCCGAGAGATAATTTCATGTGGCTTGCGGGAGAGCTTCTGTGTGGCTTGTTAGTGCAGCTTCTGAGACAGACCAACTCTCAACTCTTATCCACATATTACGTATGCCTCGCTCTAGTTCGCGTTATCACCCCCCTCCGGTCACACAACACTCAGGTGTCACCGGAATCAATCCGTAGAAAGAATCAAGTTTAATAAAAACAACTTGTTCCTTAAAAGACATCTTAGATTCAAAGATATAAAAAAAGAACAAAGAAAATGAAGGAATGAAGGGCTGGGAATGTTAGAATCTCCTGGGAGAATAATGCGCCACGCCAACCAATGTTACCGATGTGGATCCCATAGACCAAATTGGTATTCGGTTTACTGTGCGCCGCGTCAGGTTTCGAGTCCTTTTATGCATAGAAACAAAAAAACAAAGCCAAGGGGAAAGGGTGCAGGAACTAAACTATTAAAGCGTCCCTGAAAATCCCATGGTACAACTTAGGATCAAATCAGACTAGTTCAATTAACATTAGAAGTAAAAGATAAATCAAAACAAGATAGAATCTTAACGTATACTACAAGCTATAATCATACACCAAATTTGACACCCAAAAAATGGCCCAAAAAGGACGTGCGTGAACAAATGCACAGTATCCACAAGCAAAGCTAGCGGCATTACCAACTTTAGTCCATAGAAACAGTAGAAACGTTCCTAATTCCCGTGACTTTTTGTGATCTTTACCCTTTCTCCTCTTTACTTTCTTTCCCCCCCCCCCTTACCCTTTACACTCGTTTCCCACCCCACCCATAGGCAACTCCCCCGACTTATCATAAAGGCCTAGAAGGACAATGCGAATTCCCTTCTGACAATCATTGCGGCCTTTAAATTAAAGAAACTCTCAGGTGGTTAGGTGTGGGATTATCAGGCATTCGTTTACTTTCCCGCACCACTCATCCACCCCCGGTGTCCTCTACGGGCGATCGACACTCTTCCACCGGTCGGCACACACAATTTCGATTTTCCGTCTCATTCTACCCCGACTATCCGTTCGTGAACGCTCTCACAAAAAACCTGTGCTGTGAAATTGGTGGTCATCAGGACCTGATCTAAGAGATCAACCAACAAAAAAAAAGGAGGTCACCATATCGAGACGTCACGCCACTCTCTTATTCCATCATGCGTTTTTCACTGGTGGTTTCGGCTTTGGCCTTACTGCCACAGGCCTGGGCAGCTACGACCCTAGCTTATTGTTCGACCGAGAATACTGGATCCTCATTCAGTGCTGGTGGGTGGACTCCCTTTTGAAACTGATGTCAAATTCAAGGTCAGGAAAAATGAATCATTTTTACTAACTTTGACTCAAATAGTCAGCAATATCTATCAGTCTAACGGTGCTTGTGAGGTCACCTGTGCTAGCTACGCTCTAGGCATTCTTCAAGGGAAGAAATGTTGGTGCTCCAACGTTGCACCAGCTGCCGATACTCAAAAGAATACAACCGAATGTGACACAGGATGTCCTGGTTATCTTTCTGATAGTTGTGGAAGTGCTTCCAAGGGTGTCTTTGCCTACGTCGCCATTGATGATAATAGCGTGACTAGCACTGCTGCTGGTTCCTCTTCGACCTCCTCAGTACGTTCCCCTTCCTGTTTAATGTTATGTCCATTTGCTCTTGCCCCAAGGAATTTCCCCGAGTTACCACCTTTGTCTTTTTGAGTCTCATTTGTCCTGGTTAAATCTGCGCTCTTCAAGGGGTCCTGATTTTTAATGCCTGGATTAGGGGACTACTACATCTACCACATCCTCAAGCACATCATTGATCGTATGGTCATCTTTGATCACCCCAACCCAGCAAAGGGATACATCTTGCTAACTCTTAATATAGACTAGCTCCTCGTCCTCCTCCTCCACCGGCAGCACTACTACCACTGCTCAGGTAGCTGTCACCACCTCCTCGGATGGAGAAGTCAAAACAATCACCATTGCCGTTTCAGCCGCTACATCCGGCTCTGCCAGTAACAAGGGATCCAGTACTAGTGACAAGAGCTCTGGTCTCAGTGGAGGATCAATTGCTGGAATAGTGGTTGGTGTCATTGGAGGTCTCGCCTTGATCGCAGCGCTGGTTTTCCTCATCTTCTTCTATCGCAAGCGTGCTCGTTCTGCAAGCCCGGTTCCTAGCCAAGATATGGCGGATCGAACTAGTCAAGGTTCGAGCTGGTCTCGTGGTGTTTTCCCTGGAGGTGCTGGTGGATCCAGCCTGGGTCGTAAGGCCACTTTCACCGATAACCGTATGAAGACGGACACCGCCCTCTACCACAATGGTCGTCGGGATAGCAGTGTCTCGCTGCAGGACAACGAGGACTACTCGCGACCCGTTCTTCGCGTAAGTATTATTCTGAAAAATCACTGTGCAGTTGATCATTTTCTAACCAATAACAGCTTACCAACCCTGACTAAATCCGTCTCACACATCACCATCTGTGTTTTCTTCTTCCCGCCCTCGTCCCTACCCGAGTTTACCTTCATCCTTAATTCCGCATGAATTTACCAAAACAGCTCTGTTATGATACCCATTAGTCACTTTGACTTCTTTCCTTCTTATTCTTAAGGTGGTGGTCAGGAGGAAAACCGAGATGGGAAGACATTTGAAGTCGGATGTGTTCTGAGCTCCTTTCATCATGCCACCACGGTCTCTCTCTCCCTGTCTAGACGCGAAAAGGATGAATGCGAGGCACAACAGTACACGAGTTTAAGCGGCGCCCACTTTTTTCTTTCTTTTTCTTTCCCGCCTCCAAAGGTTACTTTGGGGGAAGCGATGATTCGCCGTCGAGACGAGTTCACGAGCACCCAGCATTACATACCTCTTGCATAAATACCGTGGACGATGGACGCACAGCCCATATGATTCCAGTACATACTTCCGACCCTCTCCAGATCGCCTCCATTTCCTTGATCTTTCTTTCCTCTAATTCTGATTTCACCTATTGTACTATCCAGCCAGCTCTTATCCCAATTTCTTTTTCTCTTTTCCTTAATTCATGTGCCTATCTCATCTAGGTTTCTGCTATGGCCTTAACTCATGATGCTTAGAGAAATACAATTATCCTCCCATCACTTGAGTAACAGCTAAATTCTCTTGCATATACCTAGGTACCATTTCTGAATCGGACGATCACAGTGATTATTACTCTTCCATTGCTACCCTCCAACCTAAGGGTCTCGTATATCCATGTAGATCTGTAGATCTCACTGACGTGGCGTGATTTATGAAACCTGACTACGTCATGTATGGGTGTTTGATGGTTGAGAACCTCACCTGGGCACTCGTGTTACTTTCCTTACCTCAAATCTTGAATATGCACTACCAGACGAATTCGAAGAGAAAACTTGAATATTCTGAGTTTTTCATAGCACAATTTATAATTTACAATTGGACTAACATAGACCAAACAATCCATCCATCCAAATTTCTTTTTCACCAACTTGGAATATCAAGTTGGTTCAATTTGTTGAGACCAGGTGTAGATATCACCTTCTCATTAACTCCGACATGCCAGCTCTCCATCCTTCTATCACTATGTTCTATTCTATAACTAGCCCTGGGGAGCTTCTAAAATACGAATGATCTCTACATTGCCCAAGTGTTTAGCCTGCTGGATAGGCGTCTCACCGTGGCTAGATCGTCAAATCTGGCCGATCAATTCCCATATCAAGGATTGTGCGAACCTCATCTTCATCTCCCTTTTCAATTGCTCACGACAAGAGAGTTTGCAAAGTGGCTGAATCGATATGAGACTTGAAATCGCTAACGCGATTAACTAATACCCGCACCACCAGTCAGCAAACTAGAAATAATATCCACGGGGGCATTCTTCGCAATAGAAATATGTAGTTCGTTCCAATGAAACAATCCATAGTGTAGAACGATGACATTCAATTGACACCCCGCCTTGATGATTTCGTGAGCCAAGTCCCATTCTTGCCGTTCCAGAGCAATATGCAATGCCGTGGCTCCACATATATTTTTAAGGCCAAGGTCAGTTTTAAGGCCAAGGTCAATGCCACAAGTACTAATGAGAGTGGAAGCTAGATGTCGGAACTTGTCGTTAACAAGGGCCTCATGAAGAGCCGTGCGACCTGATGGGGAACGCGCATTCAATATCTCCTCTGGGAGGTTGAAAGAGAGCGCAAGATCCAGGGCATCGCGTCCCTCTCGTTCCGTGAGTTCATGGAGCAGGCTGAAATTCCAATCTTTGTAACTCTCTTTTCCCATGAACGTAGCCGGAGTCAAATTTTCAACTAGTACACGAATAGTCTCGAGAGAACGGAAATGTATGCCTTTATGTATATGGGCTTCAGTCAAATGCACCCCGCTAGTGAGTAGTAACCGTGTAACAACATCACCTTCTACTAGGTAGTGTGCATAGTAAAATGAATCAAAAGAATATCCTCTCACAGGTGGTGATCTCCAGATTTTAGTATTGACATCAGCACCTCGGTCTAGAAGCAATTGAACGATTTTGGCCTGGTTTTCTTGTACAGCATAAATCAACAAAGTGGTTCCATAAATGGTGCACCAATTTGGATTAGCACCCAGATCAAGAAGAAACTTTAACCGGTCGACTTTACCTGTCTCAATCACTCGGCAAAGGTATCCTGTATTGTTCAAGCCTCCTCTAGCCATGCGTTTATACATCCACATCCACGGCATTGGTTCATTAATCCAAAGATTTATTTGAGGTACCTTGTCATCGTGGGGTTCGAATGGCGCCTCTGGTGGACATAGAAGCCCCTTCCTAGCACGGTCATTCTTTTCTGACTCTTAAGGTTCCCAAGAATCCTTTGCTTGAACGGGCGAGGTTAACAAGTGATGAGGTGTCACAGAAATCACATATCATGAGTAAGAGTTCAAGGGGCAGATCCCCAAGGTGATTGGTGACTTGAGAGGATGACTGCTCTGCAGCAAATTGTTGTTCCGTATGATTCTGATCCTGCATGGAGCATCGAGCGAGATCTCTCCAAAGGGGGACATGATGTGGCGAAAGTGTGAGCTGTATGAACAGTGTTAGAAGAACTTGAGAAGAAAAGGAACCCCTTCTCAATACGAATGAAGTCTCTTTCAGGGTGTGATGGTAATGGGTATTCCTGATCCTGGGGAATAGAATGTCTTATAAACACTAGGGGGAGTAACGAGAATAAACGAGAATAAGGCTGTGGCGTGTTGTTCTATTCCAGTGAGCGGTAGCAAAGGCTTTCAATACCCATGAGGACACTGAGATTGATTTAACTCAGCGAAGTTGAGCCTGCAAAAAGGAGAAACTTGAATCAAGCTGAAAGATCTGAAAGTCAGACGTGACCCTGACAGACACTGTCTTTCTTTTTGTCCCAAAAAATGAGACATCTTTCTGACAAACTTAAATCTGTATTAGTAGCAAAAAATGGAAACAAAGGATATATTATTTCAGTATGGGGGAAAACAAAGATTGATGAAACTAGGATGCACCTTGTTTCTTAAGATAGCATATCTGAGCTATTAATGTGACTGCCATTGTTTTAGAAGACACAAGTTGTGCTCAATGCAATAAATTGAGTTTCTAAGGGTATTAATACCTCTAGAAGTCAAGGCAAATCAGAGATACAAATTCCGTGGATGAAGGGGTTTAAGATTTTTCAAATGGATTCACAATGTTGAAAAAATTCAAGTTGAATATAGAATAGTACCGTGACGTGAGAGTGAACTTAGTGGGAAGTTATATGGATGTGCCTAACTAGAAAAACTCATAAAAACTGGAGTAATTCTATCCTGAGGTAGATGTTTCCTAGATACTAGTACTATTCGTGCATTGCTCAGGTGTAACACGGCCACACTCACCTAGCCCGACATCCATCCGCATCACCTATGCCCAGACGCCTGGCAGAAAAAGCAGTGAGCGTGTAGTTTCCTGGGAGCTGCTGGATATTAAATACCAAGCAGACAAAATCACGCTGCTTGAGTGGAATGTCAATTACTGACCTCGGGAGAGACCATAAAGACAAAAGGTGTAACTTCAACAGCACTCAAGTGCTGCCAGGGGCAGTCACTGGTAGTATGTAGTATTACTACCACTATCGTAGATACTGCAAAGAAGATTGATGGAACGTCACGGTGCCATGTCTGGGGCTTAATTCTAAATGTGCAAGGATGCGAAAGGGACGAAGATGGACAATCGTCAACTAGTATGTGTATAGGCTCATCCATGGAGCATAGGGAAGGGAAGATCCATCATCTTCCAGGGCTAGTACATAAGTGCCACCTGGGCAGTGAGCACTTGAGAGAGAGCTATATATCACTACTCAAGTGCTACTGAGACCTCAAGTGCCCCAGGGCTTAGACCACATGAACTTGAATATACATAGTACTATGCACGTGTGTAATATTAGGGCGATGCACATGTGCAGTGGTCTGATATCAATATGATCCCATCTCTTTGGCACTAAATGGACTGATATTTATATCAATGATCATATGCCGATTCTTTTTTTTCTAGTATCTAAAATTATGCTGAGAACTTGGAGTTATATCAGGCCTTCATCTCTTTGCTATTGGAGAACGCCACGTCCACACCCGTTCAGGTTAGCACCTTACGTGGCTGTGGGATATTGTGGGATCATAGCAAAAAGATCCTTCTGCGATAAAATTCCTCCCCGGGCCAGAGCTTGAGACCGAGATTAGAACGAATGAACCAGACTCAGTGTTACCGCCACCCTTGGCAATGTGGGACGGTTATGGCGCCCGGCTTTATAAACCTTACTGGCAAGTTCAAAAGTTCGGGAATTCCGTGGAAGGGGCATTGATGCCACAGAACATCAACATTCGGATTTAAGAAATAGTATTGAAATGGAAGTATTAGTAGCAGTTGAATGTTGACGCCGCAAACTTGAAGCTCTGAATTACGACAATTCGATGACCACAGACATTATTACTTGGACCTCGGGAGGGAAAGACACTATGCTCAATATAGACTCTCCGGATGAGCTATCTTCCTCGGGATACCATCCGAGTTAGTAAACTTCCAGATATCAGATTAAAGCAGTACGAGGCCATGATATTGGTTTCACTTGTGCGGAGTATTCAAATGTTACTAGCAAGCACTAAAATTTCTGGTACTTAGAATCCACGCGTATGCACAGTTCCAATAAAGGCAATGCTTAATATTCCAAGGTTGCTGGGAGGAGATATGATCAAGTGGCTCGGACCAAAGGGTACAGTATATCCTGCTGCACCGCTGGCATGCCAACTCACTACATGTGAAACATTGTACGGAGTACCTAGGGAGCCTATGATTGGCGATACTACCGGTCTCTAGGTAGTCCCAGTTATTGATAGTAGAGGGTATCATTCACGGCTTCCCTGTGCATGTCCAGGTGACAGAGCTAGAAGTATTCCCCGTATCTGCTCTTGAATCCCAGCTGGTGATCATGACCCACCGTCAGAACAGAAAACCCCAGATTTCTAGTATAGAAGGAAGGGAGCTTCGAGTCATACTAGTAGTATGGAATTGTTAGTAGACCCCTCCCACACAACACCCACACATGGCTTGCGCAGCACGCCACCAACAAGATCAGAGGATGTTTGTGTACTAGAAGGTTCGTAGTTTCCGGTTTGTTTTACATGTGGTGCTTTTTGTGGGGGATGAGTGTTCCTTGACTCAGCATCGCAAAATCGTATTGTTTTGGGTCTTAGCCCAGCTCATTTACTACATAGTCCGTGCGCATCGGTCCTATGAGTCCAATCCCCCCTATGTAAAACTCCATAGTGAATTAAGTCTCCCCAGATAGTCCGGGGTCTGCCTAGTCCAAAGGGGTCAAAGCCATGAGAGATGCAGGAAGGGAGTCAATCATAATGTCCCGACTAAACTTTCTCACTAAACCAGATGGGCAAATCTCGCATCTAATTGTCGGTTAGACCCGAGCCAGGGACGGGCAACTATACTGTGAAATCATTGGTTCAGGAAATTAAAAGAGACCCTACAATCTCAAAGGACTTGTAGGCCCCTCTAAAGGGCCCCGGGGCCTATGCTGGAACTAAGGCTTTTCTGGCCGAGACCGGAAGAACCGGCATATCAGCGGGCTCGGTTGGCCGACGCAGAAAAATCAATTTCATCCAAACAAAAATCTTTGATCAAAGAGAAAAAAAAATAATTGAAATAATTTACGCTAAAGTGTTTCTCATTTCCGCCCCCGGCCTATCGCCAGATGAACGTCTCCTGACCCCGGATTTCTATCCCCACGAACAGTGTTCACTTTTCACTCACCGGGCGTCTGGAACTGGCAAAGCTCTGAAAAAAGATGATCAATCTCTCCGGAATCCAAGCCCCATGGGCAAAATTTGAGCCACGCGTCCCCTCCGCGATTCGGTTCCCCGAAAGCTTGGCATTTATACCGAGCTCATTGATCCCGATATCCACTTGACCTGACAACGGAGAAAAAGAATGGAAAAATGTGGTAACTAACATCCACACGGCTAAGATTATAGGTCAGAACTCATACAATCCATGGAACCTTTTGAGGTACCGAAACCTCGTGGCTTATGGAGATGGATTCCAGAATGTTACGGTCCCTCTTTCGCTCTTCGTTTCCTCCGAATATCGTACGAGCCAAGAACATACCATACTGAATCTGGGATCGTCTTTTATCGACCTTAACCTAGATGAGGTTAATCACTCCCCGCTATTCTAATTTTGAAAAATTTTCGATTTTTTTTTTCTTTCAAGAGACTACCTCGCCTGGATGCCTCTTTTTTTTGCCCCTTCGATTTAGCGATCCTTAATTAGCTACTGAAAATTTTTTCTTCTCATCACAAGGACGCGGCTCGGCCACCCAGATCCATTCTCTTACGGCATTCCCGAGTATGGATCCCCAGTCAGACCATTGTTCCTCCGTAAAAAAGCCGTTGATCGGATTAATCCTCAAGCTGAGACGTTCTACTCCGTACAGTATTTTCGGTACGAGATCTATCCAATACAATTTCTCATGTGTCAAATGGCATCGGTCAAATATCGGTCACAGGCGGGGTATTAAGGTGTCGGGAATTGCCTGCATGTCAGTTCCCCCGTAAGCACTAGACTGCTAATAGAGAAGCACCCCCGAAAAAAGAGGGACCCTTGAGCTTTGGGGAAAAACAATCTGTCTAAGCTGACAAGTTGAAGGAATGGATGGTCATGTAACCGGCCAATAGTGGCGTTTTCTTGAAAAGGAGGCTTGTTTTTTCAAAAAGTTCGGCGCATCGCTATCCACTCAACGCCGTGGGCTTGACACAACTTGGCTTTTCCAGGCTTTTCCTCTTGGCCAGAAAGCTTAGTGGCGTTCGCTAGTGGAGGAAGGTTTTACATACCTCTGCCAGTGTTTCGTATCTCCGGAATATAGCATTTCCGACTTATACTTTGTTCCCCGAGTCTAACCTACTATATCTTAGTTTGTGGTTAGCTTGCCACGGCACATGGAATCCTGTGACCAAGGGTCCCCCCCATAGGGCATTGTCAGCCATGATACTGGGGACTGGGGCTACGAAGCACGAGGACTGCGTTTTCGTGGTCTGGAGAAAGTGGCTTGGCCAGAGCACTAGCTCTTACAAGAGAAAAAAAAATGCAGAGAAAGAAGAAAAATTTCCTATAAATGTCTGGTACTTCCCACCCCACAGAACTTTCTTTTTTGTGATCACCACTTTTTTTCTATACTCTCTACTCTTTCTGATTATACGCTATCACTATGGCGGTCAGTCAGTCAGTAGTCGGCCGCAAGGCTGCGGAGAAGTCCCACGGTATCGTGGGTATGCTCAAGAACCCATATGTTGCCTTGACATGTTGTTTCGCCTCTCTTGGTTGTATCATGTATGGTTATGATCAAGGTGTGATGAGTCCTGTTCTTGTTATGGAGAACTTCGAGAACCACTTCCCCACGTTCATGGGTTCGACCATCCAGGGTTGGTTGGTGTCTGCTCTTGAGCTTGGTGCTTGGGCCGGTGCTCTGATCAACGGTGTTCTTGCGGATCGTATCTCTCGAAAGTACGCCATGATGGTTGCTGTCGTTATCTTCACCCTCGGTACTGGTCTGCAGGCTGGTGCTCAGGCACCTGCTTACTTCTTCGCTGGTCGTGTCATTGGTGGTGTCGGTATTGGTATGTTCAGTATGGTTATTCCTCTTTACCAGGCTGAGATTGCTCTTCCCGAGCTGCGTGGATCTCTTGTTTCCCTGCAGCAGCTTTCCATCACCATCGGTACCTCCATTGCCTTCTGGCTCGACTACGGTATGCAGTTCGTCGGTGGCAACACTTGCAAGCCCGAGGGTATCGCCAACCCCTACCTCGCCGACGGAACCTTCAACGCTGCCCAAAACCACGGCCACACCTGTCTCGGCCAGAAGACCATTGCCTGGCGTCTGCCCTTGGCCTTGCAGATCATTCCTGCTTGGATTTTGTTCTTCGGAATGTTTTACTTCCCCTTCTCTCCTCGTTGGTTGATGATGAAGCACCGTGAGGAGGAAGCTCTTGCCTCTCTCTCCAAGCTCCGCCGTCTTCCTGCCAACGACCCCAACGTCCGTGCCGAGTTCCTCGAAATCAAGGCTGCTGTTATGTTCGACGAGGAGAGTGAGGCTGAGTTGGTTGGTAGCGGTGGAAAGCTTGGTCCCTGGAAGGCTCTCTTTGCTCCCCACATGCTCAAGCGTCTCTTCCTTGGATGTGGTACCATGGTTTGCCAGCAGTTCACCGGTATCAATGCTGTCCTGTACTACGCTCCCCAAATCTTCAAGAGTTTCGGTTTCAGCTCTACCAAGACGGATCTCCTCGCTACTGGTGTGACCGGTATTCTGCAGATCACCTTCACCATTCCCGCTGTCCTTTGGCTCGACAAATTCGGACGTAAGACCTTCCTTATTGTCGGTGCCATCGGCATGTTCTGTTGCCACATTGTTGTTGCTACTGTTGAGGGTATCTACGAGGATAACTGGAATCTCAACCTTGGTCTCGACAAAGCACAAGGTTGGGTGGCTATTGCCTTCATCTGGCTCTTCGCCGTCAACTTCGCCTACTCTTGGGGTATGTCTTTTCTCCACTTACCTTTCCTTATCCGTGCTTAATTGCTAACTTTTGAATCAATAGGTCCCGTCGCTTGGGTTTTGGCTCAGGAAATCTTCCCCAACAGTCAACGTTCTCGTGGTGTCGCCATTGTCGCTTCCACCAACTGGTTCTTCAACTTCATCATTGGTTTGACCACTAAGGACATGCTCGGCAGCATGAAGTACGGCACCTACATCTTCTTCGCCATCTTCAGTGGTATCGGTGGTCTGTTCATCTGGTGGTTCGCCCCTGAGACTAAGGACAAGACCCTTGAGGAGCTGGATATCTTCTTCGGCGGTGATGATGCCACCATTGCCGCCTCCGACCGCGACCGTATGCAGCGCATCTACGAGACCCTTGGTCTGGCCGGCATTGAGAATGTCGAGGACATCAAGACTGCTGTCACCGCTGATGAGGTCGAGGTCACTCAGCCTCACGTTGACGAGAAGGCTTACTAAGAAGCCTGAGGCTTTTATCTATTTTATGTAATTTGAATGTGTGGCATGCTATGATCATAAGTTACGCATAACGTACTGATTTACGGAAGTTTATGATCAATGGCTACTAGTAGTATATATTGATTAATGATTAGTGGAAATGAAAATTTCTTTCTAAAAAAACTTGAACATGAGCAAGTGACATTGCAATAATCTTGTAAGAAAACTCTGTGTTGTGCAAATTTGTTGTAGCCTAAGGATTGCCTTCTTCTCGAGGCTGCCGACTCGAACTCAGATAAAGAAGAGTGCATGCAACAGTTGGGCATCATCAAATGTTTGAACTGCGAAGAGCATTGTAACATTGGAACGGATTTGGTCAAGTGGCTTCGAAAGTTTAAGTGAGCGAACCTTGGAATCTTCCAACTCAATCGGTCTTGTCGAGTGCTCGGCAACTTGCCCGGTTATTCCGTGGAAGCCTCACTCTGACTACGTTGCATCTTCTTCAAGATGGAGTCTCAAAATTTTCTCAACTGATAGTCATAAATGAGACGCACGACTGCAATATCCTGATACAACGTGTGTTCGGATGGATTCTTGGATAGTAATTACAGATAGTCGTCGGATTTAGACTTCGAGAGCGTTAAGCTTATTTCGCCAAGTAACCCGAGCCTTAAGTTACGAGGATGGGCAAACCTAAAATTCCACAACATGATCGATGTGTGATGTAGGTGGCAGGAGATGCGGCGTACTCGAACGTGTTGCCTCACTGTGTTCAAGTTGAGACTGAATATCACCCAGCTAGCTTGACTCGTCAACCAGTGGATCTATCCCAAAATCTTATATATCTGGTCTACCAACCGGCGGGATGAGACGAAAAGTTATTTCGAACCACAATACCATATATGCATAAAGTAAAAAGGCATTAGATTCTACTAGATGATACTAACCCGTTAGATCGTTGATTTGACTGCTAGAGCCTTACTCATTGGAAAGAACCTCCTGCTTCTCAATTTCCTCCCTGCTGAGGCACCACTTGTCTTGTAAAGTCTTATCAAGGCTCAGAGCGATAACCTCCTTAGACCACCAGTCTCCCCAGCTAGTGAGGAAAACTTGCTCTGGGTCCGCCGGGAAATCCTTAACTGTGAAGGCACGGAGAAGGTTTTGGGCGCCTTTCAAATTGTCAGACACTACATTTAAGCAGAATAAGATAAGAGAAAAATTGCTTACCCTCAGGAATAGTCTTAGCATCCGGCATACTCATGCTCAAGCCCAGGCTAGTAGCAAGACCAGTACTGGGGATCAGACCAGGAGAAACGGCAACAACAATGCATTGAGGAAGGTTGCGACGCCAGTAGTGCGCGCCTAACAGACCCACAAATTTCGAAGCACTGTAAACTGGGCCGATACCAGCACCTGAGTTGGCTTTCAGGTCGACATCAAGAGTAGCTGTAGTTCGGGCATGTTAACAATAAGCTGCTTACAAGTGGGGCTTATTCTGACCACTCACCTGGATCCTGGCCTCGGACATTGCGAATTGCGCCAGATGACACAAAGACAAGACGAGTCTGCGAAGCGGTAAGTGTCTCGCGCAATAAATGAACAAAATAGTGTTGCGCTGTTTATTAAACACATTCATCAGTCTTCTTTTGTTCTAGAGTTTAGGTTGGCGGGGTAATTCCCCACTTACCCAAATGGTTCACCACATATCCCTCACACCATTGAGAGCCATGAGGACCAGGTCCCTCAGCTTTATCTAACATTCCAGCATTGAGGAAAAGATAATCAATACGATGAGGGCCTAATTTGGCGAGAGCTTGCTGCGTGAAAAGCTGTACACTTCGCAGACTCAAGAGATCGAGAGGAAGGATAGTGATAGAGTGCTTGGTGGTGTCATATCCAAGATCATTGTATGCAGCCTGTACCTTCTCGGTGCTGCGAACACCCAGAATAAAATTGTAGGCTTGCTCTGACTGCTCCAGTAGCTGTTTGATTACTTCGAATCCCTGGAGTTTGCATCAGCAATCAATAGTTTGGAATACGGCCAACCAAGATTTCGGGTCTCACCAGGCCAGATGATGCGCCGGTTGCGATGATGGTCTTTGCAGATGTCGACATTCTTGCAGAAATCACAGTCAATCTAACTCTATTCAATAGTTTACTATTAGGAGTATCCGAGGATCAATGTTTTCAACCTCGATGCTGACGGCTGACCACTCCTGCTGACAAAGCGATCAGTCCGAGATTTCATGACGTCATAGATCAGGATTCCAACTGGCAGAACTTGGAAAAGCAACATCAACCAACTACAAGATCGACTTCAACTCAGATGGGTATAGATCAAGTATATTGTTCCAAGGTTCCAATTGATCACAAATTATAGAAAAAAATCGAATTCTAGGCTCCATATACTGCTTGACAATCAACTCATCAAATAAATGATCATCCTGGAAGAAGCTTCAGACTGATACCTCTGCATCACCCTCGAACTCCACCGTCCTCGCATGGTCCATGCGTTTGAATGCATTGCGAACCTCATCATCCCACCGGGTGAATGCAACAATGCCCCACTCTAAGATACCAACACAGTAAAGAGCGACACACTGACCGACCCAAAGACCCTTGAGTCCCCAGCAACGTTGAAATGCAAGGTAAACTCCCAAAGGCAAAGCGAAACAATAATAGCTCACAACATTCACCGCTGCACCCAGATGCTGTCTTCCCATGCCTCGTAAAACGCCGCCGCAGCTACCATTTATGCCGTCTGCAATCTGAAATAGTGCGACGTAAGGTATGACTTCAGAGGTAAGTTCAATAACACGAGGATCGTCGTTGAATATCTTTGCAAAATGATTCCTCGTCCCCATCAAGATGGTTAGTACTACTCCACCAAAAAGACAGGAAAGAATAGCGGCTAGATGAGAAGAGCGCATCGCTCCTTTTGCATCCCTTGCCCCGAGTAGGTTTCCCACTCGTGAAGAAGTTGAAACGCCAAGGCCAAATGGAATAGTGTTCATGATCTGATCGGCAGTCATTATCACACTCTGAGAGGCTAATGAAACTGTGCCTAGGCGACCGGCAGCAAGTGCGACGATTTCGAATGCCCACCACTCCGTGCCAATGTGAAGGATGCCTAGAATGGCTAGACGTGTAAATGGGATCAAATTCTTAAAGGCTTCTCGCGACCATCCGCCCCAGCATTCGGAGCCAGCGACAAATTTTGCATAGAGAACCAGTAAGATGAATGAGAGCCAGTATGAGATGTTGGCAGCGAGTGGAGCTCCGAGGATTCCAATGTCGAGTGTATAACAGAAAGTGTAGCATAGAAGGGCATTCAGCGGTGAGGTTATCATAAGGACGTATGTTCCTGCTCTCATGATTCCTAATCGGACAGTCTGGCATTAGAACCTGGAACCTAAAATTCCAAACTTGGGACGATGACTTACCTTGCGCTTGTAAGTACTTTTTCATAATTTCAAAGTAGATATACCCTAGCCCTCCTGGAATGAGACATGTCAAGAATCTAGAACTCTGATATGAGAGCTCAGGGTCTTGACCAAGCGCCAGGAATATGGGATAAGAGTAGGCCCAGACAATAGCAGCTGGTATGTAGAGAAGGCCGAGAACCAAAAATGCTCGCTGGAGTAATATTCCCAAGTCGTGTTTGTTTTTACTGCCCGTGAACGACGAGGACGCCAACGTATCCAGCGCAGTAGTGCCACCTAGAGCAATCATCCACCCGGTAACCATTGCAAACATCAGAGAAAAGGCGCTGACAGCCAGGTTAAGTGCAGATTCACGACCAGCTATAATGACAGTGACGGCTTGCAGGCTCATTTGTAGCATATAAGCGAGGATCACTGGGACAGCACCCTTAAGCAAGATCCAAGACTCCTTTAGCACAGGATTGGAAAATTCGTTGTTTGAGACATCGTCTGACTGAGGATTGGAATCATTCTCAGGAAAAGACTGAGGTAGAAGAGAAGTATACTCGTTTGGTGGACTGATTGAGTTGCTATTAGAAGCAGAGGTCTGGTCTTTTCGTTCGGGGCTCGACATGATGCTGCGTCAACAAGAAGGGTTGAGACGATGGTCGCAGCACAATGGTTATTCAATACTCGACAATGGAATGAGTTAGTGAATTTAACTTGCCGGGAAGTTCATCATGATGATATCCTCAGCGGGTAGTTTGGGGCTAGCTCGACAGTAGATACCAATGTATAGAACTAAGACTCGCTGTGTCGGCAATCGTCATCTCGGACTTTTGTTCATAAGATTTCAACATTTGAAAAAGACTATGACTTGTTTGATCCGATCTCGGGTGTCATAAATACGAACATAACAGTTATTTTTGCATTGTACTTGCATTATCCCAGTTTTCTCAACACACATAGTATGTGTAAACCTGTAATTGGTGATAGATTTGATGATAAGAGCTGAAAGATGAGAAATAATAACATGAATAATCCACCTCGGACTAAGAAGTGTTGTGCATCATCATGAAGCTGAAATAGAAAGAGAGAGTTTACTTCTCTATCCAGTACCCCAATTAGGAAGGAGGATGGAATCATACTTGAGGAATCGAGATAGGGGCAATTGTAACCCCAACCTAAGAAGTACGAGATATCATATCAATGTAGCAAATTATTTATAAATCAAATGAACTTCTTGACTGCCGAAATTCTTTATCGGAACCATCATCTTGATCTCCGTCAGCGACTCCTACTCTTCCAGCCCCACCACCCCCGCCATGAAAGCCTCGCCCGAACTCTCCAAACATTTACTACTATCTGCGGGTCAGATACATGCAGGTTGGACAAACATAACGCAGCCCAATGTGATCCATCATATTGACTGTTTTTCATGTTATGTCAACTTCTTATTGATTTTCTTCCCATCATTGTTTATATTCATTTCTGTCTTCTCATTGGGGATTCTTTTCCAGGATTACCCTGCAGCCTTCCTGAGGCAGCCACAAAAACTGAAACAGTCAGTTTCATGGCAACTCTGGGCGAATGAGCGGAGCTCCGGCTAGGGGCAACTGTTATGCACGATTGCTAAAGTGCCGTGACTTCCAAGGTTATGCCAGCCCTGGAGATGATGATCACGGTATTGGTACAGTAAGTGTCCACATTCATCCGAAAGTTGATCTTACTCCACAACCAAGTTAAAGATCAGAACAAATAGCATTCAAAATTGAAACTGATAAGAGATCTGTTCTGAGACAGGCGGGAAATTTGACGTGACCCCTCTTGTGTACCAAATGTGTTCCATATCCACTCGTAACACGATTATGATTCCACCCTCCTAGGTGGAGTTTTACATCCATTGAGTTTTGGCCATTTTGTAGTGAACTTGAAATTTAATGAATATACATATAATTGGATTGAAAACTAGGAGAACAGTTCAGATGAAAAGATCTCAATATTGAAATACTAGTATATGTGCTCATTTGACACACTGGTGTTTGGTTGATTCAAATTCGAAGCTATATTGACATACTATGTATGCATGTGTGCAAGCTCCAGCAGCATTACTACCTATGCGCCTATATCAAATTCAGGATTCACCCAAGAGGGTTGTGGTGCCTTCTCGCGCATCCAGCCTCCGTATTTATGCAGAGTACCCATGACCAGGCCGCCTCCGATGGTGACAATTAGTGCCTGAGTTGTGAAAGTCCAAGTCCAACCAACCGAGGCTTCCCACGAAACAGTAAAGAACTGTTTAATTCGAATTAGCATCTTGGAGGTTCTGGGGTATGCAGGGAGAATGTGGAGGGGATCTAAGATACCGGGTTGATGAAAGCACTCAGATTGAGAAAAACAGCGTAAAATGTAACAACACTTGTTGATTGCAAGGGATACGCATCGACTATATAGCTGCTTGCAGCGGTATTGCCGATTTGTATTCCGGCAGCGACTAAAGAGAAATTAGCTTCTGCTCATTATGAATTGTGAAGGCTCATGGGAACAGGGAATTTGAAAAGGTGTCATACACAGGAAGAAAGCGATTTGACCGACAATCCAGTGATAGTTTTGATCGATACTAACACCCCAAACAATCAAGCCGACTAAGAGAAGAGTTAAAAGTCAATGTAAACTGTTTGCTTTCTGCTTGTTACATACCAGCTGTGATCAGAATAGCGGGATAGGCTAGCCACAAGCGCATTTCAGCCATGGGCTGAGTGTCATTCCGCTTCGATAGTCTTGCAACGATATAGTCACTAAGACGCCCAGAGCAGCAAATCTCCGACACGATAGTACCCAAGAATAACCCCAAGAATAGCAATCCCTGGATCAGGGGTGTGTATTCTGCATATGCAGATGGAACCATAGTGATGACAGAGAGAACCCACCAGTACCATACGAACGAGTATCCGAGCACAGCAATCACAACGACCGGCATTTTGAACGTAAGGACAAATCGAATCACAGAGTCCCATGGCTTTGGGTGGCGCATACCAGGTATGGGTCGTAGGTTCACAAAGGCCAATATCTTCGTTCGGGGTAGATTTGAAAGCAATGACTCTTCTGAGATTGGGGTGCCCGGCGCCAACATCTTACTGTCAGCTTCGCTTTTTCTCGAATCGCCTCTATTTTTCTCTTGATCGCCCTTCAGTTGCATCTCATTGATGAGCATCTGCTGTCTGGGGTATAAGGTTTCTGGCATGAAATATAATTCAAGGACCAGTAGCAAAGCGAACAGAATGGCATTGAACCAATTTATCCACTGTGCACTGACGAGATTCAGAAATCCACCGACTTCAAATTTTTCAGTTAGTTGATTTCATCAAAGGCTAAAAATACAGTCGGAAACTTACAGGTCGGCCCGAGAAGAAGGCCTGAGTCAAGAGCTAACACCCACAAGCCGAGCTTTTGTCCACGTTGATAGTCGAAAAATAGATCATTTACTAATTTCGATAGATGAGTAACACGGCGCACTGAGAAGAAATTGGATTTGACGTACCAACAGCCATCCCGACTGTAGATGCAGGACTAACACCAAAACCCTGGAAGAACCGAGCTGCCATATAACCTGAGTAAGTATCGGCAACTGCAGCTCCGACTGTTGATACCAAGGCTATGGTTGTGCCAACCAGAAATATGAGTCTTCGCCCATAGATGTCACTCAAAGATGACCATATGAGTGGTCCCACAGAGAGGCCCAACGCAGGAACAGCAACTGTCCAGTTCACCTGAGAGTAGTTGATCTGGTATTGCGTCTGGATTTCAGTGAAAGATGGGACTGTAGTTGTTGTGAGGTATGTGAAAAGAAAATATCTAGCAACACAATCAACATTATTAAGTCTGATTAGACGCGAAACAAGAGATCAGACCAATCCAGGTGACACATACTTCAGCATAACAATTGAAAGAATGGCATGCTTTTGAAAACCAGACCAATTCAAGGGATCTAGAGGATCAGATGTAGGCTGCGGATGAACTTTCACTCCATTTCTACTGATGGCTGATGTATTCAAAACGACCTGCGTTCCATGCTCAACATTTATCGGAGATTGAAGTCCAAGGGGATTCGAAATCTGCTCTTGATTGTGCTTAACAAGATCCAAGGTCTTTTCGTTATTCATGTTGGATACTAAGGTATATGGAAAAAATCAATGTTGTATGCAATGATAGCTCGAAGTGGGCATAGCCTGGTTTGTTTAAGCTATTTACTTCATAAGTCATTAAATAATTTCCTATCACCTACTTGGTATTTTCCTTTAATAGCTGATAGAATCATTAGACAGAGATCTAAGCAATATAGACCCTTATCAGTGACGTCTAGCCTCTGTTTCAGACTAAACACGGCAACCATTCAAGAGACTGTCACAACTCTATGCAACTTTTTCTTTACTCTTTCTTAACTATTTGATTTTGGGTTATCGTTGCTTATGCTGTTATCATTGATCTCTAGCCGCATGGAAGGATTTTCTAGTGTAATATTCAAGTTGTTGTTTCATAACTTATCGGGCGCAAGTAAGCACAACGTATCTAGCTTCCTGTATGCCAGCGCAAACCCAAATCTACCCACTATGCAAATCTTAGATAAGAATTCTGGGGTATAAACAAACAGGGTTTGAAATAAAAGAGAAAGAATGAAGATATTCTCCGCGGGGTATTATGATCCACATAATGCGTCCGTTCTCGGAGAAATTCTGTATACGAGTGTTGAACTGATAGATGATCTTCCCCTCATTGGCCTTTTGCCCTGATCGCCCACTGATAAGCCATACTATCAATAACTCAAACACAGCTTATCTTATTCTTCAGTTTATAAGATCGAGTTATCATGTCATTCTCCCCCGGACTTCCTTTTTCGATTTGCATTGCACATCCTTGCATATGATGGCATGCAGATGTGATTCAAGGCCCAACGACAGCATCCTAGATTTCTTCATTGGGAAGGTGAAAAGAGTTGAGAAAACAAAACAATCGATCTCAATGATACGAAGACGATCTATCTTTCAGGGATCACGACTCTCCAAGCAGTAGCCGGATTAAGGCAAAGTGGAGAGAGAATTCCAGGCTAGATTTATGTCTGATGCAATTGTCTCGGAGTGTTTTGGTCAACCAGTAGGTCACTGTATACGTTGATCCATGCTTGTAAAAATTACCAGTAGATACTAGTATAATCAGCTTGGTCTATCATGTCTGTTTCTTTTCAGCTGAAGATCTTGTTTCGGTGGTAAGTGAAGCATCTAAGAATATAAGCTTCATTTCGCCCAACATACATCTAAATTCATCATGCCCCAGTTCAGAATTTGGAGTTACCTACTTGATACTGCAGCATATTAGTTATAAGCACTTGATCACAATGAGATTGGTTGTAGCTGGAGTTACTGCCTTGGTCGGCCTGGCAGCGGCCCATGGAAGTCATGATCAAACTCCCCTTGCAGGTCCATACAAAGACATTTGGTACAATACCCTCCCAGGTGATGGAGGCACACAGGTACGCATGATCTCACATTGATACTTGCGGTTGGATCTTGCTAACCTCTTCGACTTCTCAGGCGGACTCGGTATTCTCTGGAGTATCCACGTTCGGTCGTCTTCCGTACTCTCCTTGCTTGGCCACCGACGATGTGCAATACGATATCGCGTTCCTCGGTGCTCCCTTTGATACTGGAACATCCTACCGACCTGGTGCACGATTTGGCCCTAGTGGTATTAGACAAGGATCTCGTCGCCTGAATCTCTAGTATGTGACAGACAGAAAAGGAGCTTTTTGGATGAGATGAATACTACGGATTGTCTCTTGACAAATTTCTCTTCTTGTTCTCAATCTTTCATTCCACCACGAAGTACGCTAATACTGTGAATCTAGTGGAGGTTACAACGTGCCACTCCAAGCCAATCCATTCTCTGGGGCGATGAAAATCCTGGATTGCGGAGATATTCCCGTCACCTCGTATGTCCAAAAATTGAGGGCTTCTAGGAAACTAATATGCTAATACATTATTCAAGGTACGACAATGCCTGGGCGATTCAGCAGATTGAGGAAGGACACAACAGTGTATTGATGCGCAGACCTTTCACGGACGCAGACAAACAAGGAAAATCGCAAGCTGGTAGGACTCTTCCACGAGTCATCACTTTGGGAGGAGACCACACCATTACTTTGCCCCTGCTGCGGAGCATCAACAGAGCTTATGGTCCAGTGACTGTAATCCACTTTGATAGTCATCTGTAAGTATACATCAATATCCGTTCGCCAAAAATGCCAGTTCTAACACGAATAACCTATAGCGACACATGGAAGCCAAAGGTCTTCGGTGGTTCTCCTAGTGAGGTGGCTGCCATCAACCACGGGACGTACTTCTACCATGCTGCCATGGAAGGACTGCTGAAGAACGATACAAATATTCATGCTGGTATTCGCACAACTCTTTCTGGGCCATCGGATTATGAAAATGATGGTTATTGTGGCTTTGAGATAGTTGAGGCTCGTGAGATTGATACTATTGGTATGGAGTTTTATTCCCACGCCCAAAATGCCTTCACATTTAAGCCTTACACTGACCATTTCAGGTACCGAGGGTATTATCAAAAAGATTCGCGACCGTGTCGGAACCGTGAACCCAGTATATCTATCGATTGATATTGACTCCATCGACCCTGCTTGTATGTATTTTCCAAAACACGGAGCTATTGGGCTTTACCTAATAAATCGCTAGTCGCACCCGCTACAGGAACACCCGAGACTGGCGGGTGGTCTACTCGTGAACTGAGGTCAATCATTCGAGGACTCGACGGTATCAATTTTATCGGCGCGGATATTGTTGAGGTCGCACCAGCTTATGACACCAATGCTGAATTGACAACCATGTAAGCATTCTGAAACTTCTTGGTGATATTTGAGAAATATCGAACTAAGTGGCTATTTAGGGCGGCTGCCGACGTGCTTTATGAAGTTCTCACCATCATGACCAAGAACGGGCCCTTATCAGTTGGTGGCGCGACACATGAGCTGTGATCCATATTGATCTCTTGAATCGTCGTATAATAGGAGTGAGTGTTGGGTTTACGCGATACTATCCATGAGTTGACAAGTCCGTGTGACTTGGAGCTTGAAGTGTTCAGGTTGGTGATTGCGAGCACTCAAGTGTGTGGTAGTAAGACCGTGACATTCATTGCTGTCAATCAATATGCCAAGTTGCAGCTACATAGTGATAGTCTTAAACGAAATCTATACCACTATCCCAACCTGAACCATATTCTATATTCGAATAATTATAATTCCTATGTCAATCCTCGAATTTGAATGAGCTAACTTGGGGATGCATCAAATAATTTCGAGTGATTCAATATTAATCACGAGTTCTTTCATATAAAGCTCATATTACTCCCATCAAGCCCGTGATGCAAGCCACTCGCAACTAGTTGGCTAAGCAACCATATGAGTTCCAAGGTTCCAATATTGAAACCCATTCAAACATTTGCCTTTCAACACATGTTCCAAGGTTCATATTGTAGATTTTTATTTCGTAATCAAGATAAACTTTCATACACGTATCATTCTTATCCACGTTCAAGATGAGTGACGTTTTCTTATCAAATCAATTTGCTTCTTCAAAGCGCCTGGACTTTTTTGCCTTTTTAGGTATAGTGAATCCTTTTCTTCCCATTCTGTGCACATAGTCCAGAGACTCCAGAACCTTAGAAGTTTGGATCTGTATGTTTTATCATGTATACTCATAGTTGTTATAGTCAAGCTCTTATTTTCATGCACTGCTAGAATTCGCTGGTTTCTCAGATGGTGTTAAGGATGAGATTAGTAGACCACAAACAAAACCACCACTTCTTTCCTTCCTCCTACACGCAAAGCACAACTTGAAGTTTTAGATATCAACTTATCATGATAGAAAGTCCAATTTAAGATAATAATATACTGATCCTCCACACTGCCATCCTGATATTATAAGTAACGTAACCATCATAGTTGAGGCCCACGAGTAGATATGCATTTTCTCACCTAACAAGGAAAAAGCAATCTGGTTTCACAGCCAGCAAACTAACCAAAATAGCTATACTATGCGTGGATATTACCCAGCTCAATGGAAATGAGCTTCCCCGCTTCATGGATCCGGATCTAAGAACTTGAATACCTGTGTATCTTCTGTCTCCGTTCCACTTATAAAGATTCTTATAAACCACTCTCCCACTTCACAAATATCACTGAGTAGTTCTAAAGGTTGGAAAGCTCCCATAGCATGTCTAGTGAGACATTTCTGCTTACATTTTATAAAATATCAGATTAGGCGTACATCCATGTCCTGCCTTCTTGGCTAATAATCTCTATGGATTAAGCCATTATGGATACCCTAAGGATCTCCGAGAGCGCCTCCCAAGCCGGTCTGGTCCTAGCAGCCATCAGCGCCTTCTATTTTATTCTCCACCGACTCTCAAGCAAATATGTATGGAACGGATTGACCCTACGCGGCCGCAAGAATTCAACAGCTAGAACGCCACCCCGATCCGTATCACCCGGGACAAAGAATGGCAACAGCACCACATCGCCCTCAAGCTACACTGATGCCCTACCACCTCAACGAAGGGAATCCCTCCTCCAGCTAAATGGAACTCGTTCCCACTGCAATGAAATTGATGAAGCCAAAGTGTGCCAAAATCTCTTGCCCATGACCGCCAATTATATGAACAGCCCGGGCAACTTGTACACACCAACTGGATTCTCGGTAGAAGAAGTGAAAGCCCTTGGCCACTTCCCGGACTATGCCACACTGAGCGGAGTTCCACTTCCTAGTCCTTACCATGCCCATGATATTGATAAAGCGAAGCCAAGACCATACCGTCCGTTCCGATGGGCATACCATCAAACCATGTGTATGTGACAAATCCCCAATATCACCAAAGGAAACTGAACTAACGTAGTTCTCGCTTTCATAACAGCCTTGACAAAGCTAGAGACTGATTGGTGGATCGAACTCGAGAGCACATACAGAGCTCGTATTGCCCAGCGTAAAGCATTATTCGCGAAGAATGGAAAAGCGGTTCTTGACGCTTTACCTGGATCCGAGCTAGCTTGCAAGGAACTTATGGAGATGGTCTTGCAATTTATTTGTGCGAGATATCCACAGCACTTCACATTGACTGATAAGCATATACTGCATAATCGGATTCTAGGAATCGAAGAGGATATTAAAGCGAAGCCCGCATTGGAAGTTCTCCTTGATCATGTACCTGAAGATTTTGCACTCATGTTGCGGGATGATGAGACTGGGTACTATATCCTTCGTGCAGCGGTTATATGCTCGGCAATTGGATGGAATGTGGCTACCAAGATTGGGAAGCAGTTACATGAGATTCATTCTCCTATTCCGGATTATAAAGAGAAGATGCAGTTCTCTATGGACCGGTAAGCTGGATACACTTCAAAAGTCTTTCATTGAATCGTCCATGAAGTGAGAGAATAGAGGCTGACTTGATCAAATCTTTGGTAGGTATTTTACCAAGATGCCCACCGAGAAACCTATCCAACGAGCTTCATGGGGTCTTGAGGTCGGTCAACCACTGTATATGGCACCTGATGACCCACATGTCGCTCTTCGGGAGTCACAGGATCCCAATCTTACCGTGGAAGACTGTTTTCTACGTGTCGATTGGCAAACACTTCGTCGTCTCCCTCTATCCGCGTCTGTTGTCTTCAACTTCAAGGCCGTTTTTACACCTATTTCCGAGTTCCGTGATGAACCCGCCATCCCGGCTTTAATATCAAAGGTATTAAAAGAGGGCAAGCGGAGCCTGATGCAGTACAAGGGTGTGTGGCATGTTGAGCATATGATTCTACCGAAGCTCGAGGAGTGGGCCAAGGAGCAAGAAGAGAGTGGTGCCGTGCCCAAAGGATGGGAGGTCGCGACTCTGGATGATAGTCCGTGGTTTAGAGGATGGAAGGAAAAGTGGCATCGACAGCAAGGGTTCTAAGTTGCAAGTTTATTGACGCTCTGTATTGCGATTATTCTTTTCATTTCACACTCAGGTTGGAGGCTTTTTGTGAGCTATAATACAATGGAGGCAGCTTTGTTTGTTCAATTATCACAATGTATGACAACCGTAGTCTCGAAAGACCTGTCAAAATGAGATATTATGAGGAATGTTAAGTGCCAGATACTACTGACACGGACCAGACGGTATGAACATAAATGGCTAAATGGGTATCGTTTGAATAGAACTGTAAGTCCCGCATGCCTGCAGAAACCTCAACTAGATGACCAGCATCATGGAGGATTGATCCAACCAAGAGGTTCAGTATCAGCGGCGCGGGGTACAACAATGGTTGCGAAGCAGTTTGATGTATAATGGATCGTGTTTGCTCAAAGGTAAACTTTTCAATCGTCGCCATCATCACCATTGTCCTTCCGACTTGAAGAATCGTTGTCACTAGAATCCCGATCGCCGTCATCGCTGTTCTGGTCGAGCTCCTCCAGTTCATCCGCGAGGGGACTGATTCGCTCCTCCAACATATCCAAGTCCTCCAGATGGGAGCGCGACGGCAACTTCCACAGACTGGTACCACAAATACGGTCTTTCGTCAGGAGATCATCGATAAATTGGTCCATATATGTGAGGGTGAATGAATCCCGAACTCGACGCTTCAATTTCCGGTAATCGAGGAGCAACGGCTCCAGGGTCTTGTAAACGTCGGCGGCGCTGAATGTAAGCCGGACGTAGAACGCTGCGAGAGCCCGTAGATATTTGAAGTCTCCACGAGATTGCAGGATTCCATTCTGGGCGCCGCCTTCACCATCGTCTTCACTGCCCGGATCGCTGAAATTGAGATACTCGAGAATGACGTCGCGTTCGGGGTTGAGCTGCAGAAGCTTGAAAGCGAGACAGAGGAATGGTGATGGCTTTTCGGAGACACCGTATGTACCACCAACGAATGTCAACTCGACCGCACGATCGCAGAGAGTTGCTGCATTCAAACCGAAGCACTGTTCCTTCCAGTAGTAGGAGTCCGTGATACGGTCGCGCACCGCTTTTTCGAATAGTGTCACCGGGTTAAGTCCCCGAACAAGCGGGCCAGTATAGCCACGGTTATCGAGGAATGCGCTAGCGTCTGCGCGGTGAGACTGAGCCATATCGATGTGGATGTCAAAAAATGTGGAGGAGAGAGCTTGGAAAGGATCTACGATCAAGTTACTACAGGGCGGTGAAAAGTGGCAGATGCGCAACCGGCGCGGACGCGCCAAGTCCCTTATCGATAGTCGCACGGCCAACCTGGTAAACAATTGATGTCATGAAACAGGGGGGCTAGACACCGTGGATCCCCTCCCCTCTCCAGGCCCCAGGGTTACCCACATGAATCCAGGGTCTCAGGGACCAGTAGTTATGAGGAGATGGTTTGAATTTTATCCAATGCTTCACATTCCTTTCATGTCTTGCATCCACCAGCGGCAGCCATGGTCCTTCTTTCTTCGTCAACGGTCTCCACAATTGTGTCGATGGGGGTGGTGTGCATCTTCTCAATGATGCTATTTTTGGCTGGATATGTCCTACAGCAACAATCGGTGAAGAGCATTCAGCATGCGCTACGCCCACCCCCTGGGTCCCATCATGGTGAAGGATCCCGGGGATCTACATTCCAAAATTCCGCTCGAAAGCGTGGCTTATCAGATTCAGATCTAAGTTCGATGAGTGATTCCGACACTCCACAGACAAGCCACGATCGCCGCCAGAATCTAGGTGGAAATTACGCATATCTCCAGCTTCTTTCGAACCCTGATCCTTCGGACATATGCTCTGTCATTCTCTTTTTCAAGCATTTAGCAACAAGCAAGACCTCAATTCAGGATCGTCTATTCATGTACCCTGAGGAATGGGATCGCATGTCTACAGCAGAGCTCGGAAAGCCTGCTTCAGAGGCCCTTTCAATCCTACGCTCCGCAAGCATCAAATATGGCATCTGGTTACTTCCAATTGATATGACTGCTGCCAAAGGCTACTCGGCGACCGACACCAAACTGCTCAGACTAGGCCAAGTTCAGTTTATGCAATATGACAGTGTACTTTATTTGCAAGCGCCGGGCATGATTCTTGACATCGAGAAATTGGACGATATCCTTTTGTCTCAACCATTGCCGCTCGTGTATGACACAAATCGCGAGGATTCCTATGACAACTTGGCTTGGACACCGATGACCCTCCGTCCGGAACGTGATGCTGATTTACCACCTGTCTATTTGATCACTGTGAATAATGTAGGAAGCGGACATGTACAGGCTCGAACACATGTGCCCAATCCTATCATGCCCGATTTCAAAGCTCTTGTCCGCAGGTCGCAGAGTATTATGTCTGACGATGACGAGGACGAGGAGATCACCGAGCTGCCAGCCTATGTTTACTTTGGAAAACACAGCAAGGAGAAGGGAAGTGGGAACAAAAACCCACTGTTACAAAGCTGGCGAAAACAGCGACAAGATGTTTGTCCGGAACTGCATTTCGGTGATGGCTTTTGACATGATGAAGAATGATTGATCCGGTTTTCTTGGGATATACCATCGTTGCGTGCACATGTTCAAGTTGATATCAAGTTTGGCGTTCAGGTTTAGTCGCTCTTTCCAGTTTACGGTTCATAATGTAAATACGGGTATTGATTACTTCATGAAAGTTTGTTTTCTTTATTATTGTCAGGAAACCAGTCATAGTAGCTGGATGAGATAAGGTGTGGCAACTCTGCGGATCGAACACACTTAGCACAGGCATCAATCCAAAGCGGGAAGTCCTATCATTGAGGAACTCCGATCTCGTAGCCCAGGAAAACATCCGTGGTATTTCCCTCCCAGCCGCGATTTCCACTGGCAGAGATCATGAAGCGACATGCATTATCAATGTAGAGTTGAGAGATGGTGCCTGTACGATGACCTGGAATGATTAGGAATGGAGTGGTGGCTTGGCGGGATGCTTGGTCATGTTGCAAGTCGTACAGACGTAGAATATCGTGAGAGGCGCTGGGACATGTTAGAATCAATTCTAGAAAATTGATCAATGGTTTCAAACTCACCAGACTAAATGACGGCCGTTCGGCATCACCTTGAGTGCTGTCACCGGACCACTCCCTTGAGGGAATTTGAATGTGCGTTCGGCCTCCCGCAGACCCTTGTGTAGACTGAACTCTTCTACGGTGCCATTTCGTCGTCCAGCGTAGATGTAGTTTCCATCTGGAGACCAGCACGCGTTCATGCACCATGGTGGAACATTACGTGGACTGATCCGAGCCACTGGATCTGGTTGGCGTCTATCCCACACCCGAATCGTTCCATCAATAGACGCTGCCAGGAATGTAGTATCGGTCCCGGATCCTTGCTGCTCGGTCGGAGCAGCGTGAGATAGATCTTGGTTCTTGAATGATTCGATATCTTCTGCTTTGGGGAGTCCATTCACATGTGGCGGTGGCTCAGTACCTGACATCTCGGTATCTGTATGCTCGCGATTTGGCTCTGGACCATCTGCCCCCACGTTCGGCTCGGGCGCAGCAGAATCTGGCTGATGTTTCATGTCGGCTTGTGGGGGCTCAGTATCAACCTCTCCGGGAGCATCTGCGTCCGCCAGGCCGCTTGCCATAGCCTTGCCAAACTCATCATCCTCATCGACTCCAAACACACCACCCGAGGGTTCTCCTCCATCAGCAGCGCCACCATCTGCATCTCCAAACAATGAATCTCCTCCGCCGAATAGAGAATCTGCCGGTGAACCCGCCTGCGGGTTTTCAGCAGCACCTGCGTCTCCTGCGTCTTGAGAGTGATCCATGGAATTGAATTTGTCTATGTTTCGGGCCTGATAATTGGAGGAGTATGTGCCACCATTAGACATAAAATCGATCGTATCCTGTGGAACGGGGAGACTGGATTCTGGGCGAATCTGTACTGTAGATATTTGAACAGCGCTTCCACCAAATGCTCGACGGGCTTGTCCAGTATTCAAATCCCAATCAAAGACTCGTTTGTCCCAGCTGCCTGACAGAAGCGACGCCTCATCCGAAGTCAAGACCAACGAGGAAACAGCTGATGTATGTTGTCGTAATTGTACAATCTCTTTGCCTTCATCGTGACGCAACGACTGTAGTCGAATAGCGCCAGACTCTAATCCTGAGAGAAGCCAGAGCCCTTCACTTTGACATGCGAGGGAGTAAACTGGCGACAGACTATTTCCATCCATATTTTCCCAATATGTCATTAACACACCAGCTTTGACAACACTGTCGACAAAGGGGTGCCTTTGCGCCACAGTCAACATGAGCTTACTGTTGATTGATTCAGCCCAGTTGAACTTTCGCGTGTATCCATCGGACCCGCCGCTGAAAACCCAGCGCATATCGGCGGTTGTGGCAATTGCATTGATTGAGGTACTGTGAGGGGCGGCAGTGGTAGGGAGGATATCATAGGTTTTGGCCGACAGGCATTCTGGGCGCACGCTAGGGTGGTAGATGGAGAAGGAGTCCGCCATGGAGGTATCTGCATTTCCAGGGGATGTCATATTCGTATCTTGATTTTGTTGCGACGCCAATCCAGCTCCTTCCGAGGCCTGACTAGCATTTGAAGGGCTATCCGGGTCTTGATCTTGATATTGGTCTTGGTCGGCATCCGGTTCGTTGTCATTGTCATTATCTCCATCGCCATCGCCTTCGTCAATGTCGCGCATATTGTCCTCCATTTCATTATCACTACTTCCATCTTGGGATCCTAATTATCAAACGTAGAAATTGTCAGCTATGCGCCCTCTCTGTGGGGTATGGGGAAAGCTATGAGGAAACAACCTACCTCCCAAGTCCCGGTCTTCCTCCTCCTCAAGGGACGCCATAGTTCCCACTCTCGTAGCTGTGTATTATGAGTATTATTATCAATGACTTGTAGGTCTTTGAATCTTTTTTGCCCTAGCGTGATTGGGGAGGCCGATGAATATGCGGTCGCGCGCGGCTGATTTCAGCACTGCGCGGGTTGTGATAAAGCTCTGACAGTCTTTTTGCAAAGAGGATAGAATAGCAATAAAGGAATTGATTTGAAAATATGATCAATTTCTAGAAATTGGGAGAGAATTGGCAAGAATTGGGGACTTGAAAGGAGTGAACGATGAGAACGCGCAAGTTCAATGTTGAAGCCTTTGGAGTCAAGTGATCTCCCGCCAGGGTCTGACCAATCAGCGTAATCCTACATCTATACCTACAATATAGATTCCAGAAGGCCTCTTAAATGCACTTGAATAGTAAATGAACCTTGGAAGTTTTGATAATTAATTCTGAATCACAAGAATGCACTAAATCAAAGCTATATGTGATAAATGCATCATTTCTGCCCATCTAGCGCTTATTTCAAGTTGTATCGCGACTGACAATCATATATTGGTCTTTGTCATGCTTTATTCAAGCTTGAATCTCAACATAAACATTTGTCAACTTCATTCTCGAAAGCATTAGAAAAGATTGAATATTAGATGTACTGATAATATTGAAAATAGTCAATCCTTCTCATTCAAATTATCAGATTAAATCACTATCTCGTTAGAGTCTTAAGACGTTATGAAAAGAAAAAGTGCGCACCTGGGCAGTTATGGAAGGAACTTACTACCTTCTTTTACACCTTCATTCTTTCAACTTATCAGTCAATTCAACCTCATCAACCTTTCAAGGGGCACTTTAAGTCTTACCTCTTACTTCCACTGGCCTGTTTTTCTTCCTCGAACCTTCACACTTCCGAATTCTTCCTTCGTCGCGCTACTGGTACATACTACCAAGCCTTGATCAATATGTTTCCACACACTGGCATGGACACCATCAACACAAAACGGACAGCTAACCTGGCTGTCCGTCAATACTTTCAAGCCCATGGTCCTTCTGCCAAGCAGAATGCAGAGTGGGTGGAGAAGTCAGAGCTGCCCTCTGAGGAAGAACTCGTGGGTTCCGAGGGCATTACAGACGGTGATGTTCTTCTGCAGCCAAATTGCACCACAAAACCTTGGGGGTCAACCGGGGAATACATGGGAGCTCACTATGCCCTCCTACGGGAGGATTCTGTTGCGCCACTTCGTGACGCAGTGGCATACATGCGGGCTGATCCCTCGATGGTTGACACCAAGGATGTGGTTGTGTATGAAAAGGTATGGTATCACATCACAAAAAGTCATTGTTATACACAACTGTTCTAACATTTAATGTTTTATTAGGTACACATTGTTCGCATCACTATGGCTCAGGGAGGCATGGCCTTTCGGATACGATTCTCCACTCATCGTGCTGGTAAAAAGATCTTATGGAAGTACTCTTCTCGCTTGCTTGCCGGATCTGTGGTTGCTTTGTCTCCCGCTAAGGACGCATTCAAATCCAAGTGTGTGGTCGCAACTGTTGCAGCTCGACCGCTGGATCTGGTCTCAAATTATCCTCACCAAGTCGATATTTACTTCGCCACTCCCGAAGATATCGATTTCGATCCACAGACAGAATGGATCATGGTTGAGTCTAGAGTGGGTTATTTTGAAGCCTATCGGCACACCCTCACAGCTCTTCAGAAGCTTTATCATGAAAGGTAAGTATGCTAGCGATTTCTCATTTGAAATATGATCTTTAATATTTGATAGTTTCCCTTTGAGCAATCACATCTGTCACTTGGACGCCAATGTTCCGGTCTCGGACAGTATTATGGAAAATTCTTCATTAGATTTCCAGTGCCTGACTGGCACCTCTTCTGAAGTCAAATCTTCGTACAATGTTCTGACAGATCTTCCCACGACCCCATTGGGAAATCTTAACGATCTTCAATGGCAAGCCCTAAAAGAGATGCTGACAAAAAAGCTCGCCCTGATTCAGGGACCTCCAGGAACAGGAAAGACTCATATATCTGTCATTGCGCTGAAAATCCTTCTCGCCAATACGATTGCCGGTGAGCCTCCTATCATCATTGCCGCTCATACAAACCATGCATTGGACCAGCTTCTCAGACAAGTGGCCCATTTTGAAAAGAACTATATTCGGTTGGGTGGGAGGTGCAAGGATTTAGAAATTTGCCAAAGAACGCTGTACTCCGTCAGACGTTCCTTCAACCCTCGTCGCCTGGATGATGGCCTTTTAGAGCCAGCGATGACAGAGTATCGACAAATTACCGCTGAGATTGTTGAGCTTTTCAAGCCATTGGAGAATGAACTAGTTTGCATGGGCCCTCTGAGCGCTGGTACATTCGTCAAATATGGTCTCTTGACCCAAGAGCAATTCGATTCCATGGCGCAGGAGACCAATGTATGGCTGACGGCCAGTGGTGATCAGAGAGTGGATCCGTTCAAGGAGTGGCTTAGTGACCAAATTGAACTATTTGAGCCAAATTACGGTGAGGAGAATGAGAATTCCATATTTGATGACATCGACGCAGAGTATGAGCAGCTACAAGAGCTCGAAGCTGAGCAAGGGCCTGATAATGAAGATTATGAGGGTCTGAAAGGAAGATCTGTGACTTTCGCGACATCCTTTCGCGGCAAGTCACGGGAGGTGGTTTCAGAGGAGACCATTGAGCTCTATCTTCAGAGCCCAGACTTTTCGAAGGTTCCGATTAAACATCGAGGCTCACTCTATAATCACCTTCGCGCGAAGTTGTTTCAAATCCTTCAAAAACACGTATCTAAATTGGCCTCTTTTTACGCTGGAGTTTCAAACAACTTGCGCATCGGCAGATGGGAACGTGACCATGAAATTCTCCGAGGAGCCAAGCTGGTTGCAATGACAACAACAGGTCTGTGCAAATATCGTGGCCTCTTGGCTAGTCTGAGCCCCAAGATAGTTCTGATCGAAGAAGCAGCTGAAGTTATCGAAGCACCGGTTGCAGCTGCATGCTTTGAGTCATTGCAACAGTTGATACTTGTTGGTGATCACAAGCAGCTCAAGGGACAATGCTCTATGCATGATCTGGCAGGACCACCATTCTTCCTGGATGTATCTATGTTCGAACGGTTGGTTGCAAATAACTTACCATTTATCATGCTACGAGAGCAGCGACGCATGATACCAGAAATCAGTGAACTCCTTCAGCCGATTTATGGAAAGCTTCAGGACCATCATTCAGTTACAGGATATCCTCCTATTCCAGGAATGGGGTCTATGCGATCATATTTCTTCGATCATCAGTGGCCCGAGAATGGTGATAGTCTTTCGTCAAAGCTCAATGAGATGGAGGCTGTCATGACTGTCGGGCTCTACACGTATCTGCTTAGGAACGGCACTCCGTCCAGTGCGATGACAATCTTGACATTTTACAATGGGCAGAGGAAGTTGTTGCTCAAACTTCTGAGAACAAACAAAGCTCTCGGGCAGCACATTCCAAATGTTGTTACGGTAGATTCATATCAAGGTGAGGAGAACGACATCATTCTAGCCTCGCTTGTCCGCAGCAACACGTCCAAGGGAATTGGATTCCTTGCAGTTGACAATCGGGTATGCGTTGCATTGTCTCGCGCTAGGCGGGGTTTTTTCCTTTTTGGAAATTCGACATTGCTTTCTTCTGTGAGTTCATTATGGAAGCAAGTCATCGACATATTCGCTGTCGACGGCGACAGCCGCATTGGAGGTGCCTTGAAACTCACCTGCGAGAGACATGGCAGTCACATGGAGGTCAAAGGTAAGCATACTTATCTCACTTCGCCGTAGTTTCTTCTATCACCCAATTTTCTAATCTCAAATTATAGTTCCAGGGGATTGGCAGCAGATAAATGGCGGCTGCGATATGGTGTGTGGGGCGACACTGAAGTGTGGTCATGTATGTCCACACAAATGCCATGGGCAAGTCACTGCATCCAGCTCTAGCTCTATTGAAGCAATACTGACCCGCTGTATAGATCTTCTCACGGCAAGATTATCTGTCGGAAACCCTGCGGCGACATCCGCTCGTGCTGTAAGGCGACGTGTACCAAAACATGCGGAGAGACTCACATCCACAGCTGTGGGTGTGTTCAAGTTCAGAAAGGCAGGCTCGTCGAGGTGGTGCAGAGATTTCAAAATACAGTTATATCCGGCGCACTACCTCGCAGGCCTGCCTTGCCTCCCAATCAACGACGTCCCCTCCCCCGGTCCCGCGACAGAGCATCTTCTACGGTCGCAGCAACGTGCACACTCGCCGCCCACCTTTAAAAAATGGATCTCGGGTTATTCCGCCACTGGCACGACCTACGCCTGTTCCTCCTCAAAATCAACAGGCTACGAATAGATGGGTGAACTTTGCCAATGGGGGGCGCCAAAGTGATGGATAATCACCTTGGAGTATTGGCAAGCGCCACGGACCTTAACTCGGAGGAGGTGCAGCGAGCGCTTGCAGAGGTTGACAATGGGTTCCTGTCAAAGGAGTTGATCGAGGCTAAGGAGGCCCAACGATTGAAGCAAACGCAGCTTGATGAGCCAGACCTGATTGATTTTGAGGAGGAGGAGGTTGTCGAAGAAGCTCCTTCACAGCAGGAAGTTCCTGTGGGTCCTGAAATGCCTGCAGTGCCCACAGGCACTTTGATTGAGCTTTCGGACTAGGCGATGGAGGTTTCATACCGTTACAAAAGATTGATCGATGAAATATTGGCTTCAAGTTGATTTTTTAGTTTATTGGCAGCAAAAAAGAATTATCCGTAAGTATTTATTGGGCTCAATTCGAGGCGTTTTTTTTTCAAAATGAATTTGCGATTATCATCATTTTAAGGTCATTCATTTCAAGGCCCAACAAAACAAGATAAAACTAGTAGGTTAAGCTTATCCATTCAATAGAAACGGCCTTCGAGTTCTTCAGTAATTGTTGTGACGGTTAGCGGGGTTCAACCATTCATATGCCGCTATCTACCGCCTGCTTGATTTCGCCATATCCCTGCCCGTTCGGGTACTGCAACCCACCCCTGATCCGCTTCAGGCTTAGCGCCCACGCTGGCCGCTTTTACCGCTCCCGTCATCTGCCATCCACCTATAAAACGCCGCTCGCCCATCCCTTTGAACTGTCGACGCACCTTGTAGCACCATTGTCGAAAAACGAAAGGTTTCATAGCGGTCAATTGGTTCCCCTTTCTAATTGAAAGGCATCTGGACTCAGCTCATTTGATTCGCTTTCTCCAGATATCTTTCTCAATACAGCAATATTCGAAATCGGCTTCCATCTTTTTCATACAGAAACTATCTCGGGCCTTGCCGCTAGTCCAATTCTGGATCTAGTCATGCTGCTTTGAGATATGATGTGGGGCTCAACCGCAGCTTCTACAACTGCAATTGGATCAGTTTAGGTTGACCCACCTACTAGATTACACATGTCTGTGCAAATGATGGAAGCCAATTTCGAATATTGCTGTGACTTCAGCCTAGTATCCCCCCTTGCCAATCGATGGTCCCCGAATGTGATGATTGAGCCGAGCCACTCCAGCGAGGAAGCTAGAGCGTACTGTTCTTGTGAGGTAGATTTATTGTCTAGCGCTGCGTGAATGGGGCAGTGAATGATAGCCTGCTCCGTATTGACCCACAGCTGGATTGGTCCTTTGGACTTTGCTTGTCGGATAAACGCTCTTTGTGCACTAGAGAGGGATTTGTTGGTACACAGCTCCTTGTTGGGCTCCCATATCAACAGAGCCTTGCCTTTACTTCAACTGGCTGGAGCTTGATCAAGGCTGCTGTCCAGATATGGAAACCCTTCATATTCGAGTCATTTGGTAGCGGTGTCCAGAAACGAGCTCAATGAACGGCAAATTGATGCCTAAGGGAAGCCCAGAAAGAGCGCAAGGTGCGTGCAGCAGGTAAACGTCGTTCGAGCTTCACTTTGTCGAACTTGGATGGTAAATAAAGTGGTAATGGAGAAATGTAGGGTCGAGATGATGACTCCGCTGGTTCGAATCTCTCTAGAGATCGAGAGATATGATATTCTGGTTTCATTGTGATGAACTTGTTGCCGTACACTGAAGGTAGGCAGATAGAATAGATAGACTGAGAGTCCAATTTAACAAAAGCTGATGACTTGGACAAGAATTATAGTATAGGTATTCAAATTCAAGTCAACAGGATAATTACAAGGTTATATAGTACATAGGTGTCAAGTATATTTATAGGCCTGACGATCCCAGGAGCTCTTGGTGAGTGGAAAGGCTAAGGGTGAGACCAGTGAGCCTGGATCAAGTGGCCAGTCAATTGTGATGTGATTCCCGGAAATTAGTGTTTTAGATACGTGTGCTTTAGGCACAATTATTCAATGCACTATTGCATCAAGCCATGCTTGCTCCTGAGAATGATATTGAATTTTCAGCAATTTACTCTAGGGTGCGTGGCCAAAAAAACCTCCTATCTTCTATAAGCTCTACGTATGTAGGATACAATACCAGTATTGATATCGAGATCAGAAGGCATTGCAAGGGTTTAACTAAAGCAGACCTTAAGTTGGAGCTATTCAACTTAATTTATCAATTCAGACGCAAGGTATCCAGATACAGCTACAAGTTCCCAGGGATGGAGGAACGAAAAAAAATTAGAATAAGGCATTCAAGAATTTTCTAAAAATCCGAATTGAATTTCCTCCGCCAATCTCCCAGGATAGGATATGGAGTCGTCCTATCTTTCAGCATTCAAAACAACAATCTTAGTGACAACGCAACCAAGAACATAAATACAGACAAAAAGAAGAAAATAGAGAGGCGCAGATGAGAAAGAAGGGGGTGACTGTATACTACGTATCAATCCCTTTGAGAATTTAGGAAATTACAGAATGATCACTTGCGAGGGGCATTGTCCGGCTTCACGAACCCTCTGCCCGCAAGATAAACACGCCCACAGGCAAGGATAGTATAGACCCAGTCCCTCTCATCTACATATGTATATTCTCTGCCCCTCTGAAGATTACTCCTTCCTCCATACCCAGAAAAAAAATGATTTAAGACTCCGAGAAGGCACAGTCATGTGCCTGCAGCGGACAGACCAGATTGCAGGCCACAAAATCATCGTAGTTTCTTGTCCCTTATGTAATTCGACGGTTGAATCATCGAACGGAGTATCATGGAAATCATACCCGCTGGACCACCACCTTTTCATGTCACGCGTGCCCGCCCTGTCAGGGTATGGCAGTAGTGTATATGGACCTATCTCGTTGATTTTCTCGTCAAAACGAATTATCGATTTATCCCTGACCCACATCTGGACAGCAAAGTCACAGGCCTGCTCATAGCATCGACGCAGCAGTCCATCCCGACGGAAAGGGTGCTCGGTGTCTAGCTCCTTCTGGGGATCGTGGTCCAGTAACATAGGCGAAATGAGACTGGATCGATCCAGCATGTTTTGAACCAACTGATTTACATACCTCTGCCTAATATTCCAGCTCCGTATACCAGTGGTGCAGTCCCATGCCTCAACAGGCCATATGGGGTCTGTTTTTGGCCTAGCAGTGGGCTCAAGATACCTGTTCATTATTTGAACTGTGGAAATACGCCACTTCTCCGCACTTAGCTCATCCACTAGAGGATAAAGAAATTAGTAGACATTAGGACAGAGTAATAGGATAGTATCACTAACGTAACTCACCGCGAAGAAGCTTTTGCCAATGTTGATATAGCTCTTTTCCAAATGTAGGAGGAAGAGTCTCTGAGCTTCCGTCCCAATGAGTATCCAAGTCCATATAGTAGAACGGATTCTCGACAAGACTCTGAAAGATATCCTTCATAATGATGGCCTGGGTGAATGTATGGAATCGAAAGCGTTGGTTGGGAAATGTGGCGATCAGCGAGTCCCAGTCATTGTAGAGGCACCAATCTCCTAAAAAGTTAAGCACAGCTTGTTTCTGCTCTGTAGTCATTCTGTTTTCGATGTCCACTGGAGATCCACAGTAATCGTTGACCCAGTGTTTTATGTCGGAAGTCATACAAGAGACTTTATCATCCGGCTCTTGGGGAAACATATAATCACAAAATCCCTCAAAGCTTCTGTAGGTATAGGTAAAGTTTGGAAGTGGTAGGACTTCCTGTGGCTGAATATATGGGTCTTTCTTGGTAAAAGGGTAATCAGGATGGAACATGTCCCGGGGAGCAGGACGGGGTTTTTTTTGCCACCCCGACCTCCGGTCTCTCTCAAAATAGCTCTCGTCTGTGTCTGAAGAGCTCTCTTCGGCCACTGGAGATCTCTCTCTATACAGTGTTTGACGTCGGACAGGTGGCAGTCGTTCAGATTGATTCGAAATAGGTGTTGATTGTTTCGACTTTTGTGATGACTTATCATGGTCCTTAACGGTCAAGGGAAGGGATGTGTCATTTTCCAAGGAATTCATTGGGGATGAGCAGCAATTCTGTGTGTATAGAACACTTGTTAGTTCATTTCATGGGACATATACCAATCTTGGAATACCTTAGATGATCTGTTATGATTTTCTTCTTTGCTGGTCTCAACTTTGATGCACCCAGTGTCTAACTCAGAACCGGGTGGAGGGGTATCATCAGCCTATATTTGATATTCAGTCTTTCTCATCCTCTGTTAAAATTGGAACAATTTTATCAAACCTACCACCTCCGCCTCTGGGCTTGGCTGCAGTTTCTTTCGTTTCGGGGTATTGCTCATTCGAGATTTCTCTCTTTTGCACATCCTGCTTGCTAGGAACAGTCACCAGAGATGAGATTGGGAAATAAATGCTTCGGACAAAAACCAAAAGGGTTGAAAAAGTTGGGAAAGAGAGAGATTGTGTACCGAGCGACAGCCCTAGAGAGCGGCTAAGACATTCGTTCAAATATTGAATTTTTGTATACCATCATTTACGACCAAGATCAGAGCAACTAGGGTTTTCTTTTATTTCTTTTTGGTTTTGAAATAGACTAGGTGGCGTTCAAAGGGTTCTTTGTGGTCAAAGGATTCGTGAGAAAAAAACGCCCTTACTCCCGGAGAAACCCGTGTCTCGTTTTTTGAAAATCACTAGCTAGAGATAGGCCTAGAATCGAAAGTGCGGTGTGTTAGATTACTGAATCCTACACACTATTGCATCTACAGACGAAATACTCTTCCCAGTATTAGAGGGATCTACAGAACAACCGATATGAACCCCTGTATATTTTGGATGTGGCTTGAAGCCAGACATTTCAAATATTTGAAGATATTCGTATTCGGGATTTTGTAGGCTGTCTGGATCCACAATATCTAACAGAGAAAACCCTATCAATTACATACACAGTCTTGGCCAAGCCATAAACCTTGATCAGTGAAAGCACATTCCTAGGAATGTACATATATATTTTCCTCCATTATTCTTTTGATGAGAATCTGAAGTTACAGACTAACTTAGTGCCACGTCATCTATACGCAAGCGCTTCAATTTAGGAATATGCATGGAAGCATCATAAAACACTAGAGACTAGAATAGGCAGCCCTCGTGAAACATGGCAACCAGGACCTCTGAGTAGAGACCACCTCTAGGTCTTCATGATTTTAGATCTCGGATATAGTGCATCAAGTTTGCCTCCTAAAAAGAAAAGGATCCTTGAAACACATTTCAAGATGCATGCAAATGACGCTGAGTTCTAAGGTTGACACTATTGCAAACTCATAGAAACCAATAGAATATTATTCTTAGACATACCCTTAAAATAAAGACGCGGTCTTCATTTTGATGAATTCAAGACACAAGGATCCCTGTTGTTTCCTAATTAGCATATAGTAAAGTTTTCAAAATGTCGGTGAATCTTTGACGGTTTCAAATATGATAGATAACACTCATGGCCTGAGTCAACCTTTGGAAATGTCGCGGAAACCGACAGTGGCGGGAAATTACAGATGGCTGAAGCTGATGATTCTGACGCTTCTCATTGATTCAATTACACTTTTGAGATGAGGCTTCTCATTTCTTACCAGTCGATGATAATAGCCATTGTGGACTAGCTAGGTAGAAACCCCTTAACCTATAGGTCATAAAAAGAAGCAAATTTCCCAAAATACTCTTGTGAACTCTAATCTCTTCCAACGATTATCATAGAAAATCAACCCTATACTTGCAGAAAACCCTCGATCATCGCAGAAAGTCAGCTCTCACGAATTATAATTATTATTCATCATGCCCACACCTAAGCACGATATTGTGGTCGGGGTTGACTTTGGCACTACAGCCTTTGGTAAGTCATGATCTCCGAGAAGAGCTTATGATTACATGATTAATTTGCGAGTATTCTAATAAACGCTTCTAGCCATTGGCTACTCTAGTATTTTGCTAGGTAACCCCTATTATTATCCTAGGTTGATTAATCAACTTGATGATAAGACTCGTCCCAAGAAGATTCTAAGTGTTCTTGCTTATATTGAAGAACCCCAATCTTCAGGAGAACCAGTGGGGATTTCTTGCTCAGAAAGAGCCCAATATGATCTCTTGGTTTAAGTTATTCTTGGATGATGATCTTGAGATCGAGATCGAGAGCTGGAAAGCAGAGGTAATGGGTTGGGCAGGTTCTCGAGGGATTATGTCTCTTCCAAGAGGGAAATCCTCAATTGACACGATCTCAGATTACCTGGGCGCTCTCCGGGCCAAGATCTGGGACCATCTGAAAGAAAAATGTACCAATGCCGAGAAGAGCCTGGAGACAAGCACCATCAAATTCTGTTTTACCATACCAGGGCACTGGTCCACAGAAGCCAGGTAGGATATGCTTTTTGCTATCGAAACAGCGGGTTTAGATCGAGGAAGTGTGATGATGTCTGCCTACTTATAGAGGCTGACGCTGCCATCATCTTCGCTCTATCGACCTTGCAAGATAATGCAGGAACCTTACCTCTCAAGGTATGTTACACTATTTTCGGTATGTGAGTTTGGATTGAAAGACTAATAAGTTTCAAAGACTGGAGACGGAGTTCTAGTCTGCGACTGTGGGGGAGGAACAGTTGTCAATTACCCTTTACGAGCCTGATTTTATTTTGTTTAATTTAATGTTGCTATCTAGGATATTGTGAGTTTTGTGATCTCAAAGTATACTCCTCTTGTATACGATAAGCTTGCTCCAGGCTCAGGTAAGGTCTTTCAGCATCCCTGAGATAGAATTGAACATAGGCTAATCAAATAATGAAGGGAAACTATACGGTTCCACTTCGGTGGATAGGGAGTTTAAAGATTCGGTGTTGTCTTTTCTAGCTTACCATGGTATGTGATTGGGCTCACAAGCGAATTCATGCAGGATTTCATGAAAGTTAAGTGTGCATTTACTGGACATGGAAATGCGATTTTCCAACTCCCCCTCAAAATGAACGTGTCGCAACCCTCAGACCCAAAGTGGTATAATCAAAGCACAGGACATGTGATACTATCCAGGTAAGAAACCTCCTTTATTCCCTAAGTCCATGTATTATTAGGGAGATGCTAAAGTCGACACACTCAGTGCCGATCTTCTCAAGCTATTCCAACCCTCTGTCAGGACAATTGTCAATTACTTGAATAGCCACATGAGTGAAGCCAATAGTATGAAAGGAGAAGCACCAGCCATTAAAGTATGTGAGCTTACAGAGAAAGATGGTATTTGGAATGTACTGACGAATTTTAGAAAATCTTGCTTGTCGGAGGATTCTCTCTTTCGCGTTTCCTTCAAAGTGAGATCATACGTGCATTTCCCGATATGACCATCATCACAGACCGTCAAAATGCGTATGTATACGTTTATTCCCTTGGCTTTGGCCACAATCCTTCTTATAAGTCTTTATCAGATTGACGGCTGTCGTCCAGGGTGCGATCGCATGGGGTAGTGGCAAAGTTGAGCTACAAAGCATGCGTAGTCCGTGCCACTTCGGGTTCTCAACCGTGAATCCAGTCGACTTTTCCCTTCCCATAAACTCGTGTTTGGGCTCTGCTTTCCAAAATGGTTCAATTGACTGGCTCGTGAAAAAGGTATATTTTCGTGACTCTGCAACCGTTCCAAATTACCCATCTCATGGAAATTCCAACTAATCACACGTATATTCAGGGAGATCGCTTACGACTGGATGTAATGATCCAACACAGAGGTACTTTAATCCACCGAGAGGGAGAGTCCCCCATGAAAGTCATCAACATCTTTAGCTCAGGCAGAGCTAATCCCCCCCACCAGGGTCAGTGAGCGAGGTATGTTGATACAATATAATCTCTTTGCCAAGTTAAATCTCAGAAGCTAACCCATGAGCCCCTTAACAGATTCCTCGAAGATTAGCACCCTGGCAATCGATATTTCGGGGATAGACTTCTCCCACTCCGAGCGCTGTGAAGGAGGCGGACCCTCTGCCTGGAAGGTTAATTACATGATTTCTGCCTGTCTGGGAGACACCAATGGTACTATCCACTTCGATGTCTACTGGGAGAGGATCCATCTGATGAATTGGAAATTCAAGCCTGGTTTCATTCGGTTATAATTCTGATAGATGTTGTTCGAGGTTGGCTGCCCACTGATCGCCGAGGGGTTTGATTGGACAGATGGAGTATTGGAAGAGATTTTTGATTGCAATTAAACGATGTTACTTTAGGACTTGTTTGTTTTTGAGGGCTGAAATTGATGCCGATGGAGCCAGGCGGAGCGAATGGATGGTAGATTTGACCAGATGTCTTAGAAAACCGGGCAATGAATAGGAGTGACTGAACTGACCCGAGATTTACTCCTTTGGATGGTTCGGCTTGAACGAGTTGACCAGCGTCTTGGTGTTGTGAAGGCAACAGGTGTCAGTAGCGGGGGTCAAATCGTTAGTCATGTTGATACCCAACGCATGCGGGCATGGAAATACATACATCCATGGTTAGCGGAATCCGCTTCCTCCCTAATTACTGCATTTGTTCTCTTGGGTCCTATTACCAACGCTTTGGCGCGCATGTTTTGTTGATCGCCCCATTGAATAGCGTGCAGTGTACTGTACATATCTGCCCCGTAAAAATGGAAAATCGTTTTCTTTGCTGTGGAATATCCCTAGCCCGTTGATAATCCTAAGCTGCCAACACGACCTTATTATGGACAACGTGTTCGCCCCATCTCAAGGTGTTTTCTAAAATGAGATGTATTATCGCCTTCAATGAGTTGGACTCTAATAGAATTTGCTACGCAGAATTGCTCTTGAAAATCATGGTACCGCGATACATTTTCGGAGCATTTCTCAGGTGCTTCTCAATATTCTCCTCTGGAACTGAGAGAAATCAGCTACCATTACCAAAACGGAGACAAAAAAGTGAGCGAGGTTAGCTCGTTCAACGAATGAGACTTAGCACGCTTTGGGCCTGCTCGAGACTGTGTGATCCTAGGGAGTTCTTGAATCAGGGTTACATTGACGCTCTCAGTTACAAAAAGAATTTTCATGCTATTAAAGGAAGTCCATGCTATGGCTACGAAGCCCTTCATCAATGGACCAAAGCATCGATTTTGGACGCCACTGATGTGTTTCTACAGGCGTCCGTATAAGAGTGACCTCATTCTCAGAATACTCCAAGATCATCAAGATAAAGTAAAAATCTCGCTTACGAGCATAGACTACACATTTGAAGCGTGCCCAAAGTTTCTCGGTTCAACAAAAGAGTTCTCTTTGGTTCGATGCGACACTGCTTGTTGGAAATGACATATATGGCAAGGTCTTATTTATGGGCTCTAAGGAGACACAGTACTATATACGCGTAAAGTAGATCAGCAATAGTTGCCCTACCGGCTTAGCTAACGGGCGTTAATAAATTATGTGTTTGTGTACAGTACACGTATCCTACCTGGATTCAAGACTTCGTTGACTTTTGACAAAAGAAATCACAAAGAAAGATATGTAGTACAGTCATTCTCAATATCGGCTTGACCGATAAACACTCAAACACTCTTTTTTGGACCCACTGCCAAGACCTTAGCGCAGATCATTTATACGGCGGGTCGTACTACGGGTAATTCAGGGCCGCTGTAAATGCTGATTGTATGGTACAGTATCCTTGCCACTCCTTATTCTTATGCGAGTCGGCATAATCACAAATACCGCGGATGACGATGCAGGGAAAATCTAACATCAAATCGGCTGCCTCCATCTCAAAGCATAGCGCTCCTGTCTTCGACCTGAGGTGCTCCCTTGTCCCCCCCATGTTTGATGACGGAATTTCCAGATGCAATAAGTCCATAATGGGGCTGCGGATCATCATTCTCACGCTGGCTTCTGATCACCTCCCATTCGACCAGGCATATAGTGCAAGTACTGGCAGTCGTGGAGTGCTCATGCTGTGGCTTAAACAGTCGATCGAGCTCTGTTTTTGGTCGGGCGAAATTCTTCCCGTTCGTGGTGTTCTTTGAGCGGCGTTACGGAGGAATTCAGGATACCGAGGGTCGTCTGTTAGCTCAGCAGCCCTCATCGCGCTGACTGCAGCCAATAAAGCCCGTGGGGGTCTGTTCAGCGATCCAGTTCGTTCAAATTCACCTCCAGTGACCACTTTTCCCATATCGTATTGTATCACCCCACCACAAGTGCCCTGGGGGTAGCTAATCACGATATCGCCGAGCCGAATATCATGAGTAGCCGACGGAATTCCACCCCCAATACCGACCATCAGTCCCACACGAAGTGATTTAGAGAATGTACGAATCATATCATTCGCGACGGCGGTTGCTGAGGTTGTTCCGTATTGGCCTCCTGGGAGACAAGCGATTACAACATGGTGTTTGCCAACTCGGCCCAATATGTAGGTGTTGGTATCAGCTGCATCTTGCTCCTGGAGAATCCCAAAATTCTCATCCAGCATTTCTGTGGCAGCAGCAGCCTCAATCGGAAGGGCGCAGATCCATCCGATCTGGAAAGCATCGCGTGGAGGGCAGGCCATGTGGGTCTACAGTAGTTGAGAGCAAAGGTGAATTTCAGTGATAATGAATATCAGAAAAGGTGTATCTCGGTCGTAGAGGTTGATGAGCCACTCACAAGAAGTAAGATCCCCATGGCAGCCACGTCACCAGCAGGGTAGCTCAGCCCCAGCTGAGGGCAATGCAGTTGGGCGGCAGAAGGCATACTATCATTGGATTAAGCCGCGGTCTTGCAGATTGAATGCAGCTCACGTGACTAAATAATGACCATGTGCCACGTCGAACTGGCCACACGGGCAGGCAGAACGGCGGTAAAGAGTGGTGGAAATATGGCACCAAGGCATTAGCAAAGGAAGGCTGCTCTCACAGGATTAGATCTCCTTTGGAGACTAGCGTCAGCATTCAATCTTGAGGGCCCTCACGAAACTACGTCTTCTTCCCCTGTCTATTCCCTATCACCTAAAAAAAGGAAAGGAAAAAAAAACTTAATCGGGGAACATAAACACAACCCGATTTAGATCTACATGTACAAGTGTGCGTTTTGATTTCATGTTCAAAAATAAAACATTTTAACAGCCTCGTGGCTGTTCCTGGGGTCTAAAAATTGATGGCCACAATAGTGGGCCTTCCACAGCCGGTACTATGCATATTGATTATTCCAGATGTATCTTCGAGTTGTTTTATTCGATCGAGCTGCTCTCAGAGACTATATCATCCACATGACTGCAGCTTTGGTCAGATACCATGTACAGTAATACTCTTTGTAGCTGTATTGTTCATTGATGGCAGTCAAATATTTTACAGCCTTAGCGCCTTGGCAGTGCGGCCTGGGAGAAGAAATCCGATCTCTAGGGAGGAAGCTGATTTCGCTAGGCACTGTAGCAAGGGACCATGTGGATATTCTGCCTGACGTTGGTGTTTGAAACAGTCAAAGCAGGATACTTCTAGGCAGGGCCATAAGCTAGTATATATACCTCAGCATTAATTGTTAGATACATTAAAGTTCTTGACTTCGACTAGAGATATTTGACTGGAGGCATGTTTCAATACTACTCTAATGGAGATAAGTTTTGAGAGATAGACTATACAACATACTTAGCTAGGGACGGATTTACTTTCCAAACTAGGATCCTTGCGTCAGAATGTTAGTGCTCTTGGTGTTCCTAAAGCACATTGAAACAAAGTTAAGAGATTCCTTGCTCTTCGTCGCTATTAATCAATCATCATACCTCGTTTTGTCGCATTTTCAATGTCTTGCGCCCAAACACAAGCATAGTGCAAGCTTTTCATATCTTCTCTTTGAGTATTTAGAGTAATTTGTCTGAAATATATGATGGCAGGGCTTAGTGCTTCATCCTATTCCATTCCGTGAGGCTAAGGTGATAAGAACTAGTGTTAAACAGCATAAATTGCGTACAGACAATCCTATGGAAACTGCAGATTCTGGGATGACGGAGCTCGTGTATCTGTTATCTTTCATCTTGCTCCCGGTTTTCAGATCATCGTCCTGAGTCCAAGACGTTCCAGGCTCTATTGATATGGAACAGTTGCCATCAACTCCCCTCAATAAAAATAGTTGCTTTCTTCCCCGCCACTAAGCGCAAGGCTACCTAATGACCTGGCTCTATTCGCTAAGTTTTCCGCTGTAGCCCTTCCTTGGGCAGAATATGGGAGCCGAACTTCTCAATTGCCTCCTCTGCTCCATGAAGCTTCATCACACTGAAGGCGTCATATCGGCGGACTAGCTTCTTACCATCCTCATCAATCTCCATAACAAAGTCCGTCTTCGTATCATGGAATTCAATCAATTGCACCTTTGTAACTATGATCGGTTTGGAGTCTTTAGACTCTGTGCTGGGTGGCGTTGTAGTCCTGCCGGCGAAATGTTGTGATAATTTCTTTCGCAAGGTCTTTATTTCAAAAGGATTGTTATCGTTGCTTGCTTTCTTTGTATGCGTCATTGTATCTCTGAGGCACTTGCCGCTTGAAGAGCGTGTTGTGTCGGTTATGTGGATCTGTTCCCCCTTTACTTCTGTCTCCGGATCGTCTATTTTCTTTGTCAATTATCAGCGATGTCCAGGGTCAATTAATACTTGTGGATACCTTTGGATAGACCAGCTTGGATATCTTATATACAAGGGCTTTAATTTTTGCTGCGAACTCTTTGCAAGCACCCTTCATCATACATAAGTCAATTGGTGTTTCCGGAAAGGTGTGAGCGATGAAAAGCGGCTGCTTATTTTGGTCACTTCAGGGGGCAATCGTACTTTTTGTACTTGCAAATGACAGATGAATGGTAGAGTCTGGGCATCCGATCAATGCCCATGGTCGGACCCCTGATATTTACCATGAAAACGCGCTACGCGCTCAGTCTATGCACATACCAGATGTGCCTTCTTGGTCCCTCTCCTACTAGTTTGCTGCAAACAAGTGCTTAGTACTCTCTACATTGATGTTCAAGCTTAAGGCTGACTACCTCTCTTTAATCCTTATTGCCCCGCTGCCTTGCCGTATAAATAGAGAGCCAAAGTAATGATGTTCTCTTGTATGTTCCAAGAGTCACTCTCGCGATTTTGAATGCTACAGTATCTAGTTGGCAGACTGTCTACGGAGATAAAAGAGACAATAACCAAGTTGCAAGAAAGAAATGACCTCGGGAAATTCAGGGGGAAGATTTTTCACAATACTATCAACTTCATGGATATTGATATGTAAGCATATAAAACCTGTGAATACTACTAGTTCTGACTGCAAATTCAGAATGAACTTGAATAGTTTAAGCGCTACTCATCCAAAAGAGCAATCATTTCCCTCATCAGATGTACAGTTTCATTATCATGTCCTTCAGCCCATTCAATTTCATCTTGACATTTTGCAGCAACGTCCGCCTTTGCCCGGCTTGAATAATCATCAGTTTCTTCTGGAGGTTTACATCCAAGTATGAGACGAAGCACCTCCAAATTCCGGCGTAGTAAACTTGAAGTATAGAATACCTATAGAGGTTATATCCACCATATGGGGATGCCCCATGTTTAATCAGAAGGCTTGTGGTCTTTGCTGAGGCATGCCCGATGGCTATGATTGGTGTATGGGAGTTGTGAGAAGGAATCAATGCTCCAACGTCCGCTCCATGGCTAATCAATAACTCTATCACAGAGTAATTGTCCGAGTCCATTAGAAGAGACAGAGGGGTTTCACCATAATCATTCCTGGAGTTGACATCTGGATTGTATTCGAGCAGCAACCTCACCCATGGCTTACTCTCTTCTATTCTCACAGCAAGAGCCAGGGCAATATTCCCTCTTTCCCCACGAGATTCAAGATTTGCCCCGTTCTCAAGTAGGATTTTGACAACTTCGAGATATCCAGCTAGCTTAGGTATGGCCTCAAACCTCAGTTCGAAGGAGACTTCTTTAGGACGGAGTGCTGCAAGAAGTGGCGTCTCATTGCAAAGGGGTGAGATATAGTTTACATCCATTCCTTGCTTAATAAGAAGTGAGGTTGCTTTTGGAAGCCCATATTCAGCAGCCCGAGACAGGAAACGCCTTTCCATTTTGAACGAATCCATCCATATAGACATATAAGCATGGATATTTGGAGGTCTGAATTTCATCGCACGTTCTGCAGTATTATCGCAAGGCTTTTTTAGAGCCCATAGGAAAGCCATAGCGTCGGAGTTTCTCCAGAGTTGTTCAAGCAAAGTTTCTTTGAAGTATCGGCTGCATTGTATTAGGTTGAGTGAATCTGGTGCCGCTAGGAAGTTCGCGATCATGAACAAAATATCAAGAGACCGTGACAGTATATTCAGAGGCAGACCCATAGTAGTTGTGCTAGCTATCATATAATCAGTTTAGATTCTTGATTTATTGAAGTATCAAGAGCATGACACTTACTTTACTCGGCCCGTTAGTAGTCACAAGATGGGATTTTGATAAGGTCACATCTGGAATTTATAGAACTTCAAGTTTATGGCATGGATTTTTAAGTCAGGTGGTTTTAGTCAGTTGGTGCTTTGATCTCTTTCGATATTCCAGTCCCAGAAATATCAGAAAGTTCAATCACCCAATAGTAGTATTTCATATTAACAAGTTGAGGTCTAGAACTATGTTCAAATATCGTAAGGGGTATTTTGAAGGAACACACATTATGACGTGCATATGATAGGGATACAAGTCGAATTCAAATCAGATCATAGTCATATACTTCTCCAAGCTCTTACCAAGGGCATTGATGAAAGGCCATTGAGTGTTGTGTTTGAATAACCTTGACCATAATCTGAGTACCGCCATTCCCAAAGATGCTGGATCCAAGTTGAGCGGAGTTTCAGGTTCATCTTCTAAATCAATTGAAGAGTATGCTTCTTCCACAATGCATTGGGTCCATCTGAGTATGCGACTTTCATTCTCTGCATAACTGTTAGTTCTATTAAATCGAGATAGCTATTGTATAGATAGCAGGCTTACCACTGAGTTCTTGATCCGGAGCCGCTTCAGCAAGTGTGAAAAGCCATTTACTTAGTAGGACAGCACATTCCAAACTAGCAAGAGAGTGGCGCACACTCCAGAAAAAGGCTTGACTCCGGGCAATATGATCAATCCCTAATCGCACAGGAATGCTGAGGGCGTGAGCGGCATATATCAACGCGGGGATAAGACGGTAACTTCGTTCAGGTTTGGGGGATTGGCAAAGAGCGGACGCTATTGTCAATGGATCTCGCGTTTCAAGTCGGCGATATGGACCGAGATTCAAGGACAATCGCACATAGGCTAAACCTAATAGCGCACTAGATGTGAATGGGATGGGTCCATTTGCATTATGTGGGTCAAGACTTGACTCGGGAGCTTGTTGCCAAACGGATGTCCAGGAACGAAGAGCACGTCTATTTACCATTTAGTTAGATGTGATTAAGAAGTAGAAGGCTTTTTTTGGTATACTTACTCGATCTTGTTAAGCTCTTCGGTTGGTAGGGTGGTCGAGTGGTTTCCATTTGGTAATGATAATTCACTGACTATGTGGATCCGCTGAAGTAGACCATGAAGCAGCATGTAATTTCCCAATGGCGAGGGAATAGGATTGATTGGAACTGCAGATCTTGACTTCTGCAGTAGTAGAGTGAGAGCATCTTGGAAGAAAAGCTGCTGAGGCCCCCGCTCTTGTTGAGCAGCTTCCCACTCCGTGGCATTTTTGGCTATCCATTCTTTGGTAGAGCAAGGAAGTCGCATATGTATCTCGCTGCTCCGAAGAGACGGGTAGACATTGTAGGCGATGCTATGTATATGTATGAAGCAGAAAGAGATAAGTTTAGTTCGCCGGATTGACTCCTGGTCAGCCCATTCATACCAGTCTGTCGATAAAGCATGTGGATCAGACTGCGGTTCTGTCAACCCCGCCTCCCGAAGGATTTGAACGAGCTGAGCTTGAAGTTGGAATGCCTCTTGTACGAGCCCAGCTCGTTCCCAGGTAGCATAGCTCATGAGCACTAACAGACAGCGAATGACTTCCATCTGTCTCGACGCACTAGACGTAAGGGTCGCGGGCTGGTTTTCTCTCCCATTTGTATATTGCATATCGCCCAGTGAAGAGGGGTAACCATGTGCAGCAATGCGAGCTTCTCTGGAAATACGTTCATATAAGATCGCTTTGGAAACATGAAATATTTTTTCGGCGTTGCGGTGCTCAAATCGATACTGGGCTCCAATCGTCATTATAGCCAGCCCTAGTTCTGGGGAGCACTCATTAAAGCGAAATGTCGGGACGTGAATGAATGGAATATGAGGATGAAATCCTTCAAAGTAGGATGTTAAGTATCGGGTTAATGTGTGGCGGGATGGAAGAGTGAAGTCGGGTATAACATTGCGAAAGTCCTCAAGCGAAGCAGCGAGTCGAAACCGTTGATCCTCAGAGACATTGAACCTACAAGCATTGACAGCGTGTGGCGGTTCTAAACTTACAATTAGCTTTCAAAACATCGCCAGTAAGAATCGGACATAATGCATACCTGTATCTGAAATAGTTGTTAGGCTCTGGTCGCCCCTAGGTACTGACGGCAACCATGACCGGAATGGAGAATCGCCACGAGACTCTTCTCGAGTTCGTTGGGGTCGTGATTGCTCCTGGGGTGGTTGTGTGGTCTTTTGCACGTCTTCCAGACCAATTTCTTGAATTTGAATGCCTTCTCCTTCGTTAGGAAGCCATTCAGCCGGAAGCCCGATTGAATCCAAAAAATGAGTGAATTCTTGAAAATGATTCAGATCTTCTGGTAAATAGGACAGCGCTAGGGAGAGTGTCAGTCATTGGCATCATTTTGATATTTTTGAAAACTTACGAGGGGCCTGGTAATCTCCAGGAATAAGCAACTGCGCAGCTTGGATCATAGCCGGGTCATGCATGCCAGGATGAGCCTCCGGGTGGTGATTAGCTGGGGCAGCCGGCATCATGCCGCTGGCCTGGCTTTGTGATAGATACGATGCATGCTCCGGTTGGGGTACAGGCCATGGATGCACCGTTGAAGGGGCCGGAATTGATCCTACTGGACGGACAGATGCATCATACCTTTGTGGGATGACTCCCGGGGCTGCAACCTGGGGTGCTTGAGAACCGGCCCTCACCGGTGACCCAACGGGTTGAGAATTAGTAGACGACAGGTCATCTTGATGTGCAAGTCGATTATGTCTCTTCAATAGATCTCGTCTAGTAAAAGCTGCTCCACAAAAACAAATGAAAGGTTTCTCCTTGGTGTCTATGGAGCTACAGTCAGTTTTCTCCGCCACAAGGTGCTAGACTCCAAATGGGCCGCTTACGGGTTCGCACATGGCGCTCCAAATGTTCAGTTCGGCGGAAGCCTCGGCCACAATGGGGACAAATCCGGGCTTTTGCAACACGGCCTTTAATCTGGGGTGAAGGTGATAGAGATGGGGATGGCATGTCGGAGTACTTGGAGAAAGGAAAGGAAAGTGGGCTCGGGGGAGGGGACAAGCAGTACAAGCTGGTTCGGAGAGAATCCAATGATTGAGTGATAATTACTCCAAGCGGTGACTCCAATTTACTCCACTCTTATCAGTTCCCGAGGTCTCGATCCACTCTTCACCATATGACAAGGAATATTGAAATTGGAAATATAGCAATATACCTGGACCTGCTAATAGGCAGTGTGTTTTTTCTTTCTTTCATTATTGAGAAACATAAATGACCTATGTTGGTCAAACGTCTTTTTCCAGGTGTGGCCGTGGTCACTGGCGCTGGGGGATCCGGTAATCATATGCAGACCTCGGAAAGATCACCGATGTGGATCCCATTTGGACATTGCTAATTTCAATAACCTCATAGGTATAGGAGCTGCTGTAGCTCGCGCTTTTGCGACAGCGGGATGTGAGAGGATCGCAATCACAGACTTGAATGAAAAGACGCTTGAGCAAACTAAGGAGGCTATCGCCATCGCCCACCCCAATACCCAACTGCTTGCACATCTTGGGAACGTAGCGGATGACCAGTTCGCTGAATTATTTATCGCCAAGGTCGTGAAAGCATTCGGCCGAGTTGACTATGCTGTGAATTGTGCTGGTGTGCTAGGTTTACCCATGCGATCAGGGGAAACCAGCCTTGCCGAATTCGATCGCGTCAATAATATTAATTATCGGGGGTGTTGGCTTTCTTCTAAAGCACAGCTCACACAAATGCTTGCACAGGATCCGCTTCCCAGCCATGATCCCAGCCGCCCACCACAGCGCGGTGCAGTGGTCAATATCGCAAGTCAGTTGGGTATTGTCGGTCGGCCCAATGCGCGTAAGTTCGCCTATTCATGTTAGGTGTATTGACTTACTGATTATTTGGCTCTCATAGCTGCTTATTGCGCGTCGAAATCTGCAATAATTGGAATGACTCGTGCGGATGCGATTGATCATTCCAAAGATGGGATCCGAGTGAACTGTGTCTGTCCTGGAGTTATTGAGACCCCCTTGATAATGGAGAAAAAAGAAGTCCGGGAGGCCATTACCCCTGCAGCCCAGATTGCTCCAATGCAACGAATGGGAAAGCCCGCTGAAGTGGCTGATGCGGCCCTTTTTCTTTGCTCAACCCAGGCTTCATTTGTCCAGGGTCATGCCATGGTTGTGGACGGAGGGTACATTACGGTATAAATATAATAAATTCACCATCACATGACTTGATTCTTCAATGTTTGATCCATCATGATATCAGTCGGAGCAACCCCTCTACAGTTTATGGAATTGCACCTCAAATCAGCAGAGCTACCTGTGTCAAATTGAGATCCAGATGCCTCCAAATGTTGGCAGTACTTTTAATGATGAAGCTTATCACGAGATGCTACCAAGGCCTGAAGCAAAGAATTTGCGGTAGGGTATATACCAGTCCAACAGTCCTGAATCACAGAGCCAAGCCAGATATCTTCAGTGAGTGGCAGATTTTGCCTAGCCGGCCATTGAGCTCGATCACTGTCGACAAAAAGATCAATTTCACACTTCTCACCGGTGACAATTTCGTAGAAGACAGCTCCAAGCAAGGCTATATCAAGTAGTGTATTATACCCTCCTCCGTCGATAGTTTCCATATCAGTGTCGAGTGGGAGAAGTGAGGCTTCGGTAAAATCGCAGAACTTGATAGAAAGATCAGAATCGATCAGGATGTTTCGACTTGCAATATCCGCGACGAGGATCTTCTTTCCATGAATGCAAGACCTGATGCCATATCACAGAACCAATTCAATTTTAGTGACTGAGAAGGTCGGTTATTTGCTAGGAAAGCGCGAAGATTCCCATTCTTCATCCAGCGAAGTTTGGTAGCCTTGGGAAGAAATTCAACGCATTCGACAATAGAACGACAACGCTCTGTATGGCTCGATTGTAATCGGCGGTAAACTTCTTGCTCGAGCTGAACGACACGCAAATAGCACTGTAGATCGACATCTGTGATCCATAGGTACCGTAGTGGCATTTTCACAGCGAATCCGTCTTCAGTGTGACAACAGCGGTGCCTCCGTTCCCTAGGATCTGGTCTAGGGGAATTCTTGTGTCATTCATGTCGAGAAATGGGGACTCAGTGGACTCAGTGGACAAGATGAGAAAAGCAAATAAATCTGAGAGTGATAAAGAAATTAGCTCTGTGCCTAGGTAGTATCTTGAGGGGGAGGGACACGCAGTGACTAGTAGCGGTGTCACATGTGACATGCCCACTAGGTACGCGGATATCATATAGCTGCCCAATATAATGACGTGGGATTGAGAGACAGCACTGCACTTGAGACCATGAATGGCATCTTCAACTCTGTATGTATGTATTTCAAGGAAAACTAATATTAGGTTGCTATGATTCTCCTCCACGGCTAGTTCAGCTCAGTACTAAACTGCATTTTAGTCCACTCATAGTGAGACTCCCATGCATGTCCTATTCGTAGAATCTTCTCTTCCTGCCATAGGCCACCGACAATCTGCATGCCGACAGGTAACATTATCTCTTCATCGTCCTTGGCTGGCGCAAATCCGATAGGGATTGACATGGCCGGATGGCCCGTCACATTGAAAATGGCAGTATTAATTGTGAGCCCCATACTTGGTTGAAGAGACTCCACAGGTAAGCCTCGTGTACCATGTCTAGGAGCAACCACTGGAGTGGTCGGCATCACGATCGCATCGTACTTCTCAAACAAGACTTGGTATTTATCACTCATTTGACGTCCAATGTTGACTGTTTTGCCATAAAGATCCGGAAACTGTGACGTGAGGTAAAGGCCGTTGATAATCACATTCTTTGTTGAGGGAAAGGCTCGTCGAAATCCTTCATCGGTCCAGGGTAGCCTGGCTCGTTCCATTTCCGTCATACACAAGCTTCTTCGACCAGTATTTTGACCTAGCAGAGTTTGTGCACCGGCTATTCGTTGCTGGATGGTCCAAATTGCTGGCCCTTGCAAGTGACCTGGGAGGGATATTTCCTCGATAGTTGCACCTAGCTCTTCAAACCTTTTAGCAGCAGTTAGAACGGATTGCCGAACAGTGGATGCTACTGCTTCATGCTCAAAGCCTTCCTTGAGGAGTCCGATAAGGAGGCCGTCAAGTCGCCGAGGGCCTTGTTTAAGAGTTGTTGCAAAATTTGTTGAGTCTGGCTTTGTACTACCTAAGGACCGGTCATCAATGCCATCATAGCCACTGATGGCGTCAAGACATGTTGCAACTTCCATGGTTGTTCGTGCTAAAGGTCCAACATGATCATTCATTGCATCACCGCTGGCGACGCCTGTATATGGGACACGTCCGTATGTGGGTTTTAGTCCAACACCTATTGAGAATTAGAATAAAAGTTTAAGAAAAAAGAATAAATGTGCCACCTACATCCACAAAGTGAGGCAGGAACACGAATACTTCCACCCTGATCGCCTCCAATAGTAATGTCAACCAGCTTAGCTGAAACTAGAGCAGCACCTCCAGAAGTACTTCCTCCAGCAGAATAGCCAGTTGCATATGGATTTTCAACAACACCCTGAGCACTGGTATATGACGAAGTGGAATGGCAAAGATTCTCGCAGGTGGAGGTTCCATGAATATTTGCACCAGCTTCCAGAAGCCTCGTCACAACAGTCGCATCAGTTGTGGGTGTCCACGATGGAATGATATCACTGCCCATGAGCTGTGGTACTCCAGCTACTGCAATGACATCCTTCAGGCTGATTGATTTCCCAGTCAAGGCACCTCCTGGGGTTCCTCGAATAAGGAATCGGTGTGCCCAGGCTTGTCCCAGGACCTGCTCGTCTTTACCTGGTCGTCGAACGTTCTCCCGTGGATACTTGACTTGATCAGACACCGGTTGATAATCTGGAAGAGCAAGAACACCCTCGGCACATTCGTGAACTGCAGCTAGTAATGTATGGAAGTCATTTGACTCCGATGGATCAATAGTCAGCCCCAAGGGTTGGATAAGCGCCTCAGCATCGCCTGGTTTAACCGGGTTGTTTCTTTCATGCAGTCAGTAATCTAAAGTTACAAGGTACAAGTACCATCTGAGCCTGAACCCACTGTATACTTACTCCGATATGCTGGTGAAAAGAACTGACATGATGGGCAGGGCCTCTGATATCTGATACTTGATCCTTGGGGTTACAGAGATTTAAGAGGACAGTCACTGATAATTTCTCTTTAACATCATCGGCGCTTGCCGACATTCAGTGGTCGGGGTTCACTCTCCAATGACTACTTACCTAATAATGGATGGTTGGACCAGGATCGCCATTTTGCCGACGGTGTTGATTGACCCCAATCCGACTCCAACATTTGGACATATCAGACGGATTCAGACCCAGTAGACCCACAACAAGTAATCTGTCGATCCCTGGGAGATGACGGGATATGTACGCCAACATCTAACATCTAAGTAAGTTAAGCTTTACTTGAGTCATCCGAATTACAACTCAAATATGATGTTATCTGAGTTCAACAACATGAAGATCGGCTATAAGACCATGTTGCAGTGGCCCCGACAACTCCAAGCTTTCTTATCGATTCCCGGCATATTGATCCGTACAAATTCTCTCATTTGGCCTTTGCTTTGAATCACACTCCATCATCCCCCATCTCGTGATCAATGGGTCACAAACGAGTTCTCATCACCTATGGGGTCGACGTCGATGCTGTTGCAGGATGGCTCGGCTCATACGGAGGCGAAGATTCAACCAACGACATTAGTCGAGGTGAGCTAGGCATGGGATAATGTCCGGTGAGCTGTACTAATATGCTTGCTCAGGTGTTTGGGCTGGAACTATCGGAACACGACGTCTCTTGAAGCTGTTTAACAAATATGGTATCAAGACCACCTGGTTTATTCCTGGTCATTCGTTGGAGACATTTCCAGAAGACATGGCAGCAGTCCGGGATGCTGGACATGAGATTGGATTGCACGGATACTCTCACGAGAACCCAACCGACATGAGCATTGAGCAACAGCGAGACGTGCTGGACAAAACGTACCGAATGCTCACAGAGTTTGCGGGCAAACCTCCCCGAGGAAGTGTCGCGCCCTGGTATGTGGGGAAAAAGATCTATTCCCAGAAACTTTATCTAATATATACAGGTGGGAAACAAGTAAGAAGGGAGCACAGCTGCTTCTTGACTATGGGATTGAGTACGACCATAGTATGAGTCACGAAGATTGCCAACCATATTATCTGCGAACAGGTGACACCTGGACCAAGATCGATTACAAGCAGAAAGCGGAAACCTGGATGAAGCCTTTGGAACGTGGTCCTCAGACTGGCCTAGTTGAGATCCCTTCCAATTGGTATATTGATGATCTACCACCGATGATGTTTATCAAGAATTCTCCCAATAGCCATGGCTATGTCAATCCGCGAGATGTTGAGGACATTTGGCGAGATCATTTCGATTATTTCTATCGAGAATATGATGAGTTCATATTTCCGATTACGATTCATCCGGATGTCTCAGGGAGACCACATGTTCTCTTAATGCATGAAAGGTTTGCGCCACCTTCTAATTACATAGGCACAATTTGCTAACCTCTATAGGCTCATTGAACACTTCTTGAGACATGATGGGGTGGAGTTTGTGAAAATGGAGCAGGTGTGCCGTGAATTCAAGTCGAGGAATGCTCCTCCACCCGGAGCTTTAATGCCTACCCCAGCTGGCTCAATGTTGAAATAATTAACTATTATGAATACTCATCTTTTTATCTTATATGAAAAGGGCTGAAACGTTGTAACTAATATCAGCCAGATTCAAGGTCAGGTAAGATAAAATCAACATGGAACGTAGCTTGTCAGCATTACGACTTATTTCTGCAACCATGGAATCTTTAGGCAAGCAAAACGTTCGACTTAAATCCATATGTCACGATATAACATTTAATATTACTACATATTACTACTATGAGCTTCCAAGGTTATTTGATATCTGACCCAAATCCCCAACATTTGTCAGGCCAATTGCCGAACATTGCTCTTACTCCAACCTTCTCCAGCGTCTCCAATTCCATGTTTAGCCATCGTCAACTGGCCCAGACTGAATGCATAGTTTAGCTTGGCTAATTTTCCAGTCTTATCTCAGGTATCTCCCAACCCCCTCACTTATGCAGTGCAATCACCTACTCCAAGGCTTTACCGATTGCGGTCATCCGGCCGGGTTTACCCCAACCGACCTACCCAAAACCTCTCGATGGACAATCCTTCCAGAGGATCAAGTTTGTTATCAGATAGCTAGAATTCGTGGGGAAATCAGTGGAGCCATTCCATTCCTTCTAGCTCGTTATCGCGCCCTAGCTCAATCAGAGCATTGAAACCCCAGAAACTCCACCTCTGAGTCTGTCAAAGAGGAAATGATCTTGTCATTCATGGGAGAACTCGGGGAGAGATAAGTGCTCACTTGGTGGAGCATTCTCCTATATATTCACCCTGGAGATTTAAAAATATTCCGAGTCCTAGCCTGCCAGTGGGAATAGACGGGTTTCGATCTGCTACAACGAAGATTCGCATCTCAATTTCATGATGACTACCATGGAAAATGATATCAAGGAGGCGCCCAACTTTTCCGATGACTCCTATCCAGTGAATACACTAAAGGCAGAAGTACAAGACCAGAATGAGGTTTTCAAAAGAGGCGATGGTCAAGTTGACTTTCGAACCGACAGCTGGATTCGGGCAAGTGTGATCTTCCTTAAGAGTAAGTCATCAATTGATTCAACAGATGCCATTGTCATCGAAATTCAGAACCGCTAACATGGCTTCTTTCCGATCCAGTTATCTTCGCTACTGGCGTACTCTCCATTCCATCATTAATGTATGATCTGGGAGCTCTACCAGGTTCTCTCAATGTTATAGGCTGGACTCTTCTCAATACCTACTGTGCTATCTTGCAGGGGAACTTCCGTAATGCCTACCCAAGCTGCCATTCTATCGCCGATATGGCACAGGTTGTTGGTGGACCAATTCTCAAGGAAGTGGTTGGATTTTTATTCACAATTGGCTATGTTATCGTCGCTGCGTCTGGGATAATTGGTGTCTCGACCGCGCTTAATGCGCTTTCTTTGTATGCTATCTGTACAGTCTGGTTTTCCTTCATTGCTACGATGGTCATTGCAGCCTGTGCAAGTGTCCGGAAGTTTTCCCATATTGGCTGGCTTACCTGGGTCGGATTCGCCAGCGTGTATATTGCTGTCTTTATCATTGTGTATGTTCAGCTGAGTCATTCAATGATATGTCTTGCATCTGCTAACTATTTCCAGCATCGGAGTCACTACAAGGGATCGACCGGCTGCTGCACCTCAGACAGGAGACTTTGATCTAGGATACAATGTTATCGGTAGTCCCAGCTTTACTACCGGGATTACTGCTGCAGCGACCATCTTCGTATCGAGTTCTGCTACATCTGCATTCCTGCCAGTGATCTCAGAGATGCGCAAACCAAAGGATTATCCGAAGGCTGTCTACCTCAGCATGAGTCTGGTGACCGCATCCTACCTGACATTTAGTCTAGTCATCTATGCCTGGTGTGGCAAATGGATCGCGTCGCCTTCCCTCGGTAGTGCTGGTCCCACTGTCAAACGGGTCGCATACGGGATTGCCCTCCCCGGGCTCATTATCAGTGGATGTCTATACGTCCATGTCGCAGCGAAGTATCTATTCGTGCGAATTTTGCGCACTTCGAGACATTTGCAGGCAAACACAGCAGTTCACTGGGGCACCTGGCTAAGCTGTACAATTGGCGTGGCTGCCATCTCTTTCATTCTTGCGTGTGCGATACCCATTTTCACGTATGTGCTTGCTCTTGTTGGCGCTTTGTGTTTTGCCCCATTGGCGATTAGCCTCCCTGGATGGCTATGGCTATACACTCATGCCGACTACTGGAAAGGCAGTCTCTTGCGCAAGCTGATTTATGGGTTTCATGTGTTCTTGCTCTTTCTAGGGGCGTTTATCGCGGTTGGTGGCACCTATGGGGTTGTTGTACAGATCAATGAGGCATATCGTGATGGACAAATTCCGTCGGCCTTTTCATGTACTGACAATAGTGGGTCGAGTTAACATAGATTATCCATAGAGTCTAGACTATTCAAATGTTCAAAAATAAATAAATAAAATAGAATAAACAGTATTTTTTCTTGACCAAAGTTGCCGCAGGCATAATTCCCAGTGATGTGCATTAAGGCATAAAAGCTCCACAATAGCCTGGAGCACCTGCAGAAACACCCAAAGCCGACCCGCTCCGGTGGGCACTACTAGTCCCGTGGCATCCGAATCCATTGCTTTTTCATTTCCCCTCCAGTTCTTACTTCTCCTTGGTTATATCTGATTTTCTCATATATTACTACTAGTAGTATGTCTAGGTGACAGACTGCCATCTTTTATCTCTCCTCTATTCGACATCACAAGTTGTTTCCAGTGATGTGATCATTCTTTATCAGCACCTTCGTAATCAGTACAACCCCATCTTTAACCCCATCTTTGAGATACGGAGGAGTCGGACCCTTCAGATCAAATGCTCGCTATAATTCCTATACTATTGAGGTTTACCAGCCTCGCCACATCAGCAGCTATCCCACCTGCCTCGATAGCAAAACTTCAAGATTCTGCAGCACTAGAATCAACCTGGGAGCCCACCGACTCCGCTCAGGTGTTATCCACCAAACCAACCAACCAGAACTCCGAAGCCAAGCTCAATAATTTCGCCAAACGAACCCCTTACTACTTCCCTGAAACTGTCCCGGATGAGGAAGAGATCGCCGATGAATTATTTGCTCTTCACGAAGCAGCCACTGTGAACAACTCGCCAAATGGACATGAAATGGCGCATGAGGGGGTAGGGACTGGGCAGTCACAACAACTACAGTCAATCGGAACACCGGATAAAGAGATCGACATTCTCCGCGCACCTCTTTCTGATCCTGATCAGGACATCAGTCCCGAGCTCGCCCAATCACTTGAGGTCTCGTCTTCGAATTATGTGGGCCAGAATCATGCAGCAGACATCCAGACTCAAGTACAAGCCAAGACTGTGCAGGTCGATTGGGTCCTCTCTGAGTCTTCTCAAATGGTTATCACCACGCCTCCATTTGTCCCATCTATGCTTGTCTTATTCTTCATCGCTGCGCTCTTGTGTATCGTCACTGTGGTCCGTGGGGTCCGATATAGGCGTTGAGTGATTTATAATTTGCTTGGACTTTTGTGGCTTATGCAAGTGAGCTCATTTATTGGTTTCTTGCCGATCGGTGATAAGGTCACCGGACAAATTACTCCGTACGATGAAACTGAATCATACTACGGCTTACGGATGCTCCGTACTGCGACGGATACATACGTTACTCAAAGTTGGGTTCTGTTTCCCCACACACGCTCCACACGGCTGCCTACGGGCTATTGAGCCTCCACCTCCTCTCACTGAGAGGTATGCAACTTGCACTTTACCTCCCAGCCCCAGCTTCAATTTTCCCTCACTTTATCCTTAAATGTGGATCATTCCATAAGGAGGATCCGATCTAAATTAAAGGGGTAAATCAAGAAAAAAAAAAGGAGGCTGGGCAATTATACATCTGCCTTCCGATGAGACGCGCCTACTCATGCGGCACGCCTGACCTCATCTTGCACATATGTATTGGTCGATCGGATCCACATAACGGAGTAGAGTACCTTGTGTTCACCGACCTGGGTCAGACCAGGCAGCCAGGTCCACAGTTGATGTCAGCCTCCGTCGGGAGCATGCCTGGGTAATACACCGAAATATGTTGTGTGACGGCCAGCCTCCTTCTTTTGCATGGATCGAGAACTTGAAGCTTGGTTCAAGAGTATCAAGTTGGTTATCACAAATAGCTGCTTGGGAGCTCTGAACTTCTGCCTGCGATTGACTCCTCGTGACTCGAGGATCTTCCATTACTCACTGAACTAGCAAGTTTACTTGTAGTATTTACATGTGATGTTATTTTCAGCAATGATGACTAGACTGTTTGATCATTACTCAAGCTCCAGCCTGGGAGGTGATTCCAGATTGCCTAGTTTCAAATGTTAGCTCTGAATTGCATTGTCTAGCTGGGTTCTCGATGCCTTCAAATCTGGGGTTGTAGCTATATGCCAGCGATACTATGCGCGGTCAGAGGTCATGACTTGGAGCATTACTCACTGCTTTTAGTAACTTGAAATATCGTATTATGGACCCTTGACAAACAAACATGAGGTAATGAGCTTAAATTTTCGACATAACCGAAATAATTTATTGTAGTAAACAGAAATGCCCATGACGCCATGAGGTCTGAAGACAAAAATGGTCAAGAATGACGACCAACAGAAGCACAAGAGCCGCCCAGAGAAATGAAAAGTACACGAACTCTTTTTTTCATGCCTCTCTCCCCAAGGAAAGATATGAGTAATAAGAGTGAAGGAGGAAGATGGAAAAAATGAATATGTACGCGTAGTTAAGAGATATATGAAAAATGCAAAATGATCAAGCAAGATTAGGAATCATCGACTAGACGCTTTTGCACCCAGGCGCGTTTGGCTCCATCGAGGAGTACATCCATGTTACCGCTGTTATCACACATGCTGCGGAATAGACCTTCGTCACGGTTGATCAGAGTCCAGGGGTGATCGAATTCAATGACGCGGCCGTGATCAAGGACTAGGACCTTGTCGTAGTCGATGATTGTTTGAAGACGGTGAGCAATTGTGATAATTGTGCTATCATGTAGTTCACGGAGGGTTTCCTGGATCTTTGCATCGGTGGCATAATCGATCGAGGCGGTGGCTTCGTCCATCATGAGAACACGGGGCTTTTTGAGGAGTGCACGAGCAAGACACAGAAGCTGACGCTGGCCCTGGGATAGATTGGATCCGGATTCAGAGACAAGACTGTCTAGGTTGTGGAAGATGTTCTTGTTGTCTGCGACAGTCACAGCACTGCCGTCGGCTGTTCCGTTGGCTGTACCGTTGGTTTCGACGGCGGTAGAAGTGCTTTCAGTCATGGGGGTTGTGGTACCGGAGGCAGTGGCTCCGATGAGGTGCACACGACGGATCGCCGTGAAGATCTCCTCGTCACTAAACAGGCCGAACGGATCCAAATTGCTTCGAATGGTGCCAGTGAACAAGGTCGGGTCTTGAGGCACGATGGTAATAGCCTCACGAAGATCCCGCAAACCAATAGAACCAATGTCGACGCCATCAATCAAAATCTGACCCTTCTCGGCTTCCAGTCCGCGGAAAAGAGCCAGGGCAAGTGAACTCTTACCAGCACCTGTGCGACCAACAATACCGACCTTTTCGCCAGCCTTGACGGAGAAGGAGACTTCCTTCAGAACAGGATCCAGGTCAGGTCGGTAGCGGGTGCTGTAGCCCACGAACTCTACTGCACCTTCGGTCGGCCAGTCTTTGGATGGTCGTGACTCAGGAATGACAGGAGCGGCCTCTTGATCGACTTCCAGATACTCTCTCACACGCTCAACCGAGTTCATATTTTGCTGAACCTCTGAATACAGACGGACGAGCCAAAGCACGTTCTCCGTAAAGGTAACAGCGTAAGTCAGGGAAAGACCAGCAGCACCAGCATCGATCTTTCCAACATTGATGAGGACGAATGTAGCGGAGAAGAAAGATACCAAAGCACCAGTCCAGTCCACTCGAAGCGCGAGCCAGCGGTTGCTAGCCCAGAGGTAGATATGAGGTCGGTTATAAGCGTTGATGCGGCGATGGTTATCAACAATGAATCGAGGGCCATCACCATAAGCACGAATTGTAACAATACCATTCAAAGTCTCTCCGAACTGTTGGTACAATGGGCTTCGCTGCACAGATTCAAGTCGCTTTAGATCACGAGAAGAGTTTAGGTAGATAGCTCCCAAAGCGGTGTACACGAGGGTAATGAAAATTCCTGCAATCAAGAATCCCGGGGTAATAATAGAAATGAGAATCACAATCATAATCACAGAAGCGAGACTATGCAGCATTCCGATGGCCACAGGCGCAACTTCCTGATCAAGAGATTCAACATCCTTGGAGAATCGGTTCATGAGTTGACCGAGCGGCGTGGAATCAAAGAAGCGGAACTTGGCATGCATGACTGTCTTCAAGAGGCGGTCATGAATCTTCCAAGAAGCGTGAAGGGATCCCCAGAACAGGACAGCCTCACGAGTCAGAGAGATAGCAATGTAACCGACACCCAGGAGGGCATAGACCATTAAGTAGTAACCAACGTTAACCTGACCATCAGGAGTGGTAGGGCTTGTGGGGTTTACACTAATTGAGAGTTGCGGAGGACTCCAAGTGCTGACCTTTGAAACACTGCCAACGTTGAAAGTCGGGGGCTTCAAGTGAGCAGCAGCGGCATAACGACCAACATCGGTTTCTACACCTCGGTTAGAAGTCTGGTATGCATTCGCCCACTCTCGGATCCAAATGTTTGTTGATACAGAGCCCAGCTGCTGCAAACAGAATACTGCAACGGCTGCGATCCAATAGTACCACTGGCCCATGGAACCCAGATACATGGTGATCGTGGACCACTTGACGTTACCAACAGCCTTGGACTCTTGCAGTTTGCCCTTATCATCCTTTTGGTCCTTCTTTGCGGTTCCGTTGGCTGATCCATTGGCTCCTGTCGGCTCGTGACCATTGGCCTCATCTTCCGCCTCGGTGTCAGAGGGCATACGGGACAGGCCGCGGGAACTAGCATGGGATCCGGGTCGAGACTTGAAGAACTCGTCACCGAGAGCGCCAGTAGCAGCAACATCATCAGGGCGACCCTGGGCGCTGATTTTTCCGTTCTCAAGGACCACAACATGGTCTGCCTGGGGAACAGTGAGAGCAACATTGTGGGTAACCAGAATACAAGTACGGTTGATCATGAGTGGACCAGTCAGAGCCTGGCGGAAGATGTGCTTGGCAGTGTGCGAATCAACGGCAGAGAGACAGTCGTCCAGAAGCAAGTGTCGCGCACTGCTGTAGACAGCCCGAGCAAGAGAGATTCTCTGCTTCTGGCCACCAGACAAACTGATTCCCTTCTCACCAACCAAGGTCTGGTCACCGGCATCAAGGATTTCAAGATCCCGTTCCAGGGCACATGCCTTGATGACTGCACGGTAACGCTTCTCGTCCCAGGGGCAAGCAAATGTGATGTTCTCCTTCACAGTGTCGTTCACTAGCCAGGCTTCCTGGGCACAGTAAGCGACGCTGTCAATCAGGCCAGTGGCGGGGTCAACTGGAAGCTCGGCACGACTTGACACTCCACCGGGGAGGTGGACACGACCTTCAATGAGTCGCATTTCACCAAGCAGAGCCATAAGCATAGAAGTTTTACCAGATCCGGTAGGGCCAGCGACAATGCTCAGACGACCAATCGGGAACTTAACATCGATGTTAATGAGGCGGAACGCATCTGCACCAGTCTCAGCAGAGGAAGCCTGCTGTGGTTGGGGCTTAGAGGTTCCCCATGTGAGAGTCGCCTTCTCTAGTCCAATCTGGGCAGGGCCATCCGAGACACCGCTAGTATGACGGAGCTGTTCATACTTCTCGGTCTCTTCTTCGTTGAGATACTTATCAACACGAGCGAGAGAGACCTGTGATTCTTGTACGTGTGCCACCATATCGGCCAATTGGTCCAAGGGCACACGCAGCAGCGAGAACATTGACAAGGCAGGGAACGCGATTGAGGGTGTTAACTGCTTCTTCTCGACAACAGTGTACAAGAAGAATGACATGAAGGTGATCAAGATAGGTGTACCGTACCAAACTGTGGCCGCACAAGACCACAGGATATAACGTTTGCGCAAGGATTTGAGCTCGGCCTTGCGCTTTTCATTGACAACATCCTGGAAACGCTGTTCCCAAGCAAAGTACTTGATGATACGGATATTTTGAAGTACTTCATTGGTAGCATGAATACGAGCATCCGTACCCTTGAGGATTTGGTTTTGGACTTTGTTGAACTGACGAGCGATGAAGAGGTTTACCGGCAGCATGAAAACCATGATGACGATACCAGCAAATGAGCTGAATCCCATGATCTTGTATAGCAGGGTGATGGCCATAGTGATTTGCACAGGGACACTGGCCCACAAGAAATGCAAGTAAGCTCCAACCTCACTAACCTTGAAGGAATCAATGGCCATCAAGTTGATGATAGTACCGACATTAGCCTGCATGGCAGCTTCCTCCACGTCGGCCTCAACCTTGCGACCTGTCTCGGTATCATTCTCATTGGAGGACTTCTTGTCCCGACCAAAGCAGAGGAGCTTACTCTTGAGAGACTTCTTTTTGCTCTTGGGTGCCTCCTGCTGCTCCTCTGTTGCTTTGCGAACAGCATCCAACGACGCGCCAGCCTTGCGGCGGAGAGCCTTTGAGTAGATCTCACCGATAATGATCGCACGGATTTTCACACCCATCTTACGACCAATATAGAGCGCTTGGCCATCAGCGACGCCCTGAACAATAGCAGAGCAGAAGAGAAGAATTGCATACAACCAAGCAGCATTGGGGGTAGTTGATCGAGGGTCCTCAACATACTCGAGGATCGCCTTCAAAAGTAAGCTGGGAACGAATACAAACAAATTGGCAAAGATGGTCCAGGCGCCTTGCTTCAAAATGGTTCCAATGAAGAATCTAAGCAGCTTCCAAGCCAAAGATCCCTTCATCTTCCTGCTTTGAAAGTCGGTCAAAACTGCTGCTGCCTTTTGGTGTGGTGTCAAGTTCCAAACATCCTCCAGTTCCAATGGCTGTCGGTAACCCTTCATGACAAGGGGATCCAGCCAGGCAAATGTGGCGAGAGATAAGAGACTGGCCATGGGGTAGCGTGGAGGTTCCAATCCATCTTCACGTTCCACATAGACGGGCTTGTTGCCACGGCGAGTAGTCAAGGAAATTAGAACCAGTAATGTACCCAGGGCAAATCCAATACTGCTGAGAATGAGGGCGTGTTTTGAGAGCGGGTGAATTATGGCAGATCGGAAGACCATGATGTTGAAAAGCCATTGTAATCCATATAGTGCTGCAGTATGATTCCATAGGCGCGGTGCCGACAAAATTTCCATTGTAGACAGTAGCAAACGCACTAAAACCAAGAACAGTATATAACCCCAGGATACCAAACCCGCGATTGCGGGAAATATTCCATGGCGACCCCAAGCTTCAGTTGATAGGATACACACATAGACCGCAACCTGGCCTACCAAGGCTGCGATTTCCAGTGAAATGACGATAAATTGTCCACGCGGACGATCGATTTCTAGCTTCAATTGTTCTGTTTGAGCTGCCTGAAACAGCATTGGGTCGGATTCCGATTCCGGGCTGCTAGGAGCCTCATTTTCCGAGACATCGTTCGGAAGAACCTTGTAGGCGACACCTTGTTTGGAAACGAAATAGCGATATGCTAGGCGAAGGACAATCCAGAGGAGGGATAAGCTGCAAGCTGCGAGGGGCAATGTTACTTGCAGGGTGCTATATCGGAACAATTTTTTTCAATTAGTTTTTGTAATCTTGTAACGGTCGCCGGCTTGTAACACCAAGATGTGAGACCACCCGCTGATCGCAGAGGGAAAATAAAAAAACAAATTCTAAAAAATAAAAAAGTACCAAGAAACTTACTTGCGTTGGAAACATCTAGAGAGATCATCCACAGCCCAGATGGGGCCTGCACATTGCGGGAGCATGACGGAGCAATGCGATAGGGAAAACGAGGGAAATGCTCCAAAGCTCCACGGCTTTTCTCCCCCGGGGGTGACAATCAGGAGAATTCCAGTTAATAATTCAATAAGAATAGGCGAACAAAGTGAAAGAATAAAGTCGGAAACCTCCCCTAAGTGAACAACGATTCACGAATCGAAGGCTCGCATCGCAAAGCGAAAGCGGAAAGAAGGCAAAGTCGGAGTCAGGAAAAGTCCGGAACCGAGAACCGTTTAAAAAACCGTTTGTGTAATCACTATATATTCAAAGTTGGAAGAGTCACAGTGAACATGACCCGAGTCATAGATGGAAAGGATAAAAAGACTCGGATTAAAAAAAATCACAGGGATTAGGGATTTTCCTCAAAGAGGTCTGGGCTTTTTTTTTTAAATCCGGAAACGAGGGGAGGGTAACATGGTCCACCACTACATCAGCATGGTGGAGCCAGGTACCATTATGGACGTGGAACCGAAACCAGACTTGACTCGGGAATATAATAAGATTGTTCTATATAAACTAGTAATACTTTCTTGATTTGAATATAGCTCTTCAAGTGTTCAACTTGAAATATTCATATTAAATATTGAAGTTGAAGTTCCCCTCGAACACCCTTGAAACTACCGAGCAGCTGACTGCTTATCGGGTTCCCCACTTGTTTATCGCAGAGCTATGGCGTAACTGTGATCGGGGTCTACAATAGGCTAGGTTAGCTTGGAAATTTCAGATATTCTTCACAATTCTAAGATTGAAGGACTAAAACTGATAGGAATTTCCATGGCAACTCTAACTCGGCACTTTTAAGGTGAAATAGCCGAGGCGATATACTTCAAACGGCGAACATATGCGTTATCGCCCCTGGTTCTTAGCACTTCAGTAGTTTGAAGCTAGTAGAACTAGTCAATTTACTAGGATTAATATAGATCCATAATCAACTTCCCACCCCGATATGTAAATGTGGTTATTTCATCTCGTTTAATTGGTCCGGGGCCACTTTCATTTCCACTCGCCAGTTGGTATAGTCAAGATATTTGTTATGTTTCTTCAAAAGAGTTGTTGTATCTCATTGTCTTCTACACAGTACATGCAGGAATATGCAAGTTTGATTATAGAAAGGCGGTGAACAATTAACCATGTACCTAAATGTCAGACAAAAAGTATGCATATACGGGTCATGCGCACAACTGCGCATATGACCCTGGATCCTTGACCTATAGTAGACATATTTTTTTTTCATATATCCCAGAGGTCCTTCAATTGACTATTCCCCACTCCCGTCAAAGGTCACTTGGCATGTCAATTGACTCAAGTGCTAGTCACCGTTGATCCTTAAATCCTTCAAAATTGAAGGTGACCGCGATCAGGCCATGACATAGTCCTCTACCCCTCAAATGGTAGTTATTTCAACTTGAAGACTTCCAAGGTTATGTACTAGTACATATACAGTGGCAGTTATTATATCCCAACTCCTACTGGGGACGTTGTGGGTAGGAATGTATATTTCGTCCCTAATAGAGCTCTATTCGGATCAAATACTAATTTCTTCCCCGCTTCCTTTCAAGTTCAGACCACGCATAAGTACTATGTGGTAAGACCCTTAGTGCATCCGAATAGTAATTACAACCTTGATTTTCTTGCGCATTTGAAGCTTATTACTTTGCTCTCAGTACTACTAATACTACTAGTCCGATTCTGTAGCTAGTAGCTATTGTAGATTCCCCGGGACCGTCATCTCCAACTTCTTGAAAGTGGGTACATATCTCGACCCCTCAACTTGAAGTTCCTATATCGGAGCTCCAAACGTCACAAATTTGATCCACTGCACATTTGAACACTAGATAGCACCATCTACACTCAAGTGTCCACAATCCCACATAGCTTGAACCCATATTCAATATTGAAACTCCGTGACTTTCAAGGGAACTTTTAACTCATATACAAAAACTCAAAATGGCCACCGAAGCACTAGCAACCTGGACCACAAATCTAACCTTCACCACCCTGCCAACCGATGTAAGAACAGCCGCAATCCGCAGCTTCTACAACTGGGCCGGGTGCACAGTAGGTGGAAGCGCCCATCCAGCAACAAGCATAGCCCGCAAAGCGCTGGCCCGATTCTCCGGTCCCCCAACCTCGCGACTCCTGGGTTCGGAGGGAAGCGTCGACGTGGACGCCATGCATGCGGCGCTGTTCAATGGGATTGCGTCACATGTTCATGACTACGACGATACGCATCTCGATACGATTATTCATCCCACTGGACCGGTTGCGTCGGCTTTATTGGCTGTTGCGGAATCGTTGGAGAGAAGTGTCTCTGGTGAGGAGTTTATCACGGCGCTGGTCGCGGGCGTGGAAGCAGAGTGTAAGGTTGGGTTGGGGGTTTGGCCTGATCATTATGATGTTGGGTGGTAAGTTACTTCCTTCTCTCCTAGTATTCAATGTTTCAATTATTTGAACTCGGAGGTGTCCAAGTCCCAGGTTGCAATACACAACTACTATACAATCACTAGTCCATACATGACAACTGTAACCAGTATACTAATTCTCATTCTTCAGGCACATCACAAGCTCCACAGGCTCAATCGGTGCAGCGGTAGCAGTGTCCAAACTACTATCTCTCTCCACCACCCAAACAGCGCATGCAATCGGTCTCGCCGCAACACAAGTCACCGGACTCCGGGAGATGTTCGGTTCACACACCAAATCCTTCCACCCAGGTCGAGCCGCACAAAACGGTCTTCTCGCCGCGATCCTAGCATCAGAGGACTACACCAGTTCGACCACAGCGCTAGAAGCCAAGCGCGGCTGGGCGAATGTGGTTAGTAGCTCCAACCAGCTACACGCGCAAATTAAGAGCCTTGCGCCGAATGGGCGCTGGGAGATCGTTCAGAATGCATTCAAGCCGTTTCCTTGTGGAATTGTGGTGCATCCTATTATTGATGGGTGTATCTTGGTTCATGAGGAACTAACCCGGATGGGACTTTCTGTTGATCAGATTATAGACGTTCAGGTGAAGGTTCATCCCTTGGTTCTTGAATTAACGGGGAAGAAGACACCGAGAGATGGATTGGAAGGGAAATTCAGTGTTTATCATGGTGGTGCGGTTGGATTGTTGTTTGGGAAGGCGACTCCAGCACAGTATGAGGATCGAATTGTCACTGACCCGCGAGTGGTGGATATTCGAGACCGGATCCAAGCTACTATTAATGAGAAGCTTCGGGCTGATGAGTGTCATCTTACGGTCCTGCTTAAGAAAGAGAATGGGGAGCATGCCACTATTGAGAAGCATGTGGATCATGCGGTGGGGAGCTTGGAAAGACCTATGACCGATGCTCAACTCGTGGAGAAATTTGTGGATCAATGCATTCCTGTGCTGGGGCAGGAAAGGACTGAGAAAGCGAGTCAGTGGTGTTGGGACTTGGAGAAGCACCAAGATGTACGTCAGATGAAGACTGTCCTATAGATACTATTAGTTGGGACATAAGAGGAGTGTCTTTACGGATAGCCACCGAAAAATAGTGATCTACGACTAGGCAAGAGGGGACGACGGTTGTCAAGTCTGCGAAAACTCGTATATGAACCTAAACACATTCTAGATGGCATAGGAAATGTATAGTTGTGACCGAAGTATATGCTACGGTAACAATAAAAAGACAAGCAAGGAGCGACAGTCTGGTTAATGAGGTGTGGAATTGATCACCCGTGTGTAGGGATCTCCAAAGGGAAAAATCGGGAAACAAAACATAAAAAAGTCCGAGATAAAAAGCCAAATGATCTGCGCCAGTGTGGTAACCATCCATCCATATGCCCATATAAAGAGCCCAGTCACAGACAAGGCTCAATCCAATTGTCTACTCTAAGCGGAGACAGCATCCTTGATGTGGCTGTAGATAGCACTGAGCTCGGCGTGAGCGGTCTTCTCAGCGTTCTCAAGCAGCTCCTTGACATCAGGGACGTGGCTGGCGGCGCCGGCCTTGTAGCCACCCTTGGCAACGATCTCAGAGTAGTTGGAAGAACCACCACCGTTCCAGGCAAGCAGCTAAAAGCCAAGTTAGTATTGATCACATTGTGTATATGGGTGCCAGTGGAGGGTTTTTTGGGATTACTTACGTTAGGAGTGTCGGAGGGAATGTCGGTGAGAGCACCGGAGGTGGCGATGGTAATCAGGGTGTCCTTGAGCTTCTTAGGAGTGATCTCAGCGACAGCGTAAGCTGAGTCAGAAGAGGGCTGCAGGGAAACGTAGTAGGCCAGCAGACCAGCAATGTGAGGGGAGGCCATGGAGGTTCCTGAGATGGTGTTGATGGCGTACTGGCTGCCAATCCAGGTGGACTCGATGTTCAGACCGGGAGCGAAGATGTCAGTGCACTTTCCGTAGTTGGAGAAGTAAGCACGCTCATCAGCCAGAGTGGAGGCACCAACGGTGACAGCGTTCTCGGCAGCAGCAGGGGAGTAGTTGCAAGCATCGGCATTGTCGTTGCCAGCAGCGACGGCGAAGTGGATACCGGCCTCAACGGCGGCGTTGACAGCAAGGTCCAGAGTGCGAGAGCTACCACCGCCCAGAGACATGTTGGCAACACTTCCCTTCCAGCCCTTCTTGACCTTGCCAGCCTTGGCCTCCTTCGTCTTCTTAATGTGAGCCTCGGCAGCCCACTCGACACCCTTGACGACATCAGACATGGTACCAGAGCCGTTGGAGCGGAGGACCTTGACAGCGTAGACGTTGGCCTTCTTGGCAACACCGTACTTGCGGCCAGCGATGGTACCTGAGCAGTGAGTACCGTGACCGTTACCATCCTCATCCTCATCACCCTGAGGGATGGTCTTGCCCCAGTTGGCACGGCCCTCGAAATCAACGTGGTCGGTGTTGGTACCGGTGTCGATCACATAGGCATCGACACCCTCACCGCCATCTTCGGCATACAGGTACTTGTTGAAGGTACCGAAGGAAAGGCTCTCCCGGTGGGAAATACGGGCCAGACCCCAGGGGGCGTTCTTCTCGGTAGCGTGGTTAGTCATGTGGTGAACCTCAGAGTCCTTCTCGATGTACTCAACCTATGGATAAGGGTTGATTGGGTTAGCGGGAGCTTATCATGGGGGAAACTGGGGTAAGGTCTACTACTTACATCCGGATGACGGCGGACCTGCTCGATGACATCCTCGTGGAAGTGACCAGAGTATCCCATGAGCGAACCAGCGATGTGGAAGGTATCCTTCATACCCAGGAAGGAAGTCTCAAAGTCAAAGTCGAAGAGCCCACGCTTCTTCAGCTCCATTCGGTCCTTATTATGGGTAGAATGGATGTCCTGCACCCAGCTGTGATGAGATGAAGCCACTGACGGACTGATGTGTTTCTTAAACACGACAATATAAGAGTCTGGGATCTCCTGTGAGTTTGTGGATGAAATAATGGGAGCAGCTCCATTATGGATGGTATCCATCCAAGCTGGTGACGCAGCTGCCAGCAGCGGGAGCAGCGTCAAGCCGAGGAAGCCTTTCATGATGGGCGAGATCGACTTGGAACGAGAGTGGATAAAATAAAATAGAAAGAGAATGAATAGGAAAAATAATCAGTAGGTTTGATGGAAGTGGGTGTATTGGGGGAAGATATAGGGAGAAGGGTTGAAAGAGGGAGAGGGAGAGAGTGAGGAGAAATGAGGAGGTAAGAGTCAGTGGACCTTATCTAGGGGATCCGGGATGATGCAAGCGGGCGATTACATTACTGATACGGGCGCAGATGACTTGTTCGATTTGACGCTGGCTGTCGATCCCGTAGGATGCTAAGTGGGGAGCGAGACCGGGGGTGGGCGGTATGGTCATGTATTGTAAAGAGGAGCTGAATGCTGTAGCTTTCCCCGGTCAAACGCGATAGATGCTTATCGCACATCATGCAGACCAGAATGGACTTGTAATATTGGATGAATTATACATAATTGGGATTGCTTACTTCCCATGGTTTGTTTATACCGACTGTTAGATAAATGAGTTTATTATGCTAAATCCTATCCTTTGAGTACTAGTACGGAGTCCTAATCCGAATATTGCCCGGTGCAGCATGAGAATCGGGTACCTGGCAGGCCACTAAGCAACTCTCGTGCCCCAGGTGACGAACAAGGCAACGGAACCTCCGAACTCGCGTGCTTCTATCCGGATGACGCGAGGCATTATTGGTGGTTAATGCAGCCTAGAATGGGGGCAATGATAGACATAAATCAATACTACTTCCATAAAGAGTCATGATCATTCTAACCCTGGAAAGGTTGATCACAAGATTTCTCCACATTTTACCTAGTAGTTATCTTTTATCGGAAGTTCCAAGGTCTCTCCTTATCTCGTAACTTATACCTGACGCTGTAAACTTGCTCCATCTCAATAATACCGGAAACTGAAACCTTGGAACTTGGCAGATCGCATCATTGCGCCCCAAAAGAGGCCGCCCCCAAAAGTCACCTGATAGGTTCCTCCCCCGCTGTCCGTTCAATGGTAATAGAGCCTCTCAATAAACATCTTGCCGATCCATTTTTCAATGATAAGGCAAAGGTTGTTGTTGTGTGTATTGTCTGGATCATCCGAACATTGAAACGTGTGGTTTCCAACTCCACTTCGGATGGTGTGAATGTTTCTGATCCCATTCCCCACCAACGTCACCCCCCAGACCAATGCAGACCGCCTCACTCGACTCGCCAATCGCCCATTCACGGTCTCTGATGGTATTCCACCATCGGATAGGTCGTGGATAAGATTTGGTTATGGCTCCGCCGCCCCTCACTCCCTCGCCCTCGGGATCAATTGAGCGATTGGCCGATGAATTGGCACCTACCTTACAACAGTTGAAATCCCTCACGAGCAACTCGATCACCCTCCCACAAGCCCTTTCGGCTACCGAGCCTCTTCTCCGTCTCCGCCATACATTTATTGACGATGCCCGCCCACGAACCGCCAAGGACACATTTCGACACTTGCGGGGTTTTCAAACCCTCTTAGACCTGGCAGGCCAGGTCGCGGAGCTCTATGATGGCGAAGCTTTTTCGAAGGAGGAGAGAAAAGAGACGTTGGGTATATATAAGGACGTTTTGGGAGTGCTGGCCGAGGCATTGAAGGAACATTTTGGTAACAGACGATATTTCGCTCGTCGCGTCGCTGGAGGGGGAACGGCAGCGTTGGAGCGCTCTCTGACGGTGCTTGTTGGGAAAGTACAGCATGTCGAAAATGATGCACAGCATTTGTACGGCGCAGTCCTTGCTGCAGCTCTTTGCCAGGAAACGGTCGCAGGCATTTTTATTACTCTGTCTGCCAAGTTTCCACACGAGGCTGGTTGCAAATCTTCAAAGGAAATGCGGAAAGCTGTGGACCAGTGTCTAGGATCAGCTGAGACGGTAGAAGTGGCAGAGCTCATGGGTCCGTTTGTACGTGTCTGGGTATCCCAGTCTGCTTCCTTTGCCGACAGTGACATTCTGCGATTGGCCATACCGGCATCTATTTGTCAATTGGCCTCTCAATCATTAAGGAATGTCGTGGCTTTGCATGCTACTGGGATGCTTACTTCTATCATTCCACTCCTGTTCGATAAAAGCCGAACGGCCATTGATTTGGAGCTTTATCAAGATTTGGCCCGGCTTCTTAGTGCTCAAGGAATCAGTAGCTTGGATGACGCCGTGTCCTTGTACCGACGAGCGCACGAAAATCCACAGGCATTGGGATTTCTTGTGACTGCCCTCAGATGTTCCAAGGAGCCTCCTTCCATTCAGTTCGATCTGTCTTTGCATGGATTCTGTTCGGTGGAGTTTGCAACCTTAGGCCGGCCATTTCCCCCAAATACTTCAGCGGGGTACACTTTGGCAGCATGGGTTCGGTTTGACGAATTTGACTTGAATACACATACCACAATATTTGGCGCATTCGACGCCAGCCAAACATGCTTCTTGCTCGCGTATCTTGAAAAGGATACTCGACATTTCATTCTTCAAACATCCATCCGTGGGCCTCGACCTAGTGTGCGGTTCAAGTCTGTTAAATTTCAGTCTGGTCGCTGGTATCATATTGCCCTGGTGCATAAACGTCCCAAACTTGCAGCCTCTTCCCGTGCATCTTTATTCGTAGACGGCGAGTTTGTGGAGCAGCTGAAGATTGACTACCCCACGGCCCCCACAGCTAACCATCCAAGCCAATCTCCCCGCATACAAGCATTTTTTGGAACGCCCCAAGATCTGGCCATGCGTCTTGGAAAGGGGGTTTCCACTTCGAGATGGTCACTAGCAAATGGCATACTTCTGGATGAAGCTTTCAGTGACGATCTGATAGCTGTTTTCTACAATTTAGGGCCTCGCTATTATGGCAACTTCCAAGACTGTCTTGGCTCGTTCCAAACCTACAGAGCTTCCGCAACCTTGAACTTGCGTAACGAACACCTCCATCCTGGGAAAGAGGAGTCATCGGATATCGTGACTGCCATCAGAAAGCGAGCCAGCACTTTGGTGCGCGAGAGTTCGATATTGATCAACGTTTCCCCTGTTGCTATTCTTGATGATGACGACAGCAACAATGTCGATGAATCACAGCTGATAAAGTTCTTGTCAAAGCAAGCAGCCAAGAGCTTGCAGCAGCTGACCAAAGCGGGTGGGAACGCCGTTGCTGTTAATGGAGCCACCCCTGCCATTAATGATGGCCTGACTCAACCACAGGGAGTGGGAATTTTGACGGGAGACCCTGTAGTAGCAGTTCCCTGGTCATTGGATGACGCGAGCTGGTGTTTGGGTGGATGTGCTGCTGTTCACCTCAGCTTAATACGAGCCTCTGACTCTCCCACAAGCCTGGGATTGGCCGTAGAGGCCCTGTACGAAGCGGTTCAAGACAACTGGAGAAATAGCGAAGCCATGGAACGAGAAAATGGCTATGGAATACTTGCAGCCTTGCTAAGAGAGAAATTGGGAGTTCAGCTTGGACAGTCCTCCTCAAATAAGTCTGCCGTGGCTAACTCCACTACCGAGGAGCAAACTACGCTGACTCTCCGCCTACTCCACCTAACTCTGAAGTTTGTGGGATACAACTTTAAGAACCCCAGCCATTCGTTGATCACAAATCCGCTTGCATATCGGGTGTTGTTAGTTGATCTGGATATATGGCGTCATGGAGATGCACCGGTGCTCAAGTTGTATTACACCCAATTCAGTACCTTTGCCACAGATAGCACCTACCGCCGCTTTAATGCGAAGAGGCTTGGCCGTATGCGTGTCAGCAAGAAATTGATTGAGACCTTGAAGGGCGGCGAGCTTTCCTCCGAAACACTGACTTGTTGTCTTTCCTCTTTCCGATCTTTGATGGAGAGCAGCATGTCTCCTGATCTCCTGCGATCCTTTGCCCTATCGATAACATACACTCTTCATCTGCCCAAGCCCACGTCTACCCTGAAAAGAGCAAAAAGCTTGCGATTTGCAGCAGCGTCCTCTAGACCTAGCTCGTCGAAGTCAAACCCCGAGAATCACCTCTCGGCTACTGCGCAGGGAATTGAAATGCTACGGCTGTATGCAGCAGTTTTATGCAATCAACATGACTCGGCTCCTTTGAAGAAATTCGCGAAAGCAGTCACAAACAAGGTTTGTCATCCTAGTTGGCTTCCAATTCAAGCCCCAATGCTGACAAATTATTTTACAGTGGCTCCTTTATCTCTCGTGTGAAGATGAACCCGAGGTTGTTGTTATGGCAATCAAGATTCTGGCTCGGCTATTAGTAGTCCATGGCAGTGGATACAGCAAGAAGTTTTCAGACAAGAATGGCGGATACATCATCTTGGAACATCGCCTAAAAAGATGGTGGAATATTCCGGCATTGTGGCCCGTTTGCTTCGCCATTCTATTTGGACGAGACATTGCATTATTAGACCTTGAACAGCCCTTTGACGCCCCTGGACTTCTTAAACTGTTCCTGAGTGATGGCGACCTTCGTATAGTCTATCCGGAGATGCTCCCTGTCATTGCTGGTCTGTTAAAGAGTGGTCTGAAGAGCATCGTTTTAACGGACGATGTTGTTGCTGAAACAGCAACACAGAAACACAATCTTGATTCTAAGGGTCTTAAATTGTCATCAATGAACTCCCCAGGTATGTGATAGTGAAGCTTTGACTGGAATAACCGCTTTGCTAACCATGAATTTCCCTAGATGCCTCTTTGGAGCAGCGAAAAGCGCAAGGATATTCCATGCTATTGTCCATTGTCGAGTTCTTAGCGCAGGCCCGGTCTATCTCACGGAACTTTCAAGAGTTTACAGATCAATCCAACTATGTCCAGGCAATACTGACAATACTTTACCCCACTGTTGTCAGTTCAGACTCAATTAGTCCAAACACAGAATTAAGCACTCGATATGGTGGGCTCTCATTTGATGACAGCAGTCTTGTGCTGCGGCCACGCTCGAGGGCCACCAGTACAGCAAATGTGCTGCAGACTACACTAGTCGAATTCCCAGCCGCGGCTGAGGATAATTCTGGTCCTTTGCGCCGTGGTTCTTCGTTCATACTTGTTTCCTCGGACAAATCAAAATTTCAGCCATCTTCAGCTCGTATCCGGCGAGTCGTTCACCCCACCTATTCTCCTGGAGGATCCGCGGCAAATCATCCTCTCGTCAACGCTATATTTGGCTTGGCTCTCACAATATTTGAGGATCATCTGTTAGAACGGAAAGAATTCTCGGGCTTTGGACTTTATCATAAGACTCCACCTGGATTTTTGGAACATCAAGCATTCTTCAACTCTTGGATTTTCAATCGCCTCCTTTTGACTTTGAAAGATCTACCCACCACCAAACCTCATCTTCTTGAGGAACCTCGTACTCTTACCAATATCTCTCGCTTGGCAACACACCTTGCAGAAGCTGTCTATGAAGGATGGTTCATTGATGGGGCAACCTCCAGCCTTGAATTCCTTGGGTCAATCCTGGAATACATCCAGAGACCAGATGTCTCGAGCATGAAGAGTATTCGACTATGTAACCAAGCAGTTGCAACTATACATTCTGCATTATACAGAATCGTTCTCCTCCAACTGTCAGAGGCAGACGAGAATGAGACTTTAACTGTGTTGAAACGTTTGAACTATTGGCAGGTAGTGCTTCTCGCAGCAGCGGAGATTGAAACACAGCATATCCAATTGCTTTTCTACCTGCTGTACAGCAAGTTGATAGGCACTGGAGAGCAGATTCGTCTGGCGGCTGTAAGCCTTTGGAGAATAATTTTGGTACAAAAGCCCGATGAGGTCTCTGATCTACTGGGCCATGGGCCTCCAATTCTACAACGTCGACTTGCGGATGGGTTCGAAGCTCTGGCGGGAATGGATGATGAAGCTTTCTTGCGTTGGATTGATGACGAACGTGATGATCTCGATGCTCTTTTCTTCGGCATCATCGCTCGATCATGGGAAGTATTTGTTCAAGAGGAGAATACAAAGGGTGAGGAATCTGCGAAATCCCGAATGGCAAAGCGCAAGGAAAAGCTCAAACAATGGGCCCAGCTGGAGAAGTTTGATGAAGACGTCACTCGTAAGCATGATGCCACTCTGCCTCATTGGGTCTCCAATATTTCATCATCAGAAACTCTCAAATCCCAAAGGTTTTTACAAGATCTTCAGGATAACTCAGCTTTCATGTGGTCTGCGCTCTCCAACCTGCTACTAGATCTCCGCCGACTAGGCGGTCTTCTCTCTGACAAGAAAGAGAGGAAGTACAGACTAGATCAGACCGAAGGCCGCAGTCGTATGCGATTACGTGTCGTTCCAGATGAGTCAGATGACCGCCAAGACTATCAGCCCAAGCGCAAGGCTTCTGAGCCCCCAGTGCTGAAGATTGACACTCGAGTGCGGGCGTTGTCGGAAGGTGAAGCTGTGGGAACACCAACGGCACTAACAGAGGAGCCTGAGGCTGTTGAATACGAGGGGCAAGATGCCGACGCTGATAACCGCAGCATGCTGGAGGAGAACTTTGAAATGATCGATGACCCCAAAGTCGAGATCGAAGAGTACGAAGACAAAAACCGCAGGGTAATGCGCTCGCTTCAACGAGGGGATCAGGTACAGAATGTTTGCAACCAGTCTCGAATCATTGGTCTGGAAGCCGTCGAGGGCCTTTTGATACTTGGCAAAGACTGCATCTACATTCTAGACAACTTCTTCCAGAGAGCCGATGGTGAGATTGTCAATGTTTGGCAAGCACCTTCAGAGGAACGGGATCCCTATGTGCGGATGATCGCTGGGCGAGAATCCAACGACCGTCGCTCTCAAGAACATGAAACACGAAGTTGGAAATGGTCTGACTTGGTCAGCGTCTCCAAGAGACGTTTCCTATTCCGTGACGTTGCTCTCGAAATATTCTTTACTGATGGAACCAGCTACCTGTTGACCTTTTTCTCTGCTCGAGTCCGAGACGAGCTATGTACTCAGCTCGGCAACCAAGCTCCTCAGGTCACTGGAAGCGTTGGGCACTCGCGGCCGGAGGATATCTGGCGTTATGAGACTCTGCGTAGCCAAGATGATGCACCACAATCTCTTGGGTCTAAGTTTGCAAGTGTATTTGGTCATCTTCCCTCCAGCCCAGCGACGCGAAAATGGGTTCGTGGCGAAATTTCCAATTTCCATTATCTCATGTTGATCAATACGCTCGCTGGCCGAACGTTCAACGATTTGACGCAGTATCCAGTTTTCCCATGGGTTCTCGCAGACTACACGAGTGAGGAGCTTGATCTCTCTAATCCCAAGAGTTTCCGTGATCTATCCAAGCCCATGGGTTGCCAAACCCCAGATCGTGAAGTCGGGTTCCGCGAACGATACAATGCCTTCGCAGAGATGGGTGATGACGACTCTCCCCCATTCCATTATGGAACGCATTATTCGTCTGCTATGATCGTCAGCTCATACCTTATCCGTTTGCAACCCTTTGTCAAGTCATACCTGCTACTGCAAGGTGGCACATTTGACCATGCAGATCGACTCTTTTACTCAATCCGGAAAGCATGGGAATCCGCCTCTCGGGGAAACATGACTGATGTTCGTGAACTGATTCCGGAGTTTTTCTATCTCCCGGAGTTCCTGGTGAACTCAAACAAGTATGATTTCGGGATACTACAGAACACAAGTACAGTCATCGATTCTGTTGAGCTCCCGCCATGGGCTAAAGGGGATCCTAAGATCTTCATTCAGAAACACCGTGAGGCTCTTGAGAGTCCATATGTATCTGAAAACCTTCACCATTGGATTGACCTTGTGTTCGGTAGCAAGCAGAAAGGCGAGGCTGCCGTCGAGTCGGTCAATGTTTTCCATCATCTCTCGTACAAGGGTGCAAAAGATTTGGATGCCATCGATGATCCAATGGAGAGACTGGCGACTATCGGCATCATTCATAACTTTGGTCAAACGCCTCATCAAATTTTCCAGCGAACTCATCCCCAGAGAGAAGAGCAGCGCCATCGAATTCCTCGACTGGATACTCTTGCAGAGTCATTGACCCAGATGCCACTTTCACTTCTTGGTATGTATCGGGCTGAGTGCCCACTACTTGTGATTCTAACTAACATGTTGTTTATTTCCAGATATCGAAGAACGCGTGAACACACTCTCTATGAAGCAGGATCGTCTACTATGTACAGCTGCACTTAGGTTGAACGTGCCTCCCACATATGATCAGTACATGGAATGGGGATTCTTTGATGGCAGTGTTCGGTTCTATTCTACGGATAATCGCAAGCTACTCGGCCACTTTGAGCATCTTCATGTTGGCCAGCTCTCCTTAGCCAGCTTTGCAGATTCACGCACTCTCATTACATGTGGCACCGACTGCACCATCTCTCTATGGACGGTTACCTCAACATCTCGATCGGTTGATTTGCAACCCGTCGGGTCTCTTTTTGGGCATCGTGCTCCAGTTTCTGTCCTTGCAGTTTCCCGGTCATTCAGCACCTTGCTATCAGCCTCCAATGATGGCCAGATCATGCTGTGGGATTTGAATCGACGATGCATCGTACGAGCTCTGCCTTCCAGTGGAACAGTTGATGTAAGTTCTTATATTCTGTGGAATTATACCATGGTACTAATTCTTTGCCTTCTAGTGTGCGCGAATCAACGACGTGACTGGCGACATCATTGTGTGTCGGGGCAATCGCATCACCATGTATACCTTGAATGGCGAGGTTCTCGTCGACCAGCCGGTCTGTGAATCCAGCGATGACCACGTCCTGTCCTGCGTCTTCTACGAGGGCGTCCAAAACGAATGGCTCGAACGAGAGCTTGTATTGACGGGTCACAATCGAGGCGTGGTCAACATCTGGGCCAAGAATGTCCATGATGGACGATTTGAACTGGAACTGATCCGGCAACTACATCATACAGACAACACCCGCGACACGGGTGCCAACATCTCTGCCGGAATCAGTTGTATTTTAGCACTCCCTCAAGTTGTTTATACTGGGGATGAGGTTGGCCGCGTGGTGAGTGATTTAATTTCCTTTCAAGATATTTTCTTATTCGGCCCAGACTAACCACATGACCTAGTATGAGTGGAACTGCATCCAACGCCGTTGATCCGCGGAGGTGCAATTCCAATTCCAATTCCCGATAACTGCGGCTATTGAAGGTGTATGGACTTTTGTTTTTTTTTCTCCATCTATTTCGTACACGAGTACTTTTTCACGAGGGATTGATTCCCTACATACAAAAGGAGGAGTGACGTTAGAGCACATGGCGTTTTTTGTTCCTGTTTTTAAATTCTTCAACTGGGTGATTCCCTGTTTTTTATTCTGCATTTATTTTCTAGCCGCATTTCTGGACCGTTCTATCAATCCGGGGTTGTTTAACGCTGCATACAAAATAGCGGGAAATGGAAAGCATATTGCCCACGGATCCCCTCAGTCGTGGAGTAGATGGTGAGATTTAACCGGCTCCCGGTGAGGGACAGTGCAGGCCCATTATACACTCAGTGGGCCGTTGGCCGGTCGACCATACTCCGGGCTGGCAGTATCGGAGCACACTGCGCCGACCTCTTGGTCTCACAGGGTCTCTCCCCAGAGTACTATATAGAATTGATAAAAGATATAGAATTGATCGAACTAATGAAGTAAATTGGTGGTAAGGTATTCCGGATTAAAGGGAAATATTCCAATGGGAATCCGGTTCCTGGAGTTTATCATTATCAAATTGGAGGGGTAAGATAGAAAAGTATCAAGGCAAATATTGGTGATTTCATTGTGCAGCGTCATATTTGCCCCACTTTCATCCCACCTGGTTGAGAATACCATTAGGTACTTAGTTTAACTATGGGATTCCCATATATAACACTTGTACCTCCCGTATTAGCTCCCGCCTTTCGGTTCCCCATGGATTGCCTCTAAATACTCTTACGTCGCCACTTTTCTCTCCAACTCTTTTGTCTTTTCACATCAATTCCAATCTCTTGCTTCATATCAAAATGTCTTCTTCTCTTGAGCAGCTTAAGTCCACTGGCACCGTTGTCGTTTGTGACTCTGGTAAGTCCCACCGATCATCCCATGCATGCATTGAACTCCCCACTAATTTGCTATAGGTGACTTTGCCAGTACGTGTTTCCCTGCCCCTTAAGTGGCAATGAAAAATATCGATGATCGATTGTGACTACGTTCTTATGTGGGATACAGCTAACATGTAATAGCCATCGGCAAGTACAAGCCCCAGGATGCTACCACCAACCCCTCCCTGATCCTGGCTGCTTCCAAGAAGCCCGAGTACGCTGCTCTGATCGATGCTGCCGTTGCCTACGGCAAGCAGAACGGCAAGTCCGTCGATGAGCAGGTCGATGCCACCCTGGACCGTCTCCTGGTTGAGTTCGGCAAGAAGATCCTGGAGATCATCCCCGGCAAGGTCTCCACTGAGGTCGATGCCAAGCTGTCCTTCGACACCGAGGCTTCCGTCAAGAAGGCCCTCGAGATCATTAAGGTGTGTACACGAAAACATTGTGATTCATTGAATCTTCCAAGATGACAATTACTGACAATGACAACAGCTGTACGAGGACAACGGTATCTCCAAGGACCGCATCCTGATCAAGATCGCCTCCACCTACGAGGGTATCAAGGCTGCCCACATCCTGCAGTCCAAGTACAACATCAACTGCAACCTGACCCTCATGTTCTCCCTCGTCCAGGCCATCGCCGCCGCCGAGGCCGGTGCCTTCCTCATCTCCCCCTTCGTTGGCCGTATCCTTGACTGGTACAAGGCCGCCCACAAGCGCGACTACACTGCCCAGGAGGACCCTGGTGTCAAGTCCGTCCAGGACATCTTCAACTACTACAAGAAGCACGGTTACAACACCATTGTCATGGGTGCCTCTTTCCGTAACACCGGCGAGATCACCGAGCTTGCTGGCTGTGACTACCTGACCATCTCCCCCAACCTTCTGGAGGACCTGTTCAACTCTACCGCTGCTGTGCCCAAGAAGCTCGATGCTGCTAGCGCCGCTTCTTTGGATATCCCCAAGCGCGAGTACCTCCACCACGAGGCTGAGTTCCGCTTCGACTTCAACGAGGAGGCTATGGCCGTTGAGAAGCTCCGTGAGGGTATCTCCAAGTTCGCTGCTGATGCAGTTACCCTTAAGGAGCTCCTCAAGGCCAAGATCCAGGCTTAGATTGATTCCCCCCCTCTTTGTTTCTCTTTGAACCCTTTGTCTAAGTTATGATTTGTAAATTGGCGATCCTCAAAAATGCTGGAATCGGTAGATATGAATTGATGAATCTATGTTATCAATATTAGCCTGGCTATTTCTATATTTTCTTCATGGTTCGTAGCTTCAGAGTAGCACCACTGCCAGTGGTATAACATTTCAAGTTGCATCTGAGTCATCAATTGTATTGATACTACCATAGGTACCTACTAGTAGTAGCACTGGCATGTCTTAGCTCTCAGGTGGGAGTCCACTTGAACTGACAATTCTCCTATATCCGACACTCGGTCGTTCGGCGTTCACATATCCGTGAATCTGGACCAAGTCGGCTTATTCAGAACCCCGCAGTTGCTTACCCCCCAAAGTGCCACGATGACGAAGCATGACATGAAGTACATGAATTGAAAGATGTATACCCATTCTCTCAATCAATAGTAGTAAATGATAGTGTGTAGTGAATTCAATCGACTCATCTTCGCCTCCTTATAGCTACTAGGGGTCTATATAGTAAGAAAATGCGGAATTATGTCATTACAAATTCCCCTTTAAGGAAGGTGGGGTATGTTTTGGTCTGGTAATGAGGTATCGGGTACATGTTTTCACCAGCAAAATTAGCCGTAAGCACTAAGTAACGGGTACCTGCCCCTCAAGCTTCCGGTAACGCAGTCACGTCAACATCATCCACTTATTATTCTGCTACTCCCGTCTTCTCTCCTCTTCTTCCCCTCCTCAAGCTCTTCTCATTACCTTCTCAAACCAATTTAATTCAATTAAGAATTCATAACCGTCAAAATGGTCAAGGCTGGTAAGTGTCAAGCATGATCTTTTTATACTTCCTACTATTGGATCTTCCCCCGTCCCCACGTTCCTCGTGGCGAAAGGACCTTGGAGAGTGAGCACATTTGAGCACCTTGGGGATCAGCTCGAACCTATCGGCTTTGCTCCCTCATAGCTCCACCAGCTCAGATATACTCTCCAGGGTACTCCTGCGGCAAGAAGAGCGCTGGTTGGTGTCTGAGTGCGGGGGAAGATGGTTCATTCAGATTGTGGTGGGATGGATCACCTTCTGGAAGCTTGTACAAGCTTATTTATCATTATTTATCAATTAAATGAGCTTCAGGGAATCCCAGGCTAATATATACCAGTTGCTGTTATCCGTGGTGACTCTAAGATCGCCGGTACTGTTACCTTCGAGCAGGCCGACGAGAGCGCTGCTACCACCATCTCCTGGAACATCACCGGCCACGACGCCAACGCTGAGCGTGGTTTCCACATCCACCAGTTCGGTGACAACACCAACGGCTGCACCTCCGCTGGTCCCCACTGTAAGCCATTCGGAATCGTTCCTGATCAACTACAGCTCGAAACTCAGATCTAACGATCTATAGTCAACCCCCACGGAAAGACCCACGGTGCTCCCACCGACTCTGAGCGTCACGTCGGTGACCTCGGTAACTTCAAGACCGATGCTGAGGGTAACGCCGTTGGCTCCGTTCAGGACAAGCTTGTCAAGCTGATTGGTGTTGAGAGCGTTCTGGGCGTAAGTTCTTCTCGTCTTTGCATTCCAGATATACCCGAAATATGGATTGCGTGATTGGAATCAATACTAACACAATATCTTAGCGTACCCTCGTCGTCCACGCCGGTACTGACGACCTTGGCAAGGGTGGTAACGAGGAGTCCAAGAAGACTGGTAACGCTGGTCCCCGCCCTGCTTGCGGTAAGTCATGATCCCCTGGAGTATATAACCCCTCCAGAATGAAGTACTAATGCATGTAATAGGTGTCATCGGTATTGCCGCTTAAATTAACTGAACCAGCTCCGAGTCTTCTCCCCATGTAGTTGGGCTCTTGATATCCCACCATCTTGTAGCAAGATGAAAAGTTCAGGATAGTCCCTGGCTAGGATGAGATGAATTGAATGCCATTTATTTTATTGTACGATTGATATATCCTTATGTGCACGTGCCATTGTATAGTCTCAACTCCCCTTATACTTCCTTAGATGGTGTGGTCAGTGCTCAGACCGCTTTCCCCCACAACACCGGCCACGTTGCCTCCGAAGCTCCCTTTTCTCCAACTTCGTTCTCTAAGGGTTCAATTCCTCCTTCTTGTTCTGTTTTTTATTTTTCTACCATAATTACTTGCTATCTATTCGTGATAGCAGACCCTTTTCCCTCAACATGCCTTTCGAAGCTCGCGTCAAGTCTGTCCTTTCAGGCGATACTGTCGTGCTGTCGCATGTGACCAACCCTACACAAGAGCGCATTCTGAGCCTTGCTTATGTGTCTGCTCCCCGATTAAGGCGAGAGGGTGATGAGGTATGTAGTATACCCTGTAATGTTAATTGCATGCCGTGGAAGTGCGACCACAATTCTAGCTCCATTCTTTGCACGGGGCTTCCCGTCACCAGGAGCTTTGAGAGACCCAGATCCCCCATTTATTCACAGTCCCCTGAGTGCGAGTGAGCTAACAATTCTTCTCCATTGGTACAGGTATATGGATTCCAGTCTCGTGAATTCCTTCGTGAACTCCTGGTCGGCAAGGTGATTCAGTTCCACGTCGTGTACACTATCCCCACGGGCGCCAAACGCGAATATGGTATTATCAAACTGCCTGGCTTTGATGCTCAATTGCCCGATATCAGTGTCCAAGAAGGATGGAGTCGGGTCCGTGAGGAGGCAGGCAAGCGCAGTGATGAATCAGAGGAAACAATTGAGCTCCTTGGTCGATTGCGGGCGCTGGAGGAACTGGCTGAGAAGGAAGGCAAGGGTGTCTGGGCATCTTCTTCCAACGGCCAGATTGAGACAAGCTATGAACTGTCAAATGGTTCGGCTTTGGTATCAAAGTATAAGGGTCAGCAGCTAGAAGGTATTATTGAGAAGGTCCTGAACGGTGACCGTGTTGTACTGCGTCTGCTGTTGTCCCCGGAGGAGCACCTGCAGGCTGTAGTTGCTGTGGCTGGTATCCGGGCACCTGCAGCTAAGCGCACAACTGCAGAGGGCAAGGAACAGGCTAGTGAGCCATTCGGTGATGAGGCACAGCAGTTTGTGGAGACTCGATTGTTGCAGCGTAAGGTGAAGGTTTCATTGCTCGGCGTCACCCCACAAGGCCAGCTTGTCGCTACACTACTGCACCCGATGGGAAACATTGCGCGCTTTGTTCTGGAGGAGGGTTTGGCCCGCTGCCAAGATCATCACTCTGCTCTTCTCGGCGCCGATATGGCTCTTCTCCGCCAGGCTGAGAACACTGCCAAGGATTCTCGCAAGGGTATTTTCACTGGTCACGTCGGATCCAAGGCCAGTGCTGCCGCTGCCGACTACACCGTTACCCGAGTCTTGAACGCTGATACTATCTTTGTGCGCAACAAGGCTGGTGATGAGAAGAAGATTAGCCTTACTAGCATTCGTCAGCCTAAGCCATCTGACCCTAAGCAGGCTCCTTTCGCTGCTGATGCTAAGGAGTTCCTGCGAAAGCTGGTTATTGCTAAGCACGTTAAGGTCACCGTTAACGGCAAGAAGCCTGCTACTGAGGGATACGAGGAGCGTGAAGTCGCTACTGTGATTCAGGGCAACGTCAATGTTGGTCTGTCTCTCGTGGAGGCTGGTTACGCCTCCGTTATTCGCCACCGCATGGATGACGATGACCGATCCCCCGACTACGATTCTCTGCTTGTTGCAGAGGCTGATGCACAGAAGGAGGCCCGTGGTATGTGGTCACCAAAGCCACCCAAGGGTAAGCAGATCGTGGATTACTCCGAGAATGCCCAGAAGGCCAAGCTTGAGGTTGGTGTGTTGCAGCGCTCTAAGCGTATTCCTGCTGTTGTCGACTTTGTGAAGTCTGGCTCCCGCTTTACCGTCTTGGTCCCCCGTGAGAACGCCAAGTTGACTCTTGTCCTGTCCGGTATCCGTGCCCCCAAATCTGCCCGCGGGCCGGGCGATGCTGGCGAGCCCTTCGGCCAGGAGGCCCATGATCTGGCCAACCGTCGCTGCATGCAGCGCGATGTTGAGATTGACGTTGAGACCGTTGACAAGGTCGGTGGTTTCATTGGAACCCTCTACGTGAACAAGGAAAACTTCACCAAGGTCCTGCTGGAGGAAGGTCTGGCTACTGTTCACGCCTACTCTGCTGAGAAGTCTGGTCACGCCAACGAATACTTTGCCGCTGAAGAGCGTGCTAAGGAGGCTCGCAAGGGTCTCTGGCACGATTGGGACCCCAGCAAGGCGGCCGCCGAGGCCGAGGAATCAGAGACTGCCAACGGCACTGGTAACGAGAGCGAGGCTGTCTCTACTCAGCGTCGCAAGGACTACCGTGATGTTACCGTCACCTTCGTTGACCCTGCTTCTGGTCGTCTCAAGCTCCAGCAGATTGGTACTGGTACCAGCGCGCTCACCGAGCTCATGTCCGCTTTCCGTGCATTCCACCTGAACAAGTCCAACGACACTCCTCTGTCTGGTCCCCCCAAGGCCGGCGACTGGGTCGCTGCTCAGTTCACCGAAGATGGCAACTGGTACCGCGGTAGAGTGCGCCGCAACGACCGTGAGAAGCAGACCTCCGAGGTGCAGTACGTTGACTTCGGTAACTCCGAGTCCCTGCCCTGGTCCAGCCTCCGTCCCCTCGAGTCCCAGTTCTCAAGTCAGAAGCTTCGTCCTCAGGCCGTTGATGCGGTCCTTTCTTTCTGTCAATTCCCCACCGCCCCCGACTATCTTGAGGATGCTGTGAACTTTGTTACTGACCAGGCCTTTGACCGTCAACTCGTTGCTAACGTTGACTACGTTGACTCGGACAACACTTTGCACGTTACTCTTCTGGACCCGGCTGTGTCTAAGAGCCTTGACCAGAGCATCAACGCTGACATTATCGCTGAGGGTATGGCCATGGTTCCTCGCAAGTTGAAGGCTTGGGAGCGCGCTTCGCCTGATACTCTGGAGACTCTCCACTCTTTGGAGGATGAGGCTAAGAGCGAGCGTCGCGGTATGTGGGAGTATGGTGATCTGACCGAGGATTAAATTTACAATGTTTTCAATTCTTTTTTATTGCTCTAACTATCCATGATGAGAAATTGCTTCTGGGATTAGTAGCGCGTTCTGTACAAAATCTTCAAATGTTATTCTGAATTGATCCTCTCCGGGGGATAAAAGACATCTTGTGCCATATCCATATGTATGATTCTTGAGTAATTTGAACTTAATCAAATCAGCCTTGACTGGAAGTCAGTACAAACTTCAATATTATATAGTAGACACCGATGTCAACTGGTCGATCTCTTCTTGATAAAGGGTCTTCAGATTAGGTTTGGTTGAAGATCTATGCAGCTTGAGACCAGTTGAACAAGGACTCTTTATTTGATAGTATAAGGATTAATATCTTTTAAATTCTATTAGCAAATAATATAGAAAAATCCCCAAGTATAATAACTCCATAATATACCCCATATTCCCATAGTTGAAGAAATCCGAAGCATCCGAGATCTCGGGGTCAGCATCTAGGGTCTCCGAACTCCGCAAATTTCAAGTTTATTATGTTCAAAGTTGACCGCCCTCTCTTCCTCCCCGAATCTCTCCCTCCATGAATGATCAACAACCCAAAACTTAATAAAATTTCAGGTTAAAAGAAAGAAAATTATACGTCATGCTTTGGCGAACAAAGTCCCACCACAGTCAGGCCTCCGAGGACGCCTCCCTCTCCAAAACAGCGTCCGCATCCAAAAATGACCCTGCCGCATCCGCCACCGCGGCGGCGGGCACTGAATGGTTGGCCGGTCACTTGAACCACCTTACACCAGAACAAGAAGAGAAACTGGCACAGTTTAAGACGGTCTGTGCTGAGCGTGGTTACTATACTGCTGCTGTGGAACCAGCTGAAGGCGTGGAGGAGAAGCCTCCTAGCCATGATGATGCGACAATGCTGTATGTTGTACCTCTATCGCTACATTGATGTGGTGAACCCTTGAGCCGTATTTGTATTGGTCTGAAATAATATTGGGATAATATGCTAATTTGCTCCTTATCTAGTCGGTTCTTGCGAGCCCGAAAGTTCGATGTCGAGGGTGCGTGGGGTCAATTTAAGGATACGGAGGACTGGCGCAAAGAAAATGCCATTGAGTCGCTTTATGCGAATATTGGTGTGGACTCATATGAGGCTTCCAGACGGATGGTGAGTTAATTGGATTACATACTCATCCTATTTATGCTGGATGTTTTGAGATGGCAGAATGGTGATCACTAACGTTTGTTTGGAATTCTATAGTACCCGCAATGGACTGGTCGTCGTGATCGCCGTGGTATCCCCGTTTACGTTTTCGAAATCCGTCATTTGAACTCAAAGGAGATGGCGACTTATAACGCGAACATCAATAATGGTACACCGGAATCTCACAAGTCCTCATCTGTCCCCGCGCGCCTGCTCAACTTGTTTGCTTTGTATGAGAACTTGCTTGGCTTCGTTATGCCTCTTTGCTCTGCTTTGTCTAGACCTAACCCCGAGACTCCTATTGTCACCTCGACCAACATTGTGGATGTTAGTGGAGTTGGATTGAAACAGTTCTGGAATTTGAAGAGCCATATGCAGGACGCGAGTGTGTTGGCTACTGCTCATTACCCTGAGACTCTTGATCGGATCTTTGTAAGTGCATTCTCATTCTCACAGTATTTGCCTAAAAGAACAATGATTAACAATGCATCAGATTATCGGTGCCCCTGCTTTCTTCCCTACCGTTTGGGGCTGGATTAAGCGCTGGTTCGACCCAGTCACTACCTCCAAGATTTTCATTCTCTCCGCTTCAGAGGTCAAGCCAACCCTCGCATCCTTCATGGACCCTTCCAGTTTCCCAAAGCAATATGGTGGCGACCTGGAGTGGCAATGGGGCGACCTTCCCAACTTGGACGAACCAGCCAGCGAGCTACTGAAGGGTGTGCAGACAGGCGAAAAGACGGACATTATCAAGGGTCCGATGTTGTTCCAGGGTGATCAGATCGAGGTCCTTGGTTCCGAAGATGGCAAGGAGCGACGGAAGACCGTGCCCGTTCCTCAGTCCCCCGCCCCCGCAGAGTCCTCAAGCAGCGATGCTGATTCCACACCCGTTCCCACGGAGAACGAGAAGATCGCTGTGAACGTTGATCAAGTCTCTACCGAGGAGACTCAGACTACTACTGTGGCGGCATAGACGCATGGAGTAACCGCAAGGGGTGAAAACGAGTTTCCGCACAAGATGTAGATCACAGATCTCAACCGCCGAGGCTTTCGATATGAGAATTCGTGTCTGCCTGGAAGCTTATTTGATTTTTCTGATTACTATCTGGGATTTTGCATGTGCAGTTGCATTAGACTGGAGGAGTGGTTTAAGTACCAACATTTTGTCATTTGTCTGCTGTTTCGGGTTTTCTTATTAACTTCTTCAGACTCATTTTTGTTGTATGTCATTGATGAGCTTCTTTCATATGATCATGATTCATCTGCTTTTCTTTTTTCTTTTTGCCTAGATAAGGATACGTTGGGCTTGATTGTCGGGGTTATGATTGTCTCCTTCGGCTATGTTTATGTTATATTCCCAGTTGTCAACACTTGAGTTGGTGGAGCTTGAATTTCCGGTCAATAGAATCTGTCTATGTTTATTTTCGACGTTGCATTAGTCTTTTCTTTCTTTCTTCCTCTCTACGAGCCTTTGAGATAGTCCGAGTGCTATATACGCTGCACCTCAGGCTGTCTGATTGAATGGAATCCCTGCCTCTTTGGCGATCTTAACTTGAATTTCATGCAGTTTCAAGTTTGGACTGGTATCTAAAAGCCTAGGCTTACACCTTTACTTACATATTATGATATCATGTGCTTGATTCCGAGTCTCTTTTCCCATGGTGCTGAAGGTTTGGTCGGGACTGGACCGACAAATCCACTTGATCTAAATATCAAATTTCCTTTTATCTGATTAAGCAGAATACATTTTGTCATAAATTCAAGTTCAGGGGCATCGGGCATTTCTTGTGTGACTACGGATACGATGACATTACCTAGTATAACCCAATATTCTCTATAGATAGTTCAAGTTGTATACATCTCACTAGAGAAAAGAATCTTGACTAGAATCTCCAGGCTTCAACATCATATGGTATCATCTTCACATATGAACCCGCATGAACATGATGGACCCCCGAACTAGACCCAAAGTGGTTATAATGCTCCGTGCATGACTCTAGGATCCACCAGATTCGAGTCTAAGCGCCAAAGAAACGTTGGGGAAGAAAATAATTCCATCAAATAAGATCGACAATAGGAGACTCCGAGGCTCCTTTTTGCGGGTGAAGTGGAGATTCACATGATGCCGTGGTTCAGGGGATCGACACTCTACTATCATTACTAGTGAGTGGTAGTGACTCCCTAATTCTTTAAATACCCACGCCACCCCGGATTTCCCAGAACCCCCAGAATTCAAACAATCGACGGACTTGGATTCAACAATCACAATTCAAGCGTTGCGGTGCGCACTCACCTATGTGCAAACTCGATACTAGTACACCATGGTCGAACGAAACCCTAATGACTCAATGAAGTCCACCTGGCGCCGTATGGCCCGCTCAGAGTGGACGCCTTTCCACTGGTTCTTCGAATTAATCGACGTACACCCGGAGAACCTCGAACAAGAAGTCCCCATCCACCTAAAAGAAGACGCAGTCCCCTATGTCCCAGACTGGTCCATGCACCGCTGGGTCATCGTCCACTCCGTTATTCCACTCCTGATCCAGCAAGCCTACATCTACTGGACAGGTCACAATTTCGGTGCCATAGCCGCATTCATCTTTTACGGCTTTGCATTCAAAGCAATCGCCATCCACGAACTACACGTTCTCCGCCGTCTGGGCCACATTCACGGCTTCCTGGATGGTGACAAGCACGCCCGCGATGGCGTCCCAGACATCGGGGTTGCGAAAGTTGTTCGCTCTCTCCTCTCAACATCTACCTTCCGGCCCATGTTCACAGTCTTCTTCGCCTATAGTACTAGTCAAACACCCGCCGACATGAGTTTCCCATGGCTATTTGTTGAAGTAGGATTATACGGGATTATCCTCGACTTCTGGTTCTACTGGTATCATCGTGTTATGCACGACTTCGAGCCCCTGTGGCAGTACCACAGAACACACCATCTCACTAAACACCCGAACCCGCTCCTAACACTTTACGCTGATCTGGAGCAGGAGTTCTTTGATATTGCTGGCATCCCGTTGGCGACTTACTTCACTATGAGGTTGATGGGCATGCCTATGGGCTTCTATGAGTGGTGGATCTGCCATCAGTATGTCATGTATGCTGAGCTTGCGGGTCATTCTGGTTTACGGGTTCATGCTACTCCACCATCGACATTGAGTTGGTTGCTACGGTATTTCAAGGCGGAGCTTGTCATTGAGGATCATGACTTGCATCACCGGAAGGGTTGGAAGAAGAGTTATAACTATGGGAAGCAGACTCGACTCTGGGATCGCATCTTCGGTACTTGCGCTGATCGCATTGAGTCTGTGGATAATAATATCGATTATGTGAATCAGTCGCCCATGCCACTGATCTGATTCTAGTTATGGGGTGGATTCTTCTTTTCTCTGGAGGTTTATCAGATATTCTATATGATCATGCCCGGAGCGAAGCTTTTTTCTCTTAACACAAAACATGAGATGAAAGAGTGGAGTGGATGATTTGCGTATGCCTTGCGTTTGAAACTGCTCCTTCCCTATATTCTTCTTATCCAATTTCTATACCATGCTAGATATTTTATCAATGATTGAATGATGCAATGCCCTTGCCAAAACAAGCTCTCGTCCAAATTTCTTTGAGCAGTAGTGTCTAATATGCAGCAACATGATCAGACTGGCACACTGATATCTTCACTGACATCTTCAGGTGTGATCCTGGCCTTTGCTTCTGTCAACCCCTCAACCAGTGCTCTCATGTTTGGTGGATGTCCTAAGAAATTTTCCAACATGCCCAGTAAATCTTTTTGACTCCCTCCGTACTCCAAAACTCCATGTCGGTATTTCCTCCACTTATCTTTGTTATATGGATCACTTGCGAATACCGAGGTAAACAAGTCTTGAGCCATTGCTGTGCAACTTTAATTTCAAGGTTATTCTGTTAGCTCATCTCCTGTCACATATGAGAATATCTTGGAACATACTAAAGGTAGGCATAGTAACAAACATCATAACCAGCCGTTAGATGGGTAAAAGTCCCAAAGTCATATCCATCCCGGCACTCCGAGAAATCCATACCTTCGATACTTTCACGGACATCATACCAAATCTTCCGCACGTCGAGATTCGCGATCTCCTCATCTGTTCTTAGTGAATGCACTTGAAGATCGAAGACCGAAATCGACCTGTCCAGAGATTAGTCTTGCATATTCCAAGCACGAGAAATTTAGTGAGATCGATGGTTTAAATACAACCTACACTTGGTCCAGATAGTAGAGTCCCGCATTGAAATATCGATGCTTGATGACATTGTCGACCAACTCATCAGGAATGGTCTTCGGTGGATCTGGCTCAGCGGGGTGGTGCGTCCGCCAATCTGCGAGATAGTTCTCATCAAGTGTAGTGTAGTGACAGCTCAGCTCTTTGAGAATATCCTTAATCCAGCACCAGTTCTCTAGCATGACGCTGGGCATCTCGCCAAAATCAGGGGGTAGCCTGTAGCCATGGAAGCGAACGTATTTGGTTTGGGCTAGGAGGTCGTGGATGCCATGGCCCATTTCTATTGTGTGACATGTTAGATATACATGTAATGTACAAGAATAAAATTTTCTAGTCATCTCTGATTGAGACTTACCATGAAATAAAGTCACGACCTGGCAATGCTTGAGCAAGGCACAGCTTGTGGGTGTTGGAGTCGGAAATGAACACATCAGAATTGTCGATGGGTATTGTCTGCTTCCATCTGCTCGTAAATGACCCTATGGATGTTTGATCAGCAAGTAGAAAGAGATAAACCAGGTAAGGGAAGGATTACACATTGAATATTGACACATTGGTTACCCCGATATTTGTTCTCTCTCCATAACAAATCAAAGTAGAGGTATCCAATGAATTCCTGGTTTCTCGTGTCCCAAACCGAGAAAACCTGGACTGTTCCATGCCAGAGTTTATCTTTGAGCATTTCTGCTGGAACAGAATCGAATCGAAGACCCAGAAAAGAAGCAAAAATCCCCAGCATTTTAACCGCAGTGCTCTGCAAGGGGAAGAATTCTGAGATTTTCAGTTGATCAATGTCAAGTTCTTCTTGCAACAGTCGCTCATAGTATCGCTTATCCCAAGGAGGAAATCCTTTATTCATTAGACTCTCACTATCTTTTCCTCTCTCGTGTAGATCTTTCAGTCGTCGAGACTGCATAACTGCAATCTCATCTTGACCAAGAACATGAAGCGGTGGCTGTATCTGGTCCAAAAATTGCTTCACAGAATCCGTGCTCGGTGCAGTCCGCTTCTCTATTCTGAACTCGGCATGAGTATCATACTTCAAAATACGGACCTGCTGCGCACGAAGCTTGACAATCTCTTCAAACAGAGGCTTGTTTTGCTGAAGCTTCTGACCGTCTGCCAGGAACATTGTCTTCCGAGTTTCAGAAGAGTGCGCATATGTTAATACAGCGATGTTTCCTCCGTTTGCGAAAGGAACAAACTTCCTCTTCTCTGAACTCAACTCTTGGTCTTCATCGGATCCTTCCTCTTTCTTTGGCTCATCTTTCCACTTCGCCAACTCGTTTTCTGGAACTCCATCCAGCTCGGCCAGTGTAAAGCTCACGCCTCCAGACTCCCTGGCTATATTCCGCTGGAACTCCTTTTTCAGACTTTCAATCTTCATGAGAGTCTTGTAATACGCATCTTTCTCTGATTGCGATTGTTGTAGGATACCACATCCTTTGTGCTTATACTCGAGAAGCTCCTTATCCAGTAAGTGTTGTGATTCCAAATCTAATGTCTGAAATTCAGGCTTTTCTCGTGCTGCTTGGATGAGCTTGAAAAGGTTCTCATCTAAAGTCCACCCCGCAGAGGCTTCAGTGTACAATTTCTGAGCCTCGCTAACTGCACCTTGGGTTGAAAGGGACGGTGACCCATATTGCAGCATATAAATCATCCCTAACTCCGAGTCTCCTTGAACGGCATTCTCGATCTGAGCTATTGGCAGCATGACATTATCGAATGTTGCAGTGGCAGGGGTAACATCTCGAAGAATTTGAGCGCGAGTGGTATTGTACTTTTCGATGATTTTTTTCATCGTTGGAACAATTTCCTCGGTGGTCAAGACCCGAGGAAGTGGTTGTGGCAGCGTCATTTTGAACTATGTTACAAGAGCACTTGAGAATTCAAATGTTGCTTGAGTGTTGGATCTCTTCAATGCAGGTTGAGCTGAGACCCTTGGAAATGTGCATTCAAATGTTGAATTCTCCGAGTCAATCACCCCCTGGGATTGGTGCTAATTCTAAAGAAAACAGAAGGAACAGAAAATTGGCGAGTCCATTAGACCTGGTATCACTAGTAGACCTGATGTAGTGGGGAGAGCGAGGTCAGCAGGTCATCCTGGCAGCAGGGATCAATTACTAGTCATTACTAGCTATTACTAGTCCTAAAGGAGTGTATAGTAACCCTTTGAAAGATAGAGAATTATATCTGGTATCTTTTCGAAAAATAATCCCAGCTCTGACACTTTCAAGTTGAAGGATCAAGAATTAATAATCTGCGTTCAAACATTGAATGTTCCAAGGTTGTTTTGTATCTACATGACGGTAGTGTCATCCACGGATGCAAATAGGTAATGAGCTAGGGTAAGGTATTTGAGATAATAATCATGAAGAATCACATCATTAACTGGGGCTTACATAAATACTAGCAATATCGAACCATGTGACCATTTTAGAAGAAAGATTCAAATCTTATCAGTTCAAATGTTGGACTCGATCAGGTTCAAGTTGGAGAAGATAGGAGGTTCTTTTAAACCCATTCTTGGCTCTACTACTACCAAGTATAAGACATCCAGATGTCGATAATCTTCGAATTGGCCATAGACTCATATGTAGAAATAATCCATTATCATCCTAATTTATGACTCTCTCGTCGCATTATCTCCCGCTTCTACCAATGACGACAAATGTTGGGATCCTACTTAATTTTCTAAACACAATTTCTTTTTTCTATATACTACCACTAGCTGGGTGGCTAGTGTATTCAATGTTTGACTAGTATGGCTTCCAAGGTTATTGGTAAACCTTTTACTAAGGGGCACATGTAGATGCTCTTTGTAAAGTTCTAAGGTTATATGCAAAGTATTGTGCTAGATCTTCTGCACATGTGTGATCTCCCGAGGTCGCCATATTCGCTTTTTCTCTTGTGCCCATTCCTTCCAAAGTTCCGACTTGAAACATGATTTTAGGTGCACTCACCAGGGCACTCATTTTGATACTACCTAATGAATGGATAGTATTCTTTGAGATGACCAGGACTTCGAGTTTCAAATGTTCGAGGGAAACAGCTTGTTCCCCGGGCGTTCGTGTCACACATGCAAGTTCCAGTGAGCAACTTAAGCTTTTGTCCCCCAATACATACTACCTTTAAGCAGACTAGGTCCATAGTGTACATATAGGGTCCTATACTGAGGCATGAAGATTGCTACCTAGGCAGGAGTAAACTTGGAAGGGTTAGTGAGATTTGCGTAAGCACTCAAGGCTGTGGAACATTTGAATTTTTGTCAAACTCATATAGGTTAAAGCATTTTATAAAACCTCCCTATTATCCACATGTGCATTTGGAGGTATTCGCTCGGTGAGAGTGGTAGCACTTGAGAGCATTTACGTCCAGCTTCCTACGCTAGCATGTACCATCAATAGTATGTATCGTAAAGTTCCTGCAAACTCAACCTGGTTAGAGATAGAGAGCCTATCGTCAGGCCTTGAATACTGGTCAGGTCTCGAAAATGTCCTTTTCGTTGATATACTATGTGTTATTGCGACGGCATCACTTCCATTGCGACTTTACACCTATTTGTGTTTGACTCAAAAGAAGGGTGGTTGGGCGCTGATATGGACAACGGTTGCTTGGGTATGTGACCTTCAGCTCTGAAGAACTAGCCCATATGGACCTCACATTTGAACTTCAATCCTTTTAAGTTCAACGTTGATATTGCATACACAAATCAGTAGGTAGAAACTCGGTGAGACAGGTTCTAACTTCATACAGACCGTCGGCATTCCCACCATCTTGATCATGAACCTCGGAGCATACTATCCTGAGCTCAACTGGAACACAACATACCACACTGCAGGCTATTTTTTACTGCAGCTCAGCGCTTCATTTGCGCGGCTTGGTATACTAGCTTATATCGTCGACGTGCAAGCCCAAATTTATACGGCTTGGGAATATGGGATAGGGAGCGTTGTACTTGGGAATGTGAGTCCGCATGGTAGGCCCGGAAGCAGTCATCCTATATCATTTCTACAAGATTATCTGGAGTCCAGACTTCCAACTTGCTCTGAAAGATGCTGAATAGAATTTACTGACTAGTTTGGTCTATCCTGCCTTTATTTATGTGCCCTATGGCTCAAGTCAGTTTGCCAGGCTTTCAGACCAAAACCTGGCTGTAGCCCTCATATTTGGTGCCCTGGGACAGGAATAAACCCCTTTCTGGTCTTTATGCATGGTATTTTACCACTGGCGACTTCAACTCTCTGCTATTACTGATATACGAAGGATGTTTAGCTTGGGGTGGCATGACCGACCTGATACTCGGAATTTACCCGGGATACCTCATTCACAATCTTCGACTTCCATTGAAAACGAAACTGTTAACATGCTTTTTGATGGGTCTGGGTATTGTCGCATCCGTATTTGGGTTTGGTAAAGTGATTTGGCTCTGGATGGACTCTCTTCATGCATATAAAGGTAAGTGATCCAACAATTGGGCGTAGACGGGAAGAAGGCATTATGACTAACATAGGAATTAACTCTCCAGTTATCCCAATTTCGATTGCATGCTTCTACTATGGTGAGCCATGGCTACTGGTGGTTACTACCAGCATAGCTCCTTTGTGGCCACTTCTCAACCGGCTTAAAAAGAAGCAGCATGTGGAATCTATCTATGGAATCTGTAGAATATATGGAGCTCTAAAACTCGAAGCTGTCAATCGACCCTAATGGAAGAATGTCTTTATGATATTTTTTACTGCCAGGGTGCTAAAGTCTACTGAGTACTACTACTAGGTGATACGAACCTTGGAATCGAATATGATGCTTTAGTAGGAAGCTGATTATGTAAACCAAGCATCATTGGTCTAGTGGTAGAATTCGTCGTTGCCATCGACGAGGCCCGTGTTCGATTCACGGATGATGCACATTTCTTTTTTGTCTTTTTGTCTCTTTTTTATCCGCGCAATGGAAAATCAAATGAGAGATGATTTTTGATTAGTAGAGATTCATAAATAACAGGGATTCTGAGGTTCCAAGGTGGGAAAGAGCCCCAGTGGTACTTGTATCTAGTAATTCAGACATAGAGGCAATATGGGCACTAACAGCACATCTTCACACTGACATTCCATTCGATATATAAGTACACATCCTACTATATACTGGATAGTACTAGTAACTAGGAATGGGGATGTTGAGCAGGGTAAGGAGGAGGACCAGCCTCACAGTATTGTTCACTCACACCAGGAAGTACCGAGGATTGTGCAAACCGATTGCCTAGAGCTTCAGACGAGACACTGGGCGTGGGATGACAGTTCTCGGTATTGTGAGGTGATCCAAAAGCTGGTCGCGTCATCTCTGCAGCAGGTTGTGCCTGGGCGGGCATATCTTGTCCCAATTCACCCAGTTGAGCAGTCGCAGCATCAATTTCCTCCTGAGTAGGCATATTGATCACTGTGAGATAGAAAATATCATCTTTCTTCATCTTCTTGACTGTACTCATCAAACCCAAACCTATGTTGTCTGAATTTTTTGGTCGCCCTATCTGCTCCTCCCTTGAGCTTGCGGAGCTGGCTAATCAACATTTGCTGGCGACTAGGCATAGCGATAGCACCACCCGTAACAAGTGATATTAGTGAGCCACTATTTGTGGGGTGATCGGGTCATTGAACCGGGACTTGAAGGGATTGCATTGATCATAGGACATGGCCAGAGAAGTACCTGGCTTATCACGCTCCTTGTGAATCGTTAGTGATTTTGTAATGTGGGACTGATTGAGAGGAATGTACCAGATTTGCATGGGCTTTCCTGTCCATGTAATCTTGGACCCAGTCGCCTGCAACATCCATCTTCTTTGTGAATCCTTGTGGTGCCTCCACATTTTGCTCTATCGCTGCATCCAGATATGGGAAGATCAGTGGAGCCGATTCTGGCAATTGAACATATCTTTTTGTCTGACCGTTTGTCTCTCTGATTTTCTTGACATTTCTCTTCCACCACCCTTGGCTCTCCTGAGGAATATTATGCGATGTAGCTGCCTCGTTGAGATGATCGTATGGATTGCTCTGAATGGTATCATGATCCCCAGCATTTAGATCACTTATATCGACCTTTTCAGTGTGGAATAGTCTTTTGATGCTTCCAAATCCAGAACTGTCATCGTCCTTGAATGCCATGATCATAGCGACCAGACCACAAGGCATGAAAACCTCTTAATTCTTAATTGACTCGGTCGAGAAAAGTGTTAGCACGGTTTCGTGCCTGTAGCTCTTTGGCGATACCGGCCGCTATTTGTACAACCGCGCTGACAATTTGAGCAGTTGCATTTGGAACAAATCCTAGGAGACCAGCGGCAATAAAGGTAACTTCAATGATTGGGTTGACCTAAGTAAAGGTCAGCAGGTAAATTCATTTGTAAATCAGGAAGACAAACATACCGTGTTGGCTTTGTCAAAGCTTTGGATAAATTATAAAAATGTGTCTTGATCAATGCCACTCTCGGCTAGGATGGGGGCATATGCGCGACAAAATCCACGATCTTTCTTTCCAGGGCGACGTTGAGGAATAATCACTGCACAGGGCAGCCGTCAAGGCGGATTCGGTGCTGGCCCGGCCATATTCATGAGTTCGCGGACAAGTCTCTCTCGCTTCTTAATTTTCTCGTCCTAGGTCTGCTCTGCCCCTTCCTCTTCTTCGATATTATCTTTATCAAGAGACTCCTCATAACCAGGAGGCTTTAGTCTCTCTGCCATCTCGTCTAGCTGCCATACAGCTTCATCTTCATGAATGCAATTTGGAACCTCTGAGCCATCTTCTACAAAGTAGCAGCTGGGTGCATATGTCCCAGGAGGTAATTGAACCGGTGTCGTATTATCTTGTTTGGTTGAACCTTTCGAACGACCACGATAGGCGTGAATGGCTTCAGAGGAAAAGCCAAGAACTTTCGGCAGTCCTTTCTTGAGTAACATAATTTCGGATAATAGACTGGATCAATATTTGCAAGCTTCACAGGAGAAGAAAAACTAAAAAAACAAAAAAAAAACAAAATAAGTCAAAGTGCAGACCGAGGGATCTATCGCCATTTATCATCCCCCGTCACCACCTTCAAGATCCACACAAGGGCTTCCTAGTGCAGACTTGCTTTGGAGATGACTGACAACGTGAAATTTGCAACCTATGAAAAAAGCAAGTCAACGAGAGAGAACCCCACCGTCATCAAGTTAGTGGTTGTAGGATCAGCACTATCCATTGGAGAGGCCGTGCCCTTGTTCCGCGCTAGTTGCGCACCCTAAGCACCAAGTTCACCACCTCAATTCCAAATTTGAGTATGTTTCGACTTTCTGATTAGCCAGAAAGAGTTCCAGTAGGGATGAAGGGGCCAAAAATCTTGACCACTTCAGGTTGATCCGTATAATGTGACCCATGAGCTTATTCGCTGGAATTGAAAACATTGAAGCATCCATGGATGAGAAAAACAAGGTTGCAAAATTGTAAAATCTGGATATTTTATAGTATCATATGCTGTGATATGGATATTCTGCGTGGCGCATCATTTTTCAATCTCGTCCACGGGTAAGGTCGCATGTGGAGAACTCTAGAGGTATTTGACACCTATCCTATACTCTTGTCTCATACTAGGAAAAAGAATCGGCGTGGCGACGTGAATATTGATACAAGTTGTGACCTCCATATTATGTTTCGTCACGCTTGAACAGCACATATACGCGGGCCACGCGGATGTACACGCGGCGCTCTTTACTTGGTGATCAATATTTGAACCTCCTTGACCAATCTCTTTTTAAATTGGTTGGATTCAGTCAATTTTAGTGGTACTCGATCGGGAACAAAAGCAGCTTCAACGAAGCTAGTAGTCATTAGTCCATGTTCCCTATTAAAACTCTCAACAGTACCTTCAAATGTTTCAGATAAAAATTCAGCTAAGCAATCTACAAAAGGGTTGATTCATAGTATGTGAAACTAAGTGCCATGAAACCATGGATGTAATATGGATGATGATAGTCAAACTTGATAAACTCAAGTATAGTCCCGACCCTTCTTTATCTGACCCACTGGCACATCATCTGACGAAGTTGCCAGCGCAATGCAACCCACTTCAGCCGTAGGCTCAACATCTCCCAGATATAGCTTCTCATCCTTCAGATGCCTAGTCCACTCATCGGAAGACCATGTCGAGGCCCCGGTAATCCCTGTTATCCTGTTGTTTAGAAAGATAGCAGATACTGACCCCAGAACGTCCGGAGACAACGTCATGATACGCAGAATCGCACCCATTAGTGCAAAGACAAAGATTCCAAATGATGCAATAATGAGCACACCGAGCCAACCCCGGCTACACCTCACAACATCGTGCTGCGTGGTGACTGTAGCATTCAAACTGAGCCGGCCCCCACTAGGCAGATCACTCGAGTCATTGTATGAGCCAGTAAATGCCGAGGGACTAATCCCAAGGTAAAGGGCTGCATTGAAAATCTGGCCTATACGTGTTTCGAATACTGAGCGACCAACTGAATAGACTGACGTCCCCTGATAATTTCCCACGGCGCTAATTGGGTCAATCAGATAGGATATGATGGGTTGCTGGCCACCACCCAATTGTGCATCAGGGAACAACTCGGTGATAACAGTCAGAACTGCATTGGCATCCTCCCGATAGCTGTAGCTATCACCACCCAGGTCAAGAACAGTCCAGTTACCATCTGCTGGCGGAGTGGGCGAGCGGCGGACGGAGGACAGGGTACAAGTGCTACCAGCAGAATTGGAGGAAGAACTCCCGGTACACGTTACATTGACATCCACAAATGTTGTAGTCAGGTCGCACGTAGCCTGAGTATAGAGATCAGGATTGATCCCGTTATTTATAAAGTACCCGTCAGCGGATTCCCATACGAACTTGCGGGCATATCGAGTCCCAGTACCAATGGTCGTGTTGAAGCCAGGGCAGGGGTCTGAAATGGCAATCTGGTATTGAGTGCCCCCTTCAGAGACTATCCAGCTGCAATCTGCGTTGTTGCCAGGCGCAGGAGCACTAGAATTTGTGAAATTGGTAAAGCCGGTCTGATTCACCAGACTAAAATCGGGACAGGAGATAGACAAGTAAGAGCCTGGCAGTGTAAAGGATGTGTTACCCGAGGTAGATAGATCGGCGACCGGGGAACCAACGAGAGAAGCGTAGGTCAACTCACTGTTCGCAGGCATGTCCATCCAGTCAGAGCTGCTGTTTGAGAGGTTTTTGATCACAGGGAAGCGAATATTGCCCCAGAGGTCCTGGTTGCGGCTCCTGAGCAGCGTAGTTGACATTATAGAGGCAATGACAGGATTTGTTATGGTCGTCATAGCCATTTCAGCGCCATCAATAAGACCATATTGATATTCAGTGAATGTATTCGCAGTAGTAAGGTTGATCGAGGTGCTTGGGTAATTGGGCACGATCGAAATAACCCGGAGCGATGCTTGGCTTCCCAGTGGAGACAGACACCATAATATGAGAGTGCAGACAGCAAAAACGTTGAGGGCTCGGAGACGAATCTGGACCAGAAAGGCACTCGAAATCGTCTGGCTGCCGAGACACTGCTGTATAAACCCAATAGTAGCTCCTTGACTAGTCTGGACACGCCAGGCCGCGATGCTTTTCATACTGCTGCCAGCGATGGCAGCAAACAAGACAGGGAAAACAGTAGGTGTCTAAGAGAATGGGTTGCTGTTAGCAAAGACTCGTTATGATGGAAGACAGAAGGAATAGTGAATCCAGATTACGGACATATTGAGACACCGTGAAAAGTTTGGCGCCCATTGTACCTGGACCCGCGGGATCTCCGTCGGCTTGAAGGACCATGATGCCAAAAGCAGCGAAGAGGAGCGCGATCACGGCAATAATCAAATCAAAAGCTAGACGCAAAAGTCTCTCTAGCCAGGAATGATTCAACGACTGCGGTGGGGGTTTGTCGTGTTCATTATTTTTGACCAGCGAATGCTCAACAGTTGCCTGGGCCGCTACTGAATCTTGTTCTTCAGCTGGCACAGCCTCATAAGGGGGCGGTTTTGCACCTCTCATAATTCCAAGGTTAGATCGGTAGTCAAGGAATCCGTCACACCACGATTATGGACAGAAAGGAGTAAATTTGAGAACAGCTGTATATAGAGATGGTCGCTAGAGGCTATCAGGCTGGGGGTTACAGCAGAGTGGGTTTCAGAAAATAACGTAACGAAATAAGAGAGAATGAGAGTGCGATGAACAACCGTGGGCGATCGGGAGTAATTAAAAGGCACTAATTTGGAGGCTTAGATCTAAGGCTTCCAAGATTATTAATAGCAGGGCTCTCAGTATTTGGATGTAAAGGTAAGCATTTTCACCTGCATTTCGTTTTAATACAGTACATTGCGCTTAGACCCGTGGACCTATCAAAGCCTCCAAGCTATCATAAGTAGATTCATAGTCGGGAATCAGCCCTGGAGGCCTGGAGGCATAGCCGCAACCCAATTTGGCTTAGCTCGGGGGAAGCCCGGGGCGTGAGTGGACCCTAAGGGACTTGTACTCCAGGCCTGTATCGTAGCCTGTCGGTGCTTTGTTCTGAAATTTCAATGCAAGTAGGCTATCACAACATAGAATAAGAAAATCTTATATGCCAAATAATTTGTAAAGGAAGCTGTATATAATGGAATGGGAAGATTTCGTACAGTAATTATTTTATAAAGCTGTGTAAATTGTAATCTCAAATGTGTCAAGTTGACCGCCTAGAGCTAGGGCCACTCTGAGGTAGGACTACTGTAGTATATGCATTCACGAACATAGAAACAAAAATCTAGGTTGTTTAAGTTGCCTTCCACAACAGGTTGACTTGCTTCTTGCGGGCCTATAGAAAAGTTGATCAGTAAATTGAAATGCAATGGAAGTGTCAAAGAAAGGGGGAAAGGCGAAGATCTTACCATGGGGGCCAAAAAGGTTACACCAACTGCGCAGGCTACCACAGTAAGGACAAGCTGCAATTTAGAGAAGCTCTTGCCAAGGACATCGAAAGCCTGGCTTGGAGTGGCGCGAGTTCCGAAAATATCACCGCCAAAAGCGAAAATGAGACTGGTACTTTCCAGAAGAGTAGGTTGCGAGAGAACGGTCTTAATACCGGAGACATCTCGCGAGTGTGTGATGTACCACTTGCCATCAAACTCAAGGAAAGGAGCATAGCGGAAGAGTCCCTCTTCTGCCTCGGCAGTAGTTGGGTCTCGGTCAACCGGGCGGCGGGGGTCCAAAACTGGACGGGGAATGCCAACGATGGAGTTCGATTCGGGCAGAGCGCAGAGAAGCTGGCGAGTCGTGATACCCTGGCGAGTCTGAGTGACAGCCATTTGGGAGATTGGCTCGGGAATCACGAAAGCCTGAGAAATGACATGAGGCAGAGGAAGGCTGTCAACAGCAGAATAGTTTCCGGCGGAATCCAGAGGACCACGGTCATTGGGGGCAGACGACTCATAAAGCTCAGAAACAACAAGCTGGTAGCCCTTGGCAGAAGACTCATCAACAACATCACCAAAGAAGGAGTATGCAAACCAGTTCTCGGTCATAACCGATGCGATAGGCTGGGATGGGTCAACGCCAGCTTGGTTGGCTGCATACAGTACATTTCCGGATACACCGTCCAGTAGGTAGAAACCAGCAGTGTGGTCTTTGTCGTTCACTGCGGTGACCAGGGCGAGGTTCGGGTTGAGGTACTTGTACAAAACAGATCTGTTTCCAAGAACCTTGCCAATCGAGGCAACAGGGTCATGGGCAGGACGAGAGGTTGCGGAAATAACCTTCTGTCCGGATGGTGGAACAAATTCCCAGACAGGTGACTTACTATCACGTCCGCTCCAGCCAAGGACATGTCCATCGGCACTTGTGGTCACAAGGAAACCGGTGGCGTCGGTAAATGCGCCAGTCAGCGATCCATCTTCTTGGATGCCAATGGTTTCTTGGTTCTCAAGAGAAATGATCGCCTGGAGCTTCACACCTGTGGGCACAGAGCGCGAAATGACCTCTCCTGTAGAGACGTTCACAGACACAGAGCTTCCATCGCCGACATAGACTGTCACTTCACCGGGTCGAGTCACAATCGACTTCACGTCCCACTCGGAGGTCTTCTCCACCTGGGTGTTCCACATAACGCTGCCTTGCTTGCCGGTGTTCAAGGCGTACAGACGACCACTCTTAGTAGCAACAATGACCGGCTTAGACACACCGAAGCTATCAAGGTTTGTGACTTCATCAGTCAAAATGCTGCTTATGATTCGCTGAGGAAGCTCCTTAAGCCACTCTGGGAGATGTTGAAGGTCACGAGCATGACGCTTCACGCGGTGAATGTATGCGCCAACCATACTTTCGTGTCCTTCAACTTCAAGCTCGTGGACCAGGTTCTCCTGGACCTCAGACTCAACCCAGGTGGCAGCCACAGCGTCGATCAAAGCTTCATGGCGAGTCCATTCAGTCTGACCGTTTCGAATCAACTCCCAAGCTCCAGCCTCGCGCAGAACAGCAGCACGGACGGCGACATTCTTACCCTTGGCAATAACCTCCGAAATAGCAGAAAATGCGGGCTCTGAGGAAGAAGCCTCCAAATTCCAGCGGCCCAGAATGCCGTGGGATGCAGAGGAGACAATGACGGCCTCCGAGTCAGTAATGCGGGTGAAGTAAACGTTGGCATCAATGCTGCTAGTAGCCACCACGGATTGCCCCTGAATATAGGGCAGCTGGTAAGCTTTGGAAATAGCAGAAGACTTGAGGTCAACGTGATAGACATCCGCCCATGCGCCATTGTCAGTCACGTAATGGACCAAAAAGTGGGGGAGGGAGTTGAGTTTGTGGGGCGCGTGAATCGTAATCTGACGGATCTCGTGGCCAGAAGTATTCTCGATGTTGATTGTTTGAACCTGCTTTGTGCCAATGACGTTGACCTTGATGGTCTTGTGTGTCTTGTCAGCCCAAGCGATCAAGGGCGAAGCGACATTGGCGCCCACGAAAAGGACGGAATCGGGGGTTGGGATATCGGTCTCCGAGTTCAAGGTATATTGGCGAGTTTGCCGACCAGTCACCGGATCCAGCGCAGTAACCTTGATCTTGTATCCCTTCGAAGCCGATTGGAGCGAAATGTAGAAGACGTCTGTCGGAGAAGATGAGACCTGGAAGGCAACATCACCACTATAACCATTTATCAATTATCAATTCTCCGAAAAATAATCTGCGAGCACTAACCTCTCATCCTTGTGTTCCCACTTAATCTTTCCAGAAGCACCATCCAACCGCCTCACAGCGCCGGTACCTTCGCCGCCAATGAGGGCCAAGGTATCTCGGGCACCAGATGTCGCACCAGCCTCTTCCAGCTCCAATAGCTCCAGATCTGCTACCACACCATCCAGGAACTGGTTCTCCCAAATCAACTTGCCATCTTGGGCTGTCCAAGAAGAGATATATTGTCCGGCCGCACCAACGACAGCATTATTTCCATCAGAGCCGCGCAGGATACCAGCACCGGCAGGAGAACCAGCCCGTGAGAGGTTCTGGCGCCAGAGCAATGCACCATCCCTAGGGTTGACAGCACCCAGGATGGACTTATCGGAGATTGTGTAGAGGAGGGAGGCATTTGAGGCGGAGGAGGGCTTTAGGAAGAAGGTCGAGTCGGGAGAGGGGGCACCAAGGAGGGCATGGTGAAAGTCAATATGATTGACCTCATCGTGATAAATGGCCGCAGCAGGCGACATGCATGCCGCGACGAAAAGGGCCGCTTGAAGCCGCATATTGCTATCGATCGAGCATTGACTGACTTGAGGCGAGGTTGTGTTGTGTCGAGCTTCGGAGCGCGGGCGGTGATCTGCCCCCGGACCCAATTAAAGCGGACAACGTATTCCAGAGCTCTACTCCGTATATGGAATTTCTACTTCAATTTTCATTTTGTATTTTTTGAGTCAAAAGCTCCTATCTGATACGAATTAAGAATTCTCATATTTATCAAGCTCTGGACCTCGGAATGGGCATCTCAATATGATACCTTTTAACCTACATGCAAACTCACTATGTAGTACGAGCGAAGAATTCAATATGAATATTGATATCATTATAGATCTCTACTAGTAAAAGTTCAATCTTCTTTAACTAATAGCATCAGCCTCAATATACACAAGCATGCCATCGATAAGAAAGCCATTTGCCACCAGGATCAATGATTTAGGCGAAGCGAGAAGCAAACGGAGTGAATGTAAACAGGTAAACATCGCTACCATAGAGGCAGACGTCGCTAAAGGCAAACACCGCGACAGGCAAACAACGCGTCCCCCACCGCTTTTCCAATATTTAAAGCCCATCTCTCACCTTCTTCCTCTCCCCAACTTCTTGTTCCTGTGTTTGTTGAAGCTGACCTTGTGAACTGGAAGTCCACTCCACAACTCCTGAGCTTGTTGTCAGGCATGAGGCTAGCTGCGGCGACTGTTTCTCATGAAGGTCACTTGTTTGGGGTTTACCAAAATGTGGAAGCGGGGGCCAAGGTGATCAGGCGAGGTTGATGATGCACTCACAGGCTCAGCGCATAGGATGATCCTAGGATCTGATGCAACCCAACTTTGCGGAAGTCAATCTTGTGAGCTGAAGTCCACTTTACAACTCCTGGGCTTGCTGTCAGTCATGAGGCTAGCTGCGGCGACTGTTTCTCATGAAGGTCACTAGCTTGGGGTTTACCAAAATGTAAAATGCGGGGACGGATGCGAGCAGGTGAGACAGAAGCCTAGTTCTTGTTACTCTGGGGGCTCTCTTGGGTGAAATGATGAAAACAGCAGCCCATGTGGCATATAATAATTTCTGACACCCTTTTTCATTTGATGCTTCTGTGGAAGTCATCATTGTTCCGAATCCCTTTTCCCCTACAAGCGAAGAATCCAATTTGAATATTGATATTGTTATAGGTCTCTACTACTAACCTTGGAAGAGTTCAATCTTCTTCAACTATAGCATTGGCCTCAATCTCGACAAGCATATTATCGTCAACAAAGCCATTTGCCACCACGATCATCGTCGCAGCAGCACCGACCTGCCCTCCATGATGCTTCCCCAGGATCTCTCTGAAGCCTTCTCCAACTGCAGTACAGTCTTCTTTCCTGCTAACAAACATCCGACATCTCACTATGCTCTCTGCGCCTTGTCCTCCAACAGCCTGGATAGCTTGAATGATCTCGCTCAGTATAAGTCGTGTTTGTTGTCTAGCATCGCCTGGAAAACGGACGGTGGGCGCCTCTGGTGGTGAATCAGGATCCGCGGCGGTTGATCCAGATACGAAGATCTGATTTCCACGACGCACCGCACGGTAATACCCAATGCGGGCCTCCCATGGAGAGGATGTGCTATGAAATTGCTTTTTCGAGGATTGTTCTGGCGCCATTATTGAACTGGATGGCTGTCAACATGTTTCTCTGTGATAAGCGGATTCCAGTTCTGACTTCAAGTTGTTTCATCGTGATTCTTACCTGAAATTTCGTATTGTTGGATACCCTCGAAAATCGAATTTCTCTGACTCTTGGGTCACATATGATGGAAGTTTGGTCGTTTATGTAGATGTCTAGGTATGACTCAACCACGGGAGAGCCGTGGCTGGAGTCTCCACTGTTGGCACCTGGTACCACCCAAAGGTAGGTCTACGGGTATAAACTGCCAATTGATGCTTCGAAGTTCAACTCTGAGGTGGTTAGCAGTATGCAAGAGCATGGCGATCAAGCTACTATAGTAGTATTCTAGTGCTTCTTTTGAGTCTTACTAGTTTTGTTTCGATCTATCAACAGGACCGTGACCGTGCGGAACACTGTTAATATCTTCCGCACTTTTTTCATACCTATTCAAGGGCATATCGTTATATTCCAAGGTTCTTATTCGATCTATTATCAAGACATACAAAATCCGGTGGATCTGTATTTGGTTCACTTATCTCATTCGAGAAGCTTAGCCCCACAACGGCGATTCACCCCACTATGGTGCCAAGTACGCAACTCAGGAGGAGGATGGCGTGATAAGCTCTCAAAGGATTAATGGTTCGATTTACTTCATTTAATTATTGTTAACTATCGCTATGGCAGCTAATCAGAATGCGAGAGGCGCTACTCACGCCACAATCCCCAATGAGAAGAATAAGGATATCTTGGTAAGCCCTCCCGCTTTTCAGTGTTTATCGCTTTATCTGACAGATAATAGATTGGAATGAGGGATGGAGTGAGTGCAGAGTTCAAATTGGTACCCAAAAAAGATGCTGTTGTCTCTGTCTTTGATTCCAATTTCTTAATTGGCGACGGCATATGGGTATGTCGATCCACCTGAATACGATACTATCCCATCTGATGGCAGGCTTACTGACAAGCAACTCAGGAGGGCCTGCGTGCGAACAATGGCCGAGTTCAGTTCGCGAAAGATCATATCGATAGGCTGTTTCAGTCAGCAAAGGCTATGCTCATGGACCTGAGGCTATCAAAAAGCCAACTGTTAGACCTTCTGCACCGCACTATCGATGCAAACAACATGTCAAATGAGGCACATGTTCATATACGACTTGTTGTGAGTCGAGGATTGAAGTCGACGCCGTACCAAAATCCATCGGTGAACATTGGACTCCCTCTGATTGTTATCATTCCCGAAATCAAAGCCACGGATCCTAGTGTTAAACAGAAGGGACTCCGGCTGATTACCTCTCACATCCGTCGTGGACCACCTGATGTCAAAGATGAGATGTGGAATCATATTTCGAAGGCAACCGATGTCCAAGCCTGCATCAGCGCAAATGTGGCGGGTGTCGATGAAGCCCTTATGCTTGATCTGAATGGATTCGTCAAGACATGTAACTCAGTCAATTTCTTCATCGTCCGCAATGGAGAGGTATGGGCTCCCACGAAGAACAATCAAATGCAAGGTATCACACGTCAAAAGTCCATTGAAGTTTGTCGTGCAAATGGTATCCCTGTTCAAGAATTGGACTTCACCTTGACGGAAGTCTACGGTGCAGATGAGGCTTTCTGTACTGGCACATTCCCATCACAGATCCATGTTAGTGAGGTGGATGGACGTCAGATTGGAGATGGAAAACGTGGGGCGGTGACTGAGAGGATTCAACAGCTGTATGCTGAATTAGTGAAGTGGGATACAGCGCGGTCGAGAGCGGAAATCCAGGCTGAGGTTGAGCCTATCAAGGCCCGACTATAGTTGTTGATCTTTTCAATGTGAATATGATACAGGAATTGTACATCAAAAACCTTAGAATTGAATAGATTATGAGATTTGAAAATACACCAGTCCTAGTCATTCTAAATTTAACTACTACTAGTAGTAATAAAATCAATTATTGAGCAGAATTGGTCTATGCGACATGCTATTCCATCTGTCATACTTCAAAGTGTGCCCAGGTGGCGTCCTTGATACTTTTCACGACTAAAGCGAAACCACACATGTACAAGTTGCTAGGGGCCTCTTCTCATAGTATTAATTGAATAGCATAACTTAAATACAATGTAGCGCATTTGAAGCGGTCACTTTGACTTATTTGGAAGGCAGACCGCATACTTGGTGGATAAATGAGGTCATAGAAGTGCTGGTCGGAGTTACACCGATCAGATCAATAGAAATTGATATAGAACCAATAGCAATAATTTGTCTCCAGAGATAAACTAGAAGAATATGAAGGCTTTGGATCTACATACAGTTTCCGATCCATCATCTCCCAAAAGGAGAATTTTAAGCGACACATTTCAAATAGGTAAGTCTGGCGACTGCTGGTCCACCGGCGATCCGATGGACTCGAGGACTTCGGGATGAACACATATCAACCCCATAAGCAGGATTGGCCTTCGCGCCAACCTGTCAGATGGGTCAATTACTCAGAAGACCCAAAAATGAAGCTGATCGAACTGCAGAGATTTCGGTGATCATACCGGTCTCGGCGAGCCTGGCCAACCTACATCACCGGTTAAATCCCCGCCATTCCCCCTCTTCTCTAAAACGGTTACGCTACCCGCTGCATTTTACCCCGAGGTCCCACAGAGTCGTAGCCATAAAATATTAGTTCATTCCAAAGAGTTGTGTTAGCTTCGTCACTTCTCCATTTTTCGTATACTTACATTAACCATGGCCCTTTCAGTCAAAGGCAGAACTGCCATCGTCACTGGTGCAGGCTCTGGTATGTAACCGCCTCCCATCGGCATGGAGTTGATCATTGTAATTGATGTGCTTACACTGCACCCTGGCAGGAATCAATTTCGCTTTCGCCAAGCTCCTTATTGAAAATGGATGTAATGTCCTGATTGCAGACTTGACCTTGCGTCCTGAGGCCAAGGCATTAGTCGAGAAGCATGCCGGTGGCCCTGCGAGAGCTGTCTTCCAAGAGACCGATGTTAGCGACTGGACTCAGCTTGAGCGAATGTTCGAAGTAGCAGAAAAGGAGTTTGGTGATATTGATATTGTTTGCCCGGGTGCGGGTGTCTATGAACCGGTATGTATCGGAATAAAAGATCCAACTGTCTTGGTTTATGACACCGGCAGCAAGGAAGGAGCCGATCCACTGACCACGGGGTTATAACAGCACTGGAGCAACTTCTGGCGTCCACCAGGCTCAGCCCCAAGCAAAGACTCACCATCCGGTGGACGATACGCCCTGGTAGATATTAATGTCACCCATCCCATTCGCACAACACAACTCGCGATTGCGCATTTCCTAAAGCACCGCGAAAACGGCCGCCCGAAACATATCGTACACATCTCAAGCATTGCAGGACAAACCGCGACATTTTCAGCTCCCATCTATGTTGCCACAAAGCACGCCATCAACGGCTTGGTACGGGCGTTAGCCAAGTTGGAGGATATCGGCATCCGCGTTACAGCGGTAGCACCGGGTGTCATCAAGACTCCTCTGTGGACGGATCATCCTGAAAAGCTGAAGATGATAGATACTAGCACAGATGCTTGGGTGACTCCTGAGGAAGTCGGACAGGTGATGCTGGCTTTGGTGCAGCAGGATCAGGTTAGCGAGATTATCGGAGATCGCTCTGGCCGGGGAAAACAATACCAAATTAAGGGAGGCACAATCCTCGAAGTGTCCAAGACGGTGCGGGAAGTGATGCAGTTCAATGATGAGGGTCCTGGGAACCGACCAGGTAACACGGCTTCAGACCATGCGGCCGTGGAGAGAGAAAGCTTTGGACTTCTTGCGCAGAAAGGATGGGGGCGATCGAAGTTGTAATTTCTTACCTAATTCATAACGCGTTTTTGGCGAGTACCTAGGAATGGTATGGTTTTTCACCCGCGCAGTGCTTGCCAATGCTTGCATACGCCTCATATTGTAGATCACACCACATTATGTCCCCTATCTTAGGACATCATTTTTTGATCCCATGATTTCAAATAATGGATTCCAGGCAGGATAATTTGAAAAGGGTTGTGTAAAAGTTAAAGTATAGATTAATTAATTATTCTACATTACGTGGTGAGCTTTTTATAAAGCAGTACTTGACAAAAAGAGAGGCTAAAGAAAGGAGAAATTATTTTTTGAGGAAGAAAATGAAAAATAATTGACCTCATGAGCAGCTCCAGCATTTGTGTCAAGTTGGACTGACGGAGCTTCTGCTTAGAAGTGAGGACCAAGTGCGCAGGTGGACATTTGATGTCAGGTCGAGTAGGGCTGATATACGTCTCAAAGTGGCTTTTCAATTTGGTCTGATATGTACCCGTATACCAATCTCAAATAAAAAAAATCTATTTATAAATGGGCTCCGTGGCCAAGTGGTAAGGCGCGCGCCTCCTATGGGTTAGCGCGAGATCCCGGGTTCAACCCCCGGCGGAGTCGATTGTTTTGTTTAAATATTTTATTTCTTTTTTATTATTTATTAATTACTCTTTTTTATTTTTACTTTTTCCTTCAAATGCTCTCTCTACCTCAGCATCATTTGAGGGTCAATACTGCCCAATTTACTCCCTAGTTATATCGACGCGATTTTCATTGAGTGGAAATCTAGAGCGGGTGATAACATACAGTGGACACGCCTGTGAATAGAGTTAAGGAGCAGCTACAGGCAGGACGATTGTAAAGGGATTGAAAATATGAGACTTGAGTAATAGTAAATGGAACTTGAATTTCAAGCTTGAATAGGAGTGTAATGTATGCAGAGTGAATGACCGAATAAGCTATAAACAGCGACCCAGCTAAAAGATTACAGAAGGGCGGCAAAAACTGAAAGACAACTATACCCAAGATTCCAGCTCCGAGGAGCGTCCCAATTCCTACCTCATCATCCAGCCATTAATCTCATACCCGACAGTCCAAAACTAATCTTGACAGCAGACAATAGTCCCTGCTCAGCCATAAAACATTACAGCTCCTAGTTGTTATGCTGGCCATTCAAGATACGCAGAATGGACAAGAAAAGGTTCAGCACATCCAAGTACAACGAAATGGAGGCCGCGATCTCCTCTTCGACGTGGTAGTGACGCATGATCATCTGCGTATCAACAAGGATATACCCAGAGAAGATCAAAGCGCCAAGCACACCGTAGACTGTCTCGGTAGCACTGCTGAAGGGCAGGAACATCGCGACGAAGCCGAAGAGAATTAGGAACCAGAGTGCACCGAACAGGTATGGCATCCAGTGCGCGAAATCATACTTTGTTTGGCAGGCGAAAAGGGTCAACGCGACGAAGATGCCGAGAGTCAGGACGAGGGCCTGGACGACAACTCGGGCATCGTAGAAAGATGTCACGACGCTGATGGAGTAGGCCTCTGTGACTGTGAAAGCGGATAGGAAGAGAAGGTTCGATGGGTAGGACTTGCGCTTCCAGAAGGTTGCGAGCATGAAACCGAGGGCACCGAAGATGGAGATTATCATAAGCCAGAAGTTGGATTGGATCCATGTGCGGTAGGACTGGTTGAAGAAAGAGATAGAGCTGAGGATTGTTGTAAGGAGGATTTGAGCGGTGCTGCATAGATTTGATTATTAGTTTACTGGGTAATATTCCTAAAACAAGGATCCTGATGACTTACAGAATGGAGTACACCTTGCGGACGAACTGCATGCGAATATCAATCGTTCCCTCAGCCACGGTACCACCGAACTATGAAACATCCAGGTTAGTATTTTCTACGTCTTTCGCAGATAAATTTGCTTCAAAATGGCGCGTCACGTACCTTAAAGTCATCGGGCAGGTTATCGTTCTCGGAACGTGGCTGCGAGGGTTCGGCTGTAGCCTGGTAAGACGGCGGCGCTTGGGTGTAGTTCTGATGCTGGTCCTCAAAAGAGTCCCGCTGCGGGGCGGGCTCGTATCGGGCGTTCGAAGCCATGGCGTTCAAGTATTGATGAGAGCTATGGATGTCACGTCGTTATCTCTAGGTCGATGGAATAGAAGTGAGATATAGAAATGAAGATGTGTTGAAGCCTAGATGACAATGGGGCGTCGTCCATGTGACGTTCCAAGGAAGTCACGTGCCTTCTTATCGATAACAAAGTGGAGTATCTCGATCTTATCAAGGAGCTTGCTCCATCAACTAATTAATGCTAAGTTGCTAACCAACCCTTGAGTGCAATCGAATGCTAAGATTGTGATATTGAACATCTCGTTGATGCCCTCTGCAGATATCTTGAAGATTACGAGTGCACATATGGATGCACGTGGGAAGAAAGTCGATCAAACCGTGTACTACCAAGTTGAATTTCCCTTCAAGTTCTATATACGTACTGCCAGTGTCCAATGGTCGATTTGACTTGGAACATTAACATTGAAAACTTGAATGAAACTTGAAGTGAACATTTGAAGCAACTTGAAATACTAATATGTCCATTCATCAACAAATGTCTAGCTAGTCATGAAATTATAATTATGTTTTGTTCAAGCAAGTCATGTCATCAGTCTATTCCGCAATGCGGTGCATTGGAGATCGTCGCTCATCCGCAACCTGTGCGTCATCATGGGCAACATCAACTGTGGAGCCTGATTCGTCCTCATCGGTCGTCAAATCTCCATCTTCTTCTTCTTCTTCATCAGACGTGTCTTCAGTACTGTGTGAAACACCATGTCCATGCGCGAGAGCAGTGCTAGAGAAGTACGTCGGCAGACGCTTTCGCTCAAAGTCTTGGGTATGGGCGCCTGCAACTTTGTTTCCAACACGAGCGACACTGGCCGAGGGTCGGCGATTCCGAACACGATGGCCCGAGATCGATGATGGTCCAAGCTCTGCATCTCCTGGCGACATAAAGGGCGTCGTCGGCTGTTCCTGGAGTTGAACATCGTCGTTTTGGGCGCCATCGAAGGCTGGAGTTGCCGGGATATCGTAAGGCAGAGGAGTATCTCTCGATGCGCGAAACAAGGCCACGTTGGTGCAGTGCTCATTTTCCACACGGAAGATAGTCCATACCCCTCGACGGAAGACTTCCGACAGAGAGACGGCGAAGCTCAAGAAGGCGGAATGCTGCATATCGCGGGCAAAGATGGCATAGAAGATCCAGTTGAATCGAATAATGACATCCAAAACCATCGCCACATAGTACACCCAGACTCGTCGGAAAGCGAGCATCTCTCGCAGCATGGGATGCGGGGCATAGGCATTACCCAAGCTCCAGTCCATTATCAAGTCCCACACTGATGTATAGACAGCGTTCAGGAGTGCGAATGTGATAAAGGAGGCCTGGAATCGGGTCTGTCGCTCGATACGGTACATGCTGAGAGTAGCATAGTACAGAATGCTGAAGATGTACTTGCCCAAGTTCAAGAGATGGGGAAATGCACTTTTCGTGTCCACATATCGACGAATGCACTGGAAGGATCGCCATATTGCCGGGAGACAAGTAAAGAACCCAAGAAGCCTTGAATGGCTGGAATTGCATTGGGGTGGGTTGTCCCAAGCTTGGGCGTATAGGCAGAAGAAAAGTGCAATGTTCTGGAAGAGATTAGTTAGTCATATGTTAATATGAAAATAAAGACACTAGACAACTTACCCCCATGGCGTAGCTCTGGGAGCAATACATGTCACCGAGAAAGAAATCTCGAAATTCAACAGGGTACACCCCGGCTAGTAAAAGTCGCCACTGCATTTGTTAGATTGCATCAATGGAAGTAGGCATGGAAATGTAAACTCACGTTTGAAAAGGCCCACCATTTTCGGCTGCGATGATGCAGCACTCTGGCTGGCAAAAAAATGATGGAGACAGACAACCCTATTAATACGACGGGCCAGTATATGTACATGGCATTCATCCATGAAAAATTTAGCCACATGAAAAGACCCAACATAAACATGAAAAAAGCGGGGATCTAAAAATACGAGGTTAGCTGAGACCAAAGCTAAAACATCTGAACATATCCGGATGGGGACATACTTCTAGTAATTGGCGCCACTCCAGCGTGTGCCTGGTATCATATTCAAAAACAAATGCATAGTTGATCTTTGAGTTTGTCCAGATCATACAATCCCCGCAAAATAGCAATACGTGAAATGTGATCAGGAAGAAGCCTGCATAGATCTGGTTCGAGTTAGCGACGTGTGGGTTTCACAGGGTGAGACGCAAGGGAGGACAAACCTGTAACAAATAACTAGTCTGAGTCTGTTCCGCCATGTTGGCGGAGTGTAAACGTTGTGACGCGTAAACCAACGCTTGGATTGCAAAGAGAACGCCCGCCATAAGTAGGAGGCCCGCCCGAAAAGTGCTGGGCGAGTAATCTCCCAACTTGTTAATGGTGTGACGAAGCTTGGACACGGCGATTTTACGGTTCCCGCGCTCAAAGTATCGAGAGTATAAGTCCTCGACTGCTACCAACAGGTGCTCAATTTCTTCACTCTGCACGAAGGAGGCCTTGTTGACCCTTTCGGTCATATACCGCAACAAAGGCCGAGAATCAACCGCTTTGTCATACTTCTTGTTGATCTTGCTAAAAGCTTTCCGGTTCAGGAGAGCATAATCTTTCAGCAACTCAATTCCTCGGTAAAACTCCTGCAATGCATGCTTAAGTTTGCGCTTCGCCGATCGGTAAGACACCTCGTTGTTCTGTGGATCTTGCCGCCGCATAAAGTCTCGTCGGTTGGCAATAAACTCACTGTCTCGCTCAGGAATCTTCGGTGTACCCATCGCTTCCAACGCCCGAGTGTTCTTTCCAAACCTCGTCTTCCCAGTGAGAGTGTCTTTAATTCTGGAGCTGTTCAACTTGCCGAGCATCTTTGTACGATCGGGATGTTCACCCTTAAGAATCTTGGCGGCTCGCTTGACCTCATACACTTCCTGAATCCTTTGGTCTCTCATTATGTGCAATTGCTGGCGAAGAACTTTGAGTCTGACGCTAGCTTCCTCTTCTTTCATCCGATAAAAGGAGTCGATCTTGTTCAGCTCGGCGTCCAGAAATTCAAAGAATTCGTCTTGACGTTTCTGTGTCTCCAACGCAGGATCAACAGCTGCTTTCTTTCCTGGAACCTCCCCTTCCGCGTTGGACCAAACTCGTCGAAGGAGTTGCGAGGTACGGTTTCTTGCATTTGAATTCGTTGGGGTCAATGTTGTTCCCTGAGTGCTGGCACTATGCAAGGTAGGAACCGTCGGGGTCCTTGGGATCATCGTGCGATCTTCCATTGATTGCGCGGGAGTTGCAGTGAAAGTCGCACGCCTGGCGACTGGAGACGGAGTCCTGACTTCCTTTTGATAGCCTGGGTCCTGCCCCGGCGGCACATATTCCTCATTTGGGTCTATCAAGGGATCTGGCAATTCGAACGAAGCCCTGTCTGATCCCATCATCCCCGACTGTGGTGGTGTCGCGATGATGCTCCCATAGCTCCCAACGGTGTCAGGAAGTCGCGATCCATGATTGCGCAACGGCTGTCGTTCTGGTCTGGGTGTTGACCTGGAGCGGGGAATCGGCAGGGGACTAGAGCCTCTGCGATTCGCATTCTCATTCAAAGTATCGTCTTCATCCGTTCCATCTATATGCTTCCTGGCATTGGACCGCTCGAGAATTGGCGATTCGTGGAAGGATGGGGTTGGGTATCGAAACGACGGAGTTTGAGGACCACGATTTCCTTTCTGAATCGCTTTCGTGATCGCCTTGACTTTCTTCTTACCGGTCTATAACAAGATGTGCGATTAGCCATGCTCCCGAAATCCATGGATGCAGCATATCGTGGATCGTACCTTGTAATCGAGATATTTCGCCCGCCACTCAGGAACCAGTTCCTGTTCCAGCTCTCTATGGAAAATCGGTTAGTGATTGGAATGTCCAGATGTGTCACGGGGGCAAAACCAACTTCGCGAATTTCATCCTGGCCAACGAATCTCCGTCATGACATGCCTGAGGATGGTTGGAGAAAAAAAGAAGAAAAATTGAGAAGAAAAAAACAAAAAGAAAAACCGGTATGGGAGACTAGCCAATGGAAGCACAGTCCAGTCACTTTCCAGGTTAGGACCTATTAGTCCAGACGCCCCGGTCTATTGCAGATAAGCTGCAGATGCGATTCGGAAGATCCGTGATAAGAGAGAGAAGCATAAGATTTTCATCTCAGAGATTCTCATTAAGATTCCTATTAGGGCTGAACCTAAGTACCAGATTCTCGGTCTTATCCCTATTGATCCTTAAGTGAATTGCAACAATCACCGACGAGGTCTAGAGCACGTGCAAACGAATGATTTCATGGATTCCTGGATTCTCAGGCGAAAAAGGTGCCCCACTATTGGTCAGCTATTTATACTTGTTGATTGGTTAATTGGCTATTTACACTTCAATATTAAACATTGGACTAAACCATCTAGAATCATCTTGATGGAGTATTCATATGAATATAGACTAGTACTTACACTAATCTATAGTATATCCATGGATGGATATTCAATTACATGGTTCATGATTCAAAATTTATACCAAAGACGAAATAAATTCAGAAAAAGACGAAATCTCAGGATCTACAACCTTTGAAGAATGCACAGTGGGGATTCCGGAATGTTGCTCGGCGGGTTCTCATGGTGATAACTGACTGAGAAGATTAGAGATATACAAAAATTCCGAAAAATCCAAGCCCTGCAATCCTACATGAGCTATAGCTCGGGAATTCATGAATATGGACTTTTCGCCGAGGTCTACTACTACGTAAGCTATAGCTTGGCCGACGCCATTAAGGAACTTATCAAGATGATAGATACTACGTAGATCAGCAACTAGAACATTCCAGCAATTCGTGATCATCATTGTCTGGCTCTGCTTATACACAAGCTGGGGAATAAAGGAGCCCAGGATATCTTATTGAAACAAAATATTAAATCATGTCATCGTCCATTGTGCCAGCACGGACTCGCATTTACCAGCGGCCCTGGGGAGGGCCATCGAAGCGGCCACCGGGGGGGACCATCGAAACGGCCGCCAGGGGGACCGTCGAAGCGACCACCGGGAGGACCGTCAAAGCGGCCACCAGGGGGACCATCGAACCGGCCACCACCGGGGGGACCGAAGCGCTCGAAGCGCTCGTGGCGCTCGTAGCCCTGGTGCCACTCCTCACCACCGCGGCTCTCGTAGTGCTCCTCGTACATCTTCTCGGCGTTCTGCTTAGCGTGGTGGTGGGCCTTGATCTTGTCGACCTCGTCCATACCCTTGGACTCAACGAGCTTGTCGACCTCAGCGCCGACGAGACCAGCGAGGGCCTCCTTAGCGAAAGCGTGCTTGACGGTCTTGCCTGTGGAGAACAAAGTTTGAGTTAGCATATGATATTCCAAACACAACAGATATATTTCAATATGGGCTGCAGGCAGCTGACGTACCCTCCTTGCGCTGGTGGTCCTCCCAAGCCTTCATACCGGCGAAAGAAGCGGCACCGGCGATCAGCTCGTGAGAGAACTTAGCCTCGTGATGCTGTGGCTCCTCCTCACGGCCGTAAACCTGACGGTGAGCGTCATCGGATTGTTCTAGTGAAAATGTCAGCTGCCACTCTCTATATAAGGCATTCCAGTAGGAAGGTTATGGATATCCGGGCCATGCATAATCATGCGTATGCAAGCGTGCCCAGATGCCAGTGGGAGTGGGGATTAGGAAGTATTGGAAGCAGTGTAACTTACCCCAGCCCCAAGCCATTGTGAATGTAGTGATATAAGAAGAAGGTGGAGTGGTATAAAAGGTTATGTGGATAGAGAAGAGAATCAGTCAGAGAGGAGGGAGATGAGGGGCATCTTATACCCGAGCCACCTGACAGAAATGTCGAGAAAGTCTACTATGTCCGGAGTACGTATTCCGCTCAGGATGCTCAGGAGCACCCGTCTCAGCTGGCGCTGCCCCACCGAATGTGGACAGCGTGGCTGAGGCAGACTTCTTACAGGTGCTATCTTGGGATACCGGCAGAATGAAGTGAGGACCCCTCCAAACACGACGGACCATGGATTCTGAAAATGACCTGAGTTTTGCCCCTCTTCAAAGTGGAGTCCGAGAGATCGCACCGCCTCAGCCTTTGTTTACGTACCATCCGACCCCCGGATGCCCGTGGTAAGTGGGGAGAATCCAAATCGGATGGAACCATAAGGGGGTTACCCTTATGCTGGGATGACCTATCATGATCTTTGTGGTGTCGATGTGCCAGACCCCGACTTCGCCGAGACTCTGGGCATAGTATTTCGGAAACGACTTAACGCCAGCCAAGAGTCTTATTTTTGGCTGAGATTCGATCTCGACAACCTTATAGGCTGTGAACAGGTGGGAGCGTACGTCACTATGTACATCGGTATACTAATTATACTATGTACTTCACTACTATGCACCCTCAATGATTCTGGACACAATGTGAACTTCAAGGCTGCAATTATGCCACGAACTCGGATGAAACACAGCGTCCCATGCTTTAATCACTTTACCCTGAAACCATCACGATACACGGATCAGAAAAGGGTACAAGTACGCGTCCCACCACTCTCAATGGCTCGCCGATCGGAGGGGTCTTTTTTCGATCCATTCAGTCCATTGTTCAGCCCTACTCCGCCTGATGACGGACGAATCGAATCAACCACAAGTCCGAGACTAGACCGAACCAGTCATAGTGGTAAGACCACGTATCCCCCGGACAACACGGTATCAGAATGGTGCCCGATGATTGTATGCAGCCGGTGTGTCCGGGCCAAGCTTCTTGTCAGAGGCTTGTCATTGCCTTACCAGGAGAGGTGCTTGGCATCACCACGCAAATAGCGGTGTATTACCCATGATGGCCATGATCAACGGATCGGAGAGAACATTTTGAAAAGTAATGATTTTCGGATAAAGTCAATTCAGAACCAGAACTCGGCTCGGGAATTTTTGTTTCTTTTTTTGGATGATTGAGAGATCTGGTTCTCATTACGTACTTGCACCGCCTCATGTGGCGTCGCTGGTATAGCCGCCACATCCAATTCAGATGGTGAGTCCGGACTCCTAATATGGAGTTTTATGATAGGTGCCCCGTCAAAGAGATGCGGAGTCATGTTTTGGCATGATAGCAAGGTTCTGAGATATAGTGAGCGTATCATGTTTAATATAGCCAACAGTCTCAAATTTGATAGTTACGTCAAGGTCTATACCACTACGGAGTAGTTTGGTTTCTACATCGATACTCAATCGTTTAGCCGCCGGAATGAGATAACTGTATCATCTGAAAATGCCCAAGTGCTCTAAAACTGATTAACATATTACCATGATCTCCGAGGTCATAAAGTGCCACTCGAAGTGACTGGAAAGTTCCTCAACTCACATGTCTTGGCAGTGGATATCACTTCATGCGCTTTAGGCGCTTCCTAGGCAACGACGGCAATACCACCATTTTGTTTACCCAACTCATACTGGTACAGCCCCTCCAACTCGGCTCCAGGGTTCTTATCCCTCAATCAAGGCAAGATCCTCTCTGGTATCCACGACATCACCTGGGCAAAACTTGACCTTAGTGCCGAGATATCCAAGCCACACCTCACTATCACTCAGCCACAAGCAGCCACAATCCAATCCAGCTAGCCTCAACACCTCAAGCTTAATCAAGGTCGGTGAGACCGAGCTATTATCTGATTTCCGAGCTTGAGAAGCTCCACACAAAGCTCCCAAACCGGCACAAAACAAGTCTGGATATCCAACTCCAGCCAGCCACAAAAGCCCAACTGAGACCAACGCTTGAACCCGAGCATCTCTGAGAAAGAAAGAAAAAAGGGCAAAAGCAAAGAAAGTGCAATTGAGGAAAGAAACCACACAATGCCTACGAAAATCCCCTCTCAATCCGACTTCCCCTCCCACCTCACAATCACAATCACCAACCCACCAAACCCAACCTCAACCCCCTCCCCAAATATCCTCCTCCTCCTGCATGGTCTCGGCGACTCAGCCGCAGGCTTCACCCCCTTCGGTCGCGCTCTAAACCTCCCCGAAACAACAGTCCTAACCCTCCAAGCCCCCGCCCCACTCCCCTTCGACCTCGGCGGGTTCCACTGGGGCGACGATGTCGCCTTTGACACCTCAACAGGTGGACTAGACATGGATGCCGGCTTAGGGAAAACTGCATCCTTCATCCGAGATCTCGTGCGCGACGTCCTTATGCAGAAATGCGGGTACCGACCACGCGAGATCTTGGTTCTGGGATTCGGTCAAGGTGGAATGGCGGGGTTGAGTCTTGCGAGGGAATTGGGTATGAGTAAAAGTGGCAATGGTGAGGGAGATGGTGTGATTAGTGAGCCCTTAGCTGGTGTCATCTCCATCGGAGCGCCGTATCCGCTTTCGGGTCCTAGAGCTGGTCAGAAGAATCGCACACCTGTGTTCTTGGTTTCTGGGCGGGATTCGAGAGCTGTTTCTGAAGCAGCGGTGAAGAGGACGAAGGAGGTCTTTGAGTTTGTGGAGGTTAGTCGGTATGCGAGGAAGGGTGATGGGATGCCGAGTAATCGGGATGAGATGTTGCCTGTTATGCAGTTCTTCGCCAGTAGACTCAGGAGTAGACAGGGTGTTCCTGAGGGAAGTGTTGAGCTTGGTTGAGATCGACTATACGGTCACAGCAACATGAAATGAGACTCAGAGGGTCCTTGGGGTTATATACTGTAGAAATAGTACCCTTAGAAGTACGAGTGTATATTATAAGTCTAGAAAAACAATCATGATAGACCACTTTTGAGTTTCTTCACTACCTCAAGGCACCACGCGGAGTATGGGGCCACCACTTTCACTACAGGGATACAGAGTACTACTACTAGGTAGGTAATGATATCAAAATTATTTGGAATGGATTGATTATCTAGAACTTGAATCTTTTTTTTTTTTGATATCTAAATACAGGGATTACAGTGGCAGTAAATAGCAGAGAGTCCACTGGTTAAACACCATTCAAGGAACCAGAGCTCCCTTATATTTGAGTAAAAAGGTCACCAGGTAACCACTCTGCTCTGCTAGTCTAGCGGTCGGCGACCCTTCTGGGGGACAAAGGTACTGAAATGCGGACGCTGGACCCATCTTCAGTGGCAGAGACTTTACCGGCGGGTGGGAGGGTATCTGGCTTCGGCCAGGGAATAATGCTTTTTTTGAATTTTTTTTATATTTTTCCTCATTATACTTCTAGCCATGCTCTTTCTATTCCACTTTTCAGATCCTCAAAATAAAAATTATTGAAGGAGATAGAAGGGATTATGTGATGGCGATGGATGTATCAAGTGAGAGCTGTTGAGGCTATTCACGCATTTCTGATTTTGAAGGTCCTGGGTTCGATCCCTGACCTTGCTGGTTTTCTTTTTTCTTTTCTTGTACTATGACTACTCTGAGAATTGTGATACTATTGGCAACTCAAATATAATCAAACTTGAATTTACTACTACCTATAATACCTGCGAAATGACAGGCCAACCGCTTAAAATAAGATGCACTCGAGCCTAAGCTTGGTATTGCGTATACTGATGGAGTCCACGAGTGAGTATTTCAACTTCAAATTGATCATATTTGTGATGCACATGGTAATTACCAGTGCGATTCATTATATTACACGTAGTCTAGCGTAGAGATTTGTACATGTAGTCATCTATCATCTGTTTTACAGAGAAAGGACAAGCTCCTTGAGCTTCTGGAAGTTAGGAGTACCCAGACCAGTAACTGGGTCCCAACCCTCAGTGGCATTCCAGTAAGCACCAGCAATGGTCAGACCACCAGCGACCTCCTCGTCGCTCTGGGGATCAATACCAGTGCATCCGTAGGAAGCACCAGTGGTAATGTCGTTCAGAGCCTTGTAGCCCTCGGAGTACAAGAAGGGGTTCAGGTAACCAAGGACAGGCTTGCCAGCGCGCAGACGGGCGTCGTTGAGCAGACCGATGATACCAGCAAAGGTGGGGCAGGCAGCAGAGGTACCACCAGAGAGATAAGCCTCTCCGCCAAGGATGACCTCGAAACTGGTGAAATGTCAGTATCAGTAATATCTAGATAGGACTTCGATGGAGTACTTACTCAGGGTACAAGCTGTGAGAAGAGACATCGGGGAATCCACGACCCTCGAAGTCGGTGTACTGGGAGTAGTACGCCTGGGTCTCCTTAGTAACGTGGGTCAGGTAGGTCTTGACGGCGGACTCCTGGAACCAAGCACGGTCCCAGATGTTGGAGAAACCACCGGAGGAGGCGTTCCAGGCGTACTCAGGGCTCACACCGGAGGTACCACCAACAGCAGTGACGTAGGGGCAGGTAGCGGGGAAGATGGGGTTGAACTGGGGAGTAGTGCCATCGGTAGACTGGCAAGCAGAGCCAACACCTAAAATTGTTAGTTGAGATAGTACTCAATGGTGCTGGTGATTTACTTACCCTCGTCACCGGAAGAGTGGAGGATGGTCAGACCACGTAGAGTGTTCAAACCGATCAGGTTGCAGACAGACTTGGCGTACTTCACGGGGACGGTCTATAGCAGAGAATTAGAAAAGGACACAGATGGTGCAGTCACAAATTATTAATCACCTGTTCGTCATCACCGTAAGAGTTGGAAATAACCTGAGGGAGCTCAGAGTTGGTCTTGGAGAGAAGGTACTCGTAGTAGATGAGGTAAGGCTCGTTCTCATCCTCGTCCTCCTCATCAGCATCAGGGTAGTAAGGACTATTCATAGTTAGTAATGAAGTCATTATTCAGATTGAATGAATACATACGCAGTACCACCAGTGATAAATTCATGGATAGGCAGAGGGTGGGAGACAGCGCTGATCAGCTGCACATCCAGGTTGGCCTCGTCAACATTGTCAACAGAGTCATCCTGGTCGTCAACACCACCGTTGAGAGTGGTGACGGTGAAGCTCTGGGATGTAATATCAAACAGCTTCTGGTAATCAGCCAGATCGGATTCCGAAGCAGACTGGTTCAAGAAGCTACCGAAACCGATCTTACTGCCAGATGAAACCTCAGGTGTGTAGTCACCGACGTTGTACATCTCCTTGATGCACTCAGGAGTAATCTGGTCAGAGCATGAGGCGGAGATCTCAGAACGGGCCTTCAGGTGTCCCTTGGTGGGATAGGGAAGAGCCTTGCGGGTCTTGCCGAAGTACACAGTGGGCGAGATAACATCAATGTAGCTCGCCAGGGTGCTGGGGATGGAGTACTCGCTGGTACGCAGCTTCACGGATCCCTCCTTCTCGTAGACAGCGAAGGTGGTGTTCAGCAGCTTGTTGACTGTCTCAACGCTACCGCTGAACTTGAGCAGAGCACCGTCGAGGGTGTAGTTCTGGATACCAGCGCTCTTCAACCAGCTGACAACAGGAGCCTCATCGACAACAGGGAACTGGGCATCAACGTCGTCCTTCTCCAACCACTGACCGTACTCCGACTCGCCGGGGTGGAAACCTTGGTCAAAGCTGATTGCAGCTGATCAATGTTCTGACGGCTCAAGGAAATAGCCAACGACATAGTGGAGGTCGTGGGCTCATCCAAGAGGGACCAAGTGCTAGGGACGCCGCCAGAAAGGCTCTCCCAGACAACGCCCAAAGCAGGCGCAGCCAGGGAGCAGAGAAGCCCGGTGTAAACAGTGGAGTGCATGGCGAACAGTCTACAGGTATAGTAGACAGCGATTAAGCTCCGAAGAATGAGAAGGGAAAAAAACACGGGGAAAAGAATAGAAGGCAGGGATCGGCAGCACTACTTATGTCCCTCGTGCCTCGTTACCCTGCACTCCATCTCAGGTTTATGGGCAAATTTGGCAAATTGTTTTTCATCATAGAATCCCCGCTCAGACACCCACAAAATGTCACTCATTCCACTCATAGCTCACCATCGCTCACCTCATCGAGATTAGACCGACGGATCTCCACCTCCTCGGGTCAGGAACCAACAACATGATAACGCAGGTTACATCCTGTGGGGAGGTCGCCACAGGTGTTATCAGTGATGCGAGTTTCGCCCCTCCTCATCTCCTCATCAGATGCACAGGAGCAAAGTGGGCCGTGCTCCGGAATGACCAGGGTATACCCCGGTCTATCGGCACTACTGTTCCTGGCATGCTGCGCATTGGTATTGTGGCGCTTTTCGTCACATTTGTTTACAATTTCATGCTGTAAACATGACCATGTTGAAGTTAATCGAGAATCATTCTTTATAAAATATGATACTCATGAGATGGCGATCGGCAGGGAAATTCCTCTCGCTTGGGTAAACCGCGGAGTCCGCCGGGGATGTTGTGGTTGAACTCCGCGAAGCTTATCCTTTCTAAGCTTCAACCGAGTCTCCACGCGGCTTGACTGGTCCATTGGAGAGATTTATTCACAAAAAATTGATGGAGGTGCGGAGTATAGCTCAGGTAATCATCCAATTTTGTTCAATTTTCCTGATCTCATCACTTTAACTAATTCATTTGCCATAATGTGTGCTAGGAGCCTAGGAGTTGCATGATGTGGGGTGGGTCACGCAGTAGTCCCGGCTGATAACACCAACAGTCTAACACCCGTGAATAACATGCGCATTAACCGATCGGCTCTTGCCAATTACCGCAAGATTAAATGAGGATAAGGCTTATGAGTCAGATATCTGTTGGTAATCCTGCAGTTTTCACCGTATCCTGTTTAACGCCACCAATTACTCAAGATAGGATGAACGACTTCATTATATCCGAGTCCGATATCTGGATATCTTCTCTTTACGCGTAACTCCGATGACTAGAACAGCTTAACATTAATGGATGCCAATGCTGGAGTACTAATAGACCTCGGGAGTACAGAATCTCTATGAAATGCATTCGCTAATCTATGTGTCTTGATCTATTTGTCACGTCGGACATATGGAGTAGTCCGAGACTCCGAGTGCGCCAGAACCCCGAGATTCCAATGTTTGATTCTGTGATTTTGAGCCTCAATGGCCCCTCAAGATGAACTTCGGGCTCATGATTATTCCCCAGGTCCTTCGAGATACCCTTCAAGTTCAACAAATCAGTTTGAATGGATGCGTCAAACCACAATTTGTCCCATAAAACACCGGCGGGTCTTACACTGGCATCAATTGATGGTATACCATGCGAAAAGAAACATTTGAAAGAAAAAAAACGAATTTCCGGTCCAGCCAGATGTGCAGTATCGTCGTGTATCGTGATTCGAATATAGAACGCCCTGGAATCTGTTAGATTGCCCCATTACTCCAATAATATTAGAATCATCGCTCTCAGGGGCCCATGTTCATACATACCGTCCATAAATAGTGTCAAATTACCGTAACCAACTTGAACCACCTCCCATAGAGGTTTGCCGAACCTTTTGCCAAAAACCTCCCTCACCCTTACAGACTTGATCCATTTCAGCCTTCAGAACCGGGTTAATACCCTTCTCTCGCATTCTCTGTTGCTCTTCCGTTGGAATTTGGTGAACAGGGTGGTCAGGCCCTGGTTTTTCATTCGGGTCGAGTGGCTTGGTGGGAGTGATACCCCATTTTAAGGCAGGGTCCGGTAATGGCCGATCGGGGTTTTTGATGCGTGATGAGGAGGCTGAACTGGGGTTGGAGTTCTTTTCGAACATGGAGTTTGGGAGGGACATTGGGAGGAGTAGGCGTATGAGGAGATGTTGTTCATTGGAATTCGGACTCGGAGTTGGGATTGCACGGTGGATAATGTATTTCACGATGATATATAATCCTTTCAATGGTGATTGAGGTCAAAGAACGAATAATTGCGAATCATGTTCCTTTCTAAATGGATAAAATGCAGTTCACGCCAAGGCACTGATTCTTGCGATGATCTCATAGCTGGATGAACCTGTCCGGAAATGGACTCTTGGCGTCAGGGTCTCTTCCCCACTGAACCCCGGATTTTTGTCACTACAACGAATATTTCGAATTGTCAAAGTTTGTCTCGCATCTTCAATCAAGTTTTCTCTATCAATTGCGTCTATTTCATCTTGAATAATTGAAAGAATATCGTTCTCTATTCTTCAGACTACGCATGGGACGCCTATTGCCACTTTTTATCTGGACTGATCGTCAGTGGAGCCCACGCATGTAGGTTCCAAGGAACATGACTGGAGGAACGAATTATAACTCGAAGAGCGAGTATTTCCATAACCAATGGAATGATCTTGACTAATTTCCTAAATCAGCGCGGGCGTTCATCATCTGATCTATTATCTCATGTGGCTCGAGCTTCACAGGTATTAAATCGCCTTCAGAGGCAAACAACCTATCTTACTCTCATTGCCTCTTTTAAACTGAATATTTCTACTGTACACATTGAACTTACTGATATTGAAGTGACTGAAATATGTCCCCAAGTCCTTTTAACAACTTCCAAAACCTCCTGGATCAGCAGGTTGGAGCTATCACGATGCCTTCATCATGGCCACCTTCAAGTTCCCCACTGCCAGGTAAATACCCCGCTATGCGACTAGCGTGACTTTAGTTCCACTCTAACATCAGTTGCACTAATAATAATAGTCCAAGATACCTCAAATCCAAACGCAAATCCACAGAGACACATACCTGTTAACTCCTTGCGAGTTCAAGGAGCTGCATGGGCAACTGCTGGTGGTGGTATGGCGGCAACGCTACATGGCGCCCGAAAAATCTTTCGCAATTTCCGCGCTTTCCGATACATATAAGCCTTTGGACCCAAAGTGATGAGTTTAACGTGAAAAATGAGCATTTGAATGTGATGAAACCAAATTGCATGTGCAGCCATCTCAGTTGTTGTAATTTCCATGTGTTCTTATAATATGTTGACACAATCAGATTGTTACTTTATTTCGAAATTATAATAATTCAAATGTTTGGATATAATTGTTACTTCCCCCCCCCATTTACACCATTTCAGCTTCAATAATACTCTGGCTATCTCCTGGAGGAGACCAGACCTTCACAACTTGGAACCCCGCAGAAGCCAATACCTGATTCCATTGGGTCTGAGTCCGCTCCATCGTGCTGCAGAAGACCAGCATATTCCAGTCCCACAAAGTAGCGAGTAAGGGGGCATCCTTTTCAGGCATGACGAATTCTTCGATAATCAACTTTGAATAGCCTTTCAACATTGCACTTCGAATATGCTGTAGGATTTCCTGGCACTGCGAGTCTGTCCAATCGTGCAGGATCTTCTTCATGTAGTACACTTTTGCACCTAAATAGATGGTAGAAAATCAGATTTCTTTATCATAACGTTTCATTTTGCTAGTAGCCATGATTTACCTTTGACTTGTTGAGGCTTGAATAAATCAAAACCCATTTTCTCGATCTTGCCACTCAATTTCGCCTCATCTAACATGCACTCTCTTTCCTGTAAAATGAGTCGCCCTGGCGTATTGGGGAACTTAGCCTCAAATGCCTTTATATCTTGACCTCTCCCTCCAGCCATATCCACAAGGAAGACGTCTTCTGCGCCTCCAGTAAACCCATCCAGCAGATGCTCTTGTACAGGGAACCAATCCACCCAAAATCCTCGATCCCCAGAACTGGCCTCCATGAAAGCATTGAAGTCGTCATTGAACTGAGGATTCTTGGATATGAGGTTCCACATTGAATCCTTATTCTTATTTCCGTACTGCAATGGCCCGTTATTTGCTTCTGGGGAGTTCTGGAACCGAGTTGCACGAAAGAATTCTGGAGTAGCGGCAACACTGTTCGAGCCGCAATCGAACCTGTTTATCAAGCATTGATTAGCACTTTCCAAGTATTGGTATGTATTCAGAAGCTCTGGCAGCTCATTTGGAGCGTTGTATGACTCGCCTACGCTCGTGACCGCGTCCTGAGTCGCCCAAGTAAGACGCCCAAGAGAACGGGGTCAGATCTGAGGCCTCATCGAAGCCCTTTGATGCCACCTTCACGACGTATTTATATGGCATGTCCTGAGAGAGAAGTGAAGGTTAGTGAGGGTCTAATGTGAAGGAACATTGTATATATCCACATACATAGTTGACCGCGAAGTGAGCTATCAGAGTTCCTGCCACTGGTTTATTCGTTAGCTCAGTTTCAACTTGATTAACTATATTCATATTCTTTCAAATACGTACCAACAGAGCTCTGAAGGGGTATCGCCTCAGGTCTAGATCATCCGCTTGTAACGCCCCAAACAGATCATTAGGACCACCAGGACGCGCTGATAGCGGGCCTAGAGCCGTAGTGGAAGACCGAACCGATACCCGGGATATTAAATTCAAGTTTGTAGGGAGCCTCACATAAACCTTATAGTGGCACTATATCGTGGTAATGCCATCTGCCGAGTGATCTCATTTGAGGAATAGATCTTCACATCATCTTCCACGACGTAACCTATTCCAGCAAGCAGGCGCAAAACTCGCTCTGAGAGTCTTTCAGTGAGTAGTCATTTTCAACTTGATATGGCCTAGAGTAAGAAGGGATCTATCAAGTTTACCTGTAAAGATAGGATCCGCATCTTTAATTGCCGCTAACTCATCTAGAGTCATAGGGTGATCTTTCTCTGCAAGTGCTGTGAAGATTCCTAAATCTATGGCAATTCTCACAGATACCATCTCCACAGGCTAGCGTGTAAGAGATTAGCTACCGGTAGTTGCCCGCTTCGGGCGTTCAAGGCCTTGTCATCAAGAATAAACAGAGTAGATAAGAGCAAATACAGAATATGACATCTTGAGAATGGCATCTCGTGGTTTCTCAAGCGACTGAGCGAGCTTTCGAGCAGCTTTGATGGCTGCGACACGCTCTGACTCGCTTAGTCCGCCCTTAAGGTCATCGGCTGATTGGGACAGCTGATTGAGCCATAGTTGTTGACTTGTCTGGAAAGTTTGAATGGAAATTGATTATCAAGAGGGTCACGGCGCAGATAAAGAAGAGAAGTGAGGGAACGTGAAGGATTATAAGTGCATGTAAGATTTGAATGAGGGGTCAATATTGTTAGCGCTTTCTTCACACTGTGTCGTGGCTTGGAATTATAGCGTCTTACTGAGACCCAATCACTCTTCATTCTCTGGAAGATCATCATCATCCTGAGCGGGGCTAGATGATAGATCACAGTACTAGTCGGCCCGTGCCTTAAGCCAATGGCTTGACTTGAGCGGCACAGTATTTATCTAGTTCCACTCGTTTCAAGGCTAGCTCCAGGGCTTAGGCGATTTTTGAGGAGATTTACCAAGCGAGATATCTAGAGAACCTGGGCAGTGCACTGATAAGCCTTCAATTTCAATCCGTTCTCTCTGAAATGAAGGATGCAAACCATAGTATCAATAAGCACCTGAGTTTCACCTGATTTTATTCCAAAAGAAACAATGAAATTCAAAGATATCAATTACAGACTCTTGGTTAAGATCTTCCTAGGGGTCTTCACTTTTGTACATACACATATGTAGTATCAAGGCCAGAGAGTTACTGAGGAACTTTCTACATGTCAAAAATCGCAGATGATTACTGCGAGGTATCATTTTTGAAAATTGTATCTCATAAATGTACAAACATCATTTCTTCAATCCAATCACAGCCAGATTCCGAGGACTCTCACTATAGTCAAACACCGGCTCAACCCAGCACTCCTTAACAGAATCATGCTCACGAAGATACTGCCATCTATCCACAACAATAATACTCTCAACCACCTGCGAGCTAAACGCCATCAAGCTCCACACAACAGCGAGATTCTTCCTCGCGTACAAGTACTTCGCCTCATAGCGCTGGAAATCCTCATCTGACATCGATCCAACCAGCTCCTGCACCTTGGAGCCGTAGTTTACATCGCGGCTCAGCTTATGTGTAACAGCACGCATGTACGCCGTGAAAGATGTAAACGCAGCTTTGGGCAATGAGCCGACAATCAGAGCCTTGGGCCCGGCTTCTGGATTCGATTCCTCGTATAGATCCGCGACTGCGCTGGGCTTAGCTACGACGCCACGGTCAACAAGAATGCGTTGGAAAAGGGCACGGTAGAAGTTCCGTGTGAAGGTGCCTTCGCTATCGGTGCGACCCCAGTTATACGGAGCCTGACAAGACATCGATCGAGCAGTGATGTTCAGCTTTATGCCTTCAGTGTTGGCAGTTTTGTAATCTTCATAGCGCTTCGACATGGGGAACCCGTGCGGATCATATGATGTGCCGGTTTCATATAGACGTGGGTGTATAGATCGGAGGATGGGGAGTTTGAATGTTGCGGGACCAAGACGTTCAGTGACTAGGTTGTAGCAACAGCCAATCATGGCAACTGCTACCACTGATGGGTTTAGAGTTAGAGAACGCACGCCGTGATGGACGAGGTTTCCGCAGGAGTGTAGGGAGACCACCATCACCCGTGCATCAGTATGGCTTTCTTTGCCGTTCTGCGTGAGAGCAACCTGTCCCTCGTCTGATTCGGTGCCGTCTTGTGTTGGTTCTGGAGATGGATTGACAACATGGTCAATAATGGGCTCTAAGTACCCATCTTGAATTTCATGCTCAATATAGCTGAGCGTACCACGAGCGTCGATGATATGTTCTTCAGCCTTGGTCTTCCTTGGTTGGTTTCCCTTTGGAAATGAGCCAAACATCTCACCCGGTTGTAGACTGATCTCTCCAAGCATTTTAAAGACAGTAGTCTCTTCGATATTCTCCTCAACTTCTCTCGCCGGGACATTTCCGAACTTAGCCACACATTCTTCTGTCTGACAAGCACCCGGCTCTTCAGATGTAGTGGTTGCAGTATCTACAGCACTGTTCACCTGAGACATCTTATTTTTGATATGGAAAGTCTTTTCCGTTTTCTCTTTCTCCGCCAATTTCGCATGGACGTCCATTCCTTTGGCTCCACTGATATATTGATGTTTCCGTTCAATGGCAATAATATGCTTGTGATACGGGTCACTAGCCAGTGTTCGTCCAAGGTAATTCTGCCCAGAACCGAAATCCACAATATGCGAAACAGGTTCACCACGTCGCTCCGCCACTGTATCCGATAATCCACCAACATAGCGCGAAAAACATTCCACTTCATGAACCTTCTTCTTGTTCATGCCCACTGCAATGTGTCTCGGCAATTTGGTCTTCTTCTTGTCCAAATGAGGAGAATAGAAATCGCGTCGCAAAACTAACCGACGAACATTGTAAATGTACTCTAGTAGATCTGCAGGTGGGAATGCGCCTCCGTTCCATGTCTGATTCGGTGCACCTGGTTGTCGCAGAGGTTCGATATCCTCACGTAGTAGTAAATGGATGATGTCGTGTATGCCATGATGCTCGAAGAATGCTACCCAGTTCTCTGGGAGTATAGTCGTGTATAAATCGGGTTCGCGCGTTAAGAAATCGAGAATGTGAACCCCGCCACATAGATTGATGAAGAGCGTATGCGAGGTGGAGAAGGAAAGGAGGGCATCGATGTAGGTATCGGGGTTGTCCCACTCGTCTGCAAGTGGGAGAGGGCGTTCGCGAGACATATTAAAGCACAGGGATGCGATTGAACCAAACTTGAACCCTGTCAGTTTTGGTCAGTCGATCGTGGGGAAATCGTTATCTTTTTGATCTTTTCTTTTATCGTTAGATCCACCCGCTGAGTCACGATAGTATTCCTCAGATGAGTTCAAGCGGTCGCATGAATACTTTATTTTGTTAATGCCGCTAATTTTAGGACATTATATTGTATAGAAATTATTTAATATTATTGAAAACAGTATACAATCAAAAATCACTCTGAATTGTATCTCACAACTTGAACTATACCATTTTATAGTTCGGTAACACGTGATCCCCAAGAAGCTGCCAGCTCCGCATTAATCAACAATCACTCTCACCTCCAGGCTACATTACAACACAGTATACCGCAGCACAACCACAACCATGGAGCACTCAGACCCCTTCCTCCAAGTCCAGTCGTAAGGGCTCATTTTATCCATCAACCAACCATTCTACTAGTCCATCACTACTAGCAGGAACCTCACTAACCATGACATCAGGGACGTCATATCAACACTCCAAGCTAGTCGACCACTCTTCTCCTCCTACCTTCGCATCCGCTCCTTAACCAAGAACCCCGATAACCCCGAGCTAAAGCAATCCCGCTCCGAGCTCGAAACAACAATAACAGAACTAAGCACCGACCTCGATGACCTAGTCGAGAGTGTCCGTGCCATCGAACAAGACCCCTACCGCTTTGGTCTCGAACTAGACGAGGTACAACGACGTCGGAAGCTAGTCGATGATGTCGGGGCCGAAGTCGAGAAAATGCGACAGGAGTTGCAAGCGACGGTGTCACATGCGCCTGCTCCGGAGTTACCGAATCCGACGGAGTTCGATGCGGCCTTAGATGAAGAGGAGAATCGGGGTGATGATTACTATGCTTCCTTGGAGCAGCAGAGACAAACCGAGCTCATGCATGAGCAGGATGAGCAGTTGGATGGGGTTTTTAGAACAGTGGGGAATTTGAGACAGCAGGCGAATGATATGGGGAGGGAGTTGGAGGATCAGGCTATCATGATTGATGAGGTTGATACTTTGGCTGATCGGGTTGGGGGGGAAGTTGACGAATGGGATGGCACGTATTAGACATATTGTTCGGAAGAACGAAGGTGAGATTAATGTTTCTTTTACTTCTACTTCTACTCCTACTTCCATGGCTACGCTACGTCTTGCACAAGATCCGTATTGGACATTTCAAAGCATGGGCATCACGATTTCATAACTGACTTTTTTAAAACCCTAGATACATGGTCCTCCTTTTGCATAGCAGCGCTCATATTTGCGCTTGTGCTACTATTATTTCTTGTTATTGTCCTGTGATAGTACATCATCAATAAGGGGGCCCAAAAAAAATCAAAGCAAAACAACCACCAGCATCACCAGGAGCAAGGGCGTTCGTATGACGATAGGAATTGTCGTGATTTAAGTGCGAACCTTCTTGCGGGGGTGGGATTGTTCATCCGCGGATGAGTTGTCATCATCCTCGTCCTCATCCATCTCTTCCATCATATCGGCCTCGAGCTCTTCCATGTCAAGGTCTTCAAGGTCTTCACCCATCTCGAAAGAAGCGACTTTGGGAAAATTCAGTTAGCTGGGAAATGATCTGGTTTTCGGCTTTCATGGCTTGTTACATACCATAGTACTTCATGGCATCAGTCCAGAGGTCTTCGGCGATGGCAATGGCGAGCTCCTCGCCACTGGCGAAGGCCTCGGATTCCTCAAAGTAGAAATCATCTTCATCGTCATCCTCATCATCATCCTCATCCTCGTCATCATCCTCGACCTTCTCACCCTTGGCGATCTTGGCCCAGCGCTCCTCATCCTCCTTAGCAGCCTCCTTGGCCTGCTCAGCGGTGACATCACGGCCACGGTAACCGAACCAGTTGAAGAAGCTAATACCAATGGGACCCATGGCCTCCTCATCCTCCTCATCCTCATCCTCATCGTGACCCTCAGCCTCAGCCTCGAGCTCAGAGATCTTGGAGACAAGAGCCTCGAACTCAGGAAGCTGGGTGCGGGGACCAGACTTCTTCTTCTCAGCCTCGAAAAGGTCACAAGTGGCATTCAGGAGACCCTTGGTGACATCCATATCCTTCTTCCAGTTGATGCGGACAGGCTCGGAGACGAGACCCTCCCAGACGCGACGCTTGCCCTTGGGGGTGCGGGTGATCTGCTTACGCCAGTAGAACTCCTTAACGAGCTTCTCGTTCTCAAAGAAGGGGTTCTCCTCGCCAGTCTGGAAGTCAAAGGTGAAGCGCAAGCTGCGGGGCTCACCCTCACCCTTCTCGTTGACCTCGAATCGCTCAACGTTCATGTTCTTAAGAGCGGCACCGAGAATAGCGGCATCGGTGGGCAGGATGTGCTCATCAATCTCTTCAGGGGCGCTGGAAAACACGCGAATCCAGAAGTCGCCCTTGACCTCGGGGTGGTTGATGATCTCATTGCGCTTCTTGAAGAGCGGGGTCAGAAGAGGAACTGAGGCGCGGACTGTTCAGGGGAAGGTTGGTTAGCTTGGAGTTCTTGAATAGAGTAATTTCCAATATATCATTTCATCATAGACTTTTGAATTCAAATTGAATCCTATTCGTCATTTCGATGGCCTGAGCAATGGTATTGATGCAGATTTTTTTTTTGCTTAGCTTCTGCCAAGCTCCAATCACATAGACTGATATCCGTCCAAAACAACAAGTAATGAAAAACAAATGAGAACTTACGCTGCTCAACCTCAGCACGGATAAACTCATCCTGCAAAAGGGCGATCTTGGACTGGGCCTCAACAGGGATAGAAGGGAACTCAATGCGCTCAAGAAGCGACTGATCCTCGCCGTTAGACATGATGTATGAGATGGGGTATAAGAATTAAGAAAGAAAACAGCTCTCAAATAGATGAAGTGAGAGGAAAAGAAAAAAAGTAGGGAAGGAAAGAGATGGGGGTATCAGATAAAGAGTAGATGTAGAAGGGAAGGGAGAAGAAGAAAAAAAAAATTGAAAGAGGGGGAGATTAAAAAAAAAAAAATTCTAAAACAGATCAAAGCTCTCGACGCGCGCAGAAGGACTCCGGAGAGCTCTCAAGTGTACATAGAGTGACAGAGAAGGTACATTTGTTTTGGTGGGGCATTAGGTGGGGAAAGAAGTATCTTCTTGTAGCGAAAAAGTACAACACGGCTCACTTCTCAGGTTCTTTGGTTCTTTGGCACATGTGGTACACCAGGCAACGCGGTAGGACTTTGATCGCCTTAATATTCAGGTGTTAATTAAAAAAAAATCAATTCATACGTCATGCCTAACCCCTCCCACCGAATTAGACACTGTACAAAAACACGGCTTTTAGTTCCGCTTATTCAACCTTCAATGTTTATAGTTATAAATACAATAATATATGAAAATAGGCAATTATTCAATTCTTAGGGATTAATGTATATTGTCAACTTTCTGATAACTGTATAGCTGAGTCTACTCGGACATAACGCAAACAGGCAACTGCCAGTGAATTGCCGGAACGGGTCAGAGGGAGAGTTGCACTGCCGCAGCCATCAAGTAGTAGAGAGCCATCGGTCAATGAATAAGGACATTGTAGAGCATATAGACCACGACCAATAACATTGAACTACTTGAATAAGGAAAAGGAATAAAATGCGGTGAGAGTAAATTGGTCTGATCTCTAGATTTCAGCAGGTATAGTTAAACTCCGATGACTTGTATAGTAGATTAAAGACTGAACTGCCTAGGAATGACCTAGTATTGTTTTTATAGATGCGGCCGTTTATGATTCATCCCAGTCCATTTTAACTGCAGGCGTGTTCATAGAACTCAATGGAACCAGTTGACCATACCCTCTAGCCAAGAGCTCTATGCCAGTTGACTCCCCCAGGATAATACTACCTAGTACATATGGGGACCTTGGATCCCATTGTATCTATAGATGTTGAGGACCCTCAGTTTCATCATGCAATTACTTTAATGCCCGATGACATACAATGCCCAGGCCAAGAAATTCCAAGCCCCTCAATCCCCAACTTCAACTGCTTACAATACTAGTATTGTTCAATCCCTTATCCAACCAACTACTCCTCCCAACATTTGAACCTCTCAAGTACCATTAAGCTCAAATAGGAGCCACCTTTCATCACATTGCTTTTTCCGACCCTCAATCCTAAAGTTTACTGTACCTGAATGGCAAGACAAGCGGGCCCTACAAAAGGCAAATAAACCACTTTAATTTGACGCCATCTCAACTATTCAATCTTCTATTTTGGGTACTTTTTTTTCCCTGTCCCTCGAGGTTGGATCTCGTCTCTTTCATGCAGTTGCCACTCGCATCCGCGTCCCCGGGGACGTCCCCGAGTGTAGCTTGGGGCGAGTCGGACGAAGGAGCGGTCTGTAGGAACCGGCGATTGGTTAGATAAGGTCCTTACTTGAGCATACTTCGAGTTCGTGGTGCATACAGCCGAGGTTATGCGGTTGAGATGTCAAAGCGTAAGTTGAGCTTCGGGTCTTATCTACTACGTAGTAGATACCAATAAAGTCTCAAAGGAATGGGGAATGGGGAAATGGTGTCATTCAAGACTTGGTCTCAGATTTGTGGCGTTTCTGCTCATGGTAAATTCATAGTGCCAGGTTTCGTGATGTATCATTTGATTTTTTTTTCTCTCTTTTTTATATAAAAAAAGATCAGGAGATGTATTGAAATTGCTTTGGATCGGGTATTCGATAAATCCCGGGCAAAACATAGAGCAAAGGTAAAAAACTTTTTTGGTGGGAGCAGAGATAGATCCCCATTGTCCTTTTCCAGGACATCCGATTAAGAACAGCGGGTAGAAAAAAAGGTCATGTCCCGTATAATTCCCATGCCCATTCGCCAAAAATGCAATAATTAGAGCAAGAAAAACACAAAAAAGCAGAAAACACCGCATGGCAAATCAACATGCATAGACATCATCACCATGCACGTCTGCCGGGGATTGAACAGTCGTAAAAAGACAAAAGGAAAAAAAAAGCAGATAAGCCCATAGAAAACAAACAAAAGCAAGGAAGAAACGCAAAAAAATGAAAGTTGCGTTATCATCAGCAACCACACATTCCACAGAGAATTCCTTGAGCCCGTCATATTTCAAGTCAAAAGAGAAAAGCCCCACTAGACTTAATCGAAGGCTTTTCTTTCAAAGCATCCAATCAAGTCCATTGGCTTCCTCTTCTACAGGGAATACCTCCCGCGCATACTCTTCCATATCGCGCCAACCTTGCCACAGATGCCGAGCCTCGTCTGTCACTCGCAGAGACACCACGCCGCCTGGCCCCTGCATCATACCCGCACCAGCACCCTTTCCTCCAGCTGGGCCCAGACCCTTGGGTGAGCCTGCAGCCGGCTGCGAAAACTCGGGTTGCGGGAAGTAAGGGGCATCACACTCGCCAAAGAGTATCTCCAAGGCCTCGAGTTGTTCCCGGTATCCCATAGGAACATTGACCTTGATTTCAATCTTGGGCACACGTACGTATCGGCAGGGTCGGCCGAGAGCACGATGAAATGCGGCGCACACTTGATTTGGTGAAAGTGTTTCAAATGTGAGAGCGATTCTGCAGAAAGGAGTACTGTTAGATTATCTTTTTTTCTTTCCTTCTTTCTTGCCCTATCTCTCTGGTACTCGAACTTACCGATGTCCATGCCACTTCTTGGGCCCATCTTTGAAGATTTGTAACAGTGTAGGTCCAACATCATGCTCAGCATCTAACCAGGGCAGAGGAGTTTCCGGATCAAAGGGTGCACGCCATTCAAAGGAACCATCTTCCAGCACCTCCATCTGGAAGAGTGGATAAGGAAGACTCGTGAAATTATTGTTGTAGATACCGGCGTAGACAAAAGTAGACGGCAGACCTAACTGACGGATATAGTTCTCCACGGTAAACTTAGGGGCCCATTGCGGAACAGCAGGCCAAGGACCATGAACCGAGTGATCTGGCATACTGCTATAGATATAGTGTGTGATAGAACCGGCGCGTTTGGCAGCATCAGCTAGGGCACGTCCAATGGCAACTTCATCACCAGACTGAGAAGTGGTATTGATAAAAGCCAAGGAAGCACCCTGAAAGAGTGAATCCATCAGTTGGACATTACCCAGTAGAGGGCCCTGGAGGAGGGTGACATTCGGCAAATTCTGAAGCTCATCGGCGATGAGACCTTTCAGTGAATGAATCTGCGCGCGTACACTGTATCCTACGGCTGATGCGACACGAATCAAAGAAGCAGCTTGCCGTCCTGTCGCGTTCACGACGGCAATGGTCTTTTGCGGTTGTGTCATCCGGGGATTCGGGGGGTAGCCAACCGGTGGCTCAGAGATATAAGGAGGTTGTAAAGGAGAGGGGTTATAGAGGAAAATAGAGAGAATCGAAGTGGATCTGGACGAGGAGGGCCAGGGCAATAAAAAGAAAATCCGGAGTAAGAGCCTTGGCGAGAAAAAATGGAGGTGAGGGCTTATAGTGGGGTACCCTGGGAGGGGAGGCAGAAAATTGTATGTAACAAGAATCGCGATCAGACGGCGGGGACGATCCAGCTCCACCGGGGGCGGATTAGTGATGGAAACCAGGAAATTTTTTTTATGTGCATAAAAGAAAAAAGGAGAGAGAAAAAGGAGAATGAAAATTCTTTGAATGATTTCCAGAGTTGGAGATTTTTTGGATCAGAAGATTTTTGGTTCCGAGGGAAACGCGGAGGAGGGATAAGATAAGATTATAGGTAGTGTATAGGTAGTATATAGTACAATGAGCTATATAAAAAAAAATGAGAAAAAAAAATTGTAAAATGGTAAAAATGGTAAAAAATGTAAAATCCATAAAAAGAATCTAAAAGAACCATGACACCATCGTCCATAAAACATTCGGGGGGGTCTGGGTTCTCGCGCATTTTAATTCTTTACGTAAAATCGGCACCTTGTCGGCACCAGTTAGACGGGAAGATCCTGAATCGGCCATCGGGACGGCCCCATTGTCAGTTACTTATAGTGTAAAAGAAAAGAAAACAAATTTAAAAAAAATAAAAAATAAAAAATAAAATGTCCGGTTAAAGGTTAAGCTAACGCCAAGTCGTGGAGTCCCATTAAAGAACCACAAATAAATCACGCACGATGAGATAAATAGGGAGGTGAATGAGCAAAGCCCTCCAGAGCTGGAAGGTAACGGAGTAAGAGTCTCCAAATTTTGTATATGCAAGCAACTGTTCCACCAACAACCTGTCAGGGGCTCGCTCACGTGGTCCTAGGATGTGGATTCCTTTCCTTCCAATTGGCGTTGATCAAATTCTTTTTATGGAGTCCTTGTAGTCACTTTTTTCACTCTCATGCCCCTGGTGGAATCTTTGAATGGTTGGAAGTTTCGTGGATTTTTTTTTCTTGATCAGGTGGACAAGGTGGGCGTGGCCAGCGCACGCCTTCAGCCCGGCCTAGGCTACGCGATATACGTTGTACTGTACGAGGTGTACGAATATACTTGTATCTGGTATGCGATGTATCTTCAAGTTGGGGTACCTGGGGGGTTCCCTTTCCCCTTTAGTATCTATCTCTTGCCGCTTTTGAGTGAAATGAAGTCAGAGTAAATGAGAGTAAATGAGAGCACGCCATATTATGGCTGACTCATCATCCTCAATAAAATGCACTCCAGGGCTACAGTGTAGATATTGCATTGATCTACAGTTCAATTCGAAATAATATGATCTTATTTACAATATCAAATAAATAAATTCAGATGATTGTCTCAATTTTATCTAATATTAGACTTGAAATTGAGATAAAAATAGTAGAGCAAACTTGATCATTTGACAATGCCCCAAATACCCACTCTATCTATAGAACCCGCCACGGCCACTATTACGACTACACCTTCACAGGAAACCTTTCTCGCAACCTCTCACCATAAAAATAAAACACAAAAGGCACCACAGTAAATCCCAGAGCAATAAAAGCCAACACACTATTCCCCCAACCCAAACCAAGCTTATCATAAAGCGAAGAAGCAGCAAGAGGAAGACAAGCCCCAGACATATTCCGCAGCAAAGTAATAGCACTAAGAGCAGAAGCTGCAGCCTGAGGCCCAAAGAGATCAATCACATACGTTTGACATGAAGAAGTGATCATCACTATCCCCATCCCCGTGATCCCAGTCCCAATGATGGGCGCAATCCAGTGGACCTGATAATAGGCAGTCCATCCATAAATGAATAGCCCAAATGGGTACAAGAAAACAGAAATACATCACCAGGATCATTCGTCGCTCGGCACGGTATTTCTGTTTGTTCGTCGAGTCCGAGTTCTTGCCTCGTACTATCCGATCGCTAAACTTGCCAAAAGTGAATATAGAAATCGCGCAGCCGATTCCGATCCCAATGTATGCTAAACCAGTTACCCCCACGCTCCAGCCGTATGTATCTTCATAGACACCCGGGAACGTGGAGAAGAAAAGCATGATCACGCTGAAAATAAAGGCAAGGTAGATTGCAGCAAGGAGAACGAGTGGCGAGGTGACGAGAATCTTGATTGGACGTTTCAAAGCGTGCGTGACAAGCTTCTTAATTGGGATTTGTTTATCGCCAGCCGCATGAAAGTTGGAGCTTCCAGTTTCCTTGCGGAGACGAACAGCTTTAGCCTTCAGAATCACCAAGGCAGATGTTTCACGCATGAAGATAAATCCAACGATGGAGACGGCGCCGGCCTATTGAGAAAAGAAGATGCTCTGTTAGCTTCATCGTGCCCCTCAGTAAAAGTTGAGATATAGAGGCTCACCAGCATGAGAATCAGATAAAATGACCATCTCCAACCAAGATCTTGGGTCACAAACCCTCCAACAATAGGTCCAAGTACCGGCCCAATAAGAGGCCCTGAAGTAAACATTGCCATAGCAGCACCTCTTTCTTTCTTATCCAATAAATCTGCAATTGTACCACCCCCAGTCGTCATAAATGGAGAGGCTGCAAATCCTGTCAACAACCGGAAGACAAGAAATTCAGCAACATTGGTACTGCGTGCACATCCGACTGTAAATCCCATATAGCAGATACATGCAACGCGGTAGATAGGCAAACGTCCGAAAACCTCAGAGAGAGGCGCAATAAATAGTGGTCCGATCGCAAATCCAAGTGAGGCAATGGTAACTGTTAAGGTCTCGATTGTCGAATTGTCGTAACCGAATTCCTTTTCCATGATGTTGGCACCTGGCGAAAACATTGTTGTTGCAAGGTTACAGTATAGAACTGATGCGCTGATGAGTATCACGTTGAATGTTTTCTGTTTTTTGGACCAGTTTCGAGGATTTTGAGGGTCGTCAGGTCCATCCCAGTCGACGATGTTTTGGTCATTGGTATTGGTGGTCTTCTTATCAACTGAATTATTTTCGATGTCCTTGTCTGCATCGAAGTTTGTAGGGTTCAAGTGTGGGATTTCATGTCCGTTGAAATTGGCTTTTGTTGCGATGTCAGGCGTGCCTTTGTTACCTAGCATGTTCATGAATGATTGCACTGAATCTAAGATCAATAGGAGGATTATGAGAATACAATAGCAAAAGGGGAGGAACATAGTGATTTATTTCAATTCAAGTGAATACATTGATTTTATATGATAATTAGCTAGACGGAGAAAGGGGATACATCGGGACATAGACACGGAGGATGAATATCAGAACTGATCATATAGCTGGAGTCTTTGGTCCGAAACTTGCTCCGTTATCAGACTATACGTGATTATACATCTCACACTGGTTCTAAACGACGGATTATGTTGAGATCTCATTTTTATTATGGACAGTATCTTGGTATGATAATTCAATACAATTTTTTTTTATAATATTGAGGGTAATAGCCATGAGCATTGTGAATGGGACTGTGAGATGTAGTCCCTAATTTGGCCCCCATTTGATGGGTTAAAATAAGCTCCGTCGATTGCTCCGTTACTTTATCCTTGACCTCGTCAAATGCTCCGTTGTCTCAGTTGATCGAGAATCCACCCATGAACTAGACGAAGAACCCCGATTTTGAATATTCAACTCACAATCACTTATTTCAGGCTATCCGATTGATCTCCTTCGTTGTCTTTGGCTGAAGCTCTCGCCACCTCAGTGACCTCACCACGGTTCCACCGCAAGAAAAAAGCAAAGAACAAGGGAACTTAACGGACCCACTTGGTCTCCCTGCATCGAAAACTGCTAGTGAATTATCACCGTCAATTTATTCGAAAACTATGGAACCCTCGATACTGCATAATGGCTCCGCAGCAGATGTGTCGCAGCGATTACGGGACCGTCGAAGAGAGAAGTCAATACTGTCATGTACATTTTGCAGAGCTCGCAAGTATGTATTTCCACTCATACTACATATTGATAGCTACTGGGCACATACTTATGAGAGCATTGAGCATGAAGAGTGCGATGTGACAGACAGATGCCATGCAACACCTGTACAAACAAGGGCATCGGCCACTCATGCAGGTACACACCAGGCCCGCAACGCCAAAATAAGGTGAGCGTCGGTGATCGCATTGAGCAGCTTGAGAGCTTAGTTCGATCGCTTGCCCAGCAGCCTCATAACTCGCGCGTGCCAGCAGTCCGTCCAGATGTAGGAGCGACGGATATCCCGACCAGTCTCAATCAAGGTACAACAAAAGAGTCACCAAGTATTGTGCCTGAAGGTCCAGGCATGATGACTCCAATGGCTTCTACCGATAGCCACACAATGTCTCCTCCGATGAACGCATCTTTGACCCACGAAAAAGATCACGATCAGCCTTCTGCGCACTCACCCGCTTCGTCAGAGTACGGTAGTATGCGCCACCACTCTCATGGTGCAAACTATGTCGGAAGCATCCATTGGTCTGCTGTTCTTGACAGCATTTCCGAGCTCAAGGATCATTACGAAAAGGAAGAAGAGGCAAGGATGCTGGCCAATAGTGACCCGGCTCCCTATCGCAGCCCTGGCCCTCTTCTTCTATACCAACCTGTTCACACAACAAAAGCGGAGATTCTGGCCTCGATACCTCCTCGGTCAGTGACGGATCGCATAGTGGCACGATACTTCAATCTTCAAAATAGCGCACCAATACCTGTGATACATAGTGGTCATTTCCTCAAGCAGGTACGTGCTGGATCCTCGCTTCAATCTTTTTTAGAGCTAACCGGATGTTCAGTATGAAAACTTCTGGCAAGATCCCGCTTCCGCATCTTTGCTATGGCTTGGCCTTTTATTCAGCATGATGGCTCTTTCAACACAACACCAGCAGTTGATAGAGGATACCCCAGAGGCTGAAGCTTTAATCCGAATTTCCAATTTCCGTGAGAGAATAGTTCATTGCCTTGTCCTCGGCGAGTTTACCAAGGGCACAAAATATATTCTGGAGACCCTTATTCACTACATCACCCTTGAGCTGCTTTTATGCAAAGATGCAGACATTGGCGCGTGGCTAGTAATGGGTATAATTTTGCAGCTTGCCCTGAGTCGCGGATACCATCGAGATCCTCAAAACTTTCCAAAGATATCACTCTTTGATGCGGAAATGAGACGTCGCGTATGGGCTGTCATAGTGCAGATGGATCTCCGTCTATCAAGTCAGATGGGATTTCCACGTCTCCTCAAGTTACACCAGTGTGATACAATCGAACCATTGAATCTCATTGATTCAGACTTCGACGAAACTACTACTGAGATGCCACCATCCAGATCAGAGAACGATATCACCCCCGTTCTTTACCTCATAGCAAGGAATCGAATTGATCATATAAGTGGACAAGTCAGCGATCTACTTGCAAACACTCAAGAGCATTCATACGCAGAAGTCATGAGACTGGACGGCAACCTTCAAGAGGCCAATGAATTGCTCCCACCTATTTTTCAATGGCAACCTCTCAGTCAGTCATTGACGGTGCCACCTCATATTGTCATGCAGCGCATTTGGCTCCAGCTATCTATCCCGCGCATGACGATCTGGCTGCATCGGAAGTATCTGGGTTCGGCATATGATAATGGGGAATATGAATACTCGATAAAAGCATGCATCCAAGCAGCCATCCAAATAGTTGAATTTCAAAAATTACTAGACGATGAAACGCAGTCGGATGGTATGTTGTATCCAGTTCGGTGGATGTTGACGTCGCTCAGCCGATTTGTCTTTCTACTCGGGATGAGTATTCTCTGCTACTATGTTCAACTATCCAAGAAAGCTCCAGAGGGTCTTTCAGATAATGAAATGACCACAAAGATCTACGACTTACTGCATAGCATATACCCCATTTGGCTGCGTTGGAGCCCTGGATCTCGTGAGGCTCAAAAGGCTGCAGAGCATCTGAGTCTTATACTGGGACTAGGAGGGAGAGGTGACTCGGATGCTAATTTACAACATCATGGGCAAACACCTGGAAATAGCGCCCTTGTTTCTCAGTTTGGCTTGTATGCCGATTCTACCATGCCCTGCGATCCGTTCACTTGGAACGACTATCAAGGTGAGCAAAATTTTGAATCCATTTCTTAAATCGAGATAAATACTGATATTTTCTAGAACAAATTATGGGGTTTCCCTCCTCGGAGAATTTGACAATCAGATGTCCGCTCAATCTTTGCCACGGCTATCTCCGACGATGAATCTCTATATGGCAGATTTGACAGCGGACAGTCTCCACAATGTGGATGAGCTAATGCAGGTGAGTTTCCAGTTTAATTTCTTTCTCCTATTGCTTTTCAATTTTGTGGATTTGTCTCAAACTAAAGCTCCTCTAACCGCATGTGCATTCTTAGCAGTAATCGGGCGAATGGATTACTGACAACGTATGTTGAGTGAAAACAGTGGATTGGGAAAAGGGAAGAGCAAAAACAGAAACAAAAATAAATATAAACAAATCGATCTCAACTGGACGTGCGCATTATCAGATTAAAATCATGAAGCAAATACTATCATAGTCAACTTGAAGTTGGCGCTAACAACAATACTGAGTGCTTAATAAAGGCCCCCCCATGAGAACCCTCTCCAGACTGACATTTACTCTTAGGGATCTCCAGCTGCATGACATAAAAGCAGCAACATCTCAGAAAGGTACGCCCCACTGTGCAGAACGCAGCTACCACCTCCTTATGGCTTCTGGATGTTTTCCTATAGGTGAGCTATACAAAAGTAGGCAAAGTCTCCGGATGTCATAATTACTGGACCTTGGTCCATGCATCCTAGCATCACCCTAATCCCCGCAAATTTTAATCGACCCAAGCTATTGAAGAGTCGGCCGAGGATTCCGAGTTAAGTACCTTTGTGTACGGTCTGCTCCGAGGAGAAATCTAATTGCACTTTCAAGGATCATCGATGTCGATGTTACAGGGAACCTCCAAAATGCACAGAAAATCAAAATACGTCATTCCATGAAGAAGTACAATTAATGACACCTCAAACATCATGAATAATGGCGCAAGGGCCGAACAAAATGCGGTGACCCCAGAAAAGAAGAAAAAACAAAATAAAACAACGCGTTTTCCTCCTATTCCCCACTTGGTGGCTTCTTACCCCCCCTCGGCGGCAAGATCTCCGCGGACGTGGGAATCCCCGAATGGTTCGATGGAGTTCTCTGGCGAGTCATTGCGCTTGCACTTGTACTACCACTACCGCCCATAATGATCTTCTCTACTCTTTTGGCCTCGTTTCAATGAGGAAGAGAGGCATGTGAGCATATCACGCCTTGCTCACCCAGCCCCCTTGAATCTTGATGGCGTCGCTCCGGTGAGCTTTGTCCCCGCCGGCATTTGCTTTCAACCTCCCTAGACTGCATTAGGTAGTTTAGATGGCGGTGTTAGGTGGTAGCCTTGCGGGATATGATACTCTCCTGGGCATTTTTTTTTTTTAGATTGGTGGTTTCGCCGTCGCTTGCCAGTGGTCGGAGAGGTGTGCATTTCGGATCGTCGGAGGGCACAGACTCCCACTGAAGAGACGTATGCTGGTTGTCAGGCACAGTTTCGTATCTATGGTGTTCTCGGCACTATTGCATCATTGCATGAATGAGTATATCTGTCATGTGATGGAAATAGAGTGTAATTAGTGGTGTCTAAGTGCTAATTTCGATTAGCATAGTCGAAATCTGAAAACGCAATTATTGGCATCACTGATGGGATTCTTGGGGTTTGCGTGATCAGTCTCATTTTGGTAATTATGGGGATGATAGCATTCGAGATCACTCTGTCTGATGGCGTAAGCATTAGGATCATGATGCAGATGTACACCGTCGGAGCTCCTTAAGCATTTCATCGCATTCAGGATAAATTACCTAGTTAAAGCGTTTGGCGGAACCTTAAAAAGGAACCTTTCACTGCCTTGTATCCAGTATATAGGTCCGACGAGTGGTTCTTAAGGAAAATTTGAACCTGAAAAAGGAAGTCCCATGCGACGGAATTGAATTGTGAGATTTGTTAAATGAACATCATGATCACCTCCACCTGGGCAGGGCTGTGATCTTGTGTCTATTTAGGCTCAATTTGTATGCCTCCTATACATGCAATACCGCCACCTGCTCGGCCAAGTAATTGTGTACACCAGACATGGATTACTACATCACAACTTGAATCACAACTTCAAATGTTTTATAGAGATTTCTAAGGCTACTACCTAGTAGGCAGAGTAGTAGGTACTGAGAGAGGTACCCATACATGTACTCAACGCAAGGTAGAGGTACTAGGCAACCAGGCGCTGACCGATAATAACCGAGCAGGTAGCATTAAAGGTAAAGGCATGACTTTGATAGTCTGTCAATCTAGGCTATTGGCTTTTACATGAACTTCAAGTTAAAACTACTCCTTAGGACACGGGGTGAGCTCGGTTTTTGCAAACCAGGAGATTATAGAAGCCATTATTGATGAGAACTTGAAACTTGAATAATCACATTGCCAAGATCTAAGCAACTATGAAAATAGCTATACTATCCGGAACCTCCTTCTGTTCGTAGTAATTTCAAATGTTTAGTCATTTCAGCCCTGGAGGGTCATCTAGGCTAGTCTATTCGATGTGGAGACTGACCACACTGACGTTATTCGGCATGTCCAAGAAATCATGATGAGCCCCTTTCTGATCGGAAGTGAACCGATTTCCGGACTGTTCGCACCTGGGCAAGGTCTAGATTGAAGCTGTGAGTCCGGCGTCAGGCGCGGCGATGCGAATACGGCTCTGAATCCTCTGATCAATGTAAAACTCTTACCCTCAAGGACCTCCACTTAGTATAAGTGGGTCTGGACCCAATGCGTGATTTTTTCAAGATGGACACTTGTCTGCACGTGTACCGATCTGTATGTTCTAGTTGGACTACAGATGAAATGGAGATAAGAAGAAAGAAGGAGCACTTTCAACCTTCAGATGTTCAGGTTGGAGGAACGTGGGAGATTGAAATATAATTTACGTGTCACGTAAACTTGGAACAAGATCTTTTCAATGTTGCCCTGTTTTTCAGGCTGAAACTTTGGGTGATATATTTGCATTCTGGATTTGCTGTCAATCAGGCGCTCAAGATTGATCTGAGGTTGATACTTCAGGCTTTGACTCAAAATCTCCTGTGTCAAGCAGGACCTTCACCACATCGTGGTGGCCATTGCGGCTTGCGAGTGACAGTGCTGTCTCGCCAAAGTCATTTCTTGAGTTCGCATCGAATTTGCCAGTATCAAGTAGAAACTCGACTACCTTGGGATGTCCATTGGAGGCTGCTATTGATAGTGCAGTATCTCCTGCAGGAGCTCGTGCATTGCAGTTTGCTCCGCAATCACTGATTAGCAACTGAATGATGTCTTCGAATCCACATTTCGCTAGCCACAACAGAGGAATGAGCCCATCGTTGAATGGTGTGTCAACTTCAACTTTTCCAGTGCTTAGTAGACGCTTCATAATCTCACGTTGTCCAATGAAAACTGCCATACCGAATGGTGTACGATCACGATAGCCTCGAGCATTCACATCTACTCGACCAGTCTCAAGTAGAAATTTGACAACCTCTGCGCTATTTCTATCGATTGCAAGCAATAGTGCCGTCAGACCCACAGAGTCTCGTGCGTTCACGTCTGCTTCCCCAATTTCAATGAGCATGCGAACCACAGATCCTTGTTCTGGGAAACATGGTTCATTCCAAATTGCCCATAAGAGTGGAGTGCGCCCGTGTCGAAGATCTCTTGTTTCAACGTCGACTTCCCCAGTCTCTAAGAGCAACTTGACTATATCCGTGTGTCCATGTTGTGCAGCTATAGATAAACCTCTACGCTGCTCTGTTGACTCCTTTGCGTCAACTACCACGGCCTTCGTATCTAGAAGCAACTTGACGATTGACACATGTCCCTGAGCTGCCGCTGTAAGAAGCGGCGAACCATTCAGGTAACACCTCGAGTCGGGGTCGACTTTTCCAGTGCTCAAGAGAAACTTCATAACACTTGCATGGCCCTCAGAAGCCGCGAGCCACAGTGGTGAACTGTCCTTATAACCTTTCAAGTCGATATCATCTATTTCTCCAGTGTCGACAAGCATTTTCACAATGTTTTCATTTCCAGATTGTGCAGCAAAATGGAGAGGTGTTTTACCGTTTCGGTCTTTTGAATCAACGCTCACTTTACCACTATCAAGCAGCCATTTCACCACGGTCTCTAGTCCAGACTGTGCGGCATAATGGAGTGGTGTTTGCTCATCCCCGCATTTTTGATTTGGATCAGTACGACCAGTCTCCAGAAGCAATATGGCGATAGCTTCACGCTTGTTTATCAATGCGATATGTAGTGGTGAATGGTGGTGACCAGGGATTCTGTCGGCGCTTGCGTTCCCGGTTTTAAGGAGCAGCCTGACAACCTCCTGATGCTCGTTCTCACAAGCCACATCAAGGGCTCTTTTACCGCTAATAACCGAATCGACATCCACCTTCTTGGTCTCCAAGAGTAGTTTTACTACTCCATAAAAATCAAGAGCTGCTACGTAGAGGAGAGGTGTATGTCCCTTCGCATCTGGCCAGTCCACGTCATCTGACCACCAACTAAGAAGAACTTTAACAACTTTTGTGTGTCCACTTCTAGCCGCACATAACAATGGTGATGCTTGAGTACGGTCAACTGCACCAAATTCGACCTTACCAGTCTCCAGAAACATTTTGACTATGTCATCGTAACCCTTTTCTGCTGCCCAGCCCATGGGTATTCTTTGCCATGTGAGATCTTTTTCATTGATATTCACCTCACTGCTGTCAAGAATACTCTCAACAACCGCAGAAAGTCCAAAATACGACGCGCATATCAATATTGAGACTCCAAGCGGAAAGTCACCTTGCATGTGGTCATAATAAAATCGAAGTTGTCCCATGGAGTTCCAAAATTCGTGAAACCTCGCAGATTCCATGATCGTCGAATCGCATAACTGAGTTGCCAATACAACAAGAGGATCTTCTTTCCTGACACAAGATTCACGAAAGTGAACTGGCCAGAATTCAACAAAGTATTCGTAAAGCGATCTCAAAATACTCAGCCCCTCATGCATGCAGAGAAGCCATGCGCCTATATCCGCGAGGACTCGACTTGAATCTTTAGGAGAAATGGAATGCTTCCAAAGATTTGATGTTTCGATGATGTCGAGTGCGGAATTTCTGACCAGGAATTCCTTGACGGTCTGATGAAGAAGGTAAACCTTTTGGTCAACGACGGTCAAAAGAAGCCCACAAAGATCTCGTAACGACGTTCTGAGACGCTCGACTGGTTCCATCTCATCGATGATATCGTCATAAGCCTGGTCAGCGTTCCCAGGCCGGAAGGCCAGGGCAAGAGACATCTCATCTAGAGATAATGGACGCTTTGCAGCAGTGACAATGTGAAGTAATCTTTTTGCCTTGGCATGATTTGGACTTCTATTTAGTATCTTTTCATAGGCCTCGTCCACGTCGAGCGGTATTTCATTGTGTATAACTCGTCGAACATTTCCTCTAGTGAAACCTGGCGTTTTCTCAATGAATTCAAGGGTTAAACTGACACAGAGATATGTTCTGTTGCTAATCTTTTTCAGTTGTTCCTGGAGAAAGATGCATTCTCTGTCCTCGAGGGATTTTATGTGCGCAATCTCTTGGACTCGACTTGTGACCACGAGATCAATCTCGTTTGATATTTTCTCCACTTCGATTTCATCTTCACCACTCAAATTAATTGTCGGTAAATTTGTCTCCAAGGCGTGAAATACACTGCGAATGTGTCCGTATGGTCGACTAGTGACTAGAAATTTCAGATTGGACTTTGATTTGGGGTTTTCCTCCAAATAAAGTCTGCTTATAGCTTGAATAAAGGGAAGACGGTCCTCGTCCCGACACTCATCCAAAGCGTCAACCACGCAAACTATTTCGCCAGTATTTTCATTTGCTGCTACATCAATGAATAAATCCCACAGGCTCTGGAAAGAACCAAGGAGTTGTTGGCCATCAGTTTCAAACTTCTCTAATATTGTATTGGTAAAAAGAGAGGGTCGAGCCATGAGAGCTTGACGTAGAAGACTTGCAACCGCATTCGCAGAGTTGTTCTGGTCGGAAAAGTCGTCCTTGAAGAAAAAGTAGCAGACAGTCGTCATCCTTGTACTAAGGAGAACTTCATCAACCAGATACTTTGCAAGAACGGATTTGCCACAGCCTGGGTCTGCAGAGATCCATAGAAGACCACTGGCAGAAGTGTGGCTTGCTTTCCAGTTCCTAAAGAGAGCGTGGGTTGTGACCCATTCGCAGGTGTCAGGTACACGATGGCCATTTCTGTCTTTCCGATCTCGATATGGACAAGTATAGAGTTCTCGAAGAGATCTCTTGATGTTTTCATCTCGCTTTGATGTAATTTGCCAAATTTGATATTTTTTCCAATGTGTTCTGCAGCTGCTGTTCTCTGGCCTTGCGGTCTGCTTTCCGTTCGGCTGCATCGATCAAGATCGTAAACTTGTGTGATTCCTCTTCAAGGCTTTTCATCCCCTCACAGAGTTCTTCCCAGGGATGTTTCTTCACTAAGTCTCTTGCGAATTGTGAAATCCAGTTTTTGTCTAGATAGCACAATGCTCTCGCTTGGTATTCCAGAACTTTGCAAACCAGAGAGATGAGTCCTGCCTTGAACTTTTCTGCAAATTCGCTCGAAGGTGTGATACCTGGACTCAAGTAGAGATCCTCAAGCATGTAAATGCGCGGGATTAATGCAGCGAGCACATCCAGTCCTTTCAAGAGACTGCCTTGGTGCTCGACGGTTTGAATGAATAGCTAAATCCAGACCAATTAGAATATTTCACAGTATCCTCATGTTGAGGGAAGTTACCAGTAGAGCAACTGCCACACCTGCACATGCTATTGCAGCTGGTGGACTCGTAGACGCAGCCGTGTTAAAGACATCCTTCAGCATCAAAATTTTTTGGAACACCTTGGCAGTTTGTTCCTTTATTGATGCACCGTGGTCACCGATAGTCCATTTCTTGTCTTCCAAGTCGACAACTCTGGCATCCAGAAACTTGGCGAGTTTTTGACGTCTATCCTTTCCATCCGTTGCCAGCTCGAATCCCCAACCCTTCACGATCTCGGCAGCTCGCACCAGAAGTTGTTTCGTTTTTACGTCGTCTTTGAGCTGTCTCTCAGCTATGATCCACAGGTCCTCGGAGTTTTCAGATGAATTGGATTTTATAATATGGTGTGTCTGAACTATCTCTTGTTGGTTTGCATCTTGATATTTCCGCTCATCGCTGGCAAGGGATTTTGGCTTTAAGCTGGCAATTTTTGTTTTCGAACCATCATTGCTTTCAGTCTGAGGCATTCCCGAAAGCATTGCCCTTACTCGTTTGAAATGCATTGCGAATTTGTGAGGTTTTTTGGGGCGTTGAGTTTGCTATTCGAGCGTTCAAGATAAGAGCGGGGGATCTTTCGATTCAAGGGACTAGTAATGCTGACGTGGTCGATCAGATATAAACACGGGCGCATACAAGCGGCCAATAAGATGATGGAAATTCATCAAGACTGATCAAAGCGCCTTCACGGAATAAGCAAACCACAGCCAGCCCAAGTGTCAACCGTGCAGGCTCTATAAGCGGCCCCACAATGAAGCTGTCAAATCACTTCTCTCGGCCCAAACTGCCTGATTCGAGTTGTTGCCAAAGTCTTAATCATTGGGTGTGCATACTAGTTAGGTTCTAGAAAATGCTCGCTGTATCTTTTTTGTAGTATCCCAACCCGGAGAATGACGGAAGCCCGTCATTTAGTGTTTATCACCCAGTAGGACCAAATTGAAGCGCATCTTCCTCAAGAAGGCCCATCATATACTGGTTTCCAGAGAACCAATTTCCTAGTTGGGCCGACTGTGACATCTCAGTCACAGATAAAGGCTCGTGGTTTTGGCTTTGTGATTGAGAAACAGGTGAAGCCAGCCCAGGTATTTGTGAGGTAGGCTCCAAGGATCCACCTTGCATAGTCAACATATCAGACTGAGAATATCCCTGATTACCCATCATTAAATTTCCAGGCGCAAGTCCCAGGGCACTGAGATAAGCATCAAACTCCTGACCAACAGAGAAGAGGCTTTCATCTTCTCCCACTTTCCCTGTAGTTTTGGCTTCAACATATAGTCTGGCAACGGTACCGAGGACAGAACAGATTGTATGGAGACGGTCAACGGATTGGGAAAAGGAGCACAATGGTCGAAGAGAAGCGATGAAATCTTCTAGTCGAGTGAGATCTTCGGTATTGGAGGTTGCGATTACATGGCAGAAGATGACGATGAAGGGAACGAAAGGTGAGAGAAGAATTGACCTGTTCTTATTAGACAAGATCAGATGAAGAGAATTCTTAGGTGACCGCTCTTACCAATGCATGTATGAACATCGCATAATTTCGCTTGCTTCTTTCAAAGACCCAACACACTCTTGGTGGTGTTCTAATGCGGCTCGAGCTGTTTCAATACATTCTGGTATGAAAGTACTTGATGACCCGGATTCGGCTGATGCAGGGATCGCTCGATATATCAATGTCAATATTGCTAATCGGCTAACCTTCTCGGTTCGAAAATAGAGCATGTCTACATCAGATAGGGCTGATTCGGCCCCCGGAGAGGACATGATATCCTGTCTTGAAGTCAGTCTACCTGTTGTATCAAATCTGCACATGCAGTTTGAAAGAAATTGCTTACTTCAAAAGGTTCAATAATCTCCGACTTCATCTCGGCAGCAAGTCGACGGGCGTGAGAGACTCGTTGGCTTTCTGGTTGATTCAAGGCAACGGGACTATATAGAAGGGTATATACTTTGCCTTGTATGATGGCCTGTATTGTCCATATTGCACATACATTGCCCCATATTCCTCCATCGGCAAAGGTTTCAAAGGGGGAAGGCAGCCCAATATCGTACTCTTGAACAACAGGCGCACGGCCAAGTCGCAAGGACATCATGTTCATAATAGTGTACACGGACCAAAATATGCTTTGCTTCTGTTTCTGAACCGATGGAGGGTCATGTTCCATGGAGGACATACGATGATAGCCCAGGGTTTGACACATATGAATTGCTGTTGAAGCTAAGGTCCATCCCAGTAATGGCTTAGAGATTTCAATGCCATGTATTGCCTAAGTAGTGGAAATGTCAGCCTTCCACGAAATTTATGATTCGTTAGTCAACATATGAAATGAAATGACCTACCCCCAGAGAGAGAGCCAAGATGGAATCAAAAGTTGCCGGCATTAAAATGTTCAAGTTCGCCAACGCCGCTTCCAAGTTGTATTTGCAGATCTGCAGATAATGTTGAAACTCATCCCGGGCAGTTCGCACCTTTTCTACATATGCAAGTTCGATGAAAATATTATACAGCCCAAAGTTTGTGACAATGAATGTTGCATCAGAATAATCATCGGTGCAGAAGTAGACTTCGCGGCATTTCTCAATAAAGACATCCACGTTAAAGAATGGAAGATAGCCGCCAAATGAAGAGGGTGGATTTGCTAAGATGAGAATGAGCATGGTTCTTTCATATTGATTATGCCAGTCATACCTTTCACTTTTCGCAATACTGTCAGAACAAATGGCAACGGCGGCAGTTCTAGTTGTCGAATATCACAACGATCACCTAGTTTGCTGCCTTGGTTAGAAAATTGAGCCCTTTGAGAACTTGAATCAGCCCCTCGGCGCCTATTTTGCATCTTCACGATTTGCCGCAATGAGGAAAGCGCCTCATTGATCTTCGGACTCGACAAAACCTCGGGTGTACTATGCGAAACTGCTGACTCCAAGAAGTCCCTGGCATATAATGAGTGAGCACTGAGTGAAGAGTTTCCCTCAAACCCAGAACTCGGGTCATGCTGCTCAATGGCAGAGTTGGAAGTATATCCAGGACCTTTCAATCCTGCATGGTCAGGTTTTATCGCAGGAGAACTGACGCGAGCAACTGACAAGGGTGACTGATGAGATGAGCCAAACGATTTTATTGATACAGAGCTTTGGGATCGCGATGCAGTGAGTAGCTCTTGCAACGCTTTCTCAATGCCTCCCAGTCGCCCTTCGATCAAATCTATCTTTTTCTCACTGGGAGTTTCTGTTACCACAAACTGGACTAACTTCCCAATTCATCAAGCTAGAGTATGGTAGATACTTACTACTGACTGGAAATGAGGACACGCCTTCTTGGCTCTGACCGCTTGTGACCCTCCCCCGTGGATCGGCATACAATGCTCGAGCTGCGACAATTTGAACAAGGCGAGCGCTTATCGCAGCGGATCTGCCAATTCCGTCAATTCTGCAAAACATGTCATGCAATGATATTTTGCTCACTTTTCGAGTGCGGCATTGATCACACTAGAGTAATTTTCAGTACAAGATATTGTGATAGTCTGCTTGCCTTGTGGCAGAGGTTGTAGTAAATCCCTCAAGGGGTGGAGAACTGTACATACCGCGCGTCGAGCTAGGGTGCTGCTTGGCACCCCTCTCTCTTCGTGCTCGGAGCCCTCGGGTTCCATGATAGAAGCACTGCCTTCAAATGTTGCTGTTTAATCAAAGAAGGTAGGCACACCGTACTCTGTACATCTCGACCAGAATTGGCTTGGCATATTGGTAAATTAAGTCATTGGATAAAAGCGGTGCTGCCTAGAAGCGTTGGGAATCACGTGCACGCTACTCAAAATCCGACTATATAGCATTGAAATAATATCAGTTAGTTCACTTGGATGTTCTACGGTATGTCAATTTCATAAATACAAGAAATCTCAAAAAACTATCGACATTCATCAGGTTCATTCGGCGTGTCGGTTCGTCAAAGAGTGTTGTGAGTAAAGCGCCCCTCAGGATCTACCACTATGTAAAGGGGGGGAGAGCGCATCCAGCACACACATACCACCAATGTATAATCTTCTATCCAGCAGAAAAAGAGCAGAGGAAGCAAGAACGAATGAGAAGGAAAATAAATACAGCGCATAGACAAATATGGCACAGTTTCTACCATTCAGGAGCAGCTGGGGAAACCCAAGACCCATCACTTCGCCAGACACCTGTGGGTCCATAATTGCCGGGCTTAGCTCCCCGCAGGAACGCGAACCGGAAGAACAGATCATCAGGCACATCGGAAGGATCACTGTCAGCAAGAATTTTGCTCTGGGTGTCGAACGATTTCTGGAGGCTCCGGCGTTCGAAAATGAGCGGCTGCTGCAGCTCCAACCCATCATGACCATGACGATGCCATGTGAATTCACCTCGCTTGTCTTCATCTACGTAACCCCGGAAACGTTCGACGTCGTTGAGCAGAATGGAAATTCCATCCACGGCGAGTTCAGACATTCGGTCATGCTCCCACAAAGAAAAGGTGATGTTACCATTTCCATGGTGAGTCTCAGGGGAGTCCTCACCAGGCAGGAAAATATGTACCGAAGAATCAGTGATATTGGGATAGGTTGATCCCCACCAACCATGGTCTCCACTGCGGCCAGGAGCCAATTCTCCCAAGGCTGCAGGTGTTTCAATGATGGAGGCAAATCCCCAACGGGCAATGCCATTAATAAACAGACCAAGGAGCAATCCCTGGTAGAGCAAAGAAGGGCGCGTCGGGAAAGCAGTTCCAGGCATAAGTAATATAGCGAGAATGTAATGATGAATTCGAAGTCGCAGGCCCGGAAGTGGCGATAGGATCAGGATCATAAGACCCATGGTGCAATAAATCTTGAGGTAGCGAGGTAGCAGGCCACCCTGACGAATCTGCCAGGCTTGGCTGAAAACAATAGTAATGACGATGGGAATCACAAATGCCAGTGCCAGCTTCGCGCCAGGTTGTTGTTGGATATCCATTGGCGTGAGGCGCTGGAGCGGAATAAGCCGCGCGAAAGTATAGTTGTTCAAAGCCCCGATGAACAGCGTAGGCAGGTATAAAAGGAGCTTCTCAAGCTGGTATATAGGTGATTTGATGGGCTGCAAAAGAGGGGCAGCGCAGAATTTGTATAGGACATATACGACAAATGATGCGGGGAGCATCCGAGACAACAGCGTGGAAACAAGATCGGCAAGTCCTGGATAGGAAGGCGGATCGGCCACAAGTCCCGTGTGGGAAAATACGATAAAGAATGTGCTAAAGAAAAGCACAGGCGGCGAAGTACAGAAAAGCCATAGCACTCCGATCGCAGCGGCCGTAAGCCCGAGGAGAGACCAACGAGGATCCGCTGGACAGTTAGCTTGCGAAGAAGATAGTTGCAGAAAGCTAAATGCCTTGGGGAAAGTCGAAGGGAACGATTCCGATTGGATTCCGTGTTGTTTCACTGCCGGGAAAGAGTGAGCCGCGCCCTCGAGTTGTACAACACCACAGCCGCCATCGTTGGAGATAACCCCAGAATGAATCGCCGCCTGGCATACAAAGCTATCAGCGCGGTATACTCCAGGTTCCGAGGAATGCGGCTGTGGGCCTCCGATGACAAGACCTTGGTAGTTGAAGGTCTGGTTGCCTACAACATGGGGCTCTAACAATTTGGTGTCGCGACAATTTGCGGGGCAACGAAAGGCGATAGTCGATTCCATGAATGGACGGCAGTCATTACCATTCATGCCGCATCCATTATCAAATTCCCTTTAGTTCAGAAGAAAGTCACAGTTAGTCGCATTCCACGGTTTTGCTCACTATACTGTCACATACCAGAGATTAGAAGAGCAGGAGAGTGTCTGGAGCTGTCCGTATCCTTCTATGTAACCCGAGGAACGGGAGTTTAATAGAATCAAAAACCAGGGTAGAAACCAAGATACATATAGCACCAAAAGGAGAACCAGCTTCTGTTTGCGCTTTGGAAAGAATCGATCAAGGTACTGGACGGGCAGTTCCTGTACGCGCGGAAACAATGGCTTCAATAGAAGCATATGAGACGGGTCGGGCCCTTTAATCCAATCTGCAGTCGCTCGTCCTGCTTTTCGCAATGGTAAAGGGACCCAGCCCCAGCGAAAAGACTTGGACGATTCCTGTAACCAGATGGGAAGGGCGCTACCTGATTCCACATCGGGTGGCGGGAAATCCTCGGAAGCATCGGGATTGAGTAGGCGTTCGTCGTCCTCTAGCAGAGGGCCAACATATAGCCTACCGGCCTCATCACGACCCTCTCCGATCATCATATACTATAATTTGGAACCTGGAAGTGTTGGAAAGTGTATTCTGACGCAAATGAATGAATGTGAAAGCTATGATGTCGGTGCCGGAGCGGTCGGCACGCTAGTCGAAAACAGTGGGGGTCGTGCTCCAAAAAGTGGGTTTCCCTGAATGGTGGAGGATCAACAGGGACGAGGCACCAAGATACCCATAAAACGACCTAAGAAATGAGGGACTAGGAGAATATCAATACAAGGCTGATGTGTGCTGGGGGTGATTAATATATAAGAGAGTGAGTGGATATTTCGACGGAGTTGAATAGAGAAGCAAGAAACGAAGTACAAGAAGCCAAATGATGTCGAGGGCGGTGACTTAAGGCATTAAGGCATCAATGAACGTGGCAAGATCCAAAAAGTGGTTGACATTGTAGTTTTCCCCTTCATTCTGGTTCCTGAATATTTACACAATGGAGATTTTTCCTAGAACGCTAAAGTTCTCAGATCGACTTGAAGTGAGTCGATTTTCCTTCTGGGGAATGAGAGTTTCATATAACCTACCGCCAACCTTGCACTAATGCAGGCCGGTGCAACAGAGAATTTTGACATTTAACCCCCGGCATCTGGAGACCGTCCACGGGTGCTCACCTTGATGAGGTGAGTAAACTTTGAACTATATAACCCCATGGACGTCACGGTCTCTCTCGATTGGGTATAGATATCCCTGGTCCTTATATTCTCTCCTGGAAAGGCGGAGAATGCAGCCTTGCAAGCACATCTCATATCTTCAAGGCTGGGCCCAAATCCATGATAAGATATGACTCGCACCATCCAATCCTAGCCCTGCTTCTTTGTCTAGACTCTGGGGCTGTTCTAATCGGTCCTACCCGACTGGTTCTTGACTATCTCGGCGAAAGACCGGGTCCCAACGGCACTGCTTATCAAGCACGCGACGTAGGCTCGTGCGGGGGGGGGGTGGTTTGGAGGTTCCGGGGGCCTCGGAGGTCCCAGGCTAGATTAGAAATAGAAATCCATTGGCAATTTGCCTGTTTGATCGAAATTGTCTTTTCTCCCGTCACCTGGGGTGTATAGTTCGTCATTTTAAGTAGAATTCTACGCAACCGTTGAGGTGCAGTGATCAGCAACTATGACAGCTTCCCCGATAGACTTGTCACACCACTTCTCCTACACTGCCAAAAATCGTGCAGCCAGCTTCGTTAAAGCCTTTTATAAGTATTATCAGATCCCAGGAATCGCCAATTTTGCCGGAGGTACTATCAGCATATCAGGTCATTTCATACAACCGTGGTTAACTATTTGCTCTCCACAGGCTTGCCACACCCCTCATACTTCCCTTATGACACATTAGAGGCCAATGTCGCTCGACCACAACGCTTGAAGCCCGTTACCGCCGGCGATTCGAAGCCGGAACGAGTGATCGTCCCTAAATTATCTGAAATCACTGATGTTCAGCGCCGTATCGACTTGACCACTGCACTTCAATATGGTACTGCAGAGGGATATCCGGCCTTGTTATCTTTCTTAAAACAGTTTGTACGCGAACACCTTCACCCTAATGTTCCCTATGAAGGTGGCCCGGAAATCGTCTTGAGCTGTGGTAATACCGATGGGTTCTCAAAGGCTATTGAACTCTTCACGAATGTTTGGAACCCCGATCGAGATTGGATCCGTCAACGGGAAGGAGTCCTGTGTGAGGAATTTTCTTACATGAACGCCATTCAAACTGCTAGGCCACGAGGACTGAATATCGTTGGCGTGGCAATTGATGGAGAAGGGATGTGTGCGTTCGGTAAAGGAGGTTTGGCGGATATCTTAGAAAATTGGGATGCTAGACAAGGTCGACGACCCCATCTCATGTATACTGTGACGTACGTTTCACCATTCTATTGAATTTCCAAGGGGTAAAGCACCTATGGAGCCTTCAAACTAATTTTCAAGAACAGAATCGGTCAGAACCCCACCGGCGGTGTGCTCTCGATTCAACGCAAGAGAGCCATATACGCACTTTGCCAGCAATATGACGTGATAATTGTCGAAGATGAGCCTTATTGGAATTTACAGTTCCCATCTGCATATGAGATGGAGGCCAATTCCCGTGGATTACCAACAAAGCCTCCACAAAATTATAATGTGGATGGAAAATCTTCAGGGTATCATTTTTTGGACTCCTTGGCACCTTCATATCTGTCCATTGATACGGAGGGCCGGGTTGTCAGACTCGATACATTTTCGAAGACCGTTGCTCCAGGGAGCCGACTTGGCTGGATCACCGCTCAACCCGCCATTATTGAGCGTATCACTCGTATTACCGAAGTCTCGACGCAACAGCCCTCAGGATTTGTGCAATCAGTGATTGCAGAAATGCTTATGGGGAAGCAGAATGATGAACAGCCTCGTATTTTCAAATCTCAAGGCCCTGACGGTTGGCAGATGGATGGCTGGGTACGCTGGCTGGAGGGACTGAGAGCCGGTTATGAGAAGCGCATGCAGGCCATGTGCCATGTTCTAGAAGAGAACAAATTTCTGGTCTCTGAGGAATCCGAGTCAGGTCCTACACCTAAAACCCAGGTCCAAGATTGGGAGGTAGTAGACCGAGTTCAAATGTTTGATTTCGTCTGGCCAAAGGCGGGAATGTTCACCTGGATTAAAGTTGATTTCGAGACTCACCCTCTTCGATCTCAGTATAGCGCTCAAAAGTTGTCCAAGGCCTTTTGGATTCACCTTACTCAAAAGCCAGCTCTGTGCTTAGTTGGTCCGGGCAGCATGTTTGCCCCTACTCCTAAATCTGTGGCGGAGGCTCACAAGTATCTCCGTCTTTCTTTTGCACCTATGGACATTGATGAGGTGGCTCCGTTTACATACAGACTTGTGGAAGGCTTTCGATCCTTTTGGCATCGCAAGGATCTGGATGGCTTGGACGACGATCTACCAACTTTGGAGATGCACATGCGCCAGCTTGGTCCCGGTGCCAACTTTTTGGGCACTGGCTGTTGAGATCTGTTCGGGAATATAGGAGATCTAAAGAATTTGTTGATTGTTCTCTTTCTTGTGGTGCCTCAAGCTCTACTGGATTATACATGGTCGGTTATGCTTACACTAATGCCTTGTTTGAGATTCCCTTGCCTAGTAGTGATGACTGTTACGAGAAACGCTTTTCCAATTGCATACACTGTTTTCCTATTTGATCAAAAGGAAAGCTTTTAATGATAGTGATATTCTGCTTCGAACATAAATCCAAAGTCATCCTATTGGTATAGTACGTCTGTAAAGACTGGTGATTTCCATCTCCTCACAGACGCTTCACTTCCCACTGCAGAGGTTTCTCCTATTAATTTCCCAATTTCCAATCATGATATTCCTAGTTCAATCGAGACCATACCATCTTCACCTATGTTACCTCCACGCCGCTCACTCCCACCCGCCTCCTCTGCCATGCCCCCACCCGCCCCCTCTGCCTCCTCCCCATCCACCTCCTCTGCCTCCTCCCCATCCGCCTCCTCTACCTCCTCCCCATCCACCTCCTCTTCCGCCTCCCCACCCGCCTCCTCTTCCGCCTCCCCACCCGCCTCCTCTGCCAGGTCCCCTTTCACCATCCTGGGTTGCCGCAGGCGCCGCTTGCTCTTCTTGCGCCTCTTCAGCCCGAGCCATCACCTCGAAGTCTGCGTGTTGTTATTATCTAAAACATGCGAGTAGGTGTTGAAGTAATTCAAAAATAGAGCGTACCTGACCCAGGGGCTGGCATGGCAAAGGCGGTGCTCACCAGCCCGAATATGGCAAGAAGAACGTCAACCCGCATTTTTGGATCAATCAATCAATATAGTATTGCTTCAAGATTGAATTGAATTCAAGTTTAAAACTAGAAGGGAGCACCGAAATATAATTTGATCGTATAGTTATGGGGGTGAGGAACTTTCAAGCCCTTTATATAGAGTGGTTCGAGTATTTTATCTGCTCGTTTCTCTCAAATCAAGTTCAGAGAAAACAAATTTAACGTTCTAGACTGGAATTGAGTCTAGTCGAATCTGAATATTCTCCGAGATTATCAGACTCAATACCAGTTAACTTGTTTCCTCTTTTTCCGGTGGAAGTCAAACTTCAAATGTTGAGAAAGGGTTACCTTGCATGAATTTCCCCACAATCTAGAGCCTTTTCTCTGCTCAATATTTGACCACATTTTGAAATCCAGATTGTGGTTTCGATTATGGAGAGTTGCATGTAACCGCCGCTGTCAACTTTCAAGGTTCAAGCTGAAAGAAAGTGGCGGAAATCGCAATTCTGTGTGATATTCTACATCTGACTTGAGGGAATTATTCCAAAGTTGAAATTTTAGCAAGGGTATGTTGACTTTCCAGGTAAAGATTGAGTAGTATGTACTAGCATGGCAAGCTGTATGACACACATGAGCAAGACATGATATTGTTGGCTCAGAAGTTTAAGTCTTGAAATCTGAGCAGCCAGATAAATACTATCTCCCACCTGGGCACCGGTAGAGCACTCAGACGAACACATTTTTGTTTATACTCTTCATCCTTCGAAACTAGTACCCAAATACCTGTTCAAAGATCGAGTTGTATCTGACCTTATTGATTGCAGTTGGTCCTTATATTGACTTAAAAGCTGAACATTTGATCTTTAAAATCACTAGTAGATTCCAGGTTCTGGTAGAGCCTGGCTGATTTCAATGTTTGTGCTTCCATCGGACTTAGAACCTTACCTGGTAGTTCTCTCGCACGGATAGATTAGATCCCTCCCTACAGGGGTAGCAGTAAGGATTGATCAGATTTTGGTAGGACGAACTTCTGGGGAATTACACTACAGATGAACTAGCTTACCATCACTTAGGTTAAACCTTTTCAAGGTTACCTCTAGGGGAGATAATTGAACATAATATTTCGATGTTTTGAATTTATCATTGGATAGATCTACAAACTAACTTCAAATACTTGAGAATTCAAATGCGTCATCTTGACTTGCAACATCCAACTTTCATGAAGTCATTGTCATTCATGGATGCTCCACTGTCTAAACCGATCTCGTCCAACATTCGGGTAGTATTTTTGAGATCATTTGGGCATATCCTAGTATTGATGATACCTTTAAAGGACCATATGGAAGAACTTGACCCTTCAAAATGTTGTATGTAGGATTACTCCTAAGTTTTCGGCTTATTTAATAGTGACCCGTGAATGATGTTTCTCTGCCGTCATTCCATAATTACATCTATGTCTAACTTGAAATAAGATTTAAGCTTATAGTAAATTTCCAGTGCAGACCTTCGTTTATGAGGACATTTTGAGAAGGGCGAATTCCAAGCTGAAATTCATATCAGTATGTAGGAGATAGTTGAAGAAACTTGTTGCCCCTCTGGACTTGCGATACTACATATTTATGATACTAAATAGTGACTTGAACCATATGAGCATCAAAATGTTCAATCTGTTCTACATGCCCAGGTGGCCTGGGCATGCATGTAAAACCAGTTGACTACCAGTGGAGGGGACATATGGAGATTTCCAAGAATCTAATGCTGCCCAATGATTCCTCTGAGTACGACCCATATTATCCAATTAGCGTAGCTAAAAGAAAAGCTTCAGAACGTTATCCTCTTTTTGTATAGACATGAATGTTCGTTCAAAGATCGAATGTGATTGAATACTATGCGAATCCACTTGATTCCAACATTTGAAGGCTTCAAGCCACAACATCTGAGCTTTACATATTATTCTCAGTACAAAATTATTGAGTAATTCAAATGATCATATCTGATTATCTTAGTATTCAGAAAAGAATTCCGAAAGATGGGCAAACGCTTACTTTTGGATTGGTGCCTTGCGGCCTGAGGAAGGCTCTGCGGGGAAACCATTGATTTCTCAAAACTTCTCCGCAGTCAGTCCCACTCCTCCTGCTTTCCTCAAAGCCATGCAAAAAAAAATGTCGCAATTAGATGACCTACCGAACCGAGATTTGGCTGAAGAAATAGAAGCCATCAATGCTATCTATGAACCCGATACCATCACATTAGACCCTACAGGAACCACTTCCTCCAAAGACGATGCGCATACCACAATAACGCTCCGACTTCCTGGACAGCCCCATCTATCTTTTATCATTAGCTTCGATGCGAAATACCCAGAGTCGCGGCCCAATATTCTCGGAACAGCCTCAACTGCTGCGCGCGGGGAGGGAAAAATTGCAGTCGATGTGTTGGAAGATATAGTGGAACGAACATGGCAGGCTGGCGCTGTCTGTTTATTTGATGTGATTAGCGAAGCTGTGGAAGTGTTTCCTGAGTTGAACATCGGTGGAAGCAAGGACCGCCCTGCAGAGGAGTCAGAATCAACTGCAAACCAAGCACTTTCTTCTGATGAACCTCACTCAACGACAGCGCATCCAGCCGAAAGCTTTGCTCGCTTATCATTGAAAGACTCCTTAGGACTTGACGATCCTCCAGACTGGATCCTCTCCGACGTCGTCACGGAGAAAAAATCTGTGTTTCTGGCTAGAGCAGTGCAAGTATCAAGTCTTGCACAGGCACAATCTTACTTGGATTATCTGACCGCAACCGATAAGAAAGTTACGGTAGCCACACACAATATCAGTGCATGGCGCATTAAGCAGAAGAAAGACGGTGTCTCTGTGGGAGCGGATACTGAAACGCAAATACAAGATTATGATGATGATGGCGAGACTGCTGCTGGCGCTCGCTTACTACATGTCATGCAATTGATGGATGTGTGGAACGTCCTGGTAGTGGTTTCCCGTTGGTACGGTGGAATTCATCTGGGGCCGGCACGATTCCGACTCATCAACGATGTTGGTCGTGACGCTTTGGTAAAGGGTGGATTTTTCCGTGGCGGCGATAACTCTGCCAGTGCCGAGAAGGGCAAGAAGAAAGGAAAGAAATAAGAATCTGTCATTTGGCAGGATTATTGCAATTCCCTGCGCCCACTATGCTATGAATCCACCAGTATAAATCTCTCGCTAGAGTATTTCAAAGCTCACCGCTACGTGGATTCAATGGATCTGTCCACGTGTCGGAAATACTGAATATCTTCCCTGGTTTGAGCATCGATTTCATCCTCGGTCCCGGTGGAAACTGGGAGGTCATTTGCTACAAAGGTCACAGGCCCAGACTGAGAATTCCGATCCGAGGCGATCTGCATTAACAAAACTGTGCATGATTGCCTATGCAGGCGTCATATTTCATTGTGGGTGGATAAAATCTGAAGACGAATCAACTCGCCTAGGCATCAATCTGGCTCAGTACACGAGCTAAAACTTGAAGGGGGGAGCATGATGCTGGGCCCCGGATGGATGCACATGTGTGTACTAGTATTGACCCTTTTCCGCAAGTTAGATAGAATAGACATCGATATGCATATAATTTAGCGCTTGAGCCAACCTCGGGCTTGAAAGACTTGTTCAATTTATCAAAGTTGCTGAACCAGCATCCATGCCAAAAAAAAAATAAAGCTTCAGGTACACTTGTGTCGATCAAACACCTGTGCACTCCACACTAGACATATGGACAGTTATGAGAAAGGGAATTTTGTTATGATTGACATCTTCAAGTTCAAGTTATCACTGGCACTCTCGAATCAGAGCACTTGACGCAGTGGGTAGATATGTCATAATCCACCCCTGGAGGGCAACGTCTAGGCCTGGGTTCCCGGCTTGCTTCAATATTTGAAGTGTTGATGTATCGATCGTGCCTTAATTTAAAAAGATTGAATTTAACCTTGAAGCTGAAGCGGCCAAATTTCATCGTACCATGGAACGAGTCAGAACCTTTTTTGATGTTCGCGCCTCTCCAAATTTCACCTATCCACTGGCAGGAGGTCATATCACCTTCCCTTTGCCAATTTATTCGCTTAGATAGTAGGAAGATTGATGCCAAGACACACGAAATTACCAGGAGGTCATGCCAAAACTAGCTTTTCGTATTCGTTATTTTCCGAGCTCTGGGTTCTGAGCAAAACAGTAAGTTCATAGCCCTGGAGACGTTGACAGGTATCACACAGTTGCTGTTCTCCAGTTCTTACTCCGAGGTTGAAACGCCTCATGAACCCACTGGCATTTTTGCCTCTGACTGAGTGTCAGTAATTCAACTTGAAGTTTGCGAAGAACTTGAACTAGTACTAGTAGCATGCAAATGTTAACTTGAAATCTCGGGTGGCTGCAAATGCAATATATCGTGGCGGATACTACTGCTAGTCCTACCAGTAGTAGTTTATAAAAGCAAATAGCATAAAACCTCGTTCTCAGATTTTTTTTTTATTATGGAGTCGATCAAATTCTCCGGTCAGATTTCGGGAGAAACGTAGAAGGATGACGTCTGAGAATGAATGTGATGAGACATGGGTGTCCCTGAAACAGGGATCGGTTGATACCTTCCCTTCTCCCCGGAGGACCCACCAAGATCTTCGCCGCGCTAAGCCGCACCATGTTAGCCATTGCTCCTGTCATTCTGGGATGCGAGATACCTGATCAGCGCATCTGACGGTCCAGTGAGATCTTCGCGTCTGAGGGAATATGAGTCGCAATCAACACCATGATATCCCCATGTGCATGGTTGAGGGCAGATGACATGTATTTCGTAGGATGCAGACGATGAGTTCTTCCTGTCAGCCACAATCCAATTCTGGATGTCTTGGGCGCGTAAAACATATACGTCATCGGTAGGTGTCTCTGAATCTTTTTTTACAGGTCGCAAGGGTGCACACGGCTGCATGGACATGCCAATTGTGGGTTACCGGATGCCCAACCGAGAGTCGTCGCTGAAGAAGACCGAGTTTGTAGTGGAGCTGTCATGCGAGGAAGACCGCTGAAACGAGAGCAACGCTCATAGGAATTGTAAACCCCAATTTCGATTCCGTCGTGGCATATTGGCATTTCTCGTGGATTGATTGGCGCTCGACCCGCTGACAAGAAACCATAGGCGCCTAGGGGGTGACTTCATGCAGCCAATCCCGTTGGTCCGCTGGTCGGGATGTCTGAGCACATGGCATCCCTGGGATCCCAAGGTTAATGGTGCGACATGAGAGATCTTGCTACCAGGGGTAGATGGGGTCACCTTGCGGTCGGTCTGTGCGGTGATTCGTGAATGGTGGTTGGCTCCCTCACCAGCCGCCCAGCCTAGTTGGAACATGTAGATCGCAGACCCTGGAGGGTCTGTCTTCTGGTATCTGACTGGCTGGAGACTACTTACCCTCTGCCACCACTCACCGTCTGATATATGCACCTGCAAGTGAAAGGAGCAGATATGAAACACCCCAGCGTTCTGGAAATGCTTCTCCCCCACCATGATGGGTCCTAGAGTTTGGCAAAATGAGATCGTCAAGCCATTTCTGAGTTAGCGAAGTGTGGAGGAGATCACACTTTACGAGTCTGCGATTAATTGTGATGTGTTCCTGTTATTGGGTCTTCATCATGATTCAGGGTCCTGATTGACAAAGAATAAGGGTACAATGCAGGGCAACAGACTGAGAGGCTAAAAGTAAATATAAGACCCTTCAGCGCCTATTGTACAGATCCTTTTTTTTCTCGCACATCTCAGTCTTCTCACTTTCTCAATTCACGGTTTGACACCTTTCGCAGGCTAGTCCTGTCTTTCTTTCTCTCTTTTTATTCATCCGGTAGTCGTTGCCTGTGGCAGCCTCATACATTCATTTTCTTTCAAGAAGTCCATCTGTCAGAATCTGTGACAATTAGCTTGTTTGAAACAAGAGAATATCAAAGAGATTTGTCCATTCTTGTTTGACTTAGTCTGAAAATACTAGTAAGTTGCCCTTGATTAACTGCTTGTCTGGCTTTTGGTCCCATTCAATGAAGTAGTGAATATGGATTGTTTTTGCATTCTGAGGATCTGGGGGCGGCTGATGCTTCACTGATCTTCAAATTGTCTATTTAAACTGCTGGTCAACCGAATTTTGAAAAGTTCCTCATCACTAATTCTTGAAAACAGAGTCTTCTGGCCATTTACAATCCTTTCCGTTCTCCCGCGACTACCAGCCAATCCTTTACGTGCGATCTTACTCGTCTGGTACGAAGAAGATCCTACATAGCATCATTCTTGTTACGACAATCCGTCTACTCAAAAAGCCTTTTTGCCCATTTTCAGCATGTACACCAAATCAATCCTTATTGGCCTGCTGGGTGCCTCTATGGCCCATGCCCACATGATCATGACGAAGCCTGTTCCTTACGGCAAAGACACGCTCAACAATTCCCCTCTGGCTGCTGATGGCAGCGATTTCCCGTGTAAGCTACGCTCAGACACATACCAGGTCACCGAGGAAAACGAAATGGTTATCGGAGAATCTCAACCCTTGACATTCGAGGGCAGTGCTACTCACGGTGGTGGATCATGTCAGATCAGTCTTACCACCGATCTGACGCCTTCGAAGACTACCGAATGGCAGGTTATTAAGTCATTTCAGGGTGGCTGCCCAGCCAATGTTGAGGGTAACCTCTCTGGTGGTTCCACCATGGTCGACCCGTACACATTCAATTTCACCATCCCTGACGGCATTTCTGCCGGCAAGTACACTCTCGCCTGGACCTGGTTCAACCGCGTCGGCAACCGTGAGATGTACATGAACTGTGCCCCAGTGACCGTGAAGACTAGCAGTTCCTCGAAGAGATCTGAGAACGCCGCTGTCAAGGATATTGAATCTGTCGATAAGGTCGAGAAGCGCTCTTCTAGCTTCCCGCCCATGTTTGTTGCCAATATCAATGGCTGCACTACTTCTGAGAGTGTTGACATTCGCTTCCCTCAGCCTGGTGATAACATTGAATATCTTGGCGAGCCATCCAATCTGGCCCAGGCGGGTGCAGCAGCTTGCACTGGTACTCCAACTTTTGCTACTGCTGGTGACTCCGCTACTGGTACCAACTCTGAATCCAGCTCTAGCTCTAGCTCTAGCTCTAGCTCATCCGGTTCTGGTTCTGGTTCTGGTTCGGGCTCGGCTTCAGGCTCGGGAACAACTTCTGCGCCATCATACAGCGCCCCGACCTCAAGCGAGGCCCCTGAACCCGCTCAGCCTTCTAGCTCCTCCACGGCTCAACAGTATGCACCAACGCCCACTGCCTCGGCTGCCTCTCCCGCAAGCCCTTCCTCATCCTCAACCAGCTCCAGCTCTGGTACCCTCAGCGGCTCATGCAGCACAGAGGGTGAGTGGAATTGTATCGCCGGCACGTCATTCCAGCGTTGCGCCAGTGGCACCTGGTCTGTCGCTCAGCAAATGGCATCTGGCACCAAATGCACCTCAGGTACGAGCTCAGAGTTGTCTGTCGTCGCTAGTCGACGAGCTCGTGCCATCTCTGAGTTGCGCTTCCGCAAACGAAATATCGGTGAATCTCACCACGCTTAGATAGATACAACACCTGCTGGTTAGGGTGTTATTTGAACTTCATTTTCTTTCCATATTCTGCTTCTTCTCCTTCCATTCGCTTCGTTTCCGTTTTCTAGGTCAGTGTCCTAGAACGGACCCCTTCGTTTTGTCTCTTCGGGGAGTCATTCTTTTTCTTGCCTTTTTGTCTTGTATATTTAGGAGAAGAGGTTATATTGGGAAGGTCATTGTGCGACCAAGTGTCTTCAATTCAAAAAATTCATCTTGTCTGATTTTCAAATTTCCTGTCAGTAGTATTTCGGAGGATTATGCAATCGTCGAGTGCGTGAGCTAGACGTAAGTATAGGTAAATTGAACATGGCGTCATTGTGCCATTCATTTAAGTCTCAAACGCAGAGCCATCCATGGAAGTGATCAAGTTTAGAATGAGCCCATAGCTTATGTAGATCTGGATATTGGCATCATCTAGATAGGATGTGGATGTATGTATGAATGGTGGATCGCACCTTCTCCACGAAATCGAATGTCAACAATCCCAAATAGGAAAGTTCGGGTGGGGTCACATGAATTACATAAGGTTTCGAGGTGGGGCATATCCAAATGTAGTTAACCAGGGCTTAGGGTTTGATCCCGCACTGACTAGGCTTAGCTCACTAAGCGAAAAAATCCACAGGTCAGGCTATACTGGGAATCTCTTGAACTTCAACCTCACCAACGACACCGAACGACAACAATGGCCACCCGCCCTACCGTCTCGATCGCCACCGCTGAGGGCAAGCCCTCCGGGGCCACCTACCCCCTGCCCTCTGTCTTCACTGCGCCCATCCGTTCGGACATTGTCCAGTACGACATCTCTTGAAATGAAAATTTGGTTCGAGGTGGAAATGCTGATGTTTTCTCTACAGGCAGGTGCACACCGGCATGGCCAAGAACAAGCGTCAGCCTTACGCCGTCAGCGAGAAGGCTGGTGAGCAGACTTCTGCTGAGTCCTGGGGTACCGGTACGTTTAAATAAAACCTTCATTTCGATTGCGATATTGGATGAGATTCTTCGAGGGGACATCGAAAAAAAAAAGTGGAGATGTGAAATGGAAGAATTTTTCATGGGAGATGAAACTCAATGGCTCAATTGGACAAGCCGCTAACGAACCTCATTTTCAATTGAACAGGTCGTGCTGTTGCTCGTATTCCTCGTGTCTCTGGTGGTGGTACTCACCGTGCCGGTCAGGCTGCCTTCGGTAACATGTGCCGTTCCGGTCGTATGTTCGCTCCCACCAAGGTCTGGCGCAAGTGGCACCAGAAGATCAACCTCAACCAGAAGCGTTTCGCTACTGCTTCCGCCGTTGCTGCTTCTTCCGTCCCTGCCCTCCTCTTCGCCCGTGGTCACCGTGTCGCCAAGGTCCCTGAGGTTCCCCTCGTTGTTGAGTCCAAGACCTTCGCCGGTGCTGCCCTGACCAAGACCAAGGCCGCCATTGCCCTTCTCCAGGCCCTCGGTGCTGGTGAGGAGCTCGTCAAGGTCTCCAAGTCCCGCAAGCTCCGTGCTGGTAAGGGTAAGCTCCGTAACCGCCGCTTCCGCCAGCGCCGCGGTCCCCTCGTTGTCTACAACCCCGAGACCGATGGCAAGGAGCTTGTCCGTGCTTTCCGCAACATCCCCGGTGTTGAGACCTCCTCCGTCTTCTCCCTCAACCTCCTCCAGCTCGCCCCTGGTGGTCACCTCGGTCGCTTCGTCGTCTGGACCTCCTCCGCCTTCGAGTCTCTCGACCAGGTCTACGGAACCACCACCAGCCCCTCTGCCCTCAAGAAGGACTACCTCCTTCCTTCCGGCCTTGTTGCCAACGCTGACCTTGCCCGTCTCATCAACTCTTCTGAAATCCAGTCCGTTGTCCGCGCCCCCAAGGGTGAGGCCCGTACCAAGCGTACCAACGTCCAGAAGAAGAACCCTCTCCGCAACAAGCAGGTCATGCTCCGTCTCAACCCCTACGCCGGTGCTTACGCCAAGCAGAAGCTTGGCCAGCAGTCTGTTGAGGGTGGCAAGCCTGAGCGCGCTAACGCCACTTTCCTCAACACTCTGTCTGAGGAGTAAGCGTTGTCTTTCTTCTCTTTTGGGTTTTTACGGTTGAAAAAATGGTAGTCTCTGAGCAAAAATGAATAAATGTCCTTTTTTGCAATACCCCTTTGGCTCTGGATTCGGAGTATAATATGATGGTTATGTTATGATCTTATTGCTTGCAGAACTGTAGTACACCGATGGTGAGTTGCCCGTCAATGTAAGAATGTAGCATCGTGCATGGCCCAATATGAATTCTTGTCTTCCAAGGTTTAAAAGAAAAAAAGACCGGATAGAATTTACCCGAGTACTTTCCAGTCGTTCACTCAGGCTGGCAATGGCCTATACCCTTGCTGTCCTATTTAAACATTTGAAGGTGTGACTTCGTTATACTAGCTTGAGCCCCCAAGGAAAACGCATTAGGAAAATCCGAGTCTACACACTTCAAGTTGAATTTTTGTTTTATTGACATGCGCCGGACGGATTATGAGGACATGTTTCCAGATCTAATAACCAGCTCATTTTGAACAGGGGTAGAAAGAAGACTCGGAGTTTCCACGTTTACTGCTCACCTGGGCACTGGCAGGTGGCAAGTTGCATGTATTCCAAGGTTGGACTAAAGCCCTGGAGTGTGCCTACATGTGCAGGTGCAATTGATTTTTACGCTTCAAGGTTGTGCTAGTGTAGTATGAGTGGAATTCCAGGCTTCATCTAAGATTCATCCACTCAAGTGCTGGCATGGATCTGAATACTAGAATCTGCCAGTGTCCGATTCTCAACTTGAAAATTGAAGCTTCAAAGTTGAGATGAATGAATATATCTACTAGTAAGCATAAAATCACCGGCCCCTGCCACTGGCAGTGTCGGACAGTCACGGTGTTCAACTTGAACTTGAACTTGCAGTTGATGCCTACCTAGTACTAGTAATGTACAAATAGTACTAGAACTGTTCCTCCCTCCCATAATCACTTGACCACAAGTCAGATATGCCTGCTGTCCTGGAAATGGGATAGTAGTTGGTCTTTTGATACTAGCAAAAGGTACATCTCTTCCAAGGTTAGCACCGGGGTTCAAATGTTGGGAATATCACTAGTGCCATGGAGCTATCGATTAATATAATTTCCCCGCATATATACAGGAAATTCTTGGAATTTTGACAACTTCCATTTGGGAATATTCTCTGGCGAATATGGAATAGGAAATGAAACAAGAGGTGAAGCTGGTTTTCCTATAGGGTTGGGGGTCTGGTGCTGATTGGATAGATTTCTGGAAACTTTAGCCGACCGGCGAGCTCGGCGGGTTCGGCGAGAGCAGCTTCATGTTAACATGTAAAGGCTGACGAATCTAAATGATTGAAAATCAACACACAGATTCGAAATTGAATCAATGGAATGATGGCTATAAATTGGCACAAAAGCCCATCACTGGGGGTATACAACCAACTTCCAGTTTAACAATCATCTTCACACAAGATCCAATCGATCCAAACAAAAAAGTCACAAACCAAGCAACAAACTACCAACAAAATGTCGCCTAGAATCTTCGTCACTGGTGCCACTGGCTACATTGGCGGCCATGCCACTGAACTCTTGATTGCCTCCCACCCTGAGTACGAGGTTGTGGCTCTGGTCCGCACTGAGGAGCAGGGAGCTGCGCTTCGGGCTCACTGGCCTCAGATCACGACTGTGATCGGAACACTCGACGATGAAAATGTTATCAAAGATGAAAGTGCCAAGGCAGATGTTGTCCTGCGTAAGTCATAACTCATGGCGCTTCATGATCGAAGTAAGAACTAACTTGCAGACCAGAACTCGCAAGTTCCGACCATATCCCCGTTGTCAAGTCTGCGATCGCAGGACTTGCCACTGGAGGCGGCAAATTGATTCATATCTCTGGTACCGGTGTGTTGAACGACATGTCGACAGGCGCCGGTAACCCGACACCTAAAGTGTACGATGATATCAAGGACCTGAAGGAGATTACCTCCCTTCCAGACTCCGCCTTTCACCGCGACGTTGACGATGCTGTGCTCACAACCGGTGCTCAGAGCAACGTGCCTACTGCCATCATCTGCCCTCCTCTTATTTATGGTGTTGGTCAAGGCCCGTTGAAGAAGCGAAGTATGCAGATTCCTTTCCTCAGTGAGGCGATTCTGAAGAGAGGACGTGGTTTCACTGTTGGCGAAGGAAAAAATATTTGGGATCGTAAGTACACTTCTTTACATATGACTCTCTTCGTTCGGGACGATGGCTAATGGTGACCAGACATCTATGTCGGAGATGTGGCCAAAGCGTGCATTGTGCTGATCGAAGAGGCTCTTAAGCCTAACGGGGGATCTGCACAGTGGGGCCCCGAGGGATACTACTTCGTTGAGTCGGGCGAGTTCGCGTGGAAGGATATCGCTGCCAAGATCACAGAAATCGCCAAAGACTTGGGAAAGATTGAATCCGCGGAAGTTGATGAGCTGTCCGTCGAGGAGGCCTCCAAGTTTCACCCATGGGCCCCTGTCCTGTGGGGAGGCAACTGCCGAAGCCGAGCCACTCGTCTTCGCTCTCTCGGTTGGAAGCCTGAGGGACCAACAGTATGGGAAGCCCTTCCAGCAATCGTGAAGGCGGAATCGAATGCACTCTAAAGTGAGGTCTTGAATGATGAGTCAAAGAAATTGTTTTATCATCTGTTTTTGGAGTCTTAGAAAGCATTCGTCAATAGTTGAACAAATTTCAAGTTATGATTTTTACTAATACTTTCTATTATTTCTCTTACACAGTACGCCTCTTTCTACCTAAGCATCTTCCCCTACGCCCAGCTAAGCATGATTAAGGTCTGAAAAGACACTGCAAATGGTATCATGAGCCTCGTCAACTGGTGAATATATTCAAACCCCGCCAAGTCAGGATAGGCCAAAATGCCCCACTTCCCACGGTTATCGGGATTCAAGCGTTCGGTCGATGAACTCCATTAAGGTTAGTTCCGTCTTACAGACATTCCAGGGCTGAGACTTGACTTAGAACATCTAGTGCTTACCAACTCCACCATTCTCTCTCTCTTTAACACAACTCTTGGAAACTTTGATCTTGACTATGAATCATTTCTCACTTGAACTATAGTCAGTCCGAGCCAACGTATTTCCCGGATGAGGGGTCATTGTCATTGAGCATGGGTGCGACCTCAAGACCTGAGCCTATGCTATGGTCCCTCAAAGACGAGCGGCATTGGGAAGATGAGATGGATGAAATGGAAGTGGACGAGATACAGGCTGAAAGCCCTGAACAATTCGTTACAATCACCAATGACCAGCAGATACGTACGAGTCTGAATATCCCCAGTGATGTCCTGGTTCGCTAGATCCTGATACATGAATCAAGAGCCTCTAGATTATCTGGTCCAGCAAGTAGGATCGTTTCTTTCTGGAACGCATCTTACTTCCATTCCGCCTCAAGTAGTGCAACAGGCCTTTAACTACCGTACGCATGTCACAGTCCCAAATATCATGATTTGCCTAACTTGGTTATCTAGGGCTTTCAATAATGACACCTCGTGTGCTTCCTGCAACAAACTCGGTAAATCCATATCTCCAATTTTGGTTGCCATTATCAATGAACGACAGGGCGTTGTTCCCTGCGTTACTCTCTGCGTCTCTTTCACATCGGGTAATCAACGGCCTCCTTTCTGGTGTTATCTCTTCCCGCTACAGTGACGATACTCCGCATCTCCAAGCTTGCTATAAAGAGACAATAAGCGCACTCAATGATGTCCTTCGAGATCCTTCACGTGCAACTACTGATGAAACAATCTTGGCGGTCTTGATGACTGTCGAGAAACCCGAAATAGAGATGCACAAATTATGGTCCCAGGAGTCTCCCTTTCAAGCACCTCTTCAAGGTCTCCAATGGCTGAACGTGCACAGTGCAAGGGAGCCTAACTTGACCCATCAAAATGGGCTCTGTCGTATTATACAGCTGCGTGGAGGTCTTGCCAATATCCAAACCCCAGGAGTCGCAGCAGCAGTCTTTTAGTGAGTTGAGCTCTGCTATACACTGTGACATGCCATTGAAGATTCTAACTCCGAACTGCAGCCGAGTCCTTGTCAACTCTACATTACTTTTGACTGCACCGGCTCTTCCATTTTACCCATTATCTGGCTCAATACAAAATATACTGGATACAGAAACATCCGACAACCAAATACTGATGGAGACTACTACCATAAGCTCAGTGGCATGCAACCATCCAAATATCAGCCTGGATATGAAATGTACATTCTTTGAACTAGCTGCCTACACAAGGTCTATTGAAAGCTATGTCCGAGGTGATACTCTACGACTGGACGCCCAGATGATGTGCGACAGGCGCAATCTAGCACAGTACAACCTCATGTCCATTCCCAGCACCAGTGGACGGCACCATGAGAATGCACTATCAGAGATATGCCGCATAGCTGCTATAATCTACAGCATTGGCGTGACATTTCCACTTGCAGGAGTTGGCGCACCATTCCCAAAACTCGTGCAATTATTACAGTCCGAGCTGAAGAACAGTGAGATTCTAGAATCGGACCCGCAAGTTTCAACAACAAATCAAGTCCTGTTGTGGGTCTTGACGATGGGTGGCATTGCGTCAATTGAGAAATCCGAAAGAAAGTGGTATGCGACAGCATTAGTGGAAGTCATGACTAGATGCCAACTGTCTGAATGGACGGATATGAGAAACTCGCTGAAGGAGATTCTGTGGCTTGATAGTGCTTGCAACATGGCAGGTAAAGAGCTCTGGAAGGAGACTCACTCGATTATGCAACAGCAATTAGAGCAGTCTTATTCAGGGAGAAGGTCGCCATGTGATCATTGCAGGGTCAGGAAGATCAAGTGCAGTAATAAAAGACCTTGTGAGAATTGTATTCACAGTGGATTGGAATGTGGGTCAAAAATTTCGAATTTTGTTGATCAACGAAAAGTGCATATATACACTATTCGACAAAGGCCTTGTGATTTATGCAAAAGAAGGAGAGTCAAATGTGACAAGGGACATCCTTGTCAACGGTGCTCGAATGGAGGATTCAGCTGCACTTACGTATAAAGAAAACTAGATGATGCCACTTTAAATGTTATGACTTAAATGCAAGTTGTGGAATACCTATAATAACTACAAGTTTGTGTACGTATGTGGGAGGAGTTTTAGATCTATCTGTGCTATGTATGTACCTTGCATCCAGCATTTAAGGTGCTTGTTGCCAGTGCCAGTGCCAGCCTGAGTGCATAGTACTAGTATTCAAACTTGAATGATCATGCCCAGATGCCCCTGGCAGTGGCTTGAACAGCACCCTACTCGTAACATTCACTAGCATTTACATTGTGTAAGTTATGGATATCAGGGCTCGTACGCGCCGCGGAGATACATGTAGGACACAGACAAATATTCAGCCTTGAATGTTGATCACTGCTGAAACTTCATACTATTTGCACTATTAGAACTGTTGCGAAGTACGCAGTAGATATTACTGGTCCACTGCCTCGGTGGCAGTGTTGGGAATCGAAGTGTTGACATTGAAGCTGTAGATGGTAGTACTCAAGCTCACTGGCATGTGTAGATCCGGAGCTCCCAACCTTGGAAAGTTGTCTTCTTTTTCTTTTTGAACATCAATATCAATAGTACTATCAAGTTGAATGCAGCTTCTCAAAGTACAAGGCTTGGAGAATCCAAGTCAGGACTCCAGAGCAATCTCTGAATGCGCATTGGGCATCCTGACACATGTGCATACTAGAACTAACGATTTCACCTCCACTTCAGCACCGCGAACAGATACACCTACTAGTAGAATTATGCCAGCTGAAAACAACCTGTAGGCTGACAAAATGATACATACTACATTGCCGATCCCCTGAAAAGCGTTGAACTTCGGGACCGCGCTACTCCACTCTTGACATGCGAGAGGCTAAATCGGGATTAACGGCGCTACATCGGTACTTCAGATCGAAGAATATTTCACGTGCTACGCCAGGACCCGTTGTAAATACCGAAAGTTAGGAGCTGAGCTCTGAGAGACATCTAGGAAATGAGGTTTCACTTTGTTCCAAGGTTGTACTAAATTTGAGGTGTATCGCTTGGCTTGTTACATACATCATCCACTGCCAGAGAACAGTGCTCTTTACTCTAGTCTGAGGAGACCTCGGGACTGTTCAAATGTTGAGGAAAAACTTGAACATCTGAGCGCAATCCATATCGGGATTCACTGGCATATCCCCCAGGTGCCACTGGCAGATCCTTTCAAATGTTCGATCTTCCATGCACATGTGTGCCTCGATCTAGATACGCCTCCTGTAGGCACACGTTGGACATACATATATGAGTTGACAAGTATCATATTTCTGACAGTTTCCTCCGGTCGAGAACCTACCCAGGTGAAAAAAAAAACTAATACCTCAGTATCTTTATCACATGCACCTGACGCTGCCAGTGTCAATAGGCGTTGCCTAGGCCTCAAGACTCGGAAGTTGAATTTGCTACTAGTACAGACTCCAGAGTACACATGTCTTAAATCCTATACCGCACTTTCTTTTGGGTACAAATGCAGACCGTTGATCCGGGGGCTGTGTGAGCTAATATTAATTCATTTAGGTTGGGACGAAATCATACATCAATACTAGTAACCAGTGAGACATATATTGGAATTTCGTACTTTTGATCTAAACGGAGTCCGATACCCTAGCCCACTCGGAAATTGAGGGGCACAAAAAACTGTAACCTGTCAACTTGGCGATCCAGCCTCCGGATTATACACGGAGCTACAGAGTATGGCGATCATAATCCACGTTGAGGCTGAAGCCGGCTCATCCTTGTTCAACAGACATGGAACTATACTCTAAATGAGACGGACTAGGAGAACAGAAAATCTTAATTTGCGTTAATTGAATTCGGATTCACATGTTTCTTTTTACTTCTAGAACCTCAATCTATTTGAATTTTGTTTATTCGGTTGGCGCCGGTTTCCTTAGAGTGGATCAGTCATAGAAACCCGTCCACATGTGCAGAAGTATGCCGAGATTAATCCAACATTTTGAATACCGGGACTTGGGATGATCTTACAAAATCATACCCGCGGAAATAAATCAATAGTGAGCCCCGTGAACATCAGGAAGAGGAGCCTTTCCCCAAGATACCACGTATCCCTAGTAAACATTTAAGCTAAAGGCACTGTAAACTCGGGCACGCGGACAAACGCTAATCTTCGGGAAAGTCGACCGAAAGTCCAAGCGACGATCAGATTCACAAACATACGACGCCAAGAACACAGTCAGGGTCCACGATAGTCGCCAGCACGGAGGGGCCTGATTCGGTCAAGGTGGAGATCGATGTACGTCAGTTTTCGGGCGGCACGGAAGTTCCGCGTATCGACGAGGCAAAGTTACAGAAATGCCATAGTCAGAAGCCGAGAGTCCGGGAATGTAGAATTGAGTTTTGGAGCTATGGAGTAAATGGGGTACAAGATCCTTGGAAAAGATTTTTTTGGTCTATCTTCCTTTTTTGACTGGTTAGATTCCATTGTAGTACGAGCCGTGTATGAAAGCTTCGTGAGATGAGTTACCAGGTATTTCACTAGCGAGCCCACTATTAAGTTAAAAATATATGGGAACAGGGGGAAATTTCAAAATGAAAAAATAAAGATCCACGCGAATGGCTTAGAATGCAACATGAATTAACCGAGATCCTTTCGGAAAGCCACTTAAACACCCATGAGACATTAAGAAAAGTCCAGATGTCGGAGAATTTTTCTGGTCCGATATTAGGCATCCGGTGAGACCTTAAGAGGAACAGTGGGCTATGTCTAGGATCAACCAATTTAACTACTATCAACCTTGAAAGACCTCGGATGTACAATAAATTAATTTAGACACATGTTCAAACTGTACTCGTCAAGAATGGCGGTATATGGATTAAATCTGGAGTTTTTGATAGACCATACCCGTAGTGCACGAGTAAATATCAACCTAAACAGTCTAGATATACGAACCAGAACGGCGAAAATAACGAATTATGGAGTAGAAAGTGGAAGGCGAGTCCCATTAAGGGAAAGTCCATATTTAGCGGATCCAGAAATATCGATTTGCTCTTGTACAAGACGCATGTCTCACCTAACACGAAAACGATTCAGGGGCGCGGCACCAGAATAGTATACCTAGGTACTTTACCGGGAGTCAACCGGGACTCGGACGCTATAATGTGGAGGGAGCACGGGCGATGCAAAACATCTAGGACATCTGGACTAACTTGAACTGCAAATACCGAGTTCAAAGTTTGAGTAGAGTTGCAACGCACTGGCAGTAGCGTTTGATAGCTCAAGAACTAGACATGGTTCATCTGTGCAGCCAAGACTTATGCGAGGTTCGAAAATTTGAAGAAATTAATTTATTTATTTCACAGCACTTGAGCGGTCTACAGTGAAAAGTGTCCTCCACTTAGGTCACGGTGTATATGATCGTAGTACATATGTGGATGCGCGGATACAATGGCGTGGCGCCTCCGAGTCTCCATATCAGGATTTTTTATCTGATTATTTTTTTCACATCTACATGTACATACTCGTTAAGAGCAATTATCCATCCGGAAAAATTTAACTACGTTAATTCGTATACATTGACGTCAATTGACCCTAAAGAGGTTATAAGCACTGGCACCATAAGTGGATTCATATAGCACTTGATTGAGAGAGGTAGTCTGCTCCGTTTAAGGTCACTGTTGTGGTCGGTATTTGTTCGGAAGAAAACTGGGTCCTATTATAAAGGAACCAATGGTATGGTCATATTATAGCCGTGATGAGGTGTGCGAGTTTTTCGGGTCGACATGCCAGATGGGACAGGCTCTATTCATTGCCGGGTTGGAGTAAGAGAAGCTCATGAAGTCCCGAGCGGACTAGTCTTCTCCCATCTCACTTTAAACTTCAATTAGTATTTTATCTTGTTCTGATTATCAAAATGGTCTAACTTTTCGGACAATCTCATTTAATTTTTACGCGATACCTAGAATAGAAAAAGCAGGGAGGCTTGAGAGTGACCAAATAGGCGGCGGATCCCAAATGACGGCGTGCAGATCAGATCGCCATGCGCTTGAGACATAGTAATACGTGGTCAAGTCCGGAGTACATTACCGTTGGAGTAGGTCAAAGATATAGTGGGGGGTTCAAGTTCAACCTGGGAAGTTGACTTCATGCAGTTGAACAGGTACTACCGACCTTTATTGAAGACCAGGGATCCCAGTGAAAGAGGAGTGATTGATATGTATGAAAATTGAACCTGTCAATTAGTACTTAGTACAATTGATGTAAATGTAACATTGACCACTCGATACATCTTTTTTAAAAGATTCAAAGTTCTTCAACATTTGAAGTACATCTGGAACATCTATCAAGTGTTCTAACCCTTTTCTGGACCTCCCCAATTAAAGATATTAAAGATAGAGAGGATACGAAGTTAAAATATCCTTTTATGGTAATGATGTTCATATCAAAGATCAATCAAGAAAAGATAAACCCCGATGTAAGAACTGGAAAGTTGAAAAAAAAGAGCCGATTTGCAGAGTCTGCACATGCCAGCCTAGGTATTTTTCTCCGAACAAGGTGGATTCTCTTTCCAAAGACTATCCACTGCTTTAAGACCCAATATTCAGCAAATTGCTCAACTGAGGAGCCAAGTCTCGGCTCTGACTCTCGATTCGGACTTAAAACGGCAGACACTAAAAAGAAAAGATTTATTATTATGGAGAAACATCCGAGCTAACCTAACCGAGGGCCCTGCGCAAAAATTGCAAATCGCGTGTCCACTCGGTCCACCCTGCACGACCACGCGATCCAGCGATCTTCCAGAGGCCAAGAAGGCGATAAGCCCTGCGCCCCCCCCTCCCCAAACACTTGGAAAAGGATGTGCCCATCTAGGCATCTAGTCGCTCGCGCCACTGTCGGCCGAAGGATCCTACACAGATGACCCACAATGAGCATATTCGCGGCCCTGCTTCCGGACCCCAAAACAAGCTCCTCATAGACGAAATAGTCACAGATCACTGGGACTTCAAAGAGGGTCAGCCGCGGAAGCGTTTCTTCAGCCGATCGAAAAGATTCTGGCGCGTCGTCGTCAACGGACATACCGTTTTACTCCGTTTCCCTCTGTGGGGGGAAAGAAAGAACTTGAACAAAATGAGATGAAAACAGATCTCGGACATCAAATCCCGAGCATCTCTCCTGATTCATGGGATTTAGCTGGAAATGTCTCTTAAGCATGAGACTGGTCACGAAATATAAATTTTTTTTCATTTTCATTTTTATTTTTATATTATTTATTTTTCACTGAGTTCTCCGTACTCCGGGACTGGTACAAAGAGAGCAAAAAAGCCGATCAACAAGTTCCGAGGTCTGCGCTTTGTCCCGAATGCTTACATCCTTGATCCTGGGAGGATTCATTAATATAGTAAGTAGCTGGAGCACTTGAGTAGCTTACTACTTGCTAACTAGAGAACCACCACCGGGACGAACCCGTCTAGTGGTTTCGGTTAACCCCTTCTTTCTCTCCACTATCCCGTAGTACACCATCTCACACATCAAAGCATGATCATCCCGTCAAGATTCTATGTTTGGATCCTCCCCCATAGGTTTCCACGGCAGTGCATTCTAATTGCCGGTGGATTCGGATCAAGATTACGCCAGCACTTCCTCCATAATTCGGGATCCGATGTCAATAAAAGGCACCACAATAAAAACAAGACCACGAATCGTATATTCTCTAGTGGAACGGTACTGATGGAGGTATCCACTTGGGGTAACGTAGGTGTACAAAGATGACCTCAGTCAATACTTTTTTTTTCTCCGATGGCGCTATAGAATTACTATGACTCTATGAGCCCCCTTCGACCCAATTTCATTCAATTTCGGGCGTTGGCCGTGTGGCGTTCACCAAAGGAGAGCCTCTTGCAGGCATTTCTCTTAAAATGAAAGCAAACGGGGACTAGATCATATTGATTTTCAGTATTCTGAATAGCCTACCTTTTAATATAGTCAACATGAATTTATTTACCCCTTTATCATAGTATTATTTGGAGTTAAAAAGCATTGGAGAATTGGACCTTCACGGACGGGGTCACCCAGAATAGAATAGATCAATTCCACTCTCGTCGATCGGATGGATTTGGGTCGCAAAATAGCTAAATTAAAAATAATCAAAAATTAATAGAAAATAATAGAAATAAAAATAGTGAAAATAATAATAAAAAAAACCTTGGAAAGTATGTTGTATCCCCAAGTACTTTGGTAATTCTCATGTATGGATTACTTTAGGTATCCATACAAACGGTCTCTGTTGGTCCTTTTCTGAAGCATCGTGGTTGAACCCCTCCTTCTCTTCCCTTTTGGTTCTATCTTTGTTATTTGCTCCTTATTTTAGGTGTTATTTCTCTTCATTACCCTTTCTTGGCTGTGAACCTTTTCTCCGAGGGATTTTACGCCCCCGTCTTTGCTGTTTGTATGGGGAGAGGGGGAAAAAGGCCAAGACGTCAACTAAAGAATTCAACGGGGATCAAACCTGCCGGCATCTCACGGAGTCCTTCAATTCTTGCTAGTGTACTCCGTATTGCACTGGACAAGGGCATTGCTTTAGTGTCTCCCCCTACCCAGGGTTCCCTGCACTAACCACTGGCAAGCGACGCACACGACCAGGTTACTTTCCCATAGTCAAGCCCGTGTGCCACCAACGGCTCCTGGATTGAGGAGTCTCGGAATATCTTCAGAACAGCTTTAATTTCATTCCAACCCCGACTTTTTCTTTTATTCTTCTCTAAGACATAAAGGCTTTTCTATCGATTTACTTCTGCCTATGTCGCATTCGCCATTCATTAGTTTTCGGGCGCCCATTGGAGACATTGCAGGCTCAGGCTCGCCTAACCCGGTATATCCCGTGGTTTTGGATCAACACAATTCTGTGATATTGCTTCCTACAAGTGCAGAGATTCTTCATCTTTACCAAATCGACTGAAACTCCACAAATCCTGGAGTAAATTGCTGATTATATATCGACTTTTTTTTTCGCAATTCTCGGTTTATGTAATCCACTGGGATTCCGCGGTATCATGAACAAGTGAACAAGATCATAAAGAGCGACCCATTTACGACATGCGTTTTTAAATTATACTCGATTTCTTCTCGATTCAGTGTCAGGCGTTCAAGGAAAACGGAGTTGACACATCTTGCGATCCACGAATTCGACTTCCTTTATCCGGACTTGACGATTCATTGAACCCACAGCGTTGAAGCAAACGTTTGAGGCATTGGCAGGACCACAATCTACATCCTGAAAGGTTGAGCCATTATCGTGACGATTAGAGTTGTGCATCTATCCACCCTCGACCTGCCGTCCATTATTTTGTCCAGACAATTGGAGGTTACTGGGCTTGATTAGCTCATGGTTAGTTTCTACAAAAGTAACGGCAGTTCACTTGCTAACTCACACTTTGAATAGATATCATACACAACCGTTCTATCGAGGATTTTGGACCCTCGATCAAATAAAAATTGAACAGACGGCTCTGTACTGTCAGGTATATACTGGCGACGCTTTCTTTCTGTGGCTCGAATACTGGGAACAACACAATATCGCTACACTCTACGCTACGTGGCACTGTCAAATCGATGACTATTCGCCTTGGAACTTGATTCACAGTACAACGTTTTTGATCCACACGCCTGTCATGTCAGGCTTTCATGAAGGCTCCTTTGGTCGTATGTTACCCGCCAACGACAGTTCAGCACCCGAGACTACCCCGGAACGCCCAGCTAATAAATCAGAACCTGGGGATGACCCATACAAGCTCCCACCTCCACGTGCACCAGCCAACTCGCAATTCGGAACAGACGCCCTCCTACGGCAACGACAGGATGAAAGTGCAGAATCGGGGAAAGATTCGACATCACTTGAACCTTCCCCTCAACCTCAAAGAAACGAGCAATTGCCTTCTCTCCGACATCTTTTAACGCCTAATGCCGATCCAAACTCCCCTCCTACCTATCACCCACCATTCGCAGATCCAGCAGCCGGTATAGATCATCGTGAATACTCTTATCCGTTCCGTCGACATGAACAGCACAATTTCCCTCAATTGCAGTTTAGTCCCATACCTGGACAAGACAGAGCCAAAGGGCGCTCAGAATCTTTCCCACAGCCCCAGATAAGCACCCTGCCTCCACTCTCGCAGATGGCTTCGCACAGCCCTCGAGACATGAAACACCATTCAGCGACACGAAGCGATCCATTAGCATCATCATTTCAACACAGTCAAATAAATTATCCTAGAACACTATACCACGAAACGTCTCTCGGTGTAGGGGATGCTTCATCTCCTGAGAACGCCAACCGAACCAAGGGCCAGTCGGTGCTTCCGCATGTCATTGACGAACGTTATGTTGAAGGAGAAGGAGTTTGTTATGTCTATGCGGATGGCACACATGTTCCAAAGCTGATTGATGGAGTCCCTGTCAATGCGAATTGGGGAGTGACCAAAGCAGGAAAACCAAGAAAACGACTTGCACAGGCCTGTCTAACCTGCCGGGAAAAGAAGATCAAATGCCATCCAAATCTACCTAAGTGCGATCAATGTCAGAAATCTGGGCGTGAGTGCAGATTTGAGAGTGCGTAAGTTTTTTTCGTCGTGTGTACCAGATTCAGCAAAGCAAGATTTTATAGGTGGAATTGGCACTAACATCTTTTAAAGCCCTCGCGGAACTCGTTCTTCCCTGAGAGGATCACACTCGACAGGACCACTAAGCAATTACGATATGAGAGAAGGCCTTTCTCCCGGTCCACATGTTCCCTCTGACACCTCTCCCTCCCTTTACAATATGCCTCAGGCTTCAGCTAGTGCTACTTCATTACCTGGAACCAGCGGTCATTCGCCCGGTTCGGAAGAGCAACCGACCACTTCAGCCATCGCAGACAACAGGTTCGATTCTATGTTAGATACAGACCGAGCGTATGGATCATCACACATGTACAGAGACCCTCGCTCAGCCAGTTCTGGCGAAGACACTGCTACAAGGTTGGCCGATCTTGAAAATCCTCGACCAGAATATTCCGACATCTTTGGAGAAATTGGAGAGACCAGTGCAGATGATCCACTGGCAGGGTCATGGAGTCTTGATCCATACGAGTACGATGCAGAGGTCACAACTCACTACCTGGAATCATACTTGACATATGTCAACGATGGACTTTATCACATCTTCCCCCATACTCGGTTTGCTTTGTGGGTGAAGTCTTGTCATACCAAGTCTGCCGAAGACAGGATGCTACTCTACGCGATGATGGCCCTGGGAGCCATTTTCTCCGACCGGCCTGACAAAATTGGCGCATTAAAACGATACTCTCGGGTAGCACGTTTCGCTATTCTCAAAAGCCAGCATACACTGACCTTGCAACTTGCCCAGAGCCATTTGATTATGAGCCTTCTGTATTACGCTACAGGATCCTTGGTTGGATTTTGGGACTCGATCGGGGCAGCAGGACGAGCAGTGAGTGGCCTAAGATATAATGTGGAGTCTGGAGGCGTTATCGTGGATCAGAATCAAGCCTGCGACTATGGATTACACCCACAGGCATTAATTGAATGTCGTCGACGGACATATTGGGTTGCTTTTATTCTAGACCGGGTCTCAAGCTTCTTCTCAGCGTCTTCGACGTTCATTCCACCTGAATCAGCATTGATCCGACTTCCATGTCGTGAAGAGATATATGAGGCGCAGCAATACGCAACAGCACCTTATTTCCAACCATTTCTTAACCAAAATTCCGGCGCAGATGATGATCGGTCTTCTCTTAGTTCGATGGCATTTTTGATTCAAATCATGGCACTCTGGGGCGACGTTTCCTTAAATGTGTTCCGTCTCGCACACACTCCATCCGATACCTATGCTCGACTTGCGGAAGAATTTCACTCAATTATCACTGTTCGCACCGAGGAATGGATGAAAAGGCTCCCTGAGGAGCTGACATTCTCTGTGATCAATTTAGAACGAGCTATTTTTACCAAGAAGGCCGACACCTTCATCTCGATTCACATGCTCTACCACGCTACCTTGATGAAAGTTTACAGATATGCCCGATACTCCAATTTGAGGTCTGACATCCTCGTTCAATACATCCATCGAGCTCGATACCATGCAGTGGGAACACTGAGAGCTATTATGGGAAGTATGCCATACCTCGACATTGTGCAAACCTCTCGATTTAGCAACGATATCCCCGGGATTAATGGCACACTTCTCAGTCCACTTTTGGGCTACCTGATTCTATCTGCCGTGGACGTTCTCAGCGCAGCTGGATTGATCGAAGAACTCCCCGACTGTGTACCTTTACTCAAGGGTGCTCTCAGGGTAGTTAAAGTCCTTGGTCGCCATTGGGATAGCTCTGTGAGCTTAGCAAATCTGATGCAGAGACGACTGGACATCCTGACTGATTGTATGAACGATCGAGTTCGAACTCAGGACAAAACTGGCTTCATTTTAGTCGGGTCTTCACTCGAAAGCAAAGTCCATGCTAGTTCCTCTGCCTCCCATCCTCCCGGTGCTCTTGAAGAGGACTTGTTTTTCGGCTCGATGCCAAAAGAAATGCTCCTGAATGGCATGCGCGTTGACGATATCGCCATTGCCGAGCAGAGAATCATTTGGCTGAAGGACGTTTAAAAATCTTTTTCCATTCCTCGTTTTCCCTTTTCTACAAGCAAAGCGTTTTCCTCTCTTCTTCTCCCCCTTTCTTTTTCAATGTGGTGGCAATTTGAACTTTCTTCATTCTGTGAGCGTTATAGAAGAGATCCTGTCCCATTTGCATTCTTCACAACCTTGAACACATTTGTCATGAAAAAGGTGCCAAGCTGTGCTTCGGTATCCATCTACTATTCTTGCTTGTCTTTACTTATGACGTGATGGTATCTATGTTAGACTGCTTGATCTGTGCCAAGCTTGCTGTCTTCAAGCCTGAACATGGTCTGGTCTATATGATCACAAATCTTTCTGGCTTGTATCTTTCCGGCGATTATTTGCCTTTTCCAGACTCCCTTACTACTTTGTACATGTATATTAAAAAGTCAAGACGACAAGTCGGGTCCGGAGGTTGGGATATCTTCTCAAAATTCACATATATCTTCAGAGACATCTTCATCCTTCCCAGTGATGTAAATTCGTGTTCAAGTCTTCAAGAACTATTACTAGTAATTTTGAGCATTTCGAATTCAAGTCTGTGTCTTCAATTTCGCCTGAGGTATTAAGTTTGAAGCTCCATTAAGAATATAGCTATCTTTCTTTTTCAATTCTCCCCTTCAATCCAATCATTAGCATCATAACGCCTTATCCAAGCAATCTCCCCCTTGCACGGATCCATGATGGCGGCATAATGAGTAGTTTCATTCACAACCGGGAATGTCGTAAGCCATTTAACCAACGTAGTTTTCGTAATAGCAACATCAGAATCATCATCCGGATTCAGAAGGATGATTCGTTTTGCCTCAGCCTCCGCCTTCAGTTCCTCATCTTCTCTCTTTTTCCTCCAGCGCACCGAAGACCTTGACCCCGATGACTCGACATGAGGCCGGATCTCAATTTTCGCAGAGATCCTATTATTTCTCGATTCATTTCGTTCCTGGACTTCATTGTCCCATTTTTCTTTAATACAATCACGGCGCTCGTTGCTGTCTTCAATCAAATCCTCCATCGCTTGTCCGTCGGATGAAACAAGTGATAGACCTCGATGGTTCTGTCTTTTTGTTTGTGCCACTTCCTCCGGTGATGCTGAGTTAGGTCCCTGGTCATGATTTGTCGTGACAATAAATGACGATGAGGACCGCACGACTGCAGTCCTATGGTCTTTCTCCATAGTTACTGTTTTTGACTCGTCTGAGAAGATAAGGTACGCTGCTGTGGTAGGGGTCCCAGGTACATTTTTCGCGATATCCTCCAAAGTCGAATATGGTGAACTCTGATTATTGGTGTCACTTGGAGGCAGAATATATTGTCTGAGAAGCGAGGAAATGGACTGTCGTAACCCCAGAAGCACACAGAGGTGATTGGCGTAGAATGTAAAATTCCGCGTCGTGTCATGAACAGGTCTGAAATTGAGTGAGGCACTTAGGTTTTTTCTCACACCCGTGAGAACACCCACAAAACCCACGTAGGTGATACTCGTAGCGAGGACCTTCTCTCGGTCAGAATCTCGAATAAATTCCAGTTGAACGATCAAGTCGCGCAGTGGATCCATTCCCCAGTCCAGTGTTCGGAAGTGAAGCATCTTAGTCTGAGATGAGCTTGATTTGACTCTAGCACCACCGCTTGTACAACCCATAAGTAGATCAAGGACTGTATTGAGACAAATGAGAAGATACATGTCGATATCGGTGGTCTTGCTAATTCCGCGCAGTTCCTCAGTTTCTTCACGCGTATGGAGTCTGTGTAGACAAAGCCATGCTAATTTGTGAATGAGCTGGACTGGGATCTTGGAAGAAAGCGATTTCACCAAGTCGTCAAACATTCCCCGTAGGGCGCGCATCCGGTCGCGGTACAATGCTGCCAAGCTGACATATCGTTCGGCTGGAGGGAGTGAAAGATTGATTCTGAAGATGGGGGGGTTTCTCACCCAAGTGGCTGAGATCAGAAGAGTCTTCCATGCTGGCTTTTGTGTTTTTAGTAATATGTTAGAGACTTGGACTGTGTTTGGATCCGGGGGGTTTAACCTTTAGAAGGTTGCCTAGAAAGCGGGGATGAGGCTCTGCTGTTTATTCCCCACTATGTACTCCAGGGCTAGTATCATGCTCGTACAGCATTCATCCCAATTTTGGGAAGATCGTCAAGGTAATCAATCTAACATTTGAAAGATTTAGTTTATTACAGAATAGATAACTCACCTGGGCAAGTAAATTTTACATTATCTAATAGTATGCTGCATGATGCACGGGCTATCCGAGTCACTCGTCTGCCACTTGGGCAACTTGAAACAACTGACCCATTTTATAGCTTTAGTGAAGAAGAAAAACCCAGATTCAATAGACTTGAGCTCAACTTAAAATTCAACTGCCATCATGATGGTATGGAAGAGATTATTATGATCTCAGCTCAATATCAATAGATTTTTATGGCTAGCGCAATCCTCCAGCTTCAAAATTTCGGAGGCTGTTCACGTTACTACTAGTAGAGGTTAACTGGAGTAATGCTGGGCAGTCAAAGGTAGTAAAGACCCTCTTTGAAGGATTCATCATGATATTCGAATGTTTGTTCTGCAGTATTAGGAACTATGTACTATTATAATCCTCTATTCAGAATCTAGAATTCTAAAATGCCCGGGTGCCAGTGCCGGTTTATTTCAGGTTAGTTAAGAAGGCGTCAAAATATTTCAAATGTTCCTTACATATGCATTTGATTTCCCGGGCAGATCCTTACATCTAACCTTACTATTGAAGGCTATGTGAAAATACCACCAATGCAAGTGCTAACTTCATAAGCATACTAACTAACAAGGAGTCATCACCCTTTACCTGCAACCTTGGAATGGATGCCAGTATACGGGCGGTATTAAAGGCGGCGAACGTAATCTGCCGGTATAAAGCCTGCGGGGCCTGCGGAGACCGGAGAGTTTCTCCGATGGAATTTCGATCTGTGTCGTACCACTGCCCTTCCTTCAAGATCGGAGATCATGGAGCTTTGTCGCACCTGAAGTTCTAAACATTTAAAACAAGAAGGTAGTGAGTGGCGATGGCCTCGTTCGATCAGACCGCTGCAACAGCGGCTCAAAACTTGGGCGCGAAGGTGGAAGATGACGCACTCGACGCGAACTACAACATGATTGTAGACAACTACCCCGAAGGGCTCGATTACTATGCCCTACTTGGCCTTTCACAGAAACCACCTCCGACCGAAGCTGAAATTCGCTCTGTTTATCGCAATCTTTCGCTAAGCTTCCACCCGGATAAACAACCACCCCATCTTCGGGAGGCTGCCCAGAAGCACTTCACTCGGATACAGGAGGCCTACGATGCTCTGATTGACCCTCAAAAGCGCATAGTGTATGATATGCTGGGAGCAGAGGGGGTCAAGCAAGAATGGGGCCACCGAGGTGCGATGGGTACGGCTGGGGAGGCGGAGAAACAGGAGGTCGGCGTTAAGACGATGTCGCCGGATGAGTTTCGGCAATGGTTCTTGAAGACAATGAAGAAGAGGGAGCGGAAAGCCGTGCAGAGCTTGGTGGAATCTAGTGTGGGTTTCGATTCCTCGAAATAATCATTATTCCAAGAGCAATTCTTTTTACTAACATGTCATTTCTATGCCACAGGGGACTATCACACTTGGAGTTAATGCAGAGGACATTATTCAAGTGGACGGAGACGATGTGACCTTTGGGATCCCATCACCGAAAATCACCACGTTTGGCGCATCATATGAGTTTAAGGCTCCGTTGCCCTTGCCTGAATTTTTGTCCAGAAAGGACGAGAATGAGGATGATGAAAGCGAGGCTCAAGATCAAGACCAGCCTGCAGGGCTTAATGAGTTAGAGGAAACTGAGGATCCAGTCTATGTGACCATCAATGCTGGTATTAATGGTGGGTTGGCTCGTCAGAAACGGACTTACCTAGTTACCTACGAGGGCCGCGAAGATGAGGAGGTTGCGGTAAAAGTGAGTTTTCGAACACAGTCTATCTCTCAGCAATTCTCACTAACACAATTTCCAGGTCGATGGTCCGCGTCTTCTGGTCAGTAACGAGATGCAGCTTGGAGCCACCATTGCCCCGAATTTCAGGGCACTGGCAGGCAGAAAGGGAATATTGAGCTGGCGACCATTTACCTTTCTTCAAGACTCAACAGTCCTGGTGGAGGGTGTTGTTCTTCCGGAAAGGCTTGTGAAGACAACAATCGCTCGTTCAATTCAGCCAATCTCTGGCATCAAGCCATTCTCAGTTACAGCCAGCAGCATTATAAAGTACCCCCTACTTGAGGCACCTCCTTCATTCGAAATCCAAGCATCGAAAGAAATAGCACCTTCTAAAGTAGCATTCTTTTCATGGTCAAGTGGCTCTTGGCAGTGGCCTGACCTGTTGCTTGACCGTTTCAGTTCTCTTGGGATGTATCCTAATACCATGTACGCCTCAGAGGATGAACTAAGTGGTTTCCAGATTGGTCTCCTCTCGCTACCGAAGACTCGAGTTAAAGATACCATCGGTGATGGTGATGAAGATGACGATGACGAGCTAGCACAAATCTCGCGAAAGGAGAGGAATATTGATCGAGCCCGCGAGTCATGGGTCACCCAGCTACAGGTTTCTCCCGGCGGAGGCGGCCTCGTGCTGAAATATGAGCGAAACTTGTTTTCCGGCAAGCCCAGTGACGACCCTGTGAGGTCTGAATGGAGTGGTGTGGGTTACTTTCCCATGAAGAAGATGGAAGGAGCCCGTGCTGTAAGGCTCGCAATTACCACAGTCCTCGCTCCGGACCTTTCAGTTAGTTGGACAGTACAGGGAACTAGACGGGTTAGTGAATATACCAAACTCGGGCTCGCTATTGGCATTGCTCACAAGGGTATTCACATGTCTGTCTCATGGGAGCGACTAGGTCAGGGTATTAATATTCCTGTCATCCTCTGCCCTGCGCGGCAGGCTACTCACGAAGCTGCAATGTTGGCTACCGTTGTTCCATGGCTGGCATACTGTGCAGTTGAATTTGGCTATATTCGACCAAGGGATCGAAAGAAGAGACGACAAGCGGCGGCTCGTCGCCATAATGAACTGAAGAAACTCATTCCCAAGAAAAGAGCAGAGAGCCAGCAAGCCATTGAACTCATGGCTGATCAAGTGCTAAGACGTCAAACTCGGGAAGAAGCGCAAGACGGCTTGGTTATCACCAAGGCTGAATATGGATATGTTCCGGGCACGAGCAAAAAACTACTGTCCAAATTCCCCGATCCTCGACTCGTCGATGTAACTATTCCGGTTGCCGCGCTGGTTGATCGCAGCCAACTGGTGATACCTGAAAATACAATTAAAGTAAGTTCTCATGCTACTGACCCTTGATGCCCAGCGTTGAATGAGGCTCACATGAATATTCCAGTTCCAAATTATTGGATTCCATGATCCTGCGCCCCTATTGCCCAAACGATTGAAGATATGGTACACATTCCAGGGCCGCGAACATTTTATAGATGTTGGTGATAAGGAGGGTTTTTCTTGCCCCATGCGCGCACACTTGGTATCCTCTTAAGTGTGTGAGTCTATATCTCTCCATCGGGATAAGTCTTGAACAGCTGAAGCCTTTCCTGTGTATTTTTATTCCATGTTTCAGGTTAATTTGAAGATAATCGCCACATACCATTTTCTCCTCCAATACTACAACTTGAATGCCAGTGTTTCAGATCGATTCTAGGCTATTCAAATATTCATATACCAAAGCTCTGCAGCTCTCGTTCAAGTTGATGCCGAATTCATGGATTAGTATTCACATGAGCATTTCGGCTTTGTTTGTTATATTTGGGTCTTCAAATGAACATTCTCATACCTGGATGGTTCTCAACTAGTACTAGTAGATTTTTCTAGAGATTTTGGACTATAAAGATATTTTATTATCTTCAAGCTGTGCACTTATGCCTGAAATTCAAATAATATTGAAATCTATCAAAATAAGAAATGGTTCCAAGGTTATTTTATTGCTGACGTCAACTGGTTGGCTTGTTATAGGGTGAGCCAAAAGTACCTCTTGCGCAGTGCCGCAAAAGCCTAGCACTTCACCTCGAGATCCTTAACTCACCCAACCACTTGACTTGACAGCTTTCGCTTCATTTTCAAGTGTAATCATGGCTTCTCTCGCATCGGGGCTTTTCAAGTCCCTCCCCAAGCCCAAATACACTGGCGAGGAAGAAGAGTTGCCCCAGCATGCACAACCCCGTGGTCCGCGTGTGGTGGGCGCCGACCAGCTTGACGAGACTCAAGTAGTCCTACGGGTACCGAACCACCCTTCTTGAAAGCTTTCGCTCTACGGGACTGTACTGACGCATGGTTTCTTAATAGAGAACTGGTCCTCCGCCATATGGCAACCGCGCAGGATGGCGCCCTCGAGCTCCCGAAGATTTTGGCGACGGCGGTGCTTTCCCGGAGATTTTAGTGGCGCAATACCCCCTCGACATGGGACGAAAGGGCACTTCCTCGACATCAAATGCGCTCGCGGTGCAGGTCGACGCCGAGGGCAAGGTTAAGTACGATGCGATCGCTCGGCGGGGACATGGAGACAACCGCATCGTCCATGCCTCATTCAAGGATTTGATCCCGTTACGCCAGCGGGTAGACATGGGAGAAATTTCCCTTGATCGACCCTCCGAGGAAGAAGTTCAGGCACAGATGGAGAAAACCAAGACTGCTCTGGCCAGCTTGGTGGACGGAGCTGTATCTGCACAGAAGCCAAAGAACGTGAAGGGCGGAAGCAGAGCCGAGCCAACATTCGTTCGATACACACCAGCAAACCAGATGGGCGATAATAATAAGAAGAACGATCGGATTATGAAGATTGTCGAACGGCAACAGGATCCTATGGAGCCTCCCAAGTTCAAGCACAAGAAGATTCCCCGTGGCCCCCCCGTCGCCTCCTCCTCCAGTTATGCATTCGCCGCCTCGAAAACTTACTGCGGAAGACCAAGAAGCCTGGCGAATCCCCCCCACCCGTGTCGAATTGGAAGAACCCCAAGGGATATACTGTTCCCCTGGACAAGCGTTTGGCAGCAGATGGCCGTGGATTACAAGATGTGTCTATTAATGACAAGTTCGCTCAGTTTGCTGAGGCTCTATTTACAGCCGATCGTCACGCACGTGAGGAGGTGCAACTGCGCGCCCAGATGCAACAAAAGCTGGCAGAGAAGGAGAAGGCTCAGAAGGAGGAGCACCTCCGACAGTTGGCACAGAAGGCACGCGAGGAGCGTGCTGGACCCAGCCGACGCGCAGATTCCCGACCCCGCTCTCGCTCTCGCAGTGCCAGCCGCAGTGTTTCCCCTTACTCTTCAAGGTCCGGTACCCCGAGTGAGGATGGCGAGGCAGCTCGAGAGCGTGAGCGCGAGCGTCGTGAACGCCGACAGGAGAATGAGCGACAGCTTCGTCAATCCCGTATGGGTACGGAGCGTCGGATCCAGACGATGGCACGCGAGCAGAACCGTGATATCTCTGAGAAGGTGGCTCTCGGATTAGCCAAGCCAACACAGAGCTCTGAATCCATGTGGGATTCGCGTCTCTTCAACCAGACCAGTGGTATGAGCTCTGGCTTCAACGAAGACAACCACTACGATAAGCCGCTATTCGCTGCGCAGGATGCCATCAACAGTATCTACCGTCCTCGGGCCCAGGCCGATGCGGACAACGAAGATGCGGGCGAAGGCGAGATGAGCAAGATTCAAAAGACGAGCCGGTTTGAGGTTTTGGGTCGGGCTAAGGAAGGTTTCCGTGGTGCTGCTGACGCTGAGGTAAGTTTGAAAACGGTAACCTTTCCCAGGTTCATAGCTAATTGGTGTGATTTAACAGGAACGTCAAGGTCCTGTCCAATTCGAAAAGGACACCGCGGATCCTTTTGGAATTGATAGTATGATTGCCGATGTGACTACAGGTCAGAAGCGCTACGGTATTCAAGAGGCTGACAAGGACGACCGCGGATCTAAGCGCGCCCGTGTGGATGACGACTAAAATGCCCGATTCTCGATTTTGTTTGTATTATTGTGCATTATACGACTTTCTATTTGTGGGCCCCTTGAGGGCGTGGACAGGGCAATGGGTTGTCTTTGTGCATTGCGGGCGTTCGGCGATATGATCTACACCCAATTTTCTTTATTTTCTGTTCTCAGACACTCAAAAATTAAAGCGACCTCACCGAGAGTTCTGGTTTTTGGCCTTTCAATTAGGTCCTGGCGTGGATTTTCCAGGCTGCCAATTACAATATAACCCAAACTTATACAGTTTCACTTGCGATCCATATCTGCGTAGGAGATAGACTTCTTTTACCACTTGGATTCCTGCACTTTTACTCACCACCTGTCATGATTCCCGAGGAGTGCCTACAGCCTGAGCTTATCCCTAGGGCTACCAGCTGCCTATATCCAACAATATAACAGCTAACCCTCCCTTCCAGGCGACCCCTGACCCCCAGCTGATCCTGTAGGTAACCCCGTAGGTACCTACATGCAAAGAAGGGTCGGTCACCAATTACCTGTAGACTCTACTGACTGAGTACTCAAGTATGTGAACCTTGATATAAGGTGTCCATTGAACCGCGCTTCAGGGCTGCCCATGATACGTCTCGGGGTCGTTGCCCACCATAGTATACATGCTAACACAAAGAAAGTCCAAATGAACTAGAATCAATAGATAAAGAAGAGAAGTATAACAATGCGTAGTTTGATGATTTGAAGAAGCTAGTAGGAAGATTGGACGGCATTGTGTGCATCCAGGTGAAGTAATAAAATATTGGAATCGGCAAGATGAGACTAAATGCTCATTACATGACTTGGGACTCAATAGATCCTTTAATGAATGAGACTGACTTGCTTGCCTGTAAAGTCAGCAGACCAGCATTAGAATTAAAAACTACATGTCAATGGGAAATGAACGACACGAAAGCTTATATACAAGCCCTTCACAAGAACAAGGCTTCATCTAGTTTTTGTATTGACCCCAGTATTGAAAGTCCTTTGGAAGGTCGTTGGGACTAAATAAATGGTTAGAAAGGAGTATGCAGTGAGAGATAAGTGAGCTTACCCAGAATCAGGAGCAGGGTGGATAACGTGTCCACCCTCCTTAACATACTCATGGTTGACGTGAGGGTTGGGCCAGAGGCCCTTGGTATCATCTGTGTGGGCAACGACAGGCTCACCGTCGGGACCATCAGGAGACTGAGCGTCAGACTGGTCGTTGTGGGGGTTGGGCCACGGGCCCTTAGTGTCCTCTGAATGACCGTAGGTAGGGGGAGGACCATCTTTACCGTCACCAATCTGACCGTGACTTTCATCCACATGAGGCTGAGGCCAAGGACCCTTAGAGTCGTGCTCATGAGCGTAGATAGGCTCATCGTGAGGGGGAGGGTAGACTGGTATAATCTCAACAGGCTCGGGAACAGGGTACTCAGGAATTGCCTGAGGAGGAGTTTCCGGTGCAGGATACTCGGGAGTAACTTGTAGAGATGGGGCTGGGGCTTGTGGAGCAGGTTCCTGAGGAGCTGGAGCCTGAGGAGCCGGAGCTTGGGGTGGAGGAGCTTGAGGTGCAGGATCGTGCGGCGCAGCTGGTTCCTGAGGTGCTGGAGCCTGGGGAGCTGGCTGTTTTGGCAGTGGGCCATGAGGATGAGTAGGCTTGGGAGCTGGTGTCTCCTCAGGAGCCGGGGGTGCCTCTGGAACAGGAGTCTCTGTATGCGTAGGCTTAGCAGCAGGTGGTGGTGGTGGGGCAGTTTGCTGTTCGGGCGCTGGAAGCTTGGAACTGGTTGGCCTGGGAGCTGCCGGTTGCGTAGAGGGTGCAGGCTCTCCAACCTCAGGATAAAGAGCACCGTGATCCTCGGTCGGGACCTGATCGTTTGCACCTGTCAAGTCCAATCCCTTCTTGCCAGCGGCATTACCATGGGTCGGGTTGGGATACGCATTGCAGACGTCGTAGTGACTCTTAGGAGGAGGACTCTCCGACTGAGGGAATGTCTCAGGTGCTTCGATAATAGTCGCGGTCAAGCCTGCCTCCACGTGCCACTCGATGTGACAGTGCAGCAGCCACACACCAGGGTTATCGGCACGGAAGCGGATAACCACATGTCCGTGATTCTGGACCATGATTGTATCACGGCGGATAGGAGTCGATGAGACATTCTTGTAATACTGACCGGTGAAGTAGCCTCCGCCGAGCTGTGATCTTTGAAGAACCTGGAATTCGTGTCCGTGAAGATGCCATGGGTGTAAATCGTCGTGGTGGTTGTTGATAACAATTTCAACAACTTCACCATGCTTCAAGATGAAAGGATTTACATCACCATATACAGCCGGGTTGGATGCAAACTCCGAGCCAACAGTATTGGCGGTATAAAGAGTTGGCACATCTTGAGGAATGTAGGTGTTGTTGTTGATAGTGAATCGGGGCACTCCATTGATTACAGCGGATCCAGTATCGAGGATAATCTGGTGGTTGACAGGTTCAAGCAAAGGCTGGTGGTCGGCAGGAACAAAATCAACATCATCCACGAAGTCAAACTCGTAGAGAACGGGAGGCGGTGGCAAGGGCTTTGTCTCATCGTATACCAGCCAAGCAGTCGCATTAGGGTTGTAGCCCGCAGGAATTGAACGGTTCTCGTAGACGAACATCATGTTGATATCCATTGTATCCCAGATCGCGAAGTTCTGGCTGGCATCAGGCTTGGTATGGATAAGAACACTGGTACGCTGCCCGGTTGCAATACGCAGCAACTTGTCACCGACAGGATAGGGCTCAGTATAAATACCATCCACTTCGACAACAGTCATCTCATGGCCATCGAAAGTCCATGTGTGACCAGGCCAATTACCAACACAAATGATGTGAACCAAGTACGTCTTATTCGGCTCAACCTTGATCTTAGTGTCGGTTGAATCGTTAATCAGCGCTGAGTTCGGAACCGGCTCACGTCCACCGAAGGCTTCCTGGTCTTCTTGTGACTGGTACTGTGCAAGCAGATCCGGCATCTGGTCGTGGTACCAATCACTGAGCGTGATTGTGAACTCATCGTCATATTCAAATGGAGGGTTAGGATCATGTACAATCAATGGACCGCGGAACCCATCTGGGTATTGTCCCATAGTGTGTGAGTGATACCAGTACGTTCCAGTTTGGTTGATCTATACTATGTTAATTTAAGACATCTCGTCGTATGCACAATCAACTTACTTGGAAATTGTACTGCATATGTTGACCTGGAGCAATTGGGCACTGGGTGACACCGGTTGAACCATCCATCACTCCAGTACCGTTTTGATGCATACCATGCCAGTGAACACCAGTAGACTCATTACCCAAGCCATTGTAAACGTCTACAATCAGACGATCTCCCACGTCCACATCGATTTGAGGGCATGGCCATTCACCATTGATACCAATCACCGGACGCTCAAACCCATCAGGGGAAGCATTAACCCAAGTGACGTTCCAGTCGAGGTAAACATCTTTCGCCGCTGCAAGCTTTGCGGCCCAACTAGCTACCAGGAGCAGATTGAATTTGGCCATCGCAGTCGTTGAGCGAATGACTATCGAACTGCAATTGAAGGGATAATTAAATCCTCCGAATTGGCAAGTCGATTGATGTACCGCAGGCCGAAGAATAGAAATTAAAAACGAGAAAAAGCAAAGATGTCGACAAAAAGAAGGAAAGTCGGCGAAAATTGGCGACGGTGTTGGTCGAAAGGTCTACTCACGAAAGCAATGGATTTCAGCTTCCTTTAACAATGCTTGATCGATCTGCAACTAGGGAGCAATGTTGTCTCCTTGGTCAATACCATGTTTTGTTGCAATGCTAATTTCTCCCTCGTCATTCAAGGATCAGAAAAACAAAGCCCTGGACGAACTCATGAAGGGCCTCTCAGGCGCCCAAGCTTGGTCTTTTTTCTCCCCTCAGGCATTCCAGCAATGGGTCTCCGCTGCAAGCATGTAGATGAATCACCAAAAGTGGTGTTGCGCCGGGTCCCGTGCGTAAGGGGTCACATACCACGCCAGACCACCTTGGTTATTTGTAAACACAAGCTCACATAGATCTCAATTGGAAGAAATGTCTGTTTGAGCTTTCGATATCTTCTGGAACCTGTATTCTGATCAGGTATTTTGGATCATGCCATTGGCCTGTGGATTGTTGTTGGTTAATTACGTAGAGCATGACTGGATGGTGGCCCGATGGCTTCCATGTCTGAGCCAACAGCAATTCGTGCATCATTTTTCCTTTTCTCCACTCTCTCATCTTCCCTAATGGCATGTCACATTAAGGCGTATGTTCATAGACAGCTAGTCAGTCCACTGGCGAAGACTGAAAACTGAAAACTCGACCAAATGACCCTTGTTCTGCCTTGTTCTGTTGTTCTAGGCACGTCGTATCAGCGGAAAGCCACTTCCAGCCATGGCTCCACCCAAACCAGGGTATGACTGTGCTTATCGTAGATCGCCGAGTCCTTGAGGCCACCAACCGTAGTCAAGAGCTTCCTATCAAGAGTGAAGCGGGGCACTAGAAGTTTGTGACCCGGTTGGCGTCGGGAGAGATAGGACGGGGTATTTGCATCTGGATATAGAATCCCTTCTCCACTGTTAGTCAAGTGGACAACGCGGGGTCGAAAGGGGAACGTGCAGATTGATAAATCGATCCCATCTTATTGGATCTGAATCAGAGCATCAGAGTTGATTCAGCAGTCAGCAGAGTCCGAGTACCTGTCAGGGGTTCACTCTCCACACGATCAGGTACCAAGCCCACTGCACGACATTGTAGGTCCGTGAGCAACCGGGAACAGCGCCTAGCGCGGGATGATAAGAGTAGTGGGGAAAAGAGCAAGATAAAGGTTTTTTTCATGAAGAGATTTGGTAAACTGGGTACAAATGGATAGAAGAGGGTAAAAAAATCCCTTATGAGTGAAAGAGGATGCATTATCTTTGAGGTGGGAGAATGGGAAGGAAATGAGGGGTTCTGTCCTTCTTTCCTCAACTTTACTCTTCGACTCTTTTAACTCATCTTCAATACTTCACTTCTACTCTTTTTTTCTCTCTTCCTCGACTACGGATTATTCTGGGACCGTTTTAGGATTTCTTGACTCATCCCGAAAAAGTTCGCTTCTCTCTCAACTGACGCAAGCCTAGCACCGATGGCGTCTACTTCATTTTAACATTGTGACTAGCTGCGTCAATGGCGTAATTTCTCCCCTGCGCCATGAGAGTATCCCCAAGAAAGAGACAAACCCCATTTGACCCATTTTTTCCCAATTTGAACATACGTCTACCTGGGAAAAATAACCTTCATATTTTTCTACAAACTACAATCCTATCCCGGTCATACTAAGGAACTTGAAACTTGAACCACTACATGATGGATCAATCATTGACTCTGATCGACGCCCAGGTCCACTTTGTGGTAAGTGGAGTACTGGAACGAAGCCATCCATTCGCTATTCAACTGGTATACTCACATATGTATATATTTAGGAAGAACGGTTGGTCCTCGTTCACATTCCCTTGGAGCTTTACGCATATTTCTTCAAGTCCGTTCTGCGATTGATCTATGACGAAATCTCTCCTCTGGAGGAAGACCAAAAGACCCATGAGGATGATGATGGAGACTTTGAAGATTTTGAGGATGATTCGGAGAAAGGTTCCGAGTACCATCAGCCAGCCTTTTTGAATGTCTCTATTACTCCAGTTGAGGTCTCCGTGATATGCCCTCGACGCCTTGTGGACAAATATTTCGAGCCCACTCTAAAAGAGCTTGATCATCTGGATAGTCAGCTTCGATCTCGACTGGTCGTTAGTGAAAATGACTACATTGCGATGCAGGTTCTTGGTCAGGGACTCGAGGCTGGCAAACGTGTACTGGAGTTAACCAGTCCGCTCGCCATGGCAGGAATGTATGTTCAAGTACCCCCAACTCCGAGTCCGAGTCAAAATATATGTTGACAGTCACGGTGACACCCAAACCCGGAAATCCCCCACATACTAACACGTATATACCAGTTCCATCTTTTTCATTTCGACTTACTTTTCTGATTACATTCTCGTTCCCTTGCACAGCAAGGCGAGTGTGATATCTACACTCGAGAACCGAGGATTTCAATTCGAAAATGCCACCGCAGCCTTCATCAATAACCCTCTCAGCCCAACATCACCTCGCTTCGAAAAACACCATGGCGACCTAATCCCACCGGTAACCCCACCCCCATCCACCCTAGCGGAACTACAAACACGAACTTTTGCCAATCTCCGCAAACGCCAAATCTCTCCATATGTAGACGATAGTCTTCGTTTGGTACAATGCGCCGCTCATCACCAGTACAATCGCCAAGAAAGCTCCATGTCCATCCTGCGTGATGCACTTACCACAACTCTCCTCATCGATGAACCTCGTTTCCTCTCTTTAACTCTTGCAGCCTTGGACCCCGCCGCCTCCCTTTTACTCGAGAAGCGGCTCCTTCCCCGCTTCGCGAGCCCCACAAGCTCACACCAAGGCTACGAGGATGGTTCGGGACTTCTCCTCGGCTCCAAAGAAGATTACCTCATCCCCATCATGCTAGATCTTCGCGATTTCCCCCTCGAAGCATCCGGTATCGTCTGCGGTGTTGCAGGACGCCTCGCTGAAGCGACTTATGGACATTCGTCCCGGGCCGCGGGTAGTGGAGACCTGAGTATTGTGAGTAGCAATGAGAGCAGCGTGATCGGATCTGTTCCCGCGCTTTTTGATACTTTCGGAACCCGATTGGCGCTCGGCGGTCTGGATAAGAATAAACGACCTCATGTGCATCACCATTCCTTGCCACCGACTACGCATCATCTGAAGCCGGATATTGATTCCTCGGCGGATGCAGTGGAGATTAGCTTCTTGAGTACTGCGCGAGCTGGTACCATTATTGTTGGGGAAGATGAGCTGCGTAGAGCGATTGATGCACTAGAGGCTGAAAAAGCACATGATGAGATTACTGGAGACGAAGAGGTGTTGCTTCAGGGTGAAGTTTCTCCCAAAATTGAGTGATACGTTTCATTTTATTTTTGTTTGGTCTGTTCTTTTCTCCTTGCCTTTGTGAAGCATTGGGATGGTTGTCGCGTTGTTATCTATGGAGTAGTCTTGCATATTGTTGTGACGGAGCGGAGGGGAAAAGTGCTTTTTTCAATATCTGTTTTTGCTTTTTTAGCATCAATTTGCAAAACCTTCCAAGGTTGTCCTGTATGATTACACGATCTCTCATACCCAGTTTGAGCTATTCCAATTGATTCTGATTTTTGCCTTGCGTTGAACTATGATATTGCATTAATAGTATGATAGGTAGATTTTTCTTAGGCCTTCCCCCTTTCTACTTTCAAGCCCAAGGTTACATTCATGTCGTGATGGAGCTCATTATTGGAAGAAACTAGAGTTGTGGATTTACGGATCACAATCTTTCTGTCTGAGTGCAGAGGCTCGATCTTCGAAGCTGATATGTCATATTCAATACTTGAGGCTACATGCAGGCTGCCGACACATCCACCCAATATAGTACTTTCATGCAGCCTCGTAAACATACAGGGTCGAATTATGTCGATCTGGGAGACAATAAATCTTCAATTTACCATCCACAACAGCAATATCGATGGGGTTCTCTGTCATGGAAACTCCTAGGTCACTCGTCAAGGTGATAGGCACCTCCCAAAGTGGAAGCATTGTCTGGAGATCAATCAATGCGATACCACCCAGATCGACTGATGACGAAGGGTAATCCAACGTAGCAACACCGCCACAAAACATAATTGCCCGTGTCGCACTGAATGTGTCACTGTGTCCTCCAACCCGAGCAATCATAGAACTCGGTAGAGGGTGATGACCGAGGAATTTGCAATCCTGGTAATCAACAAAGAACGTCGGATTCGGCACATTAGACCTCGGCTCAGTAAAGCCTGGAAGAGGAGTAAAGGCCTGGGGATAGTCTTTCAGAGACCAGGTAGTAGCATTGCGACTACCCCAGTTCAGAGTGACAAGGTCATCCGTGATGGTATCATGCACAATACCTCCGTTATGATCACGGACACGGAAGAGATCTTCCTTTTGCAATGTAAATGGGTCGATTCGAGCAATTGTAGCCGTCGTATTAGGTCTGTACTGAGCGATCGCATCCCAGATATAGCGGCCATCGTAATCAATGCCACCCGTATGGTACTCAATGTCGCCTGGGGGAGTCATAGTGGCATTTGCAATGAGTCTACCTTTACCATCGTAGAGAAGCATGTGTGCATAACCCGCACCGGGAGTACGGTCGGTTCCATTGATTTCATGGGCGTATGTTTTCGTTGCAACTGTATACACTCCAGATGAAACAATGTATCGGTCGTCACCGAAGCGGACAATTCCTTCTGGCTCGCCCGTGTCGCCTTCGAAGTGTGTCTTGGAAATTAGTTTCCATTCCGTTGAGCGGCCAAGGTTCGCAAAATGCTGAAGAATTGATCCTCCATCAGAATCGGCGTGTGATGGGGGTAGTGTGTCATTGGGGACGAATGGTTCATTAGGTCGAAGGATCGTCACATTGGTGGCCAGTGTGCTTGAACACAACGATGTAGCTGCGATAATAATCGATGGGAGTTTCATGTTGGTATAGTATGGACGAATGTGCCCAATCGCCTCCCTTTGATCTGATCCTTTCTATAGATGGGATTGAGATCGAAAAGAACCAGACATGGAGGGAAATCCCACTATATAAACCCACGAACAAGGGAGAGCGTACAGTGTACCTTAACACTTTCCTAGAATAGTGAAACTAGACATCCCGTAAGCGGGAATGATGTCGAGAATCATCAACAAAAATGGATTAGATGCGGAGACTGTGGTAGCCCACGTTGATTGTCGGCAATCATTCGTTGGCTCAACCAAATACTCGCACAGAACCTGGTCAGCACTATTAGCAAAATGATTCCCTCGCGCGTTAATGCTAACAGATTTAATCTGAATCAAGGAAACTTACCATCCGAACATCCGCCGGCCCAATAGCCCTTCTCATTCCACGCCACACAGCTCACGACTTTCTCATCCATCGGTACCGTCGCAACAGTCTCTCCGCTGAGAATGTCCCAAGCGAAAACTGAAGCGCCGAGTCCACCTTCATCATTCTTTGCGGCTTCACTGCCACTAAGAACAACAGCGTCGCCTTGTGCAAAGACAGAACGAACACGTAGATCGGCATTCCGATACGCAGGTCGAGGTTTGCTAGCATGCGAAAATGGGGTCTTCTCTTTCTCCGGGCCTCCGAATGCTGCAAGGAGCTTTCCGTTTGATCGATCGAGCATTCGAATATAGCTATCCAGCGTCGAAACAAGAATTGCATTTCCATCTGCCGAGCATCGGACGCTAGTTACCGGGTGCGCCAGGACATCGTCGGTTGTTTTTCCCATGCGCACATCGTAAATTCGTACATGTCCATCGTAGCTACCGCTAGCAATCGAGTAGGAAGGCATGTGGACATGGAGAGAGGAAACAGTGTCCGTTGCTTCGGTCAGAGACTGGATGGGCTTGTAGTCTTTAGAGCGGGTATCCCATATCTTCACAGTCGTATCTGCGCTGCCTTTAGATAGCAAAAGAATGAATGTTAGCGACCATCAACCTAGGATTCGAACGCGGGGAATGGGCTCATTACCAGACACTACCACTGAATCACCCTCTCCAGCAAATTGTACAGCTTCAATCCGGCTAGTATGTCCATCCCATCGTTTTTTTGTGACTCCCTGTTCAACATCCCAGAGAAAGACTTGCCGATCGCCTCCTACACTGACGAAGCTCGCATTATCGGCAGCCACGGCCACGTCGAGAACGGGGTAGCCATGCGCCTCGTACTTTTGGATCGGGGAGGTGGTCTCGATAGCTTGCGGAGACTTTTCTGCATTATTCGGGACAGCTCGTGACAAGTGAACAGCACGATCGGAAGAGCCTGTGAGCACGTATGTGCCAGGGTAGCTGGAGAAAGTCACCGCATTGACAGGAACTAGCGCGACGAAATGGGGTTAGCGAAACGCTTTATATGATATTAGTTTGACATAGACCTACCACTATGTGTCTTCAATGTGTGCAGATGCCGAGATGGGAATTCTTTGCGAGGCATGTTGAGCTAATCGCTGTAACAAAAGATCATGATCGCGGGGAGGGAAATTGGAGAATGCGGACAAGACGCGGTGGAGCTCGGGCCAAGCTTCTATACACTAACAGATACTAACTATATCATTCTTTGTTCTATGCAAAATTATCTACACTGTTCTGGAGGGTGGATGAAATCATGTCATTTGAAAAAAAATTAATTCCGGAATTAGAAGCAGATTAACATTGTATTTTTCCTGCGCTACAGAAAACAGGAGGGGGTTATTATCAAGAATGTAGACACCATCGCTAGCTACCAGCGTCAAATGGATAAAACGAAACAAAACGAACCAGCCTTTTAAGGCGAAGGTGCGCCCTCCCCAGCGTGTGAAATTGCAGGACTTAGGCGTAGGGTAATCAGAAGAAGAAGAAATAACGAAATAGAGGAGCAGACAGATTAGACAGACTGCCTTTTTGAACGACCAGGGCCGTTTCCACCAACTTAACGACGACCGTGGCTGCGAGTGCTGGAGCCCTGCAGATTCTCGATCTCGTTCTCGAGCTGCTTGATACTGGAGGCAAGTTAGTAATCGATAGACACAAAGACCAGGAATATATATTAAAACATACGCAGCATGAGTGGCCTCCAGATCCTTGTTGAGGCGGTCGCGCTCGGAGATGAGCTTCTGCTCCCACTGGCGGAAGCGCTGCTCCTCGACCTTGACCTGCTCGGTGAAACGCTTGCGCAGGTTCTCCTCCTCTTCCTTGAACTTGGGGTTGTCTAGCTTGCGTGGGCGGGCCTCGCCGAACTTGCGGGTCTCCATCTGCTGGGCACGGTAGGCCTCGTAGTGCGATTCCTCGGTGGTGTGAATGAGGTCAAGCATGTGGGTACGGATCAGAATGGAACGGAGCTTCTTGAAGTCGCAGTGATCCTCGTTCTCAACCTCAGCAACACCCCAGGCGTACTGGCGACCCTTGACAACACGGCCATCATTAGCCTTAACATCCTTCTCGGAACCAATGACGGCGAAAGGCATGGCAGCCATCAGGCTGCGGGCGTGAGTAGCGGCGTGCTCATCGTCCTCCTCGACAGGTGGGGTGTAGATCTTGATGCCTTGAGCCTCAATGACACGGCGGATCTAACAAAAAATAGTTAAGTCAGTCTTGCTCTGGTTCCTATCTTTTGATCTGCTTCATGTTCACTTACTCTCTCCTTGTAACGGACAAGATCGGCGTGGCTCAGGGTATCAGCCTTAGCAACAACGGGGATCAGGTTGACACGGGAGCTCAGACGCTTCATAACCTCAATGTCAAGGGGCTTCAGGGTGTGTCCGGTGGGGCGGATGAAGTACAAGCAGGCGTGAACACGCATATCGATCTTGTCTGAGCGGCGAGGCTGCTGCTCCTGGAGCATGTAAGACTCATGCTGGTCATCCAGGAACTCAATGATGGGCTGCCAGGAGTCACGGTTGTTGACGTAGTCACCGAAGCCGGGGGTATCGATAACGGTCAGGCGAACTATATCAGAAGGGAGCTAGTCAGTGACTATGACACATTTCCTGGTCCATGATATTTTCCCCCACCTTTGAAGAACTTCTCCTCCAGCTCGGCCTTGGTGATCTCAATCTCGACGGTACGGTCAACCTGCTTCTGGTGACGGCGCTTGTGATCGGCATAGTTCTTAATGGTGGTGGAGAAAAGGGTGTTGATGAATGTGGTCTTTCCCAATCCAGACTCGCCAGCAACCTATCAATGGGTGGTTAGTTCGGCAATTTCCTCAATTGAGGGAGTTCCAGGCCTCAGCTCACCATAATTGTGAAAGCCGCACCCCGCTTTGCAACAATCTTGTGTCTAGATTATGATCCATTAGTATGTTTATCCATGATGGATGGTGAAATCATTGATTCCATGAGACGGTATACACACCGCTGGTTGGGGAGCTACATGGTTCCACATATCCAAATTAGTGACCTGCCAGTTTCAAATGGTCGGAGCTTGCGGGAACAGAGCTTACATTGGCAATGCCAATAGGCGAGGCAGTCTCAGTTGTAGACATGGTGAAAAAAGAGGGGGTCGTAGAGGGTATTGAAAGAAAAAGAAAGCACACAACAAGGAACACGAAAAGACGAAAGAAGATGAGGAAAGATGAGACTCTTTCCTATGGGTGGGATGGAGAAAAGGAGAGCACTCTTGGCTTGCTTTGGTTACTGTTTCCCCCTGAATCTCTGGAGTAGGGAGCTGGCTCTTTTCCTATCTGAGTTTAGCGTATAACACTATACCATTCAGGGACCGGATGCCGGTGTTAAGATGATCCGACCTTATCGCATTTTCCTGCTGTGTAAATGCCGATCATTCAATTTTTGACTTGGAGCATAGAGAGCTTGTCGCAGTCAAAATGAAGACCGATTTCAAGGTATGTTGGTATATTGGAATGCTGATATTGCTGGTCAATCCAACTAACTATTGTATTCTAGTTCTCCAACCTTTTGGGGACGGTCTACCGTAAGGGCAATTTGCTCTTTACTCCCGATGGAACTTGCCTGCTTTCGCCTGTAGGCAATCGGGTCACCGTCTTCGATTTAGTACAGTAGGTGTTTTCGCCAGTGTGGATTTTGATGGAGGCATTTGGGGAGATCCAAAATGGAACAATGGCTGACTGGTGGCTGTTTAGAAATACCTCCTATACTCTTCCCTTCTCCCATCGCACGAATATTGATCGCCTGGATCTTTCCCCGAAAGGAAACCTCCTGCTGACCGTGGATGAGACTGGTCGAGCAATTTTGACCAATTTCCAACGGCGCATTGCCATTCACCATTTTTCTTTCAAGGGCCGCGTTACTGCCCTGAAGTTCTCTCCGTCCGGCAGGCATTTTGTAGTGGGCGTGGGCAGACGCTTGCAAATTTGGCAGACCCCTTCTACTCCTGGTACGGAGACAAATGGCGAGATTGAATTCGCTCCGTTCGTGTTGCACCGGGATCTAGCAGCCCACTTCGACTCGATCTCCAATGTTGAATGGTCAAGCGACTCCCGTTTTCTGCTTTCCGCATCTCGAGACCTGACTGCGCGCGTATGGAGTCTGGACCCTGAGGATGGCTTTGAGCCTACCACTCTGGCAGGTCACCGCCAAGGCGTGGTTACCGCCCACTTTGATGCTAACCAGGAGAAAATCTACACTGTCAGCCAGGATGGTGCCCTTTTCCGTTGGGAATATGTAGCCAAGAAGGACCCGGAAACCGATGAAGATATTAGTGAAGCTCGATGGAGAATTGTGAAGAAGGATTTTTTCATGCAGAACGATGCTAAGGTCACTTGTGCCACATTCCATGCACCCTCCAACTTGCTGGTAGTTGGTTTCTCCAATGGTCTTTTCGGACTTTATGATTTGCCTGAATTCAACATGATCCATTTACTGAGGTATGTGACCGGAGTTTTTCTACAAAGCTAGTTTGAATATTTTGCTGACAATTTTGCGTGACTAGTGTTTCTCAGAGCAACATCGATGTTGTGACTGTTAACAAGACTGGAGAATGGCTCGCATTTGGATCGTCCAAACACGGCCAGCTGCTGGTGTGGGAGTGGCAATCCGAGTCGTACATCCTGAAGCAACAGGGACATCTTGATTCCATGAACTCTCTGGTTTATTCCCCAGATGGCCAGAAAATTGTCACCACTGCCGATGACGGCAAGGTTAAAGTTTGGGATGTCAAATCAGGCTTCTGTATTGTGACATTTACGGAACATACCAGCGGAGTGACCGCGTGTCAGTTTGCTAAGAAGGGAAATGTCTTATTCACAGCATCCCTGGATGGATCGATTCGCGCATGGGATTTGATTCGATACCGCAACTTCCGAACTTTTACTGCTCCCTCCCGGCTCGCATTTTCCTCTTTGGCAGTTGATCCTAGTGGAGAAGTTGTCTGCGCTGGCTCTCCAGACTCTTTCGATATCCATGTCTGGTCCGTGCAGACTGGCCAATTGTTAGATCAGCTTAATGGCCACGAAGGTCCTGTCTCAGCCCTTGGCTTTGCAGCAGACGGAAACCACCTGGTCAGTGGCAGCTGGGATCACACGGTCCGTATTTGGAGCATCTTTGGTCGTACACAGACAAGTGAGCCTCTTCATCTTATGTCGGATGTTTTGAGTGTCGCTTTCCGCCCCGATGGCCTGCAAGTTGCAGCATCTACCCTAGACGGCCAGCTTTCATTCTGGTCAGTGGAAGATGCAGTTCAGCAGGGAGGTGTTGATGGACGTCGGGATGTGTCTGGTGGCCGCAAGATCTCTGATCGCACAACAGCTGCTAATGCCGCGGGAACTAAATCCTACAACCGCATCACCTACAGTGCTGACGGAAGCTGTATTTTGGCGGGCGGAAACAGCAAATACATCTGTCTGTATGACGTTGGTACTGGATCCCTGATCAAGAAATTCACCGTCTCGGTAAACCTTTCCCTTGATGGTACCCAAGAGTTCCTGAACAGCCGTAATCTCACCGAGGCCGGTCCTCGCGCTCTCATTGACGAAACAGGAGAGGCTTCTGATAAGGAAGATCGTGTCGACAGCACCCTCCCTGGTGCCAAACGCGGTGACGCCGGGGCTCGTTCTACTCGGGGCCGAAGTACGAGTTACTTCGGTCGATTTTGCTCCCACTGGCCGCGCCTTCTGTGCTGCGTCAACCGAGGGACTCCTTATCTACAGCTTGGATGACGATTTTGTCTTTGATCCTTTTGATCTCGATATCACCATCACCCCTTCAAGTATCCTTGCCACAGTTGACGCTGCTCGCCAGGCTGCCGCAGCTGGCACCGTTGATGAAGAAAACACCTACCTGAAGGCCTTGGTTATGGCATTCCGATTGAACGAAGCAAAGATTATTCGTGCCGTTTACGAATCAATCCCGCCCTCGGATATCCCCCATGTTGTTCGTTCCGTCCCGACAGTCTACTTGCCTCGCCTGCTTCGCTTTATCGCACATGCAGCTGATGAGACACCCCACCTTGAGTTCAACTTGATGTGGATTGAATCTATGTTCAGCTGCCATGGTCGGTACTTCAAGGATAACTCGGGTACCTTCGCTCCAGAACTTCGTGCAGTTCAACGGGCCGTTGATGAAATTCGGGAGAACCTCAAGCGGTTGACTGAGAAGAACCTTTACGATCTCAACTATCTGCTCTCTAAGCCTGCTCTTGCTGAGAAGAAGCCATCGAGTGCCATGTTGGCTTTGACTGTCGGTGAAGCTCAGGAAGATGAGGAGGAAATGGCCGATGCTGATGACGACGATGAAGGTGAATGGGTTGGCCTGGAATGAATGACTTCGTAAGGAATATCCCTCTCTGTGTATGTCTACTTTGCATTTGCGCCTGGCGTTTGTATATAATAGGGGAAAAGGGAGTGTTTTGTTTCCCATCAAAAAAGTGTACTACCTTCAAGTTACTAGGTATCGAATGTTAGAGATGATCTCGCCAAATCATATCAAAGAGATTCCACCGTATTCCCTATGTAGTTCGTGCTCACTCCAAAAAGGGCAAACCGACATGAGAGACAATGTGAGCCTGAGGACCAACAATCCAGAACTCAAACCCAGCTTGCCAACAAGTCAGATACCTTTGTTCCTTTGTAATGGTTGATTTCTTTGTTTGAGGTGCCACCTTATACTAGCCGAATGCCATTCTGTGCCACCCTACATGTTGCTCTAGATTTCTTAATCTCTTGCAACTTGAAGTATTCAATTGATAAAAATCCCCTGAATCTTGAAGCTTTGCCAGCTCATACTTTACTCTTTTCTTATTGATGGCTGGTTCTCTTGTATGGCCCTTTCTTGGGGCTGTGCTCGTGTGCCTCTTGCTACGCAGGAAGACAGATCATCGCCTCAAGCATATTCCCATTGTGCGGTATTCCAAATATTTACCGGACATATTGAACAGGATCATGTTTTATTCAAGGGCAGCCTCGTTGATAGATTCGGGATATGAGAGGGTATCATTTCTATCAGCTGGTTGATTGAAGTCCATTATGGAAGCATTGTGTACTAACAAGTGCTATAGTACAGAGATGCTCCATTCCGAATGCTTACTGGTGATGGAGAGCTTGTCGTGTTGCCAGTCAAATATCTGGCTGAGATGAAACATTTTCCACCAACAGTGATTAGTTCTTTGGATGCGCAGTACAAAGTATGAGCTTCAAGTTTCCGAGCTTATGATATCCTGGTGTTTGACAATTGACCCATGCTCGATAGAATGCCCTAGGATCCTACACCAACATCATTATCAACAGTTCCCTGCCTTCCAAGACAGTTCGAAAACGTCTGACTCCAAATCTAGGTATGTCTATGCCAGCTTCCAAGACAAGTTGGACTCACTTGTATTCAAATGTTGACCAACCCTCAGCACGGGTGATTCCATGGGTAATAGATGAACTACGCTACGCATTCAATGCCGCTCTCCCAGAATGCGAAGGTTTATAACCCTCTTGATCTATAAACATCACTATAATTACGAAAGTTTACTAAAATATTCGCATTCATCAAGATGACTGGGTGTCAATCAAGCCTCACGAAATGTTTGTCCATCTAATCGCCCGTGCTACATCACGAGTCGTCGCAGGCGACGTCCTTCGCCGAAATGAACAATGGTTAAACACAGCCAGTTCCTACTCGGTGAACGTCGGGATCACCATCTTCCTTCTCCGACCCTTTCCAACCTGGCTCCGTCCACTTGTTGCGCGATTTTTTCCCTCCGTACGACAAATGAAAGCACAGCTACGTTTCGTGAAGGATCTCTTCATCCCCATGATAAACGAGCGTTGGGCCGCACAGGAGAAAGCACTCGCAGAGAATGATCCAGGTTACGTACCGCCGGATGATTTCCTGCAGTGGATGATGGATATGGCGAAAGACGAGCAAGATAAGGATCCTGAGCTTTTGGCGCATCATATGTTACTCCTGATGAGTCTTGCAGTTGTGCATACAAGCTCGATGGCCATGTGTCATGCGCTTTATGATCTTCTATTGATGCCAGAATATTTGTACCCGTTGAGAGAGGAGGTCAATGAGACGCTTTCGGGAGGTTGGGAGAATGCGACGAAGAGCTCTTTGGATAATCAGCGGCGGCTGGATAGCTTCTTGAGAGAGTCACAACGCTTTGGTCCACCTGGGGAATGTGAGTACTTCTTACTTCAGTTCTTCAAGTGCCCTCTCTCCTTTATGTCTCAAAAACTCTGGGTCAAAGCGTCATGTGTGGACCTCTTAGACTTGACTCTATCCAGGATCAGACTTCTTTATGCTAATGAACTATAGTATCTTTCCACCGGATTGTAAAAGAGTCATTTACTCTTTCAGACGGCCTCTTCATCCCCAGAGGAACACATATCTGCTTTCCGGCTGGAGCCATCAGCAAAGATCCCACATTCGTTGCAAATCCGCTATCCTTCGACGGATTCCGCTGGTGTCAGAAACCGAAGGATCGTAACGCCCTCGCAACATTTACATGCCACGAGGAACACTTCAGCGAGAAGCAACTGGATCAGATTATCGGAACCGAAGAGGACACCACATGTGATTCTATATCCTCGCTAATCCCCTCAACTTCTACAAGGTTTGTTGATATCACCGCCTCAAGCATGCACTTTGGGGCAGGCTTCCAGGCTTGTCCGGGAAGACACTTTGCGAGTTGCACTATCAAGGCAATTTTCAGCAAGATCATCATGGATTATGAGTTCAAGTATGAGGACGGGAGGAATAATCGAAAACCTCCTAATATGTGTGTTGGCGAGCATATTTTGCCTAATACTAGTACGCCGGTGCTGTTTCGGAAGAGATAAATTGCTGTATAGCTCTGGGTGCGAGCTAAGCATTGAATGAGGACCATATGGCGATTCAGCGGGATCAACTGGAAGACGTTAACTGCTGTGACAGCACCTACAACTTGAGCTTCTGATATGATCATTCTTGAAATGAATTGGTCTCGTGATATCGTGAGTGGCTTCAAGTGTTTATTGTCCATCCCGACTTATCTTAAGACTTTCAAGTTAGAGTATAGACTAGTACTTTACTTGAATTTGTAGATTTGTATATAGACAACGCATCTGACGGCGATTACTTTACATTCATGATGAAGGCCTCTGGCATGTTTGATGAACGAGCGATATTTTTGGGTACCAGTATTCAGTCGAGGTTGATAGATTGAATAGAGTCCCAGGTGCTTCAAGTGAGCACTTGAGATTCCACCTGGGCATAAACTCGGCCCTCTATCTCTATCTCTACAAGGACGTCTGGAGCTGAGCTGAGCACGGCGATCAGGGTGTCTATGACAAGGGTTCGGAACACTAGCAGGCTACACAGGATATGGGAGCAGGCATCTGGATGATAGATGTGACACTAGACACGGAGCATTTGAGTACTCGAGTGTTCCGCAGTAAGTATCTCCAAGTCGTGATGCACATACCCATGTAGGACAAGCAAAACATTTGAATATCCAGATGTCATGACAGCCAATCCTGGTGCTGCATGTGGCGATTCTCTCAGGCTGTAGGTGTCAAGGCCGCTATCATTTTCAACCTCAACAATAACATTATGTACCTCCAAGTTGATACTATCGTTAGTAGGTGGCACGAGATGATCAATGTCACATAAAATTTGAACAGTCAATTTCATCAGACTTCACGGGAGAAGCGTATCAGTAACCTTGGAAACAGCATGATGAGGTTACCTCAGGCTTCAATTGATACGAAGATGAGTGGAATACACTAGCTCTAGCAGCAATATATGAAAATGGAAGTTCAAACTTTAGTATAGTTTACGAGGGGAAATTTATTGTCGAATGAATGTTTCATTCGAGGTTTGTAATTTTTTTTTCTTTTATTTAAACAGCATTTCAATTCAATCACCACTCCCTGAGGTCATGGACTGCCAGCGCTCGAAAATAACTCCCTTTCTATGCATACAAGATGGCAAGCCGCTTCATACTCAGAAAAGTAGACGGCGGATGCCAAAGTATTCTAGATGGGAAGAAATCACTGGTCATTTGTTTGAGCACCTCTTCCACGGCCTCCTCTACCGCGGGATCCATTACCGCGACCCCGGCCACGACCACGTCGCTGTTCCAGTCCTTGAGGAGGCGGAACTTGAGTGTAGTTCTGCGGCCTGAAATCAGGGTTATTCTGGATCACACCTTCACTGGGGTCTCCATTTTCAATAGGGCCATAGCCGCCTCGGCCACCACGCCCGCCACGAGTTCCGTTGTTCCCATTGTTATTCACAAATCCTCCTCGGCCACGAGGTCCACGGGGTGCTCCACCGTTGACGTGGGGACGGAAGGGTAATGTACTCGACTGCCCATTACCCAGCCCTCCGCGTCCTCGAGCTTGACCAGTAACAGCACCGCGGAAAGAGCCTCTGAGGGGAGGAGGAGTGGGAGCATTATGCAGCTGCCCTTGTCCGTTGGGACCAACAGGTGCTCCGTATCCAGCGACTGTCAGGGGAAGAGGCTCCTGCTGAGATTGCTGGTTTGTTGTAGCACGGGAGCTAGTGACCAACTGACGGTGGGAAAGATTCAAAACCGATGCGGCAGGGACTGTCTGACCCCGGAATGGCGCGCAACGCTTGCCGAGGTCTGTGCCGCTCATAAAGGACGCATCGAAAACCACATCAAGCAAGATTGTAAGGGGTGTCCTGGTGAGACCAACAACGGTACCCCGGGTAGCGATAGGGACCTTTCCGGAATTCTGGGCATATACAACCCGGTCACCAAGCCTGAAAGTCTGGCTACCAAGACGGTGTTCAACATCCTCGGGTCGAAGCAGAGCCCCTCGGGGGACACCCCGAACCTTCTTCGGCTGCATTTCCGGTAGTGATTGGTTCATTTCGTCCGCATCCTGCTGGATGAGAAGGACAATGTCCGAGTCAAGCTGTTCGGCTTCAAGCGGGACTCTTTGGAAGTCCTTAGCCTCAGCTGACTTAAGCCATTCGCGGATTTCCTTCATCTTCACAAGTGCAATCTCCTCCGGGTAAAAGTCAGTAGGCGAGTAGCGGTCGTTCTGTGGGTTGCGTTGAATGCCAGCAATGAATTCCGGGAAGTTGATCATGTACTGCTGAAGCAGGGTGACTGCCTTGGGGCTGAATTCCCAGCCGGAGTCTCCACGGCGAGAATATCCAAGAACCTTCTGTTTTCGGGCTTCGAACTTGAGGTTGAGACCCAGGTTAACACGCTGACCTTCCACTTCGACAGTGAAGGAGGAAGTAATCTTGGCCAACACAAGAGGGTTAAGGCGTAGACTTCGTGCAACAGCATACGAGGGCATGTAAGGGTTTGATCGCTCAGCCTCCTGAACGTGCTTTCGCCCAAATTCTGGCTCGCGGCCTTTCACAGCTGCGACAAGTCCATTGACTTTGCCTTCGGAATGACCCGTTACATGGACAGGTCTTCCATAGTTGAAGTCACCCAAAAAGAAGCAACGGGAACCTTCTGGAAATTCTTCTTCAATTGGAAGGGCCTCTCGCTCAATAAACCGTGCGTCGGGATTGATTACATCTTCAACGACAACTTGGGCTGCAAAATCGGTTTCTTGGCCAGGGACATCGGCGAACTCTTTGATGGTAGCTCCATCGTCGGTTTTGATCATGCCCTTTAACAGTTGGATGTGCACCAAGGACTCAACATCACCAATGATGATACCAAGTCGCTTGCTGTAAGTGCCCTCAATTTTGTTGGCCTTCTTCTTCCATTGTTCAATTTGCTGAGGGGTGTGCGGGATGGAGACAACATGTTGCTCGCCCGGAGGAAGAATGTAGTCAAATAGTTCGTCTGAAACCCGGATGACAAGGGCTTCTTGCAAGAATGGGTATCCGACATGAACTCGTTTTCCAAGCTTGGCCTTGGCAAGTTCAACGTTGGAGCGATTGGAAGGGTCTAGAAGAGTAATAACCTGACTCTCGTTCCGGCTATCCTGTTGAAAGACACAAACTCCGTGGAAACCCAACTGACCAGCATTGGACAGGGTTTTGAGACTAGGGAAACCAGCCAGGGCAGCTTCGCCGAGCTGGACACCATCCATCAGGCCATGGTATGGAATCAATCCGTCCATGGTGGGGAGGTCGAAGATATTCTCAATGCAATGGCAGTTAGGCAGATCAGGGAACACTCCAGGCATGGATGACGGATAGACGAAGTTCACATCGTGGGAATATGTGAATTTCAGACTAGTTCCGAAGCCATTCCGCGATTTTTCATCTGGGGTAAGGTATTTTTCTCGCGTCTTTAAAGCATCAAGTAGTCGTTTTTCGTCAATGAAAGGGATCTTTACCACAGCTTCCCATTCCATTTTCTTGCCATTCATGTCAAGATCGAAATCACGTGGGTAGAAATCAATGATAGGAGAATCAGGCGAGGTCATAAGCTCCCAGTATGCAGTTGGCACAATCTTCTTACTCCGATCCGGCAACACACCCATCAATTGATCATATGGACGGAAAGGTTGGCCAAGACGAAAGTTCATGTTTGCACCAAGTCCCTTCTTTACGTCTGTTCCTTCAGTCAATAAAAAAAAATAAAGTGAAACCCCTCGAAACGGACAAAAACGCCACTAATGAACTAACCAGAAATCATGGGCGCGTAATGGTATTGGAAAAACCAAGGCCAAGATGCAATACCCCGATAATAATAGAATAGAACCCATTGCAAACCTTGCACATAGTTCTCTGCAAGCTTCTTCATCTCCTCCTCATTGTCAAGCCCCCAATCGAATTTGGAGCGGTAATAATTATCTCTCCATTGCAAGAAAGTGGCATCGTACTTTTGTTGTGCTGCCTCTTGCGCTTCTTGAGCGGTCATATCCTGAATTTTAGCTCTTTCGTACTTCCGAATAATACGCTGAATGGCCAAGGTGGCCTCCTCATCTTCATCAGACTCATCATCATCACAGTCATTATTCTCGGGCTGTGGTAATTGCAGCCTCATAAAGCGATCTCCGTTTGCATTCTCCGCTGTAGACCAAGATACTCGAAGTTGATCGGCAAGCTTTTCAATGAAGTTGCGATCGCTGTCCGGTAGTGTGGGAGGGAAATCCAAAGGCTTCACTTCAGATCCCTTGCTTGGCCGGTTCAAGACGTACTTCTTCACCTTCTTCAGAATCTCCTTTTGAGAGGTGGTGATGGTCAACTCCTTTGGTTTCGTCTCTAATTCAAGAGTGCCATCGTTTTGTCTCGCTTTTACCCACTGTGCATCAGAGTACTCGACTTCAAAGAATCGATGCTCGAATTCACTCATCGCATCAATAAGCATGCCCAGGCGCTCGACATTAATCACACCTTCTTCATTGATGTAGCCACCCATCTTAGGCAGAACTTCCTTGTAGATCTTGAACATAAGTGCCAGCGCACCTTCGTTGATATGAAGGTTCGGCAAGTTGGGTAAGAAATCATTTCCAACAAAAAATGCCATGAGAATAAAATCATCGATTACGCGCTCCATATTGAATGGAAAGTTTAGAGCACCTTCTTCCTCTAGCTCTTGGAACTCTAACTCGAGATATTCTCGAACCATGCTCAGATGCAAGAGATAGAAATTCTGGTGTTCGAGCTCTTTGGGTTTCTTCTGTGTTTGGCGACCAAAGGTTACCTCTTCTCGCAGAAGACAGAAATGAGGATCATGACTGAGAAGACCCAGCATGATCAAATCGGCATCCAATCCGTACAGACAGTGTCGCATGTTTGGATGGTAGTCGGGCTGCGCTTTCGAGCGCCGAATGTACTCCATAATCTTATGCTCACCCTCTCCGGGGACCTCGTGTCCTGAAAGCACAATCTCCACGCCTTGCCAATCCGAATCCTCTGAAATTTTCTTGTTGATGAAGTACTTCAGTTGCTGGGTCAACTTGGCCATAAACTCGGTACCAGGTGTGATGCAGTTGCTGTCAAAGGCGTCTTCCTTTGGCATTTCCATTCCTTGCGCGATTGCCTTCTCCTTCGCATTCTCAGCGTCAAGCGCAGTTCGGAAACGACGTGCACGTTGCTGATTCATCTTGGCTCGTGGGGCGACACCATCTACAGCCATGAAAAACAGCTTCTGCGGCTTGATCTTTCCAAACAAGTGCTCGATATAGTTGAAAATGGCAATAAACATCTGCTCCTCAGACATGCGGAATGTTGGGGAATCGCTATCACTGTGTGTACAGTTGTGGATGATACCGTTCATATCCAAATAAAGGCTATCAAATTCTGGGATGCGACTCTCCTTGATGAGCATGGAGATGGCGGGATACCGCTCACTCAGCCATCGAAAGAACTTGGGGACACCCATTGTGATACGGTATCTGTCGCAGGGAAAGTCTTAAGGCGAAAAATAGATGGAGAGAATTTGTGTACAGGAAGAAAGTAGGAGGGGTAGGGTTGCTAGACGAATCGAATAGGAAGAATGGTGGGCACGTCAGAGAGTGTCGTCTCGTCGTGAACAAGTAGGAAAGGAAATGGAAAAGAAATAACCAGACGTCAACGCCAAATATCCCACAAGAGCTAAATTCCTCTTGTCAGATCAATGAACGAAGATTACAGGAAGAAAAAAAAGGAATTTGGAAGAAGTGGGAGAGAGGGCCGTGGAGAGACAACTTTTAGGCGTGAATCAAGCTCGAGTCATTGCCAAGCCTTAGGTTGCCTAATTGGGACTAGCGCGAGCGGGCGCCCATTAACGCGGGTTTCGCGTGTTGAAGCCCATCTTTCTGCGACTGCATCTCTTTTTTCCTATTTTTCGAAGCTCTTGCTGTGAATTGATTTAATTGATTGAATCCCCAACTCACTGATTACATTATCCTTTTGGAAGTGATGGACCCCTACGAGGAAGAGAACCGTATGTCCCGAGAAAGAGGAAATGAGAATTATTCAATGCTAACTGAGTTAATTAGCAGCTGTGGAAGACCAGCAGGAGAAGGAAAACGAACACAGCAACGAGAAGATCATCAATGAAGGTACTTGGTCTACAAATCTCCTATGCCTGATCATAAACTTGATATTATACTCGTGATATGCGACAGCCATGGCTGACTTGAATCCCTACGTCCGGTGAACAGAATACAAGACATGGAAGAAGAACGCGCCCTTCCTCTATGATATGATCCTGAGCACAGCTTTGGAATGGCCAACTCTCACAACCCAGTGGCTTCCAGACAAACAGGAGTGAGTTTGAGGAGTCTCTTTGGCCATACGGAACTAGCTTCTAACAGCTGTGCTTTGTTACAGAGTCCCGGATAAGCCCTATTCAACCCATCGCCTGCTTATCGGCACTCACACTGCTGGCGATGCCCAGAACTACCTTCAAATCGCCCACATACAACTTCCCAACCCCAATGCCCCCAACCCAGATGATTACGATGACGAGCGTGGAGAGATTGGTGGATATGGTGGTGGATCGAAGAAACCTCAGATGGAGATCAAATTTAATATTGCACAGAAGATTGACCACAAGGGCGAGGTGAACAAAGCTCGTTATCAGCCTCAAAACCCTAACATCATTGCGACAATGTGTACCGACGGCCGGGTGATGATCTGGGATCGCTCAAAGCACCCTAGCCAGCCCACGGGGACCGTGAACCCTCAGATGGAGCTTTTGGGACACGAGGCAGAGGGCTTCGGGTTGAGCTGGAACCCCCATGAGGCTGGTCATCTTGCTACTGGTAGCGAAGACAAGACTATCCGACTCTGGTGAGAATATATCTATCATTCCCATCACGAGCGATAAACTTATATTCATAAAACAGGGACCTCACCACATACACCAAGGGTAACAAGGCCCTTCGGCCTAGCCGCACTTACACTCACCACTCCTCAATCGTGAATGATGTTCAACACCACCCTCTCCACTCATCTCTAATTGGAACTGTTTCTGATGATATCACCCTTCAAATCCTTGATGTCCGTTCTGCCGATACTACTCGTGCTGCTGCGATTGCCGAAGGCCAACATCGCGATGCCATCAACTCCATCTCTTTCAACCCGGCAGCTGAGACGATCCTGGCGACCGGCTCGGCAGATAAGACCATTGGTCTTTGGGATCTCCGAAACTTGAAGACCAAGCTCCACTCTTTAGAAGGCCACACGGACTCTGTGCAATCGATCTCGTGGCATCCCTTCGAGGAGTCTGTCCTGGCCAGTTCCAGCTATGACCGAAAGATCATGTTCTGGGATCTCAGCCGTGCTGGAGAGGAACAGACTCCCGAGGACGCGCAGGACGGTCCCCCCTGAACTGTATGTCTCCCTCCTAGCATTCATTTTATTTTATTTTTTTTCAATTGACTAATCCCGTGTACAGTTTGTTCATGCATGGCGGTCATACCAACCGGATCTCCGACTTCAGCTGGAACCTTAGCGACCCATGGGTATTGTGCTCAGCGGCGGAAGACAACCTCCTTCAGGTATGGAAGGTGGCGGATGCCATCGTGGGCAAGGACCTAGAAGATGTTCCAACTGAAGAGCTCGAGGCATGATCCCTATAGAGTTCTAGTTTGTCCTTGCTCAAGTTTTTGTTTACCAGATTATTTCCATCCTGACGCGATTGCCGGCGAAACTTGGGTTCATGTAATGCGCAATTTAAAATACTAGTATCTGTTACAGTTCAGTTTTATTCCTGCATGTGCGCAACTTGTAGTAACATTTTCTAAGGTTGTATGCTCTGCCTTGCCGACTACCCAGGTACTTGTGGTTGTAGATACTAGAAAGCACAACCCGTCAGATTGTGCAAGTGTTTGGCCCCGATATAAAATTCAACCATGCAATTTTTGAATTGATATGTAGTATATTGCCATTCAATATCACATTACTCACTTCCAAGGTTATTATTAAATCATTCAGTTGAACCTCGTTGGAAAATGTTGATTACTCCGAATGCTCGACATAAGATATCCCGCACTATCGTTATTCCGTCTCCGAACCTGAAATCCTCCGCGGGCAATCACGAACTCCCGATTGGTGGATCACCAAGGCGGTATCGGAGAGGTGAGGGGGATCATTTGCATAAAAGCGGCTTAGCGTGCTCGGATGGCCGTTGCGTCAAAAAAAAGTGTACTAGTAACGCCCATGCTGACCTGCTACTAGAATCCCAATTTTTTTCTCTTTCTGAAATATTTAGACTGTGATCTCATTGATTTCATAGTTACATTACCCCCTGTATCTTCCAATCCAGTCTATACCAACTCGGTATCATTCATCATGGGCTCTGGATCATCGCCTCCATCAAAGCCCTCTGCAATTCCGTCCCACATGTTGAACGGTAGCTCCCCCTTGCAGTCATCCTCTAACCCTGGCTCAGGCACTCGAGCTCGCGATGCTCGTGAGCGCGAGAGTCTCAATTCCTCCATTCGCTCGTCCTTTGCTTCCCCGGGTTCCCGTGGGGTTGGGACTCGACGTTGAGGGTGCTACTGCTACTGCTACCCCCACCGATGATGCCACTGCCCGTGAAGCGGGTATTGCCCATGGCACTTTAGCTATCCGGTACGGCTATGACAAAATTGTCCTTTAAAACACATCCTCTCTTCATTTTGTCTTCTCAATTCTAATGTAATTCCTCTGCAGTGGAAGACCGACTCTCAACGATCCTCCCCGCGATCCCCGGGACGAGGCCGGTCCATTGACCCCGCCGGCGACAACATCCCGCCCCGCCAGTCCTTACACCATGAACCCACCAGTTGATTTTGATGGACTTAGCTGGCCTTGTAAGCAACGCTCTTTTTTATCTCAAGAATGATTCGATCCATGGAAAACGAAAGCTCGGATTTGCTAAATATACGTTCTGCCCCATAGGCCCTGGTACCCGGCAGCGATTGGAGTCGACACCCGAAGAGAATGAAGAACGGGTAAAGAAGCTTGCAGGTGCTGTCCGAACAATTTTAGAATGTGTTGGAGAAGACCCCGAGCGTGAGGGTCTTCGTGAGACTCCCGAGCGATACGCAAAGGCTATGCTCTACTTTACCAAAGGTTATGAGGAGAATGTACGGGACTTGGTCAACGGTGCAGTTTTCCACGAGGACCACGACGAGTTGGTCATTGTCAAGGATATTGATGTGTTCTCTCTATGTGAACATCACATGGTTCCCTTCACTGGAAAGGTATGGGCAACCCTGCATATATGTGTGGCGAATAATGAGCGCTAACAATGTGGGGCAGATGCATATCGGTTACATCCCGGATCGCCGTGTCCTCGGGCTTTCCAAGCTGGCCCGTCTAGCTGAGATGTTCTCTCGCCGACTCCAGGTGCAAGAGCGCTTGACCAAGCAAGTCGCTTTGGCTATCTCCGAGGTGTTGAAGCCTCGTGGTGTTGGCGTTGTTATGGAGTCCTCTCACCTATGCATGGTTATGCGTGGAGTGCAGAAGGTTAGCAGCACCACCACCACAAGCTGCATGTTGGGATGCATGCGATCCAGTGCTAAAACCAGAGAAGAGTTTTTGACACTCCTGAATCGCCGATAAGCTTGATCAATTTGGTCTTTTAATATTTGTTACGATTTTGGAGTTTGGGGTGTGACCTTTCAACAGGTTTTTGTAATGATGGATTCCTCCTTTCTTTTCTTCTTGGGGCAAAAATGAAGCTTTGGCGGGGACTTGAGCTTATTTTTCTTCTTTTCTTCTCCATTTTCAACTTGGTTCTTGCATATACCTCTGACAGCATTCTTGGATCCCATATATCCCGGCTGTCCTTCAACACTTTGCACACTCATTGAGACCCATGACTGCCTGGATCTCTGATCATGACTTTTTCATGTCGAAAATCTTCTTTCAACTTTATGATGTTTCAACATGCACCTTATTTTACGCGGTCTTTTTTCTTGGATGTCTTTCCCCTGATTTCCTTTTGTCTCTCGGTTTTCTTTTGGCTTATGAAGACTCGGACCCTTTTGGTGCTGTCGGCGAGGCTGTTTCAACACTTGAAATTTTCATATCTTATTTGAAAACACTAGAAATCTTGATGAAGAGGCTTCAAATGTTCAAGTTTCTAGCCATATATTTATTATGTGTATATGTATCATTTCAATATAAAGAAATGCCACAACACTACTACTATCAATCCATCGATGTAGGTATGACCAAGTGCGCTTCGGGTTTGAAATGGATGTTCACTGCCACATGTGCACATGGCTTCAAGTTCAAGCACTTGAGCCCTGGAGTCAGACTCGGAAGTTGACCCCCAAGGTCTGCGCTACCTGTGGACTGCCCAGGTGGCACTAGAACTTCAACCTTGGAAGTTGAAACTTGGATGGATTCAACCTTTAACTCCAGGGCTTGAAACCTGGAGTTAATGCCGGCAATGACTACTACATCCGTACTACACTATATCCACAATGCACATTTGTAGTTAAACTTGTTCAAATCAATACTTGAGTACTCCGAGTCCGAGTCCCTATATAGATAATGTCATTAATGATACCAAGATATGTAGTATTGATGTATTCTTCATCTTCTCTTTGTGGGCGGTTCAAGTTCAAGTTGTCTGCATTCATGGAAGTGAATGGGAGCTTCTTTACTGGATCGGGAAATCATATTTTGCATATAGTTATAAGATCTACTAGTAACCTTACCTAGAATAATTTCCTAATTCATAAAAGTGAGTGTGTCGATTTCATCTAATGAATTTCGAAGTGAATGATTTCCAGGACCTTGGAGCCTTGGAAGTGAAAGCATTTCATTCACTGAACCCATCTGATTTTCCTATCACCTTTGTATTATTCTTCTTGAATAATTTATTTCTTTACTTTCCTCTCCTCCCCTCTGTCAATCCAAAATCCACCTCTCTTGACCAAAATCCACCCATGCATTCCAAACTCCCTGACTCAACCTCAGAATCTTCCGACACATACTCAGCCTGATTCCTGGTCGGGCCATATCAACTCCAATCTCATGAGTATTTGTTCCCTTAAGTCACAACACCGAGGGTCTGATATTGAAAGCAAAACATCGCGCGCTTATTTGTTGACTCATCCTTCGCGATATACAAAGCTGAGACTACAAAAGAGTGTGGTTGCTCAATATCCATACTACTCGGTGTATAAGGAGCAGGACTAACAAGCTAGTTTGTTTAGCACTTCGACCCGACGAAATGCATGTCACCTCAGATGATGGCCCAGCGAACCCAGCAAACCCAGCTGAGAGTTCTTCGATGAGCAATGTCAACATGGATATGATGAGCGCGCTGGCAGTGACCAACCAGCCAGGTGTATCCACAGACGTTGAAATGACCGATCTTGATGCTCCAAGTATTGTCAATGAACCTGCTGCTGCTCCTTCAGCTCTAGCTATGTCTAATCGGGCCCATGTTCAACGTCTTATTGCTCGAAATCTCTTACCACAGTATGGGCGTGCTCGGGTTCAGCCCAATATGAATCATGCGACTGTCCATTCCAATGGTCCAAACGGAATCGTCCAACATGTGAACGCCATCGACTCTACCGCTCCCAACAGCCTTGCTCAAAACCCCAATGGCCTGATCCCCACTCCTCAAGCTCCGAATTCCTCTGGAGGCAATGTAATGGCCTGTGGAAATTTCTTTCATTCCCAAACAAATCCCCCAAATGCTGCGATAACAAGAAACTCATCCATCTCAACCACTGACTCGCCTTCTGGCATGGGCTTGGTTGTCAATCCTCGGGCTTTGGCAGTTGGACAACATGATACTTCTAGTCTGCCTCCGTCTAACCTCCAGCACAACAACATTCAATTTGCCATTCAAGCTACTAATCAGCGGCTGAACCCAACCAACCGGGAGACAAACAACAACACAGGAGGAGCCAATGGTATCAATACGTCCGCGTTCAATACCGGAGTTGCTAACCCTTTTTCGGGCGGCAATCCAGCTATTCAGTCAGCGCAATCATCTCTCTCTGTGGTCAATCAATCATCCCCTGCACCCCTGAGCAACGATAATCTCACTGGTCGTATTCAGGAATCCAATCGCAACCAAGCGAACAGAGGTACTCCCGTGCCTGCAATCGGAATTCAAGGCTCAGCCAGCTCGCAAATTACACAGAATGTTGCCTATCGCGCCGAATTGATTCGTGTTCGTACCGAAGCCCTCCGAAATGTTTTGCGAAGTCGTGGCCGGCACCGTGATGCAGAGAACTTGACAGAGGCTCATCTTCTTGCGTTTCTTGTCCGAACTGCTCGAGCTAATCGCACTCAGGGCCCTTCCGGTATGTTGCCAGTTAGAAGTACTCCGCCAGTGGAAAATCATACTCAAGGTCCTTTTATCGATCATTCTGATGCAGTCAATGTTCAAGTTCACAACGAAATGACCGCTGCTCGGGCTAGAGATGCATATAATCATTCTAATGCAATTGCTGCTGCCCGACTCCAAAGTGCATCGCTCCTTCACCAAGCCCAGTCTCATGCCCGCACCCAAGGCCAGGGCCCAGGTCCGGGTCAACCTCCAAGCCAGAATTCGATTCCAAATGTTCTCGACTCACGCAGAGTCGGGCTCCCCGTGGGCCCGAATCCCCCGGGTCAACACAACATCGAGATCGTGAATACGCCCAATGACTTCGATCGAGTGTTTCAAGAAATCGAGGAACAGAATGAGCAGCTGACAGCTGTTGGACTCCATGATGTCGGCCCTACCCCGAATGTGACGAATACGCGTAGGCGTGCTCCTCAGCTTAGAAGCGATGCAGCTGCTCTTCAGGCTTACCTCATTCGCCAGCAGCTGATCGGGGGTATCCCTCCAAGCGAAGTCGTACCTATTCGAGGCAGGAATTCTCGGCAAGGTCCCTTCGGAAGAGGAGAATCGCGAGGTGCAGAACTCACCGTTATGCATGTGACTAGGCACAATAATGGAGAAGTGGCAATAACAGCTCCACACTACGATCCCCCGCGATTCGATGGTGATCTTGGCCCTATTCAACGCCTTCCTTGGCTTCAAAATGGGACTTCACGACTGGGGATCTCATCTACAGGGTCTAGTCATAGCCGTCCTCAAGTCCGTTCCTCGAATGTGTCTTCAACACCCAACACCGGCTCTACCATAAACCAGCAGAATGGGGCCCCCATGAACCTTAACCGTCCGTCGAACAACAATCAGCATTAGAAGTCATCAACGATCAACTTGGATGTACTACGAATAGTAACTTTGAATGGAGACGAAGAGAACTTGTGAGCCAGTGGGCTTCAAAGCGATTTGAGGGTCAAATATGTCGACTCGGAGAGGGGTTTTCAATCAAGTTCCATTTGAAGTATCTTGAAGTATCTAAAAATGGGGTAAAAGAATTTAAAAGTATTTTAACGAAAATTCTGTTCTCTTTTATTTTTCTTTTCAATTTCGCATAATGATGTTGTTGGAGTTCTATGTCTAGCCTAGTGTAGGTACCTAGGTAGTGTTATCTGATTCTGATGGCGGCGAGGCACGTGACATTAGTGTCACATGATCTGGGGCGGAAGTTGCAGGCACCTGTAACCTCAACCTGACGTGACATCAACAACACTTCTCATGTCCCACTTGCCCCATCGGCTTCCCGTCGGCATGCTCCTCAACATATCACTAATAATCCCTGCCCCTTGATTAAATACGTTTTGATCTTCCCAACCTTCATTCCCCTTGTCACTCTTTGTTGTGCCTTTGGAGTATTAGCCAGACCAATGCAACTGCATTCCGCACAGTACCAGGCTCGGGGTCGATCAGCAATGCTAGGTCGGTTAGCAACAAAACCCACCAGGTGGGAAGATACGCTTTAGTATAAGCCGCACAACCCGCTGTTGGACAACAGGCACAACTTTCTTTGTTTTCATTTATCCCCCTCCGCCTTCATGGACCGGAATACAACAAGTGATAGAACGGTGTTGATTACTGGAGACTTGTCTACTAAATACTCCTCTACGTCTCTTCCCCAGATCTTATACTGAGTTTCATGGGTGATCCATCCAATCAAGTCCCTGAAATTCCGGCGCACCCTGTCTAGCGTGGTTGACTTTCCGCATTCCTAAACTCTCTCTGCAGCTGAGATCCTCCACGGGAAATTTGGAATGCATCGCGTGTTCTGCATCGAGATGGAACTCCCAGGATTATCAATGAGAAATTTGAGGCTGCAGGGAGCGATTTTGGTTGAAAATTGAGGAACGGCTCTCCATTCTTCAGATATATTGGGTCTCGTTTAGCCAGATGAGATCCCTCTCTTTCTTTTGTTTATTTTTTTCAGATAGACATGATTTTGTCCATCTGCTGTAAATCATGACCATCACTGCACTCCAGTGAATGGGCACTCTCCCCTTTATTTCTCATCTGCGACCGCGGACTTGAAGTTCTGCACAGTTTTTCAACCGGACCTCCTCGAATTTCTTGTCCCATGGATCTTGGATGAAGTGGATGAATGTTTGAGTGATGAGATCCCCTCGCTATTTCCCCAGGCGCCCTTACCTCATGTTGGGATTGAGTGTTACCAGAACACCATGGCATGACCTTGAGCTAAGGGCCAAGGCTTCCCCACCAAGTCAAGCGAGCCAGCTTTGGTACTTGTTTTATATGCACCGAGTCACGGCAATCCGGCCTGGTGGTTTTCACTTTGGCTTTATGCAGCACGTAGATAGAGCGATCCATTAATGTGTCCTCCTGCCTCACCAAGGCAACTGGGCAGTGCCAATCAAGTCAGCAAGGGCACGGCAGATTTTCAAAGCCCCAAAAGCAAATTTTAATGAGAACTAACGGCAGGCGCTTACTGAAATCCCATCCGAGGAGCTGAAGTGGACTGCAATTTTTTCAACAGAAGAAACAAAAGCCAACAAACTTGGCAGTGCACCTCGGGCATCATCTATCCCCTGCTCACCTCGGTATTATTGCAGCCAGAAGCAACACAATAACTCTGTTTCGAACAGAAGAGGAGCTGAACTGAAATACTTTCCGACCGTGAAACTAAGGCTGAGCTGATGGTTTATTGCTCCCAAGCCAGCTGTAGAGAGCCTCATGGGGCCTGGTCGCATCTCGGCGACAACTAATACTTGACCCCTACCAGCGGCCCTCAAACCGCACATCGCTTTCATCAACGAAAGAACATAGTAGAAATCCCGGGAAATTATTGATATTTGGAATATCATCGTATTCGATCGATGAAAGCATTCTCCACACAACGGTTGGGGTTGCTTTGATCTCTCTTCCTTGCTCATCGACTTACACTGTTCTCGGAAAAACCACTCCTCCGGGCTTTCCCTCCCCCCCAAACCAAACCCAAAAGAACTTCCGCTTGGAAAGACGCGCTCACGATTAAACGGCTCCACTCTCTGCGACCATTCGACTCTGTGGGTTTTATCAGCTTTACCCCGTTCTTGCTCGGTCTGCTATTCTCTATTCCCATAGCCAACGCCAGATGCTGCTGGCTACATTTTCATGGCTGGATCCCGTAGGAGTCCGGACTTGAGAGACCAGTGGAGTGGTGACCCGGATCGCGACCCCCGTGCCCGAGACAATCGCAGAGGTCGAGGGTCTCATCGAGACCGCGGCAGAAACCGCCATCGTGATCGAGGACGTCCACCACGCCCTAACGGCCGGCGTCCTGACTATCCTGCTCGATCGCCACCGGCAACTGGACGCGTATCTCGCTTCGGTCCCGATTCATCAACCGCACCAGGTGACCAAGGCTTTGTTCAATCTCCACCGCGTGGCTCACCTGGTATTTCTCCGGGATTCAATGATAATCGACGATCGGATCAGAATGGACCTTCGTCACCAAACAACTGGAACTCCCACCGGTCTGGCCCGCTAGACAGAGATGGCCCTGGCTTTCGGCGAGAAGAATCTCCATCTGGACCTCCATCAAAACGACAAAGAACAAGAAGTCCCTCACCTCGTGGGCCACGTGGCCAATTTTCTCAACGGCGCTCTTCATTTGCTAAGCATGGAGACCGACGTGACCGTAGTCCTGGATACAAGAACAGAGGGGGTCGTTTCCAAGGACGTGGTGGTCCCCAACGAAGATCTCCACGCCGCGGTCGTGATAATCGCCGAGGAAAAGACCGCCGCCGTTCCGATATTCCCAGGCTAGAGCGATCAAGGTCGCCTGTTCGAGGCCGAGGATACCAACAATCTCCTGATCGACGCTCTCCGATGCCGGGCGGCGAAGGCTATAACAGTGACAGAGATTTACGTTACAGATCTCGCTCAATATCCCGTCATTCAGTACGTTCCTTTGCATCAAGGGCATCCTCATACTCTTCTCGTGCCCGAGGTGACGAGGCAATGGGCGCAGCTCGACAAATGCAGTCCATTGTGGGCGCCTCAGGTCCGTCTCTATCGCCTCGTCCGGCTCAGAGCTTTGATGGCAACCAGAATGGTCGATCAGGCGATGGACTGCGGGATGCCTTTCCGATTCATGGGTCGCGACAATCGGATATGCAAACTAAGCAACCTCGTCCCTCCTCTCGGTCCCATATCGACAACCAACCCTATTCAAGATCACCACAGTTTACGCCGACCAGTCCTCGTCATGGATCGCCACAACCTACTTCTCCCTATCAAAATGATAATTCCTATCATCAAAATATTCCTACGGGACCGCACAGCCAAATGCAACACTCCTTCGATGGCCCAGCCAATAATCATCCTCAATCCTCTTACGGTGGACCATCATACCGTGGTGGTCACTCTAACTACCGTGGAAACCACACAAACCACGGTCCAGGTCCCCGATATTCTAACTCTGGCCATCATCAATATAACAATGGCCCAGCACAACGCGGTGGAAGAGGCCACTTCAACAACTTTCAGTGGACTTCCCGTGGTCGAGGTGGACATCAAAGCCCTCGGCCCCTGCATACGCATGAATCCCGAACTCACCCAACTCACCCACAATCTGTGATTGACCCTCAATCCCCGCCAGCCTTTGACAATGCGAATGATCGCGCGCCATCTCTGTCGGAGAGCGGCGATGCTCAAGATGATCTTCGGAACATGCCAGCTCCAAACCGCGAACCCGGGGCTGCCACCCCTGCTGATAAAGGCGGAAGATTTAGCTTTGCCTTGAAGGCGAAGACAACCCCCGCACCTGCTCCAAAGCCAAAGCCAGACCTGGCGCAACGAATGCAACCGCGAGAGCCTCCAGTCAGAGCCCCTCCACCCGAGGCGCCGTCTCCTCGAAATCGTCTAACCAATGGACCTCTCCCCACATACAAACCGGAGCCACGATTTGATCGACGTGAACGAGACCGTGGTGGACGGGATCGTGGTGATCGCAGAAACCCTCGGGATTCGCGAGATTTCCATGGTCCCCGAGACGGCCCCCGAGACCGACGAGATGACCGACGATTTGACCAGCGTCGAGATCGGCGGCGAGGAGGAGACCGGCGTCCAGACTTCCGACAAGAGCGTCGAGACTTTTCTCTGGAGCCACCACGGGAGTCATCCCCAGCGCCGCCGCCCAAGCAAAAGAAGATTATGACTCGATTCAAAGCTCGACCCACTCTTCCAGCGCAGTACGAATCGGTTGACTCTGTATATTATCGAAAGCCGGGCAATGAATCAGTGATTGGTGCGGGCACATACGGTAAAGTCTTCAAGGGTGTCCATGTCTTCACCAAGCGCGAAGTCGCATTGAAGAAAATCCGCATGGAAGGCGAGAAAGATGGATTCCCTGTGACGGCTGTACGGGAAATCAAGCTTTTGCAGCACCTTCGCAGCCACAATGTCGTCAGTCTACTGGAGGTTATGGTTGAACGAAACGAATGTTTCATGGTCTTTGAATATCTGTCGCATGATTTGACTGGGCTTATCAACCACCCAAGTTTCTCCCTCACCCTTGCACACAAGAAGGATCTAGCGAAACAAATGTTTGAAGGTCTGAATTTTCTTCATCATCGTGGAGTTCTTCACCGAGATATCAAGGCTGCCAACATTCTCATCAGCAATCGAGGATTGTTGAAGTTTGCCGATTTTGGACTGGCACGTTTCTTTTCGAAGAGTCGCCAACTGGACTACACTAATCGTGTGATCACCATCTGGTACCGGCCACCTGAGCTTCTCCTGGGTGAGACCCGGTACGGACCCGCTGTTGATGTGTGGAGTGCTGCTTGTGTTTGCATGGAAATGTTTACCAAGAAAGCAGTCTTCCCTGGAGACGGTGGTGAGATCAACCAGTTGGAAAAGCTCTATGACGCTTTGGGTACGCCAAACCGGACCGAATGGGCGGATTTTGTAGAAATGCCGTGGTTTCAATTGATGCGTCCTCGTGAGCGGAAAAAGAGAGTGTTTGAAGATATTTATCGTGAGGTTTTGACCCCCGCTGCCTTGGACATGATCTCGTCGATCTTCCAGTACGATTATACCAAGCGACCTAGCGCTGAGCAAGTGTTACAACACCCCTACTTCCTGACCGAAGAACCCGTTCCCAAACAGGCTACCGAGTAAGTCTCAATACACCCCCCCCCCCCTTACCCCTATATCCTCATTTGAAATGCGAGTTTAACATTTTTATTTTCTACAGGCTTGAGTTCATGGAAGGTGACTGGCATGAATTTGAATCCAAGGCACTTCGAAAAGAAGCTCGTCGGATTGAAGCGCAGAACCAAAAAGACCGGGAGAAGCGAAAAGCGGAAGCTTCTAGTGATCGCGACCCTAAGCGCGCGCGACCTGTTTAATCTTGGTGATTTTTTGGCGCAGTCCATGTTTTGTTTGCTTTACTTGTATGTTGCATGGAGCGTGGGTGGGATGGGGCTCGCATTTTCATGGGACGAACTATTCGGGAAATACTTTTTGGGCTTGCTACTGTTATTTATTGCCCTCATACCTCATGAATTCAATTCCTACAATCATCATGCATGTGTCAATCTATAATCATGTGTGGCTCTCAGAGTCTTGTAAACCATTGTAGAAGAGGGCTTGAAGTTTCTTGCAAATTGAGGTATCGGAACATTTAGCCGTTCATACTAGTTTTAAGCCGCACATGCACTTCCAAGCTTGTTTCATCTGGACTGTGCATGTGGCTTGTCTCCGAGTCCGAGTCCTTTATGCATAGCATAGGTCTTCATTGTTTCTAGCATTAAGATAGACTATGCACTTATTACAGCGTGATCTATCTTATAAACGACGATGCTCGGATTTAAGTCTCGAATTCGATATACGCGATCAAAAGAATATGCACTGGCAACAAAGTAGAATTAATTCATTCATGTTTAATGCTTGTTTGATTTCGGGCTGGGTTCCACGTCAATGGGGTTGTTGGGATAATTACGCGGGATGTTTCAGAGCCCCTGGGCAAGGTGACAAACATATGAAAACAAAGACTCGAGACTAATCCATGTTAGTCCAGGATTCCCAAATATAACCGATATTAAATGCCAGTGTTTAATATAACTCCAATCAGACTTTGCCAATATACCGCATGCCCAACCAGCCTTGGACGAAAGCGTCCAGTAGAATTTTAGGCGGTTGAGACCTCGGATTACCAGAGAGCTCAAATGATTTCGTCATAAGGAGATAGGAGAGGATAGAAAAATGTATGGGAAGAAGAATAATATTTTATAACTGCAACTAAGGAAACGTACATGACTAAAAAGGGATACAATATCCGTGGATCCAATAAAAAGGAATGTCTCGTCAATCAGGTCATCAACGGGTCTTGGGAAGCTTCGAAAAGCCCTCGTGATGATGGTTTTAGATGCGACATTTTAGTCTCGACACACATTTCGGAAATGACCGGTCAGTAGAGAATGAAGAGTCCGGGCATTGATTTGAGTAAGTGGTCTGAATTGTTTAAAGAAAGAAGAAAAAGAAGAAGAAAAAATGAAACTCATTTCGATTTAAATAACTTCGGCTCGGGAAAATAGACGGTGCGGCAGGCGAGATTATCTCTGATTGGTTATGATGGAGCTTCTCTTCTCTCTCTTTGCTCCTCTCTATTTCCTCTATTTCCAGTTATTCCACCTCCACCTCCAATTCTCTCTTTCCTCAATTTCTATTCTTCCCCACCACCATTTTTAACGATCCTTGACTTTAAGTCTACTCCCGGCGCTTTTTTTTTCTTCTTCTTAGATACCCTGCTTCTTACCCTTTTCTCTTACACTCCTCCGCAACCTCCGTCCGCATCCTCCGCCGCCAATCTAAACCCACTTTTACTTTTTCGTTCCCTCGCCAAATTTAACATTTTGGAACTTCAGTCGACGTCACTAATCGGACGTGTGCGCGAATCTCTCTCGGTGTTGCCCTTCGTCTTCTTCCCAAGCTTTTTCTTTTCCCGGATGACCGCTCGTGTCTCGGGCAGTCACACCCGCCGCAATGGATAATGCCAACCTCTGGACTCGTCGAGCAAAGTAAGCGGAACACCTATGATTCCCCATATACATAAATTATCCATTGATATGGTACTGGATCACTAACATCTTTTTTTTTCTTCTTACTATAGCGCCTCTAAATTATCTTTGTCCATGTCCGGAACCGACGGTAAGGACGGTACCCGCGTCGACCTGCCCCGCTCATCCAAACGGTTTGGCCCTGACAGCTCTCACGGCCGCGCCAATCCCTTTAACGCTATCTCTCCAATGTCTGCCGGAGTCGCCTCTCCCTCGACCAATGCCTCCTCTGCCTTCGGCCTAGGCTCCGGAGCATTCGCCTCATTCGGCGCTCCCAAGACTCCAGGTGGTTCGTCAGATGCGAAGCATCCCGGCGAGAAGCGCGATTTCTCGGAACAGGATGAAGCGGCTCGGATGAAGGCATTGATGCAGGCTTCCGTGCCCGGACCTGGTGAACACCCACTCAAGTCAACCTGGATTGTCTGGTACCGTCCGCCTACACCTAAGTACTCCGACTATGAAAAGTCGACAGTGCCGCTTGCCTCGATATTCTCGGTAGAGAGCTTCTGGGCCGTATATTCGCATTTGAAGCGGCCGTCGCAGCTACCCACGGTGTCAGATTACCATATTTTCAAGAAGGGTATTCGACCTGTTTGGGAAGATGAGGCGAATAAGCGCGGTGGCAAGTGGATTGTACGATTGAAGAAGGGTGTGGCTGATCGGTACTGGGAAGATCTATTGCTGGCAATGGTGGGTGACCAGTTTGCCGAGGCTGGGGATGAGGTCTGCGGTGCTGTACTGAGCGTGCGTGGTGGCGAGGATGTGTTGAGTGTATGGACCCGGATTGACGGTGGGCGGAACATTAAGATCAGGTATGTTATTGAAATTCCACATTTGGGTAGTAGTAATCATGAAACTAATCCCCAATTCCACAGAGAAACGATCAAGCGTCTGCTCGCTTTCCCGGTCGACACCAACATTGTCTGGAAGAGCCACGATGATAGCATTGCTCAGCGCTCTGCCATTGACCAAGCCCGTCAGGAAAAGGCCGCGAATTCTACCAACCCGGGGACTCATCTAGTTAACGAGCGCCGGCGCGGTCATGATGATGCAGAGAAGGGTAAGGGGGCACCAGCCTCATAAATTACCTCTCTGATGGCCGTGAGCCCTGTACAGTACAGCCGAGAAAAAAAAAAACTAAAACTTTTTTTATGCACTAACTCATTGGGACGCGTTTGGGTTTGGGGGACGGCGGGGCATCGAGGCGAACTCAGCGGTTTGATTTGAATTTTTTTCTCTTTTTTTTATGTCTTTGAGTGAAGCTCATTTATGCCTTAGTTCTATGCCCTTTTTTTCTGGTTTTGATCATGCGTGATGCTTATTTACTCCTTTCTCCCTGGTGCTAAAAGTGCAGCTGTAATCTGCAGATGGCGTGGCCTGGATGTTCTTCTACGAATCCATAATACCTCTAGGTAGTATGATTTAGTGTTTGTGGGCGGCTCAATCGATATCAATGTTCAATATTATGCGATGTACAATGCAGCTTGGTCATCAACTTGTAACTTGATATCATGATGCTGATGTTGATTATGGTATGTCCACGGATTCCCAGGTACTATCAAGGTCCTTCAAGTTATCTCACTTCATCAATATTACAATATTTTAATATTGTGACAGTCTGAGCTTCAAATGTTGGAAACCATTCAAGCTGCCGCTCACAGTACGGAGTAGCGACAGGATGATTAGCTCAATCATTATCATAATGTACTAATTTTCCTGGACTTGTACAAAGCCCTTGACTTCAAGTTTCAAGTTCAATGTTGGAGATTCAAATACTTCAGCGTTCTTTTAGATATATGTCACTTATAATAGTGATTATATTGAAATTAAAAGTGATTATTTTAAAATCTCATTTCTGTCTTATATACTTATAAAGCATAGGACTTGATCTATTGATCTAATGATCTACTTCTATACATCTACTCTCGGGCTGCAACTAGTTAACTAACTAGTTAACTAGTCGAATCCGGTTATTTCGCCTGAGGAATAAGGCTTCTAATCACTGACCGCCCAGCGATAGACGATAACCAACATCAATATTCCAAAAAAAGAAAAAAACAGCAAAAGGACGAAGAGACGAAATAAGACCCAGGAAGTACTAAGGATGGGACCGGTGCTCCGCTCGGTCCTACCATAAGATGCTCTCTGCATGCCTCTTTTTGCCAGCATCTCCGAGATCCTCGCCAGTTTGTCACCGCGTCACTCCGATCACCAACGAAAAGAAACCTCGCAACGAAGCCCTTCACCCCCCTCGATCCTTCCCACATCTCCTAGTCCTTGTGGGGACGTTTCACCGATGTTAAACCAGGACCCAAAACGCAAAAATAGCCAAGCCCGCCAGGATGAGGCCCGCCTTCTGGGTGCAAAGTACAAGGATGATAGCAATGCGGTACAGATTCGACCCGGAAGGTCTCTTCAAAAGAATAGAATTCCTGGGGTATGTTCTGCTACATTTCTGTTATATACTGAAGCTTCTTATAGTCATAAATACTGATGTGCTTGGTATACATAGTCAAACACTGCGTTTAAACCGAGAGACACAATCACCCGCAACTTGAATGCAAACTCCCGGGTGGGGAGTTCAAGACAACCGGCCTGTATATTGAATAAGAATCCACCCAGACTAGGCGATCCAATTGAATTAGATAATGCCAGCAAACCTGCCAAAAAGCGACTGAAGAGCGAATTGTGTGATGGGTTTGATCTGGCATTCAGTGACGTGCATGAGGCGCCTTCTCATTCACTGTCTCAATCAACAGCCCTATCTCCGCGTTCTCTTCCTAAACCTTCCTCTTCCCATCCTTTCATCCAACCCAGCTCTCCTCTTCAATTGTCACCATCCAAAATGAAGGCATTCGAATCAGTCCCTGATTCTGGAGAGAGCGATGATGAGATACAGGGCGATGTGACAACTAATCCTCCTCCGAAACAAATCAACGAAAAACGTTCATCCACAGATATGGATCCTTTCATGTTTTCAGAGTCCAGGAAAAAGGCCAAAAAGTCGCATCCTCCTTCCAAAGCTGTGTTTTTTGAGATCGTGTACCTTCATTTCGGCGACTTGCAAAGGAATTTTGCCAAAGGCAAAACCGAAGGCGCTGCCATCTGCCTGGATGAACACAATATCCACCTTCAAGAGGACATTCTCGGCAGAGGAGAAAAAGACATCGAAATCCCAATCCGGACTATCGCCCAAGCCCTTTATGGAAAGAAGACAAGTTGCAAAGTCACATTGAAGTTGTCCAGAGGTGCCTCTACACTGGGTGATCACGTCGATATTGAGTTTTTGGAAGTCAGCGAGAGAGTGGATTTTATAAGCAGGCTTGGGTCCCGCCTGCGGCCGAGCACTCTTGTAAAGAAATCATCGTATGTGACATGAACCCGCCCCAGCTTGCCTTCCACCTTGAGCGATTTCGAGCTAACATGCATTTCAGAGAATTCATGAACGATTCATTCAAGAAAACTGAACGTGATCATGCTCAGCACGTTGCGCAGAAGAAACGATCTCGGGAAGACATTGAGCGTACCACGGTTTCAGAAGCTCCACCAGCAACAGGTCTCTCTGGCTTTCGCTCAAAAGTCTCGTCCTCATTACAGGACACCGGCGTAGAACCCAAGCCAAAACGACTGAAAGGCAACATGCAGCGGATAGGTTCATTGGATGGTCCTGTAGAATCACGAGAAGTGCCAGATTCGCAATCACCTGATCCAGAGAACGTTCAGATCTTGGACGCAAATGTCGCCGTCGAAATTACTACCACGAAGATGCGTGGACCACCGAAACAAGGCCCAAAGAATGCTGAATTGTCAGGAACTCAGGGTTCCAAGAAGTCGGAACTCCAACATGTCCAAGACTCTGAGCCAGAGGATGGTCAAAACTCAGAACCAGAGAAAGCCCCAAGAGCAGAATCAGAGCTTCTTGAAGTACCTGAATCACCAGATGCTTATAAACCCGACCCAAACATTGAGATCAAGGTCCCCTTGCCGAAGACTCTGGGATCCCTAGATCGTGAGACACGCTCGACTCGACGCACGGCACGAAATAACCAAGCTGGGACGCAGACATCTCCTCCCCCACAAAAGCCTCTTGAAAAGGAAGCCAATTGGACGAAATGGAAGAAGCCAATGGTTTACCCCCGAGCTGGGAAGAAACGCGCAGAAGTTAGCACTGAAGATCGAGAACGCTTGCGCGAAGATGAATTTCTTAACGATAACCTGATTGCTTTCTACCTGCGCTTCTTAGAAGATCATCTCGAACGCACGAACGAGGAAGTTGCCAAACGAGTCTACTTTTTCAACTCCTATTTCTTCGAAACCCTCAAAAACTCTCCACTTGGTAGTACCAACATCAATTACGGTGGTGTGGAGAAGTGGACTCGCAACGTCAATTTATTTGAGTACGACTACATTATTGTTCCTATCAACGAAAATGCCCACTGGTACGTTGCTATCATTTGCAACTTGTCCAAGCTTGATGCAGCATCTGAGCCTGGCTCTCAGAATGATGAAACTGGTTCAAAGGGTTCAGCCTCCGGACTAGACCAAACTACCATTGTCACCTTCGATTCTCTTGACATTAGTCATTATCAAACCAGCAAAATCCTGCGCCAGTACCTGGCCAAGGAATCTGTATCAAAGCGCGGCATCGATATCTCTTCCAAAGCAACCGCCAAAGCGATCAAGGGCAAGCGCGCCACAAACCTGCCTCTTCAAAATAATTACTCGGACTGCGGCCTATATCTTCTCGCTTACGTGGAGAAATTCGTGCAGAACCCAGACTCATTCATTGCAAATATCCTGCAACCAAAGGAGGGACAGGTTGAGTGGCCTGATATTAAGCCTGGTCTTCTTCGACAGCGCCTCCGCCTTTTCCTTGATGATTTGTATGAGGAACAGAAACATCATCAGCAGAGCCCACTCATGGTTGATCAGTTCCCTATCTCATTCTTGCTGGGGGCCACTGAACCGAAGAAGGCGGATGATGACAAACATGATGAAGCTGACGATGAGAAGAAGCCTCCGACAGAAACACAACCCACAATCCCTTCCAAAGATCAAACAACCGAGACCATCGATCGGAAGTCCGAGACGGTCGGTCAGGAGCCTGAGAGTATTGCCACATATGAATAGATGGGACTAATCCGATGGCGTCGACCTTTGATTTCGTTATTTATTATTATCAGATTCCCTGTTTCTCTTTTGTCTCGATGACTTTGCATTACAAGGCGCGGTTCCAAGATACCATAGAGGCGTTGAATGATTTGGCTCACATTTTGACGTCAAGATGAGATGTATGCATACAGATATCCAAGTCAGCATATAATCGATATTATTGTTATTTTTTTTGTTTTTCTCGTCAGGACTACACAGTATATGTACTATACTACCAATCACCAACTATTTTCGACTGCATGAGCATTTCTATTTCGAATTTGAATCTATACACAAGGAACCCAACCCAGCTACCAGTCACGCTCATCCGACTCAACCCACCATGCCATCTTATCCTTCTTAAAAGACTCAAAATCCCATTCTAGACTCTCCAATCTCTCGTTTCCAGCAACCCAGACATAGGTTACAGCATCAACCTCTTCAGCCTCGTCGACAAACTCCGCGCTCGCGGCATCAAGGACATCACAAAGATTCCCACCAGAGTTATTCGAATTACCTGACATTGACTCGTGGCCTTGATCCAATGCATCTTTCAAAGTCCGCACCTTGACCCCTTCTCGGATATACTCGCTGCCCTCGAAGAGATCTAGTCGATGGACATCCCCATCTGTAAGACCCGAGACAAGAGTTCCCAGGACCGAGGTTCTGGTCTTGGATTCTGACTCTGCAGATGCGGATACAGAGATTATCCCCGGGTAGTCTGCGCCCCGCACTCGATGGCGTCGGTAGCCATGCAGTATGGCAGGTTGGAAGCTAAGTGTCGCTTTTTGCCAGGGTTCCGGGTCTGCGCGACCATGAATAACACGATGGAGGATTTGTGGTGCCATCAGCGTTCCTGTAAACGTTTAGTGTCCAATGCGCGATCTGTTGACGTTCAAACTATACGAAGTGGGAACTGGCCATGGGAGGGGAAGGAGAGTTGAGTATTACCATAAAAGAAAAGAACATGGTCACCCATTATTCTCGGTATGAAATCGAGATTCAAATCAAATCAAGCCTAATGAAGCTGTCTCAAGCTTGTAATCTGCGATTTTAAAGTAAAGAAAATACTAATAGAGGGGTTTCAACCTGGGGAATCCATTGAGCGATCGCACTAGTTTATAGTATTCGGTGCTTATCGCGATAAGCCCCAAACACGCCCAGCTGGCTTCATTCATCCCGATCTTCCCTGTCTCAACCACCTCACCATGCATTCCTCTCTCAACCGCCTCCAAACCGTCTTCGGTTTCTTCACTACCGTTGCGCTCGTAGTCGCCGGTGTAGCTGCACTCTCAACGCTGCTATTCCCAACCGACGCGACAACAGCATCAGTGCAGCTTAAGAATGTCCAAGTGTAAGCTAACCCAGCACAAGCACAAACACAAACACAATGTGTCCAGAATACCTACAAACTATTTCAGTTTATTCTTGGAGCGCAAGAAAATATAAGAGAATTATACTAAGTAAAACAGAACCAAGGGCCGACCACACTACTACTCAACCAAGCGATCCGAATATGCCCAAATCCGCTTCGACCTAGACGCAGACCTCTCCCCACTGTTCAACTGGAACACAAAACAACTCTTCGTCTACGTCTATGCTACATACTCCTCATCCGATGATGTCTCCTCGAGTGTTCGTGCCTCGGAGGCTATAATCTGGGACTCTATTATCCCTGCGCCAGCGTCGCCTTATTCATGGGATATTCTCAAGAGCAAAGCGCTAGAGATTCTTCCTACGCCTATTGTTTCTTATATCTCGCCTTCTTCCGTTAAGCAGGGAAAGAAGAATGTTAAGAATGCGGCTAGTAAGAAGGCTTCCTCGAAGAGTGCTAAGGCCGAGCCTGCGCCTGGTGTTCTTCGATTAAGGGGCCAGAAGGCAAAGTATCAGATTAGTGATATTACAGGTCGATTGGCCGAAAGGGAGAATGTCACTTTGTCTGTTGGGTGGAATGTTCAACCTTGGGTTGGAGCTCTTTGGTGGAGTCCTGGATCTGGAGCTTTGCCTCACACGGATGGATCTGTTGTTACGAGTGAGTCGTTTGAGTTTCCGGCTTTGAAGACAAAGAAGGTGGAGGGTCAGACTGGGAGTGTCTAAGGAATGGTAATGGGGTTGAGGTGGGTATATTTGATTGGTGTTTCTGTTTGGATATAGATACATCCACTAAAAGAAATGGAGTACGCCTACGGGTTGACCGATATTATCTGGATATCCGAAAAAATAATAAGTGGTGCCTATTCTTATGGCTTTCAGTCCATTCCCATTATGATACACGCAATGAAATACCTAGCTATCCCAACTTGAAGTACATGGCATTGAAGCTGAAACAGGAGGCACTACTACCTAGTGACCTTGGAACCACCTGGGCATGGATCTCACGTTCGAACCCCATCGGAAATCCAAAAGTGCATAGTATCAAGAAGAGAATATAGCTAAGCCATCGAAAGATAAAGAAATTTCAAATGTTGCTACATCACTTCCAGAGTTGTTTTCAAGTTCATTTTCATTTTCTTTTTTGGTTCTTTGGTACCCAGATGCACACGTATGCCCAAGTGTCTCTTTGAAGAAACACTCTGAAAACTTGGAAATCATCAAAATATTCCTTTATGGATTTCGGACTTTCAATGAGCTGGAGGTGTTGAATGAAGGCGCAGATTATCGCATTCAATCGGAGATTCACCTTGAATATCCCAGAGGGTCTCTTTATTGGAGATAGAGATATTTAAACGCCCAACTATCCCACCAGTTCATCATTATAACTCCCGAGGTCCCAGGTTCAGGCTTGAAGCAACTTGAACTTGAACTTGAGCTTGAGCTTGAGCATTTGAGCTTTAAGTTAAAGCACCAAACCCATACCAAAACCTACAACCTCGAAGATGTCTACAATTTCGAAGTTGCCAGTGTTGAAGGACTGGCACCCTGCTGATAATGACAGAGAGCCAGTGAAAAATTGGGAGGATCGGTGGCAGCACCTACCGACCCCTGATTTTGAAGCACCAGAACTCCTTTGTGACACAGAGCTCTGGCAAGATAACCTTCTTGATCCAAATATCCCCAAACCTGACACTGTTTTCAAATACAAGGATGGTAGAGAGGGATCATGGGTGGAATTAAAGTCCATAGGACTTCGAGTCTTGGCTCCACTTACCGAGGCCAACGCGAACCCCTATCTCAAAGTTATACTTCCTTGATGGATTATCAAGGAGTGTGGAAGATTATATCTAGACTATAAAGTCTACACAAGCATGGATATAATCAAGGAAAGGTGGTCTGACTTTTATCCACTTTGGGTTGGTTTCAATCTAGATGAACCAATCAAGGATGCAGAAGGATTTTTCCAGATGCTAGAGAAGGCTGTTTCGTCTAATGACTTCATGATATCCGATCATAAGCCAATGGCCTATCCTCCGTGTCCTTAGCATTATTACACTTGCTGTGATTGGAATCTACATGCCAGTGGTTGTCATGGGCCGGGACCTGATCGAGTATTTTGGATGGAGATGTATGGAAGCTTTGGGAATCTTTACCAGATTCACAAAATCATTGACCCGGAACAAGGTTTAAACCAAAAACCAATAGTCGCTATTAAAAAACATATTAAGCTATTGAGGCAGCTCTATGAAAGGGGTGACTTGAGTTTTGCGAGAGAGATGCCTGTGGATTTGGACTCATCGGTAAACCTCGATCCTAACAAAGATGGGGTATACTGGGGACATGGACCGATACTGCATGGTGTGAGAGCCCGTGTGGGTCGTCATCCATATCTTTTGGAGTTTGGAGCTCTGATCACTCATCCAGAACAATATGGATGGGTTCCGGCGGATAAGAAGGATAAGAAGACCATAACGTTCAAAGAAAAAGTCAAGCACTTCTTGGCCAAGCACTTCTTGGCCAAGCACAAAGAATAGGGAACCTATTTTTGAATCTTAGAACACTTGAATGACTGGGTCAACATTGAAGCTATACTTTTGTGTGTGTTCTCCTGTTTGAAACTTGGACTCTGTATCACTTTTTGTTGACTGATACTTCCAAGGTTCTGACCGATGCTTGAGGTGGATATTGATTCAAGTTTTTATGTGGTTTCAAAAAAAAATTTCTTTGTTTTGCGAAGTTTTGAAGTTTTCCAATTTGTCTTGCTACGTCGATATCTGATTGATCTTTTACTTGTTAATTGATTAACCATTGAATCGTAAAGTAGCATATTGCTTCAAGTTGCTATACAGAATGAATTTGGCTTTTTCAGATGTTCTTTTTTACTGTCCGCTCCTAGAATAGAACTCCCTCTACACTACTAGGTATTTTGTTTAGGTTATTCTATAATCACTAAGGCCTGACATGCATGTGTAATATCAGAAGGATGGATGGTATAGATAATAATATGGCTCTACGGGTTCATACAAATGAAACAGTAAATGTAGTAAGTCATTAAGAATGGTTCATTTTATGGCCCTCGGGGATGTAAGTAATACTATTAATGACCATAATCGCTTCGTCAGGGTACTCGCGTGAAAGGACAGTTTGGATTGGCATATTGACTCCCCAGTAAGCAAGACGGAAACCACAAAGTCCATCAACCACTATGCGCCAACCAGCCTTGGTCTTGTCTTAGATCGTGCCATAGTTCCGATTCGAGTGTCCGCCGTTCTGAACACGTTCGGAGTAGACACCAGGTGCGGGTCGTTGTGTTGCGCGGGTCATGGGATCTTGCTTGCGTCGATGGTAGTAAACATATTCCAGATAAAATGCGTGAACATGTCCTGGGAGGTATCTGGTAGCTTGTTAGATACTGGATTGGAAAGAGGAAACTGGGTCTAGCCAGCACGCGACAGATCTAGTACTCACCCGAGAATCGTGAGAAGGAGGTTTATCCAGAAGTCAACTCCACAGCCGGAGATCAGGAAGACGCCTAGAGGAGGGACTATAAATTTATTAGCGCTGCATTCTTATAAACTGTCTGGATCAATCCAAAATAAAATTCACTTACTGAAAAGAGTGATCAAGATAAGACATAGCATAGAGCAAGTGCCTGCCATGATGGATGAATTTGATGATAATAGAGGTGATGATGCTTATTGTTCTTGAGAATCGGATGCAGACCGTTTAAAATCGGCAGTTGCGAGAAAGCTGAGGAGGAGGATGGAAAAGAGGAGAATGAAGATGTAAATAGGGATATTGTCGTCCCTGGGGGAATTAATTCGTTTCATGATCGGCGAGACGACGTCAGAGGGGAGTCAGAGGAGTCGTAGGTATTGGATCAACCTTGTTTGAGATGGAGAAATGGTCCACATGAATGGATAGGGCTGATGGAGAGATCGGGTGGGCTGACGTCATCCCTAGTACACCTCAGGCACCTAAGTACCTACCCATGTACCTTCCTAAGTAGGTACATGGGTAGGTACATGCAGGTGACACTGAGGTATTCAAGAGGATTCAAGGTGCTGATATTGTACACATCTGGTGATCAAATAACTTCTGGAAAATCTTGGAGGTACTTTCTCTGCCACCTCATCAATGGTAGCAGAATTCCTCATGATCTCCCATGTACTACCCGAGTAGCGCGCGGGGGATTATCGTCATTGGTGGAGTAAGTCGTGCAATGAGGCATACTAAAACAGTACGCCTTCCAGGAAAGAACAAGCCACAAGTACAAATGTTGTCAACGGTGATGTTTTTTTGAAGGGAAAAACAAGGCTTACCCCCTCACACAGCGTCGATCGCTGCGCGGGTCGTTACTTGCTCGTTCTTGTTTCCCAGCTTGGAAATCTGCAGGAAAGCGTCGACGCCATAACCTTCCAGACTATGTAGCTCCAAGCTACCTGCCCAGTACTCGGCGTACACGCGGCTCATCGGAAGACCCATGCCTAAGCGTAGGTTCGGTGGTCGGGATGTCAGACTATCAAGGGATCCTTCATGGAACCCAGCCAGTTCTTGTTTGCGCTCATTGACTTTAAGCTCTTGCATTGTCGCAGCCATGGCGGGGACACGGCCTAGATTCTCAAGTCGCGTTTGAGTTCGGGGTCCTTTACTGAATGACCACAGGTACGGCAGGATCTCGCGCGGGATGCCACCACCCTGGTCGGAAAGGCGCATGATCACGTGCTGAGGTGTTTCGCAGATGAGGACCTCGATCGGGGGCGGTGGCTCAGAAGAATCTTGATACTTTTCCATGACAGCCTGCACCGAGTTGCGCATCAATTCCCCTACAATGTATTCCAGATGGCTGAGGATATACGGGAATGTTGCATTCAGATGGCCTCGAACATTCACCGCAGGAATTTGAAGGTTGGAAGACTGAGAGGTTTTGCGCATCAGATCCTGTGCCACCTTGCCACATCGCTCGATGACTTCCTTTGCATTGCATTTCAGGAACACCTCGCCCACAAAGTCCGCATTCATATCAGTTCGTTCGTGCGAGTCGGGGAAATGCCAGGGTGAATTGAAAGTTTCGGTTAGCGCAAGATGTTGTTCAGCAATGACACGGCGCGAGATTCTCTATATTAGAAGGTCAGCTCTGATCTTGTTGGGTTGATCATTTCCCACGATATCAAGGTTGTTCATACCGCTCGCAGCAAAGTGTTCATGAATCGATCCATATCATCCGGCGGGAATAGCTCCCGGCACTCCAAGACTCCAGTCGCCAGGTTGGGGATCACCACCAGATGCTCCTTGAGCATATCGCGAAGCACATCGCAGAATTTCTCATTATCGTCCAAGCTACGGATCTCGGGGATCACACGGAATCGTTCGAAGGCTCTGTAGTAGAGCTCGTACACGAGGGTAAGACGGGGGTTAGAGACGACGACATAGGGCAGCTGTTGGATATCTCGCAGGCGATGGGCCAAACTATAATGATCTCAGTTCACGTTTTGCCTTGTGATTCATGATTCATGATCATGATTTTCATGACCTACCGGGTGGGCAGCTCAGTTCGAACATAGTTTGCCGAGCTGATCAGTCGAGGCTCTGTCAATGTGCGACCGAAAAAAGTCAACTGGCGGAGACTTATTGGGCGAATGGGTCGTTCGACCCATCTAAGAATATCGCGGGTTAGTCTTGGAGATCAGGCACGTTTTCCGAGTGCGGAGTCATACTCATCCACCGCGGAACCTGGTCGCCATGGAGGTGGTTGGTGGGTTGCAAAGAAACGAGGTTTAAACGCCTTCCGGAGAGCATTGCAGCTCCTTGGAAGTAGCTGCATTGTGCTCCATGCAGTTACCTTATTTCTTTCTTTTTTCTCGGAGGTTTAAGACGTAGAGATCTCATGTTCAATCCGGAGCTCTAGGTCCCCATGTATACAGCCGTGGAAGGCGGTAAGCCCTAACTGCCGGGCGGTGAGAAGTATCACCGCCTGGAGTATTTTCCTATGATTTAGTTTCAAGGTTATTATGGATGATATTCTATATTTTCTAGTATTTAGCCACCTATATACTATTTATAGCCTTCAATTTCATTTAATATTATTACTGGGAAGTACATACTTGATTATCTGGTCCATTATTTTCTATCTCTATCTCTATAGGCGGTACCATCAATACATAACATGTGCACATGTGCCGAGGTGGTAGGACTTCTTTAAAACTAGAACATAGTAGAGGGGCTTCAAGTTACTACTAGTATCGGGTGAGAGTGTGAGAGATAATTAGAACTTGAACTGCTGAAAGAGATCCTTTATTAAATTGCTAGGTAAAAAAAAAGCTGTAGATTTATAGTATATACCGTGACATGGGTTGATATCAGCATGCGTAAAGCACAACTTGTGTCCGCCTGAATAGGTTGTGGTTTTCACCGCTTCCAAGGTTACGGGTAGTTCTGCCTCTTCACCACATCGGAATTTGTGTCCTTACTACCTAAACATTAAATGTTATATATCGCCCAGCTGGCTATACAGTACAAGATCCAACTTGAAAAGGTTAGAGGAACGCGACTCATTCAAGTTGAGAGAATAATCCAACACATCGCCTACCAACCGACCATATTGCATTCTTCAGAATTACAAGTAGACATCAAATGGCCGATATAGTCCTCCAGTACTTTTATCTGATCTTTGTGGAGCATAAGTAACTTTCAGGCCATTGTCCTTTGGTTAGCACATGAAGAGTTAATGCATAGGTCTGTTGGAATGATAAAATGATAACATACTATGCGACTCAATATAGATCAAAAAACATTTCGACAAGCCATTCAACAGACCCGTGGTTCACCCCGTACCTAGCTGATTCACAAAGCTGATTTCGTAGGCTGGTTTGTAAGCTAGTGTTTCATAGTTGATTTTAAGAATGGCCTTTCAAATGGCCCATGGTGTAGTATAGTATAGCTTGGGAGAGTCAGAGGATACAGAGTGTCATGTGTAGTATTATTTGACTTGTGTAGTTGAAAGTAGTATAAGTCAAGTTCTTCACATGTGGGTATTAAGGAACCAGAACTATGAAGAATTAAAATGATAAAAACAAGTTAATTCTGATGAAGAAAAAGAGTTAACATAGGTGATTGATTGAATTTTTATTTTCTATTTGTAAATCATTTCTTTCATTCATATTTCTTTTTGTTCTTCTTGTTATTCGTGTTATTATTTACTTATTACCCCTTCCTTCTTCAACCACTTGGTGCTCTTAACTGCCGAGTGAGGAGGGCTCCGCCACCGCTAAAGCTCTCTCCAAACTTGAGAAATTCCTCCCGACACTCACCTCCCTCTCATTCTCTACCATCTTTTACTCCCTTTTCTCCACAAAATTACCCTTTCTGACAGGTGCCTTCCGGCTGGACGGGAGGGCGCTTTTGCCATGGAAAATGTGAGTCTCCGACCGTGCCCCTCGCGTGTGTCGTCATTGCAGATCTAACCGTCAGGCCCCAGCTTGCGGAGAACGACATGCTAGTCGACGACTATGAGCAGTACAACAATGAGAAGACTGATGTCGTCGTGGTCTCTCGCGCCGGCTCCGATGAGCCTGATCCTGCGCCTTCTGCTGCTGACCGTAGGTTACTCTCTTCTATTTCCCCTCTCTTCCGCCGCAGATTCCGGATCACAACAAGCATAATACCCAATCGGTGGTGAACCCTAAAACAAAACATCTGCGACCAAGCCGATTTATGGGACTCTGTTCTCTCAGATTATGCAAATCTATGTGAAGTGGTCTGATCAAGTTCGGGACAGATTGAGCTAACAGAGACCCCTCCAAACTTTTAGATGCGGCGATGATGGCACGAGAATTACCTAAAAACCCTGAACTCGAGACCGAAGAGGAGGTTTTTCATACATGGCACATTAAGGACTGGAGGAAGCAGGATCGGAAGCTTCATGGACCAGTCTTCAACTGCGGTGGATTCCCTTGGTGGGTGACCTCATAGTACATTTGTTTCAAGGGTGCAAATGCTGACCAGAAAAAAAAAATTAAGGCGAATCCTCTTCTTCCCCTACGGGAACCAATCGGAACATGCCTCTTTTTACCTCGAACACGCCTGGGAGGGCAAGCCGCCAGAGAACTGGTATGCCTGTGTGCAGTTCTCATTGGTTTTATCGAACGTGAAGGACCCATCGATCTACGTATCCCATAGTAAGCAAGTTCGAAAATGTTGATAGGAAGGATTGCGCTAAAAAAAGATGCTAGCCGCGACACATCGATTCACCGTTGACGAGGGTGACTGGGGCTTCACTCGTTTTTACGACCTCCGAACCTTGTTCAACGAGCCATGGGAGGGCAAAGGTGTGCCGGTAGTCCAGGACGATGAGGCCAATATTACTGCCTATGTTCGTGTGGTCAAAGATCCTACCGGTGTTCTCTGGCACAGCTTCCAAAAGTATGCCCTTGCAGGTTCTTCAAACTTGGATTGCAACTCAATGGCTAATTTTTTCCCACAAAGTTACGATTCCAAGAAGGAGACTGGTATGGTCGGACTGCGCAACCAGGGTGCCACTTGTTACCTGAACTCTCTCTTACAATCCTTGTATTTCACGAATGCTTTCCGCAAGGTATACGATACTATGGCGCCATCTTCGATTTCTCTAGCTAGATCATGACTGACCAATAATCATAGGCTGTTTACCAGATCCCCACTGAAGAGGAGGCCACTCGTGAAAACAGTGCTTGGACTCTTCAACGGTTGTTTTACAACCTGCAGACCAATGAGACTGCTGTTTCCACAAACGAGCTGACTGTGTCTTTTGGATGGGATTCCCGGCAGGCTTTTGAACAGCAGGATGTCCAGGAGCTTTCCCGGAAGCTCATGGAGCGATTGGAGGAAAGGATGAAAGGCACTGTGGCAGAAAAGGCCCTTCCCGACATGTTTGTCGGCAAAACCAAAACCTACATCTCCTGTATCAATGTCGACTATGAGTCTTCTCGGGTAGAGGACTTTTGGGACATCCAGCTCAATGTTCGCGGTAACAAGACCTTGGATGATAGTTTCCGTGATTACATTCAAGTGGAAACACTCGAAGGCGAGAACAAGTATGACGCAGGCTCTCCATATGGCCTCCAAGATGCGAAGAAGGGTGTCATCTTCGAAAGTTTTCCACCTATCTTGCACCTCCACCTGAAACGATTTGAGTACGACCTGAACCTCCTTACAATGATGAAAGTGAACGACCGACATGTTTTCCCTATGGAATTTGATGCTGCCCCCTATCTCTCTGAAAATGCTGATAGATCTGAGCCCTGGACTTATGAACTACATGGAGTCCTTGTGCACAGTGGTGGTTTAGATGCTGGTCACTACTACGCTTTCTTGAAGCCCACCAAGGACGGACATTGGTACCGATTTGACGATGACCGAGTCAACCGAGTCACCGAGAGGGAAGTCTTGGAGGAGAACTATGGTGGAGAGTATGAGCTGGCCAATGGCGCCACTGGTGTTCGACAGCCTTATACTCGCACTTTGTCAACTAAACGATCGATGAACGCCTACATGCTGGTGTATGTCCGAAAGACACGGGTGGATGATGTTCTTCTTCCGATTACGAAAGAAGATATCCCATCTCACATCGGTTTGTCTCCCTCTTATCTGACCCTTTCATGCTTTTGAACACTACTAATTAGGTCGCAGAATCACGTTTGGCAGAAGATCGTGCAGAGGCTCTTCGGCGCAAGAAGGAAAGAGAAGAGGCTCACTTGTTTATGAACATTGGTGTTCTGACCGAGAAGTCCTTCCAGTCTCACCACGGGTTTGATCTTACCAGTATTGATCTTCCTGCCGAAGACCCAGCACTGCCTAAGCAGTACCGCGTTCTTCGATCGAAGAAGGTTGGTGAGTTTGCGAAGGAAATGGCGGAAGAACATGATATCCGTGTTGAGGCGATCCGTTTCTGGGTTATGGTCAACCGTCAAAACAAGACCACTCGACCTGACCAGATCATCACTGACCCCGAAATGACTGTCGAAGAAGCCTACAACAAGTATGGTACCAAGGGCAACTACTTCCGCCTGTGGATGGAGGTTTCGCCTGACGGCCAGGCCTGGCCTGAGGGCAATGACTCTGCTCTCATCTTCTTGAAGAACTTTGATGTCGCGACTCAGACACTGGCTGGCGTTGGTTCTGTTTATATTCGCAAGAACCAAAAAGTTGGCGACTTGGGATCAACAATTCTTGCGAGAATGAATTGGCCTGTGGGTACTGAATTCATGCTCTTTGAAGAGATCAAGCACACCATGATCGAGATCATGAAGCCCAAGCAGACATTCCAGCAATCAGAGATCCAGGATGGCGATATCATCACGTTCCAGCGCACATTGAAAGACTCCGAAGTCCCCCAGGCAGCTCTTTTCCCCGACGCTAGACAGTTTTATGACCATCTCTTAAACCGTATGGACGTGTCATTCGCTCCGATCAAGTCTTCTGAGGAGCCAGGTGACTTTGTCTTGACACTCAGTCGAAAGATGACCTACGATCAGTTCTCAAAGAAGGTTGGCGAGCACTTGAATGTGGACCCGACCCATCTGCGATTCGCGCCAGTGATGGCCAGCACCGGAAAAGCCAAGCCTTTCCTCAAGCGTTCCATCACTTCGACCCTCTCACAGATCCTCAACGGCCAGTACGGTACCTATGGCTACACCATGCACCGCGCAGACGCCTTATACTACGAGGTCCTCGATATGAGTCTCAGCGACTTTGAGAGCAAGAAGAGTTTCAAGGTCACATTCCTACCTGACGGCATCGCCAAGGAGGAGGTCATCGAGGTTCTTGTAGCTCGCAATGGAACCGTTGCCGAACTTCTCTCTGCCTTGCAGCAGAAGGTGAAGTTGGATGATGAGGCATTCGGCAACATCAGGCTGTTCGAGGCACACAATGGAAAGTTCTCCAAGGAGATTCGTGAGGATTTCAACGTCTCCACCATCAACGAATACTCCACACTGTATGCAGAGCGCATTCCAGCTGAGGAATTGAACATGGATGGCGACGACCGATTAATCAGTGCCTATAACTTTGACCGGGAGGCTAACCGTCCTCATGGCGTTCCTTTCAAGTTCATCGTGAAGCCGGTAAGTCATATCCTGCAATCTTCTGCACGAGTATTGTATTAACATTTTGAACAGGGCGAGATTTTCAAGGAAACCAAGGAACGTCTGTCGAAGCGTACAGGTATCAAGGGCAAGCCTTTCGAGAAGATTAAGTTTGCCATTGTACCTCGCAACTCATTCCCAAATGCCAAGTATATTGAAGATGGTGAGTCTAACATACTTGATTCCAATCATGAGAATTTGGAACTAGAAGCTAATCATGACCTCCCTTCTTAGATGATATCTTATCTGACGTAGCGGGCTTGGATGATCTTCTTGGTCTTGATCATCCCACCAAGAGCCGCTCTTTCTGGAGTAAGAGTGAGAGTTTCTTCATTCGATAAAGTGATTTCTGGGGCGCTGTGGGGGTTTGCGTAAGGGCAAGATGCTGCAAATCGGTACAAGAGCAGCACATACCTGACGAACATTGTTTCTTTCCATTATTCTTTCTTCCTTTTCCTTCTTATTCATTTTCAGCTCCGTTTTATAGTTTCATAGTTGGAGTAGAGGCGATATAAATGCCATGAAGAGACGAATGCCCAGGTGTGTTTTGGCTACAAAAGATACAATTCCACCCCAAATCTGGCAGATATTAGATTAGAATGAGCTACTAGACATGAAAAAATAGGTAACCCGCTCTTTAACTGAAATGGTAGATACTAGTAGAATGATTAACACCAAGTCTTAATATTGCCTTCTTATTCTGAGGTTAATACATAGTGTTCTTTAGTACTTAGGAGTCGGGCTAAGGGTCAGCTTGCATACAGTAATTTGTTTGGGTGCAAACACTGCAAACTTGAGCCAGCCGTCTAGCTGGCCAGAACAACTGAACTCCGAGACGTCGACCTCCTGACGCGCAGTTATCGATCCACATCCTCAATTCTCCGACATGCGGTTCGCCCTTCTAGCCGGTTTGGCCTCTTTGGCCTCCTCTGTCTCTGCGACCGCGTTGACCTACCGCCTCGAAGCTAACGAGAAGGCATGCTTCTACGCGGAGGTTGAGCAGGCCAACGCCAAGGTGGCCTTCTACTTCGCGGTCAGTCACCTCTGAGATCTTTTAGAAAAAAAGAGAGATCCTAGAAGTTATCAAGTTTAGCCGATTCTAACATTGGTTCTCTGTTCCAGGTCCAATCAGGTGGTTCCTTCGATGTCGACTACTCTATCCAAGCTCCGGGCGACAAGATTGTTGCAGCCGAGGAGAAACAGCGACAGGGCGACTTTGTTTTCACTGCGCAGAGCATTGGAGAATACAAGTTCTGCTTCAACAATGAAATGTCCACATTTGCCGAGAAGATGGTTGATTTCGAGATTGCTGTACGTCAACTGCCCCTATCCACAACCTGCGGATAAACAACATGCGCCTATTGCATTGAAGATGTCCTCAAGTCCACCTGGGGAATTATATCACTAACGTATTTCTTTCTTTGTGCAGGTCGAGAATGAGCAGCGCGCTCAACTTCCCTCCCGACAAGGCGCTACCCCCGAACAAACCTCCAGCTTGGAGGAATCCATCTACAAGCTCTCCTCACAACTGTCCACCATCTCTCGAAACCAGAAGTACTTCCGTACGCGTGAGAACCGTAACTTCAGTACTGTCCGCAGTACCGAGCGTCGGATCTTCAACTTCAGTGTGATCGAGTCGTTTATGATGGTGTCGATGGCCGCGCTGCAGGTATTCGTTGTGCGCTTCTTTTTCCAGGGCGCACGAAAGGGTATGTTCAATTCCGTATATTCTATGAGAGAATGGCACTGTAGACTTGGTCGAGTTTTACTAACATCAATTTACTAGGTTATGTTTGATGAACACGAAGTGAAATACGATGCATTATTTTGTCAATGTCCTCCTCTCCCCTTAACATTTGGCTTGGGGATTTCAGCGTGTTGGCCTAGTCTCTTTGCTGGCCTCTTACTATAGCATTCTAAAATCATTTATCAATTGAACCAAAACAGGTTATATGTCCAGATGACATGATTTCCCAGAATTCGGTATATCTTCATGAATGGCCGGATCTCTTGCCGTTATGCCTTCATTGGCTCCTCGAGATTAAAAGCCTCTGAATCGGGACGCGCGAGATGCGTAATGTAGTAGTGGTACCGAAGAAATAACAGGTTTGAGAGTCTGCTGTAAATTGACTGAGTTCAACGCACGGTATGATTAGCCACTGTGACCTCAAGGGATTCGTTTGCTGATTCTATTCAATGAATAGTCTAAGATCAAGGATTAATGACCCGATTCTACGGTTGCATCGTGCACAACCTGCTCAGACTGCTGAACTAGATTATGTCGCTGTCCTCCGGCCCGTGATACATAATCGAGGATCATTCGTTGCATACTGCTGATTCTCCACGACGGGGATATTTTATGAGGTAAAGGCCGGGCAAAGGAAGGTTTGTTCACGTTTCCAGGTTGGGCATCGCATCCAACCGAAGATGTCGGGGCGCAACCGGTCATATGGATCTAAATCAGCGTCATAATGAGGTCGGATTGAGACTGAGCGAACATCGCCGCTGCAGTATCACTTGCTAGGAGTTTTCTACCACCGAATCTATGTCACCAGCTTCATTGTCTGGTTAACCAGTGGATTGGACTTGATTTCTTACTTCATCTCAGCGCGAGGAAGATGTGGAGATGGAAGAAGGGATCTGGCAAACGAGTCTGCAGGACTTGGACAAGCATTCATTCCGATACAATCCACATATTCTTAACGCTTTGGTCTTTCACGGTTGTTCAAAACAGGTTTCTACAGGTCTAGACCGCGGTCATCCAGGTACGGTGACTAGCGGACTATTGATAAACGTGTTTCTGAGTCGGCCTTCACCCGACCTTCATCTGACGAGGTAGAGTGTTCAAATTATCATCTCAACAAGACTTCTGGCCTAGTAACGAGAGATTAACCGATGATGCAACAGAAAACTTAAGACTCGCCGCATATTGACCAGCCCTGAAGGATATACGGATGACTTAAATCGAGAGGCCACATGGTAGACTTGATTTTGCGAACGGGTGCGTTATAATGATCTCATATACTACATAGGTCTACTGAGAAACTACATTCATGACATAGGAAGTATATTCTGATTCTGTTCCAGATTAAATGGTATTATCTACAATGTATAGAGTTCTAAGAATGCCTGAGCTTACTGAAACAATTGTGTTTCTGAAGTGCGAGGTTGAGAAGGACATGATATCATATGGTCCTTTAGCGCCCACTCAATCGTCATTTTTGCCGCCAGGACACCTAGAAGATTCTCAACGCCCATGATTCACCCTAAGAGATCCTCAACAATGTCCTGGGGTATCTTTGAAATGGAGTAATGACTTTTAGCCCCCAAAAATAAGCCGAATATCAAAAACGTGAAGACTGCTAGTGTCTGGGCTGACGCCTCCCGAGATGTCATATCTGTTACCGAGATGGGTGGCTTGCCTACACAGGTATAGTCGGCAAATGATTATGGATCCCACAAAAGGCAATATGTAATTCAAAGGGATTCTCTCCAATAAGGATCCCTGGACTGCCGTGTGATCCGATGATATGTGGACGAAATACTATGCAGCATTATTGGATTTTACCCGCAGTGATGCAGTACTCCATACACAAAGTACGGAGTAGATCTAACCCCAATCTCTCTTTGTAGAGGTCAGCTCCACAAAAGAAACCTCCCCTTTTTTTCTCACCCCTGTCCTTTACATCCGGAGTTACGACATTGTACATGAGGTAGTTGGGGGCCTCGGACAGCACATCATTCTTCCATTGCATCTGGTATGTCCTACTTCAGTATTACACAACGGCGTCTTCCTACAGAACTCGCGCCCCACACAATCTTAGTGTGCATACAGTAGTGAATTGATCCGCCTTTTGCTGTGCATTTCTCAATTTTAAACAGCACTAGGGATAGTCTGACGTCGTTGTGGATGGTCAACTGATAATGATACGAGATTCTACCTAGGTACCCACGGAGTGCTGAGTCCAGTTCTGCATACATAGTACAATTGCATCTACACCTAGGTAATGGATTTCCCCCCGGCGGATTTTGGTTTCTCTTTCCGGATTAGTGCTCACCCTCTCGCCGCTTTTGCTCACTGAGTAGATCTGAGCACGGCTTCCAGCTCACTGATCGGCTCACTGAGCCTTAGGTAAGCTTAGGCGTAGACTCAGTGAGCGGATCAGTCAGCTCAGCCCTGGCTCACCTGGGCACTGAGCCTGCTCCCAGTCCTATGGTTCACCCACCAATCGCACCACAGAGGGCCAACGGAATGAGTTAGCCACCCAAATAAAATGCACTGCGCTAGTGCAAATAAGTGGACCTACTTAGGAATCAATCTCCCATTTAGAAAGAGATGGCCTGGTACACATAGCTATGGTATTTCACATTTTGTATCTCAACATAAGGATCAGCAGTGCAAAATCCGGATTTCTAGCCTATCAGACTCTATGTAAATTTTTATTCCCAGAAGCCACTCGACTCAATTACTTACCAGCGTAAAGAAATTAATTACCCTATTACAGTGAATCCTAGGAAACTAGTTGCTATAGATTGGAACAGCGCTTTATCTTTATCTCTCAGGAGCTACAAATAGTAATAATCAAAAAATTTATTAAGCCTTATCACCTATTATTCCTAGGAACCAGGTAAATTTACAATATCACAATGCCCCTCATTTTTTTCATCGTCAAATTTAAATCCTACAATATTTAGAAGACAAAAGTGTGAAGGGCTCTATGAAGACTGAAGCAGAACGATATAGGCCAACATGCAATTTACATTCAAGCTTAGAGAAGAGAAGACTATTATACACGATTAGGGGTTTATAAGTCCTTCCATGGGTCACGTGCCCGTACGGTCACGCGTAGGGGCGATCATGTAGGGGTTCATCAGGTTTCTTGATAAACCTCTTTTTAAGCACAAAGGTATCAAAGCCCTGCACGCTTCATTATTCATTCCGCGATCAAACATTATGTTGCGGGATGAGTATGGCCGTACGCTTGGGCTTGTCATGGCAAGCCCTGGTCGGGTTCAACCCGTGACATACCCAAGCCCTATACATATATATAAACAGAGTTGTCGGACACACTTAAAGGCGCGGCAGACATCGGAACCATGGATCTGGGTGGTCTTTGGTCCATCTATAGTTCCCCGATTCCCACTTGGGTACTTCTTTCACTCAAAAGATACTTGAACCTTACAATAATTCTTTATGACTAAACCTCTCCTAGTAAACTTGGAAGTCTATCAGGTCCCATAACCTTTTATAACTGAGCAATCAATATATTCATAAGCAATCACTTTTCTAGTTCCATTTTATTCAGTTCAGACTCACAGCATACAACTTCAAACCACCAGGGAATATCGATTACTCAGAATGGCGTCAGGTAAAGATAGCCTGAGCACAGAGGAAAGAAATCTCATTAAAAATGTGAAAGAAGACATTGGGCCCCTTCAAAGATACCGGTACAGATTGACTTATGACAACACTGCCGCTCAGTACAATTTGATCAACACAGAGCAAAAGCTCCAGGAACTTGTCCAGAAGGAGGAATCTTTCATTAATGAAATGGAGCTTACTAGCTGCCCCGATGAAATAAAAGTAATGCAAAAAAAGCTGGACGGCCTGCACCAAGACTATTTCGTCCTTCGACAGACATGGTGGCGATGGCGTAGTGAGTTTACCGAGTACCTGTCGAGAGCCTTTGACCTATGGCGCTCTTATCCTCACTGGTATCTTCATCGTGTACTCCGAAATGATTGCGCTTTAAAGGGTGGCTGTTGCGGTCGCGATTGTGGATGCTGTTTGATGCGCGCTACAACTTCTGGCCAAAATCGAAAGCTTGGAACTGGACATTGCTCTATTGAATGTGCATGTTGTATTCGATCCCGGGGCTTTGATCTTACAGACTCGCGAAAGGCTGAAGTACGCGATTTATTCCGGCTCTCCGATTCAACTCATAGGTATGATGACCAGATCTTACGGGCTTCAATGTGGGGATTGATGAAGGATAGTGAAGAGAATCCATTGGATTTGATCAACAAGCACCCTCCTTTATACTAAGACTTTGAGCCTCTCACCTGCTGGTGAGTAGTGAACTCAGAATTTTTCCAAGGATTCAAATATTCTAAGATCGTGTTTTTTGTGTTGAATCTTTATGTAACTCCAACCTTCAAATGTTGAAAGGAGATTACTTTCTAATTGATGTTCTCAGTTGTTATTACGAGCTAGTGCATGCGTTTTCCTTGGTGCTTACCTGGAAAACCCTCTTGCTTAGGTAGTTATATTCCAAGGTTCAAGTGCCTATTATGAAATGATATTCCAAGACACATGTATCTCTGAGATTAAAGGAGTACATATGTAAAAAGCGTAGGGTAAAAGCACCTGAGGCTTACTGGCCAATATTAGTTTTGAAGAGTGCCATTGACGATATTATCCCAGTTTCTACATCACAAACGACAAATTTAGATCCGTATGTCTGGTCAGCCCAGGCAGTTGCAATGACTTCAAGTTGCACATGCGAGGGCTGGCTTGGTGTAACAATCCATATGCAGGGATCAATTTGAACTGCGGCCGCAACTGGGTTAAGAACGTTTAGATGCACCCTAGATGTGTTGGAAGATCTGAATGGGGGATGACGATGATGGAAGTGTGTCCCTGTGTCGTGATGTGTAGGAGCGATGGAAGGTGATACCTACCATAGGTATCTACAGCCACGGAACATATGGACCAGTGGTCCCAACTTGAATTTCTAATAAGATGGAATAGGTTGTGTGTGCAGCACGAGTTCACTCCAGGGCTATTTAATCGTTGAGAGACATCCGCAATGGATTCGAGTATATATGAAATTCAGGTCGAGTGCCATCCATCCTCAACTGAACCCCAAACTCATGAACCACTGGCACAGATTATCACTCCCTCTCTTCTCTTATATCGGCCAATAAAGCACGTATAGCGGCCGTCGCAGATCCCAAAGGTAAATGACCTTGGAAGTTCCCAAGGTGTTAATGATCTTGGTTTTTTTCTTGCTAGATCTGGTACGTGTTTTAACTTCAAGTTGATCCTGATCATCCCACTTTTAGCTCACTAAATCCATGGCATTGACATGTCCAGATCTCCTTCACCTTTATTCAAATGTTTCAAAAATCATTAAACGGAATCAGAAAACTGATGACTACTTGATTGATATTGGGTGTTTATGTAAATCGAAAAATACCATTTACTGGTGAAAACTTGAATGCGAAATGAGTCAAAACGTACTCGAGGTAGTTCAATTAATGATGTTGCAAGCGGCCAGCTGGCTTTGAATGAGAATTAAAGAAAACAAAATGCCAAAATTCTGGCCATTTTGCTCGGCTTGCTTCAATTTTTAGTTCCATTTGAACTTTGTTGTCAACCTAGAGTTCAAGTCAGTGTAAATCCTTGCATTTTTTAAGATGCTTTGGACGGACCCCCTACAAATCTACAGATGCAAGTTTTAAATGCAGTATATGATGTAATAAATGGTTTAAAGATCTCTGCCACCCATTAGCATCGAGAGGAGAAAAGTACTACTTACTTGCTGTCCCATACCACTCTACCTGCGACTCTTCATTATCGATCGAGAAGGGATCGTCGTCGGTGGTGCGGCTGAGCTTAAAAACCTCCACACCCCGTTTCCTTGAAAAGGAACCATGCGAAAGCCTGGAATTGGCCGATGGGGGGCATTCGCTGCCGAGTTGTTTCATTGGGGTCGAAGGCAGACACGATACCGGCGGTGGGAGCTTGGCCTCGCGCTCCCAAGCCCTGGTTGTTGGCGTTGAGAGCCACCACCACGCTCTCTTCATCCAAGAGAGGGGGCTGCTTGCTAGCAGCGGGGGTGAAAGAAGGACCTCGTTTTCGGCAACGCTTCTGTTTTTCTTTTAGCACTGTCTCAAGTCACATAGTACATATTTCCTGCTTCAAGTTATTCCCAGCGTGGGTGTCCTACCTCCTTAATCCAGCGCGGGCTCTCATGAGCCCCACCTGGTACACGTAGACCGGCAGGAGGACCAAGCACAGCGTGAGAAAACCCCACAGAGAGAACATGCACAGCTTCCACCAAGGCGGATCCAAGAGAAGGGCCGTGAGGATTCGCTGGGAAACAATGCTTTCGAGGCTAGGGGTTGACGGCATTGTCGGCAGACTGGTGTTCATGGTGGGCGCAGCTGGGGTAATCTTGGAGCCAGACATGGTCGTGATGTCTTCTACGTGTCTACGGCCTCTACGATTGATGAAGTTGCTCACCACTTTAGCTACTGAAGGAAGGTGCGTATATAGGCAATGGTGGAAGGAGCTATGAGGGCCTACTCTATTAAGTATGTCTCAAACAGCCAGGTATATTCAATGTTTAAATGATAACTAGGTAATGCTATCCACGGGTACCTAATCATTGCATGGTACTAGTATGTAACATGTACTACTAGTAGTTGATGATTCAAGTTCCATTGGATGAGGATGAGTGACTCAGATATGGATATACAGCATTTGAAACCTCAAGGCGGCAAAATCATAACCTCGCTTCAGATGCTGACTCACTACATGTTTGGATTGAACGCAGCTCAGCTTCTTTTCCAAGTTTCCCCCAAGAATCGCCTCCGATACTGCGTTTCCTTGTAATCCGATCCACTTGGGCAGTAGACCTACCTCTTTCCCCCCTCCTTTTCCTCTTTCTGTTTGCCCTTTTCTGATTTCTGAAGAATTCTTTTCTCGGATTTTGTTGAGTTTCACATTTTTGGAGGGAAGCTTTTACAAAAAATAATCATCACAGAAAGGAGGTCTTACATCAATATAAGGGAGACAAAATAGAGGAGACATTAGGATTATTCATATTAATAGCCAAGATAATTAGGAAAAGAGATATAGAGTATATGGCGGGTATGTGCAATAGTCTAGAGCTAATTACACATTAAGGATATTAAAATATAATATAATGCCGACCATGTGGAAATGAAGGGCCATCAAGAAATTCATGGAAAATTAATCGGCCTGGTTGATGATTGATACTAGTTTTGTTTTAGGTAGGAAGTAACGTATTCGGTAAGCGAGCTGCGCACCCAACCAAAGTTATTGATTTTAAATGTATTTTTCTTAACCAAAACGTTATAAGATTAATTCAATGAACTCACTAGGTCTATCTGGACATGTCTCCCTTCTATGCCCTGGACGTCTACATATTCCGCATCCTCGCCGGCCCTGTGTACGTGGCTGTAAACCCTCTGAAACCTGCTCACGATAGCTATTGATTCGCGCTACCTGGATCTCGAATGGCTCCGAACGTAATTCACGAACCTCTTGAACTGAGAGACCCCCCCTCATATGCTATCTGCCTAGTTGATCGAGTCCGCTTTTGCTTTTGCTTCTCATTAGCGGCGCGTAGTTCGCTGTTTTCCTTTGCTAAAATAGCAGCGCCTTGTAATGCGAGATGGCAGCCTTTAACAAAATGATTTATTGCGCGATCTAATGGACTTGGTGGACTTCAAGATCCTGTACGAAATAGAGCTTTAATTGATGAAGCTTGCCGACGTAGTTGTTTTTTGGTAAAAGTGGTTTTTGGTGTGAAGTTCTGGCTTAAATCATTACCCTAGCTTAGGGGAGGTGGTGGTGCATAAAGATAAATATTGAGCTTTAAGAGTACCTGATCGGGATAAAAAGGTACTGAACTAGTAGCTAGAAAGCTATTGTTAATAGTTTTTTATTTAAATACCTTAATTTGGGTAAGGGGGTATACTTTAAGGAAATCAAGTTTATTGATATGGTTGATCCTAAGCCGTATTTTTATTTTAACTCTCTAACTATATAATGTTACGGACCCACTACGGAGGGATCTCCCAGGAGCAATTACGGACCAATCAGTTGGCGGTCGGACCCAGACTGGACGACCGGCCATAATGGACGCGTGGCCCAAATGGACGCATGTCCATTTGGGGCCTCAGGCATCAACAGGAGCCATATTCGGCATGCTATCAACCGCCTGAAAGAATACTGGCTATACGGGAAGGACGGTGCACGAGAGGCCACTTCCGGCCCCATGACACGTGACCAACGGGACTATTCCAACAATAGATCCCATGCATGGATAGGACAAGATCCCATCCCACGATGGGATGAGATCGGATCACACTGACGGATGGGATCCGGTCCCATCGACGGATAGGAAGGACTAGATATATAAGGACACTCGTTACCCATCATGTATTTAGTTCTTCGCGATTATTACTCTATTGTTATTGAGACCTACAGTACAGCAATTCAGATACTTTGATCACAGTCGAACCTTTGAAGACCAACCTCAAACTAGCTTGGGAGCTCACTCGTGATTCCATCACTCGTGACTGACTTGCTAGCGGACACCCTGATCAAGCATTACCGTGCAAGGATCCCTATAGACTCGAGCCCGTGTAAGGCCCAGCGACGGCGACGGTACAGTTGCAGGATAACGGCTTGCGGTAAGTAACACTTTGGAAGTGCATACTCACGTTGCTTGACAGCCGGTTCGTAACACAATAATCGCCCTGTCTACTACGACCGTGATCTCAGTATCATGTCTTCGCAAGGCAGTACCTCGAAGGGTAAGGCAGCACCTGTGCCACCCGCAACTCAGTCCAAGATGGACATCGACTCCGATGATGAGCGTGACAACGAAATCCAGCGATTGAAAGCTCAGATCCGGGAACAAGCCGACAACATGAAAGCACTCGAGAAAGCTCTGGGAGCCCTCGGCGACACGGCCCAGGAGCAGTTCCAAGGGATCGCCGAACGACTTACCCAGAACACCGGGCAACGACCAACATCGCACGCGACGCCAAAGTTACCCAAGGCGGATAACTTCGATGGCAACAGAGCGAAGCTTCGGGGCTTCCTCACCCAGATGGACATGCACCTTGACGTCAATCAGGCTCAGCTTCCGAACGAAGAAAGCAAAGTCATCTTCGTCTCAACCTACCTGAGAGGACAAGCATGGGATTGGCTCGAACCCTACGTGCGCGAATACTATGGGAAGGATCGGGAAGATTGGTCTGAGACCACCACCACGATCTTCACCAGCTACGCAAACCTGTGCAAGCACCTGGAACGCACCTTCGGCGACATCGACGCCAAACGAACCGCAGAACGGAAACTGCAAGAAATCCGACAAACCGGATCCGCATCCCGATACGTCTCTGAATTCACACAGATTACCGCGACGTTGGGATGGGACGACTATGCATTGATCCCAAGATTCGTGTACGGACTTAAGTCACACCTAAAGGATGAACTAGCAAGAATGGACCGACCAGAGACCATGAGCGAAATCATCGACGTAGTGATCCGTATTGACAACCGCGAATGGGAACGACAACAAGAGAAGAAAGAGGTGGAACACTGGCGACGAGACCGTCGACCAAACCACCAAGGGCAACGGTTTGGACCTAGGACAGGCGCCAACCAAGGCCGACGGCGAGACGACCGACGGGATGACCCGTACGGACCTCGACCAATGGAGCTAGACGCAGTCAGACTCCCCGACGAAGAACAGAAACGACGAAAGGAGAAGCAACTGTGTTTCAAATGCGGGAAACCAGGGCATTACTCACGTGAGTGCCGTAGCAGCGGACCACCAAGACAACAACAGATCAGAGCAACAAGATCTATCGACAACCGGGAGCAACAGCTCCGAGCCACTAGACAACCTCTTGACGATGAGGAGTGGAACAAAGAAAACCAAGTACCTGGTGACCATAAGGGATGGAACAACCGGATGAACGAACGGGACTGGGACAGTCACAGCGACGCAGTCACCGAAACCGAATTCCCTGAGATCGAATGGAACGACCAGGAAGAGGATAACGACATCCTAGGAAACAAGATCGAGAGTCAAGGATGGACCCAGTATGGTTCCTGGAATCAACCCATCGACTCCCAGGAACTGATGGAGGTACTCCCAAACGCGGATAGCGGGAACCTAGAAGTGGAAACGGTCCCGGAGACCCCACCAGAGTTCCTGGAATTGCCTCAGAAAACTCCCAACAACACCGCGACGAACAGCGAGGAAGACAGAGGGACATGCCCTTGTCTTAGGATCGACTGTGGGTGCATGGGATACGAACGACACCCACACCACAGGATGCAATCGGCAAAGCACTGTACTGACGACACCTGCGAACAACATACGCAGCTAAAGGCTCAGAAAGGCTACCGACCAAGTACCAGAGAAAAAGAAACACCAAATTGGAAGAAGGGGTTCCAGGGGGACTTCGACGGAAAATTTAGGGCAACATGTCCATGCAGCGACCTAAACTGCTCGTGCAATGGATATGCCCGACACCCACGACACTCTGCAATGGCTGTAGTTGGATGCTACGACCATGACTGCGAGATCCACTACCAAGGGAAACTAAACTACGGGATTCAGCCACAAAAACCAAACTGGTTGAACATGCCCAGGTGGAAAAAAGAGTATCGAGGAATCTGGTATGGAAGCAAGCAAATCAGGACACAACAAATCGCAGCGACCAAATGGGGCGCACACCTCAAGGTCACCGCCATGATCACTGGGCGACAGGTTAAAGTCCTTGTCGATTCAGGAGCATGTGGGAACTTCATGGACCCACAATGCAACCAGAGACTACGGCTGTGGGTGAAAGAAAAGGAAAAGCCACAACCCATTGTCGGACTCAACGGACAGCGACTCAACAAAGGACTGATCCTAGAGACCGAGCCGGTAGAAATGATTATGGGCGAACACAAGGAAAACATCGAATTCGACATCACCGAGCTAGGCACGTTCGACATCGTCCTCGGGATGCCATGGTTACGACACCATAACCCGGTAATCCAATGGGATACTGGAGCCATTCAATTCGATAATTGCAACTGCACACGAGGAACCACGAAAAACAAAGAAAACCAGAAAGGGCCTGGAAAGGGAGCAGGTACCTATGAGGGCACTCAGGTAGGGAAACCTGATGTAGCCACTCGGCCACGAGGCAAGGCCCACCAAATCACCGACGTGAGCGTCATCGCAACCACAGAACAGCGACCCGATATGACGGATGAAGAACTCACAGAATATGTCGTGATAGCTCACGGAGAGCAGACCCTCTGCGCGACAGAGGAAGGAACACCGGAAATACCCGAAGAATACCGAGACTTCGAGGATGTGTTTACACCACCACCAGAGGGCCAACTACCAGAGTATGGACCCTTCGACCACGAGATCCGGATCAACGAAGGCAAGGAACCGACATTCATGCCTATCTACCAACTATCCGAGAAAGAACGAAAAGTGCTCCGGGAGTACATCGAAGAAAACCTACGGAAAGGTTACATCAGAAAGTCATCCTCATCAGCAGGATACCCTGTCTTGTTCGCACCCAAGAAGGGAGGAGAACTTCGACTTTGTGTGGACTATCGACACTTAAATTCGATTACCATCAAAGATCGACACCCATTGCCTTTGATTCAAGAAATCCAGGACCGGCTTACAGGAGCAAAGTACTTCACAAAGTATGATATCACCAACGCCTATAACCGATTGAGAATAAAGGAAGGAGACGAATGGAAAACAGCATTCCGGACAAATATGGGACACTTCGAATATGTGGTGATGCCTTTTGGGCTAACCAATGCGCCAGCATCATTCCAGCGATTTATATTCAACGCACTGGAAGGATACTTGGACATTTTCGTGGTAGTGTACCTAGACGACATCTTAGTCTACTCGAAGACTATGGAAGAACATGTGGAACACAACAGACTAGTACTACAACGACTTCGAGAAGCTAAAGTAACTCTCAAGTTGAAGAAGTGCGAGTTCCACACAGAAGAAACAGGCTTCCTGGGATATGTGATCACCAGAGAAGGATTCAGCATGGAAGAAGAAAAGATTAGAAGCATCATGGAATGGCCTACACCCACATGTGTGAAAGACATCCAACGGTTCTTGGGACTCTGCAATTACTACCGAAGAAGCATAGATAGCTTCGGGAAAATCACCGAAGCACTGACCAAGCTGACCAGGAAGGATACACAATGGAGTTGGGACAATAAGACACAAGAAGCGTTCGACACGCTTAAGGAAAGGTTCAAGGAGCGACCAATCGTGGGAAGATTCAACCCAGAGAACCCAATCACTGTGGAAACAGACGCATCAGACTATGCACTTGGGGCGAAACTAGTGCAAACCGAGACACTACCAAGTGGCAGCAAAAGACGATGGACCATTGCATTTTGGTCTAGAAAAATGATACCAGCGGAAATGAACTACGACGTACACGACAAGGAACTTCTAGCGGTCGTTAGTGCATTCAAGGTTTGGAGACCTTACTTAGAAGGAGCGAAACATCAGGTTTTGGTCAAATCGGACCACAAAAACCTCACGTACTTCACAACGACGAAGACGTTGACACGACGACAAGTCAGATGGGCGGAAACGTTATCGCAATTCGATTACAGAATCGAACACACCAAGGGTGTGGAAAACGTAACAGCCGATGCACTCAGCAGGAGACCTGACTATGAAGAAGGCACTAAGGAAGCTGTGCCAGCTATCCTAAAAAAAGACGGGGAAGGAAATCTCGTATATAACCATCAGACACTCGCAGCAACGACATACAGCATCGACAACGAGTGGCTGGAAAAAATCAAGGCAGCAACACAGAACGATGAACAACTACAAAACATCATGCAAACAGTGGAAGACGAACAAACAACAAGAGATGGACTTGTGTGGATCCACGGACTTATATACATTCCAAGGGAACTACAGCAAGAAGTCATCACCAAACACCACGACGTACCAACACACGGACATATGGGTATCGAGAAGACGATTGAACATATCACACGAAATTACTACCTACCGAATATACATCGAAAGGTCAAGAATTACATCAAGAAGTGTGATACATGTTTACGAAACAAACCCACTCGACATCTACCGTATGGTGAGATGCAAAACAAGGAAGTACCGATACACCCATGGGAGTGGATCACGATGGACTTCATCACCAAGCTACCGGAAACAGAGGATCAACATGATATGATTATTGTCATCGTCGACCGACTCACCAAATACGCATACATGTTACCCGCGTCAGAAACAATGACGGCGGAAGGGATCGCAAAGACACTGATACGTTACATCTTTACGAACCACGGAACACCTCGAAAGATCACCTCGGATCGAGACAAACTGTTCACATCGAAATTCTGGCAATCAGTGGCGGATCAACTGGGCATTGATCATAGACTTTCAACAGCCTACCACCCGCAGACTGACGGACAAACCGAACGGGTTAACCAAACATTGGAACAATACCTACGACACTACGTGAACTACCAGCAAGACAACTGGGCAGAATTGCTACCCATTGCACAGTTCGCATACAACAACGCTATGCACGCGACTACAGGATTGTCACCGTTCTACGCAAATTACGGAAGAAACCCAACACTCATCGGTGAACCCATCGGGGAACACGCGGTGGCGCCAGGGGCGCAAGAACAAGTGGAGAACATCAAAAACCTACACCAGCAAATGGTTAGAGATATCGAGTTCTTTAATCATCGGATGAAGATGTACGTCGACCGGAGGCGCACGCCCGGACCAGACATGAAGCCAGGCGACAAGGCCTACTTGCTGCGACGAAACATCAAGACAAAACGACCAAGTGAGAAACTGGACCACAAGCGACTAGGACCATTTACCATTGACGAGAAAACTGGACCCGTGAACTACCGACTACGACTACCGGAAAGCATGAAACGAGTTCACCCAGTATTTCATGTCTCATTATTGGAACCAGCGCCAGAGAGTGCAGAAAACGCCACAGAAGTTGAAATCGAAAACGCTAGCGAAGAAGAATACGAGGTTGAAGAAATCCTAGCGGACCGATGGCACGACAATCAGCAACAACTCCTGGTGAAATGGCAAGGTTACCCTACCTCGGAAAACACATGGGAACCCATCAAGAATTTGACTGGCTGTCACCAATTGGTGAGGCAGTACTACGCGCAGGCGAAGAGAACCCCTGCGGGACGGAACGCAAGAAAGCGTCGAAATCAATACCATCCAAAGAAAAACTGGGATCCACCGACGCAACCATCTGCGTCAGAGTAGGATCACCACCAGCACACGTTGCCGCAAGAACCTGGTCACGGACGACCGGAAGAGCAGTTTTATCGGACCCAGTAGCGGCACTGGAAGACTCTGCTTCACACTCTTTACGACGATCGGCCTCGACACGTTCTTTTTCGAGACGCTCGATCTCTTCTTTCTCACGACGCTCAAGTTCCTCGAGCTGGGCAATCTTATTGTAATCACGGGCAATGAAGTCACCAGCCCGATCGCGGAGCAAGGCTTCATGGCGGTCAAGACGCATCAGGCGAGCCATGGCCTCTTGACTGGCTTCGAGAGCGGCGCGACGTTCCTCCGCAATCTCGGCCTGCATTTTAACCAGTTTTCGCCATTCGGCTTCGGAATACGTTGGAGCAGAAGTCATGGTGCACTTCACTTTTCCACCGCCGCGAACACACTCGCTACACTTCTTCGAGTTCGAAGAACGGACACACGACTTATGCAAACGCACACAACGATCGCAAGGGGCAATTGAACGAAAACCCTGAGTGGCGATACGATCTTGGAGCTTCGAGCCGGAGATTCCTGCTGAAGACATGGTCAACGAACACGGGAAAATACAGAAAAGTAAGGGCCTCACCTACCTGAGGGGGGTTCAACGTTTAAAAACAAATCAAAGGTCGTTTGGGGACCAAAAGACCTGAAAGAGGGGGATGGTGTTACGGACCCACTACGGAGGGATCTCCCAGGAGCAATTACGGACCAATCAGTTGGCGGTCGGACCCAGACTGGACGACCGGCCATAATGGACGCGTGGCCCAAATGGACGCATGTCCATTTGGGGCCTCAGGCATCAACAGGAGCCATATTCGGCATGCTATCAACCGCCTGAAAGAATACTGGCTATACGGGAAGGACGGTGCACGAGAGGCCACTTCCGGCCCCATGACACGTGACCAACGGGACTATTCCAACAATAGATCCCATGCATGGATAGGACAAGATCCCATCCCACGATGGGATGAGATCGGATCACACTGACGGATGGGATCCGGTCCCATCGACGGATAGGAAGGACTAGATATATAAGGACACTCGTTACCCATCATGTATTTAGTTCTTCGCGATTATTACTCTATTGTTATTGAGACCTACAGTACAGCAATTCAGATACTTTGATCACAGTCGAACCTTTGAAGACCAACCTCAAACTAGCTTGGGAGCTCACTCGTGATTCCATCACTCGTGACTGACTTGCTAGCGGACACCCTGATCAAGCATTACCGTGCAAGGATCCCTATAGACTCGAGCCCGTGTAAGGCCCAGCGACGGCGACGGTACAGTTGCAGGATAACGGCTTGCGGTAAGTAACACTTTGGAAGTGCATACTCACGTTGCTTGACAGCCGGTTCGTAACATATAAGTGTTTTAATACTAATAAATAACTAAGATTAAGTGGCTATAAAAGATTTAATAAATATATAGATATATAAATTAGTATAATATTGTTTTCTTTATAAATTTTATTAAAATTTAGTGTTAAATAACTTCTGTAGCTATTAAGAATTAAAAGTTAATATTAACCCTTTATGTGATGGGCTCTATAAAGACTGAAGCAGAACGATATAGGCCGACATGCAGTTTACATTCATGCTTAAGGAAGAGGAAGCTATAGTACATGATGGGGCATATATGTCTTTCCGCGGATCACGTGTGGGGCTGTAAGCGGAGACGTCCGTGGTCAACTGTCGTCGAACGTGACCGTACGTGATCGTGGCTTTGGGCTTCGTCGAGGATTGACAAGCCCTCGTCGGGTTCAACCCGTTACAATTAGGGTCAATACTATATTAAGATATAGTTTTTTAAACAAGATTAAACCATTCACTACTGATTTTTGGATCTTCACATTTGGCACACTCATAATTATAGCGCCTTAAGAATCGGTTTGATAGTTTAGGATATCTTTTCACGAAGTTATAAACCCATTTTTCCCCAATAGTTTGAACCGGGGTAGTTCCACGGGCCTTAAGAAGAAGATTTGCGGTCTCCCGTATAGTAGTAGGCCGGGGTGCTGCTCCACGATCATCAAGTGAAAGAATCCATTTTTGAAGGGTTTCCTCTTCAAATTCTGTCAATTTATGCGAATTGGCACGAGAAATCGCGTGGTTTTAAACACCACGGAGGCGCGTACGAAGTGTCGATTCAGGCACACTAAACCGACGCGCTGCTTCACGAACAGCACTAATTTCTTGGTTCTTTATAGCCTGTATAGCTAATAAGATCCTACCTTCTTGCTCAATTAGATTTTTCGAGGTTTGGGAGCGAATTGGCGGCATGGTGGATGGTTGAATTAACTAAGTGCTATCCATGGACGCATTTTCGGTGGGGTGCGCAGCTCGCTTACCGAATACATTAGCTTGGGTCCCGTTTAGATGCCCCCTTTCAGCCAATGCGATGAGTCAGCGAACGATCATGATCAGGATCACTGAGCACTCACTGACCACTCACGTGACCTACGGTCTCGCTCAGTGAGCCTGAGCTACAGACTACAAACTACTCACTGAACCTGAGCCTGAGCGCCCTCATTAAAGCGGCGGTCACCAGAATAGGAAAGCCCTACCTGTCGGGGAAAATCCAGTACGTACAGGTACCTAGGTAGGTACCTAGGTAGCAATGGATAAGGGGTCCGAATCTATAAAGACTAATATTCATATGACTTTCTCAATTGATAATTGATAAGATTTTCGGAATTCGTAGGAATGATAAAGTGGAAACTCGTGAGAGAAAAAAATAAAATAAAATAAGGATTTTCCCACCTCATTGGTACCGACCCATGCGCGACCCCCATCGTCTTTCGCCTCCCCCGCTAAGATGGCGGATGGCGAATATTGGATGTTCCGGACCCAGGTCTACTGCAAGCTATCACTGGTCATATGTGACAAGAATCATTTGCGGTCTGTGGTTCTGGGTGTTCGATCCATTTTTGATTCAAAGCTTCAGTGGAGTAGATATCCCTTTTGCCCCATTCCCGTACATGTAGAACTCCACTCTCTTCGGACCATGACCACGCCACGAAGCATTTTTGGTTTCTGCACCCTTGTATTGGATAAAGGGTCTAGCCCGTCGAATATTTCGTATAGCGGGCTATATGCGGTGTTTTATCCAATCATGGAGTATCGGAAATGAGACTGAGATTGAGGATAGCGTGGTCAATTGGTCTCTTTGTGACAATTCCGTATATGTATGTCGATCTCAACGAGGGCTCCCTGACGTCAGGTGCTTATTCAATGCCTCAGGCCATTGCTTTTTTTCTCACTTTTTTTTTCACTTTTCGATTTTGTCTCCACTCTTTGCCACTGGGATTTTTGGGAATCTCAGGCCGATCGGTGTCTCTCATTTTTGCATTCTGCATATCATTATTTTTTTTTCTTGAGAATGATGTCCTTTTTGCTCTCTCGTATCAGAAATTCCCATGTTGCGATTGTCGACATGGGTCTTGGGGAATGAAATGGCACCAAAGACTTCTTATTGTTCCTGCATGCGTGGCCGCAATATAAAAAAGGAGTGAATACCCAAATCGATACACTCGGATCGCCCCGACGCTTAGGCTATGACGACATGGCTTACTCCACTCCTGAGCCTCACGTCGCATACACCCACAAGGGGGAAATGGGGGGGGGAAGAAATTGACCCTTTTCCGTCCCCTTCCCAAGTCCACTTTCAAAGTGGACTCAAGGCTGAACAATAAAGTAAACGACAAAGTAAGCATATTTGTGCTAGATCGCCAAAATACGCCAAAAGGATCCAGAACTTAAGCCACCCCTGTCGATACCCCAAACTCCGGAGGAATAGCGTCGAATCCACTCACCAGCCATGGCTCCACCTTCGCGTTCCCGCTACAGTATGCTGTGTCCTATCCTAAAGCGTCGCAAAAGCCCCCTCATGGGCCTTAATGGGCCTCGACAATCATGCCTTCGAGTTATGATTCGTCTGGTAAACGTCAGGCGCAGATCTTACCAGGGGGGGCCTGGTCATGTCGGTTTGCTGCTGATCACAGAACGTACGGGAGACTGTGGACTTTTGTCCATTCATGCATTCCCAAGTGAGGTCATCGGAGAGTCCACTAGCCCAAGCCCCCCCCTAGTGGACCAACTGATGCTACCGGTGCCCCATATGCACCAGTAGCTATCTAGATGTGGAGATAGGTGAATTCATGATGATAACTGTTTCAACCAAACAGAGTCAGTCAGACAGGCGGCTAGTCCTTTCTCATCCTCAAAGGTGGAGAGGTACCGTTCTTATGATGTCGCCCACACGCTCGAAGCCCTCACTTTTCATTTCTTCCCCCTCTCTCAGCCAATGATGTCACCTTGCTGTCCGCCTGATGGAGTCAGACTCTCGAGCTTTTTTTTTCTTTTTCTTTTTTCTATTTTTTTTTCTCTCTTCCTTTCGTGAATGATAGGCTCGTGGAACAGTGGACCTATCAATGAGAACCTAGTCCATGGACTCTTTTTTGCCATCGAACCCATGAGCACATAAGCAGTGATTTCATATCAAGTGGGAACTTCCCCCCCTTCCCTCAGGTTATATATTACATGTAGCCTCCGAATTGGAACTAGACCATCTCGTTGTCTTCAATTAGTCTGCCCCTCTTCTACAGATTTGCCCTAACCCTGTATTTCCCGCCCCATAGACACATTCCTATTCCCAATTTACTACTCAAAGGACCCATCGGTGCCATTTTGGTGCCCAGATTCCCACACAGAGATCCAACTTAGCCCCTTGACGATTCTCTGGTTCAGTCCTCCATATCGACTAGTCAATCTTAATTACCTATTCCCTAGGTATGGCTGTTTGCCCCTCCCCAATATACTGATTGCCTATTCCCGCGGTGTTTGTTTCTCCGTATCAGCTTGCATCACGCCTTTCCACTTGCGGTGAAAAGGTTTTCACTTCATGCATGGTCCCCCTCCCCGTGTTGTGATCACTTCAAATCTTTTTTCCCATTAGACTATTCCCGAGACACTGCCCCCTTCAAGGTTTCTATATACCTAGGAATTAATATCCACCCGGCTGACCACGTTTTCCACAGACGTCTTCCACCATGACTGAAAGAGCTCAAATGCACCAGCAGGCTGACCTTCTTGCTCAAGACTCGGGAGCGGGTCCTCCTGCTAGTCATGTTCACACTGACCGGTCATTTGATCCTCGAACTTCTCTTGAGGACTATAACCGCACTATGTTGGAATACACTCAACGCCAAATGTCCTCTTTTGTTGACCTCGACACTACCCGTCGTGATGGTACCAGCAGTCGCAGTAGTCAAAGCAGCGGCAACAGTGGAAATAGCGGCACTTCTTCCAACGGTGTTCTAGCCAGTAAAGCTAATGGACCACCACCAACTTCCGCGGGTTCCTCGGCTGATGCGAAACGGTTTAAGACACCTCGTACATCGTCCAATCATGTCAGATCTGGCTATTAGAGCCTGTTGGCTTGGTCATCAAGTACGTGTGCTATCCCGCTTTGGCTTTTTCCCATTTGTTTGGGTTTCCGCATGAATTTTATATTCCTAACATGTTTATCCTGTACATTAGAGGCCCGGTCTCTGTGTGCGCTTTGATGTGACCGTTGTGGTCTCAGTTCGATCCTCTTTTGGAGTTCGATGGCGCATTATCAACATATAGTCCACCTGCAAACGACTTGACTATATTTGATAATCGCCGGGAGGCGGCGTTTCCTTGGAGTTATACAGCGCCAAAGTGCTAGCTTTTGCTTTCCCAGCGTGCGGCATTTCCAGCCTTGCTTTTCATGTGTTCCTGAGCTGCGCGGGGGTTCACTGTGGAATGGTTTCTGTTTAGCCCTCCCACTGTTTATATATTCCCCCCATTTTGTTACTGCTTATACAGTATTCAGGATACCGATGAGTCGACCCTACATCCTTCTTTCGAAGTCTCTCCTCCCAAGGGAGAGAGAACATCGGAAGATTGATTCTTCTCCGCAAGCATGTCCAGTTCATGCTTCGTGGGAGTTCGAGGGCTTGACTATCGATCCTGCTTCCCATCCACGCACCACACTCACAAATTTCCCAAAAAAAGGTGAGATCTTCCAAAAGATCACATCCACTGCCCCCTCATGCCTACCACCAACTACACTTCATTCGTTCACCTGCTTCCCATTTCATTTGAAGTGTGACTGTTTCGGCGTTCGTCTCATCGACATATAAGTCCAAGACCAGCGTACAAACGACGTTTCCATTTCACATCATTCTACCTTCCGGGCTCCGTGTCCTATGTATCATGATCCGTCTTTTCCCGTTCGTCATCCCTTCTGTGAAGGGGTGTCAGACTTGTACAATATTTACATATTTAGCGAGCGAGCGAGTTGCTTTTTGGGGGTTTGGGTTCGGTTCGGTTTGGTTGGGTCCGGTTTGTCTTCAATTTCTCCTGATGCCCCTGCACTATTGATGAACTACATACCACGCCCTCGATGACAGCGATACCGAGTCTTCGAGTGAAAAATTCCTTCTTACGACCAAGTGGGATGTACTTTTATGATGTACTATATGATTGAATATCTGGTGTTTTTTTATTTTGTGAGGCAGTTGCTTGGTTTGCACATCATCTCAGGAGTATTATAGCTCAAAGACCTCAGTACCCACTGGCAGTTCAGCTGGGAGTTTGTAGGTGGCGTAGTTTCAATTTAGAATATATCCTACTAGTTAATATTGGTTCAAACATTTGAATATTTGAACTTCCAAGGTTGAACTCGAACGAGTGGGAATATATACTACATACTTGAATTGATCCCATACATGATCCACGTGGATACCACCTGGGCAGTGCTACTAGTACTATATATAGTTCCAACTTGAAGGTTCAAATGTTCAAGTTGATTCAAATGTCATTGCAGCCTGAGGTGGTACTGAAAAAAGGTTCCAAGTGTTGTTTTTCAAATGTTGTTGTCCTTTATGATATACATACTACTAGTAGTCCTAGGTGGTGGTAGTTCCATCCTTTAATGTTATGTACAGATGAATGTTGACTCGGAAGTAGTAATTAAGTTATGCGTCTAGATTCAAGGGGAATTGAAGTTGAAGTTGCCAGATAAATGTGATTTGATGTTGAGTTAGTACTTAAATGTGAAGTAGTTCACCAGGTACCGGATATTATTTCCCACGGTGCGCATTAGCCCTAACCTCCAGGCTCGAGCTCTGGGATCAGGTTCGGTTATACTGGGACTGAACCAGCTCACATTCAGTATTATGGTGTAGAAGATGAGAGAATCCTTGATATTTGAGAGAAAGCATTCTTAGACAATAGTGTCTGTTGAAATTGTTCAAATTTCACATTGTTTATCTTGTCAATCCCTTGCATACCAGGGAATCTCCCACCACCATCACATTCATCTGTACTAGGTAGTAGCGAGCTGTGTCACAGCTTCATCTGAAGAAAATTCAAAGCACTTTTTGAATGAAGGCTTCAAAATAGGAATGCAATTGTAGTCAGACATATCAAATTAAAGAAAAACTCACCAATATTGGTGTATGGGATATCCGAGTTTCCCTACTAAATCGGATATGAATGTTGCCATGTCAACATACCGGACAATAAAGATCTCTTAGAGACCAATTGATGTCTCTTGTTGATGCTCGAACATTCCAGATGACATGAAAGCCTCCGTTGCTAGGTCTCAAGACAGTCTGTAACCCCTGGAATCCCTGGAATCCCGGGATTCGAATCCCAAACCAATAAAAATTAAGGGAGGACCAGATAGCCAGGGGAAAACAGGATTCAGAGACCTTTTAGGTCCTTTAATATCGGATTAGATCATTTGAGTAGGGCAATCAGGGCCGAATCCCGTCCATCAAGCCAGGTACACCTGTTAACGGGTGAAAAGTCCTCCCTTTTCTCCCTTTGATTGTCTCGCTTCATACGAAATTTTTGTCGACAGCCAGCACCTAGCGTCTGAATGACGCTGCAATTGACCTAGTAGTTACGCCCAGCTCTTGTCGTTCCTTTCAATCTACCACTGGACTGGTGGTATCTAGCTGGCTCACACTCTTTTGGGACTCTTGATCAATTCAACTACAAACAATCCTTTGGAAGATTCCTACTATTAGCCTCAATCATCACGTCCATTAAGATCAACCGGCCTTATTATCGTCCTTGATTCGATTTCCCTTTTTACTCTATTCGATATATACGATTACAAGCGACAAGAGAAAAGCAGACGCGAAATAGGAAAGATAGTATCAGGAATTTTGGCCCAAAATGCGTCTCGCGCCACTTTTCACCTCTCTGGCAACACTTTGCACTATTGTTGTCGCTATCCCCGTTGCAGCAAATCCCTCTTTAATGCAAAGGCCGACTCCGTCCAAGTCTACACCGTCCGTTGCGTCAACTGCCTCGCCCTCACACTCGGCTACCCCAAGTACTCTCACCCTCGTTGGTGCCTATCAATGCCCTCGGAACCAGTACAAAGCATGTTGCCAGTCTCTTGAGCAAACCTCGAAGGAATTAATGGCACCAGTGGGGGATCTTGTACCAATTGTGGGCGGTATCTCTATTAGCTCGCAAATCTCGTTTCAATGTACGTGAAATCTCATTGGAGACTATTTCATCTCCACTCGGTTCACGTTAAAGCACTGGCAGCTTCAGGACTCCAACTCGGACTTCAAATGCTGCCAGTGGTGGATGAATGAATGAATCACTAACGAACATATATTATAGGCAACGCGATGGCCCCACTCACGGATCCGAATACTTGCCAGGGACACGGATACACCCCGATGTGCTGCGAAAACAACACTGAAGTATGTTAATAATTATTGTTTATTTGAGAGATTCCGTTAATAAGTTTTGGTCAGGGCATGGCTAACGCTGCTGCTGAACAGGGCGCTGCTATGAATGCTTGCAAGCCTTTTGAGAAGGCTAAGGAGGCATACTATCAGTCTTTTGGGTATAATGTCGGCGAGGAATCCAATGTAGATTTGATCAATGATGTGATGTCATGAGATATTGGTTTGACTTGGTGAATATGTATCGGTATCGCAATGTTGATGCACATGAGAGCATTTGTTGATTCGATGCAGAAGAACTTGAAGGCATTGGCGTTTTCCTTTTTTTTTTTTTGGTTTTCTATTTCTTCATTTCGTTTGATATATCTTTGGCCTATTGCATGGGAAATTGTTAAATTCTATGTAAAATCAATCAATAGCACTGGCACCTGTCTTGAGTTTTCTTTTCATCCTCAAGTCTTTAGTCTCATCCGAGCACTGAGTCCGGGTCTCGAAATAGTAGTACACACATGTGTATCTAGGTATAATACTAGTAGTATTTTACTGATTGTGTTACAGCTTCACTTCAAGTTCAAGTTGGGCATGCTTATCGTAATAGCTTGCTATAAGGACTCGAAGAGCCGTCGGTTCATTCGTTACAATCACGGCCAGTGTCTCGGGGAACCAACTTGATGCAAAACTATATTCAAGACATTCACTATCACATGGTAGCTCGATATAGCTCATTAAATCGATATCATCTTTTTGAATGTAAAAATACATTGATCACCGGATTACCGCCAACCACGGCCTCCTTGTGATCCCCGAGACTCCCCATGCTGACCGCCAGAATGACCGCCAGAATGAGGTGGAGGGAAGTGATACTGGCCAGGAGGAAGGGGCTGACCAGGGGGAAGATTCATCTGTTGAGCATGGAAAGATGGAGGAAAGGCCGGGTGGCTCATTCCGGGGCCCGGTGGGGGAAAGGGCATGCCCGGCATATGTGGGGGTGGAGCTGGTGGCCAGGTCCCAGGATACTGCGGTGGAGGTGGGGGTGGGGCAGGGAATCCAAATTGGGGATTATAGGGTTGAGAGTGAGTAGCAGGAGGGTGGGCGTGAGAGGGTTGATGGGGTGGGGGGAAATGGGGCGGGGATGGTTCCCGGGGAGAGTATGAGCTTTCGCGGCTACGGCTTCTAGACCCTGGTGCATGTCGGTGAGACTTGGGTCTACTGACCCGAGATCGACTTCGGGATCGAGAGTCTGATCGCCTGCTTCTGTCGCTCATAGAGCTCTCACTGTATCGTCGTTTGTAGCCATTATCGATCCTGTCCCGATCTTGACTATCCCGGGATGAATTGTGTGTGTTCTTTTTCATTTGCTGGCAGAATGCACGGGACCAGCCGTAGTATGTTTCGCCATCGAGGATATCTCCAGTAATTTCATCTCGGTGCACTCTCTGGCCCAGCTCGTCCACATCCACGTTCTCTTCATCCTTCACAAGATCACCGGTATCATATATATGGTCCACCTCTTTCATAAACCCCTTGAGGACTGTGACAAGCGTCTCGTCCGCGGGGCCTCCCAGAAAGTGTAAAGGTTTAATGCTGTCAGGATGAAGAGGAATGGTGGAATTGGGAATGATATGAGGCAGCCAATTGCCCGCCGGAAGATCAAAGTACGGCGTGGACTGATCTCCATGTGTAGACGGCATTACAAATGGCACATCCTTGCCAAGTGGCCTTTTGACTGCATCGGCATCATCAGCGAGGGGATCGGTCGATAGCGGGGCTGCCTCCGCCGAGGCTGAGTTCTTAACAACCTCCCGCAGTCGATGTAGTAGGTCGGGACTGAAGTATCCGTGCTCGAACCAGATCCCCAGAAGATCATCTAGCCGCTTATGATACCGGGGATACTTCTGCCGGTCGTAGGCTGCCGCATGTCCAAGTAGGTCCACCATATATGGTTGTAGGGACCCACTGAGTGTGGAAAAGGTCGCCGTGGCATCCAGATGGTACTTGCTATGATGGAATAGATCATTGAGCAGATAAAGTATGTGGAGCCGGCGACGCTTCGGAGACGGGCTGGACTTAGTAGCTGTGGGCGCATCATCGGAGCCCGCCAGTGCGACCAGGTATTTGGCTAGTCCTCCTACACGGTTGGCTGAGGATGCAACATAGTGGAGTAGCCATGCTTTGCAGGTCTGTGTGGGGCGGAGAGGTTTAGTAACTCTGGGGAGGAGGGGATAAGGTTGCAACAGCTCAGACCTGGATGTTTGCTGGAGAGCAATGCGACAGGGCGCGGTCGAAGGAGGTATGGAAGGTGGTAATCTCCTCTCTAGGGACTGAGGTTGGATCTGGGCGTAACAGACCTGCTGAGAAGGAGGCCTTTGCAATGGCTAGATGATGAGAGGCCATGGCGGGGTTTGTCGGAGATCATTGACCATTGATCATCTGAAATTGAAGGGAGCTGCCCCAGATGACTTGCAAGCCCCGATTATTGATTAGCTATCACACGTGACATGCTTACATACACACTTTCCCTTTTAGGTTAACTCTACGATCTCAATGTCAAGGGATGTTGATCACTTTCATCACATTGATCTTCTTGATCTTTTAAAGAATCTTTTACATTAATTGGCTCGTTCGATTTCATAATTTGCCTCTCTGATCTGTTCAACTACCGAATCAATCACTACATTCCAGTTATTTCGGATTTACGGACTACATGATCACTTCTAATCCCGCGGATTAGCCGGCAAATCAACATGGTAAACTATCCGGTAGATCGACCCTCCCATTGTTAAGATCTGACATGATTTACCTTTATCCACCGGCACCCAAGGTCGGGTATTCTTCCTACGCCCCAAATGTGGTTCGGATGCCTCCTTTCCCGCATCATTCCATTCCTATTTGAACGCGGTGAAGCCCAAGTTACCATAGAGAGAATTAAAAAGGCCTGGAAAGGAGGGGCAGACCCAATTCTGCCCCACCTATTCGGCCGGTGCCATTTGATGCTTTTGGACCCCGCGATGGCGTGAGTAATTTAATACTGTTAAGTAGAGATCGTCATTGCGTCTGATCACCCCGGATGAGTCTTCCCAGCTGTGAATCAGCCCATGCTGCCTGAGCCCACAGGCTCCCCGCACTTACTGGTCACGCCCCCCCCCCTGTTACGCCTCGAATTGTCTGATGTTGTTATAAATATTCCACGTGCCCCAAGGTACCTACTTCTTTGATTTCTCTGTAATCTCAGTAACTCTCTATACCCTCACTTTCTTCCTCCACTCTCGGCATCCGTTTCTATTCTCGGCGCGTCTCAACTCCCTCTATAAACCATACTTTGAAACTCCATCTCAAATTATCACCATGCCTCCCGTTTGGGGTACCCAGATTGTTCGCCCGGCAATCCGTCACTTCTCAGCGAACCGCCCGCGTCCTGACAGTCGCCTTTCTCGCGCTATTGCGATGACTTGCATCGCCTCGGGCGTTATCCTGCCTTTTATCCCGCCTGCCATTGAAAGCTCGCGTATCCGCAAGTCTGGTGAACGCAGCAAGAAGTAAGTTGTATACTATTATGCAAGGTTCATTTGCATAAAACTAACAGCTTGAACAATCAGGACTCTTCCTCCTCTTTGCTTCCATTCCCGCTAGACATATCTTAAGGGCGCGACATGTATCCAACTCTTCAAATACACGTCCCTAAGTCCCATTTGCCATCCCATCACCGCTGCATGGGCTCTGGCTCTCACCTAGTGCAGGCGTCAACATGGAGCCTCACCTATGATGCATGATTTACGGGCGCTAAGGACCTGGCGTTAAGGTTTCCTTCTTTTACTGATTCATTGATACCGAGGAGCGGGTGGCTTTTTATCTTTTACAGTGTCGCGGTGGGACACTTTTTTTTGCTTTTGCTATCCAGATGTCTGATGCCCATTGCATCTAGATCATTCACAATACAACGCCCTGAATCATTTTCATACTTCCAAATGCGTAGACTAAAATAGAGTATACGGCCCCACTTATTGCGGTAGCTTGGTTAGCGGCCTGTAGGGCTGCGGGATACCTGCACTGTACGGGGTACATTATCAGCTGGATGTAGTCACTCAAAGAACAATACTACTCCGGGGTTACCTATACCCAATGCCCAGGTGCATATCATGATGTTTTTTAGGTGCAAAAGTTCCAAGGTTCTCCGGGGGTAGAAGTAAGAATCAGTTGAGTTAACAGTGCACGGAGGTACCTACAAACCCCTTGACGACAGGAATACTATACAACTAGCACTTTAGAAAGATTAAGTATTTACTACTCCGTACTTGTGGTCGCATGAAGTTTAAAGTGAACATTGGGTTTTCGGCATCATGACCTAAATTTGGCGGGGACATCATGGAGATTCAGATGTTTGAGAGCCAAGACGACAGAGTTGATACCAAGATATTCAAGTTGCTTGCCCGATGAATAGGAATTGTAAGCAGATAAACGGCAAAGACACTGCCCATTCATTTTTGTCGAGCCACAGCCTCAAGCTGGGCAGCCACCCATATATGATAGTTTACATGCCAAGCAATATAGGTACAATATTTCCACACAAGTTCAGACTAGCTGAATCTGTTCCCACTAGGCGGTCGGAACGGCGCTGCCGCTTCGTATTTGCTTTTCTCCAGAACTCGGTCATTCTCTGTCAGAGGCTCATGACGCGTGGCGGCGGGATCACTCGAAGCCTCAACACTCGGTGTCAGGTTGGTGTCGTCGCTTGGGGCGGCTGAGTTCGGGGTAGGTAGACGACGGCGGTGATCATCTTCAATGGCCTTCATCTGGGCCTTGCGCTTCATTTCAGCTTCGAATCGGGATTGTCGGTCGGCATTGATGGACTGTTTGGCAAAGTAATAGGCACCACCGCCGGCTGTAGAAAATATCCGTAAGTCCTGAGCGCTCCGAAATAAGGGACCCTTGAGCCTCCATATAGGAAGCCAATGATCAATTGTAGGATTTGAAATGGTGCATTACTAACCAACACAGAGAGTGCCCCATCCAACCCTAGGAGATTATCACAGGTCAGTTTTCTAGCTCTCTCCGCGTGCGCGCCGGGCTTGGGTAAGAACCCCCCTACTCACCAAGTAGATCTGATCTGTAAAATTCAATTAGATTCAGGGAATTCAAAGGTCTAGTCTTAGGGAAAATACTTACTGTGTTCATGGTTGTAAAGATGGGATCGACTTGTAGGAGAAGTTCAAGTCAATGTGCTACGTCAATTCACTAGTTCAAGGTGGCTCCTGGCTGACCAATAGGGAGATCCGGTTTCTGCCTCAGGCGATTAAAGGTTTATCATTCACTTCGTATCTTCGACTTCTTCTCTCATTTTCATCTTCATTTACATTTCAGTTCTATCCTAAACCCTCCTCACTCTCCACCTTTACCATCATCTCTCGATCTTTACCGCTGCTTGTTCGAAGAGAAGTTTCCCTGCGTTCTGGTCGCTTTATTCAGTCGGCGAACGCCGCCTGTTGCCCGCGACCCAACTTTGCTCGTGGCATGCAAGCTTGAAATACATTCTACAAGGCGCCCATCGCCTGACCGATCATATCGATAGCGACTTCTCCGAATTTACCTGCCTTAATATCTCTCCACCCTCGACTCCGCCCTCCAAACCTTCCAAAATGCCTCCAAAGAGAAAGGCGACAGAGAGTAAGTATTCTGCCTTTCTGACAATGAGTCAGATAGCTGACAGTGTCTTAAGCCGCCGGAAACAAGTCTAAACGTCCAACACCCGCCTCTACCCCGGTTCCAGATATTTCTAGCAGCGATGAATACTCGGACAACCAGGATGATGATGACGACGATGATGTTCCAGCGCAGAACAATCTCAAAGGTACAGTGTGGCAATCTTCTCTGCTTACACTCTATCCAGTAGCTAAAGCTTGATGGGTACAGAGGTTGTTAGCAAGTTCTCTCTGGAGTCATACAGCAAAAAATCGCAACTCGCCAAGGTCGATCCCCGATTTGGCTACAAAGATATGTCGTCGTTGCCGTTGAAGGTCGACCACTATAACCGCCCGCTATGGATTGAACCGCTGAAAGGCACAATCACATTGGAGAGCTTCTCCCCGCTGGCATCCCAAGCACAGGACTTCCTCACTACCATCGCCGAACCCCTCTCACGTCCGCAACATATCCATGAATACCGTTTGACTGGACATAGTCTTTATGCGGCTGTGTCGGTTGGTCTGAAACCTAATGACATCGTTTCTTTCCTGGATCGTCTTTCGAAAACTCCTCTGCCTGAGACTGTTCGAGATTTCGTTATGGACTTCACTAAGTCTTATGGAAAAATCCACATGGTCCTGCGACACAACCGATACTACGTGGAAACAGCCGACGCTGAAATGCTGCAGAGCCTGTTGAAGGATGAAGTTATCGGCCCACAAAGAATTAATATTCAAGATGGAATTATTAAACGTGCGGCTCCGAAGATGGGCGCGCTCGTCATTCCTGGAACCAAGGATGCGGCTGGTATTCGAGAGACTGGGAATCAGCAGAACGCTGCTGCGCCCCCGACTCGAGACTTGAATGCAGGTGCAGATGCAGATGAAGAAGCGGTTGATTATGGAATCGATGATGTCGGTCCCAGCGAGGAAATTACATACGCTTTCGAAATCCCACCGGCTGGAGTTGAGATTGTTAAGGCTCGCTGTCAAGCGATTGGATGTCCCGCTCTCGAGGAGTACGATTTCCGTGATGATCATGAGAATCCCAATATCGATATGGACTTGAAACCAGCTGCTCGCATTCGATATTACCAAGAGATGAGTCTCAGTAAGATGTTCGGTAACGGACGCGCAAAGAGTGGTATCATCGTTCTTCCTTGCGGCGCTGGCAAAACCCTGGTCGGTATCACTGCCGCAGCGACGATTAGGAAAGGTACAATCGTTCTTTGCACGAGTTCCATGTCCGTAGTTCAATGGCGAAACGAGTTCTTGCGGTGGACCACAATCGATCCCGGCGATATCGCCATTTTCACATCTGATCATAAAGAAAAGTTCAAGCGGTCCACTGGAATTATCGTCTCGACTTATTCCATGGTGTCACAGACTCGAGCTCGCTCTTACGAGGCTCAGAAGATGATGGATTGGCTTCAATCTCGGGAATGGGGTTTGATGATTCTTGACGAGGTGCACGTCGTGCCCGCTTCGATGTTCCGAAAGGTGACATCTGCGATCGCCGCACAGAGCAAACTGGGTCTTACTGCAACTTTACTTCGTGAAGATGACAAGATCAAGGATTTGAATTTCCTGATTGGACCCAAACTGTATGAGGCCAATTGGATGGAGCTTGCTGCACAGGGTCATATTGCCAAGGTTCAATGTGCCGAGGTCTGGTGTCCTATGTCCACTGAATTCTACTCGGAGTATCTGCGAGAGAGCTCAAGGAAACAGGCTCTGCTTTACATCATGAACCCACATAAGTTCCAGGCATGCCAGTTCTTGATTGAATATCACGAGAAGCGCGGTGACAAGATCATCGTCTTTTCCGATAACGTTTATGCGCTGGAACGCTATGCGCTCAAACTGAACAAGGCATACATTTACGGAGGAACTCCACAGAATGAGCGAATGCGTATTCTGGAAAACTTCCAGCACAACGAGCAGGTGAACACCATTTTTCTTTCCAAAATTGGTGACACTTCGCTTGATCTTCCCGAGGCTACCTGCCTCATTCAAATTTCATCCCATTATGGTTCGCGTCGTCAGGAGGCTCAACGTCTGGGTCGTATTCTGCGGGCTAAGCGTCGTAACGACGAGGGCTTCAATGCTTTCTTCTACTCGCTTGTGTCTAAAGACACTAGTGAGATGGTCTACTCCGCTAAACGTCAGGCTTTCCTCATCGACCAAGGCTATGCCTTCAAAGTCATCACCGCGCTTCACGGCATCGATGAATATGAAGGTCTGTCCTTCTCGACACCCGCTGAACGACGTGAACTTCTCCAAGAAGTCATGTTGCAAAATGAGTCTTCTGGCGATGTGGAGCAGGTGAATGATGATCTATTCTCGATGCGCTCGGGTGGGCGTAAGAAGAAGCCTACTGCCAAACGTACTGCTGCAACTCTCAGTGATATGGCCGGTGGTAATGATATGGCTTACATCCACTACAAAACGAAGGAGGGCCAGTCCAAGAAGAAGCAGCCTTCCTCAAAACTGTTCCAGGGCTTCAAAAGACAACGTTTACTGCGCCAGAAGGAACGAGAGGACGCTGCGAAGGAAAATAGCAGATGATTTTTTTCTTTCTCTTCGCACTCCAAGACGTGCGTGGCACACGAGAAAACGCAGAAGAGCAAACCAGGAACGTGTCTTTATAGCCATTCTATGCGGTTGCGTCGTGCCTTTCGCACTGAGGATGAGATATCTAAGGATACCCAAATGAATGAAATATTTTTAATTGCAGTCTTTTTCTAAATGATACTTTAATCTACAATCTGGAGCAGCCCAGAACCGCAACCTAGACTCTTCTATATGAGTAATAGGTGTAGTATTATCAAGTAGTATTCATCTAGACTTAGCACCAGTGAGGAGAGTCAACCTTAGAATAATCTTCAAGTTGGAATACGAGTTAATCAGCAAGAAGGGCCTGGTCCACATACTAAGCATGACGTTTCTTGGCGCCGAAAGCCCGAAGTCCGATCTCCACATTCCTTGTTAAGCTTGAAATCAATTAATAACTGATCCTTGATAGGTCACATCCGAGTTTCGGTTCTTGATTCCTGCAGCTTTCCCCAGGTTATCCAAGCGCAAACTATCTCAGTTCAAAATCCCGTATCATGCTGATTGGGGACATAAAAGGACCATGAGTCCCCGGATGAATTTCAAAATAAACAACTTCAAGTTCAAAGGATTCAAACTTCCAAGAATCTATAATTTAACCAGCAAGAAAAAGTTGAGAGTCATACCTCTCTTGATTTCATCATCTCGTGTATCACAGCTCCTGCCACGACTGATATTAGCCGCCCAGCCTCGGAGAAGTTTGCCACATTTCACTCTAAGTCCGTATAGCTCATCCTCCGCCTTGAGCAGAAATATCACCATGGCTACTGCAACAAAGATCCAGCTTGACCATCTTAAGGATACGGGGATCTATAGCCGTGGTGTTCAGCAAGATGCCGCCCGTACAGCAGGTCAGGTCTTGCAAGAGGATATGGAGAAGCATCATGTTTTTTTCAATAATGATGGGTTCCATAGTATGTTGATGCCTATTATATTGCGAGAGAGTACTCTGACAAGCTACTCTAGATCACATCGTCCATGGCATATTGAGTATCTATGCACTCGGCGCTTCCTCCGAACAGATATTAGCCTACTACGACCGAAACAAGAACTATCAGCGTCCTGTTCTTCCCACCAACCCGGACGTCATCCGGAATATGCAGGATAGCACAAAGTTCCAGCAATACTTAGGGAAAGAGGAGAACTACCCTAATTTTCTAGCCTATTTCCAGCATGCGATAGATACCAAGGGGCTCGGCGATGTTCTCCAAGAGTATGTATTTGCTGGAGATAGTCGTGCAGAGACTATGCTTTGTCGGTTATTTGGTGGTATGTGTGCTTTTCAATAGATGTGGTACAAGCCAAGGACTGACATCCCAGGCCTGCTTCATCCAATTATCCATCTTGGCTTCGGATTGGAATTCAATCAACCCGCTATCGTGGCCCAGGCATTAGCTCAGGCAGCTATCCACGATGACTGGACGGGTCGTGACCTTTTTCTACCCGCTGAGAAGCTGGCTGGTGAGATTGGCAAGCCAGGAACAAAGACATCCCTCGAACTCTTGAAGGAGATACAGGATAATTCAATCTTGAAAAATAGCGTCAGGTGGACGGATACTAACAGAATTCGAAATGGGATCTTGGTTCGTGCGCCGCAGGAGATGCTCAAGTATGCCGCTCAGTATACTGTCTCAAAGGAACAGGTTCCAGAGAGACTAGCAGATATGGTCAATACAGTTGGTGAGTGGATATCTTCCGGATCTAGAAAGGACCTTTCCATTTTCCCATCTACCATACCTCTACACCAAATACTAATGCAATAATCTAGTATACTACACTGCTGCCGCCCAACGCCGCGAAAAGGAGATAAAGATCGACTTTTTCTTCATTCATTGTGTTAACTCCGCTATCTTCTTTTCCAAATTCATGAATCTTTCGTATCTAGACCAGAAATCCAAGCTCCGTTTACTGGAATGGAAGGGTCGTATGGACTTGGTGATGTATGTATCTCGAAACTCACCAGCCCTCTTCCTCGATGAGGTTACCGAGTATCCAGCAAAAGATGATTGGAATACTGTCATCTCACGCGCTGTGGCACATCAGACTGATGACGGCCACCTGGCTAAACTGGTGCGTGTCCTGGCACATGGACAGAATGTTTGCCAGCCATTCGAGAGTGGATTGCCGATATCCGGGGATATGTGGTTACGTATTGGCAATATGGGTAAGTTTTTTTCTCTTGGATTGGTGTGCCCACAATTACGTAGTGCTGGTCGCTAATTATTTTCCCGCCTCAACAGCCGTTGACTCCACTGCTGGGTGTCGAGATCGCGGGATGTGGATCCGTTCTACAGGGTTTGATGAGGCATGGGAAAATTTCTCAGGGCGAGCTCGTCTTTGAGGTCAGATGGTCTAATGACGTCTATTATTGATTTTTGGATACTTTCCATTTATATCAATTGATCATTTCCTTAATTATTTTATATTTTATACTTCCAAATTGATCATCTTGAGGTTGAACTATGGTTGTTCTAGCGTAGTGGGCAGTAGTGGGTCTCTTCCGTGAGGTGTCCGATCTCAGTTTGGACTATGAACTGTACTCAGCACAGATATCTCATCTTCCGCGCTCGGTAGGATAGTTTGTATATGAGATTGATATAAATAAAACAATAGAAAATGTCTCTTTATACAACAGAGTACAAGTGTATATAAGAAGTGATAATATCATCAACAAGAGCGGAGACTCACGTGGCGAAAGTGGGGCTCAGGTTCCCCAACAAGCTTCAACTTCTTCAACCTTGAATCATTTCACTTTCATCTCTCTTTTCATCACTATTTCCATTATGCCTACAGACCGCGACCCAGACGATAAGAACAAGACCTCAAACAATTCTGATATGCCAAGAAATCACAACAACGACTGGGACAACGAGACTAACCCATTTGTCGCGTTCCGGCGCTTCGCTGATGAACAAGTCTCTTCTGTGTTACAGTCAATCACTGGCCTACCCTCCTCCATTACCCCTCCTCAATCAGATAACTGGACCATATTCACCACCGACAAAGGTTACAAAAGCATGGCGTATCGCGACTATTCTGGCGCAAACGCCAACAGCGCAGCCGAACGTGACCCCGCTCGACACCGAAGTACCGATAATAGCGCCAACAATAACGCTTCTGGAGATGGAGGCAGCAACCCCGACCAGAACCAAAACAATGGATCCAACATGACGCATCAATCATCATACCTTCCTGATGATAATGATCGATCCTCACAACCCCATGATCACTGGCACAACCATCACCGCCCCTGCGGTTTCTTTGGATCTGATTCCTTTTTCGACCGCTTCGAAGGTCCTTTCTTTCATTTCGCGTCCGCATTTTTCCACCACCATCCATTTTTCTCAGGCATGTTTGGTGATAGCCACGAGCCTGGCGCGCCTGCCTGGCCGCTCCCTTACATCATGCTAAGCCCCTACTCGCCTCTTCATCTTGAACGTCAGTCGCAACGCGAGAAAGGTGTATTCTCTTCCATCATGTCATCTTTCCGGGTCGGCTCTGAACCTGACTCCACCTATCATTCCACAGAGCCACAGTGGCGAGAGGCATTTGAAGATCTGCTCCGCTTGGAAAATGGGAAGCCCATGCTGGATCATACTTCCTTGACACAGAAGAAGGGCAGAAAGGAGAATGGGATGGAGTGGCTATATGGACTCGTCAAACGTGGTACTCTGGGTGATCAGTGGAAATTTGTCCCTGGTAGCAGACACCACCCTTGGTCTGGTATCACCTTCGACAAATACAATGAGGAGGATCATGATGTATCCAAGGCAAAGAATGAAGCGATCGAAAAGCCTCCACTTGCGCACGATGAACATCAAGCAGGAACTGAGTTGGAATTGTATGAGCGTTTCCTCCAAGATATTGAGACTCGCGAACGTGAATTCTCTCGGGAGATTTCCTCAAGTCCTCTTCTTCAAGCATTGATGGAGGAACGACAGCGACGACATGAGGTCTTTGAGAAACTCGAGCGTGGCTGGGCAACTTCAGACGACAAACAAGGCAATGATGATACGGAGAACTGGCTGGATCTAGTCTCAGGTGGGAACCGCAAGTCTGTCCCCGAGACACATGATTCGGTAGTTCCAACTCCTACTGTTGCGGCCGAAAATAAACAGATCAAGCCTGAATCTACAAACGTGACTCCACGAGTCATTTCAACTATGATTAGCACTGAAAGGACACGTCTCCCTGATGGCTCGGTTCAGACCAAGAAGGTTCAAACAAAGCGGTTTGAGGATGGTCGAGAAGAGACTGAATTGTTTGTTGAGACCTCTCACCCACATAATGACGATGGCAATTCTGGGGAACAGGGTTCGCAGCCTAAAAATGGTTGGTTCTGGCGAGACTAATTTGGATGATCGCTCCAATGTTTCTCGCTCTCATCTTTACTGAGGCGCTTTTCTTTATGTTATGACCTACGACTATTTTTGCTCCTCAGCGATTTTCTTTATCTTCAAGTTCATCTGCAGGGTGCGGTGAACATCACTCATTTCCCATAATAGCTCAGTGTTTTTCTTATCTAACAGTCTACATTCACTGAATTAATTTCCTATCTCCCTTTTGGTTCAATTCCTGCCTAATTCATGTGTCTTTCTTTTGCTCTTTTCGTTGAATAATTTGACTTAAATTACCGAAACTTCAGTGAGTAGAACTACATTCATATCATGACAAAATCGAATTTCAGCCATCCAGTTCAAGTTGATCAATTAATCTGCTTTGACACTCTTCTTCTGTGTCTTGCCAGAAGTCCATCCCCTTGATTCCCAGAATTTGACACTGTCCTCCATCTTCTTATATGCCCATGTAAAAGAAGGATCTGAAAGTTCTAGTTAGCGCCTTGTATGGCATCAATGGATTAAGAAACATACATAGGAACTGGCGAAGATCATGACGGTTATCGTCAGGAGAGTATTGCTCGGCGTGGTAACTCGGCGTCAAGACAGTCATCTTGTGTCGATTGATAGAATAATGATAGAAGAAATGACGCGTCTTCTCATAGATCTCACGTGGACTGTAGTCGTTACCCCAAAGATGCTGTTTTATCATTAGATATAGTCAGAAAATAGATGATGATTCAAAAGGCTTACCAATAGCTTCTCATACATGGACCATGGTCCTAGCTTGGCCGCCTTTCGTAAATAACCTTCCAATGAGTTAGTAAACGCATTTAATGTGAAATGTACTCAAATGCATACCGAATGTGCCCAGTTCAGCGTAAGTAACACCCATATCCGCCTCATCAGATTGCACATATGTTGCAGTGCGAGGCTCCAATTCCGCCGTCGGCGTCGCATGCAAGAACTCCTCAAGGATAGGAAGATCAAAGTTAACACCCGCCCAACCAATAAACTTCTTCAGATCCACCTTGCTGATAGAGCCGATAGGATTGAGATCTGCTGAACTGGCATCGTACTTGGTTAAGTAACCACGCAAGCACTCATCCACATTAGACGATGCAAGAACCAAGAGACCACCACCACCAGGTCGTTGGCGAACTGTCGGTAGAAGCGAAGCAAACAGGTAAGAAAGAACCATCCTCAATCGAGCCTGGACATTCTGCAATGCTGCATTCTCGGCTGGACTACCCCCGTGTACCTTGAAGCGTGGTTGGAAATTGGTAACTGTTGTGAAAAGAGCCATCAAGGCTGTAACCACTGTATCGAAGTTAAAGTCAACATGGTAAGACCCGATATCTGAAGCAAGTCGCTTTGCACGATCCCTTGTTTCGTGTCCTGAGTTTTGCGTGCCCATGTAGCTGGTGTGGAAAATACACTTGCAAATCTCTTGACTAGAGCTTGGAAGCCAATCCGAGTCTTCAGGCTTAGCACAGAGTCGACGAACATCTTTTATAACTTGTTCGTTACCTTCCCGGACTGCTTTTAGAACTTCACGACACATGGAATGAACAATTACTGAGGTTGCGCAACTGTCGATTCCACCGCTGAGAGGGATGAAGAATCCTGCGGCACCGCATCTTCGTAGATAGTCCCACAGCCAACAGGCTGGCCCAAGAGCAATCTCTTCTTCCGGTGCGTGGAAATGAGGTTTGAATGGCATGGAGATTGCGAGGCCAGGGTCTGCTTCTTCGCCACGACGAGAAAGTCGGACGTCCACATCTAGCCGAACAAATGGTGATTGCTTGCTTGCCTGCATTCCTCTGCTAACGCTTGAACGATAAGTTCGGACCTCTTCGATGTCGACAGTTGCGGTGACGACTTCCACATCGTTCAATGAGAATTGAGATCCTTGTGCCACGACCTCACCGTTGACTACGATCATGGCACATCCGTCATAGTACAGACGATCGCCATCACAGCCTTGCTGGTTGGCGTAAAGATAGATGCCGCCACTCTGTTATAGGTTAGTAGGAGTTGTAGAATAGACAGAATTTGGGTCTATTCACCAATTTTGTTGCCTGTGTTATGAGATTGACACGGGTATCGAGTTTCTTCAATTCATGATGGCTGCCAGAAGAATTGGAAATGATCTCCACGCCTGGATATGGTATTAGCTCCTGCACCACATCTTTTCAGCATCAAATCTTGACATACCAGCAAGACCATATGGGATATGAGGTCTGATTCAGAAATTTTAGCCAGTGTATATGAAAATTCGACTAAAGGTACTACACACCCATTAGGAGTGAACAACTCCTCGCAAGTTTCCAGTCCAAGACATGTATCTCTTGTGCTGATGACTGCGTCACCAAATGGCACCTTGTATTGACCTGTGATTTTACCAACAATCTGCTCCAGATAATAGTCTTCCACTTCCTGGGGACGTTGCCATGGAATGAAATGTCTGTGTTCTCTGTAGTTCCCGTCTAGGTTGGAGAATGGTATATAAGTATGGAAGGAGGACAACGGCGAATAGGAAGAGACGAACCATTGGCGAGCCACATTTTAGGACGGATCAGGATGATCTTTCGATTGTAGAAAATGACACTGTCAAGAAAGAATATGGATTAGCCAATGTCTGTACACCAGTAGAGCTACGGAAATCCTCACCGGCAGTTATAGCGCACATTGCGGTGTCGAACTGGCATGCCTACATCAACCACAATATTTTGACAATCTGGATGATCGATGATACGGGCTAGCATCTCCCATGAGTGCAAAAATGTATCTCCTTCGAGGAATCCATCCAGCACACCATAACCTGATCCCAGTCAGCTTCCATTCTGGATCTGGGGGTGCAATGTGCTATTTAGTATTTTACCTGTAATTTCAAGCTCCGGACCAACACGTAGAGTAGCGCCTGCAGCTTTAGCTTGTCGAACACTCTCAATAATGCGATCTGCATTGCCCTCAAAGTCTAGGGCCCATTGGTTAAGAGAGCTATCAAGTCAGCTAATGGAGCTCCGTTAGCCCAATCGAACGGACGTACCATGTTGCTAGAGTAATCAGGTGACCCATGATTATAACTATGAATAATCACCACACTCAAGCACCTCTCCGATAGACCAATATTGTAAGATTCAGAAGTTGAAAGAAAAGGTGAATTCATCACCAAATCACGTGTGTGGGGAGGCCGGGCTTCCCCGCTCTGCAGTACGTTTTGACCGCCTGAGTCCACCAGTTGGTGATTAACTCATATACTCTTAACTCGGAGGTTCTATTACTGCTTATAAGTTGAATCATGTTACAAGGAGGATATAGAACGGCCGTCTAATACAGCACTGAGTCTCTAGCCAAGTCCGTACATAACTTCAAGTTTCCTGATTTCGCTGCTACAAAGCCGAGGCGCGGGGTTAGGAATTTGTAATCAAATTACTGTATATTACATAGAATACACCCCTCACGCAGTATAATTGGTGGAAGTCCGACGTAATATTGAGTTATCGGCTTACGCGCCACAGGAGCAGCCCGCTGATTAATTCAATCGCAATCGCATTCTTCTTCGGTCCCTTGCTTGCTTTGATCGATTGTACATATCCCCTTGCATCAAATAGATCATATCAGAATGACTGCATCGTCCCAGATCCCCGTTCCTGCCCATACGCTCGCGGAATCAATGTTATCGCGACGCTTCGGCCGGGAAACGGTGAACTATTTCTCCAGTATGGATATGCCGAGGGGATGAGAGAAAGAGAGAGCACTCGAGACAAATATCGTCAAGAGCAGAATTTGGATGGGAACTAAATATCACACAGGCTCCCCAATCAACCGCTTATCTTTCTTGCGTGATGATCACCCATTTATCTCCACGGCCCTGAAGCACCCGTTCACGCAATTCGTTCTGTTAAACAACCTCGCTCCGCTTACCCGGTCCCCCGCCGAGTTATACTACGCCAAGTATGATGAGCTTCGCAAGCTTATCCCGCAGGATATCTATGATCAATCTGAAGAAGACATGATCAAGGATTTTGACTCGCGGAAGATTAACCCGAGCTTGATCTTCCTCGGTCTGGACGAGAGCCGTAAAGAGAATAGCCTGTCTTATAAGATCTACTCCGGAGTCCCATTCTTCGCTGTCGATATTACTCCCAAGGGCTCGGAAGAGCAACAGGCCGCTGCAAAAGATGTGATCAGCGCAATGGAGGCAAAGGGACTGTCGTTCTATCAGGCAAGAGTTGTGTCAACTTTTACTGCTGATGAAGGTATGTCAACCCGCTAAGTATAGAACCTGGGGTTTAGAGACAAGAAACTGACCGGTGCATCATAGCCGCTATTTACGCGCAGTCCCGTGCCCTGGTTGATTGGAACAACCGCAACACCTACTGCGGTACCTGTGGAAATCCCACTCTCTCCGTCAATGCAGGAACCAAACGTGCCTGCCCACCCACAGACGCCGCACGCACCGCGCAAGGCCAATCTGCGGACCGTTCCGCCTGCACGACCCGCACCACTCTCTCAAACCTGTCTTTCCCTCGCACTGATCCCACCATCATCGTGGCAGTTCTCTCTGCGGATGGTAAGCGTGTTCTCCTGGGCCGGTCAAAGCGCTACCCGCCAGGTTGGTACTCCACACTGGCCGGATTTATCGAGCCGGCGGAGTCGATTGAGGATGCCGTGCGTCGTGAGGTCTGGGAAGAAGCTGGTGTGACGCTCTCGCGAGTCGTGATCCATTCATCGCAGCCATGGCCTTATCCCGCAAACTTGATGATTGGTGCCATTGCGCAGGTGAGCGAGCCTGCCCATGAGAAGATTCACTTGGAACATGACCCCGAGCTGGAAGATGCTCGGTGGTTCGATGCCGAGGAAGTGCAGGAAGCGCTTCGTATTGGAACTAGTGATCTGAGCAGTCCCGCTGGACCCGATTATAAGGGTGGATTGAGACTGCCGCCGCCTACGGCAATTGCGAACCAGTTGATTCAAGCGGCTGTCAGTAAGGACTATTTCAATCCCGAGGAAAAGACATCTAAGATGTGAGTGATACTGCCAATGGTGGATTTCTTGTACATCTGGCATACTACCTACGAACATATTAAAGGTGAGTAGTACATATTAAGGAGGGAGGATTGTATAGAGGTTAAAGTTTTTTCGAGTTGAGAGCCTCCTATGGAATTGATAGAACACACATGTGCATGGATGACAAACTTCAAGTGATGTTGTCTCTCTCACTGATTAGCATAGACGGTACCGTCACGCAATTCATGGATACTTTCTTTGGTGCTCGGTGATCCAACTTCAGCGTAGCGTCGGCCATCTCGTAGCTCATGGATAGTAACTCGGCGGTGGCTTCTGCGGCGTCGTGAGCCTCGAGTCGATGCTAGAACGTCGCGAGATGGAGATTCAAGGCTTCCAGTTTCACTGAGAACAGAGCTGCCCTCTCTGTCCATGCTATCTCTCATGATGGATACTTGAAGCATGTGATCAGCGACCATGCTTGCACCGACTTCACTGTACCAGTTCCGCAAACCAGATGCATAAGCCCGCTCCTCCGAGCCATATTCGACCGGTGGACCATCTACTTGTGCATCCGGTCCAGATCCATCAAAGACAGCCCACGAGCTGGATTCAACACTGACCAGCACCATCGAGTGGTCATAACTGCGAACCTTGAAATCGCGAAGTAACACAGCGTTTCCTTCCGCCAGTGTAGGCATTGCAGACTTGTAACGTCGAAATATTTGAGCTTGGAGAACAGTCCCAGCCATGGATGGATCGGTAAGTTGAATGGTCATGAAATAGTCCTTGGAGCCAGAGGTTGACTTGGCAATTGGTGATATTTCATGCACAATTGAAACGGTATCTACCAAAGCCCCAAAATGGTCGATGAGTGTGGCGAGAGGTGCGAAGTAAGACAGCTTGCTCCGCAATCCATGGGCATGACGGTCTGGAGATGGAAGCTGGCTAAGGGCGGCAGTAGTGGTATCCGGCGATTTATCTCGTGCAGCTTGTGGCTGTTCATCAAATGAACGGGTCTCAGTTGAGGGAACGACGACTAACGGATAGCCGGCGTGATGCTCATCTGGTATACCTTGGGATATCTGCGCCTGTTCAAGATGCGACAAAACCGCAGCTTGTTCAACTGGGTCTGTGACATTTGTTGCAAGGCCTGAAGTCGGGGGCAACAAGAAATCTGGGGCCATGGAAAGTTCCTCAGTGTCTTCTTCTGGTGGTGCCTCTACATCATTGTCGATCTGGACAGCAGGCCGCAAGCCACTAGATGCTTGTGTGGGATCAGGGTTCAACAGTTGTTTACCAGTAGACTCCTCGAATGTGACTTGGATGTTCTTGTCTTCAGCTTGGGCGTCCGCTTTCTGAGAAGATACAGATTCGTCTAGATCCTGGTCGTTGGCTCCATCTAACATGTCAATGGTTCTCGTAGACCAAGCCTTCTCAATCCGACTGGCTGGTGCCGAATCTTCTCGAGGAAAGGTAGATTCCCTAGCTTCGGGGGCTTGGTCTTCATCTTCGTCTGAGTCCAGATCAATGACCGATTCTGAGTTGGTGCTGGTTTTGATAACGTCCTCGGAATTATATCCTTTGGATGACATAGCCTCAGCTTCGGTTCCTGGAGCAGTGGTTTGATCGTCACCTTCCTCCACAGAAGAACGTTGACTGGAATATCGTGCTGAGTAGTGATCTCGTGCAAGAACGTCCACTGACGATTCGTCTTCTTTGTCACTGTCGCGAACTCGGTCATACTGGCCGAAGACAGCAGGCTTATCGGCTTCTGAATCTTCTTCACCTTCAGATTCCGACTCACCATACAAGGGGCTTGCTTCTTCATCGACTTCTTCATCGACTTCTTCTCCGAGTTCTTCATCGACCTCTTCATCGACCTCTTCATTGACCTCTTCGTCCTCATCATCGGATTCTTCAACTTCTGACTGTGACTGTCTTTGTGGCACGTCTGCAACCGATTCATCCATTTCAGATTGTTCGGCTTCTGACGATGAATGTCTTGGTCGCACATCTGCAACCGATTCATTCATTTCAGATTGTGGAGAAGAAGAGCGACATGTTGCATGTCCCACCTGCATATATTGGGATATTGCCGGACCATTGTGGCTAGACTCATCCTCACTATCACTATCCAACACGATCACCTCGGGCTGTGCAGGCGTCCTTGGTAAATCCTCCCGTCCGCTCTCACTATCATTCGCTTGGGATTCATCTTCCTCATATTCGTCTTGGGGTTCTGAGTATGTCGTTGAGTCTTCATTTTCCTCGTCGTAAATAGCTTCCTCATTGTCTGTGACACCTTCATCTTCACTAAAGCTGGCACGGCGACGATGATACATCTCGGTCTGAGATACATCGGAAGCATTATCTTCTAAAACTTCTTCATCTGAAACATCTTCTTCCACCCTGTCTTCTCTGGGTCTTAGAGCCTCTTCTGCATCCAAGGTATCATGTGCTTGTAATAAAACTTCCAGACCCTTCTGCTCAATATCGGATTCTTCCTGAGCATTCTCGGAGTCAGCTTCAGGCGCAGAAGCTTCTGCGTCGCCCATTTCAGTGTCCACTGGATCTTCTATCTCTTCAGTCATCGGCTCAAGCTCCGCTGGTTGGATTGGGACTTGATTTATGTCGTGTGGAGAAAAGTTATCTTCAATAGGTTCTTTAGCGGAGACAGTTCCAACTGCCCCAATGTCCTCGACAGACTCGGATGAAATCAATGCTTCAGTCTGATCGAGGACCAACCCTCCAGTCAACTCTCGTTGCTCTTCAACGATAGGCGATGCGGGCTGGCTGGTGACCAGATTGGTTGATGTGAAGATGGATTCGTCCTTTTGCGCCATCCGAACAGGGTCAGCAACCATTGAAGTTGACCGCGGCGGAGACCCAGGGGAGGGGGCTGAGAATGAGATTGATTCTGGCGCAGTGATGATAGGATTGGCCTCTAAAGACACAGATTCGGTGACGTTGTGCAGTCCTGAAAAATAACCTTGATTATCATTCGAATCTGATACAATTGGCGACGGGATCGGAAGACCGGGAGAAGGTATTGGTCGGAGTTGAGGTGTATCTGTAGGCAGATGGGATGCTAAGATCAAGCGATCTTGAAAAGCGGTTGTCTTCGGCTCAGTTAGGACATTATCGTTTTGCGTGGAACGTGTCTGGAAAATGTCCCCGGAAAAGTCAAGATAGGGCTTGACGAATATGGGCGAAGCTTCTCGAGACGTTGTCTCAACATTTCCTTGATCATCGTTCATGGCATCTTCATTTTCCATGCCAACGTCGTTTTGGGGCAAACTACCAGGAATGACCTCCATCTCTTCGTCTTGATTTGACACCATTTCGGCATTTCTTTCTTCTCCCATAGCATCTTGATTGTCCACCACAACGTCTTTATCGGGCAAGGTGCTGGGAATATCTTCTGTCTCCTCATGGTTTAACTCTGTTTCCGAAGCCTTTTCCCAGGGATCTGTTTCCCACCAATCTAGGGCAGGCTCATCAACCTGCTGTGGGTCTGTAGGTTCATCTAAAAGATGCCAGTCATCCCGTTGCAAGCTGTATCTCGGACGTTTTCTTCCTTTACCAGGGACAAAGCCATCTTCTTCTGCAGACATTCCGAGTGAAGAACGTAGGAGACCACCGAAATGGTTTGAACCGGAACGGAGAAAAGCTGGCGATTCCCACGTAGTTTGTTCCTGGGTCACGACGCGGGGAGTTGAGGGCGGAGGCTTTTCGGGCTCGGGTTCAGGTTCTGGCTGTGGATCATCATGCTCGATGAATATGACGGACGACTCGGAGTCTTTTGGTGTTCGTTTGATCTAGAATATCGGAAAGTTAGTATATGGAACTGCGAAGCATTTCTGGAGCTTAACACACCTCTAGGGACAGTGCCGATTCGAAGTGTATTTCCCACGCGATGTAACTTTCAGATGTCTCTGCTGAATCATTTGCAACAAATTTTGAGCCCCTTAACGAAAGGCGAATATTTTCATAGATACCAACACGAGATGCCGCGAGCTTCTCTGCAGCCTGGCCATGGAATGTCGCCTTCACTGTACCATGCGAACTGCGGAGGCTAAAATCAGGCTCAGAAAGCAAAAGGCTGAGAGATTGTCTGACAGAAGAATATGGCCAGATAAGGGTGATTGTTGCGTCGATGCATTTTTCCTCAATCTGCTCCACAGTAGGTGCCAACTGCGCGATCGGAACCTTGGTGAGTTGCGACAACGCAGTCGGTATCGAAGACTGGTCGGCTGCATCCATGATTGAGCCGGCTATTTCCCGTCAAACATCAGCAACGCACTTTACTATGCATACCGGAGAGAGGGACCCATGCAAAGGGGGTTTAGGTCGAGAAGTAGAGGCACGAGAGCAGAGAAGGTGAGAGGCACGAGAGTAGAGAGGCGCAAGTGCGACAAGAACTGAGAGCTACGGGATGCAGCTCGCCCGAGTAATACAATGGTAATAATACAGGTATTAGACCAATTTAGTATCAAAAGTTATGTTCCGCCAATACCTACCTTGCACCTGAATAATCGGGCATCGACACTCTGTTAACTAACTATTCTTACAGCTTTCCAAGGTTACAGGGTTTGTTTGAGAGTGCCTTTTTGGGCTCCTTTAAGAGTCAATTGTTTGTTTCTCTAGACTTGAAATTTCAATACAACATCTTGACATCAATGTATCTTCCAACAAAGACTGAATGAACTTCCCTGATAAGCTCCACCGCTCGCTCCACTATGGTGCAAGTACTTGCTTCTCCGCTTCTTCAACATAACTCCTCCTGGTAAGCATTACAACATATCTCAATTTTTGGTTAAATTATCATATGATGGTACTCACCAACCCTGTTCGACGAGTGGCTGTAATCGGAGCAGGATCTTCTGGCCTTGCAGCTGTAAAATACGAACGCTGAGGCTTTGATCTCGATTACAATTCAACATTCTAGGCAATATGTTGCTGACCAACAGAATAGATACCTCCTGGCGGAAAGATATTTTGAAAAGATTGATGTATATGAGCAACAAAGCTCAGTCGGGGGTGTCTGGAACTATACTCCTCGATCTTTGAAGGTTGGCATGTCCACCACAGTTCCACATTTGAATCCGCATGAGCCCGTTCAGGAGCCTATATGGACCAACCAACCTGAGGGGACGAGCGAGTTAAATTTTGTCTCGCCGTTATACGCTGAGCCGGAAACAAATATACCAAAAGACTTGATGCGGTATTCTGACCAACCTTTCCCGGAAGAGGCTCAGCTTTTCCCCAAGCACCATACGGTGAGACGCTATTTGGAAGATTATTCGCAGAACATTAAAGACCTCATCAAATTTGATACAACAAGTCAAGGATGTGAAGCTCAAAAACCCTGAGCTCAGTACATGTGATCTTACCACAAGGAACCTGCACACTGGAACTGAAACAACATCTATGTATGATGCTGTGGTTGTTGCCAGTGGCCACTTCGCCGTTCCATATATTCCAGAAATATCAGGAATAGAAGCCTGGGATAGACCATATCCTAAAGCGATATCTCACTCGAAATTCTATGACTCCGCTGAAGAATTTCGCAGTAAGAAGGTCATTGTGGTGGGGAGTTCTGCATCGGGTCTTGATATTGGAGCCCAGATCAACCAGTCCAGCAAAGGCAAAGTCATTGTCTCTCAGAAGTCCGAATCATATTTAGCTGCATTGGTGCCATCTGATAAGATTATCCATTCCGAGATTGTCTCCTTCCTCACTCCTTCAGAATATGACCGAGCCGTCCAGTTCGCAGATGGCCACATCGAGAAGGAAGTTGATGCTATTGTTTTCTGTACAGGCTATTTTTATTCATTCCCATTCTTGGAGTCCATCAAGCCATCTTTCATAACCCACGGATGGCGTACAATGAATGTCTATCAGCAACTAATTTTCATCGATCACCCCACTCTTGCGTTTCCTATGCTTTCACAAAGGGTGATTCCATTTCCCATGGCAGAAAATCAAGCTTCGGTCTTCTCCAGGGTATGGTCAGGAAGGATACACCTCCCAGAACATAGGGTAATGAGAGAAGCAGAAGCACGTGAAATCTCACAAAAAGGAGAGGGCAAGGCTTTTCATGTTCTTCCTTTCCCCATGGATGCAGACTATTTGAACCATCTATACAATTGGGCAGCCACAGCTGAAGCCCGCCCTGGATTGATCAACGATGGAAAGGGAAAATTGGGAACATGCTGGGGAGATCGTGAACATTGGATGCAAGCATTGTTTCCTGATATTAGATGGGCATTCGTCCAGAAGGAGGATCAACGCAGTGAGATAAAGACACTTACTGCACTGGGGTTTGATTTTGGGAGCTGGAAAAAGGAGCAGGAGGAGCAATGGTAATATAATCACACTTCATTTAGATTAAATATAGATTTACTCCAGGGCTAGTTAGATTTCAATGTTCTTGTGCCATCGATGACGTTAATGTTCAAATGTTCACATATTCAAGTTAGTATTGCCCAGGTGTAAACTTGCACAAGCACCCTACATTTTTACTACATACTAGGATGACTACTATGTAGTCATGGCCAAATTTGAGGTTCAAAAAACATTGCCGAGATAATGAAGTAATTTGAATGCATTATCTTTTTGTGATTTTTATTCATCTTTGAGAATAAAACTACAGAGCCCTCGAGGGAGGCAAATCCGTCATGATCTCCAACAATGTAGATCTAGGATCGCGCTAGTCCTGATTAGTGAGGTTGTTATCGCTTTATCTGTTATCGATAATAGTACTTATCACGTGTCTGAGCTTCATCACCGCCGCGACTCGGATCACCCAACCCTCTTCTATACATCCAGTCCTAAATCACCCGTCATTCTGCAAACTGCGTGTTTGGGACCGAAATTAGAAGGCATAATAAAGGTATGGATGCTTATCTGTAAACAATGACATGTACCTCTTTCCTTCCTTGTACACCGACCCACCCGCAATCACAAGATTCACAACACCTTGCTGTATGGTCTCTAATCTCATAGCCACCAGTTCAAGTTTCAAGAATCACGGTCAACTCTGAGCTGCTGGCTCATTCATTTTGACGTACTTGAGAATTTGATCAATTTTCTATCTCATTAGAAAGACAACCAACACATGATTCAGCACTTCAACATTTGAGCCGTGACATTGAACCCACAACCGCAATCAACCAAGGTTGAGTTGTATCGCTTTGGTCATCTATCATCGATGCCTATTGCTAAACCTTGATACCTGGGTCGCCGAGAATTCCCACTTGCCATTTATTTTGCGTCTCTAGACTTTCTAAACTTTTATCGCCTCTCTTTTCCCTCTCCCCCCTTTTGATTCCTTCTACCTGTCCCTCGAAAGCTTCTCCAGTTGCCATAGAGTTTGCTGGACAGCCAACCTGTGCATAAGCTTTCCCTCGTTTTCTGTCTCAGTGAAAGCTCCTGCATATTTTCCACCAGAGTCATATGGTTCAGCATGGAAGACAAACAGTTCCACCTGAGGCAAGCGGCACCACCCGTCTCTGCTAGCCAGACACCATCTTCTGGAGGGGATGTTGACGCGGTGGCACCAAAGTCCTTCCCTGAGACAACAGTTCCGTTGAGTGTACGAACTGAAGGCGACAATATGGCACACACTCACACTGCGGTGCACCATGGCCACCCGGAACCTTTACTGCAGCCAACTCATCTCGGTCACATCGAGGCTGGAATGCAGACCATTCAACCTAGTGCATTGACCGTTGGTGTTGCCGATGAGTCTCAGCCAGGGTCCCTCCGTCTTGGCCCATCTGAGTTTGCGGTGATTCTGCCCATGGACTCAAGGGTAAAAGATGATTATGAGCGTGTCTTGACAAATTCTGCTGCGGCCGTGCAGGACTTTTTAGCTCTTGGCAGCCAAAACTCCCAGGCTTCCAATCTCCAGGTAAGGGTGACCTGGAATCTAATATGAACTAAACTAACCTTGTTACGTTTCAGCGAAAGGAAATGCAATCAAAGATGTACGAAGTCATTGCTCAGTTGAACAACGTTTCCATCCATCCAGATCTCAACATTTCCCATCATTTGGTGGAGACGGAGTCAGACCTTGATAGACAGACTTCCTGGGCGGAGTATTCAAGCACGAAGTTCCTTTTACTGGGGAATTTGATTGATATTGCGAGTACCCATGAGCTCCATGTTATTCTGGCGGTCCAAGACGATAAAAAACAATCAATTGTTGAGCGTTACCTACGTGGCAAAGGGTTTACCTACACACGACCTCGGGAAGAGCTAGGTGGAAACCTAGAAGTTTCGTTGGTCAAAGGTCCGCTGAGCTTTGGCGTCCATTCGAATGAGAGTGTTCGAGATCTTTTCAAGGCACCATCTGCAATCCTTGCGCTTGACACAGCTTTCCACCATCAGAGTCCGTCAGTGGAACATATTCGAACAACTTTTACCCGCAATAATGATCTTCTTCCTGTTATCTGGTTCATCGTAGCCAACACGTGTGAGCACATTGAGCGTTGTTTGCCAGATTTGCCAGAGACAGACCGCCTGCGATTGCTCTTGCAATACACCGCTCGCCTCCATGATGAAGTCGGCGACCTCCAAGATAATGCACTGGGTGTGCCGGAACATGCCGAGGAGATCCTCAACTACTTGCTCCATAACTTCGCACAGTGGCAGGTTCCATCAGTTGAGCCTTTGCATTTTGTATCCTCTGATGAGCTTGAATCATCCACATCTTCGTCTGATGAATCACAGGGTGTAGCACAAAAGCGCTCATTGGTAAGTTTTTACTTTCATACTATTTATGACTCTGGAAACTAATATCCTTTTAGTCAGAGGATGGTCAAGATGACCTTGCATTCAAACGCACTAAAGTCGACACTCCAGAACTTGCTCAACTCACTCAATCTACTAAGGGGCCCAGTGAAAGCTTGAATCTCGAGCTGGAGTCTCTGGAGAAAAGTATCGTCCAAATGAAAAACACGCATGCCTCTGAAAAAGAGCAATTGCAAAATGATTTGAATCAAATGCACATGCGGTTCCAAGAAATGGAAAGGGAACTGGGGACTCTTCAGCATCGCTATGAGACTCGGACGAGTGACCTTTACAAGACTCGGGTAGAGCGTGATGAGGCGGCTGCATCTCGAAAGCTTCTGGAACAACGAGTGGAGAAGTTTAGAGATGATGTTACTAAGTTGAAGGAGGAAAGAACTCAGCTGAACATCGAGCTCGGAGCTGCTCGCCAAGAACTCAAGGATGGTGGTGGCACGTTGGCTGATCTCGAGACAGCCCGGGAGGAGATTCGACGATTGACTCAAGAAGTTTCAGGTCTTGAGCGCAAGGCCGAATACGAACGCAACCAATCAGACTACACTCGTGAACAGTACCAGAATGCCTCTAATGCTGCTGCTCAAGCTGGAAACGAACTCCGTCAACTTCAATCTGAGAATGTGGCTCTCAAGCGGAAGGTTGAGGGCAATGCAGCCCAACTACGAGAAGTCACCAACAAAAGCGATTCAACAATTCACCTTGACCGAATCGCTGAACTGGAACTTACGCTTGCCTCTCGCGATGAATTCCTACGCAAGAAAGAAGAAGAGCTACGCGACATCCGCAAAAATCGCCCTTCTACCCGCTCTACTAGCACGCAGCCTCGGAGTCCCAAATGGGCTGCTTCAAGCCGTCCTACAAGTCCTGGAGTGAACAATGGTAACGGCAATGGGAATGGTAATAACGGAATGATGGGTCGTGGTAGTGGTCTGCGATTTAGCTCGGAGGCATCAATTTAGTTCTTTGGCCCCTGGGTCTTTCATGGATCCCCAGTGTGCTCCCTGCATTTCTTAGTTTCCCCAAGCACCAGTCTATGACGTTTACAAGAGAAATAATACCCATTAAGCACGCGGATCATGTTTTTATTGCAACACTCTCGACCACTGAAGTGTTCGCTCTTGCTACCTTTCGTTCAATTTTTACCGTTTCAGCCATCATGGCGTCTTGTTGCATTGCATTCAGGTTACATTCATTCTGTATGCCAGAAATCTGAATTTCAGCTGTTGCACTCCTAATTCCCACCTGAGCAGAAGTAGTTATGTGTGAGAGAAGACCGATTTCCCAAGGTATCTGTTTCCAATTAACTAGTAAGCCCAAGAGTGGGTTAGATCACAAAATTACTATGTATAGAATGGTAGAAAAGAAAGAATAGACAACCAACATAGTAAATCGCAAAGAAGCAAATACAGACCAAAAACAAAAGTCAACTCCAGACAATCTCGTGCAAAATAAAAAGAAACTCTGTCAAAATCAAAGTAACAAGATTGCTTTGCGTTTACGAATTCATAGCGCCAGCAATGAATGCAGCCAGCTCCTTCGACTTTTCACCACGAGTCATGGTAAAGTGGTTAGCACCCTCCATGATGGTAATACCACCGACATTCTTGGGACCAACAAGAGTATCCCAACCATTAGGACCGAGGTTTGTGCGGTTGTTCAGCAGCCACAGCATCTCTCGGGGATCAGGGCTGCCATCCTCAGCGGGGGCGGGACGAGGATCATTGGGCTTGTTACAGACACCGTCCTTAGCCCAGACCATGAAGGTCTTGGGGATTTTGTCTGCAAGCTTGCTGTCCTCGAAGGGGAATGGAGAAGCCTTATATGCGTCCAGGGAATCGATAAAAGCAAGGAAGTGAGGGAGTAACCACTTTGGTGGAGGTGCCTTGCCCTCTCCGAAAAGACCAATCGAATCAAAGAAGCGGTAGAGACGACGAGGGAGCTTCTCCAGACCAATGGGGAAGGGTGAATCAAGGAGAAATAGACGCTCGACACTCTCACCTTCCTCGAAGATTAGGTGGCGTGCGGCGTCATAAGCACAGATACCACCGGCGGACCATCCGCCAAAGTTGTAAGGACCCTTGGGTTGGCGGCGACGGATCTCAGCAACGTAGGGATATGTTAACTCATCAAGGCTGAACTTCAGGTTCTCTGGGGTCCGCATGTAAGGGCAGTTAAGACCGTAGACGCAGACATCCGGTGAGACACCAGGGATAGTGGCGTAGGAAGTAGCAGATCCAGAGCCATCAGGGAAAAGGAAGAGCTTCTGTGTAGCAGTCTTCGGGTTTCCTTGCAGCAGGATAGAAGTCGCTGGAGGGTGCTGGATTGCTGAGCTGGGAATAGCCTTGGGAATCGACACTGAGATTTGCTCGGGAAGTCGGATGGGCTCGGCAGCAGGGGCCTTTGGCTTCAGGTCAAGAGCAACCTCGATTTCATTGACAGTTTGGTTCTCAATAAAGAATTCACCCGGGAGATCAAGATCCAACGTCTCGCGGATCTTACCGAGAACAGTCAAAGACATCAATGAGTCAAGTCCCATTTCGCCTAGGTTAACGTCTTCCTGTAGTTCCTCTGGCTCAACGCCAATCTCCTCAGCAAGAATCTCGCAAATTTGCTGCATGCTGTCATTCTGCTCGAGGACCATGCTCTTCTCGTTGGTCGGCGTCGGAAGACCACTGGAGTTTGGAGTTGAGATGTCAGTCGAAGATGCGGCAGATGAGATGTTGTCATCACTGCTAGATCCATCACTGCTACTCTCGGCGGGGCTCATTGAAATCAGCAACTGCTTGAAGTCTTTGATTGTGGGTTGGTCGACAAAGACATTGGAATCCAGGTCAAGGCTCATTTCCTCACGGTAACGACCGGTAACAGTCAATGAAAGAAGAGAATCAACTCCATAGTCTGCAAAGTTCAGGTCGTCTGTCATCTCGGATGATGACATGCCAACCTCCTCTGCCAGGATGCTCAGAGCCTTTGTGATCATACCAGTTCCGGGGGACTTGGGAGAAGCCACGGGACGAGATACCTTCTTGGGAAGAGGTGCTTGAGCCTTCTTGGTATCAATCGGTGATGGTCTGGCCTTAGCGGCGGGAGCAGGCTTAGAACCAGCTGGAGGAAGTGCCATATCAAGAATCTTTCGTGACAAGGCTTGGAACTGTGTTTCGCATGTTAGTTATCGTTTCCATTTGCATTATGTTGCTAGAGTGACATACCTTGACTCCGCCGTACACGGCAACGATATTATCTCCATCAAAGAGATACACGTCTCCAGCATAGATTGAGTCCTTCCAAGGCTGCATCCGAACATAGGTTCGGTATGTAACATTGGGATCAAACTTGCCCAAACAACGCATTGAGTCCCATCCGTGGTTGACAAAGACTTGGTTCTTTGAGTCAATTCCATCGCTTGCATTCATGATAAAACCAGAAAGATGTCCAATGCTATCAATCCAAAAGGGGTTGCGATGGAAGTTTCCGGGAGGAGCAGCAAATTTAACCAATGCGGTGGCTTCATGTTGCTCACTGTCCAGAATGACCTCCCGAATAGACTTATAGTTCTCGTCATAATCAACCAGAGAACTGAAAAGTTTGTAGATCATGCCCCGCTTCATAAGATGGGCGTCACCAGATTCTGTGCTTTCTTGCAGATGCTCGATGCTTCGCTTGATGAGGTAGGTGTACCGCTTCCATTCAGCCTCGGCAGCCTTGGTGTCAAAGAACTTGATGGTGCAGGAAGCGTGATCAAGAATCTTTTTGCCCTCGTTTGTAACTGACCAAACTTGGACCTGCACCTTCTCCTCGGCCCAGTTAGCAGTTGCTGAGACTCGGAACAGCTGTTTTCCACCCTTGGCAATAAGAGGCTTCGGAACGACCACATCGCAAACGTCGAAGCCGCGATCCTTTAACTCAGGCTTGTATTTTTCAACAAGGAACTCGCCCAAGGTTTGAGCAATGTCTGCGTAGAGAGAGGATGGACACAAAGCGGCCCCATTAACCTTGTGGCCCTGGATGACACGGTTCAGCTCGGGGTCATCGATATCGTTTTCGATAGTGACAGTCGCCGTGTTCTTGTCACCGGTGGTTTCGAGGACCTTTTGAGCTGATGTTGTCAAGAAAGTAGTCACAGGAGCGGCTTCTTTGACAGGCTCTGCAGGTGCACCTTTCAACAGACAGAAGTTGTTGGTGTAGGGAATCCAGTAATTCTTGAGATCCCACTTATAGGCAGGGAGGTTGAGTACCTCGCGCATGGGAGCAAAGTCTTGGTGATATTCCTTCCAGCGAATATCCATACCAGCCATGTACAGAGATGCAAGACTTGTCGAAAGTACCTTCCAAGTATCTTCCTGGCGACGCAAAGATGTCACTGTCAGGGCTTGGGGTCCAAATGTAGACTTGACCATTCCGGAGCACACTGGGTGTGATCCAATCTCAACCCAGACAGTCTTATCAGTCATCAACTTCGCGTGGCGGATTGCCTCCAGAGCAGCAAGGAAATTGACATTTTCGCGACAATGACGAGTAAGGTAGCTCGGACCAAGGACATCAGTGTTAGATCCCTTGACGACATCACCAAGCAGAGCAGAGACAAATGGAATGGTTGGCTCGTGGAAAATGACACCCTTGGCAATGTCTCCAAGGCTCTGGAGAATGGGATCAACTTGGCTTGAGTGGAAAGCGAATGGCACCTTAAGCTTGGTAGCTTTGAAGCCCTCATTTGCCAAAGTATCGGCAAATTTGTCGATGTTATCGTTGGCGCCGCTGATGACAGTTTCACCCGGTGCATTGATACAAGCAACCTCTGCTGAGCCATCATCAAGATATTGCTTAACTTGGGCCACTGAGGACTTGACGGCAAGCATAGCATGAGTTCCCATTTGGCATTTCTCCATAAGGAGCTGAGCTCGGCGACCAACAAGGTAGATAGTGTCACTTGTGGTCAAGATACCAGCAGCATTCAAGGCGGCATACTCGCCCAAGCTGTGACCAAGCACAAAGGCGGGAGTCACACCAAGAGAAATCCAGAACTTTGTCAAGGCCATTTGAATGCAGGTGGTTCCCAGCTGAGTCACAACAGGGCTGAGCTCTTCCACTGGAACACTTCCATCAACCAGAGGCACTACAGAGGGGAATCCAAAGCTTTGAGCAATGCGATCCAGATGCTCTATGTGGGTCCGGAACTGTGAGTTGTGCTCGAAGAGCTGGCTTCCCATGCCGGTGTACTGAGCACCTTGGCCGGTGAAGAGGAATCCAGCACCGGGTGTGGTAGCAGGGACGGGAGTGATGCTTTCCCGGTTAGCACTCGCGTTCAGACCATTTCGAATCTCTTCGAAGGTGGATCCTGTAGCGCTAACACGGAAGGGATGATGAAGACGTCTGGCTGTGGTTGTGTATGCAAGATCGGCAAGAAGTTTATTCTCGTTTACATTGAACAAATTCTTGTTAGTGTCAATATACTGGACAAGGGCTGCAGCATTGTTCTTCAAAGAAGATTGCGATCTCGCGGAAATTGTCACAGTGTGTACAGATCGCGTGTCCTCGCCATTGCGCTCTGAAATCGGAGCATCTTCCACTAGAAGTGCAGTGTTGCCACCTGCCGCAGAAAAGTTGTTGACAAAGGTAGTACGTTTGCCACCAGCAGGACGGTTCCAAGGAGTGGGCTCCAGAGCGATATGTACATTTCGTTGTTGGAGGTCCTTGGGGAAGTTATGGTTGATCTTTGTCTTAATACCACAGTGAGGAGGAATCATGTTTTTCTGCATCATAACCAAGACCTTGATCAAAGCAGAGACTCCAGAGGCTGACTCTCCGTGACCAATGTTGGACTTTGTAGAGCCAAGATGAAGCGACTGAGTTGGGCCTCGGCGATAATCAGGCGCGAAAACGTCCAACACAGACTGCATCTCGACGGCGTCACCTGCCTGGGTACCAGTTCCGTGCATCTCAATGTAGCTAACATCCTTGGGATTCACATCGGCCTCGTTAAGCAACTTATCAAAGATAAAGGACTGGGCACCTGCAAGGGGTCGTGTGATAGAAACAGCCTCTGCAGAGTGATTGGTGTATGCGCCGTTGATAATACCATAAATAGGGTCATTATCAGCTTGTGCGTCCTCAAGCCTTTTCAGGACCACCGATCCAATACCATCAGCTCTGCAATAACCATCGGCTCCATCATCAAACGTGTTGCAGTTTCCAGTTCGCGAAAGGAAGTGACCACGGTCAAGACCAGCGTGGTTGTCAGGGTTGGTGAGGACGTTTACACCACCAGCCACTGCAGAATCACAGTCATTTCTCCAGAGAGAGTTGCAGGCCACATGAATAGCTGCAAGACTTGAGGAGCATGCAGTATCAACACTAACACTCGGTCCGCTAAATTTGAAGTAATAGTTGATGCGACCAGGGGTGAATGCACGGTTGCCTCCCGGAATGAAGTAAGTGTCGATATCCTGACCACTGTTGATTTCACGGTAATCATCACTAGTCATTCCATAGAATACACCAACGCGGTTCTTCTGGGTTGATGGGGTGCTGTCCGGAATAAATCCAGCCATCTCGAAGGCTTCATAAGCGGTAAGCAAAGCCATTCGCTGGGCGGGATCAGCTTGTAGGGCTTCACGAGGTGACATGTTGAAGAATCGAGGATCGAAAAGACCAGGCTCCTTGATCCAGCAACCATATTGTACTTTGCTGGTGTTTCGTGTGTTTCCCTCCATATCAACGTGGGCTTTCACATCCCAACGGTCCGCAGGCACCTCTCGGTGCACATCGAGTCCTTTGTACAAAAGATCCCAGAAGGCTTCAGTGTCGGGAGCTTCCGGAAAGCGTCCGGAAAGACCGATAATGGCGATTTTGGACTGCTCCGCGCGGCCAGTACGATTAGCACCTTTCGCATCCTTCTTCACATCACCGATTGCGCAATTGAGCTCAATGTTAGAGATTCCAGACTTCTTTAATGCCGAGTGCAGGCTTTGTGTTGCGGTGCTTGCAATTGGCAGCAGAGTACACGGTCCCTCCGTCAATCTGAGTATGGTGGAGCAGGAATCAACAACCTTGTCCCAACCAAGCTGTTGCAAGAGAATCTCGTCAAGGGAGATTCTCAACAGCTCCTCCAGGTTCTCGGTCTCGACCTGTTTTCCAGTGCTGCTAGAGATGATAGGAATCTGCGGGATGTAGCTCTCAAAGTCCTGGGACCATGATTCCATGATCCTGTTGATATCCCTTGCATCATAAAGATGAGGTGCATGGTAAGGACCATGAATGGGAACTCTGGTGGGCTTGTTCTCCTTGGAAAGGGCCTTCTCAATGAACTGGTCCAGAGAGGTGGGCGGACCACTGATCGTCACACCATTCTGACTGATAGCACTGACATATGGCAGAGAAACCCGAGGAACAGCCTATTAAATATTAGCTTTCCTCTGTCACTATTATGATGCCTAATTTCAGGCAAACTACTCACATTAGCTTGGCCAAGGGTTACAATCAGCTGCAATGCTTCCTGCTCCCGAATACCCAAAACCAAGACAGACCAGCTAGGTGAAGATGATCCACTTCCTTCTACCAGTTCCCGTACTCTGAAGACACACATCCCCAGTCTGAGAGCCACAACAACAGTCTCAACACCGGCTGCCATGAGCTCACCAACCGTTTTCGAAGAGCTCACAGCCGCTGCAGCAAGCTGCCCGGTGCAGAGACCAACAATACAGCTCTCAGACCCAGATGGATAAGCATGCCCAAGATCACCAAAGTAGCTAATTCATCAAGTCAGTTCTCATATTTCAGACATTATATCTATAGGATCTTACTGAATAAAGCATCCCAACTGATAAATTGTCGTCAATGCGCTTTCCAAGGCTGCATTGGGTCCATGCTCGCGGTATCTTGCCAGGAGATCAACGATGCTCGTGAAACGAGGAAACATCTCCCGCTCTGATGGCGGAAGCTGGCTGATCTCCCTGCGCAACGCATGGTAGCACTTCTGGAAGAAAGCTATCAAAAGTGAATCATTCTTGGCTTGCAGCAGGCGACGAAGTCCCGAGTCAAAATCCGCTGTCTGATCTCCGAAGAGATACACACGACTGGGGCCCTTCATACTCAAACCCGATGCCAGCCAAGGGTTCCGAAACTTTGCTGAGAGAAAAAGAGAAAAAATAGCACAGAGTGCTGCGCGAATCGATGGGTATCATACTTTATACATGTAACTACAATTTCGCTACCTATTGTGGGGCTAGACTGGGTCAAAAGACATCATTCATCATTGAACTCTTAGTTATGCAAAATAAATCGGGAAACACAGGGCTGGTTCCCTGTTTCCTGGTAAAAAGGAGTGAAAGTGGGACAGAAAGGGTGATATCAAGACACCCACATCTTATCCACTTGATTCACATCAGTATTGGTTCGGTAACACTCCGATTGAACGAGCCCATGATCTAGGTAAGCTAAAAATGGGACCGTTACTGTGATCCAAATCCCGATCATTCTATTTTTTGGATAGAAAGTATATAATTTTACTTTGCTGCCTTGGCAATTCCTTAATGGACTTAATAATCATAGTTTATATGGTTCCTTGGGTCCTAGGTATGACCCTGGACCCTTTTCCCCTTCCGAAATAAGAAAGGTGCCCATGACCCAATAACAAGTACAGGGCTTGGAGTGCTGTTTGCGGGAAACAAGTGGCAGATGTGGGGGTTCAAGCAAAATACCCATAATGTATGAGCCAATAATTTGCATTGAATTCAACATTTAAATGACTCGATTGAGTTAAAGCTCGCATATAGTTACAATAAAGACTCATCGTCGCTGCGTTCGGAATGTTACACTCGATTCTATATGATCACGTGATAGTCATGCCCTATGTACCTTTGGTCCCTAGTCATGTACCTGCAGAACCGACAAAAAAAACTTGGAAGTAGAGGAGAATATTAAACTGGGAAGAATGCTCTGACCTCGTTTCAAATGATTGCATTCAGGGGTACTAGTTCGAGTTATAGCTAATACCATCAAGTAGTTCAAGTTGAATGTTCAGACCAATCCGCGAAAACATATTCCAAGGTTTGTGCTTCTTTGAGGTTCGGAAACCCCAAAACCTGCCTTCCAAGCCCGGAATGTAACAATACCCCAAAACAGCACTTGTGGCTTTAACTTGAAGTTCATTTTCAAAATTAGTAATTCTATGCAGATCTTTTCAGAGCATGATGCAGCTATATCACCCAACTTGAATACGTCATGACTTCGAGTTGACCACCTGGGTACTGCCAGTGGCAGGATGTACATGTGAACATTTGAAGTCGAGAGTGCTCACTGGAATTTCACATTGACCATTGAATTCTTTTACTCGTGTTTGAACCTTGGACCATTCAAGTTTGGATGCTCCGACTCAGCGTCTCAGGGTCCATATATGTATCAGGGTCAAAGTTGGTCTGTGTGAACATTGATGTGCCAGTGTGCAATTAGTATCCACATGTGCAGCCCTTGAGATATCGGGTCTACCTAATAGCACTGTATGTACTACTACATAGCCCTGGAGACCTTGAGTTGAAAAAAGTTAAAGCCATTTCCACATACAACGTACATCATCCAACATTGAAGGACTCGGATTACTCAGTGCTATTAATTCGAAGGTTATTGCCCACATATACCTACATGTGCTACTACTAGTAGTAGCCCAGGCTTGACATCCTCTTATGAAGTGCCAGTGCGTGGATATTGCCATTTCTTGAAAAATCGAATTAATATCTACTAGGTAATATTAGAATATAACTTAAGCCACTGGTAATTCATTGGATGGATCTGTGACGATCTGATTGAGCTTCAGCTTTCCAAAAGAAGCCAAAGTGGTTCCGTGTGGATTCTATCTCCACCAGTGACAGCTGTCACCCTGAATTTCAATTATGGAACTGGAACGTTACGCTTCGCATCACGAATCCGAGTCTGAAAGACGATTATAGTACTAAAGTTCCCATAATGATACTAAAACGCTCGAATATTCCGTCAGAGGCGCAATTGATCTACACATGTGCACTGATCGTCAACTAAAGTGGCTCGCAACGGACCGCCTGCGCATGTGTAGATCAATCTGGATCATGATAAATGCGGTTGATCATTACAACTTGAACTTGAACTTGGAATTCTTACCCAAATTGAAAATGCCAGTGAATATTGATCCTGAAGAACACAGAGAATTAAATCAGATAAAATTTTGATATCAAATTTATTAGAAATCAATGAAAAGGCTAATATAGTGCAAAAAAGTAAATTATTACATGTATGTCGGTACAAGGTCAAGTCCGTGACGGGGAGTCTATCAACTCCGGTTCCGGTGTTTTCCGGCGGCTCCTGATGACTGAGGGGGGCTGAGCCCATTTTTCATCAATTGCCTTCTCCTCGATTAGAGTTACCTCTTGAGGAAACGGCCTGTGACGCTCCTCAGATTCTTCGGTATTCTGCAGTAATTCCTTTGCCAAAGCATTGTGACCCATCTTAGCAAGTCTTGCTAGCCATGAAGGAGAGGGAGGTTCAATGAGCGGATTAGGAGTCTGTGCAGAGGGCTGAGCAGAAGTAGGCTGAGAGCTCGGTGTGTACGGTCGGGAAGTTGGCACAAAAGGAGGAGTGCTGGAGGTAGATGACTGAGAGCTGGGACTGTATACGAGAGGAATTGATGAAGATGGAGTATAAGATGGCTTAGGTGACGAAGTAAATGAGAATGGCTTCCCTGTGGGCGTGGACAGCTGTGCAGCGGCTGAAGTCGGCGGTGTGCTCGAAGGGGAAGGCCGGACCTTAGGAGTTGAGGAAGATCTAACGTTGGAGCTACTGCTCGGAGCTGGAGCGTAACTCTGCGAAGTGACTGGGGAAGGGTTTGGACTCTGGTCCTCGCCTGCCGGAACTTGGGGCCATGCGTCAACTCCATCAAGCAGAGCAACAGCCATTCCGTTGGCCATGTGTGTCTCAATATGACAGTGCAAGAGGAATGGACCTGGGTTGACAACTTGATAGCGTACAATTATCCAAGTTTGACCGGATTGCCCATTAGTAACAAATGTGTCTCGCATCATAGGATTGTTCAGCTCAAAATACTCAGGATGGGCAGCGACCGCCTCTTCCGTACTTGACCACTCAAAGAATCCAGGTCCAACGCCCAGAACAAACCCCTTGTTTCCGTGCTTGTGCATAACGTGGGAAGGAGTGATATCTGGGGTGTTGGGAAAGTGACCCAACTGGAGGAGGAGATCAACCCAAGTGCCATTTTTAGTTTCGAAAGTGAGCTGGGGAGACAGGTTGTTCTTTGCGTCAAGATCATAAAGAATGGGATCATCGAGGTTAGCCATCATGTTCCATAAGGTGCCACCGGATGTGGTAAAGGTGTAAGGGGACCCCGAACGGCCGATTGTGAGGTTAATCAGCTGGTCCGCACTGGCAGGGATGGTGACAGGCGGGTAAGGGTGGATATCTCGTGGGTTGAGAGCGACAACGGAAGCAGATGTGTTCCTACCACCATAGTCGACATAAGGTTGAGATGGCTGTTGGTTTGAGGAGCCCTTGTAACGCATGGTCGCAAAACCTGAAATGACCTGGTCGCCCTGAGTATCCGGGACTCGAATGGTGTAGTCCTTCCAAGGCTTGTCAAGCTTCACCATGACAGCATAACGCTCTCCATTGAAGATAGCCGCGCTATTGACAAGCAAGGGCTCCACATAGCTGCCATCGACCTCGTAAACATACATCGGGTGTTCGTCAATTGAGAAGATGAGGGCCTTGATTGCGGCCGCACTGATGAATTTTAAGCTCACCCAGCCAGCATTGCCATCAACTTCAATAATTTCATGGTTTCCAGTTGTCGGCTTGCAGCCCCAGTTAACCCCCCTGAGGGATTTTTGTCTCATCATTGGGCGGGAAACTGCCCTGTACATTGTAAATATTGGGTAAACATCTGTGAAGAGTCAGTTAAAATCTGGTAAAACAAGCACAGGGAGGGGTATCTTGTAAATTTACCCTTTATCAGTCAATGGTGTGTAGTCCATTGCGACTTTGAGATAATCGAGTTCGACACTGGAGATGTTTTCGCCTCCTGGACAATAAACAGCTCCACGACCATTGATAAGAACACTGTCCATGCAGCTATTGATGTAATTAGTAAGGCTCCGCATCAAAAGTCGAGAACAAAACGTACAAAACGTCCAGATGACTGTCCAGCTGTATTTTATCATATTCTTCAAATGTTAGATGGTCCCAATCCGACAAGATAATCAGCTGAGGATCCTGCTCTGCCTTTTGCATGGCTTCAATATCTGCGGGGTTGTTCGAGATGAGGTGGAAAGGCTGGGGTGTCTCTGGCGTGGGACTTTTCTCTGTCAGTATCGTGAATCTCAACTGCAATATCTTAAATTAACGACTTACTTGATCCAGATGGGGCCATAAAGGCCATCCATCACTTCCGAACGACCATGAGCATGATACCAATAGGTTCCATACTGTGTGGCCTTCCACCGATAAATCCATGAATGCCCTGGCTGAATAGGCTTTTGGGTTAAACCCGGTACTCCATCAGACCATGGTGTTCCCTGCTGCTCAATTCCATGAAAGTGGACAGATGTATTGAAGGGAAGGTTGTTATGCACAGTGATCTGCCTCAAGTTAGCACTCGGGTACAACAGTTCATGATACCGGACATCAATTGGGGAGTTGTACCTCCACATCGTCACCTTGATCCAATCTTAGCTCTGGCCCAGGGAATTGGTCATTCATGAAGACCATTTCTCGAACATTTCCGTCTGGGGCACCCTTTTGCCATGTAAGGTCTAATTCAAACTGAACAACCTTAGCCCATGCTAAAGGTGCTAGGCCACAGCCCGCGAATGCAAGCAACGTCTTCAATGGTGCCATCTTGGAGAACCACTGCCGTTACTCGCTAAGACAGCTGTGAGAAAAATTGATGAGCAATTCTAACTCTTAAAGTTTTTTTTAACTTCTGCCACGACAAGAATGGTCAGAAATTCTCCTATGACAAGAAGTGGGGACATGAGATCTACAAAATTGCAGTATCCCTGGAGCAACATGTTCAATTAATAGTGTGAGAGATTGTGTTTGTACAGCATACCAGGGGACTCTTTTCCGACCAGAGCTCTCCTCTCAATTCCCCTGTCATCTAAGAATACAGTGTTTGCATATTTCAAAAAACGCCACAGACTCGAGTTTAAGAGTCCGTCTCTTCCTTTCCGGCAATTCATATAGGCAGAAAGGATGCCATTGATCATGAAGGTTCTCATGTTTTAGTGGAATGCTCGGGTGGCTGGGAGAAGGTGTTCCATATCTCTTCTGTTTTTAATATAGGAGACCGGATCGAACCGGCCCGAAATGCTAATGGCATTCGGAATATTTGAGTCTTGGAACCTGAACGGAGCCATTATACTAGTAGTACCACATATGTTCATACTGAATAGACATCTGGATGGTCAGTAGTCACGAACTAGAAAAGTAATTGACAGGGACTTGCAGGGATACTTGTCAACTAGCCCGTAGGGTGGACTGTTTATGTGTGGCTGGTCATTCCTGAGCTTGTATCGGAATGTGAGCACTTGGACCTGCCACGGTTTGGAATTGGACGCATAGGGGAATCAATTGATCTGCTCAATTACTCAGAAATCGATGGGAGGAACATTTAGGTTCTCAATTTCATCCCGGTCTTGATCACTTAGATGTTCAGGGGGAGTCATGGTCCCGCTTCCACCAAATCCGGGGGAGAAATTTGTCACCCACGGAGGTGATTGAAATTCTACCTAGCAATGGAATATTGAGACTGAAAGTCTAGATCAGTTCTAATCCAAAGTTCATTGCACCGATACTGCTCAATTTGACGTACTCTGTACATCTTACTCGATTCGATAACGAAAAACTGTCATTCACCACCCTTTTGAGCAGAAGATCTTCGAGCGTTGACATTCCCATGGATGGATTCATGGTATCTAGGTGACGAGTACAAGCCATCAGAGAGATGGGTAACATCGAAGAAAATGTTCGACCATACTACAGTAGTACTTTGAACTTGAAGTTGATCATGGAATCGACCCTGAATCTATAGATCTGACTTCGTCCTAGCGCCAAGGTGGGGATACTGTATCGCGCCCAACCCTTAATAGTGGGGAGGCGGGTTGTTGCCAGGGCCCTTGGTTCGTAGTGACAACCACGGATCCAAATCGGATAAGGCTTTCAAAACCATGAAACGGGAGTTATATAGTTCAATGTTGAACAAGGTGCTTCTCCAGAAGTGTTCTCGATGATTCCAATAGATGAAAGATGAAAAATAAGATCTTAATAATCAGAAATGTCAATAGTGTAAACAGTGTAAACATTGCAAACGATGTAAACACAGCAAGTGACTAGCAACCCGAGGTGAACCGTGCATTAAGCTTATCGATAAGCCGGACTTTCCCTAGTCCAAATTGGGTCACCACCGTAAACATTGAACAACAAGCTCTCGGGTCTCACCGTCTGAACTACTTTCCCTTTCCTCTGCCTCCAGCCTTGTTCAAACCCTGGTCCCCCAGGCTGGATATTTCTCCAAAACTTTACATTTCTTTTTCCTCCAATTTCTGCCACTATGTTGCTTGCCTGAGTTGTCGCACCTTTTGTGGCTTCGTGTACCCTTTCCGCCCCTCCCTCCAACCTCAAGCTGGCTTGGTCCCCAATAAGATCACCGGCATTCCAAACACCGAGTTGTCATCTTGCTCGGCGACACTATCTGATCCGTGCTTAGCTCACCCATTCTGAACATACCTCTCCTACGTCTACTGTCGATTTTTACACCGCGCCCGCAACACGACATCTCCGATCGCGATGGTACCCAATGCGCCTCACCTGCCATCGCGGTTCCCATGCTGGTGCCGCGCGGTTTATTCTTGGGGAGGAGAGACAAATCGAGATCTGGGATTTGTGGAAGGCGACTTGATTGAATGTCTCAATGCTGGCGACGGACAATGGTGGATGGGTCGTCTGCGTCGTGACAAGCGGGCGGTTGGACTGTTCCCATCTAACTTCGTGGAACTGATGAGCGAGGACTTCGTGCCCGTGAGTCGAGACACGAGTCCTATGGTTCAAGCAGGCTCGTCGCCAATCCATAATCCCACTTCTGCTCCCAAAAAACAGAAGACAGTATTCCGGAAGCCGTTCCAAGCTCACAAAGAAGCCCTGTCTCCCGCTTCGAACCTGGCCCGGAGCAGATCGAATACTCCGGTCACCAGCTCAATTCCACAAACTCCCCCTCGAGGTATTGGTGGTACGCCCCAGAGTGTGAAGCCTTTGCGTACACATGCATCTGCAGTTAAAAACCAAGGATCGGTTTCATCCCGTCCCTCCTCCGCATCCCGACCGTCCTCGTCGCGTGGTGTCTCACCTCGTACATCCGTGGAGCCTGAACGATCGCCCTCGCATATGATGGCTCGCGGCAGCATATCCTCGTCGCTTCCCTCCTCAAGAGACGTCTCCCCTCTGCCCAGGGAATCTCCTGTGCCTCGGGAATCTCCCATGGCCCGGGAGAACTCTCGATTATACCACCAAAGTCCGCAACCTCAACGCCAGCCTTCTCCCCAGCCGTACCGTACAGCATCGCAATTGCCTCATCGTGGCAGCTCACCTATGCCTTATCATTCCCCTTCGACTGTGCAGCACCGGCCAGTGTCACCAATGTACTATGATGATCCTCAAATGCACCATCGCCAGGTTTCTCCAATGCCTCATCGTGCAGTTTCCCCGATATATCGTCCAGAAGATATCCCGATGCATCGTGAGCCCTTTCCAATGCCTCACCGAGCCCCTTCTCCGATGTACCATCGCGCCCCTTCTCCAATGAACCAGCGTGCTCCTTCTCCAATGCACCAGCGTGCTCCTTCTCCAATGCACCATCGTTCTCACTCCCCAATTCCACAGCGATCTGTTTCTCCAATGCCAAATCGCTCTGTATCGCCCATGTATCATCCTGAACCCCCACAGCATCGCCTGCCTTCCCCACTCCCATATCAGCCTCTTTCTCCGATGCCACATGATTACTCTGGCATGGATATACAAGATCAAGCCGACTCTCCTCCTCCTCCGCCTCCGCCACATCGCGTAGCCCTCGGCCGTCCGAGATCGCATTCACCTCAGCCACCTATGCCACCACCGCAACAGCAGGGCTTCCTACCTTCACCTCAACCTGCGACTCATGCACCTCGACCATCGCGCTCACCCACTCCTTTGAATATGAACGATCGCTATGTCATTTTCTCCCGCACTCCATCACCGGGGGCAATGTCCACCCGTTCCGCACAATCGGATATCAACGGAAATACACCCTCTCCTCTGCGAGATGCAATGGAGGATGTGATGACATCTTTGGAAGACATGGGCTTGCCGCGCGATCCTCCTTCCCCATCACCACATCCAGGATCAACGCGTTCACCCGCGCCAGCATTTAACAATCCCTGGTCGGGCGATGAGTTTGATAACATGGAGGATAAAACACCGCCTGCACGAAGACGCCGCCCCTTAACTTCCTTAGGTTTCGATGGTTATAAACAGCCAGCTCGTGGTGAGTTGGTCCACCGGAACAGCGTTTATTCTCACGATCACTATATGGATGGCCCGCCTCAATTGAACAACTATGTTCAAAGGATGGAGAGTCGACTTCGTCAATTGGAAGATCAAAATCGACCGACCGATGAGAATGAAGCTGGAGGTGATGATCAGCCACCTCCACCACCTCCAAAGCATGCTGCTACATATCATCCGCGTCACAATTCAATTCCAGCCCAGTATCCCCATCTCAAAAGCCGCCGCTCTGGACAAGATCTTCGAATTGATAAACTGAACCGCACATTTACGAATAAATCAAGTGCCACATCTTCTACGGGCGTGCAGAGTGTTGGCACCAATGTAACATCGAGCACTGATAAGACAAGTCAAAGCTTTATGAGTGGGGTGTCCGCCGGCGGTTTTAGTGCGACCAGTGCAGGGAGTTATGCCCGACGAAATGGTGCATATGAGAGACCAAACACAGCCATGGATACCTTTAGGTCTCGTGGATTTAGCGACGCAGGCCATATGGACAGGCCTGAATCTCCCATGACAGGAGTTTCATACCATTCCAGTCATAATACATCACGACAAGGGGCCTCATCTGCTATTCCATGGTCATCTAACGATAACGACGTCGGTGATTCAGGTGGTGTATTCGGCGGACTCTCCACCCCAAAGAGCAAGAAACAGGGGTTCTTCAAGAAGATTTTTGAGTCCGCCAAAACAGGCGCCGCGAGTGCTCGAAGCAGTATCCACGGTGGCTCTCAGTCACCTACCAAAGGTAACAGGGTGATGGATGTTGTATCACCTCTGCTCACGTCTCATTCGAACCGCGATACGAACCGTGACACTGAAGTCAATACCAGTGCTATTGACTGGGTTCAAGTACGTCGCGATGTCAACCGAGCATCATCCCCCAGTCGAAATGAGAGGATCGAGCGAGCCGAACGATGCCAGATGATGGATCATCCGGTCATCTATGCTGTTGAGGAGCTCTACGATACAGCGGAGGGCGATGAGAGTATTGATGGACTGCCAATCAGCGAACCTGCCAATTTCAATGCCGGTAATTTGACCTTGGTTGACAAGAGCGCCCGATTCATAAACAGTGTTCCACCAATGACCAACCCAACGACTCTGGCTCAAGGCTATATTTGCCGGCCTTACAAGAGCGATGTCCAACGCCTTCGAGCTATCTTCACCTGGGTCAGCGAAAAGATCGCTTGGGAGGAACCCCTCGATGGGCTTGAGGTAGATATGAAGAGGGTTCTTCATGCCAAACGGGGTAGTCCCCAGGAGATTGCCATCCTCGTCAATGATATGTGTGCTGCGGTCGGACTTCACTCTGAAGTCATTCACGGCTTCCTGAAAAGCCCGGGAGATACTTTGGATCTAGAAAGCTTGTCTCGTCCCAATCACTGGTGGAATTCGGTGCTCGTTGATGGGGAATGGCGCGTCATGGATTGTGCATTGGCGAATCCCACAAGCCCTCAAAGAACTAAATTTGTCACCAACAATTCGTCTACTGCAGAAAGCTGGTACTTCCTTGCACGCCCTCTTGAGATTTGCTATACACATGTTCCACTTTATCCTGAAGAACAACACATCTGCCCTCCTGTGTCACCAGATGTTCTTCTCGCTCTCCCGACAGTGTGTCCACAATATTTCAAGCTGAACACTCAGTTTCCTGACTATGATACGAGCTTGATCCGAATTGATGGACTCGAGTGTATGCAAATTTGTCTCGTCGTTCCTCCAGATGTCGAGTGTGCTGCCGAGGTAGAAGCCCCAGCATTTGCCTGCGACGCAGATGGTGATTACTTTGAGAGTGGTGATATTTTGCGTAAACGCGCTCTGGTTCAGCCAGACTGGGTCGGTGGTCAGAAGCGAATTACTGTCAAGGCTGTTCTACCCGGAGATGAAGGACAGGGTGTGTTGAAGATTTATGCTGGCAAGAAGGGTCTGATGCACACAAGTAAAGACATTCCACACCCGCTAGCATTGGCTCTGCCAATACTACACACTGGAGAGAACCCGCCGTACGATTTTGTCCTCCGCCATCCTACGCCACATGCCCAGCGCCATGATCTTTACATTATGCAACCTCAGTGCTCGCGGTTGGCTGTCAATAACACGTTTGTTTTCGCTGTTCGCCAACACCCTTCATCGCCACAGTCTGCGGGCAAGGACGACTTTCCCATCCAGGGTCGTGCCTCTCCCTCGGTTTTCAATCGACCTTCCAGTGCCTTGAGCATGGTGTCAAGTACTGCAGGAGCCTCGACTGTGTCCAGTGCTTCGAATGAATTCTCTGCATCGACCTCTGCCATCTCGTCGACTCGTTCTGCCAGTGGCCGAGAGAAGCCGGCTAAGCTGGCAATCCAGTCTCCTTCCGGAAAGATCATGCGTCTCAGTCGCAAGGCTGACCACATGATCTCTCCTGAAAATCCATCTGACTCTATCCGAGATGGCGCAGCTGAAGGCAGTGTATGGGAGACTGTGATCAAGATTGGCGAGCGCGGTACCTGGCGTGGTCTCGTCCTGGCTGATCGAGTAGCACGCTGGTGTGTCTTTTGTGAATGGGAATGTGTCTGATGTTTGTCCTTATCTCTTGTTTTGCTTATTAGAAATAGTCGATGTGGCCATTTCTTGATTTTGTCTGCATATTTGTTGGGGCCTTTGCTGTTTCATTTCCTTTTCACTCCTAGCATTTGCATCAGGCCATGTTGGAACATTGCATATATTGCGTCTACATTTTCTTTGGCACAGTTAATGTTTCCATGTCTATGGTTTGGCGTTTGATTAATGTGCGTTTTCTTGAGCAGATTTCAATAACAATTAAAATATTGTACACAAACTTGCCATTCTGTATATTCATAGTATTTAGTAGATCTGTGTAATACGCGCCCTGCCTAGTAGTAGGCCTCGCTCTAGCATGTCAGTCGTAATATATCGAGTATCCCTCCAGCTTGAAATCAAAGCTTGGATAGAGCATCTCGCATAAGCGGTGCTACTTGTTTTCTGCTCGCTTTGGTATTCTTCTGGATCCATAATCGCCTCCAAATACCCTCATCTCCATCCAAGGTAGATCGTATCTCCTCATCAGGGATATCCACAGATTCACCATCCAAGGTAGACCATGTGACCAAATCCAGCTGAGACGCGGAATTCTCAACAAATGATTTAATCCCATCGATGACCGGACTCTGCTCCTCCACGGTACTAACAAAGAGCTCACGAGCGAACTCGCCATTCTTGGAAGTAAAGGAAGTCATTACAACCACCGCGTCCAGATGTCTCCCCTCCGAAGACGCAAACTCCTGTATTCCATCCAAAAATGCCTGAGATCCACCAGCCTTGCGAAGAATCCAACGAATCGGCTTAACAGACGAACAAAATCCAATCGTCATGCTCGTCCCCGAAGACTGCGCCGTCTCAGTCCACTCCTTATAATCCCTCCCCAAGACCTCAGACAGGGTTAACCGATCCAGACTATTCTGTTTCGCCCAGAGAACTTGCTCATAGAATTTCTCCATATCCCATGTAGACCCTTCTTCACCTCCGACCGCCGCAACCTGTGCCTGCAGGAACTCAACAGCGCGTACGTCTACCTGTGTAACCTTCCCCTCAGCCTGCAAATTCGAAGTATCAATAAGTATAGCCGCAAGGGCCAACTTCGCCGCCTGCGCCATCTCCGATGACGCGTCCACGCTAGCAGAATCCGAGCCCGAACCCCAAAGTCCACGCTCGCGCATCTCATTCGTAATAAGCGAGGAACATGACCCCGGTCCAGGCTGGATTATAATCGGCTGGCTGAAAGGTAGTTTTTCCTTGTCAGGCATGAAGCGTTCGTCGACGTGATGGTCTATGCAGCCCACCGCATGAAAGGTTACTTCTGATAAGACGCCACCCAGGGACCCCTTCCCCTCTGCTCCTGCACCTCCGGGGAGGCGTTCGGGTAATGCATTCCAATCCACCAATACAGTGTCTGCTTCGATATGCTTTCTTGGTGGCTTTAGATCGTGTAGTGATTGGGCGAAATCAGCTACCGTGATTATATGGTCGCGTAGCAAGTTCCCTGCAGACTCGGCCGAATCCTCAAACTGTTCATCGGGTCTTAGTGCGGGGAAGGGTGTGGAGAGCCAGAGCGCTGTGACGAATTCGGGTCGGAGGCGGTATAGGTCTGGGCCAGATGGAATTTTGGGGAGATTCAGGAGAGGAATATGAGGGCGTGGTGTCTTGCTTGGGAGGTGGTTGTTGGCGCAGTAGGAGTAGATTATGGCGGAGATGATTGAATCGAGGTCTGCGGAGGGATTACCCAGGACGTAGATTGGGGATTCAGTGAGGGATCCTGAGAGGAATTGAAGGTGTATTTGACGGGCTTTTCGGAGGAATTGAAGGATTGTCATGGTGGGTGAGTATTTGAGGGAGTTCAACTTGAAGTTGAAGTCGATGCTGAAGCTGAATCATTAATGTGCGAATGTTTTTTTCTTTTTTGTTTTGAACTCCGCTACGTCACTGACGCTGGGTCATGTCCACTATTTACTTCAAGTTTCCAACATAGTCAATAAGAGTAGGTAGGATTTGAAGAGCTAATATTTATGCCAGTGTTAATAGCACTATGAAACAAATAGCAAACAACAGTGTAAGTGTCACGGGGGTAAAGGGATTCACTTGGTCTAAAACGAGAACTTCCTCCTTTACCCTTCACCCATGACTCCATGAGCAACTCTGCGATCCAAACATTTGAAAACACGAAACTATTCCTCGCCCATCAAAGACAACACGACAGAATGCCACCTGCAAAAGATTTACCCGTGCTCCCTGAGCTCGAATTCAAGGCTTACTGTGAAGACAGTGATTTCCAAGTTCAATGCAAGCCTGAGCCTTACAATCGCTCCCAGACAGTGATCTACCGTATTCATGACAAAAAGTGGTGGATCAAAATCACATTACACGGCGCAATCCCATGGTCTTCTCACAAAATCTGGCCAAGACAACTCAAGTCCAAACGTGAACGACGCAATGAAGTGCAAGACCTTGTCACGATGATCGATTTCCAATCGCTGGTGCTTCTGGATGATACTGTCTCTGAACTTATTTTGAATGACCCAGAGACAACTGACACTGCAAATCTGTGTCTGAAGCCAGGAGTTACCAATCAGCCAAGAGTCATCGGAGATATGAAATATTACATTCGTGAGGATCCTTTGAGAGTGAGATATCTATTACCCGCTCAATTCCCGTCATTTCGAGCTGTCGAAATCTCTGAATTGATACAAGAGATTGAGATATCGGCTGGAGTGTTTCGCGTTTTCCACAGAGGTGACAGGATGCCATATGTTCTGAAGATAATCGATCGCCCTTTTTACGACCCGCAAGATACGGATGTCATAAAACAAGAACTAGAGAACCTTGAACAGTTCAGAGGGGCAAGAGGCATAGTCCAGTCTGTTGGTGTCGCAGTGCTCACCAATCCATACGCAACCTGCCAGAAAGGTAGTCAACGGCCTGAGATGGTCATCAGTGGTATTTTGTTGGAGTTCTATAGCGGCGGATCCTTGAAACACGTCCTGAAAGAACAACAATTCAACAATATCAGCTGGGAGGACTGGGCTATCCAAATTGGGAGTGCGTTGGATACTATTCATCGCGCAGGGAAAACCCATATGGACTTGAAGCCATCGAATATCGTTTTAGACAAAGATGGGAATGCGATTCTTATTGACATTAGCGGGATCGGTGGAATTACGCATGGATGGCAAGCTCCAGAGATACATGATGAGATAACACCATTTGATCTCCCATTTCAAACTCGGCAATTGAATGACATTTGGACCTATGGGAAGATTCTAAAGGAAATAGCATCAGCGGCTGGAGATTGCACGTTTGCGAGAGCTCTTAACATGGTTGCAGATCATTTAACTGAAGATGTTACTACTCGATGGACCTTATCTGAAGCAATTTCTCAATTGAGAACCTCTCGTTATTGATTCTAATGAATCAGGTCTGTGTGGAATCAAAATGAAGCTGTCCCCATGTGCACAGTAGCAGCATGGCTTGAATTCAAAAACCTTGGAAGATTAACGTTAGCCCTATCACCTAGTACTACAACAGGTAGCAATACAAAGTATCCGGTCGTCCGGCTATCATGACAATCCAATTTCCTTTCATTTCACAGTCCACCTGCAACTCTACTAGTATGAGGATTACAAATTGAATTTCTATCCAATGCTTCACATACGCAAGCCACTAAAAAAGATACACTCAGATCACCGAGAGAAAAGGGAGTTACACAATATCTCAAGCCTCGTCTGACCGATTCGTGAATCCTGCGGGTTCCTTTCATGCCAACTTTACCAGAGGATGAATATGTCGACGGAGTTCACCGATAATTGAACCAAGGGTCTTGTTTCTAGCGTTATATCAGTGTCCGCAACAGGTTACTTCTTTTGCATCTGGAAGGGCGAGTCGATGAAGAGTCCAATCGGAGACCTTATTGCTCTCGGCGATGAGGTTAGTGGGAATTCGTCAGCTGAGATACAGGCTGTGCCTGTGAGACTAGATCGGGATTCTCCGAATCAGAATGGCATGGTCCTAAGATGGCCTAGAACATACGAGCGCAGATTCCGAGTTCGACACTGAGGACCCCCGGAGATACCAATTTAGTAGAAAACCGGGGTATAGATGTTCGGTCACCATCTGCCAGCGACTATTGTCGAGGTAAAAAATCATGAAAATGAGCGACAGAGGATTATCATGCTATTGGAGGGCTCAACTTGGTATACTGCACTGCACGTATGCAGCCTTGCGGATGCATAGCGCCTCCAAGTGCACGCATTAATGTTTGATAGAATCAACGCCCAAAACTAAAAATAAGATTGTTAGCCTCGAACCGAGTCTGGACATCTGGAAAGATCAACATGGATTTTCTTGCCGAAGTTGGAAAATCCATGGGCATCTTACTGATGTGGTGCAAACCCCGTAGGCATTATAGAATGCCCAAATATGAGTTTGCTGCGAGCCTGCGAGTCGGAACTAATCCCGGAAAGGACGTGGACGATCAATCGCCAAAAATGTCCTGGATGACTGTTCGTGTCCTCATTACGTAGGCGTCATCTGATACCCCGACATATCAACTCACTAGCGTGGTGAATGTGATAGTGGCTACAGAGGTTCGCTACGGTGCTCGCCGTTCCTACATACATTAGCGCCGGGAATCCTGAAGAACTGTCACCTCCATCAGGCTCCATCAGGCTCCATGAACTACGCTCGAACGCCACTAGCTCCCGTTTCCCTGCTCCGCACCAGTCGCTAAGAACTGCTTTCTCGCAGAATATGGAATTCTTGGAATTCTCAGCTTATTCGAACCAAATCCCTTCATGTTCGCGCTCAATGTAGTCTATATTTTCTTATTCTGGGCTCATCCATTCCCCTTTTGGAGGTCGAATTTCTTGAAGAGGCTGAGCTGAACGTTCGCGTGACTTCTCAACTTCCAAAATCGCTTCGGAGTTGACCCAAATCTGGAAAGGACGTACTTTTCGTCTCATTTTGAAACCTCAAGAGAGGGAGGCTAGGGAATTGGCCATTCACAAGGATTCTACATCGGCATCATCCACCGCGCTGAATGCCTTACAGACGTTGCTGAGATTTTGAAGGTCGAGCAAGAAGCAACAGCGATGTCTATAAAAGGATGACCAGGACCAGGTCTTTTCTTCATCATCATCTCATCTTCAGACTCAAGTTTTCAACTTATCTCAAACATCTCTTATTGCCAAAATGGGTGCCAACCTCAGTTCTCTCATCGAGAAGGAGGCTCAGGATCCGGACGGTGCCAAGGTCCGCGAGCAGCTGGACATTCTCATGAAACTTGCCGATGCTAGACTTGATACCTTCGAGTCAGAGCTGACAACTATGTTCCTTGACAATGCGTCCACAGCCAAGCGCAGTGTCCCAGGAAAGCGTGCATTGCGCTTTGAGAGGTCTGTCCGTGTCAACTGCGGTAAGGAGGTAAGTTTATTTCACCCAGGATCGATGATAATCCAAATTCTAATTGCCAAATAGTACGGCAAGGACCTCTCTACCACGATTGACACCTACTTTGGGTATGGAGGTTCCAACACAAAGCCGTTGGGTGTTGAGGAGGACGCTCTCAATGGCTTCAAGACCGTCGTCACGCGCGGAATGGAAGAGTTCCTCACCGACACCTCTGCTGGTGAGGCCTATGACAAGAAATTCTTCGTCTGTATCAAGCAGTGAGTACAATCCATCATCTTGATCCTCCCACTCACGCTAACTCTCGCAGCAATGCTATTATTCGCGTGGATGTGTACACTTACCGGTACAACTTCACTAAGGGTGGTGTCTTCGCCCAGAACGAGTACAACAACGTGCTTGGATATGTCATGTGCACCTCTGTCGTTGACCACACGGCTTTGACCGTCGACGAGATTGTCTTCCTTGCCTCGGAATTTGCTGGCGATCAGCCCTGGCAGTACGAGACTTACCTCTGGCAGCTCATTCACGTCTGGAGATGGCTGGGAGATAAGACGGTGACAATGGACCCCAAGGTCCAAGAAGAGACTAGGGTTGTCACCGCTCGTCCCAAGGAGAGTAAGAAGATTGATTCTAAAAATTCTGAGAATGATCAGAAAGTCCGCGACGTCGGACCACCTCCTGAGGCTGGGTCGGGTTCGTCGGCCACTGTTGAAACTCAAAGTTGATCTCTTGCTTGCAAGTTGATCACTGACCGTCTCTGTCCTTGACACTTTGTTTGACTGATTTTCTGCTTTCTTGACTTTCTTTTGGCTTATTGATTTTTTGTTATTGTTTGTGCTTTTTGCTATAGTTTGACTTTGTTAGTTTAGTTCAGTTATGCGACTCTTATAGCTTTGAATTCTTCTCCGAGTCAGTAAACAGTAAATTATGCTGGTAGTATTCCAAGATGAGTAGTGGATAGACTTACATATGCAAAACTTGAAGTACTCCCTATTTGGTTTATTTACAGTAAGATCTTGGACTTTTCTCAACTTCCATTTTCGCTTTAGTGTTCACTCATACTTGATTAGCTATCAAGAAACACTGATCTGGTACTGGTCATAATTAGGCGCCCGACTCCGTATTTGTCGCGCAATCGATCGGTGCCAACTTCCAAGGTTGAAGTTCAAGGCCTGACGATTACCTGCAGGCTGAGAGTGGGGTAAAGAATAACCCTGTGTTTTCAGGTTGGAAATCTCTCTTCCTTCGGCCCAAAGCGACCTATGATTTTTTCCGAGGGTGAAGAAACCTATCATACTCAAGTGATCAATTCCAATATTGATATTTCCGAAGCCAAACACATCGTTTAGGTGGAGATGCTCCCCGATTATTCCCAACTTCGACTTGGACCGAATATCACCCGCCTAGTAATTCTTTTACTCCCAGAGAAAGATGATGCCCAGATAAAATGCGAGCTTTTCAACTTTATTCTACCAAATCAAAATGGTAGAAAGCATCTCTGAGGCTTTATCCTATGTTTGGGGTAGCGAAAATCAACCTCGTGCAATAATTCTTACAATCTTTATACAGCCTTGCTGCACCTCCGAGACCATCAGCTAAGAAGAAAATTGTGGATCGATGCCCTATGTATCAATCAGGATGACGATGATGAGACGAGCGCACAAATTCCACTTATGCGGGCGATATATGTGCAAGCTAATTGTGTCACTGTCTGGCTGGGAGAATCCATAGAGGACGGCGGAACAGCGCTTAAAATGATTCGTCGTCTGGCCCTGGCAGAAGATCAAACTCAATTTGGAGCAGAAAATGAAATTTTTCAGGACGAATTGTCATCGGCTCGGAGCCAGGAGACAAAAAATGATATATGCCTGAAGCTTTTACAGCGAGCGTGGTTCCAACGAATATGGGTAAGGAATGAATCAAATGTCTCCAGCGCTACATACTAGTATAAATCTAACCAACTATGATAGGTACTTCAAGAGATTGGTGTCGCACGATGCATTTCTATCATCTGTGGCTCTGTGGAAATGAACGGACATGTTTTCTTCGAGGGTGTCAGTACTTTCTACAAAGCTCTATTCACCCAGTCCTTTACCTTATAAGCGGTGCGCTTTTTCGACCAAGCTATGAGATCGATTCCCATGGAGCACTGACAATAATCATCATGCCACTAAGCCACATGATAAAGTCTATGCATTACTAGGCTTAAGTGCCGAAGATACCAACCAAGCTAGTTTAAAACCAAACTATCGCCTTCCATGGAATGAGGTCTTCAAGCAGATCACTATGGACATATTTCCAATTTCATGCTCTGTGGAAACATGGCCCGAGACGCTAGTCGCTGTGGTTAAAGGAAAGGGGTGGATTTTAGGTTACGTTGATCATGTTAACCCAGGCACTTCCATGTATAGCCATCAACAGATCAACGTAGCCTATAATGACACTGCGCGTTCACTGGGTTGTGGAAGCAAATGGGGCACGCAGTGGACATTGCAGGCTTCTGCAGAATCAATACAGGCAGGTAATATTGTCTGTCTGTTGAAGGGGGTTTTGAGTCCTACTGTCTTGAAACTTTGCAATGACCACTTCAGAGTTGTTGTGAGTACAGCCACTGTTCTGACAGGCAAAAATACAGAAAACTCAGCCCGCTATAATGTGATTTCTGCTCAAAATTTCTTTCTCATACTGAAGTCTCTCAACGACATTCATATGACCTGGAAATATCCTTAGCTGATAAAGAGTGCGACAGTGGGCTAAAAGAGCAAAAAGACCTCATATCTCTGGCGCCACATTATCAAGAGATAGCTTCTGAAAAGGCACAAAGACTATATGATGTATCAATGATAACATATGATATTATGAAAGAGATGGCGGTAAAGAACGATTCTAAAGATCACATAGGATATCTACTCCAATGCTGTGGAGAGAGCCTTCCCGTCTCTGAAGATACGTCAAGACCACAGTGGCAATTACTGAAGATAAAGGGCATCAGATCATACAGCAGCTGCTGGCCCACTTTGGTGAGAGCCTACCTATCACCGAAGATGTGGTCAAGATTGCAGTAGCAAATACTGGACGAAGAGGATACAAGATCATACAGCAGCTCCTGGAATACCGGGGGAGATGCTGCCCGTCTCCGACGATGTGGTCAAGATAGCAGCGGCAAATATCGGTCATAATGGATATCGGATTATATAACAGCTCTTAGACCACTATGGACAGATTTTACCCGTCTCGGAAGATATGGTCAAGACGATAGCTGCAGATACTGGACATAAAGGACATCAGATTATGCAGCAGCTCTTGGAACAATATGGAGAGAGCCTGCCCGTGTCTGAAGATGTGATCAAGACAGCAGTGGCAAAGAGTGGAGATTAGTATGGATGTAACTTCATGCATAAAAGGCATATCAGTTCTTTTCCAGCTCTAGATTTCCGCGTGTAAGTGTTTAAACCTGAACATTTGAAATATTTCACATGTCAACCTCGAATTTATGCATAAAAACTAAAAAACCCCACGTCCCCACATCCCGCCTAATGCATCCCCGCATCGAAGTCAATGTCTCAACGTCAACATCAACATCCCCCTGAGCTTGAACTCCAATTTCCCATCATTCAAACTACAATGGCTAAAATGTCCCTTCAACTCCCCGAAAAGCTCGCCCAAATCCCCCGCTATCCAATCCTTTACCCTCATCCATCCCCAATCCACCCCCTCTCATCCCTTACATCATCAACCAACAATCGCCTCCAACACAAGAAACCCCAAATATCAATCTTCACCAAACGGGAAGACCACTCCGCGCCCCTCGCTTGTGCAGGGAACAAATACCGCAAACTTGAATACATCGTTCCGGATATATGTTCCAAAAGCCCAAAATACGGACACCATGAACACCACCAACAAACAGATCCACTTCCCGGCCCCGTCACAACGCTCGTTACGGAGGGTGCGATCCAAAGTAACCATACCGTGCAAGTCACCGCGCTCGCTAAAAAACTAGGCCTCAAGGCTTTGGTACTACTACACCGGGGTACGGGAGGTGGTCTGCGCACTGCGAGGGATAAACATGCGTTCTTGTCTACGGGGAACGTGCAGATTAATCGGGTTCTTGGTGCTGAAGTACGGATTTATGCGGAAGGGGATCCTATAGCTGAGGATGCAGAGCCGGTTCTTCGGGAATTATTTTCAAAGGGAGAGGTTCCTTATTGGATCCCTAGTGGTGCGAGTTTACATCCTCTTGGTGGATTGGGATATGCTCGTGCCGCGGTGGAAATTATAGAACAGGAAAAAGAGATGTCGCTAAAGGGATCGGGGAAATTCGATTTTGTGTTTGTTGCTTGTGGGAGTGGGAGTACGGTTGGTGGATTGATTGCTGGTTTTAAGATGCTGGAGAAGGATGGAATGACCTCTACTAGGCACATTATCGGGGTTTTGAATTCGCCAACAAAGCCAAAGGCATATCATGAGCAACGAGTGCTTTCCTTTGCGCGACAAGCAGGACGGCTTATTGGGCTTGAGTCCGAAAGGGATATACACATGTCAGATGTGCGACTTGAAGATTGGTTTGTGGGTACTGCGTATGGGGTTTTGGATTCAGAGACAAAGGCCGCATTAGAGACTATGGCGCAGAATGAAAGTGTCATTTTGGACCCGGTCTATACGACCAAGGTTGCTCGAGCAATGATACATTGGCTACAAGAGAAGGAGATCAGTAAGTATGCCGAGGAAAATGGATTGGAGCATATCAATGTGCTGTTCATTCATACAGGTGGTCAGGCAGCCTTGGGGGCATACGACCTTGATGTACATGACCAAGATGATTAAGAAGTAGTAGTAATAATAGAACATTTGAATAGAATCCATATTGGATATGAAATGGTGCATTTAACTAGTATTACACTGTAACTAGCGAACAAAATCGAAGCAGACTGCCTGGGTCATCAGAAACATAGCCGTAGCTGGCATAGAAAATAGGAGATAGAAAACAGGAGTGAAGAGAAGTGATAAAGCGCTAGAAAACTCCATGGGCTCGCCTGGCCCTGTCACCCCGTAGGACACCCTGATTAAGAATGAACCCGAATTCGACAGACGAGTAAGAAAGTAAGAGACAATGAAAGAAGGGGTAAAAAGGACCATAAAGTCAGAATCGAACAGATAGTAGACATGAAAAACATTTAAGATTAGTGATACAGAAAGACAATATTAAGAATCGACCTCTGGTTTCGTGTCACTAGCCGGAACTTCAGCTGGAGCTGGAGCACAGGCGGTTTGAGCTTCGGCCGGCTCAACATTCCCACTTTGAGCAGGCTCGGCAGTAGGAGAAGGAGTGCGGCTGCTGCCATTGCTGACATCGAGTGCCTCGAGCACCTCATTGGTGTGGGTGTTCTCCATAGCATCAGCTTCGACATCTTGGTTTGTAAGATCGGCAAACATCTCATCCATATTTGGGCGAGGGCTACTGCTGACAAATTGAGGATCACGGTCGAAGCGGGTCGGACTGAAAAGAGAAGTTTCCATTCCTTGCTGAGGTGTGGGAGATCGAGGAAGGAAGGATGGTGACTGTGAAGCTGCTGCTGCATGAGGCAGGAATGCAGAAGATGAGGATGCAAATGCAGGCGTTGAGTTGCTTGCGGGCAGGGCGTAGTCAGCGGAGAAGGGGTAGGATGTGTTATTATTTGAGTCAGACATGGGGGTCAATGTCGGTTCAGTAGCAGCAGGCTGATTGTTGCCCGCTACTGGAGGTACCGCTTGCAAAGAAGAGGGCTGAGGAGTAGTCTGAGGTTGAGATTGGGCATCGACAGACTTGCGTTTCACGGTCATAAGTTTAGCCCGGAGATGATCCGGAAGATCTTCTGGTCGGTCAACACCCATCTGGGCCATGATTTTCTGTTGCTTCGTGGGCCGAGGTTTGCGCGTAGACAAGGATTGTTCTAAAATGGGCGGTGCATCAGGCGCGACAGGCGCCCATTTATGAATTTCCTGGCGGAAGAAGTTGGTCTCGTAGGCTAAAAGCACCTCCGCTCCCTCGATTTTTCGCAAATAGAAGATCAATGTAGGCACCTCCTCAGTGGTCGTACAGGCTGCATTGGTGAATCCTTGAAGAAAATCTCGGAAAGCAGTCGCCTGGTGGACGATGCTATCCAAAACCTCTTCCTCGTCCGGCTGGAAAGGAAGGGTGGCAATCTCAGCTTGCCAGTCTAACAAGTCCTCCAGCTTTGGACGAGCGGCATCACGAGGAATCTTCTGACGCCAGTCACAGATAGGGCAGGTGTACTTGTCAAACTCCTTCACTTTACCCCGGGCAATCTTCAAACATTTCCCATGATACCTAAAGACTTGTTAGTCATTTGCTTTGAATACCTTTTCTTTGGATATATTGACTCACCATTCATGACAGACTTCACACTCAATCATCATTCCGGCTTCCAGTTTTCTGCAAATACAGAAAACATCCCGCTTGCGTGACTTGGGACCCCAGACATTAGGGGTTGGGTTCTCCAGCAAGCCATCTGGAGTGTTGTCTCGTGATGAGGGCTCAACAGGGGGCCGATAACTGTCATCCAGGTCGAAACAGAAAGAGTTGCGTGACTCAACATACTCCATATGAGACTTGAGAATGTGCAATGGAGCATTTGCTTTGCCAAACAACTTTTTGCCTTTCCTCATCCAATCTTCATGGCGCTTCTGTTCGCGTTCCAGGTCGATGGCCCCGATTGGGCGACTGTTTAGCTGTTCCAGAGACTCGATGAGTTCACGAATATCCTTGTACTTTGGTCTGTTCCTCAAATCGGGATCTTTACTCCTTTCATACAGTGTTTGGATCCTCTTTTGGGCCTCTCGCTGTTTGGTCAGGATGGCATCTACGGCAGCCAAAGTGTCAGGCGAGACCGGGAAGCGGGATGCTTGCGCGGAAAGAGCCTCCAACTGCTGGTAGTGCACAGCCTCCACAGCCATCAACTCCTTGGCCTTGGTTTCCCAAGCCTCGCCATGTCGACTGAGTTCCTTGAAGAAGACTAGGTTCTCATTGGAGTCGGTAACTCCGAGCTGTTCTCCGGCGGTGACAAATTCCTGGCAATCCTTGAGGGCGAGGCGCTGATCCCGTTTACGGGTGGCCTCTTCAGTCCATTTCATTTGTTGCATAATCTTCTCCAAATGCTCCACCTCCGGGATTTCCACGTTGAAATTTCGGCCGGACTCCACCAATTCCTCAATATCCTGGATCGATCGAACATGCGGGTTCATCAGGGCACCGTTAACATCCTGGCGGAATTTCTCGATTTCGCGGGTTTTCTCTTCCAAGGCCGCCATCTGTGGACAGTCGAAGGAAAGTTTATCAGCCTCTGCCAGTAGGGCGTAGATGTTCTCCACTCTGCGAACTTCGCGATCACGCTCGTCCAGCTGCGCCGCCGCCTTCGAACTAGCTTTACGCCATGCTTTCTCGTTTTTTCTGCGGTTTTGCTGTTTCCGGGTGATGTAGTTGTTCGCCTCCTCAACCCATTTATCGCAACGCTGGACGAAGGCCGCAAGATCTTGGAGGCCAGGCAGGTGGTATGGGATTTTCTCACCTTCACTGAGCAAAGTGTGCAGAGCTTTGAGCTGTGGTTTCGGCTCATTCTCCAAGGTCTTGTCAAGCTTCTCACCCCAGACCTCGGGGATTCTGGCTCGTTCCTGAACCCTTTGGACTACTGCTCTGAGCTCTTCATCGCTGACGCGGTAGCGCAGGGTATGGCCGGGGCCCAGTAGTTTCTGGGGAAGGGACTCACCGCAGCAGTCATAAGCTTCCACATGTAACAAGCAAAGAGTTTTGCCTGACTTGTGGCAACGGAACTGCGTGAGGTAAGTGTAGGCCTTGCAGTGCTGACACTGATAATCATCTTCTGGGAGATCCTCCTCTTCTACTACGAACTTAAGTTGACAATCACCTGTTTGGGCGTTGGTGCCGATGGCACAATTGTGAGGCATGGCTTCTCGATGGCGGGTTAGGAATGCTACTCTCTCGCCTTGTTCTCGACGGGAGGATCGGTCAAGGGCAGGCGCAAGCCACTTCGCAGTTGTAATAGATGTATCCCGAGCTGCCGCTGTGAATAGCAGTTCATCGTGAGAAAAGCATGGGTGTCTGCGGAAGGTCTGCAGGCGTTCCACTCCCGCAGCACCCCAAGGCTCCCAGTCTGCTGGGGCAAAATTGACCGCCTCGTTGAAATTGAACCCATGGTTGAAACCGGCATGGTAGGCCTGAGGGAATGTAAGAACAAACTGGCCGGCCCGCTGGTCTACCGCATACACATTGACGCCGGCCTTCCGTAGCTTGTCTGGCGGCATGAGAGTAACCAGCTGGAAGAGAAGATCAGGCTGTCCTTCGAACAGTTCCGGAACTGCGTCGCGCATGGCTGCCTCGAACGCCTCGGCATCTGCTCCGGGAATACCGTACCAGGTCTTGGTGGCACCGAAGTGCTGATAGTTGGCAGAGTAGGCGTAATGATCTTCGTTGTGCCAGCAGAATGTTGAGAAGCACATTCCGACATAGACCCAAGGCACGGTCATACCGGAAACATCGGACTTGATGTGACGGAAAAGCGAATCTCCATAGAATGGAAGGACATTCAAGTTCCACGGATCAGACGAGTAAGAATCAAGCGGGTTTCGCTCGATTGTCGGGAATCCACTACCATGCGTAGTTGAGTGGATGTCAGCACCGTACTCAACTTCAACCGTCTCATGTAGATCGACAACCAGCTTCCAGAACTCAGCCTCAACGTCATCCTCAGTCTCACGTCTGTGAGTGTTGAGAACAGGATCAAAAGGCATTTTCGAGGCGAAATATCCCTTCTTGAACTCATTGGCCTTCTCTTGGAATTGCTTCAGAGAGTAAACGCCTCCGTCTTCGAATCCAAATTCTCCAGTTCCAACCAGACACTTGGGGCAGTGCCAGTCATGATCAGACGGAGCGCTAGTGGTGGGGTCGAGACAAGTCGTGTGGTATCCGAGTTCGCAACTGTCACACACAAGGATTTCTGAACGATCGTCCGATTTGCCGCACGATTCGCACGTCTAGGAAAATTAGATTACTCATCGGATGGAATGTATCAGGGTAGTACTAACCTCGCCAGTTCGCTGTGAGCCATCCTTGCGTGGCTTGGTGGCTGATGGACGGAGAAGTGACATATGTGACCCTGCAACAGTTGGCGCCATGTCTAAAAGAAAAAGAATAGATTGTCAGTTGATACTGAAATACCGGAGGGTGTCAGGTTTGATACCTTTCTTGAGGCGCTTGCTACGCCGGCCGCTACCACCATCATCGCCATTTTCGCCTTGAGAAGTACTGTCATGGCTGATTGCACGCTTGAAGTTTGGACCACCTTGACCGTTTGGAACAGGCGTTGAATGTGCAGGATGCTCAGAAACACTCTTTGGGGTCGATGTCCCATTCTCCCCCTCGTGTTTGATGGCTGGACCGTTGTTCACTACCGAAAATCCTGGGGATTGGGCAACAGCTGGGGAATGATGGTTGACAGCTGTAAAGCCACCGGCACCGAGATTCACAGGGGTAAATCCAGTGGGTACAGGACGCGGCGGTGGGGGTGTAGGCTCAACAGACGGGGTGGGCATATCAGCGGGGTGCGCCAACGGAGTACTCGCAAGTGGGGCCAGTCGTGGAATTGAAGGAGTTTCATCGTGTGGTTTAGATGGAGTGCCAGTTTCGTCGATCAATGGTTTCCTGGTCATGGGAGAGTTACGCGGAGACGGAGTGTATGGTCCACCATGTTCCAACTCGAGCTGCTGCTGAACACCGGGCTTGGCTCGAGCAAGATATTCTTCGTAGGGTTGCAAGTAACGCTGGTAGGAGTTTTTGAGCGAGGTTGATAGAGATGACATGATTTTGCCGCTGTATCCGAGGTCGCGGCCGATTTCTGCCCATTTTTTGGTTTTGCACACTTGCTCAAATCCACCACGAATCTCGACAGCTTTTTTCAGCTTGTACAGATCCAGAGGCCGCTTGTCCACGCTAGGTAAACGACTGTAATTTGTCCCGTGTTGTTTGTGAAACATGGCAAGTCCATCGATGTAGTTCATGTTGGCACGATTCCCTGAATCAAAGTATGGATTAGAACTGCGCTGGGGGGAACTTCCACCGGCAGCAATTTCGGCTGAACTCGGGGTCATACCTCCTTCAACTGAGTTGAGTTCTTGTCGACGAGTCTTGAAGTGGAATCGCTGTAAATGAGATTGTAGGTCAGTCACTGAAAAAACATGCCATGAGACTAATATACATGCAACAGCGGAAACCAGTCTCCACTCGCTGCAAAAGTAGAAGCATGATGACAAGGATCGCATGTAGAGCTTACTTCTGTATCAATGGCAAATGATGGCTGCCAGTTCTCCGGCGGGATGACTCTACAGATACCAAATTTCTTGCCTTCCGGCGCGATTTTTTGGATGTAGGCCACTGGATCCTTGAATTCTTCCTCGGTTGGTCGAAATGTCGGTGCTTCGGGGATGCCATGAGGACGGATGCGCTTCGAAGGTTCACGAGGGGAATTGGACTGGCCACGCCGTTCCACTGTAGATAAGTCCAAAGGCGCCGATCGACGAGCACTCAAAGGTACGTTATGGGAGTGCGACGGGTGGGTGCTGGAAGACCGGGTCGGCTGACGACCCATCGACGATTGAGTAGCCATCGAGTTCGGTCCGGTTGAGGCCGGGGCCACCATCTCTTCCGTCGAATCTAGCTTATGTGGGAAGAGCACAGGATTTATTCCAGGCAACAAGCGCCGTGATCGAGTACCGAGGAGCGTGTTCAGTAATAGCGCGATTGGCGCATTGGAAGGGTAAACGAAGAAGACTGGAGAACAAGGGCGGAAGAGTGTAAGTTTCCTATGGAAGTGTGGAGATCAGAAGAAAATGGGGGGTGTTCTCGATTTGGGTCGAAATAAGGGTATTGGAAATTTGAGAGTAAAAAGAGATAAAGGGATTCAAAAATCGAAATGGGCTGTGACAAACAAGTGAAAAGGCAGTGAGCCAAAGCCACAAGAAGAAAAGGGAAAGGGAAGGATGGATTTGATAGTGGAGGAATGGGGATTATGTGCATTAGTTGTTGCTTACAAGTAACTCCGAGGTCACTCTTGTGTGTCTTACATTAACGAAAGTAACTTCTGAGTTACTTAAAGGATCGCCCGGACTTGAAAGACCGTCACGTATTGTTACAACCCTGTCATTATGGGCTCTTAAGTGGATCTTTGGGCAGCCTTAGGCTTGGTGCCTGGCCCTGATATTGAGAATATTGTGTAATTTAATGGTACTAATGATACACTATCTGTAATAAATGGTTAACCTCTTGTAATCCGTTCTCTATCTTCACGTCTGGACTAGTTTGATGTGGTAATTATACCGTCACTAAATTGATCGAGTCCGCAAACGGGGAATCATACGGTCGATCTCTGATGGGATCAAGGATGATTCTCTTAAAGGTCCGAGCGTCTACATTTGGTTGAATAATATCTTAGCAAATGTCCAGATACGATTACCTAGGTAATGGGCGCAGCTCGTTTTTTGTGATACATCACCGAATTATTCATGCAGCTGATTATCTCAGATCCATTCCGATTATCTTACCTTAAAAAAACTAGAATCTACTATTTAGATATCACCATAAACATATATAAATTATACTACTAGTACCCAGCTGTTTGGTTCTTCAGTCCAAAGTGAAGGCAATACCTCGAGTTTTTTTTATAGATTATCAAATGCTCATGTGATCCATACCTAGGTAACTGCCCAAGGCTGAGATTTCCGAGTTCCCTGGTTTTACCCGTGCGTGGACGTCTCATCAAGCTAAAACCTACGATACACTAGACTCATCGGCTAGAGGCTATTGGGGCCAAAGTAATGTCAATGCCACCTCACCTCAAGTGAAAAAAAAATGGCGAAATTTTATCTCCACCTGCATACTTCCGTACGGAGTACTCCGTCGTGCTCCCGATATAATTGTTGGTCGTATCATGTGATCCACATAGTCAACGCGGCTGAGAATCAACCTTGAAAGCTCCTACCTTCCCTTAAACAGAATCTCAAAAGAAGCAAAAGACCAATAAATATTCCCTTTAAGCAATGGAGGATCAGAGAGAGCTCCGGCCAATCCCGGCCTATTACTGTTGTTACCTTCTCCGCTCAACCGTCCGACACGCTTCGCTGTATATTGGGTCCACGCCAAACCCAATCAGGCGACTCCCACAACACAATGGAGATGCTAAAGGCGGAGCCAAACGGACGGCCCGAGATAAATTACGGCCTTGGGAGATGGTCTTGGTCGTTGAGGGGTTTATGAGCAGAGTGGGGGCTCTTCAATTTGAGTATGTCTAACCAATTGACTCTCTTCATTCAAAAATAAACGACACCCGCTAATATATGAGTAGATGGGCCTGGCAACATCCGGATAGAACTCGACATATTCATCCGGAAAGTGAAGATCAACAGTCTCAGTCCAAAGTCATCGTGAATCCCAAGACTGGGAAGACGAGGCCTCGGCCCGGTCGCTCTCGGAGATCTCTCACGGCCCACCTGGATGATCTACATGCGCTTTTACGCTCCACCTATATTTCGAGCTGGCCACTACGCGTACGATTTTTCTGTGCTGATGTTCATCGTGTTTGGAGAGTCTGGAACGATCGGGTGAATACTCCTATCCCTCATGATAAGATCATCCTAGATGGAGACTGTTCAGCGTCGAGTGGAGACAGCGAAAGAGTCGGCTGTATTCAAAACTTATCGGTTGACTACACCAAACTCGAAAGCTACCTTGAGAAGTCTATGTTTATATTAGACGATACGGATGATCTACAATGTGAAATCTGCAAAGCAGTGGTCGCACCAACCGAGCAACAAATCCTTGTCTGTCCCCAAACGGCGTGCCGAGGCACATGTCATCTGTTATGTCTATCTACTCATTTTCTCGAGACAAGCAATGACTCGGAAGCTCTAGTACCAACACAGGGTACTTGTCCAACATGCAAAGAAACCGTGCAATGGCCACTCATGATTCAAGAATTAACTCTTCGCAATCGAGCTGAAAAAGAAGCCCAAATTATTCTGCGCAGGAAAGAAAGGCGCGAACGGAAAGAATCCGCAAAGAGTTCAAGCAGCAAGACCAACCCTGGGAAGGGAGGGAGAGGGAATTTGCGTGATGGCTCCGTGGAGCCAACATCAACTTTGACCGAGACAGATCCTTTATTGGATGACGATTGGTGTGAGAGAGTAGACTTGGAGTCAGACACAGAGTTTGGGGTTGGCCGACACAGTCAGCCCTCTCCACCCCCTGCTAGATTGGAGATTGTCATCGAAGATAGTGACTGGGATGACGCAGAGCTCGTGGAATAAGGTGCAACAATTATCCTGGAGGGAGATATATTCCACCCTTAGTTGACAAGAGGTCCCAGAACCTTCAGCGGCCCGATCGAATCAAGGCGCGCAATGCAATCTGAAACAGCACTTTGGATATCCCGTGATACCTCATCCAGTGTCTTCCCAGCATCGATAATCTCAATGTCTTCCTGTCGACCAAACAGCGTGCGGAACAACTCACGCACACGCGTCTGCATGGCCTCATTCTCATAACGTTCAGCTCCATAACCTCCGCGCTTCGCTGCCTCTTCAGCAGAGATGCTGAGGAATAGGCAGATGTCTGGACGGGGCAAGCCGAGCTCGGGTTGCCATGCCCACTCAAGGGAGAGGGTGGGGTTGGCTTTGGCGGCCGAGTAAACCGCGCCAGAGTAAGAGTAGCGATCTACAATAACTGTAATTCCGCTTGCAATATCTTGCTCTATACTCTTGGCCACTTCCCAGCGGTTCGCTGAAAAGAGGAGGTGGATGGAGTGATCGTCTTGGTTAGCTGAGCCGCGCAGATAGCTATCTATAAGCTGCCCAATGGGTGTTGTCCTATCTAGGCAAGAGTTAGACCTAGGACACCGTGGTTTGGTGAAATTGGGAAATATACCTGGGAATCTGATGTATTTCACTGCATTGCCTTGTTCCGAAATGTAGTCTCGTAGCATCTCACATTGGCTGGACTTGCCTGCGCGGTCAAGGCCCTCGACGACGATGAGCGCGCCGCGACGCGTTGATTTCGGCTGTGACTGGTCGTCCATTGTGAATTCAATCGGAAGCGCAAAAAAGTGCGACTTGAAAATCGAAGGTCCGACGTTAACTATGTGCGCTCAAATTTATAGTTAATCCGCACTCACCAGACTTTGTATTTCCCTTGAAGTGGTTATACTTCGTATGTCTACGCGTCCTGACGCCCACAGTGGATGGTGTTGGCGGGATGTCCCCAGTCCACACTGCACGCCGAACCGGGTAAATATCAGTCCGGCTTCTGCCATGCGACGATGGGATCGCCAAGCATGATTGGCCTGTCATGTTGTTTATGCAGCTACGTACTATGCAACGGGGTACTCCATATGCATCTCTGCATCCCCGCGGTTTCTCGCATTTCAACTCACCGATATTCCTGTTTTTCATTGACTCAGTGACATATCCGGTCCTATCCACCATCGAGCCGTTGCCCCATAGACAACTTGAACAATGCATTGTGCCGGGAGCCTGTGCTCCATACAATCTCTTCATGGAGCCCAGAGGCTATTAAGGCTTGATATTCAATGGTATTATCCCATATTCAAGCGCGCTACAAAACGCCAGAGAATGATATGTCATTCAGCCCTTTACGCTATTGCTAGACCCGAATCAGGTCCATTTTGAAGTTCACGAGCCACACGGACTTAAATATGAGCAGTGCATGGCGTACTCGGTGACAGACTGCTCGGCTTTTATTGCCTCAGATAGTCACGCTAAAATCTAGCGCCGCCCAATTAACAACTATCGACTCACGCATACGCCAAATTTTCTGCAGAGCCACCCGATAGTTGGGCTGCGGCGCGCTGAATTCAGCCACATTGTGCATGATCCATAGCATTCGTACTACTCACATTGCATTAAGGTGTGGTGAACACGTTCGCCGATCACAGTGGAGTATAGCGGGATACTCGGGGATATGGATGTGGTGGAGCTGAAGCCATGTTGAAAGGACTTATAAACTGCCGAAAGCAACGGATGCCCACTGGCAGGTGTATTTTGCTTTCGCCCAAGAGTTGTACATACATATTTGATCCTTTCCAAAACTTGAATATGGCTTCAACACCAGAGACTGAGGTCTTATCAGATGCTGCTTTTGAGCGAAGTCTTCACGATTACCTGAATCGGATGAATGTTTTCGCGCAAACAAAGGTATGTGCCTGTAAAGTTATGGCTTGACAGTTTAAGCCTTACTGACACTCCGTACCTCAGTCATGGTACCCAGACTTCAACAAACTTGAAATCTTTATTGAGAAATTCTCCCTGACGCCCAATGCCTCCGTCACGTATCGCTTCAGAGTGATTGAAGAGCTATGCAACAATGCCAATGTCCTGCATGGAGGATGTGCAGTCTTACTCGTCGATGATCTGACAACCGTTCTCCTTGGAGCTCTTTCCAAGCCTGGTTTATTTAGTCGAATGGGCACAAGCAAGAATCTGTCCGCAACACTGATTAGACCATTGCGTCAAGGCGAAGAGGCTAGACTTGTCTCTGAGATAGAGTATAGTGGAAAGAACCGTGCTGTTCTGAGGGCAAAGCTCTATAGAGTGGATGGTGGTGAGCTGTGTACCATATTGGAAAATGACAGGGCCAATACGGATCCTCCAGTGAAGTCAAACCTCTAGGTTGGATGACCTAGAGCATCAGTGGTGGAATAGCTCTAACCTAATGTTGCACTTGGTGAGCATTCAATTTTCCCATAGCTACTAGTAGATCAAGGGTATCTGCCAGTGGCAATTTGAAGAGAAAACCAGTCGGCAGACCAGGATTGTCTATACAGGCATCAGTCAAGCCAGAAATATATATGAAGGTCTTATAGGAAAGAAAGTTAATCCAGCAGTTTGTCAAGAAACAAAGAAAAAAAGAATTCCAGCAAGGTCAGGGATCGAACCCAGGACCTTCAAAATCGGAAATGCGTGAATAGCCTCAACAGCTCTCACTTGATACATCCATCGCCATCACATAATCCCTTCTATCTCCTTCAATCATTTTTATTTTGAGGATCTAAAAAGAGGAATAGAAAGGGAATGGCTAGAAGTATAATGAGTAAAAAATATAAAAAATTAAAAAAAGCATTATTCCCTGGCCGAAGCCAGATACCCTCCCGCCCGCCGGTAAAGTCTCTGCCACTGAAAATGGGTCCAGCGTCCGCATTTCAGTACCTTTGTCCCCAAACGGGTCGCCGACCGCTAGACTAGCAGGGCAGAGTGGTTACCTGGGGAGCCTTTACTCAAATATAAGGGAGAATGTGTGACCATCTTGTACTAGTACCCAACTCAGGTCATGAGAGCCCTTGGAGGTCCACGGGTAATATGGTGAAAATAAAGAATGATAACTAGTTATTGTGTCTGTAATAGTAAAATCTGATCAAATTCAGTCTGAAGCCTGATCACGGAAAGAATAACTACGGTGGTATTAAGTAGATATTAAATTAGAGGGTAAGTGAGGTTGATAAAGGGCTATACTTGGGACCAGCCTGCCAGGCACACCCGAGCCCCACTTGGCCCCTGTCAATGATTTTTCTCCGATAAGATCTCTCCAACTTCATAGACGAATTGACCACAATGGATAGGGAGAATCACCAGTCTGTCAATATGACATTCAGTGTGCTGGGCTCTTCAGGCCCTGCTCTAGCACCACGAGTCGGCAAATTGGCCATTGCCGGACGCAAGGCACTGGCCACGCCGCATTATCTCCCGGTCACGTCGCGGGGTGTGGTACCCCATATTTCGCAAGACAATGTGCGCAATGAGACCGATATAAATGCCTTATATGTGGGACTTGAAGATTGTATGTATGGCTCTACAACTTGCAAATGCCAGAATCCCTCCACTCTCTTCGCTCTTTGGGTTTTTGTTTCAGCCTCAACTAATTATTCACGCCCTGTTGGGCTCAGATCAGTCATTGGAAAAAATAATAAATCCCCAGTAAATAATATCCCAGTCGACGCAAATGAGTCGCCTTTGCGCAAATTCATGTGCGCTTCTCCCGAATCGCCGTTGATCCTAGGCTCGCGTCGGTTCCCTGCTATCGCATGCCCACCAGTCAATACCGAGACCTCGATCGCAATCTCCACTTCTGATGGATACCGCCAGCTACCCGGCGAGCAGTATATAAAGACGATACAAAAGTTCAAGCCCGATGTCGTGATTGGACTTGCTGATATGGTCCTTGGGAGGCCACCTGGCAACAAGAGGCGGGGGAAGATGGTAGATCGTACTCATGCATATACCAGAGATGCGCTGGACCGATTATACGGCGATGCGGTCCCTGAAGCTGAGAAATGTCAAGCGGGATACTTTGCGCCGATTCTGCCCCTTGATAATGCACAGCAGACACTCTATTTGGATGATTTGGAAACCGAGTTCCGTGCTCGTCTCGCTGGTCTGGCACTGTACGAGTCTGCTTCCCTTTCTTTTATCCCCGAGTCTTTGGGTGCTCTGCCCCGCCTACTTTTCAGTGACCCTAGTGGTCCTCATGAAGTCCTCCGTGAGATCTCACTTGGTGCAGATCTTGTGACTCTTCCTTTCGTCGGAGTGTCATCTGACGCAGGCATTGCGCTGGATTTCACCTTCCCTGCCCCTCCCCAAGAGAACGGGAATGAGCCTCTCGCCCTTGGAATAGATATGTGGTCATCCCAGTATGCGAAAGATACATCTGCCTTACGTCAAGGTTGTGAATGCTATGCTTGCCGACGCCATCATCGCGCCTATTTCAACCATCTCCTGAATGCGAAGGAAATGACTGCCTGGGCACTCCTTCAAATGCATAACTTTCACGTATTGGATCTGTTCTTCCAGGGTGTGCGAGAAAGCATTCAGCGTGGGTCTTTTGAGGAAGATGTCAGGGTCTTTAATCGTGTCTACGCCTCCACGTTACCCGATTGCACTGGCACAGGACCTAGGTACGTGAGAACCAGTTTTGAGATAACTACAATATTGATGAGTTATCCAATATGCCTTGGATACTAATTCGTATACAGACTACGTGGCTACCAATTTCCCTCTGCTTTAACCAACCAGCCCCGTCGCGCACCCCGAGTTTATGGACGCCTGGATGATGCACTAAAGAAGTTCCAAGATTCTCAGTCCTCCGTCGCTACCCCAGATACCGACGCAGATGGTCTCGAGCAACATGGTTTCGCTTCTAAGGTTTAATTGGTCGTGCTAGTCTACTGATAAGTATCTCGAAGTCGCAGCGAAGCATTTGAGTTGGCGTATTTGGTTCAAGTTCCAAGTTGGTTTATGCGTACCGAAGTATATAAGAGTCATGACATGCAACGAATATGCGACGAGAACCATTACTATTTCAAATTTCTTAGAAATACTACTGCCACGGCCAGTGGTTACTCCATACCAGTAGATTATAAGTACTTAGGTAGATGGAGCAGGAGGTCGTTTCAGGTAATAGTCCTGCCATTTGCAAACGCTGAAGTACTATACAGGATCCCATATCTCATGATACCATAAATCCTTTTCACATAACCAACAATAAAGAATCAATAAAATGAGAAAAAGTAACAAGAAGACATTGAATAAGAATGAGAAAAAACGAATGGATGTTGCAGGGTATATCCAGCAGATGCAAAGACAAATGTATGATTCCTTTCTTACTCCTGCTCACCTGCCAAGACACGCCACATCCACTTAACCTCATCCTCCTCTTCCTTAGAACCAGGTTGAGTTCCAGCACCAAACTGCTGTCCAACGACACAAACCAGCCAGGCATCATTCTTGGTTGTATCCAAGAATCGCTCGGTAGCCGAGTTGCGCGGGTAGATACTGCGCCATTCCTCCCAGATACGGAAGGCCTCCTCACCCCAAGCACGGAAGCTGACCTCCTCAATGATGGTAGGAGTGATAATTTCCTTGCCACGGAAGACTCCCCAAGTGACAGCGTTGGCACTGTCCGGGTTCGTAGCGAGCTCGTCAAGCTCAGTGTCGGCAACAGGAGCAGGCGATGACGACTCATAGGCATTTGCCTGGTTTGTGGCGAACCATGAAAGCTTCTCATGGCCGTGCTTCTTGAAGAGAGGCTGAAGGATATTATTGTAATCGTTCGTGGAACAGAAGAACTCTACGAAGGGCTTCTGAAACACGAAACCCTCGCGGGGAGGACCCCAACCGAAGATGGGGTGATTGCTACGAACGCCGTTGACGGCAGGCTGAGAGGCGAGAGTCCACCAGCCTCGGCCATCAATAAGCTTAAGCAGCTCGGGACGAATGAGTGCCGTTTCGGCGTTCAGTGCATCTGTGCCCTCCTCGGCACCACCTTCAGACCAAGGGACCATGTACAGTTCGCCAGAAACGTGGCGGCGGAACAGCGTGTTGATATCGGACTGCTGAACAGGGTGACCCCAAAGACGACGGGCAACCGCGGAAGTGACATGAAGTGAGGGTCCGTAGCCGTCAATCTCACCGAAAGCAGGAGAGCGGGCATCACCCCATCGGCCGTTGGGGAAGTCATCCCATGTAGCTTCTCTGCCCAGAGAACCCAGTCCTTCGGAGATGAGGAGGGTTGTGCTGCGGTTCGGGGGCAGAGCAGGTAGACCAGCACTTTCAGCCAGGGCCTCGTGTGTTGAGCTTCGAGATGAGTCTTTTCCAGATAGTCTGTCCACAATAACACGGTTGTGGGGTTGAGAGTTGATGGAGGAGCGACGTCTAGCTTGCAGGGCGCGAGTTGGAACATCGTCAAGAGAGACAGTACCATCAACATCGATGGCAGAATCATCCTGGTTCACTGAAAATGGAGGGATCAAGTCACAGCGCTCCAGAATGAATGAGACGGTCTTCTCCAAGTTCAGAGTATAGAAGTGGAAGCCTCGGGGACCGGGGGATTTGATCTCTCTCATACCTCCCAAAATCTCGCTGACGATGTCAACGCCGGCGCGCTTGACAGCATCATCGTCATGCTTCAATTCTTCAATGCGCTTGGCAACACTGTCTGGGATCTTGACATGGCTGAGTTTTGTGACTCGGGTGAGGATCTTGTAACTGTGGATAGGCATCAATCCTGGAATGATAGGAATGGTCTTAAAGGCGCCGGACTCGTGATTCCGAAGCATGCCCTCGAACTTCTGGTATGCTTCCAGATCGTAAGTCAGCTGGGTCATGATGAAGTCCGCACCAGCAACAGTCTTCTCGACCAGGTAGGGAAGGTCTCGTGCCGGGTCCTGCATATCCTGGAATGAATCGGCAGGATGGCCCTCGGGGTACGCAGCAACACCAATGCAGAAGTAGTCACCATGCTGCTTGCGAATGTATTTCACCAAATCGACCGCAAATGTGAAGTCCCTGTTGCTATCATCTTCTCCATGCATGTTGTACTCCTCGCTCCGGGGCGGGTCTCCACGCAGTGCCAGGATATTCCGAATACCTAGGGCCTTAGCCTCCTCCAACGCCATATCCACCAACGCCCGACTCATGTTTGTGCATGTTAGATGCAGCACAGTAGTCAACTGCAGTTGTCGCTGGCATACTTCGGCCAGCTCAAGGGAACGGGCCGCCGTGCTTCCGCCTGCACCCCAAGTGACTGTAACAAAGAGCGGGCGGAGGGCCTGTGCCATACGCTCTAGACGTGCGGAGAGGTTCGCAAAACCCTGTCATGACCACCACAGTTAGCAAGTGATCTATCTCCAGCTCCTTTTTAGTAGCTACTTCATAATCGAAGTGTTCAACACGCGGGGTTACCCCACCATCCGAGTTTTCGGCGGGAAGAACTCCAGCGAGAAGTAGTTTGCGTCTGGCGGCAGAGCCGCAATCTTCTCTGTGATCTTCTTCTCCATTGCGATGGTTGATTGAAGTGCAATCAGGGGGAGGTTCAAGGAAGAAAGAGTAGGATTTGGGCCGAAGTGGACCGTCATAGGTTCTGCAACTGGCCGCACCCGGGACTTGAATATGTCCCCCGCTGCCGATGACGGCCAAGCTCGCTAGATAGATCTACGCCTGAAAAACTTTTGCTAATATTTATTATTTAAGACCATTCAATCCTCAAATTGAGCTAGTTCTATAAGGAATTCTCCAATTAAATTCTATTCATGTAGATAATTTCTTTAAGATCGACCGGAACCAAGATTACTCAGCGCGATATGAGGCGCGATCATTGGAGATCAACCGGGATCAACTGAGATTCTCCGACTATTTCACCGACATGCGGTCCTGAATGCCTAAGTTGGTCATCTTATCCTGAAAATTGACTATCGATAACTGCCCAGGCGAATTCTATTATCAATCATGTCATCGCATCGCCAATTTTCTCTTCTTCGCGTCGTATTTAATCTCGCGCAAGCTAGATTCCCGCGTAGGAATCTCTCGACTCCGACTTCCCCGACTCCTCCCCCAGCTCCGAAAGACTCTCGCTCCAGATTGCGTCAGTTCAATGACCGTTTACCTCGCTTCCTGCGCACCTACACAACGCCCTTGCTTGGAGCTCCTATAACTCATGTCACCTCATTCTTGATCCTACACGAGATGACGGCCATTGTGCCACTATTCGGTCTAGTGGCGGCCTTCCATTACGGCAATTGGATGCCAGACCTGTCTTCTGGGTCTGGGGAGAATAATGCATTCGACGAAGGGGCTGCGCGCTTTGGGCGATGGCTTAGAAAGAAGGGCTGGGTCGATGATGCCGATGTCAGTACCGTCGCGGAGCATGAAGTGACAGCATCTGGCGATTCCAGCAACAAGGAGAGAGCAGGCGTGCGATTAGTGCTCGAATTCGCAACCGCGTACGCGATTACCAAAGCTCTTTTACCATTTCGGATAGCGGGAAGTGTATGGGCCACACCGTGGTTTGCAAGGGCTATTCTCCAGCCAACAAGCCGAGCAGCTCGGCGGCTGCTTAGGCGGAGCTAGGAATACACATAACTATCGGATGATTTATGTAGATACTGTATAACACTCATGGAGAAAAATATATTTGTATAATGTTGGTATTGGTTTTGAAAGTCCATGAGAGGCTTGTTCTTAACTATCGCATTCTATACTGCAACCAGTCATGAACAGGCACTCATCAGATCTTAGGCGTCGAGGAAGACGAGTAATTTACTCGTAGACCCAAGCGGCCTGGGCGGACTTCCACTTGAGGACCTCGGAAGGAGTGAACCAGAGGGCAATCTCCTTCTTGGCGTTCTCAACGGAGTCGGAACCGTGGCAGACGTTGCGGCCGACATCGATGGCGTAGTCACCACGGATGGTACCGGGGGGGAGGCCAGAGGGTTGGTGGCACCCAGGATGACACGGCCGGTCTTGACGGCGTCCTTGCCCTCCCAGACCATAGCGCAGATGGGGCCGCTCAGCATGTCTAGGAATAGGTTAGTCGGGGTGAAATATTGGTAACACGGAAGCTGCGGAAACTCACAAGCAACGAGACCCTTGAAGAAGGGCTTGGTGGCGAGGTCAGCGTAGTGCTTCTCGAGGAGCTCCTGGCCGGGGCTGGTGAGCTTCATGGCAACGAGCTTGAAGCCACGGTTCTCGAAGCGAGAGATGATGGGACCAACGAGTCCACGCTGGGGATTAGATTAGTCAATGCGACTCAATGGGTCATGGTACCAATTATTTTGGGAATTGGATCAGACGTGAAGGGCATCTTAGGCATACCTGGACACCATCGGGCTTGATGGCAATGAAACTGTAGCAAATTGATTAGCTTCACCGCCAGTAAAAAGAGGGAGGGGTAAAAGAGCCGAGCATAGCTAATGCGAAGTATAGAGGTAGGAAGAGAAAATGATAAGCATTGGGTGAAAGCATTGTGACTTACGTCTGCTCGTCGGCCATTGTGATAGATTGGATGCGAAATCGGTAGATAAGCAAGGGATGAGAAAGAGAAGAAGGAAAAGAGGGAGAATAAATACCTGTGAGTCTTTTTCTGCCCGCGATTGGTGGATTGGTGGGGCACCAAGGTGTGTTGGCTTGGACACCTTGACACCTTGACACCTGAATTATACCTTGTGGCCTTGTAGCCTTACTGCCTTACTGCCTTACTTTTATAGCCGCCTGTATTACCCCAGCTCCCCACCGTCAGGCCAGGCTGGAGCTTCCCAATCATCTGTAAACTCCACTGCAGATGCAGGTCATCCTCCTCCTCCAAATACTGTATTCAATAGGAGATTGAAGATTTTTGGATTGCAATTTATTCCCAATTCAATATGGCCCGGAGTCGGCCCGTGTCCAGTTGGACACTATTTCTCTCATTAGTGGTCTTGATTGGATGCATTGTTGTCCCCGGTTGTGAGTCCTCCTCTGAACCACCATATCTCCTTGAATTCATTACAATCTCTAACTGCAATTCTCCTGAGAAGTGACGGTAAAACACGAAAATTTCAAAACATGTGCCCAATCCGGATTCTGCAAACGCAACAGAGCTCTTGCCGATGATGCCTCCGCTCAAGGAGCATCTTGGAGCTCTCCCTACGAGCTTGACCCCTCCACTGTTCTGTTCAAGGACGGCCAATTGACCGGAATCTTGATTAAGACCACTACGAATAATGAAAAAGTCCGCCTTCCTGTCATTCTATCCTTCCTCGAATCTGGCGCCGCGCGCTTGATTGTCGATGAGGAGAAGCGCATGAAGGGTGAAATCGAAATTAGACACAACAGCAAGATCAACAAGAAGCGCTATGACGAATCCGAGCAATGGGTTCTTGTTGGAGGATTGGAAGCCAGCAAGTCGGCTGCGTTGAACGCAGACGCTGAAGCAGGTTTCACCAAGGTCCAGTATGGCCCAGGTGACAAGTTCCAAGCTGTGATTCGTCATGCACCCTTTGAGGTTGAATTCCAGAGGGACGGCGAGACTCATGTGCAGCTGAACCACCAGGGTCTGTTAAACATGGAGCATTGGCGCCCCAAGATCGAGAAAGAGGGCGAGAGCGAGAGCGAGTCAGCGGAGGATGAAAGCACATGGTGGGAGGAGAGCTTCGGTGGAAACACTGACTCAAAGCCCCGTGGCCCTGAGAGTGTTGCCCTTGATGTGACGTTCCCTGGTTACAACCATGTGTTTGGAATTCCCGAGCACGCGGACTCCCTCTCCCTCCGAGAGACACGGTATCGCTTTCCCCATCAACCCTACACGTAGAAATAGAACTAATCATGCTTTAGAGGCGGCCCTGGAAACCATGAGAACCCATACCGCATGTACAACTCGGATGTCTTTGAGTATGAACTCAACAGTCCCATGACCCTCTATGGCGCGATTCCCTTCATGCAGGCGCATCGTAAGGATTCCACTGTCGGCGTTTTCTGGCTCAATGCCGCTGAGACTTGGGTGGACATTGTCAAAAAATCTACCTCCTCAAACCCACTCGCCTTGGGCTCTAAGTCGAAGACTGACACACAGACTCACTGGATTTCTGAGGCTGGCCAAATTGATCTCTTTATCTTCCTTGGACCCACCCCACAGGACATCAGCAAGACATACGGTCAACTCACTGGCTACACTCAATTGCCCCAGCACTTTGCAATTGCCTACCACCAGTGTCGCTGGAACTACATCACTGATGAAGACGTCAAGGATGTGGATGCCAAGTTCGACAAGCACCAGATCCCTTACGATGTGATCTGGTTGGACGTTGACTACACAGACGACCGCAAGTACTTTACTTGGGAACCACTTTCTTTCCCCAACCCCAAGGGTATGCAAGAACAGCTTGCTGAATCCGAGCGTAAGCTGGTCGTTCTTATCGATCCACACATCAAGAACAAGAACGATTATTTTGTTTCTCAAGAGCTCAAAAGCAAGGGCTTGGCTGTTCTTAATAAAGACGGTGACATTTATGATGGTTGGTGCTGGCCCGGTTCTTCGAACTGGGTCGATTGCTTCAATCCTGCTGCCATTCCGTGGTGGAAGAGCCTTCACAAATATGACAAGTTCCAAGGCTCGCTTTCTAACCTGTTCATTTGGAATGATATGAGTGAGCCATCTGTTTTCAACGGGCCTGAAACCACCATGCCCAAGGACAACATTCACTACGGCGACTGGGAGCACCGTGATGTTCATAATGTGAACGGTCTTACCCTAGTGAATGCCACTTACCAGGCTTTGCTGGAGCGCAAGAAGGGCGAGATCCGTCGGCCATTCATCCTGACTCGCTCCTACTATGCTGGGGCCCAGCGCTATGCTGCCATGTGGACTGGTGACAACCAGGCTACTTGGGATCATTTGGCCATGTCATTGCCAATGGTTCTCACTAATGGCATTGCAGGATATCCTTTTGCCGGTGCTGATGTTGGTGGTTTCTTCCACAACCCTGACAAGGAGCTGCTGTCGCGGTGGTACCAGGCTGGTATCTGGTACCCATTCTTCCGTGCACACGCTCACATTGATACTCGGCGTCGCGAGCCTTACTTGATCAGTGAGCCCCACCGAACCATTATTTCCCAGGCCGTCCGCTTGAGATACCAACTTCTGCCCGCTTGGTATACTGCATTCCATGAATCCTCCCTGAATGGTATGCCAATTGTGCGCCCTCAGTACTACGTTTTCCCTGAAGATGAGCAAGGCTTTGCCATCGATGACCAGCTGTATCTGGGCGATACTGGTCTTCTTGCGAAGCCTGTGGTGACTGAAAATACCTTTACCACTGATATCTATATCTCCGACGACGAGAAGTACTACGACTACTTTGACTTCACTGTCTATCAGGGTGCGGGCAAGAGACACACTGTCCCTGCCCCCGAGGATAAGATTCCCCTGTTGATCCAGGGTGGTCACATCGTCCCCCGACGAGACCGACCTCGTCGCAGCAGTGCCCTCATGAGATGGGATCCGTACACCCTTATCCTGACTCTGAACAAGAACGGCGGAGCTGATGGCACTCTCTACTTTGATGATGGCGAGACATTCGACTATGAGCGAGGCGCCTACATTCACCGCCAGTTCCGCTTCCGCGGCTCTACTCTGTCATCTGAGGACCTTGGCACCAAGGGACCTAAGACCGCTGAGTACTTGAAGACGACGGCCGGCGTCACGGTGGAGCGTGTTATTGTAATTGATCCTCCTAAGACTTGGAAGGACAAGAGTACTGTCACCGTCATTGAGGATGGTGCTAAGACAGCATCCACCGCATCGCTAGACTACTTTGAGCAGAAGGATGGCAAGGCAGACTACGCTGTTGTCAAGAGCCCGAATGTTGGGATTGGAAAGTCGTGGCAGATTGAATTCTAAGAGAAGATTGTCCACATATATGCAGCATTACATTATCGCAAATTTTGATAAACCAGATCTCGGTAGCATACAATCCAGTCTTTTTGATTTGGTCCATATTTTTCATGAATCATTAATTCGAGTATTTTCTTTCCATCTAGTCGATGCAAGCAAGCGCGAAGCGACCACGGGGAATGGAGTTGACATCGGCCGGCGCATTACTCCACAGCATGCCTTTGGGCATAGACCCGACATTCATTTCCACCTTCATCGACAATTTCCAGAGCCAATGTGCCATTTCTAGACACATACCACCCCACTGAGTCCGGACCAATGCTTTGCCAAACCCCTTGTGCATAAAAAGAAGACGACGGGTAGTCAGAATAAGTCAATTGGAAAATTTCCATCGTTTTTCTATTCGCCGTTTCCAGAGCTGAGTAGACGCCCTCTATTATGAATTCTGATTCTTCAGAGACCATTTTTCTTTCGTGGACGACGATGAAGACTGCCAATAATCTGTCCTGGGAGGCAATATTCTGTGCTGCTTGGTCGTGGGCTCTGTTGACTTCTTCCAGTAGATCGGCCGGCCATCTCGATTGATCGAGTATAATCTCTTCCAACTGCATTTTCTTCTCCTTTGTTCTTTTCTTTGCGATCGTTTGGTTGTAGTATGGCAGTCTCTATGAGATGAGACCGGTCTCTATCCGTTGAAGTTGGGAGTAGGTAAAACATTTGGGGCCTGTCTTCTAACAATGAACTCTTGGGCTTCCTAAGAATCAACAACAAAGAATGACGTCCTACTAACAGCCATGGAGCGGTCAAAGTAGTGGACAGTTGTTTTTAATACATCCGAGTTCATCTGTACCAGCTTTTTGGTTCCTTGGTAGATGATGACCCTCACGAAAACAGTAGGGCTTGTTCCTGGTCAACAGCTCATGTGCTTCTTTCTACCTTTCGACGTTCCACTGGGAGAATTCGTGCATGTGAGTTTAGTTCTACCTAGGTATGAATATCAAATGAAACTTGCGGTATTAGAATCTTCCATGCTTCCAATTTGAGTATTTTGAATTGAACCTTTCAAGTTCAATGCACATGTGTTGAAGTACCATATTAAGTACTCCAACGATACCAAGTAGCCCTGAGCCAAATTATCTCAGCTATGGCCCTCAGGATCCAGGGTCAAGTTAGGATGATGCAATAATTACTCGAAGATTGATTGTTCAGGTGTTTAAAGGTAGTTCGATCAACTGCAATGGTGGGAATTTTTCAATGTCAACGTGCTACTAAGCCCCAGGTCTGCAGGTTAGACGAGAGAAAATGGTTAGCTATCCACTGAGGGATATCTATCTACAGCAATGGCCTGAGTGTAGCTGGTTTCACGCTTACCCTCAGGAGTCAGTTCCTGATGAATTCTGCGCATCGTGTGCTACCTTGGAATTTTCAATGGATGACTTGAAAGATAGTAAGTTATGCAGCATTGAAGTCAAAGCCTGGATAGAACTTGCTGTGGCTGACACTCATGAGTTGCCAATTTTTAATTCTAGTTGAGACTTTTTACACAGATCAATCACTGCCATCCAAGACGACTGTTAAATCAAAAGCCAAGGATCCCAAAAGACGAAAACGATGTTACTTTCACGAAACTTGCTGGATCAGTTTAATGAAACAGTTCGATGAGCATCCTGACCTCGAAAGGTTGATTAAGATATTAAGTGAAGCACCTCTACCAGATTGGGAACATCGCACTCGTAGGTGGAGTCTTAATTATTTAACCCTTACCAAGAATGGATTTCCAATAACCTGTTCTTTCAGAACATGAAAACCCCATTTCACCTCTGGCGCTAAGCTCTCAGCATTTTAGGCGCATTTTCGGATACCGCAAAGCTATATCGTCATTCCCAAAGACTCAGGCTCAGACTCATCTAAGTAGATCGTGTCTGTCGAATTCAACAGACTGTTTCATGCGGTTCCCCCAGGAGATACTTTTCAAAATTGTGGAATTATTACCAATTGCAGATTTCCTGTCCCTTAGGCTCGTATCCAGAGCTATAGCCGTTATCTTTGAAAGCCAGCTTTTCTGGAAGACACGATTTCAGCCACACACCGAGCGAAGATACTTTATCTCTGGGCTTACAAATGATGATTGTGACGGAGACTGGAGGATGTTGTATCGCTGCACTGGCAGAGATAATCCTCGACTCCCCAATATTGATCTCTGGAGAAATGTATGGCTCCGCAACCGATGGATAAAACATCGATATGATATGGTTGGAAATCCAGGTCTCTCATCTGAAGATCATGTCTCTGATCCAGGTCCTTTACACTGGGATAAGGCCTCCGGACCTCTCCAATGTGATAGACATTTCCGGATTCACCGCCAGAACCATAATCTATGGAGCGGTATTTGTCTTCATTGCGAGTATCGCCACACCTTGAAGCATCAAACGATCCATTTGTCCACTCCAATTGTTCGAATAGACATCTCCATACTGGCCGAAGAGGAACACACATTTATCTCGGGCTTTGATCTGGTTTATTTGAATACGCGCACCCACTTTGGTTATCGGATTCCTGGGCAACAAGCGACGCTGCACCTTCAAGGTCAGCTACTCCGAGGATTCGAGGTTATGGTTGGAAGAGGTGGTGTTCATGCAATCCGCCCGATCACTGACCAGACCTTGCTTGATGGAAAAGACTACTACGGCTGGGCTGGTAAGCCCTATCGGAACACTTGGAAACTAAAACAAGTACGACTGGTACCTGACGGAGATATTGAAACCCTTGTTGGGGAGTTTGACGTAAGTTCAAGACCCCTCCCCAAGAGTACAGCGCATTATTGTAGTTATGTGTTAAAAGAAGATATAGCATTGCAGAATGGTCAGTCTTGCGCTAGGTTCCCGAGTTCGCCAATCTAATAGAAATATGAAACACTGGTTGAGAGCTCATGACTCGGAACAGACAGCTTGAGATCAATACCAGATTGTTTTATCTTCACACTGGTAGTTAACTGATATTTTATGAATCTATTGATCAATTGATTAAATCGTCTTCAACTGATCTTTGATACCGGCTAATCGGAATGCATGATAGTATAATACAAGTCCTCACCCCGCGCTTCTCGCGGCACTGCCAGTGGAGTAGCGAGCATTTGAAATTGGGAGAGGTACGTCCTCAGCACGCGAGTGCTTGGCCAGATGTGTCTCTATTCTCTCAGACAGGGATGCTCACATACTTAAGTACGGATTACAGGGCTCAGTCCGAGTCAGTAGCATCTACAGGTTAGTGATGACCAACACCTCTTTGTATGTAAGTATCTACGGGGTTATCTACATGGTTACCTACTGGTTTACCTGCATGATTACCTGGAAGGGAAGAGACAGCTAAAGTGAGATATATCCTGAAGTAAGCGAGTACTAAAGTGAGAGATAGCTGAATTGAGAGGGATATACTAATGTTTCCAAGGTTAGATGGAATGAATGAAAGAAAAATCTAGCAAAACGAACCCCACCATTAGCACCTAAAATACCGTTCTACCAGGCGGTCAAGATACAAAAATAACACCGCATCCCGAGTAGTAAAAGAGAACTACTACTATTCAAGATCTCAGTGAACTTCAAGTTTGGAACACCTCAATGTCTATCGTAGTAATGACTCAATACATGTGTTTGGGTTATGAGAGACATTGGCAGCCATTACACCCGTATCAAATTCAATGTTATGTATTTCTTCCAAGGTTTCGAGTCTTTCTGTATTCATATATATTAATTTGAACATGTTAGGAGACAATCTGAAAGGTTAGACGCCCTGGCGTGTGAGTTCTTCCTGTGCGGCTTCAAGAGCTTGTCTCATCTTCGAATATAATTCTCGGTCTTCCCGCTCCCATGGACTGTGCATTGGAAACACCAAACGTCGCAACCTGTTGACACATTGAGCCAGACATTGATAGTAAGGGGTAAATGATTCAGAAATATCCCTAAGGAATTGGCGCTCAACGGCAACCAGGCCCGTCTTGTTCCGAGCTAACTCTCGAGTATCCAAATAATTCCATTTGTCATAAATGGGGACAACTCTAGCGCGCTCTGTCGGTCCATTATAGTGAATGCATATCCAGAATAGGACCCAAAAATCAAGTAAAAACGCAGGTGGAGAAAATTTGTTTGCCTCATTTATCACTAGATTGTTAATTGAGATATCTCTATGGAGGAAACCAGCGTCCAGTAAAGACTCGTGTCCTTGAATACAGCCCTGCAACGCAGCAAGCAAAGCAACCTGCGAGCTTGCCTTGTAGATTGGACTTCCAAAATCACGAAGAATTATCCTTCGGTATACTCGGTTCGATGGTGTTTTGTCGGTAGCATCTGCTCGTGATGTAGGACAGGACCTCTTATTTGAACTGGAAGGTAAGTCAGCATTGATCTCACTGGAGGATCGTTTCAATCCAGTGCTACGGCTTCTGCTTTTAGACTGGGCGCCAGTAGTCCTGGTACTGGGTGGAAATAGTGATCGTCCTGATCTGTAATTCGTAGCTTTCGTGATATCCAGTCCTTTCCGAATATTAACTTGAATATCGTCATCGGCGCCGCGGATGCGAACAGTCTCATGATAACAGAGTCGAGCAACATTAATCACGCCATTGGTAGTAGCCTGTTGGAGGATTTCACCCTCTTCAACCCGATCTGTGTATTGCCAAGAATCCTTAATGACAAGCGGTGTCGTATCTCCTTCACGATGAGCCTTCCAGCACGTGGTTGCCCGGCCAGCGATGCAGCATGTGCGCTTCATGACTTGATCAATGATGATACGCTCAATCTGTCCATCTCGTTCGACCTCGATATAACGCTCTCCATGCAAGGTCATAATTGTTGGGTCGAATCCAAGCTCTTCGTGGTCCATGCAGAGAAACCCAAGAATTGTGGTCACAAACTGAAGTGCTCCATCTTGATTGATATCAAACCGTTCAGAAGCAATTCCACCAATCCTGTCAAATTCCCATATTCTCATTAAAGATCCACACAAAGTGAACCCTATGACGAATCGACGAGTATCCTGAGCGGCAAGCACCTCTCTTGCGTAAGTTGCAAGGTCGATCCATGATTCAGGTACCTTCTAGAGAGAGCTGATCGAGGTCAGCAGAACGGATGCCTGTACTTTCACCAAGCGAAGTGAACCTGGCGCGAAAATGATCAAGTCCATCCCCGATAGGATAATCTTCGATAATCTTCAGCCTATCAGACATCATAGGCAAAGAGTTGAAAGAAAGCTAGGCTGGAGCCAAAGGTAAGGGTTGGCAGAGCACTAAAATTGATCATGTTTAAAGCGGGGTTAAGGTGTATGCCCAGGCGCCCAGGTGGTCACTTGTTTAACATAGGTCCCGACAGGGTTAACGGACTGAGCCGCGGAGGTGTCCAGGTACCCGTAACCAGTTACGCAAGAAACGTGACCAGCAAGTGCCTGTCAACTGGTCAACTTGATATATCCACTTCAAGTTTGGCTTTCTCTCACTTCAGCTATCTCTCACTTTAGCTATCTCTTCCTTTAGCTATTTCTCACTTACCTCTTACCTTTAAGGTTTAGGCTGGTGGTTGCCTTGAAAGCAGTGAATTGTTTGAATTTCATACTAAGTAAATAAAGCATCCGATGGCAAAATGGAATATTGATACCTCAAGGGCTTGAAGTTGATGCTGTGATAGAATATTTGAAGAGATGTACCTGGCTGAACCATGAACATCAAGGTAAGAACTTATGAAGGATCAGTCGTAACCTTCTGGGAGAGAGCTAGTAGATGAACATTTATCATTTCACATGTGTAGTATGCCCAACTTGAAGCCCCGACAGCATTTATGTAGTATATATTGATAGTAGTACTAGAACAGAGATTCCAACTTGAAACCTTGGAACATTCAAACATTGAATGTTTGAAGCTATATTACATACTAGTATTTAAGTACTAGCAAACCTTTTTGGTCCATTCTAGCAGAACATTTGAACCAAACCACTGCTAGTAGTATTATAATTAAAGTAGACTGCCCAAAGGTAGAAAATTTTTGGCAGACCTTCAAAGTCAATACCATGTCAGAGGCTACATTGAAGGGATGAAGGAGGATCATAGAGGCCCATGCACATCCATATGGATATTGTCAGAAGGGAAGTGACTGATACTCTAATGCTCCCAAGGTTCTAACTTGAAATTCAAGTTCAAATTCAAGTTGTTTATTTCAAATTCAATTTGAGTGAAAACTTGGTTGTACGTGAGATGGACTCGATACGTTGAGTCCAAGGGAGTTAAGCGGGGTGAGGCTATATCCATTAGACTGATATCTAGTCCGTATGCCGCGCTCAGAGGAAGCTATAAATGCTAGAATGAAAATAAGAAACCCAGAATTTAATATATGTCGATATCTGTGCTAAATGAGGTGATAAAATGATATAAAATGATATTTCCATCGATCGACATGCTGACATAATGTGAAACAGGGCCCCAAAAAGCCGCTTGCGTCGCGTTGGACTCTCCTGATTTCCCTTCTTGTTCCTAGTGCAAAAGGGGTCTATGACCGGAGTTGCTATCGAACCTTATTCACCTGGTTCAATCCAAACAGACAATCTCGTTAAATCGTTGAATTGTGTCTCTCGACAAACCCTCGATACATCATCGCCAACATGTATCTCATTCAACTCGCCCTTGAATATGGCGCTCCCGTTTTGTATGTACAGCATTTTCCGCATGAGATTCTTGGGCTATACTAATGTCTGAACATTTCTTTATAGCCTCATCTCGTCGCCTCTCACATCCTACCTCGACCAGATTCTCAGCATCCATCGCAATAGGAGCTCCGTGGGTTTTTCATTGGACATTCCTCTGATTATGTTGGTCGCATCGATTTTGAAGTAAGATCCTACTGTTCATGCCAGATTTTGCCGGTCGCAATTTCTGACTCAATGTCCTCTGTAGGGTTTTCTACTGGTTCGGAGAATATTACTCCAAAGCCCTTCTGGCCCAAGCCGTTGTTATGATCGTGGTGCAGCTTGCACTGCTCAAGGTGGCCTTGGATAATCGACCTGCCATGGGCGCAAAGCATGGAATTGAGCATGCGCCTTTCAGCAACACAAACAATGGGGGCTTCTCACGTCCCTATGACTTCTGGCAATGGCGTAGCACTAAGCCGTAAGTTCCGCCGATACAAACTAAGACCAGTGGGCATGGTAAATGGGAGAATGGGCACTGACTTATTGAATCTAGATACTGGATGTTTTTGGGCTACTTTGTCGCTGGCCTCTTCGTGCTCCACCTCACTCCCCTCTCCGACTCCCCCTCCTATATCAGTCTCTTGGGCGCTATCGGCCTTGCTGTCGAAGCAATTCTTCCCGTTCCTCAAATCCTGGTCAACCACCGCGCCGGCTCGTGCAAGGGTCTCCGTCTATCCGTCCTGGGCTCATGGCTTATTGGTGATACTATGAAGATGAGTTACTTCTTCTGCAGTAAGGAGACCATCCCCTGGACCTTTAAGTCATGCGGTATGTTCCAGTGCGTGTGTGACTTCTACCTGGGCATCCAATTCTGGATGTTTACCCGGAATTCCCCTCAACCTGTGGCTCCTTCTCAGGACCGAGAAGACCGATGGGGTGCTGGTGAGAAGGATATTCGCATGAACTAAAAGACTCTTTGCTTTTTTCTCTCTTTTCAAGCGATACATAATTCGGAATTCTGTAGATAGAGAAACCTTACGCCATAGCGATGATAGAACTGTAATAATCTTGAATGATATAATGTTAATATCTTCAATTTTCAATTTTTTTCACTTCGGAGTACATGTAGTACTGTGCCATGGTTTGGTACTTTGGACTTGGTTCATAATAGAATCGAGTTTGCCCCGCGTCCCGGAGCTGATGGAATCTACTCCGCCCCGCGATACTAGATACAACCTTCCCCCGCGCGATCACTCTTCAATCTGTCCTTGAACAAATCCGTCATGGCATCTGTACCTGTCATCCGCATCGGCTATGTGCCTGGTATAGTCTTTATTCTAATAAAACCCACCAATAAAGCAGATGAAGCTAATCTACCCGACCAGAGCACTACCTGACCCCACTCCACCTCGCTCTGCGCTCCCAGGCCATTGCCTCACTGCCATTTAAGGTTGTCGCGACTCCATTCCCATCTGGAACGGGTCATATGATCACATCGCTCCGCAGCAACGAAATCGATATTGGAATCGGTTTGACTGAAGGCTGGGTCGCTGGTCTCACCGGAAAGCAACAAGCACAGGACAGCGGAGATGGAGGATACAAGATTATTGGCCAATGGGTGGAAAACCCTCTACGATGGGCAATTGTCACAGGACGCAACCGTAGCGAGATCAACGGTGTACCAGATCTGAAGGACTCCAGAGCTGGAGTTAGCCGCCTCGGAAGGTAAGTACGGGATCAAAACACGCCAGTTGATACCTACCAAACTGGATATGACGATGAGGATATCTCTAATGAAGGATATACAGTGGCTCCCACATCATGTCATTCGTTCTTGCGCAGCAGCAAGGATGGAACCCTGATGCCTTGTCATTTGTCCCTCTGGGCCCCTTCGGCTCTCTACGGAATGGCGTTACTGGCGAAGATGAGACCAAGCCAGACGAAGCCCCCAATCCTACTTCTGAGTTCTTCATGTGGGAACACTTCACCACAAAGCCTTACTTCCATCCCACGGATGAGAAGCTCAACCCCCCCACTGAAGAAGATCGGGGAGATCTTTACTCCTTGGCCCTCATGGATGATGGTTGCATCGACTGCTCTCTTCCCTAACCCAGAGCGCGATGACCGTCTCACGCAGCTATTCCATGCCTTAGACCTGGGAATCAGGAATTTCGAGGCTGATACCGATAATGTGGTGAGACTTCTGGGTACTGGAGAGCTTGGCTGCACATACATCAAGGAAGATGCCACGGAGTGGCTCAAGGATGTTAAGTTTGTCAATCATATTCGTGGAGTTGATACCGAGGTTATCAAGGGTGTTGTGGATGTGCTCAAGGTGGCCGGAGTTATTGATTCGGCACTGAATAATGATGAGGCTGCTAAGCGGGTCATTGGCATTCACCGGGACTGAAGTCGTCTGATTAAGTGATATAATAGATGGAAGCTGACAGAGCTAAGTTCTTCTCACGAACAGAAATACAGGGGCTTTATGTATATTTTGAAGAAAATCCCAGACTTGAACTTGAAGCATCGCATAAGCCGTAATTGATCGTATGTAGTTGTTCAGAGCACTTGAGATGTAATACTTTCTGGCGTAGGTTGCCATAGGTATGAGAAGAACTTAAATGAGATTTTCAAGTTCTCGGATAATGTATATCCATATAAATTGTTGAAAATGGCTGTGTTCCAAGGTTACTTCCATGAAAAATTGAAGTCATCCCATGTATCATTGCGTCATAAAAATCGATGCTATAGAGACGGATGAGCAGAGCTAGGAAGGATATCTCGCAACCAAACAGCCATCATCGCAACCATCTCCTTAGTACAGCTGTGTCCAGTATCTTCCTGTACAAAGAATCTTATATCTTGCTTGCTGCGGGTCGAATCCTGCTCCTTACGTCTCGCATCTACCCATGCCGCTGTATATTTTGCAGGTACCAGTTTATCATGGACGCCGTTGCACAAGAGCAAAGGTACATTCGCTGGGAACTCATTAGCGACTTTCTGGTCATCGCGATGTACCATTTCCGCCAAAGCGCGCGGCCATCTCCGCCTTTGCGTTGCGTTCATCTCAAGTTCCTCATAGTCGAGGACAGCCTTTTTCGTAGGAGCTGGGTCAACTCCGAGACGATCTAATAGCAGAGTGGATAGATCGGGACATCCAACTACCATGGTGTATGCATGGAACTGGCCTGGTGTAATCAAGGAGGCGATCCGCCAAGCTGTGTGTCCCCCTAGAGAGACACCGGCCATAATATTGTAGAATCGACTGAACTGAGGTAAATAGGCGGGAAGATAGTCGAGTACCAGCTTGAAGTCTTGAGCAGACCCCGAGATCATCGAGACCAAATCCATGCTATCAAGCCAAGTTAGTTTGTTGATATGATATGATGCATGCAAGTTCATACTGAGACATACGCATGGTACTCATTGCCATCCTTCCAAGTCCTGTTTGCTTGAGGATCCACCTGATGCAATAATTAATAAGTGTGAAACATGCAGATACTGAGAACATGGCCTCACCTCTCGATCTCCGTGATTCCTCATATTCATTGTTACTGCAATCAGTCCAATTGGCTTGCCCCTTGCATTTCTCTTATCCGTCCAATACCGATATAGAATCTCATGAGCCATGTCCTCCATAACGCGGTAGGTCCTGGTACGGTTATGTGCCATGTACAAGACAGCGACTTCACCGGATAAGCCCCAGGAGCCTGAAAGGCTAGCATTCACCTCATTCAATCCATAGATGTAAATTTTCAATCCGCCAATTGCCAATTCTGTCTTGCTTGAAAGGGGAGTTGTCGTGGGAAGGGAAAAACGAGGCTCAAGGCCGTCCACACCTTTAGTAGAGGACATTTTACTACCCAATCGGTCTCTTTCACCTCAATTTATTTCAACCCATCTAGACTACATATTTGTGCCAATTTCAGGTGAATTTAAATCATATATTCATAATCTCATATCAGACGGTCAGACCCTTGCCTACATGATCCCGGTTCGGTTAACAACTATACATAATTACCGAAACAGCCGAGCGCCACAAGCAAACATCCTTCCAGCCTGAATTTACCGAAAATTTGCCGTACCCCTCACAAAGCCAAACTATAGCGGTTAAAGAAATCCAAAATGATTGGTGTGGCGTTGAAGCTAGCAACATGGTGACCAGCTTCCTGGTTATCCGCATTAGGCACTGTGCTGGGCCAGTCGTGACCGATTACCGCATCAAAGATCAATCCAACCAGTCCACGGGGGCCATATGAATACCACGAGGTGTTGCTTGAAACCGAGGATGTTCTGTTTCGGACGCTCAACATGTCTCGTGCCGCCCATTCTTGAATGAAATGTGGGATAGTTGGTAGACATGCATTTTTCCGTTCGCCACCCCAGAATGAAATCACCGTGTCATTTCCACCATGGAAGGCCAAAAACGGGATATCCGCCCGACCTGCCTGACAAGGATTGACCACCGTTGAGGCCATGCAGGGTAATGTGTCCACATAGTATGCTCCGGAGACGGGTGCAAAAGCCGCAATCCGAACAGACATTGCGGCATCGCACGCAAGGAGGTTACAAAGACCACCACCGTCTGACTTTCCAGTTGCGTAAACACGATTTAGATCGATCAAATAGCGGGAACTGATATCGTCCAGGATATCACTGGTGAACTTGATATCGTTGGTTGTAACCCCTGGCACGCCTTGCCATGTATTCTGTCGCTTCTAGTTAGTAAAGAACTTTCCTAGAACAAAGAAGAATCTTCGATCCATGTGATTTCGAGATCTCTTACATCAATTCCCTGAGGGTAAACAACAAATGCCTTGGTATTAAACTCAGGATTGGTGAGCTGATCAAGCTCCAGTTGAGATTCGGCCGTCCGTTCTCCACCGTGATAGGAGAATATAGCAGGTGCCGAAACCTGTGGGTGATAATCAGATGGAAACGATAGTAGATAGCTTCTATCAAGCCCATCACTTGTGATTGAAACGTTAATATTGCTTCCTCCTGTTATTTGTGGGTCGAGGCGCATGTCTTGGCATGTCAAGGATGCTGCTACTATTAGTGTAGCTTGAAGGAGAAGGAGAAGTGAGGTATAGAAAAACGCCATGTTTGACTGTGAAAGCTGCCTTGTAGCCTAGGAACTGTAGAAAAAGACTCTCTGGATACAGATACTGAATCAAGGACTCCTTGGACCCATTTTATATGTGTTCACAGGACCGTGCGACGGTAATCCGGGGTATGTACACAGGTGTGACCCAGACTTTCTCCACCACATCTGATCTAAGGGTTGACAGTGGTATCCTTGAAAGAACGAGGTCAATTATGCCGGTTACCGAGCTCTTGCACGTTGCCGGTGATTGCTCCCATGCGTCACCAAGGAGATTTCATCGGCAAAAGTGGTTTGCGGTGAGATCTGTGGGGTTGAAAATCCCTTGGTAGAGTTCGTAACATCGACGTGGAGTTTTGAACCCATGACCATGTGGCCTATACGAACAAAGAATTATCCGGGGAACTACGTCACAAACAAAGCTGGTTTGTAAATTATTCGATTTGGGCCGCCGTTTAGCCGTTCAAATGTTCTTAAGCTTGTTTCTTTGATACTAACGGGAATCTTTCTTTGACTCAAGTGCTCGGTCTCGGAGTTACCGTAGTCATGATATCAGCCTTATGCATCCAGGGAAATTACTGTGTTATTTGAGAGACATATGCTTAAGAGTACAGTGAGACATGGGTAATTCAGATGCAGATTGGGTTCAAGTCACTGGTGGATCTGGCATACGTACTTCTATGCACTATGAAGTAAGGCACGTGGTTATACCTAGGGCCTGACTATCACCTTACATATAACAAATAGAAAGGGGACTTTGGGATGGAAAAATTCTCCCGAGTAGGACAAGACACGTAGTATTTGAAATGAACCAGAAAAACTTCAAATTTGAATGTTTAATCATGAGATTTCTACCGAGGGAATATTTTTGAGACGAATAAAATCATAGAGTATCATTGGTAGGTATCATAACTAGGTATTAGCAACTCTACAGATGAACTTCTCAAAGCACATATCGGAAGTCTTCATTCTGCAGGTCCGTCAAGTTCTCATCGATCGAATGCTGATGCTGGTACTCCGATGCTGGCCTGCATCGGTTGTCTCTCCTTGCGTTTTCCCATCTCAGATAAATCCAAGTAATCGCACCGGTGACAACAACACCACACAAGCAAACAAAACTACCGATGAAACCAGAGCGGTAGATAGGACCTGGGAAGCGCCAAAAATAAGTGGACCGATGATATTGCCGATACAATAACCGACAAAGGTGGTTGCACTAGTTGTGGCTTTTTCTAGAAGGAAGTTAGCTAAGGCTAACCCAAGAGTAAATAGTAAATAGTAAAGAGGGGATACTTACTGGTATGACCGGCAATATTTGAGGCAGCAAGAGAAACTGCAATGCCACCCGAGGCAACTTGGACGGCAATCAAGAAAATTCCCGCGAACAAGAGACCTTTGTTGCTCCGAGGGCCAAACCAACAAATCAAGGTACCCGCAATAGAAATCAATGCACAAACCATTATGCAAAGATAGCGGGTTCCATTGAATTTACGAGTGAGATAGCCAACGATTAAGATAGAAAGGGCGGTCAGAGCGCCAATAGGGCTGGTTAAGGCCAGAGAGTCGAAATGATCATATCCAAAACCATTGATAACAATGGTTCCAAAGGTACCAATGGCGCCAGAGGGTACACCGGTGAGAAGAATGATCAGGAAACAGCTGTATGTCTTGAAGTCTCGGAATGTTTCGAGGAACTGAGCCCTATCAAATTCACGGGTGATTGTTCCGGCCTGGTTTCGCTCCAATCGGCTAATTGCGATTTGACGCTCAAATTCATTGAGACCCTTTGTTGTGTAAGGACCATCAGGTAGGAGAAAGAATAACACCACTGACCAAGCAGTAGTGATCCCACCGAGAACAAGGAACATGGGTTCCCAGGTCCGAAGAGGTCCATTGACTTGACCGAGGGCATAGTCAAGGAAAGGTCCGATGGTAGTAGCCACTCCAACACAGCAGTACCATAGTCCAGTACGTAAAGCTTGTTCCTCACGAGTCCACCAGAAGGTGATCAGCACAGTAAAAGTGGGTGCAACGGCAGACTCAAAAATACCGAGGAACAAACGGTTGACCATGATGCCAGCATAGTTTGTGCAGCCAGCAGTTGACATCACCACGATGCCCCAGATAAAAGTTGCAGTTGCGATAACACGAGAGACGGGGAAGTGCTGTGCAAGATACATCATGGGATAAGTCCCGATCAGGTAACCAACATAGAAAATCATCGATGCATTGGAGTATCGCTTGTTGTTAGTTTCGGCAGTGCCGTCCGCCTCGTATCCAACCACATATTCCAAATTTAGATCAGTTTCGAAGCCGAATTGCGTGGCAGCACTCATGATACCCTTATCGTAACTCTGCAGGAAGTATGTAACCATCATGAGTGGGATGATCCTACTCTAGTCAGTATCGAGGCTGCAAACAAAAATGCAAGGGGCGATCATCTACCAGAAGTCTAGCTTGCGTACGAGTTTTTTCTCATCTTGTGGAGTGAAAGGAGCAGTGTTCTTCTCAATTTTCTCCGACCTCTCCATCTCGTCAAGGTCGGGTTTCTCGATACGCCTGATGGAGCCATCCATTTTGAAAGATTTGATCACTGAAGCAAGGTCGATCTGGTGTTCAAGTCTTGGATGACATTGTGCCGGTACTTATAGCCAGCAGCATTGCAAGGATTCGCTTCGGTGAGCTTTGCTGGGGATTTCTTTGATTCCCCAGATCTTCGAGCTTTTTCCGGCTTTGGCTAATTGCCGATATTGCCGTTATTCCCGGTGCGGGGCCCCGCACACTAATAAAGGAAGAGACTGACCCGATACTCCTACCGCGGCAATTTTTGCTCCTCCACAGCCCTGAAGTTCATCGCGATTCACCAAATAATGGAAAATATTGAGAAAAGGGTGGGTCGTCGGTCGCGAGTCGCATGCAAACCATGTAATCGACGCAAGGTGCGATGTGATGTGACTCAAACAGGTTCGCCATGCACAAACTGCCAGCACGAGTCAGCTATCTGCGAGGTTTTACCCCGGAAAAAGCACAAGTGAGTGGAGCAGAAAGTGTAATCTTTGCATCATGTACTGATAAGAAAGAAAGACCACGTGTTTCAAAAGCAGCAGTTAGCAGACCACAGGAGAATGAACAACAGGTCTCCAATCTAGCAGATAGGACCACTGTCACTGATACGACGACAGACACCGATGGCATCTTACCTGACGATAGTGCCTGCTCGTATATTGGTAAGCTTTGCAACTGCTAAGTAGAAGGATAAGGAGGGGCTCATATTGACTCTAGGGGATACTCGTGGCCCAAGGCAGTCCGTATATGAATTATGCCACCCGGGCGTTCCGCAAGAAGCCTATCAATCACCTTCTAGCATCGCACCGCATAGCGTCTCGGGGACACAAACAACGCTTCAGCCGCACGAGGTCGAGTATATTCACAAAGAAGGCGGGTTCTCGCCACTGCCGACCGATGTCTGTGATGAACTTATTCGTTGTTATTTCCATCACGTCCACTTCTTCCTACCCGTTATTGAAGCCTCCGCATTTATACAAGAATACATGAATAATGGGAGCCAAAAGATCAACCAATTGTTATTTTGGAGTATGCTCCTTGCAGCAACCAATGTAGGACTATGAAAAGATTCAATATGGTTACGAAATTAACCTTAGTACTAGTTCGTTGATGCAAATATCCTCCAACGAGCCGGATTCGCCTCACGAAAGGCGATGAAAAAGGCCATGTATAAGAGAGCCAAGGTATGTCAAAGAAATCATGAAATATAAGGTCATATATTAACAGGATTGAAGGCCTTCTATGATGTCGATCGGAGCGCAGATAAATTGGTGCTCATTCAATCAGTCCTTTTGATGAGCTTCTGGTATACAGACGCCCAGGATCATACGGGCGCATCGCACTGGATTGGGATTGCAATTACCCTTGCCCAAGGAATTGGTCTTCATCGTAATCCCAACTCTCAAGTGAGAGGCAATAGTCAAATAGCATCTGAAGAAAGACAACGCCTCGCCCGGCGTCTCTGGTGGACTTGTGTAGTTCGCGATCGGTGGGTATCTCTTGCTAAGGGAAGGCCTATGCGAATACACGATGAAGACTGTGATGCACCCTTTCCGTGGTCAGATGATGTCTCTCACGAACTTCAGCTCTTGTCCGCTGAGACGCGACAAAGATTCATCCCACCAGACGTACACTATCTTGCTGGGATGTGGGTGCAGCTTGTGAAGACTAGCTCAGTGCTTGGTCGAATACTGAGAGCGCATTATCGGTTAAAAGCTCCTCCGCCGAGGACTCAAGAAGTTGATGAGTTGGTTGCGGAGTTACTTGAGTGTCAGCCGAGTCCTCCAACAGCGATGTACGATGTCAGTGAAATCGCTCGTGTTCACGAATATCATCTTCAAATATTTTATCAGTTCGTTCAAGCCTTGTCTCTGATTTTCAAGACACTGCTAACCAGGTTTAGAGCGAGCGTAACTGTGCTATATCGACCTTACGTATTGAATGCGCCTGCATCGTTTCCTGAACAATCCACACCCGCATGGCAGAAAAGTGCCCAGAATCGTGCGCGAGAGGCTGCTTCTGCTACTAACAGCACTCTTGAGAAGATAATCGAGCTAGATGTCGTCAAGTCAATCAAGCCTATGTTGTATGTATCAAGATCTCAAATGTGGATCTCACAGCTGACACGCCCTTAGCATCACATCATTGATACCTGCTATGCAAATACACCTTTTCGACTGCAAATCCGATAGCCAGCTTCAAGCTCATCTTGCGAAGAACAGACTGAATCTCTGCCTCCTGTTTCTGGACAACTTACGTGATACATACTGGAGCGCTGGGGTGATGTATCGACTGTTTGATCGTGCGCAAACTATTCTCACCAGTCGCAATACAACAAATCATCAGATGATTTCACAGAAGACAGGTCTTAATTCAAATACGCCTCGTCATCCAAATGATCCTGGAAATAACACTATTGTTGCGACTGAAGTTATACCACCCAGTATTGCGGACTTCACTCCTAATAGCACTACATCAGGCGTGCCTCCGGAATCATTTTCAGGTGACCTTGAAACTAATGCATATTCTCTGGACTTTGCTGCCCTCGAACAACTCCTCAGCCCTGGCTTTGCATTATCAGACGGGCACTCCCAAGGTCTGTTCGCAGAATATATGGGTAATGTGATGGGAGAAGAGGTTCCGATGAGTTTGTATGGTGTCTAAGTCAAAAAAGTTAATGAATATTATGATTTATGTCCTTTCAAAATTCAAGTTCCGATCCTGTCTAGGTATTCGGTCTCAACGGACTCGGAGTTACTCTATTGATAGTAGATCAACCTTCTCCACTCCTTATCCGGCAATTCTCATGATACCATAGCGCTGTCAGACAACGCCACTCCGGTCCCATATCCATCAATTGATCGATGTCTTCATTCTACATGCGATAATTTGTATAGGTATGCCTAATCAAGTTTGCACTTCCATGAAAATATGCCTTAAATACCAGGGCATACTCAAGTGCTTAGAATATTGAAGGAACCGACCGTGTAAAGAGCCCTGGAGGTAACCGCTATTTAGAATCTCCTAATAAGGTTAATCCCAATCTCACGGCCCCGGGAGAGCACTAACTTGAATTTACTAGTTCCCTCATCCTTCAGTCAACTAGTAAGATCTAGTATTGAGAATCAGGCAGCCACCGATAATTGAAACGGAGGACACCTGGCCTCTGCTTACCAGTCGATGTTTCAAATGTTCATCTTTTTATTTAGACATTTAAGAACCCAAGGGAAAGACCCCCAGATTCATTATTTTATTTCCAACATTATTCCATCATGCCATTTGTTATTCAAGCCTGTTCCCCAGTTGATTCCCCCGGCCTTGGAGCCGCTATGATAAAATCTCGACTCACAGATCCCCATTGGGTCTTCATGTGGGAAGACAATGTTCCCGCAGAGGAGATGATTTCTCGATCTACTGACCGTATACCTTGGAATCTTGTGAACGGAAGGGATACCAAGCGACATGAAAAGGTCATCGACGACACAACAGGGCAAGTGCTTGGGTACGCACGATGGCTTCTACCTCCTAATCTAGCCAAGAGGAATGATGTCTGGTTAGAAGCCCAAGCCCAAGATGGGACGCCAGAAGAACGCGCAACATATGAGAAGTTGTCAGACGCAACTAGCAGAAATGGTCAGCCGATTGGCTTAAAGGGTGGCGAACAGTCCAGGTATCGCAATGCCCCACTGGAGGCTGCTGATGAACGAGTGACAAAAAATGAGAACTTCTTGGGTAAAAGCTATCCCTATTACCATTTCCGTGTGAGAAACATTCAGACTGATGATTTATACTCAGCGCTTGACTATCTTACGACTCATCCCGATTTCTGGCGACAGGGTGTTGGGAGCATGCTTGTCAAAAGTGGACTGGATGTCGCCGATCAGTACGGCCTCAAGACCTATGTCATGTCTGAGCCGGCTGCATTGAAACTATACCTCAATTTTGGCTTCCAGCTGATTGAGACTGTATCAACTGATTATTCCCAATTTGGAGGAAAGGAGCCCATGGTGCATTATTTTCTGACTCGTGAGCCTGTTACATAGATTTCATACTTGAACTTGCATGTGCATGTTCATCTAACATGCTCCGTGAGATATTGAAGTAATCTTCAAATGTTGATAGTAATATGCAATAAGTGCAAGGATCATCTGAATATTCTCATTTCTTCCTGCTAGTGAGTATTGGTCGCGTGTTTTGACCGTTCATATCCAGCACGGTGCTAGTCGTCCGCCCTGAAAATGCGGAACATTCACATGAGGAAAGCGAATTAAGACCGGAGATTCCTGTGTAATGCCTGTGGCCTTTAATTCAACTCAATATATTAATTGAACTTACTGACTGGACGGCCAGTTGGCCTAGATCGCGTGTGCAGTTCTATGCTTGAAAGTTGAGCCACAGCCGCACATTCCTCGATCAACCGCCAGGCCCCTGACAACACAGCAGGAATGCATTCAACCCTGTCGGGAACCGGGTAAGACCCAATAAATGGAAAGGAGCTTATTACATCCCCGGAATGTATCATGCACGGCACGTCATTTTTGCCGAGTGCCAGAATTGTCACTCATGCTTGCGTGGAGAGTATGCCATACCACGCGCGATCAGCCCCAAGGACCCGCTAAGCACCGCCATTTGTTTTCCTCGGATGGTATGCGGATTGGAGGCAAAATAACTCAATGAATGCTATTTAAGATCGACAGAGGCAACGAGCCGGTCATTCGGCTCTTGTATCTTAGTCTTTTGTTCGCTCTTTGGGTTGGTAGCCCTGACATTCATTTACACCGATTGACAATTACTCGACATCTAATACTTAATCTGTTTTTGTCCCTAATATTTATTTTTATATCTTTTTTTGCATTCAAAATGCGTCGACACCAGGATTATCTTCCCTGGTCAGTGCTGCTGGCCTCGCTGGGAGCTGTTCAGGCTAAGCTGGATTTGAACTCTGATAGCAACATTGCTATTTACTGGGGTAGGCTATAGACTATTACAAAGAAGCATTTTTTCTGAATCGTCCTAACTTATATTTACAGGACAAAACTCTTTGCAAGGAAAGGGTGGACAAGTGCAACAACCTTTAGGAGAGTACTGCAAAAGTAAGAATCTATACAAGGGTATAGTACGAATACAGCTGACATGGGTCTGACAGATTCTAACATCGATGTATGACAAAATGAAGCTATGGCTTATGAATGTGCACCTAACATTTCTCACTAGGTTATTCCTATCGCATTCGATATGATGATCAATGGACCTGGTGGAGTCCCAGAGGTTGACTTCTCTGTGACAAGCCAGGATTGTGATGTCTTCCCGGGGACACAGTTGAAGAACTGTCCCAAGATTGGGTGAGTAGAATGATGCAGGGTTAAATGGCTTTCCCCGGCCAGACTAACAGTGAGTAGCCAGGATATCCAAACCTGCCAGGACGAAGGCACAACCATTCTCTTGTCTATCGGTGGCGCAACATACAGCGAGGGTGGCTTCAAATCAGAAGACGATGCCAAAGCAGGTGCACAACTCATCTGGGAGACTTTTGGTCCCCAGCAAGAGGGTTCCAAGGCCTTGAGGCCATTTGGTAATGTGAGCTTGGATGGCTTCGACTTCGATTTTGAAGCCAGTGTCTCACACATGGCACCTTTTGCCAATGAGCTTCGGTCCTTGATGGATCAGGATAACAGCAAGCAGTACTTCCTTACTGCAGCCCCTCAGTGCCCTTACCCCGATGCGGCAGACAAGGACATCCTGAACGGCCCCGTCTCGGTTGATGCTGTCTGGGTTCAGTTTTATAACAACTACTGCGGCGTGAACAACTTCGACACCAACGAGCAGAACTCCAAGTTCAACTTCGAGGAATGGGACAACTGGGCCAAGACAGTATCCCAGAACAAGGATGTCAAGGTCCTTGTCGGAGTCCCAGCCGATACAACTGCCGCTAGCACCGGCTACGTCCCAGCCGACAAGCTGACCGAAGTGATTGAGTACTCGAAGAAGTTTTCGAGTTTCGGCGGTGTCATGATGTGGGATGTAACTCAGGCGTATGCCAACAATGGTTTTATTGACAGCGTGCGCAAGGCGCTTGGTGGTCCGAATTCCGGTTCGTCGTCGTCGTCCAACTCGGCGTCGGCCTCGGCGTCTGCACCTTCGTCCACTAACTCACCGAATACCTCGCAATCTTCCAATGTACCCGTATCCTCGTCCTCATCTTCCTCCTCCTCATCATCTGGATCCTCACCCAGTGGTCATAAACACTCCGAGACCACCACTGCCCCCGATACTCCTCCCACTAAACCAGCCAAGCCGACAAAGCCTACGACTACCGAGACCGCTACGGAGCCAGAGCATACTAAGCCCACCAAGCCTACCAAGCCTACGGAGAAGCCGACTACCACCACACCAGCTACCACCACCAAGGCCAAGCCTGCTCTGGAATCCACTTCCAAGTCCCCTTCGAACGATGACAACGACTCGGACGATGTCGACAACTCGCCAACCGATCAGGCACCCCCCAAGGACCAAGATGCGATTGGTGTTGACAACACCAAGAATGGTCCTGCGAACAACGGTATTATTCACAATCTTCTTGGATCCGACCTCTTTGGTCTTCTGAATGGCCTTAAACAGGCTGACGGTGCTGTTAATGGTGTCGCTCATGGCCTTACCAACAATCTTCGCCGCGTCAAGCGTATTGGAAATAATTAAGAGCTTGAAGCTTCCAAGTGTCTTACAAATCCAATATTCTACTCAATGGTATCTTTCCTTATCATTTTTCATATCTTCGGCGAGCGAACCCTTCCCATGTCTCGATGCCATACTATCTTTCTTTATTTATACCGACAAAATGCGCGTCAGGGTAATTGGATCACACTCTTTTATCATAAGTTTGACTATGTTCTCAGATCTCCTTCAAATGTTGATACCCATAATTCATAATCATCTCGGCCACACTTCATATTCATCATTCAAGCATTAACGACAACGTAGTAGGAGGTCCAGGGACCTTCGGCGGTGCAAGAACCGTTGAACAGTCCAAGGCTCTCGTGCTCTCCAGAAACATCATCGTTAACCAAGCAGGTCTCGCTCTCGAAGAAGATGGCCTTCCACCAATCCACGTAGTACTCAGAGTCGGCCAGGATGTAGCAGTAGTCGTAGGAGCCATCGAGACTGGCGCAGCTGTCAACAGCATCTGAGCCGGAAGCAACCAGGGTACCATCCTCGCACTATTTGCTGTTAGCATTTGGTTCACTCGTTTGTCAACCGTAATGTTGGCAAGACATACTGAGTCGCCGCAGTAGAGAGCCCAGTCTGCAGTGGCGACGGAGGCGAGGGTGAGAGCCAGAGTGGTGAAGTACTTCATGTTGGCTGTAGGTAGAGGGGTATTCCAAGGTTCTGCACTCTAGTCAGCTTGGTGTCAATTTTTGAGCTTCGCCAGTCTTAAAGTTCAAGTTCTGTCACCTAGGTAGTAGTATTCCTACTACTTGTAGTGTCCAGATAGTACACATATGTGATGCCAGTGGGCCCCGGGGTACATAGTATAGGATATATAACCTACCTAATTGGGATTATATATTCAAGTTATCGCTTGTTAGAATCTTGGAGAAAAAGAAAAATCAGACAAAACCAGGACCTTTCCTGAATTATATATGTTTTTTTCTCACTATCAATTCTACGATTCCAAAAACCAAAGTAAGCATTTAAACAGGAATCGGACTTCGCATCCAACTGTCTATCTCAGTCTCATCCTTCGCCAAGACACGGACTCATCGGGTTTCATACGGGAATTAAGAGAAGAAAACGCCCATGTGGAGTTTCTCGTACGGTGAGAGTTAGTCCACTGAAATCATAGGTTCTAACTTGACCCCGCTTTATGCAGATTCGAGCTCCTGGTGAAGAATTACACAGTTTCGCTTATTTGGAAACATATCACTAAGACAATTCAGGTAAATGGGCGTTGACTAAGTTGATCAAGCCGTCTGAGGGCGTTATTCAATTCTTAGTCTCCAAGAGGATACTAGCACGGGCGAAGTCTTAGCCCCCAGGCTAAGTAGTATCTTGGTAAACATTTGAACTTGATTTCAAGGTTATTACTGAAGGATCAAATTTGAATGATTGTGGTGGGGCCGTAGGAGCTTCAGGGCGCCAAGGCTATACTAGTTAGTAGTTAGTTGTAGTACTTGGAGAGCAAAACATTGAAAATGCCCATCGTTTCAAGAGATGAGATGAAAAATACTATTAGAGAGTTCAGTTTGCAAAATACTACGAATACTCTGAGCTCAGACATCTACATGCTTTTTCAGAGTTCAAGTTGTACAGTGTGAGCGATTAATAGTCAGTTGAGTCTAGTCTATTGAGGGTTTAGTATGCCACGCGGCCTGAGACTAAATCCAGATGTCCACTCGGGCAAGGTTACTACTACTTACTAGTAACTAGACTGGTAGTTACTCGGAATTCCCCGTTACGGTGTAAGAAGTTACCTCTGTCAGCATTTAGGATCATATGGAGTCCGATGTACGGATTAAGCAGCATTGAAGGAACTCTCATACTGGCTTCCAAGGTTCAGTGCGGACATTGTCCATAATATCCAGCTAAGCTAGGGAGCCTTGACTCGAGAGAAACTAAAGGGAAAGGGATAAACGAATAACTAACTAAGGTATTATTCGGATATCTCCAAGAAATGAACTAAACTAAAAAAGGCAGGCAAAAGCTGCAAAACATGAAAAAATTAAGCCCATAGAGCACCAATCCTTTTCGCCTCCTCACGCCGATAAAAAAAACGCCATCCGTACCACCACGTAACTCATAAATCCTCCAAGAGCCCTGGAATGAGGGGGAATAGAAGTTGAAAATGAAACTGAAAAGGGATAACTTGAACGTAAATGTATCCCTTGACATAGCGACCCGCCTCATATGTAATCCAGGTGGAGACATACCCAGGGCCCGTTCTTCCCCCTTTCAAGGTTCAGTCCTCCTCGTCTTCCTCCTTGCTTGTGGCTAGGTAGTAGCGGCTAGGAGGCTGACCAGGCTCTTCATGAACAATTGCCAAGCGGGAAAGATGACCAAGGATTTCTTCGACCTTGATATCGCCCTTGCTGCGCTTCTGGCGACCGAGATCGTCAAGCCATTTGATCTTGTTGAGAATGTAGTAAACGAGAGCGATAACTATTTCAACGCCAATCGAATAACACCAGATGCGCACCACAGTGACGATGTCAGTCCATCCGTTGGTAGTTTCAACAAACATATCGGCCGGGCTGCTGCGCATGTCCTTATTGGAGAACCAACCGAACAAACAAAAGACTGTTGCCAGGACATCCACGCCGAGAATTGCACAAACAAGCTGCAAAGATGGCCAGGTGTCACTGCCTCGAGTCACAAAAATGAGCCAATTCTCTGTGAGCGCAATCTCCAAAAACAGAACTTCTTGAATTGAGCCCCAGTTCTGGATAATACCTCCCGAGGGAAGAAACATGCTGCCGCGAACAATCCAGGTGCCCAGTGCAAGAAGTACACCAAGGAGCACAGAGATGAACCAAATTTTCGGAAGCTGCCATTCAACCGGACGAAGTTCAAAGGATGCATTGTCGTAAGCCACAGCCACTGTTGCAAGGTCGGCAAAAAGAGCCAGGAAAACGATCAGCTCGACTCGAATGCTCTCATTGAGAATGATCATTGATGTGACCAAGTAAATTTCCAGGTGCAAACAAAGCGCAATACGGTATTGGATATACGCTTTCATACGGTGGAAGATTTGACGTGCAACTTTGATCGAGTCAATGATGGTGGACAGACCAGGCTCGAGGAAAACAATATCCGCTGCAGATTGTGCTGCTTCAGATGCACCTTCAACGGCAATACCACAATCAGCCTTCTTCAACGAGGGCGCGTCGTTCACACCATCGCCTGTCATAGCGGTTAAATGTCCCCGTTCCTGGAGCATCTGGACAACTTGATATTTGTGTTCAGGGAACACCTCAGCAAAGCCGTCGGCTTTTTCAACCAGGTCACTTGCCATAGCACCACTGAGGCCACCATGAATCAGCTTGTCGGAATTGTAGACTTTGGTGCCTAGTGCCAGCATTTTGCAGGTCTCCTTAGCAATGGCAATTGCATCACCAGTAAGCATTTTCACACTGATACCTAGGGCCTGTGCTTCACTGATTGTCTTTGCTGTATCCTCACGAGGTGGGTCGAACATTGGCAGCATCCCGAGAAGAGTCCAATCTTCACCTTCTTTCTGAACAGCAACACCCAGGGAGCGGAATCCACGATGGGCAAATTCCTGTGCTTTAGCCTTGTAGTGGTCTGCGATCTCCTTGCTACAGTTGGTGAGCTGGAGTACTGCCTTCGGAGCGCCTTTGGTGCAAGTGTACCGGATTCCATCACATGTTGCCACAGTCACAATACGCTTGGAAACGGGGTCAAAGGGTGTGAATTTCTCAGTCTTCCAACCGCGACGCAAGATTTCCCGTGCTTTCGGATACTGTCGGAGCGATAGGAGTGTCACTTTGTCGATTGGGTCCAGTGAATCGGTATTGTGAGAGGATGCAAGCACAGCGACTGCAAACATCCAATCCGCATCTACACCTTCTGCGACATAGGGATCCCGAATGCTCAGTTTATTGGCTGTTAGTGTTCCAGTCTTATCCGAACAGAGGATATCCACGCCCTATAGTATGAAGGTTAGTACGCAAGTCAAGTGAAGTTGAAGTGATAGTAACATACCGCCAGAGATTCAATAGCCGTGAGCCTCTGCACAATTGCCTTTTTCTTTGCCAATAATGCGGCACCTACAGCCATTGTGGTGGTCGTGACCACTGGTAGACCAACAGGCACACCGATGATGAACATAGACAAAGTGTAGTGAAGCAAGGTCTGTTGTCCGGGCGATGCGATGGGAACATGGCGAAAGAAACCACCGATCCAAGCAATGAGAATGAAAGCGACAACCAGAACGAGTAGCGAAACTCCAATGTTGTTCATCACAATCTCGAAGTGACCTGCACCCTTAGCAGAGTTAACCATTGACGCGGTGCGACCAACAAAGGACGTTTTTGCGCCGCTCTGAACCACAGCATACGCTCTGCCACGCTTGCAGCCAGTGGTGTAAAAGATCAGGTCTCCCATGTAACGATCCACAGCAAGAGACTCTCCAGTAATGGCAGAGTGATCGCAAGCCAGAATGGGATAACCACGACGACGAGACTTCTGCTTTTGCTTGTGACTCTCTCCACTTTGCTCGGCGCCATCTGCAGGTCCCTCACCATTGTCATCTTGGTCCTTTGTGTTGTCCTCTTCGTCACTCTCAGAACCCCCACCGAGCATACCTTGCTCTTGGAGTTCATTGAATTCTTCCCATCCGTTAGGATCGTTGTAATCACATATGACCTTGGCATCGGCAGGAACGACCTGGCCTTCACCAACGATAATCTGTGAATCAGAAGGATTAACTGTCTGAAAGAAATACATATCAGGCGCTTCTAATATGCCGACTTACCACATCACCAGGGACAAGTTCACGAGCTAGGATCTCCATCTCATAGCCGTCACGCAGACAAATGGCTCGCATAGCAATGTCGCCTTTGAGACTAGCAACCACATCGGCAGCTTGTTTCTCTTGATACCAGCCGACCGAAGCATTCAGACACAAGATTCCAATGATGACACCAAAGTCAACCCAGTCATTCAAACCAGCAGCCAAGAGAACAGCCAGCTCCATCACTGGAAAGATACCTCAGCATCAGTTATCTTTTTACATATTGGAGAGGTACTTACCGTAAAGAATAGGGCCCTGGAAGTAGGAAAGGATTTTGGCGATCGGGTTTTCCTTCTCAGAGACCAGTTCATTCCAGCCGGCGCGACGACGACGAGCAGCGACATCATCACCATTCAGACCCTCATGGATGTTGGTCATGAGCCAGCTATCAGGATAGGCGGCGACAGCATCATCGACTGGCTTGAGGTGAATCTTGCGCTTCATCCATGGAGCATACCAGATACGCTTGTATTCGACATTGGGATCATCCTCCTGGTCGGTGTCATTTTCGAAAGTCGAAACATATTTGATGATTTTGCCGTATTCATCCAGTTGATTCCAGTCCTCTTTCAGAGAAGCGCGCGAAATGCGGGAGCCACGGCGATCATCAGGGCGTTTCTCACTGGCCCGCTCGATATCAGGCTCGTCCTGGCCACCACGAGCCATGATAGGCGAATAAAGCAGTTGACTAACAAATCAAAGAGGCTTCGAACGAAAACAAGAGAGTTGGGAAATAGAAAAGATGTTTTGACGCGTGAAAAAGATGGAGGGGGGAAAGTAGAACGCGTGAGGAGGAAAGAGAGAAAGAAAGATGCAGGCGAAGGCAACAAGTCCTTCTTCTAGACAAACGCGCAGAACTTGGGACGATCGAGGGCAGAATGATACCGCCCTTCTTGTTTGGCACAATATCAAACCTGGGTCCTGAGATCAGACGACGATTACAAGAAGTAATATGATGGGTTTGATCATGGAAGCTTACAAGGTGTGGCATATCATGAACTAACCAAGGCTCTCTACGAAGATTTTCATTTCCCCTTCTTTGCCCTACTCAGTCAATCATGCTGACGTCGAGCCACTGATCTTTAAAAGGGATATGCCGTGTCTCTGCACATGGTTGGAAGTAACTTTAGAAAGAGGCACTGGAGACCGAGGACTCCTTGACTGGTCTTGACGTATGGGACATTGCCTATGGATAACCCATTCTCGGGCCGTTACTTATCGGACATACAGTACAATGGGCGAGTACTGAGCTTGCATTGTCCAGTGGCAGGTCTTCATGCCCATGGAAATGTGTGAGGGTTCCATCGGCAAGGCCCCGTGGAACATTGGTATAAGCTTTGAAGCGGAACACGTACGAAACAACAGCGTTGTACACTGTTGCAAATGCTGTGGAGATGACGGGACATCTCTTATACCCGGTCTATTCCGCTATGTTGGGTACATTATAGACTTGGTTCTTCGTGGCTACTTGGTGTAGATATCATATCTAGGGCTAAAACTACTAAAGCTACTAGTACTAATGCAGATCAGCAACTGTAAATTTATAAATACTCTGGCTACTACTAGTATCGCTAGTAGTGAAAACCAAACGTTGATACTCTCGTATGATCCTTTCAATATTTTTATCAATACCTCAATCCTAGTAGTACTCCAATTCGGCAGAGCCGAGCTAGATTGGGTCAAGTTACTTCAAGTTGGTTCGACGTCATGCATAGATCCCGGTGATACCCGGGAAACAGATGTATAGTTGGTAAGAAGTAAATAAACATTGAGTCTCAGGCTGTTAATCACAAGAAAAAGACCAAATTATATTTAGTCTGAGATTATACCTAGGTAGAAATTAAAATCAAATATTCTCGACTTGCAGTACTGTGACGAGACTTACTTAGGGTTGAAATCACATACTAGAAAGTGCCAGTGTGCGTAAATGAGCTTGAGCAATTAATACTACTAGACCAAACCGGAATAAGAACAAACTTCAAGATGTTTGATTTCATGAAATAAAGAATTATTCAACCTAAGTCTCTCATTCAATTAATTCAACGTTGTGCACCCATCTACTTCTGCTTTCCAGTGGGGATGTTGAAGAAGACGGCAGGCACGCCTGGAGCAGGGGCTCGGTCCACACGGTAGAAGCCCTTACGATCAAACTGAATGATGTCACCAACTTGCACCTCAGAGATGTTTCCATCGGCCATGGCGCTGACACGGAACTCGGTGTCGAAGTTAAGGACATCCTCAAGGATATCATCCTCATCCAAGGAGTCCTTCTTCAGCAGGTGATCGAAGTCGACCAGGTCAACGAGGACGAGAGTCTGTGCCTCAGTGGACAGCCAAGTAACCTTCTTCTCGGTCTTCTTGACATCACCAGCCAGGTGCAGCTCCAGCTCAAGGTTGGTGACCTTGTCACCCTCGGTGGTGATCTTACGCACGATGGCGTTACCCCAGTTCATGAGGGTGATCTCCTCGTCCTGCTTGAAAGACTTGACATCAAACTGCTCAAGAATGATAGAAGAGCTGAAGGCGACAGTCTTCTCACCAACGGCAGCGTTCTTGGCGTGCTTAGCGCGCTTCTCAGTGTAAGGAGCAGGAGCGCCAGTGACGGTAGTAGGAACCATATCAGCCTTCTCAATGGCAGTGTGACGAGGAGCAACAGGGTCAATGTACTTCTTGTTGGTCGCCCAGATAGTGGCCCAGTCAAACAGGGTAATGTTCTTGGAAGGACCCTGCTTAAGGATGAACTCACGCAGAGCGGGGATGGTCATACCACGACGGCGAATACCGCGGATAGTAGGGAAACGAGGGTCATCCCATCCCCAGACAACGCCAGACTCAACCAACTTAGTGAGCTTACGCTTGGAGAGCAAGGTACGGATGAAGTTCATGCGAGCAAAGTCCCAGACCTGCACGGTACGGAGGCTCAAGGCATCCAGCATCCACTGGTACTGGGGGTTTCGGTCGCGGTACTCAATGGTTCGCAGGGCATGGGTGACACCCTCCATGGAGTCAACCACGGGGCAAGCGAAATCGTAGGTAGGGTAGATAACCCATTTAGTACCGGTACGGTGGTGAGGAGCTGGGTTGCAACGGTAAATGACAGGATCGCGCATAGCCTTGTTCTTATCATCCGCAGAGATCTTAGCGCGGATACACCAACGCAGACCCTCGGGAGTACCCTTCTTCATCTCCTCGAAGCGAGCCAGGGACTCCTCAGCAGCCATCTCGCGACGCTGGCTGGGAATACCGTCCCAACGCTGCTTGGCCATAGTTTCCTTGTCAGTGTCATCGGCATAAGCCTTGCCGGTCTTGATCATGGTGATACAGTAGTCGTAAAGTTCATCAAAGTAGTCAGAAGTGTAGGAAACACGGTTGGGCTGAATGCCCATAAGGGCAAGGTCCTCCACAATAGCATCTTGGAACTCCTGCTTCTCGTTGGAGGGGTTAGTGTCGTCGAATCGGAGGAGAAGAGTACCATTGTACTTCTCGTGCGCGAAGTAGTCGTTCAACAGGGCAGCCTTGGCGTGTCCAATGTGGAGGTATCCACTGAATTGAGTTAGTATATGTAGAGAAAATCGGGGTTTGTATAAGAGAACAATGCTGTGTAAACTTACGAGGGCTCAGGGGGGAATCGGGTGACGACTCCATTTTCAGTGTTCTTGAGAGCAATGTCGTAGCTGGCTCCAGCCTTGGACTTAGCAGCCTTCTTCTCCTTGGCGACAGCGGTAAGGGTCTCGACAGCGACAGTCGCCCAAGGGCAAAGGTCCTCAAGGAACTTGTACCAACGGCCCAAGTTGACAAGGGTTCCCTTCTTCAGAGCGGCAGAAACCACACGGTTTCCACGAAGAGCACCCCAGATTGCGATATCGGGGGTGGAGAGGGAGTAGCCGGAGACAAAAGAGCGGAGCAGAAGGTGGGTATCGAGGTTCTGGAGGACAGGGTCAAGAGCCTTGAAGTCTAGGGTGTCAAATGAATCCAACTTGGAAATCCACTCATCCTCCTGGTATGATTGTTAGCTATATGTGCTTCGGGTATACACATGAAGTATATAATAGAGAAGGTAGAGCTTACACCCTTAACATCCTTGCCCGACAGGTAAGGAAACTGGGCACGCAGCTCCTGAATGGCAGGGATAGTGCCATTAACAGACTTATCACCGGCCTTGAACTGAATCACAGCATTGTCACCCTCGAGCAAAGCAGTGTCATGGTAGTTGATTGTGATAACAGGGTTAGAGCGAGCCTCATTGATTGAAGTCGCAATAAGAATCACAGGCAGAAGCGCAGCCTGGCTGGCACGGTTGGCCACATTCAACTCGAAACCCATATTGCAACAATTCACCTTTGTTTCAATAATGAAGTTTGGTGGGGAGATGGGAAATTTAGTGGAGGGGCATGACAAGTATTACTCATTATCGATAACGCCCTTCGGAGGTATGTTATTCCGACGCCGAGGTTCCGACAGAAAACAATTAGACATTCAAGCTACAGCTAAGCAATATCGAGAACACTCTATACTCGTTAGTCATGTCATCCTTTGGCGCAGGGATGCCCACCGTGGCACGCGGAATTTTGTCCTCCGCCCGCTTACCGCTGCGTGAGAAGTCCATTGTCCCGACTTTGGCTGGTCTTCAGCAGGTCCGCGGTCTGAAGACTCAGAAGAAGGACAAGGGCAAGAAGGGAAAGAGCGAGGTCAAGCCATCCCGTCGTGCACCCCTCGAGTTCCGACAGGGAAATCTCAAGGATCTTACCCAGTACACTCTGTGTGATGCTATGCGGTATGTCTTATATAGAATCCCCCGGAGTGGAGGCTATATGAAAACCCCGGCCCAGCCCTTTGCTAACGTTCTCTTTCTATAACAGCTTCATTCGAGCCATTGAAGTCGGCCGAGAGCGTACCGTTTCGAAATATGAAGTTGCCATCCGTATGCGAACAAGGAGAGACGGTCCCGTTATCCGAAACATGATTCGATTCCCCCATGCAGTCCAGACTGAATCCCGCATTTGTGTCATCTGTCCCCCAGGATCAAAGCAGGCAAAGGATGCGCTCGCAGCAGGTGCTGTTCTTGTCGGAGAAGAGGAAGTCTTTGCCGCCGTCAAGGCTGGCAAGATCGAGTTTGACCGGTGTCTTGCTCACCCCGACAGTTTGCCAGCACTGAACAAGGCCGCATTGGGTCGTATCCTTGGTCCTCGTGGTTTAATGCCCAGCGTGAAGACAGGTACTGTTGTTGAAGATGTGGCCTCTCGTGTTGAGATGCTTCGTGGTGGTACTATCTACCGTGAACGTGATGCGACCATTCGCCTCCCCTATCGGACAGTTGGGATTCTCTCCAGAGCAATTGCGGGACAACTTGCGCACAACAATCGAGAGCATCAAGAAGGATGCTGCTGGTCTCAATGATCGCATCAACAAGGAGATCTATGAAGTTGTAAGTGAGCCAATTTACATTGTCCCGGAACCTCTAGCTAATTATCGCTACTATAGGTCTTGAGCTCAACCCACGGTCCCGGCTTCAGCCTCAACGGAGAATTCAAGACCGATGACTCTCCTGAAACCTCTGCCTTGTCTGGCTTGTAAAATACCTCTTGTTTGATATTCATTTGGCGTGTACAAATTATTATATTGTTTTATTAGGAAAGGACATGGTGTATCATGGTATCATTTCTGTTGAATAGAGAGACTCAAGACTCCCGAATAAACCCCAACGCCGACGCTATGTAATGGAGCTTATATCTATAATTTGAGATTCTTTAGTGCAGCCACAGCACTGACGTCTTCGCCCATTAGATCATAGAGATGGAGTACTGCCATAGTTCTTGCATCCCTCTTCTGGCCCACATGGCTGGCCTGTTCCAGCGCGGTCTTCAAATCCAAGAGCACTGTTGATTTTATCTTCAATACTCGGGGCCGTTGAGCCTGCAAAAAGGGATGATCCTTCCCTACTGCTGAGGCAATTGAATCTAGGAACACATATTTCTGGACATGGCGCTCCAGTCGCTTCAATGACACAAGTGCTGTACCATCCTCCAGCTCGTCATCGTCATCCGTCGCATCGCTAGCACTGTCGTACATATCGGATTCCGTATCAGATTCTCCATTGAGAGACGGACCTTGAGAGGCAGATTCATCCTCTATCATCAAGCGATGTTCCAGTTCCTCCACCCGATCAGCATAGTCTAGTAGACTCTTGCCGATATCCGCATGGGACCGAAGTCGACGTTTCTCATTCAATAGCCCTTCAACCTCTCGGCGACGATCTTCCACTTTGTCACGAAGCGATTGCACATCCAGGCGGAAAGATAACAAGCCCACCTTGACTCCTTCAACCTTCTCCTCTCCTCCGCGGAGTGCGGTCCCTAAGGAGAGAAAGTCCTGGTAATTCTCATTGACTAGGTCCAATAGCTCTTTGTTGAGTACTTGTTCAAGTCCGCGCAATTCCTGGCGAAGATCTTCAAGACTCTGGTGACGATTCGTCAAGGAGGCAAGGAAAGTGGCCGGATCGAAATCAGGGGCGAGGAATGAAGTGCGGGATAGAGGTTCGGGGAAGGGGAGACTCGATGAGTCCTCATCGAAATCAGAACCAGATTCGTCAGAATCACCAAACTGGGTTTAGTCGAGTTAGCAGAGAATATCTCAAATTCAGACCAATGAGATCAAACTAACCTTGAATCGATTCATGTTGTCAGCTATCAAGAGATATTGGTACCCGACGAAGCTGATGAGTGGCGGAAGCTCCAGAAGCCGTGGAGTCTTGGCGTATGTTTGGCCGCGGTTTCCTTACACTACGTCGCTTCCCTACTTTCTTTACTTCCTTTTGTTTCCCAATAAGCTGGAGTATGCAACTGACCATATCACTACTTGAGTTACTGGATGCTCGAGGATTTGCCAACGCATCAGAATCATATGCATCGTGTATGCGACTTGAATGCACCTATCCTCGTGAGTGCATGGTAGACGTGTACTTCCCCCACCCTACAAACCTATTCCCCGAGCGGGGTTTCCCTCGGTCTTGCGTTGGCTCGCATTAGAAGCACCGTGCCTTGTTATCTCTGTGCTGGCACAATATGGACTCAGACACGTTTTCCTCCCGCCGGGACGGTACTCGACTATCATCTTCTCCATTCTCTCGACAAGGATGGTCTCGACTATCCCCATCTTATGCACCACCTCCAAGTGATGCAGGCCCCTCGCACCACGCAAATTGGCGGCGCCACGAATATGCGCTAGACGAGTCAGATCTAGCGCAACGATCAACGGCCCTGCATCAAGTTAGCGGAGCATCACGGTCTTGGTCCCGGACAGATCAGCCCACCAGTCCCAATACCTCTAGACAGCCGGCCCCTGTTCCAACACGGCCTGTCCTTGTCAGAGCGTACTCTGGAAATGCAGAGGGTTCGACTAATAAATTGTCGACCATGTCCCCACGCCGGCTGTTCCCGTTTATAGGTTTGAAGAGCCCGGCTTCCTCACGTCCTGCAAGGCCGCCGCTCCCTTCTGATAAAGATTTCAGTATTGAACATATACTGCAGGCCATCGAACCTGATATCCGTGGAACTTTAGATTCGATTGCTGAAATTTGTGGCCGAAGCAAGTTGAGTCTTGCCAATGAATACGGCAGCCACATCGCTCCACTCGGCGAAATTCGAGCACCCCCTACGGGTCTGGGACCTGTCGAAGAAGCAAGCTCAACAGACGAGCGACGTGACGAAGGCGTTGTGATATTTGACGATGATCCCAGTATCATGGATGCCGGTCGTGATATGCACCCTTTCTCCTTCTATCGATATCTGGAGAATCTCCGGCAAGCTGCGTCGGCCTTGGAACGAAACAGCGCTTCTGGCCCGTCAGGATCAGCACAACCAAGTTCTGCGACACCCGCCATATTGAATAACGCGCAGGGTCATGATACAGTGATGGAGGTCTCGACTTTGCCAACTACTCGGGAGTTCGTGTCCCGACCGAAACACTCTGGTCGGGACCTCTTAGCGAAGCCTGTTGCTTCTGGTGGATCCGACGCCCTTGTGCAAGATATTTCAACCCCTGCTGTGGTTTCGGAAATACACTTGGAGGCACGGGGTAACGAACATAATACCTTTGGAGAACAGGAAGACCGCTTTATGACTCCTGCGGCAGCTCACTCGACACAAGACGTCTGGCAAGCACCTGATGTCCTCTGTTCTCTCGTTGGCTGGTTAAAATGGACCGCGCGACTGGCTGGGCCAGGAGACGAGCCTGTCTTAAAGTCAGCAGAGAGTCGCCTTCGAGCTATGCTACAGCAATCTGCTGCAGAGGGAACCATTTAGCATCCCTGCTGATTACTTCCATTCAACGACTCAACGAATTATGATTAATGATTAATGATAATGATGACCACGGCAATGATTGAAACGAGCGTTGAAGAGTATCACGTCTACTCCCGATTATTTTTATTATACACATGTTTCTATTATCCTGGTACCCATCCATAGCACTTGGAGAGCCTTTTGTTTTTACCATCTCATATAGGTATATAATAGCTCAGACTAAATAAACAAACGCCATTGTTAATGCATTGCGAGGTGATCCCGTATTTCCTGTACTTCGCTCTAGACAAATATTTCCATTGCTAACCCAGTGCTCTCTTTAATTTGTGGCAGTGGTAGCAGCAGCGGCAGTCTGCTGGATGCCACTAACAATTGTCTTCGCAAATTCCTCAAATCGAGGATACGACCATCCCTCTTGATACTTCTCGACGAGAGGCCTATCATCAGGCTCCGCCGGCTGAAGTTGTTGTTGCTTATCCCCATCCTCACGCTCATCATCACTAAACGCCTCCATCTTGCCCTCAACCAGCTCACCAAACTTCACATCAACAGGCACCTTCCCCAGAAAGGGAATTCCAAGCTGCTGTGCCATAACCTCTCCACCACCACTGGAGAACAGATTACTCACCTCACCGCAGCACGGACAGGCATAACCTGACATATTTTCAATAACACCGAGGATGGGAATACTAGTCTTCACACAGAAGTTCGCCTCCTTGCGCACATCAGATGTCGCAACAGCCTGAGGAGTAGTAACCAGCACAGCTCCAGTCAACCGAGCTAGATTATTCTGCGCCGCGAGCGCCGCATCAGTCGTGGAGAGGGTGAGCAACTGCTCCGCGAGAGCAATATGCTCGTCACTTGTTCCCGGTGGGGTATCAATAAGTAGGTAATCTGTTGATCCCCACGAAACATCTGACAAGAACTGGCGAATCATAGCTGTTTTCTTCGGTCCGCGCCAGATTACTGCGTCGCCGCGGTCTCGGAGGAGGAAGCCGAGGGACATACAGTGGAGAGTTCCGCGCGGGGATGGAGAAGAGGAAATATCGGCGGAGGTTGATTCTGTTTCAGGTTGTGTAGAGATGGCGCTATGCACCGGAACTGGGAGCCAGCCTGAGGGGGATTGGGTAATTTTTGCATCTTCGAGACCGACAAGGCGGGGAATGGAGGGGCCTGTTAGATCGATGTCGAGAATGCCAACGGATTTGCCTTGAAGGGAGAGCGCGAGGGCTAGTTGGAGGGTTACGGAGGATTTCCCGACACCTCCTTTGCCCGAGAGGACCTGCGATAATGGTTAGTTATAGTTTCTGAGGATTGGTGATATTGTCGCATGGTTGTTCGCCTCTTGTGCATTCTTTTGCGTTATCGATAAGGCATTGGATGAGAGGGCAAGTTTTTTTTTCTTGGGTCTGTTGGAGGGCTTTATGAATCAATTCAAGCAGCTTGAAGGACTTACGAGTACAATATTCTTGACTCCGTCGAGAGGCATTTTTGTAATAGAGTGTAGTGGAAGTGATAATGATCAAGAACTGTACGAACTGTAGTGCGGAGTCCGATCATCGGGCGCTTATCAATCTAGTTCTGACTAAAACAAGCGCCGTGGATGGTTCTAGTTGGTAAGCTATGAAGTTGGATTATTTCAATGGAGGGTTTTTTTTTTATTATTTTTTGGAGTTTCTTTCATTAGATACTTGATTTCGTATTGGTCTGAGCAGTCATCATCGAGCTTTGTAGATAACGCTCATCGTATCGAGTTCATTGCAAGTCAGCTTTGGAATCAAATCTACTCCGTACATCCCCCCGCCCTCTTTTTTTAAGAGATAGATCGAGCAAGAAGAACTTAGTGCGTAGCTAGAGACTACTTCCATTTCTGGACGAGAACACCGCCGCGCTTAAAGTCAGGAAGGTCAGCCAGAGTCGCCTGCATATCCTCCAGCTCGACGTTAGGGAATGTGGTCATCAGCACCCAGGCGCGGTTGGGGCCATCTGGCGTGGCGCCAGCGACCACTCCATAGATTTGGCCAATAGTAGTGTCTGTGTTGAAGCGGGAGCTTAAGCGGGTACCGTCTCCCAGTCGGAGCTGGACCGTGACGAATGGTTGCGACTCATCCACTTCGACCTTTGGAGGCCAGTCGGAGCTACCCATGGGTTTACGCGTGGCAGTAGGAGTTGGAGATTGACTTTGGATGCCGGGAGTTGGGCTTCCAAGACGCTGACCAGCTCCTGAGAAAGGCTTCCACTTGGGCTTGGGTTTGACGTATTTCTCTTCGTGCTGTTTAAGCTCAACATCTACTTCCTGGCCTGCTTGAACGTTCATGATTCCAAGCGGGGCACGGCCCTGTCGAATACCCTCTAAGATTTCGGCGTTTCGCGGGTCATCGGATCGGTATAGTTCACCGTCATCAACTGAGAATCCATCGGCCCAGAAATGGAGGGTTCGTTGAACGCGCTGGGGTCGTTGCGGGGCAGGCTCAGAAGGATCTTCAATGACACGGCTGGGGGCATCATCACCACCCAGGGTACGGGCAGCACCAGTAAAGTGGGAGGGGCGTGACTGGGGTTCATCGGCAGTAGGGGGTTGTACTCTGCCCATGGGCATGTTAGAAGCTATGGTTCGACAGATCTTAGTCGGGGGGAGTGCCGGGCTTACCGTCGAGCCTTGTCGAGAATCTTCTTCTTCAATTCGTCAGGGTTCTGCACAGCCAAGCCAGACTTCTCTCCACCAGCAAAGAAGTCCTGATCCTCGGAGCCATCATCATCGGAGCTATCACCTCCACTTGTTGAAGCAAAATCTCCCAGTGTCGCGAACTTTTTCTTAGGCGCGGACCGCTTAGTTGATGATGACTGTAAGCCTGCAGAAGAGGACGACGCAGCACCACTTCCCAAGCCTCCAGAAGCTGTAGCGGATGATTCGTCGATTCCCAATCGTCGACCACCCGCTAAGTTGTCATCTTCTAGAGCTTCATCCTCCTCCGCAAAGAATTCGGCTATGGCGGCTTCGATGTCTCCATTATTGTTCGCAAGATATTGAATGGCCTTGAACAGCAAGTATCAAATTAGAGATATCACTCCTAAAGTTGACTTCGGGAACTTGCAAGACTTACCTCTGTTGTCGAGACACCTGTCATGGCACAGAACTGAGCCACGATTTCATCGTGCTCAGCAGGGTGGTCCATGTTGGGGCGTATCGAAGAGTCTTTCGTAGCAAAAGTCTGGCTAAAATAGGAACAAGCAGTTACGTTCGATGACAGAAGAGAAATGAAGAGGTTCTAGTATGAAAACAACGCGTTGATAGGACAGTTGATAGGACAGCTAAGTAAGAATCCCCAAACACCGCGGGCAAGGTACGTCACTTTAGAATTGGTCAGCCGGGCCGGGGGATCTTCCGTTCTTGCCTACGATATCGGGCGCCCAAGATCTACACAACCCATTTGATATTGGATCTACCCCAAAATAACGAGGTCTATATACTGATCGTTCTTTCAACTAACTTATCAAAATAATCGACGTCTTTTTCAATATATCCTTACTTGAACTAAATATCAATTAACTTCTATAAAGTAGACCCTACTATTGTCTGTCCTCTTCAGGGCTGCAGGACAATGATGACATAATCCATGTCACTGCCCGCGAGGAGTATCCCGTGCCGAACTGCGCATCTCCATGGGAACCTCCTCAAGTAGTACTCGCAGCCTTCAATCCTCACCTCTCTTTAATTCCTCTCTCTCGAGCCTACATCTACCACCATGGCATACGATAATTCTGGCTCCCATGGCGAGCTCTATGACTCCACTATGACTGTCCCCTCCGACTCGGAAAACTACTCGGCCAACAATGAACTCTCGTCGTCTACCTCAAGCTCCCCGATGATCCTTTACAAGCCTCCAACTATCTGGGGTATTCTCCGCGGTGCTGCAATCAATCTGGTCCTTCCTTTTGTCAACGGCCTTATGCTTGGATTTGGTGAACTCTTTGCCCACGAGGCAGCATTCCGTCTAGGATGGTCAAACACTAAGGTACGGTCTCATAGAGCTCCTGGCTTATTTTCAACAATTTAGATGTACTGATATTTGAAAAATTCTCTAGATCTTCCCTACCTACCGCAGATCGCATCCCGTGGGCCCTGGAATCGAGATTCGTGAGCTCCCCTCAGACCGGAGGCGAGTCACCGCCGGCTTGAAGGACACCGCGTCCTTGGAGTGAAGGCACACGGATGTTCTTTTCCAACTGCGATGCTGGCAAGGCGAAGTCGCCAGCGCTGAAAATTGAAAGAGCGCTTGTTATTGAATACAAATCCGGTATACATGTTTGATAGGAGTTAATCTCTACACTGAGGCACGGCCTGAATGTAGCGCCTGTACATAGATTATTTTTTTAGCGGAGTTTGGCGAATTAGGGTATGCATATCTACTGCTATCGGATTCTCGAGATGGCCATAGCATTTCTCGCTGCAGAACGTTGTCCACGCTAAATATCCGTAACATATCATTCTTATTCATTGCTCTTAAACAATCACAAATGGAGCCGATCGGATATTTACTCACCGCTCTCCGCCCGGCAAAAAAGTCTCCCCGACTTTCGCGGTAGATTCGTCCCGACGTGTTGCTAATCACTCGATCCACTCGTTCTCAGCCTCAATGATGGGTGTCAATGGTCTCCAAGGGACCGGTATGGCTACTGCCTTTGCCCGGCAACGGCTTGCTGCTTCCCCTCGCTCTACGCGATCGGTTTGTTAGCCCGGAAATAATGAAGTCTCGTGTCGGAAATTGACTGACCCCTACAGATCTCTACTTTCCGCACTCAACGTGTGCGCATTGCCGGCCCTGGTGCCTCATTGACTTCAGGATTCTCTGCCACTGCATCTCGATGGGCTATTCCCGCCATTGCCGGCCCTGCTGCCGTTCGTTTCAACTCTACGTCTCCTACTTCCGTCTCCCCTCCCGAGACTGCCCCGGGCGAACTACCGAATATCGAGGACCTGAGCTCGATTGATATCTCCAAGATTCCTGAGCATATTGGATACTTGAAGGAACTTGGTCTCGACTTTGGCTGGGGTCCTTCCGCTTTCATGCAATGGACCCTTGAGCACATTCACCTGGGCCTTGGACTTCCCTGGTGGGCCAGTGTTGTTAGCTTAGGCCTTCTGGTTCGACTGGCTCTGCTTAAACCATCTCTTGATGCTTCTAATGTCGCTGCTCAAAACCATAATATCAAGCCCTTAATGGCGCCCCTCAGGGAAAAACTCATGCTGGCTGCAAAGTCTAACAACCAAGTCGAAATCGCGCGGGCGAGGGCTGAGATCAAGAACCTTAACGCTGCCCACAACATTAAAGTGTGGAAGAGTTTTGTGCCAATGCTACAAATTCCGCTTGGTTTTGGAATGTTCCGCACCATCCGTGGCATGACTACTCTCCCTGTGCCAGCGTTGTTGGACGAGAAGGCATTATGGCTGACTGATTTGACTGCGGCTGATCCGTACTTCATCCTCCCTGCCATCAGTGGCTTCTGTTTATACCACACCTTTAAGGTATGTAGATCTTAGAAGCCTATCTTTGATGATGTTCCATAACTAATTATCCGCCAAACAGAAAGGAGGTGAGGCCGGTATGACGGAGCTTTTCAACACATCTGCAGGCAAGAGCGTGTTGTACGCACTTCCCGCGATGTCTTTCCTCTTCATGATTTGGATGCCCAGCGCTCTCCAGCTGTACTTTACAGCCACCGGTGCCTGGGCCCTCGCTCAAGCGCACGTTGTGAACAACAAAAGCTTCCGCCAGTTCATGAAAATGGAAATCCCTCAGCAAACCTCTGCGGCCTCTGCGGCCTCTGCCCTTGATGACAGCTTGTCGAGACTGCAGCGAAGTCTTCAAGAAGAGCGTCAGCGCCGGCTTCAGCAAGCCAAAGAGCAACTAGCAACCACTGTTGCTCCGGAACACCAAAGCTTCATCGATCGCTGGCTTAAGGCTGGTAAGGATCATGCCAAGGAGGTTGGCTCTGATATTACCGATAAAATGAAGCAATTCACCGGCGCTTCTACTCCCAACACCACTAACGCTGACGGCACTCCTGCGGCTCCTCCTCGTCTTACCGAGGCCCAGCGCAAGGCAGCACTCAAGGAGGAGGAAGCACAGAGTGCGTGGGAGAAGGAAGAACGCGATCGTCGCAACGAAGAGCGTCGCAGGGCTCACATGCAAACCATGCAGAACGAGATGGAACGGGCGAAGGGCTCATTTGCGAAGCAGAAGAAGGGTTCGCGACGAAGCTAATGTTGCATAAATGTATATACACTGTAAAATACGGCGCTTCACTTTGCATTTGATATTCTGATGTACTTTAGGTTCAAGTTTAGAAATTATTTTGACCGTTTCAAGTTCTTACAGGATGCCATTTCCATCTCTACTCCCAAACTCACTATATATTCGTCTTGTAATATTACTAGCCAAATGTTCAAGTTCCGGGCAATCCAAGTACCTACTACACATGACACCTGCACTCTCGTGAGCGCCGTTAAAACTATATCCATTTCATCTCGGTAAATGAAATCGGTATATCAAGCTCTTGCAAATACCAAGCCCTGGGCATTGATATAAGTGTGGAACCTTGAAACCTTGGATGAGGGTGATTAATCACATGCACATTCATGTGTGCAATCAAAATTAAATCTTCGAGTCCTAACGAGCCTCATTCAAATGTTAGATAACATTCCATATCAGCCAATATACGTCGTAATACATTCAGTGATCATAATCACGAATAGTATTGTAGACTTAGCCCTGCTTATTACTCAAGAGATACCCTACTGAGAGACTCAATTTACCTGATAACTACCAAGAGCATTTGAGAACTTTAATTATTCCAATACCTTGGACCATATTCACCATAAGCGAGCCAATTAAGAGGTTCAATTAAAGAGCCTTTTGACCACTGGCAGTTTAAAATAGACCCACATCTATATCATGAATCATGAATCATGAATCATGGGGTAAAACACGTGTGGACCCTTAGATTTGAAATGCGGGGTAATGCGATACACTATTCAAGTTGAGGCTAATATTATAATTTACAAGAGGCTAGAGCGATAGCGATAGTATTCTTAACTTTAGATTTCATGTCCCGAGGTCCTTGTAGTCTATATGGCACTAGCTACTAGTATCAGCTCACTTAATTGACTGTCAAATTTAAACTACAAATGGACTCGTAGAGAGGTTCAAGTTGTGACCCCATATTAGGTAGTATATCACTTATTGTAGCTGCATGAAAGAAAGTATACGATTCAATATTCGAAGAACATCATCTCCTTGCATCGTTAGTAGTACGCTTATTGGCATAAATTATAACTTCCCGAATTTATTTCCCGAAGTTGCATATGTAAGACAGTAAGAGTGGCGTGGACTGCATGCCAAGGTATTCCAGAGGTCAACTTGGCGTGAGGACTATTTCCAAGGTTAGTATGTCGAGATAATCAGTTTAAGCCCATATCCAGTTGAAGTCTAAAGCCACAATCTCGTATTCACTCGATTTCGGGACTTAGGAGCGGGATCGACCACTCGGAAACTTAATACTACAAACTACTAGTATATAAGATGACCACAGGGTGGTGATTTTGAAAGTTCCTTCAATTTCAAGTTGGTATCCGATTTCCCTCCGAGTCCTGGTCTAAATCCCTGCCAGTGCTCCTCTCAATTTTCCCCTACAGCTTCCATCATGGCGACTCCCACAACAGATATCGAATCCGTTGGAGACGAGAAACCAATCGCTTACCATAACACAAACATCACTTCGGAATTCGCTCATGATGCGGCGGAGCGCGGCCACCTGGCGACCGATCAATATGGACACGCCCTCGTCGAGTTTGATCAGGCCGCTGAATCCCGATTGAGGATGAAGATCGACCTATACGTTGTGCCCACCGTGGCTCTCATGTACCTCTTCTGCTTCATTGACCGAGTCAATATCGGTGAGTCTCTCCAAAAGACGCCACTCGGCTAAAAAGACGGATTAAATTAGACCATAGGCTAACCGAATTCAAATTGTTCTGCAGGTAATGCTAAGCTCGCTGGCTTCACCAAAGATCTTGGATTAGAAGGCTACGATTATAACATTGTTCTGTCCATCTTCTTCGTCTCATATATTCTCTTCGAGATTCCAAGTAATGTGAGTTTAACTATTTGTATTTGGACACCTCGAGAGAAACCTGCTGACGTTGTACACTCGTTATCGATAGATCGCATGTAAGTGGATTGGGCCAGGATGGTTCTTACCTGCACTTACGCTCGGATTCGGCATCTGTTCGGTTGCCACAGCCTTCGTGCATAATATCCACAGTGCATCCGGCGTCCGATTCTTACTAGGCATGTTTGAGGCCGGTCTCCTACCCGGAATTGCCTACTACCTGAGCCGATGGTACCGCCGCAGCGAGGTAAGTGCTTGTTGTTCGATATCCATATTATGAAGTGAAGAGATTTGGGTCTAACAGGATCCAGCTGGCTTTCCGCTTATCCTTGTATATTGTCATGGCGCCTCTCGCTGGTGCCTTTGGTGGTCTTCTCGCTTCAGGTATTCTAAAACTAGATCACTTTGGGGGTCTCCATACTTGGCGAATGCTCTTTGCAATTGAGGGAATCATCACTATCGGAGTGGCTCTCATAGCATTCGTAACGATGACCGATCGCCCTGAAACAGCCCGCTGGCTATCACAGGAAGAAAAGGATTTGGCCATTGCGCGAGTCAAGTCGGAGCGTGTTGGAACCACTGAGGTTCTCGATAAGCTGGATCTACCAAAGACCCTACGAGGCATCTTCAGCCCTGTGACCCTGACAACTGCATTTGTCTTCCTGCTCGACAACGTCACTGTCCAAGGATTGGGATTCTTTGCGCCGACAATTGTCCAAACAATCTATCCGCATGCAACTGTGATATCCCAGCAACTCCATACCGTCCCCCCGTACATAGTAGGGGCATTTTTCACTGTTCTGTTCCCTTTCCTCAGCTGGCGATTTGACCAGCGCCTGATATTTTTCGTTATCAGTCCGCCGCTAATGATGGCTGGATACATCATGTTCTTAGCCAGCGAGAACGCCATGGTCCGGTATGGAGCCACTTTCCTTATTGCTAGTGGCGCCTTTCCCTTTGGTGCTCTCTGTAACGCCCATGTTTCCGCCAATGTGGTATCAGACACTGCTCGATCATCGGCGATCGGAACTACAGTGATGTTTGGCAACATCGGTGGATTGATCTCTACCTGGTCGTTCTTGCCGACTGATGCGCCTAACTATCACGTTGGCAATGGCTTGAATCTCGCAACATCTTCCATGATCCTATTGCTCGGTGCGTCCCTGTGGATGTGGATGATGTGGGATAACAGGAGGCGTAGCCGGGTCGATATCAACGCTGTCTTGGCAGGGCTTTCACAGAAGCAGATTCAGGACATGGATTGGAAGAATCCTGCCTTTCACTGGAAGCCATGATCTATGTATGTCTTTGAGTAGTTTACGATATTTATCATGCCAGGGACTTGATGTCTTTAGCACTGTCTTACATTTCTACCAAATGATCATGAGCACGACGATAGCTTCAAATACACCAAAGGGCACTTTAGGGTCTCCGATTGTCATAAATTCACACCACATACTAGTGGTCAAATATTGTATTCTATATTACGTTTCTCCAAAAATATTGAAATTGAGAGACGAGAGCAATTTTGATCAAATTGAGTCAACGATAAGACACCGTATTTGTGATAGTAATAAGATCCAACAAACTCTATTCACAACCTTTATACAAGAAACAGCACCCAAACACCAGTCGTTACCCGCTTCAATGTCAAAATCATGCGTGTACATAGTAATGTAGCTTTTGCTACCGAATTCAGAGTCCGAGCCAACCTAAGCTGTCTGCATTGGAATAGAAGCAGTAGGCAAAGGTAAACTCGCCTTCTCATCCTCCACAAAAACAGCCTTCTCCAACTTGGCCGCCATCCTCGCACAAAATGGATCCACATATGCCGTCCAAGCTGCCGCGAAAGTATACACAAGACCAATCCACACTGGAATACTAACACCAACAACCCACGGTGGTCTCAAGGGTAACCAGTCGTCTCTATCATCGTCTGTGCCTGCTTCATCGCCGTTCCATGGTTGTCCGCTAATTCCATAAAGCATCCAACAAAGCACAACGCGAAGCATAGTGCCGTGGATAAGGTAGACTGCGAAACTCTGTTTTCCTAACCAGAGAAGTAGGCGGTTTGCTAAGAAGTTCTTTGTTGAGGGTGAGAGGTATATGGCGAAGATGATCATATCGATTCCCAGGGCTGTGTATCGTTTTCCGATGTTAACATTCGGTGGGAAAATGTAGTTGGCTGCTTCGAACATGGCATTTGACCATGTTGCCCATTCGGGGTGCTCGCCTGGGTAAGAGGCTATCAGTAGTCCTGCTACTGCGAGTGGGAATGTGATGGCTTTCCGGAGATAACGGTGGTTTTCGATCCAAGATTTGAGGGTGGCGTTATAGGAGAGATCACTGAGAAACATGCCGTATACGGCCTGTATTTGAAATGTTTCTAGAAAAGAAAGTTAGCCCATACCATCTACCATATCCGCCGTAATAAATCCTCAGTCCTGCCAGGATTCGAAGAGATTGAAAGCTCTCCAGGTCAAACTCACCAGTATCTTTCGCCGCATCCTGATGAAAATATAGAATCATCCCAATATAAACCAAAACCCGAAATCGAAATCTCATAAACATAGTCGCAACAAGCAAAAGGTAAACCAGCATGGAGGCCAAAAGCAACGGCAAAAGCGCCCACTGATGATCATCGTATGCCATATAGCCCGTAGTCCACGTCGACAAGAAATTCATTCCCAGCCGAATAATCTCCTTCCACAAGGAATTCTCCACTTCCGGTGCCGCATATCGACACCACCAGCAATCCGACCGATTAGCGACAATAAATCCACCAAACTGCGCAACAACCCATGAGATGATCAATGCAATAGTAGCTGGGAAGATAAGACGCGGTGGTCGACGGAAAGCGCTTTTTGCGATGGTGGTGAAGGCGCCGTATGTATCGCCTGCACGGGATTGTTTAATTGGTTTTAAGGCGCAAACGTATCCTGTTAAGAAAGCGAATATGGTCACGCCTATCCTGCCTTGCCAGGGGATTCGTAGAATGGGCCATTGTAAGATTCGGGGCGTGGCGTCTTCGGTATCTCGGGGTGAGAAAAGATCGTAGTCCCATGCTCGGGCGAGATGGGTGAGGACTACGAGGAAAGAAGCTATTCCACGCAGACCCTTGAAAGATATTAGTTTCTATTTGGAGCTCTGTGGGTAAATTCTCTGGTTGACATGTACTTACATCGATCCATTTGACGCTCTTTCGCGGATCACCTTTTGTAGAAGAATCGGCTTGCTGCCATTGTAATGAAGGGATATTGTGGCGTAAATGAGTGTATATATGAGTTGGTCGAAAGAATGACATGTTGTATGAAGTGAATGAATGAGCCTTGGCTCTCAGATTGACCTTGATCTGCTTTGATGTCTATATAGTCGAAATCATCAAGGGCACTTGGTAGATCGATACAAACCGGTCTCCAGTTCCTGTACCAAGAGGACAGGTTCCCAGATAAATGCTCAAAAATGCCAATAAAGTGAGGGGAAACTGAGGATAGGGTATGAAAGTATGGAAGAGATCAGAGGGTCCATAAAGACGCGAAAGGCATGAGAGGGGCCACAAGATGCCAACATCCCACTGTTAAGGATCCATATTTAGCACTAGATCCAGACAGCTGAAATGAATCAAGTATGTAGGCTGCCAAGAAGAAAGGGGCGCTTAAGGAGGGACCAAATTGGCGAATCAATTCCTCTAGGGGATGTGCACCGAGTGAGCGTATTCAGAGGCTTAATTGCGCCATCCACCGATTCAAATCCCTTCACGAGCTGCGATGAACGGCTCGGAAGCGCCCGGAAATAATTGCCCAAACCCCATATTTAGATGCACATTGCTGATCGGAACATCGATTCAGGTGTGCGTGCTTGGTATGCGGGAGAAGGTGGCTGTATCGAAAGTCAGAGGGGGTCTGGGATGAGGGTATTGGACCCTTGCAGCGGCAGGACAAGAGTCCTTAATAAGGCATAGATTTACGGGTGATCGACTCCTCCACTTCTTAGCCACTTCCTTGGAGCATGGTAAAGCTTGGCTTCAGAATACGAGAGCATTGGCCTGGATTTCAAGCTGGACTCAAATCAACAAGATGTTTCTGCTTCCTATGTCCAGATGTATCATATAGAAGCGATCTGGCTAAAGAAAGACACTTGCATACAGTAGACGCGTGGGCATTCTTGCGCATAGGTGATCGATTAGGCATCTAAGTTCTTTACTCTGCCACCTCCTAGATTGACAGATGACACAGATGGAATGCAAGTGCTATATTAGGAGCTGTCACGCCATAGACACTACAGAGTAACTCATGAGCATTCGAACTCAAAGTCCTGGAAAACGCCTTGGTATCAATTTTCTATGCCATAAATCATGAACCGGACCCCATCGACCACTATGTAAGAAGATTGCTGGCGAAGGGATGGGTAGACATACTCGTCAATTGGACGAGATAGATAAGAACGGAAAGCGACAAAAATAAAATAAGAGGAAGAGCCTCAAACCAGATACGCCAACGCAATGAATATCTTGGGAATAAGAATCGCTTTGGGCCTAACGGAAGAGTCTGCGTCCACCAATAGTACCCGAGTTCCAGGTAAATGCACCTTTGACACCGAGATTATCCATACTCAATCCTGAAAAACCAACACCGCCTCCTTCGCCATCTCGCTTCGTTCGTCGTAGTGCTTCACGTAAATGGGATGGTAAAAGCTGACCGCGATGAGGGTTGGGAGGTGCGCGAAATTCGCGTCGTTGACGGAGGGGACCGGGAGACGAGATGGACTTGATGTTGATAGGATGAGGAGAAGAGCGCAATTGCGATGGACCGGGTGATTCTTGCTTGATGCCATTACTCATTGGGACGGGAGTCCCCGACGGTGTTGAGGTTGCTGCCCTGGCCTGTGCCGCAGCTTGGGCATCCGCTCTAGCCTGAGCGGCTTTCTCTGCCGCAGCTTCTTCAGCATCGAAGGCAGCACGCGCCGACTGGTCAAAAGCATCCGCCCACTCATCCTGGACCGTTCGCGCCTTTTCAATCATCTCACCAGCGAAAACTTTGGTAAAACCATTAACAGTAGTCACCACACTGGCGGGTACAGACTGCGAAAGAGCGTGGTTGACGATTCGACGGAGGGATTCCTTTCGAAGCTTGGTTCGCTTAAACAGGTCGTATCGCTCAGATTGAAGAGGGTTGAATGCATCAACTAGAATTCTGTATAGTAGAGGAGAATGTCAGTAATCTTAGAGCGTTTTATCCCATATCATCAGAAGAACATACGCCAAATTCTTCTTTTCAGCCTCGGTATCTGTGGCACCCTCCTCTCGACCCAGAAGCTCTCCTTCATCATCGTCGTCGTCATCGTCATCTCCATCATCCCCTCCTCTTCCGCCGCCGCGTACTGATCCCTCGGCATCCGCGGAGCCAAATCGGCCCGCATCACCAGTTCGCGTACTCATCGCATCGTCGCGCTCACGTTCCTTATCCGCCTTACTCTTGCGCCCGCGCTTCTTCCCCCGAGCTGCTGCAAAGACACCATCTGCGCTGGTGCCCCCAAGACTTCCTGTGTAACTTCCAGTGACACTACCAGCATCACTTGTCGCGCCGAAGCTGCGCTCTGGGGCTTCGAGATGTGTCGGGAAAGAGGTTTGGCGAAGCGGGTGCATACGTTGTTTCTTGCCAATCGGCTGAGATGACGCCGATGAGATAGACGGGCGTTTCAGTGGATTTGAAGGAGTTTGGTAAGGTGGTGGTGACGACATATTGGATGACTGGATAGGGGATATTTGAGGAAAGAGTCAGGTTGTTAAAAAAGAATCGTGAGGACTGATCCTGCCAGCAAGAATCAGGGTGAGTTTATTAGCAAATTAAGTGATAACCCCGGCAAGAGGGCGTTGTGGAAGCTTGGAAGTGAATGTGAGAATCTTTACGCGATTCATCTTGAAATGATTTGATGTCGGAGATGCGACTGCTAAGTCCATTACTCACCGCCTACCTTTTATAGGACCCATGGATCACCCATCTATGTTGCGACCAGACTATATTGACATATGATATGTTGATAAAAACAGGATTTGTGATGAGGCCGAAAAGAATTACAGATTACCCAGGTTTATATGTCAAACAACCATATCGATGTTCAACACTTTTGACTTTCGGAGTACTATGCACGTCTTCCAAGCATATGTAATTCACTACCACCTACTACTAGTATACGGAATAGTACTCGTGTAGAAACTTCAGGTCAAAGTAGTAGATACCTAGGTAGTATGGATGTGTATGTTCTGGAAATCGCATCCGTTTCGTATGGCTGTTTCCAAGTCTCAGTATTGAGCTTGAAGGTCAAGTTCCCAGATGTCCAAAGCTGAAATTTCTTCCAAGTGTTGTTGCCTTGGAAATGTCGAGGATGCCTTCGAACTTGAACGTGCCTACTTTGTAGCTCTAAGGTGAACGTTCCACTTGAACATTGAGATACTAGGTACCAACTGGGAAGAAAACTTGAATCTATTAGTAAGCCCTGGAGGCTATTCACGGATTTGATCGCTTTAGGCATGTGCATCCGTGACTCCGTAGTGCTAGTATAGCTCCCGCTTGTCTTAAAAACTGGGCCCACTTAGGAGCTTTAGTGCCCGGGCGGGTCGGAGTTAGTATGCGGATCGGAGTATAAAGGAACAATATAGATCTTACTACCACAGGTAGATGAAACTTGGAAATGAGGGGAACTAACAATGCATACAAAACTTAATTCGACTATGTAGGAAAAATGATAGAATGAGTAATCACAATAACTGCCCAGGTGGGAAGCATCACCGCACATGTGCACCATAGACACAGAAAATGACCGAGGCGCTTGAAGCATATGAATGCGACGCTGTGTACTATGTGAAGAGATGGCGAAAAAAGAAAAAGAAAATCCAAGCACGAGAAAAGCAGATAAAAGATGAAAAAGAAACCAAAAAAAAGAAAAGATGGTGTAACATCCCATAGCATACTTACGAGAGCATCGACGGGAAGTTACGGAGGAGAGAAGGTAATGCCAGCAATGCTAAGCATTAAAACTTCTCACCAATCCGGGGTGCCCCCCCTTTCCAGCCGTTGCGCTCGTAGTAGCGGAACACAAGGTCGTATCCATTGAGCTCGTGGACGATACGGTCCACACGACGGTAACCTTCAACGTGCTCGTTCTTGGGGTTGTGGCGCTGAGCCTGGCGCTGCGCTTGCACTTCATGGAAGCCGTTGGTATCATTCTCAGGATCCTCAGTACCGGGCTTAGTCTCAAACAAGGTGATGCTGAAACGGCCGGGCTTGAAGATGTCCACAACTTGCTGAATGATATCGGCAGTCGCTTTGCCATTCTGCGAGTGCGGAACATTGGTCTCAAAGGATGCATACGAGCAGTGAGGCTCTGGTGTGACGTGCACAGTAAAATAGTGAGTCGGGGCCTTGCTCTCTGGAGAAGGAATGACACCGTTGGCAGAGAAGCCACAGGGTGTAAACAAGTATGCATCGATACGTGCATCCGGGAATTTGCTCTTAGGGTAAACATCCGAGAGACCGCAGCCTTCAGAGACAACAGTTCCGAGGGCGTGGCCTTCGGTGGTCAACTCAGGTGGCAAAACACGGTCACCAGGAACAAGAGGATCATCCAGATCAGAGCCGTTGCTGAAGACATCGACATGTTCAACGCCTTCTTCTTTGTCAAAGTTGCGGTAGTTCTTCTCAGCCGTGGCAATGGCGTTATCCAGGTAGAATTGTTTCGCATTCTCTTCGTCCAGGTCGGTCATCAAGACCTCCAGAGTTTCGTCATACTCATCACAGTCAGCAACCGGAGCGTCCTTAGGGAAGCTGATAACCTTGGTCTCAGTCTCCCTGAAGGTAACTTGCTCAGTGGGACTGGCTGGAGGTGTGAGCATAGTGTTAGGATCGGTGAGGTACAGATACCAATGATCTCCATTCATCTTGCCAATCATGTAGGCGCTTCCATTGAGGAACAACTGGTCCATATTGCGAACCTCATCACGCCAGCTACGGTGAGGGCCACGCTGGCGATCAGGGAACAGGTAGTTCTTGCGGCTGTAGAAGACGCGGTAGGGAGCAGCTGCGACCGTGATACCACGAGAAGCTGGGGCGGTTGCACGAGGAAAGCCTGCGAACATGGCAGCGATCTCCAGAATACGAGGTAGACCTGAGAGCAGGGTGGTAGTTCCGCAGGTCTTCAGGATGAGCTTGTGTGGCCAGACAAACATGCTGGACTCGGACAGTAGGTAGGCATCCACATCATCGGAGGACACCACGGAAAGAACTTGACAATTGACCAGATCCAGCATATCTTTCCAAATCTCGCCGGGCACCTTCTTCAGGCCCTCAGGGCCTGCAGCACCTAGTTCATTGGCAGATGGGGCGAACCACACCTCTAACAGTTTCTCAGGACCTGTGAAGGCAAAAGGAATAATCAATATATTGCATTTAGGAATTGATGAGAACAGGAGGGGTAACTAACCTTCAAAGGCATTGGTGGAGTCAAGATCCTGAGCGGCCTCATGATTGATGGTCAAGGCAGGAGTCCCGCCGAAGGAGGACGGGGACTGGGTGTAATTCTTGGGGATACCGACGAAAACCATTTCTGTTGATTTGATACAGCCGAGGCTGGTAGACGAATTTTAAGATTTTTTTTGAAGGAATTTGGGTGACGCAAGATGACCCTAATAGGGTAGGTTGAAGACAAAAAGGCTTTAGAAGCACTGTCTACTTACCCAGACGAACAGGGGGCAATGCCCGTCTGAGAAGAGAAGGCCTTTGGCGTAAAAAAGAAACTGGACAGGCCAGGCGGTTATGAACCCTCAGATCCGAAGGGTTGCTAGGGAGGCTGAAAAGCGAAGGAGAAAGAAGAAGATGGGACAAGGAATATTGACTGTCAGTCCGGTACCCTCGCACTGGAAGATTCCGATACCGATAAAAGTATCGGGTCTAGCAGACGAGAGTATCTGCTTTATGGAAATAAAGGGAAAAGGTGAACGGTGTGGGTGTGAGTCGCGTTATCGCGGCCTAATGAAGATTGGATGTTAGTTGAGTCCGAGTAAAGAGAGGATGACGATGAAGGGTACAGGGACCAAGAGAGCCCGGGTACACAAATTGAATCGCAGATAAGATGAGTTGCTCAAGAGACTCAAGAGGCAGAAAAATAGACAAATGAGTTTACTCTTTTTCTTGTCCCAATGCTTGGACAGGGTAATCTGTTCCTCTGATTGGATCGAAGAGTGAAAGCGCACGTGTTGGGGTGGGGGGGAAAGTAACTTACTTAGCAGGCTTAGAGAGAAATCGCAGAAGATCCTTTGGGCTCATGAAAGGCAGGAAAGGAAATTCAGCTTAGAATTGCACGAAGTCGCGCGAGGCCACAATCGTGAGCATTAGCGGGGGAGTAGATCCTCGAACGTTGGTCAACTCTTGATGAAGCCCAATTAATGCCTGAGTTACTCTTGATAGAAACTCAGAAGAGGGGGAAATAAACCGAACGTATTCGGAGTCAAGGGTTGGTCAACACAAGAAAGTATTGTGTTGAATTTTTTTTTTTCCGAAAGAAAAAAAAAACTTAAGAGTGGAAGAGGGGAGAAGGGGGGGGTAGGTTGGAAAATGTTGGCCGTAAAAGCGGTAGTTTGGTTGGTGAATGCGCGATTTTGTCAGTGGGCCCGTGTCCCTGTGGGGCGGTTACGGAGCAAAAATTTGTCTGACATCAGGGAATGAGTCCTTGTTAGTTCCTTGATATTAAACGGTGTAACAGATGTTCCAGCCTTAAAATAAGATAAATATTGGGGTAACACACTATGAGATGAAATAGACCAGAGCAATGTCGTCAAGGACGACGAGAGGGTTGCAAAGGGCAAGACGACCTTGGATAAGCTTGGCGAAACAAAAAGAAAAGACCGTGAATCTGGGCACATGAGCGGTAAGTGATGGTAGAATGTTATTTTAGGATTTTGAATAATATTACGTAATCAGGGTGTTTCCCGTGATCGACAGGGCCAGATAAGATAAGAACCCGGGGAACTACGGAGTTCTACTTCCAAGGTTATGGGGTTTACCATCTACACATCTTTTAAAGGGAAAACATCAACTATCATTCGTTATGAATGGGGCTCCATACTCCGTAAAAATACAATCATCCCCGTGAAAAATAACGCCCAGATTCATAACACCATAAGCCTTGAAACTCTCGATCAGTTGCAATGGGTCGAGCAAGGCACAAGAAAGTAAACGAAACGAAGAAAAGAAGACACAATTGTTCTCAGATCGCTTTGACCAAAATATGAGCAAGTTGGACCTTTTTGGCCTGAGGGACTTAGTTCCCAGCAGGTGGATCAAAAGGTTGAACGTCAACAAGCATGAGAGCGAGTCGAACATCATTGGCCTCGACTACCTTAGTAGCGAAAAGGGGTCCAACTGCTTCAACCAAACGAGAACGGATCTCATCACTCACACTACTGGGCGTGTCATGGAACAGACGTACTTCGTTCTGGCGCAGCCATATCAGCACAGAAAAGATTACATTGGCAACACGCTCTGCAGCAGGACGACGACCGCTATCATTCAAGCCTTCAGCGATAATTCCGCCATACATCTTGAGAACAGGGAGAATCATCTCACTGATCAAATCTGTACCAGCGATGGCCTGCAGACCGAGGATAGCACCGTAATGAGCATTGAAAGACTTGGTAAGATCCATGAAGTTCTTGTAGCAAGAGCGCACAATACGTGGCTTGAGGAGGTGAGAAGCGGATTCGTATTTCTTGGCAATGAAACCGATGAGAGAGGCTGCCATATCACGCAGAGCAAAGGACTCGGCCACATCTGTGGCTCCGCCGAGCTGTCGTCCAATCAAGCAGGTCAGGATGGGAGGGACAAAAGAGGAAACCTGCGTGGAATCAGTAAAGAACAAACAATGAGGCTAAAAGCGAGATGAAGGGAATGAGTGAAGAAACTTACATAAGGGTCAATGTAGAGGGACTTGTTCTGTACAAGAGCCTCGGCCATACGCATCATCTGAGTCAAGACAAAGATATTCTGGAGGTTGTGGGTTACCTTCTCAGAAATGAATTGGACGAAGTAAGGCACCAGCTGGCTCAAGCCTGGATCGTCATGCAAACTGGCGTACCCGGAGGCACGATATTCTTCGCTACTCTCATCCAGGAACGCACCGCATACTTTGTCGAAGTACAGCTGTAACTCGCGGGATAGGACGTGCTTGACCAAGGGTTTAACGTCAACATCGCCGGATCCACTCATGGCGGCGGAAGTGGCATTAGCGTTAGGTCCCTTGGCAACCAGTTCAAGGTTGCGCGAGTCAGCAGCAGTCGGGTTCTGAGGAATAGATGGCTGCACACCATCAATAGCGAGCCAATGAGCTAGCAATGTAGTCAGCAAAACCATTCCCTGTGTCCGTAGTCATTACTCGAGGAAATAGACTCACCTGTGAGAGTCACCTCGCGGGGAACGCGGGGCAATGGGGCATTGATCAGTTTTTCAAAGTCAACCTCTTCATCCTCAACGTAGAACAGTGGCTGGCCGGGTCCGAGTGACGCTTCGCCAAAGCGGACGGGGCGGTTTGACTCGTAGCCGTACAGAGGTTCCAGATCCAGTTGACGGAGGGCAAAGGAGATGTCCGAAGTGGTTAACACTGTGCGCTTACTATGGCGCATTGATTTGAGAGCTTCCTCCAGCACTTGCGAGACTCGGTATTCGACATCACGAGATAGGTTCTCAGTCACGTCATTGCTGAGGTTCATAAGGCCAAGTGATTCAGCGACATCGCGAATGTTGTCTGGGTTCCAAAGAGACATCATGTAATAGTGGACCAGGGCCACAATCTCTTCAGTTTTGTTCTCAGGATCAACGTTGGGAGTCGCAGCGGAGTTGTGTCTTGGTGGAGTGATAGGGATCAGAGTTGGAGAAAGGGAAAGAAGCAAATCGCTCGTGATAGTTGTCTCCCGGGGCGGTGAAGCGCGGGGAGCACAATCGTCGCTAACAGAACACCTGAGTCAGTACAGTTCTTGATAATCTTTCTTACATGCGCCTAAGCGTTCTGTAAGATCTGAGCTTAGCTCTACAAGTCGAGCAAGCACATGGAAGATTGTTTCTTGGCAGTTTTTAGGAAATTGCGTACTCAAGGGTGGCCCGGGCCCTGCTTTCAAGCTCCGTTCCAGGTGAATGGAGTTTGGGCCAGGTTGAAGGAGCTGTAGGTTCAGAATCAGTTTAGTTGCCGGTTAGAGAGTAAGAGAAGTCAATACTGACAGTTTGGCTCCATTTTGAAGGCGGTGAGGGTCTGCAAATAACAGGTTGGTGGGCGGTGGGCAAAAGAGGAAGGCGGTGAGGAGTGAAAAGTGAGGAGTTCTTAAGGTGGGATGCGGAGAACAAACAACCTTGGAACATCACATAGTTTGACTTGTTTGAATACAACCTTAGTATGCCGTTGCTCTATAGCACAGCCTGCACAAGAACTCTTATCCAGATACTCCAAAGACCAATACTTCATGCAGCTCATATTACGGTCAAAGCATCCATGAATGGTTACTTTGAAAATTACTCTCTATAATACTTTGAATTGAACATTCTGAGGGGAAAACTTGTCATTCTGAATTCATAAGAGCCACTCCCACTCAAACTAAGAATAAGGAAATGAAAACAACAGAAAAGAAAAAAGAAAAGAAAACCAGCCCGGGCTCGCTTGACATGCCCAGCCTACTTGTCCTTTACCAACGCGACCTGCAGCGCATATTCCTTCAATTCGGGCCCACTCCCACCATATACCTCGGGGAGTTTCTCAGCGATCAAAGCTGGAAACTCTTTAGCAACTTCCGCCTGGCTGGATACCAGGTGGAAGTTGCACCCTCGGCTCAGGTGTGAGGTGAGCCACCCCGTAGGTGAAGCACCAACAAAGTATCTCTTTTGCACCACCTCAGGATAGGCAAGAGAAACAACCTTTGCGGCCCTCTTGATGGCGATAAGCGCTGCAAGCCGTGCGGGGAGGAAAGTGAGGCTTGAGCAGTCGTGGATCTCAATGATCCGGTATGGGTCCCACTCTGGCCTGTAGTTTGTGGTGGTGGTGGCATCACGCAAGTGCAGTTGCATGACTGCCATCTCCACCTGCGCAATTCGCCATTTCATGGACCTATATCATGTTAGTATGTAAGTTTCAGAGATCATCTGATGACATTTTACTCACTTCATGAGGCTGCAAACGGGCTCGCGCGGGGTCTTGACTTGGTCATAGATGTTCCAGCTCAGAACAATTGGATGACCATTCTCACGATATGTTGCGACGTAACCGAGCCCGTCATAAATTCGACTGCTGAACACGCCTGATTCGACAAGCTTCTGGGGCTTAACCTTTTTGCGCCACTTGAGTGCCTTTGTAAGGTGCTTCTCTGCGTTCTCAAGATTGCCATCATTGGCACGCAAAAATTTGATGAGCACATTGGCTGCGTGAATATCGTTGGCACCCTTGAGGGGCACACCCCACATCTCCTGGTGGCCAGCACTATGGACAATGCTGTACAGATGGAGAAAGAACCTGTCAAGATTTTTGATTTGAGACACGCATGCGAGCTTCATGAATTTTGACGAGCCCTTGGGCTTAGACTTGTATGCAGAAAGAGGAGAGGCAGCCCTTGGTGTATCAATGCTTGCTACATCGCGCACAGAGTCATCCCATCTGACCCTTTTTCGAGCTGAAGGTGTCGCTGCCTCTGCAAGGCATCCGGTGTAGTGGGAAGTGTGCTGGAAAGTGGGCGAGGCCATTGATGGCATTGTGACTGTTGGATTGACAGCGGGCTCATTGTCGATACTCTCAATGATATCATCATCAAGTATGGTTTGCTCCGAGGTGGGTTCATTGTCAACAATCTCAATGACGTCCTCATCATACATGGGGCGAGTGGGAGCTTCATGAGCGGGTTCATTGTCAGCGATCTCAATGATATTCTCATCGTGAATAGAGCGAGAGGGGGCTTCATGAGCGGGTTCATTGTCAACAATCTCAATAACATCCTCATCGTACATGGGGCGATTGTGATTGGGAGCTTCATGAGCTGGTTCATTGTCAACAATCTCCATGTCGTTATCCTCCACGGGCTGGGCAGGAACACATTGAGCAGACATTTTTGTGGACGTTATCAGATTGACAGATTGACAGATGGCAATTGGGTTCAAGATGGCGAAACTGGAAGTTGGTGTCAAGAGGAAAACGAAGAGCCAAGAGGATAAATAAATCTGTGACTGGGCTGCGTTGCCTTGTGAGTTGAGGGATTCACACAGAACAGGCTTGAACAATCATCGCGATGAGTCGCACGAAACCTTGCCTGACGCCGAGAATCCTTCCAAGGCTACCAAGTTCTATACTAGTGAATTTTGCGCATCTCCAGGGCTAGGTCCAGTGTGGTGTGGCCATCAGTCTCCAGGACTCGAGATACGTCTCGGCCTTCCTGCCATATATTTCTTGGATCTCGAGGTTAATATTCTCAGCCCAAAACAGCCTCTCTATCTTTTGGGAGTAAAGCATTTTTTGTGTGATCTGGCATTGATCCCTATGACTTAGAATTCTTCTCCAACATTTGAACAAAAAGGACTAATCTATCAAGCCTGGTCCGGTGTATGTCACATTCAAACTTGAATGAACGGACCTTTCGTTGGCACGTCCACATATGCATGGTGTTCAATTTTTGGACAATGGTTCCAAGGAAAACATCAAGCTTTACATCTTATGTTAACCTGTCTCGAAGAAATATAGCGAATACCATTGGCACTATGTACCCTAAACGTGCAACCCGTGCACAGGTGGACTTGGGCGAAAGCTGTTTGTCTTATGAGTTCCAACATTTGTATCCAACTTGATTAACTCCAGGGTTCAAATCCCTAGGCGTGTATAACTTGAATGTTAGCTTAAGTACCTAAATTTATATGAAAACTATGTACTGCCAGTGGTATCTGAGTTGAATGCTGAAACTTGGAGATCAATGGTACATAGGTATTAGGTAATAGTAGTATATCCTCGGGGCATTCAGAATGTGCTATTGACTTTCTTAACGTGATATATGGATCCATATGGTTTAATTATAATTCAAATACTAGTACAGTATCCATCAAAGCGTGATGAAACAGCTTCCAAGGTTTCTTCCTTCCCGCTTGAGGGCATGAATACCAACGCGACTCATGACACGTCTGGTTCCAGAGCCGAGCCTCTTCTTCAGCTTGGAGGGTGTGCGCAGGCTCAGAATGGAGTGAGGTGGATTATGCATGATAAGCGAGCGCCCAAATCCATATTTGCATGGATTGATCGATGTACGCGTTACCTAGGTAATCGGGTTGTTTCATGCATTATAGAGCTGGCTATCAGCCCCCGCGGCCAACTTGAAGGTGATGATGTTTGAGACTCCCAGGAGCTCTCTGGCAAGCACTATTACATACTAACCGTGACGTGCACAATGGCTTGTGTCTGCGGGATTCGCGGGTATGTATGCCCGACTCGGATCTACAGATAATTGCTATAGATTGAGATTAGACACATCATGTTTTGGTTTATCGTACCTGCAACCAGTTGAACTGTCCCATTCACCCACAGGATTTTGAAGGACGTCATTACATAGTATCTGTATGGTATACCCAGTACTACTAGCAGCTTATTAACATGGATCATGATGCACATGTGGCAGTTCAACTTGAACTTTCAAGGTTGAAGTTTGAGGCTGTTGACCCGGACTTATGTAGTACAGTACTAGTAGTAGTAGTAGTGATATATAACGTGGGAAGGCACTGGCACTGGCAGGTCAAGGGATCCAACTTCAAGTTGAACTTGAAAGTCCTTGAAGTTCTAATAGAGCATCATCACACGTCACTACTACTACATTCTAGTATTATATATAAATAGCTGTGGATCGCGTTGCTGTCATTTCTACGATCAAAATCGGAGTTCTACGTAGCAATAAAAAAGCCAAATTGATGAAGCCTAGTATTCGAGCCAGTTATTTCTATGTATTGGAAGTGGAAGGGAAAGCTTGAGTAATGTGGACAACCTTGCCACAGGGGGCCGGGGGCTAGGCTGGTATACCACATCCATGCATAATTGAGCTTGGCCTTATAATCTCATTCAGAGCTACGGATTTGCTGGGAATCTGTGATCCCGGTGTACTATTGGCTCGCTTAGTCGACGCGGTGGTCTCAAGTTGGGTCACTGAGAATCTGCGATCCTGTTATATGATTGGATCGCGTAGTCTGCCTCAGTGATACCCGGCTAATGTTTGTTGATCCTGCAGATCAGGGTCAAGGATAGCATGGAAGTAGCGAAGCATCGTGTTGTAGTCAGTCTAGAGGGCGATGCGAAAGTACGTGTCCGGAATCTCGCAAACATCATTGGCTCGCTTAGAATCCGTGATCCTGACATATTATTGGCTCGCTTGTTCTCAGCCTGGTGATCCTCGCTTAGCAAACACTGATCCTGGAGGCCTAGTTCACTCGGCATCGCGTGGCAGCCAATTTTATATGCGGACCGATGCGTGGATACTTCCGTTGAGATTCCGAGCCTCTGATTGGTCGCTCCAAACCCCAGATGTGTGATCCTGGCGGGTCTGACCGCCCCACACCTGAGGGTATAAATTCCTCAGATCTCACTCAGTTTTGAACTTCTCCTTCTTTTTTCCCCAGACTTTTTCCATTTCACACTTTCTTCTTTTCTTTTTTCATCACTTCATCATCATGAAATCATCCAATCCATCTTGGTCCATCATCGTCATGTCCAACCATCTTCCTTCAGGTCTTCCTTCATACAACTTGATGACTTCACTTGACACAGCTTCATATCATTGACATGTCCTTGACACAACCTCAACCCCTTGACGCGTCTTTGACGCGTCTCAAAGTTTGTTGACACATCCTTCCTTAACACATCCCTCTCACATGGATGCCTTGTTGACACATGCTAACTTTGATGACAGACACCTACTTGTTGACACATGCTGCTCTGACGATGCATCCTTGATGACGTTTCCAAGGTCTGTCAACATACTCTTCCCTTTTGGATGCGTTGTATGTCAACATGAGTTCGCCTTACATGGACTTACTCCATGACTCTCTCTAGGTCAACAACATGTCCTAACATGTTCCAACATGGTCACAACATCTGCCGCCATATGCAGACAGGTTTCTCATCCTCTTCTTTATCCTTTCCAGTTGCACCAACATCCACTCACTAACTAGGCTCCCTCGCTTCTAGACCTCCACCACTCAAGGCCCCAACCACTCAAGGCATCTTCTATCCTTCTGGAGATCTCCCCTGGGAGCTGTGACGGTGGCGAGTCCCTCCCAAAACAAAACACCAAGCTCAATCAAGCTCAAACAAACTCAACTTTCCAACATTCACTCATCGAAACGAACGTTATCCTCAACACATCTCACAATATTCTCTTGTTTCTCACTCATGATTCAAAACCAACCTTGTCCTTGACACATCTTACAACATTCTCTTGCTTCTACGGCTCAATCACTCCTACTTGCGGGATCCTGTGGACAGGTTGTTACCCTCACTCTCCATGGTTACCTTGACATCATCTGACTGACCTTTCTAGAGCGCTAACGCCTCTACGATCCCACTGATCACCCCTCCTGCCATTTGCCAGTCAACATTCAAAACAATCATCGAAGCTTCCACGATCCACTTAGATCATCCCACATGAACATCAAAATACATCTTTCAACCTTCGTTCGTTTGATCTTCGAGCTCATTCACTTTCAATCATACACACTGGCGGAGGGTGGTCACTTAGATAGTCCATCCCGATTTGTTTTTGTTTTTGTTTTCCCTTGTGTGATGCGAGGCACCCAAAACCGGCCATGATGATCTGGCGTCTGCGCCTTCACAGTTATACTGAGCGTTGCTTGCAACCTTAATCCGATGTTCCCATGAGCAAATGATGGCCTCGGCCTGATGTGTTGACGGGTCCTGCTTATTAAGGCTCTGGGGCCCACCAAATATCTATGAACTTGTTGCCTCCTCCTGCGCTCCGATGTTCCCATGAGTGTCTACCCGCCGGTTCGCCGGTAGATGGTGTTCACGTTGACGGGTCCTGCTTAGCGTGGCAGTGCTTCAACTTTACATAGCTCTATAGCAGTGGTCAAAATTCGTTCACTTCCCTGTCTGTGTTGTCTAACGGTCAGTTTCATTGTGACTCGGGGAGGCGTAATCGGTCACATTGAGGAGGGGAGGAGGGGGTTCGGCTTCGAGGATGGGAAATCCTAGGCGATAGTCCATGACCTGTACTACGAGGGATTACTGCTCCATTAGGAGATACTTCCTAATGAATAGTGCAGCCATCATGGGTTACTTCCTAGGAGATCCCTAGGGGCTGTGAGAGGTGGAATGGTGTGTGCATCAGCTTTGTCTTTTCTTCATGTTTACTTTACAAAGCTGTTGGGTTTATCCTCTAGGCCTTCTCGTCTCTCAGCCTTGGATACATCAATTCAATACCCTTTGCAACCCCAAAGTTTCAAATACCTAATCATTTGTACCAACTTGTAGACTCTTAGTCCATGTAGGAAGAGTAAATGCATCGTCATGATGATGTAATATGGACTTGTGCATTCTACCTAGTCTATGTGCATCGCTCCTAAGAGGGACTATGGATGACTCCAGAGGTTCGAGCTCCTACTGTCATCGGTGGATTGCAACTGAATCCCGAGCTACATATAATTTGAACCTGAAGCACTTGAGATTGAGATTCTGACAGCGGGTCCTGCTGCTTCTCGGATATCCACCTGAAGAGTAGTGTTCAATGGACACTGCTAAGAATACCCAGACCGGTTAATTTATACTGCCCAGGTGGCTTCCAAGGTTCAAGTTACATAAAAACATTTGAAGTTTTTCGAGATTCCATACTATCTTGCATTCCAGATTCACAATTCAAAATCGTGGTTCTAGATTCCGACTAGATTCAAAGTCTTCTTCATCATATCAATGTTCATTGCAAGATCTGAACGTATTCTAATCACCATTCTAAATCGACAGAACCCCTGAAAAAAAACAGAATACTGCCACCGTAATGAAACAGATCCACATATCCAATGTTCAAGACTACAGCCTAAGCTTCACATCGGTTGCTCGAATAGATTCAAGCTCGAGTCTTTACCACTGGCATGCTACCCAATGGAAATACAGCCGGAAAACACAGGCACTTGCCAAAAGAGGAACACGGAGGCATTGCCCAAAAGAAAGAAAATCAGTCGCTGGGGGAATATACAGGATTGGGGGAAAGACAGAAAGAGAGTCGTGGATACATTTGCATCACCGCGGAGGGGAGACAATCAAACCGAAAATCGGGGAAAGACACAAGTTGTCTATGGTCTGAGATTATTGCCCGCCGTTTCTGAAGCGCTGGGGCATCTGGGGAACGGCCTGGGGAGCTGGCTCATCCTCGTCCTCTTCCATTTCATCCAGGTTCTCGGGGTGGCTAAATCAAACCCAATCAGTTAGAATGAAATCCATCACACATCAACATCCAAGGATTTGAATGGGGAAGTTACTCACGCAAGCAAGTCTTTGATATTGTTCATTTCATAGTGTCTCTTGCGCTGTCGCTCAAATAGGCGATGCTTCTCCTTGGCTTCTTCGGTGCTCATCAAACCATCATCACCAGGCACTCCATCATCGCCATTAGCCTCAGAGCCCACATGAACATGCTTCTCCTGTTTCTGAGACTCAGTGCTCAGACTACGTTGACGGAAAATTCGAGGATCTTCCGTAGGGGATTCGCCAGTAGGTTGAGCCTCCTCCGCCTCGCCGAGCTCTAGATCCGGGATATCGTCCTCCGAGACGCCTTTCTGGTGATGACCCTTAGCACGGTCAAGCTCATCGACCACAATATCCTGCGCATCAATCAAGCTTTCCTTAGCCTCTTCAAGGCGCATCTCTTCATCATCCTCAGTCGGGTCGTAGTGTGGCGCGTATGGAGTCTTAGGCTCATCGATCTTCATTTTCGCGGTTCGGTCCTGCTCGGCCAAGTACAGGTTTGCCTCATCCCACTTAAGACGAGGGGAGTTTTCGTCTTGAGCGCTTGCCGAAGATTGTCGGCGATCCTGTGCGCCCGGCTGGGTGTTTGATGACGAGCGACGTCGTGGACCAGCGTTTTGCAACGTATTTTGGAGCGTCAGCTCCTTTGTGTCTGCTAACTCCGCGATGGTCGGGACAGACGGAGGTGTACTGAGTGATTCCACAACAGGTTCGTTTTGAAAAGAGCGAGAATTCTTCAAAATTCCTGTAAATTTTAAAGAGAGTGGCTTTGATTAGGTACGGATTTTGGAGATTTTCAACAGAGCAAGCTCGAAAGCCCCCGCGCCAGAGACCGATGTGGACGGAGTTGTAAAACTAACCTTTAGGGCGGTGATGCACATCATCACTGCTGTAAGCCTTGGGCGGCATATGCTGCATCGTTGTCATTTTGGTTGGGGAGTTGTGAGGACAAACGTGGTCGTCCGATTTTCAAGTGGCCGTAACACTTTTTTAGAGGGGTAAGTTGAGTGGGCGGTGGTGGTCAGATGGGTCAGGTGGTTAAGATAAGTCGCGCGATATATGCGAAACCACTATCCAAGATATGACTAGTCGTGTTAAAGGGCCGTAGAAAAAAAAGAAAAGAAAGGAGCTGAATGGCACGGTCATCGAGAATTGAAGTCCTCGAGTCAGCTGCGAGGTTGGGCGACGTGGGGCATGATTAGCATGATGACGTCGGGCGCCTGACGTCTTCGGCATCTATATTAGGTCAGCCTCGATCCATTTTGGGCATCAATAATGAAATAATTCGCGCAAATCAATTCGATTTTATTCATGGATCCCTCTTCAGACCATCACATACCACTCAGGTTGTCCTGTGCTCATATTTTCCCCCGGTTATATAAAGATCTGGGCATGTGGCGATATCTTTTGATCTTAGAGATACTCCGGACTGATACTTGATCACCAGAGTTACCCCGGAAACAACGAGGATAATATGCACTTGAACTAAATGCCATTGATAAATAGGCACTTCCGTTATTTCCGCTTCATCTGCACGGATTATGGACCCGCTATTACTAGTAGCTAGATGAAGTACAAGTCATAATAAACAGCTTGAATGCAAGGGAATGCAGACATCCTTATCCTGGTACATGTGCACCCCATCGAGTTTGTACTCGTTATCGGAAATATGAATGATCTGAATCGATGACCAAAGAGCCTGTTGTCATTATGCAGGATGACCCCTCATCATCTACATACACTGAGACATAACGGGCAATGTATGACCTAGTCTCTGAAACTGATCACCAATGCACGTATTCCAGGTTTCAAGTTATTCCCCGGGCTAAGTCTATGGTCTAAACCGGCCTAAAGCATGTTTAAAACTTTGTTTTACCACCTATAAGCTATCACAGTACTATTTAATTTTCCTTGCCGGTTAAATTGACGGAGCAAAAAAACTTTAGTAGTTCCCTAAGTGTTCTGTTTAATTTCAAGTTTGCCGTCCTGCTCAGCCTGGGCCGTAGGTACTGCTCGTAAGATGATATCTGGTGTCTAGGTGAAATCAAGTTTACTGGACTAAATGATTTCTGATGATGATCTAGGTATCCAGAATTGCACGCTCCATGGAATCGTGGGAGCTCCACAGGGGGAAGTTACTACTAGAATGGGACTTTGCAGGGCGGATTTTTGAGAGGATAGTATTGACATACTGCATCCAAATGCAGCTGTTTGATCAAATTCATGTTCAAAATATTCGGTCAGAATTAATTCAAAAGGCCACCCGGTCTTTCAATGCATATAGGAACGCCATAGCATGCCACTCTCGCAGCCATGTAAGAGGCCTCGCAAAAATTGGGTGGAAAAGTCGGAAAAGAAGTCTCAGAATCGAATATATTTTCCTCTAACACCAGATAAAGCCCGGAAAGGGGTATCTGTATATGCAAAACCCAAGGCCCGCCTCGTGTAGATAAAACAAATATCAAAGATATAAGAATGAAAAAAGAGATGGTGTAAGAAATCAAAGAACGTACCCAAAATAAGGAAAGATGGAGTAATGAAGTAAAAGGAAAAGGAAAAAGGAAAAAAGGGAATAAAATAAGAGGGAAAGACTAGAAGGTATCTCATGCAATTGAATCAAACTCCTCTCGCTCGCGAAGCCGGTTACGAGCAAGAAGATCACCTCCACTGGCAGACAACTGCATCCAGTGCAGTGCCAGACACATGCTTTGTGGATCGGACTTGGAGTCCTTACCACGCATGTACATCATTTCAGCTTTGAAAGTGTCACGGGGACGTGTGAGTGGCAATGTCACACGTGGAATTAACTCGGGATGAGTGAGGTATAGGATAGCCAGTTCGCGCTGAGCGACAGGGTTACCCTCCTTAGCAGTGATAATCCACATCCCTGCAGCATCTTCAAGGGTACGGTCATAGCCAGAGCGGGGATAAAAGTCCGATCCGAATGGATGACGACGCAAAAGCTCCTGAGAGACTATACGATCTGCGATCTCGACCATACTGTGACACACTTCATCCTTGAGACTTAGAGCGGCGAGACCAAATTGCAGGAACGCCGTGCCCTGGTCACCCTTGCTGAGCTGGTCGGGTGGAATGAACGCTGAGATGAATTGAAGATCCCGGAAAAGGGTCTTGGGTTTCACCTCCAGCAGTAAATCCCGAAGAGTAGCCACTATCTTATCTTCAGATGGGGTTGGATGGTCCGATGGGCGCGAGCCACAAGTGACAGATTTGGGCGGGGATATGGACGGTCCCGCGTCCAGTTGATTACCCTTCGAAAGTTGAGTCTCCGAGAAACTGCTTCGTCCGGCTCTCTGAGCAGTCCGGTTATTGTTGCCTCGTGCCCTGTTGTTTTCGGGGGAGACGGGGCGAATGTGAGCAGGGTTTGGCTCTTGGGATGATATCAGTGAGGCAATGACGAGTGCACGTAGATCTCGGAGTGCGTTAAGTTTAACGAAAGGATTTCCATGCCGAGAGAACACCTCGATCAATCGATGAAAGACTGCTTTATACGAAAAAAGCGACTGGTCATCATCTTGTAATGAGCCTGAACCCAAATCTGATGATTCACGCTGAGCATCAGAAGATTCTGAGGAGGATTGGCTGTGCATGCTGGCACGCAAACGAGGGGCGTCAAGAGACCTGCTCCGACGACTCCCAGATTGTCGGCGTTCACGAAGACTTTTCGACCTTTCATCATAATCTACATAGAACTTGTGCACTGCAGCTCGCTTCTTCATCTGTACTCTTACGCGAGCCTGGTCGAGAGTGCCCGTAAACCATGCATCTGTTTCGCTGCCGCAGCTCCAGACGGGTGATCCAAGGTCGCTCAGCAAAAGACTAGTGAGGGTTTGTCGTAGGTTATCCATGAATGCTGTCTTGTCTTGTGCCGCCCGTCCTTGGTCCTTGCGCTCGTTGCGCCGAGGTTGACGATTAATAGTCTTACTAAACATAGATGGAGGTCTTGAGTATGCGCTGGAGACGCTAGCGGCGTAGACAGGTTGACGCTGTGGCCTTGACCAGAAGGTACTGAGTGTGTCGGTGGTAGTCGTGGAGACAGATGCAGCGCGACCGGGGGAGCCTCCGAGAGAACTCATGTCGATGGAAGGCAAGTCTCGCTGCGGTCGCCATTTATCAGAGAGCAAGCTCTGTATAGAAGATTTGCGACTCAGCGATGGCATGTCTTGCGACAGTCTAGACTGAGAGATGTTTATAGGATCTTCGCTCGCTGTTGTGGACGGGCGAGGAGTTGTCGGAATAGACAAGGAAGGGAAAGCACGAGCACCGTGGCTTTCGTATCTTGCTCGCTCTCGCTGAAACAATTCACTTGCCCAGAGTACTGGTGTCTCTGCCATGGTTTCTCCCACCAGTTGATAAATGCTCGTTTGAACTTCATAGCAGAAGCGATGAATTCTCTCTTCGCCTTTGCAGAAATTCTCAATACCATTGTGAGACAACCATTTGCGAGTAAGCTCAACTTGCTCATCGGACAGCTTCTTGGGGCCACCCTGGCTGTTCGGTGCCTTCATGATATTTATCACTTGTAGCTCAGGCTTCTGGAACAGGGATCCACCCAGTGACCGGGCTGTAGTTCGCGACCTCGAGTCCTCAGGCATATTTGTCAACGGTCGTGCAGGATTGTTCATATTCTTTAGGGCCACGGCAACGTGTTTGGCATCCTCATACCTCATCGAGTTTTTGACATCCGTCATATACCATATCTTATTCCGGACTTTGGAGAGAGTAGACATGAGATCATTGACCCGGGTTTGCAGCCGGCGCAAACTATGGTCCAGAGAGATAAAGTCAGTTTCACAGCGCTCAACGACAGCTCGTGATTTGTTCAAGGAACGAATGCATAGGTTGTGCATTGGGCCTAGAATCCATGAATCATCTGCAACATCAGGGGAGCTAGATAGGCGTCCTTGGCCTTGCTTGAGTTGACGTGAGACATTCCACCAATAATGAGCCCCGACGAAGTCAGAGTCATTTGTGGCAGCTGCCATGGCCTGGTTGAAACGTTGTTTTAGCGACTTAGGAGCTGACTTGGAAGACCTTGTTGTAGGGTAATCCTCATCATCGGAGTCATAGACATGGTTTTCCTTAACAAGACGAACGATGGCAGTCTGCAATGCCTCGTAATTTTCTTCCAGACCAAGATTCTGGGTATCGTCATCACTCTCCACAGCGGAATCTTTCGATAATCCGGCATCGGGAATTGGAAGCAAGCTCCATGCAAGGTTATGACCATCTTTGGAAACGGAAAATATCGTCCAGTACTCATCAGAAGGATATTCCAGTTTGGAACGTTCACTTGGCTCATCCAGATCAGTTAACTCAAACCGGATTCGAGCGGCATTCTGAGCGAGATCATTTTCGGGAGCAGAGATTGAAGAGGAGTCCATCGAAAATATTGACGAGGCCGGCGTTGACTGAAATGAAGAGAGTGTCTGTGGGAAAAGAGCATCCAGCAGGGTATTCACATCGGCCGCAGATAACAAAAGGAAAGTAGAAGGACTACGACGTGACGATGAAGAGCGATCAAAATTCGGAGATTTGGAGGTGGGTGTGCTTGCGAACCGGCCAAGCATACTATTGACCCGTTCCTTGATAGCTGGCCTTAGAATGGAGTAGTGATGCCTAGTGGACAGTCAGCATATCAGAGCCAAACTCAGTATAATAAAGGGGTAAGGGGCGCATAATGCCATGCGTGTAAACCCACATGGAACGTAATGAAGCGAAGACTTGAGAATATGCGCGCAGTCCAACCTGGTTGAGCAACCTATCACGCGCATCCTTGCGAATATGAAAATCGAGTAACAAACCGTGGGTCTACAAGAAAAATCATTGTCAGCATTTCTCTTTGGCTGCAAAAACTAGGGGACCATCGTACCTCAGGATACGTCAAGGCGCTGTAAAGAAACTTGGGGAAGAACCACTGCAAAAACAGGTATTCCAAAAAGCGACTGCGAATATCAGGGTTATCGATTTTCCTTAGTACTGCCCTGGCAAATTGCAAGACAGCATAAGGAAAACCACTGTCAGGATCATCAAGAACACGAAACAAGTCATCCACGGCAGAAGCAAAAAACTCCTCGGCGACTTCCGTTCGTAGGGGATCCAAGGCCTCAGTGGCAAAGTCCAATCCAACGGCAGGTTCTACATGTTCCAAGAGAAAGGCTCCGGTTTGCAAGATATCCATCAGGTACAGTTCAAATTTGGGGCGAGCTTTCCAAGTACTGCCAGTGGCCCAGGAAGAAAGAATCTGGCTAATCAGGGGATAGAATCTATTGCTGCCATGAGCGATTAATTGTGCACAGACGGACGACCAGACGTCCACACGTGGTTGGGCCTCGGGAGTTTCGGGTTCCATGGGGGCAGCAAACACGTTGAAAAGCAAAATGGATAGCGGATCGGTCCTCTCAAAGGCATAAATATGGTCCTTGAATGGGGCGGCCTGGGCCATGGTTCGATTAAAAGAATATTGGCTCTGATAGCGGGAAGGAGAGGAAGGAGAAGAAGCGAAAGCGGGATCATTGGTATCCAGAATGGCAGCTGGCGTAGTCAATACGGCCAGCTGGGCGGAAGTAAAACTGCGTAAACGATCGACCAAGAACTGTGGGTTAGAGCGAACCAGTTGTAGAATTTCCAACAGATCTCCTTGGGATTGCGGGCTTAATTGATGAAAGAAATCCGAGGAATGGTCTAAATCGGCATCCGGGATTGAATCCTGTCCATCGGGAGAATCATAATGGGCTCCATATTGGTCGTTGGAAACACAGACACAGGACTCCTGAAGATCATACAGCATATGATAGAGCGCAATAAAATTGGCCTTGTCATCATGTTTGAGAGCTTCCACGAGGCCACGCTGCATAGTATTTCCAATGCGAATCATCCGTGCGGAGACTCCGATCGATACCTTAGTCGCGCGCAAGCGCTGTTCCAGTCGCTTCCTCTGGACTTGTTTCCGTTGGCTTTGCCGGTATTTGGTGGCAAATTCCTCGAAGGATACTTGGGGACCATCATCCTTGGATATTACCGGCATGGTGGAAGCCGGCGCTAACGCTAACGTTGGCGCCGGTATTGGCGCTGAAACTACCTGAGGGGATGTTTCACATCCAGAGGATAACAATGGAGGGGATATTGTCGCATCCACAGATCCAACTGGAAATGCAACGGGAGAAGGAGGAAGAGGCACCGATGCAGGATCTGCGCAAGGCGACGGATCGGTCTGAACTTGAAGAAGGGGAAACCGCATGGCTGTGAATTGCGATCAGATTGGGTCCAAATTAGGCACTGAGCCGTGTTGGGACAGAGACAACAAAAATCCCAATAAACATAAGATCAAACACATAATAAAGACTTCAAAAGCCTCATAATACTAGTTTAAAAAAAACAAAGGATGAAAGAGTGAGAGAAAAAAAAGAAAATTCCCGACGCACTTGTCTCAGGAGCTAAGGACAAATGGTCCTGGTATCCCACCATCTTGTCTGGACTCGCAAGCGTGCACAGTCGCTCGATGCCCCTGGCTACCGGCGGATGCTTATCGCATGGTTCTATCGCGGGGTAAGGAACCGGGTGTTGGGACTCAGACAAACCACGCACCCGGTCGGAGGCAATAGAGAAATAAGCCAAGCGATCCAGGATGAGGGATAAGGGGGAGGAACAAGTTCAAGAGAGGAAGAGAGGAAGAGAGAGGAGAGAGGAGAAGAGAAAAAAGGAATAAGAGGGGAATAGTATGCGCGAAAGAGAAAATTATAGAATCACCAGTATGATTTAACCAGTTCAGTTTGAGAGAGAAAAGCGATCACGACTCGAATCGGCCAGTTGCAGATGGGGAGAAAAGTACAGTGACTTCTGAGAAGTCTTCATGCACGCAAGGGGCCTTGATGTAAGTTGAGTACCGAGTACATGGGCAACGATGCGTTGGCAATGCATGCAGGAGTGAGGTGGACAGCCCCGTCGCTCCCCATGATTCGCTCGCCGCCCTCCTTGGGAGTTCTGCGGAGTCAGCTTCTGTTGTCCGAGTATGGATCACTTTTTAACCAATAATAGAATAGAAGGAAGAAATAGGACAAGTTGGAGAGAGAAAATAATGCGTGGCGTGCTCTGTATGTGCTGTAGTCACTGTAGTACTGGTGAAGGAAGTGGTTTATTTGCACTGTATGATGATCCCCACTTATTGTATACTCCGCAGTTATTCGGTGGACATGTCCAACTTCATGATTAGATGAGTCTTTTTTTTAATTAGTTGATTTTTTTGTATTTTTGTATTTTTTGGTTTTTTGTCTATTTGACTCAAGCTGTGATTTGCTTATTTTAATCTCAACGGTGTTTCTAGAATCTAGGATTTCGATCGATCATCTCTATTGCTTACAGCTTATTATGTGTCTCACGGTCTCACCAAAGGAAAATAAGAATGCATAGTTTGACATTGATCTTCACATCAAGCTACATTCATACACTAGAAATAAACACCCTGGCTGCATGCTCCTCATGATAGATATGACCATAGGTCAAAAAGTGATGGGAAAAAAGAAAAGAAAAAAAACAAGTGAAAAGAAGCGAAAGATATGCCTCGGAAAATCATCACCCGGAACACCAAGTCGTAAGAAAAATGCAGTTAAGTCCCAAAAACACCTATCGTGCATATAGACCTTGTCGAGATCAACGACATGTCCATTTCTTGTCCACTTCCTTTTGACCCACACGGACGGCAACTTGGTCTAAGGTAGCCTTTAAGGTCTCTTTGGAAACCTTAGGGAATCTGCGGTGATAATTAGTAACGTGTTCAGAACGCCAGGCAACGCAATCGCATGTTAGGGATACATACCGTTTTTTCAGAATTTCAACCAATCCGATTTTACTTAAATCACTTCCTTCCACTGCCGTTTTGAACTCCGCCAACTGTTCGGGTGGGAAGGGCTTTTTAGCTTTGAACGCTGGCGGTGGCGGTGGGGGAATAGTAACACCACTGCCACTAGGCACAACCGTATTTTGAACCCGGAACAAATCAATTGGGGTGGGCTTCTGTGTCACTCGGGCTTTCTGTGCTGTTTCGACCGCGCGTGGTTTCTCCCAATAAGCTGTTGAAAAGGGATCGATGGGGAACCGGACGGATTCAGAAATGGTCTCAATCTGATAGACCTTGAATTCTTCGTGTGGGCCATCGGCCGCCCAGTGAAGACCACTGCAGACAGGTTCAAGGTCACCGACAATCATGCGTCGTTTACCTGCCAATGCGTCGTCCTCGTCATCCAGGAAACCATCCATATCGTCCTCCCCATCATCACTGGCCTCTTCTTCTTCCTCAGAATCAAGCTCCTCACCCTCCTCGGGCTCTTCCCATTCGACCTCCGAGTCGTAGTCATAGTTTACATCAGGTAAACCACGGTGGTATGGATTGCGAGACACCTTGTTGGCTGAGAGAATAGGAATCTGCTTGGAAAAGGTGCCTTGGTAGGCGGGACGCACATCCTCCCCGAATTTCAGAGACTTCATAGGGATCTGGCGAAGCTCATCAAGGGAAGCTTTGATTGATTTCTCCTTCACCTCCCCGCCTAGCTGGTTCGCAGCATCCTCAAGGTTCTGCATTGTTTGCAGGATTTCTTTGACTGAGTGGGTGTAACGACCTTGTCGGCGACGGTATGGAACAAGGTTGAAGATCGTAGAGGGAACAAAAGGTTGGATTTCGTATGGCGTATTGTCGTTAGAACAGAAAGAGGCGTCAATAGTATGTCGAACGTGCGCAAGAGCCTCAGAATCACGTTCAAAGCGGTGGGGTGGTGCAACAACTGTATTTGATTTAAGAAAGAAATCAGGGAAGTCTTTGGCGTAGTCGGAGTTGCGCAATGTGAAAACGTTCGTGTCGGAGCCAGTGCTAGGTATGTTACTGGACAAGGCAGCTGTCTTCACAGGCTCCGTAGGTTGCCGCGGCTTTCCAAAGAAGGAATTGAGCTTGGGTTGTGCCTGGAAAACAAAAACAAGGTCAATCTTATAGTCCCATCACGTGGAATTATCACGTATATACACCACTTACTCTATCTTTCTTCTGCTGTGCTTCCTCCTTTCGACGTTTCTCATCCTCTTTAGCAGCTTCCTTAGCAGCCTTTTCTTGATCTTTAGCCTTTTTCTTCTCCTCTCGCTCAGTCTCTCGCTTCTTCTTCTCTTCCTCCTTTAATCGTTTTTCTTCTTCACGTTCCGTCTCCCGTTTCTTTTTCTCTTCGTCCTTCAATCGTTTTTCCTCATCCTTCTTGGCTTTTTCTTCCAACCGCAGCCGCTCCTTAGCTTCTTTAACACTGGGTGAGAGCTTTCGTTTTTTCCCAGGAGCCATATCAGATTTCACTGGAGATCCTTGAGGTGTCTCAACAGCAGGATTGGGAATAGGAGAGGGGAAGTGGACAGGACTACCAGAAAGTGATGGGTCGGACTTGAAAGGAATAATAACTTGGGGTGCAGAGTTTGGTGTCGATTGAATGGTAGCAGATGGATCGTTCTGAAATGAGAGACTGTCTGACTTTATCGTAGGCCCAGAGGGGTCATGGTTCTCTTGGTTTTCACCTGTGAAGTCTAAGAGTGATTTTTTAGGGCCAACAGATGGTCGTTCAGTACCATCAACTTCGTGAATTGACCGCTTTCGAGGGCTAGAGGGCGACGAGGGAAATGTCTGGCTAGGCGGTAATGGGGTCAGGCCCATTTTGGAAGTATCCATGAAAGAGCGGAAGTCGCGGTCAACCGGTGTTCATGCGGGATATCTGAAAGCAGTTGGAGTTCTGGTAAAAGAAAAAAACAAATGGCTGCAGCAACTTCTCACGAAAGAAAGGAAAAGAATGGTGCCCAGGTGATGGATCGATATGGTGATCCGTTAAGGGTAGTGCGGGTTGACAAGGGACGCGTTTCGTTAATGAATTCGCGGTCGCGTCCACGGCTCTGATAACGAGCATGCTTACGTAAATGATAGCCATCAATATAACGTGATTCCCGGTCGAGCTGCGCACCCGGCCGAGCTGCGCACCCACCACCATTAGACAAATTCAAATTCAAATATTTCAACCCAATGCGAATAAATTCAGTTATAAATACGATTTTTACATACATTGATCCGATGGCCAGCCTCTCGACATCCACTACACCTAGGCTGAGCCCTGGGGGCTGGCTGATTCGGCTGAATAGGCAATTCAACCTGGGTGTGTGGTTCGACCGCAGGTGCTTCTACTGGCAATTCTAGCTGCGTGAGTAGCTGCAGGCCTTCTTCAACAGTCAAGCCCTGTTCACATGGCACCTGCCTAGTTGACCGACTGCGCTTCTGTCGTTTCTTCTCGTTCACTGCACGTAAATTGGCGTTTTCTTGTGCTAGTAGCGCAGTGTTGTGTAGCGATATACAGTGTCCCTTGATGATTTGATCTAGCATCAATTTCGATGGGCTTAGAGGGCTGTTTGATCGCTGTCTTAGAAGATCTTTAAGCATTGAAGCTTGCTTTTGAAGCTGGACCACAGTTCTAGGTGTCTTAGGTGAAAATTGACTGCTTCGGCTGCCTGGTTGAGTGCCTGGTGGTGTAGGTGTTCGTAGCGAAATATTCAATTTAGAAAGAACTTTTTCAGCATCAATTGGTACTAGTCCTGTAGCTATAAAGCTATTCTGGATAGTAGCTGGTTTAAAAGCTTCAAGCCGGGCACGTTGAAAATCAGCTAAGAAATCAAGCTTATCAATATGGTTATAGCCTGTACGTGCAAGGTCACTTATAAAGCGACCATAGGTAATTTTCAACACAGAAAAACAGCCAACATCCAGTGGCTGTAGAAGATGTGAAGAATGCAGTGGCATGCAGAGAGGTATAATGTTATTCTCTGAGCAGATTCGATCAAATTGAGGTGTGAGATGGCTTCCATGGCCATCAAGAATCAATAGCCGAAAACGGCCACGGACACGTGAATTTGTTGATGGGATGAATAGCTTCTCAAGCCAACGTAGGCCAATATCATCGGTAGTCCAACCATTAGCTGAGACCTCAAACCGCCAGTCTTTTGGTAGGTTATCGAACCAACTAGCAATAGCAACCTTTCCCTTAAAAATCACACATGGTGGTAATGAATAACCATCTACACAGATAGCTTCAATTGCCGTCACCCATTCACGGTTCCCAGGCTGTACAATAGCTCGCCGACCGTAGTATTCTTGCCGTGTTACAACCGTCTGTGTTGAAATAAGGCCCATCGCAAAGCCTGTCTCATCCAAGTTGTAAATATCCTCAGGTTGGATCCCATTCTTATCGATAACTTGTTGTACAGTTGTAAACCATGCTTGGATTGATTTAGGGTCTTCGTTTAGAGCACGTTGGTAGTCATATTGCCTAGAGACGCGTGTTCGAATCTCTTCGCGTCGATTTATAAAGGTTGATGGCCAATTCTTGCTAACTGTTGGTGGGGGGTGGCTACCACGCGCAGCTAGTAGAATATTGGCCATATCTCGTACAGTAGCTGGCCTAGGCGCCGCTCCACGGGAGTCCATAGAGATAATCCATTCAATAAGCGGATCCTCTTCCAACTGGGTCAATTTATGGCCATTTGGGCGTGTATCGACGCGAGATTGAATGCCGTGCGCGCGACTGCGTAGTGTGGACTCAGGCACGCTAAATAGCCTGGCCGCTGCGCGAAGAGACTTGATTTGGCCCTTTTGAATAGCCTGTAAGGCTAATAAAACCTTGCCCTCTTGTTCGACATTTTTTTTCGGCCGAAATATTACGAATTGGTGGCATGGTAGGTGTTTGAATTAGGTAGGGTGGTAGAAAGACGCGATTTTAGATGGGGTGCGCAGCTCGGCCGGGTGCGCAGCTCGACCGGGAATCACGTTAGTTAGTTAACCTTCCAAGGTTGGAGCTCCAGGGCTTGGAGATGAACTCGAGTATCACCCTCGAGGCCTCGCTAACTCTGTCGGTAACTAGCGGGAAGTTCCTGCAACAAACACATCAATCACTTAGATACAGGAGATACATGTCAAAGAATGACCTCGAGCGATTATTCAATGTTGTAACAAAGAAAGCTTCAAGTTCAGAATGTTCATAGATACTACATGAACTCCACATGGCATACCGTGACCGATGCTACCATTGCGTAGCCTAATATAAATATTTAAGAGATAATCCAAATAGATCATGAAGCCCCAGATGAATGATTAAGTCAATATTGGTATCTCGATCCAGATTGAGAAATATAAAGGAAGACTGAAGCCAGGGTGACCCGGATGCAAGTGTACGACAGCAGAGACAGGCTGAGCAGCCGAGGCATGGAACATCCTAGAGGAACAGTCCATTTGAGTAACTCCTAGGACGATAGGAAACATGGAGGTGTAGAGATATCGACATGATGTGTAACATTGGCGCCAAGCCATCAAGGCTTATAGCAAGACAGAAAGTATCAAGGTATTATGTGCAGCGTTCCGAGCGGTAGTAGTAAAAAATCACCTGGAGATTATCACGAAAACGAAGGGGCAAAGGATGGGACAAAAGCTGAATTAAAACGGGAAACGCTGCGTAATTTGAGAAGTGAAAAGATATCTTTGGACATCTACCCTAATCGCTAAGATCCGGGTTCGCCACAAAGAGTCGCACATTGGTCATGGAGGTAGTTCGCTCATCAACACTACCACGTCGCCGTAGCTCATCGGCCTTTTTGGCCTTTTGGGTTGACATAACAGCCGCACTGGGGGCCTCCATATCACCCACCAGATCTTCTTGTTCGCTGCTGTGTGTCGTTGCAGAATCATCCTTGACCAATGATGACACACGGCTCTTTTCCTCTTCGTGAATCTCTGCGGGAGTATTTTCTGACACGTCTGGCAGGTCAGTTTTCTCATTGGGAGGTGTGCTGTTGCTTCCCATAGTACCCGGTTGCCGCTGGTATCCACTGGGGTACCGGTTGCTTCCAAGCGAGCTACGCCCGCTGCCGGTTCGACGATGAATCATGCCTCCTTCACTGCTATGAGCATCATCGTCCCCGTCGCCGATTTCGTTTGCGCTGAGTCGAACGGGAACCTTTGCACCGACCAGGTTCGAGGGTGAGAAGTCGAGTCCCGCCTTGGCTCCATGTCGAATCTTGCCACTGGAGGAGGTGCCTGAGCGGCCAGCGCCATGAACCTCAAGGTACGCCCTCTTTTTATCCCGCATAGCCTGCTCCCGCATTCTCGCATCCTCTGGTTGTGCCCGGTCGCACCAGACGGTAGCCTTTTGCCTTCGCATGAGAGCTACATAGCCTAGCTGGGAGTTCGCCGAGCGGTTGGAGGCGCTACGCCGGATGTCGCCTGGGTCTGCGTGTTGCATGGCATTTCCGGTGGAGTTTGTAGAAGTGGTGGTACTCGATAATCGGCGTGTTGGGGGGAAACCAGCCGGGGGACCCATGGGATGAGAAGGCATGGGAGGTGGAGGGGTGTGTTGGTAATGATGATGATGGGAACTCGAGCCATATGGTAGCACGTTGGAAGAGGTAGTGCGAGTGCGGCTGTGAGTGGTTAAAGGCGCGGCCGAGTGAGGCGCAAGATTTCTGGGGGCATCGTAGCCATGGTAGGAGTATGCATGTTGAGTATTAGGCATAGGCTTCCGAGGAGGGGGCCCCTGGTGCATGGGCATTCGGAACTCGGTCATTTTGGGTGAAATGCTTGACACGGCGTCTCAAAATCCAGTATGGTGGGCAGAAGGTGTATATCTAGGAACCCGATCGTACGAAATGCTCGCAGCGAAAACTCGGAGGAGGGGGGTTGAACGGAGTTGTTGCGAACACCACACTTTCAGGCAGGAAGACGTGCTCTGGACCTTCGATGCGCGCGGCTGACGGGACAAGCGATCTGCGGGTTTCAGCGCCCGCTAGTAGGTACAAGCAAGTATCCCCGCTTTACAGGCAAGTCAAAGCGGAGATCTTTGATTCAATCCCTCGAATTTCCTTGCAGACCAGCCAACAGACAAGTGATCAATGGCTGGGCACAATGAGCAAATATGGTGGTAGGAGTGAAAGAGTTTGGGGTGTGTGGATCGGGCCTGAGAGGCGCACACGCGGCCACCTTCCTTTTCGTACCCAATTGATTTTGAACCTCGAAAAGTCCACGAGGGCAGATGAGATCTCGAACGACAAAACTAATTAATTTGAACGAGGAAAAGGAGTTTGGAACCAGGTATAAGGGGAAAGAATGAGGGAGGGGGAAGAGAGACTTTGACTTGGGATTCAGTGTGATTGGACGATACGACGGAACACGACGGGACCTGAAAAGTACAATTTGGGTGGAGTTTAATGGGGCATTTTTCTGCATTTTCTTGCTCAGCCACCTGAATGAGGCTGGTGAATGGTAATTTTACATTTCATTACAAGTCTTTAATAAATTGCAACTCTGACATTGACGTCAACTCTTGGTTGTAACCCTAACTTCCAAGTTTGCCTCTCTATACTACCTTGAATTAATTCAGATAAAAACAGGGGTACCGAGTATTCATGATACATCTTCTAGCGTATAAATAAGAAGAAAAAGCAAATAGAACTATTATCATATGGTACTATCTCTAGTAACTTCCTCCCGAGGGGCTATCGCACGCTGGGGCGGTTCTACTAACCGAAAACCCCCCTAGCGGTTCCTGTCTACTCCCGTACCTCGTAAACTGCCCAGGTGCTTCAGATTACCCCCCCATGAAAGAACCGGTTTTTAGGAAATTACTTCCTTTGCCAAAAGCTTGATTCCAAGGAACGGTTTAAGCGAGCAAACAAAGAAATTTCCTGCAAATTACTCTGTACAAAGGTTCATAGATTCGCTTCTCGACGAGAACACGAGTGCTTAAAGGCAACATGTCCATACTCCCGGTATCCCGTATTATGTTCCCGTAGTACAATAGCGCGCTCACGGAAATGTCTCGTATGATGATATGAATCATGAACTTCGACACTTTCCCATCCCACATAGACAATATAGGAAAGGTTCCCCTCCACTGGCTCCACCATCCACCCACCCGTCACGCCAATGCAGCCAGGTACCGTGGAGACGATACTTGTCCAAAGCGCCCAAGTTTTTTCCCACCCCTCCGGATCAGGGGTGAGATAAATAGCCGTCCCGGTCACCGGGGCCTCATTCCCCAGGCTTTTCGGGTTGGATGAGAACTCCGATATCATCGCATGGCGCACGGTCAGTGCTAGGACGCTAGAGACTCCTAGTCCTGCCAACTGGGTGATTATCTGCTGCCAATCAGGGGACGCGAGGAGCGCATAATGTTGGTGCAGACTCTCGCGGACTAAAAGATGAATGTTGGCTTGTTGGTCATCTGGCCGACTATCGGCTCGCCAACTCGGACTCACCGATGTGAAGATGTACTTGTCCCTGCTCTTCATTGTGACGCCCCCAGTATAGGCGACGGAACCCTCCCCCACTTCTGCATTATTTCCAGTACCTGAGTCCAAGTCTGTCCATCCTTTGAAGTGGGATCATCAATTTGAACGTCCTCTTTTATGGGGATGATGATCATTTGAGTGGGGACTGCCGGTCGTGTCATATTGAACTGCGGGAACCCCAGAATACTGAAGCTTATTCAACAACTATATGAGTGAGAGAAGACTCAGGCTGATTACATTGAGCTTAATATATCCCAGTGAGAAAAACGTTCAGATCTACTAAATTGCCGAGGACCGATGTCCGCGGTTCGTCAGAGCAAAAGGGTGATAATGCGGGGTTAACCATGGCGTGGACGGCCTTAATGGACGTGTCTACGCCACTTGGACAATAGATTGAGCTACCCACAGAGTAGTATCAGCTTATCGACTAAATTCCACATAATAAACGTGCACATGTGTACATGTGGGCTATTTTTATTCAAAGTTGTCTATCGCTCTAAACACGTGCTCTGATTCTAGGTTTTGGGATGAATTACCATCACCTAGTGCTGATATCGACTTCATACCTCTTCCTTCACTCATGTCTCATAAACACAATCAGAATAGTAGCCTAAATCTGCATTTGTCGTTTGATTCGAATGTTATTATCCCAAATAAACAGTGCTTTCATCTCAGCTTTTCATGCTTCAGATGACCAAGTTCGACGCTAAAACAAAGAACATAGAGTCGCTCTCTTAGTGGAAGGACGCTCATATTTTACAGATATCGCCGAGAGCCAGTATTCAAATTCGTCTTTATATTATCTTCCTTGTGCTTTCAAGTGCTAGAAACGGTTCACATGGCGCTCATTAAACGAGTGTGACATTAAAGCTCTGGTCCGGAGAGCATTCCGAATTCTCGGTGCATCTTCGGAGTTGATCCAGCACCCCGCATGATATGACACAAAGTTTACAGTAAATTGCGGGGACAGGCAGCCTGGAGAAATGAACCTGAAACATTCGAACGCCCTGACCACATGTGCATATCGAGTACATATTATGAAAATGATGTGGGGAGTCTTGGGGTAACGGCCACACGTTCGGGCTTGCAGTCTATACCAGGTAGATATCACCGAGAAATTGTGCATTTATTAGTAAATCTCAAAGCTCTTGTTCCGATGGTATGATCATCAAGGAAAGGATCCGCGGAGGATCTCTTCGTAACTGAGAATTAGTGGCGGAGTATTTTTGTTGGTAGCGACATCAGGCAATGGTATAGGCATTCTCAGATGCTACTTAACTATTGTGATTAGTATAAAAGGAGATGAGATCGCTTTCTTCATAGCCAGGATAGATTTATCTCAAGTTTCCACAGCTCCCCTATTACAGGGACATCAGAGGATGCATTCTCTTCGTTTCTTCTTCATTTCCGCTTTGGCAATTCTCAAAACTCAAGGCGCGCCTATTGACAGTGATCAGCATCCAATTGTTCAGACGAGCTATGGGCGACTTCAAGGGAATATTTCGGAATACCGCGGTGATATCTATACGTTCAAGGGCATTCCATTTGCCTCGCCCCCTGTCGGACAAGCTCGATGGACAGCCCCAACAAAGCCCGATGCATGGACTGGTGTTCGGGAAGCTACTGTAGGTGGTCCCCAGTGTCCCCAATCAAAGACTGAGGGAAAAACTCTTTGGTCAACTGGAAGCACTGTCATGAGCGAGGATTGCCTATATCTCAATGTCTGGACTCCCAACGTCTCGGCCAATCTGCCTGTTTACCTCTGGATGTATGGAGGACGATTTATCGAAGGATCTGGCGATGTCTCCACATACGATGGGTCTGGGCTCGCGGCGCAAGATATTGTTATGGTGACAATAAACTACAGACTGGGTGCATTTGGCTACCTGTCTCATCCTGAGCTCTCTGCAGAATCACCACATAACGTTTCTGGGAACTACGGTGTTATGGACATGATAGCCGCGCTAGAATGGGTCAAGGCGGAGATTTCCAATTTCGGTGGCAACCCTGATCAAATCACTGTCGGTGGACAATCATCTGGCTCTTCTTGTGCACTGAACATGTTCTTCAGCCCCCAGTCATCGGGTCTGATTGCAGGCATCATCGCTGAGAGTGGTCCTCGTGCCCCACACGATCCCCTTACAGGATCTGTCGCCACAAGCTATCGCGAAAAAGAGCATGCACTCTCCAGTGGTGTTGATTTCTTGACTGATCAGTTAAATGTGTCATCGATTGCCGAAGCCCGGGCAGTATCTATGTCCACTTTAATCGAATATAGCGCCCTGGATGACACGATATTCGATGGCACGCAATTCCAGAATATTAATAATTTTATTGAACCACCACTCTGGCGTCCAGTATTGGATGGATACGTTCTTCCCTATACATACTGGGAGGCCCTCCTCAATAACCGTCACGCCAACGTACCTATCTTGGCTGGTGATAATAAGGACGAGACAGGTGCATCACCAGATCCCGGTTACACCGTCAGCTCATACAAGGGCAATTACACTGATATGTATGCGAACTTATCATCTCGATTCTTCGACCTCTACCCTGCAGATACATACTACAAGGCAAATAACCAGAGTAATCAGATGTGGCGTGATCTTAGCCGCACATCAACGTGGCAGTTTGCGCTAAACTTGGCTGAAGGTGGAAACACCCAACCTGTATGGTCATACTACTGGACCCATACACCACCAGGTGATGCTTCCGTTGATGGTGCTTCCCATGGAAGTGAGATGTACTATGTTTTCAACAACATCCCATACAACTATCCCGATATGCCGTGGACTGATATCGATTATGACATCCAATCGAAGATGACGCGCTACTGGGCTAATTTTATCAAGACTGGTAATCCCAACGGTGGAAACTTGACAGAATGGCTGCCAAGCAAGGAGTCTCATCAGACAATGTGGTTGGGAAATTCATTCGGCTCGGACACAATTGGAGAGGAGTCGCATGTATCCTTGATTACGGAATACTTTTCGTATCAAACCCCGTGGTAGATGACCAAAAACCTCAATAAAACCCGAGTCTTTCGAACCATTCCTGAGAATTCTTGAAATATTCACATGATTCATCTCAAGCGATCAATTACTCGACTTGATAGGGCTGTGTATTGTAATATAGTACCAGCTGAAACATACATACTGCGCCACAATGAATCTCGCGTGGTACTCGGTGGATCCGGAATGGGAAATTTGTTAGTCATGACGTCAATATGTTTCAGCATTTCCACAGGAAAAGAAAGAAAAGGATGTAGGAACGTTCCTGATGAACGCATCGAGTAAGAAGGGCTCAGGTACAATTGGTGGTTGTACCTCATGAGTGTGATGCATGACAATCTTTACTGTGTTCGGCAAGGCTACATAGCAGGGCTGAACCATACATTCAAACCGAATAACCCCAAGAAAAAGAAAAGGAATAATGCATGTACAAATCACCCCAGTTATAGCTGAATGGGTCACTGCGGATCATGTCTCACAACTTCGCCCTACCATCTACCAGAACAATGGCGCCGTCCTTCCGAACCAGAAAATCCTTGTTAGGTTCCCATCCCATCCATGCTCGGAGGGTCTCCTCACCCCCATCCCCAGGCATGAGGCCCCCACCCGACCAGCCGCCCTGATCGGCCTTGAACGGGTAAGCGGGGGTTTGGGATAAGTGCACAGCAGGACGTTGGTCATAACCCGCCGCCTCAAGTTCATCTTGCTCCAAAACAGGAGTCGCACAAGCGTCAGTGCCATCGAAAATAGATTCCCACTCTGCACGAGTCTTCTCCTTGAATCGGCGCGTAAAAATCTCCCTCAGCGCAGACCAGTTATCACGATCTTCCCGCGCTGGGATCTTCTTCGGATCAAGACTCAGTCCCCGTAGCAACGCGGCATAGAATTGTGGTTCCAGTGCCCCAACAGCAAAGAACTTCCCAGAATCCTTCGTCTCATAAGTATCGTAGTAAGGACAACCACTATCCAACAAATTGTGTCCTCTAGGTTCATTCCATGCAGGTGTTTGACGTCCTAATCGAGGCATGGTAGCCAGATACGCCGAGCCATCCACCATATTTGCTTCGACAACCTGACCACGACCCGTATTTGTGCGAGCGATCAGCGCAAGGAGAATTCCCAGGAAACACATCGCACCACCACCGGCAAAATCTCCAAGTATATTCCCTGGCGCGAAAGGTTTATCGCCTGCACGTCCGAGCATAGATAAAACGCCGGATACGGCGATGTAGTTGATATCGTGGCCAGCCATGTCTTTGTATTTACCGTCGCGTCGGAACCCAGTCATACGTGCGACAATCAGCCGTGGGTTATGCTTAAGGAGGACCTCTGTTGGAGATAAGCCGAGGCGTTCCAGGACGCCGGGGCGAAAGGGGTCAATTAACACATCGGCGGCGGTGAGAAGACGTAGTAGGATATCTTTTGATTTCACATCGCGCAGATCGAGAGTTATAGATGTCTTGTGTCGCGTTAGTTGATCACCGCTGATGGCTTTGGGTCGGTCAATGCGGAGGACCGAGGCGCCATAGTCGGCTAGCAGTAGGCCTGCGAAAGGTCCTGGGAAAGAATTAGAATAAGGAGTCAGAAACCAGATGCGGGTTGAACTTGAAATACCTGGTGCTAGACCTGCGAGCTCAACGACTCGGATACCTTTCAATGGAGGAGATGACATTTTGATTTTTCGTTATTGAATAATGTGTTTGTCGAACGTTGGAGCACTTAAGAATGGTTGCTCTATCTCCACCTGTTCCCCGCAACCGAGGTCCGGGGCTCGGTGCGGAGAACCATCAATGTGCATGCTATTGTATGCTGCAGTCCCGCATAATCAAAATAGTAGCAACCATATCATGTGCAAGATGCATCCAAAGTTCATAATGCGACAAGAGAGTCCTCGCGTTTCATTATGTCCTCATCAGGTCATATCTACGCCATCGCCCTGACTAGGCCATGAAGAGAAATTATCCCGATATACCCCTGTATCACGCAGTGTGATTCAAGGCTTAGCGCGATGTATAGCGCTAAATGAATGTGATGAAGCTTCATCCCCGACAACATCATTATAATTCTCTCATCATAATGAATCCAAGAGATTCGGTGGTTTTCGGTCACCTCAAAATAGTCGCCGCCTCCATGTCAGCCTGTTATTTCTTTTGCCTCGCGCCATTCTGATGGTTTATTATTCCAATTTTCCTTCCATCTTCCACTTTTCCCACAGCACGCAAGATGTTCTGAAACTTTCCTTTACTGAGAACAAGATATGATCTACTTATCTTAAAGGTGGCATAATACCCCGTGACAACGCTGCCACTAAGCATGATATTATCAACGGCGCAGCTACGCTGGGGGCGAGTCGTACTGATTATTTTCGGAGCTGCTACGATTTCCTATACATTTTGGCCGATCCAGCATGAACATTACTTCTGGACTCATTCCCAGCAGGTCTGGGATGATCTCGAGGCCATTGAAAACCGGACGTTGGGAGTAAGTTCTATCTTATACAACTTGAAGTGAATCGATGTATTTTCCAAGGTTCTGACAAGTCTCACAGTTCGGCAAAATACTCGCCATAAATATTCCTAGTCGAGCGGATAAGAGTGATAATATCGCTTTGGGCTCATCAGTGTGCAATTTTCATGTTGACTTGATCGACGGGGTTTTGCAGGAAGATATCAACTCTAAGTCTTATCCATATGTCCGTCTTTGCCATACTCCAAGCAGTATCTCGAGATAAAATCAACTGGCATTCACACAACTCCAGAATTGGAATTATGATCACCAGCCGTCTGAATACGCTGCCCGTCGGGCACATGTGAACGGAATGAAACGGTACATGGCCAATCTCTCCAAGAAGATTAAGGATGATACTGATAATGTATTAGTATAATTCGGGACAGGATAGGAAGCGCAATTATTATGGAAGATGACGCGGACTGGGATGTCAACATCAAGACACAACTGAAAAGCTTTGCTCTCGGCGTCCGGGCTCTCCAAGGCACAACCGATACGCCATGCTCCTCACCCTATGGCGATGACTGGGATATACTCTGGATTGGGCATTGTGGTATCGAATGCAAGGAAGATCTTCCCTTCTATAGAACCCCGAATGACCCAACCGTTCCTGAGCCTCGACATTTCCTCCCCTATTTTCGCGATCCCCCTCCATTCGAACGATCGGATCAGGCTCGTTTGACATGTACTGCCAACGATGGTGTCTGTTCAAGTATGTATGCAGTGAGCTATCATGGCGCCCAGCGAATTCTTGCCGCCTTATCGGTCAATCCATCTGGGCTTGCCGAGGAAATCAATATCGGCGCGCAGTTCGACGTTTCTTTAGGTCGCATGTGTGGGAAAGGGTACTTACGCTGCTTTGCACCTTATCCTGCCCTCACTGGCGCTTTTAGGTCTGCTGGAGGCGCAGGAAAGGCGTCCGACATTCATGATGAAGAGGGAGAGCCAGTGGGGTTTGCCAGCTGGGGTGTACTCTATAGTACCATGCTCAATGTGAATCGCATACTCAATGGAGATCCTGTGTACGCAACATGGGAAGCCAATGAGAGGGAATCGCTCATTCCAAGTACGATCGATATTGAAGACGGCTCGATTTATCTCAAGGTAGATGACGGTGAACGCGAGATTCCCTCAGTTGCCATTGATGAACAGCAACGAAAACATAGAGTGACACATATAAGCATGGAATAATTAGTCAACAAGCAATACAATTTACCTAGACTTTTTCTGGATCTATTATAGTTATCTGAATTTTTTTGTAAACGTTTAAAATTCTCATCTCCCAAAAAAGATTGCTGCTGCCTTTAAGTTGGTGTTGCCGATCAGATAATTTTAGGCCTTGGGACTCTTGGCTAAAACCACTTTTGGGGGCCGCAGTTAAAATGCCATTTAGGCATCTCAAGCTCCCGGTTCAAGCCTAAAAAAATTCTTCCAGTTTCAAGTTTTCGCAAAATTTAGGAATGGAGCCCAAGATTTTTTCTTTGCCTCCAGAGATACTTGTTAGAATCTTGTCGCATCTTGATAGGTATCAAGATGTGGCCACTTTCTCGCTCTCGTGTCGCAAAGTCCATGGCATGTGTGATATGCCCACGCGAAAGAGATTTAATCGATCCATATATGGCCAACCAATAAGGGTATCGACCAGGCTTTTGAATTGGTGATGAGCATCCTGAAAAAGCCCTTCCTGGGTCAATATGTGCGCGACCTAAGTTACTACGGAAGACCCAGGCACAGTGGGATCTGGAATGGTGGTAAACGTGGATCACACCCACGCGATCTGAACCAAACAGACTTGAGTCTGCTTAAGAAAGCGATTCGACGGGCTGGATTCTCCGGTTCGGACGAGGAGACTGTCCTCGATATGGCGATACAGAAGGAAACGGGAGACGATGATGGGAACAGACAATATTTCAATGGGTATAAGCTCCACCAATAATCAATAATTGTCAACTTTTGTAAAACTAATGAAGTCTTTAGCATGAATACTTCACCGGGTGGAGTGTATATTGCACAAGCCTTGGCTGTCATTTTGATCGCTATGGCACCAAATCTAGTGAAAATGGGCATGACACAACCGTACCAAACTTGGGAGGGCGCACGCGAAGAAAACCTCCCTCTCAAAGCATTCATGCGTCAAGCCAACAGGGCTACTGAAAACCTGCCTTATCTTCAGAACCTACGCGAAGTGTACATAATCGTTGATTTAAGCGGGGAGTGTGACGATGAACGCTACTACACTCATATCGAGTTCCTCGACTGCTTCAACTTGTTCGACCATCTTCCATCGATAATCTCTGTCGGCATTGATCTTTGACAGATGATCAGCAAGATGCGCCACTTGTCGAGCAGAGAACCTCGAATTTCACTGAGCTCTGTATCAACCACTCGTCTGTTAGCACTCCCTATATGGCACGTGCGATACTGGCTTGCAAGGCGTTAAAGAATTTTCAGTACTCAATAGGAGGCCGTTTTGAGTATGAGCCCAACGAATTTAATGAGAAGACATTCTTGAAGGCAATTTTGGCACATAAAACAACACTGGAAAGCCTCGATCTCAATACTGAAAACAGTCTCTATAATCCTCGCTGGGAAACAGCGGATGAATTCGAGGATGCGGATGAAGAGGATTATAATCATGAATTTCTTGGGTCATTTTGGGAAACACATGGCTCACTCAAGGATTTTACTGCTTTGAAAAATCTCAGTATCACAATAGATGTGTTGTTCTATTTGATTCGGGGCGACCATGAACTCTTAGAGCAACAAGCAAAGATCAAGCTGTTTGAAGGTCTCCCTGATAATTTGGAGTCCCTTTGTATTCGAGGCTACTCAAAAGGCAAGCTCCCCCCCTATGTGGGAAGCGGAAATTGATGATTTGATGTTGGCATTCAGGTCGGGTTTCACAAAGCTAAAGGAGATTCGTGGCATTGATAAAAGCATTCCCAGTAGTGAGCATGTGGCTGACCCAGATGAAGATTGGTTATGGACATTGGATGAAATTGGGTATGGCATCTGAGGATGATACATTCACAGGACCAGTTGACATTACGGGCAAGTGGCCTTTAGAATCGAAAGCCAGAAAACATTGGTCGGGAAACAGAAATCAAAGATAAATGAAAATTCAAAAATTATATGGTATATGCCGAGAAAACTCCACACAGAGTCATTCTGGCGATCGAATGTCCAGCTCTTCCACACATATTTCTTCAGACTGCAGACCCTCAGCATCACATCGAAATCCTAGCTTAGACGTGAATGATCGTTCATGGCGGTAATCAAGATTCAACCTTTTCAACAGACCCATAACCGGCCTCGACAGCAACAGGTTCGGCCTCAGTGACATGCTCGTGTTCAGTCTTACTAACTGTCTCGTTTTGAACATCCTCTTCACCAAGAAGAGCAAGCAGTCCAATTTCCTGCTCAATACGCACTCTCAATGTCTGGTCTTCAGCTGCAAATGCAGTTGTTCCGAAAAGTTCGTCCATCTCCTCGAGTGTACGGCCTCGGGTCTCTGGAACAAGTAGGTAAACATAAACACCACCAATTGTGGTGATGATACCGAAGAAAATGAAGGCACCATAGGTCGTCTTGGAAATAAATGGAGACGTCGAAATAGCGACAGCAAAGTTGTTCAGCTGTGTAGACCATCTATTAGAATTTCGAACTCTATCAGCTGAGCAGGGATCAACGTACCCAGTTGGAACTTCCACCGACAGAGACACCCTTCGCACGCATGCTAAGAGGGAAAACCTCAGAGACAACAATCCAGGCACAAGGACCTAAAGATTTCGTGCTGTTAGACTTTTGAAAGTTTGCAAGAGGATTTTGAAGACATACCCCAGGAGTAAGCAAAGTTAATAACGTAGATCCAGACAAAAACGACCGCGGCCCAACCAGCTGAGCGGTGGCTGTCCCATTTGCCCTCGTAGGTGGCAATGATACCGGCGACGATGAAATGGCATACCGCCATTCCAATGGCACCGGCGATCAGAAGCTTCTTACGACCAATCTTGTCGACCAAAAGTACAGCTGGGATTGTCGCCAGGAACTCCACAACGCCGACTACTCCAGTGGCCAACAGATTCTCAGAGTTACCTACGAATCCCATATCCTCGAAGATAAATGGTCTATTAAATTTATCAGCAAAACTCCATAAGTGCAAGGGACACCAAAACTTACGCATAGTAGTTGATGGCGTTGATTCCATTCCATTGTTGGAACAACATGATCAGGCACTGGATTTGTCAGTATTTGAGCGTGACTTTAGTATTAAGACCCATATCAGAGTAGAAACTTACAGCAACTGACAGTCGCTTGAACAGAGACTTATTTGTAATCAGAGACTTATAGTCATTCATGGCGATCATGAAATTGCTCTTTACGGATCCATCTTGGTATTGAGGGTACTTCCGGATAGAAGTCTCTCTCTCAAACAGATAGAGAGCCTTGATTTCCAAAAATTCCACTCGTACACCAATGTCATCCTGAGACTTCCCGCGGAGACGAGCCAATGTGGTCAGACATTCCTCTTCTCGGCCGGTGTTCATCAGGTGACGAGGAGACTGGGGCATGAACAGAAGCATACCAGCTGCCAGAACAAAGCCAGGGAGTAATTGAATGCAAATTGGGATCAGGTATGCGGCGATGGATTGGCCGTCGCCGGTGCCACCAATGAAGTTAGTACCGTAGCCGAGCTGGAGATATCGAAGACTATCAGTATATTGATCGTGATTTCACTAGTACCATAGTAATGATCAGAGTGATGACTTACCCAGAAGCTGACCATGATTCCGAAAGTAATTGATAACTGCTGGATGGCGACAAGCGAACCACGAATCTCGGGTGGGGCCTATAGTTGACAGTTAGGAGTCGATTCAGATGGATAAAGCACTTGAGAAGTGATATGAGGGGTCCATACAAGCTCAGCATTGTAAAGCGGCACAACCATACTCAAGCTACCGATACCCAGACCAGTCACAAAACGACCACCGAAGATGTAGTTCTTGTTCTCAACGCAGGCCTGTACGATAACACCGACGGTGAATGCTGCGACAGCAATACATACGGTAGCTCGACGACCAGCTGCATCTGCAAGGTAACCGTTGAGCAAAGTACCGACCCAGGCGCCCAATTCAAGAATCGAAGTCAGAAGACCCTGTCCGGTACCGGTGGTGGCAGCATAGCCTTGCGTCTATTGGAACCAATAATGTCAGCATCTCGTATTGTGGTGTCAGCTGAGTGACTACATTGCATATCTTACTTTCTTAATAAAAGAAGTCATGGTCAAAACTTGTGCGAACATTCCCTGATTGTCTATTCAACGTGTCAGCCCCGCATCGCAAAAGACTTGAGGAATATCGGAATATCAGGGAGTCAGAAGGGGCCACAAGCTCTTAGCACGTACATCCATATACAAGACCACCCAGAGAAGCAAATAATCCAATAAGGAATGTCTTCTTATTGCTGATCAGGCCCTTCAAACCGGTGGGACCAGCAAGCGCAGCACGCTTCTCTGACAGATTAATTGCAGACGGAAGCCCTTTCAGGTCCATTGCGGGGTTCATGGACTGATCCATATTGGAGTCTCCCAATTAGTTGCTAATTGGCCTTATACAGAGATTAGTATACAGCGGTGTAAGCTGACAGGAAGAAAACGGAGAAAGAAAGAAAGCCCAGGTGTGTCCAACTTTTTGAGGGAAATCTCCGTTTATGTATTCCCTTGGACGAAAGAGAAAACAACAGCTCCCCTCAAATTAATTTAGTCTTTCAATCTCACTACCACGAGGCCTTGCTTTGACCATTCCCCGGCCGGCTTACCCGAGCCTGTATTCGATCTATCACAGCAAGAACCGGCAGCGGACGGGGTTGGGCCGGACTTCAGGCAAATCATAGTGAAAAACCAAGCTCCTGCAGCGATTAGCGTCTTCCCCACGAAACCCCAGCCTAACCAGGGTTGCGTTCAGTTTCCCCATGGGCTAAATCCTCTTCCTGCATTACCTGGGCCGTATGCTGCCTTCGCAGAGATGAACATCCATGATTGTAGAATCCAACTGAACGCCAAGACAAAAACGCACGAACGTCATACTAGTAGATCAAAAGGCTTGGTGGCTGTAAATCTCGTAAAGCTTGGGAGCGCCATAACCGTCTGAGTGCCGTGTTCCGCTTATGTTATCGCTGTTTGGATTGGACCATAGCTACCTGCTCAGGTTGTACTCCTCAAACTGTTTCTCAAGCCCCCAAACCCCAAGCACACCATGGTTAACCACGTTAGCTTTTTGACTATTCCGTCTTTGGAATAAATGGCCGAATTGAAATATACCATGACGCGTCCTCTCAGCCAATACAACGGTGTTATGGCAAGACGCCCAAAATCCTGGGGGGCCAATGTTTGATTTGTGGGGAACGCGGAGGAGTAGTCTGATCCCCACATTTTAGCGTGGGCTGATTTTAATTAAGCAGACGGTATATTCTCGGATGGTTTTATTGTGGTTTTCCTCCTATTCGATTGATTCTCGGAATTTGACAGGACTCAGATCAAGAAAGAACATGTCAGCTAGGCCTAAATCATCTCTCGGTGTTCTTTCATTTGTGGGGCTGCGGCTTAGAACTAGTTACTAGATTTACCCGCACCTATAGATGGCTTCAGCATATTGTAAAAAAAAAAAAGAAAAAAAGAAAAGAAAAGAAAAACGTGCTGAGAAGATCCTAGATCCATTTAGGTTGATGCCAGGCTAATGTACTAGTAGTACCATCTTATGAACCGTGCCACAATATAATACTAGTAACTGCACGACCATGTCATACTATCATGATGTTTCGTCCTTTGGTTCTAACTCAAAGTTCAAGTTGGGATCTTTAGATTGATATTGCGATTTCATCCTTACCACAACCGTGCATAATTGTTTATTGCATTCATAAAGAGTGATATTGCAATTTCTGTTTTAGATCAAGGCGATTTTTCTTGGCAATTTCCATGGCTTAGATGGAGTATGTGCATCTGTGAGTCAGAGTCGATATTCCAAAGCTTGAAAGCAACCTGGGCACTAGTACAAACTGGACCAAGTGGCGGCAGTGATATTAATTTTGCTTGGAAGAAAAATATTAAAAAAAGAGAATATCCTTCAAAATGTTTCCGATGTTTGAAATGGATTCAAATAGGATCCATGGATCTGATCATCAGGTATCACTGTTATTCCCTAATCAGATCAAGTTTACTACCGTCAACTGGTCTGACAGCAATTTGAACTTGAACCCATATTCGGAACAACTTGAAGATCATGTTCGCCGTCGTCACCGTTAGTATCCCCGATACCTCAAGGGACTTGTGCCAAGAAATCAAGTTATTGAGCATACGTATACCGGCGTATACTTCCAAGGTTACTGTTAATTCCTATAAGAAGCGGCATTGCTGTACTTGGTATAGCCGTGTCAGATCACAGTTCTTAGAGCCGCTTGAATGTTGTGCGAAGATCATATTTCAAAACAGCACTTGAGGGATATTTATTCATACGACGGCCTCAATGAACTTTGCACATGTGTATGCATAAAGCGCGTGAGATTCAAGTTCTCCACGCGACAGAGTATTCCATGTGGCATGGACCACGGGCCAGGCCCACTTTTAAGCCGACTCGGAGCTACTTAATCACCGAACGTTCCAATATTAGCCCTCCGACTTCATTCATTTCGGACGTGAACATTTACTAACGACTTGGATTTTTTGTCAAAAATAATCGGCCGTAATCAAGTACATTCGAGTTAAAGAGATTTAGTAGCCAACAAACATGGAAGACCCGATTTTCTCTTCCAAAAATGACGCTTCATTATATTGCGTAAACTTGGGAGGGAAAAAATAAAAGAAAAAAGAAAAAAAAAAAGATTTACGCATGCAGAAACAAGGTCTATTCGGTTACTTCCCGAGGTTTCAACGAAATTCAAGACTAAAAAGTTGACTCCTGCCACAAAACAATAACACTGAAAAAAAATTGAACTGCAGCTCAACGGATGGAATCTCAATGATAATCCGGTTTGAGGCATTTGATCTTACTCTTGCGGACGACCCATGTCAGGTGAATCGTCCTGAAACCGTCTGAGTATGTCTTGGAAGCTTAAAGACAGAGCATCAGAGTCCTCTGCATCTGTAGGTGGTATCAATGGTGGATTAGACGCCAGAGGGGAACTTTGCGATGAATCTCCTCTGTCTTGGCTGGGTCTCAATGCAGGTCGAGGCGGTATGATGTTCCTGTGAGGTGGCAAGGTAGATTCTTGCGATCGTCTTTGTTCAGCTGATTGCATTGGCCTGGTAGAAGATGAGCGTGAAGATGTGTTTCCATCTTCGGAGTCCCGGGGTGTAAGGGGTTGACCTCGCCAATTTTCTCTCTTTGGTGGTATCACTGGTGGTGTTCGCTTTGGTGGCGGCGGTGAATATTGAGGACCCGACACATTGGTCGATGGTAAGATTGTTGGACGACTCTCCCTTGGAGATGGAATTGTCGAGTGATCGCTCGAGCTATAGCTTGAGCGTGGTGGTGATAGAGGCAATTCCGGATCTGGGCCAGGTAATAAGAATCCACGTTCACGCGTAACATTCTCCTGTGAAGGAGGAGGAGATAGGGTTGGAAGACCATGGTAGAAGGGAGGTCGAAGCTCTGGTTCGGAATCAGGCATCTCGGATGTAACATCCTCACAGCTGGCAGTTCTTTCCGATGGAGTTGCTTCCAGCGAAGGTTGACTCGGCGGCTCTTTCTTGTTAAGACGAAACCGATGGTTGAATCCTTCCATGAGATGTTTCAGATGCTCGAGAGCTATCCGAGACTGATGTTGAATGGATTTACCGGCGTCATGAAAGGTTCGGCCTCCCTTTCTGCCAACCATGAGGAAGAACCGACGTGAGCTCGATGCACCAGCCCCAATGATTTTTCGAGTAATCTTTGAGACATCAGATACCCAACGTGCTTTCCTATCAACATCACGTTTCAAGTTTTTCCAATTTTGACGCATAGCGTCGCTTGTATCTCGACTTTTCGCTTGCTTGCGAACGTTGGTATTGATTGTATCTAGAGATTCCTCCAAGGCTCTCTGCAGCGTCTCCAGTGCAACTACCCTGGTCCAAAGCTCCTCATCCGATGAATCCCTTGGGCCTGATTGTTCGACTAGTTTTTGAAGCCCTGGAGCAATCATATGCTGCAGCAGACCATATCGATCCACAATAGTATTAAGATTGCGCTCTGCTGTTCTATACTCTTTTTGTGGTTCTGAATGTCGATTCATAGAGAAATTGACCTCCTCAATAGCACCTCTGACAGATCTTTCGATCTCTTCTTGAGTGACTTCCAGCGCACATAAACCAAGACTCTGTGCTGAGATGAGCTTTAAAAGCTCCTTTGCACATACAGCTGCTGATAGTGAGGCGTAGGGATGCCACTCGTCATTTTTATGGCCATCTGAGTAATCAGAAATACCACGGACTGTGAGGCAAGAGGTTGTCTCCATGACACCGATTGCTTCCATCTCATAGCATATGATATCCAGCCATCCGGCATATTGATCTCGATGATCAACATTCTTCATGACCTGGTCCCCAGACCCAACCACGCCCTGGTGCATCTGGACTCGATTCTTCTTCTCTCGGGCGTGACGAGAAGAAATAGATGCAAAAGCCTCAGCCTCAACCTTCAGGCAGTCGCAGCCACTTCCATGAACATAGTCTTTGCGATAAAGGTTGTCCTTTGTAGGGCGAGGAATTGTCTGTGATCCCAAATCTTCAATGGCTTTCTGTAAATCTAAGCCTTGTACCAGCCTTGATCCCAGACGAGTAATTGCAGTCTGGAGTATTGGAGGAGGTGTTTTGGTCGAACCGGTGATCAGAAAGCCGCGGTCTCCTTGTCTTCCCTGTGTGTAAGGGACAACTTTAGTCCCAAGGACCACATCGCCCAAGCGGACATCCTGCTTGTATGGTGAACCACCTCCGATCCCGACAAGGAGCATGAATCGAATTGCCGGGAAGGTGCTTTTCATGTCGGATGCAATTTTGGCTGCACGAATTTGGCCATAGGTTCCAGCTGCTGGGCAGTTCATGACCACGAGGTGATTGCCAATGCGTCCAACATCATAGCTGTTCTTGTCATTATGACCTTGGACGATATTGGACGAATCGTATATCTCGTCAAACATCTTGATCGCTTCATTGTACTCGCTTGGGAGGATGCATATCCAGCCGATGAGGTAATCTATTTGAGATATAGTACTCTCGAATTCAGGCATTTTGGCATTAACGGACTTCCAAGTTGATTTAAACGAGTGGACGAAATATCAAATTTCAAATTTCATAGAAGTTGGGATTGAATTATGATTGAGATATTTGAAGATTTCATTCCTTCGATGCTGAAGGTCCAGCGGGGCTTTATCAGATCCTTTCCAAGGCTTCAGTGACCTGAGGACTACACACCCGTACCATCTATAATGACATCTTCATGGAGAAGTAGACTGGTGGCTTAGAGACCCCTGTTAATTCAGGCTCAGCCCACTAGCATTTGGTGTGAGGCATTTAATGCTTATTGAGCCCAGGTGTGAATATCCTATGCCATTTAGGAAGAACCTGAGTCAGTAATTGCGATTAGCCCCCCCCCCCCCAGTCTGGTTTTAAGCTCTATTTTTTGATATCAATATCATTTTACCATTGGCATGCTTATTTCTCGGGGGTCTCGGGCAACGGAGCGGGCTGCGTGCATACTCCGTAGTGGGGGCGGAGTACAATGAGAGCTGGTTGGCTATCTCAAACAAAACAACTTGTTTCTCGATACTAGTGTTACATGATGGACATGATCACTGCAGGTGAAAAAATATCTTTTCCATCGAGAGACATAAAAATAGATAGAAATCTGACTATGAAGCCTTATCGACCAGTTCATCGTATGAAATGAAGCGAGACGGGACTCGGCTCGAGGTGGATCAAGCGGCTGTCCAGTTAAGTTGTGGATTATGGAGTCAGCCCGGGGCGCCTTGGGAAAAGCAAACAATAGCACTTGAGGTGTGTGCTCGGGGCTCCAAGCGTTCAGCTGAAAAAAAGCAATGTGTGTAAGATATGAGATGCATACAATTGTTTCATCTCACTTTCATACTTCCTTCCAAGGTTCTTACTCCAAGTCTGCGTTAAGCAACACTTGAATACATGAGAAGACTTGATTTGAATAAGTGATATAACTTATCTTTCTTGGGTCACAACTATGTGAAGGAGGAGAAAGAAAGGGCAATCTTTACTGTATCTATGTATAGACTAAGCAGGCATGCATGGAGCCTTTATAAGAAAAACACGTCAGCACTGATTCAAATTTGCAGGTGCATGCAGCAGACCTAACTAGAATTGTACTACGGCGAAGGTCTCAGGGAATGATTATCTTTTAAAAATAATAATGCGGCTGACATGACCCTAGATGAAGTGACAAAAATAATGATCCAAGGAATCAGAGTTGAATTATTTGAATGCGTAAGCTATCATGGTAGTCGAGTTGCTTCGAACGGCCCCGGAGGTTGGAGTATTCACCTAGTTCACCTGTGTAGTCGAAGTTTGAGAGAACGTTTTCAATTACTTCCCATTTGAGTATGATGATCTTCGGATGAAAAGGAAAACCGGAAGATGAGAGCCTGGGGAGTGACATCTACACCAGATCAGGTGATATGGCACACTTGGGCACTGGCCTCAACAATTAATCCAGCCCCCTCCGAGTCTGTGTTTTTGCCCCTTAAATTCATTTTCGTTATAAAGAAATTTTGGTTCAACCAGAAAAATGGCGATTGTGCAAGATTTGACCCACCGTCTCTCCCTATTGAGACCAATTATAAACGAAATTTGCGAGATCGGCGGCATCCCTGGAGCGTCAATTGGGGTGGCTCATCAGGGAAAAACTGTGTTTAGCGACAACTTTGGATATCGCGATATCGAGTCCTCTGTCCCACCTGATTCCAACACATTATATGGGATTGCATCGATGACGAAATCTATCACCGCCAGTGCTATCTGTATTCTGGTTAATGAAGGAAAGCTTAGCTGGACAACTCCGATTGTCAGCATTATACCTGAGCTCAATACTGTGGACAAGTATCTCACTGGTCAGCTCGTTATAACCGATCTTCTCACTCACCAACTCGGGTTGGAAACATCTAATGAATGGTGGTTTGGTTCAAATGGCACACTATTGATGAAGAAAAGCCAGGCCATAGCTTCATTCAATGCATTAAAAAAAGTAGGCCCTTTTCGTCTCGGTACAATGTACAGCAATTGGAACTTTGTGCTCGCTGGCGAAGTCATTGAGCGACTAAGCGGCGTGAGCTACGGAGAATTCGTTCAATCTAGAATTTTCCAGCCCCTGCAAATGGATCGAACGACCACCACAAAGAATTTCCAATCGGTAGACGTTGAAAACTTTGCTAGGCCATATGGTGCGCTCGATGACAAGTCAATGGTCTTACTGCCCCCGCCTCCCGTTTTAGACGGCACTATTATGGTTGCTGCACAAGGGGTCCAAAGTTCCGTGAATGACATGCTCAAGTTCACGAATGCGCTCCTAGCGGGCTGTAAAGAGGATGGTGATAAGGACTCGCCTCTCAAGCTCAGTTCAAGGCAGCTGGCTGGCCATATCTTTTGTGAAAAACAGTTAATTGGCAAGTCTTACGCACTAGGACTAATGCGCGCTCTACTGCCAAATTCCATTGGTGGAGGCCACGAGATTTATGGGAAGGTACCCACGATCAAATCTGGCGGTAGTACAAGGATTGTTTTATACCATGGTGGGAGTCAAGCGGGATACACATCCTTCATGAGCATGTTGCCAGAAGCCGATCTGAGTGTGGTTGTGTTAACCAATTCGATCGGTTTTGGTGAACCATCTGGTTGGATCCATGAGTTACTCCTGGAAACATTGGCTGATAGTCCAGATAAAACCGATTTCATCAAGCTCGCGAAGGGGGTTGCGGCTAACTACCTTCGAAAAATTCCCAGGATGCTTGAGAGCCTAGAGCAATCACGAGAGGGTACCCCTTCAAGGCCGCTGAGCGAATTTGTCGGTCGTTATTCGAACCCCAATCATGACTTCGTGGTGGTGATTAGACAAGGAGATGATAAAGCCTTGGAGGTTGTCTTTCAAGGCCTTGAGTCTCAAGCTTGGGATCTTCGGCACCACCATCATGATACCTTTACGTGGCTCCCTTCACTAAATGATATCATCAAGAACGCCCTGTTTCCACACATGGGCCAAAATGCATACACCATCACTTTTGAAGTTGAGGATGGTACTGAAGTGAAAAGGCTTTTATGGCCACACGAAGCGAGGCTTGGACCAGAAGTCCAATATTTTGACAAAATGCAAGACGTGTTGGAAGGCAAAGAGAAACAAGCCCTCGGAGGAATTTAGGGAAATTGAGTGCATTTCACTGATTCCCATCACTCCAGCACTTATCATAATAACACCCTCATTTGAGTCGCTCTGTGCGAATTGTGGAGCACTGGGGCTAGTGGCAGTCCGCGTGTGGGGCGAGGCGACGATCGGGGGTTTCCGGCCACGAAGGGGCGTGGGCTATGACACAAGAGGCATCAGAGACACAATATGAGGCTTGGTGATACCAGCGGTCTTCATTCGGAGGGAGATGAGATGGCAACTAGATATCCCCGGGCGGAGTGTGCGAGGCCTTCCAAGGTTCAAGTCCTGGAAAATGAGTTGAGAGCGGCCCCGGAGTCTATAGCAGAATCACTTCTGAGTTTGGGAAATAGAGATTCATACTAGAGCCTCTAAATTTTCAAACATTACATTCAATTCGGCCCAGGTGATGGGTAGCCAGTGACCTGGGAGAAGCACTCAATTACTCAACCTCTCCAGGGCTTGGTGGTGGTAAGTCCACGTGTGCACGGGTAGTTTCAAAATATTCAAAGTTTGCAATCAATCATACATACATGGATTTAGTAGCCGCTCCTACTATTTTCCACATCTTCCCAGATCGTCAATTCAAGCAATTTCAACATTGGAATTTTGAACATTGGAACTTTGAAAATGTTCAGTCTTTCGTCCAGATCATCATGATATTAGTTACCTAGGTAGTAGTACACTGGCAGATGCCAGTGGTTCAAATGTTTGATATATATACTAGCTGCCACTACTAGTACTTCTACCTTAGCTGAATAGTGATACTACCCATGTAGGTATCCACATATGGCCATGAGCTCAATACTAATACCAGTACCTAGTAAAACTTCCTACTACGTGTTTCTTTCAGTCCTAAAAGTTCAAGTTTCTTGATATTATTTAGACAATAACCATTTGGATAATTCGAATATTGCCAATCTTTCGTGAGGACAAACGCCGCGGCTGAGGGGATCCGCTTAGTCATTCCGTGCATTTGGGCAATTTGACACCTGAAGTGTCTATATACGGATTTCTAGTTTCAGGCTGGGGCGTAGATCAGGCAAAGGATGGATCTAGCCCGGGCGCAATTCGGTGGTCCCTGGAATTGCTCCTTGCTGCTACTGGGATTTGTTTCGTTGGAGAAGACAAATATCTAGAAACATTTACGGCTACGAAGTAGTTTTCAAAGTGGGCTGTAGCTTCCAAAGGGTTGGTCTCAACATATTCGTATAAGAGGGTATAGGATCATGGGTCACATTGAGGCCTGCCAAGTTGCTCTGGTACCTGTTATCGGACCTCACCTTTTCGCCGAAGCCCATTCAAAAAGGCAAGTCTGCCAATACTAGTCGATTGGAGAAAAGACATCGTCATTTCAAGAGAAATAAGAAAAACCATCCACCCAGAAAGAGTGGCTCACTGAATATGAACTCCGGAACAATTTGGAAGAAAAAAAGGATATTTTTCATTTGGCACTCATCGCAATGGCGCCTGGTTTCAGAAACGTTGACCAGAAAATGGTAGGTTGGGCCTCTTATTTTTATGTTAAGAGTCCTTTAATATCAACACACCCGCGCCGTTAAACCACCATTGCAATATGAACCTAGACCCCCACACACACGTAAGAGATCACTTAAGCCTTGTTCTGGACAGCCTCACGACCCTTGGCAATGCGGGCAAGGAGAGCCTCACGGTCCTTGTCGATGTGCAGGTTGGTGATAACCAGGTTGGAGGCAGAGAGACCGATGGGAATGCTCTGGCCGTTGGTCTTCTCGCGGACAACACGCTCAACGTGGACGACGTACTTCAGACGGTAGACGGAGGTGATGCGACCCTCACGGCCCTTCTGGGAACCGCGGGCAATGGTGACGGTGTCGTTGACGCGGAGAGGGACAGCGCGGACCTGTAAATCATGGCGAATGGTTAGAATCGAAGTTTTCTCTTTCCCTTTCTTGCTCGTCCTACACCCGGCTGGCCCTGATTGTCTCTGTTGTGCATTTTTTTTTCTTCATCTCGATTTTTGATCGAACCCCAATTCGGCCACACCCGGATCAAAATCAAATTTGCAGTCGGCGGATAAAACGTACGTTGTACTTCTTCTTCAGCTCAGCGGAGAGAGGAGCGGACATGCGAACACGGCGCTCGCTGGAAGGAGCAGAGAAGTGAGCCTTGCGGGACTTGCTCCGCGAAGAGGCGAGACCTATCGTCAATCGATCAGCATTTGGACATGGGCGTTGGGCGAAAAGCGATAAAATAACGCACTCTGGTTGCGAACAGCCATCTTGATGAGCGTCCTGAGGTGGTCGTGAATGGGCTCAAGTGCACGGGTTGTCGGTGGTCGGTTGAGGAGGACTCGTCTAGCGTGCTGAATATTCGATGTGGGTTGTGCGTCACATGATTTACCGCTTGGTTAGGGCTGCGAAATGGACTTTTATTGGTCGATGAAAATATCCACATTATGTAATCAGACGGGGGCGGTCGGGGAATTGACACCTGAATATTGATGCCTTAAGATCTTGAAATCTCAGAATCTCGACACCTTGACACCTGAATAATGGGATGTGTCAAATTGATGTGATTGGCTGATGTAGACTATACCTATGTTACTACCAACAGGTCCCTTCTTTTACTTTCTTCTACCAAGATTACCTCCTGGTACATATGAATTTAGACCGATATCTAATATCTGTGATTGGATGAGTTTTGGTCATTCGAATACACGGTCTACATGCTAAATGCTACGTTGAATGGAAGTTCGGCCAGTATTCGAAATTGATAAACTTTTCTTAATAGAATACAGGAATTAAGCGCTACATGGTGATGTAGAAACTCCAATAAGAATATGAAGAATTCGAGATTAAAATAAATCACTCTCGGAGTCTGGACCTCAAACAAAGACCCAGATCTCCAGAGATCGGGGATGAGAACGGAATTTCAGAGAGATCGTAAAGAGACATGTAAAAGAAGGTCGCACACATGGCTGCGATGCAATATGTGATCTGAAAAAAATCAGATATCATCTCACATCAGCAGAGCAGATAGAACAACAGCGAATGCGACACTGAAGAAATTAATCATATCTGAGCGAGAGCCAGCAGCGTTGTAGGCTGGTGCGGTAGTAGCAGCGGTACCTCCAGGTGTGGAGGTAGGGGCTCCAGAGCCGCCACCAATAGTGCTCGTAGTTGAAGAGTGAAACACGAAGGATGGGGCATGGCTGGATGTATTAATGGCACCAACTCCGGGAATCAGCGCAGTCGAGGTCGGGCGACCGGGGATGACACTAGAAGACCAGTTGATAGGGGTCTTAGAGGCACCAGAGCCGGGTCCCTTGCCTTGTCCAGCAGAGCCGCCAGGTGATCCGGTGGAAGTGGCTGTCTCCAGAGAAGCTGGAACTGTGTAAGGCACAGTCAGAGTGACACTAGAGCCAGTTGGTCCGCAGCTCTCACAGAAAGAGACGGTAGTAGTCCACGTCTCTGTCTCTGTCGACTGAGCGACAGTGGTTGCCTCCGCCGATGAAGAAGTGATGGGAACGGTAAGAGTCACAGTGGTTGGAGTGGCGGCACACTGAGTGCAGACAGTCACACTGGTGGTCCATCCCTCAGGAACAGTAGCGGTGGTAGGGCTAGCCCCGGATGAGGGGTTGGTCACACTACCAGTAGCGGTGGCTTCAGGGCAGACGTAAGTAGTGTAAGTGGTCCAGATGGTGGTAAAGCCAGTAGGACAAATATCAGTGTACGAAGTGACAATCACAGTTGTGATAGTTTCCGCTGAGGACGAGGTGGGAGCTGAGGTGACCGAAGGAGAGGCAGTGATGGTAGCTGTCTGGGAAGCACCCTCACCTCCACTTGGCTGCACTCCACCAGTCTCGGTAGAACTGGAGCTGGACCCGGTGGCACCAGTGCTGAAAGTCAACTCACTGGAAGTGAAAGTAGAGCTCCAGCTTGCACCAGAAGATGTAGCAGCGGAAACATCACTACTGGTTGCAACGACATTGGAAGAGCTTGGGGAAGCAACTGGCGTAGAAGAATACAAGCTAGAGCTTGGCACATCTGTGGAATTTGACTTTGTGGTGCGGGTGATGGGAGTGCGCGAGGGCACCGGAGTGCGAGTGTGAGTGAGCGTCCGGGTAGAAGACTCGGTCAATCCCTGCGAAGTGCCGGAAGTAGGCAAAGTGGAGTGGCCAACAGGCGTCACAGATGAAGAATGCACAGATGACCAATGGGGCTTGCCAGTAGAAACCAAAGGAATGGATTGAGAGCCAGTTGCAATTTTGGAACTCGACGACTCGACGGACGAGCTTGGGTGTCCAGAACGAGCGGCAGAGCCAGAAGCAGCAGGGTATCCGGATGAGGTGGCAGAAGCCGAGGGGATAACAGAGCTAGAGTGGTGGATCGAGCTCGAAGAAGACAGAGATCCGGATGGAGTAGCAGATCCAGAGGGAGTAGCAGATCCGGAGGGAGTAGCAGATCCGGAGGGAGTAGCAGGGCTAGAGTGTGTCACTGCACCAGATGGAATGGTGGAGTGAGTGGCTGAGCTAGAAGGAGGCACGGAACCAGAAGGAGTAGCAGAACTGGAATGAGGATTGCCACTGGCACTAGCAGGTGTAGTTGAGTGCTCTGGAGTTGGCACTGACGAGACACTGGCAACCAAGCTACTAGAAGGAACCGACGAGGAAGTCTGAGCTGGGATTGGGATCACGGTACGAGTGATAGTCAATGTGGGTGTGGGTGTAGGGCGGGGAGGAGGAGGAGCAAAAAAGTACAGAATCTCCTTCATCTGCTCAGCATAGGTCAGTCCCCTGGCATCAGTATTGTTCTCCGAGGCTGTGGCTTCCCACAGCATAATACCGCCGAAAGTATCTGGATAGCTTTCGATGTACTCGGAAACCAGAGGCCAGACTTCAGTCTCATCGAGATAGTACCCACTGGCCGCAGCCGCCTCGTCCGCTGGCAGTCCAATGAAGAGTTTGGCATCGGGGTTTGCGCTGGCCTGAATAACATCAACCCAGGAAGCAAAATTGAAAGTTGTCAAGCCATCCGCAAAAGCACGGGCAGAGCATGCGAAAGTATTGTAAAACTGAACCCAAATGAAGTCAAAGTGGGAGGTCTGAATTGCGTAACTGAGCTGCAGGTCTGGAATAGCGCACTGAGGGGCACCTGAAATGTAGAACTTATGCTCGGGATAGTTGGTATAGTGATCACGAAGGCGGTCGATCATGGAGCCGTATCCTATAGTTCTCGAATTAGCTAATATCATGACTCGTGGAGGACAGTCGACTTACCATGACCACCATCAGACTCGATATCAAAATCAAAACCATCAACAGAGTTATTTTGGAATGGGCGAGGGAAACCTTCCTCGACAGCGCTAGCATTGTAAGGGCCAAAAGAGTACCACAGGAAATCAGCAAACCACTCTGCAACCTCGTGGCTCATGACACCAGGATCGGCTGAGTCACCACCGAGAGAAAGCAGAACAGTTTTGCCCATAGCCTTACAAACAGGAATGTCTTCCCAGATCTGATGGCATCCCGCAAGGAGATAAGTGCCATCATAGTATGTTCCATCACACTGGTTGCCAAAGTTGGAACCAGGCCAGTCACCGACTTCCTGGGGGAAGACATTAATGAAGCCCAAGTTGATGATATCCAACGAGGTCTCCTGACAAAAGTGGCTCAAGCGAAGTTGGTTCGCACCTTGACCCTATTATGAAAGAATATTAAGGCACATTCGATGAAGAAGATCAAGGGGAAGTGACTTACATAGTAGACAGCGACATTTGACTTGAGATCCGCATCGACAGCAAGAGCAGTGGACATAAAAGTGGACAGGAGGGCCACACCCGTGGAAAAAAGCTTCATACCAACCATTTTGAAACTTGAAAAAGAATGTCAAGGCCACCGAAAGGCCAAAATCAAAACGAGAAAAGAGTGAAATGGCTTGATGCCAAAGTTCGAAGAACGAAAGGGACGCAGACAAGTGCCTGCAGAGGTTGGACACTCAAGGAGAGAGAGAGAAAACGTTTGACAGTGTAGAAGAAGTTGAGAAATAGGATCTCTTAGATTAAAAGGAACTAATACAGACCTCTCACTTCCTGCATAACCCCATAATACGGAAATGACCGAGTTCAGTGTAATAGTCACTAAGTACTAGTTGACTCGATCTCGGCTAATGAGAGACGAGTATGTATGGTCACCTAATTTTATGCGGACATGGTGCCTAGTTCTTCCTTGGATCCTGAATTCTTAGTTCAAGAAAATGGTTTCCACCCGAGACTATGTCCACATGGGTCTCTCTTGGCAAGGGAGATGAAATCTTTGTTTCTAGAGCCTCGTGCAAGGCGGGATACTTGATCATGGATTCATGAGGACTATCAAAGTGCAACTTCCACCCATTCTCATTCTTCTTTTGAACAAGCGAAAGAAATTTCATAGCCAGACACCGGGTCATTCAGCAATATTCCCTTAGTATTGCCAGAGTATGAGTTCACGGACCAACATGAGCGTGACATTTAGAGCCTCATCGTATTCGCCAAGGAACCCTGGTCTCAGGGTCCGGGCACAGATTTCCAAAATTTGAACGGAGATAACTGATCGTACAAGCAAATGGTAATTTCCGAGACCCCGCTATATGGACCCTAATGCGAGTGTTCATATCATACCAGGCAGCGACCTCCATGTTCAGGTTTCTGGTGCTTGCAGTTGCATACTCCTAATGTGAATACTGTCAGACATATTAATTCAAAAATCTCAGGATTTTAGGGGATACTGTTTTGAATAAGGAGGCTGTCATTTATCAATAGATCACTGATCATGTACTTCGGAGTAAAATTGGAAGAGAAAAGTTATTCCAAGCGAGGGTCTCTTAGTGGAGTACCTAACGCTTAGCGTTGGGCACTAGTCAGGCACACCAATTAACACTCACATCACCAAACCCATGATCCCGGCACCAGCCGGATCATCACCATTTTACCCATCGCTTACAAGAATATTCTTTCAAATATTTACATGATTTATGGTTGGTTACATCCACAGGGTACTCCCGAATACTACCCTAGATCATTAGCTGCAAATATTGAATCTTTGTTATCTCATAGGCTGTGTGGCACTGCAAACTCACGCATACATAGATTTCATAGCAGCATTTCATAGTGATAAGTTGAATGAAGTGCATAAAATAACAAGCCTTTCCACTCAATATTCACACTCAATCCTCGTATATTCGCACTTCCTGCCTGAAATGGTGTTGTTATACGCACTGATTGGAATCGGTAACCGCCATACCACCAAAGTCAGAACTGCGGACCCTTACCACAACTCCTCGGACCGGTCCCCACGTTAATCTTCCGGTAGGGCTATTCTTGAAAATACTTGGCAAAAGAAAGCAAGTCTTGAAAGATTCTTAGCCTAGTGTGCCCTGTTATGTCCCTGATCCATGGCGCACAGATCGATAGTCCAGACTTTGGACCCTCCAAAAGTTCCACTTGGAGTCACTTGGAGTAGCCGCTGGCATCATGTCTCGCCTTTCGGTTGATACCAAGAAAGTCAATCTTGTGCAGGGAAATCAAAGAATATTCTGAATGATTAGAGAGTACAGAGTATCAAGATCTAAATCAACCCACCAGGGTCCATTTACGGCAAAAGAACACCTAAGGTGCCCCTGCCAAGTTATGGAGCCCCAGGACCCTGATTCAGATCGAACTGACTCAACTTGGGAGTTCATCTTCAAAAAAATGATCAATTATAATGAATGATTTAGCACCATTCTGTAATTTGCTCTGCTGTTGATTCGGGTCGATTTTATTCAACATATTTCAAATTATCATGGGACTCGGAGTGGTCTTGTCCTCCGAATTGCCATAGATACTAGCCCTTGAGAGGTACTTAATATTATATCCATTTCTAATACATTACTAACAACTTGAAATACACTCACAAGTTCAAGTTGGAAGTGTACATGTGCCATGGCAGCCTAATTATTTTCAAAATGTTAGTAGCGACAACCGTTATGTTCACTCAGAATTTCAAGGGTGTCGGTATTTACTCTATAACTAATGATGCCTCCATCAGGTATGTAGTTTTACCATAATTACGAGATGACAACAACTTTCAATGTTCAATGCCCTCGGGTGATGATTCTATTTCAATATTTTTCGAATCCTGTCCTTCTACGAACCTCGTTATCTGAGAGGGGCTGCCCCACACAAGAGGGGAGAAGCCCATCTCCACTTCACCGACACGGCGAGTCGGCGACAACACATCCAGGGGCGGCGCCAAGTCTGTGGAAATCAGCCTCAGCGCCACAAATCTCCAGGAAACAAAATGGATGACCCAATAGAGACTCTCCCACCAGGCCCGGGGGCTTTATCATTCCACCACGCCCGCTTTGTCCTCGGCGATGGCGTTCTGTCATGTAATTTTACTGGAGACTACACCCTTTTCTTTAGGGAAGTAATCACCGGTCCGAGGTGGCTTTGGTGATGCAATCCAGGCGGCAGCCTACATATGATGCCTCCCAGATGTCAGAAGGAGGTCGTTTGCGGGAACTGAATGGGAACCGAATGAGACATACTTGCCCATAAATTGGTACACACAAGTAGCCACCATACATCAATCAATCTTATATTGCACCAGGAGTATGACCTCACTGTGCACATACTACCAGACTAGCGGAGTCTGTATCTGGGTGACTCCATGACTCCATAAAGATGAAAATGACGACACTGGACTTTGATACTTTCCCGGAGACGCCTCATACCAAGGAAAAAATCGTTTATTTCCACACAATAATATCAAGTCCGAAAGGACGGTTCTAGGCCTTATGCTCGCCACGGAATCGATTTAGATTGGGACCCTGTTCGTGTCATTTTCAAGACTGCTGTGGCAGTGCTAGTGCTAATCAGCTTTGGCTGTCTATGTCAGAGGCAAGATTATCGTCTCCGAGTCCACCTGCAGGAACGCCCCGGGGCAAATACTAGTGCGAGTGTGCGACATATTGTGCGTGGAGAGACGAAGTATGGAATCGATTTCTGATAGTATCATGATGGTAGGCGAACAAGAAGCAATCTTGCCACCCCAAGTGAGGATGAGGTTTCACATCAGTCAGAGTAGATAGTGCTTCAATAGAATTGATTCTTTGTACTCAGCCTCTCCCTTCATTTTTCCTCGATTGGGTCTGCACCTGTCTCAGGTAGCCCTTGACAGCTTGAGTATAGTCTGGAGAAATCATATGTTCAGTAAGACTGATCTAGTTTTAACAGAGGAGCCGGGTCGCATTCCGAGTCAGTCACTTTCAGTGTGTTAATTTCATGTGCGAGCTTGAATGATCAAATATGAGGCTCCTGGATGCTTCAACTTGTCCCTCGCCGTCGACAGGAGGTCCCCTCGAATCACGTGAAAATGGTTCTGAACACCTAGGATGATATTGCTATCGAAAATCAAGATAACTATGGCGAAGTTAGTGCAATTTTATCTGAATTGCTGCCAATGTGAATAATATTTTGATTTTGTTGTGGTAGTTAAGAGTGGAAAACACAGAGAGTTTCATCATGAACGGTAGTCCGAGTGGACGTCATCGAGGGATGCTCCCTTCAACCACATCACCCATTTCCACCCATATACAGTCCTCTCCTTCATGACCTTCAAGGGCGACACCAAGCAAATAAAATGAAGAAACTTGACACCTCTCATTGGAACTCCAGGAATTTCGGAGATTTTCACCAGGAGTCAATACGAGTGACGTCGGGTGTTCACGATCTACAGGGATGAAGTCAACACACCATATCCTCCAGGAAGGCCCCTGCCACTGGTTTAAACGGTGAGAGGGGCTTTTGACTGAACATTCCAGTCGATCAAATGATTTTATTACTTGACCCGGATCAAATGAAGCCCATGGTCGCGGCTGGGATTCTTCCCATGCCGGCCCCTCGGCACATTCCACCCCTCCACACTCTTTGCGCGTCGACGCGCCACGGGTTCTATGGCAGTTGATTTAATTCCCTTTTTAGTCCTTAAGGCTCGCTTCTCCTCTGACACGTCTTATTCCTCACCATTAATGACTTCAATCTAACCGCGCTCGGGCTCGACGGCTATCCGACGTGTTTCCTAGTTCCACGCCTCTTCATTCAGGATACACTGGCTGCCACGAACCTGGCTATTAATTGTTCTGGCAACATTGGAAACAGCTGGGATCAACCTTAAAAGGCCTTTCTTAATTCACAATGGCGACTGGATTTTCGCCCGCGCCGCGAAAAGAGGGCACTTGGACTAAATTGGTCATATTCGCTGCGATATACTGCCTCATCTTGGAATCTACGCTTCAATTAGCATTGGTGCTATACCTATACGGCAATGGCAGGGTTGACTCCAAAATGACTACGAGTCTGGTGTTAGCACTAGTTTCGGTGCGTTTGATCGATCGATTCCAGCATATATGCTTCAGGTTGCTAATCTTATTGTGTAGTCTATTCTCTCCATTCCCTTGATCTCGCTTCAAAGCCTAGTCGCCTGGCAGTACAATAAGATTGGAGGATTTGGAGAACAAAAGACGGTTCTACATAATGTCTGCACCTATGTCCTGAGGTTAGCCCTTATGATGTGGCTGGCAACTAGCGTTTCTGGTCTAGTGGTTGCCGCCCAGCAAGTTTATTGTCTACCTGAAGGGACACATGCAACATTTTGGCGCGTTGGTAGCAGTTGTGCATTCCATCGTGCCACAGTTATTGTTTCTGTGATCTCACTGTAAGTGCTGGTATATGTGTTTTCGCAAGTGTTCAACTGACAATTATCCTGCAGTGTTACCGTCTGTACTCTTTACTGTGCAAGAGAATTGTGCGATCGGCCATATGATGTTTCCATTATTGGAATATATAGACGCCAACTAGCATACAAGGATGGTAGTATCTTTTCCGGTCACAGCTGGGATAGCGATGAAACCCTCAGAAACGAAATCCTCAATCTATGCCGCCAACACGATGGAAAAGCTGGCGAAGAACCATGGAGTATCGATCCGTTGGCCAACAAGGTCAGATGTCATCCTAGTATCCGGCACCCAGCCCCAGTTTGCCTACGTCCACAGCTTCGAGTCAATACAAATCCAGGATCGGAGTATGGAGAGATCACGTCGGGAACATCGATATCACCAGACGACACGCTACGTAGTTCTCCGGGAGCACACACAGTTGCTAGTGATTTCTTCCCCATCTCACGCACCTCAACCGTTATGACATCTCAAACTGCCTGCGAATCACGAAACCTCCTCTCTGGCTTCCATGTCCCCGAAGTACCACCTATTCCGAGCAAGTGGGCAACCCACATCCGAGGAAAATCCTCGCTCTCGTCTCTGAAACGCTTTTTCCCGAAAACCTTGCCGCTTTCACTGCCCTTATCCTCAGATCCCCAGATACTCGCTTTGGCAGACCCGAATGCTGCGTCGGACGTTGAAAAACAGGTTGTCACGCCTTCAATCAAAAGTGCCGCTCTGGAAGCATTCCCAGAAGGAGCTATTTCGAAGAAAGCCAGCAACACGAAAGATCCCACTACGGCCGAACCGAAACCCTCGAAACCAGAAGGCCATTTACGAACAATGACCATGAACTCAGCCGACGCCCCCGAGGTAGTAGTACAGAAGCCCGAACCTGTCAAAGTGAGACGCTCTCAAACCGCCATAGCGACTTTCACACCAAACCAAATCTCCCTTCATCATCCTCACCACCCCAATTACATCCCAGCTCAAATAAACCCGCGCAAATACTCGCTCTCATGCAGACAGACATCTACCGGATTCCCTGTCCCTGCCGAACCACACAGACACAGGCAAATCCGGCAACAACCCGTCTTCCATCATCCTGTGCGCAGCACCACTTACCAATTCGACCACCATATTCCCCGTCATACCCAAAGCCAGTACCAATCACAGTATATCACACCTCCAGCTCGCTGGGCTAGTCTTCATAACTTCGATCCTAATCGTGTGATCTCTCCGGTACCGCGTCGCAGTGATGTCGAAATTATCTATCCTAGTACTCGCAGACCACGCAGCAGTACCCATGGAGGCCCCACTGGACCTCTGAGCTGTATTATGGAGTCAAGCCCTCTGCCTCGTGCTTCTGTGGATGAATCCAAGGTTATATCTGGGTCCTCGGAGCCAACGCGCAATGTCATTGACCAAATGACCTACCGTGGTGCCAATCGTACTAGTCTGAGTTTCCATTAGATTGAAGCTCTAATTTTTTTATGGTCTGCTGGTCAGACCTGCTATTTGCGTCTTGATGGTTAGTCTTGGACTTTATATTTGTTGGATCATTGTATGATGGGTGGACTCCATCGCCTGTTGTCTGAACAGGGTTATCTTTTTTCATTCTTTGGTGGTTCTATTTTTTCTCTCTCAAATATGCTCTATATACCATAGTACTAGTTAAAGTAATCAAATACACTCTTGATATTAAACAGGTGGTTCAAGTTTGTCTCTAGTAGACGTAGACTGCGAAGGCTAGTAACCCATCGCAAGTCAAGATTAGCAAAACTTTAGACGGAAAATGACACGATAACTCGAGGATGAAGACTAGATTACTACTTGTTGCTGTAGAATACACGACGGCAAAAAGAAATCAATTTCAATTACATGCAGAAAAGAAGGAATCAAATCAACACCAGTACTCCATCATCCATCCGGCCAAAATGCAAAAGGCTAATACACAATTGGGTCAAATCAAGCATCAGGCCAATCCGATTACGGAGTAAAGACTAGTTTCAGTTAGGGCTTTTTCTCTCCGCTCTTCGACCGCTGCTTCTGGGCATATTTGTATCGATATGCCTGTCCCTGCTTAGATTCCTTACTGTCGCCATCAAGACGACGATTTTCTTTCCCTTCTGCTAGAACACCTGGTCCCCGACCCATTTCTTTCTCACCCCAGTACATCATCAATGCCTTGGCCATGCGGTCACGCTCTTTCAGAAGAAGGTCCACACGGGCTTCCCACTCGCGTTCTCTCTTGTCTACTGATAAGGCAATTCGTTGGTCCATTGCCACGGCAGTCTCATCCTTAGCAGCAATGACAGCTTCGAGACGTTTGATTTCAGATCTCAAAGACTTGCGCAGCTGGGATTCCTGAGTAGAGATTGATGTGCGGATTGTAGTGAGCTCTACACGAAGATCTGCTTCGCGTTGCTCGGCAGAAGCAAGGAGATTGCGAATCTTGCGCATGGACTCAGCATGTGAAGAGCGGAGGGTAGAAATGGCTGTGGAATGGGCTGTCTGGAGGCTCCTGATCTGGGCTTGGTGGGTTTCCTCCAATGCGACTGTGTCGGGATGGTCTTGAATTGAGCCAATTGCACCGTGGGCCATTGGTGGAGATGGAGGCGGGCTAGGAGGTTGACCAATGGCCTCCTCTTGCAAACGGGCAACAGTCTCAAGAGACTCAGCATGTTCCTCCTGCGTACGAGTAAGATCATGCTGCGTCTTGTTTAGAGTTGTTGTCAGCTCCTCAACCCTACCCGTAAGGCGCAGGTTCTCGGATTCAACGGTCTTGATCAAGCTTTGCATTTCGGTGGTTTGTTCGCGGAGGCGGCCTGCTTCATTTTCTGCGGCCTTCTGAGCACCGAAAGCATCTTGAATTTCTTGCTCAAGTCTTGCGATCTCATCGCGTAGATGTTGAATTTCTGAGTTGACTGGGTACTTCTGCCGCGGAGGAGATTCTTCAGGCTCCATATCAGCCTCCGGAGGGCCCAAGTCTTTGATGAGATCAAGAATCTCACTGTAAGTGCTGCGACTATCAATGGGTAGATCTGCAGCCATAGATTTGAGGGCATTTTCTTGGGCCTCCAAGTGTGATTGAACACGGCTGAGATCGGCCTCAAGGAATTGATTTCTTTCCTCCAGCGGCTGATTCTTTGTCTCAAGGTTAGTAAGACGATCTTCGAGAGATTGATAGTCGGCATTGACGCTTTGTAACTCGGCCCCAAGCTTCTCGTTCTCCAGAGCCATGTCATCTAAATTGGCTTGGATGCGATCGATCTCGCTATTCTTCTCATGGAGCTGTATCTCCTTGGCATGGGTCACCTCACTCAGTCTGGCAAGTGTCTCCTCTAATGTCGCATCGCGTTTCTTCAGCTGCTCTTGAGTGAGGTTGAGTTGTTGCCTCAGATGAGCAATAGTCTCCAAGCGCTCAGTATCCAGTGAGCTCTGCGACTCTTGGTTTTTAAGCTGGTGTTGCATGTCACGGATTTGTTGCTGAAGGGGACTCAAATCTAGCGCATTTGCTTGAGACTGTTGAATAATCCTATCACGCTCACTCATTTGTCGTCGCAGAGTCTGAATCTGTTCGCGAAGGATTTCTTGATCACCATTTTGGGCTTCAATATCCGCAATGTGCTCATTTTTAAGCTGCAGCTCTGTCTGGAGATGAAGAACCTGCTCACTGGCCGATGCTGCCTCTAACAAACTGTGACGGTTTCTTAGAAGCTGCTCGTCTCGATCATGAAGTTCATCTTCCAGCTGGGCGATGCGTTGTTGTAAATCTTCCTCTCGCTCATGCGCAATGTCTCGTGAGTTATTCGACATTCTTCGAGATGCTGGGGACTCGGGACTTGGGAGTTCATCCGCAGGGTCCTCTTCAATGTCATCAAGGCGAGTAGAGTCTTTGGCAAGCCCACTAGTCCTGTGAAGCATATGCGATGGAGTCGACATATCCACGGGCGGTCCGAATTCACTGTATTCCGCTGAATCTGCATCTTCTTCAACGGCAGGCTGTCTTGACCGCAAGGAGAAGTTTCTGATGGCTGACCCAGGCTCGTCCCGATCCTCATTGACCCGAGATTTCCGAACACTGGACATGTCTTCACCCATCAGATATTTCTCCATATTGGCGGTAAAATCTTCCGGGCCGCCCACATCGGAAAGTCTGTCCTCCATATCATCCTTCATATCTGGCAGAGGCATATCATCTTGCCCATCTGTGAAATGGCCACTAGGAAATTGGCTGAAGTCCAAGGTATACTCCGCGAGTCGCGCATCCAAATCAGATCCAGTTGGACTGTCTGGTGCTGAGTGGTGTGATAGATGATGGGGTTCATTTTCATGTTCATCGTCATGGCCATGCTCCTCTAGTTCATCATGCTCGTCGTTATGGGGAGGTTCGCGCTCATCTGGATCTTCTGCATGTGGGTCAAAGTCATCGGAGAGTGGACTTTCTGGGCGCAACGGAGAACGGGAAGGAGATTGACTTGTAGGACGTTGTGGCGGAGAAGATCGCATGAAAAGAGGTGTCACTAATGTAGATTGCCCAATGGTATCATGTGAGGTCGGAAACGGCGACGTGTAGCCATTGTTAGCCATAGCGGCAGACGCGTCTTGAGATATGCGACAGCGAAGCTGGTCAGATAACGAGGCAGAAGAGTGGTCGAGAACTCAATATTGTGGTGATTTTAGAGTCGCATTATTTGCGAAAGCATCGAAGAATAAATGTAGGGACTAACAATAAAAATGGCGTGGTAAGGTTAGAGTCCAAAGCAAACATGAGAAGTGCCCAGGTGCGGGTCGCAACAACATCATTCTAGCGGCCTCAGGCATTCTATTTACCTACTGCCATTCTCGGTCTTGACTACATCAACTCCAGCCCTGGAGCTTCTACTTTCAGATTAAATAAGAGAATTATATTATTCTCCAGGGCTCTTCTTTCCTCATTTATTTTGAGCTCTTAGTTGTTCAACTTTCAAGGATTGATAGATCTATGATCATGTTATCTCGACTCCTGAATTTACAGTTGATCCACCCAAACTTCTCACCAGTCTCTACTTATTTGGACGCTGGTTCCTACAGCGAGAATGACTTCTCATACTACTCGTTTCAAGCATTTCATCTAATGTACAGAACCTTGGAATAATGATTACTCACATAGACTCATAGTACTTCGAGTCTGTGTTGTGTGTTAAGGTTTTACGTAATAGCCTGAGGCAGTAATCCCGTTATATCCGAAGTATAAATGATCACTGTTAAGGGCTTTAAGGCATACTAAAGAAAATGACCGCACATGTATATGCACTTGAACATTTGAATTCAAGTATGAGTCCCCAAGCTGGGAGAATTCTTGCATAATACTACCTAGCTAATTGTGATTGACATTTAACATGATCTTTCTTTCCTGTATAGGTAAAACCATCTCTACTTCCTCATTGTGAGGCACCACACGTGACCTCGCGACGTCATTCAGACTTTCCCGAAGATTAAACCATATTTTCTCTCGACCTCAATTGCAATGATATAAATTGTACAGCCGAACATTCCCCAAAACTTTCAATTTGTGTGTGGCGATTGTTGCATCCACTGTGCTCGGGTGCCTTTGGCAGCATTGTTGGACACGGAGACTTCATTTTGAAACACCCCATCTAGCTCGCATCATGTTCCCCTCACAAGCGGCCAATTTGAACATTGAAGCCCTGAGTGGTATCTGTGGGTAAGTTGGAATCACTTTATATTCAAAATCTTGCTTAATTCACTTGATAATCATGTGCCTGTATCTCTCTATTGCTTGCATTGATTTTCAGCGATGACCTCTAGCGCTGTCCCTCTTCCCCACATACTGGAAAATTGTGTCCACAATCCGCTAAGTAATTATAGCTCCATATCCATTGCCTGCTGGGTGGTAGTTTTCTCTCCACAAATCATTGAGAACTTCCGACGTGGTTCCGCAGATGGGCTTTCACTTCTTTTTCTCATCGTTTGGCTGGCTGGCGATGTCTTCAACATTCTCGGTGCAGTCATGCAAGGTGTGCTGCCAACAATGATTATCTTGGCAGTCTACTACACATTAGCAGACATTGTCTTACTTGGACAGTGTTTCTATTATCGAGGCTTTAACATTCGTGAAGAATTCTCGTCTTCTCCCACACCAGAGCCTGCTGCCACCGGCGCACTAGGTGAAGATGAGGGTGATCAGTCTGCCCCCACACCAACTGAGCGATCTTCTCTATTACCTAAGTCAAAATCGACGAACGGAAATGGAAATCAAGAGTCTTCAGTGAACGGAAATGGTATTCGCCATTCTGCAGAGGAAAGACGTCCGTTATCCTCATCAGCGGGTGAAAGACGACACTCTGCAACCTCATTTCGAGATATCCTACACTCATCTGTGGATGGAACCCATCTATCACCTGCTACACCTTTCATTGATACAAATGCGGCTCGTGCTCGTCGACGCCGTCGACGTATCTCCACCATTAAAGCCGTTCTATTCAATACCACCGCCATTGCCCTTGTCTGCGCGGCAGGTGTGGTAGGTTGGTACCTTAGTCCTGCCCCAAAGAGCTCCAGCTCAGATCCAGAATCTCTCACTATGGATCCATTGGGTCAAACATTTGGATACCTGTGCGCCGTCCTGTACCTGGGTTCACGACTCCCCCAGCTTCTCCTGAACTACCGGCGCAAGTCTACTGACGGCGTGTCTCTGCTTTTCTTTCTCTTCGCCTGCATTGGCAATGTGACATATGTTTTGTCCATCTTGGCATACTCACCGGTCTGTCGGGGCCACATTTCGATCATAGACCTTCCGAATACCACTTCACATCGCCATTCTAAATGCGAGTCAGGAGAGGCCGCTGCAATTTATGGGCGGTATGTATTGGTGAATCTCTCATGGTTGATTGGTAGCTTTGGAACCCTACTATTGGACATGGCGATCTTCGTACAATTCTTCTTGTACCGCGACGCGAAGGATTTAGATGAGGAGTACCATGATGATGATCAATAAAAGCCTCGATGTACATATCATTCATCTCGTGATAGAGATAAAACCGTCACTCTATCTATTGTCATGAATATATACAAAATAAAATGAATTGGCTCTTTACGATGAACCGTTCTCCAAGCTGTACATCAAGTCTTCGCGAACAAACTGTTTCACCTCGTCATAATTCTCTTTCATCCACTCAAGGAATCCATACACTCTTGTGTGATCTTCCGCAAAAGTGGAAATTCCAGTCTTCCCTTCTGGTCCAAACCGCATGAATTTACCACTGGTCGAGTATGCCTCCCACGGCTTCTGACCATGGGCAAAGGCAGCCCAAGAGCTGGCAGCTTCTAATGACACTTTTTGCGTAGGAGGAGGACAGCTCTCCAGCTCATTCAAATGGAGAAGAAGAGCACAAAGACCATGATAAGACATTCCCTGAGTTGGACCTGGGAAAGGCGATGGCTCTTCCCAGTGGTACAGGAAAACATCATTCTTCCATGCATCCGACTGACGGGAGGCTTCAGCGATGGCGATGTTAGGATATTGGAACATGAGAGTTCCTAGGAGAAGGCGGAAAGCATCACGGAACTGTTCATCCGACTGTCCTTGTGAAAAGCCGAAATGATGACACAGCTCCGTACCTTTGCTACCTGCGAATCTCTCCGCAACTAACTGATGAAGCTTCTCCTGGCTCAGTTGTCGCAGCAAGCCATCAAATATAAGTGCTTCAACATTCGTATCACCCAGGATGATAGACTTGCAGCGTGAGTTGGAAACGTTATCCTCGAATTTCCAGGTCTTCGGAATATAAACGCCATCACCGGCAGGGCCCATCACCGCCGAACTGGAATTTTTCAGAATATCAGAGACATTCAGACAGCGAAGATAATTTAAGCGTGCAGCAGGGGTAGAGCCGGTAGCACCAGATCTGTTACATAATCCCTGCCATTGCTTTTCGAAAAGCTCCGCACGGACGGGGAACAGACTTGGGGCAGCGCCAGACATCATAATAGCACGATCGAATAAAGAGTGACCAGCAAGGAGATGGGCATGGATACTGGCACTGCCAGCACTGACACCAAACACCGTGATATTATTTGGGTCTCCCCTGAAATCCGCAATGTGACTATTAACCCATTCCAATGCGTTGCGCTGATCGATTAATCCATAGTTCCCAACTGGCTGGCCGTTTGCCTCAGCTTCGGTAGCCAAGTCTTCAGAAGCGGAAAAGCCAAGAGGACCGAGTCGATAGTTCATTTGCACGAGGATAATGGGCGTGTTAGACTTCTTGGCTTGACTCATGAAAGCCTGGGGGCGATAGCGAGCAACCGAGTTTGCACCGTATGCGAAACCACCTCTGAAGACGATTGTCAGCTAGGTCCAAGAGAGAGTCCTACAATAGCAGAAAGAATGTTGAGCTTCTTACCCGTGAATCCATACCATCACAGGGAGGGGCTTAGAGTTGGTATCGAGGGCCTCCTGAGGAACGGCAACATTGAGGTTTAAACATTGAAATTCGTCGTCGCCTGGAGTAGGATCATTCGTGCCTCCAGTGACAAGGACCATACCATTTCCTTGATTACACCGAGGGCCGAATTGAGTCGCATCATGGGTGCTTTCGAGTGTGTGTCGAGTCACACTGTGAGTCCAGCGCTTTGTAACCGTGGCATATGGAATACCTCGGAATAGAGCGATATTATGATCATTATCGAGTTCTCCGATGATTTCAGCCTCCAGAGAAGAGGCATTGATTCGGACTGTTTGAGTGTCTGCCATAATGAAGTGGGATATAAAAGTAAATCAGACTTTCGGATTTTCCGATTCATTGAGGGTATGAGGGGCATCTTTATAACCGGAAAAACGTAAAGATCATAGTCGGCAGGATATTAGCTTACCCATAATAACGCGTGTTAATTCCAGTTCGGTGAACTAAAACTCATCACAAGGACACTATTTTCATCTGAATGGGGTTTAGAGGCAAGCCACAGCTGCGTTAAGCGAGGCTAGGGAATTATATCGGCATTTTGGTCTATATCCCGCGTTTCCCCCGCAGGCTCAACCCTTCCCCGGTCAGTTTGCCCCACACTACAGCTTTTATCCGGGGTAGCTGTGGGGATGCTCGTATGGAATTTTGGATTTCTTGTGGACTATAAATCCCCTCCCAAAAGTTCCATTTTTTCCATTTGGTATTATTCACTTCAGAAATATCTTTTATTCCCAGCAACAATGAAGGCAGCTGACGCTCCATCAGTCGATCAGCTTGAGAATGCTCAACCTCAAGCTGTGGTGCCATTATCAGCAGATGTGATCGATAAAATACACAATGGCGATGATGCACTTCAGTTCTTACAAGGAGGGCATCAGCCATATTCGAAAGAAGAGGAGAAGCGTGTGATGCGCAAAGTTGACATCCGCATGCTTACACTGATGCTTATTGTTAACGGTTTCCAATTTGTGGATAAGAATGTGGGGATGCCCCATCTTCCAATGTTTTGAATTTCTCTCAACTAACGCACTCAATTAGACACTAGCATATGCTGGAACATATGGTCTTACGACTGAAGCTCACCTTGTTGGTCAGGAGTATAGTCTGCTCACCACAATATTTTATATTGGATACTTGATCGCTCAATGGCCAGCGAACTGGTTAATGCAAAAATATCCAATTGCGAAAGTCTTGACAATAACATTTGTGCTCTGGGGTATGTATATTGTTCCTTTTACAAAACTCCCCAATGTGGAACCAAACCACTAACCTTTCAATGCAGGCGCCACATTGACAGCTACAGGAGGATGCACAACCTTTGGCTCGCTGGCTGCTGTTCGATTTCTCCTGGGAATCTTTGAGTCAGCCTTAAATCCAGGATTCGTTCTGATCACATCATCATGGTGGAAACGTGAGGAGCAGCCGTTCCGCGTTGGATTGTGGTACAGTGCCAATGGCTTGATCGGTGCGCCCTCTGGTGCAATCTTCTGGGCCATTGCACACCTTCACGTAAGTCAACCTCCAGACATCTCATCACTGCGTCTTGAACATTCCATTTGACAATCTCATACTAGGCAAGCAATATGTTCGCTTACCAGTGGATGTTCATCATCTTTGGTGCTGTAACATTTCTATTCGGTATCTCTCTATGGTGGACTATGCCAGATTCCCCAATGACAGCGAGCTTTTTGACTGAGCGTGAACGATATATCGTCATCGACCGACTCAAGAGCAACAAGACCGGTGTGAAGAACTCTCAGGTTAAGACCCAGCAATTCAAGGAGACTTTGCTGGATCTCCGCATCTGGATGCTGGTTATCGCCATCTTCTGCCATAATATGACCAACAGTCTGCAGACAACCTTCATGGGTATGATCATCAAGGGTTTCGGCTACAGCACTTACGATTCTGTTCTGCTGAATATCCCTCCCGGTATTATCATGGCAGTGTCGATGATCATTGTCAGTGTATTCCTCTCCACCCGGTGGGGCCAGGAGAAGCGAATCTTCTGTATCATCGCTTGCTACCTTCCCGGAATCATCTCCACCGGTATTCTATACACCAGCCCCATTGAGCCTTCTACCAAGCATCTTCACCTTTTCGGGATCTTCATCGTGCCCATTGTTGCAGTCTCATCGGGTATTATGTACTCACTTCTGGCAAGTAATGTGGCTGGTTATTCGAAGAAGGTTCTGGCTGGTTCCATGTTCTTCTCCTCCAGCTGTGTTGCGAATATGATCGGGCCGCAGACCTTCATCAGCTCACAGGCTCCTAAGTACACCACAGGTATTATCACTTGCTTGGTCATGTTTACCGTGAACATTATTCTTTTCTCTGTCCTTTACCTGATCTATACTCGTGAAAACAAGAAGCGAGCACAGGAGGATGAAGGAGAGACCAATGAGGAGATGGAACTGGCAAATGCCTTTGCGGATTTGACTGACCGTCAGAACATCTCGTTCCGTTATACCCTTTGAATATCCAAATTTTGTTATTATCATTGCAGATACTATATAGGAGACGTTTCAGTCTTACGATAACCTATAAATAATGAGAAATTCATATCAACTTGAAAGAAAACATCCATAGACGAAGATCAGTACATAGACCCATACGGATTGAGAATGAGAAGCCCGCTTTTTATTGATAGTACGTCTTTCTTGCTAGTACTAATTTTAATCGAATGTCATTGCAGATCAGCCAAGAAGCAAAGAACAGCGGAAGCAAAAGACTTAGCATCATCAGCCCGATCCTTCAAATCAGGACCAACCTGCTCCAAAAACAGCGCCAATTTAGACTCTTTCCACCCCATAACAGGCGCAGATTCCACACACATCTTCTGCATACCAAATGCATCCATTTCATAGTGTCCCTGGACAGACAGGACACGTCCGGGGTTAAAAAGGCCTTGAATTGGACAGATAGGCGTGCTTCCAATATTAATCCAGGGCGCAGGAAGAGAAACAGGCGGCGACTCGCTCAGCATCACGGGAGTACCCTTCTCAACGGCGATCACGCGGTCGCCGTGGAACATCTGGATCCGAAGTTGACCCTTTGGTAGATGGCCCAAAGCTGATGGGAAAGCTTGCACAAATTTATCTTCCAGTTGAACGGTATATATACCGACTTCTCTTCCGAGTGGGCATTTCTCAACATATACGTCGCGGACAGGATCATCGGGGATGCGAACAAGAGCGTGGGAGATGAGCTGGTGTCCGAAGCAGGTTCCCATGATGCGGACTTCGGGGAATTCTTGGTAAACAGTTTGGATGAACTTCTCGAGAACCTGCATCCATGGTGAATGAGCCATTTCGTATACACCAGGCGAGCCGCCAGTGATCAGGATAGCGTCAATTGGGTTGTGAATAGGCCATTGCTCTTGTGTTGGGCCTCCGCGCAGGAGATGAAAATCAGGATAGTGGCCACCGCGAATATCGAATGCGGTCACGTTGATATTAAGAGGGTCGGTAATGGCAGGGTGATTTTTATTCAAATATGATGCTGTCTCGCGGAGAATGTCGCGAAAGTGTGCGCTGCAGAGACCGCGAGCCTCGTACAGCTTGCGAGCAGGGATATCAACATCGAGAACAGCGATGTGGATGTTGCGAACCATCTTGTCTTTTGTATTATTTTGGTGCTAAGGTGGTTTGCTGATTATTATTGTGGTTGTGTCTGGGTTCAGGTTGTCAACTTGACAAACCTGCCTGGAAGGATATCCTCGAAATAAGACAGCCATCGACTCCAAGACACCATCGGGAATATCTACCAAAAAGTTAGACCGAGAAGAGTAAATAAGAATTGCATGTGTAATAAAAACATTGCCGCGTAAGAGATATTGCCAAGCATACTCCAACGAACTCCAATTTGATCGGAATTCTTACTATTTATTAGGTAAAAACTAGGGTTTGTGGATAATGAGCTTAATTTTAAGCCCCACTTTCGGAGTAAATCTTGAATTCTCCGACTATTTTCCAACGACTTCTCGAGTCTAAATGGTGATTTGGATTAGAAATTGGTCAGGAATGTTGCAAAGTGTCAGACTACAGAAGCAGGACAAGGTTTGGGGCTGGTCATCCCCGGAATCATCCCCAGTTGCATCAAACCATGTTTGTCATAAACTTCTGAGAAATGGACTGGCGAAGGGGTTTAAGTTTGATCTTGGATGGCTATTATCAATGGATTTGAAAATTCATGTCCATTGTGCATACTGATGTCACGGTGTTGCTCTGCCGACCTTGCCATGATGGAATTCGAACCATAGCACGCGTAAACACACAATTCCTTCTCTCTGGAGCTCTTATGAATAAGAAGAATGGGATTTTATTAGCAAAATTCAGCTAGAATGATATGTCATATCTCATGAAGCCAGCATAATAAGCTTAATCAGAAGAATGGGGTTCCACCTTCTTAGTTCCAACCTCATCCCAGTTAGTACTAAGTGATGTGCCATTGCTCTCAACATAACTCTTCATCATGGCGCGGCGAGTATCCGGGTCAGCCCCGGCATACAGCTTTTTGAAAAATGAATCCACAGCATCACCTTCAACATCAGAGCCATCAGATTCATTTCCATCGCCTGATTCTCCCTTAGGTTTGGGCTTTTCCAGTGAAGATGCAACCTTATCCCAATCCTTAGCGCCATGGCGCGAGGAGGTCGGGTAAGCAGGTCCCGAAGAAGCTGGCGCTGCTGCTGTGGTCGGTGCGACGGGGCGATCTGTGAGTTTTGTGGAATCCGCTGGGGCTTCAAGTGCGCTCCACTTCTGGCCTGGAACTTGTTTCTGGAGGACAATCTCGATCTTGGTTCCCATGACCGTGATCTTGGAGGAAGATGTGTTGATAGGTGCATAAAGCGGGTCGAGGGTGAAGTCATATTCAGATCCCGATGGAAGAGGTAGTTGGATAGAGACCTGTGAATAAATCATTAGCATCTGGCCGTAACTGCCATAAAGCATAGCATAATAGCATTGAGAACTCACCGAGTTATCTTTGATTTCACTCTGGACTTTGTCCTTTGGAACGTTCTTCACATAGAGCGTAACCACAACAGAATCCTGGGATTGATACCATTCATGTCGGACCTTCTCTGGGATGGGTGCAGACAAATTCTCGACTGGCTTCTGCTCCAGTTTCGCATCTCCTGAAGACGAAGCAGCACCACCAGGAGCAGGCTGGGCCGCAGTCTCTGGTTTCTTGCTAGCAGCCACAGCTGACTGCCCAGACTTCAATCTCTCCCACTCAGCCTTCAGCTCTTTCTCTGTTGGTACCTTGGTATCGGTAGGATACTCCAAGACGGAGACTAATTTCTTCTCATCTCCCTCAGGAAGCTCGCCCAACTTCTTGCTAGCCTTCATCATCCAAATCGGGTGCTCAGCGCTATATCCATCCTTCTTGGTAGCGCTGTTCTTCATCGCATTTTGAACATCCTCAGATTTATTACCTGATGTGTTTCCTCCACCGATCATGGCCCCAATCCGCTCAAAAAGGTAATGGGCGTCACCGTATCGCTCCAGGTGGAAAAAGGCAATTCCGCGACGCATCTGCGCGAAGAGAATGAGTTCGCGTTTGCCACGCTCCCGAGCGAGGAGTAGCGCGGTCTCAGCGTCTTGCAACGCGGCAGCAGGATTCGGACCGCCATCAACTGGCTTTAGTCGTGAATAGGCAATGGATCGTTGGATGTAATATGTCGGGGCGCGGGGTAGCTCAGACAGAGCACGGGTGAAATGTTGAATTGCGAGAGGGGCATTTGATTCAGCCAGGGCCTTTTCGCCCTTTACTGCTGAGTTCATGACGGAGGTTGGCAGCGATCGGTATTTTTGAAGGTGATGCAGGTGTGTTAGAACTTAGGAGCGCGGGGAAACGAAGTGGTGTTGGTCGATAAGGATAGCTTATCAAGGTTCTCTTTCGCAAGCTCAAAGAACAAGAAAACGGTGGCCTAGAATTCAGGCAACCACAGACTAAGGAGCCTGAGCAAACGCAAAGTTGAGTGAAACAATTCAGAAGTGAGAGGTTCGGATTCTACAGCTTTCTCCGCCAAGGTGGAAGCTCCTGGTTACGTAATGTGGGGATGAGGCTCAGAAAACAGCCTAATAACGATATGACGGGAGAATTGATGCTCCAAACTATGTTTGTATTGCTATGAGTTGAACCTAGAAGGTTCGGATGTTATTATTATTATTAAGTGATGGTACATTTGACCAAGAGACCCCTCAAGCTCATTTTACAGTAGCTGCTCGTTGCCAAATTTCTTAGCATACAAGCCAAGAGCCCGAATTGGCCAGTAGAACTTGTAGTTGGGGTAGGAGATCATGCTATAATGAGTTAGTTTGTATCATAATCATTGAGGAAATTCGGTCAAGCTTACCATGATTGATTGAACACTCCCTCAATGGCCTCTTGCAACCATTCACCATTAGCCTGCTGCCGGGAAATAAGGAGCTTCATTGCCTTCTCAAGAGGCTCCTTGTGGGGGTATCCAGCTTCCATCAGTGCAAGACATGACCATGCAGTCTGGCAAACTTGTGACTTCTCATGTTGCACATACACATGCTTTTCGCTGCTGAGGTAGGATTCTCCCCAGCCACCATCTTCCTTCTGCTTAGACAGCAAGAACTCGCAACCACGGCGAGAGTTCTCACTTGTTTCATAGGTCTCGCCAATACTTGCAAGACTCTCAAGGGCGAACATTGCCGCATAAGTGAAGCAGATACCCCAAGATCCGTACCAGCTTCCATCGGTTCTTTGGGCACTCTTGATCCAAGCAACAGCCTTATCCTTGGTGGCCTTGATCTCATCGGCACGGTAATCCGGATAATACTTGCTGAAAAGCGAAAGTGCTGTCACTGAGGCGGTGGTACATTCTGGATAATCATATCCAATCATGATCCCACCAAAGACCTCAGCAGCATTCAACCACTCGACCTTGGCAGATGCACGAGTAGTCTCATATTCAGTGAAACCGCCAGTCGGGTTCTGCATCAACAATAGACAATCCACGCTGTCCTTCAGACGGTCCAGTGAGATAAGCTTGGGGAAGTTGTGCATCTCCTGCAGTTGAATGGTGGATCGAAGTCCCTCGGCAGTGCAGTCACTGACAGTGTATCCCTGTACCTTGGTGCTGAAAGGCCAGGCGCCCTTCCGGTGCTGGCGGTAGCATTTTTCCTGATCTGGTACGTTCTCTCGCAGCTGGTGGTCCTCAATAAACTCGAGAGCCTTTGTAAGCATAGGGCGCCACTTGGGATCATCAGCAAGCCCAGCAACTACAACAGCCTGGGTGATGAAGGTTGTGTCCCACACTTGCACGCCATTAGTGCCGTTGGCCAACATTCCCTCGTTCTTCAGCCACATGTAATCATTGAGACGTTCTCGGTGTCGACGCACAGAGTAGCTGTCGGGGCCATCATGAATGTAGCAGGCAACCATGTTCATTGGGTTGTTGACAGGTCCCAGCCCTGCATAGTCGGTGTTCTCATCTTCCATGCGGATCAACTCCCAGGTCCATTCTTCAGCACGTTTAGTGATTCCTTTGAGGCGAAGGAACGGGTTATAAACACGAACCAAAAGTTCGTTGATGCCATTCAAAAGCCATGTCTTTGGGTAGTAGTTATCGGCGGCGTGAATAGAGTTACGGTGTTGAGCAAAGTTGATAGTGTCATATGGCTGAGTATACAGCTCCTGTCGAAGTTGTCTGGTAAGGTCATTCAGCGGGAAAGACCATTTCTTGGACCAGATATAAGACATGGGCAGAAAGACCTGACGCATATGAATCCACCAGCGCCAGGGGGCAAAGGGGACCCAGTCGGGAACAAGCCAAAGCTCAGGAGGAACAGGATTGACGCCTTCCCATTCCATCACGCCCAAAACACTTAGCCAGAATTTGGCCCAGTGAGGCCCGTAGATGGCACCGCCGAACTTGTGCAAAAGGCCACGAGCTTTAACCATGCGAGGATCATCCTCGTGAGCACCGACGAGACGCAAAGCAACATAATTCATAGAAGTTCCAAAACAGGAGCTGTGAGCTTCAATGTGAAGACCCCAGCCACCATCTTCCGGGTTTTGACGAGCGAACAAATAACGCTTGATCTCTGTCGCGTACTCTGGAGGGATAGGGGTGTTTGTTACATAGTAGGTGATCAAGATACCCGGAAGAAGGAACATAGGACCTCCGTATTCACAAGCCCAATTTCCAGGCTCCAATTGCAAGTGGGAGAAAAAAGAAAGTCCATTCTCTGCTGATTGAAGAGGTGTTTTGGCCTCTGGCAAGATTGGGAGACCCTGAAAGAAATGTTAGTGATATAAAATGCAGTCTCAGCAGAAGTAACGCGTACTGTTGGAAGACCCATGTGATACTTGTCTGCAGTAGTCTGCAGCCATGCAGCATTCTCCTCATCTGATTCAAGGTAGCGCCAGGTCTGGCGACCCTCTTCGTTGACCAGCCGCCAGCGGGTGTAGTCGGTCTTTGGGTCTCCATTTTCGTCTGTTTGGAGATGGCCTTGAGCCTCAGTCCTCCAGGGGCCAATGTGTGAAGTCATCTTTCAATGTAAGGAATTTATGTCAACTTCTCCAGGGACAATGAACAATTGGAGAAGTTCAATTAACTGCAGCCTTGGGGACAAGTGGAATCACTATGTCAATCAATGGATGCAGATCTCGCGCGCTCCGTGGCTGAGTCAGCAGTCTCAGGGGTTCACCGTATTTTGAAGAACGCGTGTTTGGATCTTCATGTGATCGAGGCTGAATTTAAGATCAATTGATCCTCTATTTTATCAGTGATCTTTGCTTCAAAATGGGGATATGGTGTCTTGGGAGGATAATAATGGAGGTGGTTGTGGTGACACGGCGCGGTTAACCGCCACTCGAACTATGGATTCTTGTGACGACACAAACATGAACATGATTTGGACGAAATTCTTATGACTCAAATAGTTGAATTCAAGATAAATTGCTCGTTCTGCTCGATAAAAGTTCAATATAATTGAATCTTCAAGTTCTAGTATTCCATATGTTCACAGAGTTCCGAGGTCACGAGATTTCTCGCTATACTGCCCATTTAGGCAGGTGCACACGCACCACCACCGGTAGTAACCTTCAACTACGTTGGAAGTTATATTCTCCAATCTTCCATGGTTGGAATAAAGATAATAAAGATTCCCAATGGCAGTTCTTGTACGACCATCCTTGGTCACAGTGTCCGACCCTGTTACGGTTCAAGCTGCCTCAGTCCGCGCCTATATCGACAATACCCTTACAGAATTGCTCCATGAATTATCGCTACCACCATCAGAAGGACGACCCTCTATAACCCTGCGACGCAGATCAAATATTGCGACATATGCCATCAATCGTCAAAATGGAGCTCTTGAAGCTCATTCAAAGGTCTTGCACCGCACCTACTCATGGCCAGGGAACTCGGCCTATGAAGCATGGAGATTCTGTATGCACGTGTACTTGGATGAATTTCATCCTTGCTTGACTTGGCTTCAATTTTGTCTTTTTAGTTTGTCCTGTTGATTGTCAGCTAATCGCGCTGATGAAATGTTGAATAGCGGCGGTTCTTCGGATACTCGCTGTGATTGACGAGGCGATGCGAATGGGACAACTGATATCGAAGAGGTCAGTCATCTCGTGCAATATAAACGGAGTGATATCGTGTTCATCATCAGGGAAATCATCAGGGATATATACTACATTGATCCAGCATACTTCAAGTCGCAAAATGTTGTGGACAATATCGTTGATGATCTTGCATATACTATTGGGGTCGAACGAGCAGCGTTGAACGTCGTACATTACCTTCTCCATACATGATCATGAAAGAATGTTGCTAATATACTTCCCAAAATTCATAGGAAGCAGCAGGAAAAGGTCTCATTACTGGTCCCTTTACCTTGAGGCGTGGATCTCAAGTTGTGATGGATGCTCGGTTTTCCTCTCAAGTCAGAAGAGCTGACAATCATTCGGGTCCGACGTCCTGGTGAACTAACTTGAGTATTGGCAGGACAATTTAATACCTCGAATTCAGGAAGATGATGAGATTGACATCTCCGGCACGAGATGGATTCTTATTATTGAGAAAGAGGTTTGGAAGCTTCCATAAAACTTTGCATAAAGCTTCCCTCGGAGCTGATAAGATCACAGGCTGTGTTCCATCGACTCGCAAGAGACAGTTACCATACGACAGCTCTTGCCGGCCAAGGTCTCCTCATAACCGTGAGCTCTTGCAGGACAATTGGGACATGGACGAGGACTGATATATCGCAAACAGGGCAAAGGATACCCGGATCTCTGTACACGCGCATTCGTTCACCATATTCTTTGCGCTGCGTCGTCGGGAAATAGACGACCGCCGCCCGTTTATGCGCTTGTTGATGGAGACCCTGACGGCATATCAATCATGTCAACGTACAAGTACGGATCAATGGCGCATTCTCATGAAAACGCAAGATTCGTTATACCCAACTTGCAGTATCTGGGCCTCCGAGTTTCAGATGCAGTCATAAACTCTGAACTTTTGGAAAATATCTCTCTCCTCGCTTTGACACCTCGAGACCGACGTAAGATTGTCAGCATGCTCCAGAATAGTCCGATTTGGGCAGCTGATGGACCCGAACCCGAATGGCGCGTGGAGTTGCAAAGAATGATGATGTTAAATTTGAAAGCCGAGATTGAAATCCTCTATGAACGTGAAGGGGGTCTGAAAGGATGGATTGATCAGATAATGTTTCGACAGGCATAATTACTCAAGTGCTACTAGGTAGCCTCAAGTTTGACTGCAATGGGAACGATCCATATGTTATTAACGGCTATATGATACCTATCTAGGCATAATATCAAGTATTATCAGTAGCAGGATAGTATGAGAGTACAAAGAATCATTTAGCATTTCGAATTCAAATGATTGATACTCATATAGACTGTACAACTAAACGGAAGAATGTCATCGCCATGCTAAAAAGAATTCCAAGAACCCGCAAATCGACGCCGACTTGAACTCATCAAAGCGTGTTCTTTCATTACCAAATTGGCCCAAATTACAGCCCCAAACCCTTACGCACCTCATCACGAACCTTCTGCTCATACTCCGGTCTTCGCTCACGCCACATCTTGGCCGCCTCCACATTAGCGGGACTCTCATCGTTCGGCTCTGCGAGCATACTCATAACGGATATGAGAATCTTCTCCACGCTCTGGATAGGCGACCAGCGCTCTGAGGCATGTTCGTAGTGGTTGGGATCATCACCGGGAGGGTGCAGAATGGAGATGCATACTGTGCCGTTGGGGTAAACTACAGAGAAAAAGAATTCCATTAATCAATGTGTTGTGAATCGGGATGATGAAAGAACTAACCATTGGGATGCCAAACTCCACCACCGACAAATTTCATGGTTGGTGGACTGAGAGGGTAATCCTTGGGGAACTTAAGCTCAGCAGCGAATACGCCGCCCTCGAACGGAGTTCCCTCCAGACCTTGAATCAACGCTTCCCAGTAGAACATGTCATCTTCAGAGACCGGACCTGCGGTGATACCCTCTGGGGGGGTTGGTGGAGAGGTTCTTGTATTCATGGAAAAGGCGCTTTTGAGCAACGGAGGACGCCATTTTAGATCAATCGGAGGTTCTGGAGTTCAAGGTGGTGAAGAAGGCTTGGCTTTGTTGAAGAAAGCGGGTTGATCGGTGGCAAATGATTGTGATTCCGTGGGGCTTTCCGGCGTGATGAGCGGTGTGGACTTTTCGAGTCTTGAGTAGGTTCAAAAAGTATTTCACGTAGGAATAAAGGGAGGAAATAAGAAATCTTGGTGTTCGGAGTGGAGGAGAAGATGTTGATCGGGATCAACTTGAAGTTTCGCGGGGAACCGTCATTGGATTGCCCCACGACGATCCCGTCCTTGCCGCATCATTCTATACGGCGGAGTACGGCGTAGTTCGAGAACTTAGGTTCAGTGCGGTATTTGGCTTTGTTCATAAAACAATCATGGTGATAGGAGATAATTATTTGTATTGGATAATAAGATGGTTATGTTGTACAGAGCTGGACAATTCTATCAGAACCAGTCAGAAAAGTCGCCCAGGCCACTTCCTTCACCTCCACTTCCACCTTCTGGTCCTTGGTCTTTCCAGGGTTCTTCTTGGCCCCAGACATCTTCATTTTGTTGTTCTTGGTGTTGTTGTTCTTGCCATGCATCCTCGTAGAAACCAGATTGTTGCGGCGAATGCTGGTCATAAGGTGAAATGTCAGGCTGTTGCTCAGGTGAAGCCTGACCATCTTGTCCACCAGTACCGCGTTGCATTGCTTCGTATCCGGCCATAGCACCGGCGCCAGCAATACCGGTTGCCATTCCATCTGTCATTCCACCCATAGCACCAGCTCGACCAACAGCGCCTGTAGCAGCTTCTCCAATGGCTCCAGCGGCTCCAGCGGCTCCGACTTCACCAGCTGCACCGCCAACTGCACCACCAGCCGCACCACCAGCAGCGCCACCGGCAGCCTCGCCTCCCATACCAGGAAACCACAGAGGCATGAATCCAAACCCGCCTGCACTGCTTTGGCGGCTGAAATAATCAAAGTCGACGCTGACAGCGGTAGCTAGCATGACAGCACGTTGGTCAAGAGTCATACCGGTGGGTTTCACTATTGTAGTCTCCGAGTCTTGGGTTCCGAGGCTAGCAGAATCCATGCGTAAAGCATAAACACCAGTGTCTGTGAAGATCTCTCGAGCAAATCCAGAAAAGTCACGATTCACTGATCCAATCAATTGATTTTCAGCAGAGCGAAGATGAAAGTTCCAACTCAGCCATGGCTCATCAACGTAGGCAAACTGGTTGAACTCGCCTGAGCCTTGGTTGGATGTCTGAGCAAGCTGCATTTGTTGTGTGTTAGACAAATTTGATCCAGAGAGAGGGAAGGTCTGCGTGCCCATATCCGTCGCTGGGTTAGGGGATTGGTGATATGTGAAGAGATTGTATTTCCGTCTTAGGGGAGCCCATTGTGATTGAGCCTCGCCGATTATGCGCATTTCGTCAAAGCTGAGAGGCGAGATACGTGTATTCGAGCCATTGCCAGCGGACACAAGAGAACCGGGCGTGGTAGTTTGGAGGGCTGTGGAAGAGGAGTATGCGGATGTCGTGACATCGAGAGGATCGTAGACTTTTATTTGGGAATTGATCCAGGAAAATGGACGATGGAACTTGGCCGATTAGCAATGGAAATGCGCTTTGAAAGTACCCAATAAACTCACCCGCAGAACTTCATTCTCATGTCGGTCAAATACGTGTGTGACAAAACTTCGACGAGTACGAAACATCTGGCGTGCCATTGTATTCGAGATTCCTTTTTCTTGCTCCGCCATGTATCCGATGTGGTTTCCTTGCGCGTCCATAATGACATACTTGTTGGCTTGTTCAAACCCACTGTGCAAAGCCTCATTAGTACTGAGATATAAAATGCAAATGCGCTGACAATACTCACACCATCACAGTCATCATTTCCAGTTGTCTCTGGACAACGAGTCCTGAATTTGCCAATAAATTTGTCGCTGGATGATTCTCTTTGAGCACCGCATTGGGATCTTCTGGGAGATGGACTGGGGAGAGAAGAGTATTTTGAGACGGATCATAATCTGGGTTCGGGGCACCTGAAGGACTCGGTGTTGGTTCTTCTGGTTCATTTGGCGCATCTCTTCGAACGGGCTGAATTCGCTGGGGTCGGTTTATACTGCCGCGAGGACCGAAACGTGCATTTCTGCTTCGGCCTGTATAGAGTGCTCTTCGAAGAGGCATCTCCTGTAGGCAGGCTGTGCGCAGCCTAAGACCGGGCCACATGATGGCAAAATGGATTGCCGACACAGAAACACCGTGCTGTGTAATTAAGATAATTTGGTGGAGAGATGAAGAGTGTGAGGCGGAGAAGTTCTGCAATGACGGAAGTCTCGCCTCGGCGGGGTTAATCGGAGATAAAGTCGCAGGTCGCGTCAGAGCCTTTGAGCTTGCTAGACCAGAACCTCAAAAGCCAAGCTTGGATGTATCTAGAATTAATATGCATACTGGTCTTTATATTCCATTGTACTGGTTTCTCTTTAAATGTCGCTTCCAGAGTTACAACTTCAACTACAAGTCTCCACGCGCCTCTACATATAACAGGGAAATGGTCGCTCAACGTTTTATAGGACACGATCAAGATCCAGATTTGAGTCAACATTTTTGCGCAAAGGAGCCAGATCTTGAGACCAAGAAAATGCTGTTTTCGTATCGCTCTAATCACCTAATACCTGAAAGACGTTCGGAAACAGGCGAACTTCTTCAAGGGTGGTAGCCCGAATCAGCGGGGAACAATGTGTTTGATAATGATTCCAAGCTTCCATATACAACGCACTCAGGCGATTCGTGGCAAAACATGCACATTTTCAAGGCTTATGCTGGCGACTGTATCAACGGCCAATATCTCACAGGAGTCCCTTGCGAGCCAACTCAATCTTTCTTGTCGCTTCGCCCGCCTTAAATCCTCCCTTGGACACACAGATCGCACTTCCATCGGCTAGTTCAACCTTCTCTTCGACATCGGGGTGGGGACATGGGCAGTGGTGCGGGAAGCTAACGCAGGCGAGGGTTCCAGGGCAAAGGTAGTTGCTGCATTGCGCTGTGGAAATGAGTTAGACGATAGGAACACAAAGATGTTAATGATAGGTGACAGATTCAAACCTGAGCTCCATGCGTTTTGGTACCGACCGCTATCGCTAGGGACATCCTGCGAGCCTTGCTGATGACCTTGTTGTTGCTGGTTGCCTCCAAACATGTGATCGAAGAAATTGAATTGCGCCTGAGCAACTGATGCAAGCATGAGGAATGCACACAGGGCCTGGAGGTATGACCGCATCATGGCTTAAATTGGAAATGACTGAGCCTCGTGGTGATATTGGTGAGTTGTAGTTATAGATGTTGCCAGTTTCCAGCCCGCGGACCTTTGGATTGATGCTTAGTCATTCCATATAATCGCCGCACGGGCTGGATCTGGGCACTAGCATAGTAGGCCTAGAAGGTTTTCAAACTTGAACAACTTGAACTTGAATGCGAATGATTATTGCTAAGACTTAATACCTAGCATTCAATTACAGGGACTTTGATTAAGATGATTAAACATTTTTCTTTTTGCTGCATGGTGAAGTATTCATACTACTAATAGTACTAGTTAAAATTTCCAATCTCCTTCACACTCAAGTTTGCCATGTTTACATTATATTAATAAATCTCCAGAGACTCGGAGCTCAAGGTCAACTGCAGGTATCACACACGAGGTTGAATTTCAGACTCGGATATCAGATCGAGTTTGTTCGTTCAGTCAGTAACCTCGACGTTGACGGTTCCCTTACCTCCGTAAGACTTGTCCGTCGTGGAGGTAGCGATGACAGCGATTGCCTCAGCCGTTTCATCAATGGCGATAGTCAAGTTTCCAGCACTAGTGATCTTGGTGTCGGGTGATGTGATGTTACCGAACAAAGTCCAGTTAACCGAAGGGACATCGGCAGTGAACAGTTGACTGGAACCCTTGGTCATAGTCCATTCAAACTTGCCGGTGTAGGGCTCGATATAGATTCCACCCCAGCCAACCTTGATGCTGGGCTGCCAGGCCCACTTCTCGTGGAAGATCCATGTGTTTGTCCGGTTGATGGCGTATCCAGGCTGGCCTGTCAGAGAAGGGTCGGCCACATCGGGCGAAAGGGTGGCACCTCCAGAGTAAGACTTGGTGAAAGTGACAGCTTCATCCTTAATAGTTTCAGTGGCGGTTGCGTTGACCCGGGTGGTGATGTATAGGGTGTTCCCGATCAGCTGGATGTTCATGTCATCAACGCCTGAGCCATCATACACAGTTGCAGCGGATGATGAGTTGACAAGGACACCGGTTCCATTAGAATCCTCCGCATAGTACTTCTCTACACCCTTGACGGTAGTACCCAGAGTGTAGTTGGCTGGCTCTGCAATCTGACTGACATTGTCCAGGTTTTCAAAGCCATAAAAGCTGTATGCAGTCACCGTTCCGTCAACAGTGGTGCCGCCACCACCCTGTTGAGCAAGGTAGACGAACATGCTCGCAATATCATAGTTCTTAGTGAGACTTGCTAGCGATGGCTTGGTACCCTTGAGTCGGTCTCCATTCACAGTGATGCTCATGGTAGGGTAAACGGGCTCAAATGGCCAGTTTTGCAAAATGACAGCGATCTGGGTCTCGCCACTAGACGTGCTGAGCACAAAATCACGACCCGCCATCAAGGTGAAGGTGGCTCCATGAACGCTGTGGAGTACGATCTGGACGTCACAGGCTTCAAGGTTCGAGGCGTCGGTACCAACAGGCCATGTAATGTAGACATCATCAGCGAAGGCATCACCGAGGTTGGGCTTATTCCCAAGGCCAACCCAGGTATATTCTACCGAACTGCCGCGTTGAGGAGGGTTGCTGATCTTGTCGCTCAATGGCTCCATAACAGGTACGATGATGGTACCCTCACCATATTTGGTAAGAGCATCAGCTGTGTAGTTGTAACCATAGATGTAGACTTGAACGGGGAAAGTCTCAGGGGTCACCGGCAATCCGTTATAGGTGATACCAGCCACTTGTAGATTGAATAGGTATTGGCCCTGTCCGTTACCTCCCAGACAGCTCCATTCTCGACCACTGTCGGAATCTGTGATAAGATAGTCGCCAGTGTTGATGACCAGATCTCCCTTGTTGAGAGAGTACTCGGTCCAGCCATTGAGCCAAGAATCTGCCAGTTTGTTGGATGTCAGGTTATACTCCGAGGTATAGTAGCCGTCGCCATCTGTGAGGGTGATGGTAGCATTATCAGAGTTAATCCTGGCATCGTCCAAACCCGGCAGATCCAAGAAAAACTTCGCACTTGTGCCCGCATAGTATTCGACATCGATACCAAACATCTCCTTCAGGGTACTCTTGGCGTGGGTGTAAGCACTGCCTCTGATATCGCTCATGATGTTCAATTTCGGGATCTTGTAGCTGCCAACCACCACACTAGTCGGAATATAGGTGGTCTTTCCAGTGGTCCTCAAGGCGCGGGATGGTGGCCGGATCGTGAGTGTACCAGGTCCATTGGTGGAAAAGCTGGTGATCTTCGAAGCATCCAGCTGAATGGTCAACAGGTTGCCATTGACAGTAGCAACTTGGGCTACGTTACTGCTTTGACCAAAAATTGATTGGTTTTTGCAGTCAACGAACCAGGAAGTCACGTCCGCAAGGCTTGAGATGTTCCAAGTAAGTCCACAGTTGGCCTTCAATTCAAAATCTTGAGTCTGAGTGTCGTCAATATCAATTGGAGCGTCCTGCAACTGATACGTGGCGGAAGCACAAGCTGCAGACGTGCTTGAAACAGTCACGGAGGTCTCAGTGACATGATCTATAGTGTTCGTGGCACGTCGATATTGTATACGCGCTGTGCTCTCAGTTACCAGCCCACTGATGGCAACGAGACCAGTGAGCATGCAAAGAGGTGAAGAGAGCATGGCAGGCAAAAGATTGAATGATACCAAGTGAGTCACGCTGGTAGGATGTGGGCAGAGAAAGAGGGCAAGAGTATGCGTCCCTCACAGGTACCTTGATCAGACGTTGCCTTCATTCTTCAATATTGGCTTGGTTCCTAGTATTATATAGTCCGGTAATGGCCCACTGGCACTGGCACAGAACATACAAGCGCGGGAAAGCTCTGATTCATGACGTGTGGGTCAATTCAACAACTGCAAGACCGGGCCACAAGAGGACCTGCATCCACTAGCTTACGACTCCGAGTTAAAATAAGCGAAAGAAACCCCGGGGACGTCAGATGACAGACTCCAAGTTATAGGACCCCGCAAAGCTACTATCAATCCCGATCTCGTCATATTATACTCCATACATCCAGCTTGATGGTAATCTAGACTAAAATTCGATGATATCTATCACCCATGTCTACTTTGGTTATCATGGCTAAGTCTAAGAAAGGAAATTCTTAGGAATATAAAATGTTTGGAGAAAAGGAAGGTTTCTTTCAAACCAACCTTGGAATAGAGGACTTATCTCTTTTTCATCTAAACACATATGCACCTGTCAAATAGATGAATCTTCGTTTCTCATTTTTGTTCTATAGTTTTCTGCGCCGGTTCAAGTTTAAGCCGGCCCCAACATACTACCTAGGTAGCAGTATGAAGTGTCCACAGGTTAAGATACATGTAGTTAGCAGCATAGTTCGTTTTACCCCACAATTCCCACAATTTACCGCTGATTTAAGATTTAGTAGCCCTACTTCTTGCAGTGAAAATCTTGGAAATGCCGACAATTCCGACCCCCCACATAATCCTCGGCTTTATCCGATATTGTAAGGTTTTATAGTCCTGTTTTGTACTTGAAGGCCGAAAATATGGCAAGGTCGTCGGTTACCGCGCCACAACTGTGGGCTCGGTGTTCAACAAAATCCTCAAAACTTCGGGGAATTGCGGGATTAAGCTGGAATGTGGGGAAGTCTGGACCGATGTGCAAATGAATTATGCAATTGCAATGTTCAACTTGTAAGTGGTCAGCTGGAAGGAGAATCCTAACACTGGTAGGGTCAGTATCTGTTTATACGGGGGCTGGGAATCTTGGAAATGAACGCATTTAACAAAACTACCCATTTCAAGGGGTTCCAAAAGAAAATGATTGAGCCTCCTACTAGTTCTGTACGTCGACTAGGTTTCCAAGACCTCTGTGTGAAAGGTTCTTCCAATGTATGCAGAGGCTAGCTCAATCGATTATATCGGATAGGGAGAAGTAACACACAGGCCCAAAAAATGCCATGAGAATTCATTCACTCTTGATCTGGGGACCGTGACCCCAAAATCCTGCAGATGCCAAGGCCATTAGTAGGACTTGATCGTATAAATTCATGTACGAAAACCCTACAGTCAAGGTTGGAACCCTGAAAAATTTCAGGAAAGCAACTCATTAATCGTAACAAATCAGCCATTCTCATAATGCCTCGTCTTTTTACCGCCGGTGCAGCTGGCATGTTCTTGATGTTTGCGCGCAGCATCTTGGCCCTTCCTCAAGGCCATGAAATATTCAATTCCCGGGCCAGTGAGTGTTATCTGCTGTAGATAATCGGAAATCCTGCTCATGCCCAGGTGCTAATACAAACAGCCACCGACTATCCTTTGGTAAATGCAAATATAAGCATCGGCAAGACCATCTTTGTGAAGGAAGGCGATACTGTCTGGGACTTGGCCGCCACATATCGAGTGGGTGTCTGTGATCTAGCCCGGATGAATGGACTAGCTGATCCTGATTTCATATATCCTGGAGAAAAGTTTTTGATTCCAGCTGAGTCCGCCCATCCGGACGATTTCTCCTGTTTGGACCAAAATAACACCGAGACTACCAACCCCTGCGTGGTTGGCGGTCCGCATGTATACACCACCATGCCTGGAGATACCATTCAGAAGATTGCCAATGTGCGGTACAACGTTACTGTTGACTCGATTCTCTCATACGCAGCGCAGACAGCGTATATCGTTGACCTGGACCCTGGCCCTTACACTGAATTAGAAATGGGCCAGTTGGTCAAGATTCCTCTGTGTGAGAATACTGAATGTATTTTGCGCACCTTTAACTTCCACTATGGTACATTTGTTGATGTGGCGCGTGAGTTTGAGGTCACTACTGGTCAGATCATGTCTTTGAATCAGGGTTTCAACCATAGTGACGGTGGAGACACAGCTTCCGCTGCCTTGACTCTGACTACAAACTGCACCTACATGGATGACTCTTGGTACTAGTTAGCATTACGATCTGCAACATTTTTTGAGTGTTACCCACTAGCGAAGTGGACCCCATGGAGGCTGTGATGGTTGTACTTACTAGTAGCAGTGTGATATGAACTCGGGACTCAATGGGCACTGGCAGGGTATCTGCCGAGGTGTATACATGCCAGTGATGATGTACGCCCTTTGTAAGTTGTGCATGATATTATGACATCAGATGTCTATGTTTTCAAGTTCAAGTGCTCCATCTAAATTTGTATACTCAGATTCTGCTTCATCATCCATTACCCCACTGGAACTTGAAATGGTGAGCCTGTATCTTTTCATACTGGTTTGCAGACAGGTTAAGCAATGACCACTCACAGGCGCTTGGGCAATACTCTAGGCAGAACCAATGCAGGTATTCATTCCCCAAGCACATGGGCAGTAAGATTCCAACCGTTGATCCGAGTGTATATTAAAATTAATTTAAGTTTTGACGTCAATTTCAGAACGTTAGGACCTTGCCATACTCACGACCCCTCTCATCTACCAATAGCGCCAGATGTCATCACTGCCAGGTGGTCCGGACCACGGAGCATAATCAATTTCCGATGCAAAATTGCCGATAAATCTGCGGGGAAACAGAAATCTATCAATCATCTGCTGTGAGTGGATCTGGGCGGGGAATCCCTGGCAGTGTCGATCCATCGATGCTTTGTCCCCAGACAATATTTGAAGTAGTAAGCATGCATGGTGTATATTCTCTGCTCTTGATTTTAGGCTCGGTGGGGATTCGGGCCTGTTATCCTGAAAAGGTCATGATCTTCGAGATCTTGTGGGGTAGATGAAAAAGGGTACATAGAGCTATGAACACAAATGATGGATTGTGGGGAAAGAAACTGAGATAGAATACCTGATGGTGAAGAGCAATTGAGAGTTAGTTTAAGCTACAGGGCGACAGCTGTTATCTGATAAAGGGATTCAAGAGCATGGATTGTTGTATCAAGTTTGTTCAATTGGGACCAGGGTTTTGTCGGAAAAGATCTGTTATAAACTTTTCTTTTGTTCTTTAGTCGAGATGGCCAAGCTGCTGAGTGTCATTCTCACTGCCTTACTTGCACCCATCTCGGTATCCGCGGCACTGTACGAGAGGGTGATAAAGACCCAATATGGTGACATCCAGGGATATCCAGCGTTCAATAGCTCGCCTATTGGGAATCTGACGCATTGGCGGGATATCACCGTATGGAAAGGAATCCCCTTTTCGGGTACAACTGCTGGCTTGAATCGCTTCCGAGAACCCCAGCCTGCCAGCCCTTGGAACGACACATTAGATACCTCTGACTGGGGCCCAATCTGTCCGTCAGCGACATCAGGCCCGACCAAGTTTACCATTGACGAGAATTGTCTCAATTTGAACATTTGGAGTGCAGCTAATTCAACTGATGCCCGTCTACCTGTTGTCATGTGGAGCAACCCAGCACAGTCCACGGCAGCAGATGTGCTCTTCAATGGCGGTGGGATGGCCGACAAGGGTATTGTCTTCGTAAACTATAACTACAGGACAGGCTCCTTTGGTTGGCTGGCTCATCCGGAGCTGACAGCTGAATTCTATAAGGTCTCTGGATCGAATTCCTCTGGTAACTGGAGCATGTCTGACCAATTTGCTGCCCTGAAATGGATTCGCGAGAATATTGCTGCCTTTGGAGGAGATCCGGAACACATCACTGTCATGGGCCAATCTGCCGGGTCAGCAGCGAGTCAACACATCCTTAACAGTCCATTAACGAAAGGTCAAATTGTTGGCGCTATTATTGAAAATGGTGTGCGCGATATTCAAGATCCGCTCTGCTCAAGTGTAGCCGAGGCTTATATAACGCTGGAGGCTTCAGAAGCCGAAGGCATTGAGTATTTGGCATCGCTCAACGTGAGCACAGTTGCTGAGCTACGTAGCCTGCCAATGGACGATCTTATCACCGCAAGCGGCGGGCTAAATGGCGATGCTGAATGGATGTTCTCGGCCACGCTCGACTATTATGCGATGCCGGACACATACTATAACACATTGGTCAAGGGACTTGCGCATAACGTACCCATCATCACTGGGAATGCCAAGGACGAGAATGGCGCGGTCTATGGCATAAACATCACTGTGGCAGAGTACCTGGCCAACATGACCGACAGCTTCTCAGGAAAATGGCTGGAGCGCTTTCTAGTTGAGTACCCAGCTAGCACATCACAACAAGCCCGCGGCGCGTTTAATGCACAATGGACCGAGCGCTCCACAGTGGGCACATGGCTGTGGGCACAGCTCTGGGCTACAGCTCGAACAGCACCTGTGTATACTTACTTCTGGGACCATGCACCACCCGGTCAAGATCAGGGAGCTTATCATGAGTCGGAGATCAACTATGTGCTGAATAACCTGTATGATACTACCGACCTTCCATGGATGGCGAAGGACTATTGGATTGCCGACCAGATGAACTCCTACTGGGTCAACTTCATCAAGACGGGAAACCCCAATGGAGTGCATTCTGCGGGCCGCCAACTCGTGGAATGGGCTGCCACAAACAGCACGGAGGTGGTACAGCATGTTGGGAATGGCTGGGGACCGATCCCGATTGCCTCGCAGGATAAGATTGATCTCTTTGGAGAATGGTTTGAGACATTGCCGTACTTCTGATCAGACTGTTATGAGGAATAAAAGTCTGCGTGGTTTTTTTCAATTAACTGCCAGTCTGCCACCCAGAAGAGATAGATGTTAGTAGATAGTTGATCCGCGGCAGGATCACTGTTGTTGAGACCGCATTTCCACACCTTTTCCACAACGACCTTTTCAACGTTTTATTCACCTTTTTGAGTGAGTATAGTATTTCATCCATAATCTTTTATAAGACTCACTATTATCTCCTATTTTATTTATCTTTATCTTGTTTAATTCAATATCTTCCATACTATGTACATCACGTGATGCCAAGCCTCCAAGAAAAAGTTCCCCTTTGGAGATTCGCGATTCATCCGCAACCCCAGAGCTATCCTCGAATTACTTAACAATGTTGCAACCCAGATTTCTGGCGCCTCTAAGGGCGCTTGAACGGGCATTCACACCCTCAATTCGATCGGCTTCGTCCATCTACCAGCCACAATCCCTAATTTCACGAACCCTCTCCGCAAACCTCGCTCTTCCGAAAACCACACCTACACCATCTCTTTCTCGCACTCTCCTCCCATTCTCCCAAGTGCGTTACGCCTCGCACGCCTCCCAAGGAACAGCCAATCGACACTCCCGCGATCCTGCCGGTAAGCGTCTCGGTGCGAAGCGAACCGGCGGCGAATACGTCGTTCCGGGATGCATTATCTTCCGCCAGCGCGGTTCGAAATGGTTTCCTGGTGATAACTGCGGGATGGGTCGCGACCACACAATCTACGCTACTCAGGCTGGTTATGTTCGGTACTACTTAGACCCTGAACGCCACACAAAACGACGATACATTGGAGTGGTCTTTGAGAAGGAAGGGAAGCTTCCGGTTCCCCGTAATGCGCCGACTCGACGCAAGCTGAACATGGTTGGAGTGCCGCGCATGGATGCTGTGGTTGCTCAATCTGATCTTGTGGCTTCCATTGATGAGAACGGTACCCAGGTGGACGGCGTGTCCGCTGTGGATGCTGAGTCCGGTCCCGAGCTTCGTCCTGGTTACATGTACCGTGAGGCCAATTGGGTTATTGGTCGTGCTGCTGAGAAGGCTGGAATCTTTGCCAAGCCCTATGACCGCGGGAACCGATGGCTTGCTTGGAGGAAGCGACAGGCTCGTGCTGAGCGTGCTGCCCAGATGAAGAGTTTGAAGGGCAAAAAGAAGTCTGCCAAGGCTAAATAAGTGTGCATGATGCAGTCCATCACTTCTGGATTTCTGTAGCGATATGAGGGCTTGTCCCCGGTGTTTCTCTGTATTATAGAAAGAACATTTTCCTTTTTACAAATTATATCTCCCTTTGTACCATTCAAATCTTTGGTTTACTTTACTGATTGACTGCTCGGGAGGTTCGGCATATAACCTCTCTTCCAATTTAGACTTTTGATTTATCTATTTTGACGAGAATCAAGCATTGACTCTGTCCCGGAGAGCGAAAGTCTTGAAACACCGAGCACCGAAGTGCAAACCTTGGAAGAATACTACCGGTATCTTGCATAGTAAGAAGAAAACGCTCGATTTTATGGAAATCCACAGATATCCATGATAATGAAACCATCAAGTACCGGACTAAAACCACAGAAAATCAACATTGAATCACCACATCAGTCCAATAACCTCGGAAGCACATAAGAGCGAGTGAAATTCCAAAGCATCGCCGAATCCTGAGTATGAAACGCAGCTCCAGTATACCAAGTATTGCGATAGCCCTGCAAGTTATACAACTCTTTGTAGAACCCGTTGACGATATGATCCGTAGACACGGTCAACTCAAACGGTGCATGGCTTTTGAAAGCCACGAAATTCGGCTTGCCTGGGACTCGTTCAGCGAGTCCACCAGCCTGCAACTGTTTGATGTACGAGGCAATCTCGCTTTTAACATAGCTATCAGGTAAGGTACTCGGACTACCGTACTTGACATCGAAGACGCCCTCGATAGCCGTTGGGACGATATTGTAGACGCCGGGTAGATTGGGAATATTGAGCTGAGTATCAGGGCTCACGGAGTATGATGTGAAGTTTTGCGGAAGTCCGGTGTTGTTCACTAGACAAGTGTAGTAACCCGTATTCATGAACTTGCCGAAGAGTTCAGTTTCGTGACGATCCAGGGCAAATTTGTCTAAATTTTCCAGCTTGGGAGGGATGGTGATCAAGAGCTTGTTTGCGTTCACTTTGCGATTTCCATTTGGCGTTCGGATGATCAATTGAACTCCATTCTCATCTCGTCGTGGGGTGTCGACAACAACGCTTTTCAAGAGGACGTCAGAGCCGAGAATCTTGGTTGCACGGGCGTAGATCTCGTAGTTGTTTCCGCTGGCTGGTATCAGAAAGCCACTGGCAATATCCCGTATGATATCTAGTCCGAAGTTCTTGAACACGTAGAGCGCTGGTTGCTTGAGATAATCTCCCAAGCCTTGGCCATAATTGAATGCCAGGTATGTGGCATTGCCTATATCTGGGTATTTCTCGATGAATTTCCCAAGTGGCAAGAGTAAATCCTCCGGGACAGGATCTGGGAGGAAGAAACCTTCTTCAAGCTTTGGATATTTCGATAGTTCAGTTGCATATGCGACCAAAGCCGAGGTTGGATCAGAGCTTGTGAATTTGATGGATTTCGCAGTCTTCGGGTCCAGGTAATTGGGAGTAGATGCACCGAATTCAGGGCGTGTAATCACCCAAGATACATTCAGCCTTTTGAAATAGTCTTTGACTACTTTCTGGTCATGGAAAACGAGAACGCCATAATCCACAGATGTGTTGGTGTGCGGATCTCGGTAGGTATTGGTATGGCCGCCGAGAACATCTTCTTTCTCAATCAAGATGACTGATTTGCCCTGGTCACGGAGTTTGATCGCGGAGTAGGTTCCTGAGGCGCCACCACCAATGATGGCAATATCACGGAAGATGGTGTCATTCGAGTCTTCACACAGGCCAAATGAAAGGCTAGAGATAAGCCAACAGGCAAGTAAGGCCGTACGAGCTTTCCAGAACATGCTGGCCATGCTGTTCCTGAAAGGATATTTTTGTTAGTGTTTTTGAGGTATGTTGTTCTCATGTGTCTGGCTTTTACAATTCATTTTATACTCAAGGTTGTCCCATAATGCTTAAGCTGGTTTCAGGAAATTCATAGATGTAATTGAAGTCTACTTTGTGGCACAGTATCAACCGCCAGGAGAGTATATAATTTGTCCTCTTTTCATGCAAGACCCAAATTCTTATTGTTATAAACCCCTAGCTAGCATTACTATGGATTTGGTCGACGGTGAGCCAGGTTTCAATTTGACTGATTGGCTGTATTAGCTATGCTGGAATGCCGATGTTCATTCCTGCTTGGTATAGCCAATACAATGTGAAGAAAAGAATTAGAAAGCAATGCTTTTTTTAAAAGATCCTTGACCCAAACCCCGAATCTCCACCTAAACAGTGTATAATGATGGCATTTCCATGCTTTATTAGGAAGATCATCATACATGTGTCGGCAGTGGTAACCGTAGCCTCAACCGATATCGGCCTTAATAGAGACCAAGACTTTGAATGCGACCTGTCAATACTGAAATTGATGGTAAAAAGGACAGATTCATATTTTGGCAAAACTTTAAGATTAAATAACACATGAGAGCCGCTCAGGCCTAGAATTTTATCTGCGAATGTTCTAAAAGATTCTTGCCATCATGATATCTTCCGTGATTGCAAAGACAATTAAGCCTCCGAGAAATGACAATCGAACACATCGGAATTCTTTTCAGATATCCTCGTTTTGTTCATTCCTTGGGACATGATGGCTTCAAAACTTCCTAATCCGTTGATCTGATGATTAGGCCTAGCCTTGGGATATGAAATGCATGATAAGGCTGCCAGTACTATTGCCTGCACATGTGAGAGGTCAAGTGCCATTGTGCTACTAGTACTACTTACTACTAGTCACAGCACTCAGATCAGGTCCTGGTAAGCCCATCTCAACTTGAATAAGAAATAACGTCAAACCTTTGAAGAGTCAATTTGAGCATTTCTTAAACTGGTCATGTCCCTGTGTATCCCAGAAACTTGAACATACTTTATGGCTCCTAACTCCATACATGCCGAAGTAGCTGCCAATGTCCACAACTGAGCTGGAAAGCAACCCCGAAAGCAATACAGAGATGATTAGACCTTGGAAGTATCAAGCGGTATATACCATGATGCTTCAAAAGCATAGTATTCCGGTGGCAGGGACTGTAAAAGATTCATTGAATGTGAAAACTGAGAATGAAATTGGTATCGAGTTATAGTAAACGCTACATGAGTTGAAAATACATAGAAAAGGAATCACTCTCTAAGTAACTTCCCCAGAATAAGACTCTGACAAACAAACTCATTTCCAACAACCCTTGCGATGGGCGAGAAGTCATTCGTAGAACTCGACAAGTTAAACGCAGCGGACTTCTTACGTTTCCTGCCACGAGTTGGAGTAGCGTTTTGTGTTTTCGGAGTGGGAGTGAGCATGGATTTTGCCGAAGCTTGATCCGCATCCTCCACATAGACCAAGTCCCATTTGCAAGGCAAGCTGGCCTCAGCCTGAGCTTCTATCACTTCGCGAGCGGCTTCAAGATCAGGTACACTTTCAACACGAGAAGCGCCCAGAGCAAACGTAAGAAAGATGTAAGCCCTGCGTTTTTCTTCTGCTTTGCCACGGCCTGTCACAATGAGCACAGACTTTCCTTTCAGTAGCTGCGGCCTTGCGGCAATTGTCTCCGGGAGACGAGCCTCCGATGGTGGGGTGGGTATCATCATTCGAGACTTCGTGGCACCACCAAGGTATGTGGAATCTCCAGCAGGTAGCAGATAGACGTCCCAGTCGATAACATGTCCGCTGGCAATGCAATCCTCAACCCAACGACCTGCGAGACAGGGTAGACCCAATGCAAGAGCCTGCATGTATTTTTCGCGACGAGAATACGTATCAGCAATAAGACAAGCGAATCCAACATTGTCAGCTAGAGGTGTCAAGCGCAAGCTAGAACTACCAGGTTCATCTTTCTCAGATGCTTTTGTTGGGCTATCAAGGGGAATGATCGAAGAAGTCTCAAACAATTGAGTGAATCCATCATGAAGGATAGAGCCACCATTGTTCGTAATGAGTTTGGCAATGCGAGTCTTGGCAGTTTTGTCTTCCTTGAACGAGACGGCAAATGCCATATTCGCAAAGATACCACTTGTTGACTGAGTAGGGCGAGAGAAGAGAACGTTAGGAGATACTGCTATGCAAGACTTTTCTGACGGAGTGTGAGGGTGGAAAGCAGCTGCTTGGGGTGCTGGCTCGGGTTGATAGGTAAAAGGCCGGTCCTTGAATCGATTCCATAGGTTATTGTCCATGTAAATCTTAGAGATTGGGATTTTCATGACATGTTCCCGACTGTTCAGGCCTCCACTGGGAAGGCTCTGACGTTGTTTAAGGCCGATAATGACTGAAGCGTGGCCGTAAATGTCGGTTTGGGGAACATATCCACTGCTGGCAGCGCGAGCAAGATCCTCCTTGGTGTGTTTATCAGCAAAACCACGGATGATGTGAGTGACTTTGGGAACATCGGGCATATCGACTTTGACTCCGTCTCCGACCCGGAGCTCAAGTCTTTTGACAAGACCCTTCGCGACTTCAACAGGAAGACTGTCTTCAAATTGCACGGTATATTTGGATTCTGAGATACCAGCGGGCGTCCCATAGTAAGTACCGGGGTAGTATGCACGTTTTTGACCTTGCCACACAGCAATAACTTGCCTGGGTGCAACCTCAACACTTTCAGAGGAGTTTGTGAAAGCGCGTGGCGTTATTGGAGGACTGTTGGCGGTATTGCTTTCCGACATTGGTCGGTCCTCGGAGTCGAAATCGAGCTCTGTCAGTTCAGAAGACTGATACTGTTGAGATAGAGATCGTTGATACTCAGAAATCTGGATAACAACCTCAGGCCTTTGAAGATTTTTAGGTTCATCCTTTTGCGCTGAAACTTGACGATCCACCTGGGTTTCAGAGGTGGATAGTTTTTGGATCCTTGATTTCCGACGCCGGATCGGTTGTTGAGGAGAGCTATCTGGTTCCCATACATTCGCATCTCGACGGGCAGGTCTAGAGTGTCTGCGTACTGTAGTCGCAGGTACATGGACGGTTTCGGTAGAGACTTGTTGAGCAGGGCTCTCCTGGATAGGAGCTGTAGTCTTTGGAGGTAGGGCACGGGGGGGTTGCAGGAACCGCAGTGTCGGAAGTATTGAAGGTCTGGCCAAGGTTGCCTCGTCGCTTCTTTCTGGGTCGACTCGGAGAACCATGAACTACGGAGCTGAAATGTTCATCGTCGGCTGTAAAGAAATCCATACCGAAGTCTCCCACCTTGAAATCAACCTGAGGGGAACAGTCGGAGGCGATTTCAGTCAAGGCCCGACGTTGTCTTCCACTTGGGCTAGAGAGAATTTGAGATTGTGCTTGTGACTGCAAAGTTTTGACGGGCGACGAAAGGGCACCACGACCTTGGGACCCCCGGACTTGACTAGTGCGATAGGCGCTGCCAGCAGGGAACATGGGAGGAAGGTCATCATCTTCGTTGTTTGGATTACCACCATGAGATTGCGCTTCCCAGTCGTTTTGATTGTGGCTTGGGCTGGTCTCTGGAATACTGGTCAATCTGGCCATATCACCGGTACCTGGACGTAGATTAACGGGCGTCTCAGTGATCCGAGAAGGCATTGAGGAGGACTTCTGTCCAGGAGCAGTCTGGGAACTGTGGGAGAATGGTCCAACCTTGGGTGGGCCATGAGGGTTGCTGGAGCTAAAACGACCAATCTCATTGGATGAGGTATTCTGAACCATGTCAATATCTTGAGTTTGTGGCTCATTGCTCGCGGTCGATTCGAGCCCTTCTACTGGCAAGGATGGAGGTGGCGAAGATTGTGATCGCTCTCGAGCAGGAGAAGGGTTATTGTTTTCGGTGTTATTTGGGTTGGTATCGAGCTGCATCTCAGAGGGCTGTTGCTGGATTTCAAGATCATGGGGCATGGGCCTGGGGGATGGCTGAGGGGATTGCTGAGAATCCTTCACCATAATTTGAGAAGAACGGCCCGATGATTGATCTTGATGTTGACCCTCCATAGAATTTGATTGAGTCGTCTGGACAACATCCTCCATGATAGCATCGACCTGAGATGAGGGGCCACTATCCATTGCAAGAGCCTGAGAGAGTCGATCGTGTGTACTGTTAGCCCCAATCACAAGAGGTGGACCATTGTAATTTTCCTTGTCTTCCTCTGAGGATTGGGGTAGTTCCTGCGACTGAGGCACTTGAGGAGCTATTTCATCTTCCTGTTCAGTCTCTTCTTCACTCCCTGCAGCATCATTATGCATGATTACAGGTTCTGGGAAAACTACACGATCGCTAGATCTAGAAGGAGCTCTCAATGCCGCAAGTTGAGCAGCAGTCTCCTCATTCAGTCGCCGTTGACGTCGAGCATTCTCAACAAAGCTGGATTCCTTATTGAACTCCTGATCGAGAGGATCATCCGATTGCATATCATCCGCAGAGCGAGTCAGGCGCTCTCCCAAGGACCTATCACGTCGTGATTGTGATTCCTTCATGGATATGTAGTTGAGATTTGGTTCCGATGATTCTCTGGCGAACTGAACAAGCGGCGAGGACATGGTGTTGGCAACCCGAGCCGCCTGGATTGGTATGTTCGGCGAGGGTCGATCTGACACAAGCTCTGGCAGATGCCCATGAACAATTGGAGATGATGGGGCCTGAGTGGCTTTAAACAGCTGACTCAAGCCCATGAAGCCTCCGCTCGATTCGATGTCTCCGGCGAGAGGATTTCGAGATAGGCTAGGCGTCTCGGTCGTCGAGGTTCGTGGAGTGCGGATTTTTCGAACGGCAGTGCCCGGGGTAGTAGTCACGAAACGCTGGGATTCAGGAAAGAATTCGGGTTGATATGCCAATGGAGAGGATTCGCTCCCATCGTAGTTGCTTTCTTCATCTTGCTCGGGGGAGATGTTGGTTCCGTGGCGTACAGAGTCAAAATCGGCAAGAAGGTCAATATGGCCACTGTCACCCTCGTGCAAAGTCACAAGGGTAGCACCGTCTGCCCCTGTTTGTGAAACACCATACATAGACTCTCCATTTCTTTGAATGAGACTATCATACACAGACTGTGAGACAACTTGAGTATCGCTTGGTAGGGCGCTGGCGGAGTCCATTGCTGCAGACGGCGGTCCTGGAATTGGTGTTGGCTTGCTCTGGTCACTTGTAGTCGAATTCATAGGGTCTGTTTCATGGCGTTGATATGACGATGGACCTGGATCTCGATTGTGGGGAGTATTCACGATGTCCGAAAAAACCGTGGATGACAACCGGTCGGCAATCGGCGAGGCGTTATGATGAGACGAATGAGGCTGGCAGTTGGGATGATTCGGTTGGTTTGTCGAAGCGCTGTCGAAATTGACTGAACTGGGAATACTGTGCTGGAATGGGTCGTGCTGCTGGGGACGTCAAGATTAGTCCAATAAGAATCTGGAACACTGCAGGTCATTACATACAAGGCCCAACGCGACGCGTTGCAGATGTGCAATATCGATACTGTCCTGGGTCTCCATCCCGCGTTCTAGATGTCTAATGAAATTTGATGTATGTTCTCATGCTCAATTTTTCACGCTATGGCTCCTGCGTTGGATTCGAGCCTTTGTTCAGTGCCGATGCCAAATGCATTGAGATCAAAAGGATTGAGTACGCGAAACGCGTGACTCACGTGACTCGTCAAGTAATATTACCAAGTATGGACTAGCGTCTTTTTATTACACTTCGACGATCTCGAGGTCAAACTAATATGCATGGAGTTTTAGCAGTCTATAAAATCTATTTCTACGGAGTACTCTATGCGTGACAGATATTCAAGTGCATAGAAAATAGTACTTCATGGAGTTCGGAGGTCCAGGAAACTAGAAGAGTCTGAAATTGATTTGGGTATCTGAAGCCCTATATGGATATCATATTCTTACACAAAAGTCTTTTACAACATGGACAAACCGAAGTATGTAGCTTCTAATCACGGCTCCGATTGGGGATCCATCGTCGAAGAAGAAACTCTCGCACGCGGTATTGACCAAGAACACCTCCAATATCGTCGTATGAGGATTGAGGTGGCGGGATCTGCACATAAACAATGGCCAGGCTCTTCTTCACATGGGCCTGGACTCGGTTCACACAGTGCAGCCACCACCAACTTCGGTCTTGTTTCCGAGCCACGTAGTCCTTGCGTTCTTGTGTCTCACTCCAGTAAGGGTGCTCGTAGGAAGGCACGATAATGACAGCGAATTCAGCGTGGGAGAAAACAGGGCCACGGTTGTAGAGCAAGTAGTCCGTCCCGAATTTTACACCGGAGCGAACCACCCAGCCAAGAGAACGGAAGTGGTGGTACACAGCGTACGATGTCAAAAATGGGTCGTCGGGCTGGAGATCAGCGGTTCCGATGCGCGGCGGGAAGTGGGAATGGTGGCAGAGGCGGTGGAACAGGGAGGAGGTTGGGATGACGGTATTGGTTTCGCGGTCAACAACTTGAAGTACCCCGAGGGTGTACGCCAGGAAGAATGTCTCTTCGTTGGAGAGCTGTAGGTGCTCTTCATTCTCGAGTTCGAGATCGGCATCATCGTCGTCATCGTTTATTTGAGGAGCGACTTCCTTCGTTTCGACGATCGGCGAGAATCGTACAGCCTTGCCATTGGAGGTCTGAGGGGTTGCGTCGGCCTGTGTAGCACTTCCATTCTGTTGTGCCGGCTGTCGCTTTTGTTGGTATTTGGCCTCGAGGGCCTTCTTGACAGAGAACTTTTCCAAGGTGGGAGGTGCTGGAACAGCATCACCACCATCTGGAGTCATAGAACCAGACTCTCTGGCTGCAGCCTCGGCCTTGAGTCTTTCCTCAATCATCTGTCTCTCCACCCTCGCACGCTCAAGCTTCAACTCGCGACGCTCAGCTCTGCGTTTCCTTGTAGCCTCCTCACTAGTATTACCACCGAGATACCCTCTGCGCTTCTTTTCACGCTCCAGCCAGCTGGGCTCACTTCGACTTAGATTACCCTTGCCGAAGAAGCCCATCCGCCACAGAGCGTTAATAGTCTTCTCATCAGTGACATGGACGGCAGAGGTCGCTGAATCGAAGTATGCAGTATAGAGTTCTTGGCGAGGAGGGGAGATCAAGCAAGATAGATACGAGAGGGCGACGCTAATGAGAGAAAGAGGATTATGAGGAATTACGGAGGGAACATTGTGAATTGTAACAGGAAGAGGGAAGCGATGAATGTCCCTGTAGTTGGGCCTAGGAGGACGAGACGTCCGGGCACGGCCATTCCCATTCAAAGGGCCAGCAGGAGAGGTGCTGGTGGCTTCGGCCATATTGAAGATTTACTGAAGGGTATTGAGACACAAAAAAGTTTCCTAACAAGAAACAGCGTTAGCCGAAGGCTTCTTGATAATATGCATGAGTGAAAATTGCATGATATCGATCTTGTCAGATACCGTTGTAGTCAAATAAACAGATCATTGACAATGGCGAAGAAATCAAAGTTGCCATTGCCTGAGTTTATTATTGTGTCATCATAGAAGGGTTGGTGTTGGATAAAAAGAGAAAAAAAAATTTTAAGCTCGCGGAGCTTTGCAGCAAACTCACCTGTGGTCTCTAATGCCCAAACATATGTCGAAGTTGGGCCGAGTGATAGAAAGTAATAAAGCGTTCGAGTTACCTGCGCAAGTCAATACTTAGCGAGGATTTCAGTGCATCATTAAACACCGTTGAGAAAGCAAAGTCAATTGCTCTCACAGTCTAAAGTGGGAAGAAGTGGAAAAGTCAAGAGCTCGAGTTTTTAAGCGCATCGATGACTAAGCGGAGCGGTCCGAGTGCGTCGGCATCAAAAAAAATTCCTCCGACCACAGCATTCACGATTAAAGCATCTAACGCCTATCGACAACCCAATACCGCCAAGTAAGCATTCAATGTCTATCTCTGTCTTGTCATCTGACTTTATCTAAGCCCTTACTAATTTTTCTTCTCTCAGAATGCATCTTATGGTACGTTCGCAACAGTTACGATTACCGAAATCCACCGTCTACGAGTGCCCGTCAGGAACATCCTCGCTAACTGGTGATTAGTACACCCTCGGTGCCGATGGCAAGCGTATCTACACCTTGAAGAAGGTTAGTGATTCCTCTGGTTCTGAAGTCAAAATTATGGTTCTAACAATCTGGTTTAGGTCGTTGAGGGCAAGGTCTCCAAGTCCGCGTATGCTTAACCTTCCATGATCGCTCGATATGTGCAATTACTAACCTACAGAAGTCACCCTGCTCGCTTCTCTCCCGATGACAAGTACTCTCGGTATGTTTTTTTTGATGTGAAATGATAAGGTTATAGATTTGTGGGCTAACCTGTTGATTTTAGTCACCGTGTTACCCTCAAGAAGCGTTACGGTCTCCTGCTCACCCAGCAGTCCGGTATGAAGCGAAACCCTACCTCTCGATATCTCGATCAATTACTAACAAACAAAGCAGAGGCTGCTCCTGCCGTTTAAATAAAAATTGGGTTTAAGGGTCATAAGGTGCTTTGACCTGTGTTTTGGCGCATGGTGTTATTTTGTACAGTCGAAGGATGACTGCGATATTCGCTATTTTGGTTCTTTTTCTCAAGAGTTAGAGTTGCTCATTTGTAGGAAGCCATAATTTCTTATATTGACTACCAATTATAAATGTGTTTCCAACTTCCACAAGGGTTCATCAAGTTCTATTCAGTAATATCTATGTGCAAAGCTTTTATATCCACAGAATAGAGACTCAGTCATTGCTCATAATCAGGAGGATCAGCTCCCTCGTGGGACGATCTAAGGACTTTTTTTTGTTCGTAAACCCCCAAAACTCCAGCCCGTGAAATCCATAATGCAAACGTCGTGTCAAGTTCAACGCTTTCTCGAGTTGACGTTACGACCAGCACCAACCTTGATACGACCACCCATCTTGTTTCGCTCACCAGTCAAAATACCTGGAAGGTAATCCTCATCCATGAGATCACGCTCCCGGCGCTGACGGCGTTCTTCCTCCGCTGTAGATCGAACATACTCTTTTTGATCCTCAGATAGAATGAGCTCGGTACCCCAACCACCCTTACCACCGCCTCCCTTCCACTTTCCGTTGGAACTGCCGTGGATGGGCTTAGGAACACTGAAGATGTTACCTCGGTTGTTCCACTGGATGTTCTTCTTCAAGTGCATAGTGAACTGGCCATTGGCAGTTGTAGTACACGAGACACGGGTGAGCGTGTCTTTACCACAGCGAGGGCAGAACTGCTTGGTCATGTCCTTGGTGGTAAGGAAGCAACCGTGGCAGCGCTTGATGAAAGACTTGAGATGTTGAATTCTTTGCAAAGTGGTGGTTGAGAGTAGGTTAAGGTTCATCTGCAGAAGAACGTTTTGACACTGTGACAAGGATAAGTATTTGTTCTATTATGAGTGATCCAGGACACTTGACTTACGGCGAAATCGGTAGTCATGGTTGCGACCTGCATGGTCTTTGGCTCTGGTGTAGAGGAAGCACCAGCATCATCGCGGGCCAGCCGCTGCTTGTAGTTGGAGGGTGTGATCCATTCTCCACCATCAGAATCACCGGCATCATCTTCGCCCTCCTCCTCCTCCTCCTCCTCCTCCTGCTGCTGCTCCTCCTCTGGGGTATCTTCTTCAGCCACGGCATCAGTCACATCATCAGCTGCGGGAACAGCCTCTTCAGAGACGGGAGCATCTTCTTGCTTAGTCTCCTCCACGTTGTCTGAAATGGTTGTTTCCTGGACGCCCTCAGTGATAGCCTCGGTGCCGTCAGTCTCAACTTCCTCCTTCTTCTCCTCCACCTTCACAGGAGGAGGTCCGTTGACACGCTTCTGGCCGGGCACACTGCGCAGACGCCAATCTCCGCCATTGCGCTCACACTCGATCTCGTAGGCAAGGGCCAATACTTCGATATCGGTTCGACTCAGCACAGATCGGTCACCAGTCTTGCGGGCGAATTCGCTGATGATATTGAAACTGTTGGGGGTAGGCGATCGTTGCTTGAGGAAAGGCAGGTACATGGTCTCAACACGCAGGCGAGCATCCGGGTCGCGAATTTCGCTGATCACGGAAGGCGTGGTAATCAGTTCTTCACCTTGAAGAAGTAGGGTTGATAGTGGCGGGGTATTTTTCAGAATGGGACCAGCATCCAATACAATTGTATGGACGGGCTTCGTTGGTGACGCCACAGAGTCCGCCATCTTTGCGAAGAAGATACTTTGTATCTAGAAGGAATACAAGGCGACTTCGTTGTGGAGGGGAAGTATTTAAAAAATGATGAATGCGACGAGTGGGAAAGGAAATTTCTCAAATGTTGGTCTGTGCGCTTATCTTATCGCTTCCAAGGTTCTTACTGAGAGTATAAGTCTGAACATTTGAAGACACTCGAGTAATAATATCTTAGGAATTTTGATTATAATAATGATGAAATAAAATTTTCTGAAAATATTCAACGCTTCAGTCTTTATTCTTAAGTTGCCGAATACATCTGCAAGGAAAGGATGAGATCAGACTTGAGATACTTACAGAGTAGTGGGGTTGAATATAGTATTGAACTAGCAGCATACCCCAAGACCCGGAGAGTTTGTACTCATGCCATGCTATCTTAATTATGCACAAACAGCTCAATCTTCATCAGAAAATGTGAATTACTCTAGCTAGAAGCTTAGCTTATCAGACTGAACCTTCCATTATTAGACGATCTTCAAATGGTAATGCTGGTGGAAGAACCTTCCCCGAAAGTCTTCTTGTAGAACATTTGAAATTGATGACTTCAAAATCCATCCAACAGCAAGTCTGAACATCTGGATGCATGCCGTTTAATAGAGCCACCTCGAATTAGCGGTCAAACACGTGGAGCAATCAAGTTCAAGATCCCCTACTGCATGCACCTAGCCCTGGAGTGTCCTGTAGTTTTCCTGAAAACGGTTCGCAGATAGATATCTCTCGGTCAATTTCTGAAGAATTGCCTGTCACGTATTTCAGTCAGGAGATACTGGATCTAGTTCCACTCCCACCGGTCAAATAATAAGCATTAAAAGGGGTAGGCGCTTCTGGGATTTGAAAATGCAGGCCCCTCGTGGTATTTGAATTCCAACTACGCAATCGCCTGTCACAGCGGCTAGTAGTAGTCTGGGATTATTATATCTCTGCCTAGGTGACTATGCACCAGATAAACCCTATCACTGCATTAAGAGACCACATATGGCACTTGAGAGATAATATCATCAATAGGTGGGCAGCAACGTCGGACTCGGAGTTACACATCATAATGCCGGACTGTGCTAAACAGGACAATGTGGAGAGCGTTACTACTCAATTTTGTGGGGTGAATTCAAGGGTGTATGCAGCTGATAGTCCCGGTCCTTGAACTTTTATCCGCACCTGCCCAGGTGATTCTGATAGATCGTGTACTCGTAGTATGACGATGAATGAACCTCAATGGAGAGAACAAAAGAAGTTTAAAATTTGCAGGCTTTCTTTCAAGACTTTTGTCTGACAAATAACGCTTGAGTTCTTCTGGATATTTCCATTCAACTTTGAACGTTTGAAATGTGCCAGTGTGCTTTGGGGGTTCAACTTGCACTATCAACACGCTGCAGGAAGTCGGGATCCCTGACCATGTCCACGGGTCCAAATTGATGTTAGCTCTTGATAATCAAGAATGCAGCCAAACATTAATAGTAGTAGTAGCTTTATTCCAATAATATGCCAATTAAATATCTCAAGTCCTTTTCTTCTGAGTGCGCATTCCAAAGAAAAAGAAAATATCAAGTGATCTCGTTCTGTGCCTCGTCTCGAATGGCCCATGCATTTCGGCTCCGTTGGTCCAAATGATGATATTTGAGATCAATTTGTCAGCTAATCCTGGTCCATATTCAGAAGGCAAACAAGATTCGAATCGGGACGTGTCATTATGGAAATAATCTTACTGGATAGAAACGTGAACTCATCAATTCGAATCAGCACCCAAGGTCCACGCCCGGGTTCATCGTACATCTTCTTGTATGCACATGTGCTATTTGAAGAACGAGTAGCTTATTTGGTGACATTTTCCATGGATGTGTTTGACGTTGATCAATCGTGACATACATATGGCTGTCGGATGACTTTCCTCTTGTGTTCCAAGTTCGTATAATGCAGATCTCTTACTCTTTCTTGAGCAGGATGATGCATACTTCCTGCACATGAATATTAACCTAAGAACACCATAAATTAAATCTCAATAGTGGAAATTTTCATATTTCTCTGCTATTGCATTCATTGGGAAAAATAACTGAAATGCCATCTTTGAGCCACCAGTTGTCATATACTCTACATACATGGAATGTGGAGTGCTACATGTAAGTGCCTTTGCTGGTTACTACTCCGAGATGGAGCCCTGGAGACCTCAATGTTTCCCCAGAGCGTTATCCTATTTTGTACCCTTCGGCAAAATCCAACTAATTTTTAGACCCCTGGAATAATTCATGACCAATGAGATAAAAAAGGAATTAAAATTTGTTATAATGAAGCCTAAAGCAAGATGATCCCTTCTAAACCTTGGCAACTTTAAACGACGCCCACATGTGCAGGTACCATGTCTTGTGAACAACCATACAGAACTCTTCAAAAAGGACAAATACCCCCCCCGAACCCCATAATAACATACCATAGGAAGACAGTCAATCATAAAATTCAACATTATGATGCAAGAATCGAGTACTTTGAGGTAAACATGTGTCCCGATTCGGCGGATGCACCCCCTTGCGCGACCCAACTGCAACTTAAGCTCTCATAGACTAGGATATTGTCTCGCACCCAAAACCACGGATACTCCAGGGTCATAGACCGTTAATCCTAGGAGCGAGGAGTTTACACAGGGAGAATATATGGGACCCTTTCATCCGAGTAATTGGATAAGTGGATTCCAGTCCCAACTGTGCCTGACTCTCTGGATCCACTGTGATGGTCTGGTCTTGTTTTCTATGGGCCAACGATTCCTGGTACCTGGTTCTATTCACATTAGCATGCATGTCGATAGGGCTTTCTTATATCCTCCACTTCCCCTTTTTGCCGTCGATCTGGGGAAGGGAATACTACTAGTAGTACTTTTCATCGTTTGTTTACTTGACAAGCTCTATCTACTTGAACTCCAAGAGTTATCAGTCCATTCGTTTATCTCTGCTCTTTTCCTATCTTTCATTCAATATTTACTGCCACCTGAGTCTATCTTATTCTTATATTTATTCTTATATTTATTTTTTATTATTCTAATTTCCACTTCTACGAAGCCTATCCGAGGATTGACTTCGGTTGGGCCCAAGAATTCGTCAAAACGTGGTGAATCCTGTTGCAGGATCAGAGATATGGATCTGTCTCTTACACACAATGATCTTTTTAAACGAAACTATGGAGATGTGTATCTCTCTAATCGTGGTGTGCAAGGCCTGACTTACAGTGTTGTTTTCACAGTATTGGCGACTTGCTTTGTGGGATTACGACTGTATACTAGAGCCAGGATTATGAGGAGGATGGAGTCAAATGATTGGATGGTTATCATTGCACTGGTAAGTGCTTTTTTATTTCTGACTTCCAAAAGTGTACATTTCAGGATTAATTCAATGACAGGCAAATTCTTATGTTTTCATGGGTCTGGATATCGTCGAGGCTACTAGTGGGATGGGAATGCATCTAAAAGATATTCCACCCAATATCCTCGAGAGACAAATGAAGGTGAGGACCCAGGATACAAATGAGATGAGAAAAGAAGCTTACATGATTGAAATGGGTATAGGCATTTTGGCTCACAATTCCATTCTACAACGCTGCCGTCCTCTGCGCAAAAGCTTCAATTCTGATGCAATACTTCCGTGTCTTCCCAACCCATCGCATGCGGGTCGTCTGCTGGATAATGATTACGATCCTCGGGATTTATGGTACATGGGCAGTAATTAGTGCATTTTTGAACTGCATTCCAGTGGCCAAGTTCTGGGATGATTCCATATCAGGTTTCTGCTTGAGCAAACCTGGGTTGTGGTTCTCGAATGCTAGTATGCACATTACCACTGATCTTGTGATCCTCATAATCCCCATTCCTGCTCTGATTGCCATCGATATTCCAAGAAAACAGAAAGCTGCTTTGATGATTCTCTTTGCGTTGGGAGGATTGTAAGTTTCTCAAACGGCATTTTATACATCATCCCCATCTGTGCATGCCCAGCTAACGGCTATAGTGTCTGTATCACCAGTATTATTCGTCTGGTGAGTTTGAAGAAAATTGCCGACTCGACAGACCCCACCTGTAAGTTCTCTTTACATACTATGAAGCTCCATCTCCTGACTTTGCTAGATGATAATGTCGGCGCCGCATCATGGTCCGCCATCGAATGCAACACAGGCATTATATGTGCCTGCCTTCCCACACTCAAACCACTCATTTCCAAATTTGCCCCCGGTCTACTCTCTTCACTACATGGAAGCCGTCGCTATGCAAGTGGCCCTGTCTCTACAACACAGCAAACAACAACATGGAACGATGAGTCCCCACTTGGTGCCTCTGGCGAGTACCCCGAGTACGGAGCTGGCGACCCAGAACGAGCCCTCGAGCTTGTCCCAACGAGTCCACACAAGTATGGCAAGCGGTGGTTCAAGGAAACCAAAATTTGCGCTCCTGGCGTTGCTGATGAGGTCACGGGGCTTGCGCGACAGGACCGTGAGGCTGCTCATGGTTACCACCAACATGATATCTCGGAGACGTCCTCTTACTCCTAGTTTTGACCATTCGAGGAGTCTTTGTTTATCTATCTTTCGCTTTATAATGGCCACCATTGAGTTTGGTATCTACCGTGGACAAATACCCATAGCACTATTTCTAATCATAATCATACGCTCTTTTCGGTCGAGCTCAATTCCGAGGTCTCTCGCGGAATTTTGTTGGACTATTTTCTTTTGTTTTCATGTCTTTAATTTACTCATACACATTTCTTAATCTTATTCAAGATGGATACTGGAAAATTCTTTTACACTAAGACGATTGAGCATAGCTACTGAATGAAAGATGTGGTTTAACAAGAATGACATGGAGGTATTCAAGAAAGCTAGGATCTAAAGATCAGAAACAGATGACCAGCCACTAGGCTCGCAACCGAGATGAAATCTAATGACAAAATCTTTCAATCAACATATAATATTTAAAAAGCCGCAAACTCCTTGTCAACCTCTTCGAAGTGGTCAAAGACACCCTTGAAGAGCTTGACACCCAGTCCGGGGTCTTCACTACCAGTGGTTGCACGAATGCTGTGCATGCTGAGCTGGGGAATACCACAATCAATGGCACGCATACCAATGCGCGCACTGGTCATGGGACCGATAGTACCACCGCTGCGAGAGTCATTTCGGATTTGGAAGACCTGAAGGGTCGAGTCAGATCGAGATGCGATTTCCTTCAGAAGACCATGGCTGACGCTATCAGTTGTCATGTGGCCGTTGGAATCACAAGAGACTGTCACACCGACATTAAGACGTGGGGAGTGGTTCTCCAAGTAAACGTTAAGAAAGTTAGGGTTGACAGCATGAATGACGTCCGAGGAAACCAAGAAACTGTTAGCAACAGTGCGGGAGAGAAGGTTGGGACCGTAAGATCCGGTGGCAAAGGCCTCGGTGATTCTCTCGATGACACTGCTCATGAAATTTGACTGGGCGCCTTGACGCAACTGGCTGCCAATCTCCTCGTCATCAAACATGCCGACCATCTTCACAATACCGCTTGACTTGTTATCGTCGGAGGCCAGAAGACCATGATGAGCAGCATAGCAGCAAAGCTTATCGTCAATACGACCAGCAAAGATCAGATCCTTATCTAATCCACCCAGTTGAGCAGGCTGGGTGTCAAATAGTTCAAGCTCCCACTGAAGAATGGAGCTGTAATCCGTAACGCCAATCTCCTTAGCGATAACCTTAACGAGCTTCTCCGGCTGGGTAGAAGCGAAGGATCCAGCCTTGATATCCACCGATGGAGTGGCTGACTTTTCAAACAGATCCGAGTTATCAACACCAACAATAGGAACCATCTGGGTCTCTGGGTTGAAAGGGCCATTTGCGGGCGATCCGAAGTGAGGAGCCAGGGTAGGAATACGAGCGATGGGCCAGTCCAGCTTTACCAACTTAGTCTCAACCTTGCCCTCTGAGTTCTTGACCAAAACACGGCCACCAATACCGAGATCACGGTCCCACCAAGTTGGGCCCAATGCACCAGCATATGGAGCAACGCCCAGCTGTTGAAAGCCAGCCTTGGTAGGGAGCTTCGAAACGGGCTTCAGCTTCGCGGTCAGAGCATCCACGTGACCAGCGACAATAGCCACACCATTACCACTCTCATAATCCTTTCCAATATTGAATGCAATCAGCGAGCTGCTGTTACGTGTAACGTAGAACTTGCCGCCCCGCTTCAGGTCGGAGGTCCACACAGCGCGTTCGCTAAGCTTCTTATAGCCGTGCTGCTCGAGCTCCTTGGCGAAGGAGTCAACAGCATGGAAGATGGTGGGATTTGAGGTCATGAAATGGCAGTACGGCAGCGAGTAGTCCTTGGGGTTGATGGGTGCCTCGGTCGCAGCTGGCTTGGGAGCTTCGGGAGCCGGAGTTGGAGTAGCTGCGGCCGGCTGGGCATAAGAATAGTCAGGCAGCTGGGCGGCTATCTGAGAAGCCCATGGCTTGTCGAGACCGACTGCGTGTCTTCGGGTCATGATTGATTTATTCAAGTCTTGTGGTGGGATTGAATTGTGGGATACGGAGTAGAATACTTGAGGATGATGAGGGGACGGAAGAGTTGGAGAGAGGCTGGGGCCCCTTGCGTTATCGTCGGGTGCAGCCGATAACCTGCCAAATGATAACAATTGTGGGCCTCGGAGATCAGGAACACATCTGTATTCGGTTAAGCTTCATTGACCTTGGAAGCTTATCAACAAGGACTTCCGAGGTTCAAATTGAAGCTTATATGGTTTTACCAGCATTCTGATATCTGTTAAGATATATCGCGCCTTAGATTGACTGCTGAATATATTGATGGATTTGTGGAATTCAAGTTGTCAAAGTGTGCCATGTCTCGCACTAGACTTACATACGCTTCCAAGGTTGACGGACTGAGACTCAATGGAAATGTGTATACTAATAGTTAGTAGTTGAAAAATATACTCATCTTTTTATGGACCCATAGAGGTGTATATAGAAATTTGTGGGAGCCCCAATCTTGGAATATTGGAATAGTACTCCCTCCAGGGCTCCGAAGAGATTTATTGTATGGGTTAATAGGCCACTTTTAAGATCGCAGTATGGAGTACAGACGACTTGCAAGTTTTACCTGAATCAATGAAGAGTCTCCCGATATCCCTGCTACAAGGGGAAAAATAGAGAGAAACAGGCATATGCAGCGATTATTTCTTTGACTGAGATTGGGGTTGAGAATGTTTGCGTATAGGCACTCATGCTCTTGATTCGATTAGACTCGCTTAAAATTCGTGATCCTGACGTATTATTGGTTCGCTTGCTCTCTTCTCGGTGATCTTCACTGATTCTGGAGCTTAATCGATCAGGAGGTAACTAAGCATCGTGTGGCAGCCAATTTTATACAGAGAGCGATGGATATGTACTTCCGCAGAGCCATGAGCTTCTGATTGGTCGATTCAGACATAGATGTGTGATCTTGACGCGTTCTGAGAGCCCCACCCCCAGGGTATAAATTCCCCAGATCTTTGTTTACTTTTCAACCTTTTCCTTCTTCAACTCGCCTCTTCTCCAGGTTTTTCTGATCCACATCCCACTTCATCTCTTGGACCTTGATTTCATCATCGTCCATCAAAACATTCATCCATCATGACTTTCATCCATCATGACCATCATCAAGGCAACCATCCATCATGACTTTAATTCATCATGACCATCATCAAGGCAACCATCCATCATGACTTTAATTCATCATGACCTTCATCCATCATGACCTTCATCAAAACATTCATCCATCATGACCTTCATCAGAACATTTATCCATCATGATATCTATCCATCATGACCATCCACCCGCCTTCGATATCTCTGTCAATTGAATCATCTCCACATGGTCTCACACATTCAATCTTACTGGTCTTTATCTGATATGCCTTGGTCATGCTCTTACCTTGGGGTAGCTGTGGACAAGTTGGTACCCCAAATTCTCCTTCATTCTATACTGACAACACATTCTGTACAGTCACTTCTACAAGGTCCACAGTCCCACATGCAACCCATCTCTCATCCTCATGCATCTATGACCGTGGCGGGTGACAATCAAACTTCAGGACAATCAGCCTTGCTCTGACAACACTACGACCTCGAGCTTGTGACTGTGGCGGGTTTCATTGAAGCTTCAGGACAATCGGCATAGCTTGCTTTTCCAACGATAGATCGACACGAATCGCGATAATCTGGAGCCTCTATTACCACGGCAAGTTTCATTGGCATCAGCTTCCTCCCACTTTTATTCCACAATCTGGCTTTCTCCATAATCTGGCTTTCTCTGCATTCTGGCCTCTTCCACTTCTGGCCTCTTCCACTTCTGGCCGCTCTTCAGGCCTCTTCCAATTTGGTCTCTACAAAAACAAAAACAAGACCCCAGCCAAACACAGTGCTCCAAAATAGCCTGAAGCAGAATCCCACAAAAGCCTCAGCCAAAAAAACAAAGAAAACAAAAAAAAAACCAAAAAAAACACACACAACCATAAACAAAAAGCTCCAATGAAACTTGAAAACAATCGAGGTAGTTGGCTCCAGCAACAACCCCTCCAAACGATGACAACTGCCGGCAGCTATGGCTGTGGCGGGTGACCAATGAAACTTCAGGACAATCAGCCTCGCTCTGACGATTCGACCTCGAGCTTGTGACTGTGGCGGATTTCATTGTAGCTTCAGGACAATCGGCATAGCTTTTACATTCACGAACCGATTCCGAAGTATATTTGCTTGCATCACTTGTTGTCCCGATAACATCTGACCGCGCGATTTCAGAGACTTTGGAAGTTGTGGCCGTGGCGGGTTTTGGTAAAACTTCAGGACAATCGGCACAGTGGGGACCGTGGGCGCGGAGGATACAGGAACAAGAACAAGAACTCAGGAGGCTGTGGCTGTGGCGAGTTTCGGCTCAAACTTCAGGACAATCGGCACAGCGGGGATCAGGACGTGAAGGCTTAATGATATGTCTGGGTTTTCTCAAGCGCAATTGAGGCTTGACGATTTTACTATCTGTATGATTCAATATCAATAAATGTCTCTTTGTATAACATATTGCTTTTACAACTCTGTAGCCTGTAGAGCGTCTTGAAAATTCATTCTCATATTCATGTATGCATCTTCAAGCTCGAAATGTTTCATTTTAGCTGATCTCATGGGATAGATTTCATGGGATAGATTTCGGGCTTTACAAACGGACTAGAGTGGATAATTTGTGGGGGTGATGATATCACCACATACCGCTGCCGTTAGTTCTTGGGGAGCAGGAAGAGATCCCGAGTAATTCCATGGCAATATTTGGTGGCTACTCTTGTTTGAAGAGATTGATTATTGCGCAGCTCTATGCGGCGGCGGCGAAGTTGTTGCAGATCACCCAGCCACCGGTTCATCCATAGCCGGGGGTAGGTTTTACCAGCAGAGAATAGAACCCATCCTGAACAGAATATTTAGGCGATGCCAGTGGCGATGATAAGACCAGAATTCATTGATTCAAAACTGCCAAGGGAATGAGAAAAGAAAATACGACTTTCAAGGAATCACTCTGAACCCCTGGGCTGCTTTGACTCCCGGGTATAAGCTGGCAAAGCCCACGGCAATGTTCTTACGTGCCAGAACCATAGAAGATAATGAGCATCGCCGGAATGGATCACCGGTAACTGGTAGCCCCTCTTTTTTCTCTCAATCGCCACTTCTGTAATCCGTACTCTGTGCAAGGCGCTAGGATGGACTATGACGGAGCCTGGGACCAATGATGGGTACTATGATAAATGAGATCCTCAAGGATATTTCTTCTCTCTTCTATTTAATATCCACCTGGATTGAACTTCCCGAATCGAATGTTGTTTGCGAAGGAGTCCGTTTTTCGGCGCTCGTTCGGCAAGAAAGGCGTCAAGAGCCACTGATTGATAAGAATTTGCAATGTGTGGGGAGAGCCAAGACACAGCAACGCAGAACGCGGGCGATGAACCAATCATAGAAATAAACTTAGAGGGCAAAAGAGTGGATTAGGGTGATCCAAAGAGAGAGAAAAAAATTCAATTCCCTCGCGTCATTCTCAAATAACGTGGATCAGATTTTGTCCATAAGGGATGGCTAGCGCCATCAGATAAGATCAAGCCCGAGAGCGGCAGTTAGGGCTCAACCAAACATTGGCCAAGACTGTGTCGATCCATACCGGTGTGACTAGCCATGATAAAGGAAGAGAGATTTCGCGCACCGGCAAGCTTGCGATTGGTCCAATTCGATTTCTGCTAGGTAATGACCGAGTGTACTTCGTACACCGAGAGGAGGGGGCATTGTCCATCCACGGTCCAAGGATTACTCGACTCCATCATGACTTCCAACCCTGTAAGGAGAAGATTATTAGGTTAGAATTGGAATTCCCGTCTTTTTTTCTCTCTCTCTCTCCTTTGGAAATCTCATCATGATCAGGTTTCTATCTCTTTCTGCACCTGTTCCGTTCATTCAAGCTATATATAGCTTAGAGGAAAGGGTTTGCTCGAGCCTCCTGATTCAATGTTTGCCCTCCTAGACGCAGTTGGCGAAGAAAATCATAATGAACCAGACTTAATTCGAAGAGAGAATTTAACAGGTTGAAACCAGTGTCAGCCCACTCGATGATCCAATTAACCGGCACACGGATCAGATAAAAAATAATAATAAAATAATAATAAAAAACTCTGTATACGGATCCTCCCCGCTATGTAGAGCATCCGAAACCGGAATCATGTGAGCACGATCTAATCTGATCATCATCCACATTTCTTTCTTTCTTTTCCCACTTTTTATCCCTCGAGCTTCTTTATTAGCTTCCCTTACCCCTGCAGAATACCCTGGAAATAATTCTTGGATTTATTTCCTTTTCATCAGGGAGAAAAAAAACCAGAGCTCGCTTACTCCTTACTCGGGTTTACATGACCGCACATCCGTTTTTCCGACCGAAAGCTCGTGCGTATGTCCCGAAGCCGCCCGACTCGCGTTTCCCCTCTGCGCCCGCTAACCCCAACACAGCACCTGAATTGATTTCGAGTCACCACCATGGCCACGACAGGCGTGTCTATCACGCCTGCGCAGGCCACTGTAGCTCCATTGGCTATGGCTCCTGCCTTGGCTGCTAGACCCTCTGTCGCACCGTCGCCCGGCCCGGGTACGCCCGGCTCTATCACATCGAAGGAATGGGTGATCCCACCTCGTCCCAAGCCCGGTCGGAAGCCAGCAACAGATACACCACCCACCAAGCGCAAGGCACAAAACCGAGCTGCCCAGCGGGCATTCCGGGAGCGACGGGCCGCCCGTGTCCAAGAACTGGAGGAGCAGATGAAGGAAATCGAAGATACCCATGACATCCGAGCCGCAACTTTCACTGAGCAGATTAGCAATCTATCACGCGAAGTTGAGCAATGCCGCGAGGAGATGTCTTGGTGGCGTGATCGATGCCACGCTCTGGAGAAGGAAGTGTCGATTGAACGCAGTGCAAAGGAAGCTCTTGTCAAGGAATTCCGAGCTTCCATGTCCCAATCCAACAGCAAGTCTCCCATGCCAGACTCGGTTCCTTTGCCACCTCGATCACGCTCCTCTCGAGGTACTCGGATGGAAGGTGTTGTTATCACAGCCCCTGCGCGAAACAGGGAACCAGGGCCAGAGAATGTGCCCCTTGGTTGCACTGACTGCTCTTCTTCGCACTGTCAGTGCATCGAGGATGCTTTTGGAATGCCCATTGATACCCACGAGTCCCGTGGTAGACATCCTCCTCATGGAGTCGGCAGTCCCGAACGGGAGATGTCTGAGCCCGAGATCAAGCCTGATCCGGAGGAAATGGAAATCGATTTCACTGCTCGATTCGCTGGTGTTCCTCTACAGTCGAGCTCCCACAGCAATCACCACAATAATAATGTCTCATCCCCGCCTGTGGATCCCTGTGGATTCTGCCAGGATGGCACTCCCTGCATCTGCGCCGAAATGGCCGCTCAAGAGCAGCAGCGCGGCCGCCGCAACTCTTTCGAGGACCATCGTCTCCCTCCTATCCAGTCTATCTCCCAATTCACACCACCCCCTTCCGACGGTGATGTCCGCTCCGAGGTGACACTTCCATCTATCACTCAAGCCACCAACCCATGTGCTAATGGGCCCGGTACTTGCGCCCAATGTCTTGCCGATCCTCGGAGCACCCTTTTTTGCAAGACGCTGGCAGCCTCCCGGTCAGCGAGCGGAACTCCATCGGGAGGAGGCTGCTGCGGTGGGAAGGGAGCCGACGGGGGATGCTGCATGTCAAGAAATGCCCCCGCCGCCCCGATCACGCGTAGCAACCCCTCCTTGTCTGCGCAATCTGCCCCATCCAAGCCCTCTACGCCCAATGCGCTCACCCTGAGCTGCGCCGATGCTTTTACTACTCTTTCCCGTCACCCCAACTTCAACCGAGCCAGCGATGATATCTCGAACTGGCTACCTAAGCTTCACACTCTTCCAAACCCCAATGACCCCTCTGCTGCAGTCACAGAAACCCGCAGCGGTCGTGCAGCCTTGGAGGTCGAAGCAGCAAGTGTCATGGGCGTTCTCCGCTACTTTGACCGTCGATTTGCATCAAAATAAACTGAAAAAAAGTCAGCATGACTGACGACTTACATTGCACCCTTTCTTCTTCGATTCTTGCATCGGGGTTTTTACCTTACGCCTCTCTGAGGCAATTTGATACCCGTCATACCCCGATTGCTCCATGTACCACTATATGGACTACATTCCATCAGGTTATCTACCATCTTCTTCCAAAAGTACACATTTCTTTGATCATTTAGTGTTGCCAAGGCTCTGCATCAGTAGACTCTTTTGGTACTGCGATGGGACATTTGACCGATATGAACATGGTCTATGGTGGACTTTTTGTTTTTGGGATTCTGATCTAGACGGATTAGATCTTTGACTGGCGTTTTTGTGATTTGTGTGATGTATACACCTTGTTCTCATGAATGGAATGATATCAAATCAATACTCGCTCCCTGCGTAGCTACATGTGACAGTACTACATAGTAGATTGTAGATTAGGTCGAGTCGTAGAGTAGATGTTTGCAACTTGAACCGATAAGCTACTCTGCTTGCTAGCACTTGAGTGCTTGGCTGGCTGTTAATAGCGAAGTGCCGATTATTCAAATGGTTGTACCCAAGCACTTAAATGTTGCTCGTTGAAATAAAAAGTTGAACTTGAACTTGAATATCCATGTTATCACCTGCTTCCACTGGCAGCGGTGCCATCATGATTTATACCTCGCACAATCAAAACGGGTCCCTCATGCCTGAATCAATTCTCGCTCGCTATATATGATTCAAGTTGTTGATCAAGCTGCATCAACCCTCTGGAGGTCAAAATCTACAGCACCTACATTCCAGGTGACTTTGAAATTACCAACTTGAATGACGTCTGACCTTCGAAAAAACGTCTCATCGACACTCATCAACGCTCTACATCCTTGGAACCGACTGTATACGAGTGCTAAAATTGATGCGCGTGTTTGCTGGAAATCAACAACTGCCTGAAGGTGAGATATACTTGAAATCCGCTTTTGTACTTCCCGACGTCATACTAATGGTAATCATCATCCCTGGGTAGAAGATTTCAATGAAACAAAACTCCAACGTTTGAAGTTGAAATCAAGAAACTTGGATAAAGCCCGCAAGGTTGATTCCTGCTTGGCCAGACAGAGGAATAAAAGCAATACAAGCCTGGAGCTCAAGTGCTACCCTTACTTGCTGCTATCATGTGGTGCTAGTGCTTGATGTCGAATAATGGAAGGAATCTTGGAAAAGAGCCTGCCGAGGGGAATTATAATGATGTCTAATGAATGCTCATTGGCTCAATCCTGAAGGAAGATGAGAACTTGAGGTCTGCCTATTTTGTCGACCATAAACTCATCCTCATCCCGAACATCTTCATACTTAATATGTGTCCGGTGAGTGCCTTTCGAACTACTTTGATTTGGGATTTGTGTTGACCAGATCTCTGTTAGCATCTTCATATCAAAAATACCAAGATATTCATATTGAAGCGGTCTACATACAAATGGGAAAGTGTCGAGATATTGCAGATTAAGATACTCATCCCGAGGCCATGACAGAGGGCGATGAGGTTTACTACATACCTGTCCAGGCCTTTCAAAGGAAGGGAATGGAGACCCAGGGTCAATCGATAAACCCTTTGATTTCAGTCCCTTTTTAACTGAGCTATATCAGCACCTCATTCTAATTATCCATCGCCCATCCTTGTCACTCAATCCTGAAAATGCGGAGTTCTGCTCTGGGCTGCAGACATGCATCGGTGCTGCACGAGGGTGGGAAAGCTCAAGTTGAAGATGACATTTCATATCAGTCTTATATTGTCATGAGATATAGGTAGTATTTGGGTACAAATTCAAGTGGAATTATTTGGAGCGCTATGTAGCGTGCAATTTTATACATGGCGTAGAATAACCAAAGGCGCCGTTCGCCTGCCCCCTGGATCCATTCCCTGGGGTATAAGATGTGAACAGAGGGAGGAGGGGAGAGTCGAGTAGAAAAGAAAAGACATAAGCAGCATGAAAACAATGTTCATAACATAGAGTAGACCAAATCACAAAAGCGGTGCTTTTCTCCGCGTGGCACATAGGCCAAATAGATGTCTTGATAGTATGTGACCCAAAAGATTTCTTCAAGAAAAAGCTACGAAGTCAAATTCTTTGTTATCTGTATCAAGATGGAGCGGGTGCTTAATGAAATTGATTCAATTAGAATCGACCACCGCTAGCGCGACCATGGCCACCTCGCATGGTAACTTCATCTTCGGCTCCAAGGGCAACTCCGCCGAGGAAGTTGGCGCCCCAGATACCAGCAATGCCCCACATGCCTATTCGCCAACCGCGGTACAGTCCTTGAATACCTTGTCCTTGCTGGCGCTTTTTCTGCTCGCGCTGGGACGCGGTCTTGCCGAGAAGCTGGCGCGCACGTTCGGCCTCGGAAGGAGAGGGGCTGACACCCTCCTCGTGAACGATGTGCCACATGGTTCCAATGACACCGCGGTAGGTGCGTGGGGTCGGAACAATAGTTTCGACGTCCGAGGCATCGATCGATGCCGCTTGGATACTACCACCGGACGACTTCTGGCGTATACTGAGAGAAGTGTAGGTGGCGATCTGGGCGCGGCGGAGAACTGTTTCAAGAGGGAAGCGCACGGCAAGCTCAAGACCGGAGCCGAGGAAGGTGAAAAGATTCCACATGGATGGATTGAGGAGAGGATCAATAGAGAGGTATGACTTCAGCAAGAGTGGGGTGGCGGTGGTGATAAAGTTGGGGAGACTCGAGTGGAGAATGGTAATCGGGACGAGATGAGGTGGGATAGTAGAGTTAGGAGTAGGGAGTTGACGGATAGCACGAATGAGGGAGCGAGGTCCATGTGTTGCAGGAGTGAGCATGAGGAATGTGCGAGCTGTATCGATAGGAGAAAGAATGATGGCGGCCAGCGACGAGGAAATGAAGGACAGGACTAGTGTAGCAAGAGGCGATGGTGCCGTCAAGATATCAGCAGTCATGGAAGAGGCAATGTCCTCCTCTGGGAGACCGATAATAGCGGAGAGGAGACTGCGGATGAAAGTGTTCAAGGTGGGCAGCAGCAGCGAGTGGATGAATGTGGCGTTGGATGCTTTCCAAGGGGAGCTTGGACCATTGGTATTCCAAAGCTGGGAGAGCACATCCATTAATGAGCTCGGGTTCTTGATATTCAAAGCATGTTTTGAAGCTGCTGGTGCAGCATCCGCTCGGATGTAGCCGCTGCGATCAGTGATGCGATGACGGGCCTTCCGGGATCGTGGCGTGCTCGGTGTTGGTGTCATAGGAGAGGCGGAAGTGAAGTAGGTGCTCTCATCGTCAGATGATTCCGATTCCTATTATCCTCATGTCAGTTGTGGTTCTTGGTTTAGTACAAAGAATCAGGGTATCTATACCGAGTCGTATGAGCTGCTCCCGGGTCCCGGAGTCGACCTCCGATCCTCTTCGACATTGTCTGATACGACATACACCTGCAGAATGATTTTGGCAACTTCAAAAGGCTGTGCGATCAAAACCTGGGCATAGCGGACAAGCGAGCTATTGATAGCATCGCGACACCAGTCTGAAACTGACGGCGAAGAGTCAAGATAATCTGAATAGTCGATATCTGGAAGGAGATCGCGGGCGGAGCTCCCAAACACCTGTGACGAAGGTGAGGGGGTCGATGTCTCTTGGGTCACATTTGTAGTGGGCGATAACCCCGACTGAGGGATATAGTAAGGCCGCAAGGGATTAATCCCTTCACGTGAAGCCATGGTTTAGATGAATTTCGGAGGTGATGGTTTTCGGGGATAAAAAAAAGGGTCGGAGAAAGATGCAGCGAGAGATATCCGAGATGCCGCCTTTAGCTTTGTCAGTCTTTTTTTTCCCTCCGCGGCCATTGGACGATCTTCCACTCCTCCGCCCCAGTTTCCCTTCGCGATTCCACTTCTCTTCTTCCTTTCCTTTTCCTTTTTCTTTTATTTGTCACATAATCACAATGGCTCTCTGGCAAGGCTTCAGTCAACAGTTACGTAAGGCAGTGCCTAAGACAGCGGGAGAGGTATGCCTGGCTCAATCACGGCGATACGTCAGTTCATCAATCCCGCGGAGGTTGAGGAGCGCGAACCGGTGGGATGTTAGCACAAAAAGGAGTGTTCAATTCCCATCACAAGGGTGGAAGTCGGCTCAGCGCTCATTCTCTGCTACTGCGCATGCCGCCCACGGTCACATCACACCTCCTAAGCCTGGCGAGGAGTAAGTCGCATGAACCACGTACAAGTCATGTATTTGCCGGTTTCTAATAGCTATAACAGGATCAATATCTCTTTCATCGATAAGGATGGTACTCGGGTTGATTTGCAGGTTTCCGAGGGCGACAACTTGCTAGATATTGCACAGGCTAATGATCTTGAGATGGAGGGTATGTCGAGATGGTTCTGACCGTTCTCAATTCAACGGTCATACATAGTTTTGGTCCCATTGCTAACCTGTTCTATAAAATAGGTGCCTGCGGTGGCTCTTGTGCTTGCTCCACATGCCATGTAATCGTCGAGGATCCGGATGTTTTTGACAAGATGGAGGAGCCCTCCGATGACGAGAATGATATGCTGGATCTGGCGTTTGGATTGACTGAGACCTCTCGACTGGGATGCCAGGTCCTGATGACCAAAGATCTGAACGGACTGGTAGTAAAGCTGCCCACAATGACACGGAACCTCCAGGCCAGCGACTTTGAGCAGAAGTAAGTCGGTTTGGATGAAAGGAAATAAATGGAGACTAGTGGATTACCCTTGGAGTAGATCTTCAAGACGGGACAAACAGATGAAGTCTTCATCTAACAGTCTATACCCAATCTATGGAGTATGGACTATGTATTGTATTATTTGCATTTGTGTTGCGTCAAGCCGACAAGATACCGAATGAAAAATCTCCTGTACTATTTTCTTTAAAAACAAACATTTGAAACAAGACATCATAAAAAGCTGGGTTGACAATGTCAAGCCTACTATAAAGTATAAATCGCCCAACGCCAGAATCATGCCAAGGGGAATCATAGGACTTTTGAATCTTTAAGCTTCCTCAATGTTCAAGGGCTTTCCCTTCTTGCCGTTAATCAGCTCAAGGAATCCTTGCTTGCTGACCTCATTGACGGCCTTCTCCCGCTCTCCCATACCGACGGTTCCCTTCTTGCGTTCATCCTTGGCTGCCTCCTCACCCCGAACTTGGGCGGCACGGACAGCATTGAACAGCTTCACAACACCACGCTGGGCCATCTTGCGTAGCCGCTTCTCATCCTCCGCTACTGCACCAGAAGCTCCTCGTTCAATTCCCATCACGTCACGCACGCGACCACGGTCCAATTCTTCCTTCTTGTCTGCGCGCATCTTGGCTCGGGCAGCATTGTCGAGCTTCTCGTTGGCGGCCTCATTGGATTTATATTCAGCGTCTCTGCTTCGGGACAGCACAGGATCGGCGCGGGCAGATGATGAAAGCTTGGTAGCCAGAATTTTGGAGATCGAAGTTGAGAAGGCAGTGGGATCGTTGCGCTTGGGGACAGCTCGGCGTTTGCCACCCGCGTCTGGAAGAGAAGCGTCTGAAAGGTACTCGTCGTCATCATCAGATCCAGAGGCATCGTTGTCATTGTCGTCAGCAACGGGTTCGTCCTCATTATCCTCCTCGTCGCTGGAGTCTTTCTTGGCTGAGGGTTTGGGTTTCGATGCAGGTGCAATTTCGGTCTTCTTTCTCTTCGCAGGGAGCTCAATAGCATTGGATTTTGTGACGGGAACACCACCATCATTTTCCTCATCGGAATCGGCGAGATTGACAGCCGCGAAGTTGCCATCCTCCTCCTGCTCGTCTTCCGAACTACTGTGGTATTCGGCTTGCTTGCGAAACTTCTTCGGGCGGCTAGTCTTGCCCTTCATGCCATCTTGGACTTTTCTTTTCTTCGAGTAGGAGCCGACCATATTGGGCGAAAGCGCAAAATGGAAATGAAATTGAGAAAAAAAAAGGTGCAATCGACTTGCGTAGTAGAACAAGGTCAAGACCGAGTTTCTCTTGCGATCAACTTTTTTTTGGGCGGTGAAAGACTCCCGCTCACCGATTGGTTCTCCGCATTGCCTCCTTGGCCTTTCCGCTTCTCGCCCCTCCACAACTTGCTCTTGTCTTGCGTCTATACAAACTCCTCCGGGTTTATTTTTGAACATAATTTATCCATCATGGTCCTCCAGGATCTTGGACGGCGCATTAATGCCGCTGTCAATGACTTAACGAGATCTAACAATCTCGACGAGAAGGTTTGTGTTGAACCAATCGACATTTAACATGTATGCTAACTCGCCTAGGCGTTCGATGACATGCTTAAGGAGATCTGCGCAGCCCTTTTATCTGCCGATGTCAACGTCAAGCTTGTTCAGACCCTCCGCAAATCGATCAAGAGTACCGTTAACTTCGCTTCTATCCCCGCCGCCACGAACAAGAAACGCCTGATCCAAAAGACCGTTTTCGATGAGCTCGTGGCCTTGGTTGACCCTCACTCGGATTCCTTCCGCCCAAAGAAAGGTCGCTCAAATGTCATCATGTTTGTTGGTTTGCAAGGTGCGGGTAAGACTACCACCTGTACCAAGCTTGCTCGACACTACCAGATGCGTGGCTTCAAGACAGCATTGGTCTGCGCGGATACCTTCCGAGCTGGTGCTTTCGATCAGTTGAAGCAGAACGCGACCAAGGCCAAGATTCCTTACTACGGTAGTTTGACTCAGACCGATCCAGCTGTCGTGGCCGCGGAGGGTGTCGCCAAATTTAAGAAGGAGCGCTTTGATATCATTATCGTGGATACTAGTGGTCGTCATCGACAGGAGGAGGAATTGTTCAACGAAATGATCCAAATTCAGGAGGCGGTTACTCCTGACCAGACGATCCTTGTTCTGGACAGTACTATCGGTCAGGCCGCGGAGGCACAATCATCGGCATTCAAAGCTTCTGCCAACTTCGGTGCCATTATTATCACTAAGACTGACGGCCATGCTGCGGGTGGTGGTGCCATCTCCGCTGTCGCCGCTACTCACACACCTATCATCTTCTTGGGAACCGGTGAACACATGATGGATCTTGAGCGATTTGAGCCCAAGGCCTTTGTCTCTAAATTGCTGGGCATGGGTGATATGGCTGGGTTGCTCGACCATGTGCAGGCCATCACTAAGGATTCCGCTGGTGCCAAGGAGACTTACAAGCACATCACCGAGGGTATCTACACTATTCGCGACTTCCGTGAGAACATTACATCGATCATGAAGATGGGCCCTCTCTCCAAGCTTTCTGGCATGATTCCCGGTCTTTCCAACTTGACCCAAGGTCTGGATGATGAAGACGGTTCCATGAAGCTCCGCCGTATGGTTTACATTTTCGACAGTATGACTACTGCGGAATTGGATAGTGATGGCAAGCTTTTTACCGACAAGCCGAGCCGCATGGTCCGTATTGCTCATGGAAGTGGTACTACCGTGCGTGAGGTTGAAGACCTTCTCTCTCAGCACCGCATGATGGCCGGTATGGCTAAGCGTGTTGGTGGTCAGAAGAAGCAGATGCAGCGTGCCCAGGACATGCTCAAGGGTGGCAACAAGCAGCAACAGATGGCTGCCATGCAAAAACGTATGCAAGCTATGGGTGGTGCTGGTGGCATGGGTGGCATGGGCGGAATGCCCGGTATGGGCGACATTGGCAAGATGATGCAGATGATGGGTGGTGGCCAAGGAGGTGCTGGCGGCATGCCAAACCTCGGTGGTATGGACTTGCAAAGTATGATGAGCCAGATGAGTGGGCTGATGGGAGGAATGGGTGGTATGGGCGGAATGGGCGGCGGTGGTGGTGGTGGTGGTGGACGTGGAAGAGGACGGTAGTCTTTGAGACCTACCATATCTTCTTGCATCTTTTACCGACTTACATTCCCATCTTTCCCCTTCCTCTTAGCATTCGGCAGGTGTTTGGCGTTCGAATAATTGAATAGTACATTCTATGACAACCACACAATAAAACAGATTGTGAACATGATTTCAAATGTTGAGATGCACTTTTACATACTACATGCAGTGGTACATACTGCCAGTGGATTATCTATACCCGTGGACCCAGTCCTGCCAGTGGAGCCCTGGAGGTAACTTCAAATGTCCATGTCCACGGGTTGAATCCATGATGGATGCCAGTGTTTGACTGTAATTCTAGGTAGTACCTAGTAGCTTCAATCATTGGATTGAAAAAGACTCGGAACTTGAACCGTCACGGTCCAGATGTCTCGGAACCTCCAGGCTTTTTGGAAGCATTGAGGGAAACAATTGATATGTAAAACTTGAACATTTCTGAACATTTGAAAATCAAATGAAACAAGAAATTGACCATGCCTGCACATGGATGTGGATGCCACTGCCAGTGGCAGTGATTTCAACATTTTGAAGCACCTCAAGCCCTGGGGTTGGTGTTCTACATGTAGAACTTGAAATAGTACTATCACGGGTGCTAGTATGATTATTTCCGGCAAATTTCACATTTATAAGGGCAAATTCATACGCGCTTTTCTTTGTTCTAAACTTTGATCCAAGGTTCCAGTCAACCTTAATATTCACTTTCTTATCAACAACCTTGGAACCTCCCGAGTCTCCTTATTGTTATATAATATACGGTTTGGTCTGATTATCATTATTCGAATAACAATCTTGGAACTATTCCTCGAATATTTTCATGTATCTGGGCAATATTCTCCTATGCCTCCGTAGGATACGGAGTGGAGCTCATTTGGCAAGCCGGATGATTCGCGTTGTTCTCGTGACAGGCCATACATGGACGAAGCAAATTTGGAGGAGAATTATAATAAAGCAAACACCATGGCCCTTCATACGAGAGATCAACCCGATCAACTATGTTCCTTTGTGGGCTCTAGAAAAAAAAGATCACTTCCAAAGAGTCACGATAAAACGACTCCAAGGTATATGTAAAAACTACTCCCCACTACCATCCAGATCAGGCAATCAGAGGCCGATTGTATGGATTCGATTAGTGGAAGAAAACTAGTGAGAGGATCGGATGAATGAAGAATTGCAGACGCGTATGTGTACTGCATATAAGAGCTCTTGCTCACTCTCCCTTCTTCCCTTCAGCAGGTATGGACTTGTTGAAGAATACAACTAGGAAGCGCAGGAGTGTACACATTGTCCATATGGAGTTATTGTGCTTCTCTTTCATCGGGATCTTTCTGAAGAATTCAATTTGATATTTCGGGTAAAAAATATTTTTATAGTGCAACCTTGGAAATTATTAGTAATTACAACTATAACAAACACAATGGAAGCTACAACGAACGTGGAATAAAATAGAGAACCTTAGTAGGATGTGATTAGGTGCTGCACATACGGTCTATCAACCGCCTTTTGTATTCGTGTATTTAGCTAAATTATCACAACTAGATCTAACCAAGTCTCTCAGTGCTTCGCAACTCGCTCCAAGCCTCATAGACCCAAGTGGCCTTTTTCGTACCCAATTCCACCAGGTCCGATAATGAACCAAATGCCATTTTAAGAGGACCCTCCCAGCTCACCAGCTTATCTTCCAAAACACTTCCAGCAGGATGGACTTTAGTGGTAGTCTTCCGTTGAGCAGGAACGCTAAGCTGATACTTCCAAACCACCTCACCATCCACATAAAGCGAATAGGTAAGAACCGAGTTTCGGACTGACGCATCCACATCATCAATAGCTTCAGCAATATCAATCAACCCAAACTTGCTATTTCCATCCGGCGCATATTTCACAGCCACATCTTCCGTATCGGTTTGACGGTACGAGCGAATAGGAAGATAGAACATGCTGAGCGGACCAACACTAAACTCATGGACACCTAGTCCGGGAGTATTGGGTTGAAGTTCCTCAGGAGTGAGTTCAAGCGCAGGATCCGGGAACCGTGTAGCGGCGAATTCATGACGATCTCCACTTAGTAGAATGATCCTGATTCCGAGCTCTCGTTCCGCACGCCACATCGCTTCGAAGACAATGCGTCGTTCATCCAGAAATCCGCCCCATGTATCTATCGTACCGACGTGCCAATTCTTCGTGAAAGGGACACTCGAAGAGATAATCTTCCAATGCACACCTGCTGGTTCTGGCGTGGCTAGGTATTCCAAAAGTGACTGGAGCTGTGCATAGCCGAGGATGGTCGAGTTTGTTTGCGCTGGCTCGGAACGATAGGTACGGGAATCGAGCATGAAGAATGAGGCGGGGCCATTCACGAATGAGAAATATGTGACATCGTCTGGGTGTGCGAAGGGCTTAGCAGGAACAGGCGGGTTCGCACTGACGTGGTAGTGGGTGAATGGGTCAGCAGCGGCTGGATAGGGCGCTGTTTTGTTGCCCTTTGACCAGTCATTTTCGATTTCATGATCGTCTAATGAGTGAATCCACGGGAGGTCGATGGCAGTGTTGTTTTTAGAGGTGAAAGCCCAAGAAGGCGAGGAGTAGATACGCCTGTACTCGCTGCGATAGTGGTCCATCGATGCACCGAATCTGAAGGGTACGTCGATATAGATGAAGTCGCCGAGGAAGAGCATGAAGGATGGCTTGAGTAGTTCGGGGATTTTGGCGAGAGCTTCGGTCATTATCTCTATTCCTGGTACTCGTAGTGGATGCGATAGAATGTTGTATGGGAAGTTTGGCTTTAAGCAACTCGATGTGACAAATGACATGCGGCTTGCCTCACGCGATCCTGGTCGCGGTGCGGTCACGAAATTACCGGTCTTGTTGTTCGATAGTCGATATCGATAGGAAGTCCCGGGCTTCAAGTTTTGAAATTTCACTGTGGTGGTGAAGTCGGTACTATTGTTTATCATGTAGACAGTGCCTTCTTGGACCCATTTATTTGACTCATGCGAGGCTTCTTGGTATGATACTACGACAGGCAATTGAGCCATGTCAGGCTCTCGAAAGACCAAATTAGCGGTGGTCGGAGAGACATAGCCAATACGAGAAAAGGAAATCTCATTGCTCGGGTACACCACTAATCCTCGAAGCAAGAAGTCTAATGCAAGACAGGATACAACAATGTTGATCAGTGCTGTGACCCATGTCCAGACAGGCGACCGCTTGGAAGGAAGACCTGTGAGCAGGGTCTTAAGAGCAGAATCGCAGGATTTAGATGCGCTTGAGACATGAACACGCTCTTCATTAATTGATATAATCAGTCAATCGTATACAGCAACATTTGGAAGGTGGACTCACTGGTGGAGGACTTCCCACCTTTCCGGGATGATCGTCAGAAGGAGGCTCATCTTTTGCCAAGGATAAAACCGAGGAAAGATAAATTAATAAAGAAGTGAAAACAATCGGCGCAAATGGCCAGCCGGGGATCTAACGTAATAAATTAGCAAATAAATTGTGGATGATCTCATGGTGTTCTCCTTCATACCCATCTTAACAAAACGAAGGCAAAAAAGCGGATAGTCGCGGAGCTGGTTGCTGCAACTCCTCGCAAAAGAGACACCATTATCGCGACTTCAAGAAGACAGCAAACAAATTACCATAACTTATTGAACAGGTGAAGTTATTCAAATAGGGATGAGCATTACAGGGCGGTCATGCTGATTTAAGACTTGTTGATTGGTGTTCATGTTTTGGAATGACGACATGTGTTTCCAAGGTTGCGGGTCCACTTACAGTAACCAGTTGACCATTCTATCAATGTTACTACTAGTATCACCTTAGAACGAAATATCATGAATATTCAAGCTCTGCTACCTGTAAGGTTGCCTTCTGTAGATAATTGAAGTCCATTAAAACATTTAAATATGGAATATTCTCAATAAGTACTAGCTGACATTAGATCCACGATACTATAAGAAAGACCCAGTCCTAGATCACAGATATCTTTGAATGATAAATTCAACATATCTCAAGTAGAGCTTCTGACTAGGATCCTCCCCATCGTCGATTTCGGGCCAGCATGTCCTGCAGCAGGTTATTCACGCTAGCAGCAGCGCTGTTGGCTATACCCCCGGGGGTCAACATCTGGCGCGCGGCGACGACCAAGTCTTTGAGTCCCAGGCTTACAGACATCTCTGCTGCCCATTGCCAAGGCTTCTCTCTTCCACCAGGAAAGGCATTAAAATATTCCCAACCCATGACTCCACCAAAATTGGGGAACTGCTCGACCAAGTTCGCAAGAACCGGGCTCAGTCTTTCACCGGACACGTATCCCTGTGATCCATTGCCCGGGTTTGTCAAGAGACCATAAACCACACGACGTGGAGACCAGCCCTGTTGGATCATGGCCGCATACATGCGTGGGTCCTCAGCCGGACCCCAGCCATTGTAGAATTGAGCATTATACCAGTCAATCTTTGAAGCTCGGGCTTGTTCGAGCTCTCTATAGTCAAAGCCTGACAGATTTCCAACGCCAAGAAGTGCTGCTGCGACCGGTGCTAACGTGATGATAAAGTCGTCGCCCATATCGGCCTTGAGTCGGTCGATCAGTCGAATAATACCTTGCAGCGACATCTCCTCTTCCACATCGAGATCGAGTCCATCAAGTTCGTAACGGCGCAAAATCTCCAAGAGAGGGAGGTAGTATCGCTCGAATTGGTCTTGGTCGCCGTCAAGGCGAGTGAATGAACCTCGAGCTGCACCGCCCAGCATCCCCATTATCTTCACACCACCTTGCTTAACCAGGGGGACCTCGGCCCATAAAGGGTCGAACTTGGGGTTATCTGGAGGGTCATCATTGAGCGTGATGCGATTCGGATCCTCATTGATGTGAATGGCTGCTAAAATGACATGTGTCACGCCGGTATTGTTTTCCACAAGGGGCATCATGGAAACATATGGATCCGAGCCCGGGATCAAGGTTTGGTGATAGAGGATCACACGCGGGCGCTCCAGCGGCCCACCTGGTAGGGGAGGCATTATGACTCGGATGGGATATGTTCAAGTTGGAGAGCACTCTTGTTGTCAACAACATGGAAGGAAATTCAGCTCCGCACAACTAACCAGCTCCTAGTGGATAAGAAGTGGGGTGGCTCTAGCCTCTGATAAGGCCGCGACTGAGAGCTCAGATCTAATATGAAACCACTTAAGTCGAGGAGCTGGTGCTGATTATATCGAGTCCTTGGAGAATCAAATCCTAACCAGTCATGCTCTAATATTAAATCTTATCTATCATGGGGGTATTTTGACCCCGCGGATGATACAGTAAACCTTGGAAGCTGCATATGGCAGGGAAGCTTCCCCTGGAAATTCAACGCGTGCCCTGACTAAGCCAAGATCTGGTACAACAACCTTAGAACATTCCAAGGGTTTGATCTCCGAGGAATGAGAATGAGATCACACGATATTGATAAGATATCAGATTGCACAGATAGCAATTAGCCACAGCAAATCTAGTTTGGGCTGTGGTCATGCCCATTGTTCCGAGTCACACATATGCTGACCTTGTTTGAGTTGACATTATACTCCCAGCCCACGTGGTGCAGGTGCATTCAAGGATGGAATTTTTCGTATAGATGATCTAATAGTCCAGGATAAAAGTGCCTGGATAGTAAATTGGAAGGAATATTGGACTTGGAGATAGAAAACTATTCTAAGCTGAGCGAGTACAAGAACGACTAGTAACATTGAGAACCATTTTTTGTCATTCATAGCAATCTTATAAGAATTATCAAATATTCCAGGGGGGTTCACCTTTTCTTTGATCTTAAGTCTAGCAGTACCCCGAGTTTTAGCAAGCGAGGCCCTTTCTCAGCACTCTCTCAATTTCTTTTCCCCCAAGGTCCTCTTTCCCCTTCATAGCAAAACATAAAACCCAGACATCATACGTGCTTGATAGTATGATCACTAGCCACGGGACATAATCAGTCATTAAGATATCTCCTGATCAACACCAAACTGCATGAAGAGTCAACCATTATAAGCAAAAAGCGATATTCATCTCGTCTCTGATGAGCACCCGGATCAGTGGGACTAGTCAAAGAAAGTCACCTGTATAATTAGCTCACAAATGGTTTCAACATAACTCAATCTCAAGACCTCTCAGGATTTTTCATATCCAAGACCATCTGTATATGCTCAAATTTCAGCGGAGAATTTTCATACTGAGCCAAGAGATGTGCTGTACGGATGACATTCTTAATCTGTCGACCATTGAGCTCGATCCGGGAGACGCAGTCCAGTTCGTCATTGGATAGAACCTCCATGGCTGTTGTGCTAATAGACTGAGTCCAAATTTGGCGCCTGACAGCTTCATTAAGATCTGGGTATCATATCGTGACGTGGATACGAGACTCAAAGGCAGGATCAATATTCTCAGCGCGATTAGTAGTGAGGAATAGGATTCCCTAAATGGGCCAGTACTTTGCACTAAGATGGATATTAGAATAAGTCACCTCGTAGTATTCCAATAGTCGTAAGAAGATCGAGACTAGTTCATTTCTCTTGAGATCAATATTGTCACGGGTCTCCATAAAAACGTCGGCCTCATCAATCAGAAGAACTGCTCCCCATCTGGGAACTAGGCCCATAATACCACTCAAATTATACTCAACTTCTGAAGAGCTGTAAAGAGGGACCTTCATCACCTCGGCAATACTCTCTGCTGTGAGAGTCTTGCCAATGCCAGGTGGCCCTTTGAGTAGCATGATGATACTATGGCCCTTGCCCTTGATAACATCATCAAAGGAATCAGACTCGGAGTTTTTGGATTTTGATTGCACAAATGCAAGTATGAGCCTTTTCATATTCCGCTCTGCATGTGGAAGCACCAAGGAGTCAAATGCTCTGTTATTCCAGACAATCTCACTCAGGCTATCCACTTCAAATTTGAGCCATTTCTTTTCCTTCAATGCATAGCCTCAAAGAGATGAGGTGGAAATCAGGTGCTTCTCATCGTCAAGTTCGTTCCATATTGCAACTTGTTTCACGTAGACAGATTCATTCTTACTGAACTTGCTGTACAATTTCGTATCAATGACAACGCGTCCTGTGATTTGGAATTCCATCAGATGGCCAAATGAATATCCATATGCAGGTCCTCTGTACTGCTTGAAGTGATATCCCTTGTAACTCTCCCAGAGTTTTCCACGAGCGATGAGACTGGCTCGAATTCCGTCTTTGTCTTCGTGATAGACAAGAGGGAAGACAGGAAGTGTAGTAATGGGCAAGGTTCAATTGAAAAGAGGAATGACAAATTTATGGTCACAGTATCCGAAGCTTTCACTATCATCATAAACATATTCACATTTTATCTCCAAATGTCCCAATCTGTTGAGATGGTTATCCTTGAAAATGAACGCGCGCGGATGGCCATCAAGGGCGCTGAAAACGAGATCACCTGGCTCAAAGATTGCTAAGAGCATATCTGCAGTACATAATAACACCGTTCTTCACAAGATCCTGTTTCTCAGAAAGATTGCTTGCAATCTCCTTGTATATGATCTCATGTAACAAATCAACGTGCTCCTTTGTCGTTGGGTCTGTTATCTCGTCTTTTGCTTTGATCAATCTGTCCCAGCGGTGAATGAAAGAAGTAAATGGCGAATGAAACTCGACACGCTGAAGGGTTGTTGCTGTTCCGGGATAGCCTCTGAAAACCCCACCGAGGAACTTCTTGACATGGTCACTCTGGATTGATATTGAGTTGACACTGAGATTGCGGGAAAAGCTGTAAGACTTCGCATATCGGACAATCAAGGCATATTGACTGGACTCTGAGTTCTCTGCAGGGACTGTCAGGTCGGTGGGCATCTCTTTAACCCAAAACTTCTTGCCATCGCGATCAAATTTTTCATAAGATTGTGAGCTTTACAAATACTACCGACTGGCGCATATTACGTGAGCTTTGAGCTCAAGAAGTTTTTGCCTACGACTCCAGCAATATGTGAGCTTTATCTTTCTGGGTAAAGTAGAATGTTAAGCAGGGATACGTACGATTTGGCACCGACTCGGTCTTGGCCTCCATATTGTTAGTGGACAAAGTGGGAGACACTACCCGGTGATAGATACTCCTTCTAGCAGTCTCCGAGTCTAGTAAATCTAGGAAAACTTTCGTGTAGGCACCTGGCAGATTCAAGGACAATGGTGCGAGAGTTTCGTTTATTTTATATCCGAGTCTGTATTGTATTTCCAAGGTTGGAAGGTTTACCAGGCAGTGTCATTTCGCTCGGAGTCCGAAAACAGTCCCCGATATTTTGTTGCCCAGTGATGAGGTTGAGTCACATCTGACTCTGTGAAATGAATTTTGATCTAAGCTCCAGGGCTCACTCCAGGGTTTGTGGAGAGTGCTGGGGCCGTTCCGTTGATCCTTGAATCCTGAACCGTGGGACCTATCCATGTTTTATCGTTTACATACGTGCGTCTTCATATGACTTACTATAATATAATTTGAAGCCTTCAATGAGCAGTGGAGTGGTTACATAGTGGTCCCAGCCATGTCAAAATATTAATGACTTGGAAGTTTTTATTGCGTTACTCAAGTATAACATTCATCAAACGGAATCAATGACGTGGTGGTGGAAACTGCCAGTGCGTATCTGGAATCGGCTCAGCTGTGAATTGAAACTAAAGAATTTGAATATGAGGACTTCCGCTGTACAAGGCTTTGGAATTGACGCTAAAAACTTCCACCTTTCTCGCAGTTTGAACGGCAAGTCGGCATTTTACTGTCGACCAGCACCAGCACTTGTTTCGCTTCCGAGGTCGATCATCAGCGAGTCCTGAGCACTTGGATTTCACTTGCGACCAAAATGACACCAAAAAGTCCATTCCAGGGAGTCTTCGAGGATGGTAAAGCTCCAGTCTATGATCTGATTGAGAGGGAAAAGATCATCATGTGTGACCTGTCGCTTCAAATAACTCCAAAGTATTTCTGGCGAGTTCGTTCCATTGCTAGCTCTTCAGGCATGGGAAGGAGAAACTTATCAATCTCATTGACCCAAAAAGAATTTTGTGGATTGACTTGATAAGCAGTGGTGTATTCCCAATATGATGGATACCAGCCAGAAGTTTCCCAATCAATGATTCCAACAATATCATCTCCGCGAATAAGAATATTGAGGCTGCTCAGGTCGCCGTGAGTAAATTTTAAAGGCCATGATTTGCCGTGCTGTGTGATGAACTCTTGAATCTCAGGATCAAAAGTACATGTAGGATCAAATTCGATACCACTTCGTAAATGCCGATGGAAGTCCTGAATGCCGTTAAATGGACCAAAACGCAACATTTTGAAGGAAGTGCCTGGTAAGCGGCAGTCAAACATGGATCCGCCATCAGCAGAAGCTATCTTTGTGCCTTCTGGCGCTGGGATTTCTCGCATCTCTTGAATCATAGACTTCAGTTTTGAAAGTAGCTTAGCTTTTGATTCCTCATCCCGTCGTACCCAACCAACTCCAATCATATCCCCCTTAATTCTCTCCATCAAGATATACGTCTTTTGACAGTGTGTGAAAGCACATATAACTCTTGGAACTGGAATCGATGTTCGCTCCGATATGAAACGCATTGTAAAGGCCTCAGATAAATGTACACTGGGACCGTACTTGACACATAGCCGGTCTGTCAACATGAGCACGCTCCCTTTGCAAGGCCTGATAGACCAAAGCAGCTTGACAGCCAAAAGCGCAAAGAATAGATTTAAAGCCGTACATTGAATGGAGCTGATGTTGCGTGCGTAGATGGCGAATGCAAACCGAGGTTATCTTTGGGTGACATGAAGGCAATCGTGATAAAAGGCAGCGTTTTAGTACGGACTTGACTGATCCGATAGAATAATTTCAAGGTTCTCTTGCGACTTGTAATTCTGTATGTATGAAGACGGGCCACAATTTCTCCATAAATCAACAAAACGTTGTGCAATAATGCTCAGGTGAGAGACTCGGAAAGATACAAAAAATAAATGTAGCATAAGGGGTCATCACATAATACCACAGCACATGTAACCTCCTTACTGCCACGCAGCACAAGTCTCAAAACACTGGCAATGCAAATGGACTATGCGATATTCATCACACATTTAGTGCAATATACCTGCCCAGGTGGACCTGGCCAAAAGGCTTAATCAGCCTATATATTAGCATTGTTGAGAGATGACTTGAGTCTGTTTGATCTGATGCACGCCCAAAGAGTAGGGGTAGAGACGGGAGAGAAGCAAAAGCTGCGAATCGGACAAGAATTCAGACGATATATGCGCAAGATAGTGCAGATGCCTATATGAAACGTTGACTGAGCTGCCTGAGAAATTCAATAATTCGAGACAGGTTGGATCAAACTCGCAACCACTGGAGAAATCCGTTGGTCGATACCATAACCAGCCACATAATTGGTTCATTGATGTGACTTATGAGAGCTATAGCCCATATTTTGCTCTTCAGGGCCGATCCTCTCAGAAACACAAGTTGGACATTTATGGGGAGGAAATCGTCAGTTGGCTTCTTACAGAAGAAGAGTCACGAAGGCTTGCGCGTTGGCCGGCTTTGCAAGTTTCGACATACCTTTTTCGATTCGAGGCTGATGATTGCGGGAAATTTCACAATCTGAGCTGGGTTCACGATGCAGGTGTCACTGAAGGTGAAACTTTTGTCAAGCACGAAAGTACCAACTCCAGATGTTATCTTTCCATGATGAGCTTTGAGTAATTACTGGCAGTTTATCAGTAGCAACTTTCACTTGAACAAGTCGATCTACAGAAACCAAATTGTAATGTAGGAAGATGAGTGGATATCTCAATAATATTCTGTTCCAAAACGCCATGCGATGCATACAAAAATATCACCCGAAGATGTAAATAAACAAAGACCATATAAATGGATATAATAAAAGAATAAAAGAATATTTTTGCCTTCACTTTTGCAGCATGGTCTCTTATTTGGCCTGGGCAGCCAACCACGCCTCGTGCGCCTTCTTCTGTCGCTCCCAGTCCTTGCGAAGCTTCTTCACACGACTCTTAGTGACCTCTTCACCGGCAGCATCACGGGTAGGCATACCCTCATCATCCCAGGCACTGTACTCAGCAGTGCGGTACATCTCCAAGTGGCTCAGCTTGCCCTTCTCAAGCTTCTTCAGGGCTTCCTCCTCCCGAGCCTTCTGAGCAAGAACCTTCTGGCGGGCCTTCTCAGCCTTCTCCTCACGAGCTTGGATCATCTCACGAGTGACGGGACGGATAAGTGCAGGGAGGTTATCGCGGTCCTCAAGGTAAACACCCAAATCGAAGAGATCGATATCACGCACGCGATCGCACAGAGAGAGGATCTCCTTAACGGCAGAATCGGATGACTGGAGAGAAGAGGCCTTGGTGCGGAAGTTGGAGAGAACCTCGGCATAGGGCTTGGCGGACTCTGGAACATCCTGGGGAGCAGATTCCTTAGTCGCCTTAGCGATGACCTCGGCGGTGATTCCGTCCTTTGAGCGGGCTGCTTGACGGAGAGTATCACGCATAGTGGAGAGAGGGTTCAGGAAGGGCTTGGCCTCCTCAGGAACATCAATACCAGACCAACCGATCTCAGTGCTATCGGCTGGAGCTGATCCATTAAGACCGAAGATGTTGACCATCGAAGTCACAAATTGAGCGGCACCCTTGACATGCTCAGGGTTCAGAGCGGCCTTATCGGCGCTGTTGTATTTAGAAATGAGCTCTGCGAGAGCATGCATCACACCCGCAGTGTTGAAGGAGTCGCACAGGCAAGCGTCCACGGTAGCCTTGGTCGCTTCAAGATCGGCGCCGAAGGTGGTATCGGTAGAAGAGCCCTGGAAAGCAGCTGGATCCTTGACCTTGAGGAAGAAGTTGTTGACCTTCTCCTCCCAGGTGTTACCGGTAGCCACAAGCTCGTCAGTAACCTCGATACCTTCCTTCCAACCACCCAAAAGGAATGCAATACGCAAGCTTCGAGAGGTCCAGTGCTTCTGCTCCAATGAATCCCGGATGGAAATAAAGTTCTTCAAGGACTTAGACATCTTCGAGCCTTGGATAGACAGATGACCCATGTGCAAGAAGTAGTTCACCCACTGTTCGTGGTTGTGATAGTGTGCCTCACTCTGAGCTAATTCGTTATCGTGGTGAGGGAAGACTAGATCGATACCACCAGAGTGGATATCCATCTGCTGCCCCAGTCGGGCAGAGGCCATGGCCGAGCACTCGATGTGCCAACCAGGACGACCTCTGCCCCAGGAGCTCTCCCAGCTAGGCTCGCCAGGCTTGGAAGACTTCCAGAGAGCGAAGTCCGAAGCACTTCGCTTTTCAGTAGTTGTGCTAGTGAGAGAACCCTCTCCCTCTGCAGCCAGCTTGTTATCAGAACGGCTCCACGGCGCGAGGCGAGCGTAATGGTGACCGCCAGCCTCAAAAGCATCAATGTCAAAGTAGACAGAGCCATCCTTGGTAACATATCCAAATCCGTTCTCCACGATACGCTCAACAAAGTTGGCGATCTCAGTGCCATATTCTGTAACACGGGTAATCTCATTGGGGTCAAGAACATTCAGATTCCGCATATCCGTCAAGAACCGCTCCTCAAATTTGCGGGTCAGCTTCAAGAAGATGCTGTGATCGTCGGCATCAATCAATGCCCCCTTCAAAGCATCCAGGTAAGGCAGGAGAATATCCTGGGCGCTCGAGTAAAATGACTCAGCAAAGACCGCAGGGTCAGCAGGAGTGCTAGTCTGCGCCTGGACAATAACCTTGGCAGCTGGTGCCACAGTCTTGATGTGCATCTTCACCTTGGCCTCGTCATCTCCAGGCTTCTCGTTTCCTGCCAGAGTGCCGCCATTCAGCACGGTTGCGTAAACCTTCTCCACCTCCTCTTGATATTGGGCGGGGGCGAGGTCCGATGCCAGCAGGGGCAGGTTCTTTTTCACATAAGCCGAGTAGGCCTTCTGAGTGGTGTCGATTGCCTCGGGGGTAATAGTGGGGTTAATTGCGACATATTCATTGAAGAGGTGTTGCTGTCTGGCACGCAGGATGATCTATGAATGGAGGGATAAATGAGCCATTGCGCTCGGATACTCTCGCAATATACAGATTAGCACGTCATAATCATACCTTGTCATCAACATCAGTAATGTTCATTACGAAGTGTACGTCGTATTTGAAATAGTCGCGCATGATGCGCCGGATAATGTCGGTGGACACATAGTTCCGAGCATGCCCCAAGTGTGAGTCATCGTACACAGTCGGACCGCACGCATACCAAGTCACCTTCTTTCCGGCAGGGTCGATAGGAACAAAAGGCGTCTTAGACTTGGTCAACGAGTTCCAAACCTTTATCGGAGGAAGCTGCGCGCCGGGGTGCGAAGGTGGTTGCCGCCATGGCGGCTGTTGGCGAGACGACATGGACTTGACAGATAGAACGGAGATCGAGACAGACAGAAAGCGAAACCGCTGCTTATGAGGGAAGGCGGAGCGTAGAAGGAGGGGCATATATGGAGGAAGTAAGAAAAAAACACCGCGGGGACAAGGAGGGGCTTTAAACAACGAAACACGCATCGATCTTAAGGTTGGTTTGCGCTCATGATTGGTCCATGCGTACTGTCCCGCATACCCTAAGCCCTAATATCCAAGATAGGAAATATCAATCAGTTCTTTTTCTCCAAAAGTTGAAGCTTCTTTGCTGTACAGATAGAGGTCCCTCAGTACTGAAGGATCTACTTCTATTGTCCCACTAACTACAACCCAGTTGAGCTGTATTAGGCTCTTCTAATCACAATGCCATCACCCTTTTTAAACCCCGGGTCTCGCGCGCAGCCCGATAACATTGCGCTCCTTCATCTACGTCGCGATCAGAGCATTCCGACCATTCTCCGCACTCAGGATGACGAATGCCAGGGTTACAAAGAAGGAAAAGTGACCACCACCCGTTTTGGAGTGTTCCCACACAGTACTATGCTGGACCAACCATGGGGTTCTCAAATCGCCGCCTCAAAAGTCGACACAGGATCCCGCGGCCGGAGACCAGCGAACCCAGCTAAGCGCAAGGCCGACGAGTTGGATGGATCCGGTACAACAACCGGTGCAGAGGATGACGCACCTGCAAAAGCCGTTGCCGCCGCAAGTGGTTTCCTGCACTTGATGTACCCTACCCCCGAAGCCTGGACCTTATCACTTCCCCACCGTACCCAGGTCGTATACTCTCCAGACTACAGCTACATCCTGCACCGACTCCGAGTGCGCGCTGGTGGAACCATTATCGAGGCTGGCGCTGGAAGTGGTTCATTTACCCACGCATCCGTCCGCGCCGTATTCAACGGATACCCTGAAGAGCAGCAAAAGAAGCGGAAGTTGGGAAAAGTGTGCAGTTACGAGTTTCATGAGCAGCGCGCTGGGCGGATTCGTGAGGAGGTTTCACAACATGGATTGGATGGTTTGGTGGAGGTGACACACCGTGACGTCTGCAAAGATGGATTCCTCTTGGGCGATTCAGAAACGGGTTCCTCACCAAACGCCACTGCTGTTTTCCTGGATTTACCTGCCCCATGGCTTGCGCTGAAACACCTCGTCCGCAAGCCTGCCTCTGGTGGCCCCTCTCCACTTGATCCGTCATCGACCGTGTATATTTGTACCTTCTCACCATGTCTCGAGCAAGTAGAGAAGACCGTCCGCGTGATGCGACAGTTATCGTGGTTGAACATCGAGATGGTCGAGGTACAAGACGAACGGATTGATGTGAAGCGGGAGCGTGTCGGTTTGGATACTGAGGGAATCAGAGGAGCAACCGTCTTCCCTACAACTGTTGAAGAAGCAGCAGATAAGCTCTGGGCCGAAGAAGAGCGAGCGAAGATTCTTCGTTCAGGCTCGAAGGACAAGAACCTTAGCCCGGAGGAGACGGCTGCTCTCAAGGAAGCTGAGCTTGCCATTACTGAGACGATAAAGCCGAAGACATCTACACCGGCATATGACTTGGGCCGCTTGGTGCACCGCTCTGAGCCAGAGATTAAGACTCACACCTCCTACTTGGTTTTTGCTATTCTCCCCCGTGAATGGACTGAGGAGGATGAACAAAAGTGCCGTGAGCAGTGGCCTCCCAGCAAACTGGATGCTCTTCTGGATAAGGGCAAAAGCAAGAAGCAGATGAAGCGGGAATCCAAATCACAACGCATGGCGGAATCAATTGCGAAGAAAACAGCTGAGAAGGCTTCAGAGGCGGATACTGAGACCTCATGAGATTGATTGTATACTAAAAATTAATGTACTGTGTGGTATTAAGCGACTACTTTAAAATATTGTTTATATGTATATGCCGGTGTTATCTAGACCAGAAATTAAAACAGGCAGTATATATGGAAGTGAACCTTGGAAGTCATAAGTCTCATTGCTCAGTGATGTAAATGGAGTATATTCTAGGTAATCTGATGGCAAACGCCGGGGAATCGGGGACCGATGATAATGCTATGTCACAAAGCAATTGGACTCAACGCTAACGAGGCATAAACGACAAGCTTAGAGCTTTTCATCAACTCGGAACTTATCCCAAGCTTCATTCAATGCGCCGAATACAGCACCGGCGATCATACGTTGCTCCGTTGTGGCAGTGGTAGGGATCTGGTAGACTAGAGTTAGAAATGTCCACAAGTAATAATAAGAAACATGAGAGTTACGTACCTTGTCGGGATGCACCTTTGCAATACCCTTCATATAATTAATCTTGACCTTATTCGCCAAGACAAGGTCCGACAAGCCCACCTTCTTCCAGCCAGCCTCAGACCAGAGTACTGTATCCAGACTACCCAGAAGTGCGCGCAGGTTATCCTGCTTTCCATTCTTCCACTTCGCTATTCTGCTATCGACACTGTCTGTGAGAGCAAATTTCTCCTGATCAGCACGTTCCGCAGCTTGATTCGCCTCCCGCAGACGGGCGACGGCTGCCGAGTCCTGACCAGAGCTTGAAGGGCCAAGATCAGAGAGTGCAGAAACTTTCTTAGGTACTGGTGCAGGTCTCCTTTTAGCAGGAGCCGAGGGTTTAGTAGGCGATTTGCTGATCCCGGCAGCTTTCTCGCACCGATTGCGGCCTTGAATACAAGTACTTCCACCGTGACCAGTCTCCACTGCCAGCTTCCACGCCTGGGCAGCGTCGGCCCATCGCTCGAGCTGCTCCAAAGCTTCGGCCTTGCGCATGAGAGCCTTGCCGAAGAAATCCCTCATTGATTTGGCGGGTTCACCATTTTCTAACTCGATGACTTCATTCTCGCCTCTTGAGGGTCCAATCAAATCCAATATAATGTCGGCGTCGTCAATGGCTGTCTTGGGTTCACCGGTCTTGAGGGCTGTCATGGCACGGTTGCTTCGAATCATAATGGTGATTGGATGCCTATCAGGAAGCATTCCAAGAGCCGTCGAGAAGCTTGCATGTGCAGCTGCATAATCACCCCGCTTATATGCCTCTGCTGCTTTCTCGCGGTGGCGGTGAGTGGATTGAAGAGCTTCTGGGGACACGGGCGGGATAGATCGTGGCGGAGCTTTAGGTCGTACAGGAATAGAAGCAGATCGTGCAGGAGGCGGCGTAGGTCGAGATGGAGTTGGTTTAGATTGATTGGTTGAAGGAGCGGGAGAATCAAATAGATCAACAGTAGGCTCGGGTGCCGCTGGTGGCGCTTGAGCTTGGGCCTGGGGCCGCTTGCGTCTAGCAGGACTGACATATGCTTGCGCCGACTGCTCTTCTGCAGCAAACCGGGACAGACGAGATTTAGGTTCTTGGGAACTTGGTCGTGAGGGTCGTTGGAGGAAATGGGGTTGCTGCTGCATCAGCTGCCCAGCTGGGGGAGATGGCTGGGGCCGCAGATCGCGACCACTTGAAGCAGGCTGGGATGGGCGAGGGGGCTTCCGAGGACGCGTTTCTTGCGAATCTAATAGTAACGCCTCATTTGTAAATTCTGTATCCTTCTGCCCTTGCGGCTGACCTGTTCCATCGGCGCGCCGAGTGGGTAGCGGCGGCTGAGAAGGTGACTCCTCACGAGACACAGACGCATCGCGCATCCACTTGGGTTGACTGGGGTCATGATCTGCATTAAATTCATTCACGGCTTGTTGGAATTTCTTGCTTCCTGTTTTCCATAATGAATTTGCCGTTTTCAAGAAATTGTTCCCAAATTGTGCTGCAATTTGGGCTGGGTCTTTCTCCCCGGCGGCAGGACTACGGCTGTCATCACGCGACCGAGGGTCCTGGAATCTCCTTTCATTTTGCCACGATGGTGCATCACGGTTGCGGCTTTGGCTCCTCTCAGGATGATCATTAGCTGGTGATCGACCCTGTGCCTTTTGTCTGGCTTCAGCGTGCGCCGATGTAAGAAGCCAGCTTACTGCAGCTTGGACATCAGTACCTGATGAAGTAGTTCTAAGAGCTAGTCGGGCCTTGTCTGCCGGGAATCCCATGTCGACCAGCTCTGCAATAGCCCGGTCTACATCATTAGATGGCATAGGCGAAGCTTCACTTTCTTCCCGACCATTAACGGGAGATGCTCTTGTCTCCGGAACCACTTGTTGGCGGGGTATTTCCGACACGGGCTTTCCTAGCAATCCCAAAAAGTCATCATCATCCTCTTGAGCTGGAGCCGGCGCGGAGCGAGCTGCTGATTTACTCTTGAGGTCACTCAGTCCGAATGGGTCATCGTCATCGAATGCGCTCATTCCCCCAGTGTTGTCTTGCATCTGGATACCCCCACCATTCACACCTTGTGAGGGCCTCGCACCAAGTCCTGGCGACGGGGAGGCACTGGGAATGGGGAAATTTGTAGAGGCATCGACAGGTGCTTTAGCATTGAAGGCAGCCAGCAAATCATCATCATCAGCGGTTGATGCGACCGGTTGCGACAACGCTCCCCCAGCTGGGCTCCGCGTACGACCTTGCTCAAAGTTATCCCAAAACTGCGAGTTCTGCCCACCGTATTGAGACTCGAACCGTTTTCTGTTTTCTATTTCTTTTTGCGCTTTCTCGGCTTCTAATCGCTTCTGCTGTTCTGCCAGAGAGAGGTTCTTGTTGCCTGCGGAGGGACCGAACGAGACCAAGCTTGCGAAGCTATCTCCGGTGGGGGCGGCCGGTTTTGCGGGGGAATTGGATCGGTTGGAGGCCGTAGACAGAGGGGTCGATCTGCCAGAAGCATTTGATTGTCGTAGATTGGGAATCATGAGTCCTGAAGACATTGGAGGGGGCTTATTGGTTGGGGGGGTTTGAGTTGGAGGACCAACTCAGCCCATTGAGGTCATCCATGGCCGCGCAATGGTTTTAGCCTATGTAGGATGAAGGGACTCAGGGCTAACTGGAGGGTTAATAATTAGCAAACCACTGAAGTAGATAACAGTGGATCTTTCATCATACCGGAAACAATTGAAGGTTTGAACATGAAGACAGCTTTCAACATCTCGTTGACGACAAAGCCCCCTGTAGATGTGGGGGAACGGATCAACTAGATCCGCGTCTTGGCAATGGCCAGAACATTGATGCCTTCACTTATAACTGCCAGTGTGAATGTAACTTGATTTTATATATTAGAGAATGTAATGATCCTTGTAGTAATTTGTCGCTCTATTGGCTAATTCTTATCCAGAATTGGTACATGTACCAGTAACTTCATAATATCTTACGCGCCTACTAGACGGTGCATGTACTGCTGCTAGTATGGATGCAAGCCTGGGCACTTTAAATATTTTAAAACCATCTGATGAGCCTCTTAATGTATACATTATGATACAGTACTGCCTTGGCTGTGAGAAGAGTGACAGGTGGCTACTACTAGTATTAATTATTAGTAAATTTCTTTTTTATATGCACTGAAGTTGACAGTATCCAATGCTTTGAACCTTGACCATCATGTACTCCAGCCCTGGAGAGCTACAAGGAGATACAAATATAGCAACCTTGGAAAATAGTCACCAACTTTCAGAAGTTCCTCATTTCTGTTTCTCGTCAACTTCCTCTCACTCTTCGTTCTTTCTTACTACGAGTTCGGTTGACCTTCATATTTTTCTGGAACTTGCCCAGGTGAGCTTTTGACCTCGTCAACTTTGAAGCTTAATTTGAAGTACAAGTAATGTGAACTTGAGAGATCACGGATCTTATATCACATCACATCACACCCATTCAACTAGCTAGCAATATAGCTGCTGTTTCCCATGAAAATAACTAATGTTTTGACCACTACAGCAACTGAACTTCAAGATAGACCGTCCAACTCGACCTTGAAATCCACATACCTCGTCAGGATTTATCTCAAGCAGATGGGGGACCATAATCACAGCGGGCTCGGACCGAATGCAGCTATATCCACCCCTCGAGTCGACCAAGTTCTTGATATCGCCACAAAGCTAGATGACCCGCGGCACTTTGCATGGAATACTGATACTTCTCAAAGACAATATCATGACAGAGGCATTTATGGAAATGGACACCACGTGTGGAGCGTATGCTTTTCTCGGTGCCAAGGCCAGGAATAATGCATATATTGTGGACCTATTGTGGACATGATTCTTATTGCTGGGATGATCATCATTAGAAAAACAAACCTCTCGGTATATCATGATGCCCGTGTGTTCACTGAAGCCATCAGAAGTGCCCAAGTCTTTGAACCCGAAGTGGGCTTGTTTCAAAGGCCATGGATTTCCAGGTGGCTTATCTGCTGTTGACGGACAAATCCAAACACCCTATGTTATTGGCAGATATAAACAGGAAGACAGAATGATTGGACCTAGTGTAAGTTCGTCGCGGTGGATAAATACAATGACACTAATAAAACCTAGGACTACTGTGGCTCTTCATCTGGCTCCGCAGGATATCTCAACAGAGAGAACACCCCGTTTACCCATTTACAGATAGTCTAGGGCCTATGACTCGTTGCGCTGAGGATCTAGCAGCTTTAATTGGCAGTTTGCTACAGAGAGACTTTTCTTCATCGTTGACCAAGACTTGGAAAGGGCGTAAGGTTGGGTTTGTCGATCCAAAGATCTGGTACATTCAAGTTCGCGAGGGTATATGGGAGTTCGTTGAAGAAATCATAAATCAGCAGGTGAGTACACCGTAGATCTTCTATTATGGAAAATGTCTGAAACTAAATTGATTTTACAGGGTTGCCGATAGCTCGGATGCACTGAATCTAATCACTGATGATGGTGGCAAAGTAATTCAGGATAATTCCCTGATATCGTATGATGAACTCAAATTTGAGTGTTTGGATGGCTTAGATCAGGTCTGGAACCACGATTTCGCTCATCTTTTCCAAGGTTTGCTTCGTTCGTGCAGGGGTATGTTGATCTCCCGGTGAAGTCGGTGGAAGGTCTGATCTTGAACATTCGAAACGTGCAAAAAGCTCTGCCTGGAAGTTAGTCATGATATTGAAAATGATTGGTATCAATTATTTCTTATGTGGCATGAACGTGGGGTGGCTAATTCTATATATTGATCTAGACCCCAAGGTCTTCTCAAGGACTCGATCAAGAAAAGAAAACCATACAACAAGAGAGAAGTACTACGAGGCTAAAAACGTTCTCCGCAAAAATGCAAGAGTTGAAGAGTACGAGAAAGCTTTCAGGGAATATGAGGTGGATATTATTGCAGGTCCTCTTGACTCACAACTGGGTTCCATTACTGCTGTTGCAGGTCATCCATCTGCAACTGTCCACGGGTCCCACTAGGATATGCTGACTCCGAGTCCTATAATGGGCAAGCCTATGGATTATCCATCATTGCAGGTGCTGATAGGGAAGAAGAAAAACCTGTTCAAATGTTCAATTTATGAGTGCAATGAAAGTCACCCGGAAATTCCGAAGCCTCCACCGATCCAGGTTAATTCAGGGGAATCTGAGTTCTTGATCGTGTAAGTATTTTGATTTCATTTATTCCATTTTTTCCTCTTTGGTCATTGATTTATTGATATCACTTTGCCCCGATTTTTCTACCCGTATTCCTATATTGTTGGCTATGAAATAAGGCTGAAAGGATTCTTATACTAGTAAACATCCAGGGCTGTTCTCATCTAAAATCATTATTTTCTTCGAGTAGCTGATTCTTTCCAATGAGGTAAAGAACCCAATCTATGACAAGATTTATCATACTACCTAATAAGCCGATGTTCCCACAAAAAACTTGATTAATCCTTGTAAGTACCAGTTGACCATAGCTTAGCCTTAGAACCACTCCACAATTAACACGTATTCTACCCCGTATTCCAAATCCCAAACTGCCGTGACTCAAATTATTGTATATTCAGGTACATTATTAACAGGGTATCCCTCCATAAGACGTTACTGAATTTGCTCTAATTTTGGCACATTGTGCCCAACACGTGTACGGTGTACCTGAACAGCGCACTCGAACCTTGAAAGCGAGTGCATACGGAGTACGAAGAGACACGAAGAGACACGAAGAGACACGAAGAGACACGAAGAGACACGAAGAGACACGAAAAGACACGAAAAGACAGCATGCATTGTTTCCAGTTAAATGCATAGGAAAATGCACGACCAATGAAACAATGCATTATCGTTTGTTGGAACCAGATGAGCGGTGTTGTCTCAGATCAGAAGCATTTTTCTCCTTACTTACGAGCATCAAAAGAAAAAGCAAAGAGAAAAGTCAATTTGATACCCAACCATTCAGCAGGAACAATGCAAGCACGGCACAGTGGCGGTGGAGTAAGGTTATGATAGGTTATGATAGGTCAGAGATGCATGAACAATAAAGGGGAAAAAAGCACAGAGCTCAATGATGTGTGACAGATCGGGTTTCCAGCCCCACTATATTGAACCCCTAGACTACTAGTTCATTAGTTCGCTAGTGATACCTCCGAGAGGGTATCCATTCCACTAGTCTGACTTTTTTTTTTTAGGGAAATTGTACCGGTGGAACTCCGTCTATACATTACGGTGAACATTTCCAAGTTTAAATATATGAAGATAAACTTGGAGGTATCATGGGATCAAATAGATGTGACAGATCAGGGTTCTGGGTACTTCTGGAGAGCTGCATTCCCGTCGGATAGAGCCTTGATCAACGGTAGTAGAAATACAAATTTTTCAATCTCGTATTAATTCAAAAATTCCAAAATATTCAAAAAAAATATTCTTGTGCCTGACTATTTATTAAACTAGTCCAATTAAATCCTAGTGGCCGGCCAGTAGATCCGGGAAAGGCTTGGAGGATTCGGAGTCAGGAACTATGTACTCCGTATGGATGATAGAAAAAGTGCAATCTCCGAACAAACGAACTTATGATAGAGAACAGGGGAGTTCAATTTATCCAATTAATTTTTGAAAATTCTATAATTCTATAATTCTATAATTCTATAATTAATATTTTTTTTTACTTTTCGAGTCATGACCAGGGAGTGCCCAAGTGAACCCTCGATCGACATAGTGGAGCTTTTGGTGTATGGACCCTATGGAGTTCGCGTGGCTCTATAACCAGTCAACCAGCCTTCGAGATGCACCATATTGTACTAATGTACCTGTCGGCACTAACCCCCTAAAAAGAAAAGAAAAAAAACCTGGATGGGTCTACAAGGTTGTTCTGGATCCAATCCATTTTAATTTTCCTGCGTGAAGCTTTTTCTTTTTTTCATATATGTAGGGGTATTCGTGGTCCACTCCATTGATTGACTGAATGGCCTTGTGTGCCATATCTCCTGGATCTTCGAGTTTCTTATTAGTTTTCTGTCATCAGTGCTCGTTGTCGTACACGAACGTTGTTTCATCTTAGAGTGCATGTTTGTCATGTGTCAGTGATCGAGGTCAAAAGGTGCAAAAGTTCAGACGAAAGTCACGCGTTCGCTCTACCACAAACTTCCCACTTACCAGTTGCGACTCCGCCGCACCAAAAAATTGCTTCACGATGCGGTGGTATCTGTTGCTGGTGTTGGTTATTAGCCTTCACTGGAGGCAGGTCATCACGGCACCGACGGAATTGGCACGAGATGTCAATCCCTTACTCGATCCCAGAGATGAGGCAGACGCGACAGCCACCACGACAGACAATGCTCCTACTCAGACCGCGACAGCCACAGTATCTGGGACTGCTTCAGCATCCACGACCAATACTAATTCAGCTGCTACTACTGCTTCGACCTCTACTTCCAATTCCACATCGCAGACGTCCCAGTCCAGTCAACTCGCCTCCGATACCTCGGTCCCCTCACTCGGTACATCTTCCTCGGGTTCGGGCAGTCAATCGAGCACCAACTCAACGAAGATGACCTACAGTGGAGGGCTTCCTATTCAACCTAAAATCACACCGGCACTGGGTGTTGGAGGTTTCATACTTCTGGCAGCGGGTGCAGCTTTGGCATTTGTCGGAATAAGGAAACCGAGGTAAGGATGGTGAAACATGAGAGGAAAAGTTTCATTATGCTAATGATTGACAGAATTTACATTTTCCTGTCGACCGGATTTGTGGCAGCGCTAGGTGTTACCGTAAGTTCATTATCATGTGCCTACAGCGACCTATTCTGACACTGTACTACTATTAGGTATTGATCGAATATGTGATGAGTCCACCAGCAAGCAATGCAGTGCAAGGCGCATACCTGGTCGCCATTTTTTCCACTGGTGCCATATTCGGTGGCCTTGCGCTTGTGTTCAAAGAGATCACCGAAGGCCTGTGCTGTCTTCTCGGTGGTTTCTGCATCGGAATGTGGCTTATAACCCTAAAAGCTGGTGGTCTTGTTACCAAAGACGGACCGAAAGTGGGATTCATCCTCGCATTTGCTGGAGGATTCTACTGTCTTTCGTTCAGTCGCTACACTCGATCATATGGATCTATTCTGTGTACTGCGTTTAGTGGTGCGACAGCGATAGTCCTTGGTATTGACTGCTACAGCCGAGCTGGACTAAAAGAGTTCTGGCTCTACATCTGGGGTAAGCTAACACAACCTGGGAATGAATTGAACCAATCACTAATTTTTCTCCAGATTTGAATGATGATACATTCCCATTGAACACTTACACGTACCCTATCACGCGTAGCATCCGTGTCGAGTCCGCTGTCAACATGATTGTTGCCATCTTCGGTGTGATCTTCCAGCTGAGGCTGTGGAAGGTCATCAAAGAACGGCGAGAGAAGGAGGAGGCCGCGCGCCATGAAGCGGACAAGGCTAAGGAAGAAGCCGAAGCTGAAATGGGCCGACAGATTGAAGAGAAAAACATGAAGGAGCGAGCCGAATGGGAGCAAATGTATGGCAATGGCAGCGATGGCAAAACGCCATCCATGTCCGAGACCGCGGTGGCCGATTCTCGCAGAGGATCCGATAACTTTGGGTCCGTCAATGAGAAGGGCAACTCGGTCGAGATGAAGGAAATTGGCAGCGCTGATCAGTCTGCCCAAGCCTCTGAATCCGGGAACAATCTCGAAGCCGTTGAGGAGGTTGCTGCAGAGGCATCAGGTGAAACCCCAGATGCCCAGCACCCACAGGGTTTCGATGAGCAAGCCATTCAGGAGGGTCAAGGAACTTCAGATCAACCAGGTGTTCCAGCTTCGGTCCCAAGGGCATTACTACTTGAGACCAATATCCCCGCTGATACCGACTCTGAACATGGAGCTGTCATTGGGTCCGAAGTAGGATCGCCACGATCAAAGCGATTCTCGGGTCGATCACTCGTGAACAGAATGTCATGGAGAAGTGCCCATGAGTTTTCTTACCATGCAAGGTCAGAGTCGCAGGAGGCTCTGGTTACTGCCGACTCATCTTCCACTGTAGCTGGAATCATTGACGACGCTCTAAGCGTTGTCTCCGACAGGGCCAGTCTCGTGTCTGAGGCCGATGAAGCTGCACCTGAGGCTGCTCAAGAGACCGCTCAGGATACACCGAAAGATGCCTCCAATGATGATGCGGCTTCTGAGGCTACTGAAACCAACCCCTTCGCCGATCAGAAGTCCCGAGCGACTGGCTCAGAGCCTGAAACCATCATTCATGCGGGCGCTCAGGACACTGAGACTACGGTCACGGATGTTAATGAGGAGACAAAACTCGAGGTAATCAAGGAAACAGTCATTCCCGAATCGAATAAGAGTGTCAAATCAAACAAGAGTGTCAAATCGAATAACACTGTCAATGCAAAGATTGCTGCATTTGAAAAGGTGATTACCGGGTTCACTACTGAAGCAAAGACCGAACAGACCACTCTCATTGCAACAAGCAGCACTATCGAACACAAAACGGAGGTTCAAAGCACTAATGACCCCAAATGTACACCAAGTTCAGCTCCTCTTGCTGCAGAAGAGATACCCGACAAGCAGAAAACTATGACTGAGAAGAATGAGGAGACAAAATCTGAAAAATCAGTTTCAGAGAGCAAGTCGATTGTTCCCCCTGCCAGCGAGCAAAAAGCTGAGGAGCCTCCGGCTGCTCCTGTCTCCCTGGCCGGCAGCGTGAAGGAAATCCAACCTGATCAGCCGGTACTTCTGCAAAAGCCAAAGCGGGTGGAGAAACCCAAGTTGGATACTTCCACTGTGCAGACCATTCCCGAGCGAACCTCGAGAATCGTCAACAATTTCCGCACCAGAGAATGGGCAAAGCATCTCGCAGATGCGGAAGCTCCTGAATTCGAGCCCATCGAAATTGAGCCCGAAATGCCAGAGGAGATCGAGGCTCCGGAGGAAGCCCCTGCACCAGTTGATATGAAAGGTCTACTGCAGACTCCTCTCAACGCCCAGCCTCCCCCAGTCATAGCAAGCACTGCTCCAACAATCCCCGATCAGCCTTATGTTGAGCCTCCTGTGCCAATCACATCTCCGGTTCTCCCTCAACCCACGATTCAACCAACCCCTCAGCCCATCTCACCAGTGCAGCCCACAGCTACGCCCATTTCCCCTCTTGTAGCTCACAATATGTCATCAATTGCGCTTAGTCCACTTGGACCGACCGACATGACTGCAATGCGCAACAGCGTTGCCGCTCCTCGCTTGACTGTCGCTATTCCACATGAGCCAGAACCACCTGTGGAGACTCCTCGCTGGAGTGGGCCACCACCTCTTTTGGCAGTGCGGGAGACAATGATGCGAAACAGATTGTCGTCAACCTCCCTTCGCTACGATCCATGGACGTCCACCAGAAGTCAATCACGCCAGTCTCTTGGTGAACCCATGAGGGTCGTCTCTCCGACCATGCCCAGCCCTCAAGAGAGAGATGAGATTGTCGAAGAAACCTTCCAACAGGCTCCAGACGACGTTCCACTTTCCCAGCGACGAGCTATGTTGCAGCGTCAGACTGGAGTATCCTCATCCTCGTCTAGTAGTCACAGCTTGGAGCAGATCCGACCACCAGTCCCACCAGCCCACTCTCAGGCTCACCTCCCAACTCATGGACCTGCTCCTGTCGACCCAGACAGATCTGCAGCTTTCATGGCAGCGTGGCGACAATCCGTGCGCGAGGATATTAATAAGAGCCGAGACACACTGGCATTCCAGTCCCCTCCGCCCCCACCAAACAATCCTGAACGCTCTCGCAACACATGGAAATCCGTGCAGCAAATGCGTGAGGCCTCGACAACTCAACTCGACACCGTCATTGCCGATGAGATGCAACGGGGAAATATGACGGACCTACACCGCAAAGCGATGAGACGCATGCAAGCCTCCGCAAACCGCAAACTATAGCGTTTCATTTTATTTACTTGATTGATACCCCATTCTTGGCTCGATTTCGCCTATCATCTCACACATTCGATATATTTTACACACTCGATCACTACCAGCCTTTCTTGTTTATTCTATATCTTTTCTCGGACATCGCCATCGGCGCTTGATGGATATTGGGCTTAATTGGACTCATTATACTGTATATAGTCTAAACAGAATATATTTACTATTGTTAATTTAAACACTATCAAAACTTGCTCATGGTCTGAATCTATCATGTATGCAGTAGAAATGAGCTACCACTTTAGTGCAAGAAGTGCTTCGGAGCCTTCTCAAATAGCCCGATAGCCTGTTCCAATCTCTTCTCATATTCCTCCACTTCCAAGCCCTCCTGATCATCTTCAACAACCCCCGAGTCATCGTCATCATCTTCCTCTTCTCCCGCTTGCCGTCTCTCAGGCTGATACTGCTCCTCGCCAAGCCCCAACTCCACAGTCCGACCCTCACCACCTCTGGCAGTATTAACAGACATAACATCTCGATAAAGACCCATAGAGACAGGCAACTTCACGTCATCACCTTTTCCAGCCTTGATAAACCGCGCATCAACCAACCGATACTGCGCCGCCCAGACATGCGGCTCAGCGACTTGCATCGCCATTTCCCATGTAGATCCAACGCCCAAACTCACAGATCCACCCACCGGCACGCCTGAAACAGCCCCAATAATAGCGGACGAGACTCCCACAGAGACCTTCGAGGATGATCCACGTGATACGACTGTGCGTGCCCCTTCTAGTAGGTATAATCCCGTAAGAAGCCATACTTTGGGTCGACGGGCGAACTTGAAGTTCAGCACATAGGCGCTGTACGCAGCTGATAACCATAGTTTGAGTTTTTCTTGTGCAATCGCATTGCTCAATACATTCTCAGTGAGGAATTGCTCGGGGCTATGGATTTGTTAGTTCAAATGTTCTTTTGTTGTGGTGGAGGTAAATATGCATACTCTTTCAGTAGAACCCGGGTGCCTTTGTCGGCAATGACGATCCGTTCTAGATCTTTGTTATAGGCTAGACTTAGATGGGCGATATCTCCTCCTTCAAGCCCGATGGAAGGCGTAAGACGGGAATGGCCGTGGAAGACTGCATTGGTGACATCGCTCGTGTACGCATGCTCACGAAGAGCATCCTCGCTGTCAGAGTCAGCATCAGCTTAATCCAGACAACACAAGATAAATGCTTAGCGTAAAATGGCGGGTACCTCATCAACTCATGCGTATAATGACGAGCAATCATTGGTTGCCAATACTTCTCCAAGACCAACGATCCCAAGGTCAAAGCCTCGGGCCGTTCCCCCATTCCATAAAGGAAGAATGTCGAGTCATCACCAGCACCCATTTCAATTTGTTCAGTGCTCAGTGTTCACCTGTTTCGCTTCCAAGATTCCCGGCTGGTTGCCTGATCACCTATAAGATTACAGTCAATTCCACTCAGATCATAATTGAGGGGTTCTTCCGCCGGTATTTACTTCTCGTGTACGTGGGGTTTTTAGTCCGTGCTGACTGCTTAGTTTCACGCTAATCGGGCAAGTTTTGGCGAGTGTTCATAACTTGTGGACCAATCGATATAAGGCGGTATTATATTCCTTATTGGACCTGACACTGGGTGGGACTCATTGGTCTCTTATTTGTGTTGTTATCCGGTGATGGATAGAACCACCTGTGCCTGGATTGAATTGTCAGTCATCTTTCAACCAAGACCCAGATACCATGGAACCTCAATCTCATGAAAACGAAAACGAAAACGAATTCAAATTTGAATTCGACCTTTTCATCGATATATGCGGTCGATCAATATTTACAGAAGAATACAAAGGAGACCTCGATGCAGCATGGGGCTATCTACAGCGTGCGCAGAGCGATGCACACCCAGATCTGAATACCCAAGCCGAGCACCTACGATCTTCAGCCATATACTCTATTCTAACCGGCAACTTTGCAGATGCATTTAAGCATCTCGAGTCACTTCACGCTTTACTAGATCAACTCTCACCAGAATGGGGTCTACGCTACACAAACTACCACGTTCTAGCCAATTATACCCGTCGCTTTCCACCAGCTCTACGCTTCTACCACGAGCAAGGCTCACCACTGAATGTCCCCATGCGAGGCGACATAATCGGTCCATATGAGATTTCTGAAAGATTTATGGCGAATGTGAACAAGTACATGCCAATTGGAGTTCCTCGCGATCAGGGACTAAGTCAGGTTCTCAATATCATTCAATGGTTCTCTTTTAATGCTCGACACTTGACAATGCTTTTCCATAAGCTTTCTCCTGGTGGTACAAGCTACAAGCCTGGTGAAAGTGCAACACCGACTATTACAGAGCGAGCGAAGAATTTCATTAGATTTCGCGCTGTAGCGGAAGCTAATGGTGCGACTAATATCGCAGCGTATCTGACTCGTCTGGTTGTTGAGTTTTATATCGCGTGCGATAGTCCTGAAACGGGGATTATGCTGGACGATTACTATCAAAGATGTGAGAAGATGGGTGACAAGGCTGGAATGGCGAATGCGAAATTGATGGAAGCGGATAGTCTTCTTTGTCCACCGTTTACGAGCCCAATTATGCTTAACTTGATTGTTTTTGATGGGGCTAGTGCGACCGGGGATCACAATTTCTGGGATCCGATTGAATTCGATCTTCGGCTTGATTATTCGAACGAAGTGCAAAAATGCTACGAGTCTGCGCTTGATCTTTTTCGAGCCGCTGGTTGTAAGAGGGGTCAAGCGGCGACGGTGTTTCGACAAGGGTGTTGTCTGCATATACTCGGACGTCTGCGGCGGTCTTTGAATGAGCCGTACTTGGAACTGTTGATTGAGGCTGAGTCGAAGCTTCAAGAGGCACTTGAGTTGTTTGGAAGAGATGAAGGGAATGCATATTTGGTGAAAGCACATCAGATCTTGCTTAGTATTTCTAAAGGGAATCCCCAGCGTGTGAAGAAACTTGCTCGGGATATTGGTGAGTGGTGTGCGAAAGCGAAAAATGAACAGTTGGCTCATGTTATTGGAGTCCTCATGTGTCGATTTGGGAATCGGGAATGGTCACAATACTCTAACCTGGATACATCCCGACAGGCCTGGGAATGCGCTTACGAGATTTTCAAACCGGTTGGTGATATGATTCCTCTATTCCAGACTGTTGTGTCCCGCGCAGCTGTTCAAAGAGATATATTCAATAAAGACCCTGCTCTCATGTTGATTGAAGAGGCCTCATCGATGATGGATGAAGTCAGAGGCTACATCCGTGACAAAATTCAGTCTGCACCACGTACACCTCTTGGTGATCAAGATCGTACCATTCTCCAAACAAATAAGTGCAACTTGCTCTGGACGTTCAGTCGTCAAATCGGGAGAATCTATGCTCTTGCAGAGGATACAGAGAGTTTTCTTGGATGGCACACCAGAATGAGTGATTGGCTTGAAAATGATGAGGATTTTCGTGATTGGCGGGAAAGAATAGAAGATCCCACGAATTACCCCACGGAAGTGTACAAGTCCGACATAACGATGCCGAAAGTATCCGATTCCAAGGATCTTTGGCGAAGGGTGTTAGCAGACGATGCGGTAAATGTGAAGTGGACCGCGGCAGACGCAGGGTTTCGCCGTCTAATAGATGAAGGAGATATTCTGGGCGCGGAAGAGATAATGCGCCGGTTTTCAAGCGACAACGAACACGGTGAGAAAGTTTATACGAGAGATCTGTACCGCATCTTGGCCTGTAGTCGAATTGGAGATAAGTCGAAGGCAAGAGAAATCCTGGACTCGATAAGTGACGACGAGCTATTTGGTGGGAACCTGGAAGCCTACCAGGAAGGCATTGCGATAAGATCGTTCCTCCCTACAGTTGGACAAAACGCTTTGACCTTTTCAATTATTACTGGAGATCTAGAGCGAGGCAGGAGATTAGTTGAGCTCATTGCCAAAATGAGTCCAACATTCTTCGATGCTGTCACCGATAACGCTCTCGATTACGCTATACGCATTGGCCACCATGCGACTATCATGATGGAATCAGAGCCAGAAGTTGCATTCTCTAAACTTCTCACCTCTAAGCAAATTGTTGAGACTCGACGAAAGCAGACTGCAGATCCGGATGCTCGTGTGTGGAGTGTCACACCTGGGTCGACTGGTGAAGTATACCTCAATCTTGCACGAATCTGTCTCTGTGCAGAGGAATCAAAACTTCCATTGCAACTACTTAAGGGACACAATCATGGCAATCCTGAGGGAATATCCTGGGCTGAGCATGCATTGCTTTTTGTTGAGATGTCCAGGGCACGCGCTGTACTTGAATCTTTACAAACACAAACAAGCAAGGGTTTAGGACTTCCTGATGGTCGCAAAACGACACAACTATCAGCGGCTGTTCACAAGCGGCGCTTACTACGGACCCTGTTATCTTTGAAGACTTTGACAGCTGATCAAGAGAACGAAATTTCTCAGTTGCAGCAAGATATCAAGGTGTTAGAGGAAGATGGGACACTATCCTCTGCCACCACTTTCATCGAAACTGCGAGCTCTACCATTGAGCCTAGACTCTTGTATCAGAGTATTGATGATGATTCTGTCGTGATAGAAGCAACATTTGGAACTCAAGGTTCGATTGCATTTGTCTTGACCAACGATGGGATTCAGCATGTACACCAGTCATCGAAATGCTCCGCAGATATACGACGACCCGTAATGAGGGCCATACAGATACTGGGGGAAATGGATGGCTATCTCGGTGAAGAAGAGGAAGCCCGGAAGAAGCTCCTGAATGAGCTTTGCTCGGAGATTTCCCAGATGCTGCTTGTGCCATTTGCGGAGATCATCAGAAGCAAGTCACATATCATATTCTCCATATCGGATCCGTTGACAGCCTTCCCTTTCTCTATCCTCTCATTTGACGAGAAGCCGCTCGTCATGCATGCTGTCGTCTCTCAAGTGCCTAGTCTGACGGTGCTCTATTACCTTTCCCAGCGTAAATCAGCATCTGCCTCCCCAACGGTATCCGTTCTAGCCAAGTCTCCTTCAGAGGAGCCATCTGGTCTAACCAGAAGTGAAAATGAATCTAATCTCCACATGGCTGGCATTGAAGCAGTCAATATTGCTCGCACGTTTGAAACCTGGCCTATTGAAGCGTCTCAAATGACCCGAAAGGATTTCCAGCGCTATGTTGAAGGGGGTTCACTGATCATGCATATTGGGACGCATGGTGACATCAACCCTCGCAACCCCCTCCTTTCATCAATCTCCATTGGTCAGGGCCAAGAATTCCGTGTTCTTGACATGTCTGCTATTCAAAGCAACGTGAATCTATTAGTCTTTGCCGCTTGCTTAAGTGGATTTGGAAAGGCAACCATTGGTAGCGAAGTTCTCGGATTCTCCCATGTTGTCTTAAGCACAGGTTGTCAAGCCTATGTCGGATCCCTCTGGAAAGTGAGTGATTTTGCTTCAATGCTGATCATGACACTATTCTATCGGCATTTAAAAGCCAACCCCCATCGGACCGTAGCAACAGCGATGCGAGCGGCCCAAATGGATCTCTTGCAGCTGGATCCCGATAAGGCCGGTATACTCATCGATCAAATGGTCGAAAATTGGAATTCCCCCGGTAGTTCTGGTCTCAGCCCAGCCGAATTTGTGCCCGACGCGGAGTTTGTTCTCCTAACTCTCAAGTTAATACTTGTCCAACTGGATTGGACCAGTCCATTTTTCTGGGCACCTTTTACCCTGGTGGGGTATGGCGGGTTTCGATTTCTGCATGAAGCAGCTGAACAATGAGAAGAGAACCAGACCATTTAGTTATTCGATTTTTAAGTCCATCTTATCTTATATGAGTGTTTTTGATCCAGATTTGTCCCCACTAAAGTGGACTGTGCATCTCCACGATCTGCGGGCCTCCACGTCGAGATTCCCTATAAACTATGAAAGTCGATCTACATCATATTTTGCTTATTTCCCCCAAAACTGACACCTGCATGAGATAGTTAATGACAGGATCTGTTAGCGAGGTAAATAGAATGGGGATTAGCTCCCTTGACTCCCTCTTAGATGAAACAAGGAGATTTAATACAAGTGAAACCGCTACAAACAGACTCATCCGATGACTGTTATATGGAATAGAGGTGTCTTGAATTCCATCAGATCCTTATATTATAATTTTCTACTTATTTCTACTTATTCCTACTGATGTCCTATTTAATTTCCTTCTATCTATCCCTTTCTATCATTAGATCTGATCTTTTTTACCCTTGCATCGTCATCTCCCCACAGCGGGTTCCTTGACGCGGCCCAGAAGGATTTGATTGCCTCATTTTTCAGCCTGAGGTCAATCTACGAATTTTCTTAGATTCAATTGCTTTCTATAATACTTTTTTTATACTTAATTCTCTATCTTTAATACTCTATTCAATCTTTTTTTATCTCTCTTTTGTCATACACATACACACTCACTCTTCATGTTCTAATTTTTATTTGCAGGGTCTAGGAGAAAGTGTTGCCGATCTCGATCTCTGGCCCAATCTCTCTCTTAGCCCACCACTTTTCTCTCCTCAAAACGGCGTCTTTCACAGGTTTTGACCCTTGGAGGGAAGTTGAACATAATCTCACTCGTTCATTATCGTCGCGCGGTCAATCCTTTGCGGCTCGTACTGCCCCCGTGGAGGCATCCCCATTCGCTCGAGCACAGCGGCGACAGTGCGTCCCCATCTCGGGCCCGTCGTCGTTCCCTGCAATTCTCCGTCCTCCAGCTGTTCGACTCGCCAACCCTGTCAACCACGTCCCTCGTGTTACGCCTCTTACTGTTCATCCAGCTGGGTCCGACGAGAGTCTCGCTTTCAGTTATCGACGCGACGCACATCCCCTCCTCAGTGTCCCCGAACGCCGAAGAAGTCGCTTGACCCCATCTCCTAATAGTCTTGTCGTGGAACACAGCCAAGGGGAATCTGAGAGTGGACGAACAAGCATTGCTCTACCACATCGTCACCGACGAAGCGAACAATTAACTCCTGATATGGCGGCTGCGTTTGCTGGGAGTGCGGCGCGGGATGTTGAAAACCTGCGACCACCCGAGGCCGTTCACATTTCACAGGACGGCACTCATCACCGTGAGGGTGGCCAACCGCGTCATGTACAGTCAACAACCTCGCTCCGTTCCCAATCCCAGATCGCTTCTGTTCCATCGAATACTGGCCAGGCCCCGCCCGACATTGCTGACGAGTTAGCATGGGGCCCCGCGCACCCCTGTTACCCTCACTTCAATCCACATGTCCCTATCAACTCCCCAGAATATCTCACAACGCGAATTATTCGCATCCGTCGCGATTGGATGATTAAGGGAGACCTGGCGCCAACCTTCTCCAACCTTTACCCCGAGATCTTGGATCCATTATTGTCGGAGCAAGAATTTCGCAAGGTGATATCTATGGTGAACAATAGCTTGATCAAGGCATTTGATCCGTACAGTCTGCGTAACTGGATCGATAGCGCACTGGGAATGTTGACTGGTTGGGTCTGGGATGACTTGAATGCTCCTGGGGTGAAGGGTTCATTGCAGCACCTTGAATCGTGGTTGGAAAGATGGAACCGTGAAGTTGGGGCCAAAGATGGAGTTAAAATCTGGGGTCTCCGGCGCACAGCGTACATGTCGCTCGATATTCAGATTCCTGATCCCAAGGTCGGTATTGTGCCTAGTGAGGCACCGTCTTTACCTAATACCAGACCCAGTACTGGTGTTGGACCTGTGATTTGATTGCCCTGCATTTGGTAGCACACTCACTTCCCATTCTTTGTTCCTTTTGGATGCATATCTTTTTAATTTCTGTCTCCCTGATCTTGCATGATATCCCCTCTTCAGCGGCGATTCTTCAATTCTCCCGCATAATACGTTGCCTCCCTATCTCTTCTTTCTTCTTCTCTTCTCTTCCGATCTATCCTTCATGTCTCTCCCAAAACTTTCTTAATATTGCATCTCGCCGCTGGAGATTTTCTGTTACTTTCGGCTTGGTCTCAGACCTCTCTGTTGATACCTTACTCTATTATTTCTTGGGGCTCTACTTGTTGATCTATTCAGAGCCCAAAAACGCAAATACAAGACCTTGAGTCTACATTGAGAATACACTACTTTCCTAATATCTTACTGTACTCCGTATATTGAAATGCGATATTCACATTCAATGTTACAATAGATTGGCAGTTGCATCTATCTATCTTAGAGAGCTTCTCAGGGGTATCTCAAAATGGGGGTAATCTTGCAATACACAGCTTGATAATAGAAACCAGGAATATACCCGCAATTAAATACCAGATATCCTATCAAGAACCTACTCAAAGTAAGTAGTATATTGACCCTGAGAGTGTAGATGAACTAAACCCTGAAATATCAGGCGGTGTCGATAAGATCCCCACATCCACCATTCCAGAGCTCTCACCCCCGAATCTCAATGGCATGAGCCCTCGATATCCAAGATGCTTTCAGGGATCCTGATTTTTAACCAGAAGGGCGAGAACCTCATCTTTCGCGCTTTCCGAAGTGACTGCCGCCCGCGTCTCGCCGATATCTTTCGCATTCAGGTCATCTCCAATCCCCAAGTCCGCTCCCCGATCCTGACCCTGGGCTCGACCACCTTCAGCCATGTTAAGCATGAGAATATCTACATCGTCGCCGTGACGAAGAGCAATGCCAATGCTGCCTTGGTCTTTGAGTTCCTCTACCGGCTGATACTGCTGGGAAAGAGCTACTTTACCAAGTTTGACGAGGAGGCCGTCAAGAACAACTTTGTGCTGATTTATGAGTTGCTTGATGGTGCGCTTACTTCCCTTTTCTCGCTATTATTGTGTCATTTACAGGCTAACTCTGGGCTTCTGCGTATAGAAATCCTCGACTTTGGATACCCTCAAAACACCGAGACCGATACGTTGAAAATGTACATCACAACCGAAGGTGTCAAGTCCGCCATTGCGAACTCCCCTACAGACTCAAGCCGAATTACCATGCAAGCGACCGGTGCGCAGTCATGGCGTCGCTCGGATATCAAATACCGCAAGAACGAAGCCTTCGTGGACGTAATCGAAGACGTCAACCTCCTGATGTCAGCGACCGGCACAGTCCTACGCGCGGATGTGAATGGCCAGATCGTCATGCGAGCATATCTATCCGGTACCCCAGAATGCAAGTTCGGACTAAACGACCGACTACTCCTCGACACAAGCGATACCTCCGGCGCCATGAAGAGCCGTGGTGGTGGCGGGACCTCAGGCGCGGGGAAGACGACTCGAGCGGCAGCGGGCTCTGTCACGTTGGAGGACTGCCAATTCCATCAATGTGTTAAGCTGGGTCGATTCGATGCTGACCGGATTATCTCGTTCGTGCCGCCGGACGGCGAGTTCGAGCTAATGCGGTACCGCGCTACGGAGAATGTGAACCTTCCCTTTAAGGTTCATCCTATTGTGCGGGAGATTGGAACAACGAAGGTTGAGTATAGCGTTGCGATTAAAGCGAATTACAGTGCGAAGCTCTTCGCTACGAACGTTGTTATTCGAATCCCGACTCCTCTTAATACCGCCAAGACTACTGAGCGTACTAGCCAGGGACGCGCGAAGTATGAGCCCGAGCAGAATAATATCGTCTGGAAGATTCCTCGCTTCTCGGGCCAGGCGGAGTTTGTGCTTAATGCTGAGGCTACGCTTACTTCGATGACACACCAGAAGGCTTGGAGTCGTCCGCCGCTTAGTCTGTCGTTCAGCTTGCTTATGTTTACTTCGTCCGGTCTGCTGGTTCGGTATCTCAAGGTCTTTGAGAAGGGCAATTACAGCTCTGTCAAGTGGGTGCGGTATATGACACGCGCTGGAAGCTATGAGATTCGGTAGGATCTTCTTCTCTCCTCTACCTTTGATTCATTATGCTAATCATTACTTTTGATAGATTCTGAGGAACATGATCTTGGTTTGGGCAGCATATACATATGCTCCTCTAGTCTTAGGTGTCCGGCGTCGGGAGAGTCCCTTTATACCTTCTTGTCCATGTTTATCTAATGCATTCTTAAGAGTTGCATTTCCAACCTTTCAATTCAATTCATAGCCTGACGCATCGTCGAAAATCAAAATTAATCCACATCATCCTTCTCCTTCCAAGAAACTAGTCTTTGAAGCAATATCCTCCCACTCATCACAAATCTTCAGCAGTTCCTGACAATGACCTCTCATTGCTGCAAATGCATCTGGACCAAGTGGTAATCGCATTGGCAACTCCTTACCAACACACGATCCCTCCCCTCTAACAGCATCAACAGTCAATCCAGCCGCCTTAACCGGATCCCCAATCTGCGTCCCATGGCCCTCCTTCAGGATCTTCTGCACAAGATTATCAAGTTCCTCATACTCCGGAATCGTCTTCCGTCCACTAGAAACACAATTCTCGGGTGAGAGATGGTTGGTTCGATAATGTCCGAAAACAAGTACACAACACCGAACACCAAAAGGCCCAACTTCACCCGCCATCTTCTGCACAATGGACTCTAGAAGAGCCTTTGAGCCTGCATACCCCGATGCAACTGGTCCAGTTGTGTATGGTGAGGCGGAAGCAGCAAAAAGAAAAGTCCCGCTCATACGACTCCGCATGAGAGGGAGGAATGCTCTGGATAGATTCAGTGGGCCGAAGACGTGTGTTTGGAGGATATTGGTTAACTGCTCGGTACTAAATGAATTCAATAAATGGTCAGAGTAGGTCAAGGTAATACCTTAATGGGACTTGCTGGGCCTTTCATACTTGTATTCCTCAGTTGTACCTGCATCCATATAACCCGCATTATTCATGACCACATCGACATGCCCGTAGATCTTCCATGCTTCTTCCGCTATTTCCATGAGTCTTTCTTGCGAGGAATTCACGTCAAGTTCTAGGACAGCGGCACCGGCGTGCGCGAGCGTGGAGAGTCGATTTGTGCCGTTGATGCCGTTTTTGGCGCGTGATGTTGCTATCACTTTATCGCCCTATTCAGAGTTAGCTGATGCGTTCGATCATTTTGATCAAGGATAACAATCTTGGGAAGGTTGTTTACTTTGGCTAGGATGGCTCGAACCGTTGCCTCGCCGATTCCGGAGGAACAGCCGGTGATTAGCCAGACGAGCTGGCCAGTCATTTTAGAGGATTTTCGTCGGTGATAATTGAATCTTGAATCACAGGTGGATTGTGACTGTTTGTTGTAGAGGTGAGGGACTCTTCAGTGCTTGATACTAGATGTCTGGATGTGGGCCACACTTTCCAGTTTGATCAAACCGCGTAAATTCGTGCAACTTGAAATACTGTAATACATAATCAAATCAATATTAAGGCTTCTACTAAGAGTGATCAAGTCCATATTACCACGAAAACAAGCGGTAAGTATCATTTGAACAGGGTAGTAACTATGTATGGAATAGATGTAAGCGCTTCCAAGGTTGCTGCAATTAATCTTCAAATTTCCAAGCCCTGAAACATACCATATGTACTTCATTCGATTTTACCATATATCAGATTAGTTCCAAGGTTATCAGGTTCCCGGTCTAACTCAACATTTGAATCCTGAGAGATCGAATATAGTCTAAACAAATATTTTCAATATTTCCTGATCATGACTTTCAAGATCCGCAACTTGAATTATTGTGCAACTTGTATTTGAAATCAGTGCTTTGTTCACGCCCTGAGTGGTGAGCTTGTATTCTTCCTCTACGAAATACAGGCATAGAGTGAACGACCGTCGACTCCCCTCTTCACTAGGTAGTCTTAACTAAATGTTTTTACTCAAGATACTACAATTGCATGCACATGTGGGTAGTAGAAGCAGCTAGTGTATTCAATCTTCAATACATTGCTACTTACTGGGTAAGCTGCCGTCTACTCGATGTGTGCGGACCATGTAATAAGAGATACAGGCTCACCACTGGGGGTAGTGGAGGTAAAAGAGGAGACGATGAGTAGATAGAGAAGGGAAAAGGGTCACGGTCTGATATTCTACTAGTACTACTATCTCACACGGAAAAAGCTGAACGATATATGTATACACTGATCCTGCTGAGTCACAACGCTCATTCCATCCTATACTGCCCAGGTGCATATTGTACTTCCCCACTACTCTAGGTAGTTCTAGAGACTCCCATTTGCTGAAGGGTATGACTAGGTAGCTGAATCGTGACTTGCACCATCAACTACGCTAGCCAATCTTGGAAGTCACTCCAAAGATCCACGTTCACTATCAAAATCCTTGGGAGGACAGGAAATTGTTAATCTTCATGAACTGGTCTGGTGCCGAATAGTGCGCATTGATGACATGGCCCGCGTTCGGAACCAAGTACGTCTGCGAGGACTCAGCGGCAGCCGGATACAGGCTTGATAAAGCTTCAGCGGCTTGGTTTGTTGAATAGCTACAATTTCCGCCGCAAAACGGAAAATCATATTGTCCAACGACCACGCTTACTGGCCCCGTATATGAAGATGCAACGGCTACAATACCGGACAGGGTTAACTGCTGACCAACTGTGTATGTATTGCGTGCCTCGTATTGGTTCTGATAGACTGGACGGTAAAGAAAATGCGTAAGTAAGTGAAGTTTATGTTTTTTTTATCCGAATATCAAAACTCAGCACACTTACTCTCGGTGTCAAAGTAGGGCCATCTAAAGAAGGGCAGTTGGAATGAAATGCTGGTATCGGTGATCAAGTATCCATTCGAAAGATTTTCAAAGCGCTTTCCATCCACTTGGTTTGCGATTGCAGGATTGTTGGCGAAAACGGTGTAAGGCAAATAATCGAAGTTGGTGGTGAAAGACGTGATGACCGTCGCATTCACATCCTGAGGGTACTTTACATTTTGGCCTAGCTGAATGATGGATCCGTATGAATGTCCTGTGCCAATAACTGTGGAGTAGGCCTGAGTGCCAATGGATCCCGATCGGAGCAAGCTAGTGATGCCATGGAGAATTGCAACATCCATTGGGGCTTGTACAACTTGAATTGCGTCGGGGTGATCGGAGGCACCTACTCCCAGACGATTGTAGGCTAGAGTGGCATATCCAGCATTGGCGGCAGAATCCACATAGCTGTATCCTGTAGCAATATCCCAATATGATTGGTCGAGTCCGATACCGTGTGAAAGAATTTGGATAGTTGAAGCTTCGGGATTATGCTTAGGCACACAAAGAGTGGCTTCGATATTATACGTCCCAGAAATATTGACATTGCCACCATCCGTTCGATCACTAATTGTCGATGATGCTTGAAAATTCTCTTGTATGATTTCAGTCACCACTGTCTGGTTTGCAGGCTCATCCAGAAGAATCTTGGTGTTGACTGAGGTGGCCGGAACGGAGATGAGACCAGCAACACACGTCGCAGAGCCATTGGAAGAGGAACCATAGGTCGCGTCGGCAAAACCATGCGCAAGGCTTGAATCTGGCTTCGTGGCTGCTACTCCAATTTCAATACCGACTAGAAGGGTCCATATGGCTCCTACAAGTTGAGGTCGCATGTTCATCAATTGGAGGGTAAGAAATTCAGTGATACACAGCACAACAAGAGAAACACTGTAGGTGAAGCCAAAAGAACGGTTCTGTCTGCAAGTAATATGTAGGGAGAATAAAAATGAAGAAAGGAGTCAAAATCTATAAACAAAGGCTGGAATTACGAATTACGCGAGTCGGGATCCGGCCCATCCTCCATCTACGCGTTCAACCTTGGAAGCTATGACACTAAACGTGCTAATAAATTAGCTATGTAATAACTGGCACTGATAGGAATCACTAGTGTCAAATCATTCAATTTGAAATTACATCCCAAAGCTAGTGGCTGAGGAGCTCATTATGTAACTTGCGTGAACCTGGGGCCAACGTGAAGTAGTAATTTGCAATAGGTTCAAGTTCGCCGGATCTGAGTTGGAGCCTATAAGTATGCTCAACGGATATACTCTTGAATGTACCAATATTTCTGTTGAATTGAACGCTGACCAGGTGGGACTCGGATTGCCTTCAGCTTCAAATGTTTGGGGTCCAAGGGCACGTTTTCCAAGGTTCCCCAAAATGGAAAGTAGCGCGAAATAGGTACGGGTCGCACGGAATTGCGCGGGCGGCCCCGGGGGTGGCGCCGAAGGATTATTCATACATAACGCTAATACAGAATAGATTCTACGGAGTACACCATTCAACATAAAGAGTGGGACCCGGAAATTTAGATGTGTAACGTGCATTAATTGTTGCATCATGATGTATACTATACCTAGGTACGTACCTAGTATGCATATGTCTCATACAGTCATGATACTATGTACTACTAGTAGTACCCCCGGGCCGTTCCTAGCCTCTCTCTCTCTCTCATTCGATCGTATAGACTTTTATACGAGTCTGCTGGCAAGACACTGCATGGTGTTGGAGCCTGAGATTTAGCTGTGATAGCTGAATCGACCAGTGTGTGGCTGAATGCACTATTAATATTTTTGATATAGAACCATGCCCAGTATTACTTCAAAATGCATGGAGTACTACAAATATTATCTAATTTGCCTTAAATAAAACATTTGAGTAAAGTAAAACTCCGAGTCTTAGCCTTTTTGGGTGTTTTTTTCCTAGTAAAAGAAGTAGAATTTTCGAGTAAGTACTATGAGAGAATGTCATATATTCTTTTGGTTAAAAGTATTGCCTTTCCAAGGTTCTTATAGCTTCAGGTTGGAAGATATAGCATTTTACTATGTGTTCTTCATTGCTCAAATCAAATAGTCAGATTCCCATATTCCTTCAAGTTGTAAACATTGCTAGGAACTTGAATTTTACTTCGATGCCAGATAGGCACCTTCCAAGGTTTTATATTCAACTTGAAGTTGTGTCCACGGGTTCACATCAAAACATGATAATACTATGCGCCGGGTGTGGTTGGTGTGTTCAACTGTGCTCATGCACATGTGGGGTTCAAATGTTACTTACCTACACAGACATAACGAGTGGGGAAAAGCGTACTAGTAGTTACTGATACCAGTCTAGACAGGTACTAGCTTACCCTCCAGGGCTCCAACATTACATCGCCCAAATGCAACGTAATGCGATATACACTAGTATAGTGCCCCCAAAGACGTAAGCAGTTCACTATGCATGAACATTGGGTAAATGGAAATTAAATGGAGATCGCCGACGCTGGGCTCGGACTGAATGTCCCATATTCATACTAGTTGTTTAGCTAAAGATGGGGGGGGGGGCCAACTTGAGACCGCCTAGGCATGGTACCCTAAAGGAACCCTAGAGGGGTTGAGGTATCTCCAGGGCTGTTGCGTTGATTGGGTGCTTCAATAATAGATGAAGGTTGTGTAATTAAATCAAAGGCGCCCTCCAGTCGAAGATAATAATAGTAATATTCGACCCCAAAAATTTTGACATGTGCATGAGTAGTCGTTTCAGTGCCTGTTGAATCCGATTTCCTATTACGGAGTACAGACCTATTCAAACTTGAATTCGTCAATGACGATCACTTGCATGGAAGCCTTAACGTGGGCCCAAAGCTTGTGCACAGTACACATGTTACCATTCAGTACCTACTAGCTAGATTCAGTTATTATTATAAATACGCCGGTCAGCCAGCACCTAAAAAGGCTGATCGATTTAAGAAATAGTATTCAGTGACAATCAGCGCAGGCTGCGGCGTTTCAGTCAATTGTTAACTTGAAATAATTCACCACCTACTTCCCTAGTGACGGCCACTTCAGCCTCATTGCCTGCTGGAAAGATGAGTGGAGACATGACTGCCGACCGGGGACCAGGAATCATTGCGGGGAACTTGACAGTTGCTATCCTGGCGACTATTGCCGTTATTTTACGCTTTATAGCTCGTTCTATGAAAGGATGCGTCTTTGGATTGGATGACTGGCTGATTCTACTAGCCTTACCATTTGGATGGGGAATGGCTATTTCAACCATAATTTGTGTGAGGCATGGACTAGGAAAACATCTAGCCGTGGTGGAGGCTGAAGACCCAACACAGCTTTTTGTTGAAGGAAAGGTATGCTCCCACCATATGATGGTATGAAGAGAAATCAAACGAATCCACCTGACCTGTGTTCACGTAGGCATACTATGCATCAGAACTGATCTGGACCATCTCGATCCCAATTATCAAAACGTCGATTTTGTTGTTTTATATCCGCATATTTGGCAAAATGAAGTCTTTACGCTACACAGCTTATGGCTTGATGAGCTTTACATTTGCCTGGGCTATCATGGTTATTTTCGTGATTGTTTTCCAATGCAATCCAGTAGCCAAAGGATACAACGCCGAATTGCCTGGGAAATGTATCAACTCTTGGCTATTTTTCGTTCTGGGCAGCTCAATGAACTGTGCAACTGATCTGGTCATTCTCATCCTTCCCATGCCACTTATATGGAAGTTGCAACTTTCACGTATGCAACGCGTCTCACTTCTCGGAATTTTTGTTCTTGGTTCTCTGTAAGTTCACCGTCTACTGATGAGAAGGTAGAGAATGACTAACCAATGAATGACAGATCCTGTGTCTTCGGTCTTGTGAGATTAGGAACCATAGTGCGAGAGAAGAACAGTGTGGATGAAACATGGGCCTTGTCAAATGTAGCCATCTGGTCAACAGCAGAGCCCTGCCTAGGCATCACCGCTGCTTGTATGCCTGTCTTGCGTCCTCTTTTTACATCGGCTATCTCCGTCGTCACACGCAAAAGCACCAATAGTGACAGTCCAAGTTCATTCAGCCACCATCAGAAACTTCAATCCAATGATTTTTCTTCTCAACAGAGCCAGCCGGGGCAGCTACTCTCAGATCTGGGGGCTGATATTGACTTGGAGGCGGATTTGTCACGGGATAGCAATGACGCACAACAAAAGGCCTTACCACACCAATGGATCCAGGTAAAGTCAGAGACTTCCTGGGAAGTCTCGTCAAGCTAGGTCGCTGCTTACGCTCCCGACCGTACATTATGCTTGGGATTATCCATCGCTTCGCCTCTTCTGTATTCACATGTGCATGTAATGACAGCGCTTGCTTTCTCTGGTCCGTGATTCTTATATTAAATTCGAATGCATATTTTATCTTTTCAAGGTTGCAAAGTACCACTAGTTATCTTCAGCCTATTGCTTATCGCATCGCTCTTCTCACCTGGGTATCCTTATTGCACAGTAGGCTTCCCCATTCTACATAATATGTAGCCCTGGAGTACATTTAAGTGTACGGAGTACTTCAGACACCAGATGCTGTGACATTATCAATTGACACTGGCATTAGCTCAAGCTCCTTTCGGTCTCTGGGTATGACAGGCCATTAAATGACTATTAACCCGTAAAATGCTAAAGTACTCAAGGTTTTCCAACGTTAAACCCCCAAATACGTAAGTTATCTTCACATTTGAACATGCAAGTTGAAATCTGATTCATCATATCGGCTCATTTTGAGCCTGAAGTTTAATTTCTATCAAGGACTTAACCCTCTCTAATCTAGCAATGGAAAATCTCATGCTTAAACCAAAGAGGATTGGATCACGCGCACCACCTCCTCTGGCTGGCTAAGGAATGGAAGGTGACCCGCACTACATCTCTCGATTCTGCTTCCTGCAAGACCGGCCAGTTGCTCTTGGAGCGGGACTGGTAGGGCGTTATCCCCCTCACAGATCAGGTAGGTACTAGGCACATCCTTCCATCCTGTATAGCGAACTGTATCGTCCCAGCCCTGAGCTGGCTGCGGCTTAAGAGCTGCGAGCCATTGAGGCTTTTCAGTCTCCGGTAGGTCGCCAAAGAGTAAGAGCTCTGGCTGGGCGCAGTGAGAAGCTCCACCCTAATATCACCACCAAGTTAGTATACCATACTAGGTAAGTAGGAGATTCTTTTATGGGTATAAGCACAAACCTCAGCAACAGCAAAAGGCAAAGGCTGGTGTTCATAACCCTCTGGGAAAACTGCTCCTGCAAGGAACACGATGCCAATTACACCAGGTTTATCTCCGCGAGATGTCTTGTCTAAACCTTGCATTGCCTCACTACCAAGAAATCCACCTGCCGAGTGCAGAACGAGTAAAGCGTCCTCTCCATAGTTGAGAACGTTTTCAATGTGGTTGCGCACAGCTGCGATATCATCTTTCATGGTAGGATTTCCGGGTGAAGTTTTTCCCGTACTCGGAAGCTCTGCCACCTCTGCAGTGACACCCTCTGTTTTGAGGAGAGAGGTCACCTTCTCGAAGACGGAGGGTCCTTCCCAAAAGCCTGGAACAAAAAGGACGGTAGGAGACATATTGAGACGAGGTTTCAATGTTGGGAACAAAATAGAATAGGGGGCTTTTTATCGTAAAAAAGAAAAAGTTCTGCTGAGACCGTAAAGTTGAAGTTGACTCGAGTACATAACTCGAAGTACTACGTGACTGAATATATACCACTTCGAAATAAGGAAAGCGGGGTTATTACTTCAAGTTCCAGCTGAATTTAGCATGAATCCATGAATGCCGACTCAACGCTTCGGCTGAATCATGTAATATTCCCACATATGCAGGTGAGTCTTTTCGTTTTCTTATTTGTCAGTCTCTGTTCACTGATGGGGGCCGATACACGTTCTCGGATTATTTCCAGGTAATACCGCATAGCAGGAAGCACATCCCTGGATCGTGTGTCTGATGCTGCATATGTGGAGACTTGGAACAAAGAAATAATGGGGGCTATAAAATGGAACATTTGAAACCTGGAGGTTCAGATTGTATCGGTGACGTGATTGCCCAATCCACAATTTCAGCTAGCGCTGTTGACCGATACTAGGTACTGGTATTCGGTATTGACTGTCATACATGTAAATCTTCCAAGGTTGTCAGAGCACAAAATACGGCTTGGACCCCAAAGCTTAGCGAAGTCTTAGGTAGCTTGATTGCATGCATATGTGGGTCTCAGGAGTCAGGACCCGAGCATCGGAGGTTTATCCAAATCCAACAAGAAGTGCGAGCACTGCATAGCCTAGGCTGAGTAGAGAAGTGATTGACCTGGGTATGTAGCTAGGCACTTTGAGAGAATCTCGCCCCCATTTTAGCCTCATAATGTACACTGATAGAACATGCCAGAATTGATTGAATTATGATGAACCTTCCAATTTAGTTTCAAAAGTCTGAACCATTCGTACTATGTTGGGAAATCGCATATTTTCAGATTTACCCATGTAGATTTTTCAAGTATGTCAGAGCTCCAACTTGAAGTCGCCAGGTGGTCCATTGTTACTTGGAGCATGTAGTCTATCCAGGTACCTATGCGATCGGTTTCCTCCCCACGATACTTGCCATAGCCATACGCATGCTGGCTCCTCGTATCGTTTCATCGGCAGCCTTCTCATATACCTCCCACCACTCTGCTGCACTCCCTACTGGATCATCGAGGCGTCTAACAAATTCCACAAATGCCATCAAATGCTGTAGCGTCCATGGCAACGCAATGTCGTCAGAGATTGGCATAAATTTGTTGTCAATCACCTGGAAACCGCCTTCTTGAAAATAGTGCTGTAGGTCACGCACCCATCTATACCACCTGGTTAGTACTCGTTCATACCCGTGGCTGGCTTCCCTCCGAAATAGGAAATCTGAAATGAAGACGACTTACTCAAATTTCAAACCTTTAGCCGAAAGAAGAATTCCAAGTGTTCGTTGCTTTACCTCTTCGAGGGCCGCGTGACTGATGTCCTTACTTGGGGAACTGGTCACTAGTCCACCGAAGTCAGACTCATCCCATTGTAGATATCCACCGGGCTCTATATTAGTTATTAGTATCATGGTCTCTAGTATCTTTTTATTGAATGAGAATGAAGATGAGATAGAAGAAACGAAGCTTACTCAATAGGGCCATCAGATTTTCCACAATGGGTGTCGGATCATCATTTTCAATTACAAGAACCAACAGACCGACATGGACTATATCATATTGACCACGCAAGGCATCGGGAATGGGCTTGTGAATATCGAGGGTGTCGAGTTTGACATTTGGAGGCAGCCAGCCAGCTGCGGGATATTGATCGGTCGATATGTCATACCCATCGCACTGTACGCCCGGATACTCCTTTGCCAGATCTAAGAGCCAAATTCTTTGTTGCAATGTGAGCCTATTGAAAACGCATAACATTTGAAGGTGAAATCGAGAAAGGAAATGAAAAGCCTACCCTGTGCCGCAAGCCAAGTCTGCGACTCTGAAGTTCTCTTGAACGCTAATCTTTGGGTGTAACAGATATCCCAACTGCCGTCTCCACATCCAATGTTGAAAGTAGAGACTATGAAATGAATAAGTTTCCAATAAAATAAAATCTTAAAGTCTTCCGATGTCATCAATACTGACCGAATAGATGCCTGGAAGTCTCGCTGAAGGGGGTAGCTAGCCACCCTGTTCTTCAAATCGTTGGTCGAATGCATTGTTGGCTGTTCTAAAGGGCGTTGGGTGTAGTTCGAGGCAAATATAGAAAAGTGGAACAGATAAAAGGAAAAAAGAGGAACGAATCTTAGCAGAGTGAAGCAGACGGAAATCCGGCGAGAAAATAAGCTGTTCTATTTCAATGTTCTGATGTTCAGAGACGGACACAACAACTTGAAGAATCCTTTTCAAGTATACCGAAAATAGAATCGGCGATTGTGAGCAGTTGTTACAAGTTACCTGCATGAATTGAAATGAATAATTTTCCAATGGGGCTGTATTTCGTATATCCTCGTATCATGATGTCTACCTAGGTAAGATGCGTACCACTACTATGGATTATTACTAGTAGTGGGGAGTGGACCGGTGGAACGGCCCCCAACTGATTCCTCATAGCGTCCATTAGCACTTGAGGGCTGAATATCCCTGCTCAGGTGAATCAGGTGAATCTTGCCTGAAGAAATCTGGATATAATCGCTTCGGCCAATTTTTCTTTTTTTGTTTTGATCTACCTCGGATTTCACCGTCCTCAATTTTGGACCCCAATCCTAAATCAGGTAATACCCCATGTAGTGGACGTTCTCCGTATGCAAAACCATTTTACAGGCCAAATGAATGATTCGCTGAACTTGGTTTAGCCCAGATTCTCCGAATAATTACGTCAAGTTAGATTGGCCCCATCCGGAATACCGCCGGCGTGATCCTGCAAGACGTGCGGCGCTGTTTCACTATATCGCGACCTCGGCAATGTTACCCTACTACTTGATACTTTGGGGATGGAGCTTGCCCAGGTGCATCTCATGAATGGTATTGTGATAGCAGTATCTTTCTGAATCATTTTGATAACCTTGGGAGACAAGGCATGGTCCACCCGTCTAGTAGTACTCATGTTGACGTGGCATGAAACGGGGACAATCACGGCCCTACGTACTTCCAAGGTTATTCAATAAATATTTTATGAATGTTTTATTAATATTTCATGGGTTTCTCAGGTGTCCAGGTGTTTACCTATCAATCTTTGTAAATAAAAAATTACGTAAAGTTAGAAAAAGAATAAAATTATCTAACGAAGATATTCAACAACACTTGAGTGCTCTACCGAGACTGTTCACTAAGTCAGAACACCCATATCTTTCGAGCAGACTTCAGAATTATTCTGTAAAGGAATAATCATGGCACCGCCTCCTGTTCCAATTGCGGTAATTGGGGTTGGCTGTCGCTTACCAGGAGCTGTGAAAGATCCAGAGAGTTTCTGGACTCTTCTAACAGAAGGTCGCACTACTTGGAAGGACGTACCGGATGCGCGATTCCGATGGGAATCATTCCATCATCCAAGTCGTGAATCACTTGCAGCTTATAACCACCGTGGTGGTCATTTCATTGAAGAGGACATTACCGCCTTTGACGCGAAGTTTTTTGGAATATCGGCCTTGGAGGCAGAGGCTATTGATCCACAGCAGCGTCTCGCGCTTGAGGTCGCATACGAGGCACTAGAGAATGCGGGCCTCCCTATGAAGAAGGTCGCTGGAAGTGACACTGCGGTGTACATGGCAACATTTACACATGATTATGAAAATCTTATGTACAAAGACACAACACTCATGCCTCACTACGGAATGACTGGAGTGGGGAGTGCGATTATTTCTAATCGCATTTCATATTTCTTTGACCTCCACGGTCCCTCTGTGACGATTGATACTGGCTGCTCTGGAAGTCTTGTTGCACTCCATAATGCATGTCAGAGCCTTCAATTGGAGGAAACTGGAATGGCTCTTGTTGGTGGTACAAATCTCATTTTAAGCCCAGATACGATGATCCCGATGCATAAACTTCAGTAAGATCATTGTTTTTTTCTCAACGAACCTGCTATTCAACATCGCATACTAATCATTTCAATAGTTTCCTTAACGCAGAAGGTCGCTGCTTTACATTCGACGAACAAGGTGCTGGATATGGACGAGGTGAAGGAGTCGTTGTCATTGCACTCAAGCGTTTAGAAGACGCACTATCATGCGGAGACCCAATTCAGGGGGTTATACGCGCCACAGCTGTTGGACAAGACGGCAGGACGAGAGGAATCACATCGCCCAACTTGGAAGCGCAAAAATCGTTAATTGCCACTGTATATCAACGTGCTCAACTCAATCCTCATGAAACTGGATATGTAGAAGCGCATGGTACTGGAACAGTGAAAGGGGACCTGGTTGAGCTCGAAGCCCTTCACGGTGCATTTACTTCACCCTCACGAAATACTAAGCTCCAGGTGGGCTCAGTAAAATCGAACCTTGGTCACACGGAGAGCAGTAGTGGTCTTGCTGGGCTTCTGAAAGCACTGTTGGTCCTGAAAAAGGGCATGATACCCCCAACTCCAAGTGTGAAAAATCTCCGATCGAAGCTGCTTCCATTCATGGATGGGATTAACATCCCAACAACTCTGATCTCATGGCCTGATAATTCAGTTCGTCGCGCGAGCGTGAATTCCTTTGCATATGGTGGAACAAACGCCCATGTCATTCTTGATCCTGCTCCCGAGGATAAGAAAGGAGAGCTTTTTCAGTCCAATTTTCCGCATTCCGAGGAGGGAAATTCAAGAGAGATTATGGGGCCTTCTACCGGCCGGAATGGTGTCCTGCCAGTGCCCAGGCTACACATTCTGACAGCGATGTCAGAAGGTGCATTACGATTGAATATAAACAAACTTCGTTTTTGGCTCCAGTCTCAGGATCCATCCGCAATATCAATTGAGAATCTTGCGTATACCCTTACTCATCGAAGGAGTCTGATGCAATGGCGATATACGTTTATTGCGGCTTCCAAGGCTGAATGTCTTGAACAGTTTGAGGATAAAAGAAAGATTTCACAAATCGTGGAGCAGCAAAAAGTTGTCTTTCTGTTTACCGGACAGGGTGCACAATGGTTTGGAATGGCAAGGGAGCTATTGACCCTGAAAAGGTTCCGGGACTCGCTGGATATATCTCAATCTGTATTGGCTGCCTTGGGCTGCTCGTGGAACCTCCAAGAAGAGTTATCTCGAAACGAGATTGACTCAAACATTGCAACTAGTAAGATTGGCCAGCCTTGCACCACTGCAATTCAGATAGCACTGGTTGATACACTACGGTGGTTGGGTATTCAACCTTCTGCAGTACTTGGTCATTCTAGTGGTGAGATAGCAGCTGCTTATACAGTTGGAGCTCTTACCCAACAGACTGCATTGGCAGTCTCCTACCACCGTGGCTTGCTAACGGCCAAGATGAGAGATGCTATGGGTCATGACGGTGCGATGATGGCCGTTGGTATGGGACCAGAATGTATACAACCATATCTCAACATGGTTACTGAGGGGCAACTGGACATTGCTTGTTCAAATAGCCCTTCCAATGTGACAATTTCTGGGAACCGGATCAGTATCAATCAGCTCCATGAGATTCTCCAGGGGTTGAGCCCCCCCTATTTATTCAGTCAAGCTCAAGGTTGACATAGCATATCACTCCCACCACATGCAACTCATTGCGAAAGATTACTCTCATTCTTTGAGATTTTTATCTAGCGCACCAAAGGACTCAAATATTCGCTTCTTTTCATCAGTGACGGGCAAGGAGTATGAAGGACCATTTGACGCTTCTTATTGGGTATCGAACCTTGTCTCCAAGGTAGATTTCCATTGTGCATTGACACAACTCTGCCATCAAATGCACCATGATCCAGGTGATAATAGTCCATCAAACTCAGAAACGTTACACAACTTCCTTGAAGTCGGGCCGCACAAAGCATTGTCGTCTTATGTGGAGGAAGGTATAAGTCATTCATCTCTTCCACTATTCAAATTTGTCTACAAGCCCCTGTTGATCCGCCGAGAAAATGCACATCGCTCATTTCTTCAAGTGGTTGGTGCTCTATTTCAGCAGGGATACGCTATCAAAACCGAGAATTTGAACAGCATGGACTATGAGTCTGATAGCCAATGGCACCACCTTCGGACCATCTCAGACCTCCCGACATATAGCTGGGATCATTCAAAATCTTACTGGCATGAGTCACGCGTCAGTAGGCAGCACCGACTACGACAGCACCCTTACCACGATCTTTGTGGTATTCGGTCACTTGACGACACAACTTCGGAGCCAAGGTGGCGACACATCCTCAATCTTGAAACCCTTCCCTGGTTACAGGACCACCAGGTGGATGGTGTGATTGTGTTCCCAGGAGCTGGGTATATTGCAATGGCAATCGAAGCAGCGACCCAGATTACCCATACACGAAACAAGGAGGGAAAGATCAGGAAGTATATCCTCAAGAATGTGCAATTTGAGACCTTGCTGGAGATACAAGATCCCAACTCTAGCGTGGAACTCCATATGAGCTTTAGAACCAGCTCGACCTTGAAAAGTGAAAGTGGCCACGGGTCCTGGGAAGAATTCCGTATTGCCTCCGTTAAGCTTGACGGTTCGACGACACATCATTGCAGTGGCTTCATCGGCGTTGAGTTCCACCAGAATGAGGAGCCTCTTGAGAATTTGAATAGCCTTGCCTCCAGTCCAGAAACTCAAATGAGGGCGGAATATAATCGGCTTCTACAGGATGAGGAGCATCAGCCGTGGAACGTTGAGGCTCTCTATCAAGGATTGAAAAACTGTGGGCACTACTGGGGTCCAACATTTGCAATGATCAGAAATTTCAATATCGGGAAATGTGCTGGAACAGGAACAGTGACTGTTCCAGATATCGCTGAGTGCATGCCGAGTCAGTTCTTGCGACCTCATACGATCCACCCCGCTACCCTAGACGCCCTGATTCACTCTACACTCATTATTTTCAGTCGACAGTGTCATCGCAGCGTTATGTTTCCCGTTGAAATCGGAGAGCTATCCATTCGGGCGGACGTGCTACGATCCCCTGGCGAAAATATTGCTTTCTCGGCACTGATCGATCCAGAGGATCAACTGGAAGAATCAACTATGAATGTGATCGCTTGGAATATTAAGCAACATGGTGGCCTAGAAGAAGCTGCTGTTATACTGAAAAACGGCAAGCTGCGAGGGACGGAGAACGTCGCGCTGAGACAGGACAAGCTATCCGGTTCGACTGGTCTATTTTCTCGGTTACAGTGGAGAAATGACATCTATACCTCTCCACCTACCGCGTGCATGGAAAGTAAACCAAAACGAAGTCTTCTTGGAAGCACTCCAGCGGAGCTCACATTGGCTCTGAATAGTGCTGCATTAAATCTTGTCAAATTCGGCATCACACAAATACAAATCTCTGGAGGTGACGTGGCACCTCAACATGTGCAGTACTATGATTGGATGAAGTCGCTTGTTCATACGGAAATCCATGATACATGGGGCCAGAATGCTTCCATTAAGTCTATCCAGAGATCTGTGGAAGAAATGAGCGTGGAGGGTACAGCATTGGACACCATCAAATCTCACATTCTTCCCATTCTGCAAGGCAAAACACACGCTGTATCTTTGTTAATGGAGAATGGCCTTCTGGATCGCCTGTACTCTAGTGACTGGTCTGCAGCTGCATGCCTTCCAAGTGTCATTAGTTATTTTGAACATTTAGCCTTCAAGACCCCTGGTCTTAGCATTATTGAGATTGGCGCAGGAACTGGCGGTGCTACACTCCCATTGTTGGAGGCTATATTCCCCCAAGCAAGGAACTCCAGTTTCAAAAACTATCAGTTCACCGATATCTCATCTGGTTTTTTCCCGGGGCAAAGGAACTTCTCTCCCGATGGAGCTCAATCCTGACATACAAAACACTAGACATTTCGAAGAGTCCCCTCGAACAAGGGTTTGAGGCACATTCGTTTGATGTTTGTTTGGCATTCAATTCCCTACATGCGACGAGTTCTCTCGATTCTACCATTCTCAATGTCAAGCAGCTACTAAAGCCTGGTGGTCGGTTAATTTTGTTGGAAATGACGACTTTACATTCTTTTGTCAATGCTATCTACGGTCTGTTTCCAGGGTGGTATTTGAATCGCTCTGATGGACGGGTTGACTCTCCACTTCAGTCTGTGCAGGAATGGGATTCCCGGTTGCAAAAAGGTGGTTTCCGTCCTCTCGAGTTTGTTGCCAATGATTTTGATGGGATAGCGGCTAGAACCAGTCTCATGGTGGCACAGTTGCCTGCTCCTCCACATAACACAGAGTCCATTCATTGTGTACTATATAGCGGTTCAAGGCTTCAAAAATGGGCTGATCAAATTACGTCCCGACATGGAGCAACAGATGTTCCCATCAAAGTCGTATCAGCAGCCAGTCCTTTGCCAAATTTCTCATCTGAGGATGAAACTGAGGCCGTGGCTCTTGTATATCGCCGGGATTGCCTGCCTCAATTGACCGGGCAGCAGAGCAATTCGGAGGCATCAGCCTGCATTGGCGCATTATGGATTACTTCCAAGTCCTTCTGCCCAGTTCGGACAAAATCTTTATCTTCCTTGCGGAGATATTTTGATCTCAGTGTTCGAAGTCACGTCGTCAACCTCCAGCTGGAATGTGATACATATGCCGTGAAGGATACGGTTCCTTACCAAGTCATACAAGCTCTCACCCAAACATCATGGGTTGAGAATTCTGATCATCCGATAGAAACATCCTATGTCTACCACAATGGTAACCTGATGATTCCAAGGTTTGTCAACGACAAAGATCATCATCATTCTGTTCCGCTGTGCAATGAGACCAATAGCCAGCAGGATGTGGAAGATCATGATGGAAGCTATTCCACAACTTGCCAGTCTACAGATACTCTCCCAAGCAAAACAAACGAGCCTGTACTGACTTTGACCTCTCGTGGAAGCTACCTTATTTTTGGACAACTGGAGACAATAACATTGGGTATTTGTCATTATCTCAACGCAAGAGGAGTGTCACAAATTGTCATCGTATTAACCGAGCCTGTCTCCATGCATTCGCGGGATTCATTTGAGGGTGACCTCTTTGTACAAGGAATTCAAAGTCACGTTGAAGTTCTATCAGGACCTCTCGCCATTGAAGCCTGTTCCGACATTCAAACAGTTCTTGCAAAATATCAACCTATCAAAGGGTGCTTCTACATTGGGGAAGTCGAAAACCAGCATTTGGAAGATCTTTCTCGCAATTCTTCATTGGAGTTTATCGTCGAAGTGAAAGACAAACGGAGCATTTTATCCAATCAAATACTTCCAGAGTCTCCATTTGCGAGTTTGCAGCACTCACCACATCCACAAAGACACGTTGTTTATTTGCCTTTCTCTAAGGGTGAAGCGGGCACAGATGCCCTGGATCTTTCGCTAGTTACACAGTATGGCCTCAGGATGACACTTGGTACTACTCTCAGTCTTGGGTCAGCGACAATAAGGGGGCAGCAGACCCCCACAGTCGTCGCTGTCTGCAATCTAAATGAGATATTTTATCAGAACCAAGTCACGGAGAGCAATCGAGCATTGCTTTCACACATCATGGCACAGCCCTCGGCTGACACAAGTTCACATTCAATGGAAGAGGCAAGGCTGACATCTTCAAGTCCTCAGCCCAAAATGACGAATTTGAACATCAAAGATGCATCTACTCCAGAAGAAGCCCGTCAGATCACAACCAAGCTTGTTAAAGAGATAATATGCACATTTGTTGTTACGACTGGGGAACTTCCGGAACATGGCAAGGGAATTGAGGAGCTTGGATTGGATTCATTCATCGTTTTCAGACTCCGCAACTGGATATTTGGTACCTTTAAAGCTGATCTCGGAGCACCGGAAATCGCGGAATCGCCAAGCATTTACGCACTTGTGACCAAAGTGCTCCAGCGTTCTCCTCTTGGAGATTGGAAACAAAGAGAAGGGCAAAAACATGATGATCAATCAGAGTCAAAGGGCACGCAGAGTACATTTGAAGAGCCTCAAAAGCAACCTTTGCCGTCATTAAACGATACTCTCGAAACATATCTCAACGCAGTCAAGCCTTTCTGTACTACTCAGGAACTGGCAATCACTCAATTTGAAATCGCGAAATTCCAGGGAACATGTAGTCTTGGTGAAAGGCTTCAGCAGCGCCTGAAGCTTTTAGCCGATGACCCGACTGTGGAAAATTGGCTCTCTCATCTGTACGCAAAACGGAGATTCTTGGCTTCACGAAATTCGCTTGTAGCTTTCCAGAGCTATTTCGGTACTCATCCAAGTGGACCAAATCCGCGCCCCTGTCAAGCAGCCCGCGCCGCCCTTCTTGCAGTGACGACATCTAACTTTAAGAGGAGACTGGAGAGCGGAACACTCGATACACAGCGTCTCTCTGGCCGTGTCGTGGATTCGACATTGTATTATTGGCAATTCAATGCATGTCGAGAGCCACATCACGGCCAAGACATTATTCAAAAGTACTCTGGGAAGGAGTATGAATATGTGGTCGTTTTTTGCAAAGGAAATGCGTTCAAAGTTCCTCTTGTGGCCGATGATGGGAATTATTTCAGTGCCATGGCTCTTCAATCAGAATTTCAGGCCATTCTTGATTTGCCCCTCCCTACTTGCGAACTGAGTATTCTAACAGCAGATGGGAGAGAACGATGGGCAAAGGTTTGTTCAAAACTACTTTCTCACAGGGCACCTTGGATACAATGTACTGACTAATTATTGATTTAGCATCGCACGATCCTTCTTGGGCTCAACAAAGAGACATACCACTCCATTCAAACCATTGAAGCAGCCGCATTTGTGATCTGCTTGGACGATGTCAGTCCAAAGACCCCTTATGAGCGGTTTCGACAGTTTCTTTTGGCCGATACTACCAATCGATGGTTTGACAAGACCTTGCAGTTCGTTGTCTGTCCTGACGGCACTTCCGCGTCTATCATGGAGCATGCGGCATTGGATGGGGTCACAATTGAGCCTCTACACAACGCGATCAATGATGCCATTGCCAAACAGCATGAAAGTGGTGTTACTGAAGTAAACAAATCAGAATCGAGAGGGAAGCTGGCACGACTTGGAAGTACGAGTATCGAAAAGTGCAGTTCCCTCCCCTTGCCTATGACCGCCCATTCTGATATGTATTCTGTAATGCGGACAATTTCAAACGAGCGCCTTGGGGATTCTGAATCTTTCTCTTTCGCTACGATGACCTCACATCAGATTACGCAATCTTTTTGTCTGGAGCATAAAACACCACTCCAGGGCTCTCTTCAGCTTGCCTTGCAGCTTGCAGCTCGTCGTTTATTTGGACACATCCTGCCAGCAACGGAGACAGTGTCACTAGCTCATTTTCGGCACGGTCGCGTTGATGTCAACGCCATCGTAACCACTCCTATGATGGCTTTTCTTGATGAGGCAACTGTCGATAGTCATCCTAGAAGAGTACTCCGGGATTTAGCAGACAATGCGACACGTGAATATGTTTCGAACCTACGACGTGTCAGTCGTGGTCAGGGTTACGGACGCCATTTGCTTGCGCTCGAATGGATGATTGCAGACACAGAAGAGCGGCCATCGTTTTTCGATGACCCCTCTTACTTGAAAAGTAAACCCGGGCGCATTTTGACCAGCTGTTTCAATACCGGATGGCAGGAGGGTGGTTTTGTCTATCCACCCGCGAACAGCATCCTGATCTACTTCGAGATTAGCGAAGAGAGGTAAGATACTTGCCTCCTATATATCCTTTATAGAGTTAAAGAAACTAATTATATACTAGGATTGCGTTCTCAATCTTTGGTAATGGAGTTGACGCAAGCCATTATCAAACTGAGCTGTCCAGGGCAATTGATGAGGTTAGTTTGATTCTGCGATTCTAAACAGACTTCCATCCAACTTAGAGCAGATTCTTCATGCAAAATGAAGAGTACGCAATCAATCGATCCGAAGCTTAGATCCATAATCTATACTCTTTATTTTGTAGGCTAACCTTGGAATTTTGACTTCAATTCCGTATGCCTTTTTGAGTTCTTCTGGGCTCATTGCAAGCAGATATAGGCTCTGAGCCATTATCTTCATGCAATAGCTTCAAGTTCCTGTGTTGTCTTGCTTGAATTAACCTAGTAGATTCGATAATAGTAGATTTCAATGCATTTCTGGAAGTAATGTAGGCATTACTGTAACGTTTGCACTGGTCTCACTACATTTCGTATATGATTTTAGATACGACCTACCTTAGACCACCTATTGTACGGAGTAGGGGGTAAACTCGTTCCCTACTCTATAGAGCTACAAGCTGGCAGAAGATCTACCTTGTATCTAAATGAGTGCTTATCACATGCCTAGATGACCAGTCCGGATCTATTAACGCGAGTGTGTACATAGTCAGCGATTCGGCGCCAATGTTTAGCACCTGACAATCACCTGAGAGCGGGGCTGATGATTAACTTGCTTTTTTTAGGCGCTTTGAGCCTCTCTGTTTGTGACAGCACTCTTGAGTCTTGGTTGCACCAATATTAAGCATGAGCTCAATATTTTTCGGCGACGAAAACAGGGGGCTTCAGCTTGGCACTAACCATGGAGTGATTAATGTTTCCTTCAGTACGTTTTCGAACTGCTTCAAATCCATTGTACATTGATTAACACTTGGGCCAGACCGATCTGAAACCCTACCAGAGACAGACAACGGTTCGCTCCGCCCCGTCAGTACAATTGAAAATGAAAGACCCACCGACTTACTATAGAGACAGAGCTGCTTAAGTCACTGGCGTTCCCACAAATGCTAGATCGAAAGAACAATATTGAGCTACGCCACACCAATACCTGCCAATGGATCTTGGAGCTGGATGAGTACCAGTTATGGGGGGACCAGCCTTGTGGTTTACTATGGATTAAAGGCAAGCCGGGTGCTAGAAGAGCTACTAGCAAGTGCTATCATAGCATCGGCAACCCATCAACAAGTGACTCTTTTTGTCAACGCTCTTGATGAGGCCGAGGCTGAGTCTGCTCAACGGCTAGCAGACTATTTCCATCACCTGGTTAGCAAAGCCAAGGAAAAGAACGTGGCCCTTAAAGCCTGCTTCTCATCTCGACACTATCCTATCATAGGAAGTGACCATGCTCTAGAGATAAATGTTGAAGACCACAATCAAAAAGACATCGCCTTGTATATCGAAGACAAGCTTATTGGCATGAAGGTCTATACCGGCTCAACTAGACAAATAACGAGAAGAGGATTGGTGGAGGAATTGACACAACAGGCCAACAGGGTGTTCCAATGGGCTCGTCTTACAATTCCCCTGATCAAGCAGAAGATTCTTGAAGGGGAATCGATTGATGAGATTCGTGATTGGTTGCACGATGTTCCAGCTGGCCTGGAAGATGTGTATGTGTATATTCTGAACAACGTGATTGCAGACGGGAATCGGGACCAGTCGTTCCTATTCTTTCAATGGTTATGTCTGGCTGAGCGACTACTGACCGTGACGGAAATGCGATATGCATTAGGCGCTAAGGATTCTGAAAAAGCGCTTTGTCGAAGTCTATGGGAGAAGATTCATGGCTTTATCGAGGATGATGAGCGTATGAAGCAAAGAATAAAGGCTCTCGCCGGTGGATTAGCCAAAGTAGTCTCAAATGGCCCCAAACAGCATCAAGAGACTATACAAGTAGTCCACCAATCAGTCAATGATTTCTTACGCACAAAAAGACTGGCCCTTTTGTCGTCCTATACTACCAGTGCTAGTGATCCATTGATTGATACGGATAAAATTATCTCTTGGTGCCAGGGAACTCTCTACTGATCATGTCTATTATATCTTGCCACCATTTAATCAAATGGAGGGATAAATGATTTTATGGCATCAAATCTTGACATCGTGCAGAGTCACCCATTTCTACATTACGCGACTATCAACCTCTTTGTTCATGCAGAAAAGGCTACCAGCTCTCGAGCTGACTTGCTGCATAACGAAAAGGACATTTTGCACCAAATCATCGGTCTCTGGGCTCAAGTCTACCAGGATATTGATAAGTATAGCAGTGCATGTCCACCAACAGGTATAACAATCCTACATATGGCTGCTGCCGCCAATCTGGTTGATCTCATGAAATCTGTTTTATCAGGCGATGAGATATCGAGAGGAAAGACAGTGTTGGAAATACAGCATTACACTTCGCAGCTCGAGCATGAAACACGACAATTGGAAAAATACTTCGGGCTAAAGGGGCAAACCAAAAACCAAAAAAAACAGAGGAATAACGCCTTTGAGTGAAGCGGTTTGGTATGGACACATAGTTTTTGTTGAATGGCTTCTCAACGAGGACGTGAGGCTTGAGGCAGGAGATGGATGTGCACTATACGCAGCTTCGTTTGCTGGTCATATTGAGATTGCAAAAATACTGCTCAATGCTGGGGCGGATCCGAATGCTCCAGGTGGTGAACATGGCAATGCACTAGGGGCAGCTATATGGGGTAGAAATGCTGAGTTATCAAAGATCTTACTCGATGCTGGCGCAGATTTTAACACCCAGGTTGGCAAAGGCGGATCTGCATTACAGGCTGCTGCATATATTGGAAATGTTGAGACAGTGAAGATCTTACTCGATGCTGGCGCAGATGTCAATGCCCAGGGCGGTAAATACGGAACTGCATTACAGGCTGCAGTTACTTCATTGCGAGGACCTGTTGCAATGCTAATGAACCGCATGCTGCTGTTTAACAGCCGGCTCGGTGTCGATACCAAAGGCGATGTATACGAAGATGCAAAACGGGCTGCTCCCGCTGCCCAGGTTGGTCAATATAGTAATGCAGTACAGCCCCAAGGTAAAGATACTGCATTAAAAGCAGAGCCCCAGGTAGTACAAATCCTGATTGATGCGAATGCCGATGTCAATGCTCAGGGTGGTAGATACGGATCAGCTCTCTTGGCAGCTGTTCATCGGGACCATTCATATGCCATTGAGATTCTTCTTAATACTGACGCAGATCCAGTCCTTACAGATGAACTTCATCAAACTCCGCTTCATATTGCAGCTCCCAGGCATATGACCCATCTTCTTTCTCGGTTCCCACAACTTGCCTCACAGGCAGCAATCAACAAATATAAAATGCTCCTGGAAACCTCTCTACACCTAGCTATCTACTCAGGTCACATCAGCTTTGCTACGAGACTGCTCCGTCTTGGTGCTCTGCAAGATGGCTATGGCAAAAACGCGATGGACTGGGCACTCGAACACAGAACTCTCTCGCAGGAGATGAAGGAACTTTGTCCTTGGCTTGCATTCACACTTTACGAAGATCAAGAATCAACTGTTCGTCGATCACTGGTCCAACTCTCCGATATGGTTCCTCGGGCCAGCCTCAACTGTTCATGGCCGGCTTTACAACAATTAGCCCGCTATTTCTTATTTCTCAATGACACGAACAATGTATACCATCTATTCCGGGCTCGCCTCCCTCAAAAGAAGCGCTTTGCTAGCGACATAGACGAAGCCGTCTGCAACCTCTGCAAAACACTAATTTCTGGTACTCGTTTTGTTTGCAGAATCTGCGCCCATATGGATCTTTGCTCTTCCTGCGTACAAAATATCCGTTCCATAGCAGATTACATCCAAATCAGAAAAATGAACTCTTCCAGCTTTCCGATCTGCCTGAGAATGATTCTCAACCCATTTGGCCAGCTTTACAGGAGTTGGCCTACTTCCTAAATAAGCTCGTTGATGAACCTCTTGGAAGAGACACTTATGAATCTGATTTGGAGCCTTTTTTTCTCATCTTTCCTGGCACAGGAACAGGACGCTCCGGTTCAAAACACTTCATTCAGTTCAAAATGTTTGATAATAATATTCTCGGCGATCCTATTTGGGGTGTTGGCTGCTTTCTTGAAGATTCGGTACATTATTTCTAACGCAATTTGACCTCATGAGACCCACTGTTGATCAGATAATAAGAAATAAAATAAATAAAAAAGTGACTGCCCTTACTTTTAGAATACTAAAAAATAAAAGGAACCCCTCCAAGGATATAAGAATGCAAAAAGAAACTCCGAATGGGGGAATCGAACCCCCGGCTGTCGTGTGAGAGACGACGATGTTAGCCACTACACCAATTCGGAGAAAGAAACTCTCCCTCGGGGAATCGAACCCCGGTCTCCCGCGCTTATCGGTGTTAATGACAAGCGGAAATCATGACCACTAGACCAAGGAAGATGAGATGATCGAGTTCCACTCGACCACTTGGGGTGGTTGATGTCTGTTTCGACATTTTTGATTATATGACCCGAACATTTACCAACACGAGAAAATTCAACCTTGGAACACACCCGGGTGTTGACTGGGGAACAGGTAAACATGGCCCATGCAGGCTTCTAAGTGGTCCACTTTTATAGTTCGGCCTCACCTATACAATAATAAAAAATATACGCAGTGCAAGTCTCGTGAGAGTAGTATGTAAAAGCTCCAAGTACAAGTCTACTGAGTACCTACAATGCTACGAGATTACAGTCATGGGGAGCTACCAAACTATGAAAAGGAATCTATCTCAGTGCAAGTAAACGGAAAGAGAGGAAGAGGAGAGAGAGAAAGAAATCAGACGCGCCACCAACACCAACGCCCGCTGAAATTCAAACTGAAAAAAAAGTAAGAGAAAGATAAAGATATGAAAAAAGGCAAATGCCAAAGTAAATGCGGAAACGAAAACGAAAACGAAAACGGGCGCACTGCGCAGAAGAAATTTAGGCCGGGCATCAATTCCTGTGTCAAGTAGCAAATGAGTTAGTAAATAGAACAATGAGGTTCAAATGATGTGATAACCAGGTGAATAAAGGCGAGACTAACCGGCCATAAAACCACAACAAACACGCCTTTAGCGGCGGCGGTGGGCAGGAGGGTGGGCGGCGTGGGCTCTGTTTGAGATAGCCCGGCAGTTATCACACTGCTCCGTCACCAGGCTGCTGCGGACCGCGTGGACGAAGTGCGTCAGGTCGAGGAAGTGCCCGCACTTCGAGCACTCCTTCAGGTCCGTGCGTGGGCTTAAACCCACGGCGTCCTGGCGGGGTGCACGCCAGGTATCCGCGGGGCCCACAGCAGCGAGGGCGACGGCGGCGGCAGTAGCGGCGGCGGCAGCAGTGAGAGGTCGAGGACGAGGGGGAGGACGGGGAGGAGGGGCCATGGCACCCTCAGGAGGGACCTCAACAAGGATCCCCTCCACAAGTTGGAAAGTCAAGAACATGGTTTGTGCGTCGCACCTTTTTGGTGTGCGTGGTTCGATGTCGGAGTGGGAGTGGTAGTGGGGCAGGGTGGTCAAAAGAGGAAAGCGGTAAGAAAAGCGTGGAGGTTTCTTAAATATGTGCGTGTTGCGATGGAGCTAAGCCTAATTTGGACACCATCTTCCCTCTAGTTAATTCAAATGTTCTTACTGCCTACTAGGCACCACTTAACACTTCACTCTAGTTTTATCCTTTACATAGAAGATAATTGATAATTGAATGTTTATTGTAGGCCTACAGCCCTGAAAAGCAAATCACCTCTTCAATCAGAATTTACCTACATATTCACTCAAGTGCACGGTGCCAGTGTACTTCAAGTTAAATATATCATTGATTGTGATATCCTGACATACTAAATATATCTACTTCAAGTTCCAAGGTTAGTATTGCTACTACTATATCGTGATCAATGCCAACTTCAAGTTGAACTTGAAGCCCTGGAGTTGAATTGACTCAACTTGGACTTGGACTTGAAGTCCATACCCAGCTTGATGCTAGTATCTAGTATCTCCAGATGTCAGTAGATACCTCAGGCTCAGGCTGTGTACCAAGAGGTAGTACTACTAGGCTGCCAGCACTTGAGCTTTCAAATGCCAGTGTTTACTGTCTTGAAGAGGGTAAAGTAAAAATATTGCAATTGAAAATCAGAAGTGGTATCTCGAGATAATAGTACAAATTCGTAGAAATACATTGCTTGACAACCTTCCAAGTTGTCAGAAGCAGAAACAATGTGCAGGAAATCATCCAACCCAAAAACATAGCAACAGTTTAGTACAGTATCACCCTTAAGAGGGTACATATTCACATGGCCAGATGTGATTCAGGACCAAAAAGATCGAAAAGAAAATAGTGCAAGGGAACATATCGGAAAAGGCAATAGCAACGATTTCAAAGTGGTAATACAGGGTTGCTTCTTGCTGGGGCATCAGGGGTAGAGTATAGTCATATAGTACAGGGGATCACAAATTGAAAGAAAAAGAAACTTCATCGACGAGCGGGACGTAGACCAATGCGACCCTCACCAACGAGGGAGTTCCATCGTCTGCCTACATCGCTGTGGTTTTGGCGGCCCATTCGGCGCGCACACTCATCCCATTCTTGTTGGGAGAGACGAAATTTCTCAAGGACCAGGTCCATGAGATGTTGGTCTTCCTCGGCCGTCCATTCGTCGGATGGGGCCGGGGTGGATTCCTCCGATTCTTCGATCGAAGGAAGAGGCGCGTCGGGATCAATAGGCGCTTCTAATTGAATGCGCGCATCGATCCGACGCTGAGCGGGAGAAGGAGGGGATTGAGTGATAGGAGGCGAATGTAGGGAATAGAAGTCTGTGGAAGAGAGGCCAAGCGGCAGGTCATAAGGGACATGGCGCTGGCGTTTGGGAGTAGGAGTAGAGAGACGATTGCGCATACAGGGCATATCTGCGTCGCTGTCATCGTCCTCAAAAGCGGGTCGGCGCCGCTTGTTGGCGCCGCGTGCGGGCGCAGATGGAGCAGGTGGTGGTGAAGTAGCGAGAGTAGTTGGTGGTGGAGTTGGTCGGGGTGATGCAGGTCGTGCGACTTTGCTGCGCGTGCGTGGTGAGCGACGCGGCGGATTGATTGGAAGAGGGCTTTGCAGGCGCTGGGGCTTGGATCGACGTGATGATGGAGCGGGAGATCCATTCAGCAGAGACTGCAGCGCGCGACATGTGCCGAGAAGACCATTTCTAGATGAGTATCCTCGATCAGAGGGAGGAGGCGTCGAGAAGAGACGGCTGGGAGTGAAGCGAGACGACCGGCGCACATCGCAGGGGAGAGCGGATGGAAGCAACATGGCGCAAATGTGGTATGTTTATGATTGCGCAGCGATAGTGAGTGTATATTCTGGAAGCGCTATTGAGAAGCGCTTGGTGTGTATAGTCAAGTGGTGGTTTGCGCTGAGATTTCTGCGCGATTTGCGACAGGCGATTGCGCCGGGGACGGTTGCGAGGCGCGACGACGGAGTTGGGACGGAAAGAGTGGATTTGTATGAATGTCGTCGAATTGCGCTTCAAAACGGCCTGGTTCCGAAGAACTGGCGACGTAGAAGGAATATTGTTGTTATGATAAGGGTTGTAGGGGAGAAGGGAAGTTGGCGGGGGCGAAACGGGGCGATAAAAGAAAAGTGGCCGCAAACGGTCAAGCGAACAATCCGAAAAATGTCAACAGACGGGGGGATCCACCTCAACAAAGAAAATGGATATGCACGGAGTATAGCAAAGTTGATATTCAATGAAAGAAACCACAGCGAGTACTTTTAGCTTCCTTTTCTCTTTGAAACACAAAAGAAAAGAAAAAAAAATACAAGTCTGTTTTAGGTGGTCTGATAGGGAAAAAAATAATGAGGTCGGCGAAGAACAACAATCCTGTTCAGGATCAGGAACGAGTGACGATTGATGATTATGATCTTAGAAGCGAATGATACTGTTTCCAATTGATGAGAAGACGCTTTATTATACTAATTATCTATTAAGTCAAATATCGAGTCCTCTCTCTGGACCAGTGAAACACCCATACAGGAGGCCAGGACTTGCACCAGGAGGCTACGCAAGGGAGACATCTTCTTTATCTCGGAGCCTCCCCTCGACGCACGAGTGCACGAGGTGGCCCCTGAAACGGTCTGCACTCTGCGTGGGTCAAATGGCTGAATTACATTGCCTTATTGGTCCCAGTGTATACTTTCATTGAGCTCTAGTGCCCACGGTGATTACGGCCCCAATCCGGATTGAATAATGATCACCATGCGTCAATTAATCCATTACAATTCCATGACGTGCAGAGTACAGCCTGCAATGCCGCAACGGACCGGATTGCGTCAGGTATTCCGTACTCCATACAGAGCCCAAGTGGAGTGACTCAATTCAATTCTTTGCCACTCGGAGTTGTGCGGATCCATCGTGTTTTAATACTGTGAGTAGAGTTCTTGTACTCTATACGAGGAGCTCCCAAGGTTGTACTCTCAGGGTTACTCCTCTGCTCCTACCCAGGTGTTTCCCTCCTAAACAACCTTGAAGGAGAGCATTCCGAGTTATATCCTTGAATACTACATTCTCTTGATTTTTGTCTTATCTACATAGAAAATAAATTATATAGTTATAAACTTGTAACTTCGAAGTGATCTATAGTCTTATAGTATGAATCAATTTGTGTGAAATTAATGTAATTAGCGCGCGTTTCGTCGCGTGACGAAAAATTCAATTTCCACGCGACACGCGACACGCGTTGACCAATAATAGCTTGATATTATGTGGGTCTGTACCTGACGATCTCATTTAGTTACACGCTAAATACACTAAGTACATCCATCCATATACACCAAGCACATTCTGTACAGAGTCAAGGCACCTAAGTCAATGCACAGGTCATAAGATCTTAGAAAAGAGGGTAAAGGTGTGAAGAGGTTCGAGCGTAAAGCTTCGGATTCATTTGGGAAAAATTGTACTTTCTTTTATTCTTTATTCGATGTAATCAACGTTCGGAATTCATATGCCTACAACATTTGAACTTGAACCATTGGCCCTAGACATGAAAGCCACTTCTACTCCATATAGACAATCTGGATAGACTTACTATAGTAAGTAATAGTCTACACTCGTAGATTTCATGACTTGTTACTGTCACTCTTGGTTGCTGTTGTCCCGAAAATTCAATACCCCGCGTTAGTCCTTGCTTCCTGCAGGTCCAGTTGTCCGATCAAGATGAAAATATCAAATTTATGGTTTGCATTATCTTGCAGACTTCTCGGGAGTAACCTGCACGAAGTACGTGTGCTTTGTGGGGTGCAGATAGTTGAACGTGTAAAATCAGCTACATATGCATTATCATGGATATTATTCTATGCAGATTCATACGAAACCCTGGAGCTATACATGGATCCATGCTTTTTCTGTATCAGCAGTACAATTCTTTGACTTCGGTCGACTCCACTCTCCACTACCTCCATCGGATCAGGGATATCCTCACTCAGAGAACTTTTTCCCTTCCACCCTTCACTTGCCCCAGACAAAGGGATCTATGCCATTCTCACTCAAGGCTGAGAGACAAGCGACTCACTCGGTCCGCCCTGTATCCGACTTCCATTCCCCCCGAAGAATCTCCTCCAAAATCATGCAAGGGGTAGTCAGGGCGCCTGGGCAGAAGGATGTAGCTCCCTCCAATCCTGATAGGTCCATACAAGGTTAACCTCGAGATTTCACTGATCTACACAAAATTAAACTCCAGATCTTCCTCAGATTCCTGGTTTGTTTACCAGAAGCAAGATCTATACTATAGCCTTCCAAGGTTCAGTCAGGAGTATAGGTACACCATAACTCAGGATACATTTTCCCCTACGGAGTACACACTTGAACTCAATGCAAGACATTTTGCTTGCAGCGGGCGCTAAGGGTGATCATCCCCACATCCTTGACACACTCGTGCTTGCAAGTGGCTGGGTACTCCTGTAGACTGTTGCCCTTTCAACCGGGTCCCACTAGGACTAAGCTCCTTCATAGGAGATTGTATTCACCAGGTTTCACAAGTTCACCTCTGGGACACCATCAACTCACCCTTTCGTGTCTTGGCGACTGATCTATGTCTTAGCCTCGTTGCTAATTATGGAGTTCACGCATTCTTTATTGTGGGTGACAGAGAATCGTCGATCTTTCTACTCGAAGCGTTGGTTCTTTGTCTGAGTTCTTGTGCTCGGCCGTGGAAAGCAGACCAATAGCAGGAGTGGTGAGTATCGAGTGTTGTCCACTTTATGGCGAATGGTGAAGCTATTGGAACTGTGTACTTTACGCCCCTGTCCCAGGAGGAATCAGCACTAACCTTGTTGTAGGAACAGACTGCATTATTTCCATACGAGTACCTATCCTTGAATGAGTGCTGGGTCTGAGAAAGCTAGAATAGTGAATTTGTGCATGGTCTATAACTCTAATTGAAGTCATTGGCACTTGCAACCTGAAGCCACAAACCCCTTCCAGGAAAGTCAGGACTCTCATTAACCACTTTAGCTCATGGGACCTTTCGTGACCAAGGTTACATCACCACTCTCCAGTTAGATGGGCTCGTTCTCCCTTTCACTTTGACCTTTATTGCCAACACTCTATTCACCCACCCCTCTGGGACCTTGACGCCCGGCAAAGCCACCCGTCTTCCCCTCTTTCGTGGCTATCCTATGGAGCAAGCCAGGGATAGAAAGGCTCACAAGCACCAAGTCAAGCGATCAAAGGGAACACCCTTCTTTCTCTGAGATAGCCAATTGGCAAGCCTTGCCCCTCATACTTCCTATCTTATCCCTTATCAAGGGAATCTGAAGTCGCATCATCCCCCCGCGACTAAGTACAGCTCCCACTGTGGATTAGAAAGACGAACTATTGATTTTATTGTGAGCTCCTTTGTGTGGCGCAAAACTACTTAGTGGTTTGATGAAAATTACTTTTTAGCCTTTGATTTTTTTAATTGGCTTGTGTCTTGGCTCTCGAATGCGTATCATTTGCTCGCAATTGGAATTGGCGGCATCTGCGGTTAAGCATGCAGCGAAGATCAGCATGACTCACGAAGACTCATAGCGAGTAAGAAAATGAAATGCAACATTACGATCTTCTCAAATTAAAGAAACCATCCAATCGATACCTTGTCATTCAAATTGCGAAAGGAAGTCTAGCTAGTCGAAATTTAGCTATCCTGGACATTGACAATGGCTGAGAGCTCAAACCACGCCATCATTTTTGGTGCATCGAGTTTGGTGGGATGGGCTCTAATAGACCACCTCCTGGGTCCTGACCCTGGTTCTCAATCTTTCTCCAAAATAACGGCTATAACAAACCGTCCTCTCAATTTAGCTCAGTCTTGTTGGCCTACACCGACTGATAACCGAGAATTACAACTTGTCTCCGGCATTGATCTTCGACAAAGCGATGGACCTACTCTAGCGGCCTCATTGGCGCAAAAAATCAAGAACATCAGCACTGTTACTCATGTCTATTATCTTGGTATGCTGGGGATCTATGAGAATCAATTGAAATATTTATGGAGTTAATCTTTGGAAGTATTCACCGCAATCGACGACGAAATCGAAGAAGTCGCAACAAATCGGCGCATGTTTCAGAATGTCATCGATGCCCACAACTTGATTAGTCCCAATTTGCAATTTGTCGCATTTACTGGTGGAACGAGAGTCAGTGTCAAGCAGAAGTGAATACTCTACTTGTACTGATTATATACAGGGCTATGGAATTTACGCTCCGGGTGGAACATTCACGCCTCCCTTGACGGAGGATATGGTACACAATCTCCCGAGTGACTACGCGCAGACAGTCGTCTACCCAGCTTATCGTGAGCTTCTTCATGAAGCAAGTAAGGGGAAGAACTGGACATGGTGTGAAGTCTGTCCGGACGCTATTGTGAGTCTGTCATTCTGTCAGAAATCAGAACATGGCTTATAATTTCCAGATCGGCTTTACACCGAATGGTTCCCAGTTCAGTTTAGCATTGCATTGGGCACAGTATCTTTCTCTATATGCTGAAAACCATGGGGTTCATCGGGATGAGTCAGTCAAGCGAGATGGTACAGTCGAAGTGCCCTTTCCTGGTAACGTGACTGGCGCCAACTCGTTGTTCTCACCTGTTGCTAGCAAGACTATTGCCCGCTTCATGATATATGCTTCTTTTCATCCAGAAACGTGTGGGAATGATCGGCTGTTTAATATTGCTGATAGCGACACGCCATGTAAGTATGGTGAGATCTGGCCTCGACTCGCAGAGTGGTTTGGGCTTGTCGGCGTTGCACCTACGGGCAGCGAAGAAGATCTGAAGGGAGATCTAAAAGTTGGTGAGCTTCCCCAGGGCCACTCTGCTTTGACACCTGGAGATTATGTCAAAAAGTATAGTGATACATTCGCTGGAAGGGGATGTTTGAATGCTGTCAGCGGTGGAGTTGGGGTTGGTAGTCGGCAACTGGACAGCGTGGGATACTGGTTAACCTTCGACCGACACATGAGCTTGATGAAGTTGAAGGAAACAGGATTCAAAGTGGATGGAGATCCAGTTCAGGCTTGGTTGGACGCCTTTGAGATGTTCAGAACCGCTGGTTTGATACTGTGAATGATGGTCTGCGATACATCAATAACCCTGGAGGAATACATGCAAATTCCGTGCTGAATGGCATATGACCACACTTTCAGAACATATTAAGACAGTCAGTATTATCATAAATTAACATTTGAAGATAGATTGGACATGCAATGCCAGTGGTTGTATTTTCTGGAACTGAAAGCTTTTCTATGAACTGTCTCATAATGCATATGTGCCGCTTAAAAAGACACCTTGGAATGATCAGGGTATGTGTAATATAATGAATATTCGATCATCAGCCTTGCATTCGCTTCATGCGTTCTTCGGCTGCTCTCGCCCGCCGCTCTCGTTCTAATCGCATCCGCATCTCGGGGGTCATCCCCCGAGTTTCCTCGTTCTCTCTTCTCGGCGACGGTCTTTTCCACCGCCCCCAAGGTACGACCCCCAGGTCGCTGCGCCTGCTGCGCTTTCAGTGCCTCTCTTTCAGCATCTTCCTTCTGCAATCGCTCCAATCCAGCCTTGCGGCGATTGGTCTCCTCTTCCTCAGCTGCCTTTTTCTCCCGCTCGGCTCGACTTTCAACATCCGCCTTTGAAACAGCAGAGGGAACTTTGGCAGCGGTCCAATCCCACTTCGACTCGCCCAATTCATGGCGGGCGATGCGGAAAGCATCACGGGTAGCTCTGTCTCCCGCAAGTTCAAAGGGTGTCCTACCCTCGCCATTCACTATAGTAGGGTCTGCCTGGGCTCGGACAAGAAGTGCAGTCACGACAGCTGGAGCATCAAGATTGGATGCCAGATGGATAGGTGTGGGACATCGGAAGTTCTGAGGTGAATCTGCCGGTTGGAAGGTAAATGAGGCGGGGATAGAGTTGTTTGTAAGATATGACATGAGTGCAGGAACTTTGGAGCGTCGGATAAGAGCCTGAATCTGAGAGGTGTGTAGCAGTGCAGCTTCCTCTTCCTTTGACAGCTTCGGCTTTTGCTGTTGTGGTCGGGGTGTTGATGGTTTAGAATCTTGTTTTTGCTTCGCTGCCTCCGCCTCCGCCGCCGCTGCCAATGCAGCTTCATCAATCTCGCTGACCTTGACGCGAGTCAGCTCCTTAAAGCTCCGCATGAGCTCTCCTTGGGTTGCGCGGCGAGTATTGAAGGGAAATCCTCTGATCCGAGGGTCATTCTGCTTCAAAACCTGGCCGTCATGCCTATCGAATAGAATCTTCCGGTTTGTCTTTCCGGTTGCGCGGATAAAAAGCAGCTCAGCACTGTCAATCATCTGTCGCCAGTCGGCCAGTAACTCCCTGATATCCTTCTCTAATGCCGCCTCATTGTAGCGTCGCAAACTAGATCCAGCCGAGTGTGCTGCACCACGTGAAGCATCGCTTGCGGATTGCGAACCACCCTGCTTTCTTCGAGTAGTATAGCGATGGAAGGTCTTATGTGCGATGACTCTGGCTTGTCGGTCCTCAATACCTCCTTGCTTGCGATGTATCTCCGGTGCCAAAGATACCAGCATGGCTGCAAAATGACCACCTCCAATCATACACATAAATATGTGGGGGCTTGATGTGGTGGGTTCCTGGACCTGGTTTTTGTTGGTGCGCGCTTTGACAGGCGCGAGCTGCTTCTTTCGTATTGTGTCCACCAAGTGGTCTGGCTCGTCTTGTTCGGCGGCGGAGAAGAGAGCGCGATAGACACCCAGAGACTTGTTTGATGGCAGACTCGAACTTGATAACCAAAATAGAGGATTCTTTGCTTGTCCCTTTTTCGCGACCGGCTCATCCTCCTCGTTTGGCTCAGAAAGCTTTGCCTGTTTCTTGAGCAGAGCTGTGAGAGTTGTGTCCGCACCAGCATCGGCATCATCCTCTTCTGTTTCTGAAGACTCTGATCCCGAAATCGACTCATCTAGCTCTCCAACAGCCTTTGTAAACTGGATCTCGTCGAGAGGCGCATTTCCGCGCAGTTGTGCTTTGATGTTGTATCGATGATGGTCCGATCGAACATGGCTACGCTGTTCCTGCACATTGTGATATGAAACTTTGCAAAGAGCGCATGTTGTTGAGGTCGCAATCGCAGATTCTTGGGCTGCTCCTTCAGAATCCTTGAGTGTAGTCTCGGAGGTAGGTTCGATGAGGGGTTCGTTTCCAGATTTTGCCATTAAAGTTGCGAGAAGCTCTGATGGAAGATCATAGACTGTCCAAAGTTCAGTAAAAGAGTTATCATCAAATCAGGGCTCAAGCCCAAGTTACTTACCATAAAGAGGTCTTTTCAAAAGCTCCTCAATACGTGTTGAGTCGACCATGATGATCTAGTGAAACCACAAAGTGCTTCTGGATTGATGGAATAGCTACTTCTCTTTGTCGCGGGCACTTTTGACCGCCTTGGGTATATGCGCTGACCGCCTTTGACTATAAGGTCCTGAAGAATTATATGGTATGATAAAAAAGAGATTTGGTGAATTAATGAGGTCGTTGAGTCGCAATTGTGAGATATATGCTCCTTTTACTGTCTGTGGGATTACAACTTGGGTATATAAAGGCTGTGTCATTGTGGCTGTACCAGCCTAGCTTTACAGACTATGACAAACTGGTTGCCCGCTCTGAGTCACGGTGGGGTGAAACACGATTAGAACTGAACTTCAAGGCTTGGAAGATTACTCATTGTTATTTTGAGAATGTTAAGATGACTTTTTTTTATGAAATTTACTACAGAGATATACCCAACAGTACCTAGTAATAGTATCAATATAATTTGTATAATTTTGGCCGAGTCAATATACGTGTTACGTCATCGGCTAATCTGCCTGAATTGGAATGCTTAGTTACGCCGCCATTCTCCATCCATCATTCTCAACTATTTCAACTTCAGGTAGAAACACACTTCGAAATAAAACAACCTTGGAATAATATTTAATGAAATTCATATTGGGCTTTATATCCGATACTGCAAGGGATGTGGAATACGCTTCTATTAGCACCTGCAAGGTCTACCCAGGGCCTACAATTTGAAACAGAACGTTTCCCAGATCAGATATATGTAGCTGGACTAAATCCTGGTTGTGTCTCCCAAGTATAACACCAACTCAGATTGATATGCAGGGACCCGATACCTAGAAATCTCTACTGGTTGTCTGGATCTGAATATTTATTGCAGAAATGCAAGTTTATAAGTCCGAGTCGGTATCAAAAATTGAATTATCATCCAATCACCAATAAAAGACTCGAGGCATCGCTTGCAGGGATATCTTATATTATATGCATTCGGCTTATCAATACACGTGACCTAGAACGTGAGGGGAAAGTTGTGCAACAAATTCTACAGATCCCACAGTATAGTAGTAGGCCATTATTCCAACATTTTGAAAGGTTAGAGATCATACTATGTATCACTAATGCTAATACTCCGTACATTCGAGAATTCAATCGAATCCACTACGGAGTACAGACGTTACTGGTGTTAGTGGGGGCAATATCTCCACTTTTCCACTTCCGACTGGGGCTCTTTGCGGTAAGCAAGACCGACCGGCTATTACGGCGTCAGAAGCTCGGCCTTTTACTAAGCAGCCCGCAAGCTCTCGAATCTCCGACACCGCCATCACTTTCTCCCCTTTGCGCAAACCCGAATGGAATATTGGGGCGTTGTCGCTTGACATCAACATGTTGGACGGTACTTCCCAGGTGTTTATGGGAGACTCCCAGTCGGGAATCTCACAATCGCACCTCGTATCGGCCTTTGATCGCCAACAGCATTCTTTCTGCGGCGATCCGGAGGGATGGGGCCCGTTAAGCTCAACGGGATTCCATCTCACCCCATGCTTTCTAGACGCCTTGGTGGCTGGCGTCGCCGTCTGGGGAACCCTCGGCGGTGCTGGTGCTCTGTGGCTGCTACTGAAGAAGCGTATTCCGCAGCCAGTCTCGAAGAATTGGCATTTCTACATCAAGCTGGTTCGTGGACGGCCTTATCTCCCTTGTACCTTCAAATGTATATCAAGGCAAAACTGACATATTCTTGACTTATAGGTGGTCCTTGCCTCCCTGATACTGGTGACTGCTCTCCAAGCAGCCATCCAAGCCGAAACAAAACCAAAGAACTTCTGGGCTGACTTCCGTTTCTGGTCCTCACTTTTGAGCCTTGCTTCCCTCGGCGTGATTTACGCCGTGCAATATTTCGAACATTGGCGAAGTCGCCAACCGAATGGCGTTGTATTATTCTACTGGCTTTTCTTCATTATCGTGCATGGCATCAAGCTGCAATCCCTTGTCTCACGGAAGGAGTACTTGACTAGTCTCCCATACTTCGTTTGTATTAACGTCACTCTCGGACTGGCTCTGGTCGAATTTGTACTGGAATACCTGGTCCCTAAGAAGCAGAGTGATTATGATGCGCTGGGTGACGAGGACGAATGCCCTTATAACTATGCAGATATCTTCTCAATCCTTACCTTCGGATGGATGACCCCATTGATGAAGTTTGGATACAACAACTATTTAACTCAAGATGATTTGTGGAATCTTCGACGCCGCGATACCACTCGTGCTACTCTTGACGATCTGAGTGCCGCCTGGGATGTGGAGCTTGAGAAGAAGAAGCCTTCTCTGTGGATTGCCCTCTTCAAGGCATTCGGCGGTCCTTATATGCGTGGCGCAGTCATCAAGACGGGCAGTGATATGCTCGCCTTTGTACAGCCACAGCTGCTGCGTTACCTGATCGCTTTCATTGACTCATATAGAGGTCCTGAACCTGAGCCAGTCATTCGTGGTATCGCCATTGCGTTGGCGATGTTCTTTGTCTCGGTATGCCAGACAAGCTTACTGCACCAGTACTTCCAGCGAGCCTTTGATAGTGGCATGCGTGTTAAGTCATCCCTGACTGCTCTCATCTACGGCAAGGCTCTGCGACTGTCCAGCGAGGGCCGCGCCTCCAAGACTACTGGTGATATTGTCAATCACATGGCTGTTGATCAACAGCGTCTTTCGGACTTGACTCAGTTTGGTACTCAATTAATATCTGCTCCTTTCCAAATCACTCTGTGCATGGTCTCGCTCTACCAGCTTGTTGGACCTAGCATGTTTGCTGGTATTGGTGTCATGATTCTTATGATCCCGCTCAATGGAGTTATTGCGCGAATGATGAAGAAATTGCAGATCGTTCAGATGAAGAATAAGGACTCGAGAACTCGCCTGATGACTGAGATTCTCAACAACATTAAGAGTATCAAGTTGTATGCCTGGAATACGGCTTTCATGAACAAACTCAGTCACATCCGAAATGACCTGGAACTCAACACTCTTCGTAAGATTGGTGCTACTCAATCCGTGGCCAACTTTACATGGCAATCGACTCCTTTCCTTGTGTCATGCTCCACATTTACTGTGTTTGTGCTGACCAGCAACCGGCCTTTGACCACCGAGATCGTTTTCCCTGCCTTGACCCTCTTCAATCTGCTTACCTTCCCGCTCTCCATTTTGCCTATGGTCATTACCTCGATCATCGAATCTGCCGTTGCTGTAAACCGATTGACAGAGTATTTCACTGCCGAGGAGCTCCAAACTGAGGCTGTTATCGTGCAAGACACCGTGGAACACGTCGGCGATGAAGCGGTTCGAGTTCGCGACGCTTCTTTCACCTGGAACCGACACTCTGGCATTAATGTCCTGGAAAATGTCGACTTGAGTGCGCGCAAGGGTGAACTGAGCTGCATTGTTGGTCGTGTAGGTGCCGGAAAATCCTCTCTGCTCCAATCCATCCTAGGAGAGCTGTGGAAGTGCAATGGTGAGGTGGTTGTACGAGGTCGTGTCGCCTATGTTGCACAGGCCCCCTGGGTCATGAATGCAAGTGTTCGCGAGAACATTGTTTTTGGACACCGATGGGATCCTGATTTCTACGATCTCACTGTGGAGGCTTGTGCTCTACTTGATGATTTCAAGAACTTGCCCGATGGAGATCAGACTGAAGTTGGAGAACGTGGAATTTCCCTCTCAGGTGGACAGAAGGCTCGTGTCACTCTCGCTCGTGCTGTGTATGCCCGCGCAGATATCTATCTTCTGGACGATGTTCTCTCAGCAGTTGACCAGCACGTTGGCCGCCACATCATCAACAAGGTTCTTGGTGCTTCTGGACTTCTGAGCACCAAGACCAGAATCCTTGCCACTAACGCTATCACTGTGCTCAAGGAGGCCGATTACATCGGCCTGCTTCGTGACAAGACCATCATTGAGTCAGGCACATACCAGCAGCTCATGGCAATGAAGGGTGAAATCTCAAGTCTGGTCACTAACAACTTGGCGGAGTCGGACGAAGAGCGCTCTCCCATCGCGTCTGACGACGAATTGGCAAGCCGCCCGAGCTCCGAGAACACCGCTGTCCTTGACGATGAAGAAGAGGATGATGACTCGGACAGCGAGGGAAATGGAACAACCCGGCTCTCTTGTCCCCATCAAGCGGACTAGCGGTCCGGGCCGAAAGACTAGCTATGCTACTCTGCGCCGAGCTAGTACTGCGACATGGCAAGGACCCAGACGCAAACTGGCCGACGAGGAAAATGTTCTCAAGAGCAAGCAATCACAAGAAGTCGCCCAACAGGGTAAAGTCAAGTGGGGTGTCTATGGCGAGTATGCCAAGAACAGCAACATTGTGGCCGTCACTTTCTACCTGCTCGCTCTCTTGTCTGCTCAAACTGCTCAAGTACTTGGCAACTTCTGGCTGAAAAGCTGGACTGAAGTCAACGAGAAACATGGCGGCAACCAGAAGGTGGGCCTTTTTATCGGAGTTTACCTCGCATTCGGCTTAGGATCATCGCTTTTGGTCATTGTCCAGAACTTGATCCTGTGGATCTTCTGCTCCATCGAGGCCTCTCGCAAGCTGCACGAGCGCATGGCCTTTGCCATCTTCCGCTCGCCTATGAGCTTCTTCGAGACTACTCCATCTGGTCGTATCCTCAACAGATTCTCTAGTGACATTTACCGTGTCGATGAGGTTCTTGCCCGTACCTTCAATATGCTCTTCGCCAACTCAGCCCGTGCAGTTTTCACCATGATCGTCATCGCAAGCTCAACCCCTGCTTTCTTGTTACTGGTCCTTCCTCTCAGCTATGTTTACCTCAGCTACCAGAAGTACTACTTGAGGACCTCTCGTGAATTGAAGCGTCTGGACAGTGTCACTCGCAGCCCGATTTTCGCTCACTTCCAAGAATCCCTGGGTGGTATCACAACCATTCGCGCGTACCGACAGGAGAACCGATTTGCTCTGGAGAACGAATGGCGAATGGACGCCAACCTGCGGGCTTACTTCCCGTCTATCAGTGCTAACCGCTGGCTCGCAGTTCGTCTGGAGTTCATTGGGTCGATCATCATTCTGTCCTCCGCCGGATTGGCTATCGTATCAGTTTCCACCGGCAGTGGTCTTTCAGCGGGTATGGTCGGTTTGGCCATGTCTTATGCTCTTCAGATCACCCAGTCCCTGAACTGGATCGTGCGACAGACCGTAGAGGTTGAGACCAACATCGTCTCTGTTGAGCGTGTCCTGGAGTACGCAAACCTGCCTAGCGAAGCGCCTGATGTGATGTTCAAGAGTCGACCTTCCATCGGCTGGCCTGCCCAAGGTGCTGTCTCCTTCAAGGATTACAGCACCCGCTATCGCCCTGGTCTTGACTTGGTGCTCAAGAACATCAACCTTGATATCAAGCCTCATGAGAAGATTGGTGTCGTCGGTCGCACCGGCGCTGGAAAGAGTTCATTGACATTGGCTCTGTTCCGAATCATCGAGCCGACCAATGGTGACATCAGGTAAGAAGTATTTATGAGTTATTAAGTAGTTGATATATTGACGTTGCTATAGTATTGATGGCTTGGATGTGTCCAAAATTGGATTGTCTGACCTTCGTGGTCGTCTTGCTATTATTCCTCAGGACCCTGCTATGTTTGAGGGTACCCTACGTGATAACTTGGACCCTCGACATGTTCATGACGACACTGCACTCTGGAGTGCTATCGGTAAGATCAATTACTGTTATCAACAATTGGAATATGAAGCTAATTACTGTATTCTATAGAACATGCTAGGTTGAAGGAACAGGTTTCCCAAATGGAAGGCCAGCTGGATGCGCAAATCCAGGAAGGAGGTAAGTAAAATTCAGTACACCAGGCATCTTCCCATTCAGTATTCTAACCTGAGGCATCTTAGGATCCAACTTGAGTCAAGGTCAGCGCCAGCTGGTCTCGCTCGCTCGGGCTCTCTTGACACCCAGCAACATCCTTGTTCTGGACGAGGCAACCGTGAGTTCCCATCCTGTCTGCTTCGATCTCAGAAGTTACATTTGCTAATATTTCTTGAAAATAGGCCGCAGTTGATGTGGAGACCGACGCTTTGTTGCAGCGAACCCTGCGCAGCAGCATCTTCTCGGATCGCACAATCATTACCATTGCGCACCGTATCAACACGATCATCGACTCTGATCGTATCGTGGTTCTTGATAGGGGTACTGTGGCGGAATTCGACACACCAGCGGAGCTGATCAAGAGTGGCGGCAAATTCTACGAACTTGCCAAGGAGGCTGGCTTGCTTGAAGGCGACAGTCTCGCCAGCTCTTCGCAAATAGCGTAAAAGCCAAACCGGTCGTAATTAGCGAGGAGTTCCCGTGTCACGCGGCTCAATGCTCGGCCAGCCCTTTTGCACTTTGAGGGCATTCAGCCTCCAGGATTCTGAGTGGTCCGGGGAATCCGGGCGTTCTCTGAAATCAGCGGGCCGATCTCTTGGAAAGTTTCAAAATGTTGATTGTACTTCGTACAATTCCCACTTTTTCTTTTTTTTTTTACTGCATGAATCATGCCTCCATTATTCTGGCCGTTCAAATGTGCAGGTGCTCCGCCATTCGTGGCGCGGGTGTCTGTGCAGAGGCGTATTCCTGTGGGATGAAAAACTTTTTTTTTCCCTGATTGCGAACGCCAGGATACCCCTGGCAGAAGAGCAAAGCAGCATTGTGAAGAAAGGAAAAAAAGTTTTATTCCTTGTTTTGATCTCATTCTTTTCTTTTGGCTCGATATGCAAAACAAACCTCCAGTTATTCTTGCACCTTGATTGCATTGTGTTATGCAATGCGATCGAGGATTACTGATTGGCCTGACCCTGGATATTGAAAAGTGCTTCTGGTGCTGCTATTTTCCTCATTTTATGCCTAAATTTCTTTAAATTTCTTTTTGTTCTCTTGTTTCTCTCAGATTGCATGTACACACTATGGCTTGTTGATAAAGATTAAACTTGAACAATAACATGAGCACATACACTCGTTCCAAGGTTATCAATATTGTAAACCACATTGAATCATTGAAATGCAAAGAAATGGCCGATGACAGGATCTAGACCCCAAGCCTTGGAGGGCAGTGCACTGCATATCTTAATGACACAACCTCTGTTCCATCGGGCTTTTCATAATCCAAACCAGTTTCGCCATGATTATTTGCAGTAGCGTAGTGCAACAAACGTGGCGGTGACATATTCATATAAGCAAAATTTCCCTCTCTACCTCTAGACTGGCTGTAGTTCATTGAATGATATAGTAGCGGTGAGACTGCCACCTGGCGTGCGCGGTACATAAGATTCGCATATAATCAAAGCAAGCGAATCCTTCACAGTAATATTTTCCCCTCAATTTATCCTCTCGAATCTCGCTTACTCCGTAATCCGTAACTATTTACGGACTTGGAGTAGATAATGATTTCGGATCACATGGTATAATGCAAATCAGAGTCGATCGACTCCATTACGGATTACCCGCCACAACGTCCCACTTTCTAGCCTTCTCGTTCGACGGTCACATTCAGTGCGAATATCAGGAACCACATTGCTCCACAATTCTCGTAGCTACTCAGGGCCCAGACTGATTTTCGTATAAACCACTTCAAGTTACTCCGAGAGTTCTCCTGAATCCGGGATTAGATTCTCCGTAGAATCATTTGAAAAAGATTAACGCTAACATTGAATAGTGGGTATGCATTAGTTCTCATACACCCTCAATAGTGGCAACGTATACGAGTGAACCCCTTACTGTGCGGCGTCAACGGGATTACCGTAGAATCCTTCCACGGTCCCGAAGTCCTATGTCCGGAGTACATGGTACATGCATAATGAATGAATGCATGGACCAGGAGTGAGAGTCATTACTAGTATGGAGATGGAGTTACTAGATTCATCTTTATCAGGAGCTATCAGGATGACTATGACTATTGGATTAACTTTTCATTGCCAATGTTCAGCTTGACGCAGATAAATTCATCGATAACCCGGGATGTGCACGTACATGTAGCTGTGTGGATGTGTATGCACGTCTTTTTGTCGTGTGTCCACAGCCCTGAATGTGTCGGTGTTTCACTTGTGGCTAGAACTTGGATTTGCAATTTCGAGTAACCAGGAATTTACTACACACGACGTAAATGCTACCTGGACTCGAGTCTGGAAGGTTATGGAAGACCAGTACTCTGTATGTAGTAAGTGGAGGGGCAATGACAAAGACAATACAGTCAATATATCAGATCTCGCGTGGCACAGAATTATTGCATGTCATTTACCCCTCAAATCTTGAGAGAGAGAGATAGTAATGACTGAGTTTCGTGTTTTCGGAGCTCTGATTTTACCCCATCTGTGCTTTTCGCTTGACGCCTTCATTGGCGGCTGATTTTTATCATTGATCTCGCACTCGTTTCAGTTCTCAGTGAATCAAGGTAAGGGGTCTTGACTCTTGAAAAGGTCAGTGCACTTAATTTTGTCCTCTTTTGTTCTGAGTTTGAGGCTTTTGCCCCTCTCAAGCCTTTCTCGGTGATGTACAGTAGGGTGCCGGAGTTAGCGTCTCGGGGAATCGAAGATTCAATTCCAGTAATCTTGTTCAATGGGCCACGGAGTACCGATCATCCAATCATGGAATCAGAAATTTAGATCTTGCTTAAGATCAAAATGGGTACAAAAGTTAACTGAATTCTTTGAACTCATAATCTGATGGCAGATCAATCTTGCATCGGGTCTGTGACAGACGTACTCCGTATGCAAAGAGGGGGAGAAATCGTCATTTGACTTGATTCTCCGATCTCCCTATAGGTTCTTATGCATGAACTTTGGTTTTCGAAGTGTGCCCATGACCGGCTTCAAAGATTGCCCCTGGTTACTTGATTGAGATTAATTTCTGGATGAATTTGAATGGTTCTCGCGGATAACTTTCTGCGAACACCAAAAAGTGGCGTGTTTCAAGGCTGTATGATGTCGATACAGAATGACTCTTTCTATGCTTCAATGCAAGTAAAGTCATATCATGTATGTACTGCGGAATACTCTGTCCGACGTACTCCGTACATACATGTAGTCAACGTCTTAAAGTTGATTCCTGGAACTGCATTGGTATTTACTCCATTTTCAAACCCCCTCCCCCACCAAGCTCTTTGCACATGATGTACAAAATGCTACGACCAGATCTGTCCGTACATAGTAACACTACATGATCAGAGAACTGTGGCTTCTATCCAAATACTCCATCCTCTGGAACTAGGAATCCAAATAGCATCTCAGCCAGCCTCAGCCCTTTCCCCTCTTATATCAACCCGTCCGAAATGTTAATCTACCTATAAGGCCTTATTCTTCTATCTGAACATATCTACCCCTCCGAGTTGTGAAGGCAGCCGAGAAACTCGACATGTACATGCCAGTGCCCGATTATGTACCTTACATCCCGCTCTCAAGTGCTGTAGATAGCAAAGGGCAACCAAGTGGAAACCCTCGGTACCGGTGTGGTGATATAAAATCTCGGGATGCCTTGTTGTCATTTACCGGGAAGTCATCACAATCCTTCAAGGGATTAAGTGGATAGAAGGAATGAAGGTACAGCGATAGCGATGAGTTGTAAAACTTCTTTTTTTCGTTTCATCCAGGTATGAACGCTTATTCGTTCAAGTTGAGTATACTATTCATATAACTCCTCTTCGACTTTTCTGGGTGCATATGATCATCCTCTGAAACCAGGACTGCGGGATCGAGATCATGATGCAGCGGGGGCGTTTACTTTCGGAGTGGCTAGAAGAGTTCAAGAAAAAAGTGGGAACTTGAATCGGGATGTAGTCTCCGACGGGATTTGTTTTTCCAAGCGAAGATAATGGATGAAATTTGGTACTTGTGTTTTCTTTTTTGTTTAGAGTGCATTAGGTGGATATGCGAGGGGTGCCTTACATTATTATCGTAGATTTCCTCCGATAGTGGTTAAAGTGGACATGAAATTGTTTCGTCTTATTCTTTTCTTTTCTATGTAGCTATCTCTAATTATTGCTTTTTTGATTTATATATTTCTTTGCTTCGGTTAGACTCTTGGGAGATTGTGTGGATACCACTATATTAGCCTTGGGAGTAGAATAATGAAAACATCATGATGTAGGCACCTGGGACCCTGTATAGGAATCATTTTCCGTATTCCTTGATATTCTCCACACAGATCAAAAGATTACACGGGGTACTTCAATTCTTCCAGCAACTTTACCATGATTCATTTGTCACGATCGCCATTAAGTCCCAATTCTAAGGTAAACTCCCTTCAGATCGACTCAAATGGACCGGGCCTCTCCGGTAATGTGGGCCCCAATTCCGAGGGAATGGTCAATCTATGTCATGGCCATGGGGTCGAGATTCTCGTTTCTTTTTTCTTTTCTTTTTTTTCGAATGTTCTTAAAGCGCTTGGACACATTGTCATGATAGGAGAAGGGATTCTATTGGATTGGCATTGAACATAATTATCCCAAGATAAACCAGGTAATGATAAACCTTGGAAAGCAAAAAAAAGAAAGAAGGCGCAGAGAAGCCAAAGAAGCACAATGACATTGTTTCAGCCACAGAATTTACATCGCTAGATCGGGGAGAGTCCGGGTCTCTTCCAGGGACGATCTTGAGACTCCGTTTCGGGCAATTTGTCCGTCCCTGCATCCCTCGAGGCTGGAGTGCATTGCATTGGTAACAGTCTAAGGAATAGTTTTTCAATAGATGACGGACCATTCATATGTATCATAGGGCTGGAAGTTAAGTCCCCCATTCCAAGATTAGCGGGGATAAGTGAACGAAGTTGGTTACGGGCCGTATTCCCCTCTCAAATCCCTCAAGGTTAATTTGAGGGAAGTAATCCGTGCTCCCGAAAAGAAAGGAGATGGAGGCCAAGTTCTTTTGGGATATCCATTTTTATGCATGCCATGAGGAATCGAGTTCCATTCTAGTGGGTTTCCCAGCTTTGGAGAAGCTTTAGGATGAAATCCCCGGGGAAGTTCCTAGCGTCATTAAAAAGGTTTAGACTATTGACCGATTTGGACTTAGATTATATAGTGCCTAACACGCTAATGTAGGTTGATTGGATGGCATTAAAAGTTCGTATGAAAGCGTCCTGCAAGGATCAATATCGGGTGGAAATGACGCCGGGGGACTGGTCTGTCTCTCCCGAGCTCCATTTAGTCTATCCAGGTATTCGGGATTTGAAGATCCCCTCTCTTCTACTTGGGGGTTTAGAAGGATTTTATGAACATTTAAACGATTCAGATATCCCATTTGGGTTACTGGTTGGTACTTTGCGTATTACTAGTAAAGAGAACATGAATCGTGCAGGAAATGACGCTATGATCATGTGCTTCTCACCTTGGGCAATCAATATCGAGGAAAATACGACAAATGCATTGTGTCATAGCTTTGTGTACTACATGGTTAACTTTATATGCAATTGATTCAATAACTATATCATTCTAATAGAAAAACACATGGCATTGGCACCCGGTATATTGATTATGCACATCATAGCCACGTTTCTGAAACAGAGAAAGAAAAAGGGGTCTAAGAGGATTCAAATTCCTTCAAGCAAGGGCGAAATTTGATTTTGGTTTCCCACACTATTTGGAGGCGAGACCCAAGCGAGTTGGAGTCGGGGTGATCACTGGAGCCTCGACTCCACCACAATGGTTAACCAAGTGGGACTTTACTATGCAACCACACTCTTGGAATTCCAGGTCGATCACGAAAAACAATTCAAACTCAAAAGGCTGGCTGAAAACAATTTAAAACTGATAAAAGCAAAAGAAAGTACAAATGTAATTCGCAAAATTTCCGCTTTTTGTCTAATATGAGCAAGTGTCACGGTCTTATCCACGAGGCCTTGTGTGCTCTGTGCGTTCTAAAGGTTGTGTTTTCCGCTATCCGCAACACCCGCCAGTACTTGATTACTTAGTACCTTGGAAACTGTCATAATTGATATAGATAATAAGAATACATTGCAGGTCATGGATCCATTACTTATCGAGGTGCAGGGCGCTTGCGAATCAGGGGCAAATTAATCTAGACTGCAGAACTTGGCTGTTGCATGTTCAATCCTGTACTAGTAACTAAGCTAAGCCTTCAGAGATTTGCAACTTGAATTCTGCAACATTGAACTCTACAATACGAGGAAAGTAACCTCCTAGTGGATGCTATGAGCTAGTAAGGATTCCTAAGTGCTTGCAGTAGGGCTGCACCAAGCTGAGGCCACCTAATGGGCCACCTAATGGGCCACCTAATGGACCACCTAATGGAAATGGCGTGCGGGCCGGTCCAGAATGGAGTTAGGAAAAATTTCCTGCAGTAATCACTTTGCTTTTGAACCTTCAAAGAGAATCTAGCAGCAATTATTGAACTTGGCCCAACTTAAATGGACGTTAATGTAGCAGTAGTTTGGTAAAAAGAAAACATTTGAAACTTCGATGTTTGTCATATCAAAGCTAGAGTTACTACGGAGTACTCCGAGTCCGTACCCTATGGAGAGTCCATCAATGCATCTAGAGCCAACCATTGGTTGCTTCACCTGTCATGGATCTGCAGCTTTCCACTACTTTTCTTACTAGAGTAGGATTACGGACGCCGGAGTATACATCCACTAGAAGTTTGACTGGTAACCCCTGAAGGGGTGAGATATTGCAGACGCCACTTTCCTTCACACATTTTCCCTAGGTTATTTTTGGCAGTACCAATGCATCGGAATATCCCCTTGAGAACAGGATTAAATGTCAAACTTGGAACAATTCAAATGTTAGAACCAAAACAGCTTGAAACATCAGCTAAATCCTTAATCTACTTCGTATCATTGATCGTATATCAAAGGTCTGATAAAAAAAAGATCACGGGGTCTAAAATAATCGGAAAATCCCCCAACATCCCAAATCCCAAAAGTCTTCCTTTGTGCCTGGACTCCATGATTGCCAGATTCTCCTAATTACCGGGATTCAAGTGGATCCTCTAGACCAAAACAGGGGGGGATTTGACAGCTTTAGCGTGACCGGACCGTAATCCCCGGACCGCCCCCGCCAGCCACTGACTTTGGATTGGCGGGGAACCAAGTTCTGGGCCCTTGGTACATATTCAAAGCGAGAACGAGATGTGAACCAATCAAACATCCATCTCGGATTGGTTAAAACAAAAGTACCCGTCCTTTTTGTCCTCTCTCTCAGGCCAGATGACTCCAAAAAAAGCCTCATGAACTCTCCTGTCAATCCCCCCCCTGGAGCTCTCCCCGATGCACCAACCCAAATTCGTCCAGAGGATTTGTGCATGACGACATACCACCTGGCTGTAGGTCCGATGGGCGTTCGATCGATGTATGTCATTGCACGATCGGATGAGCGGCTCCCCGGCTCTGTTCTCTCCGCTGCGTTAGTCGTATGCCTTCCTGGGCCGCCTACTGACGCCTACTGACTGACCCGAGAAATCAAATAGAGTACGGAAGCGATGATCCTGATAATCATGGAGGATACGAGAGTTGATCCCTTCGCTTCGCATCACTATTTTACAGTTTCAGGCCCTTAGCATTTGCTCTTTTTGCTCTTGAAGGCAATAATGGCTTCGGATCTAGACGCACAGTTGCCTGTACTTTTGAATACCCTCATTTCAGAACTAGAAACGACGGTCTCGATCACAAACTGACTACACATTTTGCATTCCAAATCGAATCCCTCTTCTCGATCGATACGAAGGCATCATAGACTTTGACAGGATCTTTTTTACAGAATGCCACAGTAGAAATAATTGACAATAATCATAAAGCGAAAGCGAGCCTTCAGCGATCACGACAAAGTACGAAGTGAAGATGTTTTCCTTCTATACAACATTTGAACTTTTAGTAGCGGTGAACCTGAATCAAAGTACGGACTACGGAGTACTACAGTGAACAAAACAATTCTAGACGTAAAGCGCCCGGGCACAGACAGATTCTCATGCAGATCAAGGAAGGATTACAATCACCAACCCCCATTCAGACCATCGTGCAGTTCATCATGATCTGAACTTGAACCTCGACGGCAACACACGGGAAGGATGTAAAACTACTCGATTTCTCCCCCACCTTCATCCTCAAAGGGAAAGTGAGAGTGGAGGAACGGGTACACACTCCCGCTGTCACATTTCAGTCCTTCCAGCCTAGACAACGCCTTCAAATCAAAAAAGGCACAGTTTCAGGGTAATTGCATCAAACTCATCTACCGAACAGCTCCGGGTGGCTTTTTAGTTCCTCGGATCAGTAAATCTGACATCCTACACGCTAGTACTCCATTAGCGGTGTCAGCTTACATGTATTGGCATCGGAGAAATAATCGCACTGTCCATACTTTATCATAGGCCTAAAGCCGAGACTACAAGTAAAACAGTCTCCTTTTGTTTGCTACCTGGATAGCAACTGAAACAACTAAAAAGAATATGAACCAGGGGGAGGCAAAAAAAAAAATTTCAAATTTGAAGTTGAAGAAACAACCCCTCCACCCCACTCCTTGTTTCGTCGGGATCTTGTTCAAGATGTGTTGGATGATTCTAAAGGGTTCTAAGAAAAAGATGAAAAATCTGAAAAATCTGAATCACCTTATCTCAAATGGGCCAGGGGCGGCAGTAAGAACAGGGAAATCCCTGTAGATTGGGGGTTGAATCTGCATCTCAATCTGAATTTGGGTATGTTTGCACTATCTGATTACATACCCCGTTAGATTAGCCTATAAAATCAAGTTCAAGCTTAAGAGCTGGGATACCTGTGGCGGAGATTCCGACTCCTAAGCTGAAAATAGCTTTTGCTTGAGCCACGTTGTGGCTCGTGGTCTGAGCTGTGAACAGGGATGTGACAGGCAGACTTGCATTTGTCTTTACCAATCAGATTGTAGAATTGAAAGATTTCTATCCAAGTTGTTGTTGGGGGCTTGATTCACCTGTCAAGTAAAAAGTCTAGACCCTGCAACTACAACATGGTCCGTACTCTGATGTACGCCGTTGATTTAATTTTGGGTTCGGATTTATTGATTTCGGGGGTTTTATTTTTTTTATTTTTTCAAATGTTTATTTTATTACTTGTTTTAGGGAACTTTTTTGAATTCTCGCTCTCGCTACTCGGTTTTTCACTGGGGCCGTTCTACCGACGGGAGTAACGGGCAGCCCGATTTCGCATAGGTGGGGAGGGACAAAGGAACTCTCAAACCAAAAAGCAAATACTTCCCGTTGACAGGTGAGTGATCAAGAGAGGGGCAAAATAACAAACAAAGACTTCCGACAAACCCCTTGCAAAGTGATGAGATAGTGGGTATAGCTTCGGCGCGGCTTGTGAAGCCGTTACTACTAGTGTGAGGTTTTTGACGCCCCGAGATTCAATTACATCGGAGTAGCGATTACAACTAGGATTAATGACAAATAACGGTCAAAAGTACACACAGGAAGCTTCTAAGCTTTGCTTCTCTTTGTGTCGCAACCTAATTTTGACAGGGGTTGACAAGATGATCTTTCTTTTTTAGTCGTCGTCATAGTGTCATTCCTTATGTAGCGGGAATAAGTACTAGATTCTGGCAGATAACCGAAATGACGAAATAAAGTAATAAAATAATGGAAAAAAAGAAATTACTTGAAGACAAGAAACAAAAGAAAATTCTCCCATTTTTATTTTATTTTTGATTTAAATTTAGATCAAACACCGCGCAGGTACACTATGCGTGCAGAATGCAACTCACATCCTCCGATCTGGTGCATATCTTCCAAGGTTTAGGTACCGTTGCCTTCAAATTCCACGGCACGGGAGATGAGCAAAGATGACAGTAGCTTGGAAAAACTGTTCCTTCCCCCTGGGTAAGCTCTACTACAAGCACAGACCAAAAAGACTGAGTCAATAGGGAATTAAAAGAGATGAGAATTAAATTATTTTCCAAGTTCAAATGTTTGAAGTGGATACTTAAGTGGAGATCAAGACGAGTAATTGGGAACTTTTAACAAAGAGACCTTGAGATCAAAAGTACAGCGCTTAACCAATGATGGTATCATTAGTCGACCCATTTTTACAATTTTGCGGCCAATGGGTATGGGTCGGATGATCGCATCTCACTCCGTATCATGACAGATGCCCAGGTGATCGAAAGGTTCGTCAACTTGGCTCGATTTGTGTTAGAACGATGAGGCGCCTCCAATGTACGCGGCTAGAATAGGTCAATGATTCTTGGCCCGATAATCCTGATGCATTGATGTTATTATGAGTAATAACCTCTCCCTATTCTAAAAAAGTATTTATTCTTATTCATCTTATTTGGCGAGATTTGAGGTCTGATCTCAGGGGTCTCGTTCAAATGTTCATCTTTAACTGAATCCGAGGTTAAGAGTATATCATATCCTAGTTTGTAAATACTGTAGTACCCCGCGAACTCCTGTCAGATTTCAAGATTCCCTTGGTCCTGGGAAAGGGAGATCGACGGAGAAAAGCCGAAACAGAAATCAAGATAAATAAGATAAAAAAAAAGATAACAAATAGGGAAACAAAGAGTCGTGATGTCAACTGGATCCCGAGTGGTTAAACGCCCGGCGAGTCATCCTTCGATATAACCCAGGACCCAGGATAATGGGCCACGCACAAGCCGCACCTTGATAGGTTCATTAGAATGTATGGAGAGGCAAAAAGACCGGGGTTGGTAACATTTGAAAGCATCTACTTTCGCTTATTGGATGAAGAGGCCCCTGCAACTAGCGCCGGGGCACATTACCCTTGAGATCCGGCAAGATCCATACAACTTGTAATAGGTTTACTTAAATACGATTGACACGCCTAGTCCCTTAACCTTATTGGTTAGAGGCTGGTTATTTCTCGTATTATCATATATTATAATACGAGACATCTGGATAATCTTGGAAGTTCCTGACGACGAATCTGCAGTACTAGTTTTCCCATAGTACCTAGGTACGGAGTACGGAACCTCCGACAAACATTGAAGCTGAAGTTGATCTGATCTGCATTGTACCTTAAGAATAGAACCCACACGTACAGCGTGGATTATGGAGCCTAGACGCAAGGTTGGGCTTGCACAAAGTTATAACCATTTTAAACCATTTTGAAGAGTACTGATTATTGGCGTAGATGGTGCGACCAGGGTTAAATGAGTTATTCCACACGTTGATTCATCGATATCACCCAAACAAAGAATGTTACCCTGGTTCAACGTGGATCCGGCGCTTCATCCCGCTCGGGTGGCCGAAAAGCCAGGTAGAGGGAAACGGTACTTCGTTCAAAGTGATAGAGAACATAGCAATTCAGTTGCCTCGCACTGAATCTTTTTTTTTTTTTTTTTGGGGAAAATTTGGCAGATCCATTCCGGACATTAGGTACATTTGACAGCCATGACATCTCGGGAGGGGAGTACGGAGTAGTGGGGGAAAATAGAGAGATGGATCGATAATCGACACAGCTCAATATCTCTTTTAGGGATTGCCCCGACACTAAAATAGAGGTGGATACTGTCAAGAAAAAAAGATTCAAATAAAAAATCAATGCTCCAAGTGTTAGCGATCTACATAAATAGTAGAGCAGGGATGCTAGATCGGGATATCCATCCAAATGTACACTAAAAAGGTACTAATTAACTTACTACTGCAAGCCTGCTCTCCGCCAATCTGCATCTTGCATAGCGCGATCAGAAAAGTGAGAAATTCAAAAAATAAAATAAAAAATAATCAAAATATGAATTTGTCTTTATTTTAATTAATTAAAATAAATCCTAAATAATAAAAATCCAACCGGTGATCCCCCCCACGGCTTTTGATGGCTTTCAGGGATTATCCATGCTCAATGTGGCACAGTGTTTGATTCTCTGGGGGCTTGACTTCCCCCCAAAAAAAAAAGAAATGAAAATAAAATAGAATAGAATATTAAAAAATATTAATTCAGAATTAAAAATTGGATAAAATAGAAAAATAAGAAATCTTGAATTAAATGAATTAAATAATAATAAAAAATGCAAAGAAGACGTACTTTTTCGAACCAACAGATCCGACCATCGATGCACACCAGAAACTGAAATAGTCCTGCACTGCTCCCCTCTGTAGACTTTCATTTTTTGGTTAATTTAAACACCCTGCTCTTCCTCCCCAAAGAATTCCAAAAAAAAACTTCTTCTACTCTTTCAAAGGAATTCTTATGTTCCATCTATTCTAAATCTCGACCCCACCAGACCGTTCCTTGGTTCATAGGTCCATCAAGATATTGTGTATACAACTAGTCCATCCCCGTCCGTGTCACCATCCCTCACCATCTGGGAACCCTGGGAACACAACACGAGTGGAGTTCATCCCTCTCGTTCCTGCATTCGAGCCGTCGGTTGCCAACAGCGACTTGATTCTGCAGTCTCCCCTCACATACTCCACGCCATTGAAAGGATATCCGTTTCTAGTTTCGACATCAAGTGAGTTTATATCCTGCACAAGATATCCTTGGTCCTATCTACAATAGCTTGGCTTGAACCGTTTATGGGCATCCTCGAGTCCTACCGCTACCCGGCGGGGCACGGGGATGATACCGCTCCGTTGGACATCGACAGTCTGTCGAGAGCGTTCTTAAACGGCTTCATACTGGCTGCAGTATACTTTAGAAACTTGAGAACGGCGGGCTAACTATATGGCCTAGTTCAGTATCCACAAAACTGCAATTGTGACTTCCTAAAGCTATTCAGCTCCCATTGAAAGCGGAAACTATTCGAACTTTGGTTCTATAAAAGCCCCATTCCGAGTACATTTTCGACCGTCTCAACATCTTTCATCTTCCTTCCGATTTTTATATACTATCCGGGTCTTTGGTTTTGATATTTTTGGAATTTCTCGGCAACATCGCTTGATCATTTGTCTTTACTATACACAATGGTTTATGCGAAACCTCATTCGTCAGGCGCCATGAAACGGTCTGCCTCTGCCCTCCAGGAAGGGCCTCTCGGATGGGATGCTGCTCCGGTTGGTCTCCACTACTGCAAATTGCCTTTAACCTTTTACTAATATCACCTCAGCACATGATGACTCCCATTCAGTCAACATTCCGTCTGCCATACACACACTACGCTATGATCTACCTCGACAACGAGGGCAAAGTCAAGGTCGATGAATCGGCTTCTATTCTAGACCAGCGCTCGACTTTATTCACTCCCGAAGTTCGCCAAAACTTTCTAGAAATCCTTGGCGAGAAAATGAGTTTGCAACGATCCGGTGCTGCTCGCCGTATGTTCATGACCTTGCTCTCATCTTGAGAGAATATCAACTGACATACAATCAGGAACTTTAAATGCGTCACCACGTCGGGTTCGACGCCGCCGCGGCAATGCTGCTGGTGCCTCTGTTGCTGATAACCGATACGATGATGGCTCAGATAGTGATGACTACCCCGGAAGCGGTGCTGATATGGTTCCTCTCCGTGTTGGAGATACCCAGAAGGTGATTTCATACTACGAGGGAGCTCTCAAGCACTTCCAACAACTTAACTGCCGCATGGTTGCCAAGGCATTCATCAAGTTCATTGAGCCTCGCAAACAAGTAAGACACCCTTACAATGGAGGCAAGCCCCCAGCTGGCTCTGCCCCTGGCGCCACTGGCGACCCAGAAAAGACCAAGCCTGAGTGGTGGCCTCCCGGTGTTATGCACAAGGAGCCCGACCACCTGCGAAAAGAGTGTATGTTCATTCCTATCTCCTTTAATGGATAATTTACTGACCGGCATAGATCGCATTGAGCTTCTGCTCCACATCATTCGCAAGCTTGGCGGATTTGGCATTACTGCCGAAAAGCTCAAGGATGTCGCTGGCGACACCAAGCGTAGCCTCAAGGACCCAAGCCATGTGGATATTATCTATGAGATTCTTCGTGTAAGAAAGATGGAGGAGCGATTCGAGCGCGGTGAAGTTGGTATGTACAAACCATTCTTCTGTTTTCCCCGATTACATTTACTAATATTTTCTCAAGATGCCAACATGGTAGTATTTGTTCAAAATCGTGGACCTAGCCCCAAGGGTGATGGTGACGGCGAAGGAGATGACGAAGAAGACTCCAAAGACAATATAATAATCGAGGCCCCCGAGCCTGTCGAAGATGGTCTTATGACCCCCACATCCTCCATCGAGCAATCTGCTGCTTCATTGACAACACCAATCGATACTCTCCCTATGACTAGTGCTCGTTCTCTACCTGGCAGCTTTTCCATGCCCGAGCCACTTAGCTTCGATGCCAGCCGACAAGATCGCCCCTACTATGCCACCCCTCCTCACTACACAGACTCATTCTCTCAACCAATGCTCAGCACACCCGTGAGCGCCGAGATGATAAGCCCCCACGAAGTCTCAGTCTTTGACTATTCCGCCCCTCCTTCATTCACATCAAGCCCAGAGCAGCAGCGCCCACCTTATGACACCTGGGGCCCTCCCACATTCCGCCAGGACATTTTCAGCCCAGTAGGCTACAGCACCGCCCCATCCAGCCAGGGTATCCCTCCTCCCACAATGTACCCCATGCCTATGGCCTCACCAGCCCACATGCACGACATGTGCCATCATCACCATGTCCACCCTCCCTTGGAATCTATGGGCGGACGAAGCCTTCCCTTCCGCACAGGCTCTCTAGGTCACCCCCACGGCCTGCCAATTTCTCACCCTGCTTAAATTCAACGGATGGGCTGGACCCGGTTGATAGGCGCATTGCAATGATTTGAAGAAGCTATTTGGGCTTCGAATGAATATATGACTGATGGCTCTGAACATCATATGAAGCACTCAGCATAGAGGGGCTTTAGCAAGGGAGTTATCTTTTATTGTGAATAAAAAAACGGATGGTGTCGATACATGGGGAATATCGCAGATATGGTTTGGGAATTGTGTTTTCTGTTTTTCTTTTTTTTCTTTCTCTCCTACTGAAAATATCTTGGTCGGGTTTTCATTTTTGGTTCTTTGGTGATTCTTACTTTCCGGTCTTTCGTTTTTACCTTCTTCTACACTTATTATTTGTTACCTTCTTGACTCTCGCTAATACTCTTGACTTTTTTTCGTTATTTTCATGTACATGTTTCTTTTTTCAACCTCAACATGTATGCGCTTTGGGGATATGTGGATAAACAATTACTTGGTAGATAGTACTCAATATGAAAATACTCAATCTCAACATTGGTCAATACTAGCTACTTTTAAAAGAAACTGGACATCTGAAGTACTTCTACTCCAAACTTGCGTTATCTCAAAAAACTTCGAATATTCAAGCCACCAGTTGGGTTAGTCAGGATCTATTGCGATTCACGACCATTTGACCTTCAGGGCTTGAAGCTAGCTATGGTGGTCGTTAGTAGAAGGCAACTGGAGACCTAAGCGCCTCTCACTGGTGCGAGCAAGCGCGGGTGCCGCTCACTGACCGCGCGGCTAATAATGGACCCGTTCCGTCTTCGTGGAAGCTCGCGTGAAATAGCAAGCATTACCTCGACACCAACTACTCAGCTCTACAGATTGGTATGTCTGCTTGTTTCATGCTGAATTGCATTATTTCGTGCCGCGAAACATTCTTTGTACCCTCGTCAAGTCTCATGCTTACAAGATATCTCTTTGACAGCACCTTCTTTCATCGGAGCCGGCCAGCCTCCGTCGCACCCCATCGCAATCGATCATCCAACGCCGTCGCCTGTTGAATGGGCACAATCTCAAGACTACCGGCCTAGGGACTTATTCCTACTTCTAGAAGTGACTAGAAGTAAGGGGTAATCAAAAGGTACCCTCTCCAAAACCCAGCCGCTGAATCAACCCTACCTCTCCGTACTGAATGAATGCCACCCCGTTCCTTCGATAGTGAATGGCCGCCGGACAGCATCAATTCACAACCTAGACTGCCGTCTTATTTCTCGCCTGGTGTTAATTTCGATCTACAGACTTTTCCAACTCTTCGTCATCCTTGACACTCTTTCCCCCATAACCTGAAAGTTTGCGCCCGAACCGACCCTGAATTCATCTCAATCGAAGGAATACCAACAGTGTCGAGTACGGAACTGGCTGGCTGAGGTTTGAGTGTTCTTCTCCGCGGAGAGCGGACAAGATGGCGACCCCATTCAACCCGTTTGGTGGACGCGGCCAGAGAGGAGCAACTATCTCTGCGCCTACGTCTAGCCGTGGACGTGGAGTACCATCTGGAAGAGGAGCTCCGGCCCACCGAGGCACTCAATTCCAGCCACGAGGTTCTCTATCCAGCATACCCAGAGGAACAACTAGTACCAGTCGAGCACGAGGATTACCGCAACCTCGAGGACGTGGCCGCGGTCGCGCTCGGGGCTCTGTAGCTCCCCCACACGCAGGCGCGTCGCACCCAGGAACTACAGAAAGCCATGCTCAACCCCAAGCCACCGCATCTCATTTCAACCAAGTCAATGAAAAAAAGCCGTCTCCCAACCCCTTTGGAGGGTTTAACACCGAGCCCAAACCGTCGATTTCGGGTTTCTCAAAGGTGCCCGTTTCGCAGACGTCCTCGTTCAACCCACAGACTGCCCCATTCAATCCCCAAAATGCAAAAAAGCAAAATGGGACAATCGATCTCGACACTGAAATGGAGCCGTCAGCTGCAAAGAAGCTTGATATACGCTACGAACAGGTCAGCAGAGTCCTTGCCTACCGAAGCTCCCCACTTGCGGTCCTTCGAGTTCATTATCTAATCGACTTGACAGCTTAAACTCGATCGAGCAAAGCAACGACTTCTAGCCATTCGAGATGGCCAGATGGCTGACCCTCAGAAGCCAACGTCACTTAACAATGCTATCACGCCCGTCGGCACCTGCGACACGATGTGCCCTGATTTCGAAAGGGTTGAGCGTATCGTTCAAAAGATGGTTGACAAGAGCGAAAAGGTATCTGCACTCTATCCTCTAAAGTTTTCTCTTACTATGTCAGTTCACCTGTGACCCACTAACACTTCACCCTGAAACTAGTCTCTGGACCCGGTAAAAGGTACTCTCGAAACCGTTGAGCTTAAAATGCTGAAACGGTTCCGACGTTCCGCCGCTGGCTACGACGAGCAGCTACCTTCTGATATCCGTACTCCCAACGCGTTGCTTCAGACCACTAACTATCTCATCCGTCACATCCTTGGTGGTAATGAGCCATTGGGAATCATACACAAATTTGTGTGGGACCGCACACGGTCCGTTCGCAACGATTTCTCCGTTCAGCAGCTTACACAGGAAAGCGATGTCAAGATTGCCGTGACTTGTCTGGAAAGAATAGCCCGGTTCCACATCATCTCTCATCATATCTTGTCTAGCCCGGAAAACGAAGAGCCATTCGAACATCATCAAGAGCGTGAGCAATTGAACAACACTATGCTTTCCTTGATGTATTACTACGATGACAACCGAGGTCGTATTGATTTCCCAAACGAGGATGAATTCCGCGCTTACCACATCATTCTTTCTATCCACGATCAACGACCTGACCTTGAGGCTCGTGTGTCGAGATGGCCTACTTCGCTTTTGACATCGCCTCGTGTGAAGGTCGCTCTGGATCTTTATGCAGCTGCTTGCAATACATGGGAGCCACAGGCAACCTTGGATGTGCGACGAACAAATGCTATCGCACAGGGATTCTATGCTCGCTTTTTCAACATCATCAATTCGCCAAGTGTGTCTTACTTGATGGCCTGTGTTGCTGAAATCTACTTCATTGATGTTCGCAAAACGGCACTCCGCAGCATCTGGAATGGATACTGGAGACCCCCGTCCAAGTCCAATCCAGACCAGATGCAAAGTACTCGCAAAGAGGAATGGATGATGTCGGATCTAACAAACATCTTGCATTTTGATAATGACGAACAAACTGTGGAATTCTGCCAGCAGCAAAACCTGCCAGTAGGAGAGAGTATCTATGGCAAATACTTGAACTGGAATTTCAGGGGGCCACAAAACAGTATGTCCTGTTCCCAACATACTTCGGATTCATCGTCAATGGTTTAGAGTTACTAACTGTTCAAATAGTATTCCCGTCTGGAGGGCGCGAGCACACATACTCAGAGTCGTGCGTGGAGTTCAAGCGAGCTGGACGAAGCTTGATTGCGGTGATTCTGGGTATGAGCGTGCAAGAAGCAGCCAGAACGAGCATGATCGACAAATTCGAACTGCACGCACGCCAAGAACCCTCGTCTCGTACCGCAACTGGAGTGATGGATAATAATATGGACATGGAGGTTGTCCCTACGACAGAGCCTGAAAATCCCACGTTCATTTCAGACCAACTCGTGGACTCTTCTGCCTCGAGCACTCCGAATCCCTTCCAGAACGCATTCTCTACCGGGAATAACTCTCCTCTTGGCTCGACTCAAATACCAAGTGTCCAGCCAAGCATGCCTACCTCACAACCTTCAAATCTGTTTCAACCCTCTCAGTCTCCTAATCCTTTCGCCTCCATGTTTCCTGCAAGCACTGAAACTAACAAACCCGTGGCAACGCCGACTCCTCCACCCAGTTCGTCGATCATGCAACAAACTTCGTTGCCTGGATCAGGCCCACAATCTCCATTCTCATTTCCCAAACAAACAGAGCCCTCTCCTGATATTAAAGAGGCTAGCTTTCTAGCTACCTTCACACCTCAGCCTGTGCCTGCTCCATTGTTTCAGACCACAAAGCCATTGTTTCCTTCAACAGAGACAAAAGACACCAGTACACAAGAGGCTCCTTCACAGGCGTCTGGTTTCAAGCCAGCTTCGCCGTTTAATTTTTCGGCCCCAACCCCTGCGCAAACCTCAACACCAACAACAACTCCAACCCCAACTCCAAGCACTCATTTCTTCCCAACCCAAAGCACTTCAGCTCAATCCTCACAATCTCTGTTTCAACCCTCGCCAGTTCAAAAGACATCCCCAAGTCTATTCCAGCCTGCCCAGCCTAAGGAGCAGCCTAAGGAGCAACCCTTGACAGCCTCCAGTCTCTTTCCCTCTGCACCACCGACAACAACCTCACCTTTCAGTACCTCGACATCTGGGGACCCAGCTGCCACGCCTCCTTCAATTTTCACGCCGCCTCCAGCTGCTATGCCACCTCCAGCTCAACCTACCAACTCCATGTTCCAATTTCCAGCCCCTTCTGTGCCGGCAAAAGAACAGGCTAAGGAATCGAACATCTTCTCGCAATCTGAAAGCAAGCCGGCCTTCGCCTTCTCTCAACCCGTATTTGCGAAGCCACCAGTTGAGAGTTCTGCTCAAAGCCAGAGCCATGTGTCTATGGGGACGACGACTGAGACCAGTCAGCAAGGCCTCAACCAACCTACTCCTTCCTTCTCTGCTTCCTTACCGGCTGCTGAACCTTCTAAATCTTCTGGAAAGCAACCGTGGCAAGATGGACCACTCAGTAAGTTGCGCCCCTCTCAGCTAATTTGCCTGCATGACTAACTGAATTACCTTTGAAATAGTGGATGAAACAGAAGAGGATAGGCAAGCTGCTTGGCGCAGACTTCTTGGGCGCGTTTCGGAAAAGCATGAACGTCAGAAGCGCCAATCCCTGATCAAGGAACGAGAGAATGAAATCACTGGTCACCAACCACCTGAAGAAGGATCTCATCACCAAGAATCCGTACAAGGATCTCCTAAAAAAAGAGCCTGGAGAGAGTCGTTTGGGTCAGTGGGACGAGAGATGAAACAGCTCAAGGTATCTGATTTGGTGCCCATATCCTCGTCCAATGGCAGTGCCTCTACTATTGACGACACCACCAAGGCACCCACCAAGGCACCTGCTGAGGAACCCGCGAAGTTCCCCGATGAAGAGGCACTCGATTGGTATCTGGGACCTCGGAAGACACAGGCGAGGACACTTGATGACTTTCTCAAAGAAGGGATTTTATCTCCTGGTATGAAATTTGATGAAGCACTTGATGAGCTATCAAAAAAGGGCCATGTTCGTCAGAAACCGACTGAGGAAGAGCTCGACAGAATATGCGACCAGCATATCGACGAAGATGGTGTTTTTAGAATTGGCAGATACTCTCTGGAACACGCACCATGGAACGACCCTGTCGAGCAACAAAAATTCCTGGAGCGCCAAAGGAGAATGCGCGCTGAAATTCAGGAGCGCGAGCGAAAAGAGTTCGAGGACTACATGAGGAAAGCCAAAGAGGCACGTGAGCTCTACGAATCAGGATCAATCCTCGATCCGGACTTCTCTACACTTCCCGACTACCTAACAGATCCAAAACTTTTCCGAAACAAGGATAGTCCTGATCTTCGTTATGTCAGACCATGGAATGCCACCTGGGAGGACTTCCGCACCGAAAACTGGGTCGCTGATGACGAGGAGTATGATTACACTACCTCGCTAGGTCGAGCCTTGGCCTTCACGGATAAGACTGTGCGCCGTGTTCGTGCTTACTATGATGAACGTTGCCCTGGCTGGGATGCTGAATGGAATCCAAACCGTCGTCCTAACCGAAAGTTCAATATGAGCAGAATGCGCCACAACGCCTCAATCAAAGAGCCGCTGCTTTCTGAGAGTCTGAGACCCGTCACGAGCCAGAACCCATTTACTCAGAGTCTCAAATCTTCGACTAGCCAAAGCTCGTTTTCTCAGAGTGAGGTTCAGCAGTCGCCGCCCGGCCAAGATCCGTTCGTTGAGGATCAAAAGTAACCACGTCATGGAGTCGGTGGTGAAATCGGTATCTCATGGTGAAAATGTTATGAAATCCCAAGTTTTTAAAACAGATTTCTCTTTTGCATAGTTTATGGCGTTTGCTAAGATGAAACTTCTCTTTTCTTCATGTATTATTATCCATTTCAAGGTGTTGGAGAGTATCTGTAGCAAATACCCGTTTCTATTGATTTCGAATTTCTAGCCCTTGCTTATCGTGTGTACATGATTAATTAGGCCTATCCCAATCGTTTTAGTATCATATCCATGGATAGAATCTGCCAGAAGGAATGTAATCCTGCTTACGAGGGCTTAGCACAAGGCTGCCCCGGGGGCCAGGTGCATGATTCGGACGATCCATAAGGCGCAAGATATCCATGGATACTACATGTTGTAGTAGGTAGTCTAGGTAGTTGGTACCTGTGCTCGCTCAATTAGAAACTTGCAGCATAAGACTAATCGGAAACCCAGATATTCGTTTCCAATTTCATTCAAAATATGCTTAACTCTTTCATCTCTATCAATATTGATCTCAATATGTTATTCACGTGACATACTGTGCAGGGATCATAGTCGACGTCAGCGGGGAGTTGCCTGCGGCATGGTCCACTCTGCCGATACGTACTCCCGTTGGAGCCTTCGTCAGGGCCCAGGTATAAGACAGGGGCCCAATCTCTGCATGGCATTCATATCACTTCCCTGGAAACAATATACGATCAAGTTGTGTTTGAAATCCCAGCTATCCCAGGTTCCACGAGCTGGCAATTACCTCTCATCCAATCAGTTCATCCACCCGTTGAGAAAATTCTCAAGATCCCCTTGCTTGAACATGCGCATTGCAACACTTCAATTCGCGCCGAAATTGGGCGATGTCGAAGGTAATATTCGACGTGCGAATGAGATCCTTGCTAGAGGCAAGACCATTTCATCCTATCCTCGTGGGACCTTGAATTCTGTATTCGGCACTTGTCTTTCAGCCGACATTGAACAGTTGAGACCTGATGTTTTGGTTTTGCCTGAGTTGGCGCTAACTGGTAAGTTTATGGTCATCCTTGATATACTTGGATTAGATTCTCGTTTTTACACTGAAAATTATCATGTGCTAACAATATCCCCTTCAGGCTACAACTTTCCATCAGCAGAGGCTATTAAACCATTTCTTGAGCCTGCAGGGACAGGCCCCAGTGCGGAATGGGCGCGTGAGACTGCAAAGCGTCTAAACTGCAAAGTCTGTATTGGGTATCCGGAGATTGAAACTCTCAAAGATGGCGACACTGAGTCGACGAAATACTACAACTCTCTTCTCATAGTCAACGAGCATGGAGAGGTCCTTCAGAACTACCGCAAGTGCTTCCTGTATTTCACCGATGAGACCTGGGCTGCAGAAGGAAATGTGGAGCGGGGGTTCCACGAGCTTGAGTTCCGTTCGCGGGATGCACAGCGTGAATCCGCTACTGCAGCGACCGATCTCGTGGGCAATATTCGCCGAGAGGGAAATGCAGATGCAAGCGAGGTCAGGCAAAAGGAGAATGATGTACATGTAAGGCCGGATGCATTAAGTTCCGAGCAAGAGCCACTATCATACCAGGGAAAAGTGGCGACATCATTCGGGATTTGTATGGATATCAATCCTTACAAATTCGAAGCCCCCTTCACAGCCTTCGAGTTCGCCTCCCGTGTCTTTGACTCGCGTTCTCAGCTTGTGATTCTCTCCATGGCATGGCTAACCATGCACGACCGCGCCGCCTTGGCCGCTTTGAAGGACAACCCAGATATGGAAACATTCAATTACTGGCTACAACGGTTCATGCCCCTCATGGAGAAAGAGATGCAGCATGCAAGAAATGTGGATGAGAAGGATGGGGAGGCAAGATCCCCGTCCACTCAGCTGAGACAGAAACCGAAACAGGTGGTGATCGTCTTCGCTAATCGATCCGGCGAGGAGCCGGCGGCAGATGATACCAAGCCACCGGCGTTATATGCGGGGACCAGCACCGTTCTTACGGTGACGCAACGGGCCGGGTCCGAGTCACGGGAGGGAGTACAAGCGGAGAATCAGATGGAGGTGAAGATCCTCTGCTGGGATCAACTTGGTGCGCAAGAAGAAGGTATTTGTTTCGCGGATACTACGGCAGATCCGAAAATGGTGTTTGGTATTCGTCGTGTGAAGTGAGACACTCCGAGACGAAACGCGTCAGTGGAAATAAGGAGGTTTTGTCTATGTGGGGTGGTTTTCCTACAACTTACTAGTATGACCTTTTAGTTGCAGGGTGATTGTACTTATGAAACGGATTCTTCTGTAGACTAATAAAGCGGGGGATTAGACCAGTAGAATTCTTTGGATTTTTTATTCATGTCCATACAGAATCATACTACACCACCAGCTTTGAGTTGACTGAATCCATGATGGTTTGATTTGATTCGATTTTCTTCACTTTTTTTAATTCTTCTTCCCACCCTCCAGATATCTATACTCTGTAGATCCTTTTTCCTGGATGATCGAAAGATCGCCTTTTTTTCTGCAAAACACATCCACTTTAAATTTGGGGGTCTTATGACCAGGCGATCCTTTACATACAACATTGAACTAAATAGTCAAAGGTCTAGCCCCAGTGCAACCCCAGGATCCACCAGGGAAGATGAAACATGTGATAGGTCAAATGTGGAGAACCAGGAAGATATCAATGATCCCAAAGATACAACTTACAAAAAGTTAAGAAACAAGATCAAAAACTGGGAAATTCCACCTCACGTTAAAATGTACCTTGCTTATCGTTGTCTATACTTCAATCCCGAAATAGTGCACTTTCCTTTACCTAATCCGGTAATAAAATGGTCCGTGCCCGATGATTACACGTGATGGTATAGCTGATTAACCAATTAGATGATCAGATCTCGAAGTGTGTGTGAGGGGCACGGGACTATTGCACATGACAGAGTGATGTTGACAAGATAGAAAGTTGAAGAATAAGGGAAGATCAGTAAATAGTAAATAAGTAAGAAAAAGAAAATATGTGGGAATCAAAAATAGTTCATATAATGAGAAAGTAGATAGAGGCTGCGGGCATAATTCTAACCACTGTTACCTATTGTTTTATGATAAAGTCAGGTGATCTCAGACTGTTGCGCTTTTGGTCATCTTGCGTCTCCGTACCCACTCTTCTCCTCTTCCCATCCACGTGAGTTCACCTCGACTCGACGAATCCTCAAATTCGCGTCCCTTTACAAATTAAATCGGCTTTTTCGAGCTGATTGGTATTTCAAACTTCTCCCCTAGGATTCATCAATCCCGACTTCATATCCCTGAAATTTGGGGTCTTTTTCTTGAAGTTCGCATATCGCGAACAACGTGACTTGGTTCTTGTTATTGTCCGTGGCAGGTGACTTCCTGTCAGGTGATAAAAGAGGATCATCCAAGGTAACAAATCTCTACTATCTCTTTCCCTTCTCCCGTCCCTTATTCCAACCTCACCGGGTCACGTTATGAAGTCATCAAGACCTATCTCAACGTTGATTCCTATCCCTTGCCTGATTCCAACCACCGGTCGCCCACAGCCATGACGCGCCTGTGATATCTTCGCGTCGCCTTTATGGCGTGCGACAGAGCCTCAAAAAAGAATATATGAGCCGTCATGTGCCTGCCGATGGGTCAACGCGACATATTTGATGGCTATACCCCTTATCCACGATGGCTTGAATTGATCCTGACGACCCGTTGAACATCCCGTTCTTACGGTCGCGTCGGCTTCACGCGTTTCTTATTTTCTACTACTCAAGAGAGTGATGATCCATCCTCTCGGGGTCAGAAAATTCGCCTAGCCATTTCCTTCACTAGATCAACACTTCAATGACCTCCCTGATTGCTGTACTCACTTTATGTGTCCCGAGTCATTTGTCTTGTGCTTGATCTTTTTCCTTCCCCTCTTCCGATGACTAACCCTCCCACGTTAGGCTTTCCTCGATTATCATGTCTGATCCATCCATGAACAGCCCCGATAGCCACGTCCACAAACGCAAGCGTGAGGATTCCGACGACTTGGGCCACGACCCGACCCGCCTGAATCGTTCTTCTCACGGCAGTAACGGCAGCATGGGTGATAACCAGCACAACTTCGGGCACTCGCTCAACTACGAGCACGGCCTGCCCAACACCGGCTCCGAGCTCAACATTGACCAGCAAATTCTTCAGCACGTTGGTCCTCAGAATGGTCTCTCCGACGATAATGCTCTTACCGCCAACGCTAAGGCTGCTCTTGCTGCGCATGCGCCTCAGCACAAGTACCCGCCACCTCCTGATGCGGCCTTCGACGCCAACAACTTGACCTCTGGCTTGAACTTTGGCGATGATATGGGACAGCCCATGGGACCTACCCATGGCCACAACTCTACTGCTGCCGCTGTGTATGCTGCTCGCGAGGCTCAGAGCATGAACCAGAAGCCTACTGTCGGCTCCCCTGAGTGGCACCAGATCCGCAAGAACAACCACAAGGAAGGTTAGTTTTAAACCTACAAACCACCCTTGGAAAACCTCGTCAAATATTTTCTTATCTAACCTAAAAACTCTTTCAGTTGAGCGACGCCGTCGTGAGGCCATCAACGAAGGTATTAACCAGATCGCTCGTCTGGTCCCTAACTGCGACAAGAACAAGGGTGCAATCCTACAGCGCGCCATCGAATACATCGTCCAACTTCAGGATGACCGCAAGAACATCGAGTCCCGTTTTGAGGCGCAGGGCCTTACCCTTAATCACGCCATCAGTGAACTCACTGCCACTAACACCAAGTGGAAGGCTGAGATTAACCGTCGTAGCGACCTTGGCGCTAAGTGGCTTCACCGTTGCCGCGAGGCTGGCCTCGACTTTGATGACTTCGACGATACCAAGGACTTCGAACCCCTGAGCCTGGAGTAGATTCTCTGTTTTTTAGTGCAATAAATCATGCCCATTTGGCAAATCATACCTGTGCGGTGATTCATGCCTGTGCGGTGGGGTTAATGCCTATACGGTGGTCTATATCTATGTGGTGATTCATACCTATGCGGTGATTCATGCCTGTGCGGTGATTCACATCTGTGTGGTGATTCATGCCTGTGCGGCGGTCTATGCCTGTGTGGTAATATCAGTGTGGTGTTTTCGGTGTTCCTTGGTTTTCTTTTTTTTCTCTTTGGTGTTCTTCAATGTGATACGACGGCTAGGATTTTGTACATACCCTCATTGTCCTTCTTCTTTTTCTGCTTTTCTCGTCCCGTTAGGAGGAACCAATTTCTTTTCATCTTCCCTTTTCCTTTTCCCTTTTCCACTCTTGATCCTGGTTCGTCTGCAACTCTCACACTCTCGATCAATTCTGACCTTGATAGTTCCTATACCATAGTGCCACCACTGGCACTAGGTTTGGGCTTCTTTTTCTCTTTATTTGCTGTTACTCTCTTCTCCTCATTTATTATGCATTTAGTTATCCTGCAGATGATGGACTTTTTTTTGTTTATTTTCGTCTATTAATACTAGGTGGTTCGGCGAAATTTAGGCTGGGTTGGGTCTGATTTGACTGGAGGCCAAGTGGGTATAATATAACTTCAAGCTGAACAATACCAGAACTTTTTTCAAAATGTTTACGCCAACCTTGGGTCTACTCGAGTCCTACTAGTAGGATTATAAACTTGAAGGTAGTGGTACATCTTATCCAATCACATTGATGCAGGCAAACTCCAGGGATTCAATGTTGTGCCTGTAACAGTCAAGCTGTGTTACCTGAAAGAGCCCCACCAGAAGCTTGACTTTGTTTACTCCCGAAACTACCTTTCGACAACCATGTTATGCCTACTATTGACATATAAGAACAATATGGCTTAGGTCTATTCCAATGCAGGTCATATGAGTGCGGGGTAACATGGAGGGGTCGATATTACATCCTCAGCCGCACGGAAGACGCTAGCCACTTGTCAGGCCTTGACAACCTGACTGCCCAAGTGGTGCACCATGCTACTTACATACCAAGCGCAGACAAAACTGACCAGTTGGGCCATACTCCAGAGCTTAAGCCGGATATTTCGATCCGAGTCTATTTCACAAAGTCAACGTTCCCAAGGTCTTGAAGGGCCTTGAACACGGGTGGGGCTTGTACACGGACCACAGCTACTATCCCAGTCGCCATGGCACAAACGCAAATAGTGTTTCAAGGTCAAAACGATGGATCTCAGATTGGAGTGAATCATGGAGATTTTCATTCTCACTCATCTGGTGGGTTGAAGTCAAGAACGCCAAGTTGACCACTGGCGCTAACGTGCACATATTATGTCGTCCCAAATCAGATCCCTCAGAAGCGACGTTGAACCAGGCGTGCCTCCATGATCTTGCAACTACAAATCCACGTCACGACAAGGACCGCATCGAGGACATTAAAGGTGGCTTGCTGAAGGACTCTTACGCATGGATTCTGGACAACAGTGAATTCAAGGAATGGCGCGACTCCATGGAAGTGCACCTTCTATGGATCAAGGGCGACCCGGGGAAAGGGAAAACAATGCTGCTATGCGGTATTATTGATCATTTGACCGAATCTTCACCAGCAAATGTCGCATATTTCTTCTGCCAGGCGTCCGATGCACGCATAAACAGTGCGACGTCAGTTCTGCGGGGGTTGATGTATCTACTTGTTGAAAAACAACCCTCGCTTCTCTCGCATGTGAGACAGGAGTATGATAAGATGGGAAAGAGACTTTTCCAAGATGCTAATTCCTGGCAAGCTTTGTCCAAGATCTTGACAGCGATTCTGGAAGATCAACGCCTGCAACCTACGTTTCTATTCATCGATGCGCTGGACGAATGTGTCGGGGACTTACATCCCCTTCTGGATCTTATTTGCCGGATGTCATCTTGCTACCCGCATGTCAAATGGATAGTTACCAGCCGCAACTGGCCTGAGATTGAGGAGAGCCTTCAAGATGCTCCTGGAACCAAACTTTGTCTCGAATTGAATGAATCATCCATTTCAGATGCCGTCGAAAGATACATTCAACATAAAGTCCTTCATTTGGCTCGGATTAAGAAGTATGGCAGCAAAATAGGTGATCAGGTTCGACAAAAACTCTCGGAAAAATCATAAGGCACATTTCTCTGGGTCGCTTTAGCTTGTCAGGAGCTCAGCAAACCCTCAACAACGCGATGGCGAACGCTATCAGTTTTGAATACTTTGCCTCGTGGTCTTTATGGCCTTTACCGAAGAATGATAAAACATATCACAGCCTCCGAAGATGCGACACTTTGCAAGGAAATTTTAGCCATCGTCTCGACTGTGTATCAGCCTCTCACATTGAGCGAACTGACATCATTTGCCGATTTCCCCGAAGAATTGTCGGATGATGATAATGCCCTGGTTGAGATTATTAGGCGTTGTGGCTCATTCCTGACAATCCGGGGAGATCTTGTTCTTCTTGTCCACCAGTCCGTCCAGGATTTCCTCACGCAGGAAGCCATCGATGAGATTCCTATAGGAGTAACTCAGCATCACTCAATTCTTTCAAGATCTCTGTATATTATGTCTCAAACACTTCGACGAGATATTTATCGACTCAAAGAACCAGGGTTTCCCATCGAAAGAGTCCAAAAGCCCTACCCAGATCCCCTTGCATCATCATCCTACTCATGTGTCTATTGGATAGACCATCTTGAAGAATACCATTCTCTCACGGGAGAATATGATGAACTTGATGACGCTGGACCTGTGCATCAATTCCTCAAACAGAAGTTCATATACTGGCTGGAGGCGCTCAGTCTCCTTGGAAACATTCCATACGGAACTAAGGCTATTGCAAAACTCGAGAATATACTCAAGGTTAGCTCGCGTACCCTGCTCACTGTATTCAAGTTTATATTCGCTAAAGATGTGTCAATGTCGTCCTAGCAAGCATCCAGGGAGACCGAACTGTTCAACCTTGTTGCAGATGAATCTCGATTCATGCATTATCACATGACTACAATTGAGCAAAGCCCTCTACAGCTCTATTGCTCTGCCCTTTTTTCTCTCCCACCAAAAGTTTGACCAGAGCAAATTTCGAGCACGAGCTGCCAGAATGGGTAACAACTACAACAAAAATGGCCCATGATTGGAGTTCTTGCCTCAATACACTTGAGGGTCATTCTGGGAGTGTGAATGATGTCGCTTGGTCCCCTGACGAGACTCAAATCGCATCAGCATCAGATGATATGACAATAAAGATTTGGGACTCGTCCACAGGCGAGTGTGTATCAACTCTGAGAGAAGAAGAGCATTTTGCGGAAAAAGTACAAAAGGTTTTCTGGTCATCCGATGGATTGATCGCATCAGTTTCCGGGAATTGGGTGAATATTTGGGATCCGGTCTCACAGCTTTGTATAAACACACTTCAATTTGACAACAAAGCCCAACATTCCCCCGTCTGGCTACTGAAAGGGAGGATTGCATGCTTTATTGACAAAACACCAGACTCACCCACCGTCGAATTCTGGGACCCAGTAGACGATATATGCACCTTGAGACTAGAAATGGACGACAGCTATGAAACAGACAAGATTACTTGCTCATGCAATGGACACATAGCGTGCCCCTCCGTTGACAATACTGTTACAGTCTGGGATTCAACTGGTCGACAAATCTCCGTGCTTGAGGGGCACAGTAGTGACGTTTCTTATGTCAAATGGTCAGAAGATGGGCAGCAAATTGCAACTTGCTCAGAAGACAAGTCCCTCAGACTTTGGAATGCAGCTTCCGGGGTGTGTATATCAATTCTTGAGGGACATGAGGACATAGTGGTGAACTGTTCATGGTCTAGCGACGGGAAATTGATATCCTCTTCCTCCTCGGATGGCATGAAAATGGTGTGGAATACTACTGGAGAATACATTGATCAGTGCATTTCCATCTTTTGGCCCGGAGGATACCCCGATTCTATGACCTTATTCCGGTGCAGCGGTGGTAGCATTGCCGCAAACACCGGGGTAGATTTCGAAATCCGGGACTCAAATACCGGTCATTTGCAATCGACTTATGACGGACACACTGATGAGGTTAATACGCTGCTCTGGTCTCCCGATGGAACCAGAATAGTCTCAGCTTCATGTGATGAGACCATAAAAATCTGGGACACGACTGTTACCAATTCCTCGCAAAATTCACAGGCCATAGATATGGAGTGGTCAAGAGATGGTAGCTCTGTCGTGATAGCACCAAGATCAAATTTCGAGAACAAGAGCGTAACTATATGGGATCTTGCGACTGGGGAATGCACCCGAGAGTTCGAAGACGATGAGAATATCGAGTGTATTGCATGGTCACCCGACGGAGATCATATAGCATCTGGATCGGATTTCGGAACAGTAAAGATCTGGAGCCTCACCACGGATCAACTGGAATGTGTATCAACACTCCCAGAAATTTCAAATGCAGAAGTAGTTGGTCTCGCTTGGTCGCATGATGGGGCCCAGATTGCATGGGTTTCGAGCGATGGGGCATTGAGAGCCTGGAACTTCGCAACCGGGGCTTCGAACGATTTTCAACTGCCGGAAGAATATACCAGCCAGCAGCGAGCAAGAACCGATACTATCAACCTGAGACGTATTCTTGCATGGTCATATGATGGGAGCCAAGTTGCACTCATATCCCCGCTCTGTGACAATATTGTGATTTATGATCTCATAACCAAGTCGAGCAAGATTCTTGACAATCCCCTAAATAGTTTCCCGGATTTATCATGGTCATCAACTGGATATCTTGTTTCAACCTCAGGACAACATAATATCCGAATTTGGGATCAGTCTGGCCAGTGTAAACTGGTAATTGAGGGACACAGAGACCGGATCTGGTCCCTTGCATGGTCACACGATGGAAGTCGAATTGCATCAGCGTCAGACGATAAAACCGTTATGATATGGGATGCGCTCACAGGCTCCTGTGACTTCAAGCTTGACATTAAGTATGCTGGTCATTTTCATTTCGATCCATCCGACTCCAATAAGCTACATACTGGATCAGGCACTTTTCTTCTCGGCCCTCATGTGACCAACCATCCCACCAGGGATTCCTTTACTGCCAGTGGAACAGGAAATCACTTAAAGCCAATGTATTACGGTCTGAGTTCAGATGATAAATGGATTACGTATAAAGGAATTAACCTATTGGCATTACCACCAGATTATCGACCAGGTTTTCGGGGTTCACTTGGCTTGTATGGAACAAACATGGCGATTGACTGTGTAGCAGTTGGTTTGTTGATGTTAAAGTTTCCAGAAAATCTCCCCTTTTGCAGAGAGACAGGAGAATGATCTAATGTCGTTTTCATTTTGTCCTTAACTTGGAAACATCGCGAAATCTCAACTTGCAGCTGGATTTGAGGTGTATTTCATGAATTTATTCCTCCAGCCTCAAGTTTAATTTCAGCTTTTACTCATTGTATTCCATATTGATAATAAGTACAGTGAGCACATACACTTTGATCATCTACTTCGCTGGCCCATTATTCGGACTGATCATCATTAACAATACGACTCTCCAAGATACACCTTCTCACATTCATGTCCAGTGAGAATACAAACTCGCAACTGGAGCCAATTTATCTATGAATATTCCCCATATGCCTCAACAGTTGTCTTGAGAGAAACCACCAGAGAGTTGACCAGAGGCGCAACCTCGTGCAGACAGTCCGGTACCGCACCGACAAGACCAAATAGATAATTCTAATATGCAAGATTAGATTATATTAATTGATGTCGAACTGTCAAGATTAACAGGAAAAGACTAATAAAAAAAATTCACATACATTAATGGCATCTTCATCATACTCAAGAATAGAACTGAAGCTATGCTTCGACGTGCCGATTACGGTCTTGTTCATGCTTTTAATTGTCTCCAGGGTTTCTTCCTCCAACTCAACAAACTATAAATCATGATGTTAAATACTAGAGAGCTGAATCATGTTCCTAGGTCTTCCTGAACCTACTGTTTTTATCGCCTGGCATATGCCATGTTGATTATCAGTAGGATCGGTGCATTGTCCCTGGCGTGCTGCTTTGACTAAATTAAGGTGCTCTTTGCCTTTAGTAATAATGATCTATGTGATTTCGATGATAAAATCAGTGTTCATGTTTTCCAAAAGCGGAGATAGAGTAGTCAAATACTACCTTCGCTTCTGCTCTACCATCATGGGTAGCCTTGAGAGCGTCATTCCATTTCTTGGTATGCTCCCCTATGGCGGTCAGATTACTGATAATATCAGCACCGTGACAGGCCTTTCTGGGATGAAGCTGGAATTCCAGTGGAAGATGAAAGGCAAGGGTTGATTCAATTAAGCAGATCTTTAACAGAAGTTTCCCAAGCATTATGGATGTAGTCTGAGGTGTTAGAGATCATCGATACCTTCAGGTTCGGATGAAATACTACTATGTAGTAAGAAATTTGTACAATTTATATCCACATGTGCAACATTTGAATATGAGGAGATTTTATCTCAGTATGATGCAATTGACTCACGTGCTTATACACTCCGATATTTTCCCTTGATCCATATCATGATGGTAAAACATTGGTGGTGATGCACATGCACTTTTGCCTATAGAATCTAGCATATCCCGTAGAAGGGTTACCGAAACGTCCCGTGTGCTACAATTTTAAAGATAAGAGAGTGGCACAGAGTGACACGCATGAAGGCTTAAATAGAGTTCATCCAATATTCCCCTCTATCGACGTTTCATTGCATTGGCGTGTTGCACAAACCACTGTTCCTTCATGCAGCCCTCCGCGGCTAAGCACCGGCAACATTGAAATGACGTCTCGAGGTTACTCCTCAGGCGGCATTTACTTCCTGACGTAGATAGTCATCTTATCAGATGATGCCCAAGACACTTACGCGGGATCTATGTTGTCAGTGCTACCCATGACTCGGATCTATCTGTGAATCCGTTCACCATCTTACAAAATGTGACATCATGAAGCTATTAAATAGGGAACAAGATTTGTGAATTTCTAGCTATGAAGTAGATAGACATGGGACCAAGAATCGGGTACAACCCATTATCGTGCATCCCACATCACCTCATTCAGACGAAGCAACGCATCCGCACTGGCCTTCCTGGCGGACATGAAATCTTCCCGATTCTCAGCACCACGTGGACCACGCAAGATCTCCGAGAAACACAATTCCACCAAGATGCGGAGCTCCTCATATGTGAAGGGCTCGCCATTGCCAGCAGCGAGGGCCTTGTCACCCTGCGCGGCAAAGGCTCCCTTCTCCTCACTCGCGTAGTCCAAGGCCTTCTCTGCGCCTTCAAGGAACCAATCCAGGAACTTGGCGCTGCGTGGTAGCGCGACTACCTCCTGGTCGATAGTCGAGGCTGGATCAGCAGTTGGGTCGATGATAATGTTCTTGAGATTCTGTTGAAGAACAAGGACATCCAGTTGTAGACGCAGAGCGCCGTTCTCATTCATGGCGCCAATGTAGCGCGTACAGGCGACAAAGACGCGATCGATGAATCTTGCTAAGCCAGATGTGATGAACCAGCGTTCTGCAGAGCCAAGATACGTAGAGATGTTGGTGTCAAATGCGATCAAGTCGCCATTCAACTGGAGAATGGTCGGGGAAGCAGCTGTTGGTTGGTTCATGATGATGTGCCACCAGTTATCTAGTGTGCTTGGGGATGGCGTTGTGGGTTCGGAGTTGCGGATATTTGGGGGGTTCGGACCGGACATCGTTCTCGTTAGCATATGGATAACACCACAGCGAATATCAATTTGGAGGGTCAGGAGTGCATTAGATCCAAGCAGGTGCAAAGAATGAACAGTTTCATCAAATGCTGCTGCAGTCTCTTGGTTCAGGGGTAGATGCACCGGTTGGCTGATACTGTCGCGCTTAGGCTTCATGGCCCCGAATAGGGTCCATCGGCGGGATGGTCTGCCATTGGAAGTCAAGCTTGAGGAACTTGGCTCGTGAGATGGATCGACAAGTCGGATTTGTGCAAGGTGACTGCCCAGCCATTGCTATAGAAATATTAGTGGATAAATCCCAGTGATCACCGGAAGAGATGTTCCTTACCATGCTGTTGTATAGAAGGGAAAGGGCGACAACCGTCTTCGGGTCCGAAATGATATCATACGGCTCCAAAGGCGTTGTGTCAGTTCTCTTCAACAAGAGATCGATTTCCTGTGGTTGTTAGAATTGATTCAAAAGTAGACAATTGAATGGTATTCGGTGATCTTACAGTGTCAATGAGGGTCTGCTTTTTGGAGCCAGCTCCTTTCCACAATTCATCGACCACGTCATGGATGTCACCAGATTCAGCAAATAAGGCAGCAGGCTTCAATTTCACTCCACCCCCATTGTTGCGTGTAGACACTCTGGTAACCATAGCTAGACGATTGTCGGTTTAAAACTAAGCTAACTTTGGAGGGGGTTCAACGACTCACCTTTGTACCATCCACAACATTTGTCGTAGTAGGTCACGATCTGATCAATCAAAAGCTGGGTGAATGCCTGATCGTGTGGGATGCTTGACAGCATTTTGCTGAACTCTCGCACAATCGTCATGAACTTGACCGTACCCTACAAGATTATTTGTTAGCAAACGACTTCCAATAACCAAGGAGATTGTTTTGATTTACCTTGAAAATAGGTCGAGGAGAGACCTTTGTCCATTGAGGATCCTCTGTGAATGCATCCGCAGCGATGAAGCTTAATGTGCAAAGATCCGTAATGGTCTCATCCAGTTGGGGCAGAAACACGTTAACCATGAAGTCATCAAGGAAGGAGGTCAATGTGCCCATAGAAATGTCGGAATCGACTGGCACGATATCTTTGAGGCGCTGTATGAATGACAATGATGGCGGGAGCAAGAGCCTCATATTGAACACACTTGGCTCAAGAAGAATCTTATGACCCGTTCCGGAATTACCTTGCCTGGCTTGTGCTGCATCAGTCGCGGAGGCCTTTTGCCTAGATTTAGACACAAGACCAGGTACTGAAGATTTGAGAATTTCGTCCAGTTCATCTTGCTCAGCTTTCATTTCTGAGTTTTGATCAATATCGGACAATTTGAACATTTTCTAAGTCGAGGTTAGCTACCAGCATATCATTTTGGTCCTGACAGTAAAAACCTTGTTCTTATCCCGATTATTTGTGTAGAAATTACGCCGAGCTTCTGTCTCCTCGCTTCGAGTCCTAAACGACGTCTCTCCATCAGTTGCAAGGTAGTCATGCAACAGGGAGCGAATCTAGATAATGTTAATCAAAGGTGTACTAGAAATAGTAAAGGGAAAAAAACTCACCTCACTCTGCAGAAGCTTCCACAATTCCTTAAATCCATCTCCAAGGGTATCATTCTTAGTTAAGTGTTCTCGCTCCACAATCGCTGAGACAACATCATGCACAACGCGATGCCCCTCCGCAATTGACTCGAATTTTGCATACAAAGCCCATAGAAATTCTGAAAGCACATGACCGCGCTGTTCAATCGTTTCCGTTGGCAAGTTAGACTTGAGCTGATTATCATGTGATGAGTAGCTGCGATTCGGAGTAGGGTAACGAGCATCAACCTCGGCATTTGTTTTATCAACTACCGAGAATAGCTCGACTGGCAAGCGCTGCTCAATGCGATCCACAGCGGTATCAAGATGACCCATCTTGTTCAAAGCCTCTATCAATAATTGGATGTAGGAGAATGTGTCCGCTTCTGGGTTTCGAGACGCATCTTCAATCATGGGAGTAGAAGCGTCGAACTTTGCCAGGAAACTATACACAGGCCGTTCCCAAGTTCGATTGCCTGACCAACTGCTTGGGTTCGACTCTTTCTCAGTGACAGGTGCTTTCCAGCGGTCTGCGCAATAAGGAGACTTGAGATATAGATGATCATGTAACTCTTCAATCAAAATATCTGTAAGCGAGATCTCTTGATTGTTAAAGTATGCACGAATATCCGTTAAAGCACCAATATCCTCTAGCTCAGAGCGCCGCAGTAACCGCAATCCAGTGTGAAGCACTTCAACTGCCGCGAGGAACCGCTTGTCTGAGATTCGAGACTCGAGCTTCTCTGGAAGAGACTGGATCTCCTCGATCTGTGCGAACAATTGCAGGATATCATCGTAGTTCTGAGAAGACGTAGCCAGTCCCTTCAGCTCAGGCTTCGTTGATAGTAATCCAGACTTTGCCTCCTCCAGGGAGTTTCTGAGATTGCGCACTCGGCTCTGGGAGCTGGAGATATTCGATTGAATCTTGTGGTACGTTCCGATAGAACTGTTAAATCCCTGGTGATGCTCATTCACAATGGACTTCAAGGTCTTCTGGATCCGAGCATGCATGTTCAAAAACTCCGGCTCTCGATCTGCCTTACCCAATGTGCTCGTATCCATCAAATTCAACGCCACGTTGACAGGAATGCATTCGGCATCCGTCATGAAGTCCCAATCGCGTTGAATCGCCTGCAGCACCTCTTCCACAGACTGTTGCCCTGCGGTATTGGATACCACAGTATTAGGCGATGCAATATTGGGCGGTGCAGCGTTGGGTCCTGCAGGACGGAGCGCATCAGGCACGTTCCTTTCGCGACTGCGAGTATCCGCATAGCGACCATTATCCGACGATTGATTCTCCCTCGCAGTCTGGTATCTCCTCTCGGATTCCCCGTTCCTTGGTCGTGACCGCGAAGTAGACTGTGAAGAGGATTGCTGTCTCTCTCGATCCGACATATCACGTCTCCGTTCTGGCGATGGACCCGGTGAGAGCGACGGCGATTGATTCGCTTCAGGATAGAATCCACCGTAGCCACCAGGTCGGCGATCTCGGCCTCCTCCATTTGGAGCGCCATTACCTCCTCGACCGCCGTACCCGTTCACACCGAGGCTCTCATTGCTGCCGTATCTCCCATCATCAAACCGGCCGGCATCGGAGCGTCCGTAACCGTTGCCGTTACCGTAGCCAGGTCTCCCGCTCATCCCCGATTATTTCGCAGTCGTTTCCGTCGGTGTTTATGTGGTTGTTCGCGAACGTGGGCGCCTGCGACAGGGGCGGGCTTAGGCGGGGCCGCAACGGGCGTTTGTTGGGCAGAGGTGGAACTGCGTAACTTTAGGTTCTGTTGGCTATGCGCGTTGATGGTAAGGAACTGCGACCATTCTTCTATCGCAAAGTCTAGGTGCCGAAGAAGGCAATGCTTGCGGAGAAGTGAGCAATTGACAGAGTGGTGTCCGGGGCGGGATGGGGAAGTCGAAGTCATGGGCTCCACATGAGCTTCCGCGGCCACATTCTTGTGTGTACACAATTGTAGTACAGATAGTACAGATACGACAAATGCTCTTTATGAGTTCATAATTAAAATGTTTTATTATTTGAATCTACTCGGTATGATGATGTTCAGGAGAGGTTTTTACATCTCTATTTTAGAGATGTGATTTGTGATCGAGTCCGCCTATGAATATGATGATATGAGATGAAACAAATGCCACGAAACCATAAACTTATTTAGAGATGGGCTTGGTCTCACGCTCGAGCCACTTCTGACTCAATTCATCCGAGTTGAAGTAGTGGTGTGTCTTGTCCCACACCTCAGCATGGTAGTCGTTCACCCACTTGATCTCAGTATCGCTCAGCAAAGATGGCTCAATCAGGTTGCGACCAATAGGGGTCATAGTAACGTGCTCGAAGCCGATCCACTGCTTATCACCGAAGTTGTGAGGAGGGTTGACTTCGCGAGCCATGATAATGTCTAGAAAGATGGGGTTATTAGCAATTTAACATGAGAGCATGGATTCTGAACGGCGCTTACTCTCAATACGAATACCGAACTTTCCATCTTCGTAGTATCCGGGTTCTGCAAATCCTGTCAGTACTAAAACAAAAACAATTATCTGTGGAGTAAAGTCACGCACCATCTGAGATCACGTTTCCGGGGGCAATTGGAACTTCGGTGTACTGGACACGGATGCCAATGCCCATGGGGCCCTCGTGGACATTCTGTACGCTGTCAGTGAAAAGTTACTCTGAGTTGATTCAGGGACGAATTACCAGATAAGAACCAACTCCGTGGCCGGTGCCATGGAGGTAGTCCAAGCCCTCCTTCCACAGGTGCTGACGAGCCAGAACATCAATAGCGAAACCGCTGGTACCCTTGGGGAAGACTGCGGTATCGATGCCAATGCAGCCCTTAAGGACCAGGGTGAAAGCCCGCTTCTCGAATTCGGTAGGTTGGCCGAAGTGAAAGGTTCGGGTAGTGTCGGTGGTTCCATCAAGGTACTGGCAGCCGGAATCACAGAGATAGATAGCGTTAGGGTCGATGATCGCGCAGCTGTGCTTCTCAGGCTTGTAGTGAATGATAGCACCGTTAGGGCCAGTGGACGAAATAGTGTCAAATGACAGACCGGCGAACAACTCGTGCTTGGAACGAATCTGCTCCAGCTTATCAGCGGCATCAACTTCATCGAGAACGGTTTTCTTGTTGATGAGCTCATTCTCGAGCCAGGCGAAGTATTCGGTCAAAGCTGCACCATCCCGAATGTGACAGGCACGCATACCCTCCAACTCAACTTCGTTCTTAACAGCCTTGGCATCTCCAATAGGGCTGCGAGACTCCTCGACCTGCTCCTCGCCTCCAAGGGCAAGGCTCAGGGCCCAGGAGGCTCTGTTAGACAGCAAGAACTTGGTAGGTGCCTCTCCTGTAGATTGGCTTCTAGCACTGCTCAGAGCCTGAGCATCGGCGTAGATAGAGTCGTATGGCTTGATGATCACATCGTTGCCAAGATGAGCCTTCACCTCTGGGGTCAGCTTTTCTTCCTCCACGTAAAGCTCTGCTGTGGTTGGGGTGATGACAGCGTATGAAAAGAACACAGGGTTGTAAGGGATACTATTGGGAGTTAGCTGCTGTAGATCTCAAAGTTTGCGGTAGATACTTTCGTACTCGGTTCCTCGCAGGTTGAACAACCAAGCAATTTCATCCAGCATTGCTATTACCCATAGTTAGATATCAGACAAGACATGGAAACTCAAACAAGGCTGATCATACAGATGACGAATCCCGCTTTTTTCTTCGATTCCAAATCTTTGCGCAGATCGGCGATCTTATCCTGGAAGGTCTTGCCGGCATACTTCACCGGGTGCGCCCGCACCTTTTCGCTTGGGCGAGAGGGTCGGTCCTTGCCCCAGATCAGGTCAACCAGGTTCTGTTGGATGCCTACCAAGGAAGAGCCATTCTTCTCCAAGGTCTCTGCCAATTTGCGTGCGCCAGCTAAAGAATCGCGGGTTAGCTATGCTGGCTGGACAATTGAGACTGATAACACTCACAGCCAGTGATTAAGGACGGGTCGACACCGACGGCCTTTCCGCCCTGAGCTTGCTCCGTTGTCCTAAAAGATCTTCAGTTTCCCCGATTCGTTACAACCCTCTGAACTCAATATGATCATACCATTCTTGCCAAGTAGGAACACCTTCCACTCCACGCTTCAGTAGGGTCCAGTTGCTATCGAGCTGTTTGGCGGCCTGGTTGAAGTACCGTCCATCGGTGTACAAACCAGCCTGGGTCATAGAAACGACCGCAGTACCGGCGGAACCAGAGAAACCGGAAATAAACTCTGTACTCGAGATATCAATTATAAGCCGAGGGGTTTAGGACGAGGGTATGAGGGCGGTCTTGCTAACCTCGACGACCATCGCACGGGGCAATGTACTCAGACTGGTGGCTGTCTTCGGAGGGCACAACTATTGAGAGAAGTTTCAATATTAGAAAGCGTAGCTTTGAAGAAAGAAGTAAGAAAAAGGACAATGACAATGACATACTGTACACATCAACCTTGTGCTCTTGCATCAGCTTTCTCAGCTGCGAAAGCCGAGCGGTGGTATCCACGGTCCCCATGTCGATGGTGTAACGTGCACGGGTAGTTGAAAAGTATCTTGAAGGGTTGAGTGGCCTGAGCGATCGCAAGGATGTCCAGGGAAGGCGAACGGGATATGAGAAAAGCATGGACAACGTGGTTGTGGAGGGCGGCAAGAAGGGTGGGGTGCACACAAGCAGAAGGCACGCGGGGAGCAGACGAGCCCAAGCCAGATAAGTGATAACGAGCTTAGAAGTGCCGATTCGTCAGCCCTGGAGGGTGCAATGCAAATGTTACTGGCTGCCCGGAGAGACAAGAGATGCTTAAGGCGGTTACCGCCGGGTTACCGACGGTGTCTAGCTTAGTCTCCACTTGGGGGGGAATTGTCACGTTTGCATTAGACATTGGCATTATTAGATTTTATATTGATATTTGAAAAAGTTTATAACTTAATCTTTATTCAATTTCAACGTTCTCATGGATAGCGCTGCAGAACAATCATAGTTCAAGTTACAATGTACATAGTAGCTTCTGGCTTCAGTGCAAGTACCGGCCCGGTCAAACACACTAGCTCAACCCTAGAGCCTCTTCTCTCAAGCCATATGGATTCAACCGTGTCTTTCTTCATCCTGGTGGATCCTGGTCATCTCTCCCGCCAATTACAGTTTCAATATTATTGCCCATTATCAATTTTTATTATGCAAAAAGCCGCAGACCAATATAGTGGAGGGACTCGGACTCGGTATCTCTCAAATGCACATATAGTATGCACGTGCGAGTTATAGTAGCAAGATCAATTGAAGGCTACTATTTAGGTACATGAATATAAGTAAATTGAGGCTCATTGAGATTAGGTTCACATTTGCTGCCGGTCAACTGATATCTAATTTATCTAGGCTATTTCCAAAGACATTCAGTAAATGAACCTAGTCCTTACTGTCTACTACATACTTCCATAATAACACCTATATTCTACGGAGTAGCAAGAGCTAGTTTCGAGGACCATTTTGCTTTGGCACAAGATTAAATTTTCAATAGTTAAGTTGATTGCACTATTCGAGTCACTTTAGAACTATACAATATTGGAGGATTCCAGGTTATATCAGACCAATGGGCTAGTACTCCGAGATCAGTGTTTCAACAACAACTTCATTTTTTGGCCATCGATCTAAGTCAAAACTCGAGAAATAAAATTTCAGTTAAATTGAAATTGATAATCACCATTGAAAGATTAAAAATTCACACATATAATTCCGTATTGATCTCAACTCTACATGGAATTTGGTCCCAATTAGCCTAAATAACTGCCGTTCCAAGGTTATCTTGTACGACCGCACTGCCACACGAGGCGGTGCATTATAAAAATAACATCCCTTTCGCGCCCCTACACGATGGGGACTAAGTGGAGTTATTTCGAAGGCAGCCGCGCTACATTCTTGCTCCTCACCGCAACGGCATCATGACCGTGCACTATTTCTGCCCGAGGCTGAAATTTTTGCATCCTCCATAAGATCCACTCTATGCCCATCTGATTATACGGGGTTGAATTTCTCTCTGACAAACTAATGCCGCAAATTTATAATACCCCAGAATTTTTGCTTGCTCGCTCGGATTCCAGAAATCCAGCAACCACATGTAGAGGCATTACTGGCCAAGGCCGGCCTTGTCGCCGCTCCTTGGCGCCTTCTGAAACCCCGAGTCCAGCATCAACTCCTCGAAAGAGTAATCAGCAGGCCGGTGTGCCAGATTTGGCCTCTTTATACTGCTGGCAGCATAAGGACCAAGCTGTTTCGTCAACACCGAGCAGCGCTCCAACTACTATATCGGCCAAGCCGAATCGGAAGTCCAGCATCGACACACTAATGGATCGACTCGGTGTTCTCGAAATCAAAGATGAAAAACCGGCTCCAAATGGACGCAAGCCACGCCCAAAGCAAACTTTTTGCTGTTTCACTATCGCTGAGGACGAAGAGGACCGTCGCCCAGCTAGACCGGTACAAAAACCCATGCAAACTCGGCCATCGCAAAGTACAAGACCATCTACGCAAAATTCAAACCAAAATGTACAGCGTCCACAGTATGAAAGTGTCTCCTCGGCTTCACAGACAGCTTTGAAGCCTCCTGTCCCAAATATACGCCAATCTTCATCGTCGTCACAAACCAAGTCCCTGCTATCGTGGATTCCCTCGACACTGTCTCCGAAAACAACATCTGTGCTTCTTACTGAACTAGCAAAGCCTATCTCCGATGCCGATGACGACGGATATATTTATATGTTCTGGTTGACACCGCAAACCTCAGCAACACGCAGCGCTACACAAGATCCACTACCGAGAGACATTGCATCTTCGCTACTCCCATCAGCACCATCGGGCAACAGTAATTTCCGACCTCCATCTCAGCCTCGCAGTATCAGCGATGCTATCAATGCCGCGCGTGATCTTAACGCTCTAACCTCAAACCCGACATCAACGACGCCGGGGACACTCCGATTGAAAATTGGTCGCACAAATAATGTGCATAGAAGGATGAATGAATGGACGCGACAATGCTCGTACGATCTTACTTTGATCCGCTACTACCCTTATACACATGATGCATCTTCATACACTTCTTCATCACCGGCTACAGCTATGGTACCAGGTCGGAAAGTACCGCATGTGCATCGCGTGGAACGGCTGATTCACCTTGAGTTGGGGGAAATACGGATACATGACTTGGGGAAGTGTCCAGAATGTGGGAAGGAGCATCGAGAGTGGTTTGAGGTTGAAGCAGCGAAAGAGGCACTGCAAACTGTTGATGAATGTGTGCGTCGATGGGTTTCTTGGGCAGAGTCTGTAAAATAAATGGTCCTGGAACAATCCAGATGTCAGGACTTATTTTGATCTTGATTGCCTGCCCAGGAGCAGTATGTAACGTATTATGACTTGCATTTTTGCATTGTTATAGTTAGATATAGATTCAAGTGAGCAAGAGCTTTCAAACTGATTGATATTTTGTATAGAAGTGGACCTGCACATGTGTAGTCTCCGCCAAGTTCCAAGGTTCGGAATCCGAATGTTATAGCTTCAAACCTACCACTACGCTTCTTTTAAATGAAATAGATCTATATTACTATGTAGTTCATTCTATTGACATCAATTGATACCACATTCATATTAATTCCTCCAATTAAAAATGTACTACTGTTTAACCAATCCCCTGGCGTCCCGCGAGCACCTGCCCAGGGTGACCATGGATGACATCATTCGGTATCTACTCGGACCAACAACAACTCCGTGATCATCTCAACTATTACTCCAACTTACTTCTTACTAACATTGAAACACTTAAGCTCCCTTCAACCTCGGCATTGAGCCTCATCCTCACTCTCCCCTCTCCAATCCATCTCCATCCTCCACATAAACCACAATGGCCTTCCAACTCTTCTCCCCTCCAATCCTCCGTCTCGGCCTAGGTGTCGGCCTCGGTCTCTCCGCAGCAACCCTCCACCCCCTCTCCCCCTTCCGCGCAGCTCCAATGCAATGCCAATACAGTGCTCCTTATTACCGTCCCGAGTCGCAGGGCAATGCGGATTCCGGCTGGGCGGTCAAACCTGAAGATCCTCTACTTCAGAAGCAGGGTCGTACTGGTATCGCTGCCCAGGCTAAGGCTGCGTTGCTTTGTCCTGAGAATCTGCGACAAGTAAGCTTGGGAAGTGTGCTTGGATTGGTGGCGGGTGTTGGACTCAGGGCTTTCTCTCGGGTCCTGGTTGTTGTTCTGGGTATGGGTGTTGTTTTAATTGAGGTGAGTATCTATATCCCATGTATTGCAAATGAGTTCCATTGCTGTACATCTGATTCTTGTGAGCTTATATTCATTATATACGAACATGCTAACTTTGATCCTCAGTGGGCCGCTTCTAAGGGGTATAATATTCTTCCGCTTGAACGTCTTCAAAAGTATGTGAAGAATGTGGATGTGCAACGCGCATTATCCTCACACCGGCCCTTCAAGATCAGCTTTGGAGCCATGATGGCGCTGGCGGCATTTGGACAGTTTTAGAACGACTGAACCCCAACATTGAATTGTGTACATATAGATTTGGTTCAGGCGCTTTATGTCTACAAGACCAGTTGACTACACCAGCATTTAGATAAAAAGACAAACCGCCTGGGCAGTCCAAATCTTGATTACATACTATACTAGGCATTGACCATCATCAAATTTGGAAGCTCCTCGCAAGACCGCAGGAGTCTAAGGAAACTCTTACACAGCGGCTCATATTAGGCAAAATCAAGTTGAGCAACCTATTACACAGTCATATGGTTCTACTAGTAGTTCTCGGGTTGTGATTCGAATCAGGCGGCATCTCAAAGATAGTCACATCTACAGTATAAGATAATGAATTTCTGAAATGCATGTTGGTACATGGTCTATTTCATACAGGGGTATCATGACATCTTCGATCTATTCCATACAACACCAGGAAAGGGGATCTTATCCAAGCACCAGATCCTCCAACACGCCCTCCATCTCATCACGAGATAATGGTACTCCCAGAATCTCCATTCCACTGGGATCCATACGCGAGGTGATCATCTGGTGATCGTGGAACTCCTTCAACAAAGTACGGAACATCATCTCGGACGATGCAATGAATTCCTCTGTTGCTTTCTGGTAAAGCAAGCGGAATTCGATACCATGCTCCTCGGCAGACTTGTTTCCATCTGCGCCCTCGTCATCGGACTGGTGACCATCATCCATAATGGTGATAACCTCCGTCAGCAAAAGGCGGTACAGGTTACGAGCGTTCTCCGGTAGACTTTTCAAGACGAAACCAACACCATCTTTGCCGCCGGCACGTTGGCCCTTCCGACCTAGCAAAGAGTTTACTTCTTCCACGACATCCGCTTCGACAGCAAATGGAGTAAATGTAGTGCCGTCGTGGAAGACCAGATTGAACTGATCACGTAAACTGATATCCCACATCACGGTGAAATTGGGTGTGTCAGCAGTGACAAGAAGACGGATACGAGGGGTTGCAGCAAGACGGGCGAGAAGAGCCTGGTTAGCTGCACGACGCAGAGGCGGAGCGTCAACCGAGTTGATGAGCACTGTAATCGGGCCTTCCTCAATAGGTCGATTATTGAGTGCTGATTGAATCAGTTCCAGTACTTCCGTGGGCTGGGCACCCAATTTGGAGGGCAGATCGTCGCCCAGCAGAGCGGTTGCAATCATAGCAAAGATCGAACGAATCGAAATACCGGGAGTGTAGCCATTGACAATGATGATTGGTGGATTTTCGGTGGATGAATGGTGATACAGCCAGTCTGCAAAATTTTGTACAAGTTTTCGCTTCGATCCGTATCCAAACAAACAAATATTGTAGTCCTCCTCAAACTCGAACTGCCATTGCTGGAATGACCGGTGATGCAATGAAAGGAGATATTCCTTCTCCTCTTTGCAAGGATCCACGTATTGGCCCAGTTTCTCGAAATATTCCTCATGAGTCAACAAGGGAACCTTGTTCAGCGTAGTGTTGGAGGTCTTGCCGGTGCCGGCACGATTCTGGAAGAAATAACGTTCGTGCGCAGGGAGTTCGCCTTCTGGTGTCGGTGATCGCTTATTTTTGGCACCCTTTGGTCGACCAGCACGACGCTTAGGAGCTTTAGCATCTTTAGCCTTTCCTTTCTCCGCATCGCCCTCCTCCACGCTTTCCAATATGGGTTGAGTTGTTGTCTCTGGCTCGGGTTCGTCGTCCTGTAGAATCTCTGCTGCCAGCTGCTCCGAACCATCCCATTCGGCATCCTCATCCTGTTCAAACAGCACCCTCGCACTCTTCTTCTTCGCAGATTGATCGGCCTTCTTTAGTCGAGACGGAGTACCCGCAGAGGGAGTCTTTGGTTTTGTTGGAGTCGCGAACAAATTTCGAGCCTTGGATTTATGGGTGGGTGTCTTCAACCCCGATTCTTTCAATGAGGGTGCGGAAATTCCATTGGACTTTTTAGGCGTAGATTGACTAGGAGGGAGTTCGTATGTGACATCGCCGTTCGGTGGTGACTGGTTCGGCGCATGGCCGTTCGGGGCGCCATTGGGTTTTGCCTGCGTGGTGCGCGCCCTTTTCGGGTTCGAGCCAGCTGGATGGTCATTTTCCAGACCGGAATCCGAGAGCTTACGCTTCATGGTGGACACGTCAGAGTGCAGTTCTTGATGGAAGGCCAAGGGGAGGAAGGAATCAACAATACCATCAGATCCGGAGAATGTGCTACAGGGGCGCGATGCAAGGGATTGGCTTGTCTTGGACCCAAAGACTTGTCTCACTGGGCAATCGTACTAGTTGAGTGGCGGCAGTTGATCGACATTGGGGAATGTGACAATAATGAACTTGGGGTTTGTTCTTGAAGAACGATTAAGGTGGAGATCAAAGTTGTGTCTCCAATCGCGCGGGTTTTCTCCGACTCCGCCTTTAGTCTTTAGCGCTATCTACAGCGCCTCGGGCGCGTTGTTCGAGGGATTTTAATCATGACTCAATTGCCTATCAAAATTTGAGCTCTTTTTTCTATCTTATTACGAGTCAATTAAATAGACAAAATGTATCTGCCCTTTCTGATAGCCAATGCCTATTCATATTTAAACGTATCAAATCCATGGTTTTGGTCCAATGTAAAAGGTTGATTCAGGTCATGTGAGTGCCTCAAGAATCTCCCAGTGTAGATCTTCTCTATCCTCTTCCAATTTACTCAATTCACCCCAATTGCTCTCTCGTCAAGTCTGATATTTTGCGTGCAATCTCTTATCGCTTTCGAGTAGTAGTGGGCTCATACCGCGCAGTTGCTTCCCGGTCTCGGAGCTACGGGTAGCTTTTCGAGGTTCCCACAGTAGGTTATTTGAGTCACCGAGCTCTGGCTCATCGCAAACCCATCTTTAAATAGTCAGAGGCTCAGAGCTGACCGTAATTTTGTGAACCTGACTAGACATTGGGACACTTTCCACATGGTTGCCAACAGCCAACCCGCCACAATGGCGGTTAACTCCTTTGCCCGCATGATGAAGGGCCAGGTTCGGTCTTACTCCGCACCATTGGATATGGCCATTCCGGCCTCCAAGCAGCGCTACATTCCTATATCAGGCACTTACCCTCAAGGTTTCCTGGTCTCCGGTACCCATGTCGGTGTCAAGGCTTCCAACACTCGATTCCCCGACCTGGCCTTGATTGCCTCCGAAACACCTTGCTCCGCCGCCGCTGTCTTCACTACGAACAAGTTTCAAGCTGCCCCAGTGCAGGTTAGTCGACAGACATTGAAGAGCCGAAAGGGAGAGGGTATCCGCTCTGTGGTTATCAATGCTGGATGTGCCAATGCGGTCACAGGAAAGGGTGGTCTCGAGGATGCGGTAAGCATGGGCCGAACAGTGGACGAGTGCAATAGCGCCGAGAAGGATAGCTCTTTGGTAATGAGTACTGGTGTGATCGGTCAGCGGTGAGTTCAAATGGCTCCTCAATTGCATAAAATATCCCATGGACCAGCCTCTCATATTGTTATAGATTGCCCATCAGCAAGATCCTTGACCGCATCCCAACTGCCCATGCCAACCTCGCTTCATCGCACGATGCCTGGTTGACTACTGCCCGCGCCATCTGCACAACCGACACATTCCCCAAGCTTATGTCCCGTGAATTTACTCTCCCCTCATCCCCTGGTCGCACCTACCGTCTGGCAGGTATTACCAAGGGCGCCGGCATGATCCACCCCAACATGGCAACCCTGCTGGGTGTTCTCTGCACCGATGCCGCCGTCGAGCCCGCAGCCCTGCAATCCATTCTCAAGCACTCTATCTCCCGCTCCTTCAACTCGATCTCCATCGATGGTGACACCAGCACCAACGACACCATTGCCGTTCTCGCTAACGGTGCCGCTGGCGGCGAGACCGTCCGCGCACCCTCTTCCGCCTCCGAGGCTAGCGCTGACTACCAGGCTCTGCAGGCCGTCTTTACCGATTTCGCCCAGCAGCTTTCCCAGCTTGTTGTCCGTGACGGCGAGGGTGCTACCAAGTTCGTTACTGTTCGCGTGCGCAACTCGTCTGACTATGAATCTGCTCGTCAGATCGCCTCCACTATTGCTCGCTCTCCTCTTGTTAAGACTGCGCTGTACGGCCGCGATGCTAACTGGGGTCGTATCCTCTGTGCTGTCGGTTACACTCAGGGTGTTGCCGAGGGTGTTGTTGTTCCCGAGCGTACCTCTGTGAGCTTCCGTCCTGTGGATGGTAGCCCTATCCTGAAGCTTCTGGTTAACGGTGAGCCTGAGACTGTTGATGAGGAGCGTGCTAGTGCCATTCTACAGAATGAGGATTTGGAGATCGAGGTTGATCTTGGTGGTGGTGAGAAGGGCGCTGCTGGATGCGGTGGAGAGGATGCTGTTTACTGGTTCTGCGACTTCAGTCACGAGTATGTGACTATTAACGGTGATTACCGTACTTAGAATAAAATTTCTGTATAGCGAGTTGAATTGATTGCGTTAATCTACATGAATGAGTACGGTAGAATAGAAATTTATATCGAGTTATGGTTTAATTATCAGACGACATGGATTATAAAACTGTGCCCAGTGCAGATGATAAAATTTGTTCAAACTACAGCTAAGTATCATCCCTGTCCTCCCCATCCTGCTCATTCAAGCCATCGCCAAGCGGCCTATCAATATCAACCACTTGACCACTGTGTACTTCTCCTTGTGACAATTGCACTTTTTGGCCGAGGCCATAGTCACGCAAACCAAGAGACGCCATGAACATAATGACAGTCAGTATACTAAACGAAATAAACACGATATTTAAACCACGAGCATATACAGCCAGAACAAGTCTTTTGTCTTCGTCCGAGAGTTCGAGGTCTGGTAAAGACAAGGCTGACGAGGTCAGCCGCGAGATAATCTCAGGACTGAACCTTTCCTTGAGACCAGCTTGCAAAATATTGTTCAATATTGCTCCAGAGACTGCTTTCATGTCAGAAAAGATACGTTAAATACCCAAAAAGGGGAAACCCAGACTCACCTGTGATCCCAATAGAGCCACCCATATCCCGGATGAAGTTCCGCAGGCCAGTAATGACTGCGCGATCAACATTATCGGTCCCTGCAAGAAGACCAACGAGTACTGCATGATGTTAGTTGAAGCTATTTTGGACAAGGAATACTCGAGCTACCTGGCTGCAGCCCACATCCAACGCCTATACCTTCCAGAATGCCCGTTATGATGAAGAGACAGAATGGTGTCGTCTGCCCATAGGTTGATTTGAGAATGGCACCTATTGCCCACGAAGCTGCTCCGATGCTGATTACAGGCTTATAAAAGCCTGCCAGAGACATCACGGCACCACTGAGTCCTGATGTCGCACCGTGAGCAATCACCATCGGAAGGATAAGCGCCCCTGCTGCTGATGGACTCAGACCACGCACTATTTGGAAGTACAAGGGCAGATAGAACAAGTTTCCCCAAAATACCCAACCAATGAATATGTTTATTGCGAGTAGTATATTCGTCGATCGATTATACTGAAACAATCGCACTAAGCCGGAAATCCGTAGTTAGAAATGGATGCAAGTAGCCAATATTGACGATATCTGACCTACTTGGAAGAATGGGTAGTTCAACTAGACGCCATTCGATTATCAGGAAGGCAAGGAACAGAAGAACACCGCATATCAACATGCCAATAATTAGTGGTGAGTTCCACGGCAGAGCTGACCCTCCTTGCGATATGGGAATCTGTACGCAGCTTGATGTCAGTATACTATGCAACTCGCTCTTGGGTAATCGGTGCAACTTCACCTGTATCAAGATCACGGCAACCATGCTTGTCAGCACCCCAAGCCAATCAAGCATCTTGAGTTTGTGTCCAATATTATCTGCAGTTGCCACTGCTGGCAAAACAATAGCCAACAGGCCCACCGCTGACACTGTTAGGGGACATATGAACCAAAAAGCCCATCGCCAGGTTATCCGCTCAGTGAACAGACCCCCAATCACAGGTCCAAGTCCATTCCCCAACGCGACCGCCACACCTAGCATCCCAAAATAATAGCCTCGTTGATCAAGTCGCGTGATATCTGAGATGGTAATCTGAACAAGCGCGTTCAGCGCACCCGCTCCAAACCCGCTCAACGCTCGCGCTGCGTATAGTTGTCCGGCATTCTGAGAAAAACCAGAGAGAAGGTTTCCAACGCCCATGATAGTGAGAGCTGTAATCAGACATGTTTTTCGCCCAAGGATATCCGACAAGCGACCGTTGATCAGCTGTATACTCGTGCTCGTCGTCAAGAAGCTCGTTCCGACCCAGGAAATAGAAGACCCTGCATTTAGGGCTGCTGCGATGGATGGCAAGGTGGTTGAAATGGCAGTTTGGTCGATGAAGGAGGTAAAATGCACTAGAGATAAGGCCGGGATGACGACCAAGAGTCTCTTTCGGGGAAGGACGTTTGACTGTCGATCTTGGAAGTCTTTAGGAAGGAGAGGGGTTGTCTCACCGGGCTCCAAGGCTGTTGGGATGGTTTCGCTATTGGGATCTGGGCGGCTGGATGAAGGATTCATCTTGCTGGGCCCAGTCAGCTCATCGCAGACGACATTTAAAGGAGTTACCTTCCAAGGTTTTCGATGGTTATAGACCAGGGTACCTGTCTCCCTCGTGCTTTCCAATTAAATTTGCATCTTGTTGGCTTAAAAACAGAAGGTGCCAGGATTTTTCTCTAGTCCGAGCCCTGAATTATTCCAAGGTTCTGACTTAACCTTGAAAGAGCCTCACAACTCTATATCTTCAACTTGAAATTTAAGTAGAGTGGAAGACTCCGAGTTTGAGTTGCAGAAACACTGTTAGCATTTTGGGATATTCCGGTGCTGATTGAGGGATTTACTTTCAACTTCAAGGTTTTATCGCATTTTTTACTACTAGTATCAATTGCTGATAAGAATCTGAGATATATGAAGTCTCGTTACATTCACGTCGTACTATTAGTATCACTGGCAATCCAGCTTTAACTTGAGCTTGACCATACTACTAGTACTAGTTGCTAGTAATGTTTAGGTTAAAAATGTCTCACCACATTCATGGATGCACCTGGCATTGTGTGTCAAATACCAGCTTTGGAATCATATAGATTCCAATATTCAAGTTCTCTGTGCACTTTTGCATATGCGCATGCCCAGCCGCCCAGCCCTGTAGATGATAGTCTCCATATGACTTGTAACATCATTCCAATCTTGGCATGAGTCGTACAACTTGAAAGCACCAAGCGGCGAATTAGGGGATCTTGGCCTTGACTAGATTTGTTTCAAGGTTTTGCCAATTTCAAGTTCTGTGAAGGTTTATTGGAATCTTTGCATTTCAAATATTGACAGTCTGCACATATACGATTTTGAAGCGATCTAATGATGAAGCCTCAATCTCCCAGCCCTTACATCTCGCATAACAGCCTCCATCTGCAGATTTTATAAGACAAATTTACAGAGTATATAGGAGTTATCTATTAACGTGATTCCCGGTTACCCGAGCGTCCCGGTAACCCGAGCGACACATCAAACAAAATCACATCTGTAGCAACCTAAGTTTTTTAAACATTAATCATGCCACCAATTCGCTCTCAAAGATCTCAAAAATTAGTATAGCAAGAGGGACCCCTATTATTAGCTATTAAAGCTATAAAGGATGGTCAATATCCCTCGGCTGCTGCTGCAGCACGCGCTTTTAGCGTCCCAGTCTCAACCTTGAAGCACCGGATCAATGGGCGAGAATTTTGGGATGTAATTCGCCATCCTCGCCATAAATTTACTCTTTTAGAAGAGAAGTCTATGGAAAAATGGCTACTCTCTATGGATTCTCGAGGAGCAGCTCTCACACATGCTATGTTGAGAGATATGGCCAACTTACTACTCCGATCGCGTGGATTGACACCTTCTGACCCCCCTCCGAAAGTTGGCAAGAACTGGACCACAGAATTTGTCAAAAGACACCAGTCCCTTTCCTCTTGTCTCTCTCGTAAGTATAATTATGAGAGAGCTCTTTCCGAGGATCCTGAAGTCATTCTATCCTGGTTTAAACTTGTTGAAAATACTATCAAAAAATACGGTATCACATCTGATGATATCTACAACTTTGACGAGTCTGGATTTGCTATGGGAATCAATTCAACTCAAAGAATTATCACTTCTGCGGAATATCATGGCAAAAGAGGTGTCTTACAACCTGGGAATCGAGAATGGGTCACTGCTATTGAGTGTATCGGTGCTAATGGTGTTGTGCTTCCACCATATATCATTTTCAAAGGAAAGGTCTTTTTGGAGCGCTGGTTTCAAAAGCCACCACTTTGGGGTGTGAACAAAAGTCCTAATGGATGGACAAGTGATGAGATTGGTGTTGATTGGCTACAAAAGCATTTTTTACCTTATCTTCCTATACGGAAAGGGAAATATGTGTTGCTAATTCTAGATGGACACTCATCACACTTGACACCTGAATTTGATAAAATTTGTAAAGAGAATAATGTTATCTCTCTTTGTATGCCTGCTCATGCATCTCACTTATTACAGCCTCTTGATGTTGGGTGTTTTGCAGTCTTGAAAAAGGTGTATGGAGGGCTTGTTATGGAAGAGATGCGTCTTGGTATTAATTCTATTGATAAAGATGACTTTATTCAACTCTATCCTATTGCCCGAGAAGCTGCTTTTAAAGCTCAGACTATACAGAATAGCTTTAGAGGTGCTGGTCTAGTACCTTTAGATGCTAATCATGTACTAGATAAGCTTAATATTCAGCTTGAATCATTTTCATCATCTCAACCACCTGAGCCACGACCAGGATCTTCTAGCAGTACTAGTGATCTCGATACACTTTGGAGCCTCTCGAAACTGCAAAAAACGAATTCTAGGATCAAGAAAGGACTTGAACCTTCATCAGAGACTATGACCTCGCCGCTTAAAAGAGCTATTGACCGGTCGCATGATATGACTATTCGACTAGCTCATGAGCTCATCTTTATCCAAGATCGTTGCGCCAAGTTAGAGACAGCCAATAAGAAGCAGGTGAACAAGAGGACTGCTAGTAAAAAGCAGATCTCGCATGAAGGCAGTCTGCGAAGTTTGAAAGAGATTGAGTGTAATGTGGTGGAAGAAAAAGATGGTGGAAGGCAATATATATCTACAACGGAGGGTGCTACGGAGCCACTGGTAGAGCCTCCATTACCCCCTGTGTCTATCATACGGCGCCAGGTCACTTGTTCTGGTTGTGGAACTAAAGGACATACCTATTCTAAATGTCCTACTAAACTTATTTAATTATTTAATTGTGTTTTGGTGTTGAAATTTGAGATTGAAAAAGTAGGAAATTTGAAGTTCTTGGAGCATCGCTCGAGTAACCGGGACGCTCGGGTAACCGGGAATCACGTTAACTAGTAACTTGAAAATCTGCTAACGTAATTCCCGGTCTCACGGGTCTCGCGGATCACCTCAAAACACCATACTAAACACGATTTTTCATAACTTCATATTTTCAACATTCAAGGCAGGTCACATAGCCCTAAGGTACCTTGGTGTTTAACGTATTGTACTAGGTATTTTTATAGGTTCTAGAAATATTTTGGAGCATGATAATGTAGATACATATATCTTCATCGCTCGACCAGAGTGTATTTTTGGTAATGTATGTAAATAATCATTTCCTGAATCTGCCAGCTATAATACTCTACTTCTTTGACTAGAGATTTATAGTAGATTGAAAATCAAATAAAAATATATTCTTGTTGTTGAAAGGTCATGACCTGAAGAATCGTGTTTAGTATGGTGTTTTGAGGTGATCCACGAGACCGGGTGATCCGTGAAACCGGGAATTACGTTACTTAAATTTAGTTGCATAAGCAGTCTGATTGTGACTAGTTAACTAATAACTACCGTGCACGTTTCCATCCCAAGGTTTGTCAGCTCTTCAGGGGTATCGGTATTCGGCATTTCACCAAGCTGCATCCCTGTTAGGCTTCCAAGACTGATACTACTGGAACTCGGGATTATGAAATATTAATAATAGCAGAACCTCATTATCAAGACTCTTAAATGAGACTCGGATTGTACGGGCGCCTGATTAGCATCGGGGGTAAACGGCTAATCCTAGAATTAATATTAGAGTATAGCTTAAGGACCCCCAACTTAGTGGACAGTTAAAGTCAACCTGGGATCCTGCTGGGGTGTTGCAAGGTTACTGTAAAAGTATTTCCCCAGACGACTTCTCACCTCCATTGCCTACTACTGGAGACATACTACATACTATCGACATAGATTTGGATCAAGTGACACTCCGCGACCATGAGTTCAAGTTTCACTGCCTACGATGGGACTATCGTGCACGCCCAAGGAGCTCTCCGCACTCTTTTCCATCTGATAGAAATGGCAGAGCAGCAACCCAATGCCGACGCTCTCATTGAAGCTCGAATCCATGAAACCATGAACCCATTGAAATTCCAATTTTTCGTCATCACCCACCTCGTCGAGCGAATGCTACAGATGCTCGCCGGACGGGAGCCGGTCGGTTCACAAGATGAAGTCGCATCTTATGCTGGGGCCAAGGACCTGATCCAACGATTGCTGACAGCTCTCGATGAAGCGGACAAAGATACTGTTAACCGTAATGGCCCTGTTATCACCACTATGAAGCTCGGCCTAGTCGAGCTCACCAAGAGTGGAACTGAGATCACTACTACGATGATCATTCCCAACATCTTTTTCCACGTATCGACGACTTATGCGATCTTACGGAAGGAAGGAGTTCCTTTGCTGAAGAAAGACTATTTGTATGCGTTTTTGCACCAGGGCATCCTTCCTGTTCAATGAGAACATTGAATGAGGCCCAAGCGCTGTATATCCTTATCTCATTTGGGTGTTGTCCGTTCTTTGACTTCAAAATTTTGGACCTGGACGCCTTCGACTCACGATTGGCTGGATTCATTTTCGATTATTCAAGTTCTTCAGTATTTGTTTGATGATTCAAAATTATTCTGAAACTTTTTCGAGCCCTCTGTTAGTGCATATTTCATACTTTGCAAAACATCATGATCCATTCAAGTTGATACTAGTATAATGTTCAATTAGCACTTGAAGAAATCCATTCAATTTATACTAATTAATTGAAATTTTCAAATGTTAGGATGAAATAGTATTGGAACTGTGCACATGTGACTCAAACTTGAACTTGGCCATTCAAATTTGAATGTGGGTGCGAAGCCCTGGAGTGCTAGAGTAGAAAGTAGTATATATACATAGCCCGTATCACCTGCCACTGGCAATGCCAGGAAACGAACACCACATCATGATGTGCATTACTAACCAAAACTTGAACCTTTAAGCTAACTTTCATCCAATATTCAAGCTCAAATTATTATCTTTCATCTCAAGTGCTAATTTCAAGGTTGATCCCGACTTGAAACCCGAGTATCCGTAGCTGACCGAGAAACGCGGGGATTTACGGGGTCGCATTCATCCCCCCCCTTTGACGTCATGGGAATTTCAGATGATCATCTAAAAGAGTCCTGATGGTCGCTGAAACCAGGATTCCCTCATTTGAACTTGGTTCCATCTTCTAAAGTGTTGTAACCTTACCAAAGATTACCTCCTTGGAGGAGATTGCAAAGTCCTTTGGTTCCAAGGTTCCACGGGCCCAATATATTGTATTTTGGTTCTAAGGTTCACAGGAACATTCCTCCCATCATCACAAACTCGGTGAGTACCTGCTGCCCAACCATCACAACCTCCAACCACTTGTGACAGACCAAGTGGTTCCCGCATTTGATCTGCATATTCCATTCATGCCGGTCGTATTTGACGATCCTGAATGGGGTTTTACATGAGTTGGCACCCTTTAAATGGTGAAATGTTGAGTCTCGAGGGCTATACCAGTGTTGATTGACCGCCCTCCCGCATGCCCCACGGCAGCTTTGCAGTCTGCGCAAGTTGACTCCGTACGAGTAACCACTGGGCACTTATCACGGAACCCCACTCCTCGTGGCCTGGTCTCATTTTGCAGTGACGAGCAGCAAACTAGCTAAACTGCTCGGTTATAGCGCGAAAACTGTGCTGGCCATTCATTATTTACCGTTTTTCTTTTTGGGTAAGACGATAGATCCCTCGAAAACTAGAGAGATCCACACCCCTCTGTCACATCACAAGACCTCCGAACCCGCTCGTTTCGATCTTTAAACCTCCTACAAAGTAAAACTACCTACGAAGAAATGAGTCCCTCAATCAACATGAAATCACCGAGTGAGGAGGACCGAGATGGTCATGGTTGTGTCTACAAAGAAGTTCGGTTCTCGCCTACAGCAACACCGCAGCGCCGAGCTCAATCGGTCTCGGGCAGCAACCCCTCAGCAAACTCCAGATACGACCCAGTGCCTTTTTCTCAAGCAGTTGCCTCCTTAGCTACTTCTTACATTGGTAAATCGCGAGAGCTATTAGAGAAACAACGAAAGCACTTCGAGACGGAAAGGACGCTTTTTGCCCAAGAAAGACAGCTTTGGCAGGAAGAGCGGTCAATTCTCAGGACCAAAATTTCTGAGTTGGAATCGCTACTGAGGTCACAAAAAACACACTTGAATGGACACCACGCTCCTGGACTGGGATTTGGAACGCCGAAATACCAAGGATCTGGTGATAACGCGATACACTTGGCCCAGGTGTGGGAAGGAACAAGCCCGGGTGGTCGACCAACAAGGGTCTTCCGAGATGAAGATATCCCCGACAATACATACCTGTCGTCAATCACTGAAGGGGGTGATAATAAACCTCCGTCCCTGGATGCAGCCTTATCGCCTCAGTCACAACCCGCAGATGCTTCGGGGGCCACTGTTAGTGTACCAGTGCCGATCGAGAAACTCGACAGTAGACTAGATGGTATTACGCTCAAGTCTACTGCATTACCCCCCGGGGTCGTTGCTCGGGTTATCACCCCACCGACACCCCTGGAGACCTCCCCTCTCGATGCCCCTTCGGAACCTGCAAGGCCTGAGAAGGAACACCGAAACAGTCTCAAATTAAAGCTGTCAGAACTCGGACCACCCAATGAGAACCTCGTGCGAAATGCTGGACACACTCCCATGGCAATCATCGAGGCTGATGGGAGTTTCAGATCCACACAGGATGCTACTCCTTTCCCCGAACCTGAGTCCCAGGAAGAGGTCCCCTTGGCACCTGTCCAGACCGAAGTGCGTCTCCCCACGGAAAAAGCGGAGTCTTATTTCCCCGATGTACCTGAAGATCCTGCCCTGAAGGGGCCGTTAGGTCTCACAAACGACGAGGAACATGATAATAGCTTCCTAAATGAGCTGGATCAGAAACTTCTAGACCAAGCCAGGCGAATTCTGTCTACTTCAGGAGAAAGTACAGACCCAAATGAAACAGAACCTGAAGTGCCTAACCAGGGTGAACAAGAACCTGAAATCAAGTTCAAAAAATCAACCAATTTCGGTACAGCTTTTGGAATAACCAACTGCAATGAACTTTGAGACCTGCAATTTCTGCACCCCGCTAGCGTTTGATTATTATGTGACATGTCGGTATTTGGCGCGCTGTGACTTACATGTACTCCGTATTCGTGATTCTTGTTGCTTTTTTCTTGATACAATTTTTTTTCATGACTTGCTCTTGGTGTGCATAACACCGGGCCCCGTTCTTCTTTCCTAAATATGGTGATCATTTATGACTTGACGAGATATCCTGAATATGTTGCAATGCAGAATTTGTTTTGATACTAAGTGATGTTCAATTTCCCAACTTTGTGTTTCATTTTACTTTCAATTTTCCAGTTGACAGGATAATGTCCTTGTTCTCTTCCAACCGAGGGGTCCACCTACGTCTCTTTATATTGAATATTCCTTGCGTCTGACCTGTCAACTTGGAGTAGCCCAATCACCAATCGATACCTTCTGCCTTATTCGCGCTTCCTGCAGGAGCAGATGAAAAGGGAGCAGATGAAAAGTGATCCCCCCTGGATATCGCCCTTGCATGAGATCTGCAACCTTTCATCCCGCCGCACGTGGTCAAGTTGCCTCTAGGGCTGGTGTTCCTGCCATCCACATCGACAGCGAGGATCCTCGACAATCCTAGCAAAGCTAAGAGAACGCTAGATTTCGGATAATCGGACTCGGGCTCGTGCATAAGCTGCGTCTGTTTGCGTCGGAGTATGCGTTTACGCTAATGACTATGCATGGTCCACGTCCCCGATAATTCCCACTCTCACCAATCATATTAGTTTTACTCGCATGAACCCCCCTAAACAGACCGGAGATGACACCTCTCACAAATATGGTCTCTATATTGGGTTGTCTTGTCTCTAATCTCCTTTTGGTACCTTGCTGATCATGGACCTTGTGGCTTTCGTTAGAAAAGCCACCAAGGGCTAGTCCATGGCCTTGCAGGTCTGTTCCTGTCTAGCCCTTGGCTCACCCCACGATGCCCCTCGGTGATTACTTTTACAGAAAACTACATAAGGGACATGGATTTCAGCCCAGACTCCTTTTCTCATCCTCATCCACTCATCAGTCAAGGACAGTCACTCTTTCGTGTTCTCTCTCTCGCTCACTTTCTTCTTTCGGGGCCTGCTCCAGACATTCTTTCAACGTTCACCAAATCCGACAATCTCTTCCAGTTTCTTGGATTTAAGTCTTTCGAGCTTCAGTCAAGTACTCCATTAATAATTTGCAAAATGCCTTCCACCACTTTCCGTCTCTCTTCGGCTCTGTGCCTCTTCCTGGCCGTTGGACCCGCCACTATTCTTGCTGCTCCTCCTCAGATGGTAAGTTACCGAACCACATGGCTCACTATCTGCCTTGCATATTGAACCGACCGGACTAACACAGCAACAATAGAAAGAGGTTCCTGCGGGTTCTCTTGGTCTGCGTGACGATAAGGATGCTGGTACTGGCTACGCCGTTGGTACCCCCGGTGGACCCGGCGCTATCTATGGCGCTGGTGTTCACGATGACACTGACCCTGTGACTGGTACCGTCGAGAAGGCCGCCGGTGCTGGCTATGCTGTTGGTATCCCTGATGGTCCTAGCGCTGTTTACGGTGCCGGTGTCCACTCCGAGGACAACCCTACCACCGGCGACAGCGAGCACGATGCTGGTGCTGGATACCGCGTTGGCATCCCCGGCGGCCCTGCTGCTGAATACGGTGCTGGTGTCCACTCCGAGCACAGCACTGCTTGCGGATCTCCCACCTTTGAGCATGACGCTGGCGCTGGCTTCAACGTCGGTATTCCAGGTGGTCCCGATGTTAACTACGGCGCTGGTGTCCACTTTGAGCACGGTGTCAACCCGTGTGTCGAGCCAGTTTTCAGCGAAGTAGTGCCTCCTTCTGGCGCCGCCACTGAGCCTGTTCCTGTTCCTGAGACCACGCCTGTCCAGGCTACTGTGCCTGCTGCTACTCAGCCCGCTCCTGAGTCCGTTCCCGAGCCCAGCATCACATCTACCTACCTCCCAAGCATGGTTGCTTCTACCTACACCACTCCCATCGTCATCCCCACCATGACCACTGTGCCTGCCTACGTTCCTCCCGCGGTTGCCCCTGTTCACTCAACTCCTTTGATCCACCCTGCCGCCCCATCCACTACTCCATCTTCGGTTCCAGTTTACAACGCTGGTTCCGCCATGGTCCCAAGCTCACTCATGGCTCTGGCTCTCCCCATCATGTTGGGCATCTTCTACTAGTGGATTTACGATTCGATCAACAAAAGGTCTCTCCTACTTGCTTGAACAGCTATTTCCCTTTACCGCGTGAACGATCTGTATCTCTATCCGCATTGTGAATTTTTGATGGATGTACTTTACTGTGACTTGACACTCTTTCTATTTCTTTCGATTCCATGTCTACTCTTACCTGCTTATTTATTGGTTGCCGCCTTGATCGCGACCCATTACTCAGATACTTGTATCTTGCCTGACATATGAGAGCCATGCCATCTTCTTTTACCTTGACTGTTTGAATTTTTGGGATTGGGATTCCGTTGGAGTCGGGCGTGCCTAGCACATTCGACAGTGTTTTTACTTTATTTTCATAGTCCCGTTGATAATATTGCATGTGTGCATGAATACATTCTTATTCCGTTAAAAAGTCTGAACTTGGAGCTACTAGTAGCGACTAGTTCCTTGGTAAACCTCAACTTTCATCCATAAGTAGTTTTTCTTTTCTTGTATGATTGACCATCCGTTGACTCCACACAACATTGAATGTGCACTGTCATATCTTAGTGGAGACGATGATCATTCGGCCTTAACCGGATTTCTGAGTGATCCAGGGCCCTAAAAAGAAAGAAAGGGGCGTATGCTTTGATTTGAAATGTTTGGAGAATAATATGATTGATCACCCGAAGAAACAAACTCCAATGTATTGAGAAAAAGAAAACAAAAACTATCCAGTTTACCACCGAAAAAAGCAAAATACATACAATCCAAGGGTTGAACCAATCATCAGGCTGCTATCAAGGTCCATAGCAGTCTTAACGCATTATTGATCTGATACGTAGCTAATATAAGGAAATAGTTTGTGGTGCCCGCAGCAAATAAACGCCAAATTCAAGTCATGTCATGCATATCTCGTATCAGGGAAGTGGCAATTCCCATTTCCGCCCAGAACAAGGAAAATGGCTCTTGATTCATATTGTATTCGGAATACTCCGATCGTCCAGTCCAGAGTTCTCCGGAATACTCAGTAGTTCAGCCAGATTCCCGAATAGAGCCTGGGTCCGGATGAAGTTGAAACCCATGGATCATTCGAAGCCACTTCAGCATCCATCAATTATACTCCCATTGTAAAATCGTGTTCAATACCCGGTGTAACACTGGCAATGAACTTCAGGAATACAACCAAGTACTGGTCCACGCGGATAGCAACCTGTTCCTCCTCGTCATGCTGAAGAACCTCCCACTCATCTCCACCAGGTTGGTGCTGCTGGTTTTCGCCGAGAGATAGAGCCTTCGTATCGTCAACTAAACCTGCAAGTCCGCTTCCACCTGCCTGTAGGACTCGGTTCGCCTCTTCCCGGGACTGCGTTTGCTTGAGCTTCTCGCGGTGCAGTTTGAGTGCAGCATCAGCCCGGTCGAGGAGGGTTTTCATCACAGAGGCGTGTCGGCAAGGGTGTACAGTGGCCATCTTCACACTACCATCGAACCAAGGGAAGTCTTCCAGTGTGACTGTCTTGTCTTTGTAGTCGCCGACGATATCCTCCATCATCAGGTGTGGCGGAAGTGGCTCCGACGGAGAGAGATATCCTGAAAGGTAAAGACGAGGTGTGCGGTAGAAGTTCGAGTAGGTTATGTATAAAGTATAAGTGCGTAGCGGTCTGGAAATGATACAGGGTCAGCAAACAAACAAGTAAGAGAACAATGAGAGAACCTAAACTGAGAAGAGTAAAACTAACTGTGTTGTCTCTGACTGTCCCGCCGGCTCACGAATGATAGCCTCCTCATCGTCATCGTCATCCTCCATATCAGGAATCTCATCCTCGTCTTCCTGTTCTCCAAGGTTCCCGGATTCATCCACAGTCCTCACATCTCGAATCCGCGCCTCTTGTTCACTTCGATCCGCTCCACCCCCAGTGCGCAACCACCCGTCATCTCCCTCATCTCCCGCAGGTCCCTCTGCACCTTCTCCAGAGAGCATATCTCTCACGATCTCATCTTCATGTCCCGCATCGCCCGCGAAGTTGTCATTCAGCCGTCGGTGACAAGGGACACCGCGCGTAACAAGGAACTGCTTTCCTGCAGGGAGGTAAGAGACGCGCTTCGCGGGGCTGGAAGCATCAGCCCAGGCCCATGTGGGAAACTTGTAGACCAGGTAGTCGCCGGCCAAGACGAACTCCTCGGGAGTGATTTGACCAGTAGAGCGAAAAGTTGAGGTGCGGGAAACGGGGGCGAGGCGGTCTCGCCAGGTTGATAGCGTTGAGTGTAGAATATTCATGTTGTTTGTTTCTTTCCAAGCGATCTCTTGGTTCTATGAGGTGAAAGAGGTAAGTTTGAGCGGGGAGATTGGGGTTGGCCTTATAAGCGGTGGAGCACATGATCGGCCCCGCGTGAGCTCATCGCTATCGATATCGGGTCCAATGTATGGGTTTCTTGCTTTCACCTGATTCAAATGGTTATAGATGGCGGTTCATTGGTATGATTAGTATCTATTACCTGATATTGTGACATTTTTCTATGGAAATTCCATCCAGGTGGTTTTAGAGACTATAATCTTGTTCATACTAAATGGAAGACGTGCATATAAAGTAAAGGATTTGATTGGATTAAATGATATAACCTTGGGAGCCTCTCTATACATGTCCGCATTAGACTATTGGATCTGATGATCTGATGAAATTTTCAGGAACGAAATCATCAGCTGTGTCATGAAATACTAGAGATAGTCTGTGTTAATTTGTCACCTGGTGCCTTGAGAGCATCGTCATAGATCCCCTCTAACCCAGGCGCAACAAGAAAACCAAACCTCAAAAATCAAGCTAGCCTCTTTGGCTCGTTTTAGAGGATTTGCGTAATTTCAGGCCAGATGAGACTGGAATGTGTAGACCCAAGTCTCACGGAGGCACTAGATATGATCCAGCTGCACATCGTATACACGGTATGAGGACGGGGATCTGAAAAGTCAAGATCAAAATGTCTTAGTTGAGAAATAATGATTCGCTTGCAGTTCATTCGCCTTCAACCATCATACGGCGTCGCTCGATTTCAGAATCGAGGTCGTCGACTACCAGAGGGATGGTCTTGTTTTTCCACTGCTCCATCTCCCTCCGCATAAAGCCCTCGAGACTTCTCATGCCCACGACCAGGAATCCAAGCTCTTCTCGATCCACATCAAAGACTTCCCACCAGTTACCATCCACCAGCTTTATCCCTTCTTCGCGTGCTGCAAGGTATATCGCTGCCACGGCGAGCGCATTTGGTTGATGTGTTACGTAAAGTAGCTGAGGTGACAGAAGTGCCGCATTAAGATGTTCCACTACACGGCGGGCAACAGCCGGTCTTGTCGCACCGAGGGTTTGTAGATATGTAAGAGCGATAGTGTGAGGAAGTGCGACATGTGTATCGAAACCGAGGATTCGTAGGATGACGGACTCGATGCGTAAGAGGGTAAGTCGCGCGAATTGGTATTCCCCCTCAGTGAGAAGATAGCTCTCCATAGCTGGAGCCTCGTCGGGGGCTCCTTTCGGGTTCACAAACCATAATGGCGAAGTATCTGAGGAGCATAGAAGAGTATATACATTAAGTACCGAACGTGGGGATGTGGGTTGAAACGAGAGTTTGGCTGTCATGTAAAGTGCGGCAGCTGAAACATCCTGGATAGGGTCGAAGGACCAACGTTAGAAGTGGAAACTTGGGAAGCAGATCTTCTGAGAGCGCTTGCGTACCTTGGTCGAGTAGATTCGTAAGCTTCCTCCATCTGCTCCCAACCAAAATCGAGTAAAAATAACAATAGCTTGGCTGATATTATCCTGCGATAGACCCAGTAAAACGCCAGCAGTCTGGGTCAGCTGGGCCCCAGCGACACGGATCGACGTTTCAAGATCAGAGGGCACGCCATCGATCGACGAGGAAGAATTTGAAAGTTGATCCGGAGTGGCGAGAGCATTGGATAGCTGTTTTAGTCCGGTAGCTGTCATGATGTTGAGGCATGTGCAAGGTGCAGGGATCGGAGAACGTGGGGAGTACGAGATGCAGCGGAATAAGGAACAACGTTTCTGCTCAAAGCTGTACTGTAAATCTGTAAATCCTTTAGGGCTGGAATAACCTCTTTTTTCGTCAATGTTCTTGTCGTGTTCTATTTTTTCGAACTTCGTCACCAGTGGATAACCCCTCGACGAATCCAGAATGGAAGATCTCGGTGGATCCACGGAGCTTCTCAGCCACCACTATTTCTCTTTGTGTATCTACTTCCCCAGCCTCTTGTGTTTATTTCGTTGTTTCATGAGAGGGATAGGTTTTTTTTCACCTATTGTGAAACATCCTAATTTCTCTCATCTCATCTTTCTTCCTTGAAACTAGTTGCATTAGGGTCATTTTCTTGAGATCCTCCCCCCTTTTAGCAGCCTAACACCATCTAAACCGCTTTAAACAACAGCCTTGGACACTTTTGCATATCTCCACTTAGGTCACACACCCACCGCCACGCCCAGATTCGACGTGGCACTCGATTGATTCGCTGATTTTGCTGTGTGGACTGTCACCATGTCTACCGATCACTCTACCCCCACCGCCCTGCATTCCGAGGTCTCCCAGGGGCATGACATCGTTGCGCCCCCATCAATCCCTGGAATCCCTCGAAGGTCATATCCCAGTGTGCCGTCACATCGTCGAGCAAACACTGAGTATATCGCTCGTCCCCCTATTTTCGAGGAAGACGAGGACTTGAAACGAGTTCAAAACAACACGGCCCCATCGTGGACCGGTACATTCCCCAAAAAGAAGCTCGAGGCACGAGCCCGTATATTATCAGATTGGTTCCAAGGAAAATCAGAACCGGTTGACTTGGGAATCAAGATGCCCCCTAACGGCGAATCCGACGTGGCGTCCATGGATACTCCACGACTTACCACCATGTCACATTCTCGCAAAGGCTCAACAACAAACGCGGGCCGATTTACCACACTCTTCGGCTTGCGACGACAGGCAGAACAAAAACCCGTACCCCCCAGCGCCCGCAGATGACGAGTTCCTAAACCTCGATATTGCTGCAGCACTATATACCCCGGCCGATGCCACTCATGACGAAGCCCTCGATTTCATCCGCGAACAAGCCAGCGATGTACTGCAACGTATGCAGGAGGCTTATAAACAAAGGACTTTTATCATGCACCAAGCCCTGGCCGACCGAAACGAGAGACTGGAGGAGCTGGGGGAGACTCGGGCGCGGGTGGATCATCTGAAGTCGCAACTCGACGGTATGGCTGAAAAGGTTCTCAGCCAAGAAAAAGCCATGCAGGCCATGGCAGCGGAGTTGGAACAGGAACGCCGTATGCGCCAACGGGAAGAGAACCGGAGTCGTAGTCGTACGATGCGTATGGTTCCTGCCGAAGATGAAATCCCATCTCTGGCATTGCAAACACCTCACCGGGGAGCTAAACGTGCTAGTCACGGTACATTCACCAGTGATTCCGGCTTCGAGTCTGGAGATGAGAGCATCGCCGAAAGTGTCTTTTCCCACCGGGAAGGCGTTGAGTCACCAACCTCCACATTGACTGCACCATCACCAAACCTGTCCCAGGTTGCCTTGGCTGCCCCGACCGTTAATCCTACCCTTACCCCCACCATTCAAAAGAACCTCATTGCGGCCACCGGTACACCGACGCCGAAGGGTCCCTCTGCCTACGACCGAGTCATGAAGGGAATTGCCTCTACACGTCTGGGTAGCTCATTTGTCGGGAATCCCAATCTCAACTCCAACCAGTGTAACAACTGCCACGGCATCCCATCCCATGAAGCCTGGAGTGTCATGGGTGTCTTGAAGGATGAGAATCGTGGCCTCAAGACCCGTGTTGGAGAGCTTGAGCTTGTCATTGATGACTGTCTTGGTCTTGTTGGCCCTTGAGGGATATAAAAACCCACTTGGCACGGATATTACGAGTATACTGGATTGATCTATGGAAGCCCCTTGAGCTCTCAGCCCGTCTTGGAAAGACCTGGTGTTTATATAGAAGAGCAGGGCGTATTTTGTATTATTTCTTTGTTTTTTTCTTTGGGAAATTTCTGCTACCTTGATACCACCTACAGGTAGGATCATCTTGGAATTAACTTCATTGCAACATTGGATGATATTGATATTTCATTACTCATGGCATCATAGTGTAGACCCTGTACTGATTGGGAATAGTGTGGGGATTAGCTCGGTCCTGAACACTGGGGTACACGAAGTACAAGACTCTTACTACTCTGCCAGTGGGAATATAAGTAAAAGAACTTGTAAGATGTAATCAAGGAATATGAATAGTATAGAAGATTGACCTAGTCAGTTCTTATATACCTAAACATGTGGTGTTGAGTCAGAATTGACATAGTGTTTTAGTGTTGGGGTTGATTGCGGCGAAGACCAAGTGGCCTTAATTAGCGCGAAGCGAAAAAGTGGCCAGCGAACCTCTTCGCTCTTCCTCCCTCACCCCCCATCTCTCCCCGACCTTCCTTCTTCTCTTCCCCCATTCCCCTTTTCCTTTTCTTTTTCTTTTTCTTTTTTTTGTTTTTTGAAACATCCTCTCTCCGTTCCTTCTGCTGGTTTCAATTCCAGCTTCTTTTATTTCTTTTAAAGACGGATTGGGTGGAAGACAGTCACGATGAGCGGCCGTAAGTCCCCCCCGGTTCAACCCCGGCACGCGATCCTCATCGGATCTCATTAAACATCTTCAACGAATACAGAAATGCTAATACTTTGTCAAAGTTCGCTTCCTTGACCTGATCAAGCCCTTTACGCCCCTCCTCCCGGAGGTGGCAGCTCCTGAGACCAAGGTGCCCTTCAACCAGAAGTTGATGTGGACAGGTGTATGTGACCCAATTCAACCCATACGTGCGGAAAAGACGTGTCTTCTAACTGCCGCTGGTATCTAGTTGACTCTCCTGATCTTCTTGGTCATGAGCCAGATGCCTCTGTACGGTATTGTGTCCTCTGATACCTCCGACCCCCTGTACTGGCTGCGTATGATGCTGGCCAGTAACCGTGGTACTCTGATGGAATTGGGTATCACCCCCATCATCTCCTCCGGCATGGTCTTCCAGGTATGCGACTTCAGATCAATTGATATAATGCGACAAAGGTTTAGAAGAAATTGATCTAACCAGCTTTGCGCCCCTTTAGCTCCTTGCCGGTACCCACCTCATCGATGTCAACCTTGACCTTAAGACCGACCGCGAGCTGTACCAGACCGCTCAGAAGCTCTTCGCTATCATCCTCTCCTTCGGCCAGGCCTGTGTCTATGTCCTGACTGGTCTCTACGGCCAGCCCAGCGACCTGGGTGCCGGTATCTGTGTTCTTCTGATCGTCCAGCTGGTTGTTGCCGGTCTGGTTGTCATTCTGCTGGATGAGCTTCTCCAGAAGGGTTACGGTCTGGGCAGCGGTATCTCCCTCTTCATTGCCACCAACATCTGCGAGTCCATTGTCTGGAAGGCTTTCTCCCCTACCACCATCAACACTGGCCGTGGTCCCGAGTTCGAGGGTGCCATTATTGCTCTGTTCCACCTGCTCCTCACCTGGCCCGACAAGCAGCGCGCCCTGTACGAGGCTTTCTACCGCCAGAACCTGCCTAACGTCATGAACCTTCTGGCTACTCTCCTCGTCTTCGCCGCCGTTATCTACCTGCAGGGCTTCCGTGTTGAGATCCCCGTCAAGTCCTCCCGCCAGCGTGGTATGCGCGGATCCTACCCCGTCCGTCTCTTCTACACCTCCAACATGCCCATCATGTTGCAGTCTGCCCTGTGCTCCAACATCTTCCTGATCAGCCAGATGCTGTACTCCCGCTTCTCCGACAACCTCCTCGTTCAGCTTCTCGGAGTCTGGGAGCCCCGTGAGGGCTCTGCCCAGCTGTACGCCGCCTCCGGTATTGCCTACTACATGTCTCCTCCTTTGAACTTCAAGGAGGCTCTCCTCGACCCCATTCACACCGCTGTTTACATTGCTTTCATGCTGGTTGCCTGTGCTCTCTTCTCCAAGACCTGGATTGAGGTCTCTGGCTCCGCTCCTCGTGATGTTGCCAAGCAGCTCAAGGACCAGGGTCTTGTCATGTCCGGCCACCGTGAGCAGAGCATGTACAAGGAGCTGAAGCGTGTTATCCCCACCGCTGCCGCCTTTGGTGGTGCCTGCATTGGTGCTCTGTCCGTCGCCTCTGACCTTCTCGGTGCCCTTGGCAGCGGAACTGGTATCCTGCTTGCTGTGACGTAAGTTTATCCCGATAAATTACTGATTCCAACTCAGCTAACATGACTTTCTTAGCATCATCTACGGTTACTTCGAGATTGCCGCCCGTGAGGGTGACATTGGCGCTGGCCTGAAGGGCCTCGTCCCCGGCGCCTAGTCGGATTTCTTCATGAGCAGTATGGACGATTGACTACTTGTTAGTCTTTTCGGATGTTTCTGTTTATTTCTTTTTTTTCTCCCGTTGTCTTTTTAATCGCCCTCTGTTTTCTATACTATCTTTGGGGAGATGAATTGGTGTGCGGTTCATCGCGAGACTGGTAGCCTGGTCTTGAAAGGCCCGGTTCAGATGTCCAGTTGAGGAACGAGTTCTATTTATAACGCCAGACTTGTTGGACAAAGACGAGCACAAGATGAGGCATCGGTTCCAGAATGCCCCTGCGGACAGTTGAAAGCGCCCTGCTTAGGGTCCTGTAACCATATTTTACCAATTAAAAAATCTAACCAAGTTATGTTGTGCTCCTGCATTCTATCTTACTGCACATGTGTAGCCTCAAGTCACTGCAAATTTCCAGATACCCCGATATTTCCCACTGATACCTTGCTATGAATGCGACTTTTCGGTTCAAGTTGATGTCCAAGTCAAAAGCACTCAATGAGACGAAGTCGTCTTATTTATACAACTGGCAGTAGTATCAGATAACGACCACTAGAAACGAAGCCTGCTATCATGATCCACTCGGGCTGCTCTTCTCTAATTCCACCAACTGAACAGCACTTGAGAGTATAGGTCGAGTCAGTTCTGCAGTTCTAGCAAACTAGGAGAACCGAGACAGGAGACAAGAGAGGTAAGAGATACCGATGATTGATTCGAAACTGAATCCCAGTCTGCTTCATTACAACCTTGGAATCTGCAATTACTGAGGCTGCCAATGTCTACAATAAAGAGAAGTGCAGCTGCTATCTACTCGGTTTACAGTATACCTTGAATTTGATATTCCCGGAGTGAGCAGCCTTCATATTTTTGAATATCGCTGTAAGATGTTATCACCTTGAAGGTCACTGACTGACTTCTTCAATCATAGCCTCATGTTATTGTTGTGCTACTGCCCAGTAGGTAGTATTCAGCTTGGAAGTTGGAGTTTCATCAGCTCAAGCTATCGAATTCAAGTTTGTTTCATCAACATCTTTCCTGAAATCAAACTTGAAGGTTTCTTTTATGCATTCCTTGCTCGTGATAAATTTTCTTTTGAAAAATTTGATGGTTACCTGTTTGATATCTACCAACATCGCTTGTCTCTCTTGTCTACCCTTTCCTTATGAGGCTATCTCTAGCTTTTCTTTTTCTCTTCCACTTTCTTTCAACCGAAGCCATCATGAAAACCGGGCTTAGGGCCTGCGATGGTCACTCATGGTTCCAGTGAGCACTATTGTACTACTCCCCGTCCTGGTCATCATTGACACATACTTTCACAGTCTTCCAGTCTAGTGCCAACGCCTATACTTCACCCTGCGGTTCCCCTCCACGATACTACCCTTCTGGAACCACCAGTTGACCGAACTGACCTTATCATACGGTGCAGACTTTGACTGGAGCGAAAAAGTCGAAGAAAGCATCCAGATTACTCAGGATAGTCAAATGTCCCAGGTGACAGAATATCATGAAAACGATCGATCCGAGTACACCTACTCGAACTCCGTAAGAGACTGATCATGGCCTATTCAACCGAGAAATGCGAAATTCCTCTGGACTTAAGGTATCTATATCAAATTCTCTATTGGAGTCTTTCGGAATCTCACAGCCACCTCCTAATCGCATCTCTATCCACCTCGCTTGCTTTGCTTCTCATCTATTCTATCTCTCATGGCTCACACACATTCTCTTCTTACTTCAACCAATACTATATCCAACACCACAACACGTTCCTCTCATCTGAAAAATGCCAAGATTGTCGCGATATTTGAGAAAGGTGGCTAGTCTCACCGATTCTGACCTCGTTTCTAGAGGGACCCGAGGTCAAGTGTGATTGAAGTCAAAGCAAGAAAGAATTTCGAAAGTCACACGGCAGCTCTATATTGATTTCTCGAGTGGATGGATGTCTCGTGAATATGCGAACTCATGTTCACTATGTTACCATTCCAGCAGTTTAATGTGAGTGATCCTCCTACTAGTAGTAATATAATTTCTCAGCAGCGACCACTAACTATATACTCTTAGCCAAGACAAACCCCAAGGCCCAGATTATGCCTCCCTGCAGTGGAAGACTGATCGCGAATTACGGGGAAATGAACGACAACGGGAAGAGGAACTAGGTGCATCTAGGTCACCCTTGAACCACGATGAAGAGCAGAAAATCAGAGGGAGAGAGGGGAAAGTTTGAACACATCAAGAACAGCACGGGCGCTTTACACCTGCTCCTCTGCCCAACGAAGGGTTTGAGATCAAGGCCCGGCGAGGAAATTCATACGAATTACCTAGTAGGTTTGCGGAGGCAAGCCAAAATCTACACGAAAGAGAGGACTACTGAAGTCCACCCGTGGTTTAGAGCAATTTTCTTCTACGGAGAGTTGCTACGCTCAAGTTCTTTTGCGTTCCGTTTATACGGACTTGGTGAAAGCCTGCGGTCATCTGCCGTGGAAAGAAGCATTGGGTCCCAATATACGGCCGGTACTTCGCACTAAGTGGCTGGAACACTGACTTCGATAGCAGTTACTTGCAGTCTTGGCTGTTCAATCTCAAAGCACCTTGCAAAGGAACCTCCGATCACTTCCTGTGGCTCGGGCTTGTAATGCCCTTCTAAGAAGCTGCTACATGACGCTGTGGTCTATGATTTCAGCGAGCTCACATCAAAGCAACAGGACTATTTCCGCTGGCCAGCCGACCGAATGGACCACTTGTTTTATTCCGTTCAGTTCAGTGGTCTGGTCGCACCTCGATTCCGCAGTCACTGCCCTTAGTTCTAGACAGGAACTCATCTTTATCTGCAAGGTACCCGGACCATGCGGACAAACGGGCCTATTCTGCGTGTTGGACCCCATTTACATTCTGGAATACTCTCGTGGGAGATGATTGATCGGCGACAAAGGGTACCCTCGCCATTTGAACCAAGAAGGCGCTCTTTTTGCAACCTATCACCATCCCCACGGACACTGAGATAATTTCACTACCACCTATGAAGGATGTGATTTTATCCTTCCTTGGGGTTTTGACTACACGATAGGCAACTGCTTGTCTCTATCTTTGACTATGGCGACGAAAAACATTTATCTGAGAAGTAGCAGGCCTGACTACAGAGTATGGTATTGAGACGTCCAAAAAACTGCGGTTGATTTCAATATTTTGAAAGAAAAGAGGGAAGAGGTAGGTCTCTTATTCTCACTGGAGATAGGGACAACTTGTCAACCACAGACGTTCAAGCAAGAGACAAGGAGATTTCCCATTCTGAACCTTTACCTTTGCTTCCTAATTGCCTTCCTTGCGATTGGAAGTTTCTTCCTTATTTACAACGTTCCAGATCTCGGCATTGCCAGATTGACTATTATGTCCCAGCGCTGATGCCGGCGCCATGTTTTTAAAAGCTCCCGAGGTCCTATTATTATACGGGGTTCTGAGTCGTCCAGCATTACCTAGAAGCCCCGACTCGGCCAGCCAGACCGAATGCTTGTCTGGACTTTTTTCACCATTAGCTTTGCCCTCGATCGGGTAAGCATCTCCCAGGAGAAACGAGCGAAAAGAATGCCAAATGGACGCAAATCACGGAACATATCACCAACTCCCATAATATCAACCTGCTGCAAGTAAACGATAATGTCAACTCTGATGATATCGTCTCGTATGAATTCGGCGTGGAGTCAATGCCACCTGATCCTGCACCGTTCGGACAATTCTTTGGAAAGCATCCAGACAAGCCATTCGCGGAGAGCGGCTCAGAAGATGACATCGTGCCAATAAAAGATCGACCAACTGTTTCCAAGGCGCGTGGGCGCGTCGTATTCATGCACTGAGCTGAATACAATGCATCTCTCGGATATGCATACATCGATGAATGTGATCGTAATACCATTCCCAATACCGATTGTAACCTGTCCTTGCTGCGATGTTCGAACCGACTACTTTTTCGTGACTGGGTACCAACGGTTTTAGTTAGTCACAAGCCTGGAATTCCTCAGTGGCTGGCTGGACTGTATCCTAGACTGAAAATTGGAATCATCTTTGCGTCTCTCACTGATTTTACCGTAGCACAGTATAACAGTAAGGTCTCGTGGGTCCTAGAAACAGGATATCCGACTCTTAGTATAGGATTTAAACTATTGATCATAATTTGGGATGTTTTAGGTGCTGATCAAGTGAATAAATTCAAGTTTCTCTATCACGACCTCGGAATTAGTTACTCTGTATAGAGATAAAATTGTCATAACAAGCCACATGCAGGAAAACAACTTGAAACACTCGACTCCAGTCGCTTAATATCGAATCATCATTCCAAATAAGCAAAAACCAACTAGTAATATCTGTTGCAAGGGGGGGTTCCCGGTCGAATAGACCACACGTCATGCTGCAGCAACTCCACCTCTTAGCAACAAGAGCCACCCACCACCATTCAACTTCAAACGAAGATTTAACCGAGCACTGACACACTGAATCCGGCTGAAGAATCAGGCAAATCAATCTGCAAATGAAGCTCCAGATCAACCAATGATCACATAAAACTCCAGCATAATACTCAAGCCCAAGAGAATCACTTAACACTTCCCATGACGTGACATCTCCGCAACATCATCACGCACGACCCCATCAAACACAGAAGACTTCTTCAATCTCCAAGAAACCTCCGGGGCGCGCCGTTCCGGCGAGCTACTCCTCCAAATTAACTGTTTCGCCTCCTCAACAAGTCTATGTTGACCATCCGGCAACGGATAAAACGTAACATGCAACGACCCCGCAAACTTCCTAGCAAGATGCAGTACACCCCTCGCCGCTAACTCTCTTCCCCCAACTTCAATAGGAGGATAATAGAAGCGTGGATCAAAATAAAACAATAAATTCTTCCAACAAGGTAATCGCTGCACAAGCAATTCTCTCGCACGCTCGTACTGTTTTAATGTACGTTTCGGAATCCCAGGTTGCGTATGCACAAAGAGGTAAACCTCGAATCCAACGCTACGGATTCGGAGTCGCGCTGTAGGACTTAATGTATCGAGGAAATCACCGAGTCGGTCCAAATCGAATGAGTTGCGGAAGAAGAGTGTATGGTGTGAGTATAGATAGTCTTCTGCTTCGTCGTGGATTTGTCGCGATACTGAGAGTAGGTTCTTTGCTGTGCCGTCTTCGCCTACCCAGCTGGGACACATTGATAAGGCGCGGTAGCGGCCTCGAGCTGTGAAGACGTTGCCGCGGTCGTGCACTACTATTAAGGGTTTGTCGATATAGTCGTTTGGCACTGTGAGGGCGTATTGATAAATCTTTAGCCGGAGTTCTGGTGGGAGACGCATGAATTGTGACGCGGTTGGGAGCTTCGAGCTTCGTGGAGAGGCCATTGTAACTGATGCTCTTTTGAAGCCCGATATAAAGGTACTTGGCAGTTCTTGTTTCACCCGGTGGTGTTGTTGTGGTATTGTTGTGGTGTATAGAGCAAGTATCAATCTATGGATGTGTTGATTGATGTTTGATGCTTTAAACTGGCGGCTTGTGTTCAGGTTTGATGTCTAGGTCGTCACTCGAGGAAGAAGTAATCAAAACTTGAAACGCAGGTTTCGTTCGATGGAGTCCAACCGAATGAAACGTTGGATGATACCTGGCATCATGCCATCGGGTTATATAGGCCAGCATCTGATCGACACCTCTACGTAATGAGTCTGGGGGCGCCTAAGACTAGGTATTAGCTCCACATGAAGTTTTCGGATGAATGGGATTCAACTTAAGGCCAGATCGAGGCCACCCGCTCCATGTACTCAATAAGGGAATATGCAGGATTTTGAATTCGGCAGTCGATATCCTTCCAAACCGCCCCCACGGAACTAGCGATGGACCAACGGCGTTGATGGCGGAGAATAGTTCATTTGGTAGATCGAACTTTGGTCTTCGATGACTGGATTAGTTGAAATCTCCCTTGGAGATCGGGTACACTTCCAAGGTTGGGTTCAACATGCCTAGAGAGGGAGAATACTCCGGGCGAAGGATTTTTGATTCTCTTCACACCGAGTCGTCATATTTGATACCCCCTTCATTTCAACAAGTACAAAGATCGGCAATAATGCAGACTACTATACTCGTTGTGCTTAGTGCAGTTGTACAGTTATGCAGTTTATACTAGATATGGAGATACTACTTCTTAGTTGAGCATAGAACCTTTTCTAAGGTTTACTTGATGTTGATCAAGGTATGCAACTTGAAGTGATGGTTACACATCGACGTCAGTCCATCAATAATACAAAAGATCTGAGAGTCTAGTCTCAATATCCGGAAAAGGCTCGGCAGGATCATAATTAGAAGATGAACTGAAGAGCTGAGCAATCTCGGGGGCCAAGGAACCGGGAAACCGAGGTGGTTCGACCCGATGTCCATATATGGGACCACGAGTCCCGAGATACAAGACAAAGAACTATGGATCCATCTAAGCCTTGAAAGGTGTTTAGTTCGGAAAATCATCCTTAAACAGACAGATTTTCGGAATTTCTTTGTATGTACGGTCCAAAATAACGTATTCTCAAGTCTCCATCGCAGTGGAGCCTGGCCCACAGTAAGAAAGCTGAGAACCACGGGGCGAAACAAGCCGAGATAGCTATTTCGCCCCTATATGGAAAGAAATCCGAAACGCCTATGAGTGCCCAGATGTCATTCAGTAAATAATTATGGGTCTGCGTGCAGGTCGCCATATGGGTGGGGTGATTCCACCTTCACTTCTGTCTATAGATTCCGAGCGACCACGCAGCGCGGAGGAGCGCCAGGCCCCAGGCCATGCCGATACTGTCGCGTAGAACATTCAACTTACTTCCCTTGACCTCTCTCCATCCAACGGGTACTTCGGCCACAGGGATCTGAGCAAACTCAGCCAGCATGAGCATCTCGACATCGAAGATCCAGCCCTCGGAATGCATGTTCGGGATAATATAAGGTAGCGCCGCGCGAGAAAATAGCTTGAATCCACACTGTGTATCCTTGACGGTTGCAGTGCGAGGCGGAGTCATAAGCCAGAGGATTAAGTGGAACGAGTGCATCAGGAAGTTCCGCAATTTAGATCGCTATTTACCAGTTAGTACACCATCGCAGTAAATGAATCTCTTAGGTTTCTTGTAGCGAAGAGCCTCTAGAAGAGACAATATAGATCTCACCTTAACAACAGCCTCACTACCAACCATATGAGCTCGCGATCCAACCGCCACTCCACGTCCACTCGCATCTTCAATCCCCGAACAAGCCGTAACAAGTTTACCCAGATCCTCAAACTTACTCGCCCCATCCGCATCCGCGAAAACAACATACTTTCCACGAACATGTCGCATACCATGCGTCACTGCACCGCCCTTGCCACGATTATGCGTCAAGCTAACCACACGGATCGTACCAGGCGGGATATGCACACCCTCCTGTGCCTTCGGCGTCCAAGGTCCCGCATTACCCTTTGGATGTAACGAGAGTTGATGATCCTTCGCAAAGCGAAACGCGACCTCCTCAGTGCGATCCGTTGAGCCATCCGATACAAGTATGATTTCCCAGCCTCTGTCTGAGCCCGAGGCGTGACCGTTCGCCGAGCCATTAGGCTTGCGCTTGCGCGTTGAGCGGGTTTCTGTAACGTCCTGCTCGCTTCCCAGGGTACCGTACATGTGTTCTAGGTAGTTCACTGCTTCCTCGAGCATGCCAGAGAGACGGTCTTCTTCGTTGTAGGCTGGGACAACGACGGACATAAAGATTTCGCCCTCGTCAATACTGAGTTTCTCGGAGGGTTTCTGCTTGTCTAGCCAGCAGGGGAGGGGTTCGGGGGTCGTAATGGTGCCATCTTTCGCAAGGGTTCTATACTTCTTTTCTTCTGGGAGGGAGTCCCGGGGGATTGGGGCGACGAGGGATAGTAAGATGTAGAACTATGGTTAGAGGTGATATTAGCATGTTTGCCTTGCTCTCTTTCGTGGGGTGTCTAGTGTAGAGCAAATGGATTGGGTGCGCGCGCATCTGCGCGTTATCTCGAACTAGTGGGGGAGTTAACTCACCAGTACAAAGATTCCAATAGCAGTAGCGAGGAAAGCAACGAGTAATATAGTCGGAGGGACATCAGCCACAACCGTGACGCATTGGCGACAGACTTGAGTCCAGGAGTCCATGGTGGCGGAGAAGCTTAAAGAGCTTGAAGCCGGTGCGGAGAAGGGGGGAAATGCAAATTCGTGGGTTAAAATGGAAGAATTAATCCATGCAATGCCAATTCCAATTTAAATCATGGGAATATTCATGGCAAGATAAAGCACTTGAGCTCCAAACCTTGGAAGAATTGGAGAGGAGCTTGAAGTATGATAAAGATAATCGATAATCGCCAGCTTGGCCTTTTTATCGGGATTGACGCGCAATGCCAGTGGAACACCCTACCCGGTGGAGTACATAGACTCCACGTTTCCAGTGAGGATTTTCTGCAGTTTATGATTCGTCCTTATTAATTCCATGGTATTTAACTCCGTAAATATCTATCTCTAACTCCGATATTTACTAAGTATTCGAGACAGCGTTTATGGTGGGGGATTCATGAATTTCAGGGAATTAATGTCAACTTCCAAGTATTAAAATGTGTCCAGACTGTCTAGGTAAGTATTTTGATTCTACTCAAGTGCTTGTATCACTACATTCATGTTGAATTGGTAATAAGTAGTACTTATTACTACTAGTTAGTACTACGCAGTCATTCTAAGGCTTCAAGTTCTATGCAGAAAGTCCAAGTTAGTACTCCGTATATTCGAACCTTCGAATGAATCATACTAATTCAATCTCCAGTCAATTCAATGGAAGAACTTCGATGGTTTCAACGAAAGGACTTCGATCATGATGGTTCAACTTTGAATGTCCAAGGCAATTTCGAAAAATTTGGGAAGTTGAATCCATTTATATGATATTCCATGCATCCACTGGCTCGCCGGATAAGCTGACTATACACTATCCTCGCACTGTCAGTTTCTAGCTGCCAGGGTTCTGCACTATCTATTTCCATGTCCGACTTGATTCAATGACATCCAGGCCAAAGACAAGCTTCAAATAAACATCCAAGGGTATTGAGCGTTGAACTCCAATGGGTCCCGGTCCAGTCCAGGAAAAACAGAATAGAAAGACGAAATCCAAGTCATGTCATTCCTGTGGCTCGTGGTCTCATGGTATTTGGTTCTTCCAGGCTCCCTTGGTAGCGGGTTGCACGCAGTAAGAGATTCCAAGATCCGTGGATATCAGGCAGATCTGATCAACAGTCCTCTTGGGAAGTGGATTCAAGGTTCTCAGACCAGCCGGAGAGAACTTGAAGAATATAAGGTCCATTCCGGGGAATAAGGGGGTTCTTTCCAGAAGGAACTCCATCCATTGGGCCGTGTTTTTGGTTCCTTGTCTGAAACGATAATCTGTCGTAGTTTTTTGACTGATTCCACTCCAAGACTTGGTAAATTCAAATGGCAATAACACGAGAAAGTAAAATATTGTAGACACCTCCCAAGGAAACACTGTTACACCTCGAAGGTAAGAATTTCACTATCCCAAGATCTCCTGTATATCGTAGTGCTTGCCTTCACCACGTATGAGATCTCATCGGCGTGCGCGGCTATGAAACACGCTCAGCTCATGTCGCGGTCGAGGGTTGTAGGTACGCTCCTGTTGAGTCCTCCGCAAGTGGCCGCTACAGAAGAAAAGTCATATGCGAACTGTGTTGGTGCGAATCCCCCGTTGCGGGTGTATGTTATCCAGCGACCGATCTGTTTTCGTATTAGTGATGTGTCTGTGATGAGATGGGGAAATCCAATAGTTAAAGACTAGTGGGAGGTAGAGAAAGAACAAACCATCGCTATTCGTACACCCAACCAGAGGCATCGATTTTGTCTTTGTACTATTGTAGCCTCTTCCTCCACAGTAGGCCTGTTATCTTCTGATGAGGCATTGTCGAAAAACCCAGGTGGATGGTATTGTTGACTCCAAACTTGTCCACGAATGAAAAAATCTTCTGTGAGTTGCTGTCTGTCTTCGTCGAGGCGAATAGGAAATGATTCGTGCTCGATATGTGAGAAGTCTGTATCAGGTCGAAATAATCTGTTGAGATAGCTGGCAACTGGTAGCCACGGGATTATCGTCTCTAGTCGTTGCATGGCGGGAGGACTCAGAATTAAGCACCAGATAAACGCGAGGGAAGTATGAGCGCTCCAATCCATTGCCGGACTGCCATTTTGCTCAAGAAAGAAAGCAAGTGTATGAACTGCAAGATACGCTCCTTGAGAAGGAGCCTCTGAGATTAGATTTGATATGGCGGGTTGGCTGGAATCTGATGTTTCATTGTTTGGCGCTGAGCTAAAAGTCCATCCCAATGTCTCCATCGTCTTCGGATGACCATATTGCAATATTGACGCAAAGTTACTGGATACCAGGTAGATCCCTTCCTGCGGATTTCGATTCAGCCGAGGGAGTTCCCTTCGTAGAAATGATAGAAATCTCTTAGCCAAGATGATGAACTGCTCCTTGGAGCCTCCCGTGAATAGAATCCCGTGTGTAGCGATAAAGGCCGAGATCATTGGGTTTTGTCTGCGCTCCATTCCCTCTTTTCCCTTATTATTTGTGGGTTTGAAAAGAAGAGCGATACTCTCCTGGGCATTCTCAAATGGGATCACGCTAACCAAAGCCTTGGTATAGTGAAATAGCTGTCTCAATCCATCGGGTCGAGCTAACACCGCGAGGTGGTGCTGAATTCGCCCTTGTTCAGGAATGATAAGTGCATCTTGGTTATACCAGTATCGTGATATCCCTGCCCAAGTCTCCCGTTGTCCCATATCTGATTCTTCGATGGCCATACGGTACCGAGCGAGATCACCCAAGCACTCCATCCACGTTTCTTTGAATGCACCGACACTTTCCAAAAGCAATGATATCATTGAATACGAGACATATATGTAGCTCAGTAAAAAATCCATAGATTTGGGCAACTGCTGTCGCATGACTTCTAAGAATGAATGAATTCCGTGGCGCCACATTCGCGCAGGCATGTAGTATTGATCCGCGAGGCGTGTCAGCAAAGGAGTGGCTGATGGATGTTTTGAGGCGAGTAAAAAGTCATGGTGCTCATAGAGCAGAGTCCGGTGCAGAGAAATCATAGCAGCCCATTGTGGAGCTGTCAACTCAGTCTGTGATTTGGTTTGTTCCTCGTCGATATCTTTGCATTTTTGCTCAACTAGGGTGAGTCCCTTATATATGACTCGCACTTCGCTGATCAACTGTTCCTCGGTGATGATATTTGTTTCAAGCTGCTTGAACATTCCGCGATTCTCGACAATTTCCGGTACAGGACTGGATGAAAGCATCATGCTCCTTAGATCTGAAGGAGGGTTCGACATGTTTATATCCGGCGGCGCTTCTTGTATGGACACATCGCGATTGGATTGCATTTGGCCATTTTCTCCTTCTGCCTCATTTGCCGGTGCAGCTGTAGGAGCACTTGGATTTGAATGAAATCGTTTCAAGTCCGGACGAGTCATCTCCCAATCATGTCGTTGATCTTGTTCTCTTGCTAACCCAGCAAGTCCTGCATCCAATGGCCTTTGATTGATCATGCCACCCATAGACTGATGATAGGTTCGAACCTGTGGGTTCGATGATGCTGTCGATAACCGATTCCTTGAGATTTTAGGACTTCCTCTGAGTCGGAATCTCTCAGTACGTGTGGTACTAGTCCGAGAAGATCTGGCTCTTCGAACACCATTGTTGCTATGTGTCTCAAGAGTGCCTTCCTCGAACACGCCGGAATTAGGCCTACCATTCGATAATGGCGGGCTAGCCGACGGACGTAAGCGATTCGCCATTGATGACCGTGAGATTTCCTCTTCCGAGCGTACCCGCCCAATGTATTGCCTATTAACCGAGATTTAGGGATCAGATAACATTGGATTATGGGAAAAGTAAATTTGAAGTTTATTGTCAAAAAAACTTGAACTTGAACATACCTGGGTGGCTGACTATGCCCTTTCCAGGTCCTGGGATCTACACGGGTACTAGACAGTGCACCGTAATTGGAGCGTGTCTTTGTACGGAATCTTGAGTTTTCGCCCATAATCTGTTTCAAATACTGCACATGATCTGATCGATCGTTAGTTACCTAGATCGGGATCATTTGTAGTGGAACTTAAGTCGGGTGCATGTGGGGCCTTGGGAGGAGAAGCATTTCATGCAAAATAGGTCCACGGGTGTAAACTGGGGGTGTAGATGTGAAAATCACCCAAATGGGATAGAAATAACAAGAAACAGGAAAACGTACAGTTCCTTTTTTTCAACTTAGGAAATTCAAGTTAGGAAAATTAGGAAAATTATTGGGGCAAGATGGTGTCTTTTTGTAGGCTTAGACATGTTGGTTGCCTCGGGAGAGGGGTTGATATTTGAACACCCGGGTACTAGGGATAGAACAACTGAGTGTGACTGTGTGTGCCTTCAAATGTTAGTGGTTGCCTTGTTAACCCCCGGGCCGCAAGTTGTAGGCACACGCCCCAGGTGCCTGCAGCCTGATATGTACTTTGTATTTTTCATGTTCTATGAAATCTAGATTTCTTTTTTTTCCTTGAAAATTAAAATAAAATAAAATAAAAGATAAAATGTGGAGAGATTCCCGAGGTTTCCAACTGCAGTCTACTTATTCAGTGTTATTTGTCACGTCTACATGCGTGAAACATACCGGATATTAAAAGTCCACGCGCATGAGAATGGAGGCTGAAATGTCCACATATCAATGCCCATTAGACGCTTTGCCATACTATAGAAACTATAGTATAACCCAACATTGACAGTGCTTCCCAAATTTTCGTTCAAAATCACCAGTCAAAGGGCTTTGTTCAATGTTGGGTGTTTAGCGCATACCATTTATCAACTATAGCCCCTTAGGTGTCCCGGGAACCCTGGGAGTCATGCCATGCCCAAAGGGCCAACACTGAAACAAACACTCATTTATGACCTTCCAATGGCCGATTCTCTCTTAATTCCTATGGAGAATGAGGGATTTACACTGGAATATCAACTTATTTTTTTCTTTATTTTCTATTTTTTAATTATTTTCTTTTTCTTGCCCTTGCATACAAACTTCGCGACAGTCACCGCTATTAAGCCTTCTACACCGATATTTCCCAAGACAAGCACTAATCTGTCCTATGGATCCCAAAATCAACTCTAAAACAGAGAAATATCCCCGGTACAGGATCCAAACTATCCAATTGAGGAAATTCTTGGGTTCTACTATAGCTTTCCCCAGGTTTATCGGTCAAAGCAAAGTCCCAACGGGTGATGTTTGACTTGAATCCCGGAAGCTTTGTCCTGCAATCGGGCTTCAAGGCAGCGCCATTGGGTCTCTTTGCGTCTTGATTTTGAGCGCATTTCAGGTGGGGATTGACAGGCTATCTTTACCTGTCCGGTTCATGACTGTTTTAGTTGCTCAGCCTGATGGCCCTGGCCCCTCCAGGAATCAGGAATCGGGATAGTCTTGGGGGGGTAATTCAATGTGTGATCATGGGGCCTTTTCGATATCCAAAACATCGGGTAGAGCCTTGCAATTTACGGCCCACTTAGATGACCACATGGCATTGGGGTTGATTCAAAGGATGCTGAGGCTGCAGTGATGCAAGAACACGTCAACATGTCAATCAAATGTCTTGTTATTCGTACTTCTGGCTATCGGATGGAAGGCCTACATGGGAGTCGGGAGTTTTTATGCGGAACAAAACAAAGAGATCATCGCTCAAAATACCACTCGCTTGCAGTGACTAATAGATATTACCGAGCTAAGACTATTCGTATTCATTCCAGTGGGTCCATCGAAAACGCCAGAGTTGACATCCACTTATTCCATACTCGCTGTCACATCAGCCTCAGCGACACGCCACGCCCTGTCACAGAAGCCCTGTTACTGATCATCTTGAAAATCAGACAATATATCCCGGAGATATTAGCCATAACCTCGGACCTTTGGGATTCGACGACTCGGATTGCCAGGACTTTACACCATGTTTTACCGAACGCTTAATAGTCTCTAGTATTGGGCCGCCGAAGGACAAATACCCAAGCGATACGACTATTAGTTCCGGTTTATTCTCCAATCAATTTCCGCTGGACAAAGGTCACAGTCTTCCTTGAACACGGCATTTCTTAATCTGTCTAGCTACTCGAAGTACACGCATGTCCATGTCATCAATTGATGCTCCTGCCGGGATATTATCTTCTCTGCCCGGGTGAGGACACTATGTGATATGCTGCACGCCCTATGACCCTATGAGACAGGGACTCACAGGTGTCACAGCCTTGCCATCATTTGCGGGGTTCTGAGGGCTAAACGAATCCTGCTCTGTAAGAAAGGCAATAGCGCTTGATAATTTTAATACTCGTTGCCTAGGTATACCCCGTACTGTGTAGGCACTGGGGGGCTTATCAGATACAACAGCCCAAAGCCACAATGTTTGTCTAGACCGGGAACTAAGCCTCTAGGCCACGCACCTCATATCCAATTTCAAGTTGAACTTTCAAGTTTTGTTCTCAGGTTACGAACTTGTGATATAATATTGAAATCATATTGAAAATCAATGAGTATTGGATATTGACTTCGAGGCTCCTAGGTTATAAATCAAAAAGAAAACATAGAGCTCTGATCTACTAAATCGTATTTTCGTATACAAGTATTGTCAAGTGGATATAATATATGCCAGTGATCAAAATGCATACCACCATGAAAATCATGTAGTAACACACTGTCCCACGTAAGTATATGTATTATGTAGAGAAGCAATACTCCGTACCTCAAGCGTGAGTTCTCAACCTTGAAACTATCAGTGGTTCGCATTGACCTTTTCAGGCAACCTATTCCCGCCCGCACTTCTTATCTTGTTTGATCACAAAGGGGGTGACTGTAACTTTGTCGCAGGGGAACTTCAAACCTTGGAAGTCAAAGAGGGTGGTGAGAGCTAGCACTTGAGAGGTAAGGGCAGGGATAAAAGGAACCTGGCATCCGAGAGCATTCCATACCCTGCGGGGTAAGCAGCGTGCATCCGGTCTACTTCACCCGGGTGAGTGGGTAATGCAAACTGAGATCAGATGCTTCATCCAGCCCCTGGAGATTATTCATTTGAATGTTCTAAGGTTCTATTGGATATGATTTAATTAGGTTCAAGACTGAGCGATCCAATTATTTTAATCATTACAATGTATACTGCTATATACTCTTCTAAGATTAAGATGAGATATAAGGATTCAGGTTCTGACTGGGTGTTTTTATGTACTTATGACAATTTGAGGGTGAAATGATTCAGGATTAGTGTTAAACTTGGTTTTCACCCGGGTGTTTTTAGCTCAATTCGATTCCATTCTAGATGACCCAGGAGACGCAGCTAGTCCTCCTAGGTGCCTTAGCCTCATGCAGGTTTCTCGATCCAAGTCCTATTGGGTGGATCACAAGGGGCGCAGCTTATTTCCTTTCCTATTTGGTGCTTTGGCTTTCAGATTGATAAGTTGGCTTTTTTCTAGATTTATGATATATCGCTCATTCAAATGTTTACGGGTTTATGCATGGCGTGTACTCCTTGTACTAGCACTTGAGTGGAGAAGTGTACAAAGAGGGGAAATATTAACGACAGAACTATCATGGAAGACATTAAGATGCACATGGGCAAAGGCCCAAGCGCGAATTCAATGTTGAGTCTTCTAATATTAGATATTTAACACTGCTCAGGGGCCAGATGAGGTATCAACTACTAGGCAATACCCTGATAGCAGACAGACCTTCAAGTGATTTCAATGTCAGCATTTGAAGTTATACATGACTCAAACCCTGAATTATCAGGTTTCTCATACTAATGGGTTAACATCAGACCACATGTGCAGACCCGTGGACTGGATTTTGAACTCATTACCCGGGTTACGAGTATCACCTGAAGAATTCATGCATCACAGCCTGGATACTGGACTTCATAACCAAATCTAGGAATATGCAGGAAACAAACCAGAAACCAAACTTGCATCATGCGGAAAATAATGTATTGACATTATGCATCCGATCGAATAGAGATCGAGAGTAGATCCAATAACCAGAACACAGGGATATCCGTGTCCCCATATTCCCATCTCCCCGACGTCATAGATACAGACAGGCCCGAGCCAACTACCCACAAACCATTATCCATGTACTCTGTACTCTCTCAGGTAGTTTGAGAAGAAAAAAAGGAAAGTGAAAAAACCAAACCTTGAAAAGAAGGCAATCAAGGCGCAATCGCACTTTTCTGATCCAGTTCACCGCCTCAGATCATCAAACGGACCCATGCTATCTCTGCACCTTGCCGCGCGGTTGAAACCGAACCCGGGTGTACAGAGCCAAGGACCATTCCTCAAATTCACAGCCTGGATTACCAGTTCTACTACGAGTACCAAGACATATACATTCAAGGACAAGCGAGAAGCAAACATGATGTCGACATTTACGATCCCAGGATCATCATCCATACGTGTCAACACGGCGTCAGATATTTCCCAGGATGAATTACTTGCTTTCCCTGCCTTTAAAACTTGGATGTCGACACTGCAGCACTCCCTGGAGATGCAGAAACTCCCGTCCCATGAATTTCATGCAGACCCGTTCGTGCTTCGCCGGATTGATATTCAGGCGGTTGATCGGTTTGGGGGGAAGAGATTGGGATTCGTTAAAATGAGGGCTGATGTGTCGAATTCAAAAGGTGAAAGTTTGCCTGGCAGTATCTTTTTACGAGGAGGTAGTGTGGGAATGTTGGTAAGTGGGTTGATTCGTGCCACATGGTCATTTGATTCGTATTCTGCCAGAGTTCAAGTTCTCTATCCTAAATCCTGCGCTGGGTCTCGTACTATGCATAGTACGAGTATCTTTTCTTCTTCTCATATTATTTTTTTCTCGGTGTTCTTTACTAGTTCTTGTCACTAACTAAATTCCAGCTCATCCTCCAACCAGATGATTTACCTGCTGAGCAAGAAAATGGAAAATGGGCTATCCTAACCATCCAACCTCGTATCTCTGCTGGATCCTTGGCTTTTGCAGAAATTCCAGCAGGGATGTTAGATGACAGCGGGACCTTTGCGGGCGGTGCTGCCAAGGAAATTCAAGAAGAGACTGGGTTATCTGTACAGCAAAATGAGCTCATTGATATGACTGCCTTAGCTCTGCAGTCAGAGTCGGAGTCCGAAGAGAATGAGTCTCTTCAGAAGGCTGTTTACCCTTCTGCTGGGGGTAGCGATGAATTTATTCCTTTGTTTCTTTGCCAAAAGCGGATGCCGCGACATGAGATCGAAGCGCTTCAGGGTAAATTGACAGGAGAGAGGGATCATGGAGAGAAGATCACATTGAAGATTGTTCCGTTGGAGAATTTGTGGAAGGAGGGAATACGAGATGGGAAGACGTTAGCTGCGTGGGCACTTTACCAAGGACTGCAACAAGAAGGGAGGATTTAAGGCTGAAATTAAATTCTTATGAGCAAGGAGTATAATATCAGAGTAACATATTGAATTTTGGAGCATTTGCATTCTGCAGCATTTTATGATCGTCTTTGCATGGAAAAAGCAACGTTAAGTGTAGACGGGAATTGTTCCATCTGGACCAGTCAGATTTCAGTATTCACAAGCAGTGTAACCTGGGTTCTATGTCCATCATGTCTATCGCATGAGTTGCGGTCAGAGCTTCCATTTCTTCATCAATTCCATTCCTTCGGCCAGGGTGCCAACTCGAGCATCGATCGCATAGCCCTCCTTTTCCAATCGCTTGGTCTCTTCGAATAAGGAAGCCAGGGGAACTGAAAAGCACTCGATAAATTCATTGTCCTCAAGCTCTGGCTTCGGGTTCTGATTTTCAGGAAGGCTCATATCAACCCGGACATGGACCATATTGAGATTGGTGTTGCAAAACCCGGGATCTAAAGAATCAGTAAAAGTGCCATACAATATCCATCAATTGATCCTCTTCCCAATACATCAAACACTCAGAATAGAAAAACAAATTCTAAAACATACCGTTATACATTACCGGGCTTGTCTGCTCCGCTACACCGACATAGCCCGTTTCCTCTTTCAATTCGCGTACTGCGCACTGTTCCGGTGTTTCACCCGCATCGATAAGCCCAGCCGGGACCTCGATAACGACCTTGTCAATGGGAGGACGATATTGTTTCTGTAGGAGAAGTTCAGGCCCCGTCGGTTTGTTCAAAATAGTAACGATCCCCACGCCGTCGATCTCAGCATTGGCAGGGCGGGTCTATGAAAAGCCGCGTCAGTTAATATTGAACCTCTCGCCCACATAATAGGGGGGTCCACAAGTGGATGACAAGAGCCATGCCAGAACTCCGAACTCCTAATGAGAGACATTTCCCAGAGCTCTGGAACCAGTAACTTGTTTTGCAACAGGCAACCAGTCAAGGCCGTGCACGGTACATGATCATCCTGCAACTAGCTTCAAGCCCAACTTATGGGGTAAGCTTATGCTAGAGCATCTCTGCAAGTGTGACATCATGGATTCCCTCGCTGATACGGTGCAAAATCCCCGTGATCACCTGGGCAATACCAAGGCTGGAGGCAACTGATGTGATCCACGGATCCTCCGTGGGGTGAAACGCCCCAGTGGGTGTACTAGTAGGGGCGCTTCATGGCATGATGCAATGGCACCCAAAGTGAGGCATCTTACCTGCCGCTCTGCGGATTCCCACGTTCTCTGAACACCGAGCGGGTCGTTGTATGTTTGTTTCACCAATCGAATCCATCTTGCTTCAGCAGGATCCTAGATTTCGTATTTGGTTAGAATAATTGTTTCTCAGGCTATATGGAATTTAAAATTTTCTTTTCTTTTTCTAGGGTTCGTTGCCTTCAATTTGAGGGTGAAATGGGTATTTGAAGAGGATCAGGATGGGAAATAAGCAAACATACCAAAGGTCCCGTGGAGATGAGCTTAGAGTTAGCCTGGCTAGGCGTAGGCGACATGGTGGATTTGAAGTGTGTAAACTTGGTAGAGAAGAAGGTCACGGACGATGGATATAAATGAATTTGATTGCGTCAAATAGGTTTCTGGAAAATCACGGTCCAATAGTAATCAGGAGCCAATCTGAATGTTGACAGAATGGTGTGAAGAAGTGAAGAGAGATAGACACTGAGCTGGGCAGTGGGTTTAGCTTATCTTATCGGAGCTATGCCCGCATCAAACGATCTACACAAACCTTGGAAGGCACAGTGTACTCTGTACTCCATGGTCTTTGTCTTTTTAATTATCGGGAGTGTACGGGATAATGAGGAGCAATAATAATGCATGGATTCCAAGCTACATCTATCTCAAAGTATCATGGCTTATGGGGAACCTGTCTATCGCAAAGGTTGAAGAATGGCGTAGTAATGCAGGTGCAAGATACAAAGAACAGTCATGACAAGAAAAGACTGCGCAATGTTGGTCAGACATAGAATCAAGCACAAGTCTTTCCAAAGACTTGCCAGTGATCAGAGGTGTGCAAAAAAAGTGGCCTCAACCAGGTATCCAGGGAACGAGGACGAATACCGATACAGAGCTCCGAAAAAATCAAACGCTTTGCTGTCATGAAATCGTGCAAGTGTGAAAGATTTATGGTAAAGCTTTCACAGGCTGGACTGGTTGGAATCCTTGGGCGGGAGGGATTCGATGTACTTCATGCAACTCTCAAACTCAGTCCAGTCCTTCATAATGATGTGTACACCAAGCTCCGTTAAACGCTGGCTCATCTCCTCCTGCATTTCAGCACCATTATAGCTGCCAACATATCCGATGGTCCAGATACCGGCACGAATCGCAGCAAGGGCACCAGACTTGCTGTCCTCTACAGCAACGGTTTCGCCGGCAGTCTTTTTCACGTAGTTCAGTGCATGCAGGTAGATAGCAGGGTCAGGCTTAGAAGTGGGCTTTTCGAGAGAGCTGGCCGCACTGAAGACCCTGTCATGGTCGAAGTATTTATCCTGGTCGACCTTTTTGATAGAAGCCTGAACGCGGCGCAGAGCGGAGGATGAAACTACCGCAAGACCATACTTCTTTGAGGTAAAGACCTTGATCAATTCCTCACTAGCACCGACGCAAGGCAGAGCCTTGGCCTCAAGCTTGGCAATCACCTTGTCCTCTTCCTTTTTCACATAGCCCTCCAATTCATTCGGCTGCAACTCAAAGTTGTACTTAGACTGAAGCGACATCATCATCCCACGGAAGTTCTGACCGACGAAGTCCTTGATCAGTTGGTCACCGGTGTAGCGATCAGGGATGTCTTGCTTCTCGAGAATCTCATTGGCCAAGTCGGCGCAGGCCTCAAAGGCCAGTTCCTCAGAGAGGACCAATGTATTGTCGCAGTCGAAGAAAATTTCCGTGATCTGCATTGCAATTAGTAACATGGTGGGGTACAATAACAGAACAAGACCATCGTACCTGAGGCATGGCGATGACGCGGGGTGAAAATCCGATAACCTTGAAATAGATTTGGTCTAGTGCGGGGAATACTTCTGTGATGAAGAAAGTGCCTGGTTGAATTGGTGCTTCGATATGGTGTTATGAAAGATGGTGAAGAAAAGTAACAGGGTCAGAGAGATTTCAGAAGGAAGTTAGGATCTGCCTAATTGAGGGAAATGACCACTTGGTCCTACGGAAAGCATGACGCCGAGTACTATCGCAAGGAACCGGGCCAGAGCGGGAGCGGGGGCTGAGGTCATTGTCCTCGATAGGTACAAGAGGCAAGTACCAGGCACTTCCCTTATATATGTGTTCATATTAGTTAAATTAAGTACTGAGTACTTTTACTCCTTCCAAGGTTAACAGACAGGAACACAGTCTCCACCAATGATATTCCACTTTATTATGAGTCAGCAAATTTGGTCCCGCACTAATCCTATATAGGAATAGTGGATTCTCCCTTGCTCAAATCAACTCGAAAAGAAACATCTCAACTGTTACTCTTCTTGATGACTGAATTACCTCTGAAAGCACTACCTTATACCAGAAGGATCCAATCTTGGTCATTTAATCCCATTCACACCATATTTCTTTCTATTCAGAAACACATATCATAGGTACCTGGTAGACAGATGCCAATGTCACTACGAACCGTGCATATATTGGAGGGTTTCATTGGGCGTCACTGTCCAACAGCAGCCCGAAATCGGGTCAACCCGGTGTCACTTTGGTTTCAAAATAAGGAGCCTGAGTTTACTTCAAGTTTCTATGCAATAATTGCCACCGTGACCCTGGGATGGGCTGCAATATTGGTATGGTACAATAGTACTCTCTCACATTTGAAGTTGGCTTTCGAGGCTTGCATTGTAAGTGTAGATATAGTTTCAATATGGCTTGCAAAGGCTTCACTAGTAATAAAGATACCACCTGGGCAGTGAAAGAGCCCTAGAGGGTCCAAGCGTTCAAGACCCCGCTGCCACCAAAATCAGGAAGGTCACGGGGCACTGTTCTCCAGTTTTGGTGGTAGGTAAATGATCTTGGAACCTGGAAGGGGACACAGCCACCTACCTAGGCACATGTAAGGTGCCTGCAAGTGGCGTACCTCGATACTAGCCTTCAGGTTTGGCTTGGATACTCTTCCGTTGCTCAGTCACCATTATGATACTAGTACCTTTTTGTTTCATCGTGGTGTTCCTGCTAGTATCGTGAGGCCGTCAATCGGATAGTAGCTAAACAACCTTGGAATACCTCATTGGGATGCATGTGTATGAGAATGACCGGGTCATTCCATTTCTAGGTTAATTTGAACTGGCGTATGACACGCCCACCTCATTTGAATAATCAATGTCTCAATGCATCTCAAAACATAGTAGGGTTGTCTCAAATCCCCACTATTCGATCCTGATTGGCCAGTCCTCCAACGGCACATCACAGGCTGCACAGCTTCTGCTATGATTTTCACCAGTGTCCACCATACTTCAAGTTGTGGGGCATGATAAAAATACCTCTCTTCAAAATCCAAGTTTGATACCCCGGATTATATCACATCAAACCAATAAGCCTGAACCCCTCAACTGCCAGGCTGAATCAAGTGGCAGTACTACCCGGGAATACGACTCAGACGAGGGTATACTTGGCACACGACGCATCAAAATGGGCTCATCGGGCACATATCCCACTCTGGGAGACCTGCACTTCCCGTCAGCACAGGTCTCTATCTCGCAGACCCTCTCATCTCTGCGTCGATCGGCTCTATCCGTCTCCAACCGGCTCAAATCTATCGAGACTGATGGAGCCTTTGTTCAGGATGCGGCGGAGCATTATGGTCTCCCACTTTTCGCGAATGAACGTTGTGGTAGTTGGTATATTAACCCGGATGTGAAAGCAGGAAGTGCCTACTTCAAAAGTACAGATGGTCATACGGGACAATGGGATTTTAGCTTCCGTAGGCTTAATCTGCAATTGCTTCCGCTGGCTCGGAAGTATGGAGGGTGAGTTCATATTCTCATCCGTTTCTTGCCGGACTTGCTGGATTGAGTGATTCTTGTATCCATCTAATCTCCGGATCACCCGATGAGCCCTGGAGCTAACCGTGGTACATTCAATTGGTGGATGTGGTTAGTGGTACTTTTATCCTTCAAATCCTAACATGCTCGATTTATGTAGGTGTGTAATTGTGGATTCAACTCGCCGAGGAAAATGTATGTTTCTTTCATTGTCGCGTTGGACGTGTCATTTATCTACAACAAAAAATGCCACCATGCATTGTGGCTGACGCCACTGGACAATATCCCGGGCCATTGCTGACGATACCCAGTGATGCCTGATGCCTTATCGAAGACTATTCCCATTTGGTGTGCAGTCTTGAACCGGGCTCTATTCCCAACTCAGACAGAATATCACCGGGTCCGATTACCTCCCAACTACCTGGGCCAATCCGAAGAATCTCAAATCGAGAACCGCATTGATGGCTTCGTTCATTCTCTCAAGGTAGGTCTGTCCCATGTACCTAGGACGTTGGGGACTATAATTAGCTGTACCCCTCCCTTGCCCGGGTGAAATGAGGCTTCGTGGCAAATGGACTTACCTCGTCACAGGCCCTGAAACTTGATCTAGATGAGCTGCGAGAACAACTTGGAAAGCCTATCCGCGTAGCCTGGGCCAATCATGAATACTTCTACCCCACAGATCTACGCAAGGGCGAGAATTACTGCCTCTTTGTACTTTGCTCCGCCTCAAAGCGTGTTCATGGCGCCGAAATGTCGGAAGGGGGATATATCCAGGGTGCTGGTGATGACAGCGAGGGATGGGCGCATGGACTTACGCCACCTGTTTTCTGGGCGAACCAGGATACTCTGAAGCGAACTGCTGAAGAAGATCTACCGGATCTGATTGCGGACCTGATCGCGGATTATCAACAGCAGCGAACTGGTCAGGTTGCGACACTTATCTCTCCGACATCAAATCTGTTTATCAATCCCACGGATCCAAAGGTGAATGGGAGTGGGCAGTACGATCTTGTGATTGATTGTAATGGTGACCCAGCTGCTGTCTTGGATAATCCGAAGCGACTGAATCTGGGTTGCGCGTTGGCTAAACTTGGTAGTCGAGATCTACGGAAGTCACTGGATAAAGTGCGAGACTTTGTCAACGAGCAACTTGGATCCAACCCATCGCAGTCTCTGTTGGTGACCTGTGACACTGGGAAAGATCTCTCTGCTGGAGCCCTATTGGCGATTATTTGCCAGTTTTACAATGACAACGGTATGTCTCATGGATGCTCAAGAAATGCATAAAGCGCTAGATGCGTAACGTCATTGGGAATCAAAAGACAAAAATAAAACTAACCAAATACAAAATCATATCTAGGGGAGTTCGATGCTTCGTTATGTAAACGCAGTATCGGCAAGCAGTTCATCCGACAGCGTCTGGCATGGATCGTCTCATCCAACCATGAGGTTAATCCGTCCCGCTCGACACTGCAATCCGTCAATGCCTTTTTGATGCAGCCTGGAGATTATTGATGCCGAAATTTATTATGCCACCCTGTAGAGCCATGTGCGTATTATTCTAGCACTTGAGTCCGCAGAACAGGGATCGCCGAGTTCTCACTCGTTCACCACAGCCTCGACAATAGCACCCTCCGCTCCTTGGTCGAGCGAATTCAACACGTCCATATCCTCTCCGCTGAGATTAAAGTCGAACACGTCGGCATTCGCAGCAATGCGCTCTGGATCGTCACTCTTGGGCAATGGCACCCATCCCTTCTGAAGCGCATATCGGATCAGAACTTGCTGGGTGGTTTTATTGTATTTCTTGGACACTTCAACCAGAGTCGGGTTATTCGCTTTATAGTTGCGTACGATGGGGGAGTAGGCCTCGACAATAATGCCATTGCGCTTGCAGTATGCATCGATCTCCAGTTGCTGACACCAAGGGTGAAGCTATAATCAGAAAGAGTCAGCGCATTGAGTCATGAAAATAAAGCAAAAATGCGAAAACATAAATACATAGAAAATGAAGAAAACAACCAAGAGAATTCAAACATACCTCAATCTGATTCACCTGTGGAGGCCACACCTTGGCATATGCCCGCATCTCCTCAATCTGCTGAACTCCAAAATTGCTCACACCAATGCTCTTCGTCTTTCCTTCCTGTTGTAGCTTCTCCAGTGCCTGCCATAAATGTTTGCGACCAGCAGGTCCTGACTTGGAGCTATGAATTAAGAATAAATCCACATAACCTCCAGGTCCACTGACCTTCTCCACGCTCTCTACTAGCTTCTCATAGGTAGCTTCGGGAGAACCAGCGGGGACCAGGATCTTAGTAGTAAGGAAGACCTCTTCGCGAGAGATGCCGGAAGTGCGCAAAGCTTCACCGACTTCCGCTTCATTGCCATAGAGCTGCGCAGTGTCGATGTGTCTGTATCCGACCTCCAATGCCCTGTGCACGGATTTCACGCACTGGCTTGCTGGGGAACGGTAGACACCAAAACCCAGGCGCGGGATGCGCTCTGTGGAGTTGGGAAGTGGTAGAAGATCATTAATTGTAGACATTTTGGATGCGCAGTTCAGGAAGTTTTGAGATTTGAAGAAATTCAATTGTTGAAACCCGAGGGGAAGTAAAAAGGTGAAGTTATGAATGGCGTAACAATTTAACAGCAAAAGCGCCCCGCTCTACGGAACCGGATCGAATGATATCATCTCGGGATTATTACTCACTGAGCACACCATTTGATTTTATTAAGTAAACAGAATTGATTTGTCATTTATAGGTATATTTATATTGTAAAAAGTGCACTTAGAGGTTCTAGACTAATATTGATACCCCTATAAGTGTATTTCAGTTTAATGTATGGAGTACATTGGAGTACTATTTAGTTACTACTTACATATACCTAGTATTTATCACTTTCTACTCATAAAATGGAGAATCTTTTTGATCCCGAAATAGCATATTCCATTCTCCACATCTGATTGGTTAAATCAAAAGAAAAACCATAGGATCGTCAGGAGCCTGATAACACCCTTGATTGGTCTGACCTGTATTATTATTGTTTTGATATTCACCTATCAACTCCTATGACTGTTCAAGTTCTTTCACATATCTCTCTGACTCCTCCTTTTCCAGGTTCTCTGTGTATCTCACATATTTTATCAAATTTTAAAAAAGTGTCAAAACAGCTGGTTGCTACGGTGACTTTGCGGAGTTAGTTGCGGGTTTCTCTCACCCCGCCCGAAACTCGAGACCATTCGACTCGAACTTTTGACAGCTCAAAAAACCCTCCCATCCCTGTCGAAGCCTAACCCCAATCGGCTTTCATTTGGTGGATTCCCTCGTTTTTTTCCTCCATCTACCTTTATTGCCAATCGGCCCTGAATGTCTTAATTTGATCGACAATGTTGACGGTTGAGAAGCAGTGGATTAATGTGCAGCAAAAGACCTTCACCAAATGGTTCGTTCCAAGGTTTACTCCCGAGTCCATATTCGGACTTGGATGTACATGACATGTTCAAGCATATTAACAAATCTTACCTTACAGGCTGAACGATAAGCTGAAGATTCGGACTCTGGCCATTGAGGACTTGGTTACGGATCTTTCTGATGGTGTAAGTGGGCGATCATGGCGGGGATCCATACCCAAGGCCCCCCTCCCGTACCTGGATCCAGTCCATAGTGCTCCTCCCCCAGATTGATGTTCGCTGACCACGTCTTGGCTCCTAGGTCGTTCTTATTCATCTCCTTGAGATCCTCGGTGGTGAATCACTCGGTCGATATGCGTCGAAGCCCAAGCTGCGAGTGCAGCGATTCGAAAATGTCAACAAGAGTCTGGACTTCATCAGGGACGAAGAATCCAGATGACCAATATTGGTGCCGAAGACATTGTCGATGGTAACCGCAAGATCATTCTCGGATTGATTTGGACCCTGATTCTCCGTTTCACCATCAGCGATATCAGTGCGGAGGGAATGACAGCTAAAGAGGGTCTGCTCCTGTGGTGTCAACGAAAGACAGCATGCTACGATGAGGTGGAGGTCCGTGACTTTTCTACCAGCTGGAACAATGGTCTGGCTTTCTGTGCTCTGCTCGATATCCACCGACCCGATTTAATTGATTACGATTCCTTGGACAAGAGCGACCACCGCGGAAATATGAAATTGGCCTTCGATATTGCTACGAACGAAATCGGCATTCCCGACCTGCTGGACGTCGATGATGTGTGCGACGTGCCCCGACCCGACGAGCGTTCTCTGATGACATATATTGCCTACTGGTTCCATGCCTTCTCGCAGTTGGAGAGAGTCGAGAATGCCGGTCGCCGAGTGGAGAAGTTTGTCAACAACATGCATGGAGCGTGGGATATGCAATCGGGCTACGAGCGACGAATGAAGGAACTGCTACGATTGATTCGGGCGCAGCGTGAAGGATGGAAGAACTCTTCGTTCGAGGGTACATACAAGGATGTCAAGGAGCAAGCTGCTCACTTCGCACTGTATAAGCGCAATGAGAAGCGTCAGTGGGTTGCAGAGAAATCGGATTTGGCCGCCCTCCTTGGAAACATTAAGACCAAGCTGGGTACATACCGGTTGCGATCCTACGACCCACCCACAGAACTGAGTCTTGAGACATGTGATCAAGAATGGGAGTGCTTGACACGAGACGAGCACCAGCGCAGCCAATTGATTAACGAGACGATTCGGGATATCAAGAACGCCCTGCGTCGATCCTTTGCAGACAAAGCGAATGACTTTGCCTTAACACTGAAGACTCTCTCCCTCGCTATTTCAGGGCTGGATGGAGATGTCGAAGATCAGTTGGAGCATGTGCAGAAGCTGAACGATAACCTGCCTCCTCTGGATGCCTTCCTCGATACTATCGCCGAACTAGACGAGCAGTGTGCCGAGGCCAATATCGAAGAAAATGATTTCACCACCTTCACCCTCGATGAACTTTCATATGAACTCAGTCTTGTTAAATCCAGCATTTCGAAGAAGCTGGCCTTCCTCGAGAACCAGATGGTTGCTCGAAATATGACCAACCTAACCCCGATTCAACTTGAAGAGTTTGAGTCTGTCTTTCGCCATTTCGATCGTGATTCGTCCAACACATTGCATGAACTTGAATTCTCTGCGGCACTTGCCAGTCTGGGCCTTGTTTACGATGAGGAAGAGATGCACGAGGTCTATGTGAAGGTTTGTGGGGCTACCAGACTGTCTCAGAATGCCGGTGTCAGCTTTGAACAGTTCATTCGTTTCATGGTCAGTGTGACTGAAGATCAAAACACCGCCGAACAAGTCTTCCAGAGTTTCAGAGAGGTTGCTGATGGAAAAGTATGTATTAAATTTTCTCGGATTGTCTGCTCTGTTATATGGTGTTGGATCTTAACTAATGCAACATCTAGCCTTACGTCACGGAGCTTGATCTGCGACACTCACTGATCCCCGACGAAGTCATCGAACACCTAGTCAAGACCATGCCCACACACGAAGGTCCTGACATGCTCGAAGACAGAGACCTGCCCAAGTTTGACTACATCAGCTTCATGGAGAAGATGATTGAGGATCAGAAAAAGAATGGAAGGGAGTAAAGAGAGAATAGTTCCAGTTCCAGTTCCAGTGGTTCCTTGCACAGCATACATAGGGTGTTGTCGTTGTTTTTATGGGGGCGGTGTTCCTGTCTTCTTGTCTCATGGGTCTTCTATTGGACTCTTGTTCTCCAAGATTCCTGCTTCTTTTCTTGTACCCCGTTTTCCCCATCGTTTTCTTTACAATATCCAGCATGCATTCTGGGGTTCGGCGGGTTTCCCTCGGTTTACTATGTTATTCTATGTGCTCGCCTTGTTTCTTGTATGAAATTCAGGATACAACCAATAACATCAGGCCTTCAAAATTATCAAGCGCTTCGGAAGTAATCAGCACAGCCAATTAATCTTATTTGAATTTTCGATCTAAATCAAGCCATATAATTCTGAAATACTCATCAATAGTTCTATTCTTGGACCAAGGATCGCCGTGGAACCTCTCACGTGACCTAATCACATCTCAACGCCAGCGGATGGCCACAGGTCAGGATCCAGTCAATTGAAACTCACTCTCCCTTTCATATCATTTGAGAAGTTTCAGCTCTGTAATTCTCTCAGTGGAGCTGACTTGCCGTCTTCAACATTCTCCCACCTCTCTCACTTTCCCTTCATCTCACCTCACCCCTGTTCGCCGCAACCACCCAACATGGATCGCAGCTTGGATGAGATCATCGCCGAAGACCCAGTAAGACACCATTCACTCTCAATAACACAGTCATTTATTGAGACATATTGAAAACTAATGCTCCTAAAGCGCAAACAGAACCGCCCCTCCGCCTCCGGTGGCCGACGCAATCAAGGCCGTCGTCGCGACCGCAGCGATGGCATTAGAAAGGTACTTTCTGCTGGAAAGCCGATCATCGGCGATCTCAACTCTCAATTCTGGCGTCGCAAATCATACGACATGAATTGAATCATTCGCTAATATCCCTCTCTCTGCTGGTCGCAGGTCCGCCCTCCTCTTCCTGTACCGAATTCTTCTTCTGCGCTGTGATACAACCCGTGGCCGGTTCCTCTGGATTTCTGGGACCACGCCAACAAGCAAGCCGCGGCAATCTTAGAACATCAAGCTATTCATCTTCCCTACTCTGACGCCCAGCTAACCTCTCATCTTTTCTTGCAACGCAACAGCCCCAAACGCAAGAGCGCTTCGACTTGAACCTGTGAGAATCCCTCTTATTGAATTTTGCGGAAATTCATGCTAACGGAGGTACAATTGATAGGGACTGGGTACACGACAAGTATGAGGATGGTCGAGATGGTATGTTTGGATGATTAGCTCTGTGTCTCTTGCTTTGGTGTCATAAACTGACTGTTTGTTAAGCTCGTCCCGCTCGCAACTCGCGTCGATCCCGCCGTTCAACCTCGCCCGATCGGTATGTACATCATGTGAATTGAAGAAGAGATGAGAATCGGAACCTAACAGCTCATAGTGGCGGTTCTATGCTGACCAAGGTCCGCGTGGAAAACCTGCACTACGATATCAACGAGCAAGACCTTCAGGTATGTTTTATGCAAGCTCGAGTTAGGGAAGTTTTCCTATCTTCATGATTCTAATGAAAATTGGGGGTTAGGATCTCTTTGGCCGAATTGGCCCGGTTAACGACCTTTCCCTTCTCTACGACCGCGCTGGACGCTCCGAAGGTGTAGCCTTCGTCACATACAAATACCTCAAGGATGCGCACGAGTCCGTTAAGGAATACGATGGCGCAAACGCTAAGGGGCACCCCATCCGTCTGAGTCTTGTCTCCGGCCGCCGCGAACAAAATAAGAGTCTTTTTGACCGTGTGGAGCGCCCCAATGGACGGGATGCTCGCAGCTTGAGTCCCGGTGGTGATGATGCAGAGGGTCGGAGACGCCGTGGCGGCGGCGGCCGTGGTCGTCGTAGCGATGTTTCGAAGCCTGCTCCTGACAACATTGATCGCTATATTCCCGGTGAACGTGGTGAGCGTGGTGGTGATCGATCTCCCGCCCGCCGTGGTGGTGGTCGTCGCGGAGGCAGGGATAACCGGGATAACCGGGATAACCGGGGTCGAAATGAGAATGGAGGAGGTCGTCGTCCAAGAAAGACACAGGAGGAGCTGGATCAAGAGATGGAGGATTACTGGGGTGGAAATGCTGGTACTGAGAATGCCGATCAGCAACCCGCTCAGGAAGCACAACAGACCGCTGCACCCGCTGAGCCTGCTCCTGTTCAGGCTGCTGCCCCGGCTGCGGCTGCTCACAACGACGATGACATCGATATGATTGAGTGAGCACCATGCATGGAAATGCAGGACGGTCTGGTTTCTTCCTTCTTGCTATTATTCTCTCTCTCTTCTCTCCGTCCGCGTTGTAATGCGCAGACTACTCAATTTCTGTTTTCTCGTCTTGGAAAGAGCATCGAGATGTCGCTTCGCCGCTATGTTTCTTGTGACCTGGCATTTGGAAATGCCCATACAAATTGATTGGGGCTTGTAATCTTATCGAAATCATGAAATTGTCACTTGAAATCTGGATTATACGACTCTTTGTCGTACTTGAATACATGGGATATGCCTTTCTGTTCTTGATATATTCAATTTTCTTTTTTACCTGGCGATAGCAGTCGTGGCCCCGGGCTTGCGTTGTGAACATAATAAACGATCTTCGCGAACGGTAGTTCCGAGTCTCATGCTACTACTAGACATCCAAACTAAATGTAACACTTTCAAGAATCTCGATACTGGGAGGATATGTTTCTATGCTACATATTGAACTACCGTTTTTTCCAAGGGCTCGGAGCTGTATTGCTTGGGGCAGAATTCGGATGCGATTTTCATTGGAAAAAGTACAAGGCACGGTTAGTGAACTCGCATCTTAACCTATGGTTGCTGTACAAGATGGAATATCATAGATAAAAATACCAACTTAACGCCACAAGCCGTAGGGGTCGCGGGAAGCCTTCCACAACTTGATAGTTCCATCCTCACTGCCAGTGCCGTAAAGTTTGCCATCAGGAGAAAAGCTGACGGACCAGATGGGACCATGGTGACCCTTTTGAACTTCTGTACAATTGATTAGCCCGAATCCACACTGACACTGCAATACGAGGGGAAAACAACATACCCAGTTCCTCGTTAGTGTTCAAATCATAAACGCGCGCCCAGGTATCATTCGCACTTCCAGTAACCAAGCGTCCAGACTCGCTATTCACGGCCGCACTCGCAACCTCATATCCAAAATCAATCTGCTTCAAAAGTCGACCAGGCTGCAAACCATCAAAGAGGTAAACACTCTTTCCAGCAGCCACAGTCAAAATACCAGGATCATTCGGCCGGACAGCGAGACTATTCAGTTCACATGTTCCGATGGGACCATCAACCACATACTCCAGTACGGGGTGTCGCGATCGTAAATCCCACCAGCGAATCTTACGATCCTCCGCCGCAGTGGTCACGATATTGTAGTCTTGGTTCCAAACAATAGACTTAATCGTACCACCGTGTACCCCAGGTCCAATCTCATAGCTCGTTACTGAATCCGAGTTTCCTTCTCCACCACTCCCACTACTGGGGGGAAGCGGTGGTGTTGATCCATTACTACCACCACCACCAGTACTACTCGCACCACCGCGACTAAGATCGAAGATCCGTAACTTCTTCTCAGCGCCACCGGTTGCGAGGATTTGCGGGTTAGGTTGAATAGGGAATGCGATCGCGCGCACAATATGCGCATGTTGTAGTGTGTGCAGACACTCGCCTGTATGTGTGTCCCATACTTTGGCGGAGAAGTCGGCGGCCGCGGTGGCGGCAATAGCGGCGTCGGCGGATAGTCGTGCTTGCCAGACGGCACCTTTGTGGCCGAGGAATGTACCGATCCTATGAAGGATTTCAGTCAGGTTATTTCCTTCGGTAGGTTCTCAGTTTAGGACTTTTCACTTACCAGTCGCCAGTTATACCATCCCGCAGCATAGGGTTGTTATCTGCAAGTGGGGTTTGATCAGCGAACGTCTTCGTGGTTTCTTCCGAGGAAAGCTGGATACATACCTTTGCAAGCAGAAATAAGGTAGTATTGCTCATCTTCGACAGCAGAAGAGAAACTCAAATGCGTGACAGGGCGTGAGTGCCCGTGACAGGTCAGCGGGACGACCTTGGGGATATCTGAAACGGGAATTGGAATTAGCGAGCTAGCTCGGGGAATCTCGAGCTATGGGGTTACAAACCAGAAGCCATTGTGGGAGTCTCAAGACTGGGACTGTTTTGTCGAATGTATGACAAGAATAAATGGAGGAGAAGATAATAACAACGAAATTAAGTTGCCAAAGACCACTTTCAGTTTCTTATAGAAAGCGCGTGACTGAGCCTTATTCAATTGTGAAAGACCCAGGCTGAACTTTCGAGCTTAAGGAAAGGACAAAAGGAGATTCGTCAGGATCGTCACGTCATCAGAAGATTTTGAAGAATAGGACAGAAGGACAGAAGGACCGAGGTGGGATGACTGCCCACGCAGTTTGGGAGAAATTGAGGTTTCGATATTCAATCATTTAGGTGAACGGGTCACCTGCAGCCCTGGAGCCCACTTTGATGAGTAAGCCCTGGTCCCGCTTCACACGTGCAGTTTCAAGTATGGATTATCATTGTAGTTTCAGATGAAGTTATAGAAGTTGAATTATATTATATCACAAGGACTATAGAGATATCCCAAGGATCTTCAGTGAATTTAGCAAAGCGATGCTCACAAGGGTCTCCTACACAATCTCGGTTCCCAGAACTTAGGGCTTCTTTTCACCGCCAATTTCATTCACATCTGGATTTCCGGCTTCCTGTAACTTAGCCTTGGCCGATATTCCTGTAAGGAGGCCTAAAATCCCTTCCAATGGTTGTAACATTGAAGATCAGGGAGCATTTTCAGTCAATCAAAGCAGATCTCCAAGTACTAACATTCTACCCCGCTATCTTCAATTCTTCTATAGTATATAATTTTTTGTACATACCCTCCATTCCGATCTAAAATAAGAACAATGTGGGCCCTATGGAATCCAATGCTAGCTGATGATGGCCCCTCTCCTTATTCATAATGGGATTTACAATCATTGCCCCCCCTGAAATGAAGTGAGACAATTCTAGTAGGTTCGTCATAGCTCCACCGCCCACGTGATATGATGCGCAGGCGGGGAACCCCAGAACGACTAAAGGACAACAACGCTCACCTTCTAAAGCTTGAAAGATCCAATCAGTGATACCCTTGGTGCTCGTCTCTTTTTTCTTTCTCTTTATTTCTCCCTGAACCCCCTGCAGGCTGTGTGTATGCCTGACTTCAAGATCTCCGCCTCTCTTGAGGGCCACGGCGATGATGTAAGCTCTTATGGCCCATGTTCCTTGCCCGGTACCTTGTTGGCATTCAACAGTTCAGTCGACTAATCTCGCGTTCATTAATTCTAGGTCCGTGCTGTGGCCTTCCCCAATTCTAATGTTATTCTCTCTGCCTCCCGTGATGCTACCGTTCGTCTTTGGAAGCTCGTTTCCAGCCCTCCTCCCGCCTACGATTACACCATCACAGCCCATGGCTCAGCATTCATCAATACCCTAGCATATCTGCCTTCTTCACCCGCCTATCCAGAGGGCCTCATCCTTTCAGGTGGCCAGGATACAATCATTGAAGCCCGACAGCCGAGTAAAGCCGCAGCTGATAATGCAGATGCTATGCTACTAGGCCATGGTCACAATATCTGCGCTCTGGACGTTTCTCCGGACGGCCAGTGGGTTGTCAGTGGTAGCTGGGACTCAACTGCTCGCCTCTGGAAGGTTGGCAAGTGGGAAGCAGATGTTGTCTTGAATGGACACGAGGCCAGCGTATGGGCTGTCCTGGCTTACGATAAGGATACCATAATTACCGGTATGGTGCTTTGAAGAATTAATCACGCGAGTGAAGACCAGCCATACTAACCTTTATTTTGTTGATAGGCTGTGCCGACCAGATGATTCGTGTATTCAGTACCTCGGGGACACTACTTGGAAGTGTCAGAAACTCTAATGATGTCGTTCGAGCTCTTTGCAAGGTCCCCGCTTCGAACCCGACTGGCGCACAATTTGCATCCGCTAGCAACGACGGAATTATTCGACTTTATACTCTTCAAGGCGATCTAGTTGCTTCTCTTCACGGCCACGAGAGCTTTGTCTATTCGTTAGCTGCTCTGCCATCAGGCGAGCTTGTTAGCGCTGGAGAAGACCGAACCGTTCGAGTCTGGAGTGGCACCCAGTGCGTGCAGACTATCACACATCCTGCCATTTCAGTATGGAGTGTGGCAGCTTGTCAAGAAACTGGTGATATCGTGACGGGTGCTAGTGACCGTATTACTCGTGTTTTCAGCAGAAGCCCAGAGCGTCAGGCGGCACCCGAGGTTATTCAACAGTTCGACGATGCCGTCAAAGGATCATCAATCCCCGCAGAGCAGGTTGGAAAGGTCAACAAAGAGAAACTCCCCGGCCCAGAGTTCCTCCAGCAGAAATCCGGTATGAAGGAGGGTCAAGTACAGATGATTCGTCAAGGCGATGGCAGTGTCACCGCCCATACTTGGTCCTCTGCGACTCAAGAATGGATCGCTGTTGGCACAGTCGTTGAGTCTGCCGGCAGCAGTGGTCGGAAAACAGAGTATCATGGACACGACTATGATTATGTCTTTGATGTGGATATTGAAGATGGAAAACCTCCACTGAAGCTCCCCTACAACGTCTCGCAAAATCCTTACGAGGCCGCGAAAAAGTTCATTGAAGATAACGAGCTTCCTATCTCCTATCTGGACCAAGTTGCAAATTTCATTACACAGAATACCCAAGGCGCTACCATCGGCCAATCTTCAGAACCAGCCGCTGAGGGTGAAGATCCCTGGGGTTCAGACCGTCGTTACCGTCCTGGAGATAGTGCAGCTGCTGAAAACGCACAGCCTCCAGCTCCCGAGCCACGCCCCCAGGTCCTGCCTCAAAAGACCTATCTATCAATTCGATCTGCCAACCTCAAGGTTATTGCAAAGAAAGTACAAGACTTGAATGAAAAGGTCCTGTCAGAAGTGGGCAAGGATGTTGCCCTGGATCCAACCGAACTGGAAGCTGTCATCGCTTTATCCAAAGAATTGGAGTCCTCGCAGAAATTAGCCGAATCGCCCGTTGTCGAGACTGGCATTCCATTAATTTACAAAATCGCAACTACATGGCCTGTCGCTAACAGACTTCCTGGGCTGGATCTCCTTCGTCTGCTTGCTGCCGCTGCCCCTTTCACCGCGTCTACAGCATTTAATGGCGATGACCTTGTCTCCGGCATTATCTCCAGTGGGGTCTTCGACTCTCCTCTTCATGTCAACAATGCCATGCTTACCATTCGAATGCTTGCAAATCTTTTCGAAACGGATGCCGGTCGGGCCTTGGCCTACAATAAGTTTGACCAGATCGTTGCTGGAGTGAAGTCTGCATTGGTCAACAGTGGAGAATCGCCAAACCGCAACATCACAATTGCCATCACGACATTGTACATTAATTTCGCCGTCTATGTTACTTCAGAGGGCAGGGAACAGGCTCCTGAGTCATCGGAGCGAGGATTTGCCCTTCTTGAGGAGCTGACGAAGATTGTTTCTGGAGAGAAAGATTCCGAGGCTGTTTACCGAGGACTTGTTGCATTGGGTACGTTGGTGAAGGCTTTAGGTGAAGAGGTGAGGAGTGCGGCCAAGGAAATCTACGAGATTAACACTGTTCTCACGCGGGTTTCTGGGTCTGCTTCCGGAAAAGAGCCACGAGTTAAGGGCATTGTCGAGGAAATCCGACAGGCTCTTTAGTAGCGACGTGTATGTATCTTTTACTTTAGTCGCTCCATAGATATCCTTCTCTTCATAATGACCATGACGCAATGTTTAAATTCATGAACTTCCTCAGTACTCCCTAGGTAGCATTAGCCTTGAAGCATCCAGCTGTCTGTTTTTTTATCTCGCATCTAGTAGGTAGTAGTATTTCACAAGTCCTTACGTGCGCCGCGCTTCGCGCGGCACTGCGAGTGAAGCAGCGAGCATTTGAAATATTCGAATTGGGAAATGTACTATATCCTCAGCACACGGGTGCTTGGCCAGATGTGTCTCCATCCTCCGAGTCTCAGACAAAGATGTTCACATACTTAGTAAGTACAGGGCTCAGTTTTGAGTCAGTAGCATATATAGGTCAACTGGTGAGTGTAATGTGTGATGACCTACACCTCTTTGTAGATAAATACCTACATGGTTACCTATAGGGTTATCTACATGATTACGTGGAGGGGAAGGCTAACTGCCCAGGTGCTATATAATTGGATATAGGTAACTGGAAACCCTAGGGATATCTAAAGTGAGAGATAGCTAAGTTAAGAGGGATATACTCATGTTTAGATAGAATAAATAAAAGAAAAACCTAGCCTATTCGTAAATAGGCTCCAAGGCTGGTTCAAGTTCCAAGGTTCTGCCTCCTTGAGTATTCTGCCAGACGGAGAGGAAACTCGAAAAACCACTGCAACCCAAGTAGGAAAAGAGGTCTATATATTTCCCCTTTAAGGAAACAGAAACTGATACAACGGTTGATGGCTCATGATTTCGGATTTTGTATCTGAATTTGTGATAGTACATTCAAGTTCCAGAATTAAGCCTTGCCCTCAAAACTTCGCAGGTTTTCCACAAGTGGCGAGATAATAAGCTGGAATATTTCGTCTTGCATAGGCTCACTTTCTAACGTAGATGCTTTGATATCAGGCCACATCAAGCATCGTTTGACCACCTTTTCGTATTCTGCTCCACTTTGCGCCCACACAACTGGCAGAAGGCGAGTCGCAGTCTTTAAATTCATATAAGCTTCCACATGGTCATCGTCCTCAGGCATACGAAGTACCTCTAACGTTTGGCATAAGGAAAGCTCAATCAAGACGAGACCTAGTGGGAAAAGAATATCACTCTGGATGAGCGAGAACGTTGAGTTGTCTCTGCACATGCCCCAAGAAGTGGTGTCACTGCCTACATTGCATAGGACGAAAGGCTTGTCGATACTATCCCCAGACACACTTTTAGCAAACATAATATCGGATGACCTCCACTGGGTTTTCAACCAGCTTCCGTGAAATTGGAGTACGCTGCAGTCAAGGTTGACAGCAACGCGCAGACGATGGCCCCACGTGAAAAGAAATCTGTTGGCGCTGGGCATTCTGAAGATATCGCTAGAAGCTGTGATGAGATCTGCGAGTGACTGGGATCTTAGATTCCCAGCAAGATTCCGGACATAATACATATTGTGACGGTGATTCTCATCAGAGATGAATCCGATAGGCTTGTTTGTCTCGTTGTTGGTCTTCACGGTAGACAAGGCTGAGCAGATGTCCATAATCGGCGATAACGAGGATGTATCAGACATCGATAGCTCGTCCTCTGATAGTTTATCGACTGTAAACTGCACTCTGGTCTTTCTTTTTGTTGATATTATACCATCCGAGCTGCCTTGACGGGGAGACTTGTTCAGTATATCCACGCTTGGCTGGATAGCATTCGATTCGGCTTCAATCTCAACTCCGCCGTCCAATCCATTGGCAAGATCAACGAAGTTGTTGGAAGGGAATATTATTCGAAAGCGACAGCTACGTGAGCCATGAGCGGTGTCTTCAAATCCATTCCGGTCCTCTCCAGGATAATCAAGAACGAATTGGATTGAATTTTGATCTCGACAGGCACATTTCCAATACTTTCCCCGCATTATCGCATTATGCAGACTGACGGCTGACTTCCTTGCCCTTTTTTGGCGCAGTAAAGGTCGTTTTGATATCCTTCGTTTTTGGATTGTGGCACGATAATCCGACTGTTCAACTAAGGTCTTGAGGATTCTGTTGGCTGCGTCAATCCGAGCAAAAAGATCAAGATAGATACTCTTCGAGAAAATGTCCTTGAACTTTTTGATCTCTTTTTTGATAGCAGATTGATCTGCTCGGTAGGTCTGCATCACAATAAACACACTGGTCAGATGGAAGTCCGTAGAAGATTGTCTATATGTCAAGTACTCACCTTCACAGACGCATTCTTATCCAGTCCAAGCTTCCGTGACAGTTCCTCTAACAGATTGGCAAGCTCCGTCATTGTTTGGTTAAAAGGCTCGAAGTCTCTCCCGAGCTTTTCGTGAAGACTCGCTCGCAGATTCTCTTTTTCCCACATATTCCCGAGGGGATTGTTCCGCAGCTCGTCGAGCCCATCTTCGTATTCAACAACTCCATCAAGGGTGCGCTCCAGAGTATTGACAAAAATGGCTTGTTGGGTCCCCAGACTTGATGAATATCCTTCAAGTTCCCTGCGGTAGCGCTTGGCTCCGAAGCTCTTGATGGTCTCAAGCCCCTGGACATAGCTATCGAGCTGATTGATAACAAGTGGAAGAACTGCAAGTGCGATTCCTGCAGCCTCCATTTTAAGGGTCAAAACAATCAAAACATATATTGTTGAGAGGTGAGTAAACCCCAGAGGCCATACTGTGTAAGCACTGAGGGGTAGCTAAATACCTAAGTAAATGTACTATAAGCAGCCCCGAACTAGTATTCTTACATCGTGCAACTCGAACTCAACTTCCAGCGCTTGGCCTGACAGAGCAACTTGAAAAACACATCCCCATCCAAAGTTTATGAGAGTGAATTCGGATTGTGAAAATATATCAAAGAATATGAAATATGCAAAACTTCATCCTCGCAAGGTTTACGGAACATTTGAAGGCTGCTTTCAAACCATCGCACGATGAGACCTTGACCACTGAGCCAGTGAATTCAAACGACCAATCCATTGAGAGAGACAAGCAACATGTGCTAGCCACAAAGACAGATTCAGTAATAAATATCTCGCCTGTCGTCATCCGGTGTCTTCGAAATTTAAACCAGCTTGTGACCAAAGACTTGTCGTCCTTCGAATCAGAAGTACCGCAAGCGCTATGGAAAGATGAACTGGGCCGCCTGCGAGTTTGGGCTGCAAATATTGGGGCGCCTCAAACTGGTAAATCGTCGCTAGACTATCGATTACGAGATGCATCTCATATCAAAAAGCAAATGATCCGCCTTCTTCAGCGACTGCAGAGACTTACAGAAGATGTCCATGATGTTCTGCACATTTCACTTGAGGAAGACAATTTTTTGGACCTGAGTGGCGATGAAGATGATGAACCCAAAACAGAGATACAGTCTATATATCATGCCTTACGAGATACCATCAACAATCTGTTTCAGATGTCGATGACCATCCGAATGCCAGCTCAACACGATCGTCTCATTGGTACAAAAAGGTCGGATGCGGTTTTCTATGAACATTTTGATCGGCAACATGTTACTGCAAAACACCCAGAAGCGAAAGAAGATGTACTCAATCGTCTTGGACTCGCAATTTCACAGCGTCGAGCCGTCATGCGATACCGTGAGCGTCATCCCGCCAAGCTTGGTCAGGGTCTTGACAAGGCAATCGATGATGGACAATCAAACAAGCTATCCGATACAGTTGCAACCGAATTCGTGGAAATTCCTCTTGTAGCGAAGGGTGACTGAGAATTGCAAACTGTGGCCTCACAAACTTCGTATGCTCAAACCATACTACACGGGTCTGAGGGAATGGTACTACCGCCTCCCCCAAAAGATGCTGCAGATGGAGCTTCATTTGAATGCCCTTATTGCTTTTTGATTATAACAATATCAAACCGAAAGGCGTGGACTCGTCATGTTTTCAATGATTTGCTGCCATATCTGTGTGTTTTTCCTAATTGCCCAATGCCCCATCGACTGTATGAGAGCCGCCGAGAGTGGTTCTGTCATTTACAGAACGAGCATTCAATATCTGGCGGTGCAGCTGAGAATATGAGCTGCCCACTCTGTCTGTCATCCGTTTCATCGGGGAAAGAGCTTGAAAGACATATCGGTCGACACCTGGAGGAATTGGCGCTTTTTGCATTGCCACGATCCGAAGAAGATGACAACGAACCTCGAAATTCCTCCAATGAAAATTCCGATGAGGATGAACTCATAGAGTCAAACATGATTAAAGAGCCAGAACAGCGACCTGCAGATCGGGAAGCTCTTGGCGAAAATGAGGATGAGCATGATTATGATGAACCCGATGTTATCGCCCTTCGACACCGTGCAACGATCTATCCACTCCATTACTGTGCATATTCCATTGATGACGGGGATCTCACCGTCGGTCAACTGAGAATTGACGCTGCAAAGCTACTAAAAGTCGAGTCTCCCGACTCCATTCGATTGCTGTATAAAGGAAACCTGCTTAGAGATGACAAACAATCTTGTAAAGCTGCCAGGCTCAAACAGCATTCAGAAGTGTTATGTGTCGTCTCCGAGGTGAAGGTCGATACAACGCGCATCGTCGGTAGCGACGATTCAAGCGACGATGCACCTCGGGCTCCGTTTCAGTCAAAAGACAAGAGAAAAGTCAGAACATCTCAATCTCCTCCAGGTGAAGATGAAACACAGTTACCTCCCACCCATCCATCACGACACACGTCACCCACGCGAGCTCCCAACGCACGTACGCCTTTACCGCCAAACTTGAAAGTATTACGTACACTAATGGAGCAAGTCAGTGCTTTGACTATCTATCTCCGTCGTGATATGACCCCTCTTTGCGAGGAATTTAGGAGTAACCCACTATCGGATATCGGGAAGCGAGACTTCGAGTACAGGAGGCTGAGCGAGACAATTCTTGCTCAAGTGATGCTCAAAGCAGATGGTATTGAGCCAGATAGCGACCCGATCGTACGCAATGCTCGTAAGATTCTCATCAAAGAAGCCCAGGCTCATTTAAACATGCTAGAAGAGGTACCTAGGAAAAGGATAGGTTCATAACCACTACATAATTCCCTGTGCGGGAAATAGAAATCTCTTTCAAGTTGGAGAAAATTGATTGTATTGAAAACATCTAGGTTTTGAAATTACAACATCCATATAAGAGGCCAGTAGCACCGGAATGGCAACCTTGGAACTTGCTAGAGACTACATGTGGCACCATTGAAGCTTCCCTATTTGCCGGCGGTCTCAACGTTAGTATGGGTTTCTCAAACTCAGAATACATGTACAAGGGCCATTGAATATCAAAATCATGGTTCGCATTTCTTCATCGACTCAATCTGACCAGGTCAATCATAGATAATCTAAAGTCTCCCCTCCGCATCAACCTCCACTTCCAGAACTTGTTCAATTCCAGGATATGGTGGTAAACTCAAGCCATATTTATCCGTGATATCCTTGGACAAGAACCGACCTCCAATAAAATGCCTTCCCCGATAAAATTTGACACAGGGTTTCGGGGCTGTCAAGCTAATCAAGGCCTGCGGCATAAACTTAGCACCCGGACCCTCTTTCGGTGGTCCACTCTGGATATCCCATGAACTGGGCGCATCAACACTTAAAACGGGGGTAGAGGACGTTTCAATCTGGGAGATGATAGAAGGGAATGGATCTCTCAAGGGTCCACCGAACGAAAATCCGAAGATGGCATCAACGAGGAAATGCGATTCTTTCAAGGCGGTTGGGAAATCTGTTATGAAGGGGACGGAGAGGTTATGCAGTTGAGTTTTCAGGCGCTGGTATATATAGTTAGTTTTAGAAGGCTAGAGTTTTGTTCCTTCCGCTGCCAGTGGTAGTTTTACCTGATATAGTTCATTTTTTCCTTCTTTGGGATAATAGACGGATGAGTTGTATCCATATTGAGCGAGATGTCGAGCTGCGACGAGTCCATCACCACCTTTTGATTTGTTAGACTGGGCAGTGGGCATGGTATCAAGTCTTTGATTAGGTTGTCGTACCGTTGTTACCTGGTCCACATACAACGAGCACATTCTTGCCGGCGCTAAGTGGGTGAACTTTCCAGACTGTGATCTCATGTCAGCTTGTGCGCTTTATAGACCTCGAGTAGTGCAATTGACCAGCTTGTGACACTGAGAGCCCTGCTAGCTCCATGAGCTGGTCCAGGGACCAGCCGCCCATTTCCATGAGATCTTTATCAAGGGAGGCGGCATCTTTTGCCGAGATTGCCTAAAAAGAAACTTCATTAGCTTAAGACAGAGGGTGGCCTTGTCGTAAACATACCTTTAAAGTCATTGTGGTTGCTTTGGTGTAGCGTTGACAAGCGGAGAGTGAGAAGCTTCTCGCTAGAGCAGAGCGAAACATGCAGCGACAGTATAGAGCCAGGTCAGTAGGAGCATCTAAATTGGATGTTTTGGTGGCCAGATATTCTCTTAAACCCTCTGTTAGGTCACTGGCAGCTTTGGAGTAAGGTCAAGGTCCTCAGTATACATCCGCATTGCATCATCCCCCGCCGACGCTAATCCATATCGGGTTATATCGGACTATCTTTTCTTCCGTCTCTCCTTGAACTTTTGCGGAGCCCATTTCACGCAATTGAGTCGAGTCCAGATCCCATTAATTGCGAACACATCTCACATCCGACATAATGGTTGTCCGAATTCGATTGGCGCGCTTCGGCAACAAGCACGACCCTTTTTACAACATCGTCGTGGCCCAGGCTCGGTACGTGTGACTACTTTTTCTTCCCGTCGTTCCGTTGATTCAACACTCGATTCTATCGACGCATTTATCCCAATTAATGGCGCTTTATTTTCGGAAATACGATATGCATGTCATTTCTCTGGATTAGTACTAACATCAGTCCAGCTCTGCGCGTGGCTCCAAGCCCCTCGAGGTTATCGGCACCTACAACCCCATCCCGAAGCGTGCGGCGACCTTTTCTAGCGAAAATGCCAACCTACGCCCTTACAAAGAGATTGCGCTGGACCGTTCGCGTGCGAAGTACTGGCTGGGTGTTGGTGCGCAGCCCAGTGACCCAGTTTGGAAGCTGATGAGCATGGTATGTGGCCATAGATGCATCGCGGTCGAACGAATCAATTGTGGAGCGGATTGAAGGCGATTGCATTGATTTGAATGTCATTTTCAAATCCCTTCCAGTCTACTTCGCAGGGATCTCGCTCCGACGAGTTCATTTGATAGGTTTGCTAACTGGATGGTTATTCTAGGCCGGCCTCGTTGAACCTAAGCCCACCACTTTCCACAAGGCATAACTACCACCTTATCTTGATTGAGATTGCCTATCAAGCCCTCTAGTGAAAGTACCCAGATAATACTGTGGTCATAACTAGTAGCTCAGGTAGCTGTCTCACTGAGGCCAGTTATTACTGGCTCCGACCTGTACTCTTCTCTCTTTCTCTTTGATTCTGGCATTTGAGGCGTTTCTTGCGAGTTGGGCTATTTTTTTTTTGGAAAAAGCCCGTTGAGGGGGACAAATTAATCCCCCACTTGATCGATGCACGGAGTACTATGTATACCATTGACTATGTATATCTATTATGCGAGAGCGTCCCCGCGCAAATAAGCATGGGAGGAATACAACCTCCCACATGATAACCGGCAATTTTTTATTCTGCCGATCACATCCTCGATTCGAAAGTACGTACATTAGTTAAACGCAAACTTTAGAAGTGTATAGGAGTTTGTTCCTCCATGGGTCCGATTTAACGCGCGATCCATGACCCATACACAGTGACGCGCCTATGACCGGTCCTTCCACGCCGCATCCCAAAATACGCTTCAACCCAGGCACGCAGACACATATGAGAGAATAGGCTAGCCCATATCGGGTGCCAGGCTTCTGTCCCCCGAAGACGCCTCTTCTCTCCACGGCCCAACCATACGAACCAGCGGCGCTCGATAAGCCCAAGCCATTTCTTGGTGTTAGCCAATCCGGTTGTGTATCCGGGCTGAACCTGTGGCAATTGGTCAGCTGCCCTGGAGGATCGCCATGTTTTGAGTTTGAAAATTCCATGGATTGGGGCTGACAAGTGCTTCGTTGGGCTCTTTGTCCTACTTTGCCCCGTGTCAATGAAAAAAAGGTCAACTGGTGCCTGGACATTTTTACTCCAGGAATGTGAATGATTATGGGGTTTACATGTAGAACTGGAAACTCTATATGTTCTGTTTTTTTCAATATATTATTTTATATTAATTTTCTCTTTCATATTTGATAATATAAATTAAATCTGGCTTTCACTTTTTCTAAAGATCCATTCATAATGAAATGTTCTTTTGTTTCTCTACTGTACTTTCACATAGCCGTATACGAACCAGGTAAGCCGAGAGTCAGGTATCTCTGATTTCGGAAGGCTTAGACGTGTTCAAAATAGTTTAATGACAAAAGTACTGAATAAATTAGGCAGAGCTCGAGTCTTATGTCTTATGTAGTATTCTTACTGCAGGTAGCTCGGTAGCTCAATAGCTAGCTATTAGCTATTAGCTAGCACATGTGCAGATTATGTTAGGTCTATTTCATTTGAGGCGAGCTGCAAGCCCGTTTAAGTGCCGTAGTAGTCCGTGCTGACGGGCTTGCGACCGGGGGTAACTCCATATTCTGCTTACTCCAGAGTCCAGATGTCTGTTACTCCAGTTCTTTATTATTTGATGAAACATTTAAATGACTGGGGACCAGGTTCTTGGAGAATACAAAGCGAGATCTCCCATTATTTGATCTAATATTATAGTAGAATCATCTATAGATAGAGTTAGAAAGACAATTTCATCAATCTTAATATCTAATACTAAAATAGGAGTATGGTGATATATGAGATTGTACGGCAAGCCGCATGACTCCATCCACCTGCGTGTTTCTAGAACAAACCCCCCAGTTTTCCGATATCAAATCAATTTCCAAAAAAGCAACTGCTCTTGGAGATTTTCCACATCAAGAACAGGAATTTAACCAAAAAAGAGAAAAAGAGAAAAAAAAGAAAAAAGAAAAGAAAAAAGGAATAAACCCGAGGGACATTCCACAATGTACGGGGCACGCACTTTACCCACGCCCACGTTCTGCAAGCGGCCAGGTTCCAGGGCACCTCTATGTAATTATATGACGAGGTATTGTAATTTATGAGGATAGTACTTGACTTAAATATATACCCCACTTACTAAGAATAGGTTCCTTCCCCCTGTACTGTACATGTTTCCCCCGTCAAGTCGCGTCGTGAGAGCAGATCCATGGATCTGGCACCTGGCTCTTGCACTCGACCGTTCCGGACTCTTTTCTTTTCCCCCCCTTCTCCCCCTTCCACCTTTCTTTTCCCCCCCCTCCATCTCTATCCTTCTCCCCCATCCTTTTGCATCCATCATTCTCTATTCTCCAACCTTCCTTTTTTCCCTTTCCCCCTTCCATCTTGAAGAGACGGATTCCGACCTTGATCTATCCCCCGTTGTGATACTGTGTGTGAGAGTGACTCGAAATTCCGCGCGCGCCACTGTCGCAGATCCGATGAGGAGCGAACATCCCGGTTACCTCGACTTATCGATTGAATCGCTCGTCTCGCCCATTCATTTCATACGCGCATTAGCTGTCCTGGTCGCATAATTCGCGCGCTGCAATATCGCTCCTCACAGCGACTCCTGTTTTTTTTCCTCTTTCCCGCGGGCTAACCCTCGTGTGTCGCGACTTCTCGACTTCCTAAAAAATTTCAAATTTTGTGAGGGATGAGCGGCAGCTCGAATCAGTCCACTCGAACGAGTCCCGGCTCTTTCGGAACAACTCAGCGCACAGAGTCCGTATCTTCTGGTTCTTCGCCGACACAACAGACCCTCTCCCAAGCGCCCGCGACGGCTCAGCATGCGATGTCCACCGACGTGTATAGCCCGACTGTCTCGCAAGCGCCAACATCTTTAGGCCCTACTTTTACCTACCCCTTTTCTTCGCCTCTCGGTCCTTCTTCCTCCTTTGATAGCGGAATGCGCCTCGGGGATACCGATCGCAACCTCCAGGGCCTAAATGGCCTGGGGCGCGCGTCCAGTGGTGGAATGATCTTGATGCGCAAATTGCCCAGGAATACTAGCCGTGAAGCTCTTCGCAGTATGCTGCTTTTCGCTAAGGACTTTGTGGATGCCGATTTCGTGACTTCAGATCTCCCTGAAGATGATGGATTTTTGAGTGCGATCGCGCGCTTCAACACTTTGCCCGCAGCTGAAGAGGCCCGTGCTCTCCTGGATGGCAAGCCCAACTCTAAGAACGATGCGAACATGGTGGTTGAGATGTACCCTGGCCCTGTCGGATCCAACCTCTCGAATGCGCGTCGAAACACGATCGATCATACCGCGACGCGTGGCTTGCTTGGTGGTGTCCCCTCGAACGGTCCTTTGTCGCGTCAATCATCCCGGTTCAATGGAACTTTCCAGAGTTTGGAGAGACTGTCAGCTACAAACCCATCTGCGGTGATCGGTGAAGGGTTGCCTTCAGCATCGGAGTCTGGGTCGCGTCTCCACAACCTATTCTCACCACAATCCCCGATCGGAAACGGTGTTGGCGATTTGCCACGCATCACTGGAAAGTCGATGATCGATGAGGATCCTGATGAGGAGACTGGAGAATTGCTGAAGGACCCTGTGGGTTATGCGGAGAATGGCCACTCAGTCTCTGTTGGACGCCGTTCGACAAACCCCCCAGATCCCAACTGGTCGTTTCGGTAGCCTTTCTCTTTCGACCAATATGTCGCCTCCTTTACCTAATTACGCTTCTGGTGGTCCCGGTCCCCGTATGAGTGGAAGCGGCCCATCATCTGCCTACTCTAATAATGTGAATCACGGCCATGGCTACCCCTATGGTAGTCAACACACGCCTCGCCATAGCTTGCCAGCTGCCAACCCTAATGACCTCAACCCACCTTGCAATACGCTATACGTTGGAAATTTGCCGCCCGACACTTCGGAAGAGGAGCTCAAGGCCCTGTTTTCCAAGCAGCGCGGTTACAAGCGACTCTGCTTCCGCAACAAGCAGAATGGACCAATGTGTTTTGTGGAATTTGATGAAGTCGCGATGGCGAGCAAGGCCCTTAACGAACTATACGGTTACAAATTGTCCAACAGTGTCAAAACTGGCATTCGTCTCAGTTTCTCTAAAAATCCTCTTGGTGTGCGCTCTGGTCAACCTGGCAGTATGACTTCTACCAACCCACTTTCCGGCCCCGGTGGAGTTCCTGGAGGCAGCAGTCTAGGTGGCATGCCGAGTCATATGTTTTCTTCGGTGACTGGACCTCCCCCAGGCCTCGCAGCACCACCGGGTCTTGCCATGCCCATGCCGATGCGCAATGGCAACAACATCCACGGCCAGGGAAATGCCCACCCCATGATGAACAACTCTCAGTTCAGCCATAACTCCGGTCTAGGAATACGAGCCAATGGAGCTAATTCAATGATGATGTCTCCACCTCCTGGGAACGCGGCCACCAATAATGCAGGCCCAAACATGAATGGCTTCAATTCCTTCTACCCTGACTACATGATGGGTCGTTAAAGGGCACGCCCACGCTTTCCTTTTCGAGATGATGTCCGGCATGTTTTGATGAATGAACTGGGGTATCGGCGTATTGGGGGGGTTCCTTTTCATTTTCGCGAGCTAGATCAGCATTCGGCGGCTGCATACCTCTCGGGAGTATTGATTCGGGACTCTGCTTTTCATTCTTTCTTTTCCTCTGATTTAATCCCTCTATTTTTTCATGTGCGTTGGCTGTCTTCTTCGTTTTGTTGTATTGCATGGGGACTCGGGCGCTCTTTTCTTTTCACATTCATTATTTCCCCTTGGGAGGATTTGCATTTCAGGTCATTGTTCAGCTTGTATTCTTATTGTCTCTTTATTATGTGGGCACCACACATCGTGTCTGCTTCTGTCCACCATTTTGCGTTCTTCATCACTCCACCCTCATACCCTTCTGTTGCTTAGTTTTTGTTTTTATTATTGGGACTGCTCATATTTGACTTTTCATCCTTTCTATTCTCCTGCACGGCCTTAGGTACTTCGTCATCCACCGTGTATTCAGTGTTATGACCTGCCTAAAAAAAACCGTCAGCTTTATTTGACCGTGATTCCCCTTTTTATCAGCTGATTGAAATTTTGTTTCTCCATTTCTACAACTATGCATCTTCATGTGTCAACTGGAATGGATTTTGCTATTATTTTGTTGCACCTGATTCGCCTTCCCCTATTTCAAGTATCAAAGATGGTGTCTTATGCGGCTTTTCTTTGCCTCCTCACCTTAATATCTCTCACTGCATGGTATGAGCTACGGAATGCCGTACTCTCGACTTCAGTTGTCGACTACGCATTATCGCGGGCGTTTCTCTCCGGCTATAACCATACATCGTCCTTCAAGCAGAGGAAAAGATCAAGGCGTACGGCTATTTTTTTTTTGTTTTCGCTTAACATTCGCATTCATGGATTTTGCTGAAGCCTGTCTCGCTTGCATTGCCACTATTTCTCTTATGTGTTCTATGCTTTTATGCCTCTTTCCTTTTCTTGGGGCGGATTGCTTCGAATTGAGAGGAATCATGTCTGCTTCAATGGTCTAATGGCTGTGTTCTATGATTTTTATGCCTGGGATAAGACGAAGAAATGCGGCGTGTCTTTTATCTCTTTATTGGTATTCGTTGTGCCTTTATTGACTCACTCGTTTCTCTGCCTTGCTGGTGGATCTGATACTGATACATTTGCTTCAATCTGTACTTGATACACAAATGAACCTTTTGCAACTATCTTGATTCAAATGTTTGTAACCTTGGAAGTGACTGTGTATTCTAGTAGTATAGAGGCAAACCTTGCCTATGATATCTGTACTATTTATCCCCACGAGTTCCCCTCTGGGATACGTATCTCCTTCATCAACTGAAGCTACATGATGCCCTACACGGAACATTGAGGGTGGTCCGGTTGAGAGGCTCCACCATACTGAACAAACCACGTGACCACACGCCAACCTTTCCGCGCGGAAAAGTTTCTTCCCTGCCACAACACATACACCTCAACATCCCCCCAATACCCTCAACCTTTATCCCATTCTAGCAGCAGGCTGTTAATGGCCGTTGCCGTAGTGGAATATTGTTCAATTGCTTTATCTTCTCCATAAATCCCCTTCTTTACTTAATTTTTTGGGCATTAGCCCTCTCTACCCAGATGGCGCCCAGGATACAGACTGGACGTGTGTCCAACACCATCCTCCCCTATCTCTCCTCCTCCACATCCTCCTCCTCTTCATCATTCTCTCCGTTATGTCCCTCCTCACAATCCCTTTCCCGTCAATTCTCTGCTACGGCAGCTTCACAGACCAAGCTTCGTCGGCAAATGTTTGAATGGCTTAACACCGAAGGAGCTGCCTACAAGCACCACATTCCCAATGAAACCAATTATTTGAAGGGTGTTCGAGACTTTGAAGCTGGTCCGGCGAAGCCGTTCCCAAACAACCGAAATTTCATTAGCGAGAGTGTTCTTAGCGAAGACCTCCGCAACAAAGTTTACGAGCTAGTTGTGGAACAAAAGAAGAGTATTCGTGCTGTCAGTGTCCAACTAGGCATTGACATGCGACGAGTTGGTGCTGTCGTACGATTGGTAGAACTCGAGCGAAGACAACAAGCACAGGTATGATCATCCCTTTGAATCTATTTCTCTCCCTCTGTCACCCACTTGCACTCCCCCGACGCAATATGATGAGACAAGAAAAAATCGATTAGTCTTGAAGACACAAGCTTTGCTTGACTGGTTAGAAACTTTCCCTTGACTGAAATAATTGCTGTCATCCTATTCATTATCATGACTCTCAAAATCTTGTTTCTCGGCGACATAGCTAACAGAAACCGATTAGGGTAAACCTATGGCAAAGCCATACGCTCGTGCCGTCCATGAAATGATTCCGGTTACACAGCTCGCCGATCCTAATGAGCGCCAAACCTATCACGAGCCCATTAATGACCTCCCTGCCCACCCTACTACCGGTGCACAGATCTTCTACCCTGTCCCCGAATCCCGCTCATTTACTCGTGTTGACGCTGGTCGCGTATTCTCTGCTGCCCCAGCCCTGGAGCACTCGCGTAAAGACGAGTTCGCTCACCCCTCCGACCTTGCCGATGTTGTCTTCGAGAAGCCCGGCTCGATCGAGTGGGTTGGTAAGGGCGATAACGCACGCCAAGTGCTCCAGCCTGCGGATGTGCGTATTCCCCACCCGCAGCTGGTTCAACTTGATCGCGATCGCGCCGCATTCCCTACCGAGCGCCGTGCTGTCGGTGAGCGTCACGCTCAGCGTCTCGAACGCCAGGAGAAGAATGAGGAGAAGCTCCGTGAGAAGGCCCGCTCCCGTCGTGAGGACAGCATTAAGCATGTTGAGCCTGAAGGCGGACGCTTTGACTTCCGTATCAAGGATGCCGTCTTTAGCGAGCAGACTGTAGGCCAGGATGGTCGTGCCCCCTGGGCTCCTGGTCGCCGCTATGGTGTGCCTACCAATGACCGCAAGCGCGGCACAGTCAAGATTCCCACTCGTGTTGAGGCTTAAGTCCTTTACCGAGGGGTATTCCTTTCTGTCGCGTGCTCGTAATGAGCTGTATAACCCTTTTCTGTTTTGTCTTTAAGCGTCTCATTCCTTCGGAATGAAGAATTGTACTTGTACTTATACAACTTTATGGCATTGTCTATCTGCCCATGTATCTATACCACATTAAGGATTATTTTCTTCCAAGCTTCAATCTTGTCACATTTTCGTATCAAGTTCATTTCAAATATTTCGTAAGTACAGAGTCATCGTCTGCATGGTATATCCCAATCTTGAAAATTGGATTAAATCACCGCATCTCACCAACAGACTGGCATCTCTTCCTTCCCTTCCTCACCCCAACCCATGCCCCGAGAGCATCAGCCTCACTCTCACTCTCCGACGGTTCAGCAAAGAAATTCCATAACGATGTCACAATGCCCTGAGTCCATGTTGTACCATGCGTGGTACTAGGAACGCTTGTGCCGGTGGCTCTCTTTATAGAGCCTGGGGTCGTACGAGTGGGAGACTGGTCAGCTGCCAGTGTAGAGGCCAGAGTTGATGATAGAGACATGGCGATTACTATTTCTGGACTGAATCGAGAGTTTCGGTTTTTGTTTTCGATTTCCTGCACTTCAAGTTTGAAGTTTCCGGTTTTTTCAACTTGAAGTTGTTCTGAAGTGCCGGGATCTGTATGTGCAGGTAGAAGCTTATCCAGCTAAACACTGATGCTCGCTTGGGCTTTCGTCTCAAGGGTTCGTGATGAGTCTCGCCTGAAGCTGGTGCTCCGAAGATCTTGAGATTGATGGATGATGGATGGATGTGTTTTCAGCTTGAACTTGAAGCGCTTGAAAGTCCTGCCTGTACTCGAAGTGCCAGACGATGGTATTTATATATCCAAAAACCTACTACTAGTACTGGCAGGTGGAAGTATCCAAGATTCAGATAGTGGCGAGTTGATAGATAGGTTTATCTCGTCACGCCGTTGCAAGTGTTATCATTTACTCGGCACTTGAGTAAATGGGCAGCCACTGGAGGCGAATGAATGCTTATAAGTACTCAAGCAATCTGCCAGGTGGGAGAGGTCATGTGGGGTTACCATGACGATATTCATGCAGATACGGCCCCGGGGGCGCCTGATGCATGAATTCTGCGTATGATGGGTCATGGACTGGCTAGCTGAATATGCAGCTGAAGACTACTCCGTAGTAGTACGGAGTTAATACGGAGTAATGACAACAAAGCAAAAATCCATAGACTCGAAGGGAAAAGAAAGATCTAGAAAAGAAAAAGCAAAGCGGAGGCTATTCGAGTCTGAGTTACACTTATGCGCACGAGGTCCCTTAAATCTTTCTTTGTACTACATGTGATATACTTCTGGTGTTCGATAATCCGGGTGGAGGAACGTGCGTTCAGCTTGAAGCTGTGGGGTTATGGTGGGGGAATCTGATAGGTGAGTTTTGGAAGTAGATCTGAGCAAAAGCAAAAATATCAGTAGTACTCTGTGGTACCTATGCATGTCTGCAAATGTTTATGCGGAAAACTTGAATTTATGTGATGTGATTGGCAAGTGGGCATGTTGACAACACATCTGCATGTGAGCTGAGATGATCCAAGGGTGGAAATGGGAAAATGATTCATGTTGGCATTTGTGGAACATAATAGACATTTTAATGCGATGATCTTCTCCATTTCTAAGGAATATTCAGGTGGTACAACATATTCAAGTTAAATGTTCATTCAGCTTCAAAGTTTTCTACCAAGATTTGAATGAAGATATGGAGATCCGAGTCTCATGTACATCGATTAGATATCTATCATATGTGCATAGTGATGAAATATCAAGAAGGATAGTATAATGAAGATAAAAGCACATTGATGGCTATACAGATCAATATTTGAACATGATCGGGATAAATGAAAAACACAGTTGTCCAACATGCTCAACCTCCCCAAAATGTTAAACCTCTAGTAGGAAATCTGCTCGCCGTAGTAGTCCATGATGAAGTCGACATACTCATCAGAGCGAGCAATGGGCACATTCTCAAAGGCATCACCCAGCTCCATCACAACATGAGTGCCGTTAGCATCGTTGGGAGTCCATTGAGGCAGCTTGCCACTGCCGTGGTACGAGCCACCCTTGTTGGGGTTAAGGGTCTTGGCGAAGTTAGCCCAGTAAGAGGACATCTTCTCCTGGATCTCGTAGTCGATAGCAGTGAAGGGGTAGGTCTCGGTGTTAGCGTAGAGAGCGTTCAGGGCGTACATGATCTCTGACTGGTGGAAAGCACCCTGGTCCTGGCCGGGAGGAGCGTGGGTCCAGTAGTAGGTGTAGAAATCAGCGGAAGCAGCCTTGTACCAGGCAGTACCGTAAGCCCACGAACCGACAACGGACATATCACGGGCGGCGGCGTTCCAGGCTTCGTTGGCGAGGGTGCGGTTGTTCTGGCTGCTGTAAAGGCTGAAGTAGCGGTCGGCAAGATCGCCGTACTTTAGGGTGCAGTAGTACTTGTACTCCTCCAAAGTGTAGTCGTTAGTCGGCGAGGCACCGGACTCATCCTTGGTGTTACCGGTGATGACGGGAACATCGTTGGCGGGTCCATTCTCCAGCGACATGATGTATTTCTCGGGCAGAACGTAGTCGTCCAGCACAGGCTTGAAGATCAGAGGGTACATGGCGGAAATAGCAGTCACCCACCAGATCCAAGTACCGTTGACGCGGTCCTGAGAGCCAATCAAAAGGTCCTCCATTGACTTCTCACGGAGCTCGGAGATAGAAGAGGCGTTGTGGAAGGTGGTGTAGTTGACACCGTGGAAGATCGCAGCCGACATGTTGTTGTAAGAAGTGGCAAGACCAGCAAGCATAGGATCGTTGGGCCAGCGGATTCCGGACTCAGAGATAGCACCATGGAAGTATCCGGAGAAGAGAGGGCTGTTCACGGCGTGGTAGGTCTGGGAAGAGCCGAAAGACTGACCAGCGACAACAACGCGGTCAGGGTCACCACCGAAGTTGGCAATGTTCTTCTGGATCCACTTCAAGACCTCCAGCTGATCAAGGACACCGTAGTTTCCAGAAGTGTTGTGACCGGTAGCTGCGAGACCCTCAGCATTGAGCTCAGGATGAGCGAGGTAGCCAAAAGCATCATCACGACGGTTGAAAGAGACCAGAATGACATCCTTCAAAGCCATACCACCACCGTACCACCAGGTGTTATCACTAGTCTCGTCAGAGCCCTGGTTCCAGAGCATGACAGGGAGCTTAGCATCTGCAGTACCAGCATTGGTCCAGATGTTCAAGTTGAGACAGTCCTCGCTGATGTTAGAGTTGGAGCCGCTAGGACAGGCGTAGCCCCATGTCGAAGCGTCGAAAGTTTCAGTCCAGGACTCGCGAGGCTGAGGGGGCTTCCAACGGTTCTGGTAGGCAGTGTCTGCTGCGAAAGGAATACCCAGGTACGCGGTGACATTGGATTCAGAGCGGTTGAAGTAAGTCTCCAGAGTCGATTGGTTGAAGTACTTGAAGCCCTTAACAGGTCCCAGGTGAGTATCGATAACCTCATCCCAAAGCTGGGCCTCGGCGACAGCAGCACCGAGTGCCAGGGCAGTAAGACCCTTGGTAACGAAGGAGGTCATCTCGCTAGATTGGTCTCAAGACACAGAGCGAGGAGACTGAGGAAATTGGTTGAAGACGATCTTGGATTAAAATATTCATCGCGGACGATCTCCCGGTTTATATATGCCCAGGTGTACGCATTCAGTCCTGGAGGTTTACTGATCCGAGTCAACCAATATCTGGCTCACTACCACCTGAGCAGCAACAAACTTGAGCTCCCCACAAGAAGGGAAGGACCTTACGCATCATCCATGATGATACTTGCCAAGACGGGCATAGTATTTCCGTTCGAAACCACCTGGGCACCGATAGGTACTCAACTTCGTACCTGCATATCGTGAATAAAACCTCGGGTGGACGGCGCCAAGGTCCGAAAACCCAGGATAATCAGATTGAGGGGATCAATCATATCAATTTTCCCCGTCATAAGCATCCAAGACCGAATCCACATTGAGGAGAAGTGAACGCGTATACTTGGCATTGCATGGCTGGTTACAGGGTTGAGAGGCAACAAGGTCCGAACCTGAAGAATATGAGACCCACCAACTGATGTCAAAGCGGGAATTAGTACGACGATCATTCACGAATCAGGAGTCCCTTTGCGAAAACAGGGAGGGCCGCGTGTCTTGAGTTACTTAACTCACTTGCCATCTTCGAGCCTTGGAGGGGATTTTTTGGTGGTGATCGGTCGGATCTTCCAAAAAGAGAAGGCCAGACCGTATCACCGAACGAATTTCCGAAGTCGCACCATTTATGCAGGGACGGGATGATGCAGAGAATCCAGAGTAGCCTGATATACTCTCTTTCGTAACCGAAATGCCGATGAGTGAATTATTGTCCGGTGGTTCTTTACAAAAGTACATAGTAGTACCAAGTATCTCCAGATGTCCAGATCTTACATCAAAACTCGGAGAAATTGATTGGGAGATCGGCTATTCACACCATTAATTCATGATTCATGATACCATAGGGATCGGATCAATTGTTTTCCATCATCCCATCCAATGATGTTATCTAATCCAAGTTGGATGTTCTCAACCTTGCATCACCTTGGTAAACTACTATAAACTCTTTGCCCATAGAGCATAAATCCTTAAATTCCAATATGGCACTAATGGTACATAGAATACTTCCAAGGTTCTCACCAAAGATCTCAAACCAGAACTCACATGGAAGGTGGAGTAATTCTAGAAGCCTACTTCTAGGGGCCTACGACAACATAGGATAAAAAGTTCGCTGAATCTCATTCAAGTTCTTTATATGATCCCTTGATTGTTGGTTTAACTACAGCAGGCAATCTTCAGCTTTAAGTGTTTCTAATCGGCGTAGCGCTGCTGATATAGCATATACAGAGTCAGACCCTTCCAAGCTTATTAACTTCGTTCTGGGAAGTGGCTGAAGGGTCTTTAGGTCATTCCAGGATTGCCATTTTAGATTGAACAAAAAGGTCTATTATTATTTCAAACTTTGACCTCGGGAGTGACCAGATAAACACTGCCCAGGTGCCAGTGGCTTTAGTAAGGAGATAGAGCGTTCACCTCAGGCTCCAGGGCTGGGCACGCATGTGCACATGTGTCAACTTGAACTTGAAAGCACTGGCCCACATCTGAGTCGTTAGTATATTTGCCGCTAACGCTGAGACTACTAGTATGTACATCTGTTTCATGTTACATCGTCATGTACATCCGAGTCATGATAGAACCCTGAATCTACAGCGCCCCCCCCCCCCCCGAGATCGGAAAAGAGACCATACTACATACGTGTAGTATAGCAGGGAAAGGTATACCCATGGACATCCTACATATGTGATATCCGAGTCCTCAGCCTTTTCAAGCTGAAATATTCTTTCGAGCTCTCAATCAAACTTTATATCCACCTACAGGCTGGCTATCAATCTATTCATGTCACAGGCTTCCAAGGTTTCTCTTCTTCATGACCAGCACTTGACTTGGAGTTGACGGTTTCAACTTTTTTTCAACCTTCGAAGTTTATAATAGTAGTGCTGGTATTTATCCAGGCTATCTGTTGAGATGAGGTGCTCTAGACACCTGATCCTCCGTAGGAAATCTAGGGATCACCTTCTCCCTCACTCCTACAGACCACACACAGAGCACATATTTCAGCACTCATTCAGGTCTTCACATATTCCTATCAGGGTATGACACTATTGTTATTGAACTACATTTATACACAAGAAAGTTGAACCTCGCAGGCTCTCGCATCGAGTCAACCCCCCCTCAGAGAAGAGAGAAAAGTCTCACCTTACTCGATTGGCCTGTCTTAGTCTGGTCTCACCAAGTGTTGGTTGGTTTCAACTGTATTTACTGCAAAGAGTCATACTGTCCGCCACCAATAATGACAAGAACATCATCATAATCGACGAAGACAACCCTGATGGCTGGGGTGATGGGCTCTTCCATGTAGAAGAGGATCGCTCCCCAGCTGACTTCCTCCACAACAGTCACGTTGACGAAGATGAAGAGTACACTACTACCAAAAGGCAGCGAAAAATTTGACTAATGGGATCAGGACTTACGGGAAATTATTCTTGTAAAGGATGAGTTCACCACAAACAGAGCACATTCTCCACCATCCATTCAGGCCCTTCCATCTTTCTACCACCATCAAAAGCCCCTCTGACTTAGTATCCGAGTCTGCTCTGGTGTCTGGTTTTGCCAGGGTTCTAACTTGCTGCTATTAATTCAATGAATATTTGAACACTGAGGTTATTTATTCCGGTTCAAGAGATGGCGGACCCGAGGATCATTGTTTTGACTCTTGATATTTCTCCAGAAAACACAAAACCTCATGGTCAACTGGTTCATTCGAGAACTCCATTACATGTGCTTGAAAGAATTGGGACTATTCCTGGATTTTATCTGGAGCATTATGTTGCTTTGCTACTCTTGTCGCCCTCGTAGCGACGGGAGGTCTCCCACCTCCTTCGCCTGCATGGGATGCCGATCATACCAAGAGCCATTACTTCTCACGCAGAGCGGGATGCCGACTTGAAGCAGCCGTGGCACGACTCGTACTTGCGGGACCGATGTGGCTATCCTGCAGCGCCTTGATATCTCAGCAACTGAGCCATCCCTGATTTGCAATTGGGTTCATCTGCATGTGATATATGTGCCTTCATTATCGCATCCGTCTTTCTTGCGGTAAATGAAGAAAAAAAGAAGTCCCGACTGGCTGAGTGTAAATCCGGGGAGCTCAACTGGAGGAGTTGAACAATTCTAGGCAGTCAAAAAACTCAAACAACTCAAAAAACTCAGTACCAGAGTAGTAAAAGAGAGTTCTGTCAATAACCCCCAAGGTTTGCTGTTCCAAACTACTTCTTTCGCATCCAGCCGTGAATAAGCCACACCCTCAAAGACTGCTTTGCACCTGAACACTCACATGCCAATTTCCTATTTACAAGTATCTTTTGTATGGTGTCTCCATACAAAAGATACATTGAAGCACTGACAATTGACTCCAAATTGTAGCTATTTGCAGTTTTTTTTTCTTCTCTTTATTTATCTATCATAAATAGATAATATAAACTTTGAATTATTCTTAAATCTTGTGAAAAGTCAAAAACACGTGTGAAAGGTAAAATGCTAAGCCAAAAGTAATCTTGGATTATCTTGGAATGGGAAAGTTTCCAAGGTTGTTGAGAAGGTTTGGACTAATTTAGATTAAAATTAGAAATGAAAAAAAAACTTGAACTATAACTTTATCTGCTCAAAATTTTCACATTTAAATCCAAAATATACTTATGAATAGGGGGATTTATCTCCTTATGGAGACATCATTCAAAAGTACCTAGAAATCAATTTCCCAGTGGAAATTAGAGCCTGGATCATTCATGCACGGGAAAAGCAAAGTGACTGACACTTTCACTCTCACCTCCGGATGACTAAAGTGGAGTCCTTATTTAGCTCTTCACTAGGGCTAGGGCACGCCACATCCATTGCAATATGAAACTAGGCTGAACGTTATGTTTCATCTCGATCTCATGAAAGTTCATGAAAAGTTTGGTTCGAGCAGATCAGTGCCAGAATCAATTACAGCGAAAAAAAACCGTTGAATATCGGAGCTCAGGGACAATCGCTTTGTTTACATCCCACTTGGTCCATAATATTCGGCAGTTATCTGGATTATTAATGCCTTAATATAACCGTGATCTGCAAAAAACACTCCACTAAAAAACGTCTAGAAGTTCTCCAGACATTCAACTTTACCTATAAAGACAGCTGCGATGGGCCATGCCGCCTACAACTGCAATTAGCTGCAATTACAACGGGATTGCTTCCACTTTTGGCTGAATCACCCGGGAACAGTGGATCGAAGTCTGCAGTTAGTCCACACTTAGTCCGCAGTTAGTCCGCACTTTCAAACGAACTAGACTGACTAGTCTGACTCTCGTCCAATGTGTCTTCACCGTCTTCACCGGGAAATGCATCCTCGGTATCGTGAGGACCCCTTTTTTTTTCAAGCCAAAATCCTTTGTTAGACTTGCAACTGGATGTCTATCAATTTATCAAGCCTTGCCATGTGGCCTACTAGTATACTATCTCCACAACAATATAATTTAGAATTGCTGAAGATATTCAAAGTCGAATGATCGTGTGCTCTGGACCGCTTCCAAAACACTTGCCGATCATCTCGTTACCGACCTCGGGAGCTCCATTTGACCAGTCTAGCCAGTCTAGCCCAACCTTTGCTACGCTAGAGCCGCCCCTGAGGATGTGGATAATCTTGATCTCTCATGCCGGGTGTCCACTCTGCGTCGGCTTTGCGGATAATCCTTAAAATCAGCATCTCTTTAAAAAACCCTTTTCCCCACAAATTTCTCCTGTCATGTCTCGCTGTCACTTCTGCCATGACGGACGAAGCTACAAGAAATCTGGCTGTGAAGACGGTTGCGGCCGTCTTCATGCCAGTGGCCGTGATCTCGGTTATGCTTCGCTGTTATGTGCGCGGCTTTGTGGTCAGAGCATTCGGTCTGGATGATGCGGCGATGGTATTTGCAGCAGTGAGATTTCCTCCCATATAAACTAATCCTTCCAAAGTTTATTTACTTGGACTTATGCTGATTTTCGTTTCGCAGTTCTTTTATGTGATGTTCTGTGGGTGCATGATCGGCGGTACTTTGTATGGCACTGGATACAAATTCGTCAATCTCGAACCAGACAATCGAGCCTCTGCGATGAAATACTGGTGGCTTTGCGAAACCGCATACTGCTTTGCCTCGATTGGTTGCAAGATCTCGGTTTGCATTTTCTTGATGCGAATCACTGTTAAGAGAAGCCATATCTGGACGCTGTACACCGTTATGATCCTCACCGTGATTGCTGGTCTGGTGTTCTTCTTCTTGATGCTGTTGCAGTGCAAGCCGCTGTCCTATTTTTGGAACAGAAAAAAAATATGATCCATCTATCGAGGGATATTGCATCAACATCGAAATCATTATTATCATGACCTACATTTACAGTGTGTTCGCGGCGATGTGCGATTTCACTGTTGGTATTCTTCCGATTTTCCTTGTCTCGAAATTGCAGATGAAGAGAAAGGCCAAGATGGCTGTTGTCGGCATTCTGAGCATGGCTTGCATGTATGTGGTCCCATGATCCCATCTCTTTCTTTTTGGATTATGATTGACAGATTTTAGTGCCTCATCAGCGGTCATCGTTCGATTTCCTTTCGTTGAGACATTTGCGAATGATGACTTTCTCTGTATGTTGTCCTGCCCTTATCAATTTTTTGTCCTTGATCTAACAGAAACCAGGGGCTACTTACCAAATCGCGATCTGGTCCTGTATTGAAGCTGGTCTGGGTATCACCGCAGGAAGTCTCGCAACACTCCGTCCTCTTCTCCACCACTGGCTTGGTTCTCGACCTGATAAATACAACTCGTCCGGATTTCCTCGAAGATCAAACTCACGTCGTGTTGCCAGCGGACAACGTGGATTGCCACTGGGATCGCTTGATGTGTCACATAGAAGTGAGCTTCGACCTGATAAGCTGGCAGTCATGGTGACCAATATCGAGAGTCAAGGCATTGCGAGCACGTGGCGACGATCGTCCTCAGTGAGCAGTAGCGAGCAGGCGTTAACAAATGAGCGTTCATCTCAGATTCCTGGAGGAAAGATTCAAGTCGGTGTTCATCAGACGTTTGAAGTTACGCAGACCACATCAGATGAGATTGGAGAGGGGTCTCACAGATCCGCTAGGGAACATGTATAAACAAAATTTATCTAATAGAGCATAGCATTCAGCATCCGAGATTTACGACAGTCATGACTGAAAATTTCAATTCCTGTATAATAACTATTGTTTTCATCTCAAGTAAATCCATGTATGCGGTACCTCGTAATTGCACTCGTAATTGCACCCTCGTCAGTTGATCATTTCAATACCTGGTTCACGAACTGATTAGCCACAGCAATATCCTTGTTCTCAAGCTTGAATACATACCTCTTCAGTAACTTGAAGCTCAGTCTTGGATGTCGCAGCATTATTATATAATGCCACTATCACATCACATCTTCCTGGCCCACGGAGCTCCCCTGCAACATTCCTGCTCCAGGTTGAGGATATTCCGATATCGCACATTCCTCATATACTCCTTCTGCTCGTGAGACATCTCTCGCACTCGATAAGAGTCCTCGAAGCCATTCGTTGCCATGGAATGAATGCCGTAACAGATCAAAGTGAGGACGATGCAGCCGATGATTATACAGAGAACGTAGAGGCTATATTCTGATTGCGTGGCCATTCTTTAAGGCATGACAGAGTCAGCTAAGGCTGAAGAGCCTCTTTAAAGGCGGAGCCCTAGTGTATCTTACTTGAATAAAAAGAGTACCTCGAGACTCGGATCCAGCTGCGTGTATATAGGCGGGTTTAGGTGGGTTGGGGGAGTGATAGACTGAGCAACTTCAAGTTGAATTTCACCTTGAACGCGATCGAAAGACCATAGCCCTCTTTTTCTCGAGGGGTTACCTAAAATCTGTCAGATACGCGATTTTATTCATATCTAGATTCTATTTGGGTTAGCCGTGTTCTTTTTCTGTACTAGTTTGTAGCATTGATCTTCTCTTGCATACAAATGGAGTCTTTTTAATCTATAAAAAGTATGGATGACGTCAGGAACCCGAGCGGGCCAATCGCATATCGATCCTGAAGTAAATAAGTAATCCACTACAACTTGATGACATTACATGTAGTAGAGAAATCACTATTGGTATACTAGTATACGGGGATTTTGTTCTATTTAGTTTAAATACTTGGTCAGAAAGAGAAAACATTTGATTGACCTATCCTCATAACTATGACTAAATGGACCCATGGCTCTTTATCTTACCAGGTTCCTGGTTAGCCCTGAAAATGTTGGCTATTACACCTACTTAATCTTAATTATCTTATATAAAGCTAAAGTAAGAGATATCTGAATTAAGAGGGATACATATAGTTATCCTTCTTTTTCTGCAATGGAAGATGTACTAATATGATACGGATGATTTCCATTGAGCATCTCAAATCTTCCAAGGTTACCTACAGCCTTGGACGTTAAAAATGTTTGCGTTACGATTTTTACCGCCTCTCCCTCGCCTTTTATATTAATATAGCTCTAAAGTATAGGGGATAGATGAACTGACAGAAACATACGTCCGCGGGTGATTATAACAATACTGAATCCATTCGATAGCGATTTGATTTACAGTTTGATTCAAAGACTCTTAAGTTATATACACTATGGATGGTGTGTAGGTTGTTCAATTTATTGAATGTCCTGGCAGAAAACAACCAGGCCATGCGCTTTCAGTAACTAGCTGCGCTCTGAACAACCTCAGTGCATCCCACAGCCTATACTCTTGTGCCGGGTGTTACCACTGACAGCCTACCTATTGGTATTGTCTCAGAGGCCCTGTATACTATCCGCTGACAAAATACACACTGGCAAAAGCAGCTCTTGGAGCAGCGCCCCCTGCCCTCGCTATACTGTCTATCGCCAGCAAATTGTGTACACACCGGACCCCAACCACGTTCTTAAACTAATCGTGCATCAAGCAATGTCCGAATGGAACGATAGTCATCCTATGCTGAATGACACAGAATGGCAGATCGTGGCGCAGATATTTCTTGTCTCCTGGTCACCGAACTCTTGTCCACTGACGCGACTCTCCTATAATTTGCACTGATGACGCGCGAAGCGCAGTGCCTTCGCGCGGCGCTATGACTTGTGTACATAACCATGGAAATCGCACTAACTTGAAGCGCCATGGAATAATAGGTGCAGGTCATAGTACAGCCGTAACGGGAAAAGGTAAAGGAAAGAGAGATATGATTTGGTTACAAGTCAAAATCATCAAGTCCAGCCCGGCTTAACGTAGCAGTTCTTCAAGGACACAACGGGCCTCGCGAATGGCATCGCTCATTGGGCGTGCCTTGGAACTCCCGAAGTATGTCATTCCGATAGTGGCTGCCTGTCAATTGACCTCTTTGGCCATCAAAAAGGTTGGAAGGTGAGCAATCACAGATAGAGACGCATCCTTCATCGCAGAATGGCCTGGAATCTGCATGGACCATATTTATTTCGGGGTCTAAATCCAACAACGCCCTGTGCCATTCTGAGTGGAATTCTGTCTGCTTACTGATTAAGAAAGTTAGTACTTTAGGACGGCTTGAATTGCTACTCAGTATACTCACTGGGTGTACCTTCTGCGGCTCAATCCACCTTCCCCAATTCCAGCTCCGACATGGATATTCTCAGACTCCTTTGGTGATGTCTGCCCAGGAATCACACCCATGGCAAAACTTAACAGCTTCAAGTAAGACCCCATAGCTCTCGTCTCTTCCAGTTCAGGGCTCTAACTTGGTCGATCTTTGGAGCATTTTCTTGGTTTAAAATACCCTTCACGTCTTTCATGCTGCCGACACTCATCCAATGCAAAATGAGGCCTGTCGATATTTTCGGAAGGATGAATTGCCATATCGGGGCATTGTCCTTTTTCTGCTTCAATTTCTCGAAAGTAAACTTCACCATCTCGTAGAAAAGAGGGTAGCTTTCTGCATCACTCATATAGTGCGCTGGAATATGAAAGTCTGGGACTAGGGCTTGCTTGTGTTGTATAATTGCTGCGGCACGGGGATGGTCGTGGGTGGCTGCCACAATCTCCCGGAAGGTGTCACGACATCGATGGAACGCACGCAGTTCTGACATGTCGGCGTTAATCTGGGAGAGCATGTCGTTCAACACAAGCGATGACTTTAAGGGCATGGAAGAGTTTATCTCGAGCACACATACGGCGCTATATGTAGCCAGAAAATTGGAAAATTATGTTCCTGGCTATGAAGCTCTGTTAAATTAACGCCCTATATCGCGATAAGCCTGAAATTTAATCAAGCACTTGAGCACTCATGTTTACATACCTACTCAACTGGATACTCCTCTATTTATGTAACTACCTATGTATAGGCGTAACTACAGGTTTTCCTACAGGTGTATCTATATGATATAAATAGGGGTACCTAAAGGGGTAGGCTAACTGCTGCCTAACCTTAGTATAAGTTGCACAGGTTGATAAAGAAGAAAAATAGAAGTATTAGCTATGAGCGATCAGTCAAATTCAAAAAGAAATATAGATATAATGAATTCATAAGGTAGCAATGGCACCTACGGTGCTGGATCACATAAGAATAATTCAACAGGAGTTTCGTGACACATCATTCGTTCTCAATTTCCTTCCCAAGAGGTGGGATGTTTCTAGCTTTGGAGCTTCAACGCTCCTTTCCATGAGTTCGACTGGGTGTACTAGGGATTCTTCAAGAGTCACACCGACCTCTTGAAGATCACAGACGACGTTCCACAAACACCATGCCTCCCATGACATGTAGAGCAGGCAAAAGAAGGACTCATCGGTCTCAAATGCATCGAGGACTTCTGCATGCATTTGTGGCTGGAGGTCCTTAATTGCTGCTGCAAATGCTTGATATGAATCTTTAGCTTCGTGGAGCGTCAATTTTACCAAGATGCCTTTCTTGGTCCTGGGGCTTGCGCGGCTTAGAATGCGTGATGGACTACCTCCTCGAGGTGAGGTAGGCTCCTGAGGTGAGGTGAGGTCTCGAGGTGAGGTAGGCTCCCGAGGTGGCTTGAAGATAAATCGGATCGGGGATCTAGCAGTTTGTATGGACAAATATGGCCGCGGATCATCCTTAACCGCTAAGTTAAGAATTTGTTCATATATCATAGGGACTGTCATGAATGATCCCTTGGCCTTCATTTCACATACTGCCCGGTGTATCCTCTGGGTAAATGACACTTGTTGTGTGTGACGCCCAACGGAAATGGTATTGCTTGCTGCGAGGATGTGGGTGGTCCTCGGGAGAGAGGAATTATCTGCCTTTGCACCAAAGCAGCAATCCAGGATTGCGAGCATGTCAACACCTTTGTACTCATGGTCAGAAGATCCCCAAGCGGAATGCATGTTGTTCCATGACACCTGTTTCCCTTTGTTTGTCAGCGTAAACTCCCGGTTGGCTGTAATTTTCCGTGGCCTGCATAGTACAGCACAAGCAGAGATGGTTGCATGGCCGGTTTGTGTCTATCTGCAAGGATCTTTCGCATCGCATCCAAAACATCCCATCCGGGGGTCCGGCAATTCTTCTTCAGCATCAAAATGATATATTCAATACCAAGCGGGGTTATCAAAAAGTCTTTCATGGTGTTAACATCGGCCTGGGCGTTAGTCTCGTCATCTTCCCAGTACAGCAGCAAAGCCGATTGCTTGATGTAGATCTTCCCAAGCGCGTTTGCCACCTCTTGGAGATCCTGCTTCAATTTGTGAAGCCCGCCTTGGGGCTGAAAGTGCGTTCTGGCTGAGGGGCAAGAGGGGAGGTTGACTGAGACTCGGCCATGTTGAAGGTCTGAGGCTTTGGATCAGCGCGGAGACGTAGTTGTATGACGGTATGATGATGAAGCGTCGTGGCAAGGTGATGAAGTAAGTGCTGTAGGGATGAAAGTAGTGAAGTGATGTAGTAGAATAGTAAAAGGTTATAAGACATCTAGAGCCCAAATCTATAGATTATTAGGATAAGGTTATGTTCACAACCTTAGACTAGGAATCGACAACTAAACCTAATTAGGCTCCCATGCTATGTTCCAAGGTTCCAAGGTTATATCCAAAACTTCCTCTAGTATATCATAATATAAGAAATCACTTCATTCTAATCTATAGCAACTTCCAAGGTTGAATTGGGCACCTGGGATATTATTCTATCTAGTAAGCACCACCAATCCCTACTATACTTAAAGCATGGACTACTATAATGTGGAGAGAGTCCTTACCAAATAAAAGCGCTATGTAGGAACACCAGCCTTTTGTCATAATTCTTTCACTTTACCATATCTTAGCTCTCACTTCATTTATCAGTGTGGAGATGTAGGCAGCTGTGCTATGTTCATATTGGAAAATATCTCGAATTTCAGAGCTTTGTTGTTCACATGCATTCAAGTTCCCTATTCTATTGAATGCGTTAATTCTCAACTATAATACAATTCAAGTTACGGCCGAGTAGCGGCAAACTTCCCAGAACCAAGAATATCACCATCCTCCACCTTCCCATTCAACGCCCGGTCAATACGAAACTGAGTAGTCTGGAACAGGCTAGGCATCTCGGTCTCTTCAAACCTGACATCATCAATGATCATCTTGGCCAGTTCTTTAGAGGCGAGCCAGATGACTGGCATGCCGTGGCCATTGAAACCCGCCACGATAAATTGATCTTGCTCACCAGGTACAGTACCAATGTGAGGATTCGAGTCATATGAATATCCCATAACGCCTGACCAGATTTTGTCAACTTTAGCGCCAGTTTGCTCCCACCCGTTATAGGTCTTCTGCATGTACTCTGTGTAGTAGTCCTTTGCAACTTCGATCAAAATGCTATCGTCCACGTTATCGTACCACTGGTCTTCGGAAGATCGGAACACAGCAGCGGCACCTCCAACAACAATACTACCGTCTGATCGAGGGATCAGATATGAGAGTACGTTATCTTCAGTTCGGTTGATATATGAGTCGTTGAGCAAGGGCGCAGTTGTTCCTTCCGGAACAGTGATTCGACAGCAGATTCCCTTGCATGGGATAATGTTCTTTCGGTATTGTGGAAGAACGCCAGAGACATATGCGTTATTGGCATATACAACCTTTCCTGCGTGTGTCTTGCCTCGGGGGGTTGTCACAATGTACCCGCCCTTAGGATCTGCCTCTACTGATGTGACAGGTGTATGTGTCTGCAGATTGACACCAGCTGCGAGAATCAAGCGTACGAGGTGCATGATGAATTTGTATGGCCACATTGTACCAGTTGTGAAGTTTGCACATGCCTTTGCACCCTTGACACCACACATCTATATCAGGTGTAAGTTGGAATTCTTCTGCAATATGACTAATAGATTGAACTTACCCCTTCCGCTCTCTCCCCAGTATAGAACACGACATCGTCCATGTGAGGGAAATCGCCAGCCGTCATTCTATCATAGACTGCCTTCGCTTTCGTCGCAGCCTCTTCATTACACCAGACATCATATGAGCGAGCCAGGGTAAAATCACAATCAATCTTTTCTTGCTCAACGATCTTCTTGATCGCTTTCAGATTGGCAATCTCAAACTCAGCAATTTCAGCAGCAGCTTGTGTCCCCGCCCGATCGATGTATGTGGGAATGTGACCATAAAAGTCGGGTCGACAGTGACCACCATTTCGGCCAGTGGCACCAGAACAAGCACCCCGAGCCTCCAAGATCGTGATTGACTTCTTCGCATCACCGTGATCCTTGACAAGATGATAAGCAGTGCCTACTCCAGCATAGCCAGCACCAATGATTAAAATATCACTGTGCTCAGGCAGCTGCTCCGTGGATCGATGATCGTGAAGCTCATCCTTCTGGGTTTGCCAAAAGGTTTCACCAGGAGTGACAGTTGGAAGACACTTGGCTGTTCCAGCGGTGTAAGTTTCTGATGTACCATTTGGTTGAATCATGATTGAGAAATTGACTTTGAAAAAGGTATGAAGAAGTAGGAAGAAGCAAAAATGATCCTTGCGTCTTCCCAATAAAGCTCTTGTTTTTTTTTTATAATGAGTCTTGACCGACACTTTGATACCCCGGTTACCGGGACACGGCAATCTGGTCTATCTGTCTCTATCAGTCTATCAGTCTTCTATCAGTCTATCTATTCCACCTTATCGCATCTTCCGCCGGACCGGTACTGCCCAATCTAGAAATCTATACTTCAGCCCCACCAAATTGCCTCCCCGCATAATTCAACATGGACAGGGGTAGGGTCAATGCGCATGTTTGACGTTAAGATTGTTATCAAAAGAGGATGCCGGTATAGATCCGGTCGAATCCACAAATCAAACAAGCCATTTCTCCGTTAACCGCGATAAGCTGTGAAGGACCCATCATGATTGGTGCCCGACACAGTCTAAAGAAGACTTGCAGGAAAAAAAACACCGCCAAGGTACAAAAACTAAAAAGCAAGTTCATAAGCTGATTTTTTCGAAATTGAAAGTTCTTCCATTCATGTTAGAATTCGTTCTTAAAGATGTCCATCTCTTCTCTTAACCACCGTTTTGGTGATGATGGAAAGGACTTCATTACACCCGAGAAGAAATATCCCACATACGACGCCGAAATGCAGAAAGAGGGGGATGTGGAGAATGCAGCGGGTCAATTGGAGGAAATCACCGAATTCAACCAAGGCCTTCACCAACGGCATATTCAGATGATTGCTCTTGCTGGTACTGTTGGCACTGGTCTTTTTCTAAGTTCAGGGCGTGCAATTGCAGATGCTGGACCTCTGGGTGCCTTTTTGGCATATTCCACAATTGGCCTCCTGGTTTCAAGTGTTGTGTTTGGAGTCGGTGAAATGGGTGCTCTGGTTCCACTTAATGGTGGTGTGATTCGCTATGCAGAGATATTCTGTGACCCTGCCCTGGCCTTTGCCAATGGTTGGAACCAAGTGTATTCCTATATCGTCTCAATTCCAGCTGAACTTGTTGCTGCCGCCGTGATTGTTGAATTCTGGATCACCATTAATGCTGCAATCTGGGTGACTATCTTCGGTGTTTTGATGATTGTTACCGCGCTCCTCTTTGTACGAGTCTATGGTGAACTTGAGTTTGGGTTCTCCATTCTAAAGATTATGCTGATCATTGGAATTAACATCATGGCCCTGGTCATTACATGTGGTGGAGCACCCAATCACAAGAGCATCGGGTTTGAATACTGGAAGAGTCCGTACGGTCCATTTGTCCAGTATCTAGGAGTCGAGGGCTCACTGGGCCGATTCCTTGGTTTCTGGACTGTATTCAACAATGCTCTTTATGCATATTCGGGTATCGAGAACATCACTGTCGCTGCGGCTGAGACCAGAAACCCTCGACGTGCAATTCCTATGGCTGCTCGAAGAATATTCATTCGTATCATCCTCTTCTACGTGATAACGATATTTATGGTCGGCCTTGTCGTCTCCCCTACCGATACCGATCTCCTCTCCTCAACCGGCACAGCATCCGAATCACCTTTCGTCATCGCCGCTCGCAAAGCCGGAATCAAAGTCGTCCCCTCGATTATTAATGCCGTCGTACTCTCCTCCGCTTGGTCCTCGGGAAATTCCAATATGCTAGGCGGTTCTCGAATTCTTTACGGAATGGCCAAGCAGGGCCATGCCCCTGCGATTTTCAAGCGAATCAATCGTTTCACTATTCCCTACGTTGCCGTCGCCCTGTACAGTGTCTTCATGGCATTGGGATACATGACTGTATCAAGTTCTGCTAGCACTGTCTTCACATGGCTACAGGACATCGTATCCATTTCAACAATCGTGAACTGGCTATGTATCCTCATCGTTTACCTTCGATTCCTCTACGGATGCAAGAAGCAGGGTATCAACCGTCACACAGAACTGCCATGGGCAGCTCCATTTCAGCCCTACACCACCTGGGCTTCCTTGGTTGTCTTCATTCTCCTGTTCTTAACCGGAGGCTATAGCACTTTCATGAAGGGCCGCTGGAGTAACGAGACATTCATCTCATCATACTTCAATCTGCCATTCATCCTGATGGTATATTTCGGATATAAGTTTTGGATGAAGACGAAGATTATTCCTTTGGAGGACATTCCTATTCGGCCGTTTATTGAACAGTATCAGAATAACCCCGAGCCAGAGCCCGAGCCTAAGCGTGGGCTTCGAAAACTCAATATCTTGTGGGAATAATTTTGTATACCCTGTACATAATTCAATTGTTTTACTTCATAGCGAATCTATTTTTTTCCAAGTTCACATTTATTCCATACTCAAGTACTTAATGCTCAATTAGTAGTATCTACGTGTAACTGAAGCCCCTTCAAGTTGTACCCGAGTAGTAGTGAAAACTTGAAGGATCTAGTCTATTGAATCCATCAAAGAGCACTGAACAGCCCAGATCGATCATTTCATTCTGTTACATAAGTACTTTACATTTCGCCCTCGGCATGGATGAGTTGAGATACCCTTATCATGGTTCTCCCAAAATCATGATTCATGACTTCCGGAATCGATCCAAGAACAGATACCAGTCCGTCTATCTCGCTATCAAGATAGGGGACAGATTGACAATTTATCATAAAATATTCAGGAGATTCGGAGTCATTGTAAAAATCCGGTTGAACCAATAATGTGTAACCGGGCCGGACTTGCCTAATCGGGTAAAGTGTAATCAAATGGATGCCGGCATCGGGATTGAACCGCGGGGAAGAGCTAAAGCATTTGATAAAAAATAATTTGATAGATAGATGCACGACATATTCTTTTACGCTGTGAACTGGAATAGGTTGACTCAATTGCTCTTTTCATCCCGTATATCCCAACTGCCCAATCGCCGACCCCGCATCCTATAAACCATAAGACTCGGAAACAACACTACTAGCAGCTCGAAATCGAAGCAAGATCCAACTTTTGAAGCTCAACACATACCTCACCATCATTATGTCTCCCCAAAAGCACGTCGTGTTCGACGTCGTCGGCACATGTGTCTCCTTCGACGCCTTCTACGCCGGTATCGACCGGGTCATCGGCCAGAAACTCCTCTCCCACAATATAACCGCTCGTTCATTCGGTTTCACCTGGATGACAGCCGCAGAGCTCGAATTCACATTCCTCTCAATTTCAGAGCGCTACAAACCCTACAAAGAGATTCTTCAAGCCCTCTTCTTTCGAACCCTATACATGATGGGCGTAGAGAACCCACGCGACTTCGCAACAGAATCCGAGCGAGACGAGTGCGCACAAGCCTATTCCGAGCTGGAGCTCCGACCTGGCACGAAAGAATGTTTCGGCAAACTTAGAGAAGCCGGGTTTACTGTTTGGGCTTTGACTACTGGTGATGCGAAGCGTGTACGGGGTTACTTTGAGCGTGCGGGATTGGATATGCCTTTGGAGAATTTTATTAGTTGTGACTCGCAGGGCGTGGCTAAGCCGGCACTTGCGGCTTATAGACCTGCTCTGGCGAGGTTTGCTGAGGAGGATGATAAGTGGTTTGCTGCGGCTCATATGTGGGATGTTACGGCTGCGGTTAAGGTTGGATTTCGTGGGGCTTATTGCACTATTTATGAGAAGGAGTCTTGTGCGGAGATTTTTGATGCGGAGTTGGAAGTTACAGAGGATACTTTACCTCTGATGGCTGAGGGGATTATTGCTGCGTCAAAGTAATTAGTATTCCAGTATTGTATAGAATGAATAGATATGTGAATTCAAATGATTGATGTTATACATTTCATAATAGATTGGAATATTTGGCATTCTATCTGTTCATCACTCCCTGGGTTTCGAATCCAGAGTTTGTGAGAAACTGCTCAAGAACTTGGGTCTCTGTCCAGGTAGGCCACGCTGCAGATGGAGAGGAATTCTCAGGGCCAAAGATGGACATCTCAATCACGGAATCAAAATCTCCAAGCATGCTGGCGTCGAAGTCTCTGTATAGTGATTCCCCGGATTTATCCAAGTCTCCCATTTGATCGTGGAGAGGAGGCTGATCTGAAGATGAAAGTGGTCGTATTTGACCAGTAGACGCACTCGCCGACATTTCAGATGCGTCTATCCCTCCTCGGAATTTCGTCCCCCAGTGTCTGAAAGCCTCATAATCCGATACATTATGTCCCGGCTGCTCCATACTCTTATCATGCTGAGATTTCTGTGCTTCAGTATGTAAGTGCGCAAGAGCACGCTCAAGTGTTTCGATCAAGGAAACCTCTGAACGAGCAGACTCGCCAGCAGCAGACATTTCTCGAATCATATCAAGACCACTATAAAGCAGCTTGCGGAACTGCTCAGAGAAGTTCTGAATCGAGTAAGCGATCAACACAAGTAATGAAGCTCGACATGAGCTATACTCGATATACGAGGCTCGTGCTAGCCCTTCTCCGTTGTCCTTTAGATCTTGACAAATTCCCAAGGCCTCAGTCGCGGCCTTGATGCAATCATCGACTAAGTCGCTGCGGCTCGCAAGGTATCTTTGGTTCCCGCTTTCCGTAGCTTGGAGAGCCCCAGGGCTTGTTTCCGAATGCATAGGCGAGACATCTGCGGCGTTTGATGTTTCCCGCTTTAAAAGAAATGGGCGCCCGATGAACATTCGTACCAAACAATACTCCAGTCTGAGGTGCATTTTTGAGCGAAAATCTATCGGTTGGTAACTTCTGATAGCGACGACATCTTCTGGAAGGGATTCCCACCAGTTTCTCAAGCGTGACGTGCAGGCCAATAGACTCTTGATCACCCTGGGTATCTGTTGCTTTGGAGAATTGCGAAGAACGTTTCTTTGACAGTCAGCCTTGATAAAATGCGACCTAGTGTTGGAAGAACAATATCTTACACTTCATTGAATAGGTCCTCGAGGAAATTGATCAGTTGGATCGATGCTTCTGCACGCGCGACACTTGCCTGAGAATCACCCAGTTCAAGATCCGGCTGATGGAGTGGTATGCTTGCATCAACATCTGATCTGAGAACAGATAGAGGCCGACCATGAAATATCGATATTTTCCTAGTAATGTGAGCCAAATCCACGGCCGACTTCTGTTTCTCATCCGCCCCCTTAGTGTACCCACCTCTCGAGTAGATAAGCCGTCCACCAAACACGATTACGAGTCTCTATCATCTTGGGACTAAATGCACCATCTTTGCATTTGCGGTGCATTCCATTCTGCATTGCGAGTCGGATAGCAAGGTTAACATAGATATAACCCAGTCCTGACGCATCCACGGGAAGAGCATAGTAACCCAAGAGCAGACAAGCCTGAACACTCTCTAGAGACGAGAGCTCAATGATTTCAGGTAGCAGTCGAACGGCCTGTTGATAGAATGTTGTACCGATATCTTCCTCTGCAAAGCCAGGTTCCATGGTATTAGAACGTCCCGCGGTATCATCAGCTGAGGACTCAAGATGTGCGTATTGTGTTCCAATAGCGAAAACCATAAGCAGAATGCTGATGACTACTTCACCACCCTTTTGGGTAAAGCTTGCCGGATCCCTGTAGAGCAGTTCCATTTTCTCAACAAGCCAGATTTGCCCGACAAAGAAATAATGTGTCTCTGCGTACTTGAAGAACGTCCTTACCAGGAAGTCGGCAATTTGTCGAGGAGGGCAGGATGAGATTGCTGCTGATAGATGAGCTCGTCCCGGCCTTAATTGGTGGGCGCGTGGAAAATCCGAGACCTCATCCGAGTCTTGCGGCTGTGAATGTATTAGTCTAGAGAATTCCATTGAGAGAAACAGTTGCATAATCTTACCTGACTTCCTAATCCTTCCATCTGTTTCTCAATATGACTCTTCACACGCATGGAGAAATTCCAATATGAGAATTCGCCAGAAAAGTCTGCTTCACATCAGCATTATCACAGCTTAAGAATCATAATTTCAAGACACGAACGGGTAGTGGTATCGCTAATGGGATTCATCGTGCAAGCCTCCTCGTCAATGACGAGTCCTTCAATCTCTTTGACATCTGACGCATCGGCATCAAGAGCATCTGCCAATCTGGCTAAGCTCTTCGTATCAAGCCTAATCCCTTCGATGGTGCGTTTCAATATCCGTTCCATATATTTTGAGCGCTCAATCTGCTCTTGGAAATCAGATCTTCCTGCGCGTTCCCTAGAATCGTTCAATACTTCATCATCTTGAAAAGTGTTTGTTTGAATCCGCTCACCGTGGAACATAGCTTCGAAATTCCCGTGTCCTTGACACCAGCCCCTTGAATTCACATTGGCGCTGGAAATGCGAACACCTTCTACATGGGGCTCCACCTTCACACTTCTCCTTCAGACGTCGGCACTCATCACAACTAGTATAAACAGTCAGATATGATGATCGTGGTTCGCAAGAATCTTGAAACTCACGCTCGGGCTGCTCGTTTCCGATGGTCCATAGGTATAAATGGGTCTGAAATGGGTGTTTTTGTAAGGCAACTCTGTGATTAGAGAGTACATATTAACCCCATGTCTTCGAACTGTGGGGTTCAACTCTGTGACTAATGCGATAAGAAGACCCGAGAGACCAATGAGAGTGTTTGATTAGATGTCAAGCATCGGAGAAAAGCAAACATGATCAAACAAATCCAACATTAATGCCATGTGGCACTCGTTTAATCGGAATCGTTTTCACCTCATGTTCCTTACCTAGTATAGATTTATACTGTCCATATGTGGAGTGTGGAGTGTCCCCGGGGACCTTGGAAGTGCCAGATGGCCCAGATCTCGTTCACGGCGGGCTCCGAAATGGGATAAGGCGTTCAAGAAACCGGGCCAATCAAAAATTCGTCTAAAAACGAAAGCCACCAGTAATTGGGCCACGCAACCATATTTTCATTCAGTCCAAGTCCTGTCAGACGAACACAAAAAACTTTGAGTAATTCAATATGGCGGACGAAATATTGCCACAGCAATCTGTGCGAGTGCTGGTCCCGTCGCTAGGCCCATCAATCGAAAGCACTCGGCTTCTTCTTCGCCCCGTTGAAGCCCGTGATACTCCTGCATTACTCGCTGTTCGTGGAAGGCCAGAAGTGGCAAAGACCAAGTGAGCGTACTCCGACAGCTGGTTAGACTCATGTCCTAATGTTGACAGCTACCCCAAAACACCATTCCAGTCAATTGAAGAAACAGAGGAATGGATATCAGGCAAGATCTTTGCCAAAGGCCCAGATGATGTGATTGGTCGTTCTTTCAATTATTCCATTCTGGATAAATTGATTCCTGAGTCTGAGGAACAGGTGATCGGTTATGTGAGTATTAACTCGCTGAGCCCGTGTCCGGACATCGGGTACTCGCTTCTTCCGGAGTCATGGGGCAAGGGATACGCAACAGAGGCTTTAGAAATGCTGTTGAAAATGTGGTGGGATCTACCCCGGAGACCATCGGATCCTACAGGATCTGTTGATATGGAGAAGGTCTTCGCGATTTGTGAAAAGAAGAACCCTGGGAGTTGTGGTGTATTGAAGAAGTGCGGATTTGAGGTGGTGAAGGAGTTTCGATTCGATGTCGACGAGCTATACATATGGTCTTTGAACAGACCGGATCAGACTGTGGATGAAATTGTGAAATATCGTTACAGAGAGACTTAGATCAGAATTGTTTGTATTGATAGGCATACTGCCGGATCTAAATTTGAGATATCCGTGTTCTTATAATTCCGCTTCATCGACGAGTTCTAGCCTGCTTCCCAGATTGATCATATCGCGACCGGCTTTGTCAATCGCCGACCACTTGCTTTGTCTCATGTCCTTCTTGTTGGAATCGCTCTGGGGAGCTTGGGACTTCCGACTTGGGTAAACCGGAGGATTCAGGAGATATGAGATTGGCACCCAGTTGTTCACAATACTGAGATAGCACATGTTGAGAAGTGGGGGCCACGCAAACGAAGTGAACACTTCTGTCGCCCAGCATGGCTCACCGGGAGACAAAATGGTGGCCGAGGAGTAGAAGACTGCACCCAATGTCAAGGCAAGTGTCACAACGTTGCAGAAGATTCCGTTCTGCCACAAATCTGTGTAGAGTTTCATGTATGAAGACATGACTGCGCTTCTATTCCAGGAATTCGCAGTGCTGCCTGTTACAAATGATCCCTTTGGCTTACTGGAGAACAGATAGAATCGAAGAATGGCGTAGATATTTCCTATAGTCATAATTAGCAATCTGGAATCCACAAACCATTATTTCTCGAAATAAGTCATTACCGAGTGCTAGCCACTTGTTCTCCAAGTGGGCAAATGGCGCACTTTCGAATCCCGTATACGCAGCCTGGACATACTCATATGACCAATTCAAGAGCAAATATGTCAACGCCAGGACCAGCTGAAGGCTGGTCAAGAAAGATGACGTTGTTGGGATTACTTTTCCAGACAAGAGAAGAATCGGAATCATGGAAAACGCAATGAAGCCGATAACCTCACCCCCAACAACCCCAGCACCATTCCAAGCAATGCTTCTCTGAAGAGCCTTAGGGTAGTCAGGGGCGTTGGAGGAAAGCATAGAAACGACTTGTTGGGCATGGCCGATATTCCATCGGTTTCTTTGCGCGATATGCCCAGTTATAGATGTTGGAACAAGTCCATATTGTAAACGCTCCTGGACCTGCATAACTCTGTGCTTAAAGCCTCGCAGAACCAGTGATAGCTGCCAGTCCTCGGAGAAAGAGAAAGTTGGGTACATTCCAATCTGAACAATACATTCACGTCGGAAGACCGCACCAGAGCCTGCATCTATGGCACAGCCCAAGATATCCAGTGCCGCATTCTGGCAGGTGTAAAAGTGGCATCTTGCCTGGGACAGCTGATCTCCGCTGGGCAAGTTGTCGAAGTACTGGCGTGTACAGACCAGGGCCGCCTCGGGATTTTGAAGTAAATGCGGGAGAATTGCCCGAAGAAATTCAGGTTTTGGGATAGAATCCGCATCCAGAACTGCGCAATACTCTGGCGGGTCTTCCTTTTGCAGGGTGCCGATTGCATAATTCAGGTTACCTGATTTGGCAAACACCTGACCAGACTGTCTGCCCCGAGAGTGATATGAGAGGTGAGGCCACTGAGAACTAAGTTCTGACACTCGTTTTTTCAATAAAGCCGAGCCTCCATCGTCTAAGAGCAGGACTCGGAATTGAGACATAGGGTAGTCTAGAGTGCATGCCGCTCGCACGGTTTCCATGATGACATCCTCAGGCTCTCCGCAGCATGGGAGCAGGACATCTACACGAGGCAAGTTCTCAGTGCCTTGCAATCGCAGCATTTTGCGTTGGCCAGCTCCTGCAATCTTACTAGCAGCAGCAGAAAGAAGATGCTCATTCCGGGCCAAATCTGTCAATGCAATTAGATTTTGTAAAACATCGAGTGTTCGTTTCTATGAACCCACTTACAGGCCAGTATCAATTCCACACCTAGCATTGCCCACATTTGCCATGTCTTCGATGGACTGAAAAGTAGCACCGACACGCGGACAAGGAAGTATAGATATCCAATCCATATCGCAGATTGCGCTACATAGTGCAGGGTTTTGCGGTATTTGCGATTAGAAACAGCTCGCTCGTCCTCTGACAGCTCAAGAATATCAAAAGAATTTTGCGCAGCCATTATTCCGTGGAGTTTCGGTAGTCGTAAAAGTAGCGGTGTGTACCTGTATGTATGCAGGCAGCAGGACAATGTCTTCCGTCGAGCCTCAGGGGTGCTAATCCAATAACGCAGACGTCTCAGGAAAGAAAGGAATTCGCCATAATGGCAAGATTATATTGAGAATTGATAAAGCATAACAAGTAGCGAAGGAAGGTAAAAGCCACAGAAAAGGGGCGTCGATGCCTCGTGTTTGTGCGTTTCGTTGAGAGGCGCCCATCCAGACTCGCTCTAGTCCAGCCACAAAGTGGATTCTGGGCCGGTGCGAACCGAAAGTTTCTGCCGCTCGATGCCGGATTGTGAACGCAGGATGCGGAGAAGAGATGAATTTATCGAGGCCATTCTTGAGGCTGATATTGAAATGTATGGTTGATTTAGTATCTTGGTGGATTCGAGGGTGATCATCCGAGTCGCTGGGGTAGTTGATCATGCCGACTAGACCGAAAGGGGAAGTGGTTTAATTAGTACCCAGTCCGACGCTGATTAAGATGAGCACTCCAGAGTCTAGATAATCCTTATATTAAAGATTAGTGGAGACCAAATTGAACTTGAAATGTATTATTCCTATTCTTATTAATATTGGTGCCCAGGTGGTTTCGACTTTGAGGGTCATTTCCACATGTCTTGCATTTAACCTTGGAAACCCACATGTGCAACTATGAGATGATCAACTTGAAACATTATGAACTATATACATTAAGTGTAAAATTGGGTATCTTCACTGACTAGTCTTCATTTCTCCGCTGCCTGTTCTCTCTCCATCAACTCCGCCACTGGAACTTGAGGGTCCAGCTCCGTCGGTCTAGAGCTGCTTCTTCCACCGACAGAAGCTTCCCCATAACCACCTTGAGCAACACCCGCAGAAATCAAGGACTTGCTCAGTCGATTAGCCCGTCTTCGCTCCCAAAGTGCCCAGAGTAAAGTGCCAACCGCAATGACAAACAGCGGGATACCGACACCCACCCCGATCGCCACATTGTGCGAGTTGTCACTGGAACTTGATGAGGTAGTGATAGCTGAGGAGTTGGAAGATGTGGTTGTGGTTGCGTTCGACGTTGTCGAGGTCTTGGTCGTCGCATTGACAAGCGCAGCGCGTCCTAGAATAGCGGATCCATCGTCTAGCTCGAAACTGTTGCCGTATGGACACACAATTGCGGACCCATTGTAGACAGGTGTTCCGCAGCAGTATAGTGAGATACCGTTCTCGTAAGACAGGTTGATAATTGATGTGCCTTCGTCTGGTAATACGTCCTCTATTTATTGCGATACCTGTTAGTCAAGTGGCTTGGATATTAGGCTGTGTTTTCTGGAGGCAAGACATACGGCATTGAGTTGGACATCCGGAGGCCCAAGTATTGCTTGTGCATCCTCCCCTTGAGGCGACAAATGGCTGTCCTACATCGAGACAATATCCATTTGTAAGGCAGATTCCGCCACTACCACAACAGTGCGTGACATCGTCAGATGTGCATGGTACGAGATCACTTCCAACATTTCCTTCCGGATAATAACACGTTCGCTCGTCTGAGCTCATGATGAGCTACGGTAGGTATAATGAATTAACGAGTGACAAATAGAGGTGGAGAGAAAAGAAAAAAAGCTAGAAAGAAAGACCCAGGGAGCTGGACAACACTCATGAAATATGAACTAGTCACAACTTGGGGTCTAACAAGTCTGGAGACCTGGGAGGGAAGGAAAGAAAAATAATAATAATAAATCTCTGTAGTATGTACAGGGGAAGATGAGTATTTGAACTGAGTTTCCAGCCAAATTACGCCAAGAGGATCGCTATCTGCAGCGACACGAGGGAGAAACAAGAAAAAAAAGGAAACAGAATGCGGCTAAGCATTTGGTCTGTGTCGCCCGAGATTTCCTGCTTTAGGACAGCCTGAGAGGACAAATAAATGTGCATATTGATTTCAGGGGTCTGGACAGGAATTGTGGTGTGCTGAAAACAATCAAGCCCAGTCCCCCATATCCTCGGGTCTGATGGCGCATTAAACTTATACTGATCAGGGATAGACTTCGACAGCCATACAGGTGTCAAACAGACCAATCCTTATGAGGAAGGTCGGGGTGGAGATCAGATCAGTAGTGGGAGCCTATCCTGAATATCGAAATGCTGAAAAGAGGATCTCCTGGAAGGATTGGGATGCAGCGGGACGCCTAGCACTAAAGCGGAACGCGTGAGCAACTAAACTAGAGTCAGTTAGTATGTGCGTTAGTAAATACATGTGCGTGCTACAAGAATAGCCGAAGATTTTCGTTGCTATTCTCCGAGCATCTTCCGTTCGAGTTGGATTAAACTAAAATCTCACTGCATGAATTGATTCACAAGACACCGCATCTCTCCACCAACACCGTCTGAGTGGATCTCCCGAAATCCAGCGCCGATCTTTTCTGGGCTATGCAGTACGTTGGTGGCTGATCTGACCTCGAGAATGAGAGCATAGCCTAGCTCCAGGGCTTGTTGATGGAGGGTAGACAGTGACGTAGATCCTCCTAAGATCATCTTTATTTAGAACCTGAACTCAGGCTTCCCAGGTTGTATTGTGTCCATCAATCTAGTATTCAAATGTTGTAGGTATGGTCGTATGTCTCAGATATTCAAGGCGATGTGAAGTTTATTAAGTTTTAGTCAGTGATCTGGTCAATCGCTGAAAATTGATATTTGTAGTGTGAATGTTCATTCGCAGACTTGAGCCTGTTGAGAAATATAAAGCAAAGCAGTCTGATAAATAAAACCGGTACTGGATTTCAGACGGGAATAAAATTGTAAGCCAGGACCAGAAACCTGGGAAAGATTGGTCGAGACGTGAAAACATCTCTTTCATGTGCGCGAGTATGTCCAATGCGTGTATATGTATACGTCGTAAAATAAATTCAAAAACAAAAGGTGTAGGGTGGCATGTGCCGGGAATGAATTTTCAGATCAAGTAGCTTGTTGGGCACAAAAGACAAGATTGAGTTGAAGGGGGAAAAGGGAGAAGGGAACACATTCGGAGTCGATGATGCCTCAGAGCGCCCATGCTACCACAGAAAAAGATCCAAAAATTTGACAAGAAAAGATATAAGGAACATGAACGGAAAGATTGTTGCTGTAGGGGTATCCAAATGGAAAAGACAGATAGTCGAGACATATGGAAAGAGTTATGAACGACGTGCATATAGTAGTCGTGTTTCTCTGCCGAGGAAACCGCGTTTTTAGGGATAATCAAGACTCATTCTTGGGAGCAGATGATCCGGGAGCATTGGGATCAACATCAGCCGGGGTTGCGTCAAGGCTGGTGGTTGCTGAATCCCCAGTATCGCCACTACCACTGCCCCATGAATCTTCTCTTAAGATTTCATCTGCATCTGGCAAAGTAGGTCGCTTGAGACCTTTGGCCTTTGGTTTCCCGGTAGTTCGGGATATTGATGGTGATGACAACTCTGGTTGGGAAATAGTCTCGCGACTACCAGTTTGCATAGGGCTGGCTGCATTGTGGAAGTTGGGAGACCTGGATCGGGGAGAATCCACAAATCCACGCCATTTTCGCCAACCCTCGAAGTCAATGAGGGCCTGCATACAGCCCCACTCGGTTACTTTCTGTTCGAGCCAGGGGAATCCGACAGGCTGTTGGAGAGAGATGGTTAATATGAGGAACATCCTACTTCCGAAGTGTGCAAACATACCTTGGTTAAGAAATCATTACACCCAGCAGCTAATGCTTCGTGACGGTCACTTTGCAAACTGCTAGCAGTCAATGCAACAATGATTACAGGACTTCGGAACAATGACAGATCATTCAAGGTATCTTCTTCGCTAACCGAGCGGTAAAGCCCGGGGCGTTTGTCGGACGCATTAGTGCTTGAAGCACTTGATCGTCCAGAGGCCGTCTTAGGGAAAACACCAATTCCGTTAAGTCTTTCTAGTCGTCGAATCTCCCTGGTTGCATCCAGTCCGTTCATAACGGGAAGCTGAATGTCCATAAGCACCAAGTGAAATCCACCCTGACGCCATTTTCGTACAGCCTCTTCGCCATTACCTGCACACTTCCAGCGCACACTGAGACGTTTCATAAAGGCCTCGAGTAACTTTTGGTTGATAATATTGTCCTCTACGATGAGAACGTTGATAGGCGGTACCGTTCCATCGATCAATCCACCAAATGCAGCCCCTGGCGATGCTGTGCCCTTTGTCTTCCGCAGCGATCTTGGAGACGCGATGGGTGCAGGTGGAGTGTGTGCTTTCGCTTGGGGAGATTCGGCAGCCGGGGCTGGTGGCGTTGGCACGCTTTGAGGTGCGATGGTTGGAGGAGGTTGGGAATGAGGAGAAATGCCCAAGTCTTGACGTCCTGAATTAGTGACTTGCTTCTTCCTGAACATGGGAATACTGAGAACATACCTGTCACAGGCTGTACCTGGCCAAGGATCGTCGGCGAATTAGTGGTATGTCGCTGCAGCGGCGGCCTGCGATGATGCCGAGCACGGCTCCCTGGAGATGGTAATGGAGGAGGCACGCCGGTAGTGAGGATAGAAATTGACGGTGCGCTGGCTACGCCTGAACTTGACGTGTGTGTAGGCGGGGTAGGAACCTTTGTATTGGTAGGCATAAGAGGGAAGTAGTCTCCATGCTCACCAGGCTCTGGATGGTGATGATGATAACCGGTATGGCGCGGCGATGGCTTCGGTGTTCGGCGCGTTGGTGCCTCGATCAGTAATGCCTCCTCAATCGTTTGACCACCTGGGTAATATGAGTCGAGCACGGATCCCAGAACTTCCTCTGGGCTCAAGAGTCGCTCTGGCGTTACGAGCCGGTTCGATGCTTCGCGAGCCACAATCCTTATCAATATATCCGGCGAGTCGAATGTCCTTCCTAGTGAGTTACCATATTTCATGATGACTTGGTCGCGTAACTCATCCACTACCGCATCCTCTAAACACGGCACCAGTGTGGCCGAGCCACCGGGCCGTTTCACCCAGATGCGACGTTGAACCATATTGGCAGCAGCTACGGGCACACGACTGCTGCCTTGGTCACCTTGTGAGGGGAATAGACTCTGCTCGAGCAGCCCACTAATCAAGTGTTGATGCGACGCAGGGAGGAGTGATTGCCGGCGACTAGCAAGACTAGGTCGCTTAGTGGCAGGAGGCGGAAAGAAAGAATCAGTCGGACTGCGATCTTCCGTGTATCTTTCGACAACGGTATCTAGGGTCGGAGTCAATTGATACTCGGTTAAACTTGGCGTACGAAGTTTGACCTGCGCGACCTGCAGGGAGGTATCGTCGGAATGCTGGGGAGTCGGGAGCGGCGAATCGAGGGGGAGGAGATATCCTCGGAGAGAGGGGTAGGCAACGGCGAGGTCTTAGGCTCAGTTGGAGGCGGGGAGTTATCGAGATTATCTGATGAGGGATGATGAGGAAGATGCTGCTCTGACTGCAGCGGGGATGGATTACTGAGCCGATTTCGACGCGATTTGTGCCGGGCACCCTCGTGTGCAGCGGGACCCGAGGCGGTATCTTCGGAGGATTGGGCCGCTGAGGAAACGACACTATACGGTGACTTTTCACTCGCGGAATCGAAGAGATGGGGATTACCAGAGTTTCCTGAGATTCCAGAGGTTGGATTTGGGTGGACACGCGGGTCCGCCCCGTTGCCCGGATTTGGTACCGCGGGTATCGATGATCGTCGTAGCAGCTTGGCCTTGAGCAGACGTGATAGACGGCCCTCAGGCATTGTGGACTGCTGCCAACGGGCAAATTACGGTCAATAGCTTCAATTCATGGTTTCTGACTTGTATTTGAATCTCAAGCGGCCAGCTGTACCCTAGGGATCGATAAACAGAGAGATTAGTGTACTGCCCAGGTGTTTATGCTGGGGCCGTTTGTACGGGGGGAAGTCGAGAGACTTCCTTAGCCCCAACGAGGTTAGAAACCGGGGGTCTTAGCACAGTACCTCTCCCCGAGGATCCAAGTGTTTCAAGTTTCTTGAATCTGTTCAGCCACAGTAATCAACGGACTAGGTTGAGGGGATAGAAAGCTGTAACAAAGAGGGGAAGTCGTACAATTTTGTTGATCTCCCGCGAAAGTTGGGCAAAAGCTCTAATTACTCACGCTAAGGCCGAAACAATGAAATATCGCCAAGGCCCCCGGGGCCACTGCAGGCGGTATCTATCAGTAGTAACTAATAAGTACTTCATCTTTATGATTCTTTGTTTACTGCCCAGTTCTTGGAATATGGCATGACCTTTATGTAATTCTTTCGAATATTGTACGGGTATAATCCACCTGAGCAAAGCTTAATCGGGTTTTTTGCGATTCCTTGATGGATTGGAATGATTAATTCATATAGTTCCATGCCTCCTCTATCTTCAAGTTCCTAGCACGAAGATCTTCCACCTGACCCTTCCAGGTGATCATGCAGGTCACAGTGTTGTCTTGTATGCACATGTGTACTCTAATGAAGCTCCAATACTAAGGTTTTCATTAACTTTGACGTAGTACTTATGCATTTCTATGCTTGATATTCTATATGCTAACTATTCTATTCAACGATTTGAACATTGCAACATGCACATGTGACCCTCATACATTATGATCTGGCGTGATTGAATCAGTGGTCTGTCCGGTGAATTCTTGTTTTTCATTCCCCGGATCACTTTTTTGTTGAGATTGCGTTTCTTCCGAGTCAGTATCACGTCTGTTCAAGTCAAAAAAATCATCAATGCTCATGCCAGAAGCCTTGGCTTCTTTCCGAAGTTTGCGGTAACGAATACGCCAGACGATATGGCTGATATAAATTCCTGCTTCCAGGACGACCCTAAGCATCAATTAGTCCTGATGCCAGTGGCCAAGAGGGAACATAAGAAGCGAGATATGAAGTTGAAAATAACATCAGGAAGGGTGATGCGAAAAACTTACACAAGGATGTACATAATACCTCCCAAAATATCAAAGCTACCTTGTGCAGCTGGAAACTAGTTAGCGGACTGTTCCCTTGATACAAGTGTAAGAAAGACATGGTCATACCCAAGGCGAAAAGAGAAAATAGTCCGCCTAACGTATCAATTGATAGAAAGACCCAGTCTGTTCAACAAAAATTCGAGGTTAGAGACACTTTATTTTTCCTCATTGTCGGCGTCAAATCACACATACTGAATCCAACAACTCTTCCATCCCGTTTCCACAATTCAAAGTACGGTGGCAGTAAACCCCCACTCAACAGGATGGCAGCGAAGACCCCTACCACAATATCAGGCCATGTAATGCCCTTATTGTAAGGAATCTGCAATTGACATTAGAATGAGTGCTCAAAATGCGCCAGAATCTGGCAAATGATCACTTACTCGCAGTGTAAGAATGAGAAGTGCTTCAAGTCCACCGAACAACGCACTCGTACCCAAGCAAACCAGCGTTGCTTTAAACTGACTATAATTACTTCAACCAGAATATCAGCATATGTTTGAATACAACAGTCATAGGTAACTTACTGGTTGTAGTATAGGATCTGAGTCCAGCTAACTAAAGAAAAGAAGCCGAAAATCTGTGGCTGGATTTGTATCGGGATATTCACTTCTTGTAGGATGAAGTAAGCTCCCATTGGGACCGCACCTATGAGCAGAGAAAAGCATGTTAGTTCATTTAGATCGCTATACCTAAAGCCCAACCTATTCTCGTATAGTCATATGAATTTCCATAGACTTTGACTTACAACTTGCCCATAAGAACATCATCGCTGCAGGAAATCCATCTGTCTTTTTTCTGCGCCAGTTATACCAGATCTGAGGAATCAACTGTATACACCACAGTAATGTACCAATAGTGCCGAGCACATTAGAAGCTAATGTGACATTGCCTCCGCTTGACATGATGATTTGCAAACTAACTGCTGGCAAGCAGTGAGGTCGGTTTCGATGACGAAGAAAAAAATAGAACCTGAGTCAAGCTTCTATGGATTTCACAACCTGTATTCCCGTATTATGTGAATGACTGAATGATTCGAGATAGAGGAACGATGAGAGAGAAGATCCAATCGAATCAACCACTAGCACCGTGACTCGTTAGAGAAAAGATTGAATTCAAGAATACAATCTTCTCCCAGCTGTAAGCGAGAAAACAGACCAAAACTGGGAATTCTTCAGCACGGTGCAGGTAGCGGGGATTGCGAAGCCCTTAGCGCCAACGCAGACCACGACTCAATCACTAACCACAAGCTCAGTATCGATTATAATGCATGCACAGAACACGAAGCCAGACAATCAGGCAGGTGAATCATCCATACAGGAACCCAGATGCCTCGCCAAGGCCAATTCGGGAGCAATGAATGAAGTCAGCTGCCGATCTCACGGCTCCCCTCTTTCCGAGCGAAGACGAGACTAAGACGAGAATGGTTAATCGATGGAGAAGCTTGACGAGGAGAACGGTCTAGCTGACGGATGTTAAATGAGACTGCATGCACAGTGCTGTAGGCTTTGAGATGTGGTTTCCATTGGCTATTTGTCGTCACCGAGTTTTCTAGGGTCTGATAACGCTGCCAGTGCTTACTGTGGGTTTCTAGGATGGAGCCATGGATTTGAGTGGAGAGGGCTTTGGTGGCAACATCGTGGCGTTCAAGTTACTTGGTGGAGAGCTTGGAGATTGGAAACGGAAATTATACATGGATTTAAGTTATTCAAGATTGAATGGAGCGAGCTTGACTTATTTAAGCGGATAATTCGGTCTGGACAATGGCATTGTGATGCTTGGTCACTGGTGATAGCCTGATAGGTCTCGCATGGTCTCCACATGGGCCGTGTCACCCCGCAGCTGTTAACGGGGAATTGCATATGGAGAATAACATCGAGTCAGGTATTTGTTGATCCGATCAATGGTATGTGGAATAAATCTCATAAATGAATCAGGCATCAGAATCTGGAATTATGCCCAAGACGTCCAAGATGTGTACTACAAGTTGAAGTTATTAACAGCCCTAGGGCTGGTAATCAGAAATCTACAAGACCATTGACAGATAGATGAATTGCATTCCAGGCTCTCGATCAGCTGTTAAACGTAGATGAGCTCAAAAGTCTTCCATAAATGCACAGCAAACCCATCTGCGACTTTTCTTTGAGCATCAAAGACTTCCAGTGGGACTATAACTCGTCCCAGCCATGGCCTTAATACTCTTGGCACATAATCAAATAGCACCTGGTCCATAACACGCAAAACAAGGTAATCACACAAAAAAAAGAAAAAAGGGAGAAGATGTCCGCCCGGCTGCAGCCAAACCAAATACGAAGGTTTGAATGAGAAGGAGGGGAAAAGAAAGAGAGAAACAAATAGATCAATGGTGGAACATTGACAAGAAAAGGGAGGCCATCAAGACATCACGTTCAGAGGAATCAGAAATACACATAGGCGGAGATTCCGAAGGGTATCAAAATACATATTTTGCGACAAGGAAGAAAACTCAAAAAAAATGAAGATAAAACAAAAAACCAGACATCACGGATGCGGCGATCACAAGAGGATGAGGTAGTTTGAGGGCGCAATGCCCGTATCTCCATTTTGTTTCCGAGCCTGCCACCATCGGCCGCTAACATCGGACACTTCAAGGATCTCGTGCTTGGCGAAACTGATTTCGTTGGCATCTTCGGGGTTGGCGTCATAGGAGTAGATCGCCTTTGCGCGGTAAGGGTACTCGGTCGGCTGGGGCACCTCACTACCGGGTTCCCCGTTCCCGTTGCTGGGGCCAGGGACAGGACTGGTGCTGGTAGCTCCAAAGCGAGGAGCCAGAGTGGAGTTGCGTTCGGCGCCGGGGGGTCCACCGGGGAATCCGGAAACGGGGGAAGAGGTCTCGAAACCGCTCAGCTGGGCAGAAGTATACATCTGCGGGGTGTTGCTGGTAGCCATGGTTTCTGGGCGAGCGCCAAATGCACTGGACATAGGACGACTACCGCGGTAGGAGGCAGGGTCGGGTTGTTCCTTGTTAAGGGCAAACGAGTCGATGAATCCACGGTGAGTAGCCTGAGGGGAAGAACCAAAGTAGAAGATCCAGATAACCTAGCGAATAATGTCAGCAAGAGCAATCAATATTAGAGTATTCGAAGTAGAATGTAACATACAATAACCATAGAAAGCAGGATAAAGCCTGCACCAGCGGCTTGCTCGGAACCCAGGCTGCTGTAAATCAAGTTGTTTGCGCTGGTCGAGCACAGGACCAGACCAACAGCAAGGTATCCAACAATCTACATGTCATGTCAGTTCCACTGGTCTTTTTTTCTTTATTCTTTTGTTTATATTTCGGGGGTGCGTGTCATACCGCGACGCCATAAACATTGCAAGTATCCGTGCCAAAAGTCACGATAAGACCGATAATCAGACAGAATGTGTAACAATCCGCCCACCAGTCGTAGTTTGGATAATCATTTCGTGGTTGGGTTGCAGCGATGATGGAGGCGACAAATGAAATCAACCATGCCAGGAGAGAGATCGAGAGGGTGGCCAGGGCGAAGGGATCACCCAAGATATTGCTAGGGCGGAAACTCGGCATTTTGGGTGTATTTTCGAATTCACTCAGAATGATGTCAAAAGGGAAAGTGGTGGAGTAATTCGCGATAAAAAATGAGGGTTGCAAGAGACAGGTGGTGTTCAAAGAGGGGCTTCTATCGTTTATCGTTGAGGCCTGAGTTCTCTCAAGGCTGAGACGAGTCGATAGTAAGGAGCGGATTCGTATCACGTATGGACGATGGCTTTGTTGTCGAGGTCGAGGAACAAGGGCGGCTCGAACTTTCACAGAAAATACCGGAGATGGAATCTGCGAGGAGGTGAAACGACTGGGGTACACCTAGTCAGCCTTCAATCCTGGGCACTATTTTGCGCGTGGGGTCCAAAGCCACGAATCGTCTCGCGGTTCTGACCCTGTTGACAGTGGCGTTGTTCGCGCTTAAAAAATCGCGATAGCAGTAGCGATAATTCGGACCCCTTAAATTCCCAAGAAACCGCTCGGCATTGGAAATATTAGGTGTACCTGGTGGTATGTGTGATCGTACCTTTTTTTGCGAGACAAAGTGGGTTCGCACCAGACGGATCAACGAACGACGTGGGGTTAAGAGAGTGTGGGTAAACAAGAAGAAAAAAAGACAGTTAAAAAAAAAATCGCGACAAGAATTGAGAGTCAATTTCTTGAAGATTGCGAGATAACAGCACCAGGCTGGAATTGAAGTGAACGAGTGTATGAGAAAAGGGAGAGATGGTGGATCCTAAAGATGCCCCCTGGAATCGAGACCGTCGGGTGCAATCAGAACAAACAGGGAAATGAAGTGTGACTTTGATCCACTTGATTTTCGCTTCTCTCTCAGACTTCAATAATTATAGTCTATACTCACTATGATTATATCTGATAACTTCAAGTTGTAGAATAATCACTCCTTATTCTTCTTTGTTTCCTGTTCCAAGTTTTTCATCCCTAATAAACTTAAGCCGGTCTTTACTATAAATATCATCCTTAGTCACCCATAGCTCCGCTTTTCACTGGATAATCCCGAAAAGCTGACGCGGGCAGTTCTGGAACAGAGGCAATTTCTTCTCGAAATGCCATTGATGTAAGTACCCATAGAGGCTCCATGGTCCTGTCAAAAAAACGAAAATTCGTTCATCCACATTGATATACTCTGGAATTCTCTGGGATTATCTGAATTGAAACTCCAATTCTACTCCATCTTTCTCTAAAGTCCGGAGAACACCGTTAACACTCTCCACGCCCCACTCAATGGTTCGATCGGATCTCGTACTTTAGATGCCACTAATTATCCGTACGTGGGTGTGCACACGTGTGTCTCCGAGGTCTCTCCTGTGCTGTGCAGCGATCGACAACGGGTTATCATCGGGGCTTCGGCTTGATAGGTCAGTACTCCGTACTCGTACGCACAACAGAGATGTGTTTTTTTCATTCCTTGGGTGGGTTAATTACGGAAAGAAAAAGCCCAATCATAAACACCTGTCAAAGCTTTTTGGAGTGGGGGGGATCTATTCAGGTACCATTTATGTGGCGTTACCATATCAAAGATACTTAGAATGGACACCGGTCTAGCCCAAATCCCCTACCAGTTGACCGTTTGATGATCAGCTGAATCGCCTAAATATCCTAGATATTGGATGGAATGTGACTTGCATTCAATAATCTGATCAATTGGAATATCATCCAATGTTTTTAATATATGCTTATCTCCACTCAATCTTTTCTGTACCATCCCATGTTGGAAATGTTTACATTTCTAACACCATTGGCTGGAATTACACTTTGAGTCAAATTAATTGCAGGTCAAAGCACTTCCCGGGCTGAGATATCCATAGTTCAAGCGATAGGGGCTCATTCATAGAATCCACCTTGTACAAGAGGATATTGTTGTTGGCTTGGCCACTGCAGAAGAATAGCAGCCTTGGCCTCTTCAATTTGGGCTAAATTCACCAACAGCCCGCTTTGGCAAAGCAAGTCAAGCTGATGATAGCACCAATACCTGCAGCCCTGACCCTGATCATTAAATTCATACTTGTGACGGCTATGCTGGAGAAGTAGATCGACAAAGTCGCGTACGGTTTTCTCTGATGCCACATCAAGTCGAACAGACTTTTCTGTCGCCGGTGAGAGGACATACGTCAAGTCACTGAGAACCATGTTCGCTTTGGAGCCACCGGGGATCGAGGTACTTGGGACCATATAGGATGGAGTTATGTCGAGATTGACAGAATTATTGGTGCCAATTTGAAAGTAAAAACACCAGTGATTGCCGCCTTGGGCGAGTTTTTCGTGGGCAACGGCATACATCCATTGGACTTTCTTGTCTAGAATCTCGCTCTGCTGCCTTACTGGGATGAAATGTAGTGGCTGAAAAATGGGAGCTGAGGATGTCATCTTGGGCAATTTAGCCGGGACCTATGCTAATTTGTCAGTATAGTTATGGAATGGTCACTGAGGCTTTGAAAAGTCAATGAATGGTGCCAGTGATTTGATCAACATCATTTCGCTTCGACTCATCTTGAACATTTGAAGGTTGGGCTCTGCAGGTGCGGGACAAACTTGGGGCATGGGGTATGTAGTTATGCAGCTGACTTGCCCAGGTGGTCACGGTATCAAGACCTTGATTGACTGACAGATATATACTAATTGAGATTAAACGGGACCGACCAGTATGATAGTATCAGGATGTATATAGTTGGAGTCCTAAATGGAGGAGCTTCCTGTCATTTCAATTTGACGTAACTCTACGTGTTGACCTCGGGATACATCGATGTACTCCGAGTCCAGAGCTAGTACGTTAGGCATCAGTGTCATCTCAAGTACTAGTGTACATTTGGTTTGATAGTTTTACCTTATTCGGTTAATCCTCACATTACCACATTCTATCTACAGATGACTGGAATGCTATGAATATTCAAAACTAGCAGACTTTCCGATCAATAGCATATCACGAAAATAAGCCACATGATGAGGCTGGTATGTGGATTCCAGCTGTCATTCTACACGAGTCCTTGTTATGGTCAATAACCTCGTGGCATGATTATTGCAGATGAAGTCATCTAGCATTCTTCAATTTGTACATGTAAACACCGATAATCCATGAGGTAATATATTCAGCGCTCTCAATAGGTACAGTCCCATTCATATACAATGTAGACTTCAGATGCTCAAAGTAGCAGGTAGATGCGCCCAAACACCCAACCAGCAGGATATCACGCAAAGTAAACAAATACAAAATGCACCATAAGTCAAAGAGATGAAAAGGGTGGAGAAGAACCAGGAGTCTAAATTTCATTCTCTCTCTTTTCCTTAATCACCTCTCTCCTCCTTACCTCCCTCTCAACGCCTTCCAATCGTCCCTCCCATTCAGCCCAACACTCCCCACTCCCCACAAGTCCAACTTCATACCATCGCTGCAAGACCTGCGCGGTGCGGATGCGTAGTTCAGATATGGCTGCCGCCTGCTCGATCTGTGTCTGCGCGACGCGGTCCATCTGCGGTTGAAGCTCGATGAGTGTTGCGGAGCTTTGTGGGTCTGGTATGGGGAGATCGTTGAGAGATGTGAGACGTGATGCTGTTTCCGGGAAGGCGGTTGCGTAGGAGAGAACGATGGAGGCTAATGTGCGTGGGGAGAGGCCTTCGGGTATGGATTGAGGGTTTGGTGTTTGGAAGAGCTCGGGGAAGCGATCGTCTGGTTGTAATTGTTATTATTAGTACAAAGAGAAGTAATAGTGATTATTTGAGGCTGATTGCTTCCAGGACTCTCGGTGAGGGACACAACAAGAGGCTCAATAGTGGATAGTGGTGATGGGAGAGATTGTGGTAGCCGTGGTAAACATGGCTCTGTCGAACCGCACTTACGGAGTTGGATCACATCTCGTACAGCTGGAACATTGCGGCTCAGTCTCTCCAGCTCCCGCTCTAGGCGAACAAGTCGGCGCGACACTGTTTCGTCGTGAGAGGCGGGTTTCTCGGGTGCTGTAGGGGCCCCCGTCCAGTCTGTTACTCCTCCTAGGAGGTACGCTAGGCGCCGCAGACGCGCTTCGAGGAGCTCGATAGTGGCACCAGCCATGGCATCACTTTCAAGAGTCATGGTGGAAATTGTTAAGGGACTGGCGCTATCTGGTGTGAATATTGAGGTTTAAAGGTCGACTGTCGCGACAAGCTCGGGGTTCAAGTTGTTGCAAACACGGCAAATGTGGGGACAATTTACGACAATCGTTATCAGCATCTATGGATGGTAACTATGAATCTACAGCTACAAAAATCGAATACGATAGATAATACAAGCATTTTATTGCTCCTCGAGCCTTTCTGTGTCATGTCCTAGGTAGCGTACCAACATTTCATGGTTCTCGTCAATCGTAACAGTCCTCTGCTCATTTCGCGGGCACATGCTCAACGTGGTCTGCCATCTCTTCGTCACTCTCCGCGTTAGTCCAGCCCTCATCGCTGTCCAAAATATGAGGCGCCAGCTGTGGAGCCGCAATATTCACGCCAGATCCAGAGGTCAAAAGTCTTGATCCCCTCTTCTCCTGCATTTCTTGACCTTCCGGCTTCTCGCCCTCAAACCTTTGCACTTCGTAGTCGAAAACATTCACATTCGCATTCTTATTCGCCTCTTTCTGAGCTGCCGCAGATTGTTGCATTTTCTGATGCTGCCCTGTGCTAATATCCGAACTTAGATCAATGAGATTCTCGCTGTCTTCTGCAGCACTACTCTGAGTGCACTCGACCGCAAATGCCTCATTGTCTTTTTGTACGAAGGCCTGTTTGTATGAGGAAAAATTGAATCAGCAGTGGTCAATATGGAAAGTAGCATGTCTAAATCGTACCTGAAGCTGGGAGGGCGCAGGTTCCACCTTCAAACCCATTGCATCGTCGCTGGCGTACACCAGTAAAACTGATCTTCCTTCCCTGCGAGCTGCGTCAAGAACTTCAATCTCACGCACCTTGCGGGCAGTGTATCCCACAACATCACCATTCTGTGTAGCCGCGTGATCACCATTTGCTTTTTGCTTTTCAGCTTGTCGGGTCTTTCCGTCATCAGTGGAAAAGCTGATCCGCCACCATTGGTAGTCACTATTTTTGTCATCATCAATATCCATTAGGTGTTGAGCATCTGTTTCTTCGCGGCGTTTCAGAACGTAAGTGACATGTGGCTCAGTACAGACACCTCGCAGGGTGTATTTGTGGGTCGGAGGCTCTTGGGGTGAATCCGATGGTTCAGTCAGCAGCTTGGAATATTTTCGCATGGTTTCCAATGCTTGCTGCTTTTTAATCTCGAGTTCTGTTGCGGACCAATTAGTAATGGGAAATGGTAGAGTCTCCGATGAATAACTTACCCTTTAACTTCTCTGCTAATTGCAAAGCAAGATCTTTCAACTGCTGTGGAATACGCTCTGCTCTCTCCCGTGCCACGTCCGCGGACATCACATCAGACCCGCCAGCGATAGCCGTCTTCAGAACTACGGGTATCCGTTCTGCTGTCTTTTCGATTATCTCCAGATTTGTAAGACCATCGCAAGGCGTCAGCGGCATTTGAAAGTGATCGATCAGTTGTTGGACCTTGATTAAAGCCTCCTGGGCTTCCAGTTTTCTCACGCGTAGCTCACGCGCAATCTCTTGGCAGCTGCTCAGATAGCGGTCGGGGTAGAACACAGCCGGGATTTTCACGTCCACTGACTTGGCATCCTCATGGGAGTCAAGCTTCATGACGAGAACTTCACCTACGTGTTCCAGCCATACCTCATCTAGGTCTTCCCCAGGCCTATCGCTCCAAATAGCCGAGTCCAGGACATCATACAAAGTCTGCCCATGAGCCTGTTCAACAACGGGCCCGAAGACGAAAAGTTCCCTGGAGATTGGCTCGTCCTCCGGGTCGAAGGGAGATCTTTTGTAGGCATGAGACATGAAAGTTGTACATAGCGGGTTATCAGGGTCTGCCCGAATTGCAGCAGAAAACCAAGTCTCCAAAAATCGAGCTACGGCTTCCTCGGAATCAGGAGAGTTCGTAAGTATGGGCCTCATGTTCGAAAGGGCATCACTGCTTCCAAAAGCGCGCTGTGTCGAATCCAAGAATGCCATCAGGCGTTGTGATTCATAGATAGGATCATCCCAGTCGCTATCGTCGGTTCCTTCGTGAATAGTCACAATCTTGGGTAAATTGATCGGTTGTCCATTCCACCATTGCGCATCATGTCCATAGTCAAAGAGCAGTTTATTTCTCAGTAGCAACGCTTCGCGCGCGAGAGGGATTTCGTGGATGATGGTGAGAAATCCTCCAATAAAGAGATTGTCCTGTGTCGGGCGAATGAATGCAGGCTCGTCGCCTACTTTCTTGCGATCCTCGGGATCCGGGCTGATCACAACTTCCTGGGCCGTTTCATTGAAGAGGGTCATCGCCCACGCGCCTTCATCGTAGTGGTCACGGGTCGCTTTTCCAAACTGAGCCTGGCCTTCTGGAGCTGCGGCTGTCACTCCACTTTCTTGAGTGCCCATCCCCTGGTTCAGCGACATCGCCACCGCCTGTTGTAGCTCTTGTTCTTCGCGTTCGGCCAAGGTTAGTCCTTGCTCAGTTCCAGTTCTGCCTGGCGTCCATTCCAAAATTAGTGTTTTCCTTGGGCGCAAGATCTAGGCTACCCACCTGGGCTTCCTGGGGTATTCGCAGCTGTAGAATCGTCGGTTCCGGCGCTTTGTGATGTATCGTGCAAGTTTACGCGGGAGGGAGGGCGTGTAGGAGGGGCAGTCGCGGGCAATCGGGGACCAATGTCTTCCTGACTGAATCCGAGCGCTATTCGAGAAACCATTAGAGACCGTTCCAGAAGTAAAATTGAAATAGAAAGCTGACTTACAAGTTAAGTTGCTTTCATCCTGCCAGCCCGATGCCTGAGAAAGGGTAAGCTTATTGAGACCTCCAAGTAGGTGGGCTGTGGCACGTGGCTACAAACACTTGTATGTGGACCTGTTGGATCTTCAAAGTAAGCGTTGATAGCTTTTTGTGAGTCGAGATTGTTGGCCTGTAATTTAATCAGATTCATCAGAGTCAGTGACAAACAAAACCTTGGAAGGCAGCGAACGTGTTTGGTGCGGGGTAAGGAACCTTCAAAAAGTTGACTGCTTGTTCACGGGTGGTGCTAGTGAAGCTGACAAAGTTTGCAATAGCATCCTCAGAAGGTTCGGAGGCCATGATCTCTATAGGGGATAAATGTGATCTGATCTCACGATAAAGAAGGTGAGAGTTCCCTTAACGCAGAGCTTCCCCACCACATGACGCCAAGGCCGAGCCTCGATCCACTTTGATTATACAATTAGGTACTTGATCTACATAACTAGTTAGTTAGTACTACATTAATAATGAAATCTGGTGTATGTTTAGTTGAATCTGTGACTTCTTACATAGAAACTTTCTAAGTATAGTTGACAGCACAAAACCAGAGTATCAATATAACAATACTATTTAAGCTCCGAGTCTTTGAGACAATTTTATAACACATAATAAGTATTCTTGAACAACTTGGACATTACCTAGGTATTTAGTAAATTAGTATTACCTTTATCCAGTATAGATAATAATGAATAACATGTTGAAAAAACAAAGAGCAAAATTTGAAACAAATATCATTTCAAGGGTACTTGAAAGACTCGAGGCCTTGTACCTAGGTATCTACTATGTCCTTAACAATTCCAGGCCTTTAGAACAAAGCATTATACTTAATAGTACATATGTATAGTCCGGCTCTTCATTGTCTTCATTGTTTTGCATATCACTTATTCAGGTTGTGCCAAATACAGATCTTTGTCACATTCCAGTACAGAAATAACATTTAAAGAACCTTCGAATATAAAAGTCTCCAGTTTTCACTGAAGTCTGTCGTCAACATCCAGCTTGAACAGCTTAGAAGCACTTCAGTACCTCAAGACCACAGGTGACTCAACCTGAATTTCTATTACACCCCAATCTCTTCAAATCACATCTCCAATTTTGTATTCACTCAGTCATCCCCTCACTTCAAATTTGAACCTCTAGTATAGGTAATCGTACACGAACCCGACAACTGAAATGTCTGGAATCGAAGAACCCGCACGTAGCGGGAAGCCTAGTGCTGCTTCAAACCGCCCTCAACCTATGCTCAGCCTCGAGGAACAGACCCTCGAGAAAGTTGCAGCCCTGTACTGGGACGTGAACTGTGTTTGCAATTTTCAGCAGATCGTTAACGACGCTCCATCTAAAGAGGACTATACAGAATACCAGCGCATGAAGCGTAATACCGAGCTATTCATCAACCAAACCATTACTGACTACATCGCAGCCCTGAATACCGGAAACCCGACCCGATGTGTCAACTTTATCGCCGAATCCTCCTGGAAAATCTTCGCCATTTGTGCTCACTCTGAAGCCTTTCAGTTGGCCTCTAAGAACGCCGATAACATTGGTTGGTCTGCGCTGACTGATCTCATCCTACAGAACCGTCGCAGCCTAGAGGTCTTTGCGCGTTCTCGCGAGCTGGAGTGGCGTGGATATCTTCTAACTTACTATCATTATAACCTACCAGCTCTTCAGGAAGAGCTTTCTCCGGATGTTGATATTGCGCAAGAGCATCCCCATCATACCGTTTTACTTGCAGATGGGCACCTGAAGCGTCCAATTTTTGAAGATCGTGCACAGGTCCATATCGGCTCCTCGATCTGGATTCCAGAATCCTTCCCAAATAGCCCCCCCTGCCAACCCGATCCAGCGTACAAAAGTCATGGGACCATGCTTTTTATGTCGTTCCCGAAGCACCTGTCAATGCTACTTTCAACCCATGGCGGGTGACTTGGTGGAACTAATTGACTCTCCAAACATGGGAACTGGAATTCGCTCACTAGGCTCCTTCAAGCCAGGAGACTACCTAGCTGAATATGCAGGTATGTTGAACCCTGTTGAAACTAAATCAACTGAAGCAATTTATGCCCTGTCTCTAGCTGCACCCAATGATGTAACTGGCGCGATGGACACCAAAGCCCATGTCCTCCCTCACCAATATGGCAATTGGACTCGGTATATTAACCATTCCTGTGAGCCAGCAGTGAGTTACGTGTGTATGGTGGTAGGTGATAGAGTGATCACTGCAATCCGAGCTAATAGAAAGATCTCAATGTTTGAAGTGCTAACAGTTGACTATGGAATTGATTACTGGCTGACTCGGGACTACCCTTGTCTTTGTGGAACTCCGATTTGCGTGAACTTCTTGAAGGCTGGTCGTAATAGGATGTCCGATTGAATTACTAGTACCTACCTAGCTTTGTTGATTTCGGATTTCATGTTCAATGTTCAAGTTGTTTAATACTATTTTTAGCATGCACACTTACAGTTGGAATGTGTTTGGAACATTCAAGTTCCAAGGTTTGAATATCATTATTTTTCACATTTTATTTTGGTAATTCAAGAACTTCAGTAGTAGAAGTAGTAGTGTTTGTAGTAATAAATCAATTATAATAGCGCATGCTGCTTCCAGGCTACCTATGTAGGCACAGTTCAAATGTTCAAATGTTCCAAGGTTCAGTGCACATCTGTGGTGACTTGTAACAATTGAATACTATATCACCCCCACCTGTAAGGCGTCCCAGGGCACGGGGCACTCATGTGATCTGCATGCGGTGCCATCCTAAACACCAGAGTCCAGAGCTGAGTTTGACAGTTGCCAAGAATAATGAAATTTCAGAATCATTAAACCTAGTATATTTGATATGAAGCTCCAACAAGGCAGTAGCGAGGCTGAAGACGACTCGGTAGAATACCATCTAGAAACACTGCCTACTCGAAGATCAACTGACCACCTCACACCAGCCCCCGAAAGCAGAGAAACCCCAGCATAGAACAGGGTACGGCAACTGGCAATGGGAAATCATCGCGGTGACAGTGAGCCTGGCCGGGTTTGCCCTACTCGTCGGTTTCCTGGTGAAGGTCAACAATGCGTCCTATACTTCCTGGCAATACACTGCGTCGCCCAACACAATCATCTCCATCATCACTACGGTGGTCAAATCCGCCTTGCTGGTACCCGTGTCCGCTTGTCTGAGCCAGCTGAAGTGGAACCAGTAGTGGCGGAGCCCCGCTCCGCTCTACAACATGCAAGCAGTGGACCAGGCTAGCCGTGGGCCTTGGGGTTCCCTCACTATCTTGTGGGGCGCTGTTAGGGGACCGAGGATGGACACGTGGACCTTGACCGGCGCATTCATTACCATTCTCGCCTTGGCCATTGATCCCTTTACCCAGCAGATCCTGTCCTTCCCGTCTCGCTCCGTAGTGACCAGACTTGAAACAGCATTCATCCAGACGGCCAATGCATATGTGTCCGGACCAACGAGTGACAGCAAGATCGACATCATTGAAGTCAGTGCACTTGATCCAAATATTATATCAGCCGTTGTCAGCGGGATAGCGCAAACAAACAGCGCCCTGGAGCCGCGATGCACCTCGGGCGACTGCAGATTCCCTGAATTTGTCACCCTGGGGGTCTGCAGCACGTGTGATGACATGACTGCACAAGCCGTCCAGACTTGTCACGTACCGACTGACAATCCCTATGCCAGTGGTCCGTTCAACGTGACACCACTTAGCTGTACTTACTCATTCCCCAGCGGTCTGAATCTCAGTATCCCCTGGGCAGCTGCCGCTCAGAACGGGATGTTCAATAATGAGTCGGCCACATTCGGCATGATGTATTGGGATATAATTCCGCAGAGCGTCACATGAAGCAGTGCCCTGGGGGTTCGAGATCCAATAGTGGCGTTGTTGTCTGCCAATATCACCTTACGGGAGCTTTACTATGTGGTCGCAAATGCCACGGTGCCGCCACCTAAGCCGGTGCTGACAGAATGTATCATCTACTACTGTGAAAAAGAGTATTCTCCCAATGTGTACATGGGTCAAGATGACTATTCAGATATTATCTACAAGACACAACCGCTTGTTCAAGTCAATTTCACCAGCACCGCGAGCTTCCCAGTCCGCTTTGGTCCGCCAAATGGCACCGAGACGATGCTGGCCACAAATGTGGTATATCCAGTCGATTATAGGACGTACCTCGGGTTGAGAAAGATGCTCAGATCATTGTTCAATGCGACGACAATTATGACTGACCAGATGTCGGATCTTACAGCGATGATATACTCGAATGGTCTGAATATATCAGTGCAGTCTGTGGCGAGCAGTCTAACCACGCAATCCGAACTGGTACTGATTCCAGAATGATAGAAGGCACCGCTTATAGTGCGGAGACCTACATCCATGTTCGATGGCCCTGGATAATTCTGCCGCTGTTTATTATCCTCGCAACACGGGTGCTCCTTGCAGGGACGATGCTGGCGAGCAAATATCAGCAGTTTGCAGTGATCTGGAAGGGATCTGTTATTCCCTTGCTGGTAAGTCGAATTGAGACGGCCCATGGAGCTGATCTGGATAGTCTGCAAAGCTTGGACGAAATGCATAGAATATCCCGGATGAAGGCAAGGCTGGATAAGGACAAGGGGCTTGTGTTTATTGAATAGTAGACTTATTTGCAGAAGAGCCTCGCTTTATGATACTTCGCATTGACAAGGGAAACGCTGTGAGCAGGGTACTATCCGAGATGATAGTTTTGTATCTATATACAGAAAGGAACGTGACATAGTGAGCTGATGACTTTGGAGCTAGATATGCGTGTCCTATCTCACTCAGAAGGTATGAAATATTTGGTGATTGAAGTCACCAGCAGTCGTAACTGTGTCTCATTCGCTGCACTATTGGCGACCAAAATGGGCTGTGCCTGTCACCAAAAGCAGCTTCGCATACTGGAGGTGAAGCCACACGGCGAATCCAGGCAAAGCTGGTGTGCCTGTTGCATCTGTTCCAGTGAAGAAAATCGATCTCAGCCCGAATTCCACAACTCCTTCCTCCTTCTTAATTGCACTTGAGAGCTCCATGAAAGCATCTAGACCCTTCAGCCCATCCTTTATCTCGGTATCGCCCCCACGTATAACGATGGCTTCTGGTGTCTTCTCATACACCTCAAGTGAGCTGGTGATCCAAGTTCCTTGCTCGTATGTAGAAGCTGCCAACTCGTCGCGCGACCATAATTTGGGTGTACTTGGGTCATCAGATGAAACGATTCGAGAGAGAGTTCTTTGAATGGAGAAACCTGCAATTGTCAGACCGCGCTCATCCGGCAACAGGGATCGGCATATGGAAAATGGGGCGCTCATACCTGGGCCACTCCAAACCCCAGCGTAGAAGCTCTCATTCAATTTCTGTGGGTTTTCTAGCAGACGTGGGTTGATCTGATCGAGTGGGATTCTGCGCACGAACTTGTCTTCCACGACGGGATTACGATGGGGATTGAAATTGCCATTTTGCACGACTTGATTAATGCGGTCTGTTGGCTCGATGGGGACCAAAATGGCGTGACGCGTGAACACAAAAAAGGAGCCGAGGCCAACGATGCCACCAGCTGTAGTAGCCACGAGGGGCTTCCACAAGCGTCGAGTATATGACATAGCTAGTTAACACTTATTTTGCACAGAATGATGGAAGAGCAGAGTTCCGTACGGGAGGAAACGCCGGGCCAGCGCTTACTGTGAGGCTGGCGTGCTAGTAGTAACTAACTGTTTACGGCAATGGGCCGATCCGGAACACATTGTCTCAGATTGGTAGTTTGTCCTTTTTCGTCCTGCAAGTGGAGTCTCATGTCATGCTGACAGGGTCCACAGGGATCAGTAGATGTTTGTAGCCGACAAGGGGTGTTTTATAAACGTGAACCCCTTTTCACATACTTTCTCAGAAAGAAGCGCTGGCTTCCTTCTAAACGAGAGCCTCGGTCGATCGCGATGCACGAAAAACGCCATAGATCGGGGTATCAAAGCGACTGACGGCTAGAACAGGAGGTGCAGTGAGAGGTGCCCACTGAAGCTTCTCTTGTATATGGAGTAGCAAAGTGACAAGTACTCACGCTGCGCTTCGCGCGGCACTGCCAGTGTACAATAGCAGCGAGCATTTGAAATTGGGGAGATATGTCTCCAGTACTCAAGTGCTTAGCCAGGTGTGTTCACATACTTAAGTACAGGGCTCAGTCCGAGTCAGTAGAATCTACAGGTGACCGAGTACCACCAGGGTTACTTACATGGTTAGCTGGAGGGTTATCTGGAAGGGAAGGTTAGCTGTTGGATTGTTGGATATAGGCAACTGGTAGCCCTAGGGATAAGCTGTAGGCTCTCCTCGGGTATCAAGACAGGCGGTGAATAAAAGTGCAGGAACCTAAGTAGTAAAAGAGGTCTAAGTCTATCTATTATATGATTTAGTCTTCCAAGGTTCAGATGGATACTTCTAACCTATTGGAGATGTGAGGGAAGTGTGAAGGAAACCTCAGATGACTCTCTCCACTATAGGACTACACCCCAACCCGATATCGTGCAAGACCACGCTATTCCCCCTTTTTGAACTTGGTAGTGCATTTTCTTATATTCAATATTCAAGATCCAAGATCCAAGATCCAAGATTGTAATCTGCAGGCACCTCGGGACCGCCCGACCCCGACCCCGCATACCGATGCGGGGAAGCTTGGACCCTGGACATCTGCAGTCGTGGTTACACGATCCCTTGACTTCATTCAAGTTGACATTCCGATCTGCAAGATCCTGCCCGTCCTACCTCACATATCCCTGTGATCTTTGAGGCTTCAATCATTGGATATCGAATTGCATCAACTATGCGCCTTTGCAAACAAGTCCTTGGTATCCGCCTTCAAAGAAGGTTTAACTTATCACTAACACGAGGACTGCTGACGCAAAGCTATGCTCGTGGTCCATCGCAAGTGAGCTGCTCAATTTCTTTTCTTAGCATTTAAAATATCATTTGCCTGGTCTAAAGCTAATCATTCGTTATATCACGCAGCCACCTTTGATCGAATCGACCGTTGGAGATCATTTCTCAAAAATTGTGGCACAACATGGCGACCGAACAGCGTGAGAGATTATATCTCGGTTCAGTATCTTAACCAAGTACTGACAGCACTTTCAAGTGTCATTTCGAAGCACCAAAACGATCGAATCACTTATTCCTCCCTCGATATTCGGAGCAATGCCCTTGCTCGGGGGTTTGAGTCCGTCGGCGTCAAAAGGGGCGATCGCGTAGGAGTCATGCTGGGCAACTCGATGGAATTCGCAATTGTGAGCCTTTGATCCTCCAGTATACCATAATCTCGGGCGTCATTATACTCATGAATCTAGGTGACATATGCTCTGTTCAAACTCGGAGCTATCTTGGTAAGCCCCACCTATCTCCACAACACTATATCGATATACCTCTAATCACTTTCGAAAGGTGCCTTTGAACCCTTCATTCAATTCCACTCAAGTTGCATCAGCATTGTGCCATCTGGACTCCAGTCATCTTATCATCAGCACAGGATCCAATCTACCCCGCAAAGATCCCCGCAGCAACACTCCTCTACTCAACCATCTGGTAGACCCTTCTAGCTTGAAAGTGGAATCGGATCTAGTCCCATCCTTGAAACAGATCATTCTTATCGACAATTCATCCGGTCGCATAGATACATCTGCTTACAAGAGCTTGACACCATTTGAATCTATTATGTCGGAGCTGCCAGCAGATGGACATGCTTTACCCAACCAGGGTCTTTCTCCAACCGACATTGTGAATATTCAATTTACATCTGGGACAACTGCGATGCCGAAAGCAGCATGCCTGACCCATCGCTCAATTCTGAATAACGGCTCGCAAATCGGCGACCGCATGCTCTTAACCCCACAAGATATCGTCTGCTGCCCACCACCCTTGTTTCATTGCTTTGGCTGTATTTTAGGGTATATGGCAACGGCAACACATGGCTCGGCCCTCGTTTTCCCCACGGAATCGTTCAATGCCCGCGCAGCGCTAAAGGCAGTACAAGAGGAAAAATGTACAGCCCTCTACGGTGTTCCGACAATGTTCATTGAAGAGCTTGGTCTTATTGAAACGGGAAAAATCTCAGGTGATGGCTTTCAGTATCTACGAACTGGCATTGCGGCTGGAAGTAGTATACCGGCAGAACTCATGAAGAAGCTACACAACGTTCTCAACTTGACGGAGTTGACTATTTGCTACGGAATGACTGAGACTAGCCCTGTCTCTGCAATGACTACAACAGATGATCCCATTGAGAAGCGCATTCATACGGTTGGACGACTCATGCCACACGTTGAAGCCAGAGTTGTGAATCCAGTAAATAAGAATGAGGTTCTTCCTATTGAGACGTGCGGCGAGTTAGCTGTCAGTGGGTATCTATTGATGGAAGGGTACTGGGGTGATCCCGAGAGAACAGCAGAAGTGATGATCGCAGATGAGACTGGGAAGCTTTGGATGCATGTGAGTTGAAACATGTAGTAATAGATATACTACTATAAAGTAACGTATGTTCAAGCTAACACGAAATTGAATCAATAGACTGGAGACGAGGCCTCGATGTCAAAGGATGGATATATTACAATCACAGGTCGAATCAAAGACTTGATCATTCGCGGTGGAGAGAATATTCACCCATTGGAGATTGAGAATTGCTTACTAGCACATCCGGGCATTGCTGAAGTGTCGATAGTTGGGATTCCGGACGAGAGATATGGTGAGGTCGTCGCCGCCTTCGTCGTTTCTCGAGAGCAAGGTCCCAAATCTATCACGAAGGAAGAGATCCAGCAATGGGTCCGCGAAAAGTTAAGCAATCATCTCGGTAGGTCATGATGCTCCTTGCTAGCTAAATTTCTCATACTGATTTTTCCCCAAGTCCCCAAATACATTTTCTTTCTCGCACCGTCGGAGACCTTTCCAAAGACAGCAAGTGGAAAGATACAGAAATTCAAACTACAGGAACAAGCCATAAAGCTACTGGCAGAAGACGCCAAAGCCTTATTGATTAAAAATGCGGAGGAAAGTCAAACATCGGACGCATCAGCATCTTGAGCGAGATTTTAGGCATAGAGCCATACATACTAGTAGATAGTCAAGAATCAATTTAAATATGAGCCATTCAACACGTTCATAGTATTAGGATTGACATATTTTCTATTCAAACTTCGAGCTATCTTGGTGATTGATAGTAACAGTTGGTCAGACCAGCAAAGCCATGCTTTTACTTCCCTCCGATCCGACAGACTCGATTATTATCGGTGCATGGCTGCCTATCCAGCTATGTGTAGGTGGTATCGGAATAGGTGACAGGTACATACATGGATACCTCCCGAGGTCAGCATGTACTTACTAGTCTTCTACTACTAGTAGCAACCTTGGGATGCTTTCGAGATCTCGACTCGCCTTTGGTGAAAGGTATCATTTGGGTTGAGGCCACCATGATAGGCTGGGGATTGCTTGCAAGAGGCAGCCTCGAGGGCGGCTAGCACAGCTTTCGAAGCACCAGTGGAGGCCTGGAAATTTCTTGAGAAATGGCTAGTAGGTATAGAGCCCACACAGACACATCAGAAGTCCTGGATACCAGTTTCACCCTGAAGCTGAGCTGTCGCATTCTCGCCTCTAAGGTCATCAACCACCCACTCTGGCTCCTCCTCATCAAAGTACTCATCCTGCTCCTCAGACCGATCATCGTAATCCTCGTTGTCATCAACAGTCTTGTAATCAAAATCATCATCATCGCCTCTCATAAAGCGTAGCCTCATTTCCCATTGCCATTGTTTCTCTCCTTCCTCCTTGCTGGAAGGAATATCATCACGATCCTCTGCAAGAATCTCTCCATTCGGTCCACGGGTATAGCTCAGCATCGAAGCGGGATCAGGATGCGCCAGCGCGTCCATCTTAGCCTCGGAACGTAACAAGTCCGCTTGTAAGACACCCGAGAATCCCTTCTCGCGCCCTTGCGCTTCCCGTTCCTGCGGAGTCTGAAATCGGCGGATAAGACGATCGTACAGTAACGGGTCTAGACATACAATTCCATACGAGTTAGCATTGTAAATTTCTCATATCGCGTCTGTGCTTCTCGAAGCTACTATCTGTGTTGCCAGCAAGGAAGGAAGAGCAAGCGGACCGGCTAGCTCGAGCTCCGCCGAGAAATATTCTGGATGGAGGTCTAAGTACCGCTTTCGGCGGTTTTTCATTTGAATTGAAGGATTTTGCACGTCGGTAGAAGCACCCTCTGTAGATTTTAATTCGGAATCCATGGGGAAATGTGGCATCTTGGCCTGTTTCAGTTGTGTTTGGGAGGAAATGAGGTCAAAATTGGGGAAACGCGGAAGTGGGCGGCAAAAGCGATGCTTTCTGCCACTCCGCAGCTTCGTCTTTTTTTTTCTGCAAGATTGATGTGTCGAAGATCTGAACGTGTAAGTCAATATTGTACGTGAATTGAGCTCCTATTGCTATGGACACTGTCGGATTTTGAATTGTCCTTGTTTTGAAATAAATTGGCGTGTTGACTGATATCATTCCCGGCAGATCACCATCTCTTGGGCTGTTTCCGCACATTAGTTGCCTCATCCCAGGTTAGATAGCTTGGCAATCATGTCAGTCGGGCAATTCGTTCGGCAAATTGATGCCTACCGCTTCGGTACTGGAGTAGCTCTGCTATTCCTTATTGCAGCATACTCTCCTGTTATGGGCTTGGTGCTGTCTCCTGTATTTGGCTCCCTGCCGGCCCATATCTTCCACGGCTATGGCGTGGGTATTTGCGGAGCTGCTGGATGGTTCTTGAAGGACCAGATCCAAAGACGCGTTGGTCGTCTTGCCGCTCTTATGCTTCCTGTTCTGGCCTTCTGGACTCCTACATTGCAGTACTTTGTGATGCAGCAGAGCGCCAAGCTGGGAAACCCTGTCGGTCCTGTGGTCACAGAGCTGTTTGGCTACTATCCTCTGGTAATCTTGACTGTGGCTATTGCCGGTAAGCAGATTCAATCTGCTATGAACCTTGAGTCTCAGGGAGAACTTGCTGCGGAACATATTCCTCTGATCGGCACGTACATTATCTACTCCATGGGCGAGCACTTCGCTCGATTCATCCTGTCTTATGCTATTGGTTTCACCTTTATTTTCTCTCGCGCGGGATTGCAGTTTGTCATTGCTATTCTGTATGCTGCTATTGTTCCTAAGTCCAAGCTCCTGCTTCTGGCTATTCCGTCTTTGCTCTTCACTATCACTTCTGATGTCCACCTTGGTGGAATTGGTGCTGCAAACTCTGCCATTCAGCATGAAGGATATACCATGTTGGCCCGCCAGGAATCCTACACAGGATACATCTCCGTTCTTGAGAACAACCAGGACGGTTTCCGTGTGATGCGTTGCGACCACAGTCTTCTTGGTGGACAGTGGATCAAGTCAACTCCCGGCTACCACCCTCAGGTAGAGGACCCAATTTACGCTGTCTTTGCCATGCTCGAAGCCGTCCGACTAGTCGAGCCTGATAACGGTGTTCACCGCGTAGATGCTGACAGCAAGGCTTTGGTGATGTAAGTTCTACCGACAAAATTCCCATAGTTTCTGATAACTAACATAGAACAGTGGTCTCGGTATCGGTACCACACCCGCTGCATTGATGAAGCACGGCATTGACACCACCATTGTCGAGATTGACCCCGTCGTGTACAAGTTCGCGACCCAGTACTTCAACCTCCCGTCCAACCACGTCGCCGCCATCGAAGACGCCACCCAATTCGTCAAGAAGGCGCAAAAGGCTGCTTGGCCCAAGTACGATTACATCGTCCACGATGTCTTCACCGGTGGTGCTGAGCCCGCGGAACTTTTCACTTTCGAGTTCCTGAAAGACCTGAGCTCTCTTCTCAAGGATGACGGTGTCATTGCTATCGTAAGTTCTCTAGCTCACATCATTGCTCTCTTCTAGCAGGGCCATATCTAACACGCTATAATCTCAGAACTATGCCAGCGACATTACACTCTACCCTACAGGTCTTATTGTCCGCACCATCCAAACCGTCTTCCCATCCTGCCGTATGTTCCGTGAAAACGGAGCGACCGAAGATGCCGCCAACCCCGACTTTACTAACATGGTACTCTTCTGCAAGAAGAGCGCTAGCACCCCTCTGCGCTTCCGGGAGCCAGTTCAGTCTGATTTCTTGGGTAGCAAGTCGCGTGAGTCGTACATGGTGCCCAAGCATGAGATGGATACTTCTCAGTTCGCTGTTGGCCCGGAATCCGGAAGAAAGTATCTCATTCATAAGGAGGTTAGGCGATTGCATAAGTTCCAGGATCGGGCTGCGTTGGAGCACTGGGAGATTATGAGGAAGGTTATGCCTGACTCTGTGTGGGAGAACTGGTAAATGACAAATCTATTGGACTCAACTTAGGTTTTGTTCTGGGCTTTCTAGTTATTTTCTGGTATATCCTGTGTTCTTATATTAATTTGTTAGATTATTCCTTTTTAGTGCTTGTTATAACATGTGAATACAGACAATATGGCGCTAAACGCGACCTATATAGCCTATCGCAGATCTCAGAGTCAGTCGTATACATGAAAAAAGAAAAAAAAGAAATCCGGCAAGGTCGGGGATTGAACCCAGGACCTTCAAAATCAGAAATGCGTGAATAGCCTCAAAAGCCTCACTTGATACATCCATCCGCATCACATAATTCCTTCTATCTCTCTCAATTATTTTTTATTTTGAAGATCTGAAAGTGCAATAGAAATAGAAAAGCTAGAAGTATAATAGGTATAGAATTAAAATATTAAAAAAAAAAAAACATTATCCCTAGCTGTAGCTAGATGCCCTCCCGCCCGCAGGTATTTTCTCTGCCACTGAAACCAGGCCCGGCATACCTAATTTCAGTACCTTTGTCCCCAAACGGGGCGCCGACCGCTAGACTAGCAGGGCAGAGTAGCTACCTGGGGACTTTTTTACTCAAATATAAGGGAGATGTGGTTCCTTGAATGGTGTTTAACCAGATACATATGAAGCCCCGGACCACGCTACCTGTAACATTGAATGTTTAGGCAAAATGATAGATTCCTGCCACCACCTGGGCAGCTGCTGGATATTCGCCAGGCGCTCAAAAAACCACTCCATCCCGAGTAGGAAAAGAGGGCTACTATACTACACTATACTACAGTGACATACTATATATTTTTAATAATCCAGAATATAGTAGATTCAAGTTTCAAAACAAAAAGCTCATATTGGTATCATTATCTAACACCCCGCAGAAACATAGAAGCCATCTCCTAGAAAAAGAAAACTGTTTACACAGGCCTATCCCATCGAATCCACCACTTTCTATATCGAAAGATTTAAACCATCACCATGGCCTGCGTGCCAGATCTACCCTCACTCCACATACACAATATGTACGCTCAAAGAACTAAAATACAGTCCAGGGATATTCGAGATAGAGACACAGAGGAAGAAAAAGAGAGAGAGAAAGTAATTATGAAGACGGGCTTCCGCGAGGACTGCTGTTGGGTTTCTTGACCAGACCGGCGAAGAAGCTTGCTAAGGCTTTGTTATGGGCTTTCTCATCCACCGGAGTGGGTGTTCCTTCTTTGCGCTGGCTTCGACTAGCTTCGCGATCCTGTATAAAAATCAGTATATGGTTCTGAGGAGGAGTAAATTGAAGGGACCCACTCTTAGTTTCTTCAGCATGTCGTCCGCATCAACCTGGATACCACCCATGTTAAATTGAACGGGACCGATGTGCTCGTTAACTCGGCCATCGTCATCCATAGGAGACATCTCAAGTGTTGGCACTGGTTCATTCGCCCGGTCCTTCTCATCCTTAGCCTTGAGTTGTTCAAGAGTTTCAAGTTGCTGAGCGAGGAATCCCTGGAGATCAGATGTCTCTATCTCGATTTTGGTCCCCTTGTTCGTAGTGTTCGGATGGGCAATAGTCATGTCCCGCTTCGGGTCCTTGATTGTTTGCTCGAATACTGCCACTGCGCTGGTTCCGTCTTCTTCGTTCTCGATATCCTTGCCAACATCCGTGGGTTGACCGAGGGGCTCAGGAGGATCCTGGATTTCGATCGACCAAGCAGTTGACACTCCCTCCATGTCGAATCCTTCGCGAATAATACGGATCTTGCCCCATGAGTCCCAGTTGGCAGGGACAATAATCTTGTCTCGGTCGATCACATTATGTTTTAATGACTGGCGTTTCAAAAGGGAGTGTATGCCCAGAGATGAGTGGATCAGGCTTTGGAGAGAGTTGGCGAGGAAAGGTGTAGTATAAATGAGGGAGGCGCCGTCTGTATTAGAGTTAGAAAGCGGAGACAACAATGATTGAGGGTTGGGTTCTCACGCTTCAGCAGGATTGTTCTCATGAATTGCAAAATGAAATCGAACTGTTCTTCATGCCACCCATGATCCTTCTCCAATTTCTCGATCTTATCGCCCTGTAAGAGCAAACATTCATTAGCCAGCTGTTCTTGATCCTTCCGTTGGGCTGTGGCTTATCCATACTCCTTGACAAACAACACACATAGGGATACCCAGTCCTTCATCCCATTCGCCAGGTCCGAGAGGTATCGTAACTGGGCCCCCAGAGTTTGTTAAGTTTCCTGCAGCTCCTGCGCTAGCATCCATACCCCTCTTGCGATCGCGCCACTCCGTCATCGTCTCCTCCATCACAATCTTTGTGTTGTCGTCGAGCGAGACCAAGACCGAGCGGAGAAGGCGAACCCATTCTCTTAGTCGACGAATCCATGTCCATGGATCAGACCAATCCATCAGAATTACAACAAGCGTTTCCGGCACAGATTGAGGGGTCAGAAGAGGTTTTAGGAGGGATGCAAAGGATGGAGAGGGTTCGGACAGGAGATAGGCCGAGACACGCGCCAGCGTATCTTGAATATAAATGTTAGTTTTGATCAAGCGAACGGTCGCTGTATAGATTCATCAAGCATACCTTCTTGGTCAGCATCGAGGACATCTCGATATGTGTATCCCAATGCAAACTGGTTAGCAATTGGTGGAGTCTTGCCCTTTCGCTTCTCATTCACTAAACTCGGATCTGCAGATGTATCCGCCGAGAATGTGTCTAGGAATTCTCTCTGACTTTCGGGTGTACCTCCTAAACCATGACAAGATCAATTAGCAACCATGGTTGGAAATTATGCAGCAACAAGAGCTTCAGATAAAAGATTCTTGTTCGCTCGCTCGCTCCAGCGCCGCAAATCCAGTATAAAAACACACCTAGAATCAAAAGGTTCTTTTCCGGAAGACGCTTTCCATTGGCGACACCATCCAGTAGCGAGGACCAAATGTTCTTCTTAGAGCCATCCTTGCTGGTAGGTCGACTATTGGAGCCGGTGGCTTTCAAACCATGATTCGGACTGGAGGACATATTCTGGTCTAGTCCCACCATGCCTCAGTGGGCATGTACCATTCCAACAAAAAAAAAGTCTCTGAGATAATAGCGCGCGTTGGGTCGTAGTCGGGTGGTGCGGGAGAGTTGAAGCAGAACGCGGTCAGGGGAATCTGGGTGGGGATGAATTTGATATGTTGGCTTCTAAGCCGCGGTCCAACCGAATTTGCTTAGATCGCTATAAGTTCTAAGCAGAAGTTTCGAGAAAATCAAGATAATTGTTTCGCTGTAAATATGAGACGTCATGAGCGATGAGGGAGGAGTTGGGGGGTTTCTCTTGAGTAAACAAGTGATTTTACGGTTCCGCAGATGCTCCGGGTTCCACCTTTCCCAGATTCTCCTCACAAAGCTTCAAGTTCCTCTTTTCGTGGAAGATCTTGAAATTACATCACAATGAACTCCATTCGCCAGGTGCAACAGCTCAATAAGCGCGAGCTTGAACATGCGATGTAAGTGGAACTATATACCATGGACTTTTTTTTCTTCATTCCAGAAGTCTGGGGCTAACCGTACTCCTTGTCTAGACCTCCAGAGGCATCATGGCATGCAGACTACCGCGATACAGCCTACATCTATATTGGTGGACTTCCATTTGACCTCTCAGAGGGCGATATTGTCACAATTTTCTCTCAGTATGGAGAGCCAACCCACGTCCATTTGATGCGCGACAAGGAAACGGGCAAGAGCAAGGGCTTCGCGTTCCTTAAATATGAGGACCAACGGAGCACCGACCTTGCAGTAGATAATCTTGGAGGAGCAACTGTTCTGGGGCGCATGCTACGAGTCGATCATACCCGGTACAAGCGACGCGACGACGAGGAGGAGGGAGATAATGTCGCGAAGCTGATGGGAGATGCTGCCATCAACGATGACAAGGGCGCAAAGAGTAGTGACCGCCACAGTCGACGGAGAGGGTCGATTGATGAAGATCGCGAGGAAAAGCGACCATTATTGAAGGAAGAGAAGGAACTACAAGCTCTGATTCAGGACCATGATGACGAAGACCCAATGAAGGAATTCCTGGTTGAAGAAAAGAAGGAAGAAGTTGCTCTTGCCATCGAGAGATATAAGAGCAGCGAGAAAAAGTCATCTCGCCGACGGGACGACAGCAGAGAAAGACCTAGCAGGCACAGTCGTCGCCATCGATCCCGTGAACGTGAGCGCAGACCTCGGGACGATCGCTCGCCTGCCCGGGAAAAGACTTCGCGACGTCGGTCAACAGACAGAGAAGGAAAATCAGGGAGAGACCGTACACCGGTCATGACTCGTTCACGTTCCCCGGATGCTCGGAAGCATCGAAGTGACCGAGATCGCGAGCATCGCTCTCCAGTCGATGAAAAGAGGTCACGTCGCCGATCCCGGGACAGGGAGGAAAGATCCCGGAGAGATCGGACACCAGAGCGCTCACGGTCCCCCGAGTCACGAAGGCATCGCAGTGAACGAAGCGATCGAGACCGTGACAGTCGCCGCCGCTGAAACAGAACCACATGTCTCTACGTTTGGGTGATCCACGTGGGCCAAGGGAGTCTCAAAAAGCTTCTGTGGATTGGTATCGGTCGCATCAAAGAATCATATATTTACAGTTCGCAAAATTTCGTTTCAAATATTTGAAATGTCAAAAGCTAGTCTCAGCCGCTGAGATACCGTTTCCAACCATCCCGCATACAATGTCGTCTTCCATCCTCCCCGTCTCGGAGTATGAATTTCTCCCAGCGGGCTTCCCTTCCAGACCCAATCACCATTAGAGTCTGGTCATCCTGCCAGCCAATGATGCCTTTGGGAGGCCGGCCTAGTGATAAGCCATGGTTGAGCATAGATGGGGATCCCGGGATAGGCTCATCGCCCATCTCAAAATGTGCACTGGCCAATGAATACGTATCTGAAAAGACTCGTGGCAAAAGTGGCAATCTTCCAAGAATGCCCCATGTCCGATTACCATTCTCTGTCCCTGAAGCTGGGGACTGGCTGTGACGCCCACTGTGGCTGGGATGGGGTACATCAAAAATATGTAAAGTAGATTTGTCCGAGGTTACGGCCAAGAGAGTGTTAGATGGTGAAAAAGATAGAGAGAATATTACTGCATGGTCAACTCCACGGCGCAGCTCTGCCAGCTTCGTACAGTTTGCAGTTGAGAAGATTCGGATCAAAGTGCCCTAGTAAATTGTTAGTTGAGACCAATGAAGTTAATATGTAAAAACTTTAACCTACAGCTTCGCTTGCTGTAGCGAGAACCTCGCCATCTGGACTCAGTGCCATTGCCCGTAGTGAAGAGCTATGTGCTGGGATAATACTAATATTCCCCGTTTCCAACTCTATCAACTGCACCTGTCCCGGGGACCGGCCAGGAAAGACAAGCAGCTTTTCACCTAGACAAGCCAGACCCATATGATTGTCGGATGTCTCATAGAAGCCCAGCTTTTGTTTGCTAGTTGAAAACGGATATAAGTGGATACTATTCAAGAGAGCAACGACGATTCTGGTTCTAGAGAGGCGGACACCAAGAACAGAGGTACGGAATTCGAGTTGGAGAGTAGGCTTTAGTTTGAGATCATCCCAGATCACAAGCTATCGGATTCTTCCAGCATTAGCATGGTAGATTATGCCTTACGTTGACATCCATAAACTCACCTTGTTCTGCGGGAATTTGGGGTTTCGCCCACCACCCACCATGGCGATGTAGTTCGTTTGTCCGAGCATTTCGACAATGCCGATACCTGCATTGAGGTCTGTATTGATAAATTTGTCAACCTTGATTTCGCTTCAAGTCAAGGTACTCTGTAAGGAGATTACCTCTGGAAACCTTTAGTTCGCATGGATTGGAATTGAATACTATAGTAAAGACTGGTCAGCATTGGTGTTACTTGCATCCAAGCTCAATATCTGATCATCTTCTGGGGAGCTCCATCTCTCTTTTCAAATGGATTTGCCTCTTACCACAAAATCCAGTTTCTAAGCCGACTGAGAAGCAGCTGCTGTCATGGTTGAAGGTAACCGATAACGAATATGGTCCGACGGACTCATCGATGACTTGGCGGGTATTCATTTTCACGAATCATATCCTGAGAAGAGTAAAGAAAAGAGAGGATTCCGAGCACCGAGATAAAGCTCGAGCGCAAGAATGTACCAGTAATAAGAAGGTGGAGATGGGGGAGGAGCAAGGGTCAAATATGGGGGGGGAAGCTCAGATGCGGATCAGCGATAAGAGATGCGGGCAGAGCTCTATGGATCCATAGCTCAACCTTGGGAGGCACATAGGGCGTAAGGCACGGCTAAAGACTTAGTTAGTTAACAACTGTCAAATTGACACCTGGTGATTCAGGCATAATGGGTATTATGTAAGAATTGGGCGGGCAGCAGAGACCCACTATGACCAGTGAACCCCTGAGTGGTTGTTATATCAGTTGGTAAAGATAATAAGAAAATAGAATTGATGATATTATACGTAAAGTCCAAGGATTAATTTAATTCAATTATTAAAGCTCTAGTTCGAATCAAATAAGTCCATAATCCACAATCCAAATATCATATGTGATCTCTCAATATATAAGCAGAGATCTATATGAAGAGACTCCAGTAGTGTCCCGTGATTGGCCCGTAACCAAAAAGGGGGAAACGAACTGTCTTTCCTTCCCCCCCCTACACCACTTAAACTAACCATCAGGAGAGCTTCACCACCTTCTCTTTCTCTTGCCTTTGGATACCCCAATCTTTTCTGCTTTTCCATTTTCTTTTTTGCTGCTCCGTACATTTTCTAGTTCACAATGTCTTCAGCTTTGAACGCGGTATGTGTTGTCCCCTGATGTGAATCCAATCTCCCAGTCTCCAAAACACTCCAAACGGGAGGTCCCCATATCACTCCACCAAAAAAAATTCACTTAGGATTCAAAGCTAACGCGCGTCCCCGCCGCGGGAAGATGAAGATTCGTCGCAAGAAGAATGTCAAGAAGGGTATTCAGTTCTGTTTGATGGTCTGTGGTGCCAGCGGAACTGGTAAGCTTCACATCTCACATCTTACTCTCTCTCTCCCCCTCAATTGACCACTAACGATTGAACTTCATAGGTCGCACAACTTTTGTCAACACCCTCTGTGGCAAGCAAGTTCTTGAGGGCAAGGATGCCGATGATGCAGAGAACGCCCATCTTGAGGAGGGTGTCCGTATCAAGCCTGTCACCGTCGGTAGGTCCATCCAATCCGCTCCTAATTATTACGGGGTACGAAAATACGGAGCATACGGGGTAAAGCTAATTCGATCTTTGTTTGCTACAGAGCTCGAGCTGGATGAGGAAGGTACCCGCATCTCTTTGACTATTGTTGATACCCCGGGTTTCGGTGACCAGATTGACAACGAGGCCAGGCATGTTTCCTACCCCCCTTCCCGATGTCCGGATTCCCACTAACAGGCTTCTCACAGCTTCGGCGAGATTGTTGGATACCTTGAGCGCCAATACGATGACATTCTTGCTGAGGAGTCCCGAATTAAGCGTAACCCCCGTTTCAGAGATAACCGTGTTCACGTGCTGCTGTACTTCATCACCCCCACCGGACACGGCCTGCGTGAGCTTGATATCGAATTGATGAAGCGCCTCTCCCCTCGTGTTAACGTCATCCCCGTCATCGGAAAGGCCGACTCCCTCACCCCCGCAGAATTGGCCGAGTCAAAGAAGTTGATCATGGAGGACATTGAGCACTACCGTATTCCCGTCTACAACTTCCCCTACGATGTCGAAGAGGATGATGAGGACACTGTTGAGGAGAACGCTGAGCTCCGTGGTCTGATGCCCTTTGCCATTGTTGGTTCTGAAGATTTTGTCGAGATTGATAACCGCAAGGTCCGCGCTCGTCAGTACCCATGGGGTGTGGTCGAGGTTGAGAACCCCCGTCACTCCGATTTCCTTGCTATCCGCAGTGCCCTTCTTCACAGCCATCTCGCAGATCTGAAGGAGATCACCCACGACTTCCTCTACGAGAACTACCGTACAGAGAAGCTCAGCAAGAGCGTGGACGGTGCTGTTTCGTATGTTCTAAAATTTCCCCCTACTCTCTTTACCTCAATTCTAACCTTTCCACAGTGGTATCGACTCAAGCATGAACCCCGAAGACCTTGCCTCCCAGTCCGTCCGTTTGAAGGAGGAGCAACTCCGTCGCGAGGAGGAGAAGCTGCGCGAGATCGAACTGAAGGTGCAGCGCGAGATCGCCGAGAAGCGACAGGAGTTGTTGGCTCGCGAGAGCCAGCTGCGGGAGATCGAGGCTCGTATGGCGCGCGAGGCAAGCCAGAGCAATGTCAGCGAAGCCAATGGAGAGGCCTAGATATACCCTGTCGACTAAGCGGCTTTTTCCAGCGGGGCGCCTTTTGCAATGTGATACCGTTTGTGCCAAAATTATGGACTTCGTGGCACGAAGTTGGGTTCTGTTTATGGGATTAATATTGACTGTTTATTCACGTTAATAGCTTTTTTTTTCTTTTCTTTCGGTTACTGTTTTTTTCTCTCTCCTTCTGATGTCTCTGCGGAAATGGACAAAATCTCAACATTAGCTCTCGACATTGGTCCAATTTCTCTTTTGATCCTTGAAAAATCAACCCTCTCAGAACGTCTCGAAGACAAGAGAAAAAGACAGAGTATCATCCCTTCTTGTTTTGATCTCACCCCCAGCCCACCAACTTCGCAATGCCACCCAGCTCCAATTCCCGTCTACACCCATTCCTCCCTTTTCTGTACCCTGGCTTTTTCTCTGCGCTGGGGGTTTCATCACTTCCTGTTTCATTTTATCATCGCCCCTGGCACCTTGTCCAAAGTCCGCAGCGCAGCAAGATTCCCTCTTCCCTTCAATTTTCGTTTTTAATCCATGTCTTCTCTCTATCTTCTTTTTTACCCGCTGTCTTCCTAGTTGATAGTGAATGGGAAGAAAAAGTATCCTGGTCATGTCTTCTTTTATCGTAGTTTCCAGATACTCTAATATATTTATGCTGTCCTTTACTACAATACACTCTCGGCTTCTACCAACGTTTGAAATACTAGTTGTATCATGATGTACTAGATACTACTACTAGTAGACCTGACCAATTGATCCATAAATTTTGAAGCATTCTACTATATAGTAGTAGTATCATCCGATAGTATGCCAGTGTAGAACCTCAGGCTTGGAATATATACATAGGTACTACTGGAACAACATGCACCTACCTGCTCCGAAATATATATCATCTGATCCTGAGACTCGGACTTGGGACATGGATGTACTATCATCTCATCATGACTCGGATGCCCAGGTGATCGTCTAATTTGAATGCTTAGGTGCAGCAGTACCGTGACGGTGCATCTTACTTCGAGTTCAGATGAATTCCATAGGACTTGATTATGTAGCTCCAAACTAACATTCCACATTACGTTGGAAGTAGAGACACCTCAAAGTCAACAGTACAAAAAGAAGAAAAAGCTAGTTCAAAAGGTCGAAGAAATGAGGCACAAAAGAAGAGATGATCATCACTTCACAGGCTACATAGTTAAAAGACAAGAAAAAAAGATGTCGATGGAATAAGAAGTCAATAAAATTTTAAGAAAAGACAGGAGAAGAAAAATGGAGAAGATGGAAAAAACGACACGGCAGCATAGAAAAGCAGACACGCAAGAAGTGGTATTTGCGCTCCATTGTACACACAGAAACGAGACAAGATGAATCCTCTTCACGAGGTTCTTTTAAGGAAAAAAGTGCAAAGGAAGCGGTGATGGCGGATGAGAGATGAGATGGTATCAACCGGATCCGTCAGGGCCTTAGTATACATCATAGGGAACTGACGAACCGGAATGAGATGTGGAAAATACGGGGGATGAAAGAAGAGTTAGCAAAGCTAGGCGGCTGAACTTTAGAGGTTTTTGGACAGGAGCATTGATCGGTAATGGCTCAGTTCGCCATAATCAGCTCCAAAATCCAGCCAAAACTTCTTGGGATGACAATCCCCTCCAGGAATTGGGGGACAGCCTAGCAGGGGGTTGGATTTGAAGACTGTGGTGTCTGCTTGAAGACTACTCAGCTTAGTGCTGAGGCTTGTTCCAGAAGTCCAAGCTAGCCACCACATCTTCACCCCTTTCGTCTTCATATGCATAGATGATCTAAATTGTCATGTTAGCATGTAATCACGTTGAATGTAGCTTGAGGAAAAACGTACCTCACGAGTGGAAGAATGCAGCATTCTAATGTTTCTTCCAGTCATAATATGAATCAGTTCACTGGTTTCGACATGTCGAATCTCAACGAAGTTGGGCTCGAATGCAAGTATGTATGGATAAGAGAGCGCAAACGCGTTCGGGTTACCCTCCCATGAAATCCTCCAGTCGGGTCGAGCTCGCCATCCATTGCGGTTAACAAAGAATGAGAAATCGCTATAGTTCAGAAGGAATTCGCCATTCATACGCTCGATATGAATGGGCTTGACGTTCTCCTTACGAGCGACGAAGTCAAGGGAGGTGTCAGCTTGGTCCAGAAGAGACTGAGTCTCTGTAGTTTCAAGACTGACAACCTCAAAACCTCGAGCACAACCAACACACAATGTTGACCGCAGGAAATGAATTGATGAAGATTCCGCTGGGATATAATACTCCTTGAAGGGCTTCAATGTGTCCTGGCCACTCTGGAACATCTTGCTAACAGCAGACTTCTTCTTTCCCTTCGCCAAGTTGTCCATAGGTTCGTAAACCTTGATAGTACTAGACAAGGCTGAAGTCTTGACCGAGCACACAAGGTGGCGTCCAAGGCCAATGCCTGCCTTGAAGAAGTTTGCATGACCCTGAATCTTCTTCGGACGCTTAGCGATAGCATTCTGACCCTCTGATAACTCAAGAGCCTCCATTGGGTAAGACGTCAAAGTCTTATTTGCCAAGACCAACAGCAACTGGTATTCTTCCAATGTGTCGATTTGTGTGACCTGGCTGGCCTCGAGCACCCGTCGAGGCTTTGCGGATTTGTCTTTAGGCCATCGCTCAGAGAGGTAGATACCGCTGTCAGTGCCATACACCAACTTTCGACCTCCATCTACAAAACAGGGTTAGGCATAATTGAAATAGGGTAAGAGATCAGGTGTAAGCTCACCAACTGGTACAAGACAGTTGACCCGGTTAATAGCAGAGAAGAAGTTCTCACAAAGGATTGTCTTGTTGTAAAAGTTACTGTTGCGCTCCCAGAGTTTCCGCTGTTGCTCCTCAACCATTTCAATGAACTTTCGTCTCTGAGTAGGGGATGTGGCATAAAGGGTTTGCTCGTAGCCGCCTTTGCCCAAATGTCTGAAGGTGATCGGCAAGCCACCGTCTTTGGCGGGAGGGGGGTTTGGAGCAGTCTTGTTGGGCAGGAGACTAGACGAGGGCCGTTTTGCGATTCCTTGACGTGGGATGACCTCATCCATTTGAGCAATCACCAAGAGCTCAAGAGGAATAGGCTTTTTGTATACGCGATATTCTTCCCGCTTGTTCACGATCTTAATGCGAACAAGAAGCACTGCATGGTCGAAGAGATATGCGGTAACCTCCGAGCTCTCTGCAGTAGTCTTTTTAAAGGCCATCTTCGAGAGCATTTGACGGTTCTCCTCTGTGAGCTTCAGGTCAACATAGTCACCAGGGGCAAACTTCAATGCAGCATTCAACTGCACCAAGTTGAAATGATTTTCGGCCTTTCCACTTTCTGTGTTGACGCGAGACAAAAAGCTTTTAATCATCTTCACTGCTTCAGGAATGTCTTGCTTGTCGGGACTGTCATCGGCAGTGTGTTTCAAAACCGACTCGAGGAGAAGAGGATATCGGGCCAAACGTGTTGTAGGCTTAGTGAGATAACCATTCAACTCTAGCTTTCGGGACTCCTTCAAGCGCTCGGTGTCATCGACAAACTTGGCAAAGCCCTGGTTGGAGGCCTTTTCTTTTTCGAACTCGTACTTTCCGTAAAGCTGGTTGGCACCGTATTTGATGAATGGATCAAATCGAGGGACATGCTGCAAGAATAGATCACCAACAGTCTGTACAACATGGCTTTCCTTTTGTCGCGCATTAAGAGCCTCACAGAGACCACCATTGACTTTCAAGACTTCCAAGCAATTCCCAAACACCGTCCGAATAAACTTTTCTCGTCGGTGCTCTGGAATCGGGGAGGTTTGATTGGGACCAGCAGCACGCAGGGGGCGCATCCAGAAATCTCGTAAGTACTCCAAGTCCTTGACAAAGTCGCGTTCGGTATACATGATCTCAAAGATAATCTCTTGCCGTTTCTTTTCGCGGTCATCAATAGCGTCAGAAATTTCCTTGGGCACCATGTTGATCCAAAGCTTTTGATTGTCATTATCATCATCGTCATCTATGTGCAGACTACCCTTGCTGCCCGTAGTACTCAGTACCGGCTGAGGCTTCAGATTCAATCTAGCCTGCTGTTCCAATCGTCGGGGACAGGCAATTGAATAACAGAGACTGTCTCTATTACAAGTAGGAGAGTAGCATTCGGTCAGAAGAGTAAAAACACCATTGACTTCCGATCCTAGTGTGTCTTCTCCCATGGTCTCTTTGAATTGATACACCTCACCTGGGGCGTCTCGGAGACGATGATCGTATGTGACATCGTGGAAGAACTTTTGAGCATCGAGTGCTCGACCCAGAAGCAGAGCAAGATTCCGATCATGTGTTCGAATGATCGAACCGATCAAGTCCACAGCATCAGTACCGGAGAAAGCGTTTTGATATGACAGCGCGTTCTTCTGGCGCTCACCCAGAGAAATTTTCTCACGGAAAATATCCGCAACCCGAGAAAGCAGAGCGGGGTAAACAACAGGTACTTTGCGTTGCGAATCGCTCGAAACCAAGGTTACTTGCCCGTTAGAAATCTGGGTTGATTGACTCACTACGCTCATCGTGCGATCCGGCATGACAGTTGATGCCATGGACATGGTACGAGACCGCGTTGAAGCATCACTAGGTGGGCGGTTGTTGTTCACAAACCCATCCGCGACAGCTGTTGGCATTGAATCAAATCTGGCTGGCACGGATTGCTCGTGACCAGATGGGGGTCGTCGATGCGGAATTTGTCGTCCACTGCCCATGATGTGAGTGTGATCTGGCGCCGACGCATAAGTGGTCATAGACATAGCTCGCTCATTGGTGTGCCTTTCGGGAACTGGACGGCCTAGTTGAGTCATTGACGGGGCGCCCGCATGATATGGTTCTCGGCGAGAAGCGATCGCCGAGGTGTGGTTGAAATTGCTCGGTGGAAGTGGTGCTGCTTGGTAGGGCGGCCCACTCAATTTCGCCATGGACCGAGACCTTGTCGCATCTGAGTTTAATGCCGGAGGGGGCATTGGACGACTGAAGTCCCGAGGATCCGAGTATTGAGGAGCCGGTCCTTGTCTAGAATCCACGCGATGAGGTCGAGGATACACGGGCCGGCCGGGGTACGGTCGGGGCGGCGGCTGCGAAGACATGGTCGCGGCCCCTCCAGGATTATAAGCCTGATAGCCTCCAGGAGATGGGGCTGGAGGATAACCGTTCACTGGAGTGGATGGCGCTGGTCCGTATCCATTGGGCACTTGTCGTGTAGGCGGGGGCGGCGGCCGGTTAAACTGAGGCGGCGTCACTTGCGACGACATAGTGTGGGCACGACCTTGAGTAAACTGGGGAGTCTGCGAGTTCATAGTCTGTGAGCGACCTGGTGGTGGCGCACCACCAAAGATGTCGGAATACGCAGCATCTCGCTGCGTGGATGAGGCCGTCCCATAGGGCCGGTAGTTCCGGCCACGCTGAGCCCCCAAATCCGCCATATTCCCCCGAGGATCTGCCAGATTGAAATCGTTCTATTCAGAGCTCTGAGGGAGGAGGTTGATGCCGGTATGGTAAGGACGAGAGGCGGGGGGAAAGATAAGGTGTCAAAATAGGGGAGGGGAGGGGGGTTGTATTCGAGTCGATCGTAGAAAGCGTTCAGAGCGTCGCAATAGTGGATGATTCAAGATCGTGAACAACAGAAGAGATAGCGGAATTGATAAAGCAACTCCACAGAGAGCAATGGGTTGAATCGGAAGAAATAAGTCGTAATGTTCAGTGTAAACGTGTGATCTTCAATATGCCATCGCTAGCCCTCCCGGTTTCTAGAGATCCTGAGAATGGGCGAGATTCAATAGTCAGCGGGCGCTAGGAGCCGTGAGCGCAACAAAGTCAGGGCTCCTTGGACGATCATACCCTCAGCATCCCCAGTCGGAAATCACCAAGAAGCTGGGAAGGAGAGTGGAAGATTGCGCGATTAGATTGGGGGAGGGGAGTTGGAGGGACCAGGAGAGAACGAGGTTGAAGGTGGACGGTATTGTGTAATCAGATTACCCTGTATCCGACTGTGGAGAAATATTGGGGGATCGTTGAGTGAAGGGAGTTCAGGCGGAGTTAATGCTACCCGTGGTGGGTATTGTAGTCAACTGGTAGACATTTGAGCAATCTACGCCACGGGGACAGTATTGTCACGTATTGTCACTCTGGTCACACCGGAGACTCCCTAGCACAACGGAGGCACTAGGGCGGACCAAACTGACTACCAACACAATCCTATCAACCAACTTCCTTCCCCCCCTCCCTCATTCGGCATTGCCTTGACTGAGCTCTCATTTCCTTCCCTTTCTTCGCCATTTCAATCCGCTCACTTCCTTTGATACTCTACCATCATGGCTGACAGTGAGCTGGCGCCCAAGTTTGCGCCGTTCCTCTCCTTTGTGAGTACCTACACAGCCCGCAGGAGCTTCGAGATGCAAGCTTGAGAAAGATGAATACTAACAAACTTTTCTTGAAATCAGGCCGGCATTGCTTCCGCAGTGAGTCCCGATCAATATCTCAACTCCTGATGAACCGACTGACTAACCATAATCTCGCCCGCAGATGATCTTCGGATGTACGTGGCTCGAAAGAATATCCTGAATGCTTAAAGACTCACCATTCACCCCCCAAAATAGGCGCAGGAGCTGCATATGGCACAGCAAAGGCTGGAGTTGGTATTGCCGGTGTAGGCTCATACCGACCGGACTTGATCATGAAGGTATGACAAGCTCTAATAGGGCATGCAAAACACTTAATTGACCTGTTCATTTCTCTAGTCCCTTATCCCTGTCGTCATGTCCGGTATCATTGCAGTTTACGGTCTTGTCATTTCAGTCCTTATCGCACAAGCAGTCCGACCAGGAGAGAATGGCAACATGTACGGAAGTTTATACTCGTATGTTATACCAAGAAGAAGGGATGTCGCGGGATTGGAAACTGACGGGACGGATACAGGTCAATCATGCATCTGGCAGCTGGATTGTCAGTTGGTCTTACCGGCTTGGCCGCGGGATACGCTATCGGTGTTGTCGGTGATGCAGTAAGCATATCTCGTGGGTGTCATCGGATTTGCGTGATGCTAACATAAGGATGTAGGGTGTTCGAGCATACATGCAGCAATCCCGCGTCTACGTTGGCATGATTTTGATTCTGATTTTTGGTGAAGTCCTTGGTTTGTATGGGTATGTTTTAAGATCAAACACTAGCTTTCTCACCTAATACTCGAACTAACACTGGCATATCAGATTGATTGTTGGCTTGATTCTGAACTCTAGATCGTGAGCGCGTTTCTTCCGCCATGCTTTTGCATGCGCCCTCGCTTTGCCAGCACTTGCCAGCACCTCCAAAGTCGAATCCTTTCCCATCCTCTGTTATCCCCGAAATATATCGGCCGGTAGTCCTGGAGGCCCGCGCGCACCATCCATCTCTAGGATCGAGATCCAGGCCAGCTGGCTTCTGAATCGCATGGACTCTATTTTATTCACATTATTGTCGGGTGTATTATAAGGGAAACTGTTCGCATATAGATCCAAAAACGGTAAAATGGATCAATCTATTTACTTCTGAAGATATGTCTTTCATACTTACATTAGTTCACGGGTACCGACCTTACTATCTATGCATAGAAATGGGTCATACTGAGCTTACATATCAGTCTATATTAACTTCTATGGACTTATATTCCCCTATATTCCTTTGTATATCTCTTAGTATTATGGTCACCGGATCTAAAGAACCGAAAAAAGCAATGTCAGCCCAATGAAGGTTCCGATTTATCACCGTAGTTCCCATCCCAACCCCGCCCCCCATGGATACGTCAGAGCTGGCAGAACTTCCTTTCGCAACCTCTCGCTGCCCCGCGCTTTGTGCTCGAACCTCTATTTTCCACTTTTCGCTGTGAGAATTCCTGAGAATTCACATTTAGCCAATGCGGTTTGGTTTGATTTAAGAGCTCCCCCCTTCATTAAAGCTGCGTTCCTGACGCGGTTAGGTGTGGCGCGCTAACGGGGTGGACTCTTATACACTTTTTTCTTCCCTTCTCTGAGATCGCCCTCGAAACGAAGCGGAGATGCTCTGCCATTCCAATGGCAACTAGAACTCTCGAACACCCCTTACTACCTGAGGCGCAAGCAAATCCTGTTTGTTCCGAATCCCACAAGATGCGAGCCCACGATTTCCACGAACGGGAGAAGAAGCTCGTTCAGGCCTTCCGCCATCCTCCGCGAGCGTTGAACCCGTTCCTTATCACTGAGCGCCATGACGAGAAACAATTGTCCATATCCTCGAGAAATCTTCACGTCAATGATTTCACCCTCTTGAAAACTCTAGGCACTGGTATAGACCCTTTTTTTTGCCTCTCCGTTGGCCTGTCGCAACCCGTGTATCGCGATCTGACATATGTTCTTGGCGGTGATATTAGGTACCTTCGCTCGAGTTTGGCTCGCAAGACTGAAGGACCAGAAGGACAAATCGAAGGTTTACGCTTTGAAGATACTCCGCAAGGCTGATGGTTAGTGTGCTTCTCGTCCGAAGCCATGCGCGCCCCTCGCTGACTAGTGAGAAACAGTAATCAAGCTGAAGCAGGTGGAACATGTGCGCAATGAACGCAAGGCTCTCGTCGCGGTAACCGGACATCCTTTTATCACAACCCTCGTTGCATCATTCTCAGATGAACAAAATCTGTATATGTTGGTATGGGCTTCCCATCTCTAACATGTTACATAGAGCGGGCTAACTCCTCACAGCTGGACTATTGTCCCGGGGGTGAGATTTTCACTTATCTCCGACGGTCGCGCCGCTTTGACGAAGAAACCTCAAGATTTTATGCTGCCGAAATCACCATGACTATTGAATTTCTTCATGATATTCATGGCATCGCTTACCGTGACCTAAAGCCAGAGAACATCCTTCTGGATGCAGAAGGCCATATCAAACTCGTGGACTTTGGCTTTGCAAAGCAAGTGGACAATCGTGAGACTTATACTCTCTGCGGGACACCTGAGTATCTGGCTCCGGAAGTTATCCACAACAGCGGACATGGACTCGCAGTGGATTGGTGGGCTCTGGGAATCCTGATCTACGAATTTTTGGTGGGACAGCCTCCATTTTGGGACCAGAATCCTATGCGCATTTACGAACAGATCGTGGAAGGACGTTTACGCTTCCCTCCCAATATGCCCCCTGCAGCGCAGAACATCGTGAGCCTGCTCTGCAAGACCAATCCTTCGGAGCGACTTGGTCACATATCGGGTGGATCAACTCGGGTGAAATCTCATCCGTTCTTTGCGGACGTGGCTTGGGATGACCTGTTCTACCGACGAGTCAAGGGACCGATTATTCCCCGAGTATCACACCCAGCCGATACGGGAAATTTCGAGGAGTACCCAGATACCGATACGAGAAACCAAAATATTTACACCGACGACTTGAAGAAGAAATTTGAGCCTCTGTTCAGTGATTTCTAATAGTCTCTTTACTTTGGGATCTTACCATTCTTCGAGCTTGCTTTGTTTCAACAACCTTTCAGGGCGGGTTTCCAGACACAAAAGGGATTATGGCTTTTTTGCTCCGACTTTCCTTTTGAACTGAATAACGGTTCGCTATTCCAGTTTATTCCAATTGGTTTTTTCCAATATCCCCAAACTCGGAATGTCTCAGGCCCTCTATGAGCTCCTGAGTATAAACCCCACAGGGACTCGGAACTGCCCAATTGCGCGGCACTCTGATATTTGAAGGAGGCCATATCACACTTCCATGGTCCTACCTTCCACCCTGTGTTTCTTTTGCCCTCGCGCAAACCATGTAGGAGACCGGATAAATTTTCCAAGTCTGCCTCAGCTACGTCATTTATGCAGGGTCTTCATATCGGGTCCCATGACCAGACTCTGCCTGAGACACTGACATCAGTGCTTCTTTGATCTTCTTTTTCTTATACCCCACTGCCTTTTTGTCCTTGATCTCTTCGACTCTCTTTCTTTCTATCTATTCAAGCGAAATATAGCGTTGGAGGATATGAGCTCATTTCATTATGATTTACTTCGAAGCATTTCGGTTTCAACATCTGCTCTGCTAGCTTGACAGATTTACATCGGGATGACTCCTTTTGCTTTCTTGTTTATTATTCTTTTTTCAAGCTATGATGACGACAGACAGTATATACACGTGAATCTAATTTGGAAGCTTTATTCGGTGATGCAAGCTTCTGGTATTTAAATTGAGTTGAATGGGTAGTATGCTTTGTGGATCAATCTCATCAATAGCTCAACTATCAGAGAAATCGAAACATCCAATTAATCCAGAAATTTTATTTCATTCGATTCCTCATCATGTGGGATTATAGGTTCTTCGACAGTCGAAACTCGAATAGGAAAACTGGAGTACAAACTTGAAAGCACCGGGTATTTCAAAAATAGTATTAGACAAGCATGTCTATCAGATATTTTACTAAACTGATCCACAGTCCACTTCTAGCTATTGTATCATTGTAATAATGAGTATATAGCACAGGAAACGAAAAAGATAAATCAAAAAGCAACAACAATTATGGGAATCATATGTGCGAGGGATCATGAAACATGAGCCGTGAATTTTCACAAGAAGACTCGTCCGTGCTAGTAACATACATATTCTGCATGAGAGACACAGTCAATGGCACGAATAGAAGAATTATAGCGAAAGGGAGAGGGTGAAGCTAGGGAAAAGAGAAGAGGTGGAGTTGGGAGAGATGTATCACTGTTTATGGTGATATCGGGTGGAAGGGGCGTGATATAGCGAGCAGGCTCCAGCTGCGCGGTGCTTGGATATCTGGGGTGAATTTGGATCCAGTCCCAATCCTGGTCATGAGCAGAAGGAGTAGATGGTTTCCCAGTCCTGTTGGGTATTGGAGCTGGTGACTTTTGGGTGAAATTCCCGAGCCAAAGCTAGGACGGATTGATAGAGAGCTTGAGGTGATGGGTGGGATAACACAGCGAAGGAGTATTACAGTGATGGATCAGTTTTCCATGAGCCTGGGAGAGAGTTAGTCTTGAACAAATGTATACAATCAAGGTGATATCGTAAGAGAGTGGACTAACCATCAAAGTTATGCTTCACAAAAGCCATGGGGTCACTGGTATCGTGTGCTCCCATCTGTCCAACACCAGGACTGAAGCTTGTAATGGGCAAAACAATCACATCACCGACCTTCTTCTCGGTGGTTTGTTCAGTGAAATCGGTATAGGTGATATTCTTGTCGTCAGGTTGGATATGGAAATAATCAGGGTTGTTGAAGTAGCGGAAAACAGAATCAGTCCAAGCTCCTGGACCCGTAAACTCCATTATAGTCTTGTCCATTTTGCCCACCTCCAGGATTCCTGCCCTCTTCATCCGTAGAGTTTCCTCAGTGACATACGCCACCATATCCCGTAGAATAGGATGTCCGGGCTTCGAAACAATAGTCCACTGACAGAATTGAATACGGCGAGAATACCACTCATGCCAATCCGGACGGTCAGGATCAGCTTCAATACCAACGATAAATCCCACTTTTGTCCGATCGATTTCCTCGGCAAGCCAGTATCCGGCTGGCTTCAAAGCCATGGTATCGATATCGCTATAGATTCCACCTCGGGCGAGGAGGACAAGGTAGCGAAAGAAATCGGCTTTCATCACAGGGAGGGGAAGGGAATCGTAGGCTTCGAAGACATCTGGAACCGAGCCGTATAGATATTGGATTAGATGGCGTTGCGTGTCGTCCCCAATAACCTCATGCTGGAAACCCGGGTGCAACTCCGTCCAACTAGCCTCTGTGCCCCGAAATTCGTCTGCGAAAAACGGAGACGAAGGATCGTACTTCCATGTCTGCCAAATATACGCGGGGAAGCTCTTGTCGAGGTCGTAAGGAAATTGGTAGCGAAGGCGTTCGCGTAGTGGTGCAATCGGGGTCGCGCCGAAAGCTATCTGTCCGCGATTACTGGCTTTCTGGCGCTGAGCTCTGTCGTATGAATCTTGTTCTTCAGCGAAAATCTCCTGAACTGGTCTGTAGCCCGGCGCGTCGGGAAGGTCGGGGGGACGACTCGAACCGCGGAGGTACAAGACGAAGGCAACGAAGCAGATGATGGCGAATATTGATCTCCGGAACGCCGGCATGATGGGCAATTCTATCCGGTTGGATAGTCTTCCCCGTCAGAAATGTGATAGTCGGCGCGCAGAAGGGATCCCGAAAATCCCACGCTCTCGCAAATACGTGGCGTGGCTTTTCCAATGCCCGGTCCGGGTTAACAGGGAGGTTCGCGAATCCCCGATCGGCGAGCAGGGATTCCCGAGTGAAGAATCGCGTGGTCGTGAACCGCGTGGGTGTGTCGGAATTTAAGCTTCAAGGGATCGGAGAAATGGCATGTTCGGTGTTCCCCAGGGCTGATGCGAATGCTTGATCCGGCACAATGCGATCGATCTGCTTGGCGGGAGAGGTACGGAGTACCGCAAACAGAAGAGGGCACACGCAGATCAAACCCTCCAGGAGTGGATTTGGTAGGGGTAGGGAAAAAAAGAAAAGAAAAAAAAGTTGGAAATTGACAGACTGAAGAAAAAGATCAAATCCCCGCGCTGGTCGACAGCGATTGATTAACTTATTTGTTGTCTTGAAGAGGGAAAAAGGATTGCGTATGCCCAAACTAAGAACCTCTACTAAGGGTGGAGCCGATTCACGTGGCGTTTCCAAGGTTTCCCCTATTTGACCGGAATAGCTTCATAAGTGCTCGGTAATTATTTAATATAATACTTCTGATTATTCTGTTTCATTTTGACCCTCGTAATCATCTATAACCCCCGCATTTTTTGAGCGACAATGCCCAGATGATGATCGCCGTAAGGAACGCCGATTACTGCCACCCGAAACTTAGTACGGGATATCAACATCCCGAATTGTACTACGTAGTACAGTTAATACTGGCATCAGGATTCAGGACTAATGGGTGAGATATGTGAAATTTGAACGACTTGGAATACTGATTCTTTACTATCTCATCTACTCAAGCTAGATCTCAACATTTGAACTCCGAAGCTTCAAGTTTTTCGCACTAACACTTTTCGGTATCTTGTTATGTCTATTCCCGAGATATCCGCATATATGGATACCATATATGGAGTATAGCGGATAATGTCTGGATAATGTCTGGCAATTTTTGATTTCCCTTTCCGTTTTAGTGCTCATCCCTTGCCGCTTTTTGCCCACTGATGTATTGGATTATATTAACAAATGCGAAATCAGGTCGATGAGAAGCAGGCAATTAGCAATAATTCAAGGGTTCGTAAGTCTGGAATGCATGATTCTAGCATCAGCTATCAATTCACTGTTCATCTTTTCCTTCAAATAGTCGGCTGGCTTCTCAAACTTCAACCACTTCTCCGGCACCTCAATATGTTCTGCTTCCTGAACTCCAAAGAGCCATTGCATAAATTCTCGATACTCCCCTTTTGTCGTACCCGATTTGGGGCCTAAATCGAAAAATTTGCCAGACGCGGTTCCGAATGTGGTGGGCACTGGGTCGGCAATAAGCATATCGTTCAGAATCCGAACGCCGCGACGAGTCATGTCCATCATAGTATCGGCGTAACGCTTCGTATATTCGTTGACAGTGTCGTTTTCTTTTCGAGGGACATAATTGTGTAACTCGCTCTGTAGGATGATCGAGTCAGGATCGGCACCTTCAGCGAGGAGGCTTTGGCGCTCCTCACGCGCTGCAGTGGCGTAGTCCCTTGGAATCATGTAGACCATGGGCTCGTCGTCGGAGTCGTGACGAGCTTCGTCGTCTCCATGGGGTTGAGCGGATTCGGAGTACATCGCTTTCGAGCTTTGGGCCAGGGTTTCTTGTTGCGACATGATAAATGTTCCAACAACTTGTTTTATTTCCTGTCGTAGTGATCACAATATTCTTCGTGGAAGCTTTGAGATGCTTAGAAGTCTAGAAAACAACTAAGAAATGATAATGATAAAGCATCGGCACTGAAGGGGATCGATCAGAGTTAAATACAGGCACAGAATTTATATGAGGTGTCACGTTTACTTCTAAGGCTAGCCGGGGCCTGAGCCTAGCCTTGGAAGCACCCTTAAAAGCGGCGCCCAATAAGGAAGGCCCTGGAAGACATCATGATTATCCTAGCTATATAATTGTATAATTAAGTGCTCAAAAAAGCCCATAGCTCGTCAGGATGAGATCTATTCCGAGGTCCGGCAACATAGTAAATATCATCTGGGAAATCCCTGACATCTGAGCCTAATCAGCTGAGAAGAATAATATTTACACACATGCAAATGTGTGAAATGTACTCCATACTCAAATCGGAGTTAAAAGTTTTGGGCCAGATGCCTGTCCTTGTCTAGATTACGCCCAGATATCTGTGATACCTCCAGCATACTAACCTTGAATATTGAACCGCCAAGCATGCATGTATCCAGAGATCTTGTACTCCGTACCATTTCACAATTCCCAAAAATATAATTGCTCCGGCATCATTTTTTAAGACACATAATTCCGGAGTATCTACTCAAATAAGTACAAGCATTTGAGTGGATAAAAAGCCGGGGCCACCTGTGGACACCTTTCGGGGTAAAAAAACGCCACAAAATCCCTATAGAAATCTGGTGCCCGATTCCACGACATGTGGAACATCAAGATTCAAACATGAAACAGGTGAGCTTGTTTCTCGCTTGTCCCTGGTTTCTATAAGGCAGAATGTTATGATATCCCCTGCGCATGAATAACTGTAAAAATTGGCGGATAGCTGCTAGTGCTTGCAAGGTTCATTAGTCAAGCCCTAAAGCGGGATGAACGTGCTAGTGATGATTTGAAACCGCCCCTGCCCCAATTGACCACTCCATCAATTTTATCATATTGGAAATCGCATGCGGGGTGACAGATGACACCTGGCATCTCAGAGGCCTCCTTCATTTTGAGAAATTAGACCCTCTAATTAGCCTAGGTTAATTGTGTACCGGCTAGCGGAAGCGCTATACCATGCATAGTTGGACTAGATGTGAAGCAGTGTGCATTGTGGCGTATCCAATAGTGAGCCATGCATCAATTCCAGTCCAATCAATTATGCACGCTTTATGTAGTCCGAAGCGGCAAATATGCCAGCTCGGGATAAAAGCACATATGGAGTGGCTTCGAGCAACTTGTGCCTACAGAGTATCCACAGACATTAAAGACACCAGTTGACTCATGCAAGTTTTGGGCATGACCGGGCGGGATAGTGGAGACCTAATATGATATATGAAACTCGGAGCCAGAGCTACTACATATGTACGGAGTAAATAGTGCACATGTGGTGCAACAGCTTAGCTCTGAGCTACTAGTAGTATCTCCAACTTCAAGTTTAAATGTTAGACCTTCAAGTTCAAGTTGGAAGCCTGAGGCTTCAAATATTGAGTCTTGGATGGCAACTTGCACATATCACAGTGTTTATAGTCCTAGAGTTTTGGTCTCTCGGGAGTTTATTCTTTACTTCAAGTTTATTTATGTATAGACTCCATGGTAGTGGGGAAATGATGGGAAATTTCATTTCAAGTGTGGCTGGTAGTATCGTGTGATTTTTTAATCAAGCACATACAGGAGTCTTGCAAAGAAACAAATAATGCGATGCCTTATACATCATGATACATGGGCACGATGGTTAGGTAGTAGGTCAATCGAGAATGTTAACAGGAAAGTAATAGTACCGGCAATTCCGAGTCTACTGTATATCAGCATTAACTCAGGCCTCTCAGAACCAATGCACTGGAGCTTCCTCTCCTCTGTGCTCCTCCGATCCTGCAGTTTGTGCCTCCACCTGCACTGTCGAGTTGTAAATGCACTCAGAGCTTCTTCCCTGCTGTGCGTCGTAGGCCCTGCAGATTGTGCCACCACCTGCATGTCGACATTCGGAGGGAGGGAGGAAGGGCCCTTCGAAGGGCGGCGGTCGATCGCGGGCAGGTGGAGCTGAGAATGAGAATTGTAGCTGTAACAATTTGCAATTAGCAACTTGAAGCTTATTTGGTCATGGTGACTTGCCTGTCCACGAAGACCTGGAGCCAAACCATCCATCCATCAAACCACAATATGTTCCATCGAAAAGTGTCCAGACATGTCAAAGATCTGTTGATATGTATGAGGTGGATTAAGTAAACAAGACAATATCAAAGTATTGTGTGGATGAAATAAGATGAGGTAATGTCAGTAAGGTTATGCTAGCCAAAGACTGAAGACTGAAGACTATGGACTATGTTGATGGGTTTTTATGTGTGGATAGTACACAGTCGTGGTGGAAAGTCGATGATGGATGGTTATGATGAATAGGTGGATGGTAATGATGGATGGATGAAAGATCATGATAGATGGTCATGATGGATGATCATGGTGGATGGATAGAAGACCATGATGGATAATCATGATAGACTGATGGCTTTGTTGATAAACAAGACAGGGTTGTAAAGACGCGTCAAGAAGATAAGAGGGAAGTGTCAACAAAGTCATGTTGATAGAAGGTTGTGAGAAGGCTAAGACGCGTCAAAATAAGGTATAAAGACATGTCAACAAGCTTGAACTGGACAATTCAAGAATTATTGAGTGTGCCTGAAGAGGAAACACTTGGCTGAGACACAAGATTGAGAGTGTCAACAGAGGAAACGAGTGTGCAGAAGAGATATGTGGAAGTGGGAGAGAGAAGGAGAAGAAAGGGAGAAGAAGTTTGGGTTATTTATGCTTGAAGGAGCGCATGCTAGATCACTCTTTCCAGGGTTGAATTGACGAATGGTGTGCAAGTGATCCTCTTGCTCTTTTCTTTACTCTTGATCCTGATCTGATCCTCTACAGGTGACTGCATCATGAGTCGTATTATGTCTCACTCTGAGCTTTGCAGCCTGAATCAATATGCTGCGGCACACTCTACCCAGTACTTGAGACTGTGATTTTCCTTCAATTTTCTATTTCGAGATTTATTTTGACTCCCGAGGTCGTTTAAGATTATGGTATGTAGATATCTAATGTGGGTGATCTTTAGATCGTGAGCTACCTGTGATTCAAGTTGCAGATCATGCACATTCAACATGAAGTTTATGTATGATTGCCATTGACATTTGAATACTAGTACAGTTCAGAGTGGATATAGGGCCAAAGGATCCAGTCCGAACCAACCACCATGGTCCACCAGCGCGGAGCTGAGCTGAGCGGGCTCAAATGAGATTATGTCATCGGATAGATTGCAACTCTGTGGCGTTGATAGCTCATCTGACAGTGATACCGGTGGGATATTGACCACCCAACACAATTCGAATCCGCCGACTCCTGCCTCCCAGATCCTCCATGCACCATGGATGCCGTCTGCCAGTTCCTGACAACATCTGCTGCCGTATGTCAGTTGGCGTGGGCGATACACGAGGCGGATGAACGACGGCGGTTGAAAGGAGAAGGTGATCTTGCTGACTTGTCCATCGGCCTCCGCCATACCATTCAGTTGCTACCAGACACGGCAGCAGGTATAACTGATGAACCCACAACACTTGCTCAAGCTTGTCTGAAAGTGGGACGTAATCTTCTGATTCGTCTTGATCGCGCTGAAGAATCCGTTCACACGATCCATGGCCAAGGGTCTAGACTCCGTGAGATATGGACTCAAGATGTTGTTGAAGCTTTTGCATTACGGCTTGTTGACCTAATACATCAGTACCAAGCTATTAACCCCCCCATCTGAGTAAGTTGGTACACCAGCACCTTGGCATAGACGTTCTAAATCTTATTCGCCCTCAACAGTGTCCTCATTGGAGATGAGCGAGTTCTCTCGTCCTTCAGGCATAATGTGCCCCAAGTACAAAAATCGATTAGCGATAAAGAGCGTCAGGATCGACTACCAAGCCAATCTGAGTCGCAATCATCTACGAGAAATATCAGCTCTCTTCCAGAGAGCTTGGCCATAGACGTGAGAGTACCCAAGTCCAGCAGAGCTTCGCAACCCATGAATGCTCCAGTTGTTCTCCTGAATGAATTCATTCTTGACACTCTGGCTTTCAAAGAAATGTTCGACCGGGAGGCCAGTGTAGTCAAAGCACATGTGAAGACCTTAGATTGGATCTTCAGTGAAAACGGCCACCAGGGCCCAACGGAGGAGGATTTTCGGCACGGTCTCTCTACGTGGCTCGAGACTAACGACTGCAATCCCATATATTGGATGGTGGGTAAGCCGGGTTCCGGTAAATCAACACTTATGAAATATCTCTACGAACACCCAACTACATATAATCTGCTTAAAAATTGGGCAGGTGGACTCCCCGTGTTAACTGCAGGATTTTATTCGTGGGCGAGTGGGAGTAAGGAGCAGCGGTCCAAGGGCGGTCTCTTTAGATCACTTCTGTACCAGTTACTCTCGCTCAATCACGATCTTATCCCTTGTACATTTCCGAATCTTTGGACCAAAATCCGTACCATGACCTCTAAAGAGAGGATTGCGCTTCATCTAGAATGGGACAAAGACGAACTGCAGGAAGCTTTCTACTTATTCATGAAATCATCACTTCCGAAAATGAAATTCTGCCTTTTCATTGATGGCCTTGATGAGTTTGAGGAAGATCATCGGGAGCTGATTAGCTTTTTCAAAGAGCTTGGCCTTCATGGCAACGTTAAAATTTGTCTCTCTTCGCGTCCCTGGACTACGATTGAAGAAGCCTTTCAAAGAGTTGGACCTAATGTTAAACTACAAGACATCACGAAAAATGACCTGCATCAATACGCAACTGACAGACTCAGAGAAAATGTCGTTGTTCGTCGCTGTCTTGGACGCGAGAAACAAGAGACGGAGGTATTGCTACAGGGGATAGTTGATCGGGCAAGTGGTGTTTTCTTATGGATCAAGCTGGCTTTAGACGACATTCTCAAAGATTTTGCCCCAGAAAAGGGTGTCTCTGGGTTGAAGGACAAAGTGGATCAACTTTCAGCAGAGTTGGACGGCTTGTACGAAAAGCTCTTGTTTCGAGATCAAACCGATATTCAAATCGCCAGGGCGGCAAGTTTTCTGTTCCTCGTCGAATCGAGAGAGCTTGTGGCCGAGTTTGTCAATGACACATCAGCCAGCGCCCTTACAGTGTGGGAGTTGGCCTTAGCCTTGGAAGAAGATGATGACTATTCCATGGACGGGGACGTATCACAGGTGTCCAACAAGTTAATCCTTGAGCGCTGCAGTAGTACAGTAGAGTGCATGCACCAAAGATTCGCTGGACTTTTGAGCCTTCAAGGAGAGGAGAAACAAGATCGCCCGCGTATCCTCAAATTCAAGGATAGCATCGAAGATGACATTACTTCAATACGCCAACTAGCGGACAACAAGGTCACCTTCATCCATCGTACAGTACGGGACTGGCTGCGAGACGACCACGTTCATAAGCGGCTTGAACAAAGAACAGAAGCTGGCTTTGATCCTCATTTACGGCTTTTAAGATCATATGTGCTCCGACTTAAGAAATCGATGGATGAAATTGAGCATCACCGACGGTTTGATGAGTGGTGGCCGGATGTAACCATCGCCATGACTCATTCCAGGTATATTAAGAATGACGTAAAGAAGATGCAACGTTATTTCTTGAATCAGCTCAATGAAACTATCTCGTGGCTGTGGGACGCCAAAACGGATCCATACGACCATTGGGCTGCCAAAGCATTTGGATTCTTTCAAGTTCGAAAGAAGGCTCCACCAATTTGGCATCCTTTCCTATGCTTAGCTACGAAATTCGGCTTAACAACATATGTCTCCGAGGAGTTAGACGCGTGCATTTCGCAAGATAAAAACGGCGTTCTTGAAAAAGAGATGCCGACCGTTGATGAAAAAGCCACTCCTCTTCTCACATATGCAACCGAATTTCTTTGCTCGAGACAGCAGACAATTTACCCGCTATCTGATCCCCATATGGTTCGCAACCTTCTCGAAAGGCTTCATCGAATAAACCCCGGCCCGAACCATGAGTACATTGATTTCGAAACCAAAATTCCTATGACTTCGTGGGTGAATCTTTTGCGGTCTCTCCGAGAGGCGCACAGACGAGGGAAGGTAGATTATTTCGACACTTACACAAACGGCATTGAACGTTGGGCAAAAATTGTGCGACTTTTCGTGGTGGGCGGTGCGAATGTTAATGCTGTTGTTGGGGCAGATTCTTGGGACCCGGAAATATCGACGGTCGGTGTTATTGAGATGTTGGCTGACACATACTGTCATCCAGAACTGGGAGAAATTAAGCTTCTGATTCAAGTTGGTAAGATATAGAACAGGTTGTTGTGGTGCAAGCCCTGGAGGGTATGCATTTTTTGATTTCTTGTTGGATTTTTCAAGTTATATCTACAGTCCAGGTTCAAGTACCTAGGTATGTATATAGGTATTAGTTTTCTGATGATGGCCCTGCACATGTGCAGTTGTAGATGCCAGTGGAGGTAACTAGTACTAGTACATAAATGGAAATCCCACGTGGGCTATAGGCGATATCTGTATGGGCCGCTAATATTTCCCTGTTTCACTCTATTTCGATCTTCCCCGCTTGGGATATCATATGTTAACATACTCCGTACAAAGTACAGTCTGTAGTACCACGACATACACTCTGTATCCCAAGTGAGAGAAGAAGGAGACTCGAATCTATAATATCCATGAATCAGAACTATCGACATGGTTCAATCCATGGATCAAATGGAATCGTGCTGCCTGAACTGCTTAATATCGTACCCCGGCAATTGGTGGAGCAGGCCCCACACTGCCGTGAGACGGTGAAACCTCGCGATAAACACCACAAAATGATCCTTGGGAGCGGAGAAACAACTGGAGTATATCCTTGTATATTTGTGAAATAGATGATGGAAAATTTTGCCTATTGTCTCAGAAGAAAACCGGTGAGAATTGGCGAAAAGTGCGGACTTCAGGGCCTTTTTCATGGATCAACAGGAGAAAAGAGAACGCTATACCCAAAGAAGAAAGTGATCAGTGGGGATACGAACAGTGCGCAGAGCCTGATTGGCCCCCACTGAGTCCCTTTATGATAGCCCCAAAAGCTTGGCGGAAAAATAACAGTGCCTTACACGGTTACATCCCTCAGCCTCACAGAATATGGGGAGGAGGTCGAGGAATAAAAATGGTATCATTTTGAGGTTCGCAGTCTCTCTGTGTGGGATATTACAGTGATCTAAATGGTAGAGGAGTGTAAATTGTATCCCTCAGATTAGAGTTGATGGTGAAATCTCGATCTTTGGTTGTGTGATTGGGGCACTGTCTGAGTATGACCGGACAACCACTGGCACTGGCAAGGGGCCCATATCTTTAATGGCATCTGGATGGGTTTGGATGTGCCCCCAAAGCTTAGACTCTGGGGACTTCAAATGTGCTGCCTGAGCGTGACCCAACGGGTGGCGTGTCGGCTCTCTATGCCCCGTTTCACATAGTTTTGGTCCCGCTAACGTTAGCCGCCATCGGCCGTGTCTGTACGGAGGTGCCGAAATCCTATAAGGCCGGCCATTTCCCTCACGATATGCTGTTTCTCTGTGATCCACAATTCAATCCGCGCCAGCTCCCAGGATCGACAAAGATATGCCTTCGAGGTGGAGAAGTCGATAGCCTCGTTGATCTTCGCGGCTGCTCCGTTTCCCTGTGACTCCCGAATAGCTTTTCTTTCAACATGAACTATCATTCAGTCAAACTCATCATCTTCCAACCTGTACTCATTTGATTTGACGAACATTTCGAGTCCCTGCGAAATGGCAGGTTTCGTATCAGCGGAGCACCCCAACAACCCTGCATCTTCACAACCATCGCCGCCTCTCCAGTCACTCGAAGGAAGCGAGCAGAATGTTAGCACAACAAGTGACAATGAACTGGAATTGAAACCTGGATCTGATTTATAAAACGGCAAAAAGACTGGCTTCTTCTCACAACCATGGACAAGAAGGCGAATCGCATTCTTCAGTGTACTCGGATTTTTGGGGCTGGTCATAATTGCGCTTGTGATCGCACTTCCTATCCTTTTCACTAGAGAGAATTACGGTTTCAAGCCAGTTGGAACAAAGAATGAAGACGTCAGCTACCATATCGAGGAAAATTCACCCGTCTGGGCAGTTCATAACTTCCCTGACCCAGGGCTCATCCAGCACAATGGTACATGGTTTGCCTTCGGGACAAACCCCCCAGAAGCACGACCCAGACACAATCCACGTACCTGTCGCCACCTCAACCAACTTTGTCAATTGGACCTTACATGAAGGGTATGATGCGATGCCCACAGTGGCTGCGTGGCAGGAGAAGGCTAACACATGGGCTCCGGATCTAATCCAACGGGTAAGTCTAACTAGCAGCTCAAGTCCTTATTGTGCATTTCTCTAATCTTTAATGTAGGATGATGGAAAATTCGTCCTTTATTACGCAGGAGAATCGAAGACATACGCGCCCCATCATTGTGTTGGCGCTGCAGTATCCAATGGAACTGATCCACTGGGTCCCTATACCCCTCTCAATGAACCATTGGCATGTCCGCATGAGTATGGTGGTGCCATTGATCCTTCGCCATTCAGAGACTCAGATGGGACATTATATGTGGTCTACAAAGGTGACGGAAACAGTGTTGGATCCGGTGGCTATTGTGGTAACAGCAACAAGCCCCGAAAACCGGTTCCGATATTCTTGCAGGAGTTGGAGAGCGACGGAGTCACCACAAAGGGCGACCCAGTGATCATTCTCGATATTAACGACTCGGATGGGCCGCTGGTCGAAGCTCCCAATATTATTCGCACAGATGATGGCACGTACTACCTCTTTTTCTCTTCTCATTGCTTTACTTCTCTGGGGTACGACGTCAAATACGCCCATTCGAAATCGATCAATGGGACCTACGAGAGAGCTTATCGGCCGTTACTTCAGACCTATGATTTTGGACTGGAAGCTCCGGGTGGTGCTACTATCTCTCCAGATGGATCAAAGATGGTCTTCCATGCTAACTGCGGTGATTGGCGGTGTATGTATGCTGCAGCCATCAACATTCAATCTAGCAACGATACTGTCGTTCTTTCTTCCCTGACATTGGAAGTTTTGGGATCGAATAACTCTACCAACTCTACAGCTTAGCCTTGAGAGAGAGAGAGTATTTGCGCATTAAATTCGGTTTACTTTCTTTCCTTTCGCAGTATCATCGCAGCGAACACTTAAGGCGTTTTATGTCTTCCATTTTTATGTTCTCTTCTGCGGTTAGCACATACCTGTATTATCATGAGCGTTGCCTTCATGGAAGGAGGTGTACTATGCGTAGCTCAAAAATAAAATTAATGAAATTTATGAGCATGATTATAAAATGCCTTTGAATTACCAACACAAATCTAGAACTTTCAATGTTGGATGAGAGTACTTCGTCGCTATACATCTGCAAGCGGGGAGCAGTGGAGCCAATGTTGACCAATTAACGCAAAGACAGATGACGCCATGCCGACATTATCGCCTGAGGTGTCCACATATACTCTCCGCCTACGCAATCGGGAAATATAATATGGCAACCCTCGAGAGCTCTCCGCGGTGAATTTGTTCTCGTTCATATCGATATCCTCACCTCGTCGCAATGCGTTCGCTCCAGAGTGCCACTCGCTCGGCCTCGCGTACCCTTCGCGCCGCTCAATGGCGACCCAGCGAGCCCGCCTCGATACTTACCGGCGCACATCGGCCGTTATCGGCGCATTCCCGATTGCTACATGCAGCACCACCGCGGAAGTCTTCCTCAGTGACCATGAAGGATTCCTCCAATCCTGCCATGTCGTTCCCCTGTTTGGATGCCCAAGAAGCCAAATCAGCTATGCTTACAGCACGCTCGCTTGAGTCCGGACCCGAGCCTTCTTACACTACTGGTCAGCATGAAAGCTTCCACTGCGACCAGCCGCTTCTACTTGATTGGGGCGGCGTATTACCGGAATTCGATATTGCGTACGAATCATGGGGTCAACTTAATAGTGATAAGAGCAATGCGATCCTCCTGCATACCGGTCTATCAGCATCCAGCCATGCTCACAGTACTGCGTCAAACCCTAAGCCTGGCTGGTGGGAGAAGTTCATTGGACCCGGTCTGCCTCTGGATACCGATAAATACTTTGTGATCTGCACCAATGTGCTGGGTGGCTGTTACGGAAGCACGGGACCTTCTTCAAAGGACCCGTCAGACGGAAAGCGATATGCTACACGGTTCCCGATTCTTACACTGGAGGATATGGTCCGGGCTCAATTCCGCCTTCTAGATGGCTTGGGTATTCAGAAGCTTGCTGCATCTGTCGGATCCAGCATGGGAGGAATGCAGAGTCTAGCAGCTGGTGTGCTGTTTCCTGAGCGAGTTGGCAAGGTTGTCAGTATTAGCGGCTGTGCTCGTAGTCACCCATACAGCATTGCTATGCGACACACACAGCGACAGGTATTGATGATGGACCCCAACTGGGCGCGTGGATTCTACTATGATGCTATTCCTCCACACTCTGGCATGAAGCTGGCGCGTGAAATCGCTACTGTCACATACCGCAGTGGACCCGAGTGGGAAAATCGGTTCGGTCGTCGCCGTGCTGATCCCACAAAGCAGCCTGCTCTATGCCCCGACTTCCTCATTGAGACATACCTTGACCATGCTGGTGAGAAGTTCTGTCTTGAGTATGATCCTAATAGTCTGCTCTATGTCTCCAAGGCCATGGATCTGTTCGACCTCGGCCATGCCCACCAAGTCGAGACTCGTCAGCGTCGTGCAGAATCTGAGACCCGTATTGCGCAAGGTGAAGTTTCAAGGGTCTCCGATACTTCCTGCAGTTTGACATTACCTGAGAAGCCATACGAGGAGCAGCCTGAGGCTGCTGCCACCGTGCCTCCACACGATGAATCCGTTTCCTCCGGTGGGGTGGAAGGCCCGCCCAGTGACCTCGTGGCAGGTCTTTCGCCTCTAAAGGACCATCCAGTCCTTGTTATGGGTGTTGCTAGCGATATTCTCTTTCCAGCATGGCAACAACGTGAGATTGCCGAAACTCTGCGCGCTGGTGGTAACCAGAACGTTGAGCACATTGAGCTGGGCGAGGACCTGTCTCTTTTCGGACACGACACATTCCTTCTCGATCTTAAAAACATTGGTGGTGCACTGGGACGGTTCTTGAAATAAAATGGTTGTATGGAAGGGATGATCATCTGGTGGGGATGTGATATGAAATCGAAGTTAAGGGATGCAATAATCATTGTTGTCATGATGACTTACCTGTACATTGTTTCGCAGCGTGCGATGACCGAATTAAAGCATTAGCGGGCGTTTGAAATCATGGAATACTATACTCTTATGTTGATACTTATGATGCTTGTTAGATCCCAGACAGAATAATAGTCATCATCCACAGCTTGAAGTTCTCTGCAAAAATTCAGCAGATGTGGGTTGGCCCTATTTCTTCCAGAGTTCCAGATAAGACTGTCATAGTATCTCTTACGGTCTTGTCAGCGACCTGATTCCAAGATTGAAAACATGATTCAGGTTCCGAGGTTGCCCGGACCCCTCCTCTACATGCCTTACTAGGATAAGTGTCCGAGGCGGGACGCCTTGTATGTGCGAAGTCTGAGTACTCCGCTCAGTGCGGCTTTGATCTGACCGTCTCAGCCCAAAGTACACTAAACTATTTGCTGATATTCAGGTTCACGAATGCGTTGTTGGCTCACATTCAATTCATTTGCACCAAGCGCCGTGCTATTCTGGCCGCAGCAGTATGGTATATCAGGAATGATTACGCAACGGTCAAATTAGAGTGCGTAATATCCTTTTAACTGACCAGTCACTCTGTGCCAATTGGATCACATTGAACAGAGGACAGCAGATCTCGGGAGTGAGGCTGATAGATAACTCCACTAATGCCACCATGCCTCGTCACCTTGGACACTGCCCTCCTCTATCATGTTTCCCGTTTTCTTGTCAGCATTGACAATAAACCGCTGGATCATCCCACTAAGTCATGGGGTAATAAATTTCCACTGCTCTGCTTCAATTTATCTCAAGGAAGATCTCACAACACCAGTGTATTGACAAACTGCTCATTGACTGAACATGGTTGGGGTGCCTTTCACATCCTCTGGATGTGCCAATTGCCGAAAGCGCAAGGTCAAGGTAAAGTAGGGCCTCCAGGTCCAAACGGGCTCGCTGACAATATTCTCTCCTAACTTCAGTGTGATCTTTCAAAACCGGAATGTGCTATGTGCATCAAGAGAGGTATCCTTTGCTTGGGATACGATGATTCTCGGCGCTTTCTCTGCCACCAATTAATTCCTCAGCCTACGCGAACCGGTGAGGCCAAAAGACCAGTCCGCCAGCTTGTCAGCCATATGAATCCTCTCGCACTCCCAGCTTCCTTAAGCATGAACGCTGAAATACGAACACAGCTGTTTTCGACATTTATGAGCACTTTCTTTGCTTCCAATAGTGGCTCTGACAGCAAGAGCGGCAGCTTGTATTTCCTGATGGCCCGCTTCCCTACTCTAGCTGGTGAATCAGAGCCACTGGACCGATCGATCATCGCACTTGCATCTTCATTCCTAGCCAAAATCAGGAGAGATAAATCACTGGCACGCGAAGGCTTGGAGATCTACAACTCCGCGCTTAATGCCATGGCGGGTGCGATGCGGCGGAGCCTATCACCGACATTCCATATGCTCTTCGCCACAATTATGTTTATACATTTGAAGTAAGTCATCTCATCAAATATGCAGTGTATACCCTCCAACATTTGTTCCAGACAATGAATGCTAGCAATGACTCTGTGCGAAATTTCTTTACCCATGTACAGGGAGCCACCGCCATTACGAAACAATTCAACTTCAAAAGCCAAGATATAACCTTGAACAGTCTCTACAAGGCAGTACTCACTCAGCAAAAATGGGCTGCAGTAAGTACAACGATCCTGAACTTCAAGCTTATTGCTAATTTTCACTTGGCGTACTTCGTGATGAATGCAAAACGGGGATCAGATGCAGACCGAGAGCTTTTTCTATTACGACAAGGTAATAGTGCGATTGATCGAATATTTGTGCTGATTGCGGAATGTAGCACCCTGAGAGACGACATGAGAAAGATTTACTACCTCGAAGAGTCCAGTCGAGAAGAGGCATGTGACAAACTACTTAAGCGTTGCTCTCAGCCTGAGAGAAAACTCCACGTGGATTGGCTCAATGTATACGCTCTTGATCTCCATGGAAAAATATCTCTTTTCTGCAGAGAGGGGAACTCAGAAGTGTGGGATAACAGTTCAAATTCAAAGTCGGATCGATTTTTCTACGAATTCGACGATTTGGACACCGCCAAAACCTACATCCTTTATTGGGTGGTCTCTCTAGCAACGAGGCGGGTGATCTACGAAGTCGTGAAATTCCTTCATGGGCATTGTGACTCTGCCCAAATGGCCTCCTTTGCCAAAAAAACGTCCGATCTATCCCATATTTGACGCAGGCAGAAAGACGAATGTCGTCGGTATACGTGGTACATTCAGCTTGTATCAGGTATTTAAATGCTATATCGCTTGTGGCAAGAAGGAGGAATTCGAACGATGCTTGGAGATTTATCATCTAATTGCCCTTCGTGGCTTTGATATGGCCACTTACACTGCTGAAGAACATTTAGCAGACTGGCATGCGACTCAAAATCGGCCCGTGTTTTCAAGTTTTCATTGAACAAGTTATTCACGATATCCTTGTGATGTATAGCGTCTTTTTTGAGTCGAGTTAAGACCACACAGTGTCTACTGGAATTTGTATGTTGTATGTCATGATTCATGACTTCAAAGTTGACATTTCCAAAGGGTACATAGCCAATTACCGGACATAAGTTTCAGGTTGTAGTGTGAGAATCAGAATGTTGACTAGCTCACATGCAGGCTTCAGCCCAGCGAAACCTTTCCGTACGGAGTATTGCTAGCACAATGAAACCAAGATGCTCAAAGACTCGGGTAGGTACTAGGTAGTATTCAATTATAAAGCACATTCTTCGGTCCATAGCTAGGTAATTGGTCTTCTAGTATTGATGATTCAGGTCCTTCGTCGCCTAAGTGTACACAGTTTTGATGTATCAACCAGACCTGTCCGAGATCGACCGATCACTTTACCTTTTCTGTTCCAGGATAAAGAATGAAATTGACTTTACATCTGGGCCTAAATTTGGCAGAAATGGTGATCTGCAGCCATACGGAGTAGGAATTGACGCGTTGTCTGGAAGGCCTGCAAGGGATGTCCTGGAAAGGAAAGCAAACCCTATAATCTCAAAAGCCGTGATCGGATTATCATGAAGCAGGTGTGCAGGGGAATTTCAGCGTCTGAGTGGAGAGGCTCCTCTGCGCATTCTATGCCTGAATGAGAAAATCTTGGAATGTCCTCCAACTCCCACTGATTGAGGTCTCTCAATCTCCTGGACCTCAGAGTACGCCAACTCCGACGACAAAAAAAGGAAAAGCTGTTGAATAAAATCTTCTGTCTTGACACACGGCAGCAATAATTGTGAATCAAACATTATTCCAAGGTTGCTGAGGACTAATCTGAAAGCGGGAATTTCTTGCGACCCATCATGCATCATATTTCGCCCCCAGGGCCGATCGAGGGAGTGCCTGGTTGGGTTGACAATACCTACCAATCAACTTACCTCTTGGTGGCATCCGGAATTTCCCTTGAGACTCATAGCCTGTGGCTTGGACCCAGTTTTTCGAGGAACCTAAGATTAGCGTCAACATGAGGCTAATCAATGTACAGCCCGTGTTGGTCCTTCTGTTCTTCTCACGAGAAGAGCTTTACCCGTTTCCTCGCCTCATAGACTCAAAAGTCAAATCAACACTTACTGGTATTGATTGCCAAAAGAAAACACCTACGAATCTTCCCTCGTCCCATTTTTGACCCCTTTCCCGCCCACTCATTCTTTCCGAAATTGGTGCTTTATTGGAAGATGGACGATGGCATTGTCCTCCAGAGAGCAGCCCTTGCTCTACACTGCATCCTCGGTGCTGTTTCCCTCGGTATCTGTGGCTACTTGTATCTAATCTACCGAACGACAAAAATGGAGCCTCAAAACACATGGTGTGTGGGCAATCTTGGCCTGGCCTGCAGCAGCTTTTCTGTACATCGATACCAGATGCATTTACATTTAAACCTTGGAAGACCGTACTAACCAGGCCCTTGATTCACTGGCAAATTTGAGATATCTAATTGCATCATAAAAGCCCTGCCAGTGGAGATGATTAACGACGATACGGATAGTCTCGCGTTGACCCCAAGTGCAAGATTTATTTATATCGGAACGATACTGGCAACCTTCTTCGACGAAATCGCCACAATGTCTCTACTTTTCATCTTTTTCGAGCTTGTACACTGCATCATCATCACGTTACCCGTATCGCACTTTACCTACTCTCGAATTAGAATCACACATTGGGGTCTTCTTGGTATAGCCGCGTTGGCCGCGCTGCTTCGTTTCGGCTTTACTGCATATGTGAACGGCGTTGAATACAGTGGCTCGTTTGGAGATTCTGAAAATTTGGGCAAGATTACTGGGGCTTACGGCCTAACAATTCTCATTATATCTGTTCAGATCATGATATGGTTGGGAGTCATGAATATATGTATTGAGCCAAGGAAGAATCGCCGGGGATGAAAGTAAGATCAGATCCGTTGCTCCCAGTCCCATTGTGGATCTCCCCTACTGTATTCTGATACTTACCCATTGACTCATCCAAAAACCCCTTACAGCTCTGCTTGTTGGCTCTTTTTCCCTCGTTGCCATCACCCTTATGTATGCCGTCACCGATATGACATGGTATGTGGAGGACCAGCTGTTTGATACAGGGATGTCATCATATAGTGCCATTCAGGTCTGCCATGTCATCTTCTATCTATGCATATATGCATCGGTTCTGCTATGCTGTCTCAAGTGGAAATTCATAGTTGGGGACTTCCCCGGAAAGATGGAATCTCTGGCTGAGAGGGACTCAGAGTCTGAAGGGCCAAAGCAACAGAAGCGCCCGGTGGAATTGGCAGGCGAATCCCGTTCGCACGAGCCAGACTCCAGAGAACTGCTGGAAGCAGATTCCAGGCGCTTGTATGAGCCCGATTCAAACCTCATAGTCGAAGCAGATGCCGACATGGCACACGCATGTGTTTGTTCGGTGAGAAATGTTGAGACTGGTGGTCTTGTATTCGAATTAGAGGCTAGTCGTCCTTAAGTAAACTTGCCAAGAGCTCGGCATAATGTAATTAGTATAATATGAACATACCATTAATCATTTGAAAAGTATTACATAGCGACCAGGATTCCACTTACCTCCTCAAATTCCTGGGGGTCAATTGAAAGAAGAAAACCCGGGGGCGGGCCGGCCCGCACCGACCCACAGCAGGAGTGCGCCAGAACACGGAGATATCAAATCAGTGGCCTCAGAGTCGCAATAAGATCTACGGACAGGCGGGTAGGTAACCTAACTGAAAAGCTCACAGTTGTAGGTGGAGGGACCAAGTAGTACGAGTTTGTGTTTGCTATTGAGAGCCGCGATAACTTCAGGTTGGCGAGCATAGCGAGCGCTTTCACGTAGGTTGGGAGCCTCAAAAGTCGAGCAAGTAATTACATCATTATGTACGGCCGTAAGAGTCGGTAAACTGTGCTTCAATTCTACTGTAGTATACAGGGTGGTCGCATGAGAGACTCGGACGAGGCTCCGTGGCAAATGTTTACAGCGCGTGGACTGGGGAGCAGAGCTTCACCTGGGTATAACATCATTGCATGTGGGGCGTGGAGCGCGTTGGGTGTTGAACAGGACAACGCGTAAACAAAGCTTCAACTAAGAAACCAAGGGTTTTACATTGGGTGGCTTACTACGTTGGGTGGGACTTAAATGGAAGGTTGATGGAATAAATAACTTCATTGGAAACAACTTAGGTTGGAAAAGGAAACGAAAAGCAAATCAAGGTGAAGGGGTCCATCAGAAAAGCTCTCGTCACATCAAGGACTTCAAGTGTAAACAACACTGATGTCTGCAGAATTGGCTTAATGCCTGTCACGTAAACGCGAACAGACTCATCATGGGAAAAGGAGGTCAAGAGATATCTGCCACCAGGTAAAGGGTGAACGGAATGAGGTCAAGAAGAAGAGAAAAACCAGACAGCTATGTCTGATGAAAAGTTCCAAAAATTGGTTGGGACCCAACACAAGGTAGGTAAACAAAACTAGCGCAAGCACCAGTTAAGATTCAAAAGATTAAGAAAGACTAGAATGGGCCATTACGCCCTGTCCAGCCTGAGAAAAAAAAACCCCCCACATTCTCTCCCCAAAGTCCTCCAAAGATTGTCGATGATGTCGTCGGTGCTGGCGAGTCAGCCTTCTTCGTCTTCTTCTTCGTCGGTGCTGGCGAGTCAGCTCTTCTTCGTCGTTGTCGTGGTTGTCGTGGTTGTTGTCGTAATTGTTGTCCACCTTCCTCAGGCCGCATGCCCAACAAGTTTGTCGTCGTCGTTGTTGTCGTTGTTGTTGTCGCCGTTGCTGGTGAGTCAGCTCTTCTTCGTCTTCTTCTTCGTCGGTGCTGGTGAGTCAGCTCTTCTTCGTCTTCTTCTTCGTCGGTGCTGGTGAGTCAGCTCTTCTTCGTCTTCTTCTTCGTCGGTGCTGGTGAGTCAGCCTTCTTCGTCGTTGTCGTGTTGTCGTTGGTGTTGTCATTAGTGTTGTCGTTGGTGTCGTTGGTGTTGTCGGTGTTGTCGGTGTTGTTGTTGTTGTTGTTGTTGTCGATGGTCGTGGGGTGGGAAAAAAAGAAAAGAAGGAGAAGAAGTGAGAGGGTGGGGGATTTTATAGGCGAAGGGCTAGGCGGCAGATCACACACGCGACAGTGAATCAACACGGTAGCAAACAACATGGCCGTCCCAAATAGGTATAGACGAGTGATCTCGGTTCGAGAGAAAGATCAGACCGTTTTCGTTTGCCTGCGTGATCCTTGATCTCGTTGATTTTCCCAAGGTTGATTTCGCTTAAATTTCCTAATTGTAGCCTGAAGATCACGATCACTCATTCTTGCCTTGATTGACTGGCACTTCAAGCTTATTTGAGATTGCTGAATTCCTGCTTCGGAGTCCGGCTTCGTCTTTTGAAAAGTCTTGCTGTTTATTAATTAATGATGCTTCATCACTGCTATTTGGTTTTACTCAGTAACCTGCAAGTAAGCAGTTCAAGAAGAAAAATCTTTCAATTAATAGCATATTATTGCATAGGATACGGATATATGACATCACCTCAGTAACACACATGACCCTCGGATTGAAAACTACCTTATTGTCACTCGTCATCGGCATGCTCAACGCCGTTGCCTGTGAAGGTGTACAGACGGAGCATAATATACAGAGCCTCAGAGTGTGCGACGGAAATTGTCGTCATCGGGCGGCTGTTGAGGAAATGCTGAATGTATGCTCCAGACATATGTGAAATCAATGATAAGGACTCGAAGAAATGAACCGGCGTGAGGGGGAACTTGTGGTATCAAGCACATGAATTGTGAAGGAATGCCATTGTTCTCGATAAGAAGTATGTACATGTACTCGAGGGGGAAGATACATGAATCCGGATTCTGGAATAGGAATAATCAGCGGGTGAAGCGGGCTGCAAAAAAAAACAAGCCATGGGCAGACGGTGAATAAAATGGTTGAGGGGAAGTCTCTTAGATCTCTGTTCATTTCTCAATCATACACAAGAGAAAGCAAGCGTCTCCTTCCGCAAGCGTCTCGGAAAGCCCGATCGAGGGATGGAGTCCGCTGCTCCAGGTTCCTGGCTCAGGTGTCATGAAAAGCTCTTGATGTGTGGGTTATCGTCATTGAGACTGAAAATTGGACGGTAAGACCCAATATCTCAGGTCTAACTAGGACAATTAGCTTGTGCTGTCATTAAGGGAGAGATGTACAAACCTACTGTGCGATTAACGCGCATTGCAAGAACGATCGTTGGGCGTGTCGTTCGAATTGGCGTTCTAGCGCGTCTGCACGTGACCGACCCACCCGTTTCGGAGACACGCTGACCTATGTAAGCCATGCATCGAACGCGAAAATGGCAATAAACTGGTCTCGGAAGAAGAGAAAGTCTCTTCGGACCCTGAATACAATGAAAATCGTACTTCCGAAAAGGCTTCATTCACATTTGGGCACGCCATTCCATGTTTTCTGGTCAATCACCCTGGTTGGCTTGTGACTGCGATCGAAGACCGAAGTGCAAAGTGCTGCGCCAGGCCTTTTCAGGAAATGACAATCTTGACTCATCCAGTTATTATCTTCCAAGGTTAAAGAAAGACCGAAAACGGCACTTGCAACAGCTGGGTTATCTTGTCAATATGATGTGGAGCCTGTGGCTCAGCGGCTAAAATCTCATTCGATTGTTCGCTAGAGGATCATGGAGATTGGGGGCCGTTCTGATTTAGGGCTTCGGGTTATGGGGCATCTATGGGAGAATGGCTCGAGGTCGATTTTGTATACTCCATAAACGGCGAGGGTATAAAGCTGCCTCCATGGCCGCCATGGAGCAATGAATAACGCTGGCAATTATTCTCCAAGCCTTCAGGTCCACCTACCAAGCTGCAAAATGGGTATTCAATTTTCCCAGGTTTTCCCCCCAAAGCCATCCTTTGCCTCGAGCAACATACCCAGCCAAGCCGGCAAGGTCATCCTCATCACAGGTGCTGCCTCTGGGATCGGTTTTGAGCTAGCCAAGATCCTCTACGGGAAAGGGGCCAAAGTCTACATTGCAGGTCGATCCGAAGAAAAAGCCCGTGCTGCCATCGAAGCTATACAGCGTGATGTACCACAAGTCGACGGTGGTGCGTTAGTCTTTCTCCCACTGTGCCTCGACGACCTGACAACGATCAAAGGGACTGTCGAAGCATTTCAAAAGAAGGAGTCCAGACTAGACATGCTGTTCAATAATGCAGGCGTCTCTCAGCCTCCTGCTGGAAGTCTCTCTCAGCAAGGAATCGAGCTTCAGCTCGCGACCAACTGTCTGGGTCCTTTCTTATTGACAAGTCTTTTGCGCCCACTTCTAGAGAACTCCACCAAGATAGCGCAACCTGGTACCGTCCGTGTCATTTGGACAAGCAGTCAGGTTGTTGAATTCTCCACTCCTCCCGAAGGAATGATCATGTCCCAGCTCACCAACCCACCCAAGGACGCCGTCGTGAACTATACCAACTCCAAATTGGGCAACTGGTTTCTGGCGGTAGAGATGGCTCGTCGTGATGGAGAAAATGGTATACTCAGTGTGGCACAGAATCCCGGGGCAGCCAATACGAATCTTCTCCGAAATGCTCGATTGATGAAGTTTTTCACGCGGCCTCTACTTCATAGTCCAATTTTGGCCGCCCATACACTGCTCTATGCGGGATTCTCACCTGACCTGACCTTGGAAAATCAGGTTGAATCATATGTCATTCCCTGGGGTCGAATCCATCCTGGAGTTGCAGATAACCTGAGACACGCGATTGACAGGAGTGAAGATGGTGGATCGGGCCGAGCAAAGGAGTTTTGGGAATTTTGTGAGAAGGCGACAAGGGAATATGCTTAATAGAAAGCAACGATCTTTCTCAAGTATACCTCTTGAAGCGCGAATGTACTATTCTAGCAATTTTGTGTCATCTGATAGCCTTCAGATACAGCAGTCGATATAATGAACGTGTTCTGCCAGTGAAAATTAGTTTCGTTCAATGCCCCACCATAAGGTTTACGACGAGTGCATACTGTTTAATGTTTAAGTCCTCGGAACTTCATGTTGGAATTAGTCCTACTAGTATATGAGAGTCGTTCCAAGGTTAATATCAATAAATCGGGATAAGAGAGGACTCGGATCTTCGTTGTAGGAAGGAATGTCAGATAATCAGGTGTGATTCCGCAGTACTTCGACGCTAAACATATTTGGCTAAACATTGAACCATCTCAAAATAAACAATCAGTTGAATGATCCAACTTGAAAAAGCCGATTTCTGAATTTCTTGATAGACAATCCTACCCAATAGTCGATGTCGACACCCTATATATAAGGCACCAATATTCATATGCTGAGATAATCGGACTCGGGCCTCAGGTTCCACTGATGATCGCATTAGGCTTGCTGCAGGTCTGCATTCTCAATTATAAAGGCCCGGTGCCCTACGGTTTGGCTGGTAAGTGCATAGCTTAATTCCCATATACCCAACCTGAAAGACCTCGATGGCACCCAGCAATTCTAAGTGGTGGCAAGCGCCCGACGAGGCCGACCTGGACTATGGATTCGATTCTGACGACCTGGATAGATATATTGGACCTGAGGGTAATCCCCGCCGACCGAGACCACCGACCGAGACACGAGAACAAGCACAAAAACGGGATTCAAATAACGGGGATAAAGGCGTGCTAGGGAATATGACGGACTGGCTGTCGCGACATGTTGGGCCGCACAATTCACAGCTTGCGGCCACTGCGGTCTTGTCTGCAGTAACTGTCGCAGGTGGAATTCTTGGCTACCAGGCTCACCAGAGGAGAGGAGCTGTTCGTGATCTCAAGGCATCTATTCCGGTATCTGATGATCTACACCCTTCGGGTAAGGTATGTTTTTGGGCGGTTGCGCGAATTTGTGGTTGATTTCGTAGCTAGTTCAATGCGCTGACTATAGATTATAGCTCACAGACTTCGGCGCAGCGGAGAACGCTGTTCCTATGAGCAAGGAGGATGAGCGCAGTGCTGCGTTAGCTCGGAGAGCGCAACAGGGAGACTATGATGATGGTGCGAATGACAACCGCTCCTAGAGAAAAAAGTTTTGGATGATCAAGCTAACGGGCGTACGAACTATGTATAGATTTGATTCTCGAACAACTAGCCCGAAACCGAGTTTTCCTTACCGACGATGGTCTTGCGAAATTGCGTTCCTCCTTCATCGTCGTTGTCGGTTGTGGTGGTGTTGGATCCCATGCTGCTGCGTCGCTCGCTCGCTCGGGCGTTTCCAAAATCCGACTTATCGATTTCGACCAAGTCACGCTCTCCTCTTTGAACCGACACGCACTTGCTACATTGGCGGATGTTGGAACACCAAAGGTGCACTGTATCCGTAGGAGATTGGAGCAGATCGCCCCGTGGGTGATGTTCGACTGTCGCAATGAGCTTTTTGGCAAGGACGCCGCGGAGAACCTCCTCGGTCCTTGGACCCTGACACACGAAGGCGAGGGTCGCCGACCAGACTACGTGCTTGACTGCATTGATAACATTACTTCCAAGGTGGATCTCCTCCACTATTGTCACACAAACTCGCTGCCGGTTATTTCGTCAATGGGTGCTGGTTGCAAGTCTGACCCGACCCGGGTTGTTGTTGGCGATATCTCGCTCAGCACAGATGATCCGCTCTCTCGTAGTACCCGACGCCGATTGAAGGCGAAGGGTGTCAGCTCGGGCATTGCCACTGTTTTCTCAACGGAGAAGCCAGGTCCTGGCAAGGCAAGTCTACTCCCGCTTCCTGAGGACGAATTTGCCAAGGGCCAGGTAGGCGAACTGGGTGTTCTCCCCGACTTTCGGGTTCGGATTCTCCCCGTTTTGGGCACCATGCCTGCTGTGTTTGGATACACAGTTGCCAACCATGTCATTTGCAGTGTGTCAAACTATCCCATTGATTATAGCATGGTCAGCAAGGGCCGTGACAAGATGTACGACAGCGCTTTGGCAACGCTCCAAGGGTTGTCAGAGAGACTGAACAAGCAGGTTGCTGGTGAGGACGCGATCAGCTTGCGCATTCCTGTCAGCCGGGATGATATTGCATTTTTGATGGAAGAAGTCTGGCGTGGCAAGAGCGCTATCACCGGTCTTCAAAACCGACTAATGTTGGTTCCCTGGCGAGCCCTGGCCCAAGGATGGGGTGTTGATCCGAAATGGTCACCAGAAGGTCAGAAGATCCTGCCACTGGATATCACGGAGCTCGTGTGTATGACCAAGGATGAGGCTGCATACCATGAGCGAGAGGTACTTCGTGGGGGCAAGACAGTGGAAGAGGCATATGAGGAGACTGTTTTGCAACGGGTGAATCTCCGTCTGAGCGAAGCAAAAGAGTATGAAAAGTACCGCGGTTAATACTGTTGGTTTCTATACGAATACGTAACAATGTACTCCAAATAGAAGTTATTTTTATTTCTCCATCATTTTTATCCTTTTACATATCATGATTAAGCCACACTTGAACCCGCATCAAGAAAGTGGGGAATTAAGACATAAAGCGGGTCTAAGGGATTCGGAGTTACAGAGATCAAGGGTCAACGCCAAGCGTGAACTTCGCCTCTGCACTCCTCATGAGGGTGGAACTGGTCAGGCCGCCAGTTTATTTCCTTCGTTTACATCTCCGACCTTGAAATCTATCCCGGCTGGTCCCCTCTTCATATTATATTTTCATGTCACATATACATAGGGGTTTGAACACCTAACACTTTCGTTCGACTGCTTCCGGCAATATGGTCTCCGACGAGTCAGACCATGAACTCGATCTTCCCTACCGCACGTCCCACTCCTCACCCAGAGCCTCTCGTTTTTCGCGCTACTCTAGACCTCTCATCGACTCCGTCCGGAACGGCTGGCAATCTCATTCCAACCCAGCTTACCACCACCTCTCGCCGGATAATGACAAGCACCCAGGATGGCTCCAGATGGCCATGTCAATAATCGCTGCCCCAAGATTCCGTCGCTATGTCATCGTCTACTTGACCCTTTTCCTGCTGGGTTGGTCAGGATGGAGTCTGATCCTGTACCCTCGTCTCGAGGAGCGGAGCTCCTTGCTTCATGCGCTAGATCCCGCTTCCAAGGCGGAGGTCGGGGGATGGTTCGGGACAAACTCATTGCCGCGGTTTGATGATTTGATTCAGATTCGGACCTTTGATCCTAATTTTCTACCCACGGTTCCACTGGAAGGTGATTCTGATTGGAAGAAGAAACGGTTGGTTATTGTTGGCGATGTACATGGATGTAAAGAAGAGTGTAAGTTACTTTCTGTCCCACCGATAATGTACTTCATGTCGCTAACTGCATGTGAAGTGGTTCAACTTCTTGACAAAGTTTCCTTTTCCTCCGCAAATGGCGACCATTTGATCTTCACCGGCGATCTTATCAACAAGGGACCCGATAGTGCTGGGGTCGTGGACCTCGCGCGTGAGCACTCTGCCTCTTGTGTTCGCGGAAACCACGAGGATAGAGTTCTGCTTCTCCGCCATGATATTGTGGCATCTAACACGATGGCTGGACCAGCGGAAGGAGATGACCAGATATATTCTGAGAGGGAGATGAACGAGCGCGCGTTGGCCCGCTCGTTGAATGATGAGCAAGCAGACTGGCTGGACCTGTGTCCTGTCATTCTGGATATGGGCTTGATCTCCGGAATGGGCCAGACAGTCGTTGTTCATGGTGGTCTTGTCCCAGGTGTGGAACTTGAGAGACAGGACCCCTTGAGCGTCATGACCATGCGTACCATTGATTTGGATACGCATGTGCCCAGCTCCTCGAGTGAGGGATGGAATTGGGCTAAAGTATGTCCAATTGATTCATTTTTTGTCTCTGCGATTATCGTGATTGTGCTGACGAATATTTAGATGTTCGACAAGCACCAGTCTATCTTGCATAAGAGCCTCAAGGCTTCGCGAGTTGACCCTGACTCTCAAACAACCACTGTTATATATGGCCATGATGCCAAGACATCACTTAACATTCGTACCTATACTAAGGGTCTTGATACAGGATGTGTAAAGGGTGGTAAGCTGACTGCAATGATTATCGAGCCAGGTGGAAAGCAGAAGCTCGTCCAAGTAAAGTGTCACAAGTACTTGACAGATTGAATGAATCGTCTGTGATTTCCGTTCAATATTGCATACGGACGGCGTTCTTATTCCAAAATTTGTTACATGTATAGTCTCAATAAGCACCATATTTGCTCCGCAATTGACCCTTGCCAATTACCATCGTCAGTGCCCAGGTGGATGGCTATGAACACAGGATGGTTCGTGTAAATACAATTACAAAATATCTCGCCCCGAACTCGGGCTTGAATACATACGGTGGTCAACATGCATTCGTTTCAATGTTCTCTTGTACTTATGAAAATACTGCTCTGTTCAGGCACTGCAGCGATCTGCAGCGAATCTGCAGCACTTACCGCTGTGAAATCACCACCTGCAAGCGCCCAGGTGAGGCTGAGCGAGCTTACCCCTCACCAGATACTTCATCGTATTCCAACGTTCTTCTGCTTCTACAAACATCCTGTAATACCAAAAATGACAACCTCGATAGCATTTGGCAGCGGCAACAACGGCTATCATGTGGGGATCCATAACGGATCGATCAATATTCACCAAGGTATGTTATGGAGAACTGGAGAGCACCCGTGAAGGTCGTCTAACAGCCGGGCAGAACAAAAAGAACCACCACCGTCCCCTACCTCGAATGTTCCGTTTCCACGAGACCCTGACTTTGTCCCTCGTGGCACTATTCTGGATGAAATTCATGCCAAAAGTTCCACTTGTCCTGGTTCCTGAGTTGCTCTTGTTGGCTTGGGTGGGGTCGGGTAAGTATACACAAACTGCGAATATCCACGGATGGCATTTTGCTGAGACTTCGAAAGTAAATCACAACTTGCCATCGAATACTGTTATTGACTTCGAGATCAATCACAGGAGACATGGGTCTTTTGGATGCATGCAGGTAATGCTGCCAGGCTCCAAGAGAGTTTCCAGGATGCTGCCGATCGCCTGAAAATTCCCAACCGCCATGATCCGAAAGCCAATGTATGCAAGCTGGTACATGATTGGCTTCGAGATAATTCGAAGTGGCTGCTCATTCTGGATAATCTTGATGATGCCGACTTCCTTCATAAGCCTTTACTCATAGGCTAGGGAAGAGAGTCAGCCGACGGACGGCCGCTGTCGTCGTTTCTTCCTCGAGGCTCAAACGGAACGCTCATTATGACTACTCGGACCAAGGATGCTACCTTGAAGCTTACCGATAACAAGAACATCGTCGAGATTCATCCGATGACCGTGTCTGATGCTGTGGACCTTGTAAACAAAAAGCTGGATCCCCCGGCGACCGAAATGGACGCCCAAAGACTAGCAGAAGCGCTTGGGTGTATGCCCCTTGCGATCATACAAGCAACCTCTTATGTCAACTGCCAGTCATCAAGCTATTCGGTCTCGCAGTATCTTGCAGAGTTCGAGCGGAATGACCGCAGAAAGTCAAAACTACTGGATTACGAGGCTGGACATTCTCATCGGGACAGGGACGCCAAAACTTCCATTCTTATTACTTGGAGAATCTCTTTTGAACAGGTCCGGAAGATGAACAGCGCGGCAGCAGACCTCCTCTCTCTCATGAGTTTCTTTGACCCCCATGGAATATCAGAGGACCTTCTCCAAGAATTAACCGAAAGTGATGACGAATCAGAAGATGACGACGATGACTGTGAGACCCCAAGTTCGAGTGATAGTGATACGGATAGTGAATTTGAATTTGACTCTACTTTACAATTTCGAGATAACATCGCCATCCTACGGGCTTATTCTTTCATTTCTGTCCGTGAAGATGATCAGAGTTCACAGGTGTTTAGTATGCATCCGCTCGTCCAATTGGCCGCATGTCAATGTTTGGACGCACACAACGAAGGTGATAAATGGAGGGACGAGTTCGTGATGATCCTGTCAAGCGTCTTCCCAGTAGCAGACTTCGAAAATTGGACTGAATGTCAATCTTTGCTCGCGCACGTCCAATCGGCATACATAAAAAAGCCACACTCGGATGGAGCTCTCAGGGCCTGGCAAATTACTCTGCAGGACATCAGAATACGTAAGAGAAAGAGGGTAAGGGACTCAGAGCGACAATGCTGAGATGGCAGAGAAATCCCTAAAGGCATCGAAGAAAGCATGTGGAGAGGAGCATGTCAACACAATCATCAGCATGCACAACCTCGCAACTACATATGCACATCAAGGCCGACTGAAGGAGGCTGAGGCACTAGAAATAAAAGTGCTAAATCTTTACAAGAAAATACTTGGGGAAGTCCATCCTACTACAATACTCAGCATGGGCAACCTCGCAGCTACATATAGACATCAAGGCCGACTAAAGGAGGCTGAGGCACTAGAAATAAAAGTGCTAAATCTTCGCAGGAAAATACTTGGAGAAGAGCATGGAGACACGATCCTAGGAATGAACCGCCTCGCTTGTATCTGGAGAAAAGCAGGTCTAGCTCTAGAGGCGCTCGACTTGCTACGAGACTGCGTAGCCATAAAGACAAGAGTTTTGAGGCATGAGCACCCCGAGACTATGAAGTTATATGAAAAGTTACTGAGCTGGGAGACCGAACAAATGAGCCTCGATGTCGATGAGAATTAAAGACTCGGACCTACGGAGAAGCACTGAAGGAAATTGAAGGATTGCAGCGGTAAATAACATTTGAATCTTGAATGCAAATCCCACATGTGAGGACTGAAAGTAGAAACAATCAGATCGCACTTCATGCGCATACTACGTTCTTCAAGTTTGAATATACTAGTTGACTTATTGGTGTTGATCAGATATAACTTCAGGTCGATATCCATAACAAAATCTATATAGACAATATGTGCACGCTGATCAGAATGCCAGTAGAAAAGAAGTATATACGATGAATATGTCCCAAATAGTGTTGGAAAACGACCCTTCAAATGTTCTGATTTATCCGGGATAAAAATAATTCCCATCAGGCATCCAGGTCGAAGGTTCCGAGAAGTCCTCATACCAAACCCCACCAAGAGGATTTACATGCACATAGCCGAACCGGAAATACTCTGTCAGCTTAGGCTTAACCCTCGTCCACGCGAAGTCCGGAACGCCTGTGGCGCCCTTAGGCTTCAGTTCCTGAAAGCGCTGTACATCATTGACTATAACACTGATGCCGTCTACGTTGGCGGGGATCTCTGGGAAGGAGAAAAGGAGATTGTTGGAATCTACAACTGCGGGTGCGTTGATGACTGGTGGTGCAGTACCGAGTTTAGCGCCATCCAAAAGGGCTGCTGGTGTTTGTAGAATGGAGTCGAAGCCCCAACGGGCGATGCCGTTTATGAAGAGGCCAACCAGAATACCCTGGAATAAGAGGCTGGGTCGAGTTTGTAAAGTTGTCCCTGGGAGGAAGAGCAGAGCGAGGATATAGTGGTGAATGCGGAGGTTCATGTGTGGGATAGCGACGAGGATGATGATGAGGAGGACGAAGAAAGCATAGAGACGGAGCTTAGAGAGGAGCCGGCCTTCACGGCGGAAGCAGTGCGCTTGGAGGAAGAACACGAATATAAGGAATCCCACTATAATGATGAGGGCTGTTACGGCACCGGGTTGTTGTTGGATGTCGTGTGGTGTGAGCCGTGAGATGGGAATTCGGTCAAAGGTGTCGGTGTTTAAGGCGCCGACCCAGCACCCACCAAGCCAGAGAATGGTCTTGTCGATATGTGCTTCGAGGTCATACAGAGTGTGTCTGACACAGAAATAGTATAAGGCGAACCCAACAAAGGCACCGGGCAGGAAGCGGCCCAGTCCGACAGATACCAGATTGTAGTAACCCGCTGTTGGGGGATCTGAGGCCATGGCAACTTGGAACCAGACTATGAAGTAAGTCACACTGTAGAAGACCGGTGCTGAAGTGACGGTCATTGAAAATGCGATTGATGTCAAAACAGTGAAGGCAAATAGCGGCCAGCGGATATCAGAGCATTCGACTAGTTCTGGTGTTTTAGATCCGGGTGATGAGACTTCCTTCGTTATAAGAAATGACAATGGGAAGTAGCCCATGAACTCGATACTCTCAATGCCATTTTGTATGGCGCTTTGAAACCGCTCTCGTGCACCCTTGCGTTGGAGGATAGCACATCCTCCTTTGGCATCGCTGATCAGGCCAGCATGTAATGCCGCTGAACAGATAGAGGAGTCTCCGCGGTAAATTCCGCTATTACGACCATCCATTTTGAATGGTTTACCACCAACAACCATATGACGATAGTTATACTCATTTGCACCAACATAATAAGGTTCCAGAAGCATTTGCTGAGCACAACCAGCAGGACAGCGGAAAGCAAAGGACTGATTATCAAACGGTTGACAAAGTTCCCCATTTACCCCACAATCAGTGGCATTATTCCTGGAAAAGATCAGCGAAAAAGTCTATAAAAGACAATCAACTTGAAAATGACGAGTTGAACAAGCCACAAAAGCAAATCAACCAAATTCTAATTTGAACTCTCCGGGAATTCAATATACGAACGTACCACAAGCGCTGGTTGCACGACAGCTTAACAGGCTGTCCATATCCCGAAACTTCTTGGCCCGCCACAGAAGCTCTAAGAGATGAAAAGAAAACAATCACCCAGAACAACAACCCCAAGAAAAGCAAAGCAATCTTAGCTCCCATACGCGGGACAAACCGATCTACCAGATTGATCGGCGCAGTCTGCCACTTCGGAAACCAAGGATTTATATGATATACATGCGGAGGCGTGGGTCCCCGCAACCAAGCAAAGAAGCCAGTAACGGTACAAGAAAACGGCGGATCGCGTCTAAACTGTTCGGGGGGGATCCTCGAAATCGAAATCGGATTCAAAGCTCGCGCTACGGACATCGAAATCGTCATGCGTCCCGGGTAGCAAGGGTACACGGCCTAGCTCTATATCGCCATCTAGATCATAGCTTTCGTGAACTGCAGCGGCTCCCTTAGCGTGAGCGTGGTCGTGCTCGTAGTCTGGGTCTGTATACGGCGGCGGGATTGGGCTTCTGGGCGGGGACTCGGCGCTTCGGGGTTTCTTCTCGGTTGATTGTGGACTCGCGTTCCCTGAACTGGGCTTCCCTGATTGTGAGCTCATTATTCAGGGATTTTGGGCTTTACTGGCACACCAGGAGAAGTGAGATGTGGCCATTTTTCAAGACGCCAGCGGTATGCCAAGCTTGGACGGGCTACGGGGCCCTTAGTCATCTTGTCGTGCTATGGTGCGATCTATGGATCTACATTGCTGGCGTGTCGTTTTGAATAGGGGGAATGAGGCTGGATTTTATCGTCAGGCTGTGAAGTATGTTCGAAGAGTAGACGTACTTCCGTGAGTTCGAAGATTCCAAGGTTCAAGTTGCGTGATTGCGTCGTATCACCATGGAAATGTGATACTCTCCGCCGGATACGAACGCGAGGTATAACTGCGGAGAATGAACATGTCTTGCATAGAGGGGAAATCTGCCTCCTGAAATTCATTTATTGTAAATATCGAAAAGAGCGACTGCCACTAAACACCAAAAAGCACCAGGGTCATGACTCCACCAAGGGTATCAACATAAGTCGTAATTCATTTGCCCATTATGGGAGAATGCGACAAGCAGTGCATCGAGATCATAAAACGATTGAAATTCACCATTGTGTTCCGAACTGCAGATCCAAAGATAACCGAGTGACGCTGCTCATATCTATCAATTATGCCAATCGACGCAGACAGAAGAGGCTGGCTTAACCTTGATCATCGGGATTTGCGCATTGAGTCTGAGTCTTTATGCGGTGGCGGCGGGAGCGGCAGCAGCACCACGAGAGCGACCCCAGCGACGGCGACTATTGTACACGAAATAAGTATAAGATTTGCAACTGTTAGTTAGAAGATCACTTACGTGGAACCAGCTCCAGTATCGCGGACACGGAAGGTAAACCAAACACCCTATAACAGGAATTAGAATGAACTATAGTCACTTCTATAGATCAGGTACTTACCACAAGGGCCGAGACAAGCCAGACAATAGCAGATAAGAAGCTGAATGCCTCAGCAGCCTTCCAGCGCCCGCAAGCCCCGTTACCTCTGAAGTGCCAGGACCAGATACTGCCGCAGGGAAGATGCTTGATGGCGTCGACCAAAATACCGAATGCCGCGAACCAAGCAAAGGAGATGAGAACATCAACTAGAGACATATTAGTGCATATTCCATCACTAAAAAACAACTCGAACATACGCGGCCACGAGAAGAACCCAGAAGCGAATGGAATCAACCAGATCAAGCCCATAAGCATAGACAAGCCAGCAATAACTTCCGTATAGATCCAGCGAGCTTCAGGCCACGGTTCAATAGAATCATAGGAGGCCAAGTAATGTCCAATGATACCAGCGACGACAGCAGCAAAGGCAATTTCCGCGATGCGGAGGGGGATAGACACCAAGCGCGAGACGACAGGCATGATGGATGTCGCTTCTGTGGATGTTGTCAAGAGAATTTGATTGAGGTAGAAAAGTCTAGAAAATTGAGAAGATCCAGGATGTAGTACTGAAGAGCAAGACCTGGTTTTACGGGGCTGGACATGGTCTATAAGAGGTAGAGGCAATTGGGGAAAACTACTAGAGTTGCACAAACACAGTCCGAGCAACGAGGACGAAAACCCGCATCACGAAGCAAGGGCCATGAACTAAGAGGTCTTTGACTCAATCATTCGTAAAGTTTTCTTCTCGATTTTGTTCTAATTTAATTTTTATAAAAAAATTAATCCGGAGACCTGTATACTTCACAAAGATGACCCACATAGCCCCAAAACAGCTGATGTCGTCAGATCTCCCCTTAACAGCGGATGCATCTCTGTGGTGGCCCAATACGTACCCCCCTTGGGTTCAAGTTTTGACGCCAACCGCTCACTTGGAACTTTGTGGCTTTCTTCAACCCGATCGGAGTAAGGAGGCTTGATCCTGTCAGAATCCCTGCTAGGAAATCCCCAGAAACATACGTAGCTTTCTTCCTAAAAATAAGATAATTAAAACCTTGAATTCGAGCCTGATTGGGTTGTCGTGCCATATCGGATATGGGTTAATCCCTGTTTTTTTGAGGTTTCCAGATATTCCGGGTACTAAGTTAGTCTAGTGTTTCGCGTGTATGTGTTGGCTTGCAATGTCATCTGTGGCGTCTTTGCTTTCTAAGAGGTTCCTTTCTGGGCTGTCAATGTCCCGTGGTCATAGACGTACTCCGTAGACGTTGCCGATCTGCCGACTATTTGGTCATAGCTTGGACCTTTTTCTCTCTCTCTGGAATTTCTGGTTCGGTTAGGGGTCCCCGCTAAGGATGATCATCGCAGCCTGTGCCGAGCTCCTCCTGGGGTTGGCTGATGCAGGGTGGCTCGTGGGACGATGTCCAGGTCACCTCAACCTTGGAAATGCCTCGGTGTTGTTGGGTTATAGCAGTAGGCCCACTGAGAATGGTCTACACCTGCGCTGAATGAGCTAGTATCATATGTTCCTGAGAGTAAGGTCGCGTAATCCTTGCCTAATTCCATCCGCATCCAAGACTTCGTTCTGCTCAGCCCTATGACGTGGGGAAGGACGTCGCTTCATGGAAGTACAGGTGACATCGGTTCTCCTGTACGTATTGCCTATGATGACCAAGCAGTGAAGATCAAGATCTGTGGAACTTTGCAAACTCTGAATTTTCTAGTAATCCCTCGATGGACTCTGGCATATGCACTGGAACTAGCTCTCCAAGCTGCAGGTGCGGCCCCGATCTACTGTACAGACGAGCCAAGATAGAGGGACAAGAGTATGAAACAATGCGGTCAGACACCTCAGAGCCAGGTAGCCCCCAGTTACTAGTAGAAAAATCGGTTGCCTGTTCCTGATTACTTCCAGATTTAGTAATGATATAATTCAGAGATATCATTTCTTTTGAGGTAGGATTAAGGATATACACAGGGGAATAAGAGGGAAAAAACAAACACGCCACCCCACAACACCAGAGGAGTATCATATCAGACCTCCCTCGTACAAACCAGACACTCCAAACCGAATTAATAAATAAAACATGGCAGAGAAGAAAAGAGAACCATGTTGCATCATGGTGTGTTCGCAGTCATATTAGACATGCTTGTGATCATCCTTCAAAAACCAGGCGAAGACATCCTGAAACACGCCCTTGGCACCAATCTCAATCACATCCCCATGGCATGGAATGATGCGAGTAAAGTGCCATCGAATAATACGGCGCATCGACTCTGTGAATGCCTTCTTATCCTTGGCCAGGATATACCACGCAAAGCGACGATGAGGAGTAGCAGGGGCTTTAACAGCCAAAACGGGGAGAAACAGGCGAGTCAGGAAATTGGCAGTGCTACCCTCTTCAGTCTTCGAGTACTGCTCATTGGCAGGCAGGTTGAAAAGCAAATCGGCCTCGATCATAGTATGCGAGGGCTTGTGGAGAAAGACGAGTTCACGGGAGCTATGACCGTGCACGTACTCGATCTCGAACTCGGTGTCGAACTCTTGTGAGATTGTTCGTGGGCTCCCATCCTTCTTAAACACATGCTCGAACGGGGTATCCTTGAACTCGGGAACCTTCTGTCGCTTCTCCCATAATCCCTCAGGGGCGATGATGTGCGCTTCAGGGAAGGCGTTCTTCCATGCTGTGATGTGCAGATGGTGCTCAAGATCCGGCGCGATGATGTACTTGACGCTTCCGCCTTGTGACTGGACTGTCTCACGGACTTCTGGGGTGAGGCTAACGGGTGAGAAGATCGCGAGTGAACCTGTCTCGAGCTTGACTGTATAACACGCAAGGAGAATTAGTGTTTTGCCTCTTGCATTTATCTGACCCACTCAAGCTTTGCTGGTAGGTTGCGCCCTGCATGGGCTGCAAGGAGAGGACCGGAACTTACCCAGTGTTCCTCGAGCACCGAAGCGCATGATTCCGAACCGCGCGAATGGCAGACTAAAAGTAGTGATTTGCGGTACCACTGAACGAATCACCATCGTCGCCGATGGGTCGGACGGAAAGAGTTGCGGCATTTTGAGAAGATGTCTTGCGCTGACTTCGTATAGGTCTTTTTTGGGGGATGTATGTCTGAGTATGCTCCCTGGCGTTGAATGTCTCAGTCCCTTGAAAAGAATGCAGTTGCGCAGAACTTGAAGAGACAGGATGTGAGGTTAGAAATTAAGTTCTTTTTCTCTTGAGCAGTATTAAGTAGTCGCGAGTGGGGACTTTTTCTCTAGATTTGGAAAGGACGTGAACCCGCTTATGACGTTGTCCAGACCATCGTCGACCCTCGTTGCTTACCCACCACCTGGGGCATTAGTTAACGTAAGTCCCGCTTGACCGGGCCACCCCATCGAAAATCGCGTCTTTCTACCACCCTACCTAATTCAAACACCTATCATGCCACCAATTCGCAATATTTCGGCAGAAAAAAATGCCAACCTAGAGGGCAAGATCCTATTAGCCCTTGATGATATTGGAAATGGGCGAATCAGTTCTGTTCGCGCTACAGCAAAGCTATACGAAATACCGCGTTCAACACTACAAGCGCGTGCCAGTGGCCGAATCGCTCGCGCTGATATGCGCTCAAATCGCTGTAAATTAACACAGCTAGAAGAGGATTCGCTTACTAGATGGATAATATCTATGGTTACCCGTGGAGCAGCGCCTAGGCCAGCTACTGTACGAGATATGGCCAATATTCTACTAGCTGCGCGTGGTAGCCACCCCCCGCCTACAGTTGGTAAGAATTGGCCATCAACCTTTATAAATCGACATGAAGAGATTCGAACACGCTTATCTAGGCGATATGACTACCAACATGCCTAAAATGAAGATCCTAAATCCTTACGAGAGTGGTTTACAACCGTACAACATGTTATTGATGAGAATGGTATCCAGCCTGAGGATATTTACAACTTTGATGAGATAGGCTTTGCAATGGGTCTTATTTCAACACAGAAGGTTGTCACTCGATCAGAATATTACGGTCGGCGAGCTATTCTACAGCCTGTAAACCGTGAATGGGTGACAGCAATTGAAGCTATCTGTGCAGATGGCTATTCATTACCACCATGTGTGATTTTTAAGGGAAAGGTTGCTGTTACTAGCTGGTTCGATAACCTACCAAAAGATTGGCGATTTGAGGTCTCAGCTAATGGCTGGACTACTGATGAGATTGGCTTACGATGGCTAGAAAAGCTATTTATCCCATCTACAAATTTACGTGTCCATGGTCGATTTCGGCTATTGATTCTTGATGGCCATAGAAGCCATTTTACACCCCAATTTAACCAAATCTGCACTGAAAACAACATTATCCCACTCTGTATGCCTACACATTCATCATATCTATTACAACCATTAGATATTGGCTGCATTCATCATATCTATTACAACCATTAGATATTGGCTGTTTTCCAGTCCTCAAACATGTATATGGTCGCTTTATAAGTGATCTTGCGTGTACAGGCTATAACCATATCGACAAGCTTGATTTCTTAGCCAATTACCAACATGCCCGCCTTAAAGCTTTTTAGCCTATTACTATCCAGAATAGCTTTTTAGCTACTGGTTTAGTACCAATTGATGCTAAGAGTGTGCTTTCTAAGCTAAATATCTCTCTACGAACACCTACACCGTCCAACAGTAGGCCAGACAGTAGGTCTAGTCAATTTACACCTAAAACACCTAGAACTATGGTTCAGCTACAGAAGCAAGCTTCAATGCTTAAAGATCTTCTAAAACAGCGATCAAACAGCCCTCCCAGCCCATCGAAATTGATCTTAGATCAGATCATCAAAGGCCACTTAATAGCACTACACAACACCGCATTACTAGCACAAGAAAACGCCAATTTACGTGCTATAAATGAGAAGAAGCGACAGAAGCGCAGCCGATCAGCTAGGCAGACACTATGTGATGAGGGTCTAACAGTCGAAGAGGGCCTGCAGCTAGCCCAGCAGCTAGAATCAATGGATAGAGCTGCTGGTATTGAATCACACACCCAGGTTGAATTGCCTACTCAGCCAAATCAGCCAGCCCCTAAGGCGCCGCCTAGGTGTAGTGGGTATCGAGAGTTTGGATATCGGATTAATGTATGTAAAAATCGTAGTTATAACTGAATTTATTGGTGTTGGGTTGAAATATTTGAATTTAAAAAATTCTAGTGGGGTAGGGTGGCTCGGTCAAGCGGGAATTACGTTACCTCTTTTTTGCTTACATAGCTCTCGTGGTCTCGAACTCCACATTTCTTCATGATTACATAGCTGATCTTAAGATTCTCGATTTTTCTACCCCTCGGCACAATTTGCATAAAACAGGTTTTATGAAGGACATAAATCTAGACATTAAAATCCATTTTATCTAACAAAGCAAGAAAAGCGCTCGGGTATCTTTGCTCAACGCACGGAAAGGAACCTTAAGAACGCCTCTCTATCCGCCAGCATACCAAGTAGTTCCGGTGTCCTCTGCACGCTCCTCCCGGTGCGGAATCATAGGTTCGTCGATTCCAAAGGCCTCGATAAGCTCTTGCCAAGATTCGAAATCAAGGCTGAAAATGTTTTGGGCCTTCTCCATGCCCATTGCTTGCGCCTCATGGGGCGGGCGCTCATCGACCTTGTCTGGTAAATGGTTAGTGGATTCATTATGAATGAAGTACAGCAGGAAAGGGAAAGAGATATCACTCACGTAGGGTCGGAATTCCTCTGCTGTCTGTGCTCACGCCTACTAGGCCATCTCGGACAAGGAAGCTCACGTAGAATAGATTCTCAACACTTTGGCCAAACGAGCGGGAATTAATGCAGAATTTGTAAAGTGGAACGCCCCCGTCATCGCAGATGTCATGTTTGTCCATGACTTCATGCGTTACCTCCTCACTGTCCTCCACAGATAGGATATCTTCCACCTTTCCTATGTTCTCGAATATGGTTTTGGCCAGTAACTTGTAAATCGCATTGCATGTCTCGGTCAAACTGACATCCTGCTGTTCAGCAAGATCTTCCTGGCGTAGTTCCTGGGGCCTGATAACCTGCGTGGCGTCGAACCGCTCATTCTCCCTGCGCTGGGTAAGCTGACGCGTGCGCTTTTGAACAGAAAGGGGTCCTAGTAGCCAACTTGACACAACAGGTCGCGCATTACACTGCAGACATGCGGCCCGTCCAAGCCATTCCCAATTCATGGCGTCTCCCTCATCTGGGTCATCGCTGTCATCGGGATCTCTTTGAGTAGCACGTGGAGCTGCGTTGCGTGAGTTGGTCGAGAGGTCTGGTCCACGGCGCATGTACCCAATACACTTGGAAACAAACTCATCGACATCGATTCCCGCATTGACATCGCCGAGAGTCAGCTGAGCAGCCTTTTTGTGGGAGAGATCGGCGGCGTTGGCTAGGAGTCGCGAGTCGATCGTGGCATCTGACGTCTGCTTGACATCGACATAGAGCTCATCGGCTTTTCTGATCGTTTCCAAAATACCATTGCTGCCGGATTGTAGGTATGTATCTCGCGAAGCTGTAGATTAAAGGCGATCAGTTAGCATGATTATAACACCTCATCCATAGACTGGCCAACATACTGTTGAATTTTGTGGTTAGAGACCTGAATTTCCCTAGAACCCCACGGCGTTCTTGGGGATTCTGATCAGGGTCATAGAACTTTCTTCCATTATTGCGCTGGGACGAAGGCATTTGCGAGGGCATATTCGAGGAACGATCGGTGAGACAGCGTCGCTTGGAAGAGAGTGCTGCTGAAGTATGACCAGTGTTTCGTTTATTTGTGTTTCTTCGGCGGTTTTCTTTCTCTGGGGAGGACGAAGGAGATGAGTTTGAACTGGAGGCGTTTGCGCTTGCGTGGTCCAGTCGACTGAATGAAACGCGAGCCATAACTCGAGGGCGCTTGCGAGCGCTAAGAATGAGATTGTAAGAGAAACAAAGATGAGTAAAGTGGCAAAGCCGTGGACCCAGAGTTATTTCAGTGAGAGTGAGGTTGAGATGCTAAAATCAAACTGAGTTGCCAACACACAAATGCGCCAGTGTCTCGAGGTTGAATGTGATCGATCAATTGTTCCATTTCGAGGCGCGTCGCGTGCCCCACGTGATCGCGTAAGTGGGTTCAAGCATCTACATGTACGGAGTATTTATTACCATTACGAGTACGGAGTATATCAAAAATTGACATTATAGGGAACACATAATGAATTTGAATTTATGGTTATGACAAGAAATATATCCCGTTCTCCAAAAAAATTTCATTTGGTCTCTAATAATAACTTCTCCAGTATTATTTTGTGATGTTGAATCACACCCGTGGACCCATAGGTACAGTGGCGCCTTTATTCCCGCCTTCCAAATTGGGCTAGCGCTGAAGTACAGGATGAGATCAATCCACAATAATGCCTGTAGTCACATTAATATTCGATCCATTGGATTGCTGTATGATTGGAATATTGAATTCACACACATTCATAGTTTGTATAGAGGACAGGTTCTATAAAAAGTGTTGGATTTATTAAATTCTCTGGCAGAAAAAAGATGTGACAGAAAAGACATGTGGCAGAATAAAGACAGTAAAGGTGTTCCGCAAACTCATTTAACACCACTATAAAGTATTCTGCCGGCAAAATATTAACATTTTCATTTCACATATTTGGGGCGTCGAAAAAGTTTGAATGAATAGAAGGCAGTGTCTAGTTTCTATTACAAATAAAATGAGATATAGAAAATGAAGTTTTTATGCTGAAAAAGGCTGTTGGAGTTGAAGGCGGAGTCGCGGAGTAATATAAATCCAAAAGGCGGTGAGGATTGATCTGAAACTCTCGCAACTCCCCCACCTGCCAAGATGGACCACTCGAAACTTCCAGACCTCCCAGAGGCACTAAAAAAATTACGTATGCAACACCTCACGTGATGATAACGATTTATGCTGACTAAATCCCATCTCCAGTTCCGAGTGCTGACGACGTAGTTGCCAGAGATCGATCTATTTCTCCGAATTGGGAGGACTTCACGAAAGGGATGGAGTGCTTCAGTTTTGTGCGGTCCATTCAGGTGGATATCCCAATCTGGGTCAGAATGTGAGTATTAAAGTCTAGTATGAATCCCAGGCAGCTTCGCAGCTAATGAGCCACAGCTGTTCCTTGGAAGGCAAGCAGAAGGAGATTCCCTTTTCCGAACTACTTGAAAACCCCGAGTTGCGATACACAGCATCCACCAATGACCCTTGCTCCGATCTTTACGTTACCGCGCAGCTTTGGTCTGACTCAAAGCCTCTGGGTCTGCCCCTTCAAACTCCATACAAAGCTTTCAAAAACGAGCGAGTCTGGAATGAATGGTTGTTGATGCCCATGTCGATCAAGGATGCCCCGCTCAACCTCCAGATTGCGATAACGGCTTGGGACCTATCCCCGCTGGCAGACACTCCCGACCATCGTATTTCATTCGGCGGAACAACTATCTCGGTGTTTGATCAGGATGGTATGCTGAAGATGGGCCGGCAAAAATGCAAGGTCTATCGTCATAGAGCTGCCGACGGTTTCTCATCTACAGCCACACCTTCATCCCCAGCCCCGAATCGGCGCAATCCCGACAATTTGGATGTTCTAGCCAAATCCAAAGCAGAGCTAGAGCTAGAACGGCTTGAACCCTTGATCAAAAAGCATGAAATGGGTGAAATTCCACGCATTGACTGGTTGGATCAGATGCTCTTTCGTCAAATTGAAAAACTCAAGATTGATGCGGAAGCCGCAGGGGAATCACGAGCCATTCTTGCCAAAAAGATGAGATCTAAAGCAAAAGAATACAACGAGAACAATCCAGATGAGCACAGCGTGGATGAACAAAGCGTGGATCAGGAGAACTTCGTTCTTTATGTGGAATTCCAACGCTTTGATCTCCCCGTCCTCTGGGCCGACCACCAATACCCTGCACCGCCTGTTTCATCCTATTCTCAGATTCCGCCTACCAACCCCAACTCGGCATCGAAGCCCGCTCCCGAGGTCCGGTTGGGCCCTGGAATCGAGGAAGGCGATGGAGCTGGGGTCATTAAGATCTATGATGGTGAAGTTGGACAGACTGGAAACCCATGTGAAGACAAACATCGGCGATTGATTCGAAGCCACCGAACTGGGTTCATGGACAGAGATCTGAAGCCGAACCCAAAGATCCGGGATGAGCTGAATGATATCTTATCGTATGAGCCGACCCAATCCCTCACCGCCGAGGAAAAGGACTTGGTGTGGCGATTCAGGTACTATCTTACCCGAGAGAAGCGAGCGTTAACCAAATTTGTGAAATCGGTCAACTGGCGCGATGACGGCGAATCTCGACAGGCTGTTGAGATATTGCCCAAGTGGACCGAAATCGATGTTGACGATGCGTTGGAGCTCTTGGGTCCCACTTTTGACAATCCAGAAGTACGCTCGTATGCCGTGGCGAGGTTGCGCAAGGCAGACGACGAGGAGCTTCTTCTTTATCTGTTGCAACTGGTACAGGCGTTGAAGTATGAGGAAAGTTCATTTGAGGAGGTGGATGAAGCTGCCCGCGACTCTTCCCTTGCTAAATTTCTCATTACGCGTGCTGCCAACAACTTCAAGCTTGGTAACTACCTGCATTGGTATCTGATGGTTGAGTGCGACGATGCAGCGTCCGCGACACTATCGACACAGCGTCGACTGTTTGCACGGGTGGAATATTACTTCATGGTCGAGCTCGAGAAGATCAATTCAGAGCACCGTAAAACACTCCTGCGACAAGGCGAACTCGTCATTGTGCTCTCGAAGATTGCTAAAGACATCCGATTCTCACGAGAGACTCGACCTGCGAAAATCGAACTACTCAAAAAGATGTTACGAGATCCCAAGAATGAAATCATCAACATCGATCCGCCATTGCCCCTTCCGATAGACCCGGATGTCTCAGTAGTTGGGTGCTACCCCGATGAATCTAATGTCTTCAAATCGACATTGTCTCCTTTGCAAATCACCTTCAAAACTGATGATGGCCGACGATACCCACTCCTGTTCAAGGTCGGTGACGATCTCCGGCAAGACCAACTGGTCATCCAAATTATCATCTTGATGGACCGACTTCTCCAGAAGGAGAATCTTGATCTGAAGTTGACTCCTTATCGAATTCTTGCTACAAGCTCAACTGCTGGCGCGGTCCAGTTCATTCCATCTACTTCCCTTTCTGCCGCGTCATCTAAGTACAGATCGATTCTCGCTTATCTGAAGGAGAACAACCCTGATGAGAACGAACCCCTTGGTGTGCGCAAGGAGACTATGGATACCTACATCAAGTCTTGCGCAGGTTACTGTGTGATCACCTACCTTCTTGGCGTTGGCGACCGTCACTTGGAGAACCTGCTGCTGGCTCCAGATGGCCATTTCTTCCACGCCGATTTCGGATTCATCCTTGGTCGTGACCCTAAGCCATTTGCTCCTATGATGAAACTTTGCAAGGAAATGGTTGAAGGCATGGGAGGCACTACATCGCCTCACTACCTGCAATTCAAGCAGCACTGCTTTACCGCATACACCACCTTGCGCAAATCGGCCAACTTGATCCTCAATCTCTTTAGTCTGATGGTGGATGCCAACATTCCAGACATTCGCGTTGAACCCGATAAGGCTGTTCTCAAAGTCAAGGAACGCTTCCACTTGGAAATGACGGAGGAGGAGGCCATGCGGCACTTCGAGCAGTTGATTGGGGATAGTGTGAATGCTATCTTTGGTGTGGTGATCGATCGTCTTCATGATTTTGTGCAAGGCTGGAGGGCGTGATGATCTGTACCCTACCCATGATAATGACTGCTATGTTTCTCCTTTTTTTTGTATTGACTGCTTTTCCCTCAGATTCCCTGCTTTTTTGCGGAAATTGGTTTTGTTTCAAAGAGTGTATTTCCTTGAAATTGCTTGCATATTCCTGGAATTCCTCCGTCATTTCCTGAGTTCCCTACATATTTCTGAGATCAACGCTGTATCTTAGCGAATGCCCTTTCATGATTTACGGAACCGGATTCCTGGAGTTCAGGGTTCTTTTTTGCGCGTTCTCGAAATGATACCCCAAATGTTTCATTAAGTTGATTTTCATTAGTTCATCCTACTGCAAAACAGAAAATCTAGGAAGAAATACAAAGTATTTTCTAAAAAAAAAATTTCCCCATTTTCCCCCTTGTCCTCGTCTAGCCCTCAAACCCCAGCACTCTAGAGCAAATGAATACCCCATCCTTACATCTAAGGATTCAGCGTAATACGGACATCGAGTCCCAGAACATCGACAACTTGTGACTGATTCACCTCCGCGCCCAGGCGTGCAATGTATAAGGGGCGTGTCCATCGAAGGTTAGCGAAGCGTACTATCTATTCATTATTCCATCATTTGGAAATTGTCTTTCTTGAAGCTCAACCCATTCTTGGTCATGCATCGCAGCTCTTTCAGTTGTCTCCGTGTCTTCATCATCTTCGGGCGTGCCTTCTCGACATGCCCATGCATCAACGAAACGGAGCACTTCTCGTGGCCACCACCTCTTCATCACCAGTAACCGGAATGGCACCAGTGCAATTATCAAAACTGGGAAAGCCGGTGCCCCTTGTGTCAATGTGACAATGAAGATGATGACAGTAGTGACGATTTGTAGGATTGTATACAGGTGGATTGGAAGATAGGATGGATTCCGAGGCGGCTCATCGGACGTGATATCCGAGGCCTCGGTGCTCCGAGAGTGTAAAGACTGAGGTAGTGGCGGCAACTCCGATGGAGGAGTAAGAAGATAGAATGTGCGATAGAGTATGGGACTGGAAGAATGGTTAGTACAGGACATAGTATCAATGCCAGGCTCTAAACTTACTTTACAGACAAGCTCTGCTCACCCATGAATAGGAAAAGTCCCGCCAGAACACTCGTTGGTGTCAAGCCGAGCACTTTCATGAATGGTGGACTGATGAATAGAAGAATAGCGCCTGCTTGTAAGAAAGCAGACCAGCGCTGCTCGTACACTCGACGAACATTCCGCTTCTCAACTTTTTCCTCTCCATCAACGACAACCACATTCTCTTCCTTTACAGTATGCATCAAAGACTCAGAATGCAGCGGTGCTTGTGGGAGAAGACCGTTGGCAGGTGGAATCCCTAGAATTCCACATAAAGCCGTCGTGGTCCCTAGCAAGACAATATCCCAAGCAAAGCCGCCCGGCTTGCGAGTTCCATATCGATCAATTGTGCAAATAATGGAACTCACTTCATGATCAAAGAAGAAAAGAATTGTAATGATCAATCCTGGGATAATAGCACCAAATATCCACTTGAGCGGCAGTTTCCAAAACTCCACGAAGAAGACAGTTCTCTCTGGCGATGTTGGTCGAAACGAGGCGCTGACGGCTAATGTCGACTTATCTAGCTGAGCTAGTTCACCCACATAAGGCAATCCAATGAAAATGATGATTGAAATCGCAGCGGCGTATTCCGTCAGCGCGAGACGGATGTATCGGTGGAATAACGGCTTCCAACTCTCGGCCGTCGAGAGGAAAATTGCGAGAAGCATAGTACCGACGGCGCCTATTATCGCGTAGAGAAAAGCAGCGAAAGAGAGATCCGCGTGTGCTCTTTGTAGTTCTTGAATTGCTTTATGAAAGTAGATGATACTGTTGAGGAGGGAAAATATCTCCGTTGCGAATGTTGTGACGTAGCGCATAGTCCAGTCGTGGGCGTTTATAATGGCTAAAATGTAGTGTAGCCATGCGGAATGAATTAAGGACCATGCCATGAATGGCAGGAATGGAATCTTTCATGTCAGTCAGTATGAAAGTCGCGTTGATCGTCGAAATACTAAAGCTGACTCACCTTGAATGCATCCTCGCATAGAGAGTAGATGTTCTCAGCCAAGACGGAAAATGGACCCGTTACACCGAGAATAGTGAGGGGTTGAATTGAGAAGCTATCCAGAGAGTCAGAAAAAATCACCAAGAGCACTTCTTTGCAATAGATTAAGGAGAATAAAACCCACAGTGAAAAAATGATGCCGCAAAGCCCGGTACTCAGTACCACTTCAATAGTGCCCCAGCTCTTGCCGGTCAACACATATAGGTCACTAGCAAAAGTGATCCCAGGTAGCAGATTTGTGAAGAAAACATAGACGGCGCTTGCAAATATCAACTGATTGAATACAGTCCAATCAGATACATATCGTCCGCGTAGATTCACGATGTCTTGTTTTATCAAGCGAAATGGTCGCAGCGGCCCACCTGCAGCTACCGAGCCCCGCAGTATCTGGAGGGGTCGTGGGGTATGCTTCGACGGCGTGATGATTGAATGGGCATCTTGTTCATTACTTTGATCATCTGTATCCAAATCAGGGTGATTATCTCTCTTGGCTCTCCTGCGGCGGGGTCGTGATCTGCGTCGGACAGAAGAACCTCGTGTAGATGGTGGTCTGAAGGCTGACATGAGAGGCATTTTGCATCTAGTGAGCAGAAAATAATTTAAAATGCCTGTGTCTTTTCGCCAAGTTTCTCACTTTTCCTTCAATCGATATGATGTTCTGGTCTCTTTCATCTAGGCGTTAAGGAGCTCGTCGGTGACATAACGTTCAAGTTGCGGGAGGACCCGGCCTGGGCATTTGATAGCCCTCGTCATTGACCCCCAATCTACCATCTGTTCATCCGCCTGTGTAGAAATTTTTATCTAAACCAAATCAAAGTTAAAAATTCAAACATTGAAGGTCTATACTAATTAGATGGACACTGGAAGTTATTATGCACATGTGAAAGCCTGAGCACGTAAGTACCTTATCAAACCAACGGGCATCAGGCATCCAATCTGGTACTTTATAGATATTAGCCCTTCCCAGGGAACTTTCTGCAGAACAAGAGCTAATCATTGATCTGTTCCAAGGTTATCATGTGTTTCAAGATTACTAGCTCAAATCTTAGTTAGGTGTGTGTGCGTACACTCCTCATTCATCAGCAGGCTAGTGCTTATATTGACTAGTGGAATTCAAGTTAGTCCCAAGCCCACCACAAAAGAGATTGTGGCTTTTGGTGATAGACAAACCATATCCTTTCCCCCCAATGACCAAGAAACATGGCACCAAAGCTTGAACCTTGCTTCACGTTACGAGGCTACATTGGTAACGAATACACCATTATGCTAACCGGCATAAAATCCGGTCCAACTCGTGGAGTGACACCAATCACGCACGGTTGCATCGAGGGCTCAGGACTTAAGGCTGAGATTCTTCCTGGAGGGGCTGATTATGTTCTGGTTCGTGTTTAAATGAACTGTCAATTTGATAATGACCTCTAACGTCTGACTCTGCGAGAAGATTGACCCGGAAACCAATAGCTGTCATATTGATGTTCGCACATCTGCCCGGACGCCAGAAGGACACGGATTCTATATCCGCTATAAGGGGGTATTGAAAATGGATGAGAAAACAACCAAAATTTTGAGCGGGGCTCCAGATGCTCAATCGACAGAATATGGCGACCATGAATGGTTCACGACACCCGTGATGGAAACAGATGATCCTAAATTCAAATGGATTGAGTCCTCGGTTTTTGTCGCTCAAGGGCATTTCGTTTTAGGTGATCCCCAGTCTGCACTTGAGTATCAGATATATAAGCTAGTGAATTGATAGTGAATCATCTCGGGCACTCCCTGCTCTTCCAGCTAGTCAAAGACAAACTCCGACCATGTGCCTGACATTCCGGGCTATGCGGGGCATGCTTCCAGTCAAGAGGGGACGTTTCAGAGTTGGTCGGGATTTTTAAAGATGGTCGATGGTGAATTGTCTTTTTATCGCAATCTGGCAAATTTGACCACCTGGGCAGCTACTTCAACTGCAACTTGCGGCCCGAGAAGTATGCCATCTAAAATTTTAGTAATGGATACTATTTGTGAATGTTGAAAGAGTTCATTAGACCAAGATTAGTCCAGGTATCATTATTTTCATATCACTTTTCGAAATGTCCTGCAACATGGTGGGCTACAGCGGCTTCATCACCCTCAAATGTGCCACACACAGGACAGGATACTGTCTCGACTGTCTTTTGAGCAGGGACGGGCGAGTCTACCATACCACCATCCCTGTTGTCCACATTCTGTTGCGCCTGCGTCTTTGCGCCCCGCTTCTTTGCCTTGGGAGGACGGATATACATATCTAGCCCCATGACTTCTGATGGAGGCTCTTCGGGTCCATCGAGACGCATGTCGCGTGCAGTAAAGCGATTACGTCTTCCACTGGGATCGCCTCCCTCTGTTCTTAATTGTATGCCCTCTTCTCCATCGATTTCCTCCTGCGTCGGGCCTGAGGACTCCTCGCTGCTGCCAAGGCTCTGTACTCGCCCGACGCGCCCATCAGTGAGGCGCACTTTGACACCTCGTGGGTGATCTCCTCGTGTCAGTACATCGCTGACTGTGCCTGATACTGTGCGCCCTGTAGGCTGGTCGGCCTTGAGGATAATGTTGACGGGTGTGCCAGGGTTGATAGATCTTGAAGGGGGTACACGTGGATGGGAGTGGCTTGAACCGCCGCGCCCGTTTTGTCGTCTTTGGCGATTCATTTTTGGGGCTTTCTTCCTCGGTTCAAGTGTGTAGAATCGAGTTCCAAGGTTCCAATGGTTGAATTGTGAATGCGGGCGTGTTACAACACTAGTCCCGATTAGGTTAGAGATCTACACTTAAAAAGCACATAGATCTAGCAGCTGCACCTACCTGTAGCTTTGCCTAATGAAGGGCGTTATACTGCGTCTGACAGGCAATAGAAAATTACCGAGAGGTTGGATCATCATTCACCTCTTGCAGAAATGGAAGACGGAAGGGTATTGTGGAGAAGAAGGAGTGAGAGCTGAGGTTGGCGAGGTGATATCCATGTTGATAGCGGCATATCGTTATTCCGACTCGATTTTCGATACATACGGGACCTTGGAAGATCCGCGCAGATATCCAAGGTTCTAAAGTCAATCTTCCAAAATCGAAAGATTCAATTGAATTTTTGCTCCAGAACGCTCTTTCATCTGCAAATGATGATTATTGACACAATACGAGCTGGTCTTGGAGTCTCAAAAGAGGGCAACTGTACGAAATACACCGCCACACAGGCCATCTTCACGCGATCGCGGGTGTGCCGGAGTCTAGACGCAGATCTTCGACAATCCAATACCAAGACTTATTCCTTGGCATGCTTCAAATATTGGCATTTCGGCATAAGATCAAGGCCAATGGCATCGTGTTTTGCCTCCACGCATGCTGAAATGGAAAACGGATTATGCAGACCAAGTCATTGCACGGAGGATAGTTCACTACATAATACATAACAGTGTCCAACTTGATATACTCCGAACTCCGTGCGAACTATCTACACATGTCACAGGCTGTCAGTAGCACCGCCCTGGGCCCTGGCAGATCTCAGCTTTTTCATTCCTCATGGAGTGCATAAAGTACTGAGTATCCACTTCGATTGTCGTATTGCCCCACAATATGATGGTCAGGGTCGTACAGTACCTTGAAGCAAGATAACAAAAAAGGTAGGCTAATTAGAACCTTTGAATAGAGAAGCAAATCCTTGGTATGATCATGAATCTATCTCTGTAAATAAGCAGCGTCACCAACAATATTCTTATGTTCGAAGCAAGGCAGGCCCAGAGATGCAGGTGTAGTAAGGCACGGACGGGCATTGGGGGGCCAAGGTGATACATGTACAGCATGCACGCAGCACATGTGTACATATTGATTGTTGAAGATCCACGCACTTCCCGTGTGGATCATGATCCTCCAAGATGATGTTGATCTTGTTCCATTTACTTCCCCTTTCCGGTCAAACTCACCGAGACCCCGAGAGCGATCGTCATGGACCGACTTGAATCCCGGATTTTTATCATCCGAGTCATAATATTTTAAATACTCTTCCGTTCCCCTTTGCCGACATTGACTCGGCCCGATCCTTATCAAACGCATTCAGTAAAATCAGACAAGGTAAGCACTGGCCCCGGGGCATTGCAAGCAACCTCCGAATCCTTTTTTCTTCAAAGGTTGACAGGTACTGACTTTTGCGCAAGTGTGGCTTGAAGGTCTGGCTGAAGCACATCATGACCATCACCTTCACAACCCGAGGGCTGGTTCGGGCAGCTCTTTTGGCAGGACTGTTGCCCTACTGTCTTGCGTTCCGATACGACCAGTCTCGATATGGAAAAGTCGAAGTGACATATGAACAAGACATTTACTCTGCAGAGGGTGCAGCTATGCTCCAGCCTGGAGACACTGAGGAAGGAGAGGTGTGTCGCACCCATTAAACGTTCAAATGTTATATTGCACTCAGCTCACTAACTGAACAACAGGCCCACGGCGACATCGATGTACCAGATGGCGCTGACTTCACATCATTTAATGTCAATGAGCATGGTGACGAAGAAATGCCGGGGTTCATAACAAAGGATATTGATGACGATAAACTCGAGCATCTATATATTGTTCTCCATGGGAGACTCAGGAATGGAAATGAATACTGGAAGATCTTCGACGAAGCCATCTCCAAGGCAAAAGATGACAACTACCCCGGAACGGATCATGAAATGGCAGTGCTAGCCCCACAGTTTTTCTCGACGAAATACAACTCCGGCCAGTACACGAAAAACCAATTGGCTTGGGACGACTTGAACGCCTGGGAGGCGGGTGCCCAGGCTAATCATCCAAAAGACTCAGATCTGACCGCTTTCGACGTCTTGGACGGCCTCGTCAGGCTTCATTCAGACAAAGACAAGTATCCAAAACTGACAAACATCACCGTCGTTGGTCATGGTGGCGGCGGTCAGCTTGCCCAGCGATACTCAGCTCTGGGTGAGGATGCTCCCGACAATGTTCACGTTCGGTACATCCACGGCGACCCATCCTCCTGCATGTATTTCACCGAAGACCGACCTATTTTGTCCGACGACGAAAGCTCAAAGAAGCTTTGCCCTGACTATAATGTTTGGCGATACGGCTTTGACAAGTTCCCCGGCACTGGAGGCAAGCGCATGACGGCAAAGGATTATTTCCAACAATACCTAAGCCGAGATGTCATCTCTATTGTGGGACTCCAGGATACGGGAGCTTCCGGTGACCAGAGCTGCATGGGTATCATGCAAGGAGGCGTCAATCGACGTGCCCGTAACTTGATCTGGTACCGATACATCAACACCCTCGGAGGCACGGATGAGAATTTGGATGGGTTCCCTGGTTCATTCGACAGTTTGCCTGATTGGAGCGATGCTGTGGATGGAAAGAGCCTCGTACGACTTGTCGTTGTTGAAGATGCGGATCATGATGCGAAGGAGGTATTCGATGGAGATCTGGGGCGATCGGCGCTCTTCAGTGATCAGGATGTCGAGGAAGGCTGGCGGCCCGGCGATGACTAGGACGATGACACGAACTAGATACGATCAATTGATAATTACAAGGAATGTAGATCATAGAGTGCAGGCAAGCGAGACATCTGGGAACTTACATTCATTCATTTATAGACTCAACGACTCCAACTCAGGGTCAATGGAAATACTAGTGCCAATTTCAAGTTGCTAGAATACTGGCGATTCCCAGGCAATCTCTGAAGATTCGTTTGCTGGATACAGGCAAAACTGTTTGTCAATTGAGCAGATATTCTACACGAGGAACACCAATCTAATCCACAAGCTTCGTAGCTGGGGTAAGAAGCAATCCATCTAGTCCAAGCATATTGTAGGCTCCACTTTCATCATCTCGAATAGGCTCTGGCTCTGTCTTATTACCGAGACGACTCGTGAATCCGTGGGACCGTAGAAGACCAACGATTCTGGCCGCTTTGATTGTCTGGAGGGTATCGGCATCAAGGTTTCCGGTACTTCTCGATAGGATGTCCCAAAAGATTCGATCTAAAATTTCGTAGTTGGCATGGCGGATCCAGCCTACACGAAGGCGAAAGTGGCCCATGAATTGCTGGAGGGAGTGGAAGTTTGTCCCAAAGGGCCCAATCTCAGCTTCAGCCCAGTCAATGACTCCGACTAGATGATTGTATTTCTCGTCGACCATAACGTTGTGGACACCAAAGTCCTTATGGATAAGGACCATAGGAAGTGCGAAGATAGCTGGCAGAGTATCAATGGATTGTTGGATGATGGGCTGGAAGCGACTCGGCAGCGCGACAAGAAGTTGGCGTAAATCTTTCTCGTATCTCTGAAGTTTAGCTTCTCGATCCGATGAGCTAATAGGCTGTGGATGCTTCCATGCCAGCCCAAGGAATCTATAAAACTTAACTTAAATAAGACAGAGAGAGAAAGGGAGAGAGATCTTTGTCATACCCTGCAATGTCTGCTATCAGGTTTTGTCGCCAGATACAAAACTCGACCGAGTCAGGTGGAAGATTATGAGCCAGAATGAAATCAAGGTGGCTGATGCCTTTTACTCGACTCATGACATAGACAAGTAACTGCTCTTTTCCATCTGCGCCCTCATTTGAGTCTCCAATCCGACCATAGAAAGTAGCAGACGGAATCAAAGGCCCGTATATGTCACGGGCCAGATTGACCATGGCGGTCTTCAGGGTTAGCGATTCAAGTCGAAATTGTACCACGGACTCGCGAGTGGGTCCTGCATAAACAGTATAGCTACAGCTACCTTGGATTTCAACAGGAACAACAGGCCCACCGGCGAGCTCCTGCGCACGAGCATTGCAAGCTAACTGAGTTGCAGAGGTCTGGCGGAAGAAGTGAAGTATCTCCTCATCGAAGGAGTACTCTTGCGGAGCTTCGGAGCTCATATTGGGAATTTGGAAAGCGGCGAATTTGACGAAGTGATCTGGGGAGGAAGAATTGGTTCAGGCAATGAAATCGGTGTTCATGATATTGAGAGGAAAGAAAGAGGCGGGGATATGACCTGTAGTATGTACAAGGGACGAGCAGGGGTTAGTCGGGATCATAATTGATCCGCCGTATCCTCAAGCCCACTCGACCTGGGTACAAACATGCAGAAATTAGGGTGATAATTGCCGAACTCGTTATAAAGTGCATACTTATTGACTCATTTGTTGTTTTACTTGTGTTAATGAGAGCTTTTGCAGTCTATACTTCATCCTGTACGTGATTGGTCCGTTCCCATCTGTGCTGACTTATCATATCATTTATCGATAAGATCCCACCGCCTTTCAGTCCGCCCTGAATCAAGCGGCAATTTTCTATCTCCGCATATTTGGATCCTGTCAACTAACTCGCCTGGGCGAGTAGAATATGATTATAGTATTCATCGCTTGACAATCTTGTTGTTTTCACCTCATCCCATATGGCGCAATTTTTACCGCGCCAGATTTTCCCTCATTATGGGTCGATTCCGAGGTCATACTTCCTGGGTCATCACCGAGCAGGATTGACCAAGATGAAGAATATGCTCTCGTCTATTGATTATGTCGTGGAATGTCGAGACTACCGAGCACCGGTTACTTCAATAAACCCCATGTTTGAGGAAGCGCTAGGGAAAACCCGGCGAATAATTATCTACACGAAGAGAGATCTGGGTGCCGTTCCGCAATCCCCAATGCAAAGACAGGTGAGTCGCATTTCTTGCCCAGTGGTTTGATAGCACTTATCTAATGAGATATGGGATTGAAGATAGAGACGAAAGTTCGAAACCTCGATCGCAATAGCACTGTGTTCTTCACCAGTTCTTCATCTCGGGCAGACGTCAATAAAATTATCAAACACCTCCGAGCCGATGCCGCAGCACCCGAGAAGCTGACCGGATGCCGTATCATGGTTGTTGGAATGCCCAACGTAGGGAAATCGACCCTGATAAACCACTTGCGGAATTCTGGCGTGGGAAAAGCAAAGGCCTTGAAAACAGGAGGTCAGCCGGGAATTACGCGCAAAATCGCAACCCCCGTCAAAATTATTGAGCGAGAGGGCGGGTCCCATACCTATGTCCTTGATACACCTGGTGTCTTCATGCCTTATGTGCCAGATGCGGAGAATATGCTCAAGCTAGCGCTTGTTGGGTGTGTCAAGGACACTGTCATATCACCTATCACACTCGTGGACTATCTATTGTATAAGGTCAATTTGCATGATCCGCAGGCGTATCAGCGTTGGTCTGAACCTACAAATGAGGTTGTCCCGTTGCTGGAGAAGTTCGCGCGTCATACTGGATTGCTCATGAAGGGTGGAATACCCAATGTGGACGGTGCGGCCTTGCTCTTCATTCAAAAATGGCGATCAGGTGATGTTGGGAGATTTATACTGGACGACCCAGACGCGGAAAAGCGGCGACGAGAAGATCCTTTGCAGCATGAACGGCTGAGTCTGACTCAAGCATTGAAGTATGAAAGGGTCAACCGAAAGAACATGCCAGAGGCAGAAGAATCTTCTGCTTAATTTACTGTGCATATATAATGGAAGATAATCAATCCGAAAATAACCAGTATGATGGGTTATAAATTTTGAGCGACAGAGTCGATGTAGAATAAAATGATACAAAGTCGTGTGATGTGAATAGTTCGCATGAGCATCCTTAACGCCGACATGAAAAAGAAAAAGAAAATAGAAAAACGTAGACCGTCCTCGACAGAGATGAAGGAAACTCCTCAAGAAATCTTATCAAGCAGTCGTCTTCGTCGCCGGTCAACCATTTCTTCTTGCACCTCTTCCAATGAGGGTAGTCGCCATTCAACTCCATCACCTGCATCGCCCGGTAGCGACTGCCATCCATCTTCAGCATCATCCTCAGCCTGGCCGCGCAGGTGCTCAACAGCCTCCTTCTCCTTCTGCTTCTCATATGCAAGCAATGTACCATCTTCCTCGTCCAATCCGTAACCGAAGTAGTTGGCGTCGACTTTCTTTGTTGCGATATCTCCACCACGACCAGCAACTTCCTCCTCAGCAGGCCCCTTCGATTGTCGCGTAGCAGCTTCGAACATTTCTTTAACACCAGGCAACTCCTTGGCTCGGCCAAAATATCGGTATCCCTTCCCACCGCCAGGAATCTCCCGTCCTTCGTCATCGTACACTCGACCAGTTCCACGCATGTAATTCGGTCCGCCCAGGTTTTTGATTTGCATCTCCCACGCCCATTTCTCTCGCATGAGCTTGTTGATCTCATCGTTCAGATCGCGAATCTGGTAGTCGCTGAGACTTGATTCTTGAATGCGGGTAACTTTTCGGGAAACTTCTTTCAGAACCTGGCCGCGCCAGCGCTCACAGGTCGGGATGGAGTCGATGCTGGTAATGGCTTTTGGTCGGCGTGTTCGTCCAACGTCGATGATGCCCATGTCCGCTGCCTGTTGCGCCCGAAAGCGGAACAGCATGGACTGCGCCTTTTCGCTGTTTCGAGCCTATTTTCATGGTGAGGGGTTCCTGTTAGCAAATTCCGTTCTTGGGGCCTCGGGGTCTGTGATTGCTGGAAATTTCCTGTCTATTGGAAAGGACTCACCATGATGAAAGATTGACCAGGTCAGCGACCAAGGACGTAGTACGCAGCGGCCGTGGGAGTCTCCGAGATTGGAAAGTGAAGCTTGACAGCTGCGGATGAGGTTCAGCGCTAAAATTTGGAGCCGCGCCTACCGCGCGCTTATCACGTGGTTCCGTGGTTCTTGGCGCGTGTCAATCTGATTTTGGTAATTTGATATCTGACTTCTCCAAAAACTGAGTGTGAAAGTTTATCTGGCTTGACTGGCATCACAGCAGGACCTACTTGGCGCTATTAAATTCCCGGATCTTCTAAGCCACTGGAGTCACTACCGTTGCACTTTTCCACGGCCAACCAAGCCAATGATCAGTTTGAGAAATCGATTTTTTTTATTATGGAATATAACGTCGTCTTCAATCCCATTTTCAACTATTAAATGCACTACTCAGTATCCATGAAGCCATCACCGTGCCCTGAATGTTTGGTCAATTCGTCACGTAAACTCTTGAGTTCTTTGCGCATCAATTCTGACTAGCATTCTCTTGATGTTCAAATCGATAGTTTTGACACCATCTTCTGTGGTTATAAAGTTGAATCGGGTTGGACCTCCACGTAGGTATCCCGATTTGCGGAGTTTGCTCAAGACTGTCTTCCAGCACTTGAGGTGTCAAGGTCTTGAATAGAAGCAGAGCGTCCTTCTATTATCTCCAAGAGAAATCCTATATTGCGTCCATTCTCGTGAACGCGGGCTAGGAAGTGTAGTGTAAGTCCGGAGCTCTGGATTCATTGATATGCTCTCGTTTCCTGTTCGATGCGCGGTGTCTCCTAGTCAAAGTGAGCGAGCTACCTTGGGCGATTTTGAATGGCTGATGATTCAGAGAGTAGTCAGCCGGGTCTTCCCTGTCACTTCAAATTTTGTATACTAGGTAGTAGATAAGTATCAGTAAGAGCCCCGGGCAGCATCGGACACCTTGCTGATGCAGGCCGGAATAATATTTTCTCTTTCCTCGCACTGCCGTAGCTGATTTCTTTCTGAGACTAGTATTATAAGGTAGGATAGGATTAGTCAAAGTATTTATAAAGAAAGGAATATAGGATCACTCGCTCTACCGATGATACTTCCACGACTTGTGAGTCACGATGAGTCAGAGCTTTCTTGCGGGTTGAGCCACTTGTAGTCTCATCCACTGTCACTGGTCTCTTTTTCGACATCATTTTGATATCATCAAGATTCTTTCTCGGTTTTTGGGGACCTGGTCTCTTATGTAAGGGATAGAGAAGGTAGGAAAAGTTTAGGATACAAGGAGAGAAAGTAGAAGAATGAGGTAGCTGTCTTTAGGGAGAACGTCTAAATTTACCTAGTAAATAGAACCCTTCACTTCTCCCACTCCTCCAACTCCTCTTACTTCTCTTACTATGAGTACTCTAAGTGATAAACTTGAAAGAGGCACATTTACGCTTAGGGAACGGATTAGCATCTAATTTTACGGGCTAATTACAAAATTACCAGAGCTTATTCGAGCTTCGCTTTAACACATTTTCTACTGATAACAGAGTTTCTTAAGCTGGCATTGGTCGGCAGATCCAGTTCCAAAACACGATACAATGCATCATTTTTCCAACTTGTCATTATTATATCAAAGTCTCCCTAAATTTTTCCTATTCCGGTTCAGGATGAGGATAGACACGCGAAGAATTTTGGAGTCTTTACTCATTTTATGACGGTCAATAAGCACCCTAGTCATAATTCAGACGCGTGTCGCCCTCGCCCGATAAGAGTCTGGAAAAAGTTCATCAGGGTCCGAATATTGTCTGCCGTTACTGTGACTCCCGAATTGCGTGTCCCTACGTAAAGTCGCCCTTTCTGAGTGCCTATTTTTCCCGATTTCCACTTTCCAATTTACATTGTACCAAGCTTCCCGGCCGCGTTTTTGATATGATGATCGGCGCTGCGCAATGTATCCGTAAGGACCATAACTTGGTATGAGACCCACTTCGAAAATTGCCGATTCGGCGATTTTACGTCTAGAGTTCCAAGGTTGTACACAGGTGCAAGCAATCGGATGTCTGAAGAGGACATCCCATATATTCTTATTCAAATTTGATCATAGAGTCAGCTGTTGTGGGGTGGTGGTGGTGGTGGTAGAGATGCATTATCTCATAGATCTTTACCAAGAATCAACATACTATGTACACCTGCGCACCTACCAATGGGATCACAATATGATTGGGATATGATTCCTTCTAATTTTATGACCCGAAGTTGGACTGCTTTTAGCGTGACGCGTCATACTATGCCTGTGAGCGCCACTCTTCCTTAGCTGACGTCGGTAACAGTGTAGTAGGTAGTGGGGCCCCATAAGTATCATACCAGACGAAACAAGTTCTGTTTTCTTATGTCTGTTTTGTTACTGTATGTACAAGATTGCAAGTTCTACTCACCTCCAGGGCTATGAGCATCAATCATGATATACTATACCCAGCTACAGTTTAATTCACCCAATAACAGATATATGACTACTAGTAATACTTAAATTAACCAAATAGTTTGGTTTACTGTGCTATTTATTGCCAACTGATAAAATGTTCATAATTAAAAAGGATTCATTGATTCAAACTTCATATTTACAGGCTGCTGCCAGTGATATCTAGCTTAGACATAAATCACTAACATTGAACTGAGGAGATATAATATCAATCATTCTGATATGATCAATAACGAATGTATGCTCAGGAAGAAGAATTGCCAACTATTTGGTAACGATCACCAAGCGGGCAATGTCTTGTAATAGTCCAATATGAATTGAACTCTCTCTGTACTCGCAGCGATTTCATCATTTCCCCAGGAATTGCCGAGCCACATTGTCTTTGTCGCATTCTGACTTGGGCTCCAAAAGGGCAAGTCTCGACCATTGGGATTGCCAGTTTTGATAAAGTTTGCCCAATAGGAGGACATCTTCTTCTGGACGGCATAGTCCGTCTCAGTCCAAGATGCGCTTGAATCGACATAAGGGATCACGCCAAAGGCGTAGTATAGCTCTGATCCGTGATAGGCTCCCTGTCCACCGATTGGGGGTGCATGTGTCCAGTAGTAAGTGTAAATATCACTTTTGGCACCACCTTTATGCCAGTCCAGTGCCCATGTCCAGGTTCCCACACGACTGAGAGATCGATACATTGCGTTCACTACTTCGGTGACATCGGAGGTATTGCCAGTAGCGGGAAATAGCTTGAAGAATTCATCAGCCATATTGCCGTACATTTCGCCGAATGTGGTGTTGTATGTAGAGACGTTGTAGCTTTGGGTCACTTGGGCGCCAGACTCATCCGCGTTGTTACCAGTCAGAATAGGCACATCTTTATGGGCATTGTACTTCAGCGCATCTGAATAGCTGTACGGCATTGCATAGCCATCCAAGACAGGCCGCCAAATTGGAGGCTCCATAAAAGCACTAATGTTGGCCAGTGGTGTGCTCTCGTAATAGTCTCCATTGAGTGGATAGTACTCAACAAGTGTCGTGTATGGTACTTGTCGTAGCTCCTCTATGGAAGTCAGGTTGAGGGTATCCTCAAGGAAAGTCACACCATAAGATTCGGCGTCAGTCTTTTGGCGATAGCTGGTAGAAGAGCCGGCCATCGAAGGGTCGTGGGTTCCCCGAGCTCCTGTCTCAGAAATGATGCCAACCACCCCAAGTCCTTCAGCCAATGGGCTAAGCATCATGTCTAACGCACCACAGGAACCAGCTGACTGGCCACCGACGGTGATATGCTCCGGATCACCCCCAAAGCTGGCAATATTCTTGTGAGTCCATTCCAACGCTGCAACCATGTCCAGCATGCCATAGTTGCCAGAGCTGTTATGCATGGACTCTGCAGAAAGCTCAGGGTGTGCGAAGTAACCGAGAATCCCCAGACGATAATTGAAAGTCACCACAATGATATCTTTAGAAGCCATGTTGGAGCCATCGTATGTGGGGACATCGCCGGAGCCCTCGAAATAACGCCCACCGTAGATCCAGAAGTATACCGGAAGCTTTGACTTAGAGGTGGCGTTTGACGGCGCCCAGACGTTGATGGATAGACAGTCCTCACTCATTACAGTGGAGCCCGTAGTAAAGATCGAAGCAGATGAGCTGATTTGCACACACTGCGGGCCAAATACTGTCGCGTTCCGGATCCCATGCCACGCTTGCGGCTCTTGGGGAGCTTTGAACCGATTTTCACCAGTCGGAGGGCTAGCATATGGCATGCCTCGGAAGACATTTACATCTTTGCGGTACTGAGAGACGGCACCCTGAACCTGGCCATAGGATGTATTGACCACAGGACCGGCCAAACTGGCCAATACAAACTGGGCCAAAGATAATGGAACAAAAAACCAGACAGCTCTCATTTTCATGAGCAGAACAGGATCGGTAAGAGAGACAGAGAGAGAAATATGATCAGTGAGAAAATCTTGGAACTGCGATGAGGTTTGATTTATAGCACTGAGTAAAAGGGTACGTACGCAAGTAGTCTGAGTGGGTTTTTAGTAAACAAGCTAGGGAATAGATACTCGGGGTTTGAGATGTTGTATCAACTCGGCTTCCCTCAGATACTGGCCTGTCATGCTGTAGTAGTAGCTCCAGGGCTAGTGTTGTGAGGAAACTCGTGGATCATCCATTAGGTTCCCTTACACGTGAAGTAACCTTGGAAGATACAAATTCTAATGTCCACTGGCAGTCACTCTACACCGTGGACCTCGAGTCCTGGTGGTTCCATGATGGATCGACTCGTGTATTTGGCTAAATTAAAAGTACATATCCCTCTTCAATATGTAGCAAGGGAGCGAATTCAAGTAGGAACCGGACGAAGGGAAGCAAGATTACCTCCAAGAAGGTCTAGCTCATTCAACTTGGGGTACAGATCTTCAGGGGAATGATACTAGTATATTAGAGTGGGCAGTTGTGGTTAGAGGTGGTTGCTCTTCTCCAAGTTCATGGTGGAAAGTGGGGCTCGGTGATTATCAATCTCTTTTCTGGATGATAACGAGTATTAACAACCTTCACAGATGATCTAGGTAATTTTACGGACCCACCACGGGATCCTCTAGGAAGCAGCCAAAGATTGGTTGATTAATGGCCAATCGACAGGAAATGCACCGCGTAACTTGAAGCAAACATGTAGCCGGTGCTACGACATGGTATCGCCTGGAAGCCAGAAACGGCCTTCAAATGTTCAAATGTTCTACTTCAAGTCGCCGTCGGCCTCTTTCCAATTCCATCTATACTAATACTCCTAGTACCGTTTTAAATAGATTGTAGTGAGAGGCGCCTTTATTTTTTAAGTTACTATGTACTATACTGTACTTCTGACTAAATATGTACTATTTACTGATCTACAAGAGAACCTTCAATGTTGGAAGAGGATTGATACTTTAGGATTGTCCATTGTCTGCATCAAGAACCACTCACTTCAAGAAATGCTATCGCCAACAATGAGCCCTGTAGGGAACATGTCAATGAAGTGAATTGATGAGTCTTGTGCCATGTTTTAAATTTTGAAGATTGAATGCAAATTTTGGATGAAATCGGAACACAATGTGTGCACATTTTTCATCCAACCTAGCTCAAGTTCAAAATGATTAGAAGGTCGACCCTAGAAGGACTATCCCCTCCTATTATTCGAATTTTTCTTATCTAGATCTGGTTATTCAAAAGAAACAAAGAAGTCTTTCAAGGAAATATGTGTATCTAAAGACTAGAACCCTTACATTTTCATTCTCTGCTCTGGAAATGACCCTCCATCAAAGCGAATAAAGGTATCTCAGTTGGCTTTTTTGCACCTTCAGCGCTTGACTTCCACAAGATTTGTGCCTGTTCACACCATTTAAAGTGGTCCAAAAAGCCATCCCGGGCATAAACCTTGTCTCGGGCGTCAAATATGAATTTTGTGCTTGCGGTGGTGACGATATTCTTTTCAATAGCCAGTTGGCAACCCGCAAACGAGATTCCACGTTCAACTTTACCAGTCACTTTGTCATAATAAGGAAGAGCGCATGAGCTCATAAAGTTGAATTTTTGATTCCGATCCACTAGACTAACTCGAGGGGCTTGTGGCTGCGTATGTGATTGCTGTTTACAAGCAACAATACCCTCATGAGGAGATACAATAGTGGTGCGGGATTTAATTTTGTTTCATTCATGGAATATGTTCCAGGTAAGGATTTAAATGAAACCAGTTGGGTCAACTCAGGCTTAGTCAAGTGAGACTATCCTTCGGTACTGGCTGAGAGAGTCTACCGTCTGTCTCGATCTGAGATTGATTTGATGGAATCTAAACAAAGAATGTATATCGAGGCGACACAAAGTATCGAATAGGAGCTCGAGGGGTAAGCGATCGAGGGTACCGATTCCAACGCTAGGAGTCCGCCGGAAGGGCGTCGCTATTGAGGAAATGATATTCACATGCTCACGGAATGGGTACCATATAGCAGAGAAGCAAAAGTCTCTGCGATGGTAGGCAGTGGCCCGAACAATGGCGTCAGCTTGTTCTTCGTCGAACTGGTATTCCGTTTTGGAGCGAAATTCACGCGGCATAGTGGAAACCATTTTGAATCTTCAAGTTGGTTGGTACAAACGCGTGGGATTTTTTCTTTCTTTTTTAAATGGGTGGCTCTGCTGCGACTGCTACTGAGCAGGGTTGACTCTTCAGTCTTCCTGACTCCTTAAAAGGCAGATACTGACAACGTGACCGAATCAGGTACCTGAGCGCTAGAAATCATTCAGTATCGATAGTTTTGGTATTGACAGAAGCTTCATAGCTAGGAGTTGCTAAGTAGCTGGAAATCTCATATGGTAGCGACATGAAATTGGTTAATGCGACGCGAAGGTGGTTGGTTGGGACTCGGAATCGGGACTTGGTGCACGGGTACGCGTCTCGATTCCAACCTTCAAATGTTGGAGGTTCTCGGCCCAGCCTCGGGAAGCCTAGTATAACCACGGGATTTTCCAACCTTCAAGTTGGAACTCTTATTGAAAATGAGGATGTCTAAGAAAATATTCCAAAGTTTCCCGTGTCCTCTTTATTATCACACTCAAGTGCTGCAGTTAAATGACCTTCAAGTTTATCAGGATTATATCAGTCCCTTTTTCTTTGAAAGACGCCACCCAAACGAGCTGTCCAAAGTAGATCATCTGGCACTTGTCTACCTTCGTCGCTCGTTTCCCACAGGTATTGTGCACAGGCGCACCATCGAAAATGGTCCAAATAATCGGCTCTCGTAAATGCTTTCTCGGATGATACGCCATATTCCAACTCCATTCGTGATCTGCTAATGATTTCATAGCGACGAGCAATTAGACAGCCAGCACACCGAAGCCCAGAATCAACTTCGCCAGTTGATTTGTCATAGTACGGCAATGCACATGCACCCATGAAGTTGTAAGGCTCCGGCGGATGTTTGCGTATTGACTGGTCCTTCGGGGGTGTAGACTTGCGTTTACAAACCAAAGCAAGCTGATGAAGAGAAACAAGTGTCTGCCTGTATTTTGAGTCATAGATGGTCTCATTCATGGTATATACCCCCGATAAATAGTCAAACAATCTCAACTGTTTCCTTTCAAGTTTCGATTCAGGAATGGAGAATTGTTCTTGCATAGCATAAAGTGGTTGCAATTGAGTCTCCGGTGAATCCTGCATACATTCAAAACAGCATCGCTTCCAGATTGGGAGACATATGAAACCACCAAATTCTTTGCAGAAAGAGCAGGTCTTCGTACATAAGGCGTTGTAAAACTCAAGTAAGGAAACGTGGACAGCAAGTCCTGTTCGTAGTAAGGCACAGAGAGGGTTCAGAGCATGTACGGCTATCTTGTCATACTGCGTGAGATAATGTATCATCTCTCTTGATATGAGATTGGCTTGTCGGAATTTGAGCAGAGAGCGCATATCAAGACTGTAAAAGATCTTAAATAAAAGCTCGAGAGGAAGACGATCGAGAGAGCCAAGTCCATTGCTTGATGGCCGCTGAAATGGATTTGCTAGTGAAAGAGAAACAGCAGCATATTCTCGGGGCGGGTAGTAGATCACAGCAAGAACAGGGTCTTTGTAGTACCATGAGGAGGTTCGAATAATAGACTCCGCGTGCTTGTCATGGAAATAATACGGAGAAGTGGAGAAATATTCACGGGATCGCAAAGCCGCGGCTGGGTCGAGGGGGATAGGAAAGCCTTCCCTTGGGAAGTCAAAATCATCTGTTCTTGTCATTTTGGGAGCCTCTCCGAGTTATGAATCTTGTTATCGAATGATGGACTTTTGTGAGAGAAAGAAGTGGCTTTAAATGCCTACGTGAGTCACCTGACTCAATTTGAGTCGTATAGCGATGCGAGTGTAGTCGTCGCTGATTGGAGCTGCTACCATCAGCCTCACTGCGCCTCTCTTAAATCGCTAATGGTTCAAATAATTGGAACATGTTAAATGGACACCCTTCGCGTGATCAGGTTTAGTCCACGGGTCTATACATACACACCCACCTAGGTACTACTCTACTATTATTACTACTACTACTACTACTACTAGATAAAGAAAGAAACCTTGGAAGAAATGACAGTCAAAGGAATAACCCCTAAAGCTCGATGCTTGGGATTCGATTCAGTCTTGTAAGCCTCCTCGTAATATGGACAGAACTAAGTAGATAAGCCGCCAAAGCACCACGAAAACCTTGGAAAGACCGAAGTGTACCTCTCCATCCTGGGAAATGATGCACATGTACGCCAGAAACAAAAAAAAAGCCACAAAATGATAGCAGAAAACAAAAAATTACAACTTCAACTCCGTATCTTCCCTCATGGTACACGTCTCATTAACTCTTATTCACAGGAATCCCTTAGTGTTACTGGGCATCCGCTGAGGAATATCATTAGACCCATAAGCACCACTGCCTCGTCGACTGCCCACATCACTCAAGGCAGCCATGGGCGATCGTCCAATTGTGCTGGTTCGTTCAACTCGTAGTGACTTCCACCCTTCCAGTTCTCGTTCCAGGCGTAAAGCCTTCTCCCGTTCCTCGCGGAGCTCTCTCTCGGCGCGGCGTGCTTGCAACTGTGACTCGCTGTCACCCTCCTGGAGTTCATCAATGTTGCGAAGCAGTCTATCAACCTTCTCCCGGCCCTTGTTAACCTCATCGGTTAGCTGGGCATTGATCTTTTCACGTCGATCAATTTGAGTTTGGAGATCCTTGACTGTGCGGTCAACGTTGCGAAGAGAACGTTGCTCAGCACTATGCTTATTCTCCTGCTCTTCAAGATGAGTTTCCAACTGTTACAGAAGTAATGATTAGCAAAAATTCCAAAAATGGGGATACAATCAAGGTCATCATCACTTACGTCCTTGATTCGCTTGTGCAAGAATCGGATATCCTGGCTACCAGAGGAGTAGCTCTTGGTCTCAAGGTCAACACATCGAAGCTGGATCTCCTTGAGCTGCTTCTCCAGAGAAGCCTTGTCCTTAAAGAGTTGGGTGTTGGTCTCACGCTCAGCAGTAAGCTCTTTTTGCATTTCAGTAGCCAGAGCATCAGCACGACGCATCTTGCCAACCGCCGCGGAGGAGACATCTTCTTGCTGTGCAAGTTGGGACTTGAGCTCCAGAAGCTCGCGGTCCATGCTAGCTGCATTTCGCATGGAGGGGCTTTCACCCTTTGCAAGATCTTCAAGTCGCTCACCAGCCTCAGCCAATCGCCCTTCAAGCATCTTCTTGTCCTTCAAAAGCAGATCACGCTCTGCCGTGACATCTTCGACAGAGGTGCGAAGGTTACGGGCCTGCGAAAGAAGAGAAACGATTCTATCCTGGGCTTCTTTGTGTGCCTTGCTGACCTCGTCACGGGAGTTGGTGATGTCCTGCACAGCCAGCTCCATGCGAGACTTCTCCTTCGCCCAAGTAGAACTGTTGAGAACCTCGTTATCCCACTTGTTTCGCAGATCCTCCAGCTCTTCACGCAGTCGACCGTTTTCACCACGAACATGGAGAAGACGCTCGCGCTCAATCTCCAATTCGCCGTTGATTGTGGAAAACTCGCGCTGGTATTTCTGTCGAGTCTGTTCCATGGAAGTCTCCTTGTCTTCAAGATCAATAGCACGCTGGTTTCGGTAGTCTTCTAGCTCATTCTGGAGACGTTGTTTGGCTTGCAGAGCACCTTGAAGCTCCGCACCCTGGTCCTCCATACGAGCTTCCAGGGTCTGGGTCTGTCTTTGCAAGTCCTCCACAAGGTCATCCATCTGTTTGCGCTCTGAAATGATATGGGCGTAGGTCTCTTCGGCTTCTCGTCCTTGAGACTTGGCAAATTGCTCGGCACGGTTTGCCTTGACGACTGCAATTTCAGCTTGTTCAAGCTTGCTAAAGTATTCATTGGCGCGGCTCTTGTAAAGACTCAGGCTTGACTCCAGATCAGCTGTTCTGGAAGTCTCAGCATCAAGGCGGATTTGTAGATCGGAGAATTCCTGAAGGAGTTGGTTGCGACTTTGAGCATCCTGCTCCCGAGTGTACTGCAGCTCTTGAGTTTCAGATAGAGCATCACGCAGCTCCACCTCTAAGGTAGCTCTGCTACGCTTCAGCTTTTCGTAGTGGCCCTTGGCCTCGCCGAAATCAGCAATGGTGTCATTATGAACCTTGAGTAGGGAACGACGTGACTGTTCTTGGGAATTGATCAGGTCATACAGCTCTTCATGGGACTTGGCCTGCACGTCCCGGAGTGAGAGCTCGCCAGATCGAATGCTGCGTTCCAAAGATGACACCTTCTTGGCGGAGTCATCAAGCTGATCATGAAGACGCCCGTTTTCACGCTCCAGCAGATGAAGACGACGAGCTGAGGGGCTGTCGTCTTGCCAGATATCCCGACCCGGCGTAGAGCGCTCAAGCTGACTTTTGAGATGCTTGTTTTGCATCTCTGTCATCTGGAGCTTATTCTGAAGCTCTTCAATCTCAGCGGCTGTGTCCATGCGACGTTGGTGACCTTGGGTGTCAACGGTTCTATCAGATCTGACAGAATCGATAGGTTCATCGAGGACGTTGAGGCGACGGTTGGGCGTTGAGGGGTTCGAAAATCGCTTGAGAGCATTCTCCGAGTTCTTTCGGAAATGCGCTGGTGAGCGATTGTTGGTGAGTTCATTTTGATCGATCTCCTCAAGCAAGGCACGCTTTGAAGATGAGTATCGAGCATCTAGCTCCTTCATTTCGTCGCCATGGCGGCGACGCATCTCAGCCAGCTGGAGATCAGCTCTAGCGTATTTCTCTTCCATGACTCGAAGCCTCTGCTGCGCGCCATCTAAAACCTGGGCAAGATCAACTTGCTTCGATAAATGGGGCTGGACAGCTTCCCAGGACTTCGCTGATTCAGTTGCCTCGGGCTCGAATACTCGGTGTAAGAGAATAAGCTGGCGATGCAAATCTTCGATCTCTTTGTTTGCTCTGTCCATGGTTCCTTGAATCTGCCTGCTATTTGCTTGAGCCTGGCTTCGCATCTGACGTTCGTTTTCAAGAGTACGATTGGCCTCTGCAAGCTGGAGGTTGGCCGCTGAGGCAGCCTTTTCGGCATTGCGGCTGGTCTTGTGTTCACGATTGACCTCGTGGCTAAGATCCTCAAGATTCAAGGTGAGCTTCTCCTTCTGCTTCTCAAGCGAAGTGATTGCCATTTGAAGGTCACCCATTTGGCGACTGATATTTTTGTTCTCTTCCTCCAACTTGGCCTTCTCTTTCTGGAGAGTTTGAAGACGAAGACGATTGTTGTCGCTAGCTTTGGAGTTGGAACGAGCAATGTCGAGATTCTTCTGCTGAATTTTGGTAAGAAGGGATCGATTGTCATTCTCAGAAGCTGTCAGTCTGCCACGAAGAGTCACAAGCTCTCTTTCGAGACGCTCTTTGTGCTGATCATGGCGGATGCGGAAATTGTCTGACTCTGAGATAGCGTGCATAAGCTCTTGAATACGAGCAGAAAGTTGGGATCTTTCAGCATCGACATCCTCTAGCTGACGGGCTTTCTCATCCAAGTCCTTTCGCAAACCAATGATATGCTCCTCGGCTTGGGTTTTGATTTTCCGTTCAGCTTCAGCTTCAGCGTTTAAGCGTGCACTTTCAGCATCTGTAAATCGATCACGAAGTTTGATCAATTCAGACTGCAGTTCCTTCCGCGATGCCTCAGCCGCAACACGAGCCTCTGTGGCGCGTCGAAGACTGTCCTGCTGAATGTACATCTCCTTCTCGATGGTAATTTTGGACTCATTGAGTTCGTTGTACTTGTTACTCAAGTCTGCAAGATTGTGTTCAGCGAGCATCTGAACATCGTCTCTTGACTGTCGCTCGCGGCTGAGATCTGTTTCTGCCTTGAACAGTTGATCCTTCAAGTCCAACGCCTGCTGCTCCAGAAGTTTCCGACTTTGACCTGCCTCTGCATCCTCAGAGCGCTTTTCATCAAGGAGTTTCTTGACATCAGCAGCCTCTCGCTCCAGTTGAACCTTCTCAGAACGCATAGCATCCCTTTCGGCCTGAACTTCACGGAGGCGCTGTTGCATATTATCGTGACGAACGGTAAGGGATTTCTTTTCAGCTTCGATGGATTTCTTATCTTCATCGAACTTCTTGGTGTCGTTGCGTAGGATGGTTATCTCGCTCTCCTTGCGTCGGAGAAGATCCTCGTAACCTGCAGAAGTGTTCGATAGCTCTGAGATTTGCTGTCGAATGGATTGATTCTCCTCCGCCAATTCACGAACCTCCTTCTTGGACTTATCCAGCTCTTTGGAGGTAGTTGCAAGCTTGATGTCCAGATCCTGATCTGTCTTCAGCAGTTTGGCCTCAAGGTCATGAAGCTTGCGATCCTTTAGACTGAGATGACTTTGAAGCATCTTAATCTCCTGGTCCAATTCTTGCATTTGGATTTCCTTGGTAGAGAACTCTTCTTCCGCTTCAGAAAGTTTATTCTCAACCTCTGACAGCTGCGCTTGCAATTTGTTCTTCTCGGACTCCAGTTGTTCGATAATTTGACCGGCTTGTTCGAGCTGTGTGATTCGGAGATCAAGCTCCTCATCAGTTCTCCTTTTCGCGTCAACAAGCTCATCAAGTTGTTCTTCGAGACTCTCCTGGTCCGCAATAGCACCAGAAAGCTTCTCCGCAAGTTCCCCTTCTCGCAGCTGGAGGCGCTTGAAAATTTCTTCCTTGTCGAGTGCGAGAGCACGTTCGCTCTCCAAAGTCTGCTGAATCTTGTGAATCTCCATTTCAGTACGACGTCTGTCTTCATCGAGCTTTTGCCGCTCAGATATATCGTGTTTCATCTTCGCTTCCAACTCTTTGATCTTGTCGTCTCTCATCTTGACTTCTTTTGCGTTCCGAGTATCTCCGAGCAGAGGTTTCATTCTCGAGAAGAGCTGCCACCACGGGCTCCCTTTCAGCTCTAGGTAGACATGGAAGTTTTGCTGAATGATACGTGTCGCCTCCGCACGGTACAGGCGTTTGTTTGAAATACGTCGCTGAACGAATCCACGTGCCAGGGATTGAAAGCGGGTCATGATACTTCGGATCAACTTATCACGTTTCTCTTCCAAGTCAGCCAGGACACCTGCCCTGAAGAAAACCTTGGTTCGACCAACGCGGTACCAGGCCCTGTCCATATCAAGCTTCTCTAGCATTATTCGAGCGGCACTCTGACCTTCAAGGTACCCCTTTGGCATGTTTTGGCAAAGTACTTCATACCGTTGCCGGAATTCCGCGAAAGAAAGACGGTTAGGAAATCCAGTTCGGGCGATTCTAATACCCTCCAGAACACCGTTGCACCGCAGCTGGTCTAGAACCAAGGGGGCATGAAGCATTTTCGGGCGCTTCTTGTGGTTGGGCAAAATACATCGAACGAAATGGGGGTGGGTTGAGTGGAGCTGTGCCATCAAGCTAGAAAGCTGCTCCTTGTGTCTTTGTGCAACAGTCCTGAACAAGCCTTTCTTCACTCTGCTTCGCGGATTCTCGCTTCCCTCTTCAGGTTCTGCACAATCCGCAAACAGATTCGCCACATGAGGCTGCTCAGAGGTGGCAAGAAGACGTGTGATATTATCGTTCATCGGGTCTTTATTCTTCTCAAGCCAATCATGTGTGCTGTACTCTACCTCAGCCGCATAATGGGTCAAGACGAAGCCTTGACTGAGACGAGAGGAACGATATTTGGGAGTCTTGCGGTCCCATAGAGAGTGCAGCTTCTCGGTGAAGGATTTGTCTGTAGCTTTGGGCATCACGCAGTCTTCATCCAGACATGAGAAAATACCGATCGGATTCGTCAATTCGATAAGATCAATTGTGGGCTGCAAATCCTTGCCGAAGTCGATGAATTGCCACTCAATTTGCTCTCTTGCATATTCCTCCTGTTCAAGGACAAACATGTGGTGGTTGAAGAATTGCTGGAGTTTCTCATTTGTGTAGTTGATGCAAAGCTGCTCGAAACTGTTGTGGTCAAAGATTTCAAATCCAGCGATATCAAGGACACCAATGAAGTAGTTGTCATCGGCCATTGAGCGGCCTAATTGGTTGTTGATGCGAGCAACCAAATCTCCAAAGCCACGTTCGTAGATACCTTTTGACAGGGCATCCAAAGCCAAGCGGACTTGCTCTGGAGTTTGAACTTTTTCGACCCATTCCCGGCCGGCTTTGACGCGAGGATGTAGAAGACCCTTGATAAAAGGCTCCACAGGAATGCCCAGAAGACTACACGCTATTTGAACGCTGGCATAGCCGTTGGGACCTAGGGCGGCCTGGTCAGCACGGAGGCTCTCCTTGGCAATAGTCACGTTGCCCAAGTGGAGCACAGCTGCGATTGTACGCAAGATGCACATTTGGTCTTCTGCGGAAAAGTTCATCACATGGAATGCCTCGATCAGAGAGTTCCACTCATCTTTATCGGAAACACCCACGATGGAGTCATTTCCATCTTTCGTGTAGGCAAAATCCTCGATCTGCAGATCTCTCAATAGAAGCTGCTCCCGGGTCTGGCGATCTGCTCCTTGTAGAAGTTGGTAAAAAATATGGTAATTGCGCTCATTTGAATTCGGCTTCACCACACGCGACTTCTCCAGGAGGTACCAGTCAATCCATGCACCCGATATTTGACCAGATCGTGAGAATTCAATGCGAATGAACTTTCCGAAACGTGAAGAGTTGTTATTTCGAACGGTCTGGGCATTACCGAAAGCCTCCAAGATTGGATTTGCTCGGAGAATTTGTTGTGACAGATTAGAGGTTTGCTTCGTGCCGGAGCGCACATATGGAGTGTCTGAAGTGGCCACAGCTGCCAAATATTGGATGACCTTCTTGGTGTTCTCCGTTTTACCAGCTCCAGATTCACCACTATTTAGCAGTCAGCTTCCAATCAATAAAATGAGCGCTGTTGAGAACTTACGTCACGAGAATGCTCTGGTTCTCGCCTTCTTCGACCAGGTTGCGAAATGCTTCATCGGCCATCGCAAAAATATGGGGGCGAGTTTCTTCCCTCCCTCTTCCTTTGTACATCTTGATGTATTCATTCGTGTAGATAGGCAATGGGCAATAGGGATTGACTGTAACTAAGAAGAGTCCTGAATATGTCTATCCCCACACATGTTAACCTCGATTTCCAACTTAGGGACTCCAATTGAAATGACTCACGTAGATCAAGTCGGACTGGTATCTGGTGTGTAAGTTGTGGACCACTGATCCCTCATTCAGATGTGTCAATTCAGCCATATCATCCGCCTTATCAAATTTAGCCGGATTGACTTTGTCCACCTGGTCTGCGTCGACCTCCCGTTGCTATTCTATATGTCAGCTTCTTGGTCCTATTTTTCGAGGCTCAAGAGCCATACCTCGCCATCGTCGCTTTGCACCAGCAAGCGATTGTTTTCAAGTTCTTCTAATACAAGTCCGCGCACAAACGCCTTCTGAGAATCTCGTAGCCACACATACTTGTTTCCAGAAAAGTCGTTTTCGCCCTCCATCCCTCGGATTTGATCTGCGCCCCGGCGCATTTCTTCTGACTTAATGAAGCTAGGCGCAAATGTCCCAGAACTTCCATTATTGCGTGAGTTTGATCGTTCACGAGTTCCGGCGATGGAGGATAGTGGCGGCGACAGCTGCGACACTGAGGAATTTCGAAGGTGTCCTTTCCCATGTTCTATTCCAGTCGAAGATGTGATGATAGCTGATTTCGGTCGTGTCTGTGAAAGAGGTGCGGGTGAAGGAGAGGACCGCACGAACGGATTCGCCCGCTTTGGCGAACTGTTCATTTGAGAGGGAAGCATATTGCAGGTTGTTCAATAGATCATTATTTGAGCCGACGGTCTTTTCCCATAGTCAAATTAAATCCAATAAAACCTCAGATTTACCCAAGTGAGAAACTGGAAGGGATAAGAAATTAAAAAGAGAAAGAGGTAGAATGACAATCAAAAAAGAAACAAGTGTCAAGCAGGTGGAGGTGGAGTTGAGGGACGTGATGTGACAAAGGCGGAGACACTGACGCTGTTTGTTTACACTGCGTTCCTCGGGTTCCCGCCGATCTCTGGCCCGTGCGACGGTCACATGACCTAGGCCACTTTTTTCCGCGCTTAATGTGCATGAGGTTAACTTGAGTCTCACTCTGAGCACAATCCGACACTTCTTTTTAAGACATCTTCGAATCCTATTTCCAAACTGTGTCGCTTTTTAAGTGATATTTCATCCGTCAGGTCATCTTATCTCTAGCCATTTAAGCTTTTCTCGGCGACGCGACGTTGTCTTTGCCTCGTTCGATTACGACAGTCACGGACCCGTCACGTAACCCGTTAAACCAACGCTCCTCGGCGCTCATTATGAAATCGGCGATTTAACCTCAGACTTCCTCTTCTTTATTACATGATTGGAATATCTAGCGACAAATCAAAGATAACGCGCGCTTCTCCGCCATGTCGAACCAACCGCCCCCTCCCTACGGTGGCCACCCGAACTACGCGCAACAGTGGCCTCCGTTGTATCCCATGGGAATCCCTCCACCTTTCCTTCCGAATGCCGAGTACGCCGGAGCTGGTCAAACGGCTTCCCCAAACCTTACTCAAAATCTAGATCCCAACATGGCGAGCTTCTATGCAAATTCACAGCTTTCTGTTGCCCCAAACCAGGTTCACCCGGCATTTTTCTTTCCCTCCTACGCTGCCCTATGCAAATCAGTTCAACGTGTCCCAATTGCAGGCGCCGACATTCGCTCCCATCCCAGGACAGTCTACCGGGTATCCACCAATGCCAGGACCTCTGGGATCCTTTATCCCACCCCCAGTATCTGCTGAGTCCTACGGTGTCAATGCGAATGAATCAGTGAAACCACAGGAATCAACTAGCAATGCCACCCTCGGCAACAACAACCGTGAGGAAGGCGAGGTCAGCGAAGATGAAAGTGAACCCCCTGTACCGTCTCGAAAGACAACAAAAGCCTTCAACGCATCAAAATTGGGACAGCGATCGCGCCAACATTCAGAACTGGAGGAAGGTGAAACTATGTCATCAGGATCACCGTCCTCAAGCAGGAGCAGCTCTCGTATGTACTTGGCCTGATTTTATGACAGTACTTGAATGCTAACCTTCTATAGCCTACAATCCGCCTTTGTCGGTATCTGCAGATACTGAAGCGGTTAGTCGCGCGATCGGATTACAGAAGATGGAAACATCAGCAAAAACTACAGATGCTCAGCCGTTTGTCTCGGCAGAACAACTTCGTCAGCGAGCGCAGGGTGCTCTACTCAGCTTGAAGCCTCACAAGATTTCATATGAAGAACTTGTTGCGGAAGGACTGAATCCTACAATTCTGAGGAAACTCTATGAGCAGGTTGGTCTGAAAATCAATCCTCAGCCCAGAAGGTCCTCGAAGAGTTCAGTCCAACCTGCCAGTGTGGCTAGTAAGCAGGCAGCTTTGGCTTCAACGGCCCCAGGATCGAAGGACCAGAATCGGCAAAAGTCTTCGACTGCGCCTCCAGTTCCTGCATCGACTGGGTCCTCTGCCTCCGATTCAGTATCGGAAAGGCCAATGGAAAGGAAAGAAGTCATCGCCAAGATGCTCGCAGCTAAAGCCGCAAAGAAGGCGGAAGGAAAAGAAGAAATACCGCCAGGAAACACTAAACCTGTCTCTGCTTCACCATCTTCAACTACTCCTACACTGGCCCCGGCTCCCCATCCATCTCAGGTGAAATCGACCGTGGTTCCTGTGAGGGAGAAGAGTAAAGCTCAGACCGAATTGGCAAGGCAACGCATTGAGGAGTTAAAACGGCAAGCGCTTTTAAAAAAGGCCCAATCCAGTCAACTCAGCCAGCTGGAGAGCCCTGCTGATACTCCAACATCAATCGTATCAGCCCAACAGCACCCTCTTCCTGTTCGTCCTCCAAATCCCCAATCTTCCGACGCCGCTCCGATTCCTGGGTTGGCCATGAATGTATCAAAGGAAGATTCGGGCTTATCAACTCCAACGGATGTTTCTCGCGCGCTCACAGTCGATCCAACACCTTTGGCTAGAGCGACTCAGCGCAAACGTCCTCGGGCATCCGATTTTGATGAGAATGATACGGCTTCTAAAAAGCATTTTGTTCATGAAAATGATTACTCGGGTCCTGCAGATAGGTTGATCATAGAATTCAGCGACGATGATGAATCTTTATATGCAGATGACTCTGATGACATGGAAATAGATGATGATGAAAGCAAGCAAGTAACATCCATGTTCCATCTTGAGGCAGCTCGTCCGGCCCTCCAGAGAAACCCATCATCTATCTCAACGCCTCAGGGCGCTTCTTGGCAGAGTGACAATGAACATGTGCGACAGAAGGACTTAGCGATCCAAGAAATGCATCGAAAAATAGCGCAGCTTGAGGAGCGGCGAAAGGCGAAACTTGCCGCCAGTCAAACTGAATCACCTCGCGCCGTAGATGATTCTGGAGAAATTTCATCCTCATCCGCATCCGATGGCCAGTCAAGTCCTGTCGATGCCGATGTCACTACAAGCTCGTCGCCTTCCACCTCCAAGCCAGCGCCAGGTTTCAGTACAACTCTGACAGCCGATGGGTCAAACCTTATTGATTCTCTTAGCGAAGCCTCTGTCCGATCTCTGGCTAGAATGGACATGGCGGAGCTGGACAAAATGAGAGTTGCAATTTCTAGTTCGAAAGAGAGACCAATTCGACTTCCTGGGTTAAATACTGAGGTTGTCTCAAGTGAAGATACAATTAGCGGAGAGAACCAGGGTTCACTTTTCGATGAACTCAAGCATCTCATTCGTGAGAATGCTGACCTTACGTTGGAAGATTTGGATAAGCTCCGACGGCAAGCAGAAGTGAGAAGTCAGAATGCCGCCGAAAAACAAGGTGAGTCCAGGCATTTAACACGCCACCTTTTCATCATACCTCCTATATACTAACCATCAATTTTATCTTCAGCTTCTGCCGAAGTCAAGCCTGCTGACGCACCTGTCTCCGCCACTCGCTCGATTTCGAAAGCCCCTTCACTTCCTCGAAGTCCCAAGGCCAACCTTCAAACGAGTCCAGTCTCAAAGGGTGCCGAATCGCAATCGAATGAATCTCAGTCGGAATCCGAATCTGAACCAGAATCCGAATCCGAATCTGAGTCTGAAGCGGAATCTGAATCTGAATCTGAGTCTGAGTCTGGATCTATTGGCTCACCTATGGACGAATCTGCAGATGCTCCCAGTCCTAGCCAAGTTTCCTCCAGCAATGTGTCCGCTGCGCTCAGTGTACAACAAGCTTCGAATTCTCTGGTCAACTCGACTCAATCCCAAAAGGAGGAGTCTGCTTCCGTGTCGAATCTTCCCGGGTCCACACAGGATTATTCAGATTCGTTAGACAGTGATGACAACTCTAGTGATCCAGAATCCCCCATTTCCGTGGATAACTTGGTCGGCAATTCCGATACTGCGGCCAGTCACCCTCTTCCTGAACAGCCAACAGTAAATGGAGATGTCACGATGAAGGACTCTGTCAGTCAGGTCTCTGCAAGTGAACAATCTCAACGTGAATCCAGTGCAGAGTCAGATGAATCGGAAGCATATGAGCCTCCAGAGCCGGAAACTGTTGCTGAGCCTGATTCTCCCTACAGTCCAGAACCAGAGCCGGGCTCCCCTTACAGCCCTCCTTTCAGCCCCGCCCCTCCCGTTTCTGTAAAAGATGACACGAAGGATACCATAGCCGTTTTCGATGAACCCTCAGCCCGGGTTCCACTAACAGATGAATCTCGGGCGGCGGTACTGGGAGATCCTCAGGTCGGAATACTTGGTGTATGAGAAATATTCTATATTCTGAGAAATTTTTGCGGGATTGACGAACTGACCCATTGACCTTTAGAGCCAACCATCATCATCGTCATCTGCCAACACGGCACCAAAGTTCACTCCTTACCTTAGTCCTCTACGCCAATTCAAAGCCTATCGCTATCACCCAGGCTTTACTGCCGATGTTCCGAACGGTTACCGTTCGCTAACCTACAGCCATGATATTGACTCGATGAAGTCCTTTTGCCAATATGAGCTGGCCGGTGGCGTGTGCAATGATCGGTTTTGCGGATTCCAGCATTTCCGGGACATCACTCTTAGCGGTGCGTCGACGACTTAACAGCCGTGCAAACTCTGAAAATGGTTTCCATTCCCTTTTGTATTCACCTTGCTTTTCGTTTTCCCCGATACCCCGTACTATTATTATCTTTTTTTTCACTATGCGTTTCCCATACCACGATTAGCGCTTCTGTCTTTTTGTCATCTCCTTCAGTCCATTTCCCTCTTTTCTGCCCTGTTCGCAAGCTGACCACAGTCATATTAACATTCACAGACGACAAGGTTCTGATTGAAATGGGCTCCGTTCGTGAGGGTCAAACTGAAGAAGAAAAAGAAACCTATCTTGCCGGGTTAAAAGAAATCATCAACGAGATGCGACGTGACAAGGTGAAGGATTTCAGCACTGTGGCTTCTGAGATAGTCGCATATCGTAGGCGCTTTCTCCAAGACCCGTCGCGCGTCTTGCCTCTGTAACATTCGAACATACATCCCTCTTTGAAAGTCCTGAAGGTGAGCCTACTTGACCATGCTTCCTGGTCAGTGGCATCTGGACATTTTCAACGGTGAATATCCACCTCCTCCCTTTCCTTGCGATACCCCACTTCGCTGTCCTTAGGACGCAGAGGTATTTTTTCCCTTCTTCCTTTCCGTCCATATCGTCTTCTTCTCTATGCATCATTAGCCCGCGTCTCGAGACGTTCAGCCCAAAATTCCACGTTAATTCTGGAAATGCATTCTGGGCCTTGTCTGCCCCTAGTCAGACAATGATCTTGATTGATCTTCACATTATGGCTACTACAAGCCCACGATGACAAGGCGTTCTGACATCTACATTCTTATCTGGCAACATGGTCGTATTATGGAGCTCAGCTTGCATCATTCAGCGTCTTGAGGATGTTTCTCCTGCATGCTCGCTCTTTTGAAATCCGGAATGGAGGTGTACCAGTATGACGTGCCGGGTGGCAGTTTGAAGCACATTTTTATCGATCGTGAATATCACTTCAGTTTTCAATCTTTATCCAGTAGAATTCCCTTCATTTACATAAATTTGCTTGTCCTAATCAAAGTAGTATAGAAGGACTACATACTCCGTACTACTATCTGCATTATGAAGTAGGTATGTGGGTCCAAACCCGAGTCATTGGTCCGAGTCCCACTGGCAATGGACGGTCACTTCATGATCGATGATACGTATTCAGGTGGATAGGAGTTGAATCTACTAGAAAAAAGATGGGTATCTGGAACTATACCCTCATACACCAAGTATGACTCAAAAACCGTCAGCTTCTTTCCGAAGTGGACTCGGGCTATGCAGAAAAGATCGCAATGCAGACCATGCCGGTGAACGCCTTACAGCTCTGAAGATTTTCCTCATGCATGTAGCAATAATGAGTGCCAGTAGTATTTACATATCAGTGACTCATACTCCAGACTTGGACTTGGAGCTCTCTTTCATGCACATGTGGTTCAAGTGCTGGCATCAAACCCAAGGTTGCATATGCATGCAGCGTAACATGACTCCAGCTCACGTGGGAGGGGCGGACAAGGATCTATAAAAAAGAATTTGGATAAAAATAATCAATTCAAGTAATTTCGGTCGGAAACCTAGAATTATTCAACTGAAACCTTGGAAGCAGACCTGAACAAATCTATACGATCCGCGCATGAAACCTTGGAAGCTGCGATCCAGATGTCCGTGGCAGGAGTTGGAATACTCGTGATGCCCAAGCGTTGACGCGTCCAGATGTCAACAATGATACTATTCATGCACCTAATCATACTTCAATGTTATTGAAGGCGATGCCCACTGGCAATATTGCACCTTCCAAAATGGGTAGTAATGCTGGCAATACTACTACATACTATGTACCTCCGAATCCAGGTTCTAATGAAAGTTGTGTGAACATCGAACATTTGAAGTAGTAGTAGTACTACGCATGCGATGTATATTCATGCCAAGGTGCTGCGGCTACGAGCGAGTCCACTCAAGCTAGTATCAGATGATCGCATACTACTAATTGACGAATACTCGACTATATGACTTCAGATAATTAAAATATTTACTTGACAAAAACTAGACCTTGAAGTTCCCAGATCAGACTCTCTAAATAAACCTTGGAATAATAACCCTGGGTCTATGTTAGAACTTGAATTACCCGCTCAGTGGTCGTTGGCGGGGCCCCGCCCTCGCACCCATGGACTTGGCATCCCGAATCCGTAAACTGCCAGTGGTGAACACCTCAAGCTACAAGCTTGAACTTGCAACATGCATTTTCAAGACTTTCTAGAACTGTGTTGCTGTTTATAATACTGCCAAATAGTCACATCTAGCATCAATTCTAATATCAATTCTGTTGACTATTTGTCTAAACCCCAGCCTTGGCAAATACTTGAGACGAATCAAGCACCTAAGGAGTCTGCCATTTTATTTTTCAGATTAATGCGACAACATGTGAAGTTTTCGATGCCTCGATGGCAATTTTGAACTTGCATAATCTACTGTTGACACATGTCAACTGGTGGACCAGTGAAACTTGAACATTTGAATGACACTATTCAATTTTTATCCGGATATACACCACTCCAGGGCCAGCTGACATGATACAACACTCCGAACCTCGGAATAATACTTGTATTGACTGAACAATCGTAACATTGGGATTGAATAAATCACCATCAGTCAAATCGAAGAAATAATTAATCAGACATGACCAAATATTCAAAAGTTTGCTACTATGTTTCAGGACGCCGATAGATGCAAGGCAACAAGGCTGCTGACAGGTGTCAGCACCCGTGGACCTTCAAGTTTCTTTCTGCCCTACAGGAGTCAGAACCCTGTAACCGAGAACCTTGGGAAAATATTGATATAATATAATTTTATTTGAATTGATTCTTATCGCAATAAGCCTTAGCTGAACCTGAGGCAGTCTCAGCTAGACCAGGTATCTGTTCCAAGTTTGAAACCACAGAAGAGACCCAAAGTCACGGACCCGGAGGCTTTAGGGCTTATGCATGACGTTTTCCCACGCGAGCTGAATTAAGTGGGGAATCTGTGCATGAGTTAGCTTCGGAAGAAGGCTTAGATTGGAGATAGAACGATAATTTCTAGGAGTTCAGTACCACGTGCATCATATAATAGAATAAAATTCGATTTATTTGGTTTGATGATTCTAGGCTATCTTGTTCATGAGTCAGGTTGATAAACTTGAATATTCTGAAGGAAGGGTAGCGGGGATTGAGATCGGAGAATCCGATTCGATTAGAAGGATTTGAAGGTTTATTATTGAGTAGATCGTACGACATTATTCGGATGAATGTTATTCAGTGGTAACATTGGATTTTGAATTCGAGCGTGGATTAGTTCCATCGTCTAGGTTGCGGGGTTTATGTGCAAAGTTGCCTCACTTTCAACGGTTTATGGATGAGCACGGGATCTCGGCAGGAACTACGGAGTATAATGCGCGAAATAGTTGATTTAGTTCAAAATGTTCTAATTTATAGAAACTTAGACAATACTTGGGCACAACTCTGTATAGAATCCCGTGCTGTTGCCCCAGGTGCCGGATCCGAAGGGGCGTGACCCACTAGCCACAGGGCATATTCTGCCTGCCACTTCATGATATTAACCAGGGTAGCTATCATGAAGCTTATACTCAGTGGCTGAGAGTAATATTAACGGTTAACGGTCAGCAAGGAACAGGGATGCCATGTAGTACAGTAGTATTTTAATATTATAAGGCTATATTAAATTATATTCATATTTTCTTCAAAAAAGAATACTTTCTATACTCCAAGTATGTACATAATTCGTTTGATGCATCTCTTCCAAGACTAGCAAAGAGACGTCATTGGCGAGGAAAACCCCACGTAGATCAATTCTTATGACTTCCAAGGGCTGCAAGGTACAAGCTCAAGGACTCCGCGGACATAGCCGGTGCAATGACTCCATCACGATTTAATCCAGGTTTTCAACTCCGTAGATATTCCAGAGCGGGCCAAGACCAATACGAGAAATAACTCAGCTCGATCTAGAGCCCGACGTCAACGGGGCGCACCGACGGAAAATAAAAATCCCCAAAATTAGCACAGCCTCTTCGATTTCATACATAAGAAATGAACTAAGTGGGCCCCTTTGTTCTTTCTATCCATGGTCTGTTCCAAGGTTCTAAGTATACTGTATTTGGCGGGGCTGAGACGCGCGGGAGCGGGTTCTGTGGAGTGTCTAAAGAGTGATTTGGGGCCAAGAGGACAAAAGCTGAAGTTGAAGAGTTGGGGCCATGAACTTGATTTAGATTCAAACATTTGTGTTGGGAATGAAGAAGAAAGAAAAAAAAAGTAAATATGACCGCTCTTTTTTACCGGGTCATAGGGCTGATCGGGTGTAAATGTAGTGTTAAAGGGCGGTGGATGGGCGATTTGGCTTGCAGGTATTATGCAAGAAGTGATTGGTTATGCACCAGGGTTTTTTATTTGGTTTTTTTTTATTTTTCTAGTTATAAGATTTTTGACTTTTATTATTTTATAAATTATTATTCAAATGTTATTTTTTTTTATTCTTTTCTTATTGACTCGGAGGAGCAACAGACTAGTCCCCGGGCGCATATTTAGTGGGAATTCACAGGGCGAGCCTCAGGTTACACTTGGAACCAATACAACGGCACTTGGGGGGGCATCGGGTACTCCATGCGGCTCGGGGCAGGGATGTTTGGCCAGGTTTCATGAACACCCCGGTCGATCATTCGAGTCATCTATGACTCGATCTCTACGGCTGTGCTTCTGATCTTCTGACAGTTATTTGGAAAGTTTGAAAGTTTGAAATAAGTTTCATTCTCTAAACAAGGAGATAAATGATGCCCGAAATCATAAGCCAGGGAGAAGGCAGACAGACCAGCTGCTTACCTCATTCCCTGCTAACCACGCTTGGAAATAAGCATATGCAGTCTATAATCGTCAAACAGATCAATGCAAATAACAAAGATGTGAAATGGAAATGGGGAAATTCAAAAAATGCGAAAATAAAAATCAAACAGAAATAACACGATAAGGAAAAACATGCAACCTGGCTATGCTGAGTATCATAGGAAATGCTGGACATAAACGCATAAATAGAAAAACATAAATGAAAGTAAATAAAATCAGCACTAAAACCAACAATAAAAGAAACATTGGAATAGTACAGATAGACAGATAGGTATAGAGCGGGTTAAACTGGAGTCATGTCAGCCACCTGGTCTCTCTCAAGGCTGAGTGAGCGAGGAAAAGAATAGATCTTACCATTCAATCATCATCAAGCAACAACTTCAAGATTTTACTTGACTTGAGTGCAGCTTCCGCAAGCTGTGTGGTTGCAGTTGACGCATTTTGGTTGGATGTTGTAGACCTTTGGGCCATCGTTGCACACGCAGCAAATGTACATGTATGTTGTTTCATAGGTTTTCACCTGGAAATCACCAAGCGAGAGTCTCGGCTCAGATGCAGGAAGGCTAGACCTCAAGGACTGTACCTGAGGTAGGCTTGGAGGGGTGGGTAGCATCGGTTTCGTGTCGAGAGACATCCTGCGAGATGTGTTGAAGTCGACCACGGATGGGTAAGGTGAAGGGCCGCAGCTGGAGGAATCAGAGTGGGAATGAGCCTCGACAGCGTAGTTGGCCTTCTCTTCGTAGCACATTGAGCAGCGTCGTGCGCTGCAGCTAATACAGGCGACGTAAAGGGCTGAGTCGTGAGGGCCGAAGCTACATCCGCAGCAGTACCAGAGAGACATGGTGGTGGTTGAGTTGGTTGAAAAGATTATATCGATGCAAGATTGTAATGGTAGAAGCAAGAGGGCCTCGGGATACTATATAGTATCTAGTGGAATAGTACACGAGAGAAGGTACTTGAAGTATCTCTAACTTGGAGTGGAGATCAAAGGAATTGGCAGGATTGATTGAGTTGGAATGGATGAATGGAATTGGCACGAGACCAGGAAAAGGATCAGGTCTATATAGGATTGAAACTCTGCAGAGCAGTGTCAGGCAGCGGCAGCGCCTGTCGGAGGACATTATGGCAACTCAAAGTATTAGCCCCCCCTAGGCTGCCTGGGAAAACCGTATTGGGAAATCGATTTAGAAAATACACATAACCCAGGCATCCTGGGGCCAGTTACCACCAGTAGGAGAAAAAAAAAACGGGGTCATAATTTTGTACATCATCCGCCGGGGTGAGGGACCCATCGACGGGTCCAATTAGTGTGGCTTGTAGCCTAGACACCTAGGTATTTTACCCAGGTGAGAATAGGCTAGTCGTTTTTTGTGCCTAGTTCTCAGGAACTCAGTTTGTGAATCATAATCTGCAAGTATTGAGAGTGGTTGAAGTTGACTCAGGGCAAAATATTCCCCACTCAAGGCTTTCCGGTACACCGTAGTGGGTGAAGTACTTGCCCGGCAGAAATGTAGGGTTTTGCTGCATTTGGAGGGGCTCTGCACTGCCGACTTGACGGTGACCAAAAAGCCGCTCCCAGCTCCAGTCATCCAAAGCCTTGTGCCTTGTTCCGCCTTAAAACCATCCAGGCACAGATTCACCTTGGGGATCCACATTTGACAGGCAGACAACAGGATATCAGGCAGAGAGATGAGTCGGACCCATCAAGATGAATAAAAGACTCATCACGCTACGTAGTGTGTTCCTAGTGCATATGTGTGCTCCGTACTGTTGCCTGGGTTTTTTGTCATAGGAAAATAATACGAACTACACGTCAATTCAGTCTTGGAGAATTCAAATCCGTGTTTGAAGTGATTCATTGGAATGTTCCAATATTTTCTTTTTGTTTTTCGAAACTGGAAGTCTCAGAATGTCAGATCTATTGTGTGTCATGGAAAGCCTTGGAGTTCCCATCCCCGACAATTTATGATTTCATTTTATTTTGTTCTTCATTAATTCCCAAGATCATCATATTTTTATAATTTCCCCCTTACATTTGATCAATCCTGGTTCAAAGATCAGATGCATGAACTGCTCTTGAGCCTCATTCTAGGTATTTTAACCACGTCTTTATTAAATAGTGAATTATATAAACTGTATACTATTATATTTTATTCTGATATTGATTAGCACAAATTACAATAAGTAAACAATTTTAAATAAATATGCCCAGGTGAAGATCATGGAGTACCATCTGAATCTCTCTCGAACACCTGGAGATGAACAATTTCCCAGTTTTCCCTTGATTACGTCAACCGGAGATCTCACCCCAACCTTGGCACTTGTTCAGGTGAATCTGCACTCGTCTGAACTGATGCATCTCTTACCGTGACAGAGGGAGACGCTTTTCGGTTTCCTCGATGGCGACCCGCGCACAGAAGCGCGTCAACCTTGCGGTTTCCAAGGTTGTCCCGCCCCTGATCATTGGCTTCATCATTTATGCCTGCTATGTGGTCACGAAACCGTTATGCAGTAAGACCTTGAACTTGCTCCCTTAGGAAGTGATTGTTCGTCACAAAACCTAACCCCGATTCTAATTTGGATTAATAGTTGATTATCTCATTCACCCTCTACCTCATTATCATCGAACTCCTCGGGTCGGCGCGGGCGTCGTAATCCTGGTCCTTTACTTTATCCTCTTAATACCCATGCTCGGAACATACCTTCGACTTTTATATAATGTGACCTTTAATCCTGGCTACCTTCCCCTCGGTGCCGAGCGCCTATCTGAGGATGCGAAAGACCAAACCTCAAAACACTCAGACACACGACTCGGTTGGCGTCGGGGACCAGGAAACCCCCCGAGAACCAGAGAAAGGGGACGAGACATTGGACATGGAGCAAGGCGTGATTAGCCAAGCTGAAAAGCAAGCATCTCAGTCGGATGAGCTCAGTCTAGAGACATTCTACACAAAGGAGGTTTTTGTTTGCCAGGATGATGGGCGACCTCAATATTGCTCTACTTGTTGTCAATTCAAAATGGATCGATCACACCATTGTCGCGAAATTGATCGATGCGTGCGCAAAATGGATCATTTCTGTCCTTGGTATGTCAATTGAGAGTTATTGCAATTTCAATCACTAATTGAAGATAGGGTTGGCGGAGTGGTCTCGGAGACTACATTCAAATTCTTCGTTCAATTTGTTGCGTACACTGCTCTGTTTTGCACATTTGCTCTAATCATATCTGCATACTTTACTGCCGAACTACGTCGAGATGTAAGTTTCCAACGATTCAATATCTTATCGCCTGCTAACATGGTGTCTAGACTGGAAGCGTTAACCCTCATTTGTGCGTATGCATCGGCTTGTCAGTAAATCCCGTCCTTTCTAGCTCTTGATATTGAATCTAATCCCTATTTTCAGGAGCGGCTTCTTTGGTTTCTTTACCTTCTCAATGACTGTCAGCTCTCTCCAAATGGCGATGATGAATATCACCACCATTGAGAACCTCGGTCGTCGTTCTCGCGTTTGGACATTAGCTATCCGTGTTCCCGACCACCTACTCCAACGACTCTGGGTGACTGAATCCCCATGGGCCCCCACTTTCCGCATGGTATCATATCCACCAGAAGCGCCTACAACGCCACCGCAGCCCCAAACCACCGATCCATCTACAGAGCAGCGCTACGTCTTCGCTATTCTCCACACCCAACCAGGCGAGAACCCATATGATCTTGGCGGCTGGAAAAATCTCCAGCAGGTCATGGGCTACAATTTGACAGACTGGCTTATTCCCTGGAAGCCAAGTCCTTGTACAGATCACAGCAGTCAAGAAAGTGCGTTCGCTCTAGGACCCGTCGTGGCACGCTTGAAGCAAGACGCGGGATTGATTTAGCGTCGCCCCGGGGGACCCTGGCCCCAAAACAGGGAAGATCTTTTTTTTTCTAGACGCGAGTAAAGATAGAAACTGAACCGTGCTCATTCTTACTTTTGGCCCCATGTGTTGTATCCGCGTTCCTTGCATAAGTTGGAGTTATACTTAGGACGGAGGGATTTCCGGAAATGGTTTTCTGCATATTGATTTGGTGGAACAGGTTAGATTATGGTCATTCATCCAAAATAAATCAATTCTGACATGACTACTATGCTTCATTATCCCTGCTAGTGCAAATTATGCTGATTAAAATTCTGCATGTCTCGAAAATTTGAATGATAGTATCTGCGCCTGTATTCTAAAATAAAGAACCGCCCCATGCATGTACTTGGTAGGGCTGATGAAACAATGTATGACAAGATGCAACTTGAAGTCATCAGTACTACAAACTTGAAGTCAGGTCAAATGTAAAATGACTTCATGCCAATACTGTTTTGTCAGAAAGTGCATGAATATTATCGACGAGAATAGAACATTTGAAACATTTAGTAAATGTTCGCCATCTTGCAGCTCTCCACCCCTCCACGATACTTCCGGAATGCCACCCTAGATGGGTGTAGTATCCGCAGACTCGGGGTTGATAAGTATAGATTCTCCACGTGTGTGCACGGAGTCCTCCTCGATCAAGCTAGATCTAGAACAAACGTGCATTTGTGGGATTTCGTAGCCACAATGTTGGAAATCGCCAAGCGGGTGGGATTTTCAGTGGCCCCCACGATATCTGATGAAATCCAAGGTCCACATGCCGCAGTGGAGATCGTCTGAGCTTTGATCCAAAAATAACTGATGTTCAAGTTCTATATTTGCATAACTTGGATCTTACGCAGTACGAGGTTCGTTCAAGACTTCAAGTGGGTGTTGTGGTTCCGCTGGCCCCGGGGGACTCTGGAGCGGAAGTCGTAGCGGATGCCAAGGAGGGGTTGTTGCCAAGAGACATCAGATCCGACTTATCAGATTGTTCAATGATGTCAAGTGTAGATGTATTCCATATGTAGAATATCCTAGGATAGACTAGTATTACTTACCGTTTTAATCTGACAATATTCTTAGTTCATCTTATACGAATCTTCGCACTATTTTTGGAGCATGAGACAAAACTGACCTCAGCACCTTATGATTCTGTTCACTATTTACCGAACTAAAGCTGTTCCAAGATTTCCGCGCTTGGGACATATCTGAGTTCTTCATTCATGTTGGATCGAACTCAGGCTTCAGAGCATGATAAACTAAATCTTAAGTATCGTATCATGGTCGAGAATGACGTTTATCCGAGTTTCTGATACTGATACTAGTAGTTATCAGGTAGCATGCAATGCACGAATCCTTAGGATCCAAGGACTTGAGCAGAGGAAAGGGCCTCTGGTGGTGTTATGTACTTCAGTATCTGGGATCTAAGATATCCAAGCTATAGTCAATATCCTGAGGCAGGTATCCAGAGAATTTGATCGGAACTAGGATGAAGACCAAAAGAACAGACAAAAAGAACACACACAAAACAGGAGCTCGCGAAAACTGTCAATTAGAAGTCTAATCTAACACTAAAATCTAAAGAAATCTTAGACATAATGATTGAACAACTTGAAGCATCTCGACGACAAGAAAAACTTGACAAACACAATCACTAACAGAAGCAATCTCGGAAGGCAAAAACCAAATTGAAGATGCAAAAAATCAAAAGCAGAATAAACAAAATTTGGACAGGACAAAAGAAAAAAGCACAACAAAAAACAAAAGACAGCCTAATACATATCACTAACCAAGTAGCTCCAACCTAATTCCAAACACCATCTCCATATAAATCGCGCCGTAGCCATTGGCAGCACCTGACCTAGGTAAAACGCTGTCCGTTCAAATCCCAAAGAGTTTCATAGCGCCTCGCTGTTCCATAAGAAGTCCATAAAGTCATGGAAACAAGCATCGGCAGCTCTATGCGGGAGTGCAGTTTAAGCATCGAGAATGGTTGCAGCAGGCACATCGTTCAGGGCTGAGACATTCGTTGACTAGCTGTCCGCAGGTACAGCACACCCAAAATCCGGTGCTCAGGTGCACTGGAGCTCCGCTGGCAGATTTAACTTGATTCATGCAGTTGACTTGAGCAAAATCACACGGGGGAAGTGCGAGTTCCGTGTTGATACAAGTAGAGTGTGAGGCTTGATTGTTGTAGGTCTTTGTGGTTGCCAGTGCGTAGGCAGATGCATCAATTTCAATGATGTTTGCCAGGTCAAGAACGGAGGAATGAATGCTAGACATATTGAGGGGGTTTATATGCGATGATAGTCTTTTGAGCTTAAGAATTGTAATCGGTGATGTATGCGGCGATTTGATGCTAGTATATCGATTATATGGTGACTTTTCCCGGAGTGATAACGCTTAGTGGAAGAAAGAGAAGGAATCTCTAAGTGTGAATGAATATGATCTTTGTTGTTGGAATGATATTCAACTAAACACGCGATATGAAGCCCCTTAAGTATAGGAAGAGAGTGAAGAGTAGACAGTGGAGGCACTGCCTATCACCCAAATCTTCACCCATTCCCCTGAGATATTCGACATATCATTCTGTAGCAAGAGCATAAGAATGCTTCATCGCCTGGGGGCATCCAGGCAGGGCTGGGCAGGCACATCAGGGCGAGGGCAATCAACCTTGGAACAAATCGTGGTGAAGCAACCACTGGCAACCAAAATGCGGACGCGCCGCGACTGGGAATAGCATCATTCTGGATTCATGTTATCCCTCATATTTTAGAGCACTGCCATTACTTTACCCAGGTTGTGTGCCTAACAACGCATACTGAGTACCTAGGCACCTTTCAACAGTCCAGCTGTGTAACTCGAAGTTAATAACAATAATGAGACGCGTAAAAGAATAATCGATAAAAACTCGATTGATTTTCAGAAAGTCTCCGTGGCCTATGAGATAAGACGATCATTGGGTAGCTAATCGGAGCATCCCTTTGATGTCAGAATGTCGGGTTAATAGTTTGGCCATTGCGCATGTCTTCGGCGTCCCCGAGACGCGCGGGTCAGGGCTAAGGCGACAACGAGCCAGGGTATGGTTTGAAGCTTGCTTTAATTTTGTTTGGCGAATGTAATGCGCTGTAGGGGCATAGCTTGGCTCTCTAGGGCGCTAGCTCGCCTCGAGGGTCCAGACTCAGCCACACTGGGCTATAGGTAGGTTTGCAGAGTGGAGGGCTGGTCGCCCTATGCATTATGAAAGGAGGGAATCCTTCAATTTGCCTTGGTTCAAATGAGTCACTCTTGCAGTGGATTCAAGCATAGTAAAATATCTCACTTTGAATGAAAGAGGGAGTTGCGGGTGGAGGGGGTAAGGGGCAGTGGGACGGGCGTTGGGTATGTGGAGATGGGAAATGAAGTTTTGACTATAGCGGAAACCAGGAGACACACGTAGTGACGTCTTTCAAATTTCTAGAAGAAATAAAATTTGGCTAATTACTAGTATGGGTCTAGGGAGATTGATGATTTGCGCCCAATCATGAAACATTGGGACCAGCACTAAGGTGATTGGATCTGATATTTAGGGGATTCTGACAGTTCCAACAAATTGGAAATGGGAACTGGTCACCAAATAGTGTGAGAATGATCTGGGAATTCCTGAAGGATATCAGGATCATAACTTCATAAGGCGGTGTTGTAAGTGGCTTGATGCTGTGGATTTTCATGGGGGGACGCTAGTTGCCCGAATCCCTGCTTCCGAGGTTGAAGTGCCGCATCTAAGAAATCTTCGGGGATCCAATATTTCCTCCCCATCCTTGTTTTGCTGATCTCTCATGACAAGTCCGTTTGAAGTCCCCCGAGTCTCGTTTCATGTGGGGAGACCCTAAGTCAAAGGGTGGTGTCTGCATCCTGCAGATTGAGGGCCCATGCCTGGCCTTGGAGACCTAGAATCATGCCAGTGGGTGACAACGGTGAAAGACTTGTGCAAAGGAGTAACGCAGAATCACCCTAGAGTCATTAGTCAGGCATATATTTGCCCAGGTGGTGTTGCCCGAGGCTCACCCGGGCGAATAAAAGTCCAAAGTTTGAAAAGAATGTAAGTGGATACCAGACAGAGCCGCAGCATTGACTTTCAGTGTCTTCAATGTTTGGAATTCGGGAATCCGCAGAGAACCATGGTTTCAGTGCCGGAGGTGGGACAGTGGAGACACATATGTATCCATATATTTCCTCATTTTGTAGATTTCAGAATCAGAAGAATCAAAACTTGAAGATGAAATTATGGACGTTGTTTCAATGTACAGTACTTTTGTGTTGGGCGGCCACAAAGACGAAGAAAGTGGGGTCTTTGTCATCTCACCTCCCACCTTTGCGTCATATTCCCCAATGCCCACCTTCCTCCCCTTTTCCTCTTGTTTCAACCTTGGGATTCTTCGAGAACTGGAAATTTTCAATATCCACTCCCATTCACCCTGTACCTAATTGATCAGGGTATCTTACCAATTTCCTGACCTGAACCGTCTCGTCCTTCATTTTCCCCGCCGTTGGAGCTTGCCTTTTTTTTCTCTTATTTTTTTGTGATTGTTTTCTTTTTCTCATTACTGGATTGATCTTGAAAACAAAAAAATAGAGAAATACAAAAGAAAGGACCGCACATATCCACAAGGCTGCGGTAATAGTCTCAAATTTTTGGAGCTCTACAGGTACGTAGAGGCTGCGGTTTCCTTGAACATACCGTCTCTCCATCAACTCCATGACCCCGCTCTAACATCCACCGTCTACTACAGCTATTGAGAACTTAGATTCATCCAAATCGTTGATCGATCCTGAACCCTACATCTCTGAAGAGCTCCACGCCCATAAGAAGATGGCGTTTCCAAGTCACCACCGCAACCATTCGCCGGCTGGTATGAGTCGCTTTGTGGCTGGTCCGAGGGCATCCACTGGCATGGTCCAACTCGGATCGTCTGTCGAGGAACAACCTAGGCGATATTACGACTATGCCGATTATCCATCGGATGCAGGGTATGCTAGTACTGCTTATCGGCACTATCCATCGCACCACTCTCCAGTGGAGGCCCGACCGGTCAGTACTCAGCATCTCCGCGATCCAGGTCAATCAGTCAAGAAGCGCACGGAGTATGCAATCGAACCACAGGATAAACGTCGAAGTAGAAGCAACACCGTGTCTGCAGTGGACATCTATCAAAATCAGGGTCGCCTGTCGGTGTCTACTCACCATGGTCCTGCGATCCATTCGAGTTACGGCAGGGCCGCGAGCCCCCCTTGCAGCCAGTTCGGGCCATTATGTGACGCCCGCCTCATCTCATCATGATCCACGTCACCGCCGAGTCTACAGTACCGATTATGCGAGCGACACAGGACGTTTGACCTTGCAGAATCGTGTCAAGCACCGATCGGGTGAAAGGTCTCATCATGCTCCACCCAGCAGACAACATCGAGTTTACGATAGCAGAAAGGGCAATGATATTGATACTCGCAATGCGTACTCATACACAACACCCCGTGAGCAATTTGATCGCGACTATCCCGTTGATTCTCGACCACGTCGCCCCTCCGGCAGAACGCCGCACGAGCGGCCTGTGAGCATGACAGCGACAGAACTGAGCGCTTGGCAGCACCACAGAGACGGACCCTCAAGACCTCATCCGACAAGTCGAGAGCTTGAGAGGGTGGCTCGTGAAGAACAGCCACGCTCTTCTAGGCCAGTCCATGATGAATATTCCTCTCGTGAGCTGTCGAACATCAAGCAGCCCTTTCGTGAGTTGCCAAATATGAGAGCAGGGCCTGATCGTCCACACGGAGGTCATGATGAATACCACTCTCGTGAGTTGTCAAACATCAAGCAGCCCTTTCGCGAGCTGCCAAATATGAGGGTAAGGCCTGACCGTCCACAAGTTGTAGCACCCCGTGGCTCAGACGATGGTTCCGACTCTTTTAGAGATACTCATCGTAATCACTACCGTCGTGATTATGGATCTCATCACGAGGACGATCGGGCTCACCATGACGACCGACATGACGACCGACATGACGACCGACGTGATGACCGACGTGATGATCGACCATCGCGCGCCCATCATAACGGAGTCAATGAAGGTGCATTGGTAGGGCTGGGAACAGCTGCTTTGGGACATGGCTACTCAGATATGTCTAACTACGACGACTACCGCCCTGCTTCGCGACAACACAGACGTCCCCGTGATCCAAAACGTAACTATGGTGCTACGGAATCTACGTCTCGCGAGCTTATTGAAGGAGTTCCGTCCAGCCCTGACAATGACAAGCAGCTTTACCTTGAGCCTGCTGATAAAGACCGCCAGCACCGTCGTCGTCGTAGTCCATCACACAGAAAGTCGCGAGCGGCTCACGCCAGCGATACAGACGGATTCACCGACGATGAAGACCTCCGCAGATACCAGCGAGAACCGTCTGCCGCCCCTAATAAGCACAGTAGCGAGGACCACAGCGATGACAATCACACGGCTATTCGTCGCCGCCCTCCACGGGAGCGCTCACATGTGCGTTCTCGCAGTCGGTCTCGGTCCTCTGATGATGACAGCAAGAATGGAGGCAGGAAGGTCGTTGCAGTGGATCCGCGTCCCCATAAAGACATTGAGGTAAAGCCGAAGGGTATCCTTAAGAAGCCGAAACCTTCATTCCCCGAAGAACCCAATCCAGTGAGAGAAGGGGTAGCTCCTCTGAAGGATGCAGACAATAGCGGCGTTCCACCCGGTGCTCGGTGGACCAAGATCGATCGCAGACTGGTCAATCCAAGTGCACTGAGACTGGCCGGCGAGAGATTTGAGGAGAGAGAGGATTACGTGATCGTATTGAAAGTTCTGTCGGTTGAAAAGATTGAGGAGCTTGCTGCGGCAACGAGAGCTATTCGAGGTGAGTCTTTGCTCACTTGTCCTCATACAGTTCCCCGATTTTGGTTCGTTCCATGAAATCATAAACTCACCAAGGTCGTATCAGATGCTCGCAGCAAGGAGTCTGTGCGTGACAGACGCCAACGCAGAGATGAACACCGACGAGACGGCCACCACTACGACTCATCTTCTAGTGATGACGAGGATGAAGATGAGCATGATGATCATAGACACGAATCTTTGCAGATTGAGGCAGCACCAATGCCCGACTCCTTCGACTTGCCCGAGCGCCCTCGTCAACACAAATAACTTTGCATGGTAGCCTCACCAATGCAGATGAGTTGACTTCTTACGCAGGCAGTAGAAAGTCTCTTCTCTTCGCGTGATTTTTAGGCTCATGGCTCCCCAATTTAGTTGTGGAAGTCAAGCAAACTGTTCCTTTTCTTCTCAAGTTTTTGAAAAATTCTCACTGGCCGACCTGATCCCTGCAAGTAAGGTCCCCCAGCCCTCGGTCTAACATTAAATGAGGGAGGCATGGAAGCCCCCCTGTCTGTGAAGATCAGCAACTAACTACAGGATGCTCTGCTCTCTCAAGGCTACGGGGTATTTCGTATTCCCTTCGTGCTCTCCCTCTGCCGCTTACTTTGTGTTCCTGTGTTACAGGAAAATATTGGGTTGACATGCCTCTAATACTACGTATGTGATGACTCGGGGACCAGTTCCTTCATTTCTCTTTGCTTTCCGTTTGGAGGAAAAAGAAGGTACTCGAGAGATGCTTTTTGATGGACACACGTACTTAGTTAGAGATCCCATGATTTCCTCTTTTCTTTTCATATTCGTCTCCTTTTGGTGTTTTCTTTTTTTCAACAGGCATAATATTGCGAATAAGCCTAGCACAACAACTCCATAGTGTCTACGTGGCCTGCCACCATTCAAATTGAGCAGCTGCCACTTCAGCTCTTGTACGACCATCAGCAATGCCAACAGCGGTTTCAGAAAAGGCAGATGATGCCATCTATTTCCTATTGAGTGTCTGTAGCTGAGAGGACTAGGCATCCATCTGCACAATAACTGACATTACTAACTCGGTACTCTTCAACCTTGGGACCCTTCAAGGTTGTATTCCGTCAAATCAACATCCACGCTGCTCTAGGAGTCTTAAAATAAATGCAGGCGAAACAGAAAACAATGAAAAAGGCGATGGCCCCAGGTAGACTTCTGCAGAGCATGTACGTTGGACTTGTGCAGAATCGATGCCCCATCTCATCTATACCAACTGGTCACTCTGTTACAAAAATCATCCATATTAAGAATTGTATTTGTCCAAAGTCATCATGTAACTCCTGTATCTCACATTAAATGAGACCAAAAAATTTATTTTTCTTTCTCTTTGATCGGAGATTACCTCGGCTTCTACCAACGTGAAATCTGATAATTTCCAGAGAACCCACCACCACGCAGGTTGATCGGTATGAGGCGCTCAAATAATGGGCCCTCAAAAGAAAAGGGAGAGATGAATACACAGTCTATGGAGTGAGAGGGGCAAGACTAGAAACCAGTTAAAATGAATCATTGATACAAAGTACCTACATGACTAGTTAGCACAAATCCAATGATTATTGAAGCACCAAAAATGAGAAGGCATCCATAGAAAAACCTGTCCAAAAGCAAAAATAAGGGAGACAAAAAACATTGCACGAGATACATCTGCAAGTTCTAGATTCCTGGTAGATGCCACAGACGTCTAGCAACAAATAAAATCCACATACCCACCAAGAGGAAGATCACTCGCACATTTCTGTCGGCCTTTGGGGATAACTGTATCCGCTTGCATAATACAGTAAGCAATTTTAGGAAGGAGATTGATTCCAGGGCGCCTTTACTAGTATTTTCTTTTCTTTTTTTCCTTTCTCTTGAGAGTCGTAGCCCCCACTCCACATTGCATTTCCTTTCTCCGGTGGAGAGAGATGAGAGAAGTCTGACAGATCATTGTGCACCTGTGGCTTTTTCCTAAGATGCATGCGGATTACTCTTTCCTTGCTAATCTAATTCAAGTTTCTTAATCGTCTGTACCTTGGACCGGGATCATGGATATGAAAATCCTTAGCCCTGTGTGTACAGCAAAGGTAGCACGCTCACTGGTTCACTGGTGTATAATGATAATATCTATGAATGAATTTCATTTGTGGACTGCTTTCACCTGGGTGAATGATTGCATCATGAGTAGCAAGAGCAAGATTACGAAGTAACGAAGGACAATCTCAGCTATACCAACATAGGCATCTTGTATCCGGTCTGACCATTTTCTAAAAGTGGAAATCAGAGCCGGTATTCTCAATTCTTGAAAGAGAATAGTAAAACATAAATGGGAAATAGAATGAAAATCCTGGAAGTGAAAAGGGCCTATGGACACTATGGGCACTATGGAGTCCCATGTCTCATGTACCAAGCATTGGAAATTTCCATCACCTCACGCTAACGTCCCAACAACCACTCTATTGGTCCCTTTTAGTCTCTATTATGTGGTACAAGATTTGTTATTCTACAAATGACCACATCCTTTTAATCCAATCCTATCGAGTATTCCCTTCATAGTGTGTTGTGACTCTCGCAGAAGTAGTAACAGAGCCGAGAAGATAGCATGATCCTGGCAAATTGGCTCAATAGAGTAAAGATATCATCATACTATATGACAATCAATATACTATCGTTTACTGGACTGAAAGTAGTATCAGGCAGAAATCCCGCGTGGTTGCCTCCATACTGCTTCATTATCACTCACTGGCTATCGTCACTAGTCTCTCATACCCTTGTCTAGTTCCCCCTTTCCCCTCCCATTTTGAGGGATCTTCCCCGTCAGCCCCTAGATTAACTTTACTTTTTTTGCTTTTTCCTTTTTATGAAACGGCCCGGCTAAGATATGCGATATGCGGAAACCGTTTGTCTTCGGTTCCCTACGGCACTTATAGACATGTGTGAGATGTTTATTGCATGTCTCATCTTTGCCGATGAGTTCTCCTATTCTATGCCGGTTGAAACTTAACTCACCCGCCCTTACATTGGAAGATTTCTTGAATTTCACTTTTCCTCCGGTCCCAGATTCATGGGATTGGAATTCAAAATATCACATTAGTGGATGCAGTGACTTGTGATTGGAAATAAGACTGGTTCTGAGACCTCGGTCCACATTGTTGCATTCTTATGACAGATGCAAACGTAATATTAGCTGTAGGCGCGAGTCAGAATGTCACTTATACTATGATAGTTAGCTCAATGTGATGACAGTCAAGTTTTGCATTTCGGTATCCAGTCATCTGATAATCTAAGAAGTGGGAACAGGATTTAGAGTGGACATTGTCTTGACTCGGACTTGGATTTGATACGAAGTTAACGATAATCTGTAGATCATTTCGGTATATCTCGGTTTGCTCTCTGATTTGGCTCCAATGAACTCATGGAAATAAATGATATGAAGCCACTGGGGCAAAAATGGACCACGAGGCAATAGCAAACATTCATATCGTACCATTCATCTCAATTTTCCCCCTCATCTATACGGAAAATCATGCTTAAAGAATCATATTAACTTCATATGTCGGCCTTCATTTTAATAAAGAGAGTAGCTTATCACTCGTTGTCAAATTGTTCCGGTGCACGAGACCAATCTCTTATGCATAAAAAAGTGTCGATGTGGGTGACTGTGAATGGAGGAAATGTAAAGGAGTATAGTACATTTGTCTTATTGACAGGTATGCTTGCAGGAATACAGAGTAGAATAAAGATCCAAAATTCAAAAAATCCTGTTAATCGTGTTCTTTATGTGGCGATGCGGAATTGGCCGATCGACGCACATGGGTTGGTTCAAGTTCCCCCCCTGCGTCCACCTCTTTGACATCTTCGATCCTTAGTTCCCAGCCAAGGCTGTATGGTGTCATTCAAACAGGAGCGGTGGAGGAAAAGGAACGTCACTGGTCCTAAACAGAGAGGATTTACTATTCTTACTCGGTAAAATAATAATTTATCTCGTATTTATTTTGACTTTCTGTGATCGGTGTCAACCAAGACGAATCTGCCATTGCCCGACTTCATTTCTGAATTCGTACCATTCTCCAGCGCCACTGTACTACGATCCATCAGGACTCGAGAGCGAATGATATCTTGTTCCAAGCTTGTGGGATAATTCCAAATATCATAGTGTGATTGTGACTGTGATAATATCTATGGTCCCATCCCTCTCGCTTAATTCGAGTCCGTCGGTATATTCCTCAAGTAGGAACATTTGAATCTTGAGATATCGATTGATCGTCCAAGTACTCCGTACACCTAGGCAGAGTACCTAGGAACGGTGAGCGTTTGGCGCATCTCCACCATCGCCAATCCGACCTGCAGTGATCAGCCGCCTGGATTACCATTTCTTGTCTAAGGCTGAGTTTCCCTCTGCAGATGCGGCCTGGAGAGATTCTGAAACAAGTCACTAGCTCCGGCCACGCGACACGCTACTGCCCCGCTGCTGCAGGTTTAACGCCGTTCCGCCAGTCGATGAATCACAAATGCCTTGCGCGATGAGGTTCGTCTACAACTGCATGTATCGATCTCGTATTCCATGTCAAATGATGAATGTGGGAAGGGATCGGTGGGAGAAAAAAAAGTAAAGTCTCGGTGTATTATATCTCTCATGCAATGGAGAATTTACACGAATACCTGAATGGAACTTGCCGTGGTGCAATGTCATCGATAACTACACGCACTTCTTGGCTAATGCAGACACCCGATTATCATTTCCTCACTGGCCAGGTGGCTTGGCCCTACTCCGTATACAGAAACGGAGCACTCTCTTCCTTGATTTCTTCTTACTCCATAGTTAATGGAGGCCTGAAGCGTGGGGATCGGAATTGCAGTGTCATTCAACACTTCAACCCTCAAAGAAATGGATGGGGCTACACTCCGTAATGCATCATGTTCGAGGTTCACTAAATTAAGTGGAGAGCTCGTGGAGTGGTCTCGGATCCGGATGGTGGGGCCGTAGTCAAGATTTTCGCTTTTCTTTGTTTTTCTTTGTTCTCTGTTGGTTCAATGAGTGCTCCATCATAGATAGCTCCCGTAGTGGTTCAAGTTTACATTTGGGGCGAGAAAACAAACGCCCCGAAAAATATACGGGAATTAGAGCCAGAAATGGCCGACTAGAACGTGGAAATGCAGGATAATCTGGGAGCCAAAGGAGAATGTCTCCTCGTCGGAATTGCGCGTTCTTTTCGGACAAGAGCCGCCTTGTACCTAAGGTACATTGTGATTAGAAATGAGAAACGAAC